CAACCATCATCACCGTCATCTCCTTCTACTGCTACACCATGATTGAGGGCAAGCCTTTGACTGCGCCAATTGCTTTCACAGCATTGTCCTTTTTCACCCTTTTGAGAGCGCCTCTTGATCAGTTGGCTGACATGACTGCCATTGTCATCCAGTCTAAGGTGTCCCTTGACAGAGTCAGTGACTTCTTGGAGGAGGATGAAACCTCCAAATACGAGCAGTTGGGCCAGAAGCGTACCGAAAACTCCCCAATCATCGGTTTCGAAGATGCCTCTTTCTCGTGGAACTCCTCCTCCGATGCTGATTTCAAATTGAGAAACTTGAATGTCGCTTTCAAACCGGGTAAATTGAACGTCGTTATTGGACCTACTGGTGCCGGAAAGACCTCTTTGCTCATGGCCCTTTTGGGTGAAATGGAGCTTTTGAAGGGTAAGGTTTTCTTGCCTGGCATCATTCCAAGAGATGAATTGGTGATTGACCCCAGCTCTGGCTTCACGGAATCCGTTGCCTATTGTTCCCAATCTGCCTGGTTGCTTAACGACACCATCAGAAACAACATTACCTTTGCTCAACCATACATTCCTGAGCGTTACGATAGAGTCGTTGAGGCCTGTGGTTTGTCTCGTGATTTGCAAATTCTTCCCGCTGGAGACAAGACGGAAATTGGTGAGAAGGGTATTGCCTTGTCTGGTGGCCAGAAGCAGCGTATCTCCTTGGCTAGAGCTTTGTATTCCAACTCCAGACACATCTTATTGGATGACTGTTTGTCGGCTGTGGATTCCCACACAGCTCTCTGGATTTACGAGAACTGTATTTCCGGTCCTTTGATGTTGAACAGAACATGTATTTTGATCTCCCATAACGTTGCCTTGACTGTGCAAAAGGCTGATTGGGTTGTTGTCATGGAAGACGGTAAAGTGAAGGTTCAAGGTAGTGCCGATGAATTATTGGACGGTGGCCACCTTGGTGACGACGAATTGGTTAAGTCATCTGTCATGAACTCCCGTAACCAGTCGAGCACCAACTTACAATCTTTGGAATCGAAGAACTCCGAGATGAAGTCTAAGGCTGCTATCATCGAAAGCAAGTTGAAGAACATAGCTGGAGAGGAAGAGCAGCAACCAGAGGCTGTTCGTACCGACGGTAAGTTGATCGAGGAGGAAGAAAAGGCTGAAGGTGTGGTGGGTCTTGACGTTTACGCTGGCTACATCAAGGAATTCGGTGGCTGGCCAACCTGGTCCATCATTATCTTCACTTATGGCTTCACTCAACTTGTCTACATTGGCCAGTCTTGGTGGTTGAAGAAGTGGGCTCTGGATACTCCTGAAACGATTGCCAAGGTCATGAACGTTGTTGGTATTACCAGCGAGTCCATGCCGGGTGTGGTGAAGAGTGTTATCAACAACACCAACTTGGCTATTGCTTCGCTTTCTTCTGCTTACACCCAGGCTTCTGACGCTGTTACCGTTTTCAAAGTCAACCATCCTGTTCAGTACTACATCATTTGGTACGCTTTGATTGGTTTGGGCTACTCGGTCTTGGCCACCATTCGTGTGTTTGTGTCCTTCTTCGCTGGTATTAGAGCTTCGAACAGAATCTTTAAGCGTGTCTTGACAAGAATCTTGGGCGCCAAGTTGGGCTTCTTTGACAAGACGCCTCTTGGTCGTATCATGAACAGATTCTCCAAGGACATTGAAGCTGTTGACCAGGAGTTGACGCCATTTGGTGAGGCTACCTTCGCTTGTCTCGTTTCTTGTGTTTCCATCTTCATCCTCATCACTGTTATTACTCCAGGCTTCTTGTTCTTCGCAGTCATCATTTCCTACTTGTATTATTTGGTTGGTTCGTTCTACATCACGCTTTCCAGAGAATTGAAGAGATTTGATTCGATCACCAAGTCGCCAATTCATCAGCACTTTTCTGAGTCTTTGACGGGTGTCGCTACAATTAGAGCCTACGGTGTCGAGTCTCGTTTTATGAGACAGAACTTGGCTGCCATCGACGAGAACAACAGACCTTTCTTCTACATGTGGGTTGCCAACAGATGGTTGGCCTTGCGTGTTGATGCCATTGGTTCGCTTGTGATGTTGTTTGCTGGTATTTTCGTTATCTTGTCTATTGGCAGAATCGATGCCGGTTTGGCTGGTTTGTCTTTGTCCTACGCCATCTCCTTCTCCGAAAACGCCTTGTGGATTGTTCGTCTTTACGCTAACGTGGAGATGAACATGAACTCCGTTGAGCGTTTGCAAGAGTTCATGAAGGTGGACCAGGAGCCTCCAAGCGAGATTCCTGAGACCGAGCCCAAACCAGACTGGCCCAGCAGAGGTGAAATCGAGGTCAAAGATGTCTCTTTGAGATATGCTCCCCACTTGCCTAGAGTCATCAAGAATGTCACCTTCCATGTCGAGCCATCAAACAAGATTGGTGTTGTGGGCCGTACAGGAGCTGGTAAGTCGACAATTATCACAGCATTCTTCAGGTTCTTGGACCCGGAGACCGGCTACATCAAAATCGATGATGTGGACATTTGCAGCATTGGCTTGCGTAATTTGAGACAGGCCATCACTATCATTCCTCAGGACCCTACCCTTTTCACGGGTACCATTCGCTCCAACTTGGATCCATTTGACCAGTACACTGACGAGCAGATTTTCGAGGCCTTGAAGAGAGTCAACTTGGTTGGCCGTGAAGAAAGAGCCAGGGATGTGGACAGTTCTCAGGAGAACAAGAACAAGTTCTTGGACTTGACTAATGCCGTTTCCGAAGGTGGAAGCAACTTGTCCCAGGGTCAAAGACAGTTGATGTGTCTTGCTAGATCTTTGTTGAAGAGTCCAAAGGTGATTCTTTTGGACGAGGCAACGGCTTCCATCGACTACCAGTCGGATGCTATGATTCAGCAGACCATCAGAGAGGAGTTCGCTGGCTCGACCATTCTCACCATTGCACACAGATTGAGATCGATCATAGACTACGATAAAATTTTGGTGATGGATGCCGGTAAGGTTGTTGAATACGACGACCCATACGCCTTGATCGCCAATAAGGAGACCTTGTTCTATAGCATGTGTGAGAACAGTGGAGAGCTCGAGGTTCTCACGAAACTCGCCAAGGAGTCTTTCGTCAGCAGAAAGAACAAGAAGTGAAGCATAGCATGATGTCTTCCCCAGCATGGTTATTTATTCATTGTACGTTTTTGAAAAAAAAAAAAAAAAAAAAAAAAAAAAAATAAAAAAATAAAAAAATAAAAAATCAAAAAACACGCACGTAGTTTTGCAGCCATCAACCTGCACCGAAGAGAGGAGCTTATCAAGATAGCGTGCCTCGACAATAAGCCGCAGATTTGAACCACAGTTCATCCCTCATGTTTCCGCAAAGGCAACACAAGTATGTTGCTGTAGCAGGCAATGAGGATATTGAAGAAGATGAACGTTCAACTTCTTTGGACATACTACCCACAGAGGCCAGCTTCTTACCTCAGTTGGAGGAGGTGCCTCAAGGACGCCATTTGGGCCTCTTTTCCACAATCGTGCTTTTTGTGAGTCGAATATTGGGCTCAGGGTTTTTGGCGATTTCAAGCGGAATGTATAACGATTGTGGAAGGTCGCCGTTCTTCTTCTTTCTTTCGTGGATCATTGCATGTGGGGCGGCTTTTGCTGGACTCTATGTGTACTTGGAGCTTGGGCTGTTTATTCCACGAAGCGGAGGAACAAAAGCCTTCTTTGAGGTCATTTACGACAGACCTTATATGCTTGCCAGCGTTGTAATCTCCCTTTACTCGGTCATGTACGGATTCACCATCCTGAACATCTTGGTCTTTGGGGAGTACTTCTTGCATGCACTTGGGATCGAAACCACAGATTGGAATATAAGGATTGTCGGACTAACGTTGCTTTATTTGACCTGTGCATTCCATGGAATCAGCGTTCACCACGGAGTTCGTGTTCAAAACTTCATTGGAGCTCTCAAGTTGATCTTGGCTGCATTGATCGTGCTCACAGGGTTATGGGTAAGCGTGTTTCCCCTGAAAATCACAGGAATTGAGTCACAATTGCATGCTCACGAGTTCTTTCCCGCCAAGAGCGAAATCACATTGGGCTCCTTTGCTAGTGCAATCATCAAAGGCACCTTTGCATGTGCCGGGTGGAACACGATCCATACCGTCACCAATGAAATCAAAAATCCCATACATACCCTTAAGATAGCAGGACCTGTCTCATTGCTCATCATCACTGTCACATATATCTTTATCAACGTCGCATACTTGGTGGTTATTCCTGACAAGGAGATCCTGGAAAGTGGACAGCTTATAGGGTCAATTCTCTTTGAGAAGATCTTCGGTTACAGAATAGGCAGACAGTGCTTGACAATCGCTTCCGCTGTTTGCACGGCAGGCAATGTCTTTGTGGTGTTGTACACGATATCCCGAGTAAGTCAAGAGGTCTTCAGGGAAGGCTTCTTGCCATTGTCAAAATTCATGTCATCCAACTGGCCTGGCGATGCTCCACTTCCGACCTTGGTTCTAAGTTGCGCCCTCTCAACCATCGTGGTTTTGGGATCACCCCATGGAGATGTGTATAATTACATCGTCTCCCTTGAAAGCTATCCTCAACAAATTTTTGTGGCGCTTTGCGCCATCGGAATCTTCATCATGAGAAGGAGGCATCCTGAATTTGAGCCTTCCATTCGCTCACCTATCATCGGCACAATTTTGGTGATATTTCTCTCTTCATACCTTATGATTATGCCACTTACTGACAAGAACCCTAATCCAAAAGGAATGGAGAAATGGCCACCATACCCTTATGTCGGTTTATTCAGCTTGCTTCTTGCTGCGCTATACTGGCTCTGTATGTTTAAAATCGGACCCAAGTACTTTCACTACCAAATCAGCGCAGAAAGAGTCAAATTAAATGATGGCTTGGTCATAACTCAGTGGAACAAATTTCCTATCTAATTTATAGACACAATAGACTCATTGCTGCATTTTATCGCCAACTAGTTTATCAACACGCTTGACGAACGCCCTGAATGAGCTACTCTTCAACTTTTGAGCGATCTTGAGTTTGAGAGACATGTCGTCTAATTCCTCAATTCCATCTTCATCCTTCATTGCATCCTCTAGTGCCTTGCTGAGAAGGTTATCCATCTTATTCCCCCTTCGAGTCTTCTTTCTGGCATGCTCTTCAGCCGGGATTTCGAAAGGTATATCCTCAATTGCATTGCGCAAATCCTTCTCTGTTACCAGTGGGATACCTGGCTTAGACATACTGACATCGGCAGACTGCAGCTCTGACTTAACAGGGTTTAGTATCGAGAAACAGCTGTTATCAAATCTTTGAGTCAGTTGTGACAAGAATGAGTCGTCAGGGCGGGCAGAGCTCTGTGAGGGCTGACTCAATACATTCGAAATTGACCTGTTCATTCCAGGCGGCACAGCAGGTTCAAAAATTTGGGAGTGTTGGGTAAGCCCATCCTTATTCCCTCGCAAAGCAAAAGTTGGCTCAGCTGTAGGTGGTAAGTGATACTGGCTGGGATTAGGCGAGATCATGCCCGTCACCTCGTTCTGAAGACCCTGAGCTGCATTGACAAGGAGATTGAGGGAGTGGGTGAAGTTACTAGCCGCAACAGAAGGGCTCACCATGTTAGCCAGTGGCTGAGGAGAGTTGGCTTGCCAATTGACATTGTTCAGCAGCGGGCCGGGTTGGTCGACATTCTGAGAAAAAGATTGGGATGGCCTGATCAGGGGAATATCGGGAGCGACCTGAGAGGGCGGAAAAGTCTGGGATGCTCGAGCAGGCTGGGATCCTTGAGGTTCGAGATCTTTGGAATTTGGACGTGCCTGGGAGAAGGACTCTCTCTGGGAATGAACGTCATTTCCAGTATCACCAATTTCAACTCTAGGCTGCTCTGGCCTCCTCTGGCTCTGCAGTCCAGTAAAATCCTGTGACATCAGAAGCTGGTCTTCCAAAGAGCGTTGAACGACAACATTGAGGCCGAGCCACAACTTGATCTTTTGAACAAAATGGTTGAAATGGCCAGCAGAATCAAATGTGATCTGAACGCGTTTCTTCAAGGTATCACCATCAGAGATCTTGAGCCCTACGATGGGTTCCTTGGTGAGAAACTTTACATTTGTCTCATTTATGTGAGACGTATCCTGGAATTAGAGGTCACGATTTCAATATAAGGGTGGTTCATACAATTGGTTTTCCTTGGGAGACAATCATCAAAGTCACCCCAGAGGAACCATAGGAACATCTTAGCTTGAGGCCCAGACGATAGTGGGTCCAATCCTTGTTAGGGACAGTAAGTTGGGAAGCACGTGTAATTAGAAAATCAGTAGATTCATGCATGGATTAAAAAAAAAAGTAGTTCGTTTCAGGTCAAGGGGAGGATCAGCCTCTTTATATGCTTGGTCCAAATAACCTGCACAGAATGATTTGCAGCCAATGCACGGCGTCCCTTTCTACAGTAATGAGTCTATGATAGATTATTATTCCCGGAATTACCGCCCTTATGTACATGGTGCTCTTAAGCTTCCAACAGTTGATCGGAAGCAAAAACAGCGTCTAATCTCTTAAGTGTCATCTGATATAGTAAAAGCATAATAGAGCTTTGGATACCCGTCCAGATGAAACGGGGCCCCACTCCAGAGAACATGCCGTAAATGCCCTCGTTTTTGTATATCGAATGCAATGCCTTGACCGTCGAAAACTTGTGCAATAGTTGACTGATTGCGCCTCCAGTAGATGTAACATGTGGGGCATGTGCACCTGCTGTCGACGTTGTGGCCGTTTGAATCCTGGTTTTAATGACGTCTAACGGTGTTGTAAGCACACCAGCTAAACCACCAGCGGCGGCGCCTGTTCCAAGCTCGAGGGTAAAAGACAAATCGTTATTGGAGTCGTTGTAAATGATTGCCCACTTGCGGAATCGCTCGTAGAATGCAAATTGTAAAGCACTAAAAGGCAAGTCTCGTAAAAGAGTCTCTTTGTATCCATATGCCAATGCTGAGGTACCTTCTGTTTTAGAGATCAGCCTGACGGCATCTCGGAGGTTTCTGTAATTGTAGCCGCAACCTTTTGTGTAAGGGTTGTTAAAGCGGCCTTGCAACTGCAATCTTGTTTTTAGCACTTCCGACGGAACGTAGAATACACTCAGGGCCAAGTCACCCAATATACCGGCGATGAAATACGACACGGTATCATTCATATGTAAGTTGTTGATCATGAAACGCTTTGAGAATTCGTAGGTTCCAAAAAATGTAGCTGTGGACGGAAAAGATCCTAATATTGCCGGAGTGTAACCGCCATAGAGGCCTCTAAAAAACCCCTCTTGACGGAAAATTGTGACATAAGCCGGTACCATGTTTTTGTACCTTGGGTTCCACAGCAATCCTTGTTGCCTGGTCTTGACTGTGTCTAACGAGTGCATCGCCGAATCGCCGATGGCACCTCCAAAACCACCTGCTAACATGCAACTTAATAAGGGCGAGTACGTACCCGGTTCGGGATCTGCAGGAGGCTGTGATTCAGGTACTTTTGCCTTTTCATGATGCGTATGGTGGTCCCGATGGGGCTGGAACGGCGTCGGTATTGCCGACGTTGTCAACGATTGTGACATTTATGTGATGAAATATGCGGAGGAATAAATAGCTGCTGCTTGGAAATATATGGTTCTCATGCGTGTGACGAGTGGATGAAAGGCAGTCGCCGTCTAGGCGGAAAATAGCGAGAAAAGCCTGTAGTCTATGACAAGGCCCAGTGAGTATCAACAGTTAAGCGAGTGAAGATTTTCGAAGCCGACACCCGTACACCCAACCGAAAGATCAACGGTCACAATGAAGCCAGGACAATATTCTTTTTGGAATAAGTGCTTCCAAGGTCGGAATCGGCCGAATGTTTGCTCACTTATCAATAGCGGATGATGTCGTTGTTGGGAGACGAGAAAATCAAGTCTGATTGATGATCACTCTCATGAGCCTGTGATTGGCGCGTTTGGTTGTAGACAATGAGAAGTAAGCGTCGACCAGGAGCCGAGCAAAGAGGGTCACAGGGACTGCAGAGCATTAATAACCCCAGAAGCACAAAAATAGGCTCCCCTGACCGGCACATTGAAGACGATTTTCCAATTTTCAAAACATATCACGTGACCGTATCTTTACTAGGGCTCATCAGGTCCATCGCTTTACCCCAGACGATGCTTCCCAGAGGGCTCAGATCTATATCGAGAAACATCTGGAGGAATTATCGGGTCCTAGCGCTTGAATCGTCATGTGATGACTCCTGTGTGGCCTTGCTTGAAAAGAACTCCCCGAATTCGCAGCCAGTGGTGATAGACGAGATGAAGCGGACCTTGAGGTCTGTCGAGGCCGGTGGAGTAATTCCCACAGCAGCTTTTGAATTCCACCTGAAGAACATGCCAACTCTAGTCAATGAATTCTGCGCAAAGCACGGCTTAGTTGGTCTGAAAAAGCCCGATCTTCTTTGCGTCACTAGGGGCCCAGGAATGGTGGGGTCGCTCAACCTGACTTTACAATATGCCAAAGGTCTAGCTCTAGTTTGGGGAATCCCGCTAGTAGGAACGCATCACATGCTAGGGCACATCCTAGTGCTGAATTTGCCAACTTCAGAAAGTCCTGATCAGCCACCTCCACAATACCCGTTTCTTAGCCTTCTTTGTAGCGGAGGTCACACGATGTTAGTACTTCTGAAGTCATTGACACAGCATGAGATCCTTATAGATACCATGGACATTGCATGTGGTGATGCTATAGATAAAGCAGCCCGAGAACTAGGGATGCGAGGCAACATGCTTGGGCCTGAACTTGAGAAGTTCGTGAATCTGATACCCCAAAGTGAACGACAACACTATGCATCGATCAGAACCCTCGACAGAAATAACGAATTCGGGTTCAAACTCACTCCTCCTTTACGCAAACCAAAGCATCAAAAAGTTCCCGAAAACCTTTCCTTCACATTTGCATATCTCCTCAGCTCAATCAAAGACCACAAGAAGAGGTTCGAGCTTGATGAAAAGACCAAACAGTTTCTTGCTTTCAAGGCACAGGATGCAGTGTTTGAGCACATGATAGACAGGGTGAACATAGCATTCGCCAAATACCCCAAAGAGCTTGCAGGAGTCAGGCACTTTGTTTGTTCAGGCGGAGTTGCAGCCAATCAAGTGCTACGCCAGAAGCTCTTCAACCAAATAAGGTCACCTCATGACCTTAGTTTTCATTTCCCTGATCTCAGGGTTTGCACGGATAATGCCACAATGATCGGTGTGGCAGGCATGGATCTCTTTGAGAAACTCCGTGTCAAATCAAGCATGGATATATTGCCTGTGCGTAAGTGGCCTCTCAACGAGCTAATTAGCATGGGTGAATGGCAAAATGTCACTGACGAGGAGTTTGAATCAGTTACGGGCTGGCTGGCGGCTCCGTATCCTCAGGAACGTCTCTATGCGAAATAAACGGTTCGGTGATGTTGTACTTTTCAACCAACAGACGCCATGTAGGGAAATCAAAAGTTGCAATGTGATGAGAGATAGGCACACTGTCATCGGCAGTGTCTTCTTCGTCCAAAATCTCCACGTATGGTCCATTTTCGTCGCTGTCCAAGCGTATCTTACCGTCTCTCACGAGGAAACTTATGTAGAACAAGTTCTCCACCAGCTGAGCAAAAGAATGTGGATTGAGAAAGAAAACATGAAAGTTGAGCTTCTCCTCCCCGCTCTTCTCAACCAACTGGCGGTATATGCTACGCACCATATGCGAGGTGCTCTGTTCGGGGTCTGTGTGGATATCCTCAACGGACACCTTTTGTGCTGTAGTTTTATCCTGAGTGCCAATTGTGTCATCAACATTTCTCGTACGTGGACCTAATCGTCTTCTCTGTGTGGCCAACGGTCCATAGAGAAACTGTGAAGGTAGCATCTTTCTGCTCAGGGCAAAGAGGACCCCTAGTTTGGACCAGTCAAAGGAGTTGAAAAGCTCATTTGCGCTCTTCTGGTCATTAAGCACAACCTCTTCATTTTGTCGTTCTGAAGACTCTTCATACTCTGGGTTCATGAACTTCATGGCTCCCGTGGTAAACTCGTCCATGGTGACACTCTCTTTGTAGTCACCGAAACGGATGTTCTGGGCGTTCAACGCGGCAAAAGCAGCCGTTTTCTTCAAAGCTTCCGAGTCTTTCATAAACATCGGCAAGTCCTTCACGTCATTCTGGGTAATTTTGGCAAAAATCAGCTCCAACTCCCGGATCTTCTCCATCACCATCAGCCCAGCCTCTCCTTTAAACGCTAGGGCCTCAGCCCGGGCCACTTCTTTCTGGTATTGTTCATAAGCTTCAGAAATAACACCTAGTCCTCTGCTTCGAAGATTATTGGAAATATCGTCGATGTTGTGGGCAACCTCCTCCAAGTCTTCAGCCATAGTGTTGATGTAGTAACTGCGCGCATCTGGGGAACATCACCACATATCAGGTCCATCGATTCCGTGAACTTCAACCACAAACCATTCATAGAAGTTATTAATTATTTCTTTTAAATAGTTTTGAGATGCCAATTAAGCGGCTAGACCAGCTGGTGGTCAACAGAATCGCTGCAGGCGAGATCATCATTCAACCAGCCAACGCGCTCAAAGAGCTTCTAGAGAATTCCGTTGATGCTGGAGCCACAAGCGTGGATATTCTCGTGAAAGACGGAGGATTGAAGTTTTTGCAAATCACAGATAACGGATCAGGCATCAATGTTGACGATATGCCGCTTCTTTGTGAGAGATTCGCAACATCCAAGCTCAGTCTGTTTGAAGATCTAGAGAGTTTGGCGACTTACGGGTTTCGTGGCGAGGCATTGGCGTCGATTTCCCACATTGCAAGATTGAGCGTGATTTCGAAAACAAAGGAGTTCCTGTTGGCCTACAAGGCGTTCTACAATGCGGGCATGTTGGCTACAAATAAGTTCAAGGTGGATGACGAGAGCAAGACGGCTCCAAAGCCTGTTGCAGGCAAGAACGGGACACAAATCACCGTTGAAGACCTCTTCTACAATACTCCTTCGAGGTTGCGGCTGATGAAGCTGAAGCTGGACGAGCTTGCGCTGATATTGGATGTGGTTGGAAAATACGCTGTACATACCCAGGGGGTCGGATTCACGTGTAAGAAGTTTGGCGAGCTGACGCCGGCTTTGGCAACGAGACCGCAGGCTGAATTGAAGGAGCGTTTGAGGACGGTTTATGGTGTCAGTGTGGCCAGTGACATTATAGAGTTCAGCAAAGAGGGTCCTTCGGAGTACGGACTTATGAAGGTCAGCGGTGCCATCACGGGGCTCAACTACAATAATAAGCGGAGAGCCGTACCCGTGTTTTTCATCAACAACCGTCTGGTTTCCTGTGAACCACTCAAGAGAGCCTTGGTGTCGTTGTACCAGGTATTCCTACCCAAGGGCACGTATCCGTTTTTCTACCTTAGCTTGGAGATCAAGCCGCAAAACGTCGACGTGAATATCCATCCTACAAAACGAGAAGTTAGGTTTCTCTACGAAGAAGAGATCATCGAGTGGATCACCGGTTTAGTCCACGATACGTTATCATCGCATGACACATCCAGAACATTCAAACAAAGCACATTTAAGCGGGGCAGTGACGTCGATGACGTCGCAACGCAGGTCAAGAAATATCGTCAAGAAAACAAGCTTGTCAGAGTGGATGCTTCGCAGCCCAAACTTGAAGCATTTGTGTCAAATCAGAACAATGAGGATGATGACGAGATTGAGGTGGAGGAACGCAGGGAGGTGCACCTTGACAGCATAAGAGAGCTACGCCAGGAGGTGCTGGAAAATGTTTACAGGCCCTTAACAAATGTGTTCAACAACTTGGTCTACGTTGGTGTTGTTGATGGAAACCGCCGTCTATGCTGCTTCCAGTACGACGTGAAGCTCTTTCTATGCGACTACGGCGCCGTCCTTGCAGAATTCTTCTATCAAATCGGCCTTCTAGAATTTGCCAATTACGGCCGATACGAGCTCGACCCACCAATATCACTCCAAGACCTTCTTGCCCCGCTATACGAAACGAGGAGTGACCTAGTTGCCCGTGAGGACGTCGTCTCCGCTATCACAGGAATGTCTGACATGTTCTTGGAGTATTTTGCCTTGCACATTGAACGAGGCGTGCTCCACTCGGTGCCTTTGCTCTTGACCGGTGCAGAGCCAGCCTTGGCCAAGTTGGCCCATTTTGTCTATAGATTGGGCACAAAGGTGGATTATCAGGACGAAAAAAAATGTCTAAGTCAGGTGCTCCGTCAAATCGCTCTCCTCTATGTGCCCTCACCCACGGACACTAATGAGGGATTCGAAAAACTCGAAAATATTATTTTCCCTGCCGTTCGCCAAAGGCTTGTGGCACCGGCCAAGCTCATGGACCATGTTGTCCAGATAGCCGATCTCCCGGGACTCTACAAGGTTTTTGAGAGATGTTAGCCCCACCATGATAGCATGTGCTGTTTGGCTGCGAAAAAATTGCCCGAATGGGGAACGCACTAGTGTGAATTTGACGCTCAACCGTGGTTGTGTGAAGAACGTGAACTTGGCCGATCAAATCAACACTCCAAGCAACCACTTGTTTCTTTGAAAACATCATGTTGATCGAGGCCTCTGCCAACGATAATTACATGAAAACGCTCTCCTTGGGGAGCTTTCCACTGAAGGTCCTTGATTTTCAAGAGCTGCCTGACTTCTTCCAGCAGACCGTGTTTGTGGACTATCAGCTCCAGTTGCTTATCCAACACGATCTCGGCGACGCTATTGCCTCCAGAAAAAACTCTGAAGCTGCTAAGCTGGCGCTGGAGAAGTTGGCTCAGTTGAAAAATTACATATCGTCCGTTGGTGCCAATTACTCTGCCAGAAACAAGTCTTACGAGGAAGCTCTCTACCACACCGTGGTGTTGGCCGACTTGCACTACTTGAGCGGGGAATACGAGCAAATGCTGGCCACTCTCTCGTCGTTCACGTTGTCGAAGTCGCCCAGACTTGACTCAGAGGCCCAAGAGGACTTAGTGGACTACTTGACCGCCAGGTTCTACGCCCTCTACGGCTCTGGAAAGAGAGACGGTGCTTACAAACATTGGCTTGAGTACTTGACCAACTTGACAAAGTACGGAACCAAGAGTCAGATTGCCGCCAATCGCTGGCAGGACACTATCTTGCTCAGAGTCGTTGGCCTTTTAAGCTCCAACGGTACCAGACCTCTTCGTTTCAAGGACATTCTTGCTCAATCGTTCAACGAAAACGCTTGCAGCATAACTGCCATCTCGAGTTTCTGCTTGAGACCAGAGAACGAGAAGCACGTCGTCAAGGAGTTCCGTGGAGATTTTATGGTGTTTTTGACCGAGTTGGTGAACTCCAAGATTAAGCAAAAGAGGGACTTCCCTGATGCTCTGGCCGAGCTCAGCGAAGAGGACGACTTCATTGACTCCCTTTACGAAGCTCTTTACGACATCTCCACCCAGCGCCCACTTGTGGCCCAAGTGCTCAAACCAAAGCTCTCCAAAAAGTTCTTGGTGAACATGACCGAAAAGACATACCAGAGTTTCACCGTGCTCTCGAACTTAATCAGAACATTGCTTGACTTGGAGGAGTACGACGAGGCCATCGCTGCCCTCAAGACCTACATCGACTACGTTGAGAAGGATCTGGAACAGAACCACGGCAGAGTTAAGAACATCTTAGACGTCATTGACATTTACACCATGTGTATCCAGCACTTCAACCCCAAACACTCCATGATCCCTTCTTCTCAGGAAGCCGACATCCCCAAGAAGTTCCGCTACAACAGCTTGTACTCTGTAGTGGAGCAGCTTAAGAGCTTTTCCAAACAGCTTTTACACTTCTTGGACGAGCTTGCTAAAGTTGCAGACTTACAGTATGACGAGGCAGCCGGCTTGCAAGACAACAGATTATCTTTCTTGTACCACAGATACAACACCAACTTGGTGATGACCGACCAGTCTAAGTTCGTGCGTATTGTGTCGAAGGCCTGGTTTGTGATGGGTGACCTCCATTCCTACTTGGCTTCTCACCTGTCTGCCACTCACGAGATCATGAAGGACAACACCGAGACTGTTCTCAAGTACTGGAAAAACAGTTTGATTGTCAACTCCACCGGCAACTCCACCTTGCTCTTCAAGTATGCGTTGGAATTGTCTTACAACAACCTTGTGGAGCCAGCCTTGAAGTTGTGTAAGTTTGCATTGAAGAAATACCCTGAGCAGTTCCAGATCTGGAACTTGTTAGTTTTGTTGCACTCTGCCGCTGAGGCTGAAAAGAGCAGCGCAGATAATGAAACCAACCAGGCGAACCACGCTGCAATCTTGGACGACCTCAAGAAGTCCGGCACTGACCAGACCAGCTTATATGAGTCTGAGCGGTTCGTGGAAGATGCTTTGAACATTGCTGGTCTTTACATGCAAAAGTCCAAACAAAAGGGAACTCCCATCTCATTCCAGAAGAAGTACTCTATCTTGCAATTGAAGATGACGCAGCTTGCTATGTGGGAGGCAAAACACGGCATCGAGTTCATCTTGGACTCCATCGCCGAAGTCTTTGTCTTGTACCGCGAGTTGTTCGAGCAAAGCGATGTCAAGGACTACAACCAGAAGGAATTGCCACCTCAACCTCAGCATTTGAACCCAGTTCAATCCATTGCAGAAAGCAAATGGTCGCATCGTCCTAGCGTTGTTGACCCTGCCATTCCCGAGCTCAAGGTTGACAAGTCCTCCCTGAGAGAGCACCGTGCTGCTAAAGACAGACTCAAGAGAAAGGTGTCTTCCAAGAACGACAGCAAACCAGAGCCTAGACCATCCAAGCCCGCTGGCCGTGTGTTGCAGGAAGTATGGTTGTGGGCAGCCTCGATCTACCTCAGATTGGGCTCGCTCCAGGAGGCTGAGGAGTGTATTGTCGAGGCCGAGACCGTGGCTCCACCTAGTGTCAGGACGTATACTTTCTTGGGACTCTTGACGTCCAAGTCCCGCAAATTCTTGTCACTCCAAGAGTTCGAGAGATCTTTAGAGGAGTTCCACCACCCCGAGGAGAAATTCAACAAGAAGGCTTACTCTGTTACCTTGCTTGGTATGTGCAAGCTTTTCATTGAGGACGACGAACCTGAGAGCTCGCTTTTCATCTCCAACAAGGACTTGGATGCTGGATTGATCAGAGTCAAGAACTACTTGGAAGAGTACAGCAACTGCTGGCCATACGGGCACAACAGCCCTGAACTTTGGTACTACCTAAGCACCATTTATGAGAAATTTGACGACAAGCTCTTGTTCAACGAGGCACTCTGGAAGTGCGTCGAGCTTGAGAACAAGCGCCCAGTCAGAGCTTACCATGTGTGCGAGGAGTGGGTGTAGAGCGTTGTTAGAGGCCTTGTCCATGGCCGTGTTATATTTAATTTATAGGGGATTGGCAAGCCATGGGGTTGTCAATAAAAACGTTTACTAGAGTGGCGATGTATATATGGTAGTTGCGTGATTTGTTTTTCATTAATTCTGTAAAAGTGTTGAATTTGGAGGTATTCTTAGATTTCGTCTGTCAATCAGCGAATGTGGTATTTCGCAGCCACAATCAAGCATTCACATCTGTATAACCAGACATTCAATCAGACCTCATTCTTTATTCTTTATTCTTTAACTTCCTTCTTGAATAAACAATTTCATCAAAATCAATAAAAATCTTTTCCCTCTCTAATCTTTAAATCCCTTCCCTCTGACATACCACCGGGCATCACTGAGACCTACACAGTGCGACGATCGGATAAAAACCAGACTATATCAACCAGTATGACCGAGATTGCCCCAAGGCCGTAACATACTGCGACGTTTGCTCATTTCCTCCAGAATACTGTGAATTCGGAGGCCAGTTCAGAAAATGCAGAGAATGGCTCAGCGAAAACCACAAGGAGATTTTTGAAAAGTTGTACAGTGATGCTGCTTTGGCCAATGCTACTCTGACATTGTCGATCGAGAAGGAGGAGAAGATCCACAAGGACTTGGAGAAGAAGCAGGCCAAGGAGGAGGCCAAGGCTGAGCGTGAGTTGAAGAAGAAACTTGCGTCCAAGGTGGTGATCAAGAGAATCGAGAGAAACAGAAGAAAGCACGTCATCTCCATCGGCGGTTTGGAGGTTTTCAATATCGATATGAAGAAGTTGTCCAAGACTTTTGCACAGAAATTTGCAACAGGTGCTTCTGTGGTGAAAAACGCCGAAAAGAAGGATGAGATTGTCGTTCAGGGAGACGTCAGTGACGAGGCCAGGGCGTACATCGAGAAGTTGTTGGAAGAGAAGGGCTTGGATGAGGTCAAGGTGGAGCAGATTGACGATAAGAAGAAGAAAAAGAGGGAGGAGGCTGCTGCCGCCGCTGCTGCTGCGGGCAAGAACTAGTCATGATGAACCGTGTAATGCAACTAGTATGTAAATGATAGAACAGCGAGCTCAGCGAGCGCTTGTGTTTTTAATGAATCTTTCGTAAATCAATAGCACTGCATTGATTAGTCGTACTTCTCCTTGGTGGCCCAGGAGACGCCGTATTCGTGGAAGTCTGGCCGCTGGAGAAGTATACGGTAGAGGTGCGCCACACGCCTCTTGGTGTTGAACTTGTTCGTTTTGGACCGCTTGCCAATGTGTTTGTGCTCCTTGATCTTGTTACCAATGCCGTAGCCGTTTGTGAGTCCCAAGATGGCGAGGTTTCCACTCTCTAGATCGTGAGTGAGCTGGCAATTAAGTTCCCATAGCGTCACCGCCACATCGTGGTTCTGGACGTGCTGGTAGTACTCACCCAAATTGTGAAGACTCAAGGCGAGTGCATTGTTAGTGTCCTTGTTGAGGAAGCGTTTGAGAAGCAATTGGTCCAGGGTTGAGAACTTCTCCACCGCCGGCTCCAACACCGGTCTCAACTTGCGAAGCGCCATAGCCAAACGGGCCGCCTTCCTGAAGTAGTTGAGGATAAGTGCGTTGTCGTAATTGTTCGTCAAATCACTCTTGTTGTATGTGAGCAACCAGTTACCGAACATGGCAATGGCAAGCGGGACACAGAGCCCATCGGAGCGATTGGCGTCACGAATGAGCTTATCGTAGAGCTCTGGTCGTTGGGCATTAGCTTTGGACTCTGCGTAAAGGTCCAAGACGTGGTTGAAGTCATGGATGGCTGGAAGCACATCTCTCAAGAGCTCTTCTGGAACAAACAGCTCAGCGTTGTGAAACTTGTTCAAGTTGGAGAACTTGACCTCGCCGAGCTCAAAGGAGCTCTCTAATACGAATCGTAGAAGCTCCCCGTGACTGGGCAATATCTGCAGAAGCGTGTCGCCGAACAAGAAGACCTCACACGCATCTGCCCAAGCCACATCTAGCGACTCGTTAGGTTTATAATCGTAGAACTCTTCCCTAAGACGACCGCAAGTATGACGAAAAAATAAGGTGTTGTCATCCTGTTCAACAGGCTCAGGCTTCTCTTGCCTGAACAACCCCCGTAGCTTCAGTAGCTTTCCCCTGCTCTTGGTTTCGTACTGGTTCAACTTTAGCTTCACGCTTTCTAGATCAGTGTCGTCGGAGACGTTAGACACCAGCGAGTATAAGGAGTTGAAATCAGACGTGTCGGAGTAGGATGAGACCCTGTTGTTGGACTTACCCGTCTCGGCAGGTCCGTCGGGCGGCACTATGGATATTTCCGGAACCGCCGCGGCCGCCACAAGGTCCTCACTGCTTCCCTTGAGATAGGAACTCAAAATGGAGTTGGAATAATACAGCGAACCTTCCATACTGGCTCTAAACTAAGGCGCGGTTGAAAGATGATGGAGGTTGAAATCGGGGCAGGAACGCGGCTCGGATACAGTTGCAAAAAGCCGACAAGCCTGAAGCGGATGCAGATACGGAGCACGGAATGGCGGGGCGTGAAATGGGACCACAATTTGAAAATCAACCATTGATTAGGCTTAAAACGTTGCTAGGCCTCTCTAAAGTTTAAATTGAGTTTATGCTCCGAGACGTCTATTGTCAAGTGGCTTGTTTTCCACCAGGTGACAGGGCTCTGTTCGCTGTTTGGCCCAGTTTTGCGCTAGATGCCTTCTGCAATTATGTATACATGAAAAATAGGCGTATTTCACATTTTCCGTGCTAGATTTAGGCTCGGTGGATCCCCCACTCTTCTATGAAAGTAATTTCGAGATGGAGGGCACCTTGTCGCCCTGTAGAACCGGCGATGTAGCAGAAGACAGCGAAGCCAGCTGTGCCTTCGAATGAGCATGAGATGTATTAGCAGAAGCGTTTGTTGATTGGGCAGTCGAAGGCACCGCTGAAGCGCCAGATTGAATTTCTGGAAGCTTCACTGGCTCGCTTGGAACCTCGTTTTTGACAGGATTGGCAGACAGAAACCTTGCTGGATCAGAGAGAACAGGCTGTTGCGGCTCTGGCATGTTTTGAAACATTTGCGGCAGACTTAGGTCCGTATAGCTCTTGGCATGCTGAATATCTGTAAAGGAGTGGTTTTTTGTAGGCGGCAGGTTTGACAAGGAAACGGTTCCTGGGTATGCCACACCCCTATCGTCTTGGTACATCACCGGTGCAGGTGGGCCTACCTGAACAGGCGAAAAAGCTACTGGTCCAACGGGACTTGGTCCGGCTGGCGGAAGTCCTATTGGTTGAAACAGAACCAAAGGTCCATACGGTGATTGTATAACGGTAGCAGTGGTTCCTGGAGGCGGCTGCTGAGGAAGAACCTGCGGCAGCATGGGTCCAGGCTCTGCTTTGGGGACAACATGGTAAGGCACAAAGGCTGGATACTGGTTTGGTGCCACAGGCACTGCCGTCATTGGCTGAGGCGGGAGTTGAGGAATAGGATTGGGGTGGACACTGAGCACCTCTTTCTTTTCGTCCTTCTTGTCCTTGGCGCCATCCTGGCGAAGGTTCTGGTTATACTGGGCCATTCTAAGTGCATTTCTGGCTGGAGCATCCAAATTTAAATAAGCACAGTGCAACTTGCCCTTGACGCAGTTGAAGCACTGGGGGAGGTTTTCATCACACTTGATTCGCCTCTTCTTGCAGGTTCCGCAACCCAAGTGGGAATTGCGGTGTTTTCGCCTGGACGACTTCCGTTTGCGGTACTCTTCACCCTCGTCGTTTTTGTCGTTGTCGGTCTTTTCGTTGTCATCAAGCTTGTCGTCGCTTTTCAGGTCAGAACTGTTTTCTGTCCTTGCTTCCGCTTTTTCCACTTGCGGCAGCTCTTCGCCCGCCACGTCTCTTCGAGGCGGTAACGGGTTTTTTAGGGCCTGGTTGAACACGTCCATCTGAATAAAAGATGATGTAGTCGCAGCGGAAAAACACTATCTCTCCCATGGTTAGTGGCAGACGCCATGCAGGCTGCAGGATATACGAGAAGCCACCGCCTAGGGATGATAAGATTCCGGGATTATTTTTGGTAGGGAGGGGTGTCTTTGTGCTTTTCCAACCTGGAATAAGCACTTTTTGACACATGGTGGCTTTTGTGCCTGGAAACAGAGCGTTTGTGTCTGTTGACCCCACACCGAAGTTTGTTTAGCATGAATCCGGATGTGCCGAGACTCGCTTCTTTTTAGCAAAGGCGCCACCCCAACCACACAACATAACGTTTGAAAATACCAAAAAGCATCCAATGAAAGCAACCGACCCATTTGCTAAGCATTTTCTGGATCCCCTACGGATGATTACATGAGGCCTCGGCTTCTCGGCTTCTTGCCTGCAGCTGTCTCGTAAAAGACGCACCAGCCATGCACTTTGACAGGTATCCGTTTTCAGGAGTGCCGGGATATTTTTAAGCAGGGAGGTTCGAGATTGGTGATTTTCCGTGGTGTAAGCGCCACTATGGTACGGATCAAGCCGAGAAACCGTGTTTGCTGTGTTTTGGGCGGGCCTACTGCGAAGACGCATGTGTTGTGGTTTACGATGCAGAGAAGCCTTTTGCAGCCACCTTCTAGGTCGGTCTTCCATAATCGACCATTTCAAAAAGGGTCTTTTTGCTTGACTTTGGCGTTGACTTTGGCGTTGACGAAGCCCTCATATTCCAGTGTTCACGGCGCCTTTTTCGGCTTCTTGGCGCCTCGAGCTGGGCCATTGTTTAGCCCTGCTTGCTATCACCAGGATCGGGCTCCTTGGGCAAATACAGCTCATCAAAGGATCCCATTCTCCGTTCCCACCATTTCTTACGGTGCTCGGATTTACTCACCTCTTCCATAAGCATCTGCTCTTCGGGCTCCTCTTCGTCGTTTTCTTTGTTGTCCATAGCCACCGAGAATCCCTCACCCTTGCGCAAAATCTCAAACCTTTGTCCATGCACCAAGTCCTTCATAACAAGCTCCCTGGTTCTTCCAAGCGACTCGATTGCATCGACTCTCTCCGAGGTATTTTCGAGCAATTCGTCGAAATACGGCTGGGATGCGATTTCGTGGAATGCCCTCATCATAGGTACAGAGTCTGCTCTCACTCTCAGATCAGAGTCCACGGTGAAGATATTGAGATTGTCGTACTGCTGGATGAAATCGGGCCTAGTCATGATTTGACGAGCTCTCCATAACGGAAGTTCAGGCAAATGGTGGTTGTGTCTGAAACAAGGATCGCCTTTGGACTGGATCAAGGTGTTCATTCTCTGGCGGTCCATCTCCACAAACGCTCTCATGAGAAACATGGCGCTCGTAGCGAATTTGCCAAATTCCATCACATCATCATCCATCTCTTCCCCAAGAAGCCCGCACTGATTAAGAAACCATGTCTTTTCTCGGTCTATGATCTCATGACAAGCCAGGATCACGTCCTTGTGCCTGGCAACCTGACTGATATGCTGAGGTCTTCCGCCAATCAAATCGTAGATCTTATTGCAGGCGGCATTGTCGAGCTTGTAGTCGGGAAATTTCGAGATGGGCCAAAACTTTCCTCTGATGAATTGAAGCACCTTGACGGTTTCGTCGCGGTTGAAGTCTCTGACATTGATCAATTCAAGTCTGGTGCCCAACCGCTTGAGCTTCTCGTAAACCCAGTAGTCATCAGAATTGAATATCATCGTCACAAGCTCACTGCCACTGAGTCCTTCTGCTTTTTGCTGAAGAAGCTCCAACAACTTAACGCCCTCCTCGTTCTCCTTGATCAAATGCAGATTGTTGATGATCATGATCAACGGCTTATCGCTTTTACCCAGTATTCGTCTCTCTATAGCAAGCGTTTCAAGCTTGTTGAACGCTCTCTCTATGTCCAAGAGCGCCGTTGTGTCTCGAGGTCCCCTCATACTAAACAATGAGCCAATGTAGTCTTCCGAATAGGCAAAGTTGAGTGCCCTACCTAGACGAATACGGAAGATCTCTGGATCGGCATGGGCGTCGAAAATGGCAACATTTCGGCCGTCTATCTTCTTCATCGCCTCCATAATCAAAGTCGTCTTTCCTGTGCCCTTCTCGCCTACAACCAAGAAGTACCGTCCTCTGATTTTGCCCGATACGATATCGTCAAGCAATTTCTGCTGAGGCCTGTTCACCCAAAATGCAGATAGATCGTCGCTGCTTTCGTCGTCGTCGGATTCTGGCCGTTTATTAGTCTTCTTGTGAACCGCGAGCTGGTAAGCTGGGTCTCCACTTTCAAAAGCGGTACCCATTTTCTCCAAAACCTGGTGGTTGTAGATCTGGTGGTACATGTAGCCGGAAAGGGCGAGGATTCCAACCGAACTGAGCGTGATGCCAATTGTCTCGAGGCATTTAAAGAGGAAGCGGCCTAGTTTTTCAAGACTTTCACGAAAGCTTGACTTTGGCTCTTCTTCCTCTAGCTTCTCATCAATCTTCTCGTCCTCTTCCTCTTCCTCCTTTTTCTTCTTTTCTTCATCTTCGTCTCTATCCTTGTCTTTATCGTTGTTGTTGTTGTTGTTATTGTTAGGAGGACCTCCATAACCACCTCCAGCTTGAAGCTCTGTCCAACCGAGACCTTGCACCTCAGTGGTGATATCCTTCGTTACCGTAGGCTCCTGCTTGCTCTTCTCCTCTTCATTCTTCTCCTTTTCATTCTTGTACTTTTTCACGATCTTCTTCTGCTGTTGTATCAATCTTTTCTTATCTTTCGTAAGCGTCTTGTTTTCTTCGTCTAGGTCCTCGTCCTTGACTTCCTCTAGAACGTCAAATGGCAACAATGGATTGATAATCCGAACAGGCACACTCGGATGAAAGGATCGGCGAAGTAGCGGCCTTCTTGCATTGAGTTTTAGGGCGGACCTAAACATCACCTTATTTATCATGGAAGACTAATGGAGGCACAATCTACTGTTCGCTGCATGTTCGGTGCAGGGCATGCACCTCGACATCCTGATAAGCCTAAGTGTATATAAGTCTATAAAGGGCCTGCCTGTCTTAGGATAAATCGAAACCGGAGTCGACATTGATGGCGTAGAGGAGTTTCTCCCTCACTAGTTTTTTGTCTTGGTAGTCTGGAAGCTTGAGAAGATTTACGCATGTAGACGCGGTCGGAAGCCTATCGGGGTACCGTCCACTATTGCGAATGCCGAATCTGGGTGTCAAAGAGCCAAATCCGAGAAGTGGTGCTTTGGAAACAGAAGTGACAAATTTGATGAGACGTCCACGCTCCTTGGAATCCATTTCCTCGACGACCTCCCAGAAATACTTCACCGTGATATCGTCATCAAAGTACCCACCATAGCTGACATTGTTCTTCCAGTCCTCGAGATTCACTGTATTTTCTCCTCCGCTGATCAACATTTGTAACTCGTAGGGATCGAACATGTTAAGCCACTTGCGGTCGATGATTCTGTGAAGACCTTCCAAGAAGTGCTTCGAAGGGAGATATAGACACTGGTTTAGTTTGAAGTTGGCCACCTCGTGAATGTAGTTGAGTCGGTTGGTGGTTGTGACACTGACCGACTCTCCATGTGGAGGTTGTAGATCAAAACGCACAACCTTGCCCTGAACAACCTCGTTGATGGTGAAATTCAAATCCAATGCCTTGATCTCGCTCTCGCTCATCTCAAGCAACTTCATGAGGTTGTGGTAGAGCTCGGTGTCGAGATACTGGAGATCATTGACAGAGTTCTTAGATGCACTGAGGGCGGTCGTCCACTTGGTAAGGAAGAAAGGTGCAAACTCGATGTCTATCAACACATTCTCGTAGAAGCACTTTCCGATCGTCATACCGAGGAATTGAATGTAAAGTAGCCTTTCTTGTTGCCGCTTCAAGTCAAGCTTTTCATGCACGCTCATGTAGATGTCGTCGTTTGGGTAGAGCTCGTAGTTTGAGGGAGTCTCCTTGAACAAAGCCTGCTTCAGATTTGGGTCAAAACCTTCCATGGCCACAGAGGTCAAAAACTCTTTGGTTATACCGCCTCCGTCGATACCAGCCTCTGGGCCGTGTTCACTGTGAAATGTGACCGAGATCTTCTCCTTGAACTTGTGCCCCAAATGATAGAAGTTTTTGAATGCGTCCTCGAGAACAGACCCTCTTGAGATGTCTGCTTCATATCGCAGTGGTTGGTTCTCCATGAAGAATCCGAACGTGCTGCTCGTTGCCAAGCTCTGACGATCACTCTCGATAATGCTCTGAAACACTTTCACACGGTCCTTGAAGTCGATGAAATACGAAACCTTATCCAAAACTTCCAACTTGGCAATTGCATCGTTAGTACGTTTGGACCGAACGGGAGCTGCGTGCTCAGAATCCGAATCATAGTCTTCTTCATGAGTTTCGTTCTTTTGGTCGTCAAGGACAAGCACAATCATACCGTCAATGTCAAAATTGAGATTCTTGAGTTTCCAGAGATCATCTGGAAGAAACTTGATGCGTAGGTTCTTGAAATATATCAGATTGAGCAAACTTAACGAGGATGCCTTGAGCTTCGAAAGGTCACCGAAAACCTTTGCTGGGTCTGGCTTGTTGGTATTGAAGATAAGCGTGAGCGACAAGATCTTCAAGAATTTTGAAAGCACAACAGCTTCACTCTTGGAAATCTTGTCCTCGCTGAAAGACTCCAAGTCGTTGCTCACAAAAAGCCAGTATGACATGATCTCTTGGAATGTGTATAGCGTGTTCCAGAACATACTATTGCTGAGCAAGTCTCGGGACTGCTCGATATCGTCTCCCAGAAGGTAGTCCTTAGTCGCCTCAGCCTGTGAGAAATGCTGAAAGATGGGATCTCTTCTAAGCTCTTGGAAGAATCGCTTATGGGATCCTGGAGTAATGGTAATGAGCATGCATAGCTTTGTTGGTGGCTGTACGAGATGCATTAATGTAGCGATTGTTTGCATGGCAACGTTGGCGTCAAAGCCTCCCACATCCACACTAACAAGCTGGTTCATAACAAGGGATACGTAGTTGGATGTGTAGAGCTCGAGAATGGAGTCCATCGTTTCTCTGGAAATAAGCGTGTGCTTTTGTGTACGGTCAAACTCGTCTTCGTCTGGTTCCTCTGTAGTCAAAGATATTGTGGCCATAGTGGAGAGGATTTTTGCATGGACCTGGTACCCTTCTGGCAGAAGGACATTTTGGCCCTGAAGCTTGATAGTGTTTGCCAAGAGAGTAATCTTATCGTGGTTTGAAAGCCCCTGGAGGACAGAGGGGTCTGTGGCCAACACAGCCGAGCAGCTAACCAGAGCTAACTCGGGATCTGAGGATGTGGGATGGAAGCCAGCAAGAGACGAAAGGAATTGGCCATCCGGGTCAGCGGAATTGACGAGGAATATGCATTTTGTAGCAGTGGTTGTTCCCACAGCCTGGAGTTTTCGAATGATCCCTCTCACGGCCTCGGAAGGACCACTAGACCCATACTCAAGAAGCAACTTGTACAAGTCTTCCGCAAGCTGTTCTCTCACTTTCTCTCTCGAAAGCAAACGATTGATCAGCGCATACGTGGCACGAACGCTTCTTTCATTCAATTGGCCTCTCAGACCCTGTACTAGCCTCAGTAACACCTGGTCGACTGGAGCGTCCCTGGAGCAGAATCTCGAGTATAGACCAAACTCAAAAGCGTAACGTTGCCAATTGCCGTTATCTTGCCACTCCTTGACGAAATTCTCCAGGATCGTGTGGAGCTCTTGCCACCTTCTGATGTACCGCTGGATCAAAGCAGCACTGCGTTCTCTGTTTCTCTGATCTTCTCGCTGCTGCCGCTGTAGCTTGGTTTGTTCTAGAAAGTTCCGTCCCCGAGGAGGAGCACGGCGGTCGCCTAGATTGACCGTTCTTTTCTTCGTTTGTCCAGTGAAGTTAAGCATGAAGTGGTTGGTAATCAGTTGTAGCTTTATGTGGAGGACCGAGCCACCCGGGGAGAATCGGTGGTGATATTGTACAAAAGTGAAGGGAAGGATATGGTACGACAAATTAAAGAGGCTGATTTTTGGAAATGGATTGTCTTTTATGGCTTAACAAAATATGTTGATGAATCGTGACAAGTATGTTGAGAGGGTACTCGACCAGTGCATCAATCAGCATAACAACATCCAGCGTAATGGACTCTAAGATCCCCTGAGAAGACTAGATTAGCTTTTTTTCAATCACTCTTGTAAGTAAAGTAGGACTTTCACCTTCTACTCTCATGTCTGTTTGTGGATGTTCTATGCTTGAGTCTCGCAACCACTTGTACCTCACCTACAATCTCCAAAGTTCCACTGACCACGATGGTGCTCATCATGCTTCGTGACGGGGAATATGCTCTTCGAACTACAGTCACATGGATACTGCAAGAACCAGATGTGACGTTCGCTGTTCAAGTTGAATCCGTCTTCATCCCCCCACCAGATCCCCAAAGTTGAAGTAGCTCAACTGAGGGTTTGAACTAGCGAAAAGCGTATTTAAATAGTCAATCATTTTTGGAGCTTTTCAACGAATTATAGCTTGTTGCACCCTGGCAAAAATTGACTATAAAAGCAGGGGTCAGATCCTCGCACTCTCTTTTTGCAGCCATTAACTACTTATCATGAAAGCCATTTCCCGTATAAAGCTCTATAAACAGAGGAAAGTGTGTTCATTTGCAACATCTAATTCTCTCTTAGCATTCCCCAAAAAGCCCAGAAAGCGTCAGTCGTCTTCCCCTTCAAACTCTTCCCTTTCAAAACACAACACAAGATCAAAAGGCACGGTTCGTGTTCAGAAGGGTTCAAGGAAACAGCCGAACAACCAGCTTGAGCCAAATTATCCTTACCAAGACGGGCCAGACCTCAATCGTCGCAAGGTTTTGGCTTACCTGGCCTCTATCTTCAGCGCTGGTCTCTTGGCATGCTTTGTATACCCTGAGAGCGCTGTCTACAAGGAAATCACGGGTGTGTCTTTCTTTGTATTACTTATTATCTGTATACTCTAATTTCTGAGAAGCTCTAAAAGGCGACCAACGGATTCGACATAGTACAGGGGCACTAGCGACTCATCCTTCATGTCTAACAGATCTAACTCCTCCTGAGAGGTCCCTCCACTGAGAACAAGCAAGGACCCACCAGCGTCGCCTCCAAGCTTGCCGTCATTACCGAATTTGACGTCAGTGTAGAGAGTGTCTCCGAACATCAATGTCTTCTTGCGGTCAAACAGGCAGTATTCGAGAATGTTATCAAGAAGAAGGGGACTTGGTTTGCCGACATCAATAAAGTCTCTGCTCGAGGTGAAGCTCATGTAGTTCACGAACGAGCCACCGGCTGGCAAGGTGGTGCCAAAGGGACCGGGGTAGGTCTTGTCGATGTTGGTACCAATGAACGGAATAGATCTGTTCTTGTGCAAAAGGTACTGCAATGTTGTAGCAACACGCATATAATTTAACTTCTTGGTGGAACCGATCACCACCGCCTTGACATCCTCGTCAACCTTGAGCAACCGGTGCGCAGGGTCCCATTCCTCGTCAAGCGCCTCGTCATTACCACCTAATGGCACGTATCCAGCTTCCTTGAGTTCGTGCTCGATTCCCTCGTCTCCGAGAACCCACACTTTAGATCCCTCAGGAATCTTGAGATCCCTTTTGAGAATAAGCGCTGCAGCATAGCACGATGGGAAGATGATCTCCTTTGTCACATCTGGGAATCCCAACTTCTCAAACTTCTTCTTGTAAGTGTCTCTCGAAACCGACGAATTATTGGTGACAAAGGCGTAAGTCTTCTTCTTTTCCTTGAGGAGCTCTACAAACTCCGACGCTCCGGGAATTTTGTCAGGACCAAGCCAAATGACTCCATCGCAGTCAAACAAGAAATGATCAAACTGCTCAAGAAGCTGGAGTACTTCTTCCTTGGAGGTGACCTTTTGTGGTGCAGCTTGTCTAGTCATTGATAAGGAACAAGTGATAACCTCTAAATTATCACCTGCGCGAAAGAGTCAGACCTATACCTCAAGGTTGGGCTTTCCCAATAATGCAGTGAATCTTGTGAAGGTCAGTGCCTCGAGAATTTGCCAAAGCGTAGAAGTGGCAATTTCAATGTCATTCATGCGAACCAGAGTTTCAAAGCGTTTGACAAGGTCATTTGTGTGGCTCACCATACCCCAGATTTTGCACTTTGCAGCCACCACCGAGCGAACAGAATGGAAGGAATCGGGCTTCTTTGATGCTTCAATAAACTCCAAGTTGTCCACGGCGTGCTGAGCCGAAGAGAACTCCCGTATTACAGTCTTCACAAGCTCAGTGAAGTCATCAAGCTCAGGAAGAATGAACTTCTGGCAGTTGCTAGGGGACTCAAGGCCCAGTTGGGCATGATACCATTTCAAGGGGACAATTTTGAGGGCCTCGCTATAAGTTTCATGGATCAGCTCTAGCGTTTCAAAGAGTTGAACATCCTCATTGACGCCACACTTCAGTAGATCTAGCTTTCGAGTGTATTCTTCCAAACATTTCACAAGCTTTGGGTCTGTATGATTCGGGCCCTTATGGGTTATCGACGCTGTTGACATGCTGGCGTTGCTCTTGACCTCAACCAAGTAAGATAACAAAACAACATTGAAAAGCACCAAAGTGCCGATGAAACTGAAAAATAGGAATCGTCCAAAATACGGGCGGCTTGGAGGAGGTACTCTTTCCACAGTGTAGCTCCTCATATTGTGAATTTGTAACTAGGTCGAAGAGGATCTGGTGGATATATTTTCGTGACTACTGGGGTGAGACAGCCTTATCTAAGGGTGCAGGAGACACGATAAGTCCACTTTATAGTAACACAACAGGGGCATCAAAGACGCGATTTTTACAGAAGAAGCTCAATAAAATGATTGGCTTGTTGTTAGAAGATCGTGAAAGAATTTACATTCAGCGTTGGCGGGCTTTCTGCATGTTGGCAAAACAGCGACCTACGTGACAATTCAAATTTCACAATGTGCACTTGAATGTAACGAGAGTTTCATTGATTCACAAGATTTACTATGTATCTGAGGAATCTATCGTGCCCTGGTTCGTCTAAATCTGATTTGTTGAGTTCCTTCGAGATCCATTTCGCAGCCAACAAGAACAGCTAGGTTCACACAGATAATGATATTGTCTCGGACAATCTCAAACAAATAGGAGTAACTTTTATCATCGCTTCGAAAAACGTTCTTCGAGTGTCATTCAAAATTGGGCTTAACGTACCTCCATTCGGACCATCCACCATTTACTATGGAGATGCGCACCCTCATCGGAAATTTCAATCCAGTGGTACCTTCACCTCCAACCAACCACCAAACCAAACGCTCAAGATCACAATTCCTATATTCATCAATATGTCAGCGGGTTCAACGAACACATCCACACAACCTGAACAAAAGGATCTAGATCAGGAAAATGTTACAGCAGGCGTAGCCGAGCTTAGTGTGAAGCCTAAGAAGAAACAACGAAAGGAACAAACTGAGGAGGAGTTTGAAGCACAAAAGGCACAATTTGCCGCCACAGGGCCCCAGATAAATACACAAGACTGGCTTTTTGACCAGGCCCTTCTAGACAAGCTAGACAATCTGAAAAAGACCGACAGGGTCCACATGCTCCATGCTTGTGAAAGAGCGTACTACCTCAGGGACTATTCGAAGTGCATGGAGCTCATAGGCCAAGCCGAGAAGCTTTTCGGTGTGGAGCTTGAGGATTCATCAAAGAACGAAGATATCAAACTGGACTTCGCTGATGCTGGCAAGAAGACCAAAAAGTCACTGAAGGTGGAGCGCCACGTCGTCGACCTTTTGCATATCAAGGAGGCTTGTCGAAGGAAGCAACAAGAAGCTTCAAAATAGAGGCTGTCTCAAAAACCCCAGCATCATAGCATATCATCAATAGCATACAATCACAACTTGTTGAAGGGCTATTAAGTGCCCCTCTTGAGCCAAATTTTGATATCCACGTAGCTCGTCAGCCTCTTCTTGAACGTAGCCTCTTCGTCGTCGCTGTCTTTGGTAGAATACTCCAGAGCTTGCCTGAGTTCATCAAGCACCTCTACTGTACCCGTCTTCACGTCCACCTTATACTGTTTCTTTGTTTGGAAGTGCAAAGCAATAGAAACCGCTGTATTGATTGCCTTTCCCATGCCTTTGACCGTGATATATCTCACCTTCTTGTATTCTCCAGTTGGTACTTCTTATGTCCCACACCAGATGTATCGAACTTCTCGAGCATCTTGTCGATTCGCTTCACCGCCAGCATGTAAGGTGTAGAGCCCTTGACAAGGAATGTCGTATCAAGGGCTGTCTTGTTGCGGAGCTTCGTTCCAGGGTTGTGTTTGATGAGCTTTGGTTCCATGGAGTAGTTGGCGATGCGATGAGATTGAGGTCTATTTGAGGTGAGGAAATTTGGAATTGAAGACTTTGATTTTGATTCGAGGCACTAGTCAGTTGAAATGGTGGGGGCAAAACTGACAAAAGTGTTGGATTCAATTTTTCGTGGTTTTGGGTATGTGTGTTGTTTTGGAAAATGGCTGCGAAAGAGTTGCCTGCTTATTTTCAGGTATGAGAGAAGTAATTACCTTTATGTCACGAACATGCCTGTCATATATTCACTTTAATAAAACTTCAATTGTTTTTGTAAAAAGGTAAGTCTATCTTACCGTGATCCTTAATTAATTTATAATTTATCATTCTTTGTTTTGGTTTCAATTGTCACTTAGTACCTCTTCAAAAGTACTCAGATTCGGATAAGATTCACAGCGATTCACCTATAATTCAAAGCAAAATTCAAGCTACACATATAAAAGCAATACGATATCTGCGCATTTAAAAACCTTACGAGCCAATTGTCAATAGATAGAATAACAAAATTAATAAATCACCAAATCAAGGTCCTATTCCCTAACGACGCCTCTCCTACATCGCGTTTTGGCGCGTTTCTCATCTACGCTTCAGAACCACCAATACTACCATCTTCAAAACATGTCATCCCCTCTATCAGATTGCTCAACGGTATCACGAAAACGCTCCAGAGATGAGTTTGACTTTTCTTCGCCAATCAAAAAGACACAGACCCACCAGATCCACACTGAAGCTCACATCCACACAGTCAATAGCCTAATGGAAGCACTGAGGCGACAGAGAGAGTTCCCCAAAGTCGAGGAGGAAGAACAGGTGGAAGAAGAGATTTCCAATTACCAACAAAGACCATTTTGGCCAGCTCTCCAGACAGTCAAACGAACAACATGAACAAAGAACATAGAAGGAAAGGTTTCCTCGAATCACCTACAACCTAACGATAATACACGTCAGAACCAGTCATTTTCCTGATTGCTTGTCCTGCCTTATTACATATCCTGGGAGCATTGCTCCGATCTATAAAGATGAACCAGAGGTCCATGTGCAACCATTGATCGGCTGTATAGCTTGCTAGGAACGGGGCAGTAGAACCCCTGAGTATCCTGATGTGAAGTTTCCTGTGGAGCCCCAGACCCGGGGACTCCCCGGAGCCTGGCCTGCTCAGGCTCTGGCCTTTCTCTTGGCCTTCAACAACACCTTCTGTTTCTGCTGCTCAGCCTCAGAGTCGGACTCCTCCTCGGACTCGACCTCCATCATGTCCTCGTCTTCGTCCTCGGACTCGACCTCCTCCAGCTCGGCGGCTGCCTCCTTGGCGGCCTTCTTCTCGGCCTTTCTGCGCAACTCGACCTCTCTCATTCTCAACAACTCAGGGTTCTCCTCCACCAACTTACGGTCAAGAGCCATCTGGCGCTCCTTGTTGCCACGCATACGGTTCTTGTAGAAGGCACGCTCACGCTTCTGTCTGATCTCCTCGATTCTAGACATGGCCTTCAAGGTGGTGGCCACCAACTCACGGTTGTATCTGACGGGGACGTTTCTTCTCAGAGCGAACGTCAACGTCGAGTCGACGACCAACTCCTTACCGGCAGCCTTTCTAAAGGCCTTGGTCCATCTCAACTTTCTAGGGTTTCTTCTCTGCTTGAAGGCCTTGTGGCACTTGGCTCTGCAGAATCTGAACTCCTTGGCGTCGTTTCTAACGAACATGATACCTTTGCTCGGGTAGACCGGCGACAGGCAGAAATGACAGGAGTAGACTCTCATGGTTTATGCAAATGTGGTAAATTGGCCCGGGGGCTGATGCTATGTAGTGAAGATGGATCCGAGATGAGATGCGAAGAGGTGGAAAAAAATCTACCCTAGTTATCGCGGTGCACGGGTGCGTCCCCACCATCTAACATACCGATGCAAACCCCAGGGACCCTAGAACTACGATGAAGGCGAATCGACGAAAACGTCGAGATCTCTTTGCAATTTCCACGAATCATTCTGTGGACTGCTCATTTCACATCTGTATCACTGTGCCAGGTGTTGTCGACTATCGTTGCAGATGCTCCTACTAAAGCTGACTCACGAACCAGTTGAGCAGTCATCGCATCAAATTGGCTCTAAAATAATCAAGCTTCAGACTTTTCATCGGCCTGGCCCCACTGATCTCCAGATTTGCACGAGTTTCTGGAAAATTCAAATCGTGTCACGTGCGCGAAATCAACATTGAGAAGGCGAAGATTTTCACCACTTGTACCCCATAACCATGAACGCCTCCAATCTACAACCGCCACCAGACCAGCAGCAGCAACACCCACAACAGGTCTACCAACAACCTACATATACCGGTCAGTTGCAGAAAAAGAAAGCCCCTGAGGGCTCTGCTGAGTGGTACTTTGACCAAACATGCGACTGGATGGGTAACCACCCATGGCTCACAGGCCTCGGAGCCTTCGGTTTGGCCTACGTTGCCGCCGGCATGTTCAAGTCTAACCAGCCAGGCTTGAACGGTAAGGCTTTTATCAAGGGTTCCTTTGGCCCCAAGATGTCTGCCAAGGAGGCTCTACAGATTTTGAACTTGAAGGAAACTAACTTGTCCAAGGCCAAGTTGAAGGAGCAGCATAGAAAATTGATGATGGCCAACCATCCAGATAAGGGTGGCTCTGCCTTCTTGGCCACCAAGGTGAACGAGGCGAAAGACTTCTTGGAAAAGAGAGGCGGCATGAAGGACAAATAAACAAGCTTGTAAATATGCATCGATAGAGTGTCGGCTTCGGCTGGCTTACTGGAATAAAAGACGAAACGAAAGGGAGTGTAGGCAGATGGTTTTTGAACTAACAAATGCACGAAACCGAGCTGGTAAAACACAAGATGGGGAAGACTCCATAAGGTTGAAAAGTAGATTCTGATTCTTTCTTTGGATGCCAATGAAGTGATACGTGTTTCGAAACATCTTTTCTGGTGCCAGGACTCACATTGTAGTATGAAATGCGTGAAATTTAGACAGTTTCTAAATTTGGAACTAATGTGGCAAGTGGTGGATATTCGATACTGAAAGACAGATAATACACATCGGAAAAAAGCAAGAGTATCATCTTGAGTCGATTTTGCAATTCCACAGAAGTACCGCTTAACGGTGTAATCTGGGCAATCATCGGCTATTTCGGGTATGCGGTAAGACATCCAGCTTTCTTCAGCTAGTTCAGTGACTTTTGCATTTTATCGCTATCATCATATCTCCGTGCCCGTAAAACTTTCTCCTTATAACTCAAATTTCAGTCTCCCACCTTGTGAGACAATTCCAGGTAGCAGCTTCTCAAATAGGCGTAGCGCCAAAACATCCTCCAATGAGGCTCAATATAGGGGTTTGAGCCGCTCGACCAAAACATGGTGCCATCACAAGCCAGAAAAGAGTTCAATCAGCTCGATGGCCCAATGGAAGAAATAAGTGAAAAATTCTGATCCGGCCATTCCACAGCTCCATTCCCATACCCATACATTCGACCGCAATGGTTGCGAAATCAGCAACCGACATCGGCGACCGAAACACGGACGATAGGAATATTCGAATATATACAATTTAGCGTTTAGATAAGATAATTGAAAGATGAGGACGTATCTCTTAATTGCCCTGCCTTCCTCAATTGAGTATTCAGTTGCTCAGCCGAGTGAGACATTTGCACCCAGTGGTGGACAACCAACCACCCATACTTTGATTGAGGCCGGCTATTTTTTCTATCAAAACCCCTTTTCTTCTTCAAAATCTAATTCCACTTTCATTCCGTTTTGACCCCCTTCCGAACATATGTAAACATGGAAAGGCTCATGTCGACTACAGCCTGCGCGCAAGATAAACAGATCTAACAAAGTGTTCGTACCACCATGACAACTTACGAAAAGATCGTCAAGGGCGCCACCAAAATCAAGGTGGCGGCGCCGAAGCCCAAGTACATCGAGCCCATTCTCATGGCCACTTCTATGAACCACCACGTGCTGCTGGAGAACTTCAACACCATCATGAGAACTCTCCGTCAGAGGCTTCAGGACAGCTCTTGGTCTGTGGTGTACAAGGCGCTAATTGTGATCCACATTATGATCAGGGAGGGCGACGGCGATGTGACGTTGGATTATTTGGCCAACCAGGCCCCGGGCATGCTCAACTTGAGCCATTCCAACATCTCCCGAAACCAAGGTTCCAGCGATGTGCGCTTTATCATGAGGTACTCCCGGTACTTGCACACCAGGGTGAAGCTTTTCGGGGAGACAAAGGTGGACTATGTGAGGGATGAAAGAGTCAAGAACCTGACGGACCAGCAGGGCGGCCGTTTGCGCTCGTTGCCTGTGGAGAAGGGCTTGATCAGGGAGCTGGAGGGCTTGCAGAGGCAGATCGATGCGCTTTTGAAGAACAGTTTCATGGAGAACGAGGTGAAGAACGACGTCATCTTGACTGCGTTCCGCTTGTTGGTGAACGACCTTTTGGCCTTGTTTCAGGAGCTCAACGAGGGTGTCATCAACCTCTTGGAGCACTACTTTGAGATGTCCCGCTACGACGCTGAGAGGGCCTTGAAGGTGTACGTGAAGTTTGTGGACCAAACCAAGTATGTGATTGACTACCTCCGTGTGGCCAAGCACCTCGAGTACGCCACCGAATTGCATGTTCCTACTATCAAGCATGCCCCTACCGCTTTGACGTCGTCTTTGGAGGAGTACTTGAACGATCCTAATTTTGAGGAAAACAGACGTCGCTACATGCTCGAAAAGGGCCTGAAGGGCAAGGCCCCAGAGACTAATAGAGATACACCCGCCCAGGCACAGCCCCAAGCACAGCCCCAAGCACAACACCAGGCGCAACAACCACAGGCGCTTCAGGGCCAACCTCAACCACAACAAAACCAGCATATCAACGGCCAAGATGGGTTGCAGAGATCAGGCACTCTCTTGGTGCAACAATCGACTTACAACCCGTGGGGCGGCAGCGTAGCCAGCCCTCAGCCGTTCCAATTTGTTCAACAGGCCCAGGCTCAGCCTACGCAACCAACTCAAATTAATCCTGCTTTCACAGGTGCCGGGTTTGGTGGCTACGGTGCACAGCCTCAGGCCACTGGCACTAATCCGTTCTTACAAAACCAAACTGGCTTCAACGGGTTTCAGCAGCAGCCCACGCAGCAGTTCCAGCAACAACCAACTCAACAATTTCAACAGCAGCCCACGCAGCAATTCCAGCAGCAGCCTACGCAACAATTCCAACAAGCAGGAGCTCAGCAGCCTGGGTTCCAGCAACAAGGGTTCCAACAGACTGGTCAGTTCCAGCAACAACCCACGCAACAGTTCCAGCAGACAAACCAGTTTCAAGGCAGCCAGAGCCACTTATCGGCACAGCACACGAACAACCCATTCTCAAGCTTACCTACGACTCCTACCGGTCAGCCCCAACCTGTTGCTGTCAATTCCACCAACCCATTTGGAAACACCCGCTTTGCCAACTCTCGCACAACGCCCTACTCGTTCTCTCAGGATAGAGACAAGCGTGTGTCTGTGACGGCTACCGGCAGCAACCCATTCAAGGTGTCGCAGACAACCACCAGCGTCTTTGACAATGCAGAAAAGCAGAAACCTCAAGCTTTGCAAAGGCAGCCGACCGCAGGCGGGTTGGAACATTTGCCCACGATTGCGGCATTCCCAGAGACTCAGCAGGAGCAGACCAGAAACGCATACATTCTGAATGCTCAGACTAATTTGACGGCACAGACCACGGGCCAGATGCAGCAGTTCCAGCAGAACCAATTGCAACACCAGCCACAACATGCCCAGAATCAATACTTCCAGCAGCAGCTTCAGCAGCAACCATTTCAGCAGCAACAACAGCCGCAAGCGTTCTACAATGAGCCCAGCTTAATTTAAATTATTCTATATACGGCACTAAAAGTTCAATGCCACAGCAACAAGGACAAGCAAGCTCGAGAGACATGCAACGGCGCTGCCGTCGTGAGAACTCACCGTAGGAACACTAGATTCCAGGCTAGCAGCAGACTCAGACAGGGATGTGTTGGAGTTGGAGTCTGAGCCGGAGCCGGAACCGGATTCAGCGGAGGTGGTGGATGTCGTCAAAGTGGACGCAGCGGACTCTGAGCCAGCAGAGGTTGTTGGGTTTGAAGAAGTGGTTGGAGAGTTGGAAGCCACAGCCTTGGAGGACGATGACGCGGTCGAAGAGCTGGAGGTTGTGGAAACGGAAGACAGGCTCGAGGTGGAGCTGGGTGAAGTGGAGGAGCTCGAAGAGGCAGAAGTGGAGGAGCTTCCGTCGTCGTCGCCATCAGCACCTTCTCTTCCGTTGATCTCTCCGTTTACTGCCTTGATCGACTTCCACGAGCCAGAGCGGTCGGTGTACTCGTACTTGTCACCGGTGGAGTAATCGTCCACCAGCAACTTCTTGATGTGCATGGTGAAAGGCGCCTTCGAGTAGTCGGTCGAACCGCCGGCCCACTCGATAGTACCTTCCTCGTTGGTAGGATCACCGCCAGCCCAAATACCGGCCTTGATGTACAGCGGACTCTGAGGGAAACCCTGGCTGTTGTCGCTAGAAAGCGTTCTCACTGGGGTACCTTCCACATACCACACAATCTCGTCTTCCGTCCAGACGATGGTGTAGTTGAAGTAGTTCTCGTGAGGCAGGCCTGGGGTCAGGTGGTATTCGCCTCTGTCGTATGTGGTGGTGTCTCCCTTGGAGAAGTAGTTGGACTGGACCTGGGTATCGTCTCCGCCCAACAACTCGATATCGATTTCGTCCAAATCGTCAGACATTAAAAAGAAAGACAGCACAATGCCCTTGCCTGGAGCAGCCTTCATCAAAACCTCCACACGGCCAAACATGATGTAGAAGGTCAGTCTGATGCCTGGATTGTCACCCTTCTTTTTAAGCGTAAGTTCCAAGCCATCGTCAGTGTAAGAGACTCCTGAAGGGATGGCAACAACATCAAAATTGTCAGATTCCTCGTGAAAATCCTCCACGAGACTGGTGCCCAAGGCAGTAACTGGTGAGCATGACGATGAAAGAGGGTTGCAGTTACTGGACGCTGTGGCTGCCAAAACGGCTGCAAAGTGTGCGAGCAATGCTATGATGAAAAGCATTTTCTATGGTGTAGCGAGTGGTGAAAGGGTAGTTTTCCGAAATACAAAAGAACGAAATCGCTTGGCTTTATACACTTTTGAGGAGTCCATGTCATGTCTTATACCAAAGACACGGTTGGAAGGAGTCACTGTGTGGGCTGTGACGCGGACAAAAATAGATCTGTGCGCAGCTGCCGAGACCGCAATATCTGGGCTCACAGGGGTGCTACGGAAAGTCTAATTACATGGTTGAAATCGGAGACGCCGCTTTTGGGGCGAGATTTTTTTCCTGGCTGATTTTGCCCGAAATTACGTTTTTTTTGTAAAGCCGTCTACCCTGCTTCTCGCTTAAGGCGCGGTGTTCGCGTATTCACACAATAACCCGGATTTGGACTCGCAGGCAGCCATTGTAGGCTGCAGTGGCGGTCGTGAAAAGCTGTGCTTATAATGGAGGAAACGAGCCACGAAGGTATTGTTGAAGCTTTGGCGGGAAGAAATTATGTTTCGGTGTATTTTTGTGCTGGTGGGTACTAAACTTTGAGAGCTTGTGGTTACTACTTTGGGTGCAAATGGCGAATGTTAAAGCTAGATGGTGACTTCAAACGGCAATCACCAAACACCGGGCCGTAAAATGTTGCATAGGTATTCTTTTCCTTTGATGTTAACGATATTGCATATCGTTAGCCCGCCCGATTGGCCTCTTTTCTTGGTGTAATTGTATCGTACCATTCTGGCGTGGTTTACGACATTGTATGGTGGGGCTGTACACTACGGTAAAACGCTGGCTCTGGTGCCCGATAAGCTTTGGCCTCAAGGTGAAATTTGTGATTTTCAAAATTTCATAGAATTTTTGGTACTTTTGGAACCTGACGCATCCGTCGGATAATTGCTATCGGAAATACTGTGGAAGGTTCAGGTGGAGGCTCAGTGCAACAAGCCGAAAACCGCGTAGCTGAGCCTACTCGAATTTACACTTTTCGGAAGGTCTCGAACAGCCAGAAGGTTCGATAAGCATGTAATATATAACCTTTTGGGAAAATTCATATTTGCGAGGTTGATGTTTTGGAAAAATTTATACATTCCAGCAAGTGCCGTGTATTGGTGATTTGGCTATGGATTGATGGAAAACGGTGATAACATTAGCTGCAGAAAGGTGCATCCCACCAGAATTTCCACTACCACTAAAGCAGATTTCTTGCGGTGCAAACAAATTTCTTGCGATACGACGAATATCGAAACTTCACCATTGTTATTAATCAGTACGAGGCCTATTTACAGTAAGGGGTGACGAGGCTGGCTGAAGCCAGCAGTCGTTGTCTATGGAAAATCAAACTTTTTCATCTACCGGTGCTCCTTGCAACAGGAGGTTGTTCACCGGTGCATATTGGCGAGCCCAGCGCTCTATTTTCGTTCTACTTCTCTCGACAAGGTAAACCTTGCAAGAATTAAGCTTTGGATGATTTCCAAAGCAGCGACTAGATCCCTAACAAAATGCGCTGGTGGGAGTGAAACAACCCTGGAATCCTCTCATCACAGCCATCAAGGCTCTCGTCAAGCCATTTGTCCGAGCTCGCCGACGTCTTCATTCGTTCCAGATATCATCAGCGAAACCCTCGGTTACCGTGGGGTCTTCGCCGTACTTTCTGGCCCACCTGGTGAATCCGCCCTCCATGACATAGACGTTTGGAACTTTTTCTCCTTCATTGGGGGCTTCTTCAATTGACCTCAAGTACAAAAGGGCCGCCTTGGGTCCTCTGGCCTGAGACAAGGCACAGTGGAAAACAACGTCCTTGACCTGGCTTTCCTCGAGCTTCATGCGGAGATCGGAAAGTCTCGAGCCAAACTCGTTGGCTGGGTAGTGAAGACATCCCTTGATGTGACCTCCAATGAAGTCGTCATCTCTGACATCCACCACAGCGAACTTGGAGCCGTTGGCGAACCATTGGCGAACCTCGCTGGGCTTGATAAACTTTAAGTCGGAAAAGCTGATTTGACTCATGGAATAGAGTCTTTTGAAATGTGGAAGAATTGTGGCAAGACGGGGCAAAACTGCCAGTTAAATAGTTATTTAGCGTTGCTTTCGCGGATGGCTCACAATGGCACGGTGATGCCGATGACCAGAGATAATGGTCTGGAGTGAGGAAAAAGAAAAGAGGAGAATGGCGAGTCAAGCGGACAATGGAGATGATTTAAGAGATGTGGTACCGGACCCTAGAATATACCTGGAAGTTGGGTTTTGGTGAATCGACACTGTGGACTAGGTACTGGAGGTATGTCTGCTGTAGCAGCGCTAAAAAGGTGGGAAATGAGATACGAGATATCTAAGTCCGATATGCATTTTTCAGCTGATACTACGCTAAGCCATCAGTGCCACCGGGTTTAGAACCTCCGGATTATCGATTAAGCTTTTCGTATACATGTGAAAGATACGAAAAATATCAAATGCAATGGCAAATTCCAACCAGGCCGTCCTCCACGCAACTGCTTAAAATCGGACCTTGCTTCTAGTGATGCTCCGCGGTTGCTGCCAGGGAAATCTTCAAGTATCAGTCTTTGCGTCTATAGCCGTTCTGATCTGATTTAGCGAGATGGTTCGGGAAGCGAATCAAAAGAAACGATTCCTCCGATAAACGGCTTTAGAGGAAGAAAGGCCCACAGGAAGCTCTGTGTAGAGCATAGAGGAGGTCATTACTTGAAGACAATGGACTGTTACGCCTGCCTTCCTTGGTATTACTATAGAGGTTGCTGAGAATGACGCAGGTGTGAATTCGCTTACCGATGAGTAGTGGCGAACAATGGGTCGTCACGGTTTTTTTTCTTTTTCTTGAACCTCACTTAGCGACGTTATGGTGGACTGGAATCTGGGGTTGCAGCTGACTATACAACCGTGGGATGTGCATGAGACAATGTGACAAAGTGTGACATCTGCTATTATTGATTTGGCTTTCTTTTGAAATTGTTTTGAAACTCTAATATTTGAGGAACTTGGCCAAAACTCTATTACGGTGGGTTTAGAAATTGCCTGAGCAACCACCTGACCACACTATGGCTGCGACCAGATCTTCACCTAACACAATTTCATGCAGAGACTGAAGTCGATCTCATCTAATTCAACAAACCTTTCTATTTTCTTCATCGCTCAAGCTAAAATCAACCCTCAGCCGCAAGGATACCACATCCTGGTATTCACATGAGGCTCGCAACTGGTTTTCGCAATCGCCCGTGCTTAAGCAGCCGTGCCTCAGATGACTCTGTAAAGAAGGCATTGCATTTTCTTGTTTTTCCCCTACTTGGAGAACCACCCTTTTTAATTTTTTAGCTAATTTTTGCCCGGCCAAACCACCTGCTTGTGTCTCTACATACCACACCTTTGCACCACGGGTTCCATTAAATCGCAGTGAAAATCAAAGGCTTTCTTCACAATGTCCATGCTGCCCGAATCTGACGACAAGGCGGACGGCCAGCTCAAGAAGACTCTTCTGGTCGATTCCATTGCACCCACATTGACTCTGTTCTTCCGCAAACGCAAGAGATCAGAGTCAACCTCGGATCTGGAAAGAGCCAATTCGTCAGACCTGAGTGACGAATCCGATCTGGATGGCCCAGCGGCCCAGAAACGCAGAAAAGTCCAGAAATCAAAGGAGCAGGAGGAATTCGAAAAAAGAGACAAGCAATACGAGGCAGAGCTCCCGGAAGAGTACCGCAGATTCCGCCCCGTGGGCCACAGGTTCAATCTCCCCCCCACAGACAGACCCGTCAGAATCTACGCCGATGGTGTTTTCGACTTGTTCCACTTGGGCCACATGAGGCAATTGGAGCAGGCTAAGAAAAGTTTCGAAAACGTCGAGTTGGTGTGTGGAATTCCCTCGGATAAGGAGACCCACAAGAGAAAGGGTCTCACGGTACTTTCCGATCAGCAAAGAATCGATACACTCAAACACTGTCGTTGGGTGGATGAGGTCATTCCCAATGCCCCATGGTGCGTTACAGCAGACTTCTTGTTGGAGCACAAGATCGATTACGTTGCTCACGATGACTTGCCATATGCCTCTGCAGACTCTGACGATATCTACAAGCCCATCAAGGAAAGAGGTATGTTTTTGGTGACACAGAGAACCGAGGGTATTTCGACATCCGATATTATCACCAAGGTGATCAGAGACTACGACAAGTACTTGATGAGAAACTTTGCTCGTGGTGCTACGCGAAAGGAACTCAATGTCTCGTGGTTGAAGAAGAACGAGTTGGACTTCAAGAAGCACGTCAACGACTTTCGCACCTACTGGATGAGAAACAAGACCAGCATCAACAACGTGTCGAAGGATCTCTATTTCGAGGTCAGAGAGTACTTGCGTGGAAAGAAGTCAGACTTGTCTTTTGCCAACTTTGCCAACAACCACCTTCCTCACAGCAACAGCTCCCCCAGTCTCGTGAGCGACCTGGACGACGCCCTGCGTGCCCTGAGTCCTCTCACAGAATTTGCCTCCAAGTACATTGTGAACAAGAACGAGAAACCCGGCCGGTTTTTCAAGGGCTTCAACATCAACAACTGGATCCAGAAGGACGACTCTCACGATGAGGATGAGCGCCCCCGCAGAAAGAGAACCGCCGCCTCGGCTGCCAAAAATGAATTGACCACTTCGGTGTCGGCACCTGCGACGACGCTGCCCCGGAAGATCAGGAAGCCAAGATCGAGAAAACAGCATTAGAGAACAACAAGGTACGTGAGCCCCCAGGCGTCGCTATCCCAACTGCATGTGCCGGCCACTATCGGTTGTATATGTGAATAAGGTAATTATATATGTTGCATCACTGGTTGTAGAGACATGGTAGGTAAGTACAGGGTCGTTACTTATGGAGATATTTAAATATGCAGACATAGCAAACATCAGATTATACTGGTCGATTCTTCAATTTTACCGAAAGCTAAAAATTCTGAAGATCAGCGGTCCCAGATCTTATCTCATGAACCCAGAAGCTGATAGGTATACAATGAGAAGTAAGAAGTTGCAGCCATTCCGTACCACATAGCCATTTCACATTTACTCAAACTTTATTCCATTCACCATAAATCAATCTGAATAAAATAGTCGAAGTAGCAAGAATATCCCTACCACAACATCTACGTCAACTGCATCCATCGCCATCAACTACATCTTCTACTCAGTGCGAAATCATCTCTTGATCTTCTACACCTACTTGAAACAAACATGGAGGGTCAGGAGCTCCTGCGCACATGGGCAGAAACAGACACGCCTACAGGATTCCAAAATCCCACTGAACGTATAGTGACCGTTCCAGTTCCCGTTTCCAGCAATGCCTGGAGTTTCACACAAGGTCTAATATGTGGACAAGTGAGTGTGGTGCTAGTGATTTTGGTTTTCATCAAGTTCTTCGTGTTTGCCGATGGCCTGCCGCAACTGGCGACGCTGAAATCAACCAAAAGAGACGTGGCTGCTGTGGTTGTGAAGAGAGACAAGCAGAACGACGAAGATGAAGACGATAGTGCCAAATTGGCTACGATTCTTGAAAAAACATACTACGACGTGGAGACCCACGCGCCCGAGTCACTCGACTGGTTCAATGTGCTTGTGGCGCAGACAATCGCTCAATTGAGAACGGAAGCGTTGCTTTCGGATAACATATACCACCTGCTCAATGCCTTCCTTGAGAAGCTGGATACGCCAGACTACTTAGACAGGATCCGGCTACTGGAGATTGACATTGGTGACGATTTCCCTATATTCTCGAACTGCCGTATCAAACACAGCGGAGACGACTTTGGGCGCCTTGAAGCCCGTATTGATGTGGATCTCTCAGATACACTCACCCTAGGTATAGACACCAGGCTCTTGTTGAACCACCCAAGGGCCCTCACGGCAGCCTTGCCAGTGCAACTATCCGTCTCCATTGTCCGTTTTTCCGGTTGTCTTACGGTATCTTTAGTGAACACCAACGAAACGGGCTTTGTTGGTGGTTCTAAGGACAAGGAGTCTGGCGGCACGGCGCTCATGTTCTCGTTTTCCCCAGACTACAGACTCGAGTTTTCCGTCAAGTCTCTTATAGGCTCCAGAGCCAAACTACAAGATGTGCCCAAGATCTCCGATCTCATAGAGAGCAAGTTGCGTTCGTGGTTTAAAGACCGGTGCGTGGAGCCCCGGTTCCAGGTGATCAAGTTGCCCTCTATGTGGCCCCGGAGCAAAAACACCCGTGAGCCTGCCCCGGCCCGGGAGGAATGATGCGTATGCTGTATTTAGTATTTATCCCAACATGGATCTCTTGCGTCCACGCAAACGGACGTCTTCTAGCTTTTTGATGGTTTCTTGGAGCTTCTTGCGGCCGCCCTTGCTAGCATAGCTCTGATGGAGCTCCTCGTAACCCTGGAGAAGCCACAGGTTGTATTGGTCTGCGTAGTCTGAATGTGTGCTCAACACCGCCCTTTCCATGACATACAAATCGACTGCTTTGTCCTCTGGAAGATTCGAATACGTGCTCAATCCAAAGTCAATAAGGTAAACGTCGTTGTCCTGCAATATTAAGTTCAGTGTGGTCAAGTCGCCATGGATCATATCGTTCAAGTGCAACTTAGCTATAGCCGATCCTGTTGCTTTCAACACCTGCTCCACCTCCGAACTGAGGCAGCTCTCCTTATCTCCTTCCTTCTCCAAATGCCAAAGGTAGTTTTTGATCAGCGAAACCTGTCCGTTCGGAAGATCTATCCCGACATGGTCCATCCAAATGACTCCATTTGGTGCATCTAGCAGAATCAATGCTGGAGCCGCCACACCGATTTTCGCCAACTTTGCCATGAACTTAGCCTCGCCCACCGTACGCAGCTTTGTGATAAGCGCATCGATCTTTGGATGTCTGTATGGCTTTGGAGGTCTGTACTTGATGATGAATCGAGACGCTTTTGGATGTGGAGAGTATGGATGCACTTCAGTGGAAAACACCAAGGCTTCGGCGCCCTGGGATACTAGAGAAAGGGGCACGTGAGGCACCACCTTCAGAACGTCTTTTAGTATGGCATCCGTCATGGAATTATAGGTGGATGGAAGTGTTGATGCTCTTCGCGAAGTTGATATAGAGGAGGCAGGTTGTATGGTGGAGTGGGCGGATATGGGTTTTAATGATGTTTGAGAAAGCTGTGATTTACTTGAAATCTACGGTGTTCTTGAGTTTAGATCTTTTATTGGGCATTTACCGCCGAAACCTTTGAGTGTAAATGGTTGCAAGTTGAGTGAGATCTGGACAAAGGGCCACACTGAAGCAGAAAGAGCTGAAATTTAGCTGAAGAATTGAGGTCGTTTTCAACTAGATAACTATGGTAGACCATTTCTGAAATAATGTAATTATTCACTACTGGCCATCTCTCAATTAAAGGAAACTTAATGCAAGCTGGAAGGCAAATAGCCATGATTTCGCAGCCATAACTACCACAATATTATTAGGTGGCAATTACATGAGTAATAAACCTCGATGAGTCACCTTATGGAATATCAAGATTATTTCTAAAACTGCCACAAACGGCCAAATTACCAAATTCCAAAATCCGCTACTTGCTTGCACTCGTCTGACTCCTACCAGCACGCCACTCACACTCAATCTTATAAATCACAACCATCAAGATCCACGAAATTCCAAAAAACCAACGTTTGACCTTCTGGCCCAATTGCTATTTCACACCATTTAAAAAGTAAAATTCATTTTCTCCTTCAAAACAATTCCCTGGTGGCTCCTACTTCTTGCTACCCCAGACTGCGCGAACTCAAACCAACTACCACATCATGGCTGAACTAGTGTACGTGGTTCCACCATACCTCCTCAACACGTGCGTGGGGCTCGATCTCCAAAGAGAGGTTGCTGCCCTTGATGCTCAGCTAGCAGCCAAAAATGTGTTTTCTCCGCTGAAGCAAATCCGCTTTCGGCAACCCAAGGACATTGAGACCACCAAGGACGTATTCCTGAACGACCCTGCGGTGAACGACATGATCAAGGAGAAACTCAGGGATAAGTTTGCTGTTTTGGGCATGTTGGGCTCGTCTCCAGCTGAAAATGTTCTGGACGAGTTGTTGTATGGACTTTACGAGATATTCAAGGAACGGCTCAGTTTGGCCCAGGAACCAGCATCCATGGAGACCTCTAGAGCACTGCAAACGTCCAATGGATCCGAAAAGCTGAAGAAACTGGCCTTTGGATACCCCAGATTGGGTGAAGTCACATTCGGCCCGCTGTTCCTCAAAAACGTGGAATCATGCTTGTCCAACTACTCCTTGGAGGCCTTGCTCAATTGGGCCAAGGAGAGCTCTGAGCACAAGTACTCCTTCTTTCCATCGTTGGTAGTGGGAAGCCAAACGTTTCTTTCGCCATTGCCAATGTACTGGACTCCACTCTCTGTGGATAAGCACCTAGAACACTTGGACAAGAACTTGGGCATGGAGATTGATACACTGAGCGGCTACTCCTTGTTAAAGTTCAAACTACAAGAAAACAAACTACCATTCGATGACTTGTTCCGCAAAAAGCGCTACTTCAACTTCATTGCCAATAACGATGTGCAAGAGAAGTGTGGTATCTTCTATTACGAGGTGCTGGTGGACCAGCTCGCCACAGCCGCCTCGGACTACAAACCATTGATCAGTCTAAATGACTCCCTGTTAGCAGCAGGAAGCTCCTTATTCTTCACTTTGGGTTACACCAAGCGGAAAGTGCGTTTCGATAAGATGCCCACCAATACTACCACAGGTATCAACACACAGAGTTTGGACTTGAAAGCCATCCAGAGCAATATCTCATTTTACAATCAAAACGTATACAACAAGAAAATCGACGACGATACCCTTACGTTCCTCGGTGCCGAACCGGGTGTCTCGTTTGAGGGCAGTTTTGCGGTCAACTTCAACAACTCATGCTCCTACGCATCCATAAAAAGCGGCGACAGCTCATACAGAACTTCATCGCTCAACACCAACAGACGTTTCTCCCAGTTCAACAGACAAACCGCAGTTGACCAGGATACAAGTAAGATCGATGTCGAGGTCCCTCTCAACATCCATGCCAATAATCACGAGAGGATCAAGAAGCGTTACAGAACCGACACGGTGGGCTGTGGTGTCAATTTCATAGACAAGACTCTTTTCATAACGCTCAACGGAATCCTCGTTAAGGAGATAACTGAAAAGGAAATGGTGGACTCCAACAGACACAAGGACAGTATCTTTGAGCACGATCAAAAGATGGGATCTCTTTTCCCAATGATTGGCTTCCAGCTCTCTGAGCTTCTGCGAGACTTGCCTGGGGGCGAACTTCCAGAGACGGTGATCAAAACGAACTTTGGACTCAAGGAGTTCGAGTTCAACATCAATCGCTATGTTGATAATTCTAAGAAAAAGCAAGCCGATGAGCTCACAAAGATGATTGCAGATGAGTCTCAGACCCAGCCTCAAAATACAGTTCCTGACGATAGCTCGTTTGAGAAGGCAGTAGCCGACATACGCAGCGATTCAGAAGTCTTGAACAAGTTCATTAAGGGCTATTTGATACAACATGGTTACCTAGAGACATTGAAGTCTTTCAATGGTGACGTGGAGGACCTTTCGTCTCACATACATGGTGATGTTGACATGGAGGGAGAAGCTTCGAAGCAACAAGAAGCTTTAGTAGAAGAGTCCCATGCCACTCAGAGACACCAAGTGAGACTGTTAATCTATGATAAGAAATTCCTAGAGGCGGCTTCGTTCCTCGAGACAAACTACTCACTCCTCGACAAACTCGACTCATACATCTTCGAGCTTCGCTACCAGCATTATGTTTCTCTTGTGAAGCGCTACCTCAATATCAAGTTTGGCAATGACTTCGACTTCGACTACAAGGAAGAGTCAAAGGAAAAGTATTTCAAGGCAGTGATTCAGTTCAACGAGGAATTGGCCAAGCTGGTCTCGGCTAACACTGCAGCTCACGCAAAGGTCTCCAATTTCTCCGGTGTCATCTTGGCCAACAGCAAAGAGGAATTGAACGACATGCCTGGCGCCCAAAAAGAACTTGACAATCAGCATACCGAGATCGAAAGACTTGCTAGCCGTGTCAATGCTGCCATTTTAGAACTGCTCAATTTCGAGAAGATCTCAAAGCTAGAGCACCTTATACAAAGCGCAGGCAATAACATCAACAGCCTATGCATGGAAAACGACAACACGTATAAGCTTGTGAACTATGAACAGGATTACATTGACATCTAATTGGCCTCGGCTTTCAATTTGGTCTCTTTTTTGGTGCCAACCGCGGTGGCTGACTTTGCCCTTTTGGTGGTCTTGCTCGAGACCGGAGCCGCACGCTTCTTCGACTCGACTTCCACGATAAAGTCCAGTGCAACATCAAATTGATCGAGGGACTTTTCATCGATCTCGTTTGGAAACTCAACATCTGTGAGCCTGTCCGAGCGGTGGCTGTGGTACATTTTCAATGCCCACGCGCCTCTTTCTAACTCATCAAGTGAGTCAATTTGGTACTTTCTGGCGACATTGATCATCACCAGCAAGAAATCGTCAGCGTATTCCTTGAGATTGTATTTGATGGGTTGGCCCGGGCGTAGCGGCTGTTGGACAAAGTAAAGAAAGGCCTCGTCGCTGAAGAATGGGGGCGCCAACGGAGTGACGTCTTTAAGGACGGCCAAGAGCAAACTGGCCGTTGCAGGGCCTACGCCTCTCAATTCGGTCAATCTTTTCAAGCTCAGGCGTAGCGCGTTCTGGTACTCCACCAAGTCTACGTCCAGCCAATTGGGGTTCTTCTTAGCGTACTCTGTGAAGATCAGGAATCCGCTTTTCGTGGCCTTCTCGACAGATTCCTCTGAATTTGCCTGAATAAGCTTTGGAAGCGAAGGCCGGAACTTGCCCTTGGCGAGTTTCCAGTCCATGAGTAAAGCCAATTCGGCCTTGGTGATATACAAACGACCTTGGGAGTGCCGTTTGCTGAGTTCTTTAGGGAAGTCCTGGCTTCTCCATTTGTCCAATTTGTTCAAGTTCCACCCCTCCTTGCCGTATAGCTTCGACAGCTGGCGCAGGAGCTCGTCTGTGATCCGGGGGTATAGCAACTTTGTGCCATTGACCAAAGAAGCTTTGTAGTCCATGTTGATTAAAAGCCCGGGCTCATGCGCGCAACGGCTGCGAAAGTAAGACAATGCCTGCAAGATTTCGGAGCCTCATGGAATGCAGAAAAGCTCGCTCAAGGAGGGATTTGGATTTTTCATTTGTTGAAAAATTTGATTTGGCGGATTTGTGGACTACTTTTGGGTATTTTAAAATTGTGTACATTTGTTCCACAAAATGGGTATACCCATGCTTTGTCAGCTGTGGATCACCGTATCCATCTACCAAACGAGCTGTGATGTGAAAAATCTATTGAGCCCCTCGAACTTAATATGGTTCAGGCCGCCTGGATATATATACAGATTGAAGTAGCAGCCATGATACACCTACTCCCGAATGACAGGCTGGGCCGTAGCCAGCTTCAGCTTCTTGTAGTCCATACGTCTATGAGGGGTGTAGTTCAATGGAAATACAAGATCCAACACCACATTTTGCACCAACGAAAATACTTGAGAACTGAGCCAATAAAGCGTCAATGCCGTGGGTGCATGCAAAGAAATGGCCATCAAAAAGACCACACCCATCCGTGACAAGTTACCCAAAGAGTCGAATATCGTAGGACGGAATGCTCTCTTTCTGCCTGGCGCCTTCATCAACAGAAACGTCTTCAAAGTCCATTCGACGTTCAGAATCGCCACAATTCCAATGGCTATAGGGAAAATATGCAAAGGATCGAGAGAAGTGAGGTCTGTGAACCACAATGCTCCTTCTTCGTATAAAAGTGGATCGAGAGGTTTGTTAGCCAACGAGTCCCAAGTAGACCAGCCGCTTAGATTTCGAAACGTCATCGACATGCAAACCCACAAGGGGATCTGGGCAGCAGGCAAGAAGAAGTTCTTGTACAACTGCACACCATGGTCCTTGAAGAGCTTCTTCTGTCTCTTTCTGGTTTCTTTCGCCAGAAGAACCATGATCTCGTCATATTTCATTTGCTTAGCTGGGTTAGTCATTATGGGGGATTTGTCGACGGCTTTGGCGGCCTTCTGGGCTTTTCTAGCTAGCTTCATACGCAAGATGGGTCCTGTTGCAGCCACTATAGGTCTCAAGGCGTTCTGTTTCTGGACCCTGAGTCGCTGCATCACCGCCAAAGGAAGCGTCCAGAGACCTCGAAGGGTGAAAGTTGTCAATGGAATCACTGCCCACCAGGGAAGTCCAGATATGGTGTGGATGTGCTCGACGGACTGGGTGAGGATGTTGATGATGGCCGTCGGTTCAACGGAGAAATGGCGATGCTGTGAGCGGGGGGACTGAGATAATGAAGGAAATGCTGAATTTCTAGGGAAACCCTTAGGCCCCTGGCGGGCGCTAGGGTTCCGATTCGTAGCATGGAGTAGTGGTGATGAAAAGTAGCGATGTACTGCACAGCTACCACGATGGACCCCAGAAGTGGTCACCAAGTGCCACCAAGGCGGGCCTTGTAGCGTTCAAAATCAACTGAGATGAACAAATATTCCATTTATGTAGATCCCTTTAAGTCTAGCTTTTGAAAACTCTCCCCTACGGGGACATTTTCCAAATCGCGTCACGTGACCAACACCTCTTTTCAGCGTTCTCCAGAATCTACAAACCAGCCATGTCCTCCAAAACAGAAAGAGCTTGCATGCTCTGCGGCATCATCCAGCCGTACAGACGTTTTCTAGAGACCGGCTGTCCCAACTGCGAGTCTGTTTTGCACTATGCCGATAACGAGGACGGCCAGATCCAGGACTGTACTTCTCCAGCATTTGAAGGTCTAGTGGCTCTTGGAGACGACAACAAGGCATCGTGGGTGGCCCGCTGGCTCCGTATAGACTCCTTTGTTGCTGGATTATATGCGGTCAAGGTGAACGGAAAGTTGCCTCCACACATCATCAGTGACTTGGAGGACCAGAACATCAGCTATAGACCTAGAGACGGCAGTGCCGAGGATTAGCTGCACAGAAAAAGAGTGTATTATATTTACATAGTAAGGAAAGGAATGATAGTTGTTGTGTAGGCGGCACGATATCGTTTTGTTGACATTGTATGATCGTTGGATCGTTTAAGGCTAGATGTGCTGACAAGTGATTAGATCATATACTCCGTTTACAATAGACTTCCGTTTTCATCGCTTTTATAATACAAATAGAAAGGCTCTACATGTAGTGCCCCAAGGTCGTGGCGGTCTGCTGAAGCTTCTCCACGGTGGATGTCTTGTCCCACTGGGAGCGGTCGGCCCAGATGATGTCCATAAGCTTGGCCATGGCGAACTCGAGCTTTTCCACCGTGAATCCCTCGGTGAGTTCCACCATGCGCTGCTCAAAGAACGCCTCGGCTTCTGGAGGAATAGTCAATTGGCGGCTGGCATCAACAGCAAATTCACCTTCTGCCTCAGACTCACTTTCTGGTTCTTCAGGTGCCGTTGTGAGCACAACCTTCTTTTCTTCCGAGACTGGATCCACATCCATGGCGTCCGCTGAAGCAGGGAATTGCTGTGGCTCGGTGGTCTGCTCTGCCTCTTCAGTAGGCTGTGTCTTCTCTTCAGCTTCGCCGTTTTCCTTTGGTTCTTCTGTGACAGTTTCCTTTGGTTCTTCTGCACCATCTTCCTTTGATTCCTCTGCGCCAGTTTCCTTCGGTTCCTCGTTGTCCACCTTATTGTCTTCCCTAGGCTCCTCGGTATTCTCAAGAGCGTGGCCATTGGAGTCGAGGTCCTTAGGTGGTGCTACATCTTCAAGAAGACGAACAGGTTCAGGTCCATTGAGCTCAGTTTCGGCTTGAGCATTAGCAGCTTGCGTCTTTTCAAACTCCTCTTTAAGCTTTTTGTAATCCTCCACAAGCTTGGCCTGCTTCTCAACTTCCCTTGCCCTAAGGTCCCTACAGGCCTTGGCGAATTCAGGATTGTTGAAGTCGTCAATTCCAAACTGGGCATTGGTCATCATCTCGTTAGCCTTGAGAATTCTTTCCCTGTCGCCAGAATTGAAAGCGTCCTTCACAATCATTCTAACGTCCTTGAGGAATTGTTTCGCTTCTGAGTAGAAACCGTTCCAGATTCTCTCTTCAATTGTATCCAAATCCATATTGTAGAAGAATTTGCCGGTATTCAATTCCTTGATCATGTTGGGGTGTTCTGGGTCTTCGGAAATGATGTATGCCACTTCGTATGTGATCATGGGGTTCTCCAAAATAGAAGGCTCGTACAAGTGGTGCAAGTAGCTTTCGTCAATGATTGGCTTTCTGAAACGCTTGTAACGGTTCTTGAAAAGATCCATTAAACCAGCAAGCTTGATCTTCAACAAATTCTTCAACCTCTTGTCCTCGTACTCCTGCTGCTTGTCACGCTTCTTGCCTAGCAGAGCCACGCTCACTGTCTCTGAAGGAACAACCGGAAGCTCTTTCAATTTTCTCTTTGGCCTATTCGCCAAGTCATTGAGGAACTCGAATGGTTTCATCTTCAACGCATTCTCTGCGGTTTGGAAAAACTTCCTTCTCGACTCTGCATTTGGATTTTCCAAAAAGACATTGTTGCTGTCACCCAGGATTCCAAGGGTGATCTTGATATCAGACTCCAACTCGTGAAACTGTCTCTCGGCCATTCCAAGCAAAAGAATCTTTTCATTACTCTTCAAGTTTCGAAGTAAGCCGGCAAGAGTTGCTTTTGCTGAGTGTGTCATCACATCGAACCATGTATCGATGTTTGGAATGAAAATGATCGAAGGCTGGTGCCTCCTGGCCTCGATGAAGGTCTGAACAATGCACAGCTCCGGGGTTCTTGTGACATCGCCGAACACTGTGGCAAGATCTAGATTTTGCACTTGGAAACCTTCAAGTACGTTAAGAATGGCAGCACCAAGGTACTGTTGGCCAGCACCTGATTCACCACATATAAGTAAATGGGGCTTGCAAATACGAGAACTTTCCAAACTCTTGAGAAGCTCCTGTTTTCCAAAGCCACCATCGGCATCATGAATTGTTGGGTCCAAGTACATGGCGTCCTCGAGATTGGTAAGTTTCTTCTTGCCGCCAATGCTCACAGAATCTGGAAGCAAAGCACTCAATTTGGATACAATTTGATCAAGAGAGCCTTGAAGAATAGGTTGTAAACGCTCAGGAAGAGGTGCAGAACCGGTCGATGTCGATCTAGCACTGGATGGCACAATCTTCTCAATTGCTCTCATGAAATCCTTAGCAATAACTTTGACCTTGGTAGGGTCCACTTTGAGCTTGTCGGTAGAACGGTAAATCTGGGGGTACTTTCTTTGGATCGAATTCAAAGCTGCCTCCGTGCAAAGTGCACGCAAATCAGCACCACCGTATCCCTTGGTGAGACCTGCAATTTTCTCGACAAAGACTGGAGATAATGGAGGCTCCCACTTGCGTGTGTGGATCTTCAAAATCCGTTCTCTGGCGCTCAAGTCAGGAAGGGGGAAGTAGAACTCTCTATCGAAACGACCTGGTCTTCTCAATGCTGGGTCCACAGAGTCAGGTCTGTTGGTAGCACCAATCACAATGACCTGCCCTCTGTTGTCCATACCGTCCATAAGTGCAAGCAAAGTGGAGACGATACTGGCATGGATTTGTTCTTGCTTCGAGGAACGCACAGGAGCCAAACCATCGATTTCATCGAAAAAGATGATCGAGGGCTGCTGGTTCTTGGCCTCTTCAAAAAGCAACCTCAATTGACGCTCGGCTTCACCAACCCACTTACTCAAACAGTCTGCACCTTTACGCATGAAGAAAGTGATCTTTCTAGAAGGAGTAGAGCAGCTTGCAGCGAGAGCTCGGGCCATCAACGTCTTACCTGTACCGGGAGGACCGTGGAAAAGAACTCCTCGAGGTGGTGTGATTGAGAAGTTTTGGTACAACTCAGGGTATAGAAGAGGCAAAGCCACCATTTCTTTAAGCTGGTCAATGTAGCCATCGAGACCTCCGACAGCAGAAAAGTCGATGTTCATATCGACGCCAAGAGGATCGGTGTCACTGAGACTATTCTTCTTCTTGCCCTTATCTCCCAATGCCTCTGCACCGACAACTTTTGTATTGTTGAGCATCCCAGAAGGAGCCGGAGCAGCACTGTTAGCTGTCAAAGGCGTTTTACCCATTGAGCCACTCACAGAGGGTCTAGGCTGGGTACCTGCGCCAGAAGAAGGTACAAATTCGTCATCAGAGGAGTCGGACTCGTTTCCACCAATCATGCTATTGCGGGCATCCGCTGGCATTCCAGGGATGGGGATACCACCAGGAGGGATGTTCTGGCCCAAAAGGGAGATGACATCGCTTCCGCCGAATGGACCTGCGGTGGGGAAAAGCAACTTTCTGAAATCGCTCTTATTGCCCACGTTCTTTCTGTTTCTCTTGGGAGGTGGAGCGAATCTGGCCGCACTCAAGGCGTCCAAATCGTGATCATTCTGAATAGCTGGTGGGATTGTGTAGTCGACCTTCTCTCCACGCTCTCTGAGCTTATGCTTGACTGGACTCTCTTCCTCTGGTGACAGATCGTACAAGTCCTTGATTTCCTGGTTGATGTCGTCCTCCTGCTCCTCTGCCTCGTCTTCAAGGTCGTCAGCACGCGTAAGGCGTTTTCTGGATCTTCGTGGCTCGGCCAGCCGCGATCTGGATTTGGGCTTTCGTCTCAGTCTGTTTTTGCTTGTGGAGCTGTAGCCGTAGTAGTCGTCCTCGCCATCCTCCTCTGGCGCAATGAATTGCTTCTCTCGTAGCCTTTCAAGAAAAGCGTCATCTTCTTCAAAAGCATCGCTTTCGTTTTCTGACTCGTTACTGAGCTCGTCTTCCTTGAAGTCTGAGTCCTCTCCATCTGCATTCAGCCTGAGGCGTTTCGACAGTCTTCGACTCTGAGCCCGCAGTCTTTTCGTAGGAATAATCTCGTCTTCATCGTCAAAATCCTCGTCTTTAGCGTCATCCTCTTCTGGTGCTGATTCAGGTTCTTCGGGCTCTTCAGGTTCCAACTCGTCCTTCACCTCGGGCTCCTCCTTGGGTTGTGCTGGAGCGTCAAAATTCTCATCTTCCGAGTCTTCAAGGTACGAGACCTGCCTTCTGGAGCGACGGCTCGATGTCTCGTTTTCGTCGTCACTACTAGCCAAATGCCTAGAGCTCCGTGTTGGTTTGACCATTTCTTTGGCTCTGGCTGGGTTGTAGGATAAAGTTACTGGGACGATGATTGTGGAAAGATTTGTAAAGGGCCAATGCTTTCAGCCAGCTCTCTGCACTTTTGGAGTGTGTTTTTTGTACTGTTTGCAACACCAGGGAGCTTGGTATTTTCACAGCCAGTGTCGGTTTTTGAGATACCGCAACGCTGCGGTCACGTGACGCGGTCGACTCTGGACGGCTAATAAAGATGCCATTATTTCACGCTACAGACCGAATTTGCCAAAATAAATTGGATATTCGTTTTCCTGAGCTCTTCAGCAGTCTAACCGTGCCACTTTTGGCCCACTTTCGTGCACTCAATGTGGTTTCAGCAGACCCCCAGAAACGCTCGTTCAACTAAGCGTGTTTGCAGCCACGTCAAAACGGCCCGTATTATTATGTACGCCGAAAATCTGACAGCCTGGTGGATGCCGGTCCTGCAGAATGGACGTGTTCGAAGCGTCCTCGTCTTTCTTTTTTCATCCAGCCGTTCGCTTATCACCAAATACGACCATTGACGTGCCCCACGTTACACCAAAGAGGAAATCGATGAGGATCTTGATGAGATGGTTTTGCTGCTTGTGCAACGTTGGCGTGAAGATGGGAAAAAGTCGATTTTTGGAGATTTACAGGTTTTTCTACATCTAAGTGATTTGCGTTCAATCAGGATAACGATGTCAGTCAAACTTGGTCATTCCATATTCTTGAAGTGGGGTGGGAGGCGACGGTGGTCTTGTCGAGATGGTGGTTTCATGGGTCGTGCGCGCACCGCCACATCCAGAGTCCCATTGGCTGCGAAATGTGGTTCAACGTGATAGGAAATACACGGTCACCGATTTACATTGGGTTTCTAAAAATTCTATTTTTCCGTGATTATAATAGGGAGGTTTCCCCTAGTATCTATGTACATGGCACAACTGTGCCTCTAGTCTTTGGCACCCTCCCGTGGCTTCACCTTGTGCATCAACTTCTCTTCATACTTGCGATTAGAACCGTCTCCATACGTCAAATCGGCACCTATCTTAGCGTGGTCTAATGTTCTCTTATCCTTATCAACTCCTAGCCGGCCAAGAATCTTCTCGGTCAAGTCAGGCATGTATGGTTGAGCACAAAGCGTCGTTACTCTGATACCCTCCGTCGCTAAGAACAACAAGTAATTCCGGATAGTTCGCTCCGGTGAAGGGCCGTCTCCCACATGCTTGTTGTACAGCCATGGCTCGGTTGCTTGGAAGAACTCATTTGTCGAGTCCACCACTCTCCACCACTCCTTCAATGCCTTCATATGATCAAACAGCGCCAACGAATCGTCCATTGTTTGTTGAAGGCTGTCAATGCTTTTCACGAGCTCGTCTCGTAACAGAATGACCTTTTCCTTGTCCAGATTGGTCACATTGTCTTTCCTCAACAACTCGTCAATCTTGTCAAACTCGCCCGCCTCTGCCTGTTGCAAGCCACGGGAGATCTCGAAGTTTGGAGCACAAACTCTGGAGGTCAAATTGGCGAATTTGTTCAAAAGCATCGCTCTGTGATGAAAGAATCCACTCTCGCTGAAGTTGCTGTCCGTATTAATGTTAGACTGCTCCATCAAGAAGAAACGCAATGGATCAACGCCATAGTGGTCAGCCATGGCATAAGGATCAACAACATTTCCAATGCTCTTACTCATCTTTTTCCCGTCACACAACCAGTGGGAATGCACAAAGATCGTCTTTGGAAGTTGGATTCCAGCAGCCATGAGAAAAATTGGCCAATATATACAATGGAATCTCATGATATCTTTGCCAATGACGTGATGAGCGGGCCAGATGTTTTCCAAAGCTGTTGTGTCTGCTTTCGGGTATCCTGCTGCGGTCAAGTAGTTCAAGAGGGCATCAAACCACACATAGACCTTTTGATTTGGGTCGTTGGGAACTTCAATACCCCATTGGAGCCTGGAAGTGTGACGAGAAACTGAAAGATCTTGTAATTGGCCCTCTCGTAACTCCTCTAAAATCTGCTTCCTTCTTGGCTCTGGTTGAATGAAATCGGGCGTCTCTTCTATGTAGCGTATAAGATCCTCCTGGTAGGCTGATAAACGAAAGAAATAGTTTTCTTCTTCCTGGTAAAAAACCTCGTTTCCAGTTTCTTTGGAGATTCTGATGGTCTTTCCATCCTTGGTGATCTCTTCAGTCTGAGACTCAGGATAGAAAGCCTCATCACTGACGCAGTACCACCCACTATGTTTCCCCTTGTATATGAGCCCCTTATCCATCATGATGTTCCAGAAGTGTCCCACTGCTTCCACGTGGTCAGCATCTGTAGTTCTGATGAACCTCAGGTACTCGATCTTCATTCTCTGGGCGAGATGCTTGAAATTCTGCGAAACGTTGTCCACCAATTCTTTGGGAGGAATGTTTTGCTTCTCGGCAACTCCCTGAATCTTCAATCCGTGCTCATCTGTGCCTGTGAGGAAGTAAGTTTGGCGTCCTTCTTTTAGTTGTTCCCATCTTACCCTTGTATCAGCTAGAAGCATGGAATAGAGATGTCCAAGGTGGGGACTAGCATTGACATAGAATATGGGTGTTGTGACATAGAATGGTTTGGAAGTTTGTCGTATGGACCGGCTAAAATGCCGAAATAGGACGGATTTCATGAATATCACTGGAGGTTGTCTGGTATGATATTGTGAGCATGCAGGCCAACCAAAGAAAAGGTACCAAGTTCCACCATCAACACAGCTAGTAGGTTGTATTACTCTATATATGGTTAAGATGAATAGCTTTTGGTTTCAGCGTGCTTCGAATCGACGAAGATTGCCATCAATGCAAACACTGAGTAGAAGAGACCGAGGGGGTATGCAATCAAGGACCGCATATTGTGCAACTTCAAAGCCGTGATGAAAAGGCCAGAAGCGCTGAAAGTGCACCAGAACACAGCAAATGCACTCATTAGGTAGCCAATAGTGGAGTCTAACGATACCACAAGCCCTAACGCACATATAAACACCAAAGGCAACAAGCAATAGCCGACTATAGATGCTGAGCGAGTCAAGTCAATTTGGACCTCGTTGCTCATGAGTTTGAAAAGGTAATGCAAGCTTACAATGCCAAACACACCCACACCGTAGACGTAGCCAAACTGGACTTTACCAGATAATAGTAGCAAAGTGCCGAACAACAACACAAACAAGATAGGGCCCGCCAAATCAGAATCGCTCATTATCTCCGGGTTCACATCTCTTTGGATAGGGTTCAACACGGCTAGCGTCTTGCCCTTGATATGCAGAAAGTTGATCCCCAATTCCTCCAACAATGGTGGTTCGCTTGGGTATCCCGAGGTACCGAATGCTGCAATAATTCCAGGAGTAAGTTCGCCACCCATGTCGCCGGAAACGTCAAAATGTGATCCGAACATCGTGTCCATTGAACCCATATTTGGACTGGATACAGAAGGTTGCTGATACGCCTGGTTGGCGTAATTGGACTGATAAAACTGCATGTTGTCCGAAGGATTTTGTTGGTAGTATGCCATTGTGTCCCGGTTGTCGATAAGTGAAGTTTCGGGGAATAAAGTAGTGGAAGTTGATGTTGTTGTAAGTGATTCCGAGGTGAATTTTGACGTGTGAGCTCACGTGATTGATCTGCAAACATAACCAATAAATGGATAAATTCGACCGGGAGATAGCCAGTCTTGAAGATATGGGGTCTCGAAATTGGATTCAAATATCATTTAGAAGTCGATTTTCCTTTTTTTATTGGTGTCTTGTTCATGTTTGCAATATTTTGTTCCTTAATGCGACGTGAGTAGCAAAACTAAAAATCCTCACCGTTTGAAAAATCAAACAACCCATGTCACATTTAAAGCAGTATTTTTTTTTTCACCAAATGTGACAATTCTCGCTTCTAGGGTCATTCTTAATTGATGATAAAAAATAAGCAGTTAAGAAATTACCACGATGGGTCATAACAAGACCTTGAGAAATGAGGATAAGAGTGGACCTTTCTGGTGCAGTTTCGGCCTCGTAACGGGAAAAGATCTTCCTTCTAACTCCTTTTATTATATTCGGTTTATAAAGCGGATATTCCTTCAATCGGGAAAGCTCGGGCTTATGAATCAAACGAGAAAAGCTCCAAGGCCTCGCAATCCGCACCGTCAGGTAAGTATGTAAGGAGATCTCTAAAAGATTATACTGGCCCACCTCTGAGTCTTGATAAATTTAAAGAAAAGGAGCAGCTTCACTTATCGTGAAAACCATTAAAAACTCCTTAAAAAGTCTATTTTTACGCTTCAAAGTGACCTCTAGGGTGTCTGTCCTGCTGTTAAAAATGGCTGCAAAAAATGGTTCTCAAAGGTATAAATGCGCCGCTTCCCCTGTCCCACGCACACATCCCAAAAAATGGCAAAGAAGAGAAGTGGAAATCCAAGAAAAAGAAGACCAAAGCAGAGATCCGCAAAATCTACTCTGGAGAAACCGCCGCAGCCGCAGCTGGAGAAGAAATTTGACCGGAAGGTCATGTTGGAAAGAATCTCGAAAGCGATGTTAAAGCACGATAAGACGCTGCTTGACTGCTTCCTATATTCATTGTGCGTCTTGAAATTATTGTCTGAAACAGGCGATAAGAGTGATAAATTCTTTGATGAGATATCAAACCCTCTCATCGAAATGTGGTCTTGGGATGAAGATCACGTCTTTGAGAAATTTCTTGAGTATAAAAAGCAGAAGCAGGCCTCGAACTCAAGGGAAACTATTAAGGATGATCCGTTGGAGAAGCTAATTCAGTCGGATGAGGACGTGGTATTCACTATATTAGAAGATACCGCCACCAAATTGTTGGAGTTAGATATCCAGGATCGCGAGATATCCCCTTCCAAGTGATCTCAGTTTGACTATACCCATTGGAAGGTGTAACCTAGCTAGGGGGATGCCAGTTTTTCCCATTCTGAGAGTTAGAGGTTCTTGTCTACTTCCATAGAAAACCGGTCCCGTACTTGTGCTTCTTTGCAGGAGCCGTAGACTATAGCAAAACACAGTGCTTTAACTCTGAATGAAGCTCAATTTACCATTCGTGGGAAGAGTTCCCGCCAACGATGGCAGATTGTGGTTTAACTGATACCGACGTGTGGTTCCCAGCCTATTATGAGTCATAAATCGCTTAATTTTGGCGCTAGCAAGCTCAAAGTCTGTCAATATTTTACTGACCTATATTTGAAAAGTATTATGTTTCAAAAATTGGCATATTTCTTAAAATCTTATTTCTACCAGATATATTAAACATTTTGCACTTTATGGTACTGTCTGTTACAGTGGCCGAGTGGTTAAGGCGACACCCTGCTATTTCGCAGCTCAGGTGTTGGGCATTGCCTGCGCAGGTTCGAATCCTGTCTGTAACGCTTTCTTTTTATCGTGCTCGATTTTTTATCAGTACTGATGCGGCCCTGAAAAGATCGTTCACCTTCTATAGTGGCCACCATGTCTCAATCGCTTATTGTGTTTGAGCCATCAGGCAAGGTACTTCACCAAGTTAATAACAAGATTTCTCCCTTCAACGACCTCATTTACAGCATTGTCAATGACAGCCACACAGAGTTGAATCCAGGCTTTTACACCACACTGGCTTCTCAGAAAAGGTTCTACGCTTTAAAAAAAGCTGGTATCTACGCTGCGGTTTATCTTGATGTCGTCACGACCCTAGACAGCGATAAAGTAAGACAGTGTCTTCTGGATGTCTTGAGGACTTACACGGTAGTCACCGAGGAGGGTGAGACAGACTCACTGAAATTGACCAAGCTCATCGACTACCAGTTCAACCAATTGACCAAATTGAAGACTGGCGCTGGTGTGACAGAGAAGGCTCCTGTTGCAGAAAAGCCCACAAAGCCCGAACCCAAGGAAAAGACGAAGAAGAAGGGCGCCAAAACTATGAGAAAATGGGTCAATGGAGAGATGGTCGAGGTTCAAGAAAACAGCATATTGGATTACTCAGAGGGCAAAGGCGACTCGACCGACGCCTTCAGTGGCGCCGAGGAGGCCATTTCTGTGGATAATTCCAACTTCCAAAGAAGGGACGACCTAGTGTTGGTTAGTGAGCTTCAAGATATCTTGGGCGAAGAGAGTGATGAGGACGAGGACGCCCCCAAAACTATGACAAGCACTTTTTTCGGCAAGGTGTCATCCTACTTTGGCGGCGCTGCCGATATCAACGATGTTTCAAAGAAGTTCTACGACCAGCTCATATCCAAGAATATTGCTCCTCCAACAGCCTCTGCCATTCTCGACAAAATCAAAGCCAACATAGGGAAGAAGAGTGTCACTGTTGCTGAATTTAAGCTGGTGCTCACCGAGGAGCTTACCAAAACCCTTACTCCTAATGTCTCCACAGACCTTCTTTACGATATCAAGCGCAACAGTGCGGGCAAGAAGCGCCCTTATGTCATCTCTGTTGTTGGTGTGAATGGTGTGGGCAAGTCTACGAACTTGGCAAAGTTAGCATACTGGTTCTTGCAGAACAACTTGAATGTGTTGATCTGTGCCTGTGATACATTCAGATCTGGAGCCGTTGAACAGTTGAAGGTTCACGTCAACAACTTGCAAAGACTCAATGCCAATTCAGCCACCGAGTCAAAGATCGATTTGTTCGAAAAAGGATACGGAGGGGGTGATCATGTTGTCAACACTGCCAAACTGGCCATCAATCATGCACAGGAGGAAGGTTACGACATTGTCTTGATCGATACCGCTGGTAGGACCCATTCCAACGCTAAGCTCATGGCTCCACTTAAGAAGTTTGGCGACGCTGCCAACCCAGACAAAATTATCATGGTGGGAGAGGCTTTAGTGGGAACTGACTCTGTGGAACAGGCGGTCAATTTCAACAACGCCTTTGGTAACAGGCGTAACCTCGACTTCTTCATAATCTCCAAGGTGGATACAGTGGGAGATTTGGTTGGTTCGATGATAAACATGGTGATGGCGACCCGAGTGCCTATCTTGTTTGTGGGAACAGGACAAACATACACAGACATCAAGAAGCTCAGCGTGAAGAGCGTTGTTGATATGCTCACTCGATGATAGCATCTATAACTAAGTTTACCTTACCAGCAATTCTGGCATTGCACACTAGGATACATTGGTGTTTCCATCGAATATGGAGAAGAGGAGCATTTAATTCTTCAAAGCATAGCAGTCGATGTGCCCGACCAATATGCATAATTAAGAATCTAGCTTCCCATATTTTCGGGCTTGCAGGCGATGGTAATTAATATGACAACCATTCACCCTCTTGCATGAGGCAACACTGGCTTTACATGATCCTGAGTCTAGATTAATAAAGTAGTCTCGAATGTGTCGAGAAGAATGTTTATTGGTTCCTTGCTCTCTCAATTCAATCTGGCTTGAGAGGGTATGATTATGGCACGTTGCCAAAATGCCCGGCTTCTCCAGTATCAATGAACTTGTTTGCTGGAAATTCACTATTAATATCAACCCTTGCGTCATGGTTGCAACGGCAATTATGGGCACTTTAATTATTCTTCAATACACCAATCGTAGGCCATAAATAGGCCCTGTGTGGTATTTGAGCTGGCTCTTCTGTAGCTTTGAAAGCTGGTTGACGAGAAATACAAGGACGGAAAGCTATGCTTCACAATTTTATAGCGAAGATCAGCCCTACAGACACCTCCCCCGAGCTTGGATACAAAGCAGACACACTAACTATAGGATGCCGTTCAAACCACGGTATCAGGAACTTCATGCTCGTGCAATAAGAGAGCTTATTACACTGAAGTGGACGAATTTCTCATTTGAGTTTTGGCATAATATCGGTGCTAGAGAGAGGTTTGAGATGGCCAGAGTTCTCAATTACGGATTGCTTAGTTTGCAAAATAATATTCTAGAGTGGCAAGATTGAAGACTTAAAGGCGAGTTTTTTCAAGATTTCCCTCGATACCAAGCGATATATGGAAGCATCTTAGATAGCTGTGAGAAGCTCTGGTGTTATGCCAATGATTTCCGGGCTGCATTTAACAAGGGACAATTTGTCTGCCGCTTGTGGGAACTATATAATATTGAGAGTTGGTTCCAAGGCCCGGAAGACCCCACACCTGAGATACTACAAATCATGGGGATGTGTCTCAAACAAATCTTCGACGAATTGGGCGAATTAGAAGGTAAATTACGTCTGATGTTAGTTTATTTGCTCCCGTTTTGCCTGGAAATATTCGGCGGATGATCGAAGGATAAAAGACAACTTGCAGAGGTTGATAAATTATCTCGATCGCAGTCCATGTGGAAATCCACGCCGCTTCTAGATTACAAAAGGTGACTTGATCGCTTGCTGAGAAGGACTATAAAAGAAAAATGCCACAACAGAGATATACAAGGGAGAGATACCATTTCTTCCAATTTGGAGGGTATAATTGGTGGTACGGGATGTATCGAAGAAGAGACCCGGATGACGTATATGTAAGGGGACGACATACCTATTGGTCAGGGTTGAAATATGAAGTGTTTGAACGCTGGACAAACTCACAATGCTTCCTCGATTCGATTTGTATGACAATTGGGTTAATAAAATTGCGGTTCACCGAGTACAAGGAAAAAGCACTCAATAAACCAATATCAAACGATCAATTGCATTTGGCATTCGGGGGACTTTGCGCAGACCTTCAATGGATTTACGAAGATATTCTCGAGGGAAAAACTCATGAGTTGCCCAAAAATCTGGCCACACCTTTGGAAAGAATCAAAAACGACGCAGAAATGCTCAAAGAGCTCTTTCGAGTGGTTCGAACTTACGCCATTGTCCTTCTGGAGCAGACCGAAAGGGACCCAATTGAAGACATTGCGCCGCAATTGGATGCCTTCATCTTTTGCGTACACATTGCACGACGTGATATTCAACGTGCCTTCAAATTCGGGTATTATTACCCAAGTAAGCCAGAACCTCTTTTTAGCGATTGGCTGGGAACTTTTAATGCTGAGTGAACCGACCGCTCTTGAGTAACAGTAAGAGATTTGTATAGTAAGCCAGACTTTTCGAAATACGTGTGCTGTGGACGTCTCCGTTAAAAATATCCAATAGCGAGAGTCACGCAGAATACTTGGAGAAGATATAAATACTTCTTCACCACCACATCTTATGAACTTCAAGGCCATCTTCGCAAATGAGCGCTGATAGTGAATCCAACGAGATTTTAATAGATTTTTCGGTACCCCGATATCATCAGGAGCCGGATGAAGAGAGAAAAGTAGCGAGCGCTTTGGCACTTTCTGAACTGGAGATGCCATCTCTGTGGCTGCAGTTTTCTCTGTTGCAAAGCCACGAAGTTTCACTTATAGGCCAGGTTTGCAAGCTTAAAGTACAAGTGCAGGCAATCGAAGGGCTTTTACTTCAATATTTAAGCTTGATGAGGGACCATATGAAGAAGTTCACCGACGCTGAAGTCTTGACAATGCAAACAGGCTTTGCTGCCAACTTCAACGTTCTCATCAAGGGGATCAATGAGCTCAGTGAAGATTCTCAAGCAAAACATTCATACGTCAAGAGATGAAGAAAATGGTGAGGTTTGGCAGTTCGCTCAGGAGTTTAATTGATGAGCAGCTTCTCACCATCAAGCGAGACGACAACGGCTTGTGGGTATCAGAAGCTCTATTTGTGTACCACGAAATTTATAAAATTTTAGGCAAGTTGCAGAGGCATTTGGATGGAGTCGATCAGCGGTTTGCGCTGGTTTACAGGGAGGTTTTGTCAGAAGGTCGTAGAAGGTACTTGAAATGTCCGAAACCTGATAATCCAACGTACTGGCAGGAAGTTCTATTTTATACCGGCAAGTACTACGACGCAAGATTCTTTGGATAACCATGCGTCGCTAAGTGCTTTTAAACAGTTACTGCTAAGGTTGTCCAAAATAAACAAATCATCTCTAATGGCGTTTTTTGAGATCGACTGACTACTTAGCCTGACCGGTGTTGGATGGGTCTCCTCACTGCGACGTCATAGCTGCGACTGTGCCGTCTCGGCTATGCATCTAGAAGGAAGCTGCCATTGTCAAGGCCATGGCTAGCAATTGAGGCCGTTCTTTTTCAGATTTATCGGTCAAGCTGAACCTCCACTGTTTGTAAAATTTCCGTAATCCCACTCAAGTAAACCTCTTGTTTTCCCCATCGAGCCTTCCGTCGGAGCTTATCGTGGAAAACTGCCCCGCGCGAATGTTTGCACCCATATCCTGGCCGGCAAGCACGGGTATACGGACAAAAAAGACATACACTACATTTTTCTTCTTTCGTCTCTTCCTGTCGACGAAAAAACTCCCAGTTTATTTCCCTTTTTCACCTCCAAAATCGAATTTGTACCTCTGGTGGCCGCAGGCTGTGCGAAAAGCAAAACGGGCTAACCGATCCCCATCTTCAGATCCAAGGGTCCAGCAGGCCAAACAACCATGATACTCCGCCGCAAGTCCAAAAAAGCTTCCGGCTTGAAGCTCAAGGTCACCGCATTTCGAGCCGCAGACCTCTGCTTGCCTGAATCGTACAAGGGCAAGCTGGTCAATGCTGCATTGCTAGTTCAGCTCAACAACTTCAAGAAGAGAAGCAGAAGGAAGCTCAACACGTCACACCCGCTGTGGGACGACGAATTCACCATATCCTTGAAAAACGGCGACTGCTCGCAGCTCCTCACGCTTTCCGTCTGGAGCAAGCTGGCTCGGTCTAAAACATACCTAGGGGAGGTCAGACTATTGCTTTCTGAAGTCTTCGCTAACGGCACGGCCACACCGGCGAAGTGGTACAAGCTCTTCTCGAGCCGGCATGAACACAGCTTTGTCACGGGGCTGTTGCTTCTATCCTTTGAGCTATTCGTGAAGGAAGGCATTGAACTCAAAGAAGGTGGCACTCCAGGCCCACAACTCAAGGTGACTCCGCCCACCCAGCACAATTTGGCCACGGAGTTCCCGTCAACGCCTCCTCGAGAAAGCACGCCTCTAGCGGATGATTTGGCAGCGCTAGATGTTTCAGAAACGGAAGATTCACCCACAGACGTCAGACTAGCCTTCAGAGCCTGGCTTGATTCCCTCATGTATAGGGAACTCAGCTCTGTGGCCAATCCGGACGAGCAGAGCTTTTATGCCGATGTCAATGGCCAGATGCTGGACCTAGCATTCACCGATGCCTCTGAGGCAGAATCCATTGAGTCGCCTAGGAAACCCAAACGGTCCACCTCGGACTCGAGTCCTCGACAGTTTCTCCAGAACAGTCAGTCTCAGCAGCTTTTTGGAGAGTTGTACAAGACCGATAATCATTTGAAGGTTGTTACTGACGAGGGGGAGGACTCGGCCAGTATGTCTGAGGCATCTTCCGCTACTAGTGTGGGCTCTATTTATGCTAGTGACGGCGGTGGCCTCTATTCAGATAACAACTTGAGTGGCCTGGAAGCTCCCAAAAAGCGCAGATTCAGAAAGAAGAAAGTCACGTCCAGCTACAAACTACAGAACAGAAAAGTCAAAGGAGTCCTTTTCGTGGAGATTCTACTGGTTACGGATTTGCCGCCGCTTCGAAACTTCACCAGGACCACGTTTGACATGGACCCGTTTGTCGTGGTGACATTCGGAAAGAAGACCTTCAGAACAAGCTGGAAGCGTCATACCTTGAATCCGATTTACAACGAGCGTCTTGCTTTCGAGATTCTCGAGCATGAACGCAACTATAACGTGCAATTCTGCGTGCTTGACAAGGACCACTTCTCATTTCACGATAAAGTGGCTGACGTATCTATTCCTATCTCAGAGCTCATGGATGTTGCACAAGAACAGGATGTCGAAGCATCTTCAACAGCATCCAGGCCTTCTGCCGGTTCAAATGCTAGTACAACCTCCATACCCAGACCGCCCTTTAGTTCAAGCGCTAGCTCCAAAGCTGTGCCTAGCTATATGCTGATTGAGCGCACAAAGCTGACTAGTTCTCTTGCATCTGTCAACGACACCAGTGGCTCCCAGAATACTGTCATGTCAATGGCCGAGGACCCAAACATCGTGACCACATCGAAGAAGAAAAAGTTCAGAAAGCGCCAATATTCGCTTAAGTACATTGACACCTCCCACTTCAAAACTCTTGATCTTGCATTGACTCTTCACAAGGAGAAGCTTGCTGCAAACCATGCCACCACCATACGCATTCGTGCAAGATATCTCACCTACGAGAACCTCCGAAGAGACTTCTGGGCGATCCTTTTGGAACAGTTCAATGTGAATGAAACCCCAGGGCAGCTCGATTATATCGAACTCATCTCGCTCCTCGATACCCTTGGATGTGACAACAGTGATGACATTGTCACGAATTTTTTCAATAAACTCGACCGATCGCCCTGGGGAGGTGACACACTCTCCCACGAAGAAATCATCGACTGCTTGGAAGATTACTTGCTTCACGAATCAGAGGGTCAGATTTTCGAAATACATAAGTGCCCAATTTGCTGCAAGAAGCGTCTCTCAAAGAAGCAGGACCAAGATATTATTACTCATGTTGCCATTTGCGCTTCGAAAGATTGGAGTATTGTCAGCAAGCTCTTGAACTCCTCATTTGTCACTCCACAGGCTGCGTCCAAACGTTGGTTCACTAAAGTCTTGATCAAGTTGACCTACGGTAAGTACGGCCTTGGTAGTAATTCTGCCAACATTTTGGTGCAAGATAGGTCAACGGGTATCATCATGGAAGAGAAGATGAATGTGAGTGTCAGACTTGGTATTCGTCTTCTTTACAAGGGCCTTGACAAGGCCAAGACCAGACGTATCAGAAACCTCCTCAAAAAGATGAGTGTCAAGCAGGGCGTTAAGTTTGACCTTCCACAGCTGAAAGCTGATATCAATTCATTCATTAAGTTCCACAAGCTCGATTTAAGCGAGTGCCTCATAAGTGACCCGCTGAAGTTTGAGACCTTCAATGACTTCTTCTACAGGAAGCTTCGACCAGAAGCCAGACCTGTGGAGGCACAATCCGAGGAAAGAATAGCCGTTTCTCCCGCTGATTGTCGATGTACCACGTTTGTCACTGTTGACAGTGCCACCGAGCTTTGGATCAAGGGCCGCAACTTTAGCGTCGCCAAGCTCTTCAATGGTAACTACATCGGACTAGAGGATACTGACTTGTACAACTCAGGAAAGTGCAGCATTGGTATTTTCAGGTTGGCTCCTCAGGACTATCACAGGTTTCACTCGCCTGTCACAGGCAAAATAGGGCCGATTAAGTACATCGAAGGAGAGTACTACACCGTCAACCCGATGGCCATCAGATCCGATTTGGATGTTTATGGAGAGAATGTCCGAGTGATTGTGCCCATTGAGACAGAGCATTTTGGCACTGTCGTCATGGTTGCTGTTGGAGCCATGATGGTAGGCTCCACGATCATCACCGTTGAGGAAGGTCAAACGGTGAACCGCGGTGACGAAGTCGGGTACTTCAAATTCGGAGGATCAACCGTGCTTCTTCTTTTTGAAAACAGCAAATTCACGTTTGACCACGATCTTGTTGATAACTCGTCCCTGTGCGTGGAAACCTTGGTGAGGGTGGGTCAGAGCATTGGCCATTCGCCCGACATCGAGGAGTATAAGCGTGAGAGAATTGATTTCAGCAAACAGCCAAAGGATATCAAACTTCATATCATTCGTGCCATCACAGGAGGCGATCTCAACAACATGGAAGAGTTGGGCAGTTGGGAAAGTCAAAACATCAAAATCACCGACGAGGATGTCCGGCAATTGATGGCAGAAGAGGAGGATGACTTGGAAGGAGATATTGGCAGTTCAGACGAGGAAGGCTCGCTAGATGAATAATCGAATCGTGTTTGTTCAAAGGGGTCTTAGTAATGCTTGCATTGAGTACATACATGGGGTTCCAGACCCCGGCAGAATTAAAGACAGCTATGCGAGAGAGTGGGAACATGTCAAGGGTTGATACAAGTCAGCCTCACGGAATCCACGGGACTCCTCCAATATCCTGACATTCCAACCAACAAAGTCGATCTCATGCCTTATTTTCCAGAGTTCCCTCTGGGCGTCGCCTAGCCAGCGTGGTTTGATATAAAGCTGGGTGGCCACGATAGGCACGATCAAGCCGATGGAAAAACCTAAAAGAGGACCTTTAAAAGAACCAGCAGGCATGGAATAGCACTAATGTGGTGGATATGTGGAGGGGATGGGAGCCTTATATACCCGGGGGAATGGCAACCTGTTTGGCCCCTCCTCGGGAGCTTTGGATGCACCTTGGCATCACAACTCTGCACGGAGTGCATGCTTTTAGACTAACTTCGGATGGTGCCGAGATAACCGACGCGGTTTGCCTTATTCTAATGAAATCAGGCGATTTTAGAAAATCACGTCATTGCATTCTACGACTGTCAATATTGATTTTGAAGTTTTGCCAGATTTTCCGGTCGGGTCGACTCGACTCCACGTTTCGGCACATGGCACATGCGGAAAAGTGAGAGCACTAGTGTCGTTATCGTCTGCAGGAATATATGGGGTAAGCCGCACTGGACGCGCAGACGTACTGAACCCGGAGAACTACGGAACAAACCACTCTTTTTTGTGACAATTAATTCCATTACTTCCCACAACTCCTCTCTAAAATATGCTTCCTAAAACTGTTCTGTAAGCGTGTTTGCAACGCGAGTCTATTTCTGTTGCTTTCCTCCGTACAAGGCCTTCCACTCGTCTATCTTCTTCTCGTCGATTCTCTTGAACAAGTACTGGGCCTTGCCAATATTGTGGCCTGGCTCCAAAACAAGCTCAAACTTGTCTGTGATAGACAATGGTGGAGCAGCCAAGGTCTCCAGGATCTGGTTTCTGGTCTCTGGCATGAATGGACAGATAATGGCAGAAACAAGGTAGATCAAGTTCAATCCAACACCGACAACGGCATCCGACACATCTGGAGAGTCGTTGAAAAGAGAGTTGTCCAACTTGTTGTCCTGCAAGAACTGGTTACCTCTGGACGAAATAGCCATGGCCAACTCCAAACCTCTTCTGATGCTGACAGCCTCCATGGCCTCGATGTACTGAGCCAACAACGAGTTGACATCGTCTGCGAAAGCCTGGTAGTTGGGGATGTTCTTGGGGTCAAACTCGGGGATCACACCGTTGTACTTGGCGATGGTGAACTTGACTAATCTGTTGACGAAGTTACCCAAGTTGGCCAAAAGCTCCGAGTTGTTCTTCGTGACAAACTCCTTCCAGGAGAAGTGAGAGTCCGAGGTCTCTGGTCTCACCGAGGCCAAGTAATATCTCCAGACAGATGGCGAGATGCCAGTGTCCTTGGCGTTGTTGCCGAAAACACCCACACCACGAGACTTGGAGAATTTGCCGTCCTCGTACTGCAAGTACTCTGTGGTGTTCAAGTGGTGCAACTTGGTCCACTTCTCTCTGGTACCAATCTCAGAGGCTGGGAAAACCACAGTGTGGAACGGCACGTTGTCCTTACCCATGAACTGGTAAAGTTCAACGTTCTCTGGGTTCTTCCACCACTTCTCCCAGGCCTTAGGCTCAGCCTTTTCCTTGAAGTAGTTGGCGGTGATGGAAACATAACCAATACAGGCGTCAAACCAGACATAAAGCACCTTTTCACCGTAGCCCTCCAATGGAACAGGAGTACCCCAGACCAAGTCACGAGTGATACATCTTGGCTCCAAGCCCTGCTTCAACCAGGAGTTAGTGATGGTCTTGGAGTTCTTGGACCAGTCGCCCTTCTCGGAGGCCTCCGTAACCCACTTCTTAAGTTCAGGCTCCAACTCGTTCAATTTGAGGTAAATGTGAGTGGACTCTCTGACATCTGGAGTAGCATTGTCGAGCTTACAGCGAGGGTTGATCAACTCCAATGGGTTCAACAAACCACCACACTTGTCACACTGGTCACCACGAGCGTCCTCGTAGGCACACTTTGGACAGGTACCTTCGACGAATCTGTCAGCCAAAAACGCCTTGTGAACAGGACAGTACAACTGCTCGGTGGTCTGTTCCTCCAAGAAGCCGTTCTGGTGCAACTTCAAGAAAATGTCTTGGGCAATCTCTGTTTGCAATGGGGTGGTGGTACGGCCAAAGTGGTCAAACTCGATGTCAAACCAGTCGTACACCTCCTTGTGCAACTTGTGGTACTTGTCACAAAGCTGCTGTGGGGTCACCTTATCCTCGAGAGCCTTGGTCTCGGTGGCAGTACCGTACTCGTCGGTACCACAAATGAAAAGAGCGTTGTAGTTTCTGTTTTTAGCATAACGGGCATAAATATCAGCAGAAAGCACAGAGCCCACGACATTACCCAAATGAGGAACGTTGTTGACGTATGGAAGAGCAGAAGTGATAAGAATGTTTCTCTCGTTCTCCTTGGGCTGGATGCTGTTTCCTTGTTCCTTAACCAAAAAGCCAGTCTTCACTTTGGTGGCACCAGTAGCAGCTGCCACACTTCTCTCGGTGGAAGTAGCAGATTTAGCTTTAGTAAGAGCCTCAGCGATCTTGGGGTCCTTAGCAAATTCAGCCGCCCAGGAGCCGAGGTCGGAGCCCTCCAACTCCTTAACAAATGGGTACACAGCACCGAAAACGATGATGTTAGCGCTGGACTGCTTGGAGTCTGGGGTCTGGAGCTTCTTCAAGGCATCCACAGCCTGGTCCTTTTTACCGCTCTTGAAAGCCTGGTAGACCTCAGACTCCTCGATTTCGGTATTTTTGTCACTGGCAAAGTCGCCCAGAACGTACTTGACGATGGCGTTGGGCTCCACGAGCTCAAAGCCGGACTTGGGGTCCTTGAGCTGGAGAGATGAGTCATCTGATCTGGCAAAGTCCACCTTGGGGGCAAAAAGCGCCACGGCAACAGCAACCTTGACGTTGTTGGCCTGCGCAAGAAGACCCTTGCCTTTGTCTGCAGCGACCACGAAGGACATATTTGACGTTTTGTGGGAATATAGGTTCGGAATTTTTTTCCAGTGAGTCTGATATACTACCTCCGTGCACCACCAAAAAGGTCCAGTGCCGGGCCAAATTTGCCAAAGTCCTAGGATTTAGATGAAGTGGGGTTTTTAAAAGATTGTGAAAATCAAGTGAGTCAGCTGTTTTGGTTTTTTGGGTTGGGGATTGCCGTTTTGTGGTCAATTTGGTGGATGACGATAAGGCGCATCCACAGTGGATAATGATGATCTGAGGATGCGTCGGATGTGACTGAGAGCTGACTCCACTGTGGGGAGAGGAGGGGAACGGCCCTTCTTCTTTTAGATTTTTTATAATGTGTTTTAAAAGAAAATTGCTAGTGAGGCTTTGAAATTGAAGTATTTTGAGAAAATTGTCAATTTGGCGAGACCGGGTATTCTGGACTGAAGTGGTGTGGGCGGTGATTTTTCGCAACCATTGTCAAGGCAATTCTACCCTACCTTCAACAAATACTTACAAAAGGATCTTTAACCCATTTGAAGCTGGCTCTTTATACTCTTAACAATCTTAGAAATCTGACGAAAAATTCTGAAATACCACTGCCTTCACAATTCCAGGAATGGCCTGTACTTCTTGCTCCCCCATCAGCGTAGTACCACACTATCGTGCTTATACAAAAATCGTAATCCCAATCCTGTTTCCAGATTCCATTCCCCAACGGATCCATTTATTTCAAGTAAAACAACCCTCCTCCTCCGTTCACCTCCACCGTGCTCCATGATATACCTGCAGTGCGCACCGGCCTTGGCTACAACTCCTGCTTAATCTCATACGCCATCTTCAACATGCACCGATTGAGCAGTAGGCGCTTGGCCACGGCTATCAAGGACCCCTACAATGCTTTCATTTCAATTCGTCAATCACCTAAACAAGGCGAAGGCCCACTTGCTCCGCTTACTTGGGTTGCCAAAGACAACATCACCACTACCGAAGAACCCACCACATGTGCTTCAGCGGCGCTTAAAAACTACTACAGCCCGTTTGACGCCACGGTAGTGAAGCTTCTTGACGAGGCCGGGGCGACTTTGGTGGGAAAGGCCAATTTGGACGAATTCGGCTTGGGCTCTTCAAACACCAATTCTGCCTTTGGGCCCGTGAAGAACCCATTGTATGAGGAGTTTCGGGTTGCCGGAGGCTCTTCTGGTGGTTCGGCTGCTGCAGTTTCTGGAGAACTCTGTGATTTTTCTCTAGGTACCGATACTGGAGGATCTGTGAGACAACCGTCTAGTTACTGTGGTGTCCTTGGATTCAAGCCTACGTACGGACGTATTTCCAGATGGGGAGTTGCAGCATATGCCCAGGGTTTTGACACTGTGGGAATTGTGGCTCGTGACTTCTCTGTCATTCGCAGAACGTTCGATGTGATAGATAAGTACGATGAGAAGGATGTCACAGCCATGCCTCCGTGGATTAGGAATAAATTTGGCGCAGCTCACTTGCCTGAAAAGCTCAGAATTGGCGTGCCCAGAGAGTTTTTGGTGGGAGAATTGCTGGAGGAAACAAAGAAGGAATACTCCACCACTTTGGAGAACCTCATGAAAGCAGGCCACACGGTCGTGCCGGTTTCCTTGCCCAGCATCAAGAAGGCGCTTCCAGCCTACTATACGTTGGTATCTGCAAGCGCTGCATCCTCTCTTTCTAGATTTGACGGTGTGAGATATGGCGTCCTGGTGGGACCTCAGTACCCTGAAACCATCATTCCCGAAAACAGAGCCCATGGACTCGGCACTGAAGTGAAGCGCAGAACGCTATTGGGAAACTTCACCCTTTCGTCTGAATCAGGAGACCATTTCGTACGTGCCACAGGCATTCGTGAGCATTTGGTGGAAGAAATTAACGATGTGCTCCAGTTTCCAAACCACTTGATCAATACTGAGGGAAATCCAGACGGTGTTCATGTTTTGGTGGCACCCACGGCATTTGGCATTGCACCCACGATCGAAGACTACAAGCTGGCTTGCAGAACGAGTCTTGTGAACGGTTACATTAACGATATCATGACGATTCCCGCCTCGTTGGCCGGATGCCCGTCGATCTCCGTCCCTATGAGGAATCGCCGTTACGGTATTCAGGTGATGACACAGTACGGTTTTGATCGCTTCCTCCTCAAGGCAGCTGAGCTCATTGAGGCCCACAAGTAGGAGCACACTTCACCAGATAATGATATAATTTATAGAGCCATCAATCGATAACGAAATCTACACTTATTTACTCTAAAACATGCATTGTATAGAACTGAATGAGGTGAATCATAGCGTCATTATGGAGGGCCCGTTGAGAGACCCAGCGCTGCACCGATGCAAGAAAAAGGCCTACTTGCGGCCCAAGAGCGTCAAAAACTCGTCACGAGTCTTTTGCTGCTGGCGGAAACAGCCCAACATGCAGCTTGTGGTGGTGGAAGAGCCCGTTTTTTGGACTCCTCTGCTCACCATACACATGTGGGTGGCTTCAATCACCACGGCTACGCCTCGAGGATGCAAAATCTCGCTCAAAGCCATGGCGATCTGCTTGGTCAAACGCTCTTGCACCTGGAAACGGCGGGAGTACATTTCGGCGAGCCTGGCCAACTTTGAAAGCCCCACCACTCGCTTATTGGGGATGTAGGCAATGTGGGCCTTGCCAAAGAACGGAACCAAATGGTGCTCACACAAGGAATAAACCTCGATGTCACGCACAATGACCATTTCGTCGTGGTCCTCCTCGAACACTGCTCTTTTCACCACATCTCTGATATTGTCCTCGTAGCCCTTGGTGAAGTAGAGCATTGCTCTGGCGTACCGCTCGGGCGTCTCCAAAAGACCTTCTCTGTCGGTATCTTCACCAAGCTCGTGTAAGATCGATTTCACTGCCGAGGCGATCCGAAGTTCTCTACCTTTGGCTTCCTCTGGCGTTTGTTCGATTCTGCTTCTGGCACCTTTGGATGGCCACGAAAGACCGTCAGAATCGATAGGCGGGTTCAAAGTGCATGGCGAAGCAGCTCTGGTCTGAAGAGGGGTGCCGTACTCCCGGACAATGTATGAAGCCTGGGACTTCTTCTGTTTCTTAGCCGCCAGCTCTCCCAAAACCGGTTTGGGTCTGCCGATACCGTTGGCAACGTCGGCGTGGGTTGTGTCTGTAGAAGCAACGGAGTCAGGCCTGGCTGACTCGGGCTCCTGGTCGGACATCGGTGTATGGTCTGATTGCAATGTGGATGATGTCAGGGAGAAGGAGCTGAAAATTTTGACCCTGCTATCTCTTTATCACGAGGTGCACGGGTGTGTGTAGTTGACAGTGGTGGATCTGGTAGCTTTTGGGCCCTTTTTGAGTTTTTTATTGATGTGGCGAGTTTGGTGTTTAAAAGGAGATTCCGGGGTGTCTTGATTTGTGTGTATTGTGGAAGTTTGACGGCGAAGTTATGACACATTGAGCATCGTTCAGCTGCACCGTTTGTTGAGACCATGCATGAAGGAAGAGCTCTTGCATTGATTGGAATGAAAACGGCGATGCCGATTTGGTTCAAAGACGATTATGAAGGGAAGTCTTTGAAATGCACGCTATTGAAAGATTTTATAGTCACAGATCTTTGATTTTTCACAAGATGATTCGAAAAGTTGTGTTATTAGGAAAGTGTGGGGCAGATAGGCCTAATTAGATTAACGGCAGTGAGACGGAAAAGGCATCCCCTCGGGCGGGAATTCCAACTTTTCTTTTCCATTGTGATTTCTAAGGATTATCTTAAATTTACTAAATGTCACATTGTGCATCCTTTGAGGTGCTTTAGTGGCTCATTCGTGCCTAATTAATTAATGCGAGAAGTCAAATGGTGAGCGCTTTGACACATAATGAGGGGAACGGCATGGATCACAATAAAGTTCAATGTCACGCAAAACCGATCTTTACGTCTATGACACTTTCTGATCTCACTACTCGTAAAACTACGCCTCGACCTCTGCTACAACAATTCAATATTATCTGTATTACCAGTATGCTCAAAGTTCGTGATTCGTTATGCCTCGGCGAATGGATTCAAGACCCGCACCGTCAAACATGGCAACGCCATGCCCTTACCGATCTCGGCCCGCAACAAAACGGGCACCGGCTGCATTTCACGAATCTCTTGGATGTAAGACTTGTTTTCCACACGGGTGACGACGTCTTGCAAGTAGGGACTCAAGCCACCGTCGTCGGAAGTGGTTTCATGGAAAGCCCCAGAGCCAGGCCGGCTGCCAAACTGGCTGATGGATGGTGACGAAGGGATTGATTTCCAGGGCTTGATTTGTGGTGGAGCCACCTTAGGAACGCTGAGCTGCAACGCCGACAACTTCTCAATCACGCTGTCAGGAACAATGTTGTTGTTTCTCTCGGTAGCGTTCTTGCGCTGGATCTTGGCAGCCTCCAGCGCTGATGTGCGGTACTTGTTCTTGATCGACAGACGGTAACTCAATGATGACTTCTCGTCGGGTGGAACGTAAGTTGCGGAGTCTACACCCTTCTCCCAAAACAACTCAAGCACACGGTTTGCCTTGTCGAACTCAGCCTTCACCAAAGGTAATTGGTCACCGTGTACTCTCTTCTCAATGCCAAACTCAGGTATGAATACATCGAACGAAGACTCATAAACCTGAAGCACGGTGCCCATCACTAATAACTGGCCCGCATGCTCGCTCATCTCGTTGATTGTTTGTGATAACAACAAGTGGATACCTTGCTCTTGAGCATTAGCAGCGCAATCCTTCTTGAAGTTACAGTAGACAGAGATGGCATTCAAAGCGTCCAAGTCTGGAGATTTCTCTCTCTCAGCAGCTTGGATCACTTGCTTCACCTGCCGGTGCACAATGAGATCGGCAAAACGGCGCAATGGCGATGTGAAATGAGTGTAAAGTGGTAAGTTCAAGTAGTAATGCGAGTAATTCTCAGGGTCTTGCTTACCTGCAATGTAGTACTTGGCTCTGGGCATGCACTTGTACAACAACGTCTCGATACATTGTCTCTTGAGTGGATCGTCAATTTTCAAGATTGACTGCTGCAAAGTGCTTGGTGTGGAGGTATCGATTTTGAAGCCCAAGTTAAATGCTTTACGTGAAAAGTTTTCAATCTTTTGCAATGTGGGCAATGCCTGGCGACGCAAGAATGCCTCGTCACCCAAGGCGGCATGCACTTTGACAGCAATGGTAGAGTTAACCTTGTAGCCAATTTCTGATACGATGCTAAGAGCTGAGCTGCTTTCAAAAATGTTCATATGCAACCTGACCTTCTCGTCATCAATCTGATCCAAGAGGGTCAAGCTAGGACTGATTCCGAGGGTCTTGTCATTCAAACGCTGACGACGGAATTCTTTGGCAATAAGAGCGAATGTCTTGATGTAGTCACATGTGGCTTGAGTGATTTCGCCGTTGATTTTACCGTTACCAAGGATGGCATCGACATCATCGAAAGACACTGTCAGCTTAGGTACGACGACAGATTCCCGGATATGCACATTTTCGACTTCGAAGGAAGTAGTGTCAATCTCGAAGGTGACAGACACAGCCAAGCTCTTTTCATTGTCCTTAAACGAGATCAAATCGTTCACCTCTGAAGGGAACAAGTGAGCAGCCTTTTGAGGCAAGAATACCGATGAGGAAATCTTCTTCGCTTTTCTTTCCAAAACGGAGCCTGGCTGGACGTAATGAGAGATGTCAACAGCATGGAAACCTAATTCAATGATAGTGTTGCTAAGACGCTTGACGTGCATGGCATGGTCGACAAATTCATTGTTTTCCGTGAATGCAACGACGTAGTCGTTGAAGAATTCGGCTCTGTTGGGGTTCGCCAACTCAATCTCGACACTAGGTACCGAGGACAACAAGGACTTGATGTATCCCTCATCGCCGGTGGGGTATTCGGAGCACAGGAAATTGTTGTCAGAAAAGATGGCATCAATACCAACTTGAGGGTCATCAATGCAGCCGAGCTTGTCGCCTAAGGTACCGAATGGATGCAAGGAAGTAATTGGCCATCTCTTGATGGATGCAATGAACAATTGATCGGCATATGCTTCGTGGTTGTCAACAAAATCTTTGGGTGCTTGCTCGGTTGGAATGGCAATCAAAGGAACCCTCTTGTCGGTAGGCTTGAACCAAACAATCTTAGGAGCTTTGGGAGTCTGGACAGAAGGCTCCTTGCCAGACTTCTTGTCAATGGCAGCCTGCGCGGCCTGAGCAGGTCTCAAGAGGCCAAGAGTACCTGTAAAAATTTGACCAGGAATTCTGTCAACCACAGCAACAACGTGTCCAGCATACAAGGGCTTCACATCGTCGTTGATCTCTTCCTCTTCAACCAAGAGCAACGACTGACCCTCGACTTCGACATCGTCGTTCTTCTTCATGGTTGGACGCTGCTTGAGAGAACCCCTACGTCCAAGACCCTCATCGTCCTTGGAGTCTTCATTCAGTGTGGAGGTGGCGTCATTGTGGATGTCGTCGCTCAAGACGGAGGTGTTTTTCAGCAAGGTGTTGTCCTTACGACGCTTCTTCTCCTCCTTCTCCTTCTTAGACTCCCAGACTTCGTCGACGACCAACAATTCAACAGCCACAAGGTCGCCCTCAAGCGCACGGTTACGGTCCTTGGAACCACAAATGAAAATGTCCGCATCCAAAAGACCGTCGGTGGAGACATAGGCGTCAGATCTGTTTTTCTTGTTCACACGCAAGATACCGGTGACAAGACGGCCATCGTTGATCAATTCAGGCAAAGACAGCTGTGGCAAGTAAGGAGCGAAAAGAGACTTTCTGCCGCTGCCTTGGCCGCCGCCACCCTGGTTGGGCATGAACTGCAGCAACGACAGCACCAGGCCGCCAAAGGAGGAGCCCCTACCCTTGTGACCAGGTACGAATTGAGGAGGCTCCAACGCCAGCAGGGTTCTTTGGTGAGCGGGCTGCTGTTGAAGGCGCCAATTGGAATTAATGCCATCTGTCTTGGAATTCAGACGAGCATGAGAGCCCCGTCTCAGGTGGCCCTGACTGCCCCGTTCTGGCGAAAGCAGAAATGTGGGTGCAGGGGGATGCAACGGGTTGTTGTCGGGAGGAAATTTAAACTGCTGGTACAGGCGAGAACGAGAATGGCCTCTGGGAGAGCCTTCGGAGGCAGCAGCGGCGTAATTGGGGCTGGGGAAACGGAAGTCCAGCTGGAGCTGGCCAGAGGCACTCTGACCCAAAGGCAGGCCCTGTGGCTGGAGCGGCTGGCTCAGTGGCTGGAGGAAACCCTGGCTGTCTTGAGGAGCCTGAGTTTGTCTTTGGTTTGCGGCGGCCTTGATAGCCTCGTTCAAACCCAATGAGTGACGACGGGAATGGCCCTGGGAAGAAGCAGAACCGGTACGCCGGTGGCCGCCACCCTGGGATGGCAGTCTTTGGTGACCTTCAAGGAGCTGTTTCTGCTGCGACTGGACAGCTTCCAACTGACGCTGTAAGTTGTACTGCTCCACCATCAAGGTGGTCAACTCGGACGGCGAACGGCGGTGGGCGATATAAAGATTCTTTTTGCGGCCCTGGCCGGACTGGCCGGGCGATTCGGAGCCGGACATCCCTGAGGTGTTGTAGTTGTGGGTTGGTGATAAAAAGCGGTGGTTTTTTGCGAGCAACAGACAGGAGGCAGGGGTGTCCGTAACAAATGGCCAGAGAAGGGTTAAAAATAGTATATGCTGGCTGGGAAAGAATTGCAAGTGGAAGGAAGGGACTCAGGGTTCGGCGTAGGTGTTATTTTTTCTCAATTGAGTGAGCTGTTCAAATGTTGGCTCTTGCTCGCAGCAGGCTCGGACAGATGCACTAGGGATTGTCACGAGGGAGAAAAACAAGGATAAATCCACCGAAGCAGCAAACGGGCAAATAATGGACTGGAAGCTTCGGTGGTGCTTTTTTACAATTTAAATTCGAGAAGAGTAGTAACGGAAAAATTGGGTGTTATCCGTGCTGGCTTGGCACACTACGGGCCCGTTAGTGAGGGTTCCACTGCATTGCTGGGGAGGGTGGCAAGCAACTTTTTTGACGTGGGGTTGCCCCTGGGCGGTTGAAAAAAAGAGTCAATTGACTAGTCACTATGGGTAAGTAAAGGTCTCACATACTAAATCAGGCAAAATTGGCCACAAAATGGGGTCTTCGGATTCCACCCGGCTCACTGTAAAGCGCAGCAGCCGTCAAATAATATACCCTCCGTAACTTAAGCAGCGCTACAGGACCCTCGTATTTGGCTGCGAAATATCACAAATCGTCAAATGGGTCCATGCAAGGATCTGTTGTAGGCCAGGCTTTGGGGTTTCTGGCTTGAGCCGCCACTTTCATGCGGGCATAGGAGCAGCCATTGTTTGGATCCATTGAGTCCACAGGAATTGTTAGCGCCGCTCACTTAGGCACCAGGCGTACCAAGAGTGGAACGCCGCAGACACAACCGGCCGAGCAATTCTTGACCAGCCATACACAAATATGCCTTTTTAGGGGTACGTGTCGGGCTGGTGGCCTTGCATGGACTTTTTCATTATGATGTTTTTGGTTGGAATGGCGTGATAATTGTGATGGGATACCTGTGATCTGTGAATTTGGGAAGGTTTTGGTCGTAATTGAAGTTGGAGAGAGTAAATTGGTGAAGCATGGCCCTGCTGAAAGATGCATGTCAATGCTCGTTTTGAGAGCTCTTTGCAGCCACAAGAACCAAGAGAAGCTTATCATTCAATTCCTGGCGTGCCTTTGATGCCTGCAACCGTAAAGTATTGCTTAACCCTTCGAGGCACGCCGAATCTAGCTTCTAGCTTTACGCTTCAAACTTCCCCTTTCAACACTCTGCAATCTAGCGGGAACAATCTCCATTATATGCAACATTGAGGTCCCCTGTTCTTATCAATACCACGCAATGCCTTGTTTTAGTATTCATCGCTAAATGTTTTTGGATCAGCCGCTCTAGACGCCAAACTCAATCACCTTGACCTCCAACGTGCTCGTATTTACCAACACCATCTGCCCCGTCTCTGCAAACTCAGGTATACTCACAACTGTAGATTCAAATTCTCCCAATTGCACCTTTCGGCTGCCAAACTCGCTTTGGTTTCCAGCAAAGTATAAGTGCGGCGTCTCTTCGAGTGCAAATGGGTCAGCATCGTCGTATGGATAGCAGTAGAGCGTATCTGGCGCTGTAGGAGCCACATGCTGCCAGAGTAGCGTCTTGGACATTAGTTCAGAAGGTGCAATTTCCAGCTCTGGTGGGTAGTATTTGGTGATGTCGGTGATGTTCTGTCCTGCGGAGCCTAGGATACGGAGTCCGTTTTCCATCTCCATCCAAGCTGGATTTGTGACGTTTTGCACTGGGTCAGTGGCTGAAACTCCCGTGTACTTAGCATTGATTCCGAGCAAGGAACGATGGAGCGCCTGTTGAGGCATGCAGATTTCAGCTGGGTCCTTGGGGCCAGCCATGATAGTCACGGGAATCAGAGCCACAATTGACAGAAGCCATGCGTTGAAAAGTACCAAGGACTCTGCTTTGAAGTGGGAGGTATTCTTAGAGCCAAAGTCGTCTTTAGCCCGCTCAGTGTCCTCCTCGAATTCCTCTAATGAGTTTCCTGCTAGGATGACTCTGGACACTTTGCTAGCTAGAGCGAAGTCCTCGGCGCTTCCTGCCTCTCCACAGAGCCATTGCTGTAAAAGCACGGTCTTCAAGTCGCAGTCGGTCTCTTTCTGGAATTTAAGGCCTGACACCAATGCAATGTAACTGTCCAGATCTGACGATGTGGAAAGCGGCTTCTGTGGAGCTGGCGTAGGATAGATAATCTCCATGGCCTCGAAAATGCCCGCCTGGATCTCGATTCCCAAAACAGCGACAATCACACCGCTCACCACTCTAGAGTTAGCCAAGAGGTTCTCGTTATGCAAAATAGCCCTACCACTCTCATCCTCCAACATCACAATACTAGCCTCGTTTCCAATATAGCTCGCGGGCGTTTTGGGCATAACATCGTCTGTCCCGTGCTCCACGTCCTTAAATATATCAAGCTTGTTTTTCATCTCCGTGAAGACAGTTCCTGAAACCCAGCACAACTCGCCACCGGCAATATCCAAGATCCTGTCTTTTCTCTGGATCTTCTGACCATCCACGCGTCTCGTATTGTGCCCCCATTTCTCCATAGCAACCAGATCCACCCTAGGCTTCAATACGGAGAGTCTGTGCTGGTACATGGAGAAAAACTGACGGGAGTAGTTTCTCGGTTTGGAGCTCAAGTTGAATTCGTCATTCTTCTCAAATGATTCTTTAAAGTTATCGGCGACTCTTTCTGTCGTGCCTTCCACTAGTGACTCGTTCATGATGAGTATGTAGTTGATGAGGTTGGTGATATTCGCGTCGCGTCGCAGCTGACTAGTGAATTACCAGGGTTTAACGAAAAGGCGATATAGAGCGAATTTTGCAGAGAAAAAAATGATTGCTTCCAAAAGTGGTCATAAAAGGACGATTTTCACCCAGGTTTTTATATTCCATTGAATATAGCCTTCAGGTAGTGGACCCTCTGTAGGCTTCTCATCAGACACCTGCAGAAACTACTACCCCAGATTCAAGAGCACCACTTTCCTTATATATGCCCCGGATCGTGTTGGATCCTGCAGTCCTTCCACTCCAGTACCCCAAGGCATCAACAGCGAAAGTACAGAAAGTACGCATTGTGGCTCAAGTCAGCGAACACAAACCACCTAACTTGTTCTTGGTGAGAGTTCCAAATCTTCCAGAACTACACACTCAGGTAGTGCTAGACGGAGCACCAGCAAAGCCCGAGCCTGTGCCTATAAACATTGAGAATTTGCACGTCGCAGGTGATTGTCTACGAAAAGGCACCATTGTTTCTGTTTGGGGTACTTACGATGGAGATTCGGTGACAGCGTGGGAGTGTAAACCTGCTAACGGGCAGGAGTTGCTAGATGGAGGGAGTGAAGTACTTGCGGAGGCGTCGAATCTTGTTGATCTTTGAGGGAAAAAAGAATAGCCAATTGACAACACACGAGGCGAGTGCATATGTTCAGAAGAAAGCATTCGTTTCTGATCGAGAACATCTGGGATGTCTGACGTCAATTGAACATTTCAAGTCAAGTCTCGGTAAAGTTCGATCGATTAAAGCCAATGCCCAAATGGCATCGAAGTCCTTCACGATAAGGGCCATCTACACTTGCTGAAAATTGTATCCCATTCACATGTAATATGATAACCTACTCCATCGCATAATAATCAATTAAATTTAGCTTACAATGACACCTATGGTGTCGTGGGCTCCTGTTTGAAGGATGGCGCCATCAGACGACCAAAGAATTGGTCCCAGATAGGTTCTGTGGGCATTTGCTGGATAAGCTCAAACACTCGCTTTCCGTCTCTGTTTTGCCCGCTAGGCAATTCGTTGGAAATCGTCAAGTCCATGTTGGTTGGTTCTCTGATAGACGAGACGGGCGAGAGATTCTCAAGTTCCAAGAAGAAATCTTCGAGGTGAGTTTCGGGCATCATAGGTGTGGGAAGAGCTTGCTCATAAGTACGAGGCTCCGGCTCAAAGGCCTCACGAGAAACCCATCCAAAACGAGGCAGATCATGAGACGCTTCTTGCTGAGACTTCTCGCTTTCATTTGCAATGCCTTCTACAAGACTTGCCAAGTTGCCCTTCAAGCTTCCAGTTCCACTTACCAGGTCAAGTTGGTGTTTGCTAATTCCCACCATGGTGCCTTCGACTGCAACATCGTAGCGCAACTTGAGCACCACTGCTGTGAGCATCAGGAAAGTGTCCATACATGATTTTGCGGCCGTGCAAGATGCAACCAACAGCGCCAAAACCAGTAGGCAGTCCTCCGTGACGACTTTAACTTCGTCAGCGCTGTTCAGGCTGCGCAGTTGTTCTGAGTTGTAAAGCACAAAAAGGTATGAGGTTCCAGCCATGAACAAATTGTGCACTGCAGCCCAGGTGTAGTTGATGGCCTTCTTGTGGTAAAGCTTACTGTAACACGCCATAAGGCCCTTCAGCGCCTCGAGAACCTTGAAGTAGGCGTCGGGCGCAAGTTGGAATGTCTTTTTGGAAAGCCCGTTAATCAACAAAAGAGTGTGGTAATAGTTAAGGTCAAAGAACTCTGTGTTGAACTCACAGTTCATCTTGCGGGACTTCTTGGGGCACCTGGCACGCCAAAGCTCGAGCTCTTCTGAAATATGTGCTTTCCACTGAGCCAAATTGGAGAAGCGTCTAGGAAGCTCGCCGTTTTCGTATAGGATTCTTTGGCACTCCAGCTGGATCTGACGCACTTTGAAGAAGGAAAGGGTGATTGTTTTGCAAGAGGCCATGCCGCCGCTGTTGTCTGAATAGTCTCTGGTATTATTGTCGCTTGGATCGATGAAGGCATCGTCCAATTCAGAAGGTAACCGTGCGGTGATGGACTCTTCGGGAATTCCCACGGGTCTTCCCAAATAGAAGCACATTTGACGGTCGATTGAGTAAGTGGACCAAAAAAGCCTTCTGCGGCGATCCTTGGTGAACGCAGACATTGTCTGTGCTTTAGGGTGCTCCTCCTTGTGAAGCCCCATATCCACACATAATCGTAGCGCAGTGCCTAGCAAATACCACACTCCAGGGACATTGGGTCTCATTACCAGATAAAGCGTCTGTAGAAGCACAGCCTCAAGTTGCTCAAGCAGATCGGCTGTGGAATATGTAGCATCCACATGTCTCATGGCGGCTTCCTTGAACAGCTCGCTCATGTGGGTATGGTATTGCAAGTGATTTGTTGACGAGGAGATGGCAAAGATGATGTTCAAGAAGAACAATGGCTTGCGGAAGCCCTCGGGCGTGGGAATCGACAGAGACGCTCTAGCTGGATCCTGGTCTCCAGAAAGCAGCGCTTGCATCGCCTGCTTGTACTGAGCCAACCAGGTCTGTTCGTCTGGCATGATGGAATCGTCGTAGCAGCTTCTATTGAAGGCCAGGTAGTCTGAGGCCAACAGCACGTTTTCGTCCCAGGCGCCGTAGACGGGAATAAATATGTCACGAAGGAAGGTCTCCCTATGAAGCACTGGAAGCTGGGAGTTGCTCTGGGCAAAAAATATTCGGATAAACTCCATGGCGGTCTTTTTCGGTGGTAGTATAGCTGGAGAAACGTCCACGGGAACCAGAGCCAGCAGGTCGCTGGGACCCATATTCATGCGGTTCGCTGTAACCATCAATTTTGCAAATGTGACGCCCATGGGACCCACAGGCTCAGACGCCACCAGCACCAGCGCCAGCGCTGGGCTTTCCTCCTCTCCAGAAGGATCCAAGCCTTTCTGGCGAAGAAGGGCTTCCAATCTTTGCACTTTTTCTTCCAAATGGTACACATACAGCCTGGGCACTTCTCTACCCGTGGCAGGGTCGATACCCACGCATTCGAGACCGGCTCGTTCACACTTGGAGCATTTTGGGAAGTTCTGGTCACACTTGATCTTCTTGCTTCGACAGCGCTGGCACGCAGCTATCAGGCGAGATATGCCTACCACCGCAGCGGAACGGTCCTTGTGTTTCTTTCTCGGAGGACCGTCCATTCGGTAGTTTGACGGGGAGCTTGAGGTCAGGGAGTGAATTTTGAAAAGTGGTTCTCAGACTGAACTGGGGTAGTGGTGTGTTATCGGCGGGTTTTGGCAGATGCGGAATTGTGTCTTTGGGAGAGAGTGGCACAATGACGCTGGCTTTGGGGAAGAACTAAAACAGATGCGGTGTATTTGCCAGCCTGTGCTTCACGTATACGGATTCGCCTGTGAATTTCTAGCAGCCGATAAGTGTCAAATGGAGGCTAACGGCAGTCTGGACGGACTGTGAGAATGTGCAAGGAATGTCTGATAAGGCCAGGCAAGCCGCCGGCAGCGACGACGAGGGTGATCTGATCGGAAGAAAGGGACAGCCAAACCTTAATTGGCGGTGATGGCAAACGTAGCTTTCGGTATGTCGATAAGGCAGCTTTGTCTCAGGTCCTGGATGAGTGTATGGGTCGGTGCCAGTAATGCAAAACGGCTTTTTTCAACTTGGCAAAGAATTTTTCGAAAACAGTACCTCTGGACCTATGGGGAGTCCGCACAGCCGATGACGATCAGGACGATCTCGATGATGTCGTTGTTTCTGAAATGAAGTGGCTGCGAACTCTGGGGTACGCCATGCAGAGCCCTACTCAGAGTCAGATAACGAAAGCGGCTCAGGGGAAACGGGTCTTGGCCGAGGGAATCCGAGAAATTTTGCTTAGATTGGAAAAAAATGGTGAATCAGTTTCCTTTGGCGATTTTGTTGCTTGAAATAAAAGGTGTGTTTGCGGCTTTGGCTGTGTTTCGGTTCCGCTGCACATTCCGTTTCGCAGCCACTGGGCTTGACTAGACCCTGTTACAGAGCGGCTATAACGCAGGGTTCAGGCGAGTGGACGAAAAAGACTAAATGTGAAGAGTTGAAGACTGAAGAGATTGGGAAATTAGTGTACAGCCGTGTGGGTCTGTGGAGAAGTTTGACTTCGATGGTGGGGTGGATTAGATAAGCGGGGCAGCACGGAATAGCCTATTGTTGTTGATTCACGGTTTGTGGAGAAATAAGGTTTGCATTTTGAGGTTTAGGGAAATTGGGAAAACTGCCCCCAAGTACTTAGCCGTGGGTTGATAGGCAAGGCTAAATTCCAGTGGATCCAGGTCTCTTGATGCACATAGTTACTGCTTCTCATTGAGGAAAGCTTTTTTTAAGGTGACATTCAAAAACATTCGTTTTTGCTTGGCTCGGTCAATAGCCATCTAATTCCAACGCAACCTACGATATTGGCTAGATAAGTTCATTGTAAGGAACCGCATGGCCATTGTTGCAAGGGGCATTTAAGGTACAAGCACGGCTGAGCGTTGTCAAGACATACGGAAATTTCAGACTAGTCTTGAGAAGTCCATTGGTGAAGTTTTGATTTCTGAACTCGCCATTCCACTATGAAACCAGTGCCATGTCCAGTAACCAGGCCTATGGCTTAGGTGCGATGATCATCACCTGCTTGGAATTACGTGAAAAACTGCAAACAATGCCTGGCATTTTCTAACAATATTTATTATTACATTGATACAATGGAGGCGGCAGCCGCCTAGGCATAATACAAACAATCAGGTTCAACTTTTATGCGATATCAATCGTCTAGTCTGTGTCTCACTGACCGGTCAAGTGCTTGATACGGCTCTGCTGCAACTTGAACTTGCCCTGGAGATCTGGAATCATGATTTCGTAGTCCGCTGTTGTGGCCTCGGTATCGTTACCGTTATCCTCAACGTGCAAAGTGGTGACCAAACTGTTTTCAAGCACAGGGTACTTTAAGTAGTGCTCGTCCACTTTATGGTCAGCCAACACCTCCTGGTCGTGCTCCAGCTTCGAGCCAGGGAACTTGGAAATGCCGGTTCCAGCAACACTGGCATACTCGGTGGACTGCTTGGCCAAAATCAAGTCACTCCAGTTTCTCTTGTTCAAGAAATAATGATTATCACGAGGAGTGCCGTCGGTATCGGACATAAAAATAGGCACAATGTCCTCGGTGGTGTTGGAGTCGAACTTGTGGATCTTGTTCTGTCTCTTAAGCAAAGTGGGCATAACGTCTGGAGGAGGAGCATTCACAATAGCGGAGGAGATCACATTAAATATCAAACGTGGGTCGTACTGCGGCGTTTCCGTGACATTGAGATTCTCCTTCTCAGCGTCTCTGAGGATATGAGCATTAGGGTGGTGGTGGATCTTGGTCTTCATTCTGCCAAAACAGCCCAAATGCACGTCACCAGAAAGAATGGTGATACGAACACCATTGGCAGCACCAAGGTCTATCAAGCGCTTCATCAAGGCGTTACGTTCTTTCTTGTGGTACTTCGAGCACCAGTGGTCGTTCAAGTCGTCCAACACTTCAATGCTGCCGTCGAACTCGTTGACCAAACCTTGGGCCACTATGCCTCTAGTGGCCAAACCACGAATTGGCTTGAAAATACGCAGGGTCAAAATCCACTCGAGCCAGACCATTCTGGGATACAAGATGGGAACACCAAGCATGACCAAAAGGTGCTTTGTTTCTGGAGTTTTAGTGAGCTCGTCCTGGCATCGCTTAAACACAAGGTCGTAGGTGTCAGGGTCAATGATCTGGTGAAGGCGTCTTTCGGTACGACAGTCGACACCCAAAAGCGAAATCTCCTTACCAAGACGCATGTACACCGAGTGGTTGCGCTGCTTGATAAACTTTCCTTCCGTCTTCAGCAAAATCCACGAAGGGTCGCTGTGGTAGACCTCCTCGTCCACCAGCATGTGGTGCTGGAAAAGCATGTAGTACTTGTAGGCGACATTTCCGATGGTGGAGAAGACGTGGGAGGCCATGGTGCGGTCCTTGTAAGAGCCAAAACCGTCGATAATGTCGTGGTCATCGTAGATGTTGACGGCCGGAATCTGGGCCATAGATAAGGGAAACATGTGCTGGAGAGTGCCTCCGTTGGTACCTTGCCAGTAGCCCTGGCCAAACCACTCCAAGTACGCTTTCAAGTAAAAGTCGCCCATCTCGTCAATCATCTCGGGAGTCGTCTGGATCTTCCTCTTTCTTGCTGCAGTGGTCTCATTGAGCCATTCCTGGATCAGATCCACATGGAGCTTGATGGCATCACAGTAGATCTGGTCACCACCGCCAAGCATGACATGGTAGTGCTGTTTCTCGTGTTTTCTAAGCACATCGAGCCACAAGGACGACTTGTACTGGGAGGTGTCTGTAGATAAGGAAAAGCCGTTACACGAGAAGGACATGACGTTCATGGACTGGTCGGCAGCAGGAAGAAAAAACGCATGAGCGTCGTTCTGCTGGCCATTGATCGAGTACCTGACCTTCTGTTCGTACTCGGCAAGATCCAATTGCACATTGAAACGCCAGAACTTGAAGCCCTGTTCCGTGTGGAAGTTGATGCCTGGAAACACGCCTTCCTCGGGCGATTTCCACCCAGTTGGAGCATTTTCCTCAGCAGCAGGCCCTAAAGCATACGACACCTCGGGCTCTGTCTCTCCCTTGGTGACAAGCAAAATCAGGGCTCTGTAGTTGGGCAGATTCTCCTCCCACAGACCGCAAAGACGAAGAATGGGTCCACAGTGGATTTGGAGGCCATTGAGGGAAGGCGGCTCGGGGCATTTTTCGGGCACATCCTCGGCGGCCTGTTTTTTGTTGAGTTCGACGAACTTTGTGATGGGAACGGGGTCAAACCAGGACATGTTGTAGAAAGAACCAGTGAGGCGTTGCGAATGTCAGCAACAAAACATGAGAGATGTCGCCTGCGCAAACGACGAGGGGCAAGTCCGGGCAGGGCGAGCCGATTTTGCAAATTTTTTTGATTTTGGCGGAAGTAGTGAGATTTGAATTGATGATGTTTTTCTTTTGATTCGGGATTGGGCCTGGCGGAGGCGAGGGTTTGGGGATCTTGGAATGTCACTCATCGCGATAAGAGCAACGGTAGGCAGGCGAGGCAGGACCCTCAAGTCGTCCCCGAAGCCCCAAAGCCTTAAAAATAGAAGATATAAAATTCTCAAGAAAAGAGCACCACCTTTTAGATTTTCGATTTCTTTAAATTTGCCCGATCCGTGAAACTGCCATCCATGAAAGCCTGCTCTGGTCACCGCCGTGGCTGCAAATCAGGCACACCTGACACATGCGCTGCGCTTTCGCTGCAGAGAAGCTTGCTACGAATAAGAGGCCTCTCATTGGGCGGGTGGCGGTGCCTCTAACAATTGAGTCTGGAGTTTTGCCTTTTTTTTTTTTTGAAATTCCAGCATTTGTCTATTGGCTTTAAATTTCAAAAAATGGCTTTGGCTTTGCGCAGACAGGGCTGTGGCTTGGATGCGGGAACGGTGCTCTCATTTCAGAGCGGGCCGCTGAGAATGGACTAGGGCTCAGGCCGTTTCGTCCAGGCATTTTGTGGAAGTTTTTGCAAAATCCACACAACCGGGCAACGGCGTGCCCAAAACGGCAATGCCCTCGAAAACCTTATTTTCTAGCGACGATCGCAAGTCTAGAACCTAAAGATTAAAGTGTGGGCACCAAGGCGCCCGAGGGGAAGCAAGCAGCGTCACCCGGGCTGAATCATCGCTCCAGCAGACGACTGGATATAGCGGTCAGGGAGTTGCAAAGCAACGGGGGATATGAGCGGAAGCAATTCGTTCCGGCAGCCGTTTTTGAAATTCGGGCTAAGGACGTCCCCTTAAATGATTGATCATTCAATTAAGCGTAAGGTGAATCAGGCGTGGATTCCGCTGCTTGTCTCATTTTTCATTCTCACCGTCCTCAGTGCGTCTACATGTCAGGCTGCTGGCTGTGAAATCGCCAAATGGCTCATACCCACCGGATCCCACAATTCCCATTTTCCGGCCCCTCAAAACCTCCCGCTCTGTCAAAATCTCTTCTCGTTTCCTCCCACAAAGACCTCGCCTGTCACATGCTTCTTGGCAAACCTAAACCATGGTACCACATCCTGCGGAGAACGTCACGCAGGGAAGAAATGAACAGCTTCGACAAGAAAGTCACAAAAGGGTTTCGTAAATGCCAGTCAATCTCCGTAACAACCCTCCCATTCTTCCCCGGCTGCAAGTGAAACCATTGAGTAGCGCCAAGCCTGAGCGGCTGACCCGCAGTATCGGTTACCAGGGAGTAGTCGATTGATGCTTTAGCCGCGCTATTCTCATAAAGCTACAGATGCCATTTCCATTGAAGCTCACTCAGCTTACCCAAAATCAAACCTAATCAAAACACCAATTGACCTGGTCACCAAGCCGGCTGAGCCATGCGGCCAAATCTCACTTCACTCCCCTAAACTCCATACACTCAATCTTCTCATGACCATCGGAGCCGGAGTTAGTCCGCAGATACGGCTTGGGTGGGCTTGAGGCCGGAATGTGGAGACTCCATCATCCAAAAGGGTCTGGCCAGGAACATTTCTGTGCAGAGAAGACAAGTGGAAAACGGGCACATTGTGCCGGTGGGGAGAAGGTGGAAGGTGTTCGGGGTTCCCTTCGTTGACACTTATGGGGTAGGGGTGTTGTGGTATGCGTTTTGGTCGATCCTGAGATTCAAAGCTTAAATGGACTGTCCAATGAGGTTTGAAACAGGTGGATGCTAAATGTTTTTTTTTTGTAAAATCTGAACAGTCGACTATGTGTAGACTATGTGTCGACTATGGGTCACCTGGTGAATTGCGCTCTCGGTTGCGTGGTTTTGTTCTTCGTTCTCGGGGTTGAGAGCAAATATTGAATTGTCCCACCTGCTGCTTCATAGCCTCCTCAGCACAGCCTACGCACTTGCCGCACGAGCCGTAAAATGGAAGTAGCTCACGGGGGCAGCTTTAGTAGAGAAAAAAGAGAAAGTATTCAGAAAATTGTGGATTTCTCGCTCTCTTTATACCTCAAGGTGTCAATCCATGTCTGGGTTCAGCCTCCTCAGCCTCGCCTGCCATGCATGTCAACCAGCAGGCCACACTCCCGAGATCCAAACGTAGTGGTTTCAAAAAGAGCTTAAAAAATGTGAAAACCACAAATTCAGCGAATCCCGCCTCTATTTATACTTTTTAAAACCCCCCTCCTCCTCGGTCCCTTTATCTGCTCTGATCACCTCTGTCTGGGGTTCGCAGGGGCCTCTTTGGCGGTGCAGGAGTGCCCAGAATTGTGCACTGTTAAGGTATAAAGTCAGACCAATCCCCGATAATTCGCACCGTTTCCCCATATTTCTGATTTATGACAGAGGTCTCCGGCTACTGCCGAAGAGTATCCTTTAACAATGTCCACCCGGACGACGAGGCGTCCCTGCGCTTCTACAACTACTCCTTCAACGAGCCCGTGCTGCCGACTGACAACCGCCTCTTCAACTACGCATTTTCCCACAAACGGGCTCGGCTTCCTGAACCGCCTTCCAAGCTGATATTGAAGAACAGGCTTTCCAAGCAGCAGCTCACCGATAACCTCGCGCGTGCCCGCTCCTTGGGCGTGTCGTACCACGATATCAATGACTTGGTGGACTGTCCTCCGGAAACGGTGCCTCGCCTGGAACTAGCCCTAGTAAGTGACGACGACGATGAGGACGATAAGCTGCCGCGTGGGCTGGTGGCCGAGCTCAGCCCATTCGGCCGCCGCAAGTCCTATTCTGGCATGTCCGATGAGGAGCTCATGGCCCTCGACCCGCAGTTCAACACCCCAAAGCTGTCGGACATCAACTCCTTCAAGTTCGACTCCCAGCAGACATACTACAGAAACAGCCCCCGCCGCTCGTCCGTGGCCCCACCCATCATATCCAAGCAAGTGATCTACCCGCTGTCCAACGAAAACAACTACCCCTCCATCTCTCTCACTACCAAGCACGAAGACTACGACCACAACATACTGACCGCCCGCAAGCTCTTGACCGTGTTGTCAGGCCGCAAGCACACTTGGAACTCGCTAGACTGGCTCTTGCAAAACCAAAAGACATCCGACATCGGCTTTCTCCAGAACGGCGACTACTTGATCGTGGCCGCCTTAGTGCCCCTCAAGTACTTCAACGCCAATACCCAGCGTAAAAAGAATGCTCTTGAGGACCGTCTCTACAAGAAATGCGAGCATTTGCTCAATTACATTTTGCAGTCGCTCCCTGACCAGCTGCTCTGCCTCAAAGTGACTGTGGAGTTCATCATCGATGTCGCCCCAGCTGATCCCATGACGCTCGGCGGCAAAAAGGCTCCGCCCGTGGGCACAAAGTTCATGCTTGACCACATCTTCAAGCAGTATCTGCCCAACTTGGTGATATTGGGCAACAAGAGCACGAACCTCAATTTCAAATACCCCATGCGCAAGTCCAAGGTGAGTCTGTCGATGTCGTCTGCATCCACACCCAACAATGGCCTTGCGCTTTCGAAGTTTGCGCTGGCACCTCAAATGTCCTCCAACGACGATCACGAAATGTATCTTATTAAATTAAGTTCCTACGTCATTAAGTACTCCCCTGTACCTGTTATTGTTGTGGGACCCTGAACACGATGATGCGCAAAAGGGAGAAACAACTGCTGGTGACATTCTCAGATCACACCCGCGGGGTGAAAGGCCAATTGGAGATACCATCGCAAAACAATAGAAAGAACTCTGCAGCCTCGACTGCATCGATTGAGTCATATGCGGGCCAGCAGCCGGATGATACCAGCTTGTGCTCGCTGACAGAGTCCCTGCAGCATGTCACCATGGGTGAGAGGCTCAATGAGATTGAGACCTCGGAGTCGGAGTCAAAATTTCAAGACATGCTCGCCATCATTTCAACAAGCTCCCTTAGAGAACTGAAGGATTATCTCACCAGCGTCAATGACAATTCGAAGAATTCCCCTACCAGACTCAACAACAAGGTGCATGAGGCATACCAGAGCTACCACCACTCACGTGGCGGTGGAAACCCTGCTACACGTACAATGTCCAACAGCAGCGGCGGCAAGCCATACAAGGTGAAGAGCATGATCTCTTATAGTGAAGAAGAAGAGCGGAAAAACGAAAAGAAACTCAATGACAAGCGTCTCAAAAAGTCCATATCGCAAACCTCGTCTGGTCTGAGCAACGGTGACAAAAAGGTTAAGAAAAAGAAGTCATTTTTGCAAAAGATCGGATTTAAAAAGTCATGAAGTCACGAACCCGGAAAATAGGAAAAAGGACCAGCTGTGCTGGAAGGTTAATGATTTATTAATGTGAGTTGTAGTGATGTAGTCTAGTAGGGTCGAGGGAATGCTAGTGGGATACTACGCGCAATGGAGCTATGACTATGTATCATTTCCAATACTTTTTTTGAAATTGTCTTGTCATTGCATGAAAAGGTTCCTTAGTAAAATTATTGACGAATTAGCAGTTTCTCTACTCTAATCTCGTTTGGAAATAGAGGGCCTTCAGTTGAATTTTCAACTTTCGCAGCCATACTCCCACATTGCTTCAAAACACCCACATACTGTAAACAACAAAATAAGTCCAGAAAACTAATTGTATATATAGAAAGAATCAAAATCTGTTCATTTCCCTAAATTGTATCACTTTCCTCCCTCCATCTACCACCCCCATCCTACTCACCAGCTCTCTACCTGCACATCAAATATCAACTACAACTTCTTCATGGAAGCACCAGCTGAACCAAAACAGGCCTCAGAGGCTCCGGAGGCAGCTGTCCAGCCAGAAACCCCCACGGCGCTGGCAATTGAGCCACAGGTGGCGCCCCCACCAAAAGTGGAGGAGAAACCGCTGGAACCTACCGCAAACACTACTCGCCTGAAGACGAAGGAAGAAGGCTTGAGTGCTCTGGAGCTCAAGCAGAGGGCCGCCAACGTCAAGGTGCATCCTCGGCTCAAACCAACGCCATTTGAAGCGGACAATTTTGATGTGGAGCCAATTGTCACTCAGGATTTCCAGAACCAGGGCATCACTTTTGCTCAGTATGACGATCTTCCGTTGAACAAGCGTGGATTCAAGTATAAGCCGTGCCGACCAAATCGGGCTTTTTCTTCGAACTTGTACCTGACCACAGACTACGCTCCTCATAGAGTCAGGGTCAGCTACTTTGACAGATCTACAGGTATTGCCTGTAGTGAAGATATGAATGCTGTTACTACACAACAGGGCTGGCTTTCGGCGCGAAGCAACGTGGGCATCAGAGAGGGAAAGTGGTATTTTGAATTTGACATTCTCAATGCTAATAACACCTCGGGCAAGAGCCATGTGAGAGTCGGGGTGGCCAGAAAAGAGGCCGCTTTGGAGGCTCCAGTGGGGTTCGACGGTTACGGCTATGGTCTTCGAGACTTGAACGGACAGAAAATCACGCTTAGTCGTCCCAAACCGTTTATGGAAGACGAGGAGGGTTTCAGCACCGGCGACACAATCGGGTTTCTTGTGGAGCTACCCTCGATTGAGGAACAGAGAAGGCACAACGAGCAGTTTGCCAAGGACTCACATACCAACAAGAAAAGAAAAAAGGCAGGTCAATTGGCAGCCGACGAAGAGGAAAAGAAGCTCAACTTGCATCTGAACATTGTCCGGGACCAGATCCCCATAAAGTACAAGAACGCCTTGTATTTCGAGCAGTTCGAGTACACGCCCACTAAGCAGATGGATCATTTGCTCAACCCTGTCACAGTTTTTGGTGAAAAAGCGTTCTTGGAGACAGTCGACAAGCCGCCCACGCTACCGACGATTCCGAATTCCAAAATCACCGTATTTAAAAACGGCAAGTCTCATGGAACCATGTTCGAGGATATCTATTCTTTCTTGCCGTTGAACGTCGACAACGACGCTGCGGCTTCAGACGCCAACACCAAGCAACAGCAGAATGCAGCATACAGAAACACGGACGACGGCAGCTTGGGCTACTACCCTATGATGTCGGCTTTTCTGGAGGGAGTGGTTTCGCTCAACGCAGGACCAGACTTCAAGTTCCCCGTTCCCAGCGGCTCCCGTCCTTTGTGTGAGCGTTACGAGGAAAAGATCGCCGAGGATTGGTATTTTGATGTTCTAGATGAAGTGGAGGCCGCATACTTGGATAGCTTCGATTAAGGGTCTGCGCCAACCTGGAGCATGAGCTCTTGTAATAGGGTTGAATCGCATGTTCCAGGGCACTTGAGCTCCGGGTTTTGTCTGGAAAAGACTGTGAAACACTTGTTGTGGAATGACGTCGAGCAGCTTGTCTGATTGCACTTGATGCCATAGGTGACAAGATCGCCACACACATGGCAGTCTAGAAGCTTGCCCTGAGGGTCCTCCGGCGAGAATTTGCCGTACCTATCCACAAGGTATGTTTTGAGTTCGGCAATTGCTGGCGTGGATAGCACTACCCGGTTGTTGGAGGTGATGTTGAACCAGCCATCATTGACAAGCCTGGAAAGGAAATAATCCGCGTCACCGAGCCGTAGCTTGGCTACACTGGCGACCTGCTGCTTAGCGTTGCCGAAAGGCAAACAAAACTCAAAATCAGCAGCCACAATTGAATCTATCATCTGCTTGATGGCGTCTAGTTCTGAAGGCAGATACGGCGTGCAAGCCTGGATCACGGCATCTTGTTTGGTATTGACAAACACATAGACGATATCGCCCAGGACCTGATCTCGTGCCGACTCGACCTTGAAGTAATACTTCTGGATCCGCAAGTTGATGTCGGAAATGTACTCTTTGGCTTTGGAACCTGGATCGCCATTTGTTTCTATCTCAAAATGCTCGGCGATGCGCTGGAACTTTTCAGCCATTACAGGCGCCGAGACGTGCCTGACAGCTCGGAGATACGTTAGTAGCACCCGATGCGCCTCTGTGAACTCCATTGGCGGTAAATCAGGACGCTGTTGATGATATTTTTCAGATCTGGGGACCCGAGATGTACGGGTGTGTCAACGGTCTGGTGCGACCTACTTGTGTTTTTTGCAACCATTTGCACCACAAGCCTAACTATGAAACTCACTCGATTTTCACTAATTTTGGCCGGCGTTTTGGCAATTGACTCACCTTGCAATCCGGCGAAGGAATGGTCGTGTGTGGCTCGCAATCGGGCCCTTTCTGCCGCTGTTCAAGATACCATGACGGTGCAACCCAAGTACTTTGAGCTGAATTTGGAACCGCCATTTGTGGAGTATGGGCTTGACGGCGGCAAAATGAAGATTTTCGAACGTGGCCAGAATCCCCAGCTTGCGTCGAATCATTATATCATGTATGGCCGTGCTGAAGCTGAGGTAAAGGCCTCGCATGGCAAGTCGGTCATTTCGTCCATGTACATGCAAAGCGACGATTTGGACGAGATCGATATTGGAGAGTTCTTTGGCGGTGAGACCGACAAGTTCCAGACGAACTACTTCATCAAAGGCAACATCTCGAACTACGATAGAGACCGCTACCACAAGGCACATGCTGATGTCACAGCCGACTACCACAAATACGCTGTGGAGTGGACCCCAGAAAGCATCATGTGGTTTTTCGATGGTCGGCTCATCAGAAGGGTGCTTAGTGCCGGAAATGACCACGGCTTTCCGGCTTCTCCCATGCGCTTGATGTTCAGTTTATGGATTGGCGGTGATCCAGAAAATCACCCAGGCACAATTGAGTGGGCAGGCGGTGAAGCCGATTTCGAAGGTCTTCCGTATGTTATGGGGATCCGCAACATTCGTCTTGTGGATTACTCCAATGGCCAACAGTATGTGTATGGACGAGGCCAGGAGGTAGATGCTACTAGTGGGGAGATTTTTGGTCGCCGGAAAAGAGACGGAGACGGAGAGGTTGACGATGATCGGAAGAAGGCCGAAGTGCCCATGGGCACTATTCCAGAGGATGGCACTAAAGTGCTGTCTGACCCTGATAAGGTGGAATCTACAGGCCGGAGCGAGTACGATATCGAGTACGAGTTTGACCAGGGCATTGAAAGTGGAAGTTCGGCATTGGTCGTTCTGATGGTTCTATTCCTCTGGATGGCCGTAGTTCTTCTAGCGTTCTATTTCTAGGGTGGATTTGATTAATGCATCTAGGCCGGGAGGCAGTATGAAGCTGGTGTAGGTAAAGGTTTGAGATTGATAAGATGGGTGCAAAATGCCAGTAGTTTATTTGTACCATTCAAGTGTTCCCCGTCTTTGAAAGGTAATTAGAAAACATCAACCGAATGAGCTGGATTCTCTGTGAACAAGTCTTATGAAATAGAGGCAACGCTGCATGGCCCTTTGCAGGTCATCGTAGGTCGTTTCGCCTAATTACACATTCTTTCTGTCCGCCTGTTTTGCCATACTCTAGATGCAATTCAATGCCAAGGTTTCTTGCATGCTGTTTACTCATTTGATTAACGTAAACCGAACCAAATCAGATTCACTTTATTTTTCTTACGTTGTTCACGATTTTTCCATACCTGGTCAGCTCTCCCCCACCCAGTCATCCACACCAAAAACCTTCACAACCAATCAAAACCTCCAAAATACCTAAACACATTTATCCCTTCTTAACCCACTAACCGCATCGGCCGTTGGATCGCCAAGCGAGCTCGTCTCTGTATCTCTCCTGCCATGCTCTTACACAACCCACGTTGCACCCAGCACCCACAATCCCCCAATCCACAATTCCAAAAATCCCCAATTCCAAAGATCCCACAAGTACATATTAAAAAAACAGCCATCACCATCCAAAATCCGTCTTTCCATTTTTTTTCCATCGGTGGTCCACCACCTTATCTCGGGGGATACTCCGATGGCTGCGAAAAGGCAGACCACCCAATTCCACCAACCACCACCCCACCACCCAATCCAGCAAACAAGCAGCATCTGAATTTTTTCATCGTTTACCAGAACCCTCCGTCACCCCACCATGTAAATCTTCCCTGGCTTCCCAAAAATCCATCCCTCCTTGATACCCGTGATCATCTGACGGTATCATCTGATGCCTGCACTTGCTCGGAGCGGTGCAACCCATCAGGAAGCCATCTTTCTTGCTTCACCACCATGACAGTTTCACTGGTGAGTTTCGTATCGCTTGTGACAGCGGATTCCAAGAAGTTCCAGCGCACCGCCGCCTGGTACCATGCTTTGGGTTTCCGCCTCGTGAAAAATTACAACAAAGTTTCCACCGCTTCCTCCCAGGTGGTGCTTGGGATTTCCGGTGATTCTTCCAAGGAGATCTGGTTGGAGGCGCTTCCTTTGCAGAACTTGGACGCCAACGGGAACGTTGTTCCGTGGCAGGAATTGGATTTCTACGAAGGAGACGCCACTTCAAAATTGTGCAATGGCACGGTGATCAAAATCCGTCTTTCGTCTTTGGAGTCCACCAAGACGGTGCCACAGACAATTGACTTTTTTGCCGCCGACCTAGGCAAGCTCAAGGCGCTTTTGGACAAGGCTGGCGCCAAGTACGAAGAAAAGGGCGATGTTTTGACCTCGGACCCGTTGGGCAATACCGTCCGCTTCTCCAACAAAGAGCTGATTTTGAGCGACCACGCCTTCTCCAGCCAGCAGGAGTACTTGGACTATAAAACCAAGGAGGTCACCGACGCCTTGAAGAAGTTTAAGCCCCAGGAAAGCACCGACGAGTTGCCTACTGCCGAAAAGGCTAAAAAGAAGAAGATCGCAGTCATGACCTCAGGCGGTGACGCCCAGGGTATGAATTCTGCCGTTCGTGCCGTGATCCGTTCGGGTATCTACTACGGCTGTGACATGTTTGCCGTTTACGAGGGCTACGAAGGTTTGGTCCAGGGTGGCTCGCTTTTGAAGCAAATGGGCTGGGAGGACGTTAGAGGGTACCTTTCGCTCGGAGGTACCATGATTGGTACGGCCAGATGTGCCAAGTTTAGAGAAAGAGCTGGCCGTTTGGCCGGTGCCTTCAACATGATCAAAAACGGTATTGATGCGCTTATCGTGTGTGGAGGTGACGGTTCCTTGACTGGTGCCGACTTGTTCAGAGCCGAATGGCCTTCTTTGGTGGAGGAGCTCGTTAAGACCCGCCAGCTCACTGCCGAGGAGGTGAAGCCTTACCAGCACTTGACCATTGTGGGTCTTGTGGGTTCTATCGATAACGATATGTCCGGAACCGATGCCACCATTGGTGCCTATTCCTCGCTAGACAGAATCACCGAAATGGTTGACTACATTGACGCTACTGCCGCTTCCCACTCTCGTGCTTTCGTTGTGGAGGTCATGGGCCGTCATTGCGGCTGGTTGGCCTTGATGTCGGGTCTTTCCACTGGTGCCGATTTCATCTTCATTCCTGAAAGACCACCACAGCACGGCAAGTGGCAGGATGAGCTTAAGACCGTTTGCCAGCGCCACAGAGACCTCGGCAAGAGAAACACCACTGTTATTGTGGCCGAAGGTGCCATTGACGACGAGCTCCAGCCTATTACTTCTGAGGAAATCAAGAAGGTGCTCGTGGAGTTGGGTCTCGACACCAGAATCACCATTTTGGGCCATGTCCAGAGAGGTGGAACTGCTGTGGCGTATGACAGAATGTTGGCCACCTTGCAGGGTGTGGAAGCTTTGCGTGCTGTTTTGGAAACCACCCCTGACACCCCATCGCCGGTCATTGGTATTGTTGAAAACCAGCTTGTGCGCCAGCCATTGGTGGAGTCTGTGAAGAACACGAAAATGGTCGCTGAGGCTATTGAAGCCAAGGATTTTGACAGAGCCATGGCCTTGAGAGACTCGACTTTCGCTTCGATCTACAGAAATTACTTGGTCACCACGAAGGACGCTAGCGGAAAGAACTTCGTTCCCGAGAAGGAAAGATTGAACATTGGTATCGTGCACGTTGGTGCTTCTTCTTCGGCCCTTAACGCCTGTACCAGATCTGCTACCTTGTACTGTTTGTCCAAGGGCCACCGTTTGTTTGCTATTCAAGACGGTTTCTCCGGTTTGATCAACACCGGTAACTTCAGAGAGTTGACCTGGTTGGATGTGTGTGGCTGGCACAACAGGGGTGGATCGGAAATCGGTACTAACCGTTCCTTGCCCAGCGAAAACTTTGGTAACGTCGCCTACTACCTCCAAAGACACCAGTTGAACGGATTGCTCATTGTCGGAGGTTTCGAAGCGTTCACCGCATTGCATGAATTAGAAAACAACAAACACAAATACCCAGTGTTCAACATTCCCAAGGTGGTGATCCCGGCTACCGTTTCCAACAATGTTCCTGGTACCGAATACTCCTTGGGTCTGGACACCTGTTTGAACCAGCTTGTCAATTACTGTGACGCTGTCAAGCAATCTGCTTCTGCCACCAGAAGAAGAGTGTTTGTGTGTGAGGTTCAAGGTGGAAACACCGGATACGTTGCTTGTTACGCCGGTTTGGTCACCGGAGCCATGGCGGTTTACACGCCAGAGAGCAAGGTGACGCTCAAGACAATCAGAGAGGACTTTGACTTGCTATCGGCGGTGTTTGAGAATGACCGGGGAGAAGACCGCAACGGCAAACTTCTCATCCGTAACGAGCATGCATCGGACGTCTACACCACGGATCTTTTGGCGGACATGTTCAAGGAGGCAGCAAAGGGACGGTTCGAGACGAGAACCGCCGTGCCCGGTCATGTGCAGCAAGGATTCATGCCGCTGTCGATGGACCGAGTGTACGCCGTCCGTTTTGCCGTTAAGTCCATTGAGTACATCGAAGAATGGAGTAAGCGGGTATTCAACGCTGCAGAACACACGCTGCATCACAGTGTGAACAACATCAAGATGATCGACTTTATGGACAAAGAGGAGGAGCTGTCGGTTGTGATTGGAGTGCAAGGCGCCAAGGTTGTTTTTTCGAACATCAACGACTTGTACGACAAGGACACGGACGTTGCGTTGAGAAAAGGGCGGACGATCCACTGGAGCCGGTTGGAAGAAGTGAGCAACTTGTTGAGCGGGCGGTTGATGCTCAGAGAGGGCAAGGCCACGCGTTAGAGACAAAGAAAGAAGGTTTTGAAGCTAGCACAATGAAAGCAAATGATCATGGAGGGCATTGTAGCGGGAGATGACTGGGGCTGGTGCCGAGGGGATGATATTGTCTCGGAGCAGAGAGAGTGCACTAGCGCACAAAGGAGCGCAACTGAGACGAGCCGAATAAGGTTAAAGTTTTGGTGGAAGAGAAGGCGGAGGCCGATCGAAGGAGCAGGCTTGTGATTATGGAATGATAACAAAATAGCAAAAATAGCAAAAAGAGCAAAAGTACGAGCCAGGCGTCAAACAGGCCATTATGGCGGAATGGAACATGTCAAGGTGAGACGTGACGTCAAGAGAGATCAGCCAGGGTTTGGCAGATCGTCTTCTAGAACCTGTCTGTGCAACGAAAAATGTACGTACGATCTGGGAGGCTCGGAGTCGGAGCCAGGGTCCACAATGGGCATTGTGGTATTTTTAGGCCGAAGCGGGCGGACAAACGAAGACTTTCTCAAAGCGACTGATTTGAATAACAAATAATTTGCATCCACCGAGAGGCTTCTGGAGGACCCTGGCGCGACGAATACTGCCGTTTTCGAAGATGGCGCCGCTGCGAAAAAACAAGAGGGAAAAAAGCCCTGCTTCTGTGGATGCAAAAACGCATTGTCGGCGGAAGCTGGATCTGCTGCCGATCGATGCCAGGGTCGTCGATTCTTGTGGGGGTCCCGGTCAGCACGCTAAAAGTGCTGCTAAAAACCGGATTGCTAAAAACTGTGCCGCTAAAAAATGGGAAACTGGCTAAAGTGGAAAAGCAGGCCGCAATCTGTGCCTGCCTTCGATACCCTTCCGTGCTGCGTTTAGCAGCGGCAGTCTGGGGCGCGGGCTTGCGGCGGACGCTGGCAGGCCACTCTGACCTGACGCCTGGGTTTCCACCTGGTGCGTTTTGGATGGCCTTTTTCTGGGGCGTTTTTAGCGTTTCACCTGATTTCCACGGAACCGGAGAAGCTCCAGTGGTTCCGGAAACCCGGGCCTTTTTGTGCTGGGGCGGGCGCTTGCAGCGGCAAAATGGGCAAGGCAAAACGGAGGCAAAACGGAGGCAGCAGCAGGCCGCCGCGACGCTCGAAAAATGGCCTCTTTCTTCGCAAGCTTCGCTGGCAGAGGCCCGCAGTGGATTGGCGCGAGGCACCCTCCCAACGCAGCCCACTGGCGACTCCAATGGCGACTCCACTGGCGAGTCCCCTGGCAAGTTTTCGTAAATTGAAAAAGCTGATTTGCATTCCTTCTGAATTCCACTCAAGTTCCACTTGCCGGTCCGCACCCGCCTGAGGCTTCGTCGGCTGAGGCCGTCCTTGCAGCAATGACCGCAAGGTCTAATTGGAACGGCTGGGAGAGTTGCGCTCGGGAGTCCGCTAGGCCCCAAGCTGCCCGAACCAGGATTCGGTCTAGGGGGTCTGCGAGCAAGAGGGCGGTTTTGTGCTGCCATGGACGTTTTGGGTTTCTCTGGCGCCGTTGTGGGTTGCCGTCTGCTTCGGTGCGTGCTAAGGTTTGAAAGAAGGCCACCCCATCCGCCCTGCCAGTGGCCTCTTCTGGAACTCTGCAATACAGTGTGATTCAAGTGCAATACAGTGTAATTCGAATGTCATTCAAATGCTATTCAAATGCCATTCAAATGCGATGGGTGCAACTGCTCCCGCAATGCCAATGGCATTTTCCATTTGTAACTCAACCTTCTCTCCACAGAACATTATTCAGCCAAGGCGCGGCCTCGAGGCATTGTACCTAGTGGGGCCACTTGCCAGGTCGGCCAAGCTTTAGTCCCAAATCATGCGCCCGCAACTCTTAAGCCTCCAGCCCCCAAGCAGACCCTGCAAACAGCAAGCGTCAACAACCAAAAAAAAAAAAATCCGATTCCTTCACTTCTCCAGTCCATCGATCTACGCATCGCAACCATGTTAGATCGATGGTGGAGAGTCAGGCAGGCAATCAGCAGCCAGGCAGACAAACAGGCAGACAAACAGGCAGGCAGGCAGGCAGGCGTGCTGGGGCAGCTGGAGGCATGCAGCTCGACGCTAGACGCACTGCGACGCACCCGCCCTGCACCAGACCAGAGGAACAAAAGGGCAGGCCCACACGCACTCCCATGCACGTCCGACGCACAACCAGACGCACCACTCAAATCTCTCGAGAGCCGAATCTTAGCCCGAAAAAATGTCTCTAACGGCCCGTGCGTACCACTTTTCTTCCTACCGCTGTATTAATAGCTGGTTGTCCCACCGCCTGCTTCTTCCTTTTTTTTTTTCCCCATCAGGCCTTCAACTTCAGGTCTCTGATCAAATCGCCATCCTTCCTTCCCAGCAGGCGTCTCCACCAACTACTACTCTCCTGTGGACTTTCCAGAATCTGCTGTTTCCAAGAGGCCTTCCCAGTTTGCCTCCCAAAATCCATCATCCCAAGCCGGTGCCTTCTTCTCCTTTCCACTGAAGAACCTCCCCGGCGGCCCTCCCGGCAAAATCCCAACAATCACTTCCCAACCCCAAAGAATTCCCGTCCCCCAGCTCCATCCCCTGATGTCATGACGCCAAAACTGGACCCGCCGGTAAAGAAAAACGCCTTTGTGCACAAGCTCTACGGGATGCTCAACAACCCAAAGTTGGCCCACCTCATCTGGTGGACAGGGCCCGACGACTCCAACACCTTCGCCTTGTACCCCAGCAAGGAGTTCGCTGACGCTCTTCTGGACTACTTCAAGCACGGCAACGTGGCCTCCTTTGTACGCCAGCTCCACATGTACGGCTTCCACAAGATCCTGGACCCGCAGCTGGCCTACCACGACAAGGACTCCCCCATCTGGGAGTTCCGCCACTCGCTGGGCAAGTTTAAGAAGAACGACGAAAGCTCCCTTGTCTACATCAAGCGCAGGCTGCTGCTGAACTCCTCCCGCAACTCCCTGGTGCTCGAGTCCGAAAACAACCACAACCCAACTTCCAATAACCACCACCTCCACCGCTCCCACGACCCGCAGGTCGCCTACTACCACGCCAGGCCCCATCCGTACCCTTACTACTACCCCCAATGGCAAGTGCCCGTGCATGGTCCCGTCTACCAGGGCCCTCCCCATCACAACGGCCCCAACGGGCCCCCTCTCCCGCCGGTTCCAAGCCCGTACCCTCCGGAACACTATCCTGTGATTCTTCCCCCACCCACACCCAAGGAGAAACCCGCCAGCCCTACGCCAAAAAGACGCTCCTACGAAGAGGTCCGCTACCAGCAGCACCCGGAGCAGCCGCTACGCTACTCCCACTCCACCCTGCTGCTCCCGACATACCACGATCCTCCCCGCAGCGACGAAACCCTACAGTTCAGAAAACCCTGGGACCAGCCCCACGACAGGCGGCCCCGCCATCCCTCGTTGCTCTTTGACCCCTTGGCGCCTCCTCGTTCCAACGACACCATCAAGCTCCCGCCTTTGGGAAGCAGCCCTCCAGCGCAGTCTGTTCTGCGGCCCTCGCTTTCGTCCATCCCCATCCGAAAGTCTGTCTACGACAAATTGCGCCCGCTGTTGATCGAATTGCATGCCTCGGGCCACCCCGGCGGCTCCCGAACCTTCGACTCGATGGGCTCCAACCTGCTGTCGATATTCCTGGGCGCCTCGTCCATCTCGTCGCTTTCGAGCGGCGGCAGATCGTCCTTCGGTTCGATATCCCATTTGGTTGATGACCGCAAGCTGCTGCTAGCGCCTCACGAGCAGCCGCTGCCCCAGATGCACCCGCCGGGAGTTCTGACGATTCTCGAAGAACGCGAGAGCAGCGAGCAGATTCCCCATCAGTTGCCGCAGCTGTCGAGCTCCACGGAGACCACCGAGGCCAGTGGTGCCATGAGCACGCCCAAGCCTCTGACGCCGAAGCCTGTGTCGCCGCTGTTTAAAGGCAAAGTGCTGTACTTGCTTGAGGACACCGACGGCCATGCATTGAAGAGGCAGAAGCGTGAGGCATAGAAGAGGAGCATAGACAAGGTTTCTGGGGTAAAAATAGCATCAATTGAGGCGTCCGCTGCCCCATTGGGTTTGGAGGAAGCTGGCGAGGCCAAATTTTCCCCAGGAAGATCGACCTCGCTAGTCGTCATGTGAAGAGTATTAAAGAAGCTGGACAAGCTAAGTTCTGCCAGACTAATGCAGACGCAGAAGCCGATAGTGAGAGGCCGCAGTAAATTCCTGGCCTGCCGTGAGCGCAAACAGCAAAAAATAAGACAGAGCGCAAAGCAGCCCGTTCACCGAGGCGAGCAAGCCTTAATTCCGGAGTCAGACGAGCGACAGAAAACAATAGCAGGCGAGGCTGGCTCCGCAGCGCCAGGGACCATTGCAGCAATGGCGGATTCTCAAAGTCTTCCATTTTGGGAGAAACTCCCAATTCACAGACGACGGCTGTGTGGCAGGGCTCTAAAGCCGCAGCGTAGCGATCGTGGCAGTTACAGGAGCTCACGCCAGTTTAGGAAGATCTAACAAGGGTATCGGTACAGGAGCGGGCTCTTGGAGGGAGGATCTGACGTGTTTGCGCCGCCCCAGCCCCCGTCACTTTTGTTGAGGTGAGCGTTTCAAAGAGGAATGGTGGCGGCGGCAGCGGCATGCCCATACTAGACCACTCTTGTGGTGGGTGCTGCTCGCCAGATGCAACCAAGATTTTCTGCTCGGGTTTTTCCTGCCTGCGCTGGCGGTTTACCGTTCATCGAACGTCTGGATGCTTCGCTCAGGGCAGTGGCCTGATTTCTGCATTTTTCTGCGCTTTAGACATGCGCCAACATGCGCAGTTACGCGCGCCGGCTATCCTGGCACAGGATTGGCCGCAGGCGTATGGGGAGCAGTTTCCAGCGGTGCTCGATGGGGCGAATATTATTTAACGCGCGAGTGAGGGAAGAAATTTGTGATATATTTTTCCTCCTTTCGCATCGGCAGCAGCCTAGTATTTTTTTACGTCACGACAGCGATACTATACTTTTATTTTTTTGGGTGATGTTATTTTGAGTTTTTTGGCAGATTATTTTTTGGCAGATTATTTTTGGCACATTATTTTTGGCACATTATATTTCGGCACATTTTTTTCCTTCAACGGTCGCAGCCGTCACCTGGCGACCACGCACAACGAGTAATGAACATTTTAAAAACGAGATACACGAGATTATCTCCAGAGTGATATATGAGAGAGCAAAATTAAATTATTAATGAGGCCAATTGTAGCCCCTATACCAGGAGTTCTATATCTTATCTCTGCGCATCTCTACCAAACCATCCGCTATCACCACACACCGAATCTTCAGTTATGGATGCCTGCCACTTTTTAACCGAACAACAGCTGTCTTGAGGCCTAAATCCCGCGCGTCTCATGACGTGGTATGAATGCAGAGAACAGGCGGTCCAGCAGAACCCAAATCATGCAATATAGGCGCCCTGGAGTATGTGGAGTTTCAAGACTCGGGCTTCCGCCGCATGGCGGTTGTAGGCCCTGACGACCCTAGTATTTAAAGTGGAGATTCAGGCGCTGGGCAGCCGCTAAGGTCCATGTGCTGGCAGAACCAGGCGGACCACCGACGAAGCGAAAAAAAAAAAAAAAAAAAAAAAAAAAAAAAAAAAAGAAAAAGAAAAAGAAAAAGAATAGTTGCCTGAAAGCGCCCCTGGTGTCGTCACCACGTCGTACGTGAAACATCGCTCGTGTCCGAAACGTCACCATGGTGGCAGCCAAAAAGGCTTCTGTGGTTGCTGCTGGCGAATGAGAGTTGCTGGTGGAAATAAGCTTTTTGGTATCTCGCAAAGCCAGTTGCTTCGCATGAATGGTTTTTTTTTTTTTTTCAACGGCCCAAACGGGATTCGGCAGATTTGATTGCTGCCCCGCTGCCCCTTTTCCGGTCATTTTCATGATCCACTTTTAGTGGCCCTGTCCATTTGCATATGCCATTGCCCTTCACCACCTGCTCTCCAGTCCTCTCCTAGCTTTGTCCTCGCTCGCTTCGCTCGCTAACGAATAACCGCCCCGCTTTGCTTGATCTTCGATTTTGTACCGCCAGGCTCCCTGCGCCAGCTTACCCACGACGCAGCAGGTTGCGCCTTTCCCGCTATCCAGCCAAGAGATCCTTTAGCCCCGAGACATCTGAGCATTTCCATAGGACGGCCTTACGCCGGAGAACAAGGCCCGGCGGGTTGTCTACTGCCTTGTCTAATAAAAAGATTTTTATTTTTTTTTAAAAAAAACGACGTCAATGGTGCAAATGCATAAGCGAGCACCTCTCAATTGGCAGCCGCTTGTCTCAAGAATAAGCTTTGCTTGGGTTAAGGTTTAACTTCTTCGCCGCTGCCAATGAACTTTCTTCTAGGCTTCCTGTGCAGCTTGCTATTGAAGCGGGATGAATGCACCTCCCGATGCGTCTTCCACTAAACACATCGGGCCTCACATGCTACCCAACACTAGTCCGACATTCAATCTCTGTGAACCCTGGATAAGCACTCGGCTAGCTTTTACCCCGGGTGAATAGCTCCAAAATCGGAAAGGGCGCCTTTCCAGGAAATCCCACAAAAACGACCTCTAGTGAATCGCCAAGCAAAGACCCTGCCACTTACTCTTCAAGACTATTTTGTGCTGGCCTGTTTCGAACGATCCAAGCGGTTTAGGCAATAGCACCCCCGCTTTATTCGTCGAAAAGCAGAAGCCTAAAGAACCGTCTCGGGCATTGAACACTCCTCCTCGAGAATCCCACAATGGCTGAACAAGCCCACTTTATCATGGCACCTAGATGCCAAGGGAAAGCACCCTCCCATTACAATGGCGCCATATTGTCGCGGAGGAAGCGCCAAATCCGACTACCGTAAGTAGGCCCATTGTATTGTGGGCATCCACATTTTTCGGTGGGGTCTTCGCCAAATCGTGCCATTACGACGCTACATTGTAAGGCCACCTGCGTGGTAGGCTTATTGTGGTGGAGAAGCCCCAGGGCCTTCCTTGATGCAATATATAGTCATGCTGGGTGGCAACAAATGACTCTCACAATTGCCTTGTCATGACTATCCCATTTCTAAATCATCTTCCACATTCATGCAAGAGTCACGAGTCTCGAGAGTCTCATCCAGCAAGGCCAAGAACCTCTCCTTTGTTGGTCCTTCCATTTCCATCAGAAGGGACGCTTGGACACTTTGGTGGCCTTTTTCGTGCTTCTTTGTGCACTGATCTTTCTCTCCTCCTCGTCACTGTCCAGTTCGACCTCCACCTTCACAGGCTTCTGCTTCTGCTTCTGCGTTTCTTTCTTCCCGACTTCCCCAAGAACTGACTCCGTTTTTTCCCAACTTTCTTGGGGCCTTGTCCGTCTTTGTTATTGGCCCGCCCACGACTGTCGTTTCTCATCTTGTTGATCAAGGCGGTCATGGCTTTGGTGCCTGCCTGGTTCTGGCGATTCTCTTGTACTTTCACCTTTTGTGGGTCTTTCTCCGGGTTGACGAAATCGGATATTGTCTTTTGCGCCTCGTCATCCTCTTCTAGCTCGTAGAGCCCCAGGCCGTTTGTGAGAATCGGGAGATTTAGAAAATCATCCCCTGATGGTTTCTCTGTTTCTTCATTCTGCTTCGGTAGCCAATTGGCGACTGTGTTGTTGGACTCGTTGAGTGCTAGTTGGAATCGGAGTTGAAACGCCTCCTTTTCCTTGATTTCCTTTCTTCTGTTCACTTTGGACATGGAGAACTAAGTTGTAGGTTGTGTTACGATGAGCATCGCGATATGTGGAGAAGCCAAAAAAAAATGCGCAAGCCCGGAATCGAACCGGGGGCCCAACGATGGCAACGTTGGATTTTACCACTAAACCACTTGCGCGAAGAAATCCTCCGAGACGGGGAATTGAACCCCGGTCTACCACGCGACAAGCGGTAATTCTAGCCACTAAACTATCTCGGATAACTTGAAGTGGTGTGATTGCAGGTAATATATATAGTTTGCGCGTCACGTGATCGAAAAATGCTTGTTTTTTGCGTTGTGGGAGTCATGAAGTGGATAACTGAATTACCACTTATTGCAAAACCGACGCCCAAATCGCCGGATTGTCTCTGTGTCTCGAGATATCGCTGTTTGAGTTTTTCATAACATTAAAGAAAGACATATATTCCCAATTTTCCTAGAAAAAAGGATAAAGATCATACTAGTGAAAGCCTAGTTGTTACCGCAAAATCTTAACAAAGACTCAATTGCCTTCATTGCTCTGATGCCGCAGAATTGGGTCCTTTTGGTGCTCAAAAGCCCGTAGGTCTCTCAAATACCCTTTTTTCACCAAAAAATCAATCTTACGTTTTTGAAGAAGTTCCCTCAGCGAACCTACATCTCCATCTTCTTTTTCTTCATTTCCTCGTAGTCTTCTTTCCACCAACCGTTGCTTGGCTTATTCACCAAAATTACTAAAATGCGCAGAAGGCTGTCAAAATGGGTGCAAAACGCAAAAGCTGCAGCACTTTAAATAACCTGATCTCCTACAAACACACAACAGAACATCAACAGCCCCCAAATGTTACCCTCCCTTCACCGTCCACCAAAAACGTCCAGAAACGCCTCGTCGCTCTAGTGTCACAATATTCCCGTTTCTGGACCTAGACGGCTTCGCACTTCTCCGAAACTATAGATAACAAAAGAGTCAACCTACTCTTCCCTTTCAATGCCCACGGTCGTCGTATCCCACAGCCAGGCGCTAGCGGCGTACCTTGTGGCGGCGTCTCTACGCCTTTACTTCCCTTCTCGAAATTTGAAGATCATTGTGGTGGAATCACTAGACACCAACCTCACGAGTCAGCCTTACTGTGGTATCAGCACAGTGTCCAACCAGCGGCTTGTTCACGGAGATTTTTTCGAAAATGCATTCTTCCGAGGCGTCTTGCAATCAGCATTGTCGTTTCTTGGCTCAATTCAATTACATAGTTTGGGAAGAAGGAATCACCCTGACTTTCCCCAGAATCAGCACGGTATAAGGGCTACCATAGGGCTGCCGGACCAGCACATAGCTCTTCTTTATCATCCACAGATTCTTCTACATCGTCTACGCCAGTCGCTTCTTGCAGACCCACTGGTTACATTTTTATCAGTGCCAAACAGAAATGCAGTAACCCAAGTCAGGGCAGATTTGTACATTACATTTGCACCTGGAGAAGGCAATAACAAAATGAATAACTTGGATCTCACGGCCCATTCTTGTCTATGTCCCGTGGAAGGGCTGTCGGCACCAGTGCTTTGGTTGCCGTTGTTCAAGGCAACCACCCAGATGTTCGAGGCCATTTTCACCAACACCCTTTCTAGCTCGGCTTTGGAGATCCACACTGTCAATCTAAACAACAACGAAATCTGCTTTGCCTCGCGGTACGACTTGAACCACGGCATCAAGGCATGCGATTACGTGCTTCTGATCATGGACGGCCTTGCGGCAAGATTAGGCCTCGTTCCGTCGATGCTATGAGGTACCTTTACAGACATTCGCCAACGGCGATAATAAATCAGAAGATACACCAAACGTAGCCTGGAAATGCTTCAATGACCAAAAATCCTCCAGATGCTCCCGCGTAGCTTAAACGGGAAGAGTGTCGAGTCCAGCGAAACGGTTCACGTAAGGCTCCACGGCTGGATGTCTTAATATTCCTCCTAAAACAGGAACGTTTCTCAAAAATTGCACGATAGTACCCAAAAAGTCACCGAAAAGTGAGAGAATGCCCACTCCTTCCACAATGAATCCAATGAACGAGTGTTTGAACAAAATCAAGGTGATGCCGCCAAAGAAAAATATCGTGGGTCTGATTTTCGTGGGTCTGGCGAAGAAGTATATGGTTCTGGTAGGGCCAATGATGAGAATGACGCCAATCACGAAAAGAAGGTTTCCAATGGCCAAAAGACTGGAGTCAAAGAAGGTCAAGATTCCGAGGATGAAGAACACCACGCCAGCGGCGGTCAGCACAACACCGTATTCTGCGGTTAGAAAATACCGAATAAATCATATGAAAATTTGAACATACTTTGGCGCTCTGTGAGCCACATGTTAGAATCGAAAAGCATGGTTGATTTGTGAGACGTGGATGGAAATTTGCAGTAGTAGTATCAGCGTGTCGGGCACGTGATACAACAAGGCTTGGACTACCAGGCGTGTTTTACCAGTGAGGCATTGGGAGATGGTTTGGCTGGCTCATTCGAATTTCATTTGACTCAATTGGAGGAGTTCTTGAAGTGGCGTGCGTTTAGTGTGCTTTCAGTGCAAGAAATCACAAGGCTGAAGCAGCCACAACGCAAAGTAAGCAGAGAAGAAAAAATAACGAATTGCATGAGCTCCACTGAGTCAAGTTCACGTATCTTAATAATTCACAGTTAATGCTAGCTATGACACATCGGCATGCGTTGCACTTTCACGCTTTTCGCAGCCATTCCGGAGAAAGATGCACGGAAGAGGTGGAGGAAGTGTTCTATGGATATGACGATTTCGATGTTATTTTGATTTAAAGATTCTTGCTTTGATTTGTGGCATTAAGGAATCAATGTGGCATCCTCACCAAATATCACTATAATCAATAAAAATCTCCCACCAACCTCAATACTCATATTCATCAGAGCTCAATCGAATGTCACTGCAGAGCCAACATTCTTCCGCTTCAACTAAAAAATAATTATACATTGCATGCGGCTGGGCACATGAGAACTAAAGGAGGTTTCCTGCTGCATGAGCTTTGCAAAGATGGGGCTTTGTGCAATACCCACTCTCGCTTATCCAGAAGCCTGCGCCACAAACGGTGGAACGGGTTTCGGGGTTTTCAGCCAATCAGGCATCAATTGAGTGAAGATTTGAATTGAACTTTGAAGCAACAAAAGCCTGAAACGCTTATGTGACATGCACCAGCAAGCAGACGTAGTGCCCGTAAATGTCGCTTCGGAGGATGCATGACCCTAGTCCGATGGAGCCTTCCACCGTATTCATACATATCAAGCCCAACAATCTGAAAAGCCGCTTGTCTTGAAAAAGCAGCCGTTTTAATGCCCTTTTCCGAAAATCTCCGAACAAAATCTACTAGATCACCACCACCTTGATCACCATTTCTCGGTCTCGATCCCCCCACATTTAGCTTTTTCGCATAGCCACAATGATCCGATCCACGAAACCTCAACCAATTTCCACCACACCAGAAATATCAAAAAATAAAAAAACACACCAAATCACCTTCAATCTTCTATTTTTCCATTGATCCCCATTCTCCTCCTCGTATTATCTTGTCCTTCGATAACCGGCTTGGCATCACGTGCCAGTCCCCAGACTATTTCAGATCACGATCATCTCTTTTGACACCACCATGCCCAAAGCTTCGTATACTCCAAAAGACGACGCAGGGGAGGCACCTCCTCCTTCCTATCACGAGGCTATAGCCCTGCCTGCATCTCCAGAACCCCTGCTTCCTCAAAGACCTCCTCAGGCTCCTCCAAGGCCTCTGAAATCCGAAACCCAGTATCAGCCCAGACCCCAGACTTCCCAAAGTGCCAATGCTCCACCGAAAACACAGAGCTACCTGGGTTCTGTCAACTACTCGAACAACGCAAATCTCCCCTTTGAGTTTCCAAAACGCTACTTCTGCAAGAAGTGCAAGAACACAGGCTACAAGAAGGATAATAAGATGTGCCTAGACTGCTGGCGCCCGTTCTACTTGCGGAACAATGCCTGGAATCCTAATCAGCTGCTTCCTTTCAGGTACCCCAAGAACTTCATCTGTGAAAAATGCTACAACCACGGCGTCAAGTTCAAGAATGGCAAGACATGCAAAGACTGCTATGCACGTTTCGCTAAAAGGAACAATTACACTATAAACCCTCCAGGCCTCAGTGGGCCATACTATTCACAGCCTGTGGTGGCGCCTATGCAGATGCCGGGTGCTTTTGGGCCTCCTCCCCAGATGCCTTTGAGAGTTCCTCCTGGAGATCCTCGTTTGGGTGGAACACTTTGTGGCAATTGCAGAGGAACAGGTCAAACGTGGTTTTTGTTGGATTCCGATTTGTGCAATGTTTGTGGTGGTTTGGGTAGATTACTCAACAGGTACTAGATTGGGTCAGATTTGACAGGTGAGGAAAGGAACCATTTTCTTTCACAGCAACGGCATACATACACAAGAAGACTCAATTGCTTCGAGGAAGGCTGGAATTGACATAATTGGAAGGAACAGGAAAATCTAGATTGGTGTGCTCTGTTGGCTGGGGGACACGAAAGAGATAATTGCTATTTTACAGACTATAACGATTTTAACTTTGACTCAATTGGATTGGCGAAAAAGAGAGTCATTCAACTTTGGCATGAAGAAGCATCCTCATAACAGCAGATGACAGACCACCACAGACGAAATATGCTCTTTAAAGTAAAGAACCAATTGCACTCAACAACAGAACATACATGATGCCTCAGCCCTCCACACATTTCACTGTCTCAGCATAATTACGATAACGAATACATTTGAAATTGCAGCTAACATACATCTCTCCATTTTCTTTATATATACAATTAGTGGATGTTTGATGGGTACTTGTAGTCCGTCAACTCCTGGAAGTTCTCCTTGATGTTTCTGATAGACACAAATCTGCTCAAAAGGTTACCAGAACCAGCCTTGTCGTTGGTACCAGACATTCTGCCACCACCGAACCACTGCTGGGCAACAACGGCACCAGTGCACTTGTCGTTGAGGTAGAAGTTACCAGCAGCGTAGCGCAACTTCTCCTCAGCAAGTCTCACAGCATCCTTGTCTCTGGCAAAGACAGCACCGGTCAAGCCGTACTTGGTGGTGCGGTCAATCTTCTCCATGATGGCCTCGTAGTCGCTGTCTCTGTAGACGTAAGCGGTAACAATTGGACCGAAGAACTCTCTCTTCAAGAACTCGTGGTCTGGGTTAGTGGACTGGATGAGGGTTGGCTGGACAAAGAAACCAGTCAGCTTGTCGGTCTCACCACCCAGGATGATCTTCAAGTCAGGGTCGTTTTTGGCCTGCTCAATAACGCCGCTCAACTTTTCGAAAGACTGCTCGTGGATAACTGGACCCATGAAGTTGTTCAAGCCAGCAGTGTCAGTGGTGGAACCAATGGTGATGGTCTCCATGGCACCCAGCAACTTGTTGAAAAATTCCTCCGAAATGGACTCAGGAACGAAAAGTCTGGAGTTGGCAGAACACTTCTGGCCCTGGAACTCAAAAGCACCTCTCAAAGTAGACAACACAGCGTGGTCGATGTTGGCAGAGTTGTGAACCAAGTGGAAGTTCTTACCACCAGTCTCACCAACGACACGTGGGTACTCTCTGTAGAGCTCCTTGGACAAGTTGGAGCCAATCTGGCCGTACAACTTCTTGAAGACATCGGTGGAACCGGTGAAGTGCAAGGCAGCGAAGTCCTCGTGGTTGATGATCTCTTCGGAGATCTCAGCTGGCTCACCGGGGATGAAGTTGATCACACCTCTTGGCAAACCAGCCTCCTCCAAGATGGTCAACATGAGGTAGTTGGACAAGACGGCGGAGTTGGATGGCTTCCACAAAACGGTGTTACCCATCAAGGCTGGAGCACCGACCAAGTTACCGGCAATAGCGGTAAAGTTGAATGGGGTAACAGCGTACACGAAACCCTCCAATGGTCTGTACTCAGCTCTGTTCCAGACGCCTGGGGCGGTCTCGCATGGCTGAACCTTGTACATCTCCTCGGCGTACTTGACGTTGTACTTGAAGAAGTCAATTAACTCAGCGACACAGTCAATTTCGGCCTGGAAAACGTTCTTACCCTGGCCAAGCATGGTAGCAGCCAACATGTCGTAACGGTACTTGGTGGAGATGAGCTCAGCAGCCTTAATGAACACACCAGCTCTGTCAGCCCACGGCATAGAGGCCCACTTGTCCTTAGCAGCCTTGGAAGCAGCAATTGCCTCCTTGACGTCCTCACGGGATGCAGAACGCACGGTAGCCAAGGTCTGGCTGTGGTTGGCAGGGTTCACCTGAGTGAAAGTAGGTCTGTCGTAAACCTTCTCCCCGCCAATGATCAATGGAATGTCCAATGGACCGTTGTCAGTGAGCTTTGTGAGGGAAGCACGCAAAAGGTCCCAGTCCTTCTGGTGGTCGTAAGAGAACTCCTTGACAGGTTCATTGGTGAAAGGTGGAACCTTGACGTGTGCAAATTGAGAGGCAGCTCTGACAGGCATCTTGCTCATTCTGGGCACAAGGCGGGCAGAGAGGGAAGCAGTGGCGGGTCTTGCCCTGATGGCGAGGTTGCGGGCGGTACGCAAACGAAGCATTTTGGTGTTTCAGGGAAAAGTATGTGGAGTTTTTTCGTGGGGATCGGACTTCTTAAATATTGCTGGGCCGAAGGCCTGCGTGTGGGGGAAGGGAAGAGCGAGGGATTGCGCGGGAAGGGTATAGCGAGGGGCAGGAGTAGGCGACTAAGCAGCCGCTCCGGGGCCTTTATGAGGCATTTCTAACATTTGAAACATCGGCTGGTATTTGGGGTTTTGTTTGTATGGGAGTTTGAATTGAGGGGGAGCAATGGAGGGTTGGAAGGTTGAAGAGGGGTTCAACGTGGAGAGGCAATATGGAGGATCCAGCATAGAAGATCAGGCAACCATGAAATAGCCTCTTTGATAGGAGGCATTGGGTTGGCTATGATTTTCGAGGTCCAGGCTAAATCTTCAGATGAAGTTTTGGAATGAGTTCTCTTCGTGAAGCTTACATGGACAATCCTGTTGCTAGATGCTAATCAACAGGTGGAATGGTAGATTCGTGTAGGTTGTTGCTTTCCTTCCATATTCTGATAACCTCAAGATTCCCCAATTTTGAAGATTCCCCCATTTTGACCGTCCCACATGAACATTGAATTGTGGACGATCGACGGTTTTGTGTCAAGCCGTACATGGCGCATAAATCTGGAAATGTACATGAACGTCAGCGCACTCAGCGGGTGTTTTTCAGCGAGCGAGCCCGGCTGATAAGGTTCACGACTTAGATGATGGATTCAGATGAAAAAGATCTAATCTTGTCGTTGGAGATAATGCTTTTTCTGTTTCTGGCCAGAAAGCCATTAATGGATTGCCTTAACTCAATTCTTCTCTCATTCCAATAATCGACGTCTCACTCAATGGACTCACCGCCGGCCTTGATCAAACCTTCTTGGCTTCGATCTTGTCAATACGACTCATCACATCCTCCATTTTCTTCTGAAAAACCTTAGCGTTCTTCTCAAACGCCTCACTCTGCTCCACAAGACTCCTATCTATCTTGTCCACCGAATCGTCCCACTTCTTCAAATCCAGCGCCAAACTGCTCAATGTCTTGTCCAAGGTAGCAACACATTCAACAGCATGTCCGCTCTCAGCATGAACACTGTTGAGCGAACGTAGTCTGGCTATCATCAGAGGCACTATGGCGTTGACTCTGTCGAACTCAGTCAACCTGTCATACAAAGACGAAACTTTATGATCAAAGCTGATTGGCACCACAGGGGTTCTTTGGAGCCACTAGAGATTTGGGCCATACGCCTGTTGGCAGCCAAAGCCTCCATGTCTTTACTGAGCAGCTTGATTTCGGTCTGGACGGCGGCGATCTCCTCCTCGTGATCGTACAAGACATTCACCTTTCGACTTGCGTTATTTAGGATGTTTCTGATGCTTGTGGGCGTGTCCTCATTGGACCCAATCGCCTCTTCCAACTCGGCTATCCTCTTTTCCAATCGTAGAACCTCATTGGACTCAGAATACTCCTTTGTTGACCTTTCCTTCAAGGCAGACTCAATGTTCTTGAAAATATCTCCAACACCAACATCGAAATCACCGCTTTTCTCCTCCCCAGCTTTCAATTCACGAAACTTTCCAGCCAATACCTCAACTTCAGAAGGCTCCTCTTTCTCCAACTCCTCGAGTTCCCGGGCAATTCTGGCCAACTTCTGTTTCCTCGTTTCGCCAAGCTTCTCCACATTATAGCCACTTTGAGCCAATCTCCTCGCCACGTTTCCCAGGAAATCAACCAAGGTCAATTCGTCACTGAGAGCTGAAGATTCATAGCTGGAAACGGCGTCCAGAGGCGGGGCCAAAGCATCACGTGCAATGCTTTCACTGGATTCTTCAACATGATTGGTTCCGCTTTCGCTCTCGACGTCGCTGGTTTCGAATACCTCAGGACCGTGATCCTCTTCTGCAGAGTCCATGTTGATATCAGACGCGCACCAAATCGGTAGTAGTATCAGGAGGTGGAAATAAAAGAAATTGTATATCTATGAAAAAAATGATTTGAAATTGAAGAGAATTGTTTTAAAAAAGTTATTTTAGAAGAATGAATTAACTAGTTAGAATTTAAGCTATTTTGTCGGTACAGTAGTTCTACTGTCGGTTCAAGAAATGGCTGCGAAATAGGACATGCGATTCATGAAAATGTAAGAATGAGATATCCAGGTAATAAGCCAACTGGTAGAAAATAAGAGTAGAAGGAGAGTTTTTGTTTTGTGTCAAACTGCTACACAAGCAATTATGCTATTCGTCTCTTTTATATATCTTCATCTTTTGCAACCATGAGAACATCAACGCCTTGGTGGTCCTAGGCAGAAATGCAAAAGCTTCGGCATTATCTAAGCACTAATGCATCAATTCAGTGCCTGAAGTCAAAAACCTGCCCGGTACACCTTTGAGGTCTTTCAACAATGGTAATTGTCGATGGCAGGCCACTGCGACTGCCTCACTGTGAACATCACTTCAGTAGGTGCAAAGCCAACTTTTATCAATATGCTCAATTGACATTACAACGAAATTCGCTCCCACAACTTACTTCGTCACAACTTGCACAACGTCCTCATCGTTGACCGGATGCTGGAGTCCACATTTCTGTGGCGAGTGCTTGGCACTTGAGCCCCACACCAACGCATACCTGAACTGATTCTTCATCTCTCTGTGGATGGCATCACAGACCTGCAAAATCGTGGAGTTGGCACGCACAACCATGGGGTCGTCGAAGTTGGGCATCACGCCTCTTCTTTTCGTGTAAAGTCTCACAAGACCCAACTGACGCCAGATCTCCTCCTTCAAGTCGTCAATGCCCAATTGCAACTCACACGAAATAACAACCGTGTTGGGCTCACGGGCCAAACGGTCCGTTTCTTCTAGAGACACAGCGTCCACCTTGTTGTAAACGTAGAGACACTTGATGTAGGAGATATGCTGGTCGTTGATGATGTCGATAAAGTCGTCCACGGTGACGTTTTCGTCCTTTACGAGCACATCAGCGTTGTGGATCTTGTAGTCTTTCAAAATGGCAGTAACCATCTTTTCATCGAGGTACTTGGGCGGCGTGATTGAGTTCAACTTGACACCGCCTGTCTTCTTTACCTTGAGCGAGATATTGGGTCTCTCCTTGTTCAAGCGAATGCCCATAGTCTCCAATTCGTTCTCCAAAATCTGTCTTTGCTCTCCACCCTTGGTTGCATCCAAAACCATCAATATAAGATCCGATGTTCTCGACACAGCAATGACCTGACGACCACGCCCCTTACCTTGAGAGGCAGCTTTAATGATACCTGGCAAATCCACAATCTGCACCTCGGCACCATTGTATTCTAGGATTCCTCCAACAGAGGTCAAAGTGGTAAACTCGTAGTTGGCAGTCTCCGATTTGGTGTTAGTGACCTGTGAAAGGAATGAAGATTTACCCACAGAAGGAAAACCAATAAGCGAAACTCTGGCATCTCCAGCTTTGGCAATTTCAAAACCCTGTCCTCCTCCAGATGATCCACCAGGTTGAGGCTCTAGAAGCTCTCTTCTGAACCTGGCAAGCTTACCCTTTAAGAGACCAATGTGGTACTCTGTGGCTTTGTTTTTTTGGGTACGTGCAAGCTCATCCTGGATTTGGGCGATCTTTTCGAGGGCTCCCATTGGATCTGGATTAGTGATTCGATGTAGGTAGAATAGGTGTAGATTTTCGATGCTAGTGCAGTGGTGCACCCGTACACCACATAGCTGGATAATTATAGTTGAAAGATGTTTGCAAGGGAGGACGGGTATTTACATATTTTTTGATGGTAAGTGTAGAATAGTGGCTATATTGCTATGGTATGATCTTAAAAAAAAAAAAAAAAAAAAAAAAAAAAAAAAAAAAAACAAAGATTGGGAAAAGTGCTGAGCTATGGAGCATGGTGGATGTTCATTTGGCTGCGAAATCTGAAAAATTCAAATAACAAGAAGTATGATCAATATGACCTTGGGGAACTTGAATATTTTCGTCTCTCTTCTAGTATACATCAAAATCAATAGAAGCTTTATGCAATGACAGGATTCCCCGATTATAGTCTGTACATGTCAGTATCTATCCTATGGGCTGAAGAGTTCTATACCTGGTTCTCAAAGATGGCATCTAGTATGGAGTGAAACAATAACATTGATCCAATAAGCTTTAAGAGGCACCTTCTTCAGAATAAAAGCCTCTATTTGGGTCCTGATTGATATTTGGTGACCTTTCTGATGCTTCACCATCAACGTCCTGCATACACCACCAGACCCCAGGCATCAAGCTCTTCTCAGGCATCGCAGTCTTGAATTATCAGAACATGCCTAAAGCTCACGGTCGGTATGACCGGTACAACACCGATCTCAGCGATGTTTTCGGCTCTTCTGTTCGTGCCAAGAAGCAAATCAGAAATATAGAAAATTTGCTTCAAAAAGACGATCTCCCTGCTGATATTAGAATCGAAAAGGAAAGAGCCTTGAAGGCCTTGAAGGTTGATTTGAAGCACAGACAGTTCAATTTGAAGACAAAGGAGCGTGCAAAGAAGTACCACATGGTCCGTTTCTTTGAGAGAAAGAAGGCCATCAGAAGGCTCAAACAAGCCACCAAGGCCCACAACGAGGCAGTCGAATCGGAGTCCAAGAAGGAGACCAAAAAAGCCAGAAAGGTGTTGAAGCACGCCCAGATCGACACTGCTTACGTGTTCATGTTTCCCAAATCTGAGAAATACGTTTCTTTGTATCCACCAGAACTCAGCGCTGAAGCCAAACAGGACGACAATGTCAAAAAGGGTGCCCAGCGGACCGAGGAAAGAAGACTAGCATACCGTAAGAAGATGGAGGAGCTCATCGACAGCGGAAAACTACCTTTCACTTTTGAAGACGTCTTGGCCGGTAAGACAGTGCAGGTGGAGAATGCAACCTTGCCAGAGCAAGAGGAGGAGATCGATGCCCCACAGGAAAAACCACAGGAAGAGGAGGAAGACGAGTTCTTCGAGTAAACCACACCTTAATTGCATCTTGTACATTAATTATCATTCGTTAGCGCAAAGTGAGCGTAGTCTCGTAGCTGATGTCCATGGCATCGTTGACACAAAGGACCACCACTTCCTGATCACGCATATCATCGAAAATCTCCAAGGAACAGGCGATTTTGCCTTTCTTTCCATGGAGTCGAGGAGATGCTCTTTTAATGAGTAAGAGCTCCTCTTTCTTCTGGTCGCAAATAATCACAAACCAAGATTCCCTTTGCGGCTTGGGGAAGTGTGGAGCGTACATCTTGAACTCCTTGTTAAGAGGGAAGTTGTCGTGCTCAAGCTCCACCTTCAATGTATCTGGAGAATTCTGCTCCACCTTAAGGCCAGCAGTGGGCAAATGAGAGGCAATACGAACGAATTCCTTGACTCCGTCCTTTTCGTCAAAGTCCTCAACACCAAGCTTCTCAGCCATCTTGAAAAGAGCACCCTTATTAGACGTACCAACTTTCTTGAGATCAAGGTTACTTTCTTTTCTCTTTTGCACTTCCAAGCCAGGCAAGGCAGTGACAGGGTCCTCGTCGTACCAGATTCTCTGCTTAATACACTGCATCAACTTCACAAAAGTCAACACAACATTCAAGTAGCCAAGCTCAGATGCAACGTCAATGTAAGCCTGCAAAATACGCAATGCTTGATCCAAAACAGAAACGGTATCTTGAGCGTAATCAGCAATTGGGAGATCGACTCGACTCATGAAAGCCTGGATCAACAAGTATGCTTTCACGTGTGGATCCCAAATGAACTCCTTCTCCATGTCCTCAGCAGGGTATCTCATTGCTTGCGACATCTCCATATTTATGAGCTCTTCACCATGTCTCGTAGCAAGCTCATCGTATTCTGTAGCGAGACACAACAACTTCAAACATTCCTGGAAAGAGGAATCCTTCTTGATGTTACCCAAAATTGTCCTGATAGTAAGATGAGAAAGGTAGTAGTACGAGGACACCTGAAGGAATGGAGATGGTAAAAGCTCGTCTTTGCCCGTATGAGTGATACAGCGAGACTCCGTGAGGTTGTCGATGGCATCGTCAATAAGACCACCCAAATACTTTGAAATTCCGACGTCACTCAAATCTTCGATACCGTAGTACGTTGGATTGTTATGGGCACGTCTGTACAAGAATGTCCAGGTCAAGAAATCAAGAGCTTGCTGTCTTGTAGTGATTGTTCCGCTTGCAATTTCTGCACCAATATGGTTATCTAAAACTTTGTGCAAAGACGATTCAACGGGGAATCCAATATTCAAGAAATGTTTGTAGAACACCTTCTTAGCCTCCTTTGTGTAGACTATGGCGATACCACTTGTATCGAAAGCGGGACGACCAGCTCTTCCCATCATTTGAAGAATATCGGTCAAGTCCATATCTCTATAATCCTCGATCTTGGAGTCAAAGAATTGGGTACCCTTGATGATGACCAAGTGAGCTGGTAAGTTGACACCCCAGGCCAAAGTGGAAGTTGCAATCAAGATTTGGATCTTTCCAGCCTCAAAAAGCTTGTGTGCTATTTGACGGTCGGATTCTACCAAACCGGCATGATGCAAACCCATACCAAATTGCAAAGACAATTTCAATGTTTCATCTTTCACCTTCTCCAACACATCAGCGAGCTCCATGTCGTCCATGTTCACAAACCGTCTAGGATTCAGTTCCATACCGCACAAATGAATAAGATCAAGAGCTGTGAGTCTCGTTTGACGACGAGAGGCAACGAAAATCAAAACAGGCTTTGTTGGAGAGTGTTGTTTGATTGCCATAAAAGCTGGTTTGTTCATCGTCTTCATCAATGGACAGAAGGCGAGATTATCTGGAAATCCGTCAATGTACATTTGCAATGGAACAGGACGAACAGACTGTGGAAAGTTGAAAAGACCTTCACGCACACGGAGCCAACCAGCCATATCAATGGCATTAGAAACAGCCGTAGACATACCCAAAAGACGGATAGGCTTCTTTGTTTGAGATGAAATGTAGTTCATACGACTAACAATCATCTCCAAAATGGGGCCTCTGTCACTGGCCAAAAGATGAATTTCGTCCATGATAACCAACGAGACTTCTTGCACAAACTTTCTGGTTTGCCAATTACGAGAGATACCGTCAAACTTCTCGGGGGTCGTGATGATAATGTCTGCTTCTCTAACCTCCTTTGCTCCAGGTAAAGAATCACCAGTCAACTCTACTAGTTTGTGACCCGTTTGCTTGCAGATTCTAGCTCTCCAATCCTCGACTCTCTCCCTCACCAAGGCTTTCATAGGAGCAATGTAGACAATCTTGGAACCAGGGAATTCGTTGAAAGCATGCCAGATCGCCAATTCAGCAACCACCGTTTTACCTGAACCAGTAGGTGAACCAACAAAAACATTGGAGTTTGTGTTGTAGAGAGAATGGAACGTCATGGTCTGCATTGGGTTGAAGTAACGGAACTTCGAATCATAGACAGACTGAATCTTTTCGTTGTGCAATGCTGTGATAGGAAGAGGCTGCAAACGAAGAAGGTTCGTTCTGACTGTTTCGTTTGTAGGTTTGATGAGGTGCTGGAAAGATACCGAGTGCAGCGACTCAGAACCTATCCAAGTATCGGAAAGCACCCTGACCACGATTTGAGCTGGTGGTGGATTTGAAAGAGGAATCATGAAATCAAGCTCATGAGGACTTTTCATAGAATTGCGGCGCAAAATGAACTTCTCAACATGAAGAATCTTTGTATCCTCTGACTCTTCCACAGTCACCCAGAAGAATTGAGCGTTGCCGTGGTACCGTTCATCCCATACGAAGTCAGGATCTAATACCACATGCATCCTGATGACATTGCTGGTAATAGGGAAGATCTCTGCATCGATCTCCAAATATGGGAATCTGCTGATCAATCTGTACAACGTCTTTCCTGAATTGGAGTTATGGACCAAGTCACCCAACTCCGGTGCTGAAAGGTCTCGAAGGGTCTCAATAGATGGGTTCTTTGCACGAATGTTCTTCAATACATGCTCTGGAAGGTCAAACTGGGCAAGAGGATGGTCAAATGCCCACATGCGTCTATCGACCGATTTGCAGACTGAAAGAATAGCTTTTGAAAATGCACCCCAACGACGGTTGATACCTATCAAGAACAAAGCACGGCAGATTCTTGCAGCATTTTGGGCAACGTAGTTCAGATCTGAGATCAAGGCAGAATCTTTGAGTGGAGTTTGGGACACAAATGCCTGGAGAAGAATATTTGTTTTCCATGGTGCTGATTCAGCTTCGCCTCCGACTTGACAAGGTGTTTCATTTTCCACAAGCTTCGTCAACTCGACCTTTTCTTCTTCTCTGAACTTTATGTTGTCGAATTCACTGCTCATACTGATCATAGACAATAAATCGGCTTCTGTTGCGAGTGGATTGAGCATTTGCGTGAACACTTCGATGGAGTTATTGAGCAAGTAGAAGTCCGATGCAATTCTGCCTAAATCTTTAGGAACCAAGGCTCCTGAGTTTTCATCAAATACTATCATCTGAAGGGAATGGAGTCTCCGTGCAGCGTCTATAATCATCTTTCTTCGCCTCATGGTAAGAGTTGGATCCTCTTCAAGTTCACGCCATTCAATGGCATACGCAAATGGATTCTGTCTCATTCTCACCATCATGAAAGTATAGCCAAGCCATTGCACACCTTCGTCTATAGTGGTGACTGTTCCTCGGGAGACCTCTGCATTCAAATTATCGATAAGCTTTGCCAGAAGCTTCGATTCAATTGGGTGCTGCTGAGAAAGTAATGAAACGTAGTGATCAAGACGATCACTGGTGGTACACAAGATACCGGTACCGAACTTCTCGAACTGTGGTCTACCAGCACGACCAAAAATTTGGATAACGTCTGAGATTCCCAAATCGACAAAACCACCCTGTTTGGCATCGTAGACTTGGGTACCCTTCACAATGACCACTGCAGCTGGTAAATTGACACCCCAGGCTAATGTGGCAGTACAAACGAGCACCTTGATGGCTCCGCTTAAGAACATCTTTTCAGTGAGGTTTCTGTCTGATCGAAGCATACCAGCATGATGCACTCCAAAGCCGTACTGGAAAAGCTCCTTCATATCCTTATTTCTGTTCTTAGCTCCCATTTCTCTTTTGAATCGGTCGTATGAATCACACGTATCTGAGGCGTCAAAGTAGCCAAGCTCACCTTTGGCCTGTGCCATGGAAATGTAACTTCTGGAAGTTTTCACAGTATCTTTTCTGGAGTGGACGAACACCATGACCTGGCGACCTTCCAGAATGTGATCAAGAAGTCTATCGTACGAGACTCTGTCGATGTTCTCTCTAGCGGTCTTGGATCCTGCTTTTCCTCTAGCACCTAAAACCTCCTGTTTAAGAGGGCATGGACGGAACAGCTGGTCAAAGAAGAACATACCGATATTACGGTTGACTCCTAGAAAATCAGCAACGTCCATGTAATTAGGCAAGGTGGCGGAAAGACCAACGACTCTGATCATTTGCTGGGTTGACTCAACCTGACGCAACGTCCTAGCAACAAGTGTTTCAATAACAGAACCACGATCTTCATGAAGAAGATGGACCTCATCGATGATGAGAAGCTTAACCTTGGCTACCAAGTCATCGTCACCAATCAGCTTTCTGGTTACAACATCCCACTTTTCTGGTGTGGTCACAATGATCTGAGTTGTCATGATTTCAGCCTTGCTAAGTTGCATATCACCCGTGAGTTCACGAACTGTGATACCAAGCCACTTCAATTTCTGTGCATACTTCTCCACGATTTCAGCAGCCAATGCTTTGAGTGGAGCTACGTACACAATTTTAAACTCATCGTAGTCCACATCGATTACACCATCATCAACTTCCGACACAAACTGACCTATCGTATGAAGAATAGTAAGCAATGCAACGTCGGTTTTACCAGCACCAGTGGGTGCACAAACCAACATATTCTCGTTTGTGTTGTATGCAACGGGGTATACCAAACTCTGCATCTTGTTTAATGTCTTGTAATTGTTGAAGGTTCCCTGGCACAAGAAGTCTAGATCGGCAACCTTCACCAATTGAGAGTCTTTGATGTATCTGTTCGAGACATTCTCAGGGTAAGGTATTATGAGCTCTTCATGAGTAGGAAAACTAGCCCTCGTAGTACCCTCAGGTAGGGAGTATGACTTTCCCGTGATGGCAATGACATTGCCTACATCTGGTTTCTTAAAAACATGCGGGTATTGACCTTTGGAGGTAATTTTCGGAAGCAACAGCTCGTTCTTGCGCTTCTCTCTATTACTCACGAGAAGCTTGACTCTCTCTTCTGGAGTCAAAGAGGCAGGATCAACTGGAGCCTGATCCTCCTCTTCATGAAGTGCATCTCTGTTTTGCACAATCTTAGAAATCAAGTCAAACTCTTCAAATCCAAGTATATCAAAAAGAGCCAGCTGGAGCTCCTCATCGGTGTTGTTGCTATCCACAACTCCTCTAACAATGGATATCGTATCATTCTCGTCCTGTCCTCGAGCCAAACTGACCCTTTTACATTCGGCTGCTATTTCCTTGGCTACCTTTGACAGGCTTGACGCTGAGTCAGTGAGTTTATCCACCACCTGCACGTCGATGTTCTTGAAATCCAGCAAGAACGAATTGGCAGTGGTCGAGGTGGTGGTCTCTTTGTCTATTTTGGGGTGTTTCCTGTCGCTAGAAAGCGTCAACTTCGACAAGACCTCCATCATGGGGGCCATTGCCTGCATATACAGCTTGGTGGACGTCACAGAGTACTGTGCCATTGCTGTGTGAAAAACTTAGTGGGGCAAGGAAGTAGTAGCGAGTGTGAGTCTTGATATTCCTGCAGGCCTTGCCACCAGCAGCAAGTGAAGGCAGGGATATTTTGTGATTGTTTTCGATTTTACAATGCGGGTTTGGGAAGAAAAGGATTTGATTTGATTTTAAAAAGATTCAATGCTTTCCAGGTGTCAGTGCAGCTGTTGACAGGTTTGTAGCTTATAGGTTGCAGCCATTGTTGAAAGGCGAGGAGCACATAAATCAAGATCAATATCAATTGAAGCGGAAAAAGGAAATTTCGAGCTTTTTACAAAGTAACTAAAATAGGGAATGGGCTTAGATTGAATTACGAGCTCGCCTTTCAATCAGTGTGGTGGATTTCATCAAGATACAGCACTAAGAGCTTGAATGATCCATTTTACAAATTTCATGATTATGACGCTTTTGATCTATTAAGCAAAAGAGTTCAATACTTATAAGATGGATAAATCTTCTACTTATAGTCCATTACCATTAACTCTATCCATCTGAGTCGCTTTTCGCAGCCAATCAGAGGGTACATCAAACATCAAGTATATTCCCCACTTTCTCGCAAACAAGCTCCTCTCTGTACTTTGTTCCAATTGTCAGCTTCAAATCACCTTAACTAACATTATATGCTTCAAAATTCAGGTATGGTTGGCACCACCACCTCCACCACCTGCACAGTGCCCCGATACCATACTTTTCGATGCTCATCGCACTAAAAATTTCTAGCACTAAGTATGGGGAAGAAGTCGAAATCGAAGAAGGAGGCGCCCAAGGCCGCCGAGAAGGCTCCCAAGAGAACCCATGACGAAGTCGAGACTGACCAGCTTGTTGACGAAGTCGATGGCGAATTCGACGATGTAGCCGAGCTTTTGGGCCAGGACATCAAGGACCCTGATGCTCAGAAGGAGGCCAAGAAGAAGGCCAAAAAGGAGAAGGCCGAGGCCAAGCAGGCTGCTCAGGATAAGGCCATCAAGCCAACGGTGGAAAGGACCGCAGAGGACGAGACCGAGGTTGACGTTAACACCGACTTTGAGAAAGCCGATCTCAGTGAACCCACCATGAAAGCCATCAGAGGAATGAACTTCACGAAAATGACCAAGGTCCAGGCCAAGACCATCCCTCCGCTTTTGGCCGGCCGTGATGTGTTGGGAGCTGCCAAGACCGGTTCCGGCAAAACGTTGGCTTTCTTGATTCCAGCTATTGAGCTCTTGTACTCGCTCAAGTTCAAGCCCAGAAACGGTACTGGTGTGATTATCATTTCGCCTACCAGAGAGTTGGCGCTTCAGATTTTTGGTGTTGCCAGGGAGCTCATGGAGCACCACAGTCAGACTTTTGGTATTGTCATTGGAGGTGCCAACAGAAGACAGGAAGCTGAAAAGCTCATCAAGGGTGTCAACTTGTTGATTGCCACGCCCGGTAGACTTTTGGATCATTTGCAGAACACTGAAGGTTTTGTGTTCAAGAACTTGAAGGCGTTGGTTATCGATGAAGCTGACAGAATTTTGGAGATTGGTTTCGAGGAGGAGATGAAGCAGATCATCAAGATCTTGCCCAATGAAAACAGACAGTCGATGTTGTTTTCTGCCACGCAAACCACCAAGGTGGAGGATTTGGCCAGAATGTCCTTGAGACCTGGACCCCTCTACATCAATGTCGTTCCAGAGAACGCTGATTCCACAGCCGACGGTTTGGAGCAGGGCTACGTCGTTTGCGAAAGTGACAAGCGTTTCTTGCTTCTATTTTCCTTCCTCAAGAGGAACGCCAAAAAGAAGATCATTGTGTTCCTTTCGTCGTGTAACTGTGTCAAGTACTTTGGTGAGTTGTTGAACTACATCGATTTGCCTGTTTTGGACCTTCACGGTAAGCAAAAACAGGCCAAGAGAACGAATACTTTCTTTGAATTCTGTAACGCCAAACAAGGTATCTTGATCTGTACCGATGTGGCAGCCAGAGGCCTTGACATTCCTGCTGTCGACTGGATCATCCAGTTCGATCCTCCAGATGACCCAAGAGACTACATCCACAGAGTGGGTCGTACTGCCAGAGGTACCGAGGGTAAGGGTAAGTCGTTGATGTTCTTGACGCCCAACGAGTTGGGTTTCTTGAGATACTTGAAAGCCGCCAATGTGCCATTGAACGAGTACGAGTTCCCTGCCAACAAGATCGCCAACGTGCAGAGCCAGTTGACGAAATTGATCAAAAGCAACTACTGGTTGCACCAGAGCGCCAAGGACGGCTACAGATCGTACTTGCAAGCATACGCCTCACATCATCTCAAGACGGTCTACCAGATAGACAAGTTGGACTTGGTGAAGGTGGCCAAGTCGTTTGGCTTTGACGTTCCGCCCAAGGTGAACATCACGATCGGTGCCAGCGGCAAGCTGATCGAAAAGAAGCACAAGAAGCAGAGGAGGAGTTAGATAGCATTGTACCATAGTAACGGAAGACAGCATGAAGAGATGTGTAGGGCGTTTAACGATTGAGATTGGCTATACTCTATTCAGACGAAATGGTCCATCCAAGAACTTTTGGCGATTTAAGTCTGGTGGTGATATGTTACTTGGTTATCGATATCACGAAATGGCTGCAAAATAGTGTCTACGATAGTTCTGACTGATGTATTGGGCGAAGTAAAGAGAAGAATCAATTCGTCTTGCTAAATGATCGTTATACTTCATGAGGTAGTTTCTATAGAGAAGAGTTCAGTTCTAGAATATCATTCACCTCTCTATGGACATCCTCCATCATAGGTAGCACAGCAGTGAACTCAGTACTCCATCAAGAAAATCCAAATTTTCCAACAACTCAAATTTATCAAAGCACTTTTTGACTCAATTGCCCGGATTTCTCCTCAATCCGCCAAAACTACCCCAGGGACCCCGACTTTTCACAACCTCATCGCATCCATCTCTTGATAATCCTACATGTCAAGATCCACATGCGACCTACTTCCCTACTCCGTTCCCTCTTCCGTGAAGGAGATGTGGCTATCTGCCGTCCGCTCCGTAACCTCGATCACGCTTTTCTTGTGCCTTTGAAAGAAGACAAATCCGTCACCACCCACAATGGCTCTTTGAGCCACAACGACATCATTGGGAAACCAAAACGCATCTACCTTCCTTTTACGAAAAGCCGATCGCTGAAAAACCCAGCTGCCGACAAATTTGTCGTCACAGAACCAACTCTCGACGAGTATGTCTCGTTATGTCGCCGCAGAGCCCAGCCTATTTATGCTATGGATGCTGCTGTGGTAGCTCAGATGGGGGATATAGATCCGTTTGGCGATGAGCAGAGACACTTCCTTGAGGCAGGAACAGGCAATGGATCTTTGACTTTGGCGATTTGCCACCACCTACATGCTGCCAATGCCCTAGCACGTCATTTTAAAGATCCTTCGCTCAGAGGAGCCATTCTTCACTCAGTGGACAGAAACAGAACACACCAGGAAATGGGACAGCACAACGTGGAAATGTACAAGAGGGGAAGGTTTTCTGGAGATGTTGAATTCTCCATTGCCGAGTCTCCGCTGGCATATTTGGAAAAGTCTGGAATCACCCTCCATGGTGCTTTCCTAGATCTACCGGATCCACAGCTATACCTTGGTGATTTGGCCAAAGCGCTTGCACTCGAAGGCACAATTGTGGTTTTTTGCCCCTCCATCACACAGCTTCTAAAATGCAAACAAACCTTGGCAGAGGAGAGAATCGACCTCATGATGGTCCGTGCAGTTGAACTTCCACCTGGTAACGGCGGTGCTACGCGAGAATGGGACGTAACTTCAGTACAGACTAAAGCTACAGGCGAAAGAGTGGATATTTGCCGCCCGAAGGTAGGTGAGAAGGTCGTGGGCGGAGGCTTCATTGGTGTATTCAAGCGCAAGTCCCTTGACGGAACTCTCTATTAAGTTTACTCCCACAAGTACTTGATAAGTCTCCAGCCACGGTTTGGTGGGGGATTTCTTCTGGGTTCTCCTCGACGTCTTTGAATAAAGACTGCAAATCGACTTCCAGCGACTTTCTGATACTGGTCTTTTTGAAGATCTTCCAGCCAAAGAACAAAACGGCGTAGAGGGGAATCACGAAGTAGGCGCTGAAGAAAGACGAAATGTCGAAGTTGCCCTTCAAGAAGTTCGAATACCCACCGGTCAAGAGGAGAAGAATGAAGAAGGCCAACGATATCCATGCTCCGTAATCTGCAAATGGCATCTTATATGGCAAATCGTCTCTGCTGTATCCCTGTGCTTTCAAGGCTTTTTGGAGTGCAATGTGGTTGACGTCAATGGAAATCCAGGTAATAAGAAGGTTGGAACTGGTCAAGTTCTGGAACCAGCCAAACACAGTCGACGCACTGGAACTGGTGCTCATATAAGCCAAAGGCATGAACAAAGCGGCAATGATGACACCCCAATATGGTAATCCAAATCTGTTGGTTTTGATGAACATCTTGGGAGCCTGGCCCTTTGCAGCCAATGCAAAAAGGTCTCTGGAGGTTTTGAACAAACTCAAGTTTGCAGCAGAAAAAGCCGACGTCAACACAATAGCGTTGATGATATCTGGAAGCACCTTGATACCGGCGTCTTGGATAGCAATGACGAAAGGTGAGCCTGTGGAGTCTCCGGTAGTGTTGGCGATTTTGGGGTGGTCAGCTGGAAGAATAAGCGTAAGTCCGAAGACGGTGAGGAGGTATAGGGTAAAAACTCTGAAGAAAATACGCTTGCCAGCAGTGTAAATGGAGTGTCTGGGCTTCTGGGTTTCTCCAGCATAGAATGAAATAGAGTTGACTCCACCAAAGGCATAAACAACAGATCCAGCTGCTTTCCACCAGGACAAGAATTTCCCAAGGCCTCCATCGGTATAGTATTCTCGGAATGGGGTCTGTTTCCAATAACGGAATCCGATTCTGTCTACATTGGCCACACCACCCAAGTCCATCACAGCAGAAACTATGATGAGACCAGAAATCAAAAGAATCTTGAGCACGCCAAAAAAGAATTCGATTTCTCCGTAAAAACGGATTCTGTACGAGTTGCAGCCGATAATGATCACCAGGAAAACTGTGACCCAAACGGCAGGATTCAAGTCGCTCCAGTACCCCATTACCACTGAAGTGGCTGCAATTTCACTTGGAAGAATCTGCTGGTAAACGCAAATCCAGCCCAACGCAAAAGAAAACGCACGATCCACAAAGTGCTCTCCGTGTCTGATGTATGAGCCAGTCACAGGCATCAAACAGGACAATTCGATCATGGCAAGCTGGTTCAAACCGACAAGAATACCGATGAAAAGGTACGAGAGCACCATTCCAACATTTCCACACAACGCCAACGTCTTTCCACTCGACAAGAACAAACCCGTGCCGAAAACGCCCACCAAGGACAACATCTGGATATGGCGTTGTTTGAGGCCTCTTTCGAGGTTGTGTTCTGCTTCAAAGACATTATCTTCGACACTAACGGAAAGCAAGGACTCCACATCCTTGACGCTGACACCAAGAGTCTTTTTCTGAGACTCCTTTTCAAACGAACCGCTTTCGTTTTTGCTCATGTCGCTGGCTGCAAAAATCCGTGGATGGCCAAGCTTTTATAGAAATCAGGCCAATTTGTTCATTGTGCCGAGGAAATTGGCCCTGCAAGAGCTTCAAAATCCTCTTTGGCTAATGAAAGCGACCGGACCAAAAAGGAAGGTTGCCTGATAAGAGTAGAGATAAGCCGTACCCGCCAGTCAGTTCCGTTAGGGTGGAGTCTTTTTCGATTGAAATCTCAACTACGAAAATCCAAAAATCACCAAATCGAGATAATTCATTCCTTTGGCATTATCGATAATCTAAAAGTGCCAGCCACAGTTTGGTGCAGTGGTTCGATGGCTAATGGATGCGGTGCGATAACGCAAGCCTACTAGAAGTTGTTGCATCTGACGGATTTATTCCATGCGGCGTTTTCAGGGTGATAATCCCTTTGAGTGTGCTTATCGTGATTTTGAAACAAACGGTGAATTTCAAGACGTCTGCTGAAACGAATCCTGGCAAACCCCACTCCGAAGAGATAAGCGATAGAGCAACAGAAGCCTCAATTTTGAATCCTTGGCACCGCTTATTTGACAGCGTCCGTGGCATAAGCAGGATTTCAATAGCGCATCGCCAAGCACATTACGTCTTGTTGCTCGTAACACCCTGTTATTGTGGCACAAGCTAGATGGCGTCTGAATGGGAGATGTATGAAGAAGCTGGTTTGATGGGTTCAAGTTGGTATCGGTCAGGCAGCACTGGTAGTGTTATAGATCCAACGCAATTGAGCAGTTTCTTCCCTCTACAATCCGGCGTTTTGGAGTTAAGCGGTGATAGGGGCACTTTGTCCATCCTGTAGAAACCAGAGGCTGACAATGTAGACTGACCATTGATGCCCCTGTGCATTTAGAATAATTCAACTTAGACGAATACGCCTATTGTGTTTTGCCTTTTGGAGTTTGAATGTTGACCAATGACTATCAGGTTTCAGAGTTCGGTGTAGCCGATCTACTGAGTTTCGCAGCCATTCTCTAGGTATGCGGAACCGTGCTGGTAGCACTTGTCAACTGAATCGATGTCTTATAGAAAATAATCGCAATTCCGCTTTTCGACAGTCTCTACAGATTCACCTTTTATTTTTCTCTTCATTTCCATCTTTTTTGCACCCCTTAACTGATAGCACCCAACCTGGTTACCTTGTTGATGTTCGCGTGAAAAATACAACCAAGTTACCTCATCACCATGAAAGTGCTCAAGGAAAGAGACGCTTTTCTAGCGGACTACGAGGTGCTCCAGCACCTCAACGGGCTCAAGGAAAAGTACAACTGGACTTTTTCTCCCCTGGAGGACAAAGACCCCAAAAACCGCAGAAAACGCTTCACTGGAGCTGGTGTAGATTTGGAGGTCATCACAAGAGATATCACGCAGTGCTTGAACAAACAGGCGGCTGGTGAGATTCCTGATGTTTCTGCCGTGAAAGAAATCATGACTTTCCTTAATCAGTACGAGTTGGTCAAGGTAGAGAAACTCCAGATCCTCAATTCGTTGCCCAGAAGCATGGTCCATTTGTACGCCTTAGTGGAGGAGTGTGACCAGAGATTCAGCGAAGAGGAATGTGAAGCCATCTTGGCAAAGATCAACGATGTTGTGCCTAAGCCCGAAGAAGAGCAGGAGGAAGAGGAAGAGGCGGAGGAGTAAGTTTGGTGACCTTATCTATATGCATCTACCAAAGGTGATCGAACGCCTCACATGAAGCTGTCCATAACCAGCTTCTTGCCCTCAAACGGGTCGCTATCAAGAGCCGTGGCCTCGTCGATGCTGCGGTCCACACTGCGGTTCTCCCACTGGTCCTTGAGTTTCCACATCATCTCGCTCACATCCAGTAGAAGACCAGCAGGGCCTACAGCAAACATAGACTCTGAATCGGCATCTGCCTTGATCCATGCATGTTCCGCAGGCTCGTTGAGCGACTCTCTATCGATGTCTTCGTTTTCCTTTTGGATGACGTCTCTCAGAAGGATTCTGCCCAAAGCTGACGATTCCTCAGACAAGTCCATGCTTTCGTCTTCAGAGGGCTCCGGCGTGGTGGTGCCATCAACGTCAAAGTGATTTGCTATCAAATGTTGAATCACAGGCCACCCATAGGCATTGGAAAACCGCCTTCTAACGACGATATTATTATGAGCATCCGGTTTAAGCTCCACAAGCACCTTTCTCCACAGCATCAGCTTGTGGTATTCACGAGCGATTTCCTCCTCGAGTCTCTCCATCTTCTTGGTTTTAGCAAATTTGGTGATGGACTCGCTCTTTGCGGTTAATTTCTGGATCATGCTCTTGTTCTCGTCCTCCGCTGAATCGTCAATTCTGAAAGGCGGTAAGTCCGAGTCATGGTACACTTTATCGTGCATGATGATGTTGTCTCGTGCCCCTGGGTTGGTGATGTATTTTAACGAAGGCTGTGGCGGAAGCATCATCGAGGCAGCACTTTCCACAAAAGAGGATTTTGGAAGCCCGCCAAAGGTCCCCTCTTTGCTGTTGTTTTCCTGGCTTGTTGTTTGGAAACGATTGTACTGCCCAGCGTCGCTCTTGCGGTGCTTTTGAGGCAAGAAGTATGAGAGTATGGCGCTTAGAGCCAGTGTTTGGCTATCCTCGTTGTCAGGAAGCTCCTGTGGAATTTCACCAGTGGTTCCCGGTTTGGTATCTCTTCCGAGAGCAGTCAACCCGTCGTAATCTAGATAAAGCAATGCAGAGGTTCGAAGCGGAACAATACCGTCATTGACGGCATTAGCGTAGACTGTTCTGCGAACGAAACGTTTGAGAATGCGATGTGTAGGGCCGGTGGGAAGCAAAAGCAACAATGGTTTGTTGTTTGACTCGGTGTACTGTAGACCCAAGTCCTGGCCTGATTTGCCCACGACACCGGCCAAGAGCGCCAACTTGATGTATACGGGATTTTCGTGAACGACGCCAATCATAGGAGAGGCTAAGGTAATGAAATTGATGGGCTGGACTTTTCGAAAAAACCAGGGAAAGTTAGCCTCAAGGTACGCCACGGCAAAGGTTTGCACTAGTCCTCCTAAGGAATGGCCAATAAACGAGATCTTTGTGACGTTCCCTTTGAGTGTTTCGTTTTCAGTGATAAGGTCAACAACGTACTCAGCGACACGAGAACCCAAGTATTTAACGCCTCGTTCCGTTTTGCAGACGTTGCCAAAGAATCCCTTCACAACGACATTCTCGTCACCCATCCTCTTGTCGATCTGCTCTTTCAAGAAGAACATGTCCGACAGGACATTGGCGTGGAGGCCGTGGGTCAAAATCACCAAGTGGATTGGACGGGAAGTATCGGGAACAGGCATATTCCAGAGATCGAGAGTATCGTGGATCAGTACCAGCACAAAGGGATGAGGCACAACTTGAACATTCGACTCCGAGAGCCACTCCCTCTTGGCCGCAATGGACACCTCAAAATTCGTAGCCACAGAAACATTAAAGATCGCCTGAGAAATAACATCTATGGTCCATCTATAATGAGGCTTATACTGATGGCACAGCAATTCCACATAGAAACTCTGACCTGGTAGAAGCTGAGGCTCGTACACGGGCTGGTCAGCCGTCACAAATACGTTTTTCAGAATGTCGTAGTCGTCCGGGCGGCAGTCCACATACAACACATACGGACCAGCCAAGTAGGCAGCTCTCATGGTGATGGGCTCTGTGTTTTTCACCTTGACCCATAGCGATTTCGGAGGCTGGCTGGCGTAGTGTTCTGCCAGCTCAAAAGGAGCAAAATCCACATCGAAACGGAAGCTCTGGCCGTTCTTCACGGCATGAGCAGACTTATGGAGAAGCATGTGTTCGTCTTTCTCAGAAGCACCCAGCGTCAAGTAGTCCAGCGCCCGAGCCAGAAGGTCTTGTGCAACCTGGGGCACAAACAGAGAGATGTACTGATTCAACGGGCCCCCGGGGAGCATGAAAGGTGGAAAAATGTGGGTTTAAGGGTAAACAGAGGGTAGTAGCTGTTTATCCGGGGTTGATGATGGGACTGTGCAGGCCAGATGGGATTTTGGGGTAATCGGGTGGGAAAGATTGCCGGTTTAGAGCGTCGGGCAGACGAGGCAGGTGAAAAAGGGCTTTCTTCGTCGCTCGAAGCTAGCAATAGATATTTAGGTGTTTCTGTAGCGAACTCCGCAGCGAACCTTCGCAGGTTGCTTGAACTGTTGGGTGGAGGTTGGTCAATGGAAGGGGGTTTAACCACCATTTAATTATATCAGATAAGCTTGTTTTTCAAGGAAAAAGCTGACTTTATATGGCTGCTACAGCTAGGGAGTAGTGGGGTGATTCTACGAAAGCCGATACAGAGGCTTGATTAAGGAAAAGCAAACTTCAATGTATGGTGGATTATACGACGCTCTTAGTGCGCACTTTTGTGACCTCTTTAATATATAGGCAAGTCTATGGTGAACTAGACCTCTTTCGGGAGGGTGATCTGAGTATCTCGCGCTATAGCGATAACAATAACTTCAAAACTTCAAATTTCCATTGTAGCAACCGCCATTATCAACCGATGACCGCTCTTTGTTTGCAAAATGCCAAGATGTGTCATTTTGACGGAGGGTCTGACGACCTGGGGTAAGCTGGTGTACGGATCTTTTGCTGTGAAAATGGTTGCAAAATGCATGAGCTCGCTTAGACGCACAAGACCGGTCATTCAATTCCGGGCCGGCCGGGGCAACTCACATGTCGATTCAAAAGAGAAGATAAATATTGAAAATGATTTGACTTAATTTGGTTGCTAAACATTAGGCTTGAAATTCTGAAAATTGTGTTCTTTCTACGAACCTCTTTCATTCGTATATGTATTAGCGATTGACGATCGTGAAGTCTATTAAGGTATGGAATGCCTCTGATCGGCAGAGAAAAATATTTGATGTCGTTTTGTCAATTTTGATCTCCTGATGACTCGAAAAGCATCTTAATCCTTAGCTGTAGTTTAACACCAAAACAAACACGAGGGTGCATTTCCTTCTTTTCTTTTTTCTTCAACTTCTAGTATGCACTTTAAACGGCCTGTGGATTTCGATAAGATCCTTCCGTATAGGCAGGTGGAGGGGCTGTAGGCGGCAGATACGCTGGAGCAGAGGTTTGCTGGTATATTAAGTGAAGTGGAACAGGACGAGGATTTCTGTTTATTGGCCGTGTGCTTTTTTGCATCTTCCTCTTGAATGTTCTTCTTTTGACGTAGCAGACTCTTGAAACAGCAATAATAAGAATCAAGGCTAAAACGCCGAGAGCGATGCCGATGTACATCGCTTTAGGAGGAGGTGAATCAGGATCATTGGAGTATACTGGAAAGGCCATATACTGAAATGAAGGAAATCATCCTACTTTAATATGTTGATTTGTTGATGGCGCAGGATTATCGACATCATCGAAGGTCTTGAATTTCAGGCAGACATAAGGCTTGTATCTGGTGTATAGCCGTTTTTCAGTGACCAGCCGCAGTAGTCCATGGATGTAGTTACGAAGCCAAAGCAGGAAGTGAGATTATAGAATTGAGGCCGATCCTATATGATGACACAAGTGAGATATATTAACTTTTTTTCTTTTTTTTTTTTTTTGTGAATCGAATCACTGCTGATTTTCAACCTTCTTCAACTTTTCTCAAACCTACTGACTGTCAGGTTTAGCCGCGCCAAGGCTACTACGCCTGGGTATGGTGCATTGTCGGTTAGTGCAAGGCTTACTGCACGAACGTGACGGTAAATAGGCGGAAAATATGCACAGTCTGTTTGGAAAGTACTGTGGTGGAAACTTTTTCTGTAAGTGGGGATTGAGTGATGAATGCGTGGTTGGGAACAAGTGGGGAAGGTGAAATCTTGACCTCATCGTGAGTTCGTGACTTGTTGGGCAGATAAAAGGAAAAATCTATTTTAGAAGAGATAAGTAATCTCACAAGAAGAAAATTGATTTGATATTGGTCTGGTCCACTTAGAAGGTAGGTGGGAGGATCTATGGTGCTGATGTTTGCTACAAAGGCACCTGATTGCAGAGGTGTTGCAATTTCTATATACGGTGCAACGCGTTTAGTGTGTAATTTTGTAATCCTGTTAGTTTAGACGCATTTATATGATGATTTTGGCCATTTATTATCTCTAATGGTGGTATCTCACGCTACAGGCATCAAACCAACTTACGAATTTCACGGCTCTTTACTTCTGTCATATGCAATGACCGTTCTAGAATTGTAGAAATTCAAAGATTATTCAGTTTGACGGAGGGTCTGACTATTTGAAGTTAACTGGTGTAAGGGTACTTGGGGCTCTAACAGTTCCAAAATGCACGAGCTCGGTTAAATCATGGTTCAATATCGAGAGATGAATTTGTTGGTTTTTCTTTTCAGTTGGTAACTTGTGAATTTCGGTTGTTTTTTCTGTTTTACGCTGTTTTGCGGGTAGTATCTGTATTAGCGGTTGGCGAACGCAATGTCTATTAAAGTAACAAATGCCCTGACCGGCAAAAACCATTTAACGTTGCTTGACGATCTGCTTTTCGTTAAACTTCAGGTTAAAAGCCAAAGGACAGATGGATAGGTTGGAGACAAACAACCCTATTGTGATTAGATGACAAGCTCGGGCCTAATGGCGACACAGTGGTCGTCATACTTCATGGGTGTGGCCAAGCGGTGATGGCCTAGAATCTGATAAGATGTTTTGTCTCTAGGCGTACCTAGGGCATTGAATCAGATGACTTAACCAAAAATTAATCCTTCAAATTTCTTCAGCCGTTGCTGTGGCATTTAGACCAATTTCAGATCTCTTCCTCTTCTAATGGAATATCAAACGGGCGGCGGGTTTCGATTGAATGCCTCAGTATAGGCAGGTGGAGGAGTAGCAGGCGGCAGATAAGGGGGAACCTGGTATATTTGATGAAGTGGAACTGGACGAGGGTTTCGGGGTACCGCACTTGTACTACTTGGCTTCATCTTTCTTCTCCTTCTGTAAAAGTATCTTCCCATCAAAAGACAAAGAATCAAGGCGAAGATCCCGAGGGCGATGCTGATGTAGGTCGCTGTGGGATTAGAAGATGAGTCGGAGTTACTGGGGGAGCCACCTATAGCGACCATATGCTCAATGAAAGGAGGGTATTAGGCTGCCTTCATAAGTTGTTGTTTATGGCACAGAAATTGTAACATCATGAAAAGTCTTGATTTTCAGGCAAATTAGAGGCATGCATCTGAAGAATAGCCAATTTTAGTCACCAGCCGCAGAGTAGTCGATTGAGAGCTGATAGAGCTTAAGTTTATTGAAACTGAAAATAAAAGTGGTTTCAACACGTATGGTACATCCGCTTTGATCATATTCGTTACTGCTAAATTTCAAAATTCACCACGTCTTTTAAAGCCTATAGACTCTATCGGGTCCAGCCGCGCCAAGGTTAATACGCTTGGGTATGGCACATTATAGCTAAATCCAAGGTTTTCTGCACGAATCTGACGATAATTGGCGGAAATTATGCATATTGTAATTGTATAGTTTTGTGATCGAAACTATTCCTGTGAATTGAAGTGACGAAACCATGCGTTGATGGTGTCCATGGGTTGAAGTAGTGAGGTGGATTTTAATGAAAAGTTGATGACATTGTCGTAGGATCATATAATGAAGTAAGTTGACATTCAAAAATTGTTTGAAGCCTGTGGAGTCGCTACTGCATTTTCGAAATATGAACTACGTGAGACCGATGCACTAGACAACTACACAGTTGCCCAAAGTGAACCCATCACTCAAGTAGGCTTTTCAACTTTGTTTTTCTCCTTTTTATTAAATCTACATTTTCAATTGAATGCAACCAAAGAATGGTTGCTCTTCTAAATCTTCCAATTCAGCGTTAGAAGATGTATAGGTGCCTCAATTTGCTTGAAGCTTTCAGTTTCGCAGCCATCTCACATAATGGACTTCCGACCGAGCAGTCACTTATAATCTCAAACAAGACCACAAGTGCTCTACAAGATAAGGATTCGCGTGAAAGGCACTGCTTGAAATACACCCCACTTGACTCGGTGCCTCCACCCCAAATGCCTCCACTTTGCACCCAAATGCTTGAGACGAATCCATGAACTATTGGTCGCCTCAAAACATACGATAAGTAAGGTAAGAATCAATTTTTGAAATTTTTGGAGTGTTCAACATGTTTTCTCATATATTTAACCACAGCATCCCAAATAATGGGTGCTACCATTCTCCACCCTCCATATACCAAATGAAACCTCGATCCTACACCAATTTTCACGCACTTCACTAACCACATGTCAACATGAGCGAGTCCGATGGAGACTTCCACCCCATAGAGCTAGCTGCACACCTGCTTCTCCTGGGTCCTCTTGACAGTCTCAATGAAAACTTTCTTCAGTTGCACAGGCTGCAGCACGTTTTGCTCACTCGCCTCAAGATGATATCTGAAAGATTGGATAAGATCGAAAGTGGTTATGGGGAGGGAATTGCTGGAAATGACGTGACGGCGGCTCAGCAGCAGATCAAGGCTGTGAAGAATAAGCTTCAGGAAGCACAGAAACGGTTGCTGGTCGTTGAGAAGAGAGTGGGGTCCCTTGAAAGGTGAATGTGTTGAATGGTATTTTGAGGCGATATATGTGCTACAGAGCCGTGAATGACTGGTTTATGGATACGAGGAACGTTTTGAAGGTGATCCTACCTCGCTGGTCCGAGGATTTGGTCGAAATGTTGTTTCGTTTCATGTATCGCCTCAGTGAAGTCGAGAGATGCATAATACAAGATACACTATATTCTCGAGCCTCTCTGGTTTCTGTTTCATTACGTCCAGAATCGACTCTTTCTTGAATTGAAGATCTACATGCTTATAATATCTCGGCAATCATCAGAGAGGTGTCCGAAGCTTGAAGACTCAAAGATATCCAAAGTTACCAGGGGCTGAGTTGCTGGATAGACTCAATCTTCTTGTGAAGGTCCTACACGCTTGGTCGAACTCATTCAACCAAACCCACTACCTTCTCACTCATACGGTGTATCTTTTATTGACGCTGAACTAGCCGGCGAAATATATATGGGGGCCTACAACCTCATGATGTCAAGGAGCTTGTATGGGTAGCCCTGGGACTTGAAACCAAAGAAGAACAAGTAGACACTGTAGGCGAGGTAGATCAAGGCGCTGACCACGGTCACAGCAAGAAGCTGGGCCTTGGAGTTGTTGATCTTGGGGATCTTGGAGGTCAACAAGACGAACATCAAGCCCAAAAAGCCGTACAAGGACGAAATGGCCTGGGTCTCCAAGCCATACTGGTTCTGAGGCGACATGGCAAAGTACTCCACGGAGTTCTCGGTCTCCCTGAAGTATGGCGCTCCTCTGATCTGGTTGAACATGTAGCCCGACGTGAACATAAGGATGGCGCCAGAGCACAAGGTGCCCCAGACGTAGGCGGAACGGAACACGGCGCTAGCGTAGGAGCTGTATCTCTTGAGGAGCAGCACAACCGCAAAGGTGATCACGGCGTTCAACGCCACCTTGCCGTAGTCCAAGGGCACGTGGATCTCCACGGCAACACCCGTGATCTCACGGATCCACTGGGCAATCAACTGCGTGTGGTCGCCCTGGTAGAACTGGTACTGGCCGTTATGGGTAAGGAACGAGTTGGCTTTGGCGCCCGGCACCGAGGGAGGGAAGTGGTAGATCTTGGGGATCAGGTCCAATTGCATGAGCTGGAAGAGCTTCCTGGCCTTCATAAAGTCGGCTTCCAAGAAGTAGATGTTCGTTCTTCCCTGGTCCAACTTCTCCTCCTCAGAGAAGCCATGTGGATAAGCGTGGGCCCAAGAAGCACCAATCGTAGTAAACAGCGGGTGAACTTCACGGCACAAGGCACAATTGAGCTGGGGCAGGTCCAGGGCCATGTACAAGGCAATGTGGTAGTCTCTGTCACCGTAAAGAAACTTTTCAAAGTTATCGTCACGGATTTCAATGACGGCGTTTTTGCCCTTCAGGGCAACTAGCGCCTGCATTTCCTCGTCGGAGTAGGCGGCAAATGCCATCAGGCACCATGCAGCCACAAGCCAAAAGAAAGTCCACTTCATGGTTGGGTTGGATATTCTCGAGAACACGTCAAGTAGGCGTGGGTGTTTGGTCACGTGCGTGGTTTTTGGAAAAGTGGTTCCAGAGGCGTTTTCCGGTTATTTTGGGGGATATTTATGGGCAAGGATGAGGACACATGTAGAGTAGAGTGAAAGGTTGATTTCTGGTTGTGGGGTGTGTTTTTGGTGGATATAGTACATCTCGTTGGATTGACTTTAGTTTCGCAGCCAAAGCTTGGATACTGGAGGTGAACATATAGTGCAAGGGATTGAAGATTACCGAAATTTTTTTGTGGTTCAGCCAGTTGTTAGCGTTTACGAACCAAAAGCAAGCATCGTTGGATTTTCCGATTTCGAATAGTTATTAGCATTGTGTGGTTTTCAACTGGTGGATGCTGGACCACGCGCTTTTGACGTAATGCACGCTGCGGATTTAGGATAGTTCAGTCGTACTTCATCAATTCGACATAAGCTTTTGCCTTTTCAATTTTCTTCACACGATGAATGCTCGATGTGTAATTGCAAATAGGTGGGTAAACGAGGGGATATTGCACAATCAAACGGCAGCTGAAGGGGTCTTCCAACGCATTCCAGCTCAGACAAATCCTCCTAACTTTCATCACATCCATCAAGTCCTTTCATTTATTTTTCGTCCTCGCCTTTGACAGAGAGCCTGCTGGAGGAGCCCAGGGTGACCCTGCAAATTCCCTCTCCCGTCTCGAACCTCTCAACAAGTAATATGTAATCATGGTTAGGCTTCTTCAAAACGCAATCCACAAATACACCGTAGACACTGTCGTTCCATTTGTCATTCACAACTACCGGCTGCTGCGTCACAGCATCAAAAAGGGACGCACGAACCGCGGGCCTATACAGCGATAATGTTTGTAGTTTGGTGCCCGCCTGTAATTTGAAGATGACCGATGTGTTCGTAACTTCAGTTCTGACGGTAAATTTGTAGCGGTTGCGAAGGTTCCATGAAAACTCCACGGTATCATTATAGAGACCCAAAGCCTTGGGCACCTTCTCAATAATGAGGTCTCCCTTGCTGCCGTCGTACATCAAAAGAAGATGAAACTTTCCGATATAGTCAGAGTTGTAGTTGGACACAACCAAACGCAAGTTTCCAGGCTCCACATCGTGCAATTCATGATGGTGAATGCCAGGTGAATAATTGTCGCAAAAGAGAATCTTTGACTTGTCAAAGTTTCGGAGCTTGGTCAAATTCTGGGATTTTTCGGTATGAAGCAAATGGAAATTGACATCTGACTCCTCTTTGCACGACACGGCAATAAACAACTTCGGCATGCGGCGCTTGATCTCCAATTCCCACTGTGGATTGTCGATATACAGTTCGAGTGCCCAATTACCGCCATTATTGTCTTTGGTCCATGCATCCTCAATCTCAGTTACATTATCATAGGTGGGTTTGGCTCGGTACATTTTCACATCAGGTGAATGGCTCCAGAGCTTCAACAGGAAAATCACCCTGCCTTGGGGACCTGCAATAACCAAAGTGTTCTTTGAGTTGGCTGCAATCTCAAACTTCAAGAAGTAGACTCTCATAGTAGTCATTTTGCCGCCAGCGGCACGAACGTACTGTGAAGGGTAAACTACCTTGCCTCGGGTGTTTTCGTAGACGCTCACAGAGTAGGGAGACACTGGCTCGTTTTTCAAGACAAAGTGTTCCACTGTGATGCCCACAGTTTGAGTCTCGTTGCTGCTATTTTCCAACACAAACTGGGGCCTGTCAAGAAGAAGAGCCTTCGATTTGGGTGGTGGACTGATCACGGCGGTGGAAAAACTGTGCTTGTATAAGGCATCCATGTTCCAGTTCAAGTAGACGTAGGAGAATTGACCGAAAACAGACGCGTCCACGTTTAGAAACCGCCCTTCTTGGCCACTGGACCATGGATTCTTGAGCGTCAAGCCCTTTTCGCTATATCCACTCACCACATAGTCATGTCCAGACACAACCTTCAATTGCGAGGCCAATGAGTCCAGCATTTGGCCCGTTCCCAAGCCTAGAGCCAAGAGGCCTTTTTTCCTTAGATCCCATAACTCTGCAAAGGACTCCATGCTCATTTTGCTGATTTTGCGTACTTCTGGTGCCCAGCCGAGAAGCATATATGTATCCTGGGCCATATTGGAGCCCAGGAAGTTGTAGTGGTCACCCAGGGCAATGAGGTATGCTTTTTCTAGGTATGCTGGCCACATAAGGGCGACATTGGTAGTGGAGAGCACAAACAAATGACGTTCATTATGGGGATAATCCAAGAAGGGCAAGTCGGCTGAGATGTTGATTTCCCGCTCGCAGCCATTGATGTGGAGCTTCACCTTCACGGCTTCCTCTTCATCATCATACCTCACGAGCTTTTCGAGTTTGTCGCCAAGGTTGAGATCGTAGATCGATAGAAGTGACAGAACAAACGAACAGTTCGGAAGCAAGTCCTGGCACAAATCGTCAAACCCTTCGAGACCCGGATCACTATCGACAAGCCTAAACTCTGGCACCTGCTCTAGGCCTGTGTCAGGGAGTTGAATGGGGATATCCTCGTAATTGACAGGTTGATAGTCCATGGACAGGCCCTTTTCAAATTTGAAAACTGGAAACCAATTGGCGCCGTGAATCTCACAAGAAAGCCATAGAAGCTTATCTGATAGAGCTAGCGCTTTATCGGCGTCTTTCCTAAGTAAATCCGTCCACTGTAGCGTAAAAGCAGCCACAGGCTTAGCTAATCTCAACTCAGCTGGATCAGTGAAAGCATTGAGCACTTTCCCCGCCTTTGTGGCAGCCTTCATGGCAATGACACGGGCTTCGGGATGCTTCCCTTCAGCGAGAGCCACGTGACTCCGCTGCACCAATTCAATCACCTCGGCTAGGTGCTCCTTCATCGTGAGTAGTTACAAAGTGCGCATTATCAACACTTTTGGTGATAGTTACCACCATGCACCCAGGCCTCAAGATCTTTGGTGTGGTGGCAGCGATTCGGCTTTTGAATGCAGTATCGATTGGCACCTTCTTCCAGCCTGACGAGTTTTACCAGGCGCTAGAACCAGCTCACAAGTTGGTTTATGGATACGGATACATGACATGGGAATGGCATGAACAGTTACGTTCCTCGCTACACGTGTGGCTATACGCGTTGGCATACAAAGCGTTTGGGTTGGCTTTTGATGATTCATGGACCACGTACTTGGCTCCTCGGTTTGTGGGAGCTATTGTGGCTGCTTTAGGAGAAACCTACTTGTACAAGTTTGCAGTGGCATATACTGGAAGTGTCCAGATTGCCACATTGGCATTGGCCGCGTCGCTCTGCAGCGGCTGGAACTGGTTCTTTGTGACACGGGCGTTTTCTAATAATCTAGAGATGGTTCTTACTACCATTGGGTTGGCCTATTGGCCCTGGAATAGACCAAACGGAGGGATCCTCAAAAGCTGCCTTTTTGGGTTCCTCAGTTGTCTTGTCAGGCCTACCAATGCCCTTCTATGGGGCTTCCTCGGTGCTTCCTTTGTGGTGAATAACGCTGGTCATCCTGGAAAACTACTCCTGGTAAGTCTCGATCTAACCGTGCTCTTCGGCATTGTTTGTGCATTGGCGGCGGTCCCAGACCACCTATTCTACGGCGAGTGGACCTTCCCACTATACAACTTTATCGAATTTAATGTGGTCAAAAACCTCCTGATTTTCTATGGCAGTGCTCCATGGCATTTCTACATCTTCCAGGGTATCCCACTCCTCCTAATGGGCTACATCCCGCTCTGGGCCTCTGCCATGTGGCGTTTCCGGAACACGCTATTGGCCAATACCACCTTATTCGTGATTGTCGGATTCTCATGCATCGCCCACAAGGAGTTTCGCTTCATATACCCGTTGTACCCCATCTTCATGATCCACACGGCCCAAGCGGCAAGACTGTTTTTACATCGACACCACTTTAAAAAGTTGGCCGCTGCTGTGGTGCTACTTCATGCTGTGGTTGCATTATTCTTCACAAGAGTGAACGAGAAGGGTGAGATCGATGTGGTCAATTGGCTCACAAACAACTCTGAAGTCACATCGGTGGGCTTTCTTACGCCGTGCCACTCTGTGCCATGGCATCTGTCGTTTCACCGTGAAGATCTTGTGCTGAATCTGTGGATGCTCACGTGTGAGCCGCCTTTACATTTAGCCAGTGGAAACTTGGAAAACGTCAAATCTTACAGAGACGAACTGGACAGGTTCTACGACGACCCCGTTGGTTTCCTCAATTCTGACATTGGCACTCCTCAGAGGCCTTGGCCATCCCATTTAGTGATATTCGCCCACATGGAGGATGTTGTATCTACATTTCTTGGGCTGTCGTACTACGAATGTGGCCGTTTTTTCAACAGCTACTTCCACTGGGACCCCGGCGCTGGGGTGACATAATTGTCTACTGCAAGGCAGAGTAAATACATCCTTCCACACGTCGAATAAGCTTCCACTTGCAGCTACACGGTCGATGTTGCAGATGTAACATGCTGCGTTTATTTGAAACGGCCACCAGCATGTAACAGTGCAGCTGAAACGGTCCACCTGTTAGCGGGCCGACTAGGGCGTGGCGCGGTAAACGCATGATGGTCTCTGCATTCTTAGCGCATACATCAGGTGATGATCCAGATACGTGACAACGAATTGACAGCGATGCTGGTGCAGATCCTAGAGGCGGATTCCGGGGCGGGGGAAGAGCATTCATCGAAAAATATTATTTGTGAATTTTTTAAGACCCTGGGACTCGTTATTGAGGGAGGGGATTGCCGAAGCGAATTGCTTTGATAAAAAGGAATTATGGTGAAATTGACTGAATTGGCGCAACCGGCAATGCTGTCAACGGGAGAACTCTTTCCACGAAAGTTTATCCGAAAAATGGCCAATTCCACTCCGAGAGCAAACCACCTGATTCCGGAGCCAATCGTGTTAAATTGAGCCGCACAGTCACCCTATGCGAGAGAGCGCACTAGTCCATGTAAGTGCGTCAGATGTGCAGTGGCTGCAAAAGTATAAATTGAACCTTGAGCCCAGGGGGCTTTCGTCTCCATCAAACAATTATGAGCATTCCAAAAACACAAAAAGCAGTGATCTTTGAAGAAAACGGCGGTCCTTTGTTGTACAAGGACATCCCCGTCCCAGAGCCAAAGCCCAATGAGCTTTTGGTCAACATCAAGTACTCCGGTGTCTGTCACACCGATTTGCATGCCTGGAAAGGTGACTGGCCCTTGGCTACCAAATTGCCTTTGGTCGGTGGCCACGAAGGTGCCGGTGTCGTTGTTGGCATGGGTAAGAACGTCAAGGGTTGGGAGATTGGCGACTACGCAGGTGTCAAGTGGTTGAACGGTTCCTGTTTGGGCTGTGAGTTCTGCCAGCACGGTGACGAGCCAAACTGTGCCGAGGCTGACTTGTCCGGTTACACGCATGACGGTTCTTTCGAGCAGTACGCCACTGCCGATGCCGTCCAGGCTGCCAGAATCCCCAAGAACGTGGACTTGGCCCAGGCCGCTCCTATCTTGTGTGCTGGTATCACCGTCTACAAGGCCTTGAAGACCGCCAATATGTCTGCTGGCCAGTGGGTGTGTATCTCTGGTGCTGGTGGTGGATTGGGCTCTTTGGCCATCCAGTACGCCAAGGCCATGGGCTACAGAGTTGCTGCCATTGATGGCGGTGAGGAGAAGGAGGAGTTCTGCAAGTCCTTGGGCGCTGAGGTGTTCATTGACTTCACCAAGACTAAGGACATTGTCAAGGAGGTCGTTGCTGCCACCAACGGTGGTCCACACGGTGCCATCAACGTCTCGGTTTCCGAGAAGGCCATTGCACAGTCTGTTGACTACATTAGATCCACCGGTACTGTTGTGCTTGTGGGTTTGCCAGCCGGCGCCAAGGTTGTTGCCCCAGTGTTCGACGCTGTGGTCAAGTCTGTCAGCATCAGAGGCTCCTACGTGGGTAACAGAGCTGACTCTGCTGAAGCTATTGACTTCTTCGCCAGAGGCTTGATCAAGTGCCCCATTAAGATTGTTGGTTTGTCCGAATTGCCATCGATCTACGAGTTGATGGAACAGGGAAAGATCTTGGGCAGATACGTTGTGGACACCTCCAAGTAAACGATATACGAGCATATGAATACACAAGTGCATTGATGAGTTGTAGTCTACAAAGCATGCTTGCCGTGCTTTCCATGGTTTCATCGATATATGATTTAGACATGCTGATGCCTTGCAATTGCCAGTATCACATGGCACCGTGTGAATGACAATTAGAGATTGACTTCATTTACCAACTTTCTCGTAATTCTCTTCTTCCTCCTTCCTCAATTTGTGCCTTCCGGGTCATCCACTCGTCTCGTTCTGCAAGTTCATGGAATCGGCATCCTGGGCCACTCGGGCCATCCAGCGCAGCACAAGCTGTGAATTCTCCTCTTTAAGCGCTGCTATCTCATCCTTCAAAACATTATGCTGAATCTGGTGCACTAGATGCTCGTCATTGAGGATCTCAACGGCCCTGTTCTTTTCAGCAACCTCCTCGCCCAAAGCCACGATTTTCTGCTCCAACTTGCTCTTTTCAGCTTGAAGTGATCGTATCTGTCTAGCCTGTTCGTCATTCTCCCCCTCAGAACTCTCAAGTCGTAGTGTTTGCTTGTTCAACCTCTCCACTAGCGTTTCGTTCTCCAGAACCACAGACTCTCTCTCTTTGTCCCAATTGGGTCGTAGTAGGCGTGCAAGCTGGGAAAACGCCTTATAGTGTTCGGCGTTTTCCTTTTCTAGGGTGTCTCGGGCCCCCAAGCGCTGTTCAATTTGCTTCCATGGGTCCATGATGTGAGTTTAGTGTGGAGGAATGAGGTGAGATAGTGGGCCAAAGACCAGGGGAGATGGTTTTCGGGTTTTTCAATTTTTTGGGATTTAAAGAGTTGGAGGAAGTTTTTAAAGCCAGGTTTTTGCGGTTTTGGGTGTTTTTGAGTAGCATAGCTTCTATTTGTCTGTATGAGCTTATGGGTTTTTGATTTGCAGCCAATGTGGTAATGCACGTCAGTAATACGAAACATGGTTTGCATCAATACACCTAAAATCTGGAAGTGAAGAAATAGCTGAAAAAGTTAAAGAGGCCAAAAAAGCTAGAGATGTTCAAAATACGAAAATTGCTCTTCCCTGGTAAATTATAATTCCTTTGGTTCTGTACTGACCTAGTGGGTCCCACTCTGCCATCACCCCACGACAGGCCTATATAGGACAAAAACCCAAATGTAAAATCACCAATGAAAATCAATTTTCTTTTGCCAGTGATCTCAGCCACTAGCGTCTACTTTGAATATGGAGCTCATCACACCGCAGCTCTAGCTGTCGAACAGCATCAGGAACCCATCTGGCACAGCATCATCAGCACCAACCTGACCAGCATGTGAAAATCCAAGGGCCTTTCCAAAAACGTCAAACTACAGAATTAGTGAAATCTACGGGCTTATGAAATCTACGGGACTTTGTGAAAATTTCAAACCGGCTTGACGGCAGCCTCAGCCACATGAAGTATCACAGCGAAAAATTCGGGTTATACGAAAAATACGGTCACCTCCACAGCAACTACAACACCGCCGCATGCAAATCCCCAAAAATACAAAAAGTACACACTAACCTACCCAATCTCTCAAAATCACAAAGCAGGACCAAAATACCACAACCTCTTCGCTCTCATCGCACCTCGCATATGTCTCATTTTCCACACTGTGCTTTCGATCTCGATCCACTCTCGACCTCCACAACACTCATAACCCAGCAACGCTGCAACACGTTTTAAATCATCCCCTACCTTTTCCGTAGATTCTGCAATTCATAAATTCGTCCATAAACCCCTCCATACATCCATCCATAATCCATCCATAAATCCATAAATGTAAGACACCTCCGGCCTACCCCACGGTTCCTGGACCCTGCCATTTGCACCCATTGTGAGCCAAGACATCCCCACTACAATCGGAGGCCGGGAGCAGCCAAAATAACAAAAGAGCAAAAGAACGCCCAGAACGCCCTATTTTTTTCTCTCACCCAAGCCTGGCTCAATTTGGGAATATTATTCACCGTGGTGCTCTCACATGGCCTGCGCGGTGCATTTCGGGTGCCTGATAAGATCCATGTGAGGCTAACATCAAACATCACCACTTCGTCAACAACACCATCGCACACCAGTATCCAAGATTATTTTGCTAACTATCGCCTATTTTATGTTTTGGCGCAACCCGGAGCAGAACGGAGCCGCCGAGCCGGACCAGCCGGAGCCACAACAGCCTGATCAGCCCCAGCCCGAATCGAAGTCATCCTTCTTCTTCTGGCTGAGCGGGCCTGAGCCCCTGGAGGCTGCCAAAACCGATGATTCGGAAAACGGAGAATCAAAGAAACCCGCTTCCTCGTGGTTCTGGTCGTCTTCTGAACCCGAACCGCAACCCGAGCTGAAACTGAGTCTGTCATGGTTTTGGCCCTTTTCAAGCACAGCAGAGCCAGAGCTGGATACGGAGGACACGGACCACGTTGAGGTGTTCCGGGCCGCCAGAACTGCTTTGGAAAACTCCCGAGGAAACGCCCACTACGCCGTCAAGTACGTGCGTGGGGAAAACACAGCGTATTTGGCCGTGATAGACACGGAGACGGAGCAGGCGCCGGTGCTGTTTGGAAAGAGAGGCCCTGCTTTGCCGAACGAGCTTTTGGAGGCCAATTTGGTCAGTGCAAAGACCAAGCAGAAGAGGGAAGAGCAGCGGAGAGAGGAACTCAAGAAAGAGGAGCTCAAGAAGGAGGAACAGAAGAAAGAGAGCTCAAAGAAGGAGGGTTTGAAGAGAGACCACAATGGAGAGCTCAAGACAGATACAGCTGCCGCCCCGATCGAGAGCAAGGATTCCCAGAACAGGAAGAACCAGGGTACGGGAACGAGCCAGGATCGGCCCGTGGCTGCTAACCAGATGTCTGAGCCCCGCGCCGACTGTAACGAGAATGCGGAGACCACTCTGGACGTCAAAGATGCGAAGGCTAGCTTGAGCGTTAGAGACGCAAAGGTTAATTTGGCCAAGGAGACCGCCGTGAAGGAGGTGCCAAAAGAGACAGCCAAAGAGTCTGCGCCCAAGGAGGAGCAGGTGCCTGTTACCTCTCCTCAGACAAACTCCAGAGCCTCGTCGCTTCACTCTCATTTGGCCCAGCCGCTGGTGCTTCCAGATTTGGACCACAACTTTCGTGAAATCACCCTTGTCACCAAAGCACGCCTTCTTGGCGAAAAGTTCCTCAAGGGCGACCAAACCAGCGAACGCCACCTCTACCTCGGGACCAAAGGCTCCATTGCCTCGAAACGGAAGTCCCGCAAGAACGTCGTGGTGATCTCCATGCACAGTCTTCTTCCACCCAAGTTTGTCCGAAACTACATTGCACAATCGACCGGCAGCGCCAAGCAGTTTGGACAGCGGGCCATGGACGCAGTCAACCGCTGGTTTGGCGACGAAAATGCATCCATCAGTGCTATCTGCTTAGAAGGCCAGGGCACCATTACCGAGAGGGTGCACCAGCTGTTTCGACTTTTGAGGAATTGGCGGCATGAGATCAATAGCGCCGACGTTGTGTTTTTCGTAAGCAGCTCCATCGCCACGCCGGCGGCGATTTCTCTTTTCAGTGCTATGCACCAAAGTGAAGAATTCCACTTGCACCGCAAGAAGCTCGGTATGCTCAGCATGGCAGGTATCCATTGCGGGCCGTACCCAGGGCTCAACTCCCGAGTGGTGATCCGAGCATACTACCCAGCCGAAAACGAAATCATCAAAGAGCTTTTCGAGTTGCAAAAAACCGGGTCTGAGTTGGCCCAGCAGCTCAGCGCAGACACGAGGTACTTGTGCGAGCAGAATGTGAAAATGACGCTAGTCGGTGCGTTGAACGACCAATTTGTGCCGTTGTTCCTGGCAGTGGATCTGGCCGCCAGCCACCCCAACATCTACAAAAGCATCTACGTCGACGAATGCAGCACGGTTCCGCCGTTTTTGGTGAAGCTTTTCCTGGTGATGCTCACAATGCAGAACGTGGGCTACCTGGACCAAAATATGGTGACGGATCTAAGCGAGCGGCTCCAGGGCCCGGTTAATGTTAACCACGGATCGCACGGGCGGATCTACGAGCACGACGAGGTATACGATGTCGGACTACGATTTACCATGGAAACCACCAGTCTAGTGCGCTCCCGGCAATTGAAGCTCGAAAGGCCGGGAACCTCACGGGTGGGCCCGGCCCGCAAGCCGGACGCTTCAGCAGCGCCAGAAACACAAGTGTGGCAGAGCGACAAGAATTTGTACCATCTTCCATGGAACGTTCGAGGCGTGGTGAACGACTTGCTCGCGATCAAGCACATTGAGAACTTGCTGTTGCTCATGGAACTTGTGGAGGAGTACCGGCGGTGGGAGCCTACAAAAGCTTGGCGGGAAATGAAGCAGTGCTTTGCGGCATTCGACGAGTTCTTGCTCGACGATCTCATGCTCTAGTAATCATCTGCGATGCAGTGTTGCTTTGAGCGGCTATTTTCGCAGCCAGGCGGCAAGTGGGAGGCTCGCACAGGATTGGTCCGATGGGTTTAATGGCCACAAGGTCTCAAATGGGCTGTCTCGGACCACAAAGGCGAGAAGTTCAACAAAGAGCTTCACCTTTCGACAATGCTCAGCCCCAGGAACAAAGCATGCGTGTTGGGCTTGCACAATAGGCTGCTTTGGCGCCATGAGCATTGGTTAAGGGCCTGAGGAAAACTACGCATGGGAGACACACGGCGGCTAAAAGTGCCACAGGTGAGAATTGGGTAAAAAGAAAAAAAAAATAAAAAAAAAAAGGCAGAGAAGTATGCGTGGACATGCATCTTGACGGTTTTTGTGTTGCTTTCTTGTGGAGGCAACACGCTTCAACGTGGAGGGAGACAATATCAATGGCGATGGCGTGCTCGCATCGGTTGCACAGCTCTCGGTCGAATAGTAGCCCTTTTCGGCAGGCAGTTTTGGGCAAATTCGACCGGGGGCGGATCGACGCTTTGGTCTACGATATGTTCTTTTCATGCTCGCCCCACGCCAATCCTGCCCATTATGTCTTTTGTTGGCAGGCTTATTTTTCCGTTTGTCCCTGGTTGTCTAGCGCCGTGGCTGGTGTTGATAAGCAGAGGAATGCAGAAGGGCGCAGGAGCGGCGCTCCAGATGCTCTACCGAACCAGAGCACTTCTCATGGCCTCCCGTCCTGCAGACAGACACACGACCCGGGCCCTCTCCCACCTCCCGTTTTACCAACTTGCAAAAGTTCCTCCAACTTCCGAAGCAGCCCTGCTAGTCGACCCCGCAGCACGCTCCCATGGCTGAAGAATCCGCCAACAAGCGCACCCGAGCCTCTGGCGAGGTTCTCGAGCTTCTCCTACGAGAGTTCGACAAGAACCAGAATCCTCTGCCTGACCAGCGCAAAGACATCAGCGAACGGACAAACATGTCTGAAAAGGCCGTCAGGATCTGGTTCCAGAATCGCCGGGCAAAGCTCCGCAAGTTCGAGCGCTTGGGTCGCCCCGTCAAGCCTTCCCATCATGGCAAGCCTGCCTCTTCCACGTTTTCCAACCTGGGCTCCAGCATCCACTCCTCCCGCTCCAACTCGTACACTAGCATTTCGGCGCTCCAGGCGCAGGCCCAGATCCCTGTCGAAGTTAATGAAAAGTACTGTTTTGTTGATTGTCTGTCGCTTTCTGTCGGCAGCTGGCAGCGGATCAAGAGCGGCTCCCACGATGTCAATCTTCCGCAGACGCTAGTCAACCTCGCCCCGTTCACGCTCAACGCGGCCATGTCACAGGTGGATTTGATGGTGATTTTATCCCGCCGCAACCAGGAAATCAACTACTTTTTCCTGGCTGTGTCGAACAATACCAAGATCCTCTTTCGCATCTTTTACCCGCTCAGCTCCATCCTCCAGTGCCTGCTTTTAGACAACAACATCAACAAGGAGAGCAACGAGTTGCGGCTCAACCTTTCCCGCAAGCCCCGTTTCTCCGTTTTTTTCTTCGAGTCGGCTAATTCAAACCTTAACCAGTGGTCCATCTGCGATGACTTCTCCGAAGCCCAACAGGTCTCCACCGCTTACTACGCTCCAGGCGGCACTTCCACACCCCACGTGCTTGTCGGTCCAAAGCATGCCTTGCTTTATCTCAAGTCGCTCATCACAGAGCACAACCTCGCACACCATCAGCAAGCCTCTGCATTCGATAGAACCCATGCCGCTGGGCCTCTGCAAAACGGCACGCCTGACTTCCATCAGGCCACCATGGCCAGTCAGCTATTTGACGAAGGTAAAGAGCACGGCGATTTGCAGATCAAGCACGAACATTGGGAGCAACTCAGCGACCAAGCTCTGGCCACCGCCCTGGTGAGTGCCCGTCCACCATTCGAATCACACCCGCTGTTCCAGCATTTGGCGCATCAGAACCATGACGAGAGCATATTGACAGCAACACCCGACTTTTTCAGTGCAGTGCAGACGCCTGGATCCAATATCGCTTCGACAAACGCCAACACAGAAGAAGACGGCGTCATACCGAGCCCATCGCACAAGAAGGCGGCCGGCTCGCCGTATGCACAGTTAAGCAAGCTCCCGGATGATTACCAGACACAGCATGCCTTCAACGGCAACGATGGGCATGGCAATGTCTACGGATTTGACCTGCACGAGGCACACGACGAAGACTTCCAGGCCAGCGATCTCCTTGTTCACAGTCCAGAACTTAACACCACCGAGACCCCAGGAACGTCCGCGGCCAACCAGGTGGACACTTTTATTGACTACAACTCGCATTACTGATCTCCCTTCACTGGAGCGCCACTCGTTCAAGCCTGCTGCGTTGAGTTTTTTATTTCTTGTCTCGCCGACAAGACGACCCATTTTCAGTTCTTCGTGACCTGCTGCTACCACGGGTCTTATGATTAAAGTAATTAGTGCAATTAAGTAGAGTTCGAAATTCAGTGGTTGCAAAATGCGTCTGGTGTGCACAAACACCAACATCGTTTCTCATGGTCCGTACTACCATGTCTTCTGCAAGCCTAGCACGGGGGTTCCTTCGAAGCTATTCCCGTCCTCCAATTCAGTCTGTGCTACCGAAGCAGAAAACTTTGAGTCGTCTTCTTTTCGATCATGACTCGCGCCTTGCATACAAAAAGGTGATGCCCATCTTCACCAACATCTATGAAAACCTCGAAACCCCCACAAATATAAGACTTCCCCATTATACAAAACATGACGACCTAATGACGCTTCGTGCAGTTTTGCGTGATATCCGTGCGTTGTCAAACGCGGTGAACAAAAATTTGGTGGATCTTGAAAATGAGTTGATCGAGCAGGCAGCTGAACTTGGAAACAACGATGCCATCGCAATGTTGGCGTTTGAGGCCATTGGATCCTCAGAGACTCTGCCGGAAGATTACGCTTATGCTAACAAGCTTATAAAAGAACTCCAAGATGCCAAACATCCTCTTGTCTTCAAGTTAGCTGGAGACCTTGCATTCGCCAAAAATTATCACGAGCAGGCTGCTCAGTATTGGAATCAGTTTTTGGAGCTTGAAGATGACTCCCTAGTGGCCAGTCATGTGTACACGAGCTTGGGCTTGTTTTATTTCAACTTTGCAAAGCCCGAGCCTAATCTCGCCAAGGCTAGAGAATGCCTCGAGAAGGCCATCAAGTTCGGTGAGCTAGATACCAGCATTATTAAGGCCCACTATTACCTAGGCCAATTATACTCCATGACGGATCCAAAACGTTCTCGGTATCATCTTGAGATCAGTGCATCCAAGGGTCTCCAGGAGAGCTTTGCATCCTTGGGCTTTCTTGAACTTAACGTCTTCGATAACCCACTGAAAGCTATCGAATGGTTCAAGCTCGGTGTCGAGGGAAACAATGATATCACTTGCCTCATTGGGCAATTCGACTCCCATGTCAAGACAGAAAACCTTCAGAAGGCCAAATCTATTCTTGCCAACTTAGCAGACCTAAAAAAGAAGCTTGACGCCTTAGCGAGGCAGCAATTTCGGAATGTCCCTGAGGCTTTCAAAGGCCATGCCGAAACAAATTATGCATTGCTTGTAACGTTTTTTGATTCAAGAAAAGGTATCATTCACAAGCTTTCCCAGTTATAGAGCCGAGGATCTCTCGATATTCAATTCAGAAGCATACTTGTCCCGTAAAGTTAATGGCTGTGTGTTGTTACGCACCGGCGGCCTTGTAGGTGCCTCATTTTCATCGTGTGTTATTTCCATTGGCGGTGCCTCGTCAGATTCCCTGAACCAGAAATGGCCACACGTTTGTAGAATGTCGAAACGTTCTGATGGATCTACCACAAGTAGACTACTGATCAAGTCCAATGCACTGTCACTAATATCGTCCCAGAAAGGAGAGTAGAAAGCGTACTTTCCTTCGATGATTTGATCCCTCATGTTAGGTGGCCCAAGCTCGTCACTAAAAGGTGGGAACCCACAGAGACAAACATAAAGCAAGACGCCCGCCAGCCAGATATCAACCTTTGTGGAGTAGTTTCGATTATTATTCAATACCTCTGGTGCAACGTAAGCGGGAGTACCGCAAAGTGTATTAGTGAACTTTAGCTCGCCGATGAACTTGGCCAATCCAAAGTCGGCAATCTTGACGCGTACGTCATACTCAGTCTCGTCCCATGGGCCAGTAGCCACTTGTCTATTTGAATCTTTGGGAGTAATGTCTAGAAGGATATTCTCTGGTTTGATATCACGGTGAATGATGTTCCTTTCGTGTAGGTAGTGTAAACCAGAGAGAAGCTGCTTGAAGATGGCCTTTGTCTCGTCTTGTCGAAGCTTCTGCTTGTCTATAATGCGCTGGAAGAGCTCGCCATTGTTGACCTTCTCAAGGACCAAATATGTCGTTGAGGAAAAGGCATTGATTGGTTCCACGTAATGTGAAATGAACCTGACAATGTTTGGATGGTTGATGGAAAGAAGAAGAGCCATTTCTTGCTTAAGTTTGGCATCCTCTTCGGAACTGCCTGGTCCTGAGGTCTTGCTAGGATGGAAGATCTTAACGGCCACAATGTCACCAGACGTTCTGTCTCTAGCCTCCTTAACAACAGCATAGTGTCCGCTTCCAAGCTGGTTTAATAGAATGTAGTCGTCAAAGAAGGACTTTTGAACCAGATTCTCCTGCTCGTCACTGAGGTACCTGAAGATGTACGAGCCGCTTTTCGCAAATGTGATCTTATCGCCACTTCTTAAAAGCGCAGTAGAGCCCTTTCCTAAGACCTCGTTATTCACCGACGTCCCGTTTGAGCTCATGTCCGTGAGTAGAAGATACTCCTTCTTATTGTTACTAGATAACGAAAACTGGCAATGTTTGGAGGAAACGTCAGCGCCACCTAGACGGATATCGCAGGCACTGCTTCGTCCAACGACCACACCAGCTGGTTTCCTAGGAACCATAATATGAGGACATCGATCTATGATGCTGTAGAGTTTAGCGATACTCTCATACTTGTGAACGGGTTTTTTGAGCAGAGTGTCCTCCTGCGATAGATGCTACTGTTAGTGAATTTTCAAGATCATCTTGTTAAAATAAAACATACGCGTTTCCGAGAGAGTGACATCGGTATAACGATTATGGATCAGAGAGCTCTCGCGTTGTTTATGTATGCTAGAGCAGACGTACCGGCTATATGCACGGATTTGATAATAGACCAGTTGGCTGCGAATCAGCGCCTGATTAGAATGGAGAAAGTACTGATCTGAGCTTATTTCTTTTTTAAACAATTCTGAAAAGCAAATCGTTGACTTCTCTGTCGCTCAAACAGTCGAGATTATCCAGGAACCGCAGCCTCACCTCAGATGCCTCCACAGCGTTACTACGGAGCAGCTTAGCCGTAGAAACATCGAGAGTGCTCAACATATCAAGCGATTGTAGCACTTTCTTGTAGTTTCTGTTCTTTGAGTTTGTGAAAAGGGCATGGTCTTCGTTGAGCATGAGCGGACCAGCCAAATGACCCAAGAGACAGTCAAAGTCGGTCTTGAGCTGTTCCACGCCATTGGCATTGAACTGGTTATTCGTAACCACGTACTCTTGGAAAATACGCGAGAAAGAGTCACACACTTTACTGGTGACGAAGAAGTAGTCTGCGTCAGGAAGCGAGCGCCTGAGGAAAGACATGTATGCTGGAACGATGGTGATGAAGTTGGAAAGCAGTGTTGAAGGCTGGTTTTTATGGCTTTCATCGTCAATAACCCACACGCCCGAGTTCACAAACTGTTTGAGTGCAGCACGGATCTCCTTTCTGAAGAATTCCTCGTATTTGGAGAATACCCTCTTGAGCATAGCCTGATACTCGTCAAGTGAGGAAGTGAAGATGGATTCGTCAGTAACGGTGCTTGTTGCAATGGACTTATAGAAGTTCCAGAGCTGAATAAACAAGAGCTCTCCACTCCATTCCTCCATATGCTGAATGATGAACTTCAATGAACAGTAGATACCTGTGAGCATTTCCAACCCTTTGAGGCCGTTGTTGACAACCACAGGTGTTGTTGTAGTGGCCTCCTGCTTAGCAGAGCCCGGAAGGAAATTTGCTATGAGCTTCGAGCTGAGAGACTCGTTGAACACTTTGAATGTGTTTTCTAATGCTTTGAGGTACTCGTCGAGAAACGTAAGCTGGATGTTCGACACGTACTTGAGCTGGTACTTCACAATGCTGAGTGTCTTAAAATGGGTGGTCAAGTTGTCAAAAAGCTTCACCAACGCAAATGCAGAGTAGCTCGGTTTGAGCACGTTGTGAGAATTGGCAGACGAGGCGTCGTACTCGTAATCAATGCTGAAGGCGTCGACGGCGCCGATGATATCAGAGTCAAATCTCTTCTTCGCAAGCTGAAGTTCCAAGTTGAGCCAGTTAGTCACAACGGGGCTATCTTTCAGAGAAGAGCCCATGAAAATGTCGCCTGTAAGACCTAACCATTTTCTCTGTGGTGCTTTTTCAAAGCACTCGACATGTGGATTGTACTTGTAGTTTATGCGGAGGCGTTGATCGAATGACGCCATTTCGAAGATCAAATGCGAGAGAACCCGGCCATATTTTTCCAAGTCGGTCAGATTGTCCTCCTCATTAGCTTTCTCGATATGTGAATTGAGCAATTGCGTCATGCCAGTAATTTTATCCCGGACAGGCACGAGTGCTGCTGTTATAACCTCAAAAACACCAACACGGCCGTGTTTAACGAAAACGTCGCCCAAGACCAACTCAATCGAGGAAAGGTAGTCTTCAAAGAACTTCTCCACGTAATTGAGGGCCCACTCAGGACGAGACATTCTGTTTGTTTCGGAGGCTTGAGAGAAGTGGTAGTTGAAACGAACCACAAATGGTTTCACTAGGCTCTCCAAAGCCCACCAAACGTTCGGGTAGTGAGGAACGGCAGAAATAGCCTGAAGGTCCACTAGTTGGCCAATGGCGGTGGTGATTTCTTTCATTGTGGAGGCAGGAATAGAAACCTGTTCTTTAGGCGAGAGCCACTTGATATCCTTAAGAAGAGCATCTAGCTTAGGCAAGAGCAGCTGTTTCCTACGGTTGATCACCTCCATGAGCTTGGCATCTAGAAGCTCCCTGATGTCAAACTGGTCAATTTCTTCAGCTCTTGTAGCACAATCCTTCAAGTCATCCAACCCTAGGGAGTCTCCTTTATCAAGAATGTCCTCGATGTCAGCTCCAAGAGCCAATGCCTCTCTCTGTGTTTCAATCTGTGCTTTCTCTTCAAGCAAGCTATCGTACCTGCTCTTCACGTCTTGTGTTCCATGCTCCAGCAAAAGTGACTTCAATTGGTCAGGATTTATATTTTCTAGCTGAGCCAAAAGCCTGCTGGTAGACTCAGGTATGCTTTTAGATGTTCCAGTCTTTTTATCGTCCACAGCACTGCTGATTTTCAGAAGACGGTCATTGAGCTGCAGGATGTGGTCGTCAACATTTTGCAAGTCGTCTAGTGCCACAAAATGGGCATTTATGTATTCCATGCTGTGTTGCTGGTAGTAGTTGGAGAGATCAAGCGGCGGTGGTGTAGGGGTCTGGCAAGCAGTTGGAGGGAACTCCACATAAAAATTCAAAATTAACTGGAATTCAATAAGTAGAGGAAAGTATTGCGTATTAGCGACTTGATGTTTGGAACTTCGATCATTCTTTGCCTTTACTGGCTGTTGCTGTTGTATGGGGTTCGACAACTGATGCGAGGAATGGTTGCAAAACACTGACCCAATGCTTCACGACTCATGATTAAATGAGCTCTTATTTATTTTAGTATAATATCAATCGTTGTAATCAATTGTCGTAAATTTAGGTTAAGTTTCGTATTAAAGTCGTGTTTCCAACTGGCTTGTCCCTCGATCGAAAGCATCTTTGAGGCTGTTACAAATCTTCAGTCGCAGCTTATTGAAAATGTAACTTTTTCAAGCAATACTCTATATTGCCCTGGATCGTTCAACATGGAATGTACTCCATGAATTTGAAAGGTACTCCATGGAAAGGTTCAATTCTTTTGGATCGAGTGGCATCTCGATATAGAGATTTTGTTTCCTTTTTCAATGATCTAGATAATTTCGATCTGGAAGTGCCCATTTGAGGGCATTTTGAGATGCTAAACGCGCCTCTTCAACCTTTGCCATGTTATTATCTCTGGATCCCTTATTCGATCATCTCCGTATAGCCTTAGATTCACTCGAACGAGTAATTAGATCTGCGACAATTGACACCCCAAAACCAATTTAGACATTCTTTTTCAGGAATTTGTGAAAAATGATTCGAACTTGAATCTTCCTCGTTTATCCACGTCTGCATTCACCCGTGGTGGACCATCTCACGTACCACTAATCGCACCTGGCAGATTTCGCAGCCATTCCAACACAACCCTATAAAACCCAAACCAGCATGAAAATAGCTAATTTCCAAAATCCTGTCATATTCCAATATTCATCACCTTAAAATCATAACCCCTTTCAAGATTCCCCCGGGGACACTTGTCAAGTCCGGTCGTGCGTGCCCCAACATCGCCAACCATCTCTTTTTCTTCACTCACTATAGATCCTCCACCATAATGCAAGCTCCAGTGGTGTATTTGAACGCCAACACGGAAAGACAAAGCGGTCGCCAGGCCCAGGTCAGCAACATCACTGCTGCCAAAGCCGTGGCTGACATCATCCGCACGTGTCTTGGTCCAAAGGCCATGCTTAAGATGTTGTTGGATCCCATGGGAGGAATCGTCTTGACCAACGATGGTCACGCTATCTTGAGAGAGATCGACGTGAGTCACCCTGCTGCAAAGTCCATGATTGAGCTAAGTAGAACGCAGGACGAGGAGGTGGGCGATGGAACCACCACCGTCATCATTTTGGCTGGAGAGATCTTGGCCCAGACCTTCCCATATATCGAAAAGAACTTGCACCCTGTGGTGATCATCCAGGCGTTGAAGCAGGCGTTGAGCGACGCGTTGGAGATCATCCACTCCGTGTCTGTGCCTGTTGACATTGAGAACGACGAGGCCATGACCAAGTTGATCAAGGCTTCCATCGGTACCAAGTACGTGAACAAGTGGTCTGAGAAGATGTGCCAGTTGGCCTTGCAGGCCGTCAGAACCGTCAAGGTCGAGCAGGGTGACTACAAGGAGATCGACATCAAGAGATACGTGCGTGTGGAGAAGATCCCCGGTGGAGAGGTGACCGACTCGGAGGTGTTGGACGGCATCTTGTTGAACAAGGATGTCACCCACCCCAAGATGAAGAGACACATTGAGAACCCCCGCGTGATTCTCTTAGACTGCCCCTTGGAGTACAAGAAGGGTGAGTCGCAGACTAACATTGAGATCACCAAGGAGGAGGACTGGAACAGAATCTTGCAGATCGAGGAGGAGCAGGTCAAGTTGATCTGTGAGCAGCTCTTGGAGTTCAAGCCAGATGTTGTCATCACCGAGAAAGGTGTGTCCGACTTGGCTCAGCACTACTTGTTGAAGGGCGGTGTGACTGCCTTGAGAAGAGTGAAGAAGTCCGACAACAACAGAATTGCCCGTGCTACCGGCGCCACCATTGTCAACAGAATCGAGGACTTGAAGGAGTCCGATGTGGGTATCAATTGCGGTCTCTTCAAGGTCGAGCTCATCGGTGACGAGTACTACACTTACTTGGTCAAGTGCAAGCAGCCGCAGTCGTGCTCTGTGTTGTTGCGTGGTGCTTCCAGGGACATCTTAAACGAGATTGACAGAAACCTCGTGGATGCCATGTCTGTGGCACGTAATGTTATGTTTGAAGCTTCTCTTTCGCCCGGAGGAGGTGCTACTGAGATGGCTGTGAGTGTGAAGCTCGCAGAGAAGGCCAAGTCCATCGAAGGTGTTGCCCAATGGCCCTACCAGGCTGTTGCTGACGCTTTTGAAGTTATACCCAGAACGTTGGTGCAGAACTGCGGCGGTAACGCTATCAGAATCTTGTCTCAGTTGAGAGCCAAGCATGCTGAGGGTCAGCACACGTTTGGTATTGACGGAGAGAACGGTAAGGTTGTGGACATGAACGAATACGGCATCTGGGAGCCTGAGGTGATCAAGCAGCAGTCGATCAAGACCGCTGTGGAGAGTGCGTGCCTTTTGTTGAGGGTGGACGATATTGTCAGCGGTGTTCGTCAGCAGCAGTGATGTATATATTATAGATGGAGACGTAATGCACTAACGGACGTATGCGAGAGTGTAGTGGCCATAATCTGGTGAAGTAATTGTGAACGTATCACTAGTTATTGAGAGTATATTCGGCAGAGTGCAATATTTAAAGAAGACTTTTCAATGTTGAAAGTTTACGTCTACAATTTGCATTTGGAATACTTAAATGAACATCAGCAATCGTCTCCTCAAATCTTTTCAAAGCGGTCTTCCAAATTCTACTTTTTCCAAATCCAGCAATCTGTCGTACGCTGTGGACCTTCTAGAAGCCTACCCCCCAAGTCAAGTTCGTGAAAATCCTTGAGAACCCGCATAGTGCAGATAAAGTACATACACCAGCAAACAAGGAACATTGTGAATTTGCATAATTAGACGAAATTCAAAATCGAAATCTACGGAGTTAAGTCGATACTTCATTTGTGCCTGGCATCTCCGTGACAAACGCTCGATTAGCCGAGGGGCAGCGGTGAGGTTTCCAGAACACGCAAAAACATTCTCTGTCTATATTTAGCCTTCTTCACGTCACAAGCCACACGGCTTTACACAACAAGCGAAAGAGGCGAGTTTCACGATCCATCGGGAACAGCACAATAAATTTACATTCCTAGCTTTGCAGGGTACAGCAATGCTGGGTGCCTTGATGTCATTCTCAAAACAGGCAGGTCTCCGATCTGTTTTTCGCAGCCATTCTGCACCGTTAAAGAAGAGGCATCCAAGCAGCAAGGACAATTTCTCACCATTTAGATCAATTTCTCACCATTTAGGTCAATTTTTAATATTCATTACCCTAAGCAACCTCTGCCCCCTGGATTCTTCTCTCGGGCTTGGACCCCAGATCAACCTTCCTCTTTGGGCGAAAAGACAAACAAGCAACTCTTCGCAGCGTATTGACAAGTGCACCGAATCAGGAAAACACGTCAGAAATAAACCCCAGCGAACAAAATCTGGCGCCAAAAGCACCCCTGTTTCGGAAGCAATCTGCATCGCACAATGGCCGTTTCCCTCTGTGTGCTGAGTTTCACCGCACCCTAAACCCTCACAGCACCTGCCTGGCTCCCGCGCAGTAGTATCTAGCCGTGCACCTTCAACCTTCAACCTCCTCTTCCACCTCCATCCTCTTCCTCACCACCCACATTCCCTACAAAACATGGCCGACCCACAGGTGCCGTTTTTGGCCAAGGCCAAGGTCTCCTGGTCTGGCGAGGAGGACGGCGACTTGGGTTTCCTCGAGAACGAGGTCATCAAGGTCTTCCACATTGTCGACGACCTGTGGTGGCAAGGGCTGCTTCTGAGAAACGGCAACGAGGGCATTTTCCCCAAGGACTTTGTCAATGTCGTTGTGGATCTGAGATCCAACAGCGCCGCCCCGACGCCGACGAGAAATGCCCGCTCCAGGGAAACAACCCCAGCCCCCAAGAGCTATACACCTACAAAGCTCAAGAAGGCTCCCTTCAGCCCTTCCACCACCCCGACCAAGTCCCCTTACCGCATGTCGCCGGCCTCCAAGCTGGCGCCCCACCTAGACGAGTCTAGACACTACGACACTTCCTTTGACAGGAAGCCAAAATACGATACAAGCTTTGACAGGAAGCAGAAGTACGACACGAGCTACGACAGGAAAAACGCCTCCTTTACGGCGCTGCACGGCAACAGCCCGGAGAGAAAGCTCTACTCCCAGTACGTCATGGGTCCGGGGCTCGATAAACGCCATAGCATGGTGGAATTGGGTGCCCAGGACGACGACTTGTTGGAGCTGATCTCGCACAAGAAACAGCAGCTTGAGAAGGAATTGATGAACTTGCGCCGTTTGGAGCGGTCCCACGTTCAGCTGAAGCAGCGCCGCAGCCAGCTGGTCGAGAGTTCTTTTGTTAGCGAGGATATCTTGTCGCTGAGACGCAACTACACATCCAAAGACGATCTCGGCGCCAAATTGGCGCTTTTGGACGAGCCTGAGCTTGTTGACGACGAAGACGAGCCTCCGCCGCCGCCTCCACCTCCAAAGCATAAAAGCCCAGCGCCCTTTGCGCCTGAAGATTTCCGAGCATCTGGTGCTTCTCAGCAGAACATGGACCAATCGTGGAGGCAGCTGCAGAACGAGCAATTGAAGCTGTCGCTCAAGTCGTTGCAAAGCGACGTGCTCAATCTTTCTGAGCTCAGCGCAACGTCCGCCGGTTCTTTCATGAGGCACAAGTACGAGAAAGACATGAACGAGTCCGAGAACAGGATGAATCGTATGAGCATCGCCGAGGACGAGGAGCCCAGCGACGTCATGAACTCGGTCTTCAGAGACAAGAAGTCCAAGCATCCCAAGATCTTCAAGATGTTGATGAAAAAGAAGCCCGAGCAGAACTTGATGGAACAGCGTCTTCAGCAGGACCAGCCCGATGACTGGCAGAGTGTCAAGGTGGACTTGAACAGAATGAACACCTTGATCACTCAGGACAAGCAGCTGCGGACCAAAAGAGCCGTACGCGAAGAGCCCAATTTCATCGCAAGGCCTTTGGACTTCATTACCGACATCAATGAAAGCGAGACATTTGGCCCTGATCAGCATTTAGAGCCACCCAAGGATATGAAGGTCAATTACCGCAAGGTGGCAGACTTTTCCGAACGATACTCCCATAGCTTCGACTTCAACGACTTGATCTCCGATATCAGCGTCAAGTTTGGCACCTGGAGACCTAATGAAATTAGGGCCGTTCTCATGCATTTGTGCAAATTTCATATCATCGAGGAAAGCGAGCGGATTCTGCAAACAAAGCCCAAGTTGCAAGAGATCATGGCAAAGGGAGAAGCAACCATTTTCCAGCTCAACTATCTCTTCAAGAAGCTCCTTGAAGCGTTACGGATCCCAGCAGAGGTGGTACTTGGCTTTTGGAAAAAGCCAAACGAGTTCTACCATAATGAGCAATACGTCATTAATCACTGCTGGCTCTCTGTGATGGTCGAGACAGATATGTATGGAAATGGTGTCTTCCGCGTCATCGATCTCATGTGTTTCAAAAATGGTCCAATTTGCAACAAGGAGGGTTTCAACGAATTCTACTTCTTGGCCGAACCGCTTGATCTCGTTTCCACGCACATTCCTTCGGTGATTGAGTTGCAGCACGTCTGCCCTCCAGTCGATCTCAACATTGCCTATCATTTGCCTAGAACCTATTCAGGATGGACAAAAAACAGTCTTCTGTTTAAAAACTTCAACAATGCATTGACCCGGATCAGAGATTTAGAGTTTTTCGAAGCTGACATTAACCTCCCTGTCGATGTCGAGCTCTTCACCCTAATTAAAACGTCAAGGACCACTTCTAATGATTACACGTTGTGTCAGGTCTATTGGAGCGGCAGCAAGCGAATTGCCAAAGTCAAGGCGGTACTTCCGGACAAGGAAGAGGTTGGCGTCTTGCAGATTTTCGCCGGTCCTAAGGGTCTCCAGACACATTTTGACAATATTCACGAGTTGGCATGCGTGGTACCGCTTTATCATCAAGGCTCCCAGAAACCTTGCAAGTTCGTGCCACGTTACCCCACCAACCAGGCACAAAATAACGATCTTTACATCAAGCATCCCCAGCTCAACAACATCAGTGTTGGCCACGCCTACAACTTTGAAATCGAAGCTCATCCGTCCATGGGACTCAACAGCGGGCTGGGTATCATGAACCAGGACTTCAAGCTCGTCATTGAATCGCCGCTGGGTAAATACACCCGGTTGATGAAGGACGAGCCCCACAAGCCTTACGGAACGTTCCGCAGCAACATCAATTGCCAGGAAAATGGAACATACCGTGCGTTGGTTATAGGCGACAGCGGCAACAGCTGGTATGTGTTTGCTCAATGGGAATGTGCTGGGTTGCATTAATAGCATTACAAAAATCATACATTCATAAACATAATACATGCTCCATTAGGATGAAGGGATGTAGTGCCAAAGGCTTTTAATAGAGATATGGATTAATGTCAATTGTGTATTGGATCTATGGTTGGATTTCGCAGCCATGTAACATACATCATCAATCACCAGTGCAATCATAACTCCCACAATAAGAGATTTAAAATTTGCATCAGGTCAAACAATAAATTCCAAAGCTCCTCCATTTCAATTTATCTAGATAATAAAATTCTATGTAATCAACTCTTCCCCATCCATCTAGGTTCATCTCCAGACTTCGCGAATATCAAGCTTCAACTTTAAACCTTCTACTCCTCATGTCTGCTACTCAAACGAAAGCCAAGGCAAAAGAGCAGGCCCGTTACTCCAAAGACAAGAAAGTCGGAGAAGGTACATATGCTGTCGTGTACGTCGGAAAGCAGGTCAAAAGCGGAAGACAGATCGCCATCAAGGAAATCAAGACAGGCCTCTTCAAAGATGGTCTAGACATGCTGGCTCTTCGAGAGGTGAAATACCTCCAGGAGCTTCGCCACAAAAACGTGATTGAGCTAATCGATGTGTTCATGTCGCTGGATAAAAACTTAAACTTGGTGCTTGAGTTCTTGCCTTGTGACTTGGAGGTGCTCATCAAGGACCAGAGCGTCGTGTTCAAATCGTCCGATATCAAACTGTGGTTGCTAATGACGCTTCGAGGTATCCACCATTGCCACCGTAACTTCATCTTGCATCGAGACTTGAAGCCCAATAACCTTCTTTTGGCGCCAGACGGACAGTTGAAGATTGCCGATTTTGGTTTGGCTCGAGCCTTTGGCAACCCAAACGAGGATTTGACTTCCAATGTGGTCACGCGGTGGTACAGAGCCCCTGAGCTTCTATTCGGCGCCAAACATTATACGGGAGCCGTCGATGTGTGGTCTGTGGGTATCATATTCGCTGAGCTCATGCTTCGAACACCATACCTTCCGGGCAAAGACGACTCCGATCAGCTTGATGTGACGTTCAAAGCATTGGGCACGCCCACTGAGCAAACGTGGCCGAATGTCTCCAGCTTACCGCTCTACAATGCATTGAGGGTCTACCCTCCTCCATCGAGACAAGAGCTCAGAAACAGATTTAGCGCTGCTACCGAGAAGGCTTTGGATTTGATGATTTCCATGACCCAGCTTGATCCTTCTAGACGGTGCACGCTGACACAGGCGCTTATGCACGAGTACTTCACGGAAATACCGTTGGCCACTGAACCTGAGGACCTTCCCACCAAGGGCGGCAAAGAGAATGGCGATAAGAGGCGAAAGCTCAATTGAGTCATGTTTAAAAGAGAATTTTCGTTGACAAACGACATCAATGTCATATGATGTTAGTTGTTTCCTTGTCTACATCACTCAAAAGTACGTGGCTCACGGCCGTCTATTCAGCACTTAGTGCCGTCTATCTATTTATAAAGCCCAGCGACATGCTCAGCAATCGCCCATGAAGAGGTGAGTCCAGGACTCTCTATTCCCACAAGGTTCACAAATCCAGGGAAGCCGTCTTCTTCCTTGATGTAAAAGTCAGCAAACTGCTTCTTGTTGTCCGCCTGGGAAAGAAGCTTGGGTCTCACTCCCGAATAGGAGGATTGGAGCTGGTCAACGGTGATGCTAGGGAAGTACGTTGCGATGGATTTGGCAGCATCAGCTAGCCTCTCTTCTGAAACGTCATAGTCGAGATCGTCGGCGCTCTCCACATCTACCCATTCAAGGTCAGGGCCGAATCTCAATTGGCCTCCGAGGTCGAAGGTCAAGTGTGTGCCCAAACTGGACGCATTTGGGTTAGGACATGGGTAAATGAGCTTAGAAGTGATCTTGCTGGTGGGGATTGGATTCTCGGGCATATATGAGTAGTAGCTTCCTTTGGCAAAGTAGCTCTTGAAGTGGCGCTCTTTTGGAAGCAACTTGTTGGCAATCTCCTGGGCATACAATCCCGCCAGGTTGACGATGTTGTCTGCGGTGATCTCGAACTGCTCACCCAGGCCCTTCTCCGTGCACAACAATCTGTACTGGGGAACGGAAGACTCAAATTCTATATCGTCGACCTTTGTGTTGATTGCAACGGTACCTTCTTCATTCTCGAATTGTGTGTGGAAGAAAAGCGTCAAGTCGTGAGCCAGAATGATACCTGTGGTTGGAGACTCCAAGGCGCCTGCTTTGGCGCTGATCATGGGAAACTCACTGGCTGCTTGTTTGGCAGAAACGAGTGAAACGGGAACCCCCAATGCGTCAGCTTTCTTGTGGAGCTTCTCAATGTACGCTTGTTCCTCCTCATTCTGAGCAACCACCCATTTCCCACACTGGCTGTAGGGAACGATATGTGGATCTACCTTGTTGTAGATCAATTCCTTGCCTCTGATGCAAAACTTGGCTTTGAGCGAATCTGGCGGGTAGTAGAGCCCGGCGTGGATCACCTCGGAGTTTCTGCTGGTGGTTTCGAAGCCTAGCATCTCGTGCTGTTCCAAAAGCGTGACATTGTTGCCTGGAACATTTTGCAATTCAGCTGCTATCGCCGTTCCCACGACACCTCCGCCAATCACAACATGAGAAAAGTCAGCATTGAGACGGCTGCTTAGGCAGAATCTTCTGGCTAGTTGAAGCATTGTGGTTGGAAATTCGCGCACAGTGAGGCTCTTTTATGTGGGGTCCCGGAGCTACAAGATGTCAAGCAGGACACACATGATGTCACCGAGTTTCCATATAAATCTATGTCCTCAATTTCTTCAATCATGATATTGAGTTATAGTGGCTCCGATTCACAGGGAATGCAGGCTTCCGGATGATGATGGTTCACATACTGCTGCATTCGAAAGTACGAATCTGCTGCTCCCTCAGCAGCCTGGGCCCAGCTTTCTGGAGTATCGTTCATCACTTCATCATATTTTATCGTGTTTTCTGACGGAGCGAACAGACAATCAGCACCACTATCCCATATACAACGCATGAAGGCATCGGCCTTTGCAACTCTTTCATTGCCCTCTCGATTGTCCATCCCGAGCTCGTCTATATCCCTCAGGCTTACACCGTCGATAGTTTGCAAATATACCGTGTGGTCGTCGCCTGTGAATTTGAAAAAGGCAGTGGCGTTGTGAGTTTCAGCGCACGCTGGCAATACCGCTTTCAACTTGGCAGAGCTTGTGGCAAACTGGTCCATGATGTATTTGAGTACTTCTGTTCTGTTTGTTTCTTGCATTGAAAGGGGGAACTGTACCGCCCACACAGCGCTGATTAGAAAGAACCACAACATCTGGTGGGAAGAAGTGGCGAATAGAGCTTAATTAAGCTGATAAGCGAAAAATAAGCGAGGTGCAGATTCAGGTCTCGTGGACAGTTTTGACATATTTCTTCGCTACAACGTTACTATGCATATCTTATCTCAAAAACTTTTGAATTACTGTGGGGTCATATCAATCTTACCAGCTTCCATACTCCCACTTGACTTCTGCGAAATAAGGGGACCCTCAGAAACACATTATGTACGACCCGCCAAATAAAAGATAGTCCAAGTATGTGGTGCCGTTGAATTTGCATCGCAGAGGCATTCATCCAATGGTATTTCTAGAGCTGACTTCCATTTTTGTTTTGTCTTTTCAGAATCTTTAAGTGACACTGGTTAGTCTAGATAGGCGGATTTTGCAAGTACTGCGAAAAAGCGAGGAAAGCTGCACGAAAATGCGATTAAGGGTTAATACAAAACAGAAGTAGAAACATAAGTCAATCGACAACGATATTTGAGAATTATTTCTAAATTTATGGAGCTTAAATTGAACGCAGCAAGCACTGTCGCTACCTTGATTTCACTGTCGTTGTAGAGCTGGGTGAACCAGTCAATTCACGATTCGTCAGATTGAAGTTTTTATGTCATTTATTGAAAAAGCAGCCAAAAGCCAGTGAAATTGATTGAAATCATACTCTTTTGACCATAATTTCAGCCTGACTAGCCCGCCAGTGGTGAAAACGAAAAATGGGCGAGAATTGTATATGATCCACTATATGCAGTATACTTTAACATCTTATTGCAGGCTTCTCATATATGATCCTGCATTCTTCCTTTCATGCGCGGGTCCTATAGTGTAGTGGTTATCACTTTCGGTTTTGATCCGAACAACTCCGGTTCGAATCCGGATAGGACCTATATTTTTGCACGGCTCGCAGAAGCATCAGTGATACTGCAGCGTGCCGCATGAAGCAGAACACCTATACCAACGTAAATGGACTAGTATATGATTTTTTGATGTGAAATTCTCCAACTTCTAAAAACTCACCCCTGGCAGAGTGCAATTCCACTCTTTCGGCGCATTCCTCATTCCCTGAACGAGATCTCAATTCTCTTATCTTGTCCAAGCTGGCTGCGAAAGATAGTCATCAAGAACCACAAACCCTTCATCGATAAGCATAATAAATGAAAGTTTTCCATTTTCAGTCAATTCACTTCTTTAATTGAAAACCGTATACAAAACGAAGCCAAATTCCATAATTTATTCTCCTTCACCTGGCAGATCCGCACGTGGGGCGCACCTCATTAACTGTAATATCACCATCCATTCTCCTACCAACTACATCCTCCAACACCGATGAAGTTCGGAGAGCATTTGCGCAAGGCGCTCATCAAGAACTATTCTTTCTATTACATCGATTACGATGACCTCAAGCACCAGTTGAAAAAACGCTTGAAGGAGAACGACTACGAATGGACTGATGAGTTCGAGGAGGAGTTCGTTGCAGCTTTGGAAGCGGAGCTCGATAAGGTGTACCTGTTCACGAAAGTGAAAAACACAGAGGTCAATCGCCGTATCGAGCAGGCTGAGAAGTACGTTCACGAGGTTGTGGATGCTTTGCAGAACCCAGATACCAAGACAAAGAAGCCTCTGGAGCAGGACTTTGAGGACTTGGAGGAGGATCTCTCCGACATTATCGCCGATGTTCACGACTTGGCCAAGTTCACTCGTCTCAATTACACTGGTTTCCAGAAGATCTTGAAGAAGCACGACAAGACCACCGGCTACAGCTTGAAGCCTATCTTTCAGGTGCGTTTGAACGCTAAGCCATTCTACAAGGACAACTACGATAACTTGATTGTCAAGTTGTCGAAATTGTACGACTTGGTGAGAACCAGGGGTAACCCCGTCAAGGGTGACGCGTCCGCTGGTGGCTCCCAGCAGAACTTCGTGAGACAGACCACCAAGTACTGGGTCCACCCAGACAACATCACCGAGTTGAAGTTGATCATCTTGAAGCACTTGCCTGTTTTGGTTTTCAACGCCGAGAAGGAGTTTGAGCCCGAGGATTCGGCCATCACGTCCATCTACTTCGACAACAAGGACATGGATTTGTACTACGGCCGTTTGCGTAAGGATGAAGGTGCAGAGGCCATTCGTTTGCGTTGGTACGGTGGCATGAAGAGTGACCAGATTTTCGTGGAGAGAAAGACCCACAGAGAGGACTGGACCGGTGAAAAGTCTGTGAAGGCCCGTTTTGCCTTGAAGGAGAAGAAAGTGAATGCTTTCCTCAAGGGTGAGTACACAGCTACCCAGGCGTTTGAAAAGATGAGAAACGATGGCAAGAAGTCGTTAAAGGAAATCAACAACTTGGAGCTGCTTGCTAAGGAAGTGCAATACTCCGTCTTGAAGCACAAGTATAGACCCGTGATGCGTTCCTTTTATAACAGAACTGCCTTCCAGCTTCCCGGCGATGCTCGTGTTCGTATCTCTCTCGACACTGAGTTATCCATGGTCCGTGAAGATAACTTTGACGGCTACGACAGAACGCATGGCAACTGGAGAAGAATGGATATCGGCGTGGACTGGCCATTCTCTCAGCTTCCGGAAAGAGATATTTGCAGATTCCCTTACGCCGTCTTGGAGGTCAAGTTGCAGACACAAATGGGCCAGGAGCCTCCAATTTGGGTCAGAGATTTGGTTGCCAGTCATTTGGTCGAGGCAGTTCCAAAATACTCCAAGTTCATCCATGGTGGTGCTTCTTTGTTGACCGACAGAGTGAACTTGCTTCCGTTCTGGTGGCCACAGATGGATGTGGACATCCGTAAGCCTCGTATCCAACAAGGCTACGGTATCTCCAGACAGCAGCAAAAGCCAAAGTCTTCGTCATCTGGTGGTGAGTTGGACGAGGAAGAGATGTTGCTGGAAGAACTTAATCAGCACTCCTCAGTTCACTTCTCCAACGACGTCAACCCATTGGAAGAGGACTTGGACGAGAACTCGCCTTTGCTCTTGCCTTCAAGTTACACGGCAAGAGACAACTCCACGGTATCCAACTTTTTCCGTTTCCTTTGGGCCAAGTTCTTGCATGTCTTCAACGACGACAGATCATTTACTATCAAGCCAGGCACTGACTTCGACATCAATTCTACGTTTGCATCTAGATTACCCAAGGGCAAAAAGATTTGTGTACCCATCAGAATTGAACCCAAAGTCTACTTTGCTGCCGAAAGAACCTTTTTGGCCTGGTTATCCATTGGAATGATCCTTGGTGCCACTGCAACTGCTTTACTCAATTTTGGTGACAAGTCATCCATAGTGGCAGCTGTTGGATTTTTCATCACTGCATTGTTCACCTTGACCTACTCCATCATCAAGTACATTGGCAGAACCATTGCTATCAGAGAGAAGAAGATTGCCCAATACTCCGACAAGTTCGGCCCTAATATGATCTGTTTCTTCATCTTTGCGGCAACTTTCTTCACTTTTTTCTTCAAGTTTACGGAGGCCTAAGCATTTCAATTCCGCATCAGAGATATTCAAAATTGTTTCAATAAACGTCATGAAAACCTGTTTCCTTTATCTATTTGCAATCAGGACAGTTCAAGTCCTCTCATTCTATTGTCGATAATGTCATCGATATCCTCGTCTTCTTGCTCCTTGTTCTTTTTGAACCTCTTCGCTATCTTCGAGAATATACCGGGCTTCTTGACTTTCACGCGGGTGCCACTAGGTAAAACAACATATTCGTCATCGATGTAGCGATCAACATCACCAGTGTAACCGACGCCTTCACCACTTGGTGGAAGCTCAGATTCCAAAGGATTTGTTCCAGCACGCTTCCTATGAGCAGCAGAGCCAGGTGTCTCGTCAACCACAAAATCGTCGTTTGCTTCAAGTTTTGAGCCAAATAATTTATTTGACAATCCCTTCAATTTCATGAATGTAGTCGATGGATCTCTGGGGAACAACCAGCCCTGCTTCAATTCGTTGAAGGATCTTTCCTCAAACATTCGTCTGAGATCAAGATCCTTCTCATAAATCTGGAACAATTGCACATCACTTGGGTTGAACATAATCTTCAACAACTGTAAAACGAAGTCAAAGAACAATAGACAAGTAGGGAGAATCAAAAGTGTAGCCCACCATGAAATATCTGCACCAAACTCCATGAGTCCATAATCGGCATAATAGATGGTAGTTATGTTGCTCCGATGGAGGAACATGATGAGAACATTCCAGAGCCCGTAGCCAGCTACCGAGATGATGAACGATGCAAATGCCAACCACTGTTTGTTGCGCTGCTCCAAAAACTGTGATTTAGCATTGATGACAATAACGAGTGTCCAGAAGACCAAGGTTCCCAAAGGCAACGTTGTGTTGTCTTTCGTGGCACTAAAACCCCAAGCATAGTAGGCGATAAAGGAGACACCGACACTTTGCAATGCAGCCAAAACCATCCAATAAATAAAAACCTTTAGGTTGAAAGCCCTGTAGTTACGACCTATGGCGTAGAGCTCCGGAACCGCTAGAAGGGTGGAAGGCTTCAAGTCTTTGTCAAACATACCAACGCAAAGAACTGGCAATGACGTGAAAAGGGTGTTGAACATCGACAACGACCACTTTTCATACATCGAGGAACCCGTAAACATGGCGTTTCTTTGGTAGACACATTGTGTCAAGTAAAATAAAAGCTCCTTGTAGAATGTTGTAAGAACAAACTTCGCTGTTCTGATGTAATTGTAACGACCGTTCACAAGAAGTAACTTAAGCAAAAAGCGGAATTGAGCGATGGAGTAATCAGAAGATCTTGCAGCTTGCAAGCCTTCCTTACCTGTTATACCAACACCGATATCAGCACTCTGGATCATGGCAATATCGTTGGCACCATCTCCAATAGCTAACGTAACGTCTCTCTTTCTTAACTTTCTGACCGAGTTGATCATACTAGCTTTCTGAGAAGGAGAGGCTCTGCAACAAATAGCTGAGTCTGTCTGGATACAAAGCTCGATGAAAACGGAGAACAACGTGGGATCACTTTCAATTTCACCCAAAGTACCTCCATCAACAACTACCACAGAATGAGCGATTCTTCCAGCTTTGATTTCCAGACTGGCAGTACTAATACGCTGTGTGAGTCTCTCGGTGCCCTCCTCACTCGACAATACAACGACAGTAGAATAGTCTTTGATAAGTCTGCAAGAGTATCCAATGTTGATGGCGGTTTCTCTTTTGTCACCAGTAAGCATCCACATCTTGATACCAGCACGACGCAACTTATCAATGGCTTCACTTACACCGTCCTGTAATTTGTCTTCGATAGCTGTAGCACCAAGAAGGTCGAAGTTGTTCTCTATCTTTGCACCCACCTCTTCCACCTTCTTTGCACGGTCAGTTAATGCAATTTTAGCTTCACGATACTCGTTTGCCCACAGCTCATACTCTGCGTTATTGAGCCACTTGAACGAATATAAAAGAGTACGCAACCCTTCGGACGAGAACTCCTCGATATGCTCCAATGTTTTTTCTAACGCAAACTCTTCGTTCACGAGTAATTTGTCTCTCGGTATAAATGCATGAGAGCTTTGGCTTTTGTCGGCATCATTGTACTCGTCCATACTGTAACGTTTGTTTTGCTGAATGTGGAGAGACTTTCTAGCTTTGGCTGCAATCTGACTTATATCGCTCTCTTGACGGGTAACAATGTTGTCAATGGAGCCAATACGCTCAGCCACATCCATACTTGTACTTGTCAATGACGACAAGGACTTTCTGTTTTCAAGTTCGGCAGAGACCTTGTTTTGTAAGACAATCTCGGCCTCTTGGGTTTTCCTGTCAGCGGATGACAAGAAGATGTCTCTCGCCTTCTTCTTCGCGAGCTCAGAGTTCTTCAACAACTCAAGGATGACGTTATCAGCACCCTTACAAATCACACCGACTCTACCGTCAGGAAACTTGACGACCACAGACATTCTCTTACGCACAGAGTTGAATTCAACAACGTCAAGAATCTCATAGCGGTCTGATCTTGCAGGAGCGTCAAAGCCATGTGGATATGTCTTCACTGTGATGACACCATTCTGCTTATCAGCAATGACGAAACCGAGATCTCTTGCCGCATCAGCTAAGGCCAATTCGTCAGGGGAAGCAGCCTGGTAATTGATGCTGGCATCTTCGTCAAGATCATTCAATTGTTCCTCTTCACTGCTATCAGCAAGGGTATATGTGGAGCTGTTATTGACGGTCTTGGTCTTTCTAGGCTGGCAAGTATGACAAAGAGCAATGCTCAAAAGAAAGAATGTTGCCTTCCTAGAAAAAATGGTCTCAGGGTGAGTTTGAATGTACTTCAACAAGTACAAGGAGCTGGCCAAATTCTGCTCCTTTTCCGGCTGTGCCGTTGATCTCCATGTGGTGGAAGAGCGAATAGACGACATTTCCATGCTCTGTCTAACGATGGAAGTAGTGCTTTTCCTTCCTGGAACAGGTGCTTTGTGGTGTTGCAGAGGACGGATTGCGTCCACTTTGGCCATGTGATGATCACCAAACTCTGGATCCTCCTTCTCTTGCGCTAGCTGGTCTGTATCGTGAATCCAGTTAGCACCACAAACACTGAACTTACGTAGAAGCATCTCGTTATCTGTGAGGGTTCCTGTTTTGTCTGAGAAGACGTAGGACACCTGGCCCAACTCCTCTAGAATGGTGGCAGTTTTTGCATCAGCCGGAGTGTTCGATTTGGGATCATACATGTCGATGTCGTATTGTAGGAAAAGGAGCTGCATGACTTTGATGATTTCCATCGTGACGTAAAGTGAAAGCGGGATCAACGTATTGTACATGATGATGAATCCCATGAGTGTAGCGGCCACGCCCACGTCTTGATCAAAGAGGTACCAAGCTTTGTGGAGATCGTTCTGAAGATATAGACGCTGGGCCATGGTGGAGAAGGCGGAAAGCATGATAACAACAAAAATCATGAACAACACGATGAAGTTGATATTGCGCTGAAGCTTGGGGCCTTCGTTCTGGGGTTCTTCAAGTTGTTCATACGGATCTTGGACTCTTCACCTGTAAATACCACGAGACCCAAGACCGACCGGGTATTACGCAAGATGCTGCCTCTGTAAACGACATTGTCGAGACCAAGAGCGTATTTATAGCCGTTGGAGGAGAAATGGCCTTCAAAATTGTACAAGTCGGGGTTGGGGTCCTCGGTGGTGACAAGACAGCGAACGTTCTTGAGATCGCTGGGTCTTTGTGTTAGTTTCAGGAGCTCTGGATGGGCGAATTTCGACTTGAAGTTGGTTTCACCGTCAAGAGCCATGGTTTCCACGAACGCCTCTGTCTCGTCGCTGTCGACTGCCAAAAGTATAACGTCTGCGGGGATCCAGTCGTTTTCGTTGATCTGAAGAACATCGCCAACCTTGAGGTCCTTCCAGGCAGTCCTGTTCAGGCGCAAGTTGTAGCGAGTCATGGAAACGCTATTGGAGAAGATATTTTTGGAATCGGAAAGGGACGTGGAAGAAGCATTGGTGGGTTCTTCTGGGTACACCGGTATGGTCTCAGTCATGATGGTGTGGATGGACTGGGCGTCAAAAGAGGCCAAATCGGCGTCTTCACAGACAACTTGGGCCACCTTGGAGTTCTCCTCCTTATCGTGCGTGTGACGTTTCCAGTCGTCAAAACCCTCTCTGGCGATCGATATGGACATGAAGATCATGAGCGGAATGATGGTGGTGAACTGGCCCGTGGTGGACCACGAAGGGATCATCTGCATGATGGCGACAACCATGAAGTAGCAGTTGGCGAGCTTGGAGAACTGCGCCCGGAGCTGTTTTGGAAGGAACGTGTAGATGTTGTATTTGGATGAGGTGATGGTGTTGCTGACGTAGGGCTCGCCCGAACGCTCGTCAACGTATGCCTTATGCGTGGAGGAGTAGTACTCGTCGCTGAAGATGGAGTTTGCCTTTTCCTTGCGGAGACAGAGTGGGATGATTCGGCCTGACTCCGAGGCTCCTAGCTGGGAACGACCCAAAAGCCTGTTGCGGTACTTCCAGAATGTGCCACGCCAGGAGTTACGGAACCGCTTCTGGCGGGCAAAACGCAGATCTCGTTCTTCTTCGTCCAGCGAGTTGGCGCTCAGAATCGTGGTGAGTCTGGTGGTCAGACGCAGCATTTTCTGGGAGTACTTGGGGTATTCTCGAGGCGGCTCGACGCTGATGGCCGGAGGGGCAAGAAAGTCGCCGTGGGAAGCCGACGATGTTTCCGATGTGCCCGCTTTGTTTCCAGCTGGCTCAGAAGTTGTGTTTGAAGTCAGGTCCAAGTTTTCAAGCTCGATCTGACTCTGCCTGGAGTCCCAGAACGGGTTGACCAGGGCGGCCACGGCCTTGTTGAGGAGCTGCAGGCGCAAGGAAAGGCCTCTTTTGCGCCGTGTGTGTGGGGTGCTCTCCTCAGGCATGGATGTGGAAAAGTGTCAAGTTGGAGCAGTTGGAGTTTGTATGATAGGGCTGTGCAGGTGGGCGAGTGAAGTGGAGGCGGAGGGTGGGACTATTTTGGCGACGCGGCAGCGGGCTGGGACGAAAGGGGCATTTTTGGGAAGCTGGGAAAAAGAGGAAAACGGCCGTATTTATAGTTTTTGCGGTTTCGAACGGGGGTGTGTGGAATCACTGGGGTACACTTGTTTCGCAGCCAGGGTCTCGCTGCCACTTTGACGCGCCTGAGCGATAGCGAAGTGACACAAAAGTGGTTGATGTGGACAGAAAAAAGCTTTTTATAGGAGTGAAGAGATTTGTGTTTTTGGAATCTTCGTTTTGCTGCTTGTGGATTTACGATTTGTATTTTTGGGATTTTGGCTGTTGAGGCTTGGCTACGGGACCGCAGTTTGACACTTTCGCAGCCATTCAAGGCGGGGCAGTATCTCGATGAGCTTTCAGGGACGAATATAAAAGGAGGAATTCCCGAGATTTTTTAGAAACTTCTTATTTTTCGGCTTCTTTCTCGGTGGTTTTTTGAAGTCCCTCCGTCTCGGCAATCAAGTGGCTGGACTTGGCTGACGAGGCTTGTGGACTGATGCCGCTGCCCCACAGGCCAGTCTCGTGACTCCTTTGTTACTGGAGAGGTCTTGATTTGGTGGTGGAGAATTTGAAGAAGCATAGATCGGAATTTTCAAGATGACTTTGATTTTGTCGACTTCGGTTGTCGATATCGGTTGTCGATTTCAGGGTGAACGGAATTGGACCGTTTCTTGGTCGCCTGCACCCCGGGTCCCACGAGGGCCAAGAAAGTGAATGTTAGTGGTTGAAAAAATGTGGAACTGTGGAACTATAAAATGAACGCAGGGGAAAGGTTAAGGAGGTTTTGCATTAGAAATAAGGATTGGGAAATTGCTGTAATGTTTGTTTTCATAGTGCCCCGCTTGTACCGTTGAACTTATCGGTATCGAACAATCGAGGGCAGGGTGTTTCATGATATATGAAATTTTAGCATCCTCCTGAAAAAATTCAACTTGACGTATTTTAAAAGCTTCACTGAGATGCACTCGATAAGCTGGCATTGTTTGTTTTACCATTCTGATGCCTCCATTGTGAGACAATCAGGATGAGCTGAACAATCCAACGTCAAACATCGGGGTAGCACCCAGGCCCGTATTTGAACTTTTCAGTTAGAGTTTTGAAAAAGTTGCGTAAATGATAGGCTAAGATGTCAATTAAGCTTTTCTGATTTGATGCAATGCATGGCTTCAAGTTCTGGTGTAGTAGCGTCACTACTTACTTTCATGTCAAACCCTAATAGTGCACTTGATTTCAAACGGTAGGATCTAATCATAGACTGATCTCTACAAGGCCTGGTAAGCCAATCAGATAATCTTAGCCATTCTCACCATACCTCGAAAAGCTTCGTAACGCTCAATCTAATATCACCCCAGGGGGCTCCCAAATAAATATTCATTCCATCGTACTTATGCTTCTATGAGCCGTTTCGTGCGAGCCGTAGCTGCTTCAAAGTATCGCTATCACCGCTCCACTTGGCTTCACGAATGGCTTCGTCTAGTTTTGCATCCCAACGAGCCCACTCGTTGTATGTGCTGAAGAACTTCGCTCCATGTTGATCGCCTTTGCGGGCAACATCTCGAGTAGTGCAGAACCACTCTCCTTTACGGTTCCAGTAGCCCTTGCCTCGTAGTTTGGCACATACATCTAGCTCGGCTAATGTGGGCACCGGTTTGGCAGTAAGTGCAGCAGCACGTTTCTCCATCCGCTCTTTGCGGCAGTCTTGGAAGTAGATTATGGGCACAAACATGCGTAGCACTTCTCGAGAGAACCATCGGGTCAAGATGTCCACGTCGAAGTTGTAGTGATGGAAGTCTGTATCTAGGTTTGTGGATTTTTTGGGGTAATCCCATGAAAATGTGCTTGTCTTTTCAGGCACCATGCCGTTGAGCCGGCTGTAGTTGTAGCGAATGGTGTCTGAGTCCTTGGAAAAGTAGTCCTCTATGGCATCTCGAACGAACTCAGGAGCAGCAAAGGGTATGGACAGGGTAGCCTGACCCTGAGCCAGAACTATGAGGTTTTCGTCACGGTTGATGCTATCCTCAAACATCCAGTCTCTGGATTGCTAGGGGGACAAGATCTGTGATATTTACATGTTTTGCAAAATCTGTCGCTCGTCCGGGCCCGGACATACGTAAACGGCATGTGAGAGCGACAGCCTCGGAAATGCAGAGCGCCTGATTCAAGGGGCCTTCGGACACCAAACACTGATCTATTGACAAACTTCAAGAGTGAATTAGGTTGTTCGGAGACCTAGGTCGCCTGTGGTGGGCTCGCACTCGCTTGCCATTCGGGGTGTTCGGGTGAAATAGGAAGCTCGCGCCGCGGTTGCAAAATTCAGGCCTTTGTGCCCTTCAACTTGCTCTTGAGGTATGCAAGCTTGGCTTTCAACTTACCCAATGGAGTAGATTTGGCGACTTCTTCAAACTCCTCCTCAGTAACGACTTTCTTAGCAAGTAAATTGAAAACACATCCAAATGCGAGCGACATCACCGTACATGTCAAGATGGTGACATTGTAGGGCATCGAGAAGTCTGGGGTAGGAAGGGTCAAAAGCAAGGAAGCAGATCTGAGCTGGTACAGGGTTTCGCCTGTAGCCTTGTCAATGATTTTGATCACCGCAGGCTCAATGGCAAAACCATGGTTGGCATCTGGTGGGTACTCAGAAAAGAGCAATAAAGACTTGTCGAACTGGTAGGTAAGCGTCAAGGACTGGCCTGCTGGGATGTTCAACGCCAACTCCAAATGCGTGGGTCTAGATCTATCAATGGCAGGCTTGAAGAAACGGTTTTCAATGGTACCGTTGCCGCTGACCTGAAGCGTATGCAAGTAGATTCTCATGAACCAGGGGAGACTCTCAAAGTAGACAACGGAAAGGTCTTCATCCTTAGGGTTGTGCAAAGTTACACGCATTCCACCACGGTCCTGAGAGTAACCCGTTAGGGAGCGAGACACAAGCAACGGAGTCTCCTTCTTGGGCAAAACCTTGTTGAAGTCTGTGGTAGAAAGACGGAAGTTGTGAGGCACAGCATCGACAATTTCAAACGTTTCGGTCACGTCGGTGTCTGGCTGGCCCTCTCTCAACAGCTTCACCTTCCAGTGGTCCGAGTCGATCAAAAAGTTCACCTTCGTAGCGGCGTTCTTGTTCTCGAAGCCTGGACCCTTGATCTGTCTTCCGTAGAGCGCCTCAATGTCCCATTCGATCAGGGGTTCCTCGCCAAGAGGAAAGCAGTGCCACGCGTCGTGGTGCTTGGTCTCGTCACAGCGCAACTTGTCACCTGGAACAGGTTTGGGGATACCGCCCTCGTTTCTACGGCGAATCAGACGGGTGATATCGGCAATGTGGTGGATGTGCTGGTCCAGCTCGAGACGACACTCTGAGCCTGAGCACTTGGTCACCAAGTCCACGCTCATGGAGTGCCACAAGGAGTCGTAGAGCTTGTGACCGTCAAGCAACGAGGCAATTCCTGCTTTTCCTCTTGTAGGGAGCAATTTCAAGAACGGCGTCAAGTTCTCCGTGCAAATTGGCTCATCTGGCAAAGCGGCACGAAGCAAGTAAAGGTTGTTCTCTGGAGAAGCCACAAATGGCGCCTCCAGCGCTGTTTTATGCTGGGGAAACGTGGTGACAGCATCATCCACGAAATTAAGCGATGCACAGAAAACACCCGAAAGCAGCTCCGTGAGCTTGAACCACGAAGCACGGGCTGCTTCCACATCAGGTGCCTCCACGGCAGCCCAAACCTCCACGCCAGTACCGCCAATTACCTCGCCATTTTCAGGTAACAGTCCCCATGAATCAGCATCCCACCATCCTTGGGTAAAACGCAAATGAAGCTCACGCGTGTTGGTTGCCTGGACAATAGGGGCAAGTAGACGAGGAAAGTATCCAAAATGACGCGGTGGCAGGGCCTGTGGAGCCAGCAGATTGGTGTATTCCAAAGGAAACTCAGGCAGAACCGTGTTAAAGTGGAAGTCTGCAAGAAGGGTATTTCTGGGAAGCGGGCGGAAAGTGAGTTCCTCATGATACGAGGCAGCACACGCCACCGCTAGTAATAAAAACCAGATCATGTGAGATGGTGTTTTTGTGGAGAAAAACGTGGTGGTTTCTAGAGGTGTTCTGATGGAGTAGGTGTATTTGGTGAGGTTGATAGGTGTAGGTGCAGTCCGGCGGTTGCAAAAGATTGGAGGGTGATAAGGTGGAGGGTGTCTTTTTGATGTTTCTTGAGAAGTTTATGAGATTGACATTAATATCAGATTTGTTGGTGGAGGAATAGATCGGATGGAAACCGTTGTTGGTGTGGAGCTTGATGGTAGTATGGACAATGCAATGCAGTCCATGAAAAGGCGTCAAAGAACTGCTGTATCTATTGACTAACTTTTATATAATGGAGTGTTCGTTCTTTTAATGCCCTAAATAGGCAATAATATGTAAATTTGCCATTCAATTGAAGTTTACCTAAAACGAATCTCATACGAAATTGATTGTCTATCGCATCCTCATTCGTTTCAAATAGATGTTATTTCGCCTTCGATTTTAAAATGGATCTATATCTTTTCCTTAACCTCATTCTATACCAAAAATTCACCTTTGATGACACCGAATGCTTCAATACGAACAGCCCCGTGGTTCATGTAGTTCATACCAGTGACATGAAAACAACGCAATTGCTAAACCAAAGATACGAAGGAGACAGGCATTTCTTGAAATCGGACTTTGATGGAACTACTTTATCTTTTTTAAATAATGGCCCCAAATCGTTCTCATCTCACTGCTTCATCCGTCTATGGCTGCGAAATGGCTGCGAATTACAATCAGCAGTATCCATACGAATGCCATCAATTCCCTTAAAAAAAGCCGAAATCTCTCAGATTTGATTCCGTTTCATTTATACTCATCCCAAAAATCAGTACCCCTGCTTCATATCACACATTCCCTCAACCCCAGCCATCCCATTTTTCAGCTCCACCTTATCAACATCGCGAACATAAACAAACACATCTAATCCACACATATCCACCCAAACACCACCAATGGACTTCCTGGTGCTAGAACAACAAAAGGAAAACATAGCTCCCAGGGCTTCCGGTCGTCCGGCGCTGCGTCTAGCCCTAGCCCTAAAAGAACAGGCTCCAAAATCTGCTCATACAGCTAAGAAGAACGAGTTCGAGCTGCTAATAGCCCAACAGGAGGAGCTTGATGATCCGCTCCAGCCGTACCTTGACTACATCAGCTGGACAAATGAGACGTATCCTCAGGGAGGTAACACAGAAAGCGGCCTTCTAGGACTCCTAGAAAGATGCACATCCTGTTTCAGGGACACAGACTTCTACAAGAACGACCCACGATATCTCCGTGTTTGGCTTGAATACGGTCAGTATTCGGATCTGCCACGAGACGTGTTTGTATATTTGGCAAAAAAGGGCATCGGCAGCGAGTTGGCGTTGTACTATGAGGAGTTTGCCAAATACCTCGAGACTAAAGGTGCCTACGGAGACGCCATGGAGGTATACAATGTGGGAATCGAACGGGAGGCTCGTCCATTGGCCCGTCTACAACGAAGTTTCGGTTATTTCCAGCGCAGGAGTGAAAACTTTGATATTAGGCCTTCTACCATACGAAACGTGCTTTCCCTTAAAAGAGGCCTGCCTCTTCCGTCTAGCAGCGCTGGAAGCGACAAGAAACGGCCAAAGATTGCTGTCCACCGTGACTCAGATCCTGTCAGCATTAAAGATTCCGTATTTGGCGATTCACAAGCTCCTGAAAGCGTTCCGGCGCTAAGGCTCAAAGAGAACGTAATTGCCGCTAAACCATGGGCAGGCGAGGTTTTGAAGCAAAAGGCCAGTCGTCCGTCTTCTGCAAAGTTTGAGGTGTTCCGTGACTCTGAACCACAAAAGGAATGGCAGGTCAGTTCTGGTCCTGAAAAGTACACCACTATCCAGCATCCTGGCAAGCCAACCGAAAAGCTCATGCTCAACATGGCCTTGCTATCCCCATCTCCGGGCGAGGAATACTGTCCGTTGGAGGTATTTTGCCAGTCGAAGAACTTCCAGAAACAAAAACAATTGCAAGTTCAAGAAACGCCAGTTAGAGATAGTTTGTTCAAACAAGCAGACACATCGCGTGACGGCATGACCATACCTTTGAAAATGGATGAAACGACCCTGTTCAAGCCTAGATCTCCCACCATGACGCAGTTCTCCCGTATGACAGCTAAGGAGGTGTTGGGTATGTTCAACAATGCCCTGAGGTATCTGGACGGAGACACGACAAAGTTTGAGGAGCACACTTCGAATCTTGAAGGGTTTGTGACGGAGACGATTCAGCAGAAGCAGCAGGAAAATGAAGAAAAGGGTCCATCGACACCTTCCACGGATTGTGGGTCGTCGACGTCATCGCCATTTCTCGAGAGGCCGTGGTGAGGCAAGTTCCTTTCAGAATTGAATTTGATTCCATTAAATCACCTTGATTGATCGAACTGACACAGACCTAGGATCCATCGGATCTTTACAAGATAATTCAATAGGCGCCTGTGCTTCCCACTAGCATCTATCTAGATATTTTGACTAGAGAAAACTTCCCTTCCTGTCATTTCCGACCAGGGTGGCTCTTACTGGCCTCTGATGCACCCGGCGTTATCTATTTGATCAAGATGCCGATCTCGGCTCCGGAAGCAAAACCTCCCAAAACACTCAACCAAATAATCTCAGCAAATTCATTATCTCCAAAAAAACCCTATTGCCACCATTTCAACTCCGTTTGAAGCCCATTTCTGCAACTGATGGTTTAGATTACCTACCGTGCGACTCATCTCATGCAAGGCCTAAAACCGTACCACCGTGCCTTACCGGTCCCTTTTAGTGAAACGGGGAAGACGGCTGCATTCAAACAAAAATCTCCCAATCTAGAACTGTCTCCCTGCTGGGTTTGAAGCCCATTTCTGCAACTGATGGTTTAGATTACCTACCGTGCGACTCATCTCATGCAAGGCCTAAAACCGTACCACCGTGCCTTACCGGTCCCTTTTAGTGAAACGGGGAAGACGGCTGCATTCAAACAAAAATCTCCCAATCTAGAACTGTCTCCCTGCTGGGTTGCTCTAAATCTTATTGTTTATTTGCACCCACCGGGGCGTTTTTCCTGCCCGCAAGCGCGGCATTTGAAGTGCATATATATACTCGTCCAGGCGTCGAAGCGAGATGAAAAGTGGATCTGGGCTATTTTACCATGGCATCGCACAATAAAGAGGCCGTAGCTTTGGCCACAAATATTCTTATAATAGGAGGTCTGTACGGAGGTCTTTCGGCGTTAGTGGCCTTGAAAAACATCTTCAAACTGACGCCTCCGCCAAATCGGATTTCTATTACGCTCATCGAGCCGAAAGCGGGCCTACTCAACATTCTAGGGGTACCCCGTGCCATCGTGGACCCGGAGTTTGCAAAAACGCAATACGTTCCCCTCCAGAACCTCAACGACTTGCCGTTTGACCGCTTGGTCCTGGACGACGAGTACGTGCAGAAAGAGTTTGGATCTCAAGTTCGTCCCGACAACAACAAGCACTTTGAAATAACCTATATTCAGGGCAGGGTCAACGAGCTACAAAGAGATAAGGCTGCGTATACGCTTAACGGTGGCTCGCTGTCGACAATTACCTTCGACTATTGCGTCATAGCAGCAGGAAGAAACCGCCTGTGGCCTACGTCTCCAGACGCCTTCAACTACGAAAGCTACCTCCAGGAAATGACTAAATTCAACAATCAGGCTAAACTGGTCAACAAGATTGCTGTTGTGGGTGCAGGTGCCGTAGGCATAGAAATAGCCGGAGACATCAAAACCAAGCATCCGGAGAAAGATGTGATGTTGATACACCCACACGAAAAGTTCCCACCAGAGCCGCTTACAGACGCTTTCAAAGACATGAGCCGGGAGAGTCTCGAACGTGCTGGCGTCCAGGTGAAGACAGGGTTACGAGTGAAGCAGGAGTTGGAGAATCACGATTTGGAACTCACAAACGGCGACATTATTGAAGCCGACTTCACATACTGGTGCACCGCTTTCAAAAACAACACAGACATTCTCGTTGGCGATTTGGCCCAGTTTGTTTCGCCGGCCAACAACGTGCATGTCAACGACTACGGTCAGCTCAGCAACCAGTCAGTTGTTGAGAACATCTTTTGCATTGGCGACATGGTCGAGAAGCCTATCATCAAGTCCGCCGGCTGGGCGCTTTACATGGGTCGCCAGGTCGCCAACAACTTAGCCGGTCTCATATTCGAGGAGAGGTTAGTGGAAGAATTCCCAGATTTGACACAGATGCCCAGGGGAATGGTGCTTGTGGCCGGAAATGAAGAGATTGTTTCTGAACTTACAGGAGAGGTGGAGTTGAACCACAAGGGGTATGTTGAAGAGTACAAGGACTATTGTTTCGGCAAGGTGAGGGTGACTCTCGGGGCGTAGAGAAAGAGAGGGGAGACGGTTATGGTGGGACGCAAATATCAATAGTGCAAGCCAAAGTGAATTATTCGAGAGCCAAGGTATTTTGCTTGTCAAAGTCATCTGTGTATCCGATTTTCAGAAACTAATGTCTCCCGCTTGAGCCCTGGCGGTATAGGTATACCACCTACGGACAATAATAGCATGAAGAAAGTGGATCGACGTAGTATTAAAAAGAAAAGCACCCGCAAGATAGACTTATTATTATCATGAAGATCGATGTCGCCTCAGTACGACTTTTTGGCTGCGAAAGACGGAGCCTAGGATATAGATGTTAGACATGAGCAGTGATCGATGTACGATTCCATCGACATCAGCTGATTTGCCAGTCTCCGAAGAATATCATTAACTTCTTGAAGTGACTAAACAGGCCTTGAGCAAAACAACAAAGTGAAAGCTGATTGATACTCTTTTACGAAATCGTATAGATAAACGCAATAGAATCGAATTTAGTGCTGGTTTTCGAGAACTGACCTGAGAGGTCTAAGCAAAAGGGCATCTTTCGGTGATATTTTCTAAAAAGGCAACGTACTACTGGGCAATATGTCTTATTCAAAACAATTCTACAAATTCACGAATAAAGTTTCAGTAAGTCTAGTAGCTTCACTGATAGAAGTCCTCTGAGCATATTTCGCAGCCTACTGATTGCACCCAACCTTAGACACAGACCCATTGAGCAGCATTCCACCAAATATTCATTGAATCGTCTCACACATTTGAATCTAAATAACTATAACCAATCAACCATCAAATCACCAAAAATATTCACACCACCAAACATCCCCCTCCTCCGCGACATAGTCCAACTCACTTCGCACTGAAAACCTCACATCAACTACTCCACCATGAGCGATCCTTTCAGCAAAATCCTGTGGATGCTCGAGCTGGCTCGGGACCTCACGATCGAAGCGGCCATGCTGGCACTGAGCAGGCTTTCGGAAACACCCACGGCGAAAAGGCCCCAGGAAATCGTCAAGCTCTTGAACTCCAGAACCGACCGGGACGTGCTCAATGGAATGAAATGCGTGATGGCGTTGGTGGGAAGGGGCGAGGACGGCCAGCCGTTTTTTGCTGACGTGGTCAAGAACGTCACGCTGCCGCTGGCCCGTGTCCGGGCGTTGGTGTTGATTTATCTTCTGAAGTACGGAGAGAGCGAGCCCGATACGGCGCTTTTGCTGATCAATTCGATCCAGAAACTGCTTAGTGACAAGCTGGCGGTGGCACGTGCTGCGCTGATCAGGGCCTTGGCGGGGATCCGGATTCTGGAGATTGGTTCCTTGATCTTGCTCTGTATCAAGAGGACAGTCAGCGACCAGCTGCCCCATGTGAGGGCTGCTTCTGCATTGGCCATAGGACGTGCCTTCCACATTGACGGAATCAACAGGTCACAGTTGGCGCTGTTTTTGGCGGGGCTCGTGGGCGATTCTTCTGTGGCAGTGGTGTGTCTGGCGTTGAAAGTGCACGTCAAGCTTCTTCCGCTGCTTTCAGCGACATCTCCTAAGAAAGCTTGGGCTCCCATCCACGCCAATTTCCGCCGTATTTGCCGCCTTTTGCCTCAGATGGACGAATGGGCGCAGATCAGCGCTATCGACTTGTTCACAGAGTACGCAAGGAAGTTCTTGCCCAGACCAGAGCTCACGTTTGAGGACGGGCTGACCATGCCGCTTCCTGAATTTGCTGACTTTGCTTCGCTACCCTCATACACCGTGTCCCTCGATTCTGACCTTCAGCTTTTCGTGGACTCCCTCCGGAAACTCGTGTACTCCTACTCAGAGGCCGTCATCTTGTCCGTGGCCAGGGCCCTCATTTTGATCGCCACTCCAGAACACTTAGTGGAATTCGATCTCCCGAGAATTCTCACGAAACTCGCCACTACCCCCGTTTCCGGCTCCAGCGCTAGATCGTATGCGTTGCATGTGGTGGCTCATATTGCCCAAACAGCGCCAGCCGTTTTCGAAAAGTATTACAGAAAGTTTTACGTTTTTCCCACTGACGACAACACGGTTGCTTCCCTCAAGTTACATGCCCTTCCCCTTCTTGCGACCCAAACTACCGCCAAAGAGATCATCAAGGAGCTTCAATACAGCGCTCTCAACTCAGCATTCAGGCCCCATGTGGCCCACGAAGCAGTGCGTGCTTTAGGCAGATGCTCTCGTGCATCCAAAGAATGGACAAACCACATTTTGCGCTGGTGCTCCTTGCAAATCAGCAATGTTGGTGCTACTCCTATTGTCAGTGATCTTCTCACGGTGATCCGCCACCTTCTCCAGCTCAAGCAGAGCCAGGCAGGCTCGGACCGCTCCGAAATAGAGAGCGTGGTTCGTACCATCTACAAACTTGGGAAGCTCCTCAATGATAATACTGTGAGTTTCGATCCTGACGCAAAAGCTACAATCATTTGGCTCGTTGGTGAGTTCACCGAGGCAGCAGACAACCTTATTGGGCCCGACTTGCTCCGAAGAGCTCTCAAGACTTTCTCCAACGAACCTGAAAATGTTCGTTACCAGCTCTTGATTTTGGCTGCTAAATCGTATCTGTACGAGATACAGAAGAACGATTCGGAAACATTGGCGGACACTCCCATCGGCAAAATGTACGCCCATGTCTCCCAATTGGCCCACTACGATGCCCTGTTTGATACCAGAGACCGTGTGAGAATGTTGGACCAGCTTTTGTTCAAACCAAAGAATTCGAAGCTTGCGACCCTTTTGCTCCAGGTCCCAAAGCCTGCTCCACTCGTTGCGGTGAGCTTTGACGAGGACACTCCAGCCATCCTTCGGGACTACTTATCTGTTGAAGGCTGGGCTGATCCGGAGACTTTACCACCCAAGTCGATTCGTAAAGAAACTGCGGTGGAAGTTGTTCCAACCAGTTTCGAGAACGGTGCATTCCAAGAGAAGAAAAATGTTCCTACATCCTCAAGCCACCAGATTTCATCTGCACTGATCAAGAACCTCGCCCCGGTTCAAGCCAAGCCTTATAAATTGCAAAGCTTGGATGAGTTCTTTGGTAACGAGGAAACGGAATCTGAGTCTGAGGAGGAGAGCGAGGAGGAAGAGGAAAGCGACGAACAATCCGTCTCAGAATCAGGCCTTGACTCAGATTCAGATGAAAATGAAGAAGACGATGACGGCGAAGAAAGTGACGATTCGGCTAAAAGCGACGATAAGTTCTTGAACTAGTGGGTGCACGGGTGTACCCTCATCTAGCGAGTATGTTGGTGGATCAAGATTATTGCCATCCACACCATGTTATCCCAAGCATTTAAGAAGCAGATAGCCAATCAGATCAGGCATTACACAAGATACTCGAAAAACAGCCAAATATACTTGCACGAACTGCCTGGCAGAGTCATTGCGAATCTATCGCAGAACCCAGCAGCAACTGCGATTGGCTACTCTCCATCGACCGACATAGATCCCAACACCTTCCTGGTGAACAAAAAGTTCGTTGATTTGCTCAATTCTACAATCCATGAATCCATCCATAAGGACTTTACTTTCATCATCGAAGCGGGTGCCAGTGCCCTGACTTTCATGCCTATCTACGATTTCCGTGAAGTGCCCAGATACTCACGTACACCTGAAGTCGACAGCATTTTTGGATATGTTTTGGTTGATGATGGCGGCAAGATTGTTCCACAAACGTTTGACCCTAATTCGATGTACAGAGTGTGCAATGGTGCTGGGTTGATTAAGTTGAGTGACTACTTGCACGAGCAAATGAAGAACATTACGGAAGCTGAGGCCAAGTCGTAACTGGGTGTGCATTTTTTGGGAAATAATTTATAGACGAATCAAGCCAATTTCAACGAGAACTCTTCGCATTCGCCATCGGATAACTTCACAGGAGTCTGGATGTACTTACCATGGCCATGTCTACCTGCTGTATCGAAACACCACTTGAAGTTTCCACCAAAACCAACAGTCTTGGACTCCTTGTCGAACTGGAATTGGAACTTAGATCTGGAGTTGGAACGGTTACAGGTCAAATCGCCCTTGTCGTCGAAACCGCAGACACCCTTGGAACTCAACAAGTTCTTGCCTCCAAATTGAGAATCAACGATTCTGAAGGTTGCACAAGTTCCATATTCGTAGTGTTGACCGTTGCTTATGAGACAGCCTGCGTGGTCACTCAAACGAAGGTAGCCCCTTCTGCCGCTGGGTCCTTTGGAGGCTGGCCTGGTGGTGGAGAGAACTTACCCTTTGGCAAGAACTTGATACCATTTTCTGGGCAGCTGGACCTGGTGAGTGCATCAATTGGGATGAACTCTTCCAGCAAAAGAGAGCCCTTGAGGTGGTGGAAGTACCAGATCTCCTGAAGAGCGTTGTACTTGTTGCACTTGAAGTAGACGGTCTTGTCGCTAAATTGGGAGTTCAAGGCGTCTGCAATCTGCTGTTTTGTATAGGTGGCATCCAAGGAAGGGTGGATACCTGCTTGGGCCAAAAAATCAAACGTGGGGTACTTTTCGTAGAGACCAACAGAAATCTTGAAGAAATCGTAGACGTTCTCGTCGGTTTGGTAGTCGCTGTAACATTTGGGTCTTATGGTCTTAATGCACGTGGCGTGCTTGTTGAACTCGTGGATCCACAACGACTCGTCGTCACCATTGAAGTTCTTCCAGACCTTCTCCATTTTGTTTAACAACTCCTGGTCGTCGAACTTTGTAAGAATACGCTTGATCTCGCCTTTTGAGAGCTCAAGACTGTTGTCACAGAACTGCTCATACGTTCCGTCGCAATTGTCTGGCCACAACCCGTGCAACGTGAACGTGTCATTATCACCAATGGGAGGATAGTAATCCCAAAACTGTGTTTGAAGCATAACGCCACCGGGACTTTCGAAACAGCATTCGTTATTTATAGGCGTTGAATTGGTGCATGAAGCTGGGAGACCTTTCGGGCAGGAACCAAACGTATTCTCTAAAGGCAGCTGGGCCTTGGAGAAAGTAAAAGGAAAGGCGCTGGCAATGGATAAAAGTGAAAGTAATAATAGCATGAGTTGATAGGAAAAAGTGGGAATCTCAGGTTCTTATATGTGCTGATAAGGGCACGTGATTTGGGTCACGTTTTGATAAACCGCGTACCCATGTGGAGCCGCCGGATTGACGTGGTTAAGCTACAATGCGCTAGTAAATTATGTACATTCCGTTGAGGATATAGCTGTATAAGTGTAACCATAGTTTTTAAAACCCACTTGAGAACCCGTCGTTGCCAAAAATAGAAAAAAAGTCATTAAATGCAGTTGATGCAGTAATACAGAAAAGAAGTCAAACTCAAAACCAAGGGCCGTCAAGTAGAGACACTTCTAATCGCTTAGTATCTGTAGATGTCAGCCTTGAATGGGCCCTCCTTAGGGATACCCAAGTAGTCGGCCTGCTTGTCGCTCAAGACAGACAACTTGGCACCCAAGTGGGACAAGTGGCACTTGGCCACCTCCTCGTCCAAGATCTTTGGCAACAAGTGCACACCGACCTCGAAAGGACCAGACTTGGAGAACTCAGGGAACTTAGATCTGAACTCGTCGTTCTTGGCGTTGAAAAGAGCGATCTGGGCCAAGACCTGGTTGGAGAAAGAACAGGACATGACGAAAGAAGAGTGGCCAGTGGCACAGCCCAAGTTGACCAATCTACCCTCAGCCAAAAGAATGACGTGACGGCCGTTCTTCATCAAGTATCTGTCGACCTGAGGCTTGATGTTGACGACGGACTCGGCGTTGGCCTTCAACCAGGCAACGTCGATCTCAATGTCAAAGTGACCAATGTTACAGACAATGGCGTCCTCTGGCATGACGGAGAAGTGCTCACCGGTGATGATGTCACGGCAACCAGTAGTGGTGACGAAGATCTGACCGATGCTGGCAACCTCCTCCATTGGGGCAACCTGGTAACCAGAGACAGCAGCCTGCAAGGCGTTGATAGGGTCAATCTCGGTGACAATGACACGAGCACCCATGCCTCTCAAGGCCATGGCACAACCCTTACCGACGTCACCGAAACCAGCAACAACGGCAACCTTACCGGCGATCATGACGTCGGTGGCTCTCTTGATACCGTCAATGATGGACTCTCTGCAGCCGAACAAGTTGTCGAACTTGGACTTGGTGACGGAGTCGTTGACGTTGATGGCTGGAACCTTCAACTTGCCGTCCTTCAAGGCCTTGTACAAGTGGTGGACACCGGTGGTAGTCTCCTCAGACAAACCGAAACAGTCCTCCAACATCTCAGGGTACTTCTCGTGGACCAAGGTGGTCAAGTCTCCACCGTCGTCCAAGATCAAGTTCAACTTCTTGCCGTCCTTGAAAGCGAACAACTGCTGCTCGATACACCACTGGTACTCCTCCTCGGTCTCACCCTTCCAGGCAAAGACTGGGACACCAGCAGCGGCAATGGCAGCAGCGGCGTGGTCCTGGGTGGAGAAGATGTTACAAGAAGACCAGGTAACCTCGGCACCAAGAGCAACCAAAGTCTCGATCAAGACAGCGGTCTGGATGGTCATGTGAAGACAGCCAGCGATTCTGGCGCCCTTCAATGGCTGGGAAGGACCGTATTTCTTACGGATGTCCATCAAACCGGGCATTTCGTTCTCGGACAACTCGATGTCCTTTCTGCCGAAGGCAGCGAGGGAGATGTCGGCGACTTTGTAGTTAGTGGCTGGGGCAGACATTGTTAGAACTTTGTAGTAAAGGTGGTCTTTTTTTGGTGGGATCGCGACGCCTTATATACTTTGGGTGCAAAATTTTCGTCCTGCAGGAAGCACCCCGATCTAAACGACGCCCATCAGGGCACCCTGGTACCCGTGGGTGGAGGAATTTCGATTCTTTAAATAATTTTTTGAAAAAGTAAGCATATAGATTTTGGCAGTGCCAATTGCTGATTATTACCTCCAAAAGTGGCCGAAATCACATGTACAACGACAGGGTTCAGCTGCATGAGAACAGTGCCACTGGTACACCCGTACACCATTTTGCAGCCGGTCCATGCCAATCTAGGCCGATTTGGTCAAAGACGTGTTTTAGTCTGTTTAGGGCAGGTAATTTTCAGAATGGTGTATTTTTCAAAATCGCCAAGTTCAAATGAACTTGTCGACTTCCACTCATTGGAAAATTCGTATAAATAAGAAGGGCATCGCATCCCCTAAACGCTACTGCGCCATGGGCTATATGCTGGGAGTGTTGTTCCGGATTTGTGTATTTCCAAAAGTTGGTCATCCTTGGCTCGATTTGTATTGGTCTGACTGGACTCAATTGAGGATTTTGCTTTGTTTCTGGATGTTTTTTAAATTTGCATACTTGTTTTTTATCTCATGCAATTGAGAGTCGTATACGCTTAAACGACCACACATCAGAGCTTAGATGTAGTACTACACTAGTAGAAGGAAGACTTTTTCAATTTGGTAATATTGACATTATAGTGAACGCTTGAGTGGACTGATGCCCTTTTTATGGAATAGCAGTGACTTTGTAGGAGTGACCTTGTAGGAGTATGTCTACTTAGTATGCATATCTTGATGAGGATAAAAGGAAACCTTGCAAAGAGGAGAATACCAACTCGAATACCCAGTCGCTTCATATTATACATTGAAGAAAGCTGAAACTTCTTACTTATGATTGAGTCAATTGGCATGTTAACCAGATTGTCACTACCCTGCCTTTGATCATTACTCTATTGTGAACTAAATGTACATTTTAAATAAGCCATCAACGTCCACCAGACTAAAACCTCCCGGTGCCATAATCGTCCAAAACCTGGTTCATAGGGATACTGCTGAAAGAGTCAAAATACGACTCTGGTCCTTCGAAAAACGTGCCCATGACATCCGTCAAATTCGACTGGAAATCAAAATGTGGGAAGAAGTTCTCTGGCGGCATTTCGTCTGGAGGCAGTGGGAACCTGTCATCGTTGATTCCAATTCCCAGGAGATTTTCAGGCTCTCCAATGAATACAATTTTACTGTTGAGCGGGTTGAAGAGAGAGCTGCTCAAACCGTCTTTTTCTTCACTTTGGCCGAGCTTGATAAGATCGGCAACTGTTCTCCAGTACACCTCAAAAAGCGAAAGATCCACATTGTAGATGGGTGTCTGGAGCACACGAATGAGGTCAATAACCTGGTCATTGGAGAATTGCAATTTTGGCACCACAAGATCGGAGTTCCTGTTGAAATGGCGTTTGTAGTAACCTTCACTGGCTAGGACTCTGATGATGTATGTGAAGGTGGTGCCAATTCTCCACGCATAGCAGTATCTGTGGTTGATCTTGTGAATACCCAAAAGACACACTTTGCAGCATCGGGAGAGGGACCGCATGAGCACCTTGAGATGCGGAAGGAAGTATTCTGTTTTCGGTGTCTCCACGATCTGGTAGCCGAGTCGGGAAATAATGGCTGCAAAGAAACCAACGGATTTGTGCAAGAGATACTCCAAATGAGGATTCATGACAAACTGGTAAGCGTAGCGGAAGTACGGATGTGGTTTTTCGAGGAGAGTGGCAGCAAAGGGAATGTTTTCTTCAGCCAAAATCACAAACATCTTCTTGAGGTAGAAAAAGGCCAAGTGGGTGGATATCTGGTTCTCATAGAGAAGGAACAAGCGGAAGTAGCACAGGACGATGAAGATCTGGATGGGGATGTAGTACTGGAGCTGTAACAAGTGTGCTAGCGATTTGGGGTCTGTTTTGTGGAAGGACTCGTGGAAATCTCTCAAAGTTCCGTAGTGTTCGTGGAGACACACTTCAAGCTGGTTTAAGCTGGTGATGAATTCAGCGATTGAGGTTTCCTGGTTGATAAAGAGAATTTTCTTGAGGCACTCCTTGATTAGTGGCATAATCTTGTCTAGCGGACGAATGGAGGCTTCGACTATGGTATCCTGAGGACCGTTGGAGTTTGATGAATCTAGGAATGGAAATTTTGTATCGCTGAAATAAGCCAGCGACGTGAATGGCGTGCCAAATTTCACCGAATTAAGGTAGTCCTTGTGGGTGACAAACATCCAGAGTTTTCTTCTGACGTTGTTGAGTCTGGCGTTGTTCAAGGTATCCATCATTTTATCGGGTTCTCTGTTGAGGCCTATCAGATAGGCCAATTGTAAAAGCACACCGTTGTTCACCTGGTGCAGATCACGGCCTGGTCCGTCAGGGTCCTCTGGAGCAACTTCCATGTAAATTCTCATATAGACCACCAACTGCACCACACCTAGAGAGGCTCTATTGGAGACCTGGTACTGGTTGAGACAGAAACGGGAAAAATCGACAAATTCGATACCGATCGGGCACAGAAGCAAGTGGCCCTCTTTATCGTCGGTTCTTTTCAGCACATCGGTGTTTTCCAGCACTTCGTTGGATATAAGCGAAAGATAGCTCATTCGAAGCACCAAACACAAAATGCCTATAGTTGTAAGGTCGATTCGGCTCTCTACGTTGACCGACGAAACCGGCTCGTCGTGGTACGAAAGAGGCCCCAAAATGCGTTCGAGGTTGGATCTGAAGTGCACCTCATCTAGAAAAGGGAAGAACGGGTAGATGAAGTGGAAAAAACGGTCGATGTGGGTCCACACAACACGTTTTGACGGGAGAATCGCCATGAGGCGTTCTTCGTGAGAAGCATCCGTTTTGTCCTTGAATATGTCTTTGAATGTCAACCCCAAGGGGATGTTTTGCAGCCGTAGTTTGGCATTGGCCGGATCGAACCGCTGCTCCGAATGCTGCCGAATCTTGTCCAAAACCTGCACTGGAGCGTTGTCCCGAACCACCGTTTTCGTATAAACACTGGGCACTTTCACCCTCTTGGTGGGCTTGATATCCAAGATGAAGTTCCACACATCCGCTAGCGCCGGGTCTACCCGGACAATGGAGTGCCACAGAAACGGGCCGTGGTTCATTTCCTCTTTCGTCACGGGATCGTAGCTCATGGACGAGTAGTCCAGAAAAAAGGAGATTTTCTCCAGCGGACCGTTCAAAGGATTCACGCCAACCACCGAGGCGTAATCGGCGAAATTCGAGAGAAGTCTTGCCGCATGGACCGGCGCTAGATACACGGTCTGTTCCTGCTGGATCTGAGGAGGCGGCAGCTCGGCCTTGACGGGTTTTTCATCCTCGGGAAAGTCGTCGTTGTAGGAACACAAATGGGCCGTTCTGTGTTTTACACACGAATTACACGGGATGTTCCGGTCGCAGCGGACCTTCCGTGCCTTGCAGATGTTGCAGACGATGGTGGTTCTGCGGCGTTTTCGGGGTTCCATGGTGGGTGTTTCTGGTTGTTGATCCCCACACTGAGCTCATCGTGCACCTCTTAGTCACCAGTCACGTGGGGCGCCATTCGGCGGACCCAGGCGGAAATAATTAACTGGAGGGAGGTTTAGAAGGTGGTGGGGGCGTTTTGGGGATGTTGATTTTTTAAGGTGAATCTGTGGTTCGGAGTTTTTTGCCCGAGTCCGAGTAACTCCGTAAACGGCGAGGTTGCACCGGGCGCGGGGGATCTTCTAGAAAATGTGCCTGGGGAAGGAGATGTTTGAATATTGGGTTTTGGTGACTTTTCTTTTGGGGCACTTTTCAGATCTGTTGATGGTGTTGGTGGGGTGCCCGCATATGCCATGTACGGTGGTGGGGTCGTCGGTGCATCTGATGAGGGGTGAAGGGCTGGTTGGAAGGGAAGGGTTTTTGGTGATAGCGGTAAGAAAGGGTTTTTGATGAAAGTGGTGAAGAATGGGCTTTTTTTGAATTGGGTCATTGAAGTGCGTGCTGGGTTGGTATGGAGGGTTTACATTGGGGGTTGAAGGGGAGGAGTATTGCGGGAGGGCCATTGGTGAGGCTTAGTACCACGGTTCTGAAATGTTGTGGAATTGCTTAAAGGGCTGATCTTAGCGTTAGAATCATCACTCGATCAGAAATAATCTCGAAACTGGTTTCCAGTCGGTCGGTAGGGTTCCCGGATTCCCAGCATCGATACTTCGCTTTATCCGGAGGGCAATGTCACTTCATTAAGCATCCTTAATCGAAACTAAGCCTATGACTTTGAAGCCTTATCCAGAGTTTCTCTGGGGAAGTAGCTATATGTTCTGCGATGTAAAGCTGGCTATTTTCCCCTCTACCAGAGAACTTCTTAAAAGACTGCTACGCAGAAGAAGACTTGAATTTCATCCGATTTTCAGCATATATATTCTGTGGGTTTACCCCCATTCTACTGAGTGGTTGGCCTGCTGCACGATAAGTAGACAATCTGCGCAATGCAGTCGGTGCGTCGTCCTGCTTTATCGAGATCGACCTCGCAGTACCATGGCACATTTGCACCCAATATGGGTCTATATTGAATGGAAAAGTTTTGGAGGGATTTTTGCCAGAATCACGGCCTATCTTACTTAGTGTCACTTCGTGAACTGCTCCTATGGACTCACAAGACACTGGTACCGCACACCTACGTCCGCTTCAAATTTCTTATATTTTTATGTTTTCAACATGGGGGAGGCCTATTCCAGGGCGAGAATCGAACAAAGATCCCGCACCTCCAGGAGAAGCAAGCTGTGGAGCCTCTGCGTCGACTCGATCGAGGTCGCAAAGTGCTCGTAGTGGCTTTCAACAGCAGCACTGTAGAATGCAAAGTCGTATGTGCCCTTTGGTTCAGGACACTCGTAATTGAGCTTTTGGGAGAAGTACTTCTGATGCTCGTTGAAACAACGGTAGAACGCATCCATCTGGGTGTTGACGTCCCGAAGAATCTGAATCCTTCGACAAGTCTGGTTGTAAAGAGTAGTCACATCCAGGTCACACGACAGAATAAGACTGCCCATGTGATTAACCTGCTTCAATTGTGTCTCTAGCTTCTTTGTGGAGGCTGCATCGAAGGAATGACCGGCGCTGATTCTCAGAATTACCCTCTTCCGAAATGCAGCATGACGACGTGCTAGAGCCAGAAGCTCTAAATAAATCTGAGTAATCTGATTCCTCAAGAATATGTGTTTTCCACCCACAACAACAAGCTTCTCCCTGTGGGTGTTCTGGCATTCATCAAGATACTTCAAGGTATCCTGCAACAAGGTTCCGGCCAGGGAGGCCACCAGTCCGCCCATTTCAATCAGCTGTTTCCGGCGACTCAAGAATTTGAGCATTCTGTGGAAATTGGCACAAAGATCGTCATCGGACTGGCCGAACTTTTGGGCAAACGAGCCCACAGTCAGACGAACAGTGTCCCACTTTGTTGAGGAAGAGTTGAGTTCGGTTTCAAGAAAAGTGTCGAGTTTCTTGAAGTAGGGAGGCTTTTCAGGACCCTTGGCTGTTAGGATCCTGATTTCCTTCCAGCATCCTTCGAAATTGGAACCGATGGTTTCGATCTTTTCAGCGTGGATATCCAATACCTTTTCTGGGATACGCCGTTTTCCAATTCCGGGTGGCCCTTACGTTTGTTTCTGGGCTTTGAAACATATCCAGTGCCTGCTGGGGGAAAACAGGCTTTGGTTGTTCGTCTCTCAGAAAACCCAAAAGCCTTGGCCTTGAGCTTTTCCTTGAGAATCCGGGTCTCCTTTTTGGGGTGGGTGAATACCCGCTTGAGGTGGTACTTGAGGCCGTGCTTGGCGGTCGAGTTTTCGACTTTTGAATCTTTTCTAATATGGGCAGCCTTTGCAAGTTTGGTACCTGCGTTTCTGATGGCTGCCGAGATATCTCTGAAGCTGAACTGGGGGAAGAAGGCAGCTTCGCTTTGTCTGTGTACGTTTGTAAAGTGCATTGGGGAAGTGCTCAAACGGGAAAAAATGTGGTGGTGGGTTTTTTGGAAAATGGGGTTTTGGGCGGGTTTATATGGACAGTGTGGTGTTGGACTTTCCTAGTTGTGTTTGTGGTAGTAGGTGGTCATTCGTAGTGAGTGGTCACCGCTGGCACAAAATGGAAGGAACAGAGTGGCGGTCACACAGCAGAGGCGTATAAGGTATACTTACTGTAATTATAGTGTTGGAGAATAATTTGTCGTTCTGAAGCTATTTGAGGAAAGAGGTAAGTGAGTTGTATCAAGCACTCCTGAGTCCCGAATACCACTAGAAGGGGTATTCCATGTATTTGGGCAAGCCAATAATAACTTATTGGCTCTTATTTGAAATTGAACAATTCTTATCAATCGAGTAGTCTGTTGGTTGATCCTATAAAATAGGAGGGTGAATTAACCCACTGCCTGCACAATTAGCAAAGCGATACTTGGTAGCCCAGGATTATTGATTGCACGATGGAGCACTTTATTCAATTTATGTAATCCCAATTGGTCATAAACTTGCCTCAATGGCTACTGTGGTAGTTTCGGGATTTGAACTGGACTGTGCGTCTTTTGGCGACTGCTCGTGCGTCGGGGTATGCGCCCTAAACGCAGCCGCACCGACAGCCCCGGAACTGTGCCAACACAAGAGGTTCTTGCCGGCCATGCATTTGAATCACCGAAGTCAAAGCCCGAAGCAGCCCTCATATTCACCGAGCTTTTGAAGTTTAGCACCGCTCGACCCAACCAGGTGTACGTTTTTGATGATGGTTTTGGTGGTTGAAGTCTAAAGGCGCGGGGCTTGAACTCTATCGTTTTGGCTTTCCCACCGGTCTTGTTGGTTAACGAGGACACCTCTTGTTTTAAGCTCTCGGACCCTTCACTTTTGTCTGACGGAATACGTCTGAAAGAGAGATTTCTCCATACAAGGCTTCGGGTGTTTGTGCTTTCTCCAGAAGGGCTCAGGTCATTGGATATGGGATCTTCCGAGGATTCAGTAAGTTCTGCCGTAGTCTCCATGGACGGTATCTTGAAGGAAACCTTTGACGCTGAACAAGATTCCCAGCCATTGATCATGGAGCGTTTTTGCTTTAAATTTGGGGATTCTCTCTTCATCGAGAACCCTGCCGTTATGGAACTGCAAGACCGTTTACAGAAGGCCCCCAATTTCGTCACACGTTTCTTCGGAACAATTCCCATGAAACGAAGTTCCCTTTCTTCGTCCGAAAGATCTTCCAAATTTTCATCTTCCTCAAATGCCTCCTCACTTTTGGTGAATCCTTCAGTTCTGATGAACGGAAGACTGGCCCATCCGGAGGTGCTCAGTTGGAAAAGCCCAAACTCCTCAAAGTCTTCGTCTGTTGGAAAGGAAGTTGGAATTAATTCATGATATTTGGTTGGTGACGGTGAAAACAAAAACATGGTGAAGAAAAGTGTGGTATTTGCAGCTACTCAATGGCTGCGAAAAATGGTATGTCTATGAAAGAACGACTACAAGATACCAGTATGATGGAAATCAACAAACAATTATGGCTGTTCAAGAAGGAATTTCACATTTGAACAAGATACTGCAAAACCAGGAGAACTACGCTCTTTAAGCAGTTGCCGGTCATGATCCAGACCTGGTACACCATAAGCCATAGATTGCTTGAATGCTGCTTCTTCTCTCTATTTTCACATCTATTCAAACGTTCGGTTTGTCATAACTTTTTGTCAGAAAGTGAATGCGTCATCTGACTCCATGATCTTACATACGTAGAATGAATTTGTGACCTTTTGCCAAATACCGTTTATACTGAATCTATAGGCAGTTACTAGTCATGGTCCAGGCTACCTACTATAGATGCCATTGAGCTCTCCTTCATGATGCTGCCAATTCTTCTCTCTAATTTCTTTATACATCTGGACTCCCAGAGCCCTCTATCTTACACTAATTCACCACAACCACCTCATTATACCACCAACCTACACCTCCTCATATGACTCGTTAATTCGCCAGTGGCGGGGCTATATATCAAACTTGAGCCAGTCCAAGTCGCCGTACGGCTGGTTGCCCTTTTGTATGTTGCTGTTGCTGTCGTTGGCACCCTTGAGCCCATGTGTAAGCGACGAGTGTGTCGGCGTCGGCTTGATCTCGTACTTGCCGCCGACATTCACCATGTCCGTGTCCATCGGCACGATATTGTCGTCGTCCAATGGCGTCATCTTTTCATCCTCGTCGGCATGAAGGGAAGTGTACGTTCTGAAGAAATCGTCGTCCGCCATGGTGTCGCCGGTTTTGTCCGGCGAGTTCAACGTGGTGGGGTTTTCCGGGTTGAAGTTGAACGGCGTCACGTCAGAAGGCACAATAAACAGCTGCCGGGATGGGAGATGCGTGTGGTACGACGAAGGCAGCGGCGCTTCACTAGGAGCAATATTGTTGCCGCCGTTGGCGTTAGTTGTGGGATTCTCAAAATAGGTATTGGAAGAAAAGCCCATAACCGGCGTCGACACATTGTGGCGCATGGCGTTGGCAGCCAGAGGCACCAGACCACTGAGACTGCTGAGGTTTGTGAAAGCAGCGTTTCCAGGTGTTGCGTTAGCAGGCGTTAATGGCTGTGTAGGCGTCACAGAATAGCCACTGGGCGTTCCAACATACGACAGTTTTCGATGGAGGTTTGTGACGGAGGTTATTCTGTTGAGTGAAGAGGCCTGGAAGCCACGTTTGGCGATGGGGGTGTTGCTGTTGTTGTTGAGGGAGCTGCTCATCGAGAGCAGCAGTGGCACCCTTCTGTCGAAACCGTCCAGCATCTCGTTGATATTGATGTCTGACTTCTTCCGCTTGAATTGCAGGGTCGTCAGGTACGGCGACGACGGCTTGGAAAACTGCAGTTGGACGTTCAGTGAACTCACCAGATTCATATACAGCCCGGGCACGGAACCTGCCGCTGAGCCCGGGCCGATCCCGAAGGTTTCGGCAAAATCAAGACATTTTTGGGTCTTTCGCTGGAAAACAGTGCATTATAGGACCCAGCTGGAGCAATGTACAGCAGCGATCTGTTGATGGGAATACCCTCGTCTCTGTACCTGGCAAACTCCAGCGTCAGCAGTGTCCTATTAGGGAAGGAGGAGCCTCCAGACACTGAAGAAGAGACGTTTCTGGCAGCACTGGAGGCTCTTCTGGAACACCTCTTTTTGATAACGTCGGTTTTAAGCGACAAAGGACGCATAGTTCCGTGGAGCTTAAGGAACAAGCCGCAGGCGTTACAAAGCGTATTTCCTGAGGGATCCTTACGCCATAGCGGCGTTTTCACCGTGTGGCAGTTCTGGCACTCCGTGGGCTTCTCCTTATTTTCGTCTTTGGACTCGTCCTTCGGCGTTTCCTCCTTGTCCTTTCTTTCCTTCATGAGGGACGAGGTCAAATTGGAAACAGGCCTAGGTTCCTTCTTCTGTGATGCTGGCAGCGTGGGAACGCTCTCTTTGCTGGTTTTCATTTCACGTGGAGGACTTTGAGAGGAGTACACTTGCACGTTGGTGACGCCCTCGGAGGGCTCCTTTTTGATGACATGGCCTGCTTTGAATGTCAAGGCATCCGATGTAGTGCTGCCCGTAGTGCTGGAGCCCCTTCTTCTCGGGTCCGCTCCGTTTTCTTGAAGAAGTGCTGGAGAGCTGTAGTCCATCAGCGACGGCGTGATCTCCGTGAGTGGAGGCGCCAGGCGGTTCTTGGCATCTCTGGAGTTCAGCCGGGCGTGACTGCCCCTGAAATCGTCCACTGAAAGCGGCAGCAAAAGGTCCAAAACTCGAGAATCCACTGGTCCTTGAGTTTGCGATCCCAGGGGCCCCGAAGCGCCAACGTTCCGCTCAACAGAACCCGGCAGACCCAGTCCTTGCATGCTCAGGCCGTCTTTACGCCACTGGCGGTTCTCGACTCTCGGTTTGAGTGCTAGAAGCTTCTTGGCTTGACTAAATAGTTCCAAAATGGTCGGGCCCTGTTCCAACCCAGCCCGTGCACGGGCTTCGCTCGTCAGGCTCTGCGGGCTGTCCATGAAGCGGGGAAACGGGGAGTTTTATTGGATTTTTTTAGGGGGTTGTTTTGGGAAGTTGGAGGTGCTTTTTTTGGTGATGAAGACGGTGATGAGCGAAACCGCCGAAATAAAGCGGGATTGGGGAATAGACAAAAAAAAGGGTGCTGTCTTTGTTTGGATTTTTCGTTTCCGTTACGTTTCCAGGGCCTGCTTGGCTGTCAGTAAGGTATGGGTGTGATCTTCACTATGCTACTCACTTTTTTTTCTATGACACAATTTTATTTACCCTGGGCGTACTGCAGACAACCGCACAGTGCCATCACCCCCACGAACCTCCACTATGTACAAAGCGTATGCAAATGGTTCAGAAAAAAATAATAGGAAAAATAGTTTTGCCCTTGGAGGAACACGGTTGGAAAGGGTGCCACGAAGGCGTCATGTGATTGTTCAGGTGGGCCCCGTGGCCAGGTGCGTGCACAGTTTGCAGCCATAGCATCCACTGTGGATCCTCGAGGATCCCGTTCCGATTTTGGGGATCCTTAGGTTTTGGACTTCGTTTCTTGATGCTGGATCGATGGAGGAGTCCACTTCTGTTCACTAGAGGATATGTCAAACTGTGGCTCTCGGAGTCAGAACAGGGAATGTTATGAGCCCGATGAGCTGCGTCTTGACTTGCGATCCAGTTATGTTAGTGAATGGTTGGTTCCGATGTGACTATCATGATGCGGTCATCCCAATAAGATGGGTTCTAGATCTCCTGGTGGTTAAGGCAAGAGTCGCTAGTCATCATCCCATAATGATTCATGGACCATTCGATCTCAATCCAATATCTCAAAACCTTCAAAACGTCCAAATCTCGCAAATGTCCTTAATAACTTCAGGCGACGGCCTCCTCCTCACGTGGCTCCTCCTTGTGGTGGTTTCTTCTCCGCATACGGTCCCAGTACATGGTCGTGCTGTTGGACTCAGCGTGAAGTCTGTATTCAAAAGAAACGCCAGCCACACGCTCGGTGGATCCCGTGGCAGTCGTCTCCACGCAGTCAGAGCCCTGAAGAATTAGGTCACATTCACGAATCACACGCAAAATGGCATCACACATGATTCTTCTCGCCTGGAAGGGCTGCAAGGGCTTTTTGTCCTCGTCGTCGCCACGGCGACGGCCAAAATGTAAGTTGGAGTTCCACAAACTGACGATGTCTTCGTCACGGCGGATACTCAAGGCAAGTCCAGAGATATCGCTCAAAAGCTGCTCTTGAACATGCTTCAGGTACTGCTTGTCGGGAATAAGCGAGCCCGTCAACGTCCGGAGCACAAGTCTCTCCCAAATCATCGACGTTCTCTGTCTGACCCTGGCGCTCATTTCTGGGTCTTTGTCAGTATGGCCAGGATGGGAACGACGGCCAAAACGGAATACCCAGCGGCCTCCCTTGGCATTTATAGGGTCTTCCCACACGGGATTGATGCCTGTTTTGAAAATAAGGAGCTGTGTGCTGTGGTGCAACTCAAAAGCACGTTTGGTCTGGCTCAAACTGCCCCACAACTGCTCCACAGATGCTATCGTTTTGGTGGTTTCGTCCGGGTGGGCCACGTCACGGAATTCGATCTCGTTGGTGGTTTGGAGATACGAGTCCACGGCAGCAGAAGCCGAGGAGGTGTTGTCCTTATCGGCCTCGGTTTCCTCAGGCTTGACCTTCAGTCTCAGATGATGCCAAACCGTCCAGCAATAGGGTAAAACGTGGTGATCCTGTGGGACCTTGGCCACTGCTGCCTGTGCCTCCTTGACAGGGTCCCGTTTAGGCAAGTCGATGCTGGCAAGAGTCTCTTCCTTGTGGTGTTCATGACGATTTCCGTTTCCATGGTGTTCAGAGTTTTTCAGGTTGTGTTCTCTGCCCCTGCGATACAGCAGCCGGTGGCCCCTGTTTTCGTTTTGGCTGTGTCTGTGAGAATTTCCCTGAGGGGCTGATTTCGTCTCTCCCGGCTTGTTCTGGTTCATGATCCTGTTGAACAAGGACTCGGCTCTTTTCAAGTTTTCCGACATGGCGGGTGTTTTTGGTATCGATGGAAGCGGGGATATCAGGAGAAGAGAGTGACAGGAGAGGCCGGGTCAGCGGAAGACTTGGGGCGATGCACGGGGAGGAAACTGGTGTGAACCGTATGGTGATGGTGTTTCTCAGATTTTTTCTCGGTCGTTCTCAGCCCAATTTTGGCGGGACGTCTTTGGCAAAGTTGGGCCAGGCCGTTGGAAGATTTTTTTTACTTTTTTGAAAAAAAGAAGATTTTTTGAATTTTGGCGTGAAGTTGAAGATTTGAAGTGAAGGCCGGTGTTTGAATATCGGCATTTGCGAAAGATCTCCATCTCAGCAGAGTCACTGTGAGGTCAAAAGGCCCTCCATTTCCAGCACATCAACAAAAAGATGGATCGGATTTTTTTTTTTTTTTTCTTTTTTGAATCCTTCTACTTGGACTACTTAAAAGCAAAAAAGTCACTTTTTTTTTTTGTCTTCCATCTTTTGAAAACTTCTCCAACCATACATCACAAGATGCTACTACCAGAAATGGCTGCGAAATCATACAATGGAAGACCCCACAAGTGACACAATGGACCCCAATTCCCAGTCTACTCAGCCAGGTGTCATCAAATCCTCAAAATCTACAACTTTTTCTGTTTTTCGTCGGTTGAATATTCATACAGCAAACGTCTATTGGCCGTAGTAGTGCAAGTAGCCACCCAAGGTCTTGCAACCGTTGATGTAGTTGCTGACGTTCAACTTCTCATTGATGGAGTGGGCGCCGTCGTCACCACGGCCCATGGGCAAAAGAAGCACCTGTGTGCCCAACTCCTTCTCGAAAGTCAAGGTGATTGGAATCGAGCCACCTTCTCTGGTGAAGTCTGGCTTGACGTTCCAAACGTGCTCAGTGGCCTTGGAGGCAGCGGTGAAGGACTCGTTGAAAGGATCGGACTTCCAGTAGTCACCGTCGTGGATCAACTCCACCTTCATCTGGTTCTTGGACTTGAGCTGCTTGAACGCCTTGGTTACATGGGCGAAAACCAACAGGTCCAATTTGGCCAGGTCAATGTCAGGCACGGTTCTGATGGAGAACTTACCGGTAACCTTGGCAGGAATGACAGTCTTAGCACCAGCACCAGAAAAGGCACCCTCCACACCGTGGATCGACAAGGATGGGTATCTCCAGCGGTGCTTCAAGATGTCCTTCTTGTTGTCGTACAAAGCGGTCTTGGAGCCCAGGGCAGCCTGCAACTCGTCCACGGAGAAGTCAATGTCGTCGTAGAGAGCGTCCTCTTCAGGAGTCAATTTAGCCACCATCTCGTCGATGCCAGGAACCAAAATAGTACCGTCAGAGGAAACCAACAGCGAAAGCACCTGGACCAAGTCGGTCATGGGTTCGGCGACCACACCGCCGAAAATACCCGAGTGGAGATCGGCGCCAGGGCCGGAAATCAGCACCTGGTAGTAGTTGCATCCACGCAATCCGTATGTCAACACAGGCTTGGTGGTGCCCAACCAGTAGTTGTCAGAAATACACACAGCGTCCACGCCCTTGAAGTAGTTCTGGGCTTCACGGGCAATGAGACCTTCAAGACCCAAGGATCCAGACTCCTCCATGCCCTCGAAACACACCACCAAGTTGACAGGCAATTCCCAGCCCAAGGCATTGTGGGCCTCCACAACGTTCAACCAGCCCATAACTGGACCTTTGTCGTCGGTGGAGCCTCTGCCGTACAAGATGCCGGCCTGCTCGTCGTGGGTCATTTCAAAAGGCTCCGAGGCCCAGCCGTCCTCCAAGCCAGCAGGCTGGACGTCGTAGTGGCCGTAGACCAAGACGGTTTTCTTCTTTTCGTCGTTGCCGAAACGGGCCAACACAATGGGTGGCAAAAGCAAGTCGGGGTTGCTCACTGGAGGGGGCTGTTTGCCCAAGTCCTTGAGCTGGATGTCGGCGAAACCCAAGGTGGTGAGTTCGTTGACTAGGAAAGCCGCCATTTCCACCACTTTTGGTCTGAGCGATTCGTCGGACGAAACCGAGGGAATGGCGATGGCACGGCGCAAGCGCTCGATGAAGGCCGGCTGGAGCTCGTCGATCTTTTCAAAAAGGGGCTCCAAGGCGAGTTTGTCAAACAGCATGGAAGAAGAAGAGTAGGGAGTTGGAGGAAATGTGGAGGAAGGAAACGCGAAGTTGGCGAGGGATCGGGCCGGAAGGGATGGCAATTGGCGAGGAAACGTAAAAGTAGGGGGTTCTTTGGAGAAAAGGAAAAAAGAGAAGGGTCTGGGGAAGCGGGGGATCCTGCTGTATTTATACTTTTTCTTGTTTCCGGGGTATGTGGTAATAGGAGGGGCGCTAGTGGCTGCCGTACGGCACCATGGACGGCTGCGACTGAAAAAGGCTGGAGGCTCGGTTAATGAAGGGTAATGGGGCACATCAAAAATCGATTTATGAAAAGAAAAATAGTATGTATATGAGCAATAAAAAAGGAATTGAATGAATGTTTTTTGGTGTTGGGGTGTGTTTTGGTCAAATTTTGAAGGGCATTGGGATGGGTGGTTTTGTGGAATCTTCATCGAGAAGTGCCAGACTGCGAGGCTACCTTCAAACCTATATTGACATGGAAATAGTTTTTTTAGTGCATTTCAAAATGGCTCAAAGCTGTCTCTCTTTAGACTTTCGTTGAATTTTTAAAAAATACGCCATTTGGCCCTGGAAGACGTACGGCACGAATGGTGGAGACTACGGCGTTCGTGAAAAGCTGGTTTTCGCTGTCCGCCATAGTGGTGGTGAACTTTTTCATTGTCGGCGAGTGGCCTCAATTTCCGAAATGCGCCATTTTTCTGGATGGTGAAAAAGTACCATTCACCTTTTCAATTGGCATGTAGTGATTGTCTACCGGAGCCTCTGTAGTTCACATTGCCTGGCATTGGCAATACATGACTTAGAAGTTGGATCTGTATTGCTTCTAGGGTCCAATGGTGCTGTCGATTAGTGTGTCTTTTGATGGTACAGTTTGTTAAGATGTCACCTCGGAGTTGGTCCGGTGGCTTGGAATGGCTGCAAACGCGGAGGTGAACTCCGAGAAGAGAACCATTTCATCCAATTTCGCAAATAAGCGGCGGCAGTTTGTTCATTTTTATGTCGGGCGACTTTTTATTCTGGAATAAAGTTTAGGGAGTGTACTTTCTGCATCCACCTTTGAAATCGTGTTGGTGAAGTGCAACTAAAGATCTCTTTCGTTGGATTCACGAATGATAAAAATTGGAAAAGAATAGGAACTTCCGTTTGCAAGATGTCATTTCAACAAATTTGATGACTATTCAAAAACCTTAATTTATGTGGACAAGCCTTGCAATTTGTGGGTATTCTGCATTTCTCCATTACATTTTCTATACGCAGCGAATATTCAGCTCCCCCTTGTAAACTTCACCCCAGTAAATACTGAAAATTCAAGAAATATTCCCAGGTTCTCAAAATGATCACTCTATCCATCGCTTTTATTCCAAATTGTATAAATGTATCCCATACTATCCTTCATTTTATGGGCCTCTTTGATGCACAAAGCTCCTCAACTGTACTGACAAAACTGGCATCAACAACAGCCTACCTTCTATTTCATTATGAGCGACTCATGTCTATCTCGGTTTGCCCATTTCAAAAAGTACGATTCCCCTTGAATCAATTTGATCATCTTCGATCGACCTTATCAGGCCACTTTCGCAGCCACATCCACCCATCCCTTTCTCCACACTCCACGATTCTTCAGCTGAAACCTTCAAAATGAATTCCCCGATTCCACCCAAAACGCTTCTTCCAAATACCTCCCGACTTTTTCTCCCCTGATGATTTTTCAAAATCCCACCCTCCTTCTCAACCCACCTACACCATCACCAAAATACGCGCGATCAACTATATGAGCAGCAGCGAGGAGATTCTGAGTGGAACAGACGATGACGACATTCTCGAGGCGATCCGGCCGGGCGGAAGCAAAACGATAAAGCGCCTTTCGCCAAAGCCAATTGTGAAAAAACCAGAAGACGACGAGATTTCAATCCCTGCCATTTTCCTTACTCAGGGAGCCAAAAACACCAGTCTTCTAAAGAAGGCCAAGGAGATCTCGAAACACATCGAGGAGGAGAAGGAGAAAACTGAACGGCAGCAGGAGGAGCTTGAACGAATCAGGAAGGAGGCACTAGCGGAGTTGAACGAAAACGGTCTGGCCTTGAATTACACATACAAAACAGGCCATTCGTTGATTCAAGCGTATGTGCAGAGCCACTACGCCAACCACTACTCCTTGAGAACTCACAGGCACTTCTTTTTCTTTGGAGACTGCTATCGTCCGAAATTGGGTGATGTTTCCGATGAAAAAGCTAGGGTTATAGAGACCTTGGCGTTATGTCTAGATGAGGGCTTATTTCCGGCGTATTCGAGGTCACTCAAAGCGATGGGCGTCACTTCCATGGACATTGCTGTGTACTTTATCGATACATGCGTGGACGAGACCGTTTTGGAGGGTGTTTTCCGGTTTCTTCAGCAATATGATGAAAGAAGCGGTGGCTTGGACTTCATGGAAGGAGTTAGCGGAACCAAGGCATCTCACGAATTGCCTTTGAAAATGCAGCATTTCAACAATACCGTCCGTCTTTCGCTTCTACGAACGGCGTTGCTATTTGAGTCTTGTGATGCCTCTGGTCATTCAGAGTCCTACCTTCTCAATTTCGTGCTTGCATCTTCCGACTTTTACGCTAACAGGAGGGAACGAAATTCGCTTATAGATCTCATCATCAAACCGGTTTTCAGACGTGTGGTGCTGCTAGATTTGGGCCTGCAGTTGTGGGACATCTTGATGAAATTACAGCTTCACTTTTTCAACAAGAAGCCCGATGCCAGCAAGCAAAAACACTACGAGTTGATCTTCGATTTCTTGAACAACCTTCATACCGCCTTCAGGCACGAAAAGGGCGAGGCAATCGACGTTTTGTATCTGCTTATTCGAGGCTTCCTCAAGGATCAGCAAACGCTAGACACTAAAACTACAAATGACATGATCACCATTGAGGAGATCAGTCAGGTCTTCAATGACTCCCTACCGAATCTGTCTTCCTCCGATCACGCAGCTCAGGCAAACCCAATCTACAGCTATGTCTACAAGACCAGAATTTGCACCAAGCTTCTCACGGAGCTCCTCTACTCCGATATCAACAAAAAACCGTTTTTGAACCTCCACATCCAACTCCAGACCCTCAAAGATCGTCTTCAGCAAGACATGAGTCATTGGCTATTCCTCAGCAACGACATCCCATACAAAACGGATGTTTCAGCGGCATTGAGCGAGGCCTACCACACCCTCGACCACTTCAGCACAGTACTCAACAAAAACATTCTGCTTATTCAAAAAGACATTTTCTACGAGGACCCTAATTAGCAACCATCCAAGAAATCGGCCCCGGAGGGTCCACGTGGTGTACTGGTGTGGCTCTCGGCTATTACAGCATGTATACCGATAAGAGTCACCTACACTCTTTATCCAATATGACCACTTCCACGGAGAAACCACTTGTTTACGAGAACCCAGAAATTGATGGCCAGAAGCCAGGAACCACCGTGACGTTGCCATATGGCCACGGACCATTGCCTGAGGAATTGAAGAACAAGAAGATCTTCTTCTTTGACATCGACAACTGTCTCTACAAGCGTTCCACCAAGATCCACGACATGATGCAGGTTAAAATCCACAACTACTTCAAGCAAAACTTGCAGTTGAACGACGATGAAGCTCACGAGTTGCACATGAACTACTACAAGACGTATGGATTGGCCCTCGAAGGATTAGTCAGAAACCACCAGGTGGACGCGTTAGAGTATAACTCGCAAGTGGACGATTCGCTTGACTTGAAGTCTGTCTTGGGCTACAACGAGGAGTTGCGCAACATGATTATCAAGATCAAGGAATCTCACCACTACGACGTATTGTGGCTCATCACCAACGCATACAAGAACCACGCCTTGCGTGTGATTTCGTTCTTGGGCTTGGGTGATCTTTTCGACGGTTTGACCTTCTGCGACTACTCCGAGATCCCCATCATTTGCAAGCCGATGGACGAGTTCTTCTTCAGATGTCTAGACACCGTGCAAGTGGACGCCAAGGACCCGGCAGCCTTGTGGCAGCTCTCGTTTGTGGATGACAGCGAGATCAACGTCAAGGCGGCTTACGACCTCGGCTTTGGCAGCGTGTACCACTTCGTTGAAGTTGAGAAGGAATATGAGCAGTTGAAGCAGAAAGACGACTACCTGACTTACTACGAGGGAGACAGGAAGATCGTCGTTCTTCGTGACATCCTTGAGCTTCTGAAGTACGCCTAAGCAGCTGCGGTATGATATGAAGGTGAAGGAAAAATGAAAACCTAGCGGTCAATTCCGAATACTACTAGGTGGGCGCGCATATAGATATAAACTAGATTCCACCCAGATGGCGAAAAAGAACATAGAGTATACAGCCAAGGTGCTATTTCTCCATGGCTACACACAGCTGGCTCTGGCGTTTTATGCCAAGACACTGGCTTTAAGAAAAAAGCTAGCTCAGTACAAGCTTAAAGCAGTCTATCTCAATGCACCCATTCAACTTTCACCAGCTGAACTTCCAACCACCGATCTGCTTTCCAAGTTTGGAGCTGTAGGTGGAGATGACGATGCCTTGAAGTACCGTGCCTGGTGGGTCAAGAATCCCGATAATACATATGAAATCGACTCTGCCATCGATACCGTGAAGAGGTACATCAAGGACGGTGAATTGCTCAATGAGGAGGGAGTCTTCGAGAAAGAGGAGGGTAATCTTCCTCTCAAAGGCATTATTGGATTTTCACAAGGAGCGTGTTTTGCTGGAGCCTTGGTCCACAAGTTCAACGAGCTTTTCGGCATCGACCTTGACTTTGCCGTGCTTTACTCTGGATTCAAGATTGACGTTTCGCTTATGCCAGATTTCAAAAAGTACTACACGGACGATGACGGTGCTCTGACAAAAACTCGTCTTTTGCATGTTGTGGGAGAATTAGATACAGTGGTTGGAGAGGATAGGGCATACACTTTCTATGAGACCAGTAAGAAGAACCTGGACTTGTTGAAGCATCCTGGTGGCCATTTTGTGCCCAATTCCAAGTTGCTTGTGGACCAAGTTGTCAACTGGGTCCAGGGTGCCGAGAAGGAGGAGGCCAAGAAGGAGGAGTCGAAGAAGGTGGACGATGTGGATGACATTCTTGCCATGATGGACAAGGTGGGTGTGTGAGGGATCTCTAGGCGTTGGTAGAGATGGAGCTAGAGGGGAATAGCCTTGGTTTTGGGGCTTAGATTGACTTTGAAGAAGAGGTCATGGAAATCATGGATCCAAAGTAGAAGGCGATCGCCAGTCTATAGATATTTATACAATTGAGCAATCAACTTGGCGGAGGGCCAAAATAGGCTCTTAATTGAAAAAAGAAGTCATCTGCTTTAAGGATCAGAACTTACCTTCCAGCACTATTCACGATTCATTGAGTATCTAAGAGCCTAGCTGTAACTTGGAACTTTTATTCTCACAACTGACAAATAACACCAATAAGTACTTCAAGTGGCACTTTTTATTTCCGAAAAATGACGAATTCCCGGCAATCAGAACTTCACTGGCAACTTCTTTTCCAAAATCCACCAGATATCGCTCACCTCAGATCTCCCCCACCACTAAAGCTCATCGTGGACCCGCTCGCCTCTATACTTGGCGTAGTACTTCTTGTCCTTCTTCGAAAGACCGCCCTCCGATGGCTTGACACCCGTCTGTTCCTGAACCCAGGCCTCCATCTCGTGCTTATTGGTGAGCTTTCCCTTCAGATAACGAGAAAACTCGCCCTTTTCCGAGTCCCACAAAAGCAAAATCGGAAGCGTGTCGCCCTCCTCAATAGGCAACTGCACCTTTTTGCCATCCACAGTCACAGAGGCTGGTTCAGCGACATCCGTCTTCAAGTACCCAAACGTCACTTTCGACAAAAAGTCAATGGCCATCGTTTTGTAGACCGGCGAAATATTCGTATTTTTCAGAAGAAGCACCACGCGTGGTCCCTGGCCTTCGAGAAACTCCGGAAGTCCCTTCAACCCATGGATCCGATCCACGTAGTTCTTGATTCTCGTAGACACATAGTCCGTGATGGCCTTGAGCGACCGCTGGCCGTTGTACGGTTCAGGCACGTGCTTCAGGTTTGCCTTGGCCTTGCCCGGGGCGTATTTGGGCGGTCTGAACAGCATCAACGTAGGGAAGCCTTGGACCCTATAAGCAGCACACAAGGGCTTGTTGGACTCCTTGTCACAGTTGACTGCCGCAACGTGGACACCGTATTTCCCTTCTTTATGAAGAAACTTGCCCAATTTGTGCCACACGGGCAGCAACTGTTTGCAGTAACCACACCATGGAGCGTAGAACTTCACGATGGAGGTGTAGTTGGAGCGGTGGACGACTTTGTCGAAGTTCAGCGGCGTGAGTTCGTAGACATTGGGGTCGTTGGCGTAGACGTCGCCCAGCTCACGTGAGGCCACAAAGAGGAATAGGGCAGCTAGGACCCAAAGACGAAGAACACTGAGCATGGTGGTGGAAATCGCGAAAGTGTAGATGGTGTAGGTTCGAGGTTTGGTGGAGGTACGGTGGGTGGGTTGAGCATTTTAAGAAAGAAGAAAAAAAAAGAACAAGAAGGGGAAAGAGAAGTGTTTATATGATTTACAGAAATCTGTTAAGGTGGGTGTTGTTTTGGTTCAAAGAAGGGTGCATTGGTGGAGTTGTTTGGGTGGGTTCTGTGAGTATAGAGCGAATGAGTATCATGGTAATCTGTATTCGTTCCCTGTGTAATTTAATAAACTGCTCTTCCTCATTATTTGCCTCTCTAGAGTTGAGATATTACCCTGGAATTTCAGACTGTAGCTTTGGGTTCGGTTGGTCCACTTAGTGGCTGCAAAATGGGGACAGGCACATATAAGCACACGACTGCTGATGAATTCAAAAAAAAAAAGAGATGTGCTTTTGATATTTTCAATGGCCCTAATGCCAACACAGTGTATAAACGAAAAATTATGTTCTCCCGGTTCTATTGTAGTTGCTCTGGAGAAGCATCGTGTTTTTCACATTGCTTATATGACTACAGTTCAGCTTATAAGGACTCTTTGATCCCTTTTCTTATTTTTTTTTTCCTTTTTTTTTTTGTTCTTTTATTCTGTGATGGCCCTTTTGATTGCTATTTTATTGATTCTGTACTTTATTATCAAGATATAACATCACCAACCAGAACAGTGGTACTCTAATCCTCGTTGTCAGCAATTGAACCTATGATCCTAGCTAACTTTACAACTCCCTCACTTTGCTCTTCCTATAAGTCTGTATACTTGTTATGCCTTGCTCTATAGCTTTGCTCTCTTGGGACTTCCCGCAAAAGCAAGATTTTCCAACCGAACCCGAGAATCTCTCTCCTTCTGCTCAATGCCACTCATTCTGGGAACTTTCGCCAGAACAGTCGAGAAAATCGTCACAGAAGCATCGTCCGTGATGGTCTCACACTTGTGCTGATGGTAAAGAAGACCCTTTCTTTTGGCCTTATTCACAAGACCCTCAGTGACTAGACCTGGACTAAACCTGAATCTGTCGAAAACCTCAATGGATCTGAGACGCTCAGTCTTCTGTCTTTCGCCTAAAAATGGGATATTTTGAATCTTGGGCTTGTCAAAACAAAGCGAGCCAACCTGGACTTCAACAAAATTCTCCAAAGTTTGTGTCCACGAAGAATGGTGGAGATGTAAAAGTGTCACCTTCACCTTGATGCCATAACTTCTCATGGAGTCGTTGCAGTAAAGAGTGGGCTCTAAAATGGGCAAAGCGCCTCTCAAAAGCTTTGGAGAAACAGGGACACAGTCTTTTTCTGAATCGTCAGATTGGCCCAATTTCTTGAAACAGTCTCTGCTGGAAATAGTCACATAACTGTGCTTTGTAACGGGTTTCAGCGGAAAGAAAATTGTGTTTTGCTTTTCGTGTTTTGTATAGGTGAGCCTGTGGAGCTCGACTGTGACGTTGGTGATGACGAGATTTGCCTTATCTGTGCTTTCCAAACAGACATCTAGAAAACTGCTGATTCTTGTTTTGGGAACCACGATTCTGCTGCATTCGTGAGACCCATAAAAGGGCAGGAAGAAGTCAGAATTCATTTTAATGACTGCTCCATCTGGACCGGTAATGCTTGCCTGATTCGGCTTACTCTTCTCTCCATAAAGTGCTTTTGTCATTGGAAAAAGCTCCTTCTTGTAATCAAACTGTCTTCCGTTGCAATTGAACTCACAGTATCCATGAAAGGACTGGAACTTTCTCGAATCGCCACGAACCACATATTCAATCCTCATGGGTCTTTCCTGAGAAGGCTTGATCCGAGCGGTTTCTTCATACAAAGAAGCATTGATCTTTTGTGCTTCGGCAGTAGGACCTGCAAAACGAAATCTGGCTTCTGTGATGGCACAAATGGTATGAGCGGTTTCAAAAGTCTGGGTGGAGTGTCCCACATAGCTGGCTGCAAAATGCTCGATTGTATCATGAACAGAATTTGCAACCTTCAGCGCATCAAAAGAATCTTTGTTGAATTCTTCGAGCACTACAAAACTTTCAATATGGCAGTCGGACATGGTGGTGGATGATGAGAGAATCGGAGAAACGGTTTGACTTTATAGGTACAAGTGGAGGATTTTGTGGAGTTTCCATATTGAGGTGATGGATGAGATGGTGAAAACGGTAGGTTCTGTAGTTGTGGTCATCCAAACTGACTTGCCCGCTATTCCATTAAAATTGAGATAATTTGGGAAATAGGAAACTGGAAGGTGGACATAGCCCCCATATTCTGATTCAATGGACTTGGACCGTAGGTAGTACTCATACTGACCCCGAGGTTGACGAATCAGTTTATTCAATTGAGATCACACTTTTGATCAAACAATCTCCTGTTTTAGATTGTTCAAGCCCCTCCCTCTCCCCCTCTACTTGATATCCTACAGGGTTCACTCACAGAGCATTCATTATGCAACTAGATATACACGCCGAAAAAGTTGGCAACATAGATGGAGCCCAAACCGATGGAGACAGACGCAACGGCAGCGCTGCTGAAGTACTTGGCGGGCGAGCTTCTGTTAAGGAAGGCCAAGGCGAGAGACACGAATGCTGATTGTTAGTATTGTGTGGTGGATTAGGTCAACAGGGCATTGAAGCGGTTCATTGGTGAATTAATGAGGTGCACAAGTAAGTCTGGGGTGATTGGATCAGTTGACGTATCTTCCTCGAGATCCACGTCGTATGGGCCAGACGTGTCTTGTCTGAAAAGTCACAGAATCCGACCAAACCATGAAGATTGCATGCAAAAAGCACGAAATCTCCTTCCATAATCTTTCTCCGGAGAACCCATCAAGATTTGACAAGCAATATTTCGCTTTTAGCGCCCCCCTGACGCCATTCTCTGAAACTCAAGATACATACCTAGAAGCACGAGAACCACGGTGATAACGGTCTGCTGCTGCTGAAGAGCAGAAGGAAAGATCTCCAGAGATCCTCTCTTGAAAAGAGCATCGAGGTCAGTAAAACTGACGATATTGTCTAGGGTCTTTTGCACGTCCATTGTGGTTGAGGTGTAAGTAGCGTGTTGGAGACAGATAAACCCGTGGTGCACGGGTGTGGCACATCCTATACCCCATTAAAAGGCATGATCCGGGAACTAAATGATTTTGATAGCTAGATTTTAAAAACCTTCGAATATAAATTAGTAGAATCGCCGAGTTTTATGGGATTTCTACGGTGGCTTCTTGTCTAGTGTGGGAGCCTTTTTAACGCCAGGTACACTACTATCAACAGTTCGCAACTACACCTTCTTTATCATGTCCTGGGGCTGGAATACCATAGATTCTGACGCGGTATGTGACTGACGAGGCTCACGTGACCTTTAACTTTATACTAACAAGAGCAGGGCGTTTTCACGGAACTTGTGGAGCGTTTGGGCGTTCAGAATGTCCAGTTTGACGAACTCTATGCTATAGATAAGGAGTCTCTCTTGGCTGCTGCACCCGTGTATGCCGTGGTTTTCTTATTCAAATACAGCAAACTCGACCGTGAGTATGCCGCTAAGAAATTGCCTCTTGACGGAGAATACGATACGGAATACGCTGATAAGGGTATCTTTTTCGCCAACCAGACCATCCAGAATGCTTGTGCCACACAGGCGGTACTCAATTCGTTGCTCAACAAATTGGATGATATCGATATCGGCGCAGAGCTCAATAACTTGCGTGCGTTCGTTGCTGGCTTTGATCCAGAAATGGCTGGAGAAACGCTATCCAACTCTGAGACCTTGAGGTCTGTGCATAACTCCTTTTCGGCACCTAAATTCATTGATAGCGACCAGCTCCCACCGCCGGATCTAGATGACAAGGATGACGGTCTTTTCCACTTCATCACATACCTCAACATCAACAACACCGTATACGAGTTAGATGGCTTGAAACAGTATCCAATCAAGCACGAGACCTTGGATGCGCCAGACCACTTCTACGATGTGCTTCCCCGCGTGTTGCAAAGGCGTATTGACAAGTACCTGGGCGAAATCCGTTTTTCTTTGATGGCCATTACGAATAACAAATTGGAGCAGTACAAGCACTTGAACGACGAGTTCAGCGTACAGCAGGAGCTTCGTAAGCGTGAGACGTGGAAGCAGGAGAACATCTTTAGAAGACACGATTTCCCCAAGTTGACAGTGGCTCTTTTGAAGAATATTCTGCAGAGTATGAGTGATGATGAGTGGGAGGAGCTTCTTGAGCTGGCAAGAAAGAAATCCCTAGCACGTCAATCTCAGGGGTTTTACAAGTGAGATGAATAAAGGGTTAGCGAAGGTGCACAGGGCTCGAAGAGGACCAAATCAAGAAGCGCATTTGGTATCAATGAAAGGCATCATCACATTGCATCATTCCAATATACCCCAACCTAGCACTCGAGGTGCTGGAGATGTGACCATTGCCAATGAAAATACATATCACCCTCGCATGCCTTGATTACTATACAATTGAACGCTTGTCTGTATTTGGAGCCGATTCGACGTTCTGCAATTGTCTACTCCCAGTCGCTAAAACTCAAAAAGCCTCCACCACTTCTGGAGTGCCTCGAGAAATAGTCAAAGTCAATACTCACAGCATTACCCAACAACACCGCACGTTGATCTAGTGTCAATGGACCAGCCACGCTAGGGTACATCAGACCCATTCCGGCGAATGCAGACGGGTCCATTCTGACAATGTAGACACCGGTATCTGTGAAAAGCTCTCTGCCCAATCCGACCCAATTCCTATCCACGGACGCAATGACGTCGCCGTTGTTGTTGTAAACAGGGAAGTCGAAGGCAAGGAAGCCGGAGTCAATTGCTCCGTATTGCTCATATTCATCGGTTACTTCATCCTCAAGCTTGAACAAATCGTACCGTCTGCGCCACAAGTGCCATTTCTGAACCGACTCTCCAACAATTTCGTGCATGATGTTCCCCCTTTCGTCGTATCCGGGTAAAAGCGCTTTGATATGCGAATTGATGAAAGAAAACGGTCTCTTGATGGTGAGGAGCAAGTCGCCGTAGTTGTTGAAAACCTCAAGCTCGAAGGGACGATGCAAACGGAAGAATTGACGTCCAATTGCCTTCATGATGCCGAAATCCTTCTCTTCCATGTAAGCAATCTGGTCACCATTGGAGTTCATGATCTTATATCTGTTTGCCTGTTCAAAGCCAATAACGACGTTCATGAATTCCACCTGACGTTCAATTACCAAAGTAGGCTCTTTGAGAATATCGTAAATTCCATCGTGCTCTGTAATTATGCCGTTTTCATTTGGTGGCACTTCAAAAACCGTTCTGAATTGAGATGGATCATTCTGAAACGCCAGAGGGTCCAGCGAGGGATTTTCCTGGTAGTAAAACTGAGAGCTGCCATTTTGGGAGCCGGTATTCAGTGCGTACTTCTCCTGGTAGCGTCTGACCTCTTCTGGGCTGATTTCGTTAACCTTTCTAGTCTTACCTTGGTACCTGACGAGAGCCAGAGACGAGGTTTTGAGGGACCTGGAAAAACGGGGAGCCGCAACAAGGCTATTTAGAGGCACACGGCGAAAAATAGGCAGCACACGACTGAACATTGGCTGATTTTGGGAATAGGAAGAAAGTGGTGATGGAGTAGGCGGCAACTGCCTGAGGCGACCTGTATGGTGGATCAGGTCACCATAATGGCACTTCCGATTCCGGGTGTGAAACAGCCGGAACTGGCCTTGGAAAATTACTAAGGCCCAATTGAGCATGGATCTTACGGTTTTTGAATTTAAAGCTTCGTTTGGTGACTTCGATTCGGAAGATATTTCCGGGGTGCCATTAACCTACCTGCAGTACATATACCTCGAGTGCCCGGGCCGATTTAGTCTGACACTCTTAACACCCCAAAATACACCTTCTTTCCTCCCAATGACGTCAATGACGTCGGTGACGTGAATTGTTCACCTTACAATCCCAAATTGAAAATTTCAACTTTCCTCGGACCAACGGACCAAACATGACCTACAACCATCTACTCTATCGTTTATCAACTTTTTATGTATGCAAGCGGCACGGCACGTGCGATAAATACCTGGCGTAGCTTCTAACGCAGAACCTACTCGAGCTTCTTGTTGCTGCCGGGCAAAGCGTTGCCAGACAAAACACCCTTCATGAACTCGTACACCGTGAAGGTCACAGCCTGGCCAGGTGCCACTCTCATGATTCTAGGCGTGATACCCTTGTACAAGGCATTGACACCCTCCTCCTTGATCAACTGCTTACCGATCTTGGCGATTCTGACCCAGCCAGACTCGTTGGAGGCATAAGTGGACTTTTGCAATCTGGTCTTGATGGTGTCCAAAGGAGCGTTGGAAAGAGGACCCAAAGCACCAGAGAACAAACCAACCAAGGACGTCTGCCACGAGGGAAGAACCTCCAAGTTCTGGTAGCCCTGCAAGAACTCCTTCACCTTGGAGTACACAGTGAAGTTCACACCCTGGTTGGACGCCTGTCTAGCAGCAGTCAAGGAAACACCTCTGTACAACGTGGAGAAACCTTCTTCACGAATAATGACGTAGGCAGCGTGGAGAGCGTTTCTGTACTTTGGAACATCCAATGGGTCGGCCATAGAGTGGTGCTGGGCTTGTAATCTGATCTTGACAACCTCCATAGGGTTCACGACAATCACGGCTTCGGTGGTACCGGCACCGACACCAGCGAGGAAAGTGCTACCGGTGGAGATCTTGCCGTCCTTGTCCCTCAAAAGCGATCTGTAGAACTCGTACGACTGGAAACGAATACCCATCTTGGGCACAATTCCGAGCACAACGGCACCAAGACCTTTGTAGAGAGACATGAAGGTCTCCTTCTGGACAATGTTGATACCGGTTCTGACGAATCCTGGGGGTTTCTGGCCAGACTTTCTGTACAACTGCATTCTGACCTTGACGGTGTCCAAGGGGTGGCAGCACAAGGCCTCAAACAAACCGGCCACACCGCCGGCGACGAGATCGGTTACGGAACCTCCTTTTTTCTGGGTCAGCATATTCGATTTTTTCTGTTCGGGTGGGTTTTGCGTGGGACCACTCGCCTTATATACCCCACAAAAACGGTGATTTTTCATACTCCAATCTTCCATTTCCCCGAGGACCGCACCGGGCCAGATGACCGTCTCCACCCAGGCCAGCGGGGGTTCTTCCATTTAAATATATATAGAGCTGCGTAATTCCAGCCTAATTTTTATATTTTACAATTTTTTTTTTTTTTTCTTCCTAACATCTCTGGCTATCCTGGTTAAGCCGGGGTCTGGGGTACATCCGCGGGCCCGGGGCGGCTGTTGTGAGTCGCAATCGAGTCACCCTCCGGGGCCTGAGACAAACGGTACTTGTATGCAGTACAGAACCTTTATTTGCGTGAATTGGGTGGGATTTCGCGTCCGACGGAGGAGCTCGTGTGATTGGTGGATGGGCCTGACGACGTCAGTGGGAAAGTAGAGCGCTCTTGTGACATGCTGGTGGAGGCGTAGTGTTGTTTTGGGGTGGTGGGAGCCCGCCCTGTGTGCAGGAAATAGTACACTTTCCGTCTGGTCTATCCGGTCGCGTCACATGGGAAACCGGGCGGTGTAAATTTCCCATTTTTTTTGTTTCGTGAAAGGTGTTTCTCGTTGGTGATGGTGGGGCCGGAAAAATGGGGGGCACCAGTGGGGCGTTTTCTCAGCCTCGGCAGCAGTTTATCCGAGGAACTCGCAGTCACAAGAAAAATGGAAGTTGCAAAAGAGAAGCGGTGGGCATGTTGAGCTTAGAGAAAAGGAATTTTTGAAAGAATTGTTTACTTTCGTTTCTTAGTGGAATTTGGTTTGTGGTGGTGGGTGGGGACCCCCGCCGGAGTATCGTCGGTTCTCACCTTCGGTACATATCTTCCATCTTGGCGATAAATGGAGGTCGATCTCCGAGGTGAGAATATGGTAGATACAGTAAATTTGTAGATTTAGATACGAGGGTGGGCATTGTTGGGTTTTTGAAACAAAAAGAAAAATTGTAAAAAGACGTTGGCTGAATGGTGGAGGTGCTGGTATCTTCGTTCGTTTGCAGCCATACTATACTGGTGCTGATTAACACATCCTGATGTCATTAAAAATAGGAGGGTCATTTGCACGAAGTGAACAAATGAAATTGAGCTTATAAATTGGAATTTCTGAACTGTTTGAGCCAATTGATGTTCATTTCATATAGGCATCTTACATTGGTTTGGTGAATCAGTAGTGCTTCTCAATTGATCTACAGAACAGGGAGAGAAACATCTCGATTTACCACCAGTTTTGAATTCTGGACTTTAACTAAACGAAAGAGCTCAACGGCTTTGTGACTAGCGATATGTCAGGAAGCACATGACTGGCGATCCAGGGTGCGACGGACCTTGATGAAGTTGTGACCTTGTTGATTGATATCGTACTTTATTATGCAACAACAATTATTTCTACTTACATGCTTCATAGTGTTAATAGTTCTCCTAAACTTGCTTCAACGGCTTTACCGAAAGCTTCACCGAAAAAAGACATGCACCAACAACTCGAGAAACCCTGGGCCAAAATTAAACCTTCTTGAAGCCACAATTGCCAATGTTCGTGATCCAAGCTACCTTCTGGAATACGATCCAGAGGTGGAGTACAGACCTCCACCCAAGATAGACTGGTCGAAGGTGAGATACGTGGATTGCAATAAAAAGAGTTGACATCATCATCTTGAAACGGAACTTGTTAAAGAATCCACATTTACGATTTTTTAATACTTAATGACCATTTATTATCGCTTAACTATCCAAAATTGACACTATCCTGGAGGGCTGGATCAACAAACGGCATCTGCCGATTGCACACACTTGATACCATGGTGCCACATTTCGTCTATCCAGGCTTCCAAAAACTCTAACAGCTCAAAAAGAACTGTTTTCAATGAAGCATCCATATTTCTTACCTCATCTTTTGTGAGGGTTAATTGTCGATATTCGAAAAGAAGCATTCTTAGTGCAACACCTACTTCTCCCAGGCAGTTTCTCTTACCTCGTTGCCAAAGCACAACAAGCGCAGTACTAGGGTTAGTAAATACTCAATTGATCTCCGGTAACAACATACTTTGTCAGCAAGTTTTTAATGTAGCTGAATTGCAGATGCAAAATGAGTAGCTGCCTTACTTGTACAGAGTCTTGAGGCATTTCCACAAGGAGGGTTCCCTCGTCCCAGAATCCCATATTGTACATCTGCCTGGGGTGATGGATCAAAGTCCGGACAATTTTTATCATTAAAGAAATATGAAGAAGAAGTTTGTTGCAAAGTGTTTGTGATTGCAAAGTGCGTTTGTGCCCTCAATGCTCGCACTAAAGTCTATGGAACTCATTAGGACTTCTCAGCATCAGGGAACTGAATTGGCAGGTCGACAGCATTGGCACCGGTATTGTTCTTGTCGGTCTTCTTCAACTCATACAAACGCTTCGCCTCACGGTGCACATCCTGAACCTCCTTGGAAAGCAGCTTGTAGAACTCATGCACCTTGATACCATAAGGGTGCGACAGCGCCTTGTCAAAGTAGTGCTGCAACTTTTGGTGGTAAGACAGGCCCTTGAACGACTCGTGAAGCGAATTGATCCCCTCCAGAGCCTTGTTGATGCCCCTGTTAGCATGTGTTCCTGGCTCCTGCGAGCCCACGTACTTTTGGTCCAAGTCGGTCAAGAACGACTTGAACTTGCTGGTGTAGCCCTTCTCATTGTCAAACTTCACGGCACGTGTGATCAAATCGTCCGACAAGCTGTACCCAGACGCCAAGAGCTGCGCCAAAATGGCCAGCTTGGGCTTTTCCTCCTGCAGAATGTCGTCGTACTCGGTGTCGCCCGTGATGGTAGCAGCGTCCGACTTCTCGTTGGTCTGGATCTTGTTATCGCCAGACACCTCCTTCTTCTCCGACAAATCCGCGTACGAAGGGGGATTCTCCTCCTTCACCACGATCGGCACCTGGTCCAATTCTGCATCATTCAAGAGCATTGCGGTCGAAAGCGCCTTCTCCAGCTCGAAATTCACCTGAAACTTGTTGTACCCGTTATCATCTTTGCCGAGATCGTCCACCAGACGGATCACCCCGCAGAAGGCAAAGAATTCCTTTAATTGAGCGGGAGAAACCGCTGTGGAGACATGAGAAACAATCACAGAAGACATTGGATCAAAAACCGAAAAAAACAAATAGTTTGTAAGGGGCTGGCCGATTTCAGGAATCAGCCGTCCTTTTATGTGGGGCATGGTGCGGCGTGACGGAGGCGTGCGTTTTGTGGTGCACTGGTGCAGCGATGGAATGGGTAGGGTATTATTTTTTGGGGACCACACAGTATAGCAAGCCAAAGTTGGGGAAGCCAAATCAGGTGGCAAGGGTGGCGTAAAATGCACCTGATTTTTGACGAACCATCTTTACGGTACTATACAGAAGGTCATTGGCCATTAACCGCACCTGCGTCATCGTCGACCTTCTGTGCCTCGTTTTCGCAACCATATGTGACCGCAAGACATCTTATCTCATGGCAAAACCACCAACGGAATGGCAAATTTGAACTCCGTACCTTCGTTGTCCACCTTGTACGCCTGTATGTAGTCGGCGTAGTCTTTGATGGACTCGGTGGCGTCGGGTTTGGTGAACTCGTTGAGGAGGAATTTGCACACAAAGAAATACCGGAGATCCATGAACTTGGAGCTCTGGAATTGCTGTGTGATATGGCTGGACAAGGTGATCGCATTACCCACTCTCATAGGGCTGCTTTCGGAATCCCAGTTTTCCGCCAAGGCCGTGGCAAAGAGGTTTTGCTTGACTGTAGGTGTCACTTTGTAGGTGTTGACAAACGGCTGTTTTTCCTGTTGATCCAGTTTTTGTTCTAGGTTGAAGACTTCGTGAGCTTCCACGTAAGCCTGGTAGCCGACCACACGGGCGCCGTCGTCGTTCTGCTGTGCACTGTCTAGGAAAAAATGAACCTCCTCACCAACATGGTAAAACGGCTTTGACATTGTGAGCGTACAAAGCGCCACGCTGTTGATTCTGATCTGGTAGCTGACACGGAGTTTCAGGGGAAGCTGGGAAATGAAACCCTTGTTTTCGGTGAGCGACTTGGAAACAGAGCTCTTTCTTCTCTCGTTTGCAGCCACAACGTGCACATCGCTTTCTATAAGTGTATCGATGTCACGGAGGAGTTTTTCTTTCAGACCAGATGGCGCCGCTTTCGAAGGGGTCGTTTCGTCCACAATCGTCGCCTTCCAGTCTTTATCAACCACTGGATGCTGAAGATAATCGTTCTGTAGCCATTCTCTATCCCAGCCCTTTTTACCCAGACGAAACTCAAACGGGAAGTAGACGCTTCGGGGCGTGAGGTTCCCAGCGTCCTCTTCTGAAACACCCACCACCAAAGCGTACTGAATGGAAACGAGTCCAGCGTCACCGGCTGCTCCAGTCAGCTTGGTATTGTACGAAGGCGGGAGGTCGTTCGGTGGCTTGGGAACCTTCACAACGTATTTTTCCTGGCCTCCTTTGATGTTGCTATTGGAGAAGAGAAGCAGCTGTGCCGTCACATAGAAAGGAATGGTATTTTCATGGATCTCTCTGGCCAATTCTTCAGAATGTGTTTCGGGATTATCTGGCGCTTTCGACAATGAATTGAACTGATAAGCAAGATCGTGCACGAGATACTGCGTTCTGCCGTCGTAGCTTGTGGAATTGAGGTCGCTGACCCCTCCAGTCCGCTTCTTAGCAGCATCTTCACCGTACTGCTTCAAAAACGGCGTTTTCTTGACCGTGTCTATTTCCAACTCTAGCTCGTTCTTTCCGTAAAGCTCAAGGTATTCAGGATTCTTCCAGTACGGGTTATTGGCGGCATTAGCAGATCCGTCACTGCCTATAAGGTTGTTCAATCTGATGTACCCTATAAGCTGAACATAGCCTAGAAGGAGCTGTTTCTCTTTGGGCTGCTCGACCAATGTGGATTTCTCCAGTGAGAAAATACCCAGAAACCACCCACCTTGAGGCGCCTCTTCCTTATCTCCGTTTTTGGCTGATCCATTGGAGGTCTCGCTTATCGAACTGGAAAAGTCAATGTGGCATTCAAAGAAATCCGGTTCCAGCGGTAGATCCTTGTATGTAACTGCAACGTTGTAGTCATTGAGGGTGTCTTTTGTGAGCCGCTCGCCCAATGGGGAAATAGAGGGCATAATGTGGAGTTTGTTGGAGGTGTAGTGGATAAGTGGTGATAATCTGGGGTGTGTGCACACCTGGTTGCAAAGATAACGAAAAGAGGAGGTAAAAGGGCTACAATGGCACGGCGAGTCCGGTTTTCACGTTTTATCCTATTTGAGTCGAGCTCTGTCCAGTGTGTGGGGTGGTGCTGGGGAGTGGTTTGTGGGCATATCCGGATCGGACCCAAGTTTCTGAAGCCAAGCGAATGTCTCATTACCGGAGGGCAAGTGGGCGAGGAGAGGAAGCCACTAGATGATTCTAGAGCTAGAAAAAGCCTCCAGAGTCAGCATCCACCGCTCGGGCTCCACCCCCAGAACCAATTGCATCCTAGCAGTAGCAGCCTGCCAGCACCTCTATATCGTCATCGTGCTTACGTCTGCTCCTTCTCCTCAAGCTGCTCACGCACAACCAGGTCGTTCTGCATCAAGCTGGCCTGGGCTTGGGCGGCATCGTTTGGCAAGGAGGGGTCCTGGCCAGCACCGCTCATCTGGTGGAAGTCCAAAATCTCCGAGTACATCATCACACGCCAGGTGTCCACAGGCAAGTCTGCGTCGTTGAAACTCCAGTCGAACTTGGTCTCACAGATGGGCTCATCGGTGGGGTCGTGATAGGGCTCCATGTACTGGTGGGTCAAGGCGTCGGCGGCCGAGATACGCTTCTTGGGGTCGAAAATGAGCATTTTCGACAAGAGGTCGATGGCGTCGGGCTCAACGTGGGTGCACTGGGCAAAACGCTCGCTGAATGGGATGGGATCTCTGTGGGGCAAGGACTGGACAAAACGCAAGGTGTTTTCGGAGCAGATGGTCTCGATCACGTCGGCCGGAGGCGAGCCCAAGAGCTCTGTGATGATGGAGAACTGGTGGACGTGGTCACGGCCGGGGAAAAGCGGCTTGCCCTCGATCATCTCGGCCAAAATGCACCCGACGGACCAGAGGTCCACCTCGGTGTCGTACTTTTGCCACGTCAACATGATCTCCGGCGCTCTGTAGTACCGCGTGGACACGTAGCCGGTCATCTGGGGGTCCTGGACTCTGGCCAAGCCGAAGTCGCAGATCTTGAGGTCACAGTTCTCGTTGATCAAGATGTTCAGCGGCTTCAAGTCACGGTGGATCACGCCCGCCGAGTGCACGTACTTGAGGCCTCGCAAGATCTGGTACGTGAAGTACTGGATGAACTGTTTCTCCAAGGGGCGGGACGTCAACAAGCGGTGGAGGTCTGTGCCCTGCAACTCGGTAACAAAGTAGATGTCCTCCAACGGCGACAAAAAGATATCGTCGAGCGTGATCAAGTTCTCATGGCGCAAGTGCTTCAACAACTTGAGTTCTCTGTAGGTTCTCTTGGCCAACACCGACGTGGAAAACGGTTTCATGATCTTCTTCACCGCCACGTTCTGTCCAGTGAGCTTATCGACCGCCAGGCACACGAGGCCAAAAGCACCCATGCCCACGGGGTTGAGATCCGTATAACGAGACGTGATCTCGAACACGGTGCCGAAAATCTGAGTACGGGTGAATTCTCCAGATGCGCTCATGAAGAAGAGATGGTGGTTCGCGTTGGAGATTTGGAGTGGCTTTTGAAAAAGCGAGATACAGGGTGCACTGGTGGGGCGGGGTGGGTGGTGGGAAGAAGCCGTTTTCTTCTATTTTAAAATTGGAAAAGTGATGGAATTTGTTGAATTTTCCAAAACCACAGTGACTTTTCGCTTTTTCTTTCTTGCTCTGGTGGGGCGCCTCTATTGCCTGAGACACAGATATAGCCTTAGACGAGGGATGCAGTGCCAGGTTCACAACCAGTCGTTGTGCTGCGCCGTGCTGTCGGGTGCGTTTGGGTGCTTTCAATTTTCTGTATTTTTATCCAATTGCTTTTGTTCTTTTCTTCTTGTTATTCCTCTTTCCTTCTTCTTCATCCTTGATTCTTCAATCCGCTGCAGCTTCGAATGGCCCCTGGAAGTTGCCAGACAATGGCGCCAAAGTCGCTTCTTTTAGATGTCTTTGTCTTTGCTAAAATTCGGTCCTGTCTCCGTGGCCTTGTTGCGTTAGAGATCGGCGGTGGCTCAATTACCGAGTTTTCCACAATTTGAAGGGTAATATTTTAGCTCCATTGATGCTTTTGCAATATTTTGTTTTCTTCTTTTGAGGGATAATTTACTTAGGCTGGCCTCATCGCCACCTGCTGGAGTCGGATTTGGCCCGGGCGGGTCAGGATAGCCGTGGTGCAGTTGCTAGTTCAGGCGTTACGATGGATCACGAAACGGCATCCGCATTTGTACTGTTTGGGAAGGTTGCTGGGCAAAAATGGAGAAATTAGCTGATCGAATTGATTCGCATTTGTGCTGCGGTTTTGGGTTTGAAAGTTGGTGGTGTAGTTCTGAGAGGGTGAGTCTCAGTGGGGCGGCTGCATTTATAGATGTTCCAAGGGGGCTTTGGCTGGCGTGACGTAGTAGGAGTTTATTTAGCCGTTTCTTTTGGAAGCCGGGGTACAATACAGGTTTAGGTGGAAGTGGGCATAATTGGGCTGAGGGGCTATTGGGCTGAGGGTTATGGTTGGTAATGATGCATACTTCGTTAAGGTCTTGATGGCCCTCAGGGCTACATTTCAAGATTTAATCAAAATCATTTTCTGAAGAACATTATTCAATAAAGAGCTTTAGCACATCGTGGAGGAGGTGGTTCTAGGTCCCTTTGGTGGACTTTGATGGTAACTCACCAACAAGTCTGCCTAGGAATACATTTTCAGCGGTTTAGCAAAAATCACCTAATGTTTATGTCAAAATTGCTAAAATCGAACCTAAACGCCGCGGATTTGCTTCTTTATTAATTGGACCATGTAGGGTTGGACCCAGTAGGACTGGACCAAATGGGACTGGACCAGTTAACGATGTGGCTAGTGCACCGTATTCGTGGCGAATAAACACATCCCTGAAATGGGGTTATCATCACAAAATTTCACAGAAATGTCGGCGAAAGTAGAATAAAAAGAGAAGAATCTTCTTATCGGACTGATCAGAAGTTACCGTCAGTTATCTGAGGAGTCGAACTACGACATGTCTGGAAAAGTCGTTTCTGGACAATGAAATTGGCTGTGTGAATTGCTTCGTAAATCAACCCTCCTGATCAAAAAAAAATTTAAATTGTCAATTCTTCATACTCTAGTCCCGTCTGAATCACAGACCTGGATATACAAGAAGGAGGACCGCATCTTGAATACCTTCTAACACGAAATCAACGAAGAACTGTCGATGGTTGATCCTGATATGGATAAATCATAAGGTTTTAACTTATACATTACCGATTCATCGTCACTAAACGTCAAACCCACCCTATCTTCATACCAAATTCCTGTATTCAGCCACAAGTCCAACTTCTGCTTCCTTATCTTCCCGTCCTGAAAGAGCCTTCCTACTTATTCCTCTCATGATTCCATCATCATGGAATCCTTTATCGTAAATTCATGCATCTTTGGAAATTCCGATCGTGATTTGCCCTCACCAGAAATGAAGTTAAGAAAATTCCTTCACATGCACCCTATGGGTCTTTGTTCAAAAAGATGGCAGACCGAGGTTTCTCGAAATGAATAGATTTCTTCTAGTCCGAAAAATAGATGCTTGCGAGTGAAATACTGGCCTTGATCGTCCAAAGAGTTGAGGAAAGGACAGATGGTTTTGACAAGCCTCTGTGTGGTAAAACTGTTAGAGAGGTCTGTAAACCCATTCCAAACGATCAACCTTTACCTAGACGTGTTCCACGCTTTTCAGCCAGATTTTTCACTGAACGTGTTGATGATTATTGGGATAATAAAATCCCATTTGATGTTATCACGTTAAAGGGAGCAAGCAACTACCAAGAATGGCGTGTTAGCTGGGACAATCACATTGAGGCCTTGATTCGTCATCTTGGTGAATTCATTTTACACTACCATAATCAATTCAAAGATGCTTCTAGCGAAGCTGTTGATTACAACAGATACAGGAAAGCATCCCCCAAGGAGTTGAGCGAAGCCTGTAGCTTGGCTGATTACTTCTTGAGAGGCGAGATTAATAGAAGCTTTGATATTGTAGTTTATGTGGATGTAGGTAAGATGGAAGATTTCTGCTATCACGAAATTCTCAGCCAAGACCAATTGATTGAAAAGAAGGATCCCCACATATTAAAAGCGGTCGAAGCTTACTCCTACCTGAAACGAGTGAACATCATCGGAACCTTCGAGTCAAGGCAAGAACATCACTCTATATATAAACCCGATTGGGTCGTCAGAGTTATTGGTGATAGTGTGGATGTCACCGAATACGACATTGAAAAAGTAGCCAAAGTCTTCGAGGAAGTGGAGGAGAAAAACCTCAGGAAAACCTATGAAGAAGCAGCTGATGCAAAAAGACCTATTTCCAAGTGGCAGATGGCGATCGAAAGGAGAGTGAGGGAGATATGTTTTTCAGTTCTAGGGGCACCAATACCAGACGACATTTCGGATTATTAAAGAGCTGCAACTGCTCCCCAAAGTCCGAACAAGCATGTCAAACTCGCTGCATAATCAATCACTGGACTACATTTTGGGAAACTCGGATTGTCTGTACATTATATGCCTACTGTGAGCAAGGAATCTCGACTTCATGGGAAAGTGCTCAAACTCAAACGACTCTCAATTTGAACCAATTTATATTGCTCCTTTCCGAAGCTGCCTTGATCTGGAGACGACACAATGTGAATTAAAGGCTCAAGGAACGAAAGCATCTCATCCAGAGTGCAATACCCCTTATGGTTTCTCTGTTTTTCGATCCTTATCCTAATATCATCTTACAAGTTCAGATTGAAAGCTCCCTCCTCGTCTTCATATCACGATCATATTCCACGGACACGGCTTAACTGCAATCCAAAATCTCCTTACCCTATCAAACCTCGTGTTTATATCCTCAGGCCCTACCCTCCTATGACCAAGACCTTCAAGGTACCCTAAGACTCCAACTTCTCCAAGCCTTCAATCCCCACTAACATTGAACTTTCCTGTTCTTCTTCATCCACTGTTTCCTTGCAAATCTACAATCAAACTCCCTCCCCACTCTACCTACACTTCCTCCCGTAAATCGTCTATTATGCAATGCTAGCGAAGCTCCATCAAGCGCTTCATGTGTTTCTGTCCCACCTCGGGCTCTGTGGTCTTCTGCTTGTGAAGATCAAACAAGGGCCAGAATTTCAAGTTTTCATCTCCTGCTACTGTCGCCAATGTGGTCCCGTCAGGACTCATGCATCCACTCAAAACCCTCGAATCGTGAGCCAGCGAGATCTCTCCAGTTTTCTGCAAAGTCGGGTAGTTGAAAAGCGAAATGCTATTCAGCGGGTACCCATGAGTAGCCACAACTTCGTATCCTGTTTTGCTTTCATAGCCCCAATTGAGCGATGATATCTGAGACTCCGTCTCAATCAGATTCACCCGGGCTCCAGTGGAGGTGTTCCAGAAATGGATGGTTTTGTCTGAAGTGCCGCCTCCAGTCGCCAAAAGCGAATTCTGGAAGGGACACCATGCCATGGCCTTGACGGCGGCTCTGTGGTTTGTCTTTTTGAAAATCGGTTCCAGAGTCGCTCGGGCATCCCACACAGCGACTAGATTGTCGTTTGCACCCAGACAAAACTGCTGGGCATCGGGACGGTACTCGATTCCACAGACCTCGCCAACGTGTGTTTCCAATTTCGAAACAAGGTGGTCGTTGACCCTCACGTCACTGTGAAATATGGATCCCTCTCTGGATCCCAGAGCCACTAAATGAGACAGCCAGCAATGGGCAGCTACTCTGGAGCCTGTTCCGTGCAGAAGCGTTCTGAGCCGCAGGTTGGTTTCGATATCCCAGATTTCTATGGTTCCGTCTTCTTTTCCCACGGAGATGTACGATCCATCCTCAGACCACCTCAACGACGTCACTAGCATGTTATTGCCAAGCTCACACAAAAGCCCGACAGAGCCTGTGGAAGCGTTCCACACGTAAACCGTGTCTTCTAGGCCAATGGCAATCAAGTTGCTCAGGGCCCAGGCCACCAAATTGAGGTAGAAGTCGTCTACGATGTTAGGAGCATCTAGCACTCTTTCCGGAGCCGTGGGGATTTTCTTAGCACGAGCCGATGCCACAGACGGTCTGAGGAGCCCCGTCTTTTGTTTCTGGCCCACGCTGCTGAACACAGAAAGCGGCTGGGACCGTTCTGGAGGAGCAGGTCTGTAGCACAAGATTCGAGAATTGACATCGAGCCCACACGCCTCGGCAACGTGGTTCTGGTATATTTTGGACGTCTGCGCCTTGATGTGTGTTTGCGGCAGGGCATTGGGGTGTGGCTGTTCGTTTTGTGGAGTGAGTTTGTTCAGCGTCAGGTTTCTGTGGCTGGGGATGAATCTGTCGGTCTGGGAGGCCTCGGCGGGCGTCAAAAGCGACGTCAGTCTTCTGAGCTTGGCTGGTTTGGGCGGAGAAAGCATGTTTCTCGAGTCTAGCAGCGACACTGACGTAGAAAGCGCTGGCTGCAACTTCATGGGAAATTGGGGTCTGTGGAGTCTTTCGACCAGCAGTTTTGCTCGAACCAAAGATGGTTCTTTTTCGAAAGCAATGGCCTTTCTCTTCGGCAGCAGCAGCTCAATCAGCCGTTTCCTCAGTCCCAGAGGCCGGAGGTTGTCCATGATGGAGGCAGCTGTGGAATCGTGGAACGGTGTTTTCAACTCCATGCCGATTTTCGGGGGATTTTGGGGAGATTTTGGGGAGTTGGATTCGTTCTTTGTGAAAAGCCGAGAAGAAGTAAACCAAGATGTTCGACGACGCGGTTATTAGATTTCCCAAACGAGAATGCCCAAGCAAGAATGGCTGCGAAAAGTGGTACAAATGGTGTTGATGTTCCATCCCAAACAGGAAATGTGATGAGACCGTTGCACCACGATCCACCGATCGAAGCATGGAAGCAATTGCTTTCGGCCAGGGGTTTGCTGCTTGCTGGGGTTGTTTTTGCTTTTTGCTTTTGGCGATGTTTTTGTTTATTTGTTGATGTGGTGATGCTTCTGTTTCGCAGCCATTGGCGCTCGTCATCTTCACTTATTTTTTTTATTTTTGGACTCCAGGGGCAAGGAGGGGAGAACGGCATGGTAGCATGTCACAATCGGCTAAGACTGAATGACGCTATGATCTGTGGGGCTGGCCGATGCCGTCCACCCAAGTGGATCCCGTCCACCCAGTGGATCCCAGTCAATGCAACGCAGGGATGTAGCGGGCTCATCATGAAGACAATTTCTTCGCATTGTATAACTATTAATTAGACTTGTTAGAGTTCGTGACATTTGACTTTTTTGACAGCTATGGTGCTTTTGCTCGGTGGTTTTGCTCGGGGTAAACTCGTGGTTGGTTCTCAACAATCCATTGTTCAAGATAGCGCTGTGGGCTGTTATCCACATACAATCTGGTGCTTTGTGTTTGTTCGTGGGGCTACTCCGGCTGGCTTGGACGGCTTGTGGGGAAGTATAGGCGGGGTTGGATGGAGACTTAAGCGAAGTAGATGATATGAGCTAGAGTATTGAAGTACTAGAATAGTCAGGGAAAGGGAAAGCTGTAGTGGCCTGAAAAATATAAATATGCTTCTAGTATGGTGGTTTGCCGAATTCGAGTCTGGTCTAATAGTTTGGTATACTCCAAGGTGTTTGTTACTCAATGCACCGCTACAGTTGTGTTCATCAAAGTCTCTCTGCCTTTGCATTTATTCGAGGTCGTTACGATATCAAAATTTCTAACTAGAATTTTTTTGCTTTGGAGGCAATTGACAATTCTACGTTGCCTCTCTCGACGATCTCAAATCCAGCCTTGCTTGAAGTTGACGATGGTAGTACGCTTATTTTGATTTCGGCGCAAGTCAGAAAGCCGATGATCGCTCAAGTACCTCAACTGTGTTCTCTAGGATTTTTTTCAAAAAAGATAAAAAAGAAAGAATGAATATGATGTGCCTCCACAAGTAGACTATAGTCTCATACTGAGGATTCTCCAATAGACCTTTCTCGAAAGACCCACATTGACTTCTGGAGCATAAAGACCTTTAAACTTCGTCTAATTAACCTAATATTAGGAGATAAATAAAAAGCACAAAACAAAAGCATATCATATCAGAGTGCCCCCACCCTCCACCTCCACAATGGCTGCAAACGAGCACTTGATCCACTACTCACATCCACCCCACCCCACCTCCTAAAACACAACCAAGCCCAAAAACCAAGCTTCTATCAATAGAACGTTAAAAACCCAGAATCACCAAATCAAATAGACTTTCAAAAAAGCTGGCCAAGCCCCGCCACATCTGGGGAAACCCGTCACGTGCGAAAACCACCAACTCTTCTTTATGGGTCAAGGACCGTCACAGCCGAAAATCACCGCCCAGGACCGGGCCATTTTGCAGCTCAAACGGCAGAGAGACAATCTCAAACAGTACCAGCGGCGTCTTGCCGTGATTGTGGAAAAACAGCACATTCTTGCCAAACAGGCCCTTGCGGATGGAAAGACTGATAAGGCCAAGTTCTACCTACGCCTGCGGAAACAGCAGGAGCTGACGATCAACAAGACGTACGAGCAGCTTGGCAACTTGGAGAACCTCATAGGCACCATTGAGTTCAAGTTGATCGAGAAAGATGTGGTGTATGGTTTGACTCAGGGTAACGAGGTGCTCAAGAAGCTCAACAGTGAAATGAGCGTGGACAAGATCGATAAGGTGCTTGACGATTTGGAGGACGAGCGTGTCAAGGTGGACGAGGTTTCCGATATGTTGGGCATGGGTCTGTTGAGCTATTCTGAGGAGAACGAGGTGGACGAGGAATTGGCTGCTTTGGAGCGGGAGGTTGCTCCACAGAAGGAGGAACCCAAGAAGGAGGATGTCAAGCTTCCAGATGCGCCTACAAATGTTCCAGAAGCAGAGGAGGAGCCGGAAGTGGAAGAAGCTCAGAAGGAGGAGAGAACCGCTATGCCTGCTTAGCCAATGGGCGATATACGAATTGGCTATTGGATTCAGCGAATTGGCTGTTGTGTTCAGCTGATTTGGCGATACTGTTGCCGGCTGGATCGTCACATTATCATTGTTGGACCCGGATGGTCCAGATCATAGACTTGATTGCATTAATTCCACCATAATTCAATACATCATCTAGAGGTGTCGGCGAGAGTAGTTCCTTAGATAACAAAGCTCGTGGAACCCCACTACATTCACGTAAAACGTCTCTCGTTTCCTATCTACATGGCCAAGTAGGCCTCTTTTCTGTGGCAAGCTTCATAACGCTTGCGATGATGTTCATCATCCCCTGGTCTACTCATCCAACCAGTCGAGGAACTCGGGCGTGAAGTAACTGATGAACAAACGGGCACCGGCTCTCAAGAAACCGTTGTGTGCTTCAAAAGCAATCTCCTTCAAATCAACCACACCCTTTTCAGCAGCAGCATGCAACATGGCGTACTCACCGCTCACCTGGTATACGCAAAGCGGATAGTCTTTGCACATTCTCAGGGCTTCACTGACAATGTCGAGGTAGAAAGTAGAAGGCTTCACGAGGAAAGCATCCGCACCCTCTTCCATATCACGAACCAAGGCTCTTCTGGCCAATCCAGCACCGCTAGAAGGCAACTGGTACAGCTTTCTGTCACCGTGGGAAGGAGCACTGCCGGCAATATCCCTGAAAGGTCCGTAAAGCGAGCCCAGGAACTTGGCCAGGTACGACATCACGAGCACCTTGTTCTCGAGCTTGGCCTGGATGAGCCCCAACTTGATTTCCTTGATTCTGCCGTCCATCATGTCGGAAGGCGCCACGCAGTTGGCTCCTGCCTTGGCGTAGTTGACAGCCACAGAGCCGATTCTCAACACCGAAGGCTCTCTCTTCAACGAGCCGTCGTCGTTCAAAATACCACAGTGGCCGTGATCCGTGTACTCGCAGAGGCACACGTCACACATGATGTACAAATCGGGAAAGTGTTTCCTCAACAAGCGGATGGCCTGGATCACAGGCCCGTTTGGATCGTCAGCAGCCGTGCCAACGTCGTCCTTGACGCCTTCTTTCAAAATCACGCCAAACAAAATCACCGCCTTGAGCCCCTTCTCCACAAGCGGCTTCATGTAGTTCAACAACTTGTTGATGCCGTGGCGCTTGATGCGGGGCAAACTGGGGATCTCCACCTCCTCGTCGTCGTCGTCACTGACGAAAATGGGGAAAATGAACATCAGCTTCCGGAGATGTCTCTCTGCCTGCCACTCACGTGCCAAAGGGTGGTTGTAGCCTCCTTGGAGCACCGACAGGATGCTGGTTCCGCTTTCTGGAAGGTAAGACGCCTGGTGCATTGGGAAGAAAGAGTAGTTGATGTCGCACTGATAAGGTGTAGGCTGGGTTGGTGATGATATGCCTGGAAGGGAAAGGGCGATCGGCAGGAACGAGGTGCTTGGAGACACGAAAAAGTGAACCCAAGTCAAAGAGAAAAAATGTCAAGATGGGGTAGATGCCGGGGATGGAGGAGTATTTATAGTGGAGCGGCGTGTGGGGTGAATGGCTGCGAAAGCGCTGACTAAGCGGAGTTAGCGATTGGAAAAGATCATGTATTAAAAGATGTTACTTGTTGGTTTAGAGTGGGTGATTATGGTTTTGTGGTTTGGTTGTGTTGTTTTTTGTGTGTTCACATACTGTTGTGGTTGGTGGAGGATGGCTGCAAAGTGCGCTAAGTGAGTTTCTCGTATTTAGGCTTCACGGTGGTTTTGGCTCAATTGGATGTGATGTGGTTGTATTTTATTATTTTAATTGTTTGCTGAGTTTCTGAATTGCAATTATGGGGACTCTGTGTGGATGTATGGCAATCCCGCTAAGACCACATTCCGCTATAGCAGTATCTAAGGCTGAAAAATGGTGATTTGCTAATTCTGGAAAATTTTTGGAATTGACGGTAATTGGCTTCTAGGCGATAGATATCTGCAATTGAACATGATTTATTGCTTCTCGAGATAGAGACGTCATAGTATATCAATGCCTTATGGATGTAAATCGAGCTATACCATAAGCAGTCACCATGGTCCATTCTTTACCTATCAATTGAGTGTGATTCCAGCTTTAGACACAATGGATTTCTTTAGAACCATTAGATTGTGGCGTTTTGTATTCTTACATCGATTCACCAATATCACCAATATCACCAATATCACCAGTATCATCAGTACCACTTTCTCAAGAACCAAGTGGTCAAAGACTGAAACTTCCATGATTCCAGCTCAGTTCGTTCAATTATCACTCTCTCTTTACCTTTATTTTGTCGATATTCTCTACATAACCAAAATCTACATGGTTGGCATATTTATAGACACCCGGGACTGGCCCAGCAATCCTTTTACTCCACCTTCTTCTCGTCCTTCTCCTGCTTGCCGTAGTGCACAATCTGGCCAGCAAGAACGGCGTTCAAGGCAAACGACGTCAGGTAGCCGGCAAGCAAAACAGAGTCTCTGGAGCGGCTCTTCTTGAAGTTCGACACAGTGGTGAACACACGGATGGCAGAGCCAATCACATTAGCGAAAATCGTCACCTCGGACAAGTGGGCGGTGCTCTTCAAAGCCAGATTTCTTCTGATCTGGGGGATCTTGGCCAAGATGCCAATTGGGATGTTCAAGATCTGCAAAGTTGCAATCACCTGGGGTGGACAGATCTTGGTCAAGAACACCAACACGGCCACAATGGTGGCAGCAGGCTTGACCAACGCCTTGAGGCACTCGTTGATCTGGTCCTTGTCGGTCAAGGTGGTGGCAGCCGAGAGCTCTCTTCTCAACTTGTAGTACTTGAGGAGCAAGAGAATAGCAATGTTCTGGATGCCCAACAAGAACAGCTCGCCGTAATTGACAAAACTGTTTCTTTGCTGCTGATTGTAGGTGACGTGGATCCACTGGGCAGCGGTTTCCAACAGAACAGACTCCTCACTGAGTCCCTTGGCCAACTTGGACCTTGCAGCCATTGTTTTGGGGCCCAATATCTTTTTGATTTGCGGGATCTTGATCACAGAAGACACTCCTACCATCATGGCTCCGAGCAACATCGAGAGCACCTTGGCGTAGCCAATGGCCTTGATTTGTCTGAAAGCAAACTGCAAGATAACCTTGTTGGAGATCTCGGGATCCCTGATAAGGTTGATAAGCATCATAAGTGGGGCAGACATTGTGGGAGATTAATTTGAATGTTTGTTTTAATTAGGGAAGGAGAAGTATTGGAAAAGGAACTTGTGTCTGGTATTTCCGGAGTAGTTGATATTTTCACCTTTTAATCGAGGGGTATTAATCATATGCCGCGGTTCTCGAGTTTGCCCAATGTTGGACTGCCTTCACACAGGCTGCGCTAGATACTGGAAGTGGAGATAACCGCAAAAATCACACCAGAGATATGGAAAAAAGAAAAAAAATTGCTTCAACCGAAAAAAACGTGTTTCAACCGTAGATTAGTATTTGCCCTCGTGTGCTCTCCTCACCTTCTTTGCGTGTGCTTGACCTGTGTCAACTTCAGCTCGAGCGTGTCTTTTGTGGTTTCGATGTACTTCAAGTTCTCGAGATGGATGTTCAACAATTTCATGATCAGCTCGATCGAAGCCTCTTCGCCCTGGCCGCCTCTGGAGCCAATGCTCTTGACCAACGACTTGTTGAAAACGTCGCTCACGCCGTTGATGTCGCCGATCAACGTCTCCAAGTTTCCACCCAAACTGTCCAATCTCTCGTCTAGCAATTCAGCATTCTGGTAGGCCTTTTCTCTCAATTGGTCCGTGGCATTTGTGGATGATGCAGACACATTGCCGGAACCTCCTGTGGTCGTAAGGGTGCCGCTGTTGGCTTCGTAGTTGTTCAAGTCGATGTTTCTTAGCAAGAGATCGGCCTGCTGCTCGTAGTTGTCCAACACCTTGTCGAGCTCGTCCTGCTGGCTCTCAACAAAGAACAATTGCTTATCAATCTTCTGCTGCAACGTCTCCACCTCAGTCGAGTCCCTGTGCAATTTAGAGATTTCGTCTGCGCTCTTAGCAAGCTCCACATCCCAGTCGTTGACCTTATCCGTGTATGTCTCGAAAATCGATGTCGTCTGTGACAATTTTTTAGACCACTTGGTGATCAAATCATCCATCGTTTGATTGTCTAGCGAGACAGGGATGGGCTCTATCTTTGTTGGCTTAAGGGTAGGACCTTGAGAGGCCAGCACATTTTTCTGGTCTTCGGTTTTGTTGTCTTGAGTAGCGACAGTACCGTCAGCTTTCTTTTCTTCGGGCTTGGCACCAAAAAGACCACCAGCAGCTGGCTTGTTTTCGGCTGGTTTACCAAACGAAAAACCGCCGTTTGGCTTGTCTTCCTTCTTCTCGTCCTTCTTTTCTTCGGGTTTGCTTCCAAAGCTCAATGCCGGCTTAGCAGCGCCAGTGGCAGCACCACCAAGAGAAAATGCTGGTTTATCGTCCTTCTTCTCCTCAGGTTTGGCGCCGAAAAGGCTGGGCTTGTCATCCTTCTTCTCCTCGGGCTTGGAGCCAAAAAGACTAGGCTTGTCGTCTTTCTTCTCGGCTGGTTTGGCGCCGAACGAAAAGGCTGGGGCAGATTCCTTCTTCTCAGCGGGCTTGGCGCCAAAGCTAAATGCTGGTGCTCCCTCCTTCTTTTCCTCGGGCTTAGCACCAAAACTGAATGCTGGAGCACCGTCCTTCTTTTCTTCAGGCTTGGAACCGAAAAGACCACCGGCCTTGTTCTCTGCTGGCTTTGCTCCAAAGAGACCACCTTCTTTTTTCTCCTCCGGCTTGGCTCCAAAAAGGCCACCTTCCTTCTTCTCCTCGGGTTTGGCTCCAAAAAGGCCGCCAGTCTTATTTTCTGCTGGCTTAGCGCCAAAAAGGCCACCCTCTTTCTTCTCCTCTGGTTTTGCGCCAAAGAGCCCGCCTTCTTTCTTTTCCTCTGGCTTTGAGCCGAAAAGACCCCCTCCTTCTTTTCACCTGAACCACCGAAGCTGAAAGCAGGCTTGGCTGCCTCTGTGCTTCCTCCACTTGGAGCTGGAGTAGTAGGTTTGGAAGCAGTGTTTCCACCGAAACTGAAAGCTGGGGCACTGGACTCCTTCTTCTCTTGCAGACCGAAAAGACCGCCGCCGGACGATGATGCTTGACCGCCAAAAAGACCTCCAGTAGGTTTGGCCTCAGCGCTTTCGTCTTTCTTAGCACCGAACGAGAAAGCTGGAGCCGAGCTAGTTGTAGAGTTGCTGGAGCCAAAAGCAGGTGTGGAGCTCAGCTGCTCCTTGTTGGCGCTTTGACCGAAAAGGCCGCCTGAACCTGAGTTGGTGGAGCCTGCAGTGTTGGTGTTCGTGCTGGATTGGCCAAAAAGACCTCCAGATGGTTTTTGAGCATCACCGCCAAAAAGACCACCTGAGGAGGCAGTGTTAGCCTGATCCTTCTTCTCTTCCGGCTTGGCACCGAAGGAACCACCTGATGCTGGTGTTGTAGATGAGGATTGTCCGAATAATCCACCTGTGGAACCTGAACCAGATCCTGAGCCAAAGGCTGAGCCAGTGCTGGCTCCAAAGCCCGAGCCCGTGGTACCCGAATTAGAGTTCTGGCCAAAACTGAAAGCGGGTTTACTTCCCTCAGCGGGCTTAGCGCCGAAAGCCAGGGATCCTTGTGTCAGTTGACCAAAACCACCTGAACCTGTGTTGGTGTTATTGTTGTTGTTGGAGCCAAAAAGACCACCTGAGCCGAAAGCCGATGATCCTGATTGGCCAGGTTGCGTATTCAGAGAGCCAAAGCCCGAGCTCTGTGTCTGACTCTGCTGACCTTGGTTTTGTTGATTCTGGTTCAGCGAACCAAAGGCCGAGTTGCCCCCGAAACTGAAGCCTGTGCCGGAATTGCTGTTGGATCCAGTGTTGCCGAAAGTCAGGCCGGAGCCCTGATTGGCGTTTTGCAGGCCGAAGTTGAACGACATCGGCGTGTGGGCAGTTGTACTAGGATTTTAGAGATTGAAGAAGCTGAGATGTTGATGCTGTGGTGGGTGGTTGTATGCAGGTCGGAGGTTGGCAGACCAACTAAGCTGAATTGATTTGAGCCGGTGTGGAGGCGGTTGACAATATTATTAAAGCTTTTGTTGTTTATAAAAAAGAAATGAATTAAAGTGTTCGGTAGAATCGTTTTATGGAGCGCTGCGTGGAGGTTTGAGCAACTCTACAGCTCGTTATACTGAATCGGTAGTTTGAAAAAGTTGCGTCGACTATTTAATCAAATCCATAGTATGGTTATAATTAGTCCTATCTTTTATCATCAGGTAAGTCCCTGTTTTAATTGTGTATGTGCGGTTGTTTCGACGATGCCTAGTTTCCATGGGAAAAGGAAGTATCGATTTCACTCCCTCAAACGTAGAAATACCACAACGTCTCCTTCAAACCTTTCCTCTATGATTTAAAGAATCTGTCCAATGAGTGGTTTTGTAAAATTGTAGCTGGTGTAATTTTTAAGTCCACTGTGAATGCGTAAACGCTTGCTCATTTTGCACCCAAAACCAGAATACGACCCTCATATACAAAGTCGTGATCGGCCTGACAAGCAGAAATAGGATCAATAATTCAGCAACAGGAATTTCGAGATCAAATTCACAAAGTAGACGTTCCGTTGTAAAGAAAAGTGCCTTACTGGCCAATAGCTACTGGCCAATAGCTACACCTTCCTGAGTTGAAAAACCTACATGCGCTTAACTGGTCCGTCTAAAAAACACCACTTCAAACCTCAATGGAGCTCAAATTCAAAAGACCATATCTCCTTGACATCTAAATCCCACTTCCATTCCGCATTGCACCCAATTGCCTCAATTGACTCAAAACCAGGAACCCTCATCTACCTTATCCACACTGAAACCAACCTCCCAATCTGGCTCCACGTGGCTCAATGGCCTCAATTGCAGGCCAATTGATCCCCAACCACTACAACCTACAAAAAACTACACCTCAATCTCAGATCAGTATCTAATAAGTATCCAGCATATACGCTTACTTCTTAGAACCCTGGGCGGCAACGGCGGCAGCACCGGCAGCAGCAGCCTCGGGGTCCAAGTAGTAGGCAGGCTTGGTAGGAACCAACTTCTCGTCCAACTCGTAGACCAATGGGATACCGGTTGGGATGTTCAAACCGGCAATCTCGTTGTCAGAGATGTTGTCCAAGTGCTTGACAAGACCACGCAAGGAGTTACCGTGGGCAGCAATGAGCACGGTCTTACCGGCCAACAAGTCGCCGGCGATCTCGTCCTGGTAGAAAGGCAACAAACGGTCAATGACCAACTTCAACGACTCGGTCTTTGGCACGACAGCAGGGTCAATGTCGCGGTAACGGATGTCACCAGCCTGGGAGAACTCGGAGGAGTCCTCAATCACTGGAGGTGGCACGTCGAAAGAACGTCTCCAGGTCTGGAACTTCTCCTGGCCGTACTTCTCCAAAGTCTGGGCCTTGTCCTTGCCCTGAAGAGCACCGTAGTGTCTCTCGTTCAATCTCCAGGATCTCTTGACTGGAATGTACAACTGGTCGGCCGCCTCCAAGGCCAAGTTGGCGGTCTGGATGGCTCTCTTCAACTTGGAGGTGTACAAGATGTCGGCAACGATACCGGCTTCTTTCAAAAGCTCACCACCACGGACGGCTTCCTTTCTGCCGACCTCGGAGAGAGGCACATCCACCCATCCGGTGAAAAGGTTCTTTTCGTTCCACTCACTCTGGCCGTGTCTGACCAAAACTAACTTAGGCATGCTGTGATGCGAAAAATGTGGGAATCCTCCTGCTTTATATACCCGGGCCGCACCGGGCCGTCACCTGACAAGGCCCTGGAACCTGAAGGATGTGGTATTTGGGATTTCGAGGATATGGAATTTGAAGGTTTGGAGATTCTCTAAAATGGCCCTGTGGCTGTGGAATTAGCTTGGGTGTGGAATCGGTGGTGTAGTTCCATAGTGTACGTCTAACCCTAGAGGTGAGAACTGGATCATGTGGTTACAGGTCAATGGACAGGCTCATGACGTGCGATGTGGATTTGATCTATGGAGATTTTGGGATTTTTGAAGATCTGGAATTGGTTATTGGGGTAATGGTCTTTTGGTGCTGGGAAGAGTTTGGTGAGTTTCATGTGGGGGAGGTATGGAAGAGGTTGCGTTGATTCGCCTCAATTGAGCTAGTAATCAAAAAAATGGATTACAGAATTTCTCCCCTCCTCAAATATGCTACTCGTAATACATTGCATCAATCAATTGCTTCTTTTTCTTCGAAAAGAGTGCCCACCTCTTCCTCTCCACGTTGTGGTTATAGGTGTGGCTGCAAAAGATGCGCTTACAGATCCACACCAGGAGACGTCAAGACGTTCAGATGAGAAAAGGGAAGATTTACGAAATCAAATTCATTTTTGAGAACAAACGAATTGTACTGTTATGGCAGTGACTTTTCTGTACAGTAAGAGAGGAGACGATTGACTGTGTGAAATCCTTAAAAAAGCCAACGCTGTGCTGAACTTAGAACTCACCTAGTTTACCCATGATCGAGGGTGGATAACCCTTCCTTCTGTTCATGTAATTGACCTGGTTTGAGGATTCTGCTGAACCACTGTGATCCACTAACTGTGTAACATGTCCACCACACTATGGACACATGGACCATCCAGAAGCTCAACAAACAAAAATACCCGGTTTTAGATCAAACCCTTTACACCAATTGCCCAAGCTATCAATTGCAATATCTTAGAATCAACAAAACACACCAGTTACCGATGGACCTCGGCCTTTTGTAAGCCCGGGCTGGTGGTGCATGTGAACCACACGGCTGAATGGACAATACCACAGGGTCCACCCGACGATCTCAACTTTTGGATTTTCTTGAAGAGCTCAAATTGAGCTCATGCTAAACTTATGATGTCGAAAATCGACTATTTCCAAAGCGTAGCAGTCCTCTTTCCACTCTGTGCCTGACATCAAGTATACTACCTAGACGAGCTCTGATTGGCCAGACGCTTAGGGGTCTTATTTCTTCCCAAAAGCCTTTTATTGCCAAAACCCAGGCTTTCATGAGCCTCATGTTGCAGCACGAGCCGGTGGTGCAATATGCTCTTACACGGTCTGTGACAGCAGGTGATGGTGCTTAAGCGAAAAACGTGAGACTGAGCCAGGGCCAAGCACATAATGCAATGCAAGATAAGAAAGCAAAGTAGACGGGAAGAGGTAGCGTGAGTTTGATATTTCGCCCTTATTTGGGACGTGTTGTTGGTGGCTGCAAAATATGCTTTGATTGTTCGTGGTGCACACTCCAGCGCTTTCATGACAGGGGCATTCAAAAGATGGCTTTGCAAAAAAGCCAATGCTCTTGACTTCTTCAGATAAATCCTAAAAAAAGAAGATGCATTGTCTGTCTTGGCTACTGGAGCGGCTGGTTCTGTGTCACGCCACACGCACAAATCTCGCGATGGTGTTGCTCCAGTAATAACGTGCTTGATCTGAAGATATCCAATCTGAAGCTTTTTGAAAACAAACGATGAATTGATCCCACGTGGCATAGCTCTTGTTGCGACACCAGGTTCCATGACATTGATGATATCACCACTTGCTGTAGTATTGTCCGGATCCAGGAACCAATAACTCTACCAACGTCATCTTAAATGTATACCCACGATAGCCCTAGCGACCTCTACCCACTCCTTAGTGAATCAATCAGGTCAATTCATAATGTGCTTTCATATTGCTCGTTATCTCTTCTAGATGCTATAGCGGTGTAAGAAGAACCTGAGGGATTTGATCAACTATCCCAACCTCCGTATCTCGACCTCCTTCGGACCTTCGCCCCGTTTCTAAATTCGCCTCAGCACAGCTGCGTATGCGTATCGGAACACTTTGGACATTCGGGCGATAAGATACTGATCGTTGGTTAGGCGCCGTGCAGAAAGTGCAATTTGCGATGGTATGTAGGTTTCTTTTTCGGATTTGCGATCTGGACCAAGCAGATGAAATTGGCGGTTTCAGGGTTGGTCCTGTTGTGCTAGTTAGTCGTCTTGCATCTGTAATTTCTTTAAATGTCTCCCGCTGAAACCGAAGGAGACCGAAGGAGTTGTCCAGAGACACGAAGTAGGTTGGTCTGCGTCAGACGCTTTTGACCGTTGGCAAGTCGAACCGTAGGGATCCGTGGATACAGAGAGCCAGGGGGGTTTGATATCAAGTAGCATTGGAGGCGAAGGACCAAGGTAGGGTATCGCCTGTGAGGTAATTGTCGTCTGAGCTATCAATGAAGGTGTGCTTTCAATCCTGACTTGTTGCTCTGGATTTCAATTCCTTCCACTGTGATTCTGATATTTGCTTTCGGCTTCATGTACTCAAAAAGAAATACCATAAAACTCCTCTCTTTTGTCGAGACCCTCCAACAATTCGCCCCTCAATGGAAGCTCTGCATCTGTGTTGTGGTCTCTGCAACCTTGTGGTCTGCTGGATTGGGTGCCAGTTCATATAATGTCACCACAGGGTCCTTCGTAAGCTCCGTAAACTCTCCCCGAAGCTCAATGGAATGCAAATGCGTCTGCTCCTCGTCTCCGTAGATATCCTCGAAAAACAACGTCAAATGCTGGATGCCCGTGAAAATGTGCCTGGGAACGTGGTGCTCTACAAAATCAGCATCATCCTCCAAAACCTCTGGTATTTCGTCATCATCGTCGTTGTAGTTCACCCCGACATGAGGATGCTCGAGCTTGTGGAGCGGCTTGACCAGATCAACATTGTCAAAGTCGATATCTCTGTTGTTCTTCCACAATTTGATGGACTTTGGACAGAACTTGTCTCCGTTTGTTCTGAGGATTATGGAGTGAAGTTTCACAGATCCGTTCAAAAACGGCACGTGCAAGATAAGCTGTTCGTCTGCGTCCAGCTTCAATACCGGCTGGAGGCTGTAGCGGGTGTTAGAGTCTTTAAATAGCTTGGCCAAGTCTTCAGGCTTGTTTTCAAGATTAAGTGCTGTGACATGGGGCAAATCGACTTTCAGATTGAGCAGGGACGCAATTGAAGTGGGAATTGGTGGAACGTGGTCGTCTCCGTCGCCATCGCCATGGCTATGGCCGTGAATGTGTTCATTTTCACAGGACATATTGATAGTATGTGATGTTTTTGGGTCAGTGAAAAGTTGTCTTACAGGGGCGATAAGAAGATGAACTCTTGGGTGTGGGGATTTCTTGAGTTGCTGATTCAGCTGAACGTATTTTTGAGTGGCGAATCCGTCTGTGTTCGATAGTTTTCTCGATGTTGAAGAAGAACGGAGTAGAAGTGTGGAGTTGATATCGCCCGTATACAGGTCATCCATGGGGAGTACGCCCTGATTAGGAAACCAGCCGAAGAGCTACTTGATTTTATAAGATTGAGAAAAAGAGGTTTAATTTTTTTTGAATTTGTTTTATTTTGTGTGTTTATCGTGCTTAGGGTGAGGGTCTTGCGCACCATACATAATTCAGTTTGTTGATTCCGTAGATAAGATTAGATGGAGCGCAAAATTATTATAAGGACAATGTAGGGCGATCGTTTATTTTCATCTGCTGCAACTTCATGTCAATTGAGGTACCCTCGTGAGGGTGCTTCGTCTCACCAATTTTGTGTGTTTCAATTGACATAAGTGAATGACTTGAAGCAACCAAATCAATACCACAAAGTACGTATATCCTAGTAAGCTTTTGACCACCGCTTAATGTCGCTAAAATTCAGTAAACCTCCTCCAGGGCTCCAGATTCCCAGATCACCGTACGACGTGCTTGATCCTTCACTGGACATCAGCACAATGACGTTCTCCACATCCTGATGCAAAAGCACTCTCAAAACCCCTGGCTTAACCTCGTCAAATCTTTCCTACGAAAAACGCATTTCACATAGCCGCTCCTTTTCGAGATTCGGAGATTGACTGGCTTTGTGTCTACGCCTTCGGAAACCTGCTCAAAACGCAATGTACTCCGAATTTGTGGGGACCACAGAAGCTGGAGGATTTGAGATTAAGCTCAAAAGAATTTCTATTTTTTTAATGGTGGGCTACTAAGTGTCTAAATTCAAGGTACTCAATGTGACTTCAATAACACCACAGTACCACTTTCAACCACTCAACACAACTCAATACTACCTCCTCCTCCACCTTCTATTTTCGACTTTGTGATTCTGGGGAGCGTGCTTCTGTTTTGAAAAAACGAAACATTCCCTGACGTCATGGAGCCTCATGAGCGTTTGCACCTGCTCCATGTGAAGATTTGGTCCAGAGGTGTATACAAAAGTATGCACACATTCCAAAGCTCCTAAGATCAAGGCATGCTGGGTGAAACGGGGCGAAAAGGCTATTTCCTTTTTTTTTTTTTTTTTTTCTACTTTCTTATTTTCGACATTCAGCCACCTCCACGATTTGACAATGCGTGTCGGTGTCGTAGGAAAGAATAGACTAGGATGAAGATCCTGAAACAGATCAACAAACAGAAGAACACAATGAACGAACGAATTGGCAACGGTTCCTGAAAAAGAAAATCAACAATCAACGACAATTGACAACTACAATTTAAGCCGTGTCCAGAACATACAGCTATAATCAAGTCAGATGTGTAGACGAGGACCGGCTAGATTTCCCGTAGCATAGTGAAACCGGGTAAAACAGGGTATTTTGAAAAAGACTGGAATGGACCAAACGCCGGCACAAAACCGGCTAATAGTACATACCCAAGCACAGGATCTCTGGTACCTTGACGTAGTTCTGACGTAGTTACCCAAAACGGGGCGAAAGGCCCGGCGCATTTCCGAGGGTGCCTGTTTAAGCGAATATCACGTGGCTTATACACATGACACACACGTGGCGCAGCCTGTTGCCCAGAAAGCACTGGTGGTTATTTTAGTAGAAAAAAGGGACAAGGAGTATACGCCCGCCTTGTGCATTGGCGGCACGTTACGGCCAGGTTTAGTTTCTTTTGGGCGCGGTTTTTTTTTTTTTTTTGTGTGTGTGTGTAATGGCGCCCCACGTGCAGGACGCCATGGACTGCAGGCAATGCCCACTTGCCGAAACCATATGATGTCATGTCGTCCTGACACTTGTGCAGGTGGCCATTGGCTAGAGCGTTCGTCGACGTCATAGCGACTTGGTAGGGGCATTGACGGACGTCAGAGGCCCATTGATGGTGGGGCATTTTGGCAGCTTGCCCCTCTTCTGCCCCGCTCGTGCCCAGCACCAAAAAAACCGCCTCTTTCCAAAAACCCCATTGCCAATGGACCCTGAAGGCGTCCTGGGTGCTCAACATGTCAAAAACTATCGATATTAGTCGAGACTGCACATAGAGTCAAAAAGAAAAGGCCAACTATATGCAAGGACCAACAAAAAAAAGAAAAGCGCATCTGCAACGTCTCGCGGTCGGAAAAAATCTGTTGATCGCATCTGGTGAGTAGATAAGCCGGCCATTGAATAGTCCATGCAGTCCGTGCCTAAAAAGAAAGGATACCTAGCTGCAAAAACCGTAAAAGCAATATCTCCTGAACCCTGGACAAAAGGTATAAATACTGCCTCCTCCCTCGTTCAATTTTAGTTTTTCTCATCAGCAAAAAACAAATAACTCATTCTTTAACATGACCATTCAGAACCAGCCAGCTATCTTCTACGTCAACGCCGCTCTCTTCGACTGCGATGGTACTTTGGTGAACTCCACCGGTGCTATTTCTGAGTTTTGGAGAGACTTCGGTAAGACTAGACCTCACGTTAACCCAGAAGAGATTATCAGAACTTCTCACGGCTGCAGAACTTTTGATGTCATTGCCAAGTGGTCTCCAGAGGATGCTGAGGAGCAGCAGGTTACCAAGTGGGAAGCCTCGATCCCAGACACCTTTGGCCACTTTGCCAAGGCTATCCCAGGTGCCGTTGAGCTTGTCAAGTCTTTCGACAAGTTCTCCAAGGAGGCCACTGAGGACGCCAAGCAGAGATGGGCCATTGTCACCTCTGGTACCCTCCCATTGGCCACCAAGTGGTTGAACCTTCTTACCATTCAGAAGCCAGACTGCTTCATCACCGCCGAGAAGGTCACCAAGGGTAAGCCCCACCCAATGGGCTACAGATCTGCCAGAGACACCTTGGGCTTTGAGCATGATGACGCCAAGGTTGTGGTCTTTGAGGACGCCCCAGCCGGTATTACTGCTGGTAAGGGTGCCGGAGCCATGATTGTTGGTATCTGTTCCACATACGACCCTGAGAAGGTCAGAAAGGCCGGTGCCGACATTGTCGTTGACGACCTTTCGTCTTTCAAGATTGTTGGCTTCAACAAGGAGACCAACGAATTCAAGGTGCAAGTGCTGGAGTACCACTACGCCAACGAGGAGTACCTCCAGAATGCTTAAACGGGTCGGGAACTAATAGAGTGTATAATAGAATTTCATATGGCATAGAATTTGAAGTGTAGTATCTTTGCAAGTTTACATTGCAAAAGTCCTTTGTTGAGATCAAGAACACTATCAATGGTTACAGATTGTGATGATCCTTCCTTACTTTACCGTGATGAAGCTCAATTGAAGCAAGTGGTCAATTCATTCGAAGCACTTCAGCAACACTACGTTATCTTAACATTCCTGTGGTTCGTCTAATCCGATGATCATCGTCTAAGAGAAGCAGTCTCTTCAAATACTAATTAGACAATTGAGCATGTCGATTTCGTCACTTCAGCAACCTTCCCATTTGGCCAAATTGCTTGTGGCTCCATGAAAAGGAAAACCTTATTGCCCCCTGGGTTATTCTTTGTGATTCCTGGCGGCTAAGTGAGACATGTTACGGCAGTTTCGGGAAACCTCTTTTACCCTCTGTGCTTTCCGCAAAACTGACCAAGCAATATACCGCATACACGAGGAAAAAGTTGTTTCATGAAAAAATTGAAATGAATTTTGAATTGAAATGATGGAAACTTCTTTTCAAAGGCAAATCATCACTTTGTGGATCCAATTGAGTAGTGGTATTTCGCAGCCATTTAGGTGACAAGCATTCTCAACAACACAAACCGACAATGTTCAAAACCTCACAGTTTCATAACAAAAGCACGATCTTGTGCATCTCCAGAATTACCAAGACACAAATTGCCGTGCCGACCTGAAAACGCTAGGGACATTTAGGCTTTTTTTTTTTTTTTGGGCAGTATATTTGCCTCCTGCACATACCACGGATCCCTACAATCCTCCTATACAAGAAAGGCCCTTCGACAGCTCTTGTGCACAACCATATGCTCGTGGGTCAGATTTCACACTTTGTATAAACTGTAAGACTTGAAGCATATCGCTGGGAGACGGCCGGTGCAGGATGTGATTTCTGTTTTCAGACGAACGTACTGCACATAGTGAGGCGTTGGCCGGAAGATCACGTGCCCGGTTTCAAATCCCTAGCGTGTATGAAAACTGAACCTGACGTCACAGAGCCTCCCAAACAGTGTAAGGGAGGAATGTCTCCCTTTCCTGTACAAATAAGGGTATGGTTTGAAAGCCGTGGGTCCAGATGATAATAGCGGCCTAATTTATCCGGCCAAGAACTCTGGGAGGGGCAGGGAGGGGCTCCACCTTCGGATCAATTGAGGGGCTGCCCCTCGCAAAAGAAATTCAGTTATTCCGGCTGCTACGGTTTCCTGGAAAACCCCCGTCTTTTCCCAACTCCCTTCGTCTCCCATACCTACAGAAGCCCTGAAACTAGGAGAGGCTGCGTCAGAGGCGAAACTAGTGTGAAAAATCGCATCCATCTGGACCGCGCAAAAGATATGCACCTCAATTAGGAAAATGTGCTTGTGTGCAGGCTATTGCATACAACTCGTTTTGCCTCCAACTACCTGGCACGACATTCTGGGCTCAAAAACGATTTGTTTGAGGTTGTAGGTACTGCCGTTTTGGGATATGCCTTTTTTGAAGCGTTCCAGTAGCACCAGTTGAAGAAACACTGGATTTCACGTGATACGAGCTTATGTAAGTGAAGAGCCTGTGTGCAGGACGGTTGTTACTACCTCGCAGGCCTGTCAAGAAAATCAGCCAACACCTTGGCGATGAGCTCGTAATGAAGAGACAATGGCCTAGGCCCTTTTTTAGTAATTTTTCAGGAACGCCTTTTGTAGTAATTTTCTTGAAACATATAGTTTTGGCTTTCAAGATCAGCGTACGAGGATCGCTCGTAAACGCTCAATGCAATGAAAGAAATACATAAGCGATCTAAAAAAAAAAAACTAAAAAATTTACAAATATCGCCTCCTCAAATCTCTAGCTGCTCACTGTAAAGCCGTGCTAAATGTCAGCCAAGGTTTGGCCCATTGTACTACAATGCCTTTGTCAACGACTAAAGTGAAAAGTATATATTCAATTGGCATCAATAAACCCGGCTTGCTGGTATGCTTGTGATGAAGCTTTTGTTTTTCAATTGCTTTGTTCTCAACCAGTAATACCTGCTTGCGTCTTGTGTTCGCTAATACTTTTCCCATTGTTGAGCAGACTCACGATGACATCAACTATCTCGAGCACTAGCTAGTGACGTATTCCATCTATGATTAGATTTGTGATTGACTTTTTTGTACCAAGAAACACTAGGCATTTGGTTACTGGATTTTCCGCTGGCCAAGGCTTTGTAGAGTTGCTTTAAGCTAGTGATGATTGGGTCAAGTGCACAAACGAGGAAGTCCTCCAGGTTTCTCTTTTATTGAAGTTTAGTTCATTGTTGCTCTCATTGGTCAATGTTGCCTTCCACTGTGGAGCCTGATTTGGTCGTCTCATCACCATACGGTGGATTTAGCTCTAAATACAAACACTAAGTGACTAAAATGCAATGGGGAGTCTTCTGTTGAAATTCACAACGTCTGAAATAAATGAGGAGTTGCGTTCAAGAGGTCAAACCCAAAGACAGGTGGAGTTCTATGGCTTTGCAGTGAGATTTCAGCTGGTGGTAAACCAACGAGAAAAGTATTCAGAGTAAGAAGAGCAACTCAACAGTCAGGTCTCAGAACCGTCGGCTCGACAAATTGAGCCTTTATTCTTCACTCTCGAATAAGCATCATTGACTTTCTCACCACTCTTCTCAACTTGCGTAGTATTACATCAACAGGTCAAAGTACCCTATCCTCAAGAGCGACATCCAGCATGTTTCTTAATGAATAATTATGTGACGTATTCAATCTATAATTGGATTTGTGATTTACCTATTAGTACCCAGGAATACAAGGTTGCTGGATATTCGAGCTGCTTTAAGCTAGGTGATTGGGTCCAGTGCACAAACGAGGAAGTCCTCCAGGTGTATGTTTTTTTATCGAAAATCAATTCCTTCTTCGCTGGTCTATGTGACGTTCTAGCGGTGTACTGATATAGGTAGTCTAAGTACCTGCCTGTGCTTGGATTCCAGACAAACCTCAGATGTAGCAGTAGGCATTGCCATCTAAATAGCATGAGTAGAATGGAAGCGAGGATAAGTTCATTGAGAATACAACTTCGAGAAGAAAAATTAGCCATATGGTTTGGTGGATGTTCATGTCTACATTTGAAGATATCCAATAAGTTCTCATAGTCAATGAGCGATCAGCTCTTCTAAAAGTTAGTATTGAAGGCAAAAAAATGCCGAGCTTTCCCTTTATCTCTTAATTGAAATGTAACATGCTCAAGTTTCTCCTTACCCTAGTGACCTTGCCTAGTACTACATCAACAGGCCTCACCACGAAGTACACTATACCCCAGGGCGATATCAAGCGTTTCTTTTTTCCTTTTGTTTTTCTTTTATTTTTTTTTTTTTTTTGCTTAATGAATAAATCCCTAAACACGAAGGCAGAATAAAACAACATTTTAAAGCCCATTTGCCTCATCAAATCACCCTCCCCACATCTACTCACACTGCACTTCTCACATTCTCAAATCTCAATCCACACTATCAAACCCACCCAACACCCCATTCCCCAAAACTCCCAAATTCCCCTGAAAGCCAAAAAGCCACTTTTTCTCTCAACCTCTCAAGCCTCCTCACAATCCAACCCCTGTCGCTTAATTCCTTCGTTTGTTTACCTTTCGTCCCAATCCGGTAAAGACATCAAATTACCACCAGGATGTCCCCATTATCTGCCACAGCACCATTCTTCTCCATGGCCGAAATCAGAACTCCTGTCAGACAGCCTTTGAGGCCCTCTAATAGGGTCATTCTGGAGTCCACGGGGCTCTGTAAGCTCCAACTTTCACCAAAAAGGGAAAACCGTACCAGACCTCTTCCAGCACTGCCTAAGGTCACCAGCAAAAGACTGATTCTCAATGTCCATCCTCCACAGCCAGAACCAGCTAGGTCTCCGTCAAGAAATGAAATTTTGGCAAAGTATGCTCAGAAACAGGCGAAGCTCATGGAACTCGAAAACCAAGCCGAGCTTGTGAGATACGAAATAGTGGAGCTTCAGGCACAGCTCCAGGCGTCTGAAAAACCAGAAAATCAGGCATTCACAGAGGTCAGAAACCTTACAAAAAAAGTATCAACGATGTTCCAGGCTCCACAGCCTGCGCTCCGGAAAAGGGCTTCCAACATCTTCGCCTCAGAACCAGCAGCCTTGAAGCAAAAAGCGTCTTTCATCTTGAACAACCGTTTTTTGAATGACGTGAAAGAGAAAATGGACCAGCAGCAGGCGGAGCTCGAGGAATTCACGAAAAAAGGGTCCAACTTTGCCCGCAATTTCTTGGGCTTCAAGAAGGAAGAAAAGGACGTTGCTGATTCGTCGTTCATGTTTGAAAACCTCCAGTCCGAGCCCGTCGACACCAACAAGTCCATTCTTCTCAGTGAGGAGCTGGACTCCTCCTTGGTGGTGGATGCATATGTATCAGACGATGAGGACTACGACCTGGACGAGTCTGTGCTTCACTCGAGGTAGATTTATAGAAAAGGACAGATGGGTTGAAAAGTTGAAAATTTGAATTAATATAATTGAAGTAAAGGAATTTGTAAGGGGCATCAAACGAATTTGAAGGTTGTGGTCGATAGAACGACTATTAGTGCTGTGTCTTGTGAGTCAATAGACTAGTGAACTTCCGACTCAACTAGATGATAGATTCGTCGGTCCCATATGATCATCTCTTTTTAAATTGTCATAATTCTAGAAAAAAAATGTATGCCTTTGACTCTACCTACCTCTTATTGCTTAATATACATCGTATAGTGGTATAATTCCTCACCATGCAATTACCATGCAACCAAGAAATTTAAATATTCCATCATCTTCGATATCCCTCACTTTCGAAATCTGCTTCTTCCAAGGCCTCATCCCGACTCCCTTATCAGTGTCTTATCTAACCTTCTTCGTTCCTACATATCCTACACTCACTCTTCTAGAAGGTATCAAGCTTGGGCATTATATACGTTATTGTCGCCGGAACATAAAGCGGACTACTCGTCTTTACGGTCTTCTTCGAGCCAGCCCTTGGCTCTCTCGATAGCTTTCTCCCAGCGTTTCCAGTTCTTTCTTCTCTCGGCATCGGGCTGGACGGCCTTGAATTTGTTGGAGTCGCCGTCTTTGCCGCTCAAACATTCAATCACCTCGTCAAAGTTCTTCCACAAACGGTCATTCTCGTCCTTGAGACCTAGACCAGCGGCAATGGCTGCACCCAAGGCAGTACACTCGGCGTTTTCAGCTCTCTTGACATCCACACAGGGCCCAAGAATGTCAGCCTGAATTTGAAGAACTTCGTCAGCCTTGGACATACCACCGTCAACGGCCAAAGTCGACAATGGCGATTTCTCAGCCTGGGTGCTCATGGCTTCTTCCAAGAAATCCTTCGATCCACCAGCATCCTCAGCCATGGCTCTCAAGATAGCACGCACCTGGAAGCAAACACCTTCAAGAGCGGCACGGGCAATATGAGAGGATGAAGTGTATTGGGTCATACCGAAAATGGTACCTCTGGCACCACGGTCCCAGTAAGGAGCGTAGAGACCAGAGAAGGCAGGAATGAAAACGACGCCACCGGAGTTGTCCACTTGCGAGGCCAATGGGCCAATGTCCTTGGCATTGTCAATAAGCTTCAAGTTGTCTCTCAACCACTGGATAATGGAACCAGCAACGGCAACGGAACCCTCTAGCGCAAAGTGTGGTTTACCGTCTTCGCCGTCTAAGTTAGGGAACCAGAAACCAAACGTGGTCAAGGCACCGTGGTCCGAGATCAACTTACGAACACCCGTATTGTACAAAAGGAAACAACCGGTACCGTAGGTACATTTGGCAGAACCGGGTTTCACAGCCATCTGACCCACCAACGAGGCCGACTGGTCACCCAAACAGCCGCAAATGGGCACGTTGTAGATGGTCTTCAACATGTCGTAGGCGTCCTGGGTGATCTTGTTGTGGAAACCCAAGTGGGAAAGGTTAGGAGCGGCAAAAGAACCGTAGTGCTCGGAAGAAGAGACGATCTTGGGGAAATGGATTCTTTCAGGGTCAATGTCCCAAAAATCGAGCAATTCCTCGTCGTAATCCTGGGTCTCCAAGTTCATGAACGACGTTCTAGAGGCATTGGTGACGTCGGTGACGTAGGAGCGTTCCTTGGTCAAGTGGTAGATCAACCAGGTGTCGACGGTACCGAACATCAAGTTACCTTCGCCAGAGTCGTACTCCTCACGGATGGTGTCGTCATTGTCCAAAAGCCATCTGACCTTGGCAGCAGAGAAATAGGTCGACAATGGCAAGCCTGTCTTCTCGTGCATGGCGTCCTTGGTCTCCTTGTCGGTCATGTGCTCCAAATGCTCCACAATCTCGGCCGTTCTGGTGTCTGTCCAGGTAATACCGTTGCACAAAGGCTTTCCTGTCTTTCTGTGCCATATAAGCGTGGTTTCACGCATGTTGGCGATACCAATGCACTTGACCTTGTACTTGATCTTGATGTCGGGGTTCTGGTTGATTTTACGCAACGTGATAAGACACGCCACCAAGCACTCCACGGCGTTGGCCAAGATGTGCACGGGCATACACTCGACCCAACCCGGTTGCGGGAAACGAAGGGTAGGACCCAAGGAAGCAGCATTGTTCTCAATTTCGACATTGTCGGTGATCAGAATGGCCACACCCTCGGCGGTGAAAATGGGCTCGTTGTGGCGCATAAGCGAGGACCTACGACGGTACTGGTCGGTGTTCAGAGACGTTTCAGGCGCCTCAGACGCCGACGTGGAGTACTCGATCTGGTGCTTGGCCACCTCGGTGCCGTCTTTGGCGAAAAGGATGCATCTAGCGGAGGTCGTGCCGATGTCGATGGTGGCAACGACGGGGTTGGAAGGGGCGTTGGAAGAACGACGTGGCATGCCGATGAATAGACTATTGGATCTCGTCGAGTGGGTCGGGCAGGTTTCTTGAAGAAATGACGAGGATTTCCGAATTCGAGGTCACGCCGGTGATACTTTCGGGGTTTCTGCGGCGTTTATCGACGAATTTAGCACGTGTAGGGCCGTGGCAGCAAAATGAACGAGAAACGGTGGAAAGAAAAGTAGTTGGAGTTGATAAATTGGTCGCGCCGATGGCAACCGCAAGTGAGCCAAGCCAGAGATGAAAATTTGGGCGATTTTCCGAGGAGAAAAAGATCAAAAGAGAAGGAATAAAGTAGTTGCTTTTTTTTTATTATTTTTTTTTTCTTTTCAACCTGCCCGATTGGCAGGTTTTCGTTGAGTGAGGTCTCCACGTTCATATCTACAGCCGCCTCGGTGCTTCATGCAAGTAGGGTTCGAGATAGCGGGCGTTTTGTGGGATTTTAGAGGCCCGGGGCGATTCTCGGGGAATTTGCAGTGAAATTTATGAAAAGGCTTTGAAGACTTTGATTTTGATGATTTTGCAAAATTCCAGCTGAACTCCGTGCCCTGCGGCGTTGAACGAGGCTGTCTCAGCAACCGTGGGTTTCTTGCGGTGATGGCTGCAAACCCAGTGGAAATGGCGTCCCTTGCGGGTCAAAGGAGGCACGATTTTTGGATTTTGAAGCAATTCAGCAAAAATTCTTCGGCACTTTCCAAATTCTCAAATCTTTTTGTTGCCAGGCGAAAACGATGACCGTTTCTTCTCGGTATGCCTTGGCTCAACGGCCCGCCTCACTGAAAAATCTCAGATAACACCTTCGGCGTGTTTGGCGAAAATCCGTGTTTTTTGAAAATTTTAAAGTCCCCCAAAAACTCCAAGAATCTCTTATCAAAATTCCGTCCCGTCTCTTTGTTTTGCTGTCACCGGGCCCGAGATTACGCCGAGAAAATGGGGATCTGGGGTAGTCTGGGGCGCGAGCCCTTCATTGGCTGCGAAACCCAAGAAATACGTCGAGGCTGTGGGCGAACAGGGCTTCGGGAGTTTCGGGTTTTGGGTTTTGGGGTTTGGGTTTTTGAGTTTTGTTGGATTTTGTTTTGATTTGTGGATGATGGAAGTTGGAGAAGTGGCTTGGTTTATTGGTTGGTGATGGATTTTGGTAAGCTTTGGTGGGGAATTAGGGCTCGCAGTGGAAATTTATCGGTGACTTCGAGACTATCTGATTTTGATACTGCGAGATGGCATCCACCAAAATATTGAAGTTCAAGAATTGAACACTTTTCATGCCAATTCTTTCATCTACCAGCTCTATCTGAGAAGCTACTCCGTAGCCAGATAGCTTTTAGCCAATCAGCTTCAAACTGATTAGCTCGGAACTGATTAGCTCTTAACGATTAGGAATGCTGAATTGCATCAAATGAGGGAAGTTGATGCTTTGATATCTCTGTGTAGTTTTGAAAATCGTCATTCCATTTTGAAAAGTGCTTTAAACTGCTTGTGACGATTCACTAGTTTTCATCAAAGCCCCGACTAAAGCTTCGTTTGCAGACACGAAGTGCACCTGCAATGTGGCTTAAACCAGATTGTTGCAAACGGTTTCCTTGATGATAGGGTTTTTCAAATTTATCTGGATGAATACTCAAAGTCACCGTTTGAGACAATAGCTTGATATCTCTGAATTCCTCCTATTAATCCAATATATCACTTTAAGACTTCTTGGGTATCAATACCTAAACCTTATTTACTGGTCTGTCTAACTCTATCATCAAAGTTCCCTAATGCTCCTCCCTCTCTACAAATCCGTCGTATCTGAATGCAATTCTAAACAAGTTTTCCGTCTCACGGGCATGGCCACCCGCATGCTATGACTCTATGATGCTCGAGGGTGATGCTAAATCTGGTCGCCGTCCTTGAACTGTCTGCCCTTGACCTGGTCCAAGTGCTCACCGTGGTAGCTGGTCAAACCCAGAACCTCCACCAAGGCGCCTTCAGGAACGACACCGCCGTTCTCACGCACCCACCTGGTACCCAACTCGAGGAAATGCTTCTTACATGTGTTGGCGTTGTCATTGGCAGCAGAGGTGTTGTTCTTCAAAGGACTGAACTCCTCGGCTCTCTCCACCTCCAAGCAGCCAAACTTGTCCAAGGCCACAGAGGGGAACACGTCGAAGATGAACTGCTCCAACTTGATGCCGTTGGGCTGCTCGGGCTTGACAAATTCGCCAGACTCCAAGTCGATAGAAGCAATCTTCTTCTTGGCAATGTGGAAAGGCAAGTGCTCCTGCGACGACGTCCAGGTGTCCAACATCTTTTCAAGCAAGCTGACGGAATAGTAGTGGTTGACAATGTTGGCAGCACGCAAGTACAACTTGGCGGGGTCCGAAGGATCGGGCTTTTCGGTCAATTCCTTGGAAATCTCAGAGTACTCAATCACGCAGGGTCTCTGGGTCTGCTCGTCCAAAACAATAAGACCCACCAGCTCAGCGGCGTCTCTCTTTCTCACGGCCTTGGTGGCCAAGTCAAAGTCACGCTCGATAGCAAAACCCAAGAAAAGCGGGTCGGCCACCTTGACAAGACAGTTGTCCACGCAGTACATGTGGATATGCTTGATGTTCTTTTTGCGGAAGTCGTCCAAGAGGTTGGCCTTGGCAATGGCCTTGTAGAGACCACCATTTCCATCAGGGGACTCGCAGATTGACGATTTCGAGCCCATCAAGATCTTGGAGCCGTCCAACGAGAAACATGGCAAGGTGCCCTGGTTGAAAAACGTGATCTGGTCAGCGGCCAAGCCAAAATGGTCCTTTTTCTCGAAATGCTGCTCCGTGGCCTCTCTTGTGGCGCCCGAGGTCATGATGTACCACTGCACCTTGGGGTTAGATTCGGGAAACTTCTCCTTGGCCAACTGCTGCACCTTCAAGATCTTCTCCGCCTGGATCTGAAACAAGGTTTTGCCCAGGGGCAAGCCAATGTCGTAGCAGCCCTTAGGATCAGAACAACCCAAACGTGTGCCCTGCCCTCCAGCCAATAGAAGAACAGCCACCTCGTTTTTGGCAATCGTCTCCAAGCCAATGTCGAACCAGCGGTCCAAATGCTCACGTGTCTGTTCGATCGTGGACGAGGTCAGTTCGTGGGGGAGCTGGGCAAACAGCTTTTCGCCGGCAGCTTTCGAAAACTGGATAGCTTCTTGGACGGTTTGCACGAGCTTTTCTGGGTTATCGATGGCTTTGAGCTGGTCCAACAAAACCTGTTGTTCGTTTTCAGGCAACGCCTCGTAGGCAGCCACAATGTGGTTCTGGCCGGCGTTTTTGAACTGGTCCATGGTGTTTTTGGAAAAAAAGAAGTAGTTGTTGGCAAGATCACCGTGATAATTATAGCTGTCGCGGATTGTAATTTATCGAATCGGGAAGGCGCCAAAACATGCGGTGTGCATACAGTGCGGCCAGAGACACCCGTGATTCAAGCGATCGGAGGTCTGTGGTGGGCAAGGAAGGGGATTTTCGTAATCAGGACATGTGGTTTTGGCGGTGTATTCTGGGGATTTTCCGGGATTCAGGGGATTTTTTGGTTTCAGGCGTGGTATTCCAAAAACAGCGCGGCCGCACCGCAATGAGGCCGAGACAAGAAAAGAACCAAGGAAGCAAGAAAGGGGAGGCAGGCGCAATGGAAGGGGGAGGTCGAGGCAAATTTTAGAAGCATTTCAAAAAATTGATATTATTTTTAAACATTCACGAAATCCGCCGTCTTGCAAATCAGAAGATGCTACGTTCTGGCGATCCGATCTGGCCAGGCCGCAATAATCGAGGCAGGAACCATCGAGGCACCTGGGCCCTGTGAAAGGGGCGGAACAATAAAAGGTAAACGGGGTGGAGGGAGAGAAGGAGAAGATTTTGAAGAATATTCAATTTCAGAATACGAATTTCAAAGATATCAAAACCACATCGCCGCCAAAATCACACATTCTTCACTTTTCAGCCCGGTGAGCGAAATTTAGCCGAAGGCGCAGGGCCCGTAAATAGAAGGCAACAAACACGGCCGATCCAAAACTGGCTCGGCGGTGGCGGGAGTATGCAGAATTTTCTTTTTTTTTTTTTTGGATTTTTCGTTCTGCAATTTGAATCCTACAATCTGATTGGCTGAACATGCTTTTTCATTTCTCTTTTTCTGCTTTTACCGTCTCCGAGGCCTTCTTTGCGGAGGCTTCGATGCGTGAGAACCGTGGCCCTGGCGCAGGCGCCCATGCGGCCTCGTCTAGCACAATAGACCGGACGACATGGAAAAAGTTAATTGGGAGGGGCGCTGAAAAGTGGTTTTTTTTTATTATTTTTTTTTTTTTTTTCTTTTGGATTGGTCTGGATTGACAGGGGGTTTTATTAGGGAAGCTGAAATTTCCTATTTGGGATGACGTGTAGTGACATGTGGTTACAGGTGGTGACAGTTGGTTGCAAATTGTGGATGCTTTGAGGGATGTTTCAAGTGGTGTTTCGAGTGGTGTTTCAACGAGGTGGAAGATGTTGAATGTTTGATCAGAAGTGATCAAGAGGGGTTCTGTTCTCTTTGTACTAAATTGGTGTGTACTCTACATCCTAGGGGGCATTGCTTTGAGCTAGTCTATAGCAGCCGTAGAAGAAGCCTGGTTCACGATATCACAAGAAGCGAATTCCTCTTCTTCACGTATTATTTATCAGCTCAATTGACGGATTTAGACCAACTGACGGATTTAGACCAATTGACGAATCAAGATCAATTGACGAATCAATTGACGGGCCGACCGTCCTCTAGAGTCCCTGACTCAGTCTCTGATCCGAACAAAAACTAATTAAACAAACAACATGGCTTCTCTGTATAGCTTAATTAGCCAGCCATTTTGATGGAACCGTCACAGTCCCAATGGCAGTAACTCAAGTTGCAAAATCAGAAAGCAATGCGTGCAATTCTTATGGAATACCCAGAAACATGGGACTCCAAATCACCCTCCTTCTCAGAACATCGATTCCACGGGATGCTCCACAAAAAGAGGATTGACCCCCACAACCCTGGCCCCATTACGCATACCTTGGTATCCTCCACCTACGAACCCCTCTTCCATGGTCTTGATGTCTGGTTTTGGAGGATTACGGAGCTCTGCACAGTTCTTGGGGGCCTCCTTGTAATTCTCCGAAAATTCATCAAACGGCAACATACTGAGCCTGAACATCTCGATACCTTGCTCCATCAAGCACTCGCCGTAGGATCTCAAAATGGTCCTTTTGTTGGCCCTTTTTTCGTAAAACACTGCCCACATGGTTTCCGTATTGAAGTTCATCAAAATGGTGTTATCGGGCTCGAAAATCGTAGCATTGACCTTCAATTTTTCGTTACACACGGGCACGGCTTTAGTAGGATCGTCATTGACGTAGTCTTCTTCCACGCCAGTTTCAGGGTTTCTTCTGCAGTAAGCAGCAGTCAAGGTGGCTGCAAAAAGAGCATCCACAAATTTTCTCCAGAGCATTGCAAAAGATGAAGAGTTCAGAATTGCTTTAGTTGGCTGGTAGTAAATACGTCGTTTATCAAACAAAGGGTCCCTCGCTAATGCACAGGCGGGATCTTGGCGTCCTGCTTGGCGTAAATGAATGCGTTGATGAGCTCAAAGGCTTTTAAAGAAAGAAATAGAAATTGAAGATTGTTTACGATGAAGTTGTTGAGGCATTCGCAGGGAGTGGTATCTCTTATGCAGTTGGTGAGTTTGTGGAAGTTATGGAGAGGAGGGAAAAAGACGTTTTTGGGGGTCTAGGTTGAAGGGTGGGGCCAATTGTGTAGTTTCGATCCAAAAGCATTGTTTTTTTGGTCGTCAATGGTGTGAATATCTTTGGGTGATACTCGTATATCTTATGGTCTGGGGTGTCGAGAGTTGATGAAAGATTGTATTGGATGAGCTCAGAAAAGGGATTGCCTTCTGATTTGTAGAAATCTTCCAATTGGCTATTATAACCAATCATTCTAAAATTTGGGATATTCTCTAGGACAACTTTTAGTATGAGTAGTGGTGGGTCACATACAACCACACTTACAGCAGTGAGAATAGAGATAGCTTATCCGTTAAAAGGACCCCATTGGATGCCATTGAGTCGATTTAATTAGTTATTCTATTCTTTTCTTTGTGTTCTTTTTCCTTTTTTTTTTTTTTACTTTCTTCGTTTCATTCTTCTCTTTTTGCTTCACTTCCCTATAACTTGGACCAGGTCTCGGCAACTGGTATCATCACCACAACATGAAACCACTCCAAACAACCCACGAGACCAATTTCCGCCCCACATTTCACCTAAACAAAGCGTGTCGAATTTTTCAAAACACCACCGTGACGAAACCCCCAAAACAACCCCAATACAAAAATCCGCTTTTCACCAAACCACAATAAATACAAGGTAGAGCGGCAGAAGCCTACAGCGTCCAGGGCCGGTTTTCACGATTTTTCCGGGAAACCACAATGCTTAGTTTGGACCGCCACGACATTTATAAACCCGCCTCATCTCGTCTCCAGAGCGTGTTTGTTTACTCGCTTAAGCGCCCTGCTTGAAAACACCATAAACGGCTTTTACTTGATTCCACTTCCGACCATGTCGCTTGTTTACAAGTAATTAATAGCGTCAATCGAGTGAGCATGTGGGCTACGGTAGAATGGTGGATCTGTACATTGAAACGAATTAGGGCCCGATTAGATCATAAGGGCAATGATGGAGCCAACAACCGAGGACAAAATCATGCCTGGGGTCACGTAGGCGGCGGCAGCGCCCTTGCTGGAAGAGCCAGAAGAACCAGAACCGGAGGAGCCGGAACCGGAAGAGCCAGAGCTGCCAGAGCTCTTGGAGGAGCCGGAGGAAGAAGAAGCGGCAGAAGATGACGAAGGAGAAGAACAGTTGAAGTTGTGGCCCTTGATCTTCTTGTTGTCGTGCAACTTGATGAAAGGCTTGCACTCAAAGTCCTCGTTGTCGGAAGAGACGGAGAAGTCACCGTCAACCTCCTTCAAGTTGTCCAAGGTGAAGTTGCCAAAGTCGCCCTTGATGTTGATGGCACCCTTGACGGTCTCCAAGGACTCGAGCTCGAGCTCGTCCAACTTGGAGTTGTTGAAGATACGGAGCTCACCGTCAATCTCGGTCAAGTTGTTCATGGAGAAGGCGGTCAACTCCTCGTTGGCGAAGATCTGGAGAGAAGAACCAACCTCCTTAAGGTTGTCGAAAGAAACCTCGTCGAAGCCGTTGTAGGCAAGCTGGAAGGAGCCGTTGACGTACTCCAAGTTGGAGATGGACAAGTCACCAACGTCCTGGATGGTCAAGTTGGCGGCCCAGATCAAGTTCTCAAGCTTGACAGTGGCATTGTCAGAGTTGAAGGACAAGGTCAAGCCCTTGGAGACGGTCTTAAGGCCCGACAAGTCGATGGAGGAAACGTTCTTGTTGTTGTTGATGTTCAAAAGACCAATGTTGTCAAACTCCAAAAGCTTGTCGACAGAGGAGATGGCCGTGTCGGACAAGGTCAAGGAGGTCACCTCAGCGAGACCCGAGTTCAAGTTGAGACTGGAGAAAGATGGCAAGGAGATGAAGGACAACTCCTTGGCCTTCTGCAACTTGTTGAACTGGATAGCGTGCAACTGGGTCAAAGCATCGAAAGACAAGGAACCGGTGATGTTGCCCAAGCCGGAAAAGTCAATCTCGGTGATGGAGGAAGAATTGAAAATGTTAATGTCACCCTTGACGGTCTCAACCTGGCCCAACTGGAGGTTTCCGATGGCGTCACCGGTGATTTCAATGGTACCGTCCAAAGTAGGGCACGAGGCGAGTTCCAGAACGGCGGAAGCAGCCAGGATGGTGGTGGAGTAGGAGCACTTCTGGGAGGAGTCTGCGGCGGCGGCGAAGCCAGCCAAGGCCAAAACGAGAGACTGAAGCAACATGGTGAAGACGAAGAAAAAGAAGAGGAAGGAGAAAAAAAAAAAGTTTCAGGTGGATTTGGCGCAGCTAAATGGCTGCGAAACTGACAGCGACATTCTGCACCGGCGCGTGAGGTTTTGACAGGGTCACGTGACCGTGTCCTACATAGCGGTGTCTTTTCCGAGGGCCGCACCGGGGGTGTGCCGGGGGCGCGCTGTCAACACAAACACCGGAATGGTATAGCACAGCCCACCTCGGCTGTGGGATGGAGGGATATTCGGTCAAGGCCCTGTGGTTCGACGACATTTAGCTTTTCATCATTTGATTTTCTTCTTTATTTTTATATATATATTTTATTGAAAGTGAGTGGAAGCGCCACCAACGCCAAGAGTTTGGAGCTACACGAGGCGCTAGAGCGTGGCACGGTGCCTGAGATCACAATAGTCGATTAGCTTTCAGTTGATGAAGTGCGAAAACGGGCTGCGGCGAAAGAGAGCAAGTGAAAAATGGCTTTGTGAAAAGCCGGTGCGTATGGTTATGAGGCGGGCTGGATAGGTGTTTTTGCATGCTGGCTGGCCCGGCGAGCCTACGCTGTTTTTGGCAAGAAAATAAAGAAAAAAACCTACGCCTTTTTAAATGCTGTGAAGGTTTGTGTTTTGAAGGTAAATTGTTCGGGTTTGGGTGCCGAAGCCGGTCCGAAGGACAGGATCCAGCGCGGCAGCAGGGCCTAATTACGTTGTCGCGGGCCGAGGCAGGCAGGGCTGAATGGCGCGAGCAGGCGGTGATTTCGGGTCCCCAGGGGAGCTGATTTGAAGAAAGAGGCGGCAAAGTGAAGGCCCAGAGGTTCCAGTGAATTCGTCATTAGTAGCCGCTGAAAAAGTAGAGAAATGAAAAAAAAAAAAAAATAACAAAAGACTAGCAAAAGTTAGAGTTTGTTCGGATCACCAAACCCACCAGCCTGTGTCGCCCGGGAATTTTTCACTACCGCCCCGCCTGCCGCCTGGGCCCGCCCAAACAACCCTCAACCATCTCAACCCTACGGCTGCAAATGAACCACACAAACCAGCCACAACCCGTTGGCTTTTCAACCTCTATTTTTATTTTCCTTTCATCAGTTTTCCCTCTTTGTCTGTTTTTCTGCTTGGCCCCCGCAGCCTCTGTTTATTTGGCTTGCCTGCTTCGTCAGGGTACTGCCGCCCGGCGCTGGGGCTTGTTCCACGACATCGCTCCACGAGGTGTCAAATCTCAGGCACCGCGGGTGCAACGGCCCCACATTCTCGCCGTTGGCCCCTCCTTTGCATTGTGCTCTTCAACAATTCACCTAAATCCATTTCCTTAAATCATGTCTTCAATCGCTTAAAATAGTCTTCGATCGCTTTAAATCAAAATTCTATGGCTTCTTTGGGGGCTTCGTGCGACATGCCCTCGGATGGGCTGTGCTGTGGTTCAGCCTTGCTGGATTCCCCAGACGGCTCTCTTGACAATCCGTAAAAGCCTGCTGGCATTGGTAAGACCTCGTGGGTCGATTTTGGAAATTGCGGTGGTGCAGTGATTTCTTGGCGGCTTTAATATTTTTTAGTATTAGGTTGGCTTTGGCTCGTTGGCTTTTCTGGAGCTTGGGGTGGGGGACTTTTCGCAGCCAGTCTGAGCATGGAAGTAGCGTATTTGGAGGAAGGAAAGTGGACTGGTTGCTCTTTTGGTACTTTTTTCGTCTTTGAATTTTGAGGGGACGGGGCCTTTCGTTAAGGGAATTTTTTTTCGGTACGCTGACGTAGATGGGTTCCTCGTGGTGACATATTGATCAGTGCACTGGCACTTCTGACAACGAAATATCACCGCCTTTTCCAGCATTTACTGCTTTTCTCTCCTCTTCTCTTCTGGTCCTCTTTTTAGTGAGAGAACTCGTGATGGAATCAGCCCATTTGGTGAAGTTTAGGTGGGAACCCTGATTTCGCAGCCACCACACATGTGGGGAATTAAAAACTTTCTTCTTCAAATTCAATAGGAGACCATCATGGGGAGATAACTTCTTTATTGATCAAGTCGAATTTCCTTCTTCTTCATGATGTCTCGACGAGAGGACCCCCAATGGATGCTCGTGCTGCAATGTCCAAGCAGCAGGTTTCAAGATGAGATTTTCTTGTTGGCCTACTTGCTGCTGGGACTTTCTCATGAAATCAAAATCCAACCCACTAAGCATGACTGTAGATGCCATCTTTTGAGCCAATTGCCCCAGCTAAACCAACAAGCAATATTGAATTCTCCAAATCACGCCGTATGACGTTCAGTTATTCCATTGTAACCTCACCGAATCCTCTGGAACCTTAACACCCTCCACTAATTCCCAAAGATGTCACGAATTTGCCACTTTGCCACCACACCTAAACCAAATGCTTTCATCTTCTTCTAATTCCTTCTTATCTCCTCTTCTGGACCCTTTCACAGCCCTGCATTGCTGCTGATAAGGTCTGGGCACAAATATCGCAATGCACAATGGTACGCAAAAGTGCCTCATCACATTCGGCAAAAACCACTCAGGCAGAAACAGCTCAGAAATGACCCCGGGCGAAAAAAGCTCAGTGGCAAAACTCTCGAAGTATAAGTAGAGGCTGATTTCTTCTATCGATCTCCACCAAACAATTATCAACAAACAAAAAACATCATGGCCGCTCCAACTCAATCTTGTACTTGCAACACTTGCACCTGTGCCAACTGCACCTGCAACGCTGAATCTTCTTGCAAGTGTTAAACAAGCATCTTTTGTTTTTACGATTATCCCTTGTCTTGAGTATTTTTAGTCAATGAATATCTGTCTTTCGCAGAATGTAGTCTGGGCTCTCGGCCAATTACTTTTACTGTAGCATTCTTATATCTATTGTGGTGGTAGGTCTGGATTTGCCGTTTGACGGTGCTTTTAGATCGATGGCATCTAGTCGACCAAGTATGCGTCAGGTTTTCAGCCTTTCCACCAAGCACATCAGATATCATCTGCTTACATACTCTGTTAATGGATATGCTGATTGTTTTTTTTTTTTTTTTTTTTTTCTTCTTCGTAAAAACCGTGAAATAATTGCCCACAACTGCAATGCAATGCATTAGCTTCCCAAAGCAGACCTTCGATCTGACACTCACAGACCAATTTTCGATGATCGAAGCAATCAGAAAAGGAAATAACATTGAGATCCGCCGTTGAGATTTTCACTTTTGATTCCAAACCCCCAATAGCCACAAGTCAAAAATTTTTCTTAACCTCGAGATCCCATAAAACCTACAGCTCGACCTTTCCATCTCAAATCAACCGCACCTCATTTGAACCAGAAGAACTCCCTTTTAAATACCAATTCCACATTTCCACTTCCATTCTCCCCTTCACCAATTACCCCGGGATGGATGGCGCCAATCCTGAAAATCTCCAATCTCCATTTTGCACCTCCAGCATCGGCAACATACCAGCATCAAACCGCCCTCTCAAAAAATACGTCTTTCGATTCTTCACAAACGCATGCACTTTGAAAAAACGCAAAATCCTTTTTTTTTTTTTTCAACGTCAAAAATAAGCTCCGTTTTCGCCGAACCTTGTCAGCCGTGTTTTCTCTATTTTTCCCTTTTCGTCGCCTTGGCCTCCATTGTAAGTCGCGTATCCGATACATCCAGGCCCAGGGTCCCACCCAGCGGGGTCCCAAAAAAAAAGGCATCGATCATCCGAAAAATTTCTTATCTATTAGTAATTTTTTATCAGCCACTTTTCATAAATTGAAGAATACCATTAAATCAAAATCATTGAAACAACCCCCACCACTACCCTAATCGGACGCATTCCCGACCTTCGCCAGCATACTGGCAGATGTTTGTAGATGTCACGTGACTGTTTACATTTCGCCCAATTCGTCTCATCAACAACAATACCATCTACAAAGCAATAATGTCCCATCTGCCTGAAGCCCAGCTGCTTTTGCACGACATGGACGACCCCTTCACTCACGAAAACCGTATGTATATCTTCCATTCACACCCCCATTGTCCCATTTTCTAACTCCAGGCTCGGTGGATCTCTTGCTTCAGCAAATGGACCCCCAGGCACTAGCAGACGATTTTGATACTTCCTTCTCTGCTTCGACGTCGCCCACCAAACCACTTAATTTCCCTCAAATGGCGCCTCCTTCCAAACCACACACCCAGGATCCAGAGGCTCTCGATTTGGCTCGAAGAGAGTTCAACTCCAGCTCAGATACATATGTTAGTGAAAACAGCGAACGCCAAAACGACGAAAACGACGACAATGGAAACGACGCCAACGAAAACGAAAACGCCGACTCCTTCGACCGGAACTTCGCCACCGACGCCAACTTCACCAAAACAATCAGCTCCTACTTCGTCCCCAAAGATATCCCCCAAATGGACTCTCTCACAACATTGAACCACCCATCCTCCCCAACAACGCTACACCACCCGGACGAGAGATCCGCCTCCCTGCCCGCCTGATCATGAAGAACCCCACCACCCCGGGCTCCTCTCCTCGCAAATCGGTCGCTTTCCCAGATGCGGACTTGGAGGTTCACCACCACTACCCTGCTGGAAACGACCTGACCTCCAGGATCGAGGACGAATTGCCTCCCCAGATGGCGCACACATGGTCCGAGGTTCCCAAGGGATCGCCTGAAAAGCTGGTCACGGCTCTGCCTCCAGTTCCACCTCCCCACAAGTCCGACACCATCACCTCTCTTTTGGGCCGTGCAAACGAGGAGGATAACGCTCCAGACGATGTGGACGCGGCCGCCTTGTCCCAGTACCGTGTCAACCACAAGAACTTCAGCAAGATGTCTCTCCACGAGAAGTTGGACCTTTACTTGGGCCTGAAACAACACGACGATCTCGACAACCACTTGGACCACTTGGACAAGCTACAGTACGCCACAGCTAATGAGACTGAGCTGAACATCCACAGCCTCTCCCATCACATGGAATTGAACCATCCGGAGGTTGAGAATCCATTGAATATGCTTGCTGACTCGAAGGATGTGCAATTGCGTTCCGCTGGTTCGTCGCAATCGCTGCTTCCCTCGCTTGCCGCCTCAAACCGCTACTTGGAGGCCGAAAATGTAGCTCATCAAAGCCCGGGCCTTCTGCTTAATGACGGGATCAAAGGCTTCCCTGATCATATGGCTGATGTTTTGTTTCCTTCGACTGTGAAGCATCAAGATTCCGACGAATCGGGTGTGCTTACGTTCGGCGCAAAACCACACGAGGGATATGAAGACGAGCATTCGGAAATCTCTGAGGAATTCCAGGACTCTTTCGATCACTCGTATAACTCCACCAAACAATCGATCATGGATCTTCTCAATTCTGCATCAAACCACGAACTCAATGAGGCTGTGAAGGCTTCTCAGTCGGAAGCTTCCCGGGAAGTTCAGCCCGAAAATCACAACATTCAGGCTTCTTCACTGGAGCTTCCAGCTTTAGGACCCCTGCCACAATTGGAGGAGTCCTCTGATGCTGTAAAGCAGGAAGAGAACCTGATGGTGAGAGCCGAGTCTGAGCCCTCCATCAAGGAAGAGGAAGAGTCTTTTGTCAAGCAGGAGCAGCACTCCTTTGTTCAACAAGGTCACTTCGAGGAGGAAGACGAAGAAGAGCAAGAGGAGGAGGACGATGCATATCTGATGACTGGCAGCCCCGTTGTCAAGCATGAGGAACAATCCTTTGTTGAGGAAACGCCACAGGTCAAGGAAGAGCCACAAACCTCCTACATTGCGCCAGTGTCTCCTGCCGAAACAAGAACAATCTCGCCTGAAAGCCTTTATGAGGAAGCAAATCCAGTCAAGACCGAACACTATGATGAAGCAGAGCCTGAGTCAGAATTCAGCGAAGCTGAAAGCGAGACCGCTGCTACCGGTAATGTGCAAAGTCAGGAAGTCTCGAACCATGAAGCAGTTGAGCCCTCTGCTGAAATATCTAGGGAAACTCCTGCGGGAAGTACCTCTGAGGCCCATCCATTGGGTAAACCAGAAGCTGTTACGCATTCTGGTACTTCTGCTGATGCCCCATCGACCGGCCAGATTGCTGAACATCTGGATGAACACTCCGAACAACGCATGCCAACTTTCGATGGAACATCATCTCTGCTCGAGACGAAAGATCTTAGCAAGCTTGCGCTAGACCATAATGATCATACCGCTGACCATGTCGGCATTGCATCCAGAGGCGTTAAAGCTGCTCCTAACCAGGTTAAGCTTGTGAAGTCACCAATGAACCTGTTGATGCCTACTCCAACTGTATCTCCACTTGATATCAAATTCAACCAGGAGGACACTCATATCAAGGATTCGGGCATTGAGGGCGATGACGAGGATACCGAAGAAATGAAGGAGAAGTTGGCAACCACGCATCACACTAACAGGTATTCAAAGATTATGCAAAACCAATCCGTGGCTCTGTCGGTTGACAACTTTGAGGATTCGTCCGACATGCCTTTAGGTAGGTCACTCGCTCCCGTCAAAGTTAATGAAGTTGTTGATGCGACCAAGGGTGTTAAAAGGGGCATGTTGGCGAGAGCGATGGTGACTCAAGTGTGCTTGCTAACTCGTCTAATGTTAATCCTCCAAACGATATCAAGTTACCCGAAGTTGACACCAATGATGCCTCTTTTGCTGACTTGACAGAGAGATATAGAGTTTCGTCTGGTGGTTCCGCAAAATCAATGTCTTTCGAGGAATCCCTTTCTGCTGAGCATGACAAAGAGAGGGCGGCTCTTGACTTTATCTCTATCTGGCACACTCAGCGAAAGCAGCGCCAGAACAAGAAACCTCAGCCTTCCTCGCTGTTCTACAATGTGCCTTCTGTTCTGAACTACAACACGGCAGACTTGTCCCAGTATGACAAATACCGCATCCCATCCAGATTACAACCCAAGAAATTTAGGGAGGTCAATCTTGTATCCAAAAGAGTTGTCAGTCCTGACCATGTTGACCTCAATGTATCTGGGTTCTTGCCTGAGCTTTCTCAGCTTTCTGGTTTGGAAGGACAATTTGAAGGTTTGATGAAGGGTGATGATACTACGATGAATTCCACGAGAATCTTGAGCAATGGTTCAAGAATGTCTACGCAAGATGGTGCTCACAATTCTAGCATCAGTCGCTCGGCATCTGCTTACGGCACGTTGAGACCTGTGAGAGTCTACAGCCGTGAGATTGTTACTACTCCTCAGCCTCCTGTCGGGCCAAAGAAGTCAAGATTCCATGTTCCATCCTTCGAGATCAAGCGCTCCAACTCTGTACTTTCTCCAAAGAATCAGTACAATGACATTTTTGAAGACACTCAGCCAACTATCAAAGCCAGCGGCATGAAGACCTTACCAAGTATGGACAGAGATGACGTTAAAAGGATTATGCAAATGAAGCACTCTATGAATCAAGAAGAGTACAGCAAGCTTAAGTTCGGCGGCGCAAACCAAAGAATCGTTCAGGACCAAGCAGCCAACTATGATCACGTTCAACAGAAGGCTTCGCTTCATTCCTCGATGTTATCTTCGATCATTGATAACCGCGTGAAGCTTCAGCATGTTTCTAACGAGCTTTCTGCCAAGCCAGTCGCTCTAGATGTGGACCACGAAACATTCGCCAAAGCCGCTGCTGTTCCGGAGCTTAGTGCAAAGGTGGAAGATGTCAGTGAGCAATCATTCCTTCCAGATCCGGAACCAGAATATGTGGGCTTCCCAGAATCAGGTGAAACCAATAATGAGAAGGAAGCACAACCAAATCTTGTCCCATTGGGTGAGACAGATCAAAGCAAACTCAATGTTATTCCAGGTGCATTTAACATACTGAGCCCAAGTACGCCAAAGAGAGATGAGAAGAACAAGTCACCTGTGAAGGTCATTATCTCTCCTCACAAGGACAACGGAGAGCAGCCAAGGTCTCCAATTAAGGTCAACAGCTCCCCAATCAAGGTGGTCAGAAGCGGAAACTCAGTCACTGGAATCAAACTTGAGCAGAAGCACAGAAACCAGGATTCGTACGATGGCACCCAGATCATCAACAACAAGCTTAGAGATGGAAAGGGCCACAAATTTGCACTCAGCACGGTCTCTGTCCCTTCTACAAAGGGCGATCTTGAGTCTGAGCAAAAGTCTCTTGGTCCTGAGGTTCTTGAGGACAACACCGTCAAAGCGGGATCTGCTGATCAAACAAGAGTTGCTTCTGCTGTGTCAGAACCACCTAAGGAACGTGGTAAACTCTTCTTGCGTGTCATGGGTATGAAGAACATCTCCCTTCCTGATCTTCAGGAGAAGAATGCCCTGTTCAATATCACATTGGACAATGGTGTTCACTGCATCAAGACTCCAAACTATAAGATGTCTAAGTCTGCTGTCTACGTCGGTAAGGAGTTTGAATTGACCGTCGGCGAATCGTTGGAGTTCATCTTGACAATGAAAGCAACTTACAACAAGCCAAGAGAGACGATGAAGGAGATCAAGGAAAGAAGAGTCGTGAGGTCAAACAATAAAATTGGTCGTATGTTCGGCTCGAAGGAGATCGTCACTACTACCAAGTTTGTGCCTCAGGAGGTCAAGGATCCTTGGTCCAATGTCATTGCCAACGATGGCTCTTTCGCCAGGTGCTACGTTGATTTGGATCAGTACGTCGATCAAATCACAGGTACAGCTACCAATTTCAACCTCAACTGTTTCAACGAGTGGGCAACCAAGAGTGGTAATGGTGCTAGATATGAGCCTTACGGAATTGCACAGCTTGAGGTGAAGATGCTTTTTGTTCCTAGAACTGAGCCTTACGAGATCTTGCCCACCAGTATCAAGACCGCCTACGAAAGCGTTGACGACTTGAGAGCTGAGAAGTCCATGCGCCTTGAAGGTTACTTGCACCAGGAGGGTGGTGACTGTGAGTCGTGGAAGAAGAGATTCTTCAAGCTCTCGGGAACCAACATGATTGCACACTCTGAGTTCTCACACAAGACACGGGCCAAGATCAACTTGGCCAAGGTTGTGGAGGTCATCTATGTCGACAAGGAAAACATGAACCGCTCATCGTCAAACTACAGAAACTTCAGTGACATTTTGCTTGTGGAAAACGCATTCAAGATCCGCTTTGCAAACGGGGAGATCATTGACTTTGGCGCTCCCAACAAGGACGAAAAAGTCAAGTGGATCACGGCCATCCAGGAGATTGTCTACAGGAACAAGTTCAGAAGACAACCTTGGGTGAAAATTATGCAAAAACACAATGTGGGCAAACCTCGTCCCCGGTCCATCATGTCTTTTGCAAGCTAGGCCATAGGCCTATTTTTCGCAGCCACTATATGGTAGCGATTCGCAGCCATCGGTGATGGTGCACGGATGTATAGTATAACATAGTTCATAATGAGAAATCAACAAACGACAATCACACGTAATGGCCAATTCTGAAGACGAAGACGCCTATCTATATGGCTCTGAGGACGAGCAACCGTCTGCCAAGAGACAAAAAACAACAGAGCCAGAGAAAGAGGTACCAAAGCCAGAAGAACCAAAGCCGCAAGAACTGGAGGAAGATGAAGATGAAGATGAATCTTCAGACGACGATATCGAGTTTGTGATTGGTGACCTGGCGCCCAAAATCAGCACAACCACGACTTCATCTTCCACAGCCGCCCTCAACGACACCGTGGGCAGCACAGCAGAAACCAAAGAGGGAGATTCAGCAAAAGGCATTGAAGTCAGCAAAGACGAAGGTGCTTCCCTGGTGGACATAAACAGCGTGGCAGAGCTAGACGGGAAGCCGCTAACGCAGGTGGATCTAAACGAGCTCAAGGACAAGCCTTGGCGTATCCCCGGTGCCGATATCCTGGACTACTTCAACTACGGATTCGACGAGTTCACATGGACGGCCTACTGCCACAAGCAAGACAAGCTACGGGGTGAATTCAACCCTCAGAAGGTTATGGCGAACATGATGGGCGGTTCCAAGGGTGGAATGCCGATGTTCCCATTCCCAATGCCCAATATGCCCATGCCTCCTAATATGCCCAACATGCCAATGCCTCCGAACATGGGCAACATGCCGCCTAATATGCCCAGCGGGCAGAAACAGCAGGGTCCCAAGCAGGGCCAGAAGCGGGGTCGTGGGTTCAGGAACTCGCCCCAGCCGCCCAAGCGTTAAGAGGGGGGGATTATGCTGCATTGAGAATGCTTGTGGTTGTTGAAGGACACATAGGCGACCCATTGAGGTGTCTGTGATAGGAATAATGGAGACGCCCTGGTAATAGGCGCCTTTGATGTTTCAAGCTTGGAAGCATCGGACACCTACCGCACCAAGCAAGGCATTGACTTCCGCTGCCCCCTTGAGAATTCGAAGGATTTTTTAGGTGATTCTGTGCTCTCGAAATCGACTTAGTTCGGGGCCTTTAATCGTTAAGCGCAGATAAAGGGTCGAAGTGATGGCTGATGATGTTCTCCAGATCGCACGTATAGATCGTGAAATATCGATTGGCTGCCCCAGCATTACATAGCCAAAATGAAACTCAGCTAATTAGAGAACACGACTTGCCTGTAGAATGACTTTAGTTGCACTATGTTAGGGAAACCTGATTTATTCATTCGCACCAGTGCAAGAATTGGCAGACCAAGAACAATCCACCTAAAAGGAAGGAACCTGTCATGCTGGAGCTAAATTATATTCATTAGGGCATGATAAATATGAAACAGTTTCTTTTTTTCTCGAATTTGCTTTGTGTAGATTTAAAATATCACAGATCAATTTGTATGATTCTCACCAATGTCACAATAAATCGTAAAAATCAAAAAGTCATGCCAAATTTCGACCCAAACCTTCGAAAGCTTACATCAAAAGGAATTCAAAAGAAGTAAATTTGAAATGAAATACATAAACAAAGGAATAAGGTTGATTATCACATTCCATAAAATAGGAGATATACCGATGACCATTTTACAACACTAAACCTTGGAGCACATTTGACGACCTACTGGGTTGAATCATGTTCTTCAACCGACCCATCATCCCAAAATGCCAACAAATTACAATAGAAATACCACTATCGCTGCTCTGTACCGTAGTGTATTAACTATAGGCGTAGTCCTGGCACGCCAATCTCAATGCTATTTACTCCTCGTCCGACTCCTCATCGGCCTCCTTCAACCACTGAATGAAAGGCTTAGCGGCCTTTCTCACCTTCTTAGACACATCCTTAGAAACATACTTCTTGGACACCTTCGAACCCCAGTTGAGAATCTCATCTTCACCAACCAACTCCAGGTCGTACAACTTGACAAGGATCTTTGGAACGAGAGGAATCAACTCAGGCTTCTCCAAACCCAAGAATCTCTCAAGACCACCCAAGAAAGCCTTCTCAAAGTCGTTCTGACCGTTGATCAACTTGGCCAACAAACCCTTGTGCTCATCGAGCTGCTCAAGGATCTCTTCGTCGAACAAAACCTGAGCCAACACGAGCATGACGTCTGGCTTCTCCAAGAGCTCCAACTCCACAATCTTCTTATAAAGATCAATGTCGGATGGCAACTCGTCCTTGTCGTCACCAGCATCCTTCAAGGCCCACTCACCGAATTCCGTGAGCTTGGTCTGGCTGTCATTTAGCGAAAGGCCCTCCAACTCTCTGGCTCTGGCCTCGATGGCCTCCTTAGACATGTCGACGGCCCAGTCGTCGTCAGCAACCTCGACGGTTTCGCTGGCGAGAGCAGCAGCCTCAGCATTGATCTTCTTGGTCAAAGCGTCGTCGTCGTCGTCACCGTTGGCTTGCTTAGCGGCGTCGCCGTCGGCGCTCTGTGCAATATCAGAAATGGACTTACCACCTCCCACAACGTTGGCGGTGGCGGTAGCGGCCTTCTTTCCTGTGGAGGATGGGGGTGGGTTCTTCAAGATGTAAGAGGACAACTTGTGTCTCAAGTCGATGTCGGTGATACGACCGCAGGCTTTACAGTCTCTCTGCAAGAAGCCTTTGCTCTTGATGGTGATCTGGGTCTCGGGGTTTTTACAAGCGCCACAGAGCACAAAACGGTTGATGAAGCCATCCAAGGAGTCTTGTAGCTCAGCCTGAGAGTGGGCACCGTTAACAAGAAATCTATCATCTTCCTCGTTGATTTTCGTCTGTGCACCCAACTCGGAACCGAAGTATTTCACAACGTAAGCTGGAGGACGGCCCAAGGCTCTGGCAACCTCACTAAGGTTGGGAATGGCAGTCTTGATACCGTTACCTCTACCTTCGACCTTGGACTGGATCGGAGGCATCTTGTAACGGTAAAACGGGTCGGTGTTCTCACGACAGATATTTATGAACGACATGGCGGATGGTGGAGGATGAACTGGAGAATTTTTTTGAAGGTCTCTCTGATGTGAGCATGGAGACACCCGTACACCATCCCACGTGACGAAGATGAAACGGCCCCGTTTCGAGCCGATCCAGCCATTGGAGACTAGCTCAGAGGAGCTGGTCTGGGGAATGCATCTGATTTCAGGAGAACAATGCACCTGTTGGCGTGGGAGATGTAGCCCTTGATGTGTTTCTGAGCGATAAGGTTCGCTAGTATGCACTCCACCTGCTCCACAGATGCCTCTTCCTTGGACGGATCCGAGCCATTCTGGGCGAAATCAAGGGCTTTTTGGAAGTAGGCAAGTGGAACGATATGCGGGGTTTTGTCGTCGATGGTTTTGTAGAAATTGGCCGTTTTGCGCACGAGCAGAAGGTAGCACAACTGCTTGAGTCGGAGCACCAACAAGTAAATGTGTCTGTTGAGCAAGACGGTGTGGAATTTTTGGAGCTGCTCGTCAAATGCAGCGAGATTACCCTCACGAACGGACTTGAGGAGCTGTTCCTTGTAAATGTACTTGAGGCTGGGGTATTTTTCATAAACATCGTCTGAGAGTCTTTTCCGGGAAGACAAGTACTTCAAAGGCGCCACAAGCATCAAGATTTTCTCCAGATGCGGCTGGACCTTCTGAGGTCTGTTGTAGCACAGCAAAAAGTCCCATGCTGTGAGGAGCTTCACCTCCGCCAAAGCATACTCAGCATCGTCTAGCGATAAGAGCGCACTATAATACAAGTAGGTGACGACGTGCTTTCTGTACTGGACGGGGCAATTGATGATTGTAGGAATGGCAGAATTCGTTCCCATAAGTGCCTTTTCCATCAGCTTGGCAAGCTCAATGTGGTCGAGCTTGAAGTAGATTTTGATGAGGGTCGCTAGGAAGAAGTGGATGCACAGTTTCTTCGATGTAGCAGGGTCCACCGACTTGTCGGTCAAGCAGATTTTGAACAGTCTGTTGACGATGGTGGCGACTTTTTCCAAGCTTTCGTCGTTTTCCTCCTTGGTCTTGCTCTTGGACCTGACCTGGTACACCAGAAGAAGCTCATTACTGCTGCTGATCAAAGCAGGACATATCCAGTTCCAGGATACCTCCGCCACACGATTGAAATCGCCCATGAAAGTAAGAAAATTCTCAAAAGCCGTGTCAATCTCCCTCTGAACATGAATTGACCGCATAAGTCTGATGTACAGCCTGACGAGCTGTCTCAACTTGTCTGGAAGAACATACAAGTCGATCTCGCTGGGTTCGGGAAAGCGGGCTATATCCGCCAGGTTCTCCTTTGGATTGATGGTGAACTGCTGCTGGAGCTGCCACAGGTTGTAGTAGGCCACCGCCTGGTGGGTTGTGGCGATGAAGCCCAGAAGAGAGTGGTTCATTGATATGCGAAAAAGCATCCACGTGAGACGAAGAGATGGGTAGGGTGGGGGAGACAAGAAGAGGTAGAGGCAGCTTGGGGGAGAATTGGGGAAGATTGGGGGATTTGGGGGATTTGGGGGATTATGTGGGGGATTTATGTGGGGGAGGATTGTGGAGTGTGGTTGGTGATGGTGGAGGTGGATGTGGTGATGTCTGAGGTGATGAGAAGTAGTGGGGAGCGGGAAGTGGAGGAGGCAAGTGGGACGAATAACTTGTTGAATCGAGAAAGATGAGTTTGAAGGAAGATAGGCTTTTCAATATTTTTGTATTTGTGGAATTGATGTGTGGGTGTTGATTTCACCAGGGTGGTGGTGAGTGTGATCAAGAGATGAAATACTGATACGATAAGGAGTTCACAAACATTGAGGGATTAGGAGAACTGGGTCTCTACGCTTTAATATAAAAGAGTGACAAGTCCTATTGAGCTGGAATGACTGTTTTGTTGGTCAGTGTGGCTAGTGTAGGACCGGCTTCGGCGATCGAAGTGGCACCATCGCTATAGCGAGATGGCATTTTTCGATGTGCCAAATTCAATTTTAGCAACAACGGTCTTGAATCAGATGCTAGGAATTATCTCTTTGGAGTTGCCTGGTGGACGAAGCATCTAGTTCTCGCTAGATGAGACATCATCACCTTAGAAGGTCTGAAAAAAGCCATATCACTAAAACCTCAGAGTTCCACATCCAACAAATTAGAAGCAATTGAGCTCCTTGAAGCTTCTGGATTTCACCCCACCTTCCCAAATATAGAATTCTGAGGTTTTGAAACATCGCTAATACTGGTGTGGTGAGTGCTTCGCACCTGTTCCAGATTTTGCAGCCATATAAAGCGGACACCAACGGCCGTGTAGGCCCCTCTAGACTCTTAAATTCCCTTTTTAGTGAGTCAAGGAACCATACAAAGTGAAGCGCAGATTCAAAAAAGCACTCAAGCGGACTCCTCTGGGCTTGAAGGAGCCCATGCCGTTTCCCACACCCACCAGTCCTGAATTTCAACAAGATTGCAAGGAGGGAATTGATAGTGTTGTTGGAAAGGAGAAGGGTGGTCAAAAAGAGGAGGATTTGTTGGAGAGTGGCTCTATTGCGTGCACCATTGAAGGTTCATACGGGGATGCCTCGCAAGAAGTCCAGAGTCAATTGCCACGGAGAGGCTTCCCAGAAGCTCCAGAAAACAACCACAATTTCTCTGAAGCTCAATTCCTTGGCGATTTTTTCAACCTCGCTGAAACAATCATCTTCAAGGAGGACCCTGACGACGAGGTCTTATCAGACGACCATTTCGAAGGCACAGTGAACCCTGATTTATCCTCAGACATTGAACCACCACAAGCACCTGAAGACTACGAAAATGAGCAGATTCTGCTTCTTGAGGCTTTGCTGGAATCAGCTCAACCTCTGCCTCAAACCCAGCACCATTTCGAGCCAGTTCATCCTGCCTGGATTGATGTTCTGGAATGGGAGGCCTTGGAAATGAGTATCGGCTTTGCAAATCATCCGGACGTTTTTGATTTGTCAGATGTTGAAACAGACAGCTCTCTGGAGATCTTTCTTGACGAGGAAGAATACAGTGCCCGTATGGCTGAGATTCTTTCACAAAGTGAACAATCCGACGGCAGTAATTCCGACATTCCCCAGGCAATCTACCTTCTTCAGCAGTTTGGAAAAGTTTTGGTTTTTTTTGACAGGATCTTTCAACGCATCGTTAAGCTGTGGATTGTGAAGCTTCTTGTGACTGTCTTTCAAAAGCTCCGTGTTTTGGAAAACCTAGCATGGTTAGGTACCAAGGCTCGAGGCATTTTTCGAATCCTCAAAGCACCTGTTGATCTTTGCGTGCATGCCTTGACATTGACCTTACCTTCTGTGGAAGCTTTCATTGGAAGTTTTCATGAGAAGCCCTTTTTGGGTATCAAAGGGCTTCGTCCTACTCACAGCAAACTTCGCCTCAAATCCCCAGCTAGTGCGTTGCTTGGTGCTGTCAAGAGGAATACCTTGAAAAGTATGACTTCTAGAGCACGTATGCTCCGGGAACGGGCCGATGTCGGTGAAAGATCTCAATTGAGCTATGAGGGCATTGGAATCTGGGGATTTACTTCGAGATGAGGAGGCGTGGGGGATAATTGAGTTAGCGTCAAAATAAGTGGAATTTTTGAAATCAGAGAAAAGAAAAAGGAATTTAGTGAATACATGATTTGAACTCACACACCAGGTTAGTCAAGTATAGATAAGGCCAGTGCAAGGATCCATGGGGTATTGTCTTCATGTAGCCAAACGACTTGACCAGCTACCTTATTATGAACTTGAATGCTCAGTTTCGAAATTTTGAGCTAAAATAATTTATATGAACTCGAATACACCTGCCAACCTCGACTCTATGGGGTCGGACTTCACCCTGCATACGGCCGGGATACGTCAAAACGCAGAACAATGGATAACGTTTTTCAGCACAGGAACGGGCCACCTTATGTGCAGTACACTTGATTTGGAGCCACGGTGGAATTTCCACCAGGGGCCCCAGAGCGCCGTTTACAACAAAGCCTTCACTTAACGCCGCCTACGTCCGTGTGGTCGTTGCCGAGTTAAGCACTGACATGTGCATGATCACGTGACTAGCCGGATGGAAAGTGCCACTTCCGTGGTATGCGGGGCTTTTTGCAAATGACCATAGCAATTAAAAAACAATGGAGGGATTTTCCAGCAGATCGAGGTGGCCTCATTTCAATTTTGAAAAAATCATGAAAATTCCTTGGATCAATTCTGAGATGGCATTATTCTCGGGATAGCTACCCTTCTAGGTTACACTGCTCGACAGCAAGTAACGCAGCCAAAATGCGTCGGCGAGAATCCGTCGGATTAGGGCGGTTGCACGACAATGTCGTTGCTACCTCAGCAACCCTCGAGTCAACGTCAGGGGAAGCCAAAATATGGCAAATAAAATGATAGCACTGGATAGAGCAGAGGGAAGGCTTCCCAATAGTGCCATTTTCGTACTTAAATTCGGTCGGGGTGTCGAGAAACCGTGCCCTCACTGAACAGGCGACGACATTTTTGCAATCGTTTCCAGCATTGGCGTTGCCGTGAAAAACGGCATTGTCACAATTGCCCAGTAAAAATATAGGGTTTTCAGATCGAGAAGGCAAAGTTGCGTGAGGTGGAAAGGGTAAAAGTTGATTTTGTGTTTTGACAAGTTGTGGTTTGTGTTGGAAAGGAACGCAACGCAGGAGCATCAACGGCATGCATCAGAGATATGGTCAGGGCAGAGAGCAATTGATGAAAAATGGGCATTTTAAGAAATGGCATTTTGAAAGTTGACCTTAAGAGCTATGGTTTGTATTTTTCGAGTTCTCTAGTAATTCGCTTTTCATCGCCACGGCTGACACTTGCGGTGCTTTTGGTCCAGCGTTCCAGAACCAGAGAACCCAAGCACACTTTACAGTCGATTTTCAAAATTTCCAACAAACCAATGAAAAACAGGCATTTGTCAGTTTTTCAAAAAACTCGCCAAACCCTCCCTCCCACTCCTCCACACTACCACCGTGCATCTTGTAGCGCCAATTCCAACGGTTCCGTCGGCTTTAGCTCACCGCCGTTTGACACCTCCACCATGAAAACCACGCCCGTTTTCCTCTCAATTTGTCTTTGACAGGCCAAATTCACGAAATCCCCAGCCTCTATAAATTTAATCAAATCGCCACTTTTTTGTATCCTCCCCCCTGCCACCTCCATGTTCCGTTTTTGAACGCTATATGTGTGGGCGCAGCGTTCTCGCGCACATTTCTTCAGTCACCTCCTATTCTGGACCAACTGTCCAAGTGCCGCTTTCTCTTATTCCACGAACCCAGGCTGTTCAATTTTCCACCTGATTCCGCCTAATTAGTCCTCCGGCAACACACCCCGACCCTTTCCCGTCCGTTCCCATGGTGATCTCGCCGCCTACCATCTCGCTTCTGGCCCCCAAGGTGTTCCACAGCGGTCGGGCGCCCATAACAACACCTCCAACGGCTTCTACGGGTCTGGTGTACCCCAGAACGACGTTTCGTCCGCGCAAAACGGTGGCCGAATGCCCAATCCAGCCCTGGTCCACGCTGATCCACTTTCATCGTCGATTCCGATCCCACAGAGAGAGCTGCTCTCGTCCCTGGCTCTGCCCTTGGCCACCGACGCCAACACGGGCTCTCTTCCGGTGCCGCAAGACGCCCCTATAGCGCTCTCCATGCTGCCTTCGGGAATCGACCATTTGGGTTTGAGTCCAAGCAATAGACCTCCTAGCGGCTCCAACGGCATGCCGGGCCGCCGTGTCCGCCTGGGCCTGCTATTTCTGACAATGCTGATCTGGAACGACGACGCCGTGTCGCTCAGCCCGGGCCACCTGGGCCTGAGCTTCTTGGACTACGATACAACCAACCTGGGCCTGGCTCAGTTCATCAGTCCGACCTTGGGAGCACAGCCGTCCTCGCTTGACGCCAGCTTCCTCTCTAATCCCACCAGAAACCGCTCCCACACCACCAGCGGCGCCCACCCGGGCCAGTTATCCGAGCCCCCGGTGCCTCTGCCCTTTGTGTCGAGCGAAAAGCCCGTGCTTTTCGATAATCTCATGCTTAATATCCCCGACGGCGCCGGAATCACCCGAAACCGCTCGCAGACCTACTCAGGCGTGGCCTCCAACCTCCCAGACCTCTCCAACCCCATAATGCTTCTCCAGCAGGGTCAGGCCCGTCCTTCTAATCAGCATCCTAATCCGCCTTCCGCTCTGCATTACCGTCCCCACCACGACACCGTCTCGTCTGCCGTGTACCAGCCGATCTTGGAGAACGACTTTAATTTTGCCCTGGTGGTGGTGACAACCAATTTTGAAAACCCCAGCTTGGGTCCTACTCTGACGCTTCTTTTGGATAATGTACCTCAGTTCATGGACGCTGCGAAGTTGTGGCACCTCATTGCCAGCTTCCCTGGCGCTGTGGGAAATCCTTTGCATGGCAGAGGTGTCATTAGCATCAGAATGAGCACCACAAGCACTTCCAAGTTGGCCTTGGTCGAGTGTGCTACCATCGAGGTTGCCATGAATTTGAAGGCTAATTTTAACCATTTGGAGCTCGTCCCAGGCCACATCTTGTACGTTGCTTTTGCTAAACTCTCCGAAAGACCACTCAGCCAGAGCTTCAAGCTGAACGGCTCTCCTTACAAGGCGGAATCCAGCAACGCCTCGCTCAAGTCCAACTCCGGCAGTTTGAACAAACCTCAAAGTAGAGCCGCTAAGCTCCGTCCTCAGGGTTCCACTGAAGTTGATCTTCCTGCTATTCAGGATGACTTGATCCACTTGGTATCGACCTTGTCGATGTTGGATTCAGTCAACATCAACCGCGTGAAGTTGCTTTTGAAGCACACAATGGCTTTTCCAAAGGAAAAGTACGAGAGCAACTTTGGGCCATTGCCTGATCCCATCCCCATGCGCCAGTTTGACTCGCCCAAATTGAGAGAATTGCGTAAGATCTTTGAAGCTACTGAAAAGGCGAACTCTGACAGTCCAAGCAAGGCTGAATCGCCAGACTCTGAACCTGAAACCATTTCTCAGCCGGAATTAGAGGCTTTGTGTCTTGCTATGTTGGACGAGTTGCCAGAATTGTGCTACGATCATATCGGAAACACCATCGTCCAGAAGTTGTTCACTTTGGTGGAGTCGCCTTTGATCAAGTTGATGATGGTCAAGGAGCTTGCTCCTTACTTGACCCAGTTTAGTATCCATAAGAACGGTACCTGGGCCATTCAGAAGATCATCAACTTGTGCCACAATGACTTCACTCAGATGACCATCATTGCTGAAAGCTTGAAGCCATACACAGTCAAGTTGTTCAATGACCAGTTTGGTAATTACGTTGTTCAATGCTGTCTCAAGTTCGGTTCGCCTTACAACGACTTCATCTTTGAAACCATGATCGACAACTTCTTGGAGATCTCTTTCGGAAGGTTCGGCGCTCGTTGCATCCGTACCATCCTTGAAACTGCTAGTGACACCAAATCTGCAAACAAGGGATACGTCTCGAACGAGCAAATGTTCTTAGTTGCAAGTATGATTGTCGAGTTCGCCAATGAGTTGGTGGTCAACAACAACGGCTCTTTGCTCATTACTTGGTTCTTGGAGACATTCAATGGCTGCAAGGGGTTGAAACACGACTACCGCTACGAGTTGTTGTGTGACAAGTTCTTGCCACACTTGGGGCACTTGTGCACTCATAAGTTGGCAAACTTGACCATTTTCAACATCTTGAACAACCGTAACGATATGGCTGTGAGACAGAAGATCATGAGTGAGATCTTTGGACACTTCAACGAGCACGATCTTGAAGAGATGAGCGCCCGTCCGCCTACTGTTCTTTTGGAGACCATTTTGGCTGAAAACCAGGAACAGAGCACCGGCCCACTTTTCATCTACAAGATCGTCTCGAACCCTATGCTTATGAACATTGGAAACGAGCTCAGCAATGCAAGATACAAACAGTACATCATTGGCCAGGTGAAGAGGGTTCTTTTGGAGATTCAGATCACCAACCTCCAGCCATACAAAAAGCTTGTGGAAGAGGTTGGTCTTGCTACTAACAGATTGAGTCGTTCTGGTCTGACCACCCGCAAGGGCAAGAGAGACCGTAGAGGCAAGACCCACTCGCCTCATCGTGCTACACAGCCAATGATCCAGCCATACATGCAGCCCAACCAGGGCATGCCTATGGTCTATGGAATGCCCAAGATGCCAATGGGTGAGGCCAATCCAGGAATGCCACCCAACGGCTACTATCAGCCCCAGGATGTGCATCCAGGCATGTACAACGGAAGCAACCAGGACATGGGACCGCTTTACCAGCAGAGACAGCAATATGTACAGCAACAGCAGCTTCAGGATGTGAACGTGATGCAGCAGCTTGAACAGCTCTCTTTGAGCTCTGCAGCCATGGGTTACAACTCCAATCCCGACACCCCCAAAATCAGCCATGGCACCCGCTTTGCCTAGCCATTACGAAAAACAATAACGAACATACATAGTAATAGACACCTTAGGTGAGATCAGTGTAGACATGTGGCCCTCATGATGTTGCATTTTAAAAGCCTACTACCCATGAACTCAGAGATTCAACAGTTCTCAGTTCCTATTGAATATCATTTTCTAGGCCATAACGGTATCACAAAACAACGCGTTGACTTAGATGCCCTGGTATTCTATACGGCGTTTGAGAGCAAGTACAGCGCATGAAGCGCAATTCCAGGATTCCAAGTAAACAAAAGTTGAACTATTCAAAATCATGATAATTTCATCAGAAATCGTTTTTGATCAAAACCCACTGACTTTTGTTCTTTTCACAGCTTCATTCCATGGTTGACTCTGCCTCCACCGGCTTGCAGGAATCCGATTTGCAGCCAGGACAGGGTCCAGAACACAGCCCTCCAAAGTTTTCAAAAAGGGAAATATTTACAATTGCTTAAATTGATAAAGTAATGATGCTTTTCATTTCTACAAAAATTCCCATTTTCTTCATTCAATCGTACTTTATTCTTGCCTAGGCTGCTTACCACATCATTATCAGTGCGAATCAGCAACTGCAATAACACCACGGCAACGTCACGAGATACCAGTAAAACTCCAATTCGCTTACTGAATGACCTTCTTTATTGACAAAAACCAGCCTCCACCTTCCTCCCCCCATTCTCCTTAAAAAATTACCCTCTAGGCCCGCTGGGGAAAATCCTCGTACTGCATACACCACACCACAAATCTCCTGCGATATGAACCTACAACCTGCCAGTACTCAGTCCACTCCAGACAAGGCCACTTCTTTCCAAACCTTTTTTTCCTTTCTATTGGCAAAGCTGTCTCAGTGACGCTCCTGTGCACCATAAACACCCGTGCACCATCACCAAAATACCCCAAATCTCGAGGGCCCTATCCAGCAAACCGCAAGCAGCACCAACCCCAAATTCACAAAAACCCAGCATTTCCATGGTCGCAAACACCAACCACGACGGCCTGCGGCTGTCTAAAAGAGTCAAGGGGAAAGTGGTGTCCTATTTCCAACTGCCACTGCAAAATCAGTCCTCGAATCAACACAATCTCGATTACAACGACGGGAGACACTCCCTAGATAGCGACCGTAACGACTACGTGGAGCTTAGAGAGGCCCTTCTCGAAAAGAGGGGGCTGACCGGCGCCAGACTGCAGATCCAGATGTTCAACTTCAACAATCTGCGCTTGTTGCAGCTCCCCACAGAGGTGTTGCTTCAGATCTTCAAGTACTTGGACAAGTCCGACTTGTTCCTGTTGCTCACCGTGTGCCGAGAGTTCAGCGACCTAATCGTGGAGATTTTGTGGTTCCGTCCCAACATGCAAAGCGACCTGGCGTTCCAGAAGATCAGAGAGATCATGAAGCTTCCGAGGCTGCAGACCCACTGGGACTACCGCAGCTACATCAAGAGGCTCAACTTGCTGTTCATGACCAAGCTCGTGGACGACGAGCTACTTTACTTGTTCTGTGGATGCCCCAAACTCGAGAGATTGACGTTGGTCAACTGCACAAAGCTCACACATGCCCCCATAGCCGAAGTTCTCAAGAACTGCGAGCACTTGCAATCAATTGATATGACAGGTGTTCAGGATATTCAAAACGACATCTTCTTTGCCTTGGCCAAGCACTGTACGCGGCTTCAGGGGCTCTATGCCCCGGGATGTGGCAATATCCTGGAGGACGCGATTGTCCAAGTCCTCAAGGCGTGTCCCATGCTCAAGAGGATTAAGTTCAACAACTCTGAAAACGTCACAAACACAAGCATCTTGACCATGTACGAAAACTGTCGTCTGCTTGTGGAAATTGACTTGCATAACTGCCCGAAGGTTACCGATAAGTACCTCAAAGGTATCTTCAGCGAGCTCACACAGCTTCGAGAGTTCCGTATATCCAACGCTCCAGGAATCACTGACGAGTTGTTCAAGCTGATTCCTGATGACCATTTCCTAGACAAGTTGCGAATCATTGACGTCACCGGCTGCAATGCGATCACGGATAAGTTGGTCGAACGTATGGTCCGCTGTGCCCCTCGTCTACGGAATGTGGTGCTTTCAAAGTGTATGCAAATTACGGACGCATCCTTGCGTCACTTAACCAAGCTAGGTCGCTCGTTGCACTACATCCACTTGGGTCACTGTGCTCTCATCACCGATTTTGGAGTCCAGGCTCTTGTCAGGTCGTGCCACCGCATTCAGTACATTGATTTGGCATGCTGCTCTCAGCTCACAGACTGGACCCTTACTGAACTCCTGGCGCTCCCGAAATTGAGGCGTATCGGTCTTGTGAAGTGCAATTTGATCTCAGACCAGGGAATTCTAGAGCTCGTCCGCCGCAGAGGTGATCAAGATTGTTTGGAAAGAGTCCATTTGTCTTATTGTACCAATTTGACCATTGGACCCATCTACTTCTTGCTCAAGAGCTGTCCTCGTCTTACGCATTTGTCACTTACAGGCATTTCGGCTTTCCTCCGCCGGGAGATCACACAGTACTGCCGTGACCCTCCACCAGACTTCACCGAGAACCAAAAGTCTTCTTTCTGCGTCTTCTCTGGCCACGGCGTGGTCCAACTACGCAACCACCTTGATACCTTGATGGATCAGAGAGCTTACATTTTGGAGCACTATGGGCAACAGGAGGACTTCTCGCCAGCCTACTTTGAAAGAAGAATGCGTGAGGCGAGACTCACGCCGGCTCCTGGTGAGCCAACGCAATATCCAACTCCTGAGCAGCTCAACCAGCTCCGCATGGCAGGACCAGGCGTTTTAGGCACCCCTGGACCCGTGAACGAGTTTGCGGGTGCCGGTGACGGGCGCAATATAATTAATGATGATGAGATGACGACCTGGGCGGCTCAACGTGGATTGGGAGAATTGAGAAGAGTGAGGGACCCCGCAACCAGAGAATCACCGGGCAGAGATGGCAATAGACAGGGCACGCCCAGAAGGGACACGCCTTTCATCATGCCTGATCCATTCAGACGTGTGGAGCTGGATGCCATCATTCAACAGCTCGTCAATGCCGACCAGAATAGGCAGCGTTTTGGCGCCTTGTACCATCCGCTCAACTCGCAGCTTGATGCTGTAGAGCAGCGAATCCGTGAGAATCAGATGAATCTGCAAACGGACGCCAGCGAGGAGCAAGAGGGGCCACGTAACGTGGATGTCAGGCTAGGAAACGCCCCTCATATTGCCCAGGCGCCAGTGTTTGGCAATGACGAGCCGATGAATGGTGAAGATGACTCAGAAATGGAAGGGGTTGACTTGTTCCCGAGAATAAGGTAGGCGAAGCAGGTCTAGGTGATAAGATTTACTTCGAGGTCTATAGCATCAAGAGATTTCTATTTCTGTATCCAAGAGTTCGAGCCGTAGTTGGTTTTCCCGAAGAGCAGCCTCGTCCACAGACCGTAGGCGGTAATGAACACAAGCAACAAAGTCTAGAAGCTTCGACCCCAGTTCTTTTGATATTTTGCGTAGGTAAGCCAACTTCAACGATTTGGTAGGCGCTAAAGTGGAGCTGCTTTCACAGGAGTCTCTAGAACATGGAGGTCGAATAGATCCAGGATTTCGTTTCCAGAACAGCTGGTAGTCCAAGTACAATCTGACCATTTTCCGTGAATGTGCAGCCTTTCCCGGGTCTTCCATGGCCTCCTCCAAAAGCACCCAGTAGTCCTTGGATCTTTCCACACTTAACTTCTTTTGTTGAGAATGAAGAGGACATCTGAGCAGCCTTCGACAAAGCTCGCCAATTTCCAAAGGTACAGCGCAAACGTGACTGGAAATGGCGTGATGGAGGTGGAGAATTTCGTGTGGTGGAAGGGTCACCAAAGGGTTGAATTCGCCATGACGACCTAGAAACTCCGGTCCAAAGCTTCCGTTGGCATTTACCGTGAGTTTCCGTCCTGGCAGGGAGAGAAAGGACATTTTTGGAATTTTGGGGGAAGGAGAAGAGGTGGTTGTTTTATGGAGATTTGGGAGAGGTTTTTGGAGGAAAAGGATGGAGGTGTAGTAGGATTTGCAACCATTTGATGGCTGCGAAAAAGGTGGGTGGTGGTTTTGAGGTGACATTGGAGGAAGTTTGTTAGAAGAGACTAATTTTTCATGAAAAGTTGAATATTGATTCTTACGGCATTCGCCTACTTACGACGCTTCCTTTAATTCTCGGTGGTTTCAAGGATCAAGCAGTCGTGCAACCAAAGAAGGCATTATGATTATCCATACTCAACAAGAGACGTTCTTATACTGAAAGGCAAACACGTTTTATCCAGATGATGAATTAGCACAATGGTCGTTAAATTCCTCACAAAGGACACTGTTCTTATGGGTTACTTTAAGTTTCTGAATCTTCAGCTTGGAGCTACCTCTACTACTTGCAGCGGTCTCAGATATGATGTGATAACGAAGATTGTTCAACACCAAATCATTGCAATAGGCTCCAAGCGTCAAAATTAATAGCACTACACATCATTTACTCGACTCAGGCAATATTCTGCTCCCCTAGCTTTAAACCGTCTGCAATGCATCCAGGGCTCCAGCCCTCGATACTCACTGCGCACGTGACAACCAGCTCTGCGCAGCTTTTCGCCCATGCACTACTGATTTTTTTCCACCACTGCGCACCTACTCAAAAAAAAAAAGTGCCATAGAAGCCTGGTTTTTTTACCTTTTCACCAACTACTACACAATGTATGTTTGCCACCGAAGCCCGTCAAGAGGCTCCGCAGAAGCCACCAATGTACCGCATGATGTTTGAGAGCGAAAGATCCACTATATTATCGTCAGATTGTTGAATTTCCAGTGTCCCTCCCTCATCACCAGAATTTTCAAATTTCACGTCCTCCAGCTTTCCAATCCACAAATCATCCGTCCAAACCTATACGTCACTCACCAGATGACCCCTTCAAAGTAATCAACAAAAAATCGATACACCCATCCCCGCTCATCGAATACTCGGTAACTTCATCACCCCTTCATTATACTAACAGCCAGGACTAAGAGAACTAAGAAGGTCGGCATCACCGGTAAGTTCGGTGTGAGATACGGTTCGTCTTTGAGAAGACAGACCAAGAAGATGGAGGTGCAGCAGCACGCCAAGTACGACTGCTCTTTCTGTGGTAAGAGAAGCACCCAGAGAACCGCCACTGGTATCTGGAAGTGCAAGGCCTGCAACAAGACCGTTGCTGGTGGTGCTTACAGTGTGTCCACCGCCGCCGCTGCCACCGTCAGATCGACCATCCGTCGTTTGAGAGACTTGGCTGAGGCTTAAGTAACCTAATGAATACACATCTGAGTAAAGGGGTTGTAGAGTGCTGAGGGCATGATTTATGAGGTAAATTATAATGAAGCTTATTCGATGAAAGTGTGAGAAGACGTGAGCTTCTCGTCGCTATTGCTAGGCTTCGGGCTAGGCTCCAGGCTACTCTCACAAATGTAGGAACGCTATTAAGCAATGTGGTTTAAGGGCGTCTGGAGGTTGAGGAGGTTATTTTTCCAACTTCTTTTCACCACGTTTAGAATCTTGGAATCCTTCGAAAATTGTGAAGACTGTAAAACTATTGTCTTGGTCACTGCAAGTGTAGAAACCCTTGGTATACCACTATGAAAGGCAGAATTATCACTTCAGTTCAAACTTTAAAACTGCTGAGAGACGAAAAGCCCTTCTTGTAAAACTCCTTCTAATACAAATTATTCTCCCACACAATTGAGTGTACATATTCTTTACTGCTTCTACACTCTTAAGCCTCATTATGGCCATTCTCAATGTATGCCTGGGACCCATGCACTCGAAATGTTGAACCCACAACTAACAAAATCTAATGAAACCAAATTCTTATTACCAGAATGCCTTAAATCGCCTATATCAAATCTTAACTAATCCACCCACCAATGTGTTAGAACTACCGTTCACTTATCATCATGCCCTGGAGATTCGCACCCACCTCATATCAACTACCACAACTCCATGTTTGAGTTTCCTAAGCTACATTCATTCCCGCCGTTCTTCACAAAACAAAGCAATGCTACTGTTCTAGAGCATCAGCTCGAGGCATGGACCTCGCTTGTTCTTTCCTACTGTGAATACCACAAGATATACAGCTTGCTGGGTACTGGAGCAGTGCTATCGTCACAGAATAAGGAGACAGAGTTCCCGCCGCTTTTCGAGAATAAGGAGGTGGAGAGGGCGTGTCTGGAATCTTTCAAAAAGGACATTTTGAACCACATCATCCACAAGGCTACTCGTGCAAGCTACATTGACCCCAAGAAGCTGGACGCTGGCGTCCTTATCCACTGGAGAACGCTTCCAGAATGGGCTAAGCTTTTGAGAGATTACGTGGACAGTACAGGACAGCTTGGAACGATTCTCACCGTGTACGAATTGACCCAACTGGAGGATTCGACCACCAGTGAGGATTTCAAGAACATCGACTACAATCTCTTTGTACGGGTGTTGCAGGTGCTTATGAAACAGGGAAAGGCACAGATCATCATGGCCGAGGACAACTCGGGTCAGATCGAGGGCGTGAAGATCGTGTAATAGACGTATAGAAATGGAAGGGCTTCACGATCCTTTGTAGGCAGCCATTGGATGCCGGTGGGAACATCGGCTTCCTTGGGCGACAGAGAATGCCGTCTGAAGGTACCTGGACTGCTTCTACGGGATCAGGTGTATACAGCGGCGGACATATACGTGGTTGAAGGAGTTGGAGGTGGAGGTGAAATAGAGATGGTTGAGCAGACTTGGTGGTAAAGTGAAAAGCGTAGATTGGGAGATCACGAAATGGTTTATTCTGGCGACTGTGGTATCCGATCTATAATTCCTGGCGCATTTCTCTGGATTTGCTTTTGTCGGCTTCATCTTTGGCTCACCTCTGGCTTCATATCTTTGGGTAACCTTTTCTAAGCTTGTAGCTTTTGTGGCGATTACCAGTAGCGAGAGCACTATTAAATTGTATATGGACCGAGGTATCCATCTTCACCTGAGGCAAACTTTAATCAAATAATGGTGCTCTTCATCATGATATGGTCTATGACAGTTGACCCACATGATTGTGATATCAATGAGCAGTCATTGCTCCATACTCTCCTCTACAGCTCACAATTATAAACCATCTATGGCTTGTGAAGGTTCATCTACTTGCTGGTAGAGACCAATTCAGAACATCTAACTAGACATCGTTCTGAAGCACTTCAAAGTCAAACCACGAAATTTACCAGAAAGTAGGAACAAAGGCTTGAAATGCTTCTCATTTTCATCCAATACCAATAAAGAGCTGAATGTACATATGAGATGCCGCTTCGGCTCCCTAAACCTATGGCATTGCACAAGCCATCATATACCCCTACTTCCACATCACACACCCATGGAAACAATTCACCCATAAGGCACACTTTTCTCAAAACCCCTCCATTTGACCAAAATCCCCTTTTTACCCCACCAAATCCAAAAAGCCTTCCTCATCACGTCTCATCTCGTACTGCGTTTCGCAGCCATTTAGCCCACACCACTTCCACTGACGTAGTGTCCCAAGTCATCGCTCATACTCCATAGCAGCTACAACAGCTAAATAGGTTTTTCAATTAAAAATAGTAACTGGAAAAATTTACCAAATTTCCTCCCCTTACGTTCTTTTAAACCCCCTCAGTGTGCCAACCGTCCAGCGCTTTTCAGGCATCTATACACACAAGTCTCATCGCGAAATCTTTTCTTCCCGTCCAACTACTACAAACATGAAGTACGTTGTTGTCTCCGGCGGAGTGATCTCGGGTATCGGCAAGGGTGTTTTGGCGCTGTCGACGGGCCTTCTTTTCAAGACCTTGGGTTTCCGGGTCACCTCCATCAAAATCGACCCATACATGAACATCGATGCTGGAACCATGTCTCCATTGGAACACGGTGAGTGTTTTGTTTTGAACGACGGTGGCGAGGTCGACTTGGACTTGGGTAACTACGAGAGATACTTGAACATCACCTTGACCAGAGACCACAACATCACCACGGGTAAGATCTACTCGCATGTTATTGAACGCGAGAGAAAAGGTGACTACTTGGGTAAAACCGTGCAAGTGGTGCCTCACATCACCGAAGCCATCCAGCAGTGGATCGAGAGAGTTGCTCGTGTGCCTGTGGACGAGTCTGGCTTGGAGCCTGAGGTGTGTATCATCGAGTTGGGTGGTACTGTTGGTGACATTGAGAGTGCTCCATTTGTGGAGGCCTTGAGACAGTTCCAGTTCCGTGTTGGTTCGGAGAACTTTGCCTTGATCCACGTGTCGCTTGTTTTGGTCATTCACGGCGAACAAAAGACCAAGCCTACCCAGGCTGCCATCAAGGAGTTGAGATCGCTCGGTTTGAACCCAGACATGATCGCATGTAGATGCTCCGAGGAGTTGGAGGTGGCTACCGTCCAGAAAATCGGTATGTTCTGTCACACTGGGCCAGAGCAGGTGGTGGCCATCAGAGACGTCAACTCCACCTACCACGTTCCTCTCTTGTTGCAGGAGCAGAAGATGATGAAGTTCTTGTCGAAGAAATTGCGTTTGGACGAGGTCGACTTGGCTGAAAGCTCCAAGGCCAGAGGCGCTGCTCTCTTGACCTCCTGGAGATCCTTGACTTCTGCTCACGACAAATCCGTGGAGCAGGTCACCATTGCCCTTGTGGGTAAGTACACCAACTTGAAGGACTCGTACCTTTCCGTGATCAAGGCTTTGGAGCACTCGGCCATGCGTTGTTACCGCAAATTGAAGATCGAGTGGGTGGAGTCCAGCGACTTGGAGCTTGAAACCAAGGAATCCTCTCTCGCTGATTACCACAAGGCATGGCACATGGTCTGCCAGGCTGACGGTATTCTTGTGCCTGGTGGTTTCGGCTCCAGAGGTATCGAGGGTATGGTTGCCGCTGCCAACTACGCTAGAGTGAACAATGTGCCTTATTTGGGTGTGTGCTTGGGTTTGCAGGTTGCTGTCATTGACTTTGTCCGTTCCATGTTGGGCTACGAGAAATCCACTTCCATGGAGTTCCACCCTGAGGCCAACGAGGAGACCTCCTCCGTTGTCTACATGCCTGACGTTGACCAGATCAACTTGGGTGGTACCATGAGATTGGGTATCCACAGCACCAAGTTCTCCAAGGACCTGGAGTGGTCCAAGTTGAGAAAGTTGTACGGTGGTGCCGAGTCTGTTCTCGAGAGACACAGACACAGATACGAGGTTAATCCCAAGTTGATCGACCGTATCGAGGAGAAGGGCTTGCACTTCATTGGTAAGGACGAGACGGAGAAGAGAATGGAGATTGTCGAGCTCAAGGACCACAAGTTCTTTGTCGGCACCCAGTACCACCCTGAGTACTGCTCCAAGGTCTTGGACCCTTCGAGACCATTCTTGGGCTTGGTTGCTGCTTCCGCCGGTGTTTTGGAGGATGTGTTGGCCAGAGATGACATTCACGAAAAGGGCGAGTTCTAAGGCCTGCTTTTTGTATACTAAGCTATTTTGCATTCTAATTCATAGACAATCGTTAAGCTATTGTAAGATCAAGGCGAAGCTCTCTCCGACGGATGAATTTTTTATTGGATTTTTTTTTTTGCATTGGGAAATCAATTGAATAGAAGGGATCTTATGGATGTTTAATCTTTTATTGGTGATGTAGTGGGCAATTTTGGGTCAGATGCTGGAGCATGAATCATCAAAAAATGTTTAAAGAAGTTTTGCGTCGGGAATGGGCAAAACCACGAAATTCTAATTGAAATGATTTCCGTGGCTAGGGGAATTGACTGGAAGGGGTTTCGTGACCACCTTGAAACAAAGCGATATTGTTATCGGCAGACTGGAACCCACCCGACATTTTCCCATCAATCCGAGGTCCACATCAATATAGTGGGCTAACAATTTTAGTATAGGCCCACTTGGATTTGTAGATATCCAAATTCTCGGCCTAAGAATCTCACTCTTATCTTATCAAATACCCGCTAGTAGCCGCCCCCTCAGCATCCAAATTTCGAGCAAGGGCTTATGGTATGCCGGGAAACGAAACATGCGCTCACTATCCAAAATCACGAGATGGGCTAATAGACGTCTAGATCGAGTCAATACCCAGAAATCCGAACGAAACAAGCCGATTTGGCCCGTTCCACGTGATGGAAGGGGGAGTTACCCGGCACTCGTCTGATCTCCGACCGCCAATAGCCGGGGTATATAAGGAGATCCTGGCCCATTTTTCTTCATTCAACCAACACAATTTCAACATGATCAACTACCAGAACTCCAAATGCTCCTGCTGTGACAACTGCAGCGCCTGTAAGAAGTGCCAGAACGGCGGTACTTGCCAGTGCTGTGAGAAAAAGTAGCTGCTCGCCTGATTAGGAATACAAGCCCTGTACCAAAGACCTGTAGACGTTCAACAATCCAGCTCCGTAGATCTCTCGAATCCCGTCAATGAGCATTCCAGCATTTGGTCTAGATCTAGCCCAAGGGGCTGTAGCAACGACAATCACGAAGCTTTCCACGTGACAGATGACGGTCTCGATGCACGGGTGTGCCCCGCAGACCGATCCGGGTATATAAGGAGCAACCAGGCCAGGTATCCCTGTCATCTTTATCAATCAATCAAAATGTTGAACTACCAAGAACCAGAAAAGTGCAAATGCGGTGACAATTGCCAGTGTGGCGAGACTTGCAAGTGCGGTGAGAAGCACTAATCGTATAGGAATATAACGACGATGCCAACAATGACGAGCCAAGCTCAAGCTGTAGCAACGGTAAATGTAAACGGGTCAATTGATCTTATGTATACTGACTCGTCAGGTAAATCATTGGAGATGCTTCAGGATTTCAGCATCGGACGGGAGCTTCTCTAATTCTCTGACTCTTGCTTTGGCCAATTCTCTGACCTGGATGGTTTCCTTAACGAAGGTTTGGATCTTGGTGTCGGCGCTGGTCTTTTTGTTCTTTTCTAATCTGTCAAGCAAGTCGGACTCGCCCATTGTTGCCAAACCAACCCATGCTTTGGTGTAAGAGGCGCTGATTTCCACAGCACGGAGAAACAGGTCTCTGGCGCCCTGGTAGATCGGGTAAAGGGATGCAAGGTCTTTGTCTTTCTCGGACTTGACTTTGTCCTGTTGCAAGAAGTGGTAGTACTGGTAGAGACCTGCTTTGTAGAAGATGTTGTATGCCAACGGTTCATGGAGCAAAACCTCTTTCAAGCAGAAGACGGCTTCCTCGTAATCACCAATCTTGGCATACTGGTCAGCCAATTCAGCCCAGGTGGTGGTATCCGAAGGCTGGATGTTCAAATAGAACACCAACGACTTGATGTATTCGGGAATGTTTTCAGAGCCGTCCGCCTTGTTTCTTGAGAAAGTTGCCAACCTTCTCGAGGCACGAAGCTCATCCCGGCTCAGGCCCAAGGCATCAACAGCCTTCTTGTCTTCTCCAGTGGCTTCGTAGTACATGGACTTCAAGATCAGGTACTTTTGAGAACGCTGGCCAGAAAACTCGTCGTTGAAGCGATCAAGCATCAGCTTGGCATTGACATCATGGTTCGTGAGAAGTGACACATGAAAGTACAACTCGTACAAGTCAAACAACTCGGATGGTTCCAACGATTCCTGAGCCTTTGGGAGCATCAGACCCAACTCCTTGTGGAGGTTGTGGAGTTTCTCGGGAGAGAACTTTGCATAGGAGCCTGTAAGGAGAATCTCCGAATATTTCTGGAACAATCGGTCGGACATCAAAAAAGAGCGAGCAGGCGGGGGATAGGCGGTATTTATACGGCAACCACTGTGGTGGTTATAGTTGAGCAAATTCTCCTGCAGAAGGGAGGCCCGGGCCAGCCACCGAGGGGGCTCTACTTCTTTGGTATGACAGGGTCGGGAGAAATTTAATAATACTTCTAGAAGCGGGATTAAAGAATTGAGGAATGTGATTCTTTGAATTTGTGTGGAAGGTGGTTTCATCGATTGTGGGAAAGTGTTGGAATTCACGAAAACGATGAAGGGAACCGGCCAAGAAATGTAAACTAGTGAACAGATTTCAGGGCAATATTCTTCTGATTTCAAATGATGATAATGTCTACATCAGTCTTTTTTTTTTTTTCTTTGCCGAATTATTGGGTTGCTCGTATTTGGGATGTTTGCATGGAGTTGTGGGTGTGGTTGCGAAAAACAGCCCTCTTCAAGATACAGCCCCTAAAGTAACATTATTTGATTGCTTTATATAGATACTTTTATCATTCCAGTAAAGTGACCTTGGGAGACACGATTATTCACGAGAAATCTCACAACAATGTTAACATTAACTTATCTATTTATTTAAATTAGATTAACTACATGCCTTCATCTTGACACAATTTGTCAACTGGCACGGCATAAATCAAACTGACCTATTTGTAAAACACCAATTGGGAAGCGCTGTTATATTACACTTGCTTCCAAGTGATTTTGATGAAAGTAGGTGGTATGAATGCTTGGACGAACAAAACATTACTACGGAAGTGTCACATGTGATGGGACATACTTAGAAGACATGGATTTACAAGAAGCGATGGGTGTCGTTATTGATGAAAACGACATCTTGCGAGACGAAACTGTTACCACTACTACAGTATCATTATAGAACAGACTTCGGTGTTGATTACTTTATGTATAATCAGAAGTGGCATTCACTGGCCTGGAGACGTCACAATAAAAATCTCTCAAGAGTGGGAAAAGTACTTCTACGCTTTCTTATAAAAAAAGATGGAAAACTTGCTCATGATTGTAGAAGTGGTTGTATAGGGCAGAAGTTGAACTCAGGTCGGGAGCTGAAGTGTTTGACACGTAATGATTTTGTGTGAATGAAATGTCTGGTTTTCTAGCCGCTGTTATGACGGAGGAAGGCCAATGCCATGGAGCACTGGGCAATCAATTTGAGGTTTTTCAATATGGCTTTATTAGTGTATAGGTATTTCCCACGAATCTGCAACCTTTCTCTTTTGTCATTTCTTGTAATTGCCGGAAGATGAAGTTACGTTCAAAACTGATAGATAATTATTCACAAATTACCATTCCTTATTAACTTCCCGGAAGCACTTCTCAGTATGCATAGTTTGCAGCCATTTCAGACCCGCAGCCACGCATACCAATTCTGATACAAAAACCACCAAAACATCTTCGAAGAAATCCTCAAATCTTCATATCCTCTTTTAGTAAATTTCTTCACCATCCTTCTTCTCATCTCCTCCTTGAGCATGGCATCAACATTGCATACACCGCGTTTCGCATCAACAAACACCACCAGAAGATGTCCTTAAGTGAAGCTTGTGACGAGCTTCTAGAAACCGGATTTCTTGACCACGAACACGGAATTCCAAAACTATGGCACCAGCTGGCCGAGGAGCTCCAAAAACCCAAAGGCCCCCATGCGCAATACTACAATATCAACAAGAACCTCCTACTGAACTTGGACCAGATCGTATACAAGGATCGCCTAAAACAGCTAAAGGAACTCCCTAAAGAGGAAATTGACGCCTTGTACGAGGACATGGTGCATCTGGAACCGTTACTGCAGTTCAAAAACCAGCAAGAGATTCAGAGTTTTCTAGAAAAGCATACCCAATCGTTCAAGACCCAAACGCTTATGACCGATTACCTCCCTTCTGCATTGCCAATTGTGAGAGCTATTCACCATGGTAACGCCAGTTTGGCCGACCTGGAGATTTCGATATTGAACAACCTCAAAAGACTATACTCCCATTATAATGACCATCCAGCCAATATCAAAAGACTAATAAGGGCCTACAGACAGAATGGTGTTTTGACAAAGGACGTTGCAGCTACATCCTCTGAGGTCAGCAGCTACCTTTCGTCGGTTCTCCTTCCCAAACTACAAAGACTAGAGAAGCTCAACGAGGAGCTAACGGTGCTACAGAATACGTACAAAAACCAGGTTGAGGCGAGATCCAGTGCTGCTGAAAAAGCACCTCTAGAGACAAAGAAGCTCCGTGCCGACTACCTTCAATTGTCCAAAAAGCTCACGTCTGTGGCTGTTCTTTGTGACTTTCTTCCGAACCTCATCTTATGCCAGGCTTCCAATTGGCACTCCGATACGCTGCTTCGGAACATCATGGAGGATTGTCAGGATGTAGCTGAAGCTATCGAAGCCTTCACCTCCGTATTACATTACAAACACGCCAAAAGTATGAAGGTTGATGACATACTACAGATTGATTTCGAACCGCTTGCAAGCGTCTAATATATTTACAGGAGTGGCAGGGCCAGCTATAACTATGTGTCTGCGTCGTTTATACCTGGAACAAACGCTTGTTCACAACCTCCCAGTTGATGCAATCCCAAACCTTCGACAAGTACTCGGACTTGCCTGTGATGCCATAGTCAGTCAAGTAAGCGACATCCCAACAGTTCAAGGCCAAGAGGGGCAAGGTCAAGTCAAGCTCACCGTTGGCGGCCTTATCTTTGATGCCGTTCAACTGTTCAAACGTCTCCTCGGAGACAGAACCGTTCATATCCAACAGCTGGTTCTTACCGTAGAAGTAAGGTGTACCGTCGTTGTTGCACCGTATGATTTTCAAAGACTTGTCTGGCAATTCCACCAAGAAAACCCAGCCCTGGCCAGTGAGCTTTTCGGCCTCTGTGAGCATGCTGTTCTTGAGTTCCTCCACGGTAGGAATATTGAGGTCGGCCAAACGGTCCATGATGAATCTGGACGGCCTGGTGATCAGAACATCTTCCTTGTTTCCTAGCTGTTGGAAGAAGAAGTGGTTATTGTGTGCTTGCGAGGCGTAATGGAACGTGTGCTGCTCTGTTGTTTGTTTTGCGGTGTTCAATAAGATGAAGTAAGGAGTTCTGGTTTCGTTGGCGCTGCCCACGGTGTGCAATGAAAGGTTTGTGGTCAAGTACTTCTGGTAGTCCAACCATGCTGTTTTGAATCCGGCTGGTGAGTACACCCCGCTGATACCACTTTCAATAATTTGTTGTTGGTTTTTCAATTTTGGCACCGTATGAAGGCCACGTGTGGCTCTTGGTATCGTGAAGCCAAGCCTGGAGAACATTGGGTGCTATACTCTGTAGGATCTAGTTTGGTGAAAAATGCTGCAACACTTTTTTGGTTGTCGCGTGCACGACCAGATGGGGGGTGGAGGTCGAAATGAAATACTACAGAAAAGAAAAATAATATGATATGTGGGATGCAAATTCCGGTATGTTTTGAATTGACTCGACTGATTGTCGTTGTTTTGATGCTGGTTCTTGTTGGTTTACAGACATTCGCAGCCATTCCACACGAGCACCACACACCAAGCCCATAGATTGTGGCCATAATCGTAGCGATAGATAATCATCAAGTCTGAATAAATGCGTCTTTTTTTCAGAAAGAGCTTCATTAAATCCACTTGCATTAAATCCACTTGCCAGGATTGTGTGCCATGAAGTCCCGCTTTATTCGGCCTTCCTCGTCTCATCACCCGTCTTCACCTCTTTCGTCTTCAAAGTCTCGATATCACGGCCCACTACAGGCATATTCTGCGACACCCAGCCAGCATCACGCAAGTGCCTTTTGGGATCAGCGGTTCTGGGCAATTTCTGGCATAACTCATCATACAGTGCATCCTGGGTCTTGTACTCCCTCAACACCTCGTTAGTCTCTAAGTCAATGAAAATACGTGTGTCTCTGATTCTAAAAGCCACGTCGTCGACACGTAAGAAGAATCGGCATAATAGAAGCAAGCACAGATGCATGACTCTGATCTTGGTGGAAAGCATTGAGATACCGTTGTCGCCCAACTCGTCTTCAAACAAGATGGACTCGTCAAAGAATAATATCGGGTCTGGCCGGAGAAGCTTTTTGACTGGGATTTCCAGGTCTGTTGGCTCAAACTCGGCCTCATGTAAAGAACCCTTGTAATTGGTCGAATATGTCCAGTCGTACGGCTTTACCGACTCAAGTTCCGGAGCTGAATTTTCTGAAGCAGTATCGCTTGCATCTGCCTTAGCCTTGGGTCGCGTGCTGAGCCATTCCTTGTAGTAGCTGACCTTAAAGTCTGCGTTCTCATTAAGCGAATCTAGAGCATCTAGGGTATTGAACTCGATGGCAGCGCCGGTTTTGTCGTTGACAAGACGCACGTAGTTGTTTCCAAAAATCATCTCTGGCAAGGGAAATTCAAATCTCGTCTCATTGAGGTGGTCCAATTCGTCCAGCAGAAGAATGGGCCCCTTCATGGTATATATGCTCCAGTCGTTCACGGTAATCAGCGGGTTCTGTTCAAATGGAAAAGAGGCTTTCGGCAGCGGGATAATGACGGTTCCACAGTGGCCACATTGGGGATTTTCACAGGTTCCTTGGTGGCTTTTAGCTGGAACACATACTTCAGGTTTGGCAGTGGTTGGAGGAGGGGTTCTTCTGGGCATACGAGAATGCAAATCCAAGGTATTCTGTGTGATTGGAACATTCTGCTTTTCAGGTCCTCTGGCAACAGCACTGGCACTGGCTGGAGGTCCTCGACCCTGAGTATGGAGTTTGACTTGTTCTCTTGCTCTGTTTATATGGAAAGCCAGGATGCCCGATGTCGGCGCCGAAGCCGGAGACTTGGGTCTTTGAGTATCAGGTTGTTGGCCAGGTTTGGGGAATTGGTCTGGCTGTGACATGGAGTACTGGGTAGAAGAAGCAGAGGTGGTGGTCGAGGTTATCGATCTGGGGCTGTTCAATACAGGAGTGCACTACTCACTGTCCCAGTGTATATATACATCTAAAAAATAGACCGGAGTTTGTGGAGGTTGACTGATGAGTTGAAGGAGTCAAAAAAAAAAAAGTGGATTGTTGAAAACTAGCACTTTTTTGTGGAGCAGGTTGCTAGGGCATAGGTGGATTTGTGGGGGTTTGAAATGGCTGCGAAATCGGACTCAAGTACCAGTGCGGGGCTGAAAGTAGATTTTTCAGACACTAATTTTTCAAAATTTTAGTAGACCGTCTCTTCTTCCTTACGGAGACCTTCTCTCACGGCCAAAACAGAGTCGGCAATGACGGCGTCAACTCCGGCCTTCATTTGGATCTTACAGGCTTCAGGATCGTTGTTCTCCACACCGTAAGTCACACACACAAGACCAGAACTCTTGACGACCTGGGCAAGTCTGGGCGTTTTCACGAGCGTCTTAGCGTTACTGACGATACCCAAAAGATTCCATTTCTTGGCGAATCTGATGGCATTCTGTAGGGACGACGCTCTGATATCAGCCATGGGCTCAGTTCCAGCTTCCGTAAGGTACAAAATCGGCATTGTTGGCTGCTTCAACGAAAGCAAAAGACAAATGTCGGGATGGAACGAGGAAAACAAAATGTCTCTGCCACTGGTGTTCATCTCGTAAACGGTCTTCAAAATCGTGTCCACGTAGAAGTTCATGTCGTAAGCAATCTCACCCATACTTTCGTGTTGGGCTTCGTCCAACATGGGATACTTAAGCTCGATGTTGAAGCCCACGTTCTTAGGCAACTTCTGGAAAAGCTTCTTGAGCGTGACGAAGTTCGACGCAACCGACAATCCTCTGGCGTTACCCTTGAAACCCTTCTCCTTCCATGTCTTCGTGAGCTTCATTCTACTGGAGATCTGGTTCTTGAACTCTCTGTCTAATTCATCCTCCTCGGCTGCAGAAGCAAATTTGGGACCCGATGGGTAAGACGACATCGAACGAGGTCTATTGTACTTGCCCAACAACTCGTCATCAAGAGCGAAATTCTTTGTGATGTTCAAGTTGTTGTTGATCTTGTCGTAGCTCAAAATGGACTTGTTTTCTCTAGTAGAGGCTTCATGCTCACTAAGACCCAAGAACTGCTCCTCTGTCAACGCATGCATTGGAATATCAACACCAGACTCGGCCACCAAGAAATCGTGATAAATGACAGGAACGTGATCCTTTGTGAGTTGGACATCAAACTCGACGTAAGATGCTCCCAACGAAGCAGCAGCGATGAACGACTCGACGGTGTTTTCACCCAACTGCAACGAATCTCTCTTGTTCATGTTCTTACCCAAACCTCTGTGGCCAATGACACGAGTGGAAACTAATTGTTTCCAGTACGTGTCTGAACGAGTGATGGAGATCTGGTGATGATCAAAGGACTTGGCACACATGTACTCACACTTGAGGGTTCCCAACATGTCAAGAGAGTCTAACTCTAAGATTGGAATTGTGACGGAGTTGTGAAGAGAACGCAAGTCTGTACCGACCCCAGTGTAAGCACTCTTCAACAAAGCAACACCTCTTCCTAAAATTTTGCCCTTCATTGCACCCTTGTGAGTGTTTTGAAGGTTGCTGGTAGGATACTGGTAAGTGGGGACAATGTCAAAGTTGACTACCATATCATCAGCACTGACTCCAGCATCAAGCTTGAAGGTGATGGGGTCAGTGGCACTACCGTGCTGATCTTCCAAAGGCAAATCAACAATGACAGGGGCTTCAATGATGTCTTTAGTCTCTTTATGGCGACAAGTGACCACAAGCGAAAGAGCAGTGTCGAGTTCTGTGAAGAAACTCTGAGACATGGAGATCTTGTTCAAATCAATGGGCTTCAGCTGGTCACGCAAATCGGTAGTTCCCAACGTAATAAGCACCAACAGCTCGCCCTTAGCCAAGTATCTGTGACCAAACGATTTGATTGGCTTCATCTTACGGCGGTTCACCGGTGATCTGGATCTAGAACTGCTTCTTGCACGCGATCTTTCTCTGCCATTGGAATTGTTCAGGTTGTTGCTGCTTGAAATGTTGGAACTGCTGTCGAGCTGTTTGAACTGGCGGTATACTTCACTCACGGCGTTTCTGTTCAGTTCTGGAGCTTCTCGATCGAGGAAGTAGACAAGAGCATCTCCTCGCTAGTTGGGTGTAAAAAAGGCGAAGTGGTGTTTGAAGCATTCTTGGACGATGGGTTGTGAGTTCTTGGTGTGTTCTTCGAAGGATCGTCGATGTTGTACAAGAGCAAGTTGTCGTCCAAAGGCTTCAACAAGTCAGCCACAACAAGATGGCCACGCAAGGAAGCGTGTTCCATAGGCAACCAGCCGGAGTCGTCCACAAGATCAAATCTAGCGGCGTAGTCAATCAAAATCTGAACCACTTCTTGGTAACCCTCGGCTGCAGCAATGAAAATTGGAGTCCAGCCAAAAACACACTCACCCAACTCAGTGTCAGCACCCATCTTCAATAAAAATTTGACGGTGCTCAAATGATTGAGCTTGGAAGCCACATAAAGAGCTGTCTCCTCGTTGTTCTCAGCATCTGTGTAATTAACATCAATAAAGCCCGATTCAATCAAGTCCTTCACGATATCCTCACAGTTGAGTCTGGTAGCTAAAAGCAACAAGTTGGGGCACGACAATGGCTCCTTGTTGACAGCTAGAAGGTTCACGGTTGTCCTGGGGTGCTTACCGATAATTGCAAGGTGCAATGGGTCAATCCCTCTTGGTCACCGAAATCATCTACCAGATCAATTGGAACGTTCTGGTCCAACAAGTTCCATTTGATCATGTACTCCAAAAGCAAGCTGGTGACATCCTTGGCGCCGTACTGAGCAGCATAGTGGACGGGCGTTCTCAAGTACGTATCCTTGGCCACGAGCAAGCTCTGGTATTCAGGAAGCTGATCCACTTTCTTCAAGATGTTTCTCAAACCATCAATGTAAACGGGAGAAAGCTGAGAACCATCGGGGCCAGACTCGTTTCCGTACAAACGCTTGATGTCACTGGACTCACCAGGGTTCCTTTTCTTCTGCTCCTTGATAAGCTGCTTCTTACCGAGAGACACCACATGTTGGTGGAAGAAGTTACGGCCTGAGATGTCGATGGAGTCAAAAAGAGCGTTACTCTCGCCGACCTCAGAGGCATTTTTCTTCGTGAAGTCCACCAAATAGTCGAAAAGACGGTCAGTACAGGCGACGGAGTTGGCCAAAGTGGCCTTGTTCAAAAGCGAAAGAAACAATTTGACCGACTTCTGGGCCCACTCCAAGTTGTCAAGCTCAGAAATAAGCTTGTCGGCCTCGTTCTGGTAAATGAGCTCATAAAAATTCTCCATGAACTCCTTGTCGAACGAGTAGCGTCTGTTTCCACCGATCTTCAAAACATTCAAGTTTTTGGTGGCAGTCGAAAGCACCTTTTCCGCCTCCAAGTTGTTCTCCAACTCAATCTGCTGGTCACCCAACTGGTTCAAAATCTCATTGATGGTGTCCAAGCCAGCCTGAAGCTCCAGACCATTGGCAAACGGCAACGCATCCACTCTGGTGGTCAAGTAGGTCTCCTTGTTGTTGTTGGGCAAACTGACCACAGGCACCTCCTCGTCCAGATCGGCATCCACACGCAACTGGTCGTTGGCCAAGTTGGTCAAGTAGAGCAACTTCTTATCGAGCTTCTTCAAGATCTTGATGAAACCCTTGTGGTTAAGCTCGCCAAACCACTTCAAGTTTCTGTAGATGGCTCTGAGTTCCAAGGAAATCAGCACGATCTCGTCCAACTCGTCCGTGGTGTCGACCTGGTGGGTGATCTTCCCGTTGGTGTAACCCAAAACATGGACGATTCTGGCCGTTCTTCTGGAGTACTCGTAGTACTTGGCGTCGTAGAACTCCGACACCTTCTCGATGTCTCTATCCAACTCATAGAAGAACTGAGAAAGCACTGTTGAAATCAACTCGGGAAGCTCCAACGGCGAGTAGCTGTTGTAGTTGATAAACTTGTCGATGGTCTTGATGACCTTCTTCAAGTGCTTGTAGTTCATGTAGTGGACCGACCATTCTGGGATCTGGTGGGAAAGAAGAGTCTTTCCAAACTTCATGGCCGGTTTGCTTCAACTGGTTTTTGTTTTTTTCAGTGTTGGCGAGTTAACTAATGAGGTGCAACCGGCATGGCGCTTGATGCCAGTCCTACATTGGGGGCGACGGGCCGAGTCACCGTTTTGTGGTCACGTGGGGCGCCAGGGTTGAAGGCCCACGAGTATATAAAGGGAGCCTGTCCCCCCGTGTTTTTTTTTATTTTGCTTTACACTTTTTGTGGCTTTTCCCACGTGGTGGACCCGTGGGGTAGCCATCGGTTGCAAACTCTCAGGCGCGCCACGGGGTCTGTTTAGGGTGGTGATGCGAAGCGTCACTGTTTAGCCGCAAGTCTCAGGGTGAAGCGAGAGCTGGAGGTTTTTTAGATTGGGGTGGTGTAGAGCAGGGTGGGGTGCCACTTCTTTTTTCTGTTTTCTTCCTGATATGTCGCCTTCCTCCTTCTTGCGGTGTATTGTTCGGACTTTTCAGCGATGCCTCTTGTTAGGAACCCTGCTGCTTTTTCGCCACGGATGTGTTTTGATACTTCCACAAGGCGCTGGTCAAAAGTGTAGGTAGTTAAACGAATAACGCGGAAACCTTTGCTAATTGGGGTACAGAGACCCTGAGGTTCGGCGGGTATTTGCTTCGATAAGGTTTAGCAGATAAAGGCTATGACGTTTGCTGTCGATCCTGCTTTCTTGTTTTGGAGCAAAGACAATGGGTGGGATTCTATGTTTGGGGATTTTGAGATCTACGAAGGCCTAGCTTTAGCTTTAGGCTTTGGCTGCGATAAGGTATGCCTTATCAGGGAGGATGTAGCTTATCGTGGGTGGCGAGTATGTGAGGAACAAAGAGATCTACAATTTGGGGTTTTTTGTTTTCGTGATGTCAGAAAAAAAAGTGTATCTTTTGTTTTTTGTGTTTTTCTTCCATTTTGTGTAATCTTTCAGGACAATGGCATATCTAGTGCACCGTTATTCCTGGCTGTACCATTTCGCAGCCGTTGATATCCATGCATGAAGCATTTGGTGAGGGAGTGTTGAAAAATCAACTTTTATCAAGTATTATTCTCTGAGTTCTTCCTGATCTTTTTTTTTTTTTTTTTTTTTTAATCGATCATCAAATTAAGAGGACGTCCTACGATTCAAGTAATCCCCCTCTCCTGTAGTGCATTGAGTATACATGCCAATCGGATCAACCAATCGAAATCGTAACTTTTATTCTGTCATCAGACAGCTTCTATCCTTTTTTAAAGCAAAGTCTCGCCCATGGCACAACGGCCAATGGCACATGCAGCGCTCACGGTGTCGAGAACATGGTTCTCGTGCTCACCCAAAAGTGGGTTCGTCTCCACAACATCAAGAGAGCTCAAAAGACCCGTCTGGGCCACATCTTCAGCCACAAACAAACCCTCTCTCAAGGTCAAGCCGCCTTCAACACGGGTGCCGGTGGCAGGAGTGAAAGATGGGTCAATGGCATCAACATCGTAGGACAAGTGGATGGGGAATTTTCTGTCGGGGTTGACCTTGTCCAAGGCCATCTCCACGACCTTGCCAATGCCGTACTTGTCCACGTGGTACATGGAGAAAGCTGGGATGTTGTACTTCTTCAAGATGGCCTTCTCTCCGTCGTCCACATCTCTCAATCCAATGTATGCAATCTTGCCTGGCTTCAACTTGGCAGGCACCCAGCCGAACTCCGGCGGGAAGGATTCAGGGTCAATGCCCAAGACAAACGACATGGGGCAGCCGTGGAGGTTACCAGAGTCGGTGGTCTTTGGAGAGTTGATATCGGCATGGGCATCGATCCACAAAACACACGTGTCGGGGTCGTTTTCCAACGCAGCAGCCACGGTGGCAGTTCCGATGGAGTGGTCGCCGCCAACCACCACCGGAAGCGTGTCCTTCTTGTGTGCTTCAAGACAGCTCTCGAAGATGAGCTTGTTGCAGTCCAGGACGAGCTGGGTGTTCTTGACGCCAAACGAGTCCTTGTCGTTGGTCTTCTTCAGCTCAAACTCGTGACCTTCAAGCGGGTTGGCCACCAGGGTGGTCCAGCCCAACCCCTGGAGCTGTTTTTCGAAGCCAGCCTCCAAGATGTACTTGGGACCAAGATCCACACCGCCTTTAGGCTGGCCACCGGAAAATGGGGCGGTGATGATGGTGGATTTCTTTTGAGGATGGAATTTGTATTCTGCTGTTAGTGGGGACTGAAAAGCACGTCTCTGCTTACTTACCTGGAGTAGTCATTGCTGGAAAAGTAGAGGGTTCCACGGCCGGGTATTTATAATGGAAGCGTGGGGGCAGAGGCGGCAGGCAGGAGCGACGGTTGGTGGTCGTTGCGCATCATTTAGTGGATAACTGCCGCCAACGGAAGGAGGGTGCGAGAACCTAAATGGAAGGTAACACCAGCGGGGTGATACCACGGTCCAGGACCCCTAATGGCAGGTGACGTCGAGGGGATTTTTCGGGATGATCGGGGGAGATGGACCATGGAATTTGTGGATTATAAAAATCATGGAATTTGGGAATGGAGGTTTTGAGATGAGGCACCTCGGAGTATGGTGTGGCTGCAACTGAGACATCGCACTGGACTGGAAGCATAAAAATGATGTAGTACGAAATTGAAATTTTGTGGGTTGTTCTCAGATCTCGTAAATCCCTGTCCCATACTAAAAGCCTGTTCCTTTGTTTGCTGGTATCTGAGGTGTTCACGCAAGTGCCGCATGGTCCTTGGCACTAGGGCTATGTTGAAGGAGGAAGCCGAACCCGAGGAGGGTGATATTCGGTTATCAGTGAAAATGGGGAATTCGGGTAGGAATTGAGATAGGAAGAAGGAGTTGGTCTGTTTTTGGTGACATTTGGTTTGTTCCTGGGGTATTTCCGTTGGCTGATCTGGGGTAGTTCGCATCTTGATTTAGTGCCGTTTTCCATCAAACTTCCGGGGTGGAAGGTGATTTTGCAGTGGATCGGGGAATCGACAAAGCGGGCCTTTTTGATTTGATCAATCTGACGTCGATTGTAGTTTGTTTTGTTCTATTTTTCATCTTGCCGAGATGGACCATCGCCATGGCTCATCTTTCGGATGCTATCTATGACGTAATGTGCCAAGTGCTAAAACGCCAGATCTAGCGGAAGGGAAGATATCTTTTTTATCAGCCTTAAATTCTAAAGCGAACTTCTGATAGCGAATTCTTGGATTATTGATTAAATTATAGTAGGCTCCGATTGTGATCGGTCCGGTGGTGTCCCAAGCTTCTCAAATGCAGAGCACAGGAGCTTATCTTCACAATGGCTCTTCTTCACAATCAATAAAAATAACCCCTAAATCGAGAGATCTCCAGAATATGGCAATGCCTTAGAAGCAAGGTTTTGATACTCAAATCATCGACCTAGCAGCCCCTCCAAGTAGATCTTCAATGCTCGACAAACTTTCCTTCTCCGTAACAGGTTATGTAGTACCCACACTCCCCAAACTCAAATCATCAATATTAACCTGTCAATTTTCGTAAGCCTATATCCATCAATTGGGTCGCCGCTCGTACAATAGAATCCCTTATCGCGGAATAACGAGCATGAGAAGGTGACTCATTGCCACACTTCACCCTTTTTATTACTCTGTAACTTGCAAAATTACTCAATTCTGTAAGTTACATCATCTAAATCACTCTTTTCCTTCCTTCTTACCTTCACCTCACGCCAATCTCCTGATACACCCTCCGAAGGTACTCCGAGACTCCGAGACCAACTCCGAGCGATAAAGCAATTTCGACCCGAAACCCCCAAAACCTCCCATTTCCACAAAAACCTTCAAATCAAAAACCCAATTCCAGCACAGCCCATCTTCCAACCCCCAAAAAGCTCACAAACTCGAAAGGTATATCTTGCTATTCGCGCATCACCATACTCATCTCAACTGCTACTACTCATGAACGTGGCTTCCTCAGACGACGAGCACTACCTCCTGCCTGTGGACGATGAGCATCAATACGATGATCTGGACGACGGAATGTTGGCACTGAGCTTAGCTCTGACCCATTTCTCCACTCAAGAGGACCGTTACATCAGAGACCATGATTTGAAGGTCAGGGCGTTCGAGGCTCTTCAGGACGGCAAGGACAAAAACAGCAATTCTGAGAAGAGTTCACATGGAAAGCTGCTACACCGCCTGAGAAGACATTCGGTGATCGACTTGCCCGCTCATCATCCCCACCCTCTGGTGGCAACAAGAAGTAAACACTTACCAGGAAGCCAGCCTTCAGATTACACCAACGCCTTGCCTGAGGAGTACCCCTCCAGCGAGCTTGTGGACTTGTACGAGAAGGTGAAGATGTGCTTGGACATGAGACACAAGTACATGGATTTGTCTCTTCAGAGATGTGAGTTGGATAACCCCAAGAACCACGATAAGTGGGATATCTACCCTCCTCCTCCCAAGCCTACGTACAAGCTGAAGAACAAGTTTAACCAGCTTCCAGGCCAGGACGCGGAGGAGGAAGATATTGACATGGACAAGTTCCCCATGTCGGACCTTGATGCTAACGATAGGTACGAACTCAGGCACAACGACCAAGACGTGTACGAGGTCATTGACAAAAGGACGGGCGAGCCAATCTCCAGTGCGCCATCTTTAAAAGAGTACTACACCGATTTGAACAAGATCGCCCGTATCTCATCCGATGGTCCTATCAAGTCCTTTGCGTTCAAGCGTCTCGAGTACTTGGAGACAAAGTGGAACATGTACTACTTGCTCAACGACTTCGAGGAGAACAAGCAATCCAAGCGTAATCCGCACAGAGATTTCTACAATGTCAGAAAGGTCGACACTCATATCCACCACAGCGCTTGTATGAACCAGAAGCACTTGTTGCGTTTCATCAAGTACAAGTTGAAGACTGTACCCAACGAGCAAGTCATTTTCAGAGATGGCAAGCTTTTGACTTTGGAGGAGGTGTTCGACTCGTTAAAGCTCACCGCCTACGACTTGTCCATCGACACCTTGGATATGCATGCCCACACCGACACGTTCCACCGTTTCGATAAGTTCAACTTGAAATACAACCCAATCGGCGAGTCCCGTTTGCGTGAGATCTTCTTGAAGACCGACAACTTCATCAACGGTAAGTACTTGGCAGAAATCACCAAACAGGTTTTTGAGGATCTTGAAAATTCCAAGTACCAGATGACTGAGTTGCGTATCTCTATCTACGGCCGTTCCTACGATGAATGGGACAAATTGGCTCGCTGGATCGTCAACAACAAGCTCTTCTCCCACAACGTGAGATGGTTGATTCAGGTACCTCGTCTTTACGACTTGTACAAGAAGAACGGCAATGTGACCAATTTCCACCAAATCATGGTGAACTTGTTTGAGCCCTTGTTCAAGGTGACTCTTGATCCAAAGCTGAACCCTAACTTGCACATCTTCCTCCAAAGAGTTGTTGGGTTTGACTCTGTCGATGACGAGTCCAAGCCAGAGAGACCCATCAACGCCAAGTACTTCCCTCCAGCTTCGGAATGGGATGGCAGCAAGAACCCGCCATACTCGTACTACTTGTACTACTTATACGCTGACTTGGTCTCCTTGAACAACTTGCGTTCTGCCTTGGGCTACAACACGTTTGTCCTCCGGCCTCATTGCGGAGAAGCTGGTGACCCGGAGCACCTTATTTCTGCATTCTTGACCACCCACTCCATCTCCCACGGTATCAGGTTGCGGAAGCTTCCGTTCGTCCAGTACTTGTACTATTTGGACCAAATTGGTTTGGCGGTCTCGCCCTTGTCGAACAACGCATTGTTCTTGACGTACGATAAAAACCCGTTCTTCAGCTTCTTCAAGCGTGGCTTGAATGTGTCGTTGTCCACTGACGATCCTTTGCAGTTCTCCTACACCAAGGAGCCATTGATCGAAGAGTACTCCGTTGCAGCGCAGATTTACAAGCTTTCAGGCGTCGACATGTGTGAATTGGCCATGAACTCGGTGAAGCAGTCAGGCTACGAGGCCTCCATCAAGAAGCACTGGCTTGGTAAAAACTACATGAAGGGCGGTGTCGCTGGAAACGACATTGAAAAAACGAACGTGCCCGATATTCGTGTAAGGTACAGAGACGAGACCCTCCAGAGCGAACTCAGTCTCGTGGAGTACTACACCTCGTTGAACAAGGAAAGGATATAGTGAAGATAGTCAGTCTCTTGAAAAACCGCGTATGCGCATCTGCCAAATGTATGCGCTTAGAGGGCGCCCCAGGCCCCATGCGTGCACAATGAGTCTTTCGAATAACCTTGCTTGGTATTACTTCTTCATTATTCCTTTAAAGAATGCCTTCTACGAGTTATGTTGATCTTGTGAGTCCCCAGGTGAACTCCAAATCACTTCCTGCGGTTCTCACTATCGCAGGTCTGGACTCCTCGGGTGGTGCCGGTATCGAAGCAGACATCAAAACCATCAATGCCCACGGTGTCTACGGACTTACTTGTATCGCAGCATTGACTGCTCAAAACACCTCTGGTGTTGAGGCGGTGGAGCAGACGTCAATTGAGCATTTGCGGAAGATCCTCAAGAAGAACTTTGAAGATTTCGTCGAGGGTTACCCTGGAGATCATCCATTGAAGGTTGTCAAGACCGGAATGCTTACAGAGGCGGCTGCAACTGTTCTTTCGGAGAATGTGGACTACTTGAATAAGAATGACGTCAAGATCGTCATGGACCCTGTGATGGTCAGTACTTCGGGAGTCACCTTGACTGACAACAAGACTGTGCAGTTATGCTTCGACAAGATCTTTCCTTCGACCTACTTGTGTACCCCAAATTATGTCGAAACGGTGCAATTGTACCAGGAAAGAAAGGGCAAGGCTCCTGAACTCAAGACCCTCGCTGACCTCGAAAAGATCATTGTGGAGTTGCAGCAGATTCTTCAGTGTCAGAACGTCTTGATTAAAGGAGGTCATATTCCCTGGACCAAGGATGGTCAATTGTCTGAAGACAGAGCAGGTGATGATTTGGTGGTTGCGGACGTGCTCTACGAATCGCAAGCTGACAATATCACCATTTTCAGGTCACCCTACATCGTGCTGAACAACACCCATGGCACCGGCTGTACTTTGGCGAGTTCATTATCTTCCAACATCGCCAAAGGACTCACTCTCCTGCAAGCCGTGCCCCTTTCCGTAAACTATATCCACTCTGGCATGCTCAGTTTGTCGCTGAAGCTTGGACATGGCCACGGACCTTTGGACCATACTAATATCGCCATAAGCAGTGTTCAATCAGTCATCAAAGGTTCTGAGACCATTGCAAAGGACTTGAAGGATAACCATGGCGGCGCCCTTGGCTATTTCAAGAACCACAATGTTGTGAAGGACAACTGGAAGAGGTACACTGAGCATCCGTTTGTGGAGCTTGTGGCCACCAACAAACTTCCTTTTGATAAATTCCTTTTCTACTTGAAACAGGACTTTTACTACTTGGTCAACTACGCTCAGATCCATGGTCTAGCTGCGCTGGTGGCTCCCACATACGAGCAAATCCATGCCCAGGCCGAAGTCATTGACAATATCATGAAGGAAATCGAAAGACACAAGGAGAAATTGTTGAAGAAGTACAATATTGATTTCGACAATGCCGACTTGGATTTGGAACTTCAACCTGCCAAGCCTTGCATCGAATACTGTGACTACCTTTTGAAAGCTGGCAAGACCCAGGATTTCTTGGGTATCAAGGTTGCGTTGGCTCCTTGTCTCCATGGCTACGCTGAGGCAAGCGAGTTTGGTAAAGGCATCCGTTTGAAGCATGACGGGTCGCTTGGAGTTTTGTCTTCAGAGGATGAGTCTGAGGTGTACGGTTCGTGGCTAGACGATTACTCCTCGGACTGGTACACAGAGGCTCATGAGCTCGGTAAGAAGGTTTTAGATGACACCATTGCTGGTACAAGTGTTTCTGAGCAACGGTTGGATGAGTTGGTGAAAATCTTCAACGACGTGACGTTGTTGGAAATCAGCTTCTGGGACGAGATCGTAAACTCTTTATAGAGAGGTAATAGAGCTATAAAAGCGAGTTTCATCAACAGTATTTGAATGGACGGATTTTCGTCGAGCTTTCTCCATGAATTGATCGTCGTTAATGTGAATGAGCGGTTCTCTTCCACTTACTTCTTCTGAGTGAAGTATTCAAATCATGGCAATTGTAGCTCATTCAACGATCACTCAATGATTGTGTTCCGCTTTCCCTAATCAGCCATACGTGACTAACCGCCTTTTACAGATAAAATGAGGACCTTACGACAATTCACAAGCTATCCACAATTCTCAATACTGACAGTATGTCTGCTTCAACCCAATATCCCGCCAACCTGGCAGAATATCAGCAATCCTGTCCTTCTTCGGAAACAACAACTGGTGAACTGAGCTACACGGACTCTTATTACTATGGACTGTCAGACCAGTATTCCTCGTGTCCGAGTTCAGAGACTTGGGACAACTACCGCCCCGTGGATGTCCCAATTCGTGACGATTCCAACTACAGAGGACGCACAATTAATTACTATATTGTGACCCCAAACTGTCCACATTGTCACCATGTTCTGCAACTTCATCAAGTAAGCCAAGGTGAGCTTTACAGGGTTGCTAATGAACAAAGGGCTTATCAAGAACAGCTCTACAATGGAAAAATCCCAAGAGATTATTACCCTCAGACTGGATACAATTATCCACCGCCCCAGGCCCCTCACCCATACCAAAGCTACTATAATCACCAATATGGGTACTCAGGTGGGTATTCGTATGGACCACAGGAACAGCAGAATTATGGTCAACAACAAACTTACACCCAGGAACCTTCTTTGAATTATCAAAGCTATCCCGTTCAACAGCCTGCTGCTGAAATTACCCAAGTGATTCCCAATGGAGAATGTGAATATTACAACTACCCTCCAGTCCAGTCACTTCAGACACCCAGTACTCAAACAGTAAAGTGCCAGCTTGCTCAGGAGTCCCTTCTTCCAATAAGTTCCCAGCCGCTTCCGAAAAAGGTAGACTGGAGCTATACACCTAGAAAGTCTACTGCTGAATCAGGAAGCAATACAAAGTCGTCAAAGTTTTGCTGGAAGTACCTTGAGGATCCATCATTTTCGTTGCCAAATCCGAGGCGTATGCAGCCTTCGATTTTTGAAGTTTTAGCCAATGCTGACGAAAAGAAGGATACCGAGGAATCTAACCTTCCTTGTGATCAGGAGAACGGTGATGATCTGAGTAACAGTCTGTCTTCTGATGAGTCTGATACAGATGATTCTGATAACGACGCAGATGATACCTCGGAAGTTCCTGAGGAATATAACGACGAGAACCTTGATCCTGCTACTTTGGACGATGAAGAACTCATGGCCTATCAGAGCTACAAGATTTCCAGAATGTTTGGCTATGATACAGAGTCCGCTGAGGTTGAGGCGGAGACTGATAGAGTCACACAAGCAACGGAAAATTTGGAGATTAATGGGTCCACTAATGGAAATGAAGCTCATGATGAAGCCTCTAAGGGGAGTGAAAATGAGCAGAGTTCTGTTTCGATGAATAGGCATCACCAGCGGTCCCTGAACGGCAGTAAGTTGTAATGCCTCGGCGTATGGAAAGAGAAATGGAGAAGAATAAAATAAAAATAAAATTCTATACTCTATTGGTGTTCATGCAAGTAAGAGACTGAGACTGTAGTATTTTAGGGTATCGTATTAATCAAAGAGCCATGCAACTAGATAATAGATTGATTACTTTAAGCCTTTTGAGACCAAAATGAAGATAAGAAGGCTATTATTTCACTCTTTGATGCACAATCTCATTGCCGAGGAGTCCACAGTATCTCTCCAAAACCTAGCACACTGCTGGGCACGAGCAGTGTCTATACCACGAGTAATTTCACATCTTGCATTGCCTTCATTACTGAGTTCAGATTGTAAAGCCTCCATTGCTTTTCATTTTCCTACTACCCGTACACTCCTGTCAATTACTACCACCTACCGTTTCTCGTCCGCCTATTTGCGAGGTTCTCCGATTTCGCAGCCAAATTGCTGCACCACCCTACTAGTCTCCACAGGCACTTCCCGGCAGTTCCCTTCAAGAAATCAAAAAACACCCATAATCGACAGATCTTCAAAATCCGAAAAACATAAGGCTCCACGGGCCCCAACAGGGTTTGTCCCCTTTTACTACAGCCACCATTATCGTGGTGTACGGGTCTCCACTACTGATACGTGCTTCTTTCTCCATCCGATCCACTTCCACCTTCTCCAATTTCCATGTACAATCCGTACCAGGGCGGCTACCAAGGCGGCTACCAGCAAGGTGGTGGCTTTCAAGGCCAGTATGGATTTCAGGGCCAGCAGCAGCAGCCGTATATGCAGCAGCAGCAGACCGGGTTTTATCAGCAGAATCAACCCCAGCAGCCTGGTCTCTTCCAGGGCCAGCAGACGGGCTTTCAACCTCAACAAACGGGGTTCCAGCCTCAGCAAACTGGGTTTCAGCAGCAATTTCCCCAGCAGACCCCTCAATTGAACCAGCAGGCCACAGGCTTCCAGCCTCAACAGACTGGCTTCAACTCCGGCTACAACCAGCCCTTGACGGCTCAGAAAACCGGCTTTTCCGCCGCTTTGGGCTCCGTCACCGAAAACACCGAGTTGAAGATTCCTAGCATCCGTTTGTCCTTTATCAGCGCTGAGGACCAGACCAAGTTTGAGCACCTCTTCCGTACCGCAGTGCCCAAGGGAGAGAACTCCATCAGTGGTGACGGTGCAAGAGACATCTTGTTGCGTTCTGGATTGCAACCTGTCACTTTGGCTGAGATATGGACCCTCGCCGATACAAACAAGCTGGGTGCTCTTTTGTTCCCAGAGTTCGCCTTGGCCTTGCACTTGTGCAACATGTCTTTGAAGAACGAGCCATTGCCTGGCGTCTTGCCTGAACGCTGGCAAAACGAGGTGCAGAGCTTCGTCGATGCCATCAGTTTTTCCGTTCCAGAGGACCCCAACAAGATCATGGCCAACACTCCATTTTCTTCCTTTGCAGCTCCAAAGCCTTCTCAGAGCGACTGGTTGGACAACCAGCCCGTGAACCTGAACTTCTCTGGCAACGCGGCCCCTCCTCCAACCTCATTTACGGCACAGCCAACAGGCGGTCTCAACTCGTTGACTGCTCAACGTACTGGCGGTGGTTCTTTCGTGGCTTTGCAGCCTCAGCAGACCGCTGGTTTGGTTCCTGCCCAGCCATTGCAGTCTCAGAGAACTGGCCCACTCCAGCAACAGGCCACTGGCTTCCAGCAGCAACAGCAGCAACAGCAGCAGCAGCCTCAATTGACCTCTCAGCGCACTGGTCCTTCCAACTTCCAGCCTCAGCAAACTGGCCTTCAGCCACAGGGCACAGGCTTTAATGGCTCTCAGGGCCTTCAGCAGCAGCGCACTGGTGGACTTCAGCAGCAACGTACCGGTGGTTTCCAGCCTCAACAGACTGGCGGTTTCCAGCCTCAACAGACTGGTGGATTTCAACCTCAACCAACCGGTGGTTTCCAGCCTCAGCAGACCGGTGGCTTGTTGCAGTCTCAGCCCACTGGTAAGCCTGGTCAATGGGGTTTTGTTCACACTCCCACCGGAGGTATTCCTGGTTTGAATGTAATGGAGCAGCACTTCTTGCCTAATGCTCAAATGAACACCAACAATTTGCAGAATGCTATGGGAGGTACATTGAAGAGCAATGTGACCTGGGCTATCACAAAGCAGGAGAAGCTGATTTATGATGGCATTTTCGGAGCTTGGGATCCTGAGAGAAAGGGTTTTATTCAAGGCGACACTGCCATTGGTATCTTCAACAAGTCAGGTTTGAGTAGACCCGACTTGGAGTCTATCTGGAATTTGTGTGATGCTGGCAACCGTGGAAAGCTTAACAAGGATGAATTCGCCGTGGCCATGCATCTTGTGTACCGTCGTTTGAACGGACTTGAAATTCCTTTGAGATTGCCTCCAGAGTTGATTCCTCCTTCTGCCAAGTACTTGCAGGATTCCGTGGATTCCTTGAAGAACCTGTTGAAGGGTGGCTCGAAGGGCAAGCCCCAGGCTGCCAAGCCACCTACTTCTGCATCGAGATTCAGAAACAACGACGACGATATGGGATATGTGTCCAACTCTCGTCACCGCAGCAGAAGACCTGCCGAGGAGCAGCCAAGTAGCGTTCAATCATCTAAATCACGAGACTTGACTACTGCCGACTTGAAGAAATTGATTAGAGAGAAGCAAATTTTGTTAGATGCCGTTAACGCTGAGGATCAACACTCTTCCATTGCCAACAAGCAGTCCGATGATTACAACAGCAGATTGATTGAAGGCTTGAAGACTCAGATTAGAGACACAGAATCCAAATTGAGCAAGGTTTCCCTTGGAGGCTCCCAAGAGGAGAAGACTCAGCTTTTGGAGAAATTGAACCATTTCACCAAGGACAAGGTTCCTAGTTTGATTCAGAGAATTCACAAGGTTAACCAAGACCTTGCCAGGACCAAGACAGAGGTCGCTAAGGCCAAGTTGAAGAAGGAGTACCCAGATTGGACTCCTGAGGCAGGCGACGCTGATATCGTTGGCACTGGTCCAAACGGTGAAGTGACTGATACTGATAGAAGAAAGCACAAGTCCAAGGCGCTTTTGAGACAGCGTATGGCTGCCCTCACTGGCAAGTCGGTCTCTGACGGTACCAACAAGGATGCTGATCAAAAGCTCAAGCAAATCTCTGACAATGCCACCAAGGAATGCGAGAGCGAGTCATCTATGATCAAGGATATTGAGACAAGCATCAAGGACTTGGAAGACGGTGCCGCTCTTCACCTTCAGGTATCCGTAAAAGACCAGAGTGGCAGCGAGAAGTGGGAAAGCGGAATTGGCGTGTCGCATGCTGTGAAGGTTTTCCTCGATGAGTTGAAGAAGTTTGAGCAGAAGCAGTCGAAGCCTCAGGGTCTGAGTGGGGATTACTTCTCAGGCTCTGAACCCGCATCCCAAACCGCTCCAAGTCTGTCATCGTCCAGAAGCAGTGCTGTTTCTTCGCCAGCTGCTCACAAAACTCCTGAGGAGAGACAGGCCTACATCAAGGAGCAGGCTCAGAAGAGAATGAACGAGAGATTGGCTAAATTGGGTCTCTCTCGTAAGGGTCAGCAAGCCTCTCAAGCTGAGGCTTCATCCCCAAACCAGCATCACCAAAGCCTGTGGAAACACCCAAGGCTCCTGAACCAGCTCCTTCGAAACCAGAGCCTCAGCAGCCGAAGGAAGCACCAAAAGCTCCTGAACCGGCTCCTTCGAAACCAGAGCCTCAGCAGCCGAAGGAAGCACCAAAGGCTCCTGAGCCTGAGAAGCAAGATGAATCCAGTGATGACGATGATGAAGAGTATGCTGCCTTACTCAAGCAAAAGCAAGAATTGGAGGCTAAGAAGCTTAAGAAGAAGCAAGAGAAGGAAGCAAGACTTGCCAAATTGAAAAAGGAGATGGCCGACATGGAAGGCTCAAGCGATGAGGAGGCTCCAGCTCCTGCAAAGGCTTACACGCCTAGCAGCAACAAGCCTACTCCTACCACTGAAGCTCCAAAAGCTCCTGAGCCACCAGCTGAGGCTAAGCCAGAAGAGCCTAAGAAAGAGGAGTCGAGTCAGGCTGCTAATGGTCCTCACAAGAGCAACCCATTTGCCAGATTTGGCACTGACGCCAATAAGGGTGCTGAAAAGGCTGGAACCCCAGGCTCTCAGAACTCCAACCCCTTCTTCAAGTCTCAGCAAAAGCAGGAGCCTGTTGACCAGAAACGCATGGAAGCGCAAAGAGCCTCCCAGAGAGGTTTGGGAAGTGATGACTGGAGTGACGAGGAGGCAAACTCCTCTGACGATGACGAGCCTAACAGAGCTGGTGCCGCTAAGTTGGCCAGTTTGCTCTTCGGTGGTATGCCTCAGCCAGTGACCAGGAATCCAACTGGAAACCCAGCTGCCCAAGAGCAGAAGGCCCCAGAACCAGCACAAGCTGCAGAGAAGCAAGCTGAGCCTCAGGCTCCACAGCAGCCTCCTCTGGCTCCTGCTGAAGCGCCTCCTGCTCCTGCTGAAGCGCCTCCTGTTCCTGCTGAAGCTCCTCCTGCTCCTTCTCAAGCTCCCCCTGCTCCTGCTCCTCCTGCTCAAGCCCCTCCGGCTCCAGTGGCTAGTACTCAAAATGACGACGAGTCATCTGAGTTTGACAGCGACTCCACCGATGAGTTTGCAACACCTTCGCCACCAAGCAGAGCTGCTGATCTCGGTGCTGATGATGTGCCTCCAGTTCCTGGTCAGGCTCCTCCTCCACCAATTCCTCAGGAAGCTCCTCCAGTTCCATCTGCTGTCCCACCTATTCCACAAGAAGCACCTCCAGTGCCACTGCAGGCTCCTCCTCCACCATCTGGAGGTCCTCCTCCGCCTCCTCTTCCTGCTCAGGCTCCGCCCGCTCCTTCAGGTGGTGCTCCCCACCACCTCCATCGTTCCTTTCGAGTCCTCCACCTCCACCTCCAGATCTTGGAGGAGCAAAGGCGGCAGGACCACCTCTGGGAGGTGCACCAAACATCGGTGCTCTCTTGGGACAAATTCAGGGCGGAAAGTCTCTTAAAAAACTTGACGATAGTCAAAAGAAGGTTGCCGATGGTGCTACTGTCGGTAGAGTGCTTTAATCTCCTGTGCTATACTTTTGCTCACAAATTAGATTTGAACTATTTACAAAATGTATCACTCAACGTATTAACAAATTAATCTGACTTGCTCTCCTCTTCATGGTTTGGCACGATATGAAGCTCCTTGTCTTTCATGACAACCTGAACATCGTCGCCTTCCTTTACCTGGCCCTTGATCATCAACATGGCCAATGGATTCAAAAGGTCTTTTTGAAGAACCCTGTTCAAAGGTCTTGCACCGTAAATTGGATCGTAGCCCTTGTTAGCCAAAAACTCCTTCACTTCGTCAGAAAGGTGAAGGTACATTCTCTTGTCACTCAATCTATCGCCAATCTCTCTCAATCTGATCTCGAGGATGTTTCTCAAAGAAGATTTTGAAAGTCTGTTGAATACCAAAACTTCGTCAAGACGGTTCAAGAATTCTGGTGGGTAATGGTGACGCAACGTCTCGGTGATTTCCAGCTTCACAGATTCATTAATGGAACCATCGTCCTTGGTATCCTTGTCAGCAAGAAGGATTTCCTGACCGATGTTGGAAGTCATAACGATGATTGTGTTTCTGAAATCGATGTGCTTGCCGTGAGAGTCCGTCAACGATCCCTCATCAAGAACTTGCAAGAGCAACTTAGAAACATCCTTGTGAGCCTTCTCGAACTCATCAAACAAAATGACTGAATATGGTTTTCTCCTCACAGCCTCCGTCAACTCACCGCTGTCCTCGTATCCAACATATCCTGGTGGGGAGCCAATCAAACGAGAAACAGTATGCTTTTCCTGGAACTCAGACATATCGAATCTGATGACAGAGCTCTTGTCGTTGAACAAAAACTCTGCGAGCTGTTTGGTCAACTCAGTCTTACCGGTACCGGTTGGGCCCAAAAACATAAATGATGCAATAGGTCTCTTGTCACTCGTGAGGCCAGCTCTTTGCAAACGCACCGCATCAGATACCGAATGGATGGCCTCATCCTGGCCCACCACATGCTGCTTGAGGATGATCTCCATATCAAGCAATTTGTCCTTCTCACCCTTCATCAAATTGCTGAGAGGAATACCAGTCATCTTTGAAATGACAGCGGCGATATCGTCAGAAGTGACAGAGTCATGTAAGATCGACAGAGACTTTGCCACGTCCTCGGACTCTGTAAGCTCCTTCACCAGCTCTTGCAATCTTGGGATTGTTGAATATTGCAACTCAGAAGCCTTGGCGTAGTTGCCTTTTCTTTGGCTTTCTTCCAAATCAAATCTTGCCTGCTCCAAATCGGCTTTGGCCTGCTTGACTTCATCAATAGCCTTCTTTTCAGCCTCCCACTTCTCTGTCAATTCTTTGAGCTCCTCTTCCTTCACCTTGAGTTCTTCCTCAAGCTTCTTCGCTCTGTCCACAGACAATTGGTCCTCCTCCTTTCTGAGAGACTCCAATTCGATTTGAATGGTCATGATCTGTCTGTCCAAGTGAGTGATGGCGTCTGGACGAGATTCATGTTGCAAACGTAAGGTTGAGCAAGCTTCATCCACCAAGTCAATGGCTTTGTCCGGAAGGAACCTGTCGGTGATGTACCTGTTGGAGTATAAACCAGCAGTAACGAGTGCTCCGTCAGTAATACGTACACCGTGATGAACTTCATAACGCTCCTTGAGTCCACGAAGAATCGAGATGGAGTCTTGAACGGATGGCTCGTTGACCATAACTGGCGAGAATCTTCTCGCTAATGCTGCATCCTTCTCCACGTACTTTCTGTATTCTTCGATGGTGGTGGCACCACAAAGCGAGAGCTTACCTCTGGCCAAAGCCGGCTTCAACATATTAGAAGCGTCAATTGAGCCTTCAGCTTTACCCAACCCCATGAGAAGATGGAGCTCATCAACGAAAAGGATCACAGAACCCTTCTTGTCTTCGACTTCCTGCAAGATCTTCTTAAGCTTACCCTCAAAGTCGCCTCTGAACTTGGCGCCAGAGATGATACCCGCTAAATCAAGAGTAATAATCTGCTTGTCCTTCATCAGCTCAGGTACCTCGCCCTTGAGTATTCTCTGAGCAAGACCCTCCATGATAGCGGTCTTACCAGTACCTGCGTTACCAATGAGCACTGGGTTGTTCTTAGTTCTTCTAGAAAGCACTTGAATAGTTCTTCTGATCTCCTCATCACGACCAATGACAGGATCTAGTTTGCCTTCCTTGGCCAAGTCCGTGAGGTTAGTTCCGTACTTTTCCAATGCTGGAACATTGGGATCATCATCCTTGTTCATCTCCATCTGCATGTTTCTTGCTGAAGACGAACTGAAGTTTCTAAAGCTCAGCACATCAACTCTCAAGTCCTTCATTTTCGGTATTAATGGAGCTGGATCTATAGACCCAGATCTTGCAACAATCGACATGGCTCTAGGACTAGCCACAGCAGCGGGTATGTGAGCCCGTTGCATGGGCACCCTTCTCAATACTCTAGTTGCACGAGCAGATTTCGAAAGCATATTCCTAAAGTTAGGAAATGTCCCAATTGACGATGATTTATACAACTTCATCTGGAGACCGCCATTGAGTGACTCGAGTCACGTGCACGTAATGGCAATAGGATGTTCTCGAACGATTGCAAATTCTGGAATATTCTAGGTTGTTCCACAGAATATTCGAAAGGTGGGCAGACATCGGGAATTCTTCTTGATTTAAATCTTTTAACTTCTATAGGATACTTTGAGTATGTATTCGAGTGATTTTTCAGGTCGCTTGAGGTTTTCACAATTTGTGAGATTTGAGGGTTTGGCTGCGAATTCTTCGAGTATCTTACAGGATTCGAAACGATTTCGAAATTCGCAAAAAATTGATAAATCTAAATTCTTAAGAAATCCCTAAGATAGAAGAAAAAATCACGCAATTGGAAATAAATTTAGAGCATGCAAAGTAAAAGGTTTTGCAATTGAGGCTATTACCTCCCGAGAGTATTTGTTTGATGTTCTTGAAACCTCCATTTGCTTACCGACATGGCTAGGGTCTTAAAATCCTCAGTTCTTTCGGCAGCTATCTTAATATTTCAGAGCCAGGAAGGTTACGACATTTGGAAGCACTAACCTTGTATGAATTGACCGTCTCGCTGAACTTTTAATCTAGAAATCTATAAAAAGAGGCCTAAAGCTTCGATCAATTTTTTTTTTTCGATCAAAATTCTAGATACTACATCAGCAAGTCTCAAGTGAAAGTATTCTCTATTTTTTTCGTTCTTAAGTAAAATTCAAGTCACCGAATTAACTCATTGGGAAATGTATTTTAGGTGATAAACTGTGTTGAGTGGCATCCTTCTTTTGGTGAAACTGACCGGGGATTCTCGATTTGTAAGGATAATAGCCATGCAAGGATTTTGAAACTTCGATTCCTTCTTAAAAGTTTGATAATTTTTTTTCTGGCATTTCTGGACCATTATTTGGGCAAGAATTTATAATCCACATATTATCACGTGATGAGCAAAACAACGCACTTATTAAACCTGCACATATTACTCAGCAAAGCTGCCTGCGTGGCGTAATGGTTAGCGCATTTGACTTCTAATCAAAAGATTCCGGGTTCGAGTCCCGGCGTGGGTTTGAAGCGGTTTTAGCTCAGTTGGGAGAGCGTCAGACTGAAGATCTGGAGGTCCTGTGTTCGATCCACAGAAATCGCATATTTTTTTCAATTATCTCTACTTTTTGATCAATAAAGAGATTCTGTTGTCACTACAAGTCAATTAGCCTGTCTTTTTATTTCTATAAGTACCTTGCGCATCACTTGTCATCCCAATAGTCATCTCGACTGAAACCAGGCAAAGGTTGGAACGGTGGTAGCGCATTGTCGTCATCCAGATCATTAAAATCGTTAGTGTCGTTAGTGTCGTTATACTGTGTGCCTAGTATGTCATCAGCGACATTCTGGCGGGACCTAGAGGACCCTTCTTGTGGCTCCCCTAGGATATCGTTTGTGTTGGTATGGTGGGCGGGTCCATCACCGCCTGCCCGTTCCCAAGCTTCGTCATCATCAATATATTGTACCTCGTAGCCTCCATCACCATAATCGTCACTGTCATCGTGATGTGTGTCATCATTCACTGAGTCACGCTCGTCTCCGACATTGTCAAAGTACAAAGCGTCCCTAGCCTCACCAATGTTAGCCTCTCCAAGATCTAACTCTGCATCCCGGGAGTTATTTTGAGTCACTGAAGGGGTACGGTTGACAGCAGTGGATGAGGTTTCACTGAGCATGCTCGTGGCAACTTCCTTTGATTCGTCAGACACGGGAGTTGCCTTACATGTTATCATGTTCCAAAGCCATGTAAGGGTACTAATGAAAGTGGTGGGCTTGGAGAAGTATGAGTTGCTGAAAGTCATGACATCATCGAGGGATATCTTCCTTCCAAGCATGCCAATAAGTTCCAAGCGCAGCTCCAAGTCACGAATAGAATAGAACCATTCCCAGGCGGTGGTGAGAATATACATCTCAAGCAAGTATGGCAAGAAGGTGATCCACGAAGTCACGAGCCATTTGTTCTCCCACAAGCTGGCGATCAAAATGGTGATGATGACATGGAGGCCAACCATGAACCAGGTGAAGATCGCCAATGGGAGAAGCCTTCTGGAGTAGGAAACCTGTCTCGGACTGGAAGCTGTGCCGCGGAACGTGTGATAGCCCAAAGTTACGCTGATCCAGAATATGAACAAGACCTTGAGAACGACGGTGAAAATGGCTCTGAATTCATTTTGTTTGTGAGCCATTCGGTCAAAATAGCTCTTTGCCATTCCCAAATCGACTGCGTCGACTATTATGTACATTAGGATCAAGCACGCACCAATGAGGCCGTTGTAGAACTTGTATCGCTGCTTCGTCATTTTCACCACGAGCTGGAAGAAAGCCAAGCACGTAAGGAACTGTGAAATGATTAAGGCGATGGGGTATTTTCGCCTGTCGTTGACGAGCAGGAGAATGTGGATCATATCGAGGGAGTCTTCGTAGTACTGCTTGCGGGCCGCTTGGGTCACCTGGGCCAAAAGAATGGTTAACACTATCGAGTAGACGCCCGTGGCAATTTGCGTCATGATGGGCTTGCGCTTGTGGTTGGGCGAAAGAAGGAAGAGCAATATGAGCATCCAGCACAGCACGCACAGGCCCAGGATCATGAACAAGAACGCAACAAAGGAGTCGCCGTTATCGGAAACATTATAAGGATTATTGTTGTAGTCGTCTAGCCAGCGCTCGACGTCGCTTTCGTTGAACAGGAGATGTGATAGTTCCCGCTGAAGATTGGTAATGGAGCAGTTGGTGACATAGTAAGCCGGTAGAAAGTCCAGCGTGATGTTCTCCAGCCAGCGGCCGGTAAAGTACTCTTCGTATCGTAGGGATCCCAGAGTCAAGGAGTAGACAGAGCAGTTCGTCTGGAGATTGTCTTCGTTCAGAAGAAAGTACAACAGGTAGTTGCCCATAGCGAAGGTCTGCGAGTTATTGGAAAAGTCAACGGCATCCAAAAGGCCGTATCCGCCAGTGTAAAAATCGAGCCCTGCTTGATGTAGCACGGACGTCATGCTGTATTTATACTTCCCGGCGGGGCACGTATCTGTGGGGCTCGAGCGAAGTAGTTTACAAGAGCCAAGCTATGGCGATTTTCTTGGATGCAGCGCACCGCATACCGGCCCCTGGGTGTGGTTAATGAAGAGCGCAGCGGTCTGCGCTGGGCGATGTGTGGGCGGCGCAAAGCTGCCAGAATTCTACAGAGGCTTAGAAGAAAGAAAAAGTGGATAAAAATGAGAAAAAAAAAAAAAAAAAAAAGCGGGAATTCGACTCCTACTTATACTGCAAAGGCGGTCGTGCTGCATCCAACCTATGCACCTCGGTCCATATACGGACCAGGCACCATCTGTGATTTCAGTTAGCATAGAGCATTTGTGGAGGGAGATGGATGCAATTTGATGTTTTTGATTTTGATATTTTGCTGAAGCACATTTGAAGGAATAACAATCGAGGCCGTGCTTTCTCCAGATTTCCCCGTGTTTTTTTATCCTCTTATTGTCTTTCTGACCCTGCCGGACCGTTAGGCTTTGCAGCCTCGCAATGGAGTAGGTCAATTGGCGTACCCTGCAGCCACACAAAGCACCGAAATGTAGCAGAAAGTATAACCGTACGTTCGGTACAGAATACCTCAAACAATACTTTTTGGAAACTCCAGCTGGGGTTCTAGCATTTTAAGGTTTTGACAGCTTTTCACAGGGTTATGGGCTTAGAGCGGTTATGGACCATGAACCGTGAATACAAGCGAGAAAGGTGAGCCAAGGGACTATATCGTACGACACCACTACTTTCAAAAATACCATTTTACAATTGCAGAGTCGCTCCTCGGCCCCCATCTAGGCCGATTCTGAGAAAGGGAGGCCGACGTGCTTGTTGGTTTTCTGTTGCTCTGAATCCGGGATTTTCAGGTTCCGGGCTCCAAATCCAAAGTGGCATTTTGACAGCACGGACAATGTTGTATTGGCGAGTGACAGAGCCCTGGTTGCTTCAGAGAGTTTTTCTGCATCTCGCCTTTTCGTAACCCAGTTGCTTGAATCAAGGACCCTGGTCAACTTTCTGCACGCAGTGCATAAGTGTTCCAGATAGCAAGACCCCAAAATTGTCCTGTTTTGTCTTTTTTGTGACACAGACAAGAAAAGTGGAACCCCCTGGGAACTAGTAGCAATTATGGAAGTGGTTGCTGAGTCGAGGCTCTGAGTTTCATAACACTCTGATGTAATTATCCTCCACTTGATCCCATGAGTCACCAACATATCATATGATTCAAAAGTGTTCTTCACAGCAGCTGAATGGATGCACATTTTGGTCTTCACGCGAGAACGTTTCAAATAATCTAGCCATAAAACCAAGTAGCTTTTGAAGAACAAATCAACGATACTGTGGATGTGGACCAAAGGTGCAATGAAGGCCTACGTATGCCATTATGATCACTCCATTTAGCTGTCTATTCTCCAAGAAATCATACAGCAATGAAAGGTGGTGTGGATCTATCATTCGACTCTGTACTTCCAATGGCGCTGTGACTCTGGATACCGGTATGCCCACTGCATTTCATGGACCATGAAAACAATAAAAATAGAATAAAAGAAAAAGAGGCATTCATATCGAGCTTTAAACCATCAAATCGAAAATTCTCTTCTTTACTATAACCTACCCCAGAGACAGACCAAGTCGTACGCGCACCGTACTATCACCATACTACTGAGTACTCCGGAACCGAGACTCTCCAGCATGTCTACAACGGAAGAGCTCCAGAGACTTTTTGAAGATGGAAACGATATAAAAGATGAGAACCTCAAACGCTTAAAGGACTTGCCTTTGAAAGAAAAAGCACGCCTAGTTGAATACATCGCTGCCTCCGCATCTCAGCGTCTTCCATGTCTCGAGAAGCTTGGCACTGAAGGCGCTTCTTTCGTGCTGTCGGCCCTTCCAGACAAAGAAGCATCTTCAAAGATACTCCAGATCTGTCAACAGAAAATCAGGTTCCAGCTGTCGCCTCTTGTGGCAGACTACTACCTCTCCATATACGCGAACATCACATCCAAGTACGAGGTCAATGATCCTGGCTCTGTGCCGGCGATTTTGGACCTACTAGCGTTATCTGAAGAGAAGCTTCATGCAATTGTCGTGTTTACGATCGTGAGTCAGTCGAAAAGAGAACCGTTATCCACTTCCCAGGCCATTGAGAGATACCTTACAGAGATCGTGGACCAGGACCCCTCCAGCATCACTCCTCCACAATACAGCCTGCTCTTTGAGACCATCCAAACGTTCTTCCCTCTTTTTCCGGAGCAGCTCAAGACAGTGTACACAAGCGAAGGATGCAAAAATGCCATACTTCACCAGGTCAGCCGGTTGACTTCTGGCTCCGGTGAAATTGATGCCGAAAAGGTCGCCAAAATGCTCAATGTGGTTTCTCTGACATGCATCAACGAGGCGGCAAGACTTTTCAACTCTCAGAATTACCTACAATTTTTGATAACAGGGTCTGAAATGGAACAAGTGCCGTTAGTGGTATCGTTGTCCCTTCTATGCATCGTGAAGTTGTGGAATTTCAAGCAAATTGAGTCACAGATCTCCCAAGCCACCGTGTTACACAAAACCATTGATCTCCTTAAGAAAGATGTCTCTGAAGCTAGACCGGCAGTGCTAGAGACATTGTCCTACCTCTCTTTAAATGGTACCTGTCGGTCATCCATTTTCAAAGACGAAGATACCACGGAAAAACTTATTGAGATTCTTCAAAATGAAACCGACGGCACCAATACGTACGGAGTCCTCCTCGCATTCTCAAACTTGACAAAAGTCAAGGAAATAGCAGACGACAACGAGCGCAGGAGAATGAAGTATGCTGCCTCCGCTGCAAACGCCAACAATCAGGACAGCAGCAAGGTGGACGAGAAAGACGTGAGGCTTTACAACCTGGCTTTGGTCAAAAGACTCAAGCTTGTGGGCATGTTCAAGAAGCTAGAATTGCTGAAAACCAACATCATGAAAGAGTGTGTGAATATCATCTACAATCTATCGCAGGACCCTGAAAATGCTCTTCATAGAAGCCTCGTGCTGCAAGGTGGATTGAATTTGATCTTGAAGTATCTCACCTCATACTCTTCACTTGACAAGGAAGACGGGAAGACTCATGGGTTGACAAGTGACGAGAATGAACTCGAGCTTAGAATATCAGCTCTTCGTGCTTTGGCAAGCATGTGCCTGTCTGTTGATCCCAGGCTAGCATTCAATGAGTTTGATGTGAAAACAGCGGTTCCATTCTTGACAGAGCTCTTTGGAGTAGACCCGTCCTTTGGACCGCCCACTGAGAAGACTCCTACTACTATCATGGCCAGTCTCTTGTCACCGATGGACAAGTTCAAGGCGCTTTTGGCGCTCACTAATATGTGCTCTCAGCCCAACAAAGAATTGAACAATTTCATAATCAAGCGCACCTTTTATCAACATTTGAGAAACCTCATGATCGAAAGCACCAATCCTGACATTCAACGTGCTGCTTGGGAACTCATCAACAATCTAATTCAAGAGCCCGCTATGCTAGCCAAATTCTTCAATACTGAAAGCTCGGCCAGTATGACGAACTTGGAGATCCTTGTCAAAATGCTACATGCCAGAGACGAAAATCTACAAGAGGTCATTGCTGGATTGTTGGCAAACAGCACAATGGAGTTTGACCTTGTTGCTACAGTTATCTTGACTCAAAAGCCTATTTTTGATCAATTAAGGGCCATAGCTGCCGATATATTTCAAAAGCAGCTGGATGCAAGCGGGTTGATGCTAAGATTGGGTACTTTTGTCGGGAATTTGATGGACGTCGCAGAGAGCAGCGGTAACGATGTCTTGAAGAAGGATAAGCAATTGCTCATCGGCTTCAAAACAGTGATCCAGTCCACAAACATCCCTGAGGTATTTGAACTTTTCACCGAGCTCACAAAGATGGCGGTGCAATAAAATAATTAGAAATGAAGCATTCTCTGCGTAAACGATGTGGCGTCATGGACAGGGTTAACTGGCGTTTTGTAGGAGCCTCTTTCGGTGTCAACCTTGGCAGTCACTGCCTTGTGCAAGGATGTCAAGAACGTCGCATAATTAGCAGATGTACTGGCAATTTTTGAAGAAAGCAGGTCCTCTATGAGAGTGTCATGGAATGCTTTACTAAGCGGCTCCAAACCCTCGATAACGATCTGAACTGACGACTGACCGATGCTGGATGCTCCAATGATGTTCTTCTGGAAATACTTGACCAAATTGCGAGCCTGTAAAGAGATGTGAGTGGGCATCTCTGGCAAGGAGTCCATGTTGATGTCAATGTCCTCAACCTGATGGACATGCTCTCCAAACAAGTCAGCCAAAAGCTGTTTGTTTGTATCAGGATGGACCCTTATGTAAACTGTTGTGCCATCACAAAGGATGTAAACACTAGGCTGCAAAGAATGTGCTGTCAAGGGCAAGTACTCCGGCACTTTCATGAATGATTCTTCGGTATTCTCCATCGGCATGCATTCGTCGTCGGCCAAAGAATGCAACTCCACCAACGCAGGATACAAGTGATAAACAAGTCTCTCCAAAGGCATGTTGAGCATGTTGTACACATCAGCTAGACGGTCATCAATTGGCACCGCTGTGGAGTCACGGAGTGCTTTGGATTTCGTGAGAGCCATAATAAATAATGGGATATGTCTCAATGAGTCTGGGAAAATGAGTTGGTTGGTGAGCGAGCGAGTTTTGTTGTGACCACGTTCCTCCATCAATCTGTACTGGGCGTAGACGTCCACAAGCTTAGCATTGATAGATGTTCTTAACTCAGCAATCAGCTCCTTACCCACGAACGAAAGAGTGTCTCTGACGAGCGCTGCAATGATAGCATCCTGATCAACGAAGTAGAAAATCTCTTCAAGACGCTCACTCACGGCACATACGAGATTGATCACACGGACTTTTCTTACACCGAATGTGTCTGTGTAAAGTAAGGCGGCTTGAAGATGACAGTCGTACTTTGTGTTCAATTTTCCGTCGTACTCAAGCAAGACAGTGAAGGTCTGGTCCTCGTTGAGAACTGGGATTACAGGATCCTGATTGCCCGTGAGACCAATGATACCGCCTTCCGTAGTAGGGAAGCCATAGTACTGAGATACCTGGAGACCATTGGAACAACGAAGTTTCAACTGGCCCTGGTAACCTGTGGAAGATTTGACAGAGTTCACAATCTGAGCAGTAAGCGCACGGCTATCTCTATCAAAGATGAAATCGGTCCATTTGTGAACCTTACCACCGGTAACAGAAGCTAGCCATCCGATATTGGAGACGTCTACTGGGGTGGCAGAAACTGCCAAAATGTCCAAGCCAACGTTCTGAGCAATCATATCTTTCGCCAAGAGCTTGTAGTACTCGTTATCGACAGAGTACAATTTTTTCTCCATCTCAGCAGAGGGGTTTCTTCCCACAGAATTGTTCTGTTTCAATCTTGAGCCGCCTGGTCCCCAGGAGGGTAGCGTGGAAACAATAGCTGTAATCTTACCACCGCCTACACTTTCAAGGCACATGGTAGCGGCTCTACAGGCGACTGAAAAACAGGGCTCGGAATCATGAAGGCTCTTGGTGTCCGCCAAACTCTCCAAATTTCTGAGGGCGTCCTCAATCACCATACTACTTTCCTCTGGGTCTGCAAAAAGACCATCGTAGAAGGGAACGAAGGGGTCGTCTAAGTCAGGAGAAACGCAGACTTGCGTGGAGTCCAAGTCGGGAGACAAGTTGAAGAAATGGACTGCTTTGTCGAACAAAATGATGGCGAATTTTTGTGGTCTCTTCCCGCCGTTATTCTGCCTCTCATAGTCAAAGAGCGTTGCACGAATGGCGTCTGCTACCAAGACATTAAGACTCTTGCTGATACTCTGCTGACACACATCAACCAAAAATACATGGTGCATTGGCTTGGGCGTGTTCTCAGCACCGCCGACATTGTAAAAGTCAGGCACAATGATATCGTACACACCTCTGTGGAGCTCAGGTCTCTGGGCCCTGTCGGTTCTGTTTTCATTCTGGTCAATTGGCGAGATGTACTCCTGAGGCACTGCATTGTTTGGGAACTGACAAACATTACAAGTAAACCTTCCCAGATACGTGTGCACCATCTGTGGGTTGATGTAGGTTCTACACCGGCGACATCTTGGAGGACCCCATTCCTGAGGATCCATAAGCAGCAGTTCGCCCAAACGAGACATGTCCACAGTAGGCACGGGACTTTCATTGGGTAGCAAAGGCGCAAAAGGGCGGATGGTCACTGCCATGGGTAGTCTTGTAGCTTTACGCATCAGCTCTTGCTCAGGAACATAGTAGAAAGTAGGTCTCATGTGCTTTGGGGTGGCGGTGCTCTGGTCGACGGCAAAGTACTGGGTTCCAGCAAACGGAGGCACGATGTTTTCAAAAGAAAGAAACGGTTTCGTGCCAATGCATACGCCAGCCTCATCGTAGAGCAATGTGGTGTATTCGGTTTCCTGTTCGTAACGAGCCTTGCCTAGCGAAAGGTCCGAAGATGCTGGCGGAGCATGTGGAGTCCCCAGAACGTCGAAACTGGTGTCGTGAACAGGCTCCTGTGGGACCTGAGGAGGTATCTGGCTTTGAAAGCCTGGATGTCCATGTGGAGCCGGGATGTCCTGGTATCCTGGGTACGGCTGGCCCTGAGGAGCAAATTGGGTTGCTGGTTGCTGCTGGAAAGCTTCCACCTGAGGTGCAAAGCCTGGCTGACCGGGAAACTGTTGCTGGGGTTGAGCTGGATTAGCCGATTGGGACCAAGTGGAAGCCTGCTGGTTCAAGTCATGGTAGGCTCTTTGGGGTTTCTTTTTTCTCTTTCCGTCAATATTCAAGTTCTGGACGCCCTGGGCGATATCGTTGGAAGCCATCGGCCGAGCGAAGAGCTGAGCTGTTGTATTGTTCTATGCGGTTGACGTTTTGATCCAATATTTTTCCAGCGCGCCCGAGACCGATAATCGTGGAGCAAGAGTTTAGAGGATAGAAAAAGATATATATAAAAAAAAAATAAAAAAGAGACATGTTTTTTCGGTCAAAGTGATATAAGAATTGAGACCGAAGGTTGAATTGTTTTAGCTAAGGGGGTTTGTCGGAAGGGGTTCAGCCTAGGATCGAAGTGCTTGGCTGTATACGCTTGTGATACCGGGATATGGCTCGATCGAGACCTGAATTGCAGAAGAAAGTTCAAAATGCAGTTTTTCTTGAATCCGATGCTTTTGAAACCATGGCCTTGACAATTATAACAATCTTTGCTGTTTCGTCAAAGTAGATGTAGAGGAAGTTTCTTAGGTAGCTCTACTTTTCGCAGCCAAATACCTGTAGAGGCATGCAATCAGCACTTCGATGTTAGTAGAATTCACCAAGTAAAACATCTGTCATAGCGTGTCCTGTTCAAAAGTTTTGTCTTAAAAGGCACAGCCCTTGCCTAATGCTTCCTGATTCTCGAGAGGTGTATGGGGACGAATGGACAGACAAGGTGCAGAGGCCTACCACGAGTTCAGCCTTTCCATTTGATTCTTCAAGTTTCTAGAAGGCTGTAGAATGAGCTATTTCTTCTTATTATTTATCTGTCACTGCTTTCATATTGTTTCAAGCAGTTAGTTTTTGGACCTTCTGAATCCTTCACAATTTTATTGCACTAGCAGGACGTAAGAGGAAACTAATGCAACACCTAGACGAAAGACATGACCAGCTACTGCAAATTCTAGAAAGTATTACCAGAGCCGTGCTATTCATACCACAATTGATTTTTTTTTTCCTATAGTTTCCTTTGAAGTGACCGTTACCGTCACAACTTTGGCAACCAGCCCAGGATTTGGAACATAAATAGACGCCCATCCCCCCAGTTTTTTTTATTTCTCTATCACTTCACTTCCCCATTCCCACTTCGACGGCTGCCACCCAATTGACTTCTCCAGACATTGGCAAGCAGCTAGAGAAGGAAGGAATCCTCAAGCACCTGAAGACACTCTTAAAGGTATGTTGGACCAAGAAGAGCCGACAAGTGAAACTTTCAAAGGATGTTCCCATCTCCCCCTGGGGCTCCTCTCTTCCCCGCCCGTTCAACAACTTCCCCCTTCTGTTGAACAGTTTCACAAAGGCGTACTTTTCCACATATTCCCAACATACTAACACCATGTCCACGCTAAAAAGAAAGGGACTTTCTCCCCAAGGCCCTTTCAGCTCAATTACCTCCTTCAAATTGCCTTGGAGGTTGTTTTTGTGAACCTATTCCAGTGACACTCTGGACACTTCCCCGTTGGAACTTCCCCATAGGACAACCCAATACTTCCCCATTGGTGAGTCCATTTCCAGCTGTTTCAGATGTCACACTTCCCCGATGGGTTTCAAGAAGAATTCAAAAGGCAATTGACGAGGAGATCTTAATATCATTTTCTGAAGGCAGAGAGTGAAACAGTTTGAAGATGAGAACTCCCCCTCGTCTTCACTGTATTCAAGCAAGCAGTTTCATTGCATTACCGCAACGTCCAAAGAAGTCTTCCCCACTTTGGACGGGTGAATTTGCTAAGTCTTGATTGCATCTTTAGCGGTCCAGTCTTTCATCCCAAGTATCGAATTTCCCAAACTTCCCCAATGTCCGAGAATCCCAAGAGTCGAATATCCGAAAAATCCTTCCCGAAGAAATCCAAATATACATCCAGAAATCCATTCCCAAGAATCCCCAAATCCAATCCCAAGAATTGAACTTCCCCCTTCCCAAAAATGACTTCCCCAGGTCATACGAACACTAATGCACATACTAACCAAAAACTAACCATCCATAGAAGTATCCACCAACCTTTACTAACCAACAGCAAATTCGAGATGAAATTTACTTGCGACCACAAGGTATACTACAGCCAGTCAAATATTCGACTGACTTTTCACACTGAGTTCGGCGGCATTATCGTCTAATTTTTGGAACCTTTTCTTCCGGACCATAGTCAGTTATTTAAACGGCTGTGAAGGGATCGTGCTAAAGGAAGTTTTTAGAGCATATCGAGGACAAGTCGGATACCGACTACTCCTTTTTATGTTTTCGAGGGAGAAAACTTCCTTTAGCTTTTCTTTTGGCTCATAGTCGGGGTTCTGCAGAGCCGGAAAGTATTCCTTCATTACTTTCTGATTCTTCAGAATGAGCAGTCCACCAACGAACCGACATTTTGGAACTATAATTTTTTTTTTCTTCGGGGACTTCTTTGAAGCCCCCGTTTGATGGATTTTGAGGTGAAAGAGAGGCAACGAATAATTGATAAACATTTGAAGAGAAGGCATGCAGTGGATGCAAAGTTTCAGGAGTTCTTGAAACAACTGTCCACAACATCTTGTCCTTTTGTTTATCCTTTTTCCGTTTCCCATTTTCATCTCATCTTTCTTCAGATGCATAGGCTATGTGACATCAAGAGAAGTTCAAATCAGCTTTACCAACATTGGCTTGATTACATCTCTTGTTCACATAGACTTGTACTTTTTCAAATTTATATAGGTGCTTCCATTGTTTTCTGATAATATTGGGGGATTCGCTCCCGGGGTTGGCTTTATGCAATGCATGAGCATCAAGATAGATAAGCATTTATTTTGATAACACCAAAAAAGTATTTATAGCGATTGGTGCCGCATGTGGCATCGAGTGGGCCTGTTTATTCGTAAACAGCATGTTCATGCAAAAAAGCGTCAAGCGCTCTACGTGGGCTTCTATAATTATCTTGAATTGATGCACATGGAGTAATATCGGAACTTCTCCAGTGACACACAGAACATACATTCGTATCATGCCAACTATATATTGGTCAAATGTACCCATTATTCATTCAATCAAATAACAATGCAATTGTCTACTCTCGCCCTCTTTGCCAGCTCCGCTATCGCTGCTGAAACCTTTCATCTCAAGATTGTCTCAGACAACTCTGAGCTCAACGGCAAGGGAATCCAAGGCCTTCACAAAGGCGGCGGCTTTGGCTACTTTGGTGTTTCCGACCAGCTTGGCCAGGAGTTTAACTACGATGCTGACAAGAAGGTACTTTTCCAAAATGAGAATTCCTTACCGGCCAATGTTGGTTTCATGTTGGCAGAAATCTATGGATACTTCCTTGCTGTTGGGGTTTCAGTGGATGAAAGTGACGTTACGTTTGACGCCGATGGCAACTTCAACATTGGAAAGCAGCTTTATGCTTGTAAGCAGCTCAATGACCCTTATCGTTATTTCGCTGACGAGTATGGTATTGTTGCAAGCGATGCACCCAACGACAGTTGTGTCAAGATAGCTCTTCAGAAAGCTGGCAATGAGCCTGCTTCCTCCTCTATAGGGCTGTACGTTGCAACCTCTGTTGAGACCCCTGCCTCTTCTACCTCCATTCATGCTGGTTGGAACTCCACCGTCACCAAAGACATCACTGTGACTGGCTATACTACCTATTGCCCATTTGCTACCACTCTCACCATTGCCACCTGTGAAAATAAGGCTTGTGGCCCCAAGACCATCACCGTTTCTGAGGCTTCCACTGTCACCATCACGGAGGAGTGTATTGTGCCAAAGACCTCCACCGAGCCAAAGGTAGAGACCACCGAACCTGGAGCTAAAGTGTCTAGTGCTCCGAAGTCAACTAGCCTCACTACTGTTGCTGCTGTATCCACATCACCTGAGACCTCAACTGCTGTGGTTTCCTCTTATGAGGGTGGTGCCAGGAGAAATGCATTTGGCGTAGCGGTAGGCTTCGCCGGTGCTGCCGCTCTCTTGATTTAGAGCGATATTTTTGCTTTTAGATTTGTTTGAACCCTAGTAGCTAGGTGATTGTAAGTTGTAGAGAAGATTCAGTTGTAGATTGGTGAAATAGACACTTTCGACCGCTTTATTAAGAAAATACTCACCATGACCCATAAATATCAAATTAGCCCAATATTGATGAAAAACATTCTCACCTCAAATTCACTCTTTACTGCAAAGTCGCTTCCAGAGGTTACGCCGATCCTAGCTCGCTTCAGCAAGGTATGCACACAAAAGGTACCACCAAAAGAGCCGAAACAACAATATTCTAACCCTAATTCCCCCTTCAATCACCCCTAATCACTTTTTTTCCCGATTGTCAAAACCACCTAACAATAGCTCGGTCGAAGCTTAACTGCCCATTCTTCTCGCATTCTAGAAGCCAAGACCAGCCAAGCCGCTAAGCCTACGCCCGCTGAGAGAAACCTGTATTTTTTTCACCTAGCAATTCTTTCATTCGAAAATATCCATTCTTTGAAGGCCATTTCGAATGATTTTACCCAAAAATTCACACCCAATCTGCTCTTTCCATCTTCATCCTTATTTTGCAACCGCGGACAGCCACGCTCAAGCCGCCAAAAACACGAGCTTATGCATCGCGTGCGGCACACTAGCAACGATAAATACTACCCCATTTGCCCATCAGTAGCCTCCCACAAAGTCAGCTCTGCCCCATTTGGACCTCCAAGAGCTTTATTCCCAAAACCCCAAAACCCTTTTTTCCAAAATTGCCAAAAACGGGGTAAACGGCCGGTCTGGGGGCGTAGCACGTGATCTAAGCCTCGTGGCGCGCCTTAAAGCCTGCCCTTGTTGTTTGATCCAAGCGCTGAATCAACTACTTCTTTCTTGAAGGCCTTCGCTACAGATCATGTTCTTTTTATACCTTCTTGCAGTGGCGTTTGCTGCCGATGTAGGCGTGGCTCCTATCAACGGAGGCGGCTTCACCACAACCACAGACACTGCTAATTTGGCTGGAATGCAACTTGAAACCACCACAAATACCCCTACCACTGCTGCTGCTGTTGATACTGATACTGACACCACAGGCACGGGCACTGGAACTACAACTCCGGCTGCTGCCGCCGACACCGCCACGACCGGCACCGGTACGGCCACCACCACGGGAACTGGCACTTCAGCAACGGGAACCACCGCAACCACCCCTGCTGCCGCTGCTGATGATACAGCCACTGGAACGGGTACCACCACCACAGGTACCGGAACCTCCACGGCCACAACTGACACCTCCACGGGCACCGCCAACACTAAAACCATGAGCCCTTCCCAGTTGTCCATCTACAAGCAGACTCAGTCCATGAACGCAGATGAACTCATCGACTGGTCTGCTACGCACACTGATTCTGCTACAGGCACTACTACCGGTACTACTACTACGGCTGCTGCTGCTGCCGCTGACACCGCTGCAGCCGGATACACTGGCTCCATCGCTGCCACCCAGATCGCCCCTCCCCTGACGCTTACCTTCATGACAACAATGAAGAGCAACTCTGCTGCTCTGACCCAGGCCGCTGCCGCTACTCCAGCCTCTGATGCCTCTGATGCCTCTGATGGCTCTGATGGCTCTGAAAGCTCTGATGGCTCTGAAAGCTCTGATGGCTCTGAAAGCTCCGGTTCGCTGTCCTACGCCGCAGGTGGTGCCAGAAACGGCCTTACTGTCTCCGGCCTTCTCTCCGGTCTCGCAGCCATTGCCCTCGCTTTGTAAACAATTTTCTTTTAAAGTCTCAATATACGTTCGGTTTGGTGTATCTCTTTGACGTTCCTGCACATTACCCTCTGATACTACTTCTGCTCGCTTCAAGCATATCTTCAACCCAATGATGTTTCTTCATAGAGTGAGGGTCCCAGCCCTTCGAGGACTCCATTCTTCCGCCCGAATCCTCAATAATCCCTTTTTATATCCTGCATCGTTCACAGATCTTACCACAAAGATAAATCAGCATTTGGACAAGGCTCCTACTGAAAAGACTGTTCTTGATGCCTTGAAGGCATGCAGAGATTTCCGTCTGGAGGTGCACGACAGCGACAAATTTGAAGCCAACCCTATATTCAAAAAGCTTTCAGAAGAAGTCAAGCAGATCTTGCTCAATGAGAATGTCAAGTTCGACAATGACCTATTGAAAAAAGTGCTTCTCCTAAAGCTCCCACCAACTTGGGCAACACAGATTATTCTGACTTTTTACGAAAGAAACCCAAAAGCTGTGATTGACAAGAAAACAGCGTTAATTCCATTTCGTCATAGTTTGCTTGACGGCGACCTCCAAAATGCATTGAAAATCACCGACATCACTACTGGCCATCCTAATTACATTGCCCAAAAAGATAGTGAGATGCGTCGTGGTATCTACAAACTTGCAGCGACGGCGATCGGAATCACGTTTTTCTCCAAGTACGGTGTCAATCTAGTGATCGACTGGGGTTGGCTCTCGCCCACATGGAAACACTTGGGTTCGATAAATGCCATGATCTTGACCTATATATTGAACTCCAGTTTCTTCGTCACCATTGTGCGTTTTGGTCGCCAAAAGAGCGCCGCTGGAGGCGACTTCTTGACCTGGCAAAAGGGCACCTTCTACACTCACTGGTATAAGCATGCTGACGAGATGAACATGTGCGCCAAGGTGATGCAGGCCGACTTGTGGCTCAATGGAGGACTTGAAAATTCACCACCGTTGGTGGAGGAGTTATGCAGAAAGGACGACTCGCTAGATACGGGCAATAACCCTGTCGCCAAGTATAACAGGGAAGGAAAGAAAGTGCGCTTGCTTGAGCCCAAGGACAACATGGAGGACTTGAAGATGCAAGCGTACTGGATGAGTGGAGGCGATGGCTTTGAGTGGGTGGAGCCAGACCAGGATCCAGCAGACATCATTTGGAGAGAGCACTTGAAGAAGCTTCATGCTCCTGAATTGAATGGATCCAACCAGAAGTCGCTCAAGTGGGCCGAGGAGCTTATTGAGCCTTCTCAACAAGTGTAAATAGAATGACTAATGATTAGAGTCTCTCATGTAGCTGCGAGGAATGGTTCTCAGCTCTCTGATGATCTCCTGTGACAACTCCCACCATGGATCACATTGAGTCCACACTTTGGCGAAGTAGTCATCGCTGGCGAGCCAGTGGTTTTTCGTGAGTGATGCAGGGAAATTAATCACCTCAGTTCTACGAGGCAGCTCGTACTCGTAACCTTCCTCAGCGAGCGCTTTCTCCTCTGCAATCTCTCTTTCAAGCCTTTTATCTTCTCTTTCGGCTTTATTGAGCTCTGTAACGTTCTTGAAATCTTTGCCCAACTGTCTTGCCTGGATCTCCTCGTTGCGTGTCCTCATTTCCTCGTAAATACCCACAAAGTCGTTCCAATTGGGCAATTCGTAACGGACACCAATACCGTCTCCTCTATCGGACATGTAGACGGCTGGAGTTGGTCTCTGGGCAACTCTTCTAGCCAAACGCATGTTCAGCACCCTCTTATTAAGAAGTGCCATCCAGTAGTCCTTGGACATGGGCTCGTACCATTGAATAGCACCAAACCACCATCCTGGATTGTCACCGTTTCTGATAGCCCATTCACGCCATTCACGGGCCTCTTCGTACCAAGGGTCGTACGAAATGCCGCATCGCATGCCCTCAATAGCAGAAGCTGTAAACATTAGCAGGCCAATGGCCTTTCTAGAAAGCAGATAGATACGGCTCATGACAGGCAGCTCACCGAAGCGAGGGACACGGCGACATATCAATGAAAGTCCAAACAACGCATTGAGAGTGATGACAGAAGCCACAGCTACAGTATTGTCTGCAGCGGGCATGATTGGTCTCAAATGCGGAAGTAACATATTTGGGTTTGTGGGAAACAAGTCCTGGAGAGTGAGATCCTCTTCATCGTTCTCGTCAGTGGCAACTTTAGATACACCACGGCCAGATTCATCCATACCACGCGGAAGCGCTGGTGATTCAGGAACTCTTAGATTCACATGATGCTCTTGTTCTTGGTCTCTTGAAGTATTTAGAAAACCTGGATTGAGCTGAGCTCGGATCCAAGAGCTTAGCATGACAAAGTTATTTTTATATATATGAGTATGACAATGCAGAAGACGTAGGTATCAGCAGCCTGGAATGAGGCAGGGACTTCGTGGAAGGTGATCGACCGTTAAGTCAAAAGTGTTGATACTTGGGAGACTATATACAGGATATATAGAATGGCGTTACTTTCAAACATGTTGGGTGCCTTCATTAACGTTATTTTTTTGGAGTCATAAGGTAGCTGAATGTCAATTGGATTTCCTGGATTTTCTGTGGAATTAACAAGGAGTATCGAGTGCTGTTTCAAGCTTACCAGGCGATCGCACGAAGACGTCGTCTTGTGACCAAACCTTAATTATACCGATTGTGATATTTTAGTATCATCTAACGGAAATTCTGGCTGGAAGATAACTAATTTTCTTTCATTCCCGGAGGTCGGCGTCATTCTCTGAAAAGCAATACGTGCTCCGCTATTGGCTAGATTCAATTGCTCACAATGGCAGGCTCCTGGCAAGTTCATTTCACCACGAGGATTTATCTGGAAGCTCCATTGATGTTGCTTCTACATCTACAGGTGGACAATCCGCCCCAAAGGTCTCGAATAGATCTTTTTTTATCTATTGCACAATGCTAATTAGCGGAATCATGCCCGCTCCAAAGTCAGTCTAGAGATGTTTCATGGTCCTGCGCTCTTAAGCCTCGTCGGCGTACAACTCCTCCTTCAAATCAATGCCCAACTCCTGTCTGGTCTCCTTCAACTCGTCCAAGTAAGCCTGGTACTGCTCCTTGTTCTCAACCTTGTGCTTCAAGGCCTCAAAAGTTCTGACGGCGGTTGGGTAGTCGTTGACTCTTCTGCAAGCCTCAAGAGCCTTCTGGATCACAGAGGGGCTGGAACCAAATCGTATGAGAAAGAGTTGTTCAACACTCTCTGGACCTCGAACAAGTCGTAAGCCTCCTCGAACTCTTTTTCGTATCTGTCGTTAGTAAGCTGTGGATAATATACTTTAATTTGGGAAAAGACGGGCGTCTTCTGGGCCTAGTTGTATCATTGATGCGATGGTATCTAGGTGTTGTGGTGGCCACATAAGACATAATTGACCAAGCACCGGGAACACCAGATCCACAAATAACAAACTAAACCCTTCAATATTTGGGATAAACATACCTGGCGGTGAACTCCTCAAAGGTCTCTTCGTGGTGCTCAGAGTACATTCTCACAGAGGTCATCTTGATGGGGCTCATGGAGATGGAAGGTCTGACGGTTCTGGCGACCGAGCGAGGGACATTAGCTCTAACGGCGGAACGAAGCACGGAAGAAAACATTATTTTTTCTGGGTTTCGGCAACTGGTGGGTAGGAACCTTTTAAATTATAGGTTTAATTTTGTTCGCCTGAAAATCGTACCACGGGCGTGCACAGCACACTTTTTGGAGCGGTGGTCAGTTGATTTCCCGGGCCGGCGGCTTAATGGAAATTTTTAGCGGCTCCTGCCTATTCGGGAAATGTCACACTTGGCCTTTTCTACAAAATGGCTCTTTTTTTGTCTTGTTTACTACCTACTTGTGGACCCCAGCAACTTGCAGCCAATAGAAAGTTGGCAATTCTTGTGCGACGTGCATCTTCGCGAGCCTGAGCGTGTGGAATTGGTGGTGTTTTCTGGTGTACGGGTGTATGCGAATGAGCCGATAGGTGCACGGGTCTGCGAATGCAGGCTCTCCAGTTTATTTTATTTTTTTTGCACCCAATTTCATGCAAGCCTACAAGTGTGCATCAACAAACCAATATAACTATAAATACTATCCTTTAAATTAATGTCTACCGCCTGCGGTTGGAGGGTTTTTTGAGCGGCTTGCGTCTGCGCACAGCCTTGCGCAGCGTGTGGGGCTGGTTGAGGTTGATGGGCTTCCAAACCGGGAGTCTCTTCACGTCCACCTTCATCTTCTGCTGCTCCTGCTCTCCTAGTTTGATCTTTAGCGTCACCCAGCTCTTGGGCCCGCTGGCGTTCACTTTGAGCGAATTCGACAGCTCCCGGATAAACATGTACCCGTGAGTGTTTCTCTTGTAGAATGTAGAGCAGAAGTCTTCAGGGTAGTCCTTCAACGAGCAGCTATCGAGGACGTAGCGGCTACATTCCTTGGCCAATGGTGCGTAAGGATTGATCTTTGAGGAGATAGCCGGCACAGGTTCCTTTTCCAATGGGCCAAAGTTGACCACAACATTAGAGAGTGCAGGCTTCTTCCTTTTGGTGTCGTTCTGGACGCTCCCGTCCAGCGACTTTCTGCTTGCTGGTCTCTTTTCAGCTTCACGAGGCGTCTCGCGAGCCTCAATTGGCACAAACGGTGGGCTGTGGAGCTTCTCTGCGTAGAAGTTTCTGTTTTCCTTTCTTCTGTCGAACTCCAATGGAGGGTCAAAGGGGCCCACGGCTGAAGAATAGCGCAGCCTTGACGATGCAGCCATAGAAAGAGGCGCCGTAGGTGGACTGATGTTGATATGGCTGCTCGGCTTGTTGCTGTAGTGAGTCTGTCCAGAACCAGCGTTGTGGTTATGATAAGAAGGCTGCAAGGACCCCTGGGAGCTGGTGCTCCAGATCGACGAGCGGCTCAATGGCATCTCCACGTCCTTAAGTGGGTCCATGAGACGCTGGTTGAAAACACCCTGCATCAGCTGGTCCAACTGGAGATTGTTCATCAGCTGGTTAAGCCTGTTGACATCCATGGTGGAAACATTGCCCAGCGAAAAGGAACCCCTGTTGCCCAACGGGCTTGGATCCCGGAAAGTGTATTCCCGGTTGACCTGGTCCCGTGCAAAGTGGTCTCTTATGAAATCACGGTTGCGAAGATTGAGATCAGGCAACTCCTTGGGTGCAACAGAGGAGCGAGGGGTGACTGTCGTGGACGTGGGTGCCGTAAACGAGCCATTGTACGGCGTATCTAGCAAATTAGACGAGAAACGGACATTAGGCAGAACTAGCGGTTCCTGGGGCTGTCTGGTCTCTAACCCACATCCGGGTGTCATCAGGCCATACGAATTGTTGAATTTTTCAAAACCTGGTGTTTTTTGAAGGCCGGCGTGGAGCATCTCGTTGTCGTAAAAGTCGTCGCCAAGGCCGGGGTTCCCGTAGTTCTGGGTGTTGTAGTCGTAGCCGAGATGGCCCATATGATCCGAGGCCGGGAAGAAGTTAGACTGTCGTCTCCCGTCCACGGCAAAGGAGGAGGCAGAGAACATTGCCGCCGCTTTTTGGGAAAAATTGAACTTTTTTTTTTTTTGTTGGTTTTCCTTTTTTTTGTGTGCTAGGGTTCTCGTGCCTTATATACTCTGGCAAGCCAAGGCCTGGAACGAGAAGTGGTTAGACAGGAGGAAGGAAAAACGGCTGGGCAGGCTTGGGCTCGGAATGTGAAGAAATATAAAACCGACCGTGGATTCGTGTAAAAAAAGGTAAAGAGAAAGAAAAAAAATGTATTTCCGGGCCTCTCTTATATCCTGAATTTGGGGTCACAGGGGACAAAAGCCAGGGCCAGGATATTGTGGTTATGATGGGGTGCCAGGGTTCAGGCAGGCTGCTGCCGTTTTTTTCCTGCGAGGCTCGTTTTCCCGGGCGGTGCCGTCACCCGACGGGTAAGTATGGTGATTTTTGAAAAAATATAAAAGGGGTAAATCCGCCCTGGGAATTCAATTCCATACTTTTTTTTTCTTTCTTTACGTCCTCCAAGGCCTTGTTGCCGGGTGGTCAGATGGGTGCAACTGGTGGTTCCTGCAGGACAGCCCACAGTGCGAATGTGCCTGCTCTGGGTGCAAAATGGGCCAAACGTATGCGAAGGCCACTAGCCGAGACCGATCTGGCGACACATCACGTGATGCCTTCATTGTAAGCTTTACCTAACTGTTCTCCTGAAAAGAACGTGCCCTGCTTGCTCATGCGTCCGTGACGCAGCAGGCCACACATGGCAGGTCGTAACCACCATTGGTCGTGCGCGGCACAATTCCTCAGGTGCGATTTGTCAGAAACGTCTCTGTCTTACATAACACAGTGCATTTCACATTTGCAACCACTGCGCTCATGAACCCTCCCTACTGGAAAGACTCCGAGGACATCGACACCGGTTTCCGGGCGCTGGCCACCGACCACGCCTTCCGCTCGTCCGAAAACGACTTTGTCGTTTCCCATGTTCCCGCCCAGCCCCAGACCACCCTGGGGTCTCCTCCACCACCGGCTCACGTAACAGCTTCCACAAACCAGCATGCAGCGTCTCCCACGGTGCATTCCACCGTTTCGGTAAATGCGCTCAATTCCCAGTTGAATCCTTCCAGGCTTTCCGATAACAGTCCTATCGAAGGTACCTCTGAGGACGGCGTGGATGAGTCGCTTACTGGCACAAGAAAGAAGGTGTCGAGTACAAAAAGAGCAGTACAGAACCGAAACGCCCAGCGGGCCTTCAGACAGAGAAGAGAGAAGTATTTGAAGGAGTTGGAGGCCCGTGTGGGCGAGATGCTGCAGTTGCACAAGAAGATTGATGATTTGCAGCGGGAAAACCGGGAGCTTCGAGACTACACTATGGCGCTTCAGAGCGAGTTGTTGAAGTTGACCCACAATGTGAATTCCGACCACAAGGGGTAGGCCCGAGGCGTTTTAAGCGCATATCGAAGGGGTTGTATTTGTTGGGACGGTTGTGGGATCGTTGGTCCACTTGAGTGACTGGAGGACCAAGGACTTAGCCCCTCTTACATGAAAACACGCCTTCAAAACAACAGGAAAGTTCCCATTGCACAAAAAAGCTTAAGCTCGGCAGTGGCAGTGGCAGCGGCCACTTCTCAATGGCTACCGTCCACAATGAATAATGATCATTGTGTCGCAGAGCAGCAGGGCATTCGAATGCGGCGCTACTCGATAGCCAAATCACACCAGCCAAACGCCAATGACCGAGTCGCCACAACATGACCTTCCCTCCAAAGCGACCCGTCAAAATGACAAGCTTCCCCAAAACCTTCGGCACCGCAGCTGCACCGAAGCCGTCGGGCCGCAAGGTCATCTGATCTTTAGCCAGTGCTCTGCGCGGCCCCACCCTGAGACACCGAAGGGTTTTTGAAGGGAGGGAGGGAAAGAAGGAAGAGAGAGGAAGCAAAGAGGGAATAAATTGAAGGAAAAGGAAATGTTAGCTCTTACGCTTGGCTCCCACTCTTCTTTCATTTGTCATTTCCAATTGTCAATCATCGCACCTCCACGCTTTGGTTATCACTGTACCTCCACGCTCTGGCTAGTTCACTGCCTACGGCACTGTTTGCAGCCAGTGCGCCAGGAGCCCCAGAATTCCGTGGCTCTGACACTTGCCGCACAAAACGCCGCACTGATAAGCTCAACGGCTCACGGCGCTCAGGGTGGAGGTGCCAATTGCCTCAGAAAAGTGAAAACAATGCCATTTTGGTTTGCCTGCTGGCGTGAGGCACCTGGCTAGTTTAGCGAGGCACCTGGCGGCAGCGCTTGGCATGCCACGGCATGGCATGGAGTCGCACTGAGTCACACCGGCTGCAACAGGTAGTTGGTGGGCCACAAACCAGTTTTCCAGCAAAATTTAAGAAATTGCCCAATAGCATTCTTCGACTGTTACTCGCCAAAGCCCCAAATAATCCAGTTTCCAAATCTCCAAAATTCACCCCCACGGTTATGGCAAATCGCCTTGTCCGCTGACGGACCCGCGCGCCCGGTGCCGGGCCCAGTGCGGCAGCCGTGAAGAGATAAAAGCTCGCCTACCTCCGTTGTACCCACCATGGACGAAAACCCAGTGGTGCCGGGGCTTTTTCCCGCTATCGACCGGAGCATGTGGGCCAGTCTGTGGCAGCTCGACACGCCCCGGATCGTTGTTCCCCAGGACGAGTGCAAGTGATGCTCGGTCTACGAGGCCTGGCAATTGAGTCAGAGTATGGGGTTAGGGCATTTGTGCAATTGGGTGCAAACTAATTGACTGTCGCAGCGCGGCATCCAGATCTTGCCTGGCTGCAAGAGGAAGGTTGAATATTGGAAATTGGAGCAAAACAGGCTGACAGTTACTGTTGTGGCTGACGATCAATTGCGTCAGTGAAAGCAGAAAAGTAATTGGTGACTTCAGCCTGACGATATCTCGAATCGGTGGCCCTGGCGGTCAGAGCGGTTCTCACAGCTATTTATTAATGCATGGTATTTATGGACGGGCATGTAGGTGGGATCATGTGGGGAGTGTCGATGTGATTTGAGTTGATTCTCTATGGTTGGGAATGAGTGGTACCTGGCACTAGGTAGTGACTTCGTGGTCCAATGACGGGTATATGGTTGCAAGACAGGAGAGTCCATCGACAAATGAAACTTAAACTCCAACAGAACTCCAAATGGATGACGAAAAAGGAGTTTGAAGAATGTAATATCTAATTCTCGCTCTCTTCCAACTCTGCTGTTCTCACCCATTCTCGCTCTCCTCCAACACTTCTGCTCTCACTAGTCTGGCTGCGAAAGACCCATGCGACCATTAAACTATTCAACCAAATTAGACCACCAAATACTCACCTACTTGGATTTTACCAGAACTTCAAATCCTCCTAGTTTTATCCTCTTCTTTCTTAATTTTTTTTTTCTCCATCCCGTCCACTCTTTCGAAACTACTGGTCCACCTAACGGGTCGTGCGTAAGTCTCAGAACCAGGGCCGAAATTTTCAGGACCCATCTTCACCAACCCAGTATCCCAACACCACAACCCAATGAGCGTCAGATTCACTCGTGGGTTCGCCTCCAAGGCCAGAACGTGGGGAGTGTGGAGCGACTTTCAGAGTCGGTCGCCCTCCTTGAAAATTCCAAACGACAAGATCAAAAGCGATCTCTTTAAAGGCATTTCTAACGATGGTCCACAGTCATACACCATCGAGTCCCACAGAAAGTCGTACCACTCGCCTTTGCACATCGACCCTACGTTTCAGCAGGCTTACGACATTTTGGAGAACGAGGCTGAAAGCATATACAAGGAGGCCCAGGGCTCTGGAAGCGAAGAGCTCTTGGTCAAGGCAGAAATCAAGAACCCAGAGGTGCTTCACAACTTCGAAAATGGCAAGGCCGATCTCTCGATTCCCGTCTACAGACGTCTTGCAGAGGAGAAGTGGAAGGCCCACGATCTCATGGTCACCATGCAAAGATTGGAAACGCTACATGTCATCCCAGACACCATGCCCACTTTAGATCCCAAGGTGGACGTCAAGGTGAGATTTGGTCACAACTCGAGAGAAGAGTTTGCTGGAGACATCACGCCGGGCACTGTTTTGCCAGCTTTTGCTGTTTCCATTCCTCCAACTATCGAGGTCCAAGAGTTCAACGCTGCAGACCACGACCTGGGTCTCTACACAGCCGTGATTGTCAACCCAGACACCCCAGACTTGGAAAGAAACTCTTTCAAAACTACACTCCACTACGGTTTGCAAAACGTTCCATTGACTTACACCGACAATGCCATCACCCCAGCCAAGCTCTTGGCCAACCCACAATTCGTGTTCCAGCAGTACACGCCTCTCTTGCCCGAGAAGAATGCTCAGAAGCAGAGGGCCTGTTTGTGGGTCTTCAGACAGACGAAGAAGCTTGATACTTTGTCTTACAACACGGAAAACTTCGACATCAGAGAATTCGCCGAAACTAATGGTCTCACTGCTGTAGGCGCTCATGTTTGGAGACAAGTGTTTGACAGATCTGTCAACGAGACTAGGGCAAAGTTTGGTCTTCCACAGGGCCGTGTTTTCAGAAGAATAAGAGGCATCAAGCCTCTTGTGTAAATAGCATGCCTATCCAGGCACCAATGTACAAAGGATTAAGATAGTTAGAGAAAATTGCAAAGGCAGAAGAAGGAGTAGCAAAACCTTTTTTTGATTTTTATTTTCCATATGTTTTCTTCTGAGTTTCTTCAGACCTCGCAGATGTATGCGAATTCCAAGTTCCGCAACTTATATCAACATTTAACCCAGTCCACCATTCTTCCATATTTTTAGTAGAACCGAGCTGCCGTCCCTGTGAGAATAGAAGTGACAGTATTTTTCATTTCCTTTTTTTTTTTTTTTTTTTCTTTTTTACATTATAGGAACTTCTTGAAGCTTCATCATTGTGAAGAGCTGCTTCAAGCAACACCCCAAGCCAGTTTCCTGCACCCGCTCAAACAATACCCACCTACTATTTCACCGATCCAACTCTTGTATTCTTCAATTTCATGTCCAATGATATCACGCGACGCCTAGAGCTTCGTGAACTCAATGAGAGGGCCTGGACTGGTGAACTGGTCTACAAGCTTGCAGCGAAACAGGACCTGAGTTTGAAGAAAAACACAGGTTTCGTGAAGAAGCTCAGAACAGCTTTGAACGCAGATCAATTCAAGCATGTACTCAAGGATGTGGAGACATTAAGTTTGGAAAAATACCTGGCAGAGATTGTCAATCCCTTGTTTGAAGGTACCATGAAAGTTTCAAAAAATGATGACATACTACCTACAACAGAGATAGTCTCTGCGCTTCATCAGCGTCTCAATCTCCCATTCACGCCATACTACTTATCGCAGGTGGTGAATGCACTTGTGGATAAAGAGCAGCCAGACCTTATGCCTAAACAGAGGCTGCTTCTAAAGATCATCACTGAATTTCACTTGACTGGAATCGCACCTTCTCTACAACAGTGTGACCATGAGCTGCTATCGTCTGCTTCCCTAAAATTGTTTACAAAGCATCCAGACGATCCAATCATTATTCCTTTGCTCAAGGATATCCTATCATATCAATTCAGTAGGGCATATGCTCTTCCTATCTTGATATCATGGTTAAAGAGATATGCATTTATATTTGATGATGGCGAAAAGTTGCTCCTACAAGGCGACACACTCAATCTCGTCAAACAGTTATGCAATATGTATTTCGAAAAGTCGGTCAAACTTTGGGAAACTCTGCACAAACAAAAATTGGCACTCGATCTCAGAAACAAGAAGGCCATGATCCGTACAGGCAAGGTGCTCGATGATATCCAGCAAGAGCTAGAGGAAAAAACAAAGGTGGTTGAAGCACTCAAAAATGGCTGTCCAGTTTTAGCTGAATTGCTACACACAGAGCTTCCCCAGCTAGACCTTTCCAGCGAACCAGCTGCTAATGAGTCTGATGTTGTCGTCAAAGCAAGCACAGATGACGATGCTCAAGGCTGGTGGGAGGATCAACGTGAAAGAAATTTTTACTTGAAAGTACCCACTGCGGAAGAGGCCGTGCAACTCGGAAGCCGTGATCTTCAGAAAAAAGAATACGCCAAGCTCACCGAGGGTGAAATGGTGGCCCATTGGCTAGAAAAGCTTGAAAACGCCACATCTGAGGACGATATCAATAAGCTTACTTGTGAATTGCAAACATTAATACCGCAAACCAAGGCGACACAAAATCGACTACTACGATTTTTTCTTGAAGTGAAGAAGATAGATAATGTCAACTTGTTTGCGAGGTTTCTCAAGATCAACGAGTCTCTTTTTCCAGAGCTAATAACAGAACTCATTGATGCTCTAGACCGTGGTTTTAGATCTCTGATCTACAGGGATGTTATAAACTTCAAGAACTTGTCGTTCTTCATAGAGCTCGTGAAGTTCAAGCTCATCCCAACACATGTTGTGTTCCATAAAATACGAAGACTCACGCTTAACATTGAGGGTACTAACAATGCTGACATTTTGCTGATCTTCTATGAGCGTTGCGGTAAGTTCCTTTTGTTTGAACCCGACTATCAGGAAACCACACGTGAGATGCTTTCTCTTTTAAGCAAACAGTCCAAGTCTTCAAGATTATCTGTCAATGAAAAATTGTCATTGCGTAATATGTTCTTGATTGTGAACTCATTTACTGCTACGAAGAGTAAAATAAAACATGTGGCGGTGGAGTTGTCACCAATTGAAGATTTCATCACACACATGGTGAGATTTGTGCTCTGGAAGAACAAATCACAACTTCCATCCGCCTTTCTTTCAAAAATAAATTTTCAGGGCTGCCCCGAGGCTCGGAACATTTTCGTCGAGCTCTACCTGAAGCCTGAGGAACTTGGACTCGATAAGCTTCATCTATATGCAAAAGTTTTAAGACGTCTTGGATCTGAAAACGTTTGCATACCTCTCATCATTGATACGTTAACCGAGAAGGTGATAAGAGGGTTAGAGCTCAATGATTACAGGCAGAATTTGGCTCGAGTTGCACAGATGAGGTTCTTTGCAGCTCTCTTCACAGCAAGCATTATTGATTTCCGATGCATAATTGACTTACTCTATAAGGTGGTGACTTTGGGACATGCAAACAATCTTCCTTTACCAAATTCTAGAGTTGAAATTGATCTCAATGATAACTACTTTAGGATAAGTTTATGCTGTGCCCTCATTAACAACATCAGTTTCTCGAAAGTTGATAGGGCACGTCTTCTAGTGGGTGGCACAAAGTCTATGGAAGGTTTCCTTACTTTCTTCCAGTACTACGTGCTGACTAAGAAACATCCGCTACCACAAGAGGTGAGTTTCGCCGTGCGTGATGTTTATTCCAAGATGTACATACAACCCGCTTTGGATAACCCCATGCTTGCGCTATCTTTGCTTCAAAAGTTCAACACGGAGCAAAAGGATGCTCCAAAACAAGACAAGCCCATATTTGTCGAATCCGATCATGAAGAGGATGAGGATGAGGATGAATATGACTTTTCAGATGATGACGACTCCTCTGTCGGAAGTGACGACGAACTCGTTGATCAGCAGTTTGAGGATGAGGATGAGGAAGCAACTGCTGAAAACAGTGATGACGAAAATGATGAGCTCCAGGACGAGGATGATTTAGATGACGAAGAAACTACACAAGACCTTGGCCAAGACCTGGATGAGGAAGAGGATGGACTAGCGCCATGGAACCAGCAAGAAGAAGATAAAAGGTTTGCTGACACAATTGATGCTGGAATACGAGATGCTCTACAGGAGTCGCTTCATATATCACAAGCTCGCTCCAAGGGTAACTTCAAAGTTCCGGCTCCCTCCAATTTTGTCAATGCTACTCCCGAAAATGAACGGTCATCCAATTTGAACTCTCCGGACGGTAGAGTCAAGTTTAACTTCCTTTCTAAAAAGAATAGCGTCAAGGAAATGCACTTGCCCTCGGACAACAATTTTGTCAACAGGGTGGTGAGAGAGCAGGCGGCTCAAAAGGCAAACAGAGATAAGATCATCCGGTTGATTAACAACATGGATCAATAGCCAATACAGTTATTTTCATTCGTCTAGTTTATCTATTTATAACACTTCGACCAACACAATGGTCACATCGTCCTCTTTTCCACCCAAGTACTTCTGTCCCGTGAGCCTAGACAATTCCTGGGCAAATGCGCTGGGAAATCTTGATCCTTCGAGACCTTCACCACCTCACTCACAAGACTGGTAGCTGTATCTGGCAAAGTAGCCTGTTTCTCATTTTTATCTCTTAAGAAGACCTCAATGTCTTGCGGCACAACATTGTCTGTAACACCGTCAGTAGCGAAAAGCACAAGATCGCCCTTTTCAAGTTGCCACTCGTACTCGTCGCTCATGGCTGGTGTGTCTGTGATGTAGCTCTTTCCCTGGCGAGCAGCCTCTTGCAAGATATGCTGTGGAATCTTGGCTAGTTGGAAAGGAGTGTTGAAGTTGTGGGTCTGGAATTGCGTCTCCTCCACAAGCTTATGGTCTCTGAACACGCCACACCAAGAATCGCCCAAGTTGGCGACCTTGAGCTTCCTGTCAGGGGCGAAGATACCGAGACAAGCTGTGGTTCCGCCAATTTCGACCTTAGGCGAAGCCATGACGTCCTCAAATGCTTTTGAGAGGAGCGACTTTGGGGTAACGCTGTGGCCGTTGTCACCGGACTCGAACACGGTCTTCATGATATGGCACAATTCTCTGGAAATGGCAGAGGAATCGTAGCCAGCCTCTGCCCAGCCGCCGACACCGTCGGCCACACCTAAAGCGAAATAGCCGTCTGAGGATTGCTGCGAGACAAAAAGATTGTCTTCACCAGAGGGCGACGTCTCGGCTGGCGAGAGCTTCTTGTTTCTTGTGAACACATTGGACTTTGTTCTGTTCTTGGGCTGGAACGCCACGGCGACATTGAAGTTGACGATTCGGTCTATCGAAGCCTTGTCGTAGTTGTATGACGCAGAGGCCAGGGAGGCAGCTCCTGTGGAAGATGAATTGGGCGATTCAGAAGAGGGCCCCTGTTCTCCCGAGCTCCAGTGCTTATCAGACGAGTAGTTGTTGGAAGCTGCGTTATCGGAGAATCTGGCAAATGGCGAAAACGAAATGAAACGTCTGAGAGCAGCCGGCTCAGCTGAGTACTTGGCAGAGCCAAGAAGGGCTCTTTTGGTGAGCGCCGATAAGAGCATGGGGAGTAGGAAGCAGAAAAGCAAGTACACGCGCATGCACACAGCGGGACAGAAAAGATGATAGCGGGGAACGAGTCGCTAGGGGTTTCTGGCTTGGCTGAGGATGTAGGTGGTGTTGATATTGGTGCGGGAGTGCTTACAAGGAAGAAGCTCGAGGAGACAATAGGTTGATCAGATCCGCTGGCGGAACATGCATAAGGGAACGAGAGAAGCTGGTTTTTTCTGTCTTTTATTGAAAATGTAAATCTCAATGGTCTACGGCGGGGGTTGGTATCTGGGTGTGTGACGTAGAGAGTTTGCAGCCGTTAAGCACTCATAACCGTCTAGGGTCCAAAGCGGCCAAAAGCGATTCACGCTGCTGGTTGAATTTTCGCTGCAATCTGGCTCCACGTTCTACCTCGCCAATGATTTCCTGGATCGTCTCTTGGTCTGACTGGTTTCGACAAACACGCTCCGATCCAATTGGCGATTGGCTGCGAAACCCGTAGGGTGTCTGGCAAAGATCGTCAATCAAGGGCAGGTTATCCAAACGCCATTCCCAGTCGGTGGCTTCTGGCAGCGTCACAGGTGTAAGATCGTCATCCAGCTCGTCTGATGCGTCGTAGCCCTCATCATTGTCATTTTCCATTTCAGCACGATGTGCTGCAGGGTCAATGCCGTTGAGAAGCAAGACAGTCTTCATCACCGAAAGCACAAACTCCTCGAGCATTCCGACCTCAATGATTGGCTCGGAAGTATCTTCGGGGGGACGCAGGTCGAGGTACTCGTTTCTGCGTCTGTGTGCGTTCCAAAGACATGACACTAAGCGTGCTGTTCTACGACCCACCAACCATTCGACTTTTAAAAAGTGGTATCTCATGAAGCGGATGAGGCGAATGTACATGGTAGGGACGTGCGGAAGGCCGGTGATGTAAGGGAATGAATGTGTCAAATCGTAACCGGGGAGCCAGAAAAAGCTTCCTTCTGCTATATCGGCTGGCGACCTTACTCTTTCTGATTCTGGAGGAACATGAAATTCTTCGTCTTCGTCTTCTTCTTCGTCTGCTGTACTCAAATCTTCTTCTTCGTCTGAATCAAACTCCTCCTCTTGTTTCGTTTCGTACATCAGTGTATCACCATGCTCAAATATAGGCAGAAAGATGTCTCGAGCACAGTCTGCCAGCTCCGTCAGAAGCTTTATTGTACTCGCAAAATTGTTAGGTTCGTTTTCATCAGGGTAATTCATGAAGTGCATTTTACGAAAAGGAGCAAAGAAAGCCGGGGCATTTCTATATATCCATCATACCCCAGCATGCTGTCTTGGACTTTCTGTCTCAGAAATGGCTGCAAAATTCCTGCAAGGTGCGTTCGCAGCCACTCCGAATCAGGAAGTGACAGCTTCTCCACAGCTCGTCATGGAGTAAGTATAGTACATTTGTGACCTTGATGGTATCAGAAATGCCGAAACATGCTTGCATTCTTTTGATCAGGCTTCGTGGATTGAAACTGTAAGGGTCGAACCAGGTCACGTGCTTGGGTCCGAAATTTTTCACTCCAGAAAATACCCCCTCTTTTACCGCCGAGCTCGTCAGAAAAGACGGCTTCAATTCACTTCTTACCATCTATCATAGATCAGCCTAAAACACGCGTTTACACCCTTCCCCACCAGAAAAGCTTGGGCTATAGGTGTGGTGGACCCCACGGGATGTACGGGGGTCCGCCTGACGTCCAATCAAAATGGAGTGAGAAAACAAAACCGAGCGAAAAAAAATATACTAAGGTCCAACTCCACACAACACATCACCTTTTGAATTTCCAGATGTCGACATTCAACGTGTTAAGATACTCCGCTCTCGGCGCTGGTGTCCTCTACGGAGCCGTCCACAGATACAACTTGGAGTCTGCTGTCAGTGAACAGCACAAGGCCGAGGAATGGAAGAAGCAGGAGAAGTTGATAAAGGAGGCCAAGGCTGAGTACGCCAGATTGCACGCTCCTAAGGACAAGCCATCTAGCGGTGCTGGTTTGTCTTTGAAGACATTGGAGGACCCTAACGTTGACTTCGGCAAGGCGTTGGAGTCTTTGGTCCAGAAGTTGGAGTAAGCGATTGGCCGCACATTATATATATTGAAGTCGGTGAGTGTCCCGCGGGACAATTGAACATGAAGTACGGATAGATGATGGAGAAGCGGGTTGACGGAGAGTTCTCCATGGACATGTACTATGCTCGCATCATGGCATGCCCAGCGCGTGCCAATAAAAGTATACAAAGAGAAATTGTAGTTGTGGCTTCGTTTTAGGTCATAATAAGCCACCAATGGCCTTCTTCGATATACCAGGCTACCGGTCGGTTCCTGGATGTTTGGAAATTGGTCACGTGATCGTAGCCATAGTATCAAGCCTTGATAAGCGATAGCGTTCCACAGTAGTACATGCCAGGGAGGCAGAGCTCAATATGACCCCCATCTCCTCAAAAGACGTCGATCTACCGACAAGTCCATCCTCAACCACTGGAGAAACAGAACTACGAGATAACTCCGAAAAACTTATTTGTCCAATATGCGACGAGGATATGGTCTCCTTGATCCAACTCAACCGACACATCGATGACTCCCACACCGGTAAAGAAAATGAAACATCAGTCCAGAAAAAAACACCCATTAAAAAGACCCTAAAACTCGATTTGTTTGATGATAGCAACGGTTTTGGTCTCAGTGACGTCAATGGAGAAGCTCAAGAAGGAACCCCAGATACGGGGCTGAAGAGTTCTTTAAAAAGGGCACATTGGAAGCAGCCCGTTCCCGGAAAACCAAACTATTGCTCCCAGAAGGAGTGTAAAAAGCTCCTTAATGTGAGAACCGGAGTTGTCAACTGCCGAAAATGCGGTTTGCTTTACTGCAATGACCATACGAGATATCGAGTCAAACTTAACAATGCAGCATCCAAAGACACTCTACCTCAGTATGACTCGTACGGTGTTTTTGCCAGGTCTTGTGAGAGCTGCTACTTCAACAAGCCGCTGGTCAAGTTGGGCACACAAGTCAACAGCAAAGACTTGACAGAGAGCTTTGCCAAAATACGAACCAGGAAAGTGGCGGAGAAACAATCGAGACGAGACGTGCTCCAAAAGCGGTTCATCAAACTCACAAACCTTATGGCGGAGAACTATCTATGGCATGCCGAACATAGGAACTCAGTCTTTCTGGTCTTCAATTCCCCAAGGCCACCTTACAGTACAGAGGAGTATCTCGAGAAAGAAAAAGAAATTGTTGGGCACGAGAATTGGCAGATCGATGACGAGATCACTCACTGTCCACTTTGTTATGCGAAGTTCAACTTTCTTGTCAGGAAACACCATTGTCGTCTATGTGGATCCATAGTAAGTGACTTAGCCATTAACTCTGAAGACATGTCTTCAATGTGCTCCTTACAAGTTCCTGCTGGCATTTTCATGAAGCTTCTTCCCACTCTTAACTACCCACCTCATGTCATCAATAATTGGGACACATTGGTTCTGTTGAATCAAGAAAAGTCAAGGCATGCCAGCATCTTCTCCTTTAGATGTTGCAAGACGTGCAAAGACACGCTAATTCCACGTGGTAGATCAGATAATCCCGAAGAAGCCTCTGCCATATTTGCAACTTATGACGAGCTTTTGATGCTCAAGATGCACATTTCCACATCATTGCCGCGTTACGACAATTTGGCTGCAAGTGGTCTTGAGGAGCACACTGACGAGATTAACAAGCTACGAACAAAACTTATGAAGTACCTTAAAGACTTCGAAATCGCAATCGAAAACTTCAAGCGCGAGCTGTTTCGACTCGATCCAACTTCCAAGAAATATGTTCCATTATTCAACCCGTCGCTTGTGACAAATGTTTATAAGCTGACTATTGTGTTCTTACAAGACTCGCTCCTCCACTTCAAACGTATAAACGACCATTATCAGGAATTGGAGAAGACACGCTTGACTGGGCAAATTGGTGAACTAAAGCCATTTGATAACAACTCCGAGATTGCCTCACCAAGCCCCGTGCCCACTAAACCTAGGCTCACCAAGAAGCAAATTCGAGAATTACGAGAAGAACTCATGGTCGTCAGCGAGCAGAAATTTTTGGTTGAGCAGCAAATGGAGGAGGCTAAACGGCAAAGGCGTTTTGATGAAGTCTCGGCTCTCACGGAGAATGTTAACGAATTAGAGAAGCGCAAGCTGGAATTAGAGGGCGAATTAGGCGAGTTTGCCTTCGAATAAGCAACCTATCATGCGCAACCTCCCCACGGGGAAAAGCATAACGTGGAGGTGATGTCAGAATAAGTTTGGGGTAGGATGAAGGGCCCCCACGAACTTGCCGCTTCCTCCACGCTAGATTGCTGGTCCCCCACGATATTTTCCAATAAACCCCTTGAAACGTGGGGAAATTGGGGGAAAATTGGGGGATCCCACGAGAATCGTCACCTTTTCCCTCGTATTACGCTCCAAATGTGCTTCCAGGGGCTGCTCACATCATGAGCGGTTCCAATCCGTGTGGGGGCCAGCCTATGACGGACCGAAGAGCCCCGCGACACCCCCGTCAATCAGATTACCTGGAACTGGGTTTTTTAATGAAGATTTTACAAAGCTATAATCCACGGATGCAAAAGTCGAACTTCAGTTTTATTGCCATATCTACATTGGGACCATGGAGGCGCAGGTGAGTGAAATGTCTCACTTCGGACTCTGATCGATGAGCTCGACCTGCACGAAAAACTGCATCAAACTTTAGCTTGGTATATGCTTCTCCACTCTGATCCTGGTTATAAATTCCCGTGAACTATCTGCTTCGTAATATAAAAGGTTTGGAGGATCCTGGTTTGAAGCAATATCACCAAAATCCTCCAAAAGCTTCTACAACGTTTGCCTATGGGTAAGGTCAAGCTGCTTTGTGATTCAGATTACACGCACACTGATGGCGAGATATCCAAGCTGGAAGCGTTATCTACTCTGACCTACAATTTCGATAAGAATGAAGGACCCAAGATGCTGGCGTGGCAGAAGACGAAGGATGTTTTGATGTTGAAGAAGCTCTTCGAGAAGTATGAGGAAAGGCCTACACCGCCTGCTGTCTACAACTGGCGCATTTACGGTACAGCCCTTATCGCTTCTGCTGCTGCTATAATTATTGGATATGATGGTGGTTTTATCGGTGGCACCGTTGCTTTAAAATCATTCAGAGATGAGTTTGGGTTGAACAACATGACTGAAGCTCACGCCGATAAAATCATCTCTGACGTCATATCAGTCTTTCACGCCGGCTGCTTCTTTGGAGCCCTCATTTCATATCCGTTCTCCTATTACTGGGGTAGACGGATTTCACTCATTATTGCTGCTGCCACCATCACTGTTGGCTCTGCTATCATGTTGGCTGCTTCATCTGAGAATGGACTTGCTCCAATTTACGTGGGAAGAGTGCTTGCTGGTCTTGCTGTCGGGTTCTCGACGAACTTGACTCCCGTGTATCTTTCTGAAATCAGTCCTCCTGCCATCAGAGGCAGAATCATTGCATTATATGAAATCGGCTGGCGGGTGGGAGACTTGGTCGGTTTTTGGATCAATTACGGGATCGACACACATATCGCATCAAGCAAGAAACAGTGGTTAATTCCTTTTGCTATACAGCTTATTCCTAGTGGAATGTTTCTCGTGGGAAGCATCATCATGAAAGAGAGTCCTAGATGGTTGTTTTCTGTTAACAGGCATGACAGAGCAATCAATAATTTAAAATGGTTCAGAAATTTGAGTGAGGATGACGAGTACATCATCTACGAGGTCAATCAGGTTAAGGAGTCGATTGAATATCAGCGCAACCATGTCGGACTTGGTATCACGGACCCCTTTAAGCAAGTGTTCCTCAGTAAAGACAGAAGAATCCTCTATCGTCTATGCCTCACCTGCTTATTGTTCCTTTTTCAAAACTTTTTGGGTATTCAGTCCATCAATTATTACTCCCCAGGATCTTTGGAAGTTTAGGGGTCAACGGGACTAACGCTACCCTATTCTCGACTGGCATGTTTGGTGTTGTCAAATTTGTTTGCACCTTCATTTACATTCTCTTCATTGTGGATTCATTTGGTAGACGAAAGGCCTTCATGTGTTCCTCGACCGTTTGTTCGCTATGCTTCTGGTACATCGGCGCATATATTAAGGTGAACGATCCTACGCAGCCGGGCGTAGAAGCTGGCCCTGGTGGTACTGCTGCGATCGTTATGATGTATATTTGGATCGCATCTTTCATTCTTGCTTGGTCAGGAGGTCCTTTTGTCGTTGGCAGCGAAGTTTTTGATCAAAATATCCGTTCTTTTGTCCAGGCAATCAATGCTGCTGTGTCTTGGATCCCAATTTTTATCATGAGTCGTTTCACGTCGGACATGATCCGATCGATGGGCTACGGCATTTATTTCCTTTTTGCATCTTTGGCAGTTTTGTCTGTTCCTTTCGTGTACTTCTGTATTCCAGAAACAAAAGGCCTTGCCTTGGAAGACATGGACCGATTGTTTAACAAGAATATTGCTCCCCGACTTGCTCACTCTATCGTGCTCAAGGAGGCTAGAAGAGGAGCGGAAGCGCTGATGAAAGAGCATCATGGCCTTTTCAAAACAGACACAAACAAATTCGATGAGCATCTGCACGATGAAAACTTCATGAAATTTAATACAGACAAGGTATAGATTAGCTTCAATCCAGAATTGTGGTTTCATCATTACATACGATATTACACGACAAAACTAGGTATCCGAGAGGTAGAGTTCCACGCAATGTTTGGCCATTCCTAGTCCATTTAAGTATCCCAGTCCTCCAGCACCATAGTTATGAAAAATGCTGCCTCTGGGGTAATCTCTTTCTCTATCCTTGCACCACCTTCTCTTGAAGGACGAACAGCTGCAACGACTCTCAACAACTGGAGATCATCTATCGATTTATGATGAAGTAATTCAGGGCAAAGCCTCAGAGTTCTGTCGATAATATCCTGGGTCTCACTGATTAATGTATGCGGAGTTGCGACGTGATGTTGGTAGAAGCCACCGAGGATCACCTCGTGGGCCTTAGAGTGAGGCCTCGGTATAATGTAAGTCGAACTTTCTTGCTTCCATTCTGTCACCACCGATTGGATTCTTGGATCACAAATGACTACAACTTGGCCTCGTGTCGGAAAGATCTTCTTGTCGCCGACAAGCTCAGCTGCTCCTAAACCTGAGCAATTGAACACCGCAGTGGTACCTTTAAGAAACGCTTCATCGAGTTTAGATAGGCGTTTCACGACTGTATTAACGCCCATCTTTCTGAAGGCTTCAAGAAGATTCAGGGTTAGCAATGGTGGATTAAAAGTGATGCCGGTGTATGACGCCTTAGTGGAGCATCCCGGCGATGGTAATTGAGAAATTGTGATGTCAGGAATGAAGTTCAATATATCTTGTACCTCCGATTGGTCAATTGTTTCAGCAAAATGTTCTATGGTATGCGTCTTTTCAATTCCGGTGAGCTCTTCTCCTATAAACTTGCGAAGTGAGTCGTAGCTCTCGTAAGTATAGCGACAGAATTTTATCTTATCAACGAATGGCGTGAAGTAAGCACCCGCGTTGGGAGATGCGTAATGGAAGGATTGGTCACCGGGGAAAAACTCAGCAATTATGGTTATGCTAGCAGGATCAATTCCCTTGTTTAGAAGTTCAAAAGTAGTATATAAACCGATGATTCCCGCTCTTATGTTAGCAAGCTGTATCAATCAATTGAACTTTTACATACCCAACTACCACGTGCTTTGTCATGATGAATAGCTTAAGATGACGATTTTAGATGTGTAGTATGTGCATCAAAATATGCGCTCAGGGTCTCGTCACTGCATGCTGATAACAGTTTGCTGCATTAGTTGGTACCATGCTAATAGGATTAAATTAATCCACTTAAAGTGAGTTTCTCCAAGAATGGCAGTAGGTCGTCTTTACGAATCTCGATGATGGAGGACTCAAAACTATTGATTCTCACCTTCGCATCCGATGATGCAGCAACTCTTTGGAATGCAACGCTGAAGGTATTAAGACGAGTCATGAAAGTAGAATCGTGTTGATGTGGTCTATCTTTGGTTTCTTGAGCAATTTTGGCTTTTGCAGAATTATCAAGTCCCCTTGGATATTTTGGTGCAAGACCAATGACAAGATATGTGTCAGATGCAGGGTCCAAACTGGCTAGGACGAGAGGTTTCAATGCATTTGAGAGAGACTTGTCATTCTTTGAGGCGAGATTAAGGAACTCAAGCTCATTAATGTTCTCCAAGAGCCAATTGCCCAACTTTGTGAGAATAAGTGGGTTATTGAACATGCTCAAGTCGGGAATGGATCCATCATTCAACACGCAAAGTCGATAAAGTCGTAAGTTTTTCATAAGCTTTCTTTCCAAGACAGACATACCTGTCTTGAAAATGATTTGCTGAATATCTTTTGCCTTTTCAAGGCCCCTCATCAAAAGGTCGTAACCCTTCAACTTCTTGGAACTTAAAGCTGAGGCTAACGAGTTTGTGTTGGAGGATACAATTCTTGAAGCATTGCCATGATTGTTCATGTTAAGCGCATCCCAAGAGGACCAGAAATTGTTGACCCATAGCTTCTCCTTTCTTTCGATCTTCTCGTTGATATCCTCATCTTTGTCGTGGTTCTTGTCCCCGCTTATTCTCTCGTCGGACTCAAGAAGGGCAACAAGGGCTTCGACACATTCCATGGCTGATAGTTGTCCAACGAAGCCGAATGTTCTGACAAATCCATCCCTCACGATGCCCTCAAGTCCGTAAAGAGGTAGGTATTTGTTGAAGATGGTCGGCAAGTTCTTTTTGACGGATATGTCCATGTATAGCCACTTTTGTTGAGCAACCGAAAGGGAAATGCCCATTTTAGCGAACAATTTGTGTAGCTTTTTCCTGCCATCCTCGGTCCAAAGATTGAGTTTGGAGTTCACTAAGGATGAATAGAAAAATGAGTCATATAGCGTCCAGTGACGTAACAAGAACAAGTGATAATCCTTCTCTATCGATAGGGCTGTGGAGTCTGCAGATCTCTCAGTCCCGGCATTAGATGGGTTGAGTCGATGAACTTCCTCCAGGAATAGAGGTTGTATTTTGTCATAGACCTCTGGGTGGAGTCGATCAAGGGATGAAGCACCAATGATTGAGAGCCAAAGATTATCTATGCTAGTTTCACCAATCGTGGCCAATAATGCATATATGATGGCGGTTGTGGCTGTCAACACAGCGGTTCCCTGGTTGTAGTAGGTCTCAATAACATTCTCGCTTGCATTGAGCTCTTTCCTCCTCTGTTTTCGTAACTTTTTATTTTCAGCTTCTTCAAGACGGCGTTTTCTGTTCTCGCCAGAGTCATCGGTAACGACACCGCCATCGTCTTCGATATCTTCCTCATCCTCATCTTCTATGACTTCATGTTCGTCAGACTCTTCACCACTGGACTCATCACTGGACTCATGGTCGGACGCGTCCACCAACACCTTGAAGCTTTCTCGCTCCTGTGCCAAATTCTTGTCTATGTATCCGTCGTCAAAGCAGACTACCATATGTGAACCGAAAACATTGTCCAAGTTCCACGGCCTGCTTCCGTCCATGATGTATATCTTTCTGCTGAATGAGGGGCCTTGGTCTGGTTCCTCGAGCGGCTGTGAGTGATTCAACGGCATTGGGTCTTGCGATGTAACGTAGTCATTTGGATCAATCTCGAAGAAAGACTCGATATCAACCATGGCTCCACAGCCTATGAGAATGACATTTGACACTTCTGGATCGAGTTTGAGATAATGTTCTTTCAAATCGGCGTACCCAGCAACTGGAATAAGCTGGTATTGGATAAGGTTCTTTTTCAATACTAGACTCAATATCTTAGCCGTACATATGCTATCAATGCTGAGACACGAGACAAACAATATAAGCTTGCATGTGGAATGGGAAGATGATGTTCGTTTGATATCAGAAAACACCTGTGAATACTGGGAAGGGTTTATGTACATTAGAAAGGGTGTTTTTATGCTTGGTTGCCTGGTCAAAGCTGCAGTATGGTCAATGATGCTGAAGAGTAGTAGGATCACGATCACGTGTATCTCTAACAAAAATAAGACACTCGCGACGCGACTTGAAAGAGTAGGGCTACCGAGAAAGGCTTAGAAAACCGTACATCGTAAATTTTTATCGTCGTAAAACCGTAGTTGCAAAACTGTTCATGCTTGCGTTCCATCAAACATAAGAGAAGCTGCCGATACTACGGCGAGCACGCACATTAATGTCCCAGGTGACAATGCCTCCATCCTCGCAACCAATATACAACTGGTTCTCGAGCCAGTCCAAGCCGGACAACTCCATTTCACCGTGAATATGATTCACTGATTGTTGGTAGGAGTCATGACAAGAATAACGCTGCTGAGGAGGCGAGGAGTCTGCCATATTATTATCGTGCGACATACCTTGCCCTGCCTCCAAGTCCAAACGTTGTCTGACATCGTGGGGATCCACAGAAACCAGATTCAGGTGGCGAGGCTGAGGTTCTTCCTGATTAGAGACGCAATCGTTGTTGATGGAACTAGGCGTGGAATTCCACTGTGGATGGTTGAGCTCCGGAGGTGCTAAGGTGCCGTCATCCTCGTTGCAGACGGGCATTGGCTGTGGCTGATAGACGTAATCCTTAAACAACTTGGGATTCTCTTCCGCGAGATAGTTGTAGTCATAGACCAAAGGTGCAGAAAAGTGGGACTGTGACTCGTCAAAAATGTCAAATCTCTTGTGCTTATCCACATTCTTTTCATTCATATCATCATCAGCACTGGCGAAGCTGTGCTTTCTTTGGGAGTTCATGAGCTTGTCACGCACACTGAACCTCTCGTGTTTGTGGCGACCATACTGGTCTAATGCAAAGGGGAATACAAGCACCTGTTGGTTGTCCTGGTCGAGGTCACGAAGATCCACTAAATGAACTCTTCCAACATGCTCTGAAATGACAAGCAAATCTTGAATCGCTGTGTGTAAAAACTTACAGCAGCGGAAGGCGCCAGATTGATGGCCTGGTCTTGTGGATTTGACCTCATAAAGCGGCTCTTCCGTGGCTTTCCTTAGGTCAAAGAGCAAGCATGCACCTTCCTGGAATGCCACTGCCAATGTGTTTTCATTATTATGGTACGAAATACCGAAACCGGAGTCGTACGCAGTTCTGATGACCTCGACTTGCGGCTTCGGCGACTTTGGATCGAGTAAAAAGATGGAGCTGGAGTCTCCTGTGGCTGTTAGGAGTCTTCCGTCAGGCAGCTGGTGGACATTATTAAGTGAAGTATTGTTCTCGCAAACTAACTTCCGGTCTGCGCTAATTCTGCTGTTTGCAATATCCAACACGTACAAATTGGAGTCGTTGTTGCATACGTAGGATGTGAAATGAGAGTCTCCACCCGGGTAGTCTGGGTAAACCGTGACGGCATTATTTATCATCTCACCTAACTTAAACGTGAGATCTCCCTCGGTGTATGGAGAATAGAAGGAGAATAAGCCCTTGGGCAGCCTGTGGGAGGAGCCTGGAATGGATTTGGTCAAGTCTGGGATGTCCATGGAGAACACCTTGGACAGGGAGGTAACCACGCCACCTGTGACAATGTGACCACCCGCGCTGTGATTAAAGCATCTGGGAAAGTACGGTAGGTTCAAGTAGTCGTGGGACTTGAGGGTTTCTTCATACAAGGGGAATACCAGCAACGCTCTGATCGAGTCGTCTAGCGTGTGATAGATACTCCCCGTGTAAGCATCAACCTGCACCAAGTCCCTGAGCTGCCAGTGGTTAACCGATGAACGGACGTTCGAAATATAAGTTGGTTTCGGCTGGAGATACTTGAGAGCGTTGTAGTAGTTCTGGAAGCACTTGTAGTTGGAGGAGACGGAACGACGACGTTCCATACATGACGACCTCCTCCTATCATAGACACTTTCGGATATCGATATGGTCATAGTCGTAGCAAAATGTTAGAAGTTCGGGTAATTTTGGGGGTCCTTGCGTTATATATGACCTGAGGAGTGGAGGTGAGGGAGGCAGAAAAAGGAAGGTGAGCGGCAGGACAAGAATGCAGGGGAGCTTGGCTGCAAAGTGCTGAATCGCAAACAGAAATTACAACAGAAACTATTTTATCATGAAGCGCTAAACCTTCTTTATCAAATTAACAGAGGCTATGCTGGTTTGCTTTTTTACGAAACCTCCGGAATCGGGCCCCTTAAACCTTGAGTATACTGCGGCGCTTCATATGACCAGAGTGGGGTGCGACCACGGAAACCCTTCGAGGTGACATGTTTTCGAGAGCCTAGCTGATGAGCTCGTAGAAAAGTTAAATATTACTGGTCCGCAGCCCTCAAAACTATATCAGGTTAGGGGTACCGAAAGTACGTCTCTTTTGTTCTCTGGAAAGCTGCGGATTTCCCCAGCAATGTCGCGCGACATCTCTCTATTATCTCTGTGGAGAATCTCGGTAATCAGCTTCTAAAAGGCCATCCTGCAGGCGCCCCAGGATGTCCATGCCACTTTTGATCATACTATGGATGGAGTCATGCGACTGAATAAAACGATTCATCCAACAATGATAAAAGGTATTTATGGTCGTATGGGATGTCAGAGATTCCAGTTCATTGGGACTGTCTTATAAAGTGCAGTTAATTTTTTAACAAGGCCAAATATTTGGCGGTAGAATGTAGTTTTTCTTTCTTTTTCTGTTTACTATGCAGGCTATTACATAGTTGTACTTTTATACTGACGTCATGAGAGGACTCTGTCAGTTGTCGGAGTCCCATCAGTGGGAGTCAGCCGGGAACCTGTTCAGATTGACTGAAAGTGTACAATGCTCCACTCTGTGTTTTCTAACTTTGAATAAAACCGGGCCGTGCCGGAAAAAGAAATTACATTCTCGCCTACTCAGGGTCCGAGTGCATTCTGACACAATTGGTCTTGATGTCCCCACCTTTTGGTGTCAGTTTCGAGCTCGAGGCAAATTACTCAGGTGACAAATTTTTAAACAGAATCATCTAAAAATACTTCACTTAAATTCCTCGAATTTTCTCATTGGCAAGCAAAGAAAGTTAGATAAGGCGTAGCCACGTCGCGAAATCTGTCAGCTTATCGTCGTCAGCCCTGAACATGGCATGGCTCTACGTAGACGGTCTACTTTTTTTTTTTTGATCATTTTCACAGTTAATCATTCACAGTTTCATTCCCTTTCTCTTTTCTTTTTTTAGCTACCTCAGGTCAAGTTGTATAAAATGATGGTGCTGAACGGATTGACAAGTCACTCTTCAGTTCTCAAAAATTTCCATCTAAGCTATTTTAGCATGAAATCACAGAAAGGTTGATCTCTTTACAAAGTCTATATATTTTGGTCTTAAAAGCTCGAGCTGCTATGATCTTTCAGGAATAGTAACTCTCTAGCATTCTTTATGTGCACCAAGTTGGCATCTCCAAATACTCTCTCGACTCGTTATGTTCGTCGAACATTGATGTAAACATCAGAACTAATGTGGAAGAGGCACAAGATTGCAGTTTGTGACTACAATATCATCAAGTGGTAATCTCATCGTCACCGAGCCTTCACGATGATTTTATCTCTCAGTATAATTTATTTTATTATCCAATCACCTTGACCACTCTGGGACCAGAGTGGTAATAGCTTTGTTCTAGAGCGCCGAGTGCATCACTGGAACGCGTAAAGCTTAATCTACCTATATCCCATTTGTTACTTACAACTTTCCTTGCCAGGCCCTCTTGACCCAACCACAGTCTCTAATCTCGTCGTTCTTAGCATCCACCTTGTAATTCTTCTCAGGATCATCGTAGCGTCTATCAAAATCACCTGCGGGCTTCGAAATGCACACGAAATCACCGTTTGGTAATGGGCACCTCATTTGAGATGAAGGGAAAGGGCAGGGACATTTCTTTGGACTGGAAACACACTCGAATGTATCTGGACACAAGTATTTTTCGCACTGGCTGTCTAGGACTTTCTGTTCATAAGAAGGTTTGTCTCCCTCACCGTGATGGAATTGGTTGTGAATGAAATCAAATATGCTTGCGGATACAAAATTTGCAAGAACAAATAGTAAAAGGGGCTTGAAAAGTGGTTGCATGGGTAAATGAGTGGAATCTATTTAATGAAAGCTGTAGTAGGTTGTGAGTTGAGGTGGCCAGCCTGGAGAAGTTGGGTACGTCTGACTATACAGGAATGGGTGCAAAATCCACCAGAACCAGGAAGTTGGGATTTGGCTGCTCACCCCAAATGAATGACCGCTATAAAAAAAAAAAAGCTGTTTGAAGCTCTTGTCTTGCCAGTGGCAGCACTTGCCTTTAAGGTCGAACGTATCGATGATCGCTAATAAAGCATCTAGAAAAGAGTAATGGAAAAAGTATACTCCTCACGTTTCTTTCCGTATTTATGGTGGAGCATACTGCTTTTAGTGCTGAAATGAAGAGCTCTGACACACCGGCGCCTCTGCAACTTGATGACTTTTACTTCACCAAAGAAGCCACTACTCCTGAGCTATATGGCAAGAACGATTCCTTGGAAGTATCGTGGAACGAGGAAGAAACCCCTCCAACTAGCGCTTCAAGAAGTGACGAGGGTTTTGAATGGGATGGTGAGATGATATGTGACGTATCCCACTCATATCGGAGTATTAGGAAGTACGAAATCAACCTACTTCGTTATAAGATAGAGAAGGACGTGATCAAAAGTGAGGGTGGAGGCAATACTATCTACTTTGGTGAATTCAGTCAATGCCCTTTTAATGAGGAGGATTCTCCTATCGAACTATTCCCACATAGCCAAGCCAATGTACCAGTCTCGGATTGTAATCCGAGATCTATAGTGAGACAGAGGAACAGCGATGACCTAAAGCTTGCATGGAATTTTCCGTCTCAATTACCTCTTGAGTTCCCTATGATTGCCGAATCCTTGTCATGCGATGCTGAAAAGAAACAGATTATCTCGTCTTCGGACATGGGACACTTGTACCACGCTGGGTCTCGATATATAGACAGTATTGCTGACAACGTGGTGTTGCTCATGAACATGGCCTTCGGCTGCTGTAAAGCTTTTACCCTCGAACGAAAGAGGCTCATCGGAGTGACTTCGAGAGCCATATATCTTCTTTGCGATGAGGATAATATTGTCAGAGAATTTGGCGCAAAGTATTATCAAGCCCAGGTGAGTGAAAGCTTTACGGATTGTGAAAGACTTCAGGCTAGTCTTCTTAAGGTACGCAAGGACGTTGAAATCAAGCTCTCTTTCTTCCAAAATCACGCACAAGGCACTGTTCGTCTTGTGGAAAACTTGTTTAATGTTGACAGCTGTGTACTCAAGGCTCACCAACACTACCTCTCTTCCACCGAGGACTTGTGTTTTGGGAATGGGGAGTGCTATTTTCCACAATTACCAGCGTACCATAATACGATGAAGTTTTTGAGATCTCAAGACCCTCATACCGTGGTGGCTGATCTTCAAGGGGAACTAGCCTCTATCCTCAGAAACATGAGAGAGGTTGAAGAAAGCTTGATCACAGTTTTAGATGCACATCGTCAATCCATTCCGGCAATGACTGACTCACACGTACCCCAATACCAGGACACACGTCTACAGTGAAAAATGGGTTTTTTCAGAGGTCTACAAACAATGATATTCACACGTTATTTGTATTATTAAATTCAATTAAAAGTGTAGATTAAGTCAGCGAATGGCCATGTATGCTGCCTTAGCTTCATATGAATCCTTGGATTTCTCATCGTATTTTCTTGGTTTCGTCTCCTCTGGATCAACGTGCTTGCTACACTTGAATGTATTGAGCGCTTTGCTTTTCACCAGAGCCAAGCTTGAGATAACAGACCTTGTCTCGGTATTGTCGGATGAAATCGATTTTCTGTCGGAAGAAATGGAGTATTTGGACATAGCTTTTGAGTGGGAGCGTAACTTCCAGCAGATTTATATACTATTCATTTTTGCCACCAGCTGAATTGGGACTATGACAAATATAAATACCGGGTAGGCACTGCAGAGATCCAGCCGCTAGAGGGTTATTGTCTCCTCAGCCGTTCTTTAAGCCTCATAGATAAGTCAGCAGGTCATGCTACAGATTGAAAAAGCTACATTGATCAGTGTGTATTTTGGGTGATTCTACAAAAAAAGCATTGATACCTGAAGACTGACAAACCATTCAACCCTGTTCGTGTAAGGCACCATTTGGTCGCTACGAAGCTAGTAGAAGCTGTATGTTGAGCCGCAGCACGATTACGAATGCTAGCTTGATACTGCAGATGCATATTGTGGATTTTCAGTTTACGAAGCGGTGGGGAGGGGGCCTAGAAGCCAGTAACATCCGTGCAAGTACTGTCATGAGCCACCAAGTTCCAATTCGCTGCAGAGTGAGTCACCAAAACAGCTCAAGCCATCTTCGCAATTTCCGAAAAGAATCGGGGATTTCTTAAATCAATGATTACCCCAGAGACACCCTGCGCAATGAGTCAGCCAAAGCTACCGCACATACATTACGAGGCCTACAGAAACGGCTTCTTGAACTGAATCAGCTTGAAACACTTCACTGAATTCTGGTTACAATATAAGAGCTAGAGAGATTGATGTCTGATTTCGACCAAAAAGAAATAAAAAAAAAAAAAAAAGAACGGGGCGAGCTGGGAATTGAACCCAGGGCCTCTCGCATGTTTGTATGTCGATCAAGTTTCCTCAACCGTCGCCCAAAGCGAGAATCATACCACTAGACCACACGCCCGAATTCCTGAGTGTAACACAAAGCCCCTCAAATATGAACATTAAAACTGGGACTCTATCAGCTCTGGGCGATTATTGAGAGGATCAATTAAAGTAATAAAATGTCAATTTCACAATTGAGATCCCACGCAAACACGCCCGCGGGTCCTGGCGCGAAATCTGCAATTATAGAACTTTTGAAGACGCCCGCCTCGCTGAGTGAAGATGTAGCTGCGAATTCTGAAAAGGCAAACATTGGGGGGGGGGGGGGGGTTATGCCCACGCTTCACAAGTGAAAATTGCCAGGTTTGCTAAATCAGAAGCTATTTCTTCATCCAGGATGGCCTAATTCCAGGATGGCAAATTAAGCCAGTTGTTCCAACGAGTTTTGTATTGTTCTAAGACCGGGAATTCAATCCAGTTGGACCGACTGGTGAGATTCCTGCATTGTCGATCCAGGGTACCGATAACCCAAAGAGCCAAAACTCAAGATTTAATTGAAAAAAAAAAAAAAGAAAAAAAAAAAAAAAAAGCTTCAAAATCATGAAGATGAAAATGAAGGATAAACTAAGCGAGACGGTAACCAAGAAGGATTGCCAAATACAGCGCTAATCTGGAGCCACTCGACACCTCGGCACAACCTCAATCCAGGTCTCCTGGGACTAGCACCAGCTGAGCCTTGAGGGTCACATTCGTGGATTCCATGATACAAGCAATGACCACAGACTCTTTAAAAAAATTTTGCATTTTAAAGAATGGATAAATGAAAGCAAACTTGATCAAGAAGCACCTCACGACATTGACAACCTCCCAGAAGACGATGTCAGCTTGAAAAGGTAATCAGTAACGAATTCAACCTCCGGGACAACTCATTTCAGCTATCTCACCTAAGTATCTCACAATACTTAGGCAATGACAAGAGGAATGTGTTTGTCAAAATCGTCTGATAGATCGGGTACTAAACACAAAACCTTGTGTTCAAATCTCTAAACAACTTTCAGATTAAGAATTACAACTTCCAAGCAAATAGACTAGCAAGCATCATTTATCTATTGAATGAATTTGGAAACAAATTTTTGACGAGAATTCATGGTATGTGCCGCAGCTCTCATTGGAAACGCCAAAGTGTTTGAAAACCGGTTTCAATTTGGATTATTGCAAAGCAATTGAAGAAGAATTGAAATGAAGGCGAATGTAAGGAAGTGTGTGATAAAGGCAGAAAAGCCGCCCACCTGATTAGGATTGTCACTGGTCAGGACATCATAGGACGGAAAAGTGACCCAAGTCTTCATAAATCAAGGCTTTACAGATCCGTACTCGCTTCTAACTGTGAGATTGCAGAATAGTAAGGTATGAAGGTGCTCCAGATTGAGCTTCTTTCTTCTCTATACATTGCCTTCTGAAAATCGAATCATATGCATTAAATATTAAGTTGTGGGACAATTTTATCTAAAAAAGGAACTACTGGATTAAGGATATCCGGCACTCGCCCCATGCCTCTGTAACTTCCTCATTGAATCTTCTACCTCGAAGCGAACTTCTTGAAGAGCACGCAGCTCTGAGCGAACACCGAACCCCCAAATAAGTCCATTTATGACACCCGACACTGCAATCAAAGTGCTTGCGAGCGAGAGAAGCACAGACGACCATGCTTGTCTCTGCGAGGCAAAGGTGATGCCGATGTGTATGGCGATAACGAGTATGATGGAGATGAAGAAATGGTATTTGCGCCAATTTGCTTGAAAAGGTATTGTTTCACGGAGGTACCAAGAGATTTCCTCGTGAGTTTCACGATACAATGAGAAGAGCTCTTCGCTGCTGTGGTCGTCGTGATGATTAGTTACGTCCCGTTTGTTTACCACGAGATCCACCGCAAACGCAAAGTGATCAGATGCCGAGCATGAGATAGGCGGAGGGAGTTTCTCCGTAAACCTCACTGCCGCCAGAACTGGAGTGAGGGTTTGAGAATCAATTAAGACGTAATCAAGGCGGCAAGCTTCGTGGGGCTTTCTGTGAGGGTGCCATGTGTTGAAGACTGAGTTGCAGGTGACTCCCGCCTTAAGAATCTGATCCCCAGGATGCATGCGAGCAATTTCTTCAGAGAGAGGATTGCTATCTCCTTTTAAAATTTCCCATGAGTCGGCCAAGCCGCCTTCGATGGTGAATAGCTTGTAGGGCAACAGGCCTGGTTTCGAGTTGAGGTCTCCGACTTGGATGACCGCATAATTTGCTTGTTTCAAGGTTTTAACCAACTTGGCCATATCCCACGCCTGGCAAGCTCTATGGGTTGAATAGGCAGCATCGCCCAGAGAGGCGTATGGAGCATGCATATGTGAATTGAGAAGAGCAATAGGAGGTGTCTCCGGCGTGAGCGGCTCTAAAATGGTGATTGCTATGGACTTTCCCACAAGCCAGTCACCTCTAAAGAATGCACTTGGTCTTCCATTTATGGGAAAGCGATATAGGAAGGAGTTGTTGATGGGTATCTTCAGAAGAATGGCCAAGCCAGGTCCGGCCACTATTCCCGAACGGAAAAGACGGCGGTAGGGAAATTCGAGGCGGCACTGTTCATCAATATAGAGCCAGTCTTCTTCCACCCAGACTTCCTGGAGTGCCACCACGTCGTAGTCGCTAGAGGCTAGCTGGTTTGCTATCCAGCGAAGTCTGGCTTTTCTATGTTTTGCAATGTATTTGAGGCCCCACGCATTAAGCGTTAGAAGACGCAACCGGTGCTTTTCCATGGGTTTTCCGACCTTTGTTGAATATATGGGAAAAGAAAAAGTGCTCAAAGCCGCCTCGGAACAATAGCGTAGCCGATGTTTATCTTTCCTGTACGCCAACAGTGATGACAGTGTTTGCTCTATCGACAAAGGGGCTGCGATAGAGCTCACCAGAATTATATCAAACTTGTGGAAAAATTATCAAAAACCTCAATTTTTGAAAAATCACCGGCGGCCTGTTGGATGGAGCGATCAAGCAAAATTTGTAGCTTCAAATGTGTTTCACTTATTAGCATCTGCGCATTTCCAGTTAAATCCGTAAACACAGTCCATGACCAAACGTTATATGGTCGGTAAGGCTACCAAGTATCATGCTAAAATTTTTGATCACTTTCTGAAGATGGCACATCTTTCAACATCTAGATTGTCTTTTTTTTTTTTTTCTTTTTTTCCCCCTACTTCTACTTGATTAATATCATAGACTTGCACCTGTCTGGGAGTAGCTTTATCTACGCATGGTTCTTGCGCGCGGAGTGCAGTATACACAAAATACTGACATGGAAACCATAACATCATCACCTTAACCAGATGAGTCTTACCACACCAGCAGTGCAAGAGTTCAATCTGCTCCTTAAGGAGATGGAGGATTTTACTCTGCGATTCCAGACATTTACTCTACAAAAAAAGCTGGCCATCCTGTCATCTAAGCTGCAACATATCAACCGAGTGAAGGAGTTTGAGAAAAGGGCTCGATCTCTACAAGCGGAAATAAAAGCCACGACAGAAAAGTCAGAGAAAACAGAAGCTCTAGCAGCTCAGTCATTACTTGATCTTCAAGCAAAGCAAGAAAAAGTCGACGCTCTCACGGCCCAGCTGGACAGCAGATTGGCTGCAAAGGATCAACTCAACCGAGACATTGACAATTTGAGAAAAGAAGTGGCCGAGCTCGAGAATATTTTGAAAAACACTCGATCCACGCTAGGTGACCAAGCAATCAAGGACGCTGAGGAGCTCACTAAATTTGAACAGTACTTGGGATTGAGAATCGAAGCAGTTGACATCGATCTCCTCAAGTTCAAATTTGTCAATATCGACCCCAATAATGTTGATCGTGAGGTTTGGTGTGAGCTAAATGTGGCGGAGCAAGAATACAAGGTCGGGCTCACGAATCCAAACTTGCCCCGCGATGTCATTCTTCGGATACAGAAAGATCTCAATATGCATGGTGAACTTGTCATTTTTCTTCAGCTGATGCGGAATGCTTTACGTGCTGAAGTTTCCTGATTCATCAAAAAGCTTTTGTTTAAAAGAGGCCCTGCCGCATTGATGAGGGCTCATGTTTTTTTGTGCCCTTCTTTACACTGTCCTCTTGAACGCTATCGTGGTCCACTGTGGCTTACTGCCCCAGCCAAGGGTTTTCCAGTCTTTAGAAGAGTTGAAGAGTTCAACCTTTTGGAACAATTTTGTGATGGGCCGAAACCCTGTGATTGCGAACACAACTGCTATCTACATCGAGGACACCGACTCATATTACTTTTTTGGGGATCACGTTCAGAGGTCGAAATGGAAGGCATGGCTTGGCCAGAAGCCTCCAGTTAACATGATAGAGTTCCAACTAGGCTCCGACAAAGAAACCATCCCCATTGAATATTACCCTCTCGTGACGGTTTCCACAGAATTAAGCTCACTGGATGCCTCCGTGGAGAGAGAAGTGACGCGGGGGTTTGGGATATCATTCTCGCTTGATCTGAGAGTAGACAACGACATTGTAATCGCTGGAGTCAAGACGGGCTTAAGTTCACAATACTCTCTTGACTTTTCCTTGCTGCAAGCTATGATCTGCAGGGCACCCAAGGGTGGGAAGGTACAGATGCAAGTCAGTGCCAATCTATTGTACTTTCCGTTAGCAAGAACGAGGAGAGTGTCGTATGTTCAAGCCTCCCAGAATTTTGAGTCTGGGGATTGGGAGATAGTGAGTTCTGCGATAGAGAATGAAACTTACGAAGGCGCAATGTTTTATTCATTGAGTTCGATCTCTCGACAGCGTTGTGTCACCGATCCGATGCATTTTAAAAGCTCCAAAACTCGTTGGCTTCCGCATCTACCAAGACCTCACATTCGAGAAAACGATGCATAATACAATGTGTTTGAACTGAAAGTTACGGAGACATAAAACGACAAATTCGAAATCTGTTCCTCTGGTCAACAGCATCGCACTCTGCGTCTGACACTAGATGTGTGCCGGAGATAACGCATTACGAATAGGTCCGAAAGTCATGTCCGAATGTTCACGTCGTAGATAACTGCTTATGAAATAGGGGCTCATGGAATTAAAGCAAGTCGGTGATAAAGAATTCTGATTCTGCTTTCCTTAGCTTATGTCTCGTATCTCCGGTTGGGGGCAACACAATACGGACCCGAGCGCGGGGCCGTTACTAACTTAAGTCACATGTACTTTCCCAAGACTTTATAAGCGACTCCTTCGGTTTTACACAACACCGCAAAAAAAAACTCGCTAGAAAATAAAATGAGTGATCATTCGAAGAGAATTGCCTCTCATATGAACAAGGACCATCAATTGGCCTTGGTTGATTACGTTGTGGTGTATGGTAAGATCCCAGCTCATCAACTCGAGCCCGCCAGTGTTCATATTACTGCCGTTGATGAAAAGTCTCTTACTCTTTCCTACAAGAGGAACGATAAAGTTGAAGAAATTGTTCTCGTGTGGAATGAGCTCCCTGAGGAGGACAAGGTGGACGTGAATGGGTTTATGGACATCAAGGCCAAGTTGATATCAATGGCCAAGTATGCTGCCGCTGTTCAAGGATATTCACACAAGCAGTTGAAGAAGGTAGTCTTACCCAATAAGCCTCAGCAGTTGTTAATGTATCCTGTTGCTGCTGTTCTTGCAATTGGATCGTTCGATAAGTTTTTTATCAGGGACGTTATTGCTAGGGACAATTTCTTGTCCCAATTGGCCTCATATGCTCCATCCTTTTTGAAAACTGGTGGTGCTTTTTTGGAGGACCATGTAAAGACCATTGCTATTGCAATGTATGCTATTCATTTGGTGGAAATCGCTGTCGTATCTTGGCCTAAGTTGAAGCAATATAGAGCCTCCGGTAAGAGAAAGTTGGCATGGGCTGTCATGCACTTCTTCGAAGGCTTTCTTATTTTTAAAAGACTCAACAAAGCTTTGGAAGATGCCCATTAAGTACTGATATATGACGATGGATATGAGTCGAGCAATGATGTCTTTGTAGTACTGAATGGTATAAAGAGACACCTTTTACGGGGGCAACGAATTTCTTGAAACGTTTCTTTACTTACAGTTGAAACTAAGCCAGCGAATCTAGCCATACCTTTTCTGCTTCTTGTATTCGTTTGTGATCTTGAGAATGATTTACCAAAAGATACTTTCTTGACTCCTAAATTACGTTTGATTCTCTCATGATCTAGAAGATAATACCACCTGTATTGAGGAGCGAAGTACAAGAAATATTCAGTGGTGTTTACTATTGGCGAGTTGAGATGCGACATTTTTAGTATCCGTTGCATTCCTTCCTTATTTATCCAACTTCTTTCTCTTATGTAAGCGCGTGGCAGCCAGCTTCATTCTCTTTCCAAGAGCGGCATCCTTTTTGTATGAGATGTACTCCTGAGGGAAGAATTCACCAACTGTGGTCTGTGTGCCCTCCGATCTCTTCTTGTTCATGTCCCTTATAAGCGGTAACATTACCTCATCCACCCGTGATTGACTCCACCCAACATTGTACATGAGAAAGGAACGTATCTGATCTAGATTTGGTACGCCCCACTTAAATTCACTCGTGTCTCTGTCCACCTCAGGGTGAGTGTAGGCCTGAAAAACAACCTGGTCAGGGAAGTTATCTGGAAGAAACAACTTCCCGGATTTGATACGTTTCAAGAGATTTTTTTTGAGTTTGGAATCTGGATCCTTTGGCTGTGATAATCCCCGGGCATGCTCATCGAACCACCGCTTGAAGCTTTTGAGATCCTCGAACTCTGCTAGAATTTCCATGGCTAACACAGGCCCTATACCCTTGATGCCTTCCGTGTAGTCGCTTCCCAATAAAAGTGCTAATTCAATTAGCTTGATTCTGTCAAGTCCAATTTTGTGATCGATCTCTTCATTGAAATAGCATTCCACATATTGCTTTTGATTGAACATATTTTTGTAAATTCTACTCCCTCCAAAAAGAAAGCAGTCGCTATCGTCAGTGATGATACCATCTACCATTTGGAGACGGTACAACTCGGCACATTGGGCCTCGGCCTCCATTGGAGCTGTGATGAATGGAATGCCAAACCTTTTCAAAAGCTCCTGAACATCTTGTATCATCGTCTGGGAGACCTCATCAGAGTCACGTTTGGCTTTCTGTACACGTTCCTGGTATAGCTGCTCATCTGAAATAAGTGAAGTTGATGAAATCGGAATATGATGTTTTGTCTTCATTTCGATCGCAAATTCTTCGTGTTGATTGTCCTCCTCACGGAGCTGATTCATCATTTCAGCTTCTTCATCCTCCTCCAACTCATAATCTAGCACAGCTGGTCGTTGTGGAGCAAACTTTTCCGGTATTTGTTCTGTCGGTCCGTGAGAGTCAAGTGTTGTACTCTGCCTCCTGTCTCGAACAGTTCTTCCGCCATGCGTCAAAGCTTCCAGTTCTTGACCATCATCCTTTTGACTATCTCCTTTCTCAGAATCTTTCTTTTCATGCTGGATCATTGATGGCTTGAATTCGGTCTGCCTCGTATCATCGTTTTTGTGCTCATACTTTGGAAAGCTCTTCTCATTTGCTATCTCCACGTCCGAGCCCAAAATTTCATCATTAACGTTCTGCTCATTCACGATTTCCACGTCGGAGTGTTCTTGTTCTATTGGCGAACCTGGAATCAGTTCTATGTCTATGAGATCCCTGGCTTCAGAATATGAAATTAATCCAACTTTCTTATCTTCATTCATAGGCCGAGTACTTTGAGCTTCTTGCGTGAAAAATCTATCACCTGAATGTGGTCTTTCAATTTGAGAGACACTATGATCGAACCAAGAAGGCATTGCATGAGAGCTTTGAGAAGGTTCAGGGGGTTCCAGAGTTCTGAAAGTTGCACTCTCATCAGCGTCCTGCTTCTTCTCGTCACTTGATTCTATGTTTTGAGACCGAAATAGCATTGAGCTGTTCAAGTCTGGTTGGTTCTCATCTAGATCGGTCACTTGGTTAACGACATCTTTTTTATGCTCAGAAGTACCTATCGGTAAATTATTTTGCATCTTTTGACTTCCCTCAATTTCATTGGGAGATGAACTTTCCTCGTAATCATTTTTATACATGCCATAGATTGATTGAATGATTGCTTGTGAGCTATCCTCATCATCTTCTTGCAAATGAGCAGGCACATCTTCAAATTCTTCGTCGCTATCACTGGATTGTGCAGCTTGGCTATCCTCCGTCTTAATTTGCGTAATATTTTTCCCCAGATCATCATCAAAAGATGACATTAACGATCGTTTTATTTCCCCGTTATCGTCAATTTCGATGAGGTCGCCATCTCCATCTCCCAAGGAAAGAGTCCACCCATCCTCGTTTTTCACGAGAGCATAGTGTCGGTCCTTGTCTCCAGCAATTCGACGTGTGATATTCCCACTATCTTCCAGCATTCCACTGACGGTCATAAGTCTTTGTGTGTAGAAGTTTCTTTTCTTGACTTGATCGATCTGGAACTTCAGAAAATCCTTGCTACTTGGAAAAAGTCCTTCCAATTGGTCCTTTGAATACCCTAGTCTCAACCTTGATCGTAATCTGAGGTGAGACAAAATCATATACTGGGTTGCTAGTGGAAGTTCGGTGAACTCTTTGGAAGAAGGATCCACTGAGTCGATATTAATGCCATCTACTGTATCAAAGTCTGCGTTTTCGGTGTACTCTTGGAATTCATCCGCTGGCATAATCCTATTGTCATCCTTAGAGACGGTAAATTGTCGAATCTCAGGAAGATGATACTCATCTTTTTTTATGAACTTTCGTGTTGGTGAGCTTTGAACCAATTCTGCCTGCTGTGAGTTCTGCTCTTGCAGTGCTCCATGTTCAGGATGAAGAATCGGCATATCTTCGAGATAAACAGTGCCATCTGGGTTTGGCACTTCTGTCTTTGATGAGTCAGGATTCTTCAAAAGCTCTCGCTTACGACTATGAGGTAGATCCTTATCCTTCTGGAGCTGTATCGCGAGAATTTTCTGAGCTGACATGGCAGCATCCTCTTGGTTTTCTCGTCTTCTCTCTTTACGTTGCTGAATTACTTTCCTCTTGAGCGCTGGAGCCCCGCCATCGAAAACGAATAGTGGTTGTATGCCATGGTAAAGTAGTTTACAGATTCTGCGAAAGAATCCCACGATATGTGATTGCCCTAAAGAATTGCCATCCTTGTCTCTCACGGCCTTAAGGAACTGATAAATCCATATGGAGGCATCTACTGCTAAGCGTTTTCGAGATAAAGCATCAAGCTTTACAGGTCTTGCAGCGGGCCCCACGATTTCCCAAAGTGAGGTGACTCCCATATCTTTGATGTGATATGATAGCTTTATTGCTTCATGGTGATGATGATGATGATGCTGCAGGATATCAGTGGGGCGTATATTATGTAAGCGCTTACTTACTAACCTTGACCTATGCGCACCACTTCGCAGCCATTTGCTTTCATATTCCGAGTCATCCTCGAGCAGGCTCAAGGCTATTGTTGTATGTTTTTTTTCTTTTTTTTTCTCATTCTTTCCATTAGTTAGGCTACATTACTTCCTTCTGTACTTTTTGCTGCGTGGTTAGGCGCACTTTATACCCGCATATCACAAATGGCTCAGTATATTTTACCCACAAATGACAAAGGGATCAGTGATCCTTCAAAAGTATACAATTTATCTCCTTCATCATAGCTTCTACTTTAAAGAACTATTAGGCTCTTCAAAAGTTAAAAAAAAAAAAAAATGCTTAAAGCTATGGATAGAAATACTTGGGTAAAGACTAAGACCAATTTAGCTGGTGAAGGAGCCATGGCCAGTACATTTTCCTCCTAAATCCAAATATCAAGCTCATCAACGTTATAAGACTTAGTACCTTCGCTATGGGGTACCTCATCAAACCGTGGGTAACAAGGTACCAAAGCATCACAGCTTTGGACGTAAGCTGCATTGAAGACTTTCCAAAAAGGAGTTCTCACTTTTCTGGCCGGATGAAATAGTCCAGCCCAGATGTAATTGAGAAAAATTCCTGGGCCAATAATGTTTCTAATTGCATCTAGGCATTCGATGATCCGTATAATCACATGTGGAGACTGTTCATAAATGTTTGGTAGCACAAGATTCATCAAATGTGTGAACGTTTCGATGTGGTCATCATTAGCAAATCCTGTACAATTGAGTGCAAGATGACGTACCACTGTGGCAGCTGTCTGTCTGTGAACCTGATCTCTGTCTGTTAAACCATTCCCAATCAAAGGTGTAACAGCATGAATGTAGTCTTTGCTTTGTGCACCACTTATGTATTCAAACATGAAGCCAAGCGATTTCAAGATACCATTCTGCACGTTCTTGTCAGGCATTCTATACTCATTCATGAGGGCAGGTAATACGGTGAATGGCTCACAAGTGTCTGCCACAATTCCAATAGCGACCGCTGTACAGACTCTTAGCTGACGCTCTTGCACTCTTAGATTATTGAGCAATGTGGCGAGAACGTCCTGAGGACCAATAGCGTTGGCTATGAATCCAAAAGTAGCATTTGATGCAATCCTAATTCGCTTTCTTTGGCTTTTCAACATGTCCAATAGATCGAAACAAATACGCATCCACTCTTTGGCATTGATACATTCTGCGCTCTTGCAAGCAATGAGCCCGATCAACTTCACGCAATTTTCTTGCACTTTTTCATGCCGATTTTTCAAAATCGGCGTCATTGTCGGTAGAAGCATGCTTATCGAGGGATTATCGAGGGAAGATAAGGCCTCCTTATTTAGCGATTCTAGACAGGCATATAAAGCCCCTATGATGGAACCTAGAACTTCAGGATAAACCTCTCCTAATGATTCGTAAAGAAATAGAATGAGTCTGTTCATAATTTGAGTATTATTGTCGCCAAATTCGTTGAGTAAAGGTGCAACTGCCGACACCAAATCTGCGGATTGTAGACGCACTTCAGGCTCCTTGTTCTTCATCCGAAAAAGGATAGTGCTCAAGAGTGCAGTTATATGGGGCTTTATTCTTGACTGAAGTGCGTTACACACCGAAGTAACCGCAGAACGATACACGGAATGCAGTTGGGTCTGTTCTTGAAAAGCAAAGAGCACTGCGTCAAGTAATGTATCTGTGGAGCGTTCTTGGAGTTCCAAAAATGCATCAGGAAAACTCCTGGCTATCTTATTTACTGCACCCACAGCCATTTGTCTCATGCTCTCGTTCGCATTCTTCGCCAAGGGGATAAGCGATTCAATGACGACTGTCACGCCAATATTTTTTGCCATCACTTTTGTGGTGTCAATGACAAGTCGGCACACCTGCGAAGAATCCAGTGCTATCTTTCTAGTCCAGAAGTTTTGAAAGAAGGGCTGTATGAGTTGCCCCTTATAGTTAGGGAGCACGGTCCGTGATATTGGAAGGCGCAAGAGAGAACGAAGAATTGCCCTCTTCATGTCTTCGTCCGGCGATCGAAATTCCCTTATCATTACCTGCAACAATTCTTTCAAGTAGTAATTTGTATACTCCTCGTACGATGAATTCTGCGCCATCAATGACACTAGTGAGCCCACTGCTTTCACAAAAGCTGCTAGTCCCCTGCCTCTGTGATTTTTTAGTCCACCCCAAAGCGGTTCAAGGAGAGTATCGAAGGCTTCTATTCCATGAGGGAAAACGCTGTCTGCAAGTAAAGAGATCGTATTTGCTGTCGCTGTTCTCACTGGAAGAAGCTCATCTTCTAGACCGGGTTTTATAATGTCGGCAATTTGTGGTAGGTAGGGCAAAATGGATGCACCATTTCCTCCTCCCAAATTGATGCAGATATGATGTATGATTCTAATCCCTGTGTGACGAGCCTGTGAAGACTTCGACCTAAGGACGGCTTTCACGAATGGAAAAAATTTGACTAAACCCAAAGTTGAGGCAACCTCTGCGAGGACTCGAGCAGTCAAGTTTCTCACATACTCATCGCTATTATCGAGATCCGGTCGGAGAGATGTTATGATATTGGCCAAGCCAGCTGAACGTGCAATTACAGCTATGGTGTCCTTGGCTTCTAGGCGAAGCGTCATTTGCTCATCAATAAGTAAGGGGCTAACGGCTGTCACGAGTTTATGGGTGTAAGGCCTGATTTCATGTGCCAATTGATATGCAGCTCTGCCGGTAAGCTTGAGTAGAATATGTCTTTCGCTGTCTTCGAGATCAGGTTCAAGCATTAGAGGTAAGAGCACGCTAAAAATTGCCTTCGCCCCAAGTCAGAGGAGTGGGAGTTGAACCAGCGGTTGGCTTTTTTTCTCACCTGAGATGTTCCATTCTTAGCTCTTAGAATAACCTCCATGACCTTAAATCGCTTTCTTTCATTGGGATCGAGTAAATCTTCTTCGCTTTTTCTAACAAGGAGCGACAAATGTTTCCTATCCTCCTTTTTGAGAAAAATCCCTTCGTATTCCACAGAGATCTCATTAATGATATTTGTATCCACGGAGGGCTGGTGGTCTGGGGGCTGATATAGCTGGACAGTAACAGAGGGGCCACGAGATATTTCTTTTGGAGTTACCTTGATGTAGCCAGCAGGGATAATTTTGTCAAGAAGTCTGTCTGTGAGACTCACTCTAGATTCAGCCTGTTCCATCTGTACGCTTCTTGTGGTGTTTCGTAGAGTTTGCTGGTAATCTTCGAGGTGCTTCCTTTTGAGTTTCTGTTCCATTATGGACTCATCACTGTGTAGCAGCCTTTTTAAATTCATCTCCCCTTCTCTAGAGCAAGTGATTCTATTCTGGACTGGTAGCTCTTCGTTTCATCGATATTTATCAGTCTGTTGTATGCCTGCTTTTGATAATCATTTCTAGTGGAGACATTTTGTGGCGGGAATGCTTATCAGTCTGAGATGGAAGCTCGTAATCACTATGACTAGACATTTAGATGGACGTAAATCGAATGTTTTTGGTGCTGCCAAAGTTGTGATGGTTTATGAAGTATGCGACCTGAGTATATCATGCATAGTCACAAACATCTAGCGATCCGCTGCTTGAGAACTCTACACAAATGGAAAAGAATTTTAAGAAAAAAAATAATTGGTAAGAGTTTAATAGCCTCGAAATAATTCATATTATTATAAAGGAAGCTGATTAGAAGCTGGCTCTACAGTCAGAGTACGCTAGGACGTATGATTCCTTCATACAACGATGTTGCACTCATCTCATCTACATATGGTAGGTGTTCACCTGAAAAGTTCTTGAAACCCGATGTCTTCCCAAAATTTGAATGTTCTCCTCAATAGACATCTTTCACTTAAAGAAATTTCTCCGTTGTCTTTAGTCATCGACTCGTTAGCTCAGTCAGCCCACCCATTGATTCAGGAATTCGTGTATAAATCAGAGGCGCCTGTGATTCTTCTATCTTTTGAGAGCAAGATAAAACCTGCTTGGGCAACTTACTTTCTAGATTGCTCAGAGGCTTCACAATTGAGCATCAATTCTTTCGTGTCCGAAAAGTCAAACAAGACGCGAAAGTCTCTCGTCATTATAGAATCGCTCAATTACGTGCCGCTTGACGAGATCACAAGCTTTTTTACAAATTTGTTACGTCCAAACAATACCACTTTGGGGATATTTCATTCGAATTGCCCACAAATTAGTCCAGAGAATTATCCGCCTGGATTGACATTACTTAATTATATGGCCCTGTCTGTTTTCCATATTGAACCTCTCAAAGTTCCAGACGAGGAAGAGCTTGAAACATCACTTGCTCGTCTCATTATACCTCCAAACTCCTACAGCAATTCTTCCTCATTCAAATTGAATTTCACAAACAAAAGGAAGTCTGGTAAGTCCCTGCTTCATACGTTCTCCGTTAACCTGGAACTCCATGAATACGAGCTAATTACAGAAGCTTCTTCGACAGAAATTTCCGAACTTTTCGATGATTTAACAACATTTAATTTGAATACAAGCAATAAGCAAAAGATTGCTAAGGAGCTGGTTGAACTACCCTTCATGGAAGCTCAAGCAGAGTTGGGCAAAATGGGTGGTGCGATCGTGTACCAATTTGAGAAGGACGACGATTATGATGAAGAAGATCCTTATGAAGACCCATTTTAGGACAAATATAACTTATAAGAGCTATTGAATCTGATGATCCACTAGTTCGATCTTCAATGATGGTTAAACCGCTGGGGCTGAATGTGATGCAAACAATGAGCGCGAGTGTTTATTTGTTCCCGTAAAACATAAGTCGGTAATAAATTGTGGAATTGAAGTGAGGAATGTATTTGAAACTTCAATTGGCGACGGAATTTCTCAGCGGATAATTGGTATTAAATCATGCTTATCAACGAAGTCGAAGGTACACTGGCTCAGAATGGATACAGATTCTCTACAGAAATCTCATACAATTCACTTCAACACCCATTGTTGCATTTATAATTTCTCTTTTGTGGTACGAGCACAAGTCGACATCATAACGTGCTGGTAAAGTCTTGTAACCTAAAAATGATCCCTCACCTTGCGAGGAGGTTTGTGGGGAGTCTTATTGACTATGCTTTGAGCACCTCGACGAATTGTCCAGGACATCCCTTGATGCAGAAGGATCTTATGTGATAGAATTCAATCAAGCGTAAGGTAAGCTTTCGTGGACCATTCTGTGATGACTTATCGATAGAAGTCTGGTTTGGCAGCATTCACGCCGTATTCGCTTAAAGCATTGCTCAAATCTTCCATGGTAAGAACAATCTTGCCTTGTTGATGGCCAGCATTAAAATGCAGCTGTGGCTGCAGCTGCTCAGTTGCATTGTCGACGCCTGTGCCAGTTCCAGTACTCAGTTGATTAGCAAATTGTTGCCCTTGTAAAAGCTGTTTAGCCCTCACTTGAGGATTAGAAGAGTTGTAAACAGCTGACGAGCTTCTTATTCTTGAGTACTCATAAGCGTCCTGAGCAATGTCAGAGATGAACTTTTGTGTGGCAAGGGCTAGTAGCCTTTTGACTCTGACATCAGCCGTTTCGAAACCATTCCGAGCAAGATAGTAATCCGTGACAGCATCAGGAATAATAGGCAGAAAGTCTTTATCCATCAATTCTAGCATCTCTTGTAAGCTTTTATCCTTCCTGGCTATGTTCGGGAGGTCATGCAAAGATGTGCTAGTCTTGGGTTCATTATTGGCAAGATTCTCTTCGTTTTTTGTGGGTTCATCAAACCGACCCACCAACTCTGTATCCGCATCATCAAACTCTTCATCATCAACTCTATCTATTGCCTCATTTCTGGCCTCGCTAGATTCTTCCATATCTGACATTGATTGATAAAACTCGACCTCAAGTTGAATTGTTTGCGTAGAACTGGGGCACGGGTGTCTCATGCCTAGAGAGTTCTCCTATGAGAATTGAACTTACAAGCTAATAATGTTTTCAAGGAGTCTTTTTTTTTTTTTTTGTAAAATTCACAAAAAAATTGATCTGACTAAATGGAAAGCCCTATGTAAGTCTACTTAGAGAAAAACCATCTTATCAGCTTCCAGACTAGCACCCCTTGACCACACCTGTGAACTTCGACGTCCCCCTGTGTCGCCACTAGGGCCCTAGCCTGCCATCTCAGAGACAGTGATAATTATGAAAACGATTTATTTTGGTGAATGTCGGTAAAAGTTACTTCAGGTAATACGTGTAAAGTAACACATCTTTTGACCATTCCTCAATTGTTCGCAATAACGAAATACAGTAGCGAGAATGTCGGATAACTGCAAAAGTACTTTTCAATCTTAAAAATCAAAAAAGAACAACTCAAAAATACTTTTTCAAAAACTGGCTCTGTATTAGCTATCGCTTGACTCAAATCAAATGAAATCCCTATAACTCGGCCTCAGTCCCACTCACCTTACATTTGCATACCTACTGGAGTGTGCGGGTAGTCTCAGATATCATTAACATTAGCTGGAAAACAGGAAGATAGGGCTGTACATGTCACAAAACCCATTCGAATCACTCACATTTGGCAACTCGCTTTCCCTTCGCGTGGATGGTGCCATTGGTACAATGTCCCTCTCGCCAAATGGCAGAGATGCTGTTTTGGCGGGGAGAAAGGGTTTATTCATCATCGATTTAGATGATCCATTCATGACCCCGAGATGGCTACATCATATCACCTCTTGGGAAGTCGCCGACGTTCAGTGGTCTCCTCATCACTTTGTTAAACCATCATGGTGCATTTCAACTTCAAACCAGAAGGCCCTCTTGTGGGACTTGGCAAGACCTTCCAACAACGCCATAGCGCATGTTTTACACCGTCACACAAGGGCGATAGCAGACATTAATTTCCACCCTATGGATCCAGAAGTTTTGGCAACATGCTCAATAGATACATTCGTTTATAGCTGGGATATGCGAAGTCCACGACGACCCATTGGTAAATGGGCAGAGTGGCGTGCTGGTGCCACACAAGTGAAATGGAGTCATAATGATCCCCATCAATTGGTATCCAGTCATGACCACAGCTTCTTTTTATGGGACACTAGGAAAGGTGCGGTCCCAGTTCTAAGGGCTGAAAATGCCCACACCGGAAAAATCAACGGACTTGATTTTAGCAGTGCCGACAATAAGCTTACGACATGCTCTAATGATGAGAGCATAAAAGTGTGGGATCTCCTGAACTCTAGTACAGAGAAGATCAAGCCATCCGTTATAATGCAAACCGAGTACCCTGTTGCGAGGGCAAGGTCCTTACCATTTGGCAAAGATGGTTGTTGTGGTATCATGCCGCTCAGAGGAGGCGGAAATGCCATTCATATTATCAACTACCAAGGCGCATTGAACGAGAATGCAGCAACGGGGAAACAGTTCAAATGGATGTAATACCCGATTACTCTTTTCGTGGCCATCAAGGGCCAGTGAAGGACTTTCTTTGGAGAACTCTTCGTTCTAGTTATGCTGGCTTCGAGTCTAACCAGTGCTGGGAGAAATTTCAAATGGTAAGCTGGTCTTCGTATGATTTTGATTTAAAGCTCTGGCCCGATGACTCTGAGATGTATAACATTGCGAATTATAATCCACTGCACCAAAAGCTTTTTAATTCATTAGTCAGAAGCACTGGCGGCTCTGACTCCGAGGATGGTATTGCAGGCAATTCTCCAACCTATTCACCCAATTTAGAGCTAAGCGAGGAGGTATCTCTTAAAAAGTCAGATACATACCGTTACAATACCTATTGCGTTGAACCACTTCTTTCAATGAAGGACTATTACAGAGAATATAACGGGACAGCTTATCCTCCATGGCATACTTCAAAATCATGCAATCACAAGAAAATGCTGATAGAAGTACCCAGCTCAATCATCTTGACTGGATTTCTGGAGTGCGTATGGGTGACACAAGATCGAATGGTCCTGACCAGCACGGGGCGCCCATTTTTGAGAGCTTACTGGGACCCAGGAATCTTGGAGAGGAGGTGAGTATAGTAGGTCACAAGTTCCCAAAGCTCCGTTTCGAGAAAATTTCGGTCTCTACGGGCACCTTGTGATGACTTTTAAAGGCCCACTTCCGAAGATTGAAAGAACTTCCCCAGAAGAGATCAGCGCTAAAGACGCGAGTGACTCGACAACCACGATGATAGAGGACAAACTGGGCCAATCTTCTATATCCAAGGCACCTGCGCGTAATAGTAGCCCCTTGCAACAAGGGAGCAGCAAACCAGCGATTGGAAATAAATCAAATTCATCCGTCAGAGCAGCGGGCTCCAATTTACCGACAAAAGAATCCGTCAATCAGCCCCAGAAATCGATCCTTGGGACTCACGACAGCATAGATGAACTATGGAAAGCCGATCAGGAACAAAGCTTGGCATTTATACGCCTTGAAGTAAAATTCCCCAAAAGCTATCCCCATATTGAAGACGTGGCTTTGAAGAGTCACAAAAGCAAAAAACCACACAAACCCAAGAATCACCGATTGTTGTTTGACATAGAGGAAACTCATGAGATTACCCCCGAGATAAAGCGAACATTACTTGAAGGGTTGAATCAAATAGCAGAGTTTTACACCACAAAATTCGCCAGATTTTGCCTTGAGCCATGCCTCAGGTTTTTGATGGGTGATAGGATCAATTTGAATGAAACAGAATTCATTCGTGAGCTAGAATTAATACCAGAACTGTCATTGGGTGATAATATTATAGAAGTTGGAGATGAGAGCTGGGCGGACGATCTTGTGGACCTCCATAATGCAGCAGGGAGTTCAGTAATCACCACTTCATTCACTTACGAAAGTAAAAAGGGAGAAGAAGGCAAAGAAGAAGAGGATGACGAAAAAGACGAAGAAGCAAATGAAGGAAATAAAGAACGCGAAGAAGAAGACGAAGACGAAGAGGAAGATATAGACTTGATACCAATGGTGGGTGATCATCCACTTCCTCAGCTGACTTCTCGTCAAAACGAAGAATTTAAGAATCCAGCAGATGCAGATCCTTTCAAAGAAAGAATAAAACATGATACAACGCCCCTTCCGAAAGGATGCGGAGCTATTTGGTCTCATAGCGGTCGATTAGTCTGCTTCTTCTTATCACGCGAACACGACGAGAAAGCGAAGAGACAGTCTGATTCTAGGATTCAAAAACGGAGGCCGGATGAACGATACTTTAGCGCGGCCAGAGGTGTAAAAACTATGATGGAGGAAGCTGACCATCTGTCTTCGAATTCAATGATAGATGAAGACTCGGATCACGGTATCTGTCTGGAGGAAGCTGAATCGCTTAGCTCTTCGCTATCGTCTGATGCTAGCTTCAATAATGACTGGGATGAGCTCATAGAGAATGACGTGCCCTCGAAGTCTCGTGTGAGAGGGTTGTTTAGGGAATCTATGAGGGTTGGAGGCGATTTCTTCAGTAATGAAGACCGCAAATCAGGAATAACACGAAGTGCTGGAGGCACAACCTCAAATTACAGATCTTCGACACACGGGGACTGCTCTGTCAAGGAAAAAAGAACCCCAAAATCCTCCAAGGGACAGTACAATCGTATTTTGATTGCTGACTTCTCCCACCTTATTCCCGAAAAGGTCGAACTTGCCTTATCCTATCGGGTTTTAGGGACACACCGGAGAGTTTAGCAAGACATAATCATGAAGTGGCTCAATTTCATGGCTTTTTTGAACTCAGCGAGGCTTGGAAGCTAATAGAATTAATTCTTATCAAGAAGCTCCCTCAAGTCGAAAGAATCGGTAAACCTGATGTTCCCGTTCCCTCAGATTCGGGTATCTTTTATTGGGGAAATCATCCTTATGGACATACATGGCTTGTAAAAAGTTTGTTTGACTATTTTGAAAGAAATAATGATCTACAGATGCTAGCAATGATGTCGTGCGTTCTTCATGAGAATATAACCAATCTTAAGGAATGCAACGAGGAAAAGATGCAAGCTTTACCTTTAAATACACCTTACAACGTTGTTCCAAACCATTCAGACCACAAGATTTCGAGGCAATTGGTCGCGTCATCAGATCGTGAAAGTCATGGAGGCACCGCGCTGTTGTTTCAACTGACGCTTTCTGATAGAGGACTTGTGCGGAAGCCCTCGAATACGAATTATCGCAATGATCACATCTTTCAAACCACTTTCAGTTCGAACGATGTACTTCCGTCTAGGGCATGGTCTACCACACCCGTCACAACATACCAATCCCTCAATGGCATAGATGGTTCACCAGACCTGCTTTATTCAAAGAAGCTCTTAGTTGATAGCCCACAAAGACAAGCGAAATATTCGTCAAGGAAAGCTCCCAGGCCACTGACCAATAGGGGTATCTTGTCTTCGCCTTCATGCTTGCAGTCTCGAAATGGACCACGCCAGCCCCCGACAATAACTATCTCAATGAAAAACTTTGAGCTGCTCGACGTTTTTGATGATCTGTTCACAGTTTCACTTCTCAGTGAAGTAAGTGACAGAAAGATGGCGTACTATAGAGAGCAATACGCAGAGATCTTGTATTCCTGGGGGCTACTTTATAATAGGGTGAAGATTTTAAAGTTTAATTACACCCTGGAAGAAAAGGCGAATAACTCGAGCAAGTTTCCACACAAATGTGAATACGGTCTACGATTTAGGAAATCTTTGAGTACTTCACAGCTGTTATTGACTCCCCTTACGTCGATCAAAACTGCTAGAGCCAGTGCATGGAACACGAAGAAGCGAAATGACCTACAAACTTGCGCTCTATGCTCTATGATTGTAAGCAAGCGTGCACTGGTTTGCACGAATTGTGAACATATTTTACATCCGGAGTGTGCTCTGATCTGGTGGCTTCTGGATGCCAGCAACTTGGAATGCCCCACGGGATGCGGTTGCGATTGCTTAGACCATGGTATCCAAGACTGATACCACAGTGTCACCTCATGGTTTCCTTGTTGCAGTAATTTGATGTTTGAGCTTTTCATCCCATTCTATCACCAAATCACTTATGTAAGCGGCCACATCCTCAGCACCCGTGCTCTCTATCTCTGCACTGGTTGTGAATTCGCGTCCCCAACGATTACAAGCTGAAACCCACTTAACGGACTGATCACCACCTTTCAAAGCTGCAGTGACTGGGGCATTTGCAGCCGTATAGCCTGAAATGTTGTGAATCTCCGAACCCATCAAGCGTGCAATGTAAAAAAGAAGCATCATTCCGTAGTATGTGAAGATATTCAAAAACTCAAAGAATGAAAAACTCGTGAAAATTCCAGGGTGGACAACATAGGATCCTATATCAAACTCCCTCAAAAGGTCTTTGTATGTTCCACAATGCAACAAGTCCATCAACCTTTTTGAACCCTCATAAGGCTCAGGGGACCTCAATAACTGGAGATCATCGAATGAGAGACACTTGGGGTTGGCCATGACCGAAGATATCCAAACCACGCGGCCACCATTTTTTAAAAGATGCCGTATTTTGTATAAGAGGTAGTAAGGCCCGAAAACATTAGCTTGAAAAAGCATTCCCATTCCATCTGTAGATTTCACGCCAACTCTTTGCAACTTGTAAGTGGGAAAAGTTACTGCATCAAGTATGTTTGTAAAAACGGCTTTGGTGGCTTGCACCCAATCTATACCACTGTAGACACCGAGTGCTGCGTTGATGAAGAGATAATCAATTTTGCTGAACTTTTTATTCAATTCATGAATAGCACTCAAGACCGATACCATATTGGCGAAATCAACGAGAAGATAATCAAACTCTAGTTCACCTTTTCTCGTAGGATATTTCTCTCGATAATATTCTCGTATCTGCGTTATAACATCTTTGACTCGAGGCAATGTCCTCGACGTAACTATAAGGGTCACATTTGTTTCATCGGGAAGCAGGTCGAGTAGGCGATATGCGATGTTGACGCCAAGGTTGGAGGTTGCCCCAGTGATCAAAGCGACTTGCCCTTCTTTCATAGTGGTTGTTCGTAAAAGAAACTACTCATGCGATCGTATAGCCATTGGTGCATCTAGTCACGTGAGTAATGGCGGACATAGGGTCTTTCAAGTTGTAAAATCGGAAGCATCAGTTGTGTGCATTGCATTGCCTTGGGCCATATTGAGGAACATTGACGAATGCAATATTTTTGAAGATGCCTCAGTTTTGGAACAGCTTATATTTCGTAAGGTTAAGAATGAAAAAAAAAAATAACACGACAACTGCAGGACTCGAACCTGCGCGGGCAAAGCCCAAAAGATTTCTAATCTTTCTCCTTAACCACTCGGACAAGTTGCCTGTATGATGAATTTTTGCCTGCAGCACAACTAATTGCTTTAATACATACATGTTTCTATTAGTGAGAATCATTAAGAAAAATTTAAAAAAGGGGCAAACAACTCATGTATATTCAAAAAGTTTCTCTTCCGTTCCCAGAAGTCTGTCGCGCCTTTTCGGTAAGGGAAGACATTTGGGTACTTGATTAGTGGGTTGTGTTTCTATAGCGATATAGTTTTGGCTCCTAATGGAGGGTAATCCTGCGTTAGAAGTGTCCTGCTAATACATTCTATTAAAAAAAAAAAAATCTGTTAGACTACTGCCCCAACAATTGAAAAGGGCAATGAATTCAGTTTCGCCGAAGGGTCGATGACATAATATGATTTGAAAAACCAGCAAAGATACATTGTCGCTCGCTATCCACCCCAACTGCTAAGAACAAGGTGTGAAGTCATAGCCACTCTGGTATCTGGTAATTTGAGAGAAGGGTTTTTACTATATAATTTCGGTTTATAGCTTTTAAAGCTGAGGAGTAGGTGAGTGTGCCTTGGTTTCCTTTTTTTTTTTTTTTTTTTTTGACTGATTTCTCTTTATTAGAGTAAAAAACTATATCTCTATAGAAACAACCTCCAATAAGATCTTATTATTCTCAATTTCACGAGACACTCAGGTCAGTTTCCCGAACGTCTCGCCGTGGTTATCGACCCATAGGACATATCTGTCTTACGGCCTTCTTCAACTGACGTATCAGAAGGGGAGGAGGTTGGGGCATTCTTCCCTCGATTCACGGTTTTTTAAATAAGTAGTTCTCACCGTCTTCACAAACCAATTTAGTTTGCGAAAATGTTCAAATGTGAAGTATCAGAAGGGGCGGAAGACGCTACATTGGTTCCTCGAAGCCAATAGGTTTTGTTTGGACGAAGTCATTCTTTCCAGCGTCCTCTTCAATAATAATTGGTAAAAAAGAACAAACTCTCCGGCTATTACTCATCGAGAACTTTCCTAGTATTGTAGATTCAGCAAAGGAAGACTGTCAAATAGCGCACTTCTGATGAGAGATATCAAATTGTGAGGTTAATTTTCAGATTTCGTGGTAATAAAGGACGTGGACCCATCTTATGATTTTAACAAAGTGCATCATGTCCCGGAGATATTTTATTAATTTGTTCACAAAGCGGAATGCAACCAGACCATGCTGTTAAAATGATACGAATCTATTCTAATCAAAGGGCATCATTCATGCCGGGAGGTAGGCGTTCGACACATGAGTTGCGTTTATTTTCCTCGATGTTGTTCGGCTTCCCAAAATTTAACCTAGGAGGTCTCTCAAAACTCATTGTGTTTGATGAGATAAGAATGAATTCTAAAAAGTTCTGTTATCGAAAACTCATAAGACTTTTTATGGTAATACGGTATTAGTAAGATGCCAAAAATCCCGCGCCAAGAAATCATGACATGAGCCGCACCTCTTATGCATATTCACTGCCCCGCGTTGACGCAAGGAGTACTTCTTAAAGCCGCACTTCGGATTATCCCCCACGCAAGAAGTTCATTCCTTGTGTAACAATCGGGTAGACCGGATTTATCGTCTCCTTTTTTTAAATCAAGCCATCACTATGTGCATGTGCATCTTCCCCAGATTTGTCGTGATTCGGAACGTCAGCCCTCCTGCTTTGGGGCAGTTCAATGCACTATGCCCTTATTGCTCAATTATGGAGTTCAGAAGAGAATTCTGAGGCAACCACATGAAGAGACTTCACGTTGACACGAAGAAGTCAAATTTTAACACTATATTCTCTCAAAAGTACAAATCTAAAACCCGTTGAAAACTTTTTCAAAATATATGAAATCTAAATCAAGTATCTGAAGTCATCCCTAACTTCCGATCCGTCATTTCCTTTGCCTAGCTCATTTTCCCAGTTCATGGTTCCATTATCGATTCTTCTGTTCAAAATTTGCAATCTTAACCTTAATGCAACTGCGCAAGCAATTGCAAGTGCGATAAAAACACAATTACATGTGAATGCAACGGTGTAACGTGGAGCAGCAGATGATGGATATAAGTAAGCATTCCAGATCGAAGCTGAGTTCGACAAGCAATTCAACAAAGAAAGTGCGATGGCACGTTTCAATGGTGGACGGGGAACAGAGTTGGACATCCAAGATAAAATTGTGGTGAACGAACAATAGATTGAGGGCACCATGATTACCATAGCAAAGTATCGCGCACCGGTATTCAAGGTAGACACTGAAATAATAAACGATGCCAATGCAATAAGTAGAGGGGAAACAACGTGCCAAAAACGTTCTCCTGTTTTATCAGCATGAAGTGCCCATATGAAGGTACTTATGACAGCAAGGATATACGGAGGAGCAGTAAGACACAAAGTGATGACACGATCGAAGTTGAGTGTCTCAACAATGGAGGGAAAGAAATTAGTAACACCTGCTGCTGAGACCAACCATGAGAGTATACCGCAACATGCCCAAACTTTAACGTCACAGACAGCCAACTTGAAAGCACCCCAGTATGATTCTTCGTTTGTCTCATCGCTGTCATCTTGTCCTGTTTCGCATCTAATTTTGTATAAAAGGACATCCTTTTCAAAATCATTCAACATTTTTGAGTTGTGAGGCATATCAGGCAAGACTAAGTAAGCCAATGGAGCGACTCCCACTGTAACTCCTCCTTCAATAATGAAAAGCCATCTCCAAGATCTCAACCCATGAAGGTGGTCCATGTTGTCAACAATTCCAGCGGCAATCAAACCTGAAAAGGCACCAGAAAGTAAAGATCCAGAATACAACAAGGAATTTCTGAAGCCAAGCTGCTTTCTTGTATACCAACAGGACAACACATAGAGACAACTGCCGAAAAAACCAGCTTCAACAAATCCCAACACTAAACGCACGGCAAGTAGTCCACCAAAGCCCTGGACGGCAGCAGTACAGAGGGAAATTGTACCCAAGCACCCATGATTGAGGCAAGAAAAATTGATGGTTTTTTGAACTTGTTCAAAAACATGTTAGCAGGAATTTGCATAAGAATATAACCAACGAAAAGAATGGAGATACAAGTCTCATATTGGTTACCCTTCAAATTCAAATCCTCTTCCAATGCACCTAGTCTAGCGCTTGCAATGTTATTTCGGTCAAGATAGTTTAAAATGTACAAAAACACCAACATAGGAATCAATCTCAAGTCGACTTTTCGAGTAATCTTCTTGTGGAATTTATCGATCTCTTCATCGCTGTACTGCTTTAACAGTTCAGGTTTTTCAACCTCAAAAAAATCCCTTGACTTTGTGCCGCTTTCAATATTGCTTTCAATATGTGACACTTCAGATTTCTCCACTTCAGTCTTTTCAAGTTTATCCATTTCACTTTCTCGCAGTCGATTTCAGTCCTTGATCGTATCGTAAGAGATTCTTTTTAGAATTCTTCTTTTTTTTTGTTGGCTCAAGAATAAGAGAGGATCTACGCAATTTATACCCTGAATTTCAGACCGACTCTCGGGCGATGGAGTCAACACCCAACATCTTGCAGGGTTTGGCGCAGCCTGCCAAACGCGGGTAAATATATGCCGGAAAAAGTTATTGTAGCGGGGATATGTGGGGACAAGGTGGGGCAGATGCATAAATGCGTGGCAACGTTCTGACATTTCCTGTCACTAAATCGGCTCAAGAGAAGAGTTGGTGAGCTTACTTGCATTTGCGTTTTCAAAGATTTAGCAAAAAATCTTGACTTGTATAACTTCCACCTGGGAAGTACTGTTCAATTCTCGGGTTACACCGCCTTTGTGACGGCCTTGCTCGGATAAACTGTATTGCAACATCAACTTATGCAAAACTATGCAGTATGTGGGGGCACTTCGCAAGCTGGTGGCAACGTACCTTGCTACCTTTGGCAAGGCGGGAAAGGATTGTTCCGCGAATTCGAAGGCCAAAAACATATTTACAGAAATAGTCGGGACTTTGAGCTTCCTTTTGCAGGCTGTTTTCTTAAGCAGAGGAGTAGGAGGTTGAGACTAGTACGGCACGTTTTTCTTAGTGACTGAAAATGTACATAACGTGAGAGATGATGCAGCAGCCAACTCTAGTTTTGCTTTCCGGATATGCAGACATGGGTTTTTCAAGGAGCAAAACAAAATCTAGAGCTTGAACCTAGTTGCCTTGTTTACAACTTGCTTGTTCCTCGAGTGATTGAGAGATGAAAGGTCCATAGTGTCAAACTGTACTCAGAAGAAATTCTCTTATAGAAGCGCGTGCAATTTTTTTTAAAAATTAGGAATTTTGTGATTCGCGTGAAGTATTTGACAGTGGGACATGGTGCCGTTTGAGCAGCTCTTCCCTATTCGCAGTCGAGTCACGTGTAAGTACTCCTGAAGCTTCATGTTAACTAGACTGACCTGTATGGCGACAGATTACTCTCAAACATCCCAAGAAGCTAGGCCTGAGCAATACTCATTTTGGTCACCAGTGGCAGTTACTTAAATATTCGCGAAACCTCAAGGACGAATTATGCGAGACCTTTCGGACAATCAAAGTGCCGAGCAACATCATGAATGTAATGATGAATCGCAAAAGAACAGACATTCGGAACCAAATGAAGACGATAATGATGGTGTTTTGCAAGACTTTGCAGGAGTCCAGGTAGGTCAAGACTTGGACGAAGAACATGAGGGATTTCACGAGAGTAGCAGCGACGGAGATGAGTCGGTTCGCGAGTTTACCGCTACTATCAGTCCATCTAACCATACGAGCGGCCTTAGAAGTCATCGTGACCTAATACGTGAGGTTGTCGGACAAGAAAGAACACATTCCGGTACTAACCTCATTGAAGTCGTGCAAAGGTTGGTAGGGAATATTGAAGGGTCACCATTTAGCAGACAACTGACGGAGTTCGAAAATCTTATTTCTAACCTTTCACAGCGTGACGACCCTTTTATAGTATTAGAATCGTTGAATGAGCTCTCAGAGAGGCTTCTCATGATGAATGGTATAACTGCTGAGCGTTTAATACCTTCTAACAAATTTGCACGAGCCTTGGTTGACATTTTGAGGGAACCACTTTTCGAGGATCATCTAGAGTTGCATCTAGTGACTTGTCGTTGCCTTTTCAACTTTTTGGAGGTCAACCAAGATTTTATTCATGATGCACTTACTAATGGAGCAGTAGAAGTACTCATCATTCAGCTTCTCGACATCAAGTATATCGATCTCACGGAGCAGGCTCTCCAAGCATTAGAAATGATTTCGAGAGAACGAATCTCTCACAACTTGATCGTATCAAATGATGGGCTTTTGGCCTGTGTTCAAAATCTCGACTTTCTAACAATTCATGCGCAGCGGAAATGTCTTTTTATTATATCAAATTCCTGTCTCAACATCAGTGAGAGTAACTTTCAGAAGGTGAAGGATATCATTCATCAACTTTTTGATGTTGTGAAAGGTAACCTGGATGATACTGTCCGAGAACATGCTTGTCTCGCGTTATCGCGGATTGCAATGAGCTTCAAGTATAAACGGCGTTCGCATGAAGAGCTTTTTGCCGATGGACAAATGTTGGATTTAATTTTGAATGTAATCAGTGGCTCATGTGGAGAGGCGAGTAAAGAGACTCTCATGAGTTTCAAAGTGCTGCTAAGTCTTTTAGAATCGCTTCAACTCATGGCATCAACGTCACCGAAGATTTCAGAGATGCTTTTAGGCTTGAATGCGGGTAGGCATTTGTTTTATGCCCTCGAATTTTACAATAAGAAACATGAAAAACGGCCAGGGCTGGATTTGACTTCAGACTCTATAAGGGAGGTTTCTTACACTTCGGTGATGGCAGCACCGAAAGAAATTTTACTCAATATTCTTCGGTTCATTGGAGCATTAACTCCAACGACTTATGATCTTAGTGAATCTCCCTTTGTGTTTATTCCCATCAACAGAGATGAACGGGGGACCATATCAAAAGAAACTCCGACTCATCACCAAAGAACTATTGATGAAACCGAAACTTTCTTACACTGGGCTTGGCCAGTTGTACTCAAAGTGTTCCTCGCAAGCATGGAATCCGAAATCCGAAAAATGGCCCTCATCAATATGTTCAGAGTGTTAACCTACATTGATTCTGAAAATCTGATTCTAGTGACACATATGAGCGAACTTACATCCATAATCGCATCTCTCGTTAGTGCTGCAAAGTCTGATTTACTATCAGGCATTGGTTTGGAATCTTTGAACAACTCAACAATATCCAATATTATACCTTCGGTGGCGATAATTAATTGTGTCTTCGAAAAAGAGTTCTTGAACTGTCTCCTCAGCCTCAAGAAAGAGGGGGTTTTTAAAGACATCGAATATATTGCCGAGAGATTGAATTCATTTATTTTGGATATCAACGGCAATTACCTTGAGAACGATAGGGTTCCCTCATTGGCAAGGTTTTCGACGTTTGCAAATCCTGAATTGGACTTCTCACGTCTTTCTGATCAGCTCCCCAAAACAGCTCTTCTTCTGAGAGCTAAAAAGGGATTAGATCAATTTCGACGGATTTCAAATGACCTCGTTTTAAATTTGTCGGGAGATGAATCAACATCAGGATCAGATCTCTCAAGAAGTGTCAATCTTGTTTTGAATACAGAGAGCCCCGACCCACTTCATTGCGAAACGCTTTGGAATCAATTGCAAGATTTGCTCCTACACGACACGACTAATTTCACAAGTTATGAACTCGTAACACTGGGTGTAAATGAGGTTTTTCTGTCACATTTCATGAACCCTAATAACGTCGATGTCCTTCACACGCCTTTAGGGCGCTTTTTTTATTCTGTCATCCTCCAAAATTCTAAAGCCATTAGAAGGCTTATCGACCTATTTTTGGAGGCATTGCTGCGTGCTGAGTCGTTCGAGGTCATTTCTGTCACCGACAAAAGTCCAAGTGGAAGCCCTAGGCATGCTTCTAATTTAGCCCGTCAGATTCGGTTGCGTTTAGTTCCACATACAAAAGCGTCTAAAATACCAGTTGAAGCAATGACGATCTGTGTCCAAGCGGTAGCAACTTTCCGCTCCATTGAATCATTCCTCATTCAAAGAACTGAACAGGGTTGTCAATCAACTCCATCGAACGTCTTGATAAACGAACGAACTTCACACGAGAATGAGTGCTTATTCTATTTGAATGGAGATGTTGTGCCAAGCGATACCACCATTTTCGGGGCTATCTTCGCTTCTGCTAATACAAAGGATGATTTATGGTCTCAGATCCATCAAATTGCTTACGAAATTCGGCCTTCGAACGGTACCCAAATAGTAAAACCTCATCGTCTACAAGAAAGATGGTCTGAACGTGCAACTGATATGGTATCCTCACCCATACTCAATGCACTTCAAACGATCTACAAAATGAATACAAGGGCTAGGCAAGAGGGATTGTTTCATCTACCAGACGAGGCCTTTTGTTGTTGGAAGCTCACTGTAAAACTTCGGAGACAGTTGGAAGAAGTTCTCGTGGTTGCCAGTGGAGCTCAACCTTCATGGAGTTTGGCTTTGACCCGAACTTTTCCCTTCCTTTTTCCTTTAGAATTGAGAATATTGTTTTTGAGAAGTACATCGTTTGGATACTCAAGGCTTATCCATTATTGGCAAGATGCAGCGGACCACGAACTTTATTCGTCAAACAGTGAGATAGAGTCCGTCTTTTCAAACAGAAATCTACAGCTAGGCCGCATCAGTCGCCAAAAGGTTCGCATCTCAAGATTTAATCTTATGTCCAGTGCGCTCAACGTCTTGAAAAAGTTCGGTTCATCACCTGAAATTCTTGAAGTTGAATATTTTGATGAGGTAGGATCCGGCCTTGGGCCAACCCTTGAGTTTTATTCATCCGTGTCTCATGAATTCCAAAGAAGTGATTTGAACATGTGGCGAGCTTCGGGAACTCGTATTTCGATAGAGCCAGGTCATTTTGTTGACTCAGAAAATGGTCTTTTTCCAAAACCCTTTGTCTCGACCCAGCATAACTCGCAATTCAAGAAGAAAATCGATAATCTCTTTTATTTTTTGGGAGTGTTTATGGCTAGAGCGTTATTTGATTGTCGTATCGTGGATATCGATTTAAACCCTCAATTTTATCGAATGCTAATTGCAAAGTCCACAATAAAGGACTGGACTTATGCCCCCACATTGACAGATCTTCTCGAGGTTGACCCTTCCTTGTTCAGGAGCTTGAAACTGTTACTCGAGATGAGTACATCAAAGCATGAAGAGACGGATCCTATTGAAGAGATGGAACTTTACTTTGTTCTTCAAGATGATGCAAGCTATGAATTAGTTCCCAATGGTGCGAATTTAAAAGTGACTGGACGCAACGTTCATGACTATGTTCACGCGATGATCAATGCTGTTCTCAAGGATGGTATTTTGTGTCAAATACAGAAGTTCGCTGAAGGCTTCTCGACAGTTTTTCCGATTCAGTCATTAATGGTATTTTATCCGGAAGAATTGCGAAAGATTTTTGGTGCAATCGAGGAAGACTGGTCAGAAAGAAACATCTTTGACGCCATAGAGGCGAACCATGGCTACACAAACTCATCTAAGTCAGTAATTCGTCTTGTCCAGGTGATCTCCAACTTCGATGAAGTTCATCGCCGCCAATTTTTGCGTTTTCTCACAGGAGCACTGAAGCTTCCCATCGGTGGGTTCAAATGTTTGCATCCAAGATTTACTGTGGTGAGAAAAGACCCGGAAAGTGGGCTCACAAGTGATGACTACTTGCCCTCAGTAATGACTTGTGCACTGTACCTAAAGCTTCCCGATTATAGTCTGAGAGATATAATGGAATCTCAGTTATTACGAGCTATGTCAGAGGGAGCTAACTCGTTCCATTTGTCGTGATGTTTATGTACGCAATACAATCAGTAAGTATCTACTTGGTTTGACACAAAGTTTCTGTTACAAAATTACAATTTGTAAATCTAGCTCAGAGGCTTCACTGATCCGTAAAATTATGTGGAAGTTTTAGAAGTTGTACTGCACCGACTACTCCGTGTGCGCAACTGATCATTTCACAGTGAACACCTCAATCCCCACTATAATGCAATTAGACACGTTGATTAAAGATTTGGTTTCGACAGCTCCACCCAGTGAAATTAGGAAAGTGAAAACTGACTTGTCGGCTATCGTACCTAAAGATGGGAATTCAATCGTGGATCGTGAAATTGCAGAATATCTTGAGTTTGAGGGCCACGCGACCGAAAGCTCTATCTGTTCGAAATTTCTGAGAGAGCCGGAGACAGGAAAATTCATAGACTACAAAGCGAACAAAAAGTTTTACTACGATTTTGGCAAAGAGGAGGCTTCAGATTTCGAAAGTTTTAAGCCTGAATATCGCCCTTCTTATTATGAAGAACTCGTCGACCTCCTTGACACTTACTCAAAGGGTCATTATCCATCAAAATATCAATTCAGCGTGACACCTTTAAATGACAAAGTCCAAATTTTTATTTTAAGTGAGAAAAGTGAGCCATCCAATTTTTACAGTGGGCGTTGGAAGTCCACATTCACTATAGAGGGATCAAAGATACACGCTGAAGTTGGGACAGATATTCATTACTATGAAGAGGGAAACGTGAGACTTCACTCCAATGATTCATTTGACGAGAATCTCACCTCTGTTAATGCAGAAGCGATCCATGAAATAATCAGACGTACGGAGGATCGGTTGACTTTGCAGATAGTCCAACAATTCGATGAATTGAACAAAAATCATTTCAAACACTTACGAAGATTGCTTCCTGTCACTAAATCAAAAGTCAATTGGGGCAAGGCAATTGGAAATTATAAATTGGGATCAAATGTGGCAGAGCGCACATGAACCTTTATCATCTGTCAATAATATACCTTGTAGATCATCCAAATCACAAAAAAAAGTAGCAATATTAGACCGACGATACGACTAAGATTTGAATTGCGTCTCATGGTTGTTGAAAGATCATTACTGCTTCGTTTGACCCGTGTCCACAACTGTGAGAAATTGTCACTTAAAGAGTCTAAGATATTCAGTTCAGATCGTATGCCACCTTGTATGTCATGCTCGACGGTATTTCTGAATTGACTAAGCGTATCAGCTAGTTGATTGAATCTTTCATTATTCTCTTGCTCCCTGTGACCGTACAAATTCGACATCGAGGCGTTGGTAATTCCCGCAAGAAATTCTGCGAACTAAGATCAATGTGCAGAAGTTGAGAACAGAGATATTTCCGCTCATCTATGTAGATCCTTTATATACTACCTACCGACTAAAATGAGGCCTATCAACTCCTTGATTACCAAATCCACTGCTCGTCAGCTGTTGTTGCAACGCTGGCTCGACAAATCTAGTTCCCGAGGGATAAGGAAGACTGTCAGATGCTCGAAATTCTCCACTGTGATGTACCACTTTATCAATCAATGAGTCGTAAAAGTAAGTGGCCTTACTCGTACGATCATGAAGTACTGTAAGTTCGTCTCTCCGAGTGCCGTATTTCTCAATAGCCTTTGCTAATGATGGTCTTAAGGGAGTATGTCATTGTACAATTCTGTGACCCTATCTTCGTCTAAGGTCAAAGGATCCGATGAGATAAGAGCAAGAAGCTCATCAATCTTTCGTTGCTCAACTTTCAGCAACCTCTCCTCCACAGACGCTTCTCGCGCTGCTTCCTCTGGTGTTTTGCTTACGACGGGGGTCACATAATTTAGAGGAAAAATACCAATCTTTCCATTAGGAAGGGCACCTCTCCACCAGTCACGGTAAACAGATTCCACAACAATAATAATATCACCTTTCTTAAACGAGAGCTCGTCTGGCTCGTAGGAAATGAGGTCATAGAGAGCGCGAACCTTTTTGACATTGGCGATCGTCATGGGCTCCAACCTATCTTTCAGCACCTTCTCACGGCTTTCGTGGGCATGTCTGCAACATCATTCTTTATGTTAATTTTTCTTACGGTCTGCTCTCGTTCATATTCTTGTACCGATAATTGTAGCGCTCGTTCGAGCTCTTGCTCTTCCTGCTCCTTGACTTTTCCAGGTATTGCTGTTTTAGCTGGCTTAGACGGTGCCCCTTTGCAATACTGAGGATATTTTGTTTTCACAGTTTGTAGCGCATCTTGTATCGGCCTTAAGGATGGATCGTTTTTAAATGTCATATTGAGATGGGCAATTACTTCTGCGATCCGTACCTTAACTTGCTTGTGAACTTTCTTGTCAGACAATTTGCTCAAAACACTCTCCTGAAGAAAGCAAGTTGAGGCAATTTCCTGTTGCAACCGTGAGCCGCAATTCTCAGCTATGGCAACAATGAGAGAGAGTGTTCTGAATAAAGTATTCGCATCCCTTGTGGAGAGTCGACTTCTGATGAAATTAATAGCATCCTTTGAATTTTTTTCAGGATCCTTGGATATAGTGTCACACACATCGAGAATTAACTGCCAATTATCGTCGGTCAATGTACAATCGGTGGCTTTGTCAATTTGTGTTTTCAAAGAAGACATGGCTATAAGTAGTCAGTGTTGTGGCAATATCGCGCAGCAGAAAGTCACGGAGGAATCTCTACCTACATGGTGGGATCACAAAATGTAACACGGCTTCGACACTGACTCGAAGCGAATTATATACAAAGAATGAGTAACACTCGAAAGTGACACGGGAATAAATCAGCAAACAAACAAAAAAAAAATTGCTGGAAAAAATAAAATATATAAAGTAAAAGATCTGGCTCAAATATTGTAGAATGAGTTAGGGGCTATGTGGCGCGTGAGGCCGCTAAAGCTGGAATGGTACTGTTCACGACTACACCAATACACCAGTTGATGCTCCGAACGTCTCCCAAACTTTTTTTTATTCGAAATCACGCAAACGGTCATCATCCGTGAAAAGAACAGAATTCGTGAAAACAATACGAACCTAACGACGACAGTTTTTCACATCCTCGAAGAATTACCAACAGTATTGACAACAAAATGAGCACATCGTCGTCTCCCAGACCAACCCGCCGAAGAAGAGGCTCCTCGGTTGGGAACATTAATGTGGGTGATACCTCAGCTCCAGGGTTTTCTACTATGAAACTCACAGCTTCGCAAAGACAGAAGCTGAATCAACGGGTGAGAGCTTTGAGCGACGAATCCAGAACCGATGTGGCCATTGTACGCAAAATGTTCGTGGCTTTCAAGGAATTGAGTTTTAGGCATACTTGGATTAATCCATTTATTGTCTTGAGTGTATTCTTCGTGGCATACTTTGGTACGAACGATGATAGCTCCCTCCACCAAACTTTGGAGAAACTAATCAAGCCCTCTTATCATATCGAGGGTACGGATCAGTATGGAAAAGGCGTGAATGATTTCTATTTCGTGGGATTCTACGCCCTTTTCTTTACATTTCTCAGAGAATTCATGATGTGTGTGGTTTTGAGGCCGCTTGCTGGATTATTGGGTGTTACGAGACCACACAAAGTCAACAGGTTCATGGAACAAAGTTACGCGATGTTCTACTATGGTCTTTCTGGCCCATATGGACTATATGTGATGAGCACCATGCCGCTTTGGTTTTTTGAAACCACTCCTTTGTATGAAAATTACCCTCACAAAACTCATGATTGGCTTTTTAAGGTATACTACCTTGGACAAGCGGCATTTTGGGTTCAACAATCTGTCGTTCTAGTTTTACAACTTGAAAAGCCCAGAAAAGACTTTCACGAACTAATTCTTCATCACATCATCACAATCGCTCTCATCTGGTTGTCTTATCGTTTTCATTTTACATGGATGGGTATCGAAATCTACGTGACTATGGACGTTTCAGATTTCTTCTTGGCAACCTCCAAAACATTGAACTATCTAGATTCGATTCTCACGGGCCATTCTTGATTGGATTCGTTTTTATCTGGATATATCTCAGACATTATATCAACCTTAGGATTTTGTGGTCCGTGTTGACTGAATTTAGGACTGTCGGTGAGTGGGAGTTAAACTGGGATACTCAACAATACAAGTGTTGGATTTCTCAACCAATTGTTTTTGGATTGATTTTTGCATTACAAATCCTCAATGCGTATTGGTTGTTCCTCATTTTGAGAATTTTGTATCGATATGTTGTTGGCGGGGTAAAGGCGGACGAAAGAAGTGAATCTGAAGATGAAGAGGATGAAGGAACTCTGAAGGATAAGTCGGAATAAGTGAGTGCAAACTTCAGAAAATTAAACATGCTACGTAAAAAATAAAAATAAAATAAAAAAAAAAAAAAAAAAAAAAAAAAAAAAAAAAAAAAAAAAAAAAAATAATCTAAAATTCTGCTTCAGACAGTCTATTTACAAAAATACGCTCAGACCAGAGCAGATGATTTGACCGAAGAAAATTTTGAAAAAGCCCTTTCTCTCTTGAACGCCCTCTTCGGCAGCTCTCGATAGCACGCCCAAAACTAGGGTAATAGCTCTTATTGAGTCATCATTACACGGGATTGGATACGACAAGAGTGACGGCTCCATATCGGTATCTGAGAGACCAATTGTTGGGATACGAGCAATCGTACACTCGTTAATGACATTCCTGTTTTCGACAGGGTTTAAGATAATAACAATGTCCGGCTTGATAGTGCCATCTTGTGAAATGTTCCTCAGGGTGATGTCATCACCCATGTTTACCTCAACTTTTTGGACCCCGCCTAACTGCTTTGTGACCTCCAAGGCATTAGTAATGGTTCCTGGTATCCATCTTCGGGAAACATAATACCCACCACTTCTTTCAGCGGCTCTTTCAAGTGCACGATGTTGTTCTACCAGTCTGCCTGTTCCCACAAATAAGATAAGCCCGCCTTTTCTAGAAACATCTTTGATCACATGTGCTGCTCGTTTGAGTGCCGCCAATGTCTCATTAAGATCGATGAGATGTGTGCCCTGATACTCTCCGAATATGTATGGCTGTGTTGAAGGTCTCCACAGAGATTTAGAATGGCCAAAATGGCAGCCAGCACTCATCAAATGGCTGATAGAAATTTCAGAAATTGGTTGCGGATTCTCCCTCGCGTCCTTAGCTTGATGAACATCCATAAGCTGCGAGCCCAATTTTCCTGACTTTCCGGTATGAATCAAATGCCTGAGGAAAAGTTCTGAATCTGAATACGGTTTGTAATCTGGTGTTGGCCTTAAGTTGGGGAAGTTCGATCCCTCAGTTTTCGTAGTGGTCTGTATTTTCTGCGATAATGATGCAGCGTCTCCTCTCGACTCCGGATAGCTTCCTGTGATTCTTTAATCCAGGGCCTGTTCGAAATTTTGAAAGACGGGAGTCTCAATTTATTGGAGAGCAAATCTTCTATTTCGCTATCAAGTTGCTGAAATTTTGCTGAGGTAGAGACTTCACTGCTGCGGTAAGAACTCTGTGGAATAGCAACATCCCATGGAGTTGTATTCACAGAAGAAATCCTTGCCTGTGCTCTACCTCGTGCTTCTCTAGCAGCTTTCTCTCGAGCTTTCGCTTCCTCTTCTTTGGCAAAAGCATCTGCTAAAGCTTTTTCTCGAATTTGCTTCTGCTGTAAAGCATCAAAAGACAAAAACTGTCTAGCCTCAAAGCTTCTAGCAATGAAGCTAGCTTTGAAGAGAGAGTGCTTGAGGCTGTCAACACCACCTTTTGTATTCCTCATCTTGGTTGACCGACAGAGAAACGCCAAAATTTTTGTTCTAATTTTTATGTCACGTGCAAAAAATTACTCTCACGGATTGCCATCGCACTCTTGCAACGACGAAATGGCTTAAGACCAACTTAGTAAACATTTCAGCAATGGAGACCTCAAGATTGATACAATTGTTCTGTAAGAAGAACAATTTCATTGCTATTCATCATGAGTTGTTATCCAAAAGCTCAGACTTACTCCCGCCTGCTTCGTGCTCGATTGGTGAAATCAATACACTGAAAGGCATTTCAGTACATTTATTCGAAAGCATCAAAGAAGCCTCTACGGCTCTCGTAGAAATGATTCTAATTCAGCGTGAGCGCTACCATTTTTATATTTTCGCAGATTCGACATCACTAAAAAATAGGCAGTTTATCTGTTTTGAAAATTTATGCCGTTTGATAACTTTTCATGGTGTGGTCATTCTGATAATCAAAAATTAATTGAATTACATAAATTACTTATGATAGTTCCTGAAGAATTCAATACAGTGAGTAAAAGATTACTAATTTTTATCTTCTTCCTCCTGATGCTCCTCGGAAACTTCTCCCAGCACTTCAGATGGATCAGCTGAGCCCAATTGACTGGCTAATGCGCTGAGATCTGGACCACCAGCTCCACCAGCTCCACCAGCTCCGGCGCCGGCCAAAAGTTGCGAGAAGTCCAAATCTCCCGCACCTCCAGGTCCTCCTTGGCCTCCCATCATGTTGGCCATATCCATGTTTCCATCATCAGCCTGCTCATCCTGCTCGTCTTCGTCAACCCATTTGTCAAAATCAGTCTTGATGTAATGGAGCTTTAATTTTTCTTTCAACAATCTTGGCCAGTATTCGGCCTTTGGCTCCGCTTTTCGAATTATGAAGGTAATATGATTACCGGCTTCATTCCAATGGGAGTTTTCTGGTTCGATCTTATCGAATAATTCCAAGTCTAATTCATACGTGTCGCTGCCATCATCGGTTTTGGCAGTAAATTTGAGTGCATCGGAGGTGAGATCTATCTTTGAATCTTGTGGATCTTGCGCCTCAATGGTGATAAACAATATGTTTTTCTCGGGTTCGGTTTCGCTCGAGCGCTGAGCCCACGTCACAACTGGATGAACGACCATGATGTAGTATTACTCTTTCTCAATTAGTGACACTGAGTGCTCAATTTATATTTCGAGAACCTTCTGGCACGTGATCCTCAAGTTTTTTACCAACGACACTTTTTATACTAAAATGAACTAAATTTTAGGCCGGTCATAGCTTCTTTATGTTCTCGACCTCCCTCCCCCCTCCTCCCCCAAGTCGATCATTTTTGGTCTCTCGCGATACTGGAATATCAGGCCGTCTGTTACCCCAGTTTGTGTCGCACCCATCCTCCACATAGAGATACTCAGAAGGTGTACCTGATAGTCTTATCAACATATCCAATGCTTCATAGACTTCCCTTGGAAATCCAAGTGCTTCTTCTCAAATCCTGTCCTGGAAGCTCCCTCAAGCATGTCAACTCCCATTTTTACTTTCTTTATAATGATTTGTATTTCGAGAAGCTAATCATCACATTTGGCGAAGATGTAGTAGACATAATTGCCAAAGTTTACCCTTGGCTCAGAACTTACATCATGACACTAGATGCTTTCCGAAAAACCTCCAGAGAAGTCATTTCCAAGAGATTGAAACTAGTCGATTATTACGGCACCTGCAAGAGCCCAACTGAAATCATCGAGTCGATGTATGTTAAGGACTCTTGGAAATATGTCTATTCATTGTTCAAGAACAAGCGATTATTTGCCGAGTATTCTGATTATCAAATTGATGAGCCAACAAACTATATTTACAATCATTATGTGGAGATAAACCGATCATATCTCCTATCATACAGAAAGGAAATATGGTTAGCGCCCGGAACATATAACCTAAACGTCGGCTTGGTTGTCAAGTCAGGAAGTGGTCTAGGAACTACTAAGTTTGACATCAAATATCAAGATACGAATGGGGAGGATATAGTTCAAACTTTTTTCCCTCCAACGAATATCAACGAGATTCTTCCAAAGAAGCAATTCTGCTTTCTCAAAGTTGGTGAATTTCGAATCAATGCTCCATCGTTGCACGTTCGAAATGAATCTAATCAGCATGGTTTACTCCAAAAAATTGAGCTAGTCATGGAGGAAATAGGCCTTTATCTCAAATCAGGATTCAGAATTTTTTTTATCGACATTTCACAGCCGTCAATGTTATTTAACGATTACGATCTTCTATATTATTCCTGTCAAGAAACCAACTACAAGTATTTCATTAATTTGCCGTTGAAAAATTTTTATAAGGCTTTGAACTTCGTCCAAAACGGGCCATTCCTGAGGGGCCAAGGGCAATCATACGGAAGAGGTGATCCATCGCAAATAGCGGAGCAGTACGACATGAGCTATCCGACAGATTTCAACACGGGCCTTAAGCTGGATGAAGAATGCCTAATGGAGTACGCTCGCTTTTTCTTTCGTAATACTTTCAATCACAGATACTACAAGTTTAATACAGTGTACCAGAGACGACAATTCGTGAATAGGTTTGGTGACTTTGAGCTTGACAATTCTGACAGTATCGCGGAAAAGAAACGCTGTTCGTATGATCGCGAGGGTATCAAATGGAGAATACCAATTGTTGGCGAGCTTTGAAGTAAAAACCGCGCAACTTGGTTTTTTTGAGTGTTGTGCACACTCGTGGAAGATGTATTGCGCGATTTCATTGCCTAAGGCTTGCTCCAATATACATGAGTGTTTGATATGACCTAGACGAAACATGGAAAGGAGCGCTCAATCAGTGAATAGGCTGCTGCAACCCTTTGAGGCGGAATCCTTAGACGACCGCGATAGGCTTGATGAGGTATCGACAGGTCGGGCAAACAATGAACCCTTCAACGATAATGCCTCGACGTCAACCGAAGAAAGCTCAAACAGTAGGCGTCTCGAGAAGACCAACCGAAGAATCATTTTGCAACGGTTTACCGTTTACAATTCCTCGACAACGATGTACATTGTTGGGAGTAATGCAAAAGAAAGCTTATTCCGAATTATCGAGATCAACTCGGACACGAGAACTGGCACGTTGTCCATCATCGAAGATAAGAATTATTTCTACACGAGAAAGGATGTCGTTGAATTGATGAAAGGTTTAGATGATTCGATAGAAGGTGGGATTCATAAAATTGCACAAGCTTATGGGCTCTTGGGGTTCATCAAATTTACAAGCGATTACTATTTATCGATAATCACTAAATGTAGCCAAGTGGCAGTTCTTGGGGGGCATTTTGTTTACCATATCGATGAAACCAAACTTATCCCGCTAAATATTAATTACAAGAGGCCAAATAAATACAGCGATGAGGACCGATTGCTTTCCATTTTCAAATACCTCGATTTGGGTAAAACATTTTACTTCAGCTACACATACGATATAACGAATACCCTCCAGAATAATTTAATGAGACTCCGGAAAAATGAGCGTCATGACTTAGAGCATGGCGAAATGTCTTCCAATTTAAACAACAGATTTGTTTGGAATGGACTTCTCCTCAAGCCTACATACGATACAGATATTGCAACATACGATTGGTTTCAACCTATTATACACGGATTCATTGATCAGGCAAGCATATCCATTTATGGAAGGAAGCTATATATTACAATAATCGCGAGACGCTCGCATCATTTCGCTGGTGCCCGGTTTCTCAAAAGAGGAGTTAACCACAATGGTGACGTGGCCAATGAGGTTGAAACAGAACAAATTGTAAATGACGTGATGACCTCTTCCTTCCATGACCCTAAATTTGGACCATATGCGAATCCAAAAATAACTAGCTACGTGCAACATAGAGGTTCCATTCCGCTTTACTGGACTCAAGATTTGAATCGTCTCCCGAAACCACCAATTGAAATCAATCTTTCAGACCCCTTTTACCAAAGCTCGGCACTTCATTTCAATAACTTGATCGAAAGATATGGCCCTCCCATCGTGATTCTAAATCTAATTAAAACAAAAGAAAAACACCCACGAGAGCTGAAATTGAGTAAACAGCTCGTCAATTGTGTCACTTACTTGAATCAATTCCTTCCTTCGACAAAAAAATTGGATTACTTTTCTTTCGACATGTCAAAGCATTCCAAGAAAAACGCGGATGTGATAGGACCATTACAAACTCTTGCAAACTCTAGTATTCAAAGAACTGGCTTTTTTCAAAATGGGAGGACACTACAGGAAACCAAACTACAACAAGGAATTATTCGAACAAATTGTATCGACTGTTTAGATCGCACCAATGCAGCGCAATTCATTATTTGCAAGGAGGCGCTAGCTCAGCAGCTTAAAAGCCTTGGTTTTATCACGTCGTCAGCTAGCCTTGATTATGACTCAGATTTAATTAATATTTTGACGGAGATGTTTCATGACCATGGCGATACCATTGCTGTGCAATATGGAGGGTCCAATTTGGTAAACACGATGGATTCTTACCGAAGAATCAATCAGTGGAGCTCTCATACCAGGGATATACTAAACAGTATAAAGCGAATTTATTCTAATTCGTTCATTGATGTCATTCGACAAGAAGCCATCAACCTTTTCCTAGGAAACTACACTTATAGGTTAGACAAACCGAAATTATGGGAATTGCAAAATGACTACTACTTGCATAACCAAGGTTTTGTGGATGAGCTTAAAAACAAGTATAGCTACCTTCAGTGGTTCAATGGAGTCGCAATTGCAAGTGATAAAGCTCAACAAATGCATCATCCAAATAATCTGCTTCGTGTTCAACGCATAGAGCTTAATGAGCTATCTGATAACTGGTTTAATGAATGCTACGTTCCTAGAAAATATCAATCATTTTCCTCAATTTTCCAATTTAATATGAACTCAAACGCAAGGTACTTTCCTACAACAACCAACGAGGCCAAGTCATTCGATTATAGCCCATTCGGGGCAAGGAAAGCACGCATTTTGCAAAAGTCAAAATCTTTGGAGCATTTCGATAGCTCAGCAAATCAGAAGCATCCAGAGGACAACGTGACAGAGGCTGTAACGAATGTGACGTCTTTTGAACCTGGAACTTCATTCTCCCACGACTACCATCCTGACATGTTTTCAGCAATCTCATGCCAACTGGGTAACCAGCAAATATTTGTTGATAATTTAGCACTCTCGAAGCCTCTCAAACTGTCTTTGTCCGAACTTTCCCCGGGCACTCCCAAGCTTAATGCTGATCTGCTTCGAAGATATCATACGGCTACCACCCCACCCCGGTTTCACTCCACATTTGATACGTTATCTGAAAAACTTCATACTGAAGATGTTCACGACTATTGGTTTTACTCAAACAATGATCCCAAACCAAGGTATCTTATGGCTACGGAGGAATATATAAGGTAATAAACATGAACTAGACAATTTTAGATGGAGAATACAATAAACCACGATTTACTTCCCTAAAGGCTCAGTGGCAACCTGGACGGACGCAATTATATGTCGTAAGGAACCTATCGTAGTAAGGATATTTACCAACGGACTTTGAACTAAACTCACATATGTGAAGCCATATGAATTTAACCTGAAGACCAAACTCATCAAACCTCGACATGAAACCAAGCAAAAAACAACACCACAACCAGCCTTGCAACAAGGTAGAATCATCACTTTATACGTACAATCGGTATGACAATTATGCACAAACAACATTAATGTAACCACCTCAATAGAATTGCGGGAGATTCCATTTATCTCAATACCATCTATGTAAATATTCGAAATGTAAAAATCCTCAGACACAATATGGGAGGAACCTGATTCCAAACAACCATCACCTTAAATAGAAATAGGTGAGCTTGCTTAAGAACTCTTTATAGATGAAACCACGTCTACGGCAAATGCGACCGCTCGCTTGTAACAAGCTAGCAACAGCGCAAGAAAACAACACCACGAAAATATTCATCAATAAATCATCACAGCACCTACTTCAGGCATCAAACAGACTCGAGATGAGACGTCCTAAAATACAGAATCATTTGGAGAAATATATGTACAGATCTACTATAACTCCGACTTCATCCCGACAGCTTCGCTTGCTAACACAAAACTTTCTCAAAATAGCTATGATTATCAATGTAGGCGAATTTCAGATATATATAGTCCTTGGAAGCAAAATATCCGAAGCTCAACTTATTATATGTGGGTATGATAAAATTGATATTTGCTATGAAATTTCCAGCTCTCCTCAAATTAGGTCGTACCTCACGAAGTGACAAATGAAGAGTCTTTTATAGCATCACGTACCGCGCTCACTAACGTTGTTCATTTTCGGTTGGTGACTTGAATCGATCAAATCCTGAAGCCACCACCTTTGGACTTCATGCTTTTCGACTTATGCGTCTGGTGGAATCAAGCCATTTCCGATTCAAATGCAAGATGCTTACCAAATCGACTCATCATTTTTTTTTTTTGCCATGTCTATTGATCCCCTTGCCCCACCAAATTGAAAGTGCAATGGAATCGGTTCCCGAGGAATTGACATAATATGATTTGCAAACCTCAAAGATACATTGCAGCTCTAGGTAAGAGTAACGCTGAAGTCAATAGCCACTCTGGTATCTGGTATTTTTAGAGAAAGTGTTTAACTAGTAGGTTAATGAGACACCGATCCCCAAGCGACCTTTAACCAACGTCTTCATCAGAATAAAAAAAATCATTCTTGAAATGTGTCCTTATAAAAAACCCTTTGTTAGATCAATGCTGCTTTACTATCGTACTTGAGTAATGGGCGCATGCTCTTTCGCTAATTTGTCACTGGTGCTAGTGCCTACCGACAAAAGCTTCAGCTGAACTGATGCTTGCAAGTTGTAGCAGTGAGTTGTTTCGATCTCGGTTCACTTCTAATTAATTGAACAAAGCTTCCTCTTGGTGAATTTTCTTTTATTTTTCCATTTCGGCTTTGAAACGCCTCTTATGGTGAATCAAGTCATTTATATTTGTGAAAACTTTCTTTCAAAAAAACTGTAGAGGATTCCTATATCTGAATGAAACATAAAACATAGCTCTTTTCATTCTATATTTTTCGTCTTCTTTTCCTTAGGATCTCTCAAGAAGGTCCGAGAAGGAATACCTCCCTCCAAATAAAGCTACATTGTACCAGGACCATAGAACATCTCTTAAAGTGTAATCTTCATACGCTGAATGATTTTCGGATCGCGGCTTTTCTCTCAAGTACGACTAACGTCAGAGAGTCATTTAACCGTTGATTCTTCACAATAGTTACCATGAGAATACGAGAGTATGAATGTTAATATTTCATTAACGCTACAAACTTTATTAGATCTCGAAGCCATAACCTTGTCCATTGGAGCTATTAAAAGCGCCATTCTGCTTCCTCCCTCCGTCTACCAGTAGCACGCCGTTTGCTACCACTGAGATCGTCCACCTCGCGACGCATATTCTCTCGCTTAAGGCGTCTTGAATTGCGCTCTCTCTCGATTTCTCGTTTTTCAATTTCCCAGGGGCTTAAAATCTCGATGAACGGTTCCCAAACAGCATTACCGTTGTGTAGACTGCTGTCAGTACGTATACGTATTGATTTCTCGAAGATGAGTCCCGATAATTGCTGATACCTATTCAAATCGTTATTGTATGCACCTTCAAGAATCTCGCGTTTGAGTCTTAGAATAGTATCATGTAACGAGTGTGCAATCGCTGGCTTAAACTCAAGCGAAAGCCCCAAATCGGAGGCGACAATCTCTGCAAACTCTTCGGGAGAAACCTCGGTCTGTTGCATGTCCCACTCAAATTTGTCTTCATATAGTTTTTTGTCAAGATTCACAGACAACTCGATAATGACGTTGAAGCCAAGAGCTTGCGGAAGCGGGATTTGCGCAATGGCTTGATAGTCCTCAATTTGCTTGTTTATCGATTCAACGATGTCCTGGTGGACATGCGAGGGTAATTCAAGATCAGAAGTGAGTAGTGAGGCAAATTGCTCTGGTGAAACAAGACTCTGATCAACATTCCACATGAAAAAGTCAACAAGTTTCGACGTGCCTGAGTTATACTCGATGTTAAGTTTGATAGGAATCAAAGTCTCGGAGATTTTAGAAGTCACTTGCTGCAATTTCCCTTCGTCTTCAAAACTTGCGGGCCGTGTCAATTTCGCAGGTTTCAATAAGTGTTTGGGCACTGACGTAATCACATGCGTGCTTGCTATCGGTATATTCCCATTCGTTCCATTCTTCTCTTCGTCGTATTCAAAATCGTCATTGATATTGTCAAATTCAGCATAGTTGATCTGTTGGGCATTACGCTTCGCTGATCGTTCTTGGGGAATACTTGTGATAAGCATAGCACTGTCAGGGTCCTTAGAAACTCTAGAGGATATGCCAGAGCTTAACGCCTGGGGCTCGAAGGGGTTTCCATGATACGTCAAAGACATATTATTGAATGTTAGTAGTCTCAAACTGGTTGTTCGACACTTGTAATTGTTATGTGCAGCACCATCTGAACAACAACATGAGAAGCTGTGATCTTTTGAAAGATGTATTAATATCATCGAAATTTGAAACAGTATGCACAATATATGACTTTGAATCTCTTTTCGAAGACTCAACAGAAAAAGAGGCTATTTTTGAGTTATATACGGCTGTGTCAGGCCATTATAACCGTTCCATTGAAGGTGTCGATTCTACGAAGGCAACGAGAGCTTTAAACGAGGTATTTGCTTCGATAGGGACTATCAAGCCACAAGCAGTAAATGTTCCATTACTCGATGTATGTGATAATCTTGAGAAATTGCTTATGAAGACTAATGAGGACCAACTGAGATTGCTGGATTTATCACTCGATCAAGGACGTATATCGTCTGGTTGCTGATATAACTCAAGGACTTATGCTTCTGGGCAATTCTAGTATTTCATCTTCCTTTCCCAACCATCGCCAGATCTCGAACTTCCAGTTGAGGTCCTTTCTGTCTCCTATGAAATATGAGGACTCTATGCCACCATTTGCGTGTGGCCTCAAATATACCAATCGATCGATTCTAGAATGAACTAGGGCCATGCTACACATGATGCAAGGTTCATGTGTGGTGTAAACAATTAATTCCAGGCAAAGATAATGCGGAAGCGATGAAGATTCGTTCGCCAGCCTTTTGAGTCTTTCATATTGAGCAATCTGATCTATAGCCTCCATGACACTGTGTCGTAAGGGGTGCTTTTCACGAGCATCGATAGCAGTAGCCCAAATCTCCATCTCCGACTCCGACTCCTCCTGGTTTTTTTTGGCAATCAAAGTTGCACACCCAAATCCCAGTTCCTTCTTCACTAGCTCTAGGAGAATTTCTATCATATCTTTTTCTTTGGGAATATCGAAACTCGCATTCTTCAAATCTTGGTGGTTTGGGTTACCTTTCCAGGAAATAGGCCAATATAATGCACTCCATTCGAGAGATTCCTCCTTTGTAGAAGGGAGATTGGAAGGAACTTGAATTTTTTGGATTTGTATCTCGGAAGCACCTCTCAGTCCATCAGAAGACTGTTCGAGACAATGGTGCAACTCCTCTTTCGTTGTGAATAGGGCGCATGAAGCGATCAACATCGTGATCTTAGTTTTTCCTTCTGTGAGACTCTGTCGTATTCTTTTGAGGTTAGTGAAAGCAAAGGGATCCTCACCATTCACATGGCAAGATATGAAGCTCAACATTTTTTTAATGTCTTGTGGTTGAACATTGCAAGTCCAAGCATCCACCAAGTCAGGAGCCACAGTTCCGGTATTGGATATTCTTATTTGTTTAAAAAGGTCATCAATTGTATTATTTTGTAAGTCTACCTTGTGCGGTGTTCTGTTAGATAGCATATTCTGTGATTTCTTTCACAGTTTCCGTCTATTTCGCGAACAGTGTAGAAAACGCGATACACAATGTCCATCACTACTGGGCAAACCCTATGGTTGTATCTTACGACAATTTATAAGTATCCTTACCAAGCAAGTGAAATTGACAACCATGAGCAAACATTTTTAGACTTCTTGAAGACCACTACCATTCATCGTAAGCGTGGCTGCATTGACGCAAAAGCTAGGCAAGATACATCATGTTTCGAGATTGAGGATACGACAACATTTGTCATTAACTTAATCCAAAATTTTATTCTGAATGGGATTGATTCATCAGAGCCATATCTCAGTGTGGAACATCATGAAAAGGGCTACCCGACTCTTGATTTTCTGATAGATTGTGTACGCGGACCATTTTGGCTGAGATTCTGTTCCTTGATAGGGAGACATCACTTTGCTAATATGATTCAAAATACGGAATTATTCCTTTGCAAATCTCTGCTGGTGTATTGGGCATTCTTACAAAACGAGACACCTTTAAGGAATCAATCCAAGTCGAATCTATCGAAATCTGGAATGATGTATCGGGCGGGTGTCAAAAGAAGAAACTGTCAATTTATCATTGAAACAGATCAACAACTCTTAAGCTACTTACATCATCCGAAAACTGTCAACTTGAGAAATCCACCGAAGCGTTCAAGGCGGCTTATGGCTCTATTACGTCATGCTAGAGTGCTTGATAGTAAAATCAATTATACCGAGCTATATATGGCGCAAGTTACTCAGACATCCGAGGCAGAGTCCAGTTTTGGGACCCCATTACACTCCGTCGTTAACTATACTATAAAAGCCCTTGACAAGCTTTTCACTCCGAAGTTTATTGGTTGTATCAAGAACAGGAAAATATTACGGCAATTTATTACTGAGTTCCTCAAAAGTCGAAAGAGAACTTCACTCCTGATACTGAGTTTGATGAAGGAATTGAACTTAAGCTCTATATGTTGGTTAGGGAGGACAGAGGATACGAGAAAGCTGACCAGACATCAGATTGAGAAATTAACTTTTCGCCTTTTGAAATGGCTCTTCACCACTTTAATTCCTAGAGCAATTCGGCAATTTTGGTACGTTACGGAATCGTCTGCAAACGTCCTCAGCGCAAATATGCTGGTTTCTTTTATCCCTCATGACGACTGGAAAAAGATTTCTGAAACGTGGTTGCAAAGTTACCAGAAAGACTATCTTACTGAGCTCAAGGTACCGCCGAGACAACCTCGTTTCAAGCAAGGGATATTGAGGCTTGTTCCCAAAAAGGGTGATTTTCGTCCTCTTTGCATTCCACTCCGCTATCATCATTTTCCTCAGAGTAAAAGGCTAGGTACGGATGAGATCAGAAAATCACACTATTTTGACAGGCATGTTCTCGGTTCTGTGAGAGACGCGATACGCTTCCAGCAGACAAAGAAGGCAATATTTCAGTTTCAAGGCCATCTGAAATGCTTTTCTGTCAACGAAGTCGCGATAGCCGTGAACAAATTCCGAAATCATCTCGTTGACCGTCATGGAAAACGTATTAAACGATTGCATGCAATTAAGTTTGACATGAAGCATTGCTACGACAATATAAATCAAGCGAAAATAATACAATGTGTCCGAAATTTGTTTTTGGGCGAGGAAGATAAAACACTATTTCTAAGAAAGGGACTAGAATACAGCGACTGCAATCTCAATCATGCTCGGATGAGCAGAGTGATTGCTCAAATAAGTCAGCTTGAGAGAGTCAAACCTGCAAACCTTTTTGAAAAGCTCACGTTTGTGAAAGCCTTTCAAAAACCTCTTCATTTGAGCAGACTTCATGTGTTCGATTTACTTGACGTTGTCTTGGATCAGATTGCGAACGGTGTAATACATGTAAAGCTCGATCAAATGGTTTGCTCAAGAAAACGAGGTGTATCTCAAGGCTCACCTTTACTGGCCACTTTTTGTGACGTGCTTTACGATCAACTTGTACATGACGCATACAAAGATTCAATAGACATGAGGGACTCTTTGCTAGTTCGGCTAGCTGATGATTTTTTAATTCTCTCGCCCAATCAGCAAACCTGTCAAATTATTTTTGAAAAGGCATGTTCAGAGAGCTTTCGGCAATTCGGCGCATACGTCAACCAAGAGAAAAGTCAAATGTTTTTTACCACTGGAGGGCCGATGACAGTGAATTTCGTTGGGCTCAAAATCATAATCCCATCACTTGATATCCTGAAAGATTTTTCTTACGGCTCACAACCACCTTCAAGGGCGCTTCGCTCTCTCAGCCATATTCTTCGCTATTTGCTCTGGTCATTCAGACTCAAATTGAGAGAGCAGCTCTGTGATGAAGATGCTGTCTCTATGCTGAAATTTGAAATCGTAGTTGAGCAGGCTCTTCGCCACATATTGAGAAGTCTCGAGATTTACAAAGGGAAAGTGATGTTTAGATCTATCGATCGGCTCTTTCACTTGAAGCTATTTCGACAACGTGTGCTCTTAGTGATTCATGAAGTAGCAGTAAAGGGCCCGATAAACGCAGATTCACTGGCACATTTTTCTAAATTTGTTGTTAAAAAGATTTGCAAGATGATCGATGCTTCCTTCCAAAGATTACAAACATAAAAAGCTATATAACCCGAAGAAAGACCGCAAGTTCTCATTATCCTTTTCCCTTCTGTTTTTTTCCAACTCCTCGATCCCCCCGACTTTTTCAACCGACTCTCATTCACGAAAGTGTCAAGCTCTTCCTGGAATTGATCGGGCCCAACATTTGTTGCTCCTTAACTCTCATTCTTTCGGCCCTCGCAATTGCTTCGATACGGTCAGAATGATTTGGAACTAAAGAAGCTACCTCTGTCAACATCGCATCCTTGAGACCGTGTAAGCTTTCTTTTGAGTCTAATAAATTGATACGAGAAGCTATCTCGGTGCGTTTTGTCAGAAAGATCCGACTTTGTTGAGTAGAACATCGCATTATCAAATCAAAAGTCTCCTCGATCTTTCGAATGTCCTCTTCCAAATCCAGGGTAAGATCGTCTTGCAAAGTAAGGAATTGTTGCTCCTCACAGACCTTATCCAATTCTTGCTCCCAAATTTTCTTCCAAGCTGGTCGCTCTCCAACGATGTATTGACGAAGGGCATAAAGTGAGCTCTTAGCCGCCTCAATTTCACTAGAAGCGTTTTTTATCTGTTTGTCACCAACACGTACACCTCTTTGTGCGACGTCTTTTCTCAAAGCTTCCATCATATCCAGAAGGTCGTCCACTCTAGTGAGAAGTGTATCCGAGTCTTTCGAAAGCTTCGCATAAGAATTGTCCATATAATCACGATTCGAGCCAAGCGGCAAGGTCAACGCGGATTCTTTGAGCTTTGCTACCGAGTCAATCGAAAGATGAAGAATACTCTCGAGCTCAGTTCTTTGTGAATTTTGTACTTGCTTCATGGCTTTAAATTCACGTGAGATCGATTCGAGCTCTTTCATCAATTTTGACGTTTCACTTGTCAGTGAAGTTCCCGCAAGTGGTTTCATGACTTGGGAAGACTGATAGGCCTTCATCATTTCAGAGCTCAAGTTGCGAAGCTCATCTTTTAAACTTTCCAAAGAAGAGTTAACACCATTAGTGAATTTATCGAACTTACTATCGAGACTTTCATTTTCAAATGGATCCTTTAAAAGTAGTGAGACACCTTCGACTACTTCTGCGTCAAGCATATGTTCTTCGAGCTCATATGATCTCCCATTCACCATACTCTCCACATATATATCTGGAAATATTGTACTGCCAGGCGAGTATGCGAACTTTTCCACAAAGCAAAGACGGAGCGAGGCCATAGTGACAGGTTTATCAAGAGAAACTTTTTTTGTCTTACCACCTATCAGGAGATATGCTGTTATCTGACATGTTGGCTCTTCCTTGACTTTGGGATCATTGACTGCCTTGGTGGGCGACTCAAAAGAGAGACCTGGCTGGTCTGGCTTTAGAGTAGGTAAGTTTGGTTTGCTGGCATTTGTAAGCTTGGCAAACTGATATGCGCTGAACCTCTTAGAAGCTCTCCGCAGAATAGCTCTACTTTCCTGCAATTGCTGAAGAGCATCTTTACCAATTCCCTCAGCCCTTGTCTTTCCATCCTTTGTATTCTTTGTATCTTTGGTATCAAAAGTTTGCTCGAGCAATGAATGCTCATCGTTTTGGGTTTCTGTGTTTTTACTTTCTTGTCGAGGCGTTTGTGCTGTGCCATACGAACTCGAATGACGGGCCAGCTCGTTCTCAATTAAATGTGATTCTTGAGTAAAGCCATCCTCTAATCCTTTTGCTTTGAGCTGCTTTTGCTTGAGATTTTGAAGAAGATTCACGATGATGCTCCTTATGTTCGGAAGAAAGCGATCTAAACTTTCTTGTGTGGGAGGCTCGCTCAAAGCAGACTCCAACACGATTCTCAACGCTTTTGGCACATCTCCTATGTCAGAAACATCAACTCTGGCATTGGAGAATGCTCTGATTGCCGCCCTGAAGTCATTTCCCAATTTGACGTAAGCATCCGAGACATACTTATCATCAACCTCCTGCCTCGTCCACTGGGTCAAACTCTCGAGCAAGTGTTTCGTGGAAACCAAAAGACGAGTCACACTACTTTCAATTGTACCGGATCCCGGGCGTTTGGTGTTAACTGACGTGTGAGAGGAAGATTCGGAGTGCGCTCTGTTCATTCAAGACGGTGTTCGATAAAATGTTCCTTCAGAAGGCCGAGTAATTAATTATATATCACGTGACTATGTTGATCTAGTCCGTGAAATACTTAGAGATAACTTCTTGATCAGCGAAATTTCGAAGAATCTTAAGAGCATCATCATGTGGCATCTTGCTCAAAAACACCCTTGTCGCCTGGATGGTGACTTCGGCGGTGTTACCGCGAATTGCTTTATGAGAGAGTGCAAGAAGAACTGCTTCCACCACTTTCAGAGATTGTGCCTTAACCGCAGGATGTTCATTCTGCATGAGAATCGATAAGAACGAAAAACAGGAAGAGGCTGCTTCTTCATCGTAAAGCACGGGCAATAGCGCCAACCATTGTGAAATGACGTGATCAAACTCGCCTATAGTAGCACCATGAGCCTGACAAACCCTTGCAATCGCGTATACACAATTTTCAGTCGCTGGTAGGTTCTCATCCGCCTTTGCATCTGGAAAAGTGGCCACTTGAAAGAGAATTGGTAAGCTCTCCAAACACAATGAAGGATACAAAGAACCTTCATGCTGGGCAGCTAATGCGATCGCGTGGGCTGCTCCCTGCCTGATCTCAGCTTGGGGGAGGTCAAGCCTTCCGCAATTATGTACTTGAGGTAATTTGACAGATCTGGATATTCCGAAAAGTATTTGAAAATATCGCAGACGACACTCAAGCCACATAATTTTATAGAAGAATTGTCATCCACAATAAAACTTGAAACAAGTGGAGCCAAAAGCTTCTCATAAAAGGGAGCAAACTTCGTACCCCCAATCTTAAACAAGCATGTAATTACCCGATTAAGTTCGTCGAGGAGTTCCTCGTCAGTGATTTCCTCCTCGCTATCATCCACATCCTCAGTAAATTGATCGCCTTCGCCGTCTCTATTCTTAATTCTCTCATAGATTTCAGTAAGGTTCGCATGAACAGCTTCAGCTAGAAACTCGAGATGCGCAGTAGTCAATATTTCAGGATCCAACGTTTCCATACACTCGACAAGGGACGTGTAATACGCCATGAGAAGCTCAGGGACAGGCTCCGTTCTCAAAACTTCGCTCAATTTTACACAGATTTGCGCCCACATACTTGACGTCTCTTGAGATCGAGCACCTGTAGCATACACGACGCTCTTAAAAAGCGACGCAAGAAGTAAGGAAGATGATGCTCTAACTCCATCATGAAGATAGAAGTCCAAAGCCGGTATGGCAATCTCTTGTGCGATCTCTCCAACCCAGGGGAAAAAGTCCTCCTCAACTGGACTGTGTAAATACGAAGCAAGTCCAAGGCCGTAACCTTATCGTCAAGAGCGGCAGTGTGCACCGCAATCAACTTCCCGGATAAGTTTATGACATCCCACTCTTCACTATTATTGAACTCTTCAGCTTCATCTTCCTCCAAAAATGAAACATCTTGCGCGGCTTTGGCAGTCTGGAGTAGAGGCGGTAAAACAAGAGGCAAATATTTGACAAAATCTTTCCCGATGAGCTTGCAGATTCTGCCCCACCCTTGCTCCAAGAATGACTTGAGTGGATCATCCAAATCTGTGCATGTCTCCTGAAGAACAATCATGATGTCGATCAAGTTGTCACTATGTTGGCTGAATATGTCTTTACCCACAGCGCTAGATATAAGTGTAGCACACTCGACACATTTAGCTTTTAGTAAACGATACTCCTCACCTAAATCGCTCTTTAGAAAGTTTACTAACAAAGGGAGGAGAGCGTCGTGGTACTTGATGAATTTTTTCTGCGCTGCGTCTGCAATGATCGCGATAGTGGTCAAAACTTGTTCCTGAACGTATCGTTTTGGTGATTGCAAAAGCGCCAATAAGTTATTCAACAAACTGTCCAAGAATGGGTCCAAGACGTCATTCGATGCTGCCTCGCAGAAGTTAACTAAAGCAGCGGCGGCATGTTTTTGAACTTTGAAAACAGATTTATCTGTGAGCTTCGAAATCAAAGCAGGAAGGATTCTATCTCCAGAGGTTCGTTGGATCACGCCAGCAAAATCAGTTGAAATTTGGCCTAAAGCGTTGCAGCAAGCAAATTGAACTCTTGAATGTGGATGATCGATGCATGGTAACACTAGATCTAAGATCTTTGGTATTTCAGTTATGAGTAGGTCCGCACAACCTTCAGCACACGCGGACAATGCCATGAGAGCTGCGAAGCATTCTCTCCAGCTAGTAGAATGACACATGGAGGGCACAAACAGAAACAAGTGAGTCGCAATCGCCTGCCCCCCAAGTCTCAAGGAAATTCTATCAAGTGACTGTCTAGCTGCCTCATATTCGGGTTCATCTTCATCATCCTCGGTATTATCATTGTTGTTCCACTCCGCTGCATCTTCATCATCGATGCTAACTTCAGTCAAGAGAGATAGATTAATCATAACCATCGTACTTGCATAGCTTGAAGTCAGCTTACACATCGCAGGGGAGACTTCGGCGAAGGTTGTCAAGAGTTCTAAAGCTCCGAGCCTTGCATTCACTTCCAAATCTCTATTTTTGCACACCGTCGAACAAAATTCAATGATCTTTGAAAACATATCCTTAAACATTCTGGGAGCCATCTCCGCGAGTTCAACAAGACTTTCCAACACATTTGCAAGTGCCTCATCGTGTGCATTCTCGAGAAACCTTGGTAGAGAGTTCAACAAACTTGGTAGCAATGGGCTCATCACCAGCCACACGTTTCTTGGGGACTCTCTAAAAAAAGAAACAAACGCTGTGCAAGCGGCAATCCTAACATCATCGTCACCATCTTCAAATCCAGCTTCAAATAGGAGCAAAATTCTGTCAATATAATTCGTCTCAATCATCTCAGGGCAGCTAGACAATACACGAAAAGCGCACTCTCGAAGGCTCGATTCTTGACTGCTCGCACAGTCGAACAAGTTTGGGATTAGATCGGGCCAGGTACCTCTAGGTGAGGCATCTTCACGGGCGACTTCAGCAATAGCATCTGCAAGCTTTCGTCTCACTGCTGCCGACTGTTGTGAAACAAACCCCTTCAAAAGCACATCTCTTATTTGCGTCTTCACAGATTCATCGATTTCTCCTATAGTTCGATCTATCACACTTCCAAGGTCTTTTGGTGAACGAATGGCCATACGACGGAACAAAATTGCACAGAAAGAGCGAACTGTATCATCTGAGCCATTTGCAGCATTCGTAGCCAAGTATAAAAGAAGAACACCCACTCTGGCTGGGCCTCTCCAACTTGTCTCCAAAGTCTCCTCTGCCGCTCTTCGAGGATCGTTTTGAATCGACATCAAGCCCCCTAAAAGCTCATTCAAGCCATCTAAGTCTGCAGAACTTAACGACATTGCGTGAATGAAACTGAGGAACTCAAGCGTTGGTATGCTCTGGTAGAATTCTTTTCTCAACATTGGTGCGGCATATAACTGGACCAAATGCAGAGTGGTAGAAAGAAGGAAAAAGTGAAGGGGAATCAAAATCAGCAATATTAAATCTATAATGCTCTACTTTCAGAAGCCAAACGTTGAATTTATTCTTCCTCCAGTTGTGTAGCAAAAGCAAAATGAGGAACACTACCTTTTGAGAATTGTTATAACGTCTTCGTCCTGCAAGGGATGCGTTAATCCCACAATTTGGGGCTGATGTTTTACGGATGTACCGTAAACAACAGCATTTTTAAAATCTTCAACCAATGACTTGTGAATCGAGTTACAAAAGTCCTCTACGCTGCACCGATCGTTTCGCAAAACGACAGGCTCATTGAAGTCAGGAAGCTTTCCCTTTGGCTTCGTGTAGACGCGCACAAGTTTCAAACGATTCCACATCATTTCAAGAAGATCATCCAAATTCCAACCACTGCCGGACAGTATAGGTACAGCATTTGGGATCTTATACAATAAGTCGAGCTCCTCGATTGAGAATGAGTCTATCTTGTTTAAGACGTAAATGGCAGGAATATACCTGCGTGACTTCGCCTCTATCGTATCAATAAGGTCGTCCACTGTTGCATCACATCTGAAGGCAATGTTTGCAGAGTTTATCTTGTATTCAGCCATCACAGCTTTGATCTCATCGTTATCTAGATGGGTCAAAGGAGCCGTGGTTGTAATATTGATACCGCCCTTTTCCTTTTTATTGATCACAATGTTCGGAGGTTCTTTGTTGATCCTTATTCCCACTCCTTCCAACTCTTTCTCAATTATTTGTTTATGATGTAATGGTTTATTCACATCGAGCACCAAAAATAAAAGATTCACCGACCGTGCAACTGCGATGACCTGCTTTCCTCGACCTTTGCCATCCTTCGCCCCTTCAATAATACCTGGTAAATCCAACATTTGAATTTTGGCACCCTTGTACTTGATAACACCAGGGACAGTTGTGAGCGTCGTAAATTCATACGCAGCAGCTTCCGAATGCGTCCCTGTAAGTTTGGACAAAAGTGTCGACTTTCCGACAGAGGGGAAACCCACGAAGCCCACTGTTGCCACACCAGTACGTGCAACATCGAATCCTTGACCGCCACCTCCACCACTGGAGGCACTATCGGATAATATTTCTCTTCTAAGTTTGGCCAATTTGGCTTTGAGTTGTCCCAAATGGAATGAGGTAGCCTTATTCTTCTGAGTTTTGGCCATCTCATCTTCTATAGCTTTAATCTTTTCAACAGTAGTCATATTGAATGCTCTTTACAATGAAAACCTTGATAGTCTAGTAATTTAATGCCTCGGTTGGACTAATGTCTTGCAGCAGATAAAATTTTGCAACGGATTGTAGCTTTTCATGTAGTACGAGGCATTCGCTGCGCAGTAGTGTGTGAACCATCAGAGGAAAAAAATTAAGAAGCACAGAGCTGGAAGCAAATCAGATATAATGGCGAAAAAATCTAAGAAAGGAGGCAAGTCCGGAGGTGACTTCTGGGATGAAGAAATCGAAGTTGAGCAGAATTCGGAGGGAACATTAGATCAGGATCCCGATGCTGTCGCTGAAGAGGAGCCATCTCAGGATGATGACTTTCTTAATTCTATTCGAAGCTCAAAGAAGAAGAAAGAAGCCAAGGAAAAGGAGGAAAAGGAGAAGAAAGATGGTCCAAAACTTTTAAGTAAGAAAGAAAAGGAAAAATTGAAGAAGGAAGCTGAAAAGCAAGCGAAGAAGGAGGCCGCAGCGAAGAAGAAAGCCGATCAAGCAGCTAAAAAGGAGCAGATCAAGGAGGCTAACAAGCAGAACGCTGCAGCTAATGCCGAGAAGAAAGCTGAGCAGCAAAAAGCAACTTCAGAGGAACCAGAGAGCAAAACGCCAGTGAAGAAAGGAAAAAAGGCACCTGCTGGTATCGCTGCATTGAGGAAACAGCTTGAGCTCAAAAAGCAGTTAGAGGAGGAGCAGCGTCGTTTAGAAGAGGAAGAAGAGCAGCGACAAATTGAGTTGGAGAGATCTGCGGCAGAGAAAGAAGCAGAAGCAGAAGCAGCTCGCCAGGCTAAGAAAGAGAAGGAGAGACTAAAGAAGGAAAGATTGAAAGCTGAGGGCAAGCTTTTGACTAGAAAGCAACGTGAGGAAAAGAAATTACAAGATCGTCGTCGGGAATTGCTTTTACAAGGTAGTGGAGTCAGTGTTGCTGGTTTGGAAAAGAAGGACGCTTCCGAGAAAACCGAAAAGCCTAAAAGAGTCGTCTACACGAAAAAGAAGTCAGGTAAGGCAAAGACTCACGAAACCCAAGGTACAAACGAAGATGTCAAAAACGATGACGATGATGTTCTAGATGATTGGGAGCAAATGCTTGATGACGAAGAGCAAATAGCAGGCAAAGATACTTCACATTCGACCCAGACTTCTCCCGAGGCTGATACAACAAGCCTGAAAGCAAACGCCACTCCAGTTGAGCATGAAAGCACTGAGGTCGCAGAGAAGCACTCTTCCACTCCTACCCCCTTGGATAATCAGATTGTCGAAAAATCAACGCACCCCGTGAACGATGAAACCTTAACCCCGAGAATTTATCTTCTCACAGCGCCAAGGAAATGCGTTCTCCAATCTGTTGCATTTTAGGTCATGTCGACACTGGTAAAACCAAACTATTGGACAAAATTCGTCAAACAAATGTTCAAGGTGGAGAGGCCGGAGGTATCACCCAACAAATTGGTGCTACGTATTTCCCTGTTGAAGCCATCAAGCAAAAGACCGCCGTTATGTCGCAGTATGAGAAGCAATTTTTCGACGTCCCTGGCCTTTTGATTATCGACACTCCGGGGCACGAGTCTTTTACTAACTTGAGATCTCGTGGCTCTTCTCTCTGTAACATTGCAATTTTGGTGATCGATATTATGCATGGTTTGGAGCAGCAAACTTTAGAATCAATCAGACTCTTGAGGGATCGGAAAGCACCATTTGTGGTGGCATTGAATAAAATCGATCGTCTTTTTGATTGGGAAGCAATTCCTAACAACTCATTCAGAGACTCGTTTGGGAAGCAGAGCAAGTCTGTTCAGGGTGAATTTCACAACCGTTATGAGCAAATCAAGCTTGCTCTCGCAGAACAGGGTTTGAATTCGGAGCTTTACTTCCAGAATAAGAATATGTCGAAGTACGTCTCAATTGTGCCAACATCTGCAGTAACTGGCGAGGGTGTTCCTGACCTTTTATGGTTGTTGCTTGAGTTGACTCAAAAGAGAATGTCGAAACAGTTGATGTACTTGTCTAAAGTGGCCGCCACAATTTTAGAAGTGAAGGTTGTTGAGGGTTTCGGATACACCATCGATGTTGTGTTATCAAACGGAGTTTTACGAGAGGGCGACAGAGTTGTGTTGTGTGGTCTCAATGGGCCTATTGCCACGAACATCAGGGCATTGTTAACCCCACCTCCATCCAGAGAATTGCGTATCAAGTCGGAATACGTCCACCATAAAGAGGTGAAGGCGGCTTTGGGAGTCAAGATTGCAGCGAATGATTTGGAGAAGGCCGTTGCGGGTTCTCGATTACTAGTCGTGGGGCCTGATGATGATGAAGATGAGCTCATGGAGGAGGTCATGGACGATTTAACAGGCTTGCTTGATTCAGTTGACACATCGGGTAAAGGTGTTGTTGTACAGGCCTCCACTTTGGGATCATTGGAGGCTTTGCTCGACTTTTTGAAGGATATGAAAATCCCAGTTATGTCTATTGGATTAGGCCCAGTCTATAAGAGGGACGTGATGAAAGCAACCGCGATGCTCGAGAAAGCGCCAGAGCTCGCTGTAATGTTGTGTTTCGACGTCAAGATTGACAAAGAAGCAGAACAATACGCAGAAGAGCAAAATGTGAAAATCTTTAATGCTGAGATCATTTATCACTTATTCGATGCATTTTCCGCCTATCAGGCCAAGTTGCTCGAAGCCAGACGAAAGGAATTCATGGAATACGCTGTTATCCCTTGCGTGTTGAAGACGATCCAAATTATCAACAAACGTAACCCTATGATCATTGGTGTCGATGTTATTGAAGGAACTGTGCGTGTCGGAACACCAATTTGTGCAGTTAGAAAGGATCCTACGACTGGCGCTGCCAATATTTTGGTTTTAGGTAAAGTGGTTTCGTTGGAAGTCAATCATAAGTCTTCTGATGCTGTGAAGAAGGGTCAGACAGCGGCAGGTGTTGCTATGAGATTGGAAAACCCATCTAGTGCGCAGCCTACTTGGGGAAGACATGTCGATGAGACCGACAATTTGTACTCGTTGATTTCTAGGCGGTCTATTGACACTTTGAAAGATCCTGCGTTCCGTGATTCTGTTCTGAGAGATGACTGGCTTCTTATCAAGAAGTTGAAGCCTGTATTTGATATTAAGTAAATACGAAAATCAGATAATTTGAACAAATGGACTGCGCGAACCAATAAAAAATCTCCAAATGCGCATTAATCCAAAGTATTTGATCCTTCTGGTAAAGAAAAGAAGAAGCCATGCAAGATCTTCCCCCCATAGGAGGCTATCAACCAGTGCAGTGGAAAAGAAATATTCCTTCTAGAGGATTCAAACCCAGTATTTATTTCTGGAGTATTACGGGCTTAATCACGTTCGGCTTTTACAGATTTTACAAAGGTGTGGATGAACAACGAGAGCTAGCAAGGGAGAAGCAATGGGCCAGATTCTCGCTTGAGCCATTGTTGAGAGCGGAAGAAGATAGGCACCTTTCAAGGCGTTACTTTTCAGAACTTAAAAGACGTGAAGAAGTTGCATCTACCATGTCACCTCTGGACAGACAGAAGTTCGAGGAAAAGATATACAATGATGAATCAAAAGTCAGATTCCCCAAATTTACCGCTGGAGTTGAGCCATCACAACATTAGCATTTATAAGATCTCCTACTCTAGCAAGGTAACAATAAAACTTTCGTATCGAATTGATTCTGTAGATTTTCATAATCATATCGTTTAGACCATGAAGTCACGACTTTGCAGAGCATGGTTTTAAGGCTAGTACACCGTCGAATATTTTTTTGAGCCTGTTCCAAAATGCTATCGCTTGACGGTTGTGCTCCTCTATCGCGCAAATTTTAGTAATTTCTTCTGAAGCAAATCTCATTATCCAAGTAAAATGACGAAAATTTCGAGCGCTAAGAATGCCAAAGACGTGTTGGATAAATACGAATATTTCTTGTTTGACTGTGATGGAGTCATTTGGCTAGGAAACCATCTCCTTCCCTACGTCACAGAAACGTTGGCTCTTCTAAGGAGGAATGGTAAGAAGATTATTTTTGTGACAAACAATTCAACTAAGGCTAGATCAGACTACGTTAAAAAATTTAGAGAGATTGGCATCGAAGGTGTGACGAAGGAGGAGATCTTTGGTTCATCGTACGCTTCAGCTATCTACGTTGACCAGATATTGAAGCTCCCAAAGCAAAAGAAGGTTTGGGTTCTCGGAGAATCTGGAATTGAGAAGGAACTCCAAGAATTAGGGTATGAAACAGTAGGAGGTTCAGATCCGTATTATGTTAAAGACGGTGTCACCTTCAATCCTGAGGACGAGGACCTTTTGCGTTTGGATGATGACGTAGGGGCTGTGGTGACCGGTTTGACCTTCAATATCAACTATCTCAAGTTATCTATCACAATCCAATATTTGCTCAAAGACAACAAATCAATTCCTTTTATTGCGACTAACATTGACTCAACTTTTCCAGTGAAAGGAAAGCTTTTAGCGGGTGCGGGCTCAATCATCAAGTCGGTTGCTTATGCCAGCGGTCGCGAACCTGATGCTATTTGTGGCAAGCCGAACTCTTCGATGATGCAATCGATTTTCGCTGACAATCCCGGCTTGAAAGCTCAACCTTCCAAGGGATTGATGATTGGTGACAGATTGAATACTGATATGGAGTTCGGAAGAAGTAATGGGTTAGACACTCTCTTGGTTTTCACAGGCATTGAAAATGAAGAGTCAGTTCTAAAACTTGAAGAGCCTAAGAAGCCCACATACTACGCTGAGAAATTGGGAGACATCTATTTACTTTTAAACGGCTCCATTGAATAGATAGATTTTTAATAGACAAATGACTTAGACTTATCCTTTGAGACGAAATTCTAAATGATGTCACTTGACTGCATATAGTACAAGTGCTCAATATTGAAAGGAGAACAAGAATTTGAACGATTGAAAACTAAAAACAAAACGTTCACGCCACTTCAGCACTTAGCAAAGCAGGCGAATTGAGAAAAAAATCTTTAATTTGTTGGCTAGGAGCATCAATCAAAGTTAGATCGCCATATTTAGGAGCCTTCAGAGATGAGTCAGGAACAGAAAGAGAAATTGGAGAACAGCGGACTTGTCGAATGGTCAGTATTCTCAGAATTAGTGGCAATGGATGAAGACGAGGAAGAATTCTCAAAAGGGTTGTGCCAAACATTTGTAAATCAATTCAAGGATACAGCTCAAGAGATCGATGATAACTTGAAAGAGAAGAATTTGGAAAAGTTATCTTCCTTAGGGCACTACCTAAAAGGTTCAGCTGCAGCGTTGGGATTGAAATCTATTTCTTCACAGTGTGAGAGAATTCAAAATTATGGTCACCGTGTCAACTTTGACAATTATAAGCCAGAGAATTCAATTGACGAGGACAAGGATGAATTCTGGATAAGCTTAATCCAGGATGCAGTTGATAAGGCTAAGAGCGGGTTCAAAGAATCGAAGGCAGCTCTAGACGAGTATTTTGAAGACGAATTATGAGCATGCTTCCGGAGCCACGACATTGAAGATATAACATTCAAGGAATGTCAGAACACACACGGTTACATGATAAACAATAAGTACAGAAGTATAATGATGCTCAAATACAGTCGTCGGGGCGTCATCCAGATAGTACGTTGTTGTGGCTATTGAGTTTTGAAGTAGCCAGTTCTTTTTGCAACAACTTCGCCTCATTGGTTTGCCTTTGGCCTGAGAAGGCAAAAGTCCATGTAGTCTATTTCATAATCAATAGCATAACGAAGCCACTCCGGAATGTAAAGGATTCTTCCAATGCCAGTACTGTGACCTCCAAGGTCAATCATTCTTCTGCAGTCGATGATCGTGAAGTCTGCGCTCAATATATCCTTCTCAATCCATATCTGTGGGTCACCCACGGATTTATCAGATGGGGTAGAGTTATCGATAATAAGATCACACTTATCTAGATCAATGAGCTTATCGGCCTCAAACAAGTTTTTTGAATTCATGTTTGGAGGAACATTGGATGTTGCTAAGTCAATCGCAACTCCTTCTGTAAAGTCACCAGGCAAAAGCCCATCAAAGCTGCTTTTAACAAATTTCAAGCGAAAGTTGTCCGGAAGAAACATTGATGTGGGAAAATGATACCACTCTCGTCCGATGCATACATTCACGATTTTATCTTCATCAAATGAGGTTGAGACCGACTGAATACTTCGAGAGATGGCCAATGGAGCCGAGTAATTCTCTATAAGGTTTAGAATTCGAAGTCCCAGAACAAGCACAATAAGTAAGCCAAATGTAGCTTTTAAAAGCTTTGAAGGAAGGGCGCCTCTTGAATATTTTCGAGCGAAATTGAAGGAAGCATCATACATACAACCAGCTGCTAAAGATATCAAGGGATAAACGGGATAAAGAAACCTCTCTTCCTTGTGAGGTTGTATGCCAAACACAATGGTCCAGATCCATAAAGGTATCACGATGCACACAACGTTCCGATGGCGTTCAGATTTGGAGCATATCATGTATAAAGTCGCAAAGTAAGCGGCGACAAACAGTAAGTTGAAATTGAGTAGCAAGTTTCTCACATAGTACGAGAAGGGCTCAACACCAAAAATCTCGGGACCTTCTCCCTCGGTTGCGAAAACGTTATAAAGAACAATGTTAATTGGGATGAAAGAAAGTCCCTTTTTATAGTAGAACGAGTCGACCACGATCATTGCTGCAACAAGAGCCAACAAGAAGGATACACATGCGAAGATTACAAAAGCCAAGTTCCGACGCTTACTCCACAAGGTATACATCCAATAGAAACACCTAGGACCAAGGTAAATGGCCAACCGACAAGGCCTGAGATCAAGAAGCTGTAGATGGCATAGATATTGGGCCTCGATGAATTGACGTTTGAATCCTTGAAAGTTGAAAGGGCGAATGCCGTTCCTAGTGTGACCCAATTCATTGCGAATGAAGATGGTAGCAAAGCACTTGAGGCATGCGCCATTCCAGCTGAAATACTTGATATGAGAAGAAACCACCTAGCTGATTCTGTGGATATGTTCTCTCTCACACTCTTAAATAGCGCAATTTCGGTAAACGACGTGAAGCCACAAAGACAAACAATCCTGATGAAGTAGAAGTAATAATATGGGGAAGCTTCTTACCAGTGAGCTTGGCGAAGTCTCTCAAGGGAAAGGTGACCAAATAGTACGGAACGAGGTAAAAGTACGAACGAATCGCATAATTGGGGAGTATTCCCAAGTCTCTTTCCCAAAACCCGAAATAGAAGGTTTAGGGGCTCCCAGTAGTTGAACGTCTCATCACAATCCGAGATGATCATGGTCAATGCACAATACAATCTCACCATGACATTACACAAGACAAGTAAATAGTCATAAAACAGAAAGGATCTTGCCCTGACAAAGTGCTTCGCATTACTTTCCGCTTTCATTAGTAATACCAATATTGAACCAACTATTTGAGAATTCTACGCGCGCCTTGTAAAGAAGAGTTTCGCTACCGGTACATACTTGATTTATGAGCTCTTGTGCAACATGGACTCACGAGCGGGACCAACCCCACCCATTTCACAGGAACCTTCAAAAAGTCTTCAATAAATTGCAAATAATTCTTTGCATTATCAGGAAGATTCTCAAATTCAGTGATTTTGCTAATATCACATTCCCACCCGGGCAAGGTCGCATATTCAACATCGACATTTGCAAGCTTCAATAAATCTTCAGGAAAAGAGCTGAGCTTTTCTCCATTCACCCAATAAGCCACACCAACCTTGATTTCCTTGAAAGTATCGAGTACATCCAACTTGGTGATGTTGAGGTGCGTGTAGCCGTTGATCGCATTGGAATACTTTAACACCACAAGATCCAACCAGCCACATCTTCTCTTCCTGCCAGTTGTCACTCCAAACTCAGCACCAACATCTTGCAAGGTCTCACCGACTTTGTTCAACTGTTCCGTAGGAAATGGACCCTCTCCTACTCGGGTGGTATATGCTTTGACCACTCCGTAAACATTCTTTATGCTTCGAGGCGGAATTCCCAATCCTGTCAAAACTCCGCCAATGCCCGTGGAAGATGAAGTGACGTAAGGATATGTACCGAAATCTAAGTCTAACATCAAGGCATTGGCACCCTCGATGAGGATCTTCTTGTTTGCAGACATTGCCTTATGCATGAAGTCTACAGAGTCGACCACAAATGGTCTTAATTCCTCCCTGTACTTCTCGAACCTCTCAAGCTCCTCCTTCACATCGTAGTCGAATTCACCATACCTCTTGTATCTCGACTCCACTAATCTTTGATACCGGACTTTGAATTCTTCCCAAGCACCAGGCTCTTGAGAGACCAAATGATGAACTCTGATACCGGAGCGAGAAGACTTGGTAGAATATGTGGGCCCAATGCCCTTACCAGTAGTTCCGATAGACTTCTTCGTCTCAGAGAGTTCAGCCTCTTTTAACTTGTCCGTTCTCTGATGGAAATCAAAAACGAGATGAGCCCTGGATGAGATGAAAAGTCTGTCCCTTCCTTGAAGTCCTTTTTTCTCCAATTGTTCCAACTCATCAAAGAAAGATGGAACATGAATGACGACACCTGAGCCTAGCAAGTTTTGACACCTGGGATTTACCAAACCTGAAGGGAGCATGTGGAAGTCATACTTCACGTCATTCACCACTATAGTGTGTCCAGCATTGTTACCTCCTTGACATCTAGCGCAAACGTCGATATCATCACATAAAATGTCGACCAATTTACCTTTACCTTCATCGCCCCATTGAGCACCTAAAACAACATCGCACATGGTCAAGAATATTGGCGTATACTGGTAAACCTCGGTAGTTTTTCAAAAGTGAACGTCGAAGCGTTGAGTCAGAGAAAAAAAATCAAGCTTAGACTCATTTACACCAATGCCCAATCTGCATATAATTATGATTTTAGAAGCCAACCAATTAAAGAAGAGGAGCACACGTGCAGGACGATAATACTCTGGAGGTAGAGAAAGACAGCGATTCGATCTATTGTGAGCATGTGTCTTATTGAAGGTAAAGAAGTTTCAAGTGACCTCTATAAAGATGCAAATCAAGCATTCAATTTGGCTAAAATGGCTTCTGTGAACTCAGTAGTAGTCGAAGTACCGCCGATGTCTCTAGTTCTGACATTTCCCTCCAAGATCACGTCGTGAGTAGCTTGCGAGATTTTGTCTGCGTGCGAGTTCAAGCCCAAGTGCCTCAACAACATAGTGGCCGACAAGATCATGGCGGTTGGGTTAGCAGTGTTTTGGCCCTTGATATCCAACCCAACATGTCTGCAACCTGGCTCGAAAACTGCGTACTCTCTGCCAAAGTTTGCGCCTGGCACCAAGCCTGGACCACCAATCAATGCAGCTCCGATATTGGAAAGAATCGATCCATACAAATTTGGGGTAACCAAGACATCAAACTGCTGAGGTTTTGCAACAGCTTGCATAGATGCATTGTCAACAATCAAGTCATTGACCCCAATTCCTGGGTAGTCCTGACCTACATCCTTGACTGTTGTTCTGAACAATCCATCTCCCAACTTCATGATGTTTGCTTTATGGATAGCAGTGACCAACTGTCTGTTGTTCTTCTTCGCAAAATCGAAAGCAAACTTAGCAATTCTTTCCGATTTGAATCTTGTCATGATTTTCAAAGATTCGACAACACCGGGAACAGATTGATGTTCCAATCCCGAGTATTCTCCCTCAGTATTTTCTCTGACCAAAGCAAAATCAATTCCATCCAACCTGGACTTGACACCGGGAATGTTCTTGATCAAGACCAAGGAGGCATAAATGTCCAATTCCTTTCTCAAAGCAACGTTCAAAGATTTATGAGTCTTGTTTGTGGGTGTGTACAAAATTCCCTTCAAACCGACCTTGTTTCTTTTCAAGGAGTTCACAGCCTCGGTGACACCTTGTTGGTCTTCACTCAAGCCGGAGACATCGACAACTTCCCAATTTATGGGAACCCTTTGATCCTTGAAAATGGTTTGCACCGAATCAGTGATTTCCTTACCGATACCATCACCTGGAATCAAAGTGACTGTGTAAGTGCCACCGTATTTTTTTGGCAAAACAGATTCAGGAGACGCAAACGTAGCAAGGGAACGAATCTAAAAAGTTAGTAGAGTGTTCATTGATCGAGCTGGCCTTTGAAAGGGTACAGTCCGGATAAGGGGCACGGAGCACTTCGGAGCACAACATTTCAGCTTAACGATTCCTATTAGCATATGGCTCACCTCAGATGAGTATTAACGGTTAACATACGTTTCTGGTAATTGGTCTAAACATTGTCTGAATATATTCTCAAGAAGAACACAAGAATGAAGCCTGGTTTTTCCGCCTGGTGTCTTGTATCCACCATGGAAAATTTCGCACGCACTCTTTCGGACCCGAAAACAGATTTTATTGGACAAATATTCGCGAGTATCTGTGTTCCCCTCGGAGTACGAGTTTAGGAAGCCCGTTCAAGGTAACTGTTTAAGAAGATGACCGAACGACGCTAGAACTCAATCTGCTTTGATAATAATGTCCGCCAGATCAAAGGATAAAAAACAAATGTAAAATATCGATGAGAGAACATAATTTTGGTAAAAGAGTCCATTGCAATACTAGGAAGTCTTAAAGCTTGTCTTCTTTCTCCGCATTCACTTTCCTCGTATCAATTTCTACGACTGATAGGTTCTACGCTAAGTAAAGTTGTGATATCTCTTTGCTTAAACTTTCCGCTTGATCAAAGAGTGATTAATGAGCTCATCTTTCCTAGAAATACGCCGTCCAGCATACTAGAAGAGTTGCAAGGCAAACGGAAAGAAACAAGACAAAAATAAGACAAAACACAAAGCACACAAAAAAAAAAAAAAAAAAAAAAAGAGAGATTAAATGAAAAATGGAGTATAAGACAGACGGCAGTCTACGATTCACTTTTGAAGTCAGTTGCAGTACTTTGGTTTAGGCGCGGCCGTTAGTGTATGTCGACACGACCGAAAAATATCGATTGGCCAACAAGCTGAGAGAGACCCAGAACAGGCTAATAATGTGGAAGACCTTGGTAAAACAGTTGAATCAGGAGCTCAAACTAGCTCAAAGAAAGGTTGCTGCATGTCAAGAATCGTTGAAGTATGAAAAACGAAAAGCTCGTCTTGCCTATGAAAAATTTCGTTTGATCACTGAGCGCAAACCTTTTGACAATATTGAACTCGAACTTGCAAACCTTGCTCCTGGCAAAACCACGTCAGTACCTTTCGACAACACTAGAGCAAAGCAGCTTTTGAGGTCGTCTAACGATATCAACAATCTCAAAAACGTCGTCCATCATCTTCGATCACTGCGTGTGTACGATGAGTTGTTAGAAAGGTATAATCCAGGAATATCGATGTCTCAGGAGGACAATGTCAAAAAGACTGCAAATATGGTTGGCTTGCAGGTTCCCGGAAAACACTGAACATCTGTCAGGCTCACGCTGAGCGTTTTATACTAGGCGAGTTTGCCTCGGGAATCTCACACGGACGTTTTAAACGAGAGTGTTCTGTCAATATCAGACTTTCATTTCGCTTTATAATTTGATTCTCGACATGAAACTTCTTTAGGCTATCGACGAGCAACACATCATCGTAATGTTTGCAACTGAAAAGCTGCGGCATCATCGTACAATTTTCTGGTGTTACTAAAGGCTGCAAGTGTTTAATACTGGCCTCCAAATTGAAACTATACTTGTCCATCAAGAACAGCAAAGCAAGTGCATGAAGTAGCGAGTTCGATGGATGATCGCTGTCGAACTTGTGCGATAGAATCAATATTCCAGCAGAATCATTTATGTTTGTGATGAGTTTCAATAAGCGATTGATGTTGAAAAACAGTCTTAACGGATTACCATTTATCGTAGGTGATTCAAACCTTAACTCCGCATTGTTCAAATTCGAATTGATAAAGAAATTGATGTTCTTGTTTGATTGGTAAAAAAAAGGAAAGATAATGTTGTAGAACCCTGTTAAAACGCTTGTGGATCTCTTGGTAAGTTTTCAGATCTGTTGAAAGACTTAGATCGAGGTTTAATACCACTACATCAGAGGATAATACTGGCAACTGCGAATCAAGGAACTCGATAAAGTTGTCCGAAAATCCACAGTTTACGATTATCTTGATGTTGGCACTATAAAGAAACTCGTTGTCAAGCAATGAGGTGAAAGACCCTAGAAAGACTCCAGGAGTCAACTCTCTTCTCGGTGGAGAGTCGAATACAACCATACCGCGGGTCGGTAGACAGTCCGAAATGTTCAAGATGTTCTAGCTCGGCCACAAGAGGTCCTTCCAACAGCAAATTCACAAAGCGAGGCTAACTGATTATTTGCGTTGACCTTCAGCCCTCGAGTTATCAAGTCCGTTATTGGTGCGGCTCGCTAATAAAATGCGACGTTACCGTCTTCTTTTTCCAGGCAAGGCGTCTGAATATATAGTCATCGCTTATGTAAGAGAACTTTGTGCGCACAAGAGCTGAACTGGAAATGAGCGCGCCCTTCCAGCATTGTGGACGCAACAATTGCCGTATAATCAAGCAGCCTTTTGTATGCAGGAATTTACCACCACTGGAGCTGTTCAATCAACTTGCTGGTTTTATGGTTCCTCCTGGACAAAATTAAACGTCCATTGACCCAAATTCCGATTACTGGTATATGTTGGGTCAATAAAGTGCAATTCAAACGCATTCCATTTCGTGTTGTGATTGCATTGGAAACTGTCATTTACCTCATAGGATTCGCGAGCCTTCCTGATTATACAATTCAGCAACCATGTTCATGTCAATCTTCGAACGGACCGCTACAAGGACTACCTTCCGAGCAACATCTATTATTGGAGCATCTTATCTCTTTGAGCAGAAGCCATTTTTGAGAAACGACAGTTTGCTCCCCAGCATAGAAGTTCGCAAGCCCTCAGTCAAAACCACAGCAGTGAGAAATGAAAACCCCAAGAATTCTACCTACAGAGATCTTTGCATTGGATCCGTTACCGGTCTTTTTTTCGGAACCTTGATTGGTAAATTTTCATCTTTGATTATTTTTTTTGCTTTACTGACTTATCTCGGTATACAATTTCTCGAGCAACGAGGTTTGATAAGAGTTCCCTGGAAGAGATTGTTCTCATTTGAGGGTTCAGGGACACGATTTGAAAACCTTATAAAAAGCCGCTTCTATTTCAATACTTCCTTTTCAGCGGCATTTCTCATCGCAGCATTCAACATATAGCTTCTAAATCTTCAATTATATATACAAAACTCGCTAATTCTCTAGATTTGTCATGATATCAAATGATCCCGTACCGACATTCGATAACAAACCCATAACAATTTTTGCAGAGGGTGAGTCCAAATCCTCCCTCTCTCCGTCTAGCACAGCCTTGGTCAAAAATTGACATGTGGTCTCGTAAGACATCTTCTTGAATGCAGATGTTGATGAGTCAATACCCTGTCTATTGAATGCACGATAGGTACCTTCTCTCGTCATCATGTCGGCAATGAGGTCAAGGTGGCGTGTAGAAACAGAAATGGCATATGTCGAGAAAACATTATTAATCTCATTCACAATGGTATTTCTCGCAGCTTCCACACCGTAAGTTTTCAACACTGAGACAATATCGTTCGAGGTGATTGCATTGACATCAATGAAATCATCTTGTTCCCACATGGCCTTAAAATTCACACCCTCAGTAGTCAAAGTGCGCTTTCCATTGTCGGGCTGAGGACGAAGACACCTTCCAATATTCGAGATTTCTCTAACAACAACTCCACGACATAAGTCCTCAATAATATTCACCATCAAGAGTTTCTGCACATTGCCAAGGAGCTCAATCTCAAACTCACACCATTCTCCATTAACATCATCGAAATCATATTTCTTTATAAAATGATGCGATGAGATTACTTCTGCTTGCCTATCCCTTGCAGATTTGGTCAATTCTCGTGGATACCTCTTACTTTCTTTCGCTTCGTCGCTGACAAGATTTCCACCACTTTCGTCCTCGGATTCACTATCAGATTCAGACTCAGAATCATCAGTCTCTTCAAGTTCCTCTTCACTGGTTTGCTCTGCTTTTCGCATATTCTCTACCTCATCTGAATCAGGCTCGTCGTACGACACGGCCTGTTTTGAATTTGATTTCAATTTTTCTTCAGTCGCATCATCATCACCCGTCTCATCTTGGAAAGATGCACTAGGTAAAGCAGCATCTGTTTGTGCCTTAGGCATAGCTTTTCCAATAGCTGGTTTGGAGGAATTGTTGACTTGTGCTTTGAGGTTCTTGTTGATAGCCAACTCGAGTTTGTCCAAAAACTTAGATGATAAGATTTTCTCCAACTGATTTTGTGAAATATCGTATTCACCTTCGTATTCACGTTTGGAATAGAAGTTCATCTTGACCTTGTAAGATCTGTATGAAGTAGAGTTACCCTCCTCAATTCCGGTAGTTTCTGTGACAGTGACATCGTCGATAAATTCACTTAGATGTACTTTTCCGATCAGTTTGCAGAAGGAATCTGCCATCGAATTGTCGACATCATCCAAGATAGGGAGTGACATTTGAGGTGTAGCGATAGATGCTGATGCAGTCATGATAATCTCTCTCATTCTTGGAATTCCAAGCGTCACATTAGCAGCGCCGTGGCCAGCGAAGTGGAAAGTATTCAAAGTCATTTGAGTGGAGGGCTCACCAATGGATTGTGCCGCGACAATACCTACTGCCTCTCCGGGGTTGATCAAAGACCTCATATACTTGAGCTGCATCAAGGCCTTGAACTTCTTCTCGCTTACGCCATTAGCCAGGTTTTTGGAGAAGAGGTCTGGATACTGCTTAGAGAAGTCATCCAATTTGTCTTGGAATGTTTCCGAGACAGACCCCAAATATTTCGATGGGTTAAACACTGAAAGCACGGGATCATATTTCGTATTCTGCTCATAATGCTTCAACAGCTTAACCTTCTTGAGCTGCTTCCGAACCTTTTTGGCGTACGACAAAGCAGTGTCAGTATCCAAATGATCAGCCAAATCACCAGGATTATATCTGCTCACCAAAGCGTCATAATTCTTGAGACAGAAATCAAACTGGTTCATGTGAGATTGTTTGGTGGTATCAATAGCATCGCCGCCATAAAGGAATTGAAGTAGAGAGCCATCACCATCTCTGACAGAATTATCATATGCGACATGGACACCTTCTAACTGTTTTGTAAGACAACGCTGCAAATAGCCGGATCTCGATGTCTTGACAGCCGTATCAATCAAACCTTCTCTTCCAGCCATACAATGGAAGTAATATTCCTGAGGTCTAATTCCTGAGTAGAACCTACCCTTAATGTAACCACCAGCTCTGGCGTCAGTTTCAAAAGGTTTGAAAGAAGGAAGTGTTTTTCCACTGACCATGACGGGTACTCTTCTACCTTCCAAGGCCTGTTGACCCAACAAACACATAATCTGGGAGACGTTAACACCGGAACCCTTCGCACCAGATAGAGCCATTGCTTGCATGCTATTGTAAGGAAAACGCTTCATCGTTCCATCGGGGATACACTTTCCAACAACTTGAGATGTGATTGCATTGACCTTCGACTGAGTAATTGCGTCCAAAATTCCCAGTTTTCCATCATCTCTCAAAATTTCCTCAAGTCTTTTCAACAATTCGCCATCATTATTCGCGGTATCATCAGTCAAATTAGTGACTTCACAAGCAGCTGCCCGCCCAATGTCGACTGACTTTTTCAAGATTTCAGTCCTCCAACTATTTCCTTCTCCTGTGAGTCGCAAATCGTCCATGCCACATGTAAAAGCAGTGCTTAATGTGTAGTTGGTAAAAAGTCTTCCGAGAACAGATAATGCTTTGCTAGCAACTTCTGGCCCATAAACTTCATGAAGAGAATGAACAATACCATATTGGGCAGCTCCATATTGAGATTTATCCAAGATGCCGCAAAGGAGCTGACCATCCTTGAAAATAACACTGTTTTCTTGAGATCCCACACCCCAGTATTCATTTTTAACTTTGTTCTTTGACTCAAGATTGATTCCTGGGACGCCCCTCGGCTTGATGTTCAAAAGAATGGTGGTGATAACCTGCTTTCCTGTCCAAAGTGGTTCAGGCTTTAATATGGAAGGAGGAACAGTGAGAATTCGAGAACTTCCATTCGTATGTCCATGCTCAGGACGAATGCATCCATAAATGAGTTGTTGATACTTTTCTCTCGTGAAGAAGGTATCCTTATTTGTGAGCCAAACACCAGCACTAATATGATCTTGAATCAAACCTCTAAGTGGAGATCCAGAGGTTGGTGTCAAATATTGTGAGTCAGTGTTCGCAAGATTAAGAGCCTCTGATTTTGCATTCTCATTTTGTGGAAAATGCATGTTCATCTCATCACCATCAAAGTCTGCGTTATAAGCACCTGTGTTAGCGTAGTGCAATCTGAGAGTTTTTTCACCTGGCAAAACTCTGACTTTGTGCCCCATCATGGAAGCCTTATGCAATGTAGGTTGACGATTCATAACAACAACATCGTTGTTTTTGATATGACGGTATACTTTTTTATTCAAACTGGAGTAGCCATTGGAGGGGGTAAGAAGCTGGTTGGCAACGGTTTTTCTTTGCTCGATTGTCATACCCACCAATGAAGTCATGTAGCCATCCTCGTTTTGAACTTCGATAGCACCAGGCCACTTATCAGGACCATTTATGACAGCCTGTCTCAATTGGGAAACATTATGGGAGGTGACTGGTTCAGGGTAAGTCAATTTCACAGCAAACACAGGAGGGACACCGATTTCGTTGGTCTCTAGATTAGGATCAGGAGAAATGACCGAACGGGCAGCATAGTTCACTCTTTTACCCATCATGTGCTTTCTAAAAAGACCCTCTTTCTTTTCTAATGCCTGCTTAATACCTGGTGTTGGTTGCTTTCCGCCACTACCGTTCATATTTTTCGTCGAATCAATGAACACGTTCACATCGTTTTGAATTGTCACAAATGCGTTCATCAACCTGTTGAACAACAACTTCCGGCTGTCTGAGTTTGCTGATTTGTCTTTGCTAAACAAGGCAGAGATCTGATCGTTCAAATCCCTGATTAGCAAACACGTTTTCAATACGTTCGACAAAAGCTCATTCTGAGCATTCTCGTGAATTTCATCGCCAAGCTTCGATGGAAGACGGAATCTCGTGGCAGGCACAATGAGTGAGTGGATAAAGAACATGTCTGCACTGACTGGTGCGGTAGCAGACGGACGTGAGTGGAAGATTTTTTGCATAACCACTTGCTCGTTCTTGAACACATTGCGCAAAATGTATCTCACCTCAGTCAGAAGGACGTACTTGGAGCCAGCCTTAGATTTTGAACCTAAAGAAGTCGAGCTTTGGGTGGGCTGCTTCTTCAAAGCATCTGGGCGTGAGCCGCCTTTGACTCTATTGCTGCTTTCCTGTTTGTCCGTCAAGGAATTTTCAAAAATCTTGACAGCGCCATCTTTACGGAATGTTGGAGAGAACATACCACAGTTCTCACACTTTCCCCTAGACAAAATCTTCTTGTAAAATGTTCCAACGACTTCCTTACGCACTTCACCGACAGTTTCAGTGACAATTCCGTTAGCGTTCGTTCTTCCTTCACTCAAAGCTGACGAAATAGCAGCTTCAACAAATGACTCCCTCTTCAGTTTAATAAGACCAACGGTTTGAGAGTCGCTTGGAATATGTTCCTTGCTACCATCTTCCTCATCGTCAGCGGAAGAACCATCTTGTGACAGCATATCCTCGAGCTCCTGACACTCAAGAAGCAATCCATATTGAATCAACTGAAGCTTGCACGCAAACTTGTGAACCTCGAGAGAGTTGAGGCGAAGTCGATGACAATAAAGACAAGATGATCTCAAGAAAAGGAACACCTGATTCAAGAACAAAGGATTGTAGACGGGAACTGGCAATTCAATATGACCTTGATGACCTGGACAGGAATGCTCGTCGAGCCCACAAGTGGTACACAAATTTCTCAAGAAGGCTCCTAAGGCTAAATCGTATAAACCGTTGGCTATAGGATGACCTAAATTATCAAAGACAATGGGATTAGTGATTTGCTTAGCCGACAACCTTCTAATTTCATCGGCCGACATAACGCCGAAGTCAACCGATGAAATCTCCGATCCAACCGGTTTGGCAACATCCATGGTGAATTCCGGCTTCTTTCAAAACTCTGGTGAAGGGTATTGAAAATTGTGTATGAGATGCGAAATACTTTGTGCAAAATTAGTCTTCCTCATCGAGGCGTGATGAAACGCACGTGACCAGCATCGCAGCTTCGGTAAAGCTGCAAAAGGCTGCGAAATCACAATTTTGAGTAAGACTGCCTCCTACGTCAAATCAACTGAAGCAAAAAATACGGCAAAAAAAAAAAAAAAAAAAAAAAAAAAAACACACACACACATATAATCAAAGACTCAGTATTGGCTTTATATAGGGCAAAGCTTAACGTTACATGTTCAAGAAGTCTTAGTACTGCTCTTAAGTATTTAAAGTCTACCCTCAATTGGCACCAAGGCTTTGTCTATTTGACCCCCCAACTCAAATTATCATACCCGAAAACCCAGGGACCCAATGTGTGACGTAGAAGAAGCATGAAGATGCCAAGTCCAAATTGGAAAGCTAAAATGATGATGCAAAGAGTGCTTTCCTTAAGCGGCCCGAGCCACACAAGAGTGAGATTAATAATGGTGAGATTCGTGAACTCCTCTATCTTACCTTTATCATTTCTTCTCACTTCAAGAAGTTTGAAAATCGCAAGAAATTCTAAAAGAGCTGTGCCAATTCGTGATCCTTCAAATTTGGCAAAACTAGGGTGCATCACATTCTCACTCGCATTGAAGCTGGGGAGTCTATGTCTAGGGCACGGCACAACATGGAATAGTTGGGGTAAGGAATAGAGAAAGTTCACAATTTGCAAACAAAAAATCATCAAAAGAGTCTTCGAAAAATGACCCAAAATGCCGACAACTGCAAAAACCATTCCACTAAAATAACAATATGTGTCACCCACAAATACACGGGCCGGATAGCGGTTAAAAACAAAAAGACCCATGGACACTCCAAGGAACGGTACAAGAAATATTGCCGATAACAAATGCGAATCGTGAGCTGCCTGTGAAACTGTGGCACTCAATAAATAGGCCAAGTCATTAATTAAGAGAACTGCACCAAGCACGATTGATTGGCCAACCTCCAACCCGTTTATTCCAGCCAATATATTGATGGAATTTGGGCAAAATATCGACAAAGCTGACATATAAGCGTAGTAAAATATTCCTAGGTCTAAGAGTCTTGGAGCGGTTGACTCAATCTTGTAGTCAATAGCGAGGGTGGTAAATTTGAGGCCAGTGAGCATGGTGAGGAGGCCGTTCGCCTTTTGTGACAATTGGTTTAAAACTATGACCAAAAACTCTCCCACTCCATTTCTCATAAGAAATCCGGGAACAACGATGGATGTGACACTGAAATCAACGTAATATACAATCAACAAGGGTAGCGAAGCAACGGCTGGCAAAAAAAATTTGTGTCTCCATCTGATATCGAACAAGTCGTCGAAGAATCCAAGAATGATTGTACTGAGCAAACAAAGAGCAGCGCTCAAAAACTCCGCCAATTTATTGTGCGGAAACAATTGCTTGTTCTCATAATCTTTGTATTGATTTTTGTAGTTGAGAAGCATGTCATCGTCATTCGACAACGATGAATAGGAAACCAAGTATTTGAAAAACACGAATGGGATAATGAGGACGATTAATATCATATAAGTGATGGATGCAACAACGCCCATTGACTCGGGTATCGGTTCAGAGGGCCCTATTTTGGAAAGGTCCTTTCCTTGGAGGCCCACTTTCTTGAAACTAGGGCCTAACCTAGGAATGAGATAAGTTGTAAAACAAAATCCCAACACGCCAAACCCAGCCAGAGTTTGTAATGGATTGTCGAATTTTATGATCGCTGCCGCCAAACACACTAACGCGACATGGAAGAAGCCATTCATGCTGCGTTCTCTTCGATAAGCACAAGTTGTGATTCTGCGCGCCGAAATTACAGAAACCGGCTGTGAAGCTCTCGTGTCAGCGCAACTACAGTCAATGCGCCATATCAATTTGAATTCTAGAACCTTTTTTCTTACTCTTCAAAAAAAAAACTGACTTTTCAAATTACCGTTGAAATCTCATGGGGCTCCACCGTAATTATGAGAGGTCGTGGTCCATGGCCGTGCTTTTGCGGATAGCCTGCAGAGTCAGTTCACGGTATCGCTGGTGACAAGTGATTAACCCATATAATGCACGTTTTTCAAACTGGTCACGAGGAGCTTGTTCATGACATAAAATACGATTTTTACGGTAAAAGTGTTGCCACTGCCTCTTCAGATCAACATATCAAGGTGTTCGACCTAGATCATGCTTCCTCAGCTTGGGTGCTCAACGATCTGTGGAAAGCACACGATTCGCTGATCGTTAAGTTGTCATGGGCGCATCCAGAATTCTCCAACGTCAAGCTACTTGCTTCATGTTCATATGACAGAACAGTCAATCTTTGGCAAGAACGGCCGAGCGAACTCCATGGATCTGGCCGCAGGTGGCAGAAGTTGACAACCTTGGCTTTCGAGTCCTTTGGTCCGATTTATGATGTTGTCTTTGCTCCGTCACATATGGGATTAAAGCTAGGATGCATTGGATCTGACGGTATTGTGCATATCTACGAGTCAATTGAACCTTCAGATTTGTCCGTGTGGTGTCTTACGTCCGAAATTCCGGTTTTAACTCTGACCCTTCCGGCAAAGAGTCTCCAAAGCAGTTTCTGCATTGAATGGTGTCCTGCAAAGTTTTCTAAAGTCGAAATGTTATGTGTGATAGCGCTCGATCAAGGCTTCATATATGGTGCGATGGGGGAGGATGGCGAAGGTGACACCTTCCCACAACAGAATCAAACAGATAACTCTAAAGTTCCCTCCGCGCAGAATATCGACCAACGCGTTGCAGAAAAGCCTATCCGTCAATTTACAGAGAGCAATCAACTCAAGAATCTGTCTCCTGGTGAAGCCACTCAAAGAGCCAAATACACCAAAATCTGCAATCTACCAGAGCACAATGGCCTTATAAGATCTGTGAGTTGGGCACCATCCATGGGACGGAGTTATCATCTAATCGCTACTGGTTGCAAGGATGGCTTTATAAGGATCTTCAAGGCAACAGAATCGAGAGAGAAGGGCCTACAAGTTGACCTTATGGCTAAGCTTGATGATCACAAACAGGAGGTCTGGCGAGTGTCATGGAACTCTACAGGAACCATACTAAGCTCTGCCGGAGATGACGGAAAGGTTCGTCTTTGGAAGCAAAACTACATGAACGAGTGGCAATGTATGAGTGAAATTAATAGCAGCAACCGGCTGGATTATAAGTTACATGGCGACCAAGAGAGATCTGCCTACTCACACAAGCCGTCTTCAGCCAGATGAGCTAGATACGTCTCCTCTTTTTGGTAATCAAAGGCTTGTCATCGACGTCTTTCTTGTCCTCGAGTTGTTCCCATAACTCGTCTTCCTGTTGTTGTTGTTCGATTTTTTCGGCTGCTTCCTTTTCAGAGTTCAGCTGTGAGTCGTCCTCAATGAAAACAATGCTGCTTATCTGAGTTCCAACGTACACTTTGGCTAGTAAATTGCGTGTCTTCACATCAAACACTCGCAAGTATCTGTCCAAGCCACCAGTCGCGATAACCTCTGATACTGGGGAGGGTTCCACACTATTAATTGCGCCAGTATTACCACCCTTTGAGTATCGTCCAAGCACCTTGAGAGATGGTCTGTAAAATGTCCCTGCGGAAGCTGACACAATTCGCACGGCCTTCGCATCAACCTTTATCAAGGAGAGTTTAGCAACATAGGTATGCGTATCTGTAATAATAATGTCTTCCTCGCTATCTGTGGCAAATCGTAAATTAGTGATTGGTTTTTCACAAACTTTGTACGAAGCAATTGGCTCCACATCACTCAGTGTATCGTATTTTCGTATGTGGCCGTACCAAGATGACGTGACGAGTTTAAAGTGTTTAGATTCAGAACTTCTTTGAAAGAGAATGCCTGTGACCCAGATAGGCACATCAAGACCGAGATGATCCGGCTCGACATTTTCCGACTTAAAAAGAACTTTTGGCTTCCATGAGGCAGCATCTGCGAATTTGAACCCCATTTTCTTCACTTGGTTTTCGTCATAAAGCTTGATTACCTGAAGATCATTCTCCTTACCACCATATGCGAAAACACCGGGTCTTGTTGCATTTGAAGTAAATGCACTGATGGACGTCGCTTCAGGTGTTCTTCCCGGAAGTTTAATGGTGATGGGGGCAGAATCGGCTTCGTTGGTGCTGATAATACTTAAGTTTGACGATTCTAGAGCAATTATTGCTATCCCGAGTGATTCATTTAATTCTAATGCAATCGGTTTGGCACCCTTCTCACAGCCTAACTCAACTGAACGTAGAAGCTTCCCGAAATCATCGGAAGATCTATCAGAAACATCGTAAAAATCAACGTATCCTCCAATACGAGCCGCGATCAAGACATTATCCTTCGTAATTTTCATCACTCTGATCCTCGATTTCACTGTCAGGCGATCTGAGTCCTCCAAGACGCTTCGTATAAGCTCAGGTTGAGAAGCATCTTTCTGTGATGTGTCAGTTCCTGAAGGGCATATTACCTCCTTGACATTACCAGTTTCATCAGCAGAAACGAGGAACCGCATCTTGTTCTGATAGAGTGGTAAAAAATTCTGAGCGCGGCCTTGATGATCATCGCACTGGCTAAAGAACCAAAGAACATTGAACAACTCATTTTTTCTACAATGCCCTTCCATTGCCGATTTTGCCTTATGGAAAGAAGTTGTGTTTGATCAATCACCATCAGTTACCCATTTACTCTTGGTTCCATCTACCACCAAACCGTTTGTATGCTACGAGCTGAGAGGTGGGGTATTCGAGAAACTACCGCCAGTCTTGATAACAATGGATGAAAAAATGAACATTGCGCTACTGAACGTCATTTCTAAAAGCCCTTGAGTTTAAAAGCTAAATGTGCATCATGAAGGCCATGTCTCAGTAATGAACACAACCATTGTGTCTCTGTTGGCCATTGGAGGAATTTTGGTGTCAGGCGAGGCCTATTTTGCCCAATATGAAGCAGAGACACATTAATTGATTTCAGTGTCGTGTTTAAAGCATAAAATTAGGTAAATATGCCTGTAACTTTTTCCTGAACCGTTTTTTGAGTATTTGAGTCAGCCTAGTCTTTTTAATACCGCTAAACAAAGTCATGAACAAAACTTGTGTCTCATTGGCTCTTTTTTGGTACGCAAACATTGCCTTGTATAGAACGTGCACCTGTCAATTTCCCCAAATCGATGGGCGTGTGGCGCAGCTGGTAGCGCGTTCGCTTCGCATGTGAAAGGTCTTCGGTTCGACTCCGGACTCGTCCACTTTTTTTATGAATCAAGCCTTCAAGAGCTTTGAGCTTACGGTCTGAATTAAAGAAAACTGCAGAAGCCTTATCGAACGAAGTACCAGTTACTTACATTCGCGCATGGGTGTCCCTGCTACACACACTGCGGAAACCCTCAATCGAAAGATTCTCAATTACTTTGTACTGCATATAGCCCAGATAGTGAGAAGACTTCAATACTGAAAAAAATTGAGCCTAAAAAGTTGTGGTTTATCACTCACAAGCACACATCATGTCCAGTGTTATTGGTATTACCTTCGGAAACACATCCTCTTCTATTGCTGTGGCCACTCAAGACGGCAGAGTTGACGTTATCGCCAATCCTGACGGTGACAGAGCCATTCCCTCTGTCTTGTCGTATGTTGGTGTCGATGAGTACCACGGTGCTCAAGCAAGAGCCCAATTGGTGAGAAACTCCAAAAATACCATCATCAACTTCAGAGACTACATTGGTAAGAAATTTGAAGAAGTTGACTTTTGGGCTTCCTCCGCCGGCGCTAAGCCAATTAAAACTGAGGATGGCGGTATTGGTTACGAGATCGAAAGAGAAGATGGTGTTGAGATTGTCACTGTGGAAGAGGCTGTCACCAGACACTTCAAGCAGTTGAGAAGTGCCGCCGAAGATTACCTTGGACAGGCTGTTGAGAAGGCAGTCTTGACTGTTCCCACAGATTTTACTGAGCATCAAAAAGAAGCTCTCAACAAGTCCGCTGAGGCTGCTGGCTTGAAGGTTTTGCAGCTGATCAATGAACCATCTGCAGCTTTGCTTTCTTACTTGACTGCTGCTGGCGATGAAGCTTTGCTTGCTGACAAACTTTATGTTGTTGCTGACTTTGGTGGTATAAGGTCTGACGCCGCCGTCATCTCTGTGAGGGGTGGTATTTTCACGATCTTGGCTACTACTCACCAACACAAATTGGGTGGTGATGACTTGGACGACGCTCTTTCCGATCACTTTGCTAAGGAATTTCAAAAGAAATTCAAAGCTGATGCTAAGGGCACCGCTAGAAGTTTGGCTAAATTGAAGGCTGAATCTATCACAGCCAAGAAGACATTGTCCAATGTCACATCCTCATCATTTTCCATCGAGTCTCTCGCTGATGGATACGATTTCTTGTCCAACATCAACAGATTGAGATTTGAACTAGCTGCAAGAAAGCCCTTGAGTGATATGACTGCTTTTGTGGAACTGGCTGTGCATAAGGCAGGATTGGAGCCATTGGACATTGATGAAGTTTTGTTGGTTGGTGGTTCCTCTAATGTTGTGAAATTGGCCAGCAATGTGCAATTCATTTTCCCTGAATCCACCACCGTTGTTGCCCCCTCTTTGGACTCCAAGGCTGCAAACCCAGAGGAGTTGTCTACTAGGGGTGCTGCTTTGCAAGCTGCCCTTGTGGAAACATTTGACGATGAAGAGATTAGTGAGTCATTGCAACCAATCGTCGTGAACACCCAGCATTTGACAAAGCCTATCGGCATCAAGGACAATGAGGGCAAGTTCGTCCCAATCTTGGTTGCTGAGACCGCTTACCCTATCAAGAAGTCTATCGAAGTCACAAACGGCGACGCCGCAGATGTCTCTATCGAATTGTTTGAGGGTAAGAGACATGTCAAGGAGACTGTTATCGAGCCAGCACCTAAGAGTGAAGACGAGGATGATTCCGAGGAGGAGTCTGATGATGAGCCTGAGATCAAGAGAGAAGTTGAATATCTTACAGGAGATTTGCTCGCCAAATTGTCCCTCTCAGAGTTGAAAGCAAACTCCAAGTTGGAGGTTATCATTAGCATCACTCAGAATGGTGTTTTGCACTTGTCTGGAAGGGAATTGAAGCAAGGGTCTGTTGCTGTCAAGGGTGAGTTGAAGTCAGACGCCTAATGTGACTAAGTTTACTTATTTAATAGATTTTTAAACGTCTGATTCTGGGAATTTCAGACTCTCTAAACGACCACTAGGCCTTTGGCGAGGTCTCTCTGCAGTACTGTTCGAGGTATGGTATGGAGATACTACCGCATTCGATATCTAAGCACTCGTCAATCCGATCTCGCTTAAAGTCGATTCGACAAGTTTACTAAGAGAAGTGGGTGACAATTGTTTGCAAGCAAGTCACTTTCGATCACAATCTTAGCTTTCATTCAACATGCCTAAAAAGAAGCAAGAAATGTCTCAGGTGTACAGTCAGAACAACGAGTTCATATTTGGTGAGAAGGGCGGTAAGGGGAAAAACCTCCTGTCATTCCTAAAAAATCTATCACTTACCGGGAGTCCCAACTCTCTGCTGCGTCAAGGAATTAGAGGGGGTGATGCAGAAAGCCTACGGGAGGTCAACAGTAACATTTATGGCAACTTGTCGTATGGCATAGGCGCTCAAGATCATGGAGGAGGTGAGATCGGTCAAAGACCAATGATGGCTAGCAGAGGCTCGAAGTCCTCACGATCCATATCTGCTAGCCAGACAAGGAGCTCAACGGGCTCTCACGATGGCACAGACGAAAAGCAAACAAGTAGGCTGTCCTCGCCTTTTACTATCAGTCGAGCTGTTAGCGGATCAGGATACTCCCCAAGAAATGCTTACAGACGACCAACATATACGGACCTAGACGATGATTGGGATGCAGCGATTGACGAGGTTAACCTGAAGAACTCACGCATAAAGCCTCCTCAACAAGACCATTTAGCGAGTTTGAGCTCAGAGGAGCGTCGGTCTAGCTCTACAGGTGTCGTTGATTCGCTCTACCCTGAATTGACCATGAGCTCTGGCGCTGGCACTTCGTTGCCAAAGGAGCTGATGGACTCACAAGACAAAGAAATGAAGAATGAGATTCAAAAGCTTAACTCCATCCACACCAGATTCAGTAAGTTCCAAAAGGTTCTTGTTGAGGATAATAGTGGTGTAAACATGCGAGACCTCAGGAAATTGGCCTGGAATGGAATCCCGTCGGAGCTTCGAGCTCTTTGTTGGCAATTGCTCTTGGGATACTTACCTACGAACAAAACAAGACAAAGCTCCACTCTCAGGAGAAAAAGACAGGAGTATCTTGACGGTCTAAAGGATGCAAATGCTGGCTCAATGTTTGATGGAACGGTAACGCCGAGCAATGAGTCCTCGGGCCTGTTGCCTGCCTCCAATAATAGAGACAACAGTTTGAACAAAGAAAAGCAACTTCATCATCAGATCAAAATTGATGTCAAAAGGACCAATCCAAGCATTAAACTCTTTGGATACGATGCAACGCAGAGATCACTTCGCAAAGTGTTATACTTGTGGGCCATTCGCCATCCTGCCAGTGGTTATGTGCAAGGTATAAATGACTTGTGCACCCCATTTTACCAAATCTTTTTATCAAACTACATTTGGCAGTTACAGCTTAAAAAAGCATTTGATGCCGGACATGGTGATGATCCTAGCTCTCTCTTCATTCCGGGCCTTATAGACGAGACAGGATCTGACACGTTCGAGAATGAGATTCTTCTGGATCCACAATTGCCCACGTACACATGGGAGAATTTTGATAGTGGGAAGCTCTCGCCAAGAGTGACTGCAATTATAGAAGCTGATACTTACTGGTGCCTTTCGAGACTTCTCGACAATATCACTGATAATTACATTCATGAACAGCCGGGAATTATAAGACAAGTCAATGATTTGAGGAATCTCATTTCGAAGATTGATGTGTCACTTCTTGAACATCTCGAAAATGAGGGAGTTGAATTCATTCAGTTCGCATTTCGCTGGATGAACTGCCTACTTATGAGAGAACTCTCAATAGGACTCATTGTGAGGATGTGGGATACTTATCTAAGCGAGACACCTCTCGGATTCAACAACTTCCACGTGTATGTCTGTGCAGCATTTCTCATTAAGTTTGCAAATGAGCTTAAACAAAAAGACTTCCAGGAAATACTTCTTTTTCTTCAAAACCCGCCTACATCCATCTGGACTGAGAAAGATGTTGAATTGATGTTGAGCGAGGCCTTCATTTGGCAAAGTCTTTACAAAAATGCAACCGCTCACCTTCGGTGAGACTTCGAAAGTTTCCTCGATGTGACGAAAAAAACGGTCTCTAGCAAAATATCCCAATTTGTGTAAAGCTGTCCATAATAGAGCTCATTCCAGGTCCGATCATTTACATAATCTCTAATTCTTGCCTTTCACATACGACGTTCACTTTAATTTTGTAACTAGTATTAATCTTTCATAGTAAATTATTCGTTCCTTTCACCCCACTCGGACTCACTACAATTGTTTTATTTTATTTTTTTTTTTTTTTTTTTTTTTAATTTCTTCCATTGTATAACATACGTCATAGGTGCTGCACGGTACTGACTTCTGTTTAATTACCGATGCTCATCGTCAGTGCAGGAGTCAGAGGTTAATATCACTTAATACTTACTGTATTTTTTTCCTCCTTCAGGTTGAACGTCTACCAGGGTCCCCATATTTTTGAGCATAATTTCTGGTGGTTTCGTCGCTATTCATTAAAATACAACTAATGGTGCACCCAGCAGGAAGAACAATCTTGGCATCGACTATTGCTAAGCAGTATGTCACTGAGATAACATCGCAAGTCAAAGCATTGAGCTTCAAACCAAAGTTGGTAGGCTTTTTGGCCAATGATGACAGTGCTGCTGAGATGTATGCCAACTGGTCAGCGAAAACGTGTGAGCTGATGGGCTTTGAGTACGAGTTGAGAAGAAGGGCCAAGCACGATCTTGAGAGTGCCTTGATTCAGGCGAACAACGATGACAAGGTTGATGGTATAATGGTTTACTTTCCTATATTCGGTGACAAGCAAGACCAATATCTTCAGCAACTCATCTCCACTGAGAAAGACGTTGAGGGTCTCAACTTCTTGTACTACCACAACATGTACCACAATATCAGATTTTTGGACCCACCTACGAATGAGCAAAAATCCATTCTACCTTGCACGCCTTTGGCTATGGTAAAGATCTTGGAGTATTTGGGTGTCTACAACAAGCACTTGCACTACGGTAATCGTCTTTACGGCAAGAAAGTTTTGGTTGTCAACCGCTCCGAAATCGTTGGGAGACCACTTGCTGCCCTTTTGGCCAATGACGGAGCCACGGTTTATTCTCTCGATATCAACAATATTCAACAGTTCACCAGAGGCGACGACTTGCTGATGCAGAGACACAAAGTCATCGACTTGGATCTGAAGGAATACCCGCTTGAGAAAGTGGCCCCTCAATGTGACGTAATTATTACCGGCGTGCCCTCGGAAAATTACAAATTCCCTACCGAATTGGTGCCGAACGGAGCCGTTGTGATAAACTTTTCAAGTGCCAAAAACTTCAACGAAGATGTGAAGCAGAAGGCCGGCTTATACGTTCCTCTGATTGGAAAAGTCACCATTGCCATGCTTCTTAGAAACTTACTCCGTTTGATCAACAACAAAAAAATCCGTGTGGAGAAAGCTAGCGGTGGTGGTACCGGTGCCGCCGGTGCTTCTTCTGAGACCGGTACCGCCGTTGAACGTGGGGCAGAAGGTGACAAGGCGGAATAGAGAACCTGTCTTTGCCTGAATCGAGCAGGCGGGGCGCCTGCCGGTACTAAGAGCGGAACTGAGAGACAAAGAATTAACTATGAGGGCAAGTGTACACGTGATAATTATCACGTTCCTCATCCCGATGGCCTCACGTGCGGCGGGAGAACTCCGGTGTATGTGCACCAGAAAGCTTTCTCCACTGACTCAGGCTCGCCGAAGTCAGCCATAAATCAGTGACAATTCCCACCCCCATTGCAGGTGGCCCTGTTTTCAGCTAACATCTTTTCAATTTCCAAATAATTAGAAGATCGAAGAATAGACTACACGCGTCAATAAACTAGCCTAGTCTCGACTCTGCCTATTGTCTTCTCGTTTACGAACAAACCAAATGAAGAGATCTCACCAACCGATCGACACACTCGCAATCACGGAGTCGCTAGGGCTTCAAACTTTCAGAAAAGGCGGTCGAAAGGCTTGGACGAAACAAGAAGATGCTAAGTTGGTCCAACGATTGCATGAACTTTATCCAAAAGAAACGTCAGAAAGAAATGTCGATCCGAAGAATGTTCACTGGGAGTTGGTCGCGGAAGTATTTGACGACCAATCTCGCAAAGCCAAAGACTGTCGGAAGAGGTGGGTCAGCTCGCTCAACCCCAGCCTTCGACGTGGAAAGTGGACTCCCGAGGAAGATCAACAGCTTTTGACAAGCTACAAGAAATACGGCCCACTGTGGCAGTTGATATCTGCAGACGTCAAGGGAAGAACAGAGCATCAATGTCTGAAAAGGTACCTCGAGGTTCTTGATCCGTCGTTGAGCAACCGTCTAAAAGTGTGGTCACTTGAAGAAGACTTACTCTTGATCAACCAAGTCAAAGAACACGGAACCAAGTGGAGAACCATTGCCGCCGCCTTTGATGCAAGACCATCCCTCACTTGTCGAAACAGGTGGCGTAACCTTTTAACAGCTGTGGCTCGTGGGCGTGCTGACAAAGAGGTGATGGAGGCTATGGAGCTGATGACTGATGGCGACATTGCTAACAAACTTGTAATAAAGAAGGAGGATACGGATGAGAATTCGAAGAATGGTAGCGCAGGCGTTGATGATACTTCGGATTTACATGTCAAAGCTGAACGTGGCTCTTCTTCCCCAAGGTCATCTAGACTGTCCACGTCGGAAGTTCTCCAGAACAGCCCCGACAAGGAGGTGGAGTGGAGGTATGCCATAGTTAGCCGGGACCAGACTGAGGATCCAGACCAACCCTTCAAGGAGTTGTTGAAAAACGGCGGTCAGATCAAGTCCAAGGAATTGGCTCAATACCTCATTCAGTATGCATCCGTCTACAAAATGAAGGTCACTGTGCATCAACATATTCACCACCACTATGGATCGCAAGAATCGTCCGCAACAGCAGAGAATCAAATGGACAAGACGGACGAATCTCCTGCATTTTCTGGCTCTCCTCCCATCACTGTCCAACCAAGGAACAGCCGTACAACCAGTCCTTCATTGTATAACTTGGAACCTGAGTCTCAACTCCATAGAGTTCAGCATTTCAATTACCTTCCGCCACTCACAGAGGTTCCCCAATTGAATTCGTCTGCTTCATCACCTGCTTCCACAAAGGACGCTAGCACACATCATCATCACCATCACCACCACCATCATCATATGCACGAAGCAAGAAATGAGAAAGTTAAGTCAAGGAGTCATCCATTTAAGGGTCATCAAGAGTACAGCAATGGTGTCGTTTCACTTGCTGATGACGCACAGGCTAAGGAGTCAGATTTGCTCAAGCTTCTCGATCGTGCTGATAGCAGAGCTAACAGCATTGGGAGGGCGAACCGCAGAGTGGATGACAGGACAGACCAAACACCAAATGAGCCCGAATCCAATCTGCTTACACCTTTAACTCAGGCTGTTCAAATGGTGGCAGATGCCGAGGCTGAGAACCTGCTTCTTTCGAAAAGACCGCTCGATGATTTTGATGCTCAGAACAAGAAGATGAAGCTTGACGTTCCTGAAGAAGATGGGGATGAAGGACTTGATTTTTTTGAAACTATGCGCAATCTCAGTGCTCCATATCAACCTCAAAGACATCGTCATGAGAGGAGAGCTCACAAACCTCACGCAAAAGATCGTCGTGGTTCAAAAAGCAGCAACGGAAGTATCGATGAGGTGCCCAATCAGCCTGTCTCTCAGCATCACCCCTTGCACTATTCTCAAAGCAGTGTAACTCCAGTACCTGAACCACTTGCTGTCGAAGAAGATGAGGATGAACTACTTGACGTTTACGGACTTTTCTACAATTCGCATCCGAGGGAACCAACCGTGGAACCAACAGCTAACACTCAAGCCCATAACAATTTGCTTGAGTTGACTAATCCATTTGCATTTCCGTTCAACCCCTCGTAGTTGAACACTTAATTAGCATTATAATTCACAAACTGTCACTGTTCCAGTATATTTCGATACCAGAAAATTAGATATTCTTCTATTAGCCCATCTTTTTCAAAGAAGTGAGCGCTTCTCTGGTTCTGGCAGCTCTGCTGGGGTTGTCTCAGCTGTATCGTCAGAGGGGGCCGTATTTTCGTTTTGGATCAGCTCAATCATTTGCTGAGTAGGTTCTCTGGGAGTTTCTGTGACAGCCTTTTGGGAGCCATTTTTAGAGGCAGCCGTTGCTAGCTTGAGCTTTCTTTTACGATAGAATTCTCTCCACTTTGCATGAGAATCGGCAAAGTCTCGAATCTTCCGATTCCATAGTTTCTGGGCTTTGTAGTAGCTCCCGCCCCTATGTGCCAAGTTAAGGCAGGACATCATATATTCGAATTCCCCTGGAATCCAAGGAATGTCTGCAAATGCTTTGAACTCATGGATGGATAAGACGCTTCCCTGAAGAGAGAAGATACAATGACGAACATCAATAGGAATATCAAAATTGAAAATGTTTGCACAGCAGCCTTCAACGCACATGGGTGTAGTAAGATAATTGAGAGGCCTGCTTGATTGGGTGCAAATATAGTACATCATGATGTGCCGTGGACGGCGATGCTAGAGTTTCCAAATTCGGAGCTTTCAAAGATCACTGGCATTGAAAGACGTGACTGATTGAAGGCTGTATTATATTTTCGGTGGTGATCAGTGTCTACCACTGGTTTTATCGGTGAACCGTTAATCTCTTAGGAAGACTCGGAAAACCAGACCGTTGGCCGGTTGAGACACTCAGTATTCCTCGTACCCCAAAGTTTTCGATATCTCTCTAAGTTACACGCGGGCTTTCCGGATACATCACGTTGAAATATCCCATCCGTTTCATGTTCATAACACAACAGTTGTTGTACCTGTCGTATCTGTCATGTTCAAAAAGTTCAAGAGAAGATGATTTTTGTTCGTCGCTTCAAAACACACAATAGTTGAACCATTACCGACGAGTTCTTTTCACCTCTCCAATCCCAACCCCAATGGGTGTCTTTGTATCAGAAACACCTCTGTCCTTCATCTATTGCGCCTACCTTTCCCGTCGGCTATACTACCAGCCGAGGATCCTGACGACGCCAGGTCACAATCACGCAAAAACCTTAAGAAATATCAAACCTGATTTTTTCACAGTCGCCGTTTTTGCCCCTCTCCGTCGCTCACTACCTTCCCTCTACACTTCCATAATTAGTGTGCTGTTGGTGCACCACTTTCCCGCTGCGCACCAAAGATCATTCCTCACCAGCCTTGATCTAGTACATTTGTGACGTCCCAATACACCATATTAACTTCACCTGCTACAACGTTTTTTCTCCTCTAATCAGGCTTGATAATGCAGCAGGTGAGGAACGGACGCAAACCGCCACCAGACCTAGCTTCCACGCTGGCAATGCAGAAGAATCGATCGTTCCAGAGCACAGCTCACACTCCGGGCCAAGGTCGATCTCACCATAATGCCGCCCTGGAGCCTCCTCTGCTACCTCCGCCGCCTCCTCCGCCCCCTCATGTTCACAAGCCTTTGACCAAGGATGAGTGCATGAAGATCATCAACTCCGAGTTTCGTTCGCTTCAGTTAGACAGCCGCCTTACCACCATGTCGGTCTTTGATCTCATTGACCATTGCTCCTCGTTGTTTGAGGACCTGAAGGAGCATGCTTACACCACGCTGGGGCTCAAGAGCTACGTCAGAGCGTACTTGATCTTCAACTACTTCATCAACTCCTTCATCATGGTGCATTTCGAAGGGTTCGACCGCTTTCTCAAGCTGAACCAACAGGACTTCATAATATACTTGAACCTTTACAATTTTTTTAGAAGGGAGGATATTATCGGCCGCAACGTCTTTGATATTGACTTGGACACTTTACAGCTTCACATGGACGAATACTTGACATCTCACAACCTCCTATCTTTTGACATTCAAGAGCTTTTCGGCTGGTTGAACGAGTACATTGAATTCTTGAAGCATAAAGATGACGACTCAGAGGAGGAAGAGGAGGACGATCTTGGCCAGGGCTTCACTCAACCTGCGGTTTCGAAGCCTTATTATCAAACGGAACCCACAAACCTGCTCAACTTATCAGAGATCATCAAGCAGGGCGATCCTGCTGAGACAGAAACGGATCCAGATATGTTTGACTTTGCAAATCGGTTCCCTGAGGTGGCCGAAACTCCATACCCTGTGCGCCAATCCAGGCTGTCTTTGACCGAGCCTACCCTCGACAAGCATTACACCCTGCCACAGAACAATTCATCCAGACATGGTACCGGTCATCGTCAGGATACGATTCCACCTGTACCGCACATCCCTCCAGTACCGCAGGTTGCACCGACTCCACACCCGCATCATCCACAAGCCATGAGATCGCAGGAAAAATTGTCATCTGCGCCTTCAGTACAGTCGTTACCAGTTAATGGCGAAGCCATGGCATATGGGAACAATGGCAATTCATTCTACCATCAAACAAGATCGCATATCCAGCTCCCGAACCATCAACAACCCTCATACCCCCAAAACTTCCAGTACCAAAACTCATACCCTAACAACCATATGCATATGCTGCCTCAGGTTCCACACGCACATCAATTTGTGAGTCCTCCAGTCCCTCACTCAAATGGCACTTACTCTGCTCCTTACACTGGCCCAATGATGAACCCTCAGAAGGCGCATACTACTAGCAATCTACAAGCCATGGATGTGCAGAGAGCCAGATACCAAGAAAGGCTACAGAAAACTGAATGGCTACGATCGCATTCAATCTGTGGCCTCAAGAATTTGGGTTCCTCCTGCTACATCAATCTGACGATCCAAGTCATGTTTGGCGTTAGCCGCTTTGTCTCACTTTTCTCAAAGAGGTCCAATAACAATTCCTTAGCGAAGGCAATGAGTCTAACGAAAAATAAGACAATCTTGACTGAGGCAATTGTGGGTCTTTTAAGTACATTCCAAGCAAGCGGTGGCAGCGTTATTGCGCCCACGAAATTCATGAGAGTTGTGTCCCTGCTCAAGCCAAGTTTCAACATTCCTTTCGAACAGCAAGATGCTCAAGAATTTCTCCTTTTCATTATAGACAAAGTTCATGAGGAGTTGGCGAGACAACCCAATGAGGATATGTTGGAGACAGACTACGTGCGTAAATGGGGCGTTGATGTGACTCCCATGGAGAAAGAAGAATATCACAAGTGGTATCGTGCACTTATGAAGGCTGAGGGTGTTTCGCCGGTCAACGACCTATGTCAGGGACATGTACGAAGCCAGTTGGTCTGCAATAAGTGCGGCTGCACCTCAAACAGTTATTCGTCATTTTCGATGCTTTCGCTTCCGATTCCAACGACCCATCTGCCTGTGGTTGACTTGATTGATTGTCTACGTTACTACACCCAGGATGAAACGCTCAGTGGTGAAAATGCGTGGAAGTGTCCGAGATGTAATAAGTCGGAGGGTGACGGCAATCCAATGGATGTCGTATTCCAACAGAAGAGGTCGCTCAAACCGTGGAAGAATAAAAGCTCCAAGAAGCCAAAGGAAAATGGTTCGCCAATGGGCCCCATCAGTATCAAGAAGTTGAGCATTATCAAGTTGCCCCCTGTGTTATTCATCCATTTGTCAAGATTCTCCATGTTCAGCATGACAGATAAACTTAATGCTACAATCACATATCCGTTGCGACTCAAATTCAATCACCAAACTGAAGATGTGCATTACAGCTTGGTTGGTCTCATCAATCATTTTGGTAACCTCAAGAGCGGCCACTACACATCACTTGTCAACAAGTCCAGAGACAAGACTGACAGGTTATTGCACCCAGAGTGGTGTTACTTTGACGACGAAAATTTCAGACTCCATGTCCCTCATGGTGATGTTCGTACTGAGGGTGCTAAGAGGCTTCATTCTCGTGATGTTTATGTATTATGCTATGAGAGGGTTTCATGATGAGCGCTCTAGTCCAATTCAGCTTTCGTCTTCGTCTTCGCTGTCGTCATCATCATCTCCAAATGCGGCGGGTGTCACTTTCTTATTCGTGGAAAGGCCCTTGAGTGATAGGTTTACAGGTTTGTTGGATGCAAAAGTTAGGTTTGTTTTCGTCATCTGCGGCGAGTTAGCCGTGGTGGCATTGTTTGTTTCTTTGCCCTTAGCAATTTGCATCTGGATGAAGTTATTCGATCTATTTTCATCCGACACGAGCTCCTTCTCTCTGGTTTGTTTGGTGTGCAACACCAGTGGGTCCACTAAGCTGATCAAGAGGTCGAACTCGTCCACAGCATCATCGTGAGTCTCGACTCGTATCTTGCCTGTCCTGCCCAAGTACTTAACGAAGGAAGTAAGTGTGTTCCATTTTGTAGCGTTCATATGAACATGGTTCTTGTCATTGAGAATGTATTCCTGGTAGAATTTGTTAGCGTTTATCTTCTTTGTGCCGTGGTTGATTCTTAGAAGCCTTAAAAATTCACGTTCGAATTGCCGCAGGTAGTCTTCCACAACAGACCTTCCCTTTCCGTCTTTGCTGAGATTGGATATTCTACCTAGGTGCGAAGGCGATTGCAAATGGTTCTTGAAACCATTCTGGTCTCTGCACTGTTTCTCGCAAATCTGACAGTAAAATCGTAGTTTTTGGAGGCCCGATGCTTTGAGTTGTTTGGACTGAAACTTAGCGGTGCCAGGATCAGCTCTTCCCATCTTTGTCGGAAGAAGATGTGTTGGTGATGATCATCAGTGAGATCAAGACACAGGAAACTACTTTTGAAGACTATCGGATGTTCAGGAACATATCCCTAAGGCACACGCCAACCCTCCGCTCCTTTCTGAAAACACGGCTACAGACCATAAGAAGCTACCTGGGGCCTCCTGTGAAATCTTACCATGGATTGAGAACACCATTAGCTCTTCTATGGGCAAGGTCACCTCCACAAACTAAGGTATTCGGAGGCTTTGCATTATTGGGCCTTGCTATCGCCAACCTTCATCCAAATACTATCATCACATTGGGTCCTCCACTCGGCGTGGGTGCGTGGTTGGCTCGTTCACGGTATGAAAAGATGGAATACTTTAGACTGGTGAGACAGATACAACCTTCCTCGGCAGAAGAGTTTGAAGATCCCGATCAAAGAATTTGCATAGCTCGGTACAACGAGGAGGATGTCAATCTCGTATTGGAGGGTTTCGACAATCAGTTCCAGTACTTCAAGAAGCAGGTGCTTGACCTTGTGGAGAAACGCATAGTTGACTACATAGCTATGTCTGAGTCTACGCCGCATACAATGTCAAAGGTGATCAAACCACTCATTGACGAGAATAAACAGGTGACTGTGCATTTGGGATCCGATATCGAGACTTTTGTAACAACAAAAGCCGAGGTTCCTGCTCTTTCTGATGATACTATCGTGGAGTTCACAAAGCTCTCGGTGCCTTACTACAATTCCAATAATGTCCAGCGTAGAAAGCGACTTGGGATTGTCGAGGTGAGCTTGCTTGAGATTCCACAGGAGAAGGAGCAGTTCCAAGATTTCCGGATCGGGGTGAAGCTTGTCCAGTACAAGCAGTGGGGCGCTGCCTCCGAATATATAGGTGCTCTTCCAGGACTTGATGTCCAGAAGAGCCTGTTCTGTAAATAATTTATCTGGCCTTGCCGAAGAAGTTGCGTTGGAAGTCGTCAAATCTTCCCCATTGGAAGCAGTTCGAAGCTTCTCTGATTTGCTCCAACTCAGGCATCCAGCTTTGAATGTCATGCACTCTCTTATGTGTGTTGGGATGTGTGGACAAGAACTCCTGAAGCATCCCGCCTCTAGCCATTGGCGCAGCCTGCTTCTCCCAATTCTCCATTCTGTCCCAAAAGTGCACTGCCTCGTGGATATTGAAGCAGGAACGTGCCATCAACTCACATCCAATGCGGTCAGCCTCTGACTCCATCTCTCTAGACGATGGCATCTGAAGCAAGCCGGCAATTAACAAATCGTTGAACCACGAAATACCAGTAGCAGCGTATAAAAAGGTTGAAAGAGCTATATAGATCGGCTGCTTGCTGAGTTGCTCTGAGGAATGGTTTGCCAATTGATGGGAAAGTTCGTGAGCTAGAACGGTGGCAAGACCATCTTCGTTCTTGCAAATGGGGAAAATTGAAGAGAAAATGAAGATTTTGCCGTTGGGCAAAATGAAAGCGTTCGGAGGCTCTTTTCTTGGGTCTTGGACTTGAATAATGCTGATGGACCAATCCAAGCTCTTCAAATGAGCAGCTTGTTTGGGATCAGCGGTATTGTCTATAGCCGACGCAAGTAATCTGTTCATGATACTCCGGATCTTGTGGTACTGAGGATCCGAAGAGGGCAACAACTGACCACCGAATTGGGAGATGATCTGCGAGTAAGAGTAGTCACCGATCTTCCTCTCCATCCAGTAAGGCACCCATAGGAATCTGTATCTGTGTGTGAAGGGAGCCTCGTTAAGATTGTATAAATAGAATGCCACGCAGCCGCCCACAAAGTATTGGAAGTTTCTGTTTCTTATGATATCGTGAACGGTGAAGTTGGATCGTGAGCTGTTCCTGAAGCCTTTGTAAGTGGCATAGCTGCGATTGAAATAAAGCCTGCTGTGGATTTCAGAATTGAATCTAGCCCTTGAAGCATTTTGCCAAAGTGGGCGTAGAGGTGCCCTGGTGAAGCGGAACATGAGGGAGTAGATAGAATAGAAATTGAGAGCTTCGCGACATACATAGAGATCATCACTACATTCCCAATTGAGCGAGCAGTATAAGCCATTAATAAACTAATCAGCGAGCAGCCAGCACTCACTTAAATACAACGTCAGGTTCCTCCTCGTCAAAGCGTTCTGTGGCGATGTTGTTGTCGAAGTTGCCCTCGATATTACCAATGCCACTGTACGCCGTTTTCCGAGGAACAGACTCCGTCTTCGGCGTGTCAACTTCCTCTTCTGTGACCATCAAATTATTTTTCTTCGCCTCGTCGCTGTCAGCCTCAGCGTTCACTCGTTGGAAGTAGATGTGCTTCTGGCGCGGCGTGGAAGTGCGGTCTTCGTCATCTTCGTCATCCCTTGAGGGCACTTGGACAATGTAATTTTCGTTGATAGCGTCGTTTTGGAAGTAGTCCTTAATAAGCTCTGTGCTTGAGTTATTGTTGACCGGCACTTGGGGCCTCTGCTTGACTGACACTGTTGCGGCTCTAGAAGGAAGTTTATCGAATAGTTGGGAATGGTGGAGTTGCTTGGCAAGGTTCTCTAGCGAGCGGTTATTGTTACCATTGTGGTTGTTACCATTGTGGTTGTTTGAACCTGTGGCCATGACCAGGCTGCCGTTGAGGCCCGATCCGCCTATTAGACTTGTGTTGCTGCTGCTTACGGACGACTTGCCGTCGTGATGAACCGCAGGCGGTGGTTGCGTCAACTCACTGAGGTCGCCGGCGGTGGAGTTATGCGAGCCCAAGATGGGGATGAATGTGTCGTAGACGTCGTAGGCCGACGGAGATTTTTGGTGCAAGCCAGGCGAGCTGTTGTAGGAGGCGGGGTGAGGGACGTAGCGGGCGCTGTTGCCGTTCAACACGCTAGGAGGAGGCGTGAAGAAGTTGGCCTTCTTTTGCTCACTAAAGGTGTTGCTAGCAGACAGACCTCTCGACAGGGAGGTGTTGTCGCCGTGCACATCCAAGTCTGTGGACAGCACCTGTTTCTCGTGGGCGGTAGCGGAGTCCGAGCCCTCTTTTTTATCGTAGTTCTGCTGTCTATGCAAGGCGTCCTGGAACTGGTTGAAGGAGTTGTCGTCTCTGAGCTCCACGTCGATATCCTGCTCCATTGTGTCCTCTTTTCTCTGGCGCTTCCGATTTCGAAAGTAGAACACGACACAGAGCACGAGAATGACAAAGCATGGAATACCCACGGAGAGGCCCACAGCCAAGGAGTTATCGTAACCCATGGGGTTTTGCGGTGGCTGAGGATTAGGGGTGTTGTTCGTTCAGCTAGATGTTCTGCGAGGAGAACAATAAAAAGATACACAAGCGAAGGGACGATATTACTGAGCGAAGGTCGGGTTCATTAACGAAGGCTGGAGGAGTTTCGGGCTGGAGGAAACGGCTCTTGCGGTTGGCGTTTTCCAGGATCTTTGCACTCCCGTAATAAAATGTTTTCTTATGAAAGAGAACCCGGTGCGGAAAAGGGGGATGTGCTAGGGCGGAGCAGACGGTTATGGTCTGATAGCGACGGAGGGTGGGATAGCAAAAAAAGCAGAACGCACGGAGGTGGCAGATAATGGAGGTTGTCTTAACTTTTTTTTTTTTTTTGGAGCCCTGTCTCTGTCCACGCCAGCTTCGACCTGTCTCAGGTGGCTCAGGCAGGCTTTTCCGAGGCGCTGAGTCGGGGGTGCACCGGGGAACAAACCGGCCGTCGCTCCTATTGCTCTCACGTGATATCCGGTGCCATTTTGGGCAAACTTCCGGGGGGCGCTGTCAGCGGCTCTCAGCAAATGTCGAGCGCTCGCCTGGAGTTCCGGTTGCGACAGTAAGTGCTGGCTTTTGAAAAAAAACTTAAAGAAGCACTTTCTATTTTTTTTTTTTTTTTTTTCAATTTCTCCGGTCCTTCTCTCCTCGACTTCCGGTGGTGCCCTGCCAGCGTTTTGTTTGCGCAGCCTCCGGCGCCCAGCAGCACCTCTCCTAAACCCCCTGGGCGCTGGCCCAGTGCACCCTCCTGCGCCCGCCGGCGGAACCAGCACGAGATGCCTCACTCTCCACGATTTTCCACTTAAACATTTTTTTCTTTTTTTCGGCTTTCGTTTTCAATAATTTGCAATCTGTGGTGGTGAAACGTTCTCTTTTTCTTTCTTCAATTGAGCTCCCCCTGGGGCGGACCCCCTGGGGCGGTTGGCGGTAATTCTCGGTGGAGTGCAGTGAGTGCAGCGGTAGAGCTGTTGCGGACACCAGACGCAACGCTTTGCCCAGGCTTTGGGGGACCATTTGCGGAAAGTTGAAAAAGCGAGAAATAAAAGGAAGGGCTTTCCTGGCGCCCAGCAAGGCACTAGGCCCGTTTTGTGGAAATCATCCCTTGCCTATTTTCCCCCTTTGTGCTGTCTCTCAGTTGCTGCAAATGGTCCTGACGTCGTGGCTCCCTGCGCAACCTCCCGCACCATTCCGAGGGTGCCCAATCCGGTTGATCTGATTCGGCTGAAAAATGGCCCATTGGCCGCTTCAGGTGCCCAGGATTTAGACGAACCGGGCCTACCTCTCCCTTATTGTTCAAGTCCGCTTTCGTGAAATCTCTGCAAACAACCAAACTCTTCAATCTCTTAAGCTTCTCTCCGTATCTTTGCACGCCCCGTCGATGTCACTGTTGCCGCATTCGGCACCCTTCTGACTGGAATCGGCCCACGACTTGGCTGCAAACTGGACCGCAGCAGCTAATTTTGACACCTGCAACGGCTTTATTTAGTTTTGGCGAAGCGTGGTTTTTGACATATCTAGCGGAGGCGTGGCACCTGACCGGGCTTGACTGGTATGGCCTGCTATGGCCTGGCGGAATCGGCAGCTCAACTGGGTATTTTCGTCTATCCACTCACAATGTGCTCGTCTAGAGCGCTATATTTAGACCTTCCACATACCCTGCTCCAATGCTTCGTAGTGGACGTTCGTGAAATCTCTTCTACATCTCCTCTGCAATGGCTCCAAGCGGCTTTTAATATATACGAAGCTCGCTGTCTAGCCAAGGAATGGCTTTCACTCACCACAGCCTCGACCCAGCCTGCTCGATCCCGAACGCCAAATCACCATGCTTCTCTTCCGTCGATCTGCCTTACACACAATCCCAACGTTCTCCATTAGCTATGTACATATTTTCTTGTCCGTGAGCCTCGCTGTGCTGTACTGGGCTCTTACAACTCAAAGTCCACCGACGCATCCTTGGCCAAGTCGATCACCTCACCCGAGTCCGTCTCCAACGTCCATGCGTGAATGTCGAAAGGCACCAATTTGGACAATCTCGTGGCGTTGAGGTGCAAGTTTCCTCCGCCGGTGTCACCCTTAACCTGGAACGTGATGTCGATATTGCCCTTCACGGTGTTGAGCGTGCCCCAGATCCACGGCCACAGGCTCGCGAACCCGATATTTGGACCAAGTGCAGCCTTAGCATGTTCGGATCTTCTCAAGCAGTAGAGCACAGAGTTCACGATGGGTGACCTCGTCTTCTCGTAGTTGAAAATAAGCACGCACGAGAGCGTCGTGCCCACGGCGTAGGCCCAGAAGTATCTTCTGTTCTGCTTCTTCTTTTTGAACGGATCGGGCAATTCCCTCTCCACCGACACGGGGATCGACCTCACCAAAGTGTCCAGAGCAGGAACACCATCGTCAAGGTGCTTGTGCGCAGCCTGGCTGCTATTGAGCCTGATAGACTGTAACAAGGGCTGCGGGGTTGCAAGACCACGCCATATTGAGGGAAGAGCTTTTGCCCGTCCTATGCGGAATCCAAGTTGAAGCATGCTGGTTTTGGTGGTATGAGCAAAGTTTGATAGTGGCAGTAAGTATTGGTGTACGGGGGTGGCAGAGGCAGCACCGCAGGGACTTGGGTGACGAGGTGGGGGTGGGATGTTGAATGAGAGGTATTTAGGATGATTTTTTGGTCTTGGTCAATTTGCGGGGCTAGCTTTTATGATTTCGTGGCTTTTTGATTTCTTGAGTGGTTTTTTGAATTTTCTTGATGGTTGTTCGTATTGATACTTTGAATCCATAACTATGTAACCAAGCCAATGCACTTCTCATGCACAGCTCAGAAGAAAGCTCTAATATTGCAATCACTTTCATCGCATTCAAGCGGTTCCAACAAGGAATTTCCTCGTGTTGTTCTGGAAATCTACATCCTTTGCAATCTACGCTTTATACTGTCGCTACCACTACATAGCTTTATGTTATAAACTGTCATTATCGTTAGGTATATTGAAAAAAATAAAATGGACAACGGCCTTTGACGACCCTTGGCCATAGCGCCAATGACCATGCGGCACCTCGTTTTAATCATAATTCACACTTGCAGACAAACCAGTCTAGGGTATCGTAGCCTCTCAACAGCTCAACGCCTTTAGCTTCAGCAAAGCTTACATCAAGACACTGGCCCAAAAACTTGATCATCTGCTGGGCTCCAACGGTTCTCTTCGGGATCAAGATGTAGCACCCTGCGATTCCCAACTTCTCTTCACACATTTCTACAAAATCCACACATGAACGCAAGGAATCTTTTGCAACCAACGCTTGGACCCCCTCCGTGCTCATGAGAAACACGCCCATTGGGTTCTTAGCAGGTAAAGGTTCAATCCACCCATCTAGTAGATGGACATGACGCGTACCCCGCCGAACGCTTACCTTCATAGCGGAGCGGGAAATCAGAATTGCGAAGTCACAGACACGACGGAGCTGACGGAGCTAGGAAAGAACACTGATTAAGCTGAGCAGCAGCGGTGTTGTAGTTGGCAACCTTGTCAGCACCCAAGCAGCTACCGGAGGCACCGGTAACTGGACGATAGCGATTCAGGTCATATTCTGGTTCTGGGATGTTCATTGTGGTGGAAGATTATTTGGGGTTTTGTGTATCAGGAATGAGATTGTGGTTCGTGATAAGAAACCAGGACCAGGCATTAGCGGACCTACAGTGCGCTAAGTCATGTGATGCGGGTCAGGAGACATTGGTAGCTAATCGATAGATATTGCATTTGAAGGCGGTTGAACTCTTAAAGGGTTCAAGAAAAATATGAAGGAGACTTGTTCGATGCTTTTTAACAGGTATTTTATTGAATTGTGATCAGGCTTAGCAATTGTTGACAGTGGCTTGGTGATATTATTTATGGGTGGAGTATGGTGCCCTATGGCATTGAGGTGTGAAGGAGAAGATAACTTTCAAATATTTGAAGGATGAACAAAATCGAAACTAGTCCCATTCCGCTATTTCACGATTTTGTGAATTTTGACAATTCATTCGAAGTGACTCCCAGTCCCACAAAGCGCATCGCTCTATGAGACTTCTACACACAACTTGTGCACTAGTACCTCATCGGATCAAAGAACCAATCTGTTATCCACCATGGCAAAGAAAGGTATGCTGACAAAAGCATAAATAGATTTTCCTTTTTAGAACCATCATATACTAACAGCAGTTTCTAAACACAGCAGGGCCGCCCGCAGAGGTGAGATCAACCTCGATGGTGAAGCAAAGTCCTTGGCCACGTTGGCCAAGGGAGAGAACAGCGATGTTCGTAAATCCATTATCAGAACCACCATCAAGAATGAAAATCTTTTAGCGAAGAAGATGGAGAATGATGCCATCCGCAAAAAGTCCAACAAGAGAAAGACCAGTGCCTTGAAACACAAGTTGGATAGAAACCTGAAGCTTGACGGTGTGTTGGCCAGCAAGATTCAGCAGAGCATAGACCGTGCCAAATACGTGCAGACGGCAAGAAAGCTGGGCTGGGACCAGATCAACAAGGGCTTGAATGTGAGGCCCGTGGAGGATTTGAAGAAACAGGATAAGCCAAAGCTGGAGGAAGAGATGGCGATGGACGAGGAGGATGCATATGTGGAAGAATTCTTCAAGGATACTAAGCCCGAGGAGGAGGAAGCTCAGAAAGCACCAAAGCCAGACCAGAACGCTTTTGCATTGCTTGAAGAGACCGAGGCTTAAAGGGAGGTTTGATCAATTTTCACCAACTCTGTACATTAGACAATGGGTATATACGTTTTGAACACGGCTTGATTGTATTTTCGGCACCAACGGCTCCGTAATAATGGAACCCACAGAAGCTGACCTGCATACAACCAACCATGGTGTAGATTTCCAGCTACTTCTTCCGGCTGCAACATCACCAAGAACTCTCCAAATCAAAGCTATGAAATTTCTGCATTTGGCTTTGCTCCTGGCTCTGGCTGTCACGGCCCTAGCCGAGCAATTTGTGCCTTTTGACCAATCACAGCTTCAGGAAGATTCCTTCCTTGAACAGTTCGATTACCCGTCTCTTCTCGAATCAGGATGGGTGCCTTCCCAGAGTCAGAAGTCAGGACCTTACGACTACTTTGGCAAATGGAAGATTGCCGATAAGTCCAAGTACCAGGCATTTGAAAACGAGAAAGGTTTGCTTATGGCGAAAGAAGCAGCCTACTACGCGATCTCCAAGAAGCTTCCTCAGACCTTTGTCAAAGGCGGAAACGGTGATCTAGTTGTTCAATTCGAGGTAAAGTTTCAGGAAGGCGTTTCGTGCAGCGGTGGGTACATCAAGCTTCTCAGCGAAGGAACGATCGAGGAGGAATTCAGTGACAGGACTCCATTTGAGGTGATGTTCGGACCTGACATTTGTGGATCCGAAAGCAAGGTGCACTTCATTGTGCGCAAGCACGACGAAGAAAGCGGCGAGATGGTGGAGCACCGACTCAAAAGACCCCCAATGGCTAGAAACAACGTTCTCACCAACTTGTACACGTTGGTTTTCAGGGCCGACGGAAGCACCGAGATCAGACTCAATGGAGACGTGGCCAAGGCCGGAAACGCATTCACGTCTTCGAAGTTCATGGATCCGCCATTGTCAGAGCCCGAGTATATCGAGGATAAGACTGCGAAGAAGCCAGACGACTGGGACGACGAATTCTTCATTCCTGATCCCGAGGCAGTAAAGCCAGACGACTGGGACGAGGTTTACGGCAGTCCATGGATTCCCGACCCCGCCGTCAAGAAGCCCGACGGCTGGAACGATGACCCTGCTGTGCCCAGTTCGATCCCCAACCCCAAGGCTACGAAACCGGCTATGTGGCTCGAGGAAGAGGACGGCGAGTGGACTCCGCCCATGATGAGAAATCCCGAGTGTCTCCATGGCTGCGGCGAGTGGAAAGCCCCGAGGTGCCCAATCCAAAGTACAAGGGAATTTGGACCGCTCCGCTGATCCAAAACCCTAACTACATGGGTGTGTGGAGGACGCCCAAGATCAAGAACCCACGTTTTGGCAACGAGGACCATTCGCACTTGATCGGACCTATAGACGCATTGGGCTTTGAGCTCTGGACAATGACACAGGGGGTGCTTTTCACCAACGTCTACCTCGGTCGCTCTGTGGAGGAAGCTGAGCGGATCGGCAACGACACCTTTGTCCCCAAGCAGCAACTCGAGTGGGACTCCTACAAAGCCAACAAGCCCAAGCCCGAGCATGACGCCAAGCCGCCTCCACCAACGTTTGAGGACTATCTTGACGAAGACAGCGAGAACTTGGTGCACGACGCCATCCAGCTTATTGTCCTTTTCTACAAGTCGCTCTACAACGACGCCATGGACTACTGGGCCGATTTCCAGGCCGATCCTGCAATTGCAATTTCGCAAAACCCCGTCAAGTTCGCAGTGTATTGCGCCATTGGAGCGGTCGGGCTTACGGTCGTATTCGTGGCCGTCAACGTGGCGATGTTTGTGGCGCTCCAGGCTAAGAATGCAGCGGGGCCCACGGGGCGTAACGGTTTGACAGGTGATCCAAACACACCAGCTACGCTGCGAAGCGAAGCAAAGCCTCAAAATGCCGCCGTCGCTAAAAACGAGGGCGGTAGCGCAAAAACTGGTGGAACGCAAGTTGCAACAGGCACGGAGCAAATAGACCCCGTGGGTGGGTCCACAGGGGCCAGTGCTGGAGACGTTGACGGATTGAGGAAAAGGGCCGCTGGAAACTAGAGAGGAAGAAACAGCTTGGGAATTTGGCTTTTGGGTAGTAGGTTTGAGCGCTGCGCGGGAGACAGAGCGGTTTCGAAAGCGGTCACAAAATCAACGATTCGGCCACAAAGCCAGCTGTAGCGCCGGTCCCCCCCCCCCCCCCCAGGGCGCTTGTTCCTGGAGACTTTCTTTGTTTCACAAGACGTTAGGCAATTTCGCAATCACATCCATCAGTGTGCCTGTCCTATTGTGAGGGCTGTCTTCTACAGGGCTTAGTGCGCACATGGGCCATAGAAGTATTAGAGGAGCAGACAGCAAAAGGTGGAAAAAAAATCCCGTTGCTGATACCAGATCACAGGGCTCAGTTTCAAACCACTGCCCCTTTGCTAGGGCGCAGCTCTTGATAGCTTTGCCCATTGTCAGGGCGCAGTGGTTGAGAGAGTTGCCCATACTAAGAGCACAGACGACGTGCATGTGCGTCGCCAGAACAATGCATCATCTGCAGCAGGCCACCAAAACGCAAGTTTGGTTGCAGACAAAGGTTGAGTTTTAGCTCTCCTTGCCTCACGTGGCGGCCCTGCCATGGAAAATCGCCATCTCTCATGAGACACTAACCCACGTTGGGCTAAATTGCGGGCGTATAAAGACCCCGGCTCTTTCCCTCCACAAATGGTCTTTATCGGTGTTATCTCACAACAAGCAGTGTACACACCCTTACCCCATTTGTTAATTGCCTGCGCCTAACATGTCGATTGGAACCGCGAACACCTCTAACAGAAGAGGTAACGTCACCAAGTTCACTAGACTCGCATTTGTCTTGGTTACAGCAGCCTTTTTGGTGATTTTTGACATAACTCTTCCCGCCGCCGCCGCCATGAAGATTAGACTCTACACAAACAACATCAGATACGACAACAAGAACCTTGTTCCTGGAGAGCACGAGTGGAGTGAGAGAGAGCCATTGGTCTCTGAGAGCATCAGATTCCACACCCAGGCTGGTCCTTCCGTGGTGTGCTTGCAGGAAGTGCTCCGCAACCAATTGGAGGACATCTTGGGCGACTTGAACCTGAAGAACAAGAACGAGTGGGACTACTACGGTGTGGGCCGTACTGACGGAAAGTACAAGGGTGAATACGCCCCAATTCTCTTCAGAAACGACGACTGGAACGCCATTGAGAAGAAGACCTATTGGCTCAGCCCTACCCCAGACAAGCCTTCCAAGGGCTGGGACGCTGCGCTCGAGAGAATTGTCACCACGGTGATTTTGGAGCTGAAGCAGAGTGGCCAGAGAGTGAAGGTGTTGAACACCCACTTTGACCACAAGGGTGTCACTGCCAGAAGAGAGCTGGCCAAGTTGCTCATGAGCAAGATGGAGGACGGTTCTGAGATTCCTTTCTTGTGTGGAGACTTCAACACCGAGCCCACTGACGAGCCATACCACCTCTTGACCGACGGAGGCTTCAAGGACGCTAGAATCCAGGGCAAGGGCTACGGCTATAACTCGACCTTCAGTGACTTCACCCGTGACCACGAGGCCAACACCATCATTGACTACATCTGGTCTGGCGACGACAGCCACTGGCAAACATACGGTGTGGTTCCCAACTACTTTGACTTTTACATGAGTGACCACAGACCCGTCATTGCCGATTACGAGATCTAAATCGCGCTGCCGCTGATATCGGCGCCTAAAAGTTTTTGACATTTGGACATTCTTAGCGACCGCTTCATTCGAATTGATATGTTTTCTACGTGTGTGTAAGCAGCCGGCTTCCGTGGTGGAGAGCAAAGCTTCCCCATTGGCCTTATGTAGGGTGCCTTGAAGTGCCCCACTTCGTTTCTCTCCTCTGTTTAGTCATCAGCAACACCTGACAACCTGAGATTGTAATTCTTTGGTTTGCGGGCTTCAATTCAAATCTCGCTGAAGGCTGCTTTTAACGAATCACAGCAGATTTTAGGCTAACCCCGAATTTACCACCAACGAACAGTGCTCATGTACTAATGCATCGTGAATCTCGTTTACGTGGTGAATCCTGGGGGCATACAGTGTAGCACAAAAGCAAGCCTGTGGAAATACCATTTGAGTTTAAAGCTTAAACACCAGAGGTCATTGAATTGATTTTTCAGTTGGTTATAGCGGAGAAGGCCAAAGATGGAGAACAAGGAAGACTGCCAGCATTCTTCCATCGTTTTGAGCCTCGGGGTCCGTGGATATCGGGACGAAAAAATCACTCAACCCCATCGGAAAGAGGATATCCTAGGATCTACGGTGATCGGAAAAAACCGTATACTCGGACACGAGGATACCCACGGCTGAAACTCAAAATGGTGATTCAATTGATAGGAATAAAAAATATTTCTGGAAAAGCAGGGGCACCAGCAAAACGCCTTGTGTGTTGGGTTCCCGGGGCATTGTTTCCAGAGGTCCCCTGGGTCCCGAATTCCAGAAGAACATGGACTTTTTTCTTGGACTCCGGGGTCCCCCTCCAACACTCAGTCCACTTTGCTTTTTAATTCTGCCCCACCACCTCTGTTTGGGTGGTCACCAGACCGAAAAGGCGAACCCCACTGCCCCACTTCCTATCCGTTGGCGAAAACCGGGATCGTGAAATCCCGGGAATGGTTGTTGGGCAGGGCGAGGCGTAGAACAATGGACAGCTGGCGAAGATCGTTGATTTTAGAGAGGAAGAACAGCAGAGAAAAAAATAATAGTGTAGCAGGGGACAATGAAACATCAAGAAATCTGTAGGTGAGGCTTGGGCGTGGGAAACGGATCTGCAGCACCCTGCGCCTCGAACAAGAAACTCAATTGCCGTGGTAAGGGTGACGCCTTTCTTCAAAGAGCAAGAAGTACATGCAATCAAAGCTAAAGGTGAATGTTGTTGCCTGAAAATTCTGGCGGTGCTGCTTGCTTCCAGAGGGTGGAGGACTGCGTGCAGGAGGTGGGGCAGTTTTGCTAATGCCGCATGAAGGAAGCGTGGGATTATTGTTTCAACGGCTGAACGCGTTGCAGAGTGTCTAATATACGAGATAGGCCTGCTGATACGGCCGTTTTTCGGTGAAACCCGTTGGTGGCAGAAGCTGGAGCAGGTCGAAAAACTTTTTTTTCCCAACCCACCCCTCCGCGCGGGACTTTGTCGCTTTGACAGGTGCGCTGACAGCAGAATGGCATAATTTACGTTCGGCGCAGGAAAAAGCTGGGCGTTGGCTTGCAATAACTCCATGCTCCAAGGCGGTTACGGTAGTTTGTGATGGGGTTCTTGTGTTATTTGCAGGAAACCTTGCTACTTCAGGCCCCGGGTGACTCACCAAGGCCGTAAAAGCCGTATTGTCTCCAGCAAGTGTCTGGAAACCGCGCTTTAAATCCTTATTGTGGGACTTTCAAACAATACAGCGGCGTGGGGGAGGAGCCCGAGATTCTCGGTGGGGCACTCCGAATCTCCACCAGCTCAAGCCTCCGAGCTCCATGCAAAACCACCCCTCCAGCACAAAAAAAAAAAAAAAAAAAAAAAAAAAAGCTCCGGGTTCCCTATTCCAGTCAGGTGCCCCACGGTATCAGATCATACGGGCTCGGCTACGCTGAGAGGTTGAGAGAGTTATGCACCCCGCATTGTGGGGCACGCGGCGTACGCTTTTGTACGGTCCGTGAATGCATCCGAGCTCGCTTTACTGCTTTTAATAGCCGCTCCACTCAACCTTCTTTGCGGACTGGAGACAAGGCTGATAGTCGATTGACCAAAAGAAGGGAGGGGTGCGGGGCGCTGGAGTAGCAGCCCGGAATCAGCCCTTCGTGCTGCAAAAAAAAAAAAAAAGTCGGATTCTTTGTCCCATGTAGCCTATATAAGTTGCACCCGTTCTGCTGATTTTGTCGTATTCTCCATCACCAGCCATGGCCTCCATCACCTCTTCCATGCACCTGGAGTACGTCAAGGAGCACAACAAGCATGTTATCCAGCCTCCTCGGTTCACCTCCAGGGCTATCAAGAAGTACCTCTCCACCCGAGTATCGTCGCTTTTTCCTTCCAGAGAAGAGATTCGTTCTTACTCAAAGCGGGAGCTCTTCAACCCGTTCTACCCATTGAAGCAGATGACTTGGCACCACTGGAACTACTTCTTCATGGGTTTCGCAGGCTGGACCTGGGATTCCTTTGACTTTTTCACTGTTTCGTTGAACACCCACGAAATCGCCGAAACGTTCGATAAATCCGTCACCGACGTCACCTGGGGCATCACCTTGGTGCTCATGTTGCGTTCGGTGGGTGCGTTGATTTTCGGTTTCTGGGGTGACAGATACGGCCGTAAATGGCCCTACATCATCAACTTGAGTCTTTTAGTTGTGTTGCAAATTGGCACTGGTTTTGTGAAAACGTTCGAGCAGTTTTTGGGCGTCCGTGCTCTTTTTGGCGTAGCAATGGGCGGTATATTTGGTTTCTCCTTGGCCACCTCTTTGGATGACGTTCCTGTCGACTGCAGAGGTGTCTTGTCGGGTATTTTCCAAGAAGGTTACGCTTTTGGCTACCTTTTGACTGTCATTTTCAACAGAGCCATTGTTCCAAACTCGCCCGAAGGCTGGAGATCCATTTTCTGGTTTGCTGCCGGTCCTCCAGTGCTTTTCATCATCTGGAGAGCTTGTTTCCCAGAAACAGACACCTACATTCGCCAGAAGGAAATCATGGAAAAAGAGCAGGAAAACAAGCCCGCCGCCAAAAAATTCTTCACCATGTCGGACTCCGCCAAGGAGGCCTTCAGACGCTACTGGCTCATGATGATCTACTGTGTGTTCATGATGGTTGGTTTCAACTTCATGTCTCACGGCTCCCAGGACTTGTACCCTACATTGTTGAAGGTGCAATTGCAATTTGGCGAGGACAGATCCACTGTCACCAACGTTGTTGCCAACTTGGGTGCCTTGTTTGGCGGTTTTGTGTGCGGTCACTTTTCCACCTTTATCGGCAGAAGATTGACTATTCTTTTGGCGGTGATTTTGGGTGCCGCCATGATCTACCCATGGGCTTACTTGCGTACTGGTGCCATTAACGCTGGTGCTTTCTTCTTACAAGCAGGTGTGCAAGGTGCCTGGGGTGTGGTTCCAATCCACTTGTCTGAATTGTCTCCTCCAGCCTACAGAGCCTTGGTGGTGGGTCTTTCGTACCAGTTGGGTAATTTGGCTTCCTCAGCCTCCTCCACTATCGAGAGTAGAATGGGAGAAAACTGGCCCGTGAGAGCCCCAAACGGTGAAATGGTGTACGACTATTCCAAGGTGATGGCCATTTTTATCGGTGCCGTTTTCGCCTACATGTTCTTCATTATCTTGATTGGTCCAGAGAACAGAGGTGCTGACTTTAACATGATGAGAGACGCCAAGATCGAGGATGACAGTGTCCACAGCTCTGGTGAAAGAGATGACAGCTTGGACTCTCTTAACAAGAAGGATGTTGCTCATATCGAGAATGACGATCTTGAGAAGAAGGCTGAAATCACTCACATTGAGGTCGACCCCAAACAGTAATTATGTATTTGAATATTAAGCCGCAGCCCTCTGGACAGGGCTGGTTGTACTAAAAGAGAATCCTGTAAGTCTATTATAATATGCACGGGGAAGTTAAGCTTCTGTGTTAAGCTTTTGATTGGCATGTCTGGTATGGATTAATGCTGGTCCCTTGTCTTAAAGTCACGCAGGGTGATACCAGAGTTGTCACACATCTGCCTAAAAATTGACCTTTCTGAATTGAAAAGGTTTGACGGTGTGTCGAATTCGGAAATAGCACCTTGATCTAAAACCATCACACGGTCGTAGTTCACAATAGTCTTGAGACGATGGGCAATACAGAGAATGGTACAGTCACTGAACTCTCTTGCAATCGCTTTCTGCAACTTGCTATCGGTGGCATAATCAACGCTTGAGGTTGCTTCATCAAGAACAAGGATCTTGCTGTTTCTGACCAAAGCCCTCGCAAAAGCAACCAATTGCCTCTCACCCAAAGAGAAGTTTTCACCGTCGTCTTCAACCTCACCGTCCAAGTGAAATTTGCTAAAATCTTCGTCGTCTGGCTTTTGGGTTTTCACTTTCTCTAGCTTGTCTTCTGGAATAATGTCAGCCCTAGTCAAGGTATCCCACAATTCGTCATCCGTTTTTGTACCAAATGGATCCAAATTTTTTCTGATTGTTCCTTTAAACAAAATAGGGTCTTGCGGAATGATCGAAAGTTTTGACCTCAAGGCGTGTAATCCCAAAGTAGCGGTGTCAATGCCATCAATAACGATGGAACCGTGATTCAATTCTGCGATTCTGAAAAGTGCAACCATGATGGACGATTTACCAGCACCAGTACGACCGCAGATACCAATCTTTTCATGTGGACGGATTTGGGCGCTGAATTTCTTCAAGGTAAGTGGCAAGCCTTCCCTGTAAGCGAAACCAATATTGTTGAATTCAATTGCACCCTTGTCCGGCCATTCTGGAGGAGGTGTGGTCTCGGAAATCTCATACGCTTTCTCTTGTGGAAGCTTGTAAGCGTATTCAAGAATTCTTTCGGCCGAATTCAAATCTTGCTCCACTTTGGTGAAGATGACCACAAACATGGAGATTTGGTTGGAAATTTGCATGACATAAGACAACAACAAACCGACAGAGGAGGGATTGATATCGAACACACGGAAGACGCAAAGAAAAGAAATCAATAATGCAAAGCATGAGGCTAATATAGCCAAGTGATCATCAAGCCATGCCTGAGCAGCCAAGGTGATAAAGTATGCCTCACTTGTTTTGTCTATGGTGTTGGAGTTCGTTTTCAAAAATCTGGGTACCAGCCCAAAGCTTTTGATGGTGGGCATTCCGGTGAGTGCTTCATTGAAGTTGTTGTAAATGTGAGATCTTTGCACTGCTTCCAATCTCTTGACTTCTCTAGCAGATGCTTGGTAGAAGGTAGCAACAACAATAAAAGCTGCAACAATAAATGGAACTGCAATTGCAAACCAGGGCATGTAAATGATGCACAAAATGACAACACCAACGATATTGGCAAAGAAATAAATGAGCATTGCAATTTGGTCTCCTAACTCATTATCCAAGACGTCTGTGTCTTTCGTGAAACGGTTTATCACTCTGCCCATAGGAGTGGTATCCATGTACGACATTGGAACGTGGAGAATTCTCTTTAACGCCTTTATGTTGAGGATTCTGGAAGCCCTATTCAAGACATAAATGATCCCGCAAAATTGAGATGCAACAAACACAATGGCAAGTACAGTGAACATGACATAGAGGCCAATGTAGAACCCGTTGGAACGATCAAACTTCAAGGAAATCCAGAATGACAACCAATTATTAGTGAACAAGGACGTGAAGGTCGCAAAGACTAACATAACGATAACGACGTATAGCAACCAGTTGCCCTTAAAACCATCGAGACCCGTCAATACAAACCTTCCATAGACATCCCAGCCAATTGCATTAACTGACTTGTGTTCTTCTTGAATCAACTTTCCATCTGAGAATTCTTTGATGCTGTCATCGTTGACCTCAAGAGTTTGCGTTGTTGTGTGTCTGGTTAACTGCTTTTCAATGAAATCCTTTTCGTTTCGTATTTCTTCAACAGCTTCTTCTTCCTCGATTTCCTCATCCTTTTGGCTATGATCCATGAGGGCATTAAAAGCTGGGCTTTTGTTCTTGAGTTCAGCAAGGCTTCCTTTGGTAATTGAGCCATCGCCGTTCAAGAATATCACAGAATCCGCCTCACTAATCAAGGAGAGCTGATGTGTAGCAAGTACCCTGGTCTTGTCCTTCAAAAGCCCCAAAATACACTCGTTCATGATATGTTTTCCGACTTTTGCATCAACAGCACTCAAAACATCGTCAAGAAGAATAATATCACTTTTTGCATAAACGGCTCTTGCTAAACAGACACGAGCTTTTTGACCACCCGAAAGAGTGATACCACGTTCTCCGATTTCGGTTCTGTCACCAGCAGGAAGTATATCAAAGTCACTTGTCAAGGAGCAAGCTTTCACAACCCTGTCATACCATACTTCATCAAAAGGCAACCCAAACAAAATGTTCTCCTTCAAAGTACAGTTCTGAATCCAAGGAGCACCACACAAAAGAAGGGAGCCGTTGAGGAGCAATTTTCCTGAGTTTTTCTTCATGGTCCCGTCAATAGCGTGAAGTAGGGACGACTTACCAGAGCCGATAGAGCCTGTGATGACCACGAATTCACCCTGCTTCACGGTAAAATCGATGTTATTAAGTTTGAAGGAGGAGAGTTCCAATGACATCTCTTCCGAGTCAGGGGAAGAGGATTTCGGTGCGTTCTTTGCTTTCTTCATTTCCTTTTTCTTCCTCTTCAAGTCTGCCTTTTCCTTCTTCAACTGTTCGATATCTTTCGTGAGATCAACATCCGTCTCCTCCTCAACATCAAATGTCTCCCACTCAAAGTCACAGCTATGCAATGCAATAGAACACTTCTCGTCATCCATTGAAATTTTATCCTTTTCACTTATGAGGTGGACAGAGTCGTTGGGATCCAATTCCTCTGCTGCCAAAACCTCAGCTACTCTGTTCATCCCGAGAAATGCATCAACAGATCCAGCAAGTGCCAATGGGACAATCACAAACTGGGATGCCAACATATTAAAGAGCGCCACGGATGAGAATATGGTGGCTGGATTTCGGGAGTTTGAGGGGGCAATAGCATAGAGGGTGAGAAAAGAAGCCATGGCACTGATCAAGGTTAACGAGGTGGCCAATGTGATGATGATCATTCTGATGAACTCCATTTTGAGAATGAAGGACATTTCCCTGCGTCTGATTTTCGATATTAGGTTGAAGTAGGGAACTTCCCACGAGTAGAATTTGATCATCTTCAAGTTGTTAAGGAGCTCCTTGACGTAACTGACTCTTGCATCTGTGTTCTTCTGAGCAGCCACCCTGAACTTGAAAAGAAATACACTCAAGATACCCGCGATGAACATGAACGCTATCATGAGGCCAATGCCCACCATTGCAGGGGCCTTTATATTGTACACAAGTATTCCGATGGCGATTGCCACAGGACATACAACTGGAAAGAGCTTCACTGAAACACCTGCTCCCATATCGACACGCGAGACGTCTGTACTCATTATGGCGGTGAGCTTTGAAGCAGTAAACTTCTTTCGAGACTTTGCACTGAGCTTGAAGGATTTTTCTAGAAGGAGAGTCGTGAGAATCGCTCGTATTTGAGCACCCGTGAGTCGAGCAAGATAGGTAGATTGGGTAAGAAGAATGTCAGTAACGAGGATCAAAGCAGCAATGCCAATTGCATAGCCCACACCTGTCCCCATGTTCACATCAAGTCCATACGCCTTCTCCAGAACAAAAGTGATCAATTTCCGAGATAAAAGTGGAGTGCAAGCGGATCCACTCAACGACAATGCAGCGAAGGTCATGGCCATTGGGTACTGGACGGAGAAGGTTTCTAATAAGGACAAAAAACAAAGAGATTTTGCCAAGCGGTAGTCGTCCATATCCTTCTCAGGAGCCACAGATGACGATTCGATGGTCTCTCCTCTCAGCTTGGCCTTCCTGTGAAGGTGTTTCTGTTTATCATTTTCCAACCTGCGTTCAAATATAGCCTTGAACTTTGCAGCAAGCCGTTCTGCTGTGATTTCATCATTGAGCTTCAGCATGTCCTCTTCGACCAAAGTACGCTTGTACCCCACATGGAGCAACGGGTACAACCATGTAAAGAGGAAGAAACTGAGTGGATTTCGCCACTGTTTGTGAACGGGACGTTCTTCGGTAGTTGGAATCGGAGGAACCTTTTTCAGAAGAAAAGGCGTTAGAAGCCGTTTTTGTAGCTGTGGCGTTGTGCCATATTCAAAGTCAGACAGAGACGATATGGCAGTCGTCATTATGGAGAAGCAAAAACACCAGGGATCCAGCAGCGGTGGCAATGCATGATATATAAGGGAATTATGCACGGGCTTGTAAATAGAAGAAACGGCTTTGCCGCACGCTACGGAAGGATGTGAATTTTATAGGCGATGCGGCTCAATTCCAAGCATCTTGGAGGCGACTTTTCGGAAAATCGATAGCATGGCTGCGAAATTGGTGAAGACACCTGCATGGGGCGGCCGCATGGTCCGGAAGAAATGCTGCCATCTAGTTCCGATCCGAATTGGAGGTTGTTATAATGTCAAAGGGGAGCGATGTTTACTTGAAGTTTTCTTGAAAGATTGTAAAGGAAGCTCGTTTTTCTTAACCAAGCCTCAGCGGGGGTATTTGCCACCGTTCAAGAGGAGCCTTCTAGGCGCACGGCACATCTATCAACCTAGCCTTCAGAAGCTCATTGAAGTAAATTTTCTCTAGTTTTTTGAATTTTCTTGAAACAGTTCGTTGATTCTGGAGATTGGCCGACCCATTGAGGCCCAGGCCGTTCTTCCGGCCGTTAAACTGTCATTTGAGGTTTCGGGTCGGAGTGCGGTACTATGTTCCGAGACCCGACCCGCATGGTAGTGCAACCCGATAAGCGATTGTCCCAAAACGGTTAGGAACGAAAATCAGAGCAGAAAAAGCAGCGAATAGCAGGGGAGCACTTTGTCATGATATTTTTGGCTCTGTCATTGTTATTCTCTTGGAAGTTTTAGTCCACACAGCAAGGAATCAAAAGTGGCTCGAGCCCCTTACTGAAGGAATCCATGTTGAATGTGCTATTTGTGGCAACCCTGAACGCCACGCCGAGTACCGCCGAAATCTCCGGTGTTCCTGCGGCAAGATCACTAAATGGAAAGATAAGGTAGTATTGAGGGGTTTTTCCGATTGGAGAGATGAAATGGACTTGGGTAGGAATTTGTAGTGTATTGTTCGTAGTTTATCATTTAGTATAGCTACACTCTTGAAGTCACATAGTTGGATAATTTCAATATCCATTCCATTCGAATTGAAGGTTAGCTGACGTACTTGAGCTGAGTGATTTCAGAACAGTCACATCTGTCTGAAAGGTATCTCTAGTCGAGTAGATGTATAGGAGTATCAGAGAACGTTATTTTTGCAGGTTTCTCGCCTTTGATAACATTGCCTGGCGCTGCTTTTTCTATTTTGCTTGATCCTTTTGTTCGGTCTACCCAACATTGATTCCTGAAAGGGTTCATATCTGGAAGAATCTGGCACATTGATAGACGTTGCAACGGCTATTCAATTGAAGCTTTTGTTGCCGAAACTGATCCCTTGAAATTCCTACTGACCGGAAAAATTCAGAAGTCGAGAATTTCGAGACAACCAGCAGGTCTTGCTAGCTTCGAAAAATATCAAATTATCTCGAGAAAGAGAATAAGCATATGGTCTGTGAAACTAGTATCGCCGCTTCCCTTGAATTCTACCCGTATAAGCCGTTGTCAGCTGCTTGACACTTCAGACATTTCCCAAAATCAAACACGGTCCTTAAATATGACTTTTCGCTACATCAATTTTTGATTATATTTATTTTTTTCTATTTTTTCTCTTTTTCCTTTTTTTTTTTTTTTTTTTTTTTTTTTTCACTTTTTTACTTTTTTCTTGTCTTTATAGTTTCCTGAACTCACGGTGGCAGACCTCAGTACTTCCATTTAGCTCCCTTGGATACGCTGAAGTCTGGTTCATAAAACTCGTCCTCGTACTCAAACAAATCAAGCAACGAGGAACGTGCAGAGCTATCCAGCTCATGCATCGGCTCGAAAGCAGCGGGAACCGGAGATTCTGGTTCGTCGAAAACAAGTTCAAAGGGAACCAGCGTCTTCTTACTGCGGTTCTTTCCCTTAGAAGAACGTGCCTTCTTTTTGGACTGCTTGCTGGGCTGCACAAAGCAGGGTTTGGAGGATGAGTTAGACTCCAGGGGAAGCTTGGAGTTTACCTCTTTCCTCTTCACATTATTGTCTGGAGCCGTAGGGTGTACTTCAGGTACTGGCTCGACTGACTTGATAATGTCTTGAAAGGAGCAGAAGTCCAGGGGAAGGAAGGACTTGCTGCACTTTTCGTTGAAGATACTCTGCCAGTGGAAAAATTCCCTTGGCAAGAAGGAGGGAGTGTCTTCGTCGTTTGTGGCATCCTTCCAAAAGTAAAAGTCGTTTGGAAGGAAAACCTTGTTGTACTTGGGAGTGGAAGTCCAGAGCTGGAAGAAGTTGCTGAAGTCTTCGGGGAAGTAGACCTCCTGCGTCTTCACAGGCTGAGTCTTCACAGGCTGAGTCTTCACAGGCTCTGGTTCTGGTTCTGCTCTGGAGTACAACTCAAAGTGCTCTTCACGCAAGCAGAAATCGTAGTCAGACAACTGACCTTCGAGCGACTCGAGCCCATCAACAATGTGCTGAAAGCTGAAGAAGTCGGTGACGAAAAGGTGTCCGTCATCAACGAGGAAGACCCTCTTTGTCTTTGGGGTATGTCTCTTCTTCATTGCATTGAGAGGCACAAGCTCGTCAAGAATGAGTCGGAATTCGAAAAAGTCCTCAATGGTGAAGGACTCGTCCGACTTCTCGGTCCAGGCATCCTGCCAGAAGTAGAAATCCTTAGGGAAGAAAGTGGATTCCTCTTCCTTGAGGGACTTTCTGAAGTGGAGAAAGTCGCCTGGAAAGTAGGTCTTTTGAGTCTGCGACAAAGACGACCAAGTCTTGAAAACGGGAAAGTCCAAGGGCAAAAGGGTTGCCACCTGGACACTGTCAGTGGGGACCTCTGCTTCAGGTAAAGTTACCTCAACAGGGTTGGTGACCTCGGCTTCAGGAGTTTCCTGAATTGGGTTGACTGGTTCAGGCAAATTTGGTTCTTCGACCTGAACAGGAATGACCTCGGGTTCAGGAGTTTCCTTAACCTCTGGACATGGTTCATTCTTTTGGGCCAAGTACAACTCAAGGTAAGAAGTCTGACCTGGGTTGAGAGGTACAAAATCCTCAAGAATGAGCTGGAAAGTGAAGAAGTGGGAAGGGTAGTAGGAGTCGCCCTCGTTGGAGAGGAACTTCCGCTTAGACTTCTTCTTTTCCTTGGTGGGCTCGAAAGGCTTGGAAACCTGCTGAGCTGGGGTAGAGTTGGTAGGCTTCAAAGAGGCACCTTCGTTGGAAGACTTCTCCTTGACAACTTCGTCACCCTTGGGGTTCTCCTTAGTAGAACGCTTTCTCTGAGAACGCTTTCTTTTCTTGTCCTTCAATTTTTTTTCCCTAATGTGGGCGTCACTTTCCTTGAGGCTGCCTCTGTCAGTGGACGACTTCTTAGGGAAACTCTTCTTCTTAGATGCTTTGGTGATAGTGCTGGCGGTAGAAACGGCGGGCATTTTTGATTGATATGTGGTGGATAGGGAAAAAGAATTCAGGGAAAATGGACGTTGATTTATAGTCCAGAGGCCCGTTCTACGAAATAATATTCTACTGTCTTGTTGGTCACAAACATGGGTTTCGTCATGAGTGGTAATTCGAGAGAGGAAGGTCGTAGCAAAATGGTCATCCCATTCGGCTCGAAAATAGTAAGTGGAAAATAAAAGACGATTTTGGTCAGGCTTTTGGGCCGTTTTTCACAGAAATTGATCCATCTAGAGTAGGTCCAGTACTCACGCATGCACCTCTGTCGAAGGAAACTCCACCACTTCAATCGCCATAGTTAAGCCTTAATAATAAATTCGGACCCAGGATAATATTTGACGGGGTTTTCTCTCAATTTGGGGGTTCTGGAGATTCCCGCCCAAATTGGGACAAATTGCACTTATTTTGTCTCACATTTTGTCTTAGGGTATGTTGGTGAGGTGATGAAATTCTCTTCTTCTCAAGTATACAGCACCCTTCTAACTTAAAACGTGAACTGTTAGAGGAAGAAACCAGACATCACCTAAAATCTTACATAAAAAATGAATTTCACAGCTTTTCGAATACTAGTTTACATCGAAATGCTTTTGAAAACGAACCATCTAAACCAATTTGCCAATAATGAGTCCTTTTTTTGGGATATTCTGATCTGAAACACCCTGAATGTCTTCAGTTGTAGAGTATGACTAAGTTTATCTCTTGCACTGGAATCGCCGATTGAGACAAGACTTTATGGAAAGTGTTGACACTGCCACAACAGGAGAAAGTTTGTTGACCCATGGAAATTCATAACGAGTGCTAGATATGTGAAAGATGAACTGAATCAATTGTCTCTCTCGATTATCTCTCGAGGTTGCTGTCAACAATGGTTTTACCTGGTTGTATCTGGCTCTCCTGAATTGTGGGATGTTGCTATTCACAATTATTTCTACAACTTTGAAGTGAACGACTGATCACGATGAAGGTGGGTAGTTACATTCACAAATACTGGAACAGCGATTTATAAAGGGGCCTTGTGTTTCCGTATAAAATCACCTCGGTCACCTGCCGAGTATGAACAATATAGCCGCCTGTCAAGTCTTACCTTCGAGATACTACTACACTTGAAATAGCATTATGTGGAATTTTGTGAAAACGCAACGAAAGAGCCTTTCGTCCCTCTCAGAGATACGACGCTATTACAAATGATCAAGTTTCGGGCTGCCAGTGGCTATTCTTTACATTCCGAAATTACCATTTATCACTATTGGGTAACTTGATTATGCTTCAGGAACTTGCCTCTTCCTCCTGTTCTTTTAAGCACCTTTGTGCCAACTTGTTTATGGCCTCTACCGCGTTCATAAGATCAGGCTGACACCCATAAAGAACAAGCGTCTTAAAACCATCGGACTCGTCATATCGGAAATGATAATCAACACCCAAGCAGTGACATTCGCCGTGAAAATTATAGTAATGACCAAGGACATCACGAATCCGGGACTCAAAATTACTTGGTACTTGGATTGCAGTTGATTCTGTGGACTCCTTTACTGATTCCAAAATTTTCAAAAGGCTGATTTTAGCCTCAGCCACCAAAGTTTTTGACCCTCCACTTATTTGAATTTCCTCTTCGTTGACACATGAACGGGAAACTTGGAAAATATGGGGATATCTTGGTCTACTACAGATCGAAATTTCCACTCCAAACCTTTTCTCCAATTCGAGTTTGTGACAGTAATTTTTTCCTGTGACTTGCTTACGAAACTTTCGATCAATCTCACACACTTCCGTGAACATGTAAGCAATGAATCTGTTGGTCCTCTCTTCGATATCACGTTTAAGTGCATCAACGTAGACCCTGTTTCCTGTAAGGGTGATAATGGATATGTCAGAGGTACTTGTCAACCATGTTGGCCTATTTGGTAGTCCATCCTTTCTGACCATACGGGGCTTTATTCCATACTTGTATTTGAAATCGATTGCCACTTTTAGAAGGTAGACCACCAAGGAAGGCACTTCAAATTTTTTTTTATCAATCATTATATTAAGAGGACGCCAGAAAGAATAATTCTTTTTTTTTTTTTAACGATTATTATAATAATTCTATTGTACATGGAGGCTCGGGCTCGATTCAACAACTTTTTTTTCATGTAATTTGAACGTTATTTTTGATGCAGATAGCCAAAAATGGATGTAATCACGTGACGTTAATTAAACCGATATAGTTAACCCTGAAGCTCTACATGTACAACTCATCCGAGATAGTTTAGTGGCTAGAATTACCGCTTGTCGCGCGGTAGACCGGGGTTCAATTCCCCGTCTCGGAGCTGCGCAAGTGGTTTAGTGGTAAAATCCAACGTTGCCATCGTTGGGCCCCCGGTTCGATTCCGGGCTTGCGCATTCTTTTTTTAAAAATAACACTTTCATCGTTTTTATGGTAGGCATGTACTGAAGGTCTGGTCCAGTGTGTCTCAAAGCATTGTATAGTTGTGCATATAAGTAAACCGGTTGAACCTCTTTCACCAGGCGAAGCAAAACTACTTCAGTTTCACGAATAAAACTCTTTCGCCTATTATTCATCTAATTTTGAAATCAAGCAACATTGGCCGACCCAAAGATGCTTCGTGATACTACAGGTCTGAATGTTTTGATTTAGATCACGTGACCTCGACGCGGCAGAAGCCTACAGCTTGCAACTACATCAACTTTACATCGAACCCAAGGAGAATTTTCAATCTCTAGGCTATTACCAGGCTATTAATCCTGTTCTGTGAACTATTTCTCCAGGATATTTTGCGATAATTCGCTTGTTGAGCTCAGAAGATCGCCACGGTCCATAACTGCCAAATACTTGAACTGGACCGATCCCGACTACTTACATGCGTTTGGAGGACCTTGGTCTCCAGAATCCCATCTCTGTGGGTTATTATGATCCCTTCAGCATATACAGTTCTGTGAAAGATGATTTTGAATCCAAGTTTCCCTTGACCAATCTTCACTGGAAATATCACCCATTGAAACCTGTCAAGCTGATACCTCTGCTACCTGTTCAGCTTGTCGAGGAAGTGCCCCATAGCTCGGGAAAGCAGAAACAGCCAATTGTTTACGACAATGTCTATTTGCGTTTGATATTTGTTCGAGCTGACAACCTCGAAGTGTACAGATCACAGGTGAGACCCTTGATCCAGGCGTGGCTTGGTGATTTGGTCGAGGGAAGAGAGGTCAGCTGGGCGATTGTGTTTATGAGCTCGGGAATCCACAAAGAAAAATCCCTGACATTGATGAAAAAGTCTGTTTATGAGAAATTGGTGACTGACTTTTCGAAAAACGGGAAACACCAGGTTCTCAAATCGCACGGTGACTTGGACGACATTGCAGCCGATGAAGAGGAGTTTGTCTTCCGCCTTGGCGATAAGTACAATAGCGATATTGAGAAATTGGAGCTTTTCAACCACATTACCACGGAGTTCAAGGGTCTTATACTCAAAACCTTTGACAGAAGATACAACTCATATAACGAGGAACTCGACAGTATAAAAGAGACCAAAAGCAGTGATCCTGAACTTTTGATTCGTGAACTTTACTACAAGCTTAAACTTGTCGATATAGTCAGCGACATGAGGTTCTTCGATGAATCCTTGGAGTTGTACGAGGAAGTGGGCGAGGCTTTAAAAGAACTGTCTACTTCTGTGAGTCATGCATTTGAAACTGGATCAACAACCTTTTTAAATACTGTGGACCATCCTGATTTCAACCCAGAAAAGACCGTCTTGTCACGAGAACTTCTCAATCAATTTGACAAATATTTGAGTGAGGGCGTTCCGATCAACCTCCAGCAAACCAGTTTAAGCATCTTTCTAGGTGCCTCAATATTGCTTCAGTCCCTCGCAAACTCCGCAGCATCATTATCATTATCATCCATTTACATTCTGCATCTTTTCCAAAAAGTCATCAATTTCGTGAATGAAGTCTCAGGAGGCAGAAGTCACGATGCCTCAATTCTTGAGTGGTCGTGTTCCTTAATTGACTTCTATTTGAAGCTCCCACTTACGCACAAGCTAGTTGAACTAAGTTCAGAGGGTGAAGAAGGGGCTATTTTATCTTCTTCATCAGGTATTTTTGAGTACATCGGTGAGCTCAAGCTTGTCAAGAGAGGATTGACAGGCAAACTAGCTAAATTGAAGGGCATTGAGACGCCTGAAATAGGATTCCTACTCGAGGATGTCAGCCTTGACGATAGCAACGGCTCCACTCATAAAGCGCAGGAGTACACTTTTAAAGACCAAGCTCTCGAAGAGATTACCGCATCACAAAACAACTTCGATGCATTTTTTGAAGAATTGACAATGTCAGCTATTCAGGATTTTGCGTATTGTGAGAGGAAAAAGACCATCGACCTTCTTAGTGTCGACTTGGCAGTATTGCATTACAAAAAGGGTAACTATCAACAGGCTTATGATGTTCTCCTGACCTCATATGAATATTTCATTGAGAATGGGTGGAGCTTCATGGGTGGAATGCTACTTGAAATTTACATCCATTGCTTAGAAAAACTTGAAACGAAAGATGAGATGCATATTCTTGACACCAATCTCAAGTTGCTTGCCACGCTCAAACACGAAACCTCTAGCGTTGGTGGAATCAATAGGTACGAAATTGTGAAAAGTAATGAGCTGAAGAAGAAATTATTGGAGCATGTTTACGATATCGCTCTGAGATTAGAGGAGCCAGTTTCAGTGTCATTGGATATACTTTTTGAAACTACCGTCGATCCCTTCATAGAGTCAACTCAAGATGGAAAGGGCATATACACCATTGAGCTCATGGTCAAAAACCATTTGGGTATGGACTTTAGGCTTGACAAACTTACATTGGAGTTGGAAGAGTGTGGGTCATCGCAATCTCAAAGTATAAAATTCAGCAGGGAAAACATACAGCTCTCAGAAAAACCACAACTGAAGATACAACTTTTTACCAATGACTTCAAGAATAGTTTTTTCAGACCAACGCTGTTGGTATATAAACCGTGTGACAACCTCACATTTGTTCAAACGTATCTGACAGAGGGTTTGACTGATGAGGTTCTCGAAGATGAAACTGTGGTCCACAATAAAAGTACCGCTGATCTTCTCCAGCCAGGCTCAGAGAATGGCAACTCCTTGGGAATATCTGTCCCTGGATCCAAAGAACTGCAGAAGGGCCAGATCTATATGTATGGGGATTCCGCAAACTTGAATGCTAAATTCAGAGTTCCGACAAAAATTGAGCTTAATGCCTCAGACGTTGAGCTCGCCGTCAATCTGGGGAATAGCTCAGTTACAGATTTGAGTATTGAAATTCAGCCCTTGGATGTTGGAGTCGAGATTGTCGATGGTCTGAGTCTGTTGAAACAGGCTTCATTGGATCCTGACAGTGAGCTCACCAAAAAGATTCCTTACAAATATTTCGGAGATAGAAAAATTCTTCAATTTGCTGCCACGATCAAGTACCATGTTGATGATGTGCCTCACACTTACTACGTCCAACAAGATGTGGATAACAGTTTGAAGATCCTGATATCTGTGCAAGATATTTTCAGAGAGAAGTCCATTTATTCCAAGTTTCAAATTGGTTGTGCTCAATCGAGAACCCCTATTCGTATCGTTGGGTCAGAATTCAAATGCAACAGTGACAAGTATCTTGTGGCTAGTCTGACATGCGATATCAGCGAGCAAAATACACAGCTCGTATTTGGGGAGCAGCCAGCTTTCATGTTCTACCGGATCACCCCAAAATCCGAAATCGTCTCATCATCTGACACCCTTGATTTGACTATCACGTATTCCAATCTACAAAATGAGTGCGAGGCCAAGGTGCTAGGTTTGCAAGAGGAGTATTTTCAAAGCTTCGAACTTTTGCGCTATTCAACACTTTTCACAGAACTTGTGAAGCTCCTTCAATTTGACCTAAATGAGTACGCCATCAATAGCGTTATTCAGATCAAAAATGCTGGACATGTGAGAACGTTGTTTCAGGAATCAATCGAAACCCACGTCAGATCTGAGAAAGACAAAGCTGAACTTATTTGCTGCATCGACATGATCTTGAAAAATACCATCCCTGCGGAGGACATTACATTTGTCAGACAACAGCTATACATCCCAGTTGCGGTGCCTATTTTGGATATTCTACACAATGTCGAATTCACATATGGCAAGAAAATGCAGCACCTCGTTGGGGAGCCTATTGACATGAAACTTCAGATTACGTCATCGATGAAATGGAGCGAGGAGAATGAAGTCCCTCAGGAGGTACTTGCGTCATCTTCCCCCACAGGTAAAGGTGCAGTCAAACAACAGATGTTTCAGTTCATTGTTCATCACGAGGATAACTGGCTTCTCTCTGGCCTCAAGCAGCATGCATTCCCTGTTCTGGGACCAAATAGCAAAAGCGAATTCGATTTGACCCTCATTCCCCTCAATGTTGGGAAGCTTCCTCTTCCCAGGGTCACAATCAAGCCGGTCGAGCAGAGCGACAGAACATCTACTGACACTGTGCAAGAGAATGGGTTGGAAACGGTGTTAGTTGTGCCCGAGCTTCAGAGCATTACTTTTTCTTTTTGAAACAGGTCATACATTGCATATCAAAAAAAATACAAACAATCAGTTGGACGGGGTGTGATACATCCCCGTTAGTAGCGCAGTCTTAAAAAAAGACAACTTGCAAAACGATAGGAGTGCCACCAGTGCAATCATTGTCGGCCAATGAGTATTCGTCGTCTCCACTTGGACAAGCCCTCCAGTTGTCATTTCCCTCAAAGACCAAATGGTCTCCGTCAATAGAGAAACCTGGAGTTGCGCCAGAGCGGCCAAATGGTGCAACATTGCCTACTTCACCTGTCTTTGAATCATGGTTGACTCCTCTGTTGTCTTGGTCAGCCAAGGATCCTTTGTCATCGAAGAAGTACAAGTTCAAGTCCTTGCCTTTGTCGCCTCCCACGGAAAACACATGGGGATGCTCGTCAACCTTCATAATTGGGGTGTTTTGGAACTTGTCGCTTTTTGTGCTCCAGGCTCTCAAGAAGAACAAGTCTCGTTCGTCAGGGTAGTTATTGTCGCATTCCTTGACGTTTTCCAACTCAAGATCGATTTCCTGCTTGTCGTCGCAGCCAGTCTTGAATCCTAAAGCAGAATCGTCCTTGGGGCAGCCGTACCACTCGTTCTTGTCGTCATAACGCAACTTGTTGTCTTTGACAGAGAAACCCTTGAGGTGATCGTCGCCAAGCTCGGCGAGATCAGACTTGAAGTTGATATACTTCTTTGAAGGGCCGTCCACGAGGGAACCGTCGTCATTGAGAACAAAATCAATGCCCGCATCGTCGCCAAGGGTGAGTCTTCCACGGTTCATGACATTCTTGTTGTCGAAGTCAGAGCCGTCCTTCTTGGACTTCAAGTTGAACGAGATAGCAGCGTTGACTGCGGTGGTGATGGTGAGAATTCCGAGAAGCTTCATGGTTAGAGAATGATGGAGATATAGGAAAGCTGGTGAGTCGAGCTGTCCTTATATACCTTTTTTTTTTTTTTGCAACCATTTCTCTAGAGCGCTGCACCCCCTGCAGACGCCGAGGTACACACAATACTATAATTAGCTGCTCGGGGCTTCTTTTCTCCACACTGGTCAGGTTTTCGGTCGTTCTATGTCTGAAATCAATCAGATAAGATGAAATGGCATGACGTCATGACAGCTCCGTTGCCGCCGTTTCTATTCTTGGTCCTGCGCGGCTTCACCATTGGACCCCTGATGGAGGCTTTAGCGTCAGCCGCTTGAATTTACGCTACTAAGCACTGCTGCTAAAATAAGACATCACCTCCGTATGTTTTTGAAGAAAAACAAAATAAAAGTAGAACTGATGGCTTTTATGGAAATCTCTTCCCAGCTTCCAAACGTAGCTTCTCAATTCCAGCAATTCTTAGAGATCAATGTTCAGGCTAGCTCAGTCAAGAAATGGAAACGGAGATATGCAACGGATGACCACCAAAAACGAGGTTGCAGCTCCTCGTAAGTTGGTAGCGGCTCCTTAAGCCTACATGGCTTTTATCCTGAAATTGAGCCCACGAGGTCCTGTCGAGATATGCAAAGGATGACCACCAAAAACAAGGTTGCGGCTCCTCGTAAGTTGGTAGCGGCTCCTTAAGCCTACATGGCTTTTATCCTGAAATTGAGCCCACGAGGTCCTGTCGAGTTGGGTGCAAAAAAAACAGTGACAATGCGCGAACCAGGAATCGAACCAGGGACACAACAATGGGAACGTTGTATTTTACCACTAAACTATTCGCGCCGCCGAACGCTCGAATTTGAAAAATTGTGGTATATAGGGCATACTAGTACAGAAGTAGTCACGTGACTGTATTTTGTTCAAACTAGTGATTTCTGGCCGTTTTTCGTTGCAATGGGTGAAAGTCTGATGATTTGAAGGAGGTTATATTCTATTAAAAAAAATAAGAAGACGAAGCGTGGCCTAGGCCTGACACATCGATCTTTTCTCGCGTTGACTTTAACTTCCTCTGCACCCTAGCAACACAGCTCCTTCTTCAGACTACAATAGCGTAAATCTGCTGAAACAACTTTACGATTTCAAGCTTTGAAAGGTAATCTCGATGTTTAGTCATTGGAAAAAGGTTACTACGGCAGTACCAATCGACATGATCATGCAATTAGTTTATCAAGTACTACCAGGGGGTGGAGACGCCATGAAACAGAGAGGAATCACAAAGCTTCGCGTAATAGGCCAATGCCCGATTTTTGAAGGCTATTCTAGAATTCTCGAATTGTGTGGCTAACGAAAACAACATTGTATTTTGGAAGCACAGTGTCAGTTTTCGCAGCCAATGGAAATATGATAGAATGAGCAGCTTTCACAGAATTAAATAACTCCTACTTTCAAATCAAGTAAGAGCCTACTTATCCAAGCACACTGAGACTGGAAATAATCCTACAATCTTCAGAGTCCATCGTGCTCTAACAGTCCATTTACGCTCGCCTCACTGCTACAACACAAACAGACGACATGAATAGGCCATTTCCCGTTGACGACCAAAGAGCAGCATTTTTTATTTCATCCATGGTTCGATCAAAATACAACATCTTTTTGTTTATCTGGCTCACTCTCCAAATTCATGACTGGATTGTTCTCCAGCACAAACCTCAGGAACACTACAGAACAATCCAACACAGGCACCATTATTTGCACCTTCCACAAACAGCTCAAATCTCCTTCTTCACAACCTCTTTCCTTTCCTGACCTCTTACACTACTGGACCTTCTTCTTCAAAACCACCGCAAATGACCAACCCACTGGACTTACCCTCAAACCACATAACCCCAAACCCCCGGCGCCAGAACAACATAAATAGAGCCCGATTCTCCCGCCCTTCTCTTTTCCTCATCACCACATTCAAACACTTTTGCTCAGCTACAATGATCGCTTACAAGAACATCTTCCGTGCTACAACTTACCTTGCCTACAAGGCAGTAACCGCTACTATCAAGACCGTCCTTGATTCGGCCGCCTCTGTCGCCAACGTCTACGAGGAATTTTCTCAAGTGACCATGGACGAATTCGTGTTTTGCATTCTTCCAGGCTCCTACGACCTTGACTTTGAAGAATGCCCCTACCCAGCTTTCCCAAGAAGGGTACCCTCTTCCCCAGCTTCCCCAGAAGCTCCAGCCACTTCCCAAGCTCCTATTTCTGGCTCCTTCGAACCCCTCGGTTCCAGAGCTAGAGCCAGCGAATGGCAAACCGTTGAGCCTCGAAAGAGCCCACGGAGAGCTTCCCCCTCTCCACCCGCTACTCCTGCTCCCGAGCCAGCAAGCATTCTGAAGTTCAGACATGTGAAGCAGCGGACCCACGGGCGGTACAGAGAGCCTGTCCATGACATGGACAAGCGTCTCACCCAGGGGAACATCTACCTTGTTCTCCAGGGATGCTGACGCCGGCCCAGTCAGCAGTATAAAAGAAAAAGAAGAAAAAAATTTATTATAAAAAATAGAAAAAAATAAATATAATGAAAAAGGTAACTGGTAGTCGTAGGTTGACTGTTGTTCAGGGTTGCGGAGGCAGTTTGGGGAAAGTGGAACGAGGAGGCTTGTATCCGTTGGTTATCCGTTGGTTATTGGGGAGAGGTTAAGGAGGAAAAGGAAAGAAAAGTTTGAAGAAGAAGAAAAAGTCATTAGAAAGGCCAGGGCTGGTAGCTTTTTCTGATAAACCTATCGCCAAGCTTCAGTTACTGTTGATTGTGGGCTATTAACTGCCTTCTTCTCAATTGACCGATTTAGAAGAACTATATTGATTTAGCATCAGGACATCTATACAATGACACAAATTGCACTCCCTGAGGCCTATGTCTCTAAGAAATATGTTGGCGCCAGCTGACACGTATTTGAACTTGAAGAGATTGATTCTTTTTGTCAAGACAATTCTGTGAACGTATTCGCTCCGAAAAAGATTTGGATTGAACGATCAACTTCAGAATCCCACGGTTCAAGCAATGGATCGTTATTCAGCTGTGGTTGATCCGAAAGGAGGACAAAATAAACTGATCTGAACGATTGAAAATTCGGCAGCGGCTTAGAGACTTTTTTGGCTTGGGTTATACTTTGACATGAAAGTCGTGGTCTCAGGTATCACTCAGCTTCTTGTGAAAATATATTAAGCGGTTTACTACGTGGGTCTTAGAACTCTATAAGTTTTGTTGGGAGGTATTGTATCTGGTGTCCACTTAATTGAATGATGGTGAAAAAAAAAAAGGAGCTTTATTGTATTGCATCGACTGACATTCTACTAGAGTTCATGCGTTTCTCTTTTGAAGCTTTATGTTAAGGTGGAGTTTCGCTAGGCACAAAAAGTACAAGGCCCATCCATTGAGTCACAAAAAAAGCCTGAGTTTTAAATTAAAAGAGGGTACAATTCCACATTTGGTGTCCCGTTGACGTCTTTGAAAAGTCAACGCTGAAAGAAAAGCCCTGGACGCACAATCGAGCTACTACTTACGGGCACTAGCTTAAAATGCTCAATTGGCGAGCAGGCAGCTTTTAGCTTCTATGTACTTGCGGAAAAGAATCAAGCCAAATCGTTAAAGTCATGTCGCTAGTTAGTGGTCGCTTCTCAATCTCTACGTAGGTTGTTAGGAACACATTAGGAACTATGGATACACGCCTAACATCAAGCGTATTAGTTATCAAAAATAGATAAGGAGGTTTCCTGCTAAAGATAGCTCCCTCATTGGATGGAATGACACTAGGTGATGCACGGTATAACAGGAAATTCACGGTCTCTCAGATACCAGACGAGAGAACCGCTTTAGGTGATTTTCTGTTAACGTAAAACCAGATCACACCAAGCTCCATCTATGTGCAAGTATTTAAGGGCTCTTGGTTCCCTTAGTTTAGAAGTTAAAGAAGTCATACGTAAGTGTTAGTCGTTTACTATGGATGCACCCGAGCAGCCTAACATAGGATGTCACATCACCACGAACAGCCATCCTTTTCCTACTAACTTCACCATTTTTTTCATAAATTATTCATTTCCTTTTAAAAATACATCGATATTTTGTCATTCCTCTTCACCATCCCCAAGTTTGTGTACTATTGATTGACTCACCTACCACCCATTGCTCATGAGCAACCAACCAACCACCAGCAACCGCCATACCCAAATCCAAAACATCTCCACTAAAGAACCTTTACAAGCGATAAAGCGGTAAAACTAAAAAATCAAAAATTTCAAAATCCATCACTGTCGCCACCCCATCCACATCTCCATCGCAGTGTGCCTGATTCTCAACTACTCATGGAGAACCAAGTAGCGGTGCCGATTCCGGCGTACCCTCCCTTCAAGCTTCGACTGTCTCTCATTGACAAAGACCCTGTGATCTGGGTGCACTTGCTCGAAGGCTACATCCAGCTTTTCCAGCTTTTGTTGAACGACGATGTCGCTTTGAGCGTCAAGTCTCAGCAGCAGTTGCAGCAGTTCCTCAAGAGCTTTCTTGAAGAAACCGCCGAGGAGCTGACCAGAATCTTCTCCTTGGGCGCCATAAACCCCGACATCAAGACCAACACAGCCACGCTCCGGGCATACGTGCTTTCGGTGGTTCGTGCTCACAGCATAGTCAAGCTAGGCATCACAGGACAGAGTCTATGGCATTTTGTGGTGGTTTACGTGGAGAAGAACGCCTCGATAGTGAGGACGCTTCTTGACGGAACGTTCAAGCTGCCGCTCAACGATAATCGCAAGTCAAGCAACATTTCACTGGTTCCTGCTCTTCGAGCTGCCATTGAGGCTCAAATCATAGAGGGAGCGTTTGACGGCACGGCCCAGCAGATTCTTTTTTTGCTTTTGGGGCAGCACGCGTCGCCAAAAGCACAGACGTTTCTGCTTTCTGGAGGCTCGAAAAGGGGCAAGGTGTTGGCCAAAGACAAAAACCGCAACTTCACCTCTCTGTCCAGCGCCCTAGCGTTTGCCGAGTCGTTTGTGGCGCCTGAATGGATCGAAACGCTTGAAAGGCTCTATTCGGGCGGCCGGAGCGTCCACGCTGAAACAGTTAAAAATTGCATGGTGATCAGTGTGCTAGCGTTGTCTGTGTCCAAGTTGGCAACGCTTATTTCTACTTTGGGAGTCAACAGCGCAGCCACGATGGGCATCTGTCCGCTTTTGAGCTCAATAATCATCCTGGACTCGTATAAAAAGTTGAACCCTGGTCTCGAGGAGAAACTACCGTTTTTGCGTACGCTTCTGTTTGGAGAACCCGAAGAGCCGGTGGACGAAAAGGATGTTGAGTTTTTGACCGACATGTTCCCGTCGTTGTCGCCCGCAAAGGCCAGAGTGGTGTTGCTACAAAACGACAGAAACGCCGAGAAAGTCACCTCGTTGTTGCTTGACGATCCGCTGATGATCGAGACGATTCCAGAAGAGCTCGAACAACCGAAGAAGGAGGAGGTGAAAGTTTCGGCTGAAGAACTTCAGAGAGGCATGGAGCGTTTCAAGCTCAACGACAACGAAACGACCACCCGAGTCGAGAAGAAAAAGCAACCTGTCAGTGAAGAAGAGATCAAAAAGCGTACACTTTCGGCAGCTCTCAAATTGCTCTACGAGGACGACGAGGACGAACGTGACGACACCTACGACGACCAGGAACACACCTCCGGTGCTGCATTTGAAGAATTGGAACAAAAGCCCAAAAACAAGGAGAAGGCGCGTTTGGCTGTGTTTGAGGATGACAGTGCATCCAAAAGAGAGTCTACACCAACAGATGTCGTTGCTAATGAGCTCGAGAAAACAGAGCTCAATCTATTTGGATATTTCCGAAGCAACGGCGAATCCGCATTCGACAAGAGCGGGCGGAAGACCAAGTTGCGGGATGAGATCAAGCGTGTCTCTAAATGGAGCGACGAGCAAATCGAGGGCTGGTTCAAGATGCTCTCCAAGTCGCCCAAACGTTTTAGATTGCTTGAGGAGCGCTTCGCAGCTCACTTCTCCAACAAAAAAGTTGCCAATCGCCAGCACCAGCAACCCAAACAGGAAACGTCCAAATCGGCTGGCGATCAGAAAAAGACCCAAGCTCGCAACGAGCGCCAGAAGAGTAGCAGGGCTAATCATAACCGGAAAAAGGGTCACAACAAAAAGGCAAGGGCGGAGCTTCAGGGCATGCAATAGACTAATAAATTTACCAACCATGATCGAAAAGCATGGACACAGACTCACCATTGTGGATTCTTCTGATGGCCTCGGCAAAGATACGAGACACATCAAGCACCTCAAATCTGTCGGAGCCAAGCTCGTTCATGTGATCCAATTGGGGCAGACTGTTTGTAGTAATAAGCTTGTCAATATCAGAGGCTTCAATCTTTTCAAGACCGTCCCCACTGAAAATGGCGTGTGTGACCAAGCAGTAGATGTATGAAGCGCCAGTCTCCTTCAAGAGCTTGGCTGCTCTGGTGATGGTGTTACAGGTGTCGGCAAGATCGTCAATAAGCACACAAACCTTGTCCTTGACATCACCCACGAGCATGGAACTGTTGACCTGAGTGGTTGTAGAAATTGAGGAATTCATAGACACCGATGTAGAAAGGATAGGGGAGCCGATGGTGACAGGAGTCACCTTTGTTCTTCTCTCCTTGTGGATCAATGCAAACCGACAACCCAAGGCGTCTGCAATGGCAGTGGCTCTCTTGGCTCCTCCACTGTCTGGTGAAACAATCACGCAATCTTTGTAATTGGGAACGTAGTCTATGATGTAGCGCTTGAATAAAGGCATCAGGTAAAGGTTGTCAACCAGGATATCAAAGAAACCCTGGAATTGGGGATCGTGCAAGTCCATCGTCATGCATCGGTCGGCACCAGCGTTCATAAGCAAGTTGGCTATGAGGGTTCCGTTGGGGCTGACCCATTGTTTGTAACCACTATCGTCCTTACCGTAGCCATCCACGGCACCTAAAAGGTTCGTAGCAGCTGCGTTTGTCAGAATAGCACGTGGTCTCAAGGCAGGCTTGGGTAATGAAATCTCCTCTTCGTCGGCGATGGCGCTGTCACCACCCATCAGCACTTTAGGATTCTCCGGTTGCCTTGAGTATGGGAAGAACGGCAACACCGCGGTAACTCTCTTAGCACTTGCTGTTTTGCAAGCTGAGATCAAAATCAAGAGCTCAATGAAGTTGTCATTGACTTCTCCACAGCCGCTCTGAACAATGAAGACGTCCTTTTCACGGACCGAGTCCTTCACGGTAATGGAGGTTTCTCCATTTGAGAACTTCTTGGAGTCGACCTCACCGGGAACGATGGTCAAATTTCTGCAAATAGCCTTAGCAAGAGCCGGTACGGAGCTTCCGCCGAACACTAGAAGGTCTCTCATGGTGTGTGGGTGTTGGTGTGTTGAGACTGAAGAAACGTGGGGAGTAAAATTTTGAGATGGTGATGTTTTCGCATCCTGTTTCGCAGTGTAGGACCCGGAGCACTGATAAGCTGAAGCACCGGATTCGCCGATTTTTGGTGGGACGAGGCGTGGGGTGGAGCTCAATCAAAAGCTCCGATATAAGGAATCATGAAATCCGTTGCAATGTCAATTTTGGCCTTTTTGCCCTGTAGTAGAAAACTCTAGGTTGGACTGGTCAGCACCAACCTAGGTGAATTGTCTTGATGTAAATGTCAATTCCGAATGTCAGATGTAGTCCAAAGCCCAAAAATGAGGTATTGAACACCTTATACTTTTTGACCCAAAGACCCTAAAGCTCTAGGAAGGCTCTTACGGTCTGATTTCGTAGGAACCCGCCGTGGTGGTATACTTGATCCACTTGACGGTTCTGTAATTGTTCTTTTCCACAACCTTCAAGAACTTCACCAGAAGGCCGGAGGCGCTGTACATGTCCATGGAAAACTCTAGGTTCAAAGGGCTCTTGGCGACAGCGTGTTTCTGGGAAAACCCGTCATCCTCCGAAAGCCTGAGTTCAGCCGTAAGCGAGTGTTCCAGCTCGCCGTAAATTTTATTGAATTTCCACGAGATGGAGTTTTCGGCTGGGTTGTATTTGGCCTTTCCGTTGGAGCAGGTGATATTGTTTTTGACAACGTCTTTGGGGTAGGGATGGTGAGCGTCACGCCTGAAGCAGCGATGGTGGACTCGTAGGTGGACCGCAAGCTGATCCTGATGGTCATCTTGTCCCCCTGTATGCTGGTTTTCGGGATCACCTTGAATGGAAGCATAAACTTGTTGCTCACATGGTACAGCATGAGCTGGAAAGCACCGTCCGGCGGCACGAAGCGGATAACCTGGTCGGTGTCGTATTTGGCCAAGTCGACGCACTTGTGGAACTTGAAGTCGTCAAGGCTGATTTTGTCAAGGAGACCGGTATCGGAGCGTTCGTCAGCAAAGCCAAAGCGGCACACCGGCATGCCCAGAAGATGCGTTTTGAGCGTGATTTCACCGTCAATGTAAGAACGAAGACAACGGCCGTGGCTGTCCAACGTAACATGCACTTTTTCATCCACATTGAGGAATATCTCGTTTCGGCGGTACTTGATGCCCGGCTCTCGCCACAGCACCATGCGGGAGTCGTAGCTGTGGTCCATGGCAGTAGCGGCGGCTTTCTCGGCCTTATCGTTGCCCGGCTTCAAGAGAGACGCGTGGAAGTCAAACCCTGTCTTTTGCTGTGGAAGTCCCGGAATCACCAGCGCCAAGTACGTGGGCTCCATGTTGGTGGGATAACCGAAAGGGAGCATTTCGCCGAGCATTTCGTAGATCGAGCAGAAGTTGCCTGTGACAGCGTCCTCCTTCAATGGCGCCAGCGGGTCCTTTAGGAAAAAGTGCTTAAGCAAAGCCGCAAAAGTGAACAAAAACTCAAACACCACCAGCAGGTCCTGGTTCAGACGCGTCACCGCCACAAGCCACATGGTGCCCACACGCGTGTGCAAGAAGGAGGTGCTGCCCAAGGTCAAAACAGGCGATCTGACGTCTTTGGATGTTCCTGCTCTGGAAGTCTGGTTGATGACCTGGATCCGAAACACATCCAGAACCAGCTGGCGAACGCCGTCTTTTAGAAGACGCGCCATGACCACGTCGCCCTTGGCGTTGAATATGAAAACTGCGCTGATCATAAAGATGGAGTAGTTGGTGTCGCGAGTTGAGTGGTGATATTCCTACACGGAGGGTTCGGAGGTGGATTGGGGATTACTGTTGGGAGGGGGTTTTTGAATTTTGTTTTGGGGTGTATTCTGGTGTTTTGGAGGAGTGGAAAGTTTTGGAATTTTTGTTTGGTCTGGGGTTGGGTGGGTGTTTTATGGTAGAGTAGTATTCTGAAAAGTTGCAACCGAGCCTTCGCGTTTGGTGAGGTATGTGATTTCGCCTTTGCAAGGGAGTTTCCTTTTTAATGTACAGTTATTTAAAAAAATAATTATAGTGTTGGACCAATTTTCTGACTTTTGTTGCCAATTGAGCGAGGGGTCGTTTTTTAGAACAGGGGTTGCATACCTCACAGACTGTTATCATCAAGGTATCAGTAGTGGTCAATTGGTCACTTCTGATCAACATCGTCAGAAGCACTTCTTTCTTGAAAGTAACAATGTTAAATAGGGGAGGGTTAGATGTGTTTTCTTGGGTTGTTCGGTCATAGAGCATATTAATCCGATGTCCGATAAAGCACTCGATATCAAAGTTATCTAGATTGTATAGACCTTTAATTGCATTTCGTGGGAGGAGCGATGGTAAGCATAAACGACTTATCCTGGAGTTTTATTATAGTGCTAGTTTCATCATAGTGCTAGTTTCATCATAGTGCTAGTTTCATCATAGTGCTAGTTTCATCCGTTACAATGGTTCTCCATAATCTACCCACAAGTCGGCAATTCAGCCAGTCATCTTTCGCTCAACAGAATATGAAACCTAAAAAGCCATGAAATCATACCACAAAGCAAACCACTATGATAGTTCTCCAGTCAATGAATGATTCGGATGACCCACTAGTGCACATCCTCAACACCCACCACGCTCACTTATCAACACCACCTACTACTACTACTTCCTCATTTTTTTTTTTTTTTTTTTTTTTATTTCAAAATACAAATCAAACAAATTCCAAGGAACGGTGCTGAGGGGGCGAGAGGCGTCGTTCCTTGGTCTCTCTAACCAGTCAGCTCTGGCTGCCACAGGCTCAGACCCAGCTCTTTCTCGAGCGTCTGTTTGGTCGAGCCTTCTTGGACTTTGTCTTTCTGCGGGTCTTGAGCAAACCACACCACGCAGAAGGCTTTGGCGAGGGAGAAGAAACAGGTGTTTCGCCAGCACAAATGGAAAAAAGGCAGGCTGGAACCTCCAAAAGCGGAAGCTCGTTACTGGGTGCACAGGGAAGAAGTGCCGCCAGACGCCTGTAGTGCCTTTCCTCGAGGAAAAGGGGAAGATACTCGAAGAAACTTGCTAGTCTCTTGGAGTGGTGGTAATGGGAGAAGCATACCTGAGAAGCATTTGCAGTTTCCTGTTGTGCTCTCCTTCTTGCAGCTTCCTTTCTGGCAGCCTTAAGCTTTGCTGCCTCAGCCATCATCGCCTCCTTTTGCGCCTTCCTGATCGGCTTCTTGTTGTGGGCTCTGTGGCGCTGCTTCTTGATTTCCTGTCTGGCTCTTCTCTTGGCTCTCTGTTTCAAAGCTCTCTTGGAAGGCTGAGGAACAGCAGGATGGACTTCTTTGGGCTCGGCGTCTCGGGAGCCAGAGCGGGAAGTAATGGAGAAGTTCCAGGGACCGTGGAATTTGATCAATTCCTGGGAAATCTGGGTGGCCTGGGAAGACTTCTGCTGGGGATTTTCAGAAGTCTTCAGGGGAGCGTCTCTCGAGGAATCCTGAGGAGGAACGTTCAGAGAGGCGCTCTTTGGAGCATTTTGTGTTTGTGGAGCAGCCTGAGCAGGCTGGGGAGCTGGTTGGGGAGCTGATTGAGCTGGTTGGGGAGCAGCTTGGGGAAATTCCTTGGGGAGTCCGGAATCACCGCCACAGAACACAAAAGGATCAAAAATATTGGCATATGGGTAGCCGTTGAGGAACATACTCAAGCCAGCGGGCACAAGAACCTCGGTAGGCTGAGCGTGGAGCTTGAAAAAGCCCGGGGAAGTGGGCTGCAAAATCACAGCAATGATGCTGATATTCTCGCCAACCGACATGGGAGGGTTGAGCCTGGCAAAGTTGTGGAACTCCTGGATGCTCTGGAAAAAAAGGCATGGCTTCGTGGGAGCAGGAGGCTGCACTCTGGCTTCGTCCATGCCGATTTCGAAATCGACCTTGTCGAAGTGCGTCGAAGAAGGAACGGCAAAACCGTCGTCTTCGGTGAGGCACGAGCCTAGGATTGTCTCGGAGACAAATGGAACGTTGTAAGACATTGCTTTAGGACTGAGTAGATGGCAGTCGAGTAAGTTTGCTGTGGTGGTAGTAGGCACTTGAAGTTCTTTGTCGTTCAGTAGATGGCTGAAGGAAAAAGATGTGATAAAGTGATGGAGAAGAAAACTGGAGGGAGGGAGAAAGGGCGGGTATTTATGTTCCAGAGGACGGAGGGACTGTCCAGAAGGCCAGGAAGAAGTTTTTGGATGACCTCTGTTTGTGACAGCGATGACAGCTTGACGGGTTTATTTTTTATGCGAGTATCGATATTATTTCTGGAGGAGGGAGGTTGTGAGGCTGCCGTATTGGGTCGTCTTTTCCCCAATTGGGTTGAGCGTCTTATAGCTGCTTAAATAGTGGACTTTACGTCCTTTGAGGACCATTTTGACACCCATAAAGGGTTGTTTTGTGGAAATAGAATGGCTGCAAATCGATGGAGACCCTGCGTCGTGCAGCTTCGTTTGTGCGAGTTTCATGCATGGCCGGCGCATGGTCCGAGGCTTGGTGATAATAAAAGCTCGCGAACTCGAGCACCAGCGTCACACATCTACTATACTTTCCTTTTAGGAATTTACTGGTGTGACCTGGGTTCGATGGTGGATTTCTTTTGGGGCTGTTTCGCGAAATGGATGACTCAATTGGCTTCGATGGGTGGGTGAAAATGGAAGAACAGCAGTGTGGGTTCGATAATCAAGTGGAAGGTCATGACCCCAGCAGGGTGGGATTTGAGGAAGGTGCAGTGGGTAAGGAGGAAGAGCATTGATGGTACGTAGAATGAGGGCTGGTAGGTTTGAAACAATTTCACTTGTCATGGGAAAAGGGTTATCAATAATCAGTGTATTATCTGTATCGCCAAAGCCAATTGGGTTGTGCCTAAACTCTACGTAGGGAAAGTTGTTATTTCTATGTCTCCAATGGTCTCTTTGCCTCTGTTCAAAGACTCAGACACATTGATACTTCTGTAGGAGTAGCGTCATCGTACGGCGGTCCTTACAATGAGCTTAGCAACTACTGCTAGGGCCATTCTAGTAAAACTCTCTTGAACTTCGATCAAAACTACTACAAAAATCCATTGGCTAAAAGGAGTACCTCTGAACAGCGGTAGAACCGATGGACTTCGGACATCCCATGCTTCTTCGCTTTTGTGAAAGTGAGAACACCAAACCATCGAAACACTCGTAATCCAGAATTCTCCCATATTTGAAGCTCCATCATAATGTTGTACCATTCTCCATCTTCAGCCCTCAAATGTGCCCCCCTGGCCACGATCACCGAAACTGAGGGAATCAGTCAAGACTACGTGAAGCAGACATTCACAGAAGCAGCCAGTGCCAATACCCCAAGTGAATCCAAAATGGACTCTAAGTCATTGAAAGCAGTGAAGAGCGTCGGCTCCCTGAAGTTTATTGAGAAGCCCCTCAACAACTTGCCCAGTGGCTCTTCTACAGAGGTCCCAAAGGAAGGACTTGCGGAGAATTCTTGTTTTGACGAGCTAGAGAAGGAGACGCTTCAGTGCCTCGAGGACCTTGAAGCTGCTTTTCAGGAGAGACACGAGAAGTATGAAGCAGCTCTTTACCTCAAGGCAATGGGCACCATGAGTTGTCCGATATGAGCCGTTCTGGAGGCTCAGTGGTCCCCAACCCAGGCCAGAATATCAATGTATATGTGATTATGCAAACTTTGAAGAGAAAGATCAAAAAAGTAGGTCGACTGAAGTTGTACGTCGTGAAGGAACTGGGGATGGTGACTCGATATAGGCTCTACCACTCGATGAAGTCTGATTATTCATGGACACCAGTGTAGTTCACATTGCCAGTAGGCTCAAAAATAGTGTAGTTCAAATTACCTGAAATAAAGATCTTTCTGACGTAACCCGGGCATACCAAAAGTAAGTAGGCTGACTGCTTGCTTTGTACGACCTTATGGAATCGTGAACCCGATCAGCCGCAACGCATGCTGCAGTTTTCAGACAATGCATCGAAGCTTCCGAGACAGCACAGTGCTTTGTTTCTAGGTTAGGCTCAGAAGTGGGGAACGTCTTTGTTTGAACAGTGGTATAGTTTCTGAGACTTGTTTAAGCCAACCTGATCGATGAGCCCAAACGACCCAATGAGCCACAACGACCCAATGAGAACAACCCAAGAAGGAGGAACCCATTAGAACTACCAGTGTTCTTGAAAGAGTGGAGTTGTGATTAGGTGGTTCCATTATAAATTCAGTTTCATCGTGACATCCACATGGTGCCATGGCAATACGAGTAGATACCTCTACAGACGAGGAATCAGCAATGACAGGGTTTTCCTATGGCGATGAACAAGTTGAAGAGGACTGCTTTGGCAGCTAGAACGTTTCTTTCATGACATTACGTTTTGGCCATCAAACAATTCTCTCATAGAGGAGCATGGGTTAAGTATTGGGCGGTGATTTAGGTGAATCAGAAAGGGTGCTTGAAGCTCTCTTGCACTTTTTCAAGCTTGTTGCCTTGACTCCTTTTCAAAACATCATCAGAACTACAAGCCCAAAAGTTGGTAAAGCAAGCGAAAGAGTCCAAAACGTCACCCACGCTGGAGAACGATGTCCTCAAAATACCTAAAATAGTTACCACGAGCTCAATACCCAAAACCACCGCAACGACTGATTTTTTTTTTTTATCGATCATTCACTTATGAGGACGTCGGAATTTAGTCACTGACGAACGACAACCGAATATGCCGTCAAGTTGGGAAAGCCTCGAGCTATTAATCTTACATTTACCATCGCGATCATGGAAGTCCTCCATTCCGTCGCACAACACAAGTCTTAAGTCTCATTCAGTTGACCTCTTGATAGAGTATTTGCTTTTGCAGCTTATTCATGTCCATCCTAGCAAAAATCCGTAAAATATCCATGAGGCCTTAGACTTATTCAATTGTCTCAGTTATTTGCTCCACACTAATTTTGACCTATCCTTACCCTGTTTCACTTGTAGCACCCTCTGCCTCTGCCGCCGTGTTTTACTTTTCCAAACTGTTTACCCCTAGATAACTTCCTCCCAACAAGACCTATATAGTTTCAAGACCTACATAAACCGCTTAGTATATTTTCACCAGAAGCCGAGAAGCTGGTCTATCTCATAAGGCATTAATGACACTCCTGAAAATCTAGCGGCCTGAACAACTCATCACAAGCACAAGCCCTCGAAACGGCTCTTACCTGTTTGGTGCAAAAGTGAGACATGCGACTACCCCAGAGTCCTAAATTAAGCAATTGCAGCTGCCAAACAGAACCCTGCGTCGACCCTAAGGCCACCTTTACAGAATTGAAAGAGCACAAAAATCAGCTTTGAAATAAAAAAGAGAGGATAGGATTTTATAGATAGAAGACTGAGGAACAGAGACTGAAAATTGCAAAATCGGACCCAGGCCTGCCACCGCGGGTACCAATTTTTCAGCCCTCAGTGCAAAAGCTCAATCCAGAAGCTCCATCCAGAAGCTCCCCAACGCCCAAAGCAAATTTCACCACACCAAAATTTTCAATTTGTGCAATTTTCCAAGTTTAAAAATCTCCATTCTTGCATATAACCGAAAAATTCCAAACCGCCGTCGACTTTGCCCGTTTTCTCGAAAACCGCAGCGGTGCCTCGGCGGCCAGACCGTTTCTAGCGCACAATTGAGGGGCGGAGACCAGCTCCGAGCGATGCCGTTTAGCAGTTCGAGGCGATTTGGCTGCGCAGTGTGGGGCACAACGGTTGCCGCAAAAAATTAAAGGGGTCCCCCAAAAAAACCCCGGGAAGAAAAAAAAAAAAAAAAAACCATGAACAAAAGCCAAAGGGAAGCCAAAAGTAAAAGAAAATGTAAGGGAAGGACGCTTCACGACAAGAATGTAAACAATAATCTCATTCTCACCTGCCTTGTGAAACCGCTGGTGCGACAGGGCAGGCTGGTGAATGACAGGTGTTTCAGCCAAGAGAAAAATGACCATTTGGCCATTTTACCATTTTGGCCGGGTGGGCCAGATGAAACGATCATTTTGAAAATGGCCGTTTTGGTGGCCCTTTTGGACGGATCGGCCTGTTTTATTTTTATTTAGACTTCTGGCGCAGGCCATGCCAGGCCACCTTGCTAAGGCATTTGCCGTGATGGGAATGCGGCGAGTTGCCCAGGCACCGTGGGTCTATGGTAGCGAGAATTAGGAGATATTTGAAATTTGTACAATTGAAATCCTTGATGCTCCATCATTTTGAAAATCATCTTTTTATGAATATTTTGTAATTTGATGCCATGCCTGACGGTGGTTTTTGTGCCCCACGGACTATGAGGCATTTGGCGCGGCTGGTGCGGACTCGTAGTGCCGAACGCCTAGCGCCACAGCAAGGCACATTCTGGGGAAAAGAAGAAACGAAAGATTTTGCAGAATAGCGTGGAGGTTTAAGGAACGACATTTTTGGGGGTTTCCTTTTGGGGGGCTTCTTTCTCGCCACAGCCTGCCGTTTAGGGTGGGACCTTTCGGGGTCGCTCAGAGATGCCCTAAGCGAGGCGCCATTTTCTTCCTTCGATCGACTTCCGAGGGAGCCCATACCGGATCTCAACAAACCACCCACCGACCACCGTGGGATCCCACTCCGGCAGATCCCCTTACGACATGGCCATGTCGCCGGGGTCCCCTTTTTCCGGGGTACCTGTTGCCGGGGGTACCTTATTCGTGATGGGCTAATTAGTGCTGATTTCCGAGGGCCCTGAACTCCGCGCCACCCCAGCTCCAAGTCTCTAGCTCCAATTCCATACAACAAAAGTTACCCAAAACAAATCCCATCATTGAGGCTTGTGGGCCGCCTGAAACTTGGGGTAATCCGGGGGTGCCAATGCCTGGATGGCATTCCGAGGGTGCTGCCCAGTCCCGGTGCTGCACGGCATCCCCGAATTGTGGGGTCTCCGAGACCGAGTAATATAAATACACCGCTTCCCACCCCAGTTTTCCAGATTTCCCACAATTTCCCCATCATGTCCGTGGACATCTCAAGACTCTCCATCAACGGCAAAACCGACGACGCTGCGTCCGTGGCGTCGTTCAAAAACGACTACATCGACACCCCTTTCCTGGGAAAGCAAGATCAGTTCGACCAGGTTCTCGATATCTTGGATCTGACCGGTTTCATCCCAGAGTCGCTTATCGAGTCTGAGGCCAAGTGGTTCTACAACTGCCTCGGAATCGACGACGTGTACTTTGCCAAGGAAACCCCAAAGGGCATAGCCTCCCACATACATTCGCTTTATTCTTGTAAAGTCCAGGCCTTTGCCTCCGACATCAAGGTCAGCGAACAGCCCTTGATCAGATACAAGAGAGAGGGCGCCTCCCATTCCGTGTTTTTCGACACGCTGTTCCACGGAGCTGGCTTCGACAAGCGTCGTTTCGACGATGTCATTGACGAAAAGTACATTGACTCCTCCTATGGCAACGACGCTTACAGATTGGAGTACTTCTCGGCACCCCTCCAGTACTCGCTGGATCCGATCTTGGCCGGTGTGGCGGAGAAGTACGCCGCTAACCCGGACTCCGCTGCCATTTTCGCCAAGCAGCAGGTCAAGTGCCACTTTGTCTACAAGACCAAGTACGCCCACGAGAATGCCGACCCCAATGAGACCAGCATTGAGAAGATCAGCGACGAGACTTTCTGGAAAATCGCCTCCGACAGAACCAAGACCCTCTACCAGGACGTGATCAAGAAGGTGGTGAGCTCCACCGGCCCTGTGATCCAGCACTTCCCCATTGAGGAGTCTGAAGAATACAGAGTCGTGATTGGTTACCGCCAGAAGACCTCGCCTTCGTACAACTCGGCTCTTTCCGACCTCGCCGACTACTACAAGCTCTCCACCACCAGAAAGTACGTGGAACAGTTCTCCAATGGCGTGACCATCATCTCCATGTACATCAAGGCCACTGTGGACGACTCCGGCAAGACCCCAATCGACCTCTCGATCTACCAGGTGATCAAGGAGGCCTCCTTGTTGTACTGTATCCCCCACAACTACTTCCACGACTTGTTCATCAAGAACGAGTTGTCCTTGCAAGAGGCCATCTACTCGCAGTGTGGTGTGATCTTTGTGACCCACTTTTTGAACCGTTTGGGTCCCGAGTACACCAAGTTGTCGCAGTTGCTTGATCCTTCCAAGCTGATCCAGCACGCTGAGGTGTTGAACTCGTTGAAGAAGCGTTTGCGTTCCGAGACTTACACCCAGGACTACATCAAGGAGGTGTTCTTCACCAGAAAGGACATCATCCGCAAGTTGTACCGCCAGTTTGCCGATGTCCACTACATCAGACTGTCGATGGAGAAGACCTTGTCTTACCAGCGTCTTTCTCAGATCACCCCAGTCGGTACCGAGGAGGAGTTTGAGCAGATTTTGAGCAGAGAGTGTGGCCAGAACGAGCACCACGCCATCGTCTTGAGAGCCCTCTTCATGTTCAACAAGTCCATTCTCAAGACCAACTTCTACACCTCCACCAAGGTGGCCATCTCGTTCCGTTTGGACCCATCCTTCTTGCCCCAGTCGGAGTACCCCGAGACCCCATACGGTATGTTCTTCATTGTGGGCTCGGACTTCAGAGGATTCCACATTCGTTTCAGAGACATCTCCAGAGGTGGTATCCGTGTGGTGCGTTCCAGATCCGTGGATGCCTACAATGTCAACGTCCGCAACTTGTTTGATGAAAACTACAACTTGGCTGCCACCCAGCAGAAGAAAAACAAGGACATTCCTGAAGGCGGGTCCAAGGGTGTCATTTTGCTCGATCCAGGCTTGGCCCAGGACACCCCAAGGCCTCTTTTGAGAAGTACATTGACGCCATGATCGACTTGTTGCTCAAGCAGCACATTCCTGGCGCCAAGGAGCCATTTGTGGATCTCTACAACAAGCCCGAGATTCTCTTCTGTGGTCCTGACGAAGGTACTGCTCCATACGTCGACTGGGCTGCTCTTCACGCTCGTACCAGAGGTGCTCCATGGTGGAAGTCCTTCTTCACCGGTAAGTCTCAGCAGATTGGTGGTATTCCTCACGACGAGTACGGAATGACCTCTCTTTCGGTCAGATCCTACGTGAACAAGATCTACGAGAAGCTCGAGATTGACAATGCCACCATCAGAAAAGTGCAGACCGGTGGTCCAGACGGTGACTTGGGTTCCAACGAGATCAAGCTTTCCAGAGACGAGAAGTACGTTGGAATTGTCGACGGTTCTGGTGTCATTGCCGACCCTAACGGTTTGGACAAGCAGGAGCTCTTGCGTTTGGCCAAGGCTCGTAAGATGATTGACCACTACGACCGCTCCAAACTCTCCAAGACCGGTTTCATCGTTCTTGTGGAAGAGAACGACGTCCAGTTGCCGGACGGTACTGTCATTGGTTCTGGTGTGACTTTCCGTAACACCTTCCACGTGAAGATCCAGGAGATCTACGGTACCAGCGGTGTGGACTTGTTCGTGCCATGTGGTGGTCGTCCTGCTGCCATTGACACCGACAATGTGCGTACCTTGATTGACCAGAAGACCGGCAAGAGCATCATTCCATACTTTGTGGAGGGCGCCAACCTTTTCATCACCCAGTCTGCCAAGCTCATTTTGGAGAACGCTGGCTGTGTGATTTTCAAGGATGCCTCTACCAACAAGGGTGGTGTTACTTCCTCGTCCTTGGAGGTTCTTGCTGCTCTTTCTTTCGACGACAACGGATTCTTGAAGAACATGTGCATTGACTCCTCCGGCGTCAAGCCCGAGTTCTACGAGGCCTACGTCAAGGAGGTGCAGCGCAAGATCGTGGACAATGCCCAGATGGAGTTTGAGGCCTTGTGGAAGTTGAAGCACGAGACCGGCAACCCCATCACCGAATTGTCCGACAAGCTTTCGCAGGCGATCAACAAGCTTGGTGACGAGTTGGCCAACTCGCAGGAATTGTGGAACGACGATGCCGAGTTCAGAAACGCCGTTTTGGTTGACTCGCTCCCACCATTGTTGCTCAAGTCGATTGGCATGGATGCCATCTTGGAGCGTGTTCCTGAGTCCTACCTCAAGGCTTTGTTTGCCACCCGTTTGGCCTCGAGATTTGTCTACTCGAGAGGCATTGACCTGAACCCAGCCAAGTTTTTGGAGTTTATCTCTTCGATCAAGAAGGAGTACAAGGAGAGACAGCTCTTGTGATGAAGATAAAAAGAGAATGATAGTAATAAGCTAAGCACGTATAGATTAATTAATATGCCCGAAGTCTAAGTTGAATCAGTGGTATAGGTTAGAGTTATTGATGTCCAAGGGATCGGGTATTTATAACTTCAAAGCAATGGCCCAATACCAAATAAACAGTAGATTGTGCCATAAATCAGTAAAGTATTTTATATGGTAGATGCATCTAGAATGAGTTGTGTTAATAGATTTACACTGGTAGTAGTCAGGTGCTCATTCTATTTGATAACCGTGATACAACTTCACCACAAACCCGAAATTGCAACAAGTGCTCCAGTTATGCTTTTATAGAATAAGTTGCTTTTCCCAAGAAAACAATCAATTTGTTCAATTAGGTACCTTCCTTTGTTCACTGTGTATGTACCAGTAGTATCAACACTCGCAAACCACTCCCACCTACTCCTACGCCACAATTTTCAATTTAATTTATTAATATAATACAGGTTTTTTTTTTCTTTTTTTTTTTTTTTTTTTTCTTCTTTTTATCCTTTGTCTCTCGGCAGAGCGAGCCGGTCAACTCAAGCTCTAGCACGTCTTCTCAGTCTTCTAGGACCTCTCTTTGTGGCCCTCAACGACCAAAGTCTGAAGCATTCACCCGGCAAAAAGGTGGCAGCCTTCTTCGGGTAGCAGAGCTCCCGGAATTTGAAAAAATCGCCAGGAAGAAAGCTTTCCTTGGGCGACTGGGCCAAAACGTGTCTAAAAAATGGGAAGTCCTCTAGACAGTAGGCCAGGTTGGTTGAAGCTGGGAGGTCCTGAGTACTCGATGATGGAGAAGGATCAGAACCATCAGGCTTCTGGGAACCGGAATTGGGGGAACAGTCCTGGTTCAAATTGGCTTGCAAAGTCTCAGATTGTGAAACTTCCATAACCTCAGAATGTCCACCACCAGAAAGCTTCTGAACTCCAGAAACCTCAGGATTTGGACACTCTGGCTCACAGCGGGGCAGAGTTGCACCAGGCGCCGTGGTCAAAGTCCAGTTGAACTTTTCAGTTTGTGGCATCTCCTCAGGTTCGTCTTCCTCAGGAATGGTGTAGATGCCGTTGTTGTAAAGCCATCCGTGGCCCAGGGGAAGGGAGCCAGAATTTGGAGAATAAGCAAAAGAAGCGGCTTCATTGGAAACTGGGGCTTTGGAGGAAGCTGTGTAGGACTTCTTGAACTCGCTGTACAGCTCCTCAAGGCTTTCAAAAAGCTCGTCATCCGAGATGAAAGCGTCAGAGGCTTCAGATTGCTGTTCAAAAAATTCAGTAACCTTGGCACCTTGGAAGGTGTCCAAAACAGCAGCCTTGGATACTGGGGAGGAAGCTGGGGAAGTGTTGTTGGATGATTCCACTGGGGCCTCCTCAGAAGACTCAGAAGAAGCGTCAGAAGAGGAAGACTCAGAATCGGAATTTTCTTCATTCTTTTCCTCTTCAGTCTTCTCCTCTTCAATTCTTTCTTCCTCAGTCTTAGCATCCTGCTTCAGACTCTCCGAAACGACTTCCTCAACTTCTTCAACTTCTTCATCCCAGGAGGGACAATGGCGGCAGCAGAATTCCTGAAGCTTCGTTTCATAAAGAGCCTGGGCGTTTCTGCGAGCAGAATCGTCAAAACATGCCTGGCGGATAAAGGCCTTCAAGCGTTCGAATTGGCCCTTTTTCCACTCAAGCAGAGTGTGGTTGGCACCGTGGTTGATTTCCATCAAACCCGAGGCGTCAAAAGTAGCGTTGAAAACGGCGGCGGGGAAGAAGATGCCGTTGATTTCGTGACACTGGAAACACATTTTTCAGTTAATTGAGTGGTACTTGTAGTAGCTTTGGTAGTTGTGGTCTGTGAAGCAATAAATTGATCAAAGACAAAAGGTTCTAACGTGGTGGGTCAGAACGGTGGGCCAGAATGTGGTAGAGAAGAAGAAAATTGCTTTGGCAAAAACGGGCGTATTTATGTTCTTCTGGTGGGCCTTCTGTTTGTGAAATTATTTAGGAAGGTGAGGTGGATGACCAGAACAGGGTCACGCCGGTGGGAAGCCCGTTGGACTTACTGGGAATGGTGTAACTGAAAGAGAAGAGGCAGTTTGGAAAAAGAGGTGTCACACTTTGGTGTCTGTGTTGGGATATTCGTAAAATGGTTGCAAATGTGTCATGTGGGCTTATCATCTTGCAGAATGCCCGATTGGGATACTCCGGGGCGGAAGCGTTGTGATGGTGGAAATTGGAAAAGAATTAACAGAAAAAAAAAAAAAAAAATAGAATGTCATTTGGTGAAAATGGGGTTTCCGGTTTGAGAGAATGGGGTTGGAAAACTGGGTTGTAGTGGATTAGAGAAGTGAGACACATCGTAGAAAAACAAGAAAGCATTAGGATAGCCTATTGAGTGCTACAGCAAAAAAAGTGTCTGAATTAGAGGAATTTAGATTCTGGATGCTTAAAGCTCACTGCCTCTAGCACTATCCTACTAAGTCACCTACCTTACTACATCTACGCTTTCAACCTTCAGAATCACAATTCGGTTTCTTTATTGCCGGACTGGACAATATCCCCACAACACCCCAGAAAGCCTGTTTTTATGCCTCTGGTGCTTTGGACCTAGACTTGAAAGCTTTCAATATGATTACTGGACCATACTGCTTCACAAAAGCTCACCCAACGTATTCCAGAGCATTCTACATCATCGTCACTAAGCAATGCATTTATATGAACATGAATCGCTCTAGATATCTACCCTGAGCTTCCATTCTCTATTCTCGAAAGAAGTCGACCACTATTTGGTCCATATCTTCCTCAGCACCATAGAGGCCATCTTCTCAATGCCGTGACATCATAAAAGAGGATTTTCACACTCAAGCCTCCTCAACATCAACAACCTCCTAACGTCCCCAATCGTCCAACCACTACACCGACGCTGATCAATATCTTGCAACTATCCAAACCAGCTACTCCAACATTTGGCGTAATGTTGGCTTCTTTTGCGCTTACATTACTTTCAACCTCCTCGCCTATCTTTTCTTGTACGACTCACGAAGTGGACGCTTCCGTCGGATCCTTCTTCCTCACTTGAGCAGCTCCTCGAGCTCTTTCCGGGCATGCACCTCCTCGTTGACACGGGAAGTCACGTGGTCACCCACTAGGGCAAACACAAACGTCAGGCCGGCGATATACAAACGTGCCTTCTTTGGAAGCGCCATCCAGCGTTGCCACAAGTTCATGATGGGGTGTAGTGAGATGAAAATCTCGCGAAATCCGGGGAAGCCTTGATGCGATGGGCAATTGGCGGACGAGTCGGCATCGAAAAAAAAACAGCTATGGCTTCGTTTTCAAATGAATGGATAATTGAAATTTGACTTTTTAGATGACTTGTTCTTCTGGGCTTAAGGAACGGGTTTAAGTGGTATATAAACGGTGTGGTGCACGGGTGCACATGTGGCATAAATGGGTGAACCTGGGATGCTTCCCAAGCGTTACAGGAAAAGTTTTGATGGATTTTTGTTATGCCGGTTCTCGAAATAGCACAAAGTGAAGATTTGGCCCCATTTTGATTCTTATGTTCATGGCAGGTCAACGTCAAAAGTCTAGTCAATATACTACTCACGAGAGTTGCTTCAGTAAGATAGGGTCAAGCAGTCATTGGGTCAAGCAGTCACTTGACAGTGATCAAAGACATCAAATTCTATTGAGAGCTTGGAAAAGTAACTTTTTTTTTTCTGTGTAGATTCAATACCCAAGGAAAGCACAGTGAGTCTCTTTGCAGCCATATCACAGCCTATACTCTAGTGTTCTCTTCTAGCATTTCAAAACTCAAACGAATAAAGATAAAGTAGCCGGCTCAACACATTGTTTTAGCCCGAGAGCTCTCCAGTTTAGGCTGCACAGGTTCAGGTTGCTTCTAGTTCATTCTAGCTCACCCAAATAAGACTCAACTACTGAACATTCAAAACTTATATAGCAGAACCCATTCCCCCAAAATCTAAATGTAGTAGAAGTTCCAAAATATACACCCATCAAACTTGCCTTCCATTTACATCAAACTCATCACAATATTTGAATGATCTTCACTTTCTAAATGATTTCCCGTTTTGATACTGGGGGTTTTCAGCACCCTCCTAGAAGACCAAGGCATCGAAGTTGAGTAATCAAGTTGACACCAAACACTCAATTGACAGACAGGCAGGGTTTTGAACATAATGAATATCCAAACATGGCAAAATCTCCCATTGAGCTCAGTCCTTAAGCATATGCACATTGGGCTTCTTTGAGGGATATGCCCATTGGGTCTATTTGCAGCCATTACATCTCATACCAGACAGCCTAAATGCTCTCTTTCTTCACTATCTATACTAATGCTTTGGGATGATTTTAACTATCTCCCTGCTCTCCTTATATCTCCCTTTCGTTTGCAAAATTCAGGACGTTCAAGTCTCAAAGTGTCTAATCACTCAGACTCATTCAACTCACGCTCACTCAACCAGTGAACACTCAGAAGCCAACAATTTCACACATTTCCGAAAACCACAGACCTTTCAAATTAGCACTATCCATTTTTACCAAAACATCGCTCTTACCGCTTCAAAGTGTCATCGATCTCCATCAAACTCATTATCTTAGACTGCCCACCTCATCGCTACCCCGGATTCTCGCGATGTGAAAAACTCCATACTAATTCACCACTACTCTTCCAAAACACACACCAAAAACACCAAATTCCGCCATGAACACCACCACGGAACTCCCGCCGTGCTGTCTCCGCGTGCACCCGCAGAATCCCGAAATCGCCGTCCTCGGAACGTACAAACTCGAGGAAAACGGCTCTCGCCACGGATCCTTGGACGTCTACACCACGAAAAACGGCCAATTCGAACGCCTTTCTTCAACAAAAACAGCCTCCGCCGTGCTAGACCTCAAGGTGTCGCCCACAGACGCGTCGCTCTGGGTCCTGGCGCATTCCACAGGGAACATCAGCGTGTGGAGGTTTGAAGACGATAAGCTTGAGATGAAGCAGAATATGGAGTTGTTTGAGGAGGATGTGCTTGTGACGTCGGTGTTCTTCGACCCTAAGGATGCAAATCGGCTTTTGGCGACATTGACGTCGGGTGAAGCAGCCATTGTGGATCTCCAAAACGGGACCTTTGATCTTCTAGAAACTCCTCATTCTTTGGAATGCTGGACAGGCGCTTTTGGAGAGGAAGGTGCCGCTGCAAATGTCGTTTTTACCGGCGGCGATGATGCAAAACTCATAGCCCACGATCTCCGCCAAAACGGGAAAATATGGGCCTCAACTCGGCACCATGATGCTGGAGTAGTGCTGATATTGTGTCCAGGCAAAGAATGGAGAAACCCAAGGTCCGACTGTCTCTGGACAGGCTCTTACGATGACCATCTCCGGGTTTTTGATTTGCGTAAAATCGATACCGATGAAGGCCCTTCTTTGTTTCCCAGCTTGCTTCCTCAGGAACTACACAAAACGAACCTCGGGGGAGGAGTCTGGAGACTTATACCCGGCCCGGATCTTTCTGTTTTGGCTTGTTGCATGTATAAAGGGGCTTATGTTTTGAAAACTGGGGAAAACGAGCCCCAGGTGGGTAAGTTTTTCAAGGGAAAGCATGAGAGTATGGTTTATGGAGGTGACTGGTCAGGAAAGGACGCCTTGACCTGTCTGTTTTACGATAATGTTGTAGAGAAGTGGGCCTCCGAATAGAATTTAGGATAGAGGTTGGTTTGAAGATGAGGCGTATGGTTATAGAGTCTCGTTTGTGGCTAGTGAATAGTGCCCAATGCATTAATGAGAAGAAAATGTTTTTTTGAGAGAAGCTCTTTGCATGATTACCAAGAGATAGAATCATCACACTCTCTTAATTTGGAGCCTGTGCTCTTTAGTATGAAACTGAAGTCATCAATCCGTGTAGTGTATTTTTGGTGGTACTCGTACCATCTATATTCAATGCAGCCGTTGGCACACCTGTCACCGGTATCTCTTCTCGTCACAGGGTTACTCGGCTTCTTGCCTATAATATTTCGGCTCCTAGCCTAGAATCAACATCTCGGCTCCTCCGTTAGAACAACAGAAGGTCAAGAGGCACAGAGGAGCCTCTACCACTAGGGTAAAGCTTTTCCTTGCGCTCAAACCGACGAGGATTAGGCAAGGCGTCGCTATTGACCCACTTGAACCTCGTGTCCTCGATAACCAATCTTTCCGAACTGCTTCCGTTTCTCTGTTGCGTGTTGATGGTGTAGTCCAGAGCAGAGATTTTCCGGAGATTCTGGCCCGTCGACTGCTGCTGTTCCATGGTGCTTGGCGGCGGAGGAGGCGCTGCCTTTTTGGGTTTGTATGAAGATGGAGCAGGAGGAGTTTGCTTCGGTAGCGATGGTGCCAGAGGTGCCAGAGAAGCCAGAGGAGGTGGAGAAAACAGCAGTGGAGGTGGAACCAGAGGAGGCGAAGGAGCTCTTGGAGGTGGAGGCGCCTGTGTTGGAATCAGCGGCGTGGGAGGTGCCTGTGAAGGAGCCAGAGGCGTAGGAGGCAACGATGTGGGCACTGGAGGCGCCTGGGGTGTTGGAGGAGCCTGGGAAGGCACCGAAGGAGCCAGAGATTGTGGAATTGGTGGAGCAGCGGAGGGTGCTGGTGACTTTGACGTCTGTGCCTTGTTTCTGGCATTGAGCTGGTCCAAAAACGACGGAGCCGGGCCGGACGGCGGTTCAGGAGCAGACGATGTGGGCGCCTTTGGCGCTGACGATGTTGGCGGTTTGGGAACCGACGATGTTGGTGGTTTTGGCACGCTCAGAGGAATTGGAGGTGCTGCCGAGGGTGGTTTTGGCGCAGACAGCTGCGGCGTGGAGGCCTCCAGGTTGTAAGTGGAGTAGCTTGAGGTGCCGTCGACCACGGCGGAGTCGTTTCTCTTTGCGTTGATCTGGTCCAAGAACGGAAGCGAGCCGCCTGGCAAGGCAGGAGCCTTGGGAGCGTCTGATTTCGACGATGGTTTGCTCAGCAGAAGCAGCGGCGGTGGAGGGATCAGCGGAGGCGGTGGGGGCGCCAGATTTGTAGGTGGTGGAGGCGCCGAAGTAGGCACTTTTGGTGGGCCTGAAGAAGGTGGTTTTGGCGGGCCTGAAGAAGGCGGTTTTGGCGGGCCTGAAGAAGGCGGTTTTGGCGCCAGCGTGGGTGGAGGAGGCGCCAGCGGCACGGGAGGCGTAGGTGCCGAAGGCACTGGTGGTGGAGCCGATGGGATCGGAGGAGCCGAGGAAGTAGGTGGACCTTTACTTGCCGCTTTGGGCCTAGAAGAAGGCGCTGAAGGGGCCGAGCCGCCGGCGTTGTCAACCACATGCGAGTCGTTTCTTTTGGCGTTGATTTCGCTCAAAAACGGGAGGCCTCCAGGCGGAGGCAGCGGTGCAGCAGGTGCCCCAGAGTCCTTGGGGGCCAGCGGAGCCTTGGGAGCCATTGTGGGTGGAGGAGGCGCCGAGGGGACCGGCGGAGGCGCTGAAGGGACAGGAGGGGCCGCCGTTGGCGGTGGAGCAGAAGGCACTGGAGGAGGACCCCTGTTCAGGGCAGCCAGTTCCACGGAGCTGACGGAGCTGACCGAGGCCAGTTTGAGGTGGCCCTTTTTCGACGGTCTGGGCGGCGCCTGGGGCACTTTTAGTGACGGCACCGGCGGGGGCGACGACGGGATCGGAGGCGCTGCTGACGGAGGAGCAGGCGGAGCAGGCGTTGATTTTGGAACCGCCGGGGTCTTCAGAGGCCTGGACGAGGGCATTTTCGGCACGGCAGGAGCGGCAGTTTCCGGCGGAGCAGGCGATTTGGGCGCCAGCGTAGGCGGCACCGGTGGCGGCGCCAGCGGCACGATTCCCGCCCGGTTGTCCTTGATGGACTTCAACTTGGGCATACCTCCCAGGAATAGGTCACCCAATTGCGGCGGAGCGGGAGCGCCCAGTGGCGCCGGCAGCGATGTTGGAGCCGGCAGGGGCAGCAGAAAGCCGGGAGTGGCGGCGCTGGAACCCCCGGAACCCAAAAGCGGGCCTGACTTATCGACAGTTGTAGCTTTCTTCAAGTTGGCACCTTTACGGATATCGCCCAAAAGGGCGTCTCTTCCTTTGGGCATGGAGGCAGGTGGTGCCGGCGGGATATCGAGCCCCGGAGGCGGAGGGGGCGGTGGAGGAGGCGGACCAGCCATTGGAATTGAAGAAGAAAGTGGTATGGTTGATTTGAGTAGTTGGTGAGCTGTGATAAGGCGGTGTGCAGGAGGCGGTGATGTGGAGGTTTGACGATTCAAGGGTTAGAGCAAAAAGGAGGGGGGTGGCGTTTTGTTGTTTATTTATGGAATGGTGGGTTTTGGGAATTTGGGTTTTGGCGGTTGGTTTATGGTGGGTTGGGTGGACGGTGGATGGTCGGTTGCTCAGGCTGTGGCTGCGAAATTCGGAGGTGGATGAACAGAGCATTTATAAATACGACTTGGCGGTCGACTTTTTTAAATCGTTTTCTAAAATTCGTCTATTAAACATTTTGATTTTCCGAGATTTAAAGAATTGAAGGTTCCATCGCATTTAGGCGTTGATTGGTCGTTTAAATCGGGTGGTCATTTCTGTCTTGGCTGCATCAGCTTGCTCACCTACTTCGGTGAATCGAAGAAAGAGCATTTCAAGCAAAAGTGTGATAATTGAAGTTTGACGAGTTGTGATTTTAAATGAGGTTGAAAACCCCAGGAAATTTATAAAAGATCTTCAGCTGTATAGTGAGAGTAGTGCTCACAGAGTAGGAATAGTCGTACCACCACTGTCGATGGAATTGAAATACTCGTAGACTCTCGGTTAAATAGATTTCCTAACTCAATTTTAAGCAAAAAAGGGCGATAGGTAATTATTAGTGCAATTGTGTTCTTTAGACCTGGACGCTGGCCGACCTTGAGGTCTCCAATGATATGTTGAATGAACGTCAATCGGTGAATTCCACTCAGTCCAGAACAATCTCTTACATATAGCTACATCTGCTCAAAAAAGCAGCCTACAGCTTCTCAATGAATACATCAATTCACTATGGTCCGGGGAATCGCCGGCGTATGTACATGTGGTGTAGTAACTGACATTCTCGATGGGGAAGCAATTGGAGCAGACAGAGAAGACACAATCGTCCGGTCGAAGTATTGAAAGAGGGCGAGTCGAGGGAATCAGTTGGACGAGAAATCAATCCACCGGACAGGTTAGAGCTTCCAGCTTCGATCAGGCTTGCATTTGGGAGGTCAGCGCCTGTAGCTTAACTTTGGAAGAGTGGGTTGGCAAAGACAGGTCAAGACCTGAGGTGTTGACGATACTCAAAACGGAAGCTCCCCAGATGGAGCTAGACCTGAGGTAGTGTGATTGAACGAGACAGACCGATACCTGAGATCTCAGTCTCAACTGGCAATTCTCTGATTCAGAACAAAGGTGGGGCATTGAGGAAGACTAGTTTGTGGGCTTAGCTCAGACGGACCAAGACAGCCGAAAACAGCCTGGGAACTCAGACTTGGCTAATTCAAATCGCGAGACAGACCATGACGTCCAAACCAAGACTAACAGCATTGGCTTTATTTGACGTCCACTCAGACAGACCAAGACTTACAGTCTTTGCCTTATCCATGGAGTAACATTGGCTCAGACAGACTAACATCACGGCCTTGCTTAGCCAGACATTACCATCTGCTCAGACAGACCAAGACTTACAGCCTTGGTCTTGACTTAAAAGCGGGTTATCCACTCAAACAGACCAAGACTTGCAGCCTTGGTCTTAACCAAACAGTGCCATCGGCTCAAACAGACCAAGACCTACGGCCTTGGTCTTATCCAAATAGTACCATCGGCTCACTCTTCCACCTCCAACTCAACTTCAACCCCCAACTCCTCGCTCAACTCCTCAACCAACAACTTCGTCAACTCACTTCCGTCCCTCAACGTCGTCCACTTCCCCTTGATCAAATCGTACCGCTTGGGCCCGCTCACAGGGCTACTAAGCCAGATCTGCTTGTTAGGAGGCTGCTTATTGATCACATAGGTCTTGCCTGGAGCCACCGAAAGCGTCATGACGCCGTGATTGAGCTCGGCATCGATCTGTGGGTAGTCCTCCAGAAGCTCCTCCAAAGAATCGCTCAACAGCTCGAGATATGTGTTTACCAAAGACGAGTATTCGTGGTCCAGGATGTTGTCAATCTTGAGCGAGACGTTTTCACCGCTTGTGGAGATGGAATACGGTTTTTGGGCGATTCTGGGAAAAGCAATGGCGGGGCGGACGACCGGAAGCCTGGCGAGGCGTGGGAGGGCCTGTGGAAGGCGTGCTGTGAATCTAAACATGGTGTAGTGTGGGTAGTTGAGGTGAGAAAGCGAAAAATCCGAGGCTGAGGGTTGCGTTGTGGATCGTGAGGGAGACCACATTTAGAAGAACAAGAATGAAGAAAGAAAAAAAAAAAAAAAAAAGATCTGTGATAAAATATTTTCATTCGTCATTGGAGAATTGTATTGGCTGGATCGGGACTTGTGGGTTTTTGGTTTGTGACTCTGGTCTATAGTGGCTGCGAATAGGCTTAAGGGTTGTTGTGTGATGGGGGATTGAATTTCAGGAAAGAGGCCAAAAACGAACTTATAAGGCTATTATTGTAACTTTTGACTTATTGAGCTAAGATTTAATCGAAATTGAGGGCATCTGAATCATCGTCTTAGTAATGCACAGGGTCCAGCCACTCAGAGCCTCGGTAAAGCTAAGGTGGTGATTTGTGAGTTGATTCCGTTGATTTTGTGGATGAAGGGTTTTTGGGGTTTATTTAGGCTGACAAGTTGATATTGCATTTGAGTTTTTGGAATACTCTTCCTGTGGTCGTTTCTGACAAATCTGACCCCAAGGTGTGGTTCATTGAATCAGAAGAGAGGAAGACTATAGAGGGAATCCCATGACGAAACAGAAAGTTTTCTGAAGACATTCCAGTCAGTTTTTAAGATAAGAATCCACCAAAGCTTGAATAACTTCATCCGGAAAATCCAGTTAGGTTCTATGATTTTGGACACAGAGGAAGCCTATCTCCAAGAAGTCTCACAATTCCATAATACACCGATTTTCAAATACTGCCATGGAGATTTTTGGGGTGTTTTCTGATTTCAACTTGGCATGTCAATCGAAACTGAATTATGAACTTTCTCAAAGGCGGTCTGGAGGCCACGGATGAGAGATACAACAGGTTAGTTTTCACCGCCGTCATTCCACCAAACTCTCTCTCCAATCAGTATTTATACTCGAGTAAATTTGAAAATTGATATATACGTCACAGGAGTTCTTATCTATAGACTTACCTCATCTGGGTACGTCTCAGCTCATACATTCCTGACAACCATTAAGCTATAGCCCCAATAGCCCAAAAGTCCTTCGTTCTGTATAGTTAATTAGCTGACCCTCCACATGATCCATTAGTTTCATCACCATTCAAACTCAATTCCTATATCTTCCTCCTCTCGTCGGCCTATCACACAAAGATGTCGACCTTAGAGTATTTGAACGGTTCACCAATAAAACATCTGTGAAACGACATAAATACTTCGGTTTCCAACTTGTAACGACGACGTTTTTTCCAGTAGTTTCTCCAGTGAGCATCCCATTCTATGACTACGCTTTGAAAGTCTCTCTCGTTGACCAAAAGCGCATCATCAAAGACGTTCTTCAATTTGTCAAGTTCCGTACCCGTTCGAGTTTTAATCACTTTTGCAGCCATTGAACGGCTGACTCCGACCGGGACCTTCCGACACGGCATGACCCGAAGATCTTGGGGCATCTTTTTCCAGAAAACGCACAAAAACTCTAAATCACCAAAGCCTCGGGAGCTGGACCACTTTAAGCCCTAGCCAAGCCAAAACGCCTGCCCATTGTGTTTTGGACTAAATACCCGAGGCTTAACTTCTCCAGATGCATCGAATCACAAACTCCGATTTGCACGTCCTTGGCGAGGCCCAATAGCCACTCAACCAGGTCTACAACCGTGAACCAGAAAACGTAAAGAAGTAATAAACGTATACCGTGCTACCGAGTGCTACCGAATACTTCTGGATGCTACTAAAACGCACGAATTACCTGTTTCCCGCCTACCCCAAACCGTCTATCTGCCAAGTCACGAACAACGGTCCCCGACTAAGTAGCCTCCTGGATTCCCATTTTTTACCTCTTACAAAGAGGCGTTTTTGGAGAGTACCAGATTGGGCACGTCATCACCGATACATTTAGAACCAGCAGGGGATTGTGACACCAGGGGAAAACATGAATTAGGAAGATTCCTCACGATATGAGCTTCTTGTCACTTTGCATTAAACCTTCGATAACAAAACGAGAAGACGAAAAAAAAAATTCCAGCCCAATTCTACACCCACTTGCACTTATTTTATTTTGTTCGGCCTGCCGACGCCAAGCTCATCGAAACAGGCCGCCCTTAGCCCGGAAACAGGATCCTGGAGGTCCGTAAAAGGCGTTTTGTGGATTTTTCGAAATCACGGAATTACGCTCCAACGGTGGAGAATAAAGTGTGTTTTTTCGAAAAGCCCGCATTGGGCCATTCCCAGGCCTCATCCTCAAACTACTCCATCACCCAGCTGGGCGGGGCCTTTCCACGCACGTCACTGGCTGAAATCTTGGCTCGGACAAAACGGCAATTTCCCGGGAAAGCTGCTACGTCAAATTACGAATTTAAAAAACAAGAAAAAGAAGAAGATGTAGAAAGGCGAAAACATGAAGTCGAGGTATCAAACTTCGCCTGTTAAATTAGCACAGATTTCCCGTTGCACAATAGCACGGCGTTCGCAGAGCGGATTCTGTGGGGGTACCAAGAAAAAGCGTGAGGCTGGCCCAGAATTCCCAAACAAGATAAGCATCCTGATAACAAGTGCCGTGTCGGTAGAAAGTATTGAAGGATGTGAAATGACATCTCTTCTTGGACCAAGAAGTTCATAAGGAATCTGAGTGTCTTTGTGCGGTGAGTAGTAAGCCTTGTAAGTGTACCGCCTGTACGGCTGTGAAAAAATCAGTGGTGCGGGAAATCAGACCTGACTAAATGTCCCATGAAGGACTGAAATCACCCGATAACTGCCACTTTCACCAGCCTGACCGGCCTGACTGTGGATTTGCGTCTCCGCCTTCGTGGAGGCACAATGGCCGTGACGGGTGCCCCTGCTTAGCCAAGGCCGCCATTAGCCGGGATGGTAGAGACGCTGCGACTGAGTTCTGAAGATTCTGGACTGACTTTACACGTAGTTTCTGGAGATGAATTTGGAAACAGCCGCCAATCGCTGAATCGAATTCTTGGGTTTGACAATCTTGGATTGGCCGCCAATTGCCGATAAGATCACGGGAATGTTGCCTTGTTGCATTGCTGATTGCGCAGTGGGAGATTAGAATAGATTTGCACCCGCGGCACCACGAAGTCTGCTCAACCACGAAGCCTACCTCCATTACCAAAGCCAGCCACCAAACCAAAGCCAACCACCCGAACCAACCAACACCAATTTTAGCAAATCAACCCGCCAATCAGCATTGTCTAAGCAATCTAATCGCCTCCTTCACCCGCCCATTGATCCTCTTTTCAATTCCCATCCTACGGCCTGGCTTCTGCGCACGGGCTATCTAGTCCCTGCGTTCTCGCAGCCGTTTGAACCCCAAAAACAGCCTCCCCAAAATCCACAAACCCTCTGAACGCCTAAATTCCCTAAAACGCCAAAATCCTCCAAAACGCCAAAACCTTTTTCCCCTCGCTCCCTCCCTCTTATCTAAGCAATCCCATAATTCCCTGCCAAGATGCCAAGGTTCGTGCCGTGCGCCTCTGGGCTGCTTCGCTAACTATTACTGCCGACCTGCACACAACTACTCACACCGTCTGCTCCACCTGCGGGCCTGCCTGCGGCTTTTTGCAACCATTTCCTAGCTTCGAAACGCCGTGCAACCAGGCTATATAAGGCCCCGAGGGCCCGCTTTTTCGCCAACTCCATCGCCATGTCACACCCCTCCGGCGACGCCGTCGCTTCAAACGTGGAAAAGTCCATCGTTGTGCAGGAAAAAGAACCCCTTCCCACAGACTCCGTCCTGAGGCTGTCGGACGAAAAAGCTCCCCTTGAAACGGTGGTCAAGCTGCCTTCGCTGGGCTCTGAGTTGGAGCAGGGTGACGATGACGGCAGAGAACCCACGTTGGAAGAAATGAAGAAATTGCGCCATGTGTCTGAGAAGATCCCGCTTCGCTGTTGGCTTGTGGCTATCGTGGAATTGGCTGAACGTTTCTCCTACTACGGTTTGTCCACGCCGTTCCAGAACTACATGCAAAATACGCCCAACGACACTCCTCGTGGTATCCTCGGCTTGAACCAATCCGGTGCCACCGCCTTGTCCTACTTCTGGCAGTTCTGGTGCTATGTTACGCCTATTTTCGGTGCCTGGGTCGCAGACACTTTTACCGGTAAGTACAACGCCATTTGTATTTTCTGTGGTATCTACTTGGTGGGCATTATCGTCCTTTTCGTCACTTCCATCCCCGCCGTCGCCTCCAGAGACACCTCGCTTGGTGGTTTCATTGTGGCTATCATTGTTATTGGTCTCGGTACTGGAGGTGTGAAAGCCAATGTTTCTCCCTTGATTGCCGACCAGGTGCCCAAAAACAAACCCGTCATCCGTGTGCTCAAATCCGGCGAAAGAGTCATCCAGGATCCCAACATCACCATCCAGAACGTCTTCATGTTCTTCTACCTCATGATCAATATTGGCTCGCTTTCTGTCATTGCAACCACCTCCTTGGAGCACCAGGTCGACTTCTGGGCCGGTTTCCTTTTGCCCTTGTGCTTCTTCTGCATTGCTCCGCTTGTGCTCCTTTTGGGTAAAAAGTACTACGTCAAGGTGCCCGTTGGAGAACAGGTTATCGCCAGATCCTTCAAATGCACCTACATTGCCATGAAGAACAAGTTCAATTTCGACGCTGCCAGACCTTCGCTTCACCCCGAGGCCGGTTACCCTTGGTCTGAAAAATTCGTCGAGGAGGTCCGCAGAGCTCTTTACGCTTGTAAGGTGTTTGTGTTCTACCCCATTTACTGGTTGGTGTACGGCCAGATGATCAACAATTTCGTTTCCCAGGCTGGTCAGATGGAGCTTCACGGGCTTCCCAACGATATTTTACAGGCCATCAACGCCTTGACCATTATCATCTTTATCCCCATTTGTGAGCGTTTCGTCTACCCCTTCATCAGAAGATTCACTCCCTTCAGAGCCATCACCAAGATCTTCTGGGGCTTCATGTTTGCATCCAGTTCCATGGTTTACGCCGGTGTGCTCCAGCATTTCATCTACCAGCAGGGTCCTTGTTACGAGTTCCCATTGCAGTGTGCTGAAGAATACAGAAACACACCCAACCATATCCACGTTGCCATCCAGACCCCAGCCTACTTTTTGATTGGTATGTCAGAGATTTTGGCGTCGATTACTGGTTTGGAGTACGCCTACACCAAGGCTCCTGTGACAATGAAGGCCTTCATTACTTCCCTTTTCCTTGTCACCAACGCCTTCGGTTCTGCCATCGGTATTGCTCTTTCGCCAACTGCCGAAAACCCCAAATTGGTCTGGACCTACACCGGTTTGGCTGTTTCGTGTTTCATTGCTGGATGTCTCTTCTACGCCATCTTCAAGAGCTTCAACGACAAGGAGGACGAGTTGAACCAGTTGGACTACATGGAGGAGGACGAGGTCAACATTCACCCAATTACTTCCATCACGGAGTCCTTGGCCAACCGCTAAATGTGTATAGTTACGAGTTACGACGGCAGTTGAGCTGCCCAACAGAGTATCAAGAAATGGAATGTAGGGCGGCGTAAAAGTCAATTTTCGGGGAGAAGTGAAGGAGTCAAAAGCCTGTTTATGGAGTCAGTAAAGTGGAGTTGACAGAGTCAAGGATGTGTTGATGTTGTGTGAATTGACTGGCTGCAATAAGACAACCTCGAGATATGGGGTTGCTGACGCTTATTTTTTTCAGTTTTGGAATTAATCCAATCGATCTAACACTTGAAGGCATGAACGAAAAGACCCATTCTTTTGTAATGTGAAACTTTCGTGGTTGTGTCTTGCAGCACCTCAGTGATGATACACATATTATTCGATAATCTCTAAGTTGCCATTTTGACCCCACATTTAAGAAACGCAAGTAGCCGAAGATAAACAAGCTGCAATAAGTCTAATCTCCGCTGGTGGCTCCAGAACCCCACGGAATACGGAATCTGAGCTTATCACTGTGAGATGCACAAACACTAAAACACGTTGTAATCGAAAACTTCATCAAATGAGATCGCCTTATCCAGGCTCGTTTTGTACCTTCTGGGTCATCTGCTTGCTGTTGTTGCCAGACTGACCCAATCGGTGCTTTTGTGTAAGTTTTGGGGCTCTTATCTTGAAAGGTGCATGATCTGGAGTTTCAAGACAGGTTTTGACAGGAGGCTTTTTAGTTGCTCGATTGCCACCCAGATAAGACAATGTCTTAGTGTTTCATTGTTAGATGGGTCATTTTGGCAGCTTTCGATAAAGGCGATATGACTATGATATTGCGCCTCTGATAAGAGATAAGGCAGAGGTGCACATCTATTGGTGAATAGAGGTGTGTTTCACCAGCGATAAACCTATCAGGGCAGGGTTGAAGATTAGCATTTACGATTGATAGGGGATTCGTGTGGAACGTAGCGGTCAATATCCATAAGTGCCGAAGCCGATTGGGCAATGATAACAGTATCTAATCGGCGGAAGTGGATACATGAGGGAACCGAAAGTCGAGATTGTACCACATATTATTTGTTCTCCACTGAAGGATAAAAGTCTTGAAATCGGGATCATTCTATAGGTCCCGAGACTTCCGTTCTGGCGATATGAGTGACCAACGGTAACGCATTTGAAAACCTTCAATTCTTATAGGAGGTTCTTAGCGTTGTTTTCAACTTTCATTTTGACAATTTTTAAAATTTTTGGAAATTTGGATTTCGTATGCTTCGTTACACTCAATCATTGATGGTGACATCCTGAAAATGCCGTGCATGGTTGCAAACTGACCACCATCAGCATCCACAAACCACGCAAACAAATCAAAAACAATAGAGAATAACAGAAGGGAACCAAAAACGAGAAATTCACAAACGGGCTATTGTTTTGAAAAATAAAAAAATAAAAAAAAAAGCCTTCTCCTCTCCCGTCTTTCTCCTCCACCTCACACATCATCTATCGCGCACTCATCTCAACTACACCATCACCATGTTCATCCCGCTCATCATCCTCGCCGTGGTTTTCTGCGCCATTTCGCTCTATCTCCCCTACTCTGCAGGATTGACTCATCTTGAACGCAGAAAGAAGCAGCAGCAGCAAACCAAACCAAAAAGGAAAAACTCCGATGCTGGATATGGCTACATTTCTCCAGACGAAGAGTTGAGAAGACAAAGAGAACAGGAGGAGCAGCACGGGCTCAAGGCACGTGCGTCGGCGTTGAAGGGGCGTTTGAACGTGACCGCCGACGACATGCCTGTTCTGATCAAATTGAACCAGCCTGGCTTGAGAAAGAGAACCGAGAAGATCGCCAACGATGTGGATCCTAACAACTACGATTACGATTTGGAGGAGTTGATCCAGGACGAGGCGAAGGAGGCCAACGAGGAGGCCATTCGTGCGGCGTACGCTGGCCAGCAGCTAGGAGGTGACAAGGAGGCGATGGTCTAAGAGTGACAGTTGATGTCAAGCAGCCAAAGGAAGCTAGACGGACGAAGTCATTTGAGGGGGTGATCTGTGAAAGAATGGCTCTTTGAGAATACTTGTGCTTCGTTGGAATCGGCCTAGTTGAAACTCCACTTTGTTAGGTGCTTTCGATTGCCTCTTTTTAGATATTGCTTGCTTCTAAATTCGACTGTCCAATGATTAGGAGGCTCAATTTGCCATAGACTTTCATCCTCTGTCTTGGATTATCAAACTCATTTGCATGGTATCAGTGTGTCCACTTCTCAGATGGTTCAAGCTGTCCACCACTTATCGAGTAAGCACACGAAGTCCTCCACATCAAGAGCGATCCTATTCTGTCTGCTGCATTTGGCACAAAGAGTATGTCGATGGCTCCGCTCGATTTTTGCATTAATACAAGGAACATTTGTCCATCTGGCTATTTACATGTAAACCATCAACTAACCATATCCAAAAGATCAATGAGATGACCTTTTTTGATGTAATTCACCTCGTCACGACGGTATAGCTCCGTAGTAGAGGGTCCATCGACTCCCTGGCGTCCGTCTCCCCTGATTCTCCTGAGCTGCTCAAAAAGCCTGTTTCTGTGTTCAGCGATTTGGCCAGCCAAATCACGATTCTCCACCACAGCGTCAAAAGCCTCGTATATCAGCAGCACAAGACGGTCCAGAAGCTTGAGAAATGCGCCATGTTCGACAGGAAGATTGGCTTTCTCGGAAACCATAGCCTGATTGAGCCAAGACTCAACTTCTGGATGCATGTGGAGCTTGCCGATTTTGTCCTTCAATCGTAAATCGGTGCTGATATCATGGTAGGTATCGTGAAGAGCTATCACCTTGGCAAGAAGGTCCTGGGCGTCTTGAAGTGAGTACTTATTGTTTTTGAAGGATTCGAATATCTTGATGAAGACTCTGGTAGTCAACGGAAGCTGGCATGTGTGCTCCATGATCCCTAATAGCTGCTCAATTTTAGCGAATGAGGCTCCAGGGGAACAAGAACTGTCGAGCACAGGGAGGAAGGTATTTTCCGTAGGAAACACCCTGTGTGTGCCATATTTGGTGCCTTCAGCTAAAGCAGCAGCATATAATTCGTCATCTTTCGGTGTCAACTTTTTGAGATAGCACTCCTGAGACTCTAAGGGTCTTGTGGTCTGAGAGGTCACAGCCTGTAAGATCTTTTTGGCCTCTTTGTCTGATCCAGACTTGACTAAGGCGTTTATAATGGCATTGACAGCTTTTATATCGACCAATTGTGGCCAGTCATCAATCATAAAGGAGGCGTACTCAAATGCCGTTTCGTATTTTCCGTAGTCAGTGTACCCGTGTATCAACGTCAGAAAGGTTTCACCATCGGGATCAAGTTTTTGCAGCTCTTTTCCAGTGAAGTTCAATGTATACTTCAAATCCTCGACAACATCGAAACTTTCACTTCGTAAGGCACTAAAAAGAAGCACATTGACAGTACCAAGAGGAAGTTTCGCAGGAAGGGTTTCCTTGAGTCTGCAATACACAGCCCATGTTAGCGAAGGCGGCCTGATTCTGAACTTTGCATACTTCTTAGCCACATCAGGTTCAAGCTTTTTTAAAGCAGATGCATGGGCACTTTTGATCTCTTCCAAAATGTCCTTCCTGTCACGAAAGAACCCCAAGTATATGAGCCTATTCTGCTCCTCTTCGAGTATAGGAATTCCTGCTTTCTTCAAATCCTCCACTACTTTCCAGCACATCTTCACGTGTGCATCTCGCTGCTCCAATTGGTTTTTGTAGCTTTTTAGCATCAGTAAGGGCAGATAGTAGTTTCCAACCAGGGAAGCCAAAAGGCCCGGTTTCACGAAATCACGTCTCCTCGAAAGCTCCTTCATGAAGGTTTCAAAGTCCTCTGGCTCCATACATGCCACGCCTGGGCTTGGAAGTTCGCTATACCTTTTTAGTAACGTTGAATGGTTCACCAAGGCTTTCTTCGATTTGGGTGCCTCAAGCCGTGCTAGCAGTCGTCTAGTAGGATAAAGGGCTTTTAGAAAGAATGTATATGAGCTTGGTTTTGGTGTATGGACATTTTCGCTTTGCAATTGTCGTATTCTTTCTCTTCTGTTTTCGACTTCTAGATTTGACTTTTCTTTGGCCAAGTGAGAAGGTCGTAGTGGGATGTTTTTTGCAATCTCACAGAGAAGCGGTCGTGATGATGTTTTTGCAATATGAGATAGTAGCGTGGAAGCTACCTGGACAGCTTTTGATGACATCCTGTTGTAGGATCAACAGTGATGGACTCAAATCGATTTATTGGACTTTAATGGTATCTTTGGAATCAGAAACGCTCAAGGAATGCACATATGGCGATATCGAGAACCCAATGGATGTTTTAATGGAAATACGACTGGGGTTATGGAAGATGAAGTAGCTGCCTGCAGAGAGGGTTCACCTCGATGCTTCGGAGATGGTGTTGGAGATCAATGATCTGAGGTACAGATTTGACTTTACAAAAAGGCACATCTATTCTTTTCGATCAAAAATCTCTTCTATTCGATTGATAAGTGTATTTGAATTGGAGCATTCTGGTTGTCGATTTTACGGTATACCCTGATGATTTTCCTGCACAGTCACACCCACCAGAAGACCCCAATCTCCACCCAGTCACCCTTTAAACACCATAAAGCATTATCAGAGTATTAGTTGGTCCTTTAATTTCCCTCCCAATACACCCCCTACCCTGATTATCCCAAAACGGCCGAACCCTGAAAAATCGGTCACGTGACGCTACCACAAAATTTGAAGCGCTTTTCATTTTCCAACCAACACCATGAAGATCCAGCACGACGCCTCCCGGGTGCTCGAAAGAACATCGCATTTTCTTCGTAAGGGTGTCATCACGGAGCGTCCCGCATGGGTGTCTGCCGTGGGCCTGCATCCCACCGGATACGACTTGACGAAAAGACCCAAGCGTTTCGATGCTGGAAGACAACCGTCAGATCCCCAGAACGATCTTTACAAGAAGCAGGGCCAGTTTTACAACACCAGAACGTCGCCCAGAGAGCGCAGAAACACACATGCGTCTGTGAACGCCGTGCCCAAAATCAAGCTTTTAGAGGACCAGTTGAGAGACGTTTTCTACCATCAACACCCTTGGGAGTTGGCCAGACCTAAAAACACCGTCGAGAACGACGGCCAGGATATCGCCAAATGTGATTGGTCGCACATGCTCCAGGTGCACAAGCCGTTGGACGGAGAGCTGGTGGTGCAAAGAACGTTGCATTTGTTGAAACAGCAGCCCAAGACGAAAAACAGCCTTTTCGAGGCGTACGACCAGGCCCGTTTTGAGTTTTACCAGTTGCGTATGGCCGACGAGATGAGCCTGACCGTGCTGCGTGAGGAGCTGGCCATGTTCGGTGCCGTTTATCCTATTTCCAACATGGAATGGGGTACCAAGAAGGAACAGGAGGCTGTGGACGTGTGGACCCAGCAGGCTGCTGAACAGACGCGTGCTAGGGAGGCTACGCGGGACGGCAGCAAGGCCGTGGCGGCCACGGAGGGCGACTCGCTGGGATCGATTTGGGAATCGACCGTTGTGGAGGAAGTTGAAGAGTGAAGGATCATTGTAAATAGCCAAGAGCAATCAGCATGACGAGAGTGTAGGGCCGGGAGGGTGTTTTGGGGATCAAGGAGCTATTTGGTCGAAGTTTTGGAGGTGAAAGGAAGGATCATAAGAATTTTTGGATGATAAAGTGATATTGATGGAGAGGCGCTGAGCAAGGTGGAAGGATGGCTGTACTTCTAGAGATTTCTGAAGCTTTTTGACGTTTGAATCGATTACAGCTCAAAAGCGATTTGCTGTTCTTCTCCTCTGATAATCTACTGATTAAGCATAGGCTTGGCTTTTTATTCTCTAAGTGGACCTACCACCAAAACAATAAGTTGAAAACAATATCCGTTAGAGAGGCCTCCTGCTTGAAGATAGCTCGTAAGGAGAGACATTTGCCCATTTGACATCTAGCGCCTTGTAGGGCATTGGGACAATACCCAGAAGTATTTGCCTGAAATAACTGAAAAGTCCAAGTGGAAAGGCTTAAGCGTGTGAATCTAGTTCAAGGCATAAAATCCCTTTTGTTTCGCCGCTGAGCTAAAGAGAATAGAATATAGAGTCTGGGAGTGAGGTGCAGCAGTTGAACCAGTCAGAGCTCTGGGTTAATGGAAATGTACGAAAGACGGAATCTTCAAAACACATTCAGTATGTTCATTTGACCTTGAATCGGTTGCACTCGTCGAACCCCGTCCCTCATCGATTCCATCAATGATCCATCAATGATCCATCTAGAACCCTTCATCTCAAACTCTCCAACCCAGACATATGACCCCCTCACTGCAACCTCAGCCTCGTACAATGTCTCCTCGACAGTTCTTCCATTCCGTAATGCATGTATTTCTATCTAGTGGTGGTGCTCCTCAGGCTTCTTGATCAACTTGTCATAAACCAAGTAAGCGGAAAACGCCACGGTGGCGATTCCAAGACCGGGGAAGGCCGACTTGAATCTGTTGAAGCGGGAGAACTGACCCTCGTATCTCCACGCGTCTCTCTTGGCCCAGGGATTGCTGCTCATGGTAGTTGATTTGGAGTCGATTATTCGCAGACGCTCTTATTGGTGGGTCGGGCGTGCGCGAACCGGGATATCACTGGGTGGCAGAGGCGAAGGATTTTATGGTGGTTTAATCGGATGAATGGTTTTGAAGGATATAGTCAGTTGTGGCTTTTGAAGTATAGATTTGTTTGGGGCTGGTGGATTTTGGTTTGTGGTTTTTGGGTAACGGTCGGAATGCGATGGCTGCAAATGAGACATAGAGGGTGAGAGGGTTTCAGTACTGCTTTTGCTTTCTTTTTTTTTCATCGTTTTACTTTCCTTATAATGTTTTGATTTTTTTCTCTTGAGTTGGATTGGCCGCTCAATTTGAAGCGTATATGGTCTCTTCGAACTCCAACGTTCAATGCATCGACTTCGCAGACATCATAATCGTACATCCAATGAGACAGGCTAAAGTGGTTTAATTTATGTAAATGCTGGCTTCATTAAGTAGACTCTCTGAGACAAAGGCTATGTAAGTTTTATCATCTTTAAATGAAGGCAGTAAGGTGCACATATGCCTAGAGTTGAAGATGGAGGCATGTATTGCAGCTTCTTTGGGAAAAGATCCAAACTTAAATATATTAAGTATGTGCAAACTGTGTTCCTTGATAAATAGGTGAATAGAAGTTTCATGAGAGTCTGTTTGTCACAGCCATCAGGACAGCTATGGAGGGTCTGACTTGAATTCAATGGCAGTTTAATGGTTACCATATTTAATGTTCCGAACCTTTCAAGTGCGTTCATATTCAATAAAAGCTCATAGAAGTTTGCGCTCTTTGTGGTGTTCTGCTCACTTTTGGCTCTTTCTTGTATTGCATTTAAGTAATCAACGAGCCCGGTACTCCGTTGATGGTTCCATAAATCCTAGCAATAATCACGTTATTCCAAGTAAATCCTTATTTGCAGCTTAAGTTGCAAAAATCGGAGCAACTTGGCTCATTAAGACCTCGCTTAAGTATTCCAAGTATCCAACCAAATGGCTGCAAACTCTTCAGCCGCATGGTCCAGACACTAACAATTCTACCGTCAATGGAACATAAAATGAGGTTACTATAAACTTTAGGAGTGATTCCGATTCTTATTAGTCGAAATGTCAGAATTTATATCTCAAATCTGGATCCTTTGCATCACCATTCATTGTTTCTCGGAGTTCCTATATTGCATCTACTAGCAGTACTAGCCGCACCGTGGACCCACGCCTCAAACGAAACAGAAAAAGAAATAAAAGCCCCAGGCTATAAATACAGCGATTTCCCTCCAACTCAAAAACCCAATTTCCCAACTTCCCCTTCTTCTCGTCTCTCACACCCTCCGGAATGCTAGTCCATCCAGCAACCGAGGTGCATATGACGTGAAGAGCACCTGCAGCACGATACGGAGCGCAATCTACCTCAGAAACTACATACCGCTTCTTTTTCCGTAATGCCCGAGGAAACCAGCCAATTGGAACGCTTGGTGGGTGCTCCAGAGCCCCAAAATGAAGAACTCACGGATTCAGAAAACGAGGATGACTTTGTGAGAAAGTACGGAGAAATCGACTTTCGTTACATCAAAAGACCCAGGGACTCGGTGTGGTTTATTAGACCCCATGCCCTCAATTACTTCAAGGGGGGTACCTTGTACCGGACGAAAGGAGAACGGCTGTCGGGAAAGACCGAGTTGTTCTTGGATTTGATCTATGTGGGCATCATTGGCTCGGTAGCTGGAGATGCGTGTGACAAGGCCTCTTGGTACGCGCTTCTCAAGTACATTTTGTTGTTTTTGCCTTATTGGACCGTTTGGGCGGACATCAAGGACGTGACCAACTACTACTACAACGAGGACTTGTCGCAGAAGTTGTACCTTTTGTGGATTTTGGTGTTATTGACCACGTCTGTGAACGCGCAGACACACGTCTTGGAGCTGACCAGGGGCGCTGCTTTTACTATTGTGCCTTATATTATTTGTCGCCTTTCATTGGCCTTTTTGCTCTTGTTTTACTCGTTCTACGTGCCCGAGCACAGACCGCAACAGCGGTTGTATTTCGTGTTTTTGGTCATCACGAGCAGTCTTTGGATTCCTGTGATTTTCGTGGGCGTCAAGACCAAGGTGATTTTGGCGTTGGTGACTATCGCCTTGGAGCAGATCACCTTCTCGATTGCGTTCCACCCCATCACCAAAAGAATGCTCAAACTCACCATGTCCACAGCTCTCAATATCGAGCACGAGGTTGAGCGGATGGCTGCTTTCTACACCGTTGCAATTGGCGAGTTTTTGACCAAAGTCACGGCAGAATCGCCCATCGGCGTGGGTTTCACCAAATTGTACCCTAGGGCGATCTATTTCCTTGTGATTGCGTACATTCTTTTTTGGTTTTACGACAATGCTGGCACGTCCCAAAAAGCCGTCCATCCTCTTCGCCATAGCGCCACGCGTGCCATTTCATGGATTTACATCCATGTGCCGCTTATTGGCTCAGTGGTGCTTGCTGCTGATGCTGGAGGTGAGCTTCTTGGGATCGAGGAACCCCGTATCTTTGGCTGGGGCCTCCAGTGACTGACGTTGTGCTTGGAGAAGAAAAAGATGTGTACGTCCTCACCTTGTTTTTCACCGGTGGTTTGTTTGTGACTTTGCTCTCAATCACGGTTATTGGGTTTCTTGACGATTGCAGAGATCCTCCTGAAGTGTTCTTGGTGCTGAAGTTCTGGCGTGTAATTTGGAGGGTTCCTGTTGCGCTTGCCATTCTCTTGCTGAGTTTCTTGAACCTTGGCATTTCGGCCATCATGGGCACTGCCATGGGGCTTCTTGTGGTGCTCTACGTGTACGAGAGTGTTGTGGCTACGCCGAAGAAGAACCTTCCGTTTTGGTGTCAACGCAGTGTTGCCTTGTAAGGCTTCAGTGATGCAAAGCGCCATTTAATACCGCCTAAAGCGACAATACTATGGTGCTACAAACATTTGGGTTTAATGATGAGCTTTCAAATTCTGGGAATAGCCATCTCCACAGGCTAGCCGGATGCCGCTGTTAACGGTGAGTCCTCTCGGTGCGTTTCTAATTTGCAGCCATCGACAATGGAATACTGCAATTCTGCAAAAGCTGTTTCACCGATTGAAACTTCCCTATCGATGATTCGGTCCCTTTTGGCAAATTAACCAAACTCTCCCTTTTTGCCGTCCGATGTGGTCTGCCTTACTCCGATCAGCTTACGCACTTTCGGTACACCGAGCTACAGCTAGGCACAGCCATCTGGACTACACTAGTAACAATCCACACCTTCAAGTGAACTCAAGACTTTTTATGACTTTCCATTTGTTGAGTTCTGTCAAATGAAAAGAATTTAACATATTATAAAAAATATAAAGTGAGTAGCAAAAAGTGACAGTAGATCCTCCTCCACCTTACTCCACGCGAAGTCAAATCCGCACCATCTCAATATCACATACCATCGAGGCACTCATTTACGCCAGGGGCAAACCACACATTTCAAGCATATACAGAGCCACACATCCCCCTTTTTCTAAAAACTATAAAAGCAGCCCCATCCCCGAAATCGAACCCCGAAAACCCCAGTACACATAGACTTCATCGCGCCGATTCAGTCATCAACTACATGCCTAGAATCCAGGTGATGGGCCCGAAACTGGCAAACACGGGCCCGGTGAGCTACCGCACGTGCTCAGATGTGGAGAACGGCGCCGTTACGAATAAGGTGCTTGTGACGATTTCGCTTCCTCGGCTACGGCAGGTTGGAAGTGGTGATAATGAGAGGAACCAAGAAAGCCTTGAAAGCCAACAAAGTCTGAAAACGAAGCAAAGTCTTCCGAGTACGATCAAGGCGTCAAACTCAGTGAAAGCCTCTGGAAATCCGTCACCAGAAGGTCCACCTAAGCCAGACTCTCAAAACCTCAATAACCACCATCAAAACCAGAATCCACCGCCACGTCCAGGCCCCGTGGCCCAGCTACATCCGACCATTGCTCCGCAGCTTCAGAACATTCTGGAAAACACGCCGCTCTGGCCTCTTTCGGGGAACTTTGCTGTGAACGCTGCAAACGCTGCAGGTGCTAGAACAGCTCCTACACCTAATGAGGTGCCTCCAACGAATAAAGAGGCGCCTGCTACACAGAACGACGACTCAGAATCAGAGCTAGAGGTCCTCGAGGTCCGCATGCTACCGGCAAGGTCTAGACCGCAGCAGCTTCTAGACGATGACGACTCGGATCTTTCGTCTCTCGATGACGAACTCAACAACGCCTTGTCTTCCACGACCACCATGCCCACACAGGTGATTTCGTCGCCGAAAAAGGAGCCGGAGCCTAAGAAAACGCCGTATCAGCCGCCTCTACCCATGCACAAGCTCCTTCCTACGCTATACAAGCCCATCAAGCTTCGATCGTCGCCAGCGCCGCCTGGCTATAGGAACATTCCGCCAAATTTGGTATGTGCTATACAAAGAGAGCTAAATACGTTTTTTGACACCGGCGGCGACGACAAGGACGATTTGGAGGTTGTAGGAAAGATTGTGTTTTCGCTCAAGGATCCGTACTCGGCCACGAAGATAGCGCTTCCCGTGAAGGCCACGACGTGCCGTCATTTTGAGTGTTTCGATTTTGACAACTTCTGTACTTTTTCCAAAATGCCCACGGGCGTTCGTCACCATTTGAAGAAAACGCTCGTGCTGAAAAGCCACGACTCCAGACGCCTAGAGCAGCTTTTCCTCAAGCAGCAGAAGCTCATTTCTGAAGGTGCTCTCCTGTTCAAGGCCCCTGGCCTCGTGTACCCGCTGTTTTCGGAACACGGCCAGATGTTTTTCCTGGAAGTTTATTGCCGGACGCCGCCCTTGTACAAATGCCCTTTGTGTGACGAAAAGTTTGGTTTGAAGCAGCTCTACATCAGCGACATTTTCAATTTCTTCGTGAAAACGACCCCTCGTAGCATCAGCAAGATCGAGTTGGTCGAGACTGACAGATACAAAATTATAGACGAAGATGCGCCTGTCAGAGAGGAAAGAACAGAAACGCCGGACGTGGTTGTTCTTTCAGAGGACGAGAGCGACGGGAGGTGAAGAAAGAGGTGAACAAGTCGTTTAGTGCTGACGACTTCAACGACGGATTGGACGATATGTTGACGAAAATCAGCCAGGACGAGGGTTCCTGGAGCAATCCTGTGACGCTATAGATTGACGGGAACGGTTAAATCATAAACTCAGCTTGCCGTGGGGCTCATATGGATAGAATAATACCAACACGGCTGCAAACAAGAACAAGGCTCCCGATGTGTAGATGGGAGCTGCCGTTTCCAAATCCGCATAGATGGCGATGATGGGGGAAAAGATACTGAACACTCTGTTGGCCAGAGCAGCTAGACCCACAGCGGTTCCTCTGATCTTGGTGGGAAAGATTTCGGGCGTATAAGCGTAAAGCGTTCCGTACATGATGTTGGAGAAAAAGCTGAAGAAGCAATTCCATGCCAAGTACGAATTTGGCGTTTTGGCAGTGGTTGATCCAAAAAGCACCACCCCAGTTAAAATGAGCGAACCGAACAATACGCCTTTTCTGCCTGTTCGAAGCTCCACCATGATTCCTGCTATTATAGCACCTGGAATACCCAAAACTGCCACAATCAAGGTGTTTCTGTACGTTTCATGAACACTGAGTGGCTGGTTGGCTTCACCTCTTTGCTCCAAGAATGTCGGAAGAAAAGCCATGTATAACGGGAACGCAAGCCCGATAATTCCCCAGGAAAATATCACCAAACTCGACGAGATCATAAGCTTCTTGGAACCAAAACACTGTCTGATTTTGGTGAGGTTGTACCTTCTCAACTTGGACTTGAGGAGCTCGTTTCCCTGTGGTTTGGGCTCTTCAGTCAGCGTTGTCTCGTCGCCAATCTGGAGATCTTCAATCCTCAATTCACACGGCTCCCGGTTGATTTTGGCGATTTTGTGGACGATTTCCACGGCTTTTTCGTCATTTCCCTTACCGAGGTGGAAAGACGGGCTTTCAAAAACAGGCACCACGAAACGAGCCACAAACATCATCAACGTGAGCCCGCCAAGCGTGAAAACGAAATACCGCCATCCCTGGTTCTCCTCCCTCAAGCAATTGTCCGAATCTGGACAGCTATAGTTGGATATAAGAGCCCACGAAATAAGCGCCGTTGCAACCTGCCCAATGGCCCACCAAATGGACATGACGGTCAAAAGCCATTTTTTACTTGTCGGAAGCGCCTCAAGCATGATGGCAGAATCCACAGGCAAATTGCCGCCGACGCCAAAACTCCACAATGAGCAGAAACACCCAATGGCTGCAAAATTGGGAGCTGAACCTGAACACAAGCCAAAAACGCCTATGAACAAAAAGGTGATGTTGAACGCCCAACGGCGACCGATAATATCTGCGGAAATTGACCAAAACGCCGCTCCAGCAAGAAGCCCAAAACTCTGTGACAAAAGAAGATACGGTGACCGGCCCTCTGGATAGTGCACTCCATCAACTTCAATTAGACGAGGAAGAATGTACGCTGTCACCGAGGGCCAGGCGTTATCGGCAAACCAACCAAACCCAGCCACCACAAAAAGCCCATACTGGTATCTGCCAAAACCTATGTTGTCGATGGTGTTGCTGAGAACCAAGGCCTTCTTGATATAGGCCTCGTCGAAATCTGCAGAATCATAGAGCTCCTGGTTCTGTTCCGGAAGCGAAACCTCCTCCAGTTCCCTCACAGTGACTTCTGGTGCACCCATAACAAAAGAAGAAGTTGTTGTTTTCGTACTTTTTGTGGCTTTTTATTATCCATGCATCGAGTCCGTGAACAATAGCTGTCGTTACTGCGGCAGCCCCTCATAGATGCATAAGCGCGTGGCTGGTCTCTGCATCGAGTAATAAGCACGATTCTTGTTAGGGCACGTGCTGCCCATGGGTCAGTTCTCGGCATCACTATTGGAGAATTTCCCCAGTTATTTTAGTATTTGAACAAAGACAGTCTTGGTCCAGGGGTGCTTGGAAATGCGGAGGATTATCTTGGTTTCTGAGGGGTTGGAGAGCATGGAGGGGCCTTTGTGGGCCAGTGACGTCACAAGAGTGCTCTTTGTTGGTGTTGAAGAGAATGTCTTGGAGATTCTTTGATGGGGTGCATCGGGATGAAGGAAAGTACCCCGGGATTCGTTGCTTTTTGAGGGAAGGTCATGGTAGTGGATTTGAGCATTATAGCTATAGGCAGTGATAATCTGTTTGGGTTATTGGTCATTGGTCATTGGGTGTATTTCACAACATTCCTGGTATCTGTATGCGATCTCTTGGCTCGGTTATTCTTGAAGTGTAGCATGTTTATTTTGGTGAGGTATCGGATGAGCTCCAAATCTGGGGTAATTGGTCACCAGGTTGGAAATAGCACAATCCTTTGGCGCAACCTGGCTGCAAGGTCAAAGCAGTCCCCAATTGATTTTTCAATGTTCCAAATACTCCAATTCATAAATCCTGAAATCTTTTTGAATCTCTTACTCTTTTTAGATGCCCATCTTCGCCTTATAATACACCGAATGCTCAGCAGCTAGGATGTGATCCCACCAGTCTCACCTGATCAGCACACCAGCTGACCTCCTGGGTCTATATAAATGGGTGACTTTGGCACCTCCTTCGAATTAGCAACTTCCCCTTCTTTTGCGTATTTTTGTCGATTCCAGCGTGATTGGCACCTGGTGAGTATACTCTGGCTCACTAGCTCCCGATGAAACATAGATATCCATATTAATTCCAGTATCCAGTCAAGCCTGAACTAACCCTCCCGATCAAGGAATCGTTTAAGCCGCTATATTTGTCCATGATATTCAAAATCAATCCTTTTTTGCTTAGCCCACCCATCAGCAACCACCACCTCCAAAAGACCAATACTCTCACCATACCCATTGAGTTCCAATTCCCCTCCTTTTTACCTCAATCACAAAAATAAACATGATTCCATCGATCGAGTCCCCACTTCACCTCCTCGGCATTTTCATAAACAGCAGTTTCCGCTAAAGTCGCTGAGGCTACCTCCCAGCATCCCCTCTCGATGCACCAAACGCCCATAAATCCTCCCCAAATCCCAAAACAAAAAAAAAAAAAAACCAAATATCCATTTTCCGAAGCCTGTTCCAAAAATCCAACCACCATCTTTTTGTCACGATGGATCGGGAAATCTCGCTTATAAGCGCTGTACCTGTAGCCGCAGATCCCCAGGGACTAAAAACCGTATTATAGCGAGCCGCAGGTCCACCGTTTCCGAAGACCTGAAAGAAGCGGGCAGCCAATTTTGAAAATCTCTAATTTTAAAGGAAAATTGAATTATTGTTAAGTTGTTTTTGTGCTTCTGTGCATGCAATCACCACTGGATCGATCTGACATGACAGTGTTCAGGCTGATTCGAGACATAACCCAAATTTTTCACCCGGCTCGGAAGCGGATCCAAGCTGAATTCCCGTAGTCTGGATTCATGAAAATTCAGAATATTCATTGAAATCAGAAACCACGACACAGCCATTTTCCAAAACCACCAACCTCCAAAACCTCCTCCTAAACGTTTCCAACCAACCACTCAAATCACTTTTTCAGTCCCCTCGTTCCAGACGTTTCCTGTCAATCGACCCAACCCAAAAAAGCCCAAGCGGTGTGAAACAGCCTTCCTACATTAGACCAAACTACGTCATTTTTTGAAAACTAATCCAGACTATCGAATACTCATGGAGGCTTAAAATGTCCATATCCCCCTTTTGTCCAATTCTCCTCCGGTTAGGTCCCCTCCGAAAAAACGGCCAGTGTCGTTATCGCATTTTTCACATGCGCGATTTTCAACATATAAGGACCTCAGATCCACCATCAATTCCACAAATTTCCGAAAAATGGCCCATGGGATCACGTTCCGCGGCGAAACCTTCGCCGTGCCGGAGACCCACGACATGGTGAAGACGCTCTTTAATCCGTCCGTCCGCAAATCCGTGTGTGAGGTGTTGATCTTGCTAGTGCTAGCTTCAAACGGAGCCGTTTTCTTGGTGGCGTCTACAGACGGCCAGATCAAGGCGTTTATTGCCTTGTACGTTTTCTGGCGTTTTTGCTACAATTTCGGAATTGGGTACTTGCTCAACCAGCAGCTGAACCGGTTCCGCTTGGTCGAGTGGGCGAGAAAGTACAAGGTGTTTGAGAAGGAAAACACCTCCTCCTTGGCCAATTTCGTGCAATTGGAGGTCAGGTCCCAGATGGGCGCCGACTACAGCATCTCCGGCCACCCGGTCGACTTCAACACCTGGTTGATTTTCAGAAAAGTCGTGGACTTGATCTTGATGCTGGACTTTACCACGTTTGTGTGTCTTGTGGTGGCATGCTGCTGCAAGGACGATTACCAGTTTTTGCACGGCCAGCCTGTGTGGGCTGTGACGGCCAGAATTGTCGTTGGAGTGCTGTTGATCTTGTTCAACCTTTGGGTCAAGATCAATGCTCATAACACCATCAAGGACTACGCCTGGTACTGGGGTGATTTCTTCTTTAGACAGATCAACAACGAGGATTTGATTTTCGACGGCGTTTTCGAGATGTTCCCCCACCCCATGTACTCCGTCGGTTACATTGGATACTACGGTTTTGCGCTTATTGCAAAGTCCTACACCGTTCTTGTGATTGCCTTGTTTGGCCACTTTTTGCAGATGGTGTTCTTGCACTTTATCGAAAACCCCACATCGACAAGATCTACGGGCCCTCAGCCAACGAAAACTCCTTGCTGCAGTTGATCTCTTACAAGGATTTGGCCAACTTCGATAACACCAAGCCATTGGTGGGTTTGGCGAATTTCAACGTCCTTAGAGCCAGTGACGTGATCAACTTGATCAATTGTCTCACTTACCTGGCGTTTATTCCCATTTTGGCTTCGCTTTCTGCGTCTAACGTCTCAGCAGTTGCTAGAATTTTGTTCTACTTGACCGTCACAATCAAGGTTCTCGAATCCGTCTCCATCAACGTTGTTCTTGTGCTCCAGAGCGAGTTCAAAACCTTCACCAAGTGGTACCTTTCCAATAACGTTCCCGTCGAAAAGTCCCTCAACAACTTTGCCATTCTTTACAACTCCATGATCAACTTGACCTACGCTTCCTTCATTGGCATGAACTTGTTCAAGGTGCTCACCTGGTGCGAGTTCCACGACTTCTTCTTCAGTGACTACCTCTATTTGCGTGTTTTCATGGGCTTGTTGCTTGTGGTGACGCAAGTCTGGATCAACACTTCCATCATTGATCTGATTGGCTACTTTGGCTGGTTCTACGGTGACTTTTTCATTCCAAAATCATCCTTCATGCCTCAGAGAACCCACTTGACTAAGGCTGGTGTCTACCGCTACCTCAATAACCCTGAACAGGTGTTTGGAGTCTGTGGAGTAATGGGAGCTACGTTGATGTTGCCTACTTTCGACAACCTCGTGATCTGCTTGATCTGGGTGGTGAACAACTTTGTCAGAATCAACTTCATTGAGAAGAACCACATGATCAAGGTTTACGGTGAAGATGAGGTGCTCAAGGATAGCGGAGTGACGAAAACGGTCAAGAAGCACTTGTTGCCAGAAAGCATTGAAAAGAAGCTCAGCCGTTCTGATTCCCAGAGACGTAACTCCGGTCCTACCTCGATTGTTTCTTCCTTTGACGCCTTCTTGAAGGAATTAAGGTTTTCAACCAAATTGTTCTCGAAGCAGAATATCGCCGACTTGTCCCAGAACAAATACTTTGCCAACAGCGACTACCACTTGGACGTTGAGGGACTCACAGCCACGGATTCCATTCCTTACAAATACGTCGGACAGCCTATCAAAGTGGCCTTTTCTGCCCCAACAGACCACTCTTCTCAAGACTGGGTCGGTTTGTACAAAATTACCCACACTTCCTACTCCCGTTACAGAACATTGATCTCGTCCAATTCTCGCTGGTCGTGGACCGGTGCTGAAAACAGCGGAACCATTGAGTTTGCTAGAGAAAAGTTGTTCTGGGAGGAAGGCCTTTATGAGTTCAGATACCATCTTGACGGAAGACACGATGTTGGATTCATCACGTCGCCTTTTGAAATCAAGGTTCCAGAAATCGAGGTTCCCAGAAACCCAGCCGAAACTACAGAACTCGCCCACGAGCTCAACTCTACAATCTTTACACCCATGTTGGCGTCTGCTCCAGATATCAACACGCCGATTTACCAATCACTCACGGAAAACGACGACATTGTGGCCATCTACACTCGTGCTGCTCAGCTTATTGCCAAGAGCACGGGAGTGAAGGTCAGCAAGCGTTTTTTGATTTACAACGACAACGAAAGCGGCAACAAATTCACTATTTATGACTTGGCTTCCAAATTGGTGTCCATCCACAATGCCTTGTCTGAGTTGCTGGCAGACGACCAGGATTTACAGGATAAGAAAACTCAGTAGAGCACCTCGTGTACATAGAATCGCATAGATGCATAGGACTGCTGTAGTCTATCATGGGGAGTAGCCCTATGCCAATGAATTCACCTTATGTCGCCACATTGTAGTACCATAATGGCAGCAAGACCGCCTCTGACAAATCCATGAAATGATGAAAAATACTCTGAGGACTATTTTGAAGGCATTATGTGAATTTTGCGATCTTTAAGCCTGGAGAAGAAGTCCTTCAAAATGATGACTTTTCAATTCATCAAAACAACAACCGGACCATTACGCTTCCGCCATCTCAGCATCGTCCTCTTCCTTCACCTCCTCTTCCTCCTTATCCCCCTCTCTGGCAATCTTCAACAAGTACCCGTTCAAGTTCTTTCTCACCTCAGTCGACATCTCATCACATCCACCCACCAACTTCTCCAAATTCGTCTCGTCCACCTCCTCTGCTCCGCTGCTCTCGACCCAAAAAGCCACCATCTCATTCCCCTGCATTCTCATGAAACTGGCCACACATTCTGTACCTGAGCTCTGGTCTGCTTCCACAAGCTGCAGATCCAAAAGAACCTCGTTCCCGTCCACCTTAGCATGGCCTGCCGTGACCATATCCTTGATTTCTATGCCTGAATCGACCATCGCCAAAGCGGCGCAGTTGACCACCCACGATATTAAATTAGGTAAGGTTCCAGTGGTAGGGTCAAAGGCGACCACATTGATGAAAACGTCAATGGTCGATTTGGGGTACTTTTCGACGCATATCGACGGCAAAAAGGCAGTCTCCACATACGTGCTGATTCTCTGTTCGATATTCGTCAAGCCAGTTCTTCCATTGCGTTTATCACTGGCATTAAAGATCACCTCATTGGGTTGTGTTAAGTAGGGCAAAAACTTGCACTCCACAGAAAACGATGCTCTGTCTATGAAGGAGCCTCTGATTGGACGAGGTCCGTAAACGCTGACTTCTAGGATGGTGTTTCCAACTTCTAGATAAGCCAGGCCATTGGCGTTTTTTGTGAGGCCGGATCTAAGGAAGAATTTTCGAAGGCCATGGGTTTGCTGGGGTGTTTCTTTTTTTGGTGTTGCGGTTTTACCGGACGAAATGCCTATTTGGGGTGTTTTGGCATCCGTTGGGCCGGTGATTCGTCTTCTGTCACTGTTCATTGAATTGTAGTTTGAGTAGTGAAGGCCGGTGATGAGATAGTGGTGGGTTATATGCAGGTCGCCATTTTGGGAATTATACGAAGCTGGCGAAACCTCTTCACCAGTTGATGCTAATGAAGTATGGCAACATCATCAAAAACAGTTTGATATGAATATTCAGTTATACGGTCTTTAGGTAGCATATACACAGTAGAGTTCCGTATTGCAGGCGTGCACAGAAAAGGCAAGAAGAAGTCATTTGACTACAATAAGGCTAGCCAAGATGAATGCACATATATAAAGCGGTCTTAAAGGGCTATTTTCAATGAAAAAGCCCTGAGCTGTTCTTGTTTAGGCTATTGCCGTCAGAAGTTCCAATATGTGTTACACGTGATCCTCATCACGTGACTGTGTCAATATCAACGGGAGCCTAAAATCCACAACAAATCAATCTATCCAATTCCTTCTAGTCTCCTTTCTGACTCCTGTCTACATTCAGCTGCAAAAGGCGACGTCACAGTGCATTTAGCAGTCAGCCGTGCCGTATCTGCCGAAAATCACCTGTTCACGGAACCTTAATCACAAAAAGCCTAAAACCAGGAAAGTGGCCAGCTTGTTCTCGATAAACTTCTGAAAGCTGGTTCAGAAACTCGTAATTCAAGAATTGGTCACTTCCATTGACCCGAAAGCCCCTTTTTTCAATCACATCCCCCAAAAAGCTTCCATCCTCGAACTCAAACTTCCTAATCTGTTAAGCCATCTTCGTTCTGCATTGCTTCATGATCCACCATATCTCAACGGCAGACGGGGTCCAGCAGGCCATTTTGCAAGCTTTTGAAATTATCGAATCCCGGCCGGAATCGGAAAACACAACCTACTTCAACTGTACCTCTTCCGACGAGCTCCGGAAAGTAGTACAAAAAAACCCCTTCTCGTGGACACAAAATCCCGAAAAGCTCAAGCATTTCCAATACGAGCACGTCAGCGATTTGCACCAGTTGCACGAAAAAATAGCATCCTGCAATGGGAACCTTATTGTGATTGAGCAGCTTGACCACATCGTTTTGCAGCCGGGTGCGGGCGATTATGACCGGTTGAACGAGCTTTTGGCCGGGGTGCTCCGGGCGTCCGAGCACGTGATCCTCCTAGATTCCTGGGACTACATTGACAAGTACTATGCCTCCTGAATCAGTGTTGCCCGGTTACTTCGGCGTTCTCGAAGAGTCTGTTTAGGGGGCAGAGGTGGGCACATAGTTAACATTTCCTGCATACAGCAGCAACCGAGCATGGGGTAAACCTGGAGAATACGAGCCTGGAGGGGCCATTGGTTGGTGCCCCGCGGTTGCGTGCAGGAAATATGTACTCCAGTCGCCCCGTGTGCAGGTCTGCCGTACGAAGCGTGCAGCTTCTCCTAAACAGCCGTGGGGGACAATATAAAATAGACTCGATCCGCTCTTTTCCCTCGCCGTTTTCCGAATAATGGCCATGTCTGACTTCGACTCCATGCTGGTGCTTTCCCCATGCCTGCTGACGTCCACGGTTGTTCCCGGCAAGACCCTCCCATTTGGAGAAACCACCACCCGAGAACTCCCGACTCCCGATCAGCTCAAAGTGATGTTGCCGAATCTTGTTGAGACAAAAACCGTCGAATACGCGTCCTTGGAGGCCTTTGTGAGCCGGTACCTCGGTGACGACACTGTCCCCACGATGCTACACTTTCTTGTGTACCTTTATGCCCAAAACTGGAACCATGATATGGGTGCTGTCAGCGACATCAAACTACTCCATATGGGCAAGCAGTACCGTCTAACGCGGCTCATGGACATCCACAACGCCCATCCCACGGTCCTGAGCGTGGCTTCCCGTTTTCCAAATTTCCAGCTTTTCGTGACTCCAGACCAGGTTGTGCCTGCTGTGACGCTACCAGTGGAAGAGCTTATGGCGAGATCCCTGGCATCAAAAACCCCTGAAGAGGAGATCCCAGTCACTTACGCTGATGCCATGATACGGATGATTAGAAGAGCGCTGCATCGTAAGCTGTCTGTGGCTCTGGCAGGCTCTGGAAGCACTGTCAGCAGAACAAGCTCTTCTTCAAGCGAGCACTCAAGAAAAAGAAGCAAGTTGAAGCAGGGTTTGAGAAAAGTGGTTAACTGTGTTACTGTGAGTGCCCGTTGAGAAGGGATTTCTGATTGAGTGGCTTTCGACGTGGAGAGTTGAAAGCGCTCCAAAAAAAAACTATTTATTGCATTTCCGTAATCAGAAGTCAATTCGGTGGGCACGATCGACTTCCAGCTTCATAATAAGGTTTCCGGGTGACGCACGTGAATCTTCATAGAGGGTTAGTGAATGGTCATTCATTTACATGACCAAGCCTCAGTATCACTCTGACGGAAACCTTTTGAAAAACTCCGGGTGAAAACTCTAGCAGGTTCCCCTAAAAAATATCCTGAAGTTTGTTGAGAATCGGGAGATTCTGGAAATCTTGGCGGATGATCGCATCTATCCAGGCTCTACATTATCACCCTGAGTATGCTATTCATTATCATTACATGGCCCAGCAATCAAAATAACAGCTGGCCCTGGCCTTCGCTGCCTCTGAGTTGTGCCATTTCTTTAGAGCAGCAGTCGCAAAATGCTAACAAGTTGTCCACACCCTCGGTGTAACTGGCCTTGATCTCATTCAGGGTCTCACCTTCACTGGTTGGATTCATGAGAACGCCGCATTTTTCAAGCTCGTCCAGAAGCCAGTTGCGCCACTCGCCCTTGGCAACTTCCTCCTCGAGTTGATTGAGCATTTGCAAACTCACCACCAATTCGTTTCGTCTGATACCAATCTCACGCAAGGTCCGTCTAAGATTGGTGGCTACCGAACGGGCAATGTCGTCCTCATACTTCAACTTCCAAGCCAGCGCCTGGTCATAGTTCTGGATGAACGACTGGTCCTGGAAAATGCGGAAACATGTCGAGTTATCTTCGGTAACGTGTGTGTTCTTGATGAGCTCTTGCACTTCCTTCAAGTAAATGGCCCGCTCCATTATCATTGGCTCACCCTGAATAATATCTAGCATGACACCTTTGGCATTACGAGCCTGCCAATAGGTGACAGTGGACCTGCCCATAAGGAAGACGTTCATCATTCCCATAAGTATGATAATGAAGACCAAAACCTTGTTCATCGACAAGCTGCTCAAGAACAATTGTGTAGAACGAACGACAAAATAGATGAATGTGGAGATCAGCCTGATAATAGAACCGAGTGTGCCTCTCAAGGTCAAACGGAATAATGTGTCAAGGTCCAATTGAGTTGGAGGCAGCTGAGGAATTTCGTAAGGTACATCCGTGACAGGCACTTTTCCGTACATGTAAATCGCCTTTGCAACCTGGCCATGACTTCCGATAACCTTTGCACTTTTGTCAAGACGACGGCATACACCTCTGGCAAAGGAGGTTTGGAAGGTTTTCGATAAGCTCCGAAGAAGAGGATTGAAGATTGTCTTCCTGTCGAAATCCGCTTTAGCGTAGTTCAAAATCTTAGAATTGCCGCCTTCGCTGGAAAAAATGACTATTCTCGTGCTGATTTCGAATTGGACCAAGCCAAATTTGAGAGTTGATCTCAGACTTTTCAAACAGTAGTACTCATTCTCGCTCATCTCCTCAAGTTCTTGCCTAACGGTGATAGTATCGGCTTTACCGTTGTGATAAACAATGGCCGAAAGGAAGTCTCTGTACAAACCACGTTCGTTGCCTGGAATCTTCATCCATGCACCTTGACTGATGTACTTGACGGAAACGACGGGATAAGAGGCATCCATTATATGAGACTTGTGTCCAATAAGAGCATGAAGAACAGCTTTTGGCAGGAGCTTGACGGTGTGAGAGCAGAGGAAGTTCATATCCTCACTGAAATCGATTCTGAAGCTGGATTTATCCTCATGTTTTCTAGGGTCGATTTCAAAGGAGCTGGTTTCATTAGGAGACGCCTTATGCTCAGCCAAACGTTCAATACGCTCTTTTTCAGAAGCGTACTCCCTCTCGATATCTTTGAGCTTGTTTATCAAACCGTCGATTGACAAAGGACTATCACTGGCAATATTCTGGATAATACCGTTGATCTTTTGAGCAATCAAGATACCGTCACCTACGAACAATTTCGTCTTAATGGAGCCGCTGACCTTGAAGATCTTCATGTAGTCGTAACTCTTTTTGACAACGCAGGTTGCTTCGACAATCTGGTCAATAGGTGTTTTGCTCAAGGCCACAAATCCCAGAGCATGTAAGTAAAAATACAAGTTTTTTTGTGTGAAGAATGCCGTGCCTCGAAGCTCTTGGTTGGAATTAGGCAGCCAGAGGCAGTAGAAAGAAAGTAAACAGCATTCGTTGTTGTCAACCTCGGATTCGAAAAGCGCTCTCATCTGGATTTCACTACCAAGAAGCGTATCGGGATAGTTTGCCGGTACCATAATTCCCTGACCAATCTGCTTAGAAAATGGCTCCTCTGGCATTGGTGCAACGTCATCATAGGAAATGGGGTGGAAATCTTCGTGGAGATAGTAGCACCCCCAATTAAGTGATCCCCAGATATTAGCGCTGAGGGCTGTGGGAACAGCAGTTGAACCTGCCAAACTGTAGGCTATAAGTGCTGAACGACTGGATTCGGTGAAAAAGGGAAGTCGTATTCTGGCAACCTGCTTGTAGACAAAGTTCTGGAACAACCTCTGGTTCTTCATTAAGTGAGCGGAGAGCTTCGACGAGGTGATGATCTGGCCCTCCTTGTTGATGATTTTCGAGTTCGTCATTTGTCTATCAGTAGTTGTGTTGTTGGAGTTGGCGAACTCGGACATTAGCGGTGGGTACCTATTACTGGCGATCCCAAACAAACTGGTCATCGGGTCGCCGCTGGTGGTGATTCTGGTTCTGACGTTTTCAAAGACCTTGAGCCACGATGCTAGCTCCTGCACTGTTTCTGTCTGGAACACAAGAGTTGTATCGATGGTCTTGAGCTCAAAACAGAACCGTCTTTCTTCGTTAGCTGTGAATTTTGTGTTGCAGAGCAAAGCACCGATTTTGTCGGTCTCTTGAACGGCCGTTCCAGACGGATTGAGAACCAAAAGACCAAAAACACCGCCTTGAAGGAAGGCCCACCGCTGGACCCAGACGGGCTTGGTCGATTTGTCAACATACGTCTTCATGAACAAATGGCCGTGCTTTTCCACCGCAGATTCGGGGTAAGCGGACAAAACCTTTGCATTGACGTGAGTGGTTCGGTAGTCGTTCAAGTCTCCGGAAGGTACAAAACTGGCACTGGTGGACTCCTGGATCTGCTTTTTTGCAGCCATCATATCACGATGAAGGCGTTTCACGGAGCCTCTATAGTTGTCACACCAGGAAGAAACACGTTTGAGCTGTGCCCACACGTCGTTCAAGAGCTGCTGCACAACCGGATGAGAGCCAAAACGCTCCATTTTCTGGTGCCACATGAGGTAGATAAAACGGACAATTTTGTTGTTGACGTACCCCACAAGCTCATTGAGCTCGATAATAAGTTCGAGACTGGCCTCCATGTACTCTTTTCTCACGGCGTAAAGCTGCAAGGCATCCTCCATGACCAAAGCTGGGTCCTTCAGTTTAGGTGTAGCCATGTGGATCCGTAGAAACTTGTCGTAGTTGGCCTGGGCCTCGTCAAAACGGATTTTGTGGGTTTGGTACAAGGCGATCTGCTCCATGATGGAGTCTTTTGTGGATTCTAGCCGGGGAACCAGGTAATTGAGCAATCCCAAGCTGATATCCCAGACCAGCTTTAGTCCGTCGAAGATCGTATTCATGGCCTGCTGCGTGTACTCCTGGTCGACCAAGCCTTCCAGAAGACTCTGCGGCATCAAATACTCCAAGAAGGAGTTGACATAACTCTGCAATTCCTTGACTTGTTTGGGGATCTTGGTCAAACTGGACCGCAACGCCAAAATCCACTTTTCCGTCGTCATGAGCTGGGTATGGAGATGCGTCACGGAAGCTCGAAATGAAGGCAGGTCCAAGGCGGCCTCCTTGAGCGCCACGGATATAAGCTTGATGTGATGAAGCTCCGATGAAGGTCTGAGCTCTTCTTCTTCTTCAGCCTGAGCTGCTTCTTTGATGGTGGCGGACGCTTGCGTATTCACCTGGACCAGCGAAACCGGCGGTGCCGATTCGTGGGGCATTGTGGACGGAAACGGCTAAATTTATGGGAATTGGTGGTTCTGATGTTTCAACTGCAGCAAGTGTTTCTTGGTGGAGGATGCTGTGGTGCACGGGTGTTTGGGCTGAAACGGCAGCAGCAGGTGGATTTTCCGTCTGGGCGGGTGGAGCTGGCGATTTGGCGGAAATATGGTGAAATTGGCGGAGGTGTTGGTGGTTTCTTTGTTGTTAGCAGGTTACTGTAGATGTAGGTGATCGCACTCGGTTAAGCAAGCAACCGAATAGCCGAGGAAGGCGAGAGATCTGGGGAAATTTGGAAGTGAATAATTTGAATTTTTAAAGTTGGGGAGTTTGGCTGTGTGGTTTTGGAATTGGGGGTTTTTTGGAAAATTGAAAAAGTCCGGTGGTTCGGCGAATTGCAGCGTTTGTGGTACTTCAGAAGCAACCCACTTTTGATTTTCACTTTTGGTTTCCCTGGGGGACTAGTGAAGCACATTTGAATCGGGGCTAAATTTCATAGAACCAAGAATACATCCACATTGTGTCTCCGTTGAAGCCTAGGCGGCTTTACATGAGATCTGGTGTAGTTAGCAGACCTTGCATTATCAAAATCAAGGCTTCCCCAGTCAGCCCAAACTCTAAATTTTCTGCTCCTCTTCATACTTTAGATAAGCTTCCACTTCATGGCGGCTGGTCCAATGGGGTCTGGTGGCTTTACCGCCAATGCATGGCTGCAAAACAGTCTCATAATCGGCTCGCAGGGATTGTAGGGACTAAACTTTGTACAAAAATAGACCGTGGTTTAGGGATCCTGGCTCTGCTCATCCGGGTACAAAATTCAGGTTATGAAGTAGTTTGCGTTTGTGGGTGTTGAAGTTGGTTTGTGGGTGTTGGAGGGGTTTCTTTGGATGTGAGTGTGTGGTGGTTTTGGCATACCCGTAGTTTCTATATTTCGATTTGAGTTTTCTGGCCAGTAGGTTTCTGATCCTAGATGCCCTACAATTCACCAAATGACTGTTATGTTATGTAGCCTTTACACCTTTCTTTAGCCAGAACTATACAAGACCCTGCTAAACCCTGGTATAATGTCATCACCGCTTACGAAGTCTCCGCCGTAGTTTTGTTTTATCTTGCTAATTCTAATAATGGGTGTTTTTTTCTATTTATAATGTTTTCAACAATTCTGCTTCTTGACCTGGCCTCCAATTGAGCTGCAACTATCACTCTGAAAACAGTCTCACAACATACACCGTCAATGCCATCTACATCGATTCGAGCAATCTGGCTCATTCCTCGTAGCTTTTTATCATTAGACTCTATTACCAAGCAGGGTGCAGCTTTCCCTATGGTGTAATTAGGCTTGGTACTATCTTAAACGTAGAATCTTTGTTTTTAGGCTGACCCGAAACTATTGCAGCAGATGTCCTTCAGTTGAATTCACTACCCAAAATCACTTCTTCTCCAAAATTAGGCAGCTTCAGCTCCTAATCACTTTAATCTAAAATTTGCAAAAGCCCCTCTCCCACTTTCTATCCATTAAGCCTCGTTACACGACAAGATAGACATTCCTTATGGTATCACAAAATACCCCAGATCCCCTAAGGACCACAAAACCACATACATCACCTTTTCACGCTTGCAATAGCTACCATCCCACCAGCTCCTCTTCAGTTCACCATCTAGTACCAACCCAGCCCAAAGTAGCTTTGCAACAAATTCGACTACTTATCAAAAATAACATTCCAAGCACCATTTCCAGATCACACCCTTCCAATGACTACTTCCTACTCAATCCCTAATGGCACCTCCATTATCTACACAATTACACCTCAATATCAGCGTCACCCTCGAGAACCTTGATAGGGTCAATTTGGTGCTGCTGCAACAACACCTTGACGTCCAGGAAGCCCTTGTACAACTCGTCCACGGTGTGGTTGCCGATAACGTCCTTGATGGTGTCGTCTCTCTTGAGCGGAATTGGACCCACAAGGCCGAGGAACCTGCTGAAACCGTACAGAATGATCTTGCTGAGCCATGTGGAGTCGTTGATATCAATCGTATCCTCGCCAATGTCAGCACCAAAAATGCCCTGGACGTAGGTGGCGATCACCTGGCTGTAGATCACATCGGCGCCTGGGTACTCGAGATTGGTGGTTCTCGTGGTCTTCAGGCATCCAGAAATGGGAGCTTCACCGTTGAAACGCTTTTCGATCCAACTGAGTCCGGCGCCCACGCCAAGGAAGGTTTCAATGGCATGGCCGGTGTTTTTAGAAATGGACCACTCGATCGAAGGAGCACCCCATTCGCAGAAGTTGTCGTAGGCTCTTTGAGGCTGGATGATGGGCACAAGCTCGTCCGCTTCGCCGTGGAAAGCGAAAATGGGGATTTCAGGAACGCCGTCCAGCTTGACGTAGGCGAGAGTGTTGTTTCTGACGATCTCGGCGACTTCAGGCACATCAAAGAAGCCCACTCTGTTCTTGAAGTAGGGGAAGAGACCCAGGAAGAATTTCTGGAAAATGTACACCACCACCGAGTTGAGAAGGCAGTTCTCCTTGGCGGCGTAGAAACGGCCCTTCTTCAATATGGCGATCTCGCTGTCAATGAGCTTGGCGTAGTCGGAGTACTCAGAAATAATACCGTTGATAGCGTTGGGAATGAGACCAGCTGCAAAAGTGCCATCTGAAGCCAAAGCCGTCAGCGTGATGTTAGTAACCCAACCGCCAATGGCAGCACCAATAAGGTTAGCTTTGAGTTCTGGAGCATAGGCTGGCTGGAGCTGGGTGGCCCATCCAGAAGCCAAAGAACCACCGGAGTAGCCGAAAAGAGCCACCAGGGCGCCTTTCTCGATTCCCGTCACGTCCTCGGATCTAAGCACAGCACGAACACCGTCCAAGACGGCTTTTCCAGATTGGTGGCCCGCCGTGAAGGCAGACTTGGGGCCCTGGTAGTCTGGAACAGCCACAAACCAGCCCTTCAGAAGCCCGTACTGGATAAACGGAATCTCCATCTGGGTGGTGATGGTGTCGCCGTTGGCGTTGTACAAAAGAGCGTACGAGGGTGCACAGTCGATGCTGTTGGAGTCCTGCCATGGCTGGTAGGAAAGCACCTTGGATGGGTCTGAGTTGAAGGGTTCCAAGACGGTAGTCACAAAGGCATTGGCGTTTCCATGCGAGTCCTCGGAACGCACGAGAAACTGCCACGAGTTCTTCACGTTCATGGGGAAAATGAGCGATCTGACCTTGGCGGGGGTGGGTCTGACGGCGATAATGTCACCGTACTTGTAGTCGGAGACGTTCTGGGGCACATCGTAGAAGCTGTCCCTGGAGGGGGGCGTGGGGCGGTTGAACAAGGCCAGGGCCGCTGTGACCCACAAGAGAAGCGAAAGAAAAAGCATGGATTGTGTTTTTGAAAACTGGGGATTCTCGCCGCTTTATATGCCAAGGGTAGTTTTGCAGCCATGGGCTCTCCAATATGCGGTACTGCAGGCAGTGGGCGCTCCGCTGCATGGACATACCAAGCGAGCGTGGTGCGTCAGTACAATCGAAAAGAGGAGGCAAAAGTCTGTACCGTTGTCCCACTTACGAGCCGATTCTGGCAAGAATTGTAGAATGAAGGTAAACAGGCTGTTTGAAGTTTTTGTGGCAGGCACGCTAGCCCCACCGCGGTGGCACCGGGTATACGCAAGTGAGACTCATGTAGCTAAAATTCGCTTACACTTGACCCGCAGGAGTGGCTGTTTTGACAACAAACCTGCGGTTTTTCGGTACTATCTGGCAAAAATGGATCGATTGTGAAAGCAATCGATTGAAGTACGAGATACCCGTCTTAACGACTTGTTGGTGGGTGCTACGATCTACGATCTATAAGTCAGACGCCGAATCGTAAGACGCCCTATACTAGACTACCTGGTTGTACTACTAAACCTGATTAGACTCATAAACGAAGTGCAACGTTATGATATCCCCACCCCCACAATTCCGTCTAAACGGGTAACGGCGCCGCCGCAGAACCGTGTTGTTTTTGTATCGCATGTCTCAAAATATCACAGCGCCCAGAAAACACACCAGCCTTACTAGAATCAACCAACATACGGTCACATGAAATGTCGGAACGCCTGACTGGGATGGCTGGAACTCGGCTGAAATTGCAAATCCTACTATCCAATGGCGGAACCACCCGAACCTCGGACCCAGCCGCAAAGCGGAATCTGTGAAGCTGATGCACCATCTGTTATCGTTTCGCTGGCGCACTGGCACTAATGTGAGACCGTTTTGGTAACCCCACAGATCTGGTCCGGCAAATCAGGCTACTTGTACTTCCCGGAAATGTGTCATGGCTGCGGGGCTGGCTATTTTTGCGTTGTTTTTCTCAGCATCTCTAGAAAACAAGCTATAGGGACCACCTCTGGCTGCAAACGCGGTGAAGCTTCGTTCCTACACACAGTGCCAGCGTGTTTTTCGGGAACCCCGGCTGCACGCACTCCCTGCGTCGACGTGCTTATCCCATATCGTGGGGTGCTTTGGTGAAACATCCACTTAAACTCCCCTGCTTCCAGAAGTTGCATTTACGCTGGTCTCCAGCCAACTCTGTATAGAAGATTGTGCACTCACGCCTCAAACAGCACTGTGGTTTCCCCATAGAGAACAGCCCACGGGTCGATACCCTCGGATTCCCACAACTCGATGATATCTCTGAATCCGTGAAAAAGCAGCTTTTGTGGCTTTTCGCTAGTTTTAGTGCCCACGCCCTCTTGCCGCTTGAACGGGCCAAACGCCCTGAATACGCCATTCAACGCATACGCAAAGATTTTGCTCAAAACCGTTGACTCGGTGAAATTCTTGGTTTCTTCCCCCACCTTCTGCCCAAAAACAGCCCGAACAAATGTGTCCAAATACTGGCGGATCATCACGTCGGCGCCGGGGTAAAGCGTGTTTGTAGTTCTGTATGTCTTGGTGCATCCATCGACTGGTTTTTCTCCGTTCATGAGTTTTTCAAGCCAGGCGAGTCCGGTGCCGATTCCAAGGATGCCTTCGGAGACATGAGCACTGTAGTTGGATACGGCAAACTCGATCGAAGGCGCACCCCACGAGCACCATTTCTCGTACACCTCCTCGGCCTGGTTGACTCGGATGACCTCATCGTGCAAGGCCTGGAAGATGAAAATGGGGATTTCCGGGACGCCTGCTGATTTGGAAAGGCCCAATGTGTTGTTGTGTAAAACGGCTGCCATCTCTGGGTCGGCGAGAAGGCTGCTTTGTAACAATGGGTTGGATCCATTGAAGAGCTCTTCGTAGATGAACTTCTCGGAGATTTCTCCAAGACACATATTCCTTGCTGCCTTAAAATCCTGAAGCCTTTCCGGATCCACAGCCTCCTCGATGATGGGAATCAACGCCTCGTACTCGTGGGAGATTCCGTGGATCATGGAAACCACCAACCCTGCAAAGGCCGTCTCGTCATTTTCAATAAGCGTCTGTGTGTGGTTGGTCATAACCCCGCCAAAAGCACTTCCCACTATGTTCTTCTTCAACTCTGGAGCGTAGTCAGGCTGAATCTGGGCTGCCCATCCAGAAGCAACCGATCCACCAGAGTACCCATAGAGTCCCACCTTTGCATCTGGGTCAATTCCGGTCAAACTTCCCGAATCCAAGGCCGCCCGGATTCCGTTCAAAACAGCCTGGCCAGACTGCAATCCCGCCGTAAACGCCGACTTGGGGCCCTGGTGGTCTGGCAAAACCACATACCAGTTCTTCAGCAAGGCCACATCCATAATGGTCATTTCCCACTGGGTGGGAAAAGTGTCCATGGAGGCGCCGAACAAAATTCCGTAAGACGGGCTGCAATTGACGCTGGGCAGGTCTTCAAAAGACTGGTACGAGAGGATTTTCGTGGGTCGGCGTTGTACGGTTCCACTATGGTGGTAACGACGGATGTGGGATTTCCAAAAGAGTCCTCGGATCTGACCTGCAATTGCCAGGCGTCTTTGATGTTCAAGGGAAGTATTTCGCTTCGGAGCTGGACCGGCGGAGGACGCCAGCTGATGATCTGGCCGACCTCGTAATCCGATACATTTTCGGGTATTTCGTAGAATGGGTCTTCTGACGGAGCCAAGGGTGCTGTGAAAGCGCAGGCTGAGTTTACCAGCAAATAAAGAAGAAAAAGAAAAAGCATTTACGGTTTTTGAAGTTTGGGCGCTGGCTGTTTTTCACTCAAGTCGACGGTACAATGGTGATCAGCGTCGGAGTTGAGGATGCGCTTTTGGAGGCTTGTTGATTGTTCAGGTGAAGAATTTATCTTTGTCCTGGGTCTGAAGAATATTTTAATTTCGCTGGATGTGGGGTATTTTTCCAGGTTGGGAAAGTGTCCAGTGGCTTTTAGCGTATTGGAAACCGTCTTTACGTAGGGAATCAAGATCATTACTCGTCATACAGCCTACCTCACCTGAACTCTACCTCACCTGAAACTTAAAATGTAAAGCCTACCATATCCAAAAACTTCAAAATGTAAAGCCTACCTCACCTGAAAGCTTCAAAATGTAAAGCCTACCTCACAAAACTTCAAAACGGGTGACCTATCGCTTAACCTCGGCCTCCTCAATGACCCTCCATGGATCGATCTTCTCTTTCCTCCAGAGGTCCACCACATCACCCAATCCTTTGAACACCCTCAGCCCAGAAGAATTTGCAGCCAAACCGACCCTGGGACTCTCCAACGTTCTCTGCTCTCCCTGCAAAACGCCAATCCACTCGCTCAAAATAAAAGCAAGAATCTTGGCTAGCATGGTCTCTTCACTAGGATCGTCACCAATCTTCTCTCCAAAGATACCTCTGAAGAAAGTATTCAAAAGACGCTGATAATTGGGATACGCTCCAGGGTATGCAATGTTGTTGTCTCTGACGGTCCGCTTGCAGCCTTTCACGGGAAGATATCCGTCAAACCGGTTTTCTAGCCATGCAAAAGCGGCACCTAGTCCAGTTACAGCTTCAAGCAGGTGGCCTGTGGAGCTGGAAACAGCAAATTCCACAGAAGGAGCACCCCACGAGCACCAGTTTTCATATACTCTCTGGGGCTGCTCTATCGGAGCCAAATCGTCTTCTTCTCCGTGGAATATGAAGAAGGGTACCTCTGGGGCAACACCGCCGTCCAAAGCTAGAATGTTCTGTTCAAGCACCTTTTTTATTTCAGGCACATCGAAGAATCCTATGCCCTTAGTCATCCACGGATCTATGCCTGTGAATAGCTCGGTCAAGTCGTATACCCCAGAAAGCTCTCTGAGACATAGGCTTCTGGCTCTGTAGAAAGTGTCGAGCTTTGCAGGGTTGATTTCCTTTTCCAAAACGTCCAGAAGTCCTGAATATTCCTGTAGAAGACCGTTTACCGCTGCAACTGCCAATCCAGAGTATGAGGTTCCATCCATGGCGATAGCAGACAGGGTCATATTAGTGACAAAACCGCCAGCGGCTGCACCGATAATATGGTCCTTTAGCTCTGGAGCATGTTCAGGCTGAAGCTGAGCTGCCCATCCCACCGCTATGGATCCTCCAGAAAACCCAAAAAGACCCACCTTGGCGTCGTTGCTGATTTCGGTGATTTCTGACGATTTCAACGCAGCACGAATCCCGTCCAAGGTGGCTTTTCCAGATTGGACGCCTGCTGAAAACGCCGATCTGGGTCCCTCGTAGTCTGGAAGAACAACGTACCAGTTTTTGGAAAGGCCAATATTCATCATGGCCACCTCCACCTGGATACTGAAGGTTCTCATGGATGCACCATAAAGAACAGAGTAGGAGGGACTGCAGTCCAAACAGGCTGAATCTTCAAAAGCCTCGTAGGAGAGAACCTTCGATGGAATGGCGTTGTACGGTTTAATCACCGTGGTGACAAAAGCCGTTGGGTTCCCTTCAGAGTCCTCTGATCTGACTAGAAGCTGCCATGAGCCTTCGACATTCAATGGAAAATAAACCGATCGGAGCTGGGCTGGGGTGGGTCTCCAGTTGATGATATCGCCATTTTCGTACCCTGACACATTTCCAGGAACCTCGTAGAATGGGTCCTGAGATGGAGGTAGAGGTGGTGATACCCATGCAGCGGAAGCAAGTGCCCAGAGAAACACAGCAGCAAAAATCCCAGCAAGCATTTTTTAGCTAACGGTCTACGGCCCTGCTTCATTATATATTGACGGACTTTGCCATGACTGTGGAATATGCCTACACGTGGTGAAGCTGACACAAAGCCGTGAAGTGCCAATCAATGGAAGAAAGGGGATTTGACGGCGTTTTTGTTTCGTGTATCCTTGTGTTCTGGATCCTACAGGTCCGGATCTTCCATGTCCGGATCCCCAGTTTGTTCGGATCTTCCTCTTTTCCGCTGGCATTGAGGTGTATCCATTATGGCGGTTTGGTGGGCTGTGCTGAGCCCGTTCAAAATTACTTCTTTTCAGTAAAGCTAAAAGTAGACTTTTGGTGCATAGACTGGCTGCGATCATTCCAGCCATTTGCTCAATATCACCTCTTTGGAGTTTCAGACCCCGCTGCCCTAGACGGTATCCAGCATCACCAAATTAGTACACAACAATCACAACAGCCAAACTCAGCCTGAACGGCGGGATACACGAATATTGCTTTTCCGCTGGCCCAACTTAACCTGTGGTTCCTCAACCACGTGGATGTCATTGTACAGCAGATTCCGAGCGGCTGATCGCCAGGAACGTAAATGTTTTATTGTTAGGGAGAAAATGTGGTTTTGTGGCACCAACGGCCGGATAAGACGAATTTTTGCCGAGTGTCGTTTCGCTTTTGACTAATGCACGGTCTAACCGAGAGGCATTGTTGCAGCAGGACCCCTCTCACTTTCCTATTGTGCCTCTTTTGTATAATTGATAATATAGGGATGGGGAAAAATGAGTTTTGAGTTTTGAGTTTTGGTTTTGGTTTTGGTTCTAATTTTGAGTTTTTGTGAAATAGGAAGTTGGGTAAATATTGGTGGGGTATCCTGTGTTTGTAGGTTGCATGCGGATAAGCTGAGAAGGTGCAAAAATTGGAGTACTTACCAAAAATCGAAATGTGCGGTTATTTGGACCAAATGAGCCCATGAGGTGGTTTAGGTGGAGACTTTTGCCCCTGCAAGCCGTCAGGGTGTTCTGGCTAGCATTGCGGGCTTAGTGGTGGGTGTTGGACTATCAACACTTTTGACGCACCAGACCCCTACTATGGCACCGCTAAGGACGGACTTACCCGATACTCAAAAAAAAAAAAAAAAAAATAAGAAGTTGTACATAGTAAAACACGAGTAAAGTTCCTCCAGCTTTATTTATAATTACTCTGCTCAAACGAGGTCAATGTCTATTTAGGTGTGTCAGTACTATCCCACACCATCGAGTCCACACTTTTGCATTCTGCGTCAGCCAGCTTGTACTCTTTGTCAACGGATTCTTGTTATTGCCTTGAACAATTTCTTAGGTTCAGCATTGGAATACTTTGCGGGATTGATACCTAAGGCAATCAGTCCAATTCTCCAATCAGTTGTAAGACTATAAACTCTTGTAACGATTGTGGGCTTTTATGTCACCCTGGGATTTAGCATACAACCTCGATTTGACAACTTCTCTTCCTTCTCCACTCTTTAAACCAATGTCAAGGACGTCTGAGTTGCTCGAGTGGTCGACCAGGTCTCATGCTTCTTGAATAGAACAAGACCACGAACAGGGTCAAAACACCAACTGTAGGGATGAGGTCCTGATGATTCTCGTCGGTCATTCCATAACTTGACTTCTTCATTCTAACCAGAAAGGGTATCAAACCTTTTAAGTAGTGGACAAGACTGAGATCAAATGAATTTGCCCAATTCGTAAACTCAGTACCAAGCATCAAAGCCCAACCCGTCCCTGAATAGCCTTTGTATTTTTTCCTAGCCACTTATTATCATAAAATCAATAGTCACCGCTCGCCAAATGCCCTCTTGCTTCATCTCTCCAGACCACCCTACAACCAACTCCATATTAATACATTACTAACTACTCTACCTCCTGGCAAGCTCGGCAATGGGGTCCTCGCCTTCCCGCTCCCACAAACGCATGACATCGTTGAGACCACGCAACTCAGGCATCTCGGCACCGTTCTCTCTCTTCAAAGCCACAGGACCAATATGCTCAATAAGCGAACTGAACGCCAGCGTCATGATCTTGCTCACCATCGTCGACTCCGTGATATTCCTCGTGGTTTCTCCGACATCACCGCCAGCAATAGAGCTGAAGAGCGTTCTGACAAGCTGGCGGTACTGGACATCGGCACCAGGATACTCGATATTGGTGGTTCTCACGGTTCTCTTACACCCGTCCACAGGCTTTCCTCCGTTGAACATTTTTTCAAGCCACACAAGCGCAGCACCGCTGCCTTCGACCACCTCTAAAATGTGGCCTGTGGTGTTGGAAACAGCAAACTCTAAACTGTCGATACCCCAGTCGCAGTAGTTATCGTATCCTCTCTGAGCTCCCGAAAACGGCACAATCTCGTCCTCGGTGCCGTGGAAAACAAACACGGGGATTTCTGGAATCGGGCCGTCTTCACTGATAGCAGCGGAGTTGTTCCTCACCACTTCTTGCACAATGTCAAGCTCAAAGAAACCCCAGCCTCGGGTGGCCCATGGGTTCTTGCCCGAAAAGAACTTCACAAACATGTACTGGATGATGGACGTGACAAGGCATTTTTCGTTGGCGGCAAGAAACCGTTCCTGCTTGGATTTCTGGATTTCCGTGTCCACAAGGTGAGAAAGCGTAGGGTACTCATTGAGCAAGCCGTTGATAGCGTTGGGGATGAGTCCACCGAAAATGGTGCCGTCTGTGGCCTCGGCCGTCAAGGTTATGTTTGTCACCCAGCCGCCCAAAGCACACCCAATAAGATTGGGTTTGAGCTCAGGCGCATAATCAGGCTGAAGAGCAGCAGCCCATCCAGAAGCGATAGTACCACCGGAGTAGCCCCAAAAGGCCGCTTTGGCCTTGGGGTCGATTCCGGAAATATCCTCTGAATTAAGAGCGGCACGAAGCGAGTCCAAAGTAGCCTGACCAGACTGCTTTCCAGCAGTGAATGCGCCCTGGATACCCTCGTAGTCTGGAACAACCAAAAACCACCCTTTTGCCAATGCTGTTTCCATAAGCACCATCTCCGCTTGCACCACAATTGTGTCCATCGGGGCGTTGAACAACATGGAGTACGACGGGCTGCAATTATTGGAGGACGAGTCCTGAGCAGGCTGGTACGACAAAAGCTTCTTGGGGTCAGCGTCGTAAGGTTCCAATATCGTCGTCACCACCTGGGTAGGGTCGCCGTGGGAGTTTTCCGATCTGACCGAAAGCTGCCAAGCATTCTTGACGTTCATGGGAAAGTAGATGGACCGGATCATGGCCGGTGCTGGTCTGGAGGCGATGATGTCACCGTTCCTGTAATCTGAAAGGTTCTTGGGCGCCACATAGAAGTCGTCTTTGGTAGGCGGCGTGGGCACTATGAACTGGGCTGCAGCTACAGCCCACAAAACGAACGAGAGAAGAAGCATGCCGGGGAAGTCTACAAAGCGGTGTGTTTAAGTAGGTCGGAGAGATAGAGAGACCTCCGGAGGAGAAAGGCAATTTCTTTCCAAAAGGGGAAAGGAGACGGTAGTGAAGGTGGAGGCTGCACACGAGAAGAGTCAGGTCCGGTGCAGGTGGGTTTGGTAGTTTGTGGATGGATTTTCTTTATTTTGCAGCCATTTGCATGGAGGACCAGGCAGGACGCCCGGGTTTGGTGGATCGAGGAGTGGTTTTGAAAAAAACGGTTGTGCTGGAATTTCTTGTTTTCGACTTCACTTCGCTTCTGACGACACCCAAACGGCCGCTAAATCGGTCATGATCTGTAGATATAACCTATGCGAGCCTGGCTTTTCCTAAAGAGGCAAAGTGTTCTATGCATGCGACACAGGAGAATCGCCAATTGTTCCATCTAAAAACACAATCCGGATTTTCCAGTCTCGAACCGAGCAAACAATTCGCTGAGTATTTTCACATTTTTTGCATATCCTACTTGGTATAGCGCCAGGGTCGGTGTCACTCCAGCTACCCCAGATTGACGTTTTTTTACGGAAACGCCGCATTCTGTGCATACACCCTAACCGCCGGGAATAGGAGATAGCACGGCGGGGAGCTCCGGACTTTCTGCAAATACACGAAAATGCTGCAAGCGGAAAGTCTCGTGAAACTGCAAAGTGTCAAAGTGCCACTTCTCGTGAACTCCATCGCCTAATCTAGACGCAGGTGCATTGTGTGAGGTGAGGCAATATGGAGGGAAAAAAGCTGGGGCATTGTGAAGACGGAGGTAGCGAGGTGGCTGAAAATTGGCAAGTACAATGTGAATTTTTTAGTATCGGTATGGATGACGAAACGCCGATTCCGCTGAAAACGGTCCAGAGGGTATCGCATTATCGGTGGGCTGCGGCTGGAGCGTTGGATGCAAAATTGCTACTTCCAGGAACCAAAGCTTATTTCAGCGGCATGTGCTTATGGGTCTGGTGAATGGACGTGTGGTGTATTGTGAATGTGGCGGTTGATTGGTCGGGGTGGATTCGATTGAAGGTTTCATTGGTTGAAGGCTTCATTGGCGGGAGTTTCATTAGTGGCGAGTTTCATTGGTGGGAAGTTTTAATGGCGAGTTTCATTGATTGGGACTTTTTATTGGATGGAAGGTATTGTTGCCGAATGTGGAAGAAAGAATGCTATTTTCTATAGATTACGTTTTCAAGAGGCATTGAGCCACCCGGTACGACTTGATATTGGTATTTTACGAAAAGAGAAAGGTCGAGTGTGTATTCCAATGGCACAGATTCTGGTCAGTGAGAAACCTTCGAGCATGAAGAGCTTCTCAGCTTTTTAGGGCTACTTGATGATCAGCATACTCTTTATTACTTCCCTTCACACCTCTTTGTTCAGCCTCCCCAAGGACCACGGTTAAGAGAGTTTGCTCTTTTAACCTGGGAGACTTAGAAATTATAATTTCTGAGATTTTAGGGCATGAGAAAGTGCAGCTGTACTCTCCACTGATGTGTCTATCCTGACTGTTCAAATAGGTCTGCAAGGGCCTTGAAATTTTCAGCTTTAGGACTATCAGAAATAAGGTTTACCTGGTAATAAAGAAGTACTTTTAAGTATGCTTCCAATTTTATAGAAAGCCAAAGGCTTCCAATTTTATGGAAAGCGAAAGGTTTTCGTAATTCAGATAAGAAGTACTCTAAGTGCCAGTTTCTACAATCAAAGAAGCGAGCGTAGATTATAAAACGAAAGAAAGAAGTGGGTAAAAGAGAGCGGGTAAAGGAGAGTGGGTATAAAGGAGTGAAACAGTGAAAAGGTGGGTATAAAAGAACGAAAGAGTAGTCTGCAAAGCTTGGGGCCTACTCTGGAATAACCGTCTTGGCGAGAACGTCGATATCGTGGCTTCTCCACAAGGCAAGCATATCGTTCAAGCCCTTCAACTCAGTCACCGTGCTGTTGGCACTGAGGTCTCTCTTGAACGGAATAGGTCCGAGGAACGTAAACACCCATCCGAAAATCTGCTGCAACATCCAGCTCACCAACGTCGAATCGTCAATGTCTCCAGTAGTTTCGCCAATTTTTCCACCAAAGAAGGAGCTGAAAAGAGTGGCCACGATCTGGTGATACTGGACATCGGCGCCCGGATAAAGAATGTTGGTGGATCTTTCGGTTGCCTGACAACCCTCTACCGGTTTTTCACCATTGAACATTTTTTCAAGCCAGACAAGAGCAGCACCGCTGCCCTCGAGAACTTCAAGAATGTGGCCTGTGGTTTTCGAAATGGCAAACTCGAAACTGTTGATGCCCCATTTACAGTAGTTATCGTAGCCTCTTTGAGCACCCGAAAAAGGAACCACCTCGTCCGCCTTACCGTGGAAAACAAACATGGGGATTTCAGGAATGGGTCCGTCGGGCGAGAGCGCCACGGTGTTGTTGGTGATCACCTCCAGCAACTGGGGATTGTCAAAAACGCCCCATCCTCTTTTGGCCCACTTGCCAATGCCGCTGAAAAACTTGGTGAAGAGGTATTTCCGGGTGGCTTCCGAGATACAGTAGTCCTTGGCTTTTTTGAAGGCCAGGATCTTGGTAGCTTTCATTTCTTCTTCAAGGAAACCGTCGAGACTGGGGTACTCAGAAAGCAAGCCATTGAGGGCGTTTGGAATAAGACCAGCAAAAAGCGTACCATCCGTGGCCTCGGCAGTCAAAGTGATGTTGGTAACCCAGCCACCGACAGCACAGCCAATGAGGTTTTCTTTAAGTTCCGGAGCGTATTGGGGCTGGAGAGAAGCAGCCCATCCTGAGGCAATGGTTCCACCTGAGTAGCCCCAAAAGGCCGCTTTGGCCTTGGGGTCGATTCCAGAGAGATCTTCCGAATTCAAAGCGGCACGAAGTGAGTCAAGAGTTGCCTGACCAGATTGGATTCCAGCGGTAAAGGCGCCCTGGTTTCCTTCGTAATCAGGAACAACCAAAAACCAGCCTTTAGCTAAAGCCGTTTGCATGAGGACCATTTCCGCCTGGAGCACAATGGTATTCATGGGAGCGTTGAACAACATGGAGTACGAGGGCGAGCAGTCGATGGAGGCTGAATCCTGAGCAGCCTGGTAAGACAAGAGCTTCTTTGGGTCTGCATCGTAGGGTTCCAAGATAGTGGTAACAATCTGTTGAGGTTCACCGTGCGAGTTTTCCGAGCGCACCTGGAGCTGCCAAGCGTTTTTGACGTTTACAGGGAAGTAGATGGATCTGATTTTGGCCGGAGCAGGTCTCCATCCGATAATATCACCGTTTTTGTAGTCGGAGATGTTGGCTGGAGGATGGTAGAAGCTATCTTCGCTAGCAGGAGTGGGTTTGACGAGAATGGCCGAAACTGCGGCTACCCATAAAAGGAGTGACAAGAGAAGCATGGTGGAGGGGTATTTTACGAAAAACGGGCCGTTTATATAGTTTTCGTGGATGGTTGAAATAGCACGGTGTTTGTTTTGCAACCAAAATGTCGTACCTCAGCGAACGCATTGTCCGCGCTACCACGGTGCAGTGGTGCATATGACGTGGGGGCTTATCTGGTGGATACAGTTTTAAGGAAAGAAGACGGGAAATCAGTTGAAGTCAGTGTACCTAAAGAAAATCGAAACCCTTCAAAAAATGTCTCCAAACGTGGAAAATCGACGATGCCTCAAATCTCCCTCCTGCAAAGAAACGATCTTGCGTCGCGACAAAGTGACGCTGCATGGACAAAGCGCCAGTGTCGATTCTCCATTGTAGACCGTATTGACCGTATTTTAGTCCATTGTTCAATTTTTCTCATCTCCAACTCCAGCATTAAAGTGGAGAAATATGCCTGCCGTTGGAGTTCCCGGTATTAGGAGATAAAAGCGGGGTGCATTGACGTTTATCGCGTTTTGTGGAATGGCTTATCTGTAGCGAGCATTGGATGTAGATACCGTGAATTTCCGAGGTGGAGGAATCGGTTCAATGGAGTTGTGCTTCAGATCAGGCGGACCGAGTCAGTGAGCCAGTGTAGTGAAAGCGGGAATGAGGATGAACGAGTTGGTTGAAGATTGGCCAACAGGTTTGGTGAAAGTGTGGTATGAACTACGCAATTGTACTATAGTATTGAATATGGAGTTCTTTGAAATTATGGTTCGTGGGTTCATAAATTAGCCCTAAGAAGCACTCTCCTGCTCTAGTTGAAGTCAAAAACTTCTGTGGGGGTGGCTTACGTGAAGAGAACGCAATAGATGACGTAAGCAGGTAGCCGTACCGAAGCGCAAAATGTTCAAACCGTGAATTTTGTGGTGTGAGTTTTGAGCGCTGGACCAGACTGGCTGCAACTGATGTCATGGCGTTTCAAGTTTTTTGTGGAGAAAAAAGGATGTCTAACAGAAGATGTCTCGCAGAACGACACTTCTACATTGGAGAAATTTGATGAAATTGGTGAACTTGTTCATGGACTGTTTGTGAATACATAGATTGAGGATTCTTCAATGTTTATCTTGCCCTAACGAAATGTATGTATGTCATGCAGCCACCAAAACCTTCTAGCCTTGAAACCCGTTCACGTTGTCAAAACTTGGTTATTCATCTACGGGGATGCCTCTTCGTGGAGCTTCGTAATATAGGTTTTCGGAGCATCTTATACATCTCATTCCCTGACCTTGTTTCAAAGTTTAGCGTAGAACTCAGTGTATTCTCCTTTAGGCCCTAAAGAACACAGGACAATTCTTAAAGAAATTTCAAATGCATCGATTCAGCAAAGCTTACTACTCGTCAATAACCCGCTCCGTGGTACTCTCCGGCTCAAAAGAGGCCTCAGAAGCCGTGGAACCCTCAATCTCCTCTTGGAAGGAAGCTAAATCAGAAGAATCCTCACTCTTGCTTGATAAATCAGCTGTGCAGAAATCTCCATGCCAAATTCAGACGAATCAGCGTCCACCTCGATTTCTTCTTGAACCGTGTAATCCCCAACAGTCTCCTGCTCCACAGGAACATCTGGATTAGTATCAAAAACCTGCTCAGGCGAAGGAGTAGAAAAGGCAGTAAATGCCCACACAAAGAAACGAACCAACGTCCGACTAACCACCGACGATTTATTACTATCCCTGGTACTTCAATTCTTCCGCCAAAGAACGAACTGAAAAGCGTATTCGTAATCTGCCTATACTGATCAGCGCCGGGGTAAAGAAGATTCGTAGAGCCCTCCACGGGCTTCTCCCCATTGAACATTTTTTCAAGCCATGCAAAACCGGCTCCGAACAGCCTCTAAGTAGTGGCCTGTGGTGGTCGAAACGGCAAACTCAAGGCTCTTGATGCCCCATTTACAGAAATTCTCGTAGGCTCGTTTTGCTCCAGCAAAAGGCACAATTTGGTCAGCGGTGCCGTGGAAAACGAAAATGGGAGTCTCTGGTTTGGGTCCTCTGAAGAAAGCGTGATAACCTACAAGAGATGTGGATTTTCCCAGAAACCCAGCCGTTATTGGCCCATTTGTTCTGAAAAAGTTCTCAAAGCGGTATTCCAGAGTGGCGGCTTTGACACAGAGGAGTTTTGACAGACGGAATTCTTCCACCCGTTCAGAATAGAGCTCCTCCTCAAGAAGCCCAGAAGAATGGGGTACTCGTTGATCAAGCCGTTTACAGCAATGGGAAGAAGTCCGGCTGATTTGGCTCCATCGGTTGCTTCAGCCGTAAGCGTGATATTGGTGACCCAGCCGCCAATGGCACAGCAAATAGGATTGTTCTTAAGCTCTGGAACGTACTTTGGCTGGAGAAAAGCGGCCCATTCAGAAGCAATTGTTCCTCCAGAATAACCGTACACAGCAGCTTTGGCATCGGGCCTTATTACAGAGAATTCTGAGAATTCAAAGTAGCACGAATAGAGTCGAGTGTAGTATGACCAGACTGGATTTCAGCAGTATAGACACCCTGAACACCCTCGTAATCTGGAACAACCACATACCAGCCTTTAGCTAATGCAGTTTGCATAAGTATCTAGATCATGAAGGATGGAGGCTTTGTACAAAGAATATGAGGGAGAGCATTCGTTGGAAGCCGAATATTGGGCTGTCTGTTATGACAAGAGTTTTTTAGCATCAGCGTTGTATGGTTCGAAAATCGTAGTGGTGATTTGTTGAGGTTGACCATGCGAGTTCTCCGAACGCACCTGGACCTGCCAGGCGTTCTTCACATTCACGGGAGAATAGAATTAACGGATTCTCTTTGGACCAGTCTCCATCCGATGATATCGCCGTTTTTGTACTTGGATATGTTCGCTTGCAGAATGGGACTTCGCTAGGAGGGGTAACGATGTTTGCTGAAACCACGGCCACCCATAGAGGGAGCTATAGGAGAAAGACGAGGAATGAAGCGGCGAAAAATCGCCCTTATATATGGAAGTTGACGATGGAGAAGCCACTCTTTGCTTGCAATGCAGCACGACATTTTGGGTGCAAATTGCAGCGACACAGCACGTCGTGCGTTGCACTGGGTTGGTTGATAAGGGTGTTCAATGAAGGGGTCAATGATTTCAATGAATGAATTGAATTAGATTGACGACTCTCTGGATAATTGATGATATGGTCTTTTGGAATAGCTTCACGTATGGAATAATCGGTAAACGCCCTGGTATGCGACATTGGTGACGGTGCATAGGCGAGAATGTTGTTTCTCCACAATGTAATGTGGCTAAATGAGTTTTTCTAACCGAACGAAAAAAGCCCGATTGTGCCTCGAGGGTGAGTCGTTGGTGTGAATAAGGATCTCTTGTTTTGTTGATCGAATGGATTGCACAATACGGATGACAAGATTAGGCGCATAAGTGTGAAGTATCCAAATCACGAAATTGAAGCTTGAGATCTTGATAGTTCTAAAAGGCTATGATTCTGGGTATTGAGTGGTGGGTAGCCACAAGGATATGTAGTCAGGTCGATCCAGTACACTTCGCTGAACAGGCTTGTTCTCAGTATGTTGACCTGCTAAGTACATGGACCTTTTGGACATCTTTCGAAGATCCTCGAAACTGAAAGTACAAGCATATCCAGCACCACAGAGCTCTCTTTACTTCCAGTTTCGAGACATCAACAACCATTCCATGAAGATTGCACTGACGAACAGTTCAATTGAAATCTCAAAACACAACCACCCTGAGACAGGCAATACTTTCCCAAAACCCAAGCCCAATTCCAGCTCCCGCAAAATCACATCACTCTCTTCACGTTCATTTTGTCTTTTGCAACCGAACTCCTCTGCCATGCACCACCACGATAGTACAGGAATTGCAGCAACCCCCACATATAAGACGGACCAATGAACGGACCCAACCGACTGAGGGGTCAAAGCCGAACCGAGATACATTGTTAGGGATTTTTCAAAAGGGTGACCAGAAGCCAAAATCGAACCACTCCCTTGAACGGTTAAAGAGGGTAAGGTGAAATTGGAGGAGGAGGAATGAAACAGGGCAATTGAGAGGGCAGGATTTGCGTAGTTAATATGTAGAGCTGTAGAGTCGATTGCATAGCTGTAGAGTCAATTGCAAAGCTAGTTTGGAGAAACACAGCCGAAAAGCTTCAACCTGCTGAAGAAAAAACCTCCAATTTTATGAGTGCCATGCTACCTAGACATGTACTATTGGACCCCCAAGAAAAAGAAATCACTGCCCCGATTTCAATCCACGTCCAGGGGCATTGTTCCGTCCCATTGTTCCGTCGGATTGAACAGCCCTTCAGGTCAGAAATCCCAATAATTTTTTTTTTTTATTATATCAGAAAAAATAGAAGAAGAGCCAAGTAAAACGGCCGATCTTCAAGCAAGCAAGATGGCCCTGCTGTGCCCCAAAAAGTAGAATCTTGATTTGCGTGGACCCCCAAATAATATTGGTTCTACATAGTTGGGGTCCATCGTGGTGCACGGTTCCCAAAAAGTTGCCAATTTCACCCAAGCTTTGGTTCCACGGAAACTCGTTCGACCTTCCGGTGAATTGCCTCATTGAATGCAAGTTTTGCTGGCAGCCACAACCGGGGTCGGGCTCAAAAGCTTAAATTCTGTTTTTCAGTAGTTCAAGTGAAATTGGTCAATTCAAAACCAAACGAAGAGGTCTCATCTCGAGGCAATGCGCTTACGCAAAAAGGGGCGATGTTTTGTGGAAACAAGCAACACGGCGCCACACCCGCATACGAGCCCGTTGGGTGTTCCAAGAAATTGAGATGTTCTAAATCTGGGGAGCGTCCAAAATTAGCAATCGAAGAGCTTCTGGAAAAGACCAAGCGTTTTTTGCGCAATTTCAGGTCTTCCATAATGGCGCCATGGATCTCTCGCGCAGCATGTCAAAGCCACTCTTAGGCGGGGCGCTGGTCATTGTTGGACTTGAGCCGAGGAAGTGGAGGTTGCAATAAAATTACCGCTATGTTGCACAATTATGCACTATGGAGGCTCTAGGCTGGTGAGATGCGCCGATCTCGATCTGCGTGTGCATAAAATCCTGCACACAGCCGAAACCAATCTCACTCCCTCTCTCAATCTCAAGCATCTCCTTCGCCTAGCTTTTTCTGCAGGCCACGCCTTGAACTGGAAATGAATAGAATTACGAGCCATCTAGCCCCAGAGGCAGGGTCTCCTCAGGCCCAGGCTTCCTTGCCTAAGCCCCACGCAGCGCTAGCCCTAATAGCGCTAACCGCGTCATGGCCCCATAGTGTGGGTCTACTACATTTACGCAAGCCACGCCACAGAAAGGGAAGGCCGAACCAGAAACACCCTGCAAACCCTGGGGCCAGCCTGAAATGGCTGCAAATAGCCAAGACGTCAACTAAAACAACCCGCCTGGAACTCCGTGCGGACGCCAGCAACCTTTTTCCATCTTCAGTAACAAGACGTGAAATTGGCCCTCTCTCCTGGTGGTTCCGCGGTGAAACGTCTTTAATCTCTCAAGATCTAAATACCTCGGGTAGCGTATCTGCCAGATCTAAGACAGATGGATCTTCGCCCAGCTGTCACATTTCTGGTTCCACAACGTTGCACTGGTCTGGCCATATTCGGGATGACGCCGTGCGGGACGCAGGGAGGCGATTCGAGCCATTTTTGGCCATATGCGGGCGGGGCTAATTTCACTTCCAATGGCCCAGGGTCCAATTCTTGCTGTTCCAGGATAGGATAAGAAACTTATGGATGTCCTGAAACTGGTGTGAATGTAGACGGTCTGTGGCAGAACAATTGGACATCGTGTATTTATCTGCAGTCCGCGCATAAAACTGGCGTGAGCTAGCCATGCGAGAAGCACGGAAGCTGCGAGGCGACAATAGAACCCGTGTGAGGCAAATCGTTCCACATGCACGAGTTTTTCCGGCCAGCGCCTCTACACCGGAGAAGCTGCAAGGGCCGCCCTCGGGGTTTGGCACATCCTCACTATAAAATGGCCCAGCCTTTCCCTCATTTCGTCTACCAGCAATCCACAGAAGCAAAAATACAAAACACACGATAACCAAGCATGGCCTACTACATCGACCAGTCGCTCTCGCCCTCAGCCGCGGCAGAGGACCAGTGGATCAACAACTTGTTATCCACACTGGCACCCATGACTTCGACCAATTCCTATCAATTCAACATGGGTGTCCCCGTGGTTGAGTCCAATTTCTCCACCACCGACTTCCCCAGCCTATTAGAGGACAACAGCGTGTTTTCCGGCTCCTCCAGAGCCTCGACCGTTTCCACTCCTCCTATCAAAGAAGAAGACTGGGATCCATATGTGGAGTCCGACGGCCTGGACTTCATGAACACCGTGCTGTCCAAGCTCCAGATGATGCAGCAGAAGAACAACTTGACGCCCAAGGCGTTGGAGTCGATTTTCGACACCAAAGACGTGCTCAAAGAATCCGAATCCAGCCCTGAACAACAGCCACAGTCTGAACAGCCCCAAAGACTGAAAAGACGGTGTCCCCGCAAGAGACTCACCGAGTCTCAGAAGGAAGCTCACAACAAGGTGGAGAAGAAATACAGAGTGAACATCAACTCGAAGATCAACAGCCTTCAGACGGTGATTCCGTGGTTTGCCAGCGACAACAACAAGCAGCGGATGGACTTGAAGGTGAACAAGCTGGTGATTTTGGAGAAGGCGTTCGACTACATCGTGTACCTCCAGAAGGAGAACGAGGCGATGAGAAAGCGCCTCGAGGGACGTTAACACGCTAATGACTAATGAGCAAGGGAATAATTTATGAATACACGGTACACGGAGGCGGGTGTAGGCCTAGGAAGGAGAGGATGGAGTTCAGGGAGCGGATTAATGGGGTACAAAGATTGAAGTACACTGGAGAATGAATTCACGAAGAACGACGAGACATTTGATACACATTTTACGAAACTAAACAAATCACCTGTAGAACTTTCACCAAACCATGTTTGAAACACATTTCGACAAATTCCAGTTCCAACAAGCCGCCTACACATGTCAAGGAATACCAATTTCAACAAACCACATTTAAAGCACATTTAAAGGAAAACCAATTTCAACAAACCAACCAAATTCAATACACTCTTCAGAGAAAACCAATTTTAGAAAACCACCAGAAAACACATTTAAACGAAACCCTACTTCAACGAACCACATTTGACAGACATTTCAACAAACACCATAAACCACATTTCAAACACATTTCAACAAAACAATTTCAAGAAACCACATTTAACACACATTTCAACAAACACCACAAACCACATTAAACACACATTTCAAGAAAAACCAAATTTAACAAACTGTAAAACTTCCCACCAGCCCAAATCGTCAAACCGCAGACCGAGGATCCACTCCCAGCGCATTGGCTGATTTGAGATATTATTCCCGTGCAGCGGGGAGCACCGCAAGCCCGAGAGAAAACGGTCGATCATGCTCCGAGGCACGTTCGCTTATGCAGCCGTTTGCCACGATCTGGCAAGGTGGACCGTTGCGTGTTTGGCGGGTGAATCCGGAAAAACCCCGAGCGGCTCCGACTCCGAGCATCTCCGATGCCGCACGTCCTGGTGGATTTTTGATTTATTTGGGAATTCAAGAGAGTCATCTTATTTAGGGAAGCCGAGGAGAGCCGAGGACGCTTTGCTGAGTCTGCGGTGGAAGCTTGTAGCTTAAAGGGTTTTTCCGATTCTGTGAAGCAAAAAAAAAATCTGTGACACCTCCGATGCGGTGGGTTCCGGCTGTGAATGGACGATTTACGGTTTTTCGAGGCTTTGCGTTTCGGCTTTGGCGTGAGCATATTTTGCTGTTTTCCAAGATCTGGGCATTTCCCATACCGTAGAGGCTAGATCCAGGAGACTAGCTTTTCTGCTTCGGGCCACCAAAGTACAAAGCGAATTTCCCAAGTTTCCAAAAATATCAAAAACCTCCAAATGGAAAGACCCGGTGGAGCCACAAACGAGTGGTGCCTTGCGGCTGGATCTGCTTCGTGGATGCACAAGCTTGTCACTGGATGCGGCGATCGAAGGGAACCTTTATTTGTTGATTTACATGCGGCGATACAAGTGGGCTAATTAGTTTGACGAGGCAGAATTAGGAACACATTAGGAACGATACGCTTGTCAGGTATCAAGAAATGGGGAGCTACTTTCCTGAAGAAGGACACTAGGGATGCACTGTAAAACAGGAAATCCACGGTTTCTCAGATGTCAGAGAGCCGGTTTGGGTGATAGCCGGTTTGGGTGATAGCCGGTTTGGGTGATTTTCTGTTAACGGATCAAACCTAAAACAACAAACTTCTCCATGATCAAGTATTTATTGCTCTTAGTCCTCCTACTTTAGAAGTTAAGGAAGTCATATCTAAGTGTTATCCGTAACTTACTATGGATGCATCCGAGAATCCTAACAGAAATCGAGATGAAATTCACCAAAATAGCAAGAATGGGAAATTCACGGTTTCTGAGATCAGACAAGTATCGCTTTGGGTAATTTCCTGTAAACATAGAAATAGATCACAACAGACTCTATCTGTGTTCAAGTATCTAAGTGCTCTTAGTCCTCCTACTTTAGAAGCTAAGGAAGTGAAGTTAAGGAAGTCATATCTAAGTGCTATCCGTAACTTACTATGGATGGAGCATCCTAACAAATCGGAATCAAATTAACCGAATCAGCAAGAACAGGAATTTCACGGTTTTTCAGATTTCAGAGAGCCGCTTTAGGTATTTCCTGTAAGAAAAAATACATCACAACAAACTTTATCTACATTAAAGTATCTAAGTGCTTTTAGTCCTCCTACTTTAGAAGTTAAGGAAGTTATATCTAAGTGTCGTTCGTAATACTATGGATGGAGCATCCTAACAAATCGAAATCAAAATCACTAAATTCTCAAGAACAGCCACTCTTAAACCTCTAGCTCAAAACCTACAACCTCTTCCGTAAGCTTTATAAATTACATATCAGCACTCGGCTGCAATCCGCTTGGCGCCCAAGCATTCCTTGTAAGAGCAGCGCTCCTCCTCGGATCTATAAATAACCTAGAAACGACGGTTGGCCAAAGGCTGGGTGTTGGATCCCGTCTGTCTCTGACGGAATCCTCCTCCTCCACGTCCACCGTATCCTCCACGTCCACGGCCACGGCCCCACGGCCTCCTCCACGACCGTATCTAATGTGAGATCCGTACGAGCGACGGTCGAATCTCTGCAACTCGGGTGGAATGGTCTGGTTGGCTTCTCTCATGATTTTGCAGAGATCACCACCAAGCTTGGAGTTGCCGTCGGTGAACAAGGAAACAGCGGTACCTGAGGTACCAGCACGGCCGGTTCTACCGATACGGTGGACATAGTCCTCGATGTTGCCGGGCATGTCGTAGTTGATCACGTAGGTGATACCCTTGACGTCTGACTTGTTAGTATAGTTTGCACGAAGTTTGTCGGCAGGATGGTCTACGAAGAAGAAAGGAGTTCGATGTCTATTGATTACGTGGAAAGCATGTATACTTAAAGAGTCGGCAGGCAAGAGTCCTCTGGGCAGCCACGCCGGGAATCACCCCAGCGGCTGCCGCCGTGTCTTGCTTGTTGAAGGCCCATCGATCTCGTTCTTTCTGTTTGCTTTCTCATAATCAGGTAGTTGTCTTCTAGTCTCCTCGCTTTCGTAGTCAACAATGTGGCTTTCGAAAGGATGCTGTCTGTCACCTTAATACCGTGTACACAACGGTAACAGTCCATTCAAACCTTGTGTGGTGCTCGCTGGCCCACCAAGGAAAAAAAAAAAAAAAAGCCAAAAAAAAAATTCAATGCTTCGCAACGCTCACGTTGAAGCTAGTCAAATTTCTCTGCCAGGCGTTCCCGACGCCCAGCTTATGCTGACGCCCAAGCACTGTCCTGCAGTGCCGGGGCAACCCCACCCTAGTCCGTTAGTAACAAAAAATCCCAAAATACATACCAATACCTCTGGCAGCCACATCGGTGGCAACCATAATGGGCGACTTGCCGCTTCTGAATTCACGCAACACCCAGTCTCTCTCGTGCTGGTCCTTGTCACCGTGAATGGCCAAAGCAGGCCAGCCGTCCTCTCTCAAAAAGGACGTAATGTCGTCACAGGCTCTCTTTGTAGAAGAAAAGATAAGACACTTGGCTTCCTTGTCGGTGGTGGCGGTCTCCAAGTGCTTGACCAAACGGTCTCTCTTCTCAAACTCAGTGACAACCTCCACAAGCTGGGTGATGGTGTGGGAGGCAGCCAATTCCAAGGAACCAATGGTGACCTGAATTGGGTCAATCAAGTAGTCTCTGGTCAAGTTCTTGACCTCCTTTGGCCAGGTAGCAGACCACATCAAGGTTTGACGGTCTGGTCTGATCTGGTCGACAATCTTTCTAATCTGAGGTTCGAAACCCATATCCAACATTCTGTCGGCCTCATCCAACACCAAGTAGGTGACTCTTCTGAGGTTAGTCTTCTTGGTTTCCAACATGTCAATCAAACGACCTGGGGTGGCGATACAAATCTCAACACCACGAGCCAAGTCTCTGATCTGCTGACCCTTGGGGCACCACCGTAGATACAGGTGTTTCTGATTCTGGAAGAGGCACCGAACTTGGAGCACTCCTGCTGAATCTGCACAGCCAATTCTCTGGTGGGGGCCAAGATCAACACAACAGGACCGTCACCGTGCTTCAAAAGAGGCTGGGCGTTGATGTGCACGATAGCTGGCAAACAGTAGGACAAGGTCTTACCGGAACCAGTGGCGGCGATACCCACCATGTCTCTACCGGACAAGGCCATAGGCCAACCCTGGCACTGAATGGCAGTGGGCTTAGGGAAACCCTGCTGCTTGACCTCGCTGAGCACGTAGTCTGGGAAACCAGCTTCGTCGAAGGAGGTGATGGGCTTGGGATGTCTGGACCCTCAATGGTCATGTCGTTCTCCTTTCTGAAGGCCTGAACGTCGGCATCGGAACGGGCAGCCACCTCGGGGTGCTCGGTGTAGAAGTTCTTCTCAAACTTTGGCAAGGAGTCGAGATCCCACTCAGGAGTGGTGAGCTCTTCTCTTACCATAGGGGCTCTGTTGAATCTACCACCACGACCACCGTAGCCACCACCACGGCCTCCACCGTAGCCACCGCCCCGGGATCCGTAGTCGTCCCTGTTATTGTAGTTGTTGTAACCGGAGTTGTAGTTGCTGTAACCGCCGTTGTAGGACATTTGAAAAGTTAGGTTCAAAAATTGAGAGTGGGAATACTGGGGGTTTATATACGCGGGCGATGAGAAAGAGAAATTTTTGATGCGGCTATATGCAGGTGATAAAGCATGGCAGCGATGGGCATCATTGTGGAGGATACCAAAGGGATTGAAAATTAATTGGGGGTTGATTCTGTTGGTTGGATGTGGTAGAAGCAAGTTTTTTGACTATTTTACGAATTGGTGGCTGGTGGGTTCGGAAATGGAGGGGATGAACAATGAGGTATGTGCAGGACAAACACAGGCCCACATGAAGACACTGAATAGGGATAATATCTGGGTTGATCAATGTGATTTTATTTATCGTTCTCGAAGAATTGAGAAGAGAGAGCATTCTCAATATGAAGAGAAGTTTTTTGGTTTAATAGAGGAGGGTTCAATGCAGACTAATGTCTCGATGACCTGGTGGTCAATTTCCAGATCCGACAGGCACCAGCAGGGTGAGGTTTTTCGTCAACCATCCCTTATTTTCCTATCTAAAATCACAATTTCCAGACCTGGTATCAGCGAAAGCCGTTTAATACCAAATTTCCAAAAGCCCAGGTAATTGGCGCTTTTTTCACTCTCAAATCAGGCATCTCATGGCTTGAAAGGTTTTCGCAGCCTTCCATGCGTACTTTTAGACCACAGAGAAGCACCAATAAGACATCCCCTAAATGTTGGAAGTATTTAGTTCATGAGAGTTTGTAAGACAAGGAAATGCTTCAACACTTACAACTGATAAAAAAGAAGATTTTGATCTCTCTACATTGGCTTCGAGGGCATCTCTGAAAAGCCCTTTCGCAGCCATTCGTAAAAGCGGTAGTTTAGTTATTTTCACGAAATGGGCCGTAAAGGGAGAAACTCCACTTATCTCTTCACTTTACCGCTTGTGAAAGTGAAACAACCGAATAGAACGATATTTCACTTTTTGAACGCTACCCTTGACTATGCTTTCTGTACCTCTGTCAGACAGTAAAACCATTCCTGACCGCAAAAGTCCAATTTCAAACTACATTTCAAAATCCTCTCCCTCATAAACCATCACTCTACAAAATCCCAAAACCTAATCAGCTCCTGCCGTCAACACCCAAGCCCACTTTTGCAACCAGTACCCACCTCATCACATCTTCGCGAAATCTCATCTCAACCTACCACATCCCAAACCACCTACATCATGGAAAACGACACCGCCATGGACGTGGAGAGCGAGCAGGAGTACGACATCGACAAGATCCGGTTGTTGCCCGGACTGGCGGAAGACGGCACAGCGCTGTCGTTTCAGATTGTCGACGAGGACCACACCTTGGGCAATGCCTTGAGATACATCATCATGAAGAACCCGAGGTGGAGTTTTGCGGCTACTCGATTCCGCACCCGCTGGAGAACAAGTTGAACGTGAGAATCCAGACGTACGGCAACATCACGGCGTTGGAGGCGTTGCACCAGGGCATGGACAACTTGAGCGAGTTGTGTGGGCATGTTGAGGAGGCTTTTACGGAGAAGGTGGAGGCTGGGAGGTATGCCAGTGAGGAGCCCTAGCTTCTCTGAAAGGAGCCGTAGGCGCCTTGAAGAGAAGCAGGCGACTTTGAGATGAAGGCTTGAAAAGGAGCAAGGCGACTAAAAGGTGCTTTTTGAAAAAGGAGCAAGAAGGCGACTCAATGAAGCAGGAAGGCTTCTTGAAGAGGGCCCAGACGGACATGATTAGTCCGAACAGTGTAATATACGAGAGCATTTGACAAGTGTAGAGGGGGCATTTGGCGAAGGGGGAGGTAAAGGGTCATTGAGAGTTTGAAGGGTGTGGATGGTTGGCCAGTGGGATTTCTGAGAGGAGGCTGATTTGCTGGGGATGAGGAGGAGGTTTTTAAAAAGCTCACTGAAAGCTGCCTGGGTACCTCTGACTCAGTAAAGCAGGAGTTCTATGATCTTGGGTGTTGAGTTGTGGAAAGACAATCGAGGCATCGTCTGGATACCCCAGCTGTGACAGATCAAGATGGAGATCAGAATGGCCAGGAATAGCAAATATACGTCCGAAGTTTCTCAAGTAGTAGTAAGAGATTGCATCGAGGTCATGGGTTATCTCAAATGAGCGTTCTCTTTGTATAGATCTAAAGACAAACCGTTGAGAGCCGAAAAACCAGCTTTCTTGAGGTCAAGGAAGAGTTCACTTCATTAGGACATTATAAGAGGCTCAAAGGCCAGTTATGCACTCTCAATCGGCTTCTCTTGTGACATTCATTCAATGCCTACCTGATTTGATACTTCCACAGGTTGTACCATAGGCTTGGGTAGTAGATCCTATAAAGCTTCATACCACAATTTCAAGCAGCAGTCCGTGAAACCCTAAGCCAACCTTTACGATGCCAAAACCCTCAAAATACAAAAACCTGGAAAAATTTCACTCCGATCTTTTGAGGCACCTAATGGGTGCAAAACAGAGAAAGCCAGTCACCACTTGTGGACAACCGAAAAAGTCTGACGCCCTTGAAACGAAAAATCCACCTTGGCCAAATATTCCATGAACCCATAAACCATTTATATCAAATTTGGCAAATCATGCTGCAAGATCTCTGATTATATATACCGTTGTTCCTGAAGTTTCCAGTGGGTAACATACCGACGGACTCGGCTTAATTGTGACTTTTTCAAAATGAGCAACCTTATCAAAAACACTTCGTTAACTTTACCGAACATAAAATGTAGTATAATTCCTTATCACAAGTCCCATCTGCGACTATATCTCTACATTCACAGAGGTCCATACTGTAGTACACCATCAACTCCACTAACACGCATCCGCCGAACTTCCCGACCAGATCCCCCAGTACTCTCTAACCAATTGATCAATTCTAACATATTCAAAAAAAAAAAGAAAGACTTTCTCCATAATCCTCCACCCTCCATCCACCGACTCAGATACACCCACCCGCATGCACTCCATCGCGTACTTGTACCATCAACACCAACTTCTTCTTCAAAACACCATGAACGCTTCGCCGACAGCGGACATTTCCGAGCTGTTTTTGCACGTGAGCGACCACACGGCCCGGCTTTCCCTGGTGGACGACACCACGCGGTCGCTAGCCGATTTCCGGGAACTTATTCAGTTGGCACAGAAACACGATCAACAGAGGAAGAGAGACGAGCTTCTGAGCAGGACAGTTGACAAGAAGGAGGCGAATTTGGCCAGTCCGGGCTTTGGACGCATCGTGGGCCAGCTGAGCCAGCTGACGCCGTTGGCAGGCCGGAACAACGCCGATGTGGCTGAACTTTTCCACCTTTTGCAGCCATTCTTGGAGCGGTACCTAGGGGAGAAGAGGGAGAAACCACAGCGGAGCCGTTTGGACAGCGTGGCCGAGGACCCGTTTACAACGCCGAAACGGCTGCCCGTGGAGCCTGAGCTGGACTCGGACCGCCACTCGGAAATCAGACCCGACGACACGTTTGACAAACCCAGAAAGCTGCTGCCGGCACCGGCGCTGCTGCCGATAACAACGCCGCCCATGTCGAGGGAAAAATTTGAGGAAACGGAAGAGGCGACGGAAACGAGGTCCGATTTTGGCACCGACGACTCGGATATGTGCAAGTACTTTGGGGGCGCTCCACAGGTGGAGTTGGCCGACCTCACGGCGGGAGAGATCGAAATCGAGTCGAAAAAGCCCGATTCCGCCAGGGAGCTCGCCGAGCTCAGGCTCCAGTTGGACTTGGCCCGCCAGCAAAACAGAGAAATGGCCAACGAGCTCGGCTACCTCCGGGACAAGCTCGCCAGCAAGAAGGAGGACACCACGCCCATCAGCAGCGAGAACGTCGACGCCTGTTTCCGTCCGTATTACCTGAAACTCCAGCTCGACAAGGTGGACGGTCTTAGCGACGTGGAGAAGAGCAATGTGATCAAGAACTTGATGCTCTCGTTGCTTGTGTCTGATTTCGACCATCTCCAGAAAATGGCGCCCCGCGTCGGCGACTACCTCCGTATTTCGTCCCGTTTCCTTGACAAGCTCCACGCTCGTTACTACGAATGTGGGGAGTACTGTCCGCTGCGGTACTTGCGGGACTACGCCGTGGAGACCATGGACGACTTCCAGGCGTGTCTAGACGGCATGATGGCGCTTGTCGTGGGACTGGAAAAAAGTGAATAATGAATATTTGACTTAACGGTACATTGCTGGCCCTCAGGGCTGGTAGGGATTATTTGGCTGGGTTACTAGGAATGCTATACATATGCTAGCGCGGAGTAGACTCCAGAGGGGTTGATGGTATTGAATGAAAGTTTACTTTGGTGTCGTTCGGTGCTTCATGCAATGGAAGGTTTTGGAAAATCGTCCATTGTTTCAAAAGATTCTCTACAGGAGACATGAAGGGAGCAATGAAAACCTAAATTTTCATCAAATACCTGCAAGCCAACGCGTAGTTGTGATTCACCAATAAGGTTGTCATACCAGCATCTTGGTTGCTCAACTCTGGCTTGCATATCCAGGTGACCAAAGAAGTCCGGAACCACCGGCCCTTCACAGGAACACAGGAATTTTTTCAAGAAGACAGGTTTCTTTGAAACAAAAAATGAAACTTCAAAACCTAAATAAAAAATCAACTTCCACCAAAGCTTCCTCTTCCAGGTTGCCCGATCGTTCGTGCGACGTTACCCGCCCGTGCATATACACACAAATCACCTGCATAGCAATAGAAAACTAGAGAAAATCCTATCACCTCCGATTTCTTGGAAACCGTCACCCCCAACGGGAACATTGCTGGGAAGACCAGGGCTGATTTGCAACCGCGCACGTGACTCGTCACGTGACAATAACAAATAGCCATCGCGCGTCACCTGATCGTACCGCCTGCACACAGGCGCCTCACCACCCCGGCAAACCGTGCAACTGTGCCTCGAGTTGCTACTTGGGAGTGCCCACTAAAATTGCTGAGTTTAAGCAAAGCAGGCTACCTGCGGGGCTTGACCACACCCGTACACCACAGCCATTGTATGCACGGCCTAAAACCTTTTAAAAAAACCTCTACACCGGAGAATGCAGCGGGCTGCGGCGGGATCTTTCCCGCCATTCTGGCGCCGTGAGCCGCACGTGACCACCCATCCAGAAGCAAACGTCATTTATCACCTTTCACCGAAACCGAAAACCACCCATTCTAGTCCACGAAACAAGCACATCCCAGCACAACTTTTTGGTACATAGCCCGTGCCATTGAAAACCCGTGCCTCACGCCACACTGCCAATTTCAGCGCCGTCTGGCTTTTCAAATTCCCCATTGTGGAGGTTGTGAGTCTTAGATAAGCACTTAGAGGCTCGCCAAAAGAACCACCTCCGTAACGGCCCCAGAACCGGCCCGAAACCAGTTGAAAGCGACATCTTCGTCATCTCCCAGCTTTTCCGGTGCCGCTGGTGTAAAAAAATTTAAAAAACTCCCAACCATTCCCCGTTTTGCCCCATAGTCCCAAATGGGTGACACACTTCGAGCACAGAAACCCAGAACAAACGGGGCCCCGCCACCAATGAAACGTCAGGGCGCCCAGCAAAGAGCAACCCCGACCTCCCTGGAGCAGCCACGTCTGCTAGACCAGCGTCAGCAACAAAAGGATAACTCCATGAGACTCGAGGTGGGTAACTACCACAATCTGCCCATGGCTCCACAGACCGTGCCTTCGGCTGCTCCGCATTTCAACCAGTCCCGCCACAACTCCCAGGCGTTTCTTTTCAATCCAGGCCGCCAGGACCTGATGCTGACGCTTTTGAACCTGTACCCACTTCCCAATACCCAGCAGCCCCAGGGTCAGGGCAAACGGCAAGATCTGAGCTTCCCAAGCTACTACATGGGGCTGCGTGACTCCTTGAGCGGAGCTGCGGGTCTTCCACCTGAAAGCGGACCACCTGGACGCCTCAGAGGCGATTCCATCTTTCTTCCTCCTCCGGTGAGTTCCAAGCATCCTTCTGAAGACGGTCTGGGCCAGCAGAATGCCCAGGCTCAGTACCAACAGCAGTTCCCAGGGCAGCTGCGTTCCAACAGCATTTTCAGCTCGTTGATCCAGATCCCAGGGTCGTCGCTGAACCTGGTGCTGGAGCCATCAAAAAGTGGAAATCAGGGCACCGCAAGCCCGAGAAAGAAGCAGCAGGAGGAGTTTCCCACGTACGATTCCAAGGACTCGATTGGCCAGATGTTTGGATGGTCACAGACGCCGTCGAAGCTGAACAAGGGCTCGAAGCTCTCGTTCGACATTCTGAATGCATTCCTAGAGAACTCGGGCCTCACGGGCTCCATAGCCGGTGTCTCTAACGACAGCATCAACGCCTTTTTGGCTAACTTGCAAAACAACGGCTCTGTCGACTTCAATAGCATGAACGACCAGCAACGACGTGATTCGATTATCAAGTTCATCAACGATCAGCAGCATGTCGAGCAACCTAGGAAAACGTCTCTGCGGACGACTTTAAGGGAAGACATATTTGACAAACTGAGAGGCAGCTCTACGCTGCGTCCCGGTGGTCAGCGCAAGTCGAGTCTAGGCATGTCTGACCAACGACTTTCCCCACTGTCGTCCATGTCGTCCAAACTGTCGCATCGCTATCATGACGAACCCCATTCGCCCAAAACGTCGCCTAGCCAAGTAAAACGTACCTTAGACCCGCAGGAGACCCTTGCTCCTCCCCATCAACACTATCCTTCCACAGCCCATCCAGCATCCATCCAGAAGTCTTCGAATAACAACTTCTACCAAAATGCTTATCAACAGTATCCCGTCTACGACAACAATGTGCGCTATCCGGTGCAGCAGAAGCAGCAACAAGAACCCGCTCCACCCCAGAGAAACATGAATCCTCAAGTTCAGCAGTACCACCAGAACCAAATGCCCATATACAATCAGTTCCAGCAACCACAACAGCTTCCTCCACAGTCTCAGCAGCATCTACCGAACCAGCAACAGCACCCCCAGCAAGATCAACACCAGCAAAACCAGGGGTTCGATGTCCAGGGAACTCCAGCCTATTCTCCCCAGATGCTCAAAAACGCTCCCCAGCAGTTCTCCCCTGGTAAAAACTACGCTTACGGCAACATGCAAAATCAGAGAGATGCCTATGCTGTACCGCAACAGGCGATGAACCCGAGCTTGTTGCCTGCCCAGCAATTTGCCAGATCTGAGGATGGAAGACCGTTATTGGGAGCCACCAAGGTTGACCAGCTTATGCTTGTGATCCAAGCCAGAGAGAAGGGAAACACTGGAGCAATCAAGCAGGCTGCTGACGGAAGCATTCTTGCTCTGCCCAACTCCAACCATGAGAAGAGTGCGGTTATACCGCTGACTGTGGATTTGGTTGGCGGTATTGAAAAACCTCAGCGTGAAGAAGAGGAGCAGCCTGAAGGCCCAGAACGCAAAAAGAAGCGCAAGGGCAAGACACAACAGTGCCCTTACTGTTTCAAGACTTTCAACCAGTCCACACACTTGGAGGTCCATGTACGTTCTCACATTGGATACAAGCCGTTCCAGTGCTCCTACTGTCTCAAGAGGTTCACTCAGGGCGGTAACTTGAGAACACACATGAGGCTCCACACTGGAGAGAAGCCTTTTACGTGCGAGGTTTGCAATCGCTCGTTTAGCAGGAAAGGAAACCTTGCCGCTCACATGTTGACTCACAATAAGGAGAAGCCCTATGAGTGCAAGCTCGACAATTGCGACAAGTCGTTCACACAGCTTGGTAACTTGAAGTCTCATCAGAACAAGTTCCACTTGCCCACATTGAATCGTTTGACGCAAACTCTTGCTGAACTTAGTGGTGAAGCCTTGGAGCAGTTGCCGCCTGAAGAGAAAGAGCTTCTTACCTACTTCCGCAAGCTCTACAAGAACCTGAACAAAGGCATTCGTGGACGTGGTCGTGGCGGCAAAGGAGCTCTTGATGATGACGCCATTTCTGGCGAATCCAGTGTGCAGCTGAGTCCTCAGCAGTTGAAGCTTCCTAGGGCAGACGGACAGATGCAGATGTCACAGCAAGGTTCGCCGCTCATGCCACCGACCGTGCAACGTCCCGACGGATACTAATAACGACCCCCATAATCACGAACCTAACGATTGAAATTAATGCGATACCGGGCCGGTCCCGATGAAATAAACACGAGAGATATAATGAAAATATTGGAGACAGAGGTGTAGACACCTAGTTGAAGCAGGTAGGCCACTTTATTAAAATTACAAATTGAGGTAAAATGTGAATAGTATATAACTCATCTTGTACCATGAAGAACGGTACGGCAAAACGATACACTTTACTAATATTCATAGCGATGGTAATATTTAGAGCACAGAGGATACATTCTACTATACGTTTCATAAAATCAAACAACTCCAGAAAATATGAAAGATATTGTTAGACTCACTTCTAGTATCAGTGGTTGCAAATCGCACAGTATACATCTCCATCCCAGCTCCACAGCATTCAACCCAAGATACACGCTTTTGACTGGATTCATGATTTTGAGAATTTCTTAAAGCAATCTCATAGGCTTTCAATTTCTTAAATTATCTAATTCTTTAGGGGTTTGGACCCCCGGGCCAAATCTGAAGCTCAACACCCTGCACACAAACCACATCAAGCAGCCTTATCCTACTACTGAGCTCCAAAAGTCCCAGCCAATTTCCACCATGCTGAGCCTCTACAAACTCTCAATCTCGGGAATACGATCCTTTTCTCCGAAAGACAACGAAATCATCCAGTTTGGCGCGCCGCTCACGCTTATATGTGGTCAAAACGGCTGTGGAAAAACCACCGTGATCGAATGTCTAAAATACGCTACTACAGGCGATTTGCCACCCAATTCGAAAGGGGGCGCTTTCGTGAACGACCCTGCTGTTGCAGACAGGCTGATGGTGAATGCGGAAATCAAATTGGGTTTCATTTCCGTCGATAATAAGCTGATGACGGTGACTCGAAGTATGCAGTTGACCAGGAAACGGACTGGTCGTCTGACAACCTCAACAAACACATTCAAAACACTTGAAGGCCAATTGGCTGTTCACGCTAAGGGCCGCAAAACGTCGATATCCACGAAAAACGCAGAATTGGACACAAGAGTTCCTCAGTACTTGGGTGCATCCAAGGCTGTGCTAGAATACGTGATCTTTTGCCACCAGGAGGACAGCTTGTGGCCATTGAGTGAAGCTAGTGTGTTGAAGAAGCGGTTTGACGAGATTTTCGAGGCGTCCAAGTTCACAAAGGTCTTGGACAACTTGAAGGTGATCACCAAGGATATGGCTACCGATATCAAGTTACTAGAACAGAGCGTGCTGCACGCCAATTTGGATAAAAAGAGGGCAGGAAAGATCAGGGACAAAGTCCTGGAAAGCAGAGCCAAGGTGGAGCAGTATAATGCTGAGATTGCCGAGCTCAATATGGAAATCGAGGCCTTGGAGAAGCAGGCAGACGACCTTTTTCACTCCAATCAGCTGTTTCAGAAGACCCTCTCGGAGCATGAAAGGCTCAAGATAATGTACGAAACCACGGAAAACAACCATCGCCGTTTGGGCCTGTCGATTGAGGTTTTACGAGAGAGTGATGAAGAATTGAGGCACCAATTGTCCAATTTTGCCCTGATACAGCAGCAGAAGTCTGAGAACGTGGAAGAAAAAGAGCTTTTGATGGTGGATCTCGATGCTCAGCAGCTGGCGTTGCAAGAAAGCTTCTCAAAATTGACCAGAGACGAAGGTATTTTGTTCAGCAAAAAAGAGGCCTACGAGGAGCGCAAAAAGAGGTTTCTAGAGAGTCTGCAGCAGCTCAGGGAGAAGTACGGGCTAGGCGATGCCCTAGTAGAAGATCTAATGGCGCTTGTCTCTCAAACAGAGAATCAGTACAACAAGTTGGTCAATACCAATAAGCAGCAGATTGAAGATGCAACGTCAAAGGTCAAGGAAGCAGAAAAAGTGCTTTCCCGTGAAGAACAGCATAAAAACTACAACGCGGAAGAAATCAAAAACACAAAAGCCAAGCTCAAGGAGTATCATGCCAAGGTAAGCTCTTCTGCTGCTAGTGAGGATAACCTTACCATTGAAAGCGCTGAGCTTGAATCGCTTCAAAAAAAGTTGGCCAAGAAGAAGGAAGGCGATAATACAAAGGCACTTTCAAAGAGCATACAACAGGATACTGAAAAGCTCCATGTCTTGGAGAACGACCTTGATGATCTTATGAGGAGGATTACCACTGCTAACAAGCAAGCAGATCTCTTCAGCAAGCTAGATTTGCTCAAGGATGCAGTATCCGTCAAGAACGACGTGCTCCAAAAGAATCTTTCACTGAACCAAGACAGCTTTGAGAAGATTACTGGCAAAAAGTTGGCTGATTCTGGAGAAGCCGCTCTTGACGATATTTTGGTGAATCTTAACACTAAGGAGAAGGACCAGATGGATTCAAGCAAAGCTTTGGTGTCGAAGCTAGACAAGCTCAAGGCTAATAACGAATCTGACAGTGTCGCTTTAAAGAAAATTGAGGATAATCTCTCCTCTCATACGGCCAATATTCTCAAGGTGATCGAGAAAAATGAGATTGACCAATTTGAAGAATTGGTTCAAGAAGCCGAGGAGGACTATAATACTGCCACCTACAATTTGAACACCTTTGATGTCACTAAGAGCTTCAAAGTGAAAGCCATTGAAATTGCTAAACAGTCCAAGTGCTGCACGCTTTGCAACAGAGGGTTCTCAAACTCTGAACTTGATACTTTTATTCTGGAGGTGCAGCAAAACCTTAATAATGTGACTGCTAAGAAGCTACAAGAGGATGTGGATTCCACCAAGAAGGATGTGGATCAGATGAAGGCGATCAACTATGATGTTTTGCAATATCGCTCTTTGACCAAAGAGGTGTCCAATTACAAGCTGCTTATCCAGAAGAGAGTCGAGGAAATACAACAGCTTCAGAAGGAGTACGATATTTTGGAGAACAGCCTTGAAGAAACCAAGACCTCTTTGAACGAAGCAAACAGGCTTAAACAACCGCTCAGCAACATCACGAGATTGAAAGACGAGATCAACCATTCGAAGAAACAGATCGAGGACGTTCAGCTGGAGCTTGATGCAAGTGGCGCTTCTTCGATGTCCATGAATGAACTTCAGAAGTTGCAGCAGGAGAAGAACTTCGAACTCAAGAGATTGCGCCAGAGCATTGCTGATGCAACAGATGAAAGAGACTCGCTCCAGAAAGAGCTTTCTAGAATTGAAGGGCAAATCAAGGACAAGGAGCTTCTGATCAGTAACTTGAAGAATTCCATGAAAGAGCTTGTCACTTTGCGGAGTACCATTGACGAGACCGAAAAGCATCTTGTTTCTTTGCAAGAGAAGGAGAAGTCGATCGAGGGAAATGTCAAAGAGTACGAGCTGAAGTTGGCGGAAGTCTCCAAATCATTTGAAACCTTAAAGGACCAGCTTTCGACGGAGGAATCGGCTTTGCATGAAAAGCTTAAAAAATGCCAACAGGATGAAGCAGAGTTGCGTGACCTTTCACAACATATCGCTGCTTTCGAGGAGCAGGATCTCCATAGAGTTGAAGAGAACCAACATCAAATCAGCGAAGCAAGAGCCAAGATTCAGGACATCACCAACTCCAGAAAAGCTTTGGATAAGGAGATGACGGCCTTGAAAGGTGCTCTCAATGACGCTGCAAAAACGAAACGTAACATCGAAGACAACATCGAGTACAGAAACACAGAACAAGAGCTTGACTCCATCAGAGCCCAGATCGAACAACTCGATGTTTCCAATGCCGAAGTCGAAAAGGAGACCTACCAAGCTGCGTCTAAGAAACTCCGTGATCAGATCAACGATCTCAACAGCCAGCATTTTGGAAAAGCCGGTGAAGTGAAGCAGATCAATGACCAGATTCAGCAGCTTCAACAGGAACTCAATCTGGAGTTCAAGGACGTGGAGAAGATGTACCACAAGGAATGGATCAAGCTACAGACCAACATGCTTGTTTCCAAGGATCTCCAGACATACTCTCTGGCTCTCGACAACGCCATCATGAAGTACCACAGCATGAAGATGGACCAGATCAACAAGATTTTGAGAGAACTCTGGAACCAGACTTACAAGGGTACTGATATTGACAGAATTGAGATCAAGTGTGATGTAAATACACTGGGAAGAGGCCGTTCATACAACTACCGTGTGGTGATGTATAAGAAGAGCTCTGAGTTGGATATGAGAGGAAGGTGTTCTGCTGGTCAGAAGGTTTTGACTAGTATCTTGATTCGTTTGGCTTTGGCGGAATGTTTTGGAACAAACTGTGGTATGATTGCCTTGGATGAGCCTACGACGAATTTGGATACAGAGAATGCCGAATCGCTAGCCACGGCGTTGAATTCGATCATTGATGCCCGGAAAAACCAGAAAAACTTCCAGCTCATTGTGATCACCCACGACGAGAAGTTTTTGAGCCACATCAACGGCGAAAGCTACATCGACAACTTCTACCGAATCGAGCGTGACGAAAACCAGTATTCTGTGATAAAGAGCTTGCCCATACATCTCATGCAAGATGAATAAGCTGTTAACTAGTCCTCTTTGGGTGACCGCCGGGTGATGGAATCTACGGTTTTGTCTTTCTCCACCCAGCATTTTTCAAGCCACCGCTCCATTTTGGCCCGTCTGAGAGGAACTCTCTCCAACAGCTTCTTCTTTATATGAACCGTCACTTTGTGGGGTTCTTTGCACGAGAAGAACTCAAGGAGTGTCACGGGCTTGCTGTGCACAATCAGGACGTCGTACAAAGTGGAGAATTTCTGTGCTCTTGTCGCCAGCTTCTCTGCTCTAAGCAGCCATACGGCGTTGGAAAAGCTCGAGAACCTAGGGTACAACACCTGGTGCATTTCTGGAAGAAAGTACCGATGAGCCTGAGCTGCCTGAAGATACGACGTCTCTGGCGTCCAGATGTTGACTTCTGGAAAAACAACCACCCATTCTGGCGTACTGGAGTCTCTGACTCTGTGAAACAATCTGTCGCTTTGCAGCTGGGCCAATTCCCAGTTTTCGTCGCTTCGAGCCATGTTCAAAAGAACCTTAGCCGTAGGGGCACGAGCCAACGTGAACCACGTGAAAAAGTTGATTTGTGGAAGCGCCTCCCATTGGATTTCTCCCTGGTTTCCCAGCTTTTGAGCCAAGGCAGCCAAGACTATATAGTCTGCAAGCAGCTGATGGTTGGCAATAAGAACCGCCGAAAACGGATCAACAGAGTCACCTTCCACGTCAATGCTGACTCTGTTGAGCTCGCTCAAAAAGATGCAGAGCTTCCAGACCAACATCCCTGCCATTCTCTTGGTGTACTCTGCCAAGTCAGGAAAGAAGACTGAAGCCAACGACAGACCCAAAGATACCATGTGGTACCAGCCACACGCCGTCAGCACTAGCCACAAGGAAACGTAACCACGTGACTTATAGAGAACCAGCTCTATTGTCGGGTTTGGTGCTGCCGAAATGCCCAAGTGTGAAAGAAGCTCCATGGTGGTTTTTTTTGTGGATTGAAATGGCTGCAAAAAACCGGTACTAAGCGCGGCTCCAAAGGTCGAGGGTGTGTGCACCTTATATGCACTACCGTATCAATCGGTCCTACATTTTCATCTCATCGCTGAGATGCCCCATACTATCCAGACATGTCTCGTTTAATTGTCAAGGGTCTCCCGAAGTATCTCACAGAGGACAGGCTCCGGAAGCATTTTGCTGCCGAGGGCAACGTGTCGGACGTGAAGCTCATGAAAAAAAGAAACGGCGAGTCCAGACAGTTTGCATTCATCGGCTACAAGTCATCTGAAGACGCCAAAAAGGCTGCCAAATTCTTCAACAAGACGTTTATCGACACAGCTAGGATTGAGGTTGAAGTTGCCAAAACGTGGGCCGATCCTACGGTTCCCCAGGCCGTCAGAGAAAAGCGAAGACTAGCCGAAAGACGTCTCATGGAGCAGGAAGAAAGACTCGAAAGACAGAAGGAGGAGGCAGAGCAGAGAAAGAGGCAAAAGACGGAAAAGAGATCGAAGCTTGACGAGGAGATCGCTGCCAACCCAAAGTTGAGAGAGTTTATCGAGGCTACAAAGCCTGCTTCTCAAAGACAGTCATGGGCTAACGATGGAGCCGATGGACTGGGTGCTCCTTCCGCAAAAGCTCTAGAAACCGCTTTGGCCGAGCAGGACGGGCCCAAAGTTGATGAGGAAAAGTATAACGTGGCTCAGGCTCGTGAAGCTGCTAGTGACGATGAATATGACGATTTTGGCAAGGACGAGCCTGAAGAGGACGAGCCCATGATGAGTCTCAACGATGTGAAAGACGGTGAGGCGGAAATTGCTGAGGAGGAAGCAGCCGACGACGACTTGGCCAAGGACGAAAACGTCTCGGATCTAGATTGGCTCAAACTGAGAAGAATCAGAATGAAGGAAAACCAGCCTGAGGAAGAGGAGAGCAAAGAGGAGCAGCCGGTCGAGAAGCCCCAAAGAGTTCACAAAGAGCCCGTTCAGCAAAAATCCGAGGCCGAAAAGATCAAGGAAACTGGCCGTCTTTTCATCAGAAACATTCTTTACGATTCTACAGAAGACGACTTCAGAGAGCTCTTCAGCGACTACGGCCCTCTCGAGGAGGTCCACATTGCCATCGACACACGTACCGGAAAATCAAAAGGTTTCGTTTACATCCAGTTTGTCCGGAACCACGATGCCGTTTCCGCCTACAATGCCTTGGATAAGCAGATTTTCCAGGGCAGACTTTTGCATATCTTGGCGGCCGATGCCAAAAAAGACCATCGTCTTGACGAATTTGCATTGAAGAACTTGCCACTTAAAAAGCAGCGTGAGCTCAAGAGAAAAGCCCAAGCAGGTAAGTCTCAGTTCAACTGGAACTCGCTCTACATGAACAACGACGCTGTGCTTGAATCTGTGGCGGCCAAAATGGGTGTTTCCAAGCTGCAGTTGATCGACCCACAAAACTCCAATTCCGCTGTCAAGCAGGCGTTGGCAGAGGCCCATGTTATTGGCGATGTCAGAAAGTACTTTGAAGATAGAGGAGTCGACTTGACGAAGTTTGACCAGAAGGAGCGTGACGACACCACCATCTTGGTGAAGAACTTCCCTTTTGGAACTACAAGTGCCGAATTGGGTGACCTTTTCGCCGAGTACGGCCAGATCAAGCGTATCTTGATGCCTCCTGCCGGAACCATCGCCATTGTGGAATTCAGAGATGCACCAGGCGCCAGAGCTGCCTTCACGAAATTGGCCTACAGAATGTTCAAAAAGAGCATTCTCTATTTGGAGAAGGGTCCTCGTGACTTGTTCGTTCGTGAGCCCGTTGCTGGCGAGTCTGTTGAAGTTGAGAAGCCTTCTGAAAAGGCTGTGGAAGCGAAGATCACCGCAGATGATGTCATGGGTAGCGAGAAGCGTGCTGAAAGCGATGTGGAGGACGAAATCGAGGGTCCTACAGTGTCTGTGTTCGTGAAGAACTTGAACTTCGCTACTACATCCGCCGCATTGACCAACTTGTTCAAGCAAATCCCCGATTTCGTCGTTGCCACTGTCAAAACAAAACCAGACCCAAAGAACCAGGGCAGCGTGCTCAGTATGGGATTTGGTTTCGCCGAATTCAAATCCAAGGATGCTGCTGATAAGGCTATTGCTACTCTCGATGGCTACAACTTGGAAGGCCACAAGATCCAGTTGAAGTTGTCTCACCGCAAGTCCGGTGCCAAAGACACCACCGCCAAGTCGAAGAAATCCAGCAAAATCATCATCAAGAACTTGCCGTTCGAAGCCGCCAGAAGAGACGTTTTGGAGCTTTTTGGCGCTTATGGCCAAATCAAGTCCGTCAGAGTGCCCAAGAAGTTCGACAAGAGCGCCAGAGGTTTCGCTTTTGTGGAGTATACGTTGTTGAAGGAGGCAGAAAACGCCATGGACCAATTGCAGGGTGTTCATTTGCTTGGAAGACGTTTGGTGATGCAATATGCTGAACAAGATAGTGAAGATGCCGAGGAAGAGATTGAGAAGATGACCAATAAGATGAGAAAACAGGCTGCCTCCAGGGAGGTTGCTGCTTTGAAGATGACTGGTAAGGGCAAGGTTTCGCTTGAAGACGACGAAGAGGACCCTTTCAAGGAGTTTTAGGTTATAGATAATGGGATAAACTAAGAGTTTCTACATTGTACTTCTTAAACCTTCATAGATGGAGTCCATGCCGGGACACTAATTACAAGCATAGAGCGCTGTGGCGCCTTCGCAGACTTAGTTCTGCTTCAAGTACGAGGTGACGTCCTTCAACAAATCTCTGTAGGACTGCTCCTCTCTGACCTCAGCGTAGCCAAAGATAAAGTCGGCCAACGAGGAGTCAATGCCCTTGGTGTCCAAGTATTTCTCCACGGAGGCCTGCAAGGACTCATCCAAGTTGGAGAAACGTGGGCCCTGGTACTCAAAGTTGCCCAAGAAGACACCCTTGTCCTCGACCTGCTTCAAGAAAGAGGCAACGTCGGGCTTGTAGTTGAAGTAGTCAACGAAAAACTCCTCCTCGGAGCTCTGCAACATCAAGTTGAAGAACAAACCGTTGTTCTTGGCCTCGTTGGAAACCAACACCTTCACGTTGGCGAAGGTGGAGTCGTACTGGTAGAGCTCATCGTCGAGCTGCTCCTCGGTAGCTCCATCCTCCTCCTCAGGGACCTCAGGAGAGCCGAAGGAAACATCAGTAACCTCGTCAATGTCGAAGAAAACAGTGAGTTTCTCACCGGACTCCAAAGTCTTCAGGAGCTGCACATTGGACTCGCCAGGTTTCTGGATAACCTCGAATCCTGACTCCTTCAAAAACTGCACGTGGTCAGGAGCCAATTCGTTCTCGATGGAGCTGGCAATTTTGTACTCGGACTTCACCACATCAAGCAAAGCGGCGGTGGATTGGTTACCACGGATGATGGAAGATGAAAAAGAACGAGCGGGACCGGCCAAAATAGGCAATCTTCTGGCCATGTGTGGGGCAGCAACTCTGGTTGCCTGGGCAACAGTACGGAGGGAAGCGAAGGCTCTAGACATGATGATTGTTTGTTTGGAGGAACCTGGTGGAAGGAGGAGAAGTTTAATGGTGCGATGATGTATGGCCGTGGGCTGGGTGCAGGACATACACACATTTGCAACCATGCCAACGACAAAGCTTGATAGTGGTGATTAGTGGCGGAGATGTAAATGTAATTTGAAGGTATGTGAAAATGATAGCGAGTGACAAAGCTGAAGCTTGGAAAATAAAAATGTAGCGAATGGACGGCCAATGGCCATGGTGATGCTCGTGGAGTGAATGTGGTGTGGGGAGTCTGCCGAATCCTCAGGATCGGAGAGGGCAACCCTTTAACAGGGGGAAATTATGCAAATCACTCATCCTTGGGAGAGCGCATGGCCCGCAAGAACTCTTGCACGAACAACAGGGAGCGTCTGTAGCGTCTTTCCTGGTATTTTTCGAAAATGGCCTTATGGTGGGTTTCCGCGCTGGAGCACATCTCCATCATGATGCGTGCAAGGGGCTTGAGCTGTTCTTCAGTGTAACCCGAATAGAAAACGTGGGCATCGGTCCAAGAGCCCTTGTTGAGCATCTTACGCAGAAGATAGTGGGCGCCTGCTGCAAGCCATGAAGGCTGCGAGGCGACAAAACGGTGGTCCATGATAGTGATTTCCAAGAAGTACTTGGCGAGTGTACGGGTCTCGTAGTCGTAGTCGTCGGCCTTGGAGGTCCTTCTCAAGAACGACATGGGGCCTGGCCAGCCCATATCAAACTCGAGCACGTCAATCATAAAACGCTCGGCCTTGAGGAAGTCCTCGATGCTGTAGGCATTGTCGGCCATGTAGGCAACCTCTTGCACGGTGGGGCAGTTAATCTCTTCGTATTTGGCGGCAATGAAGAGGGCAACAGCGCCCACAAGCTGGAAACGCAGCAAGGACACCCTGCGGCGACTGAGGAAACGGTCGATGTAGTTGACAGTGAGAAATAGCGTCTCGGGAAGCAAGTTGAAGCGCTGGTGCACCTGCACCACCCAGTCTATGAGGACGCCACGCATCTCCCAGCGCAACTCGTCCTGGTTGGCCATGTAGTTAGCGTCGGCAGCATACATGTGCTCGAGCTCATGCAAATAGTTGAAGATTTCAGGCGCGTACTCGGCCACCATGGTCACGTCGTACGTGTCTTCGTCCAGCTCGTCGAGCGTGGCACGCGAGTACGTCCGCATCACCGCCTGTAGCTTCAGAAAGATCTGTTTGTTCCACTTGGGCTCCTGGGGGCCCTCGTAGTCGGTTGAATCGCTATCGTCGTCGTAAAGTTCGTTTGCAACAGGCTCGCCGTCGGAGTCCTCCTCGATTTCGGCAAAGTGTGACCGCTGGACCTCGTTGTAGCTCTGTGTTTCCAGCTCTGGACTCGCCGATCTGGACGTGGACAACGACATACCTTGCAACGCGGCCGCCAGCTCCAGGCCCGTGGCCGTGTGGGCGTCTGAGCGAATCGGATCAAAGTGCTGGCGTATTAGGCCGTCGTCTGAACTAGGGGCATACGCTGGTTCTAGAGATCCCAGTTTTCGTGATTCCTTGGGCACCCTGATCTCTGGTTTAGCGCCCCTGGTAGCCAAATTCACGGGTAGCTGGCCCAACGGCTTCCTCAATGTGAGGCGTTTGGGAGCTTCAGGCATGGCTGTTCTGTTCTGGAAAGGGGTTTATGGAAGAAGGTGTTCTTGGTTATGGAAACCTGAATATGCTAGAAACAGAACGGGGAAGGCGAATTTCACGGAGATTTCGCGATGCTGGGGTAAATGGGTTGTTTAGAGACGATTGAAACGCTCCAAATAGGGGGTTTTGGGGTTTTGACCAGAAAGAACGTAGGACCTTGTGGTTGAGCAGCTCACACAAAACAAACAACAGGCTCCTGGGGGCTTTGGGCTGTGTGCAGTACCCCCGACATCGAGAGAATGTTTTTACGAAATGGAGGGGTTAGCGGGTGAAATTTATATGGATCGAAAGCTGGAATTGTGGAGAGCACGATGAAGCAGGTTATTTTGTTATACGAGGTGTGTGTCGCCCGCAATGGGTGTGTAGCACCGTAGTGTTTGTTTGTTTTTCTTCGCGTCCAGTGCAGCGCCTAACAGATGAGGGTACCAGGCGGGAGGTTTGCTACCATTTGCAACGCCAAAGAGGGGCTTTGAGGGTTGGGGATTTTGAGAGTTTTGGGAATTTTTGTTTGAAGGAAATGGATTTTTCGATTTGAAAGGAAAATGCTTTTTTACGATGTTTCAAAGGTTGAGGCAGAAGCTGGGATTGGCTGCGAAAAGCAGGGCTGAAAAGTGGCTGAAGGTGAGACAGAGGCTGAATCTGATTTGTTTCAGTAGTGGGAGGAAGGGATGTTATTTGGAGATTTGGGATGAATTTTGGTAGTTTTTCGATTTTGCAAGTCGAAGTAGAAAACATGTTGTTTTGGCGAGGAATTTGTTGAATACTGGGTTTCGGCTGTGTTTGATTTCGGTGATAGCGGTGGACCAATTAGTATGGGTGGGATATGGGATTTTGAAATTCCAAAAATGTCGGGTTTTCGAATCAAAATATTAAAACTGCTTGAAAAAGCAGTGCTAGATCAATGTTAATGTACTTAGGAGGTTTGGTTGAACATTCTATTTTTCAGTATAAGTCGACATTCATGACATGGTATACGACAAGCTTCAGTCAAACGGCAGTAACACATAGCAACCGTTCATTCATTGTTTGGATTTGACAGAGCCAACACTTAAAGTTAGAATATCAGTACCTCCCAATTTCAAAAGGTAATCCCCCTCCTTGTATCAACCTATGTACTCCCTACACTGGCACCTTCCATATCGTATATTCCCGTTAATACATCTTCACATTGACACCATCCATATACCGTAACGTAGCATTGGCCTCCTTCTTTGCAGGATAAGGACTGCCGTCACCTTCCAATGTCTCAAACATCTGAACCAATCTGACAAGCACATACAGAGCTTCCGTAAGAGCAAACTGCTGACCAAGGCAAATTCTTGGACCGCTTCCAAATGGCATAAAGGCCCACCCAATGCGGTTGAGATCGGCCCACCGCTCGGGTCTGAATACGTCTGCATCTTCACCGTAGTGCTTCTTCAGACGCTGAACAGAGTAGATCAGGAAAATGACCCTCGAGCCCTTGGGCACAAATATTGGAGCGTTTCCGTCTTTACCACCGCCACTGGGCAACGTTGTGTCCTTCAAGGCCTCTCGAAGATTCAGCGAAACCGGAGGATATACACGAAGGGTCTCGTTGATCACCCATTTGAGGTAGTTGCACTTTTTGAGAGACTCAAAGGTGATACTATCGAGCTCTTCGGGAGATTCTCCTGTTCCAAACTGCATGAGCACCTCTTCCCTGAGCTTCTTCCACACTTCTGGGTTCCTGGAAAGTTCCGACATGGCCGTCAGGAGAAGTGATGCTGTTGTGGAACGGCCTGCAAGCATGATGTTCAAAAGCTGGTCTCTGATATCCACTGGGTTTCTGGTGTCCTTGACCAATTCATACAAAAACGTGTATCCCTCTCTGGACCTAGCCTCGATTTCCTCGGGCTTAAGCTCCAACGCTCTGTTGACAAAGTTGTCGGTGTAGCTGTGGATGTCTCTGACACTCTTGCGGAACTTCTTGTTGTTGGCGATCCAATAAAAATCAAAGAGGGCCAGTCTCTTGATCATATACGACTGGACAAACGTCAAGGCGGAATTGAACTCGTCCCTTCCCTCAATGTAGTTTTCCTGTGGATCAAACCCGATTGTCTCATCTCTCAAGTCATTGACACTCTCACCGAAAAGAAATTGGGTTCCAGCGTCCAAAGTGAACCGGTGGAACAACAGCTGGATATCGAAGAAGCCCTTGTTTTTGTGGATGTGCCTGGCTAGCATCTGGACGTGCGGCTCGAGCATCTTGACGTGGGAAATCTGCTCCCTGACAAATTGTGGTTTCAACAACGTCCTGGAGTGTTTCCAGTGCTGACCCTCAGATGCAAAGATTCCGTTTCCCAAAAGCGGCCCGAACGCCTGTTTTCTCACGCCAATGCTGAAATCGGAAAACTGCGTCAGGAGCATCGCCTTCATGTTCTCCGGGTTCATGGTGATCATCAACGTGCCTGAACTGGCAGGAATGGAAAGCGACAAAGTGTCAGAGTTGGACGACTCAAAACGAGAAAACATCCGTTCCAAGAGGAAGCCCAGGGCGGTGTCCTTCTGGTGACTAAAAATCTCGGGCACCGTCTGCAAAAACAGCTTGTGGTTTTTGACTGGTTCCGTGTTCCATTTTCTGGCGAGTTGGCGATGTCTGAAGTACTGCAAGGTCCATTTTGCAACCACCAAGAAAAGCACCACCACGAGGATCCGGTCCAGCCGCATCCACGCCGAGGAGTCGAGTAACGTCATATTCAAAAATTGATTAATTGGTTTGGAATGCTGACGGGATCGTCTCTATTTATGTACTCTCCAACTCCGAGCCCTGTGATTTGGTGTTCCCCACATTGGCAGTGCAGGACCCGGAGCGGTTGCAAATCCACCGATACTATCTCCGGTGACATTTGGAATTAGTGGTTTTTTGATAGGTTTTCTGATAGAAAGGTTTTTTTTTATTATTCACATTATTGCAATGTATTGTTTCATAATCCTCGACCGTATGGTTCATAATATCTGTGGTCTCATTGGGTGCATCTCGGAGTACGCATGTTCCATCACCGGACCTACATGAAGAGAAGCTAAGAGTTCAAAAAAGATGTACAATTCGGAGATACCCAAGTCCTTGCACATGAAAAGTCAAACTAAGAGCAAATAAGTCCTTCGGTTTCACAGATCTTTAATATATCCAAGTCATTCAGTTTTACAAATTCTAAAAACATCTCGTTGGCGGATGCATTACTGATGCACCCTAATGTATGTGTCACCTGTGCGTCGCCAAACCTGGATCTTCACCATCTGAGGTTTAAAGTTATTCAAGCAAGATCTTCTTTTCTTCAATGCTTATGCTTCAATGGTCGGCCTCCCGGGCCTTGGCTTCCGATGCAGCGTGCATTCAACAAAGATACCGGTGGCTCAGGTGCGTCTATACTATAGCCTTGGCCTTAGTGGTGAATGTAGGCGGGGCACCGCCTTTTGATGTCAATGTGAAAAGGGAAAAAAGAGCAGATTTATGGAATTTGAGAGATTTTTGAAAAGCCTAGCTCCTATTTCCTGGAGCTCTTAAAATTTGATTTTGTTTGCCCCCAATTGGTCACTTTTACGGGTACTTGCTCTACCACTTGAATCTACTGGTGACCGGATTTATTGTGCCAAGCCGTCTCAGAGAATTGAGTGAAGATGGATGCCAGTTGTGGAGAGGCAATTGGTTGCTCAATTAATGACCCAGCACGATTTTCACACTCGCTGTTTTGGTGAAGTTTATGGAAGGCTAAACTTGATGTACAGTGGCATGAGCTAGGATTGCTGCATTTAACTTAATGCTAGCTCCGGATGACACTACATAATTTGAGACGTCTTGATTGGTTTGTCAAAATCGTGAGATACACGCACTGGTCTAAGGAGAGTTTTAGAACTCCAAGACGAACCACATAATTCCCTTCTGCCCCAGCACTTGAAAAGGGCAATGGAATTGGTTTCGCCGACGGATCGATGACATAATGTGAATTGCAAAACTCTCCACGATACATTGTCGCTCGCTATCCACCCCAACTGACAAGAACAAGGTAGGAAGTCATAGCCACTCTGGTATTGGGTAACTTGACAGAAGCTTTTACTATATAATCTCAGTTTAAAGCTTTTAAAGCTGAGGATTAGGTGAGTGACACCGATCCCGAAGCGACCTTCAATCAACGTCTTCATCAAAAAAAAAAAAAAAAGTACAAGTTGTACTTGAACAAATCTTGGGTTCAAGGTGGTAGGGATAGCCTTTTTTTGGTTTTCCTTTTAGAGCAGACTCAATGCCGTAGGAGGCAAGTGACGAGGTTCACTTTTCCCTGATTCTGCCACATATCACTGGCTTCAAGCTAATTGAGGTAGCCTGGTCTGAATGCACCTTGCTTGGTTTCTATACGCTAACCTCAATAAGATGAAAACTGATGATCTCCCTCACATACTATTAGATTATATAATCGCCTTATTTCTCCATTTCTTGTCTTTTACGAACATCACCGCTTTTGAATACTTGGAATTTCTAAATATCTGCACTCACTCCACAAAACATGCCCTTATACAACTCGCACCGGTTGCAAAAAGTGCACCAACTGCAGCACTACAAACCACTAACCACCCATACCCAATCAAAATATACAAAAAGCCAAAATACACACAAATTCAAACTACACAATTATTTCTTTTATGAATCTCCCAATATAAGCATCTTTCTCTTTTTCGCTATCAACCTCCACCACCGCCTGCCTAGGGTGACTCAGAGTCATCGCGATTTCCATCACCACGGCTTCACTACTACTCCTTCTTCCATGGTCTCCGTCCACGGCGCTGTTGTAGATTCCTTCACACGATGCACCCACTACCATAGTGACGTTGACATTATCGCCATCAAGTTCAAGTGCTGTGGGCTCTACTTTCCGTGTTTCCAGTGCCATGACGAGGTGAGAAGGCATGAGACCAAGAGATGGAGGAAAGATGAGTTGGAGAAGGAGCTGGTGGTGTTGTGTGGGAATTGCAAGAAGGAGTTGACTTTTGGGGAGTATAGCGATGGAGCCAGCCGGTGTGCTTTTTGTAAGGCCAGGTTCAACCCGAAGTGTGCGTTGCATTACGATTTGTACTTTGATTTGGGAGGGTAATACGGTTGATAGGTTGTGGGAGGCTTTTGAGAGATTTTGGAAAAATTCAAAACATTCTTGAATATTGTCATGATCTGAGTGGATTTCAGGTGACCGGCTGGGATGACTGAGGTGAACCGAGATCACCGAGACATCTCGGCTAGTTTCCAGCACTACAGCAATTGAGAAGATAAGATGAAGACCTTTGGCACTTCACATAACTCTTATTGGCTATTTTGGTCAATACTAGGATAATCTGCTTCGGGAAGTTTTGTCGTATTCACAATCGGCACATCTCGGATACCCAAAGTGGAGAAGTCACATTAAGCTCACCCTCCATGAAGACTTTCTTCATTTTGGGAAAATCTTTTCAGATTGTGGGAATCGTCGTCTTTTCAACACCCCAATTGTGCCTATTCTTCGGCTATGACGTGAGCAGAGGTGCTTCGCTTGGCAGAGCCGTCATACACCGGTCTAAGAATTCGAACGAAAACACGGCAGGATTGGCCCAGACGAGGAAATTAATAAGCTAAAACCAGCTGCCACTATTCCATGAATTTGGCTGTTTGCTCTGTTATTCCTCCGAGCCATGGTCCTCATGATGTCTGTGAAAAGTACCAATCGAGGACGGAGTACCAGGAATCGAAGCATTGAAAGCAGATTCACGCGTTGGCTTTCAATGTTCAAACGAGCTACTTCTGAAAGAGTTGAGTCGAATACCTGTGAAGAGCGTGATCCTTACGTGACAAAAGAAGCCTACGGTCTGGAATGGTGAGGCACCTCCAATGAGTGCCGCCAGCTGACACGGCTAATCTCTCGATATTCAAAACTTATTACTGAAAAGGCTGAAATATGCTTTTTATGTCTCCACGAAGCAGGAAAAGCCCCACCCCGTTGCATTCGACTAGATGGTCTATCAATCAGCAGTGAGTATACTCCACCTCCACTTGCAACAACCCAAAGCACAACCATTACATTTCCACTACTTCTCCAACAATGAAGAAAAACCTACTTCACCCTGCAACCGTCCATCCTTATCCACCTTGAAGCCATTCAAGAGAAAAGATTTGTCGTCGCTGACTGGTTTCAAAAAGATCTGCTACAACCTTGCAGTCGAGAAACATACTGTTTGGTGGCAGATAATGAGCACATGCCTTCTTCTCCATATGCTCGCCTTGCTAGCGAAACATTCCCAGAAGCTGAAGGACTAAATCTCCGTCGTTACGTATTCTTGATGATTTCATCCACTGTCATCATATCATTACATCTCAATCCCCACTATCCCAAAATTCCATAAATTTAACTATTGATCCAAAGTCAATTCCCCACCTCCATAAAATTCCATTAATTTAACTATCGACGAGTCAATCCCCCACCTCCATCATCAACGAACAAAAATCGTCTAAATTATGGCCAATGGATACGGTATGCCAAATGGAATCATGACTTTAAGGGAGCCAGGTCTATTTTGGAAAGACCCCTTCAAGTCAATGTCCAACACACTCAAGGGTTCGTTACGTGGAAAGGGAACTTCTTCATCGGAATGTCATCCATGCAAGAAGTCTTCTACATCGTGCTGTGACTCCCCCACCTTATACCGATAAGCTTTGCTATATGTACGTTCAAACTGAGGAAGCTCTCGGTACTTACAACCGCTTTAGTTCCCTTCGATATGCTCGATCATATTTTGAGAATCGACAGAGTTTCAAGGCAGCACCAGGGACACATGATTTTGGTCGGTCCTTCTTCGAGTGGTGAATCAACACTCACGAAATTTGTGGCGTAGATGAATGGTATCAAAGTTCAAATGAGGGTCCACAGAGGATATTCGATTCAAGATTTTTAGAAGCAGCTTGGGCAAGTCCTCTTTGCCTGCCTCAAGAGAGCTTAAAGATGAATCGAGCCTGCTCGAGACAGCCTTCATCCAGCGGATGAACACCTTACTTGAGAGGTACCAGGCTTACTTGAAGGGGAAGAATGAGTATACAGGGAAGGGGCTCTTGGATAGCGAAGATGAGCTTTACGCCTGGTTCACCGAAGCGAGCACCAATTTACATGTGGTCTTCACACTCAGCGATGTTGGCCATGGAAATAATGCAAGTGAACTCCTGCTCTTTTCAACAGATGCGTTCTTAACTGTGTGACGGGACGCAAAGGTCACTTGAGGAGATCTAGCGTTTTTGCTCCAAGATATTGCATTAGACATCTCAACTTACGAGCCGCCATCCGATGACAAAACTGACCAAACCCTTCGGTGCAGTGGTCAGTGTGTGTCAATTCGTCTATCTAACGACGCCTATCCGAATCAGTTTATGAGATTCTTGCAGCTTACTATCGATTTGAACAACCAGCGAACTAACTGTTAACCAAAGACATATTTAGTTCGATCTCTTTCCATGGGTCAATCCCCCACGGCTGCAAATCCTCCACCTTCACCCCGTCGAAGTGTCCGTTTCGGCGCCGTCTACAAAAACCCACCCCGTCGCCGCCGCCTCAGCCTCCCGTTTTCTGTCCACCTCGTCCCAGCATCGCCATTGCTGCGGCTCCTTCGCTTCTTTGCAGCCAAGCTGTGCCTCTTAGGCCGCATACCCAAATAGCTCGATAGCCGAGTTGCAGTGAAATTTTGGTTTCCGATTTGGCAACCCAATTGAGCCAAGTGAAGAAACCAGGTGAAGAAATCAAATAAATCTTAAATTCATAAATCCAATTAGTCTACGTCGGTCTGTGTCCTGACGAGGCTGCGGATCTGAGCCTCATCTTGCCGGATCTCATCGCACAGAGGAAACCGGCGACATTTGATTTTGGCTTCTTGAAACAAAATCACAAACTTCACTGAATCTCCACTAATTCTTCACCAACCACCGGATTTCTTTTTCCGCCTACGGCCACAAAGCGTGGTGTCTGGTTCTGTCACGAAATAGGCAGTGCGGATTCGCAACCTATACTACCTACTGCCACTCAGCCTCCAATCACGATAAGCGGGATATAAGCTGATATAAGGAGCCATTTTCCAGAAAGTAGAGGCGTGCTTTGTCGAGATTAGCCTTACGCAAAACATCCATCCTATCAGAAAAACAACTACTGTTTTCTCCATTCCACAACTACCTGGTCATCAGAATCACCAATTGCCACACCACTTGCCACACCACCCTTTCCAGTCGAAATGTCCAAAACCTCCGTCATCGTGTCCAACTTGACAAAACAGGACTTCGTCAGCCAGAACTCCAAGCTCGCCGTGAGCGACCAGATCAAGTTGGCCGTGCTCAACCTCCAGAGCGACGAGTTTCCTGATCTCTTGCCTCTCATCACCCACTGGCTGAATCTTCCGTTCTTGAACAGAATCGTCATCATCTTGCACAGCGAGGAGGCGGCGTCGTTTGTCCACGATTTCTTGCAAAAAGCCGTTTCGGGCGAAAACGACCTCAGGTTGCCCTCCACAGCGAAACTTCTGCTTCAGGAGAACCTCTTGCAGACCTCCAAGCTGTCCGACAACTTACAAGATACCAAGGATCTTGATGTCACTCACTCCTTGGAGAGATTCAGATCGGCCCATGCCTCTGGCGACTACAAGGAGCCCGAGCCTCAGAAATCGCCCAAAGCGTCGCCCAACTACGAGGCCTTGGACCTCAAAAAATTGGGCATTGAGCTGGGAGACGTGCCTCCCACGCCGCCCTTGGAGCGTTCGAGATCGGTGACAAGAACGCTTTTCAAGCCGTCCTTGAAGCTCAACACATCTGGCACGGCGCCCAACGACGCTCCTGCCTCGCCAACGATCACCCTAGACGAGAGCTAAGCGGGGTGAATAAAGGGCACGAGTTGGCCCAAGTGGAGGTCCCCGAAGCCATTAATTGGGATCAACTTGGTGCTGAGTTGCTCAACTATGGGTGTACTGGCATTGCAGTTGAATTAGCAGGACGGTTTCGACACTGATTCGATGAATTCAGAATCACTGCGTTCTGAGAGTGTCTTGAATGGGATCCACTGAGGCTCGAGAAGCCCTGAGTCTAGAGTGCTAGTTGATTCGAAGATCATTGCTCAATTGTAAGGAACTCAATTGCTGTCAGGGCACTAATGGACGAAAAGCCGCCACGGCCTGACAGCCCAAACACATCAACGTGAATCTGTCTTCGTTGACGAATGCACTCTAGCTCCTCGGCTTTGACTCCCCCCTCGGAAAACCCGACAGATTTCCGCCGATTGCGCTTCCCCAATCGTCAATCATCACCATCTAGTCGATCTTCTCACCTCTTAATCTGCGATCGTCAAATCCTCACGTCTTCCAAAGCTTCCATTGGGAACTCGCTCAAAACCATTCCCACGGCTACAAAAAAGGCCCATCGCAAATAGCAAAATCGAGCCATTCAAACTGCCCAGTCTACGCTTCCATTCTTCAAAGAATATCGTCTTCTTTGACGAATAGGAATAGCAGCTAAGCCCGGAAAAACCACCGATTTCGGCGTCCTGAGCGGTTTTGCAACCGAGTGCACGTGATCCCCACCCGACATATATTCCAGAATCTTGCGCCCCCATCTTTCACATCTCCATCTTCTACAATGGCTGTGAAAGGACTCGGTGAAGTTGACCAAAAGTACGACGGTTCCAAATTGAGAGTTGGTATTCTCCACGCTCGTTGGAATGCCAAGATCATCTCGGCGTTGGTCGAGGGTGCTATCCAGAGACTCAAGTCGTTTGGACTTCTGGAGGAGAACATCGTCGTGGAGAGCATTCCAGGCTCTTTCGAGTTGCCTTACGGTACCAAGCTCTTTGTTGACAAACAGAAGAAGCTCGGCAAGCCATTGGACGCTGTGATCCCCATCGGTGTCTTGATCAAGGGCTCCACCATGCACTTTGAGTACATCTGTGACTCTGTGACCCACCAATTGATGAAGCTCAACTTTGAGTTGAACCTTCCTGTGATTTTCGGTGTTTTGACGTGTCTTTCTGACGAGCAGGCCGAGGCCAGAGCTGGTCTTATCGAGGGGAAGATGCACAACCACGGAGAGGACTGGGGTGCTGCCGCTGTCGAGATGGCGTTGAAGTTCCAGGTCTAGCCGGTTGACGGTCTAAGAATCAGGTCTAGTTAAAATAAAAGCATTACGAGGAGATTTCTGTAGAGGATGTGGAGATTTGAAGTTGTGAGGTGAGAATGGGGTGTTGAATTTGGTGATTTCAGGTCAGTAGGATTGAAAATTTCATCCCAAAGTCTTCAATTTCTGACATTCATGCCCATCGTTCAATATTGAGGTGACAGATGATGGCTGCGTTCAATTGATCCAAAGATAGGAAGCTCTCGGTTAGCGTTATTCTGAAGTGGAGCCTTTTTGTCATTTGCAGCCGTCTTGGCCAGCAAAGCCCCATTGAGGCCATAAAGGCTCACACGACTTGAAAAATCTGCTGATATTCAGCGGTCACTTCTTACAAGGGTCTTCTGGTAGAGCTCGTGTGCACCTACACCAAGCCGTTTAGTTAAAAGGGACAGGTTACGGTCAGGAATCCAAAAAATGCAGTTCGAGATCTCTACCAGCAAAAAAATACAGTACATGTCTGAACAGAAGTTGTCAATTTGAAAGGCTTATTATATAAATACCTGTAGGTGTGTGACCAATTGTGGTGGGAAGCTCTCAGCATGAGCTTCATTGAAAAAAAGCCAACGTGTCATGAAAAGCTCAATTGAGGTGTTGAATGAAGAGAAGGATGAAAAGCTCAAACCTTTCGGTAGTGAAAATTCGATTTCCTCTGCAAATGATGCTTTCTGGTAATGCTCGTGTGCAATCAAATGATACCTGCTTTTTCATGGAAACACACCATGGTCAACTTTTTAATACCTAGTCAGCAACTGAGCCACAAGCTTATCCACAAGTAGATCACGAAATTATCAAATGCTACTTGACGCTTTCGGAAGCTACAGTACCTCAATGCGGTATATGACCAATGGTACCAGCATCCCCAAGTGTCCATCTTTCTCAACCTATAATAAAAAGTTTCGCTCTCATAAACTTCAATTGCCGTTTTTTCCTCAATTCCTTTTCTTCATTAACCCTCTTCCATTTCATAAGTACCCTTTCCTCATCACTATCTACCTCTCCACTTCTCGCCGGATGTCACCAGACTAATTTTTCACCCAGAGTCGACAACCACCAAACCCATGAAACAAGATTTTGAATAGAAAAAGCCAAAATCACACATTTCCGTCACCTCAAGAAACGAATCCAAAATAAAATTCAAACTTATTATACTACCACCTCCACAATCTCCCACCTTGAACGCCTTGCTTTGCTGGTTTCGCAGCCGTACGAAACCGCCAAAACTACCCCACCAAAAACACAAAAACAACCAGAAAATCACCAAAACAACCAAAATAACAAACCCTCCACCCCCTACAGCCTCAAATCCGCCAAAATCTAACCCACAAATCGCCGGGCAGCCCGGCCCCTCCAACTCCGAAAAATCACCACGTCACGTGACCACACCCACCTACTCAATCGTCCATCGTCGAATTCTCCTCCATCCACCATGACTTGTATGTATCAAACCCCCCACCTCCCCACCAGCCACTAACCGCAGTCCGCCTTCTTGACGTGGCCAAGTTCTTCACGGCGTTTGTGCCGGAAATCGAATTCCCCGATGAAGCCATTTCTCTAGATGAAAAAGTCATCTACACCATCGGAGCAGGCATCATCTTCGTGTTGGCCCAATTGCCCACGTACCTGCTTGTCAAGGACGCCTCGCAGGCTATGGCCGACCCTTTTTCCACCTTGAGGCCGCTTTTCGCCATGGAGCAGGGCACCTTGTTGGAATTGGGTCTTTTGCCTGTGGTGCTTTCTGGATTTATCTGGCAGTTGGCTGCTGCTGGCAAGTTGCTCAAGGTCAACTTCAACTATGCTTACGACAGAGAGTTGTTCCAGACGGCGCAGAAGGTCACGGCCGTTTTCTTTGGCGCTGTTTTCGCCTTGGCTTTGCTCTTCCTGGGCTACTACGACAATGTCATCAAGAACTACACCCCCGGCGGCGAAAACTCGCCCTACGGCGCCTACGTGTTGATTTTCTTGCAGACGGTCGGCACCACGTTCTTTTTGACCTTGATTTCTGAGGTTATCGACAAAGGTTACGGCTTTGGCTCTGGTGTGTTGTGCTTCATTGCTTTGCACGCTGCTTCGGGCCTTGTCAGAGACGTGGCCGGTTTGGAAATGGTCTCTGCTGCGCCTGGCGAGGCTCCTCAGACCTACGGTGTCGTCACCTCCTTGGCCAAAACCCTCGTGACCTTGGACTTCGGTGCCATCAAGACCTCCTTGGTGGGCTTGTTCTTCAGACCCAACTTCCCCACCATCGGCTCCGTTTTGCTTGTTTTGGCTGCTGCCCTCACCACCATCTACTTGCAGAACTTCCGTTTCGAGATTCCCGTCAGATCCAACAGAGCCAGAGGTGCTGCTAACGTGTACCCTCTCCGTTTGTTCTACACCGGTGCCTTGCCTGTGTTGTTTGCCTTTTCCGTGCTTGCCGCTGCCCAAATCACCCTCTACTTTGTTTCCGTGTTTGTGGCTCCAGTGAACCCTCTTGTGGCTTCCATTGTTGGCTCCTACGCTGAGTCCGGCAAGGTCCAAAACGGCATTGCCTTCTACTTGACCGCTCCTTCGTCCGTGGTTGAGTCTGCTTTCTCGCCAATCAGAGCCGTGGTTTTCTCTACTCTCGTGGTGGTTTTGTCTGTCTCTTTTGCTAGAACCTGGGCTTTCTCCTCTGGCTCCTCTCCAAAGGATATCGCCAAACAGTTCAAGGACCAGAGCATTGTCATTGCAGGTAAGAGAGACGCTTCTGTCGCCAGGGAGTTGACCAAAACCGTCTCCAGTGCTGCCACCACCGGTGCTGTTCTTTTGAGTGCTGTGGCTCTTACCGGAGAGTTGCTCGGTTCCTCCGGCAAGACCGTGGCTGTTGTTGTTGGAATCTGCTCTGCTTTTGCCGTTTTGGAGGACTTCATGATGGAGTTCCAGCAGGGCGGCGGCTCCAACTCCCAGCTTGTCAACGCCATTGCTTCCTACCAGTAAGCTGGCTGGCCTTCGATAGGCAGAGACTCATATTAATAAAATAGCAAAGACGTGTGTGTAGTGGGGAGCGTCGGAGAATTAGAATTGAGATTTAGATAGTACTGCTAGTAATTGAGGTCTGTAATATTTCACCTGAGCTTTTCACCTAATGAGTAATCACCTACTGAGTATTCACCTACAGTTTTTCACCTCAATTCTATAGATAAGTTCACTATGATGCAATAATTAGGAATACAAGAAGGTACAATAGACATTATGATTCCAAAGCCGTGTTCTCCTTATTAAAGCCTTTTTCGGTTCATAATCAATAAATAGAGGTGTCTACCTCACCTCTCAATCTGTATATGTTACTGGATTTTTCACCTCAACAATAAGCTACCTACTGTGATGCAATAAATCTATGAAAGAAACCAAAGGCTTTTCAAAAACTCAGTACAATGCTTTCCTAATCAAAATCAAACTTTAAAGCTAAACGGTATATTTTATTGTCCTTCTAAATCAAGGTGGTCTTCTTCACCTATCTATATACTGGCGCATTTCGCAGCCATTAGATACCACAGACCATCCATACAATTCCACCACCAGAGCCGTGAATCACTCAAAAAGCATAAATTCCCAAAATCTACCCCTCAACAACCCAGAATTAAAAAAACTGAAATAACTTCAAATGTCCCCTCCCCACTTCACCACCCTCCAATTCGCGCTATCAAATCCAACATCAACTACACTCTTTTTCCTAAAACACCACATATCCCCATGAGAGCGGTCATCCAGCGCGTGAAAAGAGCCTCTGTGACTGTCGACGGCGAAGTCGTTTCGTCTATTGGCAAAGGCTTGGTGGTTTTCGTGGCAGTCAAGAAAGGCGATGTCTGGGACGAATTCAAGAAGTTCTCTCTGAAAATCGAGAATCTCCGTATTTTCGACGACGAAAACGGCAAGATGTGGGCCCGCAGTCTCCGCCAGCTCACAGACCACGAATTGCTCCTCGTGTCCCAGTTTACGCTATACGGCGACATGAGAAAGGGCACCAGGCCTGATTTGCACCTTTCAGCGAAAGCAGACGAGGCTAAGGCCACGTATGACCGTTTTGTGGAGACGTGTCGGGGTCTTTTGGGCAAGGAGCGTGTCAAGGACGGTGTTTTTGGCGCCATGATGGACGTGGAGTTGGTGAACGATGGCCCTGTCACATTGACCTTTGATGGATCTGATTAGAGGGAGGGAGACTAAGAAGGGATGAGAAGATGATGAGTTTTCGAGGACAAAAACACGCAAACCATATCCTAAGGGTGGATTCGATCCTGAAAGGGCATATGAAATGCTCATTGGTTTAAGTGGGACGGTCAAAAGCACCTGTTGTCTGATAAGAACTTATTGAGTCATTGAACTATCCAGATCCTGGTGAATTTGGAAGCTCCACGAGATTGATAACCTTTAAGTTGCCCTAGGGTTACGATGTTCCAGCAAGTCTGGTCACCTAATGATTCCATGGAACCCTCCGATGAATGGCTCATCTCAACAACTCACAGAAGTATACTTTCTTGACATTCGCTTTGGTCCATTTCATCACATCAAGATATAACAAAAGAAGATACTGTTCTTCCTACACAGCTCCACACCATAACCTATTATTACAAGGCGGGACCGGCCCGCTCACAAAGAATCCTTCTTATACGGCGCAATCCGCCTCTAATATACATATCTAGACTGTGCTGGGGGTGCACTCAAACACCAGGCCGTACAACCCCGACTGGTACGACAAGACAATACTCTGGATGGTGGCATAAAGACCCGGGCCGAGAATGTAAAGACCCATGATGATCAAAATGACGTTGGCAATGAACTCGAGCTTGACCCACCACACCGACGTCTTAAAAAGCTCCACAAAGCTCACGCCAGGATTGTGATGCTTTTTAAGGCGGAAGTACGCCACGCCCCAAAAGACAAAGCCGAACCAGCAGTCGAAAAGCGACGACATAAGCGAAAGCAAGTCGGAAAAGAACGGAATGACTTCGGCGATAATGAAAGCCACAACCCAGATCAACCCGTTGAGGCCAATCCACACCGACCAGCCGAGCACGGTGTGGTCCTCTCTGTTCTTGTCGCCCTCCTTGAAAATAATAAGGAAGAACCACTGGGAGGTGACGTTCGAGTACAAGGAGCCCAAGAAGAGAATGGTGGGGAGCGCAAACGAGTAGGCGATTTTCTTGTAATTGCCCACAAGAGAGCCAAATGCCGGCGCCGTCATGTACTTGTTGCCGACGTAAACGTAGACAATCAGACCGGCAAGCGCAAAAGTGATTAACTCGCACACCGTCACCACCCACAAGGCCTTCTTGAAGTCCCTGGGCCGCTTCATCTGCGAGATAAACGAAGGGTACGTGATCTGGCCCACAAAAGTGTACACAATGTTCAACATGGCGGACATGCCCTGGACGTAGGTGGTTCCCTTGGCTGGCCAGAGGTTCCATTCCACTGGGGTGCCATCAAAACCGGCTGGATGGTCCTGAACTCCGGCAAAAGACATGGAAAGCACCACCGAGACAAACATGGTGATGGCGGAAACGTACGCCACGCCCAGCATGGACGAAAACGTCCGTGGAAGCGAAAACAAGAAGCAAATGACCGCACTCACCACGGCAAACACAATCTGGCAGATGGTGCCGCTCTGGCCGGCGTAATTGTCGGAGATTGTGCTAAAGTACTTGGCTCCCACGAGCACGTGGAGCGCCAGAATCAAGGTGTTGTTCAAAATGAACGCCACGGCGGTAAGGTACCACACTGTTCTGGAGTTCCAGAAGATATGCTGGCCCACGTCACACACGGACGTGATTCCCGGGTACGTGATGCAGTAGTCTGTGATGATGCAACCGGTGTAGAGGCAAATGAGGGAAATGCCAGCGGTGATGATCAAGCCGGGAACAAGACCCAAAACCGAGTAACTCCATGGGAACGACATGATGGCAAGGCAGATGTACTCTGAAAAAAGCAACCCTGCTGTTTTCTGCCACAGGCAGTTCTGGTAGTTGATCACAGGCGCCTCCGCCTCGGAGAGCCTTTCCCAGTCTTCTTCTTTTTTATCGAGTAGCAGCAGCATGGGTTTTTTTTTTTGGAGGTGGGAATGCCTCTCTTTATATCTGCTGCATGGTCTGCACCGGCCTCTGTGCCTGGACAGATGCAATAGCTGTCCATTTTGGGAAATTTCGAAGAAATTAAAAGTCGATTTGCATTTGAATGATGAGGTGATTTTTAATAATTTGGGGAAATACAGATGTTCTGGGATTTAGTTGAGTTCGACAATGCTATCACCCACTGGCTTCTGGAAACCAGCTGCGGCTGGATGCGTCATTACGATCACATTCCTCGTGGATATCCTGCCACACTGCGGCTTTCTAATTTGAATTAAAAAACGCCGGCCTCGTTTTGCGGCCCCGTTTTGCGGCCTCGTTTCGCCGTTTTCTTGCTACGCAGGGCGTCCAAAAAAGCATCTCATCTTGCGCCAACGGTGGCCTAATTGTGGCTCGATTGCGTTTTCGCAGCCGTTAGTGGGGGAGCCGAATCAGCACTATCAAGCTTGATGGAAGGCAGCAAAAATGGCAGGCGACAAAAATGGTAGGCGACAAAAAAGGCTGAAGAATCGTGGATTCGTTAATTTTAAATGACATTTATTCGTGGATCGTCTCGACGGCTTGGCATGTCAATGTCAGCTTGCTTTTCTTCGCTCGGCGTTATTTTCGGGCACTGCCCAGCATCCACAAAACGGCTGAATCACAAGGAACCTTTTTTTTTTTTTTTTTTTTGCCCCTGAGCATTTTCCCTTTTGCTTAATTTCCTCGTATTGCATTTCCCGTAAAAGCTTCTTCCGCCCGTTTGTCTGGACCCGCCGTGCATCTGGGCGTAGCAATTAAAGAAGCATTGTTTCGGGATTCGGCGCTCGATGAACAAGGCTCTGTTTTTGGGCGTGGAAAAAGTGTGGAAAGTTGCCAGGAACGGGCCAGGAACGGGGGAGGTTTCTTGAAAACTGAAAAATGTGGAAATTGTGGATTGCAGAGGTGAGCAGGATGCCTTGGTGACTTTTAGGTTTTCGCTGTTTTCTTTTCTTTTTAAGCTTTCTCGTCGACGGACCCTGAAGCTTCTTCGGAACGGGCGCTTCCGACGGCCCGCCTTGACTTTTCCTTCCACAGTTTGTCGTTTCTGCTGGTGGTGTTATCGATGCCGCGGTGACGTCATTGATGGTGGGGCCAGCGGCGCCGAGCGGGGCACTCAGGAACCGGTCCCTCAGTTCAGATCCAATAATCCAATTAAATTTATGATTTCAAAAAAGAATGAAAAAAAGTGTCAGGCTCATTCGGGGTGGCTTGTGCTTACGTAATGTGTCATTCATTGGGTGCTGGTTCTCAGTGGTACGCTTATCGGCTTCCAGGCACCCAGACCAATTTGTGTTCGTAAAACCCGCTTTATGTGTTCAATTATGGAATCATAGCGTTCTCGTAATCGGAAGGTGACTATGCCTGCTTGAGACTGACAAAAAATGATAGAAAACTCTAGTGGCTGCAAATTCGAACAATCGTACACCGTAGTTTACGTACATGCTTCCCTAGTGTTTAAGACTGTCGCTTAATACTAAAGACGGAATTTGTGGCGTCAAAGTGAATGGAAGTGATAAAAAGGGTATGCAGATCATCCGGTAGCCCCAGGAAGCTGAGAAGTTCTTCTTCATGATATGCATCGAAGGTTCTTCGTTAATTTGACTACAATCAGTGCCATTGGGATAAACACTTAACATTTTTTTTTATTTATGAATCACTAAAAACAAGTCGTACTAGCAATTTGCATAATGCCTCTTTTTGAATACCTTATTCATAATTGGATTGCATTACCTGGTGGCCTTTTGAATCTGAAATTGCCCTAGCTTCAAAACTGACTCTGCCACTAATCCCCAATCATCACTTCTCCTTTCCAGAAACAAAACTCTTGATCCCTCGTCTCTCTGTATACGGCGGCGGCTGGCTTTCCGCAACAAGATCCACTTTTCTTCCAATGGGAATGTAAAAAAAAGTCGACAAATTGTGATCGGTCTTTTCTTGCGTTTGGTGAACCCTTATACTAATGCACACGCTATACGCTCGATGAACGGTATTCGAGAGAACCGAAGGAGGAACATCGGGGATTCTGCAGTTAAGAAAGCTGTCGGGAAGTTGCAAAACCCGCCATTTGCCTTTGGATGAACCCATGTGGTATCGAGTTTTGGTGGTCGTCTCCTTGATCGTGGTGTGTTTCATCCTCGCTACCTGATACCCTTTGGCAGATTTTGTAGTTGTTCGTTGTAGAAGCTCCACCCTTATACGTTTTATGTAAATGCATTCGTTCAACAGGGTGCTTTGGTGGAGTTTGAGGGTGATTAATTCGTAGAGAAGCTTCCCGGGAGAGGCTTGTCTTCCTTTGATCTTGCAATAGCTGAAGTTGAAACTCGGGTCATTCAGCTTGTAGTATTCCGTGAACCAGGGAACCTCAAATACTGTAGCAAATCTTGAGAGATGGAAGTTTTCTTTGCCAGTATTGCCCAGACTAGCTTCCTCAACTATCCAAGCTCCTTTAGAAGGAGCTAGCAGAAGCCCCAGACTCTCCTTCTCACTTCCAGAGCACCAGTCTAGAAAAGACTTCTTTCTCTTCAAAAAAGCGTCTGGAAGGAAAACACTGCTTATCACCATGACAGAATCGCCCATAGCGGTGGCACTTACATGATAACCGAAACTGTTGGAATGCACCTGTTGAAGCCGTTTTGCCATTATAGATTCAACATCGGTCATTATGAACGGGGATAAATTCACCTTTTCAAGTGACAAAACATCCTGCCTTTGTTGGACTTGGTCTTGGGGCTGAATCCCTGATTTGCTGTCGTTGATTGCAACATCGATATCTATAAGCGTGGAAAACTCCGAACGACAGCTGTTTTCTGAGTGACATTCACATGTTATCTTGATTTCGAGTGCATAGGTTCTGGAGCAAGTCTCCGAATGAAACGTGGGTCCGATGTTGGGAAGGTTGCAGTCGTACATGGCGTTCGTGAAATCAGCGACAAAGACGGTACCTTGGGGTTTGAAGTTGGACAAGTTGAAAGCACTGTTATACTCCTTATCTCTTAGAGTGCTTGTTCGAGTGTTCTCCTGGATGCCAAAGCCTTTCAACTGCGGTACAATGCATCTGGTGGTTTCTTTCAAATTAACCACCACTCGCCTAAGTGAAACTTCTGCTTGGCAGCGACAGAAATAAGTATTGGTTTGGTTCAATCGGATTTTAAAAAATTCAGAAATCTTGGCTCCTGGAGACACGACGTTAAGGAGTCCTGAGGCAGAGAAGAGGCTCGTTCGGTACGATGCAATCATCTTAAGATAAACGGCACCATCATTGTTAAACTCGTATTCTCTGTTTTCGACTTTGTGTGTCACGCCAAACGCAAGAGGAACCCTGTCGTCCATGGACTGAAAACATTGCATTTCCCACACATGCGTTCTTGTCCAACTAGGATTGGGCATCATTAGAAGCTGGTTTGGTTTGATGACAGAGGACAAGAGACGAACTTTTCCGTCTTTCATGTTTGGGCCCTGTCCAAAATCCTGAACTCCTTCGATTTCTCTGGCGTTCTTGATAGCAGATAAACTATCTGTTTCGGCTTTGGGCAATTCTCTCAAACGGAGAATGGTGGCTTTCCATTGCTTGCCCTTCACCCATGAGGTGTAAGAGTCGTGAGAGACATAGTTTGAAGGATCTTTCTCTATTTCAAGTGCAACAAAATCGTTGCAAGTGTTTTCGCCAATGTGATAGATAGTGTTCATTTTTTTGATACGTGAGAGAAATGGAGAAGAAGGGGAGAACGAGGCCTTTTAAGCGATAGAGTACCGTCACCAAAAAATAATTATGTTGCGCTTCGGCGAAGGAAGGAAGCTGCATTATGATGACCAGCTTTTTAACGGCGAACTTCCCGATGATCGCTCCGTTTTGCTGACAATGATTCAATTGGTTTGAGGATCTGAGGGTAGAGTTCTGAAAGGGAATATCCGAATATGCTTTATTGCAGTCATAAGAAGCTACCTGCCAGTGATAAGGGCTTTACCGTGAGATCGTATGAAAATTTGTTAATCTGAAAATATGAGTATTGTATTTGCTTTTGAGGTGCTAAAGTATTAGGAATCGTCGGTGCTGCAGAATCCTGAATGAATTACCACTTTGGTGCTTCTCATTGAATGGCTGCAAATTGTGTAAGGCAAGCAGAGAGGCTCACAATTGGCTCCCTTTCTGAATATTGTTTCAGAAACTACGAAGACAACGAGAGTCCTTGGACCATATAGCTGGAAAAACGGAATAAATTGAATGGGTATAAATCGAAGTAATCAACCATAAGGCCCAAACACACTCTGAAGGCATTGTACGGAAGTGTTAGTGGAAACCAGAATACCCAGAAATCAACAAACAAAATAATAACAAAAACCCAATGCTCATTAAATCCATACAACTAGATCTGCTGTTTGTTCTCGACAAAAAGGTACCAATGTGTCCCGTGTAATTGTACCTCCGGATTCATCTTTAAATCAGGCCACTACAGCTTTAACCACATTGCTTCAAGTTCCCCATCTGAATAAGAGACATTGCAGCTCTTACTTGCCCTCCATGGAATCAGAGCGACTCCTCAGCAGATTCAAAACTACTACCCCCTTCAGTCTCACTTTCTATGGTGTGATACGGCGGCGGTTGGCCCTTAGAAAGAAGATCGCCTTTTTTTCCTATGGGCAATTCAAATAGAGTGCACGCATGGTAGCAGGTGTTCTGCTCTGAACTCTTCACTTTTACACTTACACACACAGAATAAGCTCGATTCATGGTGTTCGAGAGTAATGAGGGAGGAACATCGGGAATTTCGCAATCGATTAAGTCATCGGGAATTAGTAATACTCTGTCCCTGCCTTTTCTTTTAACCATGTGAAATCGTGTTCTAGGTTCCATCTTTTGTAGATTCCTGTTGTGAGTCTTTAAAACCTGTTTCCCTTCGGAAGTTCTGTGTGTTTCTTGCGTTTGAAGCTCGACATTAACATTGACTACCTCAATGTACTTATGCAACATAGTATCGTCGTAAAGTTTGAGGAAAATCAATTCGTTGAGGCACATCCCAGGACAGGCTAGTCTTTCTGGAGTAATGTGCTCGCTCAAACTGAAAGTGGAATATTCCGGAACGTAGCTTTCCAGAAAAAAGGGATAGTCAAAAACTGCTAGAAACGCTGATTGAAGGAAAGTTCTTTCACAAGTAGCCCTCCCTCCAATTTCCAACCTTCTTCCGAGGGAAATAGACGGAGCTGCTGAGCAGCGTCGTTTTTTTTCACTCCAGGACGCCAACCGGAAAAAGACTTTTCTTTTATGTAATCTCCTGGGAGAAAAACGGTAGTAAAGACGACAACAGAATCCCCATTGTTGTGGCACTTGCATGATGGCCCAAGCTGTTGGAATGCACTTGATGAAGCCACCTTGCCATTAAACTCTCAACTTCACTCAATATTGAAGGCGATAATTTTGCCATTTGAAATGACAAAAACTCCTGGCTTTTTACAACCTGTTTTGGGGGCATAGATCCGAATTATCGTCGTCGATTGCGACGTCGATATCCATAAGCGTGGAGTATTCTGAACGACAACTTTTCTTTGAATCACATTCAAATATCATTTTCACCTCGAGAGCGTAGGTTCGGGAGCAGTTCTCCGAATGAAAAGTGGGCCCGATATTTGGGAGTTTACAGTTGTACATATGTTTAGGCAACAGACGGGTGAAAACAGCATTTTCCAATTTGAATTTCGAAACATCAAGAACACCGTTATTTTTTGTATCTCTCAAAGTGGTTGTTAGAGTGTCCTCCTGGACGTCAAATCCTTTTGACCGTGGCACTATGCATCTTGTGATTTCCTTCAAATTGACGATAATATGGTTTAACGACACCTCTCCTCGACAGCGACACAAGAAAGGACTTGTTTGATCCATTTGAAAAGAAAAAAACTTCGATAATTTAGCACCTGGTGACACTACATTGAGGAGTCCAGAATTCTCGAACTTTCTGGTTTTGTAGCGTGCAATCACCTTTAGATTCACGGTCCGATCATTACTGGAAATCTTTTCGAACTCATACTGTCTTTTTTCGACTCCGTGTGTCACACCGAACTCAAGAGGAACCCTGTCATCCATGGAATGAAAACACTGCATTTCCCATTCACACTCTAAATTCAAATCAATATTAGGCATCACTAGAGCCTGCCTTGGTCGAATGATAGACGACAAAAGGCGAATCCTTCCATCATTCAAGTTTGGACATTGTCCAAAATCCAGTATTCCTTCGACTTTTCTAGCTTTTTCAATAGCAGAAATGTCCTTCCCTTTGGATTTGGGTAGCTTTTCAAAACGAACAATGGTGGCTTTCCACTGCTTGCCTTTCACCCATAACGTATGAGAATCGTGAGATACGTAGTTTGAAGGATCTTTTTTTATTTGCAGAGAAACAAAATCGTGGAAGCTGTCTTGGGGTTCGCCAAGGTGGTAGATGAGACTCATTCTGTGAAATCGTGAGATATCAGGAGTTGAGAGGGCAATTTATGACTGGTTGCCAAAAAATAATAATGTGCCGCTTCGGCAAAGGTCAGCGCTTTACTATTATTGCCAGTTACTCGAGGTCCATATTTTAATAACCTCGTAAAATGCCTTTTGAAGCTGAATGTATTTTGAACCGGTCTCAAATGTTAGGTCGTGCTGCTCTAAGAAAGTAATGGTGAAATGCTTCATGAACATGTCTATGATACCTCGTCAGACGAGTGCTTTGGGAAACTGAAGAAAATAGTAAATTTTACTCTATTTAATGGCTGCAAATGAAACTGCAAAACAAACAAAAAAAAAAAACTACATGCGGTATAGTTTTACAGCCTTTTGGTGATAGCATTCTATTCTACTTTCAAGTATCATCCTGAGGGAGCATCATTCTACGCCGTCCAACAGTTCAATTATACGCCTGGCATCATCTCTCCTTTTGGTTGATAGGAAGTTCCACAAAACGTGTCAATTCTTTGACCATTTCGGGATTCCACTCAAAGAACAGGATATGGATTTTCACACTGTAGGTTATATGGACAGAACTAGATAGTAACGAAGGAGGAACATCTGGAATTCTGCAATTGAGCAAAGCGTTGTCGAGTCTCAAAAATTTACCCGTTGTATTATCCAGCTTCCCATGCGAACTCCTCCACAACTTGATGCGTTTTTTGCACAAATTGATGCTCTTCTTCTTTTGAGCCTGGGATCCGTCGACAGTCCTTTGTGTTGTGTGTTGGATAAGATCGACTCTGATTCTCTTGAAACAGATTTTATTAAAGTTCGTGTTTCCATGAACATAGACCTCGATCAAATTGTAGAGATCCTCTCCAGGAAAGGCTCGTCCCCCAGGAACTCTTGTACATGTCAGCCAGTACTTCGAAGTACAAATTCCACAACCGAGCTTACTAGCTCTAGAAACTGCCAAAAACGGCGACAGAATCAACCCGTCAATGTTTTCATGAATCGGTCCCTCGAATTTCCATCTGCCGTTTGAGAGCACTAGACGAGGCTCGTCATCAGAAAAAGCCACTTGCTTGCCTCTGGGCCAGGTTATGTCAAAAATTTGCTTTTTGAGTTTATCAGGAAGAAAAATTGTCGTGATGACAAGAGCATATTCTCCCTTGGCTATGGAGCATGTATGATACCCCAAGCACCTGGAATCCATACTTTGAAGCTGCTTTGCCATAATGCCTGCAACGTCATTCATTATGTTTGAAGACAATTTCAACACTTGCACTGACAAGTATTCCAGCCTTTTTTGAACCTGTGCCGGCGCTTTCAAGTCGGTGTTGTGGTCCTTGAATGCAACATCAATATCCATAAGCAGGGAAAAAACCAGGGAGCAGCTATATTCTGAATCGCAGCTAAATGATAATTGAATCTCAAGAGCATATGTTCTGGAGCAGTTTTGCGAATGAAACGTTGGACCGACGTTTGGAAGGTTGCAGTTGTATTCGTTCAAAGCCATGTACTTGATGAACGCAGCTCCCTGACTTGTGAATGTCGAATGATCCAAACAACAATTTGTGAAATTGCAGTCTTTCAACGTCGTCGATCTAGTATCCTCCTGAATACCATAACCCTCTCTGTGTGGTACAATACACCTCGTGGTCTCATGCAATTTGATAAGAATATGGGTGAGTGAAACTTTTCCTCGGCAGCGACAAAAAAAAGCATTAGTTTGTTCCAATTGAAGGTCAAGAAAGCTTGATAGCAAAGCACCAGATGAAACAACATTGGAGTGTCTTGTAGAGCTAAACTGGCTCGGGGTGTAGTACTGGGCTTCTACTTTTAGAAACACAGGCTCACTATCTCCAGAATTCTGTTCAAGTAAAAGTCCCTTTTTATCGATTGATTGTGTTACGCCAAATTCAAGAGGAACTCTCTCGTCCATTGTATGAAGACACTTCATTTCCCACACACCAGTGTTCTCATATTTATCTGGACAAGGTTCCATGAGAAGCTGCCTCGAACGAATGATAGAAAAGAGGACCCGGGTTTTTCCATCCTCTAAATTGGGTCCTTGCCCAAAATCCATGATTCCTTCTGCTTTTCTGGCTTTTTCAATTGAAGAAATGTCGTCAGTTAGAGGAAGCTCACGCAAGTGGATGATGGTCAACTTCCATTGCTTTCCGTTCAACCAGTATGTGTGGGTGTCGTGGGAATTGTAGCTTGAATGATCATTTTCGATTTGGTCAGCCACCCATTTCTGGAATTTGCTTTCGTCGCTGTAGTCGTCCATAAGGTATACTGGAGTCATGGTTGAGTAGGTGAAGAAGGAAAAGGACCCCTCTTACTTAAGTAATGCAATGAGGAGGGATTTTATCAGGAAAGTGCAATTTGCTTCAGAAATAATTGTTTTTCGAGTTTCCTGACCGGTCAATATCCATGACCTTTGGGTGGAAAAAACGTGCTGCTTGGACTTGCAAGGTCCTGAATTGTTATAAAGTTTAAAGATTCGATATATTCTCTAAACCTCAAAAAAGCTTGATATCGAGAAGAACGCTTATGGTGGTGGGTATAATGTGAGAAGGTCCAATTTCAACTAAGAGGTTGGACGGACACTACGACAAATGCATCATTTGCAATAAATGCTGTACTACCGGTTCTCTTCTATAGAACCGTAGATAATAACCTCATTTCTCAAAATGAAAATGTGTCAAATCGCTGAACGTACTATCTCATAGCCACTCTGGTATCTGGTAACTTGAGAGAAGGTTTTTACTATAATTTCGGTTTATAGCTTTAAAATCTGAGGAGTAGGTGAGCGAGACACCAATTCCGAAGCGACCTTCAATCGACGTCTTCATGAAAAAAATAAAAACCATCCCAACCTGGGCTGTAGCTTATCTTGCGTCTAAGATGTCAATGAGAAGGAAGTACCAATGCAAAAGTGCTACAACCTGTCGTCTAAGCATTTTGAGCATTAAAGAGGTTTCTAAGACATTTTATTAAGATTCGGCCGTGGTCTTGAATCCTGCTCAATTTTTAAGCCTCACCGTAAATGCCTTATCTAGATGCATCGCAACGTTGCAAAACTCAAAAACCCCAATTCTATTTAAATCCGTGCAATTACGATCCAAACTTCCAATCTACAAACTCCTACCAATTAACCCCAAACCTGAACCAATGAAACTGCTCCATCAAAAACCCAAAACCATAGATGTCGGAACTTACTCTAGCCGATGTCCATATCTCAGCCTTGCTGCGCCGCACAGCATCCACACCTATCTTCCCGCCCCCTTCTCAAGAACACCAAAAATCATCAAATCTACAATTTTAAAAAAGAAAATTAAATACATAGCCACCTCCTCAAATACAAGAGCCGATCTTGCCAATCAGGTCGGTCATGTGACTCCCGGTCACGTGACGCCAAGGTCCAAGCAATATGCCCCGTATGTAGTCCTACCCCAGGCTACCACATTTCTTCCATCACCAACAACTCCTTTTTTTCTAAAAAATCACATATCCTTCAAAATCCCATGTTCATTCCGCCAGAGCGCCTCGCCAAACGAGCGACTGCCGAGTCCGTCGTCGGCATCGTCGTGCTGCTCTGCATCATCTTGGGAATCGTTGCCTTTGCCTTTGTGAGCCAGAAAACACTCCGTAAGTTCTTGACACGAAAGAAGGCACGGCCGTTTTCTCGAGAACCCCGCCCACCACAGCCCGTGGCCACATACAACCCCGGGCCCGTCCAGACGACACAGAATACGGAGCTCCACACTGTCCATACACCTCCTCCCAAATACGAGCCTCCACCACCACCGTACCAGGCCCATTTGCGAGAGGAGCACTGATCGCCTAGTGTTAACTTATTACTTCATTTACGCTTAGCTCCCAGCTGATGGCTGGAAAGCGGAAATCCAGGTAGACGTCATCGGGTGGATGAGAGGATTCTTGGCAACGCCGTTCACGCAATTCGGTTATGATAGAGATGATTGCGTTGACACGTCTGGTTTTAATGGGTTGCTGGGAGAATAATATTCAAACGAACGTTTAATTGGCCTTCTAGTACCCCCATTGATCTGTCGGTATCCCTTTCCCTGGACACCGTTGCCAAACCAATTACAACTGCCCTACAACCTCCTTCATGGCTACGCACCCTCAAATCTTCCCAAGCCCTCGACTTCGTATCACCCGCTAATCTACGCCTCGTGGTAATAACTCCCGGCTACTGCGCCTGGTCTTGATGAGGCTTCCTACCGCGGATACACCATCAGCCAATCTTACCCTATCCTCAGCCCCAGGCGCCCCTATCCCCTATCCTCGCTACGACTTCACGATTCGCTTTTTGAAGCGCTGCTCGCTGCTCACAATTTGCTTCATTCCCCCTAATACCACCCTTCCCCTAACTGTGCTTGAGGCTCAGTCTAGCATCAATCGGGCTGCGCCCACCAATTGAGCCCCATGCGACCACAATTAGCATACTCACGATTTAATAAACGGAACATAAATGAACACTTGAAGAAATAGATTTGGAATCGGGTCCAATCTATGTATAAGGGCATCGTCTCTGCACGTGATCTGTATCACGTGCGCGGCATCGCCATAAAATCTCTAATCAACCTCCATCACCATCAATGACACCCAAACCCTCCAGATTCCACCCTAATATCATCATTACGGGAACCCCGGCTGCGGAAAGACGAGCCTTTCCAAGAGTCTCGCCGAAAGTCTCTCCGGAAGCGACTACAAGCACTACAACATCAGTGAGCTTGCCAAGGAGAGAGATTGTATTGAAAGTTACGATAAGGAAAGAGATACCGGAGTTGTGGATGAAGACAAACTTCTAGACAGCTTGGAAAACGATCTCAGAGAAGGAGGAGCCATTGTGGACTGGCACTGTTGCGACATTTTCCCCAAAAGGTTGATTGATCTTGTGGTTGTTCTTCGGACCGATAACTCCTTATTGTATGACCGTTTGAAGGCCAGAGAGTACAGCGACAAGAAAATTGATGAAAACATTGACTGTGAAATCATGGAAGTCATCTTGAACGACGCCAATCTGGCCTACAACAAGGAGATTGTCATTGAGTTGAAGTCCAATAACGAGGAGGAGATCAAGGATAATCAGGCAAGAATTGAAGCATGGATAGAAGCCTGGAAGAAGGACCACGAGGATGGTGCCACCAATGAAATCAGTGAGTTTTATGCTGATGAAAGTGAAGTTGATGGAGAGGAGGATTCTGAAGATTCTGAGGAAAATGACGATGATGAAGAGGCTTCTGGTCTGGAGAGTGAAGAGGAATCTCCTGATGAGTATGAAGATGAGGAGGACGAGGATGAGCCAGCTCCTAAGAAGAGAAAAAATAACTGAGGCTCATCTCAAGTGTATAATAGTGTGGGGAAAAATACCACCAGCTGGTAGGAATAGATGTACATGGTTGGAAAAAGTTGTAAGGTAGGTAAAGAGCTTGAATAGAAATTCCTCTAAATTGATCAAATTGATACAGATGCTCGACTTTCCCTTTAAAAATAACCCAGTGCAACGTTACAAGATCTGAGCCTCATGCTGGGCTCGGACATACCGATGGCCAAATGCCGACTGATTTTCTAGATAGCCGCACCATCACGCTCATCTCAGAATTCTACACTTTCCTATTTGTTAACCAATGCGGCTGCTCCATGCAGCGGCCATGTATTGATATCCCATGAGATCTAATGTACAGCGGCGCAGGGCCGATTAATGAAAAAGCTAGTAGAGCGAGTGAACAAGCTTGGAAAGAATCAACAAGGCGGCGATGGCGAAAAGCGCAATCACCACGTAGTAGCCTCTGGTGGCAAAGAAGTAGGACCACTTCTTCTTGATACGGGTCAAGTTGTGGTGCTCCAACTCAATGACACACTTGGCGTTCTGCTGGAAAATGTACTTGGACTCCTCGATAATGTCGAGCTTCTGTTCCTCGGTCAAGTCGTTACGCGTGGCCAACTCGTAGTCTCTCTTGTAGAGAAGTCTGAAGGCGTTCTCGTCGGCAACGTCAAACTGGAAGAAGTTCGTGCCGAGCTTGACAATGTCATCGTGCTTCAAGCCGTCCTTCTGTGGGAAAAGTCCCGTGGCTCTCAGAATCGACAGTCTCATCACTCTGCCTCCGGCGAAAAGAGCCAAGTACATAACGTGCAAGTATGCAAACAAGATCCATGGCTTCTCCAGCGTCACCTCGCGGATGTGCTCGACAAACTCGATCTGGGCAGGCATGATGGGGCTCATGAACTTCTCCTTGCGGTCGTTGTAGTAGAACAACAAGTCCTGCTGAGCTGGAGCGCTTCTGGCAATGACAGGCTTCCACACCTTCTGCAACATCTCGCTCCACTCGTCGCCCTTCTCCAACTGGGCGTGGAGCTGACTCTCGACGGTGGCGAAAACGTGGTAGAAACTCTGCAAACCCTGTCTGTAGATCTTGTAGTCTCTAAGGGCCAAAGCGAACTTCAAGGTGACAAGCTTGTCGATTTTGTTGTGAAGGGCTCTGGTCTCCAGGTTGATTCTGTTGGCAAGGGCGCCAACATCGGTCTTGTGTGGGATGGTTTCTTCCTCAGTCAACTTGCTCATGGTGGTCTGGAGGGTGGTTTTTAAAAAGTTGAATTACATTCTGTAGCGTGGGCGCTTGGCTGCTTATATAGTGGTGCCGATAAGTCCGCGCATAACGCGCCTCGGCCATATCGGTGCATACCACCCTGCACGCGCGGCTGACTCTTGGACACACTTGTGGGCTGTTTTGTTTAAGCGAACGTTAGGCAGATATCGGGGAACCTCGTGGAAGATACGGCTCGACCCTGGGCTTTGGGACCAAAAAACGCCGTACTGCATGTAGACGCGACCCAGACATGCCCATCACCGATGTCCGCAATTTGAAAAACCCGTACACCCCCTATAATAAGTATTGGGTCCCGCGGTTCTGAGTAGCTGCCCTGGTCCATAGTTCCGGTGCTAAGCGAGAAAAGGTCCGAGGATGGCTTACAACGGAGTGGTTGAGAGATGGGGGATGAAATTGAGGGGGTTCAGAGAAAAAGAAATAAAAAAATAATTGTAAGAGAAGAAGTAATTGTGGTACTATTGTACTTATGGTACCCTTCGGGTGGGAGGTTGGATAGATCTAGACGGTTTAGGTCCGGTGGAGTAGTACCTTTTCATTGGACGTAGTAAGGAGAAGCATGGAGATGGAACAGCCGGGTGGTGTTTGGAGGTTTGACGGCGGCTATTTTAGCTTTCTGGTATCATGTGTGGTTTTTGCATCCGGGGATTCAGTGAATACAAAGGTGCACTTAGTGAAACTGGATCCCGCCATCAAAAGTGTCACTTTAGGCTGATTCGTAATTTTTGTGATATGTTCAAAATCCACTGTTTGAATTGCCTAAGACAAATTTCTTTAATGTCTAAGATATCAAGTCGATGGCGACAATGAGTAATTGTACCCTTGGGTCTCTGTATGCGCATTGCAGTATGGGCGGCCTGAATGGCTGCAAACCAGAAGCAAAGGCGATCGGATATACAAGCTTATTTTCATTGAATGAACTGATTGAATGAGGTATTAGGCGAGGTACCTCTTCAAATGATGTAGGCTTGAAGGTGGAAGATGGTCATTTTCGGACAGGGCAGGTTACCTGGATACCTAGCTGTTTTCTACAAATGTGCAAAATGAATTTGACTCGCTTCAGTAACTTAAGCTAGGCATATCTGAAGCCTTGGCTGTCATAATCTGGCATTGTTCTTGTGGTGCAGTAGACAGTAGACTGCTCACTAAGGTACTTAGGTACTTTCTGGAAACTGACGTCCCAGAAGGCAGATCTCTCCATCTTTGATGCAGCTTACAGCTAATGGGAAATAAAAAATGCAAAATGATGCCCTTCTTTGACAGTATATGGTTTTTCAGCACTCACCTTATCCAGGTTTAGTTACCATAATGGCTGCGAAATATGCAATGCTTATCGAAAATGAGATACTCACCTAACTTAGAAATAACAATTCGCCACCCAAAAATCAGGAACTTATTCGAAAACGCCAATCTTCTCCTATCCTCCCCCCCACCGTCCCAAGCAGCCATAAAACAAAAATAACAAAAAAGCAACCACCCCAGGGCCCTCTAGCATTGAAACCAGGACCCTACCTCAGTGCGACATCCCATTGAGCCACAGCTCATAGACACCTCCAGATCCAAAGCGCAATTCCATTCAGCTGACATTGAACAACCTTTTATGGTTGAAGGCACAATGCCAACGATATTTCCGCCAATTCCCCAACCTCCATCTCTACCCTGTTCTGTCTCACCTCCAGCACCTCAGCCACACCAGTACCCATAACCCGTAGCCCCAATACCCAAACACCTCCGACCCAACATATCACCAATCCACTTCAAAATCACTAAATCCCAAACCAACTCAGATCAAGTCGCCTCCACCTTGTGAGCCACACCCGTTGCGAGCCCTGCACCGGCTGCAAATCGGCTACTCAGATAACCCAAGTGTGAACAAAGACGGCTATCACGTGGAATCGACTATATAAGAGCTCCAGGAGCAACCATTACCCTTAATGGCACCTTCTACTCTTAAAGTGGACCGCCACACAAAGCGGAAACTCAACAACGGCCAGGAAATCCCCATTGCTGGGTATGGCGTCTACACACTTACCCCAAAGGAAACAGTGGACTTGGTCTACGAGGCATTGAAGCAGGGCTACCGCCACATTGACACTGCTGTGTTGTATGGAAACGAAAGGGAGTCAGCACAGGGGGTGGCGAAATTCCTCAAGGACAATCAAGGCAAGGTGAAAAGAGAGGATATCTGGTTCACCACGAAGATCTGGAACAGTGACCACGGCTACAACGAGACGAAAACCGCCGTGGACAAGATCGCCTCCAAGGTCAAGGAGCACATTGGCTATGTGGATTTGATTTTGGTGCACTCGCCAAAGTCCAACAAGGAGAAGCGTTTGGGCACATGGAAGGCACTTCAGGAACTCCAACAGGATCCCAAGAACGGATCGCTTGAAATCAGGTCAATTGGTGTTTCCAACTTTGGCGTCAAGCACCTCGAGGAGCTTTTCGCCTGGGACGGCTTCAAGGTCAAGCCTGTGGTGAACCAATTGGAGTTGCACCCATGGTTGCCTCACCACAAGATTAGAGACTTTTTGGTGAAGCACGATATTGCCGCTGAGGCGTACTCTCCACTCACTCAGGGTGAGAACTTGGACGATCCCGAGCTTCTTCAATTGGCAGAGAAGCACAAGATCAACAAGGTGGAGATCTTGTTGAAATGGTCTTTCCTCCAGGGTTTCATTGTGTTGGCGAAAACGGCCAAGGTGGAGCGGATCAAGCAGAATTTGGAGGTTTTGCCCGAGAGCGGAAGTGTCCTGTTGGACGAGGATATTGTCAAGGCTTTGGACAAGCCTGATTCTCACCAGGTGTTCACCTGGTTTGGTCTGGATCCTACTGTGTATGTGAACTAGCCCCGGCGGCCAGTGTATATGAGTTTATGTGAATTTATGTTTTGATATTGGTATTTGGCAGTTTGCGGGTATAGGCGGAAATATTGTAGACACGATAGACGCAACTATAGGCTTTTGACATGTACCTTTCTTACACAATAAAGAACGGCAAGGTTCACAACCGTTAGGTAAGAAGCGGCATTGACATGAAGCGGGGGTAAGTAAAAATTCAGTAATCGAAAACGCTTTGATTTTATTTATCGACTAAATTGTGGAATTCCCTCAGACAGACGACTAGGCGATACAGTGTATTGGCTGCGAAATGCACTTATGCTTTTTCATCGAAACACCAAAACCTTTTCAAGCATTCCGAAGCGAACAATTTCAGCTCTTATAACGAATCTACAATAAATGACATTTCAATAAGGACCCAACACAAATTGGCCCCTTCACTCATAGCTTCCCCTATAGGTGCCCAAGAAACCATATTCACTACACACCAAGCAACTCACACCCAACCTCAATAAACAAATTCCATCAAAGGCTCAAAATCTCGAGATTCAAAAAGCAAAAAAACAAAAAAAGATGCAATTGTCAACCCCGGCTCCAGGACTTCCCCTCCTTGGGTAACTGCCCACCTCGTCCACGTGACATCACCAACTTCTCGAAACTCCAACCTACTACCCGATCATGACGACAGTGGACCAATTGAAGCACGATTTGGAGGCTTTGCTCGCTGAGTGCAAGCGAAAACACGCCGACGTGCGTACGGCCACAGAAACAGCGCTCAATGCTGCCAAAAAGGTCGATCCAAAGTCGAGAATAAACGACAACGTACAGCTCCAGCACACGCTATGTGTACCGTTTATGATGGCCGTGGCGGGCGGGCTGAAGCCTCAAACACAGGCTCTTTCCGTTTTGCCGAAACTCATTGCTGCTTCGGCGCTTCCGGCTGATTTTGCCGACGATCTTCTTCAAAGCTTCTACAAGAACGATGTCCACCTGCTGCCGCTTGATTCCCAGTTGAAGATACTCCAGACGATTCCGGCGCTCATGCAGAACTACGAGATTCACGGCAAGAGCTTCTTGTTGCTTGTGGCGGTCTTGTGTCTGCTTATGGGCTCAGGTAGTCCTGCTTTATCGAATACTGCCTCAGCTACAATGCAACAGGTGTTTTCGGGATTATACGATAAGTTGGGGAAACACACTAAAGGTGACCAGCTCCAAGCGGTGGAATTGGCCTCAGCGGGCTCGGAAAAACCACATGTGTTCCACTTGGACAGCTTGGAGTCCGAGTGTTACAAGGTATTCAACGACCTCAGCGCCTTGGTAGCAAATGACGAGGTGGAGTACTTCGACCCCGATATCCACATCCGCCGTGTGGTTGTGCTTGAGATCATTGAAAACGTGCTTTCGCTCAACAAGGCTACGTTTCGAGACCACGAGGAGCTTATCGCCTTGTGCCGTGTCAAAACGTTTCCTGCGTTACTCAAATTGGTCACGTCAACCACCCACAACTTTCCCACCATCGTAAGAGCCTTGAGAATAATTCACTTGCTTGTGGCCACCCAGGCTGATCTTTTGGGTATGGAGACAGAAATCGTGCTTTCCTCAACCAACCACCTACTACTCGATGCAGAAGACTCATCCTCCCGTTCGCTGTCTGTCACTGCTGTATCTGCTGAAAACGTACAGCCAACAACCAGCTTGCCTTTCTGGGTGAAGGTCTTGGTTTTGGAAATGTACAAGACTCTCTTTAACAACTTCGACGTGGTTCGTGTCATCTATGAAACCTACGATAGAGATGAAAAGAAGAAAAACGTAATACGCGAGCTTTTTAGCGTGCTCAACCACTATCTCGAGTCGAGCTTGCCTCAGTTCTTTGCGGAGGAAACCATCCCTAACGCTGAGAAAAACACTTCCCGTCTTAGCAAACAGAATGCCGCATTGAAGGTTTCCCTCCTCGACCATTTGGACAAAACCGACCCTCCAGCATCGGTGCCCCCGCTCTACCCTGCTCATTTGGTGTTCAAAATCCTCATAAGCGTGGCAGATGGTGTATCTGAATTCGTTTCTCGCATTTCAGCCAACTCCAACACAAATGATATCGAGGCCAATGTGGACTTCATCACCAGCTTCAACGAGACAATATCCCCAGAGGTGTTCAAGCTACTCAAGAAGTACCTTCATTGTGCCACGGACAATGAGTACTTTCATAACGTAGTCAGGGCAGTTCAGAGGTATACTCACGCTGTGGGGCTTTTGGGCATGACGCTGTTGCGGGACGATTTGCTTGTGCTTCTTTCTGACTGTGTGATCAAGGGACCAGCTCCTTTGGAACCACGGAAACACAATAACTCCAACTTGCTTGCCTTGGGTGAATCTATTGTTGACACCATCAGCTCTACAATTCAGGCTCCAGCATCTCCTCAAAATTCCCAGGCTAGTCAATTTGAGAGTAGCTCCAAGAAGAGTATCTCCGATGACGAGCTGCTCGCCTTCGGATCCAGAGTGTTCACCTCCCGTCAAATAATCTGCTACAGGGCTTTGAGTAACTTGGCAATTTCCCTCGGCCTCACATTGCAGGACTCTTGGAGAATTATGTGGATCACTTTTCAGTGGGTGGACTACTTCCTAAGTGGAGCTGATGAATACAGTGGCTTTGCCAATAACAAAGAGCTCAAGAAGTTTGCCGAGCCTCAGGTCAGTTCACAAGACTTCACAATAATTCGCAACGCAAGAGCAAAGTTGTTGGAAAGCATTAGTGCTTATCAGCCTCAGTCTTTTGAGGAGCTCGTGAAGGTCTTGACACTGTTGTACAACGAGGATCTGGCCACCATAAAGACCATTCAGACTTGTCCTTTTAACCGAAGCTTCTTTATACGCCTGTTGGTTCTTCTTGTTACCAACAGCCCATCGTTATTGCTTGAAAACCAGCCCGTTTGGGACCATCTCATCAACTACTTCACCGATTTGGCCACGGACAGATCCATTCCACACCACAGAAGGAACTTCTATGTCACTTGCATGAATGACGTGGTAGTCAGCGTCACCAAGGAGGGATTCCATAATTCGAACGATACTGATGGCTTGGCTGCAATGTCCCTTAAAGCCTTCATAACATTCATTGACAAGCTTTTTGGGCTTCCAGACTCAGAAGAATTGCTCGTGTCCAATTGTGAGACCGAGATGCATTTGACCGTACTCACCACTCTCAGGAGTCTCATTGACGAGTTTGATGATCGATTCCAGAATTGCTGGGGTCTAGTCTTTACTATTTTGAGATCTGTGTTCCACAAGCATGCTGGTTCAAATGTCCAAGACAAGAAGCTTGACGAAAAGACCAGACTTTTGATCGCAACTTCATTCGACACTTTGAAGTTGATCTTGGATGAGTTCTTAAACTCCCTTCCCGAGGAGCACTTGAAAACGCTCATCGACACACTTGTCAATTTTTGCTCCCAAGAGCACGACCTCAATATCTCGTTTTCCTCTGTCAGCTACTTCTGGTCTATCAGTGATGCCATACGCTCTCATATGGATGGCGCATCTGCAACAAGTTCCGATATCTCCGTCGAGGAAGCGGATACTATCAAGAAACTCGAGCTTGCATTGGAAAAGTGCTCCACCGACACTATTGCATTCAACCAGGGCTTGAATGTATACCTTCTTGCCAGGTTGTCGGACTTATCGTCAGACTCAAGAACTCAGGTAAGAGAGGGGGCTATCCAGACTTTGTTCCAGATTTTGGACGCTCACGGAAGATACTTGCCTTCCTGGCAAATGATGTACGACGTTGTGCTTCCTGGTGTCATTGACGTATCTAGATGGAAGGAGAAGTCAACTTCGCCACACAATGACATAATCAGTACCTTCAATCTTGTGTTGTCGGGTCTCGTTGCGGTGCTCAACAAGTACATGATTGATTTTACCGACAAAGCTACTTTGGCTGTGAAGCTCCAGTTCTGGCTGCAAATATTGAACTACTTCAACAATCTCCTCGCCTTAAATTGGAAAGACCTTAACCTCAAGATCTTCCAGTCTTTCCAGGACCTTATCTTGCCCTTGCCCAAAGTGAAGGATGTTCCTAGCGAGGTTGTCAATTCTGTGTTCGACTTCTGGGTGAATGTTCCCGTGGAATACGACTTCGTGAATCCAGAATACCAGGATTCGCTTGCGGTGTTCAACAGATCCTTTACTTCAGTTTATCCGGTTGTTGAACACAGGCTTTCATTGGCAGACTTGAGCAAGGTGTTGAGTCTTTTGAATCAGTGTGCGAGATACCCTGTTCTCAAATCGAGTCTGAACGATTCTGAGAAGCTCACGGACATTCAAAAGGCCGTGATCGAAAACCTCAAGTTGCTTTGCAAGAATGAACTGAAGGACGAGTTCAATTCTGTCATTATCCAACACCTTTGCATTATCCTCTGCTATCCATACCAGACGAGAACTCGGATTGAAAGAAAGCTCAAGAGCAAATTCGAGGGCAGACTCAAAATCCCCACATTTACTGCTATCAGTGAAGCTTCGCTAGAGTTGATGACGGAGAAGATCCACGGCTTGGGAAATCTCAATGTGCTTCTTCCAGAACAAGGTTTCGAGAAACTCGTATCATCGTTGATTGAGGCCGTGAGCTACAAAGCTCAAGGCTGCCAGGGCAACGAAAAGCCACAGTGGGTCAAGTGTAACGAGCTCATTACACACCTTGCTCAAAGGCTCTTGAATGAGAACTTGAGTGAAGTGAAGAACAGAAACGAGGTATGGCACCTTTTGGTGGATGCGCTCACCGTTTGTTTCGAGGACGTGAAGCCTGAAGAAGAGAAGGAAACTTTCAGACAAATCGATACTCTTGAGGAGATCGTTTTGCCTGTCTTGTTTCTGGGTAATATCAAGCAAGAAGAGGCATTGCAGCAGACGATTGGCCGGATCTACAGCCACTCGTATCTTTACGAAATGAACAATGTTGAACGAGAGCTTTGTGAAGGCAGCTTGGAACACACGATATCGTCGTTGGCCAACTTTGCGTTCAATGACTGTTTCGGAACCACGGCACAGCTTGTTCCGTACAAAAACAGAGACATCAGACTTCGCTGTCTTGTGGATTTGTTCAATTTCGCTCTGAATAACGACCGCAGCCTGGCTGTTGCTTTTAAGTTTGCCTTGGCCCGTGCATCCTTCACGCTTCGTCGTGTCATTGCAGAACAACGTCTTTTGAACAAAAAGCCCATGGCGAGAATTCTTGAAGAGGAACTCAAGGTTGTGCTTGATGGATTGAAAAAAGTTCAGATGGCCAGAAAAGAGAGAATGGGCGGCATCAGCATACTTCTTTCGAAGTTGGTGCCTTTTGTTTCAAACATCGAAGGCATGGGAGCAAGAGTGGAGAGAATTCTCTTGCGGTCTCATGCAGAATAGGGACAAAACCAAGAAATTGAGGAATCAGGAATTTGAGAAAAGTCAAGTGATGCAAGACTCCGGCGAGAAAAAGGCTATTTATAAGCTTTGTAAAAATTTTCTTTAAGGTTCATCTTGTTGCAAAGCGCAGCCTGTTTGTTTACAAGATTAAGAGGCTTTGCAGCGCAGAATGGTTGCAAAAGTCCAGACGTCTTCCATCCTGCAGATAAAGAAAAGCCAAACACGTCTACTTAAGGACCAAGAACCTTTCAGGGAAATCAAAATTGCCCAGCAAGAAGCAGCCAAAAAATGAATTTTGAAACTCGCCACCATCAAAAAATCAGAGTTTCCTCGCCCACGGGGCGTCTCGGACCGTTATTGCCCAGGCGCGAAATTAGTCGAATCGGGAAGGCGGCACATATTTTTAGGTAATTGCAGCACCTCATTTTCACGAAAAGGAAAACACATCGAAACCACACCACGTATTTATATAGACCTACCACCAGCAACCGCAAAACAGCTGGAAAGGCAAGAAACTGAAAGTCACGTGTCATTTTCAAACCACGGCTCGTGTCGAATTAAAAAAATCCTGGAATTTCGGAGTAATCCACTGCCTAGGAGTTTCAACGAGGAGAGGCAACATAGAAGGGCCTCAGGTTTGAACAAAAAGCACGAAATCTCGGCATTTCAAGCCTTGGATTGAAAATCCTGCTTTTGAAACCTTCGACTGTCGTTTTCCGTTTTTGACTTGAAAAGACAAGTCCCTGAATTCACTCGCTTCAGATCAAAAAGAAGAAAGGAGACAACATTTTCAGCATGAAGAAAAGCTCGTCGCTGCATTACACCGAGTTCGACCCCGAGCTGGGTGATCTACAGAAAAAGCGGTCGCTTGTCAGAAGAGACCGTCAAAGAATGGACGAGAATAACCCCAGATACCACTACACACAAGTTGCCAACCAGCAGCAGAGCCACCTTCGTATTCAGCCTTCGCTGACGGGTTTGGATCCCACAGCAAGCCACGAGAGATCCGGAAGACCCAGTTTTCAGTACCCACAGGTTGCAGAGGAAGATGAGGGGATTCCGCTCATGGATATGGACGATTCACCCAAAGCTGGAAGAGAAATCATTGGTTTGAACGACGAGGTGCTGCCCAAGAAGCAGAAGCCAAGGAGCCAACTAGCCCAGCGGGCGGCGGTCGTTCCAAAGAACAATGACCTTTCGTTCTGGAAGATCTACTGTTACCTCATCACATTCTGGGCCCCAGCACCAATTCTCAAGCTCTTCGGTCTCAAAACCAAGGATAGACAGTACGCGTGGAGAGAGAAGATCGGTCTTATTTCGTGCATTTTATACATCGGCGCTTTCGTGGCCTACATCACCTTCGGGTTCACCAGAACGGTCTGCACCAACTCCACCATCAAAACAAGAAGCAATGAGGTTTCCAACGGATACTTGATCATAAACGGTCGTTCTTACGACTTGACGTCCTCGCAACACCCCAAAGCAGCGGGAATTCCTGCTGGTTCTAACATTTTGTATCCGCCAATCAATGCCGGCGGTATGGATGGCTCCTTCTTGTTTCAGAACGTCAACGGTAACTGTAAGGGTTTGATTCGTCCGAGAGACAACTGTTCGATTCCACACGAAGGTGATGAGCTCGCCTGGTACATGCCTTGTCGTCTTTTTGCTCAGGATGGATCTAGTGAGGTCAATAATACTGATGTTTACTACGATGGCTGGGCTTGTCACACGTCGCTGGATGCCAGAGACGTCTATTACAATATGGAAGTCAACGGTGATGTCTACTTTACGTGGGATGACATCCGTAACAGCTCGAGAAACTTGGTCGTTTTTTCTGGAGATGTCTTGGACTTGGATTTGATCAACTGGATCTCCACAGACGATGTCACTTATCCCAAACTTTTCAATGAGTTACGTGACGACTCTCTCTTCAAGGGTCACGATATTTCCATGGTGTTGTCCAGTGGAGAACAGCGTCAGGCTGCCCGTTGTTTGAGCGAAATCATCAAGGTCGGTGTCATTGACTCCGAGACTGTCGGGTGCATTTGCTCGAAGATTGTCTTGTATGTCTCGCTTGTATTTATTTTGTCTGTGGTGATCGTCAAGTTCCTCATGGCTTGTTACTTCCGCTGGTGGATCGCTCTGAGACAAGGTGCTTCCGATTCTGACAATAAGTCAACGTACGAAAGAGAAAGAGAAATCGAGGACTGGGTCGACAACCCAACAGCTGCTGCACCTCTCACCACCGTTCCTGCTAAAGCCAGAGCTGACTACCAGACACAGAAGACCAACAGACAGAGTGTGTTCATCAAGAACTCCCATGCTCAGAAGTTGATTCCAGCAGCCGACATTGGCAAATACTACGAAGATGGTGACAAGAAGCTTTCCAAGACTTTCAAGTACACCACTATGTCTACACAAGCCGCTTTACTCGGTCGCAACAAGAAGCAACTTGGCAGAGAGCATCAAAGCCGTTCGATGGTGTTTTCTCACTCCAGAGCCTCTTCCATGGATTTGCTCTCACGCCCAGCTTCGATGCTTGATCCATTCCTGGTTCAAAACGATCCTATCAACGGATTGAGTCCTGAAATTATCCACCCTGACGTCGTTCCTCAGCCACCAGTTGAATACCAGCCATTTGGCTACCCATTGGCCCACCTTATTACATTGGTTACTTGTTACTCCGAAGATGAGGAGGGTTTGCGTACCACCTTGGACTCTGTGGCCACCACTGATTACCCTAACTCACACAAGTTGATTTTGATGGTCTGTGACGGTATGATTAAGGGTTCAGGTTCCGACATCACTACTCCTGACATTGCCTTGGGCTTGATGACAGACTTTGCTATTCCACCTGAGGATGTCCAGGCATACTCTTATGTTGCTGTTGCTCAAGGTACGAAGCGTCATAATATGGCCAAGGTTTACGCTGGTTTCTACAAGTATGACGACTCTACTGTGCCACCAGAGAAGCAGCAAAGAGTGCCAATCATCACGGTTGTCAAGACTGGTACTCCCGATGAGGCTGGTACTGCTAAACCAGGTAACAGAGGTAAGCGTGATTCTCAGATCATCATGATGTCTTTCTTGCAGAAGGTGATGTTTGACGAGAGAATGACCCAATTGGAATATGCTTTGCTTGAATCTATCTGGCGTGTGACTGGACTCATGGCTGAATTTTACGAAATGACATTGATGGTGGATGCCGATACCAAGGTTTACCCTGACTGTTTGACCCATATGTGTGCTGAAATGATCAAGGACCCAGCCATCATGGGTTTGTGTGGTGAGACGAAGATCGCCAACAAAAGAGACAGTTGGGTCACTGCCATTCAGGTTTTCGAGTACTACATTTCGCATCACCAGGCCAAGGCCTTTGAATCTGTTTTCGGTGGTGTCACTTGTTTGCCCGGTTGTTTCTCCATGTACAGAATCAAGTCGCCTAAGGGTGACAATGGTTACTGGGTGCCAATTTTGGCGAACCCAGATATCGTGGAAAGATACTCGGACAATGTTACCGACACCTTGCACAAGAAGAACTTGTTGTTGTTGGGTGAGGATCGTTTCCTCTCGAGTTTGATGTTGAAGACTTTCCCCAAGAGACACCAGATTTTCGTTCCCAAGGCCGCCTGTAAGACTATTGTGCCAGACAAGTTCATGGTTTTGTTGTCGCAGCGTCGTCGTTGGATTAACTCGACGGTGCATAACTTGTTTGAATTGGTTTTAGTGAATGATTTGTGTGGTACTTTCTGTTTCTCGATGCAGTTTGTCATTTTCATTGAGTTGGTCGGTACGTTGGTGTTGCCTTGTGCCATTGCCATCACCATTTACGTGATTATCTTTGCCATTGTGTCGTCGCCTACACCTATCATGTCCTTGATTCTTTTGGGTGTTATTTTCGGTTTACCGGATTGTTGATTGTCATCACCGTGTCTTCGTGGAGTTATGTGGTGTACTTCTTCATCTACCTTATCGCCTTGCCCATCTGGAACTTTGTGTTCCCTACTTACGCGTACTGGAAGTTCGATGACTTCAGTTGGGGTAACACAAGAACCGTGGCCGGCGAGGCAGCAGGAGCAGGTAAGGGTGGCCACAACGGAGAAGGTGTGTTTGACTCGTCGAGCATTGTCATGAAGAGATGGAGAGAGTGGGAAGGCGCCAGACGGGATGAGTTGGCCGCTCCACAATTAGCATGGGACCCCAACCCAGAGAAGGAGTTGGAGTACTCAGAAGGGTCGCTGGGATCGCCATAGAGCCGCCGACCTAGACTTATATTATTGCATGTATATTTGAGGTATTTGTAGACCGACTAATCGTTTATACTTGAGATCTACTTGACTCCTGGTTGAATTTATTGGCTTAGTTGAAGTTGGATCATTTTCGTGCATTGAGAGGGTGGCCTGATTTGAGAGACTATGCTAGTGCGCCAAAACCCGAACCAGCGGGGAGTATGGCGAGATTTCGAAGCCGAGAATCTTAGATTCGTGAATATATGCGATTATGGGATGGGATGTTTGGGAGGTTTGGTAAGCTCAGTGCATATCATGTTCCCATTTGCAGCCATTTGTGAGAATCAACAGGGACAGAGCCAATCCAGGAAAACTGAAAGCTCCTGATTTTGAAGGCTTCAAATGAAAGCTTTCCGATGAACTTGCTTTGCAATGTGTAGAACAATGTGTGTTGAACCTGTTGGGCTCCTAAATCGGCCCACTTAGGCCAAACCGAGCAGTCTCATTCAGGCACAGTCTCATTCAGGCACATATCCCGATCTGGCCACCCCAGCGTCGTCAGCTATGATTTTTTGAAATCGATAACCATTTCTCGAGATAATCCTTTTAATATACTGAATTGTCATTGAATTTGCATCGAGCTTCAATCAATTCCAACCGGTCAATCTCTTAGACAAACTTGAAAAGATCACTCGCCCGGGAATCCACAGTCTCCTCCTTCAAAACCTCCTTTGTTTCAGGAACCTTGGGGCCCTGGCATCCACCAAAGTGGTCTCGGACTCGGTCCTGGACGGTCTTCTGCCCTGGTGGTGCTCCTTGAACTTCTTCAAGCGCCACGTGATGGGCGGTTTGTTGAGCAGCGGCTTGAAGGCGGAGCCCTTTGTTTCTAAAGCGATAAGCATTGTTGAGAAAAAACAAAGGGGATTTCCGTGCCCTTTTATACCTGGAGGGCGTAACGCAATAAGCGTCTGAAGCGCCGCACATGAGAATGCGGCAGCCGCCTAAGCGAGAAGCACCGTTACGAGAGAAGGGGTATGCACGGGGGCCACTCAAGGAGTTTTGAAATTCTTTTTGGAAATTCTTGATTCTGGGCTGCTTTTGTTTTGGTGGGTTTTTCAAAATCGAATAGTATTCGAGTTTTCCCTGGCCACCTTCGAGCATTCTCCGTTTCTTGCTTGCATTCGCAGCCAGCCTACATGCCAGTGAAGCTTAGTCTTTAGCATTTGGCTCCGGGGGTCCACCAGGTTGCAGCACGTTTACGGTTCCGATTTTTTCCATTTTTTCTTCATTTTCTTCCTTTCCTTCATTTTCTCCTTTTTCTTCCAAACTGCCGCTCCAAGCCTCGCTGCGTCGCTTACCGAAAAGAGCAGACGGCTGGAGCTCACTGTTTGATTTCCACGCTTTGGGTTTCGGAGCGGCCCGGGATTGGCCCAGATCGGCGACCGGGGAATTTAAAGTCTTTTTCTTTTTAGACTATGGAAGTGACTTGAGAAATTCTGGAAAATCTGGTCCCTCTCAAACCTTCTCTCGTCTAAAGGCGGCTTTGCTCGTCAAAACACCGCAGAAATACCCGCCGTGCCGATACTACGAACGAAGATGGCGAAAGGAAAAGAATTTAGGGCATTGGCCTTGAAAAAATTAGGGCATTGGCCTTAAAAAATCTATGGCATTGGACTTAAAAAAAAATATAAATGAAAAAGACTCCTCCCTTCGTTTCAATTCCCTGGGCAGCTTGTTTTTGGGATACCCTCCACAATGCTCAGACAGCAAGCCTGCCTTTGTGATACTGTAGAACGCTTCTGTGCAGCGGAAGAGTCCTGATTTGTTCGCCGTCGGCGCTTCCGGTCCCGTAGAATGACGCTTTCGTGGATCAGGGGGATCTTCGGCGCATCCTCTAAACGCTAAAGCTTATGACCTTTCGAATCGGGAAGACATTGGAGAGGGAAAGTAAACATTGGCTGCTTCGAAGGGTCGTCTTTGGGCCTCGAAGGGGTCGTTTTTCTTTGTGCTACAAGGGGCCCCTTCCCCACCACAGGCCCTGTTTCCAGAATCCTGTTGCGGTTGCCTTCTGCAATAGGGTGCGTTTTGAGGAAAGTGGAGGTTTTGGGGTGAAGTCAGGATTCCGGATGTGGAGAATCAGTTTGAAGGAGTGTTGATCTTTTGTTGAATTTCAAGGCATATGGACGAATGGGACCTTGGACTTGGGGGTGGGGTGGACAAAAGGAAAGAGAGGTATGGCGACTGCTGGTCGGTCAAGTCACTGGATCATGAAACCTTTGAGATCTGAAGGATCAATAGTTTTAGTGTTCGGAAAACCCAAATAGACAACTAACTGAATCATACTTGAGCTGGTGCTAAGCTCGAACAGCATCAAGCGATAGCCTTTTGCGTTGGCAGAATCGGAATTTGAAGGAGAAGAATTCGGTGATATCCTGGTGGAACTTTGAAGCATGTATAGCTCATGGAAAGCTCAGCTGGGCACCAATCTTATGGGACCTACTCACGGATATGCCTTTGGCTCTCAAGTGCCTTAAACATGATACTCAAAGAATCACTACCGCCTGCTCGAAGTGGGGTTTTGACACCAGGTATTTATTATAGATTGATGCTAGTAAGTAAAGGTCGCAAATCCAAAACTGAAGCACTCTCTCTCGGTTGTAAGCCATTAAGCCAACTTTTGAATAAGTTTTTCATGAGAGTGTCTATATATATGTATTTTACCCTCTTTTAATATTATACATTTTCTTTACAATCATCATGTTTTTTTTTTTTTTTTTTTTTTTTTTTTTTTTTTTTTTTTTTTTTTTTTTTTTTCGAGTATTCAAGAGACTTTTGTTTTATATTCTACTCTCTTAACAGAACATGATTCTTGCTTCTGAGGTAATAAAAACCAATTCCAAGCTTTAGTATCACTAATTTTCTCTTCCTTTAGCTTTTACAAGACTTAATAAGCTTCAAGCAGATAGAGCTTCCTAAAAATTTAAGAGATCCCAATCACTAAAACCTGGCTTCCCCATACTAGACTTCTAAACCACTTCAGCCGTCCATTCATTTTCACCAGAGCCTTGGCAGACACTCAAAATTACCAATGGAGAGCTGTTTACTGGTTCGCCGCTTGTGTTACCTTGATCATCGCTATTTCTAGAGCAATGTTACCTGCTTTCCTTCAAAAGCAGGCTATCAAAAGGTATCAGATGGAAGCTGATATTGTTTTTGAGAGCGAAGAAAGCCCTCAAAATCTATTGGCTCATGACCATCTACATGGTTATTCTCATGGCCGGTTTCAATTTTGTGTCTCAAGAAGACTTGTTCCCAACTTTCTTGACTGAACAATTGGGCTTTTCGAAAGACAGATATAATGGACCTGCCCAACATAGAAGAACAAGAGTGAAGCCACGGTATCGAGATATTGGTCTTTGCAGACCTTCCAGCTCGAAAGTATCAACAGGTTTCGGAATATCGACGACTAGCAGATTAGAAGAGAGCGATAGCTTCGAGATCGACGGCTTTCAGAAAATAGGGATATTTAAAAAAGTTTTGCGTTTTTCGAACTGGGACTGTCAATTTTCAGGTGATCCTTTGTCCTTGTTTTAAGCTTAGCCCTAAAGGAACAAACAGACCAAGACTACTCCAAGGGGTCCGACGACGTCAGAAAACGCCACAATAGATATTTCATCAACGGAAGGGAAATGGCTAGTTGTGAAAATCAAAATACTAAGATGCTGATCATGACGATCTTCAGCTACTACCCTGTCTCTACTGATCTTAAATCTAAAAGCAAATCAAAAGTTGGCGAAGAATCCGGATTACAAATTCCAACAACAACCAACTGAAGACCCGGCCAGACCACTGTTGATGTGGCTCGATAGCGTGGACTTACTACTTCTCATCTATCGTTGATGAGGTAAGTACCTTCCCATGAGCTCTACATGCTACTGGATCAACAAGTCTACAGTGGAAATGACAAATGACATTCCACCACCATTGACGGGTCAGATAGTGACAAAGCGCACATCCACATCCACCTACAACCAACTGTCTAAATCTCTATCATCTAAACCTGATCTAAACCAACGACTCGAGCGACTTGCACCGGATCCAGAACAAAAAGCAATAGCAAGATTTCAGAAATCCCACTCACTGGGCCTCACACCGATCCCATTCACATTCCTAAACATGTAAACGCCGTTTTTGTCCTCATCAGCGACAAACTGGCACGAACGAAGCACCTTCCACAACGACTTCCACATCGACTCTCCCTCGTATCTGTAGTGCTCTCCCATGACCTCCTTGATCGCCTTGGTGGCCTTTCTGGCGTTGTAAAAGGGGATTCTCAGCACATAGTGGTGGAGAACATGGGTTTCGATAATATCGTGGAAAATGTGCTGGCCCACAAAACCAAAATCACGGTCAATGGTAGCAGCAGCGCCTCTGGCAAAAGTCCACTCTTTTTCCGAATAGTGGGGCATGGAAGGGTCGGTGTGCTGGAGGAAAGTGACGAAAACAAGCCAGTGGTTGACCCAGAGCCATGGGAAAAACCAGTTCACAAGCACAGGGAAAGAGCCAAACGTCTGGGTAGCAGTGTAAACGCCGAAAACGGTGGCCAAGATGCCGATGTCGCTGAGAATGATATACCAAAACTGGTTTTTTTCAAAAATCGGCGATTTCGGAGCGTAATGGGACTTGGCCCACCACGAAACACCCGGAATGCTCTGTCCCGTAGCGTTGGTGGCCAAATAAAACTGCAAACCGCCAAGCTGCTGGAAAAGAAGCACCGCCAAAGTCCAGATCGGCAGGTCCTCCATAACCTCTCCAATCTTATTGGCTCCGTGGCCTTCAACAAACTCCTCCTGGGTGTGAGGAACGAAAACCATGTCTCTGGTCAAATGCCCAGTGGCCTTGTGGTGCTTGGCATGGGAGAATTTCCAGGAAAAGTAGGGCACGCCGAGGTACGAGTGGAGCACCCAGCCGACAAAATCGTTGATGTTCTGGTAGTCAGAAAAAGCACCATGTCCACACTCGTGGGCTAGGATCCAGAGTCCAAAGCCAAAAAGACCAATGAGGTACAGCTGGAGCGCCCAGAGGCAGCCTCGGACGAGCGGCAGGGTCACCGAAGGAATCCACGAGTTTCCAGCCCAGCCAATGAAAACCATCATGGCGATATCTCTCGCCACATAGCCTAGAGAACGCACCAAAGAACGCTTGTAGCAGTCCTTGGGGATCGCCTGGAGAATGTCCTTGATGGTGTAGTCCGGCACATGGAAGTCGTTGCCGTGGGTGTCTTTGGTGACGATTCCGGCGGTGGGGCCTTCTGGGTGGTTGTAGTAGAAGACATGGTGGTTTTGAAAAATCGGCTTGTGGGTTTATGTGGGCCTGCACCTCTCTTATCCGGATGAGCACGGGGCTGAGCGATGCGGGATTAAATCTCGGCGATATTGGTTTCTACGGGGAGCCCTTACCGAGAAGAATTTACTGGTGGTGCTTATTTTTGCCATAAAGCCAAGCGTGGTGAGATCACTGGCACCTGGCGTGGCTGCAATATCCGGATAAGAAGGGTGCAGCGCATCGCAGAAAAAGCACGTCAAGCGCCAGATGGTCCAGCCTTGCAGCCACTAAAAAAAGCTCAAAAATCAGCACATGGTCGGCGGGCAAGGGACGTTTTTTTTTTTTTTTTTTTTTTTTTTTTTTTTGAATTTTGATTCGGAGAGGCGGTGGAGCGGTTTTGAATTTTTCTTCTTTTTTGATCGTCTGTTGCTTTTTGTCTTCTCGTAAACAGCCCAACGTAGGCGTCGATGAAAACCGTGAATTTTTCATTTTGGTGAAATGTGGTGATTCTGGTGATTTTGAAAATCTTCACCCCCAAAATCCTGAGAACTCTTCCCAAAATCCTGAAAACTCTTCACCCCCAAAATCCTGAAATGTTCTTGTTTACGCTGCTTGCGGCCCGTTGGCCGTTTTTCAATCCACGGCCAAAAGCCCGTTTTACGCCTTGTGCATTGAAGTCACCGGGAGAGAAGAAGGAGTTTGGGTTTCAGAAAAAAAGCTTCAGAAGTAGTTGTAAAATGCTTTCTTTGACGTTTTGTGATCCTGGAAAGGCATTTTGTGGAGGTTCATGTGGATCGGCTATCGTGCCAGTGTCCATGTGCAAGAGCAGGTGGTTTTCTCCAGCGGGAACTATGGACTATTTTTTTTTTTTTTTTTTTTTTTTTTTTCATTATTAGAATGTATTAGCGGGACGCTTCTAACAGAGGATTCCCCTCTACTAGAAACCAAAACTATATCGCTATAGAAACACAACCCACTAATCAAGCACCCAAATGTCTTCCATTACCGAAAAGGCGCAACAGACTTCATCCTGAACTTCAGGCCCTGGTCCATCTACTGAAAGGCATTTGTTAGTGGTGTCTGCCTTGTACGGATCATCGACCCATTGGCAGAACTTGGCGCATAGCCTTCTTCATCTCCCGAATCAGAAAGGAGGATACTTGTCTCCCTTCTGCTTCAGTTCGTCGTCTTTTACCATACATGAGTTTCACCACCTTCACAAACCAATTCAATTTGCGTAAGTTGTCAAATAAGGTGTCCTCAGGGGCTAACATCTCTCTGAGGTTCATTTCATTTGTAAACCCCAGTCTGTGCCACCAGTATCGTGATACCGCACACTCATTGTATAGATGTGCGAGCATCCCATTCAGCAGCTGTTGATTTAAACAGTAGTAGCATTTTTCTTGCTCTGTGCTTTCACTGTCATGAATCGGCACATACGATCCAAAGTTAAAGTGATGAATAGCTTAAAAGTAACGTTGCGTTTGAGCCATTCTTATAAAGGCTTTTCCAGAATTTGTCCCACCTTTTGATCGGCTGTGCTTCCGGGCATATTTGGCGAAACCTACCCAGCATGATTGGTGGCTTCTTCTGTTGATTTTTGCGGCTTAGAGATATGAAAGTCCCCAGCTTCACTTGTTGTTCCTCTGATTCCCTAGGATGACCTGGAAGACTCAAGATGGCGTCCCCATCTTCTATTCTCATCCTGGAAGCTATAGTGGCGTGGCGAGTCTCTCTCGTTCCTCTCACCAACAGGTACCATGCTTGAATATATTGGATCTCCGTCTCCGTGAAGGTCCATTCTAGTTGTTCCAAGTAGCGATTGTCTTCTTGGAATAAAAGTTCCTCCCAGTACAATCCGCTACTGAATTTGATATGTTTCTTCTGATCTTTGTGAAAGATTATCACCACATGATGGAGCATCTTCGATCTCAAATACTTGATAAACCACAGATTGTCATCTCCAAGCGTGCGTGCAAGAACTTGGGCCCGATGTCCTTGTAGTTGTCTTTTGAGCTCAATGAGTCCGTTTACCACTTGGCCTTTATAGCCAAATGGGTAAATGTAGAATTTTCAATATGGTCTATTTGTATTAGTTAGCATAGGTTCACAGGGTCTGGTACACATTTGCATTCGCTGCAAAACACGCTACACTGCTCTGCGCACCCGTGCACCTCACCATACTAGAAAAATTTTCCAAAGTTACACAGGCTAGATCAACAAGCTTCTCCAAAAAAAACATGCCAGCTCCTACCTACGAGGAACTTGAGAAGGAAGTCACGGTCGATGACCTTGACTTCTCTGATTTGGAGGCCAAGTACGCCGTCAGCTCCGACTTGGGGCTCGACAACTACGTGGTTGTGGACGGTACTCCAAAGGCTCCAGCTTCTAAAGCTCCATTGTTAGAGAAAGTTTTGAGAAAGTTTTTGAGCAAAGTCGGTGAAATTGTCGAGGGCGAGGCCGGTTTGTACCTTCCAGTCGAGGACAACATGACCAAGGGCTACATTTTTGTTCAGTACAAGAAGCCAGAGAGCGCTAATGCAGCTGTTCTGACCTTCCACAACAAGCCTTTCGATGCCAAGCACAAGTTGCTTGTCAACAAATTCGCCGATGTCGAGAGATACTGTAACGATGGTAACGTTGCCGACGAGTTCGTTGAGCCAGAGGTGCCTCCAATGAAGGAGACCGGTTACTTGAAGTCTTGGTTGCAAGATGACGCTGGTCGTGACCAGGCTGCCTTGCACTTTTCTGAAACCGTGGGTGTTTACTGGACCAACAAGAAGGTTGACCCCAAGGCCGTCACCGAGCCAAGAAAGGGCTTCACTTCCAAGTACGCCAAGTTCTCTCCAAAGGGTACCTACTTGTTTTCGATTCACCCACAGGGTGTTCAGTCCTGGGGTGGTGCCAACTTTGACAGTGTCAGCAAATTTGTGCACCCGCAGGTTCGTTTGATTGACTTCTCTCCCAACGAGAAGTACATGGTGACCTTGTCCCCTGCCCCAATCACCATGCCTACCAACGCCGAGGAGGCTGCTAACTTCCCATTCGGTCCTGAGTCTGAAGGCCACAAATTGGTCATTTGGGACTTGACTACCGCTGAGGTTGCCAGAACATTTGCTTTGCCTCCTCACTTGGAGAACCAGAAAGACATGCCATGGCCTCTTGTGAAGTGGTCTTTCGATGACAAGTACTGTTGTCGTCAAGGCCCAGATGCCTTGGCTGTCTACGAGACCCCCTCTTTCCAGTTGTTGGACAAGAAGTTGGTGAAGATCGACGGTGTTGTCGACTTTGAGTGGGCTCCAGCTGGTGTCCACTTGTTGGGCTCTAGAGAGGAGCACGGCGAGCACGTCTTGTCCTACTGGACCCCTGAAACAGCCAACCAGACCGCCAGAGTTGCTCTTATGCAAATTCCATCCAGAAGAGTTCTTAGAACTGTCAACTTGTTCCAGGTCAGCGATTGTAAGATGCACTGGCAGGACGAGGGTAAGTTCTTGTGTGTGAAGGTGGACCGTCACACCAAGTCCGGTAAGACGTTCTTCTCCAACCTTGAGTTTTTCAGAACCACAGAGAGAGACATTCCTGTTGAGAAGTTGGAGTTGAAGGACGTGTGTATCAATTTCGCATGGGAGCCTGTTTCCGATAGATTCGTCACCATCAGCAGGTTGGATGACGGTAACAACAACCCAGCCATTCCAAAAAACCTGGTTTCTTTCTACTCGACAGAGCCTGCCACGAAGAACAAGGCAGCCAAGTTCAGAGTACTCTCAAAGGTCGAGAACAAGCACTCCAACACGCTCAGTTGGTCGCCTAGAGGCAGATACATTGTCGTCGCTACCATCGCCAAGTCTTCTGGTGAGTTGGAATTCTACGACACCAACTTCGAGGACGAGACCACCAAGAAGCCTACAGTCAAGTTGCTCAAGGCCGAGAAGTTCGGCGGTATGACCAACATTTCTTGGGACCCATCTGGAAGAACCGTTGCTGCCTGGTCTTCTTCGTGGGTGCACGCCATCGAAAACGGTTACAGATTGTACGAGTTCACCGGTGAGCAGTTGAGAGACGACTCGATGGACCAGTTCAAGGACTTCATCTGGAGACCCAGACCTGCGTCTATGCTCACGGCTGCCGACCAGAAGAAGGTCAAGAAGCAGTTGCGTGAGTACAGCGCCCAGTTTGACGAGATTGACGCCATGGAGGCCGATGCTGCCACCAGAGAGGCCATCTTGTTGCGCCGTAGACTCCTCGAAGAATGGAAGGAGTACCGTGCCAAGCACGCGGGCAAGAAGGTTGAGGACCACGACGTGGAGGCCGAGATTGTCGAGGAGATCAAGGAGGAGATCATCGAGGAGACCGAGGAGTTGGTGGAGTAAGTGCATAGATTATACAGTTAATGGTAATGCGACTAGGATTCTATTTACAATAAATATGCTGGTTTTGAGGGGGGGTCCGACTAGGCGGCCTTGGTCTTGAGCTGAAGACCGTGCCATTGGGCGATTTCGTCCTTCAACACCTCGTTGACCAAGCGGTGCTGTTTGATCATAGGGATTCCTTTGAATTGGGAGCTTTCAACCGTGATGGCAAACATAGAGCCGCAGCCACCCAGAATGTCCCGAACTTGCAATGTCAGCGGGTCAAAGTGGTTTTTCAAGATATCATAGATCTTCTGTTCGTAAGAACCCATAGGTTCCACAGTCAGGAACAGTCTGAGCGCAGCTTGCCTCAGCGCTAGCGGAAGCTGTCTGGTGGAGAGTCTGAGCGGAGCTCTAAGAGCCAATCTGGGCACAAATCGTAACATATATGTGTAGTTGTAGGTTTTGAAGCTGCGACAAATCAAAGATGCTGCTTAGTGATGGTGTGCAGACACCACCGGGTGGGTAAGAAGAATGAAGGGAATCGGGTGGGGAAATGGCTCTTCGAGACTATAATGATCTTTCGATAGTGATCTTGTCTTCTAAGCTTTCAGGTTTTTTATACTGAATGGAGTTAATTCGGAAATGTACGGTGGGTGGTGGGATGGGTGGTTTACTAATGGCTGCGAAAACTGACTCGGATGGGAAGGGTCCATGCTGGGGTGCCATTACTAGTAAACTGGAGGCTTTTGATGAATTCGATCTCTCATGCAATTTGCAACGTTGAGAAGATGGAGCCAGGAATCATACTTTTAAGTGAAGTCTGATCTTATGGTAGTTGCACTGGTATTCTTCTCCATTACTGCCGGTCAGGCATCTGTAGCGACCACACTACATTTGGCAAGTACATATTGGGGTATTTCCTTCTTTCTCCAAAACATGTACCCTGAAGAATATGAAGCTAATTTTGAAATCACTGGTGTATGTCTGCTGTGCTCTCTACCAATACACATCACGCAAAGGCCAATGTGACAAACCAATTAAACATGTGAAGTTCATGAAAAGAGCGAAAAAGAAGATGAAAGAATTTATTTTTCTTCATCACTTTCCTACTATCACTGCCCTTATGTAATACACCTACAGCTCACCTGGACTGCACTACTAGATTTCGCAGCCTTGTTTCAACTACATCTTCAATAACACCACCATAAACAGCCATTGATGTCGCTACGAATTGTCATATGCGGTGACGATGCCGTAGGTAAGCTGACCCTACTAGCTTCCTTGGTGAAGGGCGAATATGTCCCTTCGGTTCAAAGCATCATACCTTCAGTCACCATATCCAAAGATGACTATGTCGCCATGAGCGATCTGATATCAGAAGATTCCGAAATTGACAGCTCCACATCGTCACTTCTGCCCTATATTCCATCAACAACCGTCATTGTCGATACTTTGGCGTCTGACCGCATGACCCTCAATAAGGAGCTCAAACAAGCGGATGTGATACTTCTAGTGTACCTGGACCATTACACCTACGAAAGAATCCTGTTGTACTGGATGCCTTTCTTCCGTGCTCTGGGTGTCAATTTGCCTGTTATAGTCTGTGCTAACAAAAGCGATCTACACGGTCTGAGTGAAAAGCCTCTATCGTTCAAGCAGCAGAACGCTGAGGAGTTCGTTCCTCTTATCAACGAATTCAAGGAGATTGAAGCGTGTGTTAGATGTAGCGCTAAAACTAGTGCCAATGTCGTGGACGCCTTCTATCTTTGCCAGAGAGCAGTGACACACCCGATATCGCCTATCTTTGACTCTAAAGAGGGTAACTTAAAACCTGCTGCTGTGGAGGCACTCAAGCGTGTTTTCTTTTTGTGTGATGCTGACCAGGATGGATACCTCTCTTTTCAAGAATTCTCGGACCTTCATTCAAAGTGCTTTGGACATCCAGCTTCACAAGAGGAGTTCGACGACATCGTGCTCAGTTTAAGCAGTGTGATCCTCCCATCTGAAGGTGATCCAAAGGGCATATCCGAAAATGCATTCATCATCTTGAATAAGATGTATGCCGAGAAGGGCCGTCATGAAACTATATGGGGTATACTACGGGCCTTCCAGTATACAAACTCACTTTCGTTGAATGATAAGTTTCTATTTCCAAGCATCGAGGTTTCTGAGCACTCCAGTGTTGAGCTCAGTCCTATCGGCTACCGTTTCTTTGTTGACTTGTTTTTAAAGTTTGACAAGGACAATGACGGTGGTTTGAATGAAGAGGAGCTCTCTAATTTGTTCTTGCCTACACCAGGAATTCCCAAGCTCTGGAAGGAGTCAAACTTTCCATCGTCCATTGTCTGCAATGAAAGAGGCTACGTGTCATTGCAAGGGTGGTTGGCTCAGTGGAATCTAACGACTTTCCTTGACCACAAAACTACTTTGGAATATTTGGCCTATTTGGGTTTTGATGAGGGCAATTCCACCAAAGCCATAAGAGTAACAAAGCAGCGCAAGCTTAGACAGAAGCAAGGTAAGCAGTATCGCAGTCCTGTCAATGACAGAAATGTGTTCAACTGCTTCGTTGTGGGTGGTCCGCAATCTGGAAAGACGTCACTTCTTGAGCAATTCATCAGAGGTACCTTCAGTGAATACTACTCGCCCACTATACAACCAAAGATATGTGTTAAAGATATCGAGCTTCGAGGCGGAAAACAATGTTATCTCATCCTCGAGGAGCTTGGTCAGCTTGAGCCAGCCATTCTTGAAAACAAAAGTGTGCTTGATAAGTGTGATGTTATTTGCTACACCTACGACTCTTCGGATCCAGACTCTTTCCAATACCTTGTGGACCTTCGCAAGAAGTTCCTGAATTACCTAGACGAGATCCCTTCAGTATTTGTCGCCTTGAAAGCTGATCTCGATAAACAACAACAAAGATCCGATGTGCAGCCCGAAAATTACACAAGGGATCTATTCTTAAGCTCGCCACTACACATTTCGAGTTCCTGGACCACTTCACTACACGAACTCTTCATCCAATTGGTCGACGCCGCCAAAACCCCCAGCATCTCGACACCAGGTCTCGAAACGCATCCTGATACAACTGATTTTGAAAATCTCAAGCATTATCTCATTGCGGGTGGTGCCATTGGTTTCATGGCTATCTTCTCTGTCTGGATATGGAGAAGTGCGCAGATTCTGAATCGCTAGTGGTGATATGAGTTTTGCACGCACACTTTTTTTTTATCAGAGATGCGCATCTCTAAGGCATCTCAGCCAGGACATTTTTATCAATCACTGCCGAATATGTCTGACCAAAAAGAGTTTAAGCCAGTTACGGTTAAGAAACCTATTCCTAATACATATGATCTCGGTAACTTGGCCACGTTTGATCCAAACCCTTTGGACAACGCCCTTTTGAAGGACCCCGAGCAAAAGGAACAGCATTTGGCTGCTGTCACCAGAGACAATTTGCAGCTCTTGATCAACCAGGTTTTGTCCTTGCCCGTGAAAACTACCACAGACGCTCAAGGTACCTCTGCGGGCCAAGACTCTACCATGGCCCTTATACAATTGCCTGAGCCAAGTACTCCGTTACCCAGGGAAAAGGCTATTCCAAAGGCCAAGCCACCTACGAAATGGGAGCAGTTTGCTGCTAAGAAGGGTATCAAGGCTAAGGCCAAGGACGGTAAGATGGTTTACGACGAGGCTACTGGTGAGTGGGTTCCTAAGTGGGGTTACAAGGGTAAGAACAAGGACTTGGACAACCAGTGGTTGGTGGAGATTGATGAGAAGGTCAAGGGTACTCCCGATGAGTTGATTGACCCTAGAACATTGAAGCGTGCTGAGAGAAAGAAGTTGGTGAAGAAGAACGAGTTGCAGCACAAGCGTAACTTGAAGAACTCTCAGGTTTGAGCACGCCCGACAGGTTTGAGCACGCCCGACCAGCATCGCATCTGTATCATAGCAATAAAGGCATTGGAAACTACTGATTCTGTAGAAGCTTGGAGTGGGTGGGTAATTAATTTGAGGAAAGCCATGAGGGAAATTGGAAAATAAGAACTCATGAGCATTCGAAGAGAGGCTTATCAAACGGAAGCGTCATTTTAGGAAACTACAGCCGCTTTTAAGTCGAAAGAGGAATGTCCATTTGGTATGCAAGGAACAAGGATCATTTTTAACACATTCCGCAGAAATGCTGTCCAACTTTCCGTAGATTGGTTAAAGTAATGGCGACAAAATTCATACAATTACAATGGTACATCTATCCTCGCTAATTTCAAAAGCTTAATTAAGCATGTTTGTTCAATCGGTCTGACAAGACTCGGACGCAGACCCTTACTGCACCCTTACTGCACCCTTACATTCACCGTACATAACCTGATACAGCATACCCAAAGAAGTGTTGAAATCTTGTTTCTCGAAACATTGAATTCCTTCAGTCGAACACGAGGCAGCACATACGAAATCAAATGAATGGATGTCCTTCTTTCATTCGGAAGACCCCCGGTTTGACGTTTCTACGTACACTCCCTACCTCAAGCCAGGCCATCCGATACACCCTTCACCAGAATTTCAAAACACCTAAATGTGACAAGAACGGTATAAATCCTCATGAGCCACCAGCAAATCACCGTCACGAGATTCGTCCAGGACAGTCTAAAATCACAATGGTCTGCTAAGTTGGCAACCTGCACAGAGACGGGTTCGATACATTCGCAACTCCATGTCTCAAATGCTGTAGATGGACTAAACCACTCCAGATGAGTACCTACGACCCGGAACACTACCGGCCTATGATTGACGTATGTTGGAATTGCTTTTGTTCTTAGACAATGCTAACACCAGGCTATCCTCAGTGTCGCCGACCTAGAAGAAATCACAGTGAAGAGGATCAGAAATGCTCTCCAAGAGCTATTCGCCGTGGACTTGCTTCCCCACAAGGTATGTACTGACGACTTTGACTTGAAATTCCGCTAACCCACAGAAAGAGATGAACAACTACATTCTACAACGGTACTACAAGCTCCTAGACGAGAAGGATAATAAGAAGGACGATGTGGAAAAGAAGGAGAGGGAGTATCAGGACCATCTCCTTGCGCAGAAGTTGCTGCGGTCCGAGAATAATAGACCATTGACCCGGCGGGGTGGCTCTTCCAAGGTGGTCAAAAAGAAGGTTTCAAAAAGAACAGGCAAAACTCCCAATACGGCCTTCAATCAGGAGCTTGTGCTCTCTCCGCAGCTTCAGGAAGTTGTCAAGAGTGAGCGGTTGAGCCGGCCGCAGGTTGTCAAGCAGATGTGGGCGTACATCAAGGCAAATAATCTTCAAGACCAGCTGGACAAGCGAAAGATTCATTGTGACGAAAAGTTGAAAAACGTGTTCAAAAAGCTGCTGGTAGGCATGTTTGAGATGAACAAGATTCTTGGCGACCACTTCATCAAGGACGACGAACTTTTGAACGGCCAAAAGGAGGACACCGTAAGCACTAGCGAGGAGGAGGTAAAGCCCAACCTAAAACGGGAGGTAATTTCGGACGATAGCGAGATCAGCGATGTCGACGACTAGACATGTATTATACTGTACCGACTAATGTACTGAATACGATAATTGCAGCACATGGGAGAGGAGGAGATAGTGAACAAGAGTTGTGGGTTACAGTACTCTATTGACAAAACAGCGGACGGAGAGTCAAGGATCCGGCCAAATCAGAGCAATAGTCGATAAACTCTCCTTTAATTTAAAAACGCTGGGCTTAATTCAAATCATCGTCTCCAATTAACTGACTTTTTTTTCATTCAGCCGCCCTTGAAATACAACGTCGACGATGCCCAGAATGGCCGCAAATCGTCACAATGCGGATAGCTGCAAGCCTACAATACTCATATACTTTCCAAAGAGGAAACAATCATAGCAAACAGTAAACCAGTAATATTCACTAATCAACTTCTATACAACATTTCCCAAAAATAAAATAAATCACCGTCCTCTCCAAATCTCCGTAATCGGAATATTCTTCACCTGGTTGTCCACGCGAGCGCATGCTGGAGCAGCATAAACACCATCGCCATATGCCGTCTACAACCACATAGCTTCAAAGTAAGAACACCTCGACAAAAACAACACGAATGATCCCCAAGCACGTGGACCCCGGACCTCGCCTGGATTCCCTCAAGCTGACTGTGGAGGATAAGCTGCTTGAATCCGTTGATCTAAACAAGCTTTATGAGCTGGTCCTCAAGGTGCTCTTGCTTGAATACATATGTGAGGCGAGGTTCTACCAGACTATTCGGCCCAGCCCATCGCCGCTGAGGCGTACTGTTGATAGAAAGTCGAGATTCTCGAAAATGGAGCCAGACTGTGCTCTTCCAGGCTATTTGATCGAGGACCTCAAGGCCAAGTTGAACAGTATCGCCATGAAGAAGAGCCACCATGATGACCTCACCAGAAGGTCCTTGTTGAGGTTTTACGGCGACATGCTTGCTCCGTCGTTCAAGACTGACGTGAAGAGAGCAAACAATGTGGACATTTTGGTGATGAAGTTCGTCTCTGCTGCCAATAAGGAAGTGCTCAAAGTCGGCCTGATCCCCAATGAGGAGATCAGCTCGAGAGTGTTTCAGCAAACGGACGAGTTCATCAAGATCATATCGTCATTGATTCAGAGAGACAAAAATAGAGACGCGTTGGTGGCTAAGTTGGAGGAACATAAGGCTGCCTTGAAGCCTGCAAAGCCTGAGACAAACTCCAAAAGTTCTGACAATGTTCACTACCAGGAGCCATCTTGCCAGGTATCTGACATGGATCGCTCCTCGGTGAACCTCATAATGGAGTTGTTTGGAAAGGACCTGGCACAGTTACAAGACGACATTCTTCGGTTAAAGCCTACAGTCACTCAGAAGACGCTCCACAAAGACGTGGACCAGGCTCTATTCTACCTCAACAAAGACATTGGCAAGTATTCGCCAAAACAGTTCTCTTCTCATGCAGCTTATGAGAGTTGGAAAGAAAGGGAACTGGCTTTCTGCCAGCAACTCTATAAGAAGTACCCCGTGCCGTCGTCTATGAAGCTTTTACCCAACTCTGCATTACCAGCCGGTCTGGAGTTCTACATCATGCCTCCCTCGGCGGCTGTATCAAACTACTACACCATATTGACAAAGCTCTGTCTTCTTAACCACAAACTGAAGACAGCTAATCCTAATTCAATGCTTCTTGAAGACGACGTCCTGCTTCTTTCAAACAAGTCCAAGGAGATTCTCAACGCCTGTGCAAGAGTCTGGCGTGTAGATTTCCCAACCCGTGCTGTATGCTTATTCAGCGCAGCCCATTTGGCAGGAATCCTCATAGACCCGCTCTTCCAAAAGAAAGACAAAGAGTTGGGCCCAATTGACTTAGAGATGACCAAGAAGGTTCTCATGTCCTGTAAGCTGGTTGTTGAATCTCATGGAAAGCTTGACTGGGAAGAGAAGCGCTCGTGGTGTGCAAAGGACCAAGACCAATGGTTGAAGTTCTTAGGGTACACTTACAGTGAAACCTTCTACGGTATAAAGGACTGTCTATCCATAATCATGAGCAAGACTGTAAAGCCTAAGTTTGGTCCTTACCTTGCATTTCTTGGTGACTTTGTCGAATCCGACATTTTGTTTGGCAGACTCGCTGAATCAGGAGCTAGCTCAAAGTGGGAAAGAAAACTAACACGTACCCTATTGAGAATATCCGAATCTCTGTATGCTGAAGTTCTCAAGACGTTACCAAGAGACAATTCATTATCCATCTTGCATATCATTGACATTTCTGACGCCCTTGTCGACAATATCAGAACGCTTCAAAAGCGATACAAGAACCCTCTCTTAGGTTTTCTCAATGTCAGCAAAACATATGCTGCTGTCGTCACAGGTATGTTCGCTTCCGATGCTAAGAACGTCTTGAAGCACATAGCCGCTAATACAAAGGCAAGAGGTGAATTCTTGAACTACGGAGATGCTCTAGAAGCATATAAATCTCTTCGAGAGATAAGAAGCATACATGGCCAGGTTTCTCCTCAGAATGCAACCTTCAATTTCAACCTCGAGAAATTCTTCTACCCACATCTCGAAGCCTGGGTTGCCGAGAGTGGCAATAAGATCCGCGATTTCGTTATCAAAGCTATTGAGGAAGATTCTTTTGAGCCTATTGATATTGAAAATGATCAGAAGAAGTACAGTACGTCCGTGCACGACATTTTCACGTTCATCAAGCATTATCTCCTGATTCTCAAAGGACTAGACTGGCAAGACAGGTTTCAAGTAGCCAAGGTTTACACTATGTTGATGAAAAGTATATCGAATTGTGCATTGCTTTATTCGAGCCGAATGAGTGAAATGATCATGGAGGACTTGAACGAAGAGGTGTTGGAGAAAACCCCTGATGTACCTGAAACAAACGGCTGGTTCGCCGAAGTCAAGAGTAAAGTTGCAAGCTACAACTTGAACAACTCAAAAGTGGAGGTCGAAGAGCCATTCAATTTTACCTCGCGTACATGTATTGGACTCAACAATATTGACGCCTTGATCACACAGCTAGCTAAACTTGAGGAGTTGCTCAATCCTGAAGAGGTGTCGCTGTTCATGGCAAAGTATGATCCAAATTCAGGCAAATCATACACTAACCACATTATATCTCTCAGAGTTGTCAAAGCGGAAGAGCTTCGATCTGCACTGGACAGATCGAGCATACGTCCATATTTAACACTTGTTGACACGAAAGCCCGAAGGACAATTGTCAAAACGAGATCTCTTGATGGTGAAAACCCTGAGTGGGATGAAGAAGTGGAGCTCACTTTGGCCGCCAATTCTTCGATGACGATGTCGGCGACTGTCTGGGAAGAAAAGCTTGGAACTCATGCGGTCTGTGGCCGTGCGTTGATGCAATTAGAGCCTAGAAAATTCAAGCACGATGGAATACCACAAGAGGTCTTCCTAGATCTTGACCCTCAGGGAAGGATTCAAGTTGAGATAGCAGTGGAGAGTGAGAGGGAGGATGCCATTTTCGCAATGGGCAGAGCACACAGAGCTTTGAAGCGCAGCGTTGAGCGCATTACCAAGCTTATCGTTGCCAAATTCTCCAAGTTTATCAAACTTTGCTTTTCCAGAAATTCCCTTAAATCGGTCTGTGGTACCAGTGGAAACGTCAAGCCTTCTCAGGAACAGATGGACGAGGCTATGTTACCTCTTTACAACTATTTGAACATGAACTTGCTGGTTTTGGCGCAGTATCTTACCAAGGATCTTTTGCATAAAGTCATGTTGGAGGCTTGGAATATCGTCGTGGCAAGTGCTGATGAGTTGTTGCTACCCAAGCTTGCAAGTGCCAAGGCACTTCGCATAGCCCAATTGAAAAAGTTGAAGGCTGGTGGTAGCTCTGGCAATTTGATGGCATCTGGCTGGCAGTCTGCCGTCTCCTCTGCCATGGCAAATGTGACTAGTTCGATGAGTACCCTCGGTTTTGGCAAGACTCTTACGAACAATGAAATCGAAACTGTCATTGCTTGGCTCCACTTCCTTTGCCTCGACTTCTTCCATAACGAAGGTAACGGTCCACCCATCTACGATCTCAAGACTGAGCAGTACCAATCGATTTTGCTCATACCCGTTTACTACGACAAGAACTCGGCATTCCTCGTACAAGAGGTGGAGAGACTCTCTCCAGCATACCTACAAATGCTTCGTGACAAAAACAACGTCTTCATATCGAATCATCCAGACGCCGATACCGCTAGTTTGAGGAGCAGAGCTGGTTCTATTGCTCGAAGCCTGACGATAAGAGCCAATGCCACTGCCCAAGCAAGAGCACGTGCAGCTAAAGAGGCCAGGGAGCTTCTGTCTGATCCATTGGTTGCTCAGACTTCAGCTGAAAATATCATTCTTCGACTTTTGCTTATCAAAGATGAGAAGGCATTCGTCGCAAAACGTGTTGAACAGAGAGAAAGACTTGCTCACACAATTGCTACTGAGCGTCTTGCAAGAGCAGCAGCGGAAGGAACATTATTTAGATAGACTACGAATCAATCATCATTACAAACTTTTGTTAGATCTCTATGTTACAAACCACTGGTTTTTCCACACTTCCCTCGACTTAAGCCGTAGAATTAACCTGGGCCCCGCCCTCGGGAGCAGTCGTGTCAGCACCTTCCTCTTCATCAGCACCGGCATTGATTGTTACCTCCTCATTTGTAGTTTCATTAACGTCCTGCTGTATGGTCGTGTCATTTGGGTCATGGAAAATAGTAGTGTCGGCATCCACTGTGGTATCGGGATTCACCTTGGTGGTCTCAGAGTCTCCCTTTGAAGATTCTTCGGCAGACTTTTTCTGCTCTTGCTTGAGTGTCTCCCCATCCTCTTCCTCGTCTTCTTTGCTTTCGGGCTTTTCGGTAGTCTCGTCAGCATCCTTCATCTCGACATCCTCGACAGCATCAGCGATTCCTCTGTACTCTGTGGCACCCTTCTTGAGAAGAACGTCGAAATTCAGACTGAGCTTCTCGCTCTGTTCTTCACTGAGGTTAGCTTTCCAACCAAACTCCTCATCATCCAACAATTTCTTGAAAGTCTCAATCTTCTCTTCTGGGGTAGATGTGGGTTCTTTCTGTTTTTGCTGAACAGAGTTTGCTGTGAACTCATCGTGAGCACCAGGCTCAAAGAATAAACGGTATGAGTTTTCGCAAATGGATACTCTGAGGTCAGATGAAGCCTTGCCCTCACATTGCTCTTCCTCGACAGCATCGATAAAAGCCTTATGGAAAGGCATATTGATCTTGGAGGCTGGAACACCTTCAGTTGGGTGAGACATGACATAAGAAGTGACGTAGTAGTTGTAGCTTTCCTCCGCATTCTCATGATCATTTATCGTCAAATCATCAAGAGCAACGAATTCAATGGTGACCGAGTTCTCGGGCTCCTTAATAACAATCTTGAACATATTCTCCTCGTTGCTCATGAGGGACCTCACTTGCATACGATACAAAATCTGATCCTTCGCTGTGGAGGCAGGTGTTTTACGGTCTTGTTCAAACAACACCACCATTTCCGAGGTCTTGGAGTCAGTGATCATCGTATGCATATGCTTCACAAGAGCTTGAACGACCTTGTCAATGGTGTAGCACTTGTAAGCCTTGTTGCGGTACCCTTGACGCAAACTTTCTTCAAACCACTGATGCTCGATTTCGCCGTCGAGTAACCTTTCCGTCAAAGACAACACTTGCTTGTAGCAATCCTTAGAGCCCACCATTTGAACGCCCATCTCCTCAAGCTGATGTGAGACAAGGTTAAGGTCTTTAGCAAACTGTGGGATCTTTCTAGCGCTTATTTCCTTAGCAACCTCTTCATTCATTCCCTTTATCTCCTCGAGTCTTTCGTATAAGGTTCTGAAGTGACGGAAGAACACATATATCGTGGTATTGCAGAAGAAGTTGAATCTGTCACGCTTATGTTCTCTTGACATATCGTCGAGAGAAAAGTTAGATGACGCTGTTCTGATCCACAATTCTCCAGACTTCTCGACTTCATCCACAAGATCGGGCTCCTCGGACTCACTAGCTGAGGAGGCATCCTTCTCCTCCTTTCTGCTCTTGGATTGCTTCTTCAACACATCACGCAATAAGTCTTGGTCACGATTACGTTTCTTAGTGTTGTTTGATTCGACGGTGCCATTCTGCTCCGCATGAGTACCATTATCCTCGGGATTCTTGGCTTCTGCCTCTTTACCACGTTCCTCCCTGGATCTTGCTGCCAATGCTTCCTCGATTGTCTCTTGGCTGATGCCGAAGAAGAAACCGATGAAGTACTTGAAAAAGGCGCCCAACTTGTCTCTGTCACTGCTAGAGTAGTTGGATGAATGGAAAATGTAGAACTCGGCAAGCTTGATGATGTCATAGACCACTTCGAAGTCTTCGAAAACATAGTCAAGCTGTTCCTGAGGCTTTGGCGTCAATGGATGGACCCTCTTATTTTGTTGCTCGACCTTTACCGTACTAATCTCGCTAACAAGTTGCTTGGCAGTAAGAAGCTTTTTGTCTGCTTGTTTGAATGTCAAGCCCAAATGGTCAAGAGATTTGTAGAACACCTTCTGTTCCATCTCTCTCCAAACCTTGTTCCACTCTCTCTGAGCTCTCTTCCACTCTTCATCTTTCTGCTTCAATCTCTTCAAAACAACAGGCACGGCAATAGCGGGATTTTCATGAAGTGCGTCGATGACCTCGAACCCTCTGTCCTTGTCATAAACCTTCCTGATGACCTTTTTGTAGATAGTCTGAGAGGTGTGTCCCAAGCCAGGCGGAAGTTTGAAATTTGCCTTCTGCTCCGCTGTCATGTTTGCGATTCTGTTAGCGATTGTCTCTAGTGTCTGAATGGTGCGCAAGTTGGCTTCTATGTGGTAGTCAAACTCCAATCTTTCCTCCTCGATCTTGAAGAGAATCTCTTCGTACTGATTCTTTCTGTGAGAAATGAAGCCAGAGTCCTCAGAGGCCCAAGTTGGGTGACCCACCCACTCGTCATTAAGAACCTCCCAACACATCTCGTCTCTGCCGGAGCAGGGCATGTAGGTTTCAACCTTTGGCAATTGTCTGTACGAAGGACCATAAGCTTTGCAAAGGGAAAGCTCGATTTGGTGCTTCTTGAAGGTGATATCTTCGATATGTTGTGTCTCTTCCTTGTACCCCACGAATTGCTTGAACCAGTTAAGCAAGTCTTGGTGAGTGTCACCGAGGAAGTAGTCGACTCTCTCGATCAAAGTGGCTTTATCGATGATATCCTGAGAGTACAAATTGAGGAACTTCAAAAATTCGTTGTAGGATTGCTTGTTTCCAATGGCCTTCTTGACCTTGTCAAAGAAACCCAACTCTTCCAGCAAGGAGGATTGTCTGACGGCGGCCGTTGGTGGGACGGGTTCTGGTACACCAGGAACCAACGTTGGGTTGATCTTGGTTCCGTTCTTGGTAAGGACAGTCGGAGCACCTGGAGTACCGTTTTTCAGCTTGTTTGCAGAAGGCTGAACACCGGCACGCATACTGGAGTATTGAGCCTCCTCATTGTAGTTGTTCTCATATGCCAGTTGCTCGGATCGTCTTCTCATGTCCTCGTGCATCATAGCACCACCTTGCATAACCATTTCTTGGGGTGGCATTTCGTAGTGAGCACGATACTGTTGCTCTCCGTTCATCATAGGGCCGCCAGCGGCGGGTTGAAAGTTTCCTAAAGGTGGCAACTGTGATCCGTTATTACCTGGAAAGTAAGGTGGTTTATCGACATGCTGCAAGTGAGGCTGAGCCTGAGCCTGAGCTAGAAGAGCTGGACCGTCGTGAGACCTCCCTGGTTGCAAGAGCGGCTGGTTCCCACTGTCAGGCAAAAATTGTTTGAAGTCGTTAAGCAAGTCAGGAGAGCTTGAGAAAAGCAGGGTGACCTGCTCATAAACCTCGCCAATAGGTTTCTGTTCGCGCTGGTAAGTCTGCAAGATTTCCAAAAATTGCTTGTAGATATCTGGCTGGTTAGCAAATCTCGTCTTGATCTTGTTAACATAAGAAATGGCGTGGTTGAATTCGACCTGACCACCGGCCCCAGGCTGCTGCTGTTGCTGTTCGGTTGGGAACTGCTGCAACTGGTGAGGGAGCATTTGCTCGGCGTTCCACTGCTGCTGCTGCTGTTGTTGCTGGGGAGGAAGGTTCATGTTTGGCCTTGTCGTAGTGCCCGTTGGAGTAGTCACTCTGATCGGGTTGGGGTCAGAGGGGTCTAAGGAGCATTCAATTCGGTATCCAGGTGGTAAGAACGTGTTGAAGCCCTGGATCAAGTTCGGATGGCCACGGAACAAGGTGGACACTCGGTCGATGACGCCCGGGGTGTCTATGCTCTGCAGCTTGAAATCCTTCATGATATCCAAAAAGTTGTTGTACACGTCTGCCTGGTTGTAGAACTGGATCTTCACCTGGTCGAGGTAGGACAAAGCATCTTTCACGTTCAATGGTCTGTAGGCGCTGGAAGATGAGGACCGGTTCAACACGCCGGGTGGGAGGGGACCCTGTGGCTGCGAAGCTGGACCTATGGGGCCCTGGGCCTGCTGCTCCTGGGTTCCCAGAGGTGCCAGGGCTGTGCGCTGCGGATCGTGAGAACCGTGTGGCTGCAGTTTCTGGCTAGCGGCAGGCTGGGTCTGTGGCAGCGACTGATGTGGAGGCTGCTGCTGCTGCTGGGGCTGACCCTGCGGCTGAGGCTCCTCCTTGACCTTTTCCTCCGGCGGATCGCGGTTGGTGATGTTGTAGATGGAGTTGGATGGTCTAGGTGGGTTCTGAGGGAGCGAAGAGAAGCCCTGGACGTGAGGGAGGTGGGGCCCTTGCGAAGAGCCCTGAGGGGCCTGGCCTTGCAGCGAAGGCGTAGGCTGGCCGCCCGAGGGTCTTCTGTCGTCGTTGGAGCTGATGGATGGGATGGTGAAAACGTGCCCTGAGGAGTTGTTGGCTCTGTTGCCCAAAGCAGGTAGGTTAGGGAAAGGCGAAAAGGGCTGGCCGCCTGCCTCCAACGTGGCAGGGGGTGGCAAAACAGGCGGATTTTGGCGGCTGCTGTTAGTACTGGGCGTGATGTCGCTGGATGGTAAAACATACTTGAAGGGCTGGCCTAGCGGGATGCCCTGGTTGGACCAGCGGTCCTGCTGGTTCGTCATGACTGGACCTGCTGAATAGGATTACTATGGATGGAGATCTTGAAAAAAGCGGGTAAGCTTTTGCTTTATTGGACCAGGGTGTTGTTGCAGGGTAGGAAGTCAATTGACAACTCGAGAGCGGTGCGTATGGCTGCCTGGGCGGGTAACCCCGGCTGGTTTTCGGTGAGCGAGGAGGGAGATGCATTGGTCGGTTGTGTGCAGGCGCGGTATAAGCGCCAGCCCACGCTAAGCGAAGGTCACCTGTTACTACGGCAAGAAATTCAGAAATTTTGCAGGTGAAGAAAAATGGATGAATTTCAGGTTGAGCTTTTTGGGCCCGACTGAGGAAAAGGTATTTTCAGGTCAGCATACTGCAGATGGCGGGTGGGGTGTTTGTTGTTTCCTGGACCGGCCCGGTAATACGACGCAGGTCTGGCTGATAAGTGAGTAAGCCAATGGGTGGTGGATGAGTTGGGAATTGAACATTTTGGGAATTGAACATTTGAGATTTGAGGGTCATTGGTGATACGGATTAACTGGATCTGTAAAGCAGCGGGGCTTGTAGAGATAAGGCAGGATGCGGTAGGGACCGATGGCTGTGCTCGAGAGATGTGGAGAATGACAGTCTGAAAATGGGGGAGGTATCTCACGCTCATTGAGACCGACTTTTTCCAGCTTGGGGTGCTTTCATAACAGGACAAAGCATGTGCCCGGATTGACATGGGATGGATCGGTGAGGAAGATGTTGGACAATATGTATGGGGATCTTCGGCTAGACGCCGAGAATAGCCGGGTTTGCCAATGATTTCAACCCATGGCTATCTTTGACGATATAAGGTACACTTTAATAGTCTCCTGTGTAGGCACCATGTCATCAAAAGTCATTCGGATCATCTGCAACTCTTATCTTCATGGTAGCGGCATTATACCTGTCTGAAGGCATGGTCAAACGGAGTCAAGTAGTTGATCGATGATTCGATACTTTTTGACATAAATGAGCATCGAATTATCGAGTCAACTGCTTTTGATGAGTATCGAGGCGTCGCCCTTCCAAATTGAATTTTTACAAATACTCTTGCACAATTCGTACTTTACCATGTTCACAGAAGTGCTGGCTCTTTACTTTGTGGGTGCGAAAAACGCAACACCGTAACATCTAGGACCAACCTTCATAAATCACAAACATCTCAATGGCCCACAAAAAGAAGTCGATTCGACATAAATACCATTCTTACATGTCTACAAAACTCTGTTGATTCTTTACCCTTCCCTTCCTGGCAGACCTTTGATCACCACCTCTTCGGCTCCTCCTCTGACACCCTCCTGCAGGAAAGTCGAACGAAACGAAAACTTCACCTTCAACACCTCTGTCCTTGTTGCCACCATGAACGCTCCAGACAGATTCGAGTTGTTCATCTTGCCTGACGGTGTTGAGAAGTATGTAACTGCTGATATTTGGTTTTAATTACGCTAACCACAGAATCAAAATCATCCCAGACACAAAGGTGCCCAATGCTGCCATCATCAAAATCGAGAGAGAGGATCACACGCTAGCTAATTTGTTAAGATCTCAGCTTGCTAAGGATGACAGAGTTATCTTTGCTGCTTACAAGGTGGAGCACCCACTTTTTGCCAATTTTGTGTTGAGAATCCAGACTGACGATGACTACACACCAAGAGACGCTTTGAAGAACGCCTGCTCAAACCTCATTTCCGAGTTGGATGTTCTCAAAACCAAGTTCAAGGACGAATGGGCCCTTAAGTCCTTGCTTAACAACGACGACTACTAATTACTTGTATATTATAGGCACCATTTGACATGGTACAAAACAGGATATCTACAGCAAGGTACTTTTCATCTATGCATTTGTAGTATTATACATTAGTGGGAATCTTATCCCTCATGGCTTTTTCGATCATGGCTATCTTCTCCAAACAGTTAGGCACCTCCGTCTGAGGGAAGTTACCTTGCTTCAACACTAATACTAGTGGGTGAGTTTGGATCACTCTATTGGGCGAGACGTGGGAGATGGCGAGTCCGCCTTTAGAAATGCAAATCTTGTGGTGGTCTTTGAAGTTGAATTGGAAGTTACCGTTGGTCATCTCGAACATGATGTAGTCGCTGTTTCTAGTGTATCGCCTCAAGAATACAACTTGTTTGCGCAGCTCGTTTTCGCTGACCTTCGACAAGTTTGTGTTCATGTACTTGGCGAAGAAGTCGACGATTTCAAGCTGTCTCTTTGCCTGTGCTGGAGGGTTCGTTACCGAGCTTTCGATACATGCCCAGCCTTCTTTCTCGTGGTAGATCAATTCAAAGAACGAATCGCTGTCGTGAAGTTTGAGGATGGTGTTTTCATCGTTGAACAAAACACCAATGTCGTCATTATTCAACTGATACGAGAAACCGTATTTGTTGGAGTAGTCGACCCACTTGGAAATAAGCGTGGGGTTCTCGCAAGTGGGAAGCTCTTTGACGTCCAATTCCAACTTTGACCTCTCTCTGGTGAGATCCAGTAGACGGCGGATTGTGTCGGCGGTTTCCTGAAGACAAAGATCCAATTTGACAATGGTCTTGTTGAACTTCGAGTGGAAATTGAGCTTTCTCATGGTACTTCTCTGGGCGCTCATTAGAGTGGTTGGCACAGCAACCTCTTGGTATTTAAGACGAGTGTCACCTGGAGACAAGGATTGTGGCAATACCGTACGTGGTTGGTCTGACTGCAAGTCCAGCTTCAAGATCTCCACGGGGTTCTTGCTCTTGGGGTGTAGATACCTGCTCTAGTCTTAGCGTTGGCAAAATTGAGGGCACTTTGAGCACGGGAAACCTCTCCAACACCGTAAGGAGTGGCCGTCAAGGCGTCCTCTGTGGTTTTGTTGGGAAAGGGGCCCTTGAACCATGGGTAGTCCAAAATTTCGTGGACGGACGGTCTATTCAATGGGTTCAAGCTCAACAAGTCCTGGATTAACTGTTTGGCCTCGTCGGAGATCTTCTTGTCGGGAGGAAATGAATAGTCGGTTTTCTTGATACGCTCGTAAATGACATTGACGTCTTTGGCTTGGAAAGGTGGCTTGCCTACAAGCAAGGCGTACATCATGATACCAATGGCCCAGATGTCGACTTCAAAGGAGTGTCCAGTGGTCTTACCACCGAGAACTTCTGGCGCAATGTAGTTTGGAGTTCCACAAATGGTGTATTTTCTCGATTCAAGAGAAGGTAACACAGAGGCCAAACCAAAGTCACCAATCTTCAAGTTCATGTCTGGGTCAAAGAAGATGTTTCCGAGCTTCAAGTCTCTGTGGATCACTCTGCGAGAGTGCAAGTACTTGATTGCTCCGACAATCTGAACCATGAAATAACGAACCTCAGGCTCAGATACTCTCTTTCTGGTCTTCAAGAGCTCCATGAGCGATTGATTGGGACAAATTTCTAAAAGAATGTAGACATTGACGTCATCCTCAAAGCAGTCGACGAAGTTGACGATATTGGAGTGCTTAAGCGATTTGTGGATCTTGATTTCCAGCAAAAGCTTCGTCTTTGTTTTCTCGTTCTTGATCAGCGCCTTGGCGACGGTTTTTGCAGCGTAGATTCTACCCGAGGCATCTCTCATTTGGAAACAACGGGCAAAGCCGCCTTCTCCCAAGAAGTTGCCTCTACGGTAATCAATGCCGCTTCTAGTTCTGACAATCGATGGAGGAGTTTTACAAAGAGCCAGGAGCTTTTCCTTCTTCTTCTTGGGCTTTTCTTGCTGGGGCTCTGTCACAGGAATCTGATGATGGACTTGGGCCTGAGCTTGGTGCTGGGGCTGGTAGTGCTGGTTGTGGTATAGGTCGTATTCCTTTCTTCTGGAGGCCTTGACGGGAGTCAAGTTAGCCTTGTTAAGGTGGCCGCTGTTAAGCGGCTGTAAAGGCTGGGACCTGATGCTCATGGCGTGGAGGCTGGGAAAATGGACGGTACGAGATGAAAGAGTGGGTTCACCAGGCTCGAGGGAAGATACGGCGCAAGACGAATATATATGTGTTTGCGTCTTTTGACCAAAAAGGCAATGTGCCAACGGAGTAATATTATGTTTTGGGCTGAGAAAGAGAGGCCCTCTACAGGAGAGCTCTGACAGATCGGGAAAAATGAATATAATCGCTCGGAGGCCTCCTGGCAGAGGTGTGAAGAGTCGCTGTTTACAAAAGTGACGTTTGCGGTAATGGCATTGAATTCTCTATTTACGTTTTGGCTCTATGGAGTGTCTACATGCAGGCTTCTCACCATGGCTGCTACACCTTCCTCTCTCACGCCCGTTTGAAACGCCCGTCTACAACCTGAAACATTTTTTCTTAAAACTTCGTTAACATTGAATTGGTTGGGGTTAGCATAGAGAATTTCAGACAAATCGTGGGGTATTTCGTGGGAATGTGAACAATGTCCCAATCGGGTATAGTTATGGTGTCAACAAACAAACAGTATGGCTCGCACTTAGCCCAGGATGCTTCGAAGCCAGGGCTCAATCGAACGCTGGTTATTTTCGGTGCATCTTGCGACTTTCCAGATTAGCAGCTGTTGCACAAGCCACCGTCAACCTAATCACCTACATCTTATCAGCACCCTCGTTGGCGAGCCTATCAGCTTGCTCATTACCTTCAATGCCCTCGTGTCCTCTCACGTGAGTGATTTCTAATTTGGGCTCTCCTTGGCTCTTGTAATGCTCATTGATAGCGTTGTACTTTCCAACGGCATCCTCGATGATATCCTTGTTGGCCACGTCCTTGCCTGCCGAGTTCTTCCAGTCATTGTTAGCCCAATTCTTAGACCAATTATCGACACAGTTCTTTGCGTAAGATGAGTCGGTGAAGATCTCGTACTTCTCGCCGCCCAGCTTAGCCGAATCAAGTGCGGACCCCAACGCGTGTTTCAACGCGTGCAATTCAGCACGCTGGTTGGTTGGCGTCGTGGTTTTAACGTCATCCACGTCTGCCAACGACACGGCAGCATTCCTGGAGTCACCAGGGCCGTAGTAGACACCGTATCCGGATTTAGGAGTACCCCCTTTTCCGTTTCCACGAGAAGCGCCATCAACGTAGACGGCCGATCTCTTGGATGAGCCACCAGAAGAGCTCTTGGAGGAGCTAGCATTGGAAGAAGAGGATTTAGAGGAACCACCTCCACTATAGAAACTTCCAGAGTAGCCCCCAGAGTATCCGCCGCCACCTGAAGAACTGGATCCACTGGAGTAATTGGATCTGCCAGAGCTGCCACCAGAGGACCTACTGCTCGAGTAAGATCCCGAGGATCCTGATCCACCAGAACCACCAGATTGGTTGGCATTGATGAAGCTTTGAGCAGCAGCAGGAGAGTCAAACTTCTTGAAACTCGCATTAGAGTATCCCAGCGTGTTGCTCTTGCATTCGTCCCACAGGCGGTAAATGCCCACACTCTTACCACGAGCCACGGCGTAGTAAGCCGGCTTGGACTTTCTAGCCATCAGTGTGGTTTTTTTGATCAACTTGACGGTGGATTTGATCGTATTATATACCGCGTTAATTCTGCAGGGGTTAGAAATCTAGGGCTAGATCCTTGGCTTTCTTTTTGTGCCCTTGATTTTGTGGCTTCGCTGTGATATTTTTTTTGTGTTCTTATTTGGCTTAATATGGAGATTTAATGCTGGTCATCTTGTTGAAGCTATATCTATGAGTAGGTAGACAGAATCATGAATATGGCTGTGCGACTCCGTGCTCCCCACTACTATCCACGCCTATTGGTCTTTTTTATTTTTTCTCCTGTTTCGGAAACAATTTTACTTCAATTGACTTTAAGCATTCTTTGTCTTTTAAAGGGGACGAGCGATCGAGGATCAGAAGCTTGACAGTCATCCTCGGATACTTCTCATAAGCGCTTTGCAGCCATTCATTGATCCAGAATCACATACCCATTGCAACCTCTTACACTATTGGAATTTTCTTAAAGGATTGGAATTGGTTCTGACAATTAAACGACACCAACCTCCAGGACCACGAACGTATCTCTGAATGTTGTAGACGGCTGGTATTGGTCTCATACCTTCAATCAATGCTGCACCCCATATTCACGATAAAGCCAAACGAGAAAAGTCTAATTTTCACAGCTCGAATATTTTTCTAAACTCACTAGAATTCAAGTAATTCGACTGCTTTGGGGCCTTACGGTGTTGTGTCACACAGAGAGGTCAGTACACCCTGCATTAGTCTGATCTCGAATGATGTGATCAATGTAAACTAGAGTGAGAAGAATGAATCAAACATAGGGACCCTGAAGTTGTGATGAGTAAAGAAATTAACAATGGAATGGCGTCTATTGTTGATTTTCTAGAGCGGATTGGCTGCCTTTCTATGTATCCCAGATGAAGACGAGAGATACCATGAACCCAGATTACAACTAAATCTACTTCACAAACAAAAAGAGAGAAAAAAAAAAAAATCCCACGTCAACAACTTCTCCGCGACTCACAAGTACTTCTGAAAAGCTTTCAAAGGATGTTCTTAAAAAGAAAATCGTCCAGTCCCTTATCAGTCTTCTTACATACCCCACAGGTATTGCAGTGCAAACCACGAAATGCATCGCCATAGACAACCAAAGATTAGCCTGATGACATTGTGATCTTCCTAAATCAACTTGATCGAACAAGCCACCAAAACTGGCATCTAAAGGCACCTGGATATATGCCCTTCCATACCTCGTCGGTCGTGCCCATCTCATAATAGAATTCATGCCAGCAGCAATTTTTTTTCTGATCTTCCCAAACCCAGACAACCTTCTAGGCAATATGAGTGACAGCGAGGACTTGACCCTTTCGGAGATCTCGTCCCGAAACGGACATGGTGCCGTGAAAAATGAGGATGATGAGATGCCATTGGCGCAGTTGAATGGTAGAGCCAAGCAGAAGAAGAGAAAGCTGTCTGATAAGAGCAATGGGGCACCAAAAGAGAAGAAAGCCAAAAAGGCAAAGACACCACTGTCTCTGAAAGTGAAAAAGGAGACTCCTCTGGCCCCTGCTACGCCCAAAAAGACTACAAAAACACCAAAGCCATCGCAAACACCAGGCTCAGAGACTCCCTCAGCTACACCAAAGAAGGAGGGCTCAGAGGAGGCTGACGAAGGATACAAATGGTGGGAAGACGAGAATTTTGGTGAAGGTGAAGAGAGGTGGCAGACTTTGGAGCATGCTGGTGTTATCTTTCCTCCTCCGTACGAACCGTTACCTAGCTACGTCAAACTTTACTACAACGGTAAAGCAGTTGACTTGCCTCCTCTTGCAGAGGAAGTGGCGGGTTATTTCGCTGCTATGATTGAAACTGACCATGCCAAAAACCCGGTTTTCCAGCAGAACTTCTTCAATGACTTCCTACAAGTGCTCGAAGAGTCTGGTGGTTGCAACGTGGAGATCAAAGACTTTGAGAAATGTGATTTCTCCAAGATGGCAGCATTCTTCGAAAAGCAAAGGGAAGAAAAGAAGGCCTTGACCAAGCCTGAGAAGCAGCGCATCAAGGAGGAGAAGGAAAAGCTTGAAGAACCATACAAAACATGTCTCATGGATGGCCGCAGAGAAAATGTCGGCAACTTCAGAGTGGAACCTCCTGGTCTTTTCCGTGGACGTGGTGCTCACCCAAAAACAGGTAAATTCAAAAGAAGAGTGTTCCCTGAGGACATCACACTTAACTTGGGCGAAGGTGCTCCAATCCCACCAGCACCAGAAGGCCACAGCTGGGGCGCTATTAGACACGACAAGACCGTGGTTTGGTTGGCCATGTGGCGTGAAAATATTTCTGATACTTTCAAGTACGTCAAATTGGCTGCAAACTCCTCCATCAAGGGTATTTCCGATATGAAAAAGTTCGAGACCGCCAGAAAGCTCAAAGACCACATTCAGCGTATTAGAGCCGACTACACCAAGATGTTGAAGGATCAATTCATGCAAAATAGACAGATTGCTACCGCCACCTACTTGATCGATATCTTCGCTCTCAGAGCTGGTGGTGAAAAGGGTGAAGACGAAGCAGACACTGTTGGCTGTTGTTCATTGAGATACGAGCACGTTACGCTCAAACCACCCAACAAGGTCATTTTTGACTTCTTGGGTAAGGATTCCATCAGATTCTATCAGGAAGTGGAAGTGGACCGTCAAGTGTTCAAGAATCTACGAATTTTCAAAAAGGAGCCCAAGGGACCAGGAGATGACATGTTCGACAGAATCACACCCACCATCTTGAACAAGCATCTACAGAACTACATGAAGGGTCTCACAGCCAAGGTTTTCCGTACCTACAACGCCTCGAAGGTTATGCAAGACCAGATGGACTTGATCTCGAACGAAGGTACAGTGGCTGAGAAGGTTGTCAAGTACAACGCCGCCAACAGAACCGTGGCTATCTTGTGTAATCACCAGCGTACGGTGAGTAAGAACCACGAGGTCGGTGTGAAGCGTATCAACGATAAGATTAAGGAGCTCGAATGGCAAAAGCTCAGGCTCAAAAAGATGATCTTGGATGTTGACGAGAAGGCAATCAAGAAGGAACCCAAGTACTTCGAGGAGCTTGACGATCTTACGAAGGAGGAACAAGGGGTCATCGTTGAGCGTGTGATCGAAAGACAAAAGGATCAGGCGGAGAAGAAGTGGAATAGAGACAACGAGAAGCGCAAGATGGAGAAGCAGGAGTTGCTTACCAAGGAAGATCTCAAGGAAAAGCTTGACAAGATTGCGGAGACAAGGAAAGAGTACCTCAATGAGATCAAAACGGGCAAGGTGGAAGCCACCAAGGGAGCTACAGTGGCCTCGTTGAAGACCAAGATCGAAACGGTGGAGAATAGAATCACCAACACAAGCTACCAGCTCAAAGACAAAGAGGACAACTCGGAGGTTTCTCTTGGCACGTCGAAGTTAAACTATATCGACCCAAGATTGACGGTAGTGTTTGCCAAAAAGTTTGACGTACCCATCGAGAAACTTTTCACCAAAACACTCCGGGACAAGTTTAACTGGGCCATTGAGTCTACAGATGAGAACTGGCGTTTCTGAGGCGGCCTCATTTCAGGCGGCGCCACACGGTAATAGAGCCCTAGCAAGGCAAAAATAGGAAAGTGCACTGCACGTTTTTCCGGAAAAGGCCTTAATTGGCCGGCACGGCGTAGGCATGTATTTCATTTAGCGTGAACAATTCGCGGTCGCTGTATAAGGCATGGTGATAACATTGTGCTCGCGGCAGACGCATTCTGTGCATATTTGGCACCACAGGGGGGTTGGAGGGACAATCAATAAATGGCCATTTTAGCACCTACAAAAAAGATAGCAGCACCACTGGAATCTAGAAAGTCTCAGCATCATAGCGGTGTAATTTTTATCTTCATTGGCCATCGGGAACACCCCGTTTTTGAAACCCCGAACCTGCCAGAATCGCGTTTCTATAAACCGCGTACATCCATGCATAATGGCTGCAAACAGATCAGCAATGGCCAAACTGTTTTAAACTTTCTGTTCCGCCTGTTTTTCCTCAACTCTTGTTCAAACTCCGTCCCACTACATTTCATTCTTTTGTCCCATGAGACTTCCTGTGGTGCTTCTATTGGCAACGCTTATACTGGCCAAGCCTCTCCCTCTGAGGACTGGAATCATCCACCATCACCATCTTCATGCCAGGGACGACATGCCTGGTGTGACCGACACCGCTGCCACGACGAGCTCCAAGAGTACAAAGTCAACATCGAAAACTTCTACTTCAAAGTCGTCTAAATCTCCGAGTGCTTCGACTTCGGATATGCCTTCAGCTAGCGAGGACTCATCCACCTCGGAAATGCCTTCCGATTCGGTACTCCCTTCCATGTCGCTGACGCTGTCGCTGTCGACACTGTACAGCTACTCCATCACGGTGCCTCCATCGACGCAAACCGGCAGCTATGATGAAAATCCATACGTCTACAGATCCACCAAACCCGCCAATCTCGTTTTCATAATTGTCGGCGCCATCCTCGGCCTCATTCTTCTCTCCTTAATTGCCATCTACCTTGCATTTTGGCTCATCAGCAGAAGCAGAGCCAAGAAGGAGAGGGAGGTGTACTTCGGCATGCAAATGCCTGGTCTCAATCTGAGCCAGCTGAGTTTCTTCAACAGCGACGGCAATTCCTCAATTGCTGAAAAATCAAGCACGGGCTGGGGCTCCAATTCGTCTGTTCTCATGCTTCATCGTCAGTCCCTGGCTCTTCATCTAGACAGAGCCAGCGTGCTTCCGTCTCAAGGCAGAAGCTATAGAGAACTGCAAGGATTGGAGGGTACCCGTCGTGGATCGATGTATATTTCCCCAGTGCTTGAGATGATGCACGGAAGAAGCCGACTGCAAGTGGACTTAATCAGGCCTGATTCCATATATGGACTCGATCTGTCATACGTTGATTCACCGCTTGATTCACCCGCGGACTACGCCTCCACAGATGCTATAAACACGCAGCCAATTGAGGAGAAAAAGAAGCTGCGGCCACCTTCCCAGGTTCTAGATGACCTCTTGGGCGATATGGATTTCACGTTAGATCCAGCTAAGGACGAGCATTAGAGTATTTTATAGAATTGCCACGAGCGCTAATATAGTATAGAGGAAGCGGGTGTAGGTTTTGGGGGTGAAGCATCAAGTGTGTCTAATATCAAAGTTTGGAACTATGGTGCTTTGGTTGCAAAATTCCTTTCACATTTAACGTTTGAAGTGATTCAGCATGCATTTGGAGCAACTGATGAAATAAATGTTGGTGTAGCGTTCCGACATTAATACGGAATGCCCTAGTTCGGCTTTACGAGAGAATTATCCAAAAGTCGTAGTGATTTGTGGCAGCCTCCAGTGGACTTTTAACCGAGGATCTAACACTTCTCGTTCTGCCAGATCTACCCCTAACGAGACCGAAACATTATAAAAAATTAAAGAATACCAGAAATGAAGCCAAATAATTCAACCGCAAATTCAACTCCTCAAATGCAAAACATTCGAAACATTGTGGACGAACCCAGCTATACCTATGCTGCGTAGTAACGCATGACGCAAGAATATGCCCATACATTGACCTCCATCGACCTCCCCAAAGTCTTCAAAAGAAGCAAAATTTCGAAAAAGGCCATAAATAACGTTTACTTTTCATCGCCAAAAAATAGAAAATCCTGCTACCTGGACCACCTGATCTTCCCGTCTCTCAACTGGAAGGCTTCTAGAAAGCCGGTTTCGCAACCGTGGCGGTTCGCACACGACCACCATACTTCCCCGGATATGTCAATTGTCACCAACTTCAACCACACCTACTACCATGATTAGAAGAATCCCCATCAGATCAATCCAAACCAGTATCAGGGCTTTGGCCAAGAACGACCCATCCACCATTGACCTGTACAAATTGCCCTCTCAGACCTCCATAAACGAGTGGGAGTTCAAGTACGACTTTATCCCCAAGGTCGCCCAACCCAAGATCCCTCCTGTTTCTCCTGAGGCTGTGAAGCAGGACATTGCCCAAAGCAAGAAACAGCAGGTTGAGCAGGAATTGCTCACCAAGGAGCAGAACGCCTCTGTCAAGGTGGAGGCCAACACTGCTGACGTGCTTCATGGTGGTGAGTTTGTTTCAAGTGAGCCAGCCAACATCAGCGACGAGGGCTCGAAGCCTGTGGACGCTTCTCACAAACACATCGCTAAGCCAGGTAAGACTGCCAACACAGAGAAGTACGTGCAGAGCTCCACCAACCCTGAAATCAACAAGCCATCTGTGGTGAACTTGGGTGAGAACGAGGTCGACCACAAGGTAAGCCCTGTGAACGCTCAGGAGCAGGTTGTGGACGATGTTGAGGACGGCCAGACCAAGAGGCTGAGCCCGGTCAACCCAACTGTGCTTCTTGGTGTTTTGGGCTTGGGTGGTGTTGCCGGCTATTTTGCCTTTGGCACTGGATCAAAGGACGCCAAGGAGGGGAAGAAGGCTTAAGATAGTGTGAGAGCATACGAAACGAACGTTCATAGATCAATGCATCCGCGTGAGAGCAATTGCAATGGATAGTGATAGATATATTCGAAATACAAGAAGATATACGAGGCTGTCGAGGGAGTTGTTGGGCCATTTGCATTCGTGGGGCAGGATAATTTGTCCGTTTAATGACGTAGTTACGTCCGTGGAGAGACCAAACGTACTGGATAATCGACGATTGGAACTAGTGTACGTGATAACTTGTGTAAGTGGTGACAAGAGGACTTTTATTGACTTCCGACTAAATATACTGTGCTTTTTGACGAACAATAGGCCGATATACCCCCTTTCGTAATTTCAACCAGAATACCCAATAACGAATACTACAAACGCTATTGGCTCTCTTGGTGTCACCTCGATCTTCCCCAGATTTGTGCATAACTTGTGCCAACGGCATTTGCCACTACATCCTCTACCTTTGCACCTCAAAAACTTCAAACCTCAGATCCAAAAACTACAATTCAGATTGTCTTAATTGTTTAATCCATTAGACCATGCAATGCTATATACATACTTAGTAACGACGAGAGGCCTCCTGGCAAGCTCTCAACTGCTGCAAGTAGAAGTCACACACTTGCATGTTGCCGTTGTTCTCCTCCAAACATCTGGTGAAGGTTCTGGCGTCAGCATCACAGGTTCTACCCTGCTCCTGGTTGTTGTACTGCTGCTGAGCAGCCAAGTCCTGCTGAGGAGCCTCAGCTGGGGCAGAAGAGCCACCGAACATGGAGGTGATTCCAGCACCCAAAGTGTGACCGACGGTCGAGCCAACAGCGACACCAGCGGCGGTGGAAGCCATTTGGCCAAAGAGACCTGGGCTCTGAGACTGGTTACGCTGAGGCTGGGAAATGGAGGTTGGCGAGTGAGCTGGAGCAGCTGGCGCAGCAGCGGTGTGGGCAGATCTGGACTGGGATGGTCTGGCTGGAGCGGATCTTCTTTGTCTAGGCATTTTTAGAATAAATATGAGTTGGTGGTAAAGAGAGCGAAGTGATGGAATATATAGCGTTTTTTAGTGGCGGGACGCGCGCGACATTGTCGTTGTGGAGAACCTTCCAGAACACGTGAGCACGAAAAGCGGAAGAAAGAATGGCGAAAATTGATGGGATTTAAGAGAGGATCCAGGGCGACCCTTTGCCATCTGCAGAACCGTCAAAGGATCGTTGCACAGAAGGATTTGCACTAGGGTAAGACCAACGTACTGTATACAGATACATTAATCATTACCGAGAATTTGAAGGGCTTCACCCAGAAGTATCGACTCAAGAAGTCACAATCACTTTATTACTGACTTGAAGAACATAATCCGAGATTTTCAGCTGAATAGAAGCAAAAACGACTCCATTGACCGGAGGGTGCTGACTGCTGAGGTAAGGCGGTGTACGGGTGTGAACGACATTTTCGCAGCCAAAATCGTCTTGGTCCTAGGGTCACTCCCAAACCCACATGGGCAAAGCGGGAGATCTTGGCTAAGAGCAGGTCACTGGAAAGGTCCGGAAAGTTGTCCACGTGACCACACACGTGAAATGCATCACATGACTCGGCTCAACGGCGGAACATGCACCCCAGAATACCCTATTGTGGGCCCATACGTCACTCTGCGAGGCGAAAACGCCTCAATTCCGTTTTTTAGCGATGGAACTTATTATATATCACGTAAACTTCTCCCTCTTTTCCAAAAATTTTTTCCATGTGTTTTGTTGTGGCGCAGAGTACGCATTTGCATTCCGAATCGGCAAAACCGTTGGCTGCAAGCTCGCAGGACCACGTCAGATCTGGCGTTAACCGTATACTCTTGATAAACTTTAAAACCACGGCGGACCGAAACGTATGAAATATTGGTGACAAATAAATAAACTTCAACTTTTCTTTTTCTCCCACACTATTTAATCTCGGTGTCACAAATTCAGCAACACATGCAAGTGCGGGCTTATCAGATCGTCGCGAGTGCTACTGTGAACAACACCATTTATCCCAACTACCTATACACATGCTTATGTTGAAGGGCCTACGCCAGGCCCTACTACCTGGAATCCGTTTTGCATCAACAGCACTGGAACCCAACTACTATCAGGTTCTCGAACTTTCCCGAAATGCTTCGATCAAAGATATCAAGGCTCAGTTCAGGAAGCTCTCCAAGAAGTACCATCCAGATCTCAATTCCCATTTGAGCGAGGAGGAGCGGGAGGAAAACAATAAGAAGTACGTCTTGATGCTGCTGGCGTACGACACATTGAAGGATGTCAAGGCAAAGAGAGAATATGACGCCTCCCTCGGACTTCGAAAGAACCAACAATCCCACAGCAATCCGAACCACAGTGACTGGCAGAACAAGTACTACGGCGAAGCCAAGTACTACTCCAAGGGAAGAGCTTCAGGAAGCTATTTTTCCAAGGGATACTCCAGCAAAAGGCATAGGGTGCACAATTTCTATGACGGCTCCGGTGGAGAAAGCACCCAAAGTACCTTTAACGGATCACACAAGAACTACGGAGACCGCTACAGCGTTCCTCACTTCAACTACAACGAGCATTTAGCAAAACACCTCAAGTTCGAGCAGCGCATTATAGAGAAGCTGTTGACCCCAGAGGTGAGGGATGCTATCATTCGACAACTAAAACGCGATGGAGATATCTCCAACGTCAGCGAAGAACTCATTACCAAGCATCTAATGCGCCAGGCCCATGGCAATACCAATCTGGATAAAACGGTTTCACCAAACACCTCAAACCCATACATGTACCAGGGACCTCAAAATGGAGGTTATCACGAGGAGCTGAATTTCGGCAAAACCGCAGCCATTGTCATTGGCGGGCTTGGCTCCATTTACCTACTATACAACGCCATAGCCTAAGGAAATAGATATTAACAGAAAGTGTTACAGGACCGCCCTGTAGCTGGTTCTTTTATATAATGCAGTTATGGAGGGTTTATGCGGAAGGAATATACTTGGCTTAACGGTCAACCTCACCGAACACCAAGTCCATGGTACCAATGATGGCGACTGCGTCAGCTAACAAGTTACCTCTCGAAATGTGGTCAAACGCTCCCAAGTGCGCAAAACCGGGCGCTCTGATCTTACATCTGTATGGTCTCTCGGAACCGTCCGACACAACGTAAACGGCCATCTCACCCTTTGGTGCCTCAATGGCGGTATAGGTCTCACCTGGTGGCACAGAGTAACCCTTAGTGAACAACAAGAAGTGGTGGATCAAAGCCTCCATATCCTCCTTCATCAAGTCTCTAGGTGGTGGAGAGATCTTGAAATCCTCGACCTTTACTGGACCCTCGGGCATTTCGTTGCAACACTGCTCAATGATTCTCAAACTCTGTCTGAATTCGGCCATTCTGATCAAGTAACGGTCGAAACAGTCACCGTTAATACCGACTGGGACATCGAAGTCAACCAAGTCGTAGGCGTCGTAAGGCTGAGACTTTCTGACATCGAAGGGGATACCAGAACCTCTAAGCATAGGACCGGACAAGGAGTAGTTCATGGCGTCCTCGGCGGTAACCACACCAACGTCCTTGGTTCTGGCGTGCCAAATACGGTTGTCAGTAACCAATTCATCGACTTCATCGATTCTGTCACCGAACTGGGTAGCCCACATGTAAATGTCATCCAACAAACCAGAAGGCAAGTCCTGAGCCACACCACCTGGTCTGACGTAGGCAGCGTGCAATCTAGCACCAGAAACTCTCTCGTAGAACTCCATCAACTTTTCTCTCTCCTCAAAACCCCACAAGAAAGGGGTCAAACCACCGACATCCATAATATGCGACAAGACAGACATACAGTGGTTCAAGATTCTGGTGATCTCGCCAAACAAGGTTCTGACGTACTTGCCTCTCAAAGGCACCTCGACGTTCAACAACTTCTCGACGGCAAGAGCAAACACCAACTCGTTGGTCATCATGGAAACGTAATCCAAACGGTCAAAGTATGGCAAAGCTTGCATGTATGTCTTGGACTCTATCAACTTCTCAGTACCTCTGTGAAGCAAACCGACGTGGGGGTCAGCTCTGACAATCTCCTCACCGTGCAACTCCAAAATCAAACGCAACACACCGTGAGCAGCTGGGTGCTGGGGACCGAAGTTGATGGTGAAATGTCTGATCTTGGTGTTCTGTTTCTCAACCTTTGTGGGGTCATCGTCTCTGCCCCAAGTCATGTCAACTTCGTCCATAGCCTCCGAAAACGTGGTTTTACCGAAAATGGCGCCGTCTGGAGTGACTCGTTGGGCCTGTTTACCCAAGGCGTTTGTGTAGGGCTTGACTGGTTCTTCATTGGCTCCTGCTCTCAATGGAGCAACGTTGGAGAAAAGCCTGGAGGCAGAGGCCAATTTCACGGACCTGCTGGCAACCCTGGCCAAAGTGGGGATGGGAAGCATTCTGGGCTGTATATATGGGGAACTGAGTTGAAGAGGTTCACAGCTGCTTGGTTTTTTTTGGTGATCTTTTCGTGCGTAAGTACTTAGAAAAAGCCGGATGGTCATTGGATGGAAAACACCTGTACACCACAACTTAGACAGATGGTGTTTTTGGAGGGAAGAAAAGTTGAATTAGCAGTTGGAAGGGAGGGAGGGTTGAAGCAAATGCTCCATGCTTTTTGACTGTTTTGCCGTGAAGCTTTTGGCATTCTTTGTACTAAGGAACCGGTGTTTCGGAGTCGGACTGCGATTGGGTGCAAATCCGTTCAGTGAGGCTTACGACTCTGAGGTAAATGGATAAGAGGGCATAGATTTAAATGAGCTTTTGTCAAGCTTCAGAAGATGAGCTAGAGCTGCTGATTTTGTATTCATTGTGACAGTGCTCTCCAAAAAGTGTAAAACTGGCAAACGACGAGACGTAAGTAGCGCAGCGTGGAAGTACCCTAATAATTGATTAAACAGAGAAGTCAATTGAGTTCTCGTATTTGAGTGCCTTTAATCCTATAAATATGTTTTCTGCGGAGGTGGGTGTTTCCTATGGTTTGACAATGCCAATGCAGCTTGCATCAGTGCTTGACCTCGAGACGGCGTAGTACTTCCGAGATTCAAGCAGATTTCCCAATGCTTCTCATGTAGAACAAATAGGTGGAAATTTAGAAAGTAATTGAGCAAGAAAGGTTAACGTCTCAGTTTGCCAAGGCAAAACGCTTAGTGAAGATGAATCATGTATTAAACTTCGGAAAATGCCCAAAGCGCGTGCATTTGAAAAGCAACTTTGGTTTTTATCGAGCTACAATTTATTTGAAGATCATGATGTTTATTACTCCGAGGAGCGCACCATCTTTTATGCTATTCAAGTAGTCTTACAACAAGGCAAGCGCAAGAATACCGGCTAAACCACCAGCCGCATAGTAGCTTGCGTGAGTTCCAGCCATGTTGTCTGAAGTGGAGCTTGAGGCTTCAACATACGATCCATTCAGAACGTTGTTCCCATTCCCTTTCCCGCCGGGCACAAACAGGTAAGATCTCGTCGTGGGAGTGTAAAATAACTCCGGATCGTACTTTGGGGCCTTCAGCTCGGTGAGGTACTTAGTGCCAATGCTGTAGACCTCTGCGAAGTAGGTGTACCAGTAGAAATAGTCCATCAGGGCCTGGGCAGACACAGCCGTTTTAGGAAGGTTGGTGTACTCAGCTATGAACGACAGCATCGTGTACTTACTGTCAAGCGACTGAACATCTTGTACAATCATAGACGAAACGCTGGGCTCGACAGTGACTTGGGGGATGCCGTTGTACGCTGCCAGGGCGGCTGCAAAAAACCAAAGGAAGACGAGGCTTTGCTGCATTTTCGAAAAAGTGAAGAAGAAAATTTTGCTGGGAAACAATGCAACATTTTATAGTCCGCCTTTGACTGCTGCGGCGGTGGTCCAATAATACGACTTTGGAAGACGCATGTATTCTGCGTTCGAATTCTTGAAACAGCCTCACCGAACCGAGGAGGGTGCTAAGGTGAGATGAGATGCTACTCGAGACGAATGCCTATTTTATTTCTAGACTTTAATTAATATTTTTTTAATTAATAGATTTTCAAGGAAGTTGCAAAAAGTGCTTCGTGAGTCATGAAAATTTGCCCATTGTTCATGGTTACGTTGACGGCGATGGCGACAGCTGCGTCCCAATTCGGCTTTTTAATTTCTTAGTTTCCTGAAATTTGGGGGGTCTTGGGAGTGGTACATAAGGTGCTCCAATTTTGCTACATTTCGTAGATCTTAAAATTTGAACTCTAACTACCATGGTGGTGCAAGTTTGAAAAACTTAGCGTGAGTGTGTCAAGAGCTAGCGCGCTTTAAAACCATTATCAAGCTTCATGTAAATGCCGCATTGCAGGAATGCATAATAGCGATGCGGTGGCTCAATGGCAGAGCTTTTGATTCCAAATCAAAGGGTTGCAGGTTCGATTCCTGTCCGTGTCAAGGTTCTTTTTTTCAACATCATCTCCACTTTTTCACCCCAACGTCATTCATTTTTGCCCAATGGCCAAGAAGAAAGCAACGCCGCCTCCGCCGGAGCCTAAAGGCAAGAAGAACCAAAAGGGAAAAGCCGTTGAGCCTCCTCCAGTTAAGGGAAAGAAGAGCAAGAGCAGCACCCCAGAAGTCACGAATGAAGACCCCCAAAAACCTCAGCGTGGGTTGGCAATCGGTGACAATTTCGGCTGGACGGGCAAGCTCCCGGCAACTTTGCTCTTTGAGTTTGCCCAGAAGCAGAAATGGAACAAGGTCATCATGGACATGAAGAAAACACCCAAAGGCTTCATAGGTATAGCCAACCTCAGCTGGGAGAATCCCAAGACCAAAGAAGTCATCCACGTTAGAATGATGCCCGATACCCTGATTCTTCCACCTCGAGAGACCACCAACGAAGCCAGGCATTTTGCAGCCACTTATGCCATGCACAGAATCAACTACGTGAAAAACCTACGAATGGTGCTTCCTATCATTTTCAGAGACTACTGGCTGGACTTGGAGAAACAGAGGCAGGAGGTACTCAAGAGGAGCAAAGCTGAGCATGATAGAATATACAACGCCAATCCGTTTCAAGTCGTTTTGGACGATAAGGCGAATGCTGAAAAGAAGGCTAAAGAGAGGGAAGCCAAGGCTAATAGCGAGGCCAAGATCAACGCACCAAAGGCCAGTATTTCAATCGGCACGCCGAAAGTTTCAAAGGACAAAAAGCAGGAGAATCGAATCAGCAAACCTCGTCTGACGGTCAACCTTCCTAGTTTCCCTAGAAAAGCATGGGAAAATGCTCCCTTTATAGACTTCCCCATAGATGTCAGGACATCGGTTGAAAGGCAGATCAGGGATCATATTTCGTGGGTGGAGGACGAAGAGGATGCCCTGGAAAGTGATAAGCTCAGGCTGCAATGGAGAACTGACCTCACTGGCTTGGGATTCAGGCAAAGTCATGTGAATGAGGCACTTTCTTACACACATTCATTTACAGATGCTTTGGAGTGGCTATTGTTTCACATTCCTGACGACGACTTGCCTGTTTTCTTTGCTAAGAGGGACGAGGACTCCAGTGTTTCTCTTAAGATCTCAAAGGATATCCAGACCGAATATGTACTTCAGAGACTAGCCCAGTCGGGTTGTGACAAGGACGATATTATGGAGACGTACCAGGAATGTGAGGGCAATGAAGTCGAAACAGCAATACGGTTGTGCTACAATAGCATCGAATATTCCTCCGATGCTACTCCAGATCCAAATGCTTTGTCCACTTGGGTAGAAGAGCTCGAGAGTATCGACATGATAGGCTCTAACGAGGTCAAATTTGCTGACCAGGAAAAAAGGACCGTCACACTTAGCCTCAATGTTGAAGGAGTGGAACAAGGCATGCTTCTGGTGAAGCTTTTCATGCCCGAGGCCTACCCCAATGCCCTTCCTGGTGTGCAAATCGTCATCAACAATCTGTCGTTTAAGTTGGCCAATTACATCAAATTGGCAATCGTTCGCCAGCTCCTTGGACATGTCCTCGAAGGAAGGCTCCTTGGTGAATGTTTTATTTATTTCATGATAGAGTGGCTTGAGTCTAATATCGGGAAAGTGATACAGAACCCGGGGCCATTGAGTGCCACATCAGCTGCACAGGCTACGGGCGAAAGCCTGCTAAGCCAGAAGAAGAAAAAGAAGAGATATTCGAATCGTGAGCAACTTGTTCTTACTGAGGATGATCTCAAGGAAATCCAAAATGCATACCAAAGGAAATCAACGCTGGCTGAACTCAAGCGTTCAATTGGTGATCGTTCCAAGCTTCCGGCCTGGCAGAAGAAGGACCAATTAGTGGAAGTCATTAACTCTAATAAGGTTACTTTGGTCACTGGTGAGACTGGTTCTGGTAAGAGTACTCAGATTGTTCAATTTATTCTCGACGACTTGAGCGCCAAGGGTAATTTCAAGAGCACCATCATCTGCACTCAGCCCAGAAGAATTTCCACCATCGGTTTAGCTGACAGAATTTCAGAAGAACGAATTCTGGCTGTTGGAAAAGAAGTGGGATATGTGATTCGTGGAGAAAACAAGACTTGCAAAACGACCCGTCTTCTGTTTGTCACTACAGGTGTTCTTTTAAGAATGCTCCAGTCATTTTTGTCTAATGATAAGGCCAGTGAAGCTTCCATTTTTGACAGACTTGAGTACATCTTCATCGATGAGGTGCATGAGAGATCTGTTGACAGTGACTTCCTCCTCATTATCTTGAAGAGAATCATGAACAAATTTCCCAACTTGAAGATAGTGCTCATGTCGGCCACGATCAACACCGAATCGTTCGTGAAGTTTTTCCCAACCAAGGTAAACCATATTCATATCGAGGGCAGAACATTCCCCATCGAGGATCACTATCTTGACGCTGTACTCAGCGACCTAGATTATAGTGTCACAAATTACTATGGCGAGGTGATCAAACCCAAGGCCGACTCACACTACTTCAAGACAGGCACGGCCAACTATGACCTCGTTGCCAAACTCAGTGTCATGGTTGACAAGAGACTACTGGATGAGAGGAACACTGGCTCCATTTTGATCTTCTTGCCTGGTATCATGGAGATCAACAAGTGTATCCGAAAGATTGAGGACGAATATACCTCTAAAGGTTTGGACTGCTGGTGTCTTCCCCTCCACTCGACGCTTTCATCCAAGGATCAAACCAGAGTGTTCAAGAAAGCACCTAATGGGAAACGAAAGATCGTGGTTTCTACAAATATTGCCGAAACGTCCATCACCATTCCCGACTGTGTTGTTGTCATCGATAGCGGCCGTTCCAAAAGTGTCTTCTTTGATCCCCAGGCTAACGTTTCCAAACTTGTGGAGAGCTGGTGCTCTCGAGCTGAAATGTCTCAGAGAAGAGGTCGTTCTGGTCGTATCCAAAACGGCACATGCTACCATTTGTACACAAAAGACACTTTTGATCTGGTGCTAGCACAGCCAGTTCCTGAAATCAAGAGGGTCAGGTTGGACAACTTGTACTTGGTTGTGAAGGCCATGGGTATCAAGAAGGTTGATGAATTCTTGAACAGTGGTCTTGATCCACCTGACGTTCTGGCTATTAAAAAGACCAGGGCCATGTTGGAGGAGATTGGAGCGTTGCAGATTGCTGGAACCAACGAAACCTTGACTCATTTGGGTAAATATCTTTCGTTTGTTCCTACGGACTTGCAGCTGGGTAAGATTTTGATCCTTGGATGTATCTTTTCATGCGTGGAAATTTGTCTAACTCTTGCAGCTGTCAGCTCTACTGGAAGCCCTTTCATCAACAGTATTGAAAAGGGAGACGAAATAAGAAGAGCAAAGGCTAGAATTGGCAGAAACCAGGGCGACTTCATAGCATCTGCCTTGGCATACCACGAGTATGCTGACCTTCAGGGCAACGAAAAGAAAAAGTACATTGCCGCCAACAACTTGTCCTACATGACCTTGCAGGATATCCAGTCGAATAGAACGCAGTACTTGCTGACTTTGAAAGAAATCGGGTTCCTTCCATTCAACTACCAGAAGGACAAGCCTGAAGGGAAGTTCTTGAACAGAAACAGCGAGAACTTCGACATTGTGAGGGCCATCATCACAGGATCCTACACTCCTCAGCTCTCAAGGGTGCAGCTTCCAGACCCTAAATTTGCACAGACATTAGCTGGAGCTGTCGAAATTGACCCTGATGCCAAAAAGACAAAATTCTGGATAAGAAACGAGAAGTATATCGAAGAAACAACTACAGGAGGAGAGGTGAAGGAGTTGCCTGCTTCGAGGGTTTTCATTCACCCATCGTCTGTGCTTTTCTCTAACTCAGCGACTGGTGCTGCTATTCCTAACCTTGAGGACCTTACGCTTGAGGACGGATCGCTTGACATGCAAAAAGCCAGAGAGCAGTTTGATATGACTCCCTCAGTTCAACTGTCAAGCCGTTCGGTGCACAAATCGCCTTTTGTCGTTTACAATTCTTCAAACTTCACCTCCAAGCATTACCTTAGGGAAATTACTCCCACAAGCACAATTACAGCGTTGCTTTTTGGTGGTGACATTTCCTATGACATCAGTAGCCTGGCGTCTGCTTCCAGAAAGTGTCCTGGCATTATTCTTGATCGCTGGCAACCCATTAGAACCTGGTGTAAGAACGGTGTTTTGATCAAACGTTTGAGGCTTCTTTTGGATAAAGTGATTGATAACAAGCTCTCCAACCCCTGTTTGAGCAGCAACGGAATGCCGATGAGGAAATTATAGATGTGGTACGGAAAGTGCTCACAGTGGATACCAGACAAAGGTAGCCCCAACATAAGAAGGCGTATAGATTATAACAAGAATATCTAATTTTTTGAAGGTCTTCTTTTTGAAAAATGCTCAAATCAAAGAACTCAAGAGGAAATGCCTCGAGGCAAGACACTTGCGACGTTATGCCATATAAGCGAGTCGCAGATTTTGCAACCGATACATTTACCGCGTAGCTTAGAAGCACAAGAAAGCACCACACAAAATATTCACAACATTCAGAATAAGATCAAATAAATCTTACGTCTAGTTATTGCCAAATTCTGAAAATGTAATTCTATTTCATATATCGGGGCCATCACGTGAAGTTATAGCTAGTGCGTCTTATCGTGCTTACTAACGGTTAGCTGCACGATGCTTTACAGCAGCAAAAGCTTGCTTTGAAGTTTTCTCACCAACACTTCATTTTCTTAGAATGGCAAGCAAATCAGGCTCAACTCGAGATGAGGAGCAAGGTCTCCTATCCAGCTCAAATAACTACAACAGCACTAACGAGATCGTCAAGTCCGATCTGGATCCAGAATCCATAGACGCTGATCTCGAGGATCTACCGAAGGAAGTCCGAGAAACGGTACCGCTAACAGATGATCCGAGTATTCCTGTCTTGACATTTCGTTACTTCGTTCTCCTGACGATCTTTATCGTTCCAGGAGCGTTCATAGATACTATCAACTCGTTCAGGACTACATCGGCGGTCTACTCGATCTTTTTCGTTCAGATCGCTTCACATTGGGCAGGTAAGTGGATGGCTAAAGCATTGCCCAGGAGAGATGTCAGAATTGGGTCATTCTCCTTTTCGCTAAATCCCGGCCCGTGGTCTATCAAGGAAACTGCATTGGTCACCATCACAGCCAAGTCCGGCGCTACAGGTAATTTGGCCACAAACGCTTTGGCTCTTTCGGAGCTCTTTTTCCATAAAGAGGTACCAATGACCGCTGCCATGCCGTTTATGTGGGCTATCGTCTTCATTGGGTACTCTTACGCAGCCATAGCGAAAAGAGTGGTGAGCTATGATCCCAGATTTCCCTGGCCCCAGACACTTATGCAGACGGCACTTCTACAAAGTCAAGACAAGGCGGATAATAGAAACAATACCAAGAGAATGAAGGTGTTCTTCTGGTGTGCTGGGTCTCTCTGTGTCTGGCAGATGTTTCCAGAATACCTATTCCCGATGACCTCATCGTTGGCCATTCTTTGCTGGGCTGCTCCTCATGACCATGTTCTTAATTTCATTGGCTCAGGTATGGGTGGAATGGGCTTTCTTAACTTTACTCTCGATTGGGCCAATGTGACATCGGAGGTCATGTTGTACCCTTACTGGGTCCAGGTGGTTCAGTTCATAGCATTTATTTGCGGAGCATGGGTTCTTTTACCGCTTGCAAAATGGTCTAGCTTGTTCACTTTCAAGCACGGTCTCATGTCTAACCGTCTTTTCACTTTGGATGGTAACTTATATCCCACTGAGAAGTTGATGACTCCAAATGGCGGATTCAACCAGACTGCTTACGAGTATTATGGACCAGTGAACCTCGGCGCTCAAAGAGCTTGGAACATGTTTTTTGATTACGGTGCATACTTATCGGGCGTCGTTTGGGTTGTTGTGTTTGGTTGGTCAAGGTTACGTTCTTCCATTCGTCTGGGAGGAGTCTTTCGTGATCGCCTCAACAAGCTCCACGCTGCGTACGAGGAAGTACCTGTCTCTTGGTACGTCATTTTATTCATCATATCCATTGCATCATTACTTTATGTTGCTGCTTCTGGCTATATGTTCATGCCATTCTGGACCTGTGTCATTGCACTCATCATCGGCTCCATTATCGTCACTCCACTCATGTGGCTCTATGCCCTTTCGAATTTTCAGCTTCCGATTGGTACTTTCAACGAGCTTTTTTATGGATACTTGGTTCAGGATTTGCCACTGAAACACCCAGCGGGAGCAGCCTTCTTTGGTTGCGTAGCAGGAAACGCCTGGTACAGATCACAATTTCATCTAGAGCTGATGAAGCTTGGTTTTTACAACCACATTCCACCAAAGTACGTTTTCTTATCGCAGATATACGGCGAGCTCATTGGAGTCCCCATCAACTATTTTAGTCTTCGTTGGGTACTTGCATCAAAATGGGATTACCTTGTGGGAAAACTCACTGACCCGTTGCACCAGTGGACAGCACAGACCGTGATAACCTATCACACCAATGCTATTCAGTATGTGATCCTCGGTCCCCGCCGTCTTTTCGCCAATTATCCGCTTTTACCATTGGGCTTCCTTGTGGGGCTTATAGCTCCAATAATTGTATTTTTGCTCCACAGGAAATACCCTAACAGCATATTCAAATTCCAGCTCTGGAACACCACCGTTTTCTTTTCGACCATGAGCCATTTCTATGGCAACTTGTCCACTGGCTACCTTTCAAAATTCATGGGAGGTACCGTGACCATGTTTTACGCTTACAGATACAAACACAATGTCTGGAAGACGTACAATTACGTTGTTGCAGCCGCTCTAGACACAGGCTTCAATTTGGCAGTCACCATCATCTTCATCCTACTTTCCCTCGGGATCTCCGCCCCCGTCTGGTATGGAAATAATCCAGACAGTGTGGAGCGGTGCTTTGCATTGTAATATTTTCTGTGACGGAGCCAATAGTTATCTACGACTCAACGCTAAATACACATTTGATGCTCGTATACTCACAAAAGCGCTCAAATATCCTCACAAGACCAGATGTTTGAAATTATTTAAATCATTAAATAAATTAGAAGAAAATGCTCACGATTCTTTTCACCTATATATTTGGCTCTCTGTGTGGTACTAAGTACACCCGTGCACCATCAACATATCAACTACCTCTACTTCTCACACCTTAATCCAACCACAACTACGGTTCTAATTCACACAATCCAAACAAAATGAGTCAGCCTCCGGCACAGGGTAACCCACAACAGGGCACCAATGGCGGACCGGGTCAGCAGATTCTGCCAGCCCAGGCGACCAAGCTTCTTGCAGTACTCAAGGAGCTGTTGGAGAAAGCCAAAACCTCCACAGACCAGGCCACCCAACAAGCATGTTACAGAAAGGCGGAGCAGATCAGGCAAGTTCTTATGAACTATCAGAGACAGCAAAGACGTGGACAGGAGCAGGGTCAGAATGCTGGAACCTCAGCTCAAGGTGGTCAAGGTCAGACTGGTGCAGGTGGAGCCAATTTTGCTGGAAACGCTCAGATGGGCCAGCAAAGACCTCAGGGGCAAACATATCCTCAAGCTCAGGCATCAGGTATGGGGCAAAACCAGCAAGCTCAGCAAGTGGCGGGTCAGCAAATGAGACCACAAGGAAACGCTGGACTGCCACCAGTAGCAGGTGCAGGTGCACAGGGTGCTAGACCGGGCACCATACCAAGCTCACAGGTCACTCCAGAAAGATACCAACAGGTGAGACAGCGTATTCTGGAGGTCGAAAGAAAGATTCAGTCTTTGGAGGCGGAGAAGAGAGGAGACTTACCCGCAGAGAAGCGGGCACAGATTGATAACCAGCTCACGGAGTGGAGAAACAAGTACGCACAGTTTCAGAAGTTTGCCAACATTATCAGGTCTCAGTTGGTGGAGCAAGCCCGTAACGCATCCAACCAAGGAGCTGCCAGTGCCGGAAACCTCGGTACAGCTGGTACACCTGCTGCTTCCAGCGCAGGCTTGAATCTCCAGGGTCTGGCATCTAGCCCTAGCGTGCCAAGTGCCGCTGCTGCTGCCGCTGCTGCTCAAAATTCGGCCCAGAGAGCATCCGTAACTCAACCTGCTATGGGAGCTGCTGGTTCACCCCCAATCAACCGAGCTGGATCTCCCGGTTCAGTGGGCAAGGCAACAAGTGGTTCGCCAGTACCTGTGCCAGGTGCTACGCCAGGTGCTCCTGGTGGACCCAACGCTCAAGGTGTAGCATCCGGAGCAGGAACCCCAGCTCCACAAAACGCGGCTGCTGCTGCAAATGCAAAGGGCAGAAGTACCTCCCCACCACCATCCTCAAAAGAGCCAAGCGTGCCTGGCGTAAACCTATCTGGCATCACCAAACCAAGTGTGCCTTCTATGCCCATCTCAAATACCATCAACGTCAAGCCTCCAGCTCCAGTTACACTCAAACCCGGCGCTAACAATGTCCGTCCTACATTGACAGGTGGCGGTGCTTCTGGTTTGGGCCAGATCATGGGTACTCCTGCCGTTATGAGAATGCCAACTTACGACATGGCTACCACCTCTGCGGCTGCTCTCACTGACAACGGCGGCAGGGTTTTGACTAAAAGAAAATTGAGCGAGCTCATCAACACCATTGGCGCCGACGAGGGTGATGGTAGAACGACTATTGACGGAGATGTGGAGGAGCTACTCTTGGATCTTGCAGATGAATTTGTCTCTTCTGTCACCACGTTCGCATGCCGCTTGGCCAAACACAGAAAGACAGACTCTGTTGATGTGAGAGATGTTCAATTACACCTTGAGCGTAACTGGAACATTCGTATACCCGGTTATGCCATGGACGAGATTAGAAGCATGAGGAAGTGGCAACCCAGCTCCTCTTACAACCAAAAGGTTTCTGGAGTGGAGATTGCCAAGGCTATTAACGGAAACATGAACTAAACCCAGTGTATTTGTTCGACTTTGTATTTTTAAGCTATATATTACCTATTCTATTACCTTGTAAACCCCGTTTTTGTCGCTGAGAATTGATGCATCCACCCAGAATTTGAGTGCCTGCGATGCAACATATTCCGAAAGACCCGTTGTCAATATGACTGTTGGGAGAGAAAGACCATCTTGCTCCTCGTCGAATACTTCAATGACTGTTGCCTGAGCAGGGGTGACCATGAAGCTTTTCAAGACACCATCGAATTCGAGGTCCAAGGACACCGTTCCCATAGAGGGAAGAAGTTCGAGATCTCTTCCTGGCTTAGCATTAACGAAACCCTCGGTGAACTGCTTGAATCTATCTTCAATGGGTACATTGAACTTTTGCTCGTTCTCCATCTTCTGCTCGATCGATGGCCAATACATCTTGGAAAGAATTGTAAGCTCCATTCCAGCGCCCCCGAGCTGAGAGTTGAGATTATTGCTATCATGAACATCCTTGATCATCACATCCAACGAAGAAAACTCGTTGGAGCCAAACCTGGCCTTGAGAAGTCTAGTGATGTCATCAATATCCTCGAGACTGTACTTGTCCCATTGGAGAAGCCTGTTGCCGAATATGCCAGTGAGTTCCTCTGTGAAAACCGAAGTCAGATCATAGATCGACACCAATGCTTCCAAGACATCGGAGATCTTACCTCTACGGAAATCGGGCAATGCGTCGATAGGATCAGGGTTCCATTTGAGATCTGTCAAGTCGTCGATGGGTGCAGCTGATGGTGGTTCATTGATTTGAAGCTCCTGTGCCAACTCAACCAATGGGTTCGTATCTGGATTGAGGTCAAGCATGCCGTTGACAACCTGTTGCACCAAATCTGAACGAGTGCTCAAATATTGCCTAATTGGACGGACCACCTTGTCAAGCAAGACACCCGTTGGATCGATCATAAGGAAGGCTTTAATTGTTTTAGTGTACACGATGATCACATCGGTCGTATTCGTTCCCAGGTGAAGTAGTCTCTGACCACAATCATCAATAAAAACATCCACGATCTTTGCACGATGGTGGGCCAAAGACTGAAAGCGGTCTATGTCCAAGGCTAAGCATTCACGAAGTTCCTGGAGTGCCACTATACTTTCTGGGAATTGCGTCACCATATCGAATATCTCCTTGATTCGGAGCAGCACAAGCTCGTCTCGAGCGATCTGGACAAGATCGCTACTCGAAGCACATGCATATTTGGATCCACATCCAAGGGAGAAGGAAGGGTAGAGCTCGAGCCGTAGCCACTTTTCAAGGTCATGAAGAACTGGTGTGTTCCATTGACCGAGACACACCTCAGTCAAGTGGCTACAAATCTTCTCAACCGTAACCTTGACGACAATCTGACGTAAAGTGGCATCCATTCCAATGGACGAGAGGGTCTTCATTTGTAGCGAGAGGCCCTCGAAAAGCGAATCCCTCACATGTTGTTCGAGCTGATCCAACAAGTGCTGCTGCAGAAGATACTTGATGAACAACGAATACAAGCCACGCAAAAAGGAGTCATTGGCCAAATTGGACAACTTCATATGCGAAAGCTGTTTGACGTAGAAAGAACGGAGTTGCCAGACAGCGTCCAATGCAGTGAATAGATCCAGATCTTTGGGGAGCCTGTCCTCAAGATCGAGCCGAATTGAGTTGATCCACAACTTCATAAAGTCAAGCTGCTGGGGCTGTGTTCGTAGACACCGTTTGGCTGCTACTTTGGTTCTCGGCAGCGGTTCAGCATAGCTCATTTCGATGCCGTTGTGTTGTTTTGGTTGAAGCCAATGTAGAAGTTGGTCGAGGTCATTTTCCAAATCCTGGTGCAGTTCGGGATTCACATCTCTGAGTGTTTGCAGGGGGAAGATTGACGCTATTACCAGTTTTGGTAGCGTCTGTCTAGCCGCCATCTGGTGGAGACTTTGTAGGTGGTAGTAGGTTATTACTTCGCGCTTTCATGTCTCAATGGGTGCAAATTGAGAGGGTCTGTTGAGGCCCTAGGGTGAGAGAAGAAATAAAAAAACGGAAAAAGGGGAAATGATTTGGGACTTTTGAGAAAAGACTTGACTGGTAGAATTGGTATATGTTGCTTTCCACCGTAACTATGTGGTACAGAGGCCGGCTTTGGTTGATCTGCCCGTACGCCAGTGAGGGCATAAGATGAAGTTGAAGTAAGAATATCCTTGTCATCAACAAACTCCTTTGTAATATATTCATAGATTTAAGTGTTTCTTGGCTCAATGGTACTTTCACCGTTACATAACCACAGAAAGCATTTGCAATAAAACATTGTGATACTAGATGGGTACAGATAGATCCCGAAGTTATCCATATGAATTGAATTTGCAACGATGGGTATCGACGACAAAACAGCAATTGTTCTAAAACCCTGAGGTGTACTGCTTAAAAATGCACCGCTTTGTTGCCATTGCTGATGTCCGACTAGTGTGTCGTCAACTCTGCAATTTTGCAGCCAACATGGAACACCGCCATATCATAAAACCTGAATATCGATATCCAGAAATCATAGCTTTGAGGGCGATCATCATCTAATAAATTTGATCAAAATTCTCCACAAATCCAAATTTGGAACTGCTTCACTCGAAACCCATGGGTGGTAGTTGTCGCGCATAAATCAAACCTAGCTTTATTCATCTCCACCACAGATGGTATGTTCTCATCTTCACCACAGAAATACCCATACTAACCGCAGGCGAGACTCCTGAAGACCAACGCCAAGGCTCAGTTCATTGATGTCACTCATGCCAAGCCAGCAGTGGCCACCCAATTTCTTGAGCAGTCTGACTGGGACGTTGATGCTGCCTTGAGGGAATACTACAACCAAAACCCGCCACAGGATCCGAAAGTTGGCGAGATCTTCGATAAATACAAAAGCCCCGAGAACCCTGACCTAATTCTGATCGATGGAACCTTGGAGTATTTGAGCGATTTGGGATATGACCCAGAGGAGCTCAAGAGTTTGATTGTTGCATATGTTTTAGAGAGCCCTCAGACGGGTGAGTTCCACAGAAACGCCTTTGTCCGTGTGTGGCTGACGCTATGTGTCAATACCATTCAGGGTATGCGCCAGTACATCGACGAGAAACAACTGCTGATGGAAAGGTCTGTCGAGGAGTTCGAGCCTTTCTACCAGTTTGTGTTTGAGTTCGTCAGAGGCTCTGACTCAAGGATCAAGGTGATTGGCTTCGAGGAGGCCATTATTTATTGGCAGATGCTCTTGGATCTGCGGTTCCCTACTTCTGGTCAAAGACTACAACAATGGTACGAGTTTGTCCAGGAGACCAAAAAGAGTATCACGCGAGACTCCTGGAACATGTTTTTCAAGTTTGTGGTGCAAGTGATCGAGAATGACCCCCTGTCATTATCAGCATACGACGAAACCAGCGCATGGCCCTCTGTCGTGGACGAGTTCATGGAATGGCTAGAGGAATCTGGCAAACTACAGAAAAGCGAAGACGTGGTAATGATGAATTGATAGATATAAAGTCAGCGCTCCGCGCATAGAATTGAACTGTGGGAATCTTTATGGTTGTCTGCTAGTTGAGAAGCTTCTCTATACTGGGCTTTCTAAGCAGTAGAAGCGTTTTTGAGGCGTCCTCGAGTTTCCCGTCTTCACTGGTCTCGTCGTCGCCAATGTGAGCCGTCATATTGTTTGAAGGCACCTGGGATTTGAAGTACATTCTTTTGGGGTAAGCTGCCGAGTTTGAGCCACTGGAGTACTCCTCATCAGGCATACTAGTGGGAATGGCAGGGTCCGGAAGCACAAAAGAGCCTCGTTTGACATTCAGCTTGATTGGGATTGTGAATGGGGAAGTGGCCAGGGATACAGAGCCCGACTTGGGCTGCGAGTTGTACGAGAATGCCTTGTTCACCTGCTCATTCTGGTCCATCAGTGAGTATCTCCCTAGCGTTTTCTGTAAATGGAGATGCTGTTGATGAAGTGCTGCTTTGTCGTTGGGGTTTTTGCTCAAAAGCGAAAGAATTGGCGTTATGTCTGGAGTGGTTGTCGGGCTTGGAAGCTGTTCACCTTCGGAGGAGGATTCCCTCGACATGGACAACAGCTCCGGTCTTGAGCTGTTTTTGCTTTGAGTGGACTCTATATTTTGCTTTTCGGCCTCGTCTTCTTTTATGGACTCGCAGACGGAAGTCGATCTCTGTGTTGATGTGGGGAGGTCTGCAAAACTGAACTCCTTGTCAATGTTTCTGTATTGGTTGACGTCTATTGGCACTTTGGTATAGCCAGTGTCGTAGGTGTAATCGATCGGGGTCTGCGACAAGAGCTCGTGCTGCTTCTGAATGATGTGGTGCAAGTACAAGATGTACTCCACTGATGATTTGAGGATGGTAAGCTTGTACATGCCATCGATTTTTGAACTGTTGTTGGAGGAGGCCTTCTTAGCACCCGTATCGGTGTTGCGGCATGCTGGGATGATGTACTTGAGGGCTTCAAACTCACGATTGATCTTGACTCTTCTGCGTTTTTCGATGATAGAATGGAGTTGCTTTGTTTCGCTTTTTCTTCTGGCCAACTCGTCATCGTCCACAAACGAGCTTGATCTTCTCCGCTTCTTCTTGGGCTGTTCAGCCGGAATAGCATTCAAAGTTGGAGAGCTTGAAGAAGATGGGTTATACACATTGTTGAGGATTTCGTAGTTGTTGTCCTCCGGATCGATGTCCTTGTTGAGTTGAATGATGGTCGTTTTCAACGACGGTGGAGGCGGCAAGTGCATGGTTGCAAAGAATAGCAGTTCAACGTTACAGGGTCGGTTGCAAGCGGCGCAGCATATATAAAGGCGGCGGGGGGTGGTCGCGAGGTTTAGCGAAATTAGTGCTGTTTGCAACCATTTGACGCACGTTTACTTCTCCCACGTTTTGCTCACACGAAGCGTAACACGGGCCTATAAAGTTTTGAGCTTCTTTTTTTTTCTGGGAATGTGCCCGCTTAAACAAACGACGCATCGCAAATCGATTTTCTCAATGAAAATCATCCCAAATCCACCATTTCATTTAACCTTCCATTGGAAGATCCTACTGCTCACACGACCTCCGGACTACGTTAAGGTCCCACATGTCTTGTGCGATAGGGAGGCAGAGAAGCATGGGCCATGCAATTAATCACTCATATATGCAGGACACACGTGGGCACGTGCCACGGAAGCAAGGTACCCACGATCTGTGGGGGGTAAGGCTTCATGGGACCATATGGGCCCGTATAACAGGAATTCCAGATTACACCGTTTCTGTCTCCCCCGTCCTCACCCGGGTTTTCAGGAGGGGGTCCGTGCCCTTGTGCTCTTCTAGAAAGCGCAACAGAATCTGCAGGAATGGCTGCGAAATCCACGAGGCCTTACTCCATCAGCATCTACAAGTAAAATAGTCATAGCATCTATCATATTTAACGTGGCCGCTCGAGCTCACAATCCGATACCGTAAACTCAAGAAAGTAGATTGTGCTTTAACAGCGCCACAAATTCGTCCATTACCTTCTTATCACCGTTACTCCAGAGCTCCATATCATCAACATCAGCGACCGTAAGATGGAGCCCTCCCTTGGGGGTGCTGACCACCGACAAGGTCAAATGCGATGTCGACACGCTTTGCGAGAATATAAGATCCGTCACCTCCCAATGGCCTCTGACAAACTTCTTGCATCCGATGTTGGAAATCTCAATGGCACCTCTGGCATTGGGGTCCTTGAGCTCATCCTTGAACCAGTCCCAGATATTCACATAACGAAGCATGCCGGCAAACTTGAAAGGGTCTCTCGACTCCATAGTAGCGTCAAGCTGTTTCTTCAAATTCTCTCCGATCTGCTTCACTGTGGTGAGGTCCACAGGCACAAACGGTAAGGTTTGCGACATGTAGAGACCGAAACGCAGCTGGATAGCGTTCTGGGGCACGTAGCGTCGTCCACAAAGCGCAATGGGCACATTGACGCTTCGGCGCTGGTCCATCTTATAACCTTGAAGGGTATTAGCATAAGGCACTAAATGTTCTTGGGCTGCAGCGTGAGCACAGGCCCCGATAAACGGCGTTAAAGTAAGGCCGTTCTGCTTACTCCTAACAAGTAGCTGCGTGGTCTCCAGAGGCAGAAACCTCAAAAGACGGAAGCCCAGGTGGTTGAATTTTTTTGGAGGCACCGGGTTGAACACCGGGTAGCGGTAAGTATTGGGGAAGTTGGACTGGAACAAGACGCGGAAAAAATTAACGAGGAAGTGGGGCAAGAAGATCTCGAGAAGCAAGGTCTTGATCATAAAGAGGAACGGCGTTTCGTACAACGAAGCGACCTTGTCCAGGGCCGGCTGGGGCGCTAGGTTGTCAGATTCAGCATTGAACAATTGAGTTCTCACCGAAGAAGGCTTTGTCTTTTCCACCTCGTCCAAGCACCAGAGGAGCTCATCAAACACGTTGGCGCCCGCGTTTCCATCAAAGAGGATGTGGTTGCACACGAAAATAAGCGCCGAGGGCTCGTTGTTGCGGAGTTTCAAGTTGTAGAGCTTCCACGTTGGCCTGTCTGTATCCAACGGAAGCACCTCGTCGGCCAAGCGCTCGGCCAACTCAGGCCCGAAGCTGTCGGCTTCCAAGTGCTGGACCACCTGGTCATAGGCGATTTTCAGCACGGAGTGAACGATGAAGTTGTCGCCGTTGTTTTTCTTGTCGTCCGGGTTGGTACGGAAGAAATTGAGCGAAAACACGGGGTTCTTCAAGATCATAAGCCGTAAGGCGTTGGACAAGAGCACGTCATCCACGGGACGGTTGAAGCGGGCGGCGATGCTGAAGCCGTTGTTGCAGTAGCCCATAGAAAGACGGCAGAGGTAGTACCTCTCTACGGGGCCGATTGGGCGAGACATGGCTGGGAAGCCATTCCAGGACAGCATTCTGGTTTTATAGCCTCTGTGGCTATAGTTGCACTCGGAAAACGCAGTGGCTGCGAAAAATAGCGAGCTTTATGAGAAGGCGCTTTCGGGCAAAAATGGGCCTGGAGAGGCCGCAAAAGGAAGGAAGGTGGATCTGGACGAGGTGGGAATGGCTATTTATTTATCGCCGTCTCCTAATTGAAGCCACATCGTGTTTCTTGCTCTGATTTCGTTTTTCCAAAAGTTACCCAAAACTCCTCCTCCTCCCTTTTACTACCCTGTGGGTATGGGAGCCACACAAAAGGGTGAGTCGCACAAAACAGTAGCGCAAATGTTCCGAAACATCCAGGTGCAGAGCCCTCATAGATCTTGAGGCGGAATCACCGCTTCCAAGGAAAACCACACAATGAACCGGAGATTCTTGCCAACGTGACAGGTGCAAACTGTGCTACAGTACCGGTCGTGAAGGATCGGAAAATTTTGCTTGTTTCGGCCGAAACGCTCTTTGTACCCTGGGGGCATCAGGCCCAGAGTGCTCCGTTTCCGCCCGCTTTTGCGTTTTCGCTTCCGTCTATACCGGCCCCGACGTCTCAAGCTCGCAACCCGCTAAACCTTTGTTGCAGCGGTAGCCGAGCTAAAATCGGTTCCGGAACCACAAATTGCAAAAACGCAAACTCGGAAACTCCTCTGGAACTTGTGCCTGTTCGCCTCACTTTTTTTTATTCCAATCTCTTTTGCCGCTACTTTGCACCATCATACCCCCATGGTTAGACTTACGAGGTTGAAGTTTTTTTTATGCCTGTCGCTTGACGCACAAGGGCCCTGCGTGGAACCGCCTACTTCTATTTTTTTAGCCTTTTCTCGTAACTGTGTACATATTCAAGTGAACCGCTATCTTCTCTTTTTTTCTTGTTGCTGTCGCCCTCCGCCATGACGAAACTGGCTACCAGGAGAAGGCACACCAACCTGAAACTCGGATGTGCTAATTGCAAGCGGAAAAAGATCCGCTGTGACGAGGTGCTTCCTCAGTGTGAGAACTGTCAACGAGCTCGAAGAGAAACATGCTCCTACTTGTCCTTGTCAAGCGCCGAAATCAACCGGATCCGTCTAACCCACTCCCTCAGAAACTCCCAGAACAAGCTTCTATCCAGCAACTTCCGCCTTCCCACGTCTACAAACAATCTGTTTGAGGCGAGCGACCTGATCTTGGCCGATTCAAGAAAACCGGGGCTGGACGCCTTGGAGTTCAAGTTTGAGTTTTCCAAGTTCAACAACAAGTTCCCTTCCCTGCGCTACGTGTCCGTTCAGTTCCACAACACCTTTGTCAACACGTTGGAGCTTGACTATAGGCTGGACTTCGATGAGCGCTCGCCCGACTCAAACGCCGTGCTGACTGACGTGAGCTCTTCGGCCGAGTTGGCCCTTTCTAATGGCAAGGCACTCCCCAGCAGCGTCCACAGACCAACACGCTTCAAGAGACTAGACCACAGGGCGCAATTTGGGGTCTCCATCAACAGGAGACACCCCATGTGTATGATGTTGTGGGACTTCAGCCCGGACCAGCTCTTCTCCGATATTTTCTTCACCTGCCAGCGCTGCTTTTCGGCTTCGCTTCTGCTTCTGCGTATGAAGCAGGAGGCCCTCGTAGGCCGGCTGTTTCCTCCGAACTCCATCACATCGTTGGAGACAAAGTGTAATGCCGCCGTCAATATCATGAGGCAGATGTTTCCCGAAGCAATGCGTATTTTTAGGGAAAACCTCGAGGTGGACATTCACACGTTGAGCGAGCTTAACAGACAGCGCTTCTACTTGGTATTGGCTAACTGGCTCTCGGCGTGCTCACTTTCGGTCCTCGACTGCTCGATCCCGATTGTCTTCACTTTCCTCGTGGGCCAGAGTATTATTTTCGAAGAGTACATTGCCTACGCTCTCAAACACAGCACGAGTGACAGGGACGGTGTCCAGTGGCTCGGCTTCATGACAGAGAACATTCTATTCATTCACCTCCCACCCTACGAACCGGCGTTTCTCTTTGAGATTCGCTCGAACCTTGAAGCCTTGTGTAACTTGTTCGACGTAAACCCCGTCACCCTCACAAACGATGCAGACGCTTACTACTTCAAAAGACTCAGACACTTTTGCCATCTGATGCTCAGCTTCCTCGATTCTCACATCCTAAGTATAGTCTACATTTCGAGAAACGAGCATTTTGTGACCACATACCCACCTTCGGTGATGTTCAATGCCGCAAGAAAATGGTGGTTCCTCATGCCCTCCAAGTTCCATCATCGCGATACAAGCAGCCCTGCCCACGCATTCCTTGAGCGTCTCTCGTGCACCGTGAAGATGTACAGAGCTGCTATCGGTGTTGGGCTCGATGCTGTTTTCCCCACAGCAAGATATCTTCTATCATTGGGTTTTGAGGACCCCACGTTCCAGATCAGAGAACAGTGCAAAGTCACCAAACCACAACCTAACGAATTCCACGACCCCAATCTTCCAGAGTATTTATGGAGACACATGGTCTACGCCTTGCGTGTCTATGGTTTCTTCCAAAAGAGATTCAAGCTCTACAAACACAATGTCATCTGGAAAGGTCCTTTCGAGGATCTCAATTCCAACAACCGCTTCAGTGCTAGGCATATGAAGAATGCATTAGAGATACCCGTAAGGAGCTTCAACAACCTTGCATTGCGCCCCGAGCATTACGCCCGGCAAATTCATGGCCATTACGATTCCATCCTCAAAGACCCATCTGCAAGTGCTGTGTTCGCACGGCCCGACGAATCCCAGATAGAAATGCATCATCATAGTGAACATTTCGACGTTTTTGATCACCGCCACGAGATTCAGCTTCGTCCGGACTTTTCCTGTCAATATGATTATGTTCCTCTTATCAAGGACTGCCCTGAGAATCAAGAGTATTCAATCGATGATTTGAAAAGATATTTCGAAGATCGTAAAGGAATCCTCCAGGGTATTTTTTAATAATCGCCAACTTGCATCCCCGTCATCATCTCCATCATCCACACCCAAGCATCGCTGAGTTCCACTCCAGCCGTTCTCGAAATGTAACATAGTCCCATGCCTTGAATAAGGTATCAATGAACAATTTTTTTTTTGATAAAAAGTAAGGGTGAGATTCATATGCTTTCCCGTGTCTTCAGCGTAGCTGGTATTTTGCAGCCATTAACACACACCTGTACCTCATCAACCCATAAGTAGGCATCGCGACATGCACATATATAACGAGTTCGTTCTATTCCATAAACCCATGAGCAAGATAATAATACCGGGAGACCAGTTGTCTTCTGAAATTCCAGAGGATGGCAATATCGCTATTGGTCCAGGCATCTACAAAAACCCCAAAACGCAAAATATCATTCCTCTGCTGTCAGGCTACCTCAAATCGATAGGCAAGAAGAACACAGCAGACAAGCTTCTTTACATCGAATCAAATTCAAAAAGATACACGCCTCAAGTAAATGATTTTGTTGTGGGAGTTGTCACTGGCGTTTACAGTGACTTTTTCAAGATATCACTACAAGACTTCTCGCAGCAGGTTCAACTTTCCATGATGGCATTCCCCAACGCAAGCAAAAAAAACCGTCCTAATCTCAAGATCGGCCAAGCTGTTTACGCTAGAGTTAGCGAGGCCAATCCAGAAGTCGATATTGAAATCGAGTGCATAGATCCAGAGACCGGAAAAGAAGGTGGTTTTGGTCCCCTTGACGACAGTGGGTTCCTTTTCGAAGTCAACCTCAACTTTGCAAGAGAATTGCTTTTCAACAAGAGCAACATTTTCTTGGAGAAGCTTGCCGCCAAGTGCGCTTTCGAGATTGCAATTGGTATTAATGGAAGAATCTGGCTCAAGGTAGGTGAGGGGCTCACGACCAAGAACAAGGAGGCCGAGAATGACGATGATGTCGACATGGACAAGCAGGAAGTGACTGTCAAGGATATGAGACTCACGATAGCGGCTGCCCGGTACCTCCAGGCGTGTCAGAACGTGAAGCAAGAGAGCGCAGATGCTGAGTTGAAGAAGGCATTCAAGGGCACTGGTGGTCTATAAGCATGTGGGATAGAGTATATATAGTAAACAGAGCAATCTAATGGATACCGAAGAAATCTAACTAAGCTTACCGATAGTCTCCACACTCATGGTGCTTAGGCTGGCTGCGAGTGAAAAAAATCCGATGATCATCGATACTACTACTTAAGCATGCCGGCAACACCCGAGGAGATCCTCGCCAACAATAGAAGAAAGATAGAAAAGCATAGAAGGAGACTTGCCTATCATGATTTGCAAGTCCAGGGCACCAACAATTCCTCCATCATGTCCAAACGGTCTGTGGAAGCCATCTACAATCCGATCCTCGAACCAGAACTGAGTGAATGGATCAAATTCTTCGTGCCCAAGGCCAAAAGGAGATCGCCTGCTATCAACAGAGGCTACTGGATCCGAGTAGAGAGCATCAAGCAGATGATCTTCAGAATCAGAGATCAGTATCCGGATCAGCCAGTGCGTATAGTGAACCTAGGCTGTGGGTTTGACGTACTTCCATTTCAGCTTTTGGAGCAGGGCGGAAACTATGAATTCTACGATTTTGACTATCCTGAACTTGTGCACAGAAAATTGGCTGTCATGAACGAGGCGCCTGAGATCTTGCTGGTTGTGGGTGACAGGAACGAGATCACACCGGCTCAGAAGGACATGGGCATTGTCATGGCCACGCTGAAATACAAGCTCGTTGGCTGCGATTTGAAAAACACCGGGCTTTACAAAAAACAATTGGAGTCGCTTTTGCCTAAAGGAGCCGGCCCCACGATATTCATAGCAGAGGTGTCGTTGGCATACATGAAGCCTGAAGACGCCAATCCGGTGATTGAGATCTCGGCGCAGGTGGAAGACTCCCATTTCCTTGTTCTCGAGCAAATCATGCCTTCCGGGCCTCAGCATTTCTTTGCCAAAAAGATGTTGTACCACTTCAGTCATCTTCGTTCTCCTCTCCAGTGTGTGGAGACATACAGCACCAAGGAGAAGCAGACCGAGAGGTTCCGCCAGTACTTTCCTGACATTGAAATCAGGGATTTGTTTGAATGCTGGAACGAGCTCGTCTCGCGGGAGAAGAAAAAGGCTGTGGATGAGGTGGAGGCATTCGACGAGTGGGAGGAGTTTATCGTCTTCTGTCAGCACTATGTGGTGATCCACGCTACAAATTCGAGGAAGCTTGCATTTAGAAGACATCACGAGAAGGATGAAATCACCGGCTTCAATGACGACGTGACGCTCCAGCACCGGGAGCTCGATCTCGAACTAAAGTTTCCCGCAGCCAGTGAAACCGATGGTGGGTGCATTGTCCACGGCGGAATGTGGCAGAGCCGTACCGACGAGACCTTACAAATCGACAACGATGGGAACAAGTCGGCGCTTCAAACCTCCGAGGGACCTTCGCCTCGTATGTGTCACACTCTCACAAACGCCCAGTATGGGACCCTCGTCTTGACCGGAGGAAGAGGCCGTCCTGGGCTCGCCTATGACGATATATGGACTTTCCACGTTGAAAGCAAAAAATGGACTAAAGCGGGGTCCCTTCCCTTTCCCATGTACCGCCACAGCGCCATTTGCACGGAACCAGGCAAGGTTCTTGTCTTTGGCGAGGGCCAGTTTGTGGAGATCACCGATTCCGAAGTGACCACACTCCGAGTCCTCGGCGATATCCCCAAACTCGCCAGCTGCGCCCTTACGTTCGATCCCGAGCAGCTGGTTGGCTACATTGTCGGCGGCATGTCCAGTGTTGTAGAACCGCTCATCAACAGCGAGGTGTACCGATACAAGGTGACCAACGACGCCGTTATCGTGGAACCCGTCTTGCTGCTGCCGCAGCTTGCCCGTATTGGATGCCATGCTTTCCTCGAGAAAAACCTTTTGGTTGTTGTCGGCGGCGCTGGACTGGTTCTCCAGAACCAGGACACCACTGTCTTGGTGGTGAACACCCTCACCTGGAGCCTTGAAAAAGTGAAAATCCCCCGACCCGTGTGGGAAACCAACCCGGTATTTCTTGGTGCAGCGTCGTTTGGGAACCGCCTTATCGGCGGCGGAGCCGTCTGCTACTCGTTCGGGTCGGCCTACGGTGGAGCATACCTGGTGGAGGTTGCCTGAAAAATGGCTGCAAAACACCTGCACGATTCCCCTAGTGCACGATATTTTGGCGTGCGGCGGGCCATGCAATTCCCATCAGGCCCCTGGGCGCCGCCTCTTGGCCTGTCAATTCTGCAAATCACGAACCCTGGCCCCGAGCCATTTTACCCGCTGGGCCGGAAACGGCTCGGCTGCTTCCTTCTCCCTCGGCAGGGCATCAGCAGATCCATGGCGTGAGATCCATCTCCCCATGCCGTCCACTCCGAGCACCCTCACTCCCGGTTGCGCAGCCCAGCAACGGAACGTAAATCAAAGACAATAGGGTGGGCTTTGACAAATTGACGTTTGCTGTGGAGACGACGAGAAATACAAATTCCCTGAGGTTTCTGTTCCCCAAATTTTTTTCCACAAATTCCCCCCTCCCTGCCCCGCCTCCGTGGACTCATCTAGCGAGCCGCGAGCTCGGACTGCCTGGCGACTCCGATAGATAACCTAATCCAAAAGTGCACCAAGCTCCCCAGAAGAGCGGGTCCTCTGCATCACTTCATCATGACCACCCTAGGTACTGCAGACCGCCTTGGCCCACAACCGCCAGATATACCTGACCCGGCCCTGGCAGTGTCTTCTGCAATTGCGCCTAGTTCTTTGGACATGTCTGCTCAGTCCGAGATCCTCAATGCTACCGAGCCCTATACCCTGGACGGCTACTTCAAGTCCTCCCATGCCTCCTACTCGAGCCATACGCCTGGCTCGAAGCTGAGTTCTGTTTCTTCTGAAGAAGACGTTCCGCTTTCCATGAGGTTTATGCACAAGCCGCTGCGTTCCGGAGACCAGTTCCGCAAAGCCAGCGACCCTACAAGACGAAACCTGATAGCAAACGCCCACATCGACGATACCTCCCGGCCCTCCTCATCATCCGGATTCGGCCTCCCTGCTGCGGAGAGCCCTGATGGACGGCTACCGCTTGGTACGCAAGAAGCTGGGTGAGATTGTGAAAAGTCTGCTCAAGGAAGGGACCTCCAGATCAAAGTCTCTACCTTCGACACCGTCTTTCAAGCTGGTTCATTTTGGCGGCGATGCCGATATTCGCTATTTCTCCAAGAAGGACCGGCCCACAGCCATTCTGGCTCTGAACTCACCCGCCCTCGTACCGGATAGCGACGATGACGAGCAGTCCCAGGAATTTCAATACTTTGACGACGAGTTGAACTCCCACGTCGATCCCCACCGCTCCTCGGCCGCCATCACCAAGTACCCTACACCCCATCACGGTCGGCTCATTGACTGGGATGTGAAAGTAATCAACTTCCTTCAACGCTGCTTCACGACCGCATTTCCGCCATCAGGCCTCCTGTCTTCCTCGAGAGGGTCTTTGTCTCTATCGACAAGCGCTTCCTCTTGGGCCACATCGCCGTCAGCAACATTGCCTATGAGAAGACAGTCACGGTACGTTATACGTTGGACAAGTGGGCTACCATTGTCGAGATTCCAACTATCTATGTACCCGATATCCCGGTGTCTTTGCGCAAAAATAACTACGACCGATTCGTCTTCAAGATCCCGCTTGATTCCATGTTTAACTCGTTCCACACGAGAGACAACTCAGATCTGTTCACCAGAGAGCATCTGAAACTGTACCACTTGTGCATCCGCTACTCTGTCCCTGGACACGAATTCTGGGATAACAATGGTGGAAGAGACTACCTGATCAAGATCAAAAAGACGATCCGCTCCAGCGAGCAGCTGGCTGGTCCAGACTTTGTCGCTGACGATAAAAAGCAAACTCCTCGTCTTCGTGGAGGTGGCGTGGTACCTCCCAAAATGGCTCGCTCAAAGCCGGAGGCACACAGCCAAAGGCCAAAATACTCATCCCATTACTTGAAACGGTTCAATTCGGAACCGAACTTGAAGGCCCTGGATCCCAAAGATAAGCCGGCTGAAAAGAACGATTTCGAAAGCAATGGGTTCTATCTTTCCTCGCCATTATTCTCCAGCATCAAGAACAATCGTGGCGACGCACTCTATGACGATCAAGACAATCTCAAGGGCCACTCGGGACACCGTTATCTGCACAAGACCCTCAATTCTGATAAGAAGAATAAGCATCATTCTCAGCATCCTCAACATTTCAATCTGATCGCAACAGATCTGACATTGGTTGCTGATGAACCATCCCCTATGGAGGGTGTTGTCCCTTCTCATCAATTGCACGATGAACCTTCCGTCCGTCTTTCCGATAACATCCTGAGCCCTATTAATCTGAAGTCTTACAAGGAGCTTTTGGAATCTTATTGCTTCTTTACTTCTCCCTCAAGTGAGGCTTCCACCGATGCTACGCTGACAACACTTTCGCAGTTGGACCCGAAGCAGGTTGGACCAGAGCGATGTCTGGATAACGACAGTGCCTTCACCGTATCTTCATTTTTACGGAAGTGATTCTTCGCTGAATTGAATATCTCAATGTCATTGCATTTTTATTTCTACGATAATAGTTTTTGATGTTATCTCATATTTTTACCCTAATATATATATCGTCACAGAATTGACCGTTCCTTCTTGCGACTTCCCAAATTATGTAGCATTAGCATTGAAAGTTGTACATCTTGATCATACCGTTTTCCAAACCTGCAACGAAGTTGTTGCTTGATAAGCCCACACAGCTCACACTAGCATTATTACCAAAGGTATGCAAGCATTTACCGTCCTGAAGATCCCAGACTTTCACCAACCGGTCATGAGCTCCACTGACAATTCTGAAGGTGTCTGCACTGATGGACCAGACTCCTTCAATATGACCGAACTGAGTTCTCACGCACTTGCCGGTCTTCACATCCCACAACTTGATTGTGTTATCTAATGAAGATGTCAAAAGATGTGTGGGATAATCTTGTCCTTCTGGAAGATCGGGGAGGGGTTCGGGCCCTTGCCTTTCCTGGGTTGAAGCTCCCTGTTGATTTTGATGCTGGGTTTGTTGTTCGTATTGATGCTGCTGATGACGCAAATGATTGCCCGTATTGTCTGAATCACTGTCATTATCGTCCTCGATTAGATCACCACTAAGATATTTGAAAGGAATGACAGTCTCAACTTGACCAACGTGACCATTGTTTTCGATTCCACCGAACACTCGGAGACATTGGTTGTTGTTCAAGTCCCACATCTTGACAGTGGTATCATCTGAGGCGCTGAAAACTGTGTTTGATGGTTCGTGGATCTTCACGCAGTTAACGCAATCACTGTGACCACGAAGCGTGAAACAGGTTCTTGAATCAACGTGCCAGACTTTCACAGTGCAATCAGCTGATCCTGAAACGATGGTTTTACCAGAGAAGTCCACGCTAGACACTGCGTCCTCGTGACCTCTGTAGGTTGCTATGCATTTGCCAGAGTGGTAGTTCCATACCTTGACAGTAGAGTCAAGGCCACCGGTGATGAGCTTTTGCGAATCAAAAGCCAAGGCACGCACGCCTTTCGAGTGGCCCGCCAAAGTCTTTATACACTCGCCCGTGTCCACATTCCAGATTTTGATAGTAGCGTCATATGAGCCGGACATAAGATACTTTCTGTTGAACTGAAGACAGGTGATTCCATCCTTATGACCCTGGAACGTCTTGAGCACGTAACTGCCGTTTCTCCAATTCTTCTCCAATTGATACCGCTCACTATAGACCGACTTCCATGGACGTTTCTTGCATTCTGCTTTCCGGCGCTTTGTTGAGCTAGAGCCCTCTTCCTCATTATTATACTCACGGGCTCTCTTCATATGCATAAGCGGAAGACCCCATCCACAATTCGGGCATTTCCTGTCGATGTGCTGCTCACACATGTGGTGCCAAACACGATCGTCATCGGCAAGTTCTTTCCACTTTCGAGAGACCTGGGCTGCGTTACATAGTGACTTGCAATCCAAGTAGCAAAGAATCTTCAACGAGATCTCAACAGGAAGGGTAGCAATAAAGTCGATACGTATAAACTGGCTGATCTCTTGGGAAATGGTGGAGAGCTGGGGGAAACAACACTGTGTAAGCAAGCCTCGGAGGATCAAGGACCGGTGGGAGTGAGGAGCAGCTGAGAAGATGGACCACACATGGGTAATGGCTTCCTGGTCTCGTGAAGGAAGTTTTTCTAGCTCTTGCTGGATATGTTTCATTTTTGCGGCGTCAGCTTGCTTGTTACACATGATCTCTGGGTTATGTCTGTAGCAGTACTTGTGGAAGTTGTCGGATGGGATATTATTGTGGTCAGCAATGTGCTTTGCCAAAAACGGCGTCACTACGGACATGTCCTCTGTAGCGGGAGCTGGTGGAGGCAAAGGAGACTGGTCTTCCGGTTGAGGGGTGATTTCAGCCGTGGATTCTTTCCAGGCACTCTGTCGTATGGATAGCTGGTTTTCAGCTTTCGGTGCCTTGGTGGTTCTGGAAAGGCCCTTATTGAGAATCAGGTCGAGGTGCTTGGTTGTCTCCTCTGAGTCATCAGAGGAACACACGTCGTAGAGATTCATGGTGGGTTTGAAGGCGATGCAAGGAAAAGGAAATGTGGGTGTGGTTATTGTGGCTCGAGCCCGTTTTTCCTAGACAGAGGACTGCGCGGACTCTGGGGAAGTCACAGGGCAATAGGAACGATGTTAGAATTAAGGTTTGAACAATGCGGGAGGCGGGTATGTTTGGGAAAGAGAACGATTTTTGTTCCCAAAGCTACTATAACTTTGAAGTTTGCTTTTTTGGTTTGAAAAGGTGGTTTGGTTTAGCATCACTCATCAGCCGCAAGATCTTCCAACATTCGGAGCGCTGAGCATGGCTGCGAAACAGGTAAAAGTAAGCGGCTATTATAGACAAATGTTCGGCAGTGAATCTCGAAAGCAAGTGCCTTTTAGAATAAAGTTTATCGTAAAGCTTTGAACAGAACACAAAATTACGGGTCTTGCTACGATAGGCGATTTTCTTGATGGACTTCACGACATTGTGAGGTCCTTCTCATTTATGCTAGTTTTTCAATTCATTGAGCGTAGGTTGGAAATAGCCAAGACATAGAGTGCGAGATGCTTCCTCGGCGTAAGACAGATATTGAGTCGATTTGAAGTTTGTTCGCAGTGTTGAATGATGAAAGGGGATTCGCATTGAACTGTTGTCGAATCCAGAACGCTTGTGTCAGACTCTGCTTTGAAGACTCAACTACATGTTGTGTTGTTACAGAAAGCTTAAAAATGGCTTGGACGTTTTTGACTCGATGGAATCCCTATCTAATTTGTTTCCAATTTATCGGGTTGTTAAGCTTGGTTACGATTCTGAACTGCCTTGATAACCACTATACCGCAAAGCGAGCAACAGCCATTACAGAGATAACGCTTTGGTGCACATCATAAATGCAAAAGTGTAGAAATTCTGGAGAAACTGATCGGCCCAATTGATTTCGATTTCCGGGGTGACTCTGGAGTTTCCAAAAGTTTCCAGATGGTGGGTTGGATTACTTGTAGCTCAGTAGAAAGAGGACCGCCTATATTATCAAACATAGACTTTCAAACACACCTAGAACCACATTCTCGAAGTCAAGCAATTAACTCGAATCAAAAAACTTTCTTTCTTTTACGCAACATCGTACGGCCATTCTTCTAGCATCTTCTCCTAGATCAGCTTACTAACGGCCTGCATTTGGCGTGAGAAGAGCATCGGGTGGAAAAAGTCTGGTTTCGAGAATCTTCAATGAAAAGACAAGACGAGACCTCACCTTCGCTGTCCTCTGACGACAAGAAACCGAGACTAGACATGCCAGAGAATCAGGAGAACTTCACCTCTGTCGGTGATCAGGCCAACTCTGTCACCCAGACCGGTATTTCCGATGCACAGGGCCATCCCGTCCAGGAAATCGAGTCCATGTGTATGAGATGCCACAAGAACGGTTGCACAAGGATGCTTCTCACGAAGATCCCCTTCTTCAGAGAGATCATTGTCATGTCCTTTGCATGCCCCCACTGTGGCTTCAGAAACTCCGAGATCCAGGCCGCTGCCCAGATTGCTGAAAAGGGTTCCAGATACAACTTCAAGATCGAGTCCAAGGAGGACTTCTCCAGACAAGTGGTCAAGTCTGAGACTGCCACTTGTACATTTAGCGAGATCGAGCTTGAGATTCCACCTGAGCGTGGCCAGTTGACTAACATCGAGGGTCTTCTTACCGAGATGATCGCCAACTTGGAGATGGACCAGGAGGCACGTAAGGAGTCTCAGCCCGATGTTTACGAGAAAATCAATGAATTCATTGCCAAGGTTAAAGCTTTGCTTGCTGGCGAGAACTTGCCTCTTACATTCTACGTTGACGATCCTGCTGGAAACTCGTGGGTTGAGTACCAGCCTGGTCAGGCTGCCCACAAGTGGTCCATGTACGAGTACAACAGGACTGCTGAGCAGAACGTCTTTTTGGGATTGATCTCTGCCGACGATGTTGCTCAACATAGGTTGGCCGAACTGAAGCAGAAGAAAGATGCTACTGACCAGAATGTTTCCTCTTCATTGAATAACACCGAATCCCACCCGCCTACAGCATCCGGTTTTGCTGCTGAGAGTGAGATCGAGAATTTTGAGAACGAGGTTCAGACATTCCATGCCACATGCTCCGCTTGTGCTGCCCCTTGTGAGACACACATGAAGACCGTCAACATTCCACACTTCAAGGACGTCATCATCATGTCCACTGTCTGTGACAAGTGTGGCTACAAGTCCAACGAGGTCAAGACTGGAGGTGCCATTCCAGAGAAGGGTAGGAGAATTACTCTCAAAATCACTGACCCTGAGGACTTGGCCAGAGACATTTTGAAGTCCGAAACTTGTGGTTTAAGAATCCCAGAGTTGAATTTGGACTTGACTCCAGGAACATTGGGTGGCAGGTTCACTACCATTGAGGGCTTGTTGACCCAGGTCTACGAGGAATTGCATTCCAGAGTTTTCACTCAGACTTCTGACTCTATGGACGAGGAGACCAAACAGAGATGGACATCATTTTTCGCCAAGTTGCAAGACGCCAATGAGGGAAAGATTGGTTTCACCATCAACATGGAAGACCCCTTGGCCTCTTCGTACATTCAGAACGTGTATGCTCCCGATAACGATCCAAACATGTTGATTGAGGACTTCGAGAGAACTCACGAGCAGAACGAGGAATTGGGTTTGAACGACATGAAGGCTGATTAGGTACTACGGGAGTTTTGTTAATTAATATAACGGTAATGCAAATTTATTCTATAAGTATTTATGAAGATTTTTTATCTTCGTCCGTACGGCTTCGGTATGAATACTCCAGCCCATAACTAGATGCACGGCGGGATGTATCCTTATGGGACGAGGATCCCTTGCTCGTAACTTCTCTGTATGCATCTGCCCAGCTACTGTTTTCCAAGGTCTCTCCTATCGTAGAAAGATCAAGCGCAGATAGGTTGCTCCTATCGTCACCAGCACCGGTAGCTTCCCATGGAGGCAGCCGACCGATGGATGGACTTAATTGAGACACTGAGTGCGAATCATCAAACGGTTGGTGAAGGTGATCATGATCATGGCCAAACCTCTCCATGCCCTTCAAAAGATGAACTGGTGATTTAGGAATATAATAGTCGCCCTTGCGTGCTTTGTGGTGGTCTTTGCTCAAGGGAGCCGTTTCCGAATCTGAGTAGGACTCATCTTCTGTATCGGAAACACTGACCTCGTCATGCACATCAAGTGGCTCTTTGGTGGATGAAAGGTCCTCATTTGCAAAATAGCTGGTTCTCCTGAGCTCTGTATCGAAACCAATGTTGGTGTCACGGACGCCATGTCTCTGGTTCTCCACATACTTCCAGCGGCAGGTAAAAGCTGCGATAGTTTCGTAAACTCTCTTCACCTTCATTCTCTTCTCAAGCTTTTGGTAGAAGAGTCTTCTGTCTAGGAAGTCGAGAAGGATAAGACACTGGCCAGCATCGAAAGAGTTGTAAAGAGGGATCTGAAGAAGAATACGCGTGAAGGAAATTCCTGGTTCGTCGTGCACTTCCATGTTCATGAGTGCTTCCTCCAAAAATCTCTCATACTCTTTTCTCCTCTCCTGAATTTTTGGGATATCCATTCGATTGGTAATCCTCTCGACCTCATCGTAGTTCACAGTGACATCATATAGATCATGAGGGTTGTTCCTTTTAATCCATCTGTGACAGAGCTCCGGAATAGACAAATCTCCTGAGTAGAATCGGAAACTCAATGACCCAGTAAGTGAGTGTAAGAACTTCGGTAAATCGTATGGCTTGATGAATCCGGTTCCATTAGGGTCAAACTTCTGCCAAGCTCTTTTGAATTTTCTGATTTCCTCTCGACTAATCAAATCAACATAATCAGATCCGGAGTTAATGTAACTAAAACTGTCCAAGATCAATGAAACGAAAAGATTGACAAAAATATACATCGATATGACATTCCAAGACATGAACAAGATGTACGCATACTGTTGACTTCCGCAATCTGAATCATCAATTGTTTGATCGGCAGTACAGAATGGAGCCTCCACGAGGAAGTCACTCATGATATCGTTCCAGCCCTCTCCAAATGAACATCTGAATAACAAAATCAAGGCTTTTGGAACTGAACGTAAGTTGATGTTTCCAGTTGTGTTCGATCCAGTCTTGGTCATTCCGAAAATTTGGTTCATCGCAATGGCATACACCATGAAGACAACAAACCATGTAAAAATCAAGGATGCTAATGATGGGAACGAAGCTGAAGCAAACCGCAAAAGTTGCGATAACTTATTGCTTCTTGGGAATATGAAAATAAGCATGGCAACCAAGAACAATTTGTTGAAGTTGATGAAAACAGAGCCTGAGTCAATTGGGAATGAAAGAATGGTTGTGACGAAAGCACCAATAGAGACAAAGGCCTGGAAAATATTCCATTTGTTCGCAGCAAAACTCTTGTATCCAAGGGCGTATGCCAACATGAGTGAGTTCAATGTGAAGACAGTGGAGGAAATCATCAAAAATACGTAACGACCGAGATTTAGTCCTTCAGCTTCTGGAATGTTTCGACTAGCAAGGCGAGAATATGGAGAAAAAGGCATGTGCTCATTATCTGCCACCAAACAGTATTTTTCTCGACTGCAAGGTTGTAGCAGATCTTTTTGAAACCAGTCAACGACGATAAATCTTTTCTCTTGGAGGGGCGCACTTGTTTTAAAAACTTCTTCACTTGATACCACTGAATCTGGTTTTTCGTCAAGTAGGCCCTGCCTGTCACACGCGAGTAGTTATCGATAATCACAGAAACAAACAATGTCAAGATAAAGACAATACTCACGTTATTGAATAGGACAACGAACACTCCATTGAAAGGAGATGCAAATAACTCTGGAGGAGTGCCTTCCCCTGTGCTCAGCATCACTTGCATAAGCAATTCTGTCCAACCCTCTAAAGAAACAATTTGGTAGAGGGTCGAAATGGAAGTAGCAAAATCATTGAGATTGAGGAATGGCTCCACGTACGCGTTAGGTGAAACAACTTCCCAATCGAATACTTCGTTAGCGAACTCGTTGAAGCACTCATAGTCATGAAGTTCATCATTGGTACAGCTTCCAAGTCTTCCATTGAAAATGTTGAGACCCCAAAGAGAAAAGGGAAACAACAATGTAATGGAGATAAGGGCTGCACTCATGATTTTACCGAAACCAGAAATCATTGTGTAATGGAAGTTACTCTTCGCTCTTTCAGAGATTGTTAACAATCTGAGAGCTCTCAACGCCTTCAAACCACGAACAATTTTGGATAAATGACCATCGTTTTTAAGCACCGATATGAACTCAATCCACAAGGAAGTTAACGCAATAAAATCGATCCAATTCCATGACGATCTCATGTATGCGTTTGGCGTGAAAATTATTCCGTCCGCAGTAATTTTGATAAATAATTCAGATGTGAAAATGGTGATGAAGAAGGCGTCGACAAAGAAAGCCCAATTCCATTTACCCTGATCATTCATGATGTCTCTCCTAAACAACGGTGTGAGAATACATGTTGTCACAACAATTCCCACGGTAGAGAGGAACATAAAAGCGATGAAGATTTCTCCCACAGTTTTGTTGGGCTCGACACCATCAATTCTTTCACCGTGACTTGAAAACACAAGACGTTGACAAAACCTTCTCAATCTGTGACGTGGTCCCAACATATAGAAGACGGTGTTGAACATCGGATTTTCTCTCAAATATTTGTCTTGTTGATTGACAAGCTGATTTCTTTCAGTGATAACATTTCTTGCGAACTGGGCTGGGTCGAAACTCTCGAGCGGAGTAGTTTTCTTCCTCGATGTATAAAATGGGTTCTTAACGAGATCACACATTCTTGCAAAGTTGATGGCAAGCCATCTTTGTACTGGATTTCTTGGAAGCGGTCTCATCTCCTCATTGTCAACTTCCTCTGGCTCAATATCCTTTTCTAAAAACTCATTCACTGCAGTTCCTGACAACAAAAGATTAGTAATAGCCCGCTCAACATTCTTGTCATCTTTTCGTTTGAAAACCTTTTGTTTCATTTTGGAAAGAAGACCGGTCTCACTTGAAACATTTTGAAGACGTCTTGTCATATCTTCAATGAACTGTACCAACTGCTGTTTGCGTTTGCCCTCTTCCGACACTTCCAAAGTTCTCGCGATGACTGCGATGAAAATACCCAAGATAACGGTGTTAGACATAACGAACCAAATGTACAAGAAGACGGTTCCGAAAGCCCTCAGAGCTACTGATTTAGCATTCTCTTGTAAGCCATAAACAGTAGAAGTCCAATTTTCAGTGGTTGTGATCACATAAAGTGACATGAAGGAATTGGGCAATGTGTACATTGATCCAAAGAAATCTTCAGTGGTATCTGCTAATCCAGCGGTTCCCTCGAAGTAACGCGTCAAAATGATACTCAGAAGGAACAACAAAATGTAGTAGAACAATGCCAAATCGAAGATGGCCTTGATATTATTCGTGAGCTTCATCCAGAGGTTTCTGGTAATTCCAACTGCAAGAACCACTCTATAAAACCTCGCAATTTGGAATACTGATAACCAATAGTATGCGTGCCCAAGATGTGATTTGACTGGTCCTAAGATTATAATTCCAGTAGCAATCGCCAAAAACAAGTCAAAGGAGTTTCTTCTTGACATGAAGAAGACGCGGTAATGGGGGTAGTAGAGAGCAAATCTGATGACAATCTCTGCAAATAAAGTCGCTGTCACTGCTGCTTCAAATCGGTAAAGACCATGCGCCCTACTATCAGGCATCCCTTGTTGCCTGAGTGCCTGAATAATCAAATCTGCCGCGATAAGAATCACAAAGAATATTTCGAGCTTGTAGTAAAATCTCAAGTAAGCTCTTTTTTGAATCAAAGGATAGATTTTCTGGTTGTGAAGTTTATCATTGAAGCCGAATATTGCAAGCAAAGATGTTCTACGGCCCTCATCTTTTCTTTTCTTGTCTTCAGCATCTTCCATTTGCGCAATGTTGAAAGAAGTAACAATGACTGCTATGAAGACGTTCAACAACCAAACAGTCAAAATGAAGATGGCGAAGATGAAGAATAACGAGGATCCGATGTTGTCTGAGTCCATGGTATAATACATGACATCTGTGAAAGTGTTTGCACTCATGATGACGAATACCAATTGCATCGATTGCAAGATATTGTCAAAGTTAACAGTACCGCCGTACGGGTTTTCACCAGCTTGGCAAACGGAGTACATAGGGCAGCGGAATCCTTTAATGTCACCTGAAGACGATCCATCTCTTTCAAGGTAAGATCGGACAAACCCGTCTGTACCAATGAATGACCCGCAATACAGATCTGAGTTGAGATAAGTTTCGGTAGGATCATCAGGATTTGTCCATTGACAATGACGACTCAATGAGGATTTGAAAGACTGAACGCCAACAATACCGAAGATCACCCAGAAACAACAAATGAATAGCGAAACATCAACAAGCTGTGGGATGGCGGAATGGATAGCACGAAGAATAATATTCGTACCAGTGGTCAAGTTACAAAGACGCAAAATTCTAAGACAACTAAGTGCCCTAAAATGAAAGATATGATGCTTCGCGTCGTAGTGATTAATGGACAATGGAAGAGATATCCAAAAACAAACCATCGAGATGAAATCAATGACCTGCCAACTTGTGCGTAGATAAGCACGATGCAAATTCATCTCATCAACTTTTCTTCTTATCTTTGTAGATTGCAAAAATGTGTTATGAGATTTCAAGTTTCTGTTTGGCTGAACGTCTTCCGTGATGGATGCAGCTGATGACGAGCTTTGACGACTATTAGAAGCATGGTGATCGTACTGTGTTTCGGGCAGGAACCGATCATCTTTACCATTGAGATCAGAAGGGTATGCCAGCATACGCGCCTTCAACTTTCTCTTATAGAATGTGTTTTGGATGATGGATGTGAATGGGATGTTGCTCACGATATTTTTAGCTGACAGGAGAAATCCCGTCAGAGGATAATCTAGGCCCAACTCATCGAACATGACCCTGTCAGAAATGAAGCCATAGGCAATGATTTTGGCAAAGATTTCTGCCGTGTAAACAATGTTGATACCCATTAAAATGTAGTCAGCCCAATTGTAGCCTGAGTAGTAGTAACCATCCAAGGCTTCAGGGTTCCACTCCCTGTAAGAGAGTAAAACAGTCTGGAATATAAGTAACAATAGGAGACCTGGACTCGTCATTGGATGCGACAGCAATCGGTGGCACATGATACGTAGCTTGTTAGTCTTGCTAAAGATACCCAACGAGTTACCATAAAGGTAAAGATGATCGAACCTCTCGGTTCTTTTTGATGATGAGAAAAGAGGAGCTGCTGCTGCCGTGACAGGAGCAGTTCCGACGTTGATACCCAGTCTTGCCTCAGAGTGTGTTCTCTGAAGCGTGGGATTACTAATGTTCAAGTTGCCCTCCGTAGATAGCGTAGTTCCGGATCTGATGGACTCATCCGCTACCAGCTGACCACTCTGAGCATCGCTGTAGTTTTCGGAGCGAGCATCGCCAAAATACAGATCCTGGGTTGTGGATTTGGGTGATGTGGCCGAATTCGGCGATGGCACGGGGTTCAAGAGGTCATTGAATGACGTGTGTTTATCTGTGCTGGGAGTAGGTGGAGGGTTGTTGTCACCGGCAATTCTGTTGGACATTCTGGTGAATATACCAGGTAGTTTCGATGGTGATTGTGGCGGCTTGGGCAGCGTTTTGTAGGCGCCCGCTTCCAACACGTCCAAGTCTTGCGTTGAAAGCTTCAACTGTGGTCTGCCCGAAGCAGGAGGCGACGAGTCAGGCTGGTTGAATGTGATCAACGGGATGTCATACGTCAAGTCCTTGTCTGGGGTGTATTCGGGATGCGTCTCGGGATATCTATCGAAGTAGTTTGTGTCGTCCGGTAGCTCCTCTTTCGGACTCGAGCCCACTTTCCATGTCCCCAGTTGATCTTTAGAGCCCAAAGCATAGCTTAATCCGTCTTGGACCGCCTGGAAGTCGGAGTCCACAGCGTGATCCAAAAAGTCAAAGTCCTCCGGCGGCACATGCTCCTCGACGTAGTCAGGCAAGGCTCTATTTATCGAAGTTGATCGCGAGATAGGCTCCAAAGATGAGGTGTCCAGCTTCCTTGAAGGTATCAGCAGTCGGGTTCTTCGTCTATATTCCATAGACTCCCTGGCTCTTCGCTCGCTGGATGTCACAAATGGATTTTGGATATGGTACTGGCCGTCTGACTCCTCGTCCAGACCGGCTTCGTGGATGCGGATCCCCGGAATAGACATGTTGGTGTAGAGCTTCTGGCCTAAGGTGTATCGAGGCTGGGGCTTATCCTGAGATGCTGCGAATTATCTGCACCAGTATCCCAGAGGACCACAGGTACACTAGGAGGGGATGAAGGGTTGAAAAGAGAAAGCAGGGTAACTTTTTGGGAGATTTTGGACTAACTGAGCTCAATAGGTGGATTTTCCACTCTGAGGTTCTTGATGAACTTGATATGCCTATAGATGTACTGCTCAGCCCACCGCGGCTATATGAAGCAACGGCACCGACATTGCCGCAGAACACACACTAGAGAAACTTCAGGAAACAACTTTTTCGATTTACAAAAGGATCTCTATTGCTCAAAAGAAACGATGGATCGAAGGATATTTTGACGTACGGCACGAATGATAGGCTTTGTGGTGGCTGCGAAACGGTACCAGGTGGGTGCTACAAGCGCCAACAAGAATAGGTCTTCATTCAAAGCGGGCTTGTCCATTAAAAGAACTTTTCGACATCATGAAAAAACAATGTTTATTAGAATGTTAATCAGAAACATCCCTCCCCGACCCTCTTTAAATACCCCTGGTCTGGTACCCTCTGGCTCGGTCTGACCTGCATTGTGCACCTACTACTTAGCCAAATTTTTCTACGATCTCAAACCACCAATGTCGCTTCTAAAATCCTTGCCGTCCAAGACGCGGTTGGCCCAGGTTAAGAAGCTTCTGGCCCTGATATTCGGGAGACTTACAACCCTCATCATGTCAGAAATGGAAACAAGATATTGAGGCAACCGTTGAAGGGCCCTAAGCTCTTGTCGTGGTACGGTAACAACGACGCCATGCCCACCTTTAAGGACTTCAAGAAGTGGTTCCCTGAGTTGGACTTGGTCGACCCTCGTGAGGAGGAGAGACTCAGAATGGTCGTGGACCGTAAGAAGAGAAACAAGGGTGCTCCAAAGAAGAAGAAGAGTTGAACGTGATCATGTACATAGCATAATATTTCCATACGACGATATTAGTGTAGTTCGGGGAGACCAGGTGGTCTGCGCCTTTTAAAGTTTAGCTTGAAGGTATCGGTGTCTTCTGTGAGTCGCCGCCTAGCGGCCCTGCCCCACTCATTTCTCTCCACCTCCTTGACGAGGTTCACCACCTTACTACTGTCTTCTCCGTAAGAGATTTTGTTGAGAATCAGCATGCTGTCATCTTGTTGAGGCTCCTGGCCGATTTGGCGCCAGGTCTGTCCTTGCGGAGTCTGCTCGACCAAGCTTATCGTTCGAGCTTCTGAACTCTCCGTGACCTTCATCGATACCAACGAGTACCTGCTCTTGGCTAGAATTGACAATCTTCCGTCTTCGTAAACCGCAACATGGTCTTGGAAAAGAAGAACGATGCTGCTCTTGTAGAAATGAATATCCTTGAACCGCAGAGAAGAGATGTATGCCTCCGGATCGAATTTGACAAGCGGTCCATGGGATGTACGCCTTACAATAACGATAACACTCCCGGTAGCAAGAACAAGATGGGTGCCATTATCCCTTATTGTCCTCCATTCAAACTCGGCCTCTGGCAAGGCATCGGTTCGTCTATAGGAACCTTCTCCATCAAAATCTTCATAAACCCAGATGGTATCGGCTTGCTCGAGGTCAATAGCAGCAGGGTAACAATGAGATAAGTGGCTGACACCGTGGACACGGAGATCAAGCTTCTTGTTGGAGCGGGATGGAATGGCAGCTATAAATAGCAGATTCTCAATGTTCACCCACGAAAAGGTCCAGCCAATGCCCTTAGTGTGAGTGGAGTGTAGTGTCGGCAGGGCCAAGTGGCTTTCATTCAAACTTCCGGATCTTTTATAAAGCCCTAAGCTGTTGTACACCCTAACGGAGTAACCAAATAGGGTATCCCCGAGTCAAAAAAGAGCAACCATCTGCCTTCAGGATCCCAGGTTATCTGAGCCGATGGAGACGGCTGATGGTCCATCTCCAACGATGCTAGTAGGGCACTTCTTGAGAAAACATTGTTAAAATGGAGCAAGTAAGGACGACTGTCAGATTGGAGATCAATTAAGATCGAACGAGACGTCAGATTCTTGTCGTAATATGATGTCAGTAGAAGAGACCAGAACTCTGGGTGTTTAGGTCTCTCCAATATACCTTGAACAATCGGTTTGGGTACTGAAAATAGAACTCTTGTACAATCAAGAGAATAAACACGTGCAAGCAAGCCGTACTTATCAAAAAGCACCAATTGAGTACAGTTCTTGTAAGCACTTCCCTCGTCTGGGGCCCCTAGTATCCACGAGACGCGTGAGATAGGTGATTCCAGCTCTATTATAATCGGATCACCAGTTCTCGTGATGTCATAAATGAGTGCTGCGCTGAATGTCTTTGAGGAAACCGACACAGCGAGTTTTGTTGACTTGTTGGAAGCATCAACGGATTCCCAGTAGACGTCCTCGATTTTGAAGACGATTTCATTCACAATCGACACACTTAAATGTTTCAGGATATCTTTGGTACAGTTATAGCGTCGAAGCTGGATTTCTGGCAGTATGCTGTGGATCGAGATGGAGGTACCTTCAGTGTGGGCCACATAGTGACCACATTCAGATAAAGCCACGGACATACAATTTAAATGGCCTAGTTATAATACAGGCAATTATGCAAATTTCGTGCTCAATTGTCAAAAAGTCAATGAGTGGGGGTCTTATGGAAAATCGATAGTGGTGGAGATCTGTTTGTTGATGTGTAGTAGCGCAGTGTGTACAATGGTGATGAGATAGATGCACCTATATACGAGCTACATAGTAGATGACACAGAAGGGTCATTTTGATTTTAACTTCATTCAATCTCAATTTCCCCGCCATGATGAAAATAATAATTCATTTTGTTCCCTTGGTTATATGTGAAACAACTCCCCAGTCTTTCGCAGCCATATCCCCTGATCGAGAAGACTCAATACAAAAGCTCAAACTTACAAATAATCTCTCATTCCTAAGAGCCTTAAAGAAGCACTACTTTTTTAATAACCTACCACCAACACACTCTGGAAAACTCGAGTCATCTACTTCCATATCAATGACCTGCATATGGAACCTACTACTACTCACCTTCACAACCCATAAACAAACAGCGTTCTACTAAATCTTTACACACACACCTCCCTCAACAGCTACGCACTTCCCTTATTAAGCTGGCCGCATCAGCTATCTATTAATGCAGCATACCTTGACATCAATATCATGCCCCCAAGAAAACAGGCGGCACTGAGGGCCAATGGCCTGTCCAGGGTTTCCAAACTACCCGGGATCAAACACAATGCTCCGAGATCCACTGCCAACTTTTTCCCTCTGGATTCAGACGATTCTGTAGCTGATGATACCCCACAAAAAAAGAGAGCACAGCCGTCGAAGAAGACCAGATCGATATTAGGAGGCACCAACAGTCTAAAAGCGATGTTCTCCAATTCGCAGGAACCCCCAAAGAAGACGAAGATCCAAGCCCAGATACAACCCCAATCAAAAAACCAGCTAAACGAGGACGTAAACCGAAAAAGGCTGCTGCAAGTCCACAAGCCCCCATCCACGAAGCAAGCACACCAAAGTCAATGCTCAAGCGAGCCACTAAGCTGCTCGAGCTGCCCGAAAATACGAAACCATTTAGATTTGACGACATTGAAGATGCCCGACTGCCGAGACGGCCCAAAGCGCCTCGCCAAAAGGAGAAAAGCGAAACGCTTCCAAAGAAACGCCGCAAGAAGCAGGTCGAGGACGATGACGACTACGTTGAACTGCATTCCCAGCACACCCTACAGCTTACTGATAGTGAGCGCCCTGGCCCAGTAAGGCGAAGCTCTTACAGTAATCGAGGCAAGAGGGTACTGTCAGTAGGTAACGGATTTGTTGCAAAGCCCCATGACGAGATGTCTGCGAGGGACTACTTCAAGGTTGTTGATGGGTCCTTGCCTGGACCATCACGCATGCGTCAAATTCTCGTGTGGTGTTTCAAGAAAAAACTTCAACAAGATCGTGAGAAAGACGGGCCGGAGACCGACACGGCGAAAGGAATTGCCAAAGTTATTCAAAGTGAGATTTTGGATGACTTGGTTGATAAAAAAATTGACACTAGCTGGCTTCTGGCAAGGCGGTTTGACACGGCCGAACTACAAGGCAAACGCATCATCAAGAGTAACCCGCTTAATGATGCTAATCGCGAAAGCGTCGAGGTCTTCCAACAAAAGCTACGAGAACTACGACAAGAGAAAGTCCTTTGGCAAAATGCCTTTGACGCAAGCGTCAAGCCTCTTGAAGGCTTAGGCGTCAGCATTGAGGACGAAGAAGGCAAGTATAGCCGCGAGTTCAAGGAATACGTGAAACAGAAAGACCCGGCGCTCGGAGCTGTACTCCAAGAGGAGCATCTCGAGGCGCTTTCACAGCATGTGCAGCAGGTTGAAGCGGGTGTCTCGGAGAAACTCGAGACAAATATGGCGCAATTGTTCCATACGGCATATCAACTTAGCAAGAGTGCTGAACTTGTTGGGAAGATCAAGAACGAGCTGCTTGCCCCTCAAGTAACCCAAATAGTTAAAGACTTTATGGAAAGGGGTCGCCATAGCGAGGAGGTGACGAAAATTGGTGCCAGAGAGCTTTTACGGGGCATTTCTCGAGTTGACTTGCGCCAGTGAGTGCTGACAGACGAATGTATATTAGGAACTGTACTATACTATGTATAAATAGAAAACCCAAGCGGCACTTAGCAGCATAACCCTCTCGTGATCTTCGTAAAAGTGCGTTCCGTAAACAATCTAGAAAGTATAATCTTATACGGCTCCTAACCTGCACCATACCTCACTATACCTTCCCCAGATACCCCGGCTTTTCTATAAATACGTAAAGACGCCGCCATGAACAGAAACTTCATACAGCTTTTACGACGGCCTTCTTATCGTATACATTACCTTATGGTGCTTGCCACTTTCATTCTTCTTTGCACCCTCCTTCTTTCGGTCCCTCTGGTCGGGTTCCCAATCTATGTGAGGACTCAACCCTGAGAAGGGTAGAGAATTCAGGGCTTGACAGCTTGGAGGAGTTGGTTCAATCTCGTGAGAATAAGGAGATCTTCACGAAGTTGTTGTTTGCTGATAACGCGTTTTATGATAAGGATGCTCAAACTTTGGGCACCTTGGATTGGGTTCCATACCACCAATACCAACGCCAACCTTACGTCGCCAACGGCTATTTAGGGAGCAGAATTCCCAATTTGGGTCAAGGGTTTGCGTATGACACATTGAGTAATGGTACTGTTGTGGACCCTGGAACACCTGATGCTGAGCTTCCTTCTGATTTACTGAATGGGTGGCCTTTATTCAATCGAAGATACTCGGGAGCCTTTGTGGCAGGTTTCTACAACATTCAGGAGAACACCACCATGACTAACTTTCCATGGCTTTTGCAGGATGGATACGAAAGTGTAGTGGCGGCTGTTCCTCAATGGACCACCTTGACGTTGAGCGCCAAGGTAGGTGGAAAGTCCTACTCTTTGGATCCCAGCAATGACCCTGCAAAGTTTGGCGAAATCACAAATTACGCCCAGAATTTATCCTTGGCCACTGGAGTTGTCACTACGTCGTTCACTTGGTTAGGTTCGTTGCAAGTTACTTACTCGGTTTTGGCCCACCGTAGCAAAATCTCGTTGGGACTTGTCAATTTGAAGGTGCAAAATATTGGCTTTAACAACATCACCGTTGATGTGCTTGATTCTTTGGATTTCGAAACTGCTCAGAGAGCTCGCTTTAGGGAGACCTCAGTTGACAAATCAAGCAAGGCGATATATATGCTTTATTCGCCTAACGATATCGATTACGTCTACGGAGCTACTTATTCTGCCATTCGTTATGATAAATCCGAAGCCCATTGTATCGGAGCTGAATTCACAACCAGTCACTACTCGCTGGGCCAGCGTATTACATTCGAGGTGCCAGCTGCTTCTTCGATTGAGGCTACAAAGCATGTTGGTGTGGTGACATCCGATTTGGATCCAAATAAATTTGCCTCCTTTGATGCGGTGCTACGCGAAGCTCGTTCTGTGGCTCTTGAAAAGGAGCTGTTTGACCTGCTTTTTGAAAGTCATGCTAGCGAGTGGTCCAAGACTGTCGATGATGGCCTCAAGGTTGAATTTCCTGACGATCCGCTTTTAACACTAGCCGCAAGAGCTTCCATCTACCACTTGAATGCAAACACCAGAGATGACGCCTCTGGACTCACAGCTGCTATGGGTGTTACAGGCCTTTCGTCTGACTCATATGGCGGGATGGTATTTTGGGATACAGATCTCTGGATGATGAACGGACTTCTTCCATTCAGTCCTTCTCACGCTCGTTCTTTCGTTAATTATCGTCTTCACACTCATGAACAGGCTCGCAAGAACATCGAGAGTGATTATGCTCCAAAGAAAGACATGCATGGCGCCGCATTCCCATGGACTAGTGGTAGGTACGGCAATTGCACTAGCACTGGCCCTTGCTTTGACTACGAGTATCATATCAATATGGCTGTTGCTAATTCTGCGTGGGAATTGTTCAAGAGTGGAGCAGTCGACGACTACTTTTTGGAGCATCTGGCTTACCCCTTGATCAACGACGCTGCTGCCTTCTTTGCTGACTATGTTGAGTATAACGATACTTTGCAAGCGTACACAACACATAATTTGACTGATCCCGATGAATATGCTAATCATGTTGACAATGGTGCTTATACTAACGCTGCTATATCTGCGACGTTTAAGTGGGCCGCTGCTGTGAGCGAGCATCTAGGAAAGCCGGTTCCAAAAGTTTACAATGATATCATGGATAATGTGCATCTTCCAAGATCTGCTGATGACCCGAACATCATTTTGGAGTTTACCGGTATGAATTCATCAATCGGCATTAAGCAGGCAGATGTCGTCATGATAACATACCCATTGGAGAACGAGATGATTACTCTGGAGCTGGCAAGAGCAAGTATGGAGTATGCCTCCATGAAGCAGGTAAGCTTTGGGCCTGCCATGACGTTCCCGATCTTCTCGATTGTATCCTCTGCACTTCTGGAACGAGGTTGTTCCGCTGATACATACCTTGTCAAAGCTATTCAGCCATTTTTACGAGGTCCTTTCGCTCAGTTTTCTGAGCAGAACAGTGATGACTACTTGTCCAACGGAGGAACTCATCCTGCATTCCCTTTCATGACGGCTCATGGCGGTTTCCTTCAGGCCATTCTCCAAGGTCTCTTGGGTCTTCGCTTCTCCCACAAAACAGAGGATGGAAAAATCATTCGCTTCCTAAAATTGGACCCTATAAAACTCAAAACTCTCCCTAGCGGAGTGTATTTCGATGGTGTTCACTACATGAATCAAACCTTGTCCTTCAATTTGACCTCCGACGGATTGCATGTCATGCATCAAGGTCCGATGAAAGGCATGAAACCCAAGAAAATCAAGATCGAATTGGGCTCACGTAACCCAGATGCTGGTGAGCATACTCTTATGCCTGGAACTGATGTTCACTTCAATCTTTATGAGACAACTGATTCGTTCCAAGATAGTCTTTCCGAGTGTGGTAAAGCAATCTTCACGAATATAACTGAGTGTGCTCCAGGAGATTCAACTGTGTTAGCTAATGATGGAGATAACACTACGCATTGGCAAGCTATATCCCCGGAGAAAAGCAAAATTTTGATTGACTTCCGTGAGGTGGTTGAATTGCAAAACTGTTCAATTAACTGGGGCGACAAGCCTCCCCGTCTGGTCTCTCTCTCTGCAGCAGCTCAGGATTTGAACTCCGATCATCGTGATTTGCTTGATTCGATTGACTTTTTGAGCCATGTCGATTTCAACACTGATTTGCCGGAAAAATACAAATTCAACAATCCGACTGGAAAGCTCTACAAACAAAAAAGTATTTTTGCAACAGTCGCCTCTACGTCAGTTGAAGTTAATGAGCCGTTTAGGCCTGAGGAGGAAGCGTTGATCGTCTTACCCTCGCGGCACAATACTACTGATTTGACACTTGATACACCCATAAGAACCAGATTTGCTTTGCTCGAATTCGAAGGTGTTCATGATAAAACTTCTGACGACGATACGAACTCACAAAAAGGTGCTAAAATTTTCGAGCTCAACTTCTTTTGAGTTTTGATAAAGTTATGCCTATTTTATATTTTATAAATACAATCATGTTATAGCATGTAGCATCTAAGTTCAGAAACTGGCAGCTTAGGCATCAAAAGCCTCTGCCATGGTAATCAAACGCTTCACACCGACATGCCAAGTGCCAATTTCATTAGGGTGTTTAGCCAGAATATCGGTGTTGATGTTTGATGCATTGCCCCATTGCTTGCTCTCCAATGCAGATGCGATCGAATTCAACTTTCCAACTGCATCAGAAGAAACCAAGTCTCCCTTTCTCAAGTGGTCAAACAAAATGTTTAATCTCTTTTCCATATCAATAACGTGCTTCTCATACTTCGCAGGAGCCGCAGGCTTGATGTGGTCCTTATACTTCGTGAAGGTGGTGATGATAGCATCAACTTCCTCCGAAGACGAAGCTGTTGTGCCATTCTGAGCAGGTGCTGCAGTTGGCTGAGCGGTGGCTTGTGGAGGTGCCTGTGGAGGTGCCTGTGTCTGTGGAGGAGGAGCTTGCGTTTGAGGTGGAGCCTGTGCCTGTGGAGGTGGAGCCTCTGCCTGTGGAGGTGGAGCCTGTGCCTGTGGAGGTGGAGCCTGTGCCTGTGGGGGTGGCTGCAAAGCAGACGTCTTCCTTTGAGGTGGAGGTCCAGCAGCATTGCGTGGTGGCCCTTGGGAAACTGGCGGTCCTTGATGCACCGATGATGATGGTGGTGGCTGCACTTGTGGAACAGCATTAGGAGGAGGTACCTGGGTGATTGGAGGACCCTGTGGAGCTGCAGCTGGTGGAGCCGCGACACTAGGCTGAGGCTGGGTGGAGACCTTTCTCGGAGGTGGTCCGGTTGGTGGTGGCCCTAAATGAGGCGATCCAAGGTTAGCCTGAGCCCTAGATGGAGGAGGTGCTATGCTTCCAATTGATGGCTTTCTGCTGGCTCTCGTGGACGCAGGGGTGGAATACTGACCTCTGGGACCTCTAGCACCGGTTGTGGGGGCATAGGGATTAGAGGGAGGCTGTGCCGATTGCTGTGGAGGAGCGTATGGATTGCTTGGGGGTGCAGCGGCAGCCGTAGAGGGTGGCCCGTATGGGTTTGGTGGCTGCAGTGGAGCCTGAGGGAATTGATTCACAGATGTGGGTGCAAAATTGTTTGTCGGTGGGGCACAAATGAGCTCTTAGTTGGAGCAGGGTTGGCACTTTGACTTGGAGCATAAGGATTTTTGGGTGGAGCCAGCGGAGTAGCAACCTTGCTTCCAGGTGTCGACAATCCATTTTGTTGAGGAATTTGAATGGAGGATGGAGGAGGAGCGTACTTGTTACTGACCGAGGCCTGACGAGGAGCAGCATTGATTCTAGGACTGGAAGCACCAGAATGCGAAGCTTGTCTAGAAGCAGCTCTTGGTGGTGGCGGCATCATTGGTGCAGCACCCTTCCTGGTTGGTGGTGCCAATGGAGCAGCCGCAACCTGGGGTGTAGGTGCCTTGGGAGACAAGACAGCCGCTGGGGTTGCACGTCTGGCAGACTTCTGCGCCTTGAAAGTGTCAGGTAAGTCATTCCAACCATCAGTTTCCTGCTTGACGTTGTTAGTTGGCTGTGGTGGGGCAGGAGGGCTCACGACGGATGTAGCAGGTTGAAGAGGCGTGTATCTGGCGCCGGTAGAACCAGACACATTGCTAATATTGGCAGCCGCGGGTGGGGAACAACACCAGAAGCAACTCTGGATGATGTCGGAGCATACGAGCTTGCAGGTGGAGCGACCGCCACTGGTGCTGGAGCAGTTTGTGCTGGAGCGGGTCTACCGTAAGGGTTAGCGGCTGCACGAGCAGCTGGAGCTGCCGATGGTGGTTGTGCGGTAGGTTGAGGAACACCAGGATAGGCATTGTTCATTCCAGCAGCAGGTGGTGGGCGGGCGAAAGCAGCACCTCCACCGTAGGGTGGAGCAGCATTGTTGGCCAAAGGATTGAAGCCAGGCTTCGCTGGAGAGCTTCCACTGAACCTACCATTAGCAGCGCCTTGCTGGGTGTATCTCCTGCGGCCTTGCTCAACACGTTGAACTGGCTGAGCAGTAGCCTTGTTGATACGCTCCTGTTCGGCCTTCAACCCATCGTAGTTCTCGGGAAGGATAGACAAAAATTCCCTTGCCAACTCAAAATTACCACTGTTTGCAGCCATCGTCGAGAATTCGAAAACAGCATTGCATGTTGGCTCAATTGCTGGACCAGAAAGAGTACTTGTGATGTTTGAAAGGGATCTGTATGCCGAGAGTTTTTCAACAAATCCGCTCAATGACTTGAACTTTGCGTCCAATGGAGTCTCGCCATCCTCAGCGACAATTCCATTATTGGCTTCCAGTGGGATCTCTTGCAACCAAAGTGCAGAAACCTTGTCTAATGCCTCACCTGCCAAATAACATTCTAATGCGTTTTCGCGATCAGCAGCTGACTGGCGGGATTCAAGAATGCGGTCACCCAATTCCACGATCTTTGAGTTGAATTCAGTTTTGTCAGTACAGTAAGCGAAAATGCTTGACGCAATTTCCTTCCAGTTGCTGATGTCAGCATTCGCAACAAGATCGACCACACTTTTGGATGAAGCAGAAAAGATCAACCGAGATAACACATCAGAATTGGTTTCTTTGAAATACTGAGCTTTGACCTTGTCTTTCACTGCATCATCTTGGTCTAGAGACAAAACCAAGGCTTCTAACAATCTTCCTTGACTCAAACATTGATCGACAGCACTGCCTATTTTGTTGCTCAAGATAAGCTTAGTCAAACGAGCATCTTTTTCATTATTAGAACCATCCAAGATTTTGAAAGGACCGCTTGGAGCAAAACCCTCGGTAGATAATGAGTTGAAACCCTGAGCAGCATCGTTGGATAAGTTGCTGAAAAAGTCGTCACCATTCAGATTATCAATTCTACCTGACAACTCTTGAGCCGATTGCTTCTGATCGCTCTCTTCGGTAGAACCATCGACGATATCCTTAAGGAAATGCTCCTTTCCATGCTTCGACAAAGCATCCAAAATCTTCCAGTCTGAAATATCCGTAGGATTGTTGTGTAGCTTCTCGGAGATAAGTTCAGAGAAGTCCCCATTCTTGAGGGCCTGAGTAAGCTTATCAGCAACAAGTTCCTTTCCAGCGGTGGTCTTGCTAATGTTGATTACCGACTTACCATCGACAGTTTTGACTGTCACAAATTTCGACCCGAAACCAAATGATGCTGAGCATGGTCTCTTAAGCCACTGTGGAGCCTGTTTCAATTCGAACAGCGGTTGCTGATGGTCCGTAGTAGAAATGTTAGACCAGAATTCATTCTCGTCAGTAGCCTTGACTTGCTGTGAAATTGGTGGAGAGGTGTCTTGTAAGGTTTGAACAACAATCTTGCCATCAAATGAAGCGGATGCGATCACGTCTGGTGCACTTGGAGCAAAGCTCACCAAAAAAGTCCAGTTGGCGGCAGTGGGGTAGTCACCTAGCTTTTCGCCTGTCAAAGGGTTCCACAATTTGGTAGAGTTGTCTTTGCCAGAAGAAAGCAAAAGGCCGGCGTCCTTTTTACACCAGTCCAAAGACAAGACACCCTTCTCATGACCTTGGAGAATAACCTCAGGTTCACTGGCATTTCTCAAATCCCAAGTCATTATGGTTGGGCACGAATCACTCTGACTAGCAGTGATCAATTTCGTAGACTGCGTGGGGTGCCAGGCAACCTGCGAGAAGTCGGCTTTACCAAGAGCGCCGTTGTATTGCAAGTGTAAAACTTCCCTCTTTGCTTTTAAGTCCCAGATGCTGGTGTAGCCGCCGTTGGATGTCGAAGCCAAGATATGGCTAACAGAGTTGTTCCACGCCACAGACGTGATTTCATCCATTGGCACCATGGCTCTACCTGGTGCATATGGCTCGGCAAACGTGCTAGCATCCCAGATTAATATCTCACCCCTCTGTCCTCCAGACACAAGTAGGTGGTTCTGGTGGGGGTTGAACGATAAGCATTTGACCGCGCCGGAATGTTTTGATGATTTGTGGACCGATGAAGCCTCCAAGGACTGAGTTCTGATGAGTTTCTCGGCGTCCCAGAATTCAACCACGCCGGTTTCAAAAGCACCGGCCAACAAGCCTCTGGAGTAGTTTCCGAAGGGTTTCAGCCATGCCAATGCGTGGAACTTGTTCTCTAAAGTAGCACTGAAAATGGGGTCATAACCTTTGTCAAAAACATCAAAGATCTCAAGAGTCAGGGACGCGGAAAAGTTGAGGTCCACAGCGCCAGCAACAGAGCCTGTTGCTAGCAAGGGGATCACGTCTGAACTCCAAACAAAGGTGGAGGTACGTGTTATGTCCTTGATTTTCATGTTGAAACGCTGATCAGTAAAACGAAACAGCCTTTGGTTTTATGGGCAGTTTCAATGACGAAGCGTGTTCCTCTTATGTGATTGAGATTCAGTAATCCACAGCGCTAGCGGAACGTTTCTAACTATGAGTTGCTGAAAGGTGTTTCCAAAAAATGTCACCTATGGCCAACGCACCAGAGGAATTTATATGCCGGTCAGGAACAAGTCCTGTCAGAGGCTGCCAACGAAAAAACACAAGCCGGGCGAATTCGAAGAAGGAAGTTGCAATTCAGGTCAAAAATACCTGACACTAACGAAATTTCGTTAATTGAGGAAATTCGTAGCTTCTAGCCCCACCAATTCTTGAGAGCATATGAATTTACCTGAAACATGGCCGAGTGGTCGGCAGATTTCATTAAGCGTTTTAAGCAGGTTGAAAGTGAAATAGAGTTTTCTTTTGTTTTAGAACAAGAGCCGTTTTTTTCTTCTTGGAAATCGTAACGCAAATGATTTATTCTGGTGCTTCACATTTTCGAGAATTGTGCATCCCTAGCTAATGGCTGCGAAATGTACGTATTGGAGTGTTAAGCGAAATTACAAAGCTGACATATGATCGGAATGGACGATTCACGAATATTATAGGACATTTTTCCCATTGACCATAGTTGAAGAAAAAGAAGGAAAGGAACTTGAGACAGAAGAGTATAGACCCAGCCAGATCTGTGCTTGATTCAGTTTGATTCATTGGCTTATATCAAAGAATCAAGCTAAGCGTTAACATGGTACTTGTGATTCTGCTCTAGTGAAGATATCAACTATGACAATTGAGCAAAAGATTATTGATTCCACGAGAAATTGAGTAGCGGTGTTGTCAAGTGATCTCGACTATCGAACATTTGATCGTCAACGCAAAGGTTTATTACAAATTACGGGTGTGCAAAGCTTAGAGGGCTTCTCCATCACCTACACTCTTGAAGAGTTGTGAATATGTGAATCAGTCAAAATTTTCATCGCCGAAGTGGAATAGCGAATCTCACTCTACTAAGACCTCGGAGTGCAAGCTCGCAATCTCCGACTCCGACGAAACTGGAGATTGCAAATAAAGTTTCGATACAAAAGATATTGTAAGAGCTCAACCATAAAAATAAAATGATCATACCAATTCCTATATGTCTTGTTTTTGCACAATTTGCAGCCACTGTTGAATGGACCCTGGTATGTATGCGCGGATTCGTTTTTCAAGACCATTCAAGTACAACTACTCATCAGGCGTGGAATGTCAGACACAGAGGACTCGGACCTGCAACAGGCCATGGAGTTCGACATCCCACCGCAAAAGGATGATCAACGTGACTTTTTTCTAGATCATGATGTCCTTCAACAGGCGATTATGCTAGACAACGAAGACAGCCTTATAGATTCCATCTTCGACACAGTCGCTGGTCTCTGTGATCCCTATACTCAGCCTGAAGACAATGACACGGTCCCATTGAGTGTTTCTTGCTTGGCAGATGCCACTATAGCGTTAACATATCAACAACTACTCGAGTACAATGCCGAAAACCTAGATCAAAACGAGCGTCCATGCATCAAGTCTCTACGATTTCAGCTATCGACCAATTATTTGACAATTTTGGACGCCATCAACAAGACCTTACGCTGTGACGACCCCATTAGAATTGAAGCATTGCTCAAAGATCTGCTATATTGGGAGCTAAGAGATCCATTTTGGCTTCCCGACTTCTATCAGCTTAATGACTATGAGGCCAAGCTAAGCTACTACATGGCATGTGTCCTTGTAATGGCAATCTACAAGCTATTTCTCCCCGAAGATGGGAGCCCATATAACCCTGCATTGAATCCATATACGGACTATTTCATCCGGCTTTGGAGATCACACACTGGCATTATCAAACTAGCATTTGAGCTCGATCATGACCTCGAGCAATACGCATACCTGAACAGTGACGAGTATTTTGATACCCCCGAGCATGTAAAGCGTGCACTCCTTGGGTCTAGTGCTGTTCGGTCTGTTTTGGCATATGTACTAAATCAAACCACGCCTGGAAAGCTCTACGACCAAAGTGTCATTGAAGACAGAAAGGCTCACGAGTATGATGTCTGCCAGCAGCCACTACTCGATTTTTATGACCCCTTGACAAGAAAGAGAGCGTCTGGTGGGGCACTCAACGGTAATTATGGTGCTTTCATTTTCGTCCAATTGATCCTAAGATTTGACATGCATGACACAAGAAAGAGAATTGATGACTTCCTCAATGCGATTATGGAAAATGACGAACAAGCTTCGAATTACCTTTTTAAACGCCTGCGGTATACCAACAATACGGATTATGCTAGGAATTTCGATAACATGCTAATGTACGAGGACTACCTTGATGAGGATATCAAATATGTTTTCTTTGGATATGCTGATTCAGAGGAAGAAGAAGATGAGGCTGCAGAAGAAGAGGACACAAACGACGACCTGAAGAAAGAGGTCCGTATGGCTTTACGCTCAGATCCTGCTGGCGTCGGCGTCGATGAAGAGGGAGTCGACTGGAACGACTGCCCTCGAGGACAGAATACTGAGTTCTCCGAAAGATTCTTGAAAGTCGCTCTGCAACTTACGCCCTTGACAGATATGAGGGAGTTCGAAAAGTACATCGATTATGTGATGACCGTGAAGGATGGCAATAATCCCGAGGCCAAGAACCAACTACTAGGTCAAAGGATTGTGGATATTCTAGCCAAGTGCATCAAAGATGAAGCAGAGAAAAACCCTGATGCAATAGTCGCTCCTGGTGATATCTATGAATACCTTGTTTCACCTCCTGAGAATACCTCGAATCTCCCAACGCCTCCAAATCATGTTGAGGCTTACAACAAGGAAGTGACTCGATTTGAATACATCCTCATTTCCAACCCCACAATTGCTACCAGCATCATTGATGAGATTCTCATGTGTGGCGGGTTTAGAAGGACCTTCATATGGTTCATCACACATTTGGTGAACTATTCCCCTGCATTGCTCAATTACATATATGAGTTGGCTATCGGAATGAGAGGTTCTAATGAGGGAACCAAGCGAGAAATCGAGTTTTCCAGAAAGGGACACCTTGAGCTATCGGTCATTGAAAGGCTGATGCTTCTTCACGAGTGTTTTAGTAATCTTCTTTTGTGGATTATCTACTTCGACAAGATCTCACATCTGCGAGCAAAATCACTCATATCCTTGGCTTCGTTTATGATTCGAAGGTTGGTTGAAAACGGCGTCATTTCTACTTCGAAGACCGCTCTGTATATCGACAACTACAAAGAAGAGATTGAGTTTCTTCTAATGCCCTTCGTTGGTGACGTTCCTGAAGCTAGAGAGCTCTTCTTCGAATTCAAAAGTGGATTTGGAAAGAACCAGAAAGAAAAGCAATTGTGGAACAAGCTCATATACAAAGATGCGGGTTCCGTGGAAGAGGTTTTGAAGGATTTGAACGGTCTAGCCTTGGAAGATGTTAGCGTTTTGGATTACAGATCCAACTCTTCTAGTGCTTTGATCGCCCAGCTTGTTAAAAGAGTCTCTGGTGCTCTTAGAAGGATTCATAATAGGGGCAAAAAAGGTCCAAACTATACTAAGGATGATTATCTCGAACACGTCGAGGATGCAGCTAACGATTTCCGCTTATTCATGAAAAATTACAATGTCATTTGCCATCATATGAGCCTAGCGGAAATTTGTGCTCAAGCTAAAGATGAAAGGCTCATACGAGGTGATGGTGAGCCTTTTACGCTCGGCCATGGCGACTTTCAAGTGAAACTCATGGGCGTCGGTTCCAGTATCGAGGAGCTTCAAGAAATGCAAACCGCTCACCAGGAAGAAGAAAATGACGGGTCCACCAAGAAGAAGAAAACTAAGAAGAAGAAAAAGGGAAAGAAGAAGTAAGATTGGTTGCAAAAATCGACCGAGTCAGTGGTGTGACTCCTCCAAGGTGCGGAGCTGGATTTCCTGGTCGACTCTGACGAAAAAGGTCCGTACCCCAGGGCCCACACACCTTGTGGAGTCACCATTTCCGTGAAGAGAAACGCCGAATATAATGTTTGCTAGTTCCTTCCGTGCCATCCAAAACACATTTAGAATGAATCAGAGAAGCCTTATCACTCCAGTATGTCCAAACCGTTGACCTCTCACTTGATCAATTACATGAATTAGCATCGTACTAACACCCCAGGTTAAGACCGCTACCGCCCCACCACCAGCTGCCTCCTATTCCCAGGCTGTCAAGGTCAATGGTATGTAAAACTTACACATTTTTGAAATTACACAACTAACAATAGGTTTTGTCTACGTTTCTGGCCAGATTCCTTACACCCCAGACAACAAGCCATTGTCTGCTAACCCCACCATTGCTGAGCAGGCTGAGCAGGTGATTCAGAATGTCAGTAACATTTTGGATGCTTCCAACTCCTCTTTGAAGCACATTGTGAAGGCCAACATCTTCTTGACTGATATGAAGACTCAATTCGCCGAATTCAACGGTGTCTACGGTAAGTACTTCAGTGACTTCAAGCCAGCTAGATCCTGTGTCGCCGTCAGAGAATTGCCATTGGGCGTTGACTTGGAGATGGAAGTCGTTGCCGTCGAGAAGGACGAGAACAAGTTGTAAGTAGTATAACGATAGCAGAGTCCTTGCAATTCTGATGTAGGTAGGGCAGCCGCTAAGTAAGATAAGTGGAGTGTACTGTGTAGTCGAGATATTCATAAGGTGGGAGATTGTAGCGGCCATGAGTCTTACCTTGATGGGATCAGAATTCAAAGAGATACTTGAAGGGAAATCTAGAGAAGCTTACTTAAGCGATGCGTGACTCTGGAAGCTTGGGCTTAATTTCTGTCATGGAAGTTTTCTCACTGAGTCTACCTCAACTGTTGCATTAAAGTGTCCTAGATTTTGCAGCCATCAGTCTCTCCTCTCATATTGACCGAACTCAAAATACCGTCTTCTTGGTATTTCAATCTTCATGAGCGAACTAGAATCTGATAGTCTTGTACTCTGCTGATAATCTCGTCTGACTTGTAACTCCACCTTGTAAGCTTCGGTCAAGAACAAGTCTAGCAGACTGGTGCCAGTTCCTAGGGCTATAGCCCTAGACTTGTAGTGCGTCACATGACATCACTCTCAGAACCGCGAAAAACCCACTAAAATAACCGCACCTTCAAGTGACTGGGGGCCTGCACACGCCCGCAGCGAGTAGCCGAAAATTTCTTCTTCATCTCTTAATACTCACATTTTGGGAATTCAGTTAATCCAACGAAACAAAGATGGCTCAGCGTGTTACCTACAGAAGAAAGACTCCATGTATGTTCAAACGAACTATTGAATTAATTCCGCTACAAAGTGTCGAACAACAAGTCCCTTGTCGAAGATCCAGACGTTAAATTTCCATATGACATCCTACCTTTGAAGAATCCAAGAAGAAATGTCCACCTTGCAAAATCAACGAAAATCAATCACAACAATCAATCCGTTTCCAGAAACCATATCGAAGGACGTTCGACCGTAGCTTCCCGACTATTACTAACATACAGACAACACCAAGTCTAACAAGATTAAGGTCGTCAAGACCCCAGGTGGTAAGTTGGTTGCCCAGCACTTGAAGAAGCAGGCCACTACCCCTAAGTGTGGTGACTGTGGTATCGCTTTGCAGGGTATCGCCACCTTGAGACCAAGAGAGTACGCTCAGGTCTCCAAGACCAAGAAGACCGTCCAGAGAGCCTACGGTGGTTCCAGATGTGCCAACTGTGTCAAGGAGAGAATCGTCAGAGCTTTCTTGATCGAGGAGCAGAAGATCGTCAAGAGAGTGTTGAAGGATCAGCAGGAGAAGGAGAAGGCTTCTAAGAAATAAGCAAGTCGCCTTAGTCCCCCTCTTCATGTTGATGTAATTTAGCTCGTGTCATGGTCAGTCTGTACTTAATACAACAGATAACCGAATTGCTTTGGTCTAATTGCGGGCCGTGTAGTGGGGTGAAAGCTCTAGTGTAGTTGAAGTATTGGATGGATGAACGTGACAGGGATGATAAAAAGCTATGCTACGAATGTCATTGTTGGCTTCGCTCTTTGATGCGTACCCTTTCTGTTATCGCTTGCCTGGATGTGATATTAGTGTGACTTAAAATGAAGGGTTACATCAAATGTAGACTCAGGTTTTGGGTATGGAAGCTAGATGGATGTTTACAATAAGCAAAAGCGTTAAGTCAGCCAAATTCGGCCCTGTTCACAATTTGACGCACAGATTGGAGTTTTGAGTAATTTTTGTTACAATGCACATGGTGCTGGCTGCAATACTTGCAAGGCTTATATAGATCTCAACACAATATGAGGTGCGATATTCATACCTTGATAAGGTGAGATTGACCAAAATAACAACCCACGACATACATATTTTGTGAAAAAATCTAACTCATTAAAAAGACCAAACGCTTTGCTATTTTATTAACTACCTAGTCTCGACTAATCTTTCCAAGCCGGGGAAAGTTCCCTACAAATGCTCTACATGTGCCTCCTCAAATGGCACCAACTGCCCTATCCGGATCACCACCTGTCTTATCCGGATCACCACCAGGAGCTCATCTCCGATCCATATGAAACGCTGAATGAAGACGAAATGCTTCAAGAACGATTAATCTCTCGAAATTTACTATTTCAAGCCCCAACCACCCGATACTGATCGCAAATACCATTTATGAACACCGATCAACAAAACAGCCTTCAAAACAAAATAACCTATACCCTAGCACTGCCTTCTTGGAGCCGCTCGTGGCACATTATTTATTCCTTGCGTTTGGCTCCATGCATAATGTTATCTGTACAGCTGCCTGACTCATGCCCTTATCAGTGTGGCTGCGAAACACGGGAACATCTTCCCGAAGACTATAAAGCAAGCAAGATGCCTAGCAAATCCTAAACTACATTTTTCTCCATGGACTCCACTCGTTTGGCTGATAGCCTAAAACACACTTATATCCCTAAAAGGACAGTTGCTGAAACGCCCCTGGTTCCAAACTACCATCCTTGCTTGATAGTACAGGACTCCCAAACGGATCCGGGCAAGACTAAAAGCTGTGGATGTGCAGACGCCTACTGTGTCAAAAGTGCTCCACGGTGGATTCCTCGGGGTCCAAAATAGACATACAACTTATTTATTCGTCATGAGAACTCCGTTGTTCTCCTTCTCTTTATTGGTATGAAATATATGCTGGGTATCTGAATCTCAGGTAAAGGTAAAGTGCTCCTCGTCGTTAGTCAATTGAGTCAGCTGAGACTGAACATCATCGTAGCCGTAATGGACGTCGTCGTAGTGATTGCTGCCATCGTCATAGTCATTGTGGTACTGGTAACCGTAGGATTGTGTCTGTGGTCTGTATTCTCTGGGCTCTTCCGTGTATGGGCCCAGGTTCGGGACATAATTGAGCTCCTGTGGTGACTCATACGGATTGACATGACGGCTGTGCTGCTTTAGCTGTGACTTTCGTAGGTTGTTTTTCTTGCTTGTGTGCTGTTCGAGCGATGGACTCACGGATTCGGCTTGAGTAGTTTGCGAGTATGGTACGGCTGCAAAATCCTCCTTAGCCAGGTTCTTTTTAAGCAATGGCATGAAGCTGCGTTTACTCTCTGGCTCAAATGGATTGGACTCCTGACTCAGCACAGACAGGTCTCTGGAGTGACATTTCTCGGTGCTGGACATTTTGGTGGTAGAGTCGTCAGACCAGCTGGAGTCTCCCAACAGTTTTCCGTCATTGGCTGCTTCTGGCTTTTCGTCGCCCAGATTTCTGATAGTCTTCATAGAGATGTTCAGGCCCTTACCCATGAGAACACCTGGGTGGAATGGTACGAGCAAGATCACCATAAGCAAAACCATGAGACCATCGAGAGTCATGACGAACTCCTCATGGGTGATGAGGTAGCCGCTCCAGCCTTCGGTTAATTCCACGAGTCTGTAGATGCATCTGATGTAGATGAAAATGACAGACAAGAGCAACACCAAGGGGAAGAAAGCGAATGATCTCCTAGACCATATGTGAGCGTAGTTCTGGTTGTAGTGCTGGTTCAAGTATAATTCACGAAGCTTCCTGCCTCTTCCAGTTGCAAAAAGGAAACTGAGGAGGTTATGGAAGGAGAATTTAATTTCTGGACTTGCACGGAACCAAATTCTTATCATGAAATCGAAAAGGAAGTACAAGAAAAGCGTCATTGACACCACCTGGAAGGCAATACCGGCAACCATGGTATTGGTGCCAGGAACTGTATCACCAAATTGCTGCAATTGAATAGCAGCACTGGCACCACCAGCTGCCTGAACAACCAAACTCACGGCATCACAAAAAACGAAAATGTACGAAAACCATAGCGGTTTTAGCACCGAATATTTCCGTCCATGTATCACCGTCAATTGAGCCAAAACAAAGTAAACACCCGCCATAAGAAGTGCAGGGGCAAGTGTCAAACAAATGATTTGACAAAGGTATGCATCCTTATTGCCATAGTCTCCAATGGAAAAGAGTCTACCAATGTAGCCAGTAAACTCACACGCAGTTCCCATGGTGAGGCAGATGCCAAAGTAAGGGTGTCTCTTCCAAATGCAAAGTACAATGTGAAGAATAAGCAAAAGGGCAAAGAAGCCGGCAAAGAGGCCGTTGGCGACAGGGCTCAACTCCATCTGGTACAAGTTGATACCTTTTTCCAACTCCTGAAGTTCCATGGTGGCATTCCAAATAACAGAAGTCATCTCTGGAATCCTCTGGTTATCAGTGGCAGTAGCCATGAATCTCTGAGCAGAAAGCACAGAGATAGAAGCCTGAGCTCCTTTGCCATCTTTGGCCATCTCGTACAAACTCATTCTGTTTGTCTCGGTGGGCCATGCCTCAGAAATCAGCATCAAGGTCGAGACCAAGCCCTCGAACTTTTGGGGAGCCACATGGGTCAATGTTGTTTGGGTGGGAAGCTCAGTGGTAGACCAAGGCTGGGTGAATTTTGAAAGCCACTCAGACATGGCAACGTTGTATGAAAAAAAGAAAGCGAAGGACGGGGGCGAAGAAAACTGGTGAGCAAACAACAGGATTGAATGGTATTATATATAAAGCAAATCTGGCGAACTGCCCATTGCAAATAGAGCTATGCAATGCTTCCCCGTACCTGCCTATATAGGAAGGTGCGATGTGAATCTTTAGCCTAATCTGGCAAGAAGTGTTCTATGTACTGCAGGTAGAGGTGTTTTTACGACGCTCTGGCCTGGTAGCGCATAAGCTAACTGAGTGATCCGACGAACCCTGTACTTCGGAGCACAAAAACGTTTGCCCTGTGCTGCCAAGTGCGTTAATTTCACCAGTTTACAGTAAGGTTATTTTTTTTTTTTTTTTTCGGCAAAAGTGGGGTTTCAGTCCAAGCCTAGGGCTGATCAGCTTAATCGGGCAGTGTAAAGTGACTTGGAGCAAACCTGGACTCCGGAGCACAGCCCCACATTTGACATCTCAACGGGGTAATAGTCTGTAAACTACGGCAAGGCTTTTCACGGTAGAATCCGTTCTTTTTCTATGATGTTGTATGATAAAAAGCCGTTTTCCGTATCAAACGGCGAGAGGCTATGTCAGCCCGCAAGATAAAATACAATAGCATTTTCAACAATGGCCATGTCTCAGACGAGCATTGAGAAAAGCCTTCGGAGAGGAGCCGTAATTACCTCCCTGGAGGTGAGCCCGTGGGCCAGGGGCCCAAGGCTTAGAGGGCATCAGCGCCTTGCCTGGTAGTGAAATCCCGTGGCTGTGCCAATTTCTCGGGGCTATCGTTAGGGAGACCGTATGGGTCTCTTTGCTGCTGCTGCACATTCTCTGCGCTAGCAAAGTGGTCGACAATTTCATCGGTCTGGTGTTCGTTAGCAAAGGCCCCACGTTCCTCGTCATTCTCGTAAATGTCACGGTTTTGATAAGGAGTGGCTTCTCCGCTGTTGAAGGATTCCTCGTTTCTGGGCTTCTCGGCCTCTTGGGAAGGACCTTCCGATGGGTTCTGGGAGTCACCATAGAGCTTTTCCTGGTCGTACTCCTCCTCTGGCTGAGGCTCGCTCTTCTTCTTCCTGAAAGAGAGGGTTGGGTGGTACTTGCCCCAGATGAAACCGGGGTGGAAAGGAACAAAGAGGAAACAGGTCAAGAATACCATAGCAGCATCGAGACCAAACAAGAAGGCCTCGTGACGAATGGTGTAGCCGGTCCAACCTTCGGAGAGCTCAACCAATCTATAAATACAACGGATGTAGATGAGAACGGTGGCGGTGAAAATGACGGTGAAGACGTAAGGGAACAACCTTCTGCTTCTCACGTGGGCGTATTTGGGATCGTAATTTGGTTCCAACTTCTTGTGCAACTCCTTGGCCTTGCCGACATTGAAAAGCAAAGAGAAGAAATTAGACAGCGAAAATCTAACATCAGGCGAAGCTCTGAACCACACACGGGCGACAAAGTTACCGCCAACAATGAAGAAAGACGACATTGTGGCCACCTGGAAAGCAATACCGGCCACCATCACATGGGTTCCATCGTCAGTATCCTTATTAGCTGACAAGGCGGTGGCAGCCATACCACCACCGATGGCCTGAATGACAAGAGAAGTGACGTCGCAAGTGATGTAGATGTACGAGAACCACCGGGGTTTGAGCCAAGAGTAGCCCTCGCCAATGTACACCAACTGCCTGCCAAGCATATAATAGACACCTGCCATGATGAACGCAGGGGCAATGGTAAGCACGATAATCTGGACCAAAAAGGGATCAACAAGCGTCTCGTCGGTGGCACTGACGGATCTGGCAAGGTAGCCACCAAAGTCGAGACCGCAGCCGATGCCGAGAACAAAGAAGTAGTACCAGTAGCGGAAAAGACCGCCAACAACAAAATGCCAAATGGTGAGAACACCGAAAATGACACAGAAAAACACATTGGCACCCATGTTCAAGTCGGCACGGTACATGTTGTCCAAGTACTCGATCTTGGCGATATCTGTGGCGGCCGCCATGATCACCTCAGAAGCCAGCAGGTACTCCAGGCCGGTGGCAGTGGCCAAGACAGACTGGGCACTGATGACAGCAAGGGAGTTGGAGGCAGCAGCAACCGATTTGCTGTACTGGTAAAGATCACCATCTGCGGTGGCCGTACCAAGGGCATGTGTGGCACTGGCTAACGCTGAAGTAAGGTGCGGAGCGTAACTCGGATCAACCGTCGAAAGCGACGTGATAGTGGGGATGGTGGTCGCCATGGGTTATTCTCGATTCCTGTGGTTGCAAAAGATGGGAAGGGGAGGGGAGGCTAGGGCTGCTGGAGAATGGGGAAGACCAATGTAAATTGATAAGGAAGAAAAGCACGGAGCTATTTGATGTCCGGGGGCTTAACCCTGATATAGTCGAATGTCAATACACAGACACACACAGACACACAAAAAAAAAAAAAAAAAAAAAAAAAAGAAAGCACGAAATTAACTACTTGCCATTGCAGCAGGGTCTCTTCTTTTTTTTCTCGCCGAGATGCGCAAACCATGCAGCCGGCTGTGTTGCCGTAAATCCGGGCCTTAGCATGTCAGATTCTACCCAACAGTTAGTTCCTTCGCCAATGCTTCCATCAATTTACCATCCTAAGTATTCTGGGGCAATGCCACACATCTTCTTGGCTGGGTGACTTGGAAGCCTGGCGGTTGTTTCCGTTCCGCATTATCCGTGCGGTGGTCGGCACAACCGCCTCCGTGCGATATTTCGTAATCCACAGTTGCCCTCGCAGCATTGGTACGTCAATCAGCCGCACGAGGCATACTAAGCGAGACCATAAGAAGGCCGGTCTACAGTTTACTCTTTTTTATAAAAAGCCATGTTTTGTATTGGGAAACTGCCGTGGTACTATTTCACTCGTGGACCCTGCCGTGCACCGAGCTAGCATCTCTGTGATTACCTCGAGGACGCAGTAATTCCGTCCGTGTGCAGTCTGCGCGTCCGTGTGCACTACGACCCTCCTGGTTTTCTGTTTTTTTTTTTTTTTATGCTTTTTTTTCTAGGATAGTTAGGCCCACTGACTCGCAGTGAACACTCGTGTGTCTGCTTAAGTCCGGTGGATTTAATGCACGCTGGGCACGGCAATAGCCTTTTACATGTAAGTTTGACTCAGCCTTAAACGGCCAAAGCTTCCACAATCCCGGAACCATCCGGGTACATTGATGCCATGAATCACGGCTTTTTTTTTTTTCTATTCCCTCTCGCCCCTCTCTCAAAAATGCGTTTTTCGCTTGACACATGGCACCCTCCTTGATCTCATTACGGCTGACGAATGTAATTCCTGTATATAGTGTATTGTATTTGCGCTCTCATGCACTAGTGCCATTGTATGTTCCATCTCTAACGGCCCCCCACCACTCGTGGCCCTACAAAGCCTACCCATCACAAAGGCTTACATTAGTAAAACGTACATCGTTACTTTGTCTCTATTAGCGCTTTTTGCCGCAGCCTCCCCATACGATGTGTGCTGGGATGGCTCGGCAATCAAATAAGTTTTTCCCCACGCGGCGGATAGAATCGCTTCTGCGCACTTCTAACTGTTAGCCGCCGCGGAGGAGCCTTGTTCCGCTTGGTTAGCAGTGTTTACAAGGTCGGACGCCAATTGCTCCCGTTTCCAGAACTTGAGCAATAGGTCGCCGTAATTTTGAAGGTCTTCCACAGATATCATGAGCTTGAAATCAAGCAAGAGGAGGAACTGCAATTCCAAATAGTTGAGCTCTTCCAACGGAAGCCCGCCAACCTTGGCATACCGAAGGTTCTTGTAAAAAATGTCGCTGAAGAATTTCGAACTCACAGTGATGCCCAGAATTATGAGCCGGTGAATGTTATACGAGTCCATCACGAAGAGTTGCTCCCCATCGCCTTGCCCCTCTCCCTCTCCGTCGACGTCATGGGATTTCTTGAGGTTGTTGGCTTTCTTGGCAATCCGATCAAAGTACACCAAGAGCGAGAGAAACACCTCATTTGTCACCGGACAGTACTTGAGCACTCTTGTGAGATATGCATTGAGCGAAATCCCGGGAATGTTTGTTCCGTGGAATGCAAGCACGTTCGCCAAGTATCTGTTCTTTAATTCGTCCTCGTCGTCCTGTTCATCGCCTGAAGAGTTGACATAGTCTTCATCAATGTGTTCCACTGTGGTGTTTATGCCGTCGTTAGAATACGTCATGCTATCGATTGAATGCTGTCTCGACTTCTCCTTCTCCTGCCTCTTCCTCTTCTTCTCCTCTTTGAGCTTCTGTCTGATGGCAATGGTGGTGTCAAAATGATTAGGGTGCAATTTGTCATTAGCCTCTATGATTTTGGTTAGGAGACACGCGAGCATGGTAATAAGGTCATTGACCGGGAATTTCACAATGTTGAGGTGCTCGTCGTAACCATTTTCGTCTGTGGGGGATTCTCTGCATCCCGCTTGTTGAGCTTTTCCAAGTATTCATCGTACGTCATATAATGATCCGGTTCGCTGAAAAAGCCTTGGTTAAAACTGAGAGGATTAGTGTTTTGGGGTTGGTTGAAGCCCATCGGGCCAGGCGACTCTTTCGCAAGAGAAGACCTGTGGGAAATTGGATGAAGTGACCTGTTCGTGAAGCCGCCTGTGGGCAATGACTGGGCCACCTGGCTATGATGATGGGACCCAGGCTCAAAGTGAGAGTGGTACAGCTGCGGCGTTGCTGAGAAGCTTGACCTATTGAAGTCAGAGCCGTGGTGGTAGGGACTGGAGCTTGAGTTGACCGAGTTCATTGTGAGGTTGGTGGTGGGAAGCCCGTGGCCCATGGCCGCTTTGTTGTATGATGAAGGAAGGAAGCCTGTCTGGACGTGAGGTGCTATGTGTTGCATTCCGGGAGCGGCGCCTGAGTTTGTTGTGGCATTGCTGTCGTTTCTGTCCATGTAGTGAGCTGAAGCACTTTGGAATGAAGGTGTATGGGAGTAATTGGATGTGTACGAGGAAGACACAATGGTCGGGGCATTGTGGCCCAAGGGAATGTAGTTAGCGTTGCCGTTGGGCTTTGCCCCGTTTCTATAAATCCCAAGGTGGGGGTTTTGTGTGAACAGCGACGATACAGAATGTGGATGAGCTTGTGATGGATCGATATTATGTCCCAGACCAGCCGGGGCGAATTTGTTATCGACAGAGCCGCTGAAACCTTGATTGTCTCTTGCAAAAGGAATCCCCTGTGGGCGGCTTTCTGAAGCTACCAGCAGAGCGTAGTCAGGCGGCGTGGGTTGGGCATGTGGGTTTTGGTTAGCCATCTGCCCTGAGGACATGAGGTTCTTGGTCAAATTGGATACTGGGGTGGGTCTTATTTGGGAGTCCAGCAGGGCGAAAACCAGCGACGATAGACCCTGTTCCCCGCTCTGGCCGGAGTCGGCACTGGGGTCGTTGAAACGGCTCATGTATCTGAAGTTAGTATTGCACAAGCAGGTAGAGGATGAATGAACATACCGGTTCTCAAGTCAACGAAGATGGACAAATTGGCAGGCCGGCGAGCTGTATTAAGCAGTGTGTCAAATACAAATACACCGTCAATGTGGAAATGTCGCTGATGCCGGTTTCTTCTCTTAGCCAGCAGAGAAAGTGGTGGTTGTATGGACAGACAGACGCAGATATCACCATTTAGAGGTGCACGGGTGCTGTCCACACGGCAGTAGGCTTTGTGCGACGTGACTCCGACTGGGATTTATTAGAATATAAATAGAACGAAATCGAGGAAGTTGATTCTTCGATGTTCTTTTGCTAGAGAAACGGCGTCTGCTTTTGTCGGTTTTGGTAGATCGTGAGAAGGGCTTGGGGACAAGTCGGTGTATAATGTTTCGCAGCCGTTGAGACAATGAGAACGTTGCTCCACTGTAGAGCGGGAATTGTAGGGAAGGTGGTTCAGGCTTGTGTGTGAGCTGAGTTTACTAATTACATGCTTTTGTTGGGATTTACTTTGTTTCCTTGATTCAGCTTGTCTCCGGCCTCAATGCTTTGTCTCGCGTGGGGGGAGGTCATTTGCAGCCGTGAAGCCAAGGCTTGGGATGCAGCATGCTTAGAATTTTCAGGGGCCGTCGGGCTGGACAGAAGGACCCAGTGTCAGTGTCTTAGATGATTCAATTCATGAACTCTTTGACATTGTTGATATCGAATTGAATTGCTTTGTAGGAGAGTGGCATCAACGTGGGGGGGACCTTTCGCAGTCAGCGAGGAGTATTACCCACTATAAAGCCGTGGACGTGCAATGTGCAGCTACATTTTTAAAATTTTAGAGTTGTGATTTTCCAGTTGGCAGCATGTGAGACGGCTATGTTGTGTTGCTGGTAGGCTTAGGCGAGTTTGATCTAAGCCAAGCCTTTAGTTTTACCGCTCTTGCTTGAGTGAACTTTGTGCTTTGGAAAGCAGCTGTGTTTACCTTTTGGATGTTGAGTCTTCTGTGATAATCTCGTAACCTTGCTCTTGCGTAATTTCGAACAAACACAGTTTTTTTCTGTTTGTCCTACTTCCCCACTGGAGCATCCTGACCATTGCTGCAAATCTAATGTGAGACACTGCACCACCACATCACCAATGCAGACACATCAGCCCATAAGAAGTCAAAAACACAGTGTATTCCCCCCTTTGGCTTTTTCTTTATCTAAACCCATTTCCTTGTTTCTTTTCAATCACCTAGCATCACTGGATACTAGGTCCCGTTCTGCACACTCTCGCACTTATCGAACCACTACTCCATCTTCTTTATAATGTCTACAGCATCAAAGGTGACCTTCGCCGCCTCCTGTGTTTTTGCCGCTGCTTCGTTCTTCTACATCAACTACGAACAAGAAGTCGACCGTTACAACCAGAGACAGGGTCCCATCAAGGATGCCCAGAGACTCTTGCAAAGGAACTTGTCTAAGAAGCAGACTGCCAATGATTTGGAGCACAAGGAGCAAATGGCTTTGAAGCAACAATACGAAAGCGTCCAGCCGTTGAACGCTGAAATCATCAGAGGAGACGATGCTCCAAAAGAGACCAAATGAACCAAAGGCATCAGATCCATCAAATTCACGACAAAATCACAAAATTCCATCCTTCCATCGAACTTGTAAATAGAGGAATGCTACGCTACGTTACGCATGTCTGTGTGCTTGGAGACACCCGTGGTTTGCGTCCCTAGTGGGGCCACTGGATGTACTATGATACACTGGGGACTTTTGTCCGCTTTCTTCTTCCAACCACGTCACCACTTCTGCCTCAGATGAATCACCAAAACGGGTCTTCGCAAAGAGGATGTTTGGCAGGTGGCCGCCGGGCCAGAAACTGGAACACGGTTGGTGGTTAATGAAATTCTTGTCTCGAGCATTTCTCTCGCTAGTAGGATGCTCTGGTGCACGGGTTTCTTGCGGGTTAGGGCTCCACTACGGCTGCTAAATTCAAGACACTGGTATTCTCTATACATATCCATGGCCAGCACTGCTGGCCTACCTGTGGCTCTACTCCATCTTGCCGATTATCTCTTCGTCGGACTCGGCAGCTTCCTCCGACTCCTCCTTCACTTCGCTTTCACGCCGCTTGATTATATGTTCCCGTTTAGGGACATCAATGTAGCCGCCTACATGGCCCGGATAAAGCCTTGAGATTTCAACCGCCAGCGGTGGGTGGGCAGAAAAGGAAAGAGATCTGTCCAGCGCAGCATGTGGGTTTTGCTCGACTTCGAAGCCGCCAGAGGAGCCAAAGGAGTCACTGAAGCGAAGCGATTCGGGCCTCAGTGACAATCTTCTCTGCATGCGCAAGCTTGAAGGCTCCAGAACTTCGTCTTCGGGAACCGGGTCGTTCATGCCGACCAAAATCGACGCAGCTTCAAGCAACTGCACCTGCTGGTGCTTCGACATGACGAATTTTTTAGTCATCTTCCACTCCGGCGTGTGTTCCCAGAGGTGCTTGGCTAGCGATGAAACGTGTTTGTAACCCTTGCCGCAAGCCTCACAGTTGAGTTGCAGCTTCATCCGGCCAGATTCTCCTTCGGAGATACGTCTGGCAACGAAACCCCTCGAGAGCGAGGGCCCGCTTTGCAGAAGCCTGCTAGGGCTTTTTGTGCTGTATGAGTGAGAGTGGATTTGGCTGTGAAGGTGGTCGTGGGCGTGTCCACCAGGGCCATGGCTCAGCGAGAGATGAGCTCTTTGGTTATGGTTGGCTGGGATGGAGTAAGGCGATGCAGCCGAATTTCGGCGAGCATACGGGTGTTGAATATGTGAGCTCGACATCAGAAGAAGGCCCGGTTTTGTAGGATTTGGTGTGCTGTCGGAATCAAGAGTCTTGAATCCTCGAAAAAAATGCCTCTATGAAGAGCTGCGATGGACCGAACAATGCCACAGTTAAATTGGGCGGAACCGAAAAAAAGCAAGCGTCAAAGGGGAAACTTAATGGTGGAGTTTTGTTCCCAAAACGGGTTTTTGTTGATTTGGTTGGTTTGCGTGCCCTCCAATAATGTTTTTTGGCAAAGTGGGACCTTTCAGACGCCTCAGGGTCTCGCCTGCTCGAGGTTTTTTCATTACTGGCAGGAAAAGACTCACCGCCTATGCACAACCCGCTGTGCTCACCCATCCCGCCTTACTCGTCAGATGAGTCGCCCTATGAAATCTTCACAATGGTGAATCTTAGGCTCGGTTCTCGGGCTTATGATATAGACAAACCTTGTAAAATGCAACCATACCATTAGAAAAACTCCGCGTCCATCTCTTCGGCGTTGCTCTCGAACCCGTTGTCCTTCTGCCATAGTATATCTTGCACCTGCTTCACCAATTCCTGGATGGGCATACCCTGGATCTCCTTCGAGCTGGCATCGTCCTTCTCAAAAGCGGTATCGATGTGCTGTGTCAAAATTTCAATTTCCCGTAGCTTGTTGAAATAGAAATTCCTCTCCGTTTCTAGTGTCTCGACGTTGGTTCTGCTTTCACTCACCTCTGCCTTGGCCTGGTCCAACTGCGCCATGAGCTCAGCAACACGGTCATCGGTGACTCTGCCGGTGCCTTGGCTGGAAACACGTCTTTTAGGCACAGAAATGGGAGGATCGCTTGAGCCATTATAGCTGCCTGAACTGATTCGGCTGGGTCTGGAGCTTGATCCAGCACTAGGTGGGTTGGAAGTCATGGTACTTCTGCGGGAATTGGGTCCCAGAGGGGTTCTTGCTCCGCCCAGTTTTCTTCTGGATGCGGCGTCGTAAACCACATTGACGTCCTTGTGTTCCATCCAGTGCCTCTTGAACCATTGTAGGAGCTCTAGGTTATCTTGAAGACGGCACTTGATGAGACGCTCCACCTCGATCTGCTTCAGAATCCGCTGCTTGTTGAAGGCGGCCTGAAGAACCTTCATGTTTGCTCTTGAGTCGTATTCGCTGAGACTGGGATCAAATTTGACCTTACCCATGGGAACTCCACCATATATGGAGTCCATCAACTGGCAGTAAGCTGCTCCAGTACCACATTGCTCCACCTTGGAATAATTGAGATTGAGAGTGGCATTTAGCCAGTTAAGAAGCTCTGTTCTGCTTTCGCCAACGACCATGGTGGTGATGATGAGTACTTGTTTGTTTGCTTCTCGAAAAGTAAATAAACCAGTTCCTGTAGGAGCCGCGGTGGGACCAAAAGGGTAAGGATGGTGGGAGATAGTGGGACTGAGTGAATCGACAATTTGATTTGGTTGTGGTGGTTTCGGATGATGTGAATTGGGTCTATTTTCAAAGTTGTTTGAATTGGGTTTCAGAAAAGCAGAAGCGAGGTGCAGATCAAACGATTCACAACTGGTGGCTGCGAAATCGGTCGTACACTGCCTATCTATACTACGTCACCATAGAGCAAATACTTTAACATTACCCATAATGTTCAGATAATTGGTGTAGCTGGTAATTTATCTGTTATTACCTTAGGCGGACCAATTAGGTGGACCACTTAGCTACCCAGATTTGAAACCTAAAACTCCTTCTCTCCACGCCTACCATAATTCATATTACTCATTCATTAGGTGCTGTCTATTTTCAGTTTGCTTTTTCGTATGCTACGCAGGCTTCTCAGAAGCTTCCGCCGTAGGCTGGTGAAGGATGCTCTTGACTCTCGCAGAGGCCGTGGCAGAAGATCGCCTTCACCAGACTCAGGCGACAGCCTGTCTCCGCTCATGGATTCTTCTGATTTCGTCGACCTGCTGGTCGACTTGCCGGAGAAACCGCTCTTTAACTTGCTCCACATCTTCTTGCGGGTACTTTGTGAGCGTGGTAAGGATTTTGGGCTGGGGAGAACTCGCATTTTTAAGACAGATCTCCTCAACCTGCTTCAGAACGTTTTCAGCAACCTGCTGGTGGACACTTTGCATGTACATCAGCTGGAAGGTTTCGCTGGGGCAGATCGGAGAGCTGGCACCGACCTCGTTGGCTTTTTCAATAAACTCCTGGGTGACCTTTTCGCCAACCTGGTGGATCTGCTTGACATTCTCTTCCTTTTGTTCTTCATGCTTTCTGGCAATGTAAGCTGCCTCACTTTGTAGCTTTTCGATTTCGCCCTCGGTAACGCCGTTCCCACTCAGGCCGCCACTTATGCTAAGATTTTGGAAACTCTCGTCAAGGAGACCGCTTCCGTGGCCTCCTCTGTTGCCCCTTCTGTCCAAATCTCGTTCTGTCTCCTGCTCCAGATCAGGCTCGTCCTCCTCCTCAGAACTCATGTCGTAGGCAATGATGGCATACAGCTTTACCCCAGAAGGCTCTTTGGTACCTTCAAAGAATGTGCCGTGTCTCCACAAGTTGTATTGGACCACCGACTCGAAAGCGGCTTTATCCAGCTTGAAGAGGTTGGCCAGGTCGATATTGAGCGGCGAGTCCGGTTCAGGATCATCTAGAAGCATCAAAATCGCCACCACTATGTGCTCCAAATTCCAAGCCGGCAGCCAGCTCTCGTCCTTCAAGATATCTAAACAGATCTCTCCTGTGTCGATGTTGATATTAGGGTGACAGATCGGCGTCTTCTTTGCAAAAATCACCGATGGAGGGGTCTTGGGGTATGCGTCTCCGACCGAGATTTCTAGCGTCCACTGGCCATTATAGTAGTAGGCACTGTCTGCTTTTGTTGGTTTGGCTATGACTGCTCTCCAGTGATATAAGGAGTCCTCCGACACCGGCTCCAAACTCATGATCTGGGCATTTGTAAGCAGTGGATGCTGCTTGTTTAGCTGCTTGAGCTCCTTCAATAATCGTTTTTGAGACATGATGACTATGGAAAAGTGGTTGGTATGATTATATAGACGGATATATAAGTGCAGGCATGTGAGAGGGTGGTTACTCTGCGCAGGCTGACGTCAGCAAGCACTAGGCTGCACGCTGAAGACGCCCCATAATAAGCGGACTAGCATGTTTTTTCAGTTTTTCTTTTTTGGCTTCTTTTAATTTTTTTCAGTAGAAGTGCTAGTTGAAGAGGATACTGACGATATGGTTCCATTTCGCTTCCGAACCGAGGGGCGCGGTTGTGTGCTCTGGACTCATGCCGGTCATTTGAGAAAACTTGGAGAGGGTCTTGTTTACGAGGGACGAAGAAAAAAAAAAAAAAAAAAAAAAAAAGAAAGAAAGAACCATATCAATACCCGAAAACCTCGTTCGGGCAAATATGAGGTAAGTGGCTGAAAGGTGTTTACAAGGAGGCATCTTGTCTCGAGACGCACCATTCCCGATTTCATCGTGACGTTAGTGGCTTGGTTGTGACGTATTTATTTTTTCTCCCGCCGAGATGAGGTGGTGACCTGGATTTGGAGGATCTTGTAGTAATGAAACTTTAAGCGCCGCAGCGTGACAGAAGGATTTGGTGCAAATCCAGAGAAATGATCAGCAGGCTAAAAATTATTTTTTATCGTTGCCATTTAGTGATTTAGCAACGGCGGGTTCGTTGTTATTGACTTTCGAAGATGGATCACTGGCTTCCGGTGCACGCTACCTTATAGTACGGCCAAGCCGGGGTGTTAGATGTGCTGAAATTTCTTTTTCGCCTGAGGGCCTATTGGGTCTGGTCCGCCTCTGGAACCGAGGAGAGATCTCAAAAAACTCCCTTCGCTTTGTCTCTAATTGCTTCAACTTTCTGTTCACCATGAAAAACATAACTACCTTTTCGGTTTATACAATTCCTCGATAAAAAAAAAAAAAAAAAAAAAAAAAAAAATTCCTCCTTCATCAACATTCGCTTTTTCCTTCAAATTCTGTGTGGTTTTGGCGACACAAGTCAGGGGGGGGCGAATTCTTTGGTCTAACAAAAAAAATAGAGAGAGAGGTACCGTAATCGGATTCTTCAAAAATCCTCAAATCAATCTGCTGAAGGGCATTTAAGCTAATTCTGTGCCTCCATTGTTCAACCTCGCTTAGGCAACTAGATATGCTACCTCGTAGTGCACCCAGCACAATGCATTTGCAGCCACTAAGCCCCAACAGCACTACAATTTCCAGTGATCATCCCTGCTTCAATATTTGACCTAGAGACGGCTATCGAGAAATTCACCTACAGCTCCAAAATTGAACTTGGACCGGTGCTTGCCTGCAACCACGTCGGCCATGCCTTTCTTCAGGTTGACGTCCAACACATCCACAACGAACATGGCATCGTGAATACCACCCGGCTGCATCTTTGTGGTGAATGTGCCCTTGTCCTTCTCCTTGGCGAAAAGCTCTTGAGATCCACGAAGAAGTTCTCTTTCACCGTAGATGTAAAGTATGGCGCCGTCCACAAAAGCAGGCACCTTGGCCCAGTGGTCCTCATATGTAGTGCCATTGAAATCCACAAACGGTGCCACAGCCTTGCGGTCCAGCCCTGTGATGTAAAGATCACCCTTGGAGTTGACCGAGAGCCTGATGAAATCACCGTCGTGGTTCACGCCAGGATAAATTGCAGCTCCCTTATCAGTGTGCACCCAAGGAGCAATGAGTACCAAAGTATTAGGCGCCGGGAGAGGCAGAAATTCCCAGTTAAAGTCGGTGTAGCGTGAGAATTGAGCTTCAGCTTCGGCAGGGTAGGCTGCAAAACGGGCCACTGCAAGCGCCAAGTTACCGCCAGCTGAGTCTCCCATTGGAATAACCTCGTAGCCCTGATCCACCAATTGGCGGTACGCCTTGACGGCTTCGAAAATCTGCGTAGGATAGTATTTTCCGTGTGACGTGACCAGGTAGTCCAACATGGCAATGGCCAAGTCCTGGCGCTTTTCGCTGTCCACAGCGTACCATACGCCTATCATACCCGCAAACTGCTGAGGGGCAAATGGGAACAGGTAGCCACCGCCATGGAGATAGAGAATGGCCTTTTTAGCACCCTCAGGCCGCACCAACCAAGCCAAAGTCTCCTCGTCCACAACCTTCTCTCCGTAATGCGGTAGTCCCAGTACAGCAGGCATGTTCTTGTAGCGGGCAAAGTAGGAGTACATCAGGCCCATGACGAGATCAGCATCTCTGCCTCTGATACCCTGGGCCAAATGAATTGCCGTGGCGACATTTAAGTTCTTTGCTAAGGAGTCAAATTCGGGGTCTGTTTGGGTGTAGACGGTACCCGTGATGTAGTACTCAAGTGTGGTCTTGAGAATGACCCATGGCGCCGTAGCGATCTTCAGAAGGAGACTTAACGAAGGAAGAGCCATTGACTTTTTTGAGGGGGAGATCGCGCTGTATTTATGCTAGATCTGCTGGAGAACTGTGCAAGGCGTCTCGGAGACAATATGTGAAATGTGGGGTCGCAGTTAACAAACGGGGTCGCTGGAGATAAGGAGACGAGGTACCTTTTCGATGGTGAAAAGCCAACTTTTCTGCTAAAAAGTGACATTCAGTGACATTTTTTGGCACCTGCCACAGTTCAACTTTGTGATCGTCTAGAGGCTTTGGCAGCAAACTTGCGCAATTGTGCTAGCTGCAACGAACAAGTGAAGAGCATAAGCGAGGCTCAGATTCGCGGATCCCCTAAGAGCCTTCACGATAAGTACAATTCATAATATGAAGTTGTTTGAAGCTGCTTTGGCTTCAATCGATTGAAACTACCGATATGCGGGAGCCCCTGTGTCCGTCCTGTTCAAGATATTCATCGCCGTTTCTGCATCGGACCTTATGTTGAGAATCTCCTTTATCCGCGGCGAGGTGGGGTTGGGCTGGTTCGGGCCAGTTTTTGACAAGATGCATTTTTTCACTTGTGACCTTAGCGATGTCGACAGATTGTTGCGGAAGATCTGATTGTTCGGTCGAGAACAATAGACCTTAATTTGAGCGCTCAATCCTGTGGTCTTTTTGCAACCTAGGAAAGCAAAGAGCGGTACACATCTAAGATTGCAGTCTTTAAGAAAATTGATCGTCCATTTGAGAGTCGCTATTTCAAATAATTCTAAAAGTATAAAAGTTGGACCTGCTATGGAGGATCCCGGCCATCCCACTGACAGATCTTGCCCAATAGACTTGTATCAATCGAGGTCAAATTTTTCTTTCAGTTCTAAAGAGAAGAATCTTGAGCATGAACAATCTACTCATCTGTAAAGCCATCGATTTCAATCTTGAGAATTCCTCTTAGGACTGCTGATAAGAGAACATTGACAGTAAGCGCCATACATTATCGCCATATGCCAAAGACTGCTGTGAGCGAGTTAGAGTAGTAGCCAATAGAGCCGACTTTGCGTAATACTGGTTTGGATTTTCAACCTTTGTGAACGGTCACTCTCGTAAATCCCTTCATGAAACTTTGGAAGATACTTTTTGAAATGAAAGCTCGGTGCTATTTCGAAAGTCATTGCAGAAACTCCCGGTACCACAAATTTGATAGCCACAACCTCACCTTCTGCCTCCTCTATCCAACTTCCGAAGCAATCAACTTCAATTGCCACCTAGGCTATGAAACACGTCAACGGCCAAGCCGGAGTAGTGGCACTGTGGCCGAACAATGGGGTCACTCAGGAGAAGAAGCCTCACACAACCTGGGGTGATCACGAAGTGGAGTGGCGCTAATGTGAATTGAACTTAGAGAAATGAAGAGATAGTGGGATACCAAGGTCCTCGGCCCAATTGGAAGTGCATCTCATCACTCAATTGAGTGCTTCTGTCCAACGACTAGAGGTGAAAAATCCAACGGGTGGCATTGATAGCCATTGACGGCCGCTTGCCAAAATCAGCCTCAGATTTATCGATTGCCTACCCAATTGACTTGAAGCAACAAGCCTCCCCCACCGCTCTACAGTTTGCTAGGTTCATGACTTGTATTCATAAATACAGACGGCGCCACAGCGCTTAGTTCTTGAGGTCCTTAAGGTCCTGCTCGAGCTTGTCGACGACCTTCTTCTGCTCCTCCAATCTCTCTCTCAACTTGGCCAACTTCTCGGCCTCGTGCTTCTTGATGTAGGCGCCTTCCTGGGCATTCTCTCTCTCCTTGAAAGAGTCGGTCTTGCTTGGGCCCTCGACGAAGGCTCTTCTGGAGATCGAGAAGGCTCTCACGGAGGCGGTGTTTCTGGCGGCCAATTGTCTCAACATGTTTTAACTGAATATGACTTTTGAAAAAGGTCTTGCTTCTTGCGAGGTGTGGCCTCGCACCAGAGCTTTTTATTGGTGCCCCTGGTTGTGTGCAGGCCACAATGGTCCCACTCGCCCTTCTTTGCTACTAACCCCGGATCTGCCTCGCCTGATTCTGAAAGCTTATCTGCGTGGAGATGGTTTTTGTTTTTTGTATGCGAGGGAATGACCGTGAAGTGGCGTGACTTGGACCTTGATTGATCTTATGGTGTTCTCCGATTTCGCACTGGCAGCAAGCTGATCAGCGGCTCGGTGAAACTGCGGTGGATGGGAAGGCGAAGATTTGAAGATTTCTATAATTTGAGTTACATTCGTAAGGTTCGGAAGATTTTCGTATGTTCAATCCGATTTCTGGAGATTTCTTGGCCAATTGGGGTTGAATGTTCTGGTTCTCACAACGGCTGCAAAGCTGCACTGACAGCTATTGTGAGGCGAACGACGCAGAACAAACCACAGAAAGGTCAATTGTCTTCAGAGGCTCAATTGTGAGGCCATACGGGTGAATCACTGAAAGAAGTTAATATATGCCGATCTTTTTTTCGAAACCAGGTCTCTAGCCTCGCTGAATGACGAAACGTCTTGTGACCTTCCAAATATGATTTCATTAGTCTCTGTAAAATGCTCTGCTTTGGTTAATTGGGCCTTTTCAAGGTTATTCAATCGACTCTGCTCTTCAATTAGTATCGTGAATGATCCTCAAGGATCGTGATTGACTCTGCAATTAACAAACCACTGGAACCGGAGTATTGGACAAGATTACTACAACGTATCACGAGACTTTTCAAGGCTTACCATTAGTCAGTCTCTTCATTCTCATACACATGAGGATCACTATCTAAACTGGATTTAGTAACGCCACATGACACCCCCACCTCAATCACTCCATATTTTGCAACCAATGATCAAGCCGCTAATCGTAACCCCCGCCTTCATCAGTATGGCATTCACGACCAATTGAAGTGATTGCTCTCCCTTCTCATCGTGAAGCATCACAGGTCTTGACTCATAAGCCTGGCGTATTTGTCTTATCTATCTGCTGCTGCCACTCTTCTCAACTATTGCAAATCATCATCCAGATCTAAGAGCTGATCTCACTCCATTAACAGCTCAGCTAGATGTACAGCTTACAATGTTACAACAAAGTCCCTATTCGTACTGTTCATTCCATGCCTCACTGAGGCGTTCTATTTACACGTTTACAAGATACGGAACGGCGTGAAGCGGCTGTGCTTGTGCTCTGTTGGCATGATGCCGAGCATACGGGCGCGTTTGATGGCTATGCTGAGTTTCTTCTGGTTTTGTGGGTTACATCTGGTCTTCTCTCTGGGCAAGATCTGGCCTGAAAGTGAGACGAAGCGAGACAACACCTCGGGCATCATGTACAAGTCAAGTGGGTTGATGCCGGCCTTGACGAAAGGATCATGGGCACCTTTGTCGTAATTGAGGAGACCTGGCGTTTTCTTGGATCTTCTCTTGTTCTCTATGGCGACCTTGTCTGCGGTGAAGTCGAATGGATCGTAGGTAGCTCCAAAGTCAAAGTTCTTCTGGAAGCTTCTGCTAATCAGCACAGGGGTTTGCTGGTCTCTTGGATATTTCTGGCCATTCCCACAACGGTTTTGGTGATGAAGGAGTCGTCGTTGGTGGATTCAGTCCAGGCCTCCCGGGACTTCATTTCCGGCGTCGAGGGCAAGGCTTTGCTCTTATTGAGAACACGTCCCACCGTCAACGCCCTCACAGGAGCGTTTCGAAGAATCGTGCTTTTAAGCATAATTTGTATGAGTGTTTCTTCTGATTCTGGTCGTGCGGACTCAGTCAAAATTTTCGCAGCTAGTTGGAGCACGTCTGACCTGCGTATGGAGCCTCGGCTGGGCTACATCGAACATACATCATTTGTCATTTGAAAGCCAGGCCTGAACAGGTACATATTTAATTCCACTTTTCTCTACAGCATGGGAGAACGAGGCCCCGACCAGTGGTTGGAGCAGATCAAAAACTGCATACTGCTTTCGGAAAATGACATGAAGCAGCTTTGTGAGCTTGTCAAGGAGCTTTTGATGGAGGAGTCCAATATCCAGCCGGTGCAGCTGCCAGTGACCGTTTGTGGTGACATTCATGGTCAATTTCACGATTTACTAGAGCTTTTCAAGATTCTGGGTGGTCTTCCCACGGAGGACAATGACTCAAATTACATCTTTTTGGGCGACTATGTTGACAGAGGTTACTTTTCCTTGGAGACGTTTACGCTTCTCATGGTTCTCAAGGTCAAATTCCCCAACCGCATCACCTTGGTCCGTGGCAACCACGAGTCCCGACAAATCACCCAGGTTTACGGCTTTTACGACGAGTGCTTGACGAAATACGGATCCACGACGGTGTGGAAGTATTGCTGTCAGGTGTTTGACTTTTTAACCCTTGCCGCCATCATCGACGGCAAGATCTTGTGTGTGCATGGCGGATTGTCGCCGGAGATCCGGATGTTGGATCAGATCCGTGTTTTGAGCAGGGCTCAGGAAGTGCCTCATGAGGGTGGGTTCTGTGACTTGGTCTGGTCTGACCCAGACAACATCGATAAATGGGCCGTCTCGCCCCGTGGTGCTGGCTGGCTATTTGGCCTGAAAGTCAGTCGTGAGTTCAATCATATCAATAACTTGGACTTGATAGCAAGAGCGCATCAGTTGGTCATGGAAGGTTTCAGGTACCATTTCAAGGAGAAGGACGTCGTCACAGTGTGGTCGGCTCCAAACTATTGTTACAGATGCGGTAATGTTGCTAGTGTCATGCAAGTGGGCAGCGACTTGGAGCCCAACTTCAAGATCTTCAGTGCGGTCCAGGAGGGCGACTTGGCGGCCAAAAACAACTCATCGAAGCAACAGCGTATCGACTACTTCTTGTAGCGTCGCTTCCAGAACAACTTTCCCCGCCTCGATGTCCCGTTACGCATTATAGACCCCGTGGAGCCGTCGCCGCCACCGCTGCTTCTTTATTCTTTTGTACTCTCACCCACACATGCGGCTCTATGTTATTAATGATTACGAACAATAGCACTGCTACCCAGCTCACTTAACTATATTAACGATGCCATTAAGACTTATGCAAAATGTACTCCTAGTTCTTCCCCTTTCTGTTCTTTCTCTTCTTGCCGATTATCTGCTTGACCTCGGCGGAAAGTCCAGACTTATTGTTCTCCTTCTTCTCTTCCTTCTCCTCCTTTGGTGGTTTGGGGCCCTTGTTCATATTGCCCTTCTTACCCTTTTTGCCCTTCTTCTGCTTCTTTGAAGGCTGGGCATCATCATCCTTTTCTTCACCAGCATCACCTTCTTCTCTCTTTCTCTTATTGTTTCTGGCGATAAAGACCTTGTCCTTTCTTCTCTTGACGACTTGAGCATTCTCAATAGCGAATTCAACGATAAGACGTCTCTTAGTGAGGCCTTCAAGACTAGCGGCCTTCTTTTCTTCCTCATTCAAGCCAGCCATCACCTCTTCAGTCGTAACTTCGTGAGCATTAAGCCAACGGAGACCCATCAAAGCAGACTTGTGGTCTCTGAATTCCAAGAAACCATAACCTCTACTTCTGCCGGCCTCTCCAGTGCCCTTGATTTCCATAATGACTTTAGCTTGCTTGACAACACCGGTGTGTTTCGTCTTCTTTTTCTTCTCTTCCTCCTCGACATTCTTGACGTCTTCTTCGAACTCGTGCTTAGCTTTCGTGGAACGGCTGATTTCCTCCTTCGACAATGGATGTCTCTTTTGTTCCTTCACCTCTGTAGCAAACAGAACCACTGCCTTACGTCCCAAGGCTTTCAAAGCCTTTGATGTCATGGCTCTAGGAAGATTTCTGATGGCCAATCTTGTGAGTGACAAATGCAAGGTGGGGTTTTTGTTAAGCTGTTGGACACGCATCTTGTAAGACTTTTCTCTCACTTCCATATCTGTCTTGGACATGACCTCTGCGAGCTTTGAGTTCTGGGTGACACGACCTTCGTTCAACAAGAATAAGTTTCTTCTGTCCTTATCGCCCTCCTCTTTGCCGTAAACCTCCTTCCTTTTGTTCTGGTTTCTGTCTGCAAGACGACTGGCAGAACTTCTGTCGACTGTAGACACAATGGACAAGATTCTGCCTTGGTAGACATATTCAGGCAGAACATCATCAGAAATCAACATCGATGTAGACGACACGGATGGAGCGTTCAGTAGACAAGCATTGTAGGAGTCTTCATTTTTGAATGCAACGAAAGCGGAACCTCTAGCCAAACCAGTGACTTTGTCAATCACAGGCAATGCGTATTTAACAGGGCCAAATTGGTTGAAATGGGTAGTCAAGGATTCCTTGTCTGCGTCGTAAGGAATGTTTCTCACGAAGATAGAGTAAGCATCTTGTCTATTCTGCTTCTCTTTTTCCTCCTCCTCTTCCTCCTCTTCCTCCTCTTCCTCTTCATCATCCTCGTCCATGTCATCTTCCTCCTTCACCTTGTCACCATTGAGTTCGTCGAACTCAGAGTCATCTTCGTTTTCGGAGTTAACCTCAGAGTCCTCTTCCTCCTTCACCTCAACCTCGTCTTCATTTTCCTCCTTGACTTCTCTCTCTCTGGCGGTGCTTTTATCTTCTTCTCTAACCTGCTCCCACTTGGACTTCTCAATAGCCAAGTCAACAGCGACCTCTCTGCCGTCGATCTTCAAACCAACAGACTCTTTGACAGCCCTTTCAGCTGCAGTCTTCTTTTTCATCACCACAAAGGCAAATCCTTTCATAAGGCCACCCTTCTTAGTAGGAATATATGCATCATGAACACCACCGTACTTCAGGAAGAGCTTCTTAAGCTTTTCGGCGTCCTTACACGACCATGGCAAGTTTCTGATGATCAAACGGGATCTTCTCTTTTCTATTGGTGCAGCTTCTTCCTTCTCTCTGGGTTCGGTGCTGTCTTTACCTTTTCTGTCTCTTCTCTTTGCAATATCGACTCGAAGGAATCTGTTCTGGAATTTGACCTTCTTGGACTCGACCAACGCAGTCAATGTATCGTCTTCCATAGTAAACGAGACGAAACCAAATCCTCTGGACTGTTTTTCATCGTCGGTGACAACGACGGCATGCTTCACAGGAACAAACTGGGAGAAGTATTCCAGAAGCTCGGCTGTGGTTGCCTCTTTTGGAATTGCCCTGACGAAAAGGGTCTTTTTATCGAGGCTGTCATCAACCTCCTCTTGTTTCACGGTGGTAGCTTCCGTGGTTTCAGACATTATGTGTGGAGAACTAGCGAAAAGCGCAGAGATGAGCATCTCAAAAAAATGTACCTATACTGCACCATCAATGTATGGGGACTAGTTGAGTCCAGCCATAGTGCAAGCAATCTACGAATGGACCATATATTTGTTGACTTTCGCCGTATTTATTTTAGCGAGATTCAAGAGAAATAAAATGTTTTTAGTATCTGCGGTCAGTTTTTCGACCATTGACTTTGTGAGGTTATCAGTGTGACATGTATGTATATCCTTGATTCAAAGTGTCGGCTCTCGCTATGCCAAAAAAGTTGGATTGATGATTTTCATATTTTTTTGAATCTGAATTGGAAAGATCTATTGAATAGGTGGTATCCTTGCCATGGAAAGTGGGGTGCAGCGCGTTTTGCAGCCATTTATGCATACTTCTTCACCCACGGACACGGATATTATCAGATAAACTCTCCGTTCTTCTCAGAGCATACACACAAAAGCTAAAATTCTTACTTCCTTTCTTAAATAGCTCAAACTACACTTCCAGGAAGCATTTCTGACTTTCAATATATGTGGTGTACGGGTGTAAATGTGTAACCAAAATACAAACATGAGAGATCAGATCAATCATATTCAGATTCATGACAAGGACAAAGCACAAGAACGTACTACCGAACACGTACGTTCCGGTCCTTTCCAAAGATGTACTTACGGCGGTTCTTAACAGACTTCAAAAACAGAGTCTCATAGCGCTTATGCTGCTTTGGCCTCGACTCAAAAACACTCAACCCCAACTAGATAAGGAGAATGCGTCCCATAGCCAGGTAGAGCTCAACCGTATGGCACGGAATGATGCTGCCGAGATGAAAGAGAGTGAGAAGAAATGGACCAAAGCCAAGATCATTGATAAGATCTTATATGAGTACTGGAGCCGGGGTCTAAATCTTCTTCAGTTAGCTCAGGTCGACTGTCAGCTAATTGTCGATAATTCCAGTGCCTTTTTGTGGAACCTGTCAACCGTCAGGAATGTCGAAAATAAGGAGATTTCTTTATCACTTGATCCTTCCATCTTTCTCGACGCTTTGGCAGCAGAATTGAGTAAGCTTTTCATGTCGTATATCTACGTTTGCAAGCACCCGAAATTGCCCCTCATACTAGTTCGTGTCCAAGTCTTTGACTTGATGCCCCAACTCAGTCGTGGAAGAAAGCAATCCAGGTCACAGCAACCACATATAACGTCGCATAAACCATACATTTTGGCATTTCCTTGCAATTCGCCACATCTTATACATTCGCCTGGGGCTGACCTTGTTTCTCAAGTCATTCTCACGGTGGTGGAGAACTGCCTCTCCCACAATCGACGTGATCAACATCGCTTAACTACGCCGTCAAATCAGAAAGCTGTCAGGTCCCTCGAGGCCATGCATATCTTAAAAGGCTGTTCAAGATTCGGCAATAGTTTGGGTGCATGGACGCCCTACGCTGACGGAACGGTAGACTGTTCGCCTCTCGCAAGTATATCAAAGCAGCTAGATCACAAGGCGAAAAAAGAGACTGCAGTATCCAAGGAAGATCGCTTCAGAAAGCTTGCGAATATTCGCTTTAAGGGTACCGCAGGAGCAACTCTCAAGTCTACAAGACTCTATGATGATGTGAGGCCGCTTAAAAAAGCAAAAGTATCCAATGGACAACTGGAGATACAATTAGAGAACGAATTTGCATCTATCGCCCCGGTAAGGTTTGTTCAGTTCGAATTGAACGAGCAAGTAAAGGAAAATGATGACGAGCCGTCACTGGTTACTATGAAACTTATTGGGACAGATGTCTTCGCGGGACTTCATGAGTTGGCCGCTAATGCATTTGAAGAGGATTCGGCTGTCGTCGACCCAAGGACCATCCCAAGGTGGTTGACGGGCGAAGAAGGTATTAAATGTGGGAAGGTTAGAAATGGTCGCTTCGAAAGCGACCCGGAGTAATATATTGAAACATTGGGTAATCTAAATACGCGAGATGTAGCTCTTGATCACAGAAATAGTATCCTCATTTGATCCCCGGGCTCTTTTCAAGATACTTCGTAACATCTCGGCATCTTTATTGTTAAAAGCCTCCTCGGCTGCTAACTTGAATTCACCAATCTGAAGGAATAGATCAACTACCCTTTGATAGGTTGAATCATTAATGGCACCAATGTACACCGAGATGTAGGCTTTCGGAGCCCCATAGTTGATGCAAGTTTGAGCTATGACTGTCATTCCAATTGGGGATTTTAGCTTACTGCCACTGCTATTCGTGGTAATAAACTTATGTAAACGTTCAAACTCCCCTATTTTGGAATATACCTCTAGCACCAAATGCCAAAGTTTTTCTTGTGGTAATTTCTGATCCTTGACGATCTTAGCCGCAGTTTTTATTTGATGCATTTTGATCAACTTCACAAGTATATCTGTGAGTGATTTGACTCCAAAAAATGTCGTTTGGTACATCTCAGAAAGTTTTTTCTTAAGTTCTAGGATTGCAAGTTCCCTTTGAATGAGCTTAGTGTACTTCAGATTGTTCAACAACCCATGAAGTTTCTGCTTATGAACTTGAAAAACTTCCTCGTAGTTGCTGTTGTCCGAAACGTCATTTTCTTTCAAAAACTTTTTGACTTTAACCAAATTTCTTTCCAGGGATTTGCTCTCGTTCTTGTAGTAGGAGTCGACAAGAGAAGCGTTGTATTTTGCGATGTTTTGAACCCAAAAATTTCCAATCAAGTCGCCACTTATGAATAAGTTGTCCTGCAATATCACCTTTATTTCTTCATCCTTAAGAAGTTGTCTCGCTGATGTGTCTTTAAAAAGACCACTTTGTTCGTTTTGACTCAAAAGCTTAAAGAGTTGAAGCTTGGGAAGAGTATTCTGAAGGTGGAGGAGTAAAAGACGACAGAGATCAAGATCTCCTGCTTGAAAAGTCTTCACAAGAGCAAGCTCTGTTTCTTCGATCATCAAGTACTCCTTCATCTTAGCCAACATTGATGGTTCAAGATTGATGAGAAGCTTGCACAAATCAACTCTTCCCTCTTGGTAAGCAACATTAGAGATATCAAGCACGGAAATATGGTTCCTCTTCATGTCGCCAGGCGTGAACTTCTCCAACGAAATTAATTTTTTTGCCACAATTTTAAAGAGTTCATAGTCTGAGAGATTGAGCTCCTTTCTGATTTTGGAACAACACCAATGCGAATACACCAAATTTGTGAGATCGGGGAGCTGTACCAAACCGATGATCTTGAGAGCTAAGAGATGCTCTTGTCTTCTCAAAAGCATTCGGATAACAGTTTCCCAGCCCACTATAGTCACGACCTCGTATGTCAAGAATAGACCAAACTCTGAGGACCGGATTTGGTCAAGCACTTTGATGATATTGACAACTCTGAGGTATTCTTCTGCGTTGAAGTAATCATTGTCATAAATCTTGCCAAACGAGACGGCCTTTAAAATTGTTTTCTGCCATTGGGGATCAAATTCGTGTAACACGGCGTCTAAACACCCGGACATAGCCTCTCGGAGGGATTTCTCACTCTTAAGAAGTGAGATATTTGTATCTGCCTTCAGAGACTGTTCCCTGAGTTTGGATACACAATCCAATAGTATTAATGACGGATGGGTAGATCCAACCAGGTGTATATCAATCGATGATTGAGGTACGCGAGTGAGGAACTCTACCTTATTCGAAGTTATGATGCGGAGCCCATCTGGTTCAGACTTGATTATTGGTATAGTGAATGAAAGGTCTGATTCTGGGCTTTCTCGGAGCAATTGATCGAGATCAAAGTCCTCTTGATCAACAATGTCGTAGAAAAACGAAATGGATATCTGGTCTGGCCCAATCAATTTGATCTCGTCTCGCAAGGACAAAATGATGGCATCGTTACCGGCCCACTCAATCATATAGGGAGTACTTGATTCATTGGACGTATCATATTCTAGCAAAACTTTGTCGAACAGTTTTCGAACAACAAATATTTTTGAAGATTTCTCATTGAATATCGAGATAAGAGAGCCGTTATGTGAGACTGAAATTCTCGAGAAAGGCCCATCAGTAAGCTTTTGATCATCAAAGCTTGCAGTCTGCAATTTCAAATCTAGTTTCACAATATAAATAGTGTTCGAGTAGCTTAGGAGAAACTCGACAATCAGCTCACTCGCCGAGAGAAAAGCGATACAATTCACCAACGTCAAGTCAAAATGATTAAGTGAAAGATCAAAGTTCTGATATGTCTCCAAATTGGAGAGTGTGATCCTGTTTTTATGCCGAAGCACGAGGAGAGTGCCCCAGACTTGTGCTTCAATAACATCAAATGCTTCCTCGGTTTCATCATTCTCTAGATTGGTGATAACGTATTTTTTACTAGACTCATCTTCTTGGCCGCTCAAGCTCAAAAGGCCTTCTTTGTAAGAATATTCGTTGAAAGTGCCTTGGAAGTCCGTGTAGAGTCTGTATTTGCCGCTGCTGAGTACCACAAGCAAGTCCTCGTTATAGAACGTGAAATCGACAATGTGCTCTTGTGGTGTGGAATTGAATATCACAGACCACAACTTATTCCCGCTAATTGAGTACACATCGATCACGTTTGGGTATTGGGCCTGTCTTGAGGCTAATGCTATCAAGGTGGTGTAAGTTGAAAGGGCCACTCGGTAATTGGAATAGAGGTTTTCAATGGACCAATTCAAGGAGTCGTAGCATGTCCTAATGCTATAGTATACGTCATGGAGTTTCTGCCATGAAAGACTTGGATTCGTTAGCATTGGCTGTGTGGATGTAAGGAAGGTGAGTTATCAGTGCAGTTCGTGTAGATAAATATGGCTGCGAAACTAGAAGTACTACAAATGGAAGTGATCGAGAGTCAGGTATACCGAAATTGACTTCGAAAGTTTACTTGCACAAATCTATTCAAAGGTCTTGGTTAAAGTTATGTCATTGGAATCGAAAAATCAGTTTTGGGAGATGAATACATGATTGGGGAGCAATGACTTCGAGTTGGTTTACCCCAGTGCCGCAATATCGATAGTTTTTGAAGAAGTAGAGTATAATTGATTGATGCCATGTGTAAAATTTGAGCCGATTCTTTATTGGAAGATGTTGAAGGTTTCACTTACAAAGTACCTGAAAATTTCCTTCTCCCATTAGAACGATATCACTTATACACGAGTTCAACGATGGCGTCTGCTTGAGCTCTCAATTCAAGAAGAGTTTACCTACCGATACATCCAGATCTTACTTATAACAAAATTATTCAGCTTAAAGTGCAGTAATTATCTTCCCTCTATGTGGCTCTTCCTGTGCTATGTAGCTCTGCTCACCGCGAAATCAAGATCCATACTTGCCCTTACTTTCATCATGGCCCAACCGGACGCCTCCACAAGCTATATTACGCTTGTTTCCTCCGATAACCACAAGTTTATCTTGATGAAAGACGTGGCGCTGATTTCCTCGGTGCTTCGAAATATGGAGGAGTTTGAAGAGGGTCAGACCGGCAAGATTAACTTGGACATGGACGGCGAGATCCTCGACGTGGTGGTGAATTACTTGCACTATCACTACAAATATAAGGACCAGGAGGAGCTGGGCGAGATTCCTGAATTCAAGATACCCACCCACCTAGCTCTCGAGCTTCTAGTCAAGGCCGACTACTTGGACATATAAAGTGAACTGTTCCAGAGTGCAGATGAGGCTTGTCGGCTGATGATGACACCACAGATGAATCAAACTGTCAGGTTTATGACATTGAAATTCGAGGCCTAGCTTCGAACTGTGAATATCTTTTGGCGTGGGCCCACCCGCCTTCGTGAGGTTGGCCGAACGACCAAATGCCATACTCGACCCGAGACATTACTAAACCAAACCAGAACTTTCAAAAGAGAGCTAAAATACTCCAGATTGCGCTCCTCGACCACACCATCATATTCGTTCTGCCTCGTATTGCAGCAGGCAACATCCGCCTGTAGAATAGCAAGGAACTAGAATGGCTCCTGGCTGAGCCTGCAAACAATTGCCTAATAAAAATAGTCCTTATGAGTATCATCTCCTCGAAATTTGCCTCATAGTAGTTTCTGCCCGTATAATAGCTAACCCAAGTCGGGACCTCCTGCACGCATCACCCTACCTAGACTCCCTGGGGTAGCCACCACCTTATCGCCTTCCTCCTCTGAGAAACAACCATGACCCAGCTCTTGGACAATTTAAACAAGGAGGTGGACCTCATTGACTCTGCCGGTAGGTCGAGTCTTGACTCGCTTCTATCGGAGTCCGAAGACATTCTTGGCCAACTCCGAGATATGGAATCCACACTTGAAAATGAGCCCGACCTAGATCAAAGTGCCCTGCTGTTCGCCACAAAGGTCGATACGGCAACTCTGAAATGGTACAAAAACTCAATTACCAACTTGAAGACCTACAATTCCCAAATTAACAAGTTCAACAAGAATATCGTCAATAGTCATAAGTACAGAGTTGACTTGGACAATGCATACCCATTCCCACTAGTCTTGAACTCCTTCCCGGTGAAGGAGGTGACGAAGCAAGAAAGAGAAGAGCTTTCTGATAGTGATCCTGCGGCGATTTTAAAGCTGGACAACAGGCAGCACTTGATAAAGTCCATCATATTGCATTTGCTTAAGATTGGCCAGAGGGACGCAGTAGAGCTGCTTTTAGAAGAAATTGGTGAGGCTGAACTTGAGTCCAGTCAGCTAGATAACTTCAGAAAGCTACGGAAGATGGTGGAGGACATCAGAGAACGTCATGACCTCACCGAAGTACTCAAATGGTTCGAGGAACAGGAAAGTCGCAAGATCCTGTTGCACAGTGATGACATATCCTTCAAGTTCCATGTTCTACAGTTTGCCTTGCTTCTAGCAGGACTTACAGAGGACAAGCAGCTGCCTCAAATCGACTCTGCGTTGGCCGCTTACACGTATGCCAAACAGCATTTTCCACGCTACTTCAAAGACTTTCTTAATGAGATTGCTCCAATCATGACATTAATGCTTTTCAAGAGAGTTGATGATGACGATGGCGAGGATCAAAGCCATCTCAAGGAGAATATCATTCAGGCATTCCTACTGTATGGCTCGAGGAACAAGAGCCACAGTCGGGAGGTTGAATTCGTCAGCGAGATACTTAGCTGCTTTGACCTGCTCCATGACAATCATCTGCTCTTTGAAAACTTGTCCAACAAGTTTATCTCCGAATTCTGTGCGTCAATGCAGCTTTCGAGTGAGCTGTCGTTATTCCAGAGTCTTATGGCAGGTTTCATCAACATCCCCAACTTCTACAAGTATAATAACCTTCAGCGCAAGCTCGGACGTGGTAGCCGTCTGGGTGCTGTCAATGGCGAGAAGGAGGACTCCTCTGTTACCCAGTTATTCAAGCAGGACCTTCCCTTCCAATTGCCGGACACCAACCGGTTCTTGTTTAACTATCACCCCATTTTCATTTGTCCAGTGTCCAAGGAGCAATTGGTGCCACTAAGCACTGTTGCAAAGATCTCAGAAGAAGACGTGATGGACCCAAAGAGGAAGTTTACGCTTGTATCACCCTCGCAGAAATTGGTACCTATGAGTAACCCAGTAGTGGTTTTCAATCATTGCAGGCATTTGGCTTTGAAAGACAGTGTGAAACACCTTTCCCGAGGCGGATCCGAGGTGTTTAAATGTCACTATTGCTACAAGAAGCATAAGCTTCTGGATGTCAGCGACGCATACTTCATAGATTTGTAATGAATAACGGTAACTTTGGTAGTTGTGCTTGTATCCATCGCGAAAAATGTTGCAGCCATAATCTAGCATCACGAACTCCATGACGAAAAAACAGGACCCTACGGCCCTCATATCGGAGGAGTCGATCCTAGGAGACTCGTGGATTCCGATTTATGAGGAGCCTGTGGACTTTGAGGCTCTGCATTTCAACACAGCTATGAGCAATCTTATAAGAGAACCCAACATCAACTCCACCGTGATCATGAGAGCTGATGTTCTCGAAGAGAACAATTACAATGAGAACGGAGAACTCCTAGAGACCAAAAACTACAACCCCGATTTACCTGCTTTTAATTCCGAAGAGTCCGAGCAAGAGCTACTCCATAGAGACCTCGATGATGTGAAGCTTCGAACAGTACCACTAGAAGGTCTGAAAGTCAAGCTCTTAGACAGCTACAATGTAATTCGTCGCATGATTCCCAGAAATCCCTATAAAGACCATATCATCAATCAGACTTGCTTGGTGCTTCAGAGCAACCTGTCCAAGTCCATCTTGGTGGTGTATATCCCCCACATACAGCATATTGAAGAGGTTCCATTTTATCTACCACCCGTCGTGGCTGTTGGTATACTCTTTCATGAAGGTAAGCTTCTGATCCACTATGTTCCATTTGACGGCGTCAACATGAGGGCAATGGACCTCGCAGAGCGACCATTCAGAATAGCATTGAGACTTCTCCAGACGTCAGCTAAACATTCGTCGGGAGCCAAGCTGGGATACGAAAAGAGAGTCAAACACGACCTCGTTGTGCCACGAGTTGCTTTCCAGAACCGTTACATCTCCTTGAAAAAAAAGTATCTGGGAGAGTTGGTTGCAAACTGGTGCGAAAGCACAGATCCCAAGAAGCATGTTTTTGAAGATTTAGCGGTCGCTGCATTCCTCATAGAGCTCTGGAACGACAGATTCCCAGACGGAGATTTTCAATTCTGCGATTTGGGTTGTGGCAACGGTCTCCTTGTGCATATCTTAATTCTGGAAGGCTACAAGGGAAGAGGAATAGACGCTCGAGCACGCAAATCATGGAAAACATATCCAGCGGAAGTTCAAAAGTGCCTTTCTGAACAAATCATCATTCCTGGTGTCCTTCTTAAGCCTCATCCCGCTGTAGCCAAGATGGCACCTCACATCACTAACAATGGCCGTCTATTCCAGGTTCCTGAGGCCGATCTGCCTCATCCCAAGCAGGTGCCGCTAATGAAATACTACTCGTCAGCTAATCTTCTCGAATCATCTAAGGTTTGCACGACAGAGGACTTCCCCTCCAACACATTCCTTATAGGAAATCACTCTGACGAGCTCACTTGTTGGATGCCACTCTTCAACTTGCCTTTCGTCGTCATCCCGTGCTGTTCCCATGCTCTTAGTGGAGCTAAAATCAGGTACAATCCAAGACCAAATTTCGACCCTGTCACAAAAGCCAAGTTACCTCCACAGAACGTGTCTACCTATGGTGCTTTGGTAGACCATGTAGAGGACTTGGCAAATAAAATGGGATGGAACGTCGAAAAAGAGATTTTGAGAATACCAAGCACAAGAAATGCCGCCATTATTGGTATCAAAAAGCAAGAAGCCTTTGCTCAAGAGGCTGAGGACATCACTGAGATGAAAGTAATAGACATACTCGCTACAGAGGGCGGTGCAGAAGGCTGGGTCGAGAACTCCATGGCACTTATGAAGAAAAACCCCAAGAATCACTAGAGTGTATATCGGAATTAATGAGCTGATGTAATATTAATTCGTAGTTTTGAAAGAAGATTGTACTTGAATTGTCAGAATCTCCAGAAATGGCTGCGAATTATGCAATATTTCGTACAATCTGCAAGTGGTTACAAAAGTGAGAATGAAGAAAGTGTCTCCAAAAATCAAAATCAAGAGATTCCAAGCTACGTTTTATCTTTTTACCTATTTTGAGACAAATTGAAACAGGCAGATAATTGTTCTTTCATTTGAGAGGCTATGTCTTGAACTACCTAGCAACGACTGAAATACATCTACAGATCTATTTATAGACGAGTAAAGCCAATATTCAAGTGCAATTTGCAGTCAGCAGTGAAATGAATCAAAGATGAATCGAAAGAGGTTTAGATGAGCTGGCGAGCTAACCAAATCTACAACTCCTCCTTCAGATCTATATAAAGCTATCTTAATTTCCTGCACGTTTCAGCCTACTACAACGTATTATCGCCAACGCGCCTTGATCAAATCTTCACCAGTATGACAGGGTCCTCGTCTCAGTATGTTAAGCAATTTTGAAAGGATGTCAACTCAACTAACCGCAGGTTTCAGCAGCTCGAGAAGCTTGGTGAAGGTACCTACGCTACCGTGTACAAAGGCAGGAACAGGGCCACCGGGGCTCTAGTGGCTCTCAAGGAAATTAGTTTGGACTCTGAAGAAGGTACCCCCTCGACAGCTATTCGTGAGATCTCCTTGATGAAGGAGTTGGAGTATGAGAATATTGTTACTTTGTACGATGTCATCCACACCGAGAACAAGTTGACCCTTGTGTTCGAATATATGGACAAAGACTTGAAAAAGTACATGGAGACCCACGGTACGAACGGAGCTTTGGATTTGAAAATTGTCAAGCTGTTCATGTTTCAATTGCTTAAGGGCATCATGTTCTGCCACGACAACTCCGTCTTGCATCGTGACTTGAAGCCACAGAATCTTTTGATAAACCAGAAGGGTGAATTGAAGATTGGTGACTTTGGCTTGGCCCGTGCGTTTGGCATTCCTTTTAACACCTTCTCGAATGAAGTCGTCACTTTGTGGTATAGAGCACCTGACGTGTTGTTAGGATCAAGAGCCTACACCACTTCTATCGATATCTGGTCAGCCGGTTGTATCTTTGCCGAGATGTGCACTGGTAAGCCACTCTTCCCAGGAACCGCTAATGATGACCAACTCAACAAAATCTTTCGCTTGATGGGTACGCCGAACGAGAGAACATGGCCAGGCGTCTCTCAATACCCAAATTTCAAAAACAATTGGCAAATATTTGTGCCTCAAGACTTGCGCTTGATTGTGCCTAACTTGGATCCCATGGGATTGAACCTATTGACATCATTGCTACAGATGCGTCCGGAGGCACGTATCACGGCCAGACAGGCATTGCAACACCCGTGGTTCCATGAGATTGCAAATCCTACACCAAATCCGATGATGCAGCCCATGGCGGACCCCTACCAGCACCAACAACAGCAACCACAGCAACAATAAGAGGTAGCTTATCAGTGCGGGAACACTGACGGTGAGCGTTGTCCAGAGAAGTAACAACGCTGCATGCTATTAAGTGGTCTATACACAATTTACATCACTAGAATTATTTGACAGAGTAGGCAAGGGTTGTCTCTGCTTCCACTGAAATACCTAGACTCCCAGCTCAAGACACCAACTACGATTATCCACGCTTCAATCTATCGTTTCATTTCATTAACATTACATGTCGTCTAGCGACTCTATCGACTTGGCCGAAAGAAGCTGTCGTAATATACGCAGCTTAACTTCCAGGGTTAACCAAGCTAGTTCCTGTAGGGTTTCATGGTCCTTGATGGGACAATTTTCAAGTGCACGTTCAGCTAAACTGTAAAGACAATGTAAAGTGTCATCATCCTGTTGCTCTCCATCAGTCGACTTTTCTACCTTAACAATGCACTCAACGTACAGCTTGAAATCGTCAACAGTGTAGTTTATCTGACGTCCACCATGCTTAGCATATACGGGAAACTGTTCATAGGGTAGACGATCGAAGCATGCTCTGAGATAAGGTACTTCGTTTTCAAATTCACACCGGCATGTTTCAATCAAGCTTCTTATCATCAAGGCTTTTTCGTGGCTCAAATGTTTGTAAAGAGAGGTCGGTAGTATCAAGGACGGAGTCAGCAGTTGAATAGGTATTGATTCTGCTTGAGAAACAAGATCCTTTTCTTTAGCTACCTGATCTAGTATATCCTTGGGATCAGTGTTTTCGTCAGCGTCCTTCGCCTTTTTGAGCGCCTCAACTAACACATTGTATCTATAGGATATTAGAGCGTCACGGTGCTCGATCTGAGCAGCAATCTCTTCACCTGTTAAGACTTGAATTCTGGGATACCTCTTCTTGATGATTTCAAAAGCAGCACCGCTCATGAATTTGCGGTTGAGTGTGTCCACATCTATGGCATGTGGCTCATTGAAGACATTGCTTAGTTCCCTCAGTTGCATAACAGTAATCGAGCGAGCAGGTTCCACGGAAGTATCGTAGCCCTCAGCAGCGTTACTAAACTTCTCTAGCCACCCATCTTTCACATTGACGTTGAGATCATGAACCAAAGAATGGTCTAGCACCTTGAGGAAGAGCCATCGGTTATATCCCAGTGAAGGGTCATCTTCGACCAACTTGGGCGCTCTCAACACCTCGTTAAAGTACTTGGACAGCGCGGGAAGGCCATTGGATATACCTGCTAGTAGAAAGATCTCCCATAATATATCGTGTGGTAGTCTTTCGAGGATGGAGTCCGATGTCTCATTCTGCAGCCTTGATGTCCTTGCTCTGCGAACCTTCAGGCGGTCTATAGGAACAGCAAGGATTCTCCTCACAGAAAACTCACGCTTTGGTGGTCGTCTTCCATACTGTTTGCGTCTATATCGAAGGCCTGGAGCCACAAAGCCCATGAGCTGAGGATGAGAAGAGATAATGGCTGCGAAATACATCGCATACTATATACCGCATTCGATGCCCCAAGGGTCGCCCATGAGGCGCTTCAATATTAAAAGTTGCCTAGGCTACAATTCAGTGCTATATTCAATGTAATAAAATATGAACTAGTAGGGGCACTTAGAACTTGCCACCAGCCTTCTCCTTGAACTGCTCCTCGGTGACACCAGCACCCATGGCAGCAGTGGAGGTAACACCACCAGACACCATTCTCAACAAGGAGTCGATGTACTCGGCACCAGACCATTTCTGGTGCTTCACCACCTCGACACCACCCTCGATCTCGGGCTTCTGGACCTGCTGGCCGTAGGCCTTCATACCAATCTCGGCGTAGTTCTTGGAGAAAGAGTCCACAGCCAAGGCGGTGGTGTGCAAACCAGCCAAGGTGATGAACTGCCAGACGTAACCCAACTTACCCAATCTCTTGATGTAGGTCTCCTGGTCAGACACGCTCATGGCGGTGTTCCAGTTGAAAGATGGAGACAAGTTGTAGGCCAACCACTGCTCGGGCCACTTGGCCTTGACACCCTCGGCGAACTCCTTGGCCTGAGCGTAGTCTGGCAAAGCCGACTCCATCCAGATCAAGTCAGCGTAAGGAGCGAAGGCTCTACCTCTCATGACGGCACACTGAGTACCACCAATGTATCTGTAGTAACCCTCTCTGGTTCTGGAAGCGTCCCAGTTGAAGTAAATGTCCTTGCCCAAGATCTCCTTGGCAAGCTTTCTGGCCTCCTTGTGGGAGGTCTCAGACAATGGGTTGACCTTAGCGGTGAACTTGGCAATGGCACCGTCCTTGTCAGAGATGCTGGACTCCTTGATGGCGTCAATGACAGCCTCAGAGAACAACTTGACACCGGCCTTCTTGTTCCACTCGGTCTCAATGGCGGCCAACTTGTCACCGTAGATACCAGAAGCCTCAGCCTCGGCCATCAAAGAGCTCAATTCTGGGGAGTCTGGGTTGGTGGTACCGGCAATGAAGTAGTGGTCTCTGTGGTCAATGGTAGAGGTGATCAAAGTAGCAGCCTCAGAGTCGGTTCTGGCAACAGCCAAAAGGTCAGAGCCGCAGATATCAGCGGAGGCTCTAATGGCAACCAATCTGTTGATGTGCTCCTGGACTGGAACCAAGACCTTACCACCCATGTGACCACACTTCTTGGTACCTGGGGCCTGGTCCTCAATGTGGATACCGGCAGCACCACGCTCAATGAAGAGCTTGGTCAACTTGATGATGGCAGTCAAACCACCGTGACCAGTGTCACCGTCAGCGATGATTGGTCTCAAAAAGTCAGTGTAAGGAGTCTTCTCTCTCTCCTCCTTGGTCATACCCAAACGCTCGGCTCTCTGCTTTCTGTCGTGGAAAAGCTGGGCGAAGAACAAGTGCTCAACCTTGTTTGGCACAGTGTCGTAAGGGTAGTCAGCCAAATCAGGGGATGGCTCGTTAGAGGTGGAGGCGGTGGAAGAACATTGCCAGCCAGAAACGTAGATGGAGTCAACGTACTTGGCCATCTGGGACACGTGAATGGGGTCCAAGGCACCGAAGGTGAAAGAGGCGGTACCGTTCTTGTCGTGTTCACCCAAGAGCTTGTACATCTTCTTAGCCTGCTGGGAAGATGGGTACTCGATCTTCAACGAGCCTCTCTTGGCAGCAATCTCCTCTGGAGAATAGATACGCTTGGTCTTCTTCCAACGGGGCTGAGACCACCACTGCTTGAGCTCAGCGACCTGGTCCTGGAACAAACGCTCTTCTTCGTTGACGTCAATTTTGGTGTAAGGCATGGTTACTATGGAGAAAAAAAAGGTGCGATAGGTGGGAATTTCACCGCTTTATATATTGGGTGAGGTTACCCCAGACTTTCGGCATCTCCGTTCGCCCTGCAGCGACTTTCCAGAGGCCTACCGCGCAAAAGCTGGGGCCTCGGATATGCGGAGGAGCCCGAGTTAGCCAATAGCGGTCCAAGATCAGGGGTGTCAGAGTCAGAGTTTGACATACTCCTGTTCTGACTCCGAAACCTGGTCGGTGGACCGTCTTCCACTTGACTGCGATGGCGAGGGGCGGTCAATCTCAGTTTCTCACTTGGCTCCACTTTTCACATTCTGGCTGCCCGGAACACACGTACTGCACACAGCCCGGCACCACCACCCCAAGCACAAGCGATTTGGCGACATGCCTGGCAACGAACAAGAGGAAAACCGATCCCCGGCGCCGAGCTTCCGCTTATCCGAGGGCACCGCTCATTCACGCCCATAAAAATGAATCAACCCGTTGGACCATTTAAAACCGTCTTGTGACGCCCAACGCTGAAAATACTCATTTTGCGGCTGGCCCTCCTGTAAGCTCGTGCGATTCAGAGTCGTCTTGACTCACTCCAGTCACATGGCCCGGGCCGCGACCGCACAAGACCCGCCTGATCCAGCCATTGTTGCTGGCCTCACAACCGGTGGTTTTTTGTTCTCTCGTGATGGTAGTCCCCTTGCGGTGTTCATTGGTGGTGGTTTCTTCTCCGGAGGCGTTTTTAAAATTTCACGCCCGTTTCGTAGATAACTGTTGGGCTGCTTCTGCAGGGCTGGTTGCAAATTGATGCCCGGCCTCACCGGTTGCCCCGCTGACATCACTGGCTACAATGCTACCGTTCGGACTTGACTCCGACAAGGCCCCTCCCTTATCGGTGAGGCCGAGTGCCCCTCCTTGACGTATTCCGTCTTCCCTTTGCAGGTAGGTACTCGGAACATAAGTCAGGGTCGTCCAGAAGCCGCATTGAAATTTGGGTTTTTAGGAGATTTGGGGGTGTGGAGGGGGTTGGAGCAAAGTGGGAATGGCTTACTGAGATGGGAGAGGGGTGGCTACTATGGAGGGGAGTTGTAGTGGGTGTAAAAGAGGTGATGAAATGGATGGTTGAGCAGTGCAGCTATGGAGAAACTGAGCCGCTCCGTAGTCGCATAGCAGGTAAGGTCTAGTTCTCAGATCCCAGAAATGGAAAGCGTAATTGTGATTTGAGGAAGACCGAAGATCTTCGGATCTCTTAACTCACACCAAGTGTAGGTTATAACTTCAATAATCAACGACTTGAGACGGTCAATCGAGCGTGCAGCTCCAATCTGGGTGGTTAGCCCAGGCTGCTTTGAACGAAAGCATGCGATAAACAACAGGATTGTCACTTCTAGAGTTGCTGACAGTCAGACCAGGAAAAAAAAATTGTTCAGAATTAAAATAAAGATTTGTTGTGTAGTACGGCAACGCTCCTCCATCTGCTTATCAGTGTAGACGGTCGAGGCCAGGGCTCAAGTACACAACCGTGGACTGGTCCAAATCGTCAAGACTGGAATATCATTGGCTGGTTGAATTGTGACTTTTTGTGTTCTCTCTGATACTAACAATTTTGGATATCCCTCAATATTTACGACAACAGCGCCACAGTGACAGCAGTTTATTGCCGGCAGTTCACGCCGTGGTCTAATTAAGTGTCTTGCGCAGTGATTTTCGTGTCTTCCGCTCATCCATACTCCGACACCGAGATATCACCGAATTCACCGAATCTGTCACGGATCGCTCGCTAGCCATACTGGACCATGATGGATGAACGGAGGCGGATTTAGGGGCCAGCCTCGAAGTCTGGAAAATCCCGGAAAAACTCTAGTTGACAAAATTGACGAGATAGGAGACTTTCATTGGCTCAGTCCATCCGCAGGTCTAGTCTCGGTGAATAAAAGCAGACCGTAGTATTATAAGCAGTTCGTAAGTCAATTTATTATGATGTTCCGGGCACATTAGCTTGCAATATAGGGCTCCCCGCTATAGATTTTGTGTTTGAATGGGGTTTCTCATCGTTTTGCAACCGCTTTTTTCATGAAAGCCTCGAAGTAGTCAGCTAGTATTAAAGGTCTGATGCTGTCAACCAAGCTTGCCTAAACTTCTAGGATGCTCCTTTCAAATTCCATAACAACATCTTCGTTTTCTTTTCAACAAGGGTATCTTCCATGATTTTTCCTCCCAAATCTTATTCCTTCGCTTAGACTACCTTACCGTTTGTTGCCGATCATTGGACACCGGGATGAGACCACTTGCAATCCGTCTGCACTGCCTCACCTCTCGTTTAAACAAAATGCTTGGATCATGGGTGCTTGTTGAAAACTCATCTCATTGTTCGTTTTTTTTCTTCACAAATTTTTTTTTTTTCCTTTGTTTACCAACCGAGCCGGCCTCACCTTCTCATGGTAGATCGCACTGCATTTCTAGATACTACACTGTCAATGATAGAGTCCTACATTCCCCAGGAGTACCTCCAGTACTTCCAGTACTTTCCGGATGCCCAGAAGGTGACGAATGCTATCATCCTGCTGACCCCTTTGTTCACCTACGGGTTGGCCTGCTGGGGAATATATAGAAACAAGTCCTCCATGGGCTTTTCCATAGACATCTGCTTGTCCATGCTTGTGCTGTCCATCCTCAGGATCCTATATTACTTTGTGACTCCATACGAGATATCGCTACTACGCCAGTCATTTTCCATGGTTTTCATCCAGTGTTTGCTTCTAAGAACGTCGTTGAAGTACAGACCGAGTAACTACAACCCGGATAACTTACCGGAGCTTCCAGACTTGCTGGAGGAGCTAAGCCAGGTTCCAAAAGCATTGGTATCTCCCTACTCGTACGACCAGTCAGAATTCTACATCCACCTGATCTCGTCGGTGCTTCAGTGGATATCTGTTTGGGGCAAGCAGGGACTTCGGCTTTTTGACGTTTACTACAAGAGGCCTGGGTGTTTCTGGCAATGGATAGAGCAACACAAATATTGGCTGTTCATTGGCAAATTCACGTTGCTTTTCACGGTTCTTACTGTGTTCTTTCAAAAGTCAGATGCATTTGGTTCCACCATAGGCTTTATTGGTCTCTTCGTCGAGTCGCTCCTTCCACTCCCACAAATATTGCTCTTGAATAGACTTGGCCTGGTCAAAGATTTCAAACTGGTTTTATTGGTCCTGTGGCTCTGCGGTGACCTTACCAAATTGAGCTACTTGTTTTTCGGAACGTCCCAAATCTCCATCATATTTATACTCGCAGCATTGTTCCAAATGAGCTTGGATCTCGTCATTCTTTACCAATATTTCCATTTCAAAAAGTCTGATCAGGCTGCTCCTGAAATCCCCTTGTACAACATCCCCTCGTCATAGATTCATAGATGAATGTTAATACTAATACTAGAAAACTACAATCAATTGATGGTCATATGTATATGAATTTCGTAAAAAAAAAAAAAATAACGTAACTATATTAAATAAACTTAGCACACACTGAGGTACTCAACATTCTCCTTGGCGCTGTTGATCAAGTCAGCCGCGTCCCTGCCGCTGATTCCGTGCTTAACCTTTATGTGCCTCGACAAGGCGTCGCCTCTAGAGAATGTCTTCGACTTGCCATTACCTGCTCCTCCATGCTCGCGTCCTTCGCAAATCACACAACGGAATATCTTCTTCTTTGCCGCATGTATGGTCTCCTGATGTCTGATCAAATCGTATGGTCGACTGAAGTGCTTGTGACAAGGCGTTCCAGTAGATGGATTGATCATAGTACATTCATGCGTTGGGTTGTTGGCGGTTATCTCTGCTGCTGTGATATGGTGATCTGTGAATGGCTGCTGGGGCATGGACCTGGGCTCGTCTTCCCTCTTGAATAAATCAACATGATTGTGGTTGCCGTGAAGGTCCTCAACCATGACGTTTTCGTTGTCTGCCTTAAATGCAATCTCCTGCTCGCTGCCGTAATCCATGCTATCAGAAGTTGGAGCTCTCTGTAGCGTCTCCATAAAGCCACCTACCTGAGGAGCCTGGGAAGGTTCCTCGAGAGGCGAGCGGAATGGAGCAAAGCCAGCTGGGGATGGGAACTGCAACTGGGGTTCAGCTGCAGATTCCATCATGTCATCAAAATCATCATCCTGGAAGTAGTTGTCATCATCCTCGTCATCGGAGTCATCACTGAAGTCGGACTCCTCGGCGAGGTTGTCCATCATCACGTAATCACTTTCGAATCCAGGAACTGGAACACTTGCAGGGCCAGTGCCTAGATGAGATGACTTATCTAGGTCGCTGTCCATGATGAAAAATGAGTCGTCAGTGCAGTTAGGGTAAAATGAGCTGTTATTAGTCATCAATGAAGATGGCTGAATGTCAGTGTTAAACAAGTAGAAATCTTCGTCGTTGTACTTCTTGACGTTTCCAACATCAGGCTGCTCTAGCGTTGTGATGCGTCTCCTTCTAGCGGGGAAGGTGTTTCTCTGGAGAACCTCTGGTCTGACGAAATGCTGCTGGGATGGGGATGGGTATAACTGAGCGTTGCTGTCGGGTAGTAGGTCATCGCTAGCAGCGTTCTGGTTCAATGCATCGGTGTCGTATTTGGAGTAGTCGTTGGAGTCAAGGAGAAGGTTGGGGATCGTGGAATTCACCTGTGAGCTGGAGCCGTTGACACGGTTGTAGTGCTCGACAAACGACTCAGGGATATTGAGCAAGTTTGACAAGGTCTGTGCAGCGGAGGATGGATTCTGAGCGGGATTCAACGATGGCGAAGAGCCAGCCATGCCACCAGGGGCGGGCTGGTACAAGTCATCATCCATAACATCTGTTATAGTCTTCTTGAGAGGGGGTAACACTGCCAAGGAGGTCATTATTTCTTCGACGGTTTGAAAGGTCTGTCTAGACAGGTCTGACAAGGCGAAAAAACGAGTGTTAGGGGAAGTTTGGGTCGAAGATTCGGCTGTCGATTCCACAGAAGCTTATGGAAGGATAGCGAAGGGCTTCGAGTGCTGACAAGTAAAAATAGCTTTTTAGAAGTACGGAATTCAGAAATGAACTCAGTAGACACACCAGACGTGATACGTGGTGTGGGTGGCGAAAGTGGTATAAAAGTAAAAAGCTATAGTGTAAAAAAAATCACACTGAGAAATGGTGGCAAATATATAGAGCTTACTAATGCAGGCTGAGGTGGCGTGCAGCACTGAAGCCTCAGTGCTGAGATAAGACATATTGGGTGCGAAACGCAGGTGAAAAAGCACCAAGGTCCTCTGAAACTGGGTGTACAACGTAGCTATGAAAATATAAATTATACTGGCAAGATCCTGGAAGCGCCAGCTTTACTATGGTGCAATCCATATTTCTATAAAACCATTCTACCTCGAAGCGACCCGGACGCTCCCTGTGGATGTGACTTAGTAGGTCACAAACTTTCTCCGTGTCCGAGCGCGAAAAGGGCCCAACCTAGCCCTGCTCGAGTGCTACCGCCGAATTGCTCGCCGCATTTGGCTTTCTCCGATGCCTGTCCGAATCAGCAAAATGACTCATTTGATAATACACAACCAGTTGAGATTTGCTTGGGATGCAAAGCAATGAAATTTGCCACCCAAATAAATCGTCTATCATTGTAAGATTATTTTTTTTTCTATCTGGAGCTTCACACGTGGACTCTGTATGCTCCGCACGAGATGCTGTAGACCAGGCTATTTTGCCATCCGGCTGGGAAGTGAGTCACCCCAATTCGGGCCAGTCCGGGGTTGTAGCACCTCTTTGTTTGTTGTGATCGTCTTTGCCTGCAAGGAATCTTCTGTAATCAAATCTGGAAAATGGCTGCGAATTCAATGACAATGCATCAGGGGTGTAGCTTCATTGCTCAGTCGCAACCTAGGGCCGGAGAGGCTAGAATGCTGTTTCAGCCACAAAGATGAGATCAAGGGATGTCGAGGACCAGGGGATCTGTGCTGTGCGTTTGGCCACCCAGATGCACCAAAGCCAAGGGCTACCTCGACCCCGGGGTTATCGGGCGCGGAGAAGGACGGGAACGGCTGGCTTTCTTGGAATTGATGAAACGACCCAAGGAACTCAAGGGTGGCACTCAAAAGTATCCGATAAAGTATCCGGAGGTCATTTGCCGGTCAGTGACCCCTGGTTAGGTGCCCCAAGGGAGTTCCGAAGACCTTCTAACGGTGAATGCATAGTTCATTGCTTCGATCGGGGTTCGCTAGGGCAGCATCGAAACGACGTTTATGGGCTTCGAATCGATGAGTTGATAGTGGGCCCTTTCTTGATTCGACTTTAAGTCCCTAGAAGTCATCAAAAATTTTTGAGTTAGAGCTTCGATTGAGAACCATGACCCTCCATGGCCACTTTGGCGATTCCCTTCTTCGCCAACTCCTCGTCAAGATAGTACATCTCCTTCAGTAGGTTACCTTGCTCGTCCAACTCAAATACGAGCGGCACCCCGGTAGGTGCATTGATCTTGCTGATGGCCTCATCACTCATCTTGCAGAAGTGCTTGATGAGACTTCTCACAATGGATCCGTGAGTAACGATTAAAACCTCCCTTTCTTGTTTTAGAGTCTCATTTTTCACAATATCATCCACATAAGGAACCACCCTTCTTATGGTCATCCGAAGCAGCTCTCCCTGAGGCAACTTCTCAACGGGTATATCACTGAACTTGTATCTCTCGTCAATCGACTCATCGTTATCGACACTGCCTGTCTCTGGAGGCACGCCATCGACGTTTCTTCTATAAAATTGGTACTTCTCCTTGCCGAATTCCTTGAAAACCTCGTTCTTATCTCTACCCTGGAACAGTCCATAGTGCCTCTCGTTGAGCCGCCACAGTTTATACTGGGGGATCCACATACGACCGATTGTTTCCAAGATAATGTTGCCCGTCTTGATCAGCCTCTGAAGCATCGACGTAAACATCACATCAGGCCGTATGTCGTACTTTTTCAATAGTTCACCAGCGTGTTGCGCCTCTTTTTCACCTTTCTCGGAAAGCGGGATGTCGATCCACCCACAAAACTTATTTTCATGGTTCCACTGACTCTCACCGTGGCGGAGCACTACTAACTTATGCATATTGGTGGAGTAGTGGTATGGAGAAGTGATCTGGTGTTGATAAGTACTTGCTTCCATCACGTGTGTGCAGCGCACCATCGGGTGAGTCTCCGGTTAGATCTTGTGTCTATACTGGATCGTGATTTCTAGTAATTGATTAATCTGAGGAATTCAGCCTAAAAATCAAGTAAGATTTCGTTTCTTTTGTGTGGGCATGTCAGACATGTGCTGATGTCTCGGACTGATCTCATGCGACTATGTTTTGCATCCATCAGACCGCGGATATGAGTACCTTAGGTTATCACAACGAGGTACGTTTCAATTTTGAAATCATATATATAAAGTTTTCGATTTCAAAACAGTCGATAACACCCTGCACGTGTATTCAGTCAAATACACGGAGGTCGGTGAGTTCTTGATCATCTCGCAGAAACCATACAAAGAGGTCAGGAATTACAGATGTTACTTTGTGAATTGTATAGGTCTCAAGTTGAATACTCTTCAACATCGATAAAAACATTCGGCTATCTTCTTTTACTGATCTCAGGTCCCTACCTTCGGTCATGTTGTTAGATCTCACCTTTTGCCATGAACTTCTGCTTTCGACATGGCATTGAGTCGTAAATAGAGCTGTATGTGGAATTCTACGTGACCGCAGTGTAATTGAATAGGGATGATGGCACAGATTGGATTATGAGGTTGAAAGACGAATGATCCCCTCCACACTACGCAACTAGGGACTAAGTTAAGTGATAGTGATTAATCAGCAACGCAAAGGCGTTGACAATCTTGCAAATCCTGGATTTTCAAAGAATTATTCCTGTTGCCCGGAATGGTTTGTTGATATTTTCCGAGACCTTATTAAGCGGAATGATGTCAAAAACGCCTGCTTATGCACGTTGGAAACCGTATTTGTCAGAAAAAAGGTATGGTCCGGAGATATGCATGGCGGTTAAGAAATTGTAGGTTTTTTTTTCCTCCAGTGCAATTAGTGAGGACTAGCACGAAAGAGGACTAGCACGAAAGAAAAAAAAAAAAAAGGCCTTTTTCGAGTGGGTACCCAAGAAATTTATACACTAAATGTAGAGACCATCTATATTGTACATTATACATTTGTTCTATCGGACTAATGCTTCATCGGGAAGTGTGCTCCAGTTATGCATAGGCGTCTCGGAAAAATTCCCAATGAGGACCATTTCCGGTCATAATCTGCAACAAACGAAGCAATGGCTGCGAAAACCGTTTACTCGGCACTGCGGCTCCGAGTATATAAAGCCCTGGTTATCCCATAAATTCCTCTTCATAAAACAAACAGCATCGATAATTATGACTACAGTTTTGGTTTCCGGCGCCTCCGGCTTCATCGCATTGCACACCGTTCAAGAACTCATCAAGCAGGGCTACACTGTTGTGGGTTCCGTCAGAAGCTCTGAGAAGGGCGAATACGTCAAGAACGCTTCCGGTAACCCAGAGAAATTCTCTTATGAGATCGTGAAAGACATTGCCGAGATGGGTGCCTTCGACGAATTCGTCAAGAATCACCCAGAAGCTACTGTTTTCTTGCACACCGCCTCGCCATTCCACTTCAATGTCACTGACGTTGAGAAGGACTTGCTCCAGCCAGCAATTCGTGGCACCAAGTCGGCATTGCAATCCATCAAGGACCACGGCTCTAACATCAATAGGGTTGTTGTCACTTCATCCTACGCTGCAATTGCATCGGCTGAGATGGATCTGAAGGCCGGTAAGGAGTACGATGAGACCTCCTGGAACGACATCACCTGGGAGAAGGCTCTTGAGAACCCACTTGTCGGATACTACGGTTCCAAGACCTTCGCCGAAAGAGCAGCATGGGAGTTCGTTAAGGAGCAGAAGCCTAACTTTGTGCTTTCCACTGTCAACCCAGCCTACGTTTTCGGTCCTCAGCCCACCGATGATTTTAACTCTGAAAAGTTGAACACCTCCTCTGAAATCATCAACGCCGCTATAAAGCTCCTGAGCCCTAACGCCGATGTTTACCCTGTCAACGCCTCTGCTGTGGATGTTCGTGATGTCGCCAAGGCTCACCTTGTGGCTTTTGAGAAGGAAGAGGCCAAGAATGAGCGTTTGGTCTTGATCACTGGTCTGTTCACTCAGCAGGATATACTAGACGTTTTGCACAAGGAGTTCCCTAAGCAGGCCGAGAACATTCCAGTGGGTACGCCAGGCTCGCAGAAGGAAGAGATCAAGACAAGATGTACTCCAAGAAACGACAAGACTAGAAAGATCTTGGGCTTCCCATTGATCTCCATCGAGCAGACCATTGCCGATAGTGCTCAGCAGATCTACAAGGTTGAGAACAAGCTTTAGAAAGACAATAGAATATAGAGTATCACATAGAGTAAACGCTTTTATGTTTAGAATACGAATACATCGAAATTTAGCCTAGGGCGATGAGTTAGGGGTTGTAGAGAAGAGAGATTTCAGATAGATGTGGGACTCTGGGCTTCAGGTGAGGCTGAGAAGATAAATCGACAACAAAGTCGGCTTTTAATTTCTTGAAACATTATTGATTGCTGATTGTGGCAGAAGCTCTTTTTCCTATGAATCATAATTTCACGAGGCTGGGCGGGTTTGCCACTAAAGTGGTTCGCCCAATTCCACAATTATGACTGTTGCAAGGTGTGGCCTTATTCCGTTGTTTCCATCCTGAAAGACCATGCAAGTTTTGACCCACCAGCATAGACAATACAGAATTAATGTATTGATCTCGGCTGCTTCTGGAAATAATTCACCAGCCACGATGCCGTGGAAGCCAAGTCAGAAACCTCGGTACCATTGTTGAAACGAACGCCTCTACTAAAAACCTGACGCCTTCAACGCGACAGCAACGCCTCTTTCAAATATGAAAAAATATTTACAGCTAAAACCAGCTTAGGCGAATTATCTATGCATTTGCTCCAAACCTTATAGACCGTTTACGGCCATCTGGGCCGTTTCAGGAAGATTACGCTTCTGCGCCAAGCGGCTCAGAAATGACAATGCTATTATACGACTAGACACCATAATAAGCCAGCCTATAACTATCCTCTAAAAGTGTCTCACCAAAAACTTCTGGACAATTTCGATGACTACCACAAATCTAAAACTACAATCGGAAAAAAAATGGCCAATTTCAGGCCTTCCATTTGACATAACGTGTAGAGCCACACGGCTGTTCTTTTCGGCTTCAAGGCTTCCTGTTTGGGCAGACGGTTGCACTGATGCCATGGATGCAAACCGTATTGTTCCCATGTTACATTTTTGAACCGCACCCGGCCACCCCACTTATCCGGCCGCCAAAAAGCTGTATTCAAAGGGAACAGCGTTTTTAAAGCTTTTCAATAACAGGAAAAACATAGAGTTTGAAAAATTCCCTACTTTTTCATGTACATGTCGATACACCTGGCCAACGGAATAACCGGTTCAGATGTAACCTCTTCGCACGGTTTCTTTTTCCTGTCATCCCACCTCGGCTGCAGCCACTCTACAACTATATAAACAAGACTTCTGCTCTGTTTTCTCATGATGTAGCTTTCTCCTAGCCACCTGGTCTGCGCACGATGACCTCTACCCTCACCATCCAACCTACCCGCATCCCTGTCACCGTCATCCACTCTCCAGACATGCCTTCCGCTTCCAAAGTTTCCGAACGCCCATACACATGGCCCGAGGTCAAGGATATTGTCAGATACAACGACCTTGATGCGTTTGCACGCCTGGGGCCCAGACCGAGAGCTACTTGGCTTTCAAGAGATTGTTGAAGCAGCAGAATCTGACTGTGTTTAGGCACATTGTCACCCAGACTTTGGGCTGGAGACGCTTGGAGGAGTTGGACGGCGTCAAGGACGACAAGATCACTGTTGAAGCTTCCGGAGATCCCATCTTCACCAACCCGGATGACCTCAAGATCGTCAGAAATGACTTTCCCTACTATTTCGAAGACGACGTCACACATCTCTGTGTGTGGACCAAGAAAAAAATTGAGAGTGATCCAAACTCTTCCATTGGTGACCTCTCGCAGGAGACTAGAAACATTATAGAGCGCTACGTGGACCAGACGTTTGTCAAGGGTCTCGGGATCCCCGGGAGAACTTGGTATGGTTCCGTAACTGGGAAGCCCTCCAGAGCGTCAAGGAGATCAGCCACGTCCACGTGGTGGTCAAGGGCATGACTAGAGAGCAGGTTGCTCAGGTATTGGGCACTCCTGGCATTCCTTTGAAAGCATAGTCTTTCGAGTTATTCGTATACCCGGCATCAGCCACAGCATCTTAGAGGTTTTATTTATTTTAGATATTGTATTATTAGCATCTTGGGAATGGAAATAGAGTGAAATCAGTGTAGGTTTTGTCGGTTGCACTTGTGTGAAATGGTTGACTACCACTAGCGTCTAGCGAAAGAGATGAGTGTGTGGCAATGGCAGGTAATGACTCATGGTCCTATAGTTGCTAACATTGATTTAAATCAGACGGGAAGCATTGAATCTCCATTAGGATTTCATTCTTAGTCGCTTGAGGACCCGAGTTCCAGGATCAAGTGCTCTCTAGGTGTGGCACCTTAACGGAATCCACCACGGAAACCAGTAACCCCTATTTTGTTCTGAAAACGAGGGACTTATGTGGAGCAATTTTAACACTTCAGCTATACTTTTGTGAAGTTAAGATTGTCAAGTGGCTGTATAGCCTAGGGATTAGTAATTTGCAACCCCTACTTAACATCCAAAGCAAGCTTGAAGCTTTGCATTTTTAAATTCTCATAATATTCAAAAGATTGCCTCCTGAAATTGACCAAGGCAAGCTTCAAAAGTGCATTCAGTGCTTTACCAGATCTACAACGGTGTATCCAACTCTTCTACCTTCTACCATTGAACTAAGCAATGGCCTTTCAAAAAATCTCTATAATCAGCTGCCCACAGTAAAAATAATTTAAAGCGCCAAATGCCCACAGTAAATGACCCCTGTATCCACCCAATTTTCATAGCAAAAGATCGCTACATGGTAGACATATAGCGAGGCACTTGAGGCGGTATGTGGGATGAACAACATTCCAGAGACAAACCACGGTTTTCACAACAACGACGACATGATTTGCAAACATTCTTAATTCCACACATTTTGACTGGTTTTCAGGTAGACTTCCCTCAGCTTAATTCTCCATACATTGGCTGTACTAGAAGCCTAGGCCACATGGCAGGTTGTGCAGTCAATTGCCTCAAATTGACCCCCTCATAATGAGCGCTTTACTATGAATGACCAATCTACCTCCCTCTGGGTCTAGGCCAATCATAGCCTTTGAACACTGTCGATCATCAACTGAGTCCACAAATGGCACCAAACTTGCTCTCAGTCAACCAATACTCTACAAATGCGTTTCTCATTCATCATAAATTCAATAATATACAAATACCCAGAAGTGAACTTAACCACCGAAACCGTACAAGGTTCTGCCCTGTCTCTTCAAAGCGTAGACAACGTCGAGAGAAGTAACAGTCTTTCTCTTGGCGTGCTCAGTGTAAGTGACAGCGTCTCTGATGACATTCTCCAAGAAGGACTTGAGGACACCTCTGACCTCCTCGTAGATCAAAGCAGAAATACGCTTGACACCACCTCTTCTGGCCAATCTTCTGATGGCTGGCTTGGTAATACCTTGAATGTTGTCTCTCAAGATCTTTCTGTGACGCTTAGCGCCACCCTTTCCGAGACCTTTTCCGCCTTTTCCTCTACCAGACATGTTTAATAAATGTGTGTGTTATATGAGAAAAAAAAAGAAGAGCTTTACAATGCGAGCGGACTCGCGCTATATATGTGTGGGTGGCGAGACCCGGGGTCCCTAGGGGGGGCTCACATTTTTTTTTTTCTCAGTGTTCCGATTGCGGCACCCAAGTAAAGAGCCTCACAATTTGTGCCTCCACTTCCATAGTAATGCGTAGTGAGCATACTGGGGCAGGTTTTTTTTGTACACTTCTGTGCGCGGGAAAAGTCGCTTCAGTGTGCGAAGCAAGCCTGACACGAGCTTCCGGTGTACGGGTGCGCGCTTGAAACACCCCAAAAGATGTCTTTTCGCAGTGCCATGATATACACTAGGCGTGAGTAAAAAATATACCTAGCTTTTGGTCGCACTCTTTATCTTTTCGTTGGCACAAAAGAAACTAGCGTTATCCTGCGGAGACCCGGGGTGTTTGTATACAGCCTGCACACACGCACGAGTCTACATTCTATATAAACAGATCCCTTCCCACCACCTCAATTTCTCATCATCAGCAAATATGGCTAGAACTAAACAAACAGCTAGAAAGTCTACCGGTGGTAAGGCCCAAGAAAGCAGTTGGCTTCCAAGGCCGCCAGAAAGTCTGCCCCATCTACCGGCGGTGTCAAGAAGCCTCACAGATATAAGCCAGGTACCGTTGCCTTGAGAGAAATCAGAAGATTCCAGAAGTCTACTGATCTCTTGATCAGAAAGTTGCCTTTCCAGAGATTGGTCAGAGAAATCGCTCAGGACTTCAAGACCGACTTGAGATTCCAGTCCTCTGCTATCGGTGCTTTGCAGGAGTCCGTTGAAGCTTACTTGGTCTCCCTCTTTGAGGACACTAACTTGTGTGCTATCCACGCCAAGAGAGTCACCATCCAGAAGAAGGACATCCAGTTGGCCAGAAGATTGAGAGGTGAGAGATCCTAAGCGGGTCCCCTTCTATTTACTTCGTTCCATGTATTATTTATGTTTTGTATATTAGTAACGTCACGACTTCATAATTTGTTCATTGTAGGTTCCCATTTGGTGGCAAATTGCTGTATTGCTAGTGGCATGACTGCTTCGCCTTTGAAGTTGACGTGTTTGATGACTGGTATGTGCACGAGTTTGCAGCCACTCAAACCACCCACTTTTCTAGAATTCACTACAGTTTAAGTAACAAGTGGTGATTCTTTCACTATAAATCTTCAAATTTTAAAAGATAGTTTAATCATTCAGGCTTCCTTCGACACTAGAACGGGTACACTGCGGGCTCAGTTCCTGGAACATAACCACGTCTCTCCTGTTCCTCTGCCTTTTCTGCCAAATAGGGCAAAATGACGTCTTTAAACTTTTCATATCCCCTATACTCTCTCACATCATCACTCCAACTTTCAATACCCTCTAGAAGCCTCCGTGGGATGTATGGCTCTTTGCAGATGTCAGTAATAGGAGCAAAGTATGTTCTGATGGTGAAAACCACAGCTCCGGTTTTAGGAAGTCTCCTCAAACTCTGTCTCTCCGACCTGTAGAATAATTGCTCCGGTGTCGTGGCCTTGTCTGCGGTGTACCAACCCACAGTGTCCGAGTTTTCATTTCCGATTGACTTGGACCAGCCTAAGACATCGTCGAGCTGAATGAAGTAGTTGTTCCTGACGACCGGTTTGTCGCAGGTAAGACGAGTAAAGAATTTGGACATTCCCGTCTGCAACTTCTGCTTGTACTGTGGTACATCACCGGTGGTATGGATTTGGTTCAACGAAAGACCGAATTTGTCTCTGAATCTCCAAAATCCGGGAAGAATGATAGCACCCGCTTTTAAAAAGTACTCACCAGTGGGTCCTTCCATCATGATCGCCAAGTCATCCTGGACCATTTTTGCTGCCATTACCATTGGGTCCTCGGCCATATCGCTGGGCTTACAACCTCTGAACACAAATTCCTCGCCTGTCTTCAAATTCTTGAGACCTCTTGGAGTTTGCTGAAAGAGAGAGGGGTATTTCACTGGCAAGTAGCCCCAAAATTCATCTAGGAGTTCAAACACAGCGGCCTGAGCTTCAGGCTTAGTGTCATAGAGCTCAGTTCCTCTTTCTTCAAGCCTCTGTACCTTGGCGTCATGAAATTTGGGCCACTCATTATCAAGCTCAATCCACGAGTCCCATTCCATGTTACGAATCCCCATTGTGATGTTGTACTTGTTTCTGAAGGCCCTGTATGGCAAGGGTTTCGTTTTTTCGTAATCCCAATTTGGGTATGGTGGAGGGACGGGAGTTTTGTAATCTTCGGGAACCCATGTGCCGTTTTTACGATTCTCATTAGGACTCTTTTTGATGGTCTTCTTAGGACTGGACCCCGTCAGATGCTTGTAGCCCTTATGTGACTTGAAGTAGAGGGCTAGACCAACTGCTCCAATCAAATAAACATAAAGCTTGATTTCTGAGAATGAAATCATATTCTATCCAATAGAAAATAATAGAATTTCAAGCATTTATAGTCCCCCTGAATCTCTTATATAGATCTTATCACCCAGATTTCGCAACCGATAGGATGCGCACAAGCCTGCCTAAATTGGTTAGATTATCCGCCTCGCTTAAGCTGGTGGGAGGAATGCCGCAAAAAGGGCAGGCTGTACGACATTCCATACTATGAAATATCCAAAAATCACCTTTTTAGCTATTGGAAAGTCGTTGTGGACCCACAATCCCGCCACAAGCCAGTACACCAACGGAAGGAAGGTGTGGATTCTTGTAACGATCTGAACATGCCAGAAGAGTAGGAGTGCTAAAAGAAACACACCACCCACTAAGGAAACCGGCAAGATCCTGTTCACAGGATAGATGTGGGTAAAATATTTGATGCTCAAAGCCAGAAGGCCAATTGAAGGAGCACCAAATAAAAAGTTGGGAATATTATTTGGAGTCCAGTATTTGAATAAGCCATTGTTCCAGTAATGGCTCTGGGCATATGCAAAAAGCGAAGGTATTGTCTTAGAGCACCACTCGCCACGGGTGCCTGGCAAGCAAATTTCGACGTAGTTGTAAACATTTGACATAAAGAAGGCCAAACCTAGGATCAGACCAGTGACTAACGGAAGCCATGGCGCTGAGGTACTGAACCTGACCAAATCGTAGATGTATATGAATCCTAGAAGAAGGCAATTTGCTCTGAAACCAAAAGCTAGTGCCGCAGCGAGCCCACTAAGCACATAAAGCACCTTTTTAGTATCTGACTTGGATTTTGCACCCACGACGAACTCAAGACTCTTCTCTCGTAGGCCCAAGCAGGTGAAACTGAACAAGGCAGCGATACTTTCGGAATATGGAGCAGTCAAAAAGGCGGCACCCGGCAGAAGGATAAAGAAAAACGCCGTCAATTCTGCCATCTTCTGTGGGGGAAAGAGCCTGGCCTGGTTGAAAAGAATGAATGTGTAGTGGTAGAGCATCACAGCGGCCGCAAAATGGCAGATATTGGAAAGCCCCGTCGCATATATCAAGCGGTGGTAAAAAATCACGTTGGAATTGACTGGAATCATTCTAACGAGTCTCCACCAAAGAGGGCAGAAGACGAACTGATGCTCGTAAGTCAAGCCATTGGCGAAAAGATCCGCAAAGTACACGGCATCCCATGTAACAAACTTATCAACAACATCATCTAGAAATGAACGAACGAAGTTTCGGAGTAGGGTGTCGATGGGTTTGATCGATGTCAGTATACCGTTCACTAGAAGGTCTTTCTCTGGGGCGTATTTTTGTAGAAGCACATTGGACAGGATATCGAATTGACCGGGCAGGAGGTAAAATATAAGCAAATGAAGCAACTTTACGGCCAAAAAGACCAAGAATAAGCGCCTGGTAGCCATACTCAGTGGAGTACTTCTCGATGCTCTGATACACACAGTCGAGGTCTCATCACGTGCACCAAACACGGTTGATCGTGGTATTTCTATTTTATTAAACCATGGCACTCTATCTAATTGATTTCTAGTGGTCCCGTGACTGAATGTGATTATTTCTTAGTGGTGAACTGGGCAGCAAAAGAGTCAATGATGCCCGCGACCGAACCAGGGTTAGCCAAGGTGGTGATGTCACCCAACTGGTCGGCCTCGTTCAGCGAGATCTTTCTCAAGATTCTTCTCATGATCTTGCCCGATCTAGTCTTTGGCAAGTCCTGGACAATAATGACGGACTTGGGGCGGCGAAGGGACCAATCTCCTTACGCACCGTCAAGATCAACTCTCTTCTAAGGTTGAAGGCCTCCTCCGAGGTCTCGTTACCGTTGATGGTGGTGAGGTATTCGTCCTTCAAGGCAACGTAAGCCACCACGGCCTGGCCAGTCAAGTCGTCGTTGATACCAACAACAGCAGCCTCAGAAACACCAATGTGCTCGATCAAAGCAGCCTCGATCTCAGCAGTGGACAATCTGTGGCCAGAAACGTTAACAACATCGTCGACTCTGCCTCTAATCCAGTAGTAGCCATCGTGGTCACGAGCAGCACCGTCACCTGTGAAGTAGTAGCCTGGGTAAGGCTTCAAGTAGGTGTCCATGTACTTGGCGTGGTTCTTGTACACGGAACGGGCCATGGAGGGCCATGGGCTCTTGACAGCCAACACACCTTCGACATCGTTGCCGTGGATCTCCTGGCCAGACACCGGGTCGATAAGGCAAGCGTCAATACCGAAGAAAGGCAAAGAAGCAGAACCTGGCTTGTTAGGAGTGACACCGGCAACTGGAGCAATAAGGTGGGAACCAGACTCTGTCTGCCAGTAGGTATCGGAGAGGTGACACTGGTTCTTGCCCACCTTCTCGTTGTACCATTCCCAGATGTCAGGAGAAATAGGCTCGCCGACAGAACCCAAGGTTCTCAACGAGGTCAAGTCGTACTTGCCAATCTCGGCCTCGCCAGCCTTTCTCAAGAGACGCAAGGCAGTAGGAGCCACGTAGAAGTGGGTGGCCTTGTGCTTCTCGACAATCTGCCACAAACGGCCGTAGTCTGGGTAGGCTGGGGTGCCTTCGAAAACGATGGTGGGGATACCCAACGACAAAGGACCGTAGAGGGCGTAAGTGTGACCGGTAATCCAACCGACATCACCAGCAGTGAAGAGGACATCCTCAGGGTGGACGTCAAAAATGTACTTGGTGGTCATGGCAGCACCCAAAAGGTAGCCACCGGTGGTGTGGACCACACCCTTTGGAGTTCCGGTAGATCCGGAAGTGTACAACAAGAACAATGGGTCCTCGGCGTCAACAGACACGGGAGGCAAGTAGCCAGGGAACTTGGCAGCCTCCTCGTGCCACCAGAAGTCTCTGGACTCGTCGAAAGCGACTTCTGGGTTACCGGTACGGCTGTGGACCAAGACCTTCTCAACAGAAGGACATTGAAGCAAGGCCTCGTCACACAACTTCTTGATGTTGATGGTTCTGCCACCTCTCTTACCCTCGTCACAAGTGATCAAAGCCTTACAGTTGGCGTCGTTGACTCTGTCCTTGATGGAACCAGAGGAGAAACCAGCGAAAATCACCGAGTGGACAGCACCCAAACGGGCCACAGCCAACATGGCAATGACGGCCTGGGCGTTCATGGGCAAGTAAATGGCCACATTGTCGCCCTTCTTGATGCCCCAGGATGCCAAAATACCAGCAGTCTGACACACCTCTCTCAAAAGCTGGGCATACGTTAAAGTACGAGAATCGCTCTCATCGTCGGCCTCACAGATCAAGGCGGTTTTGTCTGGGTGAGCGTAGGCCCATCTGTCCACGCAGTTGTAGGAAGCGTTCAACTGACCACCGACAAACCAGTGGGTATCACCGTGGAGCAAATCGCCAGCCAGAACCTTATCAAAGTCCTTATCCCAGGCCAACAATTCACGGGCCTGTTTGCCGAAAAACTCGTCTGGGTTGTCGATCGACTGCTTGTACAACTTCTGGTACTCGTCGATCGAGGTAATGTGGCCCTGGCGGGGCTGTCTTTGGTAGAACTCGTCTGGGGTGTTTCTTAACGAGACGTTGTTGGCCTCGTGCACCACCTTGTGGGATGGGGCCGAAGTCATTTTCAATTTCTTGTGCTGGGATATGGTTGCAGCTTCAGAAGCAGTAGTCCGAGGCAGCGAGGGGAATGGTTCGCAAGGTGTCGGATGAAAAAACAAGCTACTGCTATACGATATATATTTTTTCCACCGCCGTTTTTTTGGGCCCCCAGATACAGGCGATTGGGCTCGCTTACTCCGACGCCGCGTCAGATAGAGCTAAATTGGTGGAATTGAAGATGACAACGAGGAGATACTGGTAAATTTGCCCGACATTGTCACTTCAGAATTCATCAACACAATTGTAACTCACCGTTGGGTGGCCTGAGGTGCTCGTTTAGCCGCCTCGAACGCGCATCACCGAGACGTCATTGTGTGGTAGTTTTACGACTTGACAGCAGCGGGGCGATATTTTTTTAAAGGAGGGGAATAGGCGAGCAGATAAATAAGTGAGTCGATTCTGCTACATTTAAAGGCACTTTCGTTTACCTGCTTATGTATGCGTCGTGCGTAGGTTTGTTGGACCCGTTGGGTGAGAAATTACCCAAAGTACCCTATCGTCGCCATGGAGGTATATGGAAGAAGCCCGGTTGTGTACAGGGCGACATCAATCTGCACCAATGCTGGACAGCATATTGCAACTACCCAGTTACGGTTGGGTCTACGGGATAGGTTAAATCTTGTGAATACTATTCAATCTTTTTTAAAAAATGAAAATCCCATTACGCAACACGTGTAGCCATGTGCTCACTATGGCGATGCTGTAGAGCGCAAAACTGTAAAGGGCACAATACTCCCCTATTAGGAGAAGTGAAAAATTCGGATTTTATGGGATCTCTAATTATGCTTTGTAGGACCATCCGTATACTTGCGTAAGTAAGCTAAAAGACGCTTTTGCTTTGCATAGTTTTCGTTCTGAGCTGACGAAAATCGCCATGGCTTCCAGTACTGTTATGTATACTTTGCAGCAGGATTGCGTGACTTCGTACCACCTCTGCAATTATTCTCGCCCAACATTGGCCTATTTTACCATTGGGTCAACTACAAACGAAATTATCCTATTGTTCATATCTTCTCTACATCCGTGGATACTTCCATTTACAGCTCTTTCGCAATACCCATTAAATCTATTACATATTTAGATCTACCGTAAGTCTTTTGTAGACCTAGCCGGTCAACACATTTAGTCGACCTCCTCAACAGTTGGACCGTCGTCGGTTGGTGGAGCACCAGCACCTGGAGCACCGCCTGGGAATCCGCCTGGAGCACCACCTGGGGCACCACCGGCCTGGTAGGCCTTGGACATGATTGGGTTGGCAACACCCTCCAACTCCTTCTGCTTGTCAGAGTACTCCTCAGTAGTGGCGGTCTGGTTCTCGTCCAACCAGGCAATGGTCTCGTCAGCAGCCTTGGTGACGGACTCAACCTCAGACTCGTCCAACTTGGACTTGAGCTGCTCCTCGCCCAAAGAGGTCTTCAAAGAGTAAGCGTAAGACTCCAAACCGTTCTTGGCCTGGACTCTAGCAGCCTCCTTCTCGTCCTCCTCCTTGAACTTCTCAGCCTCAGAGACCATTCTCTCAATGTCCTCCTTAGACAATCTACCCTTGTCGTTGGTGATAGTGATCTTCTGGGTCTTACCGGTACCCTTCTCCAAAGCGGAAACGTTCAAGATACCGTTAGCATCGACATCGAAGGTAACCTCAATCTGAGGAACACCTCTTGGGGCTGGTGGGATACCAGACAACTCGAACTTACCCAACAAGTTGTTGTCCTTGGTCTTGGCTCTCTCACCCTCGAACACCTGAATCAAAACACCAGGCTGATTGTCGGCGTAAGTGGAGAAAGTCTCAGACTTCTTGGTTGGGATGGTGGAGTTTCTTGGAATCAACTTGGTCATGATACCACCAGCGGTCTCAATACCCATAGACAATGGAGCAACATCCAACAACAACAAGTCCTGAGTCTTAGAAGAAGTGTCACCAGACAAGATAGCAGCCTGGACAGCGGCACCGTAAGCAACAGCCTCATCAGGGTTGATAGACTTGTTTGGCTCCTTACCGTTGAAGAAGTCAGACACCAACTTCTGGACCTTTGGAATTCTGGTGGAACCACCAACGAGGACAATCTCGTGAACCTGAGACTTGTCAACCTTGGCGTCTCTCAAGACCTTCTCGACTGGGTCGAGAGTAGATCTGAAGAGGTCCTGACACAACTCCTCGAATCTGGCTCTGGTGATGGAGGTGTAAAAGTCAATACCCTCGTAAAGGGAGTCGATCTCGATAGAGGTCTGGGCAGAAGAGGACAAGGTTCTCTTGGCTCTCTCACAAGCAGTTCTCAATCTTCTCAAGGCTCTCTGGTTGGAAGAGATGTCCTTCTTGTTCTTTCTCTTGAACTCGTTGACGAAGTGGTTGACCAATCTGTGGTCAAAGTCCTCACCACCCAAGTGAGTGTCACCGGCAGTAGACTTCACCTCGAAGATACCGTCCTCAATGGACAAAAGGGAGACATCGAAAGTACCACCACCCAAGTCGAAGATAAGCACGTTCTTCTCACGCTCATCCTTCTTGTCCAAACCGTAAGCAATGGCAGCGGCGGTTGGCTCGTTGATGATTCTCATGACGTTCAAGCCAGCAATCAAACCAGCGTCCTTGGTGGCCTGTCTCTGGGAGTCGTTGAAGTAAGCTGGAACAGTGACAACGGCGTCGTTGACAGTGGTACCCAAGAAAGACTCAGCAGTCTCCTTCATCTTACCCAAAACCATGGAAGAGATTTCCTCAGGGGAGAAGACCTTGGTCTCACCCTTGTACTCAACCTGGATGTTTGGCTTACCACTCTTGTCAATAATCTTGAAAGGGAAGTGCTTAGCGTCACCCTGGACCTCAGCATCCTCGAACTTACGACCAATAAGTCTCTTGGCGTCGAAGACGGTGTTAGCTGGGTTCATGGCGGCCTGGTTCTTGGCGGCATCACCAATCAATCTCTCAGTGTCAGTGAAGGCAACGAAAGAAGGGGTAGTTCTGTTACCCTGATCGTTGGCAATGATCTCCACACGGTCGTTGGCGAAGTGAGCGACACACGAGTACGTAGTACCCAAGTCAATACCGACAGCTTTAGACATGATATAATATAAAAAAGTTAGGTAGGAGAAGAAATTGCTGTGCGTATCGGGGGCCTCTTATATATCCTATGCCTGGCGTCGAAGAAGCTTCCAAAGGGTTCCATACAAATGGCTGCGAAAGACGTGCATGCAATACCAACCGATGGCCTGGAAGTGGAAAGAAGATTCTTCCTGCAGAATGCCGCATGGCACGAACTGGAATTCTCCAGAAGACTCCATTATGTTCCGGAAAAAATTTATGATGTAATTATCTAAATCGGGAAGCTGAAGGCAATAAAACATCAGATATGCACTTTGGAGGTATGAGGGCCGGCAAGGAGCAAGATGTGCAACTTATAGAATGTTCTAGCTTCTGCTCGCATAGCTACTGTCCAGTACGAGGCTTTCTTTTGCACAGCAATCTGGGGAGCCGGCCGAAATTTAATTAATTGCTGAGACTGTAGCTTATTGCTGGAGATCCATGAAGGGTCTCAAACGTAGAATTCTGATTGGCTTACATATACATGTGGCCTACGTCATAGCCTGAAAAATTCGGCGTCCAGACTGAAAATCGCATCTGGATCTCATGGAACGGTAGGGAGGACTAAAGTAAGTGGGTCGATTTCGGGAGCACAGTCGCCGAAACCGCTGATCTTCAAGAGTTACAAAAATCAACCTAGGTACCACAATCAAGGAACTTCAGGCAAAAATGAAAAAGTAAGCCCGATGCGGGGCTCGAACCCGCAACCTTTTGATTGACCTTAGAAGATTAAGAGTCAAATGCTCTACCGATTGAGCTAACCAGGCTTCCTTGACACCATCAATACCCTGATAAAATAAATCGTGCAATTTAAAGCTTATATTCAAGCTCATTGTCTCGAAAATAAGTTTTGTCTCACCACTTTTACGCATGGTGTTTTTGAAAATATGCGCCATGATTTGATGGTTTTTTAAGCCGAAGTAGAGCCAATTTGGCACTCCCAGCCCTTGAAGTGAAATTCTTCTCTTGAAGGTGCCTCTTTCCCGCATCTTCAGCAAAAGAGGGAAGCTGTTGAAAGTTACTCCTTTGGTAACAACACTTGGAGCTTAAAAAGCAGAGTTTATGGGATCTGTTCTAGAAAAAGCAACATTTGATGAATCATCAACAAAAAAAATAATTAGAATTTTATATTACGATTACGGATCAGTTTTAGGTCTGGTGGCTGCAACTGACCTCAATCATCTCGAGTGCAATGCCTTCGCATGCCCAATGTTAAGTGACACATAAAGCGGTTTTCTTCCCCATAGGCTTTATAAGCTTTAAGATTAAATGTACGGGGTTCCAGTCTCTTCTTATATTCTGAGGAAATCAGCTGTAAGATTGAACGCTTGGGATACCTTCAAGTTATTCGATGCAAAACTCGAAGAAAGCAAACAGCTTGATGATAAAAAATGAAGAAGATCTAAAGCGAGCTTTTACGAATTTGTGAATAGGCTTTTCTACACTCATTCATCAACTCCATCAGGATTGTCAAGTGTCACTCCTGAATGCGAATAGGACTTTCGCAGCCATCTCGGTAGCTAAAGTGTGGCTTGCTTTTACGAGGACTCCTTGTCAGCAAAACTAAATTTACTTGAGTTGAAATTAGGCAACATTTCAGTAATTCTAGTTAAACCCCGCTGAAGTGGCATCAAAATCAGCCCATTTTCCCCTTAGCATGTGAAAGGCTGTACATCACCCGTCTCCCCGACTGCCCCATCGAGGACTACAACCATGCACTTACAACATATACTCTCCGAGTCTTGATATTCAACCGTAAATAATTAACAGCTACAGTCTCTCACGGCATTGAGTAATGAAACAACATATATAGGCACAAAGTACAACAGAAAACAAGCAGGGGCGGCGCATTGTGGACCCACTAAGTCAGACGCAGCGCCAGCCATAAATGACCTGAAAGCGGCCTTGTCGAAAGCTTTATGTCTTTGGCTTAAGTGGCCTTGTCCTTGTTCTCGCCAAAGAAGCGAATAGAGCCGACCTGGTGGAACACACCCTTGGCCTTCAACCATGCATCCTTCACAGCTGGGTTGCCGGAGCCATTGACGAGGTTCTCGACACGGATCTCGGCCTGCTTAAAGTAGTTTCTTGTGAAGGCGCTCTTCTCGTATCTCAACTTGATGAACAAGGCGTATGCGAGGAATGGTGTCAAGGATCTCTTTCTGAAAGTAATGACACGGACAAGCAACCAAGCCAAGGTCACCACCTCCAAAAGAGCGGCAAGCTGGATGGACTTGTTGTTGTTGGCGGCGACGAAGTCACCAATCTTCTTGGACAATGGGTGGGTCTCTGGGATGTCCAACGCAGGCAAGATGAAGTGCTTGGTGTAGGACAAAACGTGGAATGTGGAAAACAAGAAGAAAACCAACAACGTCAACAAGACGTGAGGAGGAGCAATGAAAAGCAAGACGCTCAAGAACAAGTATTGGGCATTGTCCTCAGCAAGCAACTTGGTGGCGTTGAAGCCATGCTTCTTGACCGTTTGGAAGATCAACACACCAAACGACTCAATGACACCCAAAAGAGCCAAAGAGTACCAGAACTTGTAGGATCTGGGGAACACCTTCACGTAGGTAAGGGCGTAGAAGATGGTGGAAATAACAGTCACGACGTGACCAACATACCAGGCAAACTGAAGGGTTTGGACGGTGGCGGCAAGGTCCTTTTTAGGAGCAGTGCTGGTGGAGGTGCCTTCGGCGCCAGTGTTAGCTTTCTGTTCTGGGGCAGACATGGCAATTGGTCTCTGGTGGTGAAGAGAAGTCTAGTAAGTTAACTTTTTTCTCGCAGGCTGGCACTTTGCGCAAGTAACAGGAGTGATAGTGCAGGTGTACAGAATGAAAGCTCACCGGCAAAAATCTCAGATCCTTTTTTTTTTTATTATACTTTCTTTTTCACTTGCTAGCTTGCAACGGAATGTTTATAGTATAATGTGCTCGTGACCTCTTCTCAATCCCAATTTCGTCTAGCATTCGCTTGCTGTGGCGGTCTTGTGACTGATGCTGCATCCTCGTTATCGTTGCGGTTTTGTTCGCTGCATACCGAGGCACACTACAAGCCTCTGAGATATCTTTCATTACATATTCACTCTAGCCCTACCCATGTCACCTAACGCAAGAAACCCTTACGGGTCTTCTGTGGCGTCGACAGCACAGGCGGTTCTTGTGGTAAGCTCTTTTGCTTTTCCAACTGCGCCTTCTTGTCTTCCAACAACTTGATCTGCTTCATCAACTTCTCCTTCATCTCCTTATGTCTGGCAAACAAGTCGGCTTCGGACCTTTGCAACTTCTTCTCCTTTTCGCTCACCTTCTGCTGGAACACTGCCTTCATCTCGGCTTCCATCTTGGCAAGTTTGGCCTCGTGCAAGGCTCTCTCCTCCTCCTGCTTCGTCATGGGGTCAAACTCCTTGAACACAGTGTGGTCTTGCTCGATGCCCATGTTGAGCAACTTGGTCGATCTATAGTTTTCGTACAACTTCTCGTTTGTGCTCTCCTTGAGCTCCTCCAAGTTGCTTCTGATCAACAACTGTCTCAAACGGACAAAGTCGTTGTGGTCGCCATTGTCGACCTCGATTGTGCCCCATGGATAAGATCTGCCTCTGACTGATCTGCCATCGGGAGTGGTGACCTCGTTCAATGAACCAACCACGGCGAATGGGTAGGCCCCAATGAGAGACTTGGAGTTTGTGACAGTCTCTTCGTCGTCATTGTCATACACAGAGGGCTCGAACACGCTAATCTGCTGATGCTCAATGTCAGCCAAGATACGCTCCTTAAAACCTTGGATCTCCTCGTCCACCAAAGTGTCCGACTTGGCGATCACTGGGATCAAGTTCACCTTCTGGTGCACGGCCTTCATAAGCTCAATATCCAAACTCTTCAAAGAGTGGGCAGTTGGCTCCACAAAGTACAAAAGGGCATGGATTCTCTCGTCAGGCACCTGGCTACGGTTGACGCGAGATTCGGCTTCCAAGTAGCGGTCAAATCTCTGGTCAATCTCGTCCACAATAGGCTTCCAGGATTCACTGTTGTTCAACGAGTCGCCAAAACCGGGCGTCGTGATAATATTCAAGTTCAACTTCACGCCGTCCTCTTCAATTTCGGCCTTCGTGGTCTCAATTCTCACTGGAATCTCTCCACTTGGGTTCTCCACATTCTCGTCTTCCTCGGGCTCAGCTGCCTTAGCCAAAACCTCCTTGTTGAACAAGGTGTTGACCAAAGTAGTTTTTCCCAAACCGCTTTCACCAACAACCATAAAGTTCAAAGAGAAACCTCTTCTGACGGATTTTCTGTGCCACTGCTTGGGCAAGTTGGCGAAACCAACAAAGCTGTTGAGCTTTCTGCGGATGATCTTGATATCCGTCTCCGGCGCCTTGTCCACTAAATGTTAGTAATTAGAATGTCTGAAGGGCATTCGTCGAACATACCTGAAGCCATGCTTGTGTTTGTAGTCGGTAATTTACGTGTTTGGTGCGAAGAAGAAGTTGACGGATTCGGGGCGTAGAGGTCACGTGCATCTTATTTGAAATCTTCAATTATCCGTGTACAAGATGATAATATCCTTTAACTGATGAGATGCTTTACAATAAAATTGCCTAAAAATACCGTGTTAGTGCTTACATTGCGCTATATAACTTCGAAGGTGCAAGTTTGCGTGAGAGTGGTACCTGGTTGTTATTGATCTTCACGCGCGATAGGTTATTTTGTGCCTGGTCTGGGTTGTCAAAAATAGACTTTCAAGTGGCCCTAGCATACGAAAGGTTCTGGCCTTCGTCTATTTGAGGTTGTGCTTGCACCCCCCGTGTTCAGTGACCAAAGTGAATGAAATGTCGAATATCCAGAAGCTATTGGCACATAGCGCGTCCTGTGGCTGCAAAATTCACCTTTTCACCATTAGTAGCGTGGATTCTCCTATTAATTAGCTTCGTCTAGAAGAAGACGTATTGAAGTTGCTCTATCAAAGATGATTCGAATCCATGAATAGCACATCGTGCTTTTCTCGTGCCTCGTCTGTGTATGCACCTGGTGATAGTGGGACCTTTGATATGCCAACAGCTTTTGCTCTTTCACTTCTCTGAACCCCGCTTCGACATTCCAATCGCCAACAGATACTTTGTACATTCAAAATGGCCTCAGAAAAAGAGAAGCGATTCGTGTGAAAAAGGCAGCACGTGGACCTGATCTTACCTATCTGATCATCCCATCCTCACAAGAAGATCACGGATGAGCTGAGTCTTATCCATTGGCCCTCATTTACCCTCCTTGAGCGTTTTCAACAAGAATTTGAGGCCCAAGCGAGCAAACTCGGTCATGTTCGTTGATCTATCACCATTTCCCGTAGATAACTCCTCGGCGTGGTCTCCAGTAGGGCCGCTGACTCCAAAGTACACTGTGCCAACTCCAGCGTCAAGATTGCTGCTTGTCTGGAGATGCAAATCGGTAGTTGGACCGGCAAAACCCGTCTCGGAAAGCACATACGTCGAACCCAAGTCGTACTTTGTAGTGCGGGCCAATTTCAAGGCAACCTGTTTAGAAGGACCCACATAGCTGGAAATGTCCTCATTTGACCATCCCGAGAGTCTCAATCTCTGTCTAACAGAGTACACGAGCTTACCTCCAATGTAGAAGTCCGAAGCTCCTGGAACAGAAACGAGATAAGCGGAGAGAAGACCACCGCATGCTGCCTCTGAGATCGCAAGAGTCTGGTTTTTGGAGCGGAGTATTTGAGCGATCTCCTCGACTAGGGCCTTGATCTCACTTGGTGGAAACTCCATGGTGTAGTGAAAAGATACCCGATTTCGCGCCCATATGTTGGAGAGTCCATGATCAAGAGCCAGAGCCGGATGGCTAGCTACATATGGGGAGAACAAGAAAAGATTGAAATAGGGTTACATCCAAGTGATGTTGACTCGACTTTTTGTGAAGGACACGATTGAAGGCTGCCATCGAGAATCGTGTCCTCCTGGAGTACGAAGGTCCATCCCATTTCGCAGCCAAACATAAGAAGACAAGAAAGGATGACTAAGGGTCTTGATTGCTTCGACAAATTCTATTTACTAACTGTGACAATGCTCTTCATTTAAATAAGGCTTTCAAGATCTCAAATTTTCCACATTGCTTGTTTAGTCATGATGGTTGCAACCAGGTGCACCTCGTGCCATAGACACCTCTGTTACCCAAACACCCCCTAAAAGCCCCACCCCCTTAGTGCTCCAAAACTCCTTTTTGATCTATAATTTCATATTCCTATTCAATTTATCGTCCCTAGCACTGTCTATACGGTTAAAAATCGATAGCTTGATTGGACCGACCCTCCGGCCTGCACTTTGTGTGTGGCGATCTTAAAACATTTGGTGAGCTCTCCAACCACCTAGACAGCATGAGCAAAACCATCAAGTTCAACGCCGGCAAGGTCCAGTACGACGAGGAAACTAAAAAGTGTACACCTTTGCCCCACAAGGGTCAGGTCGTCATCAAGCCACTGGAAGAAGAGGAGGATTTCTTCAGTTTCCAGTGGACACCAAAGAGCAGCCTGGGCAACGTCGAAAGAGACGATCTTCTCATTATCCCAGGCGACGTCACCTTCAAGCACGTGAAGCTGTGTAAGACTGGAAGAGTCATTTCTTTGACATTCTTGAGTTCGGGTGCCAAACACTTGTACTGGCTTCAAGACGTGGGAGACGACGAGCAATTGGACCACTTGACCACCAAGGACGAGAGGTTGTTGCTGTCGGTGCAGGCGCTTGTGGCATTGGAAGAGTAAGTAATGAGAGAAGATTAGTCGTTTTTCGTATTAACGCCAGGGACGAGCCCGAAGAGGTGAAGGAACAGCCGGTAGAGGAGAAGCAAAAGCAGAGGACACAGGCGCCTATTACGGCAATTGACGATTTGCTTACTACGGACGTCATCGAGAAGCATTTGTCGCTGTTGCTGAGCGAAGAGCTTGAGGAGAAGTATGGAGACTTGTTGCCGGAGGGAGTGAAGCCTACCAAAGAAGATATCGCCCGGGTGGTGAGAAACGGCTTTTTCCAGCAGGCCAACAAGGAGTTGAGCAGCACAATATTGAACAACGGTGTGGGCCAGATTTTGGCGAGCAGCTTGGGCTACGAGTACAAGGGCGAAGGCATCGATGCATTCCTCGAGGGACTAAGGAAGTCTAAGTAGGCCATGCGCCAGTATATACACACAACAGCATGTAACATAATGAAGCGATCAAGCATATTGGAGCAGAAGAGTTGAAAGTATGGAGAGCTTGATGGCAGTAGCTATTCAGGACTACGAAGTACACTTACGACATGGCAAATGGCAGCCTTCCAATGAAATGTAGAAATCTGCCATTCTTTAAAATTTCTACAAATAAGATTCGAAGCCGCATTCAGTAGGAATCTCGCGTTTTGTTTTTGGCTGAAAGATATAGTGATCTCGTTTGCGATACATCCGGCTTCCAGAAGAATCCATATCTCCACCACCGGTCAACCGGGCTAGACAGATCTCTTAGTCAATTGTTCCCAAATTCATTCTACACCTTTACTGTGAATCATCCTTCAATCTGTGACTTGCATCCTCTATTGCTTTGTCTCTTCTTGTACCTTAAAGTAAGATCTGCTGCAAACGGTAAGAGTGCACTAGTTGACTACTGCCTAAGCCGAGATCACACATTCTACGATCTTATCAGCCCCGTTAATTCAAAACATATCGTCCGTTGATCAAGAGAATAGTTTCCCTTGAGTGGTTACAAAATTCGACATGCCGACAAATTTTTCCCAAATTGCCGAACCACCCTCTTCTGGGTCTTGTAGAGGTTTCACCCAACATCTCCTTCGAGTAGGCGGCGCATGATCTCCGAAAGCTTAAATCAAAAAGAAACATTTTCATATCTTCTCGGTGGACCCTCGAAGGTGTCAAGACCGTGATATATATATTAGGGCTACATCTGGGTGGGTCGCTTGGGGTGAGAAATCGTGTCATTTGCACCCAAAGATCCACCGCCTTCCACGCAGCTGCCCGACCTGAAACAGTCCATAACTATAAATAGCGGAAGAGTTTTGAAAACCACCAATTCCGGAAGGTTTATCTCAACAACAATTCCTTTTTCCTATTACCATCTTTTTACACCCAGATCCATTCTTCTCGGTGCTTCTCCAGTCGGTTGCGCACAAGAGTGTAACTTTTTTTTTTTTTTAGTCCCCGGTTTAAGCAATCGTGAATACAACCAACCACGCCAACAAATCAGTGAACCACAGTGAATAACAACATCTGGTACTAATCCTCCCCAATCTGAGTGCCCACAGATCCCAGCTTTTCACAACTTCATTGATATTGGAATTTCAGGTCATCCTGGGCAGACTTTTCCCCGACTTTCCACCGTTCATACCAGTTCAACTTTGGACAACTCGGAATGCCTCCCGACCTGCTCAAAGTGAAGCCAAAATCGTCACTCCCGGCCACGGGAGTGTCTGTCGCTGATGATATTACACCTACGATGCTGGCGTCGGAAGATCCCCAACATCGAAGTAACTCGATCCCGAAAAGACCATCCATGCCTAAAACGTCCGATTCCGAAGACAAGCTGCTACGCCCAAACCTCTTTGGAAAGGTTGCAAACCTCCTACAACGTCTGGTATCCCGATCCCGAGAGAACCTGGTTTCCTCTCTCAATTCCAACGCATCACTTAGTCGCATACAAAGCCCTGCCGCCGACCACATACCGAGTCTGGCCATCCTGCCGCCATCAAGGCCACGACTGAGATTGGTCAAAGAAACGAATTACGTGTCTCTAGAGTATGACCCAATCACACGACGCAAGGTTTTGAACACATATGAGATACGTGGGGAAATCGGCAGAGGTGAACATGGCAAAGTTAAGTTAGCCAGAGACCTCACGACGAGCGAGCTTGTAGCCATTAAGATTGTGAACAGAAAAAACAAAAAGGAACGCAGGCTATTGAGCAAGCGAGGCTCGATCGCTTCCCCTAATCACCCTTACAGCGACTACGAAACAAAGATCCGCAGAGAGATCGCAATCATGAAGCGCTGTGACCACAAGTACATTGTCAACCTTAGGGAGGTGCTCGACGATCGTCGTTCTCATAAAATCTACTTGGTTCTTGAATACCTTGAGAAGGGTGAGATCAAGTGGAAGAGACTGACGCCGATCAAGAGCCCTGCACCATTGCATGACTCCCAAGAGTCCAACATACCATGCTGTGAAACCAAATCGCATCACAAGACAGAGGCGTCTCCTCTAGACGATAATGAATTGCTCGCCGACATTTATTCTCCTAATCTCACCTTCAGACAGTCCAGAAAGGTTTTCAGAGACGTGCTTCTAGGTCTTGAATACCTCCATATGCAAGGAATCATCCACAGGGATATAAAACCTGCCAATCTACTTGTCGGATCAGATAATACTGTGAAAATCAGTGATTTCGGTGTTTCTTTCGCATCGTACTTGGGAAATACCGATGAAGGTTTCTGTATGACTGAGGCAGAGCTTGCAAAGACTGTGGGAACTCCGGCTTTTTTTGCTCCGGAGCTTTGCCGCACAACCTTTTCTGCCAGCAACAGCACCATCCAAATGACATCTTTGGAGAAGGAACAACTGGACCCCAAGAGCGGTAGCGAAACACCCAAAATTACATACAAGATCGACATTTGGTCTTTGGGTGTCACGCTATACTGCCTACTCTTCGGCAAGGTACCTTTCAACGCGGAACTGGAGTTCGCGTTATTTGATGTGATAGTCAACCAAGAGGTGGTCTTCCCGGAAAGCAAAGACGCCTTCCATTCCCCACAAGAAGTTAGTGATGAGGAATTTGAGTTGGCGAAGGATTTGATCAGAAAACTCCTTGACAAAAATAGTGAAACTAGACTCACTATTAGCGCAATCAAAGAGCATCCTTTCGTCTTGATGGATCTCGAAGATGACGTCGATAAGATTCATGAGTTTTTCTTCATCAATTCGCTTGAAACGGCCGCAGCCTTTGACTCCTTGAGGAATCATGAAATCACCAAAGAAGAGTTAGATGATGCTGTCATTGGTGTGGGAAACAGAATCCAAGGCAGTTTCCTTCATGCTCTTCGCTCAAGAGATCTGGAGGCACTCCGCAAGGCTGCACTAAAAATGGAAGCCAGCACCTCCTCAAGTGATGAATCCTCCAATCTAGCAACTCGCACGAACAGCAACACGATGGGCTACAATCCCTCCATAAACAATTCGGTTATTCTCCTGGAATCGGTGCAGACTCCTCCGATGGGGTTGTCCAGAGCTCACTTACAGACATATGACGCAGGCTCTTTTCTCAAGTCTTCTTCGGGACAAACTGGTCAAAACTCACCAGAACCTTTAACCCTCTCGCGCCAAAATACTGGGAGTCGACCATCGGTCGTTCTTAGTCGCAACAATTTGCTATTTCAGGATGTTTTAGAAACCAATAGCTCATCTTCGAGCAGAAGAGGAAGCGTCAACGGCTTTCAAGAAGCTCCTCAAATCGAGACAAAGCGAAATGTTGGGGGAGATCTTTATTTGAAGAATCAATCCGTCATTGACACTTTTAAGGGAATCCAACAACTAGATCAGAAGAGACGGAAGTCGAGTGCTTTTCTTCACAGCAATGCAAGCACGCCATCGAGTCCTAGACCTAGCAAGACGGAATATATACTGGGTCTGGAATCCAAGCATCCTCTTTCACAGCCCCAAGCCATTCCAATGTCGACAGATTCTTCTATCCTGAGCAAGATTAAGGTGGGCCCAATAAGTATTGACAACAAAAGACGCGCGTCATCAGTGATATCATTGCCGTTGACCGAGAGTTTTGCTTCATTGGACAGCTTCAATGACGAATATCTTACGCACAAATACCATGAGTTCAGGAAAAAGAAGCATGGAGGCTTCTTGCCAGAACCTGGTGTCATTAACTCTGATCCTGATCTTGGTGGGAAACCTGATGCTTTCGATTCTATCAATGAGAAATTCAGAAATTTCAATTTGGGCTCACTGATGTCAGGCATGAAAAACTCAAGGGAAACAAAGACAAATGAAGGTGTGGCTCCGACCTCAAGGTCCAGGTTCCTGTCATACTCGACCGGTACTAGGTCACTGACTTCCCAGTCACGCAGCAGTTGCAGTGGAAGCGGGAGCGGAAGCGGAAGTGAAAGTGAGAGCGAAAGTGATGAAGAAGCTGGCAACTTAACCTTGAAGTTCTCGTCCAAGGTGACCCCTCGGGGACGTCCCCCTTTCTTGTCATTGAGTAATAGGGCTCTTTCACATGATTCCAACCTCCCGGACTTGATCCACCACCAGAATAAGGTTTATGACGTACCGGTTGTGTTCCAAAATGATCTTGTCGAGTTTGAGGACGTTCCTGAAGGCTTGATGGGAAATGTACAGAAGGCCGCTGACACTGACATGAGTACCTCGGTTTCCGTACTTTCCCTGAATTCCAACGCCACAATCACTTTTGATCAAGAGGAGCAGCCTTCGCTTCTACAGATTCCACGCAAACCATCGGTACAGCGTTCCCCATTGCGGAATCAAGTGAACCTTGACTCCTACTCGAATGGCAGTTCACTGCAGGAAAGAGAAGCTCGGGTTAACGATGCTGTACCGGGAGTTGCAAAGTCCGCAATGAGATCAGGTTACTTCAGGAATCACTACAAAAAGGAGCCTGTTCATTCTCCGTTTCCCAAATCCAAACATCTTGAAAATGATCGGGAATCTGTCGTGAAGCAGCAGATGAGAGAAGGAACAGAGCTCGCACGCCCGGTTTATCAGCGTTCGAACTCCATCACTTTAGGACTCCTCCAACACATTCGACCTGACCCGATTAAAGAAGAAGCCATTTGATTGTGACATGTGCACGGTAACATTGTAATTTTTCTGTGAATAAGTGAGCTAATATATCAGTGTGCATGGTCGTTGACCGATCATGAAAGACTTACTTCCAAAACATGTAAATTCACGCAAGTGATCCTTCTCTTATCATTAATCTTATCATTATTCTTATCTTTATATATTCTTCCGGTGTAAATGCATCCTATCCTAGGATTCTCGACCAGGTGATGAACCCTTCCCTCACCTTTAAACTAACTAGTAAAATCAAACGAACCAGAAATATGGCGCCGATTTCCTTAAAGACATGAATTGATTCAACTCAATTCAAGCTTCTTTTTCAAAACGGACAACCTGTTGCCAATACTGACAACAAATTTCTCGACCATAGCCCTATCCTCATTATCCAACTTATCAACATCTGGAGACTCCTCATCAAGAAGAGCCTCCAACATCCAAATCGCAGTGCTATAAGCGAGTTCACATCCCTTCAAATCTTCTTTCACCAACTCATTGACTGCGGCATTCCGCGATATTTCAAGAGCTCTATCAAAAATCAACTTCTCTGCAACAACATGTACGGAATCGCTGTTGGCATCTCTACTCACTGTAGTTGCAGTCGCAGTCTCAGTTAGGTTCGAAACGCCAGTTATCTCTTCCTCCTTGTTGATGCTGGCATTTGCCTCCTCCAACCTTAGCTTGATAAACTCTGCCTTCTCGAGACATTCATTAAATTGATCCCGAATCCACTGTACGAGCTCATTTATTTGAGACGAAACCTGGAGATCCAAAGACCGTACAAGCTGTTGCTCTCCTGTTGACTCGTCTTTGTCATAGTGAGTAAGCCACCAATTGCTTGCTAGAGCCATACCTTTCGCAAGAAGAGAGAGCGTCTTCACATACAACACAACACCCTCTTCACTGATAGCTTTAATCATCTTTGGGGAAGCAAATCATTATGTTGCATGATTTCATCATCATATTCGTCTGTAGATGGAGGCGAAGGAATCAATTGACTGAACTTGACATCCGCAAACAAACTAATAGCATGAGACTTTGTTGCCAAAGACTCTAATTGAGATAACACTTTCTCGTCGTATGGCAATTCGCTCCTTTCAGCTTGTTCCTGGTTGTTCGCAGCCAAGAGGGTGTTCGAAGTAGGAAGCTTCACTTTTTTCAAAAGTAAGTTGTTTGCAAAATCTGGACTCGAAATTATCGTCGAAAAATTGTTGAGCTCGCCAGTTTGGGAGCCTTCTTCCGGTATCTCAGCAGCTTGCGCTGCCCCGCCAAATAGACGATTGGAGGCAAGACTAATTGCTTTGCCCAAGGCATTTGTTGGAGAGATTGAGATTGAGATTCTCCTTTCCCCGAAGCTTGGTCTACGACCGGAGGACCCAGAGGACCTCTGTGACGATCTCCTCAGTAGTACAACATTGCGCTCGCTTCCCTGAGGTGGTAAGTGTTGAGTGTGAGAGGCCACAGCATTCGTTCCAACTTTTGCTAACTCATCAGCAATTGCATTGACTTCCACTGCACGTTTCTCGACCACAACATAATCCTTCTCCAAAATCACGTCATTGTGTGGACGCTGACCCGGCTTGATCTCGTGATATCTTGGCTGAATAGAATGTGTGAGAGCGTTGGAATCAGGGCTATTCTGATTGATGATCAGTTTGATCTGCTCATCCCTTGAATTCGAGCCATGGGCCATGAGTTCTCGTGGGTAGTCTCTTCTGATAAGCTGGGGATTCGAAGGGGGCGTTGAGTTCCCTGATCTAGACAGAGTACGGCCCTCTTCATTTCTCTGGCTGTCCTCGTTCGTCGTGGGCATTATTGGCGAGACAAACTTGGCCCTATCAGAGGCCTTTATTGGTGAGATGTACTCACTGATGAAAAGGTTTGTGTCCATTTCGGATGTGTCCAATGGCCTATCCTTGCCCTCCAACTCGTTAACAATAAGTGGATGATTGAAGAATTCGTTGAAAGAGACACGCTCTGTTGGGTTGTATTTCAAGAGTGATCTGATCAACTTGCGGAGCGACTCCGGAACTTGTGCAGATGAGGGAAACTTGATCTTGTCATGTGTCTTCTCGATGGTCTTTAATAACTCGATATGATTTGCAGCACGAAAGGGTGGTTTGCCGACAGTCATTTCATAGAAGACAGCACCAACAGACCATAAGTCAGCCTTTGCATTGTACTTCTCATAACGCAAGATTTCAGGAGCCATGTACAACGGAGAGCCACACAATGTTTCGGCCATTGATGTAGACGGTAAGAATCTTGCGAAACCGAAATCGGCAATCTTCAAGATGGGGAGCTCCCAAAGTCCGACGAAGTTTTCCTTCTCAAACTGCTCCCTAGAGTGTGCCGGGGGCAAAGAAGCAAATTCTGTGGCTTTATATCCCTGTGCACCAACGACTTGGATCTCAAGAACTCAAGAGCAGAGCTGAGCTGCTTCAAGAAATGAATGACGAGTGTTTCATTCAAGCCGTGGGATCCCTCAGGGGAAGGGTAGCGTGCGAGTAGCTGCGAAACAACCGGGTGGGTCTTCACAAGCTGGTCCCGACGACGGATGAAGTAGGACAAATCACCCATAGAGCAGTAGTCCATCACCAAGTGAAAGTGAGTGGACGTCTGGTGATAGTCAAGTAGCCCCACGACATGGGGGTGCTTCATGGACTTAAGAATGGAGATCTCCACCTCCAAGTTCTCGATAAGCTTTTTGGACTTGAGCTTCAGACGCACCACGGACTTGACGGCCACGGATTCATGTGTGTTATTGTCCACACATTTGTATACGGTGGCGAAGGAGCCCTTCCCTATCTCGGGTCCGATCGTGTATACACCTATGGTTTTAGACATGGATGTAGTGATATGATCTGTCAGATGTTCTGTGCTATCAGGAGTCGCCCTAATTTGTTGTTGAAATGTGAGGTTTATCAGGATTTGTAATCTGATGAGACGTTAAGTTGAATCCACTTGCAGTCTATAATGTAGTATGGCCCTTGCCACTACGCGAGGGAGTGAGTCAGATGGAGCAGGCCAAAATTGTGGAGTTCCGTATCAACCTAAAAGAACAGTGTATGCGGTTATGATGAGGAAAAGTTCCGAAAGTTTTCCTTATGTTTGTATATGTGGAGGCAAATTACGCCGTGGAGTAGTATGGGGTTGAGGGCGTACGGAACCACAGTAGAGGGGGAATGATACACGATAAGATAAAGTCATGTGCCGCTGGTCAAGTGATGAGTCCGAACCAGGACTTGCCTCGAGGCACGGGGAATCTGCAGAACTAAACAGGACAAAAAAAAGCCAAATGAGATTTGGAGGGGTATTCCACTCGTCGTTTACTCCATTTTTTAAAAAAGTTAAAGATTTTCGATGACCTTTAGTTGTGGTGTTAGTACAGTTTTGTTGCTTCTCTTGGTACGTGACGATTGGCTGCGAAATGGCTTGAGGATTGCGGATTTTACTAATCATTCTAAATACGGTAGATTCTCGTGAAACAAAAATTACGCTGTAAATTCGGAAATCCGTAATTACATCAAAAACACGTCTAGTCCAGATTCTTCTGATTGTGGCTAATTCGGTGAGGTGGCGCATTCTCCGCTGACTAAAACCCCCTGACTTGACCCCTGCAACGTTAGATCTAGTGTATACATTACCGGAAGGGTAACATGATAAACGCTTCATTCGGCGCAGACATGAACAAAAAAAGTGGAAATGACACACACAGTCACCAACAAACGATAAGCCAAAACCCAATACACTACATACCGCTGGATCTTCAATACGGTTCTGCATCATAAGCCCGTGTGCGTATACACTTCCCACTAGTCTTTAATGTTATGAACCCATTGAACAATGAGAACATCTCCAGATTCTTATTCCTCTCCTTCGATAAAGTATTTGACGTCAAAAGTACTATTGTCTGAATTTACATTCACCGGCGATTGACGTGCCAGGCCTTGTCTTATAATTGTATACACAACCACTCGCTAGATTGCTCTATTGATGCTTGTTGGTCCAAACAGCAGCACAGCCTTTTTCATCCATTAGTACTAGATCATGTTTGAATCCGTCGTTGCAACATTGTTGAACCGCTTCTTGGGGTCTTACATAGAAAACTTCGATCCCAAGCAGCTTAACATAGGAATATGGTCTGGTGACGTTCGCTTGAAGAACTTGAGACTCAAGAAGGAGTCGCTAGACAAATTCAAATTGCCGGTGGATGTCAAGTTTGGCCACTTGGGAGAGCTCACATTACTGATTCCATGGTCCAATTTGAAGGGAAAGCCAGTGAAGGTGGTAATTGAGGACGTGTACCTTCTTGCCTCTCCTATCATCATCAATGACTTTGATGCTGATGAGGATGCTACCAGGGAGCAGAAGCTCAAGCAAGAGAAGCTTCAAGACTTAGAGGCATTACAAAGTGCAATTGCCTCCAATCTCAATGCCTCAAAGGGTGACAATCAGGCTGCCAACGAGTCCTTCACCGAGAGCTTGGTCACCAAGATCGTCGACAACTTGCAAGTGACCATCAAGAATATTCATGTCCGCTATGAAGACGAAGGTGTCTTGACAGACTCACCGTACGCATTGGGTCTCACACTCGATGAATTGTCGGCCGTTTCGACGGATGACCAATGGAAGCCGAGCTTCATCTCGATTACCCAGAGCCTTTCCAGGAAGCTACTCATGCTCAAGAACTTCTCTTGCTACATGAACACGGAGAGCTCCAGCATCTTTTCAGGTACGCCAGATGAGGTTCTCGAGGCTCTTAAATCCACACTTGCGACCAGATCTGAGAAGCAGTACCTTCTTAAACCTGTTTCCGGAGAAGGGCGCCTTACCGTTTACAAAACAGGTGCCACTGAGACGCATCCGCATATAACCACTGAGCTCTTCTTCGAAGAGTTTGGCGTTGAGTTCGATAGCAGTCAGTATAGAGATGTGCTTTGGACCGCGTCCAAGCTTCATTGGTACCAAAAGACTTGGAAGTTCCGCAAGTACAGACCAAAGGTTTCTGTTGAAGAGGATCCAAAAGAGTGGTTTAGATATACAGCAAAGAGTATCCTCGGTGAGATTCACGAGAAAAACTATTGCTGGAGCTGGGATCACTTCAAGAAGAGAAGGGACCAGAGAAAGAAGTACATCGGCTTGTGGAAACAGAAAGTGCTCAAAAAGACACTCTCAGCGCTGGACGAAACCATGTTCGAGAAGTTGGAATGGGATCTACCCTACGAGGATATCAGGTTTTACCGCTCCTTAGCCAGAAGTGAGATCCGTAAGGAGAAACTCAATGCTCCTCCTGCTACACCACAGCCAGCATCACAGGGTGGCTGGATTTCTTCATGGTGGTATGGTAACAAGAGTCAGGATACCATCGAGGCTCCAAAGTCTGAGGGCGGCTTGAACCTCACTTTGACAGATGAACAGCGCAAAGCCTTATACGAAACTATTGACTTCAACGAGGATGACGCTGTTACTGATGCTGTGAATATTCCACGCGACAGGGTCACTGTTGAGGTCTTCATGACTGTCAAAAAAGCTGGCATTTCCTTGAAGCCTGTGAAACACGGCCCCAGCTTGGCAGAAGTTATTGTCGAGGGCTGTAGAACACAGCTCTATCAAAGACCAGATTCTTTCCTCGCTAACTTCCAATTGCAAGAGCTTAAGGTGGAGGACGGTACTTCAAAGACTCTTTACAAACATATCGTCAGCGTGAAGCACGTCCATTCAGATCTTCATCAATCCGTGGAAGAATTCCATGATGCATCCTCCTCCATTACGTCCCAAAAACAAGATCCGTTTTTCCAAGTATCTTTCGAAAATAATCCATTGGACGGCAGCGCAGACTCTATTCTCCTCGCCAAACTCAACTCCATGACTATTTTCTACAACGCTTTCTTCATTGAGGAAATCATCAAATTTTTCAAACCTCCTAAAATACATCTTGACACTATTGGTGCTATAATGAATGCTGCTGAGGCCACGATGGAAGGTATCACCGCACAAACCAGATTGGGTCTTCAATATGCATTGGAAGAACATAAGACCATTAATGTGAAGCTCGATCTTCAGGCGCCATTGATCATTCTTCCCCTTGATCCTACGAGTTGGAAATCCCCCGTGGCTATATTAGATGCTGGTCACCTTAGCGTCACGAGTAATTTGGTGGACAAGGCAACCATTGAAGAAATCAAGTCGAAAGAGAGCTACGACAAGGAGGACTGGACCAAACTCAAAACACTCATGTATGATCAATTTAACCTCCATCTCCAAGATGCGCAGTTCCTTGTGGGTTCTACGATCAAGGATACAATGGAGCAGCTTCATACAGAGAGTTCAAAACAGTCAGCAGTTATGCTCAATAATTTGGACATCAAACTAAATCTAGGGGTCTCAATCATACCCGAGGCCACGAACTTGGCGCGGTTCAAAGTCGGTGGAGAAATACCAGAGATCAACATTGCGCTCAACGACTTCCAATACAAAACCATCATGAAGCTTGTGGATGTCCTTATACCAGATCTCTCTGATAATGATGGAGATGACAACAGCGTTTTCCATGCCTTTGGTCAAAAAGGAGAAGAATACAAGCTAGAGGACGTCGAGGAATCTATGAGCACTCTCACAAATGCCAAAAGACCCGAGAACCCACAACACATGTTTGAAATGGACTTTAAGGTATCAAAGGTGAACATGTCATTGAAGAGATGCAAGGATGCTGTTACGTTAGAAGCAGAGCCCTTCCTCAACCTCATCGGAGACACCTTGAGATTCACATTCTATAAGACTGATTACGATATGCACCTTGATTTGACCTTAATCGACATTGATATTATCGACCATATTGAAAAGTCTGGCGTTGCTGAATTTGAAAAGTTGGTGTCCTCGAGAAACTTTACCGAAACTGAGGCCGTCAAGCGCAAGCAACAAGAACTTTTCAAGGTTGATCTCACAAGGACTCAAAGAATTGTCGAATTCAAGGGGAATGATATCGAAGTGTTTGATTTGGATATAATTGTGGATATGTCTGCCGTGAAGTGTGTGGTTTCAAGGATGTCATACTTGAGCATTCTTAATTTCATGTTGAACACCTTCACCGATCCAAATGCGGAGGAAACACCCGCCGATAAGTTGAAGCACAATGATTACAAGGATGATAGAGTCGCTCCTCAAAAAATCAACGTGAAGGTAAACCTTGATAGTATTATCGTTGTTCTCAACGAAGACGACCTAAAATTAGCCACTTTACAATTGAGCACAGCAAATGTCAAGGTTTTCGTCCTTCCAGAGGCTTTGCAAGTGAGTGGCTGCCTTGGAGCTTTGTCTTTGCACGATGAATCTAACGAGGGCTCTCCGAGGGATTCTATTTTCCGTAATTTGATAAATATCGATGGTGACAACTTGGCAGAATTCACTTACAAGACATACGACCCAGCCACTAACAAGGAGCCATTCGATAGCTACATTGAGTTCATTACCGGATCTCTGACCATCAACTTTGCAGAGGATGCCTTCGGAAAGATTTTCAATTATCTCAATAAGTTTGCTCAAATGAAGGCCATCTATGATAAGGCACGAGATGCTGCCATAAACCAGGCAAACCAAATTGATGATGCCATCAGGATAAAGATGAATATTTTGGTCCGGGCACCCACGGTTCGTTTACCCAAACTCATTGATGTTAGCAAAGATGAGTACGATGTTATAGTTGCTGAACTTGGTGAACTTTACCTTAACAATGAGTTTGTTACAAGAGACTCTTTGGTGTACAACGTGATGTACGCCGGTCTCAGAAATACCAAGGTTACGTCGAGGTTTCATCTTGCTGATGTGGTTCAAGAAAGTCAGATGGTCGAGAAACTAGACATTGGTTTCCAGATTGACTATCTTGAAGAGTTCCAGGCAGACAAGCCTACTTTCAAAGTATCTGGAAACTTACCCGAGCTCGATTTCCATTTGTCTGAGCTTCAGCTTAACTATTTGTTCAATCTTCAAAATAAGGTAAGTTCTGTCTTTATGGCAACCGGTGGCGACGACTCTATGGACGAAATTGAAGCCGACGCTGAAAACGCAAATGCTTTGATAGCTCATGATACCTCTATTCAGAGACAGAAGGATCTTACTTCACTCGACGGAAGAGAAATTCAGAAATCCGAGCCTGAAGATTCCGTTCAGAATTCACCAGAGCATATCAAATTTGACGTTGCATTGGAGATTCCACAAATCTCTTTGAGCCTCTACAACGACACGAATGACGTGGCGTCGATCGAAGAAAAGAAACTTGCATTGATGGCGGTAAAGGACTTGAAAGCACTGTTTGTCATGAAGGATGATGAGAACTTCAACTCAGACCTTTCTATTAATGCGTTCACGATTAGCGATGTGAGATCAAATACCTCGAATAAGTATACTGAGGTGATCCCACTGGTTCAAAGTGAGGGCGATCAGTTCAAGCTCAACGCTTCCACAGGATCTACAGGCGTGGCAGATAAGAAGGCTACGACGGTCATGTTAACCATTGAAGAGCCGCAGGTCATCTTAGCTCTCGATTTCATGTTTGGATTACAAGCATTCGCCACAAAAGGTTTACAAGTTGAGAGTGTGTCTGCCGCGTTGGAAGCTGAAGATGATGAGTCTGAGACTGAAGATTCATTGGAGGATCGACTCAAGAATGCAGAGAAGGAAGAGGAGCAAACATTGGCTTCAGCGCTTGGATTTTCCATAAACATCACCAAACCATCGGTTTTGCTTCTTGCTGATTCAACCAAGGAGGATACTGAGGCAATTGTGTTCAAGGTGGAACAAGTTCTTGTGACAAGTCAAAATATTGTTTCACTTGCTGCCGACAGTATAGGCATGTTTGTTACAAGGATGAACGATTTTGAGAAAAATATTCGTATCATCGATGATTTTTCAATTTCGTTCGCTTTAGACGGAAGAGGTTCGACCTCAACTTCATTCTTGACCAACATTCAGCTCTCCATTGACCCCTTGCTCGTTAGACTTTCGTTGCGTGAAGTTCGATTGGGAATGCGGATCGCTAATAGAGCCAATGAGCTTTACGCAGAGGCAATGGGCATCGATATCGAGAACCCATCTGAGCCAGACCATAGCATAACCGATGACTTCAAGCGCCGTCTTTCACAATATGCACCAAGTGTTGTCTCAGGTTTTTCCAAGGAATCAGCAAAGAGAAGAAGACGTTCATTGACCACTGAAGTGATTGTTAAGGGCGAAGAGTTTAATGCATCTTTTGGTGGTGCCAGATTTGTTCTCATTGGTGATGTTCACGAATTGCCTGTTATTGATGCGAATATAAATCTGTTCGAGACTAAGGTTGTGAATTGGTCTACTGAATTAAGCGCAGAATGTCACCTCGAGCCCTACGTGAACATCTACAACTACGCAAAGTCCACTTGGGAGCCTTTGGTGGAACCATGGCCTGTTTCAATCTATGCCTCTAAAGCTATTGATCCCAAGCCAAGTATCATGATAGATGTTGTTTCCAGAAGCATGGCTCAAATAACGATCTCTTCGAGATCTGTGGCTTTACTTTCCCAAATTTTCTCAGCTATCTCTCCTGACGAAGAACACAAGTCCCGAGATGAGGTCACTCCATATAAAATCCTCAACCAGACAGGCTATGACCTCGAGCTTTGGACTGATCGAGGCGAAAAGCTGAGAAAAGAAAAGAAGGTATTGAAGAACAAGGAGCAGATTCCGTGGTCGTTTGAAGATTGGAGAGTCATTCGTGAGAAATTGGACACTGACAATGAACAAGATGTTCTTGGGTTGAAAATTCTCGATTCGCCCTATGACGAGGTTGGCAACATAAATGCAGCTGGAGTGGGCGAGCAGATATTCATGTTGACACCAGCAATCGAAGGCGTGCACAATAGGCTTGCTACAGAGATTGTTTTGGGGACGACAATGTCAAAACTATTATTTTGCGTTCCACTGTCAAGGTTCAAAACGATTCTGATTCAGGGATCGCTCTTAAATTTGTCGACGCGGAGAATGGCCGGGACACTGAACTTGTTGTCGATGCTGGTGACACTAAAGCACTTCCAATTGACATAGTCTTTTCAAGCAAGCTCAAGATCAAACCTTACCTCGAAACTAACTTCAATTGGTCTAATGGTACGTTGGAATGGAGAGACCTCATGAAGCAGGGGACCGCATTGTCATGTTCATCAGTGGGTACTGGAGAAACCTCCGTATTCTACTATCAAGTGGAGGCAAACTACGACGAAGATGAACCGCTTGCAAGGATCTATCCTCATTTCACTTTAGTGATTTCTGCACCACTTGAGGTTGAGAATTTACTTCCTTTCGATTTCAATTTCAGATTGTACGACAAAAGCAGCAAGAAGGACTGGAGTGGATCTGTGAAGAAGGGCGAAAGCACTTTTGTCCATGTCGTAACTCTTGACGCTCTTCTCTTACTCAGTGTGGAGCCTCTTGATTGCTCTTTCGGTAAGTCTGAGTTCGCAATTATCAATTCAACGAAGAAGAGCGAGTTTAAGCGGGAGGTTCTCATAAACACTCGAAGTGAATCTGGAAGAAATGTGCGTTTAAAGATGCATTATCCCAAACATGATGTGAAGAAAAACTTGAAAGTGTCGATTTACAGTCCTTACATCCTTTTGAATAGAACTGGTCAAAGCTTATCAGTCGTCGATAAAGCCAGTCGTCTGAATGTGTTGGAAACCTCCAGCTCCCTTGAAAACATCCCTCATATGTTCTCATTCGACAGGGATGGCGAAAGACTGAACAGAGGCCTTGTGAAGATATCCGACTCTGTTCTTTCTGCTCCTATCAGTTTTGACGCCATTGGTCAGAATATGGGGTTGCTGGTGCAGCTTAACCACAAGCAGACCGAAATGAACTTTGGTGTATCGATTTCTGAAGGTGAAGGAAAGTACCAGCTTTCAAAGATTGTGACCTTTTCACCTCGATATGTTATCAAGAATGCCATTTCAGAGCCCCTTTCTTTGGTGGAGAATGGCTCAACAAAACAAATTCTGCTTGATGCCGGTCAACTGATTCCTCTTTACTCACTTCACCGAGTTGAAAACAAGAGCATTATGCTCAAATTTGAAAACAACGGAAAAGGCTGGTCTTCGCCTTTTGCAATCGATGATGTGGGGCAGATCTTTTTGAAGCTTCAGAAGGAGGGCCAAGGGCAATCACTTCTAAAAGTAAATGTCATGACAGAAAATGCCACCATTTTTATTCAAGTCGAGAGTGCTCACAACAATTGGCCATACTCTATAAGGAACTTCACGGATACAGAGCTTTACATTTACCAAGCTAACCCCAATATTGATCTGAACGGAGAGGTTATCAAGCGAGACACTGTCTACAAGCCAGTATATTACAAGGTGCCTGGAAAGAGTGTTATGCCCTATGCCTACGACTATCCAAACGCAGTTGTTAAAGAGTTGATCATCAGAACTCGGGGACGTGAGAGAGCTGTGAATTTAGCCGAGATCGGTAATCTCAAACCGTTTAGATTGCCAGCGACCGAGCGTGACGTACAGAAAATTCTTGATCTCAATGTGGTTGCTGATGGGCCTACCCAATCGCTTGTAATCTCAGACTACGATCCTGGATTGAGTTTGTACAAGTTGAAAAAGACTGAGACCGCAGGTTCTAGTGCCACGCTTTCTAAACTGCAATTCGAAGTGGATGAGGTTGATGATAACTACTATACCAAAATCTTTACTCGGTTTGAAGGTTTGGGAATCTCTTTGATTAACACAAGATCGCAGGAACTTTGTTATATTACCTTGAGAGGCCTCGAGCTCAGGTACAATGAGTCCGACCTTTATCAAAACTTGAGTTTGAAGTTGAAGTGGGTTCAGATTGATAACCAGCTTTACGGCGGCATCTTCCCTATCATTCTTTATCCTACAGTGGTTCCAAAGTCAGGTAAGGAGATGAATAGCCACCCGTCCTTTTCAGGATCGATTTGCAAAGTGAAGGATGAGTCACACGGTGTTGTATTCATCAAGTATGCCACAGTTTTACTCCAAGAAATGACTATGGAACTTGATGAGGATTTCCTCTTTGCTTTGTTGGACTTCTCTAAATTCCCTGGAGCTAGTTGGAATGCACATGTTGAGGATAAGCTTTGTGATTACAATCTTGAGATTCCTGAACCAACAAAGTTGTCTGACGCTAGTGATATCTACTTTGAGGCTTTGCATTTGCAGCCAACTCTGACACATTTGTCGTTTGTGAGAACAGAGAGAGTGAATGCGGAGGACAGAACTTCATCTCAGAACACGATTATGTTTTTCGTGAATGTGCTTACCATGGCCATTGGTAATATCAACGATGCTCCAATAAAGTTGAATGCGTTGTTTATTGAGAACATAAGGGTGCCAATTCCTATTTTACTTGAATCTGTTCAAAAGCATTACGGACAATCCTTCTTCTATCAGTTGCACAAGATATTGGGGTCTGCTGATTTCTTAGGAAATCCAGTGGGCTTATTCAACAACATTTCGTCGGGTGTGCTTGATATTTTCTACGAACCATATCATGGTTTCGTTATCAATGATCGTCCTCAAGAATTAGGTATTGGAATCGCGAAGGGTGGTTTGAGTTTCGTCAAGAAGTCTGTCTTCGGATTCTCGGACTCGTTTGCTAAGGTTACAGGCTCTCTCGCCAAGGGTTTGTCGGTAGCAACTATGGATAGGTCCTTCCAGGAGAGAAGAAGGTTGAACCAACGCCGGAACAAGCCAAAACATGCATTGTACGGCTTCTCGTCTGGAGCCAACTCTTTCTTCGAGTCCATCTCGTCTGGAGTGACCGGAATTGCAACCGCTCCAGCGGAAGGAGCCGCAAAGGGAGGAGCAAATGGCTTCTTTAAGGGACTTGGCAAGGGTGTTGTTGGTCTCCCCACCAAAACTGCTATTGGGTTCTTCGATCTTGCTTCTAATGTGGGCGAGGGTATCAGAAACACCACGACAGTATTTGATGCAGATGGCTTAGAGAAAGTTCGTCTCCCCAGATACGTCTCCTACGACCAGGTGATTCGTCCATACTCACAGAGAGAAGCACAGGGACAGTTTTGGCTCAAGTCCATTGAAGGTGGACGCTTCTTCAATGAGACCTACTTGGCACACTTGCTCCTTGCCGGAGAAGAGAAAGCGGTGGTGATCACGTTCAAGAGAATCATACTCTTCTCTATTGATTCACTCAAGGTCATTTGGGTGACGAACTTCGACCAGGTTAAGAGCATCGGCCTAGAGAGTACTGGTATTTCTATTAAGCTCAAGGCGAAGGAAGGCCCATTTATCCCCATTTCGGAGAAGAAAAACAAGGATTTCTTGTACGCAAGGCTTCGTGTTGCAGTTGAAAAGTTCAATGTGCATGCTAAGGTGATCCAGTAATTAGGATTTATATACAAATTGATTAAGAGTTTGACCGGCCCTTTTCGCTAGTCTCTTCATAAACGTCTCCGGGTCTTCATCGCCGCAGAACTGGAACTTTAGCTTCTTAGCTGCAATGGACCCATCGACTGTACGAATGATGAGACTTTTCAGCTGGGGATTGAGAAGAAATTCACCAGGGTTTTGGAGACCATGACAATTCTGTGATATGCTAATGTCATCAATGATAACTTTTTGAAGCTCATGAACTCTTTTCTTTTTCTTCGTAATGTCAACCTCCTTGTAGACATGCAATGGGCCCAAAGCATCGTTTAAACGCTTTACTTGCCTTGCTGTTTTGTTCCAGTCTATCTGTGCCATCTTGGGGGTTATCTTAGGAGCCAATGAAGGTGCAGATTGCAGTTGTATCGGCTTGACAGGGTCAACATATAAGCCCTTCTCGATAGCAGAAGTAAGCAATTCTGCACCAACGTCCCTAAACGCTCTGAAAGTGAAATGAAGTTGTCATCTTCTCGAATGGAGACTGGTTGAGATTGCAGGAGTATCAAGCCGTGGTCAAACTTCGTAGGATGTAGCGTCTGAAGCGACACACCTGTCTCTTTCAAGTCATCCATCAATGCGTATTGTATTGGCGAAGAGCCTCTGTACATTGGCAATAAGCTAGGGTGGACATTGAGCCCACCGTACTTCATAGAGTTGAGGAAACTGCCCGGTATTAGCTTACCGTACGAAACCGCCACGGCTAGATCGAACTTTTCAGTCTCTAGGATGTCTAGTGTTTGCCTCAGTGAATCCGACCTGAACGTCTGTATACCCCGTTGCTGGGCAAATTCGCCAATGGGCACGTCTATCATGTTCTTGAGGTTTCGACCGGTAGGCTTGATGGATCTGGTAATCACCTTGATAGATGATACAAGCAGCGGGTTCCTTTTATGGAGATCGTATAGTCTGCGTAGGGACGTGACACTGAATTTGTCAGAGCCAAAGAAGGCAATTCGTAGAGCCGGCAGAATTGTCATAGATCACTTGGGATGGAGCTGAATGCGAGCTTGATACTACTTCTCCAGTGTAGGAATGGCTGCGAAAAACAGGTCGTTCCATGGTAGCTATAGTTCACGTAATATTCGACGTCAGTAAGGAGCTATGTAATTTTTCGAGTTCATCAGGGTCCTCGTCTGTTACATAAGCTGCTACAAAGCCCTGTTGCTGTGGAAAGTGACCAACGGATCGGCTACCAGGTGGGTCAACAATGGTTCCACCTCTCGGTCGCCTAGCATGAGCCTCTTCAGGCACTATGAGGCCCTCAGCGGCCATAAGTTCATAGGCTTCCTCAGAATTGAGCTCTTCAATGGATGCAGAGTCGCTTTGTTTGTAGAACCATTTGCCCACCATCACTCTCTTTGGTGCCCTTCTGCCCATAGGGTCTCCGTATATCTTTGCATCTCTTTGAAGGCGACGATTATCGATGAGTCTCTCAATACAGACATAGATGCCGAGTCCGACTGCTCCCAGCACGAGAAACACAAAGGTAATGTAGAAGATCATCAAGAGCAAGGCGAAGAGTCGCTCTGCTTCCTGAAGACTTTCCTCGATTTCAGAGACAGCGGTTGTTGTAGCATTGAAGAGGATTTCATCGTATTTGACCAAGGGCATGGGAAGTTGGATTTGTGGTTACAAGAATGGTTGCAAAATGCTGCGCACTAGGCAAGAGTGCTGGAAATCAGGCACCAGAGAGGGAAATCTGTAACATGGTATTACTAACTATTGGCTGGATGAAATGATGTGGAGGCATAAATCTTTCTTTTCTTCACGAACTCTTTTGCTTACAGTGTACGGTTGTTTAAGTACAATTGAAAGCGGAGTAAATGACTGCAAACGGCAGAATTAGCCAATCTAACGGCACATCTGACGGCCAGTGAGACCACAGTTTCAATGCATTTTCTACAATCAAATAATATTCCAAACAGGTGAAGGAAGCAAAGAGTTACGTCAGCTGTTGCTTGGTCCAGACAATACAGTGGTGTCATCCCAATTGCAGACCGAGTCGCCCAGACAACAGGTTCTCAAAAATCAATAGTGAATAATCCAAAGTCAATTCATTCATATCTTCTGGTGAAAAAATTCAAAAAGCCCACTGCCTCGAAATTGTAAATCGCCGTTTGAAGTGAGTCAGCGAGGCTGTAATGTAGCGCCTGAAGGCCACAGCGATCGGCGCATAACTCTCTTAAACAGCCAGTAACTGCGCATCCACCCAAACCAGGCAGTGCAAGCAATTCCGTAGTTTTCCTCAAAAGAAGAGGGATCTTGGGGAATTTCAACTTTTCAAAGATGTCTTGCTTTTTTTTCCTTTTTCAAAATTGACTCTTCTGCGCCGCCACTATGCTCTCCTGCTGTCTGGCGACTGTTCCTGAAAATTACGACTCGCGTTGCGACACACTGCAGACCAACTTGGTCAAACCTTATGTCCTCAGAAGCATCAAATAGACTTTCCAAATAATCAAATTCAACCTCCAGCTTTCGAAGGCAGCTCAACAAAGAAGCGCCCTTTTGATGGAACTCTTTCATTTTCAACGTGTGTTTTTTTTTTTTTATTTAGTCTGCAACTTTTTTCCTGAACACACCCCCCTCTCCAGATCGTCCCCGAGGTGAGAATACACCTCACTAAATCAGCGCGACCCACCTACTTCACCCAATGCATCAATAATGCCTTCTACAATCACAAAGTCGCTCGTTCTCCTCCTGTGTACCTTTTTGGGCCTTGTTTGCGGCACCTTGTATCTATACTCGTCGTACTCGCCTCAGTTGGCCCAAAGACTCAACTACCTGGCCACAGACTCTTCCTTGATAGCACTCTGTGGATCACTAGGTGTTGCTGTGACGGGGCCCGTGGCTGGAGTTGTTGTCGACCGCAAGGGATACTCGGTCAGCTTGTTCATAGGCGGAACTTCTATCTGTTTGGCATATTATGGCCTCAAACAGCAATACTCCCAGGCCTTGTCTAGTTTATGGTACCTGTGCTTCTTGCTATTCAGCGTGGGATTGGGATCCACATTCATCAACTCAGCATGCCTCAAATGCTGCGCTGTGCTGTTTCCCAACATCAGAGGCGTGGCCACGTCGCTCCCTTTGGCATTGTACGGTTTGTCGGCGATGTTTTACTCCGTCGTCGCGTCCGTGTACTACCCCGGTGATACCTCGGGGTTTCTCGGCTTCTTGATTTTGTCTGTGGGCGTGATAACCGTTATCTGCTCGCCGCAATTGATGCTTTGTGACTTCAGAGACTTGCTGCCAAAGCGCCACAAAGCCAGCAACTCCGAGATCATCCAATTGACTACCATCGGACAGAAAATTGACTCGGAGCCGATCAAGTACCACGGTCTCCATCATAATACAGAGCTCTCAGGGGTCGAATTGCTACGAAACCCCGCTTCTGGCTCCTTTTCATCGCCACTGGTGCCTTTGCATCGCTAGGCCAAATGTACATCTACACCGTCGGCTATATGGTCAAGGCATTGGTCACCAACACGTTTACTACACCGGTTGATCCTACCGCAGAGTACGTCCCCATGGAGGTCGTCATCCAGCAGGAACAGCAGGTTCAAGTGGGCCTCTTGTCTGTCGCAAATTGTGTGGGCCGCCTTCTGGCGGGCATTCTAGGTGACATTATCAGTCAGAGCTTCAGAAAACCCCGTGGATGGCTTTTGTTTATCCCGGGAATTGGCCTTGTGGCTACACAGATCATGGGCTTGAGTATCACCGATCCGCATCATCTAGAGTGGGCCTCCATGCTCCAAGGCTTTTTCTACGGATTTACGTTTTGCATTATGCCGATTATCGTCGGAGATGTTTTCGGAATGGAGAACTTCTCAGGAAACTGGGTCTCGTGGGAATGTCCCCGATCATCCCTTCCTTCTTCTTCACCAACCACTTTGGTAAGGTTTACGACAGGCACACTGTAATGTCCGAATTGGGGGTGACAGTTTGCAGTCTTGGCAACGGTTGCTACAGACAGGTGTACAAGCTCACATTAGGCGTCAGCGTTTTCGCAATTCTTGTGGTGGCGATATTTAATTTTGGCGAACGCTACCTTGCAAGTCGCTCACTATACCAGAAACGAGCCGGCATCAAGCCCGAGAAGCAGTAGCGCGACTGATGCACACCACTGGTACATGTCCAAGAAGTATGTACCTCCAAACCGGAGGGCCAAGTCCAGTCCACAATCAGAGCCTGATAAGCTCAAAGAGAGAAAGGAAAGGTTTAACAAACCTCAAAAGCTGGATTATGGCTACGTGTCGCGAGGCGAGGAGAACAAGCTTCAAAAAGATGCCGGCGCCCGCGAGGCCTACTTCGAAGACATCAAAAAGATGGACCGCAAGAAGCCGGATCCTATCCTAGACTCTCTTAGAAAACTACGAGAGGCAATGCTCCATTTGACGTTGGACAAATTCACCAAGGAAGTGTACATGTACTCTTTTGAGTTCGGAGCCAGCGTCGGCAAGTATCAGACGTATGTGCCATGCGGGCAGTTTCTTCTACGAACCAACCTAATGACTCAAGAAGAGACGGCTTCGGTGGCTGCTATAATGACGCTACATATCTCTCACTGCAATCATGACAGTGGTAGAGCATGGCTGCTATATTTCCGCCATTTCAGCAGACAAGACCCTTTGTACGCTGTGCTCGAGGCATGGGATCTTGACGATTATGTCACATGGATGGAGCTATTTCGAAACGAAAAGGACAAATCCAGAAAGCAGGTAATGGAGCTCGGGTCTGGCAAGATGATGCGCCACATGGCCAAGTGTCTCACAGTGCTGTATTTCACAATGGCCGCCGACGAAATGGCTCAGCTCGTCAACAGCGATCTAGGTCGCTTCATTGAACAGTACAAACTCGGCTGGACCGTTGAAAAAGGAATAGTCACCCTACGCAGTAGAAATAGATAATGCTAGACGCCAAGGCAATATAGTGTGCGGGTTCCCACATTCGCGACATCTCTAACTCTCCACTTTCGAAGGTACTCCACCACCATGAGTGATTTGTCCGGGCCGATTAAAATAGACGACATTGCAAGCGGGCGAATCGATAGCAAAGCTATCTTTGACGAGCTAGAGCGACTCAAAGCTGAAGTCAACATCCTCAGAAATGACATGTCCTTGTTTCTCAAGCAGCTAGCCTCCATTCCCGAGAAGCACAGCCAACAAGAATACCAAAATGCCCTTCAACAACGGCTCACCCAGGTGCAAAACACCATCAAGGAGTACTGTGCTCGGTACAACCGCCTACTTCCTATTATCAACTTGTCTCAGATCAAACTAGGGCAAGAACCTGAGACAAATGCCAAGGCAAACGGCCTGCCGAAGAAACAGAACGTTTCACCACAGAAGAACGGCCAGAGGAAGAGTTGAATAAAGAGCCCAAAACTACGATGATTCTATTCCGAAACTGTGGCACTCTGCTATGTATCCACGAGGGTTGCGAACGCAGGGTTATGATTGACCTTTCACTCGATTTTGTTCACTGCATTTATATCTTTGAGAGGCTCTCTACTTGGTTCCTTTTAAGGCCTGAAATGTTCATCGCTTGCATTTTGACGAACTTTAACTGCTTGAGGTCATTTTGACTAATAACACTACAAAGAAGACACTATTGAGGCTTCACACTATTGAGGCTTCAAGCCGCTATCCAAACTAAGAGACCCCTAAAAAATCGTTCTACCGGAGTTTTTTACTTTGAGGTCGTTCTTGCTTACTTCAATGGTCACCTAGCTGAATGTGATACATCATGAAGAGTCTACAACTTAGAGTTGTCAATTTCAAATGTTCTGATAAGAGATTGTTAGAAGTACAAATAGAAGATATAATCTATCTGACCGGCAAGGAAAGTATGTGATTGTGGATAGTCTAGCATACCCTTCACCTCTTGACGGATGCGCATGCCTGCCGCTTTTCTTTTGCGGACGTCCGTCAGAACTTCACCTGGACCAGCACCCAATTTTGATTGAAACAACACCCCAGACATTTCTCAAAGGCATAAGGCTACCCGAATTTTGAGATTGTTCAAAATCTATTTTTGCCCCACATTTCGCCTAGGGGTTACCCTGAACTGACTCATTGACAAGATAACGATCGTGTATATAAGACTGCTGTGCTGCCCTCGAAGCTCATTCTCGATTTTTCAATCAGATCTATCAATATAGCTCTACACAATGTCTGCTTTGTTGAAAGAAACTTTTGCCAGATGCAAGAAAGAGGGTAGAAACGCCTTGGTGAACTTTATCACGGCCGGTTACCCCTCTGTGGAAGATACTATTCCCATCTTGAAGGGAATGCAAAAGGGTGGTGTAGACATCATTGAATTGGGTGTTCCTTTCTCCGACCCAATTGCTGATGGCCCTACTATCCAGGCTGCTAACACGCAGGCTTTGGAGAACGGCATGACTGTTCCAAAGTGTTTGGAGATGGTTGCGCAAGCCAGAAAGGAAGGTGTCACCGTTCCAATCATCTTGATGGGATACTACAACCCTATCATGAAGTACGGCGAGGAAAAGATGGTTGAGGATTCTGCTAGAGCCGGTGCCAATGGTTACATTGTGGTTGATTTGCCTCCAGAAGAAGCTGTCAAGTTCAGAACCACCTGCTCCAAGTACGGTATGAGTTACGTTCCTTTGGTTGCACCAGCTACTAGCGATGCTCGTTTGGAAGTTTTGGGTGGCATTGCCGACTCTTTCATCTATGTGGTCTCTCGTATGGGTACCACTGGTGCCGCTCAGGAAGTTTCTCTGAGTATCTCGGAGTTGTGCAACCGTGTGAAGAAGTTCTCTGGCGACACTCCTTTGGCTGTTGGTTTCGGTGTCAGTACTAGAGAGCACTTCTTGACTGTTGGTGCAGCAGCCGACGGTGTTGTTATTGGATCCAAGATCATCACCCTTTTGGGAAGCTCCAAGCCAGGTGAGAGAGGTGAGATCGCATACAAGTATGTTCGCTCCATCTTGGGCGAGGACTACAACGGAACTGCTCCAGCGGACTTCAAGCCTTACAGCGCTCCAACGGACATCAATGCCCCAAAGCCACTTTTGGAGGAAGATCACAAATACAACCCCAGATTCGGTGATTTTGGTGGCCAGTACGTTCCTGAGGCCTTGCACACTTGTTTGGCTGAGTTAGAGAGAGGTTTTGAGACTGCTGTTGCTGATCCAGGATTCTGGGAAGAGTTCAGATCTTTATATTCCTACATTGGTAGACCATCGAGTCTACACAAGGCTGACAGATTGACTGAGCACGCTGGTGGTGCTCAAATCTGGTTGAAGAGAGAGGACCTTAACCACACTGGATCTCACAAGATCAACAACGCTTTGGCTCAAGTGCTTATTGCCAAGAGATTGGGTAAGAAGAGAATTATCGCTGAGACTGGTGCCGGTCAGCACGGTGTCGCTACCGCAACTGCTTGTGCAAAGTTCGGTTTGGAATGTTGTGTTTTCATGGGTGCTGAGGATGTGAAGCGTCAAGCTCTTAACGTTTTCAGAATGCGTATTTTGGGAGCCAAGTGCGTGGCTGTTACCAACGGTACACAGACCCTCAGAGACGCCACCTCAGAAGCTTTCAGATACTGGGTTTCCAACTTGGAATCCACTCACTACGTCGTTGGTTCTGCCATTGGTCCCCACCCATACCCTACCCTTGTTAGAACTTTCCAGAGTGTGATTGGTAGAGAGGCCAAGGAACAATTCAAGGAGTTGAACGAGGGCCGCTTGCCTGATGCCGTTGTTGCCTGTGTTGGTGGTGGCTCTAATGCAACTGGTATGTTTTCTCCATTTGAGCACGACACCTCCGTGAGGATGTTGGGTGTCGAAGCTGGTGGTGATGGTTTGGACACTGAGCGTCACTCTGCCACCTTGACAGCCGGTATTCCAGGTGTCTTCCACGGTGTCAGAACCTACGTTTTGCAGGACTCTGACGGACAAGTTCACGACACTCATTCCGTGTCTGCTGGTTTGGACTACCCCGGTGTTGGCCCTGAGTTGGCTTACTGGAAGAACTCTGGTCGTGCTGACTTTGTTGCCGCCACCGATGCCCAGGCTTTGGAAGGTTTCAGATTGTTGTCACAACTTGAGGGTATCATCCCTGCTTTGGAGTCTTCTCATGCTGTCTACGGTGCTGTCCAGCTCGCAAAGACGATGTCTAAGGATCAGCACATCATCATTAACGTCTCCGGTAGAGGTGATAAGGACGTCCAGAGTGTGGCAAAGGCTTTGCCTGAATTGGGTGAGAAGATTGGCTGGGACTTGAGATTCGAGGACGACCCATCTAAGTAAGCATACGAGGTACGATCTTAAAAAAAAATACATAAGTCTAATGATTATCTATAATGTATAATACAAATGTGAAAGTAAGTTATGCAAAACCACCCTTCCTCTTCTTCTTCTTTTGACTAGCGCCCTGTGATCCGGGCCGCTTAAGTTTCTGGGAAAGTCTAGATGTCGCTGGTCTAGCTTGCGAGGATGATGGTTGTGACAGCATGATTTGAGGAATCTCTTGCGAACTACCAGGCTGTGGTGATTGAGACAGCCGAGAAGCCTGAGATGCTGTAGATTCTTGTGTCAATTGAGATGATTGTGAAGTGAGCTGTGACATATGCTGTGAATTTTGAGTGAGTGCCCGATGCAAAAGTCCTCTCTTTTTTGTATCAACTGTGGGCGGAGCAGATTTGGCTCTTACTTTTGGTATTTGGATGTCCCAATCGTCAAACATTGATGTGAGTTCAGAGCTGCAGCCTTTTAGTTCCTCCCGATATACATCCTGTAAACGAGACTCAATGTCCTCGTTAGACACCTTATAGTAACTATTGGCCAAGATCATTGCTACTTGGCTAATATTCGGATGCTCAGGGTAGGTCTCTTCAAGACACTTTTGAAGTTGTTGAACGGAATCACAGTTATCGAGAGACACTCCTTTCAACATGCGCCTCATATCCTTCTGAAGTTTGACACCGCATGACTCGTAAAAATCATTGAGTTGCTCAATCATTGAATCAAACTCTTCCATATCATCGATGGTGATGGGTAAGCAGTCAGCAATGGCAGATATGGGTGTGTATTTTGAAAGGTAGCCATCAGAACTCTTGCCAGAGCCATTCAATACTTCTGTCCCATCTATCCTCTCGGGAGAGTCTTCTTCAATATTGAGTCGCTTCTTTATATCATGGCCAAGTCTGAAGGCATAGTTCTGAACGAGTGGTACATTGTCAGACTTCTCGTCTTCCCAGATCTCTTCGTTTTCGTTAGTCATTCGATTGGATGTGGAAAATGAGTGAAAGGCGTTCGTAGCTTCAGCTATCGAAATCATGTTGAAAATATCTTTCGAAACAGTTTCATCGTCAGGTGTATCAGATGGATAGCTCTGAGAAGTCCCATCCAAAGAAAGTGATTTCACCCCATGTAAACTAGAAAACTGTATTCCTGAGGCTGTAGCTTGAACTTCACAGTACGTCAGCTGGTCTCTTCCATCGTAAACTATCTTATCAAACATAATGTAGCTGCACGTATCATCGGTTCGAATACAGCTTGGATCATTGAGAAGAGCCGGCTTCCCATCGTGAAATCCGAATGTGTAAATCATAACCAAAGGCGTGTTCTTGGAAAAGACAGAACATATGAACAGGTCCTTCTTTTCAGCCTCACAAACATGAAGCTTCAATGAGGAGTCCTCATTATCTAGGTAGTGCTTCCACGAAACGAGTCTTTTAAAGGGAACTTCCACTCCGAGTTTAAGGAAGATAATCTCTCTCGACGTGAGAAGAAAAGCGAATCCCAGATAACTTTTAATGTCCCAAATGTTTGCCCACAGATTTGATGTGATGAGTTTTTGAACGGGAATCGAAGATTTGCGATTGAGGCGAAAAATGGTCGCCTCGTTCCGACTAAAGGCAATTAGTGATTCAGATTTGGGAGCCCAGCAAATGCTCTTCCACGAAGATGCATCTTCTAGATCGGATATAGCGAGAGGAATCTCGTTGCCAGATTTTGCGGAGGGAATATTTTGATGGGCCAATTTGATCCTCCAGGATTTGGTATCTAAGCGCCAGATCGAGAATTTACCACGCACATCTATAATTGAAAATGAGTGCTTGTCCGTGGGTGAAAATTCGAAATGGGCAAGGTCATGTTCTGTAAATTCGTGCAGATTAATGGAACTTGGTAAAACGTCAAAGACCGGGGCTTTTGTGTGTGGATCGTTTTGCCACGAGAACTTGACGAAATGTATCTTTGAGCTCGAGCGAACGGCAATAATGGGAAGCAAAGGAGAGGCCTGGATCTGTAGGATTTTATGGGGGAAGTTGCAACACGCGTAGTTTGTTCTTCCCTGGAATGGAGCAGGTAGATATAGGTTACTGGTTTCACCAGAGTCTTCCATGGTGACCTTTTTGTTCTGCGGTAGAATCGGAGCAATCCGGAGTTGTGTGTTGTTGTCACCACAAACATAAACCAAGGCCTTGATGTTCACCACACTGTTCTTGGTGCTGGGAACGACTTTATGGCCGTCGAGGTTCACTGGATTTGCAAAAACCCCAGTGCCGAGATTCACCAAGACCATCTGGTCACCCTCAGTGGGATCGTGAGCAAACAGCTCGTTTATCGGGGCCAGTTCTGCCACAAGTGCTTCCGTTAGTTCATCTGGAGCGTATATCGTAGAGTGGGATTTGCTCCTCCACCAGGACATGGAGGTGGCCACGGAATCATCTTTTTCATCCGTAGGAGTCGGTAGCTTCCAGGAAGAATTTTTGATTGGACGTAACACAGGGCCTCGATCTCGTAGTCGAGGGAAGTGTATCTTGGGTTGGAAAGAAGGCAGCTCCTCCAGTGCAGAAGAAACCTCTTCCGCAGCCACCACTCCATTACCCTGGATGCCATAAGCAAGCTGCACACCCAACAGGTGTTTGCTTGGCCACATTATCGGCACGAATCTTTGAAGATCACGGAGTTGGTTTGGAAGTAGTAGTAACGTACAGTACGATGAGATGGAGTATTGGTGAGGTAGATGTAAGTCAATCTATGAAAGATCAGCTATACATTTGGGTGAGATCACTTAAGAATAGCGTGACAAAACTGAAAATGTTTCATCAGTTTGAAATACTCTGGAAAGCGTAGCCGATGGTGTTATGGATTCACGGCATGGCTGCGAAATAGCCCATAGGTGCGTATTATCGCCAATGGGTTGATCAGATCAGAGAAGGACACAAACAATGAAGCCTATTAGAAAATGCAGCAAATTCGTTTAATTTTTTCAAAATGAAGCAGTTTCCTTCATTACACGTTCTGGAATTCTTGAAGTGCCGAATCCATCTTCTTCCTTGTATCTCATACTAACTAGAGTCTTGCAGTGGCATTCGCAGTATTGTCTACCTTCCACCGCGGCCTCTTTCATTGAACCGGTGACTTCTTCAATACACCAAGCCGTTCCCATCACCAAAGACCCGTCAATTACATCAAATTAACTGGTTCCAAAGCCGAAAACTCAAAAGAAGAAGCTCAATCAAAGAACCATGCTTCAGGCCAGATTCTGCGCTCTATTGACCTTCTTCATAGTGGCAGTATTTTCCACACAAGATTTCGACGAGTTCGACATTGTTAGAGACCTGCCATTAAATGAGCTTCCAGAAGGCTCTTACGAGAGACTATCATACGATTCTTTATTATGGGGGCCGTACAACTCAGGCCGTTACTTGGGAATTAGACCTAGACTCCCGGAGTCGCTTCTTTCGGGACTTATGTGGTTCAATGCCGATGAACAATTGGGTGTCAGCCGTCTCCGTGACTTCTATGAACAGGGCGACAACATGGCTAGAGCAAACTGGGTGCAATTTGATCCACGTTTGGGAGGAAGACAAGTGATCAGCGACAACGATTGCCATATTGACCTCACGATTGATTTCGTCAAGAGTGACAATGGTCGCAATTGGGCGGTCAAAGTTAAGCTGACCCTCATAAGGGCCACGAGAACGTGAAAACCTCTTTTGTTTGGTGGTCTGGTCTTCAAGGCGAGAGAAAGAGCGATGGAAACAAGCCTGAGAACGAGGGCGTATTGAAGTTTGATACTCCCCACAACGAAAATGGATACAAGGGAACTATTGATCTCTCTGGATTCTCTGACGACCTAGGCTTGTTTGAGATCAAGATTAATGATGGGGGCCCCGGAACTTCCAACAAACACCCTGGTCTGCCCAAGGGTACATTGAGGGAACTCAATCCAAAGAGAACACACCACATGAGTTTGCGTGTACCAAATCAAAACGTTTGGCAATCAAGAGGTATCTTCATGACCCTTTTGAAGGACTCTGTCCAAGATATCATTAGCACTTACGAGCAGGACGCAGACAGATTTCCACCTCATGTCGTCTACATTCTTCGCAACATGAATAACTATGAGGGTAACTTGCATTTTGTTCAAAAGGTGTACGAGGGTGCCTCCGAATTTGATGTTATCTACACAGACGTTACATCCCCTCCAACCGAGAAGATCACCTTCGACAATATCAACAATAAGATCGACGAAGTTCTTTCGAAGGTCAACACAAACTTCAAGAAAAACTTCGACATCCAGAAGTTCCTGAAGAAACAGCAAGAATTTGGCCAAGAGATGCTCTCTGGTCTTTTGGGTGGCCTTTCGTACTTCCATGGCGATCATCTTGTTGATAGAAAATCCATCGTTGACAACGACGAATTTGCAGTTGATGAGAATGATGGTACAGAGTTGCCAAAACTTGAGGGGGAATTGGAGGGCCCATTTGAGCTCTTTACGCTTGTTCCATCTCGTCCATTCTTTCCAAGGGGTTTCTACTGGGATGAAGGGTTCCACCTCCTTCCTCTTTTGAAATACGATTCCGACTTAGCATTGGAGATCATTAAATCCTGGTTCAATCTTATTGACGAAGATGGCTGGATCGCTAGAGAACAGATCTTGGGAGCAGAGTCCAGATCCAGGGTTCCCGAGGCCTTCCAAGTTCAGAGTCCTGCCATCGTTAACCCACCAACATTGATGCTTGCTTTCACATACCTCTTGGAGAATTCTCAGAAAACGAAACTCGATGAAGCCGTCAATTTAGACGCTGAAGATTTGAAGGATAACATCGGCAATATCGTCTTGAATAACCATGAGCTCCTCGCCAACTACACTCGCCAAATCTACCCTAAACTCAAGTCGCATTTCGAGATGTTCAGAAGAACACAACGTGGATCTATTGAGGAGTTCAACCGTGGTCCCAACCCAGAGGCTTATAGATGGAGAGGTAGAACCGTGACACACAGCCTCGCCTCTGGTATAGATGACTATCCTAGACCCCTTCCTTTGGACGTTGCAGAGCTCAATGTCGATCTTTTGTGCTGGATGGGTGTCATGACTAGATCTATCAAGATGATTGCCGAGGTACTCGAGTTGCATGAGGACCAGGAGCAATTCGGCCAGATTGAATCTGACATCATCGCAAACGTGGAAGCACTTCACTGGTCTGAGGAGGATAAGGCCTACTGTGACGTCTCGGTCGATGACGATGATGAAAACGTATACGTCTGTCACAAGGGCTATATTTCGCTCTTCCCATTCATGACGAGGATGATTCCAGTTGAGCATGTCGACAAGATTGAGCATGTTGTTGATCAAATCACAAACCCTGAGGAGCTTTGGTCCGACTTTGGTATCAGATCGCTTTCGAAGTCTGACGAGTACTACAGAACCGGAGAAAACTACTGGAAATCACCTGTCTGGATCAACATCAACTACTTGGTTCTTGAAAGCTTACAACACTACCATGAAGTCACCAAGCCTCACGCAAGTGCACAGCTTAAGAAGAAGATTGAGCTGGCTTACTCTGAACTTCGTGAAAATCTCATAAAGAATGTATTCAAGCAATGGGAGAACACCGGTTTCGTGTGGGAGTCATACGACGACGAGACCGGTGAAAATAAAGGAGCAAAGAACTTCTTGGGCTGGACCTCAACCATCTTGATTATTATGGAGATGCCCGAAAAATTAACATAGATATTATATATGAGCCTTTTGCAGCCAGACCACTGGTGCGCACTGTGCACTATTATTGTACTGAGTGAGTAGCTCCAACTTCCACTACATCCATGACCGGATTCAGCTTCCAAGAACATGAGGATATTCTCCATACTTCTCTGGAGCCATCGCAAAGATTGTATACTCATGATCAAATCCCTCGGCAAAAAATAAACAAGCTCATTCTCAATTACTTCATTCAAGAAGGGTTCCCTAATGCTGCGTTGAGTTTCTCGAAGGAAGCCCAAATCGATTTGAAGCAAGATGAAGAATCTTGGGTGCAGCTGGAGAAAGAGACAAAGAAATTTCTTACCACACCAAAAATCTCTTCACAAGACTTCATCGATGCTGTCAACGATTACCTAAATTCACTGAAGACTAGTGCTCCACAAGAAGACCACGCAATCGAAGAGACGGCTCGTGATACGATCAGGGGGTTCTCCTCAATCGAAAAAAGAAAAGAGATCAAATACTTGGTATTGAAAGGTGACATCACCAGGGCAATTGCCGCCATCAGCACATACTTTCCTTCGGTTCTAGACTCCAACAACCTTTTGCTTTTCAAGCTACTAAGGCTCAACTTGATCGAAATGATCAGGGCACATAAACTACAAATGAGTCATCTCATGAACGAGGACGCTGCAGCGGAGCGCAAGTTCTTGGACGATATACTCAAATTCGTGAGGAAGAACCTTATAAGCAAGGTGACGCAATCATACGATTTATTGAAGGAGCTCGAAATGACCATGAGTTTGTTGTGTTTTAACTTTGACCCCAAGAGACCAGTTCAGGAGCTGAGTGATCTTCCGGAGGAGTTGAAGCAGCTCTTCGACTTATCGCTTCGTGCAGATTGCTACAGGGTAGTGAACAGGGTGATTTTGGACTTGGAGAACTCGGAGCAGGACTCGATCCAGTTCAGAAGACAGGAGACTGTGAACTTCAGTGCCGACCTGCTAGCTCGGGCAGGACCTCCTCCGACTTTGAAGCTCAAGGAGGATGTAGATATGGAAGACTCCAGCGAAACAACAGACATTGAGGATCTCATACCCAAGGATTTTACAGATAAAGAGCCGGTACTCGCTCCTTCAGTTGATAAGACTGCTGAAGAGCAGCCGAACCTGTTGGACTCACGACTCGAGACAATTGCAAAGCTATGGGTGATGACTGAAAGGGTTCTAGTGGAGAAGAAGATCATTCCACACAGAGAATTGAAGGGGGAGAAGAGATGGCTTTGAGTTCCTGGTGGTGAGTACTTACGTAGGTGAACAAACAGTGATGCTTGGTATGTTGATGAAGCTATTTGCTTTTTGAATGAATCTTAGACGAGCACTATGGCATCGATGACATTTCCTGTTTCGATGTGGATCTTACTGAGGTAGGTCTTGTCGTCCTCAGGACCAACCGCAATGGATTTATTGTTGTAGACCAACACATCGTCCTTGGTGAGTTTACCGCTGTCAAAGCGATTACAGAGCGGTGACGCAAAGAATGTGGTGAGCACTTTTTGACGCAAGTGTTCGATGTTGGAGCCAAACTCAGGCTCTGGGTTTCCTTCAAAGTCTTCCGGGCTGAACTCAAAATGATACTTCACAAACTGAGGCAACTTGAAAATCACAAGGGCTAGCTCATTGAGTTTTTTCCAGTTCAATACATTGTAAGCCGACCGCTGCTTTAATTCGTAGTATTCCTTGACGTCAGCTAGACTGTCCTTGTTGGCGACATTGACTCTAACGTAAACGTGGGCACAATGGATGGGCACCTCCGTGAATATATCCTTGGCATGGTACTCCCACAAGTCTAGGTAAATGCCAGACCAGTATATCGTCTCGTATGTGAACAAGACTATGAAAAGGACGAGAAGCGACTCCGAGATAACGCGAGATATGGGGTTTTGTATAAGGTCTTGAAGAAACCAGTGGCTGCGCATGAAATTCATGAACCAGTCATCGAAGGCTCGAGCGTAGGACCACACGAGGTCCGTGGCGTTATCGACGGAGGGCAAGAACTCAGCCATGAGTGAAGTCGATAGTGCAAGACCCCAACAAAAAATGGTCTCATTCTTAACCCGATTCGGCGCGCAGGAACGGTACTGGGAGCGAGTACGATCTGATAAACGAGAACGACGTGTAAACGAGAATGGCTGGTGAGAATAAAGAGCGAAGCTCGTACAAGGGCAACCTCGAAGGGATGAATGCCTCTCATGGCTTTTCAAGATTCAAAGCTGGGTGAAGTTGGATAAGGGTTTGAGCGGCCTGTCACTTCTAGCGTTTTTTTCAAGGACAGAGTCTCTATCGTAAACGAATGGTGTTGAAACTCTCATGAAATTGACCGGAAAAGACTCATCTAGAAGCTGTGGCCTTGATACAGCAGTTATTGCAGTTATAGAGTCCTTAGAACTTCACATACAAGGGCCCCGAGGCTTTGATGGGAGCAACCTGACCAGCGTACTGCTTGGAATCCTCCAAAATCTTCTTCTTTTCATCAATATTCAAGAGATGAGGAAACGACTTGTCTTGTGTAAGCAGAACAGGCACCACACTTGGAGATGCATGAGCGGTTCCCGGAAGTGAACCCGAGTTAGCGACAGCCGAGAGGGCAGGCGATTGAACATCCTGATCTTGAATTCCATCTTCTACCTGTGTATTCGACACAAAAGTGCTCACATCGATCAAGTCATTGTTCAAATCACTGACTATGCCGTTAAGTTCACTTTGTCTCTGCTGCTGCTTGATTAGTTGCTCCTGGTAGCTTTCATCAGCAAATTGCTGGTGACCTCCTAGTAAAGATTGTCTTTCAGCATCATCGATGTCTTCCTGGCCGCCTAGGCACGAAAGACAGGCTCCCATAGCAAGAAGTTGTGGTTCAAAGATAGCGCTGGCTGCTCTGTACAGGCGATTCCCAGTTGGGGAAGCGGTGATAGTTAGACAAGTCAGAATTAGAGAAACGAAAGAAAGTGGGGGTTGGGAAAAAATTGAAAAGGAGAAGGAAAGTTTTGCTTTGGCTGTGTTTTATTTTCGTGACGGTGGTTGTTTCCTTATAGCTCGTGTACCATATAACTCAGGATGCTAGTACCATATAACTCAGGATGTCGTAAAAAACAAATTCATTTTTTGAATACCAAATAATCTTGCTCTTTTTACACGACTGAAACTTCCACCCTATTGCATAATTTCCGTTACTTCCCGGCTTTTTCTTCATGTGTCTAAATGCAATGGATTTGGCTGCAAAATGCGGTACCAAATCGGTACGACAGATGTGCTCAACTCTCCACATAACGGTCACCACGATCACCAAAACAACAGTTTTAAAATTCGCCCACTATTCAAAAATATGCACTGGCCTCTTGATGATAGCAACTTTTTACACTTAAGGTTTGTTGCTAAAGTCACGGCACATTGGTAACCAAATGACCTTTTCCTACCTATACTCCACTAAATATAGAGGACTACCGGAGTCAACCGTGTAGATCATGGGCGTTCACGTGCAGAAACAATCACAAGCAGCCAAGCCGACTTTGAAAGCATTTTTCCATTTAACTTGATTTCATTTCCAAATTTCCAAATTTCACGTCTTCCACATAACGTGTTCATCGTCGGCTGCATAAGCACGTCAAAAAGTACTATAGTGGTTATCGCGATTTCGGCCTCGAGATCTGGGACAGCTACAACCACACTTTAAAGAGTCATCATAACCACAGCAGCATGGAAACATTCTTTTCGCTTCCTGCTGAGCTTCAGACGTCCGTGTTGAAGTACCTGGATAGTGAAGATCTAGACAGGCTATTCGAGCTTCCTGATCTACTACGACAAGATGGATTTCGCAGCCCATACTCAGTGATAAGGCATCAGGCCCTCTGGGCCAAGTACTACCGTCAGAATTTGGTGATGCTGAATAGCGATGAGTTCCGCAGATTCTCGATTCCAGAGTTATTATATCTCATACAGCAAGACATCGTCATTGCTCCGTCGGAGATCACAGTGGTGCTCTTTGACTTCACAGACTACAAGAATCTGGTGTCATTCATGTACACCATGTTCCGCCGCTATTTCCCTACTTGAAGCGGTTTACAAAAAAATTCAGTGTTCAGTTGCTTCTTGTGGAGAACGTTCCATTGGAAAACACCCTCTTGAAGCTGCTTTTCGAGCCGCTCTGCTCTGGCGAGTACAATGTGAACTGGTTCACCATTAAGTACCACCCAGGAATGGGTAAAAAAGTTCGGGAAAATGGGCCATTGCAGCTCAACGTAAACGAGCTTTTCCAGTCTGGCAGCGAAATCGCCATCACCAATTTGCAATTGCATTTGTTCAATTCCAACAACCTTTTGAAGCACTTGGTGGATGAAAGCGGCTGTTTCTACTGCAGAAACCTCAAGTCCTTGGACCTTTCCTACAACAACATCACAGACACCATTTTGGAGACGCTTCGCCTTCCTACCTCGCTTGAGCACCTCAATCTTTCAAACAATCTGTTGAAGATCATCAACAACCGGACTCTTCCGTATCGTCATTTGACCGCACTCAAGTCGCTCAACCTTTCCAATAACAATATCATGAAAATTGAGCTTCAGAACTACTCCGAATTAGACGCTCCGCTGTATAGTCTTCAGCTGGTCAATTTGGCCGGCAATTTGATTGCCGATTACAGAAGAATCTTCACCTGCAAATTGTTTGAACGTGTCAAGCGAATTGATCTATCCAAGAATCTTTTGGAAAAAATTACACCTTTCCCAGACCTGGTGGTTTCTATAGACGTGAGCGGGAACTATTTCGCCTTACATGGTCACCAGATGGTTGGTGTATTTCCACGTGGATTGAGAAGATTATGTGTCAGCGCAGCCATGCCTTCAGATCAATGTTATGGAGAGTTTGCCAGGTATTTGATCCAGGAAGCAGAATTGTGGAATCTTGGAGAGCTTCAGATCTGTGGAGTAAACCGAGAGCTTCCTAGAGAGGTGCGGTGAATGGCTGCAAACGTGCGTTTCTTAGTATACCAAATAAAGAAGAAATATGACAACAGGTCGAATGAATGAATTGTAAGAGATCAGCAGCAGAGAAAAAGACGAGAAACTTTCAGATTCCTTGAGTTTCAATATTTTTTCATCTTACATTGGCCCCCTTTCACTGTGGTCTGACTGGGTCCGGAGTATGTAGGAGCTGCGAATTTAGGGAGTAGTACGATAAGATAACTAATCAACACCTCAAGACACAACTTGAATTTACGTAACTACTACTACGAATTGACAACATGACTAAAGCGCTTTGTTTGTGGGCATTTGAAAACTTGAACCGTCGCTTATTTCCTGAAAGCTCCTCCTCCAATTTGACCCACTTCTTACAGACCACGAATGCCTCCACATCTGATTTCCCTCATGAGGCGCCAATGTTCATTACATGGAACGAGGATGGCGATTTGAGAGGCTGTATTGGTACATTTCTGCCATTGAACACCGAGAAGGGTGTGGCAAAGTATGCTTTGGTGAGTGCCTTTGAGGACCCCAGATTTCCACCAATTGCAGCGAAGGAGCTCCCTTCATTGAGTGCCAGTGTAACGTTGCTCGACGGATTTACAGAGATCTCCAGCCCTACAGAATGGACTGTCGGAGAGCACGGACTCAAGGTTTACTTTGAACTCTCAGGTAGAGGATACTCTGGTACATTCTTGCCAAGTGTTGCTGAAGAACAGGGATGGGATACGGTCGATACACTTTGGAATTTGGCGAGAAAGGCCCACTATAGCGGTTTGAAGCGCAGCGATACTTTGGCGTTTTACGAGAAGGGATTGAGTGAAGGATGGCTTCTGTTGACTAGGTATCAGGGTCTCAAAGCAGAGGCTACCTACGAGGAATACCAGGCTGCCAAAAAGTAAGACAGTGTGAGGAATTTTAAGCAGGTTTTGGAAACTGTGGAGGGGCCCGGGATGTCGCTGGTGACGCCCATCTTTTTGAAAATACTCTCCGCCCGTCCTTTTTGATCGTTTCGAAACAAAGAGTGGGGAGTTAGGAAGTCCCCGGGCTATTGCACACCAGAAGGGTATTGTGATCAGTGCATCCGGAGGCTGTACGTCTAAAAGTGTATTGCTTTCCCGGGGTACGGAGATTCGATGATAAAGTACTAACTTTTCGAGTTAGCTGATCACGAAAGTTCGCCTCTAGACAACATGCAATTGTGGCATTATCAGTCATCCCTACACCTTATTTCTGCAACAATTAGATCTCTACAAGAGCTTACTGATGCTTCCACGAATGGGATTGAATCCTCCAATCCTGGACTCACAGTGGGTTACCCAAAGTTTTTTTTTTTGACTTTTGCAACATCATTGTTGTTTCCCGGGCCCGGGACACCTAACGTTCGTCTATTTTAGCCTTGCTCCAAATACCGTATCTGCGCTGTATGTCCGTTGATGTGAAAGTCTAAAACTGCTGCTCGATAGCCAATGCAAGCCACGCGGCATCGTCGCTTAGATCTTTCGCTCTGTCATACCCTACTGGTTACATCTGCCAACGTTTTAGACTCATCATACAAGCGCCTCACTTTGCTGAAAACTGCAAGGCTACGGCAATCTGCAGCCATCAGGGTATGGCTGCGAGATGGCCCCAGGGGGTGCTGAATGCTCGATGTGCAAACGCCGTCAGGATTACTCACAAAAATGCTCAATTTGCCGTAAACCAAACACGTTTCTAGTTTACTAGGAGCGGAAATGGCACGCAGTTACCGGTTGCCTAGACCCATATTGTTGCCAAGGGGTTTATCGCGGTGTACCTGAGGGTTCCGGGCCCGGGCGATCACGGGTGTCAGCCTCATGAAGGATGAGCGTTGGTAGACGGCATCGTATGCCATCTGATAAAAGCCACAAAATTAAAAAGGTTTTTCAAAAGCAATTTTGTGCAAGGTCCTAACCCGATATTGCTACCCGACTGATTACAACTTGGCTGATGTTTTGGAATTTCTCGCCCTGAGCTGCCCTGTAGGCTCGGCGCGAAGGATCTGGTGAGTCAGTATATGGGCTTAAAGTAGGCAGTTCATCAGTGTACTGCAAAATGCGCCCTTTTGCTTGGCGGAACAATGGAAGTTGAAGCATCAGCACGAAAAAAAAAAAAAAAAAAGGGTTCCTACATGGCTGGCCATATAAGTTTGCATAGTCCCCACATTCTCAAGGTCTTTTTATAATTTGATTTTTAACACAAGATGGGGAGTGTCTGACTGCCGACTTTGTCGACGAACACATGTCGCTCCGAGTGGGCTCCGTGTTCATAGTTCTTGTACTTTCGGCGATCGGAGTGTTTTTCCCTTTGCTAGGTCTCAAAAACCACATTTTCCACATCCCAAAGCTCCTCTTGTTTGCTGTGAGGTTTTTCGGTTCAGGTGTTATTGTGGCCACAGCTTTCATTCACTTGCTAGGCGACGCCTCTGAGTACTTGGCCAACGAGTGCTTGGGCGGGATCTGGCAGGAGTACCCATGGGCGACTGCCTTTTGTCTCATGGGCGTATGGATCATGTTCACTATTGAGCTCTGTGTGAGCGAGTACGTTAAGCACAAGGGCTTAAAAAGACTGGACGGCTGCAGCGGTTGTGCTGAGTTGGTGTTGGACGAGGATGCTGAACCTCACACTGACCCATATCACCAAAGTAGCAGAAGACCCCTGCTGCTGCCCGCCGAACATCTGCATCTGCATCAGCTTGAAGACTTGAACCAAAAGAATGTCCAGTTTGAGAAAACTAATGAGAGTGATATCTTAGATAGAGACATGGAGGCTAACACTGCCTCTGAGCTCTCTGAGAGTACATACCGTGTGCTCGTCAGCATTTTCATCCTTGAATTTGGCATTGTTTTCCACTCTGTGTTTGTGGGCTTATCCCTCGCTATTGCCCAAGACGAGTTTAAGACACTCTTGGTGGCCATTTCATTCCACCAGTTCTTCGAAGGCATGGGCCTTGGTGCGCGTTTCGCCGGTGCTATCTGGCCGAAGAACCAACACTGGGTGCCTTGGGCGCTCGGTATAGCCTTTGCTTTGACTACGCCTACCGGTGTGGCTGTTGGCCTCGGTGTGCGTCACACTTACTCTGAGGACTCCAGAGAGGCCCTTCTCACCGTGGGCATTTTCAATTCTTTCTGCTCCGGTATCCTTATCTACAATGGTATGGTCGATTTGATGGCCCAGGATTTCATCCACGGCGACTTTTTGCGGAATTGCCGCTGGAAGAAGGTGGCTTTTGCGTACTCGATGCTTTCGCTCGGGTGCCTTCTTATGGCGTTCATTGGCAAATGGGCTTAATTATTTACTTCCTCAGATTATGAATAGTTCCGCAGGTCAACGGGACGCCGGGTTTAATAGAAGACAAAATTTTATGTATTTATCCTTTTGCAGCCATTATCGTAGACATCAGGAAACCGGCACGTGAGTATCATCACATGACCAAACTTCTCCTGCCTCCAAACGCTATTCACCGAACTACTAACTATCATCTGAACCCAATCCTCGATTGTACGTGCCACCGGAATGACACAGGGCTATTCGGACCTACCCTATGGTGATGGTCTGTATAAGATCTTTGGCATGGAAAACTTTGGCAATTCTTGTTATTGTAATTCCATCCTTCAGTGCCTATACCATACCCAAAGTTTCCGTGAACGGCTTTTGAGGTACAAGCTCGAATACCACGAACGCTCCTTATCGGTTCCTGGCCAAAACGTTCATAACTTCTCGTTCAAATACGACCAATTGTACCAGAAACGTCTCAAAGAACAGGGGAAGCCTCCAGACTCCAGTAACAGCAGTGTGGGGAATGGGCTGGCACCTCCAATCACATCAAGACCATCGATTCGAAACTCCATTTTTGGAAAGTTCAGTTCAAATAACACACCATCAGTGGCTTCCGAGGAGCAGAGTTCCAGTCAGCCTAGAAAACTAGATTATGTATACGAAGCTGGTTCGTGTGACGCCCTCAACACCGAACAGCGAATGATGATCAAGAAACACCCGGAGCTCAATGGTCTCCAAATATTCGTGACGCGGCCTCTGCCCTCGACATTGGCGAATACGAATGATACTCGAAACGACAACTCTACTTCCTCAACAGCGTTGCTTGATAGCGGGAACAGCACGAACAATAATGTCAACACCGCTGAATTGGCTGCTCCAATCACTTCTAGACTGGCATTTGTCGTTGTGGGTATTCCCTATCCTGAGCTTGCCCTTTCAAACCCAATCAATCCGTTCAACCCAAACCCGGCAAGCGATCAGCGTAAGCGGTCTGCCTTGATCAACGGGCCGATAGTGAATCTAGATCACCCACTTAGAGAAGATGGAAGAACGTCGGAGACGTGCTTGTTGTACGCCTTGAAGGACATTTTCGAGGCCATGACTGAGAATAAGTCCCAAATTGGTGTCGTTTCCCCAAACCATTTCATCGATAAACTCAAGGCGAAGAATGCTTTATTTCGTCAGGTGAACATGCATCAAGACGCTCATGAGTTTTGCAATTATCTCATCAACGAGACTATTGAAAGTATCAACTTGGAGGTGGGTGCGTCGAAGAACTGGTGCACTGATATTTTCCAAGGAATCATCACAAATGAGACAAAGTGTCTTTCGTGTGAAACAGTCACATCAAAGGACGAAACATTCCTTGACCTTTCCATCGATATCCCACCGGGCGAGTCGGCTTACTCGCTTACATACTCCCTCAATAACTTCTCCAAGCTGGAGATCTTGAGCCACCAGAACAAATTTTACTGCAACACTTGCCTGTCACTTCAAGAAGCTGTCAAGACAATCAAACTCAAAAGCACGCCGGACGTGTTGATTATCAACTTCAAAAGGTTTAAGTACGACGACAAGCTCGATCGTATGGTGAAGTTGTTTGACTCCATTTCATACCCCCTTCGTTTGAGACTCTTCAACACTACAAAAGATCAGGAGCTAGATGAATCCAATCCTAGTCGTGACTTCAAGCTTTATGGCCTTTATGCGTTGGTGGTCCACATTGGTGGAGGGCCCATGCACGGTCACTACGTTGCCTTGTGCAAATGCAGAGCTGGACTTTGGTTTTTGTTCGACGACGAGACGATAGAAATTGTGGATGAGTCGTATGTGCTTCGCTTTTTCGGTGATGGACCTGGTTTGGCGAGCGCCTACATCTTGTTCTACGAGAAATTAGACACCACTATTGGAGAGGATGGCGATGTGCATGACTTTGGCATTGATCTCAATGGCATCTACAATGGTAGCGACTACTCGATGGCCTATATGAAACCCACAAATGAGTCTGCAGCGAGCGTCAACGGCCAAAAAGCCGATGATTCTTTGGTTGAGGTCGAAAATGATGACGATAGTGTGAGAGATTTCGTTCCCGAATCACTGGTTTCTCTCGAGAACAGCTCGATTGGCCTTGGGCGCAAAGCTTCCATCTTCAAGAAGACCTTCATGTTCGAAAGTAAAGACAACAAAGAGAACAAGGACATCAACGGAATTTCAGACGGTGGCTCGAAGGCAGTTTCGAGAGCTCCTTCGGACAAAGACGGCGCCGAGAATGTGGGTCCGACAGTTAATACCCCAGGCTACACAGAGCCCAAGCCGCCCCCACCTGTGGTAAAAAAATCGTGGGTCAATGGCCTCAAGCGCCGTGAACTGCGGGTGGAATTGCAAGAGAATGAGCGGAAAGGGTCTACCGGCAGCATTTTGACCAATGGCAGCAACAAAACTTCTGACGGCAAAGAAGATAAAAAGAAAAGGTCGTTTTTTGGGTTCAAGAGAAAATCAAAAAGTTAATCTGCCCTAAAAAACGCTGTCACAATAGGAGGAAACACGGCAAAGGCGAGGTTTGCAGCCATTGCGTTCCAATGCATAATGCGCATAAAAAAATACAACGTCTTTCCCAACTGAGACAGTTGTGGCACGCGAGCTCACGTGATTGCATCTTGGGGATACCCCGAGACCGTCGTTTGTAAGCGAGATTCCAGCACTCTTTCCACACTCTTCCACAAAAACTATAGCATATCAATGAGTGTTGTTTCTCCGACAATTAAAACCACCGCTACGTCACGTTTCGTCACCGTCGGCGCCGGCTGTTTCTGGGGTGTTGAGCGTGTGTTCAATAAATATTTCAAAGATAAGGGGCTTGTTGACTCCAAGGTCGGCTACGCAAACGGCCTCAAATCGGTTTCGCCACCCGTGAGCTACGAGAAGGTCTGTTCCGGAGCCACGAACTTCGTCGAGGCTTTGCAAATCTCCTACGAGCCATCCCAAGTGTCTCTACGCGAGCTCTTGGACATTTTCTTCAGAATTCATGACCCAACCACTTTCAACGCACAGGGACCTGACATTGGCACCCAATATAGAAGTGCCATCATGACTCACAGCAACGAAGACTACGAAGTGGCCAAGGAGGTCAAGGAATTTTTTCAAAAGGAATGGTACCCAAACCACAAGATCGCTACAACCATTGAGAACATTGAAACTTGGTACGACGCCGAGGCATACCACCAGAAGTACTTGGACAACAATCCCGGAGGCTACGAGTGCCCTACACATTTCTTGCGGACCAAGCCCAAGGCCTAGAGCGAGCTCAGGGCTTTAAACAAGGTAAGCGGTGCTTGAACAGCGCTGCAACAGAAACAGGAGATAGCATCACAATCGGACGGGATAATCAAAAAAAGGGAACTTCAACGCTTCTAACATTCATGGAGTAGCATCACATAGCAGTTATATAGAACAGGTGCACTTCCTACATCGCGGCGCGTATCGCGTAGAGAAAAGTAGAAAACTTCCACCTTATCCAATGTCCTTGTGGGTTGACAAATACAGGCCCAAGAAGCTCGAACAACTCTCCTACCATAATGCTACTACAGACCACTTGAGAGCATTGGCATCCACTGGAGATTTCCCACATCTTTTGGTGTATGGACCCACTGGAGCAGGCAAGAAGACGAGAATTTATGCCACACTCAACGAACTCTTTGGAGCTCAGGTGGAGAAGTTGAAAATCGACGTGAAAACGTTTACAACGGCATCCAATAGAAAACTAGAGTTCAATGTCTTATCGTCGCCATACCATTTGGAGATCACTCCTTCTGATATGGGTAACAATGACAGAGTTGTGATCCAGGACTTGCTTAAAGACGTTGCTTCCACTGAGCAGGTTGACTTTTCGAGTCTGTCGAAGCAAGGTCCGAAACACCGTTTCAAGGTTGTGATTATCAACGAAGCCGACTCATTGACAAGAGATGCGCAAGCTGCCTTGAGAAGAACCATGGAGAAATACTCTTCCAACATTCGTATCATTATGGTGTGTAACATGGTCTCTAGTATCATCTCACCAATTAAATCGAGAACTTTCCTTGTGAGAGTGGCTGCTCCTTCGGTTAAGGATATTGCTGATATTCTTGGACATGTATCGCAGAAGGAGGCAGTCAAGTTCAATACTACCGACGAGGATGCCAAATACAAGTACCTTGAATCAGTGGCTGCTGGATCGGGCCGCAACTTGAGGAGAGCTTTGTTGAGTTTCGAAACCTTGAGCATGCAACAGGAGACTCTTGATGTCAACAATTTGAATGCCACTGCAGTTCCTCTCGATTGGGAGAGCATCATTGTCACTCTGGCTCATTCGGTGATGAGAGAACGCTCCGTGGCAAACGTTGGTAAGATGCGTCAAGTATTTTACGATTTAATTGCCCACTGCATCCCACCAAGACTTATCTTGAAGGAGCTAGCCATGCACATCATACGTGCATTGGGCAGCGACACCAAGAAGGTGGTTGCAGTGGTGGAGCTTGCAGCTATCTTTGACGAACGCTTGAGTTTAGGTCTGAAGGCCATTTTCCATTTGGAAGGATTTGTGGCCAAAACCATGGTTGCATTGAACTAATTGAGCAAAGAGTGGTCTACATCACAAACACTGTTACTTGGTATGTTAATGGTTTGTTGATTGATTCTTTATTGCGTGGGAATAATCTTTGACGTACGTGTCCTACGGTGAGGTCAACGAGGAAGCTTGTTGCTACATCCGAGGCACCAGCCTACGCTTCAACAAACACTCATAAGTTATCATTTATTAAGTGTCATACTCAACGTCCCCGTCATTAACTTTATACCGTTTCTTCTTGGTCATCCACATATCCTGTTGAAAGGCTGCGGCCCTTTTGAAACCCGCTGTGGACAAACAGGAAGGAGTACACAAAAGCAGCTAAATGGAATAGCAAAAACACCACATTGACAGTTCCAGTTACTATAACACTAACGATAGCGAGGACTTGAAGTGCCACTGACAAGGCGAACTCCCATGTGCGACACGTGTACTCAGGTCCGGTCAAGACGAAAAATGGACACGGAGGGGCGATGATCGCCATGATATAGAGCATTGTCTTCTCCTCATTGGTGGGCTCTCTGGCATTCACAAATGCTTTGGAAATACCCATCTTGTATAAGAATGGAGTTACTCCAGATTTAGGGGCTGCGAAACAACACTGCGCACGTGAGACCAGGAGACTTCCAAAAAAGGGTAACCCCATTGTAGAATACGGTTTTTACGACGGTAACGAACTTACCTTTGATGATTAATTGACATATTCTACCTTTCAATCGAGTAGCACTGTTGCATATGTGCTACCGTAGTCAGCCGTCATCTCAAATGACTTAATGCTGAATCTTGTGATCACCCAAGTGCTTATTCTCCTTGGGGAAGCTGTTGACTTCGCTCTCCTCATAAGAAGGAAGAGAAGGAGAAGCCTCAGCATTAGACTGCTGCTCAGGAGCAGGCTGGCTCTCAGGGGCTGGTTCAGCACGTTCAGGGTCCTCAGCCAATCTATGGTACAGGCCGGTTCTGCCCTCCTCGAAGCCAATGTAGATGAACCAAACAACATAGATAATTGCAACGATGTACAAGAAGATCATCAAGAAGACGGAGATCCAGAACTCCTTGGTCTTGACTGTGTACTTAGGTCCCGTCATGAGGAAGAAGGGCACAGGTGGCAAAAGAATACCCAAAATGCACATGAGGTGCTTCTGGGTGTACGACAAGTCGTCCACTTCGGTATAGACTTTGGAAATACCCATAGTTATCACAATCTGCTTTGCTCGAGAGGAAGAAAAGTAGTTGGGGTGGTTTAAAAATGGTACAGGAGGGCTGTTCTTATCGGTGCGAAATCCACAACTACCTTCACCACCATGGAGTATATCAAGAAGGCTATCTACGGGCCGGACCCGAAGGAGCAGGTATGTTTAGTGTTATCAATTTCTTGAATTTAACTAACACCAGATGCGCAAAATCAACTCTTTGTTGCGTAAGAACAAGCGTGAGTTGGAGAGACTGTTGAACCAGCTTCAGCCATTGAAGAAGAAGACAGAGGGCTTGGTTAAGAAACTGGCCAAGGCCGGAGATTACAAACTGGCTAAAATCTACGCAAGAGAGCTCATCAACATCAACAACCAGCACAAAAAGCTTCATCTTCTGAAAACCCGACTTGAGTCCATCACCATGTCGATCAATGAACAGTGGCAGATGAGAAAGATGTCGCAGTCTATCCAGCAACTGACGGGAATCATGAAGGATGTGAATGCCTTGACCAACATTGGAGTCATTACGGGCACCATGCAAGAATTGTCCAAGGAGTTGATGAAGGCAGGTATCATCAATGAGATGATGGACGACATGGTCGACTTGGACGTGGACGAGGAACTAGAGGACGAGAGTCAGGAGGAGGTGAACAAGATTATTCAAAGCCTTACAGAAGACAAATTCTCCAAGATCGAATCCGAGGTGCCTCAGACAGGCTTGGAGCAAGAGCCCGAGATCGAGGAAGAGGAGGATACAGAGGCGTTGGACGAAATGCGCCAGCGTCTCAAGGAGTTGCAAGAGTAAGTCTAGCCCATGGAGACTACGCAATTATAGAGTTACACTCACTTCATCATATCAAGTATAGAAGAACCGCGAGCCAGTTGATAGAGAGGCTTGGAGCCAGGGAATCCATCATGCGATAGATATCGTCAAGGTTCGGTCTTGCAGAGCGGGTGGGCGCAAAAGAGGTTTCGTTCTTGGTAACATTGTGACTAACCGAGACGGTGGCATTGAGCGGCTCATTTGCACTAGGTACAATGGAGCTAGCAGGCTTCGTGGAGTTTGCCCCTGATTGGACGCTGGCAGGCAAGAAGAATAAAATCTTCTTGAGAAGCCCTCTCTCATCATCGTCACAGTCGTCGTCTGACTCAGAGTAGTCGTCGCAGCTATCGTCGCCGCCCTTACTCACATCGAAAAAGAGACCAGTCTCAACTCGGAAATCTGTGCCGTGAACAGTGTTGTTGAGGCCATCAATATTATGCTCTTCTTCTTCACTGAGCTCAGATGTTTCTGGATTTGGAGGATCCTCGTCATGGTGGTACTGTGCGTCCGCATTTGCAGATTCAGTGTCATCAATGGAGATCTCAGGTGCCGTCGGTGCTTCAGGTATCTCCACCTCATCACTCGAGCCGCCTTCTGGCTCGTCATCTTCAACGGCATCCATTTCTTGGTTGATATCCTCGGCGGCGTCCCATTGGTATGAGCTGCTCGCAAAGTCCAATAGACTCTCGACGAACGACAAGTCTTTAAAATCGGCAGTGGATTCAAGAGCATTTTCATCATGGATTGGAATGCTCCAGGCGCCACCTAGGCACACTAAACAGACTGTTACCTTCGCTGAAAGCATTTTAGAGTGGGCTAGTGAAGAGGTGTAGTTGGTGGATGTCACAAACCCAGCTCGCGGTGTCAATCTTACAAAGTCGCCGAAATCAGCCATGTACTATTATATTAATTGATGGACGACAATAGGAAGCAAGCAGCCCCACAAGGGCACCCAAGTAGTTTGAGCGGCATTTGCCTCCTCGAGTGCTTCTATGCTAGAGTTGGTGTGATTCAAGAACTCAGGGTATATCACCGCTGGAGGTCTTGTAGGCCTACCAGAAGGCCTTGAAACTGTATAATTAGTAAAATTGAACCTTGGCTTTTGCACCTCGGGTTCTTCAGCTACCTCAAGCTTCTTGGGCACCTCAGGCTCCTTAGGTACCTCAACAGTTCTGTTGCGCTTGGCCCAACTCTCGTAGTCGTAGTCCCAGGAGTACTTGTCTTCCTCGCAGTCTGATTATGAGTCTGAGCCCAGATCACTCCCTGAACCGGAGCAGCTGTCAGACTCCTCAGACTCAGTTTCGAGATCCTTTCCAAGTAGCTTCCTCAAAAGGCTACTAGAGTTGAATGTGTCTGCGCTTTCGAAGGACGAGGCATTCAACGTGCTATTCAACTTCGGCGGAATAGCCGTGATCAAGCCTTTTACCGACTCCTTCAGTACAAGCTTGGAGGCGGACATATACCGCTGCTTGACCACGTTCTTGGCCTTCTGAACCCTCTCCTGAGAGTACAAAAGGTGATATAGGTCAATCCAGGATTTCAAGTCAATTGGCTGATTCTTTAGCCTTTTGAATTGACCAACTGGCCAGGACAGTTTATTAGGAGTCTCCTCAGCGTCCAATTGAGACGAAGTTGTCACAGTGTTATGTGGCATGCTCAGAGTGGATGTTTCGTTCACCACAATAGTGGGAGTGGGCATCGATGTATAGTTTCCAGGATGCAAACTATTGGCACCCGACATTGCCAACACTGAGTAAATCACCAACTTTATTGTTTTCATCAGTGTGTGGTGGAGTTAGTGATAGGTTGCAAAGAGTACAAATGGTTGCAAAATGCGCAGTCGCAGAAACCACTCTCTAAACATCGACCCTGAGCAATATCATGAACCAAGAATGGTTTCACTTTGGCCTGTCAAAAAATTGTTCCAAGAAATCGGAACTGAACTTCCTTCTTAGTTAATTTGAAGCCGGAACTGAACTTCCTTCTTAACTAATTTGAAGCCGTGATTTGAGTAGCGGTCATGGCTATGCACCAAAACCTTAATACCCAGGTAGCCGAACCAGTGGTCATTTCAACATCACTCGGACAGAAGCTCCTTCCTACATTCAACCCTGATTCTCCTCCTCGAGCTCTTTGGTCCAGCCATCAAGCTCACGTACCAATTCGGATATAACATCCACCTGTTTCTCGATTTGTTGCAAATCCTGCTGGAGCAGCTTAAACTCATCTTGAAGAGCTTCAGACTTTTTAGCTCCAACCTCTAGTTCCGTGAGATCTTGCTCGAGCTTTATGTAATTGAGCGACTGGTTCGTGTTGAGGTTCACCAACAAGCTCATGTCGATGGTGCTGACTTGAGTGTCTGATTCATTGAGCTGAAGGGCTTGGTGGAGGGCATGGTTCACCAACTTCGGCGTATCTTTCAGCATTGTGTCGAGGCCAGAATCTCTGGATTTGGATTGTGGTATCAACGCAGAACTTAGAGCTCTGATCGAGGTTATCTTATTAGCTGAAAAGCGCGAACATGGGCTCTATTCCCAAGGTCGCCTAGTACCCTACAGCTCTGTCTCTAAAAGGTGAATAAGTTATTCGTGTTCTATGTACATTAACGGTTTCTGTAAAGACGGTAGTCGGGCAACTTGGACTTCTCGATGTTGGTCCACTTCTTGGTGGGGTTCTGCTTGATCTTCTCCAACCAGTTCACAGGCTCAGGCTTCTCCACCAACGACGTGGGACTCACACGGATCTTGGACAGCGTGTCGACAATCTCCATGATACCAGGTAACTTCTCACCGGCTTTACGCAAGGCCTCTCTGGCGACCTTGTCGTGGACTTTTCCAACAATCTCAAACAAGATCTTACCCGTTGGAACTCTGACGGCCCAGTGGTCAAAGCCACCTTTACCTTTACCCATTCTGGTCTGGTTACCCTTGACACACACGGGGATGTTACAGGTGAATCTGGTGATGTATTTCACTCCAGTACCTCTGAGCTGTCTCTGGATAACCTTGTCTGCTTCCTTAAGCTGGATGGCGGCCATTCTCACACCGTTGGATTTGAGTCTGAGACCGTAGGTACCGCTTTCAAGCGAGTTACCCTTGACAGAGCCTCCTGTTCTGACAGTCACTCTGCCTTTGAACGCCTTGAAAAGGTTCTTGTATCTGGGGCATATTCGTGCTTGAATCTTCTGGTAATCAAGGAAGATGGGGCACACGGGAGCTGAGAAGCCCTAATTCCGTTCAAGGATGAGCTGACGAATCTGCCCAACCCAAGCATTTGAAGAGAAGTGGTGGTGATCTTTCTTTGAGGTGAGAAAAAAATCGCACTCAGATTTGGCTGTCAGTGAGTATGGGTAGTAGGAAGCACCAGTGAACGACAAGAAAACGACTAAAAAAAAATTGAAAAGATAAATAAAAAACACAGTTACAGCCGAGAGAGAATTCCCTGGTAAATCGAACCACGGTTAAGTTTTTTTGCCAAATAACGATGTATCATGATTCTATCATTCATTTCCAGGTCTATTAGTTCTATCTACGTTGACGAATCTCAACTTGGAACTTCTCCTTAAGTTCCGCCAACACAGCACCTTGCATATCGTTTACTTCGTCTCTGGTCAAGTTCTTGTCGAAAGACTGGAACTCAATCCTGTAAGTGTGCGATGTCTTGCCAGTCTTGGGATGGGTGAATTGATCAACCTGCTCAACTGTCTCCACCAAGTCACCAGCATGGGAGCGGAAAATCTCCATAACATCGTTCACATGCAACTCAACACCCGCTGGGACCCAGAAACTCACATCTCTGGTGATACCGGGATACTTGGAGTAAGGCTTGAACAAGGTGATCTCACCTTGAGTGAACTGCTTGGTGAACTTCTCATTATGCGTCCAGAAGAGTCTAATGTCTGGAATACCGAAAAGAAGCATGGCGATTCTGTCGAGGCCAACGCCAAAGGCCCAGCCGATTTTGTCATCGCCGAGACCAGAGTTGAGCAACACCTGCTGCTGCACAATACCACAGCCACAGCACTCTAACCATTCGCCCTTCCACCAGACCTCAATCTCCCAAGATGGTGATGTCCATGGGAAGTATGCTTCGACCCAGCGAACTCTCAATGGCTCTTTCAAGAAGTCGTCTTCAGCACCGGCTTTCAAGGCAGCAGCCCTTGCGCTCTCAAACACCAAGTTTACCATGTACTCAACAGTCTTCTTCAAATGGGTCGCTATGAGGCGGGCCTCTGGATCAGTCATGTGCTTCTGCCTGGGGTTCTCCTCGTTGGATGGATTCTCTCTGAAGGGATCCTCGACGATGATATTAGTCTTGGGTATAGCGTCGATATCAGCCTGGAGAACTTTTTCTAAATCAGGTGTCTTTTGAGACCATAATCTAGCTCCTTCCATTTGGTGGAAGGCCGGGTAGTGAGTCTTGTCGATTTCGTCTCTGCGGTAAACGTCTGCAGTGATGAAATAACCGGGCGTCTCGCAAACTTGGAAACATTCATGCTCATGAGCAGAAGTATGAGTTCGTAAAAGGTTGTCTTTGTTCAAGTAGTAAGTGTCCAGCTTGGCTCTGCCAGGATGGTCCTTGGGGAAGTCAAGAACATCGAAGTTCTGAAAAGTCGTGACAGCAGGGCGAAAATCGTTATAGAAGGTATAACCCAATCCCTTAAAGTTGTCTTCGATTAAATGACGAAGAATACCGATTGGGTGATTAGGATTTTGATGCAAACTTCTATCTGTGAGCGCAAGAATCTGGGGTGGAACGTTCGTCCACTCGTCGGACTTGTAAGTCTTTCCGTGTAAATGGATTTCCAGGGGTATATTTGAAGTCCACCGACGTGCCACAATTGGTACTTTTTTCGGGATACCCAATTGGGACGCCCTTTTGAGGCAAAGCATTCTGGTGATCAGGTTGTCGTTGGAGTGGAAAAAATGCGGGTGCGGTTTTATGTATGCAAGGCTATCCAGGATTGGTTACCAAGTCTCTTGAATGTATCGGCCAGAGTCCTCCATATTATAAAGATACTTGTCTGCTTCGACCTCTTCAAGACCCGATTTTTTCAAAATCTCGACAAGGGTGACTCTGACCTGGCGTGGCATGTTGCCACTGGAACCACACACGAATACAATAGCATTCTCTTCAAGAATCAATTTTGCAACCGTTTTCTGCTCCACGAAGAGCCTGTCTTGGACGTATTTGATTTTTGATCCTGGATCTCTCGAGAAGCAAGGATACATCTGAAGTTGTCCCTTTGCTTCTAAATCTTCCCATAGCTCTTGAAAGAGGTAGTCTTTGATAGAATACCGGCAACCGTAGAAGAGATGGAGCTCACGCTGACCTGCTTCCTGCTCTATGAGTGACTTCATTGGGGCAACACCAGTGCCGGGTGAGATCATGATGACAGGTGGGTTTGGCTTTTCAGGGAGACTGAAATTGAGATTCGATTTATGAATCGAGAAAACAACCGAGTCTCCTTCTTGCAACTGCTTAAGCCACTTTGTGCATAATCCACGTCTGATTCTTCTGAGAATTGTTTTGTATTCAACGATGCCCGCAATAATCTCAACAGTGTCGGATGAAGATTTAGAGGCAATCAGGAAAAGCCTGACCTTGATGAGTGGAAACAAGTCAAGCACATACTCCAATGGGATTTTGAGATTTTTCTCGAACTCCATGATAGTCTCGAGAATCAGTCTTCTTGGACGATTTGCATAGTTGTAAAGATCTTCTGCCTCGGCCAACGTGCTAAACTCGTAGAGTTTTTCCTTTTCTCTTTCTCCCTCCTCAGTCAGTGTGTCCACAAAATGGTGCAAGAGAGCGAAGAACGAACGCCTTGGAATCGACATAATATCCAAATGATATTTAATTAAGTTTCTCAAAGTGAGTTGACTTTCATCGATGAAACCCCCTTCAACGTCTGGAACAGCCTTGAAATCTAGCGGTTTATCGGCCAAAGGAAGCCAGTGGGGTTGCAGCTCCAAAAGCAAATCCACACTTCTATCATCGTTAGGTGGATACAAAGCGAGTGTGTCACCAGGGATATAAGAAAGATTGTGAGCATTATCCTCCACAACCACATGCCTCACATCTTGGAAATGGCCCTCTGCTGTTTTACGTTCGTTCTTCACGATAGTTCCCATAGACAACCCCTTCGCCTTTCTGGTTGTAGTCAAATCAGAGTCAGCCAGAATGTTTGGACCATCCCTTACTGTCAATCCGAAAACAGGGGGAAGAAGGACATGGTCGTCTATCGTGAAAATATTGGTGAACTCTTTCTGAAGGGCATCAATGACCGAGGTTTCCCATTCCGCGTAGTAACCATCAACACCTTCGGGTGACTGCTCATCGCTCTCGCATCTTGGGCAAAGCTCCTTACAGCCAAGTTGCCGAAGTCTAATATGTATCTTCTTGATCGCGTAGTTGAACTTTGGGTAAGACGAGTCACCGACTCCGAAAGTGGTGAACTTGATGTGATTTAGAAGATCGTCGGGTAGTTTCTTCTTCAACAAGAACTTAATGAACTTCTTTGCATTTCGAGGAACCTCGCCCTGGCCTGTGGTGGAGCATACAACAATAAGGTACTGAACATCAGTCACTAGACTCTTGAGTGGAAACGAATCAAGGGAGGATACGATGGGCTTCAAGGAGTTGTAGCGTAACTTTTGAGCTAGGAAGTAGGCGTAGTCTTGAGCATTTCCAGACTCGCTGCCATATAAGATAGCCACACTATCGACTTGTGGGGCAGCAGTCATGAATGGTATTTCGGTTTATCATCTTGAGCCGCCTAGCGCTACTATAGCGGTGAAAGACCCTTACACCACTGTAACCCTTAGGGCCGTATAATACTATAATTAAGGGTCAAAGAAAGTGTACAAATCTCTATAGTAAATTTGTAAAGAAACAAGAAGATGATAGGATTTGGTTGATAAAATTCCATAATTATCGGCTCTATAGTTAATTTTCCATACCTCTCACGTGATATCACGACCACAGACCCATTTCGGCGTCTTTAAGGATAGGTTGAAATAAAATAATAGAAAAGTCTTCTACTTTGTTTCACTCTGAAGTTACTTGGACTCACCCAAAGGCTGCTTTGTGGTGATATTTAGTGTCTTGATTTTGCAGCACCTGCATACATTGCGGCGGTCAAAATCAACAAATGCTCACCTACTACTACTTCTATAAACCATGCCTCGGGTGAAGAGAGCCGCTGCTGGAGACCACGGCGCGCCTAAAAGACATAAAGGTCAGTCGGCTGAAGATTTTTTTAAATCTGTATTAGAAGAAATCGAAGGCTTGCAAGACGATAATGGTGAACGTGCTTTGGTGACAGCTTTTGTCAAGCTTCCCTCGAAGAAATTGTACCCGGACTACTACACGCTCATCGACGAACCTATCTCATTGAATGAAATCAACAAGAAAGTGGCAAGAGGTACCTATGAGAATGCCCAAGACTTTGTGCTGGACTTCAATCTCATGTATGAGAATGCGCTGAAATATAACGACCCGGAGTCATGGATTGTGGCGGATGCCAAGAAGCTATTAGAGTACGTGACCTCGCGTGCCGATCAATTTGCAGAGTCTCTGAGCTCCATTACAGTTGCTGATTTGCCAAAGATTGCTGACGATATCTTGGAAGAGGTCATTGCCCATGAATTCCCAGAAGATGGTGTACTCAGCGGACCATTTATGGAAGTTGTTGATCCCGACGAGTACCCTGACTACTACAAATTAATCGAGCAGCCTACTTCTTTCCTGGATGTCAAGAACCTGCTCACAAATGGCTTGTTTGACGAGGATAAGTCCCTCGAGGATAACTTGCAGGCATTCTACGACGCTACCGTACTCATCTTCACTAACGCCCAAACTTTCAATGACCCATCTTCCTTGATTTACGAGGATGCACGCAAGTTGAGAGAGGTGTTTGAGGAGAAGTTCAACTCCTTGAAACAGGAAGCCATTCCTCAGTCGAAGCTCAAATTGAAGGTCAAGGCACCTAAGGAGCCAATGAAGCTCAAGTTGAACTTGAAGTCCGAAACTCCCCAGCCGCAAAAGAAAAAGAGAGGCAGAAAATCAAAGAAGGTGCTTCAGGAAGAGGAAGAGGCCCGCAGAGCAGCGGATGGTGACAGTGGAATCAAGCAGGAGGATTCCGATACCGAGGAGGGCGAGGATGAGGATGAAGATGCCAAACACAAGCTTGATGCTACAGAGTCCAATGTCATGGGCAAGACCCCAATCACTCCTTCTAGTGACGAAGTGTTCATCAGAGGTGCAACCTTCTCCTCCTCGCATTCAGCCACACAGCAGATTGCCACTTCCCTTGCTCAACAGGGACCAGCGCTTATCACACCAGCTCAGAACTACAAAAGAGACATGTTTCCCGATGTGTCCGTGTTGAACGCTGCCACTTTGTTTCAATACAAGTTTGGTCCTATCGGTTACTCCACCAAAGCATACACAATCAACCTACCTGCTGAGGCATCTTCTTTCATTTCCCTCAAGGTCAGCTTACATGAGTTCATCTACAACTTGAAGAAGAAAGACCTCGTGGGTGGTCAAGGTATTCTCAAAGGAAACGCTGAGGAGGACTTCCTGGTCGCTCTCTTCATAAATGACGACAAGGTATCTGGCTGTGAAATATATGAGGAAGAAGACCCACTTAATGACGCCAAGTCTCTCTTGGGCCTTCAATTCGAGTTGAAATTGAGTTACGGTCTCAATATCATAAACTTTGAATTGCGCCTTTCACCCAACTTGGCCAAGAGTCTTCGTAAAGATGAACCTGAGCCAGAAAATGACCTAGGGTCTCGTCACACTAGACACCAACTACAGCAGATAAAACTTAACTGGGAGGTGGAAAAGTTTCAGCTCATGGTGAACTGCCACAACCCATAAAAGACACCACCTTTGTATTATATCACCACACTATTTTCCAATACAGAAACTCAGAAAAACGACGCCCAAAATCTCCTCAACACCAACAGCGTCTCCTGTAATTTTGCCAATACCCTCAGCAGATATTCTCAAGCTCTCCAACGCAAGAATGATATCGTCTTCCTCTTTCCATCTTTTGAACTCTTCTAGACCGAATAGAACGTCGTTCTCAAGAAGATCTTGAGTACGGCCAGTGAGAATCACAGGTTCCGAGGTTGTGGCCTCTTTAAATCTATTAGTGAGCGTCTTTTGGAGTTCCTTCATGCCGTTCCCTGTTTTACAAGAAACCACATGGAATGCCTCTTGTGGTAGACCTAGTTGCTCCGAAAACAGTGGTATACTGACCTTGTCAGTAAGATCCGATTTGTTGAGAACAACCACTATCTCCTGCTTGGCATCCTTCAAGAGTTGTATGTTTTCCACCAAAGAATCTTCAATGGGCTCGTTCACAGGGACCACAGCCAAAACTATATCGCCAGCCAAAGCCCTCTTCTTAGCCCTTCTAATACCCTCCACTTCTATAGAGTCAGCGTCCTTCAATGACCTTATTCCAGCAGTATCACCAACAACAACCTTGTAGCCATTGATATCAAGCGGCACATCTATAACATCTCTGGTGGTTCCCGCAATATCGCTAACAATGGCTGTTTCTCGATTGGCTAGGTAGTTCAACAAAGACAGTTTGCCGGCGTTCACTGGCCCTAGAAGACTCACCTTGATCCCCTGGAGTAAAACATCAGACTGCTTAACCCTATGTAGATAGTCCTGAATTCGGGACTTGAGTGCATCGATGTTGTGGTCCACCTGCTCAAACAAGTGTCTTGTTTCTTCGAGATCATGTTCTTCACCGAAATCAACCACAGTGGTAAGAAGGGCCACGTTGTTTACAATTTCTGTCCTCCAACTGGTGACAGTCTTCTTCGTATCACCGGTGAGCGAGGCCAAAGCAGCCTTCCTTTGTGTCTCGGTCTCTGCATCTATCATTTCTCTGATTCCTTCAATCTCTGTAAGATCAAATCTTCCATTCAAGAAAGCTCTATGTGAAAACTCGCCATTCTCGGCGTGTCGTATCTCAATGCCCTTTTCAGGACTATGTAGCTTCTTGATGGACTCCAATACAGATTGAACAATAGCCGTACCGCCATGTACATGGAGCTCTAATAAATCCTCCCGGTATATGTCTTTGGTGCCTTGAAAAACACCGTGAGTGCCTCATCTAGTAGCAGCTTCGTACCTGGTTCATACAACTTGCGTACACTCGTCTTCTGAGGTAGAGGCTGTTTCTTGGTGACAGTAAGCTGGTTGTAGATGTACAGTGAATGTGGACCCAGGACTCGGATAACTCCGATTGCTGCCCTCCCAGGCTTCGTGGATAATGCATATATGGTCGGACGGAACATAGTCCGTTGTGTTAGATGAAAAGCTGGGGTATATTGATCTTCGCATCTCTTCGCACCCATCACTAATCCACATCAACTCAGATTCAGAGAATACCATGATTGCAACGAAAACTACAAGGTTCATCCGGCCACAATTTATCTCAAGGAGCATTGCTCTGTCACAGCCCTTGCGCCATGAAAACCCTCTTGGCCTTCCCAAAGATAAGAATGCTCCTCAGATGCCCCGGATGTCTAAGGGACTTCCGGTAAAGCAGAGAATCCCGAACGTGAAGAGAACCATTTTAGTAGCCTCAGGAAAAGGAGGCGTTGGAAAGTCCACGGTGGCTGTGAATACCGCTTTGGGCCTCCAGAAGTTGGGCAAAAGCACAGGAATACTTGATGTGGATATCTTCGGACCATCGATCCCCAAGTTGCTCAAGCTAGATGGCGAGCCTAGACTATCTGAACTGGGCAAATTGCTTCCAATGACTAACTACGGCCTACCGTCCATGTCAATGGGCTTCTTAGTGCCTCCTGAGAATGCAGTGGTATGGAGGGGCCTTATGGTGATGAAAGCACTACAACAATTGATGTTCGAGGTAGAGTGGCCAGTGCTTGATTACTTGGTCATTGACATGCCTCCCGGAACTGGTGACACACAATTGAGTGTTACACAGCAGTTGAAAGTTGACGGTGCAGTCATTGTATCGACTCCTCAGGACATAGCACTTATAGACGCTGTGAAGGGTATGGCGATGTTCAACAAGGTCAATACGCCCGTGCTTGGATTGGTGCAAAATATGAGTTTCTTCTTGTGCCCCAATTGCAAACATGAATCCCATGTCTTTGGCACTGATGGTGCAGCCAGAGAAGCTGAAAAGAATGGTCTAGATGTTTTAGCCGACATCCCACTCAACGAGATTATTTGCACACAGTCGGACTCTGGTAAGCCAGTCGTTGTGCTGCACCCAAATGATGCTATCCTGGAGCCGTACGTGGATGTGGCTCGGAAGGTGATACACAAGTTGGAGAGTGAGCATCTATAAAAAGACAAAAAAGAAAGTGAACACTATGATTGCAGTGGTCAGGGAGTATGTTGGCAGATGTGATGCCATGTTTGAGAACACGTCGTAAATGTTGGCGGCCCTGGTCTTCTTGCGTCTGTCTCTGTTCGACTTGATGTACTCTGGGGTTCGAGGTGCTGCTGTGGCATAAGAGATTTGATCGATGCCTTTGCCTCGTGAAGATATTTTCAGATCTGGGGCCACACCTCTGGCTGGCGGTCGTCGTCTAGATGGAACAGCTTTGGTTGTGGCATCGTGAGACCGGATCTCCTCGCCTATCTGCGTTGTGGGTGTGGGGTACATACCATTTTTAGGTGCGGTGGATCTGTTTGGAGTTTCAGTTACCTCTGGCTGATCAGACAACATTGAATGTTCCATCTCCGTGTGAGATTTGCCGTTTATGGATCCCCAATCATCAATTTCGACAACCAGTGGTGTCAAGACCGATACCTCCGTTACCGAGGAACTTGATTCGGAATCGGTAGTTATTTCAGGATCTGAAACCAACGTCACAGATGAAGTAGCTTGTGTATGGGACCTCGCATACTCACCATACCAAGCTGTCTTGGGTTTCCCATAAGCTCGTCCAACCACCACAGGCGCCTTATCGTGATGTCTGAATTGCGGCAAGATCTCGATTTTATTCGAGCTTTTGTGATTGATGAGCTGCTTCTTTCTTCCACCCCTCGGCTGTTCTTGAAGTATAGTTGAATCCTGAGTTTCCGTTGCAATCGATTCCACGTTTTGCGTCGGTGACATATTGGGCTCATCAGAAACCTGCTCCAATATAGCGTCACTTTCTACCGCCCATGCTGATGTGGCTGTTTCGAAACCAGGAAAATCCAGTCCATACTCTGGGCTCAATCGCAATGGCTCTGTTCCGACGGAACTTTGTTGTTTTGAGCTGGCGCTGGCCGTAGTGGATTTTGCCTCCATTGATAAGGATTCAAAATGCTTTTGCAAGAGGCTCTGGAAGATGTCCTCAAGCAAGGATGGCTCAATGGGCTCTGGTGTAGTCACTGAGGTGACCGTCACTGTTGCAGTCTCGGTCCTCGAGACAGGCGGTAATTCTCCCACCGGTAATATCGAGAAGATTTGGTCGACTTCATTGGTCACTGACGGTACCACTTTGTCTTGGGTAGGCGTATTGGAAAGAGCTTGTTTAAGGAGAGCAAGATGGGTTTCGTTTTTTGCACCCAAAACGCCCCGGAACAATCGAAGGTGTTCCTGGAATCGTTCTAAGGCTTCATTGGAGCTCACTGCTACTGATATGGGTATCAAACATATCGGGAGGAAGCAACGGATAAGAAGCATGGTTATTGTACAATGGCTGCAAACCAGACATGGTTGTGAAACGCGTAATCTACGACTTTATCGGAAAAACATTTCAGCGAGTTCTTAAAGGGATTCCAATAAGCTAGAGAACAAATGTTCAATTGTCCACCGATTGATTGCCATTCGTGGTACAATGGCGTGCCGAAGACTGTTTCATTATCTGAGGAGGCTTATTTGGCCGACCAATCGTCCGACAGAAGTCTGTTGTCGATCCAGAAATATATACCACTACCGTGTTTTTCTTTGTTTAAAATAAACCGTTGTGTCAAATTAGAACGCCTTTGTGGTCAATCCCAACAATTGTTCGCTGATCTGGCTTGGCGGAGCTGGACCGAGGAGCAACTCCGAGAAGACAGTATATAAAGCGGGTATCTCCCACAAAGCCTACATAGCCCTTCGATTTGACAGCAGCGGTGTTCCATAAAAAAACAACGCCACGAATCAAACACATTTATTTCAATTGTGAAGCAATTATTGAATTTCCCATCCACTAGCAAATCATCCACTGCCGTATTGCTGACCACGCATCGCATCGCACAATAAACAGGCCCAAACAAACATCATCTATTTTCAAGGATGTCTGTTCCCGTGATACCCACGACACCCGTTGCCCGCAAGAGGCTCGTCAATGCGTCATTTGATAACTATAACGAAGAAGAGGACCCTACTTTTGTGGATGAGCCTACCGAGGTGAGCGATTCCGAGGACCTGATTTCAGTGATCAGTAACGTCCTGCTAAGCGACGATGACTCCGTTGAAACCAAAGGCGGCAACGGCGATATCAAGAACGTATCCACTCCAGCCCAGAAGGAGACCTGGAAGGAATGGGCCATCAGACACGAGGTGCCCCGGAAGTTATTGCACCTGCTGATCGGGCCATTTTCGCTTTGGCTCTACACGCTTGGTGCCACCATTAACCAGATTCTCTGGCCAATGGTTTTCTTGACGGCCGTGCTTTTCATCAATGACTATGTTCGTCTCCACAATCCGAAGGTCAACAAGGTGATGACCCGCTTGTTTGGTCTTATCCTGAGACAAAGCGAGATCAACGGGTACAACGGCACGCTTTTCTACGCCTTGGGCGTGCTGCTTGTATTCACCTCTGCTCCAAAAGACATTGCCGTTATGGCTGTTCTCTTGTTGAGTTGGGCTGACACCGCTGCTCTGACTGTCGGTCGTCTTTGGGGCAAATACACCCCCAAAGTCATGCCTGGCAAGTCATTGGCAGGCTGTTTGGCCAGTTTTGCTACCGGCGTTTTCCTGTGCTACTTGTTCTACGGATACTTCTGTGTGGCATGGGCACACGTTAACAAGCCAGGCATGATTTTTTGGACGGAAGACACCTCCAAAATGAGCTTGCATGTGTACGCCATCGCAACCGGTTTGGCTGCATCGATCCTGGAGGCATCAGATATCGGCGGCATCGACGACAATTTCATCATCCCCGTCATGAGTGCAATTCTCTTGTACGTGCTTGTCTGGGCAACCCACCTTTAGATGCTTCGCTGTCGCTTAGCAATTTCTAGATAAGCTCTCCCACTGACAGATAGAGTGTGATTACCCTAGAAGGACCATTTTGTGTTCTCAATCTTTCCGCATCCGATCACCGAGAGGCCGAATTTCGACCACTTTCGCCGCAATCACCGAGACCTTCGCGAAGTGGCAACAGCAAAGGCAACTTAGGGCTAGGGAAAAACCCCCCCTGGCAAGCCCAGCATTAATTACTAATCCCACTAGTCATGCTTTTTTTTTTTTATTTGCGTACGACTTACCCAAACCTTCTTATTATCGTAAGCTTATCATTCATTTTTTTCCCTTCAAGGCCTCGTGACGTGGCTCCCTTACTATTTAACGCCCTCCCCAGCCGTTCACTCGATAGGCTGCAACTTTTTCCACTGTCTTAGGCTGCGTGCACTCTTCCAACCGTACTGGTAAACTCCGTGCATATCCGCGCCTCCGCTTCTTCTCCGTGCAACTACTTAAGCAGACTAATTCCGTTTCTACTGATCCAGCATTGCTATGGAACAACCCCGACAGAAGCGGCTTTTGACGCCCTTCCTCTCTAAGAAGGTCCCGCCCATTCCTTACGAAGATGAGCGTATCGTTTATCCAAAGAGACCGAACATCATCTCAGCCATCTTCTTCTGGTGGCTACACCCCGTGATGAGCAGTGGGTACAAGCGTACTTTGGAAACTCAAGATTTGTACAGACTTAATGACGAAAATGAGGTGGCTGCCATGACCGCTCGCTTTGAAGGTATTTTCGAACGCCGTCTCAGTAATAATCGCAGAAAGCATATCGCAGCTAAGTGCAAGGCCAGAGGCGAGACACCGGAAACAAGCTCTGTACCAGCAGAGGAGGATCTTGCTGACCATCAGCCTCCCAAAATGCTCTGTGCTTGGGCAATTCTTGAGACTTTCAAGTGGCAATACGGTCTTGCATGCTTGTACAATACATTGGCCAATACCGCCGCCGTGACGAATCCTTTGCTTTCCAAACGTCTTATCCAGTTTGTCGAGAATCATGCATTAGGTCTTGATACCCAGGTTGGTAAAGGTGTTGGTTACGCGTTGGGCGCATCATTCATGGTGCTTCTTATCGGTATCTTGATCAACCATGGCTTTCAGAACGCCATGCTCACAGGCGCCCAAGTGAAGGGCGTTTTAACAAAAGCATTCCTCGATAAGTCTTTCCGTTTGAGTGACCGTGCCAAACACGAATACCCCGGTTCAAAGATTACATCCATGATGGGCACAGATTTGGCCCGTATTGATTTCGCATTGGGCTTTCAGCCTTTCCTCGTTTCGTTTCCCATTCCTACTGCAGTCGCTATCGGTATTTTGATTTGGAATATTGGAGCCCCCGCTTTGGTCGGTATCGGCCTTGTGTTTGTCTTTTTGTTTGCCATCATGGTGTTGACCGGTAAACTTTTCCAGTACAGAAAGAAAGCCAACAAGTACACCGATGCCAGAGTCAACTACATCAAGGAAGTGCTCAACAACCTCAAAATTATAAAATTCTACTCATGGGAGGAGCCTTACAATGATGTTATTGGTAAAAACCGTTCTAAAGAAATGAATATCATCTACAAAATGCAAGTTGGCAGAAATATTATCCTTTCCCTGGCAATGTGCCTTACATTGTTTGCATCCATGGCGTCTTTCTTGGTGTTATACGCCACTGCCGGCTCCACGAAGGACCCTGCCAGTTTGTTCTCTTCCATTTCATTGTTCAACTCCTTGGCCCAACAGGTTATCATGTTACCACTTGCGTTGGCTAGTGGCTCAGATGCCCTTGTCGGTATATTTAGAGCTGCCCAGTTCTTGGCTGCCGAAGAAGTTGATGCAAACGCTACTGCTATCTATGCTTCACCCGAAGTTCAGGATGAAATGGACTACCAGAACCTTGCCATCTCTTTGAAGGGGGCTTGTTTTGAGTGGGAAACATTTGATCAGAGCGATCATGATGAGGAGGAGGAGGAGGAAAATGATAAAGAGAACCCGGAACCAAAAGAAAATTCGAGTAATGAAAAGGACAAGGTTGAGGAACTACAGACAGATAACAAACTGTCGCTGTCAACTAATACTGCGAAGGAGTCTGACGTCGAGCCCAAACTTACCACATATTCTACCGGTGACTCCACTATGGAAGCCACTATTTTCTCGGGTTTGAACAATATCAATCTTGATGTCCAGAAGAATGAGTTTATCGTCATTACCGGACTTATCGGCTCAGGAAAAACTTCCTTGTTGAATGCTCTTGCTGGCTTCATGAAACGTGTTGACGGTTCTGTTGATGTAAACGGAAGTCTTTTGCTTTGTGAAACTCCATGGATTCAGAACGCTACCGTCAGAGAGAACATTTTGTTTGGTGAGGAGTTCGATCAAGAGAAGTATGACTCCATTCTTTTTGCATGCTCTCTCGAGAGTGACTTGGAAATCTTGCCTGCTGGTGATAAAACTGAAATTGGTGAAAGAGGCATCAACTTGTCTGGAGGGCAGAAGGCGAGAATCAACTTGGCTAGAGCTGTTTACGCGAACAGGGACATCGTTCTTTTGGATGATGTTTTGAGTGCTGTGGATGCTCGTGTCGGTAAGCACATCATGAATAACTGTATTTTGGGGCTCTTGAAGGAGAAGACAAGGATCTTGGCCACTCACCAGTTGTCTTTGATCGGCGCTGCTGACCGTGTGATTTTCCTTAATGGAGATGGTTCCGTAGACATTGGTACTTTCGAAGAATTGAGAAAGTCCAATCCAGGCTTTGACCACTTGATGAAGTTCAGCTCCGAATCGGCTGGGGAAGAAGAGGAAGAAGCACTGTCAGAGGAGGCTCTTGGTGAAGATCCTGAAGTTGAAGATCGCGAGATGATTCAACGCCAACTTTCTCAAAAGCAAAGCACCATCCCAGACGAGGAAGCAGAGCGTCACAACTACAATGTTAATGAACAACAAGATGGTCGTCTTATGTCTCAAGAGGGGCGCGCTGTTAATCGAATCAAGGGAGTCGTCTACAAAAATTATGTCAAATATGGATCAGGTTTCTTCAAGCTATACTCGGGTGTGCCCATTGTCATCACCTTGACAATCTTTGCCATTTTCTGTCAGTTGTTCACTAATACCTGGTTGACTTTCTGGTCAGAGTTCAAATTCGACGGAAAAGACAACGGTTTCTACATCGGATTTTATGTCATGTTTACCGTGCTCGCCTTCGTCTTCTTGTCTTCAGAGTTTGTTATCGTGGCTTACATGACTAACGAGGCTGCTAAGGTTTTGAACTTAAAGGCGGTCAGCAGAGTTTTGCGTGCCCCAATGTCGTTCATGGACACAACCCCTATGGGAAGAATTCTCAACAGATTTACGAAGGACACAGATACATTGGACAACGAAATTGGAAACCAGATTAGAATGTTGATCTACTTCTTGTCAAATATTGTTGGTGTCATTATCTTGTGTGTGGTCTATCTTCCATGGTTTGCCATCGCCATTCCGTTTTTGGGAATGATCTTCGTATCTGTGGCTAACTTCTATCAGGCATCTGCTAGAGAGATAAAGAGACTTGAAGCCACGCAAAGATCATTTGTTTACAACAATTTCAATGAAACTCTCAGTGGAATGAACACTATCAAGGCTTATAATGCTCAGGAGCGTTTTAAGAAGAAAAACTCGACTTTCATCGATAATATGAACGAGGCTTATTACTTGACTATTGCGAATCAGCGTTGGTTGGCTATTCATTTGGACATCATCGCCATGTTGTTTGCGATTATCATCTGTTTCCTCTGTATTTTCAGAGTGTTTGACATCGGTGCTGCTGCAACCGGTTTATTATTATCCTATGTGTTGCAGATTGCAGGTCAGTTATCTATGTTGGTGAGAACTTACACCCAAGTGGAGAATGAGATGAACGCCGTTGAGCGAATCTGTGAATACGCATTCCACTTGGAACAGGAAGCCCCATACACTTTTGAGAACTCTAATCTTCCGGCTACATGGCCTGAACAGGGAAACATCAGTTTTGTCAATGTGTCGTTGGCATACAGGCCCGGCTTGCCCAACGTGTTGAAGTCCCTCAACATGGACATCAAGCCCCTTGAAAAGATAGGAATCTGTGGTAGAACAGGTGCCGGAAAGTCTTCCATAATGACAGCGTTGTACAGATTGTCAGAGTTGAACGAGGGCAAGATTGAGATTGATGGCGTTGACATCAGCAAACTTGGTCTCCGTGACTTAAGATCCAAGCTTTCCATCATTCCACAAGATCCTGTGCTTTTCAGAGGTTCTATCCGTAAAAACTTGGACCCGTTCGGTGCAAGTTCAGACGACGATTTGTGGGATGCCATGAGAAGAGCCGGTCTCATTGAAAGCTCCAAGCTCTCCACAATCAAGAACCAAACAAAGAACAGCGATAATCTTTTCAAATTCCATTTGGACAGAGAAGTTGAGGATAACGGTTCTAATTTCTCCTTGGGTGAGAGGCAACTTATTTCATTCGCTAGAGCATTGGTCAGAGGTTCCAAAATTTTGATCTTGGATGAGGCCACTTCGTCAGTCGATTATGAGACTGATAGTAAAATTCAGGAAACGATTCAGAGGGAGTTTACTGATTGCACAATCTTGTGCATTGCTCATAGATTGAAGACAATCGTGAACTACGATAGAATTTTGGTATTGGACAAGGGCGAGATCAAGGAGTTTGATACCCCTTGGAACTTATTCAACCTGAAGCACAGCATCTTCCAACAGATGTGTGAAAAGTCCAGCATTACAAAAGATGATTTTGCCCACAGAGGCTAGTTCATCGCAGCATTGATAAATCAATACTAGAAGACATAAAAGGATAGAATGTATTGATTTCTATAAGGTTTAATAATACAAGATAGATAGTCTTAAGTCAAACTATTTCATTTTCTTCTTATAGTCCGCGAATGAGAGCTTCTTCACGACCGCGGGCGCTTTGGTAACGGTTTCAACACTTTCATCAGAGCGAGCCGGGATATTATCAACAGGTAAATTCTCCTTCTCTTGCCCTCCGTTACTTTCTTTTCTATCGTTCGTGGTGTCCACAGCAATCTTGACATCACTGGTGATCCTGGCTAATGGTTTTAATGTCTCGTTAACAGTGTCTCTGATCAGAGAAAGTATCTCTGGTACAATCGGTATTGCCACAGTCCTTGGTTTCTCGCTAGTTGAATTGTCAGCGATGTTTTGTTCCTGAGTGGGGGCAGATACTGATGTACTACCCGCGAAAACCTGACCTCGAGAAATGAGTTGTTTCTTGAAAGGAACACGGAAGAATGTAGACTTGTCCTTGACGTATGTCTCGGTGTTACCTTGCGAAGCCTGATATCCACCTGGGGTGATCGATCCGTCAACGGCACGGTCCTCGTCACTGACGATTTCACTGGACTCGTCTGACGGGGTGATGGAGAAAAGTGCTGTGTGCAACTTTCCATCCCTCTCAACAAGTCTCTCTTTCCACGATACAAATTCCCTTGCTTGTTGAGGCATCATCAAGACCTCTTTAGATTTGCTCAATGATGCACTTGACAAGCCTGTAGCTTTTCTTGTTGATCTCAGCAAATAGGAAGTTGCTTTCTTGATCTTGAAGATGGCGCATTGTGATGTCGATGGAGCAGTGTTACAACCGCATTCCGTGAAATTTAGGATTGCGTCCACACAAGAAATCAAAAGGAACTTCAGATCCTCGTCGAAATCTTCAAACTTCTTGCAGTCCTTGACATCAGCTGAGTCATTTGGAGGGTACATCTGTTTGATAGGATGAAGTGGATCCCATTCCCAAGAGATTCGTAACTCTTCCTCCATTGCTTCACCTTTGAGTACAATAGGTTTAGTCGTGACGACAACAAACTTAAAACTTCTGGTCTGAGGAACGTAAACCGGCTTGATCTCGCAATTAGCAGCCGCTGGGCATGATTTCCTAATGAAACGAGACTCGTTTCCAACAAAACGGGCATCTAGAACAACGGACACTGGAGGTTGGTTCTGGAAAAGGTTCAAAGGCACAACTGCAACCCTAGGCTTAACTGTTCCCCAAACGGAATACTGATTGGCCTGATTTGCCTTGTACAGATCGAAAAAGTCGACTTCACCCAAATATTCGATCACGGATGTTCCAGCAGGGATGGTTGTGTCCACTCCGGGAGTAGAAGCTCGCTCGGTTATATAAAGACCAACTTTTTGCACTCCATTAAACTTGTGCTTTGGGTTCTCACTATACGGCTTCACCTGTATTGAGGTCTTATTATACCCCTTCGATTTGCGCAATTCATTTCTTTCTTGCAAATACTTTTGATGAATGGGTAAAACGATTTGGCTAAACTTCGTAGTCTTGTAAAGTGCCAATGGAACTGTCTCGATCGCCAGCGATCTCTGAGAGCTATTTTCGAATTCCACACCTAGCGCCTCTAATTTTTGTTTCACGACAGGAGTCTTGTAATCATTGTCTTTGAGTTTATAGTAAACGCTTTGATAAGTCTCTGCAGTAACGCCATCCTCAAGTAAATCATTATTTTTCAATGGAACATCCAGAACACCAGGTGATGCAGGAGTAGTATTTGCTGCCGCCAAATTGCCAGACAGCTTTTGTTTGGTATTCCCAGGACGCGCGTCATTCTGGGAAGTTGTGGTGGGTTTGGTGTCTCTTTCTGTTTTCCTCTTCTTTTTATCTTCTTCCTTTCCTGTGGAGGCTTTACGTTTGCCTGGAAGTGTCTTCGACAGTTCAGGGCTCTTTCAAGTTCAAGTCGAGCTAAAGTATCCTTGCGACAGGTGTCTGGGTTGAACTTATTCCATTTCCGCTCGTCGCAGTAGTAACATTTGTATTCGTCTTCGGGAACCTCTTCGTTTGTTCTGTAGCCCATGCAAGAGCAATGTTGCCAGCGGAAGCAAATATCACACTGAATGGTGAATCCATCGTCTTCTTCGATCCCGCAAATGCAACCTATGATTCCTGAATCAGGGTCGACTTTGTAGAGGTGAAGTGGAGGAGGTCTATAATTGGCAGTGGTTGGCTTCTCCTCCTCTGCCTGTTCTTCGCGTGGATTCTCTTTCAAATTAACTTTTTCCGGAGTCCCATCATTGAGTGCAAGTGGTTTTGGGGTTCCTGCTGAGGGGAAGGCGGTGTAAGTGGTCTTTTCTCTTTTGGCTTTGATTGGAGCGGGGAAATGATGCCAAAGCACCCGTTCTAGGGTATTCTCTGGGATCGTTTCATCGTCTGTTTTGTTATCATCCTCAGGCTCAGTCAAATCCTCCTTTTGTTGGCTCTGTTTAAGTTCAGGTTTCTCATCCTTTCGTTTGAGTGGGAGAGGAATGTCTGCCGCAGCACTCAAAGCGGCTGCAGCTATAACAGCATTATCAACATTTCTTTGGCCTGTCTCGACATTTATTCCCCTCGACAAGGGCACTTTCGTTCCTCCGGGAGAAGTTGCAAAACCGCCCGATGTAGACCGTCTATGTGTTTGGAAGTTTCCCTGAGCAGGAAGATTCTGTGGTGACTTCATCTGTTCACTTCTTGGACTCCGCACTGGTTCCTCCTTGGGTTCCTGCTTCACCTCCTCCTTACGGTATTGGTGGATGGGAGCAACAGGAGGAATTTTGTTTTCCTGTAAGTGAGGTGACTGATTAAGCAGTGGAAGCTGTTGAGGCGGCAGCTGAGCATATGGGCTGCCTTGGTACGAATACGGGAAGTATCCTCGACTTGGAAGAGTCGGCGGTAGCGATCCGCTGGCAGGTTGCATATGTGGCTGAGATCCAATAGGAGCATTCCATGAAGCGTGTCTTAGTTGCGGTGGAGAACGATCCGTTTGCAGGCCTGGAGACCTCTGTGGAGCTGAAGGCGGTTGAGTAGGGTTCAGCCCTGGAGACTTCTGCGAAATAGACGGGGATTCAGCATGCACCAGAGCCGGCAGGTTCTTCATGGTTGCAGATTTACTAGATCCACCGCTCTGTGGCTGGCCTGGAGCACTGTGGGTTTCTTGAGGAGATGATGTTTTGTGTTCTTTGGGGGAATCACCAGGCAGACCCAGGCCCTGGCGGGCCACGTTGGCGAACATGAGGAGCGTGGAGGCATCCTGGAGAAGCTGCTCCTTCTCTTTTTCCTTGTTCATGAGGAAGAGTCTGGTAATGAATGTGGTGTTTCGATTATACGAGGTTTAGGATATAGGCAAGTTATGCTATGCGACTTGACGCTTGAGGTCACGTGCACAACACACATATACGACACAGTTTTCGTAATTTCTTTTGGAAACGTTAAAAATGCCAGCGTCTTCACATTCTAAAGTTTTTTTTGGCTCAGGTTGCCTACTGAAATGAAGTGACTTTTCTCGCTTAGCTGTTGTCAACGCTCGTACGGCGCTATACTCTTCGCGAAGACTTCTGGATACGAGCTCCGAGCACTATTAATGGATACATCGTTCGTGTGAAACATTTTCTAGCGGGAAAAAATTCCTAGATTTTAATCGTAGTTTTTGAGTTTGTTATAAGCGGTAAGAATTCTGGCGCCATTTATATTAAGCATGAACTGCTGTCTAAAAGCAGGTACCGGTCTAGGAGGGGAGTGAGCGAAACATGGCGCATCTATGTATTCACTATGGCGCAGCCGTTCCACAAATTTCCTATTTTTGGGTTTGTATTGACCGTTCGATATAGATTCCGTGCCAATGGTTGAAGCGATTATGAGTGTACTTTCTTAAATTTTTTTTGCTTAATTGTTACAATTTATTTGCTGTATAAGCGCATATTGACAGTTTGTTGCAAATACTAGATATGTAACATAGAGTTCCCTTCTGAGAAATACCAAAACCACACTAAATTCTCTTTCACGTTTCGACTTTCCCAGGCTTTTCCTAAACGTCAAACAATTCGAAAGCATGACAAAAAATAAAAAGTTATAATATATATATATATATATATATATATATATATGTATAAAATACTAGAAGAAGACAACGTTATGAAGCTGGACTCCATCGTACCTATACCATATTCCCATAAACTTAACGTTTAGGGGTTCTACTGAGAAAAAGAATAAAGCATCGGTTTGAAAATCCTTTTTAATTAACTTGCCAGCTTACTTCTAACCGGTTGCCGCTGGGGCCTACACCCATATCATCGAAAGGCTCACAAGCCCTTTATATCATTGTTATTTACAGACCCATTATGCTAGAAATACGAAAACATCCGCCATGCTCACAGCGCCTCCTGCTTGCCCTCCTTGGCCTCCCTCATCTTTTGTAGATACTCTAGCTCCTTACGCAAAGTATCTGACGCATAGTACACCTTCGACTGAAGGAAGAATGAGTTACCCTTCTCTTTGGAGTTCACATCGAAGAGGTATTCATACTTCTTTTCGATCTCTTCAAGAGAAAGCTCCTCCTTCTCAATATCCAAAATCTTCATGGCCTCATCGATGGGATTCCACCTGTGGATTTGGCCTTAGTGGCACCAGTAGCAGCAGCAGAGGCACTAGCCTTAGCAGCTTGTTTGTATGCTTCCGTGAAGGCACGCCCGAATACCGAGGCACCTGTGAAAATGACGTTGACGAGTAATCTGTGGGCCATTTGGGATAGATAGTTGGAGAAATCTTCGACCGAGAAATTGTGAACCAAGAGGCGAAGAAAATCACGTGACCAGATTCAAATCGGATTGGTTTTAACGGTTTTTCAATGGATGTTCAGTAGATTCAATAGTGTGGGGATTCTACAGGAAGAAGAGGCTACTTGGATTTGAAGTGAGTCGGAATACTGGAAAGTTCAACCTTGAGAGGATGTTGAAAAATGTAGCACCAGGCTTTGATCTGACGGAACTGTCAACGACATGGTCGTTGCATCTGCCAGAGCTTAATAAAACCTTAGAATGCGTAGCTCTAAAAGACCGAAACGGAGTGTTGATTGTGACCCATTTGTTAGGTGGGTCAACCAACACTTAGCTGAACGTGAAGCCCCGGTCACGCTATCGCTAACGCGGCGTAGTTCGGGCAACACTGGGGTCTCTAAAGTAGTGTGCCGTAGCACGAAGTTATACTTATATTAGAGTAGTATAACCACTACTGATGGTTACTTTTCAAAATCTAGGTGGCAGGTGCGATGGGTCTTATATAGTGCGAAAGATTTTATGGTCGGGTAACCCCGTGAGCAGGCTGCGACGTCTATGCCAGGTCTGGCTTGTCCATCTCTGAATTGTCAAATTTGGATTTCATGAAGAATTGAAGATAAATTTATGATCCCGACATATTGCCGTTTTGAAACTAGCGAGGCCTCTGCCATGACCTCCGACAGACACTTCTGAGCTAGGCTTTCACTTTGGAAATCGAAGACTGGGTTTTCTCTTTTTCAACACTCTTTGTAGTCTTGCCGTTGATTCACTTAGAGACTTGTGAAAGTATGAAATACATGTTCTCTTTGCAATTTGTTTCCCATTGGGTTGAGTCTTTCGAAGGTTCCGCCTGGCTGCGAAATAGCATTCAAGCATGGTTCACCCGAGGCCAAGCTGATTGGACATCATAGAAGAGGGTTCCTTTCATCAGGAAACACAGCTTTTCTTATTGTAGTCAAAACGGTCGATGAGAATTCGTCATGTCGTTATTGTTTCAAGTCTGTGGTTCACCTCCCCCTCGCTACGAAAGCCACCGAGCTCAAAAACTCTTATTTAGTCATTTCAAATCATCAAGTATAAGTGTGATACTTTCCATCCAAAGCGCCAACAAATTTGATTTTTCTTGTTATTAGTGACTTTTCGTGAATTCGGTCCTAGATCCAACCTCCACATCTGCACACCACGATGCTCATCGGACACCAACAGGCTCTTCATGTCCTCAACCAGTATCACCAAGCTTGACGGACTATTAGCATGGCTCGAGGACAACGCGTTCTGGAACTCCGACTTGGTTGAAGTGGGAAAGTCTCTGATAGGAGGGACAGGAGTGTTCTGGAAGTTGAAGGATCAGCCTGATCCAAGTGGTGATGCCTTGATACTACGGATTCCAAAGTCGTCCATATTATCCCCAAGAACTCATTTCTTTGCAATCTTCTCACGGACTATGAACCCGCAGATGCAACTATAGATTTGACTCTGGGTATGCATGCCATAGTGTTGACCTTTTTGTATGAACATGCATTGGGTGAGAGGTCGCCATGGTTCCACTACCTTGATACATTTGAAATGGACGAGGGAGACGATTATCTCCCATTGTGCTTATGGGATAAAGAGAGCAAAGAGGCCTTGTTCAATTCAGAATGTGATATGTTGAACATGCTCGATTCCTCAGAGCTCATTCTGTTTTACCTAGAGTGTGTCAACTTTGCAAAGACCAACAGCTCTGTTGTGGCGATCCCATCCACCTTACAGATTGAAGGCCAAGAAGTGAATGAGAATACTGCTGAACTTCGCTACTTTGCTAAATGCGTCCAAGCTGTTATTTCCAGAGCTTTCACCGTGGATAAGTTCCATGGACTTTCGCTAGTTCCCGGCGCAGACCTTTTCAACCACATGCTGCCCGTAAAAGAAGAAGATTCGGTTGTTCCTAGAGAAAATGTGCATTTTCTTTGCGATGATGACGAGGACTTGTGTGATCGCTGTGGAGAAGTTGGCTGTGGCCACGAGGAGAGTGATGACGAGGATATTAATGAGCTCGAGGAGGAGGATGCAGAGTTTGACAGCGATGGTAACATTGTTAAAGACGACAACGACGCTGACATGCATCCTAATGACGTTTCTGACTTGATGGAGGATATACCACTCTCATCGGACTCCGAGTCAGAGGAGGAGTCTATGAGTGAAACTGAGAGCATCGAGGAGGAAGAAGAGGAGAAGGAACCTGAGGAGATCCAGACCCTTCTGATGGAAGATATAGACAGACTAGAAAACTCCGACGCAGACACAGATCAAGAGGAGGAGGAGGTATCAACACTTTCACTCAGTGAAGACGAAGATGAGGACAACGCAAATACAGCAAAAACGCTGCCAGGAATTGAAAATAACGATTCCAAGGTGGAATTGGCGAAAGAGCTTTCCGAAAGCTCAAAGTGCTGCGATATTGTCCTTACTGCACTTCCATCTGAAGAACACAATTTTGAGCTTTTCAACACCTATGGCAACGAGCTAAGCAATCCTTTCCTTCTTCAGCGCTACGGCTTCATCAGCAAGGGAAACCCAAATACAAGCTGCCTTTTGTCGGTGCAAATGTTTGCCTACTTGAAAAAGCTGAAGGCCAACAAGCGGATCAAGGCGCAGATGGACATGAAGCTTGACTGGTATGAAAATGGTGGATTTGATATGGTGAATGATCTCTGTGGAGACTGCCAAAATGATGACTGTAATGACTGCAACGAACAGGGTAAGTGTAACGACGAGCACTGCGAGGATTCAGCCTGCAAAGAAAGTGGAGGTGACTGTGAAGACAGCTGCTGTGGAGATAATAACGGAAAGAAAAGCTGTGAATTACAGGAACCTCCAGAATCATGGCAACTTCTGCCCAAGATCGACCGCTCAGGATGCCCTACCAAGCAAACCACGGCACTTTTGCATCTTTTCACCATGCCTTTCAAAATATTCTACCACAAGCTTGGCCAGGCTCCAAGTGAGCGAAGCATGGCTAGACGAATCACAAAATATTTGTTGGAACCCGAACTCTCTAAGACAGAAAAGACCATACTCAAAGGATGGGTGGAGGGTCGGTTGCAACGGTACCGGGCAACCGAGGCATCGGGACCCCGTGCCGAGACCATCGCATACATGGTGAGCGAAGAGAAAACACTCTTGAACAAAGCTCTCCAATCATTAGATTAACGGAATAAAATTTCACAATTTGACTTTTGCCGTAAAAATAATATTGATCAGGCTCTGTCTTATCGGAGTCGGCTCGTGGCGTCATACAGGCAGCTGCGAAATGACAGTATCTCGAAACTACGCCTTGTACAAATAACCAAAAACTCCGTCTTATACTTTTCAAAATCATTAAAGGGCCGTCTCCATGCCTCATTCAGATACTGAGTCCACAGGGTCGGAGATCAGCTTCGACTACGAAGATGACGACAATCTGGTGATCCTGTTTGAGGAGGCCTACAGTGACGACGCTTCTCAAGGCACTCAAGAAGACTATTCACAAGATGAGCCGCAAAATCTTACTCTGCGTCTGAAGCCCTCGCCAAACTGCCTTACCCTGTGTCATTACAGGCCAATGAAGCTCAGCTGGTACATCATGGAAAAGATGATCATACCTGCCCGGAAGCTCACGAATACCTTGATTCTCGGGCACTCTTTGGACGAGATATTAGTGATGTTGCACTATAAGAAGTGGCTGGTTGACGAGCTAACAAGCGACTTTTACGATGATCTGGACAGACTACGAGAGAAGTGCGGTCTTCACCGAGAACCGAACAAGACATATCCTATCACCAAGCATGAAGACTACATGTGCTATATTTGCTGTGAGTCGGGACCAATGGAGACATTCAGCTTATCATGTGGGCATGAGTTCTGCGTTCAGTGCTACGGTCAGTATCTAGATGGGATCATCAAGAAGGGTGAACTCGCACAGTGCATGGATCCTCAGTGCAACATGGTCTTGTATCATTCTGATGTGGAGAAACTCTTACAGTTTGTTCCACCTGAGGAAGAAGTACCCATGGAAAAGCTTGACATCGATTCTGATAGCAGCGATGAGGAAAGTGTCGAGAACAATGTGGCCGATTTCAACAACTACGAGGTGAACCTTGCCACAGAATACGACCTTCATTTCAGTAATGTTGAGTTCAAGAATGAGTCATGGCCCAACGAATCTAGTGAGCCACTTCTTCAAAATGCGCTTCTCCAAGCAGCGGCAAAGCTGGCACTAGAAGCATCAAGAAAACGGTACAAATGGTGCCCGGCCGTGGACTGCGATGGCTTTGTTGAACTCTCTGGCGATACCAGACCTTACGATTATGATCACAGAAAGAATGAGCTTTTGAAACACACGCCCATAGTGCGCTGCCCCTCCTCGCATGAATTCTGCTTCGACTGCCAATACGAAAACCATCTCCCTTGCTCCTGTGTAACGGCCGCAAAATGGGTGAAAAGGTGTCAGGATGACTCTGAAACAGTTAATTGGATAGAGGCTAACACCCAAAACTGTCCTCGCTGTGCTTCGCTGATTGAGAAAAATGGTGGCTGCAACCACATGGTCTGCCAACACTGTAACTTCAAGTTCTGCTGGATTTGTTTGCACGATTGGAATCAGCATACGCAGGCGCACTGGTCCTGTAATAGGTTCCACGAAAGAAAAGAAGTTGATACTGGTGGCAAGGCAGAGAGGCAGAATGCACTTAATCGTTATCTTCATTACTACAAGCGTTTTGCGGTGCATCAGCGCTCAATGAAAGGAGACGAGAAAACCCTTGCCAGCATACATCGTTATATGCTCTTGTACATGAAGTCACAGACGACTAACAACAAGAAAAACGTTTCGTGGAATGACGCTCAGTTCATGTCAGATGCGATTCGCAGTCTTATTGGAGGCAGAAGAACATTGATGTGGTCTTACGCATTCATGTTCTACCTTGACAAGAGCAACTATTGCGATATCCTTGAGGGCATGCAAGACTATCTCAATGATAGCGTTGAATCGCTTTCGAAGATCTTTGAGGATGTTGGAGCGGAAAAGAAGAAGAAGTCGGAGGAGAACATCATGATGGCCTTGACAAAGAAGAGGACCAAAATTGTTCACTTGTCGTCATTAGTATTGAAAAGACAGCGCCTTTTGATTGAATGTGCTGGCCAAGGACTTGATGATAAAAGTCTCATCTTCAGAGACTATATATAATCAATCTTTTCCGTGATTGATCCAGAGCTACTGATAAGGACTTCTGCAGGACCCAATGAAGTTCCGCGTCTCGTCGATGCGCCTGCGGATTGTCTGATTTGAGTCACGTGGAGATAAGCTCATAGGGAGCTCTTTGTGTCCATTGATCAGATGGGTCCATGAAATATTTGGAGTGATCTATTGCAGGATTCCTTGCTGATTTGGCTTACCCCGTATTCTCGAAATCTGCTCAGCGTCAAAGCACGGCTGTCTATTTTGCGCTTCCATCTGTGGTTGCGTGCGCGTTATCAGGACATCAGGACTGTCCTAGATTTAGAACCCTTATACCTACTTTTCTTTCAGAGTGATCATGTCTGAAAGCAACCGAGGGCGCCCTCTTCTAAGAGCAAGCTCTGCGAGTAAGATTCATGCGCCCAAATCCACAAGTGACCCATTCCAACGTTCACAGTCGACACAACTCCCTCATACGCCGAGGCCGAATGAGCTTCGTCACAGAGCCATTCGAAACGAACAGATTAGACACAGTTCTACTTCTGCCCTTGAAACTCCTCGGGCAGTGGTACCGCCCTTGAAGAATATCCAAATGGTTCAAGATGCCCCGTTCAGAACCCTCAATCCTCCACATTCGCATAAGTTTGGCAACAGATGGGCTCAGTTCAATTTGGAAGAAGTACAACAAAGACCGAAGTCGGCAGAAGATGAATCCGTTAATAATTCAGTACCTACTCCACACAAGAGACGTATTAACATTTCTCCCATGACTCAACTAAAACCCGCATTACACTCACAGACATCAGATTCGGAAAACTCGCCTGCTGATAGAGATCAAGCTGAAGCATCAGATACTTATAATTCCCATCCTTCGAATAATTCATCTATCACTGAGAAGTTTCTGGGTCAGTCATGGGCTCTGTTAAGTCGTTCGGGCAAAGTCAGCAGCCATGCCTCGATGAATACTCTTGTGCCGATGCCTAAGAGCAAGATAGAGTTGAATAGAGGCGCCAGTGATGATGTCGAAGAAATAAATGACAGGATTGATAGGGACGAGGACCGGCAGCTTGCAACTGGGGATGCTGACGATGTCGAGACCACGGATATGCTGACAATTTTTGAGATTGCTAAAGAGATTCAAGACTTTCAAGATTTGGTTGCGAGGCAAGGTAAGCAGAAGTCTGAGGGTGCTAACCGTACCACACAAAGGATGCTTGACCTCAAGCAATATCAAGAAGAGCAGGATGCGCTGGTTGTGTCACACCTGCTCGATCATGCTGTAAAAATCCAGAATGAGGCACTTTTATCTACTTGGACATCAATACGACTTCGATTTTCCAGTCATGTTATTGGAGACTCCCAGTCCAACCTCAGATGTTCTGCGGGAGTACTTGGAAGTATTCAACGTTGCCCAATAAGGGCCAAATCGCATGAGACGAATATGGTGGACGCATCTAATAAAGACGAATACCTTATGAATTTGTGGACTGAAGAGTTTCAGGAAACTTTCGACGGTCGTCTCAGGCTGACGCTGATAAGCAATGATGAAGGCGAGGATATATACAGCGGGCCATCCGACATGTCCCACATGGCACTGCGTGCCCTTCAATCCAGGACCGCCAGCTAGACTGGTACATAGATTATAGATTTTTCCGGGAGGCTGCATTCTCTAGATTGACTCCATGATGAGACGTAGCACAAATAGTTCGCGAGAGCTTTTTGCAACCACTCTTGTACCACCAACTTTACGAACTATAACTACTTCAATTGCTTACCCAAATGACTAGAGAATTTACTGAGAGAAATGGCCGTTGCTATTCTACCCATCCTAGCTCACCAGATACTCATCCGGAAGATGAGCTCTATGGTGAAGACATTCGAAGGCCTCAAGCCAACGACGATAGTGAATATGAAACTTCAGAAGAAGAGACTTCGCTTCCAAGGCCTCGTGCTAGAGGAACCGGACTTACTACTCGCTGGCCTCGAGAAAGAGAATATAGAGTCAGGCAATTTGGTGCTGACTCTGAGGTACTTGGGTCAGCTCGTGAAAGACTTCGTCGCCGGAGTCTCTCAAGAGCCAGGATACTTAGATCACGAATTCTCGTCTACGATTCTTCCTCTGATCTGTTTATCTTGTGGTTCCAAAACACCGACCACTTCAGATCCTACGAGTATTTTCTCAGACGTCGTCCCAGCGTGGCAGCCATGATCGCCTTGTACGTATGGGTCGGTTCCCATGTTCTAGGCGATCCAATAATGATGAGATTTTGGGCTGTGCTGTTTCGGCGAGCTTTTGAGATTTGTGTTCGGAATCAGCGACTTCGTATTCTGAGAAGTCCTATTCGGAGATATTAGCTCTCGTCTTGCAGCCAACAGACTTCAATAGAACCGTCCCACCGAAGACTCTTCTGAAGTGATCAGCCGTGTCAAGCTTAGAGTTTCGTGAGTGTATCCTAAATAGTGCTACTATTAAATTCAATTGGTTCTCCAGAAGGTTATTGTGTATTGATTGTAGACACTCGAGGCTTACCAAACTAGCTGCGAGCGAGTCACCAGTTTCATACACACAAAGGAAGCATCACAGGTTCAGCCTTATGGAGTTACAATAGACTATTACTATTCGAAAATTATGTACATTCGATGGGCAAACGAATTGATTCTGCAAGAATGATCCAATGGGTCCAACCACGCTGGACCTCCATACTACTCGCACCCCCAGATATTTCTCACAAACTACAACAGTTCCATGAGTAAAAGAGTTAATTTGCCGTACGCCTACCAGGATTTGTTTCCTCAGGCAGCCAATCTGCCCCGTGACTTCCGAACCCCTGGCTCCATCTCGGCTGCGTCATTTGCCGAGTCATCTTCGAGAAACACAGCATCGGCATTCGCTCCAGCCAGAACACATGATAGACAAGGCTTGTTAGGCAATTGGAAGAGATTGCTCAAGAGGCTCTTCAAGCCAAAAACTCTTGATTTTGAAACCGCAACATGGGAAGTGTTCCACTTAATCGTCAACCCTAGAAAGATGTACAGATCAAACTACACATACAAACAGCAGAACAGCAGAAGATCCTCCTACGCTAGAGACGACCCTTCGTTTTTGATCTTGCTCACAGCACTCTTGTCTTTCAGTGCAATTGCATGGGGATTGGCCTACCTGCCTCACTTCTGGGACATTGTCAAGCTAATTATCAATATGGTGTGCGTGGACTTCTACGTGACGGGTTTCTTCATCGCCACTTTGCTGTGGCTTCTCACGAACAAGTTGGCAAATTCGCTGTTCTCAATTCCCCATGCCTTTTCTGCTGCTTCTCGTTATAATGTCAACTACATCGATTGGACCTTCTGTTTCGATGTCCACTGCAACTCGTTCTTGATGATCTGGTGCCTTCTTTACATGTTACAGTTCTTCTTACTTCCCCTTATAAACAGCAAAAAACTGTTCGTCTCCTTGTTGTTGGGAAACTCGCTATACTTCGGTGCTGTGGGTTACTACTTCGTCATCACGTTTTACGGGTTCAACTCTCTCCCATTCTTCAACAGTCTAACAGTTACCAGGTCAGGAGCGGGAGTTAACCCAGCTAAAGTACTTCAACTTATTATAATAGCGGGTATTCTACCTATTTTAGCTATCGGTTGGATTCTCACTATAGTGTTCCGCGTCAACGTCGCCTACACTATGGTTGACAACTATTTCAATTGATCACAATTGGTCTTTCAACAGCTCCAATCTCTCAGATGCAGCCTTGATTCTCATGCTGGTTCGATTACTCAACTCGTAATCGCCGATATCGGAGGTGGTTTCCGCCTTCCTCAACCAACTGACACTCTCGTTGATAGCTCTGAGCAGATCGTCTCCGGATTTGAGAAGCCAGACAAACATAGCTTTCTCATAGAGAGCTGTAGGGTATAAGTATGGAGAATAGGTCATCTTGGTGAACTTGAAGGGAGCGTTTGCGGAGTCTTGAACAACATACTTCGAGATGACTTCGGTGTCAAGTTGCGCCAATCCTGCCTTAACGTCACCAAGTTGTCTCAAGGTAATCGATTCGAAGAAGGTTCTTGTCATCTTTTCATCGAACGTCTCCGTAATCTTGGCGTGTTCACCAGCGGAGAATTTCAACATGCGGTTCAGAATTTGGAGGTCCTCAAATGTCATCCTGTTGTATCCGTTCCAAAAGTATACAAGCTCGTGAATGAGCGATGTTTCAACACATTCAATATAAGTAAGGTTAGGGTTTTTGCGATGTGTCTCCTCGATGCACTTCGTCTTCCGTAGAACGAACTTGTCAAAAGGCATTTGCTTATTGCTGCCACCTATGCCACCTTTCTTTTTTGTAGCGTTGTGGCCGTGACCTGGAACATAGGTAGGTGCCAATTTAAGGTAGTGATCTGCCTTCTTGGCGAAGTAAGCCAACTTGTCCTTCGTCTCTTCAGGCGTATCGTATTTGACTTCACCAACTTGTATCATCCTCCACTGTTCCAAGTAGCATGATCCAGCGAAAAATAAGTATACAGCCAGAGACCACGAATTGATCTCAAGTAGTCTAAGGAAGTCTCTTGCAGCGTTCTCATAGTTGTGAACAAATGCGTAAAGCATAGCTCTATCAAACGTAAGGAGTGCTTCGACCTGCTCCATATTTATCTTCGTCTCAGGATCGTCAGTGAATGATTGCATGAGATCAATAGCTTTGTGTATGTTGTTCTGGGCTGCCAACATTCTGCCTTCCTGCAAGAGCCAAAGTGCATTGTGTGGGAAAAGATGGCGAGCTTTTGCCAAAATTTGCTTGGTGTATAGGTTAGGATTTCTGATAATAAGTGTCAATTCTTCATCGGAAATGCTTGATCTCTCTGAAATCAGGAGCACATCCGAGATATTGGTGTCCTCGTGCCCTGGAAGTTGGAATCCCACGTCTATAAATTGAATCGGACCATCGTAGAAAACCAAAAGACACAAAAGAGCCAACTCGCCATGAATGTTTCTGGCAGTGATTGCAGTACGCCAAAGCATGCGGAGACCAGTTTCTCTGTCACCCTTGAAACCAACAATAGAAAGGACCTTTCCAATAGCTGGAGGAATCAAAGAAAGGACAACTTGGAGGATACCAAAGCATAACTGTACTCCGGAATGAATGAATTCGTCAATAGTAGAAACGTGTAAGTGCGCATTGGAGCTGCAAGTTGAGCTTTCCCCGGTAACTATAGAGCCTGCTGAAGAGCCCTTAGCCCCCTCATTGATACTGATAGATTCAAATTGGGTAGTTGGGGGAGTCAAAGATTCTCTGTTCCCAGAGTAGTCATTCATTGTCGGATTGGACACTGCGAAGGAGTCACCAGCGTCCGAAAACTCATCGTTATCAGCTGCCTCTTCTTCTGACAGACTCTCGTTATTTTTGCGGGTAAAAGCTGCGTTGGCGGCAACTGGTGGGGACATAGTGCCAGGTCTGCTCGACTGGGCTCCAGTGTCTTGGAAAGAGGGCAAGCTGCTTTTCGAAGACAAAGATTGCGAGCTCAGCTGGGCAAACAAGTCGACTTGTGAGGAGACACCGGTTCCTTCTATTCTTGCTTTCCTCATTTTGTAGATTTGTTCCATGTCTCTCATCAACTTGACGTCCTCTGGCAATGAGGACAGAGATGAAGTGCTAGAGCTTCGGGCGCTTGAGATATCGTAACCTGGAAGATCGACCGAGGACACCAGCGAGGAATCCGCTTGCTTGCGGAACTTAGCCAAGTTGTGGTTGAACAAGCCCTCTGACTCTTTGATCTTCTTGAAAGTTGCGTCAAGGATCTGATAGGCCCTACGCAACTTGAACAACGCCTTCGCCTGCTCCATCATTCCGTTGTTCTCGTGCAAAAGCATGACAAGGGCGTTAAGCAAAGTCGACTCGGCGTACGTAACTTGGAACTCTGTGCCTGGAGGGTAGATGTGGGAGGTGGAGAGATGGATCTTCTGGTTGTATTTGGAGTGGCCGAGAGAGGCTTCTTCGGCTTCCGACAAGGTATGATGAGCCCTGTTCATGACTTCAGTTTCAAAACCCAAGGTAGCTTCGATGAACTCCATGACACCTAAGGCCAAGGGGAAGATCGCTGCAGGCACCTTCAGGTGGGCCTTCTTGTGTCTTTCCACTTCAGTTTTCAAAAGATCCGTGCCTTGGTCTCCACGATCGTCGAGCAAGAAGTCCATCGCTTGGAGGGCGATCTCGAAATCACGAACCTGTCTCAAGACCTTGTGATAACGATCATGCTGTTCCAGAGTCTCTTCGGGCTGCAGAGATAAGGATAGCAAGGAAGCTCTTTTTCTGAAACCTTTCAACATAACGGTAGTTGTGTATGGCGACCTGAAGAAGGGAGGGACTAACTTTTGAAAAGTTTCAGAAAATAGGCGGGTCAAGCAGGATAGGGGAATCAGACGCAACAAGAACAGGTTTCGAGAGGGTGTACAAGCACGTGATGTGGGGCGGTCCGGGCGGGTCCTCTTGACATCTGTGACAATGACAGGTCGCGGCTGTTTACACCTGCCCTTGTGGTGAAAAGAGTCAAAAGGGTAGGTATAAGAAGATGGTGATTTTGGATGTGGTCAAGCGGAGAGGAAATTCAAATTCCTGGTTGAGAAAAATCATATTTCTGGTTGAACATAGCTCAAAAAGCAGAAGGGGCTACCCGGGACGAGGCGGTGGGCATAAGCACGGTGGGTAACCTGGATAGGCAACCCAGGTTTCTTCGTTGAACCGAAATCGGGCAGTGAGAGGAAGAATGTGGAAATGGTGTGTTCACGTAGACGGATCGAAGATCAAGAACGATTCGGGAAAGTGCAAAGCGAAGGTCTGGCAGGTGCTTATTGTGGCAATTGGTGGTTGGCTGAGTGTCCTGCTGGGCTGGCTGAGCACCGCCTTCCAAGAGGGCTTAATGTAGGAGATGTAGATTTGAAGTTTTCTGGCGAAGGCTGGAATATGATCCGGGAACTACCGTTTTGAGATCGGCTTTGGCTATGACACCATCGGTTTGTCCAGAAGTGGACCCTCTCTTTGTCTTACCAGCCTTGGCTTGCTGGGCTATATCCAGGCCCCCACATTGGCTGAATCGCACCGTCCATCAAAGAGTCGTTAGAGGCTGATTGAAGCAGAGAAGGAAAGGATGAATGGATGGATGAATGGATGGATTCTTTAGGTGGACTGTTACGTTTGCAATTCTGTCAAATGCTTGGACATGGTTTTTTCATCGGTTTGCACCGAATGCGCTGCTGGATCGCCCCACTACCCGATTAGACTCAGCCTTAAGCTTAGCCTTCTGTCGGCTTGTAAACTTGCTTTCGCTTGCTCAAAACCAAATTACCATCCTGGTGCTTCCAGTGATCTCGCCAGATCGTGGTGCCTGGACGGATCTGGGTGTTTCCTAGTTGGGTCGCATTCAGCACTTTTTCGCAGCCAGCCCCCGGCGTGCATTAGTCGGTTTAGACTGGCGCACCTAGTCCGAACAAGCTAGCGAGCTACCCAAAAGGAAAAACTTAGTTTGGCGAGAGGTAAAAAATCAAGGCATTGGAAAAAACATAAAGGGATGTATGAAAAACGGAGAGCCTCCCCGGTAGAAACCCAATGGCCAATGGGGCTCTTCCCAGGCCCACCACCCACCACATCACCGAAGCCTCCTTGTTCTTTCTTCTATCCCATTGTTTCTGCTTCTCCACCTGTCGCAAAGCTGAACAATCCTGCCTCTGACTCCATTTTCCTGCTCTTTGGGCCCTGCCTGGCTGGACAAACCGGTTTCGGTGTGCCAACGGTGTTTCGCATCTGGCTGCTAGACGTTTTCAGCGTGCAGCCGCACTCGCTAACGCTGGTGTGGGTGCAAAAAACCGCACCAGATCTGGTTCGCTTCCTGTTCCTGACACGGCCATGACAGCCAGCCGGTCCTGCTATAAAACGACCATTTCCTCCTCGATTTTCCCACTCCAACCCCGACACTCCTTTCCCAACTACCGTCTATCGTTATGAAATTCGCCACTCTCCTTTTGGCCGCCTCGGCCCACGCTGCCACCATCACTAGATGGCACACCTCCTGGAACATCGTCACCTCGCTGTACGACACCACCACCATCAGCACGCTACCACCCACCACCGTGGTGATCGACACCGACGGCCAGACCATCGATCCAACTTCCACCGCTCCTTCAACTCCAACAACCCCACCTACCGTGGAATTCGAGCCCACCACCTCGTCGACCCCAACTACATCGTCGACCCCAACTACATCGTCGACCCCAACTACATCGTGGACGCCAACTACATCGTGGACGCCAACTACTTCTTCAACTCCAACCACGAGTTCGCAGTCATCAACAATCGCTACTGCTCCAACAGACACTACCTCCAGCGCGGCCTCCAGTGCCACCTGGACACCAACCACCATGTCTACCGCGCTCTCGTCCTCCTCCTCCTCTGCATCCAGCACCAGCAGCAGTGCTGCCCCAAGCGCGGATCTCAACAAGTTCCAGCAGGAGATCTTGGACCAGACCAACAAAAAGAGGGCCCTCCACTCTGCTCCTTCGGTCGCCTGGAACTGGACCTTGACTGAGTACGCTACGGATTACGCCAAGAAGTTCGACTGTAACAACGTCCAATTGATCCACTCGGGCGGCCCTTACGGCGAGAACTTGGCTGCTGGTTACGCTGGCGGCAAGGACCCCGTTAACGCCTGGTACGACGAAATCAAGGAGTACGACTACCTGAACCCAGGCTACTCTGAGGCCACCGGCCACTTCACCCAGCTCATCTGGAAAGACTCCACCCAGATGGGTTGCGCCAAGGTGACTTGCGACAACGTCTGGCGCCAGTACACTATCTGTGAGTACTCCGCCAGAGGCAACGTTGTGGGCAACACCCAGCTGCTGACCGCCAAATACTTTTCTTCCAACGTTAAGCCTTCGGCTTAGGCTTCTTCGGTTTTCTTCGATATATACTTTTAATGCTATGGATTTACGATTCGCTTGTAGGCTGAAGGTATAGATTGGTTGCAAAACCGCGATCCCGACATACAGATGAGTTGACGCTTTGCTGGACAGGCGAGCCGTGAAAGTCCACTTACTTTCATCAACTCTCAGAATAGACTCTTAACCATCAATTGAAATATGCCTGCTTTGACGGCTCCGTGCAATAGCTTTCACTGCACAAACTAGCCATTTAAGCTTCTCAGTGCATCCTACTACAGTCTGATAGATGAAACGGTTACTATGTATCGCTACACGCTTACTGCTTCAACAAGTGGGTGAACTGACCCTTAGAAGGCTTGGCCTTCTTCTTCTCAACCTTGACAGATCCCAACTTCTTCTCGGAGTAAGCTCTGGCGTAAGGGTTCAATCTCAACAACACCTGCTTGTTCTTCAATGGGTTCTTCTTCTGGGTGAGTGGTCTCTTGGTGAAACCCTCCTGGGCTGGTCTGACAACGGCCTGGATCTCAGCAGAGTTGATCAAAGACTTGTAGTCGGAGTTAGACACAACGTTAGCTGGCAAAGCGTAACCGGACTTGGCAGACTTGGTGTTCTCGGAACCGTAGACGGAGTCCAAGGACTCGAAAGCAGCCTGGGTCCAGATAACGAATCTACCCAAGTGGGCACCTGGAGCCAACTGCAACAAACCCAAACGGGAAACGTGGGCAAGGTCGACACCTGGGATGTTTCTCAAGGCCTTGGTGAGACCGTTGTCGTTGGCGTAAACAACCAATGGACCTCTCTTCTGGACCCATCTTCTGTTTCTCAACTTACCCTTACCAGCTCTCAACTTCTTGGACTTGATAACTCTGACAATGTCCTTGTGGGCACCGACAGCCTTCAAGACAGCGACAGCGTCCTTGGTCTTGGTGACGGACTCCAAGTCGTTGGAGACAACGAGAGGCAACTCCTCAACCTGCTCGACTCTGTGACCTCTGGCCAAAACCAAAGAGGTGACAGCGGAGGCAGCAATGGCAGAGGCAGTGGCGTAACGCTTCTCGTTCTGGTTAACCTTGACGTGCCATCTTCTCCAGGTCTTGGTAGGAGCGAACATACGACCGCCTCTACACATGTTACCGAAAGCACCCTGACCGGAACGGTGAGTACCAGAACCACCAACTCTTGGAATTCTGGCAACAGCTCTACCGGTACCCCAGGACTCAGCGGAGGTCTGGTGGCCAGCCTTCTCGGAGACGGCGTAAGCCTGTCTCTTGTTCTTGTTCACTCTGACGAAAACGGAGTGGACAATGTCAGCTCTGACTGGAGCGTTGAAAACAGCTGGGAGAGGCAACTGAGCGGAGGTCTTCTCGCCCTTGGCGGAGACAACAGAGACTTGTGGACGGGACATGTTTGTTTGTAGGTGATGTAGAAGATGTGTGAAAAAAAATTTTTTTTTCAGCAGGTGGTGAGCCCGAGATGTTGGGTCACGTGCGGGCAGCGAAAAACCGTCCCATTGGCCAGGGCTGCAGCCGCGAGGTGCTTACTGCTACTAGAGAAGCGGCTTTCGGTATAGGGTTGAAATAAAATCGTCTAAAGAGGGTCATATAATTTTTCCGTTGCTTCAGCTCTCAGGAGATTTTTGGAACTTTAGTTACGCAGACTCGAAAAGGCTGATTGTTTTGTATTTTTCTTGATGTACACCAATGTCTTCCCAATGTCCTACTACGTTTACTATGATCTTTGCGTGTAGTCTGTGATTGTTGTAGTCATGTGGAACTCTTACGTGGAAATTTTCCAGCTGAGTGAAAAGAATTTCTTTCCGTCTAACTTTTGGATTAAAAACTGATTTTACAAGTTTTTAAAGTTTTGACAAATTTGAGTGTGCACGAAGTATTCTTACGAACAATCGATCCTTCTTGGAGATTCCAATATTTAAAGTCACTTGCTGTTCCCCTTTTTCGGTTACTTAAGCTATTGTAATATATCCCACCGTTTTAGAGGTCTTTCCTACTTCCTAATTATGCTTTTGATACATTTTTATCTATAAGTTTACCCAAAGAACTTAGAGTACTTGGCTCTTTCCGCTTTTTTGGACTGTTCCAATAAATCCTGGGCCTTTGTAATCTCCTTAGGAATGGCTGCATCATTAGGGACCAATTTTTGTGCCTCCTCAAGAGAGCTGATGGCCTCCTTGTATTTCCGTAGCTCAATTTTGGCACGGCCTGCTCTAAATAGCGTCTTTGCTTTTTCCTGCTGAGAGAGAGACATCTCTGAAAGATACTCACAGTAGTCGAGACACCTAGAATACTGCTTGAGTTTTAGCGTGACCAATGACAAGTTGAGATAGATCTTCTTCTTCAAGTCCATGTACTTCTGATAGAAGTCGGGCTCTTCATCGGGATCCGGGAAGAATTCCATCACGTATCTCAATGCCTTTTTAAACTTGAAGAGGGCCTTTTGGAGCTCTCCCTGTTTAAAGAGTTCACCACCAGCATTCTTGATTATCGTGGATGCTTTCAACACAGACGCAGACAGCTCTTTATCGATGTGGCTATCGTCATCAGGATACTCCTCGTATATATCACCTGCAATCTCATCGTAGCACGCATTGAATATAGGTACTGGGTCTCCATCTTCCCAATGACCGCATTCAGTAATCACGACAGGTGCAGAGTCCACAGGCACATGTGCACTATCCGTCTGAACGTTTTCAATTTCTCTTATAACAGACTTGCCCTTGATCACACGCCCAAAGCAGGTGTGTTGGCCCAGGAGATGTTGTGCTTTGTATGTGGTGATGAAGAACTGAGACACAGAACGACCTGCCAATGCTAAAAGAAAGGATTCCTCGAACTTCTCCTCGGCATTTTCTTCAGCAACCTTTTCGGAGTCGGCAACGTTGCCATTGTCGCATTGGATCATAAAGTTCTTGATTATTCTGTTGAAGTGGTGCCCCTTGTAGGTATGCAACTGGTCGAGAAATGCAGCAACGGTTGAAGGAGCCTTGCTCACATAAAGCTCGAAAACGATTCTTCCGATTTTGGCATCTCCTACCGAGATATCAAGGTAAATTTTGGGTAGCACCTCTTCAACTCTCATGGTGGTTTGAAGATGCCCCGGATTTCGCGATGCCCTACTATATCGAATACCGCAACTAATCTTCCAGATATATGTCATTCAGGAGCACACAAACGGTCCGAGGCCTTCGAGCCTTTACATCCTCAGCTATTCGCCATAGCTATGAGCAGCAATTAGCGAAATCTGCTGAAAACATCAATGTCGTTTTGGAGAAGTCGGACAGACTGTCGTACATCCTAGCACAATACATCCCTGAGCCAGCAAGAAATGGCTTTCTAGCGATCAAGGCCTTTGGATTGGAAATCAACAAGATCACTGATGGTGGCGCTGCCACGGGATCAAGAGCCCTGAGGGCACTGAATCAGCTTTCATCTTCCATGGGTCTTTCTACAGCAGACATGAAGTACAAGTTCTGGCTGGACATGATGTCCAAGGCGTTCACGGACCAAGGCGAAGTGCATGAACCAACAGTGTTTCTTTTAAGAGATGCCTTGAGACTGGGGCTCAATTTGGACATCTCGTATTTCCACCAGTACCTACAGACAAGGAGGCATTTCCTTCAGTCAAAGCAGTTCAAGACCGTCGAGGATATCTGCTCGTATGGTGAAGGCACTTATTCTCAATTGAACTATGCCACACAGGCATTGCTTCTTCTGCCGCTGATTTCCCCATCAGTCATTCACCTCTTGGAGCTTTCTCCACAATTGCAGAACAAGGTCAGTGATATTGCAGCTCACATCGGTCAGGCTTCTGCTGTGAGCTCGATGATCTTGGGTTTTGAATACTACGCCAGCACCCGCAACATCGTTACCTTACCTGTGGACCTCATGACGAAGTTTGAGCTTTCACAAGAAACCGCCCTTCGTTTAGCCCAAGGCCATCTCAAGGGGAAAAGCCAGGAGGAAGAGGCGAAGGAGAAACTTCAAAACGTCATTTTTGAAACGGCTGTGACAGCCAATGATCATCTCCTCTCAGCTCGTGTGAAGCTCAAGGAAGTGAAGAACGATATTGCACACTTGGTGAAGAGCAAGCCTCACGACTCTTTGCTACAGAAGAATTTCAAGAAGTGGAGGAGGGGTATTCCAGACGTTGTATTCATTCCCTTCATGAACGCCATACCGACATCCTTGTACTTGGAGAAGTTGGAGAAGAACGACTTCAACCTTTTCCGCCCGGCGATGAAGCAAAAAGAGTGGCGTCTCGGCTGGAGGTCATTCAAGAACTATTACACTAGATCGATCTAGTTTTTCATTAGCATATCTGAGGCTCAAAGCGGTCTTTCGTGCGTTTTTCGCAGCCATCCCTAACAAGTAAATAGATTAAATGGAGAGTCCATTTATACAAGCAGCTTCAGAGGAAAACGGAGCTTCTTCCAAGATATCTTCCAAAGGAGAGCGCAAATTGTCGATCCTGATCCCGCAGACTAGTAAGTTTACTATACTTTTAGATCATATGCGGCTCGCCTGAACTGCAAATGCAGCCTTGAAACTAAAAATACCTCGATCGGAACTATATTGCGAGAATTTTCAAAATGTTTATATAAATTTCAAAATCTATAATCCTAGGCCACTAAACTCTATTCATAACAATTACTCCTTTCGGACTGTTCCATCTTAGTGGTATGTGGCCCTGGTTTATGGGTTTCGCACTTTTCGACACAAGGCTTTACGTGTAACTCCATACATCCACATCAACAATCACGGAGACTACAGGACCTTACCGGAAACACCATGTTCTCCAAGTCCCCCACACCAATAAATCCACGCAGCTTGGCACCGGCGTGGCTGCACCAGGCACACCCGCCTTTTCTGCCACAGTCCGCCTCCATAGATCCCATTACCTTGGTGATCAATGAATGTATGGTGATTCTGTGCGCCATGAGAAAGATGAGCCGCTGGCCTCAAACGGGCGTGGCTGCCATTTTGGGAGGTAGCGATTTGTTCGGAGAGGAAGACGGGCTTTCTAACTTGGGTCTCTCGGGATCTCATTTCGGACTGGCTGTCTCTACTCCTAGACCCTCGAACGGAGGAACGGCTAACCCCAACACCAGCTCTAACCCTTTACACTCGAGTTTCTTGCAGTTGCGTGCCATACTTACGGAGACCTCCGATATCAACACAGTGGACTCGTTGACGATCCTCCAACCATTCTTGTTGGCCGTGGAGTCGAGCTCCACATCAGGAAATGTCACGGGCCTAGCTCTCAATGCCATCACGAAATTCTTAGACTACGGTGTCATTGGGTGGCACTCGAAAAATATTCAAAACTCGCTTATACAGATCACCAGCTCCTTGACACACTGCCGCTTCGAGGCTGCCGACCAAAGTTCTGATGATTCCGTGCTTCTCAAGGTTTTGCGATTGTTGGAGTCCATTGTTGATTCTTCCTTCTCAAAACTTCTACCAAATGCAGTGGTGTCCGAAGTGATACAAACGTGTTTATCTCTTGCATGCAACAAGCGTCGTTCAGAGGTGCTTCGAAGAGCCGCCGAGATGGCTATGATCTCCATGACGATCCGAGTCTTTCTGCGCCTTCGTGAGCTTACCCCCGAAACCACTCATGTCGATGAAATCCCTACAAATTATGCCGAGAACCAATTGCCCGCTGATGTTATCGGCGGAACAAGCTCGCCAACAGAAGATACAAGTGCCGTGGCACAGGATGGCGCCGAGGCCGACCTAAAGCCACCCACAGTGGACCTTGCCCCAACATCGCCTAAAAGAAAGCCATCCATGACCGATGAAAAGGAACCACAATTTGACATTGTTTGCATCAACGAATTCTTCGCCATTTTGATCTCCATGATCTCCCCAACCAACCAGTATCAGCATATGGAGAGTACACGTGTTTTTGCCTTGCTGCTCATAAACATAGCAATTGAGGTGACAGGTTCTGAAATACCTAAGCATCCTTCCTTGATGGGACTTGTGGCAGACCCTGTCTCCAAGGATGTCTTACAAATCATTACCGTTACTGACTCACCTCCTTTGTTACTGGCCGCTTTGAGGTTATTCTCTACCATGGCGATCATTCTTGGCAAGCATATCAAATCACAGATTGAACTAACTTTCAATTTGCTTTTCCATTCCATTTTACCCCTGACCTATCCAAGGAGAACACCATAAAGGGCAACAAGATGGCAATTTCGACCAGGATTGCCTCATCGAAAGAAGCTATTGTGGAGAGTCTCTCTTTACTTTGGATCAGGTCTCCCCAGTTTTTCTCACTGTTGTTTGTCGATTACGACTGCGACTTTGAAAGATTCAACATGGCATCCGACTTCGTCAACTTTCTTTGCAAATTGGCCTTGCCCGAGGCCGCCGTCATCTCAACAGATAACGTGCCCCTATCTGCTTAGAGGGTATCCTTTCTTTGGTGTCTGGCATAAATGACCGCATCAAGAATTCTGAGGGCAAGCACATTCGCCTGGATGACCAACCATCTCATCAACTACTCTTGGACAAGGACAAGAAGACAGCATTTGTGAGGTGTACTGAAATCTTCAACGATAGTCCCAAGAAGGGAGTCGCTGCGTTTGCGGAGAAGAAGTTTTTGAATGACCCTAATGACACTTCTGAATTAGCATCTCTTCTATTCAACAAGTCAGCTCGTCTCAACAAGAAGATCCTCGGTGAATACCTCGCTAAACCATCTAACACTGATCTTTTACGAGAATTCATGAATCTTTTTGAGTTTGCCGGTTTGAGAGTGGATGAGGCATTAAGACTTCTACTTAAGTCCTTTAGACTTCCTGGTGAGTCTCAGCAAATTGAGAGAATAGTCGAGCTTTTTGCGCAAGCTTACGTTGAATGTCAAAAGTCATATACCCCAGATGAATTGACAGAAGAGGAAAAGAACGAGCCGGTTAACCCTGACCAGGATGCTGTGTTCGTGTTATCCTACTCGATTATCATGCTCAACACAGACTTGCATAATCCCCAGGTTAAGAGGCAGATGGATCTCGATTCTTACAAGAGAAACTTGAAGGGTGTCAACAACGGAAAAGACTTTCCGGAGTGGTACCTCTCGAAAATTTATTCATCTATTAGAGACCGTGAGATTATCATGCCCGAAGAACACCATGGCACCGATAAGTGGTTTGACGATGTTTGGCATAATCTTATTTCTTCTCAAACGAAAGTGGCTCACGATAAAGACATATCGTTGAACTCTATTGACGTTGGCACTTTGTGTCAATTCGACAAACTATTTTTTGAAGGCTCAGTTGATGTTATTATAGAAACACTCATTAAGGTTTTCAAGGAGGCTTCAGACGATAACATTATCACCAAATTGATGTCATCCATTGACAAGTGTGCTAATATCTGCATAAACTATGGTCTTGCTAAACCTGTGAATCATCTCATTGAGGAATTAACCACTATAACGCATCTCACTAGGAAGACATTCCCCGCACCACACCCAGAGGAGAATATTCGTCGGGAGATTCCAATCACTCAGATTACCATCGAAAAGAAAGAGGAGCCTATTAGTATTAGTGACATGGCTGTTTACTTTGGTCGTGATTTTAAGGCTCAATTGGCTGCAGTTGTTCTTTTTAGATTGATCAAAAAATCTGATTGCAGAGTGAGCCAATCCTGGGACGGAGTCGTTAAAATCATACTCACATTGTTGGAAAACTGTTTGATAAATCCTAATTTGTTTTGCGAATTTCAGAAGAAGGTCAATTTGGCTCCTCTTGCCAAAGTCAAACCACGGTTTATTATTCAAGGAACAAAGCCATTGAACAACTCAGGAATTTTGTCAACATTTTCATCGTTTTTGAAGGGGTACTCCGACGAGCCTCCGGAGCCTTCAGACCAAGAGATTGAGTCCACTCTTTCCACCATTGATTGTGTCAGATCAATCAATGTTCCTGGTATCTTTGACACTGTCTCAAAGGGTACTCAGGATGAGCTTAAGCAATTCGTGGATTTGCTATTGGACAACTTGCCAGAGTTTTCTGATGACAAAAAGCGTTTTTATGAATCTGAGATCTTATTCCTATTCGAAGTTGGTGTTTGTTTCTCCTTGATTGTGAGCGAGACAGAAGTCACAGATAAGCTCATCGGTAAATTACACGAGCACATGAAGAATCATGTCTCAAAGAGAGGCTATATGAGACTTTCGACATACTTGTTTTTACTTGCAAGACAGAGCGACCACAGTTACGAGAAGGAAGCAGCTGAGACACTCGAACGCATTAACAGCTTTGACAGAGATATCATAACAAAGCACGGTGCTTCCTTGGTAAAGTCTCTTTTTTCATTCGTTGATCATGACTCCAAGTCGAGACCTTTAATTCAAACGGAAGGTTTCTGGGATTTTCTCAAGCTCGCTGGTTCTTCATCAGACCTTGCTGATGAGGTTTTAGACTTTGTCGAATCCATTGTTCAAGATTCTTCCGATGAAGTCTCTGACCAGAACCATATCTTATTGTTGGGATTGCTTGATGAGGTATCGTCTCTTGGTGCTGTGGGTGCCCAATGGGAACAGACAAGGGACAGTGGCCAGACCGTCAACAACAAAGCAGATGAGGATTCTGAAGAGAGGAAGAATGTCCAAAAACTCATCCAGATTTCATCGAGGTCGATTGACCAAACCGGACTCCTAGGAAGCTCCACCAGAAAACTTTCGTATCCGTTGATTCAAGCATTGGCTCATCAATGTTTCAATCCCTGCCGCGAGGTGCGTTCACACGCTATCACAGTGTTACAGAATACGTTGCTTTCAGGAGCATTGAACGAAAACTTCACTGCATTAGGAATTTACGAGTATGGGCTTTTCCCTCTTTTAGCTGAACTTGAAAAAGAGGATGTGATTACTACCGACAAGAAGGGATTCCCAGAAACTCATTCGCAAATTTTGAATTTGGTGAGTAAGGTATTCCTCAAGCATCACAGCGAACTCACTGAGGAGGAGAGAAAGACGGTATGGCTAGGAATTGTGACACATTTTGTTAGAGTCAACAAGATGAACTCTGATCAAGAAAAGAGCTACGTGAAGGAGTCAAGCTTGGAGGTAATGAAGAACATGATCTTGGTCTTGCACAACGAATTCCTTGTTCCGGATAACAAGGATTTATGGGAGTCAACGTGGAAGAATCTTGAGCAAGTTTATCCTGGTCTCGAGAAAGAACTCCCTAACAAATAAGGGCCATCATAATAGACAATAAATGCTAAAAGAAGCAAGTTGTAAAATTTTTTATGTATCCAATTCTATGGCACCGATCGGGCCACCTCAATTTAACATAGGTAGCTTTAGTTTTTACATATGGTGAAAAAATTGAGCCGTTGATTTAGTGGTATATAATTTTCAGTCGTTCATGTCTATCTCATTTGCAACTAATGCTGAAGTCCTGCAGTAGTGCATATACAAGGCTAACAAAGCAGAGCAGATGAACTGAAATCTACTTCAACCTCGTCAAAGAATGGCAGAGACTTACACCCAGAGGGCTGAAAAGCATCCTTCGCCTGTGGCACAGCGTCTTCTCCGTCTAATGGAGACGAAAAAATCCAACTTATGTGCATCTGTGGACGTGAACACTACTAGTGAGTTCTTGGCCCTCATCGACAAGTTGGGTCCTTCCATCTGCTTGGTGAAGACTCATATTGATATCATAGATGACTTTTCCTATGAAGGCACCATTGTCCCTCTTCTCGACCTTGCCAAGAAGCACCACTTCATGATCTTTGAGGACAGAAAGTTCGCTGATATCGGAAACACTGTGAAGCACCAGTACTCTGGTGGTGCTTTCAAGATCGCCCAATGGGCTGACATCACCAACGCTCACGGCGTGACTGGTGCCGGTATTGTCAGCGGATTGAAACAGGCTGCTCAGGAAACCACCCAGGAGCCTCGTGGCTTGTTAATGCTCGCTGAGCTCTCCAGTAAAGGCTCATTGGCTTACGGTGAATACACCAAGCAGACCGTTGAGATTGCCAAGAGCGATAAGGACTTTGTCATTGGTTTCATTGCCCAGAGAGATATGGGTGGCCAGGACGAGGGATTCGACTGGTTGATCATGACCCCTGGTGTCGGTCTCGACGACAAGGGAGATGCCTTGGGCCAGCAGTACAGAACCGTGGATGAAGTCATTTGCACCGGCACAGACATCATCATTGTCGGACGTGGTTTATTCGGCAAAGGAAGAGATCCGCAGGTGGAAGGTGAACGGTACAGATCGGCAGGATGGAACGCCTATCTTAAGAAGACAGGCCAATAAATAGATATGTACAAGGGGCCAATCAGAAACGCTCGTTCATGTCGTCAAGACTATCGGAAAGACGAGTACGCATAATCTCGAAAACAAGTAAGCCAACGGATGTTGCAGGAATGGTAGTCAACGCATTTCTAGCAAACCCTTTGTACGCGAGTTTGAACCATGTCTGGTTGCTTCTGCGTTTGATGGCCATGCAGTGTTGCAATGTATCAACATATGAGTTGTAGTAAATCTTGAAAAAATGACGCTGCTTTTTGTGCATCGTCGCTGAATAGATGTCTAGCGCTTCTAAGCGGTGTAGATGTATCTTCTGTACTTTTGAGATGGGGTACTGAACAGCTAGTAGAGAAAATGCTGCCGAGGCTCCTGCTAGAAGAATAAATGTAGATTTTAGAATCTTGGTCAGTCTGGTTTGCTCAAATCGGAGGAGCGCTGCATCTGTTTCTTGATTCTTCAGTGACAAGGAAAGCTTTTCTCTCACCCTCTGCTTGAAGCGACGGAAGGAAGAAATGACCCTATATGTCAAACTGTATCCTCTTGTCTTGACAAGCTCAAAGGTTGAGAAGTAAAAAGCAAATCCCAAGCTTTCTTTGATGAGTGAAAAACCGTATCCTGCGAACACACCCAAGAATCCAACTTCTTTGAGTTTCTCCCAACCGAAAACCCAAAGGTTCTGATGTTTGCCACTCATGATCTCTGCCATGGACAGTCTCGTGAAAATGGCATCCACAGGAGCTGCAGCTAGGGACTGAACGGCTCCAGCTATGAAGCCTGCTTTCCAAGTATCTGTAGGTGGATAGTAGTAGTCCTTGTTAGATCCCTTAGGCCTGTCCTTCTCTAGGTAGTCTAGGGATGTCAAGTATGAGCCGTATAAGATGATTCCTGTTGCTGAATTGGCAATGAGAGGCGGAAGTACCTGGTCGGGAATGAACTTCCAGCCTTCCTTCTTGATAACATTATGTAGCATGCCAAGCGTCGAATGTGTGCTGAATCTATACGGCTTCGAGTTTATGCCATCATGTTTATTGGCCAACTCCCTCACATAGACCATGTAGTCGAATCGGGAGGGACGAAAGAGTTTTATGGGTGTTCTCATATATAACGACTGAAGTTGGTACAAGACAGCTCTGATACCAGCAGTCGAGAGGGACACAGTTTGGTTGCTCACCTTCTCACGTCGAACATGATCGTCGTCGGATCCTATAGTGAGGTCTGTATTCATTGCAGCATTGTGGATTGGGGTCTGTATCTTGCTGAAAGCAGACTTCCAATGGCGCAGATGTTGATATGAAAATGCAGGAACCACAAACGGCTATCAAATGCACAGATTGCCCCCAAGGAACGGGACCGGCGGGAAGAAGGTAAGCAGCAAATGGGAATTCGAGTACTATTTTGGGCCACTCAATGGGCATTTGCGAAATTGGTTGCCCTGTGAAGATGGATGCCACTCTTGCTCCTCCAATGGCTGCGAAACGTGGGGAAGAAGTCACAAGTTTCTTTCTCGTCCATAAGAATGGTATCCTATCATGGAAGCTTACTCTTCTCCATATTTACTCTTCTCTGTAGAGAACAATTTCGCTCTGCTTGAAGTAGCGTCTGCCCTCCTCATCAATCAACACCAACAGCAAGTATGTTCTGCACGAGAACTTCTTGTTCACATCCTTGTAGGTCGGCGTGAGATCGTAGCCATTCAAAAACAATCTAATCGGAATGCTTTCACCCTTGACCGGCGCACCATCCATGATCTCGAACCGCACCGTAGTGTCTGACTCCACCACCTGATTCGGAGCTGAACCCACCATTTCTCGCTTCACAAGTGAAATCTCCATGTGTTTAATTTTGATTCTCACGAGCATGAAGAAGATACGACCCACAATCACTTCCTTGAGCGAGAATCGGCTCTTGTTGTACTCAAACTCAATGTGTAGACAGTGCTCAATGCCAACATCCATTTTGACCGTGGATGACGCTATCGTCTTAGCGGCACTCTTCGCCATGACTTCTCCACCAGTGCTGCTGCCAGTGCTGACCTTTCTTTCGGCATTGCCGTTCGTCTCTTCGCTCAGAGAGTTGTCGTACTGCAACACCCATAAGTCCTTCTCCCTAGTGATGTCTGCTTTGTTTTTGCGAGATACAACAACACGTATAAAGTAACGCAAATTGACATTTTTGCCTCTATAGCTCTCGTACTGCTTCTCCACGTTCTTGAAAGCAAAGTCGTAGGTATCCGATTGCCTCAAGTGACCGGGAGCAGCAAGCTCTGTGGCTAGACTAAGAAACTCGGACAGCGTTATAGTATCCAAAGGCGACTCTATGGCACCTAACAACTGGACTTTAACTCCGATGTGCTCCACATCTCTGCCACCTCTGGTTCTGAGGGTCACTTGTCCTTTGACCGATTCGCCATCTCTGAAGAGCGGCAACAGGTCGATACGGCCTTGTTTGGATTTGAGTTCAATATGCTTGCGGGATTTTTCATCATCTAGGCGGATTTCAATGTCCAATGGCGCCTTGAAAAAGAGTGACATGGCGTGGAGTTGAATGCGTGAGAATGTGGTGAGATAAGCTCCGTACACTCTGGGGTCCATAGGCTACAGCGGACCGAACCAATGGGGCCTTCTCATGAGGAATTGGTCAATTGCTTGGTGTGTGTATTTTAGAAGGTAGATTTTTGGAAACCTCAAGTTCAATTAATTCAGATTGCTTGCTCTTTTGGTGTTTGCAGTGAAGCTGGGCTAATATGTGATATTTCGCAGCCAAGCTAGCAGAGGACGGATGGACAGACAAACCAAATGCTTACTTTTTTCGCTCACCAGTTCAAATCACGGTACTATACTACTCTCAATATATCATCAAGCCGGAGCGGCCTTACATTACTATATCTAGTTCTTAGCGATGTACTCAACCAAGTCAACGACTCTGGTGGAGTAACCGTACTCGTTGTCGTACCAAGCAATCAACTTGACGAACTTAGGAGACAACAAGATACCAGCCTTGGCGTCAAACACAGAAGAGTATTCGGAAGAAAGGAAGTCAGAGGACACAACGGCGTCCTCGGTGTAACCCAAAACACCCTTCAACTTGCCCTCAGAGGCCTTCTTCACAGCAGCACAAACCTCCTCGTAGGTGACGTCCTTCTTCAACTTGGCGGTCAAGTCGACAACAGAGACGTCCACAGTTGGAACTCTCAAAGCCATACCGGTCAACTTACCGTTCAAGTGAGGGATAACCTTACCGACGGCCTTGGCAGCACCGGTGGAAGATGGAATGATGTTGCCAGAAGCAGTTCTACCGCCTCTCCAGTCCTTGTGGGAAGGACCATCCACGGTCTTCTGGGTGGCAGTGATGGAGTGGACAGTGGTCATCAAGGCCTCCTCAATGCCGAAGTTGTCGTCAATGACCTTGGCCAATGGAGCCAAGCAGTTGGTGGTACACGAAGCGTTGGAGATGATCTGCTGGCCAGCGTACTGCTCCTCGTTGACACCGACAACGAACATTGGAGCATCGGCAGAAGGAGCGGTGATCACCACCTTCTTGGCACCAGCGTCAATGTGCTTCTGGGCACCTTCGAGCTTGGTGAAAACACCGGTGGAGTCCACAACCAAGTCGATACCGTCAGCACCCCAAGGGATTTGAGCTGGGTCCTTCTCACCGTAGACCTTGATCTTTTGGCCGCCGATGATCAAGTTGCTGCCCTCGCTGGAAACCTCAGTCTTGTACTGACCGTGGGTGGAGTCGTACTTGAACATGTAGGCGGCGTAGTCAGCAGCAATGAAAGGGTCGTTGACAGCGACAACCTTGATGTCCTTTCTCTCAAGGGCGATTCTCAAGACAAGACGTCCGATTCTGCCGAAGCCGTTAATACCGATAGTGACCATTTTTGTTATTATATTAGAATGAAGATGAGGAGCAATTGGGTCTGAGGCGAACGGTATTTATACCCTGGGGGTGGCCCTTCAAGTGTATGGTGATGGTGCGGCTCACTCTTGTGTGAAATAGAGTGGTGTGATGTCGCCCTCGAGCGGATAAGCTTCGGTTTCGGAGCCCTTTCTAGGTAAACTTGGGTCGATGCAGGGCAGGCCAGAATCTGCTTATTTTGTTGCTGCAATTGCCTGGGTGAGTGTCGATTTTGCAGCCATTAGAGGGTGCGAGTGCGTCTGGCATCAGGTGGTTGATTCCGTTAGTGCAACTCGCCTATCCGACAGCTGATCTCGGAGCGGGTCATGCGCTTACGTTGAATTTGATGTGGACTGAGGACGATCAAGGCTACTTTAATTGGTAAGAGGGATCAGAACTGTCGGGAAGGTAGAAGTGGTACTTGGGTGGTGATTTTTTTCACATTTTTCACCAATGCAGCGCAGATCACACTCGCCAATTGAATGGAAGCCACTTGGGTTACATGAAACAGCGCTTGGCCATCTCCAGGGTCTTGATGCGATAACGTGGTCCTGGGCCGTTTCCAGGGGGGATATGCGCTTGCGTGGGGAGATCCACTCCTGGGTTCTTCAATCGAAGTGGGTTCGGCGCTCTCCTGATATCAATGCATAGCTCCTGCAGAGCGTCAAAGTAGATTTTCGAAACCCCTAAGCTCAATTGCTTAAGAAGCAAACTTCATGTGCTCCACTTCGGAGCTTGGGCTTTGCCTGGTGTGCTGAGTCCATGTGGCTTGTAGAACAACAACACTAGGTAGTCTGGAAAATGCACTACAGAAAGCACAGGCTCCAATATTTGCAATAACCGCAGTTCCAAAAGCACAAGCCCGTTCTTCACGACTACCAATTGGCCAGACGGAGACCCCGAGACTGTGCCACCAAGACTGTGCCACCGGGCGGCTGGGTATGCAAGAAAGATCATGGCCAGATCCATCTCCACCACAAAACCTGAGTATCGATCCCAGCAACCTCAATTGCTTAAAATTACTTCTTCACCACAATAATGAAACCCCTGTTTTATCAGATCCACATATTTTGCCAGCGTGTGGAAACTTCGGTGCTATTACCGAGCGCCGACCCGGGCTGCATCTACAGCATCCCGAGATGAGCATTAAAAAAATAGCCCCGTAGAAAATTCAACAGGACAGTAGTTTTGACAAATGTATGAATTAGCGAATTTACAACTCCCCGTCACCGGCCAAGTAACGTGTCTCCCGATTTGCCAAGGCCTGTTCTCTAAATGCGACCACCACAAGCAAACCTCAGGAACCCAAAAAAACATTCAATGCCAATTTTGGCCTGTCCATGTAAGACACTTCCTAAATCTCAGCTAGATCCTGCGTCGCCTTCACCTGCTTCATCCTCTCACAGCGCTTGTCTCTGGGGCATAGGACTGCACCTGCACAGTTTTCACTCCGGGACTAACCAACTACCACTATCGGGAGAAAGAGTTGCAAGCCATGTCGTACGAGGAAATCCCTCCGGACGTCGTGTCGCCCCATGACGCGACACAGACAATCCAGCAGACGCTCAAGTGCAAAGACACAGTGATAGCATTGTACGACTTCCCCGGCACCCAGCCATCCCACCTTCCCTTGGACCTCGGAGACACCGTTTATGTCCTAGCTAAAAGCGACAGCGGCTGGTGGGACGGCGTGTCAATTGTCGACGGCGAGATGCTGCGAGGCTGGTTCCCGCATAACTACGTTCGACTGGTGAACTTTGTCCAGCCTGTGTTGAATAAACTAAAGCTGAACAAGGAAATCGACTCCATAACGGCTGCCAACACAGCGGCCAACGTGCTAATACCGTCCTTTACAAGCCTTTTGCAACGGTCGCTAGCGGACCTGGGCAAGAACAGCCCGGCAAGCAATACAAGGAAGAATTCGGTGGTGTCTTTTGCCAGTCTGGAAACCAGCATATCGGACCAGAGACTGCGGTCGAACCCGGCGCTTTCAAACCATACTCCTTCGCCTTCTTCGGAAGCCACGGAGGGTGCATCTCCGGCACCAGCTGCCCACCAGCCCTCGTTCGCCTCCACGATATCGTCCCATTCGGAGGATATGCCTGTTGCACAGGATACCCCAATCAAGTTTATATCCGTGGAGGAGGCCGAGAAATTGACTCTCGAGGTGAAACAGACAGAGGGTAAGAACATTGTATGGATTGCACGTGGTACCACTACTGGCGATGTTGCCTTCTATTCTGAGCAATTGGAGGTGTACTGCGAAATGCTACCGTTGGTGCCGCTCATGCCACAAGCTGACTTCAACGGAGGAAATTTGCTGCTTCCACCACGCGAAGCGCTTGATGTCATCACACCAGTTAATGTGGTGAAAGACGACAAGGCAGAGGATGATCCTCACGACCGGTCGAATTCGAGTGTCAAGGGCTTCGATATGAAGAGAGATTCCAATGCATCTTCAATGTCCACCACGAGCTCAGCTTCATCTTATCATCACTTTCTGCAACCATTCTTTGCCACCAGCGGGTTATTTTACAGCTCATTTGATGACATCAACAAATGGACGGAGCTCAAGGACCGTTTCAACTACCTTCTCGATTTGACTCACAAGGCATTGAAGGATTCCAATAAGCAGCTCTTCTCCATGCACCTCTCACAGCTTACCAAGCTGGTGTCGATCGTCTTGGCCGGTGCAAGGCTAGTTCACCATGACTTCGCTGACTCCAAATATGAAGGCTCCATCAGAAGAAAGCTCAAACGTATCACTAATGGCTTTTCCCAATTATACATCAATGGCCTACTACATCTCAGCGTTATGCACTATTCGGTCGCTGCATCAAATACAGAGCTCTTCAGTTTAGATATCCGCAGCCTCAACCGGTCCACAGGGCCTACCCCACAAGCATCTACAGTGCTGCCGTCAGAATCCATAAGCTCTTCTATTACGGGCCCCAACACTAGAGGTCTGACTGATGACCTGGCATCCCATGACTCTGTTGAGTCTTATCTTCTGCAGATTGACCATGAGGTCGATGCCGTGAGGTCCAACATGAATGCGCTCATCAAAATCTTCCTTCGTCTTAGTAAGGGAAAAAGAGTGACAATCAAAGATTATGATAGTTCGGATGCTTCGGAAGACGAGGGAGAGGATCGCTTCAATGTGCTTCCACAAGTCTATCCTCGCTTTCTTGCTGATGAATTCAATGGTGGAAACTGGTGCAACCCGTTCTTCACAAACACCAAGCCTTATCTCAACTTGAGTGGTGAACACTTGAAAAACAAATATCACCTCAAGGTGATCATCGACAACGCAGGGTACGAAAGGGTCAAAATGTCTGCTACCGAGATTGTCAAGATTAGCTCAGAAACATTGAACTACTTGGGACCAGACAATCAAGAGAAGTACTACAATGAGCAGCTCCGTAACGGGCGTAATGAGCAGATCTTGCGATTCATCTACAAGTACTTACATCATGCCAGCTCCATGCTTGATTTACTAGAATCCTTTGATTTCACCGTTTTTTGTCTCATCAAAAGGTCTTCCTCTGGTGATAGCTTGGGAAGTAACGAGGAGCTTAAATACGGGACCAAGCTGATGACAACACTACTGGAAACCTCACATTCGACTATCCCGTTGTTCTTGAGTATTTCAAGGCTAAGCAGTTCTTCCACACTTTGTTATCAAAAATTATCATGTATTCTCAGTCATTGACCTTGGATGACCCTGATGTATTCACGGCTATGAAAGAGGATGATCCAATCCTTTACAACAGAGAGACCATAAAAGATCCACTTGAGAGATCTGCAATGGTCTTGAGCAACATTTTAATGCAGCAGAATAAGATGAAGTCTCCAGATGCAATAACCCTTGACAAGGATGAGGTGGTGTCTGATTTGCTTCTAGAAGGTATTGACTTCTGTGAACATATCACAGCGCTCGTGCAACAGCTTGTCGAAGAACGTGAGACAATCTTGAACTACGCCACAAGAGTTATGCATGATGACTTTAATGTCCAGCTTCTTGTGATTGAGAGAAACAACACCGCTGCCAGCGAGAAGAACGAGGACAGCGGTGCACAGTACTACAGTAGCAAAAAGGGTGACGAAGACACGCCATGGTATTTGGAAGGTGATGAGGAAGGTGACTTGTTACTTGATATCAAGGGTAATATTAAGGGAGGAACAAAAGAAGCTCTTGTCGCTCACTTAACCAGACATGAGTCTCTTGACAGCGGCTTCATCTCTGTATTTTTGATTACGTTTGCCACAATGATGTCTATCGGTGAATTGATCCAGACTCTCATCAACAGATTCAATATGGATGCTCCTGAAGGGTTGAGCTATGAAGAATACTTGTCATGGAAATCGTTGAAGCAGAGCAAAGTACGCGCAAAGGTCTTGGACATCATGAAGTTACTTATTGACGTCCACTGGTGTGATTCCTTCTACAGCATTACAGTGTTGCAACGTTGGTTGGCATTTTCCCAGTTGCCCACTGTGAAGCGCTTCCCAGTCTCTGAAAAAATTTCTGAAGGTATTGAAAAGATCCTTCGCGGGAGCCAACCACTAAGAGGCATGAGTCCGCTGTGGTTCTTGGAAAGCCTCCAGCTCCTATTCTCAAAGGATTTTCTATCAAGAAATTGAAGCTTCAAGATATTGACTACATTGAGTTTGCCAGGCAAATTACCATTCGAGAGTTCCTGTTGTTCTGCCAGATCAATAAACTTGCTTGTATCAACAAGGTTTGGGGCAAGAAATCAGGTCTTCAAGAAAGCATAGAGCCCATCACAAACTTCATCAAAGCATCAAACCAGTTGACAAATTTTGTGGCATACATGATCTTGAGGAAGGAAGATGCAAAGAAAAGAGTCAGGTCTATTCGTTACTTTGTGCAAGTTGCAGAGAAGTGTCGCCAATACAACAACTTCTCCTCGATGACAGCTATTATCTCGGCTCTCTACTCATCACCCATTCATCGTCTCAAAAAGACATGGGCGTTTGTTTCTCGTGACATCTTGACCCAGCTTCATAATATGAACCGACTCATGAACTCAACCAGAAATTTCAACGAGTATAGAGATGTTCTCAAGTTCATTGGGTCTGAGCCATGTGTTCCGTTCTTCGGAGTGTACTTGAGTGATCTCACCTTCATTTACCACGGAAACCCACAACACTTGTTGAATCGTACTCGTATGATCAACTTTGCGAAAAGAGCTAAGACGGTTGAGATTGTTGAGGGAATTGACAGATTCCAGAAGATTGCCTACAATTTCCAAAGCGTGGGTGAGATTCAGAAGTACCTCGATCTCTGGTTCGACAAGTGCCCTTCGATCGAGGAACAGTATCAGTTGTCATTGAACCTTGAGCCTCGTGAGGTAATTGACCGGAAAGTTTCAAAGAAGAAAACCGGAAAAGATGAAAGTCTGCAGCCTCGCCTGGCAGTCAATATGAACATTTGGGGTCTGAAGTAAAGTATTTCGCAGCCATGGATGCAGAATACCGCTTCCGGTCTGCGCTCGTCTTTAGTCCACTACCCTGCAGGACAGAATCGGTAGTGGTTTACGTCGGCCGGAACGACCTAGTAAGTAACACTGGTGTCCAGGCCATTCGCCATCGAGCATGTTTAATAAACTCAAGTCCTTTTCAGAGGATGTTGCAAAATCATTAAATGAAATACAACAAGGAGAACCACCTCGTAAAAGTATAGACAATATAAGACAGCTCAAGAATGGATCCAATATCTTGAACACGAAGACCCCAGACTCCCAAGACCTTCTACAACCAGAAGACGACAACGAATCCAAAAATGGCAGTCAAACCCAATTGGTTCAAGAGGGTCAATCCGAAGATACATCAGCACAGACAGCTTCCCCAATTGCAACCTCAGGGCCTTTGAAAGACATAGACATGGAGCAGTTACCTCAGCTTGTTAGGGCCAAACTAAAGAAGTTTGTCAAATATGAAGAGAAATATCCTGTCTTATTAGATGCCTACAAAACTGAAAAGCGTAAGGGTGAATTGGTTCTGTCTTTCGAGAAGGTGCTCAAGGAATTCACCCCAGTTTCCCTGATCGCAGACGCTGGAGAGATTGTGGAATACTTAAAGAGCATACACGATAAGACCAGTATAACGGAGCAGGAGCTAAGGAAGAAGACAGCTGAGGTGACTCAATTGACAAGACGCCTAGCTGATGCTGACAAGACTGTGAGATACACAGAGGAAGCGCTTGACAAGGCCCTGAAAGTTAAGGACAGTTTATCATCAGAGGTTGAGTCTCTCCGGCTGGATCTCCTGAATGCAACTCGTGAGGCTACTCCACAGGCATCAGTAGGGGACTCTGAGCTTCAGAAGTCTATTGATGCACTCAAGGAACAGCTTGGATCAGCGCAGACTAACTTGGAGGATGCCACGGAAGAGAAGGAAAGACTTACAAAGGATTTAGAGAAGTCGAACACTGAATTGAGCTCTGTGCAAAAGGAGTTGGATTCGTTAAAGAACGATGGTGATAGCATATCTGGACAATTGAAAGATCTGCAGCTTAAGCATGAGACATTGACTAAGGAACTCGAGTCAATTAAACACGAGAAGGACACTCTTCAAAGCAATTACAAAACATTGGGAGAAGAAAAGAATATCCTTCAAGCGAGAGTTTCCGACTTGGAGAGCAAGATTGCGGACACGGAAAAGCGAATCGAGGAGATTCAGAAGGAGAGAGATGATGCTCAATCTAAGTCAGTTCAAGCCTCCAAAGGAGAATCAGAAACGCAATCTCAGCCCCGCTCTTCTGGAAATAAAAAGAAGAAGAATAAGAAGGCCAAGGCACAGTCAGCTTCCCCGGCACCTGAACCAGAGACGTCTGACGCAAAGAGTGGTGCTTCTGAGTTCAAGGCAAAGTTTGAGGAGCTCACACAGAAGTATGATGATCTTGTTGCAGAGAAGGAGTCACTCGCATCTGAACTCAGTGAATCAAAGAAGTTGGTAGAGTCAAAGAAAGAGGAGATTGAGACATTGAACGATATGTTAAGAGAAACAGGCAATGACTTGGTGGCCGCAAAAGACGACATCAAACAATTGAAGCTGGATACCCCTCAAAAGAAGAACTCGAGAAGTACAGTCAGCTCGAGAAGCAAGTGGAAGAATCGTCGAAGGAGCTTGACAAAATCAGACGTGAGTCCGAAGAGAAATCCGAGAAGTTGAAGGTTGAGCATGCAGAGCAAGTTGAAAAGATAAGGCAAGAAACGATTGAGAGCCTGCAGCAGTCATCAAAGGAGGAAATCGAAACTCTTAGATCAAACTCTGAGAAGGCATCTGGCATAATTAAAGACTTGAAGGGACAACTTTCAAGAGCTAAAAAAGATCTTGATGAATCCAAGAAAGAAATAGAAAGCTTGAACCAGGAGAAGGCCAAATTGAATCAGCGAATCGATGAGCTTGCTAAGGCCAAAAGCGTCGATTCATCGTTGAAGCTCGAGATAGCGTCATTGCAGTCGTCTGTGTCGCATAAGGATGAACTTATCAAGGACTTCAGAGAAGAGTCAGAGAAGAGAGCGAAAGAAAGAGACACGTTGAGGGCAACTATTTCCCAGCTCGAAAACTCTAACTCTAGTTTGCAAGGTAGCAACAAGTCGCTTGTTCAAGAGAAATCAGATCTTATCAATAAGCAAGAGGTCACGAACCAACGCATCAGCTCCCTAAACGCAGAACTTTCCAAACTACAAATTAGCAGACATGAAGTGGTAAACGAACTTGACGAGCTTAAAACGAAGTTTGACACGATGGTGAAGACAAAGGCCAACTCCTCCGATGAAGTTCAGTCATACAAGCAGCAGTATGAAGAGCTTAGTATGAAATCAAAGGAGGCGCAAAACAGAATTGACACGTTGGAAGACGAGCTTTCTGAGGCCAAACTGATGTTACAAGAGAGAACTCGTGAGTCATCTACCATAAGAAAGCTTCTCCTCGAGGCTGAAGAACGCAACAATATTGAGTGTGCTAATCTCAAGAACGATATCAGATCCATCAATGCCGAAAAGTCGGAGCTTGAGTCCTCTCTACATGGTGCGCTCAAACAAAGACAACGTGAAATCGATGAATTGAAGTCCTCCTTGTCGGAATCAGCCAACAAAATCAAGGAATTGACGAACCAGATTGATGGCCTTAAGAAGAAGTATGAGCCTTTACTCAATGAGACTGCAATCTCCCCAGAAGCAGCAAAGAAGACGAAGGATTTGGAAAATACGATTGAGGAGTTACGAAGCTCCCTTCAGTCTTCCAGTGCCAAGGTCAAAGAGTACGAAAACATGAATCGCACGCTCAAGAAGTTGAACGAGGAATCTTCTCTCAAGGTTGAGCGTCTCCTGCAAAATTACAAGCACGTCACACAACAGTACCGCCAAATGCAAAGTACAAAAGCTACCCCTCCCGAATCCACCAGAAGTTCCTCCGAACTGCCTGTCGCTAAGTCTACTCCAGATAAGGATACAAACACTGCTTACCTCAAGAATGTTCTTTTCGGGTTTTTCGAACACAAGGAGCAGCGCGAGCAGCTTTTGCCAGTGGTGAAGACACTTTTCCAGCTTGATGATTCTGATGAAGCGAAACTCATGAATGCATTGAAATAATCCGTATGGCTGCAAAACTTGGTGTGCATAGAGGCTCCATCGCTCGATCTCCAAGACCAGAGAAGCGTCCTTAGTTGTCTGGTGACATGAGTGCCTTTGATCAGAAGAAAGCTTTCATACTTGAGCTGATAGGCCTCACTTCCCTGGAAGTACCAGATGCATCTCCTAAGGGCACGATTGACTCCCTCTGCCTCCCAACCATCAATGTGATCAATGCTCATCCTGACATGGTCACAACGTCCCTGTGCTCGGGCAGGGTCTCTGTATTCCTCGAGGGTATGAAAAAAGCTGATACTCAGATCGGTGCCAAGGGTAACGAGGGTCGCTGGCTTTTTGTGACTCATCATCCTGAGGAACTATCGAGTTGGTATGATCAGGTTGACTTTGTATATGAAGAGCCTAAACCAACTGAAGATTCCCAACGATTCATTCTTTTCAAATTTGAACCCCTCATTTTGCATGTCAAGTGTCGTGATTTGGATACTGCCAATCTACTATATTCCACAGCTATGGGATGTGGTTTCAGGGAATCGGGCATTGGCTCCAACAACATCGTGGGTATCAGAATCTCGATCAAGCTAGATACCCCGATTGGCTACCTTCAAGATGACAAGTTAGTTTCCATTGTTCCAAAGTCTTATCTTGAGCTAATAACGAAACTTTCTCTTGACCGGTTCACTGAGAACTTCAGAAAGATGGAAACTCTCACGAGGGCTATCGAGCTGATGGGAAAGCCACAGAAGGCGCCAGTTGTGGAATCAAAAGAAGAGCGTCGCTTGCGTAAAATGAAGGAAGGAATGGCTAGAAGAGAATCGGTAAGGGAAGAGAAGGAGAAAAAGAGACGAGAAAAAGAACTTCAAAATCAATAGACTAGTTAATGTACATCTACGCTACATAAAAATGCTCAATAATGAGCTCTAATGCTCCTCCTCCTGTGGGGTATTACGAGACAGGCCCTGGTTAGACTCAGAGCCTAATTCAGAATTCTCCAGGCCCTGCTCTGTGGTGGTAGTTTCTACACCATCAGCAGTCCGCCTGCTTGAAACTCCCGATGCAAAAATGGACGACGCGCCTCTCTCGGCCTCACCAGACTCTCTTCTTTCATTTTCTCTTCTTCTATTTCTGCTGAACAAGTTGAGGATTTGAGTAATCATTGGCGAAACCGGAGAGTTACGACGACGTCCCAATGAAGGCAGCCCAGCTCTGTCTGTTGATCTGACGTGTCTATGAGGATGGAAAATGACAGAGGTTGCCCTTCGAAGTAGACCTGGGTTCTGCGTGTCTTGTGGCGGGTTTGGTGTTTGCTCCTGAGATTGATCCTGGCGAGTTTCCGGCTGTGGCGCCAGATCCTCACCTGAAGAAGGTTGCCTATCGTCGTAAAGATGCATACCGCCAGCACCAGGTCCACCAAAGCGCAAGTAAGTAACAGGCGGTAAGTCATTGCGATCGCCAACTTCGTCAGGGATGTTGTTTCGGCACAAGGGACAGTTGCGGTTCTCATTTAGCCAATGAGCCAAACATGACTGGCCAAAGATGTGACCACACGGAAGTTCAACTGGTACATGTTTCCATTCAATGTCGCAAGTTTCTAGGGTCCCCTTATCCTCACGTTCGTTGGAGGTGGATGCAGTGGGTGTGGGTTCCCTCAGGTTCATCTTACGCTTCTTTGTGACACAGTCGTCTATAGGTGGGACCTGCTCATACCGCTCAAAGCAGATAGCGCAAGTTTGTTCCGTAAGCCCAGGAGGAGACTTAACGGGGAACTTCTGGAAGGTGTCGGGGTGAATACCTTTCTTTCTTTGTGTGCTTGATACCAAAACCAGGTATGCCATACGAGTAGCTAGGGAAATGAACAGTTGGATGGCTCTAGGTTCCCTGTTAGCGGCGGTGTTAGGCAATGTCACCACCAAAGAACCGGTTCTTCCCGGACCGTCACCTTCGGTTCCATCTAGAAACATGTAGTTCACGGTGATGATTATGGAGCCAGAAAGATCCGTTCCGACTATACCCAACGGGTGGTATCCCAACGCAGGTCCATTCAGGCCAGATTGTGGTTCAGACAGCTGTGGACCGGTTTGAGCCTCAGTACCTGATGCAACTCCCGTGGCGTCAGTAGCAGGGCCATGGTCTAGCGTGACTGTCGGTGTCGTGCTTGCGTTGGTCGAGTTGGTAGGGGTTGTACTATTGCCAGGTTGATCCTGAGACCGCCCCAATGCTGTATCAAGCAAGTAGTCGAACAAGTTGTAGTTTGGTTCAGGCTGGCTGTCAGCCCCTCTATCTCGATTCTGGTCATCATTTGATGCTGGATTTGTAGGATTCGAAGGGTTCAGTGGCCTATCGTCCTCGGGCGGTTGCTGACTCATGGTTGAATGTGGATCAAATGGAAGGGTAAGGCTGACTCTTGCTTAGTCAGAGGGATAATGTGGAAACCCTGGAAAGAGTATGTGTTGTAAAGGAAGTATAATAAATAAAGTGGAGCTTTTGTGGTTTATTGTTTGAAAAACCGACCTTAAATAGGAAGAGTCAGGCACGGGCCGTTGGGAGCGCCTCTGACGTAGTGGTGGTTTTCTTATACTGGTCATGTGACCGTTGTCCTCGTCTGTTAAATTACATCGTGGGGTTTCTACTTTTGGATTCTAACAAAAAAGTTTGTTTATTGCTTTATTTGCCACACAGAAGCTTCTAGCATCATTGAAGGTGGCTTCTTTTTAAGGGGGCCTTGTTGCGATACGATACACACTGGCTGCAAATGGGGTTAGCTGACAATGATCTTCAAGATCACACTATGGGCTGTTATTTCTGAATAGCCTTTTATGAGTTTCATGAGAATTACCCGTAAAATGAAGAGCTTCAGGTTTTGGTACATGTCTTCAAGGAATCTGTTGATGACTAAGGGGTCACTAAGGGAGGAGAGGCTTCCATTGCGTTCTGTCGCGCATAGAGGCGATCAACGCCATTAAGTCCGATTGCCATGAAAATTAATTAAATAAGAAGCTTGGAAAGTAGATTGCGTAAAATAATGGTGATGCGTATATTGAGAAGAATATGCATCTCCATGCTTGATTGACCAAAATGAGAACTGTGAGCTCAGCTGCAAGAAAGTTTCTCTGCATGAGTCCCGACGCCAGGTCGTACAAATATCCTGGGATACTGTCTCAAACAATGAATATATGACAAAGCTTGCAATTTAACTCATTCATCGTTCTTGAGTCTCTAAGCTGTTCTACTGCATTCTCGGCTACAAATGGGCCTGAATAATCACACTTGTATATTACATTCCTAAAGGCGTCATCTCTATCCGGAGAATGACTCGTATTCATGGCGGTGGTCATATGCTTATGCTGCTCACTGAAGCTACTTGGACGATCTTGTCAAGCTGCAATATTTCTTGTGAGTGCGTTGTCTCTTGGCCTCCAGCGGCGAGACTTTTTATATTATTAACATGGCGGAGGCATGTCCAATAAGTCGCAAAACGAACATAATATCCTTCATATCTGCTTCGAGGTTGTCAAAGGTCTAAATACTCCTCGACATGGCGCCGAGAGAACCAGAAGCCTCTGAGTGACTTTTCGAACTCACGCAAGAACGCAGTATTTAACACCAATGTTTGTGTGATTTTCATGGGATTTGGCCCGTGAAACTTGGTAACTTCACCAAAGCGCCAAAGCTGCTCAACGTAGTTGACTGCCGTCAGCTCCAATCCAAATAAAGAATAGACACACGTCTTCCAAGTTGACCGATCCATGATGTCTGTTATTTGATCATAAAAGCTTTGCGCAGTGTGATTATCATGGCAGTTCATCTTGACTAAGGACTCACTGGCCAGAAGAAGGGCGCTTGCAAGTGGAAGTGTCACATATGGCTGTACATTGTCAAGCATTTTGCGACCCCTGGAATAAGAAGCCTTCATGGTATCCACGAGCCATTGCAAATCAAGACACCAATGGGAAGTGCTTTCTTTGGTGAAGTTTTTCATAACGGCAATGAAAAGCGCCTGTAGTGTCAACATATTGTACAAGTCAAAAACGGTATTGAGCTGTGCCCAGTTTTGAAGCGAGCTCATAAGCGTCTGGGAGGAGATGTCGGAATCCAAGATTGCAAAAAGTGGATTGAACATCAGCATAAGGGTGGTGACATAGTGGGCAAAACGGAGCGTCACAAACTTGTTGGGCTCTGCTCTAATGATCAGAAGCCAACGTACGCATATAAATGAAACTTTAAGTATGGCACCAAGCAGGCTCTTGTTAGAACGAACCGCCATTATCATATCGTTATTTTCCATAGCAGTGAATAATGATTCTGCAGCAAGGCGATTACCTCCGCAAAACTCACTGTAAAGTGTGAGATATGCGTACGAGATTTCTCTTGGGGATGTGCAATTTTCAAAACGACGGAAGAACAAACTGGAAGCAATAAGGCCAGTGTCGTAGATCAGCAATGTCAGTGGTGGGGATTCGGGATCAATGCCGTAGAGCCACTTCACGAGATCCCTGTCAGGTTGAATCGTGTCTTTGAGTTCTGGGTGCTCGTACTGAAACAGTGTCTCTGCTTGAAGAACCAGCGCCTCAGTCTCAACTAGTTTAATGTAAGTCCAGCAGCGAGCGAGGACAGCAAAGTCTTCCGCTCTATCTGGAGGAAGCTTCTGGTACTCGAGCTCGTGGACCAACAGAAGAAACAGAGTGTTATGAGCGATGGCCTTGAAAAGCTTACGAAACTCTCTCGCAACCCGTTCGAACTGGGCCAGGGCCATAAGCGTAGTCTTCAACAGAATGACATGGATGATGGAAAAAACAGCATCTTCCCAGGTAGTCTGGTCAAGGGTCTTCACCAACATACTCAGCAAAGTAAGCCATTCATTACAGCGAAGCACGGCTTTTTTGGAGACTCTAGGGCCTGCAAGGCAACCGGCTGCGAAAAACGCTGCAGCGAGAGCCATACATTGAAGAGTGTGCTTATCGGTTTTTTGAAACGAGGAAACGAGCATTTTCTGAGCTGCAGCGTAGACTGACGTCCAATCGACAAGCTCGTGGAAGCCCAGGTTCTCGATCAGATGTGCCCAATTGAAGGCCACTGCAAGTGGAGGAGCATGGGGCTGAAGGTTCTGCCAACGCGTGAAGGCTGCCGGAGGCACATCCACCGTCTTTGCCTGGCATTGAGCAATATAGTGGATCATGGGACTCAGGTTGTGGATGCTGCGAGGGGGTGTTTGGTCAGGCAGGGGAAGGCCAGTGGGCAGATTTGGAGCGCCCGTTGCATGAGGCAGAAACGGCAGCAGGTGGTCGGGCGGCAGCAGAAGCAGCAGTTGGGGCAGATGGTCCATGAGCAGGGCCCATGGGGGAGTGTGTTGGAGGGAGCCGAATAGGGGAGTGGGTTGCCAAAGACATGTTTGGGAGCATGGGAGGACAGGCCCAGGCTGGAGCGGGGGAGCTCGTCGGAGGACTCTACTTCGTGTCTAAGGCGGTCTTTACGACGAGAGTTACGCGAGCGGCGCTCCTGCTGGACAATTCGTTCCTTCTCTGACGGAGGGTTGGGAGGGTTCTCGCGACACTGGTGCTCGCGGCGGGTGCGGATGCACAGCAGACACGGAAGCTCCAAATTGCACTTCATTTTGTAGCGCTTGCACGGACCACAGGAGTAGGTACGGCGAGAGCGACGAGGCTTCATGTTGCTGGGTTTCACAGTGTGAGTATAGGATTGGCGAAGGTTGGTGCGGCTAGAGGGCCCGTTTGCGAGGAACTGCGCCGACGATGTCTTGGCTCCAGCGGTGCCAGCTGCACGAATTCAGGAACAGCGGTGGCGGTTGGAAAATAGGCCCGACGGCGTGTGATGTTGATGTGCGTGGCTTCTGTGGAATGGTCGGAAGCAGAGCGGGTAAGTTGATGAGATGCGGCCTGGGGGTGTGGGAGTCTTGTGGAGGCCACTGGAATACAAGTTGGTGAAGGGCCTATTGCGAATTGTCAGTGGGGATGGCCAACGGGGATGGCCAACGGGGATGGGAGATGAACAGGCCAAGTTACAACCGTCTGGATCGATCTGGTCAAAGGTGACGGACCGTTGGAATCACGGAATTGTCTGTTGACGTGACACTTGAGCGGACGTGGACGGCAAGCGCCAGAAGGAAGGGACGGCGGGTACGGGCAGGATGGCGTTTCGTGGATGTGGATCGAAAAGCCCAGAAAGAAAGAGCAGGTGCTGCTGGGTCGGAGGGCCGCGGTCAGTGGAACATGCCTTTGCCGCTAGCGAAGGTGAGTTTTTGGGCCGGCAGTGCGGTGGGCCGCCGTTGGCGCCAGCACCCAGCTATATACCCCAGAGACGGGCGACCAGGCGAGGCATGCGCGGCGCTCCACGGCGCAGAACGCTGAGGCCCCGGGCCAGAGGCCGCAGGCCAGAGGCTGGCCGACGTGAGAGATTTCTACGATTTGGTTGGTTTTTGCAAAACGCCAATTCCGTGCGGGCGGGAAATGGAGGTGTGCAGCCGTCAAGGAACCGGAGAACAAAGGGGCCTCTGAGGGGAGGCTGTGTGTGCGGGTCGGCCCATGGTTCCGGGGCAAGGCTGCTGGTGGTAGGGAAATTTTGAGGTGGGAGTGAAAAAAATAGTGAGGCTGCAGCGCTGCGCTTAAGTCGTGGAGTCGCCGCGGCAACCCAGGAGTCACCGCCGCTGCAATCAGCCTTGCGGCCCCAGGTTTCTTGTCGCTGCCGCCGACGCATATACCCGCCGGGGCCCTGGCACACTGGAGCCCGGTGCCTGTTTTGGCCTGGCCTGATTGTTGTGGGCCCATTGTCCTCCGCGCACAATGTCCGTCAGCCAGCCTCCACACGACACCTTGGACAAAACCCACCCTTGTCGAAAACATCGACAAACGGTTGGAAGCGCTGGGCGCCCAGGGCTCTGAAGTGGCACAAACTGTCACTGGTCTCGGCCCGCGAGTGTGCTCTACACTTGTGTATGGTTGGTGCGTAAAGTTGGTGGATGGGGATGGCGGTGTTGGTTGCGTAAATCGACACCCCGTAGCTTCAGGGCCTCTGCGTCTCCTACCACCGGCCCCAGATCGCTGGACGGACTGGAAGAGCCTGTTGCTGCGCGCCAGGGCTTTTCTCTGCGTCTCGCTAAGCTGCCCGCGGCGGGACCCTGCTGCTCGCCTAACTCTGATCGAACGAGCGCCACTTTGATGCCCAAGAGTCTCCCTCGCGTCTCACCGCTGCTTCGACCCAGCAGGCACCCGCCGTGCTGCTACGGCCATGTCGATACAGAAAGATTGACACTACCCAGGCACCCATGCCCTGGGCGTTTCGCTATGGTGATAATGGCCCACAACTGATCTCTACATTTTCTTCCTCCACTTCCCTTACTAACTTTCCTCTCAATTTCCTACTCCCCTCCGCCATGACCTCCACCATGGGCCGTTTTCTGCTGCACCACGCAAGATGACACCGCTGGAAAGCAGCCCTGCGGGCTTTATTCCAGGCCCGTCCGCCTATTTCGTGCCGCCGCTTCGACTTGACTACTATACCTGCGCTAAGCCCGGCCATCCCTTATCTTGGCCTCCCTCTCTGAAGCTTCTGGCGTGGCTTTACGAACGACAAGTTGCTGCAGCTCCTTGTATGACAGAATAGCCCGGTGGCAGCTCATCTGCTTTTTGCAGCCGGGCTTTGCCCCAGCTACATCTTGCCAAGACTCGGGTGCTTTTGTAGATTTCCTCGTTGCTGGTGGGCAGTTTGAGAAACATTAAACCAACACAATTGCCAACGAATGGCCCAAAACTTTACATTCCCTTTTTCTTTCTCGTGCTACAAGCAATCTAAAACTTCTCTTCATATAATCCTATTTCCACTGTACAGGTGAAATCTGCTCGTGGTAAGTATTGCCGTGCCATGCTTGGTGATGTTCTGTTGCTCATTGAAACAACGGCGCCAACAACCGTGGAAGCATAAATGCTGTGGCAATAGATGAGGGTAAAATTGTGATAATACGCCACCCGCTGGTTTCATACTTGAAGCCTTCTTCGTGAAAATCACCTTTCGTGGAATTTGCACGGTCTCTTGCAACTCCACCCAAAATAGCTTCCAACACCCCCACCAAGAAAACGACTTCACTGAACCTCATGAGAATGAGACTCAAACCCTTTATCTCGGTAGTCCCGCTGCCGTCTTTGCTTCCTAGGTATTCATTATAAGTAATTGAAAGGGCTAAAGAATGGTACAACGCTGCCATCCAGACTGCCCCTACCTCAAAGCTGGCAGATCGACGAACGCTGGCTCAAAGGGCCTGATACTTTCATTTTTTTGGAATGTGGAGAAACTTCTTGTCGATAAAGCCAGGCCAAGAAGATGATTAGACAAACTTCAAAAAATAGGAGTCCTTTCATCGCAAGTTGAGGTGAGCTGACTGCAACTAAAAAGCACTTACACTTGCTAGAAGACTGAGTTGATACCAAGGGCTATTGTAGCATTGTTTGAGGTTCGTGTGTAATAACCCAGGGAGTGCTCTTGGCATTTCGTTAGAGGACCCCATCGAAACACGCATCTTGAGCTGGTATACCTGGAAGAGACCATTTTCAGTCCTCCGTGCTCATGACAAGACATCGTTTGTAGCTCTTAGAGAAATTCGAGTGTTTCTAGGAGCTACATGCTGACAATTGGGCCATTGTTGTTCCCCATGACCTCTCGAGTCCTCTACTAGTAAACCTTCCAACTCTTAAAGTATTGAACCCTTGCCGAATTTTCACAAAATGACAAAATTGCATAAATCTCTTCCTGTCAATTTATCAAATATTGACTCCAAAACTAGAAAGAGAATGACATGGGGCATGCACCTAAAAGTTTTCTCAAGCTCTGTGCTTCAAAATACATTGCTCCACGTTCCTTCCGCATACCTTGTGACATTTGTTAAAAGACTACAATCTTTTCAAAACACAAAGTAGACCACTGAAGCAGATTCGTAAAGAAAGTGTATCCTATGGTACCAGAGTAAACACCTGTACACCTTGGTAATAAGCCTCGAGATTGAATCTACAGCTCAACCGCCAGATCAAAACAGGAAAAAGACAGTGATTAGCTAAGTTTTCACTTTTTCCAATTTTATTTGTCCCAGATCTGTCCCGGGAATTCTGCCCCCATGGGAACTAAAACACTCTCTTGTCTGACTTCATCCTCCTACACCCGTACATCAGAAATCCACCAACCAAATCCTCCACATATCGCATTTTCAATACACAAAATTCTCAACCATCCAACCCAACCAAACCACAACCAAGGCCATGTTGAGAAACCTCGCCAGAGTGGGTGTTGCTAAACAGGCTTCCAGGCCTTTGGCTGCTACGGTGCTGGCGCTTTCCAGAACCGCTGCCTTCTCCACCTCCAGATCTGTCCAAAAAGAGGAAGAAGAGCCTCTTCAGAATCTCTATGAGTTGCCCAGAAAGTCCAATGCTCCCATCCATGCTCCTATCGAGAACCCAGCTGACAAGTACAAGGAAACCTCCGAAGAGTTGCACAAATTTGGTCGCTACCTTATGTCCTGCTTGCCAAAGTACATCCAGCAGTTCTCTGTGTGGAAAGATGAGTTGGTGCTTTACATTCCTCCATCGGCCGTCCGTATCGTGATGATATTTTTGAAAAACCACACTCCAGCTCAGTTCAAGTCTTGTATGGATGTCACTGCTGCTGATTACCCATCGAGAGTTAACCGTTTCGATGTCGTTTACAACTTGTTGAGTGTGCGTCACAACTCCAGAATCAGAGTTAAAACATATGCGCTGGAGACGTCACTGGTTCCATCTGTGGTGCCTATTTTCCAGGGTGCCAACTGGTTCGAGAGAGAAACATACGACTTGTTTGGTATCTTCTTTGAAGGCCACCCCGACCTCAGAAGAATCATGACCGACTACGGTTTCGAAGGCCACCCATTGAGAAAAGACTTCCCTACTACCGGTTACACCGAAGTCCGTTACGATGAAGAGAAAAAGAGAGTGGTTTATGAGCCTTTGGAGTTGACCCAGGCCTGGAGAAACTTCACTGTTGGTTCCTCTGTGTGGGAGCAGGTTGGCGAAGGTAAAGACTTCACACCTGAGTCTTTCAAGTTGCCCACACCAGAGCCTGAGCCTCAGGAGGACGAAAAGGACAAGAAATAGATCTCTTCATAACCCGCGTGGTGGGCATCACCAACAACCCTTGCATACACTAATATATTCTAGGAAATATCATTTTCGTTACGTAGCTATGCGTTTTATACCGTCAGAAGCTCCTGCTGAAGTTGTGCTAGCTCCTTCTCTTTGCCTGCGAGGAACTCTTCAAGCACTTGCACCTGAGACCCAATCAACTCTATATCGTTCTTCACGTCGGTCAAGTCCTTGTCGGTGTTGGGCACGTTTTCGGCTGCTGAGAGTTTGCCCTGTTTGTATTTGAGTAGCTGTTCAAACTCGTGTTTTAGCAATGCCAGATCGCTATTGCCGCTGTCGCTCTTGTTGTTCAGCTCCTGCTTAGCCTTCTCCAAAAGGTCTTCCAAGTTAGTCAATTCTCGGCGTAAGCGGACTTCTTCCCAATCGGTACCTTCGGTTGCAGAGAAATCAGTTCCCTTCTCGCGGTCGGCATTGTTGCCCTGACCGATTTTATTAAGATAGCTCATGCCAAACAGCTTTTTGTCATTGGCCTTAGGCTGGCTGATATTTTTGGCGGGAGTTGAAGCTGCTGCTGCACTCAAATCATATGAGGGCACCTCCTTGGAGAATGTAGCTCTCAAGGATGCTGGTACACCTCTTGGGACACGCTTTCCATTCTCACGCTGGTTTAATATGTGGAGAAAAACCAAGACCTGATCTTTGTCAATTGTTTCGAACAGCTTTGGGTTGACCAAGTTCCAGGCCGAAGAGATGTCTGAGCGTGGGACCTTAGAAAGTGTCAGGTACAAGCCTTCAAGCGAATCGAAACGCACACGGCCATATGAGTCACTGTTCGAGTTGTAGATCGTTTCGTACGTGCCTTTGTCGGTAGGCGATATGTACCAGTCAAAGTCGTTCGACAACAAATCGTCATCGTCGCCGTCGTATGAATTGCCCGTAGAGCCTGTTGCGACAGCCTTGTTGGCATGAATCAAGTGAGACTTGGAGGAAGGGACAAGCCAGCCTGGTAGCTCCAGCGGCAACTCCAGCATGGAGCCATTGACCAAGTCAAAAATCAACCGCATGGTGATACAGAACTCTTCAAAGTCCAAGCGGCCATCGGCATCGATATCTGAGAGATCCCATATCTTCGACAATTGGTCATCCTTGAGACGGGAGTTCTTAAGAACAGGCAGGACACGATCACCCGTGAGCTTGTTGTTTTCGGGTTTGAGCCCCTGGAAGATTTCCCAGTACTTTTTGATTTCCCACTCTTCCAAACGGGGCATGCTGGTGTTGAAACAGTTGATACTACGGTTCAGTTGTTGCGACGTGGTCGGACATCCGTACACCCAGATCTGTGCCCTGGTCGGTGTACTCTTTTTTAAGTGTGTTCACGACTGCAGTTTTTAATTTTTTACTGATGAATTGCAATGGGCATTATTTACTGATCTCTTCTCAATGAGGTTATTCATATTTTGTTGTTTATGGCGGAGTAGTGCGTGTCAATTCTGGCGCTTAAGAAGTAACCTTTCCGGATCTCTCCAAGATAATGGTTGATCGACTCTATTTATAAAAGCTTCAATTTCTCTGCTTTCTCTTGTGGGTACTTTCCTCAAATTGTGTACATGAGTGAAATACAGCTATGGAGACCTTACCACATACTAGCCTCCCCAGAGATTCAAGAACCTACACTCTAGCAAAACCTGCCGTTCTTTCCTTCACTTGCTCATGAATTGAGTCTATGCTATAATGTACAATTATTCCTCCATGCCCGCATCTTCGTCCGAATCATCCTCATCGGTGAAACCACCAGCCTCAACCGTCATCAATGTCTCCTTAGCATCACCCTGATACTTTCTGGCAATTCTGGATGCACGGCCACGCTGAGCAGCCTCCTCTCTAGCCTTCTTCTGGAGCTGCTTCAACTCCTCCTTGAAAGTGTTTCTCACGGATTTGTTGGAGAAACAGTCCCACATCTTCAAAGGACCGGAGGCACCGCCCACAGTCATGTTACCAGCAACCTCAGCATCACCGGCGAAAGAACACGTTAAAACGTTACCCACACCGAAGTCTCTGGACAAGACCATCGAGGGCCCCTTGTTGGCCTCAGAAGGTGCCTTCCACAACTTCACAAGCTTTTCGCTCATGGCAGATGTGATCAACATGCCGGGAACATGGCTGCTGACGTCCAAGGATGAGATTCCAGTGTCATGGGCATGCAATGTCCAGAGCGGCTTGTCCTGGTTTCTGATATCGAAGCAGTAGACATTACCACCGTCCGTACCAGCGTAGAAGATTTCAGGTTGGGCGCCCCATTGAACGCTTTCGACCTCCTGTCCACCACCAACAAAGTAAGATTTCGTCATTTGGCTGTCGTCGGAGATTCTGACATCCGAAATGGCTCCAGCGCCGTTGTAACCACCAGTTAACAAGATGGAGGCCTCTTGGGCATGCCACAGACTCAGCGAGACGGTCTTGCCCTGGTGAACATCATTAAGAGACCTGACGGCGGTGCCTTGCGAGAGATCCCAAAGCTTCACTGTTTTGTCGGCAGATGTAGAGGCCAATGCAGTTCTGTGTGTTCTGTTGTGAGCCAACGACAAAACGGCGTCGGTATGGTGTGTGGAGACAAACTTACCCTTGCTCTTCTTCTTTTTCTTCTTCAGCAATGACTGGAAGGAGTTTTGCTGTGGTTCACCCAAGATCATGTCGGGGAAGGCCTTGTCGACACAGTCCAAGTTCCACACCTCGATCTGAGGATCAAACGTACCAATGGCAGCAAAGTTACCAATGTTGGCAGAATTGTCCTCACCACTAGTACCAGGGCGGAAGTTAACCCACTCGACACAAAGTGGAAAAGCAGGTAACATCAAGTCGTGGTGCACATACAAGTTGGAGTCTCTGGTCATGCCCTGAGCGACGTCCTCATCCAATTCGTCGCCCTTCTCCAACTCAGATCCCTCTGGTGCACCAGCACCATCATCGTAGACATACACATCTAGGTAGGAGACGTCGTCCTCGGTTCTTGTGGCCAAAACCAAGTTATCGGTTGGGTAGACCTGCAATTCTTGTTTTTCTTGCTTTTCTTCAGCAGCGGTTGGTAACGAAAGGTAACCGTCACCGTCCTCGTTCTCCTTGTAGGATGCATCGGTGTTACTGAGACCTGGGAACATGGACACAGACTCGCCCTCCTCCTCTTCTTCATCGTCATAAGTATCTAGGTTGTAATCTTTCAAGTCATCATCGATATCCTCTTCCAGCTTGAACTCTTTTTTCTGAGCATCTTGCAAGTCGGCTTTGGCATCTGACAACTCCAACTGAGCCATCTGGGTGATTCTCTCCATCTCGGCATCGTCCAATTCGTACTTTTCTGGGAATTCGGCAGCAAAGCCTCTTGGAACCCAGCAACTTGAAGAAATCATTCTGACTGGACTTTTACTTTCTTCAAATGCGTAATCCGGACTTCACGATTTTCACTTTTTTAAGATGAGCTTCGCGATGTCCCCAGCGAAAAGCGTTCGTCTCGGTGTGCAGGCCATACAAGGCTAAGGTCCATTCTTGAACTTGGAAAGCTACGAAAATGGTTCTATATTATTTTGACAGGTGTCTTTCCAAACTCAACTATTCTTCCATTAAACCCTAAACTATGATAGGAAGCTGTCTGTTACACGTAGTCCATCAATGCAATGACACTGCGCTCCATTTGCAACCATTACGCAGCATGCAATGAGACCTCTTCATGGAGATCACATCAACTTTTACCCGAGAAGTTCATCGAGAAAGCTCTCATCTTCCTTTGATATGTGCCCCTTCGCTTTTGGAGCCTCCTCCTCTAGATTCACCAGATCAAGCAGCTCGAGTAGCTTATCCAAGTCCTGCTCACCCACTGGTTCGTGTTGAGGCTTATTATTGGTGACCCCAAGAAGCGTTTCTAGGTCTTCTTCAAGTGTATTGGCATCGTCAGGGCCACTCTGAGCTATCCTTTTGCTCAAGACTTCCATGGCCCGATCGTCGTTCTCGTTTATGTTGTTGATCTCAAGGACCTTACGAGTCTGTGAATTTGAAGTACCAAACTTCTTCTTGATTTGCTCATGGAGCTTGGCACTTTCAAGCTTTTCAGCACGGTTCAGATGTTGTTCTTTCTCCTCCTCGGTGAGCTCTCTCATGGTACCCTTGCTGGACCTGTCTAGCTTGCTACCAATCTTAAAGTTATGTAGGTCTTCTGCTGTGAGCTTGTCCAAGTCCTTCCATACTTGATCCTCGTCTCCTTTGGAGTAGTCCGAACTCTTGACCGTACTTGTGTAACTTTCAATGCCGTATTCGTCAAGAAGGTTATCAGAGATTTTGCTCTTGAGTAGCTTGCGGCTCTTCTGTGGCTTGATATCCGAAGATAAGTACTCAGCTATCTTCGATTCTAGCTGGTCTTTGGGCATTAGGTACTTTGCAGCTTCCTCGTCAATCTCTAGCTCTCCCTCTTCGGGAATCTCCTCTGCCTTTTCATGTCTTGTGCCGAGGTATATACCATCTTCTTCGTTGAATTCTTTCCTCTCGGGTTCTGGTTCCTCCTGATTCTGGTGCTGCATAAGCGCATACACAATCTGACGTTTAATGGCTAGCTTGGATTCCACAGAAAGCTCTGTTTCGCCCAATTGCGGGTAGAAATGGTCCAAAAGCGCCTCGTCTTCGGAGTCCCAATCACTATCTTCTTCATCAAAGTGAAGCACCCTCGGAGTACTAGACAGTTTTTTAGCTGACCATTTCGCTTTCACTGGTTTGGGTGCTTCTTGCTGTACAATTCCATGCTTTTTCATGTACTTGTTCTTCGCCTTGCGGTCCCATTTTGACTTGTGGAGCACCATAGTAGTGGTTGATGGGTGCGAAAATGTTGATGTTCTAAGGGTCTGAGAAGGTGAGAGGGACCTACCAATTTTCGCCAAAATTCGATAGAGTAGATATAAATGAAACTCTGATTTCCAGACCTTTTTGGGCGTTAAGCTTACTTCATTTCTTTGCATCGTGACTACTATATCCCGTTTTCATCGTCTCAACACAAAGACCTAGTACTGATTTACCCGTACAAAGCGTCACACCTACATGGTCGATTGTAAGGTTGTCTTTCGTAAGCTTTCTTCAACATCAAAACAACGGTTCACTTGCCGTCTATGAAGCTTCAGCGGTCTCTTTTTTGCGTCTTAGAAAGCATCTAGGGCCATTTTGCAGCCAAGCAGGATCACTTAAATTCCCCTCCCAGCAAACTTGACACATTCTCATGACCACGAAAAGGACTTGATATATATATAAAGCGCTAGTGGCCATTAATTAATGATTTTTCTCCACAACTTGTCGATCGGATTTTGCTGCAAAGTCCACACTGAAAAATCCGCATCTCTCCGCTAACCTCAGTCTGGACCAAATGGTCCCTAATTGTGCTCCTCCCATAAAACCCACAAAACCCCAATTAACTCCGCCTTCTTAAGAACTACTGTTGTCGAGATCAACCGTTTTGAAATCAATCTTTTGAAACACCTCCAAAAGAAGACACCTTCATCCCCCCTCCTCTACCTGTACTGCCTGTCGCGACCTCGGATCCACCTCAACTACTTTTCTTTAACATAATGTCCGAAAAGCCGCCCAAGCTGATTGAGGAGCTCTTGAAGCTCTTGCTGATGGGAGAGGCACTCAACGAAACCCAGAAAAAACAGATGAAGGATTACAAGTTCTGGAAAACCCAGCCCGTTCCTTCCTTGGACGAAGTGGTGGACAACTATGGACCAATCGAGGTCAAGACACCGGAAGAGGTACCACTGGAGCCATTGCCGCTTTTGAGTGAATTTTACTGGTCTACGATAGATGTGGAGTCTCTGGACCAATTGGACGAGGTGTACCAGCTTTTGTATGAACACTACGTGGAGGACCAGGATGCCACCTTTCGGTTCAAGTACTCCCATGAATTCTTCAAATGGGCTTTGAAGCCACCTGGATGGCGCAAGGACTGGCACTTGGGTGTCAGAGTGCGTGGCACCGACAAGCTCGTGGCTTTTATTGCAGCTGTACCTGTGATGTTGAGATTGACTAAACCAGGAAACGAAATCAAGCTGGTTGAGATCAACTTTTTGTGCATCCACAAGAAATTGCGTTCCAAGCGTTTGACACCAGTGCTCATCAAGGAAATCACGAGGCGAGTGAACAAGGAGGATATCTGGCAGGCACTCTACACTGCTGGAATCGTGTTGCCTTCACCGGTCTCCTGCTGCAGATACACTCACCGTCCGCTCAACTGGCTGAAGTTGTATGATGTGGGCTTCTCCCATCTCCCACAAGGCCAGACTAAGGCTAAGATGGTAGCTCACTACTCCTTGCCTAACGCCACGAAAACCGAAGGCCTCAGACCCATTGAACCAAAGGACATTGACCAAGTACACGATTTGCTCCACAAATTCCAGGAGCGTTTCGATCTTGTTCAGCGCTTCACTAAGGAAGAGGCAGCCCATTGGTTCTTGGGTGGTGACGCCAGAGCTAGTGTGATCAAGACATATGTGGTGGAAAAGGAAGGACGCATCACTGACTTCTTTTCATACTACTTGCTTCCTTTCTCCGTGTTGGATAACCCTTCACACTCCGAATTGGGCATTGCATACCTCTTCTACTATGCATCCGAGCTGGCGCTCAACGATGCCGACAACTACAAGACTCGCCTCAACCTGTTGATCAACGATGCCTTGATTACTGCTAAAGAGTTTAACGTGGATGTGTTCAATGCCTTGACGTCACAAGATAACCCTCTTTTCATCAAGCAAAACAAGTTTGGAAGCGGTGACGGTTTCTTGAACTACTACTTATTTAACTACCGTATGAAGCCTATCAGCGGAGGTGTTGATCCAAAAACGAACCAAATTGATGAAGACAAGGGTTCTGGCGTGGGTGTGGTGCTTTTTTAGCTGCGGATACCAACAGATTTAATCACGAGTAACTCATGGAGCTCTATAATATACATTTTCAAGGCTCCATACAACTGAGCTTGCAAGCAATGACAGTGTAAGAAAATCGATTGTAGAAGGAAGCAGGAACCAAACTTCAAGGATTGGGAAGATTGTCATTCTTAAGCTTGATCCGCCAAAGCATGAGATGGAGTTCTCACGCATCTTCCTCATGATTTGTGAAGCCTTACCGTAGCATCCGACAATATCAGGTTTGTCTCACAGTTGGCGGAACACTACAGTTTTTTTCAAAAATTGTCTTCGTCATCTTCTGGCCATTTTGAAAGCATTCCTTAAGAAACGAAATATCACATAACCTACATCAGTCAGCTCAGATCTCTACGTACCTCCCAATCCTCTGCGATATTTTGCACCCATCTTATCGCGATATCAGCCACAGCGTTTATCAACTACTCCGCTCATTCACACACCACATAATTTTTGCATGAATCCAGCATCACCATAGACCAGCATGGCCCTCTCAAATACAGATACACAAGCCATTTCGCTCTTTGAGCAAGCCATGGAAAAGGAGCAGCATGGCTCCATGTCAGACGCCGTGGGGTTCTACAGACAAGCATTTCGACTCAATGAGCAGGTGGATAGATTGTACCGGCAGGAGCGAGTGCCTCAGGCGATCCAGAAACTTAAAGCTGAGCACGGAAAGAACGTGGCACACAAGGTCAATGAAGAGGAGGTGGGGAAAATAGACGTTGATCGCTTGCTAGCACTGTGGGAGCATGTGGAAGCACAGGCTCCGAACAAGGACGATCCGGACCACTGGAACGATGACGTGGTTGTAAAAATTGACAATTTGGCGTTGAATGCACCGGATGAGGAGGTATCGCCTCTAATAGACCTCCCGGGTGAAGTATGGGTTAGGGTTTTGGGATTCTTACAGGAGTCACTGCCCGAGCTGTGGTTCCAATTTGGCATGACGTGCAAGAAACACGCTTATTTGGCGTTTGCTCTGTCGGCATTGTGGGAGAAGCTATGTTACTTGATCTACCCGCATCAAAGACACGAGACGGCTGCTCTCAACGATCCAAAGGAATTGTATGCTAAAAGCGGGTCGTGGAAGAAAGTGCTATGGGAAAATCCTTTTGTGAAGTTTATGGGCTGCTACATTAGCGTGGTCAATTACTATACTGAGGGTGGTAGAGGTGAGTACTCTCTCAACTGGTCTAACCCAGTGAAAACAAATACCTACTATCGATATCTTCGATTGTACCCTGATGGCGTATGTCTCATGGCATTGACGGCATTGGACCCAACGAAAGTGGTTCATCGGATGACGAGGAGCAACACGAACAAGTGCATCATGGAAACTAAGGATGTTGCCCTTCACTTCAACCCTGCCACACATCCTCACAAAATATACACTGGTGGCTGGAGTCTAAAAAAAAATGGCGAGTTGGAAATTCGTCTTTACCAGGGATCTGTTCCTTACTACACGTTCTACTACTATTTCAAGATCAAGAGTCTAGGGCAAAAGCCAAATTACAGCAAGTTGCTGTGGGTACGCTATTTCGCTGTTGAAAAGACGGAATCGGGTGATGCTCCTACTGGTGATGAAGTGGACTTTTCCTTGAAGAATGAGACTTCGTTCAAGTTTTCAAGAGTCAAATCTTTCACAAATGAGTGAATTTGGATGAGTAGCCTCGTGAGATGCTGGTGAGGGTGACTGCTGAGAGGTGACAATTAATATAGTAAATAGTTGATGGGCTAAAGCTCTTTTTAGTAACCAATTCTGTATGGATCAAGCAGTCGTACCTAAGTCTCACCTCTAACTTCGTAGTGTCCCTGACTCTAAGATCCATTGAGACTTGACTAGAACATTCTCAATACAGTGAACCGTTCAAAGTTATATCGAGCTTTAATTTGTTCCTCGAACTTACCATTAATTTAAAAAACGTTAAAGGTCATAGAATCTACCATGAACGCCTCGCACAGATTCTCATACTACGCTGCCACACACACATTTCGAACACGATAGATGCATGTCATTGAGTTATGACAAATATCATTATCAAAAGAATGATAATGATTTTTAGTACGTTGTCTCCTCCAGTGGATGGCCACCCAATATCTGGTCTGACTGTTACCCTCCTCCGCGTAAGTGCCTGCACTAAGAAAATTTTTCGTGCACCGATGAACTAAAAAAAATCATCTTCACAAGTTCACCAAACCATCCACACACGAAAAATGTCCCGATTTTTTGCGGCTGGCTACACGTCCGACACGTCGTCCGAGGAGGAGGACCTCTTGAGCGGCTCCGAGGAGTTGATGCTGTCGCTGACGGAAGAATTCTCCACGGACTCTGAGTTCGACAACGACTCAGACGATCTGGATCTGGAAGATGAGGATTACCTGGGTGCTGGCGTTTCTTATTTCTTGAAAAAAGACTTTTTGAAGGGCCTGGCTGACAGCGATCTGGACCTGGACAACGAGGGCCGTAAGGTTGTCAAGAGTGGTAAAGAGAAGCTTTTGGATGATATGAGAGAGATGGTCGGTTTGATCTACAACTCCAGAAACCTTGAGAACTGGAGTTCTGTATTGACTGAATTCGACAAATTGGGTAGAACCTTGATCAGAGCCAACCAGCAAAACATTGCCGTGCCTAACTTTTACTACAAGATGTTGGGTGAGTTGGAGGAGACGTTATCTGAGGCTGCGTCCCAAGACAAGAAGAAGCTTCCTACCGACCAGAATAGGTCTTTCAACACAATGAAGCAGAGAGTCAAGAAGGCCGCTAAGGAGTACCAGGTGTACTTGGACTACTACAAAGAGAACCCAACTGCTTTCGATACCGAGGAGCCTTTGGATATCGCCGTGTCTAATAACGATTCAGGTGTCGGTGGTGCTGTTGTCGGCTCTATCTCAGGTACTACCCGTTCATTGAGCCCTGTGTTCCACACCTTGAAGCAGATCTCCGAGTCCAGAGGTAAGAAGAACATCGACAAGGTTGAGCAGGTTGCCGTCTTGGAGAAGTTGTTGCAAGATGCTTTGCCACAAGGTAAACTCTTTGAAATCATCTCCGTCTACCAGATGTTGCTTTCTGTGAGATTTGACGCTTCGTCGTCCCAGTCATACATGCCTATCGAGGCCTGGAAACAGAACGAGAAGGACTTTGCCGACTTCTTGCTGCTTTTGGAGAAGCATGCCGATGAGTACTGTGTCTCCGAATTGGGAATTGCCACCGACGACATTGACATTGAGCCTCCTGCCAATGAGAAGGGTGTCAAGGTGATCTTGGGTTCCGTCGCTGCTATTGTGGAGAGATTGGACGACGAGTTCACCAGATCCTTGCAGAACACTGACCCTCACTCCATTGAATACGTCGACAGATTGAAGGACGAACCAACGCTCTATCTGTTGATCGTTCGTGCTCAGGTTTACGTCGAGTCCACCACCAGCATTCTGGACCACTTGGCCAGAATCGTCCTCCGCAGATTGGACCACATCTACTTCAAGCCTGACCAATTGATTGCTCAGAACGAGAGCGTCGCCTGGGAGTCCACATGGGATGCTGCTGGCATCAAGGAGTCCTTGCTTTACACCAAGGGTAAGTCTCCATCCGAGGTTGTTGCTGCCTTGACCGAGTTCTTGAGCAAGCAAGACAGCAAGGTTTACAACAAGCAGGCTCTCTTGTGCAAGACCTACTACTACGCCGTTAACAACAGATATGCTGACGCCAGAGAGTTGTTCTTGAACTCCCAGATATACAACAACATCAACAGCGCCGACTCCGCTTCTCAGGTGTTGTACAACCGTGCTCTTGTCCAGTTGGGCTTGGGTGCTTTCAAGGCTGGCAAGATCGAGGAGTCTCACCAAATCTTGAACGAAATTGTCAACACACAGAGACTCAAGGAGTTGTTGGGCCAAGGCTACAACTCGAAATACCCTAGCCAGGTTACCGCGGCGGAGAAGCTGAAGTTGTTGCCATTCCACATGCACATTAACTTGGAGTTGGTTGAGTGCGTTTTCATGACCCTGTCGATGTTGATCGAGATCCCAGCCTTGGCTGCTTCTGCCACGAGCCCCAAGGACAACAAGAGAAAGGCCAGCATCAAGTCCTTCAAGAGCAAGTTGGAGTTCCATGAGAGACAATACTTCACTGGTCCTCCAGAGAGCATCAAGGACCACTTGATCTACGCCTCGCGTTACTTGCAAAAGGGTAACTGGGACAAGGCCTACCAGTTGTTGTCTTCCATCAAGATCTGGAGGTTGTTCGCTGACAACGACCTGTTATTGCTGATGTTGAAGCACCAGTTGCAGATCGAAGGTTTGAGAACCTACATTTTCACCTACAAGTCCATCTTCACCAAGTTGTCGGTGCAGAAGTTGTCCAAGCAATTTGACATTGAGAAGAACGACGTCCAGTCTATCATTGAAAAGATGCTCACGCAAAACGAGATCCTGGGATCTTTGGACGAGTCCAAGGAATTTGTCAACTTCACCACCGACGAGCCTCAGAGAAGCAAGTTGCAGGAGTTGGCCAGCATCATGAACGAGAAGCTCGGACTTTTGCTCGACAAGAATGAGAAGACTGCCTCTAACGGTCACAGCCGTAAGCAGACTACTCAGCAACAACAGCAGCAGCAGAAGGAGCAGAAGGAGCAGAAGGAGACACAACAGGAGGAGAATAGCAAGTTCCGTCACGCCAACGTGAACACCAACAACGACGAGTTTCAGGTTACAGCCTAAGACAGCGTGATTTTCCGACGGGGAGATTTGTACCATAGATTCGTTTCGGCCGGTCGAAGTTACGTCATTTTCCATTGCATGAGCACGAGGCACCATGGAGACGGTCTGCCTGACTGTCTCGTTGTGTCCTCATAGATACGCCGCCAGGGACATGTGGCTATAGTAATAAAAATGTAACGAAAAATTTGTGTAGATCAAATATTGAAAATTTGGCATGACCTCGATGTTTGACAAAAGCAAAAATTGAAGTTCTTATACTGGAAATATATCTTACGATTCTTCCTGTGCTCTTATTAGCTTAATTTTGAGTTTCTCGAGGCGATAGTCCAATTGCAGTTTGACTTGAATAGATGCATTCGATTGTTTTTGAACAGTATTGATGAAGTTTCAGATATGTTAAACAGAGTAGATTGTTCTTGACTTTTTCATTAATTTGTGGCCAGGAGCTGATTTCGCAGCCGTCTATCAAAAGCATCTAATAATTCAGTTTTCTATTGATTTTAGAAAAAACAATTATAAATAAATGGTAGAAAAACAGTCGATGCCCAAAGAACTTTGCTTTTCACTTCAAAAATCCAAGCTCCTTGCTGCATCGTTTTTGTCTTTCTCACCCACCTTCCTTTTTCTCTCTATTATCACCACTGCGACTCATCTCACCTCAACCACCATGCCAGAAAAGACAACCAAGAGACCCAAGGTCACGGCACTTTGCCAGCACTGCCACGGGCGCAAGGCCGTTATGAAAAGGCCAAAGAATCATCAAAAACTCTGTAAAGAGTGCTTCTTCCTTGTTTTCGAAACTGAGATCCACAACACCATCACCAACGCTGAGCTCTTTTCCAGAGGCGAAAAAGTCGCTATTGGTGCCTCCGGAGGTAAGGATCTGACTGTCCTTGCATCTGTACTTAAAACTCTTAACGAGAGGTATGACTACGGCGTCCACCTCGTCCTATTGTCTATAGATGAGGGCATCAAGGGGTATAGAGATGACTCTCTCGCCACCGTCAAACGTAACAAGGACCAATACCAGATGGATCTTGAGATCGTATCATACAAAGACCTTTACTCCTGGTCCATGGATGAGATCGTTGCCTGCGCTGGCATGAGAAACAGTTGCACATACTGTGGAGTTCTTAGAAGACAGGCTCTAGATCGTGGAGCCGCCCAGTTGGGCATTTCGCACGTTGTCACGGGCCATAATGCTGATGACATGGCTGAGACAGTGTTGATGAATATCTTGAGAGGTGATACCGCCAGACTAGAGAGCCTGACATCCATCATGACTCAGTCGAGCGGCCTGCCGATCAAAAGGTCAAAACCATTCAAGTACTCCTACCAGAAGGAGATTGTGCTCTACGCTCATTACAAAAAGTTGGACTATTTCTCCACAGAGTGTTCATACGCCCCTGAGGCCTTCCGAGGCACCGCCAGAGAGCTTCTCAAGTCCTTAGAGGCTGTCAGACCTTCTTGCATCATGGACATCATCTACAGCGGAGAGCATTTAGCCTTAGCACCAAAGAAGAAAAAGAAGACAGTTGCATACAAGAACAAGTCAAAGGAGAATATGGAACAAGAAATCCGTCCGGATGGCACTGTTAGTCTCAAGACAGACGGAAACACTTGCGAGAAGTGTGGCTACATCACGTCCAATAAGATTTGCAAGGCATGTGTCTTGCTTGCCGGTTTGGAGAGTAGCAGGGCTAAAGTGGGTATTGAGGATGGATCCAAGGAAGGTCCGGCGAAGCTCACTAGAACTCTCGAGCAGTTAACATTCTGAACATGCATTACCAGACAAGCATTGATAGAGCTTTGGGTGGTTTGGTTTAGGAGACGAACTTTCAGCAAGTCTGAATATTTATAGGGAACAATTGGATATTGGAACAAGATAGATCTATCAAACAAGAACAGGATACTCGTAGAAAAGAGTGCTTAAGAAATCCACTAGCCTAGCCACACTACATATAGCTGGAATTATTTTTATTAGGAACCAGGTCCTATCCGCCTACTGCTTTCTATAGATGTGGGCAGAACCTGCCTGGTGGGATGGGAACACCAAGGACTCGGCAACCACGGTGTTCTGCTTTCTAGAAACGCCAAAGACGATCACCTCAGCAATGTCCTCTGGTGTCAATGGCTCAGTGCCCTCGTACACCTTATCAGCGGCAGCCTTGTCACCGTGGAAACGCACCACACTGAACTCAGTCTCGACTGCACCAGGGTCCACCTCCAAGACACGAATACCGGTGTTGATCAACTCCTTACGCAAGGAGTTGGAGAAGAACTTGACGGCGGACTTGGTAGCACAGTAAATGGCTCCACCAGGGTATGGTTCTCTACCAGCAATGGAACCGATGTTCACAATGTCACCGGCATTCTTCTCCTTAAAGCGAGGAATAACGGCTTGTGTCATGGTAATGAGTCCCAAAACGTTGGTCTGCAACATGCCGTTGATGTCATCGGTGGCAATGTTACCCACCTGGTCTCTACCCAAGGCCTTACCAGCGTTATTGATCAACACATCAATGTCAGAGAACTCCTTTGGCAAAGCCTTGAAAAAGGGGTCAATTGTGCTGACATCGCTAACGTCGAGCTTGGCAGTGTGCACCTTGATGGGCAGGTATGACTTGGTCAACTCGGAAGCCAACTCGGTCAATCTGTCTTGTCTTCTAGCAGTCAAGATCAACTTGATGTTACCATTGGCGGCAGAGGCGAACTCTCTTGCGGTAGCGGCACCGATACCGGAGGAAGCACCCGTGATAAGCACAATCTTATTAGCCAAACGTTCAGCAGCTTTAGTTCCGAGAGACATGAGGAAATAGTGGTTGGAGTTGAGCGAAACCGGGGTAGGAGTCAGTTTCCGCGCTTATCGTTTTGAGCCGTGCACGCCGCATATGATACCGTCTAGGTACTTCGAAAGATCCACTGGATGCTGCTTATATCAAAGGGCAAGAACGTCTTGGATATCACCTATGAATAAGGCTGCTGCAATTGGGCTCAGCTGGCCATGGATTTGAAAGTTTCGTTGTGTGGCTGAAGTAAACCAGGGTTCGTGCGGCTGACCGTCTCTGAGGAGAAGAATTAGCACTTGCTTAAGCTAACCACTTGGGTAAATTGAAACTATCAGAATGTCCCGTCCTAAAAGGTGCAGTGTGATGGGTGTGACTACGATAAGGTTTGAAGATTGAAACCTCCTGCATATACTAAATTCTTGTATAATCCTTTAATAAAACCGCTTTATTGCTGTTATCTATAAAACTTTTGACTTTTGAAACTTTTACCTGTTTATGCAAGTTGAGAAAGTGTGGCTGGTGAAGTGTGGTTATCTGATCTCTGATCTAAACCTGCATATAGTACCACACCTTCTTTGCAGCCTTCGATGTATTTACGATGTGCATATGCTAGCCTTATGGCTCGCCAGTATGTGCAGGGGATCACAATAGCCAAAAGATAAGGAATCTTTATTACAAAAATCTATACAGGTGCCCGGAGTAAATAGAAATAAAAACCAAGCAACAAAGTCAGCGAGAATTACTCACAAAGTAGATGGCATAACTAACCTCGACGCATTGCAAGATACCAGATCTCGCGTCGACGTCTTTTAAATGTGAATCGAGTCACTCAAGGAGTGAAACGTTGATGCAGGGGAGGCACAGTCGAATCCTAGCCCGGTTGGTGTGGAAGATGTGGTAGGAGTAGCAACAGGGCTGTTTGTAGATGGTGTTCCACTGAAGCAGTATGTGCGCAACAAAGCTGCGTAAGTGTTGGAATTAAACTGGGTCTCGTGGAAAGCACCCACAGACCGTGGTGTAGAGTCTTCCTTCAGTTCTTGGTGAGCGGGCTCAGGTGGTGATACAACTTGCTCTTTCAGCAAACCCGAGGACTCCAGTGCCGGGGGTGAAGTAGCCGTGCGAGATTTGTACGACTTGGAATACTTCGGCCTGGACTGTGGCGTGGCCCTAGGTGGTGGGGATCCAACATTAGTTGTCGATAACGACTTGAACAATGGCACGCGCTTGTGTTCATCCTTCTTCACACTATTGAGTTTTGAAACCAATTCAGTGTAAGGGACGTTTGTCTGGCCAACGTTGTCACCGGTGCTCTTGAGGTTATCGAGGAAATCAAACGAGCTGTGGATTTTTGCCTTTCTCGTCTTTGGCTTGGGTTTACCGGTAGAAGTCAACGTCACGGAGTAGTTCTTAGTGTTGTTGTTGTCCCAGAACGTAGAGCCAGCAACGCAGTACTTAATGCAAAATTGAGTGTTAATGGCACTAGGAAGTGATGTGAGTGGAATAGTGAACTTGAACTGATCGTAATTCAACAGGGAAAACAGTTTCACGTATTGCGCATTATTGTAGATGACGGTGGAATGCCAATCGTTGAAAGTGATCTTGATGCTAAGGTTTTTCTCGAAGGCCAAGTTCTCGCACATCACAGTAAGGTTCATCAGTTTCTTGTCCAGTGAAATGCAAACGCTCTGAAGGTACACGGGGGACGAAAGCTTGTCGTAAATGTTTTGCGGAGGAGTGAAGTTGGTGAAACTGATCTTGTACTGGTGCTGAGGAGCGGAGCCGAAGAAGGAATCCAGATCCAGATCGGAATCGTCTGAACCGAGAGACAAGTCGGTGAAGTTGCTGTTGTTGGAGAAGTAGTCTTCGACATCGAAGTCATGGTGCGATGGTGACCCCAAGGGTGTGTTTTGCACAGATACAGCAAGCGGTGAATCTCTCCCATCAAATGTCTTGACGTTCTCAAGGCGGCTGGCGAAGCGAACCAGCTTTGGTGAGAGCAGGGAGGTGGAGTTGCACTTGTGTAGTTGAGGGAGCTTCAATGAGGATTTGAGCTTGCGCAACGGAGGCATTGTATCGGAGGCCGAGCGGGGCTTCTCCGAACCAGGAGAAGCTGCCTTGGGAAGTGCTTGTATTTCCTGGACAGGATCTTTTTTTCCGACAGGTTCATTGTTCTCAGAGATGAGCACCTGTGGCGTAGCAGCCGGGGTCTCTGGAGTGGTTGGACCGGCAAGAGAGGATGGGATAGCATCCAAAGGATCAACCCCCAGTGGCTCCCAGGCAGTCAAATCGGGGCCAGTCTGGAGAAGCTTGTGTATGTGTAATCGATGTTGTGGACGGCTTTGGGCGGTGTTTTCGGTAAAGTAGGCGGCGCCGATGCCAGGAGCAAGCCACGAGGTGACGTCAGAAGAATAGTGTGGCATGGTTGTCTCTGTTTATGATTGGGAATGCCCACGGGTCCGACCTTGTGCTGGATTTCTGGCGCAGCCTGCTGCGGCTCTTGTTTGAAGTAGTCTGCCACCGCAAGAGTTAAGGTGGACATTTACAAAAAAATTGTGACAGACTAGAGGGGTAGGGATATAACCAGAGGTGCTGGTGGATCGTGGTGGAAGTGGGAGCGGTCTTGGAGTGGAGGCCCTTTTTGGAGTTTTTTTTTGTGAATCGGCGCGGGAGCAGTGGTTATATATTGGATGGAGGGGCAAAAGTGCAATTTGTTGAGCGAAAAAGAAATGATCAGCTTATGGGCGCCGCATCCGGATAGTGCGGCGCGAACGTATGAGATCACTGAAAACAAACCACTCGAGGGTAATTGTGCAGCTGGAGCCGATGAAAAAATTGAATTTGCTGAATTCTGCCTTCATTGGGTTGAAATCTGCTTATTGTTGAAGACCAGCAGGGGGTTCTTGATGCATGCATACCGCGACCACAGCGGCTCATGCAGCTGCAGGAGGGCTGCCCATGGCACCATGCAGTCCCCTACAATAGGGTCGATGCAGCTCGGCATGTAAATGTCTTGTAATCTTCCTACGCCTCACAATATTTTTTTATGGCGCGTCCTGCCAGCCTTGGAACCCCCATTTCGAGGTGTTTTACTGTCCGAGGAAATGGCTGAAATTTCTCGGAAAAATGTTTAACATCCTTAAATAGGCTGGGTAATGCTGGCCAGATGTGCCGAATATCGGCACCCCAAAACCGGACGCCAGTTTGCCCGAAACCGGCCAGCTAAGGTCTTTGCCGGTCAATCCGGTCAAGGTCCGACCGGTGGTGCCATTGCAGCCTCGAGATCGGCAGCCTCGAGATCCGGCCGTGACATACCGGGTCTTCCATATCCGATCTTTTTTTTTTTTTTTTTGCCTGCCACATCCCAACAACAGATTACGTAGGTTGAGATTCTCATGAAACTTGACTCATCTTGATACTGAGGCTGTTATTTTTGTGCCACAACTTGATATGTGGTTGACGCCTCAATACACAATAGGGGGTGAGATCTCCGAGTATCGAATACGAACTTCTTTACACTTCGTTTACGAAATTTGGGTAAATACATTCTTCTTGCCCCTATCTAACCTACACAGTGTCGTCTATTAAGCCTAGGCGAGTGGAAGCCTCAATGCACAAAAGTGAAAAATTGTGTGAGGCCGACTACAATGTGATGTTTTTTATTCAAACATCATTCGACGCCTCATGAAGCTGATTCCATTCCATCCCCTTCTGGCAATAGTTTTTGAAGAAAACTCCTATAATCAGCTTTTTTCTGGCAAATCGGAGTTTATTTCATCATCAACTTCCTCATCCTGGGTAATTTATCCTCTTTGGCGCCCTCGGAAGTCGCGCGGCGAGGCTTGAGTTCCATGCATCGACACGCTCTCTCCAGCTAATGCCCCACTCCTTACCCCATCTCCTCCACAGCCGTCGACGAGCCGCACTTACCGCAGCAACCATGACGCCCAATCGGGAAATATCACCCGAACCCTGGACCCTCATTTGTGTATCGAAAAAATATCAGTTTCAAAAAACTCCGAATATTATGTACGTTTGAGTTGCCAAACCGAATAATTTCAATGTTCCATATGTACAGACTGCAGGGTGTGCTCCCTCGCCCCATTTCCCGAAACTGCTGATAAGAAACCTTAGAAAATTTTAGCCCCCGGTGCGGTGCGCCCTCATCGCACCCTCGTAATGTATATACTTTTTTTTGCACCCATTTCAGCCTGAACCTTAATCCTAAATGAGCACTTTTGTTTCAGTTCCAGAAAATGGGTTTTTTTTTACCACAAAGAAAAAGCCTACATCGGAGTTCGGGCTTCGGCTATCAAGTTAACACGACCCGCCCCTCCTTGCCAGTGCTTGCTATAAGTCCTTCTGCATTGTACGACGGCCGAGCCAGCCCTTCAGAATTTACAATTTGTGCTCTTTACATCAACGGTTTCTAGATCAACTTCTTGTTCAGTTGAAACTTTATATTGGATGTAGGTTTGACATCAGCTGAGCGCAGATCTCGATGCCTCAGTCTTTCGATTTGAAGTTTATGCTCCAGAAAACGTAGATCTTGGCTAGGTGACTCGCTAATTGTTGCAGAGACATCATGGAGTTACACCTCACCGTTGATGCTTCCGCTTTGAGACATGCTGCTGACGTCTTCTCCTGCGTTCATTAGTTCGATCTGCAACATCATCACGCAATTCAATTATCCACGGAAACATCAACGTCAACCGAGGCCTCAGCCAGGTACCACGGAAGGCACTTAAGTTTAAGAATAAACGCTCAGGCTTGTTATAGCCGAGCTTTCCCCCATACAATAAATGCAGCCTTTTGACGTAACATGCCTATCTCAAAATATACCCGCCATACCTATCAACCCCAAACACTAGCCTCACGACGACATGGCAAAGTTGGTTGCTACTGGCCACAAAAAATCCCCCGTGGGAACACTAAACGGAACTTTTTTTTCGAAATCACCAGCTATTCAACGCAATTGAAACAGCCCATGCTGCGCATAACGAAGTAAGGGTCCCAAAACGGCGAGAATTTGCGCGGGCACAGATACCGTTTGGTTGCTTGCGGGCACAAACACGATACCGTGCTTGAACGAGCTCGAGATTTAGCATTAGCTGCTTTTCTGGCCTCGGGTAACGAGCGGTTACATCCGGATTAGGCCTTGGCAGAATCTTCCTTCAATGTGACAATCCTGTTCAAGACAACATCGTCCCCGTTAGAGTCTTTGTCCATGCAGAAGTAGCCGATTCTAAGGGCCTGGAATCTGACGGTCTGAGGGCCTTCAGTTTCATTGATGTTGAAATCAGAGCCTTCGATACCAATGTTTAATGGAGACTTCTTGACAATTTCGTTGAATCCGCCAGCCTCGATGATTGAGTCCTTGAAGACCTCTTCGGACTCAGGGTTGATGTCAGTCAAGAAACCGTCAGGATGAGCGCTAGGGTTCTCACTGGTGAACAACTGGTTGTACAATCTGGTCTCCTTGATCTTCTTGACATTGCTCTCACCCACCCACTGGATAAACGTCTTGGGCTTCTTCTTGGCGTCCGAATCGTAGTTCACCAACAACTTAGTCACCTTACCAGATTCATCTCTAATAACCTCGTGCACGGAAACGTTATATGGAACCTTCATCAAACCAACAGGCTGGCCAGGTGCCAATCTGAAGTATTCCTTGTCGACCTCGTCTCTGTAATCGGAACGGTCGATGTAGAATCTCTTGGTGAACTTGAGCTTTCTAGTGCCAAGCTTGTCCTCGGCACCAGGCTTGAATGGAATTTCAACCTCTTCGACAAAATCCTCGTCCACGTTCACCACCTCACACAACAATGGCTCCAGCAAAAGCATCAATCTAGGTGTGGTGCTGTCAAGGTAGGCTCTAACAGCACTCTCGAGTCTGACAACCTGGATATTAGTGGTGGCAGTCGTCACACCCAAAGTGTTGATAAATGACAAAATGGCTCCTGGAGGAACACCACGACGCTTGATGGCTTCCAAAGTGTAAAGTCTAGGGTCATCCCAGCCTCTCACGTGGCCGTCGTTGACCAACTTGGCGATCTTTCTCTTGGACAAAATCGTACCTGTGATGTTGAGACGACCGTATTCTCTCTGGGCGGGTCTATAAACATGCAAAGCGTCACACAACCACTCGTAAGACTCTCTGGATAAGCGGAACTCAGTTGTGCACAAGGAATGAGAGATGTTCTCGAAGGAATCAACCAAACAGTGGGTGAAGTCATAAGTAGGGTAGATCTTCCACTTGTCACCGGTTCTGTGGTGAGGGGCGTTCAACACACGGTAAGCGACGAGGTCCCACATTTGAGGGTTGGGGGATTGGATATCCTGTTTCATACGTAAAACAGCCTCACCCAGCTTGTAGTGACCGTCTCTCATTTTTCTGAACTCGGTCAAGTTCTCCTCCACAGTACGGGAAGCATATGGAGATGGGAATCTCTCACCACCCAAGGTTCCATCAGCCTTCAAGCCTCTCTGGGCCTTGACCTCCTCGGGAGTACAGTGACAAACGTAAGCCTTTCCAACCTCGATCAACTTCTCGGCCAATTCGTACAACTGGTCAAAGTAGTCGGAAGAGTAGGTGATCTTCCAAGGCTCGAATCCAAGCCACGACACCATGCTCTTGATGGAGTTGAAGTAAACCTCCTCCTCGGCTTCAGGGTTGGTATCGTCAAAACGCAAGTAACAGTTGCCGCCATGGTATTTAGCATAGCCAAAGTTCACCATGATAGCCTTGGAGTGACCAATGTGAAGGAATCCGTTTGGCTCTGGAGGGAATCTCGTGAAGACCTTACCCTTCGTGAAAGCCAAGTGTTCATCCATCAATTCAGGGAATGCCTGTGGGTTCTGGCCTGGCTTGTGCAACTCTCCCAAGAATCCCTCAGTGTACATGGATCTCTCCTTCACCGGCTGTTTAGTCTTTTCGGTCTTGGGTTCTTTCTTCTTCTTCTCCTTTTTGACCACGTCTCTTTCATCCTTGGGGCCAAAAAGCTCCAATGCAATTTCATCCACCACAGGCTTGAAGTCAGTTGGAGCAGCCCACTTCAAAGCAGGAATCTTCTTGGCCTGGCCCAAGAGCGAAGGAACACCAGCGTATCTTCTAGCCAACACATCCTCCTTGTTCTGCTCAATGTAGTTTAAAATCTCCTTGCGGACGTCATCCTTGGTGATCTCAATGCCCACACCGGATACCTCGTTCATTCCTTCCTCAGTAGCGTCGTCCCCTTTGGTTTTGAGATACTTCACAGCTTCCTGGATCTGGAGATTTGTTTTGAGGCGTTCATCAACAACAGCCTTTGTAACCAAGGAACGGTGCTTGGGGTCAAGTCCGTCATTTTTGGCCAAAACGGCCAAGTTGTATAAAAGACTGAGCTTCTTCTCATTCTCGCTAGTCACCTTGCCTTCGTCTAAGACTTCCACAAAAGCAGCAGAGGTCTTTGCATTTCTTGCGTACTCCTTGGCTTTGGGTGCAGAAAGCCCAATGCTCTGGAATCTCTCTATGAGCTCCTCTGAAGACATGATGATTCTGATAGATGATATATGCAAAACTGAGCTGGGATTTTTTTTTTGGTGAGTCTTGGTGAACCTTTGGTTTGCGCACGACTCTCCCTAGGGCTCACCTTTAATGAATGGAGTCATAGAAATTGGCATATAGAATTCAGGTTGGAGAAGGCGCAAGTCTACAATAAGAATCTGTCTCAGAATTTAATGGCGTATAACTCTGTGTAAGCAGACAGAGGATCCCTCGGTGGGACCCCCGGCCCGGTTTGAAACAACCCTCGTCAATTCCCCGGTTCTACCCCCGTTTGACCCACTTCCGAACCCTATATCATCACTTCTCCAAACCAGGCTAGCCTGCGTTGAATTCCAACCCCTTTGGGCGGCCCAGCACCTCTCCGCAATCGCCAGCCCCAACAAGACTACCCCATGTCTGTACTGCATATACACCTCGTTTCCACGCAGCAGCCTCAGAAAGCCTCTTGAAACAATGCATCTCCTGCGTCGCCCAAGATCCTCCCAACCATTCACACCCAACAGACCCTGAAACAAACCTTATCTCATTGAAGTATCCGATCTTTTTATTCTTAATAAAGTATATTGAAATAAATTTCTGTGCTTACGTGTGGGGTTCATGCGCTTTAGCCGCACACTTTTTCCCTACTCGCTTGTTTTATCTGTGCCATGGCCTAATTCTGAGAACGGAATCGGTCTCGGACCAAGTCCTCCGTATTAGGAAAATCCCTGCATTACTGGCTGAAAATGTCTCTAAAGCCTAACCAGCCCAGCCACCCATTTACGTATTGCCCGAAGTCTCCCCAGCATTGAATCTGAAATTTTAGTCTTTTGTCAATGTGGCTCAGCTCCTTGTCTTTTGTTTCCACCAACCTTTTGCATATTTTAGCACAAAGTTTTCTAAGAAATCTCCCGCATTGCTAGTTACTATTGTGATTTTAATCCCCATTTTTCAACCAAACCTGTCTGAAGTTCTTTGCAATATTCACCTGTAATTCAATTTCCCACAAAAACAGCTCAATGGCCTCGGAACCCCAGCTCCGAGATCTGACAAGTCTCCTCCTCTTCTTTGTTTGAATGAGACTTTGTCGTGTGAGCTCATTGTGAATCTTTTGTTGAACTCCATTGTAGATCTAAGGCGGGACAATTCGTGTCGGACTCGGTCTTTTTCAGGCATCTAGCACCGATACCACATTAAAGTCATGAAATTCAGCAACCTGGGTCACTGAAATCTTTCATTATAAGGTTTGGGATTTTCCATAGTGTGGCTTCTAGAACTGAGAAGAGGCTTGGTGTCTTAGGGGTTTCACCTGTGAGTGAGTTAATCTGTGGGGTCCGATCAGCGATTGTAATATCTTTTGAGCGGTGAAACTAGCCCTCGATAACCCTGAAACGTTGATATACCTAATGGAGTTAGAACATCAGATGGTACACTTGTTGATTTCCTTCTTCAGATGTCTAATTTAGCCATTGAAGGACGTTGTCGTTGAAAGTATCTCCTGACAGCTTCAATAGGCTTGTCTCTTTATACAAGTTTTGTTAAAAAATACCGCTCTCTTTTTTCTCATCTGTATTATTGGTACATCTATGTCTATGCTATGCTGTACTTCACTTCTCTAAAAACTTGAACAACACGCTGGAAAAATCCTTGGGATTGTCCAAGTACAAATGATGGCCAGCGTTGGAAAGTATACCGAAATCTGCTAGAGGCTTCTCTCCCTTCAGCTTGGCTACCCTGTTGATCTCCTTCGTCATCTCCTCACCAGCCACCTCATTCATCCAGTCTTTGTCACCATAGAGCCACAAAGAAGGAAGCTTCATTTGGACAAACTTCTCAGGACATCTATCAAGTAAAGGTAGTCTCGCTAGACCGCCACGATCAAGAATTCTCGTTATAGCGTACTCGCCACTGCCTGACCCATTGAATATACGGTAAAAGTAATCATGAATGTTTTTATACCGCTCGGGTTTTCCAAGTAGATGTGTGAGAATCTGTGGCCCGTCCAGTTGGATATCCATTTCGACCTCATGGGGCCACTTTTACGGACAATAGAAAATGGTGAAACGTGATGCCTCCAGAGCCAGATAAACCAATCAGCTCCAAAATTCTCCTGCGCTTCTGTAGCAAAGCCGGGGTGGTTGATCGTCTTCGGCTCTTTGCCATCGATGATGTCAGCTTGATTAGCCGACAATTCTCTTTGGAGCGGGACAGTGGGTTCTTCTTTATTCTCAGCAGACCTGGCATCCAGTGAAATCTGTTCTTTAGGTATTTCAGCGCCCTTCAATAAGGAGTACTTGCTTCTCTCCACGCCAACAGGGCTCAAAAGCACAAGCTTCTCGATCAAGCGCTTGCCTTCGGTTTCTTTGTTATATTTCCGGGCGTAAGCGCAGCTCAAATAACCGCCGAAGGAATGACCCACAAGCACAAAACGATTGATTCCTCTTTCCTGACGCCACTTCTCTAAAGCATCAATGAACCAGTCCTCGATCTTATAAATATCCTCTTTAGTATCGCAAGGAAGTTTGGGGAAAGAAGGGCGAGACGACAATCCAAAGCCCAAAAGATCTATAGCATGAATTTTGATTCCTGGCAACAGCGAAATCGAGTCGAAATTCTCGAAGAAAAGCCCCAAAGATGCTGCATAGCCGTGAACAAGCACCAAATCGCTCACTTGATTTGGAAATGCGGCTTCGCCATTGGACGGCTTTTCGGTGTTTTCGATGTAGAATTCGTGGATATGGTTTCCATTGCCTATATCTGTGTCGATGAATTTTGCTTGTCTCTTGGAATCAGGATCGGGCCAAAACGGCAAGAATGAAAGTAGCCGTGATTCAACCTTCGAGTCAGAATATTCCAGACTCCAGCTTTGTTTCCACCAATCAGAGAAGGAATCTCGCCATCTGTATACAGGCTGCTTTCTGCCGTCGTTAAATTCACTCTTTTTCTTTGGTTTTGCTTCAGACATGTTGCAGAAACCGTTATCTATCGAGGAGATCTAATGTTGCGGACGCGAGGTATAAATGCGCGGCTTCGGTAGCAGATAGACCCGGTGGCGCCCGAACGGTGGCAACGGAGATATATCTAAATTTGGAAATGTCCGTCGAAGTTTTCTCGATAATTCTCGTGAATAATCCAAGACCTTCCTCTAATACTTGAATTGATATGCTTTGGTTTTGGCTCGATGGCGGCTCAGAGTAGAAGCCTTATCAGAAACTGCATCATCGGTGAATCACGTGCTTTTTGTCTCGTGTTGTATCACATGCTGTTGTTCACGTGTTGTGGTGCGCACGTCCTGGCCCTCGAAGTCTTCTCTCTGTCGCGGTCGTGTCTTGGACAACTCTGTAGAGCGACTACCACGAAATTTTTTCAAATTTTTCTCCCCATCACAGTCCTTCCACTACATACAACTACTTATACAAAATGGTATGTTTGAAATACGCCATGATATTTTGGCATCTGAATCCCCTGAGCTGTCCCATCATTCCCGTGTTATCAGAATTCCAATATTCCCTTTAGTCGGTTCAATATTCATTGATGGAGTATCAAAGTTAATGAAGGCCAACTCCATAGTCAATCACCATATTCACCAAAGATTCGTTCAATGACAAGCGTCTACCTTTTGCCAGGCGATTCATTTTCGCTCCAACACATATACTAACAGATCAGGACACTAAGACTCCAGTTACTCTTGCTAAGGTCATCAAGGTTTTGGGTAGAACCGGTTCCAGAGGTGGTGTCACCCAGGTCAGAGTTGAGTTCCTCGAGGACTCTTCCAGAACCATTGTCAGAAACGTCAAGGGTCCAGTCAGAGAGAACGACATCTTGTGCTTGATGGAGTCTGAGCGTGAGGCCAGAAGATTGCGTTAAGTGTGGTGGTTTTGCCACATACTACGTGGGTGTGTATTAGCTCCGGCATAGCGTTGTCATAATAATAAAACATCATATCAGAGACGGTTTGTTGTAGCATGTAATTTGAGCAGTCACTGGGTCACGTGAGCTGGGTCGCGGCCCCAGCCCTGGCCGGTACCGGAGATCTAGGACATGGAGGAAGTTTATCAGTCCAATTTTGTTTTGAAGCTTATTTTGTTCGTTCCCAAAGTCATCTGTAGATTTCTTTTTGGAACCCGGGTCCACTAGTGCTTCACTCGCGGTAAGGGTTATCTGAGACACCATGCGAGCATAGAGCTGTTGGACCATAAGGTGGACCGAATATTTGGTAGAATGATCATCTTCTTCTGAAAATGTTTTAATATCAATCATATCGGCGTAAATTTCTGAATACCTCTGGTTACATGAAACATGACTAGGAGACACTACCGTCTCTTTACCTTGCATGTATATCATGTAGCATTGGTCTTTGCCTAGTCTAACTCTACATAACACCTTTTAGCGGATTATTACGGTTTGAAGACTAGCTATCTTACGTCAACTCCTTTTCACACGAGCCTCACTCGATCCTTCCCAGTACTATCTTACTCTCGCTCAGGCAATCGAATTATCAGCCTCAAATTCACCAAATTGATCGAACAGAAGTTGTAGATCAGACATTGTTTACAATAAACTTCGTAAAGAGAATTGTTATCGGTATCATCATAAGCCCCGGGTTGCAAGTATTGAGTTTTCTTACTTTTGCTACCTACTTACCCACGATGTCCACCGACAAATACTGAGATGATTATCGAAGGACCTCGTTTACCAGCTTCATCAGCAATATACTAATAGTAAATCAAAGAAAATTCAACAAAAAAAGATTTCCTAAAATTTCTTTTAACGGTTTTGTCAAGGTATCCTTTGAGCTGAACGTTAGGTCCTGCATGTATTATCATCGATATCACGACGCCAACTACAACACCTTAACTTTACTCACATCATCAAACAGAATGTCGGACTTGGATGATGATTTGTTGGCGCTTGCTGGAGCTGATTCCGGTAGCGAGGAAAACGACAATGTCGCCAAGAGGGCTGGTCTTGATGATGGTCCCAGAAAGAGATTGAAGACAGGATCTTCTGATGAAGAAGAAGAGGAGGAAGAAGGTGAAAATGAAGACGAGGATGAAGAACCTGACTTTGAGGATGACGCTGGCGACGATGATGCAGACGTGGACGACTCAAGGGTTCTTGATGAGGACGAAGAAGAATTGACCAACCCATATCCTCTAGAAGGAAAATACAAGGATGAGGAAGATCGGGAGCGCTTGCTCGACATGGACGAAATTGAGAGAGAGCAGACTCTCTTCGAAAGATCTCAGGAGATGGACAGATACAATGAAAAGATTTATCTCAGGCAGAGATTGAAGCAGGCTCAAGGTACGGAAAAGAAAACCAGAACCAGTAGTCGACAGGCCGCCCTGGGCGCCAGGTCCTCTAAGTTGGACAAGTTGAGCGAGTTGAGAAAACAAAGAGAACGCAAGTCTCGTAAGGCTGCTGACGACTATGAATCTGAAGAAGAAGAAGAGGAAGAGGAGGAGGAAGAAATCGAAGATGATGAGGATGCTTACGGCGAGGATGAAGTTGTATGGGGAAGTGGTAAATCCAAGTACCGTCCTCGCAGCTTCGAGAAAGCTTCTGCGGCTCATATCAACAAGATCAAGATTGGCCGCAGTTTCCTTTCCAAGTACCTTTACTACCGGAACTTCGGGGAGGCTGTTTCGAAGGCGTTCGGTAAGATTAACGTCGGGGTCGACAAGAGAACTCGTCGCCCAATGTACAGAGTGGTTCAAATTGAGGAAGTCGTCACGTATCCACAGAAACAATACCTGGTTGGCGAGACCAGAACGGATATGTACTTGCTCGTCAGTCAGAACAGGCAGCAAACCAAAGAGTTCCCTTTCACGGTCTTCAGTGATGGTGATATTTTCCCCGAAGAGTTTGACAGATATCTCCAAGAATTGGGCAAAACGAACGAGGATCCACCATATGTTGATGACGTGAACGAGAAGGCTGAGGAACTTCATCGTTTGATGAACAGTGGTCTCACAAACCAAGACATTGATGAAATGATATCAAGAAAGCAGAAGATGAAGAACGGCATGAGAGCTTACGATGCTGTTTACGAAAAGTCCAAGGCTATGGATGAGTTGAGAGTGGCCAGACAAGAAGGCAACGTCGACAAGGTTAAGGAATTGTCAAGTCGTATCAGAGAGATGGATCTGATTTTACTCAAGGATAACGAAAGAGCCAGTAAGAGTTCTTTGACTAGTATGTCGAAGGTTAATGAGAGAAACAGAAAGTTGAACCAGACGAATGTCAGAAAAGCCGAGCTTAAATCTATGAAGAAGGGCTCCGATTCCATCGAGGGCGATGCTTTCTCGCGTCTCAAAACGAACGCCAGGGTGTTCTATAAGGAGCTTGCTCAGGAGGAAAACCAGAAGGCCATACAAGATGCTAGGGCCAACTACGACACTATGATTGCTGAGAAGAACGAGATTGAAGCCAAGATCGCCACTTCCACGTACAGAGAAATGGGCGTTTTCGACAAGTTGATTGCCCAGGTGGACGTGAATATTGTGCCCACGCTTTAATTGTTCCTACTAGCTCCGGAAGTGTCCTACTGTACAATATGGGCCGTGCCCAACCGCGGATATAGATCCAAAGCATGACGAGATAATGCAGGGTAGAACAAATGGCTTCAAACCACAAATCTTGGGGTGATGTATCAAACCAGTAGTTTAGCTCAAAACCGCTAGTCTAGCGTTCAACCCGATTAGGGGTTCCAAGAAAGCTCGAGGCATGTTTACAATTTTCTATCCAATCCGTCCATTACACCGATATATATACATGAATAAATAGCCGAGGGCCAGGGCCCTTAATTCGGGAGTTAGCAAGGTCACCATGGTAGTACCTCTGTATGACTCAGGTTGCTACTCCTATTCAATACAATTCCTTGATCATCTGAAGCCGAAGCTCCTCTCTTTCGAGCTCTTTTTCGTAATTCTCGTTGAAGAAGCCTTGTTCTTTTTCCTCCGAGTCACCGTCACAGTAAACCAGACGGGCGTAGTCGTAGTAAACATCGTTGGCGACAATGTCGGAGTAGAAACTCTGGATCAGCTCGTCCGAGGATATGCTGGCCACATCGTCTTCATGGGGTTGTAGGTTGAATGCCTTTTCCAAAAGATAGCTTTCGCTGGGAACCATGCTGGGAACCATGCTGGTGTTGATGGGCAGCGAAGGCTCCTCTTTGGGTTCAGGGGAGTTTTGAAGGCTAGTGGCCGCTGTGGTGTAGGCCTTCTCTTCGTTCTTGGAGATCGGGCACTCCTCTGATTTGGAGCGCCTTAGGGAAAGAGCCGAGGTGATGCGCTGAAGAAGGTTCTCTTTGCTCTTCTTCTTCTGGTGGACCTCACAGGGTAGGTCAAAGGAGACCAGGCCGTCATCCGAATTGACATAGTAGGTCATTTGGAGGCCCTGGTCGAACTTCTGTTGCCACATGGGGAGAAAGAAAAAGGTGGTGATGCCGGTAAAGTGACGTGAGCCCCGAGTGATATATGGGTGCAAATGCCAAGGCTGGAGGACACTGAGAGTGGTATGTTCCTCGGTAAAGGTCGAGATCCCGTAATGATGGGCCCAGGCAGGGGGGAATTAACAGGAATATGTCGATCTGACTTTCTGTGATGGTTCGATTTCGCAGCCAAAGACGCAGCAGCGATGAAAAAGCCCGAAAAATATGTCAAGTGCCAGGCAGGTCTAGAGGCAAGGCAAGTGGGCAAGGGCTAGGTGGTGGGCAAGGCCGAGATGCTTTTTAAGAGAAAAGGGCCTTTTTAAAGTTTTTCGAAATTGGTGAAGCGTTTTTACGAGATGGCCCCGCTGCTGCACTATATACTAAGCTGGGTCGGGATTAGAAGCGGCCGTAACCAGCCGACGCGGGAGGAAAATGGAGAAAACAAGACGCGCAGGGCTCGCAACCGCCGGCTTCCGTCGGAGAAAGTCGAAACAATGGCGGCGCTTATGTAAGCGGCACGCATTAGTGCCGCCGCAGAGGCGAAAAACTCGCCGCTGGGTGAGTAAGCGTGATAGACACCCGTACACCAGCCTACCTCAGCACTTCCCACCCTCCGTCAAAACGGCCATTTTTGGAGATTTTTCGGGCGGTTTTCGGATGGAGTTGGAGCGGGTGATGTGGAGATTACGAATCTGCTTTTAGAATTTTCGTACGACGCCTGCGGGCTGAGATACAGCACTCCCGGCTTCCGAATTCGCAGTCAGCCTTTCCCGTGACCGCAGCCGAATTAGTGGCAAAAACAACCCCGTGAACTGCTTCATAACGGTTTGTAAGCCTTATCCTGATGACTTATCGTGTTTTGATCGAGTACGGCTGAAGTCGGCTTTTGGTCATGGGTCACGGCTGGCCACCCGGCTTCCCTGTGACCTACGAATACGAGTTTGGGGTACGCTGACCTTCTAAAGTTTCAGCTGAATCATGTTTTAGGAATTTCCTCCTTGTGAATATTTCACTTGACGTCAGTGAGTCAAACTGCTCATTGGCGGAGACTCTGTGTCACCTGCGCTCTTTCTGGAATCGGCGTGTGTTAACTTCCGAGACTTCCGCTCAGCAAAGGGCCTTGTTCCGAGAGTTCCGGGTATAACACTGTCTTATGATTTGTCTCTTTTGTGTTTACGTTTTTTCCGACCACCATACGTACTTATTGTAAAACCTCCGGTAATAAGCTATAGGAGTGTCACATATTTGGCACTCATTTACGGCTTTGACAGCGCGGTGCGTCACCGTCCTTAACTACTCAAACCACCAAAGCAGTTCCCCGTTTTTCCGTATTTTCTAAATTTATTTTGGGTTCCTCGAAACTAAGATACGCCTGTTCCCTTTTCAGCTAAATCTCAACCAATTTGTCTCTTCTCCTCCCACCCCGCCATTTAGGTAGTCTAAAGCCCCGTCTATACTCCCCATTTGGAATGTTGGGCTACGCTATTATACCAGTGTTGTAGAGTACATTAGACGAGAACTTGGCAATCGGCCAAATGAAATGCAGGGTTTTGTGAGCCGAAGGGGGCTGGGCTTGCATTGTATGTCCATTGTGGGGACTCTGAAGAATGTCAACAACACAATGGGATTTTTCCAAAAAAAGAATAAACATGAAACTGTATCGTAGGGGTATTTTTGGATCGTGACGCGACGGAGGCTTTCGAAATTGGGTATGGGTTGGTCTGGCAGGCAATTGGAACCTTCTATGCCTCTAATCACACCTCAATGCATCAAGAACGAAAGAGCTCCGGCTAGTACAACACCCATTCTCTGTGAACACATCATCATGGCATTTAACTTCTACACATCACCTTCTCCGGCGCAATTCCCGGTACACTGGTCTCCAAATATGTTAAATTGTCCTATGGCTGGGTATCTAATGATTCATTTCAGGCACTTGGTATAACCTCATACACCTTTTCCAATATTCTTCATTGGCTTTCCTATCAAAGACTTCCTCGAAGTCAGGTTCTTCTCCGTCGCTGTCGTCACTTTCCGTGAAACTGTACGTTTCGTCAGCGTCTTCGTCATAGTAAGGGTCTTCGGGAATCTCGCTTTCCACCTTTAACTTAGTCATCTGCTTGGCCACCAAGTTGTCTTTTATTTCTTCCACAAGATCATCTGTGTCGTCTTCGAAAGACGATTCATCGTCCTCGTAGATGATGGATGAGTTGGGTTCCTCAATGAACGAACTGTCATATTCATCGTCGGAAAAGGCGAGATCAGTGATGGTAGACATGCTGGGTATATCAGTTTTGAATTACAATCCTCTGGTATTTCGTCCTCCTTTTATACTCTAGACTTAGATCCAGCAGGGGTCTACCTCTGGAAGGAATCACCCAACCTGATTGGCTCAGAACAGCCACTCTTTCACAAAATTGGCTTTGTGTGCAGCCCTGCCGCCTGAATTCATAGAGGCATTCTATTCCAATTTCCAAAATAGGTGTCAAAATACTGTCATAGCCTTGGTTGCGTCGGGTTTGCAGCCACCTGCCATCAGATCTGATTGGACGAGCCCGCTACGAATGACATTATTGGCTGAAAAATACAAAAGTTTGCGCATAATTATTGCGACTAACGTGCCGTGACCCCTATTGAGCGGAGATCTAATTGGTCCGTATTGTGGCTAAATGATAAAGAAACGTAGCTGTGGGTGACATACCATGATGACACGTAAGCTGGATTGAATTTGATTGATTCCACATTCAATTATATCGTTAAGAGCTCATGGTATTTCACGGTTGACTGCAAACTGTTCACTTCAAAGATTTGTCCATCATTGATGGGTAGTTCTATTGCACGAAGATTCTGACATCAGTTTGATTGCCAGAACGTCAAAACCCTTTGACAGAGAAGGCTGTGTTGCTTCAATCTGATTGGCTCCTGAAAAAAATAATTTCATGCACTTTTGCGTTGTGGACCGCCCACTGTCCTGCTTTATCATGGACATGTAAACACTGCTGCGGCGTCGCTTATCTTTCGCAGCCACTTCCAGAAACACACCTACTTCATCCACACAGAATAACATGATTGGTCGAGGAGTTGCGAATGACATGCTATGTGCCTGACGTTTTGCATCGCAAGTGAGATTAGTTCCTATTGGCTAGGTGTTGCTTGAAGCCGTGGGATTTGAGTGTTTTTCAGGGTCTCAGACGTTCGCTCGTTGATCGTTTTGGGGTTGGGTGAAGGTGGTATGGGCTCAAGTGGAGCTGCTGTAACCGAAAGCACCCAATTCATTGAACAACAAAAAGTCCTCAATTGGTTATCTAAATATCGTCCATTACAGTTTCCACTTGTTTATGAGTATCGGAGCTCCTTGGCATTCTCTGGTAAGGTGGAAGTGACCATACTGAGGTCGCTGATCACACCAAATCTACATGGAATTCGTTTTTGACTTATTTTATCTTTGACTTCACTGCACAAATACAAATCACAGCCTGGGTCGGAACTCTACAAAAGTGCATAAATTACCCTTCATGAGTTCATCGAAACTGAGAGGTACGCTAGTCCTCAGCCACAGTCGCCCCTCCTTCCAAACATTCCTACCTGATCCTGCCACATGGCGCCATTGAGCCTTGTTTTAAATGCAGCTCCCATGATTCTTTAGCTCTCCTGCCAGCAAGGCAGAGAATTCTTAGGTGGCGGTGGCGGTGGCGGTCGGATACCAAGGCCCTGGTAATGTATCCGAAAATCTCCGACTCCGAGTTCGTTTTGCACCACAAACTTCAATTCAATGCATGATCTCGGGCTCTCGAAGCTTCAGTCAATTGAATAAGCTTTTACGTTTCGGCAGAAAACCAGGATTTGAGGCACTGTGGTGAACCTCGGTGCTTGGCACAACCGCGGTCTGGTGGTTTGCCCAGATCAGCCAGGCCCACTAACACCCGATGGCTCAACGGTCCATTGTTCGCCGAGGCGAGGCGAAAACCTTGGAATTCGAAAGTATCAACGTTTGTGGTTTGAAAAAAAACCCACAATTTGTTGAGATTTCGGGTAATTCCGAAAATTGTTAGATGTCGAAATGGCCCCGTTGATGGGTAGCAAATGGCGATCTGAGAGCAAGGGACGATAGCAGAACATCACGCCAGTGGCGCCATCCCTCCTTACAAACTTATTCAATTTTACCAATTGATCAAAAAACAAAGGATCTCCTTTTTCATCCAAGCCACCAACTTATATAATATCGTGGCCGGTAGTGTGTGGTGTGGTTTCAGGAACCCAATTTCTGGGGTCCTGCCGTGCGCATATAAAAAGCCAGCGACGCCCTCCACACCCACTTTTTTTCCCACCATCATGCCATCTGCTGAATTCGAAGAGAAAGTGTGTAATTCTTTCTGATCTACAAAGGGAATTTACTAACCGCAGGCCCAAGCTGTTAACAACTTGAAGAACCGTCCTGACGACAACACCTTGTTGAAGTTGTACGGTCTCTACAAGCAGGCCACCGTGGGTGACAACACCACCGCTAAGCCTGGTGTGTTTGACTTGAAGGGTAAGTACAAGTGGCAAGCTTGGGAGGACCTCAAGGGCACCTCCCAGGAGGACGCCGAGAAGCAGTACATTGAGCTTGCTTCTCTGTTGATCGAGAAGGATGCCTAGACGAGATGTCTAGAAAGGATATCTCAATCAATGAATGAATAAGTTATACAAGTTTCTGTAGACTAAGCGGACACAGATGGAGCATGAGAGGTTGGTTGGTATTACACAGGCGGTGTCTTGAACAAGTCATACCAGGTTGCGTACTTATAGATATAGTTTTGAAATGTGGAGTGTAATTGTGGCCTTCATCATCTGCTGCGTTGACTTTTCTTGTCAATTGCAGTGTGTCTTGTTACGTCGGTCCTCTCCCAATGGATGTGATGAGATCTGATGTGACATTGCTCCCATCACCCAACTGAGTGTTCTATCTAAAAACTTTATATCGTTCCTCTGATGTTTTTAACCAAGACACGCTCAACATGCCTCTCTTAATCGGTCTTCGCCTTTCCTATGAGCCTGGTAGTTCTCACTCCACAGTCTACCATCATGAACAACGGGATCAAGAAGTACGGCGTGTAAAGAGCCAATAAGTTGGTCAATTCTCCGTTGGTCAATCCGTGAGCGGGGCCGTCTCTCCATGCATATGCCAAACACAAGAACGTGGTGAAAAATGCGTTGAACCCATACACGGTCATCAACACGTACACCTTCTGGCACTGGCGCAGCAAGGCCCGTGCTGCAATGAAGAAGATGGGCAACTGAACAAATAGCTCAAAAGTTCCGGAGATCTTCAACCACAATGGCAATTCCCGTAGAAGGAAGTCCTTGTTGGTGTTGATGTGGAAAGCTAGGAGAGCCTTTTGCCAGGCAGGCTGCCATTCCGATGGAATCACAATCGTCAGGTCCATGACAAGGGTCACGGGGATATGAATGACGAAATACCAGTAATAGAATGTGTCTCTTTTGTTCATGGGAAGAATAGTAGTAGGCGCGAGAAGTGAGACAGGACTCAAGACCGCTCCTTTAGGTGTAGGTAGGAGGAGATCTCATGCAATGATATATGTTTACTCCATTTTTTAAATTTTCCTTTTTTTGGCGATTTGACACAATTCGAAAAAATTCAATGGCTTGTGCCTAGTTCGGATCCTCTATCATCAGTTCAAACGGATGCCTATGGGACTAATTGCAACCGCTAGTTCGACAAGGTGACCAATATTTCTCTCCGGATTATTTAATTTTCAAATAGCTTTTCAACTTGTCGATTTGCAATGTTGCAGTGGGATTTCTCAAGCGAACCTCGAAGGCTCACTATCAATTATGACAATCTCTCATCTTCGCCTACTGCTCACCTATCTCATCTACATCCCCATTCATGCTTTATAATTTATTGTCGTTACTGGTCGTAGCTGGGTGCTAAAAGCTCGTATACATGTCTGTAGCACGAGAGTGTGCAAGTGTCTCTGGCATAAGCCAAAGACCCGTCTAAATGGCCACAAGGGCAGTAAGGAGTGTGGAAGCGTTTCTGGTAAAGTGCTGCAGTTGTTTTGAATTCTTGCGTCGTTTGAGAGCCACTTCTGGGTGGTACAACAATGCTCTTTGAGTGGTAAAGCGAAAAATCAGCATACTCCTTGAAGCGAGCCATATGGGCGTACCAGACTAGGCGGATATCAAGTGTGGGTACCGGGACCTGTCCCGCAGGACTCCGGCTGAATAATTTCCAGAACTTTGAATATCTCTTGACCGCTGCTGCTAACATGATATGCATGTTTGGATGGAAGATCCAATTTTCAGCGTCCACCATATTCTGCACTGGAGAAAGTGCCAAGTGGTCAATCCAGTCACCCAGGATCTGCAAGCAGTCTTCCTCGATGGTCAAATGAAGCAATGGCAGTGCAGATTCGAATGGCGATTTCAGAGATACCGGCAGCAGACATGAAGAAAGCGGTGATGGTGGTGTTGATGTATCTGGAGTTCCTGGAGACGAGAAGTTGGGCCATTCAGGTGTGTTGATTGAAAGCTTATGATCAGCATCACTCTGACGGCGAGCGAGGGAATGGTGGGTGACCACACCCTCTTGTGATCTCACCAGGAATGAAGAACACACAAAATGGGACAAGGAGACCTGTGCAAGGAGGTTCTTTGACACGGGGCAATAAATAGGGAAGACCTCTTCAGGATTGAAGCTTCCAATATCGTACGACAAGGAGTATCCCTTGCCGTAATTGGCCATTAAGCCGTGGAAGTTGTGGACGCCGAGCTTGTCTGGAAAGTAGCAAAAGCTGGAGTCGATGCAATCAGCAATCTGGTTCAATGGAAACGAAATGTCCAAGAACTCAGACAATCCTGATCTGGCAAACATGGCAAAGCATGCCTCGGGTGCCACTAAGAGCGAGTGCCACACCCAGGCGATATCCAAAGGTGGAAGAACATGAAGCTTTGGGTTCTTCAGGGCTGTCAAGGCTGCTGCAAAAAGAGCAAAACGGCGTAAAGCCCAAGCCACAAACAGTGGCCACACGGTGGGGGAATCGCCACAGAGATGCTGTTTTACCACGGCCACGGCTCTCCAGAGCTTCAAAAGCGCCAATGTCTCGTGCACAGTGGGAGTATCAGAAATGGGCGCAAAAAGCGATGGCACGTTTGGCTGCGAAAAAGAGACATTTCGAGGTGCTTCAGACCACGGCAAGCGAGCAGAGTTGGTGAAAAGGCTGTTGAAATTCGGGGTGGAGTTGTTCATAAACAGAGGCTGGGAGGTCGGCGGAGGCCTATATAAAATGAAGAGTCTACGATTTGGGAGGGATTTGGCAGAATATAAATAATAGTGGTTGTTGCATAATGATATCAGATTCGGCCCGGTAGTCGCCGTGTAGGTTTGCAGCCGTTCCTGTTCAACGGTCATGGTAGGGTCTCAGCCTGCATTTCCTGTACCACGAGGCAGGTACCCGGGCGAATTTTTCACTTTTTTTCGTACACCTCCCAAGGCTTGTGATGCCAATGGCTTGGGTGATGAGATCCAATTGATCAGCCGGATTATGAGGATCTCATGAGCTGTCAATCATGGGTTTTGTTGGAAAAACCCGTCGGTGGATGGTGAAATATCCTGCACAATGCGCAATACCGTAGTCACGGGTCGGCAGACGTGCCGATATGAACCGAAGGGCTGAAGCGAGCAAAATACGAAACGGCTGCGCACATTAACCGTGCCAAGTCACGAGGTCCTGTCGTTAAAATGCTTAGACACATTTATACGGCAGACAGATAAGAGATCCCCACAATTTCGAACAAACTGTGGATTTCTTAAAATTGCTTTATTTCCCCGGGCTTTTCCAGATCTGGAAGCCAAGGCTCCAGATGGATCAATCCGTGCCCATGAACCATTTGTAGTAGACTCGATATTGATACAGAATTGGATGGTAGATACGAAGCTTGTATGGTAGATGAAGTGCCGTTTTAAAGTGTGGCACATAGCGCCAGGCGAATTGCTTTCCACTGCCACTTCGACTTCCTGGTCAGGCAGGAACCGTACTCCACGAGGCTTATACTGATTTGATAAGCCCTCGGGCATTCTGCGGCCTCCGGACGGAAACGGGGTAGATTGTTTTATTTCTATTGAAGAACGTCTTTGATGACCTGGCTGGGCCACTCTCTAGACGTTTTAGTTTTGTGCTCTTGATGATGCTGCAGCACGTCAGGTCTTCGGCTGTGTCCAGAGATGCAAGGTTCATCAGGTCCAGTTGTCTAACCTGGAAAGTCCGAGACCACTGGGGCAGTGTTTCAAGAATTGAACAAGCCGGTATCACAATTTTCGGTACCTTAGGGGGTTTTGGTGGAAGTGATTGAAGGCTCCTCGACTGCCGTCCTACAATAGATCAACATTTAGTGAATATCGACCTGGCCAGTGCTGGATAAATTCACCCTCATCCCTCAACGGCTAAGAAAGCTTAAATATGCATACCGGGTCTTGTGGAATCCTTTCATTACTTTCTTCGGACTTTCGCAGCCACTATCAACACCACAAATTCAAGGTCCGAAAATACTCACCGTCGGTGCCATAGATGGAGATTCTCAAGACTCGCAGACACGATCATCTCGATTCTTCTTTATTTTTTCTCTATTTACTCCTTTTTTCTTCAATTTTTCTTGACTATCTCTTCCATCGACCCCACACTCTTAGCGTCTCATCTTCCCTGTGTGAAGGCTCATCGCAACTACCATGTTATCTTCAATAGCCGGTTTCTTCAGAAAGGCCCCCGTGGCAGCTGCCCGGGCGGTTCCTACAAGGAAAAACTCAGTCTTCATGCCTTTGGTCTGGATAGACTGTGAGATGACCGGTCTCAACGTGGAAAAGGACCATATCATCGAGATCTGCTGCATCATCACAGACGGAGACTTGAACATCGTGGACCAGAATGGTTACGAGTCGACTGTTTACGTGTCAAAAAAGATCCTTGATAATATGGGAGAGTGGTGCGTTAACCAGCACGGTAAGCTGGGTCTTACAGCAAAGGTTTTGGCCAACCCCCAGCAAACGTTACTGAAGGTCCAAGATGAGTTGCTCGACTACATCCAGAAATGGGTTCCTGAGCCACGTACGGGCTTGTTGGCAGGCAACTCCATCCATATGGATAAATTTTTCATGATGAAGGAGTTTCCCCAGGTTATCGAGCACCTTCATTACCGTTTGGTAGATGTCTCTTCTATTATGGAGGTTGGCAAACGCCATAACCCACAGCTCATGAAGGCCTGCCCACGCAAGAATGGAGCTCATACTGCTAAATCAGACATTTTGGATAGCATCGCCCAGTTGAGATGGTATAGAGAAAACTATCTTCGTGGTCCCGAGGATGAACTAGTTCACAAGAAACAGAAAGTTGAGACTCCAAGATCACAGAAAATTGTTGATGGGCATGTGGAGGCTTCTCCTAAGCCCAACCAACCGACTGTGACTGTGGAGAAGTCTTTTGAGCAGACTGAGGACGGCATCAGAGAAATCGAGAGACATGTCATCACCTCGAGCAAGTAATACCATGTAACATAGTTTGTAAAATAGAGTGGTGGGTTTGTCTTTTGTATAGTACCTCAATAGTTTTCAACTGTATTATTAGCTTCAAATGTAGAGATCCAATGAACTTTGGCGTTTTCAAAAAAGCTGAACTAGTCCAGCGAGACACACCGATCCACATTTCAACATTTAGTGTAGGCAATCTCTAAACCCTACAATTAGCTCATTCATGCAGATTTATCTATTCTATTTATCAGTCCTCAGGATCGGACTCGACAGCCACATCGTGGCATTGGAATTTGTCAATAACACCTCTAATTTGATTTGAATCAATTGGCTTCTCCAAAATGGCGTCAAACATGTTCACATCGTGCGCTTCTTTTGCATAACCGGTCACCGCAATCACTGGCGTGTCGCTATTGATACCATTGGTGTACCTGATTAATTTGACGGCATCGATAGCATCAACCTTAGGCAATTTGAGTGCAGTGAAAATCAAGTCAAATTTCACTTGACTAGTAGCCCTCCTGATGAGGTCATCACCATCAGATATAGAGAGCACCACGCAGCCCTGCTTCTCAATAAGCTTGCCCACAGTGTGTCTAACGATGGGGATGGGCTCGCAATATAGCACGTCTAGCTCACTTCCTCCAAACCTCATAGATTCATCTGGGATATGACATTTCCTGAGACTTGGTTACCCCGAAGCTGCCTCCTCTTCTTAAACTATCTCTTCTTTGTCTCACTCTGGAAAGGGCAGAGGAGCTATCCTCTTGGTCAGATGCTGGGGAGAGTAAAGAACATCGCCAGTATTTCTTTGAAGTATGTTTCTGGCTAATGAGGAAGCGCTTTGTCTAGTGGAAAGTGTCCGTTCTTCGAGTGTTCTGGTAGACCCAATGCTGCTCTTCCCAGAACTTTCTCTTTTAAGTGATCCTGTGCTATCCTTCTTTATCGAACCAGAGCTACTCTTGTCTCTCACCGGTGATTGCGACCGATTACCAACTGGAGATACTGGACGCTTGAATGGACTGCCTGGATTGACAATCGCTGAAGAAATAGACAGTCCTCTTGACTTGGTTTGCCCTAACGGTGTAGACTCTGAGGAGGAAGAAGAGAAGCTATTCCTGTGCTCGAGATGCTCATTCTTCAACCTGTTGATGACATCCTTGTTTGCACGCTCGAGCACATTAAGGTTTCGGAAATGGAACGATCCAAATTCACTGGTATCCGCTAGCTTGCTGCTTCTGCGCTCTCTTCTACCGAGCATTGGTGAGCCTGGTAAAGAGAGATGTTGAGGCGAGGGTTGGAGTCAAAGTAGCCCTCGTGTGTTTCAAGCTCCTTTGCTGAGGATGGAACCCTTTCATCGTCCACTGTTGCGTCCTCGTCCTCAATCGGGAAGTGTGACATATCAGCACCCCTGGCATCAAAATAATCGGTCGATTCTGGGTCATCTACCATTGGGACGAAGGAATCCGGCAGCTCAGAATATAATGTGTCCCAATTGATTTGACGGAAGTATGGATGCTGCTTGATCTCGTCTGCGCCATTAAATCCTAAACGGTCCTCGTAGTTTAATACCAAGAGTCTCTTGATCAAGTCTTTTGCTTCTGGTGGACAGATTTCTTTCTCTTCGTCTTCTGGCAAGGGAGGCCAGTCGATGTCACCGTTTAAAATATTTTTGAATACTTGATCAGGAGTATCAGCGTGAAATGGGGGGTAACCAAAAAGAAACTCAAAAAGAATACATCCATAGACCACCAATCCGAGTATTCGCCCTGTTTATCACCAGTGATAGTTTCAGGGAGAGATAATCCGGGGTTCCCACAAACTTCTTGACTTCGCCTTCATCCTCAGGGTTATAGAGAGCGAAGGAGCTTATGTTGTTGTCATTCTGCTGTGGGCTGTACTGAAAATCATCGTCCACGATAGCAAATGAAGACTCGGATGATGTTCTCGGAAGAGACGGTTTCAACCCAGGTGAGTCCACCCCACTGCTACTTGATCCCGATCTAGTACCGCTCGACTTGAGTATTGACCCTGACCTTTTCTTGCTGGCTTGAGCCCCTTGCGTGTTTGGTTCAGAAGGCGACATCTTCGTTGGATTGATGGGAAGGGTTGAGCTTGTGCTTGGTTTGTGTTTGAGATGATCCAAGGTTGGAGACAAGGAAAATGGAGTCACTGATGACGTACGCTTGTGATGCATTGCTGGTAACAATTCTGGTGAATCGCCACTACCGCTTGGAATAAGGGGCTTTGAGGCAATTGGCCAACATTCAGTATACTCTTCCTGAAGAGCTCAATAGCATGTTCTGAACTAGAGCTTTTTCTGTGCTGTGCCGTATGTCTTCCAACCACACCGATTCTTGATAAGCCGAAATCTGTAAGCTTAAGGTGCCCCGTGCTGTCAATCAAGAGATTATCTGGCTTCAAATCTCTGTGGATGATACCTCTCGTGTGTAAATCATTGACGCCCACAATAACCTCAGCAATATATCTCTTTGCCCACTTGTCTCCCAAAGTGCCCAACATCTTGAGCAATGTGGCACAGTCACCACCATTTAAATACTCCATCACCAAATACAAGTAATCCTTGGTTTGGAAACTACTGTATAGCTGAGCAACGTATGGGGAATCAGTTTGCTTCATCATTACTGCTCGCTCCGACCGCACATTGAGCACTTGATTCTTAGCAATCATATCCCTTTTTTTGAGACACTTGATGGCCACATAGTCACCGGTGAGTCTTCTCTTAGCCAAGAACACAGCACCAAAAGCTCCTTTGCTAATTGCCTTAATGATTTCGTAGTCTTTTATTCCTCCCGTCGATGGTTTTGACGACGGCATCTGCGAGACAAGTAATGGCGATAACGGAGGTTTGCTGGAGAAAGATGAGCTGTTTCTGTTGTGACCTGGTGTCAAGCCAGAGTTGCCGTGCTGTGTTGGGGTACCTTGTTGTGTTGTCATAAGCGTTGGAAGGGTGTTGCTGCCCGAAGAACTTGTTCGTTTCTTAGACAAGGAAGTGTGAGGAACCTGGTATTCGTCATTGATGTCTGAGTGTGTCATAGATGGAGAGCTCAAAGGTGAAGACTCCATTCTGTTCATGAAGTTTCTCTGGAAAGAATTCAAGTTGGAACGTTCGGTATAGGGAGCGGGAGATAGATGACGTCTTGGTGAAGATACCGTTGAAGCATCTGAGGCCAATTCGGGAGGGCGTCTCGTGATATCAAGATCCCGCAAGGCATCTTCGACATCTCTTCTGCTTTGCCTTGTCTGTGAGGAGCTAGAGGAAGCAGCTGACGCTGGTCGGGAGACCAGGCGAGTTATCTCCTCTATCAGAGGACTCACTCTATCTTTGAGTAAATCTCGAGGAGTGATGGAATGTGGAGAAGTTGATGAGGAAGCTCTTGGTTTGTTATCATATGGCTCGCCAAGAAGTCTAGACTGAGGGCTCCGAACTCGGGAAGGCTGTGGAGATAGAAGGTTTCCAGGCTGTGACAATGGCAGTGGCGGTAGGGCAGAGGGGGATGCAGACACAAATGGAGGGCCGGTTGTTGAAGAGGAATCAGAATTTCGGTGACTGCGGAATCCAGAGTCCGTCGAGGACGTAGATCTCCTATGAAATATTGTCCTTGACGACAGTGTTCTGGGTCTGTGTTCTGGATTTTCATGCTGGTAAGTCTTCTGTCTGATTTTGGTGACAGTCTCTTTGACAGATTGAAGCACTAAGAAGTCTACCTCCTGCTTGATTTTATCACCATACTGAATGATTGAAATGAGTCGGGTGAGTGATTCCATCTTTTCGTTGACCAGCCGTTGAGTATCTTCTACCATCATTTTTATGGCAGGGTCTGATGTCTCCAACGCTTTCCAATTCATCACAGCGCTAATGGCACGCTCGGTATTTGGAGAGAATTGAAGTTCTCCAGTTTCTTCATCTTTGTCAGCCGGGTTGATGTCGAGAGCCTCGTCACAATATTCCACTAGCCGCAGAAGTATGCCGAAGGGAAATTTCCTTGTTCGTAGTATCGAGTGTTTTGTGATGGTCTTCAACAGAGGGATGCTACCACGTGGGGACAATCCCTCTGAGCTCATGGAAGGAAGTGGAAGGCCCTTGTACTCGTACACGTTACCAGACGCTGCCGATGATGTAGAAGAGCCTGAGCTGAGGGTCAGTAAGGAGCTCAGAGAGCCCGAGTGAGACTCGAACTGTTGCAGCCAGAGACTATCCGACACCTTCACAATCAAATCACGCTGGTCGGCAAGAGCATCATGGCACGATTGTAGCTCTTCCGATACCCTGTGTTCGACAAGGCACAAGTCCGAGTGTTTCTCTATAAACCACGCTGGAATATTGGACTCACAAATGTGGCACAAGATGAGCTTTGGATCGGGCACGGAATCCTCGTCGATAATACCTGCCTCTTTGAGACTCATAAGATAGCCCTCGAAGATTTCTGAGCCGAACCCTAGTAGGTCAAAAAGAGCGTCGGGGATCGTAAGATCCATTTCTATGTGAACAAACGGCTTGATTGTCCAAATAGTATACGACGGTAGGTTTGTTTTGCTATCAAGTATGAGAATGCCTTGAGCTTCAAGTTCAATCACTTCTCCGTTATTGGATACCTGAGAGCTTGTAGACGCATTATCGAAACTTCCTGTTGCAGACGTAGTAGGACTGCTTTTATGGTCTGCCGTAGATCCTAGAGCTCCTTCTGGGTCTGGAGTGGTTGATTCATGCACAGCTTTGCCCAAATCTTCTTCCTCCACATCGTTGATATCCTTCTGCTCCACATCGTTGGTAGCAGTTAGGAACTTGACCTTGTAAGAGGCGTTGTCCTGGATCATCTGATCCACGGCATTATTGAACACTTGAAGATCCTGGCTGGAGGATCCAATGAGGATGTTCAGGATGGGCTTGTTCACAAGCTTCTTGACTTGGGTACCCACAACCAACTCCCAGTTCTTCAGAATGTACCGTATGTTACCGTCCAAATCCAACTCCATTACCACAGCAGGGTTGTTTGAAGCAAGCCGAAGATCTATCTGCTCCTTGAGGACATCCGTGAAATCGTGGCCTATATTCTTCTGCTCAGCCTCAGACCCCAGGGGAACCTCCAAAGGTGATACGGACCTCAAGTCCTTTCTGTCGATATGGCCGGCGTTATACTCGGGATCATGAAACATGGCGTTCAGAGGGTCTGGATTTTGTCGATCACTGTCCGGACGTAGGAGTCCCAGTGCCTCCTTGTCTTTCGGTTCTGTCATGATAGTGTATCTGTTGATTGAGAAAAAAGCTGGGGTTCAGACAGGACTGAGGTGTGGGGCGCCAGTATCAACACTTTTCAGATATGAGATGAAATGGGTCTTCCAACGTCAATCGGACTGAAATTGGACTGTCTTTTCAAATTGCGTGTTTCGTTTGCGTTTGCTAGTGGGCTGCTGGAAGCGGCTCGGGACTCCATTTCGCAGCCATTCGCAGGTATACCACCCGGAACAGTGAGGCACCTTCCCGGCAAAAACCGAACTGTTACTTTGTGATGAAATTGAGGTGAAGAGGTAATAATTGGGGCTTGGGCGGTTTTGGAAATAGCATTATTCGATGCAATTTTGTTAGATGAAGTCAAGCAGATGGCGCATGAGTTGGTTGAGATGAGGCTGAGCCTAACGGATTCGACCAATTGGAAGCATATAGAGCTGGTTATTTTTGTTCTATTAGTTTCATAATGACAAGTTCTGCCGTCTCTTGAAGTAATTGTCACAAGCGCATCGATCAGTAAGCACGACGTATCGGTGCATATCGGCACGATACGGTCGCATTAACAGCTTCCGAAGTTATTCTGGACCATGAAATTGCACCCAGAAAGAAAGGCATTACTGTTCGTCGGCTTTTGGTTTTTTGTGGCAACGAGGCCATTGTATCATGATATATCCGGGAAGAATTTCCGAATATAGCCGGCCCTACGTTATGAGGTGCAGCTCGAAGTTGAACCACTTTACCGAGCATTCATTCCGCTAGCGTATACGAGCAGATTACAGTCCCACGTTTGTAAGGGGGAGTTCACGGCAAACATCTTTATGATTTCTCTAAAGCCTGCTTTTAGTTCGATTTTAAGTAAAACATCGTAAACCGCTGAGGACGGCCAAATTGCAGCTGCACGTTTTCTCTTGGCTCAAGCATGATAATTTGTTGGGGTGGGTACACAAAAATGGATGTTTATCGTCCCCACACCTCTCAGAGACTTCTAATCAAGCCTACGGGAGTGAAATAGAGAAACAGTCACAATTATGTAATTACCACAAATATTTATGTATTGGTCGAATTTTTATGCTGATGTTTGTGAATTTTATGTTGGATGTTCTATCAGATGCAAGGAAAAAGTCTGTGGCTTGAGTCGAATTTCGCAGATCAAGCACAAAATACACAGTTAACAGAATTCTTCAAACTAGTGCCCAAAATATCATGGGTAAGATAAAAACCCGCATCGTCAATTAGTTAATCGTAAATCAATTTGATTGCCTTGAAATCGCTTTTTATTTCAGTATAAACGACTGCTTATATTGATGAGTCATGACATGCCTTAGGACGTCTGCAGTTGATTTCGGAAAATCCAACATGAATTGTCAATCGGTCTAGCTGCAAACTGATCTTCTACGTAAATGGACTGTGAGTATCAATTAGACCGTAAGGTCAAGCCCGGCTTGTTGGAAACCCGGGCGGCCGCAACTGGTGCAAGCCTCTGTTGAAGAATTAAAAAATGTATATAAAGTTTTTCTGTCATGCCGCCACGCCGGACGGCAACCAAAGCCATTAGTCGTGCCCAGTAGAGTTGGATCTAAAGGGCGGGGTTGTGTTATCGTAACGTCGTTAAAAGTTGGATTTTAATCGATGCTAATGTCAGCTCGTTAGGGGCGCTCTACGTGAACGAGTAGGTGGGCGTCTCAAGCGACCGCTTCTTGATCAGGTCCAAGAGCTCCAGGTTGCGCCTCTCGTTCTTTTCCAAAATCAATTGTTTCAAGCACTTGTTTTCCATCTCAAGTGTCTTCACCTTCTTCTCAAGCAGGCCCAACTTGTCTTGAAGTTGGCGGGCCTTCTCCTCCATCTGCTTCTCCTTCAACTTCTTCTTGACCCTGAAACGGGCGGAGGCAGCAGTGTTCTTCTTGCGCTTGAGTTCTTCGACGGAAAGTGGCTCATGAGAGGAAAGAGACTCGGCATCAGGTTCAACGCCTTCCGTCTCCTCCTCCTTGATCTGAGCCAATGGCGCCCTCTGCAGGGGGAGCTCCACCTTGGGAGCTTGGAGCTGTAGCTGCTGCTGTTGCTGTTTAGAAGGCGCCATGTGGTCGGCCAGGAAAACATCCAAGTCGAAAAAGTCAGTGTGGGAAAAAACGTCCAAGTCGGGAATCAGGCCCAGGCTCTGCTCCTCGAGGACTGGCAGTTCCCACTCTAGATTTAGATCGGCAAGGTAGTCGGAAGGTTGGAAGTTCATGGTGGGTGAGTTTGTTGTTTAATTGAGGGAAAACGACGGTATTTAAGTTGTGCGACAGAATCAGAGGAGTCAGAAAAAAATTTTTTTTTTTTTTGCTCCTGCTGCGAAATACTTACTCATACCTGTCATTTAAGCGCTACACTCCCTAGTGTATTAAACGACCATACTCGACGGAGCCGTGGAAAAACGACAATGGAAAAATTTGCTAAGTGGACATTTCGCCGGCCCAGCTAGTGTAGAGCTCCCGTATTCCGGTGAAAAAACTGCTTACTAAGCTTACATAATTGCTTACGTAACCGCGGGCGTACGGACCAAACTAGGAAACAAAAGCGGCTATTCTAGCGGCCATGCTTAAGCCAAGTCGGCATCAGACGTAATCTTCCGCTGAGCATCAAGTCGCCCAATTAAAATGAAGGGAATACCTCCGACAGCAGATCCCTGCAACTGTACGCTTTTCTCCAGATCAGGAACTCCCATTATCGCGATTTGCACCCAACCGAGGCCCGCACGCGAGAATGCTTAAGGGAGTATTTTCAAAATTTGTTTGATTGGGTGATATGACGGAGCAGCTAAATCCGGTCGACTCAGGTAGATTTTGTGTAAAAATCTGAGATATTTTGTACCGATGTCATTTTTTTTTTTTTTTTTTTTTTATTTGCATCCTCTCACAATTTGGGGGATCCAGGGGTAGCTGTATTGGAATGTCGGCTGAGCAGAATAGGCACCAATCAAGCCAATTAGGCGAGAAACCGTTGTCGTTCCATTGTCGCCACTTAACAATCCCCAAAATTGGTAAATCTTTATGTTCCTATCACATCAGATAGCTTTATTATGAAGTTTCATGCCTAGACGAGTCGCTGATCAAAAAACCCAGTTGCTGTCTTTCCGTATTGTAACCCTGACATCATTAGCAATGCTACTCGCCCTCACTGCAATCTTCAGCTGCAGACCAGTGCATACTTGATGTCACAAACTTGACCCACGGAAAAAAAAACCGACAACTAATTTTTGATCTCTCCAGTCGTTTCACAAATACAAGTAGCTACATTTCGGCAAGTACCAAGTTTAGTCCTTTTGTATATACCCAGGCACCAAGGGGTGCTACTGCTTAAACATAGCAGATTCTAGTTCGTAAGTGGGTGCCAGGACCCTTCTAGTGTCATAGGAAGCCGGTTGTCGAAGAAAGCTCGGGGCGGCCTGGGCCCCAGACTCCACTAAAAGCAGCTCCGGTTTCGCAAAAATTTTCATATCACTTAAGAGCCCATGCGCCATGGGCAATAAGCATAGTTGCACCGCGGTCATCGCTGCTCTTTGCGCACCAACGTGGCTCGCGGCGTCGTTCCTGGGATGGGGCGGTGATTTTTTTTTCTTTTATTTCTCCATCTATGCGGTAGGGCGCCCCATGCCAGGAGGTGCAAGTTGAAGGTACCTTCTTTCAATTGCAGACGTGGAGGAGAGTCGTCAACATTGATCGCGGCGGCAAAACAAGCTCATCGCAGGGCGAGACCCTACTACCGACAGTGTAGCGCCAGAAGTAGGAAGGCAATTGCTCAGGGTCATCCAGCGGCCTTAAGTGCTTTAAGCATGACAAGTTCGAGCCTCAATTGGCCTTCTTGTCTTCAATATTGTCATTGTCTTTCAAGTAATCTGCTCGTTTATGCAATTGGCCCTGCGGCAATGGCTGCGAAATGCAACTTCTCGCCAATTCTAGTTCATTTTTTCGCACGAGCGAGTTGCTCTGAAAGCGCCGTGGCGGAAACCCTATACCAATTTCGCCGTGAGGCAAAGTTTGTGACATTTTCTCCCACATATTCCGAGGCTAGTGGTTGAGAGTGTCCACAAGCAGCTTCAACACGAGACCTTCGCCATTTTCTTCCGGCTGGCGCATGAGGTTTCGTGGAACATTGGCATAGGGCCGGCCTTGCGGCAAGCTCTGAGACTGGCTCCGTGGTTTCCCACCTGCGGCCTGCGAGTAACTTTTCTCTTGGGACATGGTGGACAGGCCCGGTGGAGAGTTCAGAGTCTGTGCTTGTGCCTTGCTCTGGGACTGGCGACGCTTATAAGGGATGCCGTTGACTGCGCACATCCAGATTCTCGTCTTGTAAATTCTGAATAACTCACGCACCAAGTCTCTGAAGTCGATTCTGCGCGAGGTGGAATAGTAGAAGATCAACTTCTTGCGGTCAAACTGGTATTCGGCGTCTACCAATTTCATCTGGTTCAAGTCCAGCAGGCTCAACAGACTCAGGCTGTTCTTATCCAAGGCGCTGGAAGTCGAGGCGATTTTCGCAAGACACAAACGGCAAGCCTTTTCCTCGTCCTGTTTCTTGTTCAAGATCTGGACAGTCTCGCTGTGTTGGGCCAAACCAATAATTGGTTTGGGGAAGTGGAGGGTAGGGGGCGCGGGGCCGCCGTGGGGTGCACCATGGAGCAGCCTCACCAGGAGATCGCCCACGGAGGTGTCGCAGAGAGCGGCCTGCTGCTCTAAGAACTGAAGAAGCTTGAGGAGACGAGCTTCGTCGATGGAAATGTTCAATTTCACGATTTTGCCCAAATCACGGCCGCGGTCAGCCTCCACCATGACCAAGTCACCCACGCCAATTGGCTGCGTGAGCGAGCTGGGGAGGTAGAAGACGTCGATGCGGCCGGCCTTGAAAGCCACGAGCACTAGTTGCGCATCATGCAACTGGCTCTCGACGGGAAACTTGGGGAGTTGGTACAGGTCCAGGAGATATTTTTCCTCGTCAAAGAAGCGCTGCGAGAGGTACTCGGCGGTGACCTTGACACGCTGGTGGGGGTCGGCAGAAAAATAAGCATCCACGGAGTCGACAGCGCTCGTTTCAGGTTGCTGCTGAGCGGCGGGCGCTGAGACGGGAAACTCCTGGTTTTCTTTCGGGGGACTTTGCACGTTGGTGGGGCTGGAGTGGGTCTGGGGCGGATTAGCGCTGCGCGGAACGTAATTCAGAAACGCCTGCCCACTAAAGCCGTGAGGCTGTTCGGAGTGGTGGAGTTGGCCGGGCCAGCCAAATTGGGGCATATTTTGAAGCTGCTGGGGCTGCAAGCCTGGCTGCTGGAGGTGGTGTTGCTGGTGTTGCTGGTGTTGTTGATGTTGCTGGTGCTGGTTGCCCGGGAAAACGTCGCCCACCAGGTGACGGCGGGCAGAGTCCCACTGGGGCAGCTCCGGCGGACGCCAAGGGTCCCAGAGCCCCGGTGCGAAGGCGAGGCCCTGGTCAAGACTGCCCTGGCGAGGCTGCAACGAGGCCCGGTGCGCGGAGGAGTCTACTTGCCGTTCGGAGGGCATGGGTGCCCAGATGCTCTGCTCGAGCGAATTGCGGCGAGAGCCTTGGAACGGCAGAAATTGCGGCGATGTGTTCATGGGAGGATCTGCCAGAGTGGCGAAAGTGGGTGGACGGGGTGTTTTTTGGGGTCCACTCTAGGGTGTGTCGTGGCGGAGGTAACGATGCCACTTGAAGGATGGGTCAATTTAGTCAATCTTCAGCCGAGCCTTGGTTTGGTTTTCGGTCTTTGGCTCTTGGTCTCTGGACAACGGCTTATCGAGATAGCTTGGAGCGGTTGTTCCCGAGTGTCTAAAGCGCAAACAGGTGAGAAGCGCTGGCGGAAGGTGGAAATTCGGGGTCGAGCGGTGCCTGAGGCGGGAAGCTCGAGTCTAAGTCTAGGGGGTGTGTGAAATACGCCGGGAGCGACGATTTTGTGTTGAGAAGTTGTGAAAAGATGGCTCGGACTCGGGGGGAAAAAAGGGCGTGGGTCGGTTTATATGGCACCGCAGAATGGGGTGGGAGGGGCGGTTTGGCTGCGAATGCGGAATCGCGTGAGGCATAGTGGCCCGAGCATAATGGCCTGGCGCCCCTTGCCTGCCCAACCTTAAAACCACGAGACAGGCTTCGGCGAGGCCACCGAAGGCAGAGAGAGCGAGATCCGAGGGATCTGCGATGGCAGAGAAGACAAAGTTCTGAAGATTTGAAATGAAGCTGTTTCAAAAAAACACCAAAGAAAAAATGGAAACTTCACCCCCTGGACTTCCTGGGGGCTCGGTCACACAAGGCTCCCCGAGCAGTCCCTGACCGTTGCGGACCCTCGACGTAGTGCGGCAATCGCCTCGCGCATCGATCCCAGTCTCCAAACCGCCTTGCAGCCAGGGCTCCCTAGGGGGTCTACAAAACCCCTTGGGGGCGGGAGCACTCACTGAATATGTTGAAAAGTTCCCCGATCTACATCGAGATTTTCGACTGACCGCCTTGTCCATTTTAGCTTTTGGCCCGCAGCTTGGCGCCTCTTGGCTGCCTTGAACGACAATGCTTTCTCTCGCGACCTCCGCACCGCCTTAGTATCGCGAGGCTGAAGCTTTTCCTCTTTTGTGCTGCGCAGGGTCCTTAAGCCCAGGCTCCCCAGTCCTGCCCTGGATCCCTGGCCTGGGGGAAATTGCTTCTTACTTTCCAACGAGGTTTGCTTTTTTCTTATGGCGTTCGGGCGCCTCGAGAAACTGGTGTTTTCGGCCTACAATGCTCCATTCAGAATGAACAATTCCACGTTGAATGACTAGAGCTGCCTCTTGTCAAGTCTCTCAAAGGTCTTGTGCTGTACTGGGCCTGGGCCTGGACCTGCAGCTGACTCGAGACTTCCGTTTTCGTAGAACCTTATCTTATCTTGGGCTTATCTGCCGTGCTCAGCACTAAGAGAATTTAGTGCAAATCTTTGATTTACGGAGTCTGATTTACGGAGTCTCTTTTATTTACTTGTCTGCATGGCCTCGCCTTCCCATCTTCCCCAGGTTCCCATCTCGGTTATCCCCCAGGTCACTAACCGACCGCCTCACCTCAATACAATAACCCCTCGAGGCCCTTTGACCCTCCAAATCTTACATTCTAGGGAGACCCTTGCATAGGGTCTGCCAGCGTCCAGCCTGGCCCTCCAACCCCAACTACTCTACATCGCCTGTCTCAGATTATCAATTACCTGTCCATACTCCGTCGTACGTACCTGGCATCCTCACTGTCCGATTATCTCCAGCACTGCACAACTCTCCCTCAAGAACTGAACAACTCTCCGCTCTTTTAAAATTACTGGTACTGTTGCTGGTTGGGCATGTTGCCGTTGCCCATTCCACCAAAGTAGCCGCCGTAAGGGTCGTTGTAGCTCCCGCCCTGGGGGATCGGCAATCCTCCCAGAGGATGGCCTTGGCCTTGGTACGGCATCTGGTGTGGCATGTGTGTAGGTGGTAACTGCTGCTGGTGGGCTGCTGCTGCTGCCTGATGCTGATGTGCCTGTACTTGCTGGGGATGTGGAATCTGCTGTTGTTGCTGTGGGGGTTGCTGCTGAGCCTGAGGTGGAGCTGGGCTCTGGTCGGGCAGCTCCTGCGAGTTGCCATCGCTCTGCTCCCCTTGCTCGTCGCCCAATCCTTCCTCGGGCGCATTCAAGCATGCCTGAATCAAATTCTTACCCTCCGACTTCGTCACAAGAGGTTGCAACTTGGGCGTGGTGAAAGTATACACAAGACCGGTCTCACTCACAACCAACAACAACACCTGCGTACCCGTCAACACCGACAATTCGTACGCCTTCTTCATGATACCGGCTTTTCTTTTAGAAAAGGTGATATGTCTTCTAGACTTGTCCTGAATAAACTTGATCTCAATCTTTCTTCTCTCCTTCTGCTGTTTACCCCCCGTGGGCTCGTCATCCTCCTCCTCGTCACCACCGACAGAGCCTCGAGCGAATTGTGGCTCCTGAGAGTCAAGCTCATCATTGCCTTCCAATTTGGCTTGGTTTGTCACTCCGGACATCTTGTTGTTAGTAAATCTCTGAATAAATAACAAGGGGATTTGAGCGAAAATTCCGTGCCACCGGCAAGAACAAATCCACCGGCGCCACCAGCCCTCTCGGGGCTTCGGGTAATTTCTATTGACATGGCTGAATCATTGCTCAAGTTGTTGTTGAGATGATGATGATGATGTTCATGATGCACCGTCCACTTTGGGAAGGTCTTCGTGCCCAATTGGGTAACATGGTTGAATCGTCTCACCTTGAGTACCAGTGATCCAGCGATTGAAAGAATATCATCGAATACTTGCGGTAGGCTGAAGGCAACCTAAAGCTTCTATCAAATCCCCTATACTTTAACTCGAACACATACCTTTGACACGTTATGATATGGTAAAGCTTTATCAAGCAAGATCAAAACAGGACTTGGGGAATTTGAGAATTTAACTCCTTTTGGAGGTTCGGTCTGTGCACGTCCCGTACCAGATTTTACGCACAATACCTCTCAGATTTACCGCGGCAGGCCAAGCCGGGGACTCGCATGCTCCCTGATTTCTGCACCCCGAGTTTTCAGGGACATTGAAATAATGTTCGAGCGTCGGCCGGCATGCCAAAAGACCGAGCCCCCACACACTTAAGATTGATTGTCTCGCAGAGAAGTTTTACAGCTGAGCTTGACATTTTGTGTTTCCAGCGGAGTCCATGGGGTCCTGGGGTCTAGACCCTATGGACTACTTTTATAATAAATGGTTCTGTGTGCTGTCAGGTGTCGCTTGTGCTTGTGAATATCGCCTTCGAGAGCCCTTTGTTCTCCGCTGGTGCTGAGGCTGAATGTATTTGGCTGCAAAAGGCCCCCCTCAAAAACTTGGCACATAAGAAGCCGTGGCGAGCGTAGAATGGCGCCGACGTGAACAAGCGAGTGCAATTGATTGTAAATGTTGGGCTGATTATAGACAATGGCGAGGCACAGCTCAGAGAACAGCTTGATTGGCGAGTAGCAAGCCTGTAGAATGCAATTGAGTGGAAATAGCAGTTAGGTCACCATTAGGAGTCAGCGTGTAAATTTTGCAGCCACCATCGAGGCACGAGTTGCACTAGTCAACGTAAAAGTGGAGGTACCTTCAGCCGCTAGTTATGCACGAGCTAATCGGTCTTATAACGCCAATTGAGACCGCGTTTCAGCAATTAAGACTGTGAGTATTGCCGGAGACATGAATCTATTCTGCCACTGCAGTAGATTCAGCGGACGTCTTGGCTGCTTCGGAAGCATCGCGTTGTTCTTGGCCATTTGAATCTGACTCTTGAACCTCAGCAGCTACTTCACTTTCGTGCTTGATACCGTTCTCAGGACCAGGGGTCAAGCCAGGGGTCTGGTTCGGAGTTTCCTGCGGCGTTGGCAAAACGAGGTCTTCCATAGTTAATGTACAAGTCTCCAAGGAAAAGTTTTTAAGCAAGTTTGCAATTGTGCTCTTCACACTTTTAGAAGGGAGTTTTTCATCTGGCTTGTGAGCAGCCACGAGTAAGCTCCTGTAGAGCGGAGACTTTGTAAAGACAGCTAATGGGGCTTGCTGGGCGAGCTTTCCTGCTGCTCGAAGCTCCTTGTTGATTGTGTTCTCGTTCGAGATTTCCCCATCAAGCAAGGCGGGGGCGACTTTTTGAAATATTATTTCGAATTGATCGTTATAATATGCTGAATTCTCCTGCAATTCGGCTGAAGTGGGGAATTCACTTACGAAGGCATTCTGTTCTTTTTCATCATCAAAAACGTAGTCGCCCTTTTCAAAATCAAACACGCTATCGTTGAGGCCCCAGTCGCTGCCATACTCGTCATTTTCCGGCTCACTTGCGTTTTCAAGGTCCTTCTCGTATTCCTCGTAGGATGAATAGCGTTCGACCTTGGGCTTCTTTGGAGTCTTTGGCTTTGCAGCTGCTTGTTTCTTACCCTTTTTGTCTTTGGGCTTGAGGTTGAGTTTCAACTTGAGCTTCTTCTGAGGTGGTTCGGGGTCCAGATCTGGAGGTCCTCTCGATCCCCAGAGGTTGAACTCATTCATGTCTGGAGGATTCTGTGCCAATTCGTACGCGAATACAAGAAGTTCATCCTTCTTCTTTCCTGCCGTGGAGTGTTTATCCAAAAACAGCTGTATATCGTTTTCCAGGAGCACTTTTAGGTCATGATTTCTGATCCAAATGTAAGTGTCATCACTGAAAAATCTCACGGGCACAAGGATTGTCGGCAGCGTTTTCTTCTGCTGTTTCACCGACTTGGGTTTGAGTTTCTTGATGTTTTCTGGTAAGATCTCTTCATCTAGCACCATAGCAGGCCATGCTCTGTAGCCCTTAACTTTGGCTAGAACAATCGTTCTAGGTGCCAATCCGAGCTCTTCTTGTAGCGTCAGATCCTGTTTTGCTTCCATTTGTTCTGCTTCAGGCATGTTCAAAAGATCAAGAAACTACGGTCTCGCGTATCGAATGCAGGTCACAAGGTGGATGAACGTTTCTGAAAAAAGAGAATAAATCGATTTGGGCAAGACATATGAACGGGGAGTTAAAGAGTATGATTTTTGTTGAGTTGGACTGTTTATTTGCCTTTAGGTTGATAGGAGTGGAGAGCGGGATTGTGAAGTCTTCTTTCCAAATGGCTGCGAAACTGAAGGATGAAAGCAATGAGCGTTTACACATTGATTGCTTATGAATAGAAAGTTTATGATCTAAATCTTTTGAATGTTCTCTTTGAAATAGAAGCAATCCTTTGGTATATGATCACCAAGTGTTGGGGGTATTAATACTGAGGTAGCTACCGCCAGTCGCATAGATTGCGGCGCAGTGCCTTGTCCGACTGTCTAAATTTGGTCATTGGGAAATAGGAGCTTTTTTGTTTAATCCGGGAAGGCCCAGATTGACGTTAATTGGAGGAAATTCCAATCTTCGACATGTCCAGATCTCGAGAAAGCAAGGCCTGCTTCACCACTCGAGGGGCAAACATGCAATCTTTAATTCGAATTGAATTTACCCAGGAATCAGTCACAGCGAAATCGATCCTAAGTCGATCTTGCAATTCAGATCATGTCTCACCGCGACCGGCCTGCGACCACCTCCAGAGACACTCTCCAGCGGTGCCCACAAGGTCATCATCCCAAAACTCCAAACACGATACCGCCAATTGCACATCAACCTCCTTCAAATATTCTCCCTTCCAAAGCCTGACTACCCCGTTTTCGCTGCCGACAGCCACCGTTCCTTCCAGCAGAGCGCAACCGACTCGCGATTTCGCAGCCACGGCCTCGCTGCAGAAACTGGCCTCTCTCGCCCCGTTTGCAGCCATTCGCACGGCCCCATCCTCAAACACCACCGCCAACTCCTCGGTGTCCAAGCCCACCACGGCACCGTGGCGCCCGAAATCAAGCTCCTCGTGGACTTCGTTCCTCAAATCGACGAATTGCACCTTCCCGTCGGCGCCGCCAGCGTAAATGCCGTTTTCGGCAGCGCCCAAAGCGTACAAATTGTCTCGAGCCACCTTTGCCAGATGCACCGCTCGGGCGCCCGCGCGAGTGTCCCAGAAGCTCACAGCGCAGGCGGCGCCAGCAGAAACAGCGCAGTGCGGACTGAGCCAGGCGCACCCTGCCGCCAGATCTGGCGCCGAAGGCCGCGACACCGCCGTACGCTGGGCCTTAATTACGTCCCACGTCAGAACCGTGGACCCAGCTGCGGCGAAAACGGTGCTGGTGGCGTCGCAAAAGGAAACGTCTAAAACAGCCAGAGCCGAGCACTTTTTGGAAAAATAGCTTTTCGGAGCGTACAATTGCAACGGGCTTGTGAGGCCTGGAGAGTCTCCAGCGTTTCCGCCTATGTAGTTCTGGCGCGCCTTGGGCAGGAAACTCAGGTGTGGGTCCAATTGACTAGGATTGGATTGAGCGAGATGGGCGTTTTGTAGGGAGTCTTCAAGCAGAACGAGCGCTAGCGTGGACTCGGTGGTGCCTACGACAGCGTGTGACGGCAGCACCACCGCTAGCGCTGAAAGCATGGGAGGTTTTGAGGAAGAGATGTAGTAGATGAGATAGTTGGAGCGCGACTGATGGAGATGGGGTGGTGGAGGAGGAAAGAGCAATTAAAGTGCTGTGACTGAGGTAGTTGGGAAGGGTAATCAGTGAGTGTAAAAGATTGGATTTCAATTATATTGCAATAAAAGCACAAGACTGGCCTTTGCTGAATGCTGTGGGAGGGTTCGTAAGGAATGGCTGCGAAACAGACGTCAGGACCATAACGCTACCACATGGGGCGCTTGTCAACACGAAAACAAGGCAAGCTTGAACCTCACCTTGAAACCTCTATATACTTAACTTTCTCTCAACCAAAGAAGAATTAATAGCGAGTTGGACTGGTATTGACTACTGACTCTTAGATGGAGGTTTGTTGTATTTCGTTTTTTGCAGCACGAAGAATAGTACTCAATTTCCTTTGATATAATGGATAAACAACTTTAATAAAGATCCTCTGGATTTATTCCACTCAACAAAAAGAGTGGCCGAAGCCTAGGATTGATCACCAAAAACCAGCTGCTGATACTACTACCGCATTTTGCAGCCATCACCACAAACACCTTCTTCCACCCATGCCAGAATTACCCCAGCCACGCTCCTACATTTCCTACTTTGACGGCCGTACACTCGAGTATATTGTCATAGAGGGCAATCAGTCCAGGTGCTTTGCCACTCTGCTCACTTCACAACGTCCTCCAGTTTGGCCCAACACAACAGAAGCTGGAGACCCTCTTGGAATGCCGCAAACGGTGGAGGTGCTGCGTTGGTATCACAACCTGAATTATCACATTAATAGTGACAGACCACCGCCTCCGTATTATACTTACCGGCAAAACGGTGGATTTCGGCATAGCATGACCCAACAGCAAGTTCAAGCGAGCCATACCAATGGGAACCACGAAATGAATAATTATAATTACGGTTACCCGAGTTTCGTCAATCCGCCGGATCAGACTTCTGCGGCGAATGGTCATACGTTGCCGAATAACACGGCTGTTCCAATGAATCCAGCTGAAGGTACTCCTCAAAAACCACAAACTGACGCACAAACTGACCAGGGAAAATCAAAAATACCTAAGCTTGAAAATACAGAACTGAAAAACAGTTGTGTTTCCCTGCCTTTGCCAGACAGCCCGACATCATCCGTACTTGAGGCCAGGAGACGCCAAGCACAGGCTGATAAGGAATCTGAGGAGAAGACGGACCAACAGCCAACAAAAGAGGTCTCAAAAGATGGAAGCAAAATGAAAGAAGATGAAAAGATCGATGTGAAGCAGGAGGATAAAGAGGCTAAAGATTTGACTCCCAGTCCAGAATCAAGCACCAGTCGCCAAACTGATCCAGACTTTCAGCCGTAGTTGGCGACGACGGATGATAATGATTATGCTAATGATAGGAGCTGTTGATCGAAAGGATTCAGTTGAATTCTCAAATCAAGCATTGTGCAAATAAAAATTCTATGTTGTTCCTAATTATGATACAAAATCATGAAACCTAGAATGTACGTGGTGGACTTTTCGAACTCAGCAAACAAAATACCTCTCTATCGTGCTCGAAAATTTCCACCAGATGTTCCGCCATAGGCGTTTCTGACCATTTTTCCAGGAATTTTGCTGTTTGAGCCTCGCTTCGTAGGACGCATTATCTTCTGGTAAATTCCATTCTAACTCGGGTTTTTCAAATGAAGATTTTTGCATAGCATGTAATCTGGGAGTCGCCTTGTAGGAAGTGATTTCTTCTATCACATCAATAGTTGACTGAGGCGAGCAGCTATGTGAGCTTTTAGCAAGGGAGCCAAAGTAAGGATCGAGAAGGCTATCATCTAAGTTTGAAATCGACTTATTGAGCTCCAATATACTTCCTGAGATTCGAAGATAGGATGAATGAGGCGAAGTGTTGATGTATGGCTCTTTATCATTCAAATGGAGAAAGTCTTGTGCTATTAGTGCATCTTGTACAACTTCTTCTGGGAGAACAAATGAGGTTCGGTTGCTTAAGTCGTTCATTGACTCTAGGTGTCAAGAAACGGACGCCGGAGGTTTCTACAGTGCTGTCATGGCTAGTGTTTGATGTGTGCAAGAGATCTGAAACATGATTTACTGCTACAAAAGGATCAGAAGAAGTCTAGACAGTAGATCCAATTTCGACTTATTCCGCAACCAGCAACGATGTCTTCACCAGTAGGGAGGTTTTGTTCCAGACAAGATAGTGTTACATACGGTCTAAAGCTACTCCACTTCGATATAGACATCCAAAAAAGCCAAACCTAGAGAAATCACCAAAAAAAAGAGTATTTCATAAATACAGTTTTATCAATAAGAGAGACCACCAAGCTTGGCTCTGAGCTTAGCTTCATTTAGGGCACATTTGACCAGGAATCTGGGGCGGATTGCGCACAAGGGGACATCATACCACCACCACTTTGCTGGTTCTTAACCGTGAGACCCAACAAGCACCAATTGAGCATTTTGGCGTAAATTCCCAAGCAGCACAAACTCAATAAAAATAATTAAACTGAAACACACAAAGCTAGCCAAATCTGCATCCCTTGAGCTCGGTGGTTTTTTGAAGTAGTGGCTGCGAAATCTGGGCTGCATTTATGCGGCTCAACCTCAGCCCACGGGGGCGGCGTAGAAGCCATTGACATCATCGAGTTTGGAAGTCCAGAAACAATGCACATTCCGAGGATCCCACAGGAGCCACAGAGAAAAATATCCAACATTTTGGAACCTCCTTTTAGCTGCTTTCACTGTCCTTATACTTCTACTAAATGTGCCATTGTATCAGATCCCCGCGGCTCGGAGCCCCACCGGCAGCATCCACTGAAATAGAGTTTCATCGCTTTCTTGAAATAGAATATGGACTATCGCTCAATACTCAGATTTGCTTTTTTTAGTGACCTTCAAAAATTGACTTTGAAGAACCCAATTGGTCGACATTCTTCCTGAAATTATTGCTCCGATCGCTCCGCGCCGCAGGATTGCAACCGCCCATGTCTGCTGCAGATGCACCCAGATTTTCAGGCTAGATACGAAGAAATATCAAGGAAGCACAGAAAACTTTGGAAAAAGGAGAATAATCAAAACACATAAATACACAATTCTTCAATTGCGCCTCAATTTACCTAAATCAACTCCTTCTCCGCCTTAAAAGGCACTTTGTCCTGTCTACCCCAGGGCGCGGGCGCCTCAACCAATCTCCGCAGAACACGGGCAGCCAATGGTCAAATTTCCAGCACAATTTGAAGAAAAATCACCAAAAACCACTCAATTGCACAAGACGGCATCACCAAATTCTTAAAATACAAAAAGTTTCTATCTTTTTCAGACACCTCCCTCACTATGGCGGTACCTTCTATGTCAGGCCACCTGAATTTGGCGCCGCGCTGTCTCGGTCCCGGAGTAGCTCTATAGACCGCCCGTACACTCCTTCCACCTTTTCTCTTCTTCAGCTTTTTTCCAATTTTGCTTCAGAATATGGGAGATTACGTTACTCCGGCGGAAATGCCGCATCCCCGCTTGAAAAGAACCAACACCGGTTTCACCCAGAACCAGATCATAGCCTTTGATGCCCAGATCCCTGAGTCTGCTAAGGCCATCTGGAGAAAGTACTCCAAACTTCACAAGCCCAAGGATGAGCTGAACACAATCAACAACGATGAGTTCGAGCGCACCTTTGTTAGCAAGGTGGAGTTCAATTTGGCCAGAAACATGTACAATTGTGACGCCATGGCTGCCTACCATGCGGCGCTGGGGTCTATCAGAGACACCTTGCTTGTGGACTGGGCCAACACCCAGCAGAAACAGACGATCCACAACGGAAAGAGAGTCTACTACTTGTCGCTCGAGTTCCTTATGGGCAGAGCCATGGACAATGCCTTGATCAACTTGAAGAGCCGTAAGACCGTGGAAACGGCTTTGAGTGGGTTGGGCTTCAATCTCGAGGATGTTCTTGATGAAGAGCCCGACGCAGGTCTCGGAAACGGTGGTTTGGGCCGTTTGGCTGCCTGTTTTGTGGACTCCCTTTCGTCCAGAAACTACTCTGGTTGGGGTTACGGCTTGAACTACCAGTACGGTATCTTCAAGCAGCGCATCGTCGACGGGTACCAGGTGGAAACGCCCGACTACTGGTTGAAGAACCTGAACCCTTGGGAGATCGACCGTCACGAAATTCAGATTCCTGTGAACTTCTACGGTGATGTCGAGGAGGTATACGACGAGGCCTCTGGAGAAACTAAGAGAGTATGGAACAGTGGGGACCAGGTTCTCGCTGTGGCCTGTGATTTCCCTGTTCCAGGTTACAACACCTCCAACACCAACAACCTTCGTTTGTGGAACGCTAGACCCACCAGTGAGTTCGACTTCAACAAGTTCAATGCTGGTGACTACCAGCAGTCAGTTGCCGCTCAGCAAAACGCAGAATCCATCACTTCCGTTCTTTACCCTAACGACAATTTTGACAAGGGAAAGGAGTTGCGTTTGAAGCAGCAGTACTTTTGGGTGGCAGCTTCCTTGCACGACATTGTCAGAAGATACAAGAAGAACCACAAGAGCGATTTTTCCAAGTTCAGCGAGCAGGTGGCAATTCAGTTAAACGACACCCATCCAACTTTGGCAATTGTTGAGTTGCAGCGTATCTTGGTGGACGTCGAGGGCTTGCCATGGGACGATGCCTGGGCCGTCGTGACCAAAACCTTTGCTTACACTAACCATACCGTTATGTCTGAGGCATTGGAGAAATGGCCAGTCTACGTTTTGGGCAATTTGTTACCTCGTCATTTGCAGATCATTTATGACATCAACTACTACTTCTTGAAGAGCGTCGAGTCGAGATTCCCAGACGACCGTGAATTGCTTGGCCGTGTTTCTATTATCGAAGAGGGTGAGCCCAAGTCTGTTAGAATGGCCTACTTGGCCATCATTGGATCTCACAAGGTCAATGGTGTTGCCGAGTTGCACTCCGAGTTGATCAAGACAACCATTTTCAAGGATTTTGTCCAGATTTTTGGCCCCGACAAGTTCATCAATGTCACCAACGGTATCACCCCAGAAGATGGTTGCGCCAGGCCAACCCAGAGTTGGCCGCTTTGATTTCCGAAAAGCTCGACGACAAGGACTACGAGTTCTTGACGCATTTGGGCCGTTTGAAGGAGCTCGAGCAGTTTGTTGATGACGAGAATTTCTTAAAGCGTTGGGACGCTATTAAATTTAACAATAAGCGGAGACTCGCTGCTCTCGTGAAGGCTGAAACTGACGTTGACTTGGACCCAACTGTCATGTTCGATGTTCAGGTCAAGCGTATCCACGAATACAAGAGACAGCAGTTGAACATTTTTGCAACGATCTACAGGTACTTGCGAATCAAGGAGTTGCAAAGACAGGGTGTGTCCATTGATGACATTAAATTGAAGCATTTCATCTCCAAGGCTACCATCATTGGTGGAAAGGCGGCTCCCGGTTACTATATGGCTAAGACCATCATTCACTTGGTGAATACGGTGGGTGAGGTAGTTAACAATGACACTGAGATCGACAACTTGTTGAAGGTGGTCTTCATCCCAGACTATAATGTTTCCAAGGCCGAGATTATTTGCCCTGGTTCCGATTTGTCGAACCACATTTCCACGGCTGGAACCGAAGCCCTGGGTACCTCAAACATGAAGTTCTCGCTTAATGGTGGTCTCATTATTGGAACTGTTGATGGTGCTAACGTGGAGATCACCAGAGAGATTGGAGAAGAGAACATTTTCTTGTTCGGCAATTTGGCCGAGTCCGTTGAAGAGATCAGACACAAGCATCTTTTCGAAGGCGTGAAGGTGCCCGAAACTTTGCAAAAGGTGTTTGATGCCATCAACCTGGGTATGTTCGGTGACCCAGCCGAATTTAGACCTTTGATAGACTCCATCACTCAGCATGGTGACTACTACTTGGTGACAGACGACTTCGACTTGTATTTGGAATGTCAAGACAGGTTGGAGAAGGTGTATGGCCATCACGGAGGTGATCTGACGGATAAGGACCACTTGCACAGATGGGTCAAGAAGTCTGTTTTGTCCGTTGCTAACATGGGCTTTTTCTCTTCTGACAGATGCGTCGACGAGTACGCCGAGAACATCTGGAATGTTGAGCCACTCAACGAGTAGTTTTTAAACAGAGCACCTTTTGATCCTTGTGCCCACGAATACTATAATTCTAAGATGTATTGTGTAGTATGAGGCGTGAGTCTAGAGATAAGAGCCTCACAGCTTCACGAAATGCTCAGTCTCTCATTCTATTGTTGTACGGTTCGAGACATACGGGATCTACAATAGCCATTGTCAACCGCGAGTGAATAAACCCAAATCGCGTCTCATTTCCTTCGTAAATGTATGGTAATAGAACATTTTGACTATAGGATTCAATTGTCGTTTTTCTCCTGGCGACTTAGTCGAAGTTTGCGTTCTCGCAATATAGGAAATCTGCGTATGTGCCTCACAATGGCGATCTCTTGGGCTGTGCAATTCTTCAGAACGCCTGACCATGTTTTCCCAATCCAGAAAAAGCGTTCTACATAATTATGGCGATATTCTTTACCATGTTAAGAGGATTCAAGTCTCTTCTCTGTTCTTTCTCTAGTTAGGTGGCTTTGAAATATCGAGGTGGCTTAGTAGGCAGCTCACATGAGATAAGGGTGCTAGAATTTTTCTTAACCATTATGAGAGGACCCGAGAGAGAGATAGTTTGTATAATAAAAGAGAAACCTTATCACCGCCAGGTGAGGCTGTCTAGTTCCGATAATTTGTAGAATACGTCAGTTTCCGAGGCAATGGCGCATATATTCTGGATAAAGCCCCTCGATTCTGGATAATAGCGGAGTTTTCTGGCCAATTCCGCTCTGATCTGGAGAACACGGGCTCACACTCCTGCGCTTACATTGAAATGTTGAAGCTTGTAGCAAACCCTAAAAGTTTATTCTTTCATCAGAAGACACTTTTGTAAATTCGCCCGTGCAAATCCACGTTTGGTCAGTCATGAAGGAGATCGGAGTTCACAACTCTAAAAGCAATCAACTCTAGGCAGCTATACTTATCCACCTTTTCTCCTTCTCTCTCTGCTCTCGAAAAAATACAAAATCCTGTGTGCTTCTTGATCTCAATGGATCCTCGGCACTTACAACTGCCGAACCCGCAGAACATCGAGCTCACCCTGAGAAACACAGAAAATTGTGAATACTTCACCTTCACAATTTAAACCAAAAAACCAACAATGCATAAAATAATGTCCTCCACGACCACCGCTTATCCACTTCACAGGAGGGTCTCTGATGGCTGCAAAAAGACGACGGAACCAAGCCACCGGAGGTCCGAGCAGCTGGAACCCAGAAATAAAGTGTAATTCTTCTCTCAACGATAACTTCACCTTCTTTTTTTTTTTCTTCAAGAAAATCATACTCCGCCCTCTTTTCCCTCTCCTTGGACCTGCTTCTTTCCATTCCTGGAAGCCAAGGCCGCGGGGCGCACCAGATCACCAATTAGTACCGAAATCTTCCCAACCACCTACCACTCCTACCATGTGGGCGTTGTTGTTTTTCGTGCTTACGGCGTTGGCTAATCCGATTCTTTTTGCTCGGGAAGAACTCTCAGAGAAGTCTGGAGATAAAAAAGATGATTTTTACGTCTCCTCCTTGCCGGGCTTGTTCAAGATCAAAGGGGAGGACATCCCTGTGATGTTCGCTGGACAGCTCAAGCTTTACGATGAAAATAATACACACTATTTCTTCTGGAAATTCGAGGACCAGCACAAGGCGCCGGTGGCAGAGAAGAAATTGATCTTTTGGCTCAATGGAGGACCCGGTTGTCTGTCCATGGATGGAGCCTTGATGGAGGCTGGTCCCTTGCGAGTTAACAAGAACAAAGAGGTCGTGTACAACGAAGGCCTGTGGCACAAGAAGGCCAATATTGTGTTTGTGGACCAGCCAGCGGGAACTGGCCTCAGCTACTCAGACGAGTGGGCCACAGACTTGAACGATCTCCTGTGGCACTTCCAGCGCTTCTTGACGAAGTACTTTGACCTTTTTCCCGATGAGAAGGAGTACGATGTGATGTTTGCCGGCGAGAGTTACGCCGGCCAGTATATTCCATACATTGCCAACCGTGTGATTCAGGGCATGCCTGAGATCAATGTCAAGGGTCTCTTGATCGGCAATGGTTTCATCGATCCATACACGCAGGGCCTCTCCTATTTGCCATTTGCAACTCAGGCGGGCATCATTTCACTGGACCACCCTAACTTCAAGGATCTTCTTCATCGCCAGGAGTTATGTCAGAAGAGGGTTTCCGAGGCAAAGGCTTCGAGATCCCCAGCAGCCGCAGACTTGGCAACAAGAACCTGCGATAACGTCATGAACACGATGCTCAAGTATACGAGCTACATGCACGGCCCCAAGAACGAGCAGTGTTTCAACATGTACGATTACACCCTCAAGGATCTGTTCCCGCTGTGTGGCATGCATTGGCCTCCTGACCTTCAATATGTTACACCGTTCTTGAGGCAAGACAGCGTAAAGAAGAGCTTGAATTTGATGAATCGTATCGATTGGAAGGAATGCAGAGGAAATGTTGGCAACCACTTGAATACGAGAAGTGTGCCGCCTGCCATCGACCTTTTCCCTGACCTTTTGAAAAAGACACAGGTTGTCCTTTTCCATGGTAACAGAGATATCATCTGTAACTACATTGGTGCCGAGTATCTCATCAAAGACCTCGACTGGAACGGAAAGAAAGGTTTCTCAGAGCTGTTGCCTACGTACGACTGGTTCCATGAGGGTGACAACAGCGGCTACATCCAAAGCGAGGCCAACTTGACCTACGTAAATGTCTTTGATGCCTCGCATATGGTCCCATTTGACAAGCCCGAATTGCTGAGCGCCATTGTTGATCTCTTGTACGCTCGTTACGACCTCAAGGAGAAGCAAGACCAGAAGCCCAGACTTGTCACACACAAGTTGTCGAACCAGCCAGAGGAGGACAGCAGACCAACAAAGCCCGAGCCTACGAAGCCTGAAGAGTCCAGCATCATTGAGTCTCCAATTGTTTCTCCTGTTGCGAGCGGAAACAGCACTGTTCCAGCAGACTCCTCAGAAAACCACTACAGTAATGCACTTGTTCGCCTCATCCAATTTGCAGTGATCGTCGTGCTCATTTATGGCGTGTGTGCTCTCTTCCTGGCCTATCGCTCGAGACCTGCCTCGATTATAAAGACGAAGCTGTCAAACCGCAAAAAGAACGTCCAGTGGGCAGATCAGTTGGAGGAAGAAGAGTTGGGTATGGGTCCTACTGATGGAAAGGGCTCAATCTTTGCAAGGGCCTACCTGAAGTTGACTGGAGGCGACCCTCAGGGACGTTACACGGCAACACTGCCATATGAGGACATAGAGTTGGAGGGCACGCGACGCGAGGAGGACGACTTTATCATCGCAAGTGATGACGAATTGCCAGACCAAGAGGAACAGCCAAAGTAACGCATGAACCTATAAGCCATGGGGCAAGGGATCCATAAAATGTCGTTAATCACGACTAGATATTCAAGTTGCATAAGATATAGGAAAGTTTTGGAAAACGAAGTATGGTTGAAGTGTAGACGATGTCAGTCTCTGTGTTACACATTGAGATTGGGCCCTTGGACGCAAAAAAGTCTCACAAACAATTTTAAAATTGGAAAGGAATTCGTCTGGTAAAATTCAGATCACAAGGTATGAAGTTACGTCTGCTGTGTTGCAGATTGGAGCTAGGCCTACCTATTCGCAGCCACATCCCTGACCACCTTAAGGTACAATGAGTATGAGCAACACACAAAGCAAAGCGTCAAGACGATAATTCCTTGTACATTTTGGTAAAAAATAGTCGCCTCCTAGAACTATTTCCAATCATGAATCTACTTTTTACGAAAATACATCCACGTGACACGGCACGTGCACACCCACAATAGTTTAGGAAAAAATCTACAACAGTCTTCAACCATAACCATCATGCTCAGATCCTTCGCCAGATCACTTGCCACAGGCGTCCAGGAGGCGCTGTTGCTGGTCGGCAAGCCACCCAAATACACTCTAGCATCGCTTCGGAGCTTTCCTTCTCTTGAGCCCCACACTGTCGTTCCATATCCAACAGACTTCTTGAACAAGCCGCTCAGAAGAGACTTCTTGTGGAGTGCGGTGGTTTTTGAAGCCGACAGAGCTCGTGTTGGCTCTGGATTCGTTCCAACAAAAGGAGACAAGCCATTTTCCAACAGAAAATTGCACCCTCAGAAGGGTACCGGTAGGGCCAGAGTTGGTGATGCTAACTCGCCCATCAGAGATAACGGCTTGAAGGCCCATGGTATCAAGGCTCCTCACGACTGGCTGACCAAGTTGCCCAAGAAGGTTTATGCTAAAGCAGTGCAGACCGCTTTCAGCGAACAGTATAGAAATGGGCAATTGTTCGTCATTGGTGGAGAGCAGAAGGGAGATTCAGACGGTCTACTTGTGGACTTCCAGTATGCTTACCCTCAGCAGATCGAGCAATTTGTTGAAACTCACGACTTGGAGAGATTAAGTCTTCTTTTCATTACCGACGTGGAGAGAGACAACTTGTTGAAGGCTACCGAGAGCCTTGGCAAGAAGGCCGATGTGGTCACGAAGGAGGCCCTCGAGGTGAGAGACTTGTTGAAGGCTAACAGAGTGTACATTGAGGAGGCTGCCTTGAACTGGCTTGTGGCCCAGCACGACATCTAATTGTAAATAGCTAATGGGATTGGGCCCTATGGTCCAGGGATGAGAATTTGCTGTAGAGGGTGAATTTGTCAAGCAGTTGAGAACATCTTTCATGATAGATCGACACCTGAAAGACAAGCATAATTACTTGATCAACCGCAATTGCCTTATAATTGCAATTGCTCCATGAATATAGAATTCAACTTAGAAGCAGACTTCAAGAAATGTGTGCCGACGTGAGAGGAAATTGAATCCAAAGGAGACAGCCTGGGAAGAAGTCTCAGACAGTTGTTGTCAATGAACAAGAGATCCACTGAATGAGTCAAAGCTGGTAGTTAAGGAATCTAAACTTCCATGGTGCAGCGTCACATTGGCTGCAAACTAGCCTGCAATGTCACACAAACCAATCGAACAAAGACCAACTTCGTTAAATCCTCAGTGAGACTGTAAACTACATGTAAATTGATCAACATATAAAATTTCACATTCCACTCTTCCTTAGTCCCTCATAAATGAAGCTCCCCACTGGTTCAAAGTTATCGATAGGGCTTCAGCCCTAGCGCGCCTGTGTCCAGTATGCGTTGGCGACGCACCCATTTTCCTCAATGTGAGGCTGTCACGTGCACGGTCCCACCTGCACGCGCGAGGAAGAGGGAAAAAAAATTTCCAACTGTTAACCAAAAAAGATTCCCTCTCAACTACCAAAAGCCTATCCGCCATGTCTTTAGTTGTCCAGGAAGACGGATCGTTCCAGCACATTTTGCGTTTGTTGAACACCAACATCGATGGTAGAATCAAGATCATGTACGCCTTGACCAAGATCAGAGGTGTGGGCAGAAGATACTCCAACTTGGTTTGCAAGAAGGCTGACGTTGACTTGAAGAAGCGTGCCGGTGAGTTGACCCAGGAAGAGTTGGAGAGAGTTGTCACCATCATGCAAAACCCAACTCAGTACAAGATCCCAGCTTGGTTCTTGAACAGACAGAAGGACCAGGTTGACGGCAAGGACTACCACGTCTTGGCCAACAACATGGAGTCTAAGTTGAGAGATGACTTGGAGAGATTGAAGAAGATCAGATCCCACAGAGGTATCAGACACTTCTGGGGCTTGAAGGTGAGAGGTCAGCACACCAAGACCACCTCTCGTGGCCGTTAAGCTGCAAGCATGTAACATGTAATTAATTTACGTATTGGAGAAAAGGCTCATGCCAGACTGTAGATGAGAGTAATGAATGTCGGGAATTGATGACGTTTTCGAATGGCACATATTTGTTGTTGACGGCCATCGGCTTAAGCACAAGTACTGGGGTATGAATATGTCAAGCACCGTATGGCTAGTCAATCACAATAATCGAGAACTGGGAGCTCTTAGTCGGTAACTTTCAATGGCTTCTCGTTTAAATCTTGTTGGTGTTTATTGGATGAACAAAGCTCTAACAAACGAATACCCGAAGTCTGAAGACCCCAAAGTAGTGAAGATGGCTCGACTAAACTAGATGACGAGCATTCCGTTTCTACTTCGAATCTTTGTGATTCATAGATTGGACAGCTGGGGTAAGGATCCTCAATAGCTACCTACGAGTTTATTTCAAGACAGTTTGGGCGATAACATGCAAGCCGGACAACCATATCTGGAAAAAAAAATGGCTCGACATTATTGAAAGCTATTTAATTGAATGAGATATTTTGTTTACGCTTTTACTAAATTTCCGTATCTCTAAGGTGAACTTAAATTATCCATGTTCTTAAAGCGCACTAGTAATTTTTACAGAAATTCGCAGCCATTCCAGCTCTTCTGCACAATATCTACTAATACCCAAAAAAAGCACAACACACACCAAGCCTTTTCAGGTACGAAGATATGCTTCACAAAATTGGAGAGGATGAGTGTTTGACATTCGTAGCGTTAGGAAAGCACGAAAAACTATCATTGTAACGACTCACAGGTTGAATGACTTGAAGCACTCCCAATTTAAGAAATATAAATTAAAAGCCCCGCAAAATGTGACATCCCTTCCTGACATCTCTGAAGCCGTTCTTTATTGGTCCACATTCCTTACTCCTCAAATTGTGGCAAACGCACTCCACGAGCTCATCTCTGGAATTCCGAGGAGATGCCACATTTGAAACCTACCATTGCAAGCTTCATATTTCGCTTCAGAAAACCATTTGAGACAAAATCTGGGTGATATTGAACCGTATTTCTTTTCACAAGCTTTGTCACATCTCAATTAGCAAGCAACGACAGTTGATGGAGACTGCATGGGGACTATATCAACCTTCGCATCTGCACGTCATAAAGCAGATAAGATTAGAGCACTGGTGATTTTCAAACCGGTGCTACAAGATCCTGGTTCCACAAAATTTGGAAAACTTCCCCCACACCCTTACAAACTGTCCCAAATAACATATGACGCGTCCACAGCACCCAGAAGATGACTACACATCTGATGCCGAAGAAGGTGGCTTCCTCGTAAATGATCCAGATCGCAAGAAGACGAAAGGCAGATCCACAAGAAAACTGACACAGAAATCCCAAACATACAAGGAGGAGCCTGACGACGATGTGGTAGAGGTGAATGGAAGCAGAAAAAGGGCCACCAGAGGCCCACGCAGAGGCTCCAAGAAGATCAAGGTCGATGACTCAGACGATGAGAACGATGGGGACTTCAAAATCGAAGACCACCACTCAGAGGAAGAGGAAGATGACGACTTGGCGATAATCAGCCACTCACGCCACGAGGAAGGATCCAACCCTCAAACAGCTGTGAACCTAGATAGCGAGTCAGATTTGGAGATTGAAGCTAACGGAAACGGAGATGCGGCGAAAAGACCAAAGCCGAAACAACGTCTCTCCATGAGTCCAGGGGCTTCCGGGAAGAAGGCAAAAAAGCCTCGGAAAAAGAAAGAGCCAAAAGTGAAGGTTCCTTATTTTACCCGAACCACCAATAAGCTCTACGAGCAACACCCAGAGCTCAAGGATGTCTTCCCTTACCTTCAGTCACTTCCGGGCATTCCTGTGAAACGTGCCGAACAACCAGATAAGATGAATGTCCGTCTTTTGCCGTTTCAGTTGGAAGGTCTTAATTGGTTGTTGGCGCAAGAAGATGGTGAATTCCAAGGTGGTGTTCTCGCAGACGAGATGGGTATGGGTAAGACCATTCAAATGATTGCTCTTTTTATGAGCGACACACAAAAAAGGCCAAACTTGGTCGTGGGTCCCACTGTTGCATTGATGCAATGGAAAAACGAGATAGAAGCACATACGCACGATGGCCAACTCAAGACGCTATTATTCCACGGTGCTAATAGAGAAACCGACATGGAGGAGCTCTTGAAGTATGATGTGATTTTGACTTCTTATTCGGTGTTGGAAAGTGTCTACAGAAAAGAACGTTACGGATTCCGCAGAAAGAACGGTCTAGTGAAGCAGAAGTCCCCATTGCATGCATTACCATTCTACAGAGTCATCCTTGACGAAGCCCATAACATCAAGGATCGTACTTCCGGAACGGCAAAGGCAGCAAATGACTTGAACTGCCAGAAGAGATGGTGTTTAACTGGTACACCCTTACAGAACAGAATTGGTGAAATGTACTCATTGATTCGTTTCATGAAGCTCGACCCTTTCTACAAGTATTTCTGTACAAAGTGTGAATGCTCTCTGTCGGAGTGGAAGTTTTCTGATTGGAGGCACTGTGACCATTGTGGACATTCACCTATGCTCCACACAAACTTCTTCAACCACTTTATGTTGAAAAATATTCAAAAGCACGGTATCGAAGGGGATGGTCTCACTTCGTTTCAACACATTCGTTTGCTTTTGAGGAATGTCATGCTTCGAAGAACGAAATTGGAGCGTGCGGATGATTTAGGTCTTCCACCGAGAATCGTGGAGATTAGAAAGGATAAGTTCAATGCGGAGGAGAAAGACTTATACCAGTCTTTATACAGTGATTCGAAGAGAAAGTTCAACGATTACGTCGCCGAGGGTGTCGTTCTCAATAATTATGCTAACATTTTCACTTTGATCACGAGAATGAGACAGTTGGCTGATCACCCTGATTTAGTTCTCAAGAGGATCGGTACTAATGCGATTGCACAAGATGTCGAGGGTGTGATCATGTGTCAGTTGTGTGACGATGAGGCCGAGGAACCAATTGAGTCCAAGTGTCATCACAAGTTTTGTCGAATGTGTATTCAGGAGTATGTGGAGAGTTTCTCTGGAGAGGAGAAGAAGCTTGAATGCCCTGTTTGCCATATTGGTCTCTCCATCGACTTACAGCAGCCCGCCTTAGCTGTGGATGAGGAACAGTTTTCTAAAGCATCTATTGTTAACAGAATCAAGATGGGCACACACGGTGGAGAATGGAGACTGTCGACAAAGATTGAGGCATTGGTTGAGGAACTTTACAAACTTCGATCTGATAGACATACAATCAAGTCGATTGTGTTTTCACAATTTACATCTATGTTGGACTTGGTTGAGTGGAGACTCAAGAGAGCCGGTTTCCAGACGGTTAAACTTTCCGGATCTATGTCACCACAGCAGCGTGACAAGACAATCAAGTACTTTATGGAAAATACCCTGGTGGAAATATTTCTTGTGTCATTGAAAGCAGGTGGTGTTGCCCTTAACTTGTGTGAGGCGTCGCAAGTTTTTCTCATGGACCCATGGTGGAACCCAAGTGTGGAATGGCAGTCAATGGACCGTGTGCACAGAATTGGTCAGAAGAGGCCTATTCGTATCACGAGATTTTGTATTGAGGACAGTATTGAGCTGAAGATCATCGAGTTGCAAGACAAAAAGGCTAACATGATCCACGCCACTATCAATCATGACGATGCCGCTGTCAACAGACTTACCCCAGACGATCTCCAGTTTTTGTTCATGAATTAAACTTCTTGTGGGGAAACGGTAACTTACATACACAGGGAGTACAACTCCCCATATTTAATAGCACGATATCCGTAGCAGTAACACCACCCGTAGAATGACCTGTGCGGTAATTCACTATCTTGGGCAAGCATGACGCCAACAAGATAACCCAACATTCTTGAGTTCTGTTAGTAGAGAAATTAGCAGGTTTTGTCTACCATGAGTCAGCACCGTATCCGCTATGGCTCTTTTGCAGCCATTACCACGTGATACAAACCACGTGGCGTAAAATCGGTAATTACGAAGCTATGTTTGGATTCCCTTCATAAATTGGACACAAAAAGCTCACACTGGAAATAGAAAGTCAATTTGCTCCTCCCGCCCAAAGAAAACATTTAAACTTTCGTCTCTAGCCTGCTATCGCTCCTGCACACTCGTAGGTGACTCACGGGCGATAACAAAAATGCCTCTCCATCAACTGGGGCACCTGCAGGACACAGACTGAAAAACCTCCCCACATAAAAGGTCTTGCGATTCAATCACCACCCTACTACTACTTCCAATGCTTGATTTTTGGCTCAACTACCTAGAAAATCCGACACTATCGGTGCTTCCCCATGACTTCCTCAAGCCCGAGAACAACAGGTCGGTGGAGGCCACCAAGCTGATCCAGATTGCAGTCAAGCCGGACTTTGTCACTGGTTTAGCTGTTTTGGCAGCACTCATCTTCAGATTGACCGGTGACGATGATGTTGTCATTGCTACTGATGCCGAGGCAGAAGGCGAGCCTTTTATTGTGAGGTTGACGGTGGAACCCAAGATGCTGTTCAAGCAATTGGAGGAGAAGATTCGTCAGGAATACGACACCAACCAGCACAAGGTGGAGTACCACAACTTGGACGACATTGCGCAAGCCATCAAGGAGCAGAAGGGACTAGAAACACGCCCCCCATTGTTCAAGATCAGTTACCAGTTTGCCAGGGAGTCTCAGAAGTTGGAGACCTCTGTCAAGGGCTCGGTGAGAGACTTAGCTGTTTTCATTGACCCCAAGACGGCACAATTGCACTTTTTCTACAATGCTTTGCTTTATCGCTCAGAGAGAATGGACATATTTGCTGAGCAGTTCAGCCAGTTCACGACGACTGTGAGTCAGAATCCTGACGTTGAGATCACCAAGGTCAACTTGATCACACCCACCCAAAAGTCACATTTGCCTGACCCAACGTTGGACCTTGACTGGAGCGGCTACAGAGGGGCCATTCAAGATATCTTCATGAAGAACGCCTTGGAGTTCCCTGACAGAACATGTGTGGTCGAGACAAAGCTGTTCATGGATCCTTCCTCCAAAACCAGAACTTTCACCTACAAGCAGATCAACGAAGCTTCCAATGTGGTTGGTAATTACTTGAAGGAGACTGGCATCAAGAAGGGCGACATTGTCATGATTTATGCCTACAGAGGCGTGGATTTGATGGTCGCTGTAATGGGTGTGTTGAAGGCTGGTGCTACCTTCTCTGTCATTGACCCAGCCTACCCTCCAGCTAGACAAAACATTTACCTTTCCGTGGCCAAGCCTCAGGGTCTCATTGGCTTGGAGAAGGCTGGCGTTTTGGACGATCTTGTCAAGGACTATATCAAGGACGAGCTTAATGTGGTGACTTCTATCCCACAGTTGAAGCTTCAAGATGACGGTTCAATTATCGGTGGTCTGGAAGATTCTTCGGAGGATGTTTTGACGGCATATCAGTCGTTCGCTCAAAAGCCTACTGGAGTAATTGTCGGTCCTGACTGCAACCCAACATTGAGTTTCACTTCCGGCTCTGAGGGTGTGCCTAAGGGTGTTTTGGGTCGTCACTACTCCCTTGCATACTACTTTCCCTGGATGGCCAAGCGTTTCGGTCTTTCTTCCGACGATAAATTCACAATGTTGTCTGGTATTGCCCATGATCCTATCCAAAGAGATATGTTCACGCCACTTTTCTTGGGAGCCCAGCTTATTGTCCCTACAGCTGACGATATCGGTACTCCAGGTAAATTGGCTGATTGGATGGCCGAATATGGTACTACCGTCACCCATCTCACACCAGCTATGGGTCAGCTTTTGAGTGCCCAAGCCACTACTGCTATTCCAAGCTTGCACCACGCATTTTTCGTCGGTGACATTTTGACCAAGAGAGATTGTCTCCGTTTGCAGACTTTGGCCGAGAACGTCTACATCGTGAATATGTACGGAACCACTGAAACACAACGTGCTGTCTCCTACTTCGAGATCAAGTCCAGAGCCGCTGACCCCACCTTTTTGAAGAACTTGAAGGATGTTATGCCTGCTGGAACCGGTATGTACAATGTGCAAATGTTGGTGGTGAACAGAAACGATCCTTCGCAGACTTGTGGTGTTGGTGAAATTGGAGAAATCTACGTCAGAGCTGCTGGTTTGGCTGAGGGCTACCGTGGCTTGCCAGACTTGAACAAGCAAAAGTTTGTCACAAACTGGTACGTTGATCCTCAACAATGGACTGAGCAGGATCAGGCCAATGCTGATGTTACTAAGCAACCATGGAGAGAGCAGGGCTGGTTTGGACCCAGAGACAGATTGTACAGAACCGGTGACTTGGGCAGATACTTACCAGACGGTAATGTTGAGTGCTGTGGTAGAGCCGATGACCAAGTGAAGATCAGAGGTTTCCGTATTGAATTAGGTGAGATTGATACACACTTGTCTCAACACCCATTGGTCAGAGAGAACGTCACTTTGGTGAGAAGAGACAAGAGTGAGGAGCCCACTTTGATCTCCTACATTGTGCCCAAGGAGTGTCCCGAGTTGCACGAGCTCAAGGCCGATGTTGAGGACCAGGACGACCCTATTGTGGGTGGATTGGCTGCTTACGGTGCTTTGATCAAGGACATCAAGCTGCACTTGAAGAAGAGATTAGCTTCTTATGCAATCCCCACCATCATCGTCCCATTGGTCAAGTTGCCACTTAATCCAAATGGTAAGGTCGACAAGCCCAAGTTGCCTTTCCCAGATACCGCCCAGCTTGAAGCTGTGGCCCGGTTGGCTGCTGATAAGAGAGGTGTTGATCACGAGGAGGAGAGCTTTAACGAATTGGAGGCCACCATCCGTGACTTGTGGATCGAGGTTTTGCCAAACAGACCAGCCACTATCGCCAAGGACGACTCTTTCTTCGACCTTGGTGGCCACTCGATTTTGGGTACCCGTATGATTTTCGAGTTGAGAAAGAAGCTCAATGTTGATGTGCCTTTGGGAATTATTTTCAAGAACCCCACGATCGAGCTGTTCTCCAAGGAGGTTGCCAAGTACAAGAAGGGTGACTTTGCTCAATTGGCCGACGGTAAAGCAGAGCGTCACGAAGTTGAAATCGATAACTCCCTTACCTACAGCGATGACGCCAAGGAGCTCACCAGAGATGCTCTTCTCAAGCTGTACCCATCGTTGGAGAAGTTGGACTTTTCTTCGACTGTGAATGTCTTCCTCACTGGTGCCACTGGTTTCCTTGGCTCCTTCATCCTTCGTGATCTTTTGCTGGGCCGTAAGGGTGACTTCAAGGTTTACGCTCATGTCAGAGCATCTTCTGCAGAGGCTGGTCTTGAAAGATTGCGCAAGACTGGTAAAACGTACGGGATTTGGAACGAAGAGTGGGCTTCCAAGATTGAGGTTGTTCTCGGTGACTTGAGCAAGCCCCAGTTTGGCTTGGAGGCTTCTGCTTGGTCTACGCTTGCCAACGCTGTGGATGTCATTATCCACAATGGTGCTTTGGTCCACTGGGTTTACCCATACTCTCAGTTGAGAGACGCCAATGTCATTTCTACAGTCAACGTGATGAACTTGGCTGGAGAGGGCAAGCCTAAGCAGTTCTCTTTTGTGTCCACCACATCCACTCTTGACAGCGACTACTTCATCAACGCCTCTGACGAGTTGACATCCAGAGGTTTCGCTGGTATTGCTGAGCTGGACGACTTGAATGGATCCAGCACTGGTTTGGGTACTGGCTATGGTCAGTCTAAGTGGGCTGCTGAGTACATTATCAGAAGAGCCGGTGAAAGAGGTTTGAAGGGCTGCATCACCAGACCAGGCTACGTTACTGGCTTCTCGAAGACCGGTGCTTCTAACACCGACGATTTCCTTTTGAGAATGTTGAAGGGTTGTGCTGAGCTCGGTTCCTACCCAGACATCACCAACAACGTCAATGCTGTTCCTGTTGACCAGGTGGCTCGTGTTGTTGTGGCTACTGCGCTTTACCCACCACACTCTGATTACTTAGCTGTTGCACAGGTGACAGGCCATCCTAGAATCAGATTCAATGATATGTTGGCCTCACTCAAGACCTACGGATATGACTTGAAGTGTGAGGACTACCCTGAGTGGAGAACATCGTTGGAGAAGTTTGTCATTGCTGACTCCAGGGACTCTGCATTGTACCCATTGCTCCATTTTGTTCTTGACAATTTGCCTCAGGACACCAAGGCTCCTGAGTTGGACGATCAAAACGCCGTGAAATCCTTGAAGGCAGACAAAGACCTTCTGGGCGAAGACAGATCTGCCGGTGATGGTCTTGATGCTGCTCAAATGGGCATTTACATCAGTTATTTGGTGAAGATCGGCTTCTTGCCAGCTCCTTCCAACCAGGGTGAGCCATTGCCAGAGATTGAGTTGACTCAAGAGGCCTTGGACCTTATTGCCTCTGGTGCTGGTGCCCGTGGATCTGCGGGAAAATAATTCATTTAAAATCAAAAATGTGTATATAAAAGTTGAATACCGTAACGAGTGGTGTTGTAGAATGGGAAATCAATAGTCGGTTGCGAAATAATAGGCAATTTCTCAGTGCCCCACCGTGGGGATGAAAAGAGGTCTGATGCGATAACTACCTCTGACCACCGTGACGTTGAGTTATATTAACTATTAATCCAGGTTTTTGGGAAACTTTCTTTTTTTGAATTACCCAAATTCTCTTCTAGATTCATGATTCTTGGTGCTGCTGATAGTATGCGTGCTGGTACATCCGTACACATATGTCTCACATACTTGAATCACTTTAAGCCTACTACATCTACAATCTCCCCCACCCATTGCATGTAACTCAAAACGGCCTATGGATATGAGTGAACATAGCAGCCACAATGGAAACCGAAGTTCAGACCAGACTACTCCGAGCCCGAAGGCCGCAAACTCATTTGGCATGTCTCTGACCCAAAGGAAACGGCCGAAAGGCACCCCAATGCTGCCGAGAAGTCCGGTGCTGCCTCTCCAAGGCAACCAGCTTAGTGGAACCGAGTTTCTGGCGAAGAAGAGGCTTGTTGAGCAGTTTTACATGCCTCGATCCGATCCTCCACTGAAAGCACATAGCTATTCCGATCTCATAACAGCATTTCGGCAAGGGTCAGCTGAATCGCCTTCTCGAGAACCTCGACAGGAAGAAGCTTTCCCATGGCTGCAAGTCACAGCTAAAAAGTCATTTATGGAGTTGGCGGAAGAGGGAAAACTACAATACTCACCCATAGACCGGGACATCCAAAGTCCGGCTAAAGTGGCCGAGATGCTTCTAGGTGTGGATGATGAAGACGACGATTCGAGAGTAGTTGACCTGCTCGTTCTGGCTTTAGAAACCTCAGCGCTGGCGCTAGAGCGGAAATTTGAAAAGGACCTCAATGTGACTTGTGCACCCACCGAGCAGTTGAACATGCTCAGTGAGTATTTAAGCAAGCTTTCTGAGGAGGTTCAGACGTTGCATAAAGAGCTTTCGGAAACCACACTGCGATTGAAGAGCAACTTCAGACTGCAGCTCCAGGTGAGCATGGAGAAGCTTGACAAGTTGGATGAATTGTTAAAGTCTTTGACTGGACGACTTGACGATAGCAGACAGCGGATGCAAAGCTCCAAGGTGGTGATGACTGAGGAAATGGCAGACAAGATTGCTGTATTGGAGTATGTTGCGAAAAGGTTCAACGAGCATGATCAATTGGTGAGACAAAGGAGGGTGACGCAACTGATATCTTTTCTCTGCTGTATCATTGGAGGTCTTTGTATCTACGTTTTGGCTAGGTATTTCGGGATATTCTGAGTGCAGCGAGGCAGCATGATTAACTCCTAGATCCTTGACTGTGACAATATTTATAAATGCATGTGCCCATGGCGGCGAACAAGAAGAAGAAGAGACGCAATGTTCTCAGGTATAATGTCCAGCTTGATGGTCTTTCTTCTCGATTCCTAAGGTTGTCTCTAAAGCATTGGCTGCAAAACGCCATGCAGTTCTACGTCAACGTAGATTGTGATTCAAGAGGTGCGTCACCTTTGTGAAACAATTGATGGTGAACTCAAAGCAGCCGTTGATCTCATTAAACAAACGTAAGATTCAATCCTCGCAAATATTGACGTAATTCCGGCTTTGACTATCAGACCCGCACCGAACTCTCGGACTTCTGCTCGTTACGCGGTTGCCCCACTTTTGCATGCCTTACCCCAGACGGACTTCTGTCACCCTCATCCAAAATGCCACCAACTACCTCATTTCTTTATGATTTCAGACAGTGAAAGTGACTTCAATCGTTTTGCATGCAATGAATGCAAGCGAAGGAGAATCCGCTGCGCCCGAGAGCTCCCCGTATGTGGAACATGTCGAACAGCCAAGCGTCACTGCTTGTATGAGCAGCCCAAACGATCGCCTCTTACTAGGAAACATTTGACAGAAGTGGAGGAAGAACTCAGTGTTACAAGGCAAATCATTGCTCGATACTGCCCGGACGTCGACCTTCAACAATTAGTGGGCAAGCTTCGAAACGGGACAAGCATCGATGATCTTCCAGACGATGTGGTGGTGAAACGAAGGAAGATCGAAGAACCTAATCAAAACGGTTTCATTAGTCATACCCCGCAGATGGACATTCTGCTGCTTTTGCAGAAACACGATGACATCCCAGGCCTGCTGCTGATGCAATTCCAAATTCCTCAGTATCTTCCACCAACTATCAATGAGACAGATGCTATGTCCAATTCAAAAAGCTCAACTTCATCTTCACCATTGTCCAACACATATAGCAGTAAATGCCTGTGGGATGAACGGAGATCCATGTTGGATAGAAAACTCTCGGTGACTGACGGAATGGCTACAACTGAAAGTAACTGCTACTTGGGAACCACCAGCTCGGCTGCATTGATCAATCTCATTGGAGGTGGCTACTTCCTTCAGCAAAATAAGCCAAAAATTCGAGAAAGCGATTCGCCCTCTTCAGCGTCTTCCCTTGCATCAATCTCCATTCCTTCCAGACTGAGAATAGAGCACTACGTGAACATGTACTTTGAAACGTACCATGTATCGTACCCCATCGTACATCGGCCTCTTTTCCTAGCTCAGCTTAATGAGGTCGTGGAGGCACCTCCTGGATGGCGTTCCTTGCTTTACATAGTAGCCGCCATTGGCCTGTTCATGTCAGCCACAAACGGTGACGAGGATGATGATCTTACTCTCCTAGATTGTGCTAAGAAGGAACTTTCCCTTGAAGATTTAGAAACGGGCTCCCTCACGCTCGTTCAGACGCTAGCTTTGATTTCAAATTATCTTCAAAAGCGAGACAGGCCTAATTCAGGCTACAACTACCTTGGCTTAGCGGCACGAATGGCTCTTGGCCTAGGCCTCCATAAAGATTTGGCCGAACCAGGTGACCTGCTTTTGAACCAGGAAATGCGTCGCCGTGTGTGGTGGTGCCTATACATCTTTGACTGTGGACTGACAATCACGTATGGACGACCATTGGGCATTCCATGTGCTGGACTCGACGCCAAGTTGCCCATGAATGTCGTGGACTCGAATTTGACAGCTATGACCGCAGCTCCTCCTCAACAAGAGAAAGGACCCACCGTCTACACAAGCGTGAGGCTTCAAGCGCTTTTCCATATATTCACCAACAGCATATACGAAAGGATCATCAGTGATCCATTTCCACTGGCTCAAACATTGTTACGGTGGGACTGTGAATATATAGAGCGCTGGAAGCTGTTGATTCCCAGAAGCTTTCGAGAAGACGCTGATGTCTCTGCTAGATTCAAACTAGCTCATGCGGTGTTGCACTGGCGATCCAGGAACCTTCGAATTATCATGTACCGAACCTTCATGTTGAAAAGGCTCTTTTCCGACAAGCAAGAGCCTGTGGATGATTACGAGACAAAGGCAGGAGAGGTTTGTCTTCGGGAGTGTAGCATTACTATTCAAAGCATGGATACCTTCTGGAGCGAAAAGGCCCAGTACAACCGGATGGATGCATGGTACCTGCTTTTCTTCCTTATCCCAGCAGTCGTTATGCCACTTGTTTGTCTAAGGAACGATCCTGTTTCTTCGGAAGCCAACGCATGGCGAAAAGAGGTTGTAATGGCACAAAGGGTGATTGACAAGATCCTGAAAATCTGTCCTCCGGCGGCTAGAATATCTGAATTTATCAGTAGCATGGCGCTAGGATGTCTCGGAAACCAGGAAAACACCACTGGCTTCACGCCATTGAACGACAATATGGCCTTTCCCACTATAGCTGTTGACGAAAGCCCTATGTCCCAGCTCATGCAGCTACACACGATGCTCTGGCCCTCGTCCTTTGACATCGAACAACAGTTTTAAAAGTTTATTTTCTATCATGCCTAGATAAGGGCGTAACCGCCACCTGCAATAATCTCTTCTCCCGTCACATACGAGGAAGCATGGCTAGCCAAGAACACATATACACCCTTGAGCTCATAAGTGGAGCACATTCTGCCTGCCGGGATCAAGCCTGACCAAACCTTTCTCCATTCCTCTGGATGACTGTCGGTCATTTCTGTCTGGATGTAACCTGGAGAAACACAGTTGACTCTGGCAAAATCGACCCACTCAACCGCTAGACACTTTGCCAAACGCACTAAAGCGGCTTTCGAGGCATTGTATGGCGCCTGAGGTTGTGGGTAGTTCACAATGCTAGAAGAAATGGAGGCAGTGAAGACGATTCTGCCCTGTTTGAAGCCAGCACTCTCCTTCTGCATCTTAAAAGCGTTAGCAGCCGCCTGGGCCGTAAAGAAAGCGCCATCTAGGTTGACACTCAAAGTCTTGTGGTAGTTTTCCTCGGTGAAGTCCTCTCCTTTCTGCTGGACTGCAACACCGGCATTTGGAACCACCACATCCAAACGACCAAAGTCCTCAAGCACCTGAGCGACACAGATCTCGATTTCCTTTTTGTTGACAACGTTGCACTGGTAAGCCTTGAAGCGGACCCCTAGCTTCTTGAACTTTGTCTCCACTTCTTTCACTTCCTCGGGCTTCAGCGAATTGTAAGTCACAGCGATATCCGCACCTGCCTCAGCAAGTCCTATAGCAACTCCGAGACCGATACCACGAACGCCTCCGGTGACGAGGGCAACCTCGGACTTGAGGGAGAAGAGGCTAAAAACAGGTGATTCCTGGGGTTGGAAAAGCATGTTTATGACAATTGGACTCTGGCTCCAGACTTTGGCGATTCTGGTCTTTATATGCCACCGATGGTGGGGCGGCGCGGGACAGTACCCCAGATTCAGGGGTCACAGGTGTCCGCTGGAGCGGACTGGCCCTGTACCAGGAAAAAGTACAATACTTTCCGATATAGAGAAAACTTTGTATGCCTCAACGGACAATGTTGCGAAAGTGGCGGAGGGCTCTGAATCTGTGAAGCATACCAGGTGGGTTGCCTGATTCTTCAGAGTATGAGACAATGCGATAAGGCACTGACAGAAAGATGTACTTCTCTGCTATAGACGATCGACTAACCCCATGAACAAATAATTGTTTTAGAATGACAGTCTATTAAAGCTACCCTGTCGTAGCACTGATCGAAAGCCTTCCCCGTGTGGAGGCCAGATCTCCGTTGAATGGCTGCAAATGCGCTGCACCAGAGGTTCACAGAACTCCGCCGGAGAACATAAAAAGGCCATGATTCCAGGAAACTTCTTCACCAACAATGCCCGCCGAAAACCCAGCCTTCGTTCTCAAAGCAGTTAAAAATGTTGTCTTGGAAAACAGACCCATCAAGCCCTTGCAGCCCAAGGAAGTGAGGGTTCATATAGAGCAAACCGGTATCTGTGGAAGTGACGTCCACTACTGGCAGAAGGGCCGTATTGGAAAATTTATCATGGAGGAGGGAAAAGACATGGTGTTGGGACACGAGCTGGCAGGTACGGTGGTGGAGATTGGCTCAGATGTGACCACATTGAAGAAAGGTGACAGAGTTTCAGTGGAACCAGGCGTGCCATGCCGTTACTGTGATCTTTGCCGTGATGGTAAATACAACATGTGTGAGGATATGGTTTTTGCAGCCACGCCTCCATGGGATGGCACTTTGCAGCGTTACTACAATGTTGCATACGACTACTGCTACAAGATCCCAGACCACATGAATATGGAGGAGGCCGCTCTTGTTGAACCAGTCACCGTTGCCGTTCAAGCATGCAAGAGAGCTGATCTCAGAGGAAGAGATTTTGTTGTTGTGTTCGGCTGCGGTCCAATTGGATTATTGTGCCAGGCTGTGGCCAAGGCTCTTGGGTGCAAAAAAGTGATTGGTGTTGATATTTCTGACGGACGTTTAGAGTTTGCCAAGACCTTCGGAGCTGATGGTGTTTTCAAGATGCCTCCCAAGGAGGAGAACGAAGATGCCGAGGCATACGCCAAGAGGGTTTCTGCTACCATCAAGAAGGAATTCGATATTGGTGAGTACGGAGCTGATGTGATCTTGGAGGCTACTGGTGCGGAGCCATGTATCCAGACTGGTGTCTTTTTGGCAAGACACGAGGGAAGGTTTGTTCAAACAGGTATGGGCAGAGAGTTTGTCAGCTTCCCTGTTACTGAGGCTCTTGTGAAGCAGCTCAACTGGACCGGTACCATCAGATACTCCACCGGCTGCTACCCCACTGCTGTTGATTTAGTCGCTTCTGGCAAGATTGACGTGAAGAGACTCGTCACCAACAGATTCAAGTTTGAGGAGGCCGAGAAGGCGTTTGAATTGGTGAAGGAGGGCAGAACCGATGTGGTCAAGGTGATGATCGCCGGTGTCACCGACGAGACCAAGATCTGAGTCGGAACAGAATAGATAAGAAATGTGTCAATGATTGGTTTTACTGTAGAGAGTATTTTGCGGTTTTGGAGTATTCTGATGTGATACTACTAGAGATCTGTTTGCATGCTCAAACTATATATCTCTCATGCATACCTCCCTCACAACTACACTTCTAATAACGGCTTTTTAGAGCCAATATCAATAATGAAAAGAGCCCGTTTTGCTTCAATCTAATCTTTTCGTCAATTGCTACTCCAGCTCCCAATGGGTAGTCGCAACTCGGCTAATGAGATTTGGATAAGCAACTCCGAATTACACAAAACTCATAAGAATCCCTTGAGTTCAAAATAAGCTTTCGAAGTTCTCTCTTCGATCATTCGATCTACCCCATATCAATCACCAATGGGGTATCCCGCCCGCACGATAGTGCGACAGAAGTCCGAGGCGACAGAAGTCCGGGGCCATAAAGGCCCGGTGCACACTTAACCCCACTACAGCTCATCGGCGGTCACAAAGCCAGCAGTATAAATGTCTCGGGTGCTGTCACTTTTCTGTGTTTCTCATCACAAGAGTCAAATACAGATTTCGCAGCCACCATGTCCACCATTAGAAAGCCAAACCCACAGCTCTCCGACAGCGTCTTTGAGATGTTCTCCATGAAGGGGAAGGTCACCATCATCACTGGTGCAGCTGGCGGAATTGGAGCAGAAGTGTCTAGAGCTTTGGCTGAAGCTGGAGGAGACTGCGCTTTGTGGTACGGAAGGAACACCGCAGCCATTGATATTGCCAAAGAGCTCGAGGAAAAATACAAGGTCAAGGCAAAGGCATACAAGGTCAATGTGAGAGAATGGGAGCTGGTTGACAATGGCGTCAAGGAAGTGATCAAGGACTTTGGTCACTTGGATGTGATGATTGCCAATGCTGGTATTCCAGCCACCGCAGGTCTTCTCAAGCTGAGCTTCGAGGAGTGGAACAATGTTGTTCAAACCGACTACAACGGTGTGTTCTACTGTGCTCGTGCTGCTGGTCAGGTTTTCGAAAAACAGGGCCACGGTAACTTGATCACCACTGCCTCCATGTCTGGGTCCATTGTGAATCTTCCCCAGCAGCAGGCTAACTACAATGCTATCAAGGCTGCTGTGATCCACTTGACCAAGTCTTTGGCTGTAGAGTGGGCCGACTTTGCCAGATGTAACTCGGTCTCTCCAGGATATATCGACACGCCAATTTCCTACCAGGTGACTGAGGAGACCAAGGAGGAGTGGTACAGAAGAACACCAATGAGAAGAGATGCTGATGCCAGGGAGCTCAAGGGTATTTACCTCTACTTGGCCAGTAACGCTTCTACTTTCACCACTGGCAGTGACTTTATCGTTGACGGTGGTCACTGCTGCCCATGAGGAATAAATAGTCAAGATTAGAATGATGAGTGAAGTGTAGACAGCCGAAGAGGTGGATGTTTCGCCAATTGCTGCAAGCCTCTGTTCAATTGAAATATAACACGAAATATAGCATGAAAAAGTGACTCGAGGAATCATCATTCCAGAAAGCCACCTTCCAAGTCCCCAAGAAGATCCTGATACGATCCAGATCAAACGGACACAGGATACCTCCTTCTCGCTCTAAGCTTGGTGTCTTAGCCGTAGTTTCATGTTCTCTTCTTCTCCTCTTTGCATCCTCATTCACCGAGACTCGGTGAAAAACTTTTGGCTTCAATGGCTGCAAAATGCCTGCGCGTATAGCTGCCTGCCCCACATACCCCACTGTACCTACCTTGCCGAGCGTCCAACCGTCGAATCAGAAAGATCCAGTCGACCAAGCACTCCTGTACTCCGGAAATCATCACCACATAATCGCCAGAACAAGCTGCCCCGGACCCCTGTCGCCCTCGTATTTCCACACATGCCCCGCGCGTCACCCCAGTCTCGGAGCTCTTTTGGGCATTCCCGGAACGCTCCATGCTCACAACCATATAAGGTGGCCATTTTGCAGCCATTCTACTGACACCACTCACACAAGCATGTTTTTCAAAACGACTCCCATCGAGGAGATTGTGGGAAAATCCATCGCTGAGGTGCTCCCCAACCACGGCAAACCATGGTATCGGGTCCGCCACCTCTTGGAACTCAATCTTATCTTGCTTGTGCCTCTTCTCTCTTCTGCCACTGCTGGTTACGATGGCTCTTTGATGAACGGGCTTCAGGCCATTGATGAGTGGAAGGACGAGTTTGGTCATCCCAAGGGCACCATGCTTGGATTCATCAATGCTGCTCAAAACTTTGGCTGCGTTATCGCTCTTCCCTTCTGTGGCTGGCTCACAGACTACCTCGGTAGAAAATGGACCTTGTGCATTGGTCTTTGGGGAATTGTCATTGCTACTATAATTCAGGCAACTGGCCACTCATTGGCTCAGCTCATTGCCTCGAGGTTTATTGTAGGAGGCGCTGGAATGCTTGCAGTTCAGCCTGCTCCGCTTCTTGTGGCTGAATTATCATACCCTAGCTTCAGAGGAAAGATGACCTCAATGTACTGGTGCTTGTACTATTTGGGGGCTATTTTGGCATCCTGGGCGTGCTATGGTACTGCTGGTCTGGGTGACAATTGGGCATGGCGTATACCTACCATTCTTCAGGCTGGTTATCCTGTGGTGCAACTTGCCTTCTTGGTATTTGTGCCTGAAAGCCCCAGATGGTTGATATCCAAGGGCAAGGTCGACAAGGCACGGGAAGTCATGGTAAAGTACCACGCTGGTGGTGACAATGATAGTGCCTTGGTGGATGTGGAGATCAGAGAGATCCTTGCAGCATTGGACATGGAGAGACTGGCGAAACAGACGAAATGGCTGGACTTGATCGCTACGCCAGGCAACAGAAGAAGAACGTACATTGCATTGTCGTTAGGAATTTTTGCCCAATGGAACGGTGTGGCAGTGGTGTCCTACTACCTCACGTTGGTACTTGATACCATTGGAATCACTAGCTCGTCAATGCAAACGCTCATCAACGGGCTTTTGCAAATTTTCAACCTTATTGCCGCAGCTTCAGCGGCGTTATTGGTTGACTATCTCGGCAGAAGAACCCTATTCCTCTGGTCAGGAATAGGAATGCTTGTGTCGTACATCATCTGGACGGCCTGCCTGGCTGTTTTTGATCAGAACGGGTCAATGGCAGCGGGACGTGCTGTGGTGGGCTTCATCTTCATCTTTTACTTCCATTACGACATTGCCTATACGCCTTTGCTTTTGGCGTACCCGACGGAAATCTTCCCATACTCGTTGCGGTCCAAAGGTGTCACGGTAGAACTTCTTGGAGTATACGGCTCATTGGTGATAGCGTCTTTTTGCAATTCCATCGCCTTGGACGACATCGGCTGGCGCTACTACATTGTGTTCTGCGTGTTGCTCTTCATCATTGTTCTCAACACATACTTCTTCTACCCTGAAACCAAGGGCTACTCGCTTGAGGAGGTGGCCAAATTGTTTGACGGAGAAAAAATGGATTTAGAGCTGATTGCCGACAAAAAAGTGGAAGTTCATCATGTTGAAATACTCAGAAAAGCAGAGAATAGGAAGGCATAGACGAGGGTGCTGATCAATTGCCGTTTGAAACACTTGCATTCAGTGTTTCGGTTTTCTTGACCCGTTACAAAATATCACGTCATCAGCGGCGGTGATCCCGAGGCGTGTAATACATTGAGAGTTGGAGTCAGACGGAGTCAAAGAGCAGCAAAAAAACAAAAAAATAGGCTAGTATATTGAAAAAGTTAACAAATTTTTGTGTTTTGGTTCGGATCGCAACCTGTGTAGCTATGTGCTCCCCAAAGTACCTCCGAGCGGTACTGATGAAACCAGCACCGAGAGAGCGGAATACGTCAGGCAGCTTGGCGGACAGCGCGTTGCCAAGTGCCATTGTTTGTGATGTTCGATACCATAGACCCCATCACACAAAATCACGCTTGAATGTCCCTAATGTGAGGTTCATAACGGCCCGGTTTGCAACCGATTTGCCGAGTCGGGGACCTCCAACCGACGTGGGGTGAGTGTGAGGCTGGCAGGCTGTTTCGTTGTCAGCCTGCCTGCAGTACCATGCTGTCTGGTGCCTCCACTTTTCTTTTCCTTTGCGGTAGCCTGTCTAGTGGTTGTGCGGTGAGACCAGCCGGGGACGCCCACATGCAGTACATTTTCCCTGTAGCAGGAAACGTCATAGCCTGGTTACCGTCGTTGGTGGTGTGGAATTGCCGATCGGGACCACTTTATATTTTCCAACCTTCCCCAGACGCTGCAGCTGCCACCAGCCCCTGGCCCCGTGCAATCACGAAAACCCGTACACCGACAGGTCCCCCAACGCCCGGCAACCCCAGGACCCCTGTCTCACCATCTATCTGTCTGTGAATTTCTTTTTTCCGCTCATCAAAATCTCTTTTTCAGAGATAAGACAAGCACTTCCAACATATACTAGAAAGACCCACCACATACACAAAGATTACAGTCTCCTCCAGCAACTCACACCCGATGGCAGACGTATACGTACTCAGTCCGTCTCCCCTGCTGGTTCAGTCCGTCTCAGCGGCTCTACAAGCTCACTCCCTACAACACCACACCAGCATAAAACTGCTTATTCTGTGTTTCTTCAAGAAGTCAAACAGTGAACAGGATGCAGAGAGAGCCACGTTGGTTGTTTTGGACGACTTCCCCAACAGCAAAGATCCTTTGGACAGCCTCTGTGCTTCCGACAAGTCGTTGATACTCCGCTACTTCTTCTGCCACTTGAACCTCCTTGTGGTAGAGCAACACACGCTAGATAAGACGACGGTGGCTTCTTTGAGCCAGGCAATTGCCACTGTCAATGGCCTCGCGGCCCATAGAATCTCCAGAATTGAGCTCTGGACGGGAACGGCCCCGAGGTAATCAACGACACCTTCTCGAAAGAATACTCCACCATCGTGGCCGATGCTATGCCCACCATGAACTCTTTACTCAGCAAGAGTCTGGGCAAATCTAACTCAACGGAAAAACGTCTCCGCGAGCTTTTGGCTTTGATGAATAGCAGCATAAACACAATGGATTTGCTTTCCAACAGCGAACCAAAACATCTTGCCAAACTCGCTCATCTAGTCGGCCACTGGGCATTCCCCTCTCATGAGCTTCTGAGCGATGATTTGGCCTACTGTGCTTTTCTCATGCTCGAGTTTGCTCTCCGTTACATCAGGGAGCTTGCCATGTGGTCAACACTTCCTGTCCCTTCTTCAAACGAGCTCATGATGTTTGTGCTCATAGTCAGGGACAACTACCAGCACGGCAACCCATTCCACAACTTCCGACATGCCGTTGATGTGATGCAGGCCTGTTTCCACTATCTTATCCGCCTAGGCTGTTTACCGGAATTCTCCCAATTCCGCAAGAACCCCAAGGAGGACGAGCTTGCCACATTGAAAAATCCAGTAGGCAAAGAAGCATCTGTCCTACTAGACATGGTGTACCCTCTCGCCACGGTACGCCCGAAGGTGAAGCACTTGTGCCACACCTCAATCCTCTCCAATCCCTTGGCTTGCTTTTCGCTGCCATTGGCCATGACGTCGGCCATCCTGGTGTCACTAATGCATTTATGATCTCCCATGAAGCATCCGCTTCTCAAGTTTACAATGAAAGATCGGTGCTTGAGCTGTATCACAGCGCCGTTTTCATCAACAGAATTTTCCGCATCTGCCTCCCAAGGCTTCTCAATATTGTCACAGACTCTTCATCAAACTTGACACTCAAACATCTTATTATTGGCAGCATTCTTGCAACTGATATGGCTGAGCATTTCGAGTATGTCGACAAGTTGCAAAAGTTCAAGTTTTCAACCTCCGATCCGTTGGATGATAAAGTCAAGCTCATATCTTCACTCTTGATTAAATGTGCAGACATTTCGAACGTGACACGTCCCTTGCGTGTATCGTCACAGTGGGCCTTGGTTTTGTCAAGAGAGTTTGCTGAAATCGAGACTCTCGAAAAGAAGTTAGCCAACAAGGATGTTGATCTTGATGTCAGTTATGACAAGGTCCCGACCACCGTGGAAGATGTGTTGACGACAAATCCTACCATGCACAAAGGACAGCTTTTCTTCATCAAGACATTTGCTGAGGGCCTATTTAAAAGCATTCTGGAACTATTCCCAGAGTTGGAATTCACAAGCGACATAGCTATGGAGAACAAAGAATACTGGCTCGTAAGAGAGGCCAACCTAAATGGATAGTTGGGTATCCTTACCGGAAGGAACATTTTATAGATCAAACGAAGTATGGTTTCGTTTCAATAGATTTTGGGTCATGACATGGAGTAGATTGATATTTTAGTGGTTTATCGCAAACTGGTTTGACCAGTGTAATCCTGTTTAAACACTCTTGATCACACTGGGCACCTAAAGTGGATCATTATCAGACAATTAAGCCAATATTCGATTGGCCATTGATAAGGAGGACATCATATTACTTTTCTCAGAATCAAGAGTTATCTTTATTATCTTGAAGGCTAGATAGCCGTCAAGATTGCCGACGAACTTGACGATGATAGTCTCTTTCGGGTTCTTTTCGCAGCCATTCTTGGCAGCCGAGGAAAGACAGTCACAGACGACCTGCGCTTACCACTTCAATATGTTCTTCCTAGAAGATGCAAAAGAAAGCTTTGGTGAATGAAATATGCTTTGAAGCAAGCCTATTATTGATGCCCTTTTTCTTCCCCCTGTGGCTAAAACCACCTGAAATGGAGAAAGGCATAGGAGCCGAACAAACGTAGGAACGCCAGCACCTCTTGAGACGCAACTGTGGTAGCATAAACAAGACCATTTCTATAAACTAAAGAAGGTCTTCTCTTCTAAGTGAATGCCTTTTCGGAGTCTTCACACACCAGGGTGTTACAAGCCCTCGGTAGTCATACGGAGTGAATGATCGACCTATTTCTGCACCAAACTGCCCTCTCACTACATTACACTGACAAATACAAACCATTCGAACCCAAACTCTAAAACCGTTCATAGGTCCAGATAATTGTCTTTTTGTTCCAGCCCTCGATTCACCATAGCACCTATGCAGCCACCCAGATCGCCTACATACCCCACATATGGCTAAACGCAAAATCTGCCACAAATGCCTCTTAAAAAATCAAATGAACAGCTAAATCTAATCCTGTTTTCCATCTCTGACATAAAAACGGGATGGCCAGAATCACCGTCCGTTTGAGCCCGTGATCCCACCCACGTGATCCACATCGTCCCAGATTTTTCGCAACGCTTCATCGATGAGCTCTCCATAGGTCCTCCAACCCGGCCCTAATCGAAAACCGCCCCAGTTTTGACCATGGACAAGGAGCTCTTCTCGAAAAATCCCGAGTTCTTGTCGTCTTTTTCCGAAAGACCTATTGTTCTTTCCCCGCCGCCCGTCGACACTACAAACTCTCAGCACTCTAAGACAGAACGTCCTGATTCAAGCATGCTGCAACCGCCACTTCCAAAGGACTATTTTGCGCAGAGGCAGCAGCTGGTCGGCTACAATTTACAGCAGGAATTTGAAGCTTTGAAAGCCGATTTGGATTTGGACTTGAGCATGTCCAACAACGACGATGCTGGAAACCAGGGCAACACCTCAAGCAACGAAAGTGCCACACCTTCGCTTGGTGGCCATTTCTTGCTGCCCCAATTTTCCCACGGCTTGGGCCCTTCGTTGCTGGAAAATTTGCTGTCGTTGACACCACAGAAAACCTCCATGGCCCACTTGAGCAACAACATGGCCCCAGGCGCTGGCGCAGGCTCGCATCTTCTGGGACTTTTGGGCTCAAAACTGCTGTCTTTCTTGCCGCCATCGTTGCTGGTGCCGCTGAGGCCGCAGCTGGTGAATGACTTCTCTAATTTACTAGGCAGGGGTCAAAATGCCAGTCTGGGCTTATCCAGACTCCAAGCCTCTGGTCTGTCCTTCTATGACGACCTAGTGGGCTTCACGTCATGGATGGAGAATTTGGATCCACAGGACATTGTGGCGATGCTTGATCACTGGTGCAACAACTTGCCGTTTGACATTTTGCTCACCATGAAGTCTCGCCTCGAGGCCCATCTCAACCACTCCTCTGAGCAGGCGCTGGTGCCGCCAAAAATGAACTACGGCTACGAGGACTTGGTTTCAAGCATGGACAACGCCTCCTTGGGCGGAGGCTCCCAGTTGCAAAATGGACTTGTACAGCCCAAGCCCAAGAACAACGACTATAGATCGCATCTTTTCCAAGAGCTGAAGGTCCAGCGGCCTAAGCTGGCGGATCCAAGTCTCCACAACAGGCTTCAAGGCACTAGCGGGCAGCAACAGCCACAGCAGCAGCCTAATCCTTTGGAAAGAGCCCGCAGCCCTACTTCCCATTTGCATGAGAAAACCAACTTCTTGCAATTGGCTGCCGCCTCCAATCTGCCTCTTTCGTATGCCCAGCATGGTCCTTCGCCAGATGAAGGCTACGACCTCAACGCTGCCCTGAAGTTGGGTGCACTTGCCACTATTAATTCTCGTGTCGCTCTTGACTCCAACAGAAAGGGTCCAGCTTACCAGCACCAAACACTGCAACTGCAGCAGCCTTACTCGCATAATCCGCTCGCTTTTGAAGAACTGATCAACCGTCAGGCCAACTCTTCGCTGGTGCCAGTTCAGCCACAAAAATACTCCGTGGCGGCTTCGCAAGGGCCTTCGGCTGCAGCACTCAAAATGAAGAAAGACGATTCCTCGAGATCCAGAGCATCGACACCGGTGGGTGGCCAGAGCTCCAACGCTGGTCTGCTGCTGATGCCCACTGAGATAGCCACGCTCGATTTGCTCAATAACATCCCCGCTTGGTTGAAGCTTCTTCGTCTTCACAAGTACACTGACTGCTTGAAGGACATGTACTGGAAAGACCTTGTGGAACTCTCGGATGAGGAGTTAGAAAACAAGGGCGTTAAGGCGCTCGGGGCGAGAAGGAAATTGCTCAAGGCATTTGACGCCGTGAAACAGTCGAGATTGTAGACCTAGACGGTGCCTCGACATGTCTACGGTGGTATTTGACATACCGCATCTAAAAATGACGATCCATGATACACATATACAACTAGACAATGACACAACACGAGTTTGTCTTCTTGGCTTGCTTGTAGAACATTCTTGACGACGACGAAAGCGCTTCACTCTTGTCCACCAAAGTGTCTAACTTCTCTCCTCTCTGCAAAACAGACTCGATCGTCTTGTGCAAAACGATCTTGGTCTCGTCCAACTCCTGCTGAACCTTCATGATAGAGTCAGCCTGCGATGGGTCCTGGTACTTCTTGATGTAGGTGTCCAACTTGTCGAAAGCAAAAGCAGGGCTTGGCTCGGTGATTGTGCTCCATTCGTTGGCTGGATGCAACGAGAGGTACTCCTCCAAAATCTTGTTGATCAACGTGTAGGCAGGTCTAACAGGGTACTCCTTGTCGGTGATCACGACACACGATAAGCCCTCCAGCCTGGTATATGTGTGGCCAACGTAGTTGCCTTCTTCGATACTCTGTCTCTGACCAGCTTCGGTTCTTTGGGACACGGTCTCGGAGAAAAATGTCATGAACTGAGATACCGAGGATCTCTCAAAAAATGAAAACTGGCTGAGGTCTCTGGCCGCGGCAAGCTCCACCACGGAGTCCTTGACCTTCAAGATGCCAATGTAATAGATCTTCATGGTAGTGTGAGCGAAAGAAGCGGTGGATGTTGCTTTTATGCGACGAGCACTGGGCACGTGATGATAAGGCTGCTCCAGACCCCTACAAAGTGGCGTTTCCTAAGGTGGAAGGGCCTAAAATGGTAAATGGTGAATGGTCCAGATTTTATTATCTTTAGGAGTTTATTTGAAAGGTAGCACTTTGGACGTCTGGTGGTTCATTGTCCTGATTTGAGACTCGGTATGCATAGGCGTTTCCTCGGTGGGGATGAGACGTAGGGGAAGTCCGAGTGGATATACGTGATTCAGGTGTTCGAGGCACTTAGTTCAATTGGTCACATCCTGTAACGGCCCATTTTGTTTTCAAGTAACGGTTACTCGGTTTTCGAAAAAAATCTAAATGTTGAGGCTGTGGGCTGGTTCTTGTGGTTCGCAGCCATTGAAGCCGTGCATGAATATGTTGACGAGGTCTTTGTTAGGAGGAGGCACGAACAAAACGGGTATGTTAGCTAATACCTCTTCTTATTTTTTTTCAACGATGAAGCTTGGTTCCAAGCTAGTGCAAGAAATTGGCTTGCCTCCCACGGGAATCGACTGCCGATACCTGATTTTGCAACCATTCTTCCTATCCAGTTGGTGAACAATTATTTCCTCTAGATGACAGTTTTTCTCTTGTCTGGCTGACAGTATCTGGGCATATCTAGACGAAAATGAAAGATTCTGCGGAGTTCATATTTTTGAATGCATCACAATGTTACACATCTGGTTCGATTCTCACACACTTTATGAATTCAGTATCTGCCCGTGAGGAAATACAAGAACCATTATAAGCAAAATTCGTTTCAAAGCAAACATTATTGTAAAACATCAACTCTTGACTCTCATTTCAGTCTTCACCAAAGTCTCTTCTGTTTTCTCTTCTTTCTTCCTGCTACCGCTAGACAGCTTGCTACACCATCGTATACTCGCATACACACCTCATTTATCGATACCATTCCTTGAGCACCCACAGGTTATACTGCCTCCCCACAACAGCTAGAAATCAATCTGAGCATTCATGGATCCGCCTTTCCTCAAGGTTGTCCTTCTAGGCGACTCTGGTGTGGGAAAGACGTGTCTACGCTCTCAATTCGTTCACCATGTCTTTACCAATGCCTACAAAGCCACAATTGGAGGCGACTACTTGACCACCAGCGTCAGCATTCCCAAGCATAGCATAGGTAATGAAGCCTTTGTTGAAACAGAACAGGGCTCGACCTCCATGAAAGTGAATCTTCAAGTGTGGGACACTGCTGGCCAGGAACGTTTCAATTCGATCTCTCAGGCTTTCTATAGGGGCGCCGATGTCTGCATTCTTGTGTATGACGTGACCAACTACGAATCTGTGCTAAGTATACGAGACTGGTTCTCCAGATTTAAGGAACATTGCAAGGTGGACAAGCCAGGCGTGGTACTAGTTGGCAACAAGATAGACAGAGAGAACGACAGATGCATCGATAAGGATGAAATCCAGGAGGTTCTTTGCCGTAACAACCCGAAGGTGAATCTTGACGATTACATTGCTGATTGGGACACCGACTTGTTGGAAATTTCATGCAAACAGCTTCTGCTTGTGGAGCTGGTCTTCAAGCGTGCTGCCTCTATTGGGGTGCAGTTACCCAGCGGGAGAAGACAAAGCGTCACGGGCTTCGAGTCGATCGAATTGAACAAAATACGAAGAGGCTCCTGTGCTTGCTAATCAACCTGAACGATCAATACAAACCGTCCTTACAAACATAAACATTGATCTAAACTTGTGAGCTAATTTTTCTATTTACACGATATTTTTTAACTCAAAGCTTGGGTTGCTCTTCTCCCGAATTAGCGTCCTTTTTGGCTGTCACCTTCAAAGAAGAAACGTCAGATGCATTTGCGCCCTCAGCAGGGGCAGTGGAAGGCAACTCAGAGTGGGCATGAGAAGGACCCTCAGAAGGGATGCTTTCTGTTACAGGAGCAACCTCCTTTGCTTCACTGTTAGAAGAGGTGGCATCAGTAACAGTGGCAGTAACAGCGGCAGTACCCTCAGATGAAGCATCCGTCTCGACGCTTGGCACCTCATCATCCTCGTAAAGCTCCTCCTTGTAATGCTCAGGGTGCTGCTTGAAGCAAGTTCTCATGGCTTCAAACTTCTTGATGCAGTCGATGCCCTTTGGCTCGGTTTCCGAGTAGACGAAACATGCAAATGCCTCCTTGAACTCCTCGCCACATGGACCGTGAGCCATGCCTCCGAGACAAGGACAGTCCCAGTTAATTTCACCAGTCTCGGGGTTGAAGGCAGCCTGAGCTTCCTCTGGCTTCTCAGAGTCATCTTCGGGTTTCTTCTCATCTGGGGTAACAGCAGCCTTGATATCCTCCTTCACGGTTTCGGTTTGCTTGGAAGCATCCTCGACAAGCTCCTTGGTTTGCTCCTTGACCTGCTCCTTCACATCATTCAGAGCCTGGTTGATAGGGTACATGATGGCAACTGCCAAAAGCGAAACACTCAAGGCAGCTTTAGGAGCAAAACCGACCCTAGAGATAGGAGCGGCACGGCCGGAGGATGCGTACCTTCTTGAAAGGATAGCGCCTTGGCGCATAGAATGGAAAGCAGTTCTAAACATCGCTAATATGGTGCTTTATAGCAATTCAGAGAAGTGAATAGAAACTTGAGGTGAAAAAATCAGTACTGAATGCGAAACCCATATGCTAGCAACTCAAGCTGACTAAGCACGTGGAGTCCGAAGAGAAAACCCTTGATAATATGGGCTGGATGATACTCCATCGAGAAGCTGAAAATGTTTGCTTTTTACGTAAAGGCGAAGTTTGAGGAAGAGTTCCCAACAATGAGTGTGAGTGCACCTCAGGTGCACCCATCAGTAGATGACAGCATGAAGACTAGTACAAAATCGTGATATTTATTTCGTAATTCGTTTAGCTGAACTTCAATTTTCCTGGCATTATCACAACTGAAGCCACAACAGTCCGTATGAGTCATTCCTCTTCAAAGATGCAAGTCTGGAAATCCGTCCTCAGGAACTTCAACATGAGGAGTTGGAAGTCCCTCCTTCTATTTACACGACTGAGAACATGTCGTTCCCATTTGCATCCCTCGAGACAACGTGGATTAAGTCTCGTCTTAACTTCTTCAGGTCACTCAGTCCTTATCCTTACGGACGTCCTTGGACAAATCGCCAAGGTCAACCTCCTTCTCTCTGACAGGGGCAGACATAGAGCTGGCCCAAAAAAGCGAGCAGCATACCGTAATTATCGTAAGACCTCCCATCCAACGGACAACCTTTAATGTGTTTTGCGAAGCCTTAGTTTCTTCCCTGCCAATATCGTCAATGAACTTGGAAACCTTGTTCTTGGGTGGTTTGGCATAAAATCTGACGCCTAAGGGCACCACACGTGGAATTCTCCGAGATAACATTCTGGGAAAGATGTGTATCCTTCTTCGATCGTATGTTCTCCAGACATAAATCTGCGCACTGTGTGCACGATTTGCACCCAAACTGGGTTACTCCAACTTGATCAAATCGTTTACACTAGTAGGTTCGAACTTGGTCCCAAATTCAACCCAAAGTATATCGTCGTTGATGAAACACTTTCTCTCTTTCCCATTGAGTAGCGTCAATTGGTAGATTCTGTTCATAGTCGCATCTCTTTGATCGGTCGCGATGAAGCCAATGCCATGCTTGAAGCAGTAGTCGGCAACTACGTCACGGAAGACAGCCATAAGTTGTGACAGACGTAGTGCCCTGACGTCACTTTTACCTGTAGTACCATTGCCCTCAGCTAGTCTGATAATCATATCGATAGTTGGAAATGCATCATCATCTATACTGGGAAGACCTCCTAGAGCCAATCGGCCCGTCTTTGTGTATATGCTTATCTTTTCAAGGCAGGTATTGAAAAACCATAGCGTTATGTCATTAATTGGAAATTTGTCACTTAAGACCTGAAACATTGACTGCGTTTCGCAAAACCACGACGGGACCTGTTGCGGAGTTTTCTGCAACAACCTCGAGAGATACCTCAACGAAGGGTTGAGAATGCAAAATTGAAGAGTAATCTCCAACTGGCTTTGCAGAATTTCTTGCTCATCATAAGTGAGTTGCAAAAGAAGCCAAAAGACGTTGAAGTTAGGAGATTCAGCAGTTTGTCCACAATGTTGATAGACTAAACCGATGATGGCACGGATGAGTTCTTCACGGAATTGAGACCTCAGGGACCATAGGAAAAACACTTCGGCCCACGCGTTGTGATGCAAAAGGATTCTTTTCAAGCTTGATTGATAGAGTGCTTTGATATCCTTCGCAGTGAGCACCAGATTCCAAAGTTCACTATTTGGCTGAACTAGACTAGTGAATCTAGCTTCAAGCTGCTGAAAGGTTGTAGATAGAATGTCGGTATCAAGACCGACAGAAATAGCAAGATTTAGTATGTGTAATTTGGAATCTTCACTTTCCACTATGTTCCAATTGTCAAGTTCTCGCTCAATAAATGGCTGGAGCAGTTGGTCGAACAAGCTTCTCTTGAAAAGGGCGCTGTCAGAGATGGCAGGCAGATCGTTCCACGAGACAACTAGATCTTGAATAGCGTCAAAATCTGCTGTATCGAGAAGAGGCTCGATATATGATTTGAGCTTGGATAGTAGAAGAGAATCCCACTCACCTAGGTGTATGGACAGGTGAACCTCAATTTCTCGAACCAACGAACACCACAACGCAAGATCCTCGTCGCGAGGATCCAACTTCAATGGTATATGTTCCGAAAGGATGATAATTAGAAGATGCGGCAGTACAATTTCTGGTCGGTTTCTCATCCTGGTGATCTTTTCGACACACTGTGTAGCGGCCTCTTTGGTCTGCTGCTGATTATAGTCATCGAGAATAGATTGTAGATCTTGCAGACTTTCAATAAGTGATAGTCCTTCGGCAATTTCTATTTCAAATGCTTTAGCCTCTTCAGACTCCAACCTCATATTTGTATCAAGTGCGGTCATGTCAGACTCTAGCTTAGAGAGGTCGTCCCAGCCTCTTTGTATCTTGGCAGCATTTTCGTCCTTAACACGGCCTTCATCCGTCAAATCTAAGCGTAGCATCTCTTCAAACTGAGAATGCAACTTGACTCCTCTAGTCTTCAATCTCTGTACTATGCTTGAGTATCTGCGCCGTAGCGCTTCTAACTCCTGATCTTTATCATCCACCTTGGAAGAGACTTCTCTAATTATCTTGGCTGCTTCATTGCCCGTCTTCTCGTGCACTCCGCCAACACCTAATCCCTTAGGTCGTAGCTTTGTCTCTATGGGGTTCACTATTCCCTCCTGGTTTGCACCCAATCCCTGGCCTTGCTTGTATCCCATTTTCATGAGAAGCTTAGCACCAATGCCGTATTGGCTAACATGAGAGCCTGACGGTTGGGGTGGTTCCAGAATCGCCGGTGTTTCCAGTATTGGCTCATCTTCGGAGTCCTCTAGATCTGAGTACTCATCTCGAACAGCCATGGACATTGAAGGCCCACTTAAGGAGGCATTGCTAGAACTCTGTTGAGATGAGCCTCCTGAAGCCTTCGTAAACAGGAGGCCGAAGTTTTTCGACATTCGATTTGTCGTTGTATTCTAGTGTTATGGTTACTTCTGTTGATATGGCTGCAGGTGAGTGAGACTTCTATTAGATGCAAGATTTTGCAGCCAGGCGCATCTTGATACTACTGTTTTCAAATAGATATTAGAAATAAATATATATTACGAATGCATTTTTCAGTCTTCATTTGAGCCATTTTTTGTCGGACTGGTGCCTCGGCTTTGATGCCTTTTGAGAAGCAGAAGAAGTCTCGCCTCATCCTCCTCAGCGGTACCAGCCTGAAGCATCTCCAAACCTTCTGTGGTCACCTGTACCACGCACGGTTGGCTCTGGAATCCAGGAAGTATGAGCTCTTTGGGGATGAAGTCACCGTAGCGAGATAACCATTGCGCTCGCCTTGCTCGTTCATCCTCTTCAAGCTCTAAAAGTGGACCATGCAAAAAGTCATCAAGCATTCTAACATACTTCCTTGGATAGACGTATTGCTCATAATGAAGCTCTGTGATGTAATGCTGCTTGAAAATTGCAAGAAATTGCGTATAGTGGTGAAGAAGCTGGTTTACCACATCCGTATAAAGCCCTATAGCCAGCTTCGTAGGTGGCTCGGCGGTTTCAATCAGGCACAGCCTGAGCACTTCTTCCACCTTAAGTATGAGCAAAACGAACTTTGTTATTTTTTCATTCTTGAACGCGGTGTTCGTTTCTGTGTGGGCTGTAGATTGCTCGACAAAGCTCTCTATCATTGGAAGCTTCAGCTCCACGAACTTTGCGGCCCTAGTCTCGTTATTCATAATTATGTCATGGATTGCAGCAAACTCTCGAAGTACGTGCGGAAGCTCGGCGGTATCAGCTTGAAGAACCTCATAATTGACTCCACTACTCTCTGCATTGGACTTCAAAAGGTCTACTGCAATCGAGCACTGGTCGTAGTGATTGGTGAGCATTTCCAACAATGATACAAGCTCCTGCTCTAGCGAGCCATTTTCTCGTAAAATGGCCCGAACTATGTTGCTTTGTTCCTTCGGAGGGGATTGAGTCATGGCTGCGAAACGAAGAAGCGTCGCTGTTTCAGCGACCGAAGACTTGTACATTTTGTTTAAGCTCAAGTACTTCTTTGAGTTTCGGTGATACTCCTTTAGTAGGACCTCAAGCTGCTGAGCTAGTAGATCACATGTCTTTGCAGAATTGGCTAAGTAGATATGGATGTTCTCCTTGAGTAGATTAATTTCCTCGTCAGCGATGAAGTCACCCAAATTCTTATAGCTGGCTTTATCGTCAACCTCGTCGCTTAAAAGTGCCTCGGGAACAGGGGTTGCACGCAATTGATTGAGCACCTGGTCGAGTCTCTCCATCACTGGCTTTAGCTGACTCTCGGCAGCAGTTCTATGGGACCCAATGATTCCGTCATTCACCTGAACGCGTATGTGTTCCATCAAGGCGGATATGTTGGCATGCTGATCCATTATTAGGCCCAGGTTCTCGGATGCAACCTGAACTCTCTTTGGTAATTGATCTCTAAGGATGTGAGCTGTGGACTCAAGAACCGCCTGTGCCGAAGAAGAGAGTTCACGGGCTTTCTCTAGTGTTCTGAACGCCTCCTGAGCCCATTGCTGGACGTCGGAGATTGAAAATGACATATTCAGGGAGAGCCTTTCTTTAGGTAAGTGTGATGATCACGACTTGATGAACAGACAGTCTCCACGACGTCAATCTGGAAAGCGAGATTTTATCAGGATTTCTGAAAGCTCGAATTTGATGGTTTATCGACGGGTTTCTAGCCTGAGTGGGTATGTTGATTGTAGGTGTGAGTAGTACTAGCAGTGCGGATGCGAAAATATCAACGTTATCGTCAGTACTACTACTCATGGACCCCATCAGGCAGTTGAGAAAAGCCACAACGGGCAAAAAGCCTATTGAGCTTTTCAAGGATGGCGATGCTACCGACAATATCAAGGACGCTACGCATGCCTCCTTTGGTAGCGACGACAAATATGCCTTGGACGACCTCACAAACTTCTACAACGAAGACCAACGTCAGCTGCTCAGGGCTGTCATCTTCTGTTGGATGCACGACAAGTCCTCGATTGTGGACTACAAAAATGCTTGTTTAGAGAATGGCATACCCGACTTCAAGTTCTTGGTGAAGGCTGAATTGACAACCTGGTTGAGTGGAAGCTCTGATTCTTGTCAGTTTGTGAAAGAGGACGAGGCTACAGGAGATGCTGGCGATGCCGCAGACGAAAATGAAAAGAAGAGAAAGTTGGAGGACCCTCAGATGGCCCGCATAGAAAAGTACCAGGAAGACTCTGTGGACCATAACTCGGCCTTGAGAGGTTCGAAAAATATCGTCTTCAAGACCCTCATATCCGATGCAAAGAGATTTTCGTCGCAATTAAAGAGAAGCAAGTCTTCTAGACCCTCCAGCTCTAACGGAACGGGCACTGCTGCTAGCAAAAAGCTGCCCATCATCATCATTTCCCCAGCCACCACAGCATTACTTTCTTTGGCCAACATCAAAGAGTTTTTGGAGGAGAGCCGATTCGTGGAGCCCAATGTCAGTACCATGAAGAGACCAGAGACAGGCGTGGTGACCATCAACCACGTCTCCGACAAACTAGCTCCTTCCGCACACTCCATCATGGTTGTGGATAATGTCGACATGTTCACTAAACCAGAATACTGGGACAGAGTGGTGGCCATCATTACGACAGGACAAGCCTGGCAGTTCGCTAAATACAAGTATTCGAAGCCTGAGGTTTTGTTTCAAAAATATCCCGGTTTTTTCATCGCTTATCAGAATGATGTGGTACCAAAGCAGATCAAGGACTGGAACGTGAATGTCGTGAGAATCGATCGTGGCGAAAAAAGATTCAGAGATAAAATGATCATCAGAGACTTGTGGATCCATTTGGAAAAGATCCTTGTGGGTAGAGGGTACGGGGCTCAGGAGTGAAGGCCGTAACGTGTAGACTATGTACAAATAAAAATTACTGGAAGCTTCTTTCAAGGCTGACGAAAAGATCACCAATCTCTTTTGGTGTCATGTTCTTCACCTTTCTGTTCTCCCTGGTTCTAACTGCCACGGTCCCTTGCTCTATGTCTCTGTCACCAAGCATCAAGATATAGGAATACTTCTTTTGGACGGCGTCTCTAATTCTATTGCCGACACTCTCGTCCCTCGAATCAATATCGACGTAGAAGTTGAATCCGGTGATTGGTGCCACAGAGTCACTGTAAGCTATGTCACCAGAAATCTGTTTTTGAAGGGTCTTGGCTGCCTCGACATGTTTCTCAGAAACTGGTACGATCACAGCCTGTCTTGGATTGAGCCAAAATGGCCATGCACCTTGGTAATGGTCTAGCAAGATTGCGAAGAAACGCTCCAAGGAACCAAAGACTGCTCTGTGAATCATAATCGGTTGCACCTTGGAGCCAGATTGAGCAGTATATTGTAGCTCGAAACGAGAGGGGAGCTGAAAATCAAGTTGGATTGTACCCACCTGATGTTTTTTGCCAAAGGCGTCTGTGAGCAAAATGTCGATCTTGGGACCATAGAATGCTCCATCTCCTTCACGTATGTTCCAACCATCCTTTCCAGCTGTAGCGTCCAACACTTCTCTTAACTGGCTCTCGGCCTCATCCCACGCACCTATCTCGCCCATGAACTTCTCTGGTCTTGTGCTCAAGTAAAACTCAACGTCTTTGGTTGAGTCAATGCCGAAAACACTGTAAGTGTCCTTGATAAGGTTGATGGTGTTGGTTATTTCTTCATTGATCTGGTGCAAAGCGCAGAAAATGTGACCATCATCCTGGTGGAACCTTCTGACTCTTGTCAACCCAGAAAGAGCCCCACTCGCTTCATTTCTATGCAACGACAGAAAGTCGGAGTATCTCACAGGAAGCTCACTGTAAGACTTGTCAAACTTCGAGAAAATAATGCAGTGGCCTGGACAGTTCATTGGCTTGAGGCCGTATTCATGTTGATCCTCATGTTCACATGCATCTCCTTCCTCCTTAGAGAGATCATTACCCACTACCTTGAACATATCCTCTTTGTAGTTGTCCCAATGGCCTGACTGTTTCCAAAGTTCGTTCTTGTAGATCAACGGGAGATAACTTCTTGAAAGCCATACTTTGTCTGTTGATTCTTCATGAAACCAACGAGCTTGTTGAAGATTCTTGTGCCATGAGGCAAGAAGAATATCAGTCCTGGTGTGAGGCGGTCGGTGGTATATAGGAGTTGTTTGTTGGAGATGGCATGATTCGCCTGTGTGGACGAAGCGGGCTCTGTGGTGTTACACAAAAGAGCTGTTTTTGAAAAGCTCCTTATGCTTTTCTGCGCCACCCTGCGTCCCACCAACATGGTCAGTGTAGATGGTAGTTGATTTTGGTGTGTATGTAGCGGTTCGGTACGTTTAGAGATGCCCAGATATCAACAGATACATACAGTGTAAATGAATTTTCAAATTTTCTTAAATTTTCTTTGTACTCTTACTTTGATGCTATTTGTTAATTTTCGGCTTAATAGTGTGCTATAATACTGTCTGCCTCTGATACTGAACCAGATTTACAACAATCCGCGGCCTTGAGATAACGGTCCAAGCTACTCGCCAAATTGACCATCTCCTCGAATTAGATACTCTGTTTAAAAGCGCCTGTATTGCTTTGTCGCCAAGAAAGAGAATGTAAATTCGACCGCCTCATGTTTTCACGTCAGAAACCTCAACTTTCCATTCCATGCATGTCTCATCACCTGTCTCTACCTCGTCTTCCTTAAAACGTCGGTACCTTCCTATATTTCCTATGTTACATGTTTATGCTGTAATTGCCGTAGCCTCTGAGGGAGTCTCCAGACCTACCTCTTCCTGTTTGGGTAAGCTGTCCTGGGGTGTCTCTTCCTTAGGAGGATCGTGCTTCTCTCTTTCACTCTTGTGTCTCCATGTTTTGAGCTTAACTTTGAAGCCACTGAACGTTTTGAACTGTCTGGATCCACGAACCCACTTCTTGGCCGGTCTGCCCGACTTATCAAGAGCGAAGTTGGCGTTGACGCTGTGTACGGTTAATCCTGCCGTAGACAACTCCTTCATGCCCGAGTTTACCTTTGAGTTGTCATCATGGGGACCGGGCAGCAGGGTTTTATCGTTTTTCTCATTCTTCTTGTCCTCGGCAATCTTCTTGACTCGTTTTGCCTTGGGTGTAGCGAAAACCGGAAGTGTCTTAAGGAACTCAGGCGAAACCTTCAACTTTACAAGTTGTCTCTTCGGTGGCATTTTAGTGTGCTAAATTCCTTATGTTGAAACTTCGAGGTAGTAGCTGAATGTTCACTTTCGAAATGCAAGTAAGTAAGTGTTAAGAGAGTTTGATCAACGACGGGTGCGAATTGTAGTGCACCAGTGGATGCAAATCTAGAGTTAACTCTTTGGTGATTTGAAGGATGATTGAGACCATAAAATGGAATAATCTGATATAATGCTTAAATTTCTTGCAAATTGTGCTTTCCTTGATGTTTTGTCTCCCAAAAATTACTATATACAATCGTACGACTTGAAACATGTCCAGGCTTTCCAGGGTGAGGCTTCATGCACTTCGCGGTAATCGCTCCACACTTATCGTAATAAACTAACTCGTCCTCATGGAACTCACCAGAAGACGGTCCCGCTTAGGCGATCTCGCCGATAATCTCAAGCTTGATGTCAGAGCTCATCAGCGAACCTATGAGGGTGCCTACACTCGTACGGCTATTTCATGTCTATCATTTTCCATTGTCATGATTAAACTCTTTTCGTCAGAGTTTCTTCCAATAGGCACCGTTTACACTGTGTACGGTTGCTTGCTATACTTCATTGGCGTGGTTAAGGCATCCACTGTGGACACTTATTATAACCCGGAGAAGGATATGGAGGAGTTCAAGACCGCAGGCGATCTGGTTCTCCTTCTCACAGGCATCAGTCTTGCCTCATATGTGGCCATGCTAGTTTTGGTGTTGCGACTCTAGGTGACAGCTCCAAGACCAAAGACAATGAACTGTACTAGCAATTGCATTGTCCAGAAAGCTACCTTACGCATACGGACCAATCTGGCCTCGTCATCCGCAACGTAGTTGGCAAAACCATCGTATACTTCCTCGGAGATGTCGTCCATCAAAAGCGAGTCATAGACAGTCCAGGATCCGCTGAAATCTTCAATGTTCTTGACAATCCGGGACTTCACCTCGATAAAGGCATTTCTCAGATTGATGTATGCCACAATAGGCCTGATAAGTGCATAGTTGACATAACTCAATTCAGGGGCCTTGAACGGTACCAGAGCTCGAACATTATTAAGGCGCATTGTCAAGTCAAGCACAAAGTATTTCGAGATATCGTCTGATCCAGTGGTACTGCCGTTGGTGAGTCGGAGGATATGATCTTCTCTATCCTGGATCTCAGGATTGATGTAGCGAGTTGCTTCCTTATTAATCGACTGAGTAATGATGCTGACAATTTCCAGGACATGGAAATCCTTGTTTTGTTCTGGCACCATGACATCTCCAATCATGTCCACCTTACCGGATGTGATCCAGCCGAAGGGCCCCTCCAAACCAGTATTTAGATGATCGATATTTAGCGAATCAACGCGGAGTCTGGTGACACGTTTCCAGGGCAATTGTGCCACACTCTTATTAGAGCCATCATCGTCAAAGTCATCGAGTCTTTGTCTTTTGTGGATTGTAAAGAGCGAGTTGTCATAGGATCCGCTCATAATGTTGGCGTTGAGAAAGTCATAGAAAAGCCAGTGTTTTCGTAGCTTGGCCAACTCGCAGTTGTATATGGCGACACTGAATGCACGGAAATTAGCAGGTTGAAGAAGCGTGAACAACACATCCTCCATTCTGAAATCATTAAATTCGAAGTCACCGAACTGGTGAACATTCTTATAGTTTCTAGCATCATCATTAGGGTCCCAGTGGACATGTGTTCTATCCACCACACCTCGCATGCCTTTGACCTCTAACGTATCCACAATGCCCGTTCCGTTAACCCATTTTCGGAACGATAGCGACATATTCACCTCTTCAATAGTCAAGTCAAACTGAGTGTAGTTTCCATCATCCACTGGTTCGCCCTCAAAGTCCAGAGAATCTAAACTCTTTGCATAGGCTTCAGCTTGACTACCCTTGGAGAACTGGCGAATCGCCTTGGGCCTTCTGCTGACAAAGCATTTTTTAAAGGATATTTTACCGTCAGACCATCCGGGCACAATAGCGTGTTCGAAAGTGACGGTCAATTTGGAGTTTTTGGTGATGAACTCACCCACCTTGCGAGCAACAAGCTCCTGAGCAAACACCGTATTGATTGTAAAAATGACCAACAGCACAAACGTTGTGGTTCCTAGAATTAAGACGAGGGCGTTGCCCATGACGAGCCAGGAGAAAAATGCAGAATAGTCGTCGGTGTTGAACGGTCTATTGGAACGTTTGAGGAGCCACCGTAGGCGGATCCACAACCTGGGCAAGAAGCCTCTGGTTGATGCAAGAAGCTGTTCTTTTGTGACTGGAAGGCGGGCCTTGGGCAGGCTTTGCAAATTTTCCTTCTTCTTTAGCTCATTGAGGTCTATCTTGGTTTCTTCAGCCGAGTCGGGATCCTCACGATGAGACTGATTCTGGTTCGAGTATTGTCGGATCAACGGAACGGCGGGCCGTAACATAGAAATAGGTCGCCATGGAAGCCGCCGTACTGCCGGTCGGGCGCTGGCAAGACCTCTGTGTGTCAATTGCCGAAAGCAGAACATGGCCTGGAGATCTGTAGATGAGATGTGCGCAGGATTATCAAGACCGGGGTAGTCGAGGAGGAGGACTGCAAAGTGAATTGCGGTCCAAGAGTGGGGTTGAAGGAAGTTTTATTTGAAGGAAAAGGGTTTGACAGGATGAGATCTGTGGCGTAAGGCTCGGACTTTCTCGCAGAGCGTGGGCCCATTGTAACGTCGCAGAGGAGGGATACGAGAAGGATGGATGGAGAGCAGAGAGAAAGGGATAGAAAAGTGTGGTGAAGTTGAAGGGTTGGTTATGATGGAACTGGCTGGTTTTTTCGTTTAGCAATTGAAGGTGTTTGCAATTATACTATTCGGGTGGAGTCATTGGCTGCGAAGAGCACTGGACTACATCGCATCGGTTTTAGTATGCACCAGAGCCTCGAAAAGGCAAAGCAAGGAAAACTGAACTGGATGGGAGGTACTGAGCGTTTCGGCTCGAGCATGTTTTCAACTTCAATTGCGAGGTTTAGGAGTCGTCAATCGGAGGAAACATAGACATCTAATGCACTTTTCGCAATGTCTTGTAGTTCATGCTCCTGCGGGACTAATCCCAAGACACATTTCGCAGCCATCTGAGCAGCTGCTACACCTACCACACTTTGCAATTTGTCACACCAGGCTAACATCGTAGTTTTTTCCCAGTAACGTGGTCAAATTACAGAAAGCTGCATCACTCCGCAATTGGCCTCAATTGACTCGTGGGTAGCCATCCCCCGTACCACCCGCCTACGTCACTACCCGCACAAGATTCCAGTGGACCCTTTGGCACCTGGACCCCTAGTACCTGGACTGCCAGCACCAGAGCATTGATACCATGAACCCAAAGATCCCAGTCCACACCATCCACAACTCTCCACTCCTTCTTACCTCAGATTTCCTCTCCTTTTCCAGCCCAGTCCCTGCATGCTCCGGTAGCACCGGGTTCCCTCTTTTGTGCCCCTACTCCACTTATGGCCCGCGCTCCGATAAGACTCACCCTCTATCAGCAAACCACTTTTCTTTATGCCCAAGTTCGGCCACAGCTTCCGGAAGAAACACTTCTCCCAGGTTCCTGACCACGTCGTGCCTGTAAACAATGGCTCCTACGGTCTTCCTCCAGAAGAGGTTATCAGAGAGTACCATTCTGCCTTCAACAAAGACGTGGCATACCCGGACGAGTTTATTCGCTTGCGCCAGCAGGAACAGTACCGGCGTGCGGTTCGCAGTGTGGCACCGATTGTTAAGTGCGAACCGGAGAACTTGGCGCTAGTGGAGAACGCAACCACTGCAGTAAACACCGTTCTCCAGCTGGTAGATTTGAAAAAGGGAGATGTTGTGGTGATGCCCACGTCGACGTACGGGGCGTGTGCCAATACCGTGCGGTATTTGCACGACTACAGAGGAATTGAGTTTGTGTGGGTGGAGATTGCCTACCCTGTGCTGGACGCACAAGTGGTTGCAAAATTTCGCGCAGCGTTTGAGGAGCACAGGCCCAAGTTGGCGCTTTTTGATGCCGTGGTGCTGATGCCCGGTGTAAAGGTTCCGTGGGAAAGCCTCGTGGATTTGTGTAGAGAATTTGGCGTTATTTCTTTGGTGGACGGCGCCCATGCCATTGGCCTTATTCCGCTAGAACTCGATGCTGTTGCACCAGACTTCTTCTGCTCCAACCTCCACAAATGGTTCCATGTGCCTCGAGGATGTGCCCTTTTGTACGTTCACCCACGCTTCCATCGGACCATCCAATCGCTCCCCGTGAGTCATAATTACGTTTCGCCAGATGCAGAGCTCACCAAGGAAGAAGAGGCGGATTTGCTTTTCCATAAGTTCGCCTTTAATGGCCTGCGCACTTTTGCAGCCATTGCAACGGTGCCCAAAGCGATAGAATTTAGAAACGAAAAGGGCGGGGGAGAGGAGAGTATTCGGAAGTACTGCTATGAGTTGGCTGGGAAAGCAGCTCAGATTGTGTTGAAGCAGTGGCCCGAAGCAAAGATCGTCGAGAACAAGGAAAAGACCCTCTCCAACGCAATGGTCTCGTTTTTCTTGCCTATAGAAGAGTACTCGAAGGACTTCGATGCAAATGACTCAGCAGCGTTGGCAAAGTTAATAGAATTCGTTTCCGAATGGCAATTGACCCGCAGACACACTTTCGTGCCCATCAATGGCCATGCTGGGAAAGTGCTTGGTCGTCTTTCCGCCCAGCTATACAACGAGCCTGGCGATTACGTTTACGCCTGCAAGGCACTAGATGCCGCCCTTAAAGCGTACTTCCAAGACAATCTGAAGCTTTAGAGCTGTGTCGCTTGGAATTCAGCATAATTTAGAAAACAGTTAGACAAGCCCAGTAGAGTCGGAATCATTGAACTTATACATGACACAAAATCTTCCAGGAAGCACCTTCCTATCATTCCCAATCAAGTGCTACCCTCGGCAGAATTAATTTTGAATTGCTGTAGCTATCCGACCACAAAGCCATCTACAGCCCCCTTGCAGCCTAGATTCCCGATACCACTTTCGTCGAAGCGTCATTCCACGACACACTCAGAACCACCGTTTAGGTGCCTTGTCCCCGTAAGTGCATGTTGAGATCGCCTCATGCCTACCTAAATTTTGACCTCAAACGAATCCTGCAATATCATACGAGTCGGTCAAAATGCCTTTCGGCCCGTTGCACCACCCTCCCTCGTTACTGCAATCAATCATTCCCGGCAACATAACTCTCCACGCATGATTCCAAAAATGCATCACCATCCCAGCATTGATAACAGCAACTGCCGCCTCTACGTAGGCGAACGTTATCAGGTGCATAAGGCCAGCAGCCAAGTTCGATCCAGGCGGTGATCCGCAGATTCATTCTCAGAGCATTCTTCAAACTTTCAACAATGGAAAGGGCCCGAGATTCTACTTGTCAAGTCAAAACAACGTACTTTTATAGAAATGCCAAACATATTACGCGAAAAGCTGTTTAAAAAAATTGCTCTTTCAAACCAAACCATAATCAGCCTCCTCCTGCCTTGCTACGCAAATGCCTGTCGTCACCTCCTGGCGCGTACTGTTTGCTCGCCATTTAGACGTGAGGCAGCTACCAGCAGACCTGACGAGAAATTAAAAGGCTTTGAGGCCGGCTTTTTTCAGTAGACAATGGACGTTGAGATTGCTAAGAAATACCGGGAATTCACAAGGGGCATTCTGGTTACCAAAACAATCCGAGGCTTCGTGGCGGAAAAACACGGTGGGTTTGGCTGCAAACGCGGCGCTGCAGGAGCGACATTTGACAGCTAATTTATTTTTGTATCTGGCTGCGAATCCTGCGAATCGCAATGTGGCTATCCCACAACATCTAGACCCGCAACGCGTAGCAATGGTGGGCTTATGTGTTTTTCCGGACTCTTTCAGCAGATCGCTGGCGTGGAGGATCCGATCGGCATGCACGAGAAAAACTGTTTATTGCGATTCGATATATTTAGTAGCCACACTGGTTCTTGTACTGTCTGTCGTCGAAAGGTTGAGGGAAAACACCAATCTTGATCAACTCGGACATGTCCCAGTCCACAGCGTCTTCACACTTCCAGTTCCAGAAGAACCAGCCGCTGGCGGTCGAGTAGGCGTCGAGCTGAGCCTCGAGGTACTTGCGCACATTCTTCTTGTGCTCGTCAGTCCACTCATCAGCGTTCGTGTATGGGGCGCAGGAGCCGTAGTTTGGCGAGCCGTCGAAGTCACCAGACCAACGGGCACCACGGCCCACACCGTTCAACCAGAACGCACAGTCAGTAAGAGCAGCAGACCACTCACCAACAACGTTCCATTGGTACTCGTTCTTGTGTTGAGTACCCCACTTGCAAGCAGTCTTGATGTGGTCGTCAATGCTCATGCCGAGCTCATCACCAGAGAACACCTGGTAGTGGTGGTGGTCCAAGACAACCTTCCAGTAGCCGTCCTTGTTGTTCATGAACGAGTCCCAGTAGCCCTCGGTCTGCTCGAACGCGTCGTGGATGATGGCATTGTTGTACGAGACCGATCTCATGTTGCCGTAGGCCCAACGGTAGAAGTTCTTAAGCTGGTTCACGTCAGAGGCTGGGCCGAGAGGCTCGTTCAAGAACTGAATGCCGCTCACAACGTCCTCGTACTCAGCGACACCGTACTTGTCAAAGATCTTCTGCAAGACGGTGAGGGTAAGAGAAAGGTTCTCGTCTGTCTGGTACTCGACCTGGTCTCTCAAACCAGAGTTGTCAAAACCGTTCTGGGAGCCTGGAGCACCGTGCAAGTCGATCCAGACAGCGAGGCCGTGCTTGCGGGCCCAGCAAATAGCTCTCTCCAAGTACTTGTCCTGACCCAGCACATAAGGGTCATTGTCTAAAGAGCCGTAAGCCCAGTAGCCAATTGGGATTCTGACGGTGTTGATGCCGGCCTTGGCCATGGCTTTGAAGTCCAGCTCCTGGTACCAAGTGTCCCAGTGCTTCTTCAATCTCTTGAGGGCCTCGTCCTTGCCGAGTTGCTTTGTGTAGTGGTACTCATCCACAGGAGGGTTATCGCCGAATTCTTTGAAGAGGGACGGCGTGATGTAAGGCTCTAACACGAACCAGCCGCCCAAGTTGACACCCTCAACTCTTTTGTTCTGGTAGTCCCAGTCAGAGGCCTTGTTGGATCTCTTTGCGGTGGAAGCAGCCAAGGCCGAGGTAGCCAAGGTCCAAAGGGATAAAAGCTTCATGATTAAGAAAGGGGAAAGGTGATTAACGAAGAAAAAAAATCAGGCCTTAATTGAAAGCTCTAGCGAAAGACGACGTGAAGTTGGAAAAAAATGTACAGGATGTTGAACACAAACATGGGGCGGGTGAGGTGCCTTATATACTGCCAGGAGGTGTGGTACAAGGCTGGGGCAGGGAAACAAGGCAGGAGGCGTTGGCGATACACACAAGGCATGTAGACGTGGAGGGACGCATCAGGCGCATATACAATGCCGCGGCTCCTGCAGGCTGCACAGAAGGCTGCACATGCCGACGTCACAGGCAGTCCTCAGGGCCAGGAGGCGCCAGTCCCACCACGCTGGTTAAGCCTGGCGAAGCCAGCGCAAACAAAGATGAAGTGAGGGAAAAAGAGGTAGGTGGGGTAGGCCGAACGACCTAAATAGAAGGTGCATTTTTGGCTTTCCTAAAATAAGATAAGAAAAATCAGTGGGTTTTCCCCCGTTGCGACCAAATTTAGCACACCCCCTTGCGGAATAACCCATCTTATTTTCTACCATCCTGTTTTCCCGGCACGGTCTGCTCCGGCGCTAATCCACAAGCGCTCGCACTGAGGTAACATTCCAGCCACTGAGCTCCAAACAGGCTTGCCTCCAATCGACCTTTGGCATCCGGAAATGTGAAACGCCATGCTGTTTTCGGGTTCGCGGGTCTACAAAATCGGGCAATTAGCTTGGGGGATTAGTTTCAGCATTGCTTCAGCATTGTTTCACCATTGTTTCAGCATTGCCAGGGCTTCCAAATTTGAATTGATGTTGGCGAAGAATCTGGATCGCAGCCTTGGCGCTTTGGAAGCAGCAATTGTGAACCCGGCGCTGGAGCCAATGTCACCAGGGTGAATCTCACAATGCGCCTTGGCAGGGCTTAACACAGTTGGTTGCTGTGAAACTCGCACTCGATCCGGGGAACTGGGAGGCACGCCGAGTCGGTCCGGTTGCGTTGAAACAGTCGTGGGGTCCTGCGCAGCAGGAATGGTGCCGTCTAGGGCCAATGATCGTGTGCACTGCCAGGCCTGGTTAGTATAGCCCCACATTGGGGGCGGCGCCATACAAAAGCCACCGTGCAATTGCTTCCAAAATACAAAACTTACCGTGCAGCTGGGTGACCGTCCATGGAGATTCGTGCTGGTGGCTGCAAAGTCGCTGTGATTCCCGCCGGTGTACTAGCTTCTCGCGCTCACCGTGGAGGCCTGACGTAGTGGCCTACTGACCCAGCGCATTGTTTTGTTCGGCACGGCTCTACTCCACCGCCATTGATTACCTGAACAGGCGATTCTCTTGTTGAAAGGTGGGCACTGTTGACCAAAAACTCCCCTTTCGGACCCCAAAAAGTCTCCAGATGTCGTTGTCGTGCTCGCCGTCTGTTTATTTGTTTGGTGGCTGCAATTCACGTCGCGCCAGAATCCCCCAGCAGGGTCCTTCTGGAAAGCCAGTTCGCAGCTTCCCGCAGCAGCCAGCCGCTTACCGCTCCATGGCCTCAAACCTTAACCTTACGGTTTGCAGCCTCCAGCATCTAGATTCGTTAAGCTGCTGCGTGTGTTTATGTCCGGAGTCAACTCCACGTGTACATTCGCTTAATCCGATTTGCGCTTGCACACCTTAAAGCCAATTGGAGCCGTTACCGCTGCAGCGATGAATGAGTGTTTTTTTTTTTTTTTTTTTTTTTTTTTTTTTTTTTTTTTTTTTTTTTCCAATGTGATCAGCACTGACAGCTGCGTGAACAATACTGTCCCCCCGTGTCTCTGGCGCTTTCTGCTGGCCTTATTTGCTGTTGAGCCTCTTTGGTGTCTGCTAGCCTCGCCATAATAAGGTTTGGTCGGCGCTGGCTAAACCTAGTTTTGCGTCGCACCTGGCATGCAACAATAGGTGGTTTTGGTTAGTACATGCGGACTGGTCGGGGAGGTGTATCGAGATCTTCTTCGGTGATCGGGTATCGTGTTGATCGGCCAAAAGTGATGCCATGTCTTCGGCTGTAGTGCCATGTCACGAACAGTCGTGAATCAACGGCGATCGACGATAGGTCTAGATGTCTTTTGTTTGTTTGGTGGCTGCAACCGCGTATCCTCGTCTACGGCGTATCTGATGGATCGAACATCTCGTTTGGCTTTTTATTGAAGGCTTTGTGGATATTTCTGGCAACTGATGAACATCTACGGTCGACCGGTCCAGCCCCTTGTGTCTTGTGTAACTGAGGTCCCGTCCGTGGGTACCTAATGCCATTTTGCAGCCATTGGTGCGCACCAGGACCACTTGATAGAATCACACAAAACAGCGGAACAAAATGGAAATCGCCTACAACCAGAAACCAATTGCTCAAATCGCCAACATTCACCGACTTTGCTGAATTTTGTGCCCCTTGTGGCGCTCTGCTTTGTCCAGGGTTGAAGCCCTAGTTCATCTCACGTGATCCCAGCGCCTGCGCGCGAACCCCACTGAAAAAAAATGTTCACCGTTTTCCTACTCACCACAAACTAAGAAATAGTCTGCCTATTGCTTAATCTGATTACTTCTAGTTCCGCAATGTCTACCGAATCTGCTTTGTCTTACGCCGCTTTGATTCTCGCTGACTCCGGTCTCGAGATCTCCGCCGACAAGTTGGGCGCCTTGACCGCTCAGGCCAACCTCCAGGTCGAGCCTATCTGGTCCGAGATCTTCGCCAAGGCCTTGGAGGGTAAGGACTTGAAGGATCTCTTCTTCAACATCCAGGCTGCTCCTGCTGGTGGTGCCGCTGCCGGTGGCGCTGCTGCCGCTGCTGGTGGTGCTGAAGAGGCTGCCGCTGAGGAGAAGGAGGAAGAGGCCAAGGAGGAGTCTGACGACGACATGGGCTTCGGTTTGTTCGACTAAGCCTGTCGTCTTGACGCTCCTGCTGTAATATATTAATACAAGTATATTATGAGAATGTGCCATCGATGTGGGTGGTAGTGTAGTGTAAGTAGATGACCTGTCTGACCAACTATGGGAGTCGTATAACCAGGTGTCAGTTAACTATCTGAGTGCTTCATATAATGATGACATGCTCCCACGGAGATGAGCCTGTCTGTCCATGTAAATCAAGAGATGAGCTTAGGTCGAAGAGCATAAGTTGCACTACGAAGGAGCCAGAGAAGGGGATCGCTTGAAGACTTTTTTTTTTTTTTTTTGTTTTTGAGTCAACGAATAGAAATGATTCACTCGTTCTCCCTTGAGGACGAATGTGAGGAGACGTTTCTGTAAGTAACAGTTTACGTTTATCCATGCTTCACAGGGTTGTGGATAATGGCTGCGAAAACTAGTAATGCCAACAGCATATAGTATCTACAAAGATGACCTCAATCATACCTGTCTTGAAGTTGCCATTCAGATAAGGAGCTCTATCTTCTGCTATTTGAAGCACTCCACAGAGGGGCAATGCTAACCAACTCATCTCGATGATCTGCCCACCACTACTGTCTGTGAAGGTACAACGACTCTGTCGTACATCGCCTTTCAAGCATTTATAGAAACCATTTTTCAAATCTCCTCCTTCCAAATCCAATATTAACGAATGACTGCACTATCACTCCCGTCAATTGCATGTTCAGAATGCTATGTCCATGAGAGGAAGGCCTGAATTGGCTCAACGACAGGTCGCTATATCACGATGTGCAATGAATAATCCGTATGTTATATTCGTGTCACGCCAATTGACTTAACAAAAGTTTATCGAGACTTAAAGAACACTTACTAACTATCGATCGTTGAACATTGCATCCCAAGTGATGGCGATGGCGATGACCCCACATCGTAAACCTAAACAGACTTTGATTATCCATTACGGACCTACAGTAGTTTACTTAACCGCGTAGCTATTAATTTATACACCTGGAGAGAAATCCGCCTATAGCTTATTTCTTCTTCTTGTCAGCCTCGGCCTCCTCCTTCTCCTTGGTTCTCTTGTCTCTGATGCCCTTGTACTTCTTCTGGTTCTGAGCAGCTCTCAAGGTCTCGTAGGCGGTCTTCTCTGGCACCTCGACGGCTCTTGGGGCGGTCTCTGGAGCAGGCTGGGAGATAGGGAAGGCAGCAGGGACGGAAACCTGCTCACCCTCAGCCTTGGTCTTCTTGTCGAAAACAACCAACTTAGACTTGTATTCGTTCAATCTGGCGACGTTGAGCTCGAAGGTCTCCTGAGAACGGTTCTGTCTTCTGTGGTCCACAGCAATACCAACGGTTCTGGCGTATTTAGGGGTCAAACCAGCAGCCTTAACCTCGGCCAAAGTGAAACCTCTACCGGCTCTGACCTTTCTGTTGTACTTGATGGTTGGGCATCTGACCACGGGTCTCAAGAGATCCACTGGCTTAGGAGCCACTCTGGCGGCCTTGACAGCTCTGGCCTGGCGTCTGGACACCTTCTTGCCAGGCTGGTCCAAGTGCACTCTAACGCGCTCCTGCCAGTGCTTTCTGAAGTGGTTCTTCAAGATGGGTTGGTTCTTAGCGATAGCCATTTTCCTTGATGAGTGGTGGTAGGAAGATCTGAGAAGAAGAAGATTTTTTTTTTCGTACTACCTGGGCGCTGGGTGCGAAGCCGTCACAGTCTGTCACGTGCGACGATTTATCATACTATTTCGCACCAAACGCTACTGCCAAACCGCACCCTCAACCTCTATGGCACCCTTAACTATGTGGTCCGCACCTGTACACCCATACTGAACTCTGAGCGGACGGCCTGCAGGCAGAAAAAAATTTCCTCGCATCAGTAAAAAAAACTACCTCTCTTTCGTGCAAACTTTTCTTCCCAATCTCTTTCAAGTACCCAAGATGTCCACTCCATCTGTCCAGGTATGTTTACCACTCCACACTGGCCACCTACGGCTCCCCGGCAGAATCCCAATTTAAATTTGAACATTTCCAAATTCCCAGATCCCACCGAACATGCACTTTTGATCAGTTGAACAATGTCCTGAAAAATCGCCAGTCAACGATATTTGACTTCTCAACCACTCCACATTCATTGCTGCCATTCCAGTGAAACTTATACTAACATTAGACTTTTGGTAAGAAGAAGACCGCTACTGCCGTTGCCCACGTTAAGGCCGGTAAGGGTTTGATCAAGGTTAACGGTTCTCCTATCACCCTTGTTGAGCCAGAGATCATGCGTTTCAAGGTCTACGAGCCATTGACCTTGGCCGGCTTGGACAAGTTCCAGAACATCGACATCAGAGTTAAGGTTTCCGGCGGTGGTCACGTTTCCCAGGTTTACGCCATCAGACAGGCTATTGCCAAGGGTTTGGTTGCCTACCACCAGAAATACGTTGACGAGGCCTCTAAGAACGAATTGAAGAAGATCTTCGCTTCTTTCGACAAGACCTTGTTGGTTGCTGACGCCAGAAGAATGGAGCCAAAGAAGTTTGGTGGTCGTGGTGCCAGAGCCAGATTCCAGAAGTCTTACCGTTAAGGTGCTTTTGGCTTTCACTCTCCGTCATATATTAATGTACAAATAAGAAGACTCGTTGTAGGGATTACGGCGCTGATTATGAACATTTTATGTCAGCATTCTCCGTACAAAGAATGGTTGTACGGCCGGTCACTTGGCTAGACATCGTTTCGGATGATCCTACGACCAATTCCACTACACTCATCGTAGGTGAGATAAATCACCAGACATCACTCGTCTAGACTACAAAACTGTTCCACACATTTCTGTTCACCTTCTTTCATCTCCACATAGCAGAAACAGCGGCTCATATTTGCACCCAGCCCAATCTCTCCAACCTTTAAAATTATCTCATCATTTCATTTGATTTAGATTCCTCTAACAAAGGAAAAAAAAAAAAAAATCCTTGGCTTCAAAGCTATTTACTTCCTTCACAGTGTCTCTGTCTTTCACAGCTATCTCCAGGCTCGGCAGTTATCGCGATATCTAAATACACCTCACCAACTACTGGTATATCGCACAAAATGGCTTGGGTATCATCAAGCCCGTCTTTCCATATTCCGCTTCCTAAAGATTATGTTGATCTCGTGCCAATTCCTCAACTTCCACTCCTTGCTGTAACCACTAAAACTGCCGTCCTCATATACCATGCCCAATCCTTAACTCCAATCGCTGTGCATGATAGAAATCCCGAGTGCATTGAAAGCCATGGTAACGCGGTGCAATTGGAGGTCAGACAAGTCTCTGTGGATACTTCTCGTCTTGATCAGCTTCATACAGCCAATTTGTTCGTTCGAACAGAGTCCAACTTTGTCTTGGTGTACCACATTTTGGCCAACTACTCGAGATCTTTGTACGAGGTACACGATAAAAAGGAAGACGATAGGCTTCTACAGAATTCCTTACCGCTTGCTCTGCTGTCTAAGTTTTCATTGACTGCATTGTTCAAGTCTGCTACTAGATCCATCCTTCAAGGAGGACTGAATATCGTGAACCTAGAGAACGTCGAACACCATAGTAATGCCGCCAATGATGATGAACAGCGTAACGATTCTATACCCGTGGTAAAAATAACACTTGTCAAAATACTAAGAATGAATGCTGCCATTCACCACTTCTGGTGCAAGCTGAACTCCCAGACGTTGATTTTCTACAACGACCACAGCGAGATCCAAGTTCTCAACATGAAGACCTTCAAATCTGAGGTTCTAGCTTTAACTGATGAACCGTGGTTTGATTCAGGTACATTGGTGCTGTACAATCTTACGACAAACCGGTTTGTCTTCATCGATTCTGCCAGGAAGGTACTGCTCGTTGAATTCGTACTTGATGACGACGATAGGCTTCATCTTGAGCAGCATGAACTTTTAAAACTTGAATCGCCTGTCCAAGAGATCCTCTTCAATCCACAGTTTGACTTACTACTTCTCAAAACTGAGTCATCCTATGATTTGTATAAATTGGCCTTCCTTGGAAAAAAGCACTCGATGGCTTTCATCAAGTCTGTCTACAGAACAGAACTTCAAACAAGCTGCCATTGGTCACCTTGTGGAACCTTCTTCGTTATAATCGAGAGCGCAACAGGTTTCTGGAAACTTGTATCGCGGTTTGGCTCTGTGCTTTTCAGTTCAAAATCCATAAAATCTGAAGTTGCCACAACAAAACCAGACAGTCCTGGAATCACGCGAGCTTTAGACTTCTGTAATGTTTCCGAAGTTATCATCTCGCCTAATGCCCTAGCATTGTATGTGATTGACAAGTCTGTCAAGGATGTATACGTGCTTCCACTCACTTCTCAACAGGACTGCTTTGGTCAGCCGATACTTTATGATCAAAACTTCATCAAGGTTCTTCGAGATGATCACACTTTTCTCAGGGTACCTATGATTCCACATTACCAAAAAGCAATCACGAGATTGCATCACATTAATGGAACATCAAAAAGACTCTCGTTCAGAAAGCCAACAGGACAAATATCCATTCGAAAAAACAATTACAACCAGATCTCGATCTCTTATGGAGACCGCATATCGATCAGCACTCCAATTGAACATGGGCTGGAAACTTACCATGCTCTCTGGTTTAACTTCGTCAACCACTACATGGAATCAATGAATATCGTCAGCCATTACTGGGCTGACGAATATTTGATATTGATTAACCGTTTTGTTAGGGATGACATAGACGATCATGGTCACATTGACCTCATGGCTGATGAAGTAGTGATCTTGAATACCAAGGGTTCTACTGCTGGAGCTGGGGGTGTTCACTTCAAGTTTGACACAGATCTTGTTGTCTGGCGACACCATTTTAAGACGAGAATCCTTAACGTCGAGATACAGAATGAGGAAAATGAAGCTACCAAATTGTTAGTATTGGTCACCGGGGATCTGAAAATCGTGTTCATGGAGCTCAAAAAATTCGAACACGATGAGGAGAACAGGCCAGGTATCGGGATTCGCAGGTCGATCCATTTGTCTAGCATCCAACATAAGCTCGCAATTCCATTGATTACCAAGATGGCCATGATTCATCAGAGGCACTTTTTCTTTTTGCTTACGACAGGTGATCTCTTTTTATTAAAGAATCAATATCCTGCGGGCAATGAATCTTCGAATGGTGGCTCAGTACAAACGACGAACATGTATGAGTTAGTGAAGATACGTGAAGCAGTCGAGACGATGCACATGAGCCATATCAATTTCGGTGGGTCCAAAAGTACCCCACATCTTACGGTCGTTACCAGTGAAGAAGTCATTGTTTACAAAGCTGAAGAATTAGTGGAACGCGTGTATCACTTCGAGAATGTGGCATCACATCCTGGTGTTGATGTCGAGCGACCACTCAAGCCTATCAAAGTGAGGCTTTCTTCAATGCAACCTTTGACTACTCAGGAGATAACAGGAGCTGTTGAAGTCACCGGCTTCGAATACCAGACCATCTTGAAAAACGAACATGTACTTGTTAAACACAGACCCAGCAGGCAGTTGATTCTGAACCGTTTCATTCAACACGATCTATTTGAAAGCAACATAGATGTTGAATCGATTGTGCAACGGTACCAAAATATTCCTAACCTTGACTATTGCTTGGAGTTGCTCCTCTTTGATTTCATCGATGACGAAACCAATGATCTTGAAAAAGTCGTGAAACTTGTGAGAAGTACTTCAAGAGCTGATAGCATTTTTGTGAATCTTTTGAGAAAAATAGAGGTACGCTATTGGCACAAATTTTTCCAGCTCTTGGATGAGACACCGCTCAATTTCATGAATAGGTTGATGAAATCTCAAGACGTTGAGCTCTGCTATAACTACCTTATTGTCTACTTAAACTTTAAGAAGGAGTATGACGCGGGAGACATACCCGAAGATGAGCAGGCAATCCTCGATGCAAAAGACAGAGAAATTATTTTACGAATCATCAGTCTTCTAGGGGAGTCAAATAGCTGGGATCATTGTTTTGAGCTTTGCAGATTTGTTAAACTTTTGGAGCCCTCCGGAGAGCTCCTCGAGAAAATTCGCGACCAGATCTCATGATTGATGCTATGGTGCGCGCACACACACTCGCATTTTAACCAACCAAAAACTTTCAATTTGTCCTACAGATTTGATATAGACATCTTACACACGAGGCACCATGACCCTTGCCACGGAATTCGCTGAGACGACCCGTCGTTCCCTTACCCACCCTGACATGAGAAAGAGGGTCATCCACTTGTACAGAAGATTCATCAGAAACTCCAGGGAGTTCTCCAACTTGTACGAGTTGGATATGCCAGTGTCCAACGTCAAGACCAAGATAAGACAGGAGTTTGAAAGACAGAGATTTGTGAACGACTTGGATGTTACCAACGTTCTTTATATGAAGGGCCAGATGGAGTTCCAGGAATTGATCAACTTTTGGAAGCAGCAGTGTCATGTCATGAGATACTTCGAGGACCAAGAGAGCTACAACAACGTTGACAAGAACGATTTCGTCAGAAACTTCTTGAGGGGCAACTAAACCTTTTTGTGCATTATAATGGTAGTGTCTTCTCAGTAGCAAGCTGCTGCAGGTGACAGTGTCAGATCAGATAAAACTTTACATACAATACAATTCACGTTTAATGAACGCAAGAGTAGATTTTTCCATATATTAAGGCGTAAAAGACTCGACTAAAATTAAATGATACGAAATAAAGAGAAAGTGTGGGACATCAAGCCGCTCGGGAAGCGACCCTTAGTCGAACAACAACCGGGTAAATGAGCAGCCTTGAGCAACACAGAAGTACACTGCCGTGTACCTAGGGTATAATTCTATACATGAACTGAGTATTAAGACGGTGTGCCCAATACTTAGTCCATGTTGTCAACCAAAGGAGCCTCCTCGGCGCCGTAATCCACATCCTCTTCCTCCTCCACACTAGCCTCTTGGTACTGCTGGTACTCGCTAACCAAATCATTCATGTTAGACTCAGCCTCAGTGAATTCCATCTCGTCCATACCCTCGGAAGTGTACCAGTGCAAGAAAGCCTTTCTTCTGAACATAGCGCTAAACTGGTCACCGACTCTCTTAAACAATTCTTGGATAGAGGTGGAGTTACCAATGAAGGTAGCAGCCATATCCAAATCCTTAGGAGGCACAGAGCAAACAGCGGTCTGCACGTTGTTAGGAATCCACTCGACGAAGTAGTCAGCGTTCCTCGTCTGAACCTTGTACATCTCGTCGTCAACTTCCCTCATGGAGACATTACCTCTGAAGAAAGCGGCAACAGTCAAATAACGACCGTTTCTTGGGTCGGAAGCAGCCATCATGTTCTTTGCATCGAACATTTGCTGAGTCAACTCAGGCACAGATAAGGATCTGAATGACTGGGAGCCCATGGAAGTCAAGGGAGCATAACCCACCATAAAGAAGTGCAATCTGGGGAAGGGAACCAAGTTGACAGCCAACTTTCTCAAGTCGGAGTTCAACTGACCTGGGTAACGCAAGGAAGTTGTGACACCAGACATGACAGACGACACCAAGTTGTTCAACTGATCGTAAGATGGCTGGGGCAAGCGCAAGGTCTTCTGGCAAATGTTGTACAAGGCCTCGTTATCAATACAGAAGGTCTCATCGGAATTCTCAACCAATTGGTGCACGGACAAGGTAGCATTGTAAGGCTCAATCACGGTGTCTGAGACCTTAGGGGAAGGCATAACGGAAAAGGTAGCCATCATTCTGTCCGGAAACTCTTCTCTGATTCTGGAGATCAACAAGGTACCCATACCGGAACCGGTACCACCACCCAAGGAGTGGGTGATCTGGAAACCCTGCAAGGAGTCACAGCCCTCGGCCTCTCTTCTGACGACATCCATGACGGAGTCGACCAATTCAGCACCTTCGGTGTAGTGACCCTTGGCCCAAACATTGCCGGCAGAGGACTGGCCAAAGATGTAGTTGTCGGGACGGAACAAGTTACCAATACGGGACAGCTTCACGGCATCAATGGTGCCTGGCTCCAAGTCAACGAGAACGGCACGGGGCACGTACTTACCCGAGGATGCTTCATTGAAGTAGACGTCCAACTTGGCCTTTTGGATTCCGTCGTCACCATGGTAATTACCATTGTTGTCTAAACCGTGTTCACCACAGATAGTCTCCCAGAAAGCGGCGCCAATCTGGTTACCACACTGACCGGTGGACAAGTGGATCTGAGGTTAGTAAAGAGTAAAATACACGTGCAAGTGGGGTACATACGATCTCTCTCATGTTCTCTGGCGGTGTAGTTTTAAGAAATGTTTTTGTTGATACTCGTGAGGGATCAAGGTGTGTGCTGCACGACTATGTAGTATCAGTATTTTTTTCTGTTATTGTGCGAGCGGCCCTCTTTTGTTTGTATTTTTCCCTATTCGGTCGCGCGTGTGCTAGGCTATATCAGTATGGATCTACGACGTTAGGAGTATAGGCTTTAAAGAGTATAGTAATGGTCTTCTTGATTTTGCGGTTACAGTGATACTTTTTTTGATGTTGTCAGGTCTGTGTGTGTATTTTTCATGGACTTGTTTCAAGGCTGTTTTAGGCATTCTCGTGTAATTCGCAGCCATTGATCAAAAAAGCAAGTAGTCCACGAACGAGTTATAAATGAGTACTGATAAAGGGGGACAAGAGAGGTTGAGAAATTCAGTGTAGTGATGTATAAGAGCATTCTTAGCAATCATACTTCGAATGGGTTTAATTGCAACGTTTCGTCGCTTTCTTATCCTTCTTTGGTCAAGCAGATGACAGTAAGCGATTTTTTTCTCCCATATTTGTGAAGCAGTTCATTAGTTTCATTCCTCTGCTTTCTTGATCCGAATCTATATGTAATGTCTGTAAACCCGAGTGCTGCAATTGCACTTTGGTGCTCAGCCTATATCGGCCTGGGCCTAGGTTTGCGGAACTAAACCACTTTTGACATTTTGGTGCACGGGTGTAAAAGTGTAACAGACTAGCTCAAGTAGTTGCAAAAAGACAGCTTCATTCCTATTAACAGACCACAAGGGTTATATATTACTAGTAAAATAAACTATTTGCATTGAGATAATTTTTTTCTCTTATACTGAGGTCTTTATTAGAGATTCATCTAAACTCAGTCACGTAATTTCAAGAAATAACGACTGCAATAAATGTGAAAGTCACCTAAACACTACACATACCAATTATTAGCTGACTGTTATATGTGTACCCGTTAATTTGAGTTTAGAGTTTTGAGTTACTTTCTCTCTATACCACAATTACCTCAATTCAGCAGATTTCTGTGTCCTTTTATTCTCGCATCCTTTACTTTGCGCTCTAATGTAGGCCCAACTTCACCTATATGTCCATATTTACTACTGAAGCATTCAAAGAAAGGAGAATTCTTGTCACTAAATTCATTACTCCAAAATGAATGACACTTGCCTTACCGGGCCATTCAACTCTTCATATCGCTAATTCCACGGCCCGAGAGTAATGGCAGGTACACATCCTGGTAATCCACCATGAGCATACAAAAGTAGTTCGACAAAATAATCAGGAAAAAGAAAAGAAGATTCTCTATTCTTGGCCCTTAGGCAAGGTTACGTGAAGTGGCTTCAAATGCTGGTGGCTGGGACCAAAACATCCGCACACCAGCACAATCGAAAAGACCAGCATTCTACTCATTCTACAATCTCATTATACAATCTCAATCTACGGGTTCTTTAATCTCCCACACAAAGCAAGATGTCGCTGGCGATACAGAACCGAACTTTCGAGTTCCAGCAATGTGTGTCGTCTTACGACAAGATAAACAGAAGACAGCAAGGCCCTCAGCGGCAGGATAATCAACCAGCTAAGAAATCAAGATTCTCCCAACAGGCTTCAATCATAGCTAAAGACATCGCACACACAACAGAGCTATTACTGAAGCTTGCACTCTTGGCCAAGAAGAAACCTTTGTTTGACGACAGGCCTGTGGAGATCGGCGAGTTGACGTATGTGATCAAGCAGGATATATTCAAGATCGAACAAAGCATTCAGAACCTTCAGAGGTTCGCCAAGGGAGAGCTGTCAATTCAGATGGACTCGCAAGTCACACAGTATTCCAAGAACGTGTTGAACTTACTTAATTCGAAGATGAAGAATGTCAGTGGTGAATTCAAGAACGTGTTGGAGCTTAGACAGAAGAACGAGCTTATGAACAAGACCAGAACAGAGAACTTCCTCAGTGCGGCAACTAATAGACGACAGAACTCTCTGACTCCGCTAAGCGACGGTGGCGATTCTGGCAGGGGAACTGGTGCCAACAACTCATTGCATAATTTGGGCGAAAACCCATACTTACTCACTGTCGGGCGGAAGAGGAAGCGGCACAAAACGGTGGTAATGAGCTCCTCTCGATTCCTGACCAGACCAGGCAGTTACTCCTAATGGAAGAGCAAAGCAATGAATACCTACAGCAGAGAAACAGTGCTGTGGAGACAATTGAAGCCACGATTAACGAAGTGGGCAACTTGTTCCAACAGTTGGCTACTATGGTTACTGAGCAGGGAGAAACTATCCAAAGAATCGATCAAAACGTTGAGGACATTGACATGAATATCTCAGGCGCCCAGAGGGAATTGCTCAAGTACTATGCGCATATATCGAACAACAGGTGGTTGTTCTTGAAGATCTTTGGAGTATTGCTCTTCTTCTTCTTTTTGTGGGTCATGGTGAGCTAGTTGGTGGCCTCTGTATGATGATCTCAGTGCTGCCGAGAGGGGCGCAAAGGTGCGAATAAAACACCAATACCCAGCAGCCCTTTCCAGCCCGTCGGAATGTATCTAGTAATGTGATAGAAGAAAGCGGATTGTTTGTAGTTATTTCAATGGCCGATAGATAGTGATCAAACGGTGGCTGGTGGGGCCTCTATTGAGTCGTGTGCTGCACAGGGAACCCACACTCAGGCTTATCTCTCACCTGCTTGTCATCCTGAGACAAACCAACAGCACACAGAGACCTAGACATCATGTGGAACTACATCTTCGGCGGCAACAAGCAGCAGAAAAAGGAGTTGCCGAAGAAGGCAATCGTCGAGTTGAGAGAGCATATTCAAATGCTCAACAAGAAACGCAGTCATCTAGAATCCCAGATTGAGGACCAGGACAAGCTTGCCCGGAAGCATATTGCCACCAACAAGGCTCTTGCCAAAAATGCATTGAAGCGCAAGAAGGGCTACGAAACAAATTTGATGAAGATAGAAAACCAGATTGACTCGTTAGAAACTCAGTTGACTTCCATTGAGGGCGCCAACTTGAACTTGGAGACCATGAAGGCCATGAAGCAGGGCGCCCTGGCCATGAAGCAAATACACGGCGAGTACGATGTTGACAAGGTTGAGAACACCATGGATGACATCCGGGAACAGGTTGAATTGGCGGATGAGATATCCGAGGCCATCTCACGTCCTGTGGGAGGGGAATACGTGGACGAAGACGAATTGGACGAGGAGTTGGCAGCTTTGCAAGAGGAGGAGCAGGAAAGCAAGCAAAAGAATACTCCAACCAAGACTCCAGCACAGAAGGCTCCTGCGGCCGAGGAACCGGAACTCCCAACTTCCCTACTGTGAACAAGAACAAGCCCGAGGAGGAGGACGAGGACGAAGAGGCATTAAAGGCATTGCAAGCCGAGATGGGTTTGTAGTTTTCCCGGTGCGCCTAATCACTACTCATGTTCAATTCTGAGAGGTCCTTCCGATAGTGCTTGATGTGGAGGCGAGTGTGCCAGCGCAAGCGGTGAGCAAGACCGGTATGGCTGCAAATCGCTGCGAAAGCGCATGCTGCCAGTGTGGCCTCTGCGCTACATGAGGCGATCACCATCGACACAACTTGAGGACCCACAAGTTTCTATCTAGATTGAAATTTCTCCCGCCAGAAGTCTAATATTGCCATCGTTCTACTGTGGCCAATGGTGTGGTGTACAGGTGTGGCGAAAGGCCTGCGATGGAACACTCCAGTTTGCACAGGATGCCTGCGATGAGAAAACTGGAAACCTCATCCGACCCGAAACCATCTTCCGTCTATAACATTTATAGCTTTATTGAGGTTACGACAAGTTCCAGTACTTCCCTCTTTCCATAATTACATGATGCTTAGAGGCTCCAGCATCCTAAGTCGAGGTCTCCTAAGACATAGCATACGCAAAGCCGGATCGGCTGCAACTAAACCAGCCTCAGTTGATGAACGGTATTTCTTCTCGTTGGTCGATGATCTCAAAAAACGAGGCAAAAAGGGGAAAAAGCCTTCACTTTCCATAGAAGCGCCCAGCTTCGACCACGTTGGGCCTGGAATGTACAGTAAGGTCAAAGAAGAAGACAAGAAGCAGGTGGCATGGACCTCCAGTCATGACCCAGTGTCAAGATCTCCTTTCGTTAAAGACGTGGTTCATCTTCATTCCTTACTCGATGCTCTCTTAGCATCCAAGAGCTTTGAGAGAGCAGATAACATTCTAGAAACGCTCTTCGTCTTACTCGAGCAGCCAGAGAACATTGTGAACCCCTTGAACAAGTACTTGGAAGTTTACGCCGCTGAAGAGTCTACATCTATTGAAGATGTGGAAGCCTATCTTCAGAAGGCTCTCAAAAGGTTCTCTATTCAGCCTAATGAGAGAACCTACGCAGTGCTTTTAGGAAAGAGTTTGAGTTCGCCAGAGCACTTCGACAAATGGCTCAACAAGGCCAAGAAGAACCGCTCGTTGTTCCGCAACATGCTCAACAACGTGGATGTCATCACGGTGGACGGCCTTACCAGAATTTTTCAAGACCCCACGCTCAAACAGCTGCAGGTGCCTGATGATTTAGTTCCAGTATTCAACGAGGTGAGAAATCCAGGAGATATCACAGAGGAAGATGTCGTGGAAGACGTCCCTGAATACTTTGCAAAGGACAATGTTGATGCTCCTTCTTTGAAGAAAGATGGTGCAGTCGAGTTACGCCCTGTTAACTCTTTCGGCATCAAGGTCGTAAGACATTCTCTTCTCGGACTTGAATCTGACGGCGTTAACCTTGAGCAGTTTTTCAAGGATCTCGATAGCACTTTGGGCTCGCATGTGCTTCACAATGTCTCCGGTTCCAAGATAAATTGTCACGAATTCTACAAGCAGCTCAAGAACCCGAGGCTAAGGAAAAATTCAATCGCATTCTAGACGCATATAACGAGAAACGTCAGAGAGACTTGGAGGTAAAGGACTCGAAGGCGCTCGTGCCAAGTGGGACCATGAGTTCAATACCCTTAATCAGAGAGGAGAGATTTCCATGAACAAGAACCTTAACGTGCAACTTTATAAGTGGTACTCAGACATGCTACCTTATATTGAAGAGGAGCACAAGCTATGCCAGAACGTTCTTAACGGCAATATTCCAACCCTGGACAAGAATGATCAAGAAATGGTTGACAGAGCGTTTTACGCCCCATATTTTGTCCTTCTTTCTCCAAAGACTCTTTGTCTCATCGTCATTTTTGAGTTGCTCAAGCTTAACAACACAGGTGGAATTGCCGACGGCATGCGTACAGCTAGAGCAATCTTGGCTGTTGGTCGTGCTGTCGAGCTCGAATACAAGTGTCAGCATCTCATGAAGACCGACAAGAAGTTTGCTCAGAAGAAGGGTCTTAGCTCAAACCAGTTGAAGAAGCTTCTCAAAAGAAGAAATATCGACTCATCTTCCTTTGATGCGGAGTGGACTACGACCTTGTACGCTAAACTTGGCTCTGTGTTGGCAATGCCTCTTTTGCAGGTCGCCAAGGTCCAAGTCAGCGGCACTGATCCTGCCACAGGTAAACCTGTTAAGGGCCTTCAGCACGCCTTCCACCATACATACCAGGTGAGTCAGGGCATGAAAGTTGGCGTCATCAAGTTGCACAAGAATCTTATTAAGCAACTTGGTGGAAAAACATTCCAAAACTCTGTGCAGCCATCGTATCTTCCGATGTTGTCCCCACCAAGACCATGGACTGCTCATAATAGCGGTGGATACTTGTACAATTCTACCAACTTAGTGAGAATTAAGGACTCTGCAGAGAATATTGCATACGTCAAGGCTGCATCAGATGCCCATGATTTAGACGAAGTCTACAAAGGATTGAATATCTTGGGCGAAACCGCATGGACGGTGAACTCCAAGGTTCTTGACGTGATCTCTCATTATTGGAATACTGGAAAGAAGTTCTTGGACATTCCTCCCGTTGTTGAGGACCCCAAGTTTACCGAACCTCCTCCACCAAATGCAGAACCCTCTGTGAGAACAGAATACATCAACAAGGTAAAAAGCATCATGAGTGAACTGGCGGGTCTAAGATCTCAGAGGTGCGACCTTAACTACAAGTTAGAGATTGCAAGAGGTTTCGTCGGTGAAAAGATGTTCTTCCCACATAGCGTTGATTTTAGAGGCAGAGCTTACCCAATTTCACCTCACTTTAACCATTTGGGTGGTGATGTGACAAGATCGCTTTTCTTGTTCTGGGAGGGTCAGGAAGTTGGAGAGCGTGGTCTCAGATGGTTGAAGATCCATCTCGCAAACCTCTACGGTAAAGATAAAGCCCCTCTTGACGAGCGTGTGAGATTTGCCGAGGAGAACATGGATAAGATTATTGAAGCAGCAAAAGACCCTATTGCTAATGAGGAATGGTGGACAAAAGGTGAGAAGCCATGGCAGGTTTTGGGTGTCTGTTTCGAATTGTACGAGGCCCACAAACTTGAGGATCCAACCAAGTTCGTTTCGTACATGCCTGTTCATCAAGACGGTACTTGTAACGGTTTGCAGCATTATGCAGCATTGGGTGGTGACATTGGAGGTGCTCAGCAGGTCAACTTGGTTCCAGCAGACAGACCACAGGATGTTTACGCCCACGTTGCCGGTTTGGTTGAAAAACGTTTAGAAGCTGATGCCGAAGCAGGTGACGAACGTGCCATTTTCTTCAAGGGCAGAATTGCCAGAAAGGTTGTCAAGCAAACTGTCATGACAAATGTTTACGGTGTCACCTACGTTGGTGCCGTTGCCCAGATTGAAAAGCAGATCACTCACATGTTTGACAACGACGTCACCTTGAGTGACCTTTCCAAGTACTCTCGTTACTTGACTACCCAGGTTTTTGCATCGATGAGAGAATTGTTCGAGCGTGCACACTTGATTCAAGACTGGTTGGGAGAAGCTGCCAAGCGTATTTCCAAATCTGTAAGAGTTGACTTTGAAGCTGATCCCAAGGATGCCAACAAGCCTCATCATATGTCTTCCGTCATTTGGACGACCCTCTTGGTTTGCCATGTGTTCAGCCTTATAGAACTGATAAGTCAAGATTGGTGAAGACGACTTTGCAAGACATTATAATTTCTGATCCATTTGCAGTTTCTCAAGTTGATGCTAGAAAGCAGCAAGCAGCATTCCCTCCCAATTACGTTCATTCGTTGGATGCTACTCATATGTTGATGACCGCCAAAGCATGTGGTACTGACGGCCTTTCTTTCGCCGCTGTTCACGATTCTTACTGGACTCATGCTCGTGATGTTGATCTGATGAACAAGCACATTAGAGACCAGTTTGTGGAGATCCATCAAGAAGACTCGATTCAAAAATTGAAGGACGAATTTGAGAGACGTTACAAGGGCTTCTTACAAGTTATGACTGTTCCTCACGAACATGATGTTGCTATCAAAGTGAAGGATGTGAGAAGAAAGATTGTTCAAAAACTTGGTAGGGCACTCACTATCGCCGACGAGCTTTACCTCGAGAAGAAAAGACAAGAGTTGCTTAACTCTGACAACCCTGAAGAAGTCGAACAGGGCAAAAATCTCGAAACCACTGTCAGTGTCACTGAGGGTTACGATTTGCATAATGCTGGCCTTACTACATCGCCGCAATACTCCTTCCAGTTCCTTGCGCCGCTCAAATTCCCTGAGGTTCCAGCAAAGGGCGATCTTGATGTGAAGGTTGTGAGAGACTCGCAATACTTCTTCTCCTGATTGTCCTTACATTTTTCGCATGTATATAGATGCTCCAAACCTGTAAATATATGAAGCATCGTCCCTAAGTTTAAATGATTTTCCCCTGTTTCTCAAAATTCTCGATCAATGGTAACAAAGGCACTAGCTCCTTCTTGTCTATCAAGTTGAATTCCTTGCCGAAACTTATGAAGTGTGCGAAGAAGGAGTTCCAATGCGCCTCTAGCGATAGATGTACTAACTTTTCAAAGTGATTGTGATATATGTGTGCAAAGATTCTGAACATTTGTCTGACAATGTTTTTGCAGTCTTTGATAAAGTTGGGAGGGAATGCTCCGCCGTCTTTCGTGGGAAACACTGATTGGTCGTTGATCTTGTTTGATATCCATGTCAAAACATATTCAATATACTGATCAGCAGGCAAGTTCACGGGCTGCCCAGAAGTGTCTATCCACAAGTAATTTGTGTTTGGCCCTGCGTTCATTGTAGGATTCAGTTCGGGCGTTATGTAGTCTGATATGATGCCGTAGAATTGGTTTAAATGATTGAAAAGCTCGAAAATATTGAGGGAGAGCCATTCCCCGTAGTCCACGTATTTAGGTAGCTGTACGATGGTCTTGAACGAACCTTTGACCAAGGCTGTCTTGACGAACGGCTCACACAAGAATAAAGGAGGCTCCTCCGTTTCTGATGTGCTATAGGTCTGTCTTTGCGGCAGGCGAGAACGAGCCATTCTGGAAATCCTTGTCGGTGACGAAGGGGCAAAGTGAATCTGCGATCCACGTTTTGACGGAGACATTTTGGATGGCAGTTGTGATCTTCTCATGGGCGAGACGTTTCCATTTCCATGAGGCGCAAGGATCCCCGGCGCTTCGTAATCCTTCTTAGTCTTCTTAGACGAGCGCCCAAAGCCTCTTATAGTGTTGAGGAACGACATAGTGGTGGGTTAGTTGTTTAGGAAAAAAGTGTGCTCAAGGTGGATCAAGCGAGTAGATCCAAACACGCTTAGCACTGCAGAGAAACAGGTCGATGGTAGAAAATGTGCGCTTCGCGATCTGTCCCTCCTGGCCGCTGTGGTCAACAACGATGTTGAAACTGAATATTTTGCTTACTGTAGAAGAGATGAATTTGCTTAGTGTGTGAACATTTGTCTCCCTTGGTTTCAGAGCATTTGAGATGACTATTGATTTTATTAAGGGGCTTGAAGTGCTCACCATTTGTAGGTTGAGTGCAGTTTTGGCTGCGAAACACACAATTGTAAGTGGCTTTCTGGAGAATGAAAAGTATCTGCAGCAAAGCTATAAATTCGTGAAGTCATAGTAAATCTAGAAAGTAAACATTTATTGAAACTAGACTATAAAACATAGCTGGTACCATCCTGCTTTTCTTTTTTGTTGTTGCTGACTAAAGCAGATAGGTCCATTACACTACCGCTGTTTAGCATTCTCCACAACCGATAAAAAGTGCTCCGAATATTGCCTCAAACTCTCAGCAATTCGACTTCTTCTATCACTTGGTTTCTTTTATACTGTTTATCGGTGCAACCGAAAATTCTTACAGTTCCATTCCAATATTATCTATAATGCCGATATAAGAGTATGCTACTTGAATCTACCGAGAGATTCACCCATCTTGATCTTTTGACCAACCTCAAGATCGAAATGGAAGTTACCTGGTGCTTCAAACACCAATACAACGGTGGATCCCAACTTGAAACCACCCACCTCTTCACCCTTCTTCAAGGGGAACCCGCCAAGAAGCTTGGACGCGTTCGTGTAGGTAGCCTCATAGACGGTGTTTTTCTTCAACTTCTTTGGTTTGTTCCCTGAGTTGTCCGTGGACCCCAGCGAGATGCTCTTTCCATCCTCGAGCAACGCAGTGGTCTCGCTAGGGGAAGCTTCTCTAGAGCTTCTCAGATAGACCTCGTGTTCGTACACGTCGTTAGTTTTCAAGTCTTTGTCAAAGTTCACAACAATACTACCAACGTTTGTAGCACCGACTGGAATCATCGAGAAGAAGCCGTACTTCCAGTAGCCCAAAAGAGCGACTCTCTCGTTAAGCACAAATAAGCCAGGCAAGGTTTTCTGAAAGAATGGCGCAACGGAAAAGAGCTCACCAATGAAATGACGTCTCAAAGTTGTAACCCAGTTAGTAGGAGAGTGATAGCGATGGTAGTCACCTGGAGCTAAGTAAATAACCGCAAAATAAAGATTTCTGTGGGAGCTCTGGCTGACTTTCTCAAGTGGTGTTGGCGTCAAGTTTTGAGCCACAGAGATATCCTTACCGATAGTTGGCTTGCGGTCACTGGCAGTTTGGTCACCTTCATCCTTGTACTCCAATTCGTTCATGTGGTGAGTGTTTTCGCTTTCTCCCCCAATGAGGTCATCCACAGAGTAGGAAATCCCGTTCAAGCGAGCAAACTCCTCATCACGTTTGATGAGAGCCTCGTGCTCTTCCTTGTGGTCGAACTCGAGTGAGTGGGTTGGAGCCGCAAGACGAGTCGTAGACAAGCCAAGCAAGGCGTCAATAGAGTAGGTCATGCCTTTGACCTGCTCAATTTCACCATCCTGGATAACACCAAACTTGAGCACCTTACCGTCAGATGGAGACACTAAGTCAGTGTCTGCCAAGGGCCTCACACCAGGCCTCAAACGACGATAGAAAAACTCTGACAAGTTGCTGTATGTCGTCAAGTCAGGCTCATCCATCTCATCCATGTTCACACCGAAAAGGCGAGAGTAGAGAGTGTAGGATGGACTTCTCATCCAAACAGGCAAATTGATGGAGTTGAACTGGCCCCACAAACGGGACATTGTCTTCAAGGGTAACGTTGAGTACGCGTACAATGACCAAGATGTGGGCTTGACAGTGTGGTCTCCGAACGGACTGTAGTTTTCGTCGTAGTCCTCGTCGAGGTACCGTTCATATCTGGCCTTGGCAGCGACACCGCCCAAGACAATAACCAAAGAGGTCAATGTCCACCAGCGCACAAAGCGTCTCTTCTCCCGTCTCTTCTTGCGGGCCTCGGTCGAGAAAAAGCGTCTCTGAATACCACTCTTAAGATTACTCGTCTTGTGTCTGATTTTCAGGGGAGCCGAGGTGAAATGACGGCGAGAGAGGTGCAAGTTGGGCACGAAGCGTTTGCCGCTCCTTGTCCAGGTGGAGTAGTAGAACACAGTTCTCTTAGGACGAGGGATACCAGGGATACTTGGCATGCCAGGGATCCTTGGAAAGCGAGAGCCCGAACGAAAAGGTTTGTCATGAAACAGTCTCTGGATTCTGAGCTCCGCGACGGTCGAAGCCCTGGACAACGGTTGAGCGATGTTCATAGACTGGGGTCCGTTAATGAAGGGAGAGTGTGGGTACATTTTTCTTCTAGCCACAAGTTTTTCAGCATTGAACATGGGGCGATAGACCATGGCGAAGAGAATTCAAAGCAAGTGGTACGTTGTGGTGTGATTGGGTGTGGTGTGGGAACGGGTAGCTTTTTTTTTTTTTTGATATCACTTCACAAAAACAGTCCTCAAAATTGAGACAACTCAGACGCGGGACCTTTTGTATGTCTCCCATACCTCCGCAGTGCGATTTTCCAGGAATGCGATCCTCCGAGGAGCCAAGGCTACAGCCTTGTTCGCGCCTATCAGCTTCCCAGAAGCGTAATGGGTCGCATTTTTTATCGGCCAGGAACAGCAGCCCAGAAAGGCCTCACTGCAAACAATGGGCCAACGGCGGTGATTAAGAAAAACAACTATTCAGGGTGACATGGATACGATGGTGGCTCGAGACTAGCACGGTGGTGGACCTGCAAGTCTAAATATTATTTTTGACGTTATGCGTCCGCGGCCAGGACGTCCCAGAGCTGCTGCTTAAGCTGCTCGACAAACTGTAGACTGACAAAATGCATGTCGTCGTCTAGCACATGATCAGTGTAGGCGAAAAGTAGCTTAAGACTGAGGAGATCTTGAACGTCGCGTGGCTGGGTCGCCATGAGATGAAGGTCAATCTTGTTGGCGATCATGTTGAACATGCTGAGTCCCGATTTGTTCGGGTCGCTCAGGTGCTCCACGCCGCTTTCGTAAAGGTAGATTTGTTTCTCAAACTGGGTAAGTGGGCTTAGAAGCTGGACGTCAAGGAGACTCGCAAGCTCCTTGTTCACGGCCACCTCTTTATTTGCTATCTGCAAAGCCTTGCTTTCGTTCTTGAGGAGAGTGGTGACGGTGGTTTTGAGAAGCTCGTAATTGCACTTCTTGTAGACGAAGAGCGTGAGAGACTCTCGAAATTGGTCCATGTACTCCGAAGACACCAGAAAGTCCATCTTCACGTTGAAATATTCCGGCGCTTTAACCTCAATTGACGCAATGTGCTCAATGCGTGGAAGAAGCTGTGGTGCTGTGCTCTCTCTTTTAGATCCATCCTTCATAACGATGGTAACTGGAAGTTTGACCGGCCGTCCGTCCGCAACATCTCGGATAATGAGACACTTGGGCTCCACAGATAATGCCCAGAAATGGCGCAACGCCTGAAGATGTACCTCAAACTCGTTCGATTCGGCAGGGAAGATTGGGTAGAGCGCTGTGAACAAAGTCGCCACGGCAAAATTAGAGTCTGCAAAAGCGTATTGGCCGCCTCCCATGAACAAGAGCCCAAGGGCCATATTTACGGCCATATGGTTCCCGTACTGATGTGTCTTACTGATTCGGCCATGAAGCACTCTCAACCGACGAAAAACCTCTAAGTCTCCACTCCCAGCCATCACCACAGCTACTGCAAGCGCAAGAACATTCTGGATCTGACTGGCACAATTGAGAGCAACTTGCTCGTCGTAATTTACTGCTGCAGTTTCTGTGATGACCATGAACTTATCGAGGTAGTCAAGTAGGGTTGTCCTGGCACTCAAGTTTTGGGATGAGGCGTACTTCAAAGTCATAGCCAAGCAGGCACCTGCCAAAACGTTGAAATAGCCAACCTGGTCGCTGTCTAGACTTTCAATGTTGTTGAAATTATGCCTCACTCTTAAAACCTCGGGATTTGCGAATCGACCCATTGCGTGGTGGCCCTTATCTGGTCCCATAAAATCACATTCTTTGCAACTGTTCTCAATAGAAGCAAATCTGGCCGCACGTAGTCAAGAAGGTGTTCTGAATCGGGTACTTCAAGCTTCCTGGCTATGATCTGATTCTCTGTTCGCAAGTACATAAAAGCCAACGCCATGATAGCAGCGGATCCAGATTTATCCAGCTCAAGCTCTGACTGAGAGTCTCTCATAGATGTGGAGAGCGAAAGAAGCTTGTCCACCACGTGTGTATCGTTGACACCTCTCAAGGTGTCACCTTTGCCCAAGTTGATAAAACCCAAAGCCAATCCTGCCGCAAGCATGTACCCTTCGAACTCCTCATCGTGTTCAATATGAGACACTGCTCCGCTCACTTGTGACAATAAGATATCACTCATTCTTCTATGTTGTGTCTCGAGGTATAAAAGACCGATACCAATCAAACCAGCAGACTGAACGGTGATGGGAACATTCAAGTCATTGGCGCCCTGAGGTAAGAGAGCCACGGCATGCACCGACAAAACTTTGGTGAGTTTGTTATCCATAGACCCCTTCAAACTTGCAGCCATACCAATTAAGAGACCTATACTGGTGAGCGGATGCTTTGGACCAAGATAGTTATAGATATGCCATTCCTCCAACTTCTTTAAATGACCATTTAATCCAAGCCCAAGTAGAAAACCAGCGTGTTGCGCAAAGTTTTCGGACGGCTTGTTGTAAAAGGCCCAACTTCCGGTAATGCCTTCACACTTCCGGCTGATACTGAGACCTGACGAAGCACCATTATGAAACGAGCCCCAATCATAGAGTTTATGAAATATCAGATCTTTATTGAGCACAATGGTGGACATTGAAGGGGCTATTATCGTACTCAAGTTAAGATCAGGAATTGGAAACTTTTCGGTAAACATTGGCTTACACTCCTCGTAGTTAAGGGCTGCTCTGCCTAGCGGAAGTGTCAATGTACGAAGAGCCACCAATGACGCAACTTCTCTTTTAAGAAGCGTTGAATCGTATTCGTTTTGATTCTCATCCACAACCAAAGTTGTACTCTGCACCTTAGTCTGATTGAGAAGGTTAAGGATCTCATAGAATCTTCTATCCTGGTCGAAAATCAAATCTGTGATCTGTGATCTTTCCGATCCGGATTGAGAATGGTCTACCTTCCTTTTCGACGGTTCCAAAATCTCAGATACAATAGCCTCTGAGCTCTTGATTTCATTGGATTTGAGGTTTTTGACGCTCAATGGGCCGTTACCGTTGCTGTGAATGAGTTCGTCTTGGTCTTCCAATGTCACCGTCAAATCACTTCTACCAATAAGTCTGAGAATGTCACTACCCCAGGATAGGTCAGGGTCTTGCTGACATTGAAGGAGGCACTCTTTGATAGGTATGCTTATTCCGAGAGGGTAAGATTCCAAGTCATTTGGTGTGATACCAAAGCCAGATAAGGCTTTTATAACTGCTCTAGCTGGTTCATGAGAGACCATTAGCTCAAAAATGCGAAGAACTATGTGTGTTCTTGGGGTCATGGTCATATTAATACTGTCACCCTCTTCCACCAACTGTGAGAATTTAGGATACCGAGAACGCTTGCTGTCGAATATTGACGCGAGGCTCTCAAATAAGTTTGGAGGATTGTAGAGGAGAACCGTCAGTAAAAGCTTTGTAGTCCTATCAATCATACTGGAATCCACCATGTAAAATGTTGTCCACTGGTCCAGCCATCCCATCCACGTTGTGAGTTGTGTAAGAAGTAATCCCAATTTTTCAAGATTTCGCTTCGCAAGTGTGTCAAGCTTCAATTCTTCATAAATTAAGTGAAGTGCAACCACAATGTAGGATAGAAGCTCCTGCAATGAGTAATCAAAATCGAAGTATTCATGATGCTTCTTCGCCAAAGGAAGAAGGTCCGTTATTGGATTGCTGCTGACCTCAATCTCGCCACTATCGAAGGGGTAGACCAACGAGAGGATCATGATCACGTAAGCGTTCCATTCATCCAGTTGATCATCAAGCGTCAAAGCTGAGCGCCAGAACACCCAGACGTGCTCGTTAATTTTTGAACCAGAAAGATATCTCCATATTTTGAGACAGGTGGCCACAAAATGATTAGACGGCTCGAGAACCAATCTTACAGTATGTGTCTCCTCGTTATTTGCAACGAGTACGACGATGTTGTCGTTCGAGCTACTTATCCGAGACATCGCTGGGTAACTGGACGAAAGGTCAACGACAGGTGCAGTAATATCCAAGAAGGGGTGAACCAATTGAAGCGACAGTTCATCTTTGAGGACAAGAAGCCAGCCTGGGAATCTGCTGTGCTCAAGAGGGATAGCATGAAGACAATTAAGAGTGACTGAAGACTCATGCTGGGATATGTAGCCACTTTGCAGCTTGTATATGAGAATTTGAGTCTCCTTGGACACTTTGTTGGAGATGACGATAGCCTCTTCATCCTGATAATAGAGGCCCGTGGTTGTAATATGATCTTTCTTGGCCGATACAGTGATTGAATCAGCTTTCGTGAGAATCATATCCTTTCGAAGACCGGAGAACTCCACATTGTTGGTAACTTTCCCGCTTTCGGAGAATCCCGATTCTGAGCCCATACGGCCAATTGAAGACACACCGGATAGAAGAGTGCTTGTGCGCTTCTTTTCCATGTTCTGTGATGTCGAACCCGAGAAAGGGTGATTAAATTCATGCAAGATGTCGTCCTCCAACTTCTTGGAAGGGTTAGGCGTAGAAAGAGCATGATTTTTGCGCTTCCTCATGCTAGAACCCCCACAACAGCGTGTCTCGTCGAAGCCTTTATGTGATATATCGTGACAGTATTGTTTCTCGGACTGAAAGTAGCACATAGAGACCTCGTTTTATTGATGCCTAGTTTGGGAAAGTAGACCAAATTCTCCTGGGAAGTCACAACAGATGTCGATGATGTTGTGACCACACGGAAGTCGCCAATTGGGTCCACAAGCGTGAAGAAGCGGTACCCATGGTACTGACTGGATGTGGGCAATTTCGAAAGCGAATCCTGCTCTCTTTCTAGGATAAGACCCGATTCAAACGGAAAAGCTCTTTTCAATGTGAAAGGGAAACTCACCACGTAGTATTGTCCTCCAGGGTAGTATATATATGCCGCCTTGGATAGACAAACTGCTAAAGCCTCCACATCATCTAACGAACTTGTCGACTCTGATTTCTGGCGATTCGCTCGAAATGTTGTATAGGCAGCAGCTATGACATCCTCTTCGTATACAAGCTTTTTTGATAGCACAATACCATGGATCACTGTTACCTGCTTCTTCGAGATCAAAAGGCGTCGCTGATTCGAATAGAGTTCCACGCGGTCTTTTGTCAATTCATAGGGCCTGAAACCAACATACAGCTCCACGTCTAGAGCTGGCAGGAGCATATGGCTATGTTGGACCGCGTATTTGGCGTTCTTTAATCTTCAGTATGTACGATGGATCGAGATATGTTGTGGAGAAGATGCGCACTACTGACGAAATGTTGATACTTGAATAATTTTATTCAACCGTTCACTATTTACAAACCAAGAACTACTGGCGACATTTACTCAATAATTCTTGTCACCAAACCAGTGGCAATGGTCTTACCACCCTCTCTGAGGTTGAAACGCTGGTTCAACTCAATTGGAGCCTTTCTACCCAACTCAATGACCATCTCAACGTTGTCACCTGGGTTCACCATACGGGAGCGGTCCTCCTCGCCATCTGGGAACTTCATGGTACCAGTGACGTTGGTGGTTCTAAGGAACAACTGAGGTCTGTAGTTCTCAGCGAATGGGTTGTGACGACCACCCTCTTCCTTGGTCAAAACGTACAAGGAGGCCAAAATCTTGGTGTGAGGAGTGACGGTACCTGGCTTAGCCAAAACGTCACCACGGGTAATCTCGTCTCTCTTGACACCTCTCAACAAGATACCAGCGTTGTCACCAGCCATGGCGGCGTCCAACTCCTTCTTGAACATCTCAATACCAGTAACAGTAGCCTTGAAGGTCTTGTCAAAGTTACCAACAATCTCAATCTCCTCACCCTTCTTCAAGGCACCTCTCTCAACTCTACCGGTGACAACAGTACCTCTACCGGAGATAGAGAAGACATCCTCAACAGGCATCAAGAAAGGCTGCTCCAAGTCACGCTGTGGGGTTGGAATGTACTCGTCAACGGCGTCCAACAACTTCATGATGGCTTGCTCACCGATCTCTGGCTGTTTGTTTTCCAAGGCACACAAAGCAGAACCCATGATAACAGGAGTCTCATCACCATCGAAACCGTAGGTAGTCAACAAGTCTCTCATTTCCATTTCAACCAATTCCAACATTTCAGGGTCGTCAATGGTGTCAACCTTGTTAACGAAAACGACCAAGTTCTGGACACCAACCTGTCTGGCCAACAAAAGGTGCTCTCTGGTCTGAGGCATCTGACCATCGGAAGCAGCAACAACAATAATGGCACCGTCCATCTGGGCGGCACCGGTAATCATGTTCTTGATGTAATCAGCGTGACCAGGACAGTCGACGTGGGCGTAGTGTCTCTTATCAGTCTGGTACTCAACGTGGGCAGTGGAAATAGTGATACCTCTGGCCCTCTCCTCAGGGGCTCTGTCAATGGAACCGTAGTCCAAGAAACTGGCACCACCCTTGGAAGCCAAAACCTTGGTAATAGCAGCGGTCAAAGTGGTCTTACCGTGGTCAACGTGGCCGATGGTACCGATGTTGACGTGAGGCTTGGAACGGTCAAAGGCAGCGTAGGTTCTGAAGGCAGGGCGAGCCTTAGACATAAGGCTGGCGCCAAGACGCAACGTGCCGACACGAAGGGATCCAACAGTTCTAATCATTGCTTTAGAAAGGAGGTTGGTTGAAGGTAAAAATTTTCAGGCAGGGAATATGAGCGCGGCAGGTAGACCTGGACTTTTTGTGATCATCACGACCCTTCCGACTATGTTTTAAGAAAGGCGTTACGACAGCCGGAACAACTGCCAAGAAGGAATACTAGTTACGAGACACATTAGCTCGACACTGTGCAATTTCGGCCGTTATCGGGCAAATGGGCTCAAATGATTGTGTTGGACTAGGTGCAGGAAATGGCACTATTTTGCACCCTACCGGATAACGAAAGAGACAGAGACAGTTTCAAGTTTCTGCTTAAGTAAAGACCGTGATGTTTAAATCATTTGGAGACATCTCACCTGATTATGCAATTCCTGCAAGCCTTGTTTTTAACGGGGTCGCCGTCACCATACTTTCAACATAAGCGACCTGTGCTTCGATTACACCAAGGGCGTTGTTTCTTCCGGCTGTTCTCTGTTCTCCTCAATGATTCTCTCGACAGCTCTTTGCTCCTCTTCGCTAGACGACTTATCAACGTACTCATAGTAGATACAAAGCAACAACAATGTTCCCTGCAACAAAGCTGCTACTAAGTACGACACCCAAGAGCTCCAGTGGGAACCCTTGGTAAAGAACAATGTGGCAGTAAAGATAAAACCACCAGGAGTTTGAATGCACATCATACCAATTGACAAGGTTCCAGGATGCTTGAGGTTGTAAGTCGTGACAATCTGTGGCACATACTTGATGACGGTGAGTAAGGTCGACATAAGACCATTCAATTGTGCCAAATAAAGCAAAATCGATCTGTTGGTAGTGAAGGCAACGATAATTTGAATCACCAGTGCAATTCCATGCAAGAGCACAAGCCTTCCAACGTGAATGATTCTCTTGAACTCGTCACGGTCCTGTTTCAATGAACCTCTGGTGAACACAATGACAAGCACTAGAATCATGATTGCACAGGTACACTGAAGTCCAATCTGGATAAGGTTCAACTGTGAGTTGAGACAGTTGAACAAGGTCAAAGCGCCTATGCGGCAACAGTAGCGTGCTCTAGACGATATCATGATAATGTTGGTGAAAGTAAAGATCGACAGACACGAGCCCAAGAGCAAGAAGCTCACACTAAGGCCCTCGGAGGTTTGCTTCTTATAGATTCTGTAGTATTGTGGCAAGTAAGACACGAAGATACCTCCTGTAATGAGGAGCGAAAAGACAAAGTTCACAACGGATGCCCCATCATATACATCACAGAAGCTTTCCTTAGCTTCGTTGGTTGTGTAGTCCATAGTAGTGTAGCTTTAAGGAATAGCTGATGTTGGGAGACGTGGGGAAGTGAGGATAAGAAGTGCAGGCTTATCTAATCTAGACAGGCAGTTGGAGAGTGACAAGAGGGTGTCGAAGAGGGAACTTGTAATCCAAATATATGACTGATCTGGAAGGTGACAATCTGGAAAATTATTAAATATATTGCCTCGTCATCGTCTGTTTTCAATTGTGGAGTGTTTGTTGTGTGGCCACGGGTTCGCAGCCACTTTTACTATGGTGCCACAAGTCAAAGCTTACGGTATCAAAATTACTTTTTTTTCAAAAACAATCTTTCTATAAAAGTTTTCGATTCATGGTCGCGTATAAATAATCATTAATCCAAATTTCTCTGGCAGGCTAGTTCTGTATCCTCAAGGGAACCTTGATAGTGAGACTATCATTGTTCAGAAGCTTGACTTGAAGACTCAAGTAGTAGTATCTACCCACAATACATTCTTGAAAAGTAGGCACTAGGCAGACAGCCTCGGACAGAATATCGTCGGACAGCCTGTTGACCTCCTTGTTGAAGAGGCCATCAAGGTTGATCGAAACACCAATTTTCTTCTGGAACTTCATTCCCTTGGTGTCAGCACTTTTCCAACTTCCCTGGACATCGCACTTGACATTGTCAACTTTAAAGCTGTTGTATTTGGTCAGAATGTTGGCAAGACACTTGATGTCCATCACCATCTGGTTGTCTAGGTTGAGCTCCTGGTGGGTGTAGCGCTCAGTTAACTTCGACAATTCAGCCAAATAAGTGGAAAAGGGCTGCATAACGTAGGTCTCGAGAGAGTCGCTGGATGGCTTGTTCCGGAATTGCATATGCTTTGTAAATTCGACGGGAATAGGGTACTTACGTGAACGGTAAGTACAGAGAACAAGCTCCACGCCGACACTTCGAATATCGGGCGGGTTATGAGTTTTTGGGTTCACACCGCTGTTCTCAACAAACAGAAACGTCAAGTCAAGAGGCACAGTGAAGTTCCGACCCAATGCGACGTTCAGCTTCGTGTATGGCTGGTAAGTATAAGGGGGCTGGTACCTCACCACATACTCATTTTTGGGAGTTTTTGCACAGAGCATACCAATAACTTTAGCAGGCTGTGTGAGCGATTTCTTCTTGAACGGCAAGAAAATCTCGTACATCAGACTCTCCTGGGCTCTGGCAGTGACATCTTCAAAGCTCTCTCTGGTATAAAGCTGTTTGTTCTTCAAAACTGATGGTCTTCTTGCAAGGTTGTCACTCTTACCATCCAAGGACCTTCCAATCTCGATGCACGCCTTTACCTCACGAACAAACAGATCGTAGTAGTGCTGAGCGGCTCTTTCATGTTCCACAGTTCTGATACCTGTGTTTTTGGGAATGACTCTTACAGGATAGTTGGAGTCTTTCAAGATGATAAATTCATCTTTGTCTTTAGTGGCGTCCTTGTTGTATAATGAAAGTCTTCCGAAGATCCTAGCTTCCACACAGTAACTCACAGAAGTGTCAGGAAACGAAAAGTCTTTGACACGCAAGTTCTTTGGAGTAGGTTTGCGGTTCAAAGAAGTGGGAAGTGGCTTCTTAAGTGTAGCTGAAGGTTCAGGAGGAGTTCCAATACCAAAAGAAGGTTTCGCTGGCTTTGGGGAAGCGGCCGATTTTTCACGAAGCTTACGCAAACTTTGCAAGAACTGTTCTCTGTCGAGACCAATTGACGGAAGAAGTTCACAATGACAGGGGAGATCATGAATCTCGCAGGCGGATTCGAGAAGCTTCTCGGGAATAGTGAAATCGAAGAACTTTTTGTAGATCACGCCAGGAACAAACTTTTTGTCGCTCAGGAGCATCAAATTTGAGCCGTCCACAGGGTCAATTTCTGTGGTCTGCGAGGTATCACCCACGAAGTACGCTGGCGTCCATGCTGCCTTGTAGTCGAGCATATTGAGAAACTTGTAGAAGACCGCTTGTTTACTTGGATCCTCTCCATTGACAGACACTCTGCCTTCAAAAAGCACGGAAAACATTTCGTAGGAAAAAGCCTGCTTCGACACGTTTTGGATGGTCACAAAACCATGGATGGAGTCACCCTGGGAGAACTCCATCTTGGTGGCATCTATAACGTCAGGAGCAACGCCAATCTGACAAGGCTTTCTTGTGAGTTTTATATCTATGCGTAAACTCTCTGCGTGATGTGGTGCTATGCTCAGTAATTTCTTGAGCTTGTGGGTGTTTCCCAAAACACTATTCTCCCATCTCGTGAACACGCCTCTGTCGGCAGGCTGCAGAAAGTAGTCCCCGTCGTGAGTCCCCTCCTCTGAGGAAGAGGGCCCCGATGCGATCTCGTAGATGGGCGGATCATGAAGATTATCGTCGGAAGTGGGCTCCACGTGTTGGGAGAAGGTGGTCTCGTAAAGTTGGTATGAGGGGAGGATGTTCCACATGGGCACCTCTTCGTACGCTGGAGAGACCAACGGCTGTGGTCTGGCCTTGGAAGGCGAATCATCGGAAGAAAACGAGTTTGAAGACCTCAGCGAAGTATGGGACCACGAGGCGCTGTTGTTCACAGGAGATGAGCCATGTCTCGATGACTTGTTGAAAAGGCCCATGGGACGAGGAGATCTAGGACTTTTTGGCGCAGCGGGAGGGACTTACGTGTTTAAATGGTTTAAATGCCCTGAAATATGCGCCCTTGGAAGAAGCCGTGTAGTGGTTGCTGAGGGATAAAACCGAGATGCCTGCGGGCTCGAATGTGGAGTACACGGCGCAGGAAATGTGTCAAGCGGAAGCACAGCCGGCCCACGGAGTGCCGTTCAGAGAGGAAGATGCCTTAGCAATCAAAGGCAAACAACAAATCCCAAGACCAGGCTTTTGAAAGAAAAGCAAAAAAAGTTTGAAATAAAGAAGGGAACTTTGTCGAGAGCAGGACGTACTGCTTATATACCCATGCCTGTTTCAGAAGTCTCATGTTGCAGCCGGGCGCACTAACAATAGGGAGCCCGTTAGAGGGGTTACTTTGGTGACGGAACAAAGGAAAGGGATTTTGTTAATGGTCAGTCGTAGAGGAAGGATCTAGGGAAGCCGTGTTTTGGGTTTTTCGTTTCATGTGATGTACTTTTGTTTTATATTCCACGGAGACGGACTTTCGAAGTGGAGGTGCAGTAATCGATGGTGCATCCCTGTTACAGCCTGCGACAGATTTACATCAACGCCTAATATTTCTTTTCAGAATCTTCACATTTGGCTTTTTGAACCAGTTGAAAACTCAAAAATTCACAAAAATCCCTTCCCCCTTTTCGCCGCTTTGTGGCATCTCGAGATCTCGTTTACGAGAAGTGGCAGGAATCTGGCACGCCCAAATGCACAAGCTGCGCGCCATGTCTTGGTTCAAACGGCTTTTTGCAACCAAGAGACCAATCACACCGTTTCCAACGCCACGGCCGAAGAAGGGTGCATTTGTTATCAAAAGAAAGAGACGGCCACGATTCGGCGAGTAGTGGGTTGAACTTTTTCTAAAATCTTTCGATCTTCGTATGGCACCCCGCCTTTGTGCCGCAGCGGGGGCCTCTGCGGATTCCTGGGCTCACTAGACCTCTTGAAACACCGCCGCTGCACCTCTACAAATTGTGAGGCAGTCAAAAAGTCTCTCTTCAAATCGTTCAATGTTGCTTCATATAAGCTTTATGGGTTTCTCCGTTTCATGGGTAGTGACCTCTGCGGTTGTGGAGAAGACGATCATACACAGGGCACAAACTCTATCTGGTTTAGTGGCGTCTGGTCGAATCGGAGATCAACGGCCCCAAAGGAATGGGGTCACTTTTTGGAGGGTGTCTCAAAAAAAGTATGGCATGGAGTTGGGGTAAAGAATTGAGTTGTAGGTTGGCCGTCATGTTGGGAATTTGGTCTATGAGCTGCATGCTTGTACTGAAAAAATGTGTAGTGTAAGAAAGAAGGTTCCTGTTCTGAAAGAAGAGAGTGTTATTGCAATGGGTCACAACGAATAGTGGCTGATTGGAGGTCTGCAGCACTACCTTTGAAAGAATCTCTAGTCTTAGATTCAGACTATAAATAGCTTTATTCTTGAAAACCTGGCCAGTCACGAATTATACTACTGTCTCGCAGTATACCTGAGTGAGTCTTGAGTCACCTTGCAACAGTCAGACTCAAGACCCCTACAGTCGAGATGACCATTGATTCTATCAAAATTGAAAAAAAAAAAAGAAAACACAGACGAAAAAACCAAAGTAGAAGGAAAAAAAATCTTTATCTCTCATTGTTCAATTCCAAAAATTTCCGCCCAGATTGAACCTCGTCTGTGGTCTCAGTCTTGATGCTTCTTCGCACTACGCGCCTCACCATAATAACCACTGCTACTGTTGCCTCATGAGCTCGTGTTTGTGGGCCACGGAGGCTGCACGACGGAAACGAAAACCGTTATTCCCTGGCTCATCTCGTTTCAACGCTTCAGAGCTCCACCATGGCGTGCAAAAAACCCATGATGGTGTGGCTTCGATGCAAGAGCTGATCAGTCCGTTGGCTTCCGATTTGAACTCCTTCATTGATCTTTTGAACAACGGGGACAAGGAAAAGGTACTTCTGCACGTGGAGTATATGGAGTCGACGAAGCTAGAGTCAGTTCCGGTTGAGTCAAGCATGGACGAGTCCTCATCACGACTATGGAGTGCTGGCGGGTCCGCTACTCCAGACTTGACAACGGTGAAGACTGAGAGGTTCGAGAATACACTACTGCTAGCAGAGGCTATTAGGTCTGAGGTTCGAGACGAGCTAAAGGAGAACGAAAAAAAGGGGACGAGAAGAGCCTCTATAGTTCAACCTGTGAAGAAGGAGCCCACTAGAGCCGAGGCCGATGTCGACGAAGAAGAGCCAAGCGTGGAAGAGGAAGAGGATGAGGGTGACGAGAATCACTCCAATACCTTTGACCCCAAGGAAATCAATGGCAAGGCAAACTTCCCAGATCAGATACCCAGTGGCACGATTATTCCAGAAGAGACCCCTGTGGGTGCATCTCTGCCAAATCTTCTGCGAAGAATCAGCAAGCTAGAGATAAGAGAAGAACCGGAAAATGAAAACATATCACAAGAACAGATTGAACATCAGGGACAACCGACCAGTCCGGCTCAATTGACTTCTGACAAGCCAAATCAACTCGAGGAACCACCAAAGGAGCAGAAGTCAGTACGTGTGAAGGTCGAAGACTCAGATTCAGAGGTCAGCGATACATCTTTCCAGGCGATCAGCAGTGCCATCCGTAAGAGCTTTGCGGGCAAGGTTTCCATGGGCCAGTCTGAGCAAGCGGTACAGTCACCTGGTCAGTCAAAGAAGAATTCTCTGGGATATTCGAGGAGATCTAGCGGCAAAAACTACGTCAGAATCAAGCAAGAAAGCGATGAGATGCGCTCTCGTGACAGCGGATCCATACTGACAGCGAAAGCAGCGCCCTCAGTTACCAACCGTGTCTCCAAACGTGCGTCTGTATTTGTGTCGCTACCTTCCAGAGAACCAATTTCTTACCTGTCCAACAAACGACAATCCATCAAGGTAAAGGTCGAGGAATCTGATAAGTCGTTACCGACTGTCAATCTGGCATTGACTCAGGCGGAAAATCAGCCATCCGTGAGACCCTCGAAAATTCCTGTCGACATCACAAATGACAGAAGAGATGCAGCTTCAACAAAGAGCCTTTCCAAGCCAGCAAATGCCAAATCATCTCTTGCTGAACCCATCAAAAATCCCGACTCAATTCTTCAAGATTCGGAGATTAAAACCAAATTATCTAGACCGGCTTCCTCCAGGTCACCCTCGAAGCACAGCTCCCCGTTATATGCTGCATCGATGAGGTCTAGAAGCAAGCCCGGGAGCTCGCAAAGTTCTCGAACTACAAATCTCGGCTCTCCACAGCACGGCCCACCCCGTTTGTCAACGAGTGAACGTAAGCCAAGATCCAGGAGTAGATCTCCCGTCAAGGCATTCCAGAAAAGCACCATCTCTCCTCGAAAAACACCTACCGTTCAGCAAGGGTCTCCCTTGAGAGCTTCTCGGAGAACTTCTCCAGATAAAGTACCGCAATTATCAAGTGCACCAAGTTCGAGATCCCCAACACGATATGGAAATGGTGAATTGAGTGGCGACGAGCCTGGAAGGTATTCAGTTGCAACATCTGCGTCGGCATCGACCCCTGGTGGGACCAAACTCTCAGAAGGACTCCAAATGGCACCTTCGTCGATTGGTTCAACTAAATCAGCACAAAAACTAGGAAAGGAGAAACGTTCCCAAAATAAGTTTCTTACGACAACGCTAAATCCACAACAGCCTCCTCAATTCAACCCAGTCAAGACAAGAATCAAAAACCCTTCACCAATCAAACGATTTTTGGATACCGATGCCGAAAAGGAGCGCATTGAGTTGAAGGAAAGGAGAATGAGAATGAATGAGCTTGCCGCAAATAAGGTTGCATTGCCCCCACTGGGCACTGATAATAATGATTCAAAAAAGAGTTTGCAACCAAACAGAAGGTCCCCACCAAGGAGGAGAGCTCCCAGTCCCGTGAAAAGAGAACCGCTGCCATCAAGAGATGAGGCTAGGACTTCTAGCAAGATCCGCAAATTGGGCGAGACCGAATCCGTCGGCCTTTCTAGAAGAAGAGCTGCAGTTGGCAACGCCCAACCTTTGCCCGAAGCAGCTAGGGGCCGTTTTGTGAGAGAGCGTGCTAAGGAGAAGCCTAAGGTAGAGGAAAAGAGAACACCAATAAGACCCAGTGGTAGATCCACAAAGACGCCAGTTAGAGTGGGCGTTTCTGGAAGCCCTGCTATAAGAGGAGATGCACTTCCCGAAATTCCCTCTGATGACGAATCTTTAAGAAAACAGAAATACTTCAAAAACTGGGCCAATACTCCAGAACTCCAGAAGCTTATCCAGAGTAACCACAAACTCAACCCTGCCGAGATCTTCGGCGAAGTCTCGGACTTACGCATGGACGAGGTGTTTGAGTCTACATCCGGCGACAAAAAATAATTTTATAATGTTAATGCTGCATCACATTTGGCGCTTAGCCAATGCAACCTCCCTGTTCCAATTGCCCAACCAGACTGCTGATTCTTGCTTTGGCACAACGTAGAGCCTCAAGCCATTGTCGAAAAGCGGAGCCTTCGCTTGCTCTGCCATCAATGCCTTATTAACTGGCGCTTTTTTACCTACCTTGACCAAACCTCCACTAACTGTCTCCATGTAGCACTCCAAGCTCTTGAGAGTGAAATTTTTATGTCCAGGGTCCTCGAACCATTCCTGAGGTCTTTGCAAGACAATCTCCAAAACCTCCGCAGGCGTCGAGAGTTCTCCGACTTCGGCGACAAAGTCAAATTCATCGGTTGTGGGATAGAGGATCATGGCGGGAATGATAAGCTGTGACTCGTAATCTAATGGGTCCTCAAGACGAATCTTTGTATCTTCTAGAAGCTCAGCAGGTCTAGATGACTTAATGATTTCAATTTTTCTTAGCGTGATGGCGCTAGCCAAAACAAGTTCCTGCTGTTGCTTGAGCTGTGTTTCCTTCTCTTTACGCTCAATAGCAGCTTTGATCTGGTTCTCCTTCTCGTCGATCTTCTTCAACACATCCTTCATGGAAAGGTTTTCAGGGTCTTTAGTCAATCCGTATTGAAGCACCTGCTTTGCTTCATCGAAACGGTTGACTGCAAAAAATGCACGTCCTGCTCTATAACATGCCTTAATATTGTTCTCATCCTTAAGAAGCACCTTCTTGCAGTCTTCGATGCACATACGGTAATTCTTCAATTCAAGATTGCAAGCAGCTCTGTTGACAAGCAATGCACTATTGACCTTATCGTCATTGCATTCCACATCAAGTCCCTGAGTGTAGTACTGAACAGCATTTTTGTATTGCTTAGCTTTGTAGCACTCGTTACCTTGGTTCTTGAAGTTGGTAGCCACCTCATGGGGCTCACCATCATATGCCAAAGTTTTCAAAGCTTCCAAGCTAGCATTTTGTCCACCCTCTCCGTCTGTCTCGTCCAATTCGGTCATGAAAAATGGTAAACGGTTGATTTCCTTCAAAACCTCATCGGTGGACTTGTGTGCTAGATCTGAAAGGTGAGGAGGCAACTCGGGCTCACCTGGCTTGGGTTTATACCGTCTTCTTTCCCATTCAGAGATCACTCTGTCCTCTGGAGAAATCTCCTCAATTTTCATGCTGAAGACTTGTGGTTTCTAGTTGGTGAGCTCGATGCTTAAATCTTGTATGCCATACATGATGCGTAGAATTTGCAGCCAAATATGCGATAACCTATATACATTAGCAGTTAACAGCTACTGGTACATTTACCAGTTGCACAAGGCCATTTCCATACTTCACAGAAATACGGAAGTAGTAGAAACGGACCATAAGACACTGTTGGAAATCTGGGACAAGACAGATATAGTCAAAAGCGGACTTTCCTGGTGGAGGAGGACTCGTTCCCTTCATATGGCAGCTATTCACATCGAGAAGAAGCTCGATATTCTTTGTGTAGATATTATACTGCGAGTGAGATGAATCGGCTTGTACCCAAGGGACACTGGCCGGCAGCTCATAGACACCTCTGCTCTTGTCTGTACTGGAACCAATGGATATATCGGGAACCACCAAGTTTATAATTTTTGTCTGTAGCATTGCCAAACTCTTGATGTCTTTGAAGAGCTGTGTCTCTACTCTGAACTCATCGCTCTCGAAGCCAATCTTCTTGATGAGTTTGACAATGGTGTTGTAATAGTCGTTGAACGGACGTATGACGATGGAGTCTAGATTGTCGTACTCGTCACCGTGATTCTTCAAGTTGAGATCATCTACTACCTGTTCACGGAAGCACATATCGTGATTCATCTCAACGGGAATAAAATGTTTCTTGGAGCGAGCAGTCAAAACTACCAACTCGCAGCTTATCTTCTTTGGCTCCGGGGGAATTTGATTGGTAGCAGACTTCTCGAACGAGTAGGTCAAGTCTAACGGTATGCGAACCTTTGTCTCGTAGTTTTGCATTGGGTTCCTGAACCGTGGAGGTGGGACATAGGAAATGGCATATTCCGTTTTTGGGGTCGATAACGACAAAACTCCGAGCACCTTCGAGGAGCCTGTGAAGCTCTTCTTTTTAAATGGACTCAAATGCAGATATACCGCCGAGTCGTTCACTTTCACCGAGGTACTTTTGCCTGTCATCGACTCGGAGACCCGGTAAAGCTGCCTGAGCTTTTCCTGATCCAGGCCCAGTCTCACAGGATGTAAAGCCGATGATATTGGGGTAAGATTGTTGGGTAATGAAGTGGAGCTGGAGTTGGAGATACTTTTCAACGAGTTTGCGTCGTCCCGCGAGCGCAATACTTGCTTGCCATACTTGATCTTTTCTTCAACCAGCTCCACAAAAGCCTTGAACAGGGCTCTTACTTGCTGATCCCACTGTTCTCGGTAGTCTGGTCGAGCGGAAAATGGAATTACCCTAAACGGTAGGTTAACGTCGGCAGCAAGAATATACCTATCCTTGTTAACTCGATTAAGGTATTGGGATGCTCGTCCAATAACTCTGGCGGCCACTTTGTAGCTTGCAAAAGTGTCTATTAGAGAGAAATCTTTGAGCTTTTGGTCATTCACCTCAGGCTTCGTCCGAGCGTAAACGTTAAGACTTCTTGGGTTTCCAACACTTGGAGGAGGTTGGCAATGAACGTCTAAGCTGTGGATTTCACAGTTGTCGTCTAGGAGCTTTTCAGGAAGTCTGAAGGAGAAGAAGCGTTTGTATGTGACCCCGGGTTGAAAAAGCCTTTTGACGTCTATGGAAAGCACGGTGTTATCGTAGGGATCAGTTTCACCGTAACACCAATCATGAGGGTCACCATTGTCTGTGGCAAGTCTATCAATATTAGCGTAGGACCACGAGGCAAAAAGATCCAACATATTGAGGAACTTGAATACTGTAGGTTGGTAAAAGGGTTCCCCGGGACCTCGGTTTGCCTGTACCACGGCCAATTCGCCCTCCAAAACAACGTAGACCATATCAAAAGGAATAGGCTCCGTGGATGTGTTCTGGATAGTAATGTATCCATGGATGAAGTCGCCTTGCTTGAACTCGTAGTCCGAGATATCGATGATGTTGGGCTTTACACCCTTTTGACAGACAGCGCTCGTGATGTGAACTTCAACATTCAAGTTCTTCGAAGCTGGGTTCTTCTCGCTCAACTGGTCGAGCTTGTGGACATTTGCTAGGACCGTTTGTTCCCATAAATCCGCACTTCTCTGGTTGAATGTCTCATCATCATCCTCAGAATCCTGGATCGGGAATGGGAAAGCATTGAAGGCGCCTTCACTTTGTGGTGACTGAATGCCCGAGGGAATCGGGGTTATGCCAGCAGAATGAAGTGGCGACATCTCGTAAGTGGGAGGGTCCTCTTTGAAATTCTCCTCTTGTGGCACCATCTTCCTTCGTATTGTGGCTTGAAACATGTGGTACGACGGTAGGATCGAATTGACCAACTTATCGTCTTCGTGACTACGCACGGAGTTGAGTGGCAGGAACTCTGGCGGGTCTCCCATGATGAAGAAGTGGTTGTGAGGGAGTCTGGAGATGGTGCGATGGACTCAGGCAGGACGGTTGTGCAGCAGAATAAGCTTCGAGACTATTTGCGAAAACGGAGGAGAAATTGTGAGGCGGTTTAGTGCTTCTAACTGGAATTCAACTGAAGTTGCTTGAATGTCACGATTTTAGGATTTTCGGCTTCGAGATAGCAATGGTGTCGATGATATAGAGCGCGCCAGTTAATGTGGGGTTGCATTAGGCTCCAGCGTTTATGATGATTCTGGATCCAATAGACTTCTAAACTGGTCTCGGCTAGACTTTTTTGTACTGAAATTTCACCACCTCCAATTTTGAACATTAGCTAAGGGACTGTCTCAGTCTCCGTGGTAGTATTTGCTACAGTTAATGAACGATGTTGCATTTCTCTACAAGGAGGGAAACAAGACCCTCAATGAAAAATTTGTTTTTGCGTCATCGATAATATTCGCCCCTTGAAATGACACCTCTTTTAGTCAATGTAGTAGGAGTCCATTTCCGTTTTAAGCCACTGCGTCAACGGTTTTGCAACCATTTCGCGAGCTGCAAGAAACACCTAACATTCACAGGTCATGCCGGGGTTTTCTTAGAGACATTCAATTATGTTTCATTTGCCCTATAATGCTCTCAATCAACTCCTCCCTTCACCATATCGGTTCTAGAACGTAAATCTTGTACGACATACATCCATAGTGAGTGCACACTGAACCGCACTTGACGTTATCGCTTCTTATCTCTACCACCATGTCTTTTCTGGAGAAGACGGAATATGCTTCCAGAAGCCAGATTTTCGAAAATGGGCATTCGTGCTTAAAGCAGTAGCAGTTCTGACACTCATCGCCCTCGTGTTTTTTGCTGTTCCGGATCCGCATGTCCCACTGCAACCTCGTATTCTAGATGACCCTGTCGGCGACAAGATCGGTCACCCTAGTCTAGATCCACTGGCGGAATACCTCAAAAAAGGCGAGAAGGCCATGGTAGCCCTGGATGTGGAAATTTGCTCGAAGATGGGGCAAGAATTCTTGAGAAAAACGGAAACGCTGCTGATGCTGCCGTGACTGTGGCGCTCTGTCTCGGTCTGATAAACTCCCACTCATCAGGTATTGGTGGAGGTGCTTTCATAGTTTCATGGAAAGATGACGAAACGATCAGCATTGACGCCAGAGAAACAGCGCCGCTGAAGGCCCACAAGTTCATGTATGAACACTTCCCGCTTTTGGCTCAGTTTGGCGGTTTAGCAGTCGCGGTTCCTGGCGAATTGGCAGGTCTTTTTGAGCTACACAAATCTCACGGCTCGGGCAATTTCTCTTGGGCCGAGTTGATCGAACCTGTGGTTGAGCTCAACAGAAACGGTTGGGCCGCCGAGGAAATCTGGATCTCGTCATTGCACCGCATTCACAAGGATCTTTTGCAGAGAGTGCCACTTCTTAAAGACAAATGGGATTTTATCTTTAAAAATGACGGCAAAATTGTGGACACTGGCGACTGGATTACCCGTCCAACGTACGCTAACACGTTAGAACTCATTGCCAAAAACGGATCCAGTGCCATTTTCTACGACCCTCATGGACCTATTGCACCCAGATTGTCCCTGCGCGCCAGTGAGTGTGGAGGTGTGGTTACCCCAGACGATTTTGCCGCCTACAAGCCTGAGATAGAGAAAGCGCTTCGGTACAAGTTCGACGCTGAGGGAGATAATTTCGAACTAGCCACAACAGGAGGCGTTTCTTCCGGACTTGCATTGATTGCAGGTCTCAACTTTTATTCTGTTTTGGAGAAACTGGCACCAGACATTGGTCTTTCTGCGCACAGACTTTTAGAGGCCATGAAATGGACCGCTAGTGTGCGGTCCAATTTGGGCGACCACAACGCGACATTTTTCCAGGGTCTTGTCCTGCGTTTTTCGTCGCAGGAATGGGTGCAAAATCTCTTGAAGCAGGGAAAGTACTCCGACAACACGACTTTTTTGTGGGACCACTATGAACCAAAGTTTCAGCTTACTGAGCCCAAGGGCACCTCGCATTTCCTGGTGGTAGACGCCAACGGTGGCGCTGTTTCGATGACGACCACGGTCAACTTGATCTTTGGCTCGCTGGTTTATGACAACGAAACAGGCGTAATTCTCAACGATGAGATGGACGACTTTTCCATGCCTGGCACCAGCAATGCTTTCAACTTGACTCCTTCCATATACAACTTTATCGGCCCAGGAAAGCGTCCATTGTCTCTGACGACACCTACCATCATCAAGAAAAATGGGGAGTTTTTCATGCTCATTGGCGCCGCTGGCGGGTCTCGTATTGTGACCGCCGTCCTCCAAGCTATTGTTCGCTCCATTTATGAGAAGCTTCCGCTACTCCAGACCATCCTGTACCCTAGATTGCACCACCAACTTATTCCAGAGTTTGTCATGGTTGAAGATGTCGAAATGTTTGATCAGTCTGATCCCGGAGTGGTCAAACAGCTAGAGCTGCGTAACCATACACTCTACGAGTCTGGAGCTTTGACGGCGATGAACGCCATAAAGAGAGTGGGTGATGCATGGGAAGGTGTGAGCGACCACTGGAGAAAAAGAGGTATTGCTGCAGGCTGTTAGACGGTCCCATCGGCTATTAGTCGAAGATAACAAACTCTAGCGATTATAGAGGAGTTTGTTTTGCAGATCGTGGAGAGTTTAAGACCATTTGCTCATTGTGCATTGTGGTGTCAGATCTGCGAGATCTGGCAAGCCCAGCCGCATGTCCGAGCAGGCGACCAAAAAGAAAAAAAAGCCAGTGTGGGATGTAGAGGGATTGAAGCATTGTGCCTGATGTTCTGCCGTAATGAGGCGTTCAATCAAGAAAGACTTGCACCGAGCGTTTCGGGGTTTTGGATCACCACTTTTCATTGGGCAGCAACGAGATCCAGAATTCTCGGCTAAAGAGCACAAATCTTCCTCGGCCCGAGTAAACACTGCCACCAAGCCACGTTGCCCCCAGAGGCTGAGGAAATGTTTCGCCTTTTATGAGTGGCTCCAAAGTCCGAGGATATGAGTTCCTTGATTCCTTGTCATCTCGGTGTTTGGAAATTCGGAACCTGGGCATTCCCATCGCCGAGGAAGCGTGGCGGCAGAGGTCGCACACCGCTGCACGCAAAAGATAGAACAAAATCAACTGCTGATTACGATATTTTTTAAAAGTTCGAATCTTCAGCCAATAATTGGCTCTTGGTTCTTTCAGCCCCACGGGACAGGGCCCTTCCACCCGCACCGATGCATTTTTGTGGGGCCTCCTGCAAATCACAATTGCACCGCACCGCCAATTCCACAATGCATCTATTCAGAAAGCAAGAAAAAAGTTTTTTCATCCAGCAAATAAGGCGGTAATGAAGAGCTTATCATAGATAGATCAAAAATATTCCTCATGAATACTAATCGCTTTTATTGTATTATTTCTCTGGGCACACCTATTGGCTGTAGATGAGTGGGGGTGCAGTACCACCACCTATGAGGTCATATTCCCCAGATTTCGGAGTCTGAGGAATATATAAGCACCGTCTCCCCCACCGCTAAACCGCATCATTTTTTATGTCCACTTTTTCACAACAGCACACCCTCAAGCGGTTGCCTATTCCGCCGCTTGAGAAGACTTGTGAAAATTATCTCAATGCTCTAAAACCCTTGGAAACTGAAAAGGAGCATGAGAAGACCAAAGAGGCGGTGAAGCGGTTCTTGGAAGACGGGTCCGGTGCTTTCTTGGATACTGAATTGAGGAAATATTCCAAGTCTAGAGCTTCCTACATTGAACAGTTCTGGTACGACTCCTACTTAAACTACGACTCCCCCGTGGTGCTCAACTTGAACCCTTTCTTCTTGTTGGAAGACGATCCGTTCAATAACGAATCAACTTGTGTCAACCCGCAGGTCAAGAGAGCTGCTTCATTGACTCTTTCGTCCTTGAAGTTCATCAGGGCTTTGAAAAACGAAACCTTGCCCACTGATACTCTCAAGAATGGCCAACCACTTTGCATGTACCAGTACAAGAAGCTCTTTGGCTCCTCCAGAATCCCAACAGAGGACGGTTGTGTCATGCAATCGGACAACAACTCAAACCATATTGTCGTCATGAGCAAGTCTCAATTCTATTGGTTCGACGTTTTGGATACCGAGAACAATTTGCTCTTGTCCGAGCAAGATTTGACCATCAACTTCACATCGATCATCCAAGACTCGCTCCAGACTCCTTCCAATGAGGTTGCAAAATCCTCCTTTGGTGTTCTTACCACGGAGAATAGAAGAGTGTGGGCTAGAATTAGACACTCTCCCACCATCTTGGATAACCCCAATAACAACGAGATCTTGTCCATCGTCGACTCTGCACTCTTTGTTATCTGTCTTGATGATTTGGTTTTGCTGGACTTGAGTGATTTGGCAAAGAACATGTTGTGTGGTTTGTCAATTGTCGACAATGGTGTCCAAGTCGGTACTTGCACCAATAGATGGTACGACAAGCTTCAGATCATCATCACGCAAAACGGTAAAGCCGGCATCAACTTCGAACACACTGGTGTTGATGGTCACACCGTTTTGCGTTACGTGTCTGACATCTACACTGACTCTATATTGTCGTTTGCTCAGTCCATCAATTCCAATGCTCCAGCGTTGTGGAACACCTCTGACCTGGCAGCAAGATCCAACTCAAACGAAGGACGCACAGATTTAGTCACCATTCCTAGAAAGCTCGAATGGGATTTGACGCCAGACTTGTCTCTTGCCTTGCGTTTCGGTGAGACAAGATTGTCCGACTTGATTAACCAGAATGAGTTCAAGCACTTGGAGTTCAAGAGCTACGGCTCATCTACCATCAAAAAGATGAAGTTTTCTCCTGACGCTTTTGTCCAAATGGCTTTCCAGGCTACGTACTACGCCTTATACGGCAGGGTTGAGTGCACCTACGAGCCAGCTATGACAAAGCACTTCTATCATGGCAGAACTGAGGCTGTGCGTACTGTCAGTCAAGAGTCCAACCTTTTTGTGCGTAAATTCTTCGACCCTAACATGCCTAACTCGGAGAAGCTTAAGTACCTCACAGATGCTTGCAAGAAGCATTCTGAGCAGACAAAGAGGTGCACCAATGGTGAAGGTATCGACAGACACTTGTTCGCTCTTTTCTGCGTCTGGAAACGTTATGTGAGCGGTGAACTTCCCAATGAGTATGGTGCTACAAGCATGAAAGAGGATGACACAATTGTGGCAGACCATCAGAGCGATTCATCCGAGCATACTGTCGGTGGCAACAACGAGCCCAGTGTGAAGTCCGAATTGACAGACTTGCCTGCAATTTTTGCCGATAACGGATGGGATAGGTTGAATAACACTATCCTCTCTACTTCGAATTGTGGTAACCCTTCCTTGAGACTTTTCGGATTCGGACCGGTCAGCGCCAACGGGTTTGGTATTGGCTACATCATCAAAGACGACTCCATATCGATTTGTGCTTCTTCCAAGCACAGACAAACGAGCCGGTTCCTTGTCACATTGGAGTCCTATTTGGATGAGGTTTACCGTATCTTCAAAGAAGTCAACGAGGCAGCAGAGATTCACGCTCCTATCGACACGAAGATTGAAGAGAGTGAATCATTACCAAAGATTGTTACCAAACAGCCTGCTCCAGTTAAGGACTCTTTGAGTACCTTGTTGGGTGGTTACGGCTACTTTGATATGGGTGAGGAGGACATCAAATCGAGAGGGCAATCACCTGAACCTCCATTTATGCACCGCATGGACAGCGGCTTCTCTATTCGTGACATTGAAAGGAAATTGCGTTTGTCAGAATACTGATTGCAACTTATTTATTTTATTTATCCCGTCACCAAAACAGTGACGCTAGCTTATTTATTTTCTAAATGAACGTTTATTCTGCAAATGCATTAGTTCTAAATACCAAACTCTCCGTTGTTCAATGCAGCCCTCAAGTTCGCTTTTTGAGGTTTGTTTTTACCTTTGGCACCAACAGTAGGCATTCCCATCATGGTAAGCTCACTTGTTGTAGGCTTTGGCTTGGGTTTAAGCTGCTGCTGTGGTGGAGGATGTCCGTAGTAACCTTGTGGAGGAGGGGATAATACATTGGCTGAGGTGGATAGCCATAACCTTGAGGAGGAGGATAGTAACCCTGAGGAGGGGGAGGAGGATAGTAATAAGGCTGACCGGGTGGCATCATCTGTTGTTGAGGCATCATTTGCTGCTGCATTGGCATCTGTTGAGGCATCTGCTGCGATGGCATACGAGGCATTTGCCCTGGAGGGGCCATTTGTTGACCCTGGGGAGGCATTTGTTGACCTTGAGGAGGCATGTGCTGACCCTGAGGAGGCATGTGCTGAACAGGGGGAGAAGCATATTGCGTCTGTGGCGACATCATGTGTCCGGGTGGTTGTTGATGCATAGGTGAACCTGAATATGATGGTTGATGTTGCATCTGTCCATGACTCATTGGATCTTGATGCATGTGGTTTTGAGGCATGTGTCCCTGGAAAGCTTGTCCTGAAGAACCCCCACCGCTATGATGGGATCTTGGCTGTGAATGTGAAGTATACGCTGACGTAGGCGATGGCCCTCTTCCTGTAGGCGACCTCTGATTACCAAGTTGATCACTTGGAGTTTCTTGAGGTGGAAGACGCTGAGTATCAGGGATACGAGTAGGTGATACTTGCGAGTATGGCTCAGGTTGGTGATGTGATGGAGAATGAGACTGGGGCTATTGTAGCTTCCGTTGGAGTAAGTTTGAGAGGGATCCGGTGGCATCTGGTGTCCCGGCTGACTGTTGGAAGGTAACGAGAGTTTCATTTGATTTTTCTCATGTTGCCTAGGCGGAGAGGCATTTTGTGGCATCATGTAACTATGGGCACCATGCTTTGGAGGACTACCAGTGTATGCCTCATGCGTTCGACTATGCAACCTCTCTTGGAGCGACCAGCCAGACTGATTCCATTATGATGAGACACTCCTATGGGAAGAGACGACTTGCTTGGGGTACCACGAGGTGTTTTCTCTTGAGGTGGGATCTGAATACTTTGTTGTAATGGATGCTCATGAGGTTGATGGTCCTTCTCGGCTGCCCGAGGATGCTGAATATGCCTTGGCAGTCCCTTTGCCTCAGGCTTTTCAGGTGGTGGGGGTGGCTGCGTTGTCGAATTGAAAGCTCCATGTCCATTATGGTAATCTCCATTTTGAGGTTGATGTTCAAACTGTTGAGCAAGTTCAGCCGGCAAAGGTGGCGGAGGACCGTCAGGTAATTGATCAACTGGTATACCGAAATCATCCCTCGGCTTACTCTTCTTTTTCTTCTTCTTTTTCTTTGGTTTCTCAGGTACAGCTTCGCTGTGTTGTGCTGGGAGTTGAGAGTTGTCAAACTCCGTTTGAGGTGGCAAGTGATTTTCTTGATACTGCTGGTATTGGTCAATAGAGTAAGTTTGAGGGATTTCCTGAGGTTGATGGGGAATACTGTTACCTGCACGGCCAGTAGGCATCAGATATGGATCGTGTGAAGCGGGAGGTTCCTGAGAGTAGGGGACAGGCGGTTCTTGTGAATATGAAGCAGGTGGCATGCCTGAATAGCCATCTTGCATTCGGTTATCCACTGGGGCTGGAGGAAGATCCTGATGTTTGCGTCTTGGACTTTTACGACTTGAATCATGGACAGCCTTCGCCTCCTTTGGTTTGGAGCCATGATGCGAATTTGGAACATAGTAATTGTCAAATGGCTCCGTAGACTGTGGCTCTTCAGGCCTATCATGCAACGTGGTATAATTGTCGAAAGGTTCACTATAGTCTTGTGGTGGATGTGTTGCGGAATACTGCAATGCCTCTTGAGGGTACTGCTCTTGTGGAAACCCAGAATGGTCGGGATTATAATGTCCATTGCTGTAACCATTGTCGTGCCCGTTTGGTTCCTTTGACTTTTTATGCACTTTTTTAACATTCAAAGGCTGCTCCTGTTGCAGAAGGTCTACTGGTGGGGGACGCGGTCTCTGCTGGCCGCCACTTTGTTTGTTGATGTTTAAGTCGTTGAAGTTCTGTGCCAAGTGATCGTCATCGTTCAAACCTCTCATGTACTGGCTGTAGTCATCGACAGGCTTTGGATGACCAATGCGGCCTTGGTAGGGCATGCCCTGATGATGATCTGGTTCATATGTGTACTGCTCCATTCCAAAAGGCTCTTCCTGAAACCTCACTTCCGGAAGTAAGCCATTTTTAGAGACGGGAGGTGGAGCCAAGCCATTTGAGGATCCAGGAGGTGGCGGGAGATCCTTTAAAGGAGACTTCTCTCTTTTGAGAGGTGATTTCGATCTTAGTCTTTCGGAGCCCTTCATGCGAGAGATATACTCATCTGGACTAATGGAGGTTTCCGTCAAAATCAACCATTTCTGGAACCCACGCAAGCCAGCTTCAACCACGATAGATCTTCCAAATAAAGCCTTGGCGTAGCTGGACTGATCAGAAGCCAACGATGAAAGCCAGGTCCAGATATAGTAGTCTTGTAGAGTAACGTTTGTGATGGAAATCTCGGAGAACAAAGGAATATCGGGATCTTGTGGTGGCCCATCTTTAGTCCAACCCGGGTAGAGATCGTAGTTCGAGGGATTGGATTGTCACTTATTCTAGTCAAGATTCTCCGGGACTCATCCGTGAGTGTTGAGATGATTTCGTTGGTCGAGTCCTTCAAAAAGATGTTCTTAAGGATGGTGTAGTTTTCCACTGAAACAAATTCATCTTTCCGATCGAACTTGAGGTTCTGTCGTATCTTGGTGATCAATGCATAGGGATCCGAGCTTCTCCGGGTTGTCTTGACGTGTACACATGGGATGGTAATGACGGATTTGATGGAGTCCAGGTTCTCGGGTGGCGGATATGAGTTTGTGCTGAGTAATGATTGTAAGGATTTTGGGCCTTTGAAAAGTTGGTCTTCGTTGTCTGGCATCATGGCCCTAAGGAAAGCGAGAAACAAGTGAAAGAGTCCAATGCACGTTTTCTTCCACAGCTCTAGACCGCTAACAAATGAGTTCTCTTTGAATGCCGTGGCGTCATAAAACGCCAGCTTTGAATTTCCGATACTATTGAAGGCCCACATCGAAGCCATCTTGGAGATTTTGCGTCCACTTAGGTAGTTATACTGTGAATATGACGCAATGCTGACGAGGAGATCAAGGAAGTCGTAGACAATAGAAGCGTGGGCTCTTGTAGAAACACATTTGGGCATAAGCCTCAAAAATGCATCCTTGGGGTATCCATGTTCACGCTCAAGGCGCTTGAAATGCAAGTAGTTGTCCCAGCCGATGATCTCCAGGTTCGGTAGTCTGCACCAAAGGTATTTAAGACCGCAAATTAACGTGAATTCATCGAATCCGGCCAAGATACGCTTTGTCGCCGATTCATTCAGCGTGTCTATCATCTGTCCATTTGGGAATATCGTGGCTAGAAACCGTTCAAGTTTTTGGTCGTCCACACGCAGTCGAAAGGGAAGGAAAACATGAGGGGTTTTCGTACCTCTCTTCTTTAGCTCTTGAGTGATGAAGTTGTGGAGGTCTTTTATGCGTTTTCGGGTGAACTGGTCCCGAGGAATGATAGAAGACGACGAATCATCCAGTTGAGCAGCGGGAGGGAGTTGAGGGAGAGACATGTCTCTTTTAGGTCTGGCCTGGGCCATGGTAGGAGGGGGTGTGTTTCTTATATAAATATGTATCTAGAATTGTGGGGGCCCCAAAAACAGCGTGGGATCAAGGCGGATAAGTAAAGAGCAGATCGCTGTTTTTGAGCGAATGCGAGTACTCTTCAGACACTCTTCAGACACCTTTTTTCGTGCAGGTACCGCGCCTCAACGGTGGAGTGCCCCAGACTTTTACCACTTTGGGGCCTTGTCCACTTCGCACACATCAGGCAGGACAAGATCACTAAAGAGTTCCCACCTGGTAGTGGATTTGAATGACAAGTGGTAACATCTGTCGAGATGACGGAAATCTTGAAATATCTAGTGCTGGAGATTCGCCATAGAAGCCACGTTCCGTAGTCCCTGGTACCCCTGCTCCATCTGCTTGTTCTGCAAGTTGGAGGTGCTGCTCAGGTTTCGAAGCCCGCTTTGGTCAACAGGTTGCATGTTGGCCATGCCGTTCATTTCACCGGAGAAGTGACGTGGGACTTCTTCCACAGGAGCTTCCGCGGGGATCGTCACGTTTTGACCGCCGTTGGGATCTTGATACGACATCAAGCCATTGGATCCCTGCACTAGACGCCGTCTGTCGCCTTGAATATGTGGCTGCTCTTCAGGGCCGGCCTGGCCCTGAGGCCCCATGTACTTCATGCCTGCCTTGTTGGATTGAGGCGACAGCTGCTGCAGCGGTTGCTGAGAAGCATTTAGCGTGGTGGGTATCGTGCTGGGTATCAGGTGGAAATTTGGCTGCGAATTCACTGCTGCCTGAGCAATGTAGTCTGTCTGGCCAATTATGTTCTGCAACTGCTGGTACCCGCCAACGGCGTTGATCAACACAGGCAGGTTCTTCAAGCTTGTCACCACGCTTCGTAGCGTGAGAAGCTGTTCTCTGAGCTGGGTCACCTGTGCAGACAACTCCCGGTAGCCTGTGGAGTAGAAGGCCAACTCGTCCTCCATTTTCTGGAAGAGCTGCTTCTTACGCTGACGACACTTGGACGCAGCCACACGGTTACGTTCCAAGAACTGCTTTCTCTTTTCTTCTTCCTCGTCCACCGGCGTGGGTGCCTTCTTCTTCTTCTCTTCCTTCTTCTTTTCCTTCTTGGCACGAGGGTTAGCCTTTGCCTTCTTTGCTGGTGGCTCCTTCACCTTGGTGTCCTCCTCCTGCTTCACCACAGGCATAGGTCTAGGCGGTTCAGTAGGAATAGCGAAAGTAGGTTCGGGCTCTGTGGAGGCGGATGGAGCAGCACCGGCAGCAGGAGCAGATGCGGAAGGTTGTGGAGCGGGCACTGGGGCAGGACGGCTCTGAGAAGGAGGCTGGTACAGCTGTGTCTGTCTAACCGGAGCGTGGTTAAGGTGCACCGGCTGGGTCTGGCTCGAGGGACCTTCCTGGTTGCCCTGGTGGGAAAGACCCAAAAAGCTCAGCAATCCAGGCGTCATTTGGCCGTTGCTTAGTCCACCAGGGGTGAGTCCCGGGATGTGACCAAAGTTGAACGTCTGCTGACCCACACCCGGCGTGAAGCCCAGGCGTAGGTTCAGCTCGTTGGGTGTGAGTCCCAGTTTTCTCATCATATTGGCAAACTGTGCATAGTTCAGGTTCAGGCCCTGCTGGCCCTCGTGGCCGCCCTGGCCGTTGGTTGCATTAAGCAAGCTGCTCCAAAGACTCGATCCGGGAGTTTCGGGTGTTCCCATCGCCGCATTTGGAGAGAGATGGATCGGAGGAAGACGGCGGCCACCAGGAGTGAAAATAGGAGGCGTAAGGCCAGGTAAGCGGTTTTCAGAGGCAGCAACGCTCTGGAAGTTCAGAAGACGGAGGTTGTGCTTGTTAGACCCGGCCGATCCAGGCTCCTTATTCTCTGACTGGTCGGGCGCAGGCAGAGCCAGAGTAGCCGTAGACTGAGCCGAAGGAGCATGTTCTAGCTTGGAGGAAGCCAGCAGTGTAGGTGTTCCTTCAGTCTTTTCGATATTCTTTGGTTTCTGGCCGTTGGGCAAAGGTGGCTCTCCGGGAGCCATGCCCGTAGGGGCCTGTGGAGCAGCACCAGCACGAATATGGTTATCTGTAGGGGCAAAGGATCTTTCGAACGGGTTCAACTCTAAGTCGAACGAGTTCTTCAGCTGGATGTTAGTGTGACGTAATTCAACATGGGCCCGAGAGGTATAACGGTGGCGCTCTCGGCAGGTGATTTCAAATAATCTAAATGATAATACATACCTCACTGGACATGGTGTCGTAGTGGGAGACGGTTGAAGCGAGGGAGTCTTGGATCGTGCAGAAACTCACGTTATCACTGTCTGAAGTAAGCTTATTTTTTTTTTTTTTTTTTTTTTAGTGAGGTGTTTCTCATAGGCTTACGTCATGCCTCCTAGGCTCTATGTACACGAATGGGACAAAGGCCCGCCCTGAGTGCGACACACAAGATAGATGAGTGAGGATAAAGGGGATCGAGCTTCCGAGTGTCGCAGTCACGGATATGAAGGTATGATTTTTCTTGAACGCGTAACGTTGAATCAAAACTCGGCTCGGTGGATATTTTGTGCCCGTCAACTCACCGTATCCCTGGTTACTCAGCCACCTCGTCCCGCCACGCCTTCTCGATAGGCGCGTTCGATTGTTTGCAGCCATTCTTGCAACCATGTCTGCACCCGCAGGGTCGCCCATTATGATTATTTAGCCTGACCATTAAGAGCCTGGAGAACCTCCTGCTCAGCCTTTTTAAACTTCCGTGACTCTTCCTTGAGCAGCGGGTCTTTTTCTACCTCTTCTTGCACCTCTTCATCAATCTTTTTCGCCGCTGGCGCAGCCTTGGGGATGTTATTCTTGTCCAAGACCGCCTCATGCTTCTTGGCCTGATCAGGATTGCCCACAGCGTCGCTGAATTTCACGGCATTTCTGGGGTCGTCAAAGGAACGTTGCCAGCCGGTCTTGAATAGAGTACCCATCAGGAATCTAGGGAATGGATGTGCCTCTGTGTTGAACACATACTTGTCGAGAGGAATCTTGTCTTCGTCATCAAACAAAAGGTACAAGTACTTCAAGGTTTCGGCGAGCCAGAATGACTCCATGTTGTCGCCGAACAGAGGGTTGAGACTCGTCACATCCTTGAGCGTACTGTAAGTAACCTTCCCATTCTTGCTCACTACCTTCGTGTGCTTGATGAAACTCTGGAAAATCTCGTAACCCCATTTTCTGTACTTCTCGTCGCCCGTGAGCTTATACAAGTAGTAGAGGGACTCGACAGTCTCAGGTCTTTGCAAGTTGTGGGTATCAGCAGGTTTGATGTAAAAGTCTCTCTCCTTGGTGGCGTCTTCATTGAACACGACAATCTCAGGAGACAAGCCAGTCACCACATCAGCGTACATCTTGTAGCAGGTGTAGGTCAATTCTTCACCAAACTTGAAGTCCAGCTCCTTGTCTGCATCCCAGTTAGGCAGCTGGCGGGCCTCCTTCAACGTCTTACCACTAGTAGCTCCAAGAGCAAGTAAACCACCGTAGAAACAAACAAGGTGGTCCATCTTGGGAGACAAGTTTCCACCAACTCCACGAGGAAGCTCACCAATATAGGTCAAGCCGTTGGGCTCAGATTTCTTTGTCATCTTGGTCTTGACACCCTCGACAGACTCTTTGTACATCTTCCAGTAAATAGGTTCCTGTTGTTCCGTCTGTAAGTATTGCTTCAACAAGTACTCATAGTACGAGTCACCACGGGAACCCATTCTGATCAAGCTGCCCTGATATTTACCAGATTCAGGGTTCACGTAAATTGGCACGAGACCATCCTGAGGCTGGTTGGCATCCAAAACCTTCATGATCTCCTCGGCTTTCTTCCAGTATAACTCTTCACCTGTCAACTTGGCGAGGTACTTGAATTCAAGCTGCAACGTTGCCACTTCAGCTGTGGAAGAAGCTCCATTATCGACATGGTTTTTAAGGCCTTCTCCGCTGAGTAAGTTCACGGAAGAATAGGGAAGTCCCGTGGGCGAATCGAAACCACCGATAAGGGCATTGGCCAAATCGGCTGCTCTGTCCAAAAACAAATCATCGTTGGAGAGGTGGAACGCACTCAAGAGACCACCAAGCATACGGATCGTCGTCTCAAACACATTGACGTTGTAGTCGAAGTGGTAGTTCAAATCGCTCCGGACCCATTCCTTGGCCCGCTTAAACTCATCCTGGGTGTCCATGATCAACATGGTGTCCAAGGAGTCCACAATGATCCAGCCCAAAGGTTTAGGGCCCATGTTTTCACCGGTTCCCTTGACGGGATGATACACGTCCTTGCCAAAGGCGGCATCCTCATAGGCGTGCCAGGATTCCAAAAACACGTCTCTGACCTCGTTCTTTGCAACACTCCAGTCCTTCCTGAAGGCTGAACGGGGTGATGGCGTCGACGAGATCAAAAGGTAGAAAAGGTAGACCACCACTGACAGGGCGAACGCTTTGAGGACCATGACTTTTTTCAGATTGGGACGGCCTTTCAATGGAACAAAAGCAGAGCCGGCAGCAGCAGATGGCTTGTCTTTGTACAAGGGTAATTGGGGGGATTTGTTGAGATGGAGCCTGTCTTTTAGGGCGCTCATGTTTAAGAAAGCAGTTGCGGCTGTGAACCTGACTATTTTATTGTCGCGCTGAATACAGAACCCCTTGTTACGTGGGAACCCACACGCCAAGAACCCCTCCGTGGTTTCTGGTGATTTAATGGTCTTGTCCTAAGAAAGAGATGAATGCTGAGAATTTGATGCTTTAATGGTTTTTTTTTTTGGTGTTGTGTGGTGTGGATTATTAACGCTGTCCTGCGACAATTTTGCAACCACTGTGAAATTGGACAGATTGAGGGAGGATCATGATGAGAATATCTCGAACGAGGGTTGGAATTTACCTATGAATGTTTCGAAGGAATATGGTTCTGAGAGAGATTTAAAGAAGTCTGCATCCCCGTCACGTTGCGATTGTTCAGCGGTGCTTGAAACTTTTGGTGGTTTTCTAGTGCTAACAGTAAGACTTCGAGGTAGAGATCGCTTCGCTTGAAGAAAAATTGAAGAGCTTATTTACTTCAGCGTCGTGAAGGTACTTTACAATTGACCAGTCTGATTGAACTTCTCGAGCTTCAAGAAGAAATATGAACGAGGATGCCATACGTTCTCAATCATACCAGGTCAGACTTCCCTCAAGCTTCATAATATTGCCTTCTCAGGAACTCTTACGATGAAAATCAGCCACAACATTAGCTAACTCAGACTGCCCAAACATCCGTAGGTCCTAGGACAGGATCATGTTCGTCGGCTTTCCGTTATTACCACCACGCTTAAGACCTGAATGTGACGTAATGCGACAATGAGGACAGACTCGAGAACCCGCTCTCGAATGTGAAAAATCGATACGACCGTATTTGAAGACCACAATTGCCTACATAAAATATCTCCTACTATCCACTGTGGTATCGAATTCTTGCATGACGCATCCGAAGCCGTACTGTGTTGCGAATATGTAGGCGATAACCTTAAAGTTGATTATCTTGATTCAGGCGGCCTTACGACGTTTAGGCAGCATACAATAGATGTACAAATAGAGAATACGCAGATCAAGCCACTTTTCGGCTAGCTGGGCCTTGATTTAGTAGATACATTTCGCAAGTTGATGGACCACAGCACCTCCTGCATTTTCCGGCATTGGAGCCGTCCTGGGCCGTCCCTTCATCTAAGTATAAGCCTAGCAAATGTAGAAAAACACCACCACCTCAAATAAGTCCTTTAATCTTGAAATTCATATTGGACCCTTTATGACACGGCTGGATTATATAGTATCACCATGTGGCGGAGACTGCCTCTGTGGAACTTTCGCAGCCAACGCATATCGGCTATCCATGCCTAGTTCTTTAAAAGCGATGACAAAAGAGGGGACGGTGGCGACCAGGCCTAATCACAAGCGAGATTCCAAGAACAATATGTAAAATCGATTCGAACTCGAATTTTTCAGGGATTCCCGGAGATTATGCTCGAGAAGCTGCAACAGAGCTCGCCGCATCAGCTGCCAGGAACAGGTAGCCATTGAGCAACAAAAACCGTTTGTCTTCTGCCAACCGTAATTAGACCCCTGCAAAAAAAGGTTTTATCTGTGTTCTAGAATACCCATTGTTGGGAAATCGCAATTACACGGCAATCGTACAGAAGCCTCGGTGACCTCGGCCGAACAATGAATCATAGCACTTCGGACCAGTCAAGCCCATCAACACGTACGAAGAAGTCCTCTTAAAATATAGGCAATGTAGACCGAGTTTCATTTAAACTATCGGCCTACTTACCCCTGCCTGAAAAATACCGGCTCCGCTTGGCGTGCCAAGGACCTGTCAAACTCAAATCTGATAAACGGGCAGACCACGGCTAAACCGACCACTTCAGCCAAGACTATACAAAAGTATAAAAAGAAAGAATATCCCCCTAAATTAACTGCACTTTTTCTCCCTTTGTCCTATTTCCTCCTTCTGTAAGCTTGGGTGCAAACAGATCCGCCCCAGTCACATGAGCCCCTACCAGCCGAACCGATCAGTCGCACCTTCATCTCCTACAAGTACTAGGACATGGCTGAACACGAAAGAGACATGTCAAACCACCTGCTGCCCGCCGGAGGCACAGGCAGTCTGAGCGGATCGAAACGAGTCCGCAGAACAAAAGCATGTAAGCAGTGTCATGCTTTGAAAGTGAGATGTACCCCGTTGGACGAAAGCGATCCTCACCTGCCCTGTGTCAGATGCTCCAACGCAGGCAAAGTATGTGAAATCGACGTCGACCAGCCTCGCAAACGCCGTCGTCGTGCTGCTGGTAGCGAACTGGTGGCTGATCTCCATGAACAAATTGCTGAGTTGAAGGAGCAGCTCAGACAGCTGAATGCTCAACTCCAAGCCAAAAACCAGTCCAGCCCTGGTGTGAACCTGACCCCTCGGGTACCTGGGATCACTGAGACGCCTAGTGATACAGGGTCGCCTTTTTTTGTGTCGAAGGCCGATTTGGAACGAGAAATCTCCTTGCTCACCGAGGGCGGATCTAACTTGAGCGACATCACCTCGGTCATTAAAGAGCGAAGCGCCTACCGCAAAGCTCATATAGAGAAAACAAGGGTCAAGGATGTCGTCACGGCTGGAATAATCACCATGGAAGAAGCCTCGAAGCGTTTGCACATTTACAAGACAGAAGTGTTCAGAAGACACCCCTTGGTTGATGTGCCTCAAGATAAGCTGACCGAGCAGTTGATTGAGGAAATGCCTTTTCTTTTTAATACTGTGGTATCCATCGCTTCGCTCGTTATGAACAAGGACTCCAACACCGATATCTGCCTGCAAGTCGAAATCTTTGCGATCGAAGCCGTGTGCACCGAAATCATGGTGTGGGGCTCTAAGAGTGTTGAGCTCGTCAAGAGTCTCATTCTTCTCTCATTATGGTACAACTCACCGGAGTTTTTCAAGCAGCGCCGTTACCACATCCTCAACACCGTGTCTGTCAGTCTTTTGCACGACTTGGGTATTGTCAGCCGACCCTCCTACACCTACCTGACCGAGAACAAGACTATCGTCAAACAACAAGAGCAGCATACAGCTATTGAATACCGTGCCTTGATCATGATATTGTACATCAGCACTGTCAGCATTTGCTTGATTCTCCGGCGTAACATTTATGTCAAATGGACGCCTTACGTCAACGAGTGCTGCTTGTGTCTTGAAAAAGAGGACAGCGATCGCTTCCGGAGCTTGGCCACGTTTCTGAGACTCAATCATGAGTTGGAGAGGATCCATCACATCGTTCATGCTCCCGACTCCGTTGAGAACAAATCAGCGGTCTCCAAATATGTTATCAAAGAATTTCAGGGAATACTCTCGTCACTCAAAGGAAGAATTCATCCGGCAAACTACCTTCAGAAGGCCTACTATCATTCCATCGAAGCGTACCTTCACCAACCCGACTTCAACGAAGTTCAGCTTGTTAACACTGATGGAACCGGCTGTGCTCTGAAGCTTGATGCTACTACACTCAAGGCCATCTCTCAGTGTACGGTTTCTTGCCTTTGCGCTTTAGACGAAGTGGCGAAGCTCGAACCATCTGATGTTGCTGCTCTACCGTTGGTCTACTCCTCCAGAATCGTTTACACTGCAGGCATGTTGATGAGAATGAGATACTTGATCTTGTCGTTGCCTTCACATATCGAAAAGGACTTGGTTCCCCGCTATGCTATTCAGTCCATTCAAAAGCTCAAAAATCTAATATTCGAGACATCCCAGTCCTATCCCGCAAACAACTTCCTTCTTAAAATGAGATTGATCTTGCAACTTTTCATCCAAACCTATGTCACTCAGGTTCTGGACTTGTTGAAGAGTCATAGCGAGACACCCAACCAATTCAAACCGGTTTCAAAAGACATCAGCAGAAGCGAGCGTAAGCAGATGGCTCTTTTGGCAACAGACATGTTTAGCACTGGAGGCGGAATTATGACCACTGAATCGGGAAGATACAATGCTCCAGCCATGCACTTGGATCTTCTATCATACGCTGCTTCATTTAGGCGAATGAGTGAAGACGCTGGCAAGGGAGAACCTTTAAAAAAGGAGAACAATGGAGTCAATAACGGCACTCATCCTGTCCAGCTACCGGAGAATGTCGACATGTCGGCCGCCAACCAGTATCCACCACAGAACTTTGCAAATAGACCGATGCCGATGGACCCAGGCATGATGACAGGAAGCTCTGCAAACACAGGAAACACACCGCAGTACAACACGCCCATGCCAAACTACATGCCACAAGGACAGTATCGATATCAAGACCGTGGCAGTCAGGTACCCTCGGTGTTCGATAACAATTCGATGATGCAACCGAATCCGTCTATGTCTACGCAAGACGATTCGATGCAATTTCAGGGGACTGATGGACAAGAACTCGACAAAATGTTGGGCAAGGAGTCTGTCAACAGTATTAATGAGGAATTCTGGCTGTACCTCTTGAGCGCAGATTCTAACAAACTTCACTTCGCCCAAGACATGCCTGGCCCCAACGACGAGGTCTTTTTTATGAACTAATCGGCATATGTACTATAGAATAATAAGTTATTTGGAAATCTAAAAATATCCCTGGCCTCATGGTGGGTTAACCCTAAGGTGACGATGCTCGTCAATATGTCGCACACATCACCAAGTCCAGGTACAACCCAAATGGTTAGAGCTTCTTCCGCATTCACCTCCACCATAGATATCCTACGAGTGTTAGGCGGTGTACTTCTTGCAAACGCACTTCTATCTTGGTGGTTTACTGGATCTTCAACCTGGGGGTACGACGGTAAATGGGTAGACTATCGTTACCTCAAGCATCTAGCTATAGAACTGCCAGTGCAATTGACCCTTGAAGAATTGGCTAAATACAATGGTGATACTCCCGGGCTTCCTATATACGTTTCAATTAATGGAACTGTATATGATGTGACGAAATCGGCTAGAATATACGGCCCTGGTGGTGCCTACCATGTGTTCAGCGGAAAAGATAGTGCCAGAGCTTTTGTGACAGGCTGTTACGATAAGGAAGATGAACTTACACACGATCTTCGAGGTCTTGATCCAGAAGAGATCGAGGATCAGCTAGGTGGCTGGGTTCGTTTTTTCAGTAAGAATTCTCGTTACTGGGTCGCTGGAACTGTGGAACTACCAGAACCTACAGGTGAAATACCTCTGCCCTGTGATCATCAGAGATACCCTGGACATGCATGAATGAATTACTTTTGGATTTGCTGTAGTCTATACTTCTTTGGCAGCGACTTCCAAACTGCTTCTCAATACACCGAGGAGCTCGTCCTTGTCCTCGATGCCGATGCTTATTCTCACCAAATTTCTATCAACTCCCCATTTCTCGATCTCGTCGAGCTCCTGGTAGTGGGCGAGAATGGAGTATGGACAGGCCAACGTGAAGTTGGTGCCCAAAGATGGACCCTTATGCAAGTTGACGGCATTGAAGAATGTGATGCCTTGTCTGGGTTCCTTGAACAACATGGACATCAATCCACCGTAGCCACCATTTGGTGTTTTGACTGTGTCATAATGGTGCTTGGAGGGCGATAAGCGTGGGTAGAAAACCTCCGAGATAATATCGCTATCCTGTAGCAATTTGACAACCTCTTCAGCATTCTGGTCAATGATGCGTGCTCTGGCCTCGAAATCTCTGGAATTTCTTTCGAGGTAAAGCGCATCCTCGGCCCAATAAAGATCCTCATAGTTCTCATCGAAGTACTGTTTCAACCGCTTGTAGTTCTCCGACAATGGGTTCAAAATAAGCGAGCCACCCATCACGTTAGAATCTCCAGAGAAAACCTTGGTAAGCGAGGATACCACCATATCGGCATATGGCAACACAGAAATATTCAAAAAGTTACCCACGGTCTCGTCCACAATCACAAGGAAGTTGTATTTTTCGGAAAGAGCTTTGATGCGTTGCAAGTCTGGCGTCTTGAGAAGTGGATTCGATGGACACTCACAGAACAAAGCAGAGATTTCGGTCTCGCCAGACTTCAATTCGGCTTCGAGAGTATCCAAGGAAGCATCGTCGCCATGACCGAGAAAATAGCAGCCCGGACCAAATTTCTTTAAGATGTTGAGAGTATCAACGTATGGGAAGCCGAAACAGACAGATTTCTTGGGATTCTCTTCAACGGCGAGCACGGCCTGGTGAGCATTGAAGATAGAGGCCATTCCCGTTGGATAAAGGTAGACATCCGTTTCACTAAGAAACTTGCCTCTTCTAGCCTTGTCCATTTCCTCCTCCTGATTGTGTGATTTGTCGGCCTTACCACAGATACGTCTTCTCAATGCCAACTTAGCTTCCTTGGAAAATTTCAAGTCAAGCACTCTTCCATACTTTTGCTCAATGAAAGTGTTGAATTCTCTCTCAGCCTCCTCGTTCTGGCCCAAGGAGTTGGATCTCATGGATGCGGAGATAGAGGGAGATTTCTTCTGTATGCTCTGAGCCTGAAGCTCTTGTTTATTTCTTGACCTTGCTCTAGCCTGGTCTTTGCCCTCGTTGTCAAACAACTCTTTCAAGACGTATTCACCCATTCTAGATGAGATACCTTCACCGGAGTGCTGCCAGTACTGCTTAGCCAAAGGAAATTCCGAGGCTGGGAAAAGAACAATACCGATTTCGGACTCGATCACGGAAGACTTTTCAAAATCAGTAGTGGGAGCGGGTGTTCTCAAACGTAACACTCTGACCAATATGTTTGGAGTCTCGGTCTTCTGCTTGATGAACTCACGACACCTCTTGGCCGTGTTGTAAGATGGAAAGATCATACATCTCTCGCCCTCACGCCCATACTTGGATTCAATAGCTTTCGCCAAATCTTGAATAATCAGATGAATGAAAAACCTGGGGTATCCAGAATTCATCTTACTGGTGACCCATTCCTGGCCTTCTTCATAACCGACCGTGGCCTCCCAAGTAGGTAAAGTCACAGAAATAGCATGGGCTGTGTTATCGGGAATGGGCGTGCCTACTTCCTGAGAGGGCAGCTGCAGCATTGTTTTGGTCTATACGAGTCTTTTATGTTTTTCAGATCTAATCACCAACTTTTTTTTCGTGGGGAATGCATCTGCGACTCTGACTGATTTTGCAAATACTGCACTCAATGAGGAATTGATTAGCTATATAACCTTTGATGAAATGCAAGCGGTGGGTGGAAAACCCTTATATTGAATTAGCTTGCGATTTCCCGATGAGTAAGATGATGATGATGTAGTAAAGTGAACATTTTGTTCATGCAACTTCTTTTTCCTCAACCTTTGATCTCCCTTCGATCTGATACTTCTATGATTTGATGCAATTAACAGATCCCTCCTTGAGACGCTTCAAGTCTTGACCGTTAGTAGTACCATTGGCCACGGGCTTTGTAGCGGCTGCATCGGCAGAGCCAGGAGCTTTGCTTCTGTTGTGTTGCATATGGGACTGAACCAAGTGGCCGGCTGCCAAAGCAGAACAGAGAGAAAGTTCAGCAGCCAACACAGCGGATGCAATAATACAGGCAAGACGTCTGGAGTTGTCACCAGGGTTTTCAGGGTGAGGACCACGGACACCCAACAAGTCCAACATGGAACCTTGGGCCTCCAAGATGGTACCACCACCGATGGTTCCGACCTCGATCGAGGGCATAGAAACGGAAATTTGAAGATCGTCTCCGACCTTGTTCATGAGAGTGATACAGTTGGAAGACTCCACATTTTGTGCTGGGTCTTGACCACATGCTAAGTAGACAGCAGTGACCAAATTAGCAGCGTGGGCATTGAAACCACCAACAGAGCCAGCCATGGCAGAACCAACCAAGTTCTTGCTGACATTCAATTCGACCAACGCGTCAACGTCAGACTTCAAAACCTTCTGCACAACATCTTTAGGAATTCTTGCCTCAGCAACAACAGACTTACCTCTACCCTCGATCCAGTTGATCGCAGCAGGCTTCTTGTCCGTACAATAGTTACCAGAGACGGCAATAACAGACATATCATCAAAACCGCACTCCTCCGTCATGAACCTGAGAGAGTGTTCAACACCTTTAGAGATCATGTTCATACCCATGGCGTCACCAGTGGTGGTCTTGAAACGAATGAAGAGCAAAGTTCCAGCAATAGCGGTCTTGACATGTTGCAAACGGGCAAATCTGGAGGTGGAGTTAAAAGCTTTCTTGATAGATCTCTGACCATCTTCAGAGTCCAACCAAAGCTTACAAGCACCAGCTCTAGCCAAAGATGGGAAGGAGACACATGGACCTCTGGTCATACCGTCTTGGGTCAAGATAGTCTGAACACCACCACCAGAGTTAATGGCCTTGCAACCACGCATAGTAGAAGCAACCAAACAACCTTCGGTAGTAGCCATAGGAATGTGGTATGGGGTACCATCAATGATCAATGGACCGGCAACACCAACTGGCAATGGCATATAACCAATGACATTTTCACAACAAGCGCCGAACACACGATCATAGTCGTAGTGGGCATATGGAAGTCTTTCAGTGTCAAGCACTGGGGCATTGGCGAGCTTAGCGATGGCCTTACGACGAACAACAACAGCACGAAGGTTGTCACCTAACTGTTTTTCCAAAGCATAAAGGGGTAATTTACCTGAGACAACCAAGGATGAAACCTCGTCGTTGTTCAACTCTCTGACCTTGCCTTCCGAAAATTGCTTGATACATTCTTCAAGAGGCAATTGCTTAACAGATGCATTGAACGTGAGGGCACCATCGTTGGAAGAACTGTCATCCGTGTCGTAAGTAGGGGCCTTCTTCTTCTTCAGTTTCTTGGACTTTCTCGAAGGCTTGGCCAAAGAGCTGAGCTGAGGTCTCGACATCTCTCTTTCAACTAATTTGTTGGTGGCATTGCGCTGGTAACGCGTGGCATTCAAAAAGTAGGCGTTGAATGAGATGGAAATAGCAAAGCCAAATAAAAGAAATTTGGAGATCAAGCTATCCTTGATGGCACTGGAGATGGTGGTCAAAATTGTGGAAAGAAGATCCTCGAAGGTGACAAGAAGGCCGTTTGGAACGTACACCTGAGGTTTGAGAATAGACACAACAGTTCCCTTGGAACCAATTTGAATTTGCTTGGCGGCGATCTCAGAGAGCGAGGTGGTATCATTGAAGAGCTCACTTGAGGTGCCGTACAACCAAGAGCTGCCCAACCACAAACCGTGGAAAGCAAAAAAGATTCCAAGCAACATGACTTTGAAAGACAAGACGGTCGTACGGGAGTCGCCCTTAGGGTACTCATTCTTGGCAGAGCGGTTGGCAATCGATGCCGCAACGAAGGAAGAGATGCCCTCTTCCTCCAATGCAGTTTGAAGATCGTGAGTCCTGCGAGCTCTGTTGATTTCAATCTTTAATCCGAAGACAGCAGAAAGGAAGGTGTAGGTGAGTAACAAGTCAAATGCCAAGATTGTACTGCTTAACAAACAGAAGTTTCTCAATCCTTCCATAGATGCGGCGTACAACAATGCCAGAAGCAAGGCAATAATGACTGTAACATGGTCTCTTAATAAGCTTGTGGTATGGCTGGCAATTGCAGACGAGACAATGGTCTTCACATCAACGTTGGAGGTCGACTGACTGATGATGGCGGAGGCAATGGAAATTTTGTGTTTGAAGCCAATAATGGCAGTTAAAAAGGGGATACCTTCAGTCATACTGAGCAAGGAAACCTTGGTCTCAAAGATTTTTGTCGTCACAGCCAAGGCAAAGATGAATGCGAATGTGGAGGAGATGATGATGGAGAAACCCAACCAGAGGGACGAGTCCTTGCGCTTCAAATCGATAAACACCTTGATAATTGTGTAGGCCATGGCAATGTATGCAACGGTGATCAAGCCAATGTCGAAGGTTTCGGCACCCTTGATCAAGAAGCAGACCTTCTCGTAGGCCAGCTTACCATGCTCTAAAAGACGTGCCACCTTATTATGGGAACGGGCCTTCCATGTGACGCCGTCCGCGGTGATCCTGGTCAAGCTGCCCAACTTCGAGTCCAATGCATTACTTTTCACCACTAAGATCTTCTCGTAGTGGGCGCCAGTAATAGTATCTGGAACATTAGGCAAAACGTGATTGTGCTTTCTTCTGAACACCAACGGCACCAAAGATACAGCGTCAGCGTCCGGGTAGGCGGCAACATCGTCAATTTGAATCCATTTCAGGTAATCGCTGGAGCCCTTGGGGTGGTAATAGCTCACGGAGCCGTTGTTCTCCAACAGACTAGGGATGTACTCGTCTACCACGGCGAGGTAGGCAATGGAAACGAGTAAGGAGGTGATTAGCGTCACGTGGATCGGCTTGTGGGCTGATAGCCTGGCCAAGTTGGCGGTGGCTGTCTGTAAATAATGGAGCATCTGATCTATTGAAGTGTAGAGAGATGCAACCCACGCATAAGGCTGACTTTTTTTTTTACTCGTTTTTTCTGCCTTGTACGAGAATACGACCCGCGTCTCCAGGGCTTGGTGCACGGGTGCGGTCCCAACACTGGCTGCGAAAGACATATAGTGACTAGTGGGTGAAGCCAGAAAGTGGGTGCGGTTTGTTCCTAGATGTACCTGGACTGAAATGAACCACCTGATCGAGTGAAATTGGAGAAGATGCAAAGTATGTGAGTCAATTCTTGGAGCGGACGAGGTAACAATTTTTTCAAATGTAAACTGTTTCGTTTTCACCTGGTATATTTCTGCAATTTGCTGGTATTTTTTGCAAGGCGTTTAGGCTTGTCGATCTCTGAAATTAAGATGTGGTAAAGTTTAGTGCACTGAGATCGCGATACATTGGCCATGAGCATCTCCTGACTCGTCTCTACTCTGTACACGTCGTGGAGAACTGTACCGGTAAGACTTGGAGTGGATACAAATTTTTTGGGATTTTGTCATACGTTATTTTTTTTTTTTTTTTTTTTTGTTTCTCAGTAGTGTTTTATGAGAGCAAAACCTGCCCATGTTGAGGACTAGTGAAATCGAGATTTGACTCTCAACGAGATCGCACACACAAGAACGGGTAAATGGAGAATAGCAAATGATTTGGCCAATTTTTAAAGGGCCCATTCGGCTTAATTTTCCTCTTTAGATACTTCTCCTCAACCGGAGCCGACCTTCTTTGATGGGTTTGAAAAATCATGGATTCATTGGTCGGCTGCAAGTCACCCTTCCGGTGGCTCTCCTCCGCCTCAAATTCTCCAAATACTTTCGATTCACCAATAAGAATCACCAGTGTGCCACTATTCATGCCCGGTTACCTCGAAAATGGCTTGAAGACCTGCGGACGGACGAATAATCACCAATGACATTCGAAGAAAGATTTTGTAGTTGATTTGGAACATTCACGTTCAATTAAAATAATGGTAACGCAATTAATGATCAGTAATGTTTGAAAAGAGATCATCTTGAAACATTGTAAGCTAATCAATGCAAAACAACGCTACTGGAAGTAGTAGCGCGTGAAGGGTATCTCCGCAGAGCGTTTGCGATGATCAGCAGGTCTCCGCCATCTAAAGCTCAGTTCCGCTCACTCACGTAGTTGAATTGAGGCTTTGACGGCTCTTCTTGCTTTACAGGAGATGGTGGTGGAGTGCAGCATCAGAGACTCCTTTGGATTGGCTTCCAAAATGGCTTTTGGTTTCAGAAGTCGTTCTAGAAGGTGGGACATTCTGACTTGATAAAAATAAGTTAAATCAGGAGCAAGCTAATTTTCAGACGACAGACGGATGTAACTGCTTGAACATGCTGTAGACGGCATTGCATTGGATGACATTACTGTTCCCAACCTATGGCTGCATTTTCGTAGCTGATACTTCCATTACTGGAATTCTCGCTAAGCGAGTGATATACTCGCTAAACGATTTGACGAACACGGCGAAAGCCACTGCAGACTCCAGCCCCTATCGTGGTAAGCCTTACAGGGTCCAGAAGTTGCTTCGTGGAATGCAGCTACATCACACCTAGTTCTACAGGCTTTCAAAGCACATTTCCCATCTCAAAAAAAATAAATGAATTCATCGAGATTCCTGGAAACTCACCTCGTGGTCCTTATCAAGATCATCAAGTGATCCAAGCTCAATATTAATTGCGTTGATCTTCGAGCGCAAGTTTTTGCCCTGATTCACGAAAGGCTTTGAGTCGGCTGGAGAAGTTCCGCAAAAGCCGAACGTAAGCCTTGTTGTACCTTGGTATCGTAAGCCTACTACGCAAAATGGAGAGCGACGCGGTTGCAAAATATGTTTCTGGCTCTCGTCAACTCAGCGCTTTTACGGATTGCCAGAAAAAGGAAGCCATAAAAAAAAAGTGTCGCTTGATCTACCGTCTCGGAATTAAAGACAGTAAAGCGATTTCCCAATGTGTGTGTTTATGGTGGACGATGCTGCCAAGTGCAGACACTGACAGACGGTTTTCCTTGTTGAGGCAGAATAAAGGGTTCTGCGGGAGCGAAACTATGGACGAGCGAACCAGACGACGTTCTGGACGCTGCAGCTTGCAATGGCAGAGAGAATTAAGCTATTTTTACAAGAGGAGAATTCCCCTTTGTGGCATAGGGTTGTTTCCAATGTATATCCCAATCAGGAAATGTCATGGAGGACGGTGTCTAGAGTGCGCATTTTCCCAATGTAAGCGAACTATGGGGTTTCTATAGTAGGACAAGAGGCCTTTCTGCAGGCTGAATTACCCGATGCGGAAATGACGCCTTTTGCAGCCCACAGACAGGCTTCCATATTCTGTCTTATCCTAAAATGTGCCTTGTGCTTTAACTACACAAGGTATATGGGCTGCTTGCATACTCCTGCTTCCAACAATTCCCTGTTTAGGCACTCACCTCAATGAATTCTGTGGGCCCTCTGCCCTGACGGGCCCCATATAAGTATCCCAGCTTCCTCCCACTTCCGTTCCTCTTTTTTTTTTTAGTTACATCGTTATTCACTAATCACATCATGAAGGTCCAATCCGTCTCAACTACTCTCGCTCTCGCTTTGATGACTTCGGTCCAAGCTGCCCCAGCTAACTTTGGCACTGCCGAGACTGGTCTCTCTAAAAGACAGGAGGACCAGATCAAGGACATCACTGCCTCTGTCCAGCAGTTCCAGGCTAAGAGATCTGAGATTGTTGACCCAGTTGAGCTCCAGGCCAGAGAGTACGCTCTTGTTACTCAGATCTTGGCTGCCATTAACCAGACTGGTCTTGCTCCAAAGATCATCCAGGGTTTGGTTACCAACAAGAATCTTCAGCCAATTGTCACCGAGGCTGCCGTGCTCATCATCAGATCCGGTCTCATTTCCTTGGACACTTTGTTCCAGGCTTTGGATAAGTCTGGTTTGGCTAAAACTGTTATCAAGGACCTTCTTAACGACTGTACCTTCTACGAGGACATTTTCAAGTTGGCCTTGCAGGTTGTCTCTGACTTGATTGGCAAGATCGAGGAGAAGATCAGCGACGGTACCGCCAAGAGATTCGTCGAGGAGGAGGAGTTCGCTCTTCCACCACAGGTCAAGAGATCTGTTGAGGAGAACGAGGAGTTGATGAAGAGATACGATGAGGACGGAGTTGTCAACAACTTGTTGGAGTCCTTGGCCAACTCTGGTTTGGCTTCGTCTGTTGTCAGAACTTTGCTCGTGGACCCACAGTTCTTGGAGTACGGTGTTGACTTGATCAAGGAGTTGTGGGACCGTGACCTCATTGACATCACTGCCATCATCAAGGCTATTGCCAACTCTGGTTTGGTTACTTCCTTGTTCAATGAGTTCTTCAACTTCGAAACCTTGAAGACTGTGATTGTCAACGCTTTGGCTGCTCTCTTCGGCCAGTGTGACGGTTCTACCATTTCTGGTTCTCCAACTGGTCTTACTACCCAGTCCACCTCGACCACCACTCTTCCTACCTTCACTGCCACTGGTACTTCTGTGCCAACTGGCTGTAAGAAGAGAAGAAGAAGAAGATCTTACAACTACTAAATGGTTGAATGATTTTCATCAAAAATGGGAAAAGTTCCACACAAAAGCTTCCAGTTCGGGTACACTTCTTTTTATGCTGAGTTGTGCTCGACATGTCCTTGAAATGCCCAATCCATCCGAAACGCTGAGTGCTAATTACCAACAGCATATACCTTGTGCTCTGTGAGCACGTTTATTACGTTTTCTATTCGATATCTTCTTTTTTTCAACTCCACTTTTCTTCTTGCTGATTTCGGTCATTTATTAAATCCATTTCATAGGACATGTTGAACATACTCTAATCAATGATTTTCAAAGAAATAATTTTGTAGAATTAGACTTCGACTCGATGCTCTTGAATCTTTGGCTGCGAAAAAATTTCCTATTTGAGAAATGTCTGAGAAGGGTTAAACAGGCTACATGCTCCCTCTTTCACTGCAAATGGAAGTCACTAAATTTGGTGCCCTCGGCGTCAACAAACTGCGATTTATTTTAACTTGCATTGTCATTGTTTCCAAATTGAGGAAATAAGGACCTTAACAAAGACGCCTACGTTAACTTAACAAGGCAATTGACAGGTCTAGAACCCATTTTCCAACTGCTGTCACCCATAATAATGGCGACGATTGAAAGCTTACGGCCGGATCCCAGATGACCCGAGTCGAGAACTTTGCGTTTTCGTGTTTACGAGGCTTGTTTGATTTCGAATACCTCGTGTAATCGAAGCACGCTTCTCAACACGGCAACCTTTTATCCACATTGAGTTTCTTGCCTTACTTCGTTAACTCACATCTGGTTCTATTTTAACGATTACTGATTAGGAAGCAGCCAACTTGGGCCCAGTAGGGCTGATGGTTTTTCCAAGACACAACCTTCTGACCTGATGCGTAGAATTCGTTCAATGACCTCCAAAGGTTCTTGGCGCCCCGTAGATTACCATACTAGTCAAAGACAACTGATTCTTACTAGAGTTTAACCCAACAAAAAAAAAGAGGTCCCACTGGGGTTCGAACCCAGGTTACCGGAATCAGAATCCGAGGTGATACCACTACACTATAGGACCGGTACCTCTTGCCATCGGTGAATGCAGACTCATTATATAGCGTCAAATTTGCGAACTCGAAAATGTGAAAAAAGTCAATCTTTCAAACCGAATTTTTTACTATTCGTAAGTGCAACTTCTTATGACACCCTTGTATCATTTTGGCGCCTCTATCAGCCATAGCTGGCCTTGAAAATCGAAAAGAAGTCTCTCGATTAAATGATGAAAGATTTCTTAGACTTCAAACCTTGGCTCTTAAGCCATCGTGCATGTCTCATTTTATAGCGAAGACATCGAAGAGGCAGCAGTTAAGACAGTGGTAGCCTCAATGGTCTCTTTGTTCCTGGCCCTTGGACAGATCAAATCACCCGACTTGCGCTGACTAAGGAGGGATGAGCTGAATAAATTCTAGCTCATTCGAGGAGTTAAATCAAAAATTGAAAGACCCACACAAACCCTGGAGCAAGCCTATTGTATCCAATCAAAGTAGACCATCCGAAGACGATCCGCTCGGAACACACAGGCCAACTCCATTAAAGGGAGAGTTGGCAACAGCTCCTTGCAGCGCTGTGCAATGCAAACAAGGTGCCGCGATTACAAGACTACTTGATCTCCTGTAATATCTCAAGGTAAGTATGAGAAAAAAAAAGAAAAACCTTCAACGGTGGGCGCGATCTGTGCCTTATATAGTAAAGTTTTGAAAATATGTGCAGTACCAAACGGGCTATTGAGGATGGAGGAGTGAGTGAACGGCAAAATGATACACTTCATCGGATTTTGTTAGCATTTTTTTTACCGAATGCAACTCTTCCAGTGAATTTTTGGTACAGGATGCTCTAACTGAAGTGTGCCATAAGTGTTAGATCAGGGTAGGGCCCGCTCAAATGTTGCTTTGAAACGGTACCGGTTCCACTAGGATCCAGACCTCACAAATCTCACCTTTCTCGGCCGATGAGTAACTAAAATGCCAAATGTTTTCATAGGAGCTTATGTTTTGCATCGATATTCCATGACTAGTCACTTTTAAAAAATTGTTAACCTTCTAAATAAGATCATGTGACCTTCTTATATACAGGCCTTGGTGTTTCTGATCAAGATTTGTGGGTCCCTTCTCAGAAGTTATAGGGCGTGTGGCGTAGTTGGTAGCGCGTCTGCCTTGCAAGCAGAAGGTCACTGGTTCGAATCCTGTCTCGTCCATAATTTTTTCGTTTCTTGATATGATGCTTTTCCTTCTTTTTTTTCTTTATTCATCTTACGCCTTGAAAAAGCTATAGTTTGATTGTCAGGTGAGTACTTCTCTGGCTTTGGTTCTTGCGCTCACTCAAAAACCACTGTAACTATCTTACCTACTTTCGAGCGCGCAGATTCAAAACATCACCGCGTTCCATCACATTCAAGAAACACCATGCCAGGGTATGTACAAAACAAAAACAACAAAATAATGGAAACTAACAACCAGGGAAATAATAACAATTCAGGCTGGCCAGTGTGGTAATCAGGTTGGTCTAGAATACTGGAGGCAGTTGGCCCTAGATCATGGCATTGCACCAGACGGAACACCACAACCTTATGTCAGTGATGATGTCGCTTTCGAAAGCGATAATGCAGAATTCTCAAAGAAGCCACAAACTCAGAGACCTGATGTGATGGACTCCTTCTTTACCCTAAGCGAGCAGAACAAGTTTACCCCAAGATCCATACTAATAGACCTCGAACCATCGGTGGTGAACAAAGCCACCTCGAAGCTTCCAATGTTCAATCCTCGAAATATTCACCTAAGTGAGACTGGAAGTGGTGCAGCCAATAACTGGCAACACGGCTATGTTTACGGCAGAAATCACGAAGAAGAGATGATGAACTTGATAGACAGAGAGTTGGACAAGTGCGATAACCCATCGGCCTTCCAACTCATGCATAGTGTTGCAGGTGGTACTGGCTCTGGAGTTGGGAGCTTGCTACTTGAACTATTAAATGATAGATATGGCAGCAAGAAGATTGTTAGCACTTTCTCTGTCTTTCCGTCGAACGACAAAACTTCTGATGTTGTGGTCCAGCCATACAATACGATGCTCACTCTCAGAAGATTAATTGACTTCGGTGATGCCACCTTTGTGTTTGATAATGATTCATTGAACGCCTTGGGCAATGCTTTTATTGGATCAGGGTTGGAACGAAACTTGAGCTCCTCAACTGCATTCGAGAGTGCTAACAAGCTAATAGCGTATGTCGCAGCTGGTATCACCAATCCGCTAAGGTTCCCAAGCTACATGTACAGCTCCTACGAGTCAATCATCTCGACCGTAGTTCCGACACCTGAACTCAAGTTCCTCCTGACATCAATCGCTCCGTACTCTAACATACCCAATGTTGTTCCTAATCAGAATTACGTGAGCCTCAATGAATATGACATTATACTTGAGCTTTTGAACGACAAATATAAGCTCAATTCCTACAAAGAGCCTCTCAAGTACATCAGTGTGCTTGACTACGTGATCGGGAAGAATCTCAATCAAAAGGAAATTAGAAGAGGTATCCTTAAGGCCCAACAGCGACTTTCCTTTGTACCATGGACTCCTAGCTCGATTAGCGTCGTCAATGGTAAGCAATCGGCGTTTACAAGTCAACAGGAGAAGCGCTTAAGCGGAATTCAGGTATCTAACAATACTTCAATCGTGCATCTACTCAGCAAAACGGTCAAGCAGTATGATTTATTGGCTAAGCGTGCAGCTTATATCAATTTCTACACTACATCCAATGATGCTTCGGAGAGGCAAGAAGTATTGGATGCGTTCGAGGAATGCAAAGAGACAGTGCGTCAAACTATCGACGAATACAAAGCATGCTCTTCAGATTCTTATCTTGGAGATGATATTATTGACGAAGAAATGACCTAAACACAATTTTTTGAAAGGAAGGAGACCTCAATAGTGGGTAGGCGCTCTCTGATTAGAAATCGCACCGCTGTGGATTTAAAAATTAGTGTGGGAGGCGCGCCCTTATCAGTGCCCGCATGCTGCATCAGTAAGCGACCGCTTTAGGAGAAATTTGAGCAACAACCACTTCTTTTTCAATTGAGGCTATTCTTTACGTTTACGATGTCGCATTTGATTTCTCAACGGGCCAACTCTAGACGGAGACTCCATTTTGCTTTGTTCGACACGGATGATGCTCCGGAGGGATTTGAGCCACACCCCGACCCTTTGTGGCTTGATGCTGGCATGCCTAACGCCGGGTTCTTTCCAATTGAGCTGTTGCAAGTAAATGTTGTCGACTATCCTTTCCAGAAGTCATTGCTGTTGCCTCTAGGCAATATTTCATTGGAGAATTTAAACACTAGTGGTTCCGGGGTAGAGGACTCCTTAAAACGGTTAACTACTACAGGTGAGTCTAAAAACCACGTTATAATCCCCAAAAAATCACAAGATCTGAAGCTTATTGACTTGAGTCGTGGGTTGCAGTACTCGGAGGTAGAAGGAATTCCTCAGCTTCTTCAGTTTACAAGAGATCTTATCAAGAAAGCACACCCTCCTAAGTACGAAGATTGGACGACTATTCTCTCTAACGGAGCTGGTGACGGCCTTAACAAAGCTGCGGATGCTTTTTTAGATCCTGGTGATATCATTTTGGTTGAAGAATTCACGTTCACTCCTTTTTTGCAAAACATCAACAATGCTGGTGCCATCCCTGTGCCCTTGAAGTTGGATCTTGATAGTACTCCTGACAAGAGTAATGGATTAGATATTGATTATTTGATCAATTTGTTGGAAAACTGGGACGAGCTTCAACCAGAACATAAAGGGAAGAAGCCGAAAGCTTTGTACACCATCGCCTCAGGTCAGAACCCCACTGGATTTACCCAATCCGTAAAGTTTCGTCAGCAGGTTTACAATTTGGCTGAAAAATACGATTTTGCCATCATTGAAGATGATCCTTACGGATATTTGACATTGCCGCCATTCTCTAATCCGGATGGATTGGCGAAAATGACTGACTTCTTGACCGTTGAGGACTTTTTGGAAAACCACTTAATGCCCTCTTATCTCACTTTTGATACCTCGGGAAGAGTTCTTCGTATCGAGACGTTTTCGAAGCTTTTTGCTCCTGGATTGAGACTCGGCTTTATTGTGGGTCACAAGGATGTCATCCGTGCAATCTCTAATTACGCCAATGTGGTAACTAGATCGGCATCCGGCACGTCTCAACTCTTGGTCAACAATGTGATCGAACAAAGCTTTGGTGGAGTTGAGGGTTGGCTCAAATGGGTCCTCAAAATTAGACTCGCTTACATTAACCGAAGGAATGTTCTTCTTGGCGGGCTTTATGATCTGGATGCTTACAAGAATGGTTATTTTGACATTATTGATCCGCGGGCGGGAATGTTTGCAAGTGTGATTGTCAATTTCCCTGAGGGAACAAATGTGCCTGAAAAAATGAAGTTATTGCAATTCAAGTTCCGTGCTATTGGCGTCAAGGTTGTCACTGGCCTCAACATGGCCATTGATAAGAAGTTCAGCGAGCCAAGAGGCAATTTCTTCAGATTGACTTACGCGGTTGCAGGGTCAGACCATGATCTCCGTGAGGGAGCACAGAGATTTTCTAAGGCTATATACGAGTTCTTTCAAAAAGGCTTGAAGTATTAATAAATCAATTTTATGACAATTCTTAAGTGTCAAAGGAATGCATTGTCTGGAGGGCTATGAGGTCCAAGAGTGCATATTCACCCCTTGAGTTTCTAGTAGTGACATCAGCAAAGACTCCAATCATCCACTGAAATAAGCACCAAAGGCCGGTAATATGTCTTTCAATTTCTCCAGCTTCACCAACAACTTGAAGGACCTTGGTGACAAGGTCTCTACCGAATTCAACAATGAATTCATGCCCTTTGCTCAAAGGACTTCAAGAATGGTCCAGGAGAGAATGGGCAAGGTTAATGTTGACGAAATCAGTCAATTACCCGAGGAGTATCGTGAATTGGCTGACAAGTGTAACAATGTCGAGAAGTTGTACAGAAATGTTTTGAAAATCACCCACAACTATGAGTCGGAGTCATATGACTACCCTACCAACTTGCAAGAATCATTCACTGATTTCAGCAAGAACATCACAAACAGAGTGTCCAACTTGTCCAAGGCAACCACTCCAGCAGAAGCACAGGCCGCATTGATTAATTCTGAACATGGCGAATTCAAGCCTCCCAAGACATTGTATCACGCTCTCGCCCGTGCCACGGATGGTTCTGTCTTGACATCCTCGACAAGCAAAGACCAAGACCCTTGATCAAAGCCTTAGATTTGTACTCCGGCAACTTGAACAAAATCGCCAATGCTAGACTCGGTCAGGATCAGTTGATCAAAAACAAGTTCAACAAGCCATTGACCTCAACGTTGAGATCTTTGCTCTCTCAAAGCTCGAACATCCAGAAAAAAGTCGAGCAGAAGAGAATAGACTATGATTTGGCTAGGCAAGCTTTGACTAACTGCACGAATCCTTCCAAGGAGCCTCAATATAGGGTCGCCATGGAAAACGCAGAGGACGAGTTTGCAAACACAGTAGAGGACGGTATCAGTGTCATGCAGAATGTTTTGGAGCACGCCAAGCCTCTCGAAGAGCTTTTGGAATTGATCAAGGCGCAATTAGCCTACCACAAGTTGGCCTCTGAGTTGTTGGGCAACATGGTTGGCGACTTTGAGGGCTTGATTGAAGAAAACAAAAACGCACTGGGTAAAGGCTCTGGCCAGCGCAACTCCGAGTCCGGCGATTTCGATATCTAGTGAATTGATTTATGTACTTTTGTGTATGACTAGCTTTGTGCCTTCAAGGCAGACAACCTTATGTCGGTCGCCGACGCCGTTTCCTCGAAACCAAAGTTTCCTTCCAATAACTTAGCATGAATAGATTGCAAAGCTCTGATAGTATCATTAGCATTGATAACAGCAGAAATGTTGATCTCATTAGCACCTTGACTGATCATTTCAATATTGATACGCTCATCTGCGAGAACCTTGAACATGTTACCGGCAATACCAATGAAGTTCACCATCTGCTTACCAACAAGAGACACAATGGTCATCTCTCTGGTGACGTCCACTGTACCCATTTTCCTCAAATCCTTCAATGCCTCCTTGAGGTTGTGCTCCTCTTCACTTTGAAGTTGCATGGCCATGGAAACGTGCACCTCAGAGGTGGAGATCAAGTCCACCACCAATCTGTACTTATCCAAGGTTGTGAAGATGTGAGCCAAGAAACCGTGAGATAGCGTTTTTTTGTTGGAGTGAACGTTAATGACGACGATGTTCTGCTTGGCAGTGATGGCAGTGGCAGATCTCTTTTTATGCGTTTGGATATAAGAATTGGGAAGCGTCTCGTAAGCAGCTGGCGGGTGGGGCGGCGTAGCTTCGCCTCTTCTGCCAATATTGTCAGGATAGATGATAGTGCCTTTTCCGGAAGGCTTGATGACATTTTTTATTCTGATTGGGATTTTGGCCTTGATTACCTGTTCCATGGTGAATGGATGGATCACTTCGGAACCATAGTAGGTCAATTCAGCAGCCTCGTCTGGTGTGACGGAATCGAGAAGTCTGGCTTTTGGCACTTTTCGAGGGTCGGCTGTGAAAATACCATCCACCTCTTTCCAGATTTGAAGCTCATCAGCCTGGACACCAACTGCGATCAATGCAGCGCATAAGTCGGTGTACCCACGGCCAATACCATTAAGAAGACCACCTGGAACGACGCCAAAGTAGCCAGTGAAAACTGGAATGACATCCTCACCTTGAGAGAGGGCAATTTTAGCGAGCTCACCAACGAGGAACAGATAGAATGAGTCGTCAAAGCCCTTCGAGATATCGTAGTCAAGAGGGATAATATGGGACAAGTCCACATAAGCAGAATTGAGACCATGGTCTTTCATCAAAGCTGCAATAAAAAGACAGGACAATTTTTCGCCCACAGACATGAGACTGTCTAACGTTCTTGGACTAATCTCACCGATGATTTGAGATGCATGCAAAAGTTCCTTAGCTCTGGCGACTTCCAGTTTGGAGTCTTCGATCAATTTATTTTGGAGATTTGAGTCTTTCACTTTTTCCTTCGCGTTGTTGACGTGATCGTCCTCGATAACTTTCAATAGGCTGTCGTAGTCTCCCATCTCGGTAGCCAAGTCCGCCGATCTGAGAAGTCTTGAAGTGGTACCTTCACTTTTCGTGTTGGAAGATCTGGCAGAACAAACAACAGCAACACGATGCAGTTTGCTGTATTCCTTGACTATATCATCAACAATGTTCTCTGGGAACTTTCCAACAGAGGTACCGCCAAACTTCTGGACGATCCAGCCGCCAGTAGAGATCGACTTGAAATCGAGTACAGAATTATATGAGCTTGCGGCCGAAGAAGGTAATGATGAGCCCATCTTGGTAAGTGTGAAGAATTTTGAGGCGGAATAAAGTCAAAAAAGTATGGTTTTGTAATTTTTCAGTAAATGAGTCAAGACCCTGTCGGTCCTGTGTCGGATGATTCATGTCCTGCCGATAAGCGATTAGACGCATTCACGTGACTCGGCTCTGAAGACGTTTCGGTCGCCTTGTGGAAAGTGAAGTCATCATGGGTACCTTGGGTTTTAAAATTATGTAAAGATTTGATTAGGAGACCCAATATTGCCTCCATGTATAGCTCCACTTGTTGCATCTTGGAGATTTGTGAAATCTCGCGCCGCATATCATTTTTTGCACCCATCAAGCGAGACGTCAAAAGAGAGTTCACAAAGTTAAGCTGTCGATAGAGATTAAACTGGGATGATATGTATCTCTACAGAACAGGTTACTGTAGGAAACTCTTAAAGGTAAATATGCTCTGAAGCAGAGATTACGGTCGTCAATTAGTACTTATGGTGTTTCATTCGAGCCATCGAAATAAGGAAAATTTAGTAGGGCATTGAAGTCCTTTTCCGTCATCCTCGCAGGGACTTTGCTTGTTCATAGAAAAATTTATGTATTCAATTTGTTATGATTCTTTACTATATCTCAATATTTGGCGCAGCGTCTCAAGATTATGCAAAACACGCGAAAGTTAGAAGGATATATTCAAGGAACAGATCTTATTTTAATTCACGAAAATTATTCGAAATGTTACACCAGAAAGATAATTGAAGGTGAGAGGAAGGTCTCTTTGAAAACAATTTTCCTCTGCAAGTTCGCTATCAGTTCCATCTCGACCCATCTGGCCTGCATGCATGGCTCATCTTGATGCTTAGTATGTGGAGTGATGTCTGGGTGAAAAATTGATAACACCGACTAACGCCATGGTTGTCGAAAAACGTCCAAATGAAGAAGTGGCCGAAAAGCCTAACAAAAAGCTTAATACTTCTTACTCTCACGATGAGATTGTGAGCTTCTTGAACAATAAGATATTTGAAAATGACTTTCAGCAGAACTTGAAGCTGGACATCACCAACTCACAGCCATACAGATGGGGCACAGTTACAGAATTGATCAACGACGATTTGTTGCGCTCTGTCAGAAAGGAAATCTTGGGCGAGATTGCATTCACAAAAAAGGAAACGGATATCTACAAAGTGTACCAGTCAGGAGACTTGGCGAACTTGTCTGGATTAAATTGGGATGACTTGTCTAGGTTGCCTTCGTTATACAAGTTGAGGGCGGCAATCTATTCAGAAGAATTCAGAGACTTCATTTCCAATGTGACTGGCTGTGGCAAGCTCAGTGGTGTCAAGACAGATATGTCCATCAACACCTACACCAAGGGTTGTCACCTCTTGACACATGATGATGTCATTGGCTCCAGAAGAGTCAGTTTCATTTTGTACATGCCCGACCCCAAGTTTACATGGAAAGCACATTACGGTGGTGGATTACGCCTCTTCCCTGCTGTTGTGCCCAATGTCCCAGAGACAGATCATGAGGTGAAGCTTGTTCCTCAGTTTAATCAGATGGCTTTCTTCACTGTTCAACCTGGTTTATCATTTCATGATGTCGAGGAAGTGCGTGTGGACAAGCAAAGATTATCTATTCAAGGCTGGTTCCATATCCCACAACCAGGTGAGGATGGATACATTCCAGGCGAACAGGAAGCCACCGAGGCAAAGAGTACTTTACAGCAGCTTCAAAGCAAGGAGCTTCAGGAGTTTGATTTCCCAAAGCCTTTTAGGAACGACCTATATCCTGAAGAAATTAAGAAATACGAGACCTTGGACTTGGACAGTAAGTACTTTGACGACGGTGAGAAAGCATACCTCTCAAAGTACCTTAACTCTACTTACTTGACCAAGGGTGCTCTTGATCAGCTCAATCAGACTTTCGTGGAAGAGTCAGTGGTGGAGATCAAGGATGTGTTGAAACCTGAGTATGCTGACCTTCTCCAGGAGAAGATGAGAAAGTTCGAAATCGACAACAAGGTTCCACAAACGTCAAAGGAGATTCAGTTCCCTTGGAAATGCGCAGTCCCACCACACAAGCAAAGATTTATGTACATAGACGGGAAGGGCGAGATTGACCAAACTGAACAGGGCATCAAGCACAACAATCACATCGGTCCTCAAGAGCTCCCCAACTTTGACTTGACTAAGCGCCTCACATCTAACGGTCCAGACGAGATGCTTCTTGAAGTAATGGCATTTTTGAAATCGGTTGCATTTAGAAAATGGCTTGCCTACGTGACGAGTCTTGCTGTTACCAGCGACCAGATTCTCGCTAGGAAGTTCAGACCTGGCCAAGATTTCATGTTGGCGACTACGACCGAAAAGGATTTGGCTAGAGAACACAATGGTGAGCTCAACGTTCTTCTCGAAGCCACTCTTGGACTCACACCAACGGCAACCAACCCAAAGAACTGGGAGTCAGGTGAGTTTGGCGGCTACGAGTTGTGTATGGCCACAGGAGGAGATTCAGATGGAGAGTTTGAAGACGACGATCCAGCTATCTACAAGGCCGGTGATGCCAGCGATGACAGTGTTTTGTACAGCAGCCAATGCAAGTGGAACTCGTTGTGTCTCATGCTTAGAGATCCATCGGTGTTGAAGTTTGTGAAGTACGTCAGCATCAATGCCAAAGGCTCCCGCTGGGACATTAGTGCCCAATGGAATGTGAAGTCAATTGGCGAGGAAGAGTAAGAGGAGGGTCTTGAGGAATTATTTTGAAGACTTCATCACCGCTGCAAGGCAGCTTTAATAGCATAGAAACGAAGACAATGTATTATCAAGAATAGTGTAGTAACATAATGGTACGATGTAAGCGCATCGAACAGCAGTGATCTAGTAGGACATATACGAAACTCAAGCTAGTGTTACAGACCCGATTAGACTCACACAGCACCCAGCAAAGCCTCCATCGTTGCTGTAAATTTTCACGTTTTAACCCCACCGTGCTTCTGTGATCCAGTCACCGAGACTTGCAGGAGCTTTTTCAGAGGCTTGCAGGGCTTCTTCACATGGGCTGGTTACGGAAGTGCGAAGGCCGGAACCGGACTACTCTTCACCCCAAATATTGAGCTTTACGATCTGTAGATTCCGTAAAAACGTTGAATATTTTCTGGAATTGCCAATTTCCGTGAGACGAGCCGGGGGATCGTTTAGCCCAACGGGGTAAAATATTACGGACAGGTGGACCGCGCTTAGCGTATGAATTTGGCTCTTCTCGCGGTGTCAAGCGTTATATACCAGGTGACATTTCCCAACACCACTCAGTCTTTTTTCAGCACCTACTCCATCATGGCCGACTCTGAACCCAACCCATTGATTGTGTTCGCCACGATTGCGGCCATTATTGGCTCTTTCGTGGCCTTGTATTTTCTTCAGAAAACGAAGAAGGACGCTCCGGTTTTATCGCCAGAAGATTACAAGAAATTTCCCTTGATCGAGAAACACCGTGTTTCCCACAACTCTTGCGTGTACAAGTTTGGCTTGCCCAGATCCACCGACAAGTTGAACTTGCCTATTGGCCAGCATATCTCCATTTCTGCTGTCATCAACGGCAAGGAGGTGGTGAGATCGTACACCCCAATCTCCAACAACGACCAGTTGGGCTCGTTTGATTTGTTGATCAAGACCTACGAAAACGGTAACATCTCCAAGCACGTCGAGTCCAAGAAGATTGGCGAGTCGATTGACATCAGAGGCCCCAAGGGTTTTTTCACCTACACCCCCAACATGACCAAGTCTTTTGGTATGGTTGCAGGCGGTACCGGTATCGCTCCAATGTACCAGATCTTGACTGCCGTCTTGAACAACCCTGAGGACAAGACCAAGATCCACTTGGTTTACGCTAATGTGTCTGAGGAGGACATCTTGTTGAAGGCCGAGTTGGAGGAGTTGAGAAGAGAGAACCCCGACCAGTTCTTCATCCACTACGTGTTGAACAACCCTCCTGAGAACTGGAACGGCTCTGTTGGTTTCGTCACACCTGAGATCATGGACGAGCACTTGCCAAAGAACACCGACGACACCAACTTGTTGATCTGTGGTCCTCCATTGATGGTGTCTGCCATCAAGAAGGCTGCTCAGACCTTGGGTTACCCTAAGGCCAAGCCTGTGTCTAAGTTGGGTGACCAGGTGTTTGTCTTTTAAGCGAAATCACCTCAAGCGCCACGGCGACTAATAGAAATTTACATACAAGTAACAAGCTTTTCTTTTTATGAGGTCAATCTTGTGTAGCAGGTTCACCATGCTTCTCGCTACTCTGTCGTAGCTCAGATAAGGCGTCAATAATAGTAATCAACGCCTTGAATGCAATTCTGCTAGTAATGAAGATCAATTTCCTTCAAAGCGTTGACCCTGAAAAAACTTCCCCTTATTTCACTTTAGTTCGGGCTGTTGCTTTTTAGTTATCACATCGTATACCGTTATCAAGGGGTTGGGTGCGAATTTCTGTTGCCGAATGTTTTAACTTACGGCCCCTATGGAAGCCACAATTGGAGATAAATCACATGGATTTTTTGTTGGTGAATAAGTAACAAATCCATTATTTTTTTGACTTCAATAACGAACTTTTTTTCTTTTTTTTGGTAGATCTGAACCTCATTGGCGTATTAGTTTATACGACAAATCCGGATCAGCTGCCGAGCCTCCCACAGTTTGGTCCTTTTGTACAGGAATCGTGCATGACCTTTATCGGCTTCCCCCTACTTATATAAACACCATCATTCGCTTCTTTTACTTTACACCAACACACATATCATACCCCAAATTTCGACCCATTATGCTTATATCTACCTGGCTTTTGATGGCCATTTCATCCGCATCGACCCTCCCAAAATGGATTGCCGAGGACAGCTATATTCTCAATCAGATAGACGAAGATAAGATAGAGATAGATAACATACTAAAGTCTCCCACCCACTTCAAAGACTTGCCACCGATCCTTAAGCTGCCTAAGAGCCACGAGAAGACTCTAAAAGAGGGGGAGATACCGCAATATGTGATCGATTATGCCCCTTTTGTACATCTCTACTCAGAGGAGAGGTACTTGCCCTACGATATCAAGGAGTATGTCACCCATTTCCACGCTACTCACAAGAACGGTACAATTATTCCCGGTACCGATAATGGCAGGCTAAACATCACATCGTTAAGTAAACTTCCGAAGCGCCCGGCCGTTTATCTCACGGCAGACGAGGACTTCGATACTGACCCTGACTGGATCACGGGTGTAAAGAACAAGCCAAACTTGGTGAATGGCGAAATCAAGGATGCACCAGCCACTTTGATCATTGTGGACAAAGGAAATGGCTGGGTGGATGCATTCTGGTTTTATTTCTACTCGTTCAACCTTGGCCCATTCGTTATGGGGCTGGGCCCTTACGGAAACCATGTGGGTGACTGGGAACATTCATTGGTAAGATTTTACAAGGGCAAGCCCGTGATAGTTTGGATGTCGGCTCACGGCGGAGGTGGCGCCTACTACTACAAGCACCTTGAGAAGTATGAGCTCGACCCGAAGCACCCCATCATATTCTCAGCCAGAGGCACTCATGCAAACTACGTCTCAGTAGGTACTCATCCTCACGATTTGCCATACGAAATCTTGTGTGATTTTACTGACAGAGGTCCATTGTGGAATCCTACCAAGAATTACTTGGCCTACTCGTACGATGGCAAATTCGTTTACCCCGCCGAATACAACACCAACGCTAAGCATCGGGGTAGAGAGGCTACTTACGGTGATTGGTTGACCTTTACAGGCCACTGGGGCGACAAGAAACTCGCGAACGACGACCCAAGGCAAAGCCATTCTCTCATCGGAGGTTTCAAGTATATCGATGGACCCAAGGGCCCATTGAAGAAAAACTTATTGCGTATCATTCCATGTGAGAGACACAAATGGTGGAATTTCTGGAATGGTTGCAACGTGAGAGAGAACATCAAATGGGGAATCGGTGTGGAGAGTGAAGGTTATAATTGTGGCAATATGTTTGTCAACACGAGGCCTAGGTGGCTCAAAAAGATTTTGCAACAAGTAACATGGGGCGGTGGATTTTGCTTTTTTGTGGATTTGATTTACGGATAGATAATGACGGCAACGGTTTTCGCAGCCTACTTAATTTTGCTAGAAAAGGCGAGGAAACATATGAATTAACTTAATGTAGCACAAATTATTTCACAAAAAAAAAAACTTTCTCTCTCTGATTTCACCGATTGAACTTCTGGGAAAATCTAATGGATCTGTGCTGTCAGATGATGTATAGCGCTTTGTTCCGCTGTGTCACGAATTTCTTTTTCTTGGTACTGACATTGGCTGCGAATTCCCTCTTCGCTTTTTTTCACTGACTCCGACATTCTCCAACCCATATAGCAAGATGGCAGAAAGCTCATCCTATCTAGAAAAGTTCTCAGGCAATGAGATCCATCAGAGATCCTATAATACCAATCCCGAAAAGCCAGGCAGATGGCAGAACTTCAAAGACTCGTTCAAACGTGTGAATGTAGAAGATGACATCGACCCCGACCTTTCGGATATCGAGAGAGCCAATCTTCTAACGTCGAAGCTGCCACTTAAAAGAAAGCTCAAGTCCAGAAATATCACAATGATTGCGATCGGGTCCTCCATTGGAAGTGCTCTTTTTGTGGGTTCCGGCTCGGCTCTTAGTACGGGTGGACCCGGTGGTATATTGATTGGCTGGACCATAACGGGATTGGCTATCTTCACGACAATGCAGAGTTTGGGAGAGCTCTCTGTAGCATTTCCAGTCAGCGGCGGCTTCAATCTTTATGCCAGTCGTTTCATTGATCCCTCTGTTGGATTTGCTGTGGCCTGGAATTACTTCATCCAATTCTTGGTTTTACTCCCGTTGGAGCTCGTGAGTAGCTCTATTACCATGAGATTCTGGAATACCTCGGTGAACCCCGACATCTGGGTTCTTATATTCTACATTGTCGTCTGCTCCATCAATATGATTGGCGTAAGAGCCTACGGAGAAGCCGAATTTATCTTCTCTTTGATCAAGGTCACTGCAGTAATTGGATTCATTATTGTCAGCATCGTTCTTGCTGCGGGCGGCGCTCCAAACGGAGTTCATCACGGCGCTGAGTTTTGGCACAATCCTGGAGCTTTTGCCAATGGCTTTAAGGGTGTGGCTTCTGTGTTCGTTACTGCTGCTTTTGCCTATGCTGGTGTTGAACTTGTCGGTTTAGCTGCAGCTGAATCTGAAAACCCAAGACGTGCATTGCCCCGTGCTATCAAACAAGTGTTCTGGAGAATTTTGATGTTCTACTTGGTTTCCCTCACGTTGATTTGTTTCCTTGTTCCTTACAACTCTGACAGACTTTTGGGAGCATCATCTGTGGATGTGACTGCTTCTCCTTTTGTCATTGCCATCGAAAGTGGTGGTATTAGCGGATTGCCTCATGTTATGAATGCTGTCATTTTGATTTCCGTTATTTCAGTGGCATCTACCTCAGTTTATGCTTCGTCTCGTACGCTTACGTCGTTGGCTGAACAAGGTTTGGCCCCATCTTTTTGCGCTTACATTGACAGAGCAGGCAGACCTTTGGCTGCCATCATCATTTGCAACATTTTTGCCCTTCTTGCATTCATTGCTGCCAGTAACAAGGAAGCCGAAGTGTTTGACTGGCTCATGAGTATTTCAGCATTGAGCTCTATTGCATCATGGATTAGTATCAATTGGGCCCACATAAGGTTCAGAAGAGGTCTCAAAACACAAGGCAGAAGTACCGACGAATTGACCTTCGTTGCTCAAACCGGCGTCATTGGCTCTTATCTTGGTGGAACTATCTTCGTTTTGGTGTTGATTGCCCAGTTCTGGATAGCATTGTTCCCAGTGGGCGAGAAGTCGAGTGCTTACAATTTCTTCTTGTCGTATTTGGGTGGTGTCATCTTGATTGTGTTTTACATTGGTCACAAGATCTGGAAGAAAAACTGGATCTTGCAAATTCCCTCTAGAAAGCTTGATCTCGACACCGGACGCAGAGAGCCAGATTTAGAGCTTTTGCGTGAACAGCTCAGACAAGAAAAAGCCTTTTTACGTGGGAAGCCCTGGTATTACAGATTTTACCGTTTCTGGTGCTAATCTAAATTTTTTTTCCCTCATCCAGCATTTATAGACTAATCTACAAATCTCAGATCAGCATCGTAGATACTGTGCGACCTGTCTAGTGCCATTGTGCATCTTATCTAAATCGCTTGTGCTTCAATGTCAAACCCCAAACAGACCAATGCCCGAGCATCTGGCTTTGGTAGTGTCTTCAAATCCATTACCAGGTCGCTCAAGCCTACCCTGGGTAATGTTCCTGTGGTTATCAACGCCAAAGTGGTCGGTGGTGGTGCTGATATGCAAAAGCTCCTACTGCAACTTCAAACTGGAAGCGCTTCTACAAGGGCGCAGGTTGCCTCACAAATCACAGAAGCACTAGAAAAGTACTACTTATCATCAATTCCTGAGGTCTGGTACCTCGCGAGAGATCTATGCGATTCTCAACACCCAGGTGGTGTTAGAAGATCGGCATTGAAACTTCTCGTCAAATGCATACAACAGGACGAGGATGCTGTGAGTAACAGACTCAAGTTTTACTCTGATATTGTTGAATTCTGCAAAGTTTCCGAGTCACAAGTCGATAACGAGTTTGACTTGTTCTTGAGTGCTCTCAAGGCTCTCACTAATGATGGAAGAGATATCCACGACCTTTACATTTATGATCAGAATGGAAGTTTCTCTGATTTCCTATTTCGCTGCTTCAAAGCTTTGGCAGGCCAGGCAAAGAAGTACTCAGATGGGCCGGACCCTTCTAAAGAGGATCGAACGTTCCATAACCTTATTGATCTCACCAGCTATATCACCAATTGCGTCCAGTTCAATTACGCATTAACAGAAGATCAATCCTTCAGCTCAATTGTGAACGTTCTCGTGGGGCTGAGCCTCGAAACAACAAATCTGACAATTGTGTCAGTTTACCTTGATTTGGTGAAGTATAGTATTGTTCTTATCTCGGCTGCGGAAGACGTGTTCCGAGATGTGGTAAAACTTCTATGCTACGTCTATGCTACATTTATTGATTTACGACTGACATGTTCCGATCTTATTAAACAATGTTGCATTGAGTCACCTACTCCGGTGATTTCCACGTTGGGATCTGTTATTTTCAACAATGATGTCATTAAATGTAGCAAAGACACAGAGATATCTCATGATTTGACACGAACCAAAACTTTTCAGGGCATGCTGCACATTTCGTCTTGCCTTGGAGCAATCAGCATTCTTGAAAGTGTCTTTATACAAATATGTTCGGATAGAAAGATGTCAGATATCACTTTCGTGATTGACCAGGCATACGATGATATCGTTGACGTTTTGAGTTTGAAAAATCCATTCATTAATTCGGCATTCCTCAGTATGTTCAGTCGACTTTTCGACCTGGATGATCATGGCAGCACATTCGCTAACGACAGTTTGTTCACAAAGCTTTTCCCATTCTACCTGTGGTATTCCACTTCACGATCTGTCTTCAACATACTTCGTTTTATGGATGTTAATACAGAACAAGATGCAGAAAACTGGCTCGCTATTTGTGACACTCTCAACGCTAGATACGCCCAAGAATATCTCACTGCCCCAAGGACGCATTGGCAGACCTTTTCATGACTCATCCATCAGCTGTGAGTGACAATGCTGCTTCCTTTGCAATCGAATACTTCAAGGATGAGAGGCTCTGCCTGGTGTTCAATTCGCTGTGGAAAGGTAATTGTCAAAGACTTCTCAACGCTCACTTCTACGCCAGCGGTGCATCTTCGGAAAGCAAAAAGAATGTATTAATCACAATCAAAGAAGCTCATGAATCATCGTTAAACTTGGTTGACGATGCGAGCATCGGCCGCATCATTTTAGATGTCCTTGAATGTTCTTTTCAAGAAAAAGATCCGGTCACGATTGAGTATCTCTACGGTGACTTCTTGCATGACTTCATGTCATTTTCCAATCACTCAATGGTAAAGCAGATATTTGAAGTATTTCACTCAGCGTTCAAACCTGACCCCCCAAAGCCAGAAAGGCAGAAAAGCATGCGCTCGCTTAGCTCAAGAGGCTCTGGAAGGTACTTTCAAACTTCACTGCGCCAATTTAGTGTTGCTTCCGACCGAAGCACACAACTGCAAAAGACGCTCAATCCAAAAGTTCTCGATCGCCTAGCACAAACCATTTCGAAATTCTTCATCACTTCCTCAACCTCAAGTCCCGATGATGCGGTCGAAACATATAACTTCATGATACGGTTTCTTCGCTTTTGCATTGATCAAGCACATATATCTGCGCTGATTGCTTTGCTTCGAAGTTTAGTCAGAATAAGAGTATCAAGCAGAGGACGTGTTTACTTCACAGATGTTACCGATATGGGTGGATTAGCGAGCGCTTTCAAAAGAGCTTCTGCTGACCCCAACTTTGATGGAAGTAAGAGCATATTGTGGGAATATCCAGAGAGCCTCACATATATTCCTGAGGGCTATCTCGACAGACCGACCAAGATAATACTTCTGCAACTGGTTTCATTACCAGAGACGAAAGGATCCGAGAATCAAGCCAAATTAGATATTGGACACTGGGCTGATACAGTGCGTCTTATCATTACAAAGTATTATCATTGGGAGGTTTATTCGTTTGTTTGGGCTCATTACTGTTCGCAATTGAGCAACATGTCTCTATTCAAGACTCAGGAAGCTCATATTCTTGATCTTCAAAAAATAGTTTGCGATCAGCTCATGCTCAATTTGCCAACATCCGAGGCGTTCCCAACTGAGCATACTAGTGTCACCAAGTCGGACTTACAGGTGGCATTGGTGCGTATTCTCTCTTCATTACTTGGTTACCATGGGATTTTCACGAAAGCGGATGAAGATCAAGTTGTCAGCTCGATTATATTTGCCATGGGCTCTTACGAGAGGACTGCAATTCCGTGCATCCATATCTTGAATGTCTGCTGCTACGAGATTCCTCTTTCCATCAAGAAATTTTTGACTGCTATTCTCACAAAACTACAGACTGGAGTCACAAGCTCATTTGCAAGTCCTCCAACGTTGGAATTCATGATGTCCTTGATCAACCTGCAAGCAATTACTTCAAGTTTCACAATTGATGATTACAAGAGGTTCTTCGCAATTGCATTCAAGTACATTCAATACGCCTCGATGTTGAGAGCTCAAATCTCGCAAGGGAAAGCTTCAACAGAGCAGGAAGATGTCTTACAGAGACACGGAGTAGATGCAATAGTTGAACAGAAAGCGTCAACGCAATTGACACCAATCACACCTATTATGAACGAGTATCTTTATCTTATATCATATCGATTGATCGCTCGTTTATTCCTTACCATCAATCTCAATGACAGGCGAAAGTTGAGTCCCTTTTTGATGAGGAACTTGGTGCTCGCCAATCAAATTGATGAAACTGACATCAAACATGAGCCAACAATTGCATTGGCAGACTTCCTTATCCGATTCGCCTGCAGCGACATCCCGCTCAAGGTTGTCATCCCTCCTAAGCCGAGCCTCGAAAAGACCAATGATGTTACTAACAGTTGGCTTTTAGGATCAGTTGTTATGACAATCACGACAAACACCATAAACGGCGATTCTTTGATCACTGTGAGAAGGCCCACCAGCGTCTCCGTATTCCGAATTCAGTTTGATCCTTCAATGTTACAGACAACGACAAACCCTAATGGAAACCAGAGATTGGTACTCAATTCATATTTTTTATTGCAAGTGACAAACTTCTTGGAGGTCAAGGAGCAATTAAAGCCTGTTCCTTTGCTCGAAGACGCAGCCACAGAACGTGCACTTGGATCCCTTGATAGAACTCCTGTCGTTTCATTTCACAAGGCCGGCATTGTATATATAGGGCCAGGACAGACCGATGAAACGGCAATATTGGGGAACACCGTTGGATCGGCCAGCTATCACAGATTCCTTGACCTGCTTGGAAGGCTTATACGCTTGAAAGATGCAGACTCTGTCTATGTTGGTGGCTTAGATAAAGAGAATGGCAGTGATGGAGAGTATGCTTATGTTTGGGGTGATACAATTTCACAGACGGTATTTCATGTTACAACACTCATGCCGAATGTTGCATCCGACAAGTATCACTCATTCAAAAAGAGGCATATTGGAAACAATCATGTGAACGTTTACTTTGATGAATCTGGCCACAGCTTCAATTTCAACACCATCAAGTCACAGTTCAACTTCCTAAATATTGTGATCACGCCGCATACGCCACTTCAGAGAGCAGGGGGTAACGTCGAGGCGGAGGTGTTCAAAGTGAAAACATTCCGGCGCCATGGGGTACCTGGTATATTTTCAACGACTCATTTCAAATTGATCTCAGCGGAACAATTACCCACGTTCATTCGAAACTCCATTTTGATCTCTGACAAGTTTGCACAGGTCTGGCACAATTGCAGCAACGGAGAATACGTCTCAAACTGGCAATTACGAGTGCGTCAAATCGAATCGATACGCAAAAGAACTCTAGAGTTACACAAGACGAACCAGGAGCAACAGAAGAAGCAGGGCAAGGAAAATCCACACTCGTCAGACGGCGCCGTCGGAGGGCCGAATATGTCAGCACCTGACGTCATTGCCACTGACATGACAAACTCATTTTTGGAGCAACTACAGGGAGGCGTTACCAATGGTAGCGGAGAGGAATTCAACCAAGCAACCAACTCTCGCTATGACTATGCAACGGGTGAGGACCATGGAGCCTATCAACGTATTGAGTTTGGCTCTTATACGTAGACGAAGGTTAAATTCGTTTATCAAGCTCGCGCACAGCCGCTTATTTTGTGTTTTAGACGAGAGGTGAATGTTTTATTTACGATTGCTTTCGTGGATTTTTTGTGCTACAGGGCCAGACTTGCTTTCGGGCGGTTCGCGGTTGCAAATTGCTCATTGATAAGAGGCAAATTGAGTGCGAAGCCACCGCATTGATCTTACAGATAGGGGGAGCGCATAAGGCCAAGAACGGATAATGGCGATGCCATAGGGGTGGCTGGCACGTTTCCGAAGATTGGCTAGACCTGATTGGCGAAGCTCTTGACGACAATGCACCGTTTTATTTATCATTCCTCCATAGTTTCTCGGATTTAATGAGTGGAGAATAAGCGAGCCTGACTGTGCATGCTCGGTAATGAAAATTCGCTGCTGCAATTACGCTGCAATTACGTGCAATTGCGATGCAAAATTGGGTGCTGCAAGCCCACATATACCATAACCTGTCCAGAGCCCTGGTCTCCGAAACCGGATTTCGACACATCCCTTTAAAAACACCCTTCACTAAAACTACTCCCTAGTCCAGGCCTGAGGAAAAAGTCTATTGTTCGTCTTCACATGCAATATCGGACATAAAAAGCAGGAGTGGGCCACACTGGTAATTGATTTTCTGTGCCTCAGTATTCCGTCATACTCAACGGCTTTTGTAACCTCCCTGCGCCCTCTGCTTTTTCTTTTAAACAGGCTCGCATCGTCGCACTTGAGGTCACTGGTCATAAATAACTGCACTTCGACCCACGCCACGGCTTTTGCGTACAAGCAAGTCCCTTGCTCTAGCAGTTTTTTTGTTTGCGTCCGTTTTTGTGTTATTGGCACGGCGTTATCTGTTTTTCCGTGTGACTGGTTCTTCCGCTTTATAAGTACACGGCTTACTCATCTTCGTTTTCGCTACGACATCGCCAAACCACCACAATGTCCGAGTACCAGCGGATGTCCAGCGACGCTATACTGTCGGTCAGGAGGACCCTCCTGAATGAATCTAAAGCGGTCTCTGGACTTATGAAGCAGTTTGATGAGGATGAGTTCTCTCAGGTTAACTTGGCCAACACATTGAAGATTTTCTACGAAACCCATTTAAGGGGCGGTAAGATCGTTTGCTGTGGTATTGGAAAATCTTATAAGATCGCCACCAAGACTGTGGCAACATTGAAGTCCTTGACTATTGACGCTGATGTCTTACATCCATCGGAGGCCTTGCACGGAGATCTTGGCTTATTGAGAGACCGTGATTGTTTGGTCTTCTTCACCGCTAGCGGGAATACCCCAGAGCTCCTCCAGCTCTTGCCCCACCTCTCACCTTTCTTGCCCATTGTGCTTTTGACATGCAACAAGACCTCGAAGTTGTCAGAACACCCTCAAGTTCGTGCCTTGCTTTTTGCTGAACTACCGCCACATTTGAAGGAAGACATCATTCATGGTCTTCCAGCTCCAACCGTTTCGACAACATTGTCATTGGTGTTGGCCGATGCTGCTCTGTTGGCTTTATCGGAGATGATCGAGAAGGACGAGGCTAAACGCCGCAAGCTCTTCTCTATGAAGCATCCAGGTGGATCAATAGGCTCTGATTTGAGCTATTTGAATGATAACTTTGCTAAGTTGGGCAATTTCAACACGGTCTCTCCAAGTACAGCCACTCACACAGAGAGTTACTCGTCTCTTTTGTCACTCAATCAAGTGCAAAAGTCTTTTGGAGCTGGAAACTCCGTGGAGGGCCGCTCAGAAGCTACATCGCTTGACAGCTCCGACAGTGAGGATCTCTTGGAGTACAAGTTGAGGATCGATAAGGAACTCTCACAAGCAATCAAGAACGCACCCCCCGATCTGGTATTGAGCGTCAAGCAAGACGAGATTGCTTCATGGTCCGAAATGGATCTCCTCAAACATGTTACGATTAATGAATTCATCACCTTCCTGGCTCAAGATCAAAGTGCCACCTTTGGCCTGACAAGTAAGAGCATCCGTGCTTTCTACAAGTCAGCGTCTGGGAACGGCTGGGCCGGTATGGAACAATTGTTGCCGACTTTCAAAATGATTGACCTTTAATTCTCATCAAACAATCTTGTACTCGAGTACTTCCGGATAGGTTTTTTAATAGTGCCAAACCTTGTCCCACGTATTTATGTCTATATGGTAGGAAAATGATAGATTTTTGACATAATGTACTTCAAAATTATTGAATAAACTCTATATACATAAACTAAATATCGATTCTTCGTTGGAAGATTGATTACTGTGCGAGAAGGCCAATATTTACACAATTTGTCGGCGCCAAGTTTGCTAATTACGATCGGCTTCAACAAGAGCAGTCTCAGCAACAATGATCATCTTCTCAACGGAGGCAAGGTGTTTGCCGTAGTTGTTCCTCATGGAAATCTGTTTCAAGTACTGTCGTAACTTCACAACCAAATTTTTCTTCTCTTGACTCTTGGCATCAAACCCTTCCACCAATTTTTGAATCACGTAATTTGCATATTGATCCTTCATCATCAACGCAAGGGGCGAATCGTCCTCAACAGACTCTTTGGAAAGATCCTCGTTACCAAGCATAACCTCATGAAGAATTCTCTTGCGCTGTTCGATCGTACCATGCTTTATACACTTCTCGATGACGTTGGAGGCAAACTTGTGTTTCGAGAAATTCACGATGGAACCAAGGGCAACGTCAAGGATCCTCTCTCTGTCTTCATTATCACCACGTTCGAGAATATGCTGAATCACGTAGTTTCCATATTGATCTTGGATAAGGTAGAAGATGAACTTGTTTAATTCAGCTAAAATCTTTTCCTGATCAGTGACCTCGGAGTGCTCAAGTAACCTTTGAATCACTCTGCATCCATAAGGATGAGTTGACAAATGGTAGATATGGTCGCTTAAACTGTCCAAGATGAACCTGATGTAGTTAAATGGAATCCGCTCAATCGATTTCTGGATAACATGATTACCGTTTTGATCCTTGGCACAAACAAGTACGTGATCTCTCAATTCTTCGACGATTTGAATCTGTCCGTTCAATGAGATTGCTTCAAGAGCACGTTGAACAACACGACAGCCGTACATTTGTAACGACAATTCGTAGGTCTTGTTCTTCATGCACTCAAGAAGCACATTCTTCTGTACATCTGATCCATGCTCGAAGTACTTTTGTATCACATAGTTTCCGAAAACGTCTGTCATCAAGTCGTAGGAAATCTCACGTATTTCGTTGAAGATAACCTCCGTCTCTTCTTCGCTTGCATGGGGCAATTTTTGCTGGATGAATCTAGAGCCATGCTGGTCCATTGTGAACTCCACAGCATGACCATATATATCCTTCAAGGAATAGTCCTTGTTCTTCGAATTCGAGCGCACCTCCTCTAGTAAAGGCGACCTGTAAATATGATTACCGCCCTTGCCGTGGCCCGCATTGGCTTTACCAGCCTTGCCTCTCTTGCCACCTGATGGAGCAGAATTTCTTCCTTCTTGGGAAGACAGTGGTGCGCTTGGAGGTGGAGGTGGCGGTTGCATCATACCAACCTCAAAAGCTGCAGGCAGCATCGCTTGCGGAACAACACCAGGCATATTCTCCATGGGAGCGTTCGGCGGAGAACCAGCTGGTGGGGTTTGTGGGTACATTGCGTAAGGATTGAACGGATTGAACACAAATCCTGGGTGCACCGGACGATTCATTAAGCCAACACCGGGAATAGCACCTGTTTTAGGAGGCAGGGTCTTGGATGAAGTAGCACCAGACATTTTCTTCTCATCTGCCGAGTTGTCTTCATCAGAATTTTGCTTCTCGGTGCCTTGCTCAGTGCTCTCACCTGGTTGTGGAACACCTTGGTATCCCATAAAGCCGTACATGCCACCCTCTGCGAACTGAGCCGGATTGGCCATCATGAAGGGAGGTGGGCTGATTGGGGGCATTGCGGGCATGTTGCCACGGTTATACGGATAATTGTTCAAGTTTCCGTTTGCAAAAGCGGAGTTCTCAAGGAAGTTGTTTTGAGCAAAAGCCGGTGTGAATGAGGTGGCAGCAGCCGGGTTCCAGAAGCTGGGCCCATTTTGAGGTGCTTTAGAGTGGTCGAGGCCCAGTTGGGAGCCTGCGTTCAAGTCTGAAGAAATCGACAACGCTGCACTGTTCTGGATGGGTGAGCTGTTATTGTAATTGTCGATCTTTTCACTGATAGACTGCTGTCTCGAGGTTCTCGAAGCTGGGATATTCAAATTCTCGCTAAGAGAGCCATGAGGCGAAGACATCAAAGGATTGACATGATCGTTGTTGAAGCTTGTCCTTCTTTGGCTGCCTTCCAAGGACAACGAGCCCAAGCCGTTGGACAACTCGATGTCACGAGTGGCGTCGGCAACAGAAGCAAATTTGTTCAAAAAACTCTCTTTTGGTGGATGCCTGCTTGCAATGCCTCCACTGATGGAGGCCGTCCCAAGCTGGATGGCTTGGTTGTTGAAGTTGGAGTTGCCGTTCCCTGTCGTCTGTGGCGCATTCTGCACATTCGAGACATTGGGAGCATGAGGCCCACCAGTAGAAGCCGCATAGGAGGGCTGAAAGTTCTGCTTGAAATCAAACAAGTTTGATTCAAACTCGCCAGTCTCTGCAAAAGAGAACCTCCGTCCACTTGAAGGTGGAGGGCCAGCCAAGAACTTGGCAACATCAGGCTCCACTTGATCCAGAAGGCGAATCGAGGAACCCGTCGGCGAAACAGTCGGATTCGTATTTGAAGACCAGATGGTATCCGACGACATGATCAAAAAGCTATGTACAAGGGAATGATATAATTCCGAGGATCACAAACAGGTGTGGTTGGGTGAGGCTTTTCGGTTTTTTGGATGTATAAAATTTCGAGCTTTGGGGTGGCAGCAGCGAGAGCTGAAGCTTGTTAAACGGCCTTGGAATAGAGCTTAGCGAGTAAGGATTGTAGTCTCGATAAAACGACGGAAATCCCCAGTTTTATAGTTGCGAGGAGGAAGTCTTGGGATATTACTGTAACGGTGCACCTTGATAACTGGCACCTGGCACGTCTCTGCAGGAGCTACGCTTTTTCGAGAAACTCCAAGGGTAAGAACAAAAGGCCAGTATTTTATTATTTTGAGTGAAAAGTGTGAAGATGCTTATTCTTGCCGATTCAAATAAACCCTTTTCTCCTCCTTCCTTCTACGTTTTTTCTGTGCTGTGGCGTGGAGCAGGAAATGCCCTATTGTGCCAGAACAAGACATTATCGCGCCAACATCAAACACAGTAACTAGAGCCAACTTCACACAAAGGGTCATGAAACCGCCAAAGGCCAGCCCTGAGCGCATTGCGTCGCTCGTGAAGAAGGCACAAGCGGAGATTCCTGCAAAGATCCCTGTGGTCATGCGGAGGCTCTATGAAGCTGATCCTAATGAAAGCAGCTCATCCATTCTAGAAGAGTTGGTGAATAACGGGCCCAAGCAGAAGAATTCGCTTTTGGCGAGAGATGATGTGGCATCTTTGCTCACCGAGGCACCCAAATCAAACGTTCTACGGTTCGAATGCAGAAACGCCTATGTAGGGAGGAGAGATTTCTACAATATTCAGCCCATACCGAGGGAAAGATTATACTCATACAAAAACCCATTGACAAAGGGTCTACGATTTGATGTTGTGAAGGCCCGGAACCCACTCAGCTTGCTATTCTCAGGGGCTTACTATTTGGTGTTTCCCAACCACCTCCAAGCTTGCATCTATTACATGGAGACCAGAAACAGAGTGATGAACGGCTTTAACATGAAACTCGAATTTGTTTCACCGCTGCATACTCATCTTAAAAGAATGGGATCGCCTCTACTCGAACCCGGATCTCAATTTTCACCGCTCCCCAATTTAGCTGCCCATGATAAATCATCGTTCGAAAGCATATTCAAGCAGTCCACAGAGAAATCCGAAATTCTTCGACAGCTCGAACAGTACGAAGGTTACAAGGACACATCTCTTCTTGATCCCCATCCAAATTACCATCTTCTACAGCGCTTCATGGGTATTCCTTCACGTTATCAGCTGGTCCTTGTCAGAAACTTACCCTTTGGCTTGTCAAGCCAAACGCTCTCGGATCTTTTATGGGATTATAGATTTTCCGACAGGGTAGCCCCACTGAATTCATGGAAGGAAATCATTAAAGACCCTACTACACAGACACATTTGACATTGATACATTTCGGTGACGAACAGAGTGCAATGAGGTTCGTGAGAAACTTCCACGGACGGAAATGGGACCCTGTAAATAAAGAGCGAGAAAAGCAGTTGTACCAGCCGGTACTTTGCGAGATTCTCGAGTAATGACTTGTAAATAGAATAATGAGATCTTTAATCAGAAAAATTGTCTAGTCTCTTCCAGCTCGACCGCACGAGCTCGTACTCCGTGATATCACCCTTCTTCTTATCGGTCGCACTGGCAACTCTTTCCACGATGGAGTAGTTCTCCCAGATTTTTTTCTCCTTCCAAATGATGATAATGTTTGAATTTCCAGCCCATCCAATTGTGCCTAAATCTGCAGTAGTTCCTCTACTCTCGTCAACGTCCGTATGGTACTTACTCAAGTTGACAGAGCAAAAAGACCAAGTCGATTGGAAGTAGTTTGGAATGCTGATGGGGAGCTGTAGTTTGCTCAATATATGCTGTCTGTTTGTGGGAGTCTTCCGCGACGAAACCTCGCCGTCGAGATTATCAGAGAGTTGTGTTTCACTCGAAGTTCCAACGTTGAACACATGTAGCGTATTTTTGTCAGACAATACTGCGAGTTTTGATTCGTTTGGAGAGAAACTCATTGAAGTGATGACAGCCCTGTCCAAGCCTCTTCTAAACTCAAACAAAAGAGCAGTGGAGCTGGTGGAGTGTATTCTGACAATGGTTCCTGTTTCGCTAGCTGAAGCTACCATGCCACCTGTTCGACTCAATGCAATACATCTAATGCGGGCCTTGTGAGCCTTGATTATGCTGACAAGATTCTTTTCGACTCCCTCCGGAGAAATATCGACAATCTGAATTTGACCAATTGTGCGACCAGGAAATGCTAAGATTTGGTATTTTGGAACCTCTCGGGTTGTACCATTATTAGACCGAAGCGAGGAGCTTGAAGACGGCGCTGGCAGTGACAGCAGCAGCGCTGTAGAATGAACCGAAAGATCGGCTAAACCGTGCTCATTATCATATGTCTCGTATGCCGCAAACTTTTTAGGTGGCGCCGAGAACTCGTAGACGACAACTTGGTTTTTCAATATTACAACAATTCGTATTCTTGAGAGGAGCACATTGACAACGGGGCCATAAAGCCTAGATTAAGACTCGCCTTCCTTTTGAGATCATCCCAGATGATGACTTTGTTGTTAGCGTACTTCGGGTTTTTGCCACCGCCCACGAGAGCTAGGTAGTTCGTACGGTGAAGCATCAGAATCAAGCCAATACCTGTTCCTGAGCTGCTAGTGCCATTGAATGTCCGGCTGACTCGAGGATCAATTGGGTTGGTGTTGTAAACAGAGAAACCCGTCTCGTGCGCCACAGCGAAGCAGTCCTGGTCCTGATTGAATTTGACATCGTGGAACAGTCGCTTCTTATGCTCTGTTCGAGATATGGGCACGTGTGTATTCATCGTCTTGATGTAGTTGATAACGGTTGATGTATTTGGCTATGCAAGAAGAGAAGTCCGGTTATCAGGACTGGAGTGTGTGCGGGGCGCTGCTGCAGGTACCAGTATGATTCACCTCCGTACCACTGTAGATAGACGGCTAATTTGTGTGCAAAGACTAAAGGTAATAGTACAATGGGTGGGATTTATAGCAGACGTTTTTGTCTTCCCGCTGAGATTTCTTGATTTGGTGCGTGAAAGGAGGGGAAGTGATGTCCTCATAATTCGCAGCCATTCGGGGTATTCAAGGACATACCGCTCGCATTGTCGGATTAGTCACTTTCTACATCCATCACCTCCTCATCACTGGAGTCTTCACCCCTTTTTAGACGTTCCGCAAGATCACTGGTGTCAGCCTCGCTGGTCTTGCGTTCTCTAGGCGCATCTCTCGGTTTGTCTTCAAAAACCGTTGCAAACTTACCTGCGGAGCCAAATGTAGAACTATGTCTCCGAGAGGACTCGCGTGACCTGGCAGGAATTGACACGGAGGAAGGATCAGACAAAGCTGTAGGTGCTTGGAAAAATGCCGAGGTTGTTTCTGTATTTGCCTCGAGTGCTCTTTTGAGGAGATCGCTTGCAACTGGATCATCAGGTGAGATCGCAAGCGAATCATGAAGCACATCAATAGCCTTGAATGGGTTTCTGATCTTGAGGTATACTAAGGCAATTGCCGAAAGTATGTTTGCGTCATTCCTGTGAGTCATCTTCAAGGCTTGGTGAAAACACTCAAGAGCCTTATCGTACTGGCCTGCTCGTCTGTAGACATGCCCGAGGTTAGCGTGGATGGAGATCCATGTTTTCGATTCCGAGTTGAGATAGCGAGCTGCAGAAAGCGCATCCTGAAGAAAGGCCTCAGCTCGATCTAGATGGTTTTTGTGGTAATATATGACGCCGATCTCATTCAAGAGAAGTGGATCGCTGTTGCAAATATGGTGTGATGCTAAAAGATACTCTTCCGCCAAGCTGATATTATTCATTTGAAGATGCTGCATACCCAAAAACATATTGGGCATATGATTGCCAGGAAAAAGTCTGGCTGCAAATGCGTAGGCGCTGATGGCTTGTTCGTGTTCACCTTCCAAAGCGAATGTGTGGGCAAACCCGATCCATGCTTGACCATTATTCGGATTGAGCAAAGTCGCTTTACTCAAAAACTTCCTGGCCTCAATCACTTTTTTTATGGAGAGGTAGTAAATGCCTATAGCCTGCCAGGCAATTGGATGCGTTGGGTGGGAATCAGCGAGCTGGTGTGCTTTGAGGAACAACTTGTTACGACCGCCAAGTTCGTATAAGCAGCTGATGTAGTAGGGTAGGACGTTGCAATTGTGAGGGTCCTTGCTAAGAACACCTTCACAAATGTCAAGGCACTGGTCGTAATTGCATTGGACGAAGGCATGTTCTGCCTTGCTAAGCATGATATCGCCATTTTCACCTAGACGGTACTCGTCCTTGAGAATGCTTTCAGCCTCCTCAAATTTGGGCACATTCGTATACTTGCTCAACCGAGAGGTATACAAAAGTTTGATAAGCTCGTCGTTATCATCTGCGTCTGAATAATTGAGATAATTGATGAATTCCCACTGCTCTGTCGGCGTCAAGAAATCATTCTTGATAAGTTCGTCAAAGGCCTCATAGCACTTGACATCCACCATGACAGCTTCCTTGTATGCCTCTTTAGCTCTCTCGTAGCTGTTCTGATTCGCAAAAATGAGTCCTCTAAGGTAGCACATTGAGGCTTCGAAGCGGATCCCGTACTCTGTAACTCTCGGTCTCAGACTTGGTTCCTTCAGAAATGGATTGGTCTCGCCCAAGACGTCCAAAGCGTCTTCCCAACGTTCTAGCTTTATAAGACTGAACGCAGTGAGATATCGACATGCTACTGACTGCTCATACTCTGATTTGCTTGTCAAAAGACTCTTTACTCTCAAGTAGTTCCCAGTCTCAAAGTATACTTGAGCTAGCCAAAATGCGTCGTTGGGATCATTTGTCATAGAGAGAATCTTGTCTCCAATGTACTCCGCAGTCAGATACTGGTGCTGCAAAAGTGCCTCGTGTCTCCATAACCTGAGCTTCTGTACTCTGGATATTGGCTCTTCTCCAGGGCCTCCTGTGCCCTGAGCAGCGTCATTTCGTAATGTTCCACTGACATTATCTATGTTGTAGAACAGCAGCAGCAGGGAACCAGGCGACTCAAAAAGGTTGTTTTGTGGATTGGGCGGCGTGATGAACACATCTTGCTTCCTCGTCATCACCTGAGGTGAGATGAACAATGAAGAATTGTGCTGCAGCGGTGTTTTGTGGTGCTGTGCCATGGTGGCTTATTGTGTATTAACTCACCTTTGATGTTTATGCGCACGCATTTCTGGGGAAGAGGTAGGGTGTATGAGTTGGAGGAGTCACGAGAAATTAATCACGCCGGTTCAAAACAGAGAAAGGTACCAGGCTAAGAATAACAGTATAATTGGTGCTGTTATAGAGGTTTAAGGAACTTCTGACGTGTAGTAAGGTATGCTTGGGTTAGCTTCAATTCAAGTTTCGCAGCCAATGGAGTGTAAAGCTAATACGAGCAAATACTCTGCTTTCAACATCATGATAGATTTGTTATTCAAATATCCTAAAAATATCATTGCCGAAATATTTTATACTGTCAATAACTGACTCCATAGAACTATGTGTCATCTAACCAACTAACAGCCTGCGTCTTCTTTTGCGATGAAGCATTGATGGAGGAAGCGATTTATTCGTATAGAAGAAAAACAAGGCTGATAGTATTACTTCGAGAGGTACCCACTTGTCGAAAAATCTTCATCTAAACATAATCTCTCGGTTTGCAGCCATTTAGGTCTGCTGCATGTAACCTGCACTTACATACAAGGTAGCGATGAGACCATCAGATTTTCCAAAACCATATCACCCACACTTTGCAATGGCCGAAACCAGACCATTCACACAATTCCGTATCATGGTTGGCTCGTACGAGCACAACCTTTTGTGTTTGTCGTTGGTTCTTGACGGCGACAAGGAGCCTGTTTTCACACCAGTTTTTCACTTCCAGGCACACGCTTTATCGATCAAATCCATAGACATAGCCAAAAGATACTTGGTTACCGGATCTAATGACGAACATATAAGAATTTATGATCTACAAAAGAGAAAAGAGCTTGGTACCCTTTTGAGCCATCAGGGTACTGTTACAACCTTAAGATTCTCCAAAGAAGGCGAAGACGATAGTTCGGACAGCGGTAAGTCAGGTAAGTGGCTTTTATCAGGTTCTGAAGATGGAAAAATCATCATTTGGAGAGCCAAGGATTGGGAAATGTTGGGAACTTTGAAGGGCCATCAGGGACGAATCAATGATCTCGACATCCATCCCTCAGGAAGGGTAGCCATCTCGGTCTCCACAGACAAGACAATCAGATTATGGAACTTGATGACAGCCAAGAAGGCTGGTGTTCTCAAGATCAAGGGTAGAGATCATTTGGGACAGTCGGGTGAGATCGTCAGATGGTCGAGCTCGGGTAAGCATTTCATTGTTGGTTTGTTGAACCAACTTTTCATCTACGAGCTAGGTCAGGAAGCCCAGCTTGCGCATAAGCTTAAGTTCAAAACGACATTGATGTGTCTCGAGGTCATCGACATTGAAGGTAAGGAGTTTCTCGCCACTGGTCACAGCAATGGCGCCATTGAGTTTGTCGAACTACAAAAGATCTTGTCTTCTGAGGAAGAGTCCCCTTCTGTGGAACCCGACTTTGTGTTCCGTGGTCACCTGAACCGTGTGAAGGGATTGGCGTATTACTGTGACGAGATCGAGACGAAAGGCATTCCCTACCTTGTATCTGTCTCCTCAGATGGCAGAATCGTCGTTTGGGATGTCCGTTCAGAGGTAAGAGACCAGGTTGCCGTTTACGATAGTGGAGAGAGACTCAATTGCGTTGCTGCTTGTGGAGAGGCGGTGGAGAAGGCTGCAACAATGAAGAGAACGCATGAGGAGACAAAGACGGCTCCAAGTGACTCCGAATACGAGACGGATGCCGAGGAGGCTAAAAGAGTGCTCCTTAGTGAGAAGAAAAAGAAGAAGGGCAAGAAGAATAAGAAAACAAAGGTGAGCGTGACGTTAGGTTAGCGATGTGGAAGTTATAGATTCAATGTACACTTAATGGGAATGTCTAATCCAATCTGGCAACGTGGTGGTCGAACAAAGCCTTGGCTCTCGTCCACACTGGAGCAGAGTCTCTCTGAGGCAACTGCAACAAAGAGGGCATCAAGTCCTTGGAAAACTGCTCAGAGGCTTCTCTTGGCAATAAACTAGGCAAGTGGTCAATGGAGCAGACAGACAACTTAGGACCAGCAGAGGTTTCGACTGGAACAGTAGGGTCGTTGAAAACCGTGGCGATCGTGTAGACTGGGATAGGGTTGTGTGGATTCGTCGTGTCGGCAGAAACATCAACAATGGATCTCAACTTTCTGTCGTCCTTGTTCAACAATTCGTAGTTGATGAAAGGAGGAATTGGCTTGGACAAGTAGATGCAGTTGACGAAGATGTCAGCGTCAGCAATCTCCTGGAATGGGCCACCCTTAGCGGTCTCGGCCATGTCCCACTTCAGCAACTGGTCCTCTGGAATGCCCACCTTTCTAAAAAGATCAAGAGCACCAGAGCCACATCTGCCAAGAGCACCAATGACCAAGGCGCTCGGGAGCTTACCGCCATTCTTTTGCACAGCAGCGTCCAATTCGCTCTTCACATGCTTGACCATTTCGGCTTCGTTGGGGTATGGAGTCACAGCGGGCAAGTTTTCAGAGTCTGGGTGGGTCTGCTTGAAAGCCCAGTCCAAGACCCCAATGGCAGCACCAGCGAAACCAGCGTAGAAACCAAAAGCAGCAACTCTTCTGCCTTCATCGTTCTCCAAAAACTCCAAGTCATACAAAGTTCCCTTGCCAGCAGGGAAACGCTTCAAGACATCCTTCCAACCGCCTTGGTCCTTGTAGCAGTGGGCAAATTGGATGTGCTCGTGGACCAATGGGAAGGTCTCGTTTTCAGGCAACTCCTTCAATCCGAGTATAAGACGGTCCTTTGGTGCCTCCTTCCAGGAACCAGCAGGAACGATGGTAGCACCAACATCAGCGTATTCCTTAGCCTCAAAGATCGACTGAGGACTGTCTTCAACATAGACGGTGAATCCAGCATCCAACAATTGCTTGGTGGTTGTGGGGGTCAAGGCGGCTCTTGCCTCTAAAGGCTTGGTTTCGGCTCTAAGGTGAACGGTGACCATTGTTGTAAAAAGAATGTTGAGACTGAAAATTGTGCTATCGCTCTGACTATATAGTGGACTCACAGGCCTGCATTATGACACTGATTGCAAAGGCATTTTCTCAATGACTCAGATAACACCACAACTGTGCAGTGCCAGCATTTATCAGTTAGTCACATGCGGCGTTGACAAGACGTACAATGTCGGATCTGGGTATGACTAACATTTGATTAGGTTTGTGAGAGATAAGATTGGGCTTATACCTTTTTTGGTTGTGTGTATGTACATTGAGTGTGTTGAATATGAACATTTAGTCATGGAGATTCGCAGTGCGTTTTGCAGCCATAACGGTTTTCTTTTTAGTCTCGTCTAATAAGGTCAAGGACGAAGTTACCAAGACGGGGTTGAGCCTTCTCCATGAATCAGACTCTTCAAAGCTATCTCCGTATACTCTGAAAACTTTCTTAATTTGTGCCGCTTCGGCTTCGTCTTTGAGAAACCCATTGGCTATGGCTTTATCGTAGAGAAGGTGAGCAAACTCTCTGTCGTTGTTGTAAAGATTCGCAGCCATGAGAGCTTCGGTGAGTACACCTGTAGGTGAACGTCCAGTGGTCTCGTTAATGTCTTTGGAGACTTGGTTGATGTAGTCGTTGTAAAGATTCAATGAATCCTCGCAGTTGAACTTAGACCTGGCCAAGATCAATTGAGCAAGAGTCTTCACTTGAAGCTCGTCTGGGTCAACCAAGGTTTCTGCGATTTTCAAAAGCGTCTTGTCTCCTCTTTTGAACGCTTGATAACCAAACACCTGTACGAGTTTAGCCTGGACAAGCTCAATGCCGAACTTCTCGTGTGTTTGGTAGGCATGGAATTTTTCGAGCGCCTTGTTGAAGTCGTCTTGGTGTATACCATATGTAGTTACGAGCTTCAAACGAATAAGTAAGGACTCTGGGTCCTTTTTATCAGTGTCGAGGTGTTTCAGTTCCACAAGATCGATCACGGCCTGGAGATAATCAGGACCAGTGACCGGATCGTTTTCCAATTGGGCATATGAAAGAATTTGGGCAATTGAGTCTTTGGTCAACAAGTCGGGGTTATTATCGAAGATGACCTTGGAGATATGAAGAAACTCCCTTTGGTCAGTGACAGACAGAAGCTTCTGGTTGAGCCAAGGGACAAACGCCTCTGCTTCAATCGAGGAAAGCTGTTCCATCCTCTTCAACTCAATTGCTCTTTGAACGAGCAACTCCCATTGCTTCTCGACGGGGTCACTTACCAGATTTAATAACCTGATGGCACGATCGAGTCTGTCTGGGGTGACCTCCACAGCACCCTCTCTGAGTTCCGAAATCTCTCCTTCGAGAAGTTTGTTCACAACCTCTAAAATACATTTTGAATCGGCATTGACTCCTACTTTTTCTAGAAGTGCCCACAGCGAGATGGCTCTCCCTGGGTTGTTGTTTATGAGTGAATGGAGAGCTTCGTTGTCCCAAGCATGCGAAGGGCTGGCCTTGCTGACAGTATAGTAAAGAGAAAAGTCTTTCTGGAGGCCATGTTGTAGAAGCTGGTTAATTGTATCCACAGAGGTCTTCTCGTTTTTCACGATCTCGTGAATCTTCTCAACTTCATCATCCCCAAGGGTCTTGGAAGTAAGATATGATCTCAAGTCTTTGGTAGGAACAGCTTCACCGTTTACTAGAGATCCAAGGATTGAAGAATTGTATCTCACGAACTTTGTTTGTGTTGAGGTGGACCAGCGTAGGCCAGATCCTCGGAAAATGTGGAGCATTTAACTATTATCTACAATTTTTCAGGTCGCACTTTATTGCAACTATTTAGTCGTGCTTGAGATTCAGTTCCATTTTAGCCAAAAGGCCCATTGCAGGGAAGTAATTTTCCCATTTGCTCTTGATGTCCAAAATGTTGACCTCTTTGAAATCGTAGTGCTTTTTGATATACTCGTTGTAGTCCAACCACTCGTTTTGCTGCTCGCAGGCCTTACTCCAACTAGCTTTGTAGGCTCCTCCGAGGGCACAAGCGTTAGGAATTTCCACTTGGAAATTGCCAGCTGTAGATCCCATGATCGAAGCCATTTTGCGGACTATACTGGTATTCCTGGAAGCACCGCCAACAAAGAAAAGCTTGTGTGGCTTCGCAGTAAGCGAGTCAAAGTTCTGCTTCTTGCCATCAGTAATGATGTCTCCAAAGTCGCTATGTAACTTATGGTAGAGCTTTTTCAAAGTTTCATCCTCAGTTTCTGGAGTGTCAGTGGAAGCCGCAGATCCACTCAACATTGGTCCGGCTCTCAAACGGCAGGAAATTGTTTGAGATTCAACGATAGAAGTCACATCCTCTTCGCAGTCAAACTCCTTGACGTCCTTCACCTCGCCATTGGAAAGGAGCTCACTACGCTTAAACTGAGCTGAAGCGTTTGGAACAATCTCGCCTAAGGGAAGTAGATGCCAAGCTTGTTATCGAAGTCCTCAGAGGCATCAAGGATCTCATCAAACTTGTCCCAAGACTCTTTCTCGAGATCGTACTTCTTGTTAACAGCGTTTCTGACATTCTCTCTCGCCAAGGCGCCATTGCAGTAACAAATCATACCCATATAGGCATTTTTCATGGTGGGGTGTTTGAACAAGTGGTATTGCGACGAGGGATTGAACAGCTCGGTCACCAAAAGCACTGTGGTTGATGTGCCAAGAGACACCAAGACGTCATTCTGCTCGACTGGTAACGATATGATTGTAGCCAAATTGTCGCCCGTGAATGAGTAAACTCTGGCGTCTTTGCTGAAACCGTACTTGTTGGTGAAGTATGGTGAGATGGTGCCCAATGCCTCGTAGGTTATATCGTCAATGGGACCCAACTTCTTCTCAAGCTCTTTAACCCCTTTAGCCGACTCATCTTTGGAAACACAATCCAACTCCTGGTGAACACCTGCAGCAACAGCGGTCAATTCCTCGTCGTATCTGTTCTCCTTGATGTTGAAGATGTTCATACCGCAAGCATCAGCGTGTTCAATTGGTGCTATCTTTCCTAAAAGAACAGTGGCCAAGAAGCTGGACACCAAAGAGATACGACTCGTCTTCTTATACGCGTCAGGAGCTTTTCTAACCGCCAACTTACGAATCTGTAAGCCAGTGAATCTATAGTGAGCCCTGGAGCCTGTTCTCTCGGCAAGGTGGTCGGGGCCATGGGCGATCTTCTCAAAATCTTTGATCTCCTGGCCGGTGGAGTGATCTTGCCAGTTGGGAGAAGTCTCCATCGTCAAAGCTCCGTCCAAGCCTTCGACTAACGAGGAGGCATTGCCTAGGTTCTCAAGCAACTTCGAGGCATCCTCGGACCAGTAAACGGACCCATGTTGCATACCTGAGCCACTCATGCCCTTCACTTTCTCGAATGGAAAGTTGTCCTTCTTCATAATGGTGAACACGGTATCCACCGCCTCAAGCCACATCTTCACAGGCGACAAGATCTCACCAGCGGTGTCATCCGTAAGAACACCTTTTTCAATGCCATACTTCTCCTTGAAGTGGTCGTCAAACCCCACAGCATACGTGTTCTGAGCGTTCAAGGCGGCGTCAGTGACAATCACCTTAAGCTGCTGGGTGGACAAATCGAAACCCAAAAACAAATCAGAGCTCATATTTCACTTGGAGCCACTGCACGGGGTTCTGTCTATATTGGGCCCAGGGAGGTAACACAAGTACCAAAGTAACGAAAACAGTCAAGCCAAAAGTGACAAGTAACAGCAACAAGCTCTGAGTTACAAATCCAGCCAACACGGAGAGGATTGCTGCGGCGGGAACAAAGAAAAATATAATACGGTCGACTTTCTTCTGGCCTTCGAAGTCAATGGGGAATTCCAAAAGCTCGTTGATCTGGGCAGCAATCTGTTCCATAATGTTTACTGGCAGGTGACGTCGACTTGCGATTCGTGTGTAGTCCCGCGAACTGGACCCTCCCATTCACACCTTATAGAGAATGAGATGAAAATTATGTTTTGGTGACCGCTGGGGCATGATTTTCGGAGAGAATCAGAAATTGGATTAAGTGCTTTGGTTTGTGATTGTCTGCTTGGATGCACTTTAGTATTCCTTCTGAGACATGCATCTAGAGTATTCCTTCAAAAGCGACGGCTCTGGTTCCGGATCATCCGGGAAAAGGTCGAGTGGCTATTGCCTTGTGGGCCCATAATTTAAAAGCAGTACTTTTGATGCTTGGTTGTAGTCTGCAATTGAGCACTGTAGATGTTGCGTTACAGTACATAGAGGACCAGACAGGGAAGCCAGGATGTCCAAGTGCAGTGCATTGATCTGATCAAAGAAGTGAAAGTTCTTAAAGTAGGACATTAAAAAGCATATTGAGTAAATTTACCAAACTTGCTGGTGGCAAGACGACAATGTCGCACACCCCTTCCAATCAAAGAAGGAAGAGAAGAAGACTAATCATCTGCTTATCGCTTAAGAATATTGAAGGCGATTGCTGGCGTACGAGCCGATTTGCAGTGTTCCCGGGGTTTTCCTATTTTTATGTGTCTGTTTGCCGCAATCGCTCACTTGCTGCAAAATACCAGCAGGTACAGATAAGCGATTGCTAGGGGCAATCATAACCATTCTACAGATCCAAATCATTGATGTCATTGTATTTTGTGGGCATCGTCTCGTAAGCTAATAAATATCAAAACAGTCGTTTCTCGTGAGGCCAGGTCGGCAGCTGGGACCGCCTAGCGCACGTCCTTGTCAACGTAGTACTCAACGTCGTTGCTCAAAAGTTTCTCTTCCAAAAAGTCTGCAACCTGATTGTAGTGGTCCTCCTCAATCACCAGGAGCATCTTGTCCTGCGGGTCAATTGGCTCAAACGAAAAACCATACTCGCTATCCAGGTAAGCAGGCAAGTCGTAGAACTTGAGCATGGGTTTCTTCTCAGGTACCAGACTATTGTTGGTGGAAACCGTGGTGGATCTGGTAAGGGAAGTCATGAGCAGTCCTTCGCCGTCAGTCTCGGAACAGCCGGGGGAGACCAGACGGGACAACAGGGTCAGCTCGAACTCGTCCTCATCCTCTGAATCGGACAAGTTCACGTAGTTGAACAAATCCAATGCATCCTCCGGCTCAAGCAATTGCTCGGATAAGCTCAATTCGTGCTCCTCCGGTATACTCAAGTCGGAAGGCGATCTATGGCTGAGGTGGTTCATGTTGGAAATGAGTTCGTTCATGGGATCAACCTCGGTGTAAACTCGTTTTCTAGAGGCCAGCACCGGGCTGTCAACGTCCACGGCGGGCGATTCCGGGTCCACGGGCGCCAGCGCAAGGTGGGACTTGAGCCTTTTGTAGTCGTGGATGAGCGAGAGCAACTTGATCTTGAGCTGGTAATTCTCCTTGTCTAAGTTGCCGATGGAAGCGGCGAGCTCTGCGGCCAGCGGGTCACACGTTGGTTTCGGTGGCGAGGGCTTCATGGCGGGCTCCAGCGGCTTGTCGTCTCTAGGTTCGAGTTTGATTTCCACCTTTGGCTCGGTCTTGGGCTCTTTCTTGATCTCTTTCTTAGCGTCCTTGGGCTTTTCTTTCTTGGGTTTCTCCAGTCGGCGACGGGCGTTTTTGGGCCGGGAGGAAGCACCCAGTTTTTCAGCGTCTTCACTGTTAATATTGGTTTGCGCTCAGTGGGAACACAGGGTGGGGCATTCATGGTGGGCTATATCAGCATGCTACAGTGATGGCCAGTGAAAAATAAACAGTGGGGTTGAAATTGGGAAGGAATTAATTTCAATGCACGGAAATTCAAAGAATATATTATGTTTGGGAGATGGGGGAGGGTTCAAAGTGGCAGCCGGAAAAAGCAGCTGGACCGCAACAAAAACAGCAGCGCAGTGGTATAAGTAGTGGTGAGCTGTAGGGCGCCAGGCCATCCACTCAGGTGCACCTTATATATAAAGGTGCGATTTTTTGTTCTCTTTTTTTTTTTTTTTTTTGTCCCACTACCGAGCAGGATACAGTGCCGCGGACAAACTCGGGTGGCAAGGCACATCCACGAAGCAAGGGACAACGGACGGCAGGGAGCGTATGAAAAACATAAAGACATGACCTTCTGCTACGGATGTGAATTTGAAGAGTTGTAGATCTTTTCCATTCGGCGTTAGGACCATCAAATGGGCCTCAACGGCCCCTCGGCTGACTGCGATCAATCACCTAAAATAGTCTTAGACGCACTGCAGACATACGCTTTTCCGCGGGCCAAGCGGCAGGTCTGGGGAACCGTTTTAGCCCAATTCATAGGAAACTTCCATTGGAAGTGTATGAGGATCCAAATTTTTAAAGTTTTTTTCTCTGCTTACCTGCCGAGCCTATACAATGGCGGTGTAGGCCAAGACCGTTAAGGTCTGGGCGCTCGGAAAAAAAGCCATCTAGCCCTGACGCCGGCCCACTCGACCGAGGGCGTTTAGCATTTGGCCAGACCGACCGTGAATATGTTTTGGCTGCTACGATTTTTTTTTTTTTTTTTTTCTTTTTTTTTTTTATTTATCGTCAGGTTTGGCACCTTGCTGTAAACGATAACTTCGGCGTTTGGGCTACTTGTTTTGTTTTTCCCGTTCCGCCAACGGCTTCGGAGTTGGTGTGTTCCGGCTGGGGTAGTTTCAGGTGCTGGCTGTCGGTGAAAAAAATATTCGTGTTTCACCGCCTCATCCCTCTACAAAACTCCTTTTTGAGATTTTTGCCTGGACTTTAGACCACCTCAGATCTGCCGGACGCCGCAGTGGCCCTTTCGTTTAAAACTCGTCCCATCAATGTTCCATGAGCCTACGTGTTGCCCTATCCCGGATGACCACTTGTTTCTTTTTGCTTTTCTTTTTTTTAACTTGACGGTTTTTTATTTTGCCACCCGAAATGGCTTCATTTTTCCAGCCTTTCAACCTTAGAACTCCGGAACACCATCGTTGCTGCGATGACCTCACTTCCGCCTTCTTGTCCTCATTGATTGCCGTAAATGTCTTTGTTTGGGACCCTTTGTGAATGGCTGCGAAAAAAACCGCTGAATCCTGCAGACGCTGCACCTACATGTCTGGGGAATACCACCTACTCGCGTAATGGACATCAACTCTTGCGTAGATTTTTTTGTTTATTTACACACCTTAGTGTTGGGTGGGCATGGCAGTGGATGGAGCCAAAACCTGGTCCACGTTGCTGGTCTTCCAGAGCGAGGTGATGGTCTTTGGCTGCGTCAAGAAGGTCACACCAGCCTTACCGTAGAAGTTCAAGTCACCCAAGAACGAGGCCTTGTTACCAGTGAAGGAGAACATTGGCAATGGCACTGGGATAGGAACATTCACACCAACCTGGCCACAGGCAATCTCCTTGGTGAATTTCTGTGCAGCGGCGCCTGCGCTGGTGAACAACGAAACACCATTACCGTATTTGTTGGAGTTGACCAACTTAATGGCCTCATCGAAAGTGTCGACATTGACCACGGCCAAAACAGGGGCAAAAATCTCCTCGTCGTATGCTCTCATACCAGGCTTGACGTCGGTCAAGATGGTTGGACCCAAGAAGTTACCCTTCTCGAACTTGGGGTCAGAGGGCTTGAAGTTTCTACCATCAAGAATGATCTTGGCACCCTGCTTCTCAGAGTCGGCAATGATCTCCTTGGCTCTGGTCAAGGACTCAGGGTTCACGAGAGGACCCAAGTCAGACTTGGAGTCGAAACCGGAACCTGTGGTCAACTTGGCAGCGTCAGCAGCAACCTCCTCGGCCCACTTCTTGGTCTTCTCACCGACAGTGACAAGCACAGAAATAGCCATACATCTCTGACCGGCAGCACCGAAAGCAGCACCGTTGACGGCGTTGATGAAGTGGTTCTTGTCGGCATCTGGCAACACGATCAAGTGGTTCTTAGCACCAAGGTTGGCCTGAACTCTCTTGCCCAAAGAAGTACCCTTTTCGTAGATGTACTTACCGGCCTTGTCACCACCAACGAAGTTGACGGCCTTGACTCTTGGGTCCTCGATGATCTTGTTCACAGTGTCGTGCTTACCGTGCACAATGTTCAAGACACCAGGAGGAACACCGGCCTCGGCAGCCAACTGGGCAATGATCATGGCGGCACCTGGCACTCTCTCGGAAGGCTTGATCACGGCAGTGTTACCAGTGACAAGCACCAATGGCAAACTCCACAATGGGACCATGGCTGGGAAGTTGAAAGGACAGATCGAGCCAATGACACCCAATGGCTCTCTCACCATCTTGGTCTCCATGTCGGTGGCAACCTCCAAAGAAGAGGCCATCAAGTCGTTAGGGGCGTTACAAGCAGCTTCGGCAACTTGCAAACCACGCAAAACGTCACCCTTGGCGTCAGGGAAGGTCTTACCCTGTTCCAAGACAATCATACCGGCAAGTCTGTCGTGGTTCTTCTTCAACAACTCGACGAACTTGAAGGCAATACCTTGTCTCTTGATGATGGAGTAGTTCTTCCACTCGTGGAAGGCCTTGTCGGCAGATGCAATGGCATCGTCAAGTTCCTGAGCAGTCAGCTGAGGAACCTTCGAGATGACCTCGTTGGTGGCTGGATCGTGAATGTCGAACCAGGTTTTGGAGTCAGACTTGACCAACTGGTTGTCGATGAACGAAGGGGTCAAGTATGGTTCAGTACCCTTCTCCAAGTGATTTGTGGGGTACGAGTCGGTGGTTGAGTTGAGAGCAATGGTCGAAAGAGAACGAGCAAAAACGGGCCCGGTTCTGGCCACACGGGACGCAGATCTGGAAAAGTTTCTCAACATGATTTATGATGGAACGTGAATTCTGGGAATGTCAGTGGTTATATACCCTGGAGAGCCGCCTTAGCGGGTGCGAAAAAGAAAGACGCCTACGCAGTGCCATGTGAACCCCACCATACAGCCTCAGGCCCCGCGCCCGGGGTGTTAACTATGGGTATGGCTGCGAAAAAAGAGACCTATTCCGTGGATAACCGAACACCACGGCAACCCCATGAGCGAGTCGAGAAAATGCAGTCTGAAAAGGTCCGAGAAGAATGGATCTATCAAGGCACGGTTCCATGCGATCCCTCAGAAAATAAGTCCCCTTCGGGATTGCTGAAGCGCTTTTGGGTGGCCAGTGCGGACCAGCAATTCCTATGATTTGCGGAATACGCATTGCGACCACCTTTCAGGTACCAAGCGCTCACATTGCTGCTTGGCCTTGTGAAAGCCTAGGCGTATTTGGAGTCGTTCCAAAGATCGTAGTACAAGTCTAAGAGACATGAAGTACTCCAAGCCTGAGTAGGACTCGAGTCATGACACAAGGCACCGTCCTTGTTGGTGAGCTCGGTGATACCTGCCCATGGGCTCTCGCGAATCCATTTTTTGTGGCCCGCGAGTCGCTTATTGACTTCCGTCAAAAGCTCCACTGACGGCTTGTGCGACCCGCTTCCCTCAGCTTGATGGTGGAAGTACAAAAACGCTCTGATGAAGTAACCAAATAACCACACCCACTCTGGGCCCTGGTGATAGTTTCTTCCCTTTGATGTAGCAAAATCATCGCTGTCTTCCAGGTTGTTGTAGTCGGGGCGGTAGTTCCAGTCTGATGGATCCAAGGTCCTCATTCCTACTGGGCCTCTGATGATGCGATCCGCGTTATCGATGGCTGCAAGAGCTTTTTCTGGGGTGAACAACTCAGGCGCGACACACATGGCAATTGGGAAGTTGGCTCTCAACTGGTAGTCTTCGAACTCCTTTCCTGCCTGGTAAAGATCCTTGTAAATGCCTCTGCGGTTGACCACACCTGGATTGATCTTGTAGTTTCCATCTTCTGAGGAGTCCTCTGGAACGAAGAAGCACTTCTCGAAGTTGTCCTGGAGAAGGCTTTCCCAATCTTCCAACAGAATCTTGCTGCCATCAGGCTTCTCCACTTCAGAATACTTGAATTTTCCTTCCTTCCTCAAGCCATTTACGAATCTCAAAGTACTCTTCAAAAGGCCCTGCAACTCAACAGCCGCACCGTCTCTTGGAGTACCGGGGTATCCCTTATTTCCAGCCTTCTCACTTTCACCCATCTTGTCCATCCAAGTACCACAGTTCCATTGCGAGCCTCCGTGAACGAGACCAGTCTCCCAGTCAACATGTACTTCGACGTCAAAACCTTCGTCCTTCATCTGACTGTCAAGGTTGGGGCCAGCGTTGGCTTCACGGTATTTGATTCCCTTAGCATGACGGGCCAAAATTTCGTAGAGAATGTCTCTGATGGAGGTTTCGTAGCTAAAGGCTTTTTCGTCCTCCCACTTGATGTAGGTGTCGTCGAGAGGGAATCTTCTCGAAACCTTTTCGTCGAGAATCTTCTCCCCATCGGGAGCATGCGTGACATACTCTTGGACGGCTTGTGCAAAGAACCAAGCGGCGTCTCTAGCATTGTAACGAGGATTTCTGCCGGCGTCCAACAAGTTTGGAATAAGGCCATGTTTTAAAGTCTTTGCAAACCCAAGAATGTGCTCTTTAGCGTCTTCAAATCTGCCAGGCACTATCAACAAGCCACGATATGAGATGAACACATCTCTTCCCCAACATCTCATATAATCGTTACTGAAATGAGGAAGACCAGCAGCAATACATGGAATGTTCTTATCTGGAAGCAACGATGTGTTGTTCATGTAACCACACATTTGGACACTTGTAAGAGCTAAGCTCTGTACAAAGTTTGTGGCATTCTTGATGTTGTCATCAAGCTGTCTCAAAACTCTAAATCTGGCGGCTTCATACGCAACACCAACAACGAGTGCAAAATAGTGAGGTTTCAAGAAGTATGGGACTTCTCTGATAGCATCAATACGAGACTTGAGCCAGTCATAGAATTTATGCAAGTTTTTGGAATCCTTGCTATACTTCTCGAGTCTGTTCACAATGTAATCTCCGGCCCAGAAGCCCTCTCTCAAGTGGTTGCAAAGTGGATGAGCGAGGTCATTCGTCCACACAATGTTCTTAAGAACAGAAACCCACCCTTGCAAGCCAGCGTACACCAACGGACCAAAGTTAGGAACAGTGTAAACACTATCAGAGCCTCCACTGGCATCTCTCTCTTCAGGCTCGCATCTGTACAAAATTGTGTTCAAGTCGTACAAGTCCAAACCCAAAGAAGCCTCGACAGCACCCTTTCTGACATATTCATCCAAAGAAGCATCGACGTTTGGAATTTTGGTGGAGAACACAGCAATACTTCCTGGTACGAAATTGCCATCAACTCTGATGATTGCCTCATTACCATTGTGTTCGATTTCTGGTAAGCTTACATCTTCGAGCTTAGTTGGAATGGAGCTGAGGTACTTGTCGTCTTGGGAGAATTCACCAACCTTCTTCAAAGTGTAACTGAACTCACGTTTTACTTCAGTCCCCTTCAATACAACAGGTGAAAGAATCTGCTCGTCCTGGCCCGCAGAGAACTTTGTTCTGGCAATCAAAAACCAGCCTTCTCCTGTAACAGTGTTGTATCTTTGAATAGTAATGTACTGATTTTCGTGATGAATGTACATTTCATGATCGTTGGCAGCATCCTTACTCTCCTTAGCCAAAGCATCCCTCACATCGTTCAACTTTCTTCTGGCTTCTGCGATACCATTCTTTTGGTCATAAGCATACTGTCTTGTCTCGTTTACCACATCGAGCAAAGCAGGGTACGTTTCATCGAATCCAAAGGTGGTTCCAATAGCACTTGAACAGAAAGCCACCAAAGCTGCTGTTGGCAAAGTATCTTCAACCGTTCTGACCTGAGCGGGCATTTGGTTGTCATGTGTGCAATCCATAAACAATGCATGAGGTGCTTGATTGGTAAGAACCCGAGGAATCTCTAATTCTGAGTGTCCCTCTGAAAATTTGTCCACGGTGGGCTCTTTGTCACAAGGGTATGCGAATTCGTCCAAAGGCATCCATGTAAGAGACCCAATTGGTCTACCGCCATGCTTATGAACGAGTCTAGACAATTCTGCAACACTCCAGGCTTGCATTGCCTCTCTGATCAATGAGTTTATGCCCAATCTTTCAACAAAAATCTTGTCCATCTCTTCGGAACCAGTAAAGAGCTCTGCGACGACGTAGAGATTAGGGTTGACTGATCTTGCGGCATCCAACAAGGCTTCGCCGACATGCAATGGAGTCGAATGACAGTTGTCAAGTCTGAAACCGCTGAAGGCCTTAGCACTATTTTTGGTGTACTCAATCATTCTGTCCCAAAGATGTGGAGAATCCTCGGGCCCCTTGCCAAATCTGAGCTTAACGCAGTCACTCCAGACAATCACCTCTCTGCGAAGATAGGCTTTGGATTCGGAGGAAGCAAAGTCAACAAGTGGGTTACCACCCCAAATCCATCCATTGTTGGCCAAAGCGTAGTCTTTACCGTCCTTGCCCTCAAATCTCGTAAAGTACGCCTCAGTGAATTTACTTTCTTTTGTAATAGGGCCCAATTTGGGGCCGTTGTCTGCCAATCTAAGATATCTGGCTCTATCAATGATTTGCAATTTTATTGAGCGAGTGTCATCGTCAAAAGCAGCGTACAATGGTGCGTTTATCTCATCCAAGATGTGAGATGCTTTGCTTTCGATCTGGGTAAAATCATTGGAGGTGACGGCAAGAAGTATACCCAAAAACTTGTCTGCTTCAAGTTTATTCAGGTATCTGTCGTTCAAAATCGCCTCTCCGTTCAGGGTGGCGTTCTTGAGGACGTATGAGGCCAACAGTTTGATGTCAGATACGTTAACGTCGCCTGGAATATCAGCTGGGTCAAGCTTATTGGCGTCGTATACCTTTTTCAACTCCTCGAGTGTGGTTTTCTTGTCAAAAACGTAGTATTGCCACAAGGCAAGCTTGTCCAAAACATGCTCCTGAACTCCATCAACGACCTTTTTGAGGTCATCCTCGCCCTTCAAGTCTGTGGGCAATCCAAGCTCCTGCAATTTGTCAGAGTAATCCAAAAGCGCCCTATCCAACTCAATGGCGGCTTTCAAGTGAGGAGCAGAAATGGCGTTGTAACCTGCGTCCGGGTGCTCCCTGAGCCAGGGGGAGTCATCAGAGGTGTGGTTCCAGACAACATCTGTCAATGATAACAAGTTGTGGTTCTCAGTTGTTTCATGAATGAACAGAATTGCATGCTTCGTGTCGGAGAAGAGATCAGGATCAAACCGCAATTGGTCACGAATGGAGTAGGGCGAATTCAGAGATCCACGCTCTTGCAAAGGAGTAAAATGGATCATATCGTAGCCCTTCTCGGAAATGTAGCCAAATAACTTGTCCCAGTTGTCTAGGGGGCCAGCCCATTTGGACACGACAGTCTGGATGTTGATGGCATTGAACGGAACGTACTTTCCGTTGACGACGAGATTTGGTGGGACCACAAAGTACGTTTCCTTTGTTTTGGAAGCCTTTTCGTTCTCGTCCTCATACTCAATGTAAAAGGAGTAAGGACCAGGGTTGTAGATAGGCACCTTGAAGGTAGTGTCCTTCGTGAAGGAGCTGGACAATGGGATCTCTTGGAAAGAGTCCCTCTTGAACTCTTTACCTTCCTTAGGAACATTGATGAAAAATGTACCCTTTCTGGTCACCGGAGCAGCGGCGTTGAGTTGGACCACCAAGTGGAACAAAGGGTCCTTTCCGGAGCTGTCGTTCGGAGCGTAACTTGGGAAAATAAGAACACCGTTTTTAACGGCATCATTGCTGATAGGCGAGCCCTCGTCGTCGAGTCTAAGAAGAATAGACGGCATGGTGGCTCAATTGGGGTTTGATTTTAGAGAGTGGGCGGACTATGCGGTTTTTATAGGCCACTTGCATATATCGCGAGATCCACCTAGATTGCTAGCGTCTGGGCGGACCTCAAGAAGGTATGCTTATATCTAGGATGTGCTTCGGGAGTTTACTACTTTGAACCTAACTTTAGTTGTTTGTACAAAGACAAGAATTATGGCATATACACCGATGATGGGTCAAACATGGCTCTAGTATAAATTGCATTGTCTGCGTTTTGCACCCAAACTGAGCCGCAGCTAGGCGAGGTCCAACACGGACTCAAACTTCTCCGAGACGGTTTTACCTGAACGAGACTCAGCCGACTTGGTAAGTTGCACAAAGTCGGTGGTGTCTTTGAAAGCAGGGATCTTGTAGAGATTCAAAAACCACTTGTGGAGGTGTGGGTAGTCCTTGGCGAGACTGAAACGCTGAGCTCCGTAGTCGTTGTAGTAAACTCTGCCCACACGAACAACAGAGGTGAAAAGCTTGATGTCGGCTTCGGTGAGTTGGGACCCAATGGCAAAGAACAGACCCTTTTCCTGTCTTTCTTCAAAGTACTTGTCAACCTTCTTGAGCTCCTCGAGAAGGGCCTTGTACCCAGCTTCGAAGTCCTCCTTGTTCTGGGCAAAGCTGGTCTTGAAAAAGGCCTTACCTACAGCATCTCCAAACTGCTCGTTGAACAGCTCCACCTGCAGCTGCAACTCATTGGGGTAGACATCCACATGTTTGTAGTCGTCGGGAAGAAAGTCGTTGAACTCGGTGTTGAAGAAGCGAACCATCTCACCACTTTCGTTATTCACCAATGTTTCCTCCTTTTTGTCCCACAAAGCAGGAACGGTCCAGCGTCCCTCGTAATTAGGGTTAGCCTTGAAGTACAACTCGCTGATTCTTTCGAGTCCGTAGTTGGGCTCCAAAGTACCGAGAGTGATATCACCTTCAGGAACTGAGCTCAATTCCTCCTTGGTTGGGAAACGCCATCCCTTGGAGTCCAACGAGTAGTGGGTATGTACCAATGGAAGGTACTCCTCTAAGCCTTTGAGTTGTCTAACGATGGCTGCTCTCTGGGCAAAAGGACACGTGAACGAGACATACAAGTTGTATCTGTTCTTTTCGATTGGGAAGCGTGGGCCTCCTTTGGAAATTATGTTATTGAAAGACTTGACGGACATTGTGCGGTGGGAATCGTACCCTGCTGGTGGTTTTATATCTCGATATGCTTAGTAACCAAAATTCGCAACCACCTATGCATGCCACAGTTACTGCAGTGTGTCAATTAGGGGGCTCAACCCCGAGATAAAGTTTAAGCTATAAATGGAATTTTCAGATTGGGGAAAGATTCTGGTGATGGGATCATTTCTGTAATAATGAACTTTGATAGGTGTGGTTGCAATGTGGGGTCGGCAACCCCGAACCATGTAGAAGTCAAGGAGGGCTTCTTCTTCAAAGATAGTGCATCAAAGTCGAAACGGGAAATTTGGCAGAATCAAATCGTAGAATAGATAACTTATGTGTGGATGAAATGCAAAAAAGAAGCTTCCCACCAGGAGTCGAACCTGGAATCTTCTGGTTCCAACAGAAGTGGTTACTTATCGTAGCCAGACGCCTTGACCATTGGGCCATGAGGAACGAAGCTTGCTAGTAACCATAATGGTTAATATATATGCTGTACATTTTTAGGGGTGGTTTTGAACATTCTTACTCAATTTTGCTACGTAGAGGTAGATGGAACAATTTTTAGTGAGCTGAAAAAGTTTCGGATCTTCGCGACAAAAACTGAGGCTGTGGGAGCCTAATTTATACCATGAACAAAAATCCCACCAAACTCCATAGATATTTCAAATTTCATTATCAAAATTCACGTACCTCGAGCTGAAGAAACTATTTTATCAGAATCAAATAACTGATATGGCTATTATTGTTGGTTTTGGGGAATTGGTGACCTCGTCGGGAAAGGGAAACCGAAATTTAAGATGACAAAGTACACATTAAATGCCAATGTCTTTGTGGCAATTTAACAATGATGAAGCGCAAAAGAGAAGTATCCCTTAAACTATTTTGGAGTGCCAAGCGCCACTCGCTTAACCAGTTCTCAAACAGAATCTTTCTAGAGAAGGTAATTGCAAATTGATTCCGGATTCGGAACCGAATCACCATCTCAGATAAGATGCAATTGGTCTAATCTGTCTTCAAACTTTTTTTCTTATCAAAGTTTTACGACAATGCTGACAGTGAGATGCGTATGATAAGCCAACAAGCATGGCTGATTGGAAACCCAATTCGACCCCATGAGGACAATCCCAAATGGAATATTTGCTCGCTAGACAACGTTCCAGAAAAACGGCGTTCGCCAAGTTTTTACAGCCACTTCTTTCTGTCACACTAGTGTAGCAATTACACCCACCACCCACGTTGATAGAGAAAGTCTTGTCCCAGGGCAATTTAGCCGCACGTCCAATGCACAAAACCGTCTTCCAACCAGATAAGGCACAAACACGCCCACGTTTCCCATTACCCAGACTCAAGAAATTAGTCAAATTTATTGTGTTTCATCAAGAATAATTGCCGAGTATTTGAAGAATCGAGGGTGAGTTCATAGAGATGGCAAGTGGTGGATTTCACTCATCTGCAACGTTGCAATTGATCCACTACGAGATCAGAGGCTCTACGGAAAGGGTCCAATGCTGAAAATTGGTGCACAAGAATTTCGGCAGATCTCGGGCTCAGACTTGAACATACATCCAATCTAGACTGCAGATCCGTCAGAGTCACAAAGCGCATTCTCGTAAACTAGTGAGGCGCGGCTAAAGCAGCCCCATAAGAGGACGACAAGTACCTGAGATGGAAAGAAAAGATGGAGGGAAAAGATGGACTTCGGGAGTTTAGCTCGAGAAATTAATAATTGCATAGCTGATTAAATCTTATCTTCTCTTTCAGTTCATTAATTTAGATTTAGTTACACAACCTCTTCGGTACCGTACAAACTTCCGTGCTCATAAAAAAGCCATTCTGCAGTGCAAAGATCCACCGGGTTGGGAAAAGCGATCCTTTGCGTCATAGTATTCAACGGCGCTTTTCGGCTAAATTAGGCATTTTCCACTACGGCTTTATAACAGTGTAAATCATTTGTATTAATGCCAAGGATTCCGAATTAGGGCCCCGCATGTCAACGAAATCGGCTATCAATTCATGCCTCCACCTGCGCCAAGCACCTTACTTATTAAGGTGCATGTGGATGCTAATCTCTTTTTTTTTTTTTTTTTTTTTCTTTTGCACTACTTACCACCCACTGCTATATAAGCGTAGCTGATCTGTAACGAAGTTTCGTAAGGCAAAATGTCAACTAGAGATTTCCCATCCGGCTTCAAGGACACCTTCACAGGCTGGTACAAGAAGGTCCCTAGTGAATTGGCTTTCACCAAAGCACAAAGAGAGAGAAACTCAGAGATCCCGGATAACGAGGAAGACGCTGAGGCGGTGAGAAAAGTCCAGCTCAAGAACTTGTGGCCTGCTTTTGTCTCGGGCGCTGGGCTTTTTTCAGATGGGTATGTCAACAACTCCATTTCTACAGTCACCACCTGCTTGTCCGTGATCTACGGAGAGAAGTTCACAAACTCAAATGCAATTTCCAACGTCTCCGCTATTGCCTTTGCAGGTGTGGTTTTCGGTCAATTGTCCTTTGGCTCTATCTCTGACCGCTTTGCCAGAAAAGGTGGAATGTTGGCTGCAAACATTATTTTGATCATCTTCACGGTGCTTTGTGCCGCTGCCACCTGGGGTGTGACTCCAGAAGGCATGTTCACAGCATTGACAGTGTTCCGTTTTTTCTTGGGTATCGGTATCGGTGCTGAGTATCCTACTGCCTCCGTCATTGCCTCTGAGTTTGCCAATCAGTTGCCTGTGGGCCACAGAAATAGATACTTTATCTGGTTCACTCACACTTGTGTGGATTTGGGTTATGTTGTCTCCGCTTTTGTGCCCATGGTCTTGTTGTGGATCTTCTCGGACCAGAGATTGGAGGTGGTCTGGAGATTGACCTTGGGTCTTGGTGCTCTCCCTATCATTGTTCTCTTCTTCATGAGAAGAAAGATCGCCAACTCTGCCTCTTACGAGAAAACAAATTTGAAGAAAGCCAAGAAGTTCCCTTGGTGGCTTGTTCTCAAATTCTACTGGTTTCGCTTGACCATCAGTGCCCTCATCTGGTTCATCTACGACTTCTCTGCCTACGCTTTTGCTTCTTACTCGTCTTACATCTTGAGAATCATCGTCCCTGGTAATGACTTGTACAAGACCTTTGGTTGGACTGTCGTCTTCAACCTCTTCTACCTCCCTGGTACTATTATTGGAGCATTCTTCGCTGACTACTTTGGTCCTAGAATCACCTTGGCTGCTGGTCTCTTGATGCAAGCTATTATCGGCTTCGGCATGACAGCTGGCTACGACAACTTGATCACTAACATTGGAAGCTTTGTCGTTGTCTACGGTGTTTTCACTGCTCTTGGTGAGTTTGGTGCTGGTAACAACACCAGTGTCTTGGCTTCCAAAACCTCCGCTACACCTATCAGAGGCCAATACTACGGTATCGCCGCTGCATGCGGTAAAATTGGTGCTTTTGTGGGTACATACTTGTTTCCTATCATCATGAGAAACCACGGTGGTGTGGACTCGAGCGAAGGTATCAAGACTGCTTTCTATGTTTCGTCTTCTTTGTGTCTTTTTTCTGCGGGTCTTTGTTTGTTCTTCTGTCCTTCCGTCGGTCAAGAAGCCATTAACGAAGAAGACCGTGCCTTCATCCAATACTTGAGAGACAACAATTACGATCTTTCTCAATTGGGTGATGGATCGCTTGAGCAAGACATTACCGAATCTGGAGAGAACTCCATCGAGGAGAGCAAGGATTCTAAGGAGAAGGGCGACCTCCATATCCACGTTTCAAACACTTCCTCCACTGAGGAGAAGAAATGAGCGATGTGATATTTATTTCCCCATCAGCGGGAACTCTTTGACAGAGTGCTATAATCCGGTTTAGTTTTTGACGGCCCCTGTGATTTCAACAATCACCACATGGGTTGTGGTAGGCAGCTCATCTCTGCTTCCTACTGGGTTTCTATATATATATTTTATCGTTCAGGAATACATATACACTTCGAGGATAAATTAGGGTTCTGGGCAGTAGGATTTTATATGAAAAAGTAATCCTTAAAGCAGTCAATTAAAAGGGCCCTTTCTGCAAAGAGCTTGAAGTAGTGTATTTCGAGCGTCTGATATTTGCGTAGTCTCAACACATTACATGTTTTCAGTAACACGCAAAAGGGTGGAAAAAAGGTTTTGTAAATGAATGAAACTAGTTCAAAACACCTCAGTAAATCATTTATATAAAAAAAAAAATCCCTCCCTGTGGTTTACAACGATAGTGCCTCTTCTCCATCTTGAAGCACCATGTACACTACTATCTCACTTAGACATCAACACTACACTTACCACATCTTTCCACGCCAATGGCCTCTTTGGACAACGTCACACACCTTACTGATGAAGTGGTGGCTGACTTTGGTGGGATGGGCTCCCAAACGCTCATTGAAAAACTACAAACCAAGGACTTGAGCCGAAATGAGGCCGACGACTTGGCTAGTGAAATCTTTACAGAAATCCTTCTATGTCACGATAATGGCCAATTGGCGAACGATGCAATCCTCCAATTTTTATCAAATGCAATTAACGACGAGGAGAAGGCTGCTATTTTCTGCCAGGCGCTTGACATCTTCCCTGTGTCAGAATCTTTGCAGGCCCTTATAGATGAACTCAAGAAAACAGAGGTTATACAAGCGAAAACATTCGCCGAAAATGTCGATACTTCACTTTTAACGTCACTGGAGTTTGTTCCTGCTCAGTCACTCAATCGTCAATTGAACACTCGAAAAAGAGACATGTTCTACACCCAAAGGAAATTCAATCTATTCTACGAAGAGTTCGAGGGATACGCCAAATTGGTGCAAGAGCTTTTCAGGCTACTTAAAACGCCAAAGAACTTGGGTTTTGTTGACCTTGCCTTGCGTGCCACGGAATCTCTCATCGGACACTACCAACTAGATCCAAACAGGGTTCTTGATGTGGTGCTAGATGTCTTCAGTCATCTTATCGTTGGAAACCAAACATTTGTTGTGAAGTATCTCAGGCAATCCCGCTGGTGGCCTTTTGCCCCTGCCACTCCTTTCGATGGAATCGATGCTCTCAACAACGGAGGTAGTGAAACTGCTTCCAAACTTCTTGCACTCAAGTTCACAAAGGCAAAGCCAGATAAGGACCTTTCAGAGACTTTAAAGATCTTGATCGCCATTCTCATAAGGGAAGGTTTCGTCAGTTTTGGGTCTATTTACAAGTTTCTTCGACCGGACGATGAAGAAATGCAGTCACTCGAGCAGCTTTATAAGAAAGATCTTGATGAGCAAGTGTTCAAGTCGAACGCTAGTGCTCTAGCATTGGCTGCTCCCTTGGCCGATGACGACGAAGAAGGAAAAACTACCAATGGCTCAACGAAAGATACAACAGAGACTGCCAGAGATACACTTTCTAACCGTCTTCCGCTTAACACGAAATTTCAGTTCTTGAAAACCTTCCTAGAAACTGGCTTGTATTGGCCTTCTGTCTTCATTCTTGCGGAGTATCCTTTCCTTGTTCATGTTGACCCTGAGGTTCCGGAATTGATGCTTCGAATGATTGACCAAATTATTGAGCCGTTACATTCAAAGTCATTTAAAGATCTCGCGCTCGCAGAGGCATTACAGATACCAAGACAACAAGCTCTGTCGAACCATATGGCAGGTATCAAGTACACTAAAATCACTCCTGCTCAATTATACTGCTTCAAGCCAACTGCCCATATGCAAAGCAATAAGGAGCTTGTGTACTTTTACTCAGAGTGGGTAAATGATCTTCCAAAAGTGGAGAACTTTGACGACCTTCTCGAGTTTTCGCAACAGTATTTGAAGTATTTGGGTACAAAACTATGCGTCAACCTAGCAGTGTTCTCCAAGCTTTGTGAATTACTTGTCTACTTTCACGGGGAAACCTCTTCTCCAGAAGACAGAGAGACATACTTGAACTATTTTCGGAATTACATCTTTCCAGCAATGACTGGTATTGAAGACAACCCTGTTCCTATTGCCAAGGCTTTCCAATTTCTCCAACTTTATCCAGTTGAAGATAGATTCAATTTGTATGGAGAGTTATACCAGGTACTTGCAAAGAATAATCCGCATGTCAAAATTAATTACGGAAAGGCAGAGAAAGCCACAAAGGACACTTTGAAGAGAATTTCCAAAGAAAATGTCAAGCCAATGATGAGGAGGCTTGCTAAGATCAGTTTTGTCAACCCTTTGCCCTGCTTCCTCACAATGCTTCAGCAAATTGAAAGTTATGATAACCTCAATTCGTTGGTTGTCGATACTGCTCAATACTTCAATGAATACGGCTGGGACAACATGACGTTGGCTATACTTATGAGATTGACCTCTCTTGGGCGAAGTAATATTCAACAAGACGGCCTACATGAGCGCCAGTGGATCCAATCATTGGCGTCATTTATTGGTCAGATTTGTCACAAGTATCCGAAGTCCGTTGATTTAGAGACTATAACCAAGTACTTGGTCAAGTCATTTCACTTGAAGGAAAGTTCAGGATTACTTGTGTTCAAAGAGATTCTCGCGCTTACAGGTGGAATGAAGCCTATCAATAATCTCACGCCTCTTCAAATTGACATGATTAACAGCGGTCAATCATTGGAGAAGATTGTCTACCAGACCATCGACGATAGGAGATTCGAGAGCGTTGAGGCTGGGTCAACTCTCGCAAATGTCTTCCAAGAACTCGATTTAATCAATGAGATCTTAGCGCTTTTGTCCAATCTTGTCAAAGTGGTTGTTTCGGGTGAAGAATATGCTCATCTCAAAGTTTTAGCAAACAGAAATGATGACATCAATACGGTGATGCACTTCTTCTGTACCCTCATTGGCTTCTTTGGCAGTGATAATATCCCAGGCAACCTTGAGTCGATAACAACGTTGGTGGAGAAATATGGTGTTTCAATACCTTGGGCTTTTGAACTCTGGAGACCGTACCTCACAGACACGGAAATACTAGGTGACATTGGTGAGCAATTCACCAGAGGAGTATCTTCCTCCCTCTTCACGACTTTCTGGAGCTTGAAGTTGTTTGACATTAACTTCAATCCTGAGATTTATGACTCGCAGGTTTCAAAGCTTACAGCCAATGACACAAGCCTTAGGGAAAACTTGTTACTTGCCAAAAAAGACCGTACGACACCTCAAGAAGTTCTCAAGCGTTTTGTTGCTGATATCAGGAAGACTGAGGATTTCAAGGCCAAAATTCCATCTGAAAAAGAAGCACACGAAGCTCATGCCAAAGAAGTGACGGATACGCTTTCAAATCATTGCAAAGCCTGGTTTTCGACTGATTCATCCACTGAGATAGAAAATGAGTCGAGAGCTTTCTTACAAGAGTGTGTTCTTCCACGTTGTGTTCATTCGTCATATGATGCTGTCTTCAGTGCCAGATTCCTTTTCAAGCTACACGAGCTTGGCCACAACCAATATTCGATCATTACTCTGTTGACCCAAATATTTCACTCGCAAATTACTTTTGCAACGCTTTTTACTTGCACGCCATCAGAAGCTGAGTGCTTGGGATTGTTTTATTCTGAGATCTTGAAAATCCTAGCAATTTGGCATACGGAAGAGGGTTTCGAAAAGCTTACCTCCTGTGCACCTTTGAAGAGCAATGGCGAACAGTTATCATTCAAGGATTACCGCAAGTTCTTGTTTGATCTCCACTCTGCATTACTACTGGATGTCTCGCGGTCGTTGGCTGCTGAAGAGTACATGTGTCGTCGTAACGCCATCACTTTGATGAAAAATCTACTTGGTGTTTATCCTAACGTGGAAGACCATTGTGAAGCCATCACAGAGCTCATCGAGAACATCGTTGCCAATGAAGAGCGTGAGGATCTTAAGTTGTCTTCAAGTGCTTTGATAGGTCATGTCAAGTCACGAGCAATGACGTGGGTTCACATGTGGGATTTCTTCGAAATGGAAGAAGAGGAAAAACAGCAACAGATTGACAAACGCAAAGCTATAGAGGAGGAGGCTGCAAGGATTCTCGAAGAAAAGAGGAAAAAGAGAGAAGAAGAAGAGAAGAGAGCTAAGGAGGAAGAGGAGCGCAGGCTTAGAGAGGAGGAGGAAAGAAGAAAGAAAGAAGAGGAAGAAGAACGGAAAAGGCTTGAGGAGGAGAAAGCTGAACAGCAGAGAGAGGCGTCCGCAAACGCTCTCAAGTATGAAGACGGTGGTGCTGCACCAGCACGCCAAACTCGGAACGAGGAAGTCTCAAGAGGTCGTTACGATCAATACTCGAGAGCCTCTCCTCGTCCGGCTACACCAGTGCATACAGCAGACAAATCTAAGGATAAGCCTTCACGGATCAAAGAAGAGAAGGCTAGAACAGAAGATGTGTCTAACCAAGCGAAATTGTCGGACAAGGCTGCCTCCAATCAGGATCTATTCAAAAACAAGAACAGGCCCTCAGCTCCAGCTAGATCTTCTGACCGCAAGGCTTCGCCAGCCAAGGATAGCGAGAAAGATCTCAAAGAAAAGCCTACTTCGCAAGAGAATGCTCGAACGAGATTTGCTAATCAGAAGTTGCCAAGCTCTTCTGATGCAAGAAACACTCAAAGAAAACCACTTCCACCGCAGCAGGCGCCCCGTCATTCGAGATATAATCACGGTCAACAGGGACGTCGTGATGACAGAGGGCCCAAGAGAGATTCGGCTTCTTCGAAAAGTCAGAATCGTGTCGAGTCTAGATCCAACACTGCAACGCCCTTACCGCCGCCAGCAACTCCTCCTCCACCTCCCCCTACAGCTCCTCCAAAAAGGGAAAACTCTGACAGGGGAGATAGAAAGAGAGAATGGAGAGGCTCTCACAGAAATGAGAAAAGGTCTAGATATTAGATCATTGATATAGTACATAGTGCCTTAATTAAATACCTTGCATCTGTTCCGCTATGAGCATGTCGAGCTCATTTTGCCTTTCATCGATTTCCTCGGCCAAAGAGCTATCAGAATCGGATAAATTCTCTTGCGCTGATTCATTGTCTATTAGATCCGACTCATCCAAGTCAGAGAAATGATCCAGATTTTCTTTGACCTCATCGAAATCTTCTGCCAACTGCTCTTCCATTTCCAACTCAAGCAATTTCTTTTCCGCCCGTTCCCGTTCCTTTTCATGTTTTTCCAAGTGTTTTTCATACGCGTGTTTTCTCTCGAACAATCTCCCACATCCTGGTCGAGGACATTTATATTTTTCTTTAAAATTGCCCAGCATTAAGCTGATGATTGAGGCGCCGCTTAATTCTCCAACATCAATGGCAGCCTCCTTCACCCTTTTGTCGATTGAGGTGCTTTCAACTTTTTCATGAGATCCATTAGCATCACCCTTCGATACCTCATTTTCGACCGTAGGAGGCACCTTGTCATTGTTATTCATCGCCAGCGTAGAATCGGAATCAGCAGAATTATTCAGCTTCTGATGTTCCTTTCTTACGTGGTCTTTGAGACTTCTCTCGGCCACGAAAGTAGAAAAGCAGCCTGGGTGACTGCAAGTGAAGGTCTGTCCTTCTCCATGCTCTTTTAGCTTATGCTTGGCAAGCAACACCTTGTTTTGAAACCTTCGGTTGCAAACATCACAGACAGTAACTTTTTCGTGTACTGACTCAATGTGGTGCTTGTACGATATGTGGTGGTAGAAGGCTTCATTGCAGTCATCATAGGGACATTTATGTTTCTTTGTGTGAGTAAGCTCGTGTCTTCGTAGTCTCTGGGCATCAATGACTCCTTTTCCACATATTTTACACTGAAACCTCATCTCACTGTCCTTCTGGTGGCTGCATTTGTGAACTTCAAGATGGACTTCCTGAAGAAAGCCTTATCGCATCCTTCAAAATCACAAGCGAACGGTCTGTCGTTGCTGTGTACGCGTTCGTGTTGTTTGAGAAGCGCTGGTCGCAGGTATCGCTTATCACAGCCATCAAACAGACATGCGTACTTCTTAGGCCTCGGCGTAGCCGTCATGGCTCATGTTGTAGTAAGATGTTGATGTTTGAGGTTCGCGATAGTGATGAGCCTTGCACTAAAATGGTTCTATCTCCGTCAAAAATGGTTGAAAACGGCTGAAAATACTACCGTTCGAATCAGAAACCCAATCTCAAAAAGTCTAATGTGTTTTTGGTGAGATTTTGGAATCTGGTAAATGTATCTGGTATAATAAAGCTGCGTTGTGGAGTAAATAAGAAATCCGAGATAGTTTAGTGGCTAGAATTACCGCTTGTCGCGTGGTAGACCGGGTTCAATTCCCCGTCTCGGAGCATTTTCTTGCGCAAGTGGTTTAGTGGTAAAATCCAACGTTGCCATCGTTGGGCCCCGGTTCGATTCCGGGCTTGCGCAATTCTTTTTGTATTTTTTTCTTCATATATCTTATCAACCGTAATTTTTATTTCATAAATGTGTCAGCTTAACTTTCCAAGGTCGCTTATTCTCTGGGAGCTTTTCTCGAAGTACAGGAGGCTAATTTAGATCTGGCCTTCTGCAGTATGTTTACATTTAAGAGGTCACTCCATACTTGATTGCTGGTTTCTCGAACCATTCAAAAAACGATTTCGAAAATACCAAAGGCAATCTTCATCTAAATTTGCGTCGAATCTTATCGGTTGCAAAATGTCGTGTACAGTTTGTCCCGCCCCGGATAAATTTAGGTACGGATCCACATTTGGCCAGAATTGGCAGGTGCGACATTGCACTGAGCTTTTGTAAACACAAGGCAGAGAAAATTGTCTGCCATTTTTAGAACTCGTCACACAACTACTATCGTATCCCTTGAGACTCTACATCCCACGTTTCCTTTTACGGATCATATAGATTCACTATCAAAAAAACATTCCTACAGAGTCAAAGCACATATACATCGTCAAAAGTCTTAACTCAGCCCCCAATCCACATGTCATTCGTCACCTCAACAATTATGGGTAGCATCACCCAGTTCAGAAGGGACGACATGCCTTCAGCAACCACTGGAGATGATGATTCTGAAACTGGTATGCCTTCTGTTGATAGCGGAATGCCCAGTATCTCATCTTCAAGTGAACTGATCTCTACTCCTTCAGTGACAGTTCCTGCCCATGATCATAACCCATATATTTATAGAGAAAGCCGTCTCACCGGTACAGTTTTCATTGCCGTTGGCAGTGTCGTCGGCGCTATTATCCTTGCATTTGTCTTGTTCCATCTTATTCGTTCAATTCGTGCCTCCATGCTAGCGAAGAAGTCTTCCAGTGGCGAGAAGAGCATGTACGAAAACTACAACCGCAACAGGTTGTATAGTAACTCCGTTGGTCTGTCCAGTACAAATTTCCTAAATACAGAGTACCAGGGTTCTGTGGCCAAGATTCCGCTCATGTCATCCAAGTCTTTGTACGATGGCTCTCAGGCCGGCGATACTTCCACTTTGCACATGGGTGAAACACCTTACGCCACATCGCATCATGACCTCACCAATATGTTCATTTCGCCTACGAAGGAGGTGATGTCGCATAGCAGGACCAAGTCTCAGTCCAACATTCTTGCAGGAAGCTCCATGTCGTTAAGAAATGAGCCATCCCCAGCTATCAATAGGCACTCGCAACTCATCCCGAATATGTACTTGAGTCCTGCGGTGAACAACAGCGAGTATTCGTTGCTGGAGCACGCCGCAGGCCTGTCGGGCAAATCTTCCTCGAATTCGCCTGAAAATAGCCCTAGGGGTAGACAGAAGAAGAAAACAGTACCAAGCATGTACTTGGACGACCTCATTGATAAATAGTGTTAAGAAAATGCATATCGGTTACAACATGTTTGTAGATACAGTTCGCACTGAGTCATGTTGATGTTATACTCTTCTGCGATAAGAAGGTTCGGCACCTGCTCCAGGAGGCTAACGAAAATCGATTGGCGAAAAGAATTTGAGTCTCTTCACATTGATGATGTGAAGCCCCTTCCGAAACTCCGAACGGTGGAAATCTCAGCTCAGGTCATCAAGCCCACCAGAGGCATTGAGATCAACCAGAACAAGTCACCATTGATCCTCATACACGGTCTTTTTGGGGCAAAACAAAACTATGCTTCAGTTGGAAAGCAGATTTCTTCGCTAACGCAACGAGAAGTAATTGGTCTAGATATGAGAAACCATGGTGCATCACCTCATGCTGCTCCTCATACCTACATGGCAATGGCCAGGGATACCATTGAGTACCTCGAGAAGCACGTTAGAGTTCCAGTCGCTCTAGCTGGTCACCTGATGGGTGCTAAAGTGTCAATGCTTGTCGCCTTGCTTCGTCCTGAGCTTATAGAGAAACTTGTGGTCATTGACAACAGTCCTGCTTCAGAAAAACTAGACCAGCAGTTTTATCGAGGTCTTTTGGGCTTATGTCACCTCGAGCGCGATAAGAGCTTGCCGGGTTTACCTAAGACGGCGTTGCATGCCAAGATGGACAAAATCTTGTTGAAGTATGAGAAGGACAAATTGGTCAGACTCTTTCTCTTGTCAAACTTATGCAAGAGGACTACAAAGCATGATCTGCTGCCGATCAAGTTTAGAGTGCCAGTATTGAACTTCTTGAAGGACGATGTGCTTCGAGAATTGGGATTGTGGCCAGAGGACGTGAAGGGGAAGAAATTCCATGGTCCGGTGAAAGTTATGAAAGCAGCAGAATCAAATTTTATCCAGGAGCACAACATATCAGAAGACTTTCCCCATTACTTCGATAGTTTTGATGTTTCGGTCTATGAGTGTGGACACTGGTTAGTGAGCGAGAAACCAGAACAGTTCGTGAAGGAGATGATTGAATTTTTAGACGATTCTTCGCATGCTCAGTGATTCAGACCTCCAGTTCCTTCCCTTTGCAGAGCGTAGAAGTTAAACACACAGCATAGGTACCCCTGTCAAGTCAGAGACACGGGCAGACTTTCATCAGATGAATTTACAGCCATGTAGTTACAACGCTCACACGTAGAAGGTGCGTCATTCTTTCCTCGATAACTGTAATAGCTACCCTAACTGAAACATGGTGGTTCTCATTCAAGCGTACGGGATGAGCATGAGCACGCGATTACATAATCAGCTCTCAACACAATAAGTGTATATAAAGAGGAGGCCTGCGCATTTTCTCAAAGGCTCAGTCTCTTAAGTTGCACCCAAACTAACGTTAATCTAAAACAAAAAGAAGCCCATATAACAAAACAAAAAATGTCGGACTTTGCGCCTACGTCATCCTCGCCGGGAGAGGACTTGTCGTTGCCAAAGGCAACTGTTCAGAAAATTGTGAGCGAGATTTTGCCTAAAGACATTGCCATTTCCAAAGAGGCTAGAGAAGCCATCACGGAGTGCAGCATAGAATTCATTATGATATTATCCACGCAGCTGAACGATATAGCTGAGAAAGAGGCCAAAAAGACAATAGCTAGTGACCATGTTATCAAAGCTTTGGAGGAGTTGGGCTTCCACAACTATCTCGATATCATCAACAAGGTTTTGGACGAGCACAAGGAATTGCTCAAGGGAAAGGAGAAGAAGAACAATAAGTTCCTTAATTCTGGCTTGACGGAGGAGGAGCTCTTGAAGCAGCAGGAGGAATTGTTCAAGAAGTCTAGGGACCGTTTGCAAGGCAGTGGGTCCCCCGGAGCACAGGAGATCAAGCAGGAGAACTGATGACATTGGGAATGTAGTAATGAGTGAAGCCTTCCAAACAGCAGGCTTGTGTATATTAGATCAGAGCAAAGACGTTCGCTGGAGTTTGAAATAATGTATATTACATGGTATCTATGGTACAGAATGCGTAGGGTATGCTGGGCGGATTAACCTAGAATCAACTCGTATAGGATGATCAAGACATTAACTGCGATAAGCGGAAGTCTCAACAATGTTCTTATGGCGCTGATCAAAGTAATGAGTCTATTTTTGATGGACGTGTCTGCGTTAGCTTGCATTCCGTATTGTTGCTGGAACTGATTGGGAGCAGCGTTACCCCAACCAATTCTATTGAGGAACCTGTCTTCACTGAGAACAGCTATACCGTTGACACTGAGCACAATGACGTAGAACAATTTGCCCAAGCCAAACATCGTGGGTTATAATGTAAAAAAGGTCAAGTGTTGATTTTAGTGAGGTGAGGAATCCGTACACCCGTACGGGGCACTTTGCTGCTCATGTTGGACTTATACCTTGAGCTATGCGGCAGAATAGGGAGTTTTTATAATGGCTTTGGAAGATATTGTTTTAAGCGGTTTGTAATTGGCTTATTTGAATGAGATAAATAGGGTTAAAAGCATCGAATTGTGTCATAGTTCACGTATGTGCCGAGGTGCGACTCTCTAATATCTTCAATGGCTGCAAACTGTAATTTATGGCTTCTGGTATCGCTTATTTCCATTCCTGCCTCAATATTTAATCGCTCTGTAATAAAGTTCGAAACAGTGGGGTATTGTGTGTTTTTTTAGGAAGAATGTTTTATTTGCGTTTTAGAACGATTTGTCGCTGTGGATACTAATTCGCAGAAGTACCACGAACTTTCTCCCATTGAAGTAGTAGGCCGGATCCTCAAGCAAAGAGTATTCTTCCACTTAGGGAAGTTATTTATAACTGTTGCAACTAAGTAACTGTCATAAGAATGTATATCAGTATAGAGGCAGCCTTAGGTCAGAGGAACAGTTGAAAAGAGTTTTTCGATCACGATCGATGTCCATGATATCTGGCACACTTCCGAGACAAAGCTAGGGGCTTCTAGATTAAAATAAACCGTAAGTTTCACCTTAACACGTCACCATACATTGCTTACATTCGAAGACCCTTCACTATAACTCTTCTCTCATGAGCCGGCACCTGGTTTGTGCGAAGTAGCTTGAAGACTTCGCCAGCCAAAATTTGCTTCGACAGTAAAATAATCTATCATATCTCCTCTACATTTGAATAATTGCCGCCGTGATTGTGGAATAGAATGTAGTACCCTTGTGACTTGGTTCAGGTGATGGTGTGCGCACGCATACCCTACATTTTTCAGTGGTTATTTTTTTCATACAGAAGTACCACCAACAACCCAAATGGACAAAGAAACCCTCCTCAAGGCGTTGTCGGGCACCCTTGATGCCAGCTTGCAAGGCAGAAAACAAAGTGAGCAGCAGTTGCGTTATTTTGAAGAGCAGCCCGGTTTCACCGCGTATCTTCTTGACCTCATCACTGACTCCAGCATCAACCTAGGAGTACAGGCCTCCGCTGCCATTTTCTTCAAGAATAGAGTTTCTAATTACTGGGTTGTCCCCGATATCAAAACTGCAAGCGCAAGATACATTCAGCAAAATGAAAAGCCGATGATCAAGCAAAAATTGATAGAGGTTTTGAGCCAAACTTACAAAAGCCCGGTCTTAAGAGTCCAGCTTTCAACTTCGGTCAGTAATATCCTCAATGCTGAGAAGTGGGATGATCTCACTGAAATAATTCCAAAGCTCATTTCAGATACCTCCAACATCGACCATGTCTTCACAGGTTTGATTTGTCTTTTCGAGTACACCAAAACGTACCGTTATTCACACGAGGGTAATAGGAATATTGTCCTCGAAGAGGTTGCGGAAAAGATGTTCCCATTGTTGGAAACCTTGACTGAAAGTCTTTTAGAAAACGATTCTGATATCTCAGATGAGTTGTTCTACTTGATTTTCAAGATCTTCAAATATTCCACCTACTCCTCATTGCCCGCATATCTCACGGACCCTTCGAAACTTGGGACCTGGTGCAAATTCCATATCTTGCTCATCAACAAGCCTTTGCCTTCTTCTGTGTTACAAGAAGAGCCATCAGAAAGAGCCACTGTCCCTCGTATTAAGGCTGTGAAATGGTGCTTTGGAAACTTGCACAGACTCTTGTTCCGTCACGGTGGTGGAGTCAGTACTCCTAAGAAGGATTCAGAATTTGCAAGAACTTTCTTGTCCACATTTGTTCCCGAAATTCTAAATGTGTACTGGCAGATCATCGAAAAGTGGTCTTCCAAGGAAGTGTGGTTGTCTGAAGCCTCTTTGTACCACTTGATTGGCTTTTTGGAGCTGGTTATTGAAACTCCTGCCTTCCCATTGATCGAAGAGAAGTTGGATGCCATCGTCAGACACGTTCTCTTGCCAACACTCAATGCCAATCAGGAAACCATCGAGCTTTATGAAGACAACCCTGAAGAATACATCAGAAGATTTTTCGACGTCAGCAGGGACAATCCAACCGCCGATACTGCCTCCATAAACTTCGTTTTCCGTTTGTCCTCCACCAAATTTTCCAAAACTGGTAATACCGTGCTTGCAATCCTCAACGACGTATTCCAGAAAAGAGCCTCCGACAGAGAGAATTTGGAATATGCTTGTCAAGCAGAAGGAGCTCTTCGTGTGCTTGCCACCATCTCCATTAGGCTCAATAAGGATCTGAGCCCTGTCAAGGGTCAAATTGATCAGCTCTTACACTCCTACGTTTACCCAGAGCTTTCAGAGGCTGTCATTGCTAAGTACCCCTGGCTTACCGCCAGAGCCTGTGACACAATTGCCATGTTCATGCACAAGTACAACGACCAAAAGATTTTGCAAGATATCTTCCAGGCTATTGTCCACTGTTTCCAACAACAGGAACACTTCCCTATTCAGTTGACTGCCATAGATGGTTTGCGTGCTTTGGTGGACGAGGACTTGGTGGCTGGTCAGGTTGCTGACCAGGCTCCCCAATTAATGGGTGTCTTGCTTGACATGTCGAAGAACTTCGAGAGTGATACCTTGAATACTGTCATGGATGTGTTTGTCGAGAAGTTTGCTGCCAACTTGGAGCCATACGCTAATGAGCTTTCTATGCGTTTGGCCGAGCAGTTCATCAAGTTAGCCAATGAGATCTTGGAGCAGTCTTCTCAGAATGGCGGCATTGACGTTGACAAGGAGTACGCGGCTGCAGGTGTTTTGAACACTTTGACATCGCTTGTTATCTCCATGAATGCATCGCCTCAAGTGGCCAGCAACCTCGAGGTTATTCTCAAAGATATGATCAAGTTCATCTTGGAGAACTCAATGGCTCTGTTCTTGACAGAAGTTGTCGAAATTTTGGAGTCCATCATGTTCAGTACAAACCGTATGTCCCCTACGATGTGGGAGCTTTACGAGTGTGTGATATCATGCTTTGATACTTACGCCGAGGATTTCTTTGACAGCTTCCAGCCATTTTTGGAGGCTGTGGTGTTGCATGCTTTCAGCGATGAGGAGATCACCGTTGACAACAGTAATGTGCAAGCAATGTTCAAGATCTGCTTCAAGATGTTGCAAGGGGACATGGTGGACCCAGTGTTCGCCCACCATGCATTCGAGTTGATCGAATTCTCAATCTTGACTTTGAACAAGAGATTCGTTCCATTTTTGCCCGACTTCTTAGCCGAAATCTTCAAGATCTATCAAAGCTTGGACGCCCAAGAAGCATTTGATGGCTACATGTTGCACTACTTGTCAGTGTTGAAGATCTTCTTCGCTTGCTTCTGCGTCGAGGCCACTGGAACGTTACTGATAATGAAGCAGCACGACGTTACCAAATTCTTCTTCACAATGTGGGTCAAATACAGTGATGAGTTCAGATCTGTTTATGGTTGCAAGTTACAGATCCTCGCAGCCCTTTCCATTCTCCTGGAAGCTCCATTAGACCACCTTCCAGCACAAGATTTGGTCGGCGAGACCGTCGATTTGCTCATCTCCAACTTGGAGTCTCTTCCACACGCCATCAAGGCCAGACAGGATATCGTTGACAGAGACAATGGTGTGCGTACCACAAGCAGAGATTTCACGAGCGGTGGTGATGATGAAGACGAGGAGGACTATTACGAAGATGATTTGGAGGCTGACGAGGCCGAGCTTGAGGCCATGAAGCAAACACCACTCGATAACTACAATGTGTTCTACCTGTTTGCAGAGAAAATCAATCAAGTTCAACAGCAGGATCCACAGAGATACCAGGCGGTTTTTGGAAACTTGGACGAATCACAAAAGGAGATTGCCAACAGGATTGTGCAAATTCACCTGCAACACCACCAGTAGGCTGGAGGTATATCACATAGCCTAAAACGAGTGCAGTATAGCGCATTTTCATAGTAGGTTCTCGCAACACTAGAGTACTGTATGTGACATCAAAGGCGAACTCCAGAACCACTTTTGATCTTCAACCTTACACCCAAAAGTTCATAATAATCTGAATAAGATGTTTTCTGGATTCGGATCAGGCTTTTTCGGAGGCCAAAACTTCTCTCTGATGAATACGAGATTTGAGGATTACTTCAGATGCTACCCAATAGCCATGATGCCTGATAACGTCAGGAAGGATGACGCCAACTTTGGAGGAAAGATCTTCCTTCCTCCTTCAGCTTTGAACAAACTCACCATGTTGCATATCAGATACCCAATGTTGTTTGAATTGACGAATGAGGGTCTGGACAAAAAGACACACAGTGGTGTTTTGGAGTTCGTTGCCGAAGAAGGAAGAGTGTACATCCCCCAGTGGATGATGGAAACGCTTGAATTACAGCCGGGATCTTTGGTGAAGATTGCAAATCATGATTTACCCAACGGTCAATTCACTAAGCTCGAGCCTCAGTCCGTTGACTTTCTCGAGATCTCAGACCCCAAAGCGGTTTTGGAAAATGCATTGCGGAAGTTCTCTACATTGACGATAAATGATATCATTGAAATCGATTACAACGACACAAGATATGGAATCAAGGTTTTGGAAGCAAGGCCTGAGTCTGATTCTAAGGGTATCTGTGTTGTTGAGACAGATTTGGAAACCGAGTTCGCCCCACCGGTGGGATACGTTGAGCCTGAGTATACTCCTAAATCTGTGAAGCCATCTACGACACCAATAGATCCTTCCAGTGTCAAGAAGAGTGCAGGTGCTGGCACTATGGCTCAATCGATAAACTTTGCCAACCTCGTAGCAAGTGGTGGCACAACATCATACAAAGGCAGTGGCCAGAAGCTCTCGGGTAAGGCAACTGGAGATGAGGATAAAAAACTCACCATCGATGACTTGGATCCTGACATTCCTCCTGCCCCCTTACATTTACCGGAGAACCAGCTTTTCCTTGGATGGCCAGTCACACTTCCCACCCCGGAGGAGTCGGAGTCGGAGCAGCCTGCGCCTAAAGCATTTTCTGGCGAAGGCAAGTCATTGAGACAAAGCAAGAAGAGAACAAACAAGGGCAAAGATCACCCTCCCTTGAAGAACCACAATCGCAGCCCTGACTACATCGAGATTGATGATTAATGATTCTAATTATGATACTTCCTAGACCACTGTGGCCTCTGGATATTCTATTATTTACTGCTCCGTGGTAGAAGGGAGAAACACGTCGTTGCCTTGCTCCACAGCTCTCTTGGTATGGTAGACAATGTCATCGGACTCCCATGGGTAAGCGATCCACACATCTGGCACAGTTCTTGCGGCGAAATAGTTGCCAGTCTTCATGATCTCATCTGGCAAGTCAGCCTTCTTGGTCTTGTCCTTGTCGTGAAGAACAAAAATGCCGAACTTTGTGTCTTCAGGGTTGGCACCCTTAGCCTTGGCTTGCTCAGTGACGTCCTTCTTCAACTCAGATACAGCATAATGCAAAGTGGTTCTAGTGTCGTCAACCTCGTCAATGATCAAAATGTTCTTGTTGACCAAGTCCACCTTGGATTGAGCGTAGTCAATCCACTGGGTTCTGACAACCTGAGTGCCGACCTGCTCAGCCTGAGATCCAACGGTCTCGATATCCTCGTAAAGAGACAAAATGATGGCCATGATTCTGATGTTAGGCTGGCCTGGCTCCTTCAAGAAGGTTCTCAACATACGAGCTGGGATGAATCCTCCACCACCGATGGCGATGATCAAGTCAGGCTTGAACTGCTTGATCTTTTCAGAGGTCTCCTGACACAACTGGTGAATGTTGTTGTACGTAATGTACATTTTCGTAGCTTCAACGTCGGCGTTGTCCATCTTGTCTAGTTTGCGAAGATTGTTTCTGGCGTGGGAAGGAGAAGTTCCTTATAAGTGCGTGATGAGAATGGGATGAGGGAAGATAAGACGGTCTTTTTACTCTTCGCGACTTTTTTTTTCTAGCCAATGCGGTCAAGCAAAGGTCATTGAAATTGTACTTGGGCAGTTGTTTGAGGTGATGGCTGAAGGGTCAACAATTTCAGGGAGTGAAGTGTTTGATTATGCTACTTCTAGAAGCTCTGATGGCAGGTCGGAAATGGTGAATAGCCTCCGAGGCATCTCCGCGGGTTACTCTCTTTTCGCAACCACGAAGCGCAGCGCCTGCTTCAATACTTTACAGCAGGAGTTACACGTGGCAATCTTCTGAAAGATAAGTTATCAGTATTTAGGCTGTGAGAATGACCGAATTCATGAAGGCGGTGGCGATAAAGGTGACACCTGTTCAGTCGTACCGCTTAGGAGGTGCATCCAGCGAGGATCAGTATTTTGACTTGTATAACTCGATAGAGTCAACAATTCTATCAATTTGGCCAGCTTATGTTGGGAATATAAAATATTTTAAAAATTCAGCTCGTATCCTTCTGGCTACCCTAGTTGGCCACTTGACATACAAGGCATTTGGTCTCAGTATCATGCAGTCCAGTCTCTCCACGATTACCTATTCAGGCGATTGCAAAAAAATCACATCTTGAATTGAAGACGATGAACGGAACTTGAAATGACAACAAAATTGCGAAAATTATAATAGTTTAAAGCGGAAGGTGGAAGATCAAAATTTTTTTGCTTCCGAAGTCCAGTCACCAGCTTCCTTTTCACGTTGGGCCCTTCCCCACCTTGATCGTCGACCTCACGGTTGTGCACACTGTAGTGGCCACTATGTATCGAGATCTAGCTGGAAAACAGTCTACAACTTCTTCTTCATTACCTATACCCCCAAACACGATGAAGTTGACTGCTTTACTTTGCTTACTTTGGAGCTCTCTAACGCTCGCCGCCATTGTAGGCATCGACCTTGGTCACCAATTTACAAAAGCTATAATGGTGGCCCCTGGCTTGTCTTTTGAGATTGTCGTCACTGATGAAGGCAAGAGAAAAGACTTGAGTGCTATCTCTTTGAGACCTACTGTTGAAAAGGGGGAATTGCTCGATGCTGACAGGGTGTTCGGTGCCAAGATTGGCTCGCTTTGCTCGAGATTTCCCGAGTCCTGTGCTGCTAACATCAAGGCCCTCTTGGGTAAGCTGATTGACGACTCCACAGTCCAGGAATACCTCAAACGCCACCATGGCGTGAGCTTGACTTCCGACAAACTGAGAAACAACAGTGTCAGCATGCAGTTGGGTGCTGATGCCAGCAAGTTTGAGTTCCCCGTGGAAGAGCTTATGGCTATGACTTTGAACGAATTGAAGGACAGAGTTCTCAATGAGTTGGAAAACCACAGACAGGCCAAGAACATTGCCGAGGATGTCGCTATCTCAATTGCTCCATACGCCTCCCAGGCCGTTAGAAGAGCCTATTTGGACGCTCTCCACTTGGCCAACTACTCCTCAGTTTTGGGTCTCGTTGACGAGGGCACCGCCGTGGCTAGAAGCTACATCGGTAGCAGAAAGCTCAACGATGAGGATGTTTATGGTGAGACTGTTAACCATATCATTTACGACTGTGGTGCCGGTTCCACAACTGCCACATTGTTCTCCTACACCTATTACGAAAACCAGACTATGACCTTAGACATCCAGAGTGTTGGTCACGATGATTCTTTCGGTGGTGAATTGTTGACTCAATCTGTTTATGAGCTTCTTTTTGAACGTTACTTGAAAGAGTTCAAGTTACCCAAGAAGCACACCTTGTCTCCAAAGTTGGCTTCTAGACTTCTTGAAGCGGCCGAAAAGGCCAAGGTTATTTTGTCTGCCAACAACGAGTACAAGGTCACTTTGGAGAACTTCCCTGACGAGAAGGACTTCTCCACTGTCATCACCAGAGATGAGTTCGAAGCAGCCAACGCCGAGATTAGAAAGAATATTGCTGACCCTATCAATGAAGCCTTGAAGAACAGTCCATCTGGACCTAAGTCTGTTGATGACATCAAGTCTGTTATTTTGAACGGTGGCTCGACTAGAGTGCCATTTGTTCAGAAGGAATTGGTAAACTTTTTGGGTTCCGAGGACAAGATTGCCAAGACTGTGAACGCTGATGAGGCATGTGCTTTGGGTACTACTTTCAGAGCCTATGAGTTGAAGATGATCAATTCTAACCCTTACAATGTCATACTTACTGACAGAATTTTCAGTGACTTTGATGTCTCCATCGATGGTGCGCAAGAACCTCTTTTCCCTAGAGGATCAGCATCTGGATCCACTGTTAAGAAGTCTTTGGGACCTGTGAACAAGAAGGCGAAGAAAATTGGTTTATATGAAAACGGCGCTCTCTTCAAGACCTTCTCGATTGAGAACTCCCTCAGCAAGGCCAAGAACCTTAAGTGCGACAGCCCAGAAGTGTTTGGTACTTTCAAGATCGATCAAAACAAGATTGTTACATTGTCTGCTCTCACTGTGGAGTGCAATGAGCCTGAGGTTGAATCTACTGAAGAGGAGACCGCAACCGCTGTGAATGCCACTGCTCCCAAGAAGACAAAGACTCCTCCAAAGGTGAATTTGCCAATTCCTGACGCTGACTACACAAGTGTGAACCCTCTTCTGAAGAAGCACCGTTCAACCAGTGCAAACAGATTGGCTCACTTGAAGCAAAAGGACTTCGATAAGATTCGTGTGTCGGAGGTCAAGAACTTGGCTGAAAGCGCTTGTTACGAGTTGCGTGCTTACTTGGAGGAACATGGTGACCAAATTCGCAGTGAGTTGGGTATTGAGAAGTTGGAGAAGATCGAAGGCATCATTACCGAGACTCTTGAATGGTTGGACTACGAAAGTGACCACGCCACGTTGGATGAACTTCAGCAGAAATTCCAGAAAATTTCTACGCATAAAGCCGAGGTAGAGGACACTGTCAACATGCTCAAGAGTGACTTGTCTCTTGAGGCTCTTCAGAAGGTACACCAGGAGGGTGTTGATATCTCTTCCCTGGTTCAAGCCTACTTATTGGAGTATGGAAGCCAGATTAATGAGGTCAGAAGCAGATATGAGGCTGCTGATCTTGACTTTGATGTTGAGAACGACAAGATCATGAAAAAGCTTTACGGAAGCGGAACCAGTGAGGGCACCAAATTGGACAATCACTACAAGGAGTTTAAGGAAGCCTTGAGAACTCTCTCAAACACCATTGGATTATCAGCAAGTGCCTTCAACAAGAGAAACAAGAAGGAGGTGTTCCAGGAAGCCGAAGGCGTCAGATCTTTGATTGTGAAGATGGTGGAGGACATTTTGCCACTCCAGCTGAACCATGAGACAAGATTGGAGTATTTGTTGACCAGGCTCAAGACATTGACGAAGCAGAAGGAACAAAGGGAGGCCAAGGAGAAGGCAAAGGCTGAAAAGTCTGCCCAAGTTGATGAGAGTGCCGAGACAGAGGAGGTGGAAGCGGACCCTGTGGAGCAGGCCGATCCCGTCGAACCCTCTGAGCCTGTGGAGGCCAATGGACCTGATGACAATGAGCAGGAGACAGAAGAAGTGCACGACGAGTTGTAAGCACAAATAAAATAAGGCGAAAAACTTGGATTTGCCATTAATATTACCTATACATATATCGATCGTATCGAGCAGCGTAGTGCGCATCGAAAACCAAGATGCGATGTGCGACAGATACCAACTACTGTGATGCTGAATAGCAGAGATAGTTATAGAACTGGTGACTACTCCAGCTATGTTTCTAGTTCTCAAAGAGATACTAGAGGCCGGGGATTCCGAGAACGAGAAAGAGATCCAAGAGACAGAGACCCTAGAGACCTGAGGGACAGAAATGGCGATAAAGGAAGAGGCCGTTTTGATCGTGAATACGGCCAGGATCGAGACAAAAGGAATAGTTACAGATCCCATGATAACAGAAATGACGATAGATACCGTCCAAGAAATGACAGGAATGGTTACAGAAATCAGGGCAGTCGATACCGAGACACAGAAAAGAACATAGATCCAGATGCGGGTCTCACCAAGGAACAGAAGATAGATAAATACGAGAGAAAGCTAGCATCCTTGATGGCATATCCAGTTATTGAAAAACTACCTGTTCTAGGGTCACAATGGGGTGTCAAGCCAAAAGGACTAGAGAATGTTACTGCTCAGCGTGCGAAGCTCTCTGGGCTATTTCCACTTCCTGGAGCACCTCGTGCGGCAGAGGATGCCAAGATTGGAGACCTCCTCAAGGACTCTTCAGAGTCTGGAGTGTTGATGGCCAAATCGAAGATTGACCCACTTGACTCCCGCAACTCATGTATCATAATAGCGAAGGGATTGGACTTTAGCAAAGTCGCCTATCTCAAGGTTGCTGATCTCTTTGACCAGTTTTTGCGGTCCGTCGATTTAAAAGGCGTTACGCTCAACACAAACTATGAAAAGCTAAAAAAGACAAAGGACGATACTGCGTTGATCATCGAGTTCAAAACCAGTGTGGCTGCGACATTGGCCCTAGCACTCGACGAGAAAGAAATTCCCGCATCTTCTGTCGCTCACGATGGACTTCAAACGTCGGGTTCACTTAAGCTCTCACTCTCTCGTCCTGGTGAGTATGTCGTTCAATGTCTTCCCCCATATGAGTCAGGCGACGACGAGTTGAAAGACGAGGTCATTGACAGCCCCAGAAAACTAACCATCCAGGTCGATAAAACTACGACAGAATCACAACTACAAGACGCATTGACAGAGATCGCTCCTCTCCGAGCATTCAAATTGTTACGTGAGGTGGGAACCAAGGAGTCCGTGGGGCTCGCATTCGTCGAGTTCTTCATTGATCGCAAGATTCATCCAAAGACCAGCGATGCTGTGAAGTTGGTATCTCAATACGCTGCTGCTGCACGTCAGCTTCCGATGATCAAAAATGTAACCTTTTCATGCATCAAGATGTCAGAACTGGGTGACATCAAAACGAGCATTCAAGACTGCCCAATTGAGCTCAAAACATTACGATCCATGGTGCGCAACGAGTATGTCAAATACCACGCCAAACTGACGGTCATACAGATCATTAATGCTGTCACTCCAAATGACCTTCTAGATGATGTCAATTTCAGATTCATTCACCATGATATCAAAGAAGAGGCAGAAATCTTCGGTAAGGTTGTATCTCTTCGCATTCCCAGACCGCCTCACGATTACACCCCGGGGATGCAGCTGCATGTCAGCCAACCTGGGCTCGGCAAGGTATATGTTGAGTTTGAAGATGACAAGGCTGCTTTAAATGCAATCATGGGTCTCTCAGGCCGCTCTTATAATGACAGAACGGTGATCTGTGCATTCTATAGTCACCATGATTACCTGTGCGGGTTACTATAAGATGTTGAAGCATTTTTCATGTTGGCCATGAAATGCTTTAGCTCTTGAGGGACCAGTGGGTCAAATCCATGTCTTGCAATTAGACTGTACAAGTCCTTTGGGAGCTCTGGTATAAAACTTAAACTCAACTTGATTATGTCGTTCTCTCTCAAAGGGGGAAGTTTCTCAAAAGCTTCATTGGCTGTGACGATTGGAGAAGCGCCGACCTACTCATGATTAGCTGCGCCACGACGAAAAGGATATTCATGTGAGTTCCATATGCAAATAAAAAGTCCCAAAGTTTGATCAAAGAGTTGAGCGTTGGGGTACACGCACACAACGTTAGTACTGATGGAAAAGCATAAATCTCTGCCTTGAGAAATTTGGAGTCCAAGTAATCACTTAAGACTGGGTCAATGATGCGAAGGACGACGTCCACAAGACTCAAGCCGGTATGGACACCATCTAGATTGGCGGTGACATATAATGGAAGTTGGTCGTTGACCAAGTGGTGAAGCAAAGCAAAGGCTTGAGGCTCACTGCGATGACAGGAATATGCTATGGGTGCCAACAAGACATTCATGCCTTGAACGTAACCTACTTTATTTTCGGGCCGTGAGAGGGCAACAGCCAGTAGAATCCTGGTCAATGACTCCTCACTTACTTTCGAATGAAAGCTCTTGTCGTTCATGAGTGTTCTGAAGGTATCGTTCTTGATTTTGCGATATAGATCGGGAGGCAACTTTTCAGGAACTTCTGATATCAATCTGGCATATTTGCTGGTTGGATAGACGGGTACTCTGCACAATATAGACCAGACGTGGGATCGATATGGGCATTGGTCGTAGCCATCAGGAATGGTGAGTCCTTCTATTAGAATCATATATCGAAGTTGGCTGAGACTTGTATCTAGGATAATTTGAGGCAGCTCAATGAACTGCTCGATAGAGTCTTTCTTCCTTCCCTTATTGAGCTCCATGGTACACTGGTTTTGTTTTGGTGAAAACAGAAGATAAACACCGCGCCTGTATGCACCTACAGCTAAGACAGTAGACCCTTGAGTAAGAGAACACTTGATCCTCAAGTCAACGTGGCACTTCACAGAAATAGATACATTGAATTAAAGAGTTCAGACCTGATTATCCAGTCTTTTGCTTTTATCAGTTGAAGGCACTGCGCGGGGACGCTGTAGCCTGGATAGATGCCCATAAACCCGAGAATTTTTATATTTGAAATGACTGTTGGTATGTAATATTTGATTACATTTTGATAGGCATTAAACTAGTTCAGATCTCTCGGACTTTCAAACGAAAGTGTTTAGAAGGCTTCTTCATGGCTGCAAAACCGCTCCTTTCGTTTGCGACAAACTTAACTGTGCCAAAAGAGGTTGGAAACGGATAAAGGGATGTAATTATTTTTTCTCTTGAATACCTCAAAAGGAGAAAATCTTACCTTTACAAGCTAAAACAGTTTTGGTTTTCTACTACTGGTGATGTGACCTGCACTGTGCGACCCATCGCTGAAAATGCCCTAGACAGAGTTCACTAGTTTTTTCTTACAATCCAAAATGCCAGTCACAGAAATCAAGGGTTTCCAAGTACTCCCACTTCGGCTACCGGACAGTTCAGGGAAACTGTACCTCTATTTCAGAAAGCATGAAGTTAAGGGCAACGCTGCAGCACAGCTGCTCTCAGGACGGTCATTGTTCGTCTTCAACCTTCCCATCCAAACGACGCATCAGGTTGTCAAAAAATACTTTCAGCAGGTTGCAATCGGTGCTACTGTTGAAAATTTCATTCCCAGCATCCTTACAGATCTCCAGGAAGATTTCTACGTAGACCTCACAAAACTCACATCGGATCTCGAATTCGACAACGAAGATCCCACCAAAGAGATTGCAGAGAAGCTCCCGAAAAACTGTGCCATCATCACTTTCATCGACAAATCCTCCTTCCAACTAGCATTTAACGCATTGAAAAAGTTATCAAATGACGCTAAGACCACCAACTGGCCCGTGCCCTCATTAGGCTCTGCATTCCTTCAGAAGAAATACCAAAAGCAGATATTGGATGCTGGCAAGTTGTCAGTGGCAGTTGCAACAGCATTGGCCGACTTTAACAGGGCAGAGCAGGAGCTGATGGAGGATTTGAAGAGAAGTACTGAAGTGGTGGATGAGGATGGCTTTACCTTAGTGGTGGGCTCTCACCGTAAGACAAAGGCGGGTATCATGGGCAAACAAAAGCTTGCTTCAACCGTTGGTCTAGAAAAGGCCAACAAGAAGCTCAAGAAGAAGGAGAAGGAGGACTTTTACAGGTTCCAATTGAGAGAAAAGAAGAAAAACGAGATGAATGACTTGCTTCAGAAATTCAAGCAGGACCAAGAAAGGATCAAGGCCATGAAGGAGAAGAAGCGTTTTAGACCATATTAATGTATTATAGACAATAGACGGACACCTAGAATTTCAGTTTAGATCTTTCGCACCCACATCAACTACATCTGTCATGAGTGAGACAGGGGAACCCGAGACAATTGCTTATGAAACATTTATCGATCTGCTTCAATTCGATCCCTACAAGCTAGACATTGATAAATTACAACTTTTATCGACAATCAGGTATGACCCTGGCCTCACCTCCAATCAACCCACTACAGTTGCAGAAGTCAAGAAGGCTAACTTCTTCTGCTTCTCTGACCACATCGATAGACTCAGGTTCACTGCCGACTATTTCACATCATCGTTGAAGAACGAAAAACTTGTTGAGGACCTCTTCCCCTATGAGATCACAGAGAAGTACATCTTTGATCAACTCAGAAACACCTTATTCGAGTCTCAGGTGAGGCTCGATTTGCCAATGAAGGTACGCCTTTTGATGAAAATGAATGGTGAGGTGACCATTGAGCTACACGAGACTCCCGTGAGAGGAAATCTCTTTGACGGACTAGACGAAGACGGCCTTTTTACAGAAAGGTTCGATTTGTATGTCCAGAACGAGCCAATTTTGCCCTCTCCGTTCACCTCCTTCAAAACCACCCACAGGGCAGTTTACACGAATGCCAGAAACAAAGCACTCCCTGGTCATAGACCAGGCAAGGAAGAGGTCCTATTGGTGAACACCTCAAATCAGGTCATGGAGGGTTCCATTACCAATATTGCAGTGAGAAACGAGAAAGGGCAGTGGATCACCCCACAATTGACCTCTGGCTGTCTATGTGGGGTAGCACGAAAGATGCTTATTCGTGAAAATCACATATATGAGGGAAGCATATCAAAAAGTCTGCTTGTGAAGGGCCAAGATGTTCTACTTTTCAATGGAATAATGGGTGCCGTTAGAGGCACCATCATTGATTTCGTCTAGTTACTCTATAAGCTTCTTGATGGCCTCATCATTGAGGCCCATGATGTATAAAATGTCTTGCAAAGACTTGGTATTGAGGCAGGAAGGGGCTTCCTTCTGGACCTTAGGTTTGGCATTCCAGGCCACACCCCAACCAGCGACGCTCATCATCTTCAAGTCGTTAGCTCCGTCGCCAACAGCCACAGCGGACTTGAGGTCAATGTCATGTTTCTCTGCAATTTCCTTTAAAAGCTGAGCCTTCATGTCTCCATTGACAATGGGCCCGAAAGTGGTACCATTCAACTTCTGTTCATCGTCTACACCCAAGTTGTTGGCGTATGCATAGTTCAACCCAAGCTGTTCTTTTATGAAAGATGCCAACGGTATGAAGCCACCAGAGCAAACAGCCATCACTACACCCAACTTTTTCAAAGCCCTGCAGAGCTCCTTGGCACCATTGGTGATATTGAGCTTGAGCTTGAGTTCGTCCCATAGCGTCGTAGCGTCTATGCCTTTCAAAAGAAGGACACGCTCGCGCAAAGAGTCATTGAAATCCAACTCACCATTCATGGCGCGTTCGGTGATTTCAGCAACCTTGTCTTCGATGTTGGCGTAAGCTGCGATCAACTCGATCACTTCCTGGTAGATCAAAGTGGAGTCCATGTCAAAGACGAACAACTTCTTGTCCTGCCTCTCAGATGTCTTCTGGAAGAATGTGTCATATTGTGGATTAAGCTTTTCGTTCTCGTGCTTGATCAAATTGGTGATCAAGTCTGGCGTGGCTGTCTTAACTTGAAAGTCGATAACTCTATTTTTCGAGAGCTCCTCTTTGCCGAGGATCTGCAAGTCGGCGGTGACAGTGACAAACTTTTCTATCTGCTGCTGTTCCTCATTGGATAAAGCTGGACCATGCGCTATAAAGGTCAACGAGTATGTCTCAGGCATGTCGTATCAAATGATTCAACAACGTGAAGATTAATTTCCAATGCAGGTGAATCAATTAGTGGGCGTCGCGCATGAATATCTACAAGGCTGCGAAATGGGTAACCTCGCATACAGATAGTGAAGGGGACAGGAGAATAAAATGAAATGTGTTGTTAAAACTATGCGTATAAATAATAAGTGTCTATGCGGCCTCTTCGTGTTGCCGTCTCAAGTCATACTCACTCAAGCCAATCTCTTCTCCTAGCCTCTTAAAGTTGGCCATGTAGCGTTCATGTTTCTCATCTCCCATGCGGTTCATTTCCTTCCAGTAAACATCGTGAATATATTCGAAGTCGAGTATTCCATTGAACTCTTTGTCAAGTTGCTCCTTGGGCACAAAATTCTCAAACGGCTGGTCATAGATCGTCTTCAGACGGGTGTATGGATCGATGAACGGACCGACTAGTTTAAAGAAGGTGTAGCCAATCCATGGGATATTGGTGAAAAGACCACGTCCCAATCTTTCGGGATAGTGGTTTTGTAAAATGTGTAAAACTTGCTTGGAGATGCTGAGGGAAGGAAATTTGGAGGAAAGGTTGAGGTGCTCTGGAGCAGCCTTGAAGTCAATCAATAAAGCAAGGCCATCCTGGCCCGGAGGCATAAACTGTATAACTCTTTCTAACATGAACACCAAATGCTGCACTTGTCTCAAAGATGCAGACGTGTTCTGGTATCCGTTTCTAAGATACAAGCATGGTCGATTATCGTTATCATAACCAACAATAAGGTTCTTGCCGGTGACATTCTCTGCCTCCACGAGCTCTGGCGTTATGATCTTTCTAGGGTCGCTATGGCCAGGTACAACCACAACACCAAACGTTCTTCTCCACACCATGGACTCTTTGATTCTTTTAATGGTAGGCTCAACTTTCCATTTAGTTGCCCTCAAGTAACGCAAGAAACATTCTTTCGTAAGCCAGGCCTTCTCTTCCGCAAGTATAGGGTGTGTTGCAGCGTTTGCTGAATCAGACACAGGGATTTCATTCTTGATGTACTCCTGGAAATATTTCAACACATCATTATATTTGGTTTCTTGTTCTTTTGTGAGTTCAAAGACAGGTGGTTTGATGGGGTTGACGGGCGCTTCGAAAGGAACGTGGCGCTTGATAAGGCCCTTTCTCGGGCCATAGATGAGACAGAGGTAGCCTTCGAGGAGATCGAGACAACATCAGGCTCCTGAGAGCTGTTGCTCTCGTCATTCTGTCCACTTTTTCTCCAAAACGGCATTGCAGCAAGCTAAATGTGTCTATTATTCACGATGCAGATAAATGTTATTTCTATTTTTTTAACATTGTTCCGCAGTGAAACCGAGCGCGTCGTACCCATATCTTCTGCAGGGACTCTTTTCTCGGAGAGACGTCCTTGGGCCCGATGGCTAATCGGAAAAGACCGAAACATCAAATGAAACACATTATTGAATAGTTCCTTGCATGGAACTGATCGACCCACTTTTGGGGCATTTAACCGAGTTCGCGGGGTTGGTTACCCTCCCCAGTCTATGGAACGATTAATCCGCACTTCTGTACAAGTCACAGTAACACCATGTCTATCAAAGTTACCGTTTCGTCAGACCACACTGAATCTCCAATTGACAATCTGTTCGTCTTGAAAACTGTCGAAGATCAGATTGACAATATCGATGCCGTCAACATCTTCACTGAGAAACTTTGTGCGGCATTTAGCACGAAAAGTTCGAAGCACAAGTTCCTTATCCTGGTGACGAGAGTTGCTGCTGCAAACGACTTACAGAGCGACTTGAAGTTACTGACCTCTGTTGGCGCAGTTTGGGAGCCCAAGAAGGATGGGTATATCACAGTGGAAGCAATCCCTAATGACAAAGGGAGATACTTGATAACTGTCTTCTGGATCAGTATCGATTAGCTTATCTTTGACGAAAGAATCTACCGTCGTCGAATTTGCTTTGGAATTCATCGAGCTCATCGCAAATATTAAGAAGCTCATTGAGCTTATCATTCGGCAACTTCTCCTCGATCTTGGTCTGGAGAGTCTCTAGTAACAGGCGAACCTCGGGATCTTTGTTCGGATCGAATTGGGCATCCTTTAGCTCCTTGGGTATAGGCGTCGGAATGTTGCTTAGGTTTGTGTCATCCGGAGCGTGAGAGACATCTAAGTGGAAAAGCTTCTTTTTTTCCTCAGCGTCTCTAACGCTTCGTGCTTGGATTGATGCCGTCGTTTTCTTGAAGTCCTCCAAATACTTTGAATCCTCATCAAGAGCTTTCTTGATCTTCTTGTGATATGTCTGTAGCTCTTGTAGTTGCTGGTTCTCTGCCAGTAGATATGCTTCATAGATAGCTTTCTTTCGCTGGACCTGATCTATATCTAGTAGATTGTACAGCTCGGCTTTGGCACCTCGCACCCTTACTTGTAACGACTTGACTGGTGGAAGCTTGGTCATTTTGAGTCTTGCTAGAAAAGCTTTTGGTAGTTTGTCGCTTGTCCAGTGATGAGAAAGCACTCGCTGTGCCTCTGCAACTTTATAATGTTCATTTGTGCTGCCCTTGTACCTTTCGAGGGTTTTGCTGAGTGCAATGTTAAAAATGTTATCTAGTGAACGAAATTGTTCTGGTTCTAGTTTCGTCCATAGGCGGTCTATGACCTTGGCCGGTACTTTTTTCTTGTACTTCTCACGTTCAATGCCCATGGGATTCTCGGGATCATAATCGTCATTGCCATCACGGTCAGACTTGGTTCTCTTAACAGCTTGGCCGGGTACTAATTGCGGTCTAGGTCTCGGTTCTGCTCCCTCGGAGTCACTGAGACCTGGGGTAGTCAGTCGAGAGTACCCAGAATCATCTCCCAGAAGAGCTAATTCGTCAACATTATCATCTAATGAGGGATCCGGAGCCTCTCGACCATCGGGAACGTCTGGTTCTGGTGACGGCATGCCAGTTGGAGCGGTGAATACGGTTTGTTATTGTGTATGGGGGTATCTGTTTACTATGCGCGATGCTTATATGTAGCTAATCTGATGGGTGCAAAATAAAATCTACCCGAGTATGCTATTTGATAATGGCTCCATCGGCCTTGAGTGTTTTATAAAACTTGAGCTCGACTCTTTCAGTAGCCTCGGCAAGTGTCTTGCTTGTGAGACCGAAGCGTACACAAAAGTAGCTTTGAAGTTGCTCGGATATCAGTACTATCTGCTGAGTAGTCAACGTGTTTTTCACCAAATCCGTGGGAGTTTCGGCCAATGGAAGATCTTCTCTGCTTTGTGGTTCTTCAAGCGAAAATATTTTATAAAGTTTTCTGGTGGTGAGTGGTAGATCGTCGTTTTGGGTGATGCGATTTTCAGGAATGAGGTTACTTTGAATCCAGTCAAAGTATTTAGACGTGTCTTCCGTTGACATGTCTAATGCTGATTTGATCGACATTGAATGATGTTTTGTGTCGAAGCAAGGAATGCTTGTTGTATTGTTTTTCAATTGGGCAAGCCATTCTTCCTGGCTCGGTACCTCGGGAGCTGCCGTGAAGTATATCTTGATGACCAACACGAGAAGCGCCACATACTGCGTTTCGGGAAGTGTACTGTGCTGCTTCCATGAGGACGATAATTGCCCTCCAGTCACCCGGAAGCCTATTCTGTGAAACATGGTGAGAAGACGAGGTGCGTCCTTGAATGAAAGGTCCGTGAAGACTCGAAAAGCTCCAGGGTAGAAGACCTCAAGAGGTGTCTTCCAGAGTTCTGCAGGTGCCACAATTAGTGCTAGCTGAACTATCTTTAGGTAGAACTGGTTGTTTATGGGTATTGAAGATGCCGAGAACAAGCGCGTGGCCAAGTTGGATTGCTGAATGAATGACTGGGGAATTAGGGAGGAGCCGTTGATAAAAGGCGTCTTGTTGTACCGTAGTAGGGAAAGAAAGTCATCCACGTAAACAGGATGCTGGTTGAGCTGTCTCATCGCGAGGTACACCAAAACGTATAGATCTAGGATCGTTGGAGACTTCAGGTCGTATGCTTTTTTGCAATAACGAACCCAGAAAATCTTTGTTAGAAGCGCAACGTTTTGCTGAAACAGTTGATCACCAGGAACTAGCTCTTTCAGGATCATGGGTATTATCTTCTGGAGCAAAAGCTGGCCTATCTTGAAATGCAAACTTCTCGCCTCTTTACCGTACAAGCGAACCTTTTCCAAGGGCGTTGACAGCTGTGTTGGAACAGCAGACGTAGAGACACTGGAACCAAACCCAGTGTCATTGATCAGGAGATTGATACGTCTTGTTTGAGTGTAGTTCTCTCCATCATCCTCACCGAACTCGACATTTCCCTCGACAACATGGCCATACTGACAGATTTTTCTGCCGGCATATGTTCTGTATAGTCGAGATCGGCAGTTGTCGATGCCACAGAGGGGTCCTCTGATCCAGGTTTGGGACATGAAGAAGAGGTAAGTGGAAATGCAGGACTATGAGCTTGAAGGGAAGAGCAGGTCAGTGGATCGAGGACAGGAGGAATGAGGTCATGGACTATGGGTGTGGTTCATCGAATGACAAGAAGAAACGTCTTCAGATGAAAATTGGTTGTTGGGATGGTGCGTCGAAGTTTGGGTGTTTAATATCGGTGATTTGCAGCCATTTCCAATAGTAAAACATGGACAAATGGGACTTCTGCAATTCCGCGAACAATTGTACGAGAGCATAGCTTTCTAAGAAAATTCAACTTCAAGGAATTCACTTAAGTATCTGGGTGTGTTGCATCCCCTTGTCCCCCTCATGACCGTACCCACAATGCACCTGGACATCCTCCAAGAAGAAAAAAAGAGTTGCCGAGATTACAGCCCCTTACCAGCACGAAAAATAAAAAAAAAAAAAAAAAATGCCACAAGAGCCTAAAACACCCAGAACAAAACCTTATATAAGATCCTCTCCGATCTGAGACATCAGTAGCTCTATCTACGGATCCATCCCGTTTCAGATTTTCCGCCAATATCCGAGCGGCATCTACCCCCAGAACAATGGTTTTCTGCCCCAGCCACTCCGGATCTAAGTTTACATCCCCTATCGGTTCAAATGCACACTAACAATCCCTCACGTCACCAGCCTTGCCCCACAGCACCAAAGTCCGGTGCGCGACCAAAGACCGACGCTCAATGAGCCCCTATAATTCAAGAACTTGTCGGAATTACGGCCGCTTTCCGACTTAGCCTTGCTTCGGATGTTAGGTTTTTTGACAACGGCATTTAGGGACCGGCTCGCTCGGCGTTAGCTGCAGCAAAGCCACGAGGCGATTATAAGACAGCCCATCGGGCCTAAAGGCCTTCCACCGCGCTATATGCACACCGACACATTAGCGTTGCGTATGGCGCTAATTTGGCAATTGCTTGTATAACCACTATGGCCTCCTGCAGACTCATAGCCACTCAGCAAGCACTCTTATCAAAGCGGACACTTTCGGAAAAGATTCCGCCTACCATCAAAGGCCATTTCGGAATGTTAGATCCAATGACCGAGATAAACCGCCTCGGAGTATCTCCTCTCGGTTTTAGGCACTGCGATATGATCGCAGGAACCATCCTGCACCACTCGAAGCCCGAAGCAACAGAGGAGAAGTGCGTCTGGTGTACCCCACAGGTGAGGCGATATATAAAGCGCCAATTCCACCTCAATTGCATTCCTTTTCTCTTTTCTAGAGGCTATGTTTAAGCAATCACTCAGACAAAGTTACAGAAGCGGCGCCGGTGCCGTCTTGACAGCCTCTAGGCAATACTCCAACTTGCCATTGACTGTGCCTGTCAAGTTGCCAAACGGCACTTCTTATGAGCAACCCACTGGTTTGTTCATCAACAACGAATTCGTTCACCCAGTCCAGAAGAAAACCTTCGAGGTCATCTCCCCTGCCACCGAAGAGGAAGTCACTCACGTGTACGAGGCTAGGGAGGAGGACGTTGACAATGCTGTCAAGGCTGCTCAGGATGCTTTCAACGGCGGCTGGTCCGGTTCCGACCCTTCCGTCAGAGCCACCGCTTTAAACAAGATGGCCGATTTGATCGACCAAAATGCCGAGACTTTGGCCCACATTGAGGCTTTGGACAACGGTAAGTCTCTTATGAACGCCAGGGGCGACATTGCTCTCTGTGCTGGAATCTTCAGATCCACCGCTGGTTACGCTGACAAGATCTTGGGCTCTGTCATTGAGACCGGTGACTCCCACTTCAGCTACACCAGAAGAGAGCCCCTCGGTGTGTGTGGTCAGATCATTCCATGGAACTTCCCATTGTTGATGTTCACATGGAAGGTTGCCCCAGCCCTTGTCACTAACAACACAATTGTCTTGAAAACTTCTGAAACTACCCCATTGTCTGCCTTGTTCTTCTGTAAGTTGCTTCAGGAGAACAACGTCCTCCCACCTGGTGTCTTGAACGTCGTCAACGGTTTCGGTAAGATCACCGGTAACGCCATCACTGACCACCCTGTTATCAGAAAGGTTGCTTTCACTGGTTCCACTGCTACTGGTAAGGCCATCATGACCAAGTGTGCTAACACTTTGAAGAAGGTTACTTTGGAATTGGGTGGTAAGTCTCCTCACATTGTCTTCAACGATGCTAACGTTGAAAACGCCATTAAGAACGTCATTGCTGGTATTTTCTACAACTCTGGTGAGGTCTGCTGTGCTGGTTCCCGTTTGTACATCCAAGAGGGTATCTACGATGAGTTTGTTTCCAAGTTTGTTGCTGCTGCTGAGGCTGTCAAGGTCGGTGACCCATTCGCCGAGGACACCTTGCAGGGTGCTCAAAACTCTTGGAACCAATTGGACAAGATCTTGAAGTACATTGAAGCTGGTAAGGCTGAGGGTGCCAAGTTGTTGTCTGGTGGTGAGAGATCTGAGGGTAAGGGCTTCTTCATCAAGCCAACTATCTTTGGTGACGTCACTGAGAAGATGAAGATTGTCACTGAGGAGATCTTCGGTCCTGTCATTACTGTTCACAAGTTCAAGACTGTGGACGAGGTTGTTAAGTTGGCTAACGACACCGAGTACGGTTTGGCTGCTGGTATTCAGTCTGAGAACGTGCACGTGTGCCACGATGTTGCCAGAAGACTTAAGGCTGGTACTGTCTGGGTCAACACCTACAACGACTTCCACCCAATGGTTCCATTCGGTGGCTACGGTGCTTCCGGTATGGGCAGAGAGATGGGTAAGGAAGTCTTGGACAACTACACCCAGACCAAGGCCGTCAGAATGAAGATTCTTGCTTAAGCAGATTGACAAATATATTCATGATTTATCGAGATAGGTAGGAGTGTAGTCTAAAGTTGAGAGTGACAAATGGCTGCGAAAACCAGCTTTGGGTTCTGCTTCCAATTACGCAAGTGAACACATGCTACTCGAACACTGGCCTTAATCTGGACCAATTCTTGAAGTAGCCAAGTACGTTTTCTAGTCACCTACTCAGAATTGGCCACCTATCCATATGGAGGCATATCTGATCATCTGCGATTAGGCATGACACTGATGCTCCTTCAAATAGCTACCAATAATTTAGCTTATGAATAGAATTAGGTAGCCTCCCAAAATCTACTGCAGAATATTTATTCTTTCTTCAATTGAATCATTGTCAAGTTACTGACTTGCACTTCCGCCAGTAAGCATCCTTACCACTATAAGACTTATCATCGATTCGTTTACGATAGCACAGCATGGAGTCCTCAAAGAGAAACACCTTCTTAGTTCTCTCTAAAGTAAACCGTTATCGATGCCTGTCAATGGTACTACACTGGTAGTGTGGAGTACGGGTAGTCGCTCACGTGCCTTGCGTGACTGCGAAAGACACTTCTTTCACCTGCACACAGAACCATCTCTCCCTCACTGCGGCAGCGCAGTACCTCCTCCAAGGAAAACGAAAAAAACTGTAGTGAGAATTTTTTCATCCTTTCGTCTCCACAACTTTAACCAGTATCCACAAGATGGTATGTGAAACCCAACAAAGCATCACTCCAATAATCAGATCAGCTATTCCACAAGCCTGAAACTACATCCTCAAATGCTATTCATTGTGTCTTTTTTTTTATTAGTGATGTTCATGTCCATTTAAACACAGAGTACTAACCCTCCCAGAGTGACGCTGTTACTATCAGAACTAGAAAGGTTATCACCAACCCATTGTTGGCCAGAAGACAGTTCGTCATCGACGTCTTGCACCCAAACAGACCTAACGTCTCCAAGGATGAGTTGAGAGAGAAGTTGTCCGAGTTGTACAAGGCTGACAAGGACGCTGTCTCCGTTTTCGGTTTCAGAACTCACTTCGGTGGTGGCAAGTCTACCGGTTTCGGCTTGATCTACCAGTCTGTTGCTGACGCCAAGAGATTCGAGCCAACTTACAGATTGGTTAGATACGGTTTGGCTGAGAAGGTTGAGAAGTCTTCCAGACAGCAGAGAAAGCAGAAGAAGAACAGAGAGAAGAAGGTCTTCGGTACTCAGACCACCCACGCCAAGAAGGTGGCCAAGAGAAACGCCGATTAAGCATTCTCGTAGCATCGGTCTTCTGGAGTGGTTGGCGAAGATTGTTAATATAATAGTTTTGGCACCAACTTCGGTGTCTGGCAAACAATAAAAGAAATAACGTATGGTTTCGTAGATCGTGCATTTCTATATTTACTCGCTGACATATTCGTCATCGTCGGCTCGATCGTCATAACGGATATCAAAGGCGTCCATGGAATCGGCACTTTCCTTTGACTCCGCGAACTCTTCAACCCAAACGTATGGCTCATTCAAGCGATCACGGTTGGTCTTTAAGTACTCCTCAAGATGCTTGGTTATGCTGTCGTAGTCGTCTCCCGTGATGATTTTAAAGATAACTTTTAGGTAGCGACGGATCGACTTGAGGCCGCGTAGATACCCCATGTCAGGCTTGCCAGAGAGCATAGGCGGCTTGCGGTAACTTTGAATCGAGGTTTCGTCTCCGAGAACACTTTGAGCAAAGTCAATGATATTGGCTCTTACTTCTGTGTCCTCTGGACCGGCACCGTCGTACATCAAAAGCACTGACAGGCCGTACATTCTGTAGCCAACAAGCTTGCTGAATATCTCGATAAGGGCCTCAAGCTGTTTGATGATATGTGGGATTTTGCAGATGATAGAAAATGCAGACATGCCATCATAGAGAAATTTGGCCAACGTTTTGGCAAAGGGAAGGCCTGAATGAAGTTTACGACCAAAGTATTTATCCCTCATGAAGTATTTTTGCTTCGACCTATCCCAAACCTGGAGGCCGCAGACACGAACTCCAAGCTCACGAGATGTCGTTGTGGCACACTTCTTGCGTTGAGATGCCTGCTTTGCATCCGTCGCCTCGAGTCCGTATTGACGGGTACCCATCTTGAGATCGAGTGCACAGGGACGTTGCATCTCGGCAGTCAAATCTTCAAGGAGGATAAATCTCTCGAATCGTGTATGCTTTCGCAAAACGTGCCTTTCTTCCTCTGGGCGTTCGGCGTGTTCATTCAGGCTGTCGTGGTCCTCATTGCCGATATCATCATGATCCATCTCAAAAATGTCATCCGACTTGGTGCCAGGAGGAACGAATACTTCCTGTATGATTTGAGCCTGCAAATCTTGGTTAACGGAAGTTGATCCTATGCTGGCGTCGTAGCCATTATTTTCGGGTGAAGTCGAGGGAAATACCTCAGGTTGACCTTCAATGGAACACGACATCTCGTCCAGAGCACCGATGCTGGGGGCACTGCTGGAATAATGCTTGCGTAAAAGATCAGGAATGATGTGGAGGTTGTCGTCGAGAGAAACCTCGGGTGGTGGGCCGTCCTCGCTGAGCCGGGATCTGGGATTGGGCTTGCTCCCATCAAGAGACTGCCTTGCGTGTGGCGTCTCCTCACGAGTTGACTCCGAAGGCACTAGCAGTGGGGAGTTTGCATCCTCTGATACAATGCTGGAGTAGCGCACATTAAGCACGCCAATGTATTTGGGAAGAAACTTAAGCAATTCAGGGTGCCTCTTCTCGACTGCCTCGTACCAAACATTCTCGCGGTTCATGAGTGCTTTGCAGACTGCCCGCTTGCTGAAACGGAAAATGGCCGTGTGGCCACCTACCTTGTTTCTGAAAGGCCGTAGCTCTACTGTGAGCGGGTAAGCCTCATTGGTGGATGCAAGAGTGTTGGTGTCCCCGTGATCGGAGACAGAGGCAGACTCATTGAGGTTCACAGCCATGAAGTCATCATGTAGGTTATTGCAGCCGTTCTTGTCGTCAAGGCCGATGAAGTTTACTTTTGTCCTTCTCTTGGGCCGACGCTCGGGGGTGCGTTTTTTGATTCGTGTGATGTCACCGTCCGAGCCTCGGTCAAACTCGACGTCGGCGGTGAGATGCTGGAGGTTGTTGTCTGGGCTGAGTGTGTTGAAAGGGCCTTCCTTAAGCTTGACCGGATGGTGTGGGATATACGTGGCCGAGGAGACGGGCTCCAACGAAGGCGAATCACTCTGCAGCAGAGTCTCGGGCTTTTTGAGCGATGCCTTACGGGACACTGCTGGCTCCTGGTCGGTGGGGTCGATCAACGCATCAACATTGTGACCGTCTCCTCTGAATAGGTTCATCAGCCTAGCAGCCTTTCTGCCTGCCACCAGCGTGACTTCTCTCTCATCATCTTCGGCCCTTCTATCTGGCCAATGCTCAACCAGCGGGAAAGGGCTCTTCATGTGGTCCATTGTACAAGGCAAGCCAGTGGCAGAGAAGAGGAATGAATCATGTAGGGCGCTGATAAATAATAGTCCAGGCAAAAAGCAAAAAGTGGCTTGAGCGTGGCGGAAGTGGTGTGCCTGGGGTGGGTCGGATTTCGAGGGTGGTTCTCGGAAAAGCGACTTGTTTGTAGGGAGAAAAAAGAGTCCGGGGCAGTAGGTGTATTGAGATGGGTTGATATCGCGGCAGGGCCCACGAGTCCCACACCGATATCGAAAAACACCCACCCAGCGCAGTTTGGTCGATTTGGTCGACATTGAGTGAATGCTGGCTGCAAATTTTTTGGAATTGACATGGAAGTAATTTTGAGAACCTCTAGTACTGCTGTTTCCACCATGGACCCTGTTTACTGTTTGGGCGGCATTGCAGAATTTAGGCCCTGGTGCTACCAGATTTCGCATTGGCGCTCTGCCCAGCCAAAGGCTGATTACAAAGAGACAAAAGACATTTGAGTTCACTATGTCAACGAAATTGTTATGAACTCTTTTGATGGACTTTTTCTGCCCCGACTCGGACTCGTGGCCTCGAGTTTGAGCCCGTGCCTGGTTTTTTTCGCAGCCAGAGAATAGAACCAGCTCCAGAGCTTAAATAATTTTAAGTTTTTTCGTGGTTATGTTTAGACTTGTGTTCTTCTAACTATGGTGGATGTCACAGACGGAAGTTTCTGTCATCGCGGCAGTTGCACCATTTCTTCACCACTTCGGCCAAACAATGACGAGCTCATGCCAAAACTAACACCGTATGCAGCAAACTCGGCTTTTAAAGAAGAAACTGGTGACAATACTTCTTTCTTTTTGAATTGCTTACCATGAATACCGCCAGTTTTTGCACGACTGTTGGTAATATCATCCTACTCCAGTAGCTCTATCCTCAGTCTGTATATGGATTAGATCGTCAGTATCCATGCTCTTCGTGGCATTCTGCCTAGTACTCGGTGTACTAGGCCACGTCATTGCTAGCGGCTTCACGGATGATGAGCTGGTTCCGCTCACGCCGTTTATATGGCCCAAAGACGAGCCTCTCGAGGCCATAGTCATAGACTTGGAAAGCTACCTCGAACAGCATGTCACAGTCGCCCAAGCTGGTTTGGACCTCTTGAGCGTAACTGTTGACCAAACCGCCGTGTGTGAATCACGATCACCTGAAAATGGAACTTTTGTGGTCCTTTGTCGTAACGACGAGTTGTACTCTTTGTTGGAGACAATGCAGAGCATTAAGGACAGGTACACCCACCAGTTCTGCCACGACTGGGTATTTCTTAACGATGAGCCTTTTGACGAGTATTTCATGACCGGGATAGTTCTGCAAATGCCTGGCGGGATCATCAGTTTTGGGCAGATTCCCAAGGACCAATGGGGACCTCCATCGTGGATTGATCTGGCAGAAGCTGCAAAGAAGCAGCAGGCTTTGGTCGCCAAGAACGTGTACAAAGCAGATTCGAACAGCTACAGAAACATGTGTCGATATTACTCTGGGTTCTTTTACAAGCATCCACTCTTGAAAGCCTACAAGTACTACTGGCGCCTAGAGCCTGGGGTGAAGTACTACTGCGACATGGGTTACGATGTCTTCAAGTTCATGCGGGAAAATGATAAGAAATACGGCTTCACCATCTCGCTTTTCGAATACAGAGACACAATTACGTCTCTCTGGGAGACTAGCAAACAATGGATGTCGAGAATGTCACTCCCACTGAACAACATGGTGGACTTTGTGGAAAACGCGGACGGCTCGTACAACCTCTGCCACTTTTGGCTGAATTTTGAGATTGCCGATTTAGACTTCTTCCGTTCCCCACAGTACCAAGCCTACTTTGATCACTTGGACCGTGCTGGCGGCTTCTATTACGAACGCTGGGGCGATGCTCCTGTCCATACAATCGCCGCGACGCATCTTTTGGCAAAAAGCGAGATCTGGTGGTTCAGAGATATGGGGTATTTGCACTCGCCTTACTTACAGTGCCCGCAGGGTAAAGCCTTTTTAAGTCAAAGGTGCGCCTGTAACCCCGAGGCTGACTTTACACTTTCCGACATCTCCTGTGCGCCCCTTTATGAAGCGATCCAAAGCGACCTGCTCTAGTGAAGCTCGATCCGAAGAGCTTTTGGAAATATTTTTTTTGGGGGGCAGTGCTAGGGTGAAGAAAAAATAGATTCTACTGCGGCGGACCCTGGGTGCTAAATTAGTCCACGCCAGAAGCCTGTCATTGGCGCGCCCTATGGGCCTAAGCCATTGTTTTCCTTATTTTTTTTTTTTTTTTTTTTTTTTTTTTAATTTTGCGGTCCCCGTAAGGCTTGCATCTCCCGTACTGACAGGACTCGCGCCTGGTGATGTCGCGCATAGAAGGGTGAAAACCAGATTCAACTTGTATGCCACCCAATAGCATTTGGGATATTTGATACTTCAATACTTCTGCATCCAAAAGAACATCTGCATTATTTTGGCCAATGGATTTTGTGTCCACCCTATTGGTCTGGGCCCGCCGGCTCACAAGAAGGCACCGCGTTGTCACTGCTTTGTGTCTTGCATCCCTGGTTGCTGTGATCTTCCTACTCACCCTAAGCTTGGAGTGGACGCCCGAGTCGCTGGCTGCCTTGGTCTCCGTCAAGCCTCCCGATGACTCTTGTCGCTGGCTTCCTGGTTTTGTGTGTGATTGGCGCAAGCAGCAATCCTCAACTTCCTCAACTCCATACGATCCAAAGGTTTCTAAACCGTCTAGTACGCCGAAAGCTTCGGCCTTGCCCGAGTCAGATAAGAAGAAGCTCGAGTTTATTCGTTCCTATTACACAAAGCTGAAGTCCAACAAGCAGAAGTTGGAGATTGGTCAAAAATTTTACGATAGCATCTTGACCACTGTGAGAAAGTCAAAGCCGGACTCAGTCTTGGCGCAAGACTACCCCGTCGAAAAGCTCGATTCCAAGAGATATGAGTTGCGTGATACGACTATCCCCACCTACTCCAAGACCTTTTTGTCCGGCTTCCTTAAGCTCTCCGATAAGGAGTTCAACGATCTCAAAGCTTCCCACGACTACGTCATTGACAAGCTCCCACTGCAGGCTCCTCTGGGCTTGTATTCGGGTGATGGTATCGTCTACGTCGGTGGAGGCAAGTTCAATTGGTTGACATTGCTCTCCATCCGCGCTTTACGAGCAGAAGGTTGCTTGCTTCCCATCGAAATCTTGATTCCAACCATCGATGAATACGAACTCGAACTTTGTTCGAGAGTATTCCCTGCGATGAATGCCCGCTGTATCTATCTTCCCATGCAATTCAGAGGCGAACAGCTGTCGGCAACAAAGTTGGAGTTCAGTGGTTACCAATACAAGTGTTTGGCCATCTTGCTCTCGAGCTTCGAAAACGTCTTGTTATTGGACAGTGATAATGTCGCAGCATATGCACCAGATCATCTATTCACAAAGGAGCCTTTCGTTTCCAGTGGTCTTATTGTCTGGCCCGACTTCTGGAAGAGATCCACTTCACCCGACTATTACAAGATCGCAAACGTCAAGCTAAGCCAGACTGAGTTGCTTCCTCGATATGATGAAGTCTACGGTGAATATCATCCACAGACATATCAGGAGCCGCTAGATCTTGATAACACACCATTGCATGAGAGGGTAGGTGCGATCCCCGAGCCTTCCTCTGAATCCGGTCAGCTCATGATTTCCAAGAAAACTCATATGAAGGAGCTTCTTCTAGCACTTTACTACAACTACTATGGGCCTTCACATTACTATCCTCTTTTCTCGCAAGGAGCACAAGGAGAAGGTGATAAGGAAACTTTTTTGGCTGCTACCATCGTCACAAAAGGAAGCTTCTATCAAGTCGGAAAATTCTTGGATGCCCTTGGAAACATTCGTAAAGATGCTTTTAACGGCAATGGTATGGGCCAGTTCGATCCGGTCGAGGACCTAGCCTGGCAAAGAAAGAAGGAAAAGCTTCGTACAGAATTTTCGGGTGACGCTTATTACGAAGAAGTGAAGAAGCTCCAGAAACCTAAAATGCTTTTCGTTCACGCGAACGTCCCAAAGTTGAACCCATGGTCCATGAAGAACGAACACGACACCGTTGATGAGGATGGTAACAGATATCGTCTTTACGGCCTCGGAATGAGAGTAAGAACTGGAGCAGACTTCGAGGGAATTGTCTATGGTCATATGGACACTCTTCTATGCGAACTCAACCTCAACATAAATGCATTCAAGGAGATAGACCGCAAGGCTCTTTGTACTGAAATCAAGACACACAGAGAGTGGTTGAAGTCAACAGAGCATACTCTCGAGTAGCGGCTGACCATTCATTTAGTTTAAGGGTATATTCAAAAGTCTGTAATAATAGAAAACCCGCCAGGCATGCATATAAGCAATATCGACCAAGTGTCAACACTGCGTCTCTTGACAACCACATCTAACTTGACACACATTTCATCTACTTACACACAATGGCTATACATTTCACGCTATTGCTTTCGAGGCAGGGAAAGGTGAGATTATCGAAATGGTACCACACCAGCTCTCAAAAAGAAAAGGCCATTATCACCAGGGAGTTGACTACCTTGATTTTGTCAAGAAGAGCAAAAATGTGCAACATTCTTGAGTACAAAGATATGAAAATCATTTATCGCCGTTATGCATCATTATTCTTCATCATGGGCATTGATTCCCTGGACAACGGCTTGTTAGCATTAGAGATCATTCATAGATACGTGGAACAAATGGACAAGCTCTACGGCAACGTCTGTGAACTCGATATCATTTTTGGTTTTGCAAAAGCCTATCATATACTCGACGAGCTAATCTTAGACGGTCACATTGCTGAATCGTCAAAGAAAGAGGTGGTGAAGAAGGTCACTCAGCAAGATGAGTTGGAGCATATGGACGAGTTTGAGAATATACTAGTATAAGTTCCGATTGAAAACCACGTTTTCCGATCAGCTCAATTTACACAATTCCCCGAAGTCACTCCTCAGTCATACCTAACAGTCACCTACAATCCATGTTCCCAAGCAATTTTAGAAACCGGCTTTGCGTGGTGCTCTGGAAACGCCATGGACAAGCCGTACCTCATCAATGATTCTTAATGAACAAACCGATACGAACTCAGTATGCTAGAATCTCTCCATCTTTTTCTTCCTACCCTTCCTCCAAACCCGTCTTTCTATACACCCGTGCACCACATATACTAGTGCGATGGTCTTCCTGGAAAAGTGGCTAGGACCTATAGCGATAACCTCCACTTCAACTTGTATGTCTGACGACGAGGGCTTTGATATAACGGGCTCTCTTGCCCTCAAAGGCCAAGAGTTTGCCTCCGACTCAAGTTCTGAGTCTGACTTCAGTGACAACGAAGAGATCAGAGATGTGATTTCCTCAGACGATGAGGGTGATGAGGTTGAGCCAAAACCCAAAAATGCTAAGAATGCTGACAAGAAAGCGAGCAAAGCTTCGTTCCCAAAGCTTGAGCTTTCTGATGATGAGGAAGACGAAAAAGCTGATGAGGATTTATCTTCCTACTTTGTCCAAAATAACCCTACTGCTAAGAAGGCCAAGGCTGGTTCATTTGCATCTTTTGGTCTTTCCAAATTTGTCTTAATCAATATTGCAAAGAAAGGTTTTAAGCAACCTACACCTATCCAAAGAAAGACGATACCGCTCATCATGGAAAATCGTGATGTGGTTGGTATGGCCAGAACTGGTTCTGGTAAGACTGCTGCATTCGTTCTACCTGTTATAGAGAAGCTCAAGTCCCACAGCGCCAAGGTTGGTGCAAGAGCAATTATCTTGTCTCCATCGAGAGAATTGGCTTTGCAAACTTACAAACAAGTGAAGGAGTTCAGCCGTGGCACTGACTTGCGGTCATTGGTGCTAATTGGTGGTGATTCTTTGGAGGACCAGTTCTCTTCAATGATGACAAACCCTGATATCATTGTCGCTACTCCTGGTAGATTCTTGCATTTGAAGGTCGAGATGCAGCTAGATTTGAGTACCTGTGAGTACATTGTCTTCGATGAGGCTGATCGATTATTCGAAATGGGTTTCGCAGAACAATTGAACGAATTGATTGCATCATTACCAGAGTCTAGACAGTCGCTTCTTTTTTCTGCTACTCTCCCCAGATCTTTAGTTGACTTCGCCAAAGCTGGTTTGACCAACCCTGTCTTGGTCCGTCTCGACGCTGAAACTAAGGTCTCTGAAAACTTGCAGATGGCATTTTTCACCACGAAGAAGACTGAGCGTGAAGCTGCATTGTTGCATATCCTTCAAGAAGTTGTCAAGCTTCCACTTGCGACTCCAGAGGAGCTCGCCAGAGTCAAGGCAGAGAGCAAAAAAGCCGACGAGCTTTCCGATGATGAAGAAGAAAACAAGGATAAGCCTAAAAAGAAATTCAAGAAGCAAAGGCTTCCACCAGCTAATGTTTTGCCTTCTGAACATTCCACCATCGTTTTTGTTCCCACAAAGCATCATGTTGAGTACATTGCTGGTCTTCTTAAAGATGCCGGGTACTTGGTTTCCTACATTTATGGTTCGCTTGACCAGCGTGCGAGAAAGGAGCAGCTTTACCGTTTCAGAATTGGCTTCACGAGCATTCTTGTCGTCACTGATGTCGCTGCTCGTGGTATCGATATTCCTGTTCTTGCCAATGTCATCAACTTCACTTTGCCAGCCTCTCCAAAGATCTTTATCCACAGAGTTGGTAGAACTGCCAGAGCTGGTAACAAGGGTTGGGCCTATTCCATTGTGAATGAGAAAGAACTTCCTTACCTTCTCGACCTTGAACTTGTTTTAGGCAAGAAGATCCTTCTTACCTCAATGCATGAGAAGAAATGTGAACTCTTAAAAGAAAGCAAGGGATCTGACTATGAGGAGCCCAGAGTGTCATATACCGACAGGCTTGTGTTGGGATCTCTTCCGCGTGGGCCATTGGAGACCTTTGAAGAAATGTATGAAAATTTGTTGAAGAATAACTACGATCTCAAGACGATGAAGGATGTTGCAGCGAAGGGTGAGAAGCTTTATCACCGGACAAGACAAGCTGCATCGGTTGAGTCTGTGAAGAGGACAAAAGAGGTGTTGGAAACTGGTTCTTGGGATGACCAGCACCTTCTTTTTGGGCCAAACATGGAAAAAGAGAAAGAAAAGTTTTTGGCACGTCTCGGCAACAGAAATACCAAGGAGACAGTGTTCGAGTTCTCTAAAAAAGGAAGAGAGAAGGAGGAAGATGGCATGGTCGTGTTGATGCAGAGGAGACGCAGACAAATAGCTCCACTTCAACGCAGAGCCAAGGAGAAGAGGGAATTACTTGAGCAAGAGCGTGCTGCAGGTCTCACTCATAGCATCCAAGATGAGATATTGAAATCCGATGCTGGCGAAGTCGGTTATGCGGTGAAGTCTGTGGAAGCAGATGAAGACGAATTGCAGGATGCTTTTGAGGACGCTGATGAACTCATCGCAAAGAAGAAGAAGGAGAAGAAGAGCTTCAGAGACCCCAACTTTTACATGAGTCATCATGTTCCCGCTGCAGAGGCTATCGAGGATAAGCACTACGGCTTGTCATCGTTTGCAAACGATGCAGCTCTGGCCACATTTGACTTGGACAACGATGAAAAGGTCCAGAAACAGTCGCAAGTCATGAGATGGGATAAAAAGAAGGGCAAGTATATCAATTCTCGATCCGCTGATGACACGAAGTACATCATCAGTGAGTCTGGTCAGAGGATCCCGGCAACATTGCGCTCTGGTAAGTTTGATGAATGGAGAAAGAAGAGAAACATCCAGTCAGCCCAGGCTGGTATGGCTGAGAACGTTGCTGAGAACAACCAAAACAAGAGATTCAAGCACAACAAGGTTGCCGCTCCTAAATTGCCTGATAAGTTCAGAGATGACTACCACAAGCAGAAGAAGAAGGTTGGCAAGGCCGTTGATGCCGGTGTTAATGTGAAGGGTTTCAACAAGCCTGGTCAGAAAGAAGAGTTGAGACTGACGGATCAAATCAGAAAGATGAGAAACCTCAAGGAGAAGAGGAGAGCGAAGAATGCTCGTCCAAGCAGCAAGGGCAAGAGGAGATAAGAATTACAGCATTAATAGACAAATCTTTATTCAATACAATTTGCAAGATCGCGGTTCCAGATGATTTGGAACTGTCCGTCGAACCTTTTTTTTTTTTTTTTTCAGAAATATATAATGGAGTTAGAATGACTTATTTCCTTCCCTTCTTTCCGTAAGGGTGGTATCCACCACGCTTGTAGCCTCCTCTTGATCTTCCACTAGAAGGACCTGATGGTGGGGCACGCTTAGGGCCCTTTGGTAGGTTTCTTCTACCTCCGTTGTCACCACTTGGGCCAGAAGGAGGTGTACGGTCGCTGGGTCTGCGTCCTCTACCGTTATCACGACCACCTCCATTACGGCCACCATTATCACGACCGCTATCACGACCACTGTCACGACCACTGTCACGACCACTATTGTCACTTTCGTATCTTCCTGTGTCATTCAGTTCGTATTCGCCCTCGTTATCCTCAGCACCTTGTTGTTGAGGGTTCAAAGGCTGCTGATGAGGCTGATCTTGTTGGTTACCTTCGCCTTGTGCAGCTTGCTGTTGCTGAAACATATACCACTGCATTCTTTGCCAATACTCTTGCATCATTTCTGGAGAAGCACCCTGGAAATTGGGCATGTTATTACCTCCAGGCATTTGCATGGGGAATTGACCGTATGTATTGTATGGGTTAAACTGCTGTTGCTGCTGCTGTGGGGGCTGCTGCTGTTGCTGGTGGTAGCCTTGGTTATGATTCAGCTGGTGCTGGCCTCTTGGTTCGGCACGTTTCACCTCCATGGCCTTGCCTTTTAATGTTAAATATTTGTTAACACAAACTCTATCTACTGCATCAGGAGTGTCGAATGTGATGAATCCAAATCCTCGGATCTACCCGTGTCCTTATCAATCATAAGCTGTGCATCGATAATGCGACCGAACTGAGAGAAGAAATCGTTAAAATCTTTTTCGTTCACAAGGGGGTCAATACCACCCACAAAAATTTTTCCGACCTTGTCCTGCTCCTCCCTGGCAATAGCTCTCTTCGGATCAATCAATTTGCCGTCCAAAATGTGGTCTTTCCTAATGACCTCATCCACCGCCCGTGGATCTCTGAATGTCAAAAAGCCAAACCCACGCGATCTTCCAGTATTAGGGTCCTTCATGATAGTATAATCTGCAATTTCACCGTACTTGGAGAAGTAGCTCACCAAGCCGTCCTCTGTTGTATCCCAATTAAGGCCTCCAATAAACATTTTGCCGCTATCTCTGCCCAAGTTGGAGGGCGGCATTCTGCTGGGCTCTGGTTGCTGAGGTTGTTGCGGTTGAGGCTGACCTGACCCGTATTGACCAGCAGCTGGTGGAGGGGGGGAACAGCTTGACCATAGTTGTCAGTCTGTGGTGCATTGATGGCTGGCTGTTCACTGGGTGGAACAGCAGCTGGTTGACTGCTTTCTGCGGTTTGAGAAGGTTGTTCTGTATTCACAGGTTCTGGAGCGGGAGGCTCTGCTGCTGGAGGAGCTGCTTGTGGAGGGGGTGGATTAGCCTCTTCCAGCTTTGGCGCAGCATCAGAGGGCTTTGTCTCCGTTTTGGTATCCTCGTCGCTAATTGAGTTAGTATTCGTCACAAAGTGAGTGATGGATGTACATACTAGATGTCTTCGAAAAGAGCCTCGTCTTCGTCAAACGTCGACATTTCTGGTCCTTTGATACAAAGTGTTATGGATTTATTAATGTATTGAGAAGTATAAAACTAATCACACTAACTATTCACCTATGGAGTATGAATGGCTGAGGCCCCATAGTAATTTTCGATGATACAGTAAGTCTAACTATATGCAGGTTTGGTCACGTGCATTAAACTCAAACGGGAGGCCTGTTAGGCTCCCCAGAGTGAATTAAAAAATGTATCGATGAAGAAAACAAAAAAGAATGGACGAGTCCGGATTCGAACCGGAGACCTTTCGCATGCTAAGCGAACGCGCTACCAACTACGCCACACGCCCTGTGATAAGTGGTCCCTAGCAGGATCGAACTGCTGATCTTGGCGTTATTAGCACCACGCCTTAACCAACTGGGCCAAGGGACCATCTTACTGGATGTTACTGTTACCTGCTTTAATATATCATAATAGTTTTAGGGTCAAATAACAAAAGTTTTTGTTTTTTATAGTGTTTTTCATTACCTCTTAGCTTCAAAACTTTGATTCTGAGCTTAGATCTGGCAAATTCGGCCTTTCAACCCCTTTTTGGAACATTTTTAGTTTTTCAGACTTAATGTATACTGATTTTTTCTTCACCAATTAGCCTAGCCTAATCTTTCCGTTAGCAATATTTGTCATTGACTTTTTTCTGGTGAAATGAGTCCATTTCAATTTGATCTGAACAAGAGACCCCTCTGAATATCGCTCCCACTAGCATTGTTCCGAAATTGACGGATCTGTCATACTTGTGCAACGTATTCTTAACATTAAGAACCGGTCTATTTTACTTTTTCAGTGCTTTCGTTATGAATTTCCGATTTACCACTTGTCAGTTAACGATCTCTTCAGATCTAGTCCTTTCACAGATGCTGTCACCAGGGTGTAGTTAATCAAGAACGAGATCATCACCTTTCACATCAAATAGCTTTGGTTCAAAGAAAAGCACATGTTTAATCAATATTTTACTCCATCGAGGAATGAATCGTATGAAAGGTTGACAAGTTCCATTGAGTTCGCAACAACTGAGTGGAATCCGCGATTGTCCCAAAAAAAGATATATCCTCTAAAAATATGAAGCTAACACAAGAAAATAATCAGAAGCCCAAAGGTAAACTGTTCATGATCAATTGAAGCTACTTTCCTTCTAGAAGGCTGAAAAAAGAGCATTTGGCCCGATTGGACCTCTTTTCCAAATACTCACCTGGTGTCGATGCGCACCTACATACTTCTACCTGCGTCTCCATCGCATCTCAGATCTCGAGTCCTCAAGTCATGAAAGAGTACATAATAAGCTTTGCCCAAGCTTTTCCAAATTTCAGGGTAGCCGAGCTAGAGTCGCTCGCTGATTTACATGGTATCCAAGTGGACCTTCGTCATCACGACGAGAAGAAACCGTTCTTGAAGGTCCAACTTGAAGACGATGACCAGGCGAAAAAACTCATAAAGCGGTCCATTCTTGCCAAAGGGATCTACGAGCTCTGGGCGAGGGCCCAGACTTGGACCTGCTTCACGAAAGTGTACAACACCAGTCCGCCGACAAGTTCTCCACCTACAAGCACAACACCTTCAGATTCGACTTTGTTAGCTTCATGGGAGCTAAAACAACGGAAGAGAAGATCGAGACCATCGATACTTTCAGATACCTCGGGTTCGAAGGCAAAATACGATTGAAAAATCCCGAGGTGATTTTTGCCATATTAGAAGAGTACTTTGTGTCTGGTCAAGAAAGAGCGGAGAAGCCCGAGTACCTTTGGTTTGGGAGACAGGTTGAAATCAGCGCCAGGGCCGAGGGGGTTGTGGAAAAATATGATCTCAAAAAACGTCGGTACATTGGCACAACGTCCTTTGACGCCGAGCTAGCACTAGTCAGCTGCAACGTTGCACAGGTACAGCCAGGCAAAGTCTTGTACGACCCATTCACCGGCACAGGCTCTTTCTTGGTTGCAGGCGCCTATTTCGGAGGATACCCTATCGGCACGGACATTGACGCCCGGTCAGTGAGGGGCAAGGGCTCTAACAATCTTCTTTCGAGTTTCCGTCAGTATGGAACCGCCCTGCAGTTCATTGACTTGTGGACGATGGACTTCACAAATAATGCGCTTAGAGAGGACTTTGTCATTGACACGATAGTATGTGATCCTCCCTACGGCGTGCGCGAGGGCCTTAAGGTTTGCGGAGCCAAAGACCCTGAAAAAGCAGCAGGGAGAGAAAATAACGTGGTGGAAGGGGAATTGGGCTTCAAACGCCGAGACTACATTGCATCGAAAAAGCCCTATGACCTCCCTAGTCTTTTGGACGACTTACTCCGGTTCGCCGCGGCCAGAATGCCTGTAGGTGGGCGGCTAGCGTTTTGGATGCCCACTGCCAATGATGAATTTGTCGAGCACCATATCCCCCAGCATGAGCGTCTTGAGCTTTTGTATGTGCTCGAGCAGGAGTTCAACAAATGGTCACGTCGTCTAGTAGTGTACGTCAAAAGGGATGAGACGTACAAGGGCATAACTCATAACGGCATGCGACTCGATCAGGTAACTCATTTCCGGGATCGCTACTTCAAAAGCTTCAACGAAAAGAGCAAGCAAATCGGGGCCGATAGCCACTGAGGGAGCCGGAAGTCCTGGCGGGTTTGCATCTAGAACCAACTTCCCCGCTTGTGCAATTCAGGGTTAAGGGTGAGAGTCGAGCAATTTAGCGAATGTAGCATTGGCGACTCAGATAAGCAGCAGGTTTGTGTAAGGGAGTTGCAGCCATGCGCTTAGGAAGCCTATGCGTGAGACAATTACCGGGGGCCCTGAGGAGGTTTTTGCATCGACAGCGTGCACATTGTCGTTTTGCACCCATTGACATGCGTCTCATGCAGTTACAGGGTCTCCTGTCGGGACGGTCCTCTCCCAAATGTCTTAGGCTCAACAGCATATGCGTTTACAGATCCAAGAGGCTTTCACTGAACTAGCCCAATGATTTGGTCCGTGGCATTTCTGATTGGTCGGCCATGCTAACCCAACGTACACGGGAGGCTGGTATCCACTCCTTGCCAATTGTTTTCGGACATTTTTCGGGCAGACCCAGAATATAAATTCCGCCCACCTGCCACTCTTCTTTTACTCTTTTTCATAAATTTTATCAAGTAATCATGTCTCCTCCAACTATGGTTCAGAAGCCTGTCGGCTCTGTCGGCAACCTCAAGACTCCAGTCGTTCGTCTCGACTCTGGTGCTAACGACGCTCAGGTCAGCTTCGCTGACTGGGAGAAGTTCAACTTTGCCCCAATCAGAGAGTCTACTGTCTCCAGAGCTATGACTAAGAGATACTTTAACGACTTGGACAAGTACACTGAGTCTGACATTATCATTGTCGGTGCTGGTTCCGCCGGTTTGTCTGCTGCTTACGTCTTGGCCAAGAACAGACCAAACTTGAAGATTGCTATCATTGAGGCCTCTGTCTCTCCAGGTGGTGGTTGCTGGTTGGGTGGTCAATTGTTCTCTGCTATGGTCATGAGAAAGCCAGCCAACTTGTTCTTGGACGAATTGGAGATTGCTTACGAGGACGAGGGCGACTACGTCGTTGTCAAGCACGCTGCTTTGTTCATGTCCACCTTGATGTCCAAGGTTTTGCAGTTCCCTAACGTTAAGTTGTTCAACGCCACCGCTGTTGAGGACTTGATCACTCGTCGTGACGAGTCCACTGGCGAATTGAGAATCGCTGGTGTCGTTACCAACTGGACCTTGGTTACCTTGAACCACGACACCCAGTCTTGTATGGACCCTAACACCCTCAACGCTAACGTTGTTCTCTCCACCACTGGTCACGACGGTCCTTTCGGTGCCTTCAGTGCAAAGAGATTGGAGAGCTTGAGACCAAAGAGCGCCAACGAGCCATTCGAGTTGGGTGGTATGAGAGGTCTTGACATGAACAAGGCCGAGGACGCCATTGTCAAGGGTACCAGAGAGGTCGCTCCTGGCTTGGTCATTGCCGGTATGGAGTTGGCCGAGGTTGACGGTTCCAACAGAATGGGCCCAACCTTCGGTGCCATGGCTCTTTCTGGTGTCAAGGCTGCTGAGTCTGTTTTGAATGTCGTTGACATCCGTAAGAAGCAGAACGAGTCTTGCTACGGCGGCACCCAGAACTAAATGTATTTACGTTGATGATCGATATTGACAATGAACAATTGATTTGAATCTATCGTAGTAGAATATTGTCGTAGTTGGCGCGACATTTTGCAGCCAATCAACCCACCATGGTGCGTCTTCAAATGCGCAGAATAAAGCAGTGGACCAATTTTGCACTAACGTAAAAATAAAAGTTTGACAAGAACAAACAATTTCATTGTCATCATATTTGAATTGTAACTTTGAATCTCTATTTCCTAAGTAATTTGTGCTAAACACGTCAAAAGCGTTGACAAACCTGCACACTGCCAAACTTCAAACACTCACCTACTCAGTTTGAAGACATCCATCACCATCTTTCACCTGGCCCCTAACAACTATGGCGATCGACAACCCAAGTGAAGATCCCGCCGATAACTTCAAATTCTTTGGGTTGGGAGGATGCAATGAGGTGGGCAGATCCTCCCATATTTTGGAGTATAAAAATAAAGTCATCATGTTGGATTCTGGTGTCCATCCAGGTCTCAGTGGAATGAACTCCTTGCCTTTCTTTGACGAATATGACCTATCAAAGGTCGACATCTTGTTGATCAGTCATTTCCATTTGGATCACGCTGCTTCGTTGCCATATGTTATGCAACAAACCGGCTTCAAAGGTCGTGTTTTCATGACTCACGCCACAAAAGCCATCTACCGTTGGTTACTTTCGGATTTCGTTAGAGTGACATCAATGACTGGAGGGGGCGATGAAGCTAGGTCTGAGAACAACTTGACTAATGCCTCAGGCTCTGCCAATCTATACACAGATGAAGACTTGATGGTATCGTTCGACAGGATCGAGACAATAGATTACCATTCCACTATTGAGGTTGATGGTATCCATTTCACAGCTTACCACGCTGGTCACGTTCTCGGTGCATGCATGTACTTCGTTGAAGTTGGAGGACTCAAGGTACTCTTCACCGGTGACTACTCTAGAGAAGAAGATCGTCATTTGAAGGTTGCGGAGGTTCCACCCACAAGACCAGATGTTTTGATTACGGAATCAACATTTGGTACTGCCACACACGAACCTAGACTCGAAAAGGAATCTCGTTTGATGAAATTGATTCACTCAACAATTCTCAAGGGTGGCCGTATTCTCATGCCTGTTTTCGCCTTGGGAAGAGCTCAGGAGTTGCTTCTTATATTGGAGGAGTACTGGTCCCAAAACAAGGACATCCAGAACATCAATATATACTACGCCTCTAACCTTGCCCGAAAATGTATGGCTGTGTACCAAACATACACTAGCATCATGAATGACAGCATCAAGGTGAACGCAGCTGGCTCTCACAAGTCAAACCCATTTGATTTCAAGTTCATCAAATCAATCAAAAGTGTGGACAGAGTTCACGACATCGGCCCATGTGTGGTCGTAGCATCTCCGGGTATGTTGCAGAGTGGTGTCTCCCGTCAGCTTCTAGAAAGGTGGGCACCAGATCCGAAAAATGCAGTCATCATGACTGGTTATTCCGTGGAGGGAACTATGGCGAAAGACCTCCTTCGTGAGCCAGCCGCCATCCAATCGATTAACAACCCCGAGATGAATATCCCCAGACGTATTACTGTCGATGAGATATCTTTTGCAGCTCATGTAGATTTCATCGAGAACTCGGGTTTTATAGATGAAGTGAGTCCTAAAAAGATCATTTTGGTACATGGTGACAGTAACCCCATGGGAAGACTCAAATCGGCTTTGCTCAGTAAGTACCTGAGCAGGAAGGGAACGGACGAAGAAGTGAAGGTATTTAATCCTAGAAATTGCGAGGAGGTCACAATTGGCTTTAAGGGTGTAAAGTTGGCCAAAGTTGTTGGACGCCTTGCAGAGACCAACATGAAATTAATAAAGAAGGCGGTCCAGGAGGCCCAAACTAAGCCAAAAATTGAAGAGGTTGACGATAAGGTTGAAAAGGAGGAGGGAAACAAAGACAAGAAGGAAGATGGTGAGGCAGGCAGCGAGAAGGAGTCTGATAGAAAGGTCATCAATACTGGCGTCAAACTTTCAGGAGTGCTTATATCCAAGGACTTCGACATGAATATAATGAGTCTTGACGAGTTGCCTGAGTATTCGCAGCTCACGACATCGACGGTCAAATCGAACGCAAAACTCAAGGTGCATGCGAATGTGTCTTTGGTCCAATGGCATTTGGAACAAATGTTTGGCTATATCAATGTGGTGAACGACGATAATGAAACCTGGGAATGTACTATCATGAACACCGTCTACATCACTGCCAACAAGGTGGAGTCAGCAGGTGCGTTGAACGTTACCGTGGAGTGGCTCAACGACAATTTGATGGGAGACTCTCTCGCCGATAGCATTGTCGCCATTCTCCTCTCAATCGACTCGTCTCCTGTCTCCGTCAAGATGACATCTCAGCATTGTTCCCATGGCCATGTTAAGCAGGAAGAGGATGAAGATATGGTGAAGGATGATACACCTAGAAGAGCCCACGCAGACAGTACTATCACGAGCAGAATCAAGAGAATTGTTTCCTTGTTGAAGTCGCAGTTTGGTGACTCCATAACCAAAAATGATGGCAAGCAGGTTGTCATAACTATAGGTAAGAACGAGGCCACGGTTGATCTCAACAAGCTCGAGGTTGCGTGCGGATCAAGAGTTCTCAAAGACAGAGTTGAGAATATCGTTAAAAGAGGGGCCACGCTAGCAGCTCCATTGAGCTACCCAGAAAAAATAGTCTCTGCTTGATGGCCCATTAAAATCTGTATTTAATGAATAATGATGAACCCGACCAGAGTGTATGTTTTATTCGTGCATAGAGGGCAATATCGAGATACACATCAAGCAGTGCGCCATCGTCGCTAGTAAGGAAGTATAGCACCATATATATACCATGTCGTATGTTAGCAATTTCAAGAAAACTTTATCTAATTTGCCCGCTCATAATACTAACTACAGTGAGCTTATAGATCGTCCTCGCGCAGAACTTACTGAGAGTGAAATTCAAGAACTAGAAGATTTTGAATTCAATCATGGACCATTATCGCTCATACAAAACTCCATTAAAAGCGGTAGTCCCGTCATGATACATTGCAGAAATAACCACAAGCTTCTTGCAAAGGTGAAAGCATTCGATAGACACTGCAACCTCATTTTAGAGGACGTGAAGGAGCTTTGGACGGAGACAACGAAAAACAGCAAAGGCAAGGTCATCAAGACCACGTCAAAGGAGAGATATGTTGTGAAAATGTTCCTTAGAGGAGATTCTATTATTATTATTTTAAGAGTTTAAGAAACTTGGCGAAGTGACCCCATATCATGTCACATCGTTCAACAACTTATTTGGGGATGTACCAGTGCTCCAACCTCTCAGAGGCGAGACATATCTGAGAGACCAAGGTTAAGACTGTGAATCACGTCAATCCTTTCTGACTCAGCATCTTCAATCTAGAGGAACAAACCTTAGCATCCTGGAACGATCAAAATCTTCAGACTTTGATTATATTCCAGGCAGCGGTCATTGCAATGAATAATGATGTATAGTTAAATTGTTTATCGAAACTTATTGTATTGCATAGCCTTATTGTAGACATTGACAGAAGCGTACATCACAGGGCGCACTGGAAAACTAAGATAGTATGAAGCTCAAACTACGTACACAAAGCACTGAAACACTCAAAATATGCTTCTCCCAAATTAGCAGCCTTAGAAAATTCGTGGTCTTGAGGTTTAGCCCAGAGCAACTCTTAGCAATCTCCGTGAAAGACACGTCTCTAAACCAAGAACCCCAGGTATGGTGCAAGTTCAAGATGCTGGCCATCTTCAACGAGATCGAGGTTCAAAGTCTTCGAAACGACGTGGTCCTCTTGGAGATAAACATTGAGCTATTTCTTCAAACACTCAAAAACTTTGAAAAGGCCGACAGTCATGACTTGAGCATCAGGCTTCAGAGGAAGGAGGCATCAGCGGATGGTACTACCAGTGGGGGAGGCAGAACAGCTTCTTTGGCTCTCTACTACTCAGATCTCACTACTACAGCCAACACAATCAATCATACCTTTAGAATTCCCGTCAAGATTCTCAAAGGATCCTCAGATCTACTACAGGAGCCTGAGCTCCCCAAGGTGGACCTCATGATGCGCCTTCCCAACGAGTTCTCCTCCACATACAAGCGTCTCGATAAGTTCAAGAAGAACCTAGCAAGCGATCTAGTCACTATCAAGGCGAGCAGAAGACGAGGGGCTACCTAGGCTTCGTTCTTCACGAAGAGGGTAAGTTTAGAGTGACGATTCGGTGGAACGACAAATTGGATGTCCAGAAGCCGAAAGTTCCTGACCTAGACACTGACAGCCTTCGAGCCCAGGCGCTTGCTGAGCCAGAGGACGACAATTGCGATCAAGATGACACGGAAGACACGGAAGTCGCGGTCAAGCTTAAAGATTGGAAAATGGCATCCAAGATCGTCAGCACCTGCAAAACCATCATATTTCTCATGTGCCACCAGGAGGCGTGTGTGCTACATTGTTTACTCGACGACACTGACGACGTTGAAGTACTTTACTATCTTAGTGGGGTCAAGATTAGGGATATGGAGGATTAGCATAAGCGATGCGACCGGTACCTGTCATGGGTGACTCAATGACTCGTTCGCGCACTAATTATTCTAATACTACCTACTTGAAGTTTCAGCACAATGTCAATTTTGGAGCGTGAAGAACCCCACTACTTCGGTGCTGGTCCTGCTTTGTTGCCATCTGATGTCCTCAAACAGGCCGCATTGGACTTGATCTCCTACGATGGACAGAACTTGGGTATCGGTGAGATCTCGCACCGTTCGAAGCCCGCCATTAAAGTCATTGACGACACTAAAGCCAATATCAAGAAGCTTATCAATGTTCCAGACACCCATGAAATCTTCTTTATGCAAGGTGGTGGTACCACTGGCTTCTCATCTATCGTTTACAACTTGATGGCTCATTACGCGAAGAAGAACAACCTCAAGAAAGGCAAGGCTGCTTATGCAGTTACTGGTGGCTGGTCGAAGAAAGCTGCCGAGGAGACTCAGCGTTTGGGATTTGACGTGGATGTTGTGTTCAATGGCAAGGACAAGAAGTTCGGCGACATTGCTCCATTTTCGGAATGGAAGCCAATTGACAAAGAGTCAACGGCATACTTGTACCTCTGCGACAACGAGACTGTTCACGGTAACGAATTCAAGTCCACTCCAGACGCCTCGTACTTGCCCGAAGGTGTTGAGTTGGTCGCTGACATGTCCTCCAACATCTTGTCTAAGGACATTGACGTGAGCAAGTACGGTGTGATCATGGCTGGTGCCCAAAAGAATCTCGGTTTGGCCGGCTTGACGATCTACATTGTCAAGAAGTCTTTACTTGAACAAGCATCTGACGACGAATTGAAGCAGGCTGGTATTCCCTTGTGCCCCATTGCTTTCCACTACCCAACTGTCGTCGCAAACAACTCTGCCTACAACACCATTCCTATCTTCACATGTCAGATCTTGAAGCTTGTCACTGACAAGCTCATCAAGGAGGGAGGAATTGAAGTTATTGAAAAGACGAACAACCACAAGGCAGAGATTTTGTACGGTGCTTTGGACAAACACGCCGATTTATTTAAATTGCCTGTCACGAATCATGCTGTGCGCTCCCATATGAACGTCGTCTTCACTTTGCCTACCGAGGAGTTGACTGAAGAGTTCCTCAAGAAGGCCCTGGACAAGAAGTTGACTGGTTTGAAGGGCCACAGATCTGTGGGCGGTATCAGAGCCTCGATTTACAATGCCGTTTCTACCCATAGTGTCGAACTTTTGGTTGATTGCATCAACGAATTTGCCGCCTCCCACAAGGCTTAGAGTATTTAAAGTAAGGTTATTATTTTAGGCATCGATGGGTGCAAATGTAGATGCGCACTGAAAAATGTAGTTGCATAAGTGTATCCAAGTAGCGATGATTCTGAAAATGCTACGAGGGTCGCTCAAGGCCACCTTCAGAAAGTCGGCTCCCAAATATTTCCATATTTCAACAGCTCTACTATCGACTCCAAAGACTGCAGCTACGCAAGACAAGAAGATCAGTCTAGATAAAGACAATCATATAAAGTGGGTCTACGACAAGATTGACAAGATCCCACTAGAAAACTACAGAAACTTTAGTATTGTTGCTCATGTGGACCATGGTAAGTCAACACTTTCAGATAGACTTCTAGAGATCACAGGCGTCATTGAGCCAGGATCCAACAAGCAAGTTCTCGATAAGCTAGATGTGGAACGAGAACGAGGCATCACCGTCAAGGCCCAAACATGTATGATGTTCTACCAACATCCTGAAACAAAAGAAGAATACTTATTGCATTTGGTTGATACGCCTGGTCATGTAGATTTTCGTGCAGAGGTGTCTAGATCGTACGCTTCTTGTGGAGGTGCGCTATTGATAGTGGATGCTTCACAAGGCGTTCAGGCCCAAACTGTGGCTAACTTCTATTTGGCATATAGCATGGGACTTAAGCTTATCCCAGTTATCAACAAAATTGACTTGGATGCCGCAGATATTCCTCGTGCAATGGACCAGGTCGAGACAACCTTCGAATTGGATAGAGAGGATTGCATTCCCGTCAGTGCCAAAACCGGCCTCAATGTTGACAATATTCTAGAAGCCATCGTGAGAGATATTCCTCCTCCAGACGGGAATCCAGAGGGCAAGTTGCGAGGCCTACTTGTCGACTCATGGCATGATCCTTACGTTGGAGTAGTGATGCTTATGTATGTGAAGGACGGCTGTATCCGAAAGGGCATGAAATTGGTTTCAGCCCACACGAACAAAAAGTATGAGGTCAAGGAGGTTGGTGTGATGTACCCGGATAAGCTACCTATGAGCAAAGTCGGAGCTGGTCAGGTTGCATATATCATTCCTGGTATGCGTAACCCTAAAGAAGCCATGATTGGAGATACATTTTTTCAAAATGGCAATCATGAAGGGTTGGAGCCACTTCCAGGCTTTGAGGAACCTCAGCCGATGGTGTTTGTTGGTGCATTTCCTGCTGATGGTGGAGAATTCAAACTGATGAACGACCATATCGAGCATCTTGTTCTTAATGACCGGTCTGTCACCTTGCAGAAAGAGACATCCAACGCTTTAGGACTAGGTTGGAGACTAGGCTTCTTAGGATCCCTCCATGCATCGGTGTTCCAGGAAAGACTTGAAAAGGAGTACGGTGCAAAAATCATCTTGACGGCACCTACTGTACCTTACAAAATCGTCTACAGAGATGGCTCAGAGAAGATTATCTCGAACCCTTCTGAATTTCCAGGAGTCGAGAATAGACAAAACGTCGATAAGGTCCAGGAGCCATTTGTCACGGCCATCATGACGATTCCTGACGAATATGTGGGAACCGTCATGTCCCTTTGCGAGAGTTCCAGAGGTGTTCAAAAGGAGTTGGAATATTTGCAAACAGGCCAAGTTCTTCTCAAATACGACATTCCGTTGGCACAGCTCGTGGAGGATTTCTTCGGAAAGCTCAAAGGTCTCACCAAAGGTTACGCTTCTTTGGACTATGAAGATGCTGGCTACGAGAATTCAGACGTTGTGAAATTGGAGCTCTGTGTCAATGGTGAGCCTCAAGATGCCTTGACGCAAATCATTCACAAATCACAGTCCCAATCGAGAGGAAGGGAATACGTTGCTCGCTTCAAGGAATTCCTAAAATCTCAACTTTTCGAAGTTGCGATCCAAGCTAAAGTTCTGAATAAGGTCGTGGCAAGAGAGACCATCAAAGCAAAGAGGAAGGACGTCACGCAGAGATTACATGCTGCTGATATCTCTAGAAGAAAAAAATTGTTGGAGAGGCAGAAGGAAGGAAAAAAACAAATGAAGGCTTCAGGACGTGTTCATATTAATAATGAGGCGTACCAGGCTTTCTTACGTCGCTAAATAGATGCCACTGTGAATAGAATAAGTGCGATAAAATTTTATTAGCCCCTATAGTCCCCCAAACGAATTAGTTACATAAAAATTTCTTGTAAATGATGTTGTCTGTCTCGTCCTGATATTTGTAGCCAATTTGCTTCAAAAATTCATGGAACTCCTCCTCTGTGGCTGTCTCTGGAAGAACGAAACCACACAAAACCTTGCCCACATCATTGCCGTGGTTTCTGTAGTGGAACAAAGTGATGTTCCAATTATCCTTCAACGCTTCCAAGAATCTTGTCAAAGCACCAGGCCTTTCGGGAAACTCGAATTGATACAACTTTTCTTGTCCGGGCTTGAGGGTGTGATCAGTTGGCTTTCCACCGACAAGGTAACGGCCGTGGGTCTTGGCCAATTCGTTGTTGGAGATATCAAGGACAGTGAAGTTGTGCTCTTTATTTGTCATGGCTTCGATGATAGCAGGCACCTCCTTAGCCTTGTTAAGAACGTTGAAACTGACGTAGATGTTGGCAGGATGGTCAGCATTCACGAGTCTGTAGGAGAATTCTGTGACGGATCTTGGATGGATGAGTTTCTGAAGCTTGACGAACTCACCTGGTCTGTCTGGGATCGAGACGACGAAAGAGACCTCCCTTCCTTCACCAAGAACAGCTCTTTCGCTCACGAAACGCAATCTGTCAAAGTTCATGTTAGCACCCGAGAGGATAGGCACGTAAGTCTTCTTCTTGTGGTCAACTTTACCAGCAGTGTCTGTGATGTACCTCTTCATACCAGCAACACCAAGGGCACCCGATGGCTCAACAATGGACCTAGTGTCTTCAAAAACGTCTTTGATTGCCGCACAAAGCTCGTCAGTATCAACACGGACAACCTCATCAACGTATTCCTGACAAATTCTCCAAGTCTCGTCACCAAGAATCTTAACTGCGGTACCATCGGCGAACACTCCAACGGAGTCAAGTTCCACCAGTCTCTTGTTCTTCAACGACTGGTACAAAGCGTCGGCATCGAATGTCTCAACTCCGATAATTTTGACGTGAGGAGCGACAGTCTTCAAATAAGCGGCAACACCGGCGATCAAACCACCACCGCCAACAGGAATGAAAACAGCATCCAAATCATCCAAGATAAGCTGGGTTGTCAATTCCAATCCGACAGTACCCTGACCTGCAATGACGTAAGGATGGTTGAAGGGAGGGATATTGGTCAAGTTGTCAAGCTCACTCAATCTAGCACACTCTTGTTTGGCAGAGTCGAAATCCTCACCGTACAAAACGACTTGAGAGCCAAGTCTCGAGACATTGGAATACTTGATGGAAGGGGTAGCGGTAGGCATGACAATGGTGGATGGGATGTTGAGCTTGGCTGCAGAGTAGGCCACACCTTGAGCATGATTTCCAGCAGAGCATGCAATGACACCATTAAGTGGAATTTTTGGATTGGAATGCAATTTAGCTATCATATTATAGGCACCACGCAACTTGAAGGAGAACACGGGTAAAAGGTCTTCACGCTTAAGATGGACATTTGCGTTGCAGCGGTGTGATAAGTTGACAGCGTGAGTCAAAGGAGAGCCACCCTTGTCGACAACATCATATACTCTGGATGTCAAGATCAATTTGGTGTAATCTGGATTACCCTCCGCATCGAACTCGACATCTTTGAGTTCTGGATATTTGGATTGGGCCGCAGATGCGGAGGTTGTAAATGTATTTCTTAAAGTACACGAGCGAAGTGATAATGCCCCGCTTCTTAGAAAAGACGCCGAGAGACGGGCGTGCTGAAGCATAGTGTTCAGAGGTTGTAGGTTGTTTGAAAAATTAGAGACTCTTCACCATGACTCAGGCATAGTATGCGCGCGAGTATGTGCCCTGTTCGAGCATACAGTCCTTCAGAGTACAACCTTTGCAGCAGATATAAAATCTAATGCAAAAAGTCGATTGAAGGTTTGCAGTGAGTAATTAACTGAGATTGCTGATCTCGAGCAAGAAGTCCAGGTAGCTGATTGTGGCCACACCGGAGAGATCCTTGTCATACTGCTTAAAGATATCGGTGAGCTTCCGAAGATAGACGAGTAACTCAATAAAGGCGTCAAATTTGAGTTTTCCGACTGAAGTGCCATCTGATGATGATTCCTTGTTACTGAATTTCTGAAAGAGGTGGAGCACAAGATCCACGTTGAGTTTGTAGCCAATCTGCTCGAGAATTCTTTGGAATTCACCGAAAGAAATGTCTCCAGATTTATTCAGATCAGCAGCCACAAAGAGCTTTTTGTAGGCGGTCAAGTACTTCCACAAGGAAACGAACTGATCGAAGTTGAGTCCCTTGGAGGTGGAAGAGCCAGAACTGAAGAGTTTAAGCATGAGACGCACGGTCGATTCTTGGAAACGAGTATTATCGAAATTCAAAAGTGCCATAGACAATTCTCGAGCAGAGATTCTACCCAGGTGGTTGACGTCCACTCTGTCGAATGTGGAACGCAACTCGGCCTCGAGACGCTGTTTGCTAGATAATTTTGGCGTCTCCAGTACATTCTCTTTCGAGCGGTTCTGGCCCTGCCACAGGCCCGGTGCCTTCTTCAGTGTAGACGCATTGGCAACTTGAGGCGAGCCCGACGAATGACCGTACGGCTGGGCTGGAGGCTGCAGGCTCAGTGAAACTTGACGCTGTTGCTGCTGTGGATGTTGTGGAGGGGCAGCGTGGGACTGCTGGGGCGACATGTACTGGTCATACAGAGGTTGGCTGGGCATGGGTTGAGGCTGGGGCTGGGGCTGCGGGTGTGACTGCGAGTATTGAGGTCTATAGTTTTGGGGCTGTTGCTGGTGCAGATAGTACTGGGGCTGTGTGTATGGCTGCTGAGCCGGAGGCGAGGCGTACTGTTGATAGTACTGCTGCTGAGGCTGCTGAGGAGGAGGTTGTTGAAAACCAGGGCGAGATGGCGGCGGATATGACAGGTAGGACAGGCCTGGCTGTGTAGAATACGGGCCTGGTGCCGGTAGCGGGCCCGACAGTGAGTTCTTGTAGTTGTGGGGCGGGTTTTGGTGTCTGGGGGGTTGCTGAGACGAACTGTGGTTTCTGCGACCAGACAGCTGATGTGACAGACTATGTGGTTGCTGATTGCCTCCAACAACATATGTCGCTTGTTGGGGCGTTGGATACACCGGCAAGTCGTCTGAGTTCATGGTGGATTGAAAGAAATGGAAGAAAAGTAGTAGACGTGAATTGGCGTGCGTGAGAGAGCGTGTTATAGATGGTCTGTGCAGGCCACCATGGGTAAAGATACGCCGGGGTAGAAGCAGTCTGCTATATTGATGGGGAAGAATATGTAGAAAATGCCTATGGGTGGAGTTACTGGCGTATTGTGAAAAGTATATTGTTTTGTTCTTTGGTTGGAGTGCCGCCGTTGTCTTCCTTTTTAGGAAATACGCCTCGCACATAGTCTCGCTCTATCAGACCCCGAGACCCCCAGCGTAGGCTTAGCACATAAAAATAGAAGTTGGCGAGACCGGTTCAGCATTGCAACATGAAATACCGTTTAAGAGGCATGACGGTACAAAAGCCCTCCTTCGAGCAAAACTTCCACAAATTATGATATTTTGCATTACACGGTACGCGTCTGGCTGGCGAGCACAATGCTCTCATTCTACTCGCTTGGGCACATAGTATTGCAGCGTAAGCTATCGAGTGATAAAATGCAACAGTACCGATTTCAAGATAAAGAGTCGAGTGAGTGTTATTTGACGAAATGTCAGCCGGTAGTATCATGTATGCTGTAATTGCTTCAACTGGGAATGCAAAGCGGCTGCTGGGGTAAGGCCAGGCACATTGGAGAGCTTCTTTGAGTCTATTGACGAATGTGCTTCTTCGCCTTGGGGATGAACGGCAAAAGCTTCCAGCACTTGTTTATCGCCATTCATTAATTCTATTATAGTGCTGGTATGATTTTATTTTGGAAAGAACGGTGGGGTCGCTATTTTGTTAGATCATGTATTTGTGGGGCACCATTAAACGAAGAGTTATTCGTGTTCATACGGATCACACTTGGTTTTTGGTTTATACGCTCCCCATGGCTAACTCATCAACCTCTTCCCACACTTCACCAACTTCACACTTACCATATGCTACATTTCATTTCTTAAGTTTCTTTATTAGAAATGGAAAGTATACAAAATAACATCAAGCCAGGATACGGTATGGTCCGTATGATGCATGCTTAATCTCTGGCTCTTCTTCTGTAGGAGTCACCACCAAATCTTCTCTGAGGGCCACCTCTGGAGACAGGTCTCTGTCTCTGAGCTGGAGCACCCTTCAATCTGGTCATAGGCAAGATACCCTCTGGGATGTTCAACTCGTTTCTGAGGTACTCAACACCTTCGTCAGTCAAGGTGTAGTAGTACCATTGCCAAGAGAACTGGGTCTTGACGTAACCCTTGGAGGTCAAAGACTGCAAAGCCTTGATGACGTACAAGTTCTTGGTGTCAATCTCCTCGTGCTTTGGCTTGTTGAAGTCCTTCTCAGCAACAACAACACCCTCTGTTTTGTTAGTATAAAGTTTGGGGAACCCAGACTACCGGTTCATGAAATTGAAGATGGGTTATAGAAGCTGCCCTTGACTAGTGGATGGAATAAGTATCCACGGGATTCACAAGCAGACTGAATCGAAACGATTCATAGTGTTTCCGCTTCGATCAGCAATCAGCTTGTCGACGGCTTCACATCTTCTGGTATCTCATGGAGCAATGGAGCTTCAAGGCTCAAATGGGAACTGGGGAATTCGGGAATTATAATTTACATACCTTGGAAGAGGTACTGGTGGATCTTCTTTCTGTCGTCCTTTGGCATCAACATATTGGCGTGGAGTACTTGAAGGTTGTTGAGGTAGGGATACAAATTTTTCTTTTTTTTTTTCCAGTTTTCCTACACTCGAGTGAGTCGCACTGGTGGGAGGCCGGTCAGTGGTCTAGGTGCAGGTCCCCATACAATTTTTTCCTACCCTACACTATAGCTCTTCTTCGCTTCCGACGGCATATAGGACAGTGCTCAAGGTGGTGGCCGCGTGCCAGCGAGACTTCCACGTGAACTAGGGCTAGAGCCCTACACTACCGGAGGCTACTGGGTGCAACTGAAGGTTGGAAAGAGCCATTAGGGGATTGGCTTGTACAAAGGTAACGAAGTCACTTCTTCTGCTGAATTAGGAGATACAAGTAACGGAAGCTTCTACATTTGATGAGAAAGTTGAAAGAGGTTTAGGTGGATATTTGGCAAATAGAAAATAAGGACAAACCTGGAACCGGTCCAGCTTGAAGATTCATGTAACTTACATTAATTTTCTGAAATACACCCCTGGCAGACAGGGATCGGTGTGAGCTTCCATTTCTTTTTTTTTTTTAAATGGGTCCCAAAGGTTGTATGGCTGAGCTTATGCTAGACAACTTGATGATCATAGTCTCCAAGAGGACCACGAAGAAGCACCGCTGATACAGGTCCTTGAAAGCAAATTTCAGACAGCTCCTCAAGTGCTGAAACGCCCCCAGGCTATTGCATAGCTTTTAAGTAGCACTAAATGGTAATCTAATCTTCCATTGAAGCAAAACTGCGAACCAGAGAGCGAAGAGTGCCCATTGGTATGCAAAACTTAGTACACCCGCACTTTCAAATTTTCAACAAATCCGATATGGTGTAATGGCTAGCACAGTTCGCTCTCACCGAGCAGATCGGGGTTCGATTCCCCGTATCGGAGTTATTTTTTCTTTTTAACCTCTGTGAGCCTCAGGTTCTGCAAGCATGCGTTGAATCACTCTCATTGAGCTGCAATCCCACACGACGTTATGTTGGTCGTCTCCAGTCACCACCTAAGCGATGCACACCCACAACGGGTATTGCCGGACAACTACATTCATTCACAATAGGAATAAATACCGACGTGTTCATCTGTTCATATGTACAATCAAACGGCCACACGTGTGTACGCCATTAATTGTGTTGTTTGGCTGAAAGCTGCCATAAGCCACTTGCAATATCTGCATACGCCAAGCGATCTTGCAAGTCTGTCGGCCAGATGCCTCGAGCGCAGTTTGTCAATTCTGAAAAAAAGGCACTTTTAACCGCAAATCGTCCAACTTCTATAGTCGAGGTAAATCCTTACCGAGCGCAAAAAAGGAATGCCGTTCTCGCTAGCTTTGCGAGACGCCTTTTTGTTAACAACGCTCGTGCGGCACATCTGCACCGTTGAATAAAGACGTCTGGTTCAGCCTGCTCATAGGCTGGAGAGGTGTACAATTTACTGTATTCTGCATTGAGGACAAAACCTTTTTCAGAGATGCCCTGACCCGGATCTCGCTTAATCACCACGCGACTCGTCTGCCGAGGGGCTCCTAACAGAAAGTATAATTCTTACTCCTGCGGGACCCTGGACCCCTCAAAATTTTTCAACCTCGCTATCGCATCTGGAAAAACGCCAGGCTACACCAGACTTCAAACAATGCAGACGCGTCTCGGTACCTGACTACAATGGTATCCTCCTCTGGTCTGTGCTTAGCCGCCGCAGCACACGGCTCTGGACCTGAGGTAATTTGCCGTAATCAGAACAATATGCTGGGCGCCTCTACGCTAGTTGCACAAAACTTGGATTTTGGAGGGTGGCACGAACCCGGGGAAATACCGTTTGAAACTCTTTGTGGCGCTTCTCCTTTTCTTCTTTTCTTTTCTATTCGTGCCATACGTTGAAAAAGCCCACCTCTCTACGGACAAGCGCATGTGCCGAGGACCCACACAGTCGCTAATTAAAATAACCGGTGGCTTATCTCCCGCCGTTCCCTTTGCATAAAAGCCCTACCTGCCCAACGTTTTTGAAAATGGCCAAAATGTCTGCCTTGCTTATGCTCCCTGCCTCAGGGCAACAGCGTTTGCTTAAGGAAACTCCACGCAAAACGAAACATTCGAAACAAGACCTCTACGCTTTGACGAGAACCGGATCGACAAGATCGACAAGATCCAAACAATCACTTTTCTCCCTGGGAAGCGGAATCCGTGGTTCGCTGTCGGTGAAGGCCGGTCAATACGACGCCAAAAAGCTCAAGGCACTCGATGAGCAGCTAGAGACGGTTTTCGATAAAAAAGTGTGGGAATTCGACTACAAGCTCGATGTTCTCGCCAACAAAGTATGGAACCACCCGCAGAACGAGGCTATCAATCTTTACGAAACCCAAGATAAACGTTTCGTCAACCCCAAAAGCATCGCCATCCTTCGATACACCTATTTTGAAAAATTCGAAGACTCGTACGACTCCATCAGCCAACATCTCAATCTGCTGCCGAAGCCGGCGTACTGGTCCAAGGTGTGGGACTACGATGCGTACAACCACTGCCATCTTTTTGGCGCATCTTGCAAAAAAAATCTTCTAGTGGTTGACCAAGCACTTGTCAAGAAAAATATGAAGGACAGAAGAACTGCGTACCATGCTCTCAAAGATGGAGTCAAGGTAGACACGTACGACGACGAGCCCGATCGTGAGACCAGTATCCAGAAATTATGGCACACCTCGGCATTCTGGGACAATGTCTTCTACGACGCCCGTTCTGCATCACACACAGAAGACTACAACGAATGGCTACCTCCGGTGGACCTCGTGCAACGCTTCTTCATTACTCTCACCGACTACGCTCTTTACAACCTCCATGTGCTAGATTGCAAAGTGGACGACCAAGCCAAACAGGATTTGAGCGATAGCGAAGAAGGCACTCTTTCTAGGCAGTACTTCTACTATTATAACGACCTGGATTACGCCTATTTCGAAATGCTTGCTAAGGTATTCCGAGACACCTTCATGCTGCTGATCCGAGCTTATTTCCCCGAAGAGGATGTAACGGCCAAAATAGACCAGGTGATAAAAGTGCTTGTTGAAACGATCTGCAGCAATCTTCAGATAAACTACTTTGGCGGGGACGGGGTGAACGATGTTTTGGATGTGTGGCACGACTTCCTAATGATGGCGCTACAACGGCTAGTTATCGCAAATGTCCAGGATCAGCCGGACGAGGCGCCCAGCAAGGAAGAACCGTTAGCGAAGCCTCCTGCAGAAGAGCCGGTTAAGCCAAAGAAGGCTGATAAGAACGTTTCGAGTAAGAGGAGGCATGGGTTTTTCTCTCGGCTTCGTAAGTAGGATTACTTAATGTCTTGTTTATGTTATTGCGATTTTTTGAAGCACTTGCTCTTTTGAGCGGCTGCGTCGCACCATCCTGTACAAGTGTGGTACTCTATTTACATTTCCGCACTGCTGAGTAAATTACTCGCATGAACGCCTTCCAAGGCATTCTGGAACAACAATGTAGAGACGACGACTGAAATTCCGAATCGGAGTAGACGGAATAAAAAATAAATCGGTACAGCCCTTAAAGGCCTTGAAATCCCGAGGAATCCCCTGTCTTGAACCCTGATCTGCTCGCAATCGCACTTTTTTTTTTCGGTAACCTTTCAGCGCCCTGCATCTATTTTAAGCAAGATACCTGAAGCCACTCCTCTGCTTATATATGCCCGATTTCCTTTCTGTCATCCTTCAGCTTTGTTTTCTTCCTCGTCACAGACTCATTTGTCGTAATGCTTCCCAACGCACAAAACGACCACCAGTTGATGTCTGAGCATGCTTATTACGACCGCTCGGACGCTTCTGGTAGCATTGTCCTGCCCCAGTACCATGGCCCACTTCTCTTGGGAGCCGTCGCTATCAGCGTCCTAATTGCCAAGTTTGCCCTTGCCGTGTTCAAAAAGAGATCGGCAAAGCCATCACCAAAGACTATGACCGATCAAATGGTCTAATTCCACTAATTTCGATTCGGGTACCCTAATATATTCACATTCTTCCAATCGATGCCGTCCCCTGAGAATTGGCATCGTCATGCACTACCCACGTTACAATGGCATATTTTCCTTCGTCTCGAGCCGGCCGCTCGAGCTTACTTTTAGCATACCACTACTTCATTGCATCGACAAATCTTGTCTAATAAACACTCATCTGTTCTAGTTTCTGTAGCTTGCCTTTTTCTGTTTTTGTGAGGCTTCGGCCGTGCGAAGCTGGCCGGTTTGCACATGGCCTCGCTGTATTGCACATTTGCCCAATAAAGTTACACAAAGCAAGGGTTTGCGGCCATTGCTCCCAAGAAGGAATTATGCCATTTTATCGATCATAGAAAGCTCCAAGTCCCATAAGTTCCAATCGTACCAAATAAGCGGTGGGAAGATCGTACACAAATGCCAGAGTGCATGAGAATCTATAAGGTGAGCAATTGGAGCAAAATCAAAGAGTTCGAGTGAAACGGACGTTGTAAGGTAAACATTAAGCACAACGGGAATTAAGGGTATGAGCCTTGACCGTACTTTACAAAAGGGGCCGAGCTTTTGCTGTATTTTCGATTCGTACGGCGAAAGCTGAATCGAGTTGAAAACCTGACCATCGTAGCGTCTGTAAACTCTGAGCGAGTGAGCCACCCACATTGCCAGAGCACTTAGTCCAATGACGACATTGTATTTCATGTTGTACTGGTAGTCCCATCTGCGTGCGAGCTTGAGGTAATGGCAAAGAAGTACGAAGAGCAAACCCGACTGATATAGTTGCCTTTTCCTCTGGTTCTCGGCCCTGAACAACTCAAAATAACGTATGCTGATGGCATTGAAGTTCGCCATTATGATTGCTCCAGCGCCCAAGTAATCTAGTGTTTCTGTAAGGGGGATGTCCCTTGTGTGGAAGATAGTACTGAGAAGCCAGCCGACAACAGAAACGGCTAGAAGGAGCCAATACTGAAACAACATGACCCCACGGGCCTGGCTGTTCTTGCCTTGGCCAAGACCACGGATCAATTTGCTGAATTTCACCAAGTTGATCAAGTTGGCATAGAGGTTCCCGATGGAGAAGAGCACCGAGAACACCTCTGTGATTCCTAACCACCTGTCAAACGGCCACTTGCCGTGGAACTGTACAATTGGTAGCAGCTGTGCCTCTCTGATGTTAGACACGTGGCTTCTGCATTTGTAGTCACAATCCAGCGGGCAGGACCATAGAAGTAGGTATCTCGACACGATGTTGATGTCGTACTGGGGTAGATATGGCAAGTTTGCGTAGCACAGTGTTTCGATGCATTGGGAGGTGCATTCCTTATACTGCGGGAGACGATCACCCACCGATGCTAGCACACATGTTGACCATAGGGCTAGCAGGAGGACTAGCATAACTGGGGTGGTTGATATGGTGGTACGCGCACACTGGTAGTAGGCACAGCATACTTGGGTGAAGCAGTGAAAAAAAGTGGATCAGACGGGGGACCAGAAAATTATCGAATTTGAACAAATGGCAATGGACAGATTCCTTCTAGATCACTGGAAGACCCAAAATCCAGATGCTGGTGGGAGGCGATGGTTAGGAGTGGGTGGTATGGAGACCAGGCAACTCAACAAAATACTCCACCCACCTGATGCAAAGAGCTCATAACGTGGGTGGTTCGTAAGTCAGACGCCCGCTTTCAGCAAAGCTCTATGAGGAGCCACCAGTCACAAAGCCCTGACGACGTGGGCCCTCGCCGTATACCCCACGTCATTGTTTGATAAGGCGGTAGCCCCGTGTGCTCTGCAGATCGAACAATAAACTTCCACGTCGGCTGCAGCTTGTTACGGCTGATATGAAACAGCAAGATTGTGGAATTCGTGGTACAGCATGGACTTTTTGGGGTACGCTGTGAGGTGGAATTTAGCGGGCTAAGCCGCCGGCTAATTTCAGGTATTTTGCAGAGTTGCTCGGAGGTGCCGTTCCGACCGAAACGGTGAGTTTTCTAGTTTCAGAGGGCAGTTCTTTTGCCGAAAAGCCGTCCTTCAATTGAAAAGACCCAACCACAGGCAGAAATTCCCCAATTGGACAGCTCCCGAAACGAGCCGCTGGAGGCCGTTCTGGCTGGCCGTTGGCACGTGACAGGTCACCTGGCTGGGGCTCAATTGACGGCTTCGGACCTGCAAAAGTTAGCTCATGGGGTGCTTCCGATAAGCCCCACCTGCCACCTGGGCCAAGCAGCAAGTGTGACCCGCCATTATCGTATCTGCTTCTGGAAAGCTTCGATACCAAAGGGTCACTTGGCGCAACGGCCGACGACTTCTGGCCCGGCGGTTAAAGAAGCTTCGCTGAGATCATGCAACAGCGAGGTCCTCTTTCCTTTTGCAAGCAAGCAACAACACGGCTAGAACCTAGGCCATGTCTACGAATCGCTGCATAAGTGAACATGGCAAAATAAACCAGCGGAAAATGGGGCCTGCAAAAATAGCAGAGTTTTTCGTTGTTGTTGAGGACTTCCGTGAATCTGAGACCAAAGGAGAGCCTGAAATGGCGAAGGATATGCGGTGTGCAGATGCCGTTCCACTATAGAGCTCAAGTGCAGGTTGCGTGGACGGTCGCCGCAGCTAACAAGGCCAAAAATGCTGGGAGTTGTCCTGCGGGCCTGCATGCGGCGCCTTGTTTTTCGCCTCTCCTGGTTGGATTTTTTTTTTTTTCCCGCATTTTTCTCTCGGTTTTCTATCTTTTTTCTATGAGACTTTACATTTGAGTAGAGTGTGATTCGTCAAAAAGCACCGCTCAAATCGCCTCACACTTACACATACACAAATAAAGAAGAAAAAAAAAAAAAAAAAAATGGAGACCAGCTTTCCAAGATTATCGGAACAATGCCAACCCGTTTCACCAAAAAAAAAAAAAAAAAGTTTCCCAACCCTCTCCATCCCCTCTTCTCTCTACCACTCCTCGTGGGCATCACTAATCTCATCCACATTGCGCTGAAATTCCCTCCTTCCCTTGCCTCCTTTTCTCTTGGAGACTCTCACCGTATGTGCGGACACCCAGACGCCGCAGTGGCACCGAACGTGCGTCGGATGCGAGACCGTTGAAGCGGCATTTTGGGTGGTGCTTTTCCATCAAGATCCCGTTTGGTGGCAAATCGAAGTAAGGATCTTGTCTACCGCAGGAGTAGCCCCCACTGAGGGGACTCCTCTCCATTGCTGCTCATTTCACTTTTCTTTCTTCTCACCTATCCATCATCGACCTGCAAGAATCCTGCACAGCACAAAGCAATTATGCGGCGTCTGCGGCGCGATTAAATTTTTTTTTTTTTTTTTTTTTCATTCCCTTTTTCCAGAGGCAAGGACATATTTATATTCGAGCTGAATTCCCCTCCCTTTGGGATCCTCAATTTTTGTGTTTTCACCCAGATTACTTTCTTCCCAGGACTGGCTCCCTTACAGCTGATACCAACAGCTCATAAATTTACCACACGCATTGCCTGAAAGCTCAACGCTTATTTCACGCCTTCAATTCGTTTCACTTCCTCAGCTACAACCAATTCTGCTTTGATGACCCGTAAGTCTTGTCGCGTTCGTACTCCTACCTTAAAGGCAAAGGAGGTCCTCCTGGACAACACTAACAAAGCAGCACATGTCGATGCCGTTTCCCGGAAACGAAAATCGGAGCCGCTCAATGAGCTGCACTTACAACAGACAACAGCGAAAAAGTCAAAGTCTATGACCCAGCTCCTGGCTGAAGACGACAAGATTGACCCCGTTGAGAAGCTCTTGTGCTTGACTAACCTCAACAACGATATCTTGTTTGACTTGGATGCCGAGGAATCTGCATCCGAGCCCTCTTCCCCAAGGTCTCTCACTTCGTCATCATCCGTCTCTTCGGACGCTTCTGCATCATATGAGTATGAAGATTCTCCTTTGAACTCGCCATACCCCAACATGGAGTTGGATTTTTCAAAGGTCATCACTGACAATTTGCGCTCATACTACCTCTCTGCGTACAAGAGCCCAATTGAGATTCACAACGACAACTCAAGCTTCTCCATACTCAACAAGAAGTCCCAGCATGCAAGCAGCGAAGCTGCCTTGCCCCAAAAAGCCAGAGAGGTGCCATTTTTCAAGAATGTCAACTTCAACCAACCCAAACTTGGCAATTCTATTGAAGATTATCTTTTCTACGATGATGATGAAGCTACAAATTCTCCCACAGACCTGGAGCACGAGGAATTGCCTCCTACCAGCGCCACTTTCATGCCACAGCTTCCCAATGTGTCATTTTACAGGCGTGATGACAAGTTGAACTTGTCATTGAGCGACCAAAAAGCTTGGGCAGAGCCAGAAGACATGTCTAAAATATTGAGCCCAAGCTCTGTTATGACAGGCAAGGCTAGCGAGATGGTGGGTACCTCGAGACTCATGATTAACGACTTTTTCTTGTAATTATAATACTGACCGGGCCTTCCGGATATGCTTCATTTCTCGACTTTACTTCATTTTGGTTAAGGTGTTACAAGTGTATATATATAATTTGACTAACAGAATACATTTCTATAGTTGTAGATGCTGCTCTCAAACTGACGAGCGATATAACCGGTACCCTCGGAAGTCACGTGGACCTGAGCCCCATACCTCTCGGTTACGTTACTGTCCTTTGCTCGCCCTCGGAAGTCTCATACTGATTCCCCATACTTACGTATACCATATCTTCCTTCCATCATCACAGGGTACGGCAATGTACCTTCTAGATCTCATATATGCCTATCTATTGGGAGGCGTGACATTCATTCCGTTGCTTATATTGGCATTTCTATATCTCCACCCAAAGAGTCCGCAGGATAACGAAGAAGAAGGTCTCAAAGCCGGGGAGTTAGAAGAGCAATGCCTGACCGGCTTAGATGCCTACAAACAAGGATGGATTATCGTCACTCATGAGTTTTTGGAGTCTCCGGATCACATAAGCTCCTCGACCCAACTGGTTGCCGACTCTCAGGAAGGAAAGCTGGCCTATTCCTCACTATACAAGTTTGTCAAGAATTCGGGGCAAAAACGAAGGACCCCAATGGGGAGATCTCGTCGGTAAGTGAATCAGATGCTGCCTCGATCACGCAAGCCCCAACCGTTGGTACTCCTACCAAAGGTGGCAATAAGAAACATCGGTACTATGCTGTGCTTAAGCATGGGAACCTCTTCTTGTACCGAGACGAAAGGCTCAAAGACGTCAAGCATGTAATTGTCCTTCTGAATTTTTTCGTCTCAATATGGCCAAGGAATATCACCGAGGGTCAGTTGTTCACCAAGTATTCTTCAATTGCCTTGTTGCGTAAGGACTGGAAGCGAAAGAGAAGACTTTCGGACAACACAACTACTATGGATGACCTTGACTGGGAAGATTCCGAACAAATTACTCTACAGGATGTTTTGAACAAAAAATCTAACCTTCCTGCTCCACCAGGATCTTTTTTCATATACACCGACTTCAATATCGAGAAAGAAGACTGGTATTTCACATTGATCAAAGCCTCCAAAACAGGGTCCGATACCCCTCCAGCTCTTGATCCCAGCATTCAGGCAAAAACGCTTCACTTTGAAACTCGTCACATGGTGGGCTTGATTCAGACCCTTTACAGTGCCGAGGGTCAATTGCATACGAAGTGGTTTAATGCCGTAATAAACCGTCTATTCCTTTCGCTTCAGCATACTGATGCCATGCACAATTACCTCGTTTCCAAGATCGAGAAAAAGCTTAACAAGATGAAAACTCCTGGGTTTCTTGACAAATTCCAGATCACAAAGGTAAGAGCAGGACATGGTGCTCCGTTCATTACCTTCCCAGTCCTTAAAGAGATCAATCCCGAAGGTGATCTTCTCGTTTCGTTGTATGTTCATTACTTCGGTGAGATGTCCGTCCAGTTGGCTACAAAGGTGAACATCAATTTGGGCTCTCGGTTCAAACCTAGAGAAGTTGATGTCCTCCTTTCCATGACACTTGAGAAATTGCAAGGTCCTATGCTTGTGAAGATCAAGCCACCGCCATCAGCCAGAATGTGGTACACGTTTGAAACTGAACCAGCCATGAATATTAAAATCGAGCCAGTCATTAGCTCGAGGCAAATGTCGTATAACATCATCACGAATTCTATTGAAAAGAAGCTTAAGGAATCTGTCAAGACCTCCATTGTGCTTCCACATTGGGACGACTTCACATTCTATAACACAGAAAATGAATTGGTGAGAGGAGGTGTGTGGGACAAAGATTTCCGAAGAGAACGCACTGAGCAGACTGCAAGCGAGGAGAAGAAGGCACTGAGCTCACCACAATCTGGATCATTAAGTCCTTCACGTGCCGAGGTCGAGCTGACAACTTCAGCGCTGGGGGTTTCGTTTACTTCTTCTACAAACCCTGAGGTCGACGAATCACTAGCAGTCAAAGCAGATCTCACTAATGAAACTCCTGTTCAACTCAATCTGACCAAAACACGGTTATCTTCCACAATCAATGACTTATCTAAGAGATTAAGGAAGGCAAAGTCTACCCACACGCTTGGTGTTGATGAAACAAACTGCCTCTCAGATGGCTCATTGATGGAGCCGTCCGCTTCGGACACTCCAAGTGTAAACGGGTTGACCCTCGATGAACAAGAAGAGCATCTAACAACTGACCTGAAAAGCAATACTCTTCGCAAACTTGGAAAGTGGTACTACAAAGACGACAAAAATGGCGACAACAAGCAATCAAACTATCAACGTCCCGAAATGATTACCAACCGTCGACCAAACAGGAAGCAGTCATCTGCGAGTCAAATATCCGACACTGAGAAGACTGCTACAGAGGTGCAGAGCTCGCCCCCTGGTGGTGGTTTTTCATACGATTTTGGTTCAGAAGTACCCGAAAAAATCTTGGGCCACAAGTCTGTTCCCTCGCCAGGTAGGGCAACGATCAGTAACCCATCAATTGGTAATGTTGAAGCTACGAGCGATGTTAAAGAGCGTTCGACTAGCACTCTAGAGCCCGAAATTTCATCGATACTGGTTCCCAAGGATACTGATTTTGCATCCACTGTGTCGAGGACCAAGTCTACCCTACATCGCAAACCTCCACCTGAGGACCCCGTCCTTGAGGCCTCTCTTTAACCTCCAATTATAGCAATATATATATATATATACATGGTTTCTTCTCATCAAACGTATGGTGCCCATCCACCATACATTTGAGCTAAGTTCTCCTTCGAAGTGGCTTCCTGTATCAATACGTCAACTTGTCCATGAATATTCATGGGCAACCCCTCCTTCTCGTCAAGAAGACCACGAATTTTTCTTCTCACTTTTCTCAAGTGATCTTGTGGGTTTTCTTGAGTCTTCCAATCCAACAAAGGGTCATAGATCAAAGTCTCAAGGATATTCATCAAAGAAGCCTCGTTCTCTCTCAAAATTTGTCCAGTGACTTCACTAGTGATTCTGAACGTTCCTTCAATTCCTGTAATTCCCATCGCATCAACCATATTCTGAGTCAATCTAAATGGCACTATCTCTGGAGTGGGTAGGGTAAGACCTTTTTCGAAGAGACAGTCAAAATCGATATGAAGCGCAGCGCCATTTCTTTTGAAAAATAGAAGATTCTCACAGTGACGGTCTCCCAAACCAATAATGTATCCGACAATGGACATCACAGCCGCTGTTCTAGTGTAGGCCTTACGAGCAAGGTACCAGAAAGCTGGATCTGAAAACTGATCGATAAACCACTGGTGAAGCACTGGAGGGAATTCATCACAAATCTTCTCAAAAAGGCCTACTAAAGCGGTCATGGCATTTTCGTCTGTCGCATAATTCGCTTTGACAAGCTTCTGTGCTTCATCAAGTTTCATAAATATCTTTCGATCGTGAGGAACTTTTCCATGCTTCTTTTGCTGCTCATGAATAACTGATTTCATCGTTTGGACATCTTGAACAAATTCAATAACTCCCATGTCCTCGGCCAAGGGTATAACCGAATAGTTCTCAATCACTAAATTTCTTTTTCTGGCAACGTTATTCAACGACAAAAGCCTATTGATCATGTTGGAGAATTCAAATACCTTTGCATCTTTGCGCGTATCGTCCCTCTTCAACATGAGTCTGTAAGCTTTATAATCCGTACCTCTTATTGTAATCTGCTTGGGCATTTGTAAAGAGTGAAAGATGTTGACCTCTTCATCAAAACCATCAAACGTAATTGAGGATGACTTTGGGAATGCAGATCCTGGTTTGCTTGTATGACGTGTTGCCGGAAGCTTGATCTCCAAATTGGTTTTAACAGGAATGACTAACGAGTCATACTTTTTATGTAAATCAGTTACTCCAAAATCTTCCGTCAAGAGCCACCGCTTCTTCTGGGATTTCTTAACTTTTTTGGCAGCGACACTTTCCAATGTTTCAAACAAACTTTTTGCACTCACAATAGTTTCGGCTAGCAGCTTGGTCGCTTTTGAAGTGTTGAGAACCTTCAAAACACGCTGCCGTCTTACAGCATCTTTCGATTTAACATGCGACAATACATACCATAAACTGTGTTTTGGATATGCTGCGATCAAAGACTCAATGATACTTTGCATGAGGTCGACACTTGGCTGATGCTGATGAGTGATTCTCGAAAGTATTTGTGTGATGGATGTATACCACACATAAATTGGAATCGTATTTTTATAGGTGTTGATGTCATGAACAATTTGGTTGAGTTTTCTCTCGGCATCTCTAGCCTTATTGGTTCGTTGAGCAAAATCAAGCCAGACTGTAATGAACTTGGGAAGGGCTTCAAAGATGTAGGAAGGGCCCAATGCCAATGCTTTCAAAAAGTATCTGATGATTTGTTGTTCGAAATACCCGGAAGTGTCATTTTGGGATTCCATCAACTTACTATGATATCTTCCAAGGTCATAGTAGGGCTTTTCCCACGAAGGATCTAACTTGTAGGCCTTGGAATACTCGGCAATGATCTTTGATGACGAGGAGTGACTCGATTCGTCGAGCCAAATTGCATATTGCAACTGATTTCTTGCTTGTCTCTCTGGTTTTTGTGACTTTTGAAAGGCAAGGTTATCCGACAACGTTTTGATAGCCTCGGTTTGTTTGCCCTGATCCCATAAAAGGTTCGCATATTCAATATTCGCCTCACTATCATCAAGAGTCATTGCGTTCATGATACACTTGGTGGCAAGGTCTAACCTATCACTTCGACGGGCAATCCGAGAGCAATCCAATAGGATGTCTGACACTTTGTCCAAGTTTCCAGTCACGACCGTCACTGCTTTCCTCATAGATAGAACAGTCCACTGGCTATCGAAGGATAAGTCAGTATTGCTCATCCGTTCCTTTAATATCTGTTCAGCACTCGAGTCGGTAGGGCTACCGTTATTAAGGACAATTGCTGAGGTGTCGTATAGTATGTGAAGCTGCAACATGAATGTCGAATTCCTTGAGAACGATGACGATCTAGACAGCGAAAGCGACTGGCCCAATAAAGAATATATCTCCTCGATCGATGATTCAAAGCTAGTGATTTCACCCCGTTCCAACGCAAGAAGTGCTGATGCAAATTTTGAATGGAAAACATCTTCCACGTCAGAGCCACTTCCGATAATTCTGGTGAGCTTCAGCCACTTTTTCATCTCTTCCGTGTTTGCAATGGCAGTTGCAGCTTCAAGACCAACCATTCCCCAAGGTGGTGGAAGTTGACTGATCCTCTTCACCTTCGAGTTCAAACGCTGAATCACTTGGTCATAAAGTCCGTGACTTGCCAAAGACTTAAGTAGCTTTGTATTACACTCAATGCGATCGTCATAACCACCGATAGTGCTGAGGACCTCGAATGACTCTTGCGCAATTGCCCAATTTTCATTATACTGAAATGTGTCTAGCTTCTCTGCCAAGTTATTAGTGGAGAACTTCTTTAACACACCGTCTAAGGCATCGTAATCGTCAATGTTTGAGTAAACGGATTGCAAAGTTGAAGTGATGCTAAGGTTATCGAGCCGATTATTGGTCTTGACCTTGCCTTCTCGAGAACATTTTTCGAGATAAAGAATGGTTCTCTCATAGGAATCACATTCAGAAGATGTGAGCGCTATGAGTTCCATTGGAATTTCATTAAGTAAGCTCTCGACATGTTCACGACTCTTTTTTAGGATGGATGCATCAGCCTTTGGAAGCGTTGAATCACTTAACTTATGCGTTGCAGAAGAAACCCATTCATTGAAATAATCAATGATTTCGAAGACAGCTTGATAACATGCCTTGAGTTCTTCCATCCTTTCTGTTGTCAAATTTTGACCGACACCGAGTTTGAGTATTGTGAGGATTTCATCAAGAATATCTTTTCTCGCTTGTTGTTCGCCATTGACTATGTGACTTAATGCAACGTACTTCAACAAGTATTGAGCGATGGAAATTTCGTCATCCCTGATGAGCAATGAGCAGGTTTGAAAAATGACAGTCTTGGCCAACATCATCTTTCCGTGCTGCTTGAGGCTATTGTGAAGTGGCCTTCTCAAAAGATTCGTGGTAAAGTCAACGAGCCATTTGTCGTGTTTCATACCGAGCTTGAAGTATGGAAATGCTAGTGGCTCATACCGAGGTTCTGGAGCAAAATATTTTGATGAAAGCAAAGGTGTCAAAGTTGATTTATCAATTTCAGAAAATGAATTCCAAACTTCCGCTCTAATACCCAGGTTAGAGGAATCCAAGACAGAGGTGTCTAAACCCATCACATTCAAGAATCTTTGCATCGAGTAGGCGGAGAACAATTGTCTGATCGGATCGTTTGATGCCCAAAAATTTTTGATAACTCGGGATCGGATAAAATCACTCAAAAACTCCGCGTTCTCTTTATAATCCTGAAAATCGTAAAGTATGACAATTCTTGAATCGATCGTCTTGAAATTGAACCTATTCGCGTCCAAAGCACCGATGCTTGCTAATACTTTTGCGCATTTGCTGGGAATCAGAGGGTTCTTGTTCTTGAATTGCACTGAGACATCAAGAAGTGTTCTGACTAAAATAGAGATTGCATCCTCGCATGTAGAATCTTTGAAGTCATCTCGTTGACAGTTGAGTTGATACTTCGTGGTGAAATTGAGTAGATCATCAAGAGCTTGTTGTACAACATACTTGTTGTTTGTTTGAAGTCTTCTTGTGAACTCAGGGAAGTAACTCAATTTTGATCTTGGTTTCATCAAACTGATGAAGGTCGCATCCAAAATTAAGTATTTGTCCAAATTTTTGATGAATGGAACAGAGAAGTAGTATAGCGCATACTTCTTGTATCTATCCCGTAGCTCAAGAAACAACTTCTCAAGAATTTTCACTGCGATCTGTTTTGATTTGTGTTGCAAAGTATCAAATTTCTGGAAAATCAATGAGATTGTGATATCAAACAATGAAACAAGTCTTTCCGAATCAAGTTTTTGTACTAGTACATTCCAACATTGTATAGCTGGCACCTCAAGAGAGGAATTCTCAAGCGAGGCCTGCAAGCATGTCGAAATTTGCCCCAAAGCTGAAGCGGCAGCCTCAATGTTTCGAGTAATCAAAAAATGAATGGCATTAAGAGAGCTGACCTTTTCAAGAAATGGCTTGATGCCTTTCATGTGGTGTACATTCTCTGAGAATCGTTGAACGAGTTCGAGAACATGTTCACCCAAGATGTACCTAACATAGTCAAACTTTTGTGAGTCAGGCTTCTGATTTGATCGTTTAGCATAATTGACCTTTGCGATGTACTTGATGGCACCAAAGATTTTCGTTTCGTTGACAATTTGCCCCTGCTCGTCGAGTTGGATTTGGAGAAGAATATACCATAAAACTTCTCCAATATTCGGGATCAAATCAGTTATTGAAAGATGTTGATACCGTGGACTTGCATTGCTCAAAACATTGACAATGTATTCTGAATTGATGACTTCGTCTTTGCAAAGGTAGGTTGCCATGATCCTTGGAAGTGTTTTGGCAACCAATTTTGTCTTATCCATGTTGCAGGCATCAGCAATTTCTTGTACAAAATCATACTTGTAGTATTCAAGAAGTCGTGGAGTTGTATAGTCTCTTGTTTGGTTTAAAAAGAACCTTTTGGATATTCCTAATATTCCAGTAATTCTCGAAAACATTCTAGGCTTTTTCACAATTCTCTCGGCGATACTCGGTAAGTATGGAGAAAGAAGCTTATAGGGAGTCAAGGATTTCGCCGTTGCGACGTAAAGAAGTGAGTTGTAAGCGAGATTGACGTGTTGCTCATTTACTTCACCAAAACAGTCAATCATCTTGATGAAGATGACACATAACCATTCACCCTCACAGACGATGGCCAACTCACTGAGCGCCATTAAGGTAGATTCTGCAAGGTGGATGTGATGGCGGTCGCTGAATTTAATCCTAGATAGCGCCAGAAAAGTGATTTTAAAAACTTTTTCCAGGAAGTCATCTTGACGGTGTATTAAGTAAAGCGGAAGAACCCTCGCAGCAATAAGACGAGCTTCACGACAGGGACTTGTGGTGACGCATTCAAGGAGGAATATGTGGCATGGCTCTTGCTCGATGTCTTTCGTCAATGGTTTGAATAACGCGAAGAGGTCAAACAAGATAAGTAAAAAACCCACAAGCAAGGAAGAATCCTCCATGATCGCCTTTCTTTCGATGTCGAGAAGTAAGTCGCAAATGATTTCTCGATAAATGATATCAACATTTAACACATCCGCGAGTGAAGGTCGATCTGGCGAAATATCGCTGTATAGGTTTCGGGAACAAAGCTTCGTAAAGGCAATCGATTCACAATTCTTGTAGCTGAAATTTTCAGAAAGAATCGCAAAAGCTTTTCCAAGAGCATTGATGAAGGTAAGCAATGATGAATTTTCACTTAATGGCAGCCTCTCAGACTGAATTTTCGTCATTTGAGCGAGTGATGTAACGTAATCGAGCCAATGCTTCATATTAGGTTGACTATCTTGGCTGTGTGATTGGAGATATCTTTTGAAAGACGTTTGTGGATCTGTAATGAAGTAGAGAGCTTTATTTATATCAGCTCGGTCTTCATCTAGGATCTGTGTTCTAAGGTTGTCGAGCTCGGCGTCGACAAATGGAAGGGATGCTAGAAGCGCTGCGTTCGGCGGAAGTGGCACTTGAGTGATGACTGACTGTTGATGCAAAAGCAAATGGGACATCTTCTTTATCGACGGTGGGAATCGGGAAGCTGATAATATTTCCTCGATATTGTTCACCGTGTGCTGCTCTTCGAAGACGGTAATATCAAAGGTGCTGAAAAAGTTATGGAGTAAGCTTTTCCGACGGCAAAAGACGTAAATCCTCATGACAGATGAGCACAAGGCCTTGTTGAAATGCTTAAATTGGAACGCTATCTTTCCGTTCTTTCTAAAACTTTCAAGATGCTTGTGGATCCAGGTCATAAGGAAGGTAACTTGTGACCATTTAAGGCTCTCATCCAATAGAAGGTTACTTGTTATGCCCAATAGTAGTACACTTTTGAGATTATCAGCCAAAGGAATAAGGTCATCGTCTTTGTCATGGAAATTGAGTGCATCAAGCACAAAACATACGCGTTTCGTGAATCCTTCAAGCTCAAGTTTGGTCGCGTTGGATGTGAGTAGAAGCTTTCGTTGGACGTCATAGTCGTTAACTATACTTAACAAATGCACAGTAGCGTTCAAAGTGTTTATCTGACTCCTCAATAGGTTTACTCCATTGAAGAGCGTGGAGACATTTTCCTTGAGAATCCGCATCAAGGCCACTTGAACTTGTCTGGCGTATTTGAACCCATTAACATGAACAGTGACACTGTTGATGAGGCCGATAAGAAGCAGCTTTATTATGTTCGTGACATCCATATTGTTTGAGAATTGCAGTAGCCAGCTCATGGAAAAATGTATGCCCCATTCGTAGACATTCTGAATACCGAAGGGAACAGGTACCGTCTTGGTATCTAGGAGAACCAGTGATACTTCATCTGGTGTGATTTCAGCATTGAGTAGGTGCTTCTTTTTGGAGAGTACCAATGCAATGGTGTCCACTAGCCTTAGCAGTAGGTTCATCGTGTGAGATGGGCCACCAGAGGTCTTCTCTGACCGTAGAGCCTCTAACTTGGCATTCGCAAAGCCATAGAGGTATAGTAGGAGTTTTTTAAAATCGGTATCCTCATCGGATGTCACATTTTTTTTCACGTCGTCTAGGAATAACGTCAACTCCTCGGGCGTTGTTCGTAGATATGCATTTGTCATTGTAGTATCGCCTATCGCGGTAGGATGATGATTGTTTGATGCGAGCGCACTATCAACATCCATACAAACCATACGTTGCTACAGGGAAGCATTCATCATTGCTCATCATTTCTATTTACATTAACTCTCGTAGTTGATGGGTCTCTTGAAAAGTAGTATATGTGGCTCTGGCGCGTGTGTCTCGTAGTGCATCCATCCTAAGGACTGGGTAATGCCCAATCCTCGCCACTCTTCCTCCAACAAGATCCTCAATGTTCCTGTTTCTGGGTTGAAGTAGTCCTGTGGGATAACCTTCAACATGTCCTTGGGCAACATTACATGTCGATATTCGTTCGAGTCGTCGCTATATCTAGGACTGTAGTGAATCATGTCCAGAAATTCGAGCACTTTGGCTCTCTCCGCGTCCGTCAAGTATCTTGGCCTGCTCATAATGTAGGTGAACCGAGATAGTTAGCAATTGAGGCGTGTTGGTATTGGGTAATAAAGAATAGGCAAGTTCGGCTACAGCCAGACTCTCCCTCTCGGAGGAAAAAAAGGTCTGAAGAACGCTCTTATGTCACGTGACCGCGATCGCGTCTCCCTCATCCAGAGATCCCTCAGGCACATTACCAATCGAGGGAAGGTTGTTTGGGTCCAGACCATGACTAGAGTTGGGGCTGTTGTTACCGAAAAAAGTAAACTTCAAGAAAAGAGCTTTTCATTTTTCATTCCGACCTTACCTCTTGCCACATCAATTTCCAAAAAGGTGTCGCATGTGTATCTACAATCGTTGACGGAATTTGAACCGCTTCATGAGACGTCATTCCTAATCAACCTCCCCTTGAACACCCCTCCGGAAAGATTCCTCGAGACGATATCCCAACTTGATGCCACATTCGTAGTTGCAGTGCCTGTAGTCGAGGATTGGCATTTTTGGACCTTACTACGGCGTTTTCAGAGTCTGTTTGACTATGTCTTGATCCAGACGACTCAGATAGAGCCCAACTGGATACAGCGTTATATGTGTCTCAGATATCTGGCAGTTGTGGCTAATGAACACTGCGAGCAGTTGGCCATGAAAGGACATGAACCAGACCTACTTCTTTTTCCTGAAAATCTTGATCCTGAGAATGTCGAAAAGACGAAAGAATTAGCAAGAAACATCTCCAGTCAATTGAGGCAGCAAAAATGTTTGAATTATTTCATCGACCCTCTACAGCCCTTGACACAGGAAATGCTGCTCGAGGTATATGAAACTTTCGAGAGAGATACATCAAAATACGAAGCTTATGACGAGGCAATTGACTTAGCTTTTGCGGACTTGATGCACCAAACGTCTAATCGTCCCACAATCTTAGTTGTTGGACCTGGTCGGGGTCCTCTTCTTGCGATGGCTGCAAAATATAGGGATAAAGCCAGTGTTATTGCCGTCGAGAGAAACACCAAATGTATTTCCAAACTAAAATCAGACAATTCCAAGCTCTGGGAAGGTAAGATTAATATTTATGAGGGTGACATTAGGTCAATCTCAAAATCCTTCGGTCACATTGACATGGTCATATCTGAATTACTAGGCTCATTCGGTTGCAATGAAGCCTGTCCTGAGGTTCTAACCGGATTTGAACGTGCCATCATGATTCCACAAACAATCACTTGTTTCCTCAGACCAATTTATTGCTCATTGGTGGATGAAAATATCAAAAGACCATACTTATTAAAATCTGATCAGGAGTTTGTTGTGGGAGCTGCTTCATCGGTTTTCCACTTTGACTTTCCTGGATCATACAGCCTTGATCAAGTATGGCTGGCTAACTTTGATTTTCTTTTCCCAGATGTTGCGAATGCACTTCAAGGGTATTTCAAAGCTGACCTATATGGGCACATCAGCATATCCAACATGTATGTGGATGCCAGTACCTATGTTTGCTCTTCCTGGTATCCGATGATATTCCCTATAAAGCCGGTTGAGTCCAGGATGGCGGTGACAATGGCGAGACGAAGTGACAATACCAAGCTTTGGTACGAATGGTCGGTCGATGGGGATATCCATAATCAGCATGGAGATCGATATAGCATATCTTTAGCATAATCAATAATTTATAGCGTGTCTCGGTTCATCTCTTCTTTGATGAGGCTTTTCTTCATATCGCCTTCTGTGTTTGTGTCTATCAGTCTCCTTATCACGGTGTCTTCGGCTCGGTGAGCGTTCTCTGTTAGAGCTTGAACTTCTATGACGGTGTTTAGAATGTCTTTCTGATCTATCTTTGCTCTTAGTATCCGATGTACGCTTCCTCTGCTCGCGTTTGATGGCCAAGAGCGGGTCATCGGAGAGAGACAGCGAAGGAGCGGACTTTCCCACATTTGTGATTCGATCAAACGAACTCGTTGCATTGCTTTTACTTTTCTTCACCGCAACGCTTCCTTTAATCAACTGGTCCACATCGGTCAGCTTCAGAAGGAAGTCCTCTTCAACTTCACGAAAGCCAGATTCGTTCAACTTGTCTTTGTCCTTCTCTGGCCCATGCTCATACATCCAAGCAAGCTTATTTAGTTCAATCTTTTTGTCGTGGGGCATGGCATTGGGGTCATCACCGTATTGTAGTCTTATCATCTCCTCCTTCTCTCTTTCCTGCTCAATTTCCTTGGACCGTTCCTTTATTGCCTTGAGCTCTTTCAAGGCCTCTTGCTCCTTCTCCCATACTTTCTTTTGATTCTTAACAAGTGCTGGATTCCAGGACTTCTTCAAATTCAAATCTCCTGGCATCTTGAGAAGAGTATACTATGTGCGCGGCTTCTCAAATCAATGAGATAAGGTAAGGGTCTCACAGAATCTGGAATATCGCCACTCTCCAAACTCTTAATATTCCGTTTTTGTCGAGTCAAAGTCGATTTTCTACATTTTTTACGTATTTCTCTTTATTAGTCATCCGAAGATGTATTAAGATACACAACCAAAAGCAGTGACATCTTGGTAAACTCACTTAGAAACCGTGAATCTTGATGTTCTTCTTTGGCAACTGCAATTTGGTAATCAAGAACTCAGACACCTTGACTCTCTGGTCGCCTTGCATCTGGATGACCTCACCCAACTCGGAGTCCTTGACGATGTTGCCGTTACAGGCAAAGTCCTTCTTCAAAACCTTCAAAATCTTCTTCAAGTCATATTCATTAGGAACACCCTGAACGGTGGTCAAGGTCTTACGACCGTTACGCTGTTGAATACGGATATGGATGTAGTTTGTGGCTTGAGCTTCGGAATCACCAGTGTCGGCGAATGGGTCTGGGGTTAGTAGGAGCAAAAAAATAGCGCATGGGAATGAGGGTACATACCGAAAGAGTTTAAGTTTTGGATAGTAGACATAAAAGGGTGGTTGGTTCTCTGGTTGAGCTTTATTCGGTTGATGAAAATGTAAAGATAGGAATTTTTAGCTGACCTGATGAAAGTGCGACATGTCGTGCCAAAATGTCGCAGAAACCAAAGGAAATGCTGTAAGGGGGTCATATGTCGTTAGCATGACTTGAATTCCGTGACAAACAAGCTCTGGGCAATTTTGCCACCATGATTTTGCTAATGGTGATTCTTATTTTTGAAGAATCATTTGTTAGTGGTTTTTCTGATCCCCTCATAGAAATTCATGGACTGCGCATTATCAGGTCAAAGACGTAAATTCCCGAAACTCTACGCCAGTTGCCGTAAATAGTTATTCGATGAAAAACTAAAATAATTCCACAACAACTTTGAATTGATATTATCTAGACGTGTCTGCCCACACGAATAATCCTCCCCTCTTCTTTTATCATCTATCCCTGTATCAGCGGCAGATCCAACGGTTGCGAAAGATAGCAACGACCAACAGTTTTCCACTACATTCAGCGGCTCTCCTACGATGTCTTATATACCCATTCTTAAAACATGTGCCACCCTTTAATTAAATATTCTCCCTTCCATGTCACACGTCTCAGTTACCCGTTCCGCTAAATTATGTGATGCTCTTGCCGTCAGGTCGGCACGATAATGCACATCGCTAGTACGGGAAGGTACTGCAAAACCATGTGCAAATACAGCGAGGAAATATTGCAGGTTTGATCCGTCTTCCCTGCGGAGAATCACGGACGTGCTCACACCCCTCGCGTGTATTTATTGGCCGTTGCTTCGCCAGACTGTCAAAATTCCCTCTTCAGGAACTCTCCCGCAACCAGTTGCAGATTATCGCTTCCAAACTTTTTTCACCCTACCATTCACACAACGGGCGCACTGGCATTCTCTCATCGCATCTGCAGGAAACTCGACAAAAGTGAGTTCAACAAAACCGGCAAATCATCTGGTCTCCAAATCTAATTCCACTGCTGTCTGGGTTATCGTGCTGCCAACACAATTGCTTCCTTCCTTTAGAAACTCAAACCACAATAGTGCATTATGGCAAAGGATAGAAAGCAAACTACAAAGGGAAGCAAGCCTCTGGAGAAACTGAGCAGCGAGGCGACTCCACCTCCTACAGTGTACAACGACCATGAGAAGAAGAAACAAGCCCTCATCACCAGAACAATCTGGTCTCTCGTCATGCTTGGGGGCTTTCTTTTCGTTCTAGCAAGCGGCCACTTGCCCCTCATCGGCTTTGTCATCTTGTGTCAGATTCTCACATTCAAAGAGATCATTGCCTTGACGGCAGAGCCGGCCAGAGATAAGAACATCCCTTGGAACAAGTCATTGAACTGGTACTTCTTGATCTGTACCGTCTACTACTACGACGGTGAATCGGTCTTTGAATTTCTCCAGGACGAGATTCTTTCTTCCAACGCATTGTTTTTCTTCTACAAGAGTCACAAGTTCCTTGCCTACTCTCTCTACATCGCAGGCTTCATCTTCTTTGTTTTCACCTTGAAGAAGGGCTTTTACAAGTTCCAGTTTGCTCAGTTGTGTGCTACCCACATGACGTTGCTTCTAGTGGTCTTCCAGTCGCACTTGATCATTGAGAACATCCTCAACGGTATCATTTGGTTGTTGGTCCCAGCATCCCTTGTTATCGTTAATGACATCTTCGCTTACCTTTGCGGTATTACTTTCGGCAGAACTCAGTTGATTGAAATTTCTCCAAAGAAAACGGTCGAGGGTTTCCTCGGTGCATGGATTTGTACCGGTGCTGCCGCAGTGTTGGTCGCATGGTTGTTGTCCATGTCAGACTACTTGATCTGCCCAGCCACCAACTTGTCCACCACAGTGTACAATTACCCTCACTGTGAGCCAAATCCTGTTTTTATCCCCCAAATTTACCAATTGCCAGATAATGTCGCGGAGTGGGTGGGCCAGACTACCGTCACCTTCAAGCCCCTTTATTTCCATAGTGCAGTGATTGCTACTTTTGCTTCTCTCATTGCTCCATTCGGCGGCTTCTTCGCCTCGGGCTTGAAAAGAGCCTTTGGTATCAAGGATTTTGGCGACACAATCCCTGGCCATGGTGGTATCACTGATAGATTTGACTGTCAGTTCTTGATGGGTTCATTTTCCTACTTGTACTTCCAGACATTTATCTCGTCAAGCAATATTGGCTTGGGTAAAATATTGCAAATGGCCGTATTCAACTTGACCACAGCCCAGATTTTCCAGTTGACCCGGGCCTTAGTGAAGTACTTGCATACTTCCGGTCAACTCAGCGAAGAAAAATTGCAAACTGTTCTCGACTTATTGAACTGATCATCAAGCTGCACACGGAACATTTAATTCTTGGAAAGCCGATTCATATATTTACCAGAATTACTCTACTTGTCTCAACACAAAATGTGTGTAATCAAATAAAATAAAATACGAAAAGCGTAATGTCGTATCTCATCCTCTTTGCCGCAGTGGATCTGGCTGCAAATGCACTCTCAATGAATACGCTCTTCGTAACATACTACTTGCACACCACTGAAATACAAACCAAGCTATTTATATTGAAACTTCCAAATAAGTCATATAAGATTACGCTTTTGGATGTACCTCTCGGCGAAATGTTGAAGTCTTAGTCAAAGCGTATTCACTTGGCGAGAACCGTAACTCTCTTACAGTACCAAGACCCTTGAATCAGGAATTATGCCCATTTTGGTCCATTTGGAGAGCAAATCAGGAACGGGGCGTTTGCTGGCTATGACCGATTTGGGTGAGATCCAAGATCTGGTCGTGGGCTCATTTCGAAAGAAGCTGAAGGGTTTCCGGATTAGGACGCCAGCACGTTTGACAGGGAAAAACTAAGATCTGAGAAAAGGCTAATGCTGGTGCAGTACTGCACATAGACGCAAGTCGCTGGGTAAGCGGGCCAAATTAGGAAGGTGGTGCTGCAGCTTTTTCGCAGCCAAAAAAATGGCACACAGATTTATATTGATGCCATTGAGGAAGAATCAAATGATGCTGGCTCTCATGGCTGCTCCAAGCTTGAAGCCATGGGCCCAGCATGATCCGGATGACATATAAAGTCTTCGGTGCATCCCCCCTCCCATCAAAACTCACATATTTTTTCCTAACCAAAGATCTCCAACCCCATACATTCGTTTCGAAATGATCTTCATTCTTTCGTTCTTATTCTTCATCCAAAGTATAACGGGTGTGCCAGTCCCTGCCGTCATCACTCGTTGGCACACTGCCGAGGCTGTCACCTCCACCCTGCTCTACACCACTGGCACCACCACTGTGTGGTTGCCCCCTGTTGAGGTGCTTATCTCTGGTGATTGCACCACTACGTTTACTATCACTTCGGGCCAATGGGCAACTACTCCAGTCACCACCACATCTTACGCTGCTGGCCAGCAAGACGGTGATGATCAGCCAGAGCCCACCCACACTGACAATGCTCAGCCTAACAGTCCAGCTGAGACCACTACTGCTACCACCGCCGAGACCACTGCCGAGACCACTGACAACGCCCCAGAGAACACCCCAGACAACACTCCAGAGAACACTCCAGAGAACACTCCAGAGAACACTCCAGAGAACACTCCAGAGAACACTCAACAGACCCCAGAGAACACTCAACAGACCTCAGAGAGCACTCAACAGACCCCAGAGAGCACTCAACAGATCTCAGAGAGCACTCAACAGACCCCAGAGAGCACTCAACAGATCTCAGAGAGCACTTCTGCTCAGAACACCGCTACTGAGAACTCGTCTCCAACTTCTACCGCTTCTACTTCGTCTGCTGCTTCTACTTCGTCTGCTGCTCAGACTACCTCAACCAGTAACAACGATGACAACTCCCAGACTACTGCTGCTCCTTCGTCTACCTCAATTGAGGTGAGTACGTCTGCTTCCACCACTGAGTCATCACTGGCTTCTGCCTCAGGCGGTGCCAACGTTTTGTCTGTTGCTTCCCAAAGCGGATACAAGTTCTCTCTGTCGCTCAACAAGCTCAAGAGACCAGGTGCCATTGTCTACTCGCCATACACCAACGATGGCTCTTGCAAGTCTTACGCCGAGGTTCTGATTGATTTGATCTTCCTCAAGCTGATGGGCTTCTCCAAGATTAGAACTTACGGTGTTGATTGCAACATTCTCAGCGCCGTCCTTCCACTCGCTTCCAAGTTGGGCTTCACTGTTAACCAGGGCTTCTGGATTTCTAACCAAGGTGTTGACTCCATTGACGACTCTGTCACCAACTTGATCGACTACGCCAAGAAGAACGGTTGGGATGTTTTTGACTACATCACCATTGGTAACGAGGCCATTATTGAGGGCTACGACACCGTCTCCAACTTGATTTCCAAGATCAAGAGTGTCAAGAAGAAGTTGCAAAATGCTGGCTACAAGGGTAAGGTTACTACTTCCGAGCCTCCAGTAATCTACAAAAAACACCCTGAGTTGTGTACTGACTCCGACATCGACTTCGTCGGTATCAACTCCCACTCCTACTTCAACACCAACTTGCATGCTGACGAAGCTGGCAAGTATATCGCTTCTCAGCAGAAGGAAATCGCCAAGATCTGCTCTAAGAAGACGGTCATCACAGAGACAGGCTACCCATCCAAGGGTATCAAGCACGGTAACAACGTTCCTTCACTTTCAAACCAATATGCTGCTCTCAAGTCTATTGTGGATGCCACTGACGGCGACTGCACTATCTTGAGTGCTTTCAACGACTACTGGAAGAACCCTGGTCCATATGGTATTGAACAGGCTTTCGGAGTCATTGGATTCTTTTAACTTTCTACATTCGTTTATCTTCCGCTTCTACAGCGACCTTCTGCATCAAAATAACTTAGCATTTATACAATAATATGAAGAAATAAAATATTCAATGAACCCAGCCAACCTTTTATAGCCTCCTTTTCCTAAAACTCAATGATTTTCTCGGGGAAGTATTCGTCAATGAGAGCTTCATAATACTTCTGTAGCTCATCCACATCATACTGCTCATCCGTTTTCGAATACAAATCGTACTTGTTAAATGCCTTCACCGCCTCGAGCATCTCTCTGTCATGGTCATCCATCAAGTAGCTGTAAGCCATTTCCTGGTGCCAAGGGTAGAATGAGTGGTATCGAATCATGGCAAGAGCCTCTGGCGGTAGCGTGGAGTTTGCTTTAGCAATGTGGTACATGTATTCGTCGTGACCCCACGAGAGCATGACGGAATCTAGACCACAGTTCCTGGAGTAAATTCCGTATTTGGTGTTGTAAAGCGGATTAAAGAAGTCCGGGTTCTTGGAGAAGCTGTCCGGAAAAATGATCTTTTTCAGGAACTTACACCCAACGGGAAATGTATCCCCAACAACGTCCCACTGTCCCTTGGAGTCGAAGAAGTAAAGAAGCTTACCCAAGTCATGTATAAGACCAACTAACTGCATCCATCGTGGCTTACCATCCCTTCTTATGGCTTCAGCAGTCTGTAGAGCATGGTCGATTTGTGTAAGCTCAGTGTCCGGGTCGCTTTCATCGAGAAGCTTATTGAGTCTTTCTAATCCTTCCCAAACTGACATCTTCGCCCTCACTTTAGTCTTGAAGTTGATTCTCGCTTGAATGTTGTATGCTACTGTCTGCTTTTCATGTTGTTCTTCGTAGAAATCTTTCACACGAGAGCAGGCTAAATCGTATTGCCTGAAAGACTTTGTGTCAATATTCTTGTAAAACTCAGACTGCTCGAGCCAGGACTGGTCATCTTCCTCAGTGGGTTCCTTGACCTGATGATTCTTCTTGAGCTCCTTCTTGATTTTATTCACCCTGAGAACATCATCATCGAGATCTTCTAGTATTTTTCCACTTCTAGCCTTAGTCCTTGGAAACACATCATCCTTGTTTCCAACGTCTGGCTTTTTCACGGACATCAGAGGCATCAGCGTCTGAGAAGAGGTCTAGTCGTTGCGCTCATAGGTGATGTGCGCACATGAAGGACTAAGGGACTTAAGGACTACAACAAGATTTGACGTAAAAGTGGTGATTAGATATACACAGAAGAACGTTCTAATGAATGCAAGTCGAGGTTTTGCCAAACCCCAGAGGAACCCCATTGGTACCAGTGTGTGGTGTGCTGAATAGTGCGAGCGGAATGACAAGCTTAGTGGTGGGCAGGAATAGGGTTGTCGACAACCTTACCATCAAGAATCTTACCAGATGGTACCCAGCCACCAAGTTCAACATTGCGCTGCTTTTGGTAGTCGGCAATTCTCTCCTCCATGACGGGTCTGAAACTCTTGATCAAACCCTGGACAGGCCATGCAGCAGCATCACCCAAGGCACAAATGGTGTGGCCCTCGATCTCCTTGGTGAGCTCAAAGATTTCATCAATCTCCTTAACGGTGGCTTGGCCAGAAACAAATCTGTCCATCATCTTCTGCAACCACGTAGTACCCTCTCTACATGGGGTACACTGGCCACAAGACTCGTGCTTGTAGAATGCTGCGAATCTCTGAATAGCTCTGATAATGTCGGTCTGCTTGTTCATGACAATGACAGCAGCGGTACCCAAACCGGAACCGACATCTCTCAAGGCATCGTAGTCCATCAAGATGTTGTCACAAGTCTCCTTGGGCATAATTGGAACGGAAGATCCACCAGGGACAACACCCAACAAATTCTCCCAGCCACCCTTGACACCACCGCAGTGCTTCTCCAACAACTCCTTCAATGGAATGGACATCTCCTCCTCGACGGTACATGGCTCATTCACATGACCAGAGATACAGAATAACTTAGTGCCGGAGTTTCTCTCACGACCGAAAGAAGCAAACCAGTCGCCACCTCTTCTCAAAATGGAAGGGGCAACTGCGACAGTCTCGACGTTGGTGACGGTGGATGGTCTGCCGAACAAACCAATACCGGCAGGGAATGGAGGCTTCAATCTTGGTTTACCAGCCTTACCCTCGATAGACTCAATCAAGGCGGTCTCCTCACCACAGATGTAAGCACCCATACCTCTGTGAATGTAGATGTCGAAGTCGTAACCGGAGCCACAAGCATTCTTACCAATCAAGCCGTTCTTGTAGGCCTCGTTGATAGCCTGCTGCAAGATGACAGTCTCGTTGTAGAACTCACCTCTAATATAGATGTAAGCGGCAGTAGCGTTCATGCCTCTACCAGCCAAAAGACAACCCTCAACCAACTTGTGGGGGTCCTTTCTGATAATTTCACGGTCCTTACAGGTACCTGGCTCACCCTCATCAGCGTTCACGACCAAGTATCTGGGGCCAACGTTCTTTTCCCATCCTGGAGGGTTCATGAATGACCATTTGAGGCCAGAGGGAAAACCAGCACCACCTCTTCCTCTAAGACCAGACTTTTTGATCTCGTCTAAAATCCACTTGTCTCCCTTCAAGATAATCTCTTTGGTTTTGTACCAGTCACCCATTTTCATGGAGGACTTCAAGTCGTGACCATAGTTGCCGTAGACATTTTGGAAAATACGGTCCTGGTCCTTCAAGCCACCATGGACTCTGTTAGGGTTGGCCAGAGGGTCGGCAGCGGTAGCCAACAATCTGACATTAAGTTTCTTTGCACTTCTGTTGAAGTTACGAAGCATTTTAAAGGTGTGGAGCCGAGTAGTTAGCTTGGTGCAAGTACACTATTTTTTTTGTCTTTTTTACCCACTCACTGGTACTAGCGTGCGGGACTGTGTAATTGGATTTCTTGCGCTGCCATTGGCCAGTTGACGGACGGCTTTCTCGAGCAATACAAAATGAAATGTGGAAAACTCTTTTTGCATCAACTGAAATTATCGAGGGTTTAAGCCTGTAATATTTGTTTATTTTCGGCTAATTCTAGATAACTGCTTATTATAATTGGCAAACAAGAAACCGGTCACGTGATAACAATCGATGACGTTACGTATTGGATGTATAGTGGCAAGCACTGGGGCCAGAAAGCACACAAAATCATCTCTCGAGGAAAATGACTACATCTTCAAATTCCTGAGGTGTATGGTATTTTAAATTATTTTGACGTCGTTTTGTTTGGGTTATCTTCGGTGTCCGGACTTGACTCTGGCATCTTGGCTGCGAAAAACCATAATTTCCCAGGCAGCGTCCGTTCCGCCGTGGACAATCAAACTTATCGGCAAGAAGAATGTGAGACTTTTTTGAATTTTGGATTATGTGAAACTACACTTATGAATATAGTTTCGATTACACGACAGGTCCGAATGCTTTCGTGTTGTTTCAAAGCATTGTAGTCAACGATGAATCTTTAACTGGTGATAGCAATTATTGAGCCCCTAGAAAGATATAGAAACGAAAATAGCAACTGATTTTCCTATAATGAAAATTTGAGGCTGATCAAGGTGAAGAATTCATTCTTCATGATTTCCAAGATGTACTGGTGCGAATTCAAGCCATCATACTCGAACCTTTTAGGCCTTCAACACTGTGATGGTTTACCTTACCTTTATCTCGGTGGCCGTTCTAGCACTCGCTCTACTTATACCGAGAGAGTCCTATAAATTCCATGAATTTCACGACAATGCGCTCAATAGCATACTCTATCCAGTGAACGAGCCTCCAATATGGGAGAAGATAAAGACGTGGAGTCCGGCAAAAAACTCCAAAGATGGCATACTTAAAAGTTTAAACCAATATAATCCTGCTAATATTGGCCAGCAGAAGCTAAGCTCCAATTCCTTCTTTGAAGAGGTTCACTTTGGTAAAGATAGGCAGCAGATAGGCAGAGAAAATGCCACCATCGTGATGCTCGTCAGGAACCTGGAGCTTAAAGGAGCTCTAGATCTGATGAGATCTCTCGAGGACCGCTTCAATAAGGATTATAAGTACCCTTGGGTCTTCCTCAATGATGTGCCTTTTGATCAGGAGTTCATCGACAAGACCACCATGATGGCCAGCGGAAAGACATACTATGAGCTAATTCCACTGGAAGACTGGAATATGCCTGCTCATATAGATAATGAGAAATTTGAGCACAATCTCCGAAACTCCTGGGACGTTATATATGGGCCGTCCCGCTCTTATAGGAATATGTGTCACTTCAATTCAGGCTACTTCTACAGACAGAAACGGCTACTCAATTACGAATGGTATTTCAGAGTCGAACCGGATGTGGAGTACATGTGTGACTTTCAATACGATCCCTTCACTGTCATGCGTGAAAACAAAAAGGTTTACGGTTTTGTGCTAGCTCTCCCGGACTATGAGAATACTATACCGACACTATGGCCGACAGTGGAGGAGTTCATCGAAAAGTATCCGCAACATCTCCACCCTAACAATGCATACGATTTCTTGACTACAAATGAAACAGATGTTTTCTTTGGAGTTGATAATCCACACAAGCACCTCTACAACTTGTGTCATTTTTGGTCTAACTTTGAGATCGCTAGTCTCGAGTTTTTCCGAGGTGAGGCTTACGGTGCGTACTTTGATCATTTAGATAAGAGCGGAGGATTTTACTACGAAAGGTGGGGTGATGCTCCAGTTCACACAATTGGTGTGTCTTTGCTTCTTGATAGAGACGAGATTTATCATTTTGAGGATATTGGATATTACCATGCCCCATACATGGGCTGTCCCACATCGGAAGATGTTCTCATGGCTAGAAGATGCATTTGCCGAGACAAAGCTTTCGATGGCGAGCCATTGAAGGGAATGGAAGTAAGACCTCCTAGTTGCATTCCTAGATGGTGGAGATACGGTAGTGGAAAGACTTTTTTGAATGAGGCGGAATACACCTTCCGCTGAGGGTTAGTGCATTTATGTACTGCGCACTACCATACTATCAATGCTCATCGCATTCCAAATTTATTCAAGTTGAATCTGGTACTCGCAGGCTATGGGAAAAGGAAAATTGAAGGCTGCTTTGAAGCACCAAAAAGAGCAAGAGGCTGCTTCTAAGCCTAAGGTCAAGGAACAAAAGCCAAAGAAGGAGGTTGCTGCTCCAGTCGAGGAATCAGAGAGCGATGAAGAGGTTGAAGAGAACATCGCGGATCTTCCCAACGAAGGTGCCCCCTTGTCCCACAAGGAGAAGAGAATGTTGAAAAAATTGATGAAGAAAAGAGCTGCTGAGACCAAGGCCAAGAAGGCTGATAGTGAAGCTGAAGAGGAGGAAGACGAGGAACAAGAATTGGATCTTGAGAAGCTAGCTGCATCCGAAAGCGAGAGTGAACTTGAAAGTGAGGACGATGATGAAGATGATGACGAGGAAGAGGAAGAAGGTGCCGAGGAAGAGGAGGAAGATGCCGAGGAAGAGGAAGACCCAGAGGCCGAGGACGTTCCTTTGTCTGATGCGGAGCTTGATTCCGACACTGATGTTGTTCCTCATTCCAAGCTTACAATCAACAATATTGCTGCATTGAAAGAGTCTCTTGTGAGAATCAAGTTGCCATGGGAGAAGCATTCTTTTATTGAGCATCAATCTGTTGTCAGTGCAGAGAACACTGACGCTGGCATCAAGGACATATACGACGACACAGAAAGGGAGCTTGCATTCTACAAGCAGGGTTTGGATGCCGTGAAGCAAGGCAGGGCCACGCTTTTGAAATTGAAGGTTCCATTCTCCCGTCCTCTTGACTACTTTGCAGAGATGGTGAAGTCTGATGAGCACATGGACAAGTTGAAAAACAAATTGTTGAAGGAGGCTGCTGACAAGAAGGCATCTGAGGACGCCAAGAAGCAGAGAAAGTTGAAGAAATTTGGTAAGCAGGTGCAGCATGAGACTTTGCAACAGAGGGCCAAACAAAAGAGAGAGACTCTTGACAAGATCAAGTCTTTGAAGAAGAAGAGAAGCGCACACGAGCTTGAAGACGACAACGAATTTCAGATTGCATTGGAAGAGGCCGCTGCCGACGACAGACCCACCAAGAGAAACAAGCCTAATGGTAAACGTTTGGCGAAGGACTCTAAGTACGGTTTCGGCGGTAAGAAGAGAGGTCTCAGGAAGAATGACGCCGATTCGTCTGCTGACATATACAACCTTGGTAAGAAAGGCAAGGGCAAGGGCTCGAGGCCCGGTAAAAGCAAGCGTAACAGAGGGCACTAGGCTGCGAAATAGGAATTGATAGAAGACGTCACGAAATGTACACCCGTAATATTTTGGTTGTAGAGATTGACTTGTCTGATTTGAAAATGTGAATGGGCTCAATAATTCATTGAAATTCACGTCTTTTTAATTTCACCAGGTATGAGGCCCTTTATTCGTGGCTGGACCACTTGGCGGGTCTGAAACGCGAGTTATACGAGAGCGAAAATTGAGGTTCGTGGACCCTACTTAATAGAGATAACTATACACCGAGATGGACAAGGAGGCTGCTAAACAGAAATTCATCGGCGAATTCGACGCCCTTGTGACCGAGCTCAAGGAGATCTTGGTCAACTATAACATGCCCCAGGAGGCCATTGAGTGGTTCACCAACTCATTGTACTACAACACTCCAGGCGGTAAGTTGAACAGAGGTCTTTCTGTAATTGACACTTACTGTATTTTGAAGAATGTCAAGGTTGAGGACTTGTCGGCTCAAGAATACAAGAAGGTGGCTATTTTGGGATGGGCCATCGAATTGTTGCAGGCTTACTTCTTGGTCGCTGACGACATGATGGACCAGTCCAAGACCAGAAGAGGTCAGCCGTGCTGGTACTTGAAGCCTGGTGTGGGTAACATCGCCATCAATGACTCCTTCATGTTGGAGGGTGCCATTTACATGTTGTTGAAGAAGCACTTCCGCGAGGACCCTTACTACGTTGACCTTTTGGACTTGTTCCACGAGGTTACTTTCCAGACCGAGTTGGGTCAGTTGTTGGACTTGGTGACCGCTGACGAGGAGCACGTGGACTTGAGCAAGTTCTCTTTGGAGAAACACTCTTTCATCGTTATCTTCAAGACTGCTTACTACTCGTTCTACTTGCCTGTGGCCTTGGCTTTGTTCGTGTGCGGAGTCACCTCCGAGAAGGACTTGCAGCAGGCCAGAGACATCTTGATTCCATTGGGCGAGTACTTCCAGATCCAAGATGACTTTTTGGACTGCTTCGGTACCCCAGAACAGATCGGCAAGATCGGTACCGATATCAAGGACAACAAGTGCTCGTGGGTGGTAAACCAGGCTTTGTTGAAGGCTAACGCTGAGCAGCGTAAGCTTTTGGACGAGAACTATGGTAAGAAGGACGACGAGAGCGAAGCCAGAGTCAAGAAGTTGTTCAACGAGCTCGAGATTCCAAAGATCTACCAGGAGTACGAAGAGGATGTTGTGGGTCGTTTGAGAACCCAGATTGACAACCTTGATGAAAGCAGAGGTTTGAAGAAGGAGGTCTTGACCTCTTTCTTGAGTAAGGTGTACAAGAGATCCAAGTAAATAGACCCAGCAATTAGCTGAATATCTAAACACAGCGCGTTTCTAGCTTTTCGATTTCTACACATTGCTCTTCTAATCCGTGTATTGATGCGAGGTTATGAAATAGGTGGTGGCATTAGACGTTGACTCTCTCCAACTCCTCTCTACCAGCCTTGGTGTACAAGTACTCGTTGTACTCAGTGGCCTTCGAGTTGATAGTGTAGACGATGGCGCCTGGGATGAGGACAAAGAGGACCTGGTTCTTGAATCTTCTGAAGACATTGAAGATGGAGTTGTGCAAAGCACCCTTCAAAGGTCTGGTGGCGTAAGGAGAAACAGTGTACATGTTGATGTACTTCTGCTTGGGGGAGCCGATGCTTCCCCACCAGCCCATGTAAGTCTTAGCGTGAGGTCCTGCCATTATTGATGATACTAGGTGGTTTGAGAAACGCTGTGACTTGAAAAGTGAGAAAAGGGTCTGGTGTAATTGGCTGCGCAGCGTGCTGGACTTTACGCGGGACACGAAAGTTACGCGGGCAACCTGATCCACCTTAGCAAACGAAAGGAATGTGAAGGATAGTTTTTGCTGAAAGGCGGATGGGTCGATCAATTTGGTATGCAAGCTTTGTTCATGTTGTTCATTGCTCGGGGCGCACGGGTGTGGGTAACATTGGCAAAAGTGATCCAACGAGAAAGAAGGCCGAGTTTACCGTACCTCAAATTAAGGGATGAATTTATATAGAAACTAAAGGGGCGTCAATTTCAAAAACTTTATCCTACCAGGCTATTTTAAAACATCTGGCGGGTATGTGCAACTATCACATGTGAGACAATCCGTCAGATCTCTGCGCTAACTAACAACACCTTCCAAATTCGAATGCCCTTACGACCAATGTAGGAAACACCATCAGCAAACACTCGAAAACAATCCAAACAAAAACACGTAGTTACCCGTTACCACCTGGCAACGCAACAAGCATACCGGGCCACATTCGTCTAGACCGTCTTTGCCGTTTACAAGATGAGCTCAAACTACACCAGAACACAAACGGCAGGAATCCTTCCCGAAGGAAAAAAACCCACCCGTCCTGGTCATGTCATGGCTGAGTGCATCTTCACTATAGGCTGCGAAAGTCGTTGAGGCCAAAAATGGAAGCCACCCCGAGGCCTATACACGGTAGCGCCAAGGCCCTCGATGGCAGTGTCAGACAACGACTGCCTGCGCAGGCCAAAATAATTATTCCCGGAGCCCGACTAACTCCTGACTCGAGCTCTTACCGAGGGCGCTTTGTGCCATTGTTCTTGAGTTGCACGGAGCTTGCTTTGTGCGTTCCAACGGTCTAGACGGCAGCGGAAAAGCCACTTTTTGCACGGTGGGCCGGATTCACATATGCTTTCAAGTGCATGAATTTCCGAATTTTTCCCAGCGCCGTTGCAACGAAAAAACCAGGGTGGCTGCGAAAGGAGGGGCGGAACAACCATGTCTGGCGGCAGCCGCACCTTGCCGTACAACGGTCCAGCAATTATCGTCGATTTGCATAAAACATCACATGCCAATAACAGGCGACAGAGCCCTCTGGGCAGAAGTTTTGTATGAAATTGGCTATAATTTTCTTTTTCACATGTTGTTCAGACTTTTCGAGCTCGTCAAAGTCCACATCGTTTAAAAAAAGTCAGGGCTGGACCGCTATTTTTTCCTCACTGCCACTTTGTGTCTTCGCAGCCGTCCTGTCTCTTTTTTCGCTGGGAGTGCTCGGCTGCAATTGCGCACGAAGTCTGGACTCTCGCTGCATCCCAGCCTTTAGCTCCGGTATTAATCCGGCCCGTATAAGAACCATGGGGTGGCCGCTTGAGTCCCCCACATACCCCATTCGTTCGCTATATGTTTTTCGTTGATACCGCCAAAAAGTCTTTGGAACTCGGCCTCAGTTGGGCCCGCCTAGCTTCGCAGCAGGTGTTTAACGTTGCACTTGTATTGGTGCTACTATTCGAGGGTGTAATTGAATCTTCAGAGCAGGCGGCGTCGGACCTTCAGCTCTGGATGAAGGTGATCCGCTCCAACAGCATAAATTGAAAAACACACCACCGCCTAATACCAATAACAGAAATATTTATCCTTATTTATAGACTAATATACCCTATAGAGTGCTTGGAGTGCCATGCTCCAGATCAGATTTCGGCGCGAGACCATCGGGGATCGCAAACGGTTTCATTTGAAGATTTTTTTTTTTTTTTTTTTTTTTTTTTTTTTTTTTTTTGATCTCTACGTCGAGAGCAATATCTTGAAGATGATTTCGACCTGTTAGTGTGAAAGCTACAACCGTCGTTGATACGGACGACTGATGCAAATTGCCCCAGTACGAACTGTCAGGCCCAGTACGAACTGTCATATTCGAGCCGCTGCATCGTTAGCCAGTTGAAAGCAGTCACAGACCTCTATAAGCACGAAGCAACTTACGCCTCAAACAGCTTCACATTCAATTCGACAATCTACATTCGCATATCGCTGGATACTACATGATTCCTCCTCGTGATATTTATTAGATGTACAGGGGGCTTAAGCACCGATACGCTTCAAGTGGGCCAATCTACCTCTCTGTCTGGAGTTCAATCTTGGCTGGACCTTGTCGGTGGCCTTAGCGATCTGCTCCTCCTCCTCAGAGACAATGAGTTCGATGTGAGATGGGTGGGACAAGTAGGCGTTGGATCTACCGTGAGCTCTGTAGGTTCTTCTTCTGTTCTTAGGAGCCTGGTTCACCTGGATGTGGGTGATCTTCAACTTGGCAACGTCCAAACCCTTGGCCTCAGCGTTAGACTGAGCGTTCTGCAACAAGTCCTTGACGTAGTTGACGGACTTGGCGGGCCATCTGGCCTTCTGGACACCCCACTCCTTACCCTGGGCGGTTCTGCCGATAGAGTGGTTGAATCTTCTGAAAGGAATGGCTCTCTTGTGGTCCAAGACATCGTCCAAGTATTTCTGAGCCTTCTCCAAGTTCCATCCGTTGATGGCCTGGACGGTCTCTCTGGTGTTCTTGAAAGAGACTCTCAAGTAAGCACCACGAGCAGAGGCCGACTTGGCTGGGTTGACTGGTGAAGCAGCGTAACGAACCATGGTAACTGTGTCGATGGAGTTGTGGTGGGAAAGAGTTTTTGAAATTTTTTTCCTCTACCAGTGTGCGACTGCGTGGGAGTGCACTCAACTCCACTTTCGCACCTTGGAGCACCTAGGTCTGAGCCCTAGCCCTGCGCACGTGACGCACCATAAAACGGTCCTCCCATAGAAATCCACCCTAGAGAGAACAGTGAAGGAATTCTTAAAAAAGCTATGACTAGAAAAGTTACTCGAAATCTCTAGGATGTCTAACGAACTTTTCCAAATATGTATTCCTACAGCGGGGCCGGTGGGGCATCGTCGCAGCTGTAGGTTCACGAAGAACAGGTACCAGCTTGAAACACCATCGGTCAGTTTAATTCGTAAAAGTAAAGTATGGAATCTCCCAAAAAACGTTGCAATTTTGGGTAAAGAGCAGGTTTGAAGATCTCCGAACCCAGCACTAAGCAGGAACACAGCAACAATGGCAAGGTAACCCCTTCTATCTTTAGTGCTGCCGTTTTCCGTTCTTGCGCCAGACCTGCTTGGTTTTCTGCCCGTTCCACCAACCTGCCTGTTTCTCAATTATTACGTAGTCTAATTACTGCCGTGCGTTTTCCACAGGCTACCGCATCATCTCATGGTATGGCAGCTTCAAGGAGCTTTCATCGAACCAAGCAACAAAACACATATTTCCCAAAAAATTCCAACAAGAATAGCAACACCAAGGGCATTGCGGGCTTGAGCCACAGGGCGGTTTAGTATTGTTGCGTGCTGCACGAGCCTCGAGAAGATAAGAGAGGATCCGTGCAGAAAGGCCATGGATATGCAAATGCACCCAGCCCCAGGCCCCGCCACGACGGAATCTCAGGAAACTTTTCTGAATAACTCAGACAGCCGAAGCATTAAGAAAAAAAGGGAATTTATCAGGGAAATAAAAACGGCACATTTGCTTGCCTATTAAAATTTGGCTTCCCTGGCACTCGGCACGGTGGCTTGAGCACTGGGGCTCAACTGCGTTTGTGTTTTCTTGCCCACGCACCCGACTCGTAATTGTCGTTTCTTTGCCTATTTTACATATTCGCAGCCGGTCTACCCCATTCTCTTTCTCCTGCTTCAGGATCATGCAGCCGGGCCTTTTAAAAGTCCGGTTTCCCTGTTCTTTTCACTTCTTGTATCCTCTTTTCTTTCTTTCCTCTTACACCGGGCTGGCTCCCTCAGGCTAAAGTATGGGGTCCGCACGACCCCTGTTTCCCAGACTCAACTCCCACGAGCTACACCTCTAGAGCGCAAACATCCAGAGAACAATCAAATTGGTTGCACTCGCCTGAACCAATACACGCTTTTATTAACGTATCACTGCTGGCACACCACGCCGACCGAAAGGCGCCGCCGTATTTAATTGTTTGTCCACACGTTCCTTGACCTTAATCACCACCATGTCAGACTCAGAAAAAACACCGCTACCTTCAGAAAAGCCCAACGAAGAATTGCAAGGTGACAACGGCAACATTGGCTCCCTCGACAACGACAACTTGGACCCTTCTTTGGACCCGATGTTGGACCCGGCCTTGGGTGACAATTTGGACGACGGCTTGCACAACATGACCTCCGAGCCCAACGAGTTTTTCGATATGGACATGGACAAGGACGACGAGAAGCTACAACAAGATGAGCCTGTCAACGAGGAGACAAACGCTGACGATGATAAAAAGGAGGAGAATGACGCGGATACAAACACAAACCTAGACATGGACGTGGATTTAAACGTGGAAGCCAAGGACCAGGAGTCTGGCGAAACCGATAAAGAAGCCGAGAAGGCTGCGCCTGAATCGGCTGCTTCTCCAGCAGTCGAGAAGACCGAAAGCGAAGCCGAAAAGCCTGTCACGACAGAAGGCGATAAGGAGAGTCGAAAAAATGCCCCTCGCATAGAAGACGACGAGCCAGAAATCAAGCAAGAGCCCGTTGCGACAGTGGAGAAGCATGAGAGTGACTCAGAGCTCGAGGAAGACGTGTTTGAGAAGTTGGGCGACTCTCGCCACTTGGACACCGACAACAAGTCTCGCATTCGCCAAACCCACGCCATAATAATCCCCTCCTACGCATCATGGTTTAACATGAAGAAGATTCACCAAATTGAGCGTGACTCGTTGCCCGAATTCTTCAACACGTCGCATCCCTCCAAGTCCCCTAAGATTTACGCCAACTACAGAAATTTCATGATCAACGTTTACAGGTTAAACCCCAATGAGTACTTGACATTGACCTCATGCCGCCGAAACTTGGTCGGCGATGTGGGTACCTTGATGCGGGTTCACCGCTTTCTCACCAAATGGGGTCTCATAAACTACCAAGTGAACCCTCAGCTCAAACCCGCTTACGCTTTAGAGAAATTGCCTAACGGATCCCTGGTTGGATTACCATACACTGGCGACTTTCATGTACAATACGACACCCCTAGAGGTTTGTTCCCATTCGATACTTACAAGGTGAACCCAGAGAACGTGAATGCTGGAAAGCTAAAAGCTCTTCTCGCGTCTGACCAAACACTCAATGGCTCATCGGATCACACTAATGATATCCTTACTGATGGCTTGGGACTTGATGATGAGCCAGCACTGAAAAAGCGTAAGATTGAGGACGCAGTTGATGACAAATGGACCACGGAAGAGCTTTCGCTGCTTGTTCTTGGAATAAAAGAGGACAGGAATGACTGGTATAAAATTGCGAAGAGAGTTGGCAACGACAAAACACCTCAAGAATGTATCCTTAAATTTCTCGGTATGCCTTTGGAAGATCGGTTTAACGCACTCAACACCAAGGACGAAAGCATAATCAAATATGCCGCAAATTTCCCAGTCTCGTCTATTGATAATCCAATCATTGGCAATCTTGTCTTCATGACGAATCTCGTCGACGCGGATGTGGTGAAAGCTGCTACGAAACGTGCCTCAGACTTGTTGGATCAGAGATTCTTCGAAAGGGTCGAGAAGGCACAAGCTATCAAATCGGAGTCGGAGGACAAAAAGGAGAGTTCAGAGTCCAATGGCTCCGTTAATATTGACTCGGTTGACCCATCCCTCGGCGACGACTTGAAGCAAACCTTTGAAGCGTCTGAATCGAGTGACAATATCAAAGATGCTGCCACTGGTGTCTTGGGCGCCGTGGGTGGTCGCAGTCATTTATTTGCCAACTATGAGGAGAGAGAGATGCAGCGCTTGACATCAAGCATATTGAACAATGAGCTCACGAAACTCGACGTTAAAATGAACAAGGTGAATGAGCTTGAAAGGATCTTCCAAAGAGAAAGATCAAATTTATCACGTCTTCAAAGTGAAATATTTTGCGACAGGCTTGCGTTGACAAGATCAACGGTCAATATTTCCAAGAAGCTTAATGAGGCGCTCGAGCTCCTTAAGTCCTCGAAAGCAGCAGAAGGCTCTGTGTCAGAAGACAAGGCACAAAACATTGAGGACATTCTCAAGGATGCTCAATCATTGCTTTATAAGCCAACGATACTGGCCTTTGAGGAGAAAGACTCGAAGGCTGAGTCACAAAGTAAGTCTGAGGAAAGTGACGAAAAGGCACAGGCGGCTGAATCTACGGTCAAGCCTTTGTCTATAAAGACGCCTCAGTCCTTTAAGGTTTGGGTACCATAGCGGACATATGCGTAAGCATTACTATTTCCGAAAATGATGAGTTCAGAAGAGATGAGCACCTGGGTCCTTCTCAGAATGCCGCACTCCTCTTCTTAGTGTAATATTAGTTTCATACAAGACAAACTTCATTTCGCGCCCCACGTAAATCACAACTGCAATTACATACACATTACATCTTTTTCACTAGTAAGTATACTTGACACGTTGAGCTAACATTTCAGGTAGATAAGTACGCTATCATGAGCCTTCTTGAAGAATCCACAGGGCTTTTGAGTGATTTGGATGAGGGTGACGTGCTGAGTAATAGCACACCAAACATTAGCAGAATAGAAGCGAGTGGAAATGAATCTGCCAAGGAGATAATCGAATCTGGTGATATTAATGACATTATAGAGCAGGATGAAATAAAGAAAGCATCTGGAACTCCTGAGTTGAAGCGCTCTAATTTAGAGATCGGAAATGAGGCAGAAGAAGAAGAGAACGGTTCTCAAGAAAGAACGTTTGACGAAACTGGCGAGCTCGGAGAAGAAATTGAATACCCATCAAACACAGAAGGGGAACAACAGAAGGAAGTTTGGAATCACACCTCGCTTGAGGGTGAAATTTATGATGAGGATCAAGAAGAGCATCAAGACGACACCCATGACGACGCCCATGACGACAATGACGACAATGAAAGTGACAACGACAATGACGACGACAATGACGATTACGAGGATGTTGAACTAATCGGTTCAAGGCAGATATCAGTCGTTGAAATCGACAGTGAAGACGAGATTGAAAATCTTGAGGAAACCGAAGCTTTAACGAAAGAGGTTAACGGATCGCCCAGCACACACGATCGGGCCCGATCCCTTCAAAGTCCCATTATCGTCGAGACAGCCGAAGCCAAATATCTCTTGATTGCCGAATCTGAGGATGCGGCTGAGTATCCTGACCTTCAATGGCTCTTTGAGAGAGAGCAAATCGAATCTTGGCTGCTCTTCGACTTTCTCAACGCCCTACGCCAAAGTGATGTGTTTGAAGATTTGAAGCCTCTTAACGAAGACGATCTTTTGAATGTATCGTTTGACAATCTATTGACGGTTACGCTAGGGGATCATCGTACCTCTGATCTCGATCTTATTGAGGTACTACTAGCTACTCAAAATTACGTCACGAAAAGAAGCGAAGATGACACTCCACTAACACTAACTCTCAGTCTTGACGAGAGCCCAGTGGCGATCTTTGATAGACTTTCTCGAGAGGTGGGCCGCAAACGCTCCATATCTATGGAAGAGGAGAGAAATGTGAAGCAATTGCGGCATTCGATGGACTCATAAGTTGCAGCGTTTGACTTTTTTTTTTTTTTTTTTTTTTTTTCCTTTTTTTTTTTTAATATTATTCTAAGCATTTAATGCTATGCTATAAAGATTGAGACCTACACCAATATCGATTGGTATGAAGCTGGATCAGGTAAGAAATTATATAATAATCTCAATCAATGATGCCGCTTTCTCTTAAGCGAGAGTACAAACTTGGATCGATGTACTTTTGCAAGTTTGGCTCTCCGCTTAATCCCTTTCGTTTCCTCGTTTTCATGACAAAATCTCTTGCCATTGATTCTCTTGGGACTGGCTTGAGTGATGGTAATGGTACCGTCTTGTCAAGCGGGTCGCCAGGAACTGTCTTCCATCTATCAAACTCAACTAAACACATTGCTTGACCTTGCGTTTGAAGTCTCATGTCAGTATCTAGCCCGACGGCATCTAGAACTGGAACAAACCCTTCTAGTTCATATAGTTGGGTTGCGGGGATTGCTGTTTCAGACACAACCCAGCCTCTTCTTTTGTCCAAGATAACTTGAGTAGCTTGCAAACTGCGGGTGGTGCAAATGATGTTCACACGGTAAACAGGCTCGAGGAGGCGAGGAGCTGCCGTAAGCAAACCGGTGTGAATTGCATTTCTTGTCATTGTTATTGTTTGTGCTCCGTGACTTCGAACACCCGAACTGGCGAGAACCGCATCAAGGATCTTGAATTTGGTGTTTCTTATGGGCTCGTCACATAGTGGACCCTCCTCAATACCAAATTGGAAACCTTTGCCAATTGACTCCTGGTTGTTTTTTAGAAGCTCCTTATCAGTCTCCCCATCAAAGGTATCATCAAGAAGAACCGAAGGCATTTGCTTATCTTCTGGTCCAAAAGCCCATAAGGATCTTGCAGCCAATGCATCCCAGCCGTAGTCATTTCTGAGCGTCTTACCTAGGCTTCGTTGTGACTCTAATGGATCAATAAGGCCCTTTTGCACCGCCGAGCTAAAATTTTTATCATTCATTGGCTCGGCTGTGATGGAAATATGAGTCTTTTTGGAGGACCCATAGGTCGCGAGTTTAGTGGCAGAACGTTCACAGCACGTCTCACTAAACTTTACCATTGGATCACTAATTTTGATGGAAAGATAGTCCCCGGAATAGTGTCTGAGATCGTGGAAGAAGCAGTCCAAATAGAGCTCACCAGGAGCGAGAACCACATGCTCACCACTATCTTCAAGTTTCACAACGGCTGCACCATATATTTCACTTAATTTTCTAAGACCTTCGACAAACCTTGGCAAATCTGTAGGTTTCTCGGGCTCCACTGCAACTTTGAAAACAGACCTCTCTTGTGAACTGTTTCTATGAAACGGTTGCAATAAGTTAGATTCAATACCATCACCAAAAAGGGAGGCGCTTTTTGACACATCATACTCATCGATGGACACATATGTCAACATACCCGCATTGACGTCATTAGTTCTCACCTTGTATCGACCAGCCGGGATCAGGAGATTCTTAGCAATGAGTGATTTAGCATCGTTCTCCAGGGAGCCACCACTGACCACCTTGAGCTTATCTCCTGTCTTTAAAGTGCCTTTTATAATTTTCACAAGAGCACTTTGAGACTTGTAGTCCGCAGAGGAGGAGATTTTGATGACCTCTGCAACTACCAGGTTGTCGGGTATATTCGAAAGATTTGGAAAACGCGGATGAGACAGCAAGGGCCGTGGCAAATTTCTTGCGATCAGACTAACTAGCCCCTTGGATGAGCCGAAGGTTTCGGAGAGTACCAATCGCAAAATTTCTTGTGGATCTTTTTCAAAGTAAGACTTTGGAAGATTTAGTCCAAAATTCTCCCACAAAAGCTTGGGAAGAGCCTTGCTTTTACTATCGGTGGTAATCGAATATGTGATGAGCTTGTAGATAGGCTCTAAAATGAAGTGTTCGAAAGTGCGTTTCCCGGCCCTCTTATCCTTGGTGAACTTTCGAGTTTTCTCAATGTAATATATGTCACCCCAAAGGAGAGCGTAAAACTTCTCCAAGTTGGGGATACCAAAAGAATTTAGCTCGTTAGCATACCTGTCACTGAAAGATTTGAGGGTAAATGAGAGACGAAAGTTGTTCGACGAGAATATGACATTGTCCTCCAAAGGACTGATGAGTTTTTTCTGGGAATAGGTCAGAGCAAACTCATTATGGTGGATGCAAGCGTTGATGTCATCTAAGACATACCGAATCTTCAAGTAGAAGTCTGATAGTTGCAAACGCTGCTCTATGATAAGACGGTCGATTTTATTGAAGACGACCATTAGGGGTAAGTTTCGTTTAACAAGGGACGTGATATAACGCTTATCGCGCTTTGTAAGCCCTTCGACGATGTCAATCACCAAAAGAGCTCCCTCTGCAGCATCAAGCATAGTTTGCACTTCTTCATCAAAGTCAGGATGGCCTGGGCAATCTAGGAAGTTGACAACATACGATTTGTCGTCTAAATCTGACAATAAAAGAGTCATCGGGTGTGCAAAGATTGACATTCCACGTTTGCGTTCAAGCACATGAGTGTCCAAGTACCGCAATGGTTTGAATTCTTGGAGGTTTCTCTTGGAATTGGTCACCTCTGGATGAGTTTCTTGCACAAGCGCATCTATAAAGCTTGTTTTGCCGGAGTGCAAATTGCCCACCACGGCAACGTTTCTTATTCTTTCTGGGAGGTCATTGGCAAGTTTTAGCATATACTCTCGTGAGTATGTTGTAGTCGGTAGGTCCTCTTCGGCCTCAGCCTTAAATTCAACATGTAGTTTATTTTGCAGGACTGGCTGAATGACAGGCAGCTCTTCAGGCACTTGATTTGGATCTATAACGACCGTCTCGGCTCCTGCAAAACGCAGGTCGAATTCTTTCTGAACTAACGCCTGCTCTGCGGGCTCCTCACTTTCCTCAATGACATCCTCTTCTATTTCTTCATATTCAGCAGGATCATCGAGCTCTGAGGCAGATGAGCCAGAATCAGAGTCATTGGCATCTCCTATGAAATTGCCAAACTCATCGTACAAGTCATCGTCATCTGAGTCCATAGTGGGTTGTAGTTGATATTCCTACATCGAGTGCGATGAACTAGTCGCATACATATCGAGAGCCAAACGATGTACTTCTACAATTAGTCAATGTCGTTACTACTATTGTTACAAAAACAGATTCCGTTGATGCTTATTTTAAACCTTTGCTTGATCACAGGCATTACGATAATGTCTGGTATTTTCTCAATTCAGTCAAGAGCGTCTTGAGCTGAACATCCGATACTTTGTTAGCCAAGCTGGGAATCAAAGACTTGGCCTCCTCGGCATCCTCACACTCCAAATTACCCAACTGTGCCAACTCAAATGGGTGTAGTGGCTCGGTGGCTTGACTGTTGAAATCGTTCAAAAGCTTTTCCACAGTTTCGGTGGAGAAAGAGTTCTTGAATCTGCTGAACGTTGAAAGGTAGTTCAAAGTTTTGTGAGTCACCTCATTTGAATTTGGTCCTGCTAATTCTATGTTGGCTATTTCGTCTTCTCTTTCATTCTCTTCATCATCTTCTTCGAACTGTCTAGCTTCCTGTTTGCTTTTTCTCTCCTTCAATGCAGCTCTTATCAAAAGTCTGGCTTCAGATAAATTTAGTGCTATGAGCTGTTCCTGCTCTCCGGAGTTAGTTATTTGTGTGAGTTGGAATTCTGGCCCTAGTTTTAACAAGGATGCATTTTCTTCATCGTCAATATTTTGGCTCCTTGGCTTTCTCCTGCGGACTCCGAGAGCACTAGTACTGACGTTCATGACTGAAGATTGGGCTAGGTACTTGTTTAGTAGGTTCAACCAACGCTTTTTTGACAGTCGTTGGTTATATGTTTCGTGAGACTTTTCACGTCTATATCAGTTTTTTTGCACGCGCACGACGACACTCTATTATCTACATTTTGCAACCAAAATGATAATGCATCAATGATTATGATCGTAAAAATCAGAAAATGTTTCAAAACCGCTAGTGGCTATATCATAGTCGCCGGATTGGGCGAGTCAAGCGGAGTCTTGTGTGCGGCAGGCGTGGATTCGCTCACAAACGGATGCTTTAATGCCTCTTGCGGAGTCAACCGCTCAAGCGGATTGAAATTTAGGACTTTTGCTAAAAAGTCAACTAGCAAATGTCTATCATGCATCTCCCTATCTATCATCATTTGGGTCATCTTGCGCGAAGGCATCTTGTAATTGAGAATGATGTCTTTCAACAAACGGTCGTTAAAGTATTCCTTGTTTGGTTGCTCCGCTCTGCGTACTTCGTCTTTGCCCTTTGTTTGCCTTAAAAACTCAAGATAATCTTCGTGTGATTTGAGACGGTAGCTAGGCTTTCCGCTCGCGTCCGACGAAGGACACTTTTCGAAATAGTTCATGGCATTGCGACCCACCTCTATCATGTGTCTAGGAGGGTTACCAAGCATGTCTGTAATCTTGAAAATTTGATTGTACTCGGATGCTCCTGGGAACATGGGTAGTCCGAGGAATAGCTCACCGACAATGCAGCCGAGTGACCACATATCTATCGATTCAGTGTAAGGTAGACCCAATATGACTTCTGGAGATCTATAGAACCTCAGCTGAATGTATGAATAAATCGTCTGTCTGGTAAAACATGCACTTCCAAAATCGATCACTTTTATGTCTGGTTTGTCGGGTTGGCATAATAAAATGTTCTCTGGCTTGAGGTCGCAATGTATAATTTGTAGGTTCTTCAATTGTGCACAAGCCTCAAGCAATTGCTTGGTAAATGACTTCACCAACTTCATGTTGAGTCCATTGAACTGATTTTGCTTGATGAGCTCATATAAGTTGGAAGCCAAAATCTCAAACACCAAACAGAGGTGCTCCTTATGCATGAAGGTGTCAAGAAGCGAGATAAACGTACTGCTCGAGCTGTTCTGATTAAGAAACTCTAGTAGCTTAACCTCTGAGAGTGACTGGTTGAGATAAGCCGGTTTCGACTTTATGACCTTGACAGCGACTACCGACTGATTGTTAAGATTCTGGCACTTCACTACTTGACCGAAGGTGCCAGACCCAAGGATGTCAAGAACCACGTATTTTCTTCCCTCTTCAGTACCCAACATGTCGTTCACATATAAGATGTAGTCAGAATCGACGTTATCGTAGCCATTGTTGAACTTTGGCTCCAGTGGCTTCGTAAGCACCCTTTTTGGGTTCGATGTCTTGGAATAGCGGAACTTCTGAGGCTGACACATGGAATAAGATTCCGTCAAGTATACTGAAAGCGCATTCACTGGAGAAATGTGAATTGAGTTGATCGAGCGTCTTCTGTATTTCGGCTGATGATGAACCTTGGGCTTGAGATCGCTCTTTGAGCGGACCTTCATTATCTTGGGAGTCGTTTTTACAGCAGCAGGAGGCTGTGCACCCATAAATGAAGCTGACGGTGGAGCGTTGGCACCATTGAAGTACCGGGAATGAAGAGGTGTCCGCTGATAAGAATTGGCACCTGCAGCCACCGACGAGCGACGAGCCGAATTATATGGCATCGATGGAGCAAACGGAAGTGATCCTTGGCCCGTATTGGGCGGATAAAGGTGTGCGTTGGCAGCGGAAGCGTTTTGCTGAAGGTTCATGGCATTTCCGTACGGATTGTACAACGGCCCGTCTACCGCCGCCGACATTCGCCTATCTGGCATATGATGAAGCAGCACTTCCTGGTTTGTATAGTAATGGTTGAAAGGATTGTCCGCCCTCAGGGGAGGGTAGAAAATTGGCTGCTGAGAGTTCTGTTGCAGCGCAGCATTCTCATATGTTGTTTGGAGCTGATTTGCAAATGACGGCTGCTTCTTCTGTTGGAGCAACGAGAGCTGAGGCAGCTGCTGGGGCAGGTGGTTCATGGAGGTGCCCATTGGAGGTCCGCTCAACTGTGGGGCCATTTGCTGATTAGGCGAGTACCAAGGGTTCCTGAAGCCGGGCGGCTGTTCCGAGTCAGGACCCAATGACGAGCTTGCATTAGGAGTCAGACCCAACGACGCGTTCATGTTCTGGGGTCTGAAGGTATCGCCACCGGACGGCCACGGATCCTGGGACGCTTGCCTGTGGTTCGGGAAATTGAAGGACATAGGAGGGCCTCTTCAACACTGGGTAAGCTTGTTACAATTTTGAGGTGGGGTGAATGGGGTTTTTGAGGTGCCGGAGGTCTCTGCCTTGTTGAGGAGACCAGAGGTTGGAATGCTGGACTGGAGGAGGCAGTATGGAGCGTAGTGCATAGGCGTGAGGTTGATAGCCTGGTCTGGTGTTTCCCGAGTGGGCGAATCGTGCAGGAAGGGGACAATGGCCCCAATCCACTCCTGTAATCTGCTCTTCAGGCGGAAGGACAATTTCAGAAGGCACGAGCTTTTTTAAAAATTTATCTTGCATTTTTCATAGCATCCAAACTCCGAATTTCTCCGTTGTCTCATCCGCGTGCCTCAGATGAAGCCGCTTCCCGGATGTGGAGAGGTACATCCAGATCCAGAAAAGCGCCAGTGCATACTATAAAGATCCCAATGGATCAGGAGGGGTGCGGGCTACTGTGAGGGGGGTAGGAGATTGAGAATAATTATTCTTGCGGATGCGTGATTTGGGCGTTTTTTTTTTGAAAAAAACTTATCTTGTAGGCTTACTCAGGGGCCGATAGCCGACGCCGCATACGGAGCTCCTTGTTAGGTGATTTCATATGAGATAGAGATCGAATTTTGAGAGATTGGCGCCGATAACACACTTTCCAAATAGAGCCAGCAATTTCATCTGGGTGACTTTCAGCAGGTATAAATACGGCGGAAGTTGCCGATATTTATTATGTGTCATGGGTGATGCCCGCAGTATGTGCTTTGCCAATCCTTCCGTTAAAGTTGCCCACTGATGTGGTCATAAAACGGCCTCAAAAGCTTATTTTTTGATATAAGCCTCCTCTTTTTCGATGGGTGTCAGGGTGCCTAAAATGACTAGGTCTCAAGACAGAGGGTGCTTATGAACCCTAGATGTGCTCTCACTAAGGCCCACCATGACTAATCACTAGACCTCTGCAACTTGGTGATTAAAGCTTTCACATCGTCATCACTTTGATAGGCTGCATTCACCCCTTTGGCGCTCCTCTTTGGCAGTTCCATTTCTTTGACCTTTGGCGGTCACGATCCATCATGATCAGACATCATCACTAGCCAAATGAACCAACCAACACTCAACACACCCCTCCCTACAATCTTCTCTTTATACTTTTATTGTATGTACAAGATTCCAGCTTGCCTGGCCCGGTCATTAACTTGTCATTATCCCTCAAGCAGCCATGGGCTCCTCGCCATAGTTGGGCGCTATGTTGGGCTGCGCCATGGCCCTTTGCAACATCATACCAGCACCCTCGATAATACCCAAGAAACAGGCACAGGTGATGGCAGAGTTTCTCGTGGCCTTCCAGCCTCCTCTGATAGCCAAAGCACCACCGGTGAAGAAACCAGCAATGATGGCGTTCCATGCATCTTCCTTCTTTCTGGCACCTTTGACGGCACAGTCGAATGTGGAGAAAAGGCCTCCCCATACACCGAAGTTACCTCCGACAACGGGTGCTCTGGTCCTACTGGCGGCAAAGGCTCCGTATGCTCTTTCTCCATATGGAGAGTTACGGAAACCCTTGATACCGTGCCAGATCAAACCACCAAAGGCACCCATAGCAAAGGCACCTCCAAAATCACTAACGATCACGATCGGGCAAGGATCTCTCGTATGGTCAGACATGATCTTCTATGGTCTTCTTGTTCGGTTATATATTTTTCAGACGTTTTTTTCGGTCTCAGCTTTTTGCTTGTTCATGCAGGGGGCCTCTGACTCGGCCATCTTCGATGGCCATAAAACCAAAAGATAGCACCCGATAGAATTTAATTTTTGATTTTTTGTAAAACTTTCCTCGCTTCTGAATATGGCGATGTTCGTAAACAAGCTTGGCTGTCTTCCGCAGCAGGTGGAGTTGCTCGCACAATGCAAAGGCTGCTTTCCAACATAATATTGACCCACCTAGTATTAAACGATAATATGTAATCTGACTTTTGTTTCCAAGGAAAGCATGTCTTCAAGTTGAAAGACTCATAAAATCGGATATCTGCTTTTTTCTCGCTTTCTGGGACTCAGAATTCACGGGTCGTTGATATCAAGGTACCAACAACGAAGAAAGTAACGACCAAATAAGTGAGGTAACACCTTGTAGTAAAGTATCAAGGTTTCTGTTCAAATCGAACAATTCGTTTGCTGTTGTATTTCTATGTCTGTGAAACTATTCCAGAATATGTGCGATTTTGAATTTTGCATCCAAAAATCGGAATACATTGTGGATTTGCGTGCGCATCTAATGTATACTCTATATATGTGTATATGATTTACTCTTCAGATTTGGAGACATCTAAGAGTAATTCCTCTTGGTCCTCAGGACCATCTATCTTCGAACTTCTGCTCGGATCGTCTGCCTTTCTCACCTTTTCTTGTTGTACACTCAAACCCTCGTTGCTTAAGAATTCTTTGTTTGAGGCCTGCTCATGTTTAATCCCGGAGTCTTCTTCCTCATCACCAACAACAAAGTTGCCCAAGTTTTCTTCATTTTTTGCAAGCGTCTGAAGCTCGAAATAGTCTTCATCTATAAGTGGCCCCGTGAAGACCTTCTTGCCCCAGGTTTTATATCCCACTGCTGCCAATGAGGCCAAGCAGAGTAAGACAGCGAAAGCGTAATTCATATTAGTCCACGTCAAATCCTTGACGACTGGTGGCATGCAAAGTATGAAAAATGAGATGAATACCCAGAAGACAGATATGCCGTTAACAACCCAACCAAAAGACCGTAGTCTGAAAGCAGCACCCTTGATCTTTTGTCTTTTGTTTAACATCAAGCAAAGAATTGGAATGCCATTGGCCAATGCTAAAGAGACGACAGAGGCTCCCATGAATGCATTGAATGCTGACGGAGATACTAACGCCAAAAGCGAAAAAGTACCACAGACACCCATAGATAAAAAAAGTGCATTTTTAGGCACAATGGCATCCTCGACAGAGTCGACACTTGTCCAAATGTCTTTAAAAGGGAGGCCTCCGTCTCTCGCAAATGCATATGTTGATCTCGATGCAGTTGTCACGGAGCCAATAGCTTGGAACATGACCGTACCAACTAAAAGAAGAACCAACAAAAACGAGACAAGATAGGATTCGGTAGCCGATTTAAAAATCAAGTCGATGGGCATAATTTCCGGTGTGTCATCAAGGATAACTGTGAGTGCTGGCAAGATGACAAGAATAGGAACGATAAAGATCAAGCCCTGAAACACAGCCATACAAATAGCACTCACAGCACCTCTGGGCATATTTCTTTCGGGATTTCTAACCTCATCGGTCATGGAAAAAAGCATACCGTAGCCTGTGAGTGTGAATGAGGAGCTTTGAAGGCCCACCATGAATGCGACAGGGTCGGGCCATCCGGATCTGGAATTGTCAAAGTTTGTGAACGTGTGGGTCGCAGAGTTGGTTTTCTTGGAAAATATGAGGAGGATGATGTCAATCATGAGAACAGTGCCAATGGACCATATGATGCACATTTTGTTAATGTAGTCCAAGTACCCAGAGAACTTAAAATTGACGAAACCCACAAATGTTAGGAGGATAAAGTAAACGGCAAGCACAAGAAGAGTATCCTCCTTATAATAAACGTCCTTGAGTCCAAAGATCGAAAGAATGAATTGCGATCCCGAAAACATGATGCTCACGGCATATGTCCAATTACCGATGATAAGGAACCAGCCTGTGAACCACGAACTCACCGATGAGTACTTATCGCTGCTCAAGATAGCACTGAAATGATAAACACCACCAGAGGTGGGGTACTTTGATATAATTTCACTAAGACTCAACACCACACAAATGCTAAAGAAACCCACGACAAGCCAGCCATAGAGCATAGTGACATTACCACCATCGACCAACGAAATCCACAACGTGGAAGACAAACCGAAAGGAACACCAACTAACGAAAAACCAAGTCCGACAATCGAAATCACAGTGAGCTTACGCTCAAGCTGCTGCTTATACATGAAGTGTTCCACATGCTCTTCTTCATTATCATCTTCGAGGAGATGACTTACCAAATGAGCCGGGGCCGAGTCGCGTATTAGTTGAAAGCCGCTTTCGTAATACGAAGGCGGCAGCGAACTGTTCACGTCGGTGGACATGAGGAAAAGAGGCGTCCCAGCTTGAGCTTTTCAGTCTATTAAGTAGATTGCGGAGGAAATGCGATAATTCGGTTAAGCGCAGTAACCCAGAAACGTAAGTCAGTGTACGTGGGGCTAAATATATGCACGTCGAGCCTCTAAAGCCTACGGATGCCTAGCAGTGGGAAGTCTATCAGGATTGAAAGCCTGTTTGCAAATTTCTTAGCTTCAAACGCAGGTGTTTGTCAAGACGCAGGCTAGACAGTTTGTTTCTATTTTTTTTTTTTTTTTTTTTTTTTTTTTTTTTCTCGCAGGCGAACTCGGACAGTGGCATTTACGCAGGGTTCATTGGACCATAGCCGATGCCTGGGGAAGAGCTCACAACGCGGAAAATACTCGACTCGTTTGAATTGATCTTATTCAAAGTCAAATTCGCTACCCGAATCGTCTTCCTCGGCATCGTCGGCTTTCTTCTTCAAAACCGGCATGGCTATGCTGTCACTCGTCCGTAAAAGAACACTGTGCAAGTTGCTGACCCTGCGAGGAGCCCGCCCACGGGCTTATACTTTTCGTCGACAAGGTACAGAATGACGTCGTTAATGTTTCGGAGAATCTCCAGGGTTTTCCAGTCCGTGAAGCCGACAACTATATGGATGCAAAATCCTCCTGCGGGAGGAATATAGTAGGTATTTCCTGTGATGGCCTTAACCTGACTTCTCACGTACTTGGGATCAACTCGCTGCTCTCTCTTTCCGTGGGTTCTGAGGCCAGGCTCTGGCTTGGCCATCTGGACAACGAAGGGAACTTTCTTGTTTCTTGCGTAGAATTGGGGCCCTAGAACGTCTGGCAACTTCTTGTGAATACGAGCGTCTGCAAGGATCAAATCGTTCTCTTTGAATAGCCTGATGAGAGCTTTTTTGCTATGCCCAAACAGTTTAGCTTTGGTGAAGGAGATGATCTGACGGAAGAGGTCCTCAGTAGGCAGATCTTTCTTTTGTAGCTCGTCCTTATAGAAGTTGACAGGATCGTTTGTTATAAGACACATCCGTCTCTCATCTATATCATGCAATTTGTGAGTCAAGGGAATGATTCTGGGCGTTTGGTCATTTTCCTTCACGAGATGGATCTTAGTGTTGAGCACTAGGTACAAAGCGTCGTGATGGTGCTCATCGGCGGATTTTGCATGAGCTGCTAAACCCTTTATAGACCTCTTGGCCTCTTCCCTGGCCTCATCGCCAAGAATGAACATTCTATGTTGGGATTTTTCTCGAAATCTGGGGTGCTGTCTCGGAGAATTTGCACCTAATCTCATCACAGCGTCTGGCCTGTAGATAGCCTGTATCAGCCCCACAGTCTTTAAGACAGATCCATACCACACTTTCTTTTCAACAGAGTAGCACTGCTCAACCAATACCTCCAAAAACTGCCCAAGCTGCTGTAAACATCATGTACATCAACATTTCTGGCTTTTTGTCGCTGTATCTTAGCACTGGGCTAGGATCACTCTTTCAAACCCAGAACGTGTTAACTCCCTCCATTTCTAACAACGAGGGCTCTTCCCCATTGATCAAGCCTGGGGCCCTCCATCGGATTTTGTGAAACCGGAGGCAATCGTGCTTTGGCATGGCTTGGGCGATAACTACAACTCTCTGGGGATGCGTCATGTGAAGGAAACAATTAACCAACTCATGCCCGAGGTTTATGTTCACAACGTGGCAGTGGATCTTGATCCCTCCATTGATGAGAGACGCTCTATGGTGGGCGACGCAAATGTGGAGTTAGACTTGGTATGTGAGGAATTGAGCACTGTTCCCGAATTGCAACACGGTTTCGCAGCCATGGGCTTCTCTCAAGGAGGCCTTTTCTTGAGAGCTTTGGTAGAAAGGTGCTCAAATGTGTCAGTTCTGACGCTTGTCACATTCGGCTCACCACATATGGGTGTCCTGGAGCTTCCCATGTGTGCCGATAAGAATGACTGGCTTTGTAAGAAGAGGAACGAGATTCTAAAGAAGCAGGTGTGGTATGACACAATTCAAAAGTCAATCATTCCAGCTCAATACTTTAGGGCTACCTCAGACTACGACCGCTATTTGAAATACCTGAATTTCCTCGCTGACATCAATAACGAGCGCAGCGATTCTTTTAGTGTGGCAGCCAAAGAGAGGTTTTCTAAATTGAGGAAGTTGGTTTTGATCAAATTCACTGAGGATACCACACTTGTGCCCAAGGAGAGTGCGTTCTTTCAAGAAGTAGACCCCTTGGGAGGCTATATTGTGGATATGCGCCAGACAAGACTCTACAAGGAAGATCTCATAGGCTCGAGACAACTCCACAAAGAGGATAAGATTGACTTTCTTACCGTGGAAGATAATCACATGAGGTTCCTGGACGCATTTTTGGTTGATATTATCAGCAAATACTTCATGAATGGTTTATAGAGCAGGTCTCTATATAGGGTGTACGGGTGCATCTATGTAACATCTGATCTCACTTTACGTATTTTCATTCAATAATGTCAGATCGAGTGGCAAGATTGGCCGAACTTAGAAGACAGCGAAATGGTCAGCCAAGTGATGACGTAAAAGCAAGTTCTGGGAACTCTGCGGTACCAGAAATAGGGCACCAAAGCATTGGTAGTGCTACTGAAACGCTATCAGCTCCTCATGATGGGACGCAAGAGCCCCAGCACGAGACATCCGATGATGCTATGGAAGAGGACAATGGCTATAATAGTGATTTGAAGCGTGACATTGCTCCATTACTCGCCAAGGCTGAAAGGAAGACCGATGCTGCTTTGAATAGATTGATCTTGAAGAGGTATCAAGAAACACAGCAGCAGGCTGCACAGGCACAAGAGGTCCCCAAGACATAATTGAGAGGCAAGTATGTGGAAGATGATTTTTGATAAAATGAATTATGGTATCGTTTGAGGCTACGTTTTAGCAGGGAAATGGTTGGGGAATGTGTTTGGGGCCTCAATATAACTGCACCAATCTGGCACTTTCAGGTTACAACTTGACAACAATTGATTCGACCGAGATAAACCTCGATATGTTTTCGATTGCCCGAGGCCTCTCTTGCGTGGATTCAAGATATTCACAATGGTTGCAAAATACCTAAACCACGGGTGGAACCGATACTAATCATAATAACTTCGAATTTGATCCGAACAAAACGATCAAAAGACAATCATAATATTTTCACCATAAATTCCAAGGTTTATTAACTCTAGATCACTAGCGTAGATTGTAGCGACGGAACGTTTAGAGCGCGCAGCCTTCCCGTTTGGGCAGTCGAGGGCCTCCAATGAGATCGCAGAATTCGCACACCGAAGATTGTGCGAAGTTGGAACCGGTTGTGGTCGAAAAAAAACTATTCAGAAGAGAACTACAAGGTACCTCCTTTCCCGATAATGGCTATGATCAACAGAATTGTCACCAGAGCTGCCCGTCCAGCCTTCATGGCTGCCCGCAACCCGTATGTTTTCAATCTGAACATAATTTTCGCCGATTCCGGTTCACTGAACAAGTCATAATCCACAATCCAACAAATCGAAAGAGAAGCCAGACCATGAAAGAAAATATAATCCGAACGCCATAGTCCGACCAATTGATATATCAAGGGCCCCATTTCTTTATTCCCGCCTTCCTAATTTCGTTCCCAATTGACCAATTACTACATATATATTTGACCGCCCAGAAACACATGTCATATATTCACGCTTCGAGATCCGGAACACGCCGTTGAAACTAATACTAACAAACAGAATTGGTATCCGTTGTTTGTCTACTCCAGTGGAGCCAAAGGAGAAGGCCAACTCCATCGTTGACGCCTTGCCAGGTAACAACCTCATTTCCAAGACTGGTATCTTGGCCACCTCTGCCGCCGCCGCTGTGTACGGTATTTCCAACGAGTTGGTTGTTTTGCATGATGAGACTATCTTGGTGGTCACTTTCTCCACCTTCGTCGCTCTTTGCGCCAAGTTCGTTGCCCCATTGTACACCGAGTGGGCCGACGGTGAGATCAAGAAGGTCAACGACCTCTTGAACGAGTCTAAGAACAAGCATGTTTCCGCTGTTAAGGGCAGAATTGATTCCGTTTCCCAGTTGAAGGAGGTTGTCAACACCACCAAGCTGTTGTTCGACATTTCTAGAGAGACTGCCAAGTTGGAGGCCGAGACCTTCGAGTTGAAGCAGAAGCTTGCTGTTGCCCACGAGGCCAAGGCCACCTTGGACTCCTGGGTCAGATTCGAGCAGCAGCAGAGACAGTTGGAGCAGGAGCAATTGCTCAAGTCTGTCTTGGACAAGGTGAACAAGGAGGTCGAGAACCCTAAGTTCCAGGACAAGGTTTTGGCCGAGGCTGTTGCCGAGGTCGAGAAGGTTTTCGCCAAGGCTTAAATTAGTTTACGTAGAACGAATCAAAACGACTAAAGATATATTCCTTCAGCTATGTAGAACCGTGTGAGCGGGTTTCCATACGTGTAGAGAGTTATCATCGGCAACACTAGCGACCATCCAGTCCTCGTGTAGTGACCAGTCAAAGTCATTTACACCGAGCATATGCCCCTCGTGGCTAAAGAGGAGGCCATCCTTGTGCTCGGAACGTCCTAGATCATGAAGCTTGACCAGCTTGTCCGTCGAGGAGCTTCCCAATATGGATGCGAACTTTGGATGCCACCTTACCTGAGTAGTAGAGTCTGTATGGGGATTAAAGTTGAATATGCTGCCCTGGCTCATGGAACGGAGGTCAAAGATGTTAGCAGACCCATCACTGTGACCAGAAGCCACACTTCTGCCATTGTGATTAATTGAAAGCGAATTACAGGCAATGCCAATGTTATGCTCAGCAACGGGGCTGGAGCTGCCACTTCTAGTGTCAAAAAGTTTGAGACTGCCTGAATCATCTGCAGAAAGAAATACGGTATTATGTGTTGGTATCCATTCGATATCGTTGATGCCAACCCCGGTGTCATAATACTTGATGACATCAATAGATGTGTCATCTTTGCTATTATAGCCCGACAGGATATCGTAGATGTTGATGGTGCCGTCCATGCTACCTGAGGTTATCACACCTTCTGCCTGCTTGTTCCAGTCAAAGGCGAATATATCCTCATTAGATGGCTTGGCTTTGTTCACTAAACGTAGTTGGGGTTCATTAATTTCGTTTTCGTTTCCGAGTGTCTTGATATTGGAGTGTTTGGTACGATTGTAGACTGACAAGTTGCCCATGTTGTTTGAACTTGCAATGACGTCTGGGTTTTGGGGCATGTACCTAAGCTTGTTGACATCTCCAAAGTGGTTGATCGACTGGATATTTCTTAATTTATTCTTGGAGACTGCTGGAAGCTCGAACTCGTGCTTCTCAGGATTATAATCTAGCTGATCCACATTAAGATTTTCATGAAAGTCTCTATAGTACGGTAGCTGCCAGATTGACACTGTGTCTACTCCTTGGCCTAAAGTGAATGTACCAAGAAGAAGCCTTTGATAAACAAGCGATTGAGGAACCTTTGCATTGTTGCTTTCAGTTGTTTCCAAGTCCGGGAAGAATTGAACGGTCAACGAAGGCCATAATAATGAATTGGTGGAGACGTAGTCATATAAGAAGGGACTGTTCTTTTTCCAGACTCTGTAACGTTGCTGTGTGGCTTTGTCGATAGCTCCATGCTCCTCGACATCAGACATATCTGCATCTTCGGCGTGCATTGTGGGTGTTGTTACTGAAGTTGTTCTTGAGTCGCGTTACGCGGTTTAGTCTAAAAGACGCATCGCACTGTGGAGTAGGACCTATTCAATCTCGAGGAGACATTTTGAAAAAAAAAAAAGCAATGCAGAATATAAGAAGTAAGAAAAAGAGAAAGATTCAAACAATTTTATAAAATGGCTTCCAAAACACTGCTAGTAAATCAATTGAGGGCTACATAGTTTCCATTCGGCAAGGAAATGAGTGGATGCGATGGTCTACTAGCTGCTTGGTGCACTGGGGATACACACTTTGAACCAGTAAGCAGAATATGTCAAGAGCTCATGTAAATGTTTTTCATCATTATTGTTGACCCAGTCTATGTATGCTGCTTGCTCAACGTAGCTCATCTATTACTTAATCGGTCTCCTTGATCGCCTGAATGCTGGCAAGTGAATCGGAGCGCCTGGACTCTGTGCTGAAGCTGTTCACCACCAGGGTGAAGTCTTGGTTGAATATAGAAGCCTTGTCGTTCAAAAATGCCGTGAGTTCATCCATGGTTTCTTGCAAGTGCTCATCCGTCACAACATCCTTTTGCTCCTCATCCAAAACGGGCTTTTTTCTTTCTTTCCCACTCAAATCACTGAGCACCTGATTGAGTTTGATAAGTTCATAGTAGTTGTCGTAGATGATGGACTTCTTCTCGGAGTCGTGGAAGTTAAGCTTCCCACTGGCTTTGTTGCGAACTTTGAGGAGTTGTGAAGCGGATGCTGTCTTGATAAATTCTTCAATATTAGACGGATCATCGAGATCCTCTGCCAGTGTGGCTTCTTCTGTTGTCTTTTCGTCTTCCTCTTTAGGCTCAGAAGGAGTGGCAGGTGCTTCGTGAGTGCCCTCGGCTTTCTCCTGATGAAGCTTGTAGAAATCTTGCAATGCTTTTCTTCTGGATGACACTTTTCTAGAGCTCCCTAGAGTAGGCGTGCTAGGGGCTGATGGTGATTCTGGTGCAGAACTGGAGATTGACTGAGTGCTAATACGTGGCAGCCTGGACCCTAGATTAGGATCTTGACCAGTGTTCTTGCCATCTTGTCGCTGAGTACGCTTTTTGTAGGAAAGCACAGGGGTAGATGCTCCCAGAGACATTGAATTGATATGAAGTGTTGTTACGATCTTTCTGTGTATCGGTTCAAGAAGTTGTTGATTTCGCACGTGACGGAATTTCGGACTACTCTTCTTTGAAAGGCAGCTTACATCGGGACTATGGAAGAGGAAATCAGACTTAACGATTCGAAGCTTGGGACCAAACAATAGTATGTATCACATGGGTATTTAGTGTTCTCACTAACGTTAGCTGGAATGAGTTCTACCAGAAGGAGATTGAAAATTTCGATGAGAACGACCAGGACACTGGCGAAAACTGGTTCGATGACTCAGATGCTGAAAGAAGAGTCATTGATTTCTTTATAAACATGGTGGAAGAGGATCAGTTTGATTCCGACGAATTGAACATCCTAGACTTGGGTACTGGAAACGGTCATTTCCTATTCGAACTCAACCAAGAGATTGAGGAGCAGGATATCGCTGTGAAGCTTCTCAATAATGGTATAGATTATTCGCCCGAGTCTGTGGAGTTTGCCAAAAAGGTAGCCCTGAAGAGATTTTCAAACCAGTCGTATACTTTTGAGGAAGTTGACTTCATTAGAAAACAGTGCCAGTACTTGGACGACAATAAGGAAAAGTTCGACGTGATTTTTGACAAGGGTACTCTTGATGCCATTGCTCTTAATAACGATCCTGTTGATGGCTTTGATGGAAAGATTGGAGTCGATGTTTACCCCTTGCAAGTTGCCAAATTGGTGAAATCCGGATCACTTCTAATAATCACATCATGTAACTTCACAGAGCAGGAGTTGACAAAAATCATTACTCAAGCAGGTGAATTCAAGGTATTCAAAAACGTGGAATACCCCTCGTTTCAGTTTGGTGGCCAGAAGGGCTCAACCATCTGTACCATAGCATTTGAAAAACTTTAGAAATAGCATGTATTATACAAGATCGCAAAAGACTCTATTTATCCTCCTTGGTGATCTTTTCTTGAAGCTCCTTCACCTTATTCACCAAGCCGTCTCTAAGTGTCTCGTTAGAGAATTTCACAAGATATTGCACAAGCTTGCCGCTCACAACAGAGTTGAATCTAAGAAACTTGCCTGGGGACAAACTTGCTTCTAGTCCTTTGATAAGCTCCGTCTCTGGGGTGATCTTGTAGTTCAACACGACACGCAAAAGTCCTTGAGATCTCATCACAATGCGGACCTCCTTGGAATCCAGCTTGGATTGGTTTAAATGTAGAGGACCAACACCCCGCTCTTTCCAGCCTTCCTTAATGTTCGAAAGGTCTAGCTCAAACACCTTAACTGTAGCAGAGAAAACAGACTCCTCGTTTTCCTCACCTGTCGTAACTGTCTTCTCCTCGAGATCTACTTGCTTGTACTGTTGTGATGTCTTTGGTTTGGATTCGTCCACTGAATCCTCCTTCTCTGCTGTGGGCTCCGGGCTATCGAGGAAAGATGGCTTCAGCAATGTTTGTTGGAAAGCATTGCCGAACTTAGATTTGGAGCCAAACAGCAGGACATTGGAGCCAAACAGTGAAGTAGTGGATTCATCATTGGCGGAAGCAAAGATGTCGGGCTTCTCCTTTGACTTCTTAAAAGCATCACCGAAGGAACTCTTCGAGCCAAACACTGGTGTAGTATCTTTTGGAGTAACGGAATTCTTCTCCTCAGACGAAATTTTTGAGGATTTCTCAGACTCGACTCCTTTCTTCTTTGAGTTGTCTTCCTCTTCCACGGATTCTTTCTTCTCCTCAGGCTTCTTCTCGTTCTCGGGGTTTTCAGTCTTACTACCGTTCTTCGAATCATTGCTGTTTCCCATCGTTTCTTTCTCGGTCGAGCTTTTTTCATTAAGCTCTGTTTTGCTCTTTTTGGCTTCCGCCTCTGGCTCAGAGTCCAATTTTCTTTTAAGGGTTTCTTCAGCCATAGCTCTCTTTTACTTGGAGTAAATAGTTGAAAGTTGAGGTTAGGCGCACCAGAATGTACACCACGATGATAGTGTCCAGCAGGTGAATCTTCTAGAAGTGATTTTATAACTTCAAAATTAATTACATGAAAGGTTCAAATAGGTATTAATATCAATCGGGTTTCTACTTAGTTTTGGTGTACTCACACAGCTAACTAACTATGTCCTGCTCCTGAGCGCGTTTAACTTAACAAACAACACTTCCTCATCATGTCCACCCAACAGGTAGGTTATCCAACCTATGACTAGAGATTCTTTATACTAACAGTACCAGGAAACGAAAGAGATTGAGGATCTAAGGAAATTGAGGTCTGTACTCGCTGCAATCAAACAGACGGTTGACGATGTACATAAAGACATCGAGACTGCAAGGGAGAACAAGGTCGCCACTAACGAGGAGCTTGTAAAGCTAGAAGACATAATAAGGAGAGTATAATTGACTACGTTCGCCTATGTGCAATGGGATCTTGGCAGCTAAGAGACATCGCTTTCCCTATATCTATGGAGATTGACGAGAAGCTAAAACACTCAGAACGAGCGGAGCCGATTTGTATTTGCTTTCCAGACCTTTTATAAAAGCGAAGCATCTCAAAGTTGAGACTCCAGCCGTGTTGTTTTGATATCGTCATGGGCATTCTCCAAATCTACTGCACATTGCGGGGACATCACCAAAACAGGCTGCCTACTCCTTGGTACCGATTTGCCATTTCTTGTGTGAGCTCAGCACGCTAGTTTGCCATGCTGGTATATTATGACGATGCCAGAGTATGGGCTAACATAGATCATGCCTTGAAAGATCAACTAATCTTGAAGGTTATATCGTCTCTAGAATGCCTGATATGCTCAGAGGTGATGCATGTGCCGTTTCTTGCTTCTTGCGGCCACTCCTTCTGTTACAACTGTCTCAATGCATGGTTTGCCACGAAGGTGAACTGTCCGACCTGTCGATCAGAACTCGAACAGGCTCCAGTGCTCAACATACGACTCAAAGATATCAGCAAAAACATCACAGACATCGTGATAGAGACGATGGAAGATGCACATCATAAAGAACAACTCGAAACCGCACGACAGTCGGTATTAGATGACTTTGAGGAGGCCAAGAAGAAAAAATCATTGTTTGACGAGGCCTTCAATAGTGCATTAACTCTCGTCGACAACTCTGATGGAGTGCCTAGATGTGGTAACTGCCATTGGGAAGCTCACGGATCAACATGTTTACACTGTGGAGCTCGTTTCAGAGTCCCAAGAGAAGATCTGTACTTTGACTCAGAAGACGGCGATGCATATAACGAAGATAGGGAAGAGGTTGAACTTTATGGAGATGAACGGGATGCGTACGATTCAGAAGACAGTTTTGTTGACTCTCGTGGACTAAACGACATACAGAGAGAGAGATATGTGGAGCCTGGGGACGAAATACTATCATCAGGAGAAGATGAAGACCTTCGAAGCCAGAGTAGCGACCTGTGGGGAGGTTTTCGAGAGGACGGTGGTCGTTACGGCCTTAATGCTGATGAGATGAATAGCGACGCAGAGGATATGGAGCTGGCAGTAAGACGTCTACACGACCAGGACTTAGATGATTATCAATATTTGAGTGACAATCAGCTGTGGTCAATTCAAGACATATCATCAGGAAATGAAGCTGCTAGTGACTCAGAGCCCGAGACACAAAGAAGCCGGCGAAGCCGAACCATTGTCGTGGACTCTGATCTGGATTAAAGGCGAACCGCTACTAAGCAATGGCTGCGAAATATGCGCGGCGTGTTCTGTCTAGTATGTGGAGCCAGATTAGAGAAATGGTGTGGTCGTGCGCGCTACCAAACATTACCTATACTTCCATTGGTTCAAAAAGTGCGCTGATGTTTTCAGACAGACAAAGCTACAACCCATCTATTCAACCATGGACCCACAGAGAATTATTAGATTGCAAAAGTTGTACCAGAACTCCAACCAGAGGTTGTGGTTGAGAGGCCCCCGCTCCAAGGCTTTGGTGTACCCATTCTACGCCTTGTTCACCGTGTCCACGGCTGTTCCATTGTACTACACTGGCAGAGCCCTCTTTGGTATCAAGGCCGAGTAAAGACAACGGAGCTACATAGAAAATGAATGCATCAACGTGACTGCCCAGTAGACCTGAGGCTTTTAACGAGTTTGGATCTGATCTTACTTGACTGCAACCTTGCGACAGTTGAAGGCGTCCAAGGTACTGAAGTCTGTTGCGACATGAACACAGCAGCCATGAGACTCCAGATCAGATGAGAAGAAACCGTTTTTGACGATATCCGAAACTAGGTTTTTTATCATCCCTCGTGTACTAGCCATAGCTCTCCCTTTCGTAATTCAGTCCTATCTAACGACCTGCTCTTCTCCTTGCCTAGGAACATTTCGAACTCAGGAGGTCTCTGCTAAGCGGCATTTGTTGGGATCTATTTCGCATAGCAATGCTTTGTGAGATCGTATTCGTGAGCTCCGATTTTGACATGAAGCCATGGAGAGCAGCACTCACTGCACTGGGCTTCACATGTCTTTGGGTTTGTGCCTAATTTGGCTTTAAAGACGGCTGTAGAGTGTTCTTTGTTCCCCAAACGTGGACATTGCTGAATAATTCTGGATACCTCAGATATATGAGGGATCACACAAATCATGAGAGAATCGTACTCATTCAATGTGAACGACCATGTGGTTAAGATCCGACTGATAGTAGAATAACACTTTTAACAATTTCGCAAGACTTCACAACATTGAACTAAAACCAGTGGTGATGAAATTTTTCATTAACCGTGTGATTCGTCACCCATCTTCAACTGATCTCAAATGTGATCCTGAATTGGGTGCAAAATTCATGCGCTCGTGGGTGCATATGTTGGCTGTAGTACGTTGGGTTTCTACACAATGAAACTAAATACTGCCACATCAAATCGAAAAAACAAAAAAAACTCTAATCAAAGGATTCTAATTCTTCTGCGAAACTACCTATTATACGAAAGTCCCTCGATGATGGGGCCATCAGTCTTGGCCGTTGTCCCCACCCAACTTCTTTGAATCTCCTTCATTGTGCAGTCTTATCAGAATTATCTCTCCACCACAAGGCCCCTTCTATTCTACTCAAGCTATACCATGGTTTCCCTGTTACTCGAGTTTCCCAGCGATGCTCTCAATAACGTCCTTTACTTCCTACCGCAAGACCTGCTTCTCAACTTGGCCTTGACGAATTTCCACTTCTATGAGCCCTGCCTCAAGAGACTTTACCAGAGATTGGTGATCCAGACTGACCCGGCTTTGAGATCAGCAAGCACCGTTCCTGCTCACTATAGACGAGACGATTTTGTGGAGTCTTCAGCGACGGTGATAGCAGGATTGAGCGATATTGAGAGACCAAGACAGGCACACTTGAAGATGGTAGAGGCGAGAGTGAGAACGCTAATCACCTCTATCCAAGTGAATCCACAATTAGCTCAGTACATAGAGCTGATAGAGATAGAAGGCAGTTTCAGCAACAGTGTCGAGAAGGCTATATATGAATTGCTCCAGCTTCTTAGCACACTTGCCGATGAAATCACCAAGATATACATATCAGATCTGGGCCTAAGAAAACGACTCGGATGGATCGATTTGTCGAGATCATTCCCTTCCTTGACATCCATTTGCGTTGACAGTGTTCTGGAGATAGCAGACCTCAAAGATTTTCCAAAGCTTCACGAGATCGTGGTGGCCGATGTTGAGAAGGATCCATCCATGAATGCAAGCCACGTTCAGGTTCTCACGAAGATCGAGCACCTCATAGTCAGTTCTGAAGCAGATGTTTCAAACAGGTTTTTTGATGCTCTTTGGTTGCTCTACAAACAACAGCCATTTGTGTTGAACAAACTCAAGACCTTCACAGCATACCATTGCCACGAGCACCAGCACACTTACCCGTATGTGGACTTTCTGAGTCTCGAAAACTTCCAAATTTCTCTAGGCTGTGACGATGTTGGAAATTGTGATCTGGATTGTTTGGAAACATGCTTATCCCAATTTCACTTTACTCAACTTAAACGTTTGGCGGTGATCCAGAACAGCCACCATATCCACAACAATCATCGCTATAGTGAGATCTGGGACTTGGCTGTCTTCAATTTTGTCAAACTGGTGGTTGAAAGCTCCGACACCTTGATCTACCTCTCCATTCGGCACAATGTGCCTCCCGATGGAGTGATTGACGATGGATTCGAAGGCAACTATCTCAGAAAGGTCAAGCTTTACACAAACTTGCTTCCGAATCTTCTTGCAACCCTCCAGAAACATGTGGTAAATTTGATGCTTCCGAATTTGGTTGCATGTCTTTCTTGCTACGAACAACCAATGAACACATTTATGTGGAATGGTTGCAAATGTGACCACTGTGACAAGTATTTAGAGAAGCTCGACGACTACCTTCTTTATCACAGATACTACAGCTTTGGAAAGCAAGTTTACAAGGATGTGTTGACGGTCCAATTGATGAGAGCGATGAGTGAGGTTTTAGCAGACCGTGTGGTGTTCGACACAAACTATGGGGACTTGTTTCAACTACGCAGACCTTTGAGGAACATGAACTGGAACTTTCACAACAGCAAATTCTCCATTCCGTTCATGTGTTTGCCGGTGAAGACATATGAGATGGCTGACTTTGAAGATGAGAAGGCAGAGTTGAAAGAATCACACGAACGGTTTTTTGATGCGGAAGAACACGAAAATGACTGCCAGTTCCTTCGTAAAGAAACGTTTGTTCCCGACTACTCGGTCGTGGTATCACATTTCCTCAATGACTTGATCAGAAAAATGATCAACCTTAATCGAGGTGATGCTGAAGACGTTCTTATCGGCCAAGAAGGTGACGAGAACGATGGATTCACAAACTTACGAATCAACAAAATGCTTATCAACGGCATCAACTTCAATTTCGACCATGAGCTCAATGGAACAATTTTTTTCAAAAATGTCTACGATGAGCTTGACGACTTCGACGAGGACATCAAGTACGAGATCTAGATAGTGCGCGAAAGCTACCACCCATGCTTACAGTTTCACTCTTCGATGTATGTACCCCACAGCATAGACCAAAAATAAAACTAACGGAAGCTTATTACTAGACGTAAGAGAAAGCTTCAACTCAATCTACCCTGGGAGGATAAAACGTTGGAAAATGAGAGCGCCGTGTTCTTGTTCCGAAACATCTCCTTGAAGAGAGCCTTTTACGACAAGCTCGGGGAACGGGATGGAAGCATTCTAATGTTCGACTGTGGAGCAGGCTTCACAGATACGTTGAACCTTGAAGATTGTCGTGTGTATCATGTGGCGACATTCGATAAGCTTCTCCTGCAATTGAGAGGAATCATGGCTGATGAAATGGAAGAGATCAGAGACTTGCACTTGAATACTTTGGTGATTGAAAACATCTCGAGCTTCTTCTGGACCCTACAGAGAGAGAAACTAACAGCTATGCGTTACTGCAAGTTGAGAGATACGTTGAACGAACTAAAGGAGTGTTACCAGTGCAATGTGATCGTCACCGGATGGGACATTGAATACGAAAGAGGATACAAGCCCTTCAAGGCCATTGCGGACCCTTCTAAGCTACATCATCTCAGTCTACTACCGTCCGAATTTTTCCAAACTTTCGACCTTATCGTGGCCTTTGGCAGACATAACTACAAGTACCAGGACACCTGGCACGAATGCACATGAATGTATGATATTGAAACCTCTAAAGAGTCGTTGTACGTCGTGGATGCTTACATGACAGTCAAGTCACCGAACTTCTCCTTGTAGGATGGGACCTCCCACTTACCGTTCTTGACCATGTAGTTAACCTTGTCATCGACATCAGGTCTAGCCTTGGCAACGTCGTCAACGGTCAATTGGTCGAATGGTCTGGAGCCCTCAATGTCCTTCAAGGTGGCCTGCAATTGCTCAATCTCCTCCAAGACAGACTTCTCGGTCAACTTGGCGTTCTCAACAGCCTTCTGCTCAAAGATGTCAATGGTCTTCAAGGTCTTGGACACGTCGTAAGTAACGGGCTTGAAAGAGCTGACGGCCTTCTCAACCTCGTCAATAACGCTCTGGTTCTTCAACACCTTTCTGTAGTGGGCAAAGTCAACCTCAGTGGACTCGCTGGACAATTCGAGGTGCTCCTTCTTGGCCTCGTCGTTTCTCTTCTTGAATGCGTTCAAACTGGCAGAAGTCTTGCCGGTCAATCCAAAGAGGAGATGACCTGAGCCCAGTTCAATTTGGTGGCAGCACTCTTAGCAACAGACATTGTTTATCGAGGTTGTTCTGATTGAAGACGGTTGAGGTATGAGTTTTTTGGTCGGTGCAGTGTGCGCAAACCGTGCTAGTGCGGATGCTCGGGCTTCCAATTGGCCAATCAGGGTCAGCCCCGGTGCACTTGCAAGAGAGAGGATTGAAGGACAGTGGACGTGAAGTAATTCAATGAATGTGTAAATTTTAAATTGAAAAGCCTTTTTAGGGAATTGGAGAATTGTGGCTGGAATAATTGCTGGTAGATTCCGGCTTCTTGAAAATATCACGTGACTAAATTGAATCTGGTGTTACAGTGGACACAACCGGCCGTGGCGTTGGATCTCCGGTATTTCTCGATACAAAGTCAAAGCTGGCATGTTGAAGGGTCAAGTATTCAAGGTGAGGGTCTAGAGAGGCAGGGTGATGTAGAAATGGCATGGAACATCCCACCACCTCAACCTCAGAAGTACAAAACCCTGGCGAGTAAATAAACAGTTCTTCCATCAGTTTCTTTATTGAACAAAGTTTATTTCATTGCAGCTGCTTAACCCACCTCGTCGTAGATCACTTCATGTATAAGTCGCGGTCCATAGGGGTCTCTCTTCGCAGCCATTTTTACCATAGTGCCGACAATTTAGATCCGCAACCGTGGTAAAAATATCAACTCCATTTTTTCTGGATTAAACTTCTCGATAAGATCCATTCCGAGAATTCCGCCATCTCTTTATCCACCAACTCGGGTTTTCTTGCCAGATCGAGACTTGTCCCAGAAGAGCTAGCGCGACTACCTAAATAACTGTGCGTAACGACCATTGAATGGTAGATCATTGACGCTAAATTCAGATCACCAATAACTTCCTTTTTCCTCCACACAATCGCTAAACGTCCATCATGGCTCCTAATATGAAGGGCTTGACCCAGTTCATCGTGGACTTGAGGAATTCCAAAGATGCCGAAGAGGAGCACAAGAGAATCAACTTGGAAATCAGCAACGTACGCTCCAAGTTCTCCCAGAACCTCAATTCCTACCAGAAGAAGAAATACATATGCAAGCTCATGTACATATACCTCATGGGGTACACGGACGAGGTACAGTTCGGCCTAAAACAGGCGTTCTCCCTAATTGCATCAAACGACTACGGCGAGAAGCTGGTGGGATATATCCTGGTTTCTGTCTTATACAGTCGATCTTCGGCCTCGCTTAAAAGCTACTTCGAAGACTTGCTCGAATTGATATGGCCGAACCTCATGAAAGACCTAAGGTCCAACTCGGAGGACGTAAACTGTTTGGCCTTGCTGTTCATAGCCTCCAATTTTAACGTGTCTCACCAGGATCTTCATATTACAGAGCTGATTGTGACTGAGGCAGATGATCCGGCTTCACAGTGGCAGGAGCTCATGAGTCTAGTTTACCAACAGTGTGTCTCACCTACGACAAAGTCCTTCACTAGGAAGAAGGCCGTCATTGCATTTTACGTCTTGCTCAAGCTATACCCACAGATGATCTTGGCGAACGACAACTGGATACCGCGTTTGCTAGCTTTGGTTGACGACAAAGAGATCAGTGTTGTGCTCTCTGTTGTTCCCTTGGTCAAGCTTCTTGTTGATGTCAAACCTATTTATTCAAAGTCTCTTCTACCATCCATTGCAAATAGACTTCACTCAATTTTGGTGGAAGAGCGTTGTCCAGAAGACTACTATTACTATGACATTCCAGCACCTTGGCTCGTGGTGAAATTGTTCGAGCTAGTCGAACACTTCTTTGTTCTCGGAGAAGATCAAAGAAACCCAGTTGTGATTTTGGGTAATATCGATGATCGAACACTCTCCAAGCTTAGACAGGCGGTTGCTAAGCTGATTCAAAATGCATCCAGACCGGTAAAGGGCCAACCAAGCCGAAACTCACAGTCGTCCATACTATTCCAGGCAGTGTCGTTGGCTGTCTACCTAGACGCTTCTCCAGATGCCATTGAAGGCGCAATTTATGCATTGGTACAGCTTTTGACATCTCCAGAAACTAACAATAGATATCTTGTTCTTGATGCGTTGGTTAAACTTTCTGCAAGAGCCGATTCAACTGCTCATTTCAAGGATCATCTCGAGAAGATTTACAAGTCCTTGTACGACAAGGATATTTCAGTGAGAAAAAAGAGTATTGACTTACTCTACACTGTTTGTGATGAATCCTCATACACTCAAATCATTGCAAAGTTACTCGACTACTATCCACTCACAGAGTCTTCCTTGAAATCAGATATCTCAATCAAAATAGCTGTATTGGCAGAAAGATTTGCTACAGACTCCATTTGGTACATCACCACCATGCTTCGACTTCTCTCGATTGGTGGCAAGACTGCCAGAGCAGATCATCGTGATGGCCTGGGTTCTTCAGGGGAGGTATGGGAAAGAATTGTACAAATTATTGTAAACAACCAGGATCTTCAGAAGAAAGCTTGCAAGCTTATTATAAACCTTCTTAGAAAAGGCGAAGGTATGAATGCCGACAGTCTCGTTCGAGTCGGTGCATTGATCCTAGGCGATTATGGCCACTTAGCTGCCGAGGGCGAGGATCGTGACAGCCACTTCAGCACATTTTCTCAGTTCAAGATGCTTTACGAGGCCTACTTCAGGGCACAAATCCCAACTCGGCCACTCCTTTTGTCGTCTTTCGTGAAATTCTTGGTAAACTTTCCAAATGAGGATTTCGTTCCTGAAATTCTTGATTTGTTTGAGGCAGAAACACTATCGCTTGATTTGGAAATCCAAACGAGAGCCCATGAATACCTAAAAGTGGGAAGTCTAACTGCTAGCGGCAGTCAGAGTGATAGACAGTTTGCTAGAAGCATCGTGAAAGCTATACCTCCCTTCGATGTTAAGAAAAACAGTCTTTTGAACCATCTCGGAAGCTTGCAAGCTCTCAAGAGTGCTAAGTCTAGATCTACGGTGAACGTGCTGAAGATTCCGAAGCCCAAGGGCGAACGCCAGGCTACAACAGCAGGCTTTACTAGCGGGAGCGATTTGAGTGATGCCGACGAGGACTACAATGAGAGTAGTAGCGATCCATTTGGTGACTCTTCGGGAGCGTCGGTGATGAAGCTATCACCAAACTGGTACAGCGGCTACCACAGAATGCTTCATTACGATGCTGGTATATTCTATGAGGACCAGCTCGTCAAAATCACGTATCGTGTGGTGAAGGCCACAGCAAATGTGAATTACCAGTTCACGGTCATCAATAATGCTGCTAAGAACGCCAACACTGACATCACCGCCTTTACTGTTTTGGATTTGCATAATCCAGGCAAACGAGAGGATCCAAACTATTATATCAGACTTGTGAAAGTTCCAGATTCAACGATTGCCACGAAAACTACAATGGAACTCGTCGCCACGATTCGAAATATTGTCGAGAACAATGAAAGCCCAGTACTTTCCTTGAGTTATAGGTGCGGAGGATCGTTCAACACCTTACATCTCAAGGTGCCCGTGGTCATTTTGAAGACACTTTCGGCAACCAACTTGTCCGCTGAAGAGTTCAAGCGGAGATGGTTTCAGATCGGGGAAGCTTTAGGTAGCAACGCAGGCGAAGCAAGACAGGCAATTAAGGCAAATCACAAGTACATCCTGTCCAACGTTCTGCGTACGCTCCAAAGATTAGGGTTTGCCGTCGTTCATTGCACGCCCGACTCATCATCGGGGATATCCTTGTAATGGCTGCCGGCATCCTACACACTTCGACTGCAAACTTTGGAGTTCTTGTCTCGATGAAAAGTTTGGATCCCGACGGAAGACAATTCGACCTCACTGTCAGATGCACAGGCGGCGGAGTTTCCGAAGTCGTTTTCCAAAGCTTGGAAGAGGTTTTCGTCACCAACTCTTAGACTTTTACATGTTCTAGGCGAGAAGTTGCAGCTATCCATCGCCGTCTAGACCCTGTCGAGCGGGGCAGAAAAACCAGCACTGCCCGTGTGAGAAGACGTTTCTATGTTGACATGCTGCCTTGAGTTTCCAATGCATTTCCTGTTATGGGTAGTAAACCGAATAAGTGCAGTGCACAGATCGCTATAGGCTCGAGTGCACAATGATTTTGCCTGATCGGGGTAAATGAGTCCTATGCGATTTTCCCCAATAGGCAACGCCATTTATGCACCCCTGCACACAGAAGCTATCTTTTTGCAACCAGTGCCAAATTCTGATCTTGCCTAGTGTGGGAACTTTGTTGGTGCTGTGTTTTGTTATAAAATCTATCCAAGCGCTGCTGTTTGAATTTGGTCAATCTCACCAGAAGCAACACACATTCATTCATACCCGCTATGATCGCAGCTCAAGTGCTCGTGTTTTTTCTTTCCTTACTTCATGTCAGTTTGGCAGCTCCGGTAACCTTGTATCAGACTACCACTGCTGTTACATACGAGGATGGCTCTCAGTATTCTTACAACCCAACTGCTGACGCTACGCTGGCCGTGGCTGCATCTGCCGCTGCTACTGGTGAGGTCTCCGATGAATCCTCCTCCTCATCCGGATCTAGTGGCTCATCAATCTGGTCCACATTGCTGAACTGGTTGAGCAGCTATTCAAGCTCTTCCGGAACCTCCAGATCTGGTTCCACTTCCGGCTCAAGTTCTGGTTCCACCTCCGGCTCAAGTTCTGGCCTGGGCTTCAGCTTCTCCTCTTGGCTCAAGGGTCTTTTCGGTAACGATGACAACTCTGACTCCGGAAACGACTCATACACTAGCTCTGCTAGCACCCAGCAGCCATCTACTTCTGCTCCATCCTCCACTTCCACTGGTGGTGGCTGGTTCGACACCAAGACCTCCTCCACTGCTCAGCAGAGTAGCACGACTTCATCGGACTCGACTAGCACTGGTGGTATCTACGATGCCATTTACGACTCCTCCGAGGACATTGACAAGAAATTTGCCAAGGACATCTTGGATGCTCACAATAAGTACAGAGCTCAACACGGTGTTGACGAATTGTCATGGGATGAGGGTCCATACAAGTACGCTAAGAAGAATGCTGACGATTACGACTGCTCTGGTGTTCTTACCCACACTCATGGTCAGTATGGTGAAAACTTGGCCGCTGGATTCAGCAACGGTCCTTCTGCTGTGAAGGCTTGGTTTGATGAAGGTGAAAGTTACGACTACTCCTCTCATAACGAGTACAACCACTTCACTCAGGTTGTGTGGAAGGGATCCAAGAAGGTTGGCTGCGCCTACAAAGACTGTCGTCTGAACAACTGGGGCTTGTACATTGTCTGTGAGTACGACCCTGTTGGAAACGTTATTGGCCAGGAGGCTCAGAACGTCTTGAAACCCGTGTCATCGTAGGCAAACGATAACATGGATTGAAAATCTTCAGTTCGAAAATTGCCAATTGGTTCTCCGTTATACCTGTATTTTTTTTTTAAATAATCTATGTTCAATGATATCATACAAGTTCCGATGTATTTGTAGCGAATGGAAGTTTTGGGTAGTAGCCGGGGACATTTTTTGCGCCGGGGGTGTTCTCCAAAGACGCGGTTTTCATTAGGTGATCACCATAATTGTATTGTTTATTGTGCTTCTTCAGCTGCGTCTCCAATGCATTTTGCAATTTCTTGTCCTTGTAAACTCGTCTCACAGCGGCCGTGATGTCCCTCTTTACTATGCTGAAGTCATCCTCCGTGCATGGTGAGGCATCAAATTGGAAGAACCAGATCCCGCTTACCTTGAGTACATCGAGTTTCTTGGAAGGAACCACGTCATGGAGGGCATCAAATAGACTTCGCTTTACCAATCTCCTAAACTTGACTCGATCGACTGCCTTGTCCTTCGGGTGTGGTGTGGTCTTAAAGAACATGTTTCGGGAATAAGGCCCTCGATATTTCTTGAAGGCTTCGTACAATTCTTCATCATTCAAAGGACTGCCGCCTCTGTTAGAGAAGGTGTAGGCAATGTTGGACTTCCTGGCCCGCGATAGGTGATGAAAGTAAGGGAAGAACCTCAATCTGATGAACGCGTTGTTCACCAACAACGGTATTTGCTTAGAGATGCGTGCTCTCTCTCGGTAAAAGTAAACCAGATGATCAACACCTTTGATATCCGTTGGCTTTTTCGGTAGCTCTTCATTGGTTATGTGTGGCCATTGCGAGTATCTTGTGGGGTAGTGTGAGCGGTATGCTCCTTCAACGTAATGAGGAAACGATGGTTTTTGAAGGGCACGTAGCTCTACCAGCCTTGGAGGGATTGGATCAGGCGGCTTGCATAGAACCTGGACCCTTGTCTTCGTCAGTTGGCCTAGTAGCTTCTGGAGTAGGGACATGATTGAGAATGCGCATCATCAAAATTTACGCATTAGCTCGCTTCGCCATCCACGTCTGGGGACCAAAGCACCACCAGATCATCTGCTGTTGCAACATTCAAGAGTTTTGGATTGAATGCTACGATTTTGGACACACCATAACCTTGAAGATCTTTGAAGGGTCTGATGACGGGCTCGTTGGACTCCGATGCCTTCACTTTGGATACATCGTAAAGAGACACTGGACCCGAGGGAGAGCCCGCAAAAACAAACTTGCCACAAGATGTGAATGTAACCAGACCTGAAGTCGCGTAGTTGAAACGAAGCCATCCGTTCTGTGGCTCGTCGACCGCGCTCAAGCAGGTTAGTAGTCTACCCAGCATAGCATCAAGCACGTAATGCTGAGACGAGTCTGTGCCTATAAGCAATAGTTTGCCGTTGTTTGAGAACTCGAGCTTTGTCCATTTCTGACCAGGCGTGCAACTGACTTTTGATTTGGCGAAAGAGCCCTTTTCATATGAGGCCGTATCGTAGAAGGCCACGCTGCCATTGCCCGACTCGTCTGGACTGCTCGCAATGGCAAACACTATGCCTTGGGGATCATAGGCCACCAAGGCGGCCTGACCAGCGTTGATGTTTCCCAGAGGAGTTGTTAGTCTTAGGTCCCAGTGCTTCACTGTGTGGTCAGCACTAGCAGTTAGGAAGGTTTCAGAAACAGGATTCACCTCTAATGCAGTGACCTGGTCTTTGTGGCCTCTGAAGTAGCGTAGGTATGACTTGGTGTTGAGCGACAAGTAACGCAAGGAATGATCTGCGTCTGTTTCTGAGGATGGAGTGGATGCGTACAAGCAGCAGTGATCGTGATGGGTGAATCTGGCTAGATGGGCTCCGTATTTCTGGGATTGGATCTTTTTGACACTCGTACCCTTGTGGCAATCGTAGAGCTGGATCAGACGATCTACTCCAGCTGATATGAGGAATTGGCCAGAGTCATCGAAATCAAGGCTGGTGACCGAGGCGCCGTCGTGATGACTGAGATTTTTAGCCGGCCTGAGAGTCAGCAAAACCTTATCGGTGATGGCCACCGTAGTCAGGGCTTTTTTGGACATGTCTGGTTGAAGTTTGTGTGAAAAGATGCGTATATGCGCGTAGCGTGGTTGTGCAGTGGGTAGATATGAAGATTGAAAGAAAAAGCTCATTTGAGGGTTTTGAAAAAAAAAAGATGTCTTATGTTGATTGATTTAACTTGCAAAAGTAGGTAAAGAGCAAATCATATTCTTGATGAGTGGAGGGAACTCAATGAGTATTTCAAGAGATCTTTGAAGGACCATGAGATGTAGAGTTAGAGATTAGCTTACTTGCGAATCATGAACATAAGAGCAATATAGAGTCAGGAGGTTGAGGTGGCCCCTTGTTCAATTCATGAAACAGCCCAACTTCTAGAAATGGTAAGTAACTTCATCATTTTAGAGTAGCATAGAGAGCTGCCAATTGCTTAAACCATGCCTGGAATTTCGAACGACGGTGTTTTGCCATGATGAAGCTGATTTGCCACTTTTGCTATTTCCGCTCCGTTGGCGACTGGGGTAATGTACACATTGTTCCAGCGACAAAAAATGCGTGGAAAATTCGGGTTATCAGGATGGTTGCAAATTGATAAAGGGAACGGTGATTCCAACACCCGCATCAATTAATTTGCTCAAAAACTTGAGAATCGCTTAGTTTTCTGATTTTAGTTCATCATTAATGATTTTTTTTTTTTTTTTTTTTGTTTATTTTACCCCGTAGAGAAAACTTCCCACGGTGTGGAGCAACTCGGGCATACTTCCAGCCAGTAGTGAGCCCTCGCTTTGCAGCCGAGCCGGCCGATCTAAGCCGATGGTAGGTGAAAAGGTGGAAAAGTACCAGTTCTGACCGAAATTTTCTAATTTCTTCCAAATCAACAGTTCAATTTCACCTCTCCATTTGATTCGACTAGCTTGCTTATCCGCCAAGATCTCAACCCCGGAAGTGAAACAGCCGGTCTTATCGAAGGTGCCAAACAACGGCGTAACACTTCCTAGAAATTTACGTTAATTTCTCTCACCTTTCCGCTTCATTCATGATGCAAACTTCATCAAATGCCTCCGGTAGAGAACTCTTTCGGCATGACTCCACGTGACAGGTTATCTCTCCTCCACATAAGAGATGCCAGATTGGACTTGCTGAGCCTTCCACACATCTACCCCTTAACCACTCTTTACCATCCCCCCAAAAACCCAATTGACAAAGCTCCAATGGATAAAGTACCTTTCAAAGTAAAGGCACTCTACGAGTACAAGTCTGAGCATGAGGATGACTTGAATTTCGCTCCCGGCATGGTTATTACCGTGACCGAGGTGGAGGACGACGAATGGTACTCCGGTTATCACGGTGCCGAAAGCGGGATGTTCCCAAAGAACTTTGTTGAGCTTATTAAGGAAGAGCCCGCTACTCCGGCTGTACCAAGACACCCAGAACCTGCAAAACAGGAACCACCAGTTGCCAAGGAGCCCGAGATCAAGGAGCACCAGCCAGAGCCAATTGAGAAGAAAGAGGTTCCCAAACCAGCGGTTCTCCCCGGCCCCGGTCTGCAAAGAGACGACCCATACGCTGTGAAGAAGCAATTCGCAGGCGCAGGCAAATCGTCCTATGTTCCCCAGGTTAAGCCAAGAGACCAGTCCAACATTGTGGGGCATGCCCATCACGACGTGGCCAAGAATGCTGAAGTTGTGAGAGAGCATGACAAACAGCCTGAGGAGGAGGAAGCAGACGAGCCCAAGATGAGCTTGAAGGAGCGTATCGCCATTCTACAGAAGAGACAGCAGGAAGAAGCAGAGAGAGAGGCTGCTGCCTTGAAGAGAAAAGAAGAACGCAAGAAGAAAATGGAAGAAGAAAAAGAGCGTGTGAAGCTGCAAAAGGAGGCTCAAGCGCTTTCAGCCACCAGCACTGGTGCCTCACTAGACCGTCATGCATCCGAGGGAGAGGATGTAGACTCGATAGCCGATAAACGGTCATTGGCTGAGAGTGTGCCTTCAGTTCCCGGTCACGACGTGGCTCCCAGTATCCAAGAGGAAGAAGAAGAGGAGACGCACCATGCTGGGGCTGGTGCTGACGAAGAGGAGGAAGAGGATGAAGACGAGGATGAAGACGAGGAGGAACTCAAAAGACGCCGCTTGGTCGAAAGAATGGCCAAGATTTCTGGTGGTCGTAACATGTTTGGTATGATGGGCATGCCAACGCCGTTTGGTGCTCCAGCTACTTCCAAACCAAAGAAGACCAAGACCAAGTCTGTTGATGAAACTGAGGCCTCAGAGGCTACAGATGTGCCAGCGCCATCCACTGAGGAGCCGGATGTGGAGGAGGAAAAGCCTGCTGCACCTGCTGTTCCTGCCTCCGCTGTTCCGATTCCAGGCTTGACTCAACCTGGGGTAGCTTCGACGCCGACGGAAGAGAAGCCATTGAACACTGCCACTGCAGCTCTCAAAAAGCCGCAACAAGAGGATTCCTCTATTGCTGAGTCCGACTACACTGACGAGCAGAACGTGCCTGTCACCAATGAAAGGAAGAATTTCGAGCAGGTCGAAGAAAGCAAGCCCAAGTCACCTACCTTGGAGCTGTCAGAAAGTGAACCCGAGCAAATTGACAGAGATGAGAGAATTGATCTCGGACCACGCTCGACCTACGAAGGTGAAGTCACTGGCTATGAAGCTGACGAAGACGTTTCTGACCGTGGAGCAGTTTCGAAGGATTTGCTTGGGGGCAACGAGCCCCCACTGCCACTGAAACTTCCGGGTGCACCTCCCGTTCCAGGTGGATTACCACCAAGCGAGCCACCTGCCGCTATACCAGAATCGCCTGCTTCGCAACCTCCAACTCCTAGCACAAGGGCTCCACCACCAATTCCTGGCTCTGCACCACCATCCGAGCCATCCACCAGAGCGCCTCCTCCAATTCCTGGCTCTGCTCCTCCAACTGAGCCAACCTCAAGAGCTCCGCCCCCAATTCCTGGCTCCCTTCCTCCCTCGGAATCAGGCTCCAGAGCTCCTCCTCCAGTTCCTACCGGAGCTCCTCTGGCGCCACCACCAATTCCTCTGGAGCAACCAGCGCCACCTTCAACGCGCCCCGAGGTGCCATCCTCAGAGCCCCCTGTTCCTGCCCAAGCTCCACCAGCACCAAGAGATGCACCACCTACCTCGAAGCTTCCTCCTCCACCTCCTATCCCAACCGAGCAGCCTTTGGGTCAAGATGCCGAACAAGAGTCATCGGACGATGAGACCGAATTTAGAGACACTGTTCCGGACCAGTCCAGGGCCCCGGAGAGAGTGCAAACGTTTTCACACACACCTTCTGTCCCACAAGTGCCAATTTCAAGAGCCAACACAACAGACTCCACAAGACGGTCATTTGAGTCACACAAGAGAAGATCATCTGACTTGTCTCGTCTGAGATCAATAGGAAAGGCTGAACAGCTCCAGGCCGACACTTACTTGCCAGTTTTGCAAGACGAACTCAATGAGGCCAACGAGAGCTCTGGCTGGTGGATCAAAGATGCTGTTCCAGACTCCATGGAAGCAAATGTTGGCACCGATTTCATCTTCGAGGTTGACCGTCAAAAGCTTACTAAGAGAGGAGGAAGAGAAGTTGTCTTAAAGGACTACTACATCTTGTTCCACGACTTGTCACAAATCGTGTTGGAGCTTCAATACGAAAGTGATGATCCAAGAACTACCCTCAGTGTTACGAATGCCTACGTCAAGCCACCGGTCGTGAACAGAAGGGATGTTCTCGATAGATACCACAGTCAATATGGATCGGCCGTCGTTAACGCTGCACAGGGTCTCGTCAACTCCCGTGTTAGCAATGGTTTTGCCAATACCGTGTTCCAACAGGTCAACAAGGCAACCGATGGCGCTTTGTTGAGCCCGATTGGCAACAAGTCCTACGGTGTTACTGTCTACAAGAACCAGAACGGCTCGGCGACTAAATACGATGACATCAAGCCGGGAGATATCTTGTGCATGAAGCATGCTAAGTTTACCGCACACGGGCTTGGTGGCTTGAGCACAAAGACTGTGACCTACGGTGACGGAAACCAGTTTTTCAATGGTGTCATCGTTGAAATTGATCATAAGAAAGACAAGCTTCGGGTGCTTGATGCGGACGATTCTGGAGCTGTGAAGAAGGAGTCGTTCAAAATCAATGACTTGAAGTCAGGAAGATTGCGTGTCTTCCGTTTTGTTGACAGACAGTTTGTCGGATGGTGATGGTGTTGTTAGAGACACTGCAGGCTATGTAACGCACCGAAGAATGCAAGGGCACAGCAAACCTGCAGAATGGCGCGGTTTCGGCACCGAGTCATCTGGAGAGAAGGCGAGGCTATATAGGACGCGGTGAGTGGCTGGGGCGCAAGGCGTTATGACATGTGATTTGCAAGCTGAAAACATACCCTTGAGTGGTACGACTATTTGCTGACCATGCCGAACTGCCGAGACTAAGCGGATCCCTGCTCGCAGTGTCACTACATATGCAACCTGAGTTATCCTAGAGATAAGTTGCCATGAGTGAGTCGAAGAACATTGATTCCTGGCACACCAACAAATATTGAATGTTACAGTAATAGAAGAAATCAAAGTTATTGAGTAGCTGAATACGAACGTGAATCATCACGGTCATCACATCAGAATTAAATCAAAATAACCGGTGCCTTGCCAATACACCCGTACACCGGACTGTGGAAATGTTCAGTCGGCATCTGTAGCAACCCAAGATACAGAATACTAAAAGTTCAAGTTTTCTTTAACTAGCTCTTTTTTCTGTTGGTACCTCAAGCACAAGCATGTCCCTTCAGAGTCTCGAGCCTGACTTTGCCATTGGCATCAAACGTCACAACTTGCCTGCAAAGGACGAAAAGGCCAGACAAGCAGCCTCCAATGACGATTCCAATTTGCAGTTGCTCTTCGACACTTTGGAGAAGTATGGTTTCAAGGCTCAGGTGCGTGCTGGCTCCGATGCTGGCACTCAACTCATTGTTTTTGTCAAAATCGTCTCCAAAGTTTACGAAGATCTCGTCAAGAAGGATTTGCTTAGAAACTTCGAGTTTGGTCTCACTGATGACGATGCTGCCTCGTACAACAAGCAGAGACTTATATACGAGTATTTGACCTCTCTGGAGGCTCTTGGTGGTGTGGGTATCACTCCAGGCATCGGACAATGGGAATTTGTGGAATCAGTTACATCTTTAGAAGGCTACTTAGCTGACAGCACTTTGAGCGAACAAGCCAAAACGGAGCTTTTGCTGCCTAGCTTCTACACTGCAAAGTTCAGAGAGCTCTACGGCCCCGGCGTGGCTTTGTACTTCGACTTTGTGCGTTTCTACACCGTGGCGTTGGCTGGATTGTCCGTTTTCGGGATTATTGGTTACTTGAAGTCGAAGAACTACTCAATTGCGTTTTCTTTCATTAACTTGATCTGGGGCGCCGGATTGCTCGTTTTGTGGAGAAGAAGAACCAAGTTCTTGTCGAACACCTGGGGTGTTCAAGGCGCTCTTGATTTGGAGAGGTTCCGTTCTGAGTTGGCTGGTGCTTCCGGTGATTTGCAAGATACAGAACACAGGTCCGAGACTGACAAGGCCAGATTCGTCAAACAACTTTTATTCGTACCCGTTGCCCTTGCATTTGGCGCAATCTTGCTCGCCGTCCAAGGTGGCTGCTTCGTTTTGGAGATCTTTATTTCTGAGATCTACGATGGTCCAGGCAAGTTGGTTTTGACATTGACTCCTACCATTCTCTTGAGTGCTTTTGTTCCAGTTTTCACAATTGTCTACTCCCTGGCTACTGAAAAGTTCATCGACTGGGAAAATCACCAGAGCAATCTTACTCGCAGCCAGTCTTTTGCTATTAAGTCATTTTTGTTGAGCATCATGACAGGTTACGTTCCGCTTCTCATCAGTGCCTTCATTTATTTGCCATTTGCTCACCTTCTCCAACCCCAATTGATCTACATCAAGAGAGCTATCTCTGGCAGAATTAGATCTGACAGATACGCCTACCTGTACTTGACAAATATCAAGTCTGAGGACAGCTTCCAGATCAATCAGGGCAGATTGGACTCTCAATACTTTTACTTCATTGTCACAAACCAAGTCATTGGCAGTGTCTTGAAATTCGGCTTGCCATTGATCTTGACCCCTACTATTGAGTTTGTGAAGAAGATCATTGGAGGTAACAAGGGTAAGGTCGAAGCTGAGGAGAACCCAGAAGAGAAACCATATTTGGAGCGCGTGCGTCGTGCTGTTGCTCTTCCAGAATACTCCGTTGACGACAGTTTTAGAGACATTGCATTGCAATTCGGTTATGTCACCATCTTCGGCTCGATCTGGACCTTGGCTCCTCTCGTGTGCATCTTCTTCAATGTGCTCACCTTTAAGTTGGAAGAGTGGAGATTGTCGAGTGGAAAGTACTTCAAACCTGTTGTGGCTAGAAAAATTGACACCATTTACCCATGGAATGTTGCTTTCTTCTTCTTGGCTTGGCTCGGATCTATTGTTTCGCCACTCGTTGCCTCTTTCTACCGCCATGGTGCCAAACCACCCAAGAACTTTGGTTCCTTTGGTTTCGACAAGGCTAGTGTGAACGTTGGATCTACTGTGGGTCTTGTCACCGTTTTGTTGTTGTCTGAACACTTATTTTTCGTGTTGTACTTCATTGGCGGCAAATTGAGTGACCTTTACAAGTCGGAGAAAGAGATTGAAAACGACAATTTCCAGAACACCCTCATCTTGAGAAGACAACAATTCTCCCAGCAGAAAGTACCCGAAATTGCCTCACCTGATGACAGCGCTTGGTCCTCATACGCCCCTAGCGGTGCTCTTCAGCAGGTCAAGTCCCTCCAGTTGCACGAGGTTGAGCCTCAAAATGAAAAGAGCCAGACCGAAAACAGCCAGACCGAGAAGAGCCAAGCGGACGTCCCAGCTCAAAGTGAAGACCCTCAAAGTGAAGACCCTCAAAGTGAAGACCCTCAAAGTGAAGACCCTCAAAGTGAAGATCAAGGTCAAAGCAAAAGTATCGGTGAAACTATCGCTGCTGTCGGTGCTCTGACTGGTATTTCTCGTCTTGTTGCTTCTGACGGTGACTCCTCTGTGACTAACAAAAAGGAACTTTTGGAGAAGAAGAGATTGGAATTAGAGAGACTCCAGGAGGAGAAACGCAAAGAGTTGGAGGAACGTGCCGAGAAAGGAGACTCCATCATCGACACCGTGAACACTCGTGGCGAGTCTGCCAACGCCATCATAGACGACAACTCGCATGTCCCAACTTCTGGCACAGACTACGAAAAGCACATTGATACCGATGCCGCTGCAGTTCGTTCTCAGGAGGCTCAAGGTAAGCTGTCTTCTGCCGCTCCTGCCGCTGCAGGTGCTGCTGGAGGTGCTGCTGTTGCTGGAGGTGCTGCTGTTGCTGCTTCTCTGAAGGGTTCTCTGGACAAGCCAAAGAGCAACGAGTCCCTGGGAGGTCTTCCCCTGGTCGCTGATATGTCCCCTAGTAATGACCCTAGGGCTGCTCTCAACAAGGAACATATCCTGCAAAAGAGTGCCGAAAGACTAGGTGTTGCTGGTAAGGAGGGCACTGTTGCACCTGTTGCTGAGCGTGCCGAACAGACCAAGCTTCCTGTCGCTACCGTGAAAGACGAAGAGAACGGGGAGGATATCGAGGCTGCTGAAGCTGAAGCTGCTGCTGCTGCTGCTGGAGCTGGTGCCGGTGCCGGTGCTGGAGCTGGTGCCGCTACCGGCGAAAGCTCTTCTGAGGCTCCTGTCGCTGAAGAAAAGACACCCTCTTCGAAACAGACTAACAACGCCGAGGGCGAAAAGACTTCAAGCCAGAACACAAGCAGCAAGAAGTCGACCGACACCAGGGCCACCGACAACTCGAGTGTTGACGAAAACGGCAAGAGGTCGTCCAGAAAAAAGAGTTTGAAGAACTTGTTGAAGAGGAAGTAATTGCTCACCTCACTGCGTTCTACTGATTTAAATTTTGACCATTTTCTCTTTTCCCAATACAATACACTTTACTTTATTTTAATGACCGTTTCTCGGAGGCCTTGCTCCGAAAATAGAAGTGCCCACACGGACACTTGAGGACCCCTGCTCGATGGCGGCCTCGAAATCACTGCTCATGCCCATACTCAACTGTAAATCAATGGAGTATTTCTCGTCTAATTGCTCCTTCAAGTCAGCCAAGCGGGCAAAATCCTGATTGATGCCGGCATCGGAGGTCGACTCAGCAAAAGAACCAATGGTCATGATACCGTCCAACTTCAATGACTCGCTTTGCTTGAGATATTCAACCGTTTCATAAATTTCCTGGAGATTATCTAGACTGTAGCCAGCTTTCTGGCTCTCTGAGGAGGTGTTAATCTGGAGGTAGATATTGATTGGAGGAAGCTTAGCGTTCTGTCTTGCATTGTCGAGTTTCTTGACCTTCTTGAGTGAGTCAAGCGTTTCAACAGCATACAAGTTCTCGATACCTTTGCCCAAATCCTTGCACTTTCCGGATTGTAAGCCTCCGATGAAATGCCATTTTATGTCTTTTGGAAGCTCGTTAGCTTTGCCAATCATTTCTTGAACATAGTTTTCTCCAAAGTGGCGAACACCGTGCTCGTATAAAGCCAAGATGTCTGAAGCCGGCTTAAGCTTAGAGACTGCGACTAATCTGACTTGCCTTCCCTTAGCTGTGGTCTGGACCTGTTGCCAGATTTTATCGTAGTTGGAAGCTAATTCCGCTGACCTTTCAGCCAGTGCCTTCTCAACAGTCATGGTCAAAAACCTCCTGATTCCCTGAGTTCTGCAGTGGAAAGAACGCATGCTGCAAAATTCCGTGTAGTGTGATGCCTTGGAACATCACATCCGTACACCAAAGATCGGAGTATATTCCCTGGAACGGTAGCACCAATGACGGAGCTTTTTTTTTGATTTACTTTCAATCTCAATTACTTCGTTTTTGGATTGTTTTCCTTCTTCCACAGGATTGACGAAAGTTAATTGTGACTACAATCTGGCTTGGAATTTTAGGAATTTTATGGGTGTTAGTCCGACCGGTTCCTTTTCGCAACCAAAATGTGGAGACAACTAGGCTTCAACAATAAACCCAGTTTATTTAAAATTTGATTTTCTGGTATTTAGTTTCAACTTTCTGATTGTATGGCTGAAATGATTCCAGCTGTGTAGAATCTGCTAGCTCGTCTTCAAATAGCTCTTGGATGAAATGTCGTAGCTAAGCCTTCAATGAAATCAAGATACTTAAACCAGCGAATTCCAGCATTGCAATAGCCAATTAGGATATTGCATCTGTTCTAACAAATGACTTCTACGCTTTATTCATCGGAAAAAAAAAAGTGAAAGACTGTTCATTGATCATATTCTCTGGTTGCGAAATGCAAAGGGAGTTTATCCATCACCAAGTTTCCAAGTCTACACAGCAAAAATTCAGTGAGCGGCTTCAAGTCAGGAAAATAAAAGATCAGGAACCGTTTACCTAAATGTAAAAAAGACTTGGCTAAATTGGCTAAGTCACCATCGGAGCCCTAATCGAAGGTACGGGTGTGCTAGTGATGCCGAAAATTTATTGATGGCTCAAGATGCAGTTGACCCTGGACTGGTGGTAATAGATCAATAGGACATATTCAACACAAACAAAAGACTTGAAATATGTCTGATTCCGTCTACACAGGTGAAGACTTTGACGCCAAAGTCAGAAAGCAAGTGGAATTCTACTTCTCTGACTCAAACCTCCAAACAGACAGATTTCTCTGGAGAATCTACGAGGCTAATGACGGCTGGGTTGAGTTGAAAACCATCTTGACCTTCGGCAGAATGAGACAGTACAGACCAGAGGAGCGCGTCATCGCTGCTTTGAAGGAGTCTGATAAGCTTGTTTTGTCCGCCAACGAGGACATGATCAGAAGAAAGGCTCCATTGAAGGACCACAACGAGTTGAAGAACATCAGAAGAAGAAACTCTGTCCACATTGAGGGCTTCCCCAGCGATGTTTCCCAAGAACAATTGGAAGAGTGGTTCAACGAGAAGATTGTTTCTCAGTTGCCAAAAGAACAGGCGTTTGCCTCTATTCGTAGGAACAGAAACAGATCCAGGGAATTCTTGGGCGTTGTTGACGTCGAGTTCAAGACTCAGGAGGACCTGGAGCACTTTTTAAAGTTGGACGTGAGCTACCCTCAGGGTGTTGTTGAGGGTGTTGAGGAGAAGGATCTTTTGAAGAAAATGTCACTCTTGAGATTCAGAGAGATGAAAGAGTCTGGTAAGAGATTTGGCGTCAACGAGGTGACCAAGAGAAGATCCTCATTCAAAGACAGCAACAACAAGAAAGCGCGTAAAGAGGAGAAAAAGGGTGACGAGAAAACCGAAACTAACGGCGATAGCACCGCTGTAGAGGAGGCTGTTGAGGACACCGAAACCAAGGATACTCCAGAAGAGAGCAAGGAAACCTCTAAGGAGGAGGCCACCGAGAGAGAGTCAGAAACGAAAGCCTAAGCTTACATAACGAATGTTTTATGGATGCATACATCAAAACTTGGGCACCAAATAGAATGCAATAATGGATCATAGAGATGCTATAGTAGTAGAGTGTGAAGTGGGAGCGCGAAACGCGTCTACTACTAGTATCAACAGATAAATATCGCGACAATATTTCATCGCTACTTCACAAGAATGGCGGACGAAGAGACCAAAAAATGGATAAATTCGCAATTTGGCGCTGTCGATGATGAGACCGCCGATAGGCTCGTCTCGGTCAAAGACATCTTCAATTACTCCAGAGATGACTTGTACATTCAGTGGGAAGCGTTTGTGGTAACGCAAGAGAACGGTGAATTAGATGTAACTGCTGCCAACGTCGACAGATTCCAGGAATGGGCCCAAAAAGGCCTCAACGCTGGCTCAACGAAAAAGACGATTAATAACAAAAAGAGTTCGGACGCTAAGAGAAGACCCATGATTCGCTCAAATGTTGAATTGTCGTCTAGTCCAGGTGCTGGCTTTGGGATGCCCTCCACTCCGCAATTCAAAAAGCAAAGAACAGAACCTCCAAGTGAAACTACTTTAGCTTCGAGCCCCTCGCAGTTCGCCACCGCTAATAACACCATGCTCTCTCTGAGCTCAAGAAAACCAGAGGCGGACCTGCTGTACGAGTCGAACACGGTGTTGGAGTGCTTGAACCCAGCGGTTGAGGCCACGGAACTGAATGATCATTCTCCTCGACTCTCGGCCAATTTTGATCCCGAGAAGTTCAAGTTTAGAACGATGGCCATGAAGTTACTAGAAAGTGCTGACGTTTTGGACGATCAGATCGATATGTTCAGCCTGAAATTTTCGACCGAACTCAAGGGCAAAGGCCTTGAACTTGGAAATCCATGTATGAACTCGCAATCTGACATTGCGTGTTGTGGTAGAATTGTGCCAGATTCACCATACTATGATAGCATGATTACGCAAACTCTTAACGACAAATCTTTATATCTCGAGACGTCTCGTCTTGGTGGTATTGGCCAGAGGGTGCCTCTTGACTTGTCCAACTTGCAAGAATACTCGTTTTTTCCAGGCCAAATTGTCGGCTTGAAGGGCAGAAACCCCACCGGAAGAGCTTTCGTGGTGCATGAAGTCTTATCATTGCCAGAATTGGGGACACCTGTAACTCACTTAGCAGAGCTTCAAGACATTAAAGAATCTTCAAATGGAGAGAGCCTCAAGGTTGTGATGACCTCGGGCCCTTTTTCCAATCACCACAATCTCAATTTTGGTAAACTCGAGAGCTTTGTGCAACATCTTAACAATGTTGTCAAGCCTCATGTTGCTGTGGTGTTCGGTCCTCTCCTTGACATCACGAACGCTGCGGTGGCTTCAGGTGAAGTCGAAGTACCTGGCCTCCCTGCAAATCAACAACCCAGAGATCTTGATGAGCTCCTTCGGGCTACAGTGACACCAATCTTGAAAAAGATTGACAGCAGTATTCAAGTCATCTTGGTTCCATCGTTGCGTGACTCCGCGAGTAAACACACATCATACCCACAATCTGCATTCGATAGGAAGAAAATTGGACTCCCGAAAAACTTCAAGTGTTTTCCTAATCCTTCCACCTTTTCGATTAATGAAGTTGTCATAAGCGCGTCTAACGCGGACGTATTCAAGGACCTCAAAGATGTCTACAAGAGCAATGTTTCTCCAGATAAAAGTGTGTTGTTCTCCAACAGGTTTGAGAGAATCGCTAACCACATCTTCGAACAAAGAAGATTCTACCCAATGACTCCAGGGTCTGTGAAGAGACAAGCACTTTCAAAGGATGATAAAGACAAAATTGTTGGTCTTGCAGATGGAGGTAATGCTGAAGACTTAGCCGAGACGCAAGTTGGTGGTTCGAGTTTGGAAGTGCCATACTTGGGTCTCGCGGAATTGGGAGACTCCTTGCCAGACATCTTGGTGATACCTTCTGAGCTCAAGTTTTTTGCCAAAGTGATCAAAGGTGTCGTTGTGATTAACCCTGGCCAGTTTGTACGTGCTCACAAAGATCCCAGCAAGGAGGATGGTAGTTATGTTGTGATTAGTGTTTCACCGCCAGATGTTGAGGGTGAAGACAATGTTGAGCCAGTTGAAAACTCTAACGGTCTTTACTACAACAACATTTACAAGAGATCGAGAGTTGAGATTTTGAGAAGTTGATACACGGATTAAGCCAAATATTACGCGACTGCGCGGCATCAAAATGCATAATTGAAAGTATCTAAAGTACATCATCATATTTAATTTACCACGGACAAATCCTAGAACCTTAGAGTCAGAAGCATTTTTTGCAATCCCTGCATTACCTAGCATATGATAAGAAGCCGAAGGAGTTTCTTTGGACATTTTAGCTTAAGGTACCATCTGAACAGACTTTGGTGGCAGCGATCTAATATATCTACCAGTGAATCAGCATCCACCGAGAACCCAATTAAACTACGAGACTACCAGATAGATGCTGTGAAGAATACATTAGATGCCATCAAGCGCGGTGTCAATAGACCAGCGGTGGTACTAGCCACTGGAGGGGTAAGACGGTGGTGATGTCCGACCTTATACCACGGATCACAAGCAGGAACACAGGTGACAAAGTGCTTATTTTGGCTCACAAGCAAGAGCTCGTCAGGCAAGCAGCTATCACGATTCAGAGAATCAATCCCGATTTAGAAGTCTGTATAGATATGGCACAATCCAAGCCGGATCTAGAAAGCATCGATGTTGTCGTAGCATCTGTGCCCACATTGGTCTTCAAAAGCAGGTTAGAAAGGTATAAGCCGGGGGATTTCAAGGCTATAATTTTAGATGAGTGCCACCATGCCACTGCTAATTCATGGACGAAGATTCTCAACTACTTTGGTGCATTAGAGAAAGAGCCCAAGATATATACCATTGGATTTACTGCTACCCTCGAGAGGGCCGACGGCATGAGCTTGGGCAAAGTCTTCGAGGAGATTGTCTTTGAAAGGAATCTCATAACCATGATCAGGGCAAGAGAGCTATGCGACGTCAGATTATCCAAGATAGAGGTTTCGATTGATTGGAGCAAAGTGCGGTCTTCAGGGGGCGACTTTGTTCAAAAAGACCTTTCAGAAGCTGTCAACAAAGACGACATAAATGTCATGGTTACTCGGGGATTCATGCAACTCAAGAAGAAGTACAACTACAAATCCACTTTGATCTTTTGCGTGGATATTGAGCATTGCAAAACACTTTGCGGGGTCCTCCGGAAGAATGGTATCAAGGCTCAGTATGTAACTGGTGAGACGGTTCATCACGAAAGAAGGGCAATTTTGGACGATTTCCGCAGTGGTGAGATTGAAGTTCTCTGCAATGTTCTTGTTTTCACCGAAGGGACCGACATACCGAATATCGATTCCCTCGTTTTAGCACGGCCGACAAAGTCGAGAAATTTGTTGATACAAATGATTGGACGAGGATTGAGGCTTCACCAAGAGAAAGACGTTTGCGACGTAATTGACATGGTGGATGCCACTAAACATGGCTTCAATACCATCCCTACGCTACTTGGAATGGAGTCTGCTATGAGAGTGGCAGGTAAGTCCGAACTGCAGATCGATGAAAGCATGGAGAGACTTTTGGAAGACACCATTTTGCATAATCCTCGAGAGAAGGCCAGATTGAAAAAGGTGGACCTCATCGTTCAATTGCAAAGGCAACTCAGTAACTTGGAATTGAGTTTTCAGACGATAGAAGGGTTTGCAGACATCGAAAGGAGAGGTGACGTGGAAGAGGTCCAAGAGGACATAAACCGCATCATCAGGGAAAGCAAACTTCCTTGGGCAAGATTCACATATGATCAATGGGGCATTACTGTTGGTAAAAAGAATTTTATGTTGGAGCGTTGTCCTGACCAATTTCAATTTTATGAGGTGAGCTATGCGACCATGAGCAGATTGATAGCCAGTGGTTTCAAGGCCCATCGGTCACATGTAAATGTTATTCGCCAATCGAAAAGCATTAAAGAGTTGGTACTAGACGCAGAAAACATGCTCTACAGCAGGCTTGTTGTACTGGAGCATATGAAAAGGCCAGCTACGAGTAAACAAATCGCATTCATTGTCAAGAAGCTCAAGAATAAAGTGGAGCTGCTATATGGAGGGACTCCAGAAGAGCTTGCCGAGAAACTCAAGCCGTGGCGGATGATCCGTGCTGCAAATTTATGTTTTGCGGTAAAGGTGTCTGTCAATTGTCTTTGGGTCAAATGGGAGCTTGCAAGGCTTTTTGGCTACAGCGAGAATACCAAGCTCAGGATGAAGAAGAGATTGAATAAGGTTGATAAAAAGCTAGCATCCGACCAGTATCTACCTGAGGGCCCTCAATTTCAAGGCGCTCCAATTGTTGAAAAGTCTTTCCCTTCCGCTTCTGAAGAACCTTCATCGCCTTCGTCGAAGCCGGAATCGCCTTCAAGCTAAAGTGGATTCCAGATATCGAAATCTTCTGGTAAAAGAGCACTGCACCGGCGCGCTGGCAGTGCAGCATATAGCCTACGCATATCTTACTAACCACAAACACTCCACTTGTATATCACATTTAATGAAAATCTTCCAGCTCTGTTGGACAGTGCTTTCAGTGTTTCCGCTTCTAGCACTAGCGGATACCGCCAACCAGCCTCGTGTGGTCGACACAGATGAGGCAGCTAAAATCATTCAGACCAGCACGTCAAGTCATACCAATAACTGGGCAGTCCTTGTGTCCACGTCAAGATTTTGGTTCAACTATAGACACATGGCTAATACTTTGAGCTTGTACCGAACAGTGAAGAGGATGGGAATACCGGACTCTCAAATCATTCTAATGTTGGCTGACGACATCGCATGTAATCCAAGAAATGCCTTCCCCGGAACGGTGTTCAACAATATGGACCAAGCCATCGACCTTTATGGTGACGATATTGAAGTCGACTATAGAGGTTACGAGGTGACTGTGGAGAATTTCATCAGGTTGCTCACGGATAGATGGGACGAGAACCACCCTAGAAGCAAAAGACTTCTCACAGACGAGAATTCAAACATTTTTGTTTATCTCACGGGCCATGGCGGAAATGAGTTTTTGAAATTCCAAGATGCTGAGGAGATCGGCTCGTGGGATCTTGCGCATGCTTTCCAGCAAATGCATTCAAAGAAGAGGTACAACGAGATCTTCTTCATGATCGACACGTGCCAGGCCAATACTATGTACGAGAGAATCTACTCTCCTGACATATTGTGTGTTGGTTCATCTCGCTTGGATGAGTCGTCTTACTCGCATCATTCCGACTTAGATGTCGGGGTGGCTGTTATCGACAGATTCACATATTACACTCTTGACTTCTTAGAGAAAGTTGAGAAGAACTCCAACGTCACTATGGACAAGCTTTTTGCTGAGTACACGTACGAAAATGTCCATTCAAACCCAGGTATCAGGACAGACTTGTTCAACCGAGACGTGAACGAGGTTCTTCTAACGGACTTTTTCGGCAATGTCCAAGAGGTTGTGTTAGACGAAGTGGAGCAGGGTGTTCTTGAGACCATCAGTAGTGTTCCAATGGCCCAAAAGTCCTCGAAAAACACCACCCACTACGAAGCCTTGAGCGCATCTTTCAGCGACTCAGGTTACAAAACGAAACAATTGCATCATGTGACCAAGAAGGAGGCCAAGATCATCACAGCTGTGCTGGCTATCGCTTTGGGTCTCCTTTGGACATTTGCCAAACCTTAATGTATAGAATGCCAATCTTCCTACACTCACGTTGCACACTCGAAACAGTAACGGACTTTGTAAGTCGCACCCCATACACCCTTGTTGATGTCGCGCCATTACTACGCACTCTTTGTTTTTATTAGTACTCACAACCCAAACTTGAGAGTTTACGAGAATGGCATTTTCTGGCTCGGTTCTCTTCAATTTGGTGGTTTCCAATGAGCCTAATTCACGAAAGCTAGAAGCTGTACTGAATTTAAAAACCCATGTCAAGAAGGAAAACGTGGATCTCACACAAGTCCAGGCTTATTTTGAAGCCATATCGGTTTTGATGGATCTGACCGACCAGAACCTACAAAATACAACATTCAGCTTGCTATGCCATTTGGTGAAGCGTGTTAGCATCCAGGATTCCAGAACCACTCTACTCCATGACCATTCTTTTTTAGTGCTTCACATAATTGTTACCAGAATAGCGGATCCAAGAGCATCCATCAAAATATCAGCTAAAAGAGCATTGGAAGCATACTGGCTCACAGCACCTACAAAGGTCGAACAGGCATTGGTGGAGCTGGGGCTCAGAAATCGATCTCCGTTAATCATAAACGAATGTGTCGTATGGCTCAACACCATTCTTACAGAGGTCAACCGTCACTTTAGTCTAAATCCATTCATGAATGCCCTTGCAGAAATACTCGTCCAGTATGAAAACAACAACTTGTTAGTGGAGAATATCAAGATTTTGTTTGCCAACTACTATGATCTCAAGCAAAACAGACTCCATAAGTTCGAACTTCAGAAGATACTAGAGCTGCACAAGGTTTCTACCTCCCTAAGAACGTCAATTATGGGAACAGACCATGTAATGAAGTCACGAGATAAGCCAGAACATGTGGATCATGCCCCTAAACTACCTATTCCTAGCATCAAGCCACCCAGGCCAGCATCTACGCATATATCGCGAGCCAAGGAGGAACCTAAAGCAGTGAGCCACGAAAAGGAGAAAGATCAATCCTCTTTCTCGTCACCTGTTGATGACATTGTATTTGGCCTTCAAAATTATAGAATTGATTCGAAAGTGCTGCCCACGAGATGCAAAGACGCGGATACTCTTCACAGCAATGTATCCAGCATGATATCAACGTTTGACGGAAAGGAAACTGAAAGAAACTGGACCTTAAGGGAAACTCACATCGGAACTCTAAGGTCACTAATAAGAGGAAATGCTCACTCGGAGTTTCCCGAAGATCTTGTTCTTGCTTTGAAAGATATCTCAGAGGGCATTTGTAAGGGACTCTTGTCCCTTCGTACGACCTTGAGCGTGAGTGCATGTTCCTTGGTGAAGGAGGCAGCGATTCTTCTAGGAGATAAGTTTGACCCGCTAATCGATCATTTCACTCCTACACTCATAAAACTCAATGCCTCTACCAAGCTGATGACTTCCAGTAATGCTCATGTTGCCATGTGCGCAATTATGGCCAACTGCTCATATGGTGGAAAGCTCCTTCACAAGATTCAGACTGCTTCATCGGAGAAGGGCAGCAATACCAGAACACACTGTGGTACTTGGCTCAAAATATTCGTTGTTCGGTCTAGCTCTCATGGCTCCCTCCCACACACTGAGATTATTGAACGTGTACTCAGTCGTCTTCTATCTGATCCGATCTCCCCAGTTCGCCAGTCTGCCAAGGAAGCTTTTTGGTCTCTTCAAGCTATTTCCAAAGAGTCTGCTGAAAGGCTCCTAACTCGCCTTGATGCAAATGTCGTGAAGGGCTTGGAGCGCTCGAAACCTGCGAAGATTGGAAAGTTAAGACCAGAATTGACGCAACCAAAATCATCTCGCCCCTCGATAAAGGACTCAATTATCGCAAAGAACAAGGAGCTTCTGGCTAAGCGTGCTGACTCGAGACTGAGTTCCAGAAACTCTTCTCAGCGTTCAGAAAGCGGCATCGAATTTGGCGTACGAAAGGGACTGAGTCGGCAAATGTCAGACCCATCAACTAGACGCCACGCCTCCAGCCTACCCAAAAAGGACAACACCCCTCATGAGCCATTATTGAAGCAACGTAGCTTCCATAATTTGCATAATTATAGCAAGGACTCTGAAAAGAAGCCCGCTTTGCGATCGGTCGCTTCTACAACTTTCTCGTCGTCAAATGTTCAGGGCAGAAGTACGCCTCCTATAAGGGTCATGACAACGGCGGATCCCATCTTTCAGTTCTTGTCATCCTCGAATGAAGTTACCATCAAAGAGGGTATCAATTTATTGAAGTATGCCATGATTGTTGAGGAAATGTTTCCAGATGAGATCAAGTTTTATTTGAGAAAGGTCTCTTATACTCACCCTGAATGCTTCCGCCCACTCCTTGAAAGCCAGCCCGAAATCTTTAGCAAAACTTGGACACTCATGACTCAGGAGGACATCTTGCGCGTATGCTCCATCATTTTACCTGTTTCGGATGAGGTTGTCGATCGTATGATCGCTTTATCAGACCGTGAAGTATACCAGTCAGTGGGCACAATTTTCACATATATCGCAGATTTCGACCACATAGCTGGAGAGAAGCATTTGGCAATTCAAGTGATTAAACACAAGAGCAAGATCCTTGAACTGTTAGCCAAGTTTACTCTCGAGTGCACCACTAAGATCCCAGTGGGCGACGATAGCTTTGAACTACTTGCTAAGCCTTTGTTTCAACTCGTTGCTATATTTCATTCGATGCCTGGATATGATGTCTACAAATCTTTGGTGAAATCTTTGTATCACACCAATGAGAGGTTGTTCAGAAAACTTTCCTCTCAGCTCTCAAGCAATTGCAAGAGAGAGATCGAAAGCATTGCCGGTATAGAGGAGAGAACGCCAGGTATCTTGGAGAATGAACCAAAAAGATTAGAGGAAAACGCAGCAGAGTCTATGGTGGAAAATGAACCAGAGACTGTGGAGAACAGGACACCGGAACTTGCACGATGTTCTCCTCAGCAGGTCGAACATCAGGCACTGTCAGACCCAATTGCCACTGAGCTGACTCCAGATGATGGAAATACAGTCACAGAAACAAATAAGGTTGACTCCGAGGAATCAGTTGAGCATGATCGCCAGGTTTCTGCAGAGTCATCTGTCGAGGAAGCAGAACATGCGAGCAAAGATGTCAGCGATGAGGACATGGAGCAAGACAATGAACCAATGACGGAATCAGAGGAGAAAGCCAATAGCGTTTGCAATGAGACTCTGACGACTCACTCGAGATTGATTGATTCTGATCATGTGGTGGGGAAGGAATCGCCACGCGAAGGTGAGGATGCTGAACACACGAGGGCAGAGAAGGTAAATGACGAGATGATGGATTGTGAAGACAAGGACAAGAGTCCCACGAGTAACGACAATGCCGCTGCAAGTGCTACTGGAAGTGAGAATAGTCGACAGAATGAGGGCCCAAGTTCACCCAAGCAGGTTGTGGAGAATATCAAACCCATGGAGTTTCCTTCACCAATACCGGCTGATCGCTTTGCAAGCAGGGCTCAATCATTTTCTCCCAAAAAATCTGCTAACCCGAACATCTTTGCATCCGGTCTGGTAACACCCATGAGAAATGAGTTCTATAATCGGCTAAACCCAGATCCACCGAGCGATCTTGTTGAGAACTTTGCGCAAGTCAAGATAACTAATCGGTTGAACTCAATACAATCTTTCATCGATAAGGTTGATCCTTTGAGCAAAGTCTCGTGCAAAGCGAGGCCAATTTCAATTTTTGAGGATACAAAAGTGAGCGGATCGCCTCAAAAAGTGAAGGAATATAACTACACCGAACTAAATTGGTTTAACTTTCTGGTGGCACGTCTTGCTCTCGACAAGGAAGCTAAGGAATTTGATGACTACACAATCGCTGAGTTCGACCAATTATGTGAAGACCTTAGAGGTGAATTGAGTGGAAAAAAGTTTGTCAGCTTGTTGAGATACTTGCAGAATGAACAATCATCAGACTTCGACAAATATTTCGTGCAAGAAGGATTGAGCAGGATCGAGGACTCTCTTCATCAGCATTTGACTTCAACTGTAATCCGCGACAAGCTCAGTGGTTTGATAATTTTGAAACAACTTCTCATCAACAGAGAAAATATCAATTTCCTGAGGGTTTGGAAAACGCTTGTTCTTCTTAGCGAAGATGCGGCCCATGAGATCGAAGTTGCAATTAACGAGGCATTTGATGAAGCACTCTGCGGGATATTTTCAAGTGCTGACATGACACAGACAATAGTAAAGACGATTTGTGAGCAGTCCAGTGATTGGACTGAAACGACGCTCACATACGTACTCCGTTGTTTGTTCAAGCTTGTCGCGCAGAAGACAATGGTATTGTCAATAACCGACGATCTCTTGCGTCAACTTCATGGAATTCTCAAATCTTACATCGGCCACAAGAAGGTGGAGATTCGAAAAAATGTGGTGCAGACATATGGAAAGCTACTTCGTGCTGCCCGAGTAAGCGAGCTTACAGACAGCAACATCACCCTGTCCAATGTCAATAAGGAATCCAGGTTCGTTGATGAAATTTTGGATAGTATGACGGGACCTCAACGGAAGATGGTGGAATACTACAGTCATTGATGGGAGAATTTTTGATAGTTACTAATGACAAGGCCGGACCAGCCGATGTAATATACAAGTAGTAAAACACCTTTCTCGTAGCTTCATACTCTTCCCGCACTCTCGGGTCTTGGAGGATGAAGCGTGTCATCTGTTTGAACATTTGCACTAGATTCAGGAGTAGGCATCAATGTCTCAGTGGAATCCAGCAGCGACAGATCACGCTTTGCACGGGCGTAGATTCTGTTCTCGTATTCTGTCGAAGGTTTCCGAGAACGAGGCTTGGTTACCTTGTTAGGCTGTAGTTGTTGGCGTTTCCTCATCATGTTGAAACTGACCTCTCTTTGCCGTAGCGAAGGCTGAGTGTTATACAACAGAAGATCGTGACCACCGTAAAAAGCACCTCTGTATGGACTCATCTCTTCGTAAACCACAGGACCGATAGATCCCATTTGAGTCATGGGGTGACCATACATTTCTTCTTGGTAGAAAGATGGCATTTGTTCATGCATCATGCCGTAGCCTGGATCGTAGAACTGACTCATCACGGCTGAGGTGGGAATCGGGTAAGGCACCATCGTTTGAGCAGAATATTGAGATACGGCTGCAGATGGAATGTTGGTGGGGTACTGAGCGTGGATTTGAGCAGGAGACAGTGACATGAACGAAGTCTCCTCGTTAGCAGAGCGAGGGAACATCAGCTTTGGTTCGGATTGAAGGGATCTTGCTGGCTGTGTCTGTTCGATCAAATAGTCATCAGTCGAGGCAATGTTAGTGGCAACAGGTTGCCTTTGAATGAAGCTAGCATCAATGCTGTCAAAGTCATTGTCAAGCGCATTGATGTAGGCGCCCGAATGATAAGCACCATCCAAAGTGATGTATTCACCAGGAGCAGTATGGGGTTCTTGGATGTAGTCGAGGGGGAAATCATCATCCTCCTCGTCGTCGTCTTCGTTTTCGTCGGCGACCTCGTCTTCATATCCTGGGACCCTCAGATGACAGACATACTCAGGCGATTCAGCAGGATCTCCCTTGACCGGCACGTCTATGGATTGGCTTGTCATATCCAAATGGGCGGTGAGCTGCTCGTAGAGCGATGCACTGGTGTCCTCTTCGTAGTTGAAAGACAAGGCTGGTTCTTTGGACGCCACTGATGTTGGAGTCTGACCGAGCTTCTCACGCTTGAGATCCCGATCCAATGCGTCAGCCATAAGCTTATCGTGAGGGACATTGAACCAGTAAAAGACCTTTTGCTTCTTTTGCGTTCGAAGACAAGAGTTCTTGAACAAGAAGTCTAAGAACTCCGACTTGGGCTCTTCGAGAACGGCATCGGTGCCTGCTTTTAAATTCCTCAAATCGGAGAAAATACCTTCTTCGAACTTTTTGCGGTCAGTGATGGTCCGGCCAAACTGTTGAAACTTGTACAAGATGCAACGAACAATGTCGGTGCCTGTGATGAAGTATAGGTTGTTCCAGAAGACACAGGAGACGAAACCTTCATCGTTGTTCAAGTAGTAACGCCTGATAACCTGGTTTTCTTGCCAGTTGGCAGGGGCTGTGACTAGGAAGAACTTCAAGTCTTCAATGAGTCTCAAGGACTCTGTGACGTCGTCTGAGACTGATGATGAAGGACCTTTCAGCATGGTAAGGAAGATCGAGGGACGACAGATGGACTGAGAGGCAATGAACGGTGGATCGAGTTCAGAGCCTTTTGCAAACGAGGGAATGTCCTGAAAGAAAGAAAGCGGTGTGGGTGAAGGTAGACCGAACAAGACGATCTATATAAAAAGTGCCCTTAGACCAAGCGTGTTTCAGATCCTGCCGAGCTGAAACAAGGCCAGTGCGAATTCTAGACCGGACACTCAAACGCAGCCAAACGCCAAACACCGGCAGATAGCTGGGGAAACAGTGAAGTTTGTCTTGAAATATAAGGCAGCCAAGGCAGTGGGTGGGGATGTGGTTCACTGTTGCCTTGACGAGAAAAATTTTGGTGGGATCTCAGAAATTGCTCTTCTGAGAGGGATGGGCGAGCTGTGGTTCAAAGGTGCTGCGGCTCAGGCGGTAAAAAATATGAGTGTTTCAAGTCTGTGACCAGCACGGCAGCACAATAAAATGCCTGTCTGAGAAATGTGATTATTTTTTAAAACCTGGAACGGCTTCAGTTTCAGAAAATTACCGCCCTTCTTATATCACTTGCATCCGGTTGCCACCGACATCGCAAATGAGCCATCCTCGGCGAACACCGCACGCGGCTGGGGACTGTTCGCTTTAACGAGAACGATCTTGGGCTGGGATCTGCGTCCGCGGAGCCGGCGAAGCAGGAACGATCTTGCGGGAATCTTGTAGACACGGCGATTAGCGATCTTGGTCAAGTAGGCATTTACGCCGCTTTTGACGTAAAACTGCTTTTTCGGTGCCAGGTCTAATTGCGTGCGTCACCGCTCCGAAAAGTGCCCCTACTTTCGACACCAGGGGTGCGTCGCGTTCGCAGCCATCCGATCGCAGACACTCTAAAAAATCTGTTGGGTGCAATTCTTCAAACAAAGAAAGCGTCAGACTTTATCACCAACTCGCTTCCTCTTTCCCCGTCGTAAACGCCTCCTCGCTCGTCCTGCTAAGCTTCTCGCCTATGCTTAAGGTTTTCTAGAAAACTGGCCGGCGTCCGCCGATGAGCCACATTCTCTGCTATTGTTAGAAGCTCAGTGCTCGGTGTTGGCTGCCGTCGCTGGCCGTCTCCCATTCTCGAGGCTATCATCACCAATCCTGTTGCGAAAAGCATGGCAAGAGTGCAAAAGTCAGCCGTTGGGTTTCGGCCGTTGCTGCTCAAAAAAACCCCAAAACGCCTTACATAACTTCGCCGCTCCTCTAACCCCTCCGCCCGTCGCTTCGTAAAAATTTCATTTCTTGGTGCCAATACTAGCACCCACTGGGGCCAACTGCCAAGGGTCCTGGTTATGCCATTGTCCAAAAACAACTAAGCGCCGGCCCCTCTTCTGGTGGTTCGGGGAGATCCCCGGCTCCCACCAGCAGGGCTCGGCTTCCATCGATCCAGATCGACACCGTATTCGATGCCAGCCGCGAGCAGATCGGCACCAGGGTCTGTCAAGCGTAACCCCTCCCAAAAGGGCTGTGCAATCAGATAAACAAAATGGCTTAGTCCCCGGGGAGCCCGCGTATCTGTGATTCTCTACATTAGTACCCGATCGTCATTCCACAGCATGCCACTGAAGCTTTGCGAATCGGGACTTGGTTTTCCAAGTCCCCTTGGAGAAGCTAGAGAAGCGCTGGAAGCATGAACAGAAGATCTAGCAAGTACAAACGCCCGGGCTATTGTGGGGTGACTTCCTTTCTTCTTTATCTCAAGCAACCACTGCCTCTGCTTGACGCAGGGATTAGGCATCTCAGGGCTCTCCACACTCCGACCAGGGCTCCATGGCCCTTCATTTTTTAACAATGCGTCCATATGTAGAGTCATCTTTAGGAGACCGATCCTATACTCGGTGAGAAGTTCCGCCTCCAAGCCTTTCTCATAGCCTCGTAACCGGGCAACGCAGCTGTAGTCTATTCCGGTCAAGGGAGGTGCATGATCAGAGGTGTGTGACCGAAAGCTACTTTTGGACTTGGGAGCCTCAGGATCTCTTTGTTCCGATTTGTTGAAGGTGGGTCTCCATTGGGGCTAGTAGGTGTTTGGGCATACTGGTGTCTATGGGTTGTGAGCCTTCAAGACCTTAAACTTCAGGTTTCCCAAGGATATTCTGGTTTCAGAACATAGTGCCTGAACCCCTGAAATTAAGGCAAGCAGTAGATCTTGTGGGAAATCAAGCCTAGTTAGGCAGGCGTCCAATCGTCGTTGTTTCGGCCTGCGCCTGGTTCTTTGCAGAGAAGGTCAGTCGAAGAGGGGCGTAGTCAAATGGATAAGTCATATCCTGAAACTTAGTAAGCCTGATGCTATTTTGAGAGATTATGGCAGGGAAACCTTAGTTTCAAACCGAACAAGGGTCAACAATTCGGTAGATGCCATTCGGGCAGCCCAAGGGTGTTTTAGCACGCTGAAAACTCGTCCAGTGATTTCCTGGGATAACTTTGAGTGTAAAAATGAAAAACTTTCAAAAACGTCGCTAAAAATGGTCGAGTTAGGAAGAAAATGAGCACTATAATGTGCTAACCTATATATGCAGCACTTTCCAACATATATCAAGTGGCTCTGTGGCCGAGCGGTCTAAGGCGGCAGACTCAAGTTCTGTTATCGTAAGATGCGCGTGTTCGAATCACGCCGGAGTCATTATTTTTTCAAATTATCTGTTTCACGAAGTGGTGTATTTGATAAGATGTTTTTGCAAAATCATACTTTTGCAAAAAGTGATTGGTGTTGCACACTCTTGTTGGTGGTGTGGACTTTCGCATGTCATGTAGCCATGGAGTAAGCTCCTCTATTAGCCTTGAAATACGTCTGTGGCTCTCACTGTGATTCAAGTTTCAATCTTGTCAATGAATATTTGCTTATGTCAAATTGTGGAGCTGAAACGCAGAATATGGTACATACATGGGGATGTCCCTCTACTAGGTGGCTGCAAAGCCAATGCTTTTCCTCTATTTCTTCGGCGAGTTAATGTTTTTATCTCTTCATTTTCACCTTGTTGCTCTTGGAGCAAAATGAGCATTGGCGGCTCTGCTGGTAGATAACAGATTAGTGAGTATGGCCAATCTCGAGGAGACCAACTCTAGGTCACCATCATCGTTTTGCGGAGCCGACGATAGCTTGTTTGCTAGATAGACTAAATCCTTCTCTGCACTATCGCTCAAGTTCTCCGTTTCAAGTAGCCTTTGTACTCTGCGTTCTAGTTGTTCCAACGAGTAAACCGCAGCCTCCTCTGACACCTGTGTCAATTCTGGCTCATCTTTGGTATAATTTGCATGTGAGTGTATCGTGTTTGTTGCAATGGCTTCTGTACTTTCAGCAATTATCGTAAGAGGAACAGCCGTGTGATTCGACGACGAGTAGCACTTGAGATCTTTGCCCCGAAGCAGCACATATATGGGCGGTAGTCTATCGCCATATTTTTTGAAATCATCAATTGCTGCTTGAGGAGCTTCTTGGTCTGTCAGGAATAGCCCCACCAATGATGCCTGTGGTGATACGACCAGAAGTAACCTGAGCCGTTTATTCAAATTGTCATAGTCGATCTTGTGTGCCAGCCACTTCAACTCAAACGCATCTGCCACCACAATGGAGCTTTCTCTCTCTTCTCCAACCAATACACCAACCAGGGTATTCCTTGACGTCTGGTCCAGTATGGCGTACAATGCCGTCGCTTTTAGTTGGACCAACATGGAACGATGAACAATCCGGGAACAATTATTCTTCGGCTGTGATCTCGATATAGTACACTCCTTTGTCACCAAATTGAAGCTTTCTTATTCACGATAATTGAGTTCACAACTAGATGCCCCTTTTTTGCGGAGAATTGTCTATCGCGGTATTGGTGTCTTACAAGATCGCATAACCAGCCTCAGCACCTAGTGCGACATTAATAGACCCCTCACTCCTTAAGCTCACACTACACATCATTGTTTCGGAGATTTTGCTAAAAAACCAAGGAAGCTTGACACCGTAGCAATCGTGCAAGCATTAAGCAAATATCGGAAAAAAAAAAATTGAACCGCTTGAAGCTACATTTTCAGGCCTGTGGATTGTGGCACCGATGGGTGTGCATACAAGCACAACTAGTCCCCTAGAAAAAAAAAGTTATCCTCTTCTCATCCCTCCAACCATGATCATGTCTGTTCACGAGCCTCTAAGTAGGAAACGTGCCCTAGGCTCTGATAGTGTACTGGAGATGAAGAGACACTGTCCGGACATAGATCACCCGGAGGCCTTCTCCGATACAATGTACCTGGTGCTTGTTAAGAGTGCCCTTGAGAACTTAGAAAAGGTATGTCAAAGTTTTCCATCGTTCAAATTCGTGACTAACAGCAGAATGATACAATGCAAATCAAAACACTCACAGCCAAGATCAACTTGCCCCTTTCTCACAAGGACGCCATGAGCTTGTCCAATCTTAATATAGTCTTGAAAAGCCTCACAGTAAACATCGCCAAGCTAGATAAATCAGCCTGTGCGCCACTAATAGCCGCCATCTTACGCTATCCTTGGTTGGAGGTCCGCATCCCGGAGGCCACCCAGGGCAAGCTTGCATTCCACTCATTTGTGGACATTTACTCGCAGTTCCTCACTGTGCTCATCTCCTCATTTCCCAAATACCTAAACGAGGTTCTCACAAAGCTCATAAACGAGTTCCCCGACTTGAGCTCCGACACATATCCACACCACAAAGTGCTTAAGCGCTTCATTTCATACTTCCCCACTTGCATCAATACTATACCCAGGGCCTTAAGCGCCACCGCCCCACATCACACTTCATCCACCACCACCGAGATTTACAACTACGTGAGGAATGCAGTTACTGTGATTTCGTACTGCCTGGATTTGCAGTACTCGATCTGGCAGCTGGTGATTGAGCTTTGCATTAAAATGGACGTTGACCTCCAGAATGAGCTTGACGATCTAGACGACGATAGCATTGAGGAGCTTATCAACGGCGAAGATGAGAATGATGAGGTTCTCGAAGTTGAAGCGGAAGACGCTGACGAGAATGGAGTGGAGGTTTATGATGTTGCATCCACCACAAACATCAAGCAGTTGGTTTCTAAGCTCGATAAGGTTATGGAGTTCCTTCTCACAACTACTGAGCCTTCCTTCACTGCTGAGGAAATCAGCAACGGAAAAGGTGTTCACCTTTTTAATACCCTCGCATCACTTTTCAAGACCCATGTCTTGCCTACACATTTCACTAAGCTGATTCAGTTCCTCATGTTCCACATTTCTCAGTACCAGCCGGAGCTTGCGGACTCATTTTTGGTCATGCTTATAGACGTTGCATTCAATCAGAAAGAAACCACAGAGAAGCGCCTTAAGGCTCTTCAGTACCTTTCTTCTTACATCGCGAGAGCCAATAACCTCACGAAACACCAGGTTGTATTCATCGTGAGCTACCTCATTGGTTGGATTAACAAATACATCACTGAAAGGGAACACGAAGTTTTTGAATTTTCCGATTCCTCTTCAGGCGGTATGGAGAGGTTCAAGCTTTTCTATGCTACTTTCCAGACCCTTCTTTACATTTTCTGTTTCAGACACAAGCTGTTGGTGAAGGATACCGAGGGCCAGTGGGAGTGTGATATTGACAAGTTTTTCCAGCGTGTCATTATCGCTAAGTTCAACCCCTTGAAGTACTGCGATGAGACAGTGGTGTTCATTTTCGCTAAACTTGCAACCAAGTTGAATGTCTGCTACTGCTACTCGATCATTGAGCACAACAAGAGGGAAAGAATGATCCAAGGAAATTCTAAAATGCCTTCGACGGTCGGTAATTTTAGACACAAGCAGGAGTTTTTGGACTTAGAGGCATACTTTCCATTTGACCCAGTTGTCCTCCCTGTTTCAAAGAAAATCATTGACAAAAACTACGTTGAATGGTCGCAGGTGAACCCTGTTGATGAAGATGAGGAAGACGATGACAGTGGCAGCCATCTTGAGGAAGATGACGATGAAGACGATATTGATTCAGACGAAGATTCTGATGACGAAGACAAGGATGAAGAAGAAGAAGCCGATAGTGCTGAGGAAGACAGTGATAGGGAAACTTAATGTGGTGTTATAAAGGCATCTCGCGGGAATCTCATTTACATAAGTCTCTTCTTAGCATGAATACAACCGATTAGGGATAATGTGTGGCTCTTTTCTCTTCGTAGTTTTTGTTCAATCTTGAACTCGTGCCCCGGTAGATCGCCTTTTGTGGGTTTGATCACTCGTCAAGTCTTGAAAATGAAACCCCTTGAGAGCTGGACTCTCCAATCATGAATAACGACACAATATGAGATGGGATTTGTCAGGTGTGAACATGATCTCATGGATAAAAAATTGTAACTCTACTCTTTTTGTTGAAGCAAATAGGTTTCAAAAAAAATATTCTTGATCACGCCCAGGCTCGAACTGGGGACCTTTTGCGTGTGAAGCAAACGTCGTAACCAACTAGACCACGCGACCAGAATTTATAGTTGGGACATCCTGTGGGTATATGAGCTTTTGGTCGCCTTATATGTACACCGTGAGAAATGAACTATATGCAGGTGTATAAGCTTTAGTTGATATACCGACCACAGGCAAAATTTTGCATACTGGTCGCGTGGTCTAGTTGGTTACGACGTTTGCTTCACACGCAAAAGGTCCCCAGTTCGAACCTGGGCGTGATCATTTTTTTTTTCGTTCTGTTCTCCAGGAGAGAATTTATCTTGTAGTTCGTGTTGTCATTGATTTTCCTATCTCCAACTCATCATCTTTTAGCAGCAATTCATCTCGTTAAATCTAGTGTCAATATACCTGCCTACCCTGTGGACAATGAATCCTTTCGTTAACTCTTACCTATGTACCCTATTTAATCCCCGAGTAATGAAACCTGATTAAGCAAAATGCAGTCTCCTCCACGCTCTGGGTCCAATCCATACGTGTAGAAGTAGCCTTCTGAAGTAACAACATTGATATGCACGAGCTCAAGCAGCACCAAATCCTTGTTGGAAGAGTTGGATGTTGGTGAGCCAACTTGCTGGCCCTTGCTAGCCTCTACTGCATCTTTTGAGAGCATGTAGTTCGGAGGAACTAAGTCCTCCTGGATATCGCCGTTCATCGTGGCAATCGACTTGACGTCCTTATCCATTGTCTGAATCTTGAGGGATGCAAAGTGTCTCGTTGGCTCCAAAATGGAAGAGAATCGAGAGGGAAGAAAGTCGCCCATTTTCTGCGCAGCCTTCCTACCCAAGTTTTGCGACGAGCGACGTATGAGTCTAGCGACAGAAAGTCGACTCTGGTCAATGACAGGTTCAGTTTTCTCCTTGTCGTCTGTAGTGCCACTGATATTGGAAAAGCTCGACATCCCGCTATTGAGTGAGTTGGTGGATCCTTGGGAGAGCTTCCGTTGACTGCTAGCTTCTATAGCATTTTGAATGTTCCCACCATCGCCATCGCCTTCCGCATCACTGTCATCACCATCATCCTCGAGAAAATCATCATCCTCTTCGGCCTTTTTAAGAGACTTTTCGTCCTCCTCATTTATCGTGAACTCTGGATTAAGGCGCATCTTTTTCGTCTTGGACTCTCTCTTGCGCTTCTGCTTATTGGCTAAGAGTTCGTCTTCGCCAAGCCTGAAAATGTGAACCGTTTCGCTCGAGCTTGTAGCCACCACATACTTGTTATCGGAACTGAAGGAGAGTGAATAGATCTTCGTTGGGTATGTTCCACGGCGAAACTGGTAGAGCTTCTCACCCGAGTCCACACTAAAAACACGCACAATTGTTCCCTTATTGGAAGCTGTGGCGAGTAAGTGACCATCTCTGGAGAGGCACAAAGCGGCCAAACCTGACTTGTGTGCTTCAATAACAACCACCGGTTGGAGAGCTTGAAGATCAAATATTATGACGTCTCCTACTCTTTTTGGAGCCCTTGCCGCCTGTGCATTCGTACTAGCCAAGGTTGTGTTGGCAGCGTTTCCACTTGCAATAAGCGACTCATGGGCCACAGTCTTTGGAGGTGACGGGTAGGCCAAGAAGGAGTTGGAGGGACGTGAATCAATTGCCGAGTCCAGCGTTAAACCCTCCTCAAAGTCATCTGATACAGCGCATAACCTGTTTGTATTGGGACTTGTTTCAATGGTGTGAAGGAGTTGCATGCTGAGGATATCGTAGATGTAGATCTGCTCTTCTAGGAGCACCACAACCCTGTGGCGGGAGAGCCGGACCGCCAAAATGGTAGCAGGGAATATTAAGTCACATATAATACTATTGTCCCTTGTGTTTACAATTTTGAGCTTGCGAGGCAGTGACCCGGGTTCATCTCCTAATGCCACTATCGCTAGGAGGGAAGTGCAATACAACATCTCAACAATGCCCACCGCCTCCTCTTTTTTCAACAGATGGCATTTGGCAAGCGACGGCTTCATTGAGTATACCTTGTAGCCATTGTTTAAACCAACGGCTACACACGAGGAGTCTTGATTGAATGTGATGTACTTGACAGTTGCGTCAGCATGGTGCGATTGATTGGAGGCTGACAGACGATCATCCCCAGGGGGCAATGAGTCTTGATATTGTTGAGCCAAGTTCATGTACGCTGGAGAGCCAGCGACCGAGGTTTTCAACATTAGGGGTAAGACTGGAAGAAGTCAATTTTGCGATAAAGTAGTACGCAAGCAGAGCCATGCAGCAGGGAAGCCGTTTAGGCCTAGAACACCCGTGCACCAACTCTGTGTTTTTGGAGAGAGCCCTGTGAATGTGGGGCAATGGCTTTGGAGGGGTCGTTGTCAAGAGAAGAACAAAGCATTATACGAGACTCTACAATGGAAGGCGATGGATTCTGTAGTTGTGGCGCCTCCTGGGGCGTCAGGCTTATCGCGAAGACTAGTCAGACCGCTGCACTAGGGGCTAATTAGGCTCTAAGTGGTGAAGAATTTAGAGCTGTTTTGCCAACCATTCCGAAAATTTGGCGATCATGGCTGGGGTCACATCGTGAACGCGTCCTTCCTCGTAGTATGTCACAGTGGCGATGTTGTCGTTTTGGTACATGTCGGCCCAAAGGGACGAGATTCTGGAAGGCACAAGCGGATCATCGGTGTAGAAGGAGGCAAACATCTTCACCTTGGCAAAGGGGAAGTTTTCAAAGATTTGGATGTCCTCAGCGCTGACGAGACGATGCAATGCTTCTGGGTAACGTTTCTTTTCCTCTGTATTCAACTCGAGCTCGTCATAGTTGCAGTAAAACCACTTTTTGTCAAAGTTGCTGGTCTTTTTCAACCTGTTCACAAGCAAAGAGGTCATGTCGTAGCTTCCAATGGTTGGATTGATGATAGACACCTCATCAGGATAGGCATTGGCAAAACGAATGGCCACATGAGCTCCCAAAGAGTAGCCGCCCACAATGTTGTTGAACTTGATTGGCATATCTGGATCTTTTCTCAAACTCTCCAAGTCAAGAAGACCGGGCAAAAAGTCAACAATAAGCTTCAAGTCGGCCACGTTTCCGTGAATTGCAGAGATCATGTCAATGGCGTGTGTGTCGTTTCCAGAGGCCCAGTCGTCGTTTCTAGCATTATCAACAATACGGGAGCCGTGGTTACGGAGGTCGAAAGTCACGGCAATGAATGGAATATCCTTCTCTTTTGCAACAGATTCAATCACATGTTGGGCAATGGCGCTGGTGTATGACTCGTCGCCTCCCTTTGGTGTAGCAAGTAGAGCACGTTCACCTTGATATCTTCGGTGCCAGGCGTCTTATTGCATTTTTCGACATAAGGATGTAAACTTTCAGTATTGAAGACTTTGACTTTAATGCCAGCAATGTCTAGCTCTTTGGCTTCGATGTTGGGAATGGCGTCTAGACGTAACATTGTAGTGGGAATTTCGCAGTTTATCTCAAGTGACAACTATTGTGAGATAAGTGCGATTTATGGGGCGCATCACAAAACGTACGATAAGGAGTGGTAAAGAGAAAATGAGAAATGAAACTTGAAAAACAATTTTTATGGGTTTTCAAGCATGAAAATTCACGAGCACGTTGTGAAGTCAGTTGAAGCAAAATTCTAGAGTTCCTGGGAATAGTAGCGATCTGTGTCTAATCAACCCAGCGTGCTTGCGGTGTCTCGGTGATTGAACGCTAGGCCAGGTAGTAAGTGAATTCGAGATCGAGAGAGCCATCATACTAACACAAGAGCCTAGAATTGATTGGTGTCTTACGAAGTAGCATAGATCAGATTCCTAGACAGTGGCCTTAGTTTTTTGGGCGATGACGATCACCCAACCCACAACGTTATCAGGCATGAAAAGAAGAAAAGAAAAAAGTTATGACACCCTTGTCCAGAACGGTTTCCAAACTTTGTCATATCAAAGATACTTACTGATCAGAGGTACTGCTGCTTCAATACTCCGTTCTCGCCGATGGCTGCGAAACGAATACGCAACCCGCTTATATGTTCACTCACTACTTCCACACCCATTGACCACCGTATTCACCAGAAGTATCCCAAACGGAGTTCGTGATTCCAAGCCTACTATCTCATTGTTAGCCCTGAGTGTACCCGGTCACACACCCCACATCCTCCAGAAACAGCCGAATTGACCGTTTTTTCACCTCCATCATTTCGCCTTTTAAGATCTCTCACAGAGTCACTCTACAGAACTTTAGATCGGAAATAATATCTCTGTTTTAGCTTGTCCTCGGTAACAAACCCGTTACCGTGCATTGACAGGTGCGCTTCTCCGCAGGAGGCTGTATTGCACAAGCTTCCATCTCTTATCCCAGAGTATGCCCCACTTTCGCATTCTACAGTAGGAAAGTTGACAAAGCAGGATCGCCACGAGGAAGGCGAATGTTGCATAAGTGTGATTTTGCATAGATTTTTGCAAAGACCTCGAAATCTCGAAGAATAGTTGATTTGTAATCTGGGTCCGAGTTTCCCCACACAATGGGCCTCGGAAACTGGTTAACTCCGTATAGCCATGAACTAAATTCAACCGCCCTACCTGAAATTACAACAAATTCCGAATCTTCTCAGTTCCCTTCCACGACAAATGGCCTGATGCTGGGGTCCATTTTGTGGCACCCAATTGTCCAGGGAAACCTTCACATGTAAGGGAGTGCATGGTCTCGCACCGAGTATATAAGATATGGGGGGCGCCAGCATTCTAGTACAACTAGTATTCTCGAGATGCCTTCGAAAAACGGAAAAGTTCAAGCCGAAAAAGCCGCCGAGAAGGTCGCCAAAGCAGGACAGGCTGCTGTCGACACAGTGGAGGAGAAACTTCCCTCCAATGCCAGCGTCAACTCTGCTTCTTCCACAGCTAAAGAGCCAGCTGCACCTCATGTCCCCAAGGATGCTGACCCAAGAAACATCTTGGACTACACTCCTCAAGACGAGATTGTGGCATCTGTCGCCAGATTGCGTTCCAACTTCCACCTGAAGAGAAAAACCCACCCATTGCAGTACAGATTGAACCAGTTGAGAAACGTCTACTTTGCTGTGAAGGACAATGCTGACGAATTGTGTGAGGCCTTGTACAAGGACTTTGGCAGATCCCACTCCGAGACCAAGAACTTGGAAATCAACCCATTCATGAACGAATTGGTGCACACCATGTCCCACTTGCACAACTGGGCCAAGCCCGAGCCAGTGCAGCACTTGCCCTTGATCATGAAGTCCAACCCAATCTACATTGAGCGTATCCCATTGGGTACCGTGCTCGTGATCTCGCCTTTCAACTACCCATTGTTTTTGGCTCTCAGTTCTCTTGTCGCCGCTATCTCCGGTGGCAACTGCGTGGTCTTGAAGGTCTCCGAGCTCAACCCACACTTTGCCCAGCTTCTCACCAAGATCCTTACCAAGGTGCTCGACCCCGACACTTTTGCCATGGTGAACGGTGGAATCCCCGAGACCACCACGGTGTTGGACCAGAAATTCGATAAGATCATGTACACTGGTTCCACCATGGTCGGCACCATCATTGCCAAGAAGGCTGCTGAGACCTTGACCCCTGTTCTTTTGGAATTGGGTGGTAAGTCTCCTGCTTTCATTCTTGAGGACGCCACTGACGCAGACCTCGCTATCATTGCCAGAAGAATTGTCTGGGCCCGTTTCACCAACGCTGGTCAGACCTGTGTGGCCATTGACTATGTCTTGGCTCACGAGAAGGTCAAGGCTAAGTTGGTTAATTTGATTGTCAAGGTGATCAAGGAGGACTTCTACAGCGGCTTGGATGCTAAGGACCCAACCTATACCCATATCATCCACCTGCGCGCCTTTGAGAACTTGTCCAAGATGATCAAGCAGAGCAAGGGTGAGATTGTTGCTGGCGGAGACACCGACGCTGCCACCAGATACATCTCTCCAACTGTCATTGACAATGTCAACTGGGACGATTCCACCATGCAGCAGGAGATCTTTGGCCCCATATTGCCTATTTTGGCCTACACTGACTTGGAGGAGGCCGTCCAGGAAGTTATCAAGCGTCACGACACGCCATTGGCTTCCTACATCTTCACTTCTGGTCCTCGCGACCGTAAAAAGAATCCACAGGTGGACCTCATCCGTACTGCTATCAGATCTGGTGGCACTATTGTCAACGATGCTGTGATGCACGTTTCGTTGGCCAACGCTCCATTCGGTGGTATTGGTCAGTCCGGTCAGGGTGCTTACCACGGTTACTACTCTTTCAGAGCATTCACTCACGAGAGAACCACCATGGAGCAGAACCTTAAGATGGATTTCACCTTGAAGGTGAGATACCCACCTTACGAGGAAAAGAAGGATAATGTCTTGGGCGCCGCTGTCTCTCAATACAACAACAAGGTCTGGTTCGGCAGAACTGGAAACGTCAGTGTCAACGGCCCTGGCCTGATCTGGAGTGCGTGGCACAATTTTGGTGGCATCACCTCTCTTGTCTACAAATTTGTCAACAGCTTGTAATTTTATATGAAAATAATCTATGCTTTTTATTGTTCTCAACGTAGATTTTGCAACCATATGGTGGCGCACCCAGACACCTCACTGCGTAGATACACCACGATCAATTAGTATTCTTACACCAACATGGCTTTCATTGTCCAAATTAAAAATGCCGGCAAGGTGTACGATATAGAGCTAGAAGATTCTTCGACTGGTGCTGAGTTGAAGCAAAAGATCCAGGAGCTTACGCAGATTCCTAAAGAACGTCAGAAGATCTTAGTCAAGGGAGGCAAATTGACAGATGATGCTGCTGTTGCAGAGCTCAAATTGAACCTCAAGACTCCAATTATGGTTTTGGGTACCCCTGACAAGGACCTTCCTGTCAAGGCTCCTGAGAAGCAGGTATTTTTGGAGGATTTGAATGAAAATCAGTTGACAAAGACATCCCAGGAGCCTTCTGGATTGGTGAACTTGGGTAACACTTGTTATTTGAATTCTTCATTGCAAGCAATCTACAATAACAAAGACATTGCATCTCGTGTCGGCGAGTACGTGGGTCTGCTGGGTGGCAATTCGCTTGTGACCAGCTTGAAGGGGATCTTCTCTGCCATGAACAAGAAGCAGGAAGATGTCAACCCGACATTCTTCCTCATGCAATTCAGAAGTCAATTTCCTCAGTTTGCCGAGCAAGATAGGGGCTTTTACAAGCAACAGGATGCTGAGGAGGCCTACTCGCAACTTCTCAATGTGTTGAGCTCTGCGTTGAATGTGGAGGACTACTTGAGAGTGGACTTCAAGTCGAAGACGAAATGTTTGGCATTGCCTGACGAGGGCGAGAAAGAAGGTGTTGACACTGCCCTCAAGCTCAATTGCCACATAGATATCAAGACAAATTTCTTGAGAGACGGTCTTTTGAATGGTTTGAAGGACACCATCGAAAAGTACAACGATACATTGCAGTCTAATACCGATTATGAGGTGAGCAAGACAATTACCCGTCTTCCAAAGTACTTGACTGTTCATTTTGTCAGATTCTTCTGGAGAAGAGACACGCAAAAGAAGTCCAAGATTCTAAGAAAGGTTCAATTCCCATTTGAATTAGACGTTGCAGAGATGCTTGACGACTCAATCAAGTCAGAAAAGGTGAAGGTTAGAGACCAATTGAGAAAGATCGAGAAGGACAACACCGAATTGATCAGGGACTTCAAGAAGGCAAAGAAGGATACTTCGTTAACCCCTCAGCAACAGCAAGAGGAGGACGAGTTGAAGTTGGCATCTATCAAATCCAAGTTCACGGATGATTTCCAGGATATCTTGTCGGACTCGGTCGACCTAAGTAAAACTACTGAGAACCCATCCTCGGTGTACGAGTTGAGCTCCATTGTCACACACCAGGGTTCGTCCGCAGACTCCGGTCACTACCAAGCATTTGTGAGAGATGAAAACGACTTGGAAGGCAACAAGTGGTGGAAGTTCAACGATAACAAAGTCTCTAACGTTCCAAGAGAGAAGATCGAGATGCTTGCCGGAGGTGGTGAGAGTGATGCTGCATTGATCCTTTTCTACAAGGCCAAGGGTTTGTAAACCTCGGCATAAGGCCGATTTCGGTATTGCTCTTGTATAAAAACTATGTTTTTCTAATCTTACATGCTATTCACCAACGTCTTGAACTGCTCAACCTCGTCCCAACAGTTCAAAGCGCGTCCCTTATTGTCCTTCAAACAGGCAATGACGTCGCCACGGGCTTTCTTGACCTCGTCGCTCAATTCAACCTGAATCAATTTGGCACTGTCCTGCAACGCTTTAGTCAAGCCCTGCACTTTCTCGTTCGAGAGAGCCACAGAGAGCTTGGTGTCTTTGGATTTGTCTAACGATTCGGCAGTAGTTTTCTGGAATTTCTCTAAAGCCTCCCTCTCCAACTTTGTCAATTCGGAAGCAACTCTGTCTTGAATGTACTTTTCAGTGTACTGGGCTCTGGTGTAATCGGACTCCTGGGAGTTTTCCAAATGCGACAAGAACGACGCACTGAAATCCACAGGAGCATTGGGCGTAAACACCTTGGTCTCCGGCTTCGATGCGGTGGATCCCATATTTAGAGCTGGATCTTGTGGATAGTTAACTATGAGACTTGTAGAAACACACCATTGGACGCACGGTCGTGCGAGGCACATAAAGGCCGAGGAAAGCTAGCGGAGTCCTAGGAAGCTACCAGAGTCCTAGGAAGCAGTGTCAAGGACTTCAGTAAAAATTGAAGATTGCTAGATTGAAGTAGAACAGGGTTCCTGAGTGAAGAAAATGACAAATTCTGTCACTGATAAAAGTTAGGGTGGGTAAATGCGGACCATTCTTTAAAATCCTCCGGATCAACTAGTAGAAATTTGCCAATAGAGTTTGAGACGGAACTTAAGCAAGGCTATTGCACCCTAGAGCCTCGAAAATCTAACTTTTCTTGGAGGTGCACCTTTGACCAAACCGGCACTTATGTGCATCGCACTACTACGACCATCAGATTTTGCGCCAGATCGTCATACACTGAACCCCGGATCTCGTCCTTTTTCAAAAATGCCTGTCCACTACCAGCAGCCTTCCAACTTCGACAAGTTCAAAATGGGCGCCATGATGGGCAGCACTGTTGGTGTCTGTGTCGGTGTGCTTTTTGGCGGTTTCTCCATTTTGCAACATGGTGCTGGTCCTAATGGTGTCATGAGAACTTTGGGCCAGTACATTATGGGCTCTGTGGCCACTTTTGGTTTATTCATGTCGATTGGTTCTGTCATCAGATCCGACACTGGCTTCCAGACCACTCAGCAGGCCATGCTCCTTGCCAACAAGCAGAGGTTGAGAAACATGTACGGCTTCGAGCACTAATTCCCTTGTAAATATTAATGTACATGAAAAGGTGGATTGATGTCGTGAGATTTGTAGATTTGCCGTGTGGGTGCATGATCAATTCTTGATGTGTGCTAGCAGTTGCAATGGCCTAATATGGTGCCTTCTATAATGCATGCTTTTACCATCTTTTCATATTTCTTTATTAAGAACTTGAGCGTAGTAGAGACATGGGATGAAGCCTTGTATAAGGCAATGTTTTACTATCATACAGCATTTCAAGAATGGTCCCGACCTTAGAACAACCTTTACAGAGGAAAAATTGGAAAGTAGTCGACTTTAACAAAATCTGCTTCAGAAAGCCCTCCTGGTAGTGAATGAGGAAACTTAGAATTTACTTTATCGACGTTTGAAATGTTTAATGGGTGAAGGCATCCATTCTTCACGGCAACCCTACAGAAAGAACACAAATATCATTGCTCATGTTTTCGTCTATATTTCTATATTTATTCAAAGTGTTTTATGTGGTTGCCATTGTGAAGATGGTAGGAATAGGTGAGACCAAACTCAGGCACCTTATAGTCGTCCGGCTTGCCCATCTGCTTGGCCAAATCAAGCAAGTTGTTCTTGGGCTCGAGAATGGGTTCCGAGCTGAGTTTGAAAGTGCCAAAATGAATACCCAACACAAACTGTGTCTGCAACATTTGCGCAATCTTGATGCTTTCGGCAGGCAGTATATGTCTGGGCAGCTGGTGCCATTCTGGACAGTATTGTCCAATTGGTAGCATCAGAAGCTTTACTGGCCCATACCTTTTGGCAATCATTTGAAAAAGCTCCCGGCAATATCCCGTATCACCGGCGTGGTATAAGATCGACTGGTCGTTTCGCCTGAGGATGAAGGAGCCCCAAAGAGACAAATTGGAGTCCAGAACATGGCGACCAGACCAATGCATCGCCGGGACACACACAATCTCGTAATCGTCTGGAAAATCAGGACTTTCCGTAATGTGCTTATTGAGGGACACCTTGTCCCACCAGTCCATCTCGATCACCTTGAAAACCCCTCTCTTTGCAAGCACCAGCTTGAGGCCTAACGGAACCACCCATGTTGCATTGTTGCCAATACGGCTCACAGCATCTAAGTCAAGATGGTCCGGATGGTTGTGTGAAACCAACACGAAGTCTAGTTTCCCGTTTGTAGCGTATTTTATGTCCAGAAGGGTCATGGGAGACTTGACGAGCCTTTTGGGCCCAATGTGCGGAGTGAACAAGTGATCGCTGAAAATGGGATCTGTGAGTATGTTGATACCTGATATCTGAACAAGACAGCACGATTGGCCGAGCCAGGTGCATAGCAACTGGTCATGCAAGGCAACACCGTTCTTTCTCTCCTTGAGTGTGGCAAACTTACCCAGGGCGATGCAATCCTGGAAAATCCTGGAGTTGTCTCTTAAAAGCTCATACTTGGGCGTAAAGCTCTTGAGCATGTCGTCAACTTCTTTGAAGTCTCCCTCCGGCGTAGGATATTTATCGTGGATCTCGATCTTGTTCCCGTAGAAACTCTCAAAGAGCTCCATGACTCGAACCGATAAGAATTCGAATCCGGTTTGGGGTCTGTATTCCTCGAACGGATTTACAAACATGCCGTTGACCGTAGCAGACTTAAACCTCAGTATGTCCTCCAGTTGGATAGCGGCCTCATAGTCCTTCTTCCTTCGGGATATGATATGCTGTGTTCTCAAATGCATATACGCTTCAAAACCAGTATATGCCACCAAAGCTCCAAGCCCTAGCTTGAGTCGAAGGGACCTGGGCGGTTTATTCATGGTAGTGGTGGGTTGGTTGATTCGCGATGGGTGCAAAATACACCGCTCTGGTACTACACACGAAATGTCTATGCTGGGGTTCCTATATACCTAGTGCTGCTTGACAACACCGGAGGCGTCGGCCAATTTGAGAATATGCTTTCTGTAGTCGTGGATGTTACCTGGGAACTTCTTGACTGTGCCATCCTCACTGACCCAAATCTCGTTGCACACTCTTTCAATAGTAGAAACATCGTGCGAAACCATAAGCACACCACCCTTGAAGTTGATCAAGGCGTCCGCCAAAGCATCCAAACCCTGGGTATCCAAGTGATTAGAAGGCTCATCCAAAATGAGCACGTGGGGCTGGTTCAAACAAAGAGCGGCAAATGCAACTCTCGATTTCTGACCACCAGACAAGAGCTGCATCTTCTGAAGACCGAGCGAGCCGGTGATACCGAAGGAGCCCAAGTGTCTTCTGTACTCCTCGTCGGATTTACCTGGGTAAGTTTGCGACATCCAAGACACAGCCGAAAGTGTGAGATCCATGGCATCGACGTGGTGCTGTGCAAAGTAGCCAATTCTCAAACGGCCGTTGGAATTGATGTAACCAGAGAGTGGTCTAAGCAGGCCCAAAAGCATTTTCAAAAGCGTAGTCTTACCGGTACCGTTACCACCACAGAAGGCAATTCTCGAGTTCATCTGCACATCAAGGTTGACATCCTTCATGAGGATCTTATCGGGCGAGTAGCCAAATGTGACATCCTGAATTTGCAAGATGGGTGGAGAGATCGAATCGGGATCTGGGAACTTGAATGTGATGACTTTATCGTCCTCAGGTGGTTCAAGCACTGGCAACTTCTCCAACTTCTTGATACGCGACTGGGCCTCCGACGACTTGGCTGCGTTGTATCTAAACTTGTCGATAAACGTCTGCAAGTGCTGTCTGTAAGCCATTTGGTTCTCGTACTCACGACGCTGGTTTTTGATTCTCTCTTCTCTTGTGCTGTAGAAGGAGTCAAAGTTAGAACCACGGTAGTAGTCGAGTCTTTCGGAATGTTGGTGGATAATGTCGGTGGCCACTTCGTTCAAGAACGCTCTATCGTGCGAAACAACCAACACGGTACCCTCGTATGTTTGCAAGTATTTTGCCAAGTATGTAATGGATGGAACATCCAACATATTCGATGGTTCATCTAGCAATAACAAGTCAGGCTCACAGAATAACGCTCTAGCAAGCGACAATCTCATTCTCCAACCACCAGAGAAGGATTTAGATGGCATCAGTTGACTCTCCTTGGTGAAACCAAGACCATACAAGATCGAAGCGGCTCGACTCTCGGCCTTGTCGGAGTCCATCTCCATAAGCTTTTCATTGACCTCCAGCAAATGCTTGTCCAAGTCACCTCTCTCATTATCCAACTTGGTCTGTTCGTTAGAACCCTCTTCGAACTCAGATCTGAGCTTTTCAATCTCCTCGATTCTCTCATTAATTTTAGCCTCCTCTTGCAATAAGGACTTTCTCCAGACATCAGCGTCGAGAACAGTCTGCAACGCTGGGGTATCATCACCTCTGATTTCCTGCTCCACATGCAAAATGGTAATATGCTTGGGGATATTCAATTCTCTTCTTGACAAGGCACGCAACAACGTGGACTTACCAATACCGTTTTGACCAACAAGACCGTATCTGCGGCCATATGCCAAAGTAAGGGAAGTATCACTAAGAATACGCTGGCCATCACCAACGTACAAGTCAAAGTTGTCCACCTTGATGTCCTTCGACTTACCAGCACTGGAGCCAAAGTCAAGTGGGTTAATCTCCAAGAAGAACGAATCGTAGTCCTCCTTCTTTTGCTCGTTCAATAACTTCGAAGCCTCGTACTTGACAAACTTGTTGTTTCTCTTGGCCACCTTCTTAGCGATCTTTCTTTCTTGTTTCTCCAACTTCTTCACATCAACCTTACTCTCAATTTGTCTTCCAGCATGAGTGATATCTCTAGAGCTTCCAAGGAGAGCCAAGGAAGAGTTAATGTCCCTTTTGGTGTTCTTCTGCAAAACATTCACATCCAATAGCCTCTTGGATCTGTCACCTGTGATCTCCAATTTAGCCATATTGTCCTTGAGCTTCTTTGAAAGCTCCTCTGTAAGTGCAGAAATCAATTTCTGAACATCACCTTCTTTTCCACCAGCATCTAGAAGTAACTCTTCGATGAACCCGAGCTCCTTCCCTACATCAGTTTGCTGGGCAGTCACGGAATCCTCTGTGTTGTTGGATACGTGTTGCACATAGCCAACAGCATAATCCTGGACGACCGGATCAATGGTCGGAACTGCTTTCCTAACTTGTAAACCAACGTTGGACATGGTTGCAGAGAAAGCTTTTCAGAGAGTGTAGAAGTAGTAGTACTACGTGGTGTACGGGTGTCGACGCACTCTGATGGGTGCAAAGTGGATCGAAGACCACCAAAGATTTGAGGGTTTGAGATGCGAAGGAGCCTTATTGTTGGCTTAATTTACAAAACTGTGTACCCATAGTGCCTGTGTGGCCCATATTCTATAAGATATCTATAGCACCAAGTTTTCGTTGGCATCATCGTCGTAGTCGTACGAATCAATTGGATCGTCTCTGTAAGAAGGCTCTTGTCTGCCAAATCTTGTCAGCACAGCCTCCCTAAGTCCATTGAATGTGCCACCCAATCTGTTCCATACGTCCCCAAACGACAGCCTTCCAGAGTCGGACTCTTCATCGTGATATGAGGCGTCAATTCTGTTTGACAAGGCGCCCCCAAACGTCTGGTCCGTATTGCTGGTAAACGTTTGTTGAAACTGTGCATCGTTTCTTTGGCGGCTTGCAGGCTCAGTAAAATTAGGCAAGCGCTGTCCGTGTTGGTTGCGACGGTTGAGCTCCAAGGACACGATTCTTTTTGCTTCAACAATGACCAAATCCCTCCGCTTAGCAGGGTTGTTCTCAGCATCACCAAACTCTTCGTCATTGTCAAAGTCACCCCATGCACCGTAGAAGTCAGACAGAAGACCCAACTTCTTCTTCACAATGTCATACACGTTGAAAGTGGTTAAGACAATAGGAATAAGGAGCAATCTTGGGATCCAGTCATTCATCAAGTTGAACAAACCAGTCAAGTGGATAGACTTACCGTACCATTCTTCAAAGATCGAGTCTCTGCTGGTGAACAAGGTGATGAAGTTATAGGAAAGTGGAATGGTTAATCTGGCGATGTACGATGCGTAAAAAGCGGCAGAAACCGGATCACTATCACGAGGCACCAAGTGATACTTATTGAAGATCTTGAGCTTAGCCAAGGAGTTAAGCGAGCAGAACAACATGTACAGAAATATGACCATCGAAAGTACCGCCTGCAAGAAGTTGTGATTGTGGATACCGGTTTTGTAAACTAAGGTGTTCATGAGTGACAACTTCGTCGAATGGAAAAACTCAGACTGAACGATAACGACGGAAATGGCGAATAGGAAGACCGAAAATATTCTGCGAGCAGCTGGTTTAACGTAGCACTGAAAGTAGAAGTCAATTTTTGGAGGAAATGGAGTGAAGGATAATGACAGCATTAATTGATCTCTTTCAGCTTCGTTTTCAGCTGCCTTGGCTGCTAGCAAAGTCTGCAAGCGCGAGATCTGCCCGAGCAAGATATTGTATTCCGATTCGTAAGCTGTAAGCTTGTACAAATGGTTCTGGAAATTGTAGGTGAGGTTTTTGAGGAAAGTCACATTGAGTCGGTCTCGAGTAATTGCGTGAGCCAGGTCGTATACGTATTGCTGTGACACGCTATCGCGGAGGTCTGGTGGAATTTGATTTGAGAGAGAGAATATCCAATCTCTAAACTCGAAGTTCTCTGCAACTGACACTGAGGTGTAGTTCATCTCCAACACCAAGACCTGAAGGAGGTCCTCCTTGAAAGCGATTTTACTATCCTCGAGCGCATCCACTAACCGTGGCACTTTCAAGTAGTGGTGATTCAAATCTTGCATGAGATTGCCTTCCAACCACCTGTTTCGAGGAATGGCAATAAGTCCGTGTGCCATGAGCCAGAGCGCTAAAATCAAAGCATAAATATGCGACAAGGCAATAATCATGGACCGTAAGTGTCCGAAAGAAAGACCGACCTCGAGCATCAAGTAGATGGCACCTGCTATGGCTACCAAGAGGACGATTGCCTGGAACTTGAGGTGAGCCCTGAAGGCGTCTTTTAGTTTCGGAAGCCAATGGAAGTGACCTGATCTGTAGAACTCCTGAAGCACAGGAAGCCAGAGCCAAGTGAGCAAAAATGTACTCCAATAGTTCGATTTCCACAATACCAAAATGGCTTTATCGCTTATGTTGAAACCAAATATGGGAGTGTCCAGATTGTGGCTCACATAATCAACCGGCAAGAAGAAGGTGATCGATAGTGGCATGTAAATTGCTAGGAATAACGGAATCAGCAAGTAGACCTTATGGTGGAACAAATTGATATGGTATTGAAGAAACGCAAGCGAGACGGCGCCCGCAAGGACGTAGCATAGTAGCAAAAAAACCCACATCAATTATGTGCCTTGGTGTTCAATCAAGGACACAGTAGTAGGTCTTGATGATAGTGGTGTATGGATGTGCGCAGGAAAGTTCGGTCCGGGGTTCAGCTGATCCTGATAAGCCCATTGTACTACTTGAGGAATTGAGAAATTCACAATTTCGAGATATAATGACTATAGTTGACGAGACCAGGGACAGTGAGCCCCATGACCCAGATACGCCTGCAATTGACAGTTCTGTGAAAATCGAGGAAACTGATGCCTCGGAGGCCCCAGACGGTGAGAAGCCTACAGAGAAAGAGGAACCAAAGACAGAGAAATTGGATAATAATGAAGAATCTGGGGCAGAAGTTCTGAAAGCGGGCGATCCTTCGATGCCAGCTGAAACGGAAACTGCAGCAAACGAAGATCATATCAAGAAAGATGACAGGCCCGAGCCTACAGATGAAGTCTCCACTAAGTCAGAAGAAAAGCCCAAGAAACGCAAATCTGTAGGGTTCGCTCCAGAGCCTCTGGAAGACCTCAAAGAACACCACGAGTATTTGGACGAGAGAAGAAAGGACAAGGAGAAGAGTAACCCTTTCTCAAAAATACCCCCGAGCTAGCTTATTTGGACTCCAAGCCCGAGGGTCCCCGACCATTGCCAGTGCTTGAAAATGTGTTTGAGCCAAAAGTCAAGGCCAAGCCTTTTAATGAAATGAGAGACAGAAGATGTGTGGCAGTGAAGGATATCTCTGTGGTTAACAAGCAGACAGAGCTCAACTTCAACTACTGGGAAACTCCAAATCCTTGCAAATCCGATTCTGTGCTTGTGGACATAAAGTATGCTTCGCTCACGTCATTTGACATCTCCAAGATCAGCAAGTACTTGGTGAACCTCTCCGATACGAAAGTCGGCTTGGGTTTCGACTTTGTGGGTACGGTGATCAGACCGGGCTCTCGGTACGAGAATTCCGAGTTCGAGACAGGGACTACTGTTTTTGGTGTTGTGAATCCCGACGACCGTAAAGGTGCTTTACTGTCTGCTTTGGTTGTAACTCCGGCTAGAGACGTCTTGGTAGCTGTTCCGGAGGAAGTTCTTGCACAATTGGGCTCAGTGGACGTCAACTTGTCGTTTGAGCCAGCATCATCATTTAAAGTAGGCTCTGGTGACGACACTCAGGACCAAAAGAGCTCATCCTCGGAGCTTTTCCTGTCAAACTCGGACCTTCCTCAAACAAATGAGGCTCCTTCCAAGAAAACAGACATCAGGGATACCCCTGCAAAGGTTGAGGTGCCCGATTTGGCTAAATTGTCGGTATTTGGCAGCTCTTACTGCAGAGCTAAGCTGGCACTTCTGGTCATGGATTCAGTGTTTGCTCGTCAGGGGTCTGCAAACATCCTCATCAATGGTGGGGATACTCAATTGGGCTATACGATTCTCCAGACATTGTTCTCGAGTGCATACTCCGAGATCTTAGAGAGAATCAATGTGATTTTGGTTGTAAAAGAAAGCTCACTTGCTAAGACGAGAAATGTTGCTGAAAGGCTCGGCAGTGGAGGCACACGCAAAGTGCATGTTTTAGCGTACGATATGGCCAATGAGGACCTAGTGCTTCCAGGAGAGAAGACACCCGTAAACTACAAGAAGGTTTCGTTCTTCGCCTCGGAGCTTATCGAAGCTATGTTTGATGGGATCCCTGAAAGCACTTCCATCGATTCATCAAATGTAAACACATGCAAGATCGATTTGTTCATTGACATTATTGGAAGCAAGAAAATTTTCCAGCATTCAATGACAATGAGCGCCCTCGATGAGGTCAATTTCCCATTCAAGCAAAGGTTGGCTCCTGGAGTGCAGTTGACAACGCTTTTTGGTAAATCAAAGGGTCCTCTTTTCGAGAAGCTCATGAAGCCAAAAGCTGACGGATGCTCATTCATCTCTTTCTGCAAGTTCAACTTGTCAGAACCATCCTATCTGATTACCCAACTCGTGGATCACACTAGCAAGGACGTATTTAACCCGTGGGCACTGAAGTGGCTGCAAGGATTCGCCAATCAATTTGTGGCTAAATACAGCTACTACGAAAAATTCGATTTGGAAGTGAAGCAGAGATGGGTACAAGAGGGATTGCGTCTTGTGCTCAAGGGAGAGTTGAAGTTCCCAATTTCCGAGGTCTCTGACTGGCGGAATCGGTTCAAGAACCACATTGCCAACTTGAAGAAGCATGACGGACAGGTTGTTTTTGAAATTGAGAACTTTTAGATAAACTTCGGAGATGCAGCCACCCACGGAACTTAGTTTTGTGTTTTGGATCGGCAGTTCGGTACAAGCAGCATGGTGACAATGCGGCTTGTTGAACAAAGGTGGCCGTTTGGACAAGCCCATTATATATCGCAATGTGTTGGGTATGTGAATGAAGCGGTATTGTCGAATTCAAGAATAAACTGGATCCGAAGAGCCGATGGGATATGTCAGGCCGTCCAATGGCCGAGGTGATGATATCAGCAATTATTAGCGCACCAGCGTGCATTCCATGACACCATGAATGATTTGTTACGAAAGTTTGATTTACGGTTTTATCAAGCAAATGGCAGTCCAGAGGCACTCGCCAGAGCTTATTTGTTGTTGAAAGGGAACCACAAGGCGTGGTACAGTATGCCTGTGTGGTGAGGCGAGTCTCGAGACTTGAGAGCATGGCACCTGAGCATTATGGGAAATAAACGTCGCCCCATCGAGATGTCCACCAGTGTTTATGTGAGGCTAATTCTCTTTTTGTGAGGCTAATTTACTTTTGGGGCGTTTGCGGCAAAGCTTGACGTGAGCTGCATTTAGTCACTTCAGGCGGCAGATTTGGGAGTACCGCCCAGACGTAGCCGCGCAGCAAGCGATGGCTGCAAACAACGCTTTCTCCACGCATACGCCCAAAACCCTTCGGGAAAATTAGCTGCTCGTAGTAAGCAGAGGCGGTTTCGGAGCCAAATTTCCTTGCCATGGCACAAATTCCAGTTTGCACCCAGAATGGCGGAATGGCCTAGCCAGATCAACGACGCGGGCCCCTGGCCTCTGCAGGAGATCCAAGCCCCGATTATCGTCTACATCATCATCAACCTCTCCCTCTTCTTGTTTACCCCAAGACTCATTGTCACTTTGAAGACCCGATCCGTCCTAGGATCCTGCCCAACTTAAAAGCTCAGGCCGGTACATGTCCGGACATCATGTCTGGATCCATGAGCGTGCATTCCCTCATTGACAAGTTTTCGGAGGATGAACCCTCCAAAGACCAGAGGCATCCTAGGCATCCGGGCCATACCAGAAGCAGGCTGGCGTCTCCCGCCAAGCCTCAAGAGAAACCACGCCCGGACGAAGGGACCTCAAGGCTACCTGCCTCAGCATCCACTCCCCATCTCCAGCAAGCTCCCTATTTGCTGCCCCAAAGACCACTGCATTTCGAACAACACCCGCCATACCCGCCCAGGGCCACGCTCGACCTGGTCTTGGGCCCCCAATTTGCATCAATTCCGCTCACAGAAGCCAATCTAGTAGAGGCGCTACGACTCCGGTCGGAACAGGAGCGTTCACGCCAGGAACAGCTTCGGTTGGAGCTCGCCCTGCGCAACCTCGCCATCCTCCAGACCGCCATCCAAAACGAAGTTCCTCCTCATTTGATTCCGTCCATGTGCGTCGGGTCCGTTCCCGAATCCCGTGGCTATCCTGATCACCAGAAACGGCCCTCGGACACCTTCGCAGCTCCAGACCAGAGCCACACCTCTCAGGCGCCTACAGGGCCCGGAATTGCCCGCCAGGACCACGATAATGCCAGCCCCGTGGCGCCACTAAATTACAGGTTCGGCTCGGGCTCCAGAAGACCGCTTTCGCCAGCGAAAATCGGCGCGGCAGCGGTGGCTAACTTGTCAAACCCGATAACTCCATATAGACCAGCACAAAAGACGATTCTGGCCCACCAGCGGCACTTCTCGATGCCGGCGGAAACTCCCAAAAGCATGGATCGATCCAGCGAGCGCTCCGGTCCGAGAACAAGACTGCTGACGAAAAGCCACCTCCAGCTGCCCTTGGGGCAACTTCTTCCATTCAGGTAAAGCCTTCTCCGGCTCAGCCTCTACATAAACAAGCTCGTATGCCCCAGCCTCCATCGCAAGAATCAATGACGTCGTTCCAGCACGTTATACAGTTCCACCATTGGAAACCAGAAAACCCAGGTCAGCCTGAAAAGAGCCCAGAACGATCTCATAAAAGACACAAGTCGGGCGACATGTCTGTGGATTTGGGCCACCTCAGGCACAGTTCAAGGCTAAGCACGGATCTGACGAACTTCAAGCGTGAAGACCCAGACGTTCTGATGGATACCAGCGATGTGACATTGCAGGAGCCTCCGAAAAAACACGAAACAGACACAAACAGTGAAACGTCTCAGTCACTGGGACGCTTTCCTCACGACATTCTCCTGTCAAATTAGCCCGTCTAATGCATTCTGTGTTTCGCAAGCGTCAACCGGCCCCGAACTGTGTCTTCAGGGTATGACATCTACGCTCCTACTTCGGTAGCGCAACTGGCTTACCGATCTGGCAAATCGATCGCAAGTCTGTTGATGTTCCTAAAGCTAAAAGTCAAACACGATTTACGAAATGCAATCACTAAGGCAGTGCTGCGGTAACGGCTAATTTATTGTTCTTATACCCCTTAAGCTCACCGCAAAGCTTTCACCCACAAGTCTCGGCCTCGCTCACTTCCTTAACTTATTTAGCATTAAGCACCGTTTGCCGCTGCAAACGAGTCCTCGGCCATTACCTCAACCTCACCGATATCTAATGCGATCATCTCGTCGCCATCCTGCGAATCGTCTATTTTTTCAAAGGTGATGTCAGATTTTTGCAACGCATCGACCTCTTTTTTCAAGTCGTGGGCTAGCGTCCTGATCAAGGTCTCACTCACTTGGTCGCCGATGAACCACAGACAGAGGTCCTCAAGCCATATCTTGTCATATACATAGTACACGTCATGATAGCGGAAAAGCTCCTTTAGGTCAAGAAGACATTTGAGAACCATACGCTTGCCCCCTCGAAGCGTATAGTAGACATCGTTCCATGCAGCCTTGACAAGCTTGTAGTTTCTGTGGAACGGGTAGGAGAGTGCACGGCGAATTGAGGCTATTATAGCAGCTTTGAGGATTGTGTCTTTGGAACTTTCGTTAGCAATGTGGATTTGGGAATCCAAGAAAGCAAACTGGGGCACCAATTTGCCCACTGTCCAAGCACTTTCGATATTGTGCTCTCCCTCGTTTTCTCGTAGGTCGAACTGATATGCAAAAAGAAGTGAAATGATGAGAACGTATAGCTGGGGCTTGACAGCCTCATCAACCAAATAGTTCTTTCTTGGAAGCTGGAGCATCTTTTCCTGCTCCTCTTTGGAAAACTCCACAGGCATTACTTGTGCTCGTTCTTCAGCTGGAAGTGCCTGGTTCTTGTTGTACCAGTTGGCAAACATCCTTGTGGCAGGCAGCTTCCACTTGAGAATGCCCACAAAGCTCTTGTCGTCATCAGGAGAAGGGTACTTTTCCATTATGTAATCAGCAGCGTAGTATTCGGGATCGAACTTGATGTTCTCCTTGATGAGACGCTCAAGAACCCGATCGGGACCGTGGGCAGCTTCAGGGTTGCCCAATTCATTGATATCGTTTCCATTCGACATGGACACTCCAATGACGCCTGAATGGGCATTGTTGAAGCCGTAGGTCACAGTAAGAGGATCCTCAGCTTTGGCCTCCACCTGTTCAATTTCCCAATCGTGTTTTTCTCCTTCCACACCCGAGGAAACCTCTGTCTTATCCACATCCAAGTCCTCGATCAAAGGCTTCTTCGGTTCAACATTCTTCCTCGCTAGGAGTTTAGCAGTGAGGTCCAAATCGGGAAAAAGCTGGCCCTTGGTCTCCTTGGCCACCTTGATTTTGACAATGCCCTCCTTCAGATCGAACTCAGCATGGGCCCTTTCGTCGTCCACAAGAGCATATGGAAGCCTGAGCCTGAGGTAGTAGGGACTAAGGGAAAAAATGAAAACCTCGTTGTCCACCACCATCTCGATGGCCAGAGCACTGAATCTCACATGCGACACGCTCACGTTGATGAAGACATATTCGTCGTTCTGGTCGATGGTGAAATAAGGTGTAAGCATTACCTCATCACCATGCGCGATGAGAAAATCAACTAAGTTGCAACCACCATGGAGAAACCCAAAAGACGATTTGTGGGCAGGAAAACCACGCGGGCGGCCGACGGGTCGGTGGTTCCCGTGGTGAAGAGGCACGTGGGAAGAGCAGTCAACCAGATCCCCCAGGATATCCTTGACGATAAGGAGTTAAACGAGGCCATCAGGTTACTTCCTTCAAACTACAACTTTGAGATCCACAAGTGTGTTTGGAATATTCGGAAGCACAAGGCCAAGCGGGTGGCGCTTCAGATGCCAGAGGGCTTGCTTATTTATTCTTTGGTCATCTCGGACATTTTGGAGCAGTTTTGTGAGGTGGAGACTGTAGTGATGGGAGATGTCTCCTATGGAGCATGCTGTATCGACGACTACACCGCCAGAGCCTTGGACTGTGATTTCATTATTCATTATGCCCACTCCTGTTTGGTGCCGATCGATGTCACCGCCATCAAGGTGCTCTATGTCTTTGTCACTATCAACATCGAGGAGCAGCACCTTATCAATACTATCCAGAAGAACTTTACACAGGGCAGCACCATCGCCTGTTTCGGCACGATCCAGTTCAATCCTACCATTCACAGCATCAGAGGCAAGCTCGAAGCCGCAGAAGAGCCCATCTACATCATCCCACCTCAAACCATGCCTCTATCGAAAGGTGAGGTTCTAGGGTGCACCTCGGCCCGTCTAGACCAGAACATAGACGCCATGGTGTACATTGGCGACGGCCGTTTCCACCTCGAGAGTGCCATGATACATAACCCCGACATTCCAGCATATCGGTACGATCCGTATCTGCGGAAGTTCACCAGAGAACGCTACGACCAACAACAGATGGTGCAAGTGCGTCAGGACGCCATTTCGCATGCCAAGGAGGCGAAGAAGGTTGGTCTCATATTAGGAGCCTTGGGACGGCAGGGAAATCCACAGACGCTCGACCGTTTGGAGAAAGGGTTTGCACAAGTCGGCGTGGAAACGGTGAAGATCATCTTGAGTGAGATTTTCCCTCAGAAATTGGCCATGTTTGACGATGTGGATGCTTTCGTGCAAGTGGCGTGTCCTCGGCTTTCAATTGACTGGGGCTATGCGTTCGAAAAGCCTTTGCTAACGCCTTACGAGGCTATGGTTATGATAGGCGGCGACCGCTGGCAGGATGGTTACTATCCCATGGACTACTACCGGAAGGACGGCTACGGAAGGGGAAATGTACCTGCCAGAGATTAGTCGTGTGAGTGTGGAAGTGTGAAAATGTTTGCAAGGTCCATCTTGAGCAACACAAGTTTCAAAAGCAGAAGTGGGCTTCCCGTAAAGGCAACATAGGGGAGTTCAGATACCGCACCAGCCACCCTTTGCCAAAAATCAATCAAAGACCTGCTGGTGTTGCTCAATTGCAGGCATTGCATCAGTGGACTGTCATTTTATGCTTCTTTGCTTCGAAATCACCTGTTTTGTGGAACTTGTTTACGAGCGTTATGAGACTGCGCTCTCGAGTCTATTGTTACGGAAAGGTGGCAATTCCCGATGTTGGGCTGCGTACGGTATTTTGGAAAATTCTCCAGCATTCAGCCGCTGAGCATTTAAGACAATCTCAAAGTGATCGTACGTCGAACTTCCTAGAGGAACTGCATTCTGTGGCTTAAGAATGAGGCCAATTAAGTGAAATGAATTTCATTTTTTCGACTTTTGTCCACCGAGGCTTGTGGACTAATGTATATAGTTAACGGAGGAATTTTTCGGAAAACGCCTCGTGCAAGGCGTTGGCGGTATGTGCCTGCCGTCTCACCAGATGTGTGTCTCAGATATGTGCATTTCGAGCTCTCTTGCTTTCTGACACAATAGAGCCTCGGCGAGGTTAAAGTTGCCAACACAAAGGCTAGAATCATATCAATTTTTTTCTCGACGCCCCTTCTCTCGAGAAAGTCGGCGGTCCCCATGTGGTTCCGGCTTGGCACATTTTTGCATCACCTTGTCTGGCATCCCAATAAGGTGCCATTGTGGAAGGGAGAAAGGAAGATCAGGGACAATGAGCGGGTGAGACATCCCTGAGGATCGCAGCCGTTTTCAGGGAGCAAGATGACCAATCTCAAGATAAGCAGTGGAGCTTTGTTCCATACGTCGATCGGCAAAATGGACAACAGTGAACCAACATGTTCAGGAATAGAATTTACAGATCAAGGCACCATAACCAGTGGAGGTCGCGTACTTTTTCGATACGCAATTGTCTGGCGGCTAGCCCAATGTGTCACCGAGGAGGCTCGCGCCGCACATAATGCTGTACTATGCATGGACGAAATTCACCGGCATATCGAGGCTTTGGGCCTCAGGCGAAGGAGAAGATTGCGTGCCCGCTAGCACGGTCAATTTTGCGTCCGCTGCTGCATGGTGCATTTGCAGAGCGCCTTTTGGAATGCTTCGATTTCATCCCTATGCGCTCTGCGATGCAATGCATGATAGACTAGTGCACATGCTTGGCCCGAGGCCCCGCCCTCGAGGCTCCATCTTTTCTCATGGGTTCTCGATGCATTCGCCCCCACATATTATCCCTCGACGTGCAGCACCCTCGAACCACCTCGATTCGGATATGCAGCCTCCACGGGTCAGCTTCGCTGCATGTTGAAATCAATTGCTCCAATTTTAGCACTCTTCAGCCTCCTTGAACAACATTCTCCACACCTAACAATGTTGCTATTTCAACCGCCAGCCAGGTGAGTAATCCTTCTCCCAAAAACTTCTCCACAATCTCCTTGAAGTACTGGTAGAAGCTCGTAAACCCGACCATCACCTCTTCAACCACTTCCGACACAATACTAGGCAGGTTGAGACTCATGAGGCTGTTCTGTACATCGAGGAGTGCGTTGGGAAGTACCTCTTGCATCGTGTCGTTTGCGCTGGCAATGGTGGTTTCGTTGAAAAGTTTGTTTTCCTGAATCGCCTCGTACATATCAGCATCGAAGATTTCGTCATCCACGGGGCAGATCATGTTGACAATGTTGTAGAAATCGAAAAGCAGGCATTCCTTGAGGAGCTTCTCCAAGTGAAATTGCGTTACCTCCTTCGTAATTCCATGCATTTTCCGATTGAGTTCCAAGACCTTGTCGTTAAAAAACGCAAGTGGCATGATTTTCGAAAGTACCAAATCGAGAAAATTCTGCTTGAAAATAAGCACCTCCTCTTTGTTGAGCGTCTTGACAACTCCGGTCAAGTGAGATTCGAAGATTTCGATCGGCTTGTCCACCACCATATCCAAAAATTCGTCGTGTTCTTTTTTTGGCAACAGGAGAATCGTTTCACTCATCATTGCATCGAGAATTGGCAACAATTCGCTGTAGAAATTAAGAATCCATTCGGGAGGTTGCAAATCGGCAGACAAGTCCATTTGCGCCGAGTTCAGTGACGCCACAGTTGCCAATCGATTGCTCACGGTAGTGGTGATTCGTGACCTTGCAGCACCGAGAAGCGACTGCAAGATCTCTACGAGCAGGGATGCAAAATCTAGCTTCTCAAACATTAAAAGATAGAGTTCGAGATTAGTGTAGATCTTGTAGATCGTCGAGAGCTTTGTTTCCAGAGACATGAGTTGGTCAATCGTGGCTTTGACGGGCCTGCCTAATGCGCCTAGGATCCGGCTCATCATGTCCGATTTGGTCACCTTGAAATCATCTGAGTCGTCCTGAAACAAACCCTCAAGGATTTCTGTTTCATTGACCACGACAGAATGCACGTACGCCAACATGTCGGCAACAAACCGGACAGGATCATGCGAGGTATAATAAACAGGCCTGGGTTCTTTGGAGGTGTGGCTAGTGGTTGCCTTGCTGTTGGTTTGAGCTGCAAATTCCTCAAGCACACCCGAGATTCTGGATTCCACATATGTGTCTATCACCGCTGCATATCTGACAGAATTGGACTTGAGGTACTTCATGCACTTGTGCAAGGTCTCTGTCCGAGATTTATCGTTCATCAGGTAAAGATTTGTCAAAGACCGGTTGCAAAATGTGAGAATCTTATTGACAGCACGCTCAATGAGCTCGGTGGATTTTGCCATGACACCTTGACCTAGGGTAGGGTCGTCTAGCGCTAGAAGGATCAGGCATTTTTTGTTGATTTCCTCGGCACGAGCCAAGGCAGTAAAGAACTCGGCGTTAATGTCGCCAGAAGTGAGCAAATGCTGCTCGTACTCATTGAGCGTAAATGTGCGTTTGAAATTGGCCAAGAGCTCTTTCTTGATCCTGTAACCTGCTTGTTTGTTCGTGAGTTGGTGAATGTCTTTTGATATGTGGGAAGCGCTCCTCTGGTCAGACTCGAGCCTCTGATTCACGTCAGAAACAAGCGTATCCAACGAAGTTACACGACTGCCCAAGTTTTCGAGCTGACGAACAACCTTACCGTAGTCTGCCAATGCCAATGTGTGGCTTCTGATCAAATCCGCCTCGACTTCTCCCCTGGCGTTTTTCCGAGCCACAGACCCCATCACACCTGGGTCTGTAATGACTGAAATGTCTGTGTTTTTGCTCTCTAGCAACCCAAAAAGCTCTCTGATCTCTGCATCCGTCAAGGACGGATTGAGCGCTCTCGCCAAACGTTTTGATAAGGCCGACACTCTAGAATCGGCCTGTACCTCCACCGAGTCAGTCTCGTGATTCGACTCCAACAGCTTCAAAGACAACGCCGCGTATTTTTCAGCAAGATGCGCCTCTGCTGCCTCTGTCTCGCCCTCAACATGCTGGTCTTTCAGCTTCAAGAGGGATTTGAGATTTGAGAGGTTCAGCATGAGCCCCAAGTTCTCGATGTGTGGCTTGAGGGGGAGCAGGAGGGACGGCTGAGGCAGCGGAAGATGCTCATCGTTTGAAAACGACTCGAATGTAACGAAATCCATCGTGCTTGTTCGTTGAAGAGGTTGTAGCGAGAAGTGTATCTGTTGATATGGTGCACGGGTGTGGTCTGGTCGATCTGAGACACCAACTCCATTTGGGCCAAGATTGCCTGAGAGGTGCGAAATGCAGAGTAGGTGGTATAGAGAGGACACTAATAGAGAGGATTGTGCCTCCCGATGACGTGGCGGTTATGTGTGTCGTAGTGGAGAACAGTGTCACGTGCCGCATCACGTGCCCGTTTGCAACTTCCTAGATTCCCCTGTTACGCCGCCCTAGGGAAGCTTCCCTCCTCAAAGCTGCAGCACGGTGAACATGTTCCGTCGCCCGATGGCTGTAGCTTGTACTGTGGCATTTGCGCTGCATCGTCAAGCCTCTAAACAAGCCCCATGTGAGGGGCGATCAACTTAGCCACATCACTCGGGCCCGATATGGAAATAGTGCCGGGGATGGGGTAGCACAAAAGCATTTTTATTGCTGGTGCGTAGCGGTTAAAGCGGCCGTGGGTGAGAGTTTGCTTTGGAATGGTAGACAACATGCAAGAGATGGAGAGATAAGGCTTTTGAAAAAAATGGGGTATCTAGACCTAGGATTAGTTGCTGTGCGGAGAGCAAGCGTGGCGGAGCGATGGCTAGGTTCGAGGAGGGAAGGCTTGTAAAATGGCCTCGTGGATCGGCTGACAGGTTGTTTTTCGGTTTTTGGTTATGAACATCTTAAGATCTAAAGAGAGCTCGTTAGTGCTGCCTGGCACTTAGTCTGCCGATCTTCATGTGTCTTAGAGGACCTGGCAGCAGCCTGCAGTACACACAGTGGAGGTTGCGGCAAGTGAAGGGTGCAGTGTGCAGAGCCATCGCTAGGAAGATTACACACGGATTCATTGTCCTCATATCATTAACTATTTCAACAGAGAAAAATCACAAATACTCGCTGTAGCGTCGGGCTCATGGATACGGGCCAGCCCGTGGGAGCCGTCGGGTCACTCCTGGTCGCTTCCCAGACCCAGACCCTGGCGTAGTCTTTGAAGGCATTTGGAGGCATTCACAATATCTACCATGTCAGCGTAGGACATTCTCAGCTCGTCGTCTCTTTTCGCTGCCGGCCGGTCAGGCAGCGACGCGTTCGTCAGACCCAGCGACGCCAGCAGAAATGACGGCTGCGACAGGATGCTCCCCAGTCGTTCCGTCTTGGGCCTGGTTGAATAGTTGTCGAAATGGGTGGTGGTGCTAGCCAGGTCCGGGGCCAGGGTGGGGAGATGGGACACAGATCTGAGCCAGCAGGCGTGTCGAGATGGAAATCGTCCCCACAGGCATCGAAGCGGAGTTCGCCAAAGCCCGGGTCGTCTGGACCGAGGCAGAGGTCTGGGAAGTCGGGGCCGAAGATCGGCACAAGCTGGTAGCGGATGTAGTAGCAGAAGCTTCTGGCCAAGCGCTTGCACAAGCTGTGAGGGACCCAGGTGCCCTGGATCTTCAAGAAACCACCACGGACCCGCTTGATGTATGGGTGCAAGGCCTGAGGGGTGGACTCGAGAAGTTTCACGATATCGGCTTTGGCGTTGGGCTTCACGTGGACCACGCCGTTCTTGTTCTTATGAAGCGCATGTTCGTGTAGAGCCGCCCTCCACAACCCGGTGAGATGCGTGTAGCCTGTTTCGTAGTCCCAGATGACCCATTGCGTTGCCACGGGGTACTCGTACACTAGCAAGTGGGAGCGGTTTGCCCCGAGAGCAGAGGCACTGTACTTCTTGGTGACAATGGATGGGTAGACGTTTTCCTGGAGCTCGTGGGCGTGCTGGGGTGGAACGGCGTGCAATGCATCCTGGAGCGGCGTGACAGGGTACTTTTCATGGGAATCGGGGAAAAGGCGCTTGCCGTGCTTGTACGAGTCTTTGAAGGAGTCCTGGAAGCGGAACACCAGGGTGTGAGGCTCCTTGCGCTGCTTCTTGCGGGGCTTGTGATCGTCGACAAAACGGTAGTCGTGGGTTCGGGGAGCCGCAGGCGGCTGGTTCAAGGAGTATTGCACGAGCAGAGGCCCCGGGTAGTGTTGTGGAGGAGGAAGCTCATAGTAAGGCTCAGGCAAGCGGGCCCACACTGGCACGGACGAGGTGAGCTGGGGGACGTGCTGGGGCGCAATTGAGTGCTGGGAAGGAATTGAGTGCTGAGGAGCTCTGTAGTAGACCGGGGAAGCGGTCTGTTGGGAGGGAGCACGTTTAGTGAGGAGGTGAGGTGGGACACCGGAGGAAGGGTATTTGACATTTGTGGACGGCAGCACTGGGCAAGGACAAGGTCAGGCTGGCCGGGGGGCCTCAAGTATATAGGAATAGGTAGTTGCTGAAAGGTGGGTTGCTCGAGACCTAGGCGGGAGCAGGGGGCAGCAAGAGAACGGCTGCGAAAAAGTGATGGACGAGATCCGGGACTAGCTTCAAGGCAGCGGCTAGATGTGCAGGGGGAGTCCGGCTGGAGGAGGCGTCGAACGAGGATCAGAGGGATTTTCCCAACAACGATAAACCAAATGTAAAGAAAAAAAACAGGTGGATGGAGACGGAGGGTGACGGGGAGGTGCCACATATATATATGAGGGAGGAGGATTGGGGTGGGTGGGGCTAATGCCGGTGACGTCGCATGCAGCATGTACGTCACACGTGCCGGGTGGGACAGGGTACATGCGGAACAGTTGCCATGGCAGGGTACGGCGGAGTGGGAGTTTGTAGCAGCAGGTTGGTTAGGAGGAAGCGACCCAAAACCAGTGCGACAGCGGGCCCATGCGCATGTGGGTGGGTAGTGCAGGGTGTGCATGGGCCGCACGGCGGCCTGTGTGCGGGCGGCCTATGGTGCCGCAGACATGCATTGCAGGTACGTTTCGGTGGCAGTCTTCCTCGAGACGGCGCATGGACGCGCAGGTGGCCCGCATGGGCAGTCGCATTGGAGCCCGCATGGGTGGCCAGGAGAACCTGCGCAGAGAACACAGCGAATTGTGCAGGGCGTGCACACAATGCAGATCTCACGGCATGGTTAGGCGCACAGGTGGCATCGGCCTGGAGGCCCCGATCCGTTAACCTCTTCCGTTTTGTTCCTTGCCTAGAAACCACCTGTTGCCATGGCAACTCCGCCCGGCGGTCCCACACATCGATCGTCCTCCCACCTCGAGGGCTACGATCCTGCCCCAAGCGAGATTTGCAAGGCAAGGGGGCGTCTTCTCTTTGCATTTTGCCACCACAAGCTGAAAGCACCGCCAGCGGCCCACCGATGAAAATGAGAACCAGCAACCGCCAAGCTCCTCACTCCCCCATGCGCTCTGCAGCCCGATAAGCTAGTATACCCGGCTTGCCTCGTAGTGGGAGAGCCAAGCTGTAGCCTTAAGGCAAGGCCCAATGCGTGCGCTTGCAGCGACCCACAGGAGCTGTTTATTGCCAGAAACAGCTGCGGCGTGGTACTCGGTGGAGGTGGTGGAGGTGGTGCCCTCGGCTTTACTAGAGACAAGGGACCCAACTTTTTGGAATTCCGTGTCGGGTTGTGTTTGTGACTCGGTGGACGTTCCACGTTTGCCGCGGGTACAGTGAGACAAACGGACAATGGCATCTTGGCCCACCGGGCTTCTCGATGCGACCATTGTTTGAACGATCTGATTGTTCTGTTGTTGTCAGGCGGAGTTGTACTAGGCCTCCCGGTATTGGGAGCGTTTGCGTAGGGCGACGTGCAACATCGTTGGTTGTAAGTGCTCACTCTGGCGGTACCCAGTTTCACCGTCATACGATCCGTTTCAGCCCCTGCGCTGGGGTCGCTTGCGTTGCGTGGAGCGTTGCAGAGCGCTGCGTGGTGTTTTCAGCCGCATTGTCCGCTCACAGCCACGGGTGGCTTGGGCATTACACAGTTGCCCGAACAAGAGGAGGTCATGCAGCCCGGCTTCTATTTTTTAGGCACCAACGCCGCAGCTAGTTAGAAACAAGTCCGGTTGCATCTCGGCCTACTACTTGTTTCGAGACATCAACAAGTAAATGCACCCCACGTTTGATCTAAGGCGTGCCGATCCTTCGCGTTCAGGGGCATCTGCTTCTCGGGCTCTTTTGGGTCACCCGAATGATTGGACGTCATTTGGGTTTTCTTTCTTTTTTTTTTTTTTTTCGCTTTTCGCAATACTCATAACCCTCTCACAAACACCATGGCTCCCACCCCCCCCCCCCCCCCCCCCAAATCGCCAAAACCATTCCACTATCACTATTCTCAAATTTTTTTCCAAATCCCCTCGGTCACTCAGCCCAGCGTATAACCTTGCGTAGCCATGCTTCATCCCTGACAACGCGGCCTTTGTTTGTCGATCTTTGATTGTTTGTCTCATATGCCACTGTCGTCTATACTTGTGATGTCTGTGGGCATTTGTGCCTGACTTCAAAAAACTCCCACCCGTATTCAGTGGACCCTGCTATCGACAATGAAACACCTTGGGAAAAGATCGGCGCCTTTCTTTGTCTCCAAAGCCGGTGCCCTATTACATCGGCTACAGAAGTTCACGAGTCGGCCTTGATTGGGAACTCGTCGCAGCTTTGGTTGATTGCCATGGTTTTTTCTTTTTTTAAATAAAAAGCCCAGCGGTCAACTTTCTTTTCACCCTCGCCAACCGCCTTCTTGGTGATAGCACTGGTGACCTCGCATCTGTTGATCATGGAGGGCGCCATGTTGCATCACCTTAATTAAGTCGAAGCATTGTCTACGTGGCAGGTTGGCAGGTCATTTACGACTCTGATGATAAATGCGGTGCTTGGCAACATTTCCGGTGGTTACGGCTTTCTGTCTTTTTTTTTTTTTTTTTTTTTTTTTTTTTAATTCTAGACTGCTCGAGCCTCGTCTACTTTCACGGTTCAGCTTTGTGACAACACCACCCGTCGGATTTGAACAAATATCGCCTGATCATTGTTCGGATTTATCTCCGGCCATTCTTTCACTTCAACTTGTCTCCAACGGCGTCCAAGAATTCCGTCGTGGTCACATAAGACTCACGGTCCGTACGGCCACACGCCAATGCCAAATCCTTGGTCATAATACCGTCCTCTTGCACAAGTCCCACCGTGGCCTGCTCCAACTTGCGGGCAAACTCAACCACTTCAGGTGTATTGTCCAAGGTGCCTCTCTGGACGAGGCCTCGGGTCCAGGCGAAAATCGACGCAATCGAGTTGGTCGATGTTTCCTTACCCTGCTGGTGCTGCCTAAAGTGTCTGGTGACAGTGCCGTGTGCCGCTTCGCTCTCGTACGCTTTTCCATCGGGAGTCATCAAGGCCGAGGTCATGAGGCCCAACGATCCGAATCCCTGGGCAACAATGTCCGACTGCACATCTCCGTCGTAGTTCTTCAAGGCCATGACAAATCCTCCCTTGGACTTGATCATCTGGGCCACCATGTCGTCGATCAAACGGTGCTCGTACCATATGCCCTTGGCCTCAAACTGCTGGGCGTACTCGGCATCGTAAATCTCCTGGAAAATGTCCTTGAAGCGGCCGTCGTACTTCTTCAAGATGGTGTTTTTTGTAGAAAGGTACAAGGGCAATCCCTGTGCCAATGCCATCTTGAACGACGAATGCGTAAATCCTCTTATGGACTCGTCGGTGTTGTACATCGCCAACCCGACTCCGCGGCCCTTGTAGTCGAAGATCGTTTTTGTGATTTTGTCTCCGCCATTGCTGGGGGTAAACACAACCTCCAACTTGCCTGGCTCCTCAATTACCAAATCCGTAGCTTTGTATTGGTCCCCATGGGCATGTCTTCCAATAACAATGGGTTTTTCCCAGCCTGGAACAAGACGAGGAATACGGGGGATGATAATTGACTCCCTAAACACAGTGCCGCCCAAAATGTTTCTGATGGTTCCGTTGGGTGACAACCACATCTTCTTCAAGTTGAATTCCGCAACACGAGCTTCGTCTGGGGTAATCGTGGCACACTTGACACCCACACCGTACTCATTGATGGCGTTAGCAGCATCAATGGTAATCTGGTCCTCAGTCTTGTCTCTGGCCTCGATACCTAAGTCGTAGTACTTCAAGTCAAGGTCCAAGTATGGGTTGATCAATTTGTCCTTGATTCTGGCCCAAATGATTCTGGTCATTTCGTCACCGTCCATCTCGACGATGGGGTTCTTGACCTTGATCTTCTGCAACGCCGCCCGGGACGTTGAAAACTGGCGAATGTTACGGATCATGTTGCACGGCTAGTAGTGGTGAGGTTGGTTCAACTTATACTATCGATTTTTTTCGGCCCGGACCTCACCGCGGCTTCCCGGTATCGGCCTCGATAAGGTGCGATTAGTCACCAACGGAGTCAGGATATAGGTCAGCTGCAAAAGATTGGGAAATCTTTCATCGATTCGGGCTTAGAGAAACACCATGAAATTGACGTTTATGCTTGTTTCACTGTGCACGTGATGAGGGTGCCTGCCGTTTTTGCAGCCATGCGACCGCCAGGTATAAAAGCAGGTGTCTTTCCCCACCACTTCTGGAGTGGCTACTCTATTTTCATGACAAGAGATAAATGTTTCGTTTGCAACTGCAATGCCTCCAGCGATTTGGTTTTCACTGCCAGATATCGCTTGTGCGGCACCTGTCAGAATGAAGGTTTGTGAGACCCTGGATGGTCAAGTACCACACTAACCCTAGTCCAAGCTCGATGTGTTCAATGCACAATTTCTGCAAATGAAGTGAATAAAGAAGGGGAGCAAGAAAGAACCCCTCCAAATATAGAAAATCTCGAGGTTTCTAAAGACATGTCTCTATCTGTCGCACTCAAGGTGGTCAATGGCATGCTCTCCGAGTTTTACTGCCCCATAGACTCGTTTCGACAAATTGCAGTCAACGAACGAACATGCTCGAGGGCTCCATACATGGGTATGTCGAAAGGGGAAAGCTTGATGGCTGAGCTCTTGTACCTACGCGTGGAAACTCAATCATTGCAGCAGAAAAACCGCAGATTGAAACGGCAGCTCTTCTCTCACTTCCTTCCCAGGCCAAAAAAATACAACATCGACCGAATCCCTCAGCCCGCTGGAACAGCACCACCCCAACATCGTCCAGGACGTCCACCCCTTCAGCCTTGCAGACTTCCCCCTATACGCGTCGAAAACAGAAATCTTATGAAGCACAAAAAGTTACCTCCGGTGAGAAAAGTCTTGTCAGATATACCTCAGTTTAGTCAGTTTCGTCAGGATGGCTGCAAATTTCCTCGATCTACTCAACCTGCACGGCCGCATATGGTGTTGAGGAAAAAGAGGGCTTCAAGCTAACGGGTGTGTGACCTGCACACGTACACGCCACGACCTTAGCTCACCGATTTTTGTGAGAACAGATTGTTTCTCCTACTAATCTTCTTTTCATCAGCCACCCCAGCTGCCCCGCTAAGTATCAGCTAATTCTGTGCTACCCACTCGATTGCTTCGTAGACCCCCCATCATCATCGTGTGATTCTTCCAGGACTCGTTCAGGTCGGCCAATTTCGTGTGACAAGCAACACACTGTAATACTTGTAACATGAGTGACGAGCCCTTCAGTGCGGAGTACTTCCAGCACCTACTATCCTCGCTCACTCTTAACTCCAGGGCTTTAATCACAGAACTCACTGCATTGGCTGAACGCCACATCGACAAGGCTACCATCATTGTGTCGCTCATCGAGGAAAGAATACTAAAGATAATACCGAAGTACAAGCTTCATACGTTCTACTTGATGGACTCCATTGTCAAGAACATTGGTAACCCATACAACTTGCTTTTTGCCAGAAACTTGCACAAAATCTTCACTGAAAGTTACCTCGTGGTCACAGACACCCTCACCAGGCAGAACTTGATCAATTTGTTCAAAACATGGCTCACGGGTAGAACAACTACTGGAGCTGAGCTTTTTCCACATGATGTGCTTCTGAAGATTGAGCAATTCATCATCAAGGCGACGTCATTGAACAGCTCCGGTCAGGAAAATGTAAGGATCAGCAGAGATACGCTTCTAAGAGAAGCCAACTACTTGCTTCAATATGTCATTGCTATGGACGAAGATCTTGAACGTTTCGGACATCATGAAGAAGCATTCATTGATGAAGTCAAGAAGACGCAAATACACCTGTTCCACGGCGTCAGAAACAAACTTATTTTAAACATCAACAGCATAAGTGAAACAGTCATGATGAGTTCAAAACCAGATCTCGAAAAAATAAAGGAGCCCTACGCAGCAGAGTTGCAACAAGTCAGAAGAGCTCTTGACGACCAAAGCTTTCAACAGCTGGCTCTATTCAGAAGCGTGTTAGAGAAGAAGCAGAGTGCTTTGGACAAAGATCTCAAGAAAATTGAAATAACTCTAATTCCAAAGCAGTTTGATCCTCTCAAGGTATTGGCGGGAGATGAGGACCTAGCATTCGACGCATTTGTCAAAGGATGGGGCCTACCGATTGTCAAGAAGGAAGAGGCTGTTGCAATGGAAGAAAAACAAATGACACCTCCTGAGGTGCAAGAGGTTCCAAAGGACGATACGTCTCTTGCTTCCCAACTAGGCCTCAACGTCACTTCATTCAATTTCTCGGACTCATTCTTGGGCAGCCCGAAGAACGAGATTACCCACATATCCCCATCACACTCGTTGAACGAGAATAACGACGACGATGACGACGACGACGAAGATCAGTTTGGCTACGATCCCGAAAAAATGGTGACTGACACCGATTTCGAGCGCATTACAGGCAACCCTGTTGAGACATCAGAGACCAAGCCTTTCAACGGCAAGTCAAGCCTCAAAAGACCAGGTATGGCGGAGGATAAGGTAGTGAAACGTGTCAGATTTGATGTATAATGTATAGATACAAAACAGCTACAATGTCATGTCACGAATAGATTTGATTCTAATATATACAGCCGGCCACTAAAGCACCAGGTGTAATGATGATGGAAATGAAGACACTTAAAGGTTACCGGCTCTCTTCATGTGAACGTATGAAGTGATGAATGGGAAGGAGAAGAAGAAGCCAAAGACACCCCACCACTTGACGCCGAATGGGATCTTGACGTTCTTCACCTTGAAAGGCAAGTTCGAGTAGACACCGGTGGCAGGCTCACCGAACACCTTGTTCATGGCTCTGGCAGAGGTCTGGAAGTTTCTTGCTGGTCTGGCGGTTCTCAATCCCAATCTGGCGATCATTATTTCGTTGTGTGTGTTTTACTTGAGTTTTTCTAAAATCAAGCCATTCGCTGCTCATAGATGATAAACCCGTACACCGCCCTCTGCGTAGCCTGAGGGTCGCACCACTCCAACGCTTCCACGGTATTACCGCGCTCCAATTGGCTGGTGCTGCACCCATTGCTCACAAATTTGTTGTACCACTTTTCCAAGGCAGCCTGTAGATAAGCGCCCATTGGTTCTCAATTTCAACAACCATCTTCAATAAAGAAACACATCACTACCAGCATGTCTGCCATCGCCCCAATCACCGGTACCTTGAGAAGAAAGATCATCTCCGACATCACCATCGGCTTTGGCTGTGGTTTCGTCTTGGCCGGTCTTTACTGGCAATACGAGCACAAGCCTTTGGTCCAGAAGAGAGAGGCCTTCTACGCCAAGTTGAAAGCCCAGAAGGAGGCTGAGGACTCTGTCTAAACAGCTCGGGAACTAAGCGTGCTCAGGTCATCGACTTTTTCCATTCTTTTGCATCAATAAACGTTACACCACTTGAATGCCTGTAGTGCATCGGCTCATTGATTAGCCACGCTTATGAGCTTGTGGTTGCTCACAATTCCACTTGTTAAAACCAAAAGTGTCTTATTCTGTTTGGCTAATTTGCCTTGTAAGTACCGTAACACGGCGATCTCTCCCCTTGTGATGCCTCCCACGAACACTGCGAGAACATACTCTGGTCTGGAGTTCTTGGAAGCCTCGCTCTTGCGGTTATCCAGGTCATCACAGATATTTTCGTCGATCGTTTGGCCTCTGAACATAGCGTCCAAGTTGAGCTTCTCCCAATTTGGTCGACGGTATACGTTGTTCACGGGCTTGTACTTGAGGAAATCACGAAAGTAGAGCGCCTCGATAAGTCGAGTTATCAACAGCACAGTGGCTGATGGATATGCAAATGATGGGTTGGGGTAATCATAAAGAGTCTCGATGATAGGCTCCTCGCCCTCTTCCTCCAAAGGATGTAGATTCCAAAATTTGCTGATAAGCGTGTACGTCGATTTGTAGACATCTTGACCGCCGGTTATACCCAAAGAGTTTATGTCATCATATGTCTTGTCAGTTAACGTACTGTCGTCTTTTCCATGAATGTCTGACGATGTTGTTGTGGTGGTAGTTTCGATCTCCGATTTGCCAAATGTGAAGCCACTAAAAAAGTCGGTGCTTTTGTTGACTGCTTTGAGTATCTTCAAATCACGCATTTTCCTGAAAGCAAATGCCGCCTCTAGGCCAAAGTAGGAGTGAATTTGCTCTTCCACAAGTGTGAAATCCTTATGCTTGAAGCCATCGTTGATCAACGAGATTAATGCAGCGCAGCTCAAAGCCATCGACTCCGTGCACCCTTGATTAATCAAGTCCTGAAATTTTGCAATCTGTCTCTTGTAGTCGAGATTGAAAATCTCATTCTGTAGTTCAAGCCACCATTCACGAATGTCATGCTTAAAATTGCCTTGCCTGTTGTTCTTTATCTTTTCAAGAATTGCCTCACTTAATGCAGTGTGCTTCCTGACTAATTCTTGTTTTGAAGTCAAGTTACCCAAGTTTTTCACAAGCTCCTTGATCTCCGAGATTTCTTGGAGATTGTCTTTGTTGCCAAGTTCCAGCTGAATGTAGCGTGCAAGTTTATTAAGCTTCATGCCAATTGAAGCAAAGTTGAGATCTTTGATGTTCTCGTACAATTCGTCATTGAGCTTGTCTCCCAGCTCTAGAACGTTGTTTAGTTCGTCCAGCGTACCAAACAAATCATCAAGTAGACCCAGGTAGTTCATGTGATCTAGAAGGAGCGGAAAGTAGTCTAGGTTTCTCTCAAGAACGACCAAGTCGGTGTTGCCTCGAAGTTTGGAGGTGTAAAACTCTCTTTCATTCGGACTAAACCCCGATGCAAGGTACTCCGATAGCTTGTCATTCATGAAAATGTTGGAAAGAGCCGCTGAATGGTCTCCTTTGGCAAATAAGTTCTTGAACTTTATGGTCTCGTTTGTTTTTGTGAAGTTCACGATCTGAACTAAGGCATCCGATAGAAGCGAAAGTTGTGGGATGGGGTTTTCAAAGTACAGTTGGAGGCCACCCAATTCCATGTTGAGCGTAAGCACGAAGTCCTCAACACACAAGGGGAGGGTTTGCCAGTTCATCAAGCGAACGAATGAGCTGATGCGGATTGTATTCTGAGTCAAGTCGACATTGGTGGCGTTTTTGAATAAGTCGTCTGGAGGCGATCCCAAAATCTTAACAAGCTCATAATAGAAGGCACGACCGAGATCTTTCACGATGAGACTCACCTTCACTTTTTGGCGACTGAGGTGCGGCCATATCTTGCTGAAAAGGTCGAGACTGACATGGGTATCCTCAAGTACAACAATCAAGCCACCGTATCCAGATACATATTGCAGCACGTCATCCGACGAGGCTAAAGTCTCGAGCCAAACCAATCTATCGAACTTGCCTCTGGACTTGAGCTCCAGAAAGGAGGTGAGGTAGTTCAACTCCTGTGAGAGCTTTCGGCTCAAAACAAACAAATTGTCTGATGTATGTATCTTCCTTAACACATCGAAGAGATTTTCAGTTGTTTTTCGATTCAATGACGCCCCCAATTCATGGGGTGAGTTTGTCATGGTAGGTGGTGAGTGATAACAAGAGGTGCAGGAAAATCGCTACTAGTAAGTGGTTGCAAAAAACGTATATCGTCTAAAGATGGGCCAGCTTTTCAAGCCCGTTGAAATGAACAAGGCCTTCCTGAATGATGGTAGCTACATGCTGGCCGGCCTCGTTGTACATCTCAGCCTCTAAAAGTACCCTGTTGTTGGTCAAGCGCACCGCCTTGAACCCGAAGGCTACCCATTGCGTGCAATCGAATTCGGAGTCGTGGAAGTAGATGACGTGGTCGAGCGAAACGGAGAAATAGTGGCCCGTCTTGTTCAAGTTGACTGTAGAAATTCTCAACACTCTCGCAAGGCGGGTCAAAAAGAGCGAGTCCAGCAACACTCCAAGTCCGACAAACTGGAAAGCAGGGTCCTTGATTTTGAGCGACCCGTCGCCCAAACGAACAAAGAACGACATTTTGCGCTCCGTCACAGGCACATGGTCCTCGTATTTAGTGTCCTCTAGCGACACAAACTGATGGGGGATTTTGTGGTAGATGTATCTGTTAGCAGAGCGCTTGTCTACGGGCATGTCCTCTTTGCGTTCTTCCAACAACCAGCGGGGAGTGGGGTTTGGAAAGAAAACGGCTTGAGCTTCATTGGCTCGGCGTCTTCGCTTTCTGGGTCGTATTCCTCTCCCCTGGCTGCAGCTTCCTTCTTCAACTTCTCCTGTCTCTCTTCGTAATCGTAATACTCCCGCTCCGCCTGCTTGAACGAGTTCGTCCTGGTTAACGAGATATTCGCAATGTATCTAATCAGCTTATCCTGCCACGCCTTGACACTGCGGTTGCAGAACGTCTTTCCATTAGAGACCTCCTCCACAGTCCATTTCACCTTCTGCTGATCACTGACACTTTTCACGAAATGGGAGTGGAGCGAATGCGGCGTGAACCCTTCAGGAGCCGTCTTGATCGCAGCAAGAAGCGCCTGGCCCGCCAAGTTGCCTCCATAAACACCTTTACTGTTTTTCTGGGGTTTGGTCAACTTGTGGTTCAGGATGAAAACGTGAATGTCGCCCTCGGGCCGGACCTCCTTGATGCCCAATGCCTCCTCGAAATCAGACATGCGCTCGGCGTAGATGTCTGAAAGTGGAATTTGCTGTGTTTTACTCATACATCCACTAGCAGACTTCCCTGTGGTATTTATCTCAGGCTGGGGGATTATGCCGGCTGGTGTACCGCGGTCCCGGCGGGGCAGAATGAAAGGACCGTTTTCATATGGAAGTGCACCGATAACAATGACGGGACGAGGCTGAAATTCGGATTTACTTAGTGGGCCACAGTGTTAGTTAAGCTTTTTCTGGTGACAAAAGTATCGTGAATTTGGTGCAACCGAGGCATGGGTGAGTGGTGGAAAACGGTCTCGAGTTGCGGCTCCGGAGCTAAGCACCGGAGAAGAACAGCGGCAAGTATCCCGAATTTGCCGTGATGCGTGGGGGTTTCGAAATGAATTTGGGTTTGTTTTTGTTTTTTTGGTTTTTTTTTTTTGTTTTAGTTTGTTCGGCCATTGTAGTGGGAACAGGTGCCTTGAGATCGGGCCCCGATGGAGAATATGAGTGAGTCGGTCGGCTGCGAAATGTGGGGTCTGACTTTTTCACTTGGCCTTTAACGGTGACATCGACATAGCCAGCCTTCAATGTGATGGAAATTTTTTGGAGTTGATAAGGAGGGGAAGCAGGGGTATGATATTTCACAATTGGCAATTTTTCCACATCACCAAAGGTCCATTTTTGAAAAGCCTAGGTATGCGTATCGGCTAGATATTTTTTTGTGTACCGATGGAAAATTTGAGACAGAAGTGCTCCATAGAGGAAGAGAGACACTTTTTGCAAACTCTGGAATCTGCACCTACTCTCCTGAAACACTATTCAAACCAATGCTTCATCCCTGGCTCTGATCAATCTGAACCTAGGAGACCATTGATGCAATCTATTCTTGATGCACCAGATACATCTACAGATTCCGTCCTCGCAGCTGGACCAAATTAGGCAGCAATTGGCCTGCCAAAACCTGCCAGTAACCTCTATCCTGAAACATTGCTCTTTCCATTCATCCCTTTCCTCTAACCACTACATCCTAATTGCTCTTGATCATGCAAGATGTGGTTAGATCTCGATTGCGTTTGGATGCAAGTTGTGAGCGTGAGGCCCATTCATTCAAGGCTGCCTAGAACCGTCTTTTTTTCTTAGCACGGTCATACCGATTTCGAGCGATTTCCCGGTCTCTTGTTATTGCATTGGTTTCATGTATTGATATGTTAGCCCCCCTGAGCTGAATCTGATCTTGCGTCCACGAGATTTGTGGTTTGCAGCCATTACATTCGCTCTCACTACCCTACTATACAACAACTCGACATTAAGTTATTCGCATAATTCATAAAATAAATAAAGCCTAGAGCTTGTACGAAGCACCCTTGGATTTATCGGCAAGTGGGAGCGGGACGTACGTAAGGGCCTCCTGGGTCACTGTGGCAATGTGCTTTCTATTGCGACCATAGATACGCACCGCACACAATACCCTGTCGTTCGACAACCGCTCAAAGTTATAGTCCATGAACAAAAAGTCTGTAGGATCAAAATCGTTGTCATGGAAGTAAACCGTGTGGTCCAATGAGACTCTGAAAAAATCAAGAGCACCCTTGGACATGAGAGGAATGCCAAGGGCTCTCACCATGGTGACCAAAAAGTACGAATCGGATCCAAACGTAAGATCAATGTGTCTTTGCTTCGCTGGGTTCTTAGCCAAGTCGAGACGGTCATTGACCTTGAAAAAACCTCCGTATCTGCGGTAAGGAATCTCAACAGAGAGCTCGTCGTCCTTGGGGTTGTCTCTCATAACCTCTGGGGGAAGTACCGTCAAGAGATTACCGTTTGTATGCTCAAAAGAGGGAAGCTCATCAAGACGGTCCACGTATTTGTCAAACCAAGGGTGTGGGCTACTGGTGAACTCCAAGGGCACCTTTGTTCTAGGATGGTACTTCTTCTGCTCGTCTAACCCAGCAAATTCCTTCTTCCTCTTGTCAATCAGGTTGTTTCTTGTGAAAGATGCGATCATGATGTAGCAAAGCTGGTTCGTGTGCAGCTGGTACGTCTTCACCAATCTGGAGCAGTAGTTCCGACCCTGTGATGTCTTCTCTACTTCGTATCTCATTTTGGACTCATTGCTTCCGGCCTTGAGGAAGTAGGAGTGGAAGGAGTGTGGAGAGAAGTCAGGATCGTCAATTGAATCATAAGCAGCCAGCAAGCACTGGGCAGCAAACTCACCTCCATAAACACCTCTAGCACCTTCTCTAAACAACTCTAACGGGTATTTCCCCTCGAACTCCGTTTCCAGCTTCTTCACCACGGAAAACTTCTCTTCCAAGCGACAAACGTTGTCGTTCGCATAAAGCTCTTCAAAACTCATATGCCTAGTGTGAATATGTGTAAGATTTTTCCGACAGACTTTCTGCTTTTTATATTTTCGAGATGCGTACTGAGACCGAGGTTATCAGTTTCCTCATGCGCATGAGGCTGGTGGTGTACGGATGTGCTGACAAGGTGTGGAGAGCTTCTATTAGAATTACTGAGATTTGCTGGATATTGCGCGCTACATTGGTACTTCAGCCTTACTATTGTTCCATGTGCTAGATTACTGCTGGCTAAATTCTGTGCTTGTTCGGAACGCCAGGACGCATGTAGGTGAGTCCCTCTTGGATAACAGTAGCCACGCAATTGCCTTCCTTGTTGTAGAAATAGCCACGGACTAATGCTCTGTTATTCCGCAAAACCTTGAACTGATAAGTCAAGGTCAACCAGTCCTTCACGATATTGAAAGCTTTGAAGTCATCGCCATGGAAGTAGAGGTGATGGTCGAGCGACATTGCGTTATAGTGGAAAATATGCAAGGCGTTCAATGTAACGTTCATGATATTTCTGGCATCCTTATCTTCGTCGAAACTCTCATACGGATTGTCCACTGTGGGGTTCCAATGAAGGTGCAAAACACGAGCCAACGTCGTCAATAACGCTGAATCTGAAATATCTGCCAACCCGACGTAGTTGTACTTGGGATCTCTCATCTCATCTTTGCTTGGCTGTTGGAGCCCGCTCCACACAGTGATCCACCTTTCGGCAGCCCTCAAATTGTCTTCCTCTGGGGTGAGGTTGTAGTCAACAAACTCCGGCGAGAATGCATTCCTGACAAAGTCAGTATGGGTGATCTTCCGAAGCTTGCTTGGATCAGGGTACTTCTTGAACAAGTTTGGAGGTGGATGCATGATGTTCAAGTCGCCCGATGTCACCTTGGCGCCTTTCTTCTTGAGCGAACACAATGCCGTGTAGATTATCACATCTTTCTGAATCACCTTTATCTCCCTCATGCAAAAGGTCTTTCCGTCGTGTAACCTTGTCACCTTGAACGTGTAAGGGCTCTTGTTGGACCCGGCTTTGATGAAATGAGAATGAAAGGCGTGTGGAATGAAACCTGGAGCCGACTCCATGGCAACCAAAAGCGTCTGAGCACACGTATGGCCTCCATAGACACCTCTAGCTCCGGCAATCGGAAGCCTCAACGGATGAGCACCGACCCAGGTGTTGTGGTTGACCTTGATTACACGGAATTCCTCCTCGAAATCTCCAGGCTCATTTTTCATATCAGATGAAGGAGCAAGTGACATTGTATGCTCCGTTTATGAGTTGTGGAGTGGTGCAAAGATGGCTATTTAAGAAAGCAGACAGACAAGGTCCGAGCACCCCGCACTGGTTTTTCGAGAGGACGTTACGCGAGTTTTAGATTCACGTGCAGGCGGCATGTGCGTTGACTTAGACCGAGATACATCGCTTTGAGTATGGGGCTCGGCCCATAGAACAAAGTTCTGCCGAACTCGCCAAGCTCTCCTCAAGGGCGGAGCTTGCTTTAATCCGAGTTTATTATTCGTGGCCTAGTTTGGGAAAAGTCTAGCACCATGGTAATTTTTTAGGCCAAATGAAGATATCTAGTTCATCAATATATGTAGCCAAAGCTCTAGCTGAACTTGTTGTGAAAATCTTTCGAAATTTGGCTAACCTCGTCGGTTTGCAAACGGCGGGAATGTTGGAGGGCCGCAGTTCTTGAGGGAATCACGTTAGAGAGTGCGATTTCAGGCTCAACCTCTTGTGGCTTGGGTAAACTTTCGTCAACTGACGAGATCAATCCATTGATAATCAGGTAGCGGGGCGGAAGCACCAGCTTTTTGGTTTTCAGCTCAAAATGACGCTTCTTGAAGGCAAAGCCATCGTCTCCATCATCATCATCGATTTGACCTGCGGCCAATGATTTGAGTCCTAGAAGCTGCCTCTGCTTTTCCGTGAGAGGTAAGTCAACGCATTGGTCCTGAGGCCATATAAGTCTAACGATGCTTATGGCAATTGCAATTATGAAAACCCACTGGAGATGGCGAACATGGGGCCAAGCTGTAGATATCCAGCTTTGTTCGCTATCTACATAGCGGGCCCAGGCCGCATGCTTTCGAAGTACTTGCGAGTACAGATGATTGAGCTGGTAGAGCTTGTAGAAATATTCAACAAAGAGAAGGACGAGATGGAAGCCCACCAAACGAAATATGCTCGTGCACATCGTCTTGAAGATCCTCTCCTTGTTGACTTGCCTGCTCAAGGCGACCTTCATCACTGGACTCATCCATTCGCCTGAAGGTGCTTGTGTAGGTGCATCCTCGTCATCGCTGAGCTCGTCGTCATCTCTGTTGTATGCTGGTTCTTGTTGTCTGATGATTTTGTTCTTTCCTGACTGTGCAGACTTGGGTGGGAGAAATTCCTGGGGAAGAATGTTTCTATTATGATACAAGGGTTTGTAGAACACTTGTCCCTTGGGTTTGTGGTCAACTTCCAGGTTGAAAAGGTTGTTGTCTTTCTGTTTACTGCTGAAGGGGATTCTAGCCCGAGATGCCTGGAGGGATGCTTCCGATAAGGGCAACAAATTGCTCATATCATTGAGCTGCGCAAATTGTGATGATCGGCTAAGCGGAGCATTTTGTTGTGCTTGTGGTTCGCTTTGTTTGTGTGATTGTTGGTCTTCATTGATCTCATGTAGTACCAGGTTCACATTGGCATTCGGGAGGCGCTTGAGCGGAGTCGAAAACGACTCATTGTTAATCCCGTCAATAATAGAGCCCGTACCAGAGTAAAATCTTTCAGATTCTGGAGATCCAAACATATGGAAGCTGTATTTTGCTTTTGGTTGAAGACTGTCTGAGTGAGAGCGAGATGTCTGCTGCGCTATTTGCAGGACAGGCCATATAAGAAGGGCCGAGTATCAACAGTCAAGATTACAGAGAGGTTAATTTAGAGGTTGATTTTTCTTCCATGTGTGATGATCTCTATAGCGTTGCTTTAAATTGCTTTCTTGGAATAAATAAGTTACGTCAGCCTTTGCCAGCAGAGGTCGTCGTTTATGCAGAGAGATAGTTGCAAAATGGTTCACCTCAAAGGTTATAGTCATCCCGAAATGGTTCAAAAGCTCCAAAGTTTTCAATATCCCCGATTGGTACAATCGTTGGTCTTCCGTGGGCGCATTGGGTGAAAAGTCGGCACTTGCTCAACTCGCTCATCAAATGATGCATTTCCTCTAGTGTAAGCTGCTCTCCAAATTTGATGGCATCTTTGCAAGACTTCGTAATCAAGGAATCGCGAATAGGAGCAGGAATTTGTTGGATTGCCATAAACCAGTCTTGTGAGGGGCTGATATCGGTATTTCGTTGTTCTAGATCTGACACCCAGCCGATCATGAAAGACTTCAACGATGAAGTATCTTTGGCTTTGGACATAAGAATCGCTGGAAGGTGCGTAACATGAACGCAGTCGCCCCCAATGGTAAAACCAATTCCGTACTCCAGGAGATATTGCCTATGCTTGGTGAAAACTTTCAAATCTTTAGGACTTATGTCGAGAAAGAGCGGGTTATCGCACTTCACCCGCATGTCAATAAATGGATCTTGAATGTCTTTCAAAAAATCTCGAAGAATTTGCTCATATCGGATTCGTTCATCGCATGCATGTTGATCCACAATGTATAAAGTGGCCCGGTTCACAAAGAGGATGAATCTGGACGACACTTGGCTAATTATTTGATAATCGTCTAGAAATATCTGATTTGTGATTTGGGAAAGCCTGGGAGACTCAGGTGCCGATTCGGGGGATGCAGTCAACAGTGACAAGGGAGAGTCGGTACCATATGACCTAGTTAATTTTACCCGTTTTCGTGGAGTTTCTGGAACGCTTTGGAAACCATTAAGGTGAGATGATAAAAGTCGAAGTATCGCACCTTGAATCGCCTTCGTAGCATGGCAATCGAGACTGTCATCTTGATCTTTGCTCCTTAGAAACACAATGAAACTTGGATAGCCTTTGACAGACTTCCCAAAATATCCCTTCACGGATGGGTACTTGAACTTCAGGATGTAATTTGATATCCCCCTTCTTTCAGAGCCTCGTAGATAGACGGGTCTCTTGTTGAGGAACACGAACTGATGGCGGCTGTTCTGGATAGGCTCCAGTGAGATGAACATTGTCACATCTAATCCACTTTCAATCCCCTCAATGGTTTGAAACTCCCTCTTGCCAAACACAGCAGCGTAAGCATCGGTCAAATCTCCACACTCGCCCGTATCCATGATCTTTTTGAAACCTTCCAGTCCATCATTGACAAACAATCTCACCCTAACATCAATTCTGTGTGCTAGTAGTTCAAAAACCTTGATCCTTATGGACTCCATCATATTCTTGTGGTTCTGCATTGCAATCTCCCACCGCACGGGAGTAGAACCAAACAAACGAGTAGCCATCACGACTGTGCCATTGATCGAATAGTCTGGCTCAAAGAACCTTTCGAGAGTCAGAACCTCTAGCTTGTTTTGACTTCTGAAAGACTTCTTGTTCCACCCATTGTCCTGCTTCCTCCTCGTCAGAATCACCACGTTGGAGCAGCTACTCACCAAAGCGCTGAGCGATTCTCCATGGCCTGATTCACCTTTGGACAGGAAGTAAGAAGATCCAACCACATCCAATTCCTCGCTGGTCATGCCGTGGCCGTCATCTTGAACACATAAACTCAACGTGCCTAGATGTAGCTTCACGGCGATATGCTTAGCACCAGCGTCCATGGAGTTCTGGACTAGCGCTTGGACTGCACTTTCTGGTGACTCTATGACCGTGCCACCTCGTATCCTAGACGCTGTTTCCAGGTCTAGGCGTTTGATCATAGTAGCATTGATGGTAGTCTAAAGACTGTTGAGCGTAGTGCATACTTGCTCGGAGTCAAAGCAGACCGACCCTAGTCGAACCCCACGGATTTTCAGGAACCACCCTAAATTGTCAATTGTTTATCAAGCAGAATCCAGTTAAACTTTAGTCTTCATCAATTCATTCCTTCATTTTGGTCATCCAGTCCTGTCTGTGGCCAATCTACCACAGTCTCGGAGTTGGAGCGCATTTGAAGCCATCGCCTGCACGTCTGATGCAGCCTACTACAACGTCTTCTTCATGAAATCAGCCAGCCCGAGGGAAGACCACCTCCTGAAAAACTCAGACGTCTCTGCAGTCGAATCCCTTGTGGCAGGCTCCATCTCAGGTGCCGTGGCGAGGTATGTTCGGAGTATCCCGACCTATCAATTCATACTAACTTCAGGGCCATCACTGCTCCGTTGGACACGATCAAGATCAGATTACAGCTTCTGCTCACGCATGACAAGAATAGCACGTTATCCCTGACTGTGAAGAAGCTTCTAAGAAGGGAGGGCGTCACGGCGTTGTGGAAGGGAAACGTCCCTGCCGAGATCCTCTACGTCTTGTACGGCGCATCTCAATTCACGTCATACTCCATGCTCAACAACGGCCTTCGTGACCTTCAGGACTCGCTGGGCTTTTCCATGAGTCGACTGCTCCATACATTTACTGTGGGCTGCGGTGCTGGCTTGGCAAGTACCGTGTTGACATACCCTTTCGACATGCTTCGAACAAGACTAGCCGCCAGCGAGGCTAAACAGTTCTTGTCCATGTCAAGAGTCGCCAAGGACATCTACAGGGACAAAGGCGCTTTGGGTTTCTTTGCAGGAATCCGGCCCTCCCTCCTTTCGATCGTTGCCTCTTCAGGCCTCTTCTTCTGGTCGTATTCCCTTGCCAGAAGCACTACAGACAAAATCCACGAACAATTCGGGTACCGCATTTGGGGCGTTGAAGCCGTCTGTGGCTTCATTGCAGGCTCTACAGCCAAGGCCATCACATTTCCCTTGGACACCCTACGAAAACGAATGCAAATCTCACACGAGCGGAATGGCTTCAGAGTATTCAGCGCAAACTACAGAAACCACGGCTTATTTGGGTTTTACCGTGGTTTCCTCGTGTCGCTCATGAAGACAGCGCCTACAAGTGCCATTTCAGTCTTCGTCTACGAGTACTCCATTAGCGCTACCAGAAAAGCCCGCATCCTTCTCTAACCTAATACCCTTGCATAATGTTATAGACTGGTTCTACTGCTTAAATAGATAATCTCCATCATCCTCATCCTCGTCGTTTCCTTCCTCCTCGTCCTCCTCGTCATCTGTATGGTGGTACAAAAGCCCATCGTGATCATTCATGCCATCCACGGATCTCGTAAACAGACTGGGCAGAATGTACTCCTTGTCCGTATCCGACACCGCGGATTCAATGCCCTCCTGTGAGACATTGGCACTGTTGTCGTCCTTGCGCACATATAGGGACAGTGAGTTCACCAACACGTTCCTAAATCTGTCGTTTTGGCTGTTCTCGAGCCGTCGGAGCGACAGAGATTGGATCTGGCTGTGTTCTTCTGGCGTGGTTAAACTCTCTGATCTTTCTCTTCTGCTGGGACTTTTTCGTAGCGACTCATTTGTTGACAAACTTCTTCTGTCATTCTGTTCCAGATCATTGATAGTGAGCTGCTTGCGAATGTATTCAGGCAATACCTCGCCCACCAATGATGCTCTGCGGCTGGCCTTGACCGTCTGAGAGCTCACGGTTCTCGATTGATTTTCCACTTCTGGGTGTTGAAGCTTCGCCTTATACTTCTTCAATGTCTTCTTGATGCTTCCCTTCGTGGGTTGTTTGTGAGGAACAGGGGTGTAGTCATGGTTTTCGAGATTCGTAACTCTGGAATTAACGCTGAAGTTACTGATTGTTGCCGCAGCAGGCGTGCTGGCAGCGCCTCTATTTGCACTTTCACCCTGAGTAAGGTTCCTTATTTCAGTAGACAATCTGCGCTGCGTTCCTTCGTCGTTTGAAGGTAGAGGTTTGTAATTTTTCGAAAGCTCCTCGGGAGCTAGATCATGAATGCTGTGGCCAACCTGCTGAGCTACTTTAAACTCCACTAGGTTGAGATCCTTTATTAGTTGATCTACCTCCTGCTGCAAAGGTGACGTTGTATTTTGGTTCTGCCCTATGAGATACACGAGCTCTTTATCCTGTCCTAGACGTGTCTTTTCGACCACGTCCTTGAATATGCTTTCGTACGACGGTACCATCGAAGAAAAGGAGTGGGTTCTGGGGACCAAGATTTCTACATTGTGCAGTGCGATAACAGTTGGGGTACATGTGCGGCATTGAAAGTACTCGAAACTCCGCTTACTATACAGACTAGTGAGAGTAGAGAGCACGTACTTCCTCGAGAATTGTAGGATACCACCTTTCAGCCACGTCTTGATGCGACTTGATCCGGTTACGGAAAACGGCATGTCCCACGGCGTGCTGGGAAATGTCAGGAGTGAACTGGAATCCAACATCCACACCCCAGTCTTCAATAGCCTTATCCCGCTCGTCTCTAAGTTTGAGCACTTCGTTTGGAAGGTTCTCAACAGCCAGTTTCCTCGAGTCGAGGTCAATGGTCTGGAAAAATGGAATCGAGATACGAGTTCCTGAACCTGCCGCAGGGTTGAGCACACGATGAATCGTAGCCTTGCACACACCATTCGTGATGGCCTCGAGAGTTTGCCCAGCGTTAACGACGAGACTATGGGGAATATTATCCACTGTTATCCACTTTCCCTGGAAGTTTTGCACTTGAAGAGAGTTCTGGTGTTCAGTGGCCTGGTAAATGTAGGTGAGCAAGTCGGAGTCACGGTGTGGACCCACACCTTGACCACTTTCGGGCAGATCATCCAATGCTTGAGACTTGACTCCTTGGAGCTGGTCGGAGTCGGGGTACGCAATGAGCTTCATCTTGCACTGCTGATTCTCCTTGAAGTACCCATCCAACGCCTCGGGAGCAAGTCCGATTGCTTCACAAGCAAGCTTTCTGAATGTAGTGCTGAGTTGAGTCATCTTCTCGATGTAGGTTGTGATCACCTTTCTGAAACCTGGGATGTGGTGCTCGTCTGGCCACAAATTGGGCCCTTCAATGTTCTTGTAGATCGGATCTCCCTCTTTTGGAGCAGGCAACTCAGTGGCCAAGTCAATTTGCTCACGCCAATCAGTCTGTGAAGCTGTGATCTCATTTGCCAATCTCGTGTAGCCCAAGAAGTGTGGAGAGTGAATCATCTCGCAATCCTGCTTGACTTCATCTGGTAAAGCAAAAAAGTGAAACAGCTGATTCTTGATATCTTCGAAATCTTGTCTTGAAGGCCCGTACTTCTCATAATTCACTAGGAGCAAGAACCCCACATTGATGAGTGAATTGCGAAGCTCTGCTAAGAATTCCGGCTTCGTTGCTGGATCAAATGCTTTCTCCAAGTCAAGAACCAGAATCAGACGGAAAGACATATTTGACAAGCAATGTCCGAATATGTTCGCTTTGGGGTCACTTCTTTTTCAAAGAGCCACAGTTAAGTCATTATAAGCGCACGTGACGCTTATCTCGGGATGTAAGGCTGTCGCGACTGCAGATGTTTGGCTGCAAAAACGATATCATGAGCACTCACGAAGTTCAGCCTTAGTCGTCCTTCTTCGCATCAGTAGTGTTAGCGACAACATCTTGCTTCAGTTCGTCCTTCGCCTCATTAGCGTCTCCCTTCGTCTCAGCCTCAGTCTCAGTCTCAGCCTGCTTGTTCTCTTTCGGTTCATCCTTAAGCTCTTCCTTGGGCCCTTCTTTGGACTCTTCCTTGAGCTCTTCCTTCGTTACTCCCTTGGACTCCTCCTTAGTTTCAGCCGAGGTTTCCTCCTTTGATTCGCTTTCACTTTGATTTGAGTCCACACTCTCTCTTGTTTCATTTATCTCTTGATTCAGCTCATGGTTCACCTTTCCAGAATCATCCTTGGGGTTGGTTTCATCTTCTGCCTCAATCTTATCGACAGTCTTGTCTTTTTCCTCTGAGATTTCCGTTGACTTCTCCTCTGCGGCCGGCTGATCTTCCAACTTCTCTTGGGCAGCAATGCTCACATCCTCATTCTTCAGAGACTTGTCCGATTGATCCTCCTCAGGTTTAGTTGAAGTTGTAGATTGCTCGGCCTCGCCGCTTATGTTCGAGGTTTCTGCGGTCTCCTTGGATGGTTCATCAGATTGAGGTTGTGGAGTGCTTTCCTCTTTCTTGGCGGTACTCTCTGGAGCAGAACTGACTCCGTTTTTATCAGACTTACCATTGACTTCTAAAGATTTTCTTGCTGCCTCGGCTCTCTCTCCCTCAATATTGTTTCTCATTATCTCCTCCATTCTTGCGTCTTCAACCGTAGGAAGAGCATTGACATTCTCCCAAATGACCTGACCTGAATTACCATATCCTGGAAGCTCTCCAAGCTTCACTCTGAAATAGTCAATATCCTTGAGAAGCGAGTGTTTCTCATTAAAGTCTTTGAACTGTGGAAGTTCGGTGCAAAAGCAATGCAAAAGCAACTTTTTGTAATTATCGAAGATTTGCAGTAGAATGAGGGAGCATTCGGTTTCGCGCATATACTTCGAGAGTACCTTTGCGACTGTGCTGGTTTCTTTCACCAAAGTCTCCATAAACTGATGGCATTGTTGACCGGGTTTGAGTGGTTCTGACCAGTCAATCTTCACAATGGAGTTACAGTGATTCATCGTACGATCCTTCATGATCAGCACGAGCTTGGTAAATAGCTCGTTCTCGTGGTCTTTGTAGTTTGAGATGATTTTAGCAAATGTGAGGTCCTCGCCCTGTTGATTTGGCTCATTCTCTTCTTCCTGATTTTTGAAAATATACTGAACGGCACTGAGGAAGGCATGATCAAATTCAATTGTTTGTATGCAAAGAGCGAGATGCTTTGTTGTGATATGCTTAAGGCCTGCCGTTCTTGTGGCGCCAGCATTCAAAATAGCCTGTGAAATCCTTGAGTTCATTACCTTGAAGAAGGTCAAAACATTTGCCTTGATTGTGGGTGCCCTGGATGTAAAGATCGATGAGATAATTATGTAGTCCCTAATGTTCTTGACAACATCGAGAATAAGCTTAGGCACCATATATTCATCGTCACCGATTTTGAGCTTAGTTTGCTGAGAAACACTTTGTTGCTTTTCTTCATCTGGTGAAGCATCCTTTTCATAAAACACTAGTAGGTTAGACCAATGCTTGCCATTCGAGCCTTTCTGACCGTCTGTTTCGTGGAATTTACTGTATTCAAGCACCTCGTCCAAGTATTTTTGAGCAACAGCCAAAGAATCTGAATTAGTAAACTCCTTCCAGATCTCTTTATCGCAATTGGCGACAAAGCGTTTGATAGAGCTCAGGTGGAAGCGATGTATGTAGTAACCGACATGGTTTTTAACCCAGTCATTGAAGGAACTTCCAGGTCCAGTTGCATTGTAGCCAGGATTGATAAACTCGCACTCCAGTAGGTATGCTGAAGAATATGAGAAGAGCTTGAGGTATTCTTCAATCGAAGAGTCACAAAGCTGCTCCAGACGCACGTTCGAAATCTTAACCAAACGAACTTGGGTCAATTCGATTGCTCTGTTAATTGCATTCGTAATGTCCAAAGACATGACATCAAGTGTGTCATTCGAGGAAAGCGAAGAGAGCGACAAATCCAACAAGAGCTTTTGATGAATAGTAAGTCTTCGTAAGCATTCAGACAAGCTGGCAAAGATGGTCTTCATCATGAGAACATACTCTTCGTGAGTAAGACCCTTGATATTTGAAGATAAAGAATTGCTTGCCATAGCCGTCGATTCGGCGGTCTGAGATGCATCAGGTGGCACTGAAGAGTCTCTGGACTCAGGATTGGACAGAGCTTCAAGTTGCATAGGATCGAGTTTGCTCAGGGCCAGCGGCAAATGGGCTCTAATGATCGCTTTTACCTCTGTGATTATCGTATTCTGGTAATCACCAAACGCTTCAACCAAGTGACTCGACTTGTATAAGTTTTTGATGAAGATAATTAGCTGTTCCTTGACTTCTGTAGGAACTTTTGTGTATGAAGTATTCAGCGAGGTGCCAAATGTTTTGCTAGAATCAATTGAGATATAGATACGATTCATAGTATCTTTTGGTGTGACCAGATTGTAATGGGACCGGAGATCTTCTAGAAGCAAATCGACAAATGACTCGATGTAGCCCTTGCTGCAAGCCAGCTTCAACTGATTCAATTTGTTCTTGATTGAAGTAAGGGCAGGAACTCTGGTAAGATCGACTAATGGATAATCAAACGAGGGATAAAGTTTGAAGGTGTCAGGATCAGGATAGTCCTCACGAGTGGTACCGTTGATGAGATGCTCGATGATTAAAATACTATCGAGACATTCGCTGTGCCTACCTTCCGAAAACATTTTTTCGGCCTTTTGAAACCAGCTCACCACCTCTTTCAATTGAAGGACAGATGATTCGAGGTGGCACACATTTTGGCGTTCATCGAGTAAATCCAAAATCTTCAAGCCACATTTGGCTTGGTCTTCCTCTATGCTTCCAAGCTTTGTTTGTATGTTGTGGAATTGATCGATGCATTCTGCTGATTGCGCCTTAATGCCTTGAATTTCTCCTAACGTGCTGAAGAAAGAGTCTGATGTTTTGGAAATTTCCTGGATAAGCTCCACCTCCACTCTATCTAAATATTGGGAAAGCTTCTCCTGGACCTCTGTGTTATGTACAATGTGGGTGCTATCATGAGAGTCCGGATCAGGCAATATCTGGGAGTTCTCCATCACTTGGCGAAAGATTCTTGGGTCGTCTAGGTGGAAGTCAGGATTTTCGAACACTGTTGGTATTTGCGAATCTTCATCATCTATGTGGTCGGAAGAATTATCAGGTGTGGATCCTCCAAGCTTACTCAAAACATCCTCAGTCAAATGCCGATTGGTCTGCTCGAAGCTTTTGTAGTCTGCGATCATGTCCTTGACTAACTCTTGGCTCATTCGCTTTGATGACACCTTATGCTTAAGCGATTGGAGCTGGATCTGTGGAATATCTTTTGACGTGGGCTTGGTCAAGTTGTAGATTGTGTTTGCACCGCCATTGACCAGAAGGTATGTCTTCAACGGCTTGTTCAGCTTGACCCTGGCCACATCAGACGCCAGGGTGAGTTCGAAGATTGAGTTGGGCCCCAACGGCAGGAATGCATCTGGAGCAGCCTCCTCCTCACCCAGACCAAATTTGAGTATGTTGAAGGCCAGAATAATGCTGTCTTCACCGGTAGACCCCCGAAAGTTCAGGTAAACCGATTCAGTTGGAGGCTTTCTAGCCAGTTCTGTGGACCGCTCACTTGCCACGTCCTCATTGATGTTGACAGTGGTGTCCATGGATGCACGTGCCGACGGAGTAGCATGATCTCCGTCGAGTGACATGGTGTGGCTAGGTTTAAAGAAGGGTGTTGTTGGCTCTTGGACACTTGATATGTCGGTACAGGAAGGCATGCGGTAACCCACCAGGTGGCATCCAGAGAAGGTTGGTTCAAGGAACAAAATATGGAGTTGCGGTATACTTAAGTGACTGAATTATTACAATCTTTGGTATTATATTTTTACTTCTTGAAGTTATCATGTATTTACGTTTTGGTCGTCTTTTGGCATGCATAGTCCGATATGGAGTAATGCTGCGAAAAGATGTTGCCGATTTATGAGCATGGTGAAAACGTAAATACTACTTAGAAATGGTAAAATCTTCGAGAATTTTTATGATTTTCTTTTACCAAGCAAAATAAGAGCTGAGTTCTCAAATAGCCTCGAAATTTGCTCAAATCAACAAAAGAGTCAGTTTTGGAACCCAATTGGGCTTGTAGTCGATTACCGACCAAGGGAAACAAAACAGTTTGGAACAACGTCTGGAGTGATAGGGGCATAGTTTCAAACGCTCACAAAAGCCAAATAATCAATTAGTCTCGAGCCTACGTAAAATACTTGACCATTTCATTGTGGTACCAGTGGAACTGACGCCATGGTCACGTGCGCTCGGATGGTCCTTCCTAAACTATGCGAGCCTTACAAATCACATCTTCACTTCAACCTTCTTCATGTCTGAACCCGCCAAAACCGAAAACAAGCCTAAGCCATGTTGCGTTTGCTTAGACGAAAAGAAAACTCGTGACGAGTGCCTTCTTTTCAACGGACAGGAGTCCGGAAAGTGTGATGAGTTGATCCAGAAGTACAAGACTTGTATGAAAGGCTATGGCTTTGAAACAAAATAGATTCCCAAAAGATCCTTTATTCCTGTAAATATAAAGCCTAGTGTATATAGCAAGGGCCTGACCCAATAGAAGAAAAACGAAAGTTATGCTAAGTTGTAGACCCATAACGAGTGTTTTGATCTGCCTGAAGTGACCGTTTTGGCAAAAGGTTGTCGCCTTCTCTCTCCAAGTCAGCACTGGTGGCGATCTCCCTGTCACCTCTATGACGCCGAGCGTTGGTTCTATAAATGACCTGATTTTGAATGAAGTTGTCGATCAAGATCAATTGCAAGCAGTTCATGAAGATGGGTACCAAGAACATCACAACAAAAATCTCAAATTCGTTGGGATACTCGTCGAGCCATGCAAGAAGAATCTTGCTTGTGATCCATAGGAGTTGCGTCTCGAAGCACTCCACAAGCCCATACAAGATGAACTTAGTCGCCATCAACGCACTGAAGTAGATACCAAGCTGCTTCATGTACGCCCGTCTGCTAGGATTGTGTGGGTCTGGACCGTATTGACCAGATTCAATCTGTGTCATGTGGAGGTGGGTCTTGCAAAACCAGTTGAAGCACCGGAAGACTAGATAAAGAATGTACACGCCAATGGTGCAATCAAATACAATGCTTAGGAAGTACCAATCGCAAGGATCCCCGCTCTCATCCTCGACAGCTTTGACCAAATCTTCTGGCAGTGTCTTGATAATTGATAGTAGAACGTTGAAGACGTGAACCCCAAAAGCTCCGATAACCTGTTTAGAAACATCAAAAATCCAGACTGGCCAGGTTCTTCTGACTGGATACTCATAAAATCGCTTGATAAGAAGTGACAGAAGGCAAAGAAGGCCTAGGAATGCCTGAGTAATGAGGGAAAAGGTTCCCACTAGCTCACATTTGCCATCGGAGTCATCATTGGAGTGGGACCTTGTCACCTGTGATTCTATGAAGAGCGTGCTTGCCAAAAAGCCCGCAAGCGATGTTGCACCCGGAAGTGTGAACATAAGTTGTGAATTTTAAAGAAAAAGTTGAATAAATAAGATTTGTGGATTGGTGGGGTTTTTAGTCACAAAACCTCGAGCAAGCTAGTGATGCTAGTTGCATACACGGCGTGGTGTACGGGTGCACCCACATGGCTGCAAAGACGTATAATCTAAAATCTGAGACATGTAGTTCATCTTGTATATTCGTAAGCGATAAAATGAGCACCGTGCCGGTGCATGGGATACCAATCTATTCTTTCTTTAGCTGCTATTTTTGTTCCAGCTCCCAAGGAAACTCGCCACACCCAGCCCTTACCTCGCCTTTGATTATTGGATTCATCGGAGTCTGACGACGAGACGTTGAGGCCATTCTCACCAGCAACCTTATACAACGAGGAATAGCTATCAGGACTCTTCGCGCCTTCGGATGGTGGACGGGCATCTTCAACCTCCGAGTCGGAGTCAGAGTCCGACTCAAGCACAAATCCACCTCTGGATGGTTGTTTCACGACGGGTGGAGTAGGAGATGCCTTTCCCAGAAACGCATTCTCAGATGTGGTGTGAGGGGCAATGGCGATGCCTTTCTCTGAAGCGGAGGCAGTGTGGCTCCTTCGCCTCTCCGGGACTTGTCCGCTGCATCTGGCTCTAACAGTTGTGTTGCATTACTCGGCGTTGGGTTGAAGAACATGTCCGATAATGCGCTTGGCTCTTCGGACCTGGACTCTGTCTTCGAAAGTCCGCCAGATCCGGAGAAAAATTGGCCAGAAAGCGAACTCGAAGAATGTGGCTGTTTCAGCAAGCTTGTTGAAGAATGCCTTGGGTTGATTTCGGAAATGTGACCCTCCAGAGGTTCATCAGGCTTGTTAATATGTTCAGGATAGTTGGATTCGTCCTGCTTGTTTTCTGTAGCAGTCATGCCACCACCAAACACCAGCTGTGCAAGCGACGAGCTTGAGTTGCGTGCGCTGATTGAGAGTCCCTCTTCCTCGCTATCGCTGTCAGAGCTCGAGTCACTCCCATCTAAAGAGAATGGATTTGGCTTTGGTTTATTGGTGGGAGCAGCGGAGTCGTCAAGTGAAGAAATGGGCAATTTTTCTGCGTTTGGGTTGTTGTTGTCATGACCACAGTTAATGACATCAAGAGGGCATTATCAAAGTTGCGGATATCCTCGTTTTCGATAATTTCATAATCGAAGTTGGATCCCAATGCAATATTTTCTGGCACGTCGACCACGTCGGGAGCCCTGTCTCTCCCGCCCGAGCCATAAATGGCATGGTTGGGATCCACCTGATAAACTGTATTGTAATCGTAGTGGTAGTCGTAGCCTCTATTACTGAAGTTGCCCACATTATGCGATAAACTGGATGTGTATGGATTCTCGTCATCACTCTCCTCGTCAGAGGTACCGTAGTTCAATGATGTGGATGGAAGTAACTCAATCGTGCTGTAGCGTTTGAGGGTCGAGGGGTGTGGCGTATCCTTTCTCTCAAGTTTATTATCCTCTCTCTTGTACAAGCCGGGATGGTGGCTGGCACTTGAAGACGAGGGCACCTTCAAGAAAAAGCCTCCCTCTTCGTCATCATCATCATCATCATCATCGTCATCGTCCTCACCTTCGGAGTCCAATGAGTGCATGTCGGTATCTTCATAGTAGCTTTCGCTGCCTAGATTGTAGTCCCCAACCTCCTCCTCTTCATCATCATCTTCAGAATCAGCATAATAACTTGTGGGTGCTGATGGGTCGGAAATGGCAATGCATTGGCGGACTTCGCCGTTGAACCTGACATGGCGGTCTTGTTTTGGAAGCTTCTGTGAATGAGCAAAGGAAGATCGTAAGGGAGATGCATGGGCGTCGTGTTGCGGTGAGACAAGTCTCTCTAAGCCGTACTGGGAGGCCTCAGAGTGGTCGGAGGCATGCGAGGCGGTGGCTTCAAGTTCCGGCAAATCGGCGCTTGAGTTGTTCTGGGAGTTATTTTGGGAGAAGTTCTTGTACTGTGAGTTCAACTTGGCGGAAATGGCATTATAGTCAAAGTACTCTGGTGGTCTCTCTGACACACCGGCCTTGACGGCAGCTTCTCGCCTAGCCTGATGCTCAGCTTCTTCACGACGGTTTTGCTCTTGGTCAGCACGAGCCGATGCAATCTCAAGCTTCCGCAAGTTCAGGTGGCTGATCATCATGTCCTCGACGGTACGCTTTTTGAGGATGGGTTTGGGGCCCGAGGTTCTGCGGGCAATGGCGACATCGCCGGCCACGGCATTGGTGGCAGTTTCAGATGCTGGACGGGATTCGTCTCCATGGTCGTGGTCATCATCGTCGAGAATGGGTCCGTAGAGCCAAGTGACATCGCTCTCCTTAGACCAGTTGACTGCTTCCGGGCTGATGGTCTTGAGGTTGGAGCGCCGCTGAGCCCACGTTCGCCAACTGGCGTTCTCCAAACGAGCCGCATTGGCAACACTCTTCCTACGAGAGATAACATACCTCCACGACTTGCTGATGTCGGCCACATCCCACTGGTGCGAGAGGTAGTCCACATGTCTGGAAGGCTCAGCGGAGACGTCAGTGTCGTCGTGAGGAATGAGTTCCGGGCTGGTTAGGAACGGTGGCGTTGGCGTAGTGGTGGATGCTGCCGTTGGAGAATGGGGGTTGTTGGACTCCGAGGGGCATCGGTGTTGACTCTGAGTCCCGTGTTCGTCCCACCCTGAGACAGCTCCTCGTCCTTGCCAGCGTTATCCAGCTCCTTTGCTTCTGCCTGGGCCTCGATCTTCTTCTCTTGCTCACTGGGGTCGATGAATTCGTCTAAGAGTCCGAGCGAACGGGTCCGTTTTAGCTTAAACGTGGTGTTTTCGAAATGGTCGTCGTCCTCGGCGTCCACGTGCTGAGACGTGGTTGCACCTCCTGTGAAAACCTCTCCCTGATTGGACATGACGTTAGGTGCTTTGCTGGACTGACTGGGAGGGGCAGGCGCTGGTATGGTTGGTTACTGGTTGGTGGTTGCGGCAACCGGTTTTGGTGTAGTTGCGCCTGTAAAGAACAGAAATGGGGATATGGTGGATGCAACAGCGCCTTCGGTAGCTGTAGTAACTTCACAGCGGGGGCAAATGATAAAGGTTGTGGATTAGAGACACCTGGGGGTGAAAAACGTGAGCGAGACTTGAGCTCCCTGGGTATAGGTTTACTGCACAAAGGCCCGTGCACCTCGCCTTGGCCCAACCACCGATTTGTATTGGGAGGTGGGCAGTGGAGCAGTACAATTTGATTTTATTAGGGAAGAAAGAAAAGTGACGAGAAACTAGACTAAAAATTATCTATTCACATTGTTATATATGCTCTGGTGGCGGGTAACGCCGTGTACTCCTGAGTATGCTCGGTTACCTTCAGACAGACCGGCCTGACTGGGATATCTGGGGCAGACCGTTTTTGCTTACCTTCTAGCACCATCCTGCAGGACGCCGTTTGACGACATGCTTTGGCGATCTTGTTGAAACTAACCGTGTTTTTTATAGATATGACCATAATTCTGGTCGTGGTCAGCACGGCTATTATTGCCCCATGGAATTATGCGTCTTAACATCGGAATATCTTCAAGCGAGAGCAACCGGTGCGCGCCGCTTGCCTGGCGGAATGGGTGTAAACTTCCAAAGATCGACATCTGAGAGTTTAATTAAGTGGGGGTGATTTGTGGGTTGATTTTGCCTCGGTGCGGAAGGAATTCGATCTCTTTTTCCGTCACCATAGTCATGGTTTCCATCTTATACCGTTGGCATATACCCGGCTCTCGGAGCCCGGGCCGACCGCACGGAATAACCTACAGTGGCCTTTGAGTAATCACGCAATTGAACCTTGGCGTGAGGATAAGTGGGTTTGTAGCTTCCGTTAGTTCACATTACCCTCAGCCTTCATTGCCTCCCTCTCTTCCTTGATTTTCTTGTATTTGGCAACAACCTCATCGTGAGTACGCTTTCTTTCGTTGTAGGCAAGCTGTTTCCGGTGACGTCTGCTGGACTCATGGATCTTCCAGTTTGTCTCTCCCACAGCCACAAGCGGACGCCCCTCCAGATCCTTGCATACCGAACACTCAAAGTGTTTCCAATTGGCACTGCTTTCCTTAAGTTTGTTACTCTTGAAGGAGTCGAAAAACTCGGATGTAGGTAAAAGCTGCTTCAAATGCTCTGGTGCCTCAGGCTCTGTTACTTTGGATGGACCAGATTTCAAAAACTGTTGCGCTATTCTCACCCCTCTGTCGCCCACCAAGCTTCCCCAATTACTCAAGTCTGTAGCATCTAGAAGGTACATTTTCCCTCCATACATGTAATCAAAGCGAGCCTCCTTGTGAAGCTCAACGCCCAACATCTTGGTGATCCACTTGACTTGATACTTTGCATATTGCCGCGTCCGGATCTTCATTCTTTCAACTCCCTCGGCAAAGAGCTTGGGATCAGTTTCACCACTTTGAAGCCAAGGCAAGAACTCCTTGAAACCAATCACCTGTAGAATGCTCCGACTGCAGTCAGGCTCCGGGTCTTGTTGCTTATAGAAGTCATATAGTTCCTGGATCTCCTGTAACGCACCATCCTCCATCATCTTGTCTACACGAACATCGAGTCGATGCAGCAAGACTTCCTTGTCGCAATGAAGCCATAGAAGAAGAGTGTTATAGTTGAGACACGAGTCTTCAAATTCATCGAGTTTCTGCTCTCGATAAACGTCGCTGGCTTTCTCCCCAGTTGTCAAGTAGATCTCCAAGGCTCGTCTGATCTTTCTCTGGTCCACAGGATGAAATTTCCCAGCTATCACTGGGTCAACCTCTTGAAGCTTTTTGAAGGTCTCTTCAACTGGCCCATCAAGTAGTGCTTGCTCGTCCTTGGTGAGATCTCGTAGTTTAGCACTTTCTTCCTTGTCCCCAGCAGTTTTGTTCTTGAACAAGAGCTTTTGTAGGTAGTAAAATGTACCACCAATAATGATCGGCGTCTTTCCTCGTGCATGTATGTCTTGAATTGCAGCATTGGCCTCTTCCCCAAATCTGTGGATGAAGTACTCTTCGCCCCAGTTCACATGGTCCATTACATGATGTGCGATTCCCTCTCGTTCCTCTATAGGGTGTTTGTTTGTAATAAGGGGGGCTCTCTTATACACTTGCATCGAGTCGGCATTGATCACCTCGCCGTTTATTCTCTTCGCTAGCTCTATACTTAACTATACTGTTAGATGCGCTGAGTGATGCTTCACATAACACGTACCTGCGATTTTCCCACACCAGTGGTACCAACAATGGCGATAACGTTCTTTTTGGGCTTGCTCATGATACAGTTTTTCATATATCGTAGATACCTTAATATCATGAGCTCATCTGGCGATGGATGTACATCAACATCATCGCACTGTGAAGTACTCACTGCGAGCCTGGTCGGACTGCATCAGTGGTGGTCCATATCCTGTGATGGATCTCTAAATGCTCTTTGGCTCTGAGGAGCGGCTAATGGTGTTCCTTGATTTTGCATTGCATTTTCAATGTCTCGTAATTTGTCTTGATTTTGTATGTTGAGCAGGAGCTCTCTGGCCTCCTCTCGTCTCTCATACAAGTAGTGGTCCACGTCGTGCAACACAGCGTTTCCCTTATCTAAGAAATCTGCGTAGAATTTTGAAGCTTGATTGAGGTTGGAAACAAGGTCAAGATATTGGACGTATGCTTCCTCGAAGCTCTGTAATGCCTGGTGTCTTTTGTCATGAGCTGCATTTGCGGAGGACTGGCGCACCTCGAGAAGCTGTAAGTTCTTCTCATGTATTTTCTTTTCAAGGTCCATTTGTTTCTGTTTGAGATCATCGACAAGTTGTAGGTCGGTGTTGAAGGCCTTTATGTGACTTTCATACACCGGCTCGAACTTTCGATGGCTGATTTTTCCCTCTTCATCTAGGAACTTCTCCAGGTTTTTCTTATACTGGCTCATGATAACAGGAAAGATGCTATGGTCTCTAGATTTGACTCCAACCGACGAGATCAAACGCTGCTTGCTCTGTTCAATTTTGTCTCCACTTGCTAGTAGCTCTCGAAGTTGTCCAATAACTTGACCAACGCTGGAGTTCACTTGAGCATGCGACGAACGTGGAATTGTACCAATGAGCTTTTGCTTACCTCCACAGTAGACCAACAATACCTCTTTGATAGCACGGTACAGGTCCATGATTAGCGAATCACTCTGCAGACTTTGATCAAGGTATGATGCCATCTTGTTTACCCTCGTACTAAGTTCTGACGCCGCAACACTTGAGGGCTCCCTGGTCCACCTATCAGATCCTTGCTTCTCCTTCATCAAGTGATCTTCGTACCTCTCCATCGAGAGTCTCTCATTACAAGCGTCCACAAGATCTTGACATTGCTTTGCGAGCTTACCAATCTCAAACATGGAGCTGTCAATTAGCTTTGTACCTCCCATGGAAACGATTTCCTGAGAATGGTGAAGTAATGAGTCCGGTACAGTTTCGGGCTTCTGAATCGCATCTATGGAAGCAGGAAGGTCTCGCTCAGCAAGGAACTTGTTAAACATCCTGGTCAATGCTTTTAGTGGCTCGTAAAAATGGTCAATGACAAACACCTCCTGGCGTTCTCTGAACGCCTGGGCAACTTGGATAATGGAGAACGGAACAAGACGCTGGAAGGCCTCATTCTCAGAGGACTTTTCGAAAAATTGTTTTGATTGTTCCGCATCGACCATTGATGCACCCGTGATAACTGGCAAAGCTTTGGAATCTGGAACCGGCTTAAGATACACCAAGTCGTTATCTTTCTCTGCACTTTTAAGTGTACTCTTGACCATATCCGTCAAGCCCTGGAGATCTTCAACAACGGGTTCAGTAACGTAGCGTTTGTATTTAGCGCCTTCATCGCAGAGTTTTGAAGCAACTTTCAAGTGGGCGACTTGCTCACCGTACTTGAAACCATCTAATGCCACGACTGACATACGGTATTGGGCGGCAGCCTCGAAGTGATATCCCTTGACCTTGAAGTGGTTGATCCAATCTAGAGTAATTGCATCCGACTCAGCACCGTACTCTGCTGCTTGCTTGTATAATTCAGAAACCTTCTTTGATAAGCGAGCTATCAAGTGGTCTTTCACGGTTTTGCCCATTGCAGCCTTCAGCCATACTAACTCTTGAGCCTGTGCAATGAGCATTATCTTGATGCACTGAAGCGTGTCGTCGTCAAAGTCAGGAACACCACGGAGCAATTCTTTATTCAGATTAAGCAAAGCATCAAAGAAACCTGCAGCCTTTTTCAACGACGTGCAAGCCAGCTTAAGACCGTCATCGGTATATGCGTTTTCATGAAGTGCTTTGTAAGAGTATAAAGCGCCCATTTCGTAGATCAATTGAAGCTGCTCTTGTTTCCACGAAGTAAAGGAGCAATGCTTGGGCTGGTACCGAAGGGTGCCGTACCACTCGAACTCTACACAGTCATCCATGAATTTGTTGTTGACATCGGAAAGGAAGTGGTAGTAATTATACAAGGTGCTCTCAAAATGCTCAATGTCGGGTGCTTCTTCGCGTGATAACACCGCTAAACTGTTCTGAAGATGCTGTGCGTACTTGAGGTCATCTCCGAATGACGTCACCGGCTGAAAATAGTCTCTTTTGATGAAATCAGCAAGAATGTCATGAAGCGGCTTTGCATCGCATATTCGGAAGGGTATTTGTATCAAGTTGTTGAACATTGCGTGAAGTGGTACCCTGTTTTGTTATCTGGGGTATCGATGTTGGAGTCGCGCACTGGCATCGGTCTTTGTCGTTGCGAACTAATGGCTGCGAATTATGGCTGTCGCATTAAAGCTAAAGTTCAGAACGGGCCAACTCTACTGATTCCACAAGATCATGGAGTTGTGCAGATCTTTCCTCCAAAGCAATCTCCTCAAGATCCAAAACTTTTTGCAAAATTGCAACATTTTGGTTTTCATCGACAAGTTGCTGAGCCAAATTGACGATGGCGTCGTACTTCTCTCTAGCCAGGCCATTGTATTCAGCTGATCTCCGATCGATATGAGCATCTATATTGTCAGATGATTCATGAAGGTCATTGATTGTCTGAAGTACTTGGGCTTTTGCTTCTTTTGATTTGGGGAGAGAAAAGTCACTTGGTGGTAACTTTTCCTGCTTGCTGTTCTTCAACTCTATGTCAATAAGGGAAAGAACATTTTTATGATCCGTTTTTCCAAGCGGGGTGATAGAATCTGCATCATACGTCGTATCGACGGATTGCTTGTAATCGGCTTTGATAAGAGCCTGGAAGTCTGCTGCAATGGCCTTCTCTGTCTCAGAAAGCTTGGGGTCAATCTCCTTCAATAAATGAGGATTTGGAGCCGCCAAGCCACGAATGGATGCCAGAGTTCGGAATTGCTCCGATTTCGAGCCTGGGTCTTCCAGATCCTCATCGATATCCAGACCTGCTGCAAGTGCTTGAATAGTCTTGTCAATCTGAGGTAGCTTGGGCTGGATGTTGTTCTTTGGCGGCGGTATCTTGGAAAACATTGACTTGATGAACTCTCGAAGCCTTTTCATAGACGACTTTTGTATCGGCTCCGAAAGTCTCTTTTTGGACACCAGATCCTCCCTTGATCGCAAAGAGCCCAGGCTGGCCCCAGAAGTCAATTCCTTCACCCGCTCTTCATTTCGCTGTGTGGTGCCTGGCGCAGGTAGAACCAACTTCCTCCTTTTGAGATCCTGGTCAGCGGCATCCGAAAATAACTTTGCAGCGTCCGAAAGCTCTTGCCTCTGTCTCTTCTTTGCCCTCTCCTCACTACCATCTGGTTTTGCTTTCTTAGCCTTTTCCTCTGGTGCATCTACACCTTTAAACTTGACCCGCTCCTGAAAGCTCAAACGCTCCCTATCGTTCACAGCATCTTCACCAGTAGTATCGTACAACCCTGGAGGAGGAGCATGCTCATGAGGAATATCAGCATTATAGTCGAAGTCGTTCCGCTTCTTTTTGTTCCTCAGCTCTAGACTCATCCTCACACCAGCAGCCTTGAGATCCCTCCGCTTTTCTAGAAGCGTGACTCGGCGGTTTTCTTGAAGCATACGCTCTCTCTCTTTACGTTTAGCCTTCTTGCCCACTGTGTTGGCCAACCTGGCTTTGGCTTCACTCAACATCTCCAGTTCATCTTCATCCATGTCCTCTAGATCTGGACGAGATGGCAAACTCTCATATGCATTTCCCAACGCCGGTAGCGTTTCAATTCCATGACCGGATAGTTTAAGATCGTCAAGCTCTTCGTCCTCATCCTTGTTCCCCATAGCTCTATCTAGAAGCTGCTGGTACCTATCAACACATTGCGTGGGAGTACGGCCCATGATCGGGGAGATGCTCCTCCATTGATTAGGCAATAGTTTCACTAAACCTAACAATTTCTCATCTTCTTCAGGGCTCCATTCGTCTTTCTTGATGCTTGGATTGAGGTACTCATTCCATCGAGCTTTGGCCTGTTTGGCTGTTTTCTTGGGTTGGAGCGAGGCCACACGAGCCCACTGAGTTAGACCGTATTTGGAAACAGCAGCTCGAAGAATCTGATCTTCAACATTCGTCCATTGTCCTCCTTTGACGTAGATGGGAGGTGCCATAATGATGTAGTGAGGGAAGAGATGTCGTAATGGGTGCGAAAGTAGAGCACACTAGCATTACTACAAAAGAGAGAGGGATGAGCGAAACAATGCTGCCTGCCTTACACGGCGCTGTATGAGTCTCAAATTGACTGTAAAAATATGAAATAAAGAAAGAGAGGGTTGTAAAAGTTGACTTCGAAAAAAAACGACCTCGGTGAGGGTCGAACTCACGATCTTAAGATTAACAGTCTTACGCCTTAACCAACTTGGCCACGAAGTCGCTGTGGATGATACTGGAAACACAAGTATATATGAACTTAAAGTTAAAAAATGGATCTCAGTACTGTCAACCTTTATTATCAAATTAGGATTGTTGAGGTTCTGAATAATCGATTCCGGGCCTTCAAACACTCAAAAAACGGAAAATGCGGCTTCTAAGGTCAATAACGTGCTGAATATCCATGATATCAAAAACTACTCAACAACCAATGAAGGAGACATAAAATCTGTCTAGAACAGGCCCATTGAGAAACTCTATCTTGGTGTTGGTGACGGGTGTATAAGGGCTTCAATCATTTTGCACCCGAACCATATCCTACTATCTCACTCTCAGGTGCAGTCATCAACTTCACTTCGACACTACAAAGCTTCTGCCTGAACTATGGAGAATTTGGGGCTAGCGCTCCAGCTTGCCCTCATATCCAAGAAAGACTTTGTCATACAAACCACTGATTACCATAAGTGTTTGAACTCCCTAAAATACTTGGCCACTGAGAGGTTTAACATTGATGATATAGTGGAGGTTGATCTCCATGCTCTAGACGTTGATTTCAATGCTATTGCGGAAAGCATTATTAATCCAGAGGGTTTTGTCTACAGTATGGTCATCTGGAAGAATCTAGAGACTGTGAAGCTCGATTTCGATAAAAAACGCAATCTTCTACGAGTCTTGGATGAGTTATCGAGGTACGGCAAGGTGTCATCGAGAAATACTGACCATGAGCCTTTTCAATTGGGCGACCGGATGGTAAGAAAGCCACCAATCTGTATTTTGGTTCCCATCATTGTCAATGGTACTCATATGCCAAAGATAAACCCGCAGATCAAGAGCCGCTTTTTCTATTCCCAGCTATACATCCCCCAGGACGGCGACGAGTTAAAGCTACAATCAAGTAATAAAGACATCTTGCTGGCGAGATGCAGTCTAGAGACCGTTTTTGTGAAGGCCACTGTTGAAGAGTACGCCTTCTCATTGTTCGTGTTCGCCAGATCACATCGATTATGCTCCTTAGCTCCGCTTTCTAGTCGACCGCCTTTATCTGCGAGAGAAAATGTTCTTTTATTGGCTAAGGCGTTAGTTGTTGCAAGATCTGACGACGATGAACGACTATTTGTCACGCCGGAGCATGTCAAAGTTGCCTTTCGAAAGGTGACATCCTGGCTCATAGATTGGGAAACAAACCCTCTTTTTAGTGGCACTGGCGAAAAAGATGATTATAGGAAAAAAATGGAGATCTCCATGCTCACAGGTGATTGGTTTGGAAGTGAGTGGAGGCACGTTGAAAATTACTTAACGAAGAATGCTTCGAAACCAGACAAAAACTCGACGACTGGATTCACCAACCCATTAGTTGAGGATGTTTTGTTGTCAGTGCAGCCTCCAATATAGTGCTATGAGATTGTGTGGTTAGACCGTGCATTGGGGCTTGGAGATTTTCAGCGTTTGAGATTCATCATAATAGAGAGATGTCTGATGCAATTGAGTTTAATTTATCTAATCTGCTTCAAAAGAGACCAATGGTACCAGGCCCTCGGTGTGATTGCTAAAGATAGACCGTGAGACATATAGGCGCAACTGAGACACAGTGGTCAATTTCGAATATCCTCCACTTCATTTATTATATCTCTTGTTCTTCATTTCACCAAGAGAGTGGTTTTTAATTTGTGACCTAAATGCTCATTTTTTCAGCCAGTATTGAACAAGTTGTTCTTCCAGATACGGTCCGAGAGTCGCCAGGCCGCGATAACCGAAATCACCCCCCTTTCATTGTAGTTACGCAACGCATTCGAAAAGACTTCATCTTTTTGGATAAGTATTTAAAATTTTATATAAACTGTCTCTCCAGCAGCGAAAATATCGCAAATTTCAGTCAGAGTAGTGGTGGAAAGCCCAGGCTATTATACACCCGTGCCTCCCGCTTACATAATCCAACGAGGCCACCTAGGAAACAAAACCACGAGATCAAAAACCACCTACCACCTTTTGCTACCGTCCCCTTTTACACCAACCCCCACACACAACCCTACTTTTTGAAAGTTTCAATCCCCGTGTGGCTGCTGGTTTAAATATGACGGACATTCCCATCAATTTCACCCAATTGGCTCAGTTGACCCAATTGGGCATTCAACAGCAGTCGCTTGATTTTAAGTCAACCACCCTTGAATCTGATCGCTACATATGTGTGCGTGAAAGCACTCAGCAAGGCAACACTGTCGCCATCATCGATGCTCAAAACAACTTTGAGGTGACCAGAAAGAACATGACTGCTGACAATGCAATCATGCATCCTACTGAGAATGTGATTGCTTTGAGAGCCAATGGTACTGCTTTGCAGGTCTTCAACTTGGGTACTAAACAAAGATTGAAGTCCCACACGCTAGAGCAACCCGTTGTTCTTTGGAAGTGGTTGACCAACGAGGTATTGGGTCTTGTCACCGCATCCACCATTTACACGTGGAATATCTTCGATGGAACCAACGACGGACCCGTCAAGCTTACCGACAGACACCACACGCTCAACAGCTGTCAAATCATAAACTTTGTTGCTGAGCCAGACCTAAATTGGTTTGCTGTCACTGGTATCGCTCAGGAAGATGGCAGAATTGCTGGCCACATTCAGTTGTTCTCCAAGTCTAGAGGCGTTTCACAGGCAATTGAGGGTCATGTATCTCGTTTCGCCCAGATCACGCTCAGCGGTGCCGCTAACCCCACCAAGGTCTTCTGTATTGGTAACAAGACTGCCTCTGGCCAGGGTAACTTGCACATTATCGAAATTGACCACGTCGATGGCAACCCTCCATTCCCCAAGAAGACTGTCGAGATTTTTTTCCCTCCTGATGCCACTAATGACTTCCCCATTTCGTTGCAAACCTCCAACAAGTACGGAATTATCTATATCTTGACCAAGTATGGTTTCATCCACTTGTACGACATCGAGACCGGCTCCAACTTGTTTGTCAACAGAATCACTGCTGAGCCTGTGTTCACCGCCGCCCCCTACAACGACGGTACAGGTCTCATCACCATTAACAAGTCGGGCCAAGTTTTGGCTGTCGAGATCGCCAAGGACAAAATCATTCCCTACGTTTTGGACAACTTGTCCGATGTATCTTTGGCATTGTCGCTCTCCTCCCGTGGTGGTTTCCCTGGTGCCGAAAACTTGTTCCAGCAGCAATTCCAAAACTACTTGAGCCAAGGTGACTACACCAATGCTGCCAAGGTGGCTGCCTCCTCTGAGCAATTGAGAACCCAGGATACTATTAACAGATTGAAACACATCACTCCTTCTCCAGGACAGATTTCTCCAATCTTGCAATACTTCTCCACCTTGTTGGACAGAGGTACTCTTAACAAGTACGAGTCGATCGAGCTCGCCAAGCCAGTCTTGCAGCAAGACCGTAAACCATTGTTTGAGAAGTGGTTGAAGGAGGACAAGTTGACTTCCAGTGAGGAGTTGGGTGACATTGTCAAGTCTTACGACACTGCTTTGGCTTTAGCTGTCTACGTCCGTGCCAACGTTAATATCAAGGTTGTCTCGTCTTTGGCCGAGTTGGGTCAGTTTGAAAAGATCCTTCCTTACTGCCAGAAGGTTGGTTACAACCCTGACTACACTAATCTTATTCAAAACTTGGTCCGCGTTAACCCAGATAAGGCCAGTGAATTTGCTGTTTCTTTGTTGGCCAACGGCGATGCTAATTTGAACATCGAGAACATTGCTGACTTGTTCTTCTCCCAGAACTACATCCAACAGGGTACCGCTTTCTTGTTAGATGCTCTTAAGAGTGACACCCCATCTGAGGGCCACTTGCAAACCAAGGTTTTGGAGACCAACTTGTTGCACGCTCCTCAAGTTGCTGACGCGATCTTGGGCAACCAGATGTTCAGCCACTACGACAAGCCAAGCATTGGTAAGTTGTGTGAGAAGTCTGGCTTGTTCCAGAGAGCTTTGGAGCACTACGACGATTTGAAGGACATCAAGAGAGTCATTGTCCACACCAACGTGTTGCCAGCTGACTGGTTGGTTTCATACTTTGGCCAGTTAAATGTTCAGCAGTCCATGGCCTGCTTGAACGAATTAATGACCAACAACTTGCAGCAGAACTTGCAAATTGTGATCCAGGTGGCAACCAAGTATTCTGATCTTCTTGGGCCTCTCAACTTGATCAAGCTTTTCGAAACCTACAAGTCCAACGAAGGTAAGTACTACTACTTGTCCTCTATCGTTAACTTGACACAGGACCCAGATGTGGTTTACAAGTACATTGAAGCTGCAAGCAAGTTGAATCAGACCAAGGAAATCGAGAGAGTTGTTAGAGATAACAATGTTTACAATGGTGAAAAGGTTAAGAACTTCTTGAAGGAAGCTAACTTGGAAGACCAGTTGCCACTCATTATTGTTTGCGACAGGTTCAACTTTGTTCACGACTTGATCTTGTATTTGTACAAGAACAAGTACTTCAAGTTTATCGAGGTCTATGTCCAGCAAGTCAACTCTGCCAACACTCCCCAGGTGATCGCAGGTTTGTTGGACGTTGACTGTGATGAGAACATCATTAAAAGCTTGTTGATGTCCGTTTTGGGCAGAGTTCCTCTTAAGGAGTTGGTCGAGGAAGTTGAAAAGAGAAACAGATTGAAGATTTTGTTGCCATTCTTGGAGAAGACCTTAGAGGGTGGCTCTTCTGACCAGGAGGTTTACAACACCTTGGCCAAGATTTACATTGACTCCAACAACAGCCCTGAGAAGTTCTTGCAAGAAAATCAACAATATGATACTTTGTCTGTTGGTAGATACTGTGAGAAGCGTGATCCATACTTGGCTTACATTGCTTACTCCAAGGGTAACAACGACGACGAGTTGATTAACATCACTAACGAGAACAAGATGTACAAGTACCAGGCAAGATATTTGTTGGCTAAATCTGACTTCGACTTGTGGGCAAAGGTGTTGAGCCCAGACAACGAGTACAGAAGGCAATTGATTGACCAGGTTGTCTCTACTGGTATTCCAGAATTGAGTGATCCTGAGGCCATTTCTGTCACTGTGAAGGCATTCATGGAGAACGACTTGCCACAGGAGTTGATTGAACTTTTGGAAAAGATCATCTTAGAGCCATCTCCTTTCAACGACAACACTTCCTTACAGGGTTTGTTGCTTTTGACTGCTATCAAGGCCGACTCAACCAGAGTTGCTAACTACATTGAGAAGCTCGACAAGTTCGATCCCAACGAAATCGCTCCATTGTGTATTGACAATGATTTGTTCGAGGAAGCATTCGAGATCTACGATAAGTTTGAACAAAGAACTGATGCTATGAAGGTGTTGGTTGAGGACATCATGTCGCTTGATAGAGGTGAGCAGTACGCCGAGAAGCACGACACCTCGGACTTGTGGTACCAGTTGGGTACCGCTCAGTTGAACGGCTTGAGAATTCCCGAGGCTATCGACTCGTACATTAAGTCTAAAAACCCACAGAACTTCGAGCAGGTTATTGAAATCGCTGAACGTGCTGGCAAGGAGGAGGAGTTGGTTCCATTCTTGGACATGGCTAGAGAGACTTTGAGGGAACCAGCTATCGACAATGCTTTGATCAACTGCTACGCCAACGCCAACAGATTGACTGACATCGAGAAGTTTGTTGCTGGACCCAATGTGGCTGTTTTGGAAGACATCGGTGACAAGTTGTTCGAGGCAAAGAACTACAAGGCCGCTAAGATTTTGTACTCCAACATCTCAAAGTACTCCAAGTTGGCCACCACCTTGGTTTATTTGGAGGACTACCAGTCTGCTGTTGACTGCGCCAGAAAGGCTTCCAACACTCAGGTTTGGAAGCAGGTCAACAGTGCCTGTATTGAGAACAAGGAGTTCAGATTGGCCCAGATTTGTGGTTTGAACTTGATCATCGATGCTGAGGAGTTGCCAGAGTTGGTGAAGACCTACGAGTACAACGGTTACTTCGACGAGGTTATTGCTCTCTTCGAAAGCGGTTTGGGTTTGGAGAGAGCTCATATGGGAATGTTCACCGAGCTTGCCATTCTTTACACCAAGTACAAGCCTGAGAAGGTGATGGAGCATTTGAAGTTGTTCTGGTCTCGTATCAACATTCCAAAGGTCTTGACCGCCTGTGAATCCGCTCACCTTTACCCAGAGTTGATTTTCTTGTATTGCCACTACGAGGAGTGGGACAACGCTGCCTTGACCATGATGGACAAGTCTGAGGTTGCCTTCGACCACAGTTCTTTGAAGGAGATCATTGTGAAGGTTTCCAACTTGGAGATTTACTACAAGGCCATCAACTTCTACTTGAAGGAGAACCCAACCCTCCTCGTGGACTTGATGTCTGTCTTGATTCCAAAGCTTGATCTTCCAAGAGTTGTCAGAATGTTTGTTAAGTCTGACAACCTTCCATTGATCAAGCCTTTCTTGATTTCTGTGCTTGACAAGAACAACTCGATTGTCAATGGCGCTTACCATGATCTTTTGATTGAAGAGGAGGACTACAAATCTTTGCGTTCTGCCATTGAGTCTGAGTCGAGCAACAGATTCAACTCATTGGACTTGGCTGAGAGATTGGAGAACCATGACCTCATTTTCTTCCGCCAGATCTCCGCCACCTTGTACACCAAGAACAAGAAGTTTGCCAAGTCTATTCAAATCTTGAAGAATGACAAGTTGTGGGCTGACTTAATTAAGACTGTTGCCATCTCCAAATCTACCAAGCTTGCGCACGATCTTTTGGATTACTTTGTTGAGACTGGTAACCACGAGGGTTTCGTTGCCCTCTTGTACACCGCCTACTCTTTGATTGAGTACGACTATGTGATTGAGTTGGCTTGGTTGCACAACTTGGGCAACTTCATCAAGCCATACGAGATTTCTGTCGCGTACGAGAACCAGAGGAAGTTGAACGAGGTCTACGAGGACTTAGAGAAGAGAAGAGCTGCTGAGAAGACAGATGATGAGCCAGCTGCTGGGCAGCCATTGATGATCACGAGCGGTGCTGGCTTGGGAATGAACAACACCGGCTTGGGATACCAGCCCACGGGCGCTGGATTCGGCAATGCCTTTTAATCGCAACAAGAATCGGGAGCCGCGTGACTTTGTAGGGTAAGTCTAGCAGTCCTGCTACAATTGCAAATAGAGACGACAAAAGTTTGATTTGAATGGTGCAAGTGTAGTGTAGAAATGCATATCGATGGGTGGCCATGCGGCGCATCACAATGCAAGGGAAAGAGATTGCAGGGAGAGATTGCAGGGGGAAGAGATTTGAGCCATTGTCTATGAACCAATTGGTCCGGGTGCAAGTGAAACATTCTTTTTTGCCATGAGAAGGAAATTTATTGTGTCGTGGTGATCGTTTGATAATAGCGACAATGGATCGGAATCCAGCCGCTTTGGGATGCCATGTCGATGAAGATCGCCTTGCAGATTGTTTCATCGGCCCTATGTTACAGTGTGAGATTGTATGTACTTCAAGACCTGGGTGAATGCAGACTGAAGTTTTTCAATCGATGCACCGGAAAGCAAGGCAGAAACATGCAACGTTAGTGAAGGCAGGAGGGTGGAGGAGACCAGATCCACCAGGCGGCTCCCAAGAAGTAATTCAATGGACTGGCCCAGATTCAAAGTTAGGGCCACACGACGGCACTGGATGTCGGATTCTATGGCTGCGAAAGCCCTGCCTCCTTCCAAAGTGAGGCTTTTGAGCTCCTGGACCATGTCGTGGCGGGCCTGGGTTGCAACCAAGGCAGCCCTCACGCACTCACAGAACTTCTGGAGCCCTAGCGCCTCATCGGGATGCGAAAGGTGGTGTTTGTAGGAATCAAGCGACACGTACGCCGGCGTGGTGTACCTGAAGACCAGCCAATTGTGACGTTCGTCTTTGGAGATGACCCGCCGAAGAATGATATAATGCGACGGCAAGAAGGCATTGGAGGAGTGGGCAAGCACGTCGAATCGGAGCCCTAGCAAGGCGTCGTCCAGAGCATCGTACAAGGCGTCGTTGATAGGGAATGCTGTGATGCCGCCGAATCGATGGACACTCTCCACAAGCGAGTATGTGCCTTGGCGGGTGCGTTCCTGGATTGACAGAGACTCGGCAGGCGGCGCAGCTGCTTGAGGGATCAGCAGGGCCGGTTTGAAGTATTGTCGGATGGAATCGTCAAAGCAGTCGAGGGAGACCGTTGGTTCATGGGGCACGTTTCTAGGCCGGTGTTTCTGGAGATGGTGTTTATTGCTGGCTTCGTAAGACGCCACTTGACGAAACAAGGTATCGTGATTCAGCTGAAGCGGCCCCAAGTCGGCTCGAAGTCCAGCGATCTCAGCCCGTAGAGCGTCGATTTCGCCCTGGACGTCCATGTTGATGTAAACAAGTGCGATCGCTGTGCACCCGATATAGCGACAGACCTTCTGTAGAGGGAAAACGCACAGCGGCAAGCCGAGCCATAAGCCACCCCCCTGCTTTAACTTCCTGGACCTTCCGTAGCGGGCAGAATTAGCAACAGTCTCGAAAACAGATCCAGGGGAATTAGGCTTAACTTTATAATTTTTGAGGCAATTAAGCTCGGGCAGATCGCTGTCTAGGGGGGTGGACCTTGTGGTGAGGCAGTTTGCGCAACCGTTACCAGCATGGCGGGAGAAACGGCGCAACCATAAAGGGCCAAGCGGACGGTACCAATCGGGCAGAAAAAGCGATTTGGCTGTTCTGCGTCACTGGGTCTGCTAAACGTTTGCTCCTTCTACTAATAATAATTCGGCCTGTCCGTCTCCAAGGAGCCCGGTCCGACAAGGTTGCCCGTTTTGCTCTGGGGGACCAGTTCTAACAATAACGCTCGAGCATGGAAGCCCCTCCCGATGCCTTGGCTGCGAAAAAGGCAACTCTCTGCACGGCGCAGCAATCTACAAGAAGGTGAAATTTTGGTCTACGGAAGTGCGACTGTCATTTTTGACAAAAAAAGCGCTGGCCAAGGATTGTGCAAAATAGACGGTAAGAGGCCTTTATGTCGTCCGTTTTGTTGTCATATGGCTCAGGCGATGTCTCACACTGCCGCCCTGCCGCGGGTTTCTGCTGACCTGCCTGGGTCGCCTTGGGGCTTCTCTTACAGAATGGGGCGGCCGAGCCTTAGCCGTCTTGAAAAAACCTCCTTTTGGAAATTCCACATCATGGACCCTGACCGACGGTTCAACTGTTTTCTTCAAAAAAAACATAGAATTCCCTCTCCCTCTTTCGCCTCTGTCTATACGTAGGAGCCGACCATCCGCCCTTGGCCCACTGGTCGTTTACCGCTGAGCAGGTTTCTCCCTGGCACCAGTGTTAACCGCACAGCGCCCTGCAACTCGGTGTTGCGACTTTTTGCACCGCCTGCCGATATAAATCGGCTGCCCTCCGCGCTGATTCGATTCTGCAAAATCATCTGGCCCTGGCTCCAACGATGCTACGCCTTTTGCTCCTCTCGTTGGCAGCAGTGTCCTCAGCGGCAGGCCTCGATCTCGACGTCTGCTCCCTGCAAAATATCGGTTCCGACCATGCCTCCAACAAGTACATGTCCAATGGCTGGTGCCACGACCATTGTCAGGACGGCGGATATGCCGTCGCTATAACTCAGGAATTCAGCTGCTGGTGCACAAACGATGTGCCAGCAGACACTTCTGATCTGGATAACTGCAACACCGGCTGCCCTGGCTACTCTCAGCAGGAAAACTGCGGTGGCGATGGCTACTACGGTTACATTTTCATTCAAAGTCCGTCCAGAACCGTGGGGCGCCTGTCCACGAGTTCCCTGACGTCCTCGTCCTCCTCGTCCTCGTCAACATCGTCCTCGTCAACGTCGCCTCCCACATCGTCCTCTTCGGACCCTCCTACAACCTCCACATCGTCCACACCAACGACATCGTCCACACCAACGACATCGTCCACACCAACGACATCGTCCACACCAACGACATCGTCCACACCATCGACATCTTCCACACCATCGCTGACTTCCACATCCTCTACCGTCCCTCCCCTGACCTACGAGGAGCCTTCGTCCAGCGAGACCACGACTTCAAGCACAAGTTCTTCCGCCTCTAGCTCCAGCACTTCCAGCTCGTCGTCTACATCGACTTCATCGTCGTCATCTTCATCGTCCTCGTCATCGTCGTCATCTGCCCCTGCAGAACAGGCCCTGGTGGTCACTTCCGTTCAGGCTACAACCGTCTACTCTACGGCCACTGCTGACGGCTCTGCATCACAGGTGGTTTCTACCCGTTACATTACGGAAGTTGCATCCACCTCTTCCTCATCGGCTTCGGCTTCGGCTTCGGCTTCGAGTGAAGCTAGCGGTGACGCAAACGGCGATGAACAAAAGTCATTTTTTGATTCCACCGGCAAAGTTGCTGGCACTTTCACCGCCGTGGGTGTTGTAGTAGTTGGCGCCTTGGGAACATTATTATACTGCTGTTGTTTCGGCGCAGGTCGCCGGAACGATGACTACTCTGACGAAGAGAATCAATACTCTTCGGATGAGCTATCAGTGAACGGCGAGAAGGCTGTGGTGGCTGGAGGAGCGCAGTATCACTCCAAATCCTCGCTGCGCAGCTCAAACCTAAAGAGAGACAATCTGAGCAAGTCGATCCTTTCCATCTTCAACCCAGGCTCGAACGGCATGGCTGGTTCTCATGTCGGCCGCAGCATGTCAAAGAAGAAGCTCAATCCAAATAAGGAGCCTGCTCCGGACACTGGCGGGCCCATCATGTTCCCAATTCTGGAGTTTGACAACCGTTTGGACCCACTGACCATGTTCCAAAACTCCAATGCATCTAAATTTTCCTTTGCCGACGAGAACGACTACTCTCGCCGTATATTGCATGTCGCTAACCCCGAATAGCAAGGCCATTTTTTGGCCCTGCTTTAATCGTTCACTAATCGCATAATACATACATAGCTAAAAAGTTGCTTGTATTTCGTTTCGTACACATCGTAATCTATGAGTCCTCAGGAACTTTACTTAGATTCTTATAGTGTGGCTGCTTCTCGTAGGCGTTGGGACTCGACTCCCTTGCCTTCTTTTTGCCGTGGTTATGGTTATGCTCTTCGTCGTGGTCATGATTATGGTTGCAAGGACGGCCCCTCTCATCGCCGCTTTCATCTGATGACGAATCACTCAGCCCACTATCGCTGTCACTGGAGCATTCACCAAACTCTCTCTGTGGGTGGAAAATGCAACAAATCTTGGACTTTTTCTTGTTCATGTGCTCATTATCAACTACATCGTCTGTCCAATGCACTTTACTCCTTGATTTCTTCTTCTGCTTCTCTTTTTCGCTTTTAGGTCGAAGCTGTAAAACTGGAGCGGGCGCTGTTACCTGCGTCTGCGTTTGCAGCTGTGTTTGTGGTTGTCTTTCTGGCATGCTTAGGTGATAGCTGATAGAGTTACAGGATAAGTGATCCTCGAGAAGGTCATGTGACCTCCCTTGTAGTTTTCTTGAGTCAATCTTTACTACGAATCTTCTGTCTAAACTATTGTCATTTTAAGTGAATACTGGTCTTATTTCTTTGATGCCAGCTCCAGAATGTTCATAACAGCTATGGAAACGGAAATGAACCCAGGCACGGTTCGGTTATAGCTTGCTGCGCCTGCAGGAGAAGCAACCCTTGCTGGGCACTCCTTCCCCCTTCACAGCAATTTGTGATCACCAATTTCTGATGTAAGGAAAAATGTCGTCCTCGAAGTTTCACCTGGTCCAGCAATCCTCGTTGCTCGGCTTTTTTTTAATATCACTGCCACATTCATATTTTGCAGCAAGTTGGTCGGGGTCGCGGAATGCTCTTAACCCAACTAGGAAGACATTTGAGAGAGATCGCCAAGGTGAAGGTTAAGATCTGTGCAAGGAAAATAATATACCAATACGGATCGATCACCCGATCTGGCTTAAGTTTGCATTTTTCGGAAAGGTATTCTTACTAACTCAGTAAACAGAGGCTTCTAAACGAATTTTGTTATGCTGTACCCTGGGAAAAACGTCAATGGGGTCAAAATTCAGGCATTTCATACCATAGTTCGTTAAAGTACCTTCACTTCCCCACTCTCTTACCCCATTTTGAAAAGCAAAAATAAATTAAGATCGAGAAAAAATTATTATCTCCCTTCTGGTCTGTAGATCTTTGTCATAAAAATAACTCCGATACGGGGAATCGAACCCCGATCTGCTCGGTGAGAGCGAACTGTGCTAGCCATTACACCATATCGGATTTTATATTCAGATCTGTTGTCGTGAAAAATTTAGATCATCAATAAATTGTGTGAGCCTCACACGACCAAAACCCGTACACCCAGATCTATCCAGCTTGCCTCCTAGGAACAATAGCATAAAAAGGTCAGCTTCTGTTGATAACACATTAAGAGGTTTACTATGTAGGTCTTAAAACTATATAGGTTTTGTTGGAAAGAATTTATTCTTTCTGGCGTCCTCTTAATATAATAATCGTTAAAAAAAAAAAAAAAATAACATAAAAGTAAGCCTCATTCAATATGCAATGGAAATACCAGCGGATAAATTACTACAAAGCAATATTTGGTCATCATATTCTATTAAAAAAAAAAAATCATTCACCGCAAATTGAGCGGGACCATCTTCTTTGAGACGTAGGGTTTGTATTGGGCTACTTTTGGAAGCGAACTCCTATGCGCTACTGACTACATTTAAAGTTTTTTCGTGTTCTATTTAGAAGCTTTGTAAACATTCCGTCTGTAGCTTTTAAGAAATAAAGTAGTGATGCCATTGACAAAGGTAGCGCCTTTTGTTTCCATAAAATAGTACTTGGCCAACAAAAACACTCATTGAATCACCATTGGTCAAGCAGAAATTTTATACTTCAAAACTGGAGCGGGATTTTACGTCCCGACTGTCAAGGTTGATTCATAAACATTGCGAATCAAAACTGGTGGGCCTTTGAGATTTTATTGAAATAAGTTTCGAAGAGGGAACTTAGAAATGCCCTTCATATGCAATTGATTGGACGAACTTGTTACAATCCAACCCCACTACAGTTTTTATCTTCTTCTCTTAGTATTTACACACTGTAGAGCAAAGTTATAGATCAATGAGCAATTACAAGCGGGCTTGAAGTGCTTTGTTTTAATCCTTGACGATGTTGGTGTGGCCGGACAAATGCGGGTTCTTATGGTCTTGGCGCTCTTAACGTCTGGTTCACAAATTTAACTTTAAACAGACATTTCCTGGTTTAGCTTCCAAAATCAAATTTCCATCTCACACGGGAACCCTCTTTCCGTATTATGTGTTGGCATGGTTACCAGAGACCCATATAAATCCGGTGGGGTACGCATGCAGCCATTCGCCTTTCAAGGACGCAAAAAGCCCCTAAGTACCTACTAGAAAGACGCGAAATGACTGCCTCCCTGATTGTTTGGCAGATCATTCGGTAGAACAAAAGATTACGATTTTAAGGTACCATCGAATGCATGCAACATGTTGCAATTGGCCTAGAAAATGAAAAAAGAAATAACTCCGTACGTTACGAAATGTAATTTGCAGCTACAGCATGACAAGATTCTTCTAGAGGACCGGACTTATAAACAACTACAGGAGTCAGATTGCGTCCATACTGTGAAGAGGGTTTTCACCCACAAGGTCTCCACCTCAAACTTGCGTCACAGGGTCCAAAAAAAAAAAAAAAAAAAAAAAAAAAAAAAAAAAAAAAAAAAAAAAAAAAAAAAAAAAAAAAAAAAAAAAAACAAAATGAAAACCCAAACTCATTACAAGATAAGATAAGGAGGTTCTATCGAAGGAAAAATGACCTCATTGAAATCTCCGGAGAAACTACGTAGTTGACGGACAGCGCTTGGCTCCATCATAAACACCATCGTTCTCTTGTTTTACCGAGGCCGATCGCATTAGCACAATACAATGGCATATTCATTATGTTTCTAGAACGGCGAGGTTGTGTAATCAGCATAAGTTTCCTTGGTACATGGGGCCGTGGCAGTCGAGAAATTATGGGTCCACCTCATCACATCGTATATGTAGCTCAAACCGCAGCGAGAGCTCCGAGAATTTCAAATCGACTCACTTCCTGTGGACCGATTGGCCTTTGCAGGGCGCCACACATTTAGTAATTGTCTCGCGACCACTATTAGACCGGAACTTTTATGTTGCGAGGGTTACGTCAACCAAGAAATCGTGGTAGCCAAGCATTTACCCTTCAGGCCCACCTCCATAAAGAGCAACGTCATATGGCCCATTATACGGCTCCCCAGTCTGCTAAGGCGGGGCATACCAGGAAGGGGAACTATACTGCCTGTCTCAATAGACAATGAACAAAGCAGCTGCTTTTGATTGACGTGCCAGCGGTGGTTGCTCATGCTGTTCCGGAGATTTCGAGAGATGATTGGCCAAAAGAGCTGAAATCGAGCTAATTTCGTCAGTTTTGGGTTTTAGACGATTTCGCCGGAGAGATGTGATCTGCGAAGTGTCAAAAGATTATCAAAGAGGTCAAATATCCTGATTTCGCGAATTGTGCCGGAATAGTGCATATATAAGACCCGCGTTTCTTTCATGCAGATATCCTCTCGGTGGCCAAGCTGGCTAAGGCGCGAGACTGTAATGTGATTGTAATCTTGAGATCGGGTGTTCGACTCACCCCCGGGAGATATCCTATTGCCTTTATGGCCAAGTTGGTAAGGCACCTCACTAGTAATGAGGAGATCGTCAGTTCGAATCTGGCTGAAGGCATCATTTTTTACCTCCAAGAACCTTCATATTTTTGCGAGGTCTCGGAATGCACCCAAATGTGTAACCCGTTTACCACTCTCGACGCACGTCAACGCCAAGTGGACGCCATTGCGTCGCGGAGATGGAGCAGATGACTTCGGCACTGCTACCGAGGAAGGATGGCGCCGTATCTGCAGGAGGACAAGGAAATTTCGCACAGGCTCCCACTTCTCTTTTTTCTTGCCGCACTTTTGCAGCACAATCTCGCTCGTGGTAGCCGGTCCTGTTTCTTTTTTTTCTTGACATTATGGTGCCCACATTTTAAATTTCCCTACCACATGCAGGACATTTACTTGGCGGAAAACTTCTTGGCAAATGTAATAATCAAATGACCCTCTGCCACAGCCTACCTCCATAAATATATCTCTCGCACCGCTCGCAAACCCGTCATATCTTAAAGGTTTTTTTTCTTCCCTCGTTTACCCAACCGCACCACTCACTAGTATTATCTTCCCCAGCAGACCCTTTATCGTGACTACCGATACGGCTTGCTGCGAATTATAAATACACAAGAAAAAGAACTTTCCCCTACCCACCCCAAAGATGTCACTGAACTACAATCTCCATCCAGTGACTTATTTGAACGCTACAGCTGAAAAGGTGATGGACTCTGAAGTCGACTTCGACCTCGACGCTGTTTCTGACGCTGTTTCCACAAATTCCCCAACTACTCAGTCTTCTAACGGCTCCCCACAAACTTCCTTCACATCCCAGTCTTCCGCCAACTCCCCTGTGCTGCAGACCTCGTCTTTTGGAAAGGAATTCACCAACGCTCACTTCGGCGCCCGTGCTACCGGCTTTGCCGGTACCGCTTTCGAACCGGCAATGAAGCAAAATGCTCATCAACTGAACCACACCCATCAACACAACCATGCCCACGCCCACCACCACGATGCCACCGGCGCAGCTGCTCCAGCTGAAAAGAAGAAGCCAAAGAAGACCTACAGAAAGGTAAGAGACGCTGACATGAAGGGCCCCTTCAACTGTCAGTGGAGTGGCTGTTCCCTTATTTTTGAGACCCAGAGCAATTGTACGACCACTTGTGCAATGAGCACGTTGGTCGTAAATCCTCCAACAACTTGTCATTGACTTGTGACTGGGACAATTGTGGTGTCACCACTGTGAAGAGAGACCACATCACCTCACATTTGCGTGTGCACGTTCCTTTGAAGCCATACAGATGTGACTTGTGCACAAAGTCTTTCAAGAGACCTCAGGACTTGAAGAAACACTCTAGAACTCATGAAGACGAACACCAAAGAAAGTTGAAGAAGTCTCAAAAGATGAACGAAAAAGAGGGCGACAAGCACTACCCAGTCCCAGTCTTGCCTCCTCACCACGGACCCTTCGATGTCGGAACCGCCTACTACCCTACCTTGGGTAATGAGATGACTCAGCGCCAGGAAGTTTTCGACCTCAGCACCAGCCTTCACCCACAGCATCAGCAGCCTGCTGCTGACACCAAGAAGAGAGGCTTGGACCACAACATGCACATGATGAACGGTATCCTTAGTGATTTCAACTTCTACGGTAACCAGGACTCCAACAAGAGAGCAAAAGTTGAGCCTCAGTACAACATGGAGGTTTACAACCGTTTGAACCACTTGGATGGTTTCTTGAACAACCAGCAGGGCTCCAACCACTCCTCCACCAGCAGCCAAGGCTCTGTCCTCCACAACCACAACATGATTCCAAACCCTAACTCGCACTACTCCTACGGCGCCAACCCACAGGCCAACTTCTACGAGGCCGAAAAGTTCTTCAACAACTTGTCGTCTTCCATCGAAATGCAATACCAGAGCATGATGGGTCCAGGTGCTTCGCAGCAGGGTGCCGCTCCAAACCAGCAATTCCAGCCACAGCAAGGCCCACAGTCCCTGTTGTACCCAATGTTGCCTCAATACCAAAACAAGTCTTACGACAACAACAGCCACTTTGTCAACAACCACAGCTCAGGCTACACTCCAAAATTCCCACAGGTCAACAGACAGCTCAATGGCGGTCAGTACGGCGCCAACCCTTACGGCTCTGTGGAATACGAGTCTGTTAGCAACACTCAGAAGTCGGCTAAGAAGCTCAATGAAGAGTCCTCCAAGGACACTACTGAGGATGACCACGCCGATGTTTTGGAGAACTTCAACAAGTTGTCGATCAAGGATGGTAACAACTTTGACATTGAAACTGTCAAGAAGCACCGTGAAATGATCAACTTCGTGTGCCAGCAGTTGGCTGTCATGAGCCGCAACATGAAGGAGCAGAAGCAAGAACGCAAGGACAATGATGCCAAGGTTGATAAGAGCAAGCAAAACTTGTACCCAACGATCACTGCATTTTAAAGTTTGAGAGGAGTGCTATGACTTTGATGAACTAAACTTTCAATTCTTTCTTTAAATGTTACGATCGAAGATCTTATTTGGGCTCAGGTATTTTTTCTATATACATACATGTGATTTACATCTAGGTTAATTATTTGTAGGTTTGAGAGAGCACACCACTACCCAAGACACGATTTCCTTGGTATACAACAATGCTTTGACCCGGTGCCATCGCACGTTGCTTGGTCTTGGCGGTGATTGTGATCTCGTCACCTTCAACTGTCAATTCCTCGATAGGAATGGGATCTTGAAGCGATCTATATTGGAAGCTGATATTTTGTAGATCATCTGGCACCTTCCCTTGAAGCCACACCCACCCAGAAGTTTTTAGTTTGTTTGAAAATAAATTTTCGTTGGCGCCACCTTTGACTATGACGATTTCGTTGGTATCTCTTCTTTTTTCACTCACAAACCAAACACCGCTGTATTTGGGATCGCCCTGAGGCATTGAGATCCCCAGTCGTTGTCCAATTGTAGCATGCCAAATACCCAGATGCTTACCCCAGATTTTGCCATCTTCTGTTATGATGTTGCCTGGCTTTGGGGGTATAAATTCATCCAAGAAATGACGGAATTTTGTATGATCTGGCGACACAAAGCAAAGGCCCTGAGAGTCAGGCTTTGAAGCAGTGTAGAGACCCAAATCAGCCGCCATCTTTCGCACTTCAACTTTTGTGTGGTGACCCAAGGGAAGTAGTAGTCTATGAAGTACAGACCTCGGTATACTGGCCAAGTAGTAAGACTGATCTTTGTTTCCGTCGTAAGCTCTATGAAGATTGAAATGGTTCGACGCCTTCTCAACTCTGGCATAATGGCCGGTGGCTAACCACCACTTCAGCTCGGTACCATCATACTTTGCAGCCAAATGCTCTATCATCTTTCCGAACTTGATAAACTTGTTGCACCCTAAGTCCGGGTTTGGCGTGAGTCCCTGCTCATACATATCTATCATAGGCTGAAACACATCAGCCCAGTATTCTTTTTCAAAGTTCACTCGTTCACAGGGCATTTGCAACTGCTCGCATACTTTCTGAACAGCAGCCCATTCTCCCTCGGTGCATTTTGCCAGTTGTGACCAGTTGGCCATGTAGATGCCTCTCACGTTCTTATATTTTGACGAAAGTAGGGCAGCTGTGACCGAAGAGTCTACACCTGAACTCATTGCCACATATATATCATCGTGTGGGTCAGGCTTGGACTGAGGATAAGCAAAAGGCTCCGGGATAGATGGATGTGGATTTAGCTTTTGTGCGAAAACTTGTGTGTATAACCTCGTCCCTGGTCGTAGAAAGCCATTTCTGATGGATCGTATAAGCATGAGTTGTTGAAAAATGGTGGTTTGATGATTAAGACTTTTGGATCGATGGGCTTAGTATGCACTTCGCAGCGATGCATCTTCTATCTAAATGAATACACTTCGTGCGTTTCGTTGTATTTTTATTCCTATAATTGTACAAAATGACCTTTCAGCCATGGGTAAGTTGGGATGAGTCTATCATCAGGCTAGATATTTCGCAACATCGAGACTTATTATCAGTGGATAAGCGCACTAGGCGCCATACGCACATTAACATTATGCGGACCAGAATTGATAGGCCTTAGGCTTAACAACGCTAATAGGCAATGATTCCTCCACTTTCTCCTTGTCTGAATCCGTCTTTGACTGCTCGGAGTTATCTAAGTTGATTTTGTTGAAGTTTTTGTTGATCTCGTTGATGTTTATTGGGGTTAACAACTCATTCAACAATGGTTCCAACTCAGGGTTGTTGTTCTCCTTCTTAAATTTGCTGACCTTCTCAAAGTTCAACCACCTCTCGATGAGTGCTTGCTTTCTTTGCAAATTGAGCAAGTTTTCCGTCTTTATGAGATCGGCCTCCAAATGGTTGATTAATTTAACCTTAGCGTCGAACTTCTCCAAAGTAAGCTCAATGACCTGGTTCACCAAGTTGGTCTGATCAAGAACAGTTTGTTCCAAGTTCTTCTTAGCATTTTCTTGCAAAGTGGCCTTACCTTCTCTAGATTCCACCAACTTTCTCACAACATCTTGGATGATAGATTCCTTGTCGAGGCTGTCTGGTTGCTTCTTCTTCTCAGCGTCAGGCTTAATCAAGTTATTGAGGTATCTCTCTTCAATAGGAAGCTGCAAGAACTTGATTAGGCACTCATCACGAGACTTTGATCCGACGTGTTCACCGATCTTGTCCCACTGGCCGTTGTTGTTGAGAAAAAGGGTCTGGTTATTTAAATCTGTGGTAGCGTACATCTCAATGCCCTCTAAAAGAAGAAGCACTTCTTGCTCAGTCCATTCCTTCTGCTTGAAACTTTGCTCTAGCTTGACAAAATCAGAAGAAGTGAAGTTGGAGGGAAATAAGCCTTGCTCAAAAACTTCCTTACTGATAACCAGGGGACCTAACGTTCCACTCGTCAGAGCCTTACTCTTAAGATTGTGATATCTGACTTTGCTGACATCGTTAGACGTCTCATTGCAAAAGTACAGCACAGAGTTAGGAGCCTTCTGATTCGTGGACTCCTCAAAGATGTTTCTGGTGACCTCCAAATTGAGTGGGATCGAACCGTCAGCCTTCTCCTCTAACTTGACGGTCTTTTCGGATTTGACCTCTTGTGGTTTGCCGTTTCCTTCGATTTCGGCGGCTGGTGTTTCCGAAGCATCCTTGAGCTTGACACTTTCAGGCACAAATGGAGCCAAACCCTGTGGGGTGTCCAAAGTGACCTGGAAGTGGCCAGTGAATTGGGGGCCCACAAGTGTAGGCTTTGTCCTAGGGTCTATTTGGTAGTTGATCAAGCCCCATTTTTCTAAGAAGCGGTGTATGCGAATTATACTGGCAACGTCACCAGCCAAGTTACGACGAACGGCTGTCACCGTCAAGTATTCGATTGGATTGATTCTGTAGGAGTTGATCATGAAATCTCTCATGTTCTTGTAAACCTCTGGGGATTTGTAGGTGGATGGGGTTTCCTCAGTTTTGGCAGGGAAAAAGTCTGGGAACAGTTTCATTTCGATCAGGTGGGTTGTGTTCATGTCAAACCATTTGGAGAAGGAGGGGATCACCACGTGTCTTGACTGTTCAATAAGGTAGTTCTTAGCCGTTTCCTGGAAAGCTGCTCTAACTTTTTCAAGATCGACAGGTTCAGGCTCGGTCTCAGCTGGTTTCTCACCATCTTTAGGTTCGGTTGTCTGCTCCAAACCAGCATCTTCTGTGCCCGTCATTGGAGTGTCTTCCACAGGGGTCTCTGGTTTTGAGTCAGTGGGCTCGGCAGACATGATGTACACGATTGATGTATTGGTGAAAAGGTGTAGCGACTTGTTTAGCTTCTTGATTTTTTGTGCTTACACGACTTTGCTTGGGCACGACAGTTGTTAACTATGGCAAGAGATGGTTTGGATACTGCTCTTTAAAAAGAAGTTTATGAGGCAGATTCGATCAACAGAATTCCCTTTTGAAGCAAAGGGAATATTTCGCTTTTCAATGATCCTTAGAGGTGTTGAGTTTTTGTATGCGTTGCGCACAGTTTTGGAGCAGCGGATGTTCACACTGCCATAATTGAAAGTCATTATGCATAACAAATAAGTGCTTTTGGAAATTACACAGATTACAGTAGTTTAAGCTCTTTGGCCAAAGAAGGAGAGATCATGATGAGCTATCTATATGCGACCAAAAAGAATTCCAAAGGATGCCTATAGCCACATGGGCTTTCTGAATCAATTATCTGCTGTTACAAACGCCTCAAACTCAAAAGATGCTTTCCATAGGTTCAGCAGAGATTGAGTTTACGATTCCTTTCCGTATCTCATTGCTTTCGGTAGGTAGCGTGGAATGGCTGCAAAATATGTCGCAACGGCTTGGAAGTGCGACATGAGAGACGCGTGAAGTTTGTTTACAGATTGACACTCGCATCTTGATCCGCCTTTGGCTATTCCCCAATTGGAACAAGACATAATGGTCGTACCAGTCAAAAGAAAAAGGAATTTGCAAGAGCCTCCAACATATGAGGATCACCCATCATCGGAGGGCTCAGATTTTGATCAAACTGGCGAGTCAGACTACGAGTCTGAGGAAGAACAACCGAAAAAGAGATCAGCCCCAAGGAAAGCTCAAAAGCAAGCAGAAACTTCACTGGATCAGGAGAATGAGCTATTTAAAGCTCTATCAAGTCCAGTTGCTGCCGTGTCAGAGCTTGCTCTCGATTGGGTGGAAGCATATTTACAAGACCAGGATAACAGCAGTGTGGACTCATTCAAGAATATGTTCAATCTTGTTCTCAAAGCTGTGGGTTGTAAGACTCTTGCTGAGGCACACGATCTTACGAGTCCTGACTCGGCTGTTGCTACAGTGAATGAGCTCGTCATCCATTTCGAAAAGCAAAAGTACCACGAGAATCCCTTCGCGTCAACGAACAAGAATGTTAAACATTTCCAAAAAAATCTTATTGAGTTTTTTGGCGAAGTCATCTTTTTTGCCCACGAGAAGGGCTGTTTATACAGAGGTCGCGTTGAGGAAGACCAGTCTCTGCTTGCTTCTGACTTCATGAACTCTGTGATTCAGTGGTTCACAGCTCTTAGTTCAAGTACACCACGCCCATTTCGTCATGTCTCCACTGTCATTCTTTTAAATGTGGTCACCCAACTCTGTCATCAGGCATCAAGCCTCGAAATATCACTCGAGAGACAGCAGCGCCAATTGAGTAACGCGAAAGGCAACAACAAGTCTAAGCGCAATAACCAAAATCAACTTCAAAAGATACAATGGATGACCAAAAATATCGAAACAACCCGTTTTAGAAAAGAAACCATTGAGGAGTATTTGGACGAGATCAGCCGATCTGTGTTTGTACATCGATACAGAGATGTTGACAGCGCTATACGCGTTAGTTGCATAAATGCGTTGGGTGAGTGGATGGTCGCAAATCCATCATACTTCCTTCTGTCATCCTATCTACGCTATTTTGGTTGGCTTCTTTCGGACCCGACTGATGCAGTGAGAGAAGAGGTTGTCAAAGTTCTTGCTAAACTTTACAGATTTCCAAAAGGCTCAATTGAAAACATGGCCTTCAGCTTCCGCAAGTTTACTAAACGCTTCCAACAGCAGCTCATCAATATGATCTGGAAAGAGAATTTAACAAGCATCAAAATTAACCTATTTGTTATTTACATCGAGCTTCTAAAAATTGGGTTCCTTCAAGACCAGGACAAGATCAATCTTTGTTCATACATCATTTATCTTGCAGAGCTTGAATCGACTCACAGTACCTCGAACAATAGATTGAAGACCGAGTCCAGCCGATTCCTCACCCTTGTGATACAGCACGATGCTGACAGCTTGACGGAGAAGCTTGCAGGTTACACTGACTCTATATCGAGCGTGTTTGACAACTCAAAGCAAGCATACTTTTTTCGATATAAGGTGCTCAGCGATGTCCTCAACAAGGCATTTCAACAATACGATTTGAAGCGATCAAAACTTGTACTCACAACAGACGGGCCCAGCTTCTGGAAACTAATCGACGCAATCTATGGTGACATGCATCTATTACCTGAATGGTCTAGCCATTGGGAAATCATATTGCAATACTTGATGCTTGATGTGTCAGCAATTCCATCGGAAGGATTCTCGGTTAGTGACACGGAAGAACTAAGCCGAAGTCTTGAACTAGCCAATTCAGATCAGCACAATTTTATCGCTCTCTTGTCAGGTGTTGTGAGTAGCTCATTGAACAGGAAAGCCCGTAAAGGGCAAAAAGCGTCTTCAAGTGATCTACCAGCTACTTTGATACCCAAATTGGCGTGCAAGCTTCATGACTTGGAAGATTTGCTGAGCAAAAATGTTTCGATGTACCCTATTTTCTTGAAAATTTGGACAACGCTTTTGAGTTTCCAACCGGAGCCCATCCAGTCAGTGTTCGAGCACTCAGACAACGTGGAGGGGTATAATCAATTGCATGCAAAAGTTCTTCAGTTCTTCTTGGAGTGTGAAACCTTGTCAGATGATCTTAATGACTTATACAAAACTTATTACTCGCTTTTGTTGACTTCAAGCGGAAATGGACACTCAAACAGCGACGACGATAATAATCAGCTCATTAACCCCAACATTTATCTCAAAATCGAGGATACCATCCTAGCGCTTCTGACAGAGGTAGTCGAAGCATTCAATGCCAAAAGCCTGGCCACCGACATATTTGAAGCTGAATTTGAGCAGGAAGATCCGTTTGTTTGTGATCAAAAGGATCTCTGTAACACACTTATTGATGTTTCAAATCCACTTATGAAATTGAGTATCATAGGAGATGTGATAAGCATAATCCGGTTTGTGGGTGAGCCTATTCTTGATTACAAGGTGAGTGTCCTAGAGCAAATCTCGGTCAAACTTTTATCAAAACTAGATTTTCAATTGCTCGTTAAGCTTTGGCCTCGAAACCTTTACAAAGTTATGAAGAGTGTGAGCAAAGCTTGGGAATCTTTGCTTGATTTCATTCTAATCAGCTTATGTTGGAAACTTGAGGATTTGATGTATGCTTTGAACGATGGAACTGCCGAAACGATCAATGTGGACATCTTTTTAGAGGATGTGTGCAACTTGTTCATCAACATTATCGACTGTTTCAAATCCTTGAACGAGGTGACATTTGGTGAAGGCGATCTTTCTGGTTCTGAGAGCGTAACGAGCTCTTTGAAAATTGAGCTAGCAGACTTCTACTATAACTTTGGTATAAGGGTCGTTGATTATTTGACATCAATCAAGGCTTTTTATGATAAGACGCATGCATCAAATCGGTTTAGAGATTACGATGCCATGTTCCGGGACGCCCTGAAACTTGGCGGCTATGTGATGGGTGATATTCCCGACACTTTAGAAAATGCTCTTATGAACGTCTTCTACATCAAGGAAGCAAAGTTAGCACTTTTACTTGGTAAGGATTTGACACGAACTGCGAATGAAAATGTCAACTTCGAGGAATTTGTTCTCGATGCCGCCCAAGATGGCGAGATTGATGATGTGAGCGCTCAAGAGATTGTTACGAGATTCGATTCAAGTGATGAAGAAGATGACGAGAATGAAGCACAAATAGCCAAAGCGGCCGCAGAAAAGGAAGCAAAGGAACTAGCCAAATCTAAGATGCAGAGTGCAAAGCATGAGAGGGATACTTGGATTCAAGAGAGAGATCTTTCAATAGTGTCGATGAAGCTACTTGGGCTCTGGAAAGCTAAAGTTATGTCACCGAGCTCTTTGAAGCGCTTCGCTCTCAACGGCGAAAAACTTGGGCAAACATTCAAAACCATTGTGTCCTTGGTGGACGCCCCTGACGAACCCTCAGAGGTAATCGCTGTCGATGCAACGGAAGCGAATGAGATACGCACAAGCGAAGAACAAACTACTCTTGTTTCGTGATTTCGTTAGATTAATAAATATACTAAAACCTTTCCCTGTCTGACTTGCTGATCTGACTGCGGAGTCCTTCATCGTTAGGCACTGAGGTCACAAAACGAGGAAGCTCCGTGTGATTAGTAGAGTTGGTTGCTTCTTGTGACATTGATAACCCTCTTCCTCTATCGTTCAGCTTACCGTTGGTTAACGACATCGATCTAGGGGTAAGCACATCGTCACCGCTGAAAATCAGATGATCAGATAAGCTTTGGATGTCTTCATGATCATTGCGGTTCATTGGTAAAGTGACATAGTTAGAATGTAAGTCACCAGACTTGGGAAGTTTTTTCATGCTGATTTGTGAGCTAGCCGTCACGACTTCAGGATTACCCTTAATAGTTCTAGCAGACGTCCTATTGGATCCAAGTGGCGGCCGGCTTGGTGAGGCTGAGGTGCCCAGTCTCAGTCTCAACTGGGAGTGAAATTTGGCTTTTATGGAAGGAGTGTGCTCAAATGCTGGACTGCGACTTCTTGTCTTCACGGAACGCATGTTGAGTCCACTCAAATCGAGTTTCAAGTTGTCTTTGTTGGGGGTAGTTTCAGGTTTTTGAGAGGGATGACACTTGAATTTGTTGCTTTTCCTAAACTCGACAAGGGCACGGCGAATGTTGTACGCGGAATCCTGACGGAAGATTTTGATGAGTCCGGTCTGATCGCAAGTCACGATAATGTGGCCCGCATCTAAACCTACTGTCTCAGCGTAGCCGATCTCTTTTTTCCGTGAGCCGAGAATACCATAATCGTCTAGTTGTGGTGCTCTTCTAACCAAATCATAGATGATATCGTCGGAGAATGCAAGAAGTCTTCTGGTGTTTTCAGGTGCAAAAAGTGCACAATTGACCTTCGTATGATGAGCATGGAAACATGCGTATGAATTGTTTTCGTTAGGAATATAATGTTGGCCACTACTGTCTTCAAGAAAGCGTTGCAAACTGAGTTTTCTCCAGATCTTGTTATCATGGAGAAGTTTGTTGACTTTTTTGTGGGTATGATTGACAGTTTGCTTACCCTCATTGTAAAGTTCTTTAAGGGTAATTTTTAACTTGTTGTTGATGATCGAATTATTGTTCTCCCAGACGTAACACCAGTGATCCTCAGAGCCACTTATAATGAAGCGATTATCATCACTCAAGGAAGAGACAATAGAAGAACTCGTGTTGGTAGCTCCCTTGAAACGGGTGAGTAAGCGGGTTCTGTGCATATCAATCAATCTTGATTTTGAATCATTAGTAGTAATGAGTAAGTTCCATTTGGCAAACTGAGTACCTGAGGTCTCTGGGGCAGCCTCGTTTTCAAAAACCTTGATACCAGTGATTTTGTTGCCATGCTTTGGCCCGAATGGGCTACTGAGAGAGCGTTCTTTGAGCTCAACCCTGTGTAAGACATGAAGACCCTGTGTTTCAAGGCCAAAGAGGGAACCATTGAAGCCCCCTACTATGCAATTGTTACCAACTGGGGTGAATGCTAAAGCGGTAATGAGCACATCGTTGCCCAAGTTTTTGCTGTATGCAATGGAATTGTCTAATATAGACCACAAACGGACATAATTGTCGAGCGAGCCACTTAGGAAGAATCTGTCATCATTAGGATGGAACTTCACAGTTGTGACAAAGTCATCGTGCTTGAACGTCTCCAAACATTCGGAGCGCTCCACGTTCCAAAGCTTGACTGTGCGGTCCATGGAACCCGATATGAGGAAATTGTTCTTGCTCCAGTCCAATGTCAAGATCGATTTTGTGTGTCCTTCAAATACGAGGTAGGGTTCTTGCTGAAAAACTGGTGCGTATTGAAACACTTTCAGCTTGGAAGATTGCTTCCGAGAGACCTCACGGCTCTTGTACTGGAGCCTAGACAAGGGAGACGAGATGACGTGCCAGATGTAGATCTTGCTGTCACGCCCGGCGGCAGCCAAGTATTTGCCGTCCCTGCTAAACTCCATCACCAAGATCTCGTTGCTTCGCATGGAAGCGGACTCATTTTCGGAGGAGGCGGACGTGTTTTCGGAAAGGTCAATGCTGCTCAGCTCTACGTCAGAGAGAACGCTTTCAACGTCTCGTTTCTCACCGCAACGAAGTTCCTGTGCTAGAAATAAGTTGTTGAGCATACGCGGGCTCTTATTGCTGCGCTTATTGATCTTGATACGCTTTGGAAAAATCATGGACTCGCCGGTAAGCCCGGCCCAGGGGACATTACCTGCTGCAGAGTCTTCAGGCACCGGAAAGGCCTGCTCGCCACTCCTGTCAAACTCGTCGTCATGGTAATCATCTAAAGTGTAATTGGATAAGATATCAAGGGAATCGTGCAGATTGAGGTCGTCAGCCAGCTGGTCAGCATGATTGAAGATCAGAGTGAAATCGTCATCCAAATACACGCCAGAATTGCTAGATACCAGGGACTTGTGAGGTCTGGGGGTTCCTTGGTAGGGCTGGTTGTGGAAAAGGAGGTGGAGGCGGTGGAGGTCAGCTGGGGCGACGGCGGCGACAGCGTGGACTTCTTGCGGAAGAGCTTCAGCAAGATACGTTTCTTGCCGCCCGCTTCGTTTTTTGACATGGTGGGAGCAAAAAAACAGAGGAGCAGAGGGGGAGCAGGTGTGCTCTATTTCAGGAAAAACGGCTCCTGGGTGCGCAGGCAGGAGCATACCGGAGTTTCCCAGCAGCCTCCACTTGGCGCTGATGGAGCCGGTTTGTGCCAGAGCGAAGAAAAACAGTATGGCCATTTCGGAGAGTTTTCTTTTGCTACGAATTCCCAGCCTCCAACTGGTCTGTCCACTGGGCTTGGCAGCGATTCTTTCGCTGACACGCAGCACAATGGCCGAGAAGGTGATATCTCCATTTGCAACCAGTCGCAAAGTTAGCAACCGACTTTTCGCGGCATCCAGAAACAGTTTTACCTTTACAGCCGGGCGCCAGACGCCTGCATCTCCATGCCCAAGGTTCTGTTGAAGCTTGCGACGGGAAAAACCTTATTTGCGTCACCAGGTGCTCCGAAAGGCCTGCCGGTGTTTGGTGGTTTGTATTGTTGTGCAAGCCAAGACTGACAGGCTTGACAGCGTTGCTAAGCAGAAACGACGGTTGCGCCCCGGGCTTATAAAATTAATTCTGTGAGCAGTGCTGCAACTTTTTTGGCTCTACTGGAGCTCGTCAGAAGGTCCAGGGGCAGACGCACTGTATGGGTGCAAATGCTGCGGAGACTGGTCAACGAGCAATGGTGACCGTGATTGCGAGACGCTGGACCGCCTATCTGTATTCTAGTAAAGTTTGCAAAATGCGCTTGACTCCGCAGCCGAGGTGCCAAATTAGCCAATCCATTGTTGCTGTCCATGACAGTCAAGAATTGAAAGTTTGGTTCCCCAGGCATTAAGATGACAAAGCCGAAGAGGCGCCAGCGGGCTCATCCACGGTGCATGCATTACAGAAAAGGCTTTATTCGTCAAGCGAGTTCGCATCCTGGAATCGGGGCTTTGGGTCATGATCCCCTGCTCGGCGCCAAATGGCTGCGAAAAACGCCTAGATGTACCACAACAGTATACCAGAAGCTACGGGCCTCCCGATCAAGTAAGTCATACGTGGTGAAGGAAAACCGCGTACATCAAGGCTCCATCAGACAATGTGAGACTAGTCCACGAGCCTTTGTGTTTCGACGCCAAGTATTGTCGGACCCGCCTGAGGCCTCGGTACGCTGGCTTTTGAGTGAATTTCCTCCCGGTTTCCAGCGGTCAATGGCTCCGGAGCTCCCTTCGGACCCTCGGCTTCTGACCCATCCGGCCCGCTATTTTTCCGTATACTAGGCGTCCAATGCGTCTTCGGATCCTCGGCACCTTATTTGACAGGCGGCAATGCATCGATCATGGATGCCTCGGATAAACATCTGGAGTTAAGATAACGTTTGGAGAGCGGCGGGTCTTGTTTGGGTGATTCATTAAACTTTAGACGCATGTCAATTGAAACACTACTTTCTTTACGTCGCCCTACTGCGCCATGAATTGTGTTTCCCAGAACTTATCCTGACAATTTTACTACGCATTCTCTCAGGGGGCCACCAGCAGCCTAATAGCAGTTTATCTACACCATGATTCCTGTTGCTTTTATTACGTCGCCTGTCACACCCTGCCCAACGTACGCTGGCACGCTGGCAAATGCTCTATGTTGTTTCGCATGCCTTAGGTCTTCTTCTTCTTGGACCACTCCAAACGCAAGATCAACGAGTAGTAACCCTTGCCGTTCAACTCGTCCAACGCTCTCTGGGCAAGCAGCTCGGTTGCAAAAGTCACGTAGGCGAAACCCTTGGATTCGCCCGTCTCTCTGTTTCTGATAAGCGAGCATCTCTGCAATGGACCATACTTTCCGAGCAACTCCTCTCTCAACATCTGATCGTCCACAATCGTGTTCAACTGGGAGATTCTCAACGTACAAGAGTCATCTCTGGACTCTCTGCTTGGAGCGTCGGCTCTCTTATGCACTGGAACGTATTTAGAAGATTCGGTAGGCTCTGGAGTAGCTCCTCCACCACCTGGGGCGGCGGTCTCCGCGCCAAGCGTGTCTTTGAAAGGACACTTGGATGTGAAGTGGTCACCACCACATGTTCTACATGTGAGTCTTTGCGTGCTGACCAAGTTGACTTTTTGTTCCATCTTCTCCTCTTCCTCCTTCTTCTCAAGCTCTTTCCAAGAAGCACCGAGCTTCAACTCGATCTTCTCACCCAACTGTGTTGTTCTCGTGTCTGGGCCTGGCGGCGTGTGCTTCTCCTTGCCAAACTTAGCCCAGCTTCGACGGATCGCTATCGATGGGTGTACTCTTTCCTTGACTTTCACTTCCTTGATTTTCTGAGTGATCTTCACTTTCTGGCCCTTGGCGTTGAGTCTATAGCTCACCACCGTCTTGGTGCCATCTGGATTCGAGGTAAACTCCGGGACGGGGATGTCATCCTCGGCATCTGCCCACGACTGAAACATGCTGTACTGTAGGGTTTATCGATGCCTTGTAATGGGTTTTGAGTAGCGAAAAATTTTAGTGCAGTCTGCACGACCGCGCTTTACTTGGAGCGGGCATTTGCAACCAATGGATCTGGATACCAGGTGAAGAATACTAGGAGGGTGAAAAATTCTAATTTGCTTATATAAGTGGAATTGAATCCTTGAGAACTTCGGCAATTTCCTTTCTGCGATAGACTTCTTCGTGCTTTCCCCAGTGTCCTCTGCGATCCTCAAAATCTACACCCTTCTGTTTGAGATAATGAGCGAAAAGATCCAGTTGCCTTTCACTTAGAAGCTCATCATCTAAGGAATGTAGAAGAAGAATGTGACCAAAATCGAAATCGAAGTTCATGGCTGGCCTACTGACGGCGGTCGCATTGGCATAACCAGTCTCACTATCGAAAGCCTCATTCACGAACAGCAGGTAAGTGGGATACTCCGCTAGAAGTTCGACAATATCGTAGATGCCATCCAAGAAGTATAAGTTTTCTAGTTGAATCCTAAGAGGACTTATCATATTTTCAGATAAAAGTGCTTTGTACGTTAGCATTTGTAAGATTAGAGTCGCTCCCACTGAGTGACCAACTAACAGGACACGTTTCAAGTTGTAGTGTGTTTCCAAAAACTTCAAAGCATTGATGACGTCTTGGAGGTGATCTGGATGCTTTGATTTTGGAGAAAGACGGTAGTTTAAACTGAAGTAATTGGCATTTCGGGGGAGCTGATCTATTAGTTCTCCAAAGTCATCGTAGGTGTTATTAGGATCTCTCCACGCACCACCATGAATGAAAATCAAAGTCTTCTGATTTTGTGGATTGTAATTGAATGCTTTCAAAGTTTGCAATGGGTCTTCCCCATACCTCACTACTTGAGTCATGATCGTTATCCGTGCATGTCTATAAAATACCGAGCCTCATTATAGGGCGCCCATATATGTACAGGTTCACCGTTTTCAAAACCACCCAAACTAACCGTCATGATTGTAATTGTTCCTGGAGGAAATCCAGCAATAGATTGAAACACCAGTCATCCATATTAATACAGCAGTAGAAGTAAATCGTGGGCGAGCCGATTGCTTTGGCTCCACCAATAGTCAAGAATTTCTAGGGATCGTCTCCTCTATAGTAACTGGAGATCGATAGTCGTAAGTATCTTTCGTTGTCATTGCGCTTTGTCAAATAGAAGTAAATCCACATAGATAGTTTTCGGGAAAAAGATCATGGGAGCAGAATATTTCAAGTAGAATAAAAACAAACATTTCAAACGTCAGCACGTTTAGTAGCGGGTAGGAGAGCGGTCACGGTTGTAGGAGTCTCTCTCGAATCCACCGTCACCACCACGGTTGTAGCCTCCTCTACCACCTCTGAAGCCGCCCTCGCGATTGTAGCCACCATCACGGTCACCTCTGAAGCCACCTCTGCCACCTCTGAAACCGCCACGGCCTCTGCCACCTCTAAAGTCATCTCTGAAGCCACCACGGCCACCACGACCGCCTCTGAAGTCACCACGGAATCCACCACGGCCACCACGGAAGTCACCTCTGAAACCGCCTCTTCCTCTTTTACGAGGAACATAAGGGCTGGTGTCGTGTTCAGCACGCAAAGGGGCTCCCTGGTAGTCAGCATCATTCAAGTTCTCAATGGCAGAGGAAAGGGCCTCACCATCCTCAAACTCAAGAGCAGCGATGGTCTCACCAGAGTCGTAGTCGCGGAAAACCTTGACGAAAGATGGTTCCATACCCCTGTCACGAACGTAGTCCTTGAAATCTTGCCAAGCGGTGTTTTCAGGGACACCAGAAATCTTAACACGGTTTCTGTTACGAGTCTCCTCCTTGCGACCCTTGGCCAACTCGATCTGGAGGGCCTGGCCGTCCAAGTCACTACCAGCCAAAGAGTCGATAGCCTTGTTGGCATCGTCAGAACTCTCGTAAGTCACGAAAGCGTAGCCTCTCATAATTTGAACTTCGACAAGGGGACCAATGGCAGAGAAGTGGCTCTCAATAGCCTCTTGGGGAGTTTCAAAACCAATGGGTCTCACAAAAAGCTTGCTGATAGGAGCATCCTCAACTGGGGCATCATCGACAGGAGAGATAGGAGCCTGGTCTTGTTCGGTATCAGACATTGTAAAAAGTAAAGTGTTAGATGGAGTGTTTTATGTGCGGTAGTTTTTTTGCCTTTTAACGCGTGCTTTGATACACCCACGACCCCACTGTGTATCAGTTTAAACAATAGCTATTGAAGACGAGGTCTTTTCAATTCTTTTAAGAGAGTTTTAAATGGGTCTAGCTGATCCTCAGCTCCAAATTACTCAACCCCATTTCCTGAAAGTAGTTTCAAAATATCACCTCATCAGGTGCTGCATGGGCCGCAACCAACTCCCTTCGGAGCCGCATATACTTATTCAGACTAGAAATGAAGGAGAAGCAACTTGTTTGCAATCAAGCCTTCGTTCTTGTCATGTTTGTTTAGCGATTATCCAATAAGCCAAAAAAGTGAATTGATGTGAACTGACGCATCCCTTTTGAGAGCCTCTTTAGCAGTATGAAGTTTTTGATTTCAACGCAAACTGGATTCTGAAATTGATATTTCGATTGAAAGTACCCTCAATTTGCGTTAATGGACCCATCCAAAGAGGCCAAAACCTTTTTGTGAAATTTCTCCCCTTATTGATGGAAGTTCTCTCTAAACCGCAAGACATCAGACAAAGTTAGTAGCCAAATCCTTTATATGCAAGGTGTCATATGTAATATATACTGCGCATATTAGAAATTTTCAACAAGTCCGATATGGTGTAATGGCTAGCACAGTTCGCTCTCACCGAGCAGATCGGGGTTCGATTCCCCGTATCGGAGTTTTTTTTGCCAACCTTATCTTCTACGCCAAGGTAGAAGCAACTTAACCCCATTTTTCACCGACGATTCAAAGTTTAGATGCACATGCGATATTATTATTTGTGTAAAATTATACAAGTTCTAGTCCTAGCTCCTCTAAATGATCATGATAATTGTCCATTCTTGCATCCTCCTCATCAGTGTTGCCCAAAAAGATGGTATCAAGAATGTGATCCTTTTCTATCGCCAACTTCTCTTTACCGTAGTCCGAGCAGAACTTCACGGATGCAAGCATGGCACAGACAAGATTATCGTTATTGTAACTTGGCATCTTCCCTGCCTTGAACTGCAGCTCTGACGGAATCAACAACTTTTTCTTATCTAGAGCTTTTTCTGCTGAGCCAGCAGGTAGGAAGAGTGAATCATCAGTAACGAGTGTTTTTAGTAGTCCTCGTATGTTCACCTTATAAACCGTGGTATCAGAGACAGAAACCGCAAGAACGAGCTCATCCTGGAAGTCATAAACATTCATGCCTTGCTTGTTTGGGGAAGTAAAGACTCGCCAGTTGGAAAGGCCATTCGGAATTAGGGCGTTGGTACCGGAGCATAGTTTGTAAGGTTTCAGGGGATCCCAAGGAACAATCTCAATGTTGAGTGATACGAATGAGGAGACATGACTCATCTTGAACACTTCTTGAGGTTTTCCATCAACTTCAATCGTATCCTTGACGACGACCACTAGGTTGGGTCTATAGAGGTCATTTCCACAACCACACCTCACTAAATGTGCTCTTGCAAAGCCAACCCAGATATCTCGACCAGGTGGAATGATACTTTGAAGTATCGAAGAGTCTTGTTTTTGTGCTTTTAGAACATGGCGAATGTTGGCCATTTGTGTACCTCCTCGGAAAGGACCAATGGACGATGAGGTTTTGAGGTTTTCATTCTGCTGGAATATGAATCCACATTTGCCTGTTTCAAGATCACATTTAAGAACTTGCATACTTGCCCAACGATAGACAAAAAGCATTGTCTTATCGTAACCGTGTTCCTGGCGGTCCGCATCACTAGTCATGGGCGTCCAATTCTTCTGCTTTTCTTGACGAGGCATGTTCTTTATGCGCAACTCAACTGACTTGGTGTATGTTGAATTGTCTGTAGGAGATTCCATTATCTCATCAACATTCTGTTTGCCTTTTTGGAATTGCCAAGGGTAGCTGACCCACATGGAACGGTAACCTCCTGGTTTCTTCAAAAGTAGCTCATCTTCATCATCATCGGCAAAAGCATACTTCTGATGCTGCATGTTGAACACCATCATAGGCTCCTCGTAACCGTTCTTGTTCTTCACAAGGATCAATCTTGGGTCCTCAGGGCCTAGATACCGCATGCCAGGGTCCTTATACTTATGGAACATAGGTACAGGGATGAGCAGGGGATAGTGGGCTACAGTGTAGCCCTGTTGTTGGACAAAGAACCCGGCAGCTTCATTATTTGTAGGTATCACAAGACTGATATCTCTCACCTCCTGCCAGTTCTCATCATATAACTGGGCATATGCAAAGGAAAACTTTGGATCGCCACGGCTTCCATCAGGAGAATAAGCCAAACGAGACACCATGAGATGATAGCCATACTGTTCTAGGTAGACTGATGATCCAGCCAACCGAAACCAGTGGCGGTGGCATATTTGGTACATGAGTTGCAAACGAATTTGCAGGTCGAAATATGGCGCCATCTCGTTGATATACTCATCGTCACCACGGTCAATGGTCCGAATGAGTCTCAGCACAATGTCACATAATGGCGTGTGCAAGTTGGTGGGTTCGCTGACCTCGGTGGACACGTTATTCTGGAGCTGTTCACACCGATGCAAATCCATGTTGATATCATGGGAAGCGTCGTATATCTGGAACGGATGCTTGTGGAAAACCTCTTTTTTCACTGGATTACTCTCTGGTCTATGCTTCTCGACATGTTCATATATGTAGTTGGGATTGTCTCTAAGACTTGGAGTATCGTTCACAAAGTCGGGAACTGCGGATATATCAAGTGGGATTGAGCTGGGGAGCACTAATCTGGATTTGACAGGTCGAAGTCTGGGCACTTCCGTAGACCACGGTAAGTGGGGACCATATGTGAGATGCCACAAGAGAAAAAAAAGGGCAAGGAGGGCTGCCCCATATCTTGTGTAATGCCTGGCCATTGTCGTGGTTTTCTGCTTGGCTAGAGCTTGGTAGTACACTTCTTAAGAAGAAAGTTGTAGTTCACTCGCGGTGATAATGATGCGTAACGCTTCTTGGCTTTCTGTCAGAATTATTCCTTCACAGTTAACAAGGCTTTCCTTCTTCGTGGGTTCAAGAGTGTACAGAAATTCAGGAACGATCTACGCGGCGGTCTGGCTGCGAAACTGGAACACCTTTTTCGCGTGTTTTCTTGTGCATAAGCTTACTTGGGCTGGTTTTTGGACTCTGAGCCGAGGTCCATGTTGTTAAGCATTTGGCGAGCAGTCATTACTTTGACGTCCTCGTCTGTTTGCCTTGCCCGCTGGCCGGCCTTGAGTTTCTGCAGGTGGGGCTGAACTACAGAGGAGTGTCCCGACGGCGTCAAGCCATCGTCGAGATCAATGTCCTCGTCGTCAACATCTTCATCTTCTTCGTCGACGTCCCCGTCTGCCTCATCGTAATCGTCGCCGTCAGCTTCGTCATCCTCACCATCGACAAACTCCTCGTCATCGTCATCGTCGTCTTCATAATCGTCAGTATAGTCGTCGTCGTAGTCATCATCAGTAAAGTCGTCCTCCTCGTCTTCATCCTTCTTTTTCTCTGACTTGTCTCCGCTGTTAAACATCATGAAACTCTTGAGCGGTGACGTGAAGGACGCCGACATGGGTCTTTGTTTCTCAGGTGACAGTGCTTCAGTCTTGCTTCTCTCGATATCCAAAGATCTCACAGAGTACAAGTCTGGCAGACCAGGTGGAGGCACCGAGCCAAGTTTAGGCAGGCTTGGACCTGATTTCATTGACTGAGGTTCCGCCTCGTCATCTTCCAAGTCGCTGAAATCGCTTAGATTTGCTAACGGTTCTCTCCAGTAATTGAGATCTGTGAACTTCTCATCTGGCTTCACCACTTCGTTGTAGCTGGAAATGCTTCTAGGAGAACCTGGGGAGTTTGCATTATCCGCATCGTCTTTGGAGTGGATGTATTGGTTGAACTGATCCTCGTTCCAGTAGGGACTCACTTCACTGATGAGCTTCAAAGGAGGGAAGAACTGATCAACAAGCTCTCCAATGCGTAAGTAGGAGGATCTATAACCAGCAAGCTCTAACAACTCCATATGAACTTCACCATAAGGATTGATGGTGAAGATACGATGCGAGGGGATTCGGACACTTCTATAACTGATTGCATCGGTGATCCTGTTACCAAAGCCAGCATAGAATGGTGTTCTCTGGTCAGCTTCATCAACGCTTTCAGATGTCCCACTTTTGCTGAAATATAAGCTGCTTATATCTCTCAAACATGCCATTTTGAAAACCTCTGGTTTTTTGAGAATGATTTCTCGTCTCAATGCCGCCATCGTTCTGTCTGGACTGAGAATCACCGGGCCCTTTGGAAGTTTCATGCCGTCCTGGTTAATACTGTCTAGGTACTGACGAGTTGTGTCTGCTTGGCCCACCGATCTTGCAGTCAAGTAGACAATGTTGTAACCATTATGGGCAATGTCTTGGAACAAATTGGCAACACCAGGATGAGTCCAATCTCTACCAATCATGTTCAAAACGTGGCCAAGGGCGTCCGATTTCGTGATTGTACCGTCGATATCGGATATGACAATTGGTGTCGTGGATTTCCAAAGGTACAAGTCTGACACAACTTGCGAATTGCCTTGGTTGAGTTTGAACCGAAGTTTGTTCCGACCGTAGTTAAGCTTCATCATGCGCAATTGTTCAGAAGTCAAACGCAAGGTCTTGAAATAGGTTTGATCATGGTACTTGTGGTCGATCAAGTCGCTGGGAGTGTGAGTGATTGGGGCGCCGGCAGTTTCTTCGCTCAGAAGAGAGAGATTATCAGTATTCATGAGATCACCTTCTGCTGCCTCTTCACCCTCTTTGTTGATAATTCTGATCTTGCCATCTTCGTCCTTGCAGACCACGCCTTCTAGAAGGCCGAATTCGCTAGCGTCAGTCTCGTCGCTAATTGGGAATTCTTTGCCATTGAGTAAATTGTTCATTTCACGTAAGAACACTTGCTGGACGAGCTCATCAGACTCATCTATATTCTTCTGCGAGTTGGGTTTATAACCGTCCATGTCTAGAACCATGTCACCATTGATGTCAATCTTTGAGGGAATGTTGAGTTTTTGAGTGATCTTCTTTGCTTTCTCGAAAGCCATCCGCAGAATCAGCGTTGGCGTTTCGCTTCGTGAGCCAGCGCTCTTAGGGGGTGGGGTACTTTTGTCAAGAGCGATCTTCAGCTCAATATCTCCCGAAGCATTAAGATCCAATACCTCAGGTTCACTTTTATTTAAATCAATCAGAGAGGCCCCAGGAGAGCCAGGAGGGGATGAACGAGGCGAGCCGGAAGGAGACAGTGCAGCTGAAATGACGGGGGATGTGACTACCAGCTGAGACAAGTCTTCAGAATCGGTGGCAAAGACAAAGAAAGCTTCACCTCCTTCGCCCAACTTCATCGGCAAGTCTGTCTTGATGTCATTGACATATAGATCAATCTTCTTCTGCAGCGGTTTGATGATCTGAAACTTGCCAAAGCGAACATGCCATGGGGAACAGTGGAACGTGCCGTCCGGTTGCTCAATGACAATGATGTCAATAGCGCCCGAAAGCGTGGCCGGATTTAGGGAGTTCCACTGGTTGTAGACGTAGTCTCCCACTCTTCCGACGTATTGCATTGGAGGAATATGGAGTTTCTTGAGGGTCTCGTATGGATGTGGAGGGCAACCGCACTAGGTGGTCCTGTACTAAAGCCGAGGCCTATTGCATGGGCCTTACCTGGTAAGGAAGTAAGACAAAGCTGGGCGGGGATGGAGTTGTAATTGAAAGGTGAAATTGATCAGTGACTTTGGATTTCTTAAATATATAGTGGGTTATAGCAGCGTGATGTGAAGGGGACTTTCGTGGACAGCAATCCGAAGGGCATGGAAGGCGAATTTTCTTGGAAATTATACGAACACCTCAAGATTCTGTGGGAAAAATCTCAGCTGATGATTTTTTGAGCTTTAAAGAGTACTATTTGTTTACCACTTAGAGGATACAACGATCAGAAGCAGGTGGTGCTAAGGCTACTTGGCTAGTAAGCTAGTTTCGCAACCAAATGCACAACAACCTATCCTGGTAGACATTGCAGGGTCCAGTGCCTGAAAAGATATACTTGCGATTGTTACTACACTAAACTGATTTGGGATTAGTTGCATCAATGTCTCTAATGAGAACAACAGAATACTATCTAGATTAGGCTCGGGCTTCGAAAAGGAAGGCTTGAGGGCTTAGGAAGAAGAGTTCGACTTGTGAATGCTATAGATCACAATAGTTGTTCAACTGTAGTTCAGGCCCATCGCTTTTGAAATAAAATGCCCATTACCAGTTATACTCTGAGTTTTCCCATCTGGACTAGTCCTCGTTCCCTGCTTTCCATAAGAAACATATGATTGGACCAGACCATGAGTTTTGCAAAAATCAAGAAAATACTCGAGTCTTCCATCATTTTTAAGCCTAATCTTATTCACCGCACGCTAAAAAGAAAAAGATTTCCACCTTCGATGAAATGTTCTGCCTAGCACTCTCACACAGGCCTTCGGCTAACTCGTCGCCCGTTTTGCAGCCATCCATACAGCATCCACCATCGCACGTTGAGGCTGAAAATTTCCTTATCAGGACCCGCAGCTGTAAAAATCGAAACGCCGTATCTACTTAGCTGATCATATATTGCCAATGCAAATGCCAATCACACCTCGGAACACTCCGGTAGCATGCTGTCTTTTTCTCGGGGTAGATGCACAATCACTCCTCGATAGCCTTAGTATCACACGACTTCTTTTATCCACAACTGAAGGAGCTTTGAATTTGAGATTTTGCCGATCAATGCTAAATCGCCTTGTGAACTTCGATGTTACACATGTGGACAACCACAGTGCCGTATACAGCATCCTGGACTACCTCTGAAGAAGTACGAACTTCAAACACATTCCGTATAGAAAAAGACTATTATCGGAAAATCTCCAATAAGTCCATCCCCTCTTCTGTAAATATACTTCTAGCCTCTGGTGAACAATTAGTCTTGTTAAGCTTCTCTCCAGCTGCATGGAGTGCGTCGATAAGATCTGTGCGGTAAGCCTTACTTTTTTTTTTCTCTGTCTGCGTGATTTTTTAAATTCCAACCACTTTTCATTCATCATGTCTTTAGAGAAAGCTCTCTCGTCAGACTTACCTATGGGCAAACTATCCGATAAGGAGAGGGATAGCGATTCCACGTCCTCTATGGCCCAGAAAGGAGAGTTGAAAAGAACTTTCTCGGTGTGGTCGGTGCTTGGTATTGGCTTCGGTTTGACCAACTCGTGGTTCGGAATTTCCGCCTCTCTCATCACTGGTATCCAGTCAGGTGGCCCCTTGTTGATTGTCTACGGTATCATCATTATTGCTTGCGTTTCTTACTGCATTGGTATCACCCTCTCAGAGTTGTCCTCAGCGATTCCTTCAGCTGGTGGACAGTATGTGTGGACCAGAGTCTTGTCACCCAAGAAATACTCCAGTTTTCTCGCATATTTATGTGGCTCTTTGGCTTGGGCTGGCTCTCTCTTCACCAGTGCTTCCATGGCTCTTTCTGTGGCCCAGACAGTCATGGCTTTCTGGGTGCACATGCATCCAGAGCATGAGACAAAGTCCTGGCAAACATTCGTCGTCTACCAGTTGGTCAACGTTATCTTGGTTTTGTTCAACTGTTACGGAAAATACTTGCCCTACATTGCTAATGCCGCCTTGTACACCTCGTTGTTCTCCTACTGTGCTATTACCATTACCGTCCTTGTCTGCGCTAGAGGCAATTATGCCTCGCCCAGCTTTGTGTTCACAGACTTTGAAAACAACACTGGCTGGACCACATCGGGTATTGCCTTTATCGTCGGATTGGTGAACCCCAACTGGAGTTTCTCCTGTCTTGATTCTGCTTCCCACTTGGCCGAAGAAGTCCACGGCGCTGACAGAGTCATTCCTATCGCTATTTTGGGAACCGTCACCATTGGTTTCATCACTTCATTCACTTATTCCATCGCTATGTTCTTCTCGATCACCGACTTGAGCGCCATCATCAATGGCGGAAGCGGCTTGCCCATTTTGGACATCTATTACCAAGCTTTGAACCACAGAGCAGGATCCCTTTGTCTTGGAATTCTTATTTTCTTCACGGCATGTGGCTGTACCATCTCTTGTCACACCTGGCAGGCGAGACTCTGCTGGTCTTTCAGCAGAGACAACGGTTTGCCATTCTCCAAGTACTTGTCCATCATCGACCCTAACCTAGGTGTTCCCTTAAACGCTCACTTGTTCTCCTCATTCTGGGTCGCTATATTGGGCTGCTTGTACCTAGCTTCCTCGACCGCCTTCAACTCCATGGTCGTTGGTTGTATCACTTTCCTTCTTTTGAGTTACTTGGTCCCCACAGGATGCTTGCTTTACAGAGGTCGTAACAACATCAAGCATGGACCATTTTGGCTCGGCAAAGTTGGCCTTTTCGCCAATGTCATGACTATCGCTTGGGCTATTTTCGCCTTGGTATTCTACTCATTCCCCACGTTCATGCCCGTCACAGCCGGTACCATGAACTATGTCTCTGTGGTGTATGCGGTATACCTCATCTTTACTTTGGGCTACTGGTTCTTCCCCATCAAAAAATACTCTTGCAGAGAGCTGTTCGCAGGTGGTCTCGGGAATAACGAAGAGGAAGAGTTCCCAGACGTGTGTCTCACCGACTTATAGAGATGCTAGACTTTGCATTATACATTTGTTCAATTCTTCAACAGGAGATCGAACCTGGCAAAATACCACTAGTAATACATTTTTCGCTACGTTAAAGACATGTATGAGCCCTCTGACACCTCTCTTTCAGATCTCTCGATCCAGACAGGTTCTTAATGGATTCAGTCAATCTTTCCATCATCTATCGCATACACTTACAACAGATCCTGGCCGAGTACGGAAAGGACACAAGACAAAAACTGCCCCGCTATCCAAGGCACCCTTCCAGCTGTAGAGATGCACTGTCTATTGTGATGGATACTTTTGGACAAAGTTAATGAAGAAAAAAGTCAGACAGGATTTTCTCATTTATATATGTCCCAGGCCGATGCGCTCCTCCACGCCGGGTAACTTCCGCATGTTGCGAAACTCTGAAAACAGATCTATAAACACTAACCTCAAAGAGAATTTGTACCATATCGCCGCGTCTACGAAGCTACCAAAGCTAATTAATGTCTCTTTTTGGATCAAACAACACGGCGGCTAATAAGCCTGCTGGAGGATTGGGGTTCTCCTTTGGTGGTGCTCTGCAAAACACCCAGCAAAATCAACAGAATCAACAACCTCAACAGCCAGCCCAATTCGGCCAACAGACACAGCAAAATCAAAACCAGCCTGCTAACAACTCCAATGCGCTGACTTTGCAAACCTCTGGGTTTGAAAAGAGCAATAATGTGTCCACGACAGCTACTTCTATAAACCCTGATGGATCCTCAGGTAAGGTATTGAAGGACTTGTTAGAATCTGCCAGCAACTTGCCTCGCTTGGACAACATCAATGTCGGCTCAATTCACTTACCATTGAGTGAGTTGCAAAACCGTACAAGGCTGTTGAGGAAGAACGAAACCGGCTCTAATGGTTTCACTAAGGCCCACTACTTGCTCTCGGGTAGTGGAATGAATGCTGGCGATATTGAGATGGAGCTCAAGAGCCTTCGTGGTCCCCCTACGTCTTTGGATCAGCGCAATCAGCAACAGCAGCAACAGCCTCTGCTGCCGAAAGATCAGCAACAAGACCGAGAAGCCTCATTGGGCCACGAAGAGAGACTGCTTCAGGCAGGAAAAGCCTCCGAATCACGTCAAACTGGCAGAGGCATCCACAACATAGAGAATTACTTGAGAGCTAAGAAGGATGAGAATATCTTGAATGCAATTGAACTGTCTCTTATCGCTGCTTCTCGTGATTTTGACAGTTTCATAACGAAGAACATTTCGATCGATTGGAAAGTTCGCAAAGACCACTTGAAAAAGTCACTCGGCATTCCTGTCAAAACGAAAATCAGCCCTGAAGAACTTTCGAAGTCATTTACATGGAACCAGACCCAACCAGGCAACTATCGCATTTTGACACCTTTGAAAAATAAGGCTGCATCATCTTCCAGTGTCAGGCAACTTACAAGAGAAAAGTTTGAGAGCCACGCAAAAATTGTATACCTGTTGAATGAGGCTCGTTTGAAGCAGCAGCCCTTTCCTATTGCCTTGAGTTTCGAAGAGTTGAACAAGTCCTACCTGGACCTCAAAGCTAAGCAGTTGGCTGATGCATGGAAAGTGATCGCTACTTTAACAAATGAAAAATTTACAAAACTTGACCAGGAGCAGGCCTTCTTCGAGGAGTACCAAGCCAACCCAGACAACACATCGTTGAAGAAGCGTATTGTGATCAATTCCAAGTCCTGCTTGGAGAAGCAGTTCTTTGACTATATGGATGAAAGCTTTACTAAAGATGACGCAAAACTACCTGAACACCGTTTGCCTAACAACATCAACAAGGTGTCACATTTCATCACCAAAGTTGTAACTAATAACAATGATGCCGAGTTTTTGAAACGAACCCTTCAGGTCAACGGCGTTCCCGTGTGGGCTTTGATTTACTACCTCTTGCGCAGTGGTCTCTATTCCGACGCTGTTCAGTTTGCTAACCTGAGAAGAGAACTCTTTGAAAAATTTGACAAGAACTTCCCATTGTACTTGTCGAGTTATGTCAAAAACGACTGTTGCGGTTTACCTGGTGATCTCCAAGAAAGACTCTCGTCGGACTTCAACCAAACGTTCCAATTTCTTGATGAAAAATCTCCTGGTTTCGACCCATATAAATATGCGGTGTACAAGGTGATTGGCAAATGCGACTTAGCCAAAAAGACACTTCCCGCTGCCGTCAACCTCAGTATCGAGGACTGGTTGTGGTTTCATCTTTCCCTCATCAATGAATTCAACTTTGATGCATCCTCGAGTTTGATTTATGAAAACTACAGACTTGAGAACTTGCAGAAGAAAGTGTTGTCTCTCGGTCCCACAAAGTTTAATGCGTCATCTAACAATCCACTGTACCTCAAAACTTTAATAATGCTTGGATTGTACGAGCTCGCCGTTAAATTCGCTTATGACACTATAAATGAGTGTGATGCAGTTCATCTTGCGATCGGTTTATGTTATTACGGACTTCTTAGGGTCTCAAGTGTGTCCAATGACGATTTGATAACCATCAACTCGTCTGAAAAGCATGAAATCAATTTTAGCAGACTTGTCGGATCTTACACAAGAACTTTCAAGATCAGTGATCCAAAAGTGACTGTGCAATATCTTATCCTTATATGCTTGGCTAAAGGCGGTCGCTCTCAAGAAGAGACTGCAAAATGCCATGAGGCGTTGCGTGAGCTCATTCTTATCACTCGCGAGTTCACCCTTTTGTTGGGTGAACTCAACGATGTCACTGGGGAAAAACTGCCGGGTATTCTTGAGAAGCAGAGGCCGCTTATCAACTTGTCGGACTTAACCAAGTTTCAGCGTACGATTGTGGATGTGAGTGCCTCGAGATGTGAAGAAGAAGGGAGAGTGTTTGATGCGCTTTTGCTCTATCAGTTGAGTCAGGACTACGATGTTGTTGTTCGCCTTATAAACGAGTTTGTTGGTGAGACTTTGTCAATGTCCGAGCTTGACAAGCCCCTTTTGTCTGGCGCCACCTACAGAACTGCTACAGGTGAAAATAAGCCAGAGCAGAGTATTGAAAATAATTTCATACTCCTCAGCAAGCATGTCATGGGTACATTTAACAACAATAGCTCCATTTTGGACAAAATTTCTCCCGGTGCCAAAAGAGTAAATGATGCGTTGTTAACGGTGGTGGACATTCGTGAGACTTTTGCAGCCAAGGACTGGCGTGTGAGTTTAGCTGCGCTTCAAAAGTTGCCTTTCTTAAGCGCACTTAATAGCGACGACTTTGTTGAGATCAGAAACTCTGCTGAATCATTGACAAATTACGATGTCGCTCTCGTGCGTGTTATACCTTCCTTGCTAGTCATGGTGATGACGAGTGTTGCACAACTCACACATGGAATTAAATCCAAGCGGTTCGGCTCCTTGGGTAGTGAAAGAGACGAATTGACATCACTCCGCAAAATCGCCAAGAATTGCATGGTTTACGCTGGCCTCATTCAGTATAGAATGCCTCGCGAGACCTACAGCTTGTTGGTGAACCTCGAGCTGCAGTTGTAAATATTTGATACATACGGCGCGCATCTTTCAGTAGTACAGATCACCATGGCCCCAAAGAAGCAGACCAAACAAAAACCTACAGCATATGAATTCCCGCAACAATTCTTTAACCAATCTGAAAATCTAAAAAAGCTGTTCTTCACTCCTCAGCCGCAATCAATCATTTCAGGTCAAATAGTCACTGTGGAGCATTTCTTCAGTGATGACCTTTGTAACCAATTGATAGGCTCTTTTGAATCTAGTCTCAAACTCGAGACCACTCCGCTTATCAAAAGCAAAGATTATGCCGCTCGCTATAACGATAGAATCTCGTTGACAGACAACCAGGCCGCTGATGCCTTGTGGAACTATCTCAAAAAGATCCTACTCCAGAAGGTTGATTATGAGGACGAGGAGCTCGAGGATATTCATGAAACATTTGCCGATGCCAAGAGTCTAAACCCACAATTAAGAATATATCGGTACACGAAGGGCCACCATTTTGGAAAGCATTACGATGATTCGGTCAAGTGCCCACTAGCGCATGAGCCTTCCAAAATGGGAACTACTAGGTGGACTCTATTAATTTATTTGACAGGAGGCGATGAATTTGTTGGTGGTGGAACCATCTTTTATCCGGACTCAAACAGCAAGAAGGAGATCAATGTGCATCCCAGTAAGGGGCTAGCGTTACTACACAAGCATGGTGATGACTGTCTACAGCATGAAGCAGAAATCGTTAAGGACGGCGTCAAGTGGGTTCTACGTAGCGATGTGACCTTTTGAAATGTGACATTAATATTTGCTGTATAACTTACAAATGAGCTTCCAGGCGAAGCATGCTCTTGTAGCGGTCCAACACCGCCTCATTGGCACAGGAGCCTCCACAGACAACGACAATGACAATGTCGTCCTTAGTCAAGTTGCCCACACTCTCCTTGAGGTATTTGAGTTGGTTGTAAACGACAGAAACGGCAGCGCCACAAGCAGGCTCTACCATCTTGCCAAAGTCTTTTTGGTATGCAATGCAGCCCTTGACAGCCTCGAGATCGTCAATGGCGGTGATGTGGTTCCTGTTCGTGGACTGGTCGTTGAACAAGTCTAATGTGGGACCAGAAACATATGAACAGGCCAAAGATGTAGCGAGTGATCTGACGCAGTTCAAGGTCACCACTGATCCTGCCTTGACAGCGCTGGAAAGAGTAGGCGCCTGCGCCGTCTCCACCAAGACACAGTCGGCCTTGCTCTTGTTTCTCATGAGCCCCTGTTTAATACCATTGAAGAGGCCGCCTCCACCCACTGAGCAGACAACTCCTCTCACCTTTTTGGCATCCTCGCGGGATAATTGGTTCTGGAACATTTCATCAACGAGCAACGAGTGACCCTGCCAAATCAATGGGTTGTCAAAGGGGTGACAGTAAATGCAATTGAATTCGGTTTCAGCGTCGGCCATAAGGCTTCTGGCAAACTTGTCAGCGTCGCTGATGGAATTGCCGTGCAAAAGCACAGTTGCACCATACTGCCGAAGCTTCTCCACAACCAGCTTCATAGCAATGGTAGGAACAACAACAGTGCACTTGACATTGTAAAACTTTGCGGAGTAGGCGGCAGCAAGCCCGGCATTGCCTCCACTGGATGCAAAAACATGAATTGGCTTGTGGCTGTTGGGCCCATTTCTGGCTTTGCGAATAGACTGGTGAATCAAGTGACCAATTCCTCTCAACTTGAATGAGCCTGATGGCTGCTCAATTTCATTCTTGAAAAACACCCGACATGGAAGTTTGTTAGAGGATGAAAGCAAGTCAGTCACCTCCACGAGGGAGGTTTGTACTGCTGGGGCCTGGGACACTGTCTCGGAGACTTGCAACATTTTCCTTGATGAACCATATAAAATGGCAATCGTCGCTGCTTTAATACTCTACGCGAAGCGGCTAGGAGTCAGCCATACTAGGGCCATGCGCTATTATGGCTAGGCAAAGTTGCCCCGATTGCCTTGTGTGGTTGCGGAAGTGCATTTCCGCAGTAAGACATGGCTGCGAAATGGAGATGGACTTCCAAACGGCTCCCGCCACATAGTGAGGAGCGCGGGCCCAGTCTTGCGGAAATGCTTTTCCGTACTATGTTATGATCACCTGTTCCTACACTTGGCGTCTCCTGGGCATAAGTAATGGCTCACCGGACAGTGCCGTTTCTCGTTTCTGTGCCTTCTGTGTTTACACTAAAACGTTTTTTTTTTCCACCACATATGATGGTTTCCGGTCTCCCAGAATCACCGTGTAGGGCAACCCCACCATGCAGTATGTCGAGATGGCCTTCACCTGAAGCATTCACGACACAAGACGTAGTCTATCATTAATGGCATCTCCCATATTGATCTCGAACCCACCACCGGGATTCTCACTTTTGGCAATCCTAAGAGGGTTTCAGTTGGCAATACTAGGTGCTTACCGAACTCTTCAGAACCCTTCGCTCCTTACTCAAAAGTACTATCGCCAGTCTTTAATAGCTATTCAAGCGTCGCTTGTGATCCAGGGTCTCATATGGTCACCAATCATTTTACTTCGAGTGTTGGTGAAAGTCGCTGCATTGGCCACGAAATCTAAAGGTCTTGATCACGTTGTGGCTAGTTTGAAGTCATTCCAGTTCAATGTGCTTAACATTTCTGTTTTCTTGATCTCAGGGTCCAGATACTTCAACAAACAGTTGGATGACCTATTCTTGCAAAGCTTGCAATTTGTTGACCAGGTTCGTAAGGCCAAGCATCCCGAAACGGAACGTGTTTACCATGAAAATCTTGTTGCTCTCAGCACTGATGAAAGAATTACTGATAACCGGCCTACATTTGACAGCATCAAGAAGAAATGGGCTACTTCTCAAGAATTCTCGACATTCATGCGCAGACACATTAATCGGACTCTCATGAGTGTTGGCGCCTATTTTGTGAGTAAAATACCCTTCTTCGGGTCCGTCATCCTCGGTCTTATTTCATTTCTGAACTTGGATGGCAAGATCGGCACTGTCAATGCAGCTGTCATATTCGGTTTACTTCAACTCATACCAAAACGTTGGGCAGTGTTATTCCTCACGACGTACTGGGGTTCAAGAAGTATGCTTCACGACTTGTTGGCTCCCTACTTCTCGCGAGTCCGGTTCACCAAATCCGAGAAAGATCAGTGGATTAGATCTAGAGAGGGCCTCCTTTTTGGCTTTGGATTGTGCCATTATCTTCTCATTCGCAGAGCACCTTGGATTGGTCTCTTGCTCTACGGTTTTGCAGAATCATCTGTTGCATATCTCGTTACAAAAATTACAGACCCCCCACCAAAGCAGGTCAGTCAACTCATAAAGTGGAACTCTTCGCAACTTGTCTGGAACAGAGAGAAGGAGCTCGATCTTTTGTCTGGACTGTTTGCCGATAGCGATGAGGGTTTCCAGCCGGTTCCTGGTTCTTATATATTTCATCATTAATATAGCATTAAAGACCCACCTTTAGGTCGAACACTCTATTTCCAGTGTAAACGCAGAAGTTGAGTTGGGTCTGTAAGGTGTAGGCGAGACCATCGGGTTCGTGTTCCGCGATTGAATAAACGAACGTATTCGACTCGTCAGCTTTATTGTTGAGACTCAAGATAGGAAACAAGGTAAGGTCGCAACGGCGCCATGAATGAGACGAGTCCGACAAAGCAAATCTCTCGAACGATTTGTCATATTTTTGATTTATGGCCACTCGAAACGTCTCCGTCACCAAGTCTGTCGATTCCGTCCATTTTACCTCCGCGGGTAAGTTCAGAAACTGGCTTTGATAGTCAATCGGAAGAGTTTTGACAAACGAAAGATACAAAAACTTGTCTGCCTCAGTAATAAGGTCCCTGAACTTCACCAATGATAGCACTGCCTGGCGAAGTTGTGTCGCAAGTTTGGTTTTAATCATCTCCTGTTCATCGATCACTTTTTCCTTCGCCGGAGCGGTAACAGTACCCAACTCTTCATTCGATTCAAGTGCCTCTAAAGTGGCAATATATGCTGAATTAAAAGTAAATAGCTTCTGCAAGTCTCGTATCGAGTTATTGTGCAAGAATTCCTCTGACAATGTTTTGTTTAATGATTCATGAGGTGAAACGTTGAGATTTACCTCGCCAAAGTCAACAAAATTATGCATTTTCCACTCTTGAATAGCTCGAATAAACTCAGTAATGCCCTCTTTACCGTTCGAAGGAGGTGTTGGAAAAGACTGATAGTCTCTTAGTAGTATGCCATGGATTTGTGAGATTGAGGTACCAAGAGTTTGATCAATCGTAATCTGGGGATCGAGTTCAAGTGCAGACACAACAGCTACTTTAAATTCAGCTTTTGAGCGAATTTCATGATGGATGACATTTTTGGGCACGACATTATAAGCGAAAACGAGGTCACCGTTGGAGCTGTGATGTGAGCCGTGAATCATTAGGTTACCATCCACCTTATCATTGAGAAAAGGTTTGAAAACATTTGACGGTGCCTTGTTCTGTTCCTTAAGACAAGCATACTGAAATTGAAGGAGAGTGCGATTGACAAAGTTCGTCCATGTCTGAGGCAGTGGTCGGAGGGTGCATTCGCCCTCTTCAGTGATCGTGAGCATCGAGAAGTGGCCACATTCAAATGAAAGAAATGCTGTGAAGCCAGCGGATGACTTAGCAAATGAAACCCCCAGAATGGTGGATCTATAAGGCAACTTCGTCTCTCGAATCGAGCCGCCCTTGATAACATGAAGCGCTTTGCTGTCGGTCACAATGAGGGTGTCCGTAGAAATGAACTTGAGATGTGAAACAAGAAATCTGGAGGCCGATTTCACATTTTGGGTATCACTCTTAGGTTGCATGCTGTCATCTAAGGAGATGGTATGCACAGAATTATCAGACATAAGCAATGCCGTCGTAGATAGATCCTGTGACCAGGCACTTTTGACGATAGTTCCACCCGCTTGAAGCCTCGATACCTCAGGCAATCCACGACTCAATGAATGAATAGAAACCAGCCCGCTCTCGTGCGCTAGTAGAATATACAAAGCGCCATTGGAAGCCTTTCCAAATGTGAAACTAGTGATCTTCAATTCAAGATGCTCTGCATTGGTCACGATGATGTCTCCCTCACTGGTCAATCTATTTTGAGGTATGTTCATGTTGTCAAGGAGACTTGTAAAGCTTCTTATGACGACATCGTACTGACCTGAATCTTGAGTCGTTCTCTTCAAGACAAGAACCTCGCCTGTGTTGAATAATACTCCAAGGAAGCAATCTCGTGTAGAATCATCAACTGGAGACCAGGCATGCGATATTATCAATGGCTCTGCGATTCTGCCAAAAGAGAATCGGTCCTCGCCATCTTCGATGAGTAGTTTGGAGAAGATTTGGAGACCGAGCAGTTCAAGATCTGCGATGTTAAAAACTCCTCTCACGTCATAGAGGTCATTAGGATCAATCGTGCTCTTTTTCAGTCCAGCGGATGCACCATTTGAAATCCAATTGTGTAACAAGGGTAGTTTGGGTTCTAAAACGGTCAAATGGTCGGAGTTGTTTATGGCTACTTGCAGGTTGTCTGAGCATTGAACAGGATCTAAAAGCCCTGACTCTGCAATAGCTCTCCCCACGACGATCAGCTTCGCCAATGACATGGAGCAGAAAAAATTATTTGCAAACGGCAGTAATGATGGTTTGTGGAAGGTTGTAAAAAGTAAACAATAGTGAAGGGTGCGAGGTTCGAACTCGCGCGGACAAACGTCCAAAAGATCTTAAGTCTTCCGCCTTAGACCACTCGGCCAACCCTCCTACTAAGCAACGATTTACACCTGCAGATTAAATATATTTTTTTAAACTCAGCAGTCCTGCATGTAGGGCGAATCACCTGTAAAGGTCAAATCATACCACAAAACAGAATTAAAATCATCTTTTTTTAAATTCTGCAATGAGAAAGAAACTAGTCGAAGAAGTGTAGCTTAAGAGAACCGTTTAAAGTGTTAATGATGTCTGCGGTGACTTTGACCAGTTTTGGAGGACTTCCTCACAGTCAATTTCTTGCGAGCGACCACAATAGACAGCGTACTTTCGGAAAATAAGTAACCGAGCATCGAAGGAATTTCTTTCATGCTGTCTCAAACTCTTTGAGCTAATCTTCAAATATCAAAAAAGGACTGAGAGTGCTGCTTGAAGTATACTTTTTTGTCCGTCAGTCAATTGAGTGTTGTATACGATATTTAACAGGACTACGTGCTTCCATAAGTGATGGTCTATTCTTCAGTTCCAAGAGTATACCCCGCTATCAAAAATTATAAATACATATACCGAATGCCTATCAAAAACTATTGTACAGTGGCGCCCACACTCTCCTCGCGCTTGGGTCTTCCTCTCTTCTTTTTGCTGACCTTATCCGTATCAGCTGCAACATTAGAAGCTGTAACTTGAGCCTTCTCAGATGGCCCCCGGCCAGTTCCACTTACCCTCACACCACGAATGGTGAGGCCGGTTTTTTCAATTGGGAATTTTCTTGGGCGTCCTCTTTTATCTTTCTTTTCCAAAAGCTGTTGCACAGCCACATCATTAAGGGACTTGAGAGACGTTCCTTTTACGATACCCACATGCTGCTCGGCATCGCCAAGTTTCTTCAGAGTTGTTTTGGTACTCTCCTTGAGTAATTTATTGAGACGTTTGAAGTTCTCGTGGGAGGAATCGATGAACTCATTCGTTGCAGGATCCAAGATATATTTCTTGGGACGTCCTCTCTTCTTCTTTGACCCATCATCCTCAGTCGCGGGAACAAACTTGGTAACTATTGTTATTTTGTGCTTGCCCTCAGATTCATCGGAGTTTTGAGGCAGCGCCCCAAGAGATTTTTGGTCATGGTTTGCAAATTGCGATTGCACCTGGTGCGTGTCCTGGTTTGGCTGTTGTTGTTGGTGTTGAGAATATTGGTGGAAATCAGACTGGTCCATCTGTTGTCCTAGTGGCTGTATGTGTTGGTATTGGCCATATTCAAAGGGCGGATGGCCTTGTGCCAAGTGTTGTTGTTGACCCTGCTTGCTGAACATTTGCGGGCTCGCGTAGTGAGGAACTTGTGAGTTGTGGTTCTGGTGTATCTGGTGTTGTTGCTGGTTGTGTTGAAAATCGCCAACGTTCATCATTGAGTTGGTTTCTTTCTGTGAGCGCTGCTGGTATTCTTGGTAACTCTGTGGAGTGGGCCCTCGCTGTTGTCGATGCATCTGGTCTGAGCCTTGATGCGCGTGTTGTATCTGGTTGTGTTGCGTTTGTTCTGAAGATTTCGAAAGCATGGAGTTGTGGTTCGCTCTCATTCCTTGCTGAGGTGGAAGCGTGAGGGGTGATGGAACCATCGAATTGTTCAACATCCTGTTCAGTAGAGAAGTGAGTGGAGGAGAAGGGGTGCCCATTGCATAATTTTGGGGGTTTGGTGAACCGTTTCTCGAGCCATAAACAAGCGGAATTCGCCTATTCTTCTCTTGGCTTTCGAGGGAGCCTTCCATGGTGGCAGCTGGTTTTGCAGCGTTGATGTTGTATGGAATACTCATGATGGACTGATAATGGTATCGATGAGCTATCGATGGCTGCTATTGGAAACCGGTGACGTTGCGGTATTAAATGGGCTGCAATGAATGGTTAGAGTTTCCAAATAAACTTCATGGACTTAAAGTGTGGTTGTTGTAAATGGTTGCAAGAAATGTATGTGTAGATTATAAAAAAAAAAAAAAATAGACCGCACAAGGGAAAAAAAAAAAAAAAAAAAGTTATGCGCGGAGGTTTCTCTGCGCAGAACTCGATGATGATTCCACTGATAACGTTGCGTGTGTGGAATTGTAGGGAAGGTTGTGCTCAGCATGAATTTTTGGATTTCTTCGTCATTGACGTATATGATGCGTTACTTTACATGTTACATTCCTATATTATTTGTGTACCCTCTTGATTAGCGTCTCTCATCGGATTCTTGCTGTATGAAGCGCTCACAATTGTGTGATGATGAGCTGCTTTGCTGGAATTTGACTAAGCAAAGATTCTTGAAACTCCTCAACAAACTCCTTGGAATCCACCAACTTCTCATCATAAGCAACATTGAATGTCACATTAGCGCTAACAGGCCCCTCCACATCTCCGGAGATTGGTGCCGGAGTAGATTCGAGTCCTAGAAGCTCATCAAAAGAGTCTTTAGGTGCAGCGGCGAATGCACCAGAATTTGTGGGCACCAGGTTGATGAACTTGTACTGGATACCGGAGACATCGAATCTCTTCTTTGACACGGGGGCAACGAGCAAGTCGTCGAAGACATCATCAACTTCCAATGCCGATGGAGATGGTCCTCTCGAGTACTCAGGGAATCTTGTGCCATATGTCTGAGTGACGGCAGAATGCAATGCTTTCTCAAAAGCGTATTGGAACTTGTACTCCGAAACACCCTCGCCCAACTCCGAGGTGAATTCTATCTTTAAAACGTTTGAGGGCTTCACAACCTCTGGCTTCTTTGGTTCGGCTTTCTCGGCTTCCTTTGGAGGAGCAATTTTGATGTTGGACAAGTCCAAGTGTTCCTTGTTCTTGATGTATGAGGCAACTCTCTCGACAGCTCCCTTGTTGATCTCGCCCAAGTAGGCCAACACGTCACCCTTCAAGAGTCTACCCTTAGGACCGGAGGCTGGAATTTTGGAAATTGCGTCCTCGGCGGAAATACCCTTGCTGTGAAGCAATAGTTCCACAGCTGGTGTGAGCTTCTGCTGTGGGTTGGCCTTCGTGAAGACCTCGCTTGAGCCTTGATTGGATTCAACTGTTGGTTGAGTCTCCTTTGGCGCTGACTCAGTCTTGCGTTCCTTAGGAGGTTCTGCTGCAGGTTCCGGCTGTTCCTTCTTGGGCTCTTCTTTCTTGGGAGCAGGTGTCTCCGCTTCCAAGTCAGGTCTTTCCAAAGACGACAAATCATCGCCAGGCTCAGCCAACAATGCAATAGGTTTACCGACAGCAATTCCGCTGGAACCGTCATTCTCCAAGATCTCCCACATAATGCCGTCGTCTTGGGCCTCCACATCAATCGTGGCCTTGTCGGTCTCGACCTCAAGCAACACATCGCCAGCAGCAAATTCTTGGCCACTTTTCACTTTCCAACCAACAATGCCTCCCTCTTCCATCGTGGGAGACATGGCAGGCATTTTGAACACTTGAGCATCAAGCAATAAAGATTGAATATGGAAGTTTCTAGAGACAGCCACTCGGCCAGCTCTAGACACCAGGGCAAGGCGTGATGCACGTGTAGCCGTAAACCTCAACATGGGATTGTAGGTAATTCGTAGATGTACGACTTATAGAAGGAACAAGTTGAGGTTCAAAAAAGTAGAACTGATGGAGTTGTGCATACTTCGGACTCTGACCACCGAACGGGCGCGACATCTCCGAACATTGGGTGCAAAATCTGTCAAACCGGACTCGGCACTTGCACCAAAGTGTGACTTTAAATTGGACTTGAGGAACTGAAACCATGAAATTGACAATATCATAGTATTTTCAGAGCTTACCTTAAAATGCAACCCATACCTTTTCGAATTTCTCCTCGGCAATGCCTCAATTTCTGGATCGCTTTATTTGCGAACGCCGGAGCTCAAGGAGTCAAAAACATTCGTTAATGAATTGACCCTATTCTCTTAGATTCGGACATCCAATGATTAAAGCACTCCATTGAAATAAGTTACTCGAACGTTCTTGCAATTGTTGCTGTGTAGAAGTCTTATCAGTAGACGGCTGCCCGGGTGCGGCTTTCCGATGTTCTCCGGGATACCACATGAACTGGTTCCACGACACAGCTTCCCGACAGTGTGATGAAAAATATGGTTGTCATTGAGCCTTAGAGAAACTTTGGTGTGTCTCAGTGAGAGAAATGTCTGGGTTCTGTGATGTGAGCCTATACATCGCAAATCGGCATGAAGGTGACATTACTTTGTGGGGTCTGGTAAGAGAAAATGAATTGGAAACCCGGCAGCTCACTTTTTCAATGTGATAATTGAACAAAAAAGCGTCCCATCAGGCGAAAACCTGAAACTGCTCGGCGATCTGATGCAACCTTGTTCACTATAGCCATCGTTCTCTTTCTTTGAATCTTCAAGTTTTACATTTATTCATCAAAATATTACCAGATTTGAAATGATATTCTTCTGATGCGGAGTAAATATGTGGTCCATGTGTAAACTCGTATTTTACCGCCGGTTCTGTCACCACTGTCGTTTCACAGGGTCTATTCGCAGCTATTATTTGCATGTAAGTAGGTGGATCTAGATCAATTTAGAAACCTAATTCATGAGAACCCAAAAAAAATGACAAGAAAGGAAATCCTTCCCCTGATAATCGCTAAAACCACCGGTTTCGAAGAAATTTACATTTGTCTCTCGTTATTGGTTGCTAGGTGTATTGTGATTTTGTGCCTCGGACCCTGCTACTTTCGAGACCTCTATAGCATTTTCGCACCCGTGCTTTTCCTGGGCGCAGCTGAGAATTTCTATAGAAGCAACCACCTTAGCTAAAACCTTTAATAGCTTCTAGCAAAACCAACTGTTTTCAGCATACACGGTCTCGTTGAACTGACTGTCCCAAGAGAACAAGAAAGGACATCCCTTCGTCTTACATCACTAAGAAGTTGTCGTGACCACCAACATTCCACGACTTTTGGTACTTCATCACACATCACAACCACGCTTTTAAGCACAACCCCTCAGCATCATAACGCCTAACATGCCTGGGCTACAAGGAATATGGGGAGTGCTACGCAAGTACATGCGGTTTATAGGCCCTGGCCTTATGGTTTCTGTCGCCTACATGGATCCTGGTAACTATTCGACCGCCGTGGCTGCTGGTTCAGCTTTCCAATACAAACTTCTATTCTCGATCTTTTTGTCCAACTGCCTAGCGGCATTTTTGCAGACTTTGTCGGCCAAGCTCGGTGCTGTCACTGGTTTGGATTTGGCTGCTAACTGCAAAGAGAATCTACCCCACAGACTCAATATTTTCATCTACGTTTTGGCGGAGATCGCTATTATCGCCACAGATTTGGCTGAAGTCGTGGGTACTGCCATCGCTTTAAATATCTTGTTTAACATTCCCTTGGCTCTCGGAGTCATCATCACCATGGTGGACGTTTTGATTGTTCTCATGGCCTACAGGCCAAACGGCCCTTTACTTTTCATCCGCATCTTTGAGTCGTTTGTCTCAGTCCTTGTTGGCGCTACGGTTGTTTGCTTTGCAATCCAGTTGTTCCAAGTATCCAAAGAACCCAATTTTTCGTTCATCGAAGTTTTGAAAGGCTTCTTACCTAATGAGAAGGTTATTGACACCAGCGAGAGAGAAGGCGGAAATGGCCTCTTCTTGAGTTTGGCAATTATGGGAGCCACCGTGATGCCTCACTCTTTATACCTCGGTTCAGGCTTAGTGCAAGCTAGGCTAAAGGACTTTGACATCAAGCATGGATACTATACACCACCTAAGCAGGTGGAAGAGGTACCTCCTGAAAGTTTTGAAGAAGAGAGAGTAAACTTAACCGGAGAGGAATACGCCACTGCTGTTGGCGCCAAAGAAGAAGAAGAGTACTACAGGCCCTCAGTTCATGCCATTAACGACACCATGGCATACACAATTGCAGAGCTTGTCATTTCACTTTTCACTGTGGCTTTGTTTGTCAACTCAACTATTTTGATTGTTGCCGGCGCCACTGTGGGAACGAAAAGCAAGCGTGATGACGACCACGAAGATTCCGATTCGGATGATGATGAAGGCTCAGACAATGCTGATTTATTCACCATCTACAATCTTCTTTCGACTCATCTCTCTCAAACGGCAGGATTCGTGTTCGTGCTTGCTCTTCTTTGCTCCGGTCAATCTGCTGGTGTTGTTTGTACACTTGCGGGCCAGATGGTATCGGAGGGTTTCTTGCTGTGGAGCTTCCCGCCCGTAATTCGTCGTCTTGTCACTAGAGCATTGGCGATCTTTCCTTGCATAATGGTTGTTTCGTTTACAGGAAGAGATGGTTTGTCGAGGACGTTAAATGCCTCGCAGGTTGTCTTGTCTATTTTGCTTCCTGTTGTCACAGCTCCATTGATTTACTTTACGTGCTCCAAGAAAATCATGAGTGTCCCCATCTTGGTGAGAGATGGCGATGAAGATGTGGACACTATTTTCGAGGAGGAATTATCTTTTGGCAGTGACTCCAATACTCAGAACACGGTGGTCCCTCAGCGGAACCGTTATTCTGTTGGCGAGCCCGCCATCAGACTTCAGGACCTCAGGAAGGCACATCCATGTGTCGGCTGGGAAGACGAGACTGATGATGAAAGTCATGAACGCCAGAACATGGTGCTGCAGCAGAGCAGATCGGGCGCTCATCTCCCTACACTTGCAAGTACTCAGAGAACCGAGTCCACAAACCCACCTTCATACACTGCTAATCCGGACTCCATAGACACATCAGACGAGGATATTTTCCGTATCAAGGGTTACAGTGATATGAGTAATGGTCCTTGGATGACGTTCTTTGCAATTACTTCATGGAGTTTTGTCACGTTGCTCAACATTGTGCTCATAGGCAGCTGGGTGCTCGGCTATGATGTCCCTCTCTAGGTGAACATGACAAAAAGACGTCATTCAAGTCATAAGGTGTATACTAGGATAATCTATAGAACAAAGGAACGCACTGTAGGTTCGCTTAGAACATAGCTATGAAAGCTTTGCCGGTCCACTAAACCGCCAAAGCATTACCGTGAGCAGATTGCCAGGTAGATTTATATCACTGTGAAATAGAAAAGTATTCACCAGAATTGTTTGCAGTTCTGAAGGGAGTCGAGCTTAAGCGAACCCACATTGGCGCTGCAGAGAAAATGCGACTATGAAAAGTGCGAGTAGAACTTCTCAGATTACTGTCTTAAACAAGCCATGGAGAGTTTCATAGAAAGCCTGGCCGAGCTCTTCGAGGCATTCCCATCGGCCACCGTCACCATCACCTATTCCAACAAAACAAAAAAGAGTAAAGACAATGCTGCTCCAGTGCACTCTGTCAAGTTCAAATGCTCTGAGCCCCAGCTGGGAAAGAGTATTCAGTACTCAACGAGGAAGGGAAAAGAATTGTCCAGACTTTTAACATACTTCGGTCCTCGTGGAGTTAGTACGAAGAGAAAAGCAGAGGCCACTGTTACAGAGGAGCCTGCTCAGAAACAACAAAAGACTGAGATTGTGGGTGTGGCCAGCGTCATGAGTAATAACAAGTTTGAGGAACCTCAGGTGGAAGCCGAGGAACCAACTCGTGAACAGACGCCTGTTCCTGAAGAGAAGGAAAAGACTCCACAAGCTCCGTCGTCGAAGAGCAAAAAGAAGAAGAAGGGAAAGAAGAAATGAACGAATCCAATCAAATAGCATTAATTAATGGAAATGAGCCTCGTAATTATTGAAAGAAACCGATAAAGCGGGATATTACACCATCTCTCTTCTTGGACGAGTTGGCCGGCTCAGGTAAAAGACCAAGCGCGTTCACAACCAGGGAATCTTTATGCCCTTGCTGAGAGTGAGCAGTATAAGAGCTACTCCGAGAGTGAGTGCCAAGAGTCGATACTTCAGACTCTTGCTGGGTGGGGTGGCGAGCTGCTTGGCTTCGAAGAAGCCGCTGGTGAGGACGGAGTTGGTAGGCGTGGTGTCTCCTGAACTGGTGTGGCAACTTTTGTAGGAGGTGGTGTGGTTGGGCTGAAATGGTCTTGGTTGCGAGCTTGGATGGGCTGCTGGGATGTCAATAGGGGCGTTACGATGCCTCGGCTCAGACACGGGCGGGGACTGTCGCTCTTCTGGGACGCCCTCGACGGATTCAACTCCGAGATCCTCGTAGCCCTCGCTTGGAATTGACAATGCAGCGTACGAACACGGGGACGAAAACACCTCGACGTTATCATCTTCATCTTGAATGGGCTTTTCAATGCTTTCAGTCGCGGGTTTTTGTTCGGGTTCGTCTCTCTCCAAGTCTTCAGGTTCCAAGTAGTTATTGGCGTTGCCCTGGAGATCATGTTCGATCTTGTACTTAGGACTAGTGATCCATTGGGAGCCATTGACAACAAATTTGAAGATCAACCGTTGTGGTTCATCGACACGGATATCTCCCACAAAGTCACCATCTGTGGCTTTCTTCAAAACACCATCTTTGAGAGACCAGTTATCGAAATTACCTGTCACAACCACACTTTCCGTTCCACTTGAAACGGGCCTTTGGGTTAGTAGATCACTAATAGATTACCCTGTGGATCACCACAGGAAATGATTGCACATACCAGACAAATCTATGAAAGTAAGGCATGTCTCAAAATAACTAAAAGATTTTTAGTAGGAACAACAGCGAGACGGACTTTTGTCTTAATAATAAATCTCGCATACAAGGAAAGGGAATCCAACCACCCGCCTCACGTCGGTCAACCCTGTACGCATCATGCTGCAGCTCATAATGACCGCATCTATAAGCAAGCTTTTTAAAATTTGCAAAAAATCAAGCATTCATAATGACTAAGCCAGATAGATGACTATGGCCATTCAAAATTTCATTTGAAATTGCTAAAGGGTTGCCAGGTCTCCGCCGAGGCATCCGGATCAGTGTTCTCCTTGTTTATGCACAATAGGGAGGCTCGCAGTGCAGCGCGGCCACATTTGGATCTGCTCTTCTGATGCCCAGAACCAGATAAGGCGAGTCTACTGATTCCACTTTTTCGCTTCCATGCCCTCGGGCGGACTGGTTTCAAATTTTTTGGTTTCCGCTTCAGACCAATTGGTCGTGAGCACAGTGCCATTTGACTCCACATATGACTTCATCATGGCCCTGCGAGTATCGTCATCTACGTCCTTGTATAGTTTAGCGAAGAAGTCCTCTTCCTCCTCGTCCTCTTGCACATCGAATTTGGACCAGTTGACAGCCTTTCTCGAGGATGTAGGGTATGCTAATTGCTCTGTGGGGCCTTCTTTGGTGTCCACAGGCTTGATGGGACCATCACCTTCAAGCAGAGCCCACTTACCTTTGACTTTCTTGGCCAATGTGAGCTCAATTTTTGTTCCAAATACCCTGCAGCTGGACTCAGCAGTGTCAATCTCGCCATACAAAGGTTCTAAATTGTAGTTGTACTCAGAGTTATCGCCGCTGGGGAATGAAAGCGCCACGGAACGAGGATTGAACGAAGCACCCAAGGATTCTTCCTTGACATTCTTTGCGTAAATCGTGACTGTCACTGTGTCGTTCGACTGATACCAGTCGTCTCTGATCTTTACCTTCAATGGTGCTTGTTTGTTGATGACATCGGCACTAGTCAGTTTGGACTGTGATTCTGCAGAAGTCAAAGGCTTTTCTTCAGCCGCTTGGCCTGCTCTTTTCAAATCTCTTTCCGCCTTGTTGATCCAGATATCCAACGCTGGCTCCAGATACAGGTGCTCTTTGGACTTCTTGAAGTTGGTCAATGCCTCCGAGTAGTGCTTTTCTGCGTAGTTTATTAGACCAAGCCTGTAGTAGCAGAGTCCCTTATCATCTCTTTTCCCTCTTTTGTCGGCAATTGAAATAGCTCTGTCAATGTCACCTCTGGCATTGGAGTATTCACTGACTTTCAAATAAGCTGCAGCACGTTTGATGTAGCCTAGGAAAGCTTCTGGGTTCTCTTTGAGAGCTAAGGTGTACTGCTCAATAGCGCCCGAAAAGTCCTTTTTGTTGACAGCTTCATCGCCGTGCTTAATGTGTAGTTCCACAGCCATCTGGTTTGAGTGACCTGGAGAATTCTTAGATCGAAATGGTTTTTCGCACCCACTAGACTACACACTGTGGGGAGACTTCTTTCACTTTCCACTATATACTACCAAATTCTGTGCAAGAATCTCTTTAACTTTCCATCATTAGGTTGATCAGGCTTTCGCTCGACATTTGGCAAGATGAGCCAGAATATTAACATGACACTGTATGTGGCGATGAATATTGGTAACACAACGTAGGCTCCCTGACTCTCTGCAATTAAACCAGTAAAGAAAGGAAGGAGCGCTCCTCCGCTGGATCCGAAAGCGGTCATTATGGTCAAACTTACAACCTGAATTTTTCTTGGAACAATAAATGAAACCGCTGTTATCATCAATGGGTACGTGGGACCGATGAATACGCCACCAAGTCCGACAAAAACACCCACAGCGATACTGTTTGGCACCACCCATGACAAAACAATCATACCAATGGCCAAAAGAGCTAATATAACAATGCTTTTGCGGAGACCAAGCGTTTTGTGTAATGGACGTGTCAAAACAAGCCGGCCGATGGTCAAACCTGCCCAAAAACCAGACGACACATAACCAAAGCTGGTGCCAACTTTACGGTAGTCCAAAAGGTAGGTAACGATCCAACCTCCAATCGACACCTCGGAACCCTGATAACAAAACACAAATAGAGCGATCAACCAAGTAGGGCCATTCTTCAAGGCGAGAATCATATCGTTCGGGTTTTAGCGGGGGTCAGACGTTCAGCACGTTCAGCACGGCTAGCACGGCCAGACTCCAGGAGCTCTTGAAGCTCGATACCTTCCTCCCTAGCTCTGGTTTTATCAATCAATGATTCCGTCTCTTCATCGTGATCCCATGGCTTCAAGTCATCTTCCGCACCCTTGAAGGCCAAATTTGCATTGAAAGAGTTGATCACCATCAAAGAAAGCAAAATCAAGTAAACGTAGTTCCACTTCATTCCACGTCCAACCATACTTGTGGCTGCAAGAGGCAGAATTGTTGCCCCAGCACCATAGCTCGCGTGAAAAATGGCCAAGTACTTCGACTGTTTGTCAAGCTTAGATAAGAAGACATTCGACTGAGCCAAAACCGTTGCCAAGCCGATACCGCCCAAAAAGAAACCAATGCAAATAAGTGGAAATGGCCCGCCACTTGCTATACAAGAATATGCAGCAACCGACAGGATGATACCGTAGGTGATTGACCACCTCTTACCAAACCACGGAGTAATCTTGTGGGCGAAGCAGGCAACTAATATAAACCCCACGGCATTTGACATCCAAATAAGCGAAACCACTGCATAGCTGATATCATAGTGGGCTTCCATAGAGGGCAAAAGGGCACCAGGGGCGGCATCTGAAAAGCCTCCACAAGCGGACCAAATGCTCACTGCAATAACTCTCCAGAGATTTCTCTCGGGATTACGGAGGGTCATTGCCTCCTTATTCGCATTGATGGGAGTAGCTTGTGTATTAACAGTTGAAGGGTTGTTTACTTGACCGAGGCTGGTGACGTTCAAGTTCGACTCTCTGGTCACTATATGTGGTCTATCATATGGTCTATCCCTGACTGTCTCCGAAGGAGCGATCAGGGGCTCGTCAAGCGTGTCTTCCGCCCGTACATGGGCCTCTTCATGTCTTGTAATGGACATTTTGGTAAGCAGTTTGGTTAATGCCGCTGACACCTCTCACCCCTAAAGTGAAGGCCTTTTCTGTGCCGTGCTAAACATTGTGGGAATTCTTTTTTAACTGCACTGCATCGCGGCATCTGGAGGTTTAAAAAGTCAATCCCGGTGAATATTCTGGGATAAGGTTCTTGTGATGAAATGAACTTAAGTATTGCCTGCTGCCTTCACAAGGTCCAAAAACTTGGATTTAGAGAGTTCATTCAACATCTCGTCCTGCTTACCAGCAGAGACCTTCGTTTTACCGATCTCCTCCTTGGTCTTGACTTGTGTAGCTAAGACGGCGTTGAACAACTTCACCACACCTCTCTGGGCAACCTTCTTGAGCTTTTTCTCCTTTTCGATGATATCGCGGACCTTTTCAGGCTCGCTGGCTGAAGGAAGAAGGTTCCGTATACGAACCTTGTCCTGAATCTGTTTCTTTTCCGCAAGCAATTCACGCTTGGCTTTCTTCTCCAACTTATCAGACTCCAACTTTTTGAGTGTGGACTTGTTTCTGGCCAAAATTGGATCTTTCCTGTCGTATGCCTTCAATTTGGAGCCAACGATAGCGTTGAATGCACTGGCAAATTGATCTCCACCGTCCGTGCTAACCTTTTTCTTCTTCCTCAAAGGGAACTCGTCATCCAACTCTTCATCATCCTCGGATTCATCGTCATCCGATGGGACGTTGGCAACATCAAACTCATCGTCTAAACCAGAATCGGCGTCAGATTCATCCTCGTCCTCCAGCTCCAGAACATCGGACTCGTTAGAGGGCAGAACCTTCTCATTTTTCAATTCGGGCTTTTCCTCTTGCGTTGCTGCTTTCTGTTTAACTGCTTGCTTTTGCGCCTTAGTGGATTTTCCCATGGTGCTAATGATGCGATGAGTACTCTCTACAATCAGAGATGGGCTTGAAAGCGAAGATCTCTGCAGGAAATTTGCAACCAACCATGAATTCTAAAACACGAAGCTAGGGCATCAAAGCATGAAACGTTTGGCATCTTAATTAGACAAATTATGGAGAAACTGAATTTCTAAAAAAATAACTCTAGTCGTCGTGAGAGCTTACACTACGACTGCAACCTTATCTAGATTCCAAAAGCCTGCTTTATTAAAATTCTGGTTACAGCGGATCCTAGTTCAAAATACCCAGATCTCTACACATTAATTTAAATAGTAATTTCTTTTTTCTAAAAAAAATAGAACCTAAGTAATTCATAGGCTTCATGTGTTAAAGTTATGGCGCTGGAGAGTGCACCCGTGCACCACGATCATACTGCAAGCGTTTGTTTATGTTTGAGGTCTGACACACGCATGAGACTAGCTTGAGATCATGAGCCATTCTGGAGATATAAAAGTGTCTAGTCCCTCCAAACCGCGGCATAAAAGGTCGTTGGGCGTAGAGAACTTTCTGCCCCTGAAAAAAACACTACTAATCGAACGCTACTCAGTTCCAGAAATACTACCTAGATCAGATAGCGCTATGGGTTATCTTCTACGACAACACCCTCTCCGGCAGGAGATTGAACAAAAACATGAGGAGCTTCTTGTTTATAAGAAACAGATCATGTCGAGGAAGACTGAAATTTTCAATATGGAGCTCACTAACAGGAAATTGGAGGACGAGGTTCGAGAAGTGATGAAGCACCTCCGAGAGGTTGAAGCAAACGTGAAGCAATTGGATGACGCGGAACAAGAAAGTATAAAGCAGATTGAATACAACTTTGATCTCAAGAAAAAGGAGTTGCAAGTTCATCACGACAAGAGACTCATGGACTTGAAAGAGGCTTTGTCCCGTGAAATCGACCTGACAGTGGAAGCGGTTGCAAAACGAGACCAAGAGCAACGGCGAGCTCTACAAGAGGACCTTAGTGCCTTCGAGGAAAAGATAAGATTGACACAGAAGGAGAAAACTAGAAGACTCATCCTGATCAAAGAGGGCCATGGTAGAGCACTACACGAGCTACTGACCAAGTTAGATGACGAAGCGAATGAGACAAGAAAAAGATCTTCCGAGTTGGGCGAAGCTTCGTCCGCTGTTACTTCACAAATAAAGGATGTACAGCGTTTCCTCGGCAGCGAGTTGCAACTCAAACAAGCTGCACTAGAACATGAAATGACAGCGTTGGAAAAGAACTTCACGAGCATGGAGAAGGACAAGATCAGGATTCAAGAGAAGATTAATGACACAGTTGCTGAGATTGAGGAACAAAGAAACTCAATCTCTAGTCACATCGATAACATTGAGAGATATAAGAAAGAGGCCACTGCAATCAGTGAGCAATTTCCAGCGCTCGAACAACAGAGAAGAGTACTTCACGCAAAACTTCATGACCTCAAGGGAAATATTAGGGTATTTTGCAGAATACGCCCGGATGATAGTGGCTCTTCTGCGAGAATTGAGGCTTCTTCTCCCGAGATTTTTGGTGACAACGGTAAGCAGGACCTTATCGTCTCAAAATCTGAGCCCACATCACTGTGGAGCTACACAAATGCTGTACGTCACGATGCAAATTCATTTCAATTCGATAAAATCTTCGATATCGGAACAAAGAATTCGGAGATATTTGAGGAATGGTGTCAATTGGTTCAATGCGCATTGGATGGATCTAACGTTTGCGTATTTGCGTATGGTCAAACTGGATCAGGCAAGACATACACAATGTCCAATGAAGGCGACGGCATGATACCATCATCTATCAGCAAAATCTTTCACGATGTCGAGGAGCTCAAGGCACAAGGATGGAGTCATAAAGTGGAAGCGAGCTTTATCGAAATTTACAATGAAACTATCGTGGATTTGTTTAGTGATTCAGTCAAGCCTGCAAAGCATGAAATCAAGCATGATGACACCACTGGCACAACTGTTGTCACTAACCTCAAGACAAACATTATGAATGGTGTTACAGAAGCGCTTGAATGTCTATTAAAAGCTAATAAGAGACGAGCGACCGCAGCAACAGATGCAAACGAGCGGTCCTCAAGATCACATTCGGTGCTTACTATCAGGATAAAGGGCACCAACTCACTGACAGGAGCGCAAAAAAATGGAACGCTTCACCTCGTCGATCTAGCCGGTTCGGAACGTATTAGCAACTCGCATGCTACAGGAGCCCGACTCAAGGAAACCCAAGCCATCAATAAGTCTCTTTCATGTCTCGGTGATGTAATCTATAGTATATCGAGAAAGAGAAATGGCGGGCAAAGTGGACATGTTCCATTCAGGAACTCGAAGCTAACCTATCTCTTGAAACACAGTTTGCAAGGTGATTCAAAGACGTTAATGTTCGTCAATATCCTGCCATTATTGAAAAATTTTGGTGAGACGATCAATTCGCTCAGATTTGCTACGAAGGTCAACAGAACAAAAGTTCAGTGATAGATTTCATTAGTTCGTCTCACCACCCGTTAAAAGATTGCTTTCGGGCATGTACTTGGACGCTGTTCGCAAAAGGGGTGATTGGGAAACTTCCAGCCATTCTTCCTTGTGATTTTCGAGCGCCCAATGAGCAACCTGTTTCTGCTTTTCGGGGTCCAAGCAGTAGTTATACATAGCAAGAAGCAAGTCGGAAGAAAACTCAAGGTTGTAATCGTCAATGTCGTCAATGAGTTTTATGGCGTCATCTACGTGACCATGATAGACATGCGCAATGACATATTGTCTGAATACAGCGAAGTCTGGGTAGACACCAAATTGAGAGAGATTATCCCAAAACTTTTTGACATAGATCATATCGCTGTAGGTATACGTCTTGATCATAATTCGAGCTGTCTCTTCATTGACGCCGCCTTCAATTTTTGGATTTGATGACATTGATAGGAACAAGTCACGAGCTTTCCCGATATTTTGCAAATTGGAATAGGCCTCAAGAAGGCAGTTTTGGAGGTCAATATCGTTCTCTTGAAGACTGATGTCCATCTTTAGGTACTCATGAATTTCAATGACACCTTCTTCATAAAGTCGATCACCAAATGTTCTGAATAGATACATATACATTTCACGAGATGGAGGAAGATGATGATGCGAACCGTGGAGCTCGTTAAGGGATTTAACACGCTGAAAGATCACGAGAGCAGCGTGCAATCTATCCTTCTCACAGAAGAATTTCATCGTTGGAAGATAGGTCTCAAAAGGCACGGCAAAATATTTGTGAAGCTCTCCATAAAGAACCCAGTTTGTTTCGAAGGTTTCCTCGTTTGTGAATCCGACTGTGAAATCGTAGAGCTTTTCAAAAAGCTCTCTATGTGCATATGCCCAACTTGGAGTAACCAAAAGTCTCTTAGGTGACTCAGTTTTAATTTTTGGAAGCTCACGCTTGAGAAGCTCAATACAATCTCCAACACACTCCTCGGCAACCATTTTTTCAGAAAGAGCTGCGAGGGCTTCAGCATTGCACGGAGACCTCATATGCTGTTTAACCTTCTGGAAAAAGGGGAACACATCCATAATACTGGTGGTGTTATCGCAAACAACGCGGAGTAGCTTGTTGAGTAAAAGCTGTGTTTTTGGAGAAGAGTCCAGTTCCCAATGGACGTTATCACATTTAAGGGACGTTTCGAAGATGTGAGAAGCCAACGAGTTATCTGATAAGCTGATTGCAGATTCCAATCTGTACTGGAATACTTTTATACTCGGAACAACATCATACTCCGAACGGAACCAATTTTGTAGTAGTTTGAACACCTCGTTGTCGGGGCTCACGAGTCCAGAAGCCATGATTGCCTCCACCACACTATCCTGAGCATTGTCAAAGTCTTCTATTGGTGACGAGGTAACAGAATTTCGAATGAATTCGAAAAGCTCATCCGCACTTATTTCGCTATTGCTTTGCAAATGTGATGAAAGCTTAGCCTGTAGTCTCAAGCTAGCTGAGTACTTGATATCATCCTTAATGATTATGTCCGCTAGTGTTTGATGGAGAGTGGGGAACGTGCCAACCTTGCTGAGCTCTAACAAAAGCAATTGGCATTGGGCCTCATCAAAAATATTCTGCTTCATGAGCGCCAGCTCGACCTCCTCGATTGACCTTTCGCTTATGGATTTCAATAGGGTTCTGATTGCCTCTTCTTTATCCTTGTATTCAACCACCGAATTGAGATCGCTGAATAGCTTGAGTAGTTTTAATATGGACTCAACTGACAACGAGGATAGGGATCCAAAGATCTCACAGGTAAGCTCCTGAATACGATAAATATTTTTGTCAAGATTCTCGTATTCATGAACATTTGGGTCCAGATTCTCAAATAACAGCTCGATAAATGAGCAATATTCGTCACAGAAATCGTCGTTGACAATCTTCTTCCGAGCATCCGGCTCGAATGAAAGGAACGCTTCGAATGTCAGAAGAGCCAATTGGTTCTTATTCTTGAAACGATTGAGAACTGCGGCGGTGAAGTCCTTCGGAATCAGCGCTGAATTATGCACCACAACCGAGAGAGCATTCTCGACCCCATTGAACCTTACTGAAGCCCCTAGCTCAACTGTAATGGCATATATATCTGTTGGAACCTTACTGTCTAGGCTTAGTAGCTGTTGAGCTAGGATCATCATGTAGTAAGGAAGCTTGAAATCCTCTTTTGCTAGAAGAACAGACGAGGTCTTTCTGTAAAGTGTGAGTAGATCACCGAATGGAAGAACCTTCTCGATGCGATTGTCATGAAATTTGTATAGGTGTTTGAAGACGTTATCTATCGTCTGTAGATTAGCCGTCTTTGATGCAAAGTCGGGTACCTCGTGAATGAGTTCTGTAAGCTTGGTGGTCAAAATGCGAGTTCTGAGGTTGGTGGGAATCTCAGTTGTTTTGAGGTAGTGCTTGAGGTCACTTATATATGTGCCTTGTATGTCGTAGTCAGCCTTTCCTTCTTCTATTATCATTTGATCTTGTGAACCATCTCCTCTCTTGGACCGTTTGGCATCACCAAACAATGTGCTTTTGTGCCTTATTGAACTGGTCCCACATATGTAAACCGGATTGGAGAGCCGTATTCGAGTTCGGCATGCTTGTATTATGGATCGGCGTAACATGGTGCAAATGACATCCGCAGAGCTTACCTTAGATGTGCATGAAAAATTACCCAGGCGCGCAGTGGTTGCAAATTGTAGATACTTTCTATACACAAAATTACGTATCTAATTTTTCTCGACTAAGCGTCTTCTTCGTACTCTGGCAAGTGCAGTTGCAATCTTTTGATTGCCCAGTTCTTACCAATAAACTTGACTTCAGGATCGCTCAAGCCCTCAGTTTTAGTGTACTCGGTCCAGTAAGCAGGGTCTTTGAAGCGTGGATCCTCAGGCCTGAATACGCCAAGTCCCTCTCTAATGTCTAAAACTTTTTGTCTGAGTTCAGCAGCAAGTTCAGATCGAAGCTTTTGCGCTCTCTTGCCTGTCTTTAATTCTTCACTAAGGTCCGTTGGCTTTTTTGGGTCGATATACTTCTCGCATAGGTCTCTCCATTTTTGTCTGTAAAATTCGAGACAGTCGTCTGGAATCATGTCGCCGATGGTGACATGAATTTCAGCTCCCAAATTGCTCGGGAGGTAGCGCTTTATACCCTCGCCAGCGGAGTCCTCTGGTGCAACTTTCTCGAATCCATGTGCGAAGATGGGCACCACGACAGGAGTACGGGTGCTCTCGAGAATCAATCTTGATACACCCCACTTAAAGTAGCGCATGGAATTGTTGTGTGGTTCTTTTAGTTGAAGCACGAAACCCTCGGGGAAGACATGAAACCACGAGGTTTTCGTTCTGATGAAAGGAGATTTGGACATAAGGACGTTAGTTGATGCAGGGGAGGGCTTCACCGAATTTACCAAATCTTTTGTCTTATCGGAAACGTTAAGCTTTGAAAACTCTTGAATCAAGTTTGGCTTGTCCTGTTCTCTGGCCCACGGGCTGAACTCCAAGTCCAAGGTATCATCTGGTGAAAGAACCCGGATTGCCGCATCCAAGGAACCCTGAAATGGGCCTTCGCCGAACCTTTTAGTTCCAAGGATCTTTCCAAGGTTGAAAAACCACGAAAAGGCGGTGTTGGAGAAACAAATGTTATGGGCACCGAACCCCCAGCGGATGATATCGACGTCTGTGTGGAATCTAAGTGGCAACACAGCGTAAAATGAAGGGTCATCCACAACAGACATGTGGTTCATCACAGTAAGAAGGGATCTTTTCTCCTCCTGTGCCTTGGCCATAGCGGCATCTAGCTTCTCAACGCAATGAAGATGAGGTTTGTATAGCAAGTTGAGAAGAAGCTTGGTCTTCATGGTGATGAGGAAGCACGTCGCATGAGATGCATAGTTCCAAAGTGGCGAAGTCCTGGGATATTCTGATAAAAAGTCGTCGCCTCTTTTCAATACATCTTGAAAAGACATAACCCTCTTCGGCCTCGATAGCAGATCACAATTTTTTCTTTCGCGGCCTAGATACATATGCCCCATACATTTCGCACCCAAAACGTGGAGAACATACGTCACGACTAATGAGGTGTAGCCCACTCATATTACGACGATTACACATGGCCTTATCATTTATTGACAAAGACTTCTTTTCAGTCATTGAAGATCTCTTCATACGCAAATCGAGTATCCTTGAAAGAGTCTCTTCTCGCTCGCAGGACGAAGGCTACGAACCGTCTACATTGCTTTTCTGAAGGAGCATATGGACCCAAGCCTTTGTAGAGAGATGGCGTCCATTGCCCCAGAAGTTCAGTTAGAAATGTCGATCTGTAGTCCGCAAAATCAAAGGGAGTGATCTCTATCCCACTAGACTGCTCAAGAGCCCTTAAGTCTTTATCGTCTCTGAATTCATCGAAGTCGATCGAATCGCCTCTTAGACTATCTTTTAAGGCAACTTTTAAAGTCATTGCATCTGTGAGTGGTATGAGGTTTGGAAGCATGTCTTTGGGGTCTTTGTTCATGAGGTCCACGTGGACGAAGCTATCAGCATTGAAGAGCCGTCTCGAAAAGAAGTGAGTCATTTCGCTTTTTATTTGTTTTCTTGAGGCCAATTGGCGGACGTATACCTCGGCAAGTGTCATCGGACTTTTTGAAGGGTGGTGGTAGTAATGTTTGATGCGTTTGTGTCTTCCTATGAGCTTTTTGCAACCATCAAATCTGACACAATAAGTCTCTCCCCCCCCATGTCTTCCAGTCTAGATTGTCTGCCTCAAAATGCATCGTCGGGTGACATCTTCGATCCCTTTGTCTACAAATATCGACTTACGATGTCCAAGAGAAAAGTTGCTCTCGATCATGTTCGAGACTTCCTCGGATATGACTTGTCCAGTGCCAGAGACACCACCATGATCTACTTGCTTTTGAAAGAAGAAATTTCATTCACTGAATTGGAAATGATAAGAATTCTTGGGCTCCAAGCCAATATGAAAGTGGACCGGGCAATTTTCAATAAGTTTCGGGAAGTCGTAGGCTATGCTGCTCGAATTCTCAAAGAGCTGATTCCCGTTGGGCTGCTTTTAGAAATGCCGCTCACAGATATAAGCAGGATATGCTACGGTATTGCCACCAAATTTGAATCCATTTTCTTTGTGCCTGTCAATGGTGGTGAACACCAATTTGACTTCTGGTGGACTGATCGCTTCAATAGTGTGTGGCCCGTTGTTTGTGAGCTCAATAGGGCCTATAACGAATTGGAGTGACTATGAATACGAATATAGGCATCGGCAATAATGTCTTAGATTTTGGCTTCCTCTCCCTATTTACCCTGCCTCCAATTAGCAGTCATTCGCACCCAAATACATAGATCCTTGGCCTGGAGATGCGCTAATGATAGTTTAGGATTTGATGAAGTGATTCATTTCAAGATTAGGCAAATAGCTCAAATGTGAAGAAAAAGCCGAAATAATTACCTGAAGGGATATTTGTTGGTCTGATGTATCTGCTCTCCCGGCTAAGTCCATCTCTGTCCTGCTGCAGTACGGGCATCGCATCGCATCAAAAAAATGAGTATCTAACTCAACTCCATCTCTTACACCATGGCCAAAATAAAGAGAAAGGGAAAGACTGGAAATGCAAAGAACTTTGTCACTAGAGCGAAGGCTTTGAAAAAGCTTCAGATTACTCTTGCTGATTTCCGTCGTCTTTGTATCTTCAAGGGTATCTATCCCAGAGAACCAAGAAACAAGAGGAAAGCCAACAGAGGTTCAACTGCTCCAACCACTTTTTACTATGGTAAAGACATTCAGTACTTGATGCACGAACCTGTTTTGGCTAAGTTCAGAGAGCACAAGACATTTGCTAAAAAGTTGCTGAGAGCTTTGACTAGAAACGAAATTGCAGATGCTGAAAAATTGGAGGAGCACAGACCAAAATACACACTCAACCACTTGGTCAAGGAGAGGTACCCCTCTTTCGTCGATGCCTTGAGAGATCTTGACGATCCCTTGAATATGTTGTTCTTGTTCGCCAACATGCCTGCCACAAAGGGTGTGAGCCATAGGGTTGTCAAGGACGCTCAAACCTTGACTAACCAGTGGCTCGCATACTGCGCTAAGGAGAGACTCATAAAGAAGGTTTTCGTCTCCATCAAGGGTGTCTATTACCAGGCTGTAGTTAAGGGCCAGGAGGTCAGATGGTTAGTCCCATTCAAGTTCCCTTCCAACATTCCTTCCGATATTGACTTCAGAATCATGGTTACCTTCTTGGAATTCTACTCCACCTTGTTGCATTTCGTCTTGTTCAAGTTGTACAATGATGCTGGCTTGGTCTACCCTCCACCAATCAACATGGAGCAGTTGAAGGGTATTGGCGGTTTGTCCGCATACGTCTTGCAGTCGAAGGACCAAGGTGTTAACAAATTGCTTCTCTCTAAGGACGAGACCGAAGAGACTGACGAGTCTGCTCCAGGCACAACTTTGTCGACTGAGGAGCTCGAGAAGGCTAAAAGAGCTGATGAAGAGGATGCTCAAGAAGACGAAGAGGTCGAGGACGTCGAGACTGTCGAGCTAGATCAATTTGCATCAACAAACAAGGAAACGGGTGACGTTTTGGCTCAGCCGTCGAAGTTCTCCCATCCCACTTCTACCTTGTTCTCCAAATTTTTGTTTTTCATTGGTCGTGAGGTTCCAATGGACATTTTGGAGCTTTGCATCTTATCAGCTGGTGGTAACTTGATCTCAGAAATTGCTTTGGATGAGATGAAGGTCAACCAACCAGAGGCATACTCAAAGTTGGATTTGAGCAATGTTACACATCAAATTGTCGATAGACCAAAGGTTAATGCTAAGGTGGCAGGCCGCACCTATGTCCAACCTCAATGGGTTTTCGATTCCATCAACAAAGCTGAGCTTTTGCCAGTCAATGAATACGGACCTGGTGAAACCCTTCCACCCCATATGTCCCCATGGGGTGATTCTGGTGCTTACAACCCTGATGCCGCTATCACTGACGATATCGAGGGAGAGGAGTCTGATGAAGAGGTGGATGCAAACGATGAAGAAGACGTCGAGGAGGAAGATGAGGCTGCTCGTGAACAAAGAGAATTGGAGTTGGAGGCTTCAGGTGTTAAGTTCTCCGACAGATCCGAGGAGAAAGACAAGAAGAGAAAGAGAAGTGCTAAGTCTGCTGAAGAGGAGGAGAAGGAGTTGAAGAAGATCATGATGTCCAACAAACAGAAGAAGTTGTACAACAAGATGCAACACGGTATTGAGAAGAAGGACAACAGAACTGAACTGTTGACCAAAAAGAGAAAGCAGATCGAGAAGACGAAGAAGCAATTGGAGAAATTGAACAAGAAATAGAGCTTTCGCAATCAAGAAGCATGTATACTATATCGAATGAGGTTCATTATTGCGACCTGTAGAGCGCGCTGATTTAACCACACATATCCATCCCACAATGCTTTCGAGATACGCTAGTAGACATCTAGCTACATCAAGAACTGTTTCTCGTGGCAAGATCTACTCAAAGATCAACAGCCATGAAGATTTGGAAAAACTCATAAACACACCATCCTGGAATGTGAGCGAAGCAATCCCAAATCCCGACACCATTGAAGAAGACATCACTCCAGAATTGGTTCTGAAACTTCTAAAGCAGTCTGGCCTTCCTCACAATGTCTCACCAGACTTGTTTGAGAAGATCCAAGATGCATTGAGAACACAGGTCGGCTTCATTGATGAACTCTACGATCCAGGAATGAGCCATGGAGAGAGACGTGCCAACAATAATAGAATGTTTAGACTTTTAGCTTCTGATCATCAGGCGCCAGAGCCCCTTACTTTGAAGCATTTGTTAAAGCAAGTTGAGCAAGTGAAGAAACAAGTTGACCCCGAGAAGGGAGAAACAGGTTTCAATCATGAGGCATTTCGCAATACCATAAAGTTTGGTGGGAAGTGAACTGGTTGTACATTACTTGTTTCTATTAACACGGGCATCCATGAACATCCTGTCGGGAACATCTAGCTCAAAAAGATTGTGCAAGAGCTCTTTCATCTTCACCAAGCTCTTTGTTCCCTGATTAATTAGGTCAACACTGGTACCTTTGGGATAATTGATGAATGCTTTGATCTGGAAGGTATTAGACTCGTCTAAGAGCTTGAGTTTGATGCCCAGATCGGCCGATGATGCCTCTGGGTCGTCGTCTCTCACGAATATTTTAAATATCTCAATGACAATGTCTCCATGAAAGAATCTTATACCCTTTGCCCAATATTGATTGACAACATCATACCCAAGTTCCTCGAGGAATTGGAGAAATGAATCTTTTACGTCGATAGGTTGCTCTTCCTTCTTCGGTCCATCTTGAGGCTGCGCATCGTTATTGGTCGTAGTCTTGGAGTCTGTGCCTTTTGAGACATCCTCAGGATCAATCTCCATGAGATCAGATTCGTTATCCTTGGCTTGTGGGGCATTCTCGCCTTGCGATCCCTCCTTTTTCTGTGCAATGTCTCTGCTCTCTTCTTTCTCAGCCACTCGCCTAGCTGTGTGGTGATGTACTAAAGTACTCTCATAAAAGTTTTGAGCCAGCACTGGGTTCTTCCCGGCATTCGGTATATCTGACACTTGTAATGTCCAGTGTTTCACTTCTTTGCCGGAGAAGAGTCTCTCCACGCGTATATCTGACTTTCCGGGTATAATGGGCTTTGACAAGTTCAATTCCTGAGCGGCCGAATCATTCCATGTTGTCGTACATCTCATATAATATTGCTCGATTTGATTGACCTTCCCTGGCTCAAACTTGGGCTTGAATATGTTATGAGGTTTAGTTAGGAGGGTATACGTCGCAGTTTCTTGCGGATCAAGTACTCCTGTAAGAGCTTGAAGTGTGGATACTGTCTGAATGTAATTCTGTTGTGAAATGCTAGCACATAGTAGTAATTGATGAACCATGGCTGGAGTGAAGTAGTTTGAATTCAAATGTTCAGTATCGCGCTCAATACCCCAGACAAGACGAATATCACTAGATCTAGCAAAGAGCTCGCAATGAAATCGGGCTAACTTAGTGTCATCGATAGTTCATCAATTCTGAAATTACAATGAAGTTGGTGCCTGGGTTTGAAGTAGTTTTTATTTACAAGATTTTGATATTTGGCAAAAACTCTGCATCTTCCTGTAAAGTTGTGAACTGGAAGGAGAACACGGCTGTCTGGTAAAAACAAATCCATCCTTAATTACTTTACCATGTACTTGATAACACAAATCAAAAATATGCAACCCTTCTACGTAGAGACTATAAAAAGGGGTTTACCTGTAATCCCGAGCGTGCAAAAGTTCTTGTCTAAGTGCTACATCTGTTTATAATCCCTGGAACCTTTTCCTGTCTTTCTTTAATATTACTTATTATACAAAACGTAAGTGGAAACATAGGTGACACTAGAACATCACTAAATGTCCTTCTTGGGTTCAATCTTCTCTGTAGACTCGTCAGAGGTGTCTTCGGAGAAGGCGACAACAATGTATGCGATGAGTACACCATTTGCAGCAACAGCTGCAGAGCCACCACTCACTATTGGATTACCACTGAACAAATACTGAACCGTGAAAAACGTTACAAGTGGCAAGAAGACCATGGCGGCGGTGAACATTAGGAGCTTCTTCACGACTGAGCTGCTTGTTAGTTTTGTTTTCGTGACACAAAGTGGAAGTAGCAGTCGCTTCTACCATCACAAAAATTTAATTGACATACGCTGGGACATCGACAGCCATATTTAAGGTTCGTTTAGGAAGTGTAGCTGACTGAAGACCGAGTAGTTTATCGGGAAGCGCCTATGCACTCCAGTATAGAGAACAGCGGTCTTACCCTCAAGCAAAAGGTCATTGAAACATGAAATCTCGTTCACGAGTGAATTAGAAGATCAATAATGTTCAACATTTTAAGAAAATAAATAAATTGTAGCCTAGGGTATTGAATATGGCTTCAACAAATTAGGGTCACGTGACTTCCATGGCAGTTGGCAATTTCCCTGATCAACATGTTTCTGCTCAGTATCGGTACCGAACAACTATGAAGCTTATCACCAGTGTTGCGCTCTGCGCAAGCGCTGCAATGGCATTTGTCAACACAGCCCCTATGTATGCCAATGAGGCATTCTTCAAGGACCACTACCTCACGGATGTTCATGATGTGTCCTCGCAAGTGGACAGCCTCACTAAAGAGTTGTGTTCTGACCTGCAACACCTTCCATTGATAATTGCTCGTGTCAAGCATCTCTCTAAGAAGTCTCTGGATTTAGCAAAAGTATCTACGAATGTTAGATATGAATCATCCAAGCAATTGGACTTAGCATTGCATTCTTCGTGCCAGGTACATTACAGCACCAGCCTCCCAAAGGAGATTTCCGCTGGCAACATCTATGTTGCCGACTTGGATGATGAAACAGAATACACCCCCAATGAGCTTCTCGAGAAAGGGGTCAAGATGATCGTTCAAGGCAAACCCTCTGGCGCAAAGTCTCGCTCATTTATGGCAGGCATCAAGGGATACATGGGCGACTTTCAACAAGGCTGGGCCAAAAGAGAGGAGGAAGATGCCGAAGAAGATGTTGCAGCATACGCGGAGGTTGAGTCTGCTTTCAGAGCCGCTGAGTCCATGATTGCTCACGAGGAGGGCGACTCATTTGTGACCGCTTTGGCTGACGACAAAGAAATCTCCTCTGGAATAAAGGAGTCGAAAGTCAACGCTAACACAACTTCAAACCTTTTCACCAAATATCAATTTTTCACCCCAGGGATCTGGCTGTGCTTGATTGTTTCCTTGTTCTTGGTATACGTGTTGAACACAGCGCTTGGATGGATCACCTCTATCCAAGTGACATACAAGTCATTCGAAAAGCAGGTTGACTATGAGAAGAAGACCGAGTAAATTAGTATCTAGATAATTATATCACCAAACGTAAGGTACGATTTTGTAAGGAACCTGTTTCTCGTATTCCTCCCAGGCTTTACCGTACTTGGCTCTGCACTTGGCCTCGTCTCTAGTTTGTCTATGCACCAATAACGTGGCAAAGTAAACCACGTAAAAATATGTGAAGGGAGTCTGGGTACCGGTAGGTAAACACCATGACCACCCAATAAGCCAATCGCCGAAGTAGTTGATATGCTGCGAGAGTTTCCACCAGCCATCGACGAGCAACTTAGATCCCGTTGGAGTGGAGATACTCTTCATGTGATCGAGCTTTCCTTGCTTGAAATCAGACTTCTGTTGGTTAGCAGAGTGGAAAATGTAGTATCCGAAGAAGCTGAGTGCCAAGATGGAGCCGATTTGTACTGGGGTCAAATCAACGGCATTACCTTCCAACGAGAGGTAGCGACATTGCAAGGAATACGACCAGGGAAGCCATGCCAAATCACCGAAAGCAAGCATGAAACCGAAGCCATCTGTGGCAATGTCCATCATGGTCAAGCAGCCCTCTTCGTTGAGCACACCATCGAAGATATAGAACGCTTCCAAGAAGTTGATAAGAACCAATGAATTTGAAATCTTGCCAAACTTGTGATACTGGTTGTGAATGCAAGACAAGTTAATCAAGAAAAGCAAAAGCATGCCTGGTCTCAATTCACAGAACAACTTGATATCCCAAGCGCCTATTCTGGGGTTCAACTCGCGACCTATGAACCAATCGTAAATGGGGTTACCAGAGTTTCCATTAATTGAAAGAATTCTTTCTTTGGTACCGAGACCATTTTTTTCACGCAATGGGATGAATGAAATAAAGTACACGAAGAAGGACACGATGAACGAATAGATGATGGTGACGAAGATCAATTTGGCTTGGTTGTCGTAAAGGAATTGTAATTCGGGAAGGAAGTAGTCCGGAGATGCAAACAATCTTGCAAGAAGCAAGACAATCAATGTTCCACTCATGAAGACACCATTGATTCTATATGGCAAGTGCGTGCCATCACGAAGCTCGATACCATCCATGTCCTTGCCTGGGGAGTAGACATCAAGCACGGCAAGTACGAAGAACCACGTCAAATAAGCCGTCCACACAGTCGAGTCAAAACATAATTCCTTCCACTCTGCCCAATTCTGGGGGATCTGCTCAATGACTTTGTCGAGATCGAGCAGGATGCCCTTGATGGAGTACTGTTCATTGCACACGGCGTAAAAGAACACCAAGATGATCGGTAAAAATGTGGCGATACCCAAAGCGCCTGGAACGCCGAAGAACTCTTTGTGTTGGGTGACGGGGTTCAATTTAGACATTGGCGTTGGCAAAAGTGAGCTTGTCTCAGGTGCTTTATAAAGGCTGTTTACGAGCTAAGCGATGCGACTAGTAAACGAGAGCGAGCGAGAAAACGACGTGTGCGACATGCGTGGTCATTGAAGCAATCATTGACGAAAAGAAATCAAAGTCACAAAAACTAAAGGCAAGTGGTGAAAAAAATTTAGTATGTATATCTGAAGTTCACCACCAAGGGGTACATGTGTATTGAGATTTGACAATGACCGAGACGCCAAATGCGACAACCTCGGAATGGCCAGCGTACGCGAAGGGATTTTTACTGTTTGGGAAATCTGAAGGAATGTGAACTAAACAAGAGTGGGATGTCCCCGAAAAGAGGAGCAAAACAAAGAGGAGAACGAGACAAAGAGCTTGCTATGTCGCGTACTCTCCCTTGTTTGACTTTCGCTTTTGTGGTACATCTTCCCTGCTCTTGTTCTCAGTGACTCTAAAGGGGCTGTTTTTGTGAGTTCATTATCTTGAATTTTTTTCGGGCCCTCGCCCAGGAGAAAATCATATCCCTTCCCAATACAGCCAAATTACGTGCATGGCGCGGCAATGACAGCAACGTTTCTTCGCGAGCATGGAGCCACAAAGATAAGACTTTGCCTGGATTTTTCGGAACGTTTCAAATTCTAAAGAGATTAGACTTCACAAAATTTAATCCTAATATAGCATGGCCAATCTCTCTCGCAATCCCGTCGATTGGTTCCGTACTCGCTTGACGTAGTAGAGGCGCATACGTTTAAATAGAAGTGCACACCTGACTTGGTTCTCGAACGTTTTTTACCGGGTGTTTGACGTTATGGCCAAAGCGCATGTGGACTCAAATAGGCGGCTCGACATAAAGGGCCATTCACTGTGAGAGGTCTCATTCTCTGCAATTTTTTCTATTACGGTCTAGCTCCACGTCCGCTCTTGTGCACTCCGGCGTCTGAATCGGCTTCTCCAGGGTTATTTTTTTTTTTTTTTTTCCCACAAGGCGGCCTGGCTTGTTTTCATTCACCACAGTCGAAGCTGCATTTTCATCCCCTGTCTCATTCACCTACTGGAGGTTATACCTGACTTATTTTTGCTTACCCTTAAACACCACAACCTGCTAAGTCTTTTACTTCTTCAGTTCATTTCCTACGGTTGCATACACCCTGAATATATTCCACTCCCCCTATACTTGATTATATTACATGTTAGCTTCCATGCCAGATTCTTCACCAATGAGGCCCCAAGAGCCCATCAAACGGAGACGTGGAAGACCCCCGAAGCATAACAAGCTGCCTGAAGCCTTTCCCACCCTCACGTTGCAGTTCCAGACCTCCCCTGACTCGGGTTCGCCAACTGCTGAGTCCAACTCGAATATGATGGTGAAAATGGGCGAACCAGACGCTTTCACCCCATTGATGAAAGTTTCACCGTCTAACCCTTCTTCAAGGAAACGCAGACGGAAGAGTACTTACCACTCGGACATCGACGACTCGCCCAGCAAACGGTCTGTGGCGAGCCAGAGCACCGACTTGGGTTCTGAAGAGCCGCTTTTAACTCCAATGTCCTTGTCATCAGTCAACGGTGGGCCGAGCCTGTACGTGAATGCTAAGACTTTGGAAAACTTGTCCTTCATCACAAAGGGTGATTCCAAAAAGCATCCTAGTTCAAATTGCTCGCTAGCTACACCTCCGAAACACCAGCCATATGATAAAAACGGTACCTCGCTGGCGAAACTTACCGCAAAAATCATCAGGACATCACAGGAGAAGAAGACCAATGCGGACGAGCCCAAGGAAAGACTGTCTGGTACTATGAGCTACGTAGATGACGACTCATTTCTGTTCCAGCTTGTCGTTGACGAGAAGGGAAAAGCCGCTTTGTCGAATAAAGGCATGTCTGGGTCGAAGACAATTTCAGACCATCTCGCAGAGCTTCCTCATGAAATGACTCGGCCTTCCGCTTTGCTACACCTGAACACCGCCATCGGTATTGAAGCATGGCACCAATCATACAAGGAAGAGGTGCCAATTGACTTTAACAAGAGAAAGCTTTCAGAACCTGTGAAGCCCATATTGCCTTCGTATGCCACTCTCGTTTCTGGGTCGGAGACAGATCCACTGCCTGACAAACTCATTGTCCCACAGACACCTCAAAGCAGTGGGATTGCCTACAGTGAGACCCCAATATTCATGCAAACGGATAGCAGTGCTCCTAGCGGGGACTTAGCATTCAACCTAACACCACAGTTCAATGCCATGATGTATCTGATGATGAATATCAATTCACCACAGCAGAAAAGAAATTTGTCACTGCAACAATCTTTCTTGAATCCCCAATTGGATATGCACCAGTATTCCAGACTCAATGGAGGCCTGGCGCATGCTATTGATACCCGGGAATTACTTGGAATTCAAGACTCGTCACCAAAGAGCTCGTCATCTGACGAAGGAGATGCTCGTGCAGCCCTCCGTAAAGCATTCAATAGAGGAAAGTAATACACTATCGTTAAGTTCGTTCTTTGTAAAGCGGTAAATGCTCTGTAGCTCACCTCCAAAAGATTACATGCGCTATTTGAGAGCATAGCGTTACTGTGAAGACCGAAGAAAAAATACCATCGTGATTACGTGGTAATATATCATCTCTTATTACTGTTTCCATAACCCTAGTTCATCTCTTGTAGCAGAACTCGCTTCAATGCCTCGATATGCATGGCAATGCGCAGAAGAGGTACTGCCTTGCAGCTCAGCTGCATCGATAGCTTAGACTACGGATTACTGATGAGAGCCAACAACAAATGAATGTAGCTAGTGCGTCTAAATAAATCATACTATGAGATTCGAGAGGAAGCTTTATTGTTCACAATAGGCTGCTGAGCCACACAATCCATGGCCACTATCGTACTCAAGGTTAGACTTTGTCATTCGCACGACTTCACGTGACTATTTTTTTCAAAAACAAGTTTGGGGTTACCCGGCCGGAAAATTCTGCGAGTACCCTCACTGTATAAAATTTTTTTTTCACACAGCTTCCCTCCTCTTTACTCCAACACAACACAACTACAATGTCTCACAGAAAGTACGAAGAGCCAAGACACGGTTCCTTGGGTTTCCTCCCAAGAAAGAGAGCTGCCAACTCTAGAGGTAAGGTTAAGTCTTTCCCTAAGGATGTCAAGTCCAAGCCAGTCGCTTTGACCGCCTTCTTGGGTTACAAGGCTGGTATGACCACCATCGTCAGAGACTTGGACAGACCAGGTTCTAAGATGCACAAGCGTGAGGTCGTCGAGGCTGCCACCGTTGTTGACACCCCACCAATGGTTGTTGTTGGTGTCGTCGGTTACGTCGAGACCCCAAGAGGCTTGAGATCTTTGACCACCGTCTGGGCTGAGCACCTTTCTGAGGAGGTCAAGAGAAGATTCTACAAGAACTGGTACAAGTCCAAGAAGAAGGCCTTCACCAAGTACTCCGCCAAGTACGCTAAGAACGGTGAGGAGATCCAGAAGGAGTTGGCTAGAATCACCAAGTACGCTACTGTCGTCAGAGTTCTTGTTCACACCCAGATCAAGAAGACCCCATTGGCTCAGAAGAAGGCTCACCTCGCTGAGATCCAGATCAACGGTGGTTCCACCGAGGACAAGGTCAACTGGGCCAAGGAGCACTTCGAGAAGGAGGTCTCCGTTGACTCCGTTTTCGAACAGAACGAGATGATCGATGTCGTCGCTGTCACCAAGGGTCACGGTTACGAGGGTGTTACCCACAGATGGGGTACCAAGAAGTTGCCAAGAAAGACCCACAGAGGTTTGAGAAAGGTTGCTTGTATCGGTGCCTGGCACCCAGCTAACGTTCAGTGGACTGTCCCAAGAGCTGGTCAGAACGGTTACCACCACAGAACCTCTATCAACCACAAGGTCTACAGAGTTGGTAACGGTTCCGAGGAGAACTCTGGTTCCACCGAGTTTGACAGAACCGCCAAGACCATCAACCCATTGGGTGGTTTCGTTAGATACGGTAACGTCAACAACGATTTCGTCATGGTTAAGGGTTCTATTCCAGGTGTTAAGAAGAGAGTTGTCACCTTGAGAAAGTCCTTGTACGTTGACACCTCCAGAAGAGCTCTTGAGAAGGTCAACCTTAAGTGGATCGACACTGCCTCTAAGTTCGGTAAGGGTAGATTCCAGACCCCAGCCGAGAAGAGAGCTTTCTTGGGTACCTTGAAGAAGGACTTGGAGAACTAAGCGCGCTTAGGATCCATTTTCTAGGATTTGTATATTTTAATCATAGGTATACTCAACTTGTGTGTGTAGTACTGTAACCGCGAAGATCTATGTTCGCGATTAGGTAAACACATCTGCGATCTATCAACTGGCCCCCATGTCCCTGGTGATCCTGAATTCGGGATCCCTTTACAGCACATATATTTCGACGGTAGATCATCTACCCTGTGATATCGTTCGATCGTTATGGCTAGTCCAGTCTTGTAATGTGGCTGTTCAAAAAGAGGAGGAGAAGTTGAATCAACTATTCGCAAAGCATGGGAACGAAACGCAGAGAGTCAGTGCTGGGCAATATTACCAGCTGAGAAAAAGAATAATCAGTTTATCTGAAGAGGCCGCCGAGGAAATGAACGCCTTGCATCTCCAACTACGGTCTCACGAAGGTATGCTCAAAGATGAGATTTTGCAACTCGAGAAGGTCGCCGAGGCACCTGCTACTAAAGATGACTCTAGTGCCGAGTCACTACGAAAGCAGCTTGAAGAACATTACAAAAATCACCCCCTTCCTTCTCAAACGGAGGCTTTGCGAAAAGAGAAGAAGAGGCTGGAATCTTCAGGAATCAAGCTCATTCTCAAGCTTTCAAAACACGATGAGCGACGAGTTATACGAAAGAGGGGGAGGCCCCGGAAAGATGAAAGTCCAAGTCTACGAGGTATCTCAGACGTAACTGCTGATGCCAAGGTCCCGTCAAGGCCGTCGAGGCTTAACATTAAACAACCTAAACCCAGACTCAAAAGGCTTATCCCGCAGCCTGAGCCAGAGCCAGAACCCGAGGCAGCATTTGAGCCCGCAGCAGAACCCGAGGAGACCTACTGTTTCTGTAAACAGCCGTCTTTCGGAGATATGATAGCCTGTGACAATGAGAAGTGTCCAAACGGTGAGTGGTTTCACTACAAATGTGTCGGTCTTCTCAACCGTGTCGAGGCGCTCAAGTATACAACACAGAAATGGTACTGTTCTGACGATTGCCGGCAAAAGGTGCAGGCCATTTCCGAAAGGAAGAGGAAGAACAAGAAGAAACGGAAGAATTGGTGATCTAAGCGGAACACGTCTCTTATTTTTCCATTATGCCGTCTATTTATTATCAAATCGCCAACAACTCCAACATGCCACTCATTTCTTTAGCATCCTTGCATTTCCTCACCTCTAGTCTTATGCGCTGTGACAACGTGTTGAAAGCCTCCTCAAGAGCAACACTTCTGCTGAGCAAGTGACCGTAACTTTCAAGAATAACAGCAAGGTAATCACAGATAATATTGAAGAATCTCACGTCTTCGAGGTTCTTGATACACCACTGCACTATGGGCATCAAGGAAATCTCATCCCTACCATATAATGCCGCCCTAATCTTACCTCTCTTCTTTAATTCATGCAAAACAGTGACAACCTGGTCTTTTGGATAATCCCCACTAACAGCGACATCTAGAGCTTCAGCCCACCTGAAAGCGCGGAGGTTTCTTTCGTAAGCAGTGATCTTTTTGGGACCAGTACCTGCGGTAGACACAACTTGAGCACCTTCATCTCCGGTATAGTCATTACCCTTGATGGCTCTGGCATATGAAAGACTATGCTCTTGTTTCTGTTGCACCATTTTGGGCTCGGTTTTCCTCGTTCTGATGGAAAGAAGACCTGACGTCAATCCTGTTGCAAAATGCTTGTAGTTAGGCGAAACGGCAGTGCACAAGACACCACCACTTCCGAACTTCCAGCCAAATTTGACATCCCAATTTGGCGAGCTGTAGTCGAAAATTTTAACATGACCGTCAAGCGAACCAACGAGCAAACCTCTGTTTCCAGCATCGTGCAAAGAAGTCGCCGTCTTGGTGAAGTTTGTGAACTCACGGATCTGTGAACCTCTCGCCAAGTCCCAAACCTTGACTTGCGGACCACCAGCACTGACAAGAGTGGTTGGTGAAAGAGCCAAAACATCCTCTACTGGGCTCCCCTGGTCGAATTTGGCGACTGGATCAGGTTGTCTGGTGTCAAAGAGTCTGACAACACCATCGTAACAACCAGTGGAAATCAAGTTGGGATTTCCTGGAACAAAAGCACAGCTTCTGATATAATCGTCGTGGTGAGTGTCATCGAACTCAACTAAAGGCCCACTTGTGCTTTGAGATATATCGTACACTCTCATTACTCGGTCATCCGAACCAGTGACAAGCTGGTTACCGATTGTAGGATGGAATCTAGCCACATGAGAAGGATGTGATGATGGTGATAGACTGACAAGGAGATTACGAGGCTGGTAAGCGTCGAAAATGGTCACTAGTCCCAGGGCATCGGCCGCGACCAAAAGCTTACCATCATATCTGTACTCACCCGAGTAAACGGTGTCTTTGAATCTCGAAAAGGTTTTCGTGACTTGTCTTGTTTTAGAAGAAAACACTTGGATTCTCGTGGAAGATGTAACGGCGAAGTCGTGTGGAGAAACTGGGTTGAAGTGAATGTGGGTGATGGGATGGTTTTCCTTGATGAGCTGTGGATTCAAAAACCCACGCCAGTATTTTTGCTCTGGGGTCGTTTTAGCCGGCAACACGGGCGCACGCGCCTGCTGCACTCTTTGCCTGGACGACGACATGGCGATGAATTGTTGTAATGCTGCCTCTATCAAAAGGTCTTTTCGATGGCAGGCAATTTTCCAGGCATCGTTCGCACGTGTATAGACGCACGTGACGCTGACCTAAGATGGGCATCGCGTGGATAGCCCTGCTCTGGTCAAGATCTGATAACGAGGGAAGAAGTCAAATGATGTGTAAAGCGTGGACATGGAGTCATGTAGCCTTCAAATGAGGGATTGACAGGATCAGCCAAGGAGTGAATGAACACCAAAAGTAATCGCGTTATCGTATTTTATTTTGAATAAACTTCATCACCTCATTTAATTTTTGACTTGACAGAAAGAAAGTGTCTTGCAGAGGCGCCGCATGGATTGTGGCCATTCAACTGCTTACTAGTTTATGACTGTAAGAAAAATTATTGCGCGAATGGACATGAGGCTTCGGCATCGTGGTCCGAGATGCATCTTTCGCAGTCTTTGTGGTAGGTGGTTATGAAGGATGTGACTAGGTACCCCTATTGATTGAGCCTCATGAGCGGCTAATTTCTTGAGAAAGTGGACGGACATGAAAGCTGCCATTGAACAGCTAATCTTGGTAGAGCCTGATTCTACATTTCCCACCTCGATGGATTTCTAAAGCATTGATATAATCTCGGTGCTTAGGCCGTTTTGGGAGCAACAGACAGGTTCGGTTGACGGGTTTTGGTGCAGGAGATCTGTCCTGCGGGTGCATATGAGCCTTGGCCAGCGGTTGCCCTCATTCGGTTCGTTATACTGAATTTTCGCCGGTATAAATACATCTCTGCTCGCCGGAGTATTCCAACATAGTACTTCAACCATGGGAAGCTTGCAATTCATCGCGGACGAGGTCGGACTCAAGACGTTGGTCAACGGTGGCCTAGACGTCTACCTCATCATCTTCATGAGAATGGTGAGGTTATTGAGTTTCGGTGCTACCTCCTTGATTTTGGTCATCTTTCTTAAAGAACTCGGTATTGATGAAGCCACCATCGGCTACTTCATGACTTTAGCGTTCTTTGGTGACTTGATTAAGTCCTTCTTGTTTTCATTGATTGCGGATGGGTTGGGCAGAAAGTTCACCTTGATCTTGAGTTCCGCTCTTATGGCCCTCACCTGCTTCGGTATCGCCTACTTTGACAACTTCTATGTTTTGGCTGTTGTCGCTGCCTTGGGTATCTTGACTCCTGGAGGCGGTGAGGTTGGCCCTTTCAGATCCATTGAACAGAGTGCCATCGCCTCTTTGGTGCCTCACGATGAGAGATCTGACATTTACGCTTGGTACACTTTCTTGGGAACCTTCTCATCTGCCTTAGGCTCTTTTGTGTGTGGCTCCTTCGTCGACTTGTTGCAAGACCAATGGCACTTGACTGCTTTGCAGGCTTACAAGGGCGCTTTCACTGCCTTTGGTGTCTTGTCTGTCATTTGCCTCTTGTCGTGTCTCTTCTTGACACCAAGAATGGAGGTGACCCACAAGCCAAAGCCATCAGTTGAACAGGCTGCTGGCGAGGCTGCTGCCTCCTCTGCTGAAACACAGGATGGCCCTGTGGAGTCCAATGAGACCCTGGAGTTGATTCCAAAGAAGAAACCAAAATGGAGACTCTTCCCCGAGTTGAGCAAAGACATTGTATCCATCGTTCTCAAATTGTCCTTCCTTTTTGGACTTGACGCTTTCGCTTCCTCCTTGGTGCAAGGTTCGTGGCTCACTTACTATATCAAACATAAGTTCGATGTTAGCTCCACTACGCTCGGTACTATCTTTTTCATTACATTTTTCATCGCTGGCTTTGCATCTCTCTTGAGTACCTCTTTCACCAAGAGATTGGGTCCAGTCGTCACCATGGTGGTCACTCACTTGCCAGCCTCGGCTATGTTGATTTTGCTTCCTATTCCAAAATCCTTGTCAATCACTTTGGCCATCATGTTAATTCGTGCCTCCACTCAGTCCATGGATGTTGCTCCAAAGCACGTTTTCCTTGCCACCTTGGTGCCTGCTGACTACAGAACTGCCGTGTTCGGCTGGACTAACATTGTTAAGACAATGGCACAGATGTTCGGTCCTTCAATCGCGGGTTACTTGACCGGCGAGGGTGTTCAATGGATCACATTCATCATGGCTGGTTCCTTGAAGGTGCTCTACGATGTCGGTATTTTGGCCACTTTCTTGTCCTTTAACAGACATAAGGCTCATTAAGCGATGCTGGCTGCAAGTGGTGCGCATAAATGGAAGTATGCAAATCAGTTCCAGCTGCTTGTCACATGGCCTCGGCCAAACTAGATAATATATAATAGAAGTATTTTTACATTTTACGAGACCAGCACTTTTCACTACCGCTTAACACACAACACCATGCTACGGCGCTATATAGGCTATGTTGTATTGCCGATATTTGCGTTTGTCGTGAACCATACCCCGGCTTTGTATGGGTACTCATCGACTTCGTCCTCGATGTGTGGTTATTCTGGGTCCGCAAGATCTATCACTGGCACACCAGAAAAGATAGCTTGAATGAAGCCTTGAAACAGCTCAAGTCCGTGGAGAACTATAATGAGTGGAAAGCCATCGTGACCGAGATAGACAGACTCACGAACATGGACATCTGGCGCCAGAACTTTATATCCAAGCACTACGACTATATGCTCGTGAATGAAAGGATGTCGTTGCTTCGTGAAGCTAGGCTTAACGAGGATGCATCCCTTTTGATGTCGTTACTTCGTTCCGGGCTTCTCCGCAATTTTGGTGGTATTGCCCAGAAGAGGCTCTACACGAAAGCCTACTTGGGCACCAAGTTCAAGATCCAAGAGTATATTATTGAAGTACTCGACTGCCTTAACTACCTCAATGACTCCATCCATGCTGAGCGTGCTAGTAACGACTACATCATGAACAGCAAGCAGCTCAAGCTCGATTTCTTCCATGACGCAAGGCAGTCCTTTGGATGCACCGGTTTGATTTTACAAGGTGGCTCCCTCTTCGGCTTGTGTCACCTTGGCGTTGTTCGTGCATTGTACTTCAAAGGTTTGCTTCCTCGAGTTATCGGCGGGAGTGCTGTTGGAGCCGCGGTAGCAGCCTTAGTGTGCTCTCTCACTGATGTGGAACTTATACCGATTTTGGTGTCCATCACCGATGTTATGGGCAATGTTGATACCTTGAACCATGATGTTGATGAGAGATACGGCAACGTTATTGAGAATGTTGTCCGTAAGGGGTACTCCCAGGATATCCTTGTCTTCCTCAAGTTTGTCAGAGACACCATAGGTGACTTGACGTTCGAGGAGGCTTACTTAAAGACGGAAAAGATCCTCAATATTGTGGTGCACCCAACTCATCCATCCATTCCTTCGTTACTCAATTACATCACTGCCCCTAACGTTATCATATGGACAGCTATCTACGCATCCATCGGCACAGGCGTTCTTTCGGATAGCGTGCAGCTCTACGTCAAAGATCTTAAAAATGAGATTGTTCCTATGGCTCCAGAGTTAGATATCTCGTTCTTGAAACCACAGGATGTCAGCTACCAACAGCACTATTTTGGTCACAAGAAGAAAGATCTGGAAACGAGTTTGTTCTCTGCACCAGCAGAAAGTTCACCCTATACCAGACTCACGGAGCTTTTTAACGTGAACCATTTCATCACCAGTTTGGTAAGGCCTTACCTTGCACCCCTCATAAGCAACGACCTCAAGCATCATAATGCCTACGGAAAACTTCGCTTCAGCGACGACGCTCTTAATATATTCTGGAATGACGATACGAAAAAGCTTGAGAAACCCAAATCGTCGGCTTCACACATTGATGTTCTTACAAAGGATTCATCCTACAATTTCCGAAAGCACCTCAAGAATGTTATTGGGCTCGAAATCCAGCATAGACTTGACGTCATGAACAAGTTGGGACTCTTGCCGGAGATCGTTAAGCGACTTTGCATCGATGAGAAGCCTTCAACTGCTAAATTTTCAACTAATTCAAGAGAGATCACCATTGTTCCTGAGTTGAGATATTTGCTTCGTGACATTGGTCGTGTTTTTGATGTCCACAAAACAATGGAGAATATACCCTATTGGATTCTTGTGGGTGAGCGGTCGGTGTGGCCTCTCTACCCACTTCTTTGGACCAGGTGCTCAATCGAATTTGCATTGGATGACTTGTATAGTCTCCACCGGAAGCGGAGAAAGTAAGTAAAATGGTATTAACGGAAGAAAAGTTTGACATTGGAATCCTTGGTGATGTTGTAGACAAATTCATTTTCAGCCACAGCCGTTGGAGATGGAATGGCGCCCTTAGATATCGTCAAGCATCCAGTAATATCTTCTGCTCTACCAGTAGCAAGTGGCAGGAGATTGATGTTGATGGAGGATTTGTGAAAGAGCTTGACGAAGAAGTCGGTCACTTTTGGAACAACCTCTGCGGACATGTTGGCGTCAAAGTTAATGAGCGATGGCTCGGCGTTGATAATAACGAAGATTGAATTGCTGATGGCTTGTAAAGACAGCATGAAGTAAATCAAGCTATTGCTGTCATAGTTTGTTGCAGCGAGGAGGATCTCGGGATTCTCCAAGATGATAATCCTCAGCTCATGCTGTACCTCCTCTACCTTTACCCTCAAGTCATCAAGGTACTTGTCGATGGATGACTTACTATTGCTAGCATTCGGGACGTGTTTAGTGAAAAGGTCTGTGAGACCATCTATGAAGGTGAAGTTCTTCTCGTTGTCCAAGTTCATGCCATTCTTCCTGCTATTCTTCACCACAAAGCTCTTTGTGTTTGTAAATGAGATGTAAACCACATGGCTCCTATTGGGGATCTTCTTGTTGATATCTCTATTAGTGGTGATGGCGGTGCCCAAAATGGCATTTTCCATGAGCGAACTCACGAGCCACGCTGGACTTGTTCCCTGAACATGGCCTATAATGCCCAATTGAGAAGGTTTGAGTTTGAGGAAAGAATCAGGAAGTATGGAATGGTCGGCAAAGAGCGATAGGTCCTGCTCGGGAACGGAGGACATGGCAGTCTTGAATCGGTGCAGATAGATGGTGATGAGGAAGTGATGCGCACTAATTCGCAGCCATTAGACCTGAGGTAAGAGAGACGGAGCCGAAACACCAAACATTTGCGTTTGGTTTGAAATCAGAAATCAAAGAAAGCTTTACTTCGAAAAGGCCATAGAGATCACAGTTGGATAGACCTCTTGGCCAGGAAGCGCTTGGCTCCAGAAGTGACAGTTTTCTGCTGGTGTGATTTAGCTGCCAGTTAAACCGCCTAGGAAGAGATCACATAATTTGTAAGATTTAGCAACTCTAATTAAAAATGGAAACCTTTCATGGGATCGTGTGGGGCGTTTCTCTCCGAGAAGGATGCCCTGATTCCGCAGTACATCTAACATTCAGGAACCCTTATCGGGATGAGATCTCACTAGACAAATTTCTGTTTCTTTTTGCATCCGAGAAAGCTTTAAGATCCAGTATGGTAAGCTACAAGCTTCAAGAGCGCATCGCCTCCCAAATCTAAAAATATATGCGTTTTTGTGCCATTGTCGTTGGCATATCAGCTAATGCGTGGAACGGAAGTGCCGTGCGAGTCTCACCTGCTCCATGCTAATGCCTTATCAGACACCCCACTATGGATAGCGTTGAAACATAAAAATTGAATCCCCTTAGTTTCACTTGCTACAATATGTCCCGCTTCCAGTTTCCGCTGAAGCAGATCTTTCACTTCCTTCAAATGGAAATTTTGTTCGGCCCGTCTACTTGCATGCTATCATCAGAGATGCAGCGGCGCACGGCTCTAGCTGCATTCGAGATAAAATTTTCCATGGTAAATTAAGCTAAGATAAGGCCTATCTTCGTTAGAGGCCCGTCATTTTTCGAATTTGGCGAGTTGAAAATCACCCATTGTGAATATGTCAAAACCGGCCGAGAAACCACTTGCAGATGACACCAAGGAAATCACAAGCCTCGAGAGCCAACCAGTGGAGGAGGTGTACGAGCACGATGAGAGGGAGAGAAGACTTGAAGAAGGTACCAACTTCTTGGATCGCATAGGTCTCAAGTTTAAAGCAGAGATCAGAGGTGTGGAAAGAGTCCCTGAAGACAAAAGAGTTGATAGAAACTGGACCTCTCCACTCACTATGTTCCTTTCTCCCAACATGTCGATTGCCGCTCTTAGTACGGGCATGTTGGGGCCAACGTTTTACAATCTTGACTTCAGAACGTGTGTCTTGGTGATTGTGTTCTGGTCCATTATTGGCTCGATGCCTGTGGGCTTCTATGCTACTTTTGGTGCCAAGTTTGGTCTCAGACAGCAGATCTTATCGAGATACTTCACAGGTAATATCATGGGAAGGATATTTGCCCTCTTTAATGTGATCTCTTGCTGCGGTTGGAACGCTGTGAACATCCTTCCCTCCGTTCAGATGCTTGCATCCATAGGACCACTTCCACCATGGGCAGGATGCTTAATCTTCGTGATCCTCACTTGTATTGTTGCATTACTCGGCTACAAGGCCATTCATCTCTACGAACGTTATTCGTGGATTCCAAACTTCATCATCTACTTAGTCATAATTGCCAGATTGACCATGTCGAAGAACTTCACCTGGGGCACCATGGAAAGCGGAACACAGCAAGCGGGCAATGTGCTTAGTTTCATCAGTGCAGTGTTTGGCTTTACTGCTGGATGGTCGCCTTCTTCAGCGGACTACTTTGTTTACATGCCCTCAGACACCCCATCGTGGAAAATCTTTGCGTGTATGGTGGTTGGCTTGAGTACGCCATGTATCTTTACCCTTACGCTTGGCGCTGCTTGTGCCATGGGGACATTGACGGACCCTACATGGAAAGCTGCCTTTGACGATGGGTCTGTGGGTGGGTTGGTCAACATGATCTTGAATGTGAACAATCTCCACGGCTTTGGCCGTTTTTGCATGGTGGTGCTTGGTCTTTCTTCAATTGCCAACAATTTGCCAGGTTCTTATTCGCTTGCTTTGGCTGTTCAGGCTATCTGGCTGCCGCTTGCGAGATTCCCCAGGTTGGGCTGGTGCTTGATTGGCAATTTTGTGTCACTTGGTCTTGCAATCCCAGCATATTACGTGTTTTCCGAGACCATGAGTAATTTCTTGAGTATCATTGGATACAATGTTGCTATCTACCTCGGCATTTCGCTTACCGAGCACTACATCTACAGAAAAGGCTTCAAGGGCTATGATGTGAGCAACTACAACGATCGCAGGAGCATTCCTGTCGGATACGCTGGTGTGACAGGTTTCCTATTTGGGGTGGCATCCACAGTTTTGCTGATGAACCAAACATGGTACCAGCTGGTGATTGCCCGGACTTTTGGACCTGCGGGTGGTGACATTCTGTTTGAGCTTAATATCGTGTTTGCCTTTGTCGGCTACAATTTGATACGTCCATTTGAGAAGAAATATTTCGGACGTTGATGCACGGCAGCTTAATGTTCTTAAGGCACCAGGAACAGAACGGAGAAAAAGATGGAAGCACACATGCACAAGGCGACACACAAAGTCATGAAGCAATTTTCACTGCCTCATTACACAGAGACGTCAAACCCCCAAGGCACCTCGCATTATCGACCAGTGCCTCATTGAGCCCACACGCCTTCTGATATCGGGCCTTATCAAAGCAACCTAATTCGATCGTCCTGCAAAAACAATAAAAAAAAAAAAAAAAAAAAAAAGCCAAAAACGCCCGCTGACGCCGCAGCCCTGACATCAAGGCGGTGCTGGGCGCGGGCAGTTAAGAGATCCTCTGTAGCGAACGAAAATGCACTGTAGCCGCCTGCATCAGTCTGAGGCAATTCCTTTTCAGCCATCTGAGCTTTGTCATTGACAGACGACAGCCCCTCCACGTGGTGCCAGCTACCAAACTCTAAGTTGAAAAACGAAACGATGAATGTTTTTTATAATTGCAAAAAAAGTTTTTCTTTTATTTTATTTTTTTTTTTTTTTTAGCCTTAAACAGGCTATTAATACATTTCGCTACTTATTGCTGCGCTGATCTGCTGCTTTACTTTGGGACCGCCATGTATGGTACGTGGGGCGATGTGACAGCCTCTTGCTCGGCCTCCCTGCCTCAAGCCAAAAACTTAAAAGTAACCCGTCTGCTGCTTGCGTTTTTTCTCCGTTTCTTTTTTTTTTTTCTGTATTTTATATCTTGCTGTTTTACTACCTCCTGGCTTCGTCCCTGTCCTCCCCAGATGTTGTCCTCCCGTCTTCGGCACCAGCACGAGTCTGTGCTTCTTGTTGTGGCTGCCTTCTCGCTAGTGCTTCTTCTATGGCAGCTAGCCGACTATGATGACCAAAGCATAACCGATGCGTTCAAAAAAGCATCGTTTTCCCTAGGCCCCGATAAGCTTATGAGCGGCTTCGGCTCGGGTGCCTACATTGAACAAGAGCTGCTGCCACTCCATCAGTCCGTTCTTCTACCGGCTAGATGGAATTTCGACGAGGCCACGGTCAAGAGACATTTGCAAAATACCGCCAGCAGGCATTGGCCGATGGTGCAGCCAGAAAAGAGCCTGGATCGCAGCCCGGACCGCTCGAGGTCCAGGTTTGTGCCCCATGAGCCGTTCAACTTATACCACTCGGCGGAAGATTGGCCCGAAGACCAGTGTGACAAGCAGCTCAACTCAACGGTGGATTCGTTGAAAGTGAATTCGAGAGAGACGCTACCGGGAAACTTCACACATATCCTTCAGGTGCTTCTAGAAGAGCACGACGATTACAAGGACCCATATTATCAGGAGATTGCTCCGCTTTTTATGAAGAGTACCCGTATAGCCCTTGAAAAAGATTTGGTCAGCGCATTCTGGTATCGTCTATCAGGCTCATCTGTCTGGCTTAAGGATCACAATGTCCATTTGCTTGTCCTGAGGTTTCTTTATTCGCATTATAAGGCCAGAAACAACCCCAAGGCGAGTTTTGTCTTGGTTCAAGTCTTTGATGAGAATTGGAAGGAAATTCAAGATGTCCGTTTGGTGTTTCCAACAAATAAATTAAGCGATCCTGATGCCCCAGGTTTCGAATCAGATGGCCAGCATTTCCATTCTTACCGTTTTCCTCGCCTCATGCCAGTGCCCTTCTACAATGACTACGGCACCTCGAAGGTGAAATACTTAGGACCGGAAGACCCAAGGGTAATTCTTATCAAAAACCCTGATGGCTACGAAGAGCCTCTCATAGTGTTCAACGCTGAACACCACAAAATGGCCAAAGATATAAATGGCAAGGAAGAAGACAAAAAATATCGCTCCATGTTTATGTCAAGACTTTTCCAGCTTCAAAAAGGCAAGGGCGGGTTGGAAACTAAGGTCAGGCCACTTACTAATGAGATGTTTTTCGTTAGGACGGAGGAGTTGGGAATTAAGGGTGTTGATAGGCCCCGGAAGTCCAAAAATTGGACTCCCGTGATAAGCGACATTGATAGACAACACAGCGGTGGGTACGACAAATCCATTCTTTTCATTACTCAAGTCAAAAACCTTGCCGCTGTGAAGTGTGACTTGGTTGATAACCCCGGTGAATGTGAGGTTTTGTATAAAAGAGACGGTGATATTGGTGAGATGCGTGGTGGCACTCCGCTTCTTAGCGTCAATTCCCTTTTAAGAGAGAAAAATGTCCCTCTCAATCAGATACTTCCTCGCGGACGTGAAGTCCTCGTGGGCTTTGCTCGAGCTCATCTTACACATTGCGGCTGTGGAACCTCCTTCTACCGACCCAATCTTTTAGTGGTGACCAAAGACGAGGTTGAGACTACGGTTGACGGAGAGAGGAAAACGAAGTATTTGTTCAAAGTATCACACATCTCGGGATTCCTCTCATTACATGTCCCAATTGACCCCTGGCATATCGACAAGCCATATGCTGTCTGTCAAGGTGTCAATGCCTTGATCCCTAATGGAGTGTCGGATTGGCTGATGGAAGGACTCGATATCGTGAATGGCCAATGGACAGTGAAAGACAAAATGTCCATTGCATTTTCAGTTTCTGACTTCAGCGTTGATCGTGTGGAAGTAAAGGGCATTCTCAACGCACTCTTGAATGTGCCCGACAAGTCTCTCTTTTTGCAGCCACCGGGAATAGCCACTATCGACATGAGTGCATTTTTACCCCAGCTCAATCTGGAAGGCGAACTCAAGGACGGCGTTCCTGGCTACTCCAATACAAATGTGGGGTGTGCTATTCGCAGTGGTACAGACTTCTGCAAGAAGTTCGGCCAGTCAGAACTGGTTATAGAGGACGAACACAGGCATGAAGACACTTCGATTTACAAGTCGGTTTATGACGACAAGGTAAAGGAGTATGACGAGGCATTCGAAAAGGCCGAAGAAGAGAAAGGTCCCTTTTACTAGGACTTGCTATGTCTGCTTGTATATAATATAGGCTCGGTGTTACCCACATCTAAAGTCCTGATTTTTACTAATTCCGCGTACCTCGGTATTATCCATTCCGAAAATCCTCGGTTTTGCAAGCTACGGATAAGATACCCCGCGAAATTACATATTTAACATTGAGTGAGCCCTTATCTCTGCAACTTCCAAGATGATTCCCGAAAGCTCATCAGCATACACATTTCGGACAAAAACAGTCCCTGCATCCTTCCCAAGAGTCTACAGGGCTATTAAAGATGGCGTTCGCAAGAACATTCTTAAAGTGTGTTACAGAAAGTACGAGGCTACCACCTCTAATGAAAGTAATTTACCCTCGTTCAATCTTGTCTTTCACCATGGCACTGGTATGAATAAGGGAATGTGGCATTCGCTCATCGACCAAATCTACAATGAAGCGAAGTCGTCAGGAGTATACATCAATACGTGTCTAGCCATTGATGCTGTGAATCATGGAGAATCAGCGGAAGCCAATAAAGAATATTTGGGCGAGGGTTTCGATTGGAGAGACGGATCCTATGATATACTCAAAGTCGTGGAGAATGAAACAGATGTATTTCTAGACTCTTCCTCGAAGAACATTATCATCGGTCACTCCATGGGTGGTATGATGTCGCTCTATGTCTCGTATTTGCAGCCACAGTTGTTTGACTCTTGCATTGTCATTAATCCCGTTTGTTATCCTGGCAGAGAAGTTACAATCATCAGGGACAAATTGGTGCCCAAGGGGTATTTGGAGACAAGATTCGACGTTCCAAAAGGCGAGTCTTGGGAGAATGTAGTGAACAAGTACATGAGGACCGGATCATTCTTCCAGAGATTTGATGGCATTGTTCTTGACAACATGATACATGATGAGGTGCCTAAAGATCACTATGGTAAAAAGGTGGATAAAATTGCATTGAGGACGAGTCAGGAATACACGTTGGCGACTTACATGGGGTCCCAAGAGGCGTTGCCACCTATGGGGGCCGTCTTGCAGTATATTCAAATTCCGGTAATAAGATTTCTTTCTGGTGAAGACACAGCACCAGTTGCAGATAGGGAAAGGTTGGCCAAAGACGTTAAAACCATGGAGACTATCCACTTTGCGGGACAAAGGCATATCATGAATGGTGAAAGCCCTGAATTGACTGTGAGGGCACTTCTCGACGTTTTCAAAAAACGTGCTGTTGCGCCACCAACGAAGTTCCCTTTTATTAGTATAAAACCCAAGCTTTGAAAGCTATAGTTTTTAGATAATTTGATATGGGTCACGTGCAGTGGCTGCAAAATAGTTGATAGTTAGGCTCGTAAAAAAATGAGTTTTATCTCATCTCAGGCATCGCAAACTCGCACACACACACTGGTGAAGACGCACACAAGTACAATGACTAGAAGGGAGACTGTTATCGCTTATGTGGCCGAATTTCTCAATTCCGACAAAGACTTGGGGAAAGTCGCCAAAGCTTTGAATGATTACGTGAAGAAGGAAAAGCTCCAATTGCCATCTGTGGCTGGTGACCTCGCATCGTTGCTTTCACTGAGCGACTTGGATGATATCGAAATGAAAGGTGGAGAATCATCAGAATCCGACTCCGACTCCGACTCAAGCTCCAGCTCTAGCTCTAGCAGCTCCGATTCTGAGGGTGACGCAGACTCCGAGTCCAGCTCTTCTTCTGAGTCCGAGTCCGACGACGAGTCCGACGACGACGATTCCAAGTCTGTCACTGAATCGATCTCAGATTCAGAGACCAAGAAGGAGGAAAAGAAGGAATCCTCATCCTCAAGTTCAAGCTCTGACTCCGAGAGCGACTCTAGCTCTAGCTCAAGCTCTAGCTCTAGCTCTAGCTCAAGCAGCGATTCAAGCAGCGATTCAAGCAGCTCAAGCTCTGACTCCAGCTCAAGCGACTCAGAGTCTGATGATGATGAGAAGAAGGGAACTAAGTCATCTTCCAGTTCCGACTCTGATTCTGATTCGAGCTCGAGCTCCTCCAGCTCTTCCAGCTCATCGAGTTCGTCTAGCTCTTCTGACTCGGACTCCAGCTCGTCTAGTGACTCCAGCTCATCTAGTGACTCCAGCTCTAGTAGCTCTAGTAGCTCTAGTAGCTCCAGCTCTGAATCAGACTCGGACTCGAGCTCGGACTCTGAGGATGGGAAGGAACAGCAGGAGACTCCTTCCAACAAGCGTGTGGCTGATTTCGAAGAAAGTACATCGAAGAAGTCGCATATTTCCGCTTCCCCAGAGCCTGAACTCAAGGAGGGCCAGAGAAAGCACTTCTCTAGAATCGATAGATCAAAGATTTCTTTCGAAGACAGCGTCTTGCAAGATAACACTTACAAAGGAGCCGCCGGAACTTGGGGAGAAATGGCTAACGATCGCTTGATGCAGGTAAGAGGCAAAGACTTCACCAAGAATAAGAACAAGATGAAGAAGGGCTCTTACAGAGGTGGTTCCATCACTATGGCGTCCGGATCTTACAAGTTCACTGATTAGGTGAGCCTTCGGGGACTACCATTTGCATTATCACAACAGCATAGTATATAGATGGCTGAAATACCAGCCCGATACAACAACTTTTATTTTGAGTTGCCTTCCTTAGGTATATTTTTTATTTTATCAATGGTGTTTTAAGACTTATCTGTAGCATCTGCACAGTGTGCGCACATTAGAAATCAAACTGAACCGGAGTTGCCTCCCTCTTTAGTCATCATCTTATCCACATGTCTAGAGTCAACTACGCTGATCTTGAACGAGGTAATTTTTCAGACGACTCGTATGACTCTCATGACGAAGAGGTGTACTCGAAGAAAAATGATGATGATTACGAGTATGGTGGACAGAGCAGGAAGAGAAAGGCAGGTGCATCGAGGCAACGGCAATCCAAAAAATCTGCCAACGATACTCCATCAGTAGCTCAGCGGAAAGTCAAGGTTCAGGAGGCTGTGGAAACCATCAATGACCAACTCAGTGATGACGACTTCCCTAATGAGCAGTTAGTGGAGGTAACCCCAGAAATACCGTCTGACTACGTGCCTGATGCCGTATCTAAGGTATTCGGCAGACTGGACTTTTCATACCTCAAGCTTAAACCTGACCATTTCTCCCGTCCCATCTGGATTACTCCCACTGACGGCAGAATCATTCTCGAGTCTTTCTCGCCTTTAGCGGAGCAAGCACTGGATTTCCTCATTACAGTTGCTGAACCAAGATCCAGACCGTCTCACATTCATGAATATTCCATTACTTCCTACTCATTGTACGCTGCTGTGTCTGTCGGTCTTGAGCCCGATGATATTATTGCAGTGTTGACAAGACTATCGAAAACCCCGTGCCAGACTCCTTCTTGAATTTCATCCGGCAGGCCACCATCAAGTTTGGTAAAGTCAAGCTAGTTCTTAAGCATAATAGGTATTTCGTTGAGAGTACTCAAGCTGATATCCTACAAATGCTTCTTACGGACCCTGTGATCGGGCCTCTTCGAATCACCACAGAGAATGAGAAGGCAAATGACGGTACCGAACAAAGGGCTGAAGTGAAGGAAGGGGAGAACGTCAATGGAGGGAATGCTGGTGAAAAGAAGGTGGAAGCTATTTTTGACTCTGTAGTCGGCAAGAAATCCGAGGAAGAGGATGATGATTTGGACGCCGTGCATTCTTTTGAAATTGCAAGTGACTCGGTCGAAATCGTGAAAAAACGTCTTTATGAAATTGAATACCCAGTTCTAGAAGAATACGATTTCAGAAACGATAAAAGAAATGCCAATTTGGAGATTGACTTGAAACCTTCCACGCAAATCAGACCTTACCAAGAGAAGTCGTTGTCCAAGATGTTTGGTAATGGTCGTGCAAGATCAGGCATTATTGTGTTGCCATGTGGTGCTGGTAAGACGCTTGTGGGAATTACTGCAGCTTGCACTATCAAGAAATCTGTGATCGTGTTGTGTACTTCCTCAGTCTCGGTGATGCAATGGCGACAACAGTTCATGCAGTGGTGCACAATTCAGCCGGAAAATATTGCTGTCTTCACTTCTGAAAATAAGGAAATGTTTTCCAGTGATGCCGGCTTGGTGGTCTCAACCTACTCAATGGTTGCCAATACAAGAAATCGTTCACATGACTCTCAGAAGGTTATGGATTTCTTGACAGGTCGAGAATGGGGTTTTGTTATTCTCGACGAGGTGCACGTCGTTCCTGCTGCAATGTTTAGAAGGGTTGTCAGTACAATTGCTGCACATGCAAAGCTTGGTTTGACAGCGACTTTGGTTCGTGAGGATGAAAAAATTTACGATTTGAATTTCTTGATTGGACCAAAGTTGTATGAAGCAAACTGGATGGAGCTTGCTCAAAAGGGTCATATCGCCAATGTGCAATGTGCGGAGGTTTGGTGTCCAATGACTGCAGAATTCTACCAGGAATACCTCAGAGAATCTTCTCGTAAGAGAATGCTTCTTTACATCATGAACCCAACTAAGTTCCAGGCATGTCAATTTTTGATCCACTACCACGAGAAGAGAGGTGATAAGATCATTGTTTTCAGTGACAATGTTTATGCATTACAGGAGTATGCTCTCAAGCTAGGGAAACCTTTCATTTATGGCTCTACACCCCAACAAGAACGAATGACAATTTTGCAAAATTTTCAACACAACGACCAGGTCAACACAATTTTCCTTTCAAAAGTTGGTGACACATCTATTGATTTGCCTGAGGCTACCTGCTTGATTCAAATCTCTTCTCATTATGGATCGAGAAGACAAGAAGCACAAAGACTTGGGCGTATTTTGCGAGCCAAAAGACGTAATGACGAGGGTTTCAACGCCTTCTTCTACTCATTGGTCTCGAAGGACACACAGGAGATGTATTACTCCACGAAACGTCAAGCATTCCTTGTTGACCAGGGTTATGCATTCAAGGTTATTACACATTTATCGGGAATGGAACAACTTCCAGATTTAGCATATGCATCTCCTCGTGAGAGGCGAGAGCTTTTACAACAGGTGCTACTTAAGAATGAAGATGCTGCAGGTGTGGAGGTGGGCGATGATGAGGACACTAACTTCATGCCCAAAGCCGGCAGGCCAAAGGGTGAATCGAGCAGTGCATCAAGAAGCGCCGGATCTCTTGCTGGCTTGGCTGGCGGTGAAGACATGGCATACATTGAGTACAGCAAAAACAAGAACAAGGAGTTGCGGGAGCATCATCCGCTCATTCAGAAGATGTACTACAAAAAGAAAAGGTGAAATATCGGTCCGTTCGCAATATATATGCTCAATCATAAGACGAGCTCACAAAATTCCCAAAATCATCGTCTTCAGAGCACGGTGTGATCTCTCGCAGTTCTTTTTCGCTAATATTTAGCTCATTAATAATTTTGTGCTGTAGATTCGTGAGGTGTTTGTCGTAAATAAATTTCTCCTGGTACGCTTTGAAGCGCCTTCGGTAGATACCGATACTTTCGGAAAATGACATTGCGTTAAATGAATCATCGAATTTCATACCTAATGCCACCTGTAGCACGGATTGCTTTGAAGATGCTTTCTGAAGCGGAAAAGGATGGTATCCGGATCCCGGTAGCTGAAGTACTGCTCTGTAGTATTTGGGAGACTCGGGAGTCATCTTTATGGTCTCGTTTCCGTCATTCGCTATTGAACAATCAATACTTAACTCACGAAATGGGTTGAACCACGCTTCAGCCCAAACTTGTTCTTGTCCAATTCCCGTAAAGTCGTCCAGTAGTTCTCCTGATGGGCTTTTATTATAGAACTCTAGCTTAAGACGCAATCGTTGGTATGGCTCCTTCTTGGAGACAGCGTCTTCCGCATGTTCTTCCTCTTCTTCTTCCTCCTCTATTAGCCTAAGACTGCCTTTCCAGACGACATTTGGTCCTTTTGTTTCCCACCTAGAGAGTGAAACTTCGCCAGGCGGTATCTTGAACACCAGCACATTATGCGTGTCAAATAGTTCGTGGGACACGATTGACATTGGTTCTATCACAGCAGCTAGTCTAATAGATAGCGAAAGTCAAACCAGTCGGTCAAATTGTATGGAAAAATGGGAATATCAAATTTTCTTGGTTATGAGATCTGAGAATAATGTAAGCAATTGCTAAGACCGCTATGCGGTATCTAGAACTGGTATCCTGCAGTGAAGGGGGCCTGTCCACCTAAGCGAACAAGTTCCGGAGGATTAAGGGTCGACAATATATATATATATATATATATATATATACAATTTCATAAACAGCAAGAGTTCTTTGATCAGAGAAATTGAATAGAAGGAGTTTATTCCCTGAAAAACTTTAGATCGATCAACTTCGTCTCACTCAGTTCCAGGTAAGAAAGGAATTCACAGTAAGACAAGTGTAAGTTTTGAAAAAGCGAACTTTATTTTTTTCAACAATTCGAGTCTCCAATCTTTTTTTTTTTTTTTTTTTTTTTTGAAAAGGTAGAATCATCAAGTGCTTTCAATGAATTTACTTTCTCCCGAAGTAACTGCTAATATAAAACGGTGCTGTACACGACCTCACAATTTGGTCTCTCAAGGTGCATCGATCTCACGAAGTTCAACTTGTCAAGCATGCTTAGCGGAAAGCTCACAAAGAGTCTACCAATACAGAGGCTTTCGATTTCACCTCTTATTGCGAGACTGTTCACCTCTCTGCTGCGTGCCTTGAACGTCTTTGACGAGCTTAAACAGACTTCTGGAAAACTGGACTCAGCTACGAAGAAAAATGCCAGTACGGTTTTTGATATTGACGACTTGATTGCCAACTCCCCAGATTTGCAGAAATCCGAGCAGAGCTTTGGAAATTATGACAGCTATGCATTCGGCAACACCGCCAAACATCCTAGAAATGTCGCCAAGGAGCTTAACATAACAGGTACCCAAGCCGGAAGAACTGCTGAGGTGAGATTCGGCAACGTAACACAGGCTTTGAGACAGCTCTCCAGAAACCTCCGTCAAGAAGAACTTATCAGCAGAAAAAATCAGCAGAAGAGACACCTCAGACCTGCTCTTCTCCATGCTGAGAAGCACAGAAAGTGGTGGAGAAAGAACTTTGGCGCAAGATTCACTCATCTTTTGCAAGAGGTTCTGGAGGCCAAGAGAAGAGGATATTAGTTTTGTAAATAGATAATCTACCCAAAGAGTGTTGAGTATACTTATAGTCGTTAATCCAGTGGTTTTATTAGTGTATGCTAATTCTTCTTGCCATTATGGCCGGTACCATTATTATTGTTCTTCTTCGTCGCCTTCTTATCCTTGAAATCCTTTTTGTTGTTGTTGTTGTTTTGCTTGTGAGTTCTTGGTTCGATGTGTACCACAGTGTTACCGACAAGAATTTCCTTCGCCTCCAATGCTCTCTGTTGGAATTCTCTTTCCTTAAAGTCACACAAAGCAACTCTCTGGTTCTTCCTGAAGTACTTCATTTCACCGAAAGTCTTCGTCAATGCAGATCTCAAAGCTTCCTCCTCCACATCAGCATCCCTAATGTAAATCGGGTACCACTCCTCCTTCTTGTTCTTGGAGTTAGTGTGTTGTGGCTGCTGCTGTTGCTGAACAGATGGGGTTGATTGAGCGGGAGATCCAGCCTTCTTCACAGTAGGAGATGGGGCAGGAACATTCTTAGCAGCACCTGGGGAAGCCACAGTTGCGGTCTTTGACTGAGGTACCTTGGGTTGCATAGCAGCCAAGTTTGCCCAAGTGGGCTTGACAGCTGGTGTAGCTGGCTGTTGTGGGGCAGGAGAAACTTCCTTCTTTTCAGCCTCCTTCGGCTCTGCTTCAGTCTTCTTGGGCTTCTCTTCTTTGGTGTTCTTGGACTTCACTTCAGGAACAGGTTCCTCAGACTTCTCCTCAACAGGAACACTCTCCTTGACAGCCTTCTTCTCTGTATCAGCTTGAACCGTGGCGGTCTCTTGCTCACTTGGAGCCTTGGTAGCATCACCGTTTGGAGCTGGAGTACTGGCTTGTTGAATGACAACCAGTGGCTGCTCGAAATTCTCAGAAAGATCAACAAACTTCAACATGTCGTTGGCCACATCAAACATCTTGGTTCCCACATGCTTCAAAACAAAAGTTTGGACAAATTGCCAGAGGCTAGATGAGCCACGCTTCCAAGATCCACAGACCACGATCAAGATGCTGTTCTCCACAGAGGATTGGAAGTCGGCTCTCTCGATAACAATCTTGTTTTTCTCGGCGACAGTGGCCTGCTCAGTGAAGTGGGTTTTAATTGAATCGGTTCCATTGGCAAGGTGAACGGTTTTTGGGACAGGGGTCTCAGACTCGGAGGATTCAACGGGGAAGGCATCATGCAAAAGGGATGCGTTCTTGTCGTAAAAAGCGTACAAGTTTGATAAGTCCGAAGTGTAGGTACCATAGTAGTTCTTCACGAACAACCAGCCAATTTCTTCAATGGAAACGGATTCGGTCTTGCTTTCAGTGACAGTCATTCTATGATAGATCTATGGGATGCTAATGTGGATTGGTGTGCTAATAGATAAAACAATAAGCGCAAAGTTCCGTGGTATAAAAATGAACCGAAGTTGAGAACAAAGGGAAGATTGGCTTTCCTCGCGGGAATTAGGATGACAAGACTTGTTGAAATCGATGAAATGGTTTCTGGAAAAAAAATTTGGAGCAGTGCGACACACAAGCGCCGAACTTCGAACAGAAATTTCCACCTCGCGCCAAAGAAACAACCACCTATAATTATTTCTTTTTTTTTTTGAAAAAAGTGTACAATTGCATCTAAAAATATGGTTTATCCATGGTATTAGTAGTCATGACATCGCCAGTGAGGTGCTGGAATTAAGTACTAGTCTTGTTTGGTATTCACCTTTAAATCCAACAGAGAAACGACAGCGATGAGGTCTCATTTGTCAATGATCGATTCATTTGTTCAAAAAATACTCGAAACGTAAACATGGTGACAATGTAAAGGGATATAGGCTACAGTTGGGGTGCTCAATGTTGTACACTCCTAGCCATAACATGGAACACATGTTTCTTCGAATTTAACTTGATGCATTGTATTATAAGCATGCAATTGTGGGCTACAACCAAAGTTGCAATGGTACTTCTAAACTATAAATCTCTTCAGCAAGAGTTGCTTATTGACTTTCCTTCAATAACTCCTCAAGGATCTTATTCTCTAATTCTGCTCTGTTGCTCACTCCATCAAAACTCTTGACGCCCATTCTTCTCAACACATCGATTGTGGTAGGTCTTTGGAAGCCCATGTTTTCGAATTGTGTGACAATATCCTCAGAAATACCGTAAAGAGCAGCATCACTTACCTCGGTCTTTCCAACAGAACCTTCGTCAGCAGCGTAAAGCTTGGTCCAGTATGCTGCGGTGTCCTCAAATCCCTTCTTGTTGGTGATGTAGTGCTTAGCGACCTCCGCATCTTGTGGATCATTGGGTTCGGGGGACTGGAGCAACGACTGCAAAGAAATCAAGGAAGACTTCAATGTCAAGATTGGAGTCCAGGCATCCTTCAAAATGTCCAAGCAAATGGCACCTGTCACAGAAGAAATGTTGGGGTGATATATTTTTGTGTTGAACTTCATCACTGGAGGTTTGAATGGATATTCATTGGGGATCACAATGTCAACCTTAAAGACACCGTTTTCGTACGGGGTACCAGGGGGTCCCTGAAAGTAGCCAGTCAAATGTGTCAAGTCGCTCTCATTAACAAGTTCGAGATTGACACCACTCTGTGTATCTTGGCGACATTCTTCAAGCTCCTTGGCGATTCTTTTGACTCTAGACATCTTGTTGAAGTCAGTGAGCTGATAAATTTGCAAATCGCATACTACTATGGAGGTCCGTTGATATCTTGTCGTGCGCACAACAACACTGCAAACGGATTTATGTACTAACCGCCATGCTTAAATGCTTCTATTATTAATAGCTAGTATACACACTCAAGACAGTTTGCCAACTATCCGGTGACTCCTTTGAATCCTCGTAACAACGTATCTAAGATAACGCGAACCTCTTGCGGTGCGTTTTTTATGAATGGCAATGAAGAGAGGTTATTTTCCCCTTGGCACAATACCTCTCTCGTAACAACTGTGAGACCCCAAGGCCTTGGCTTAACAACCGCTCTTTCAAGAAGAACTCTCAAAATGATCTCTTGTACCTCGCTCTGAACAATGTCAGAGTTCCAATTAGCTCCGCTGAACAAATGTACTAACAATTGCACGGACCAGACCGTGTGGCCATTAGGATATCTAAGCTGATTCACAATGGCGCACAAAAGGTGGTAACGGAATTCTGTCGATCCAATGTTCAAGAGGTCCACTATCAAGCTAGCATGGGAAGACTGCGGACCAAAAGGCAATCCGCTTTTCTGGGAGCGTTCCTCGATAGCCGATGTGGTGACATGCAAGACAAGAGCATTAATCAACTTCACATTATAGTGAACCACCTCAAATCCATAGTCAGCAGAGTCTTTAGGATGGTTTAATTTGGTACCAGCGTGAATAGTACGCATCAAACCAGGCGCTGGTATTCTCAAGTAATTATCCACAGGCTTTTTCAACCCAACCTTTACAAGGTCATGCACCGGGTTGTAGAATACTGATGGCACAGTGGTCCCACCGCCAATTTCTTCCAAGCCAAGACTTAAATTATGCGGGTCTTCTTGAACCACACCCTTGGGGGTAGCAGATAACACCACATTTCTTAACTGAATGTAGCTCGAGGGAATGGCGCTAACCAATTGATAATGGCATTCGACAACAAACGTTGGATAGTCATGGCTCAAAGCGACGAAGATACGGCTAATGGCACGATAGATCACACTTATCACGTCGCTATGACTGGACTCGTCTCGGGAATACACGTTCTGAAACTTGAGCAAAGCCGTCAACAATCTAACAGCTGATGTGTAGCCCGCTTTGTTGGGGAGCTCGATAAGCTTTGGGAGGAACATGCGGTGAGAAATCAAGGGTATCCAGGCGAATGCAAATCCGGGATATATGGTAGGCTGGATACTGTTAAACACTTCACTCAAGAGACAATAGAATTGCTCGTCTAGATGTGATGTGGCGTGTGCGTCACGGACAGAGGCACTGGCATAAGAGCACAACATAGTCGAAAAAATTCTGAAGTAAGCTCTTTCGTTCCAGTTAGCCTTGGCAAGTTCGTGTTCCTCGATAAGCACTAAGGAAGTCACACCAATAACAGTTTTCAACCATTCAATTGCATCCTCGGCTTTAGCCTTTGAGAACCTCAAAACAACTCTAATGATCAATGTAGCGAGGCAATCAACCGCCAAGAAAACCTCTCTTTGAGTACGACTTCTGATCTCATGTTCTGCGGAAAACGAGCCGGCAGATATTTCAGTAGCGGCCTTGAAGAATACTTCGACTTTAGAGGGTTCTGTTAAGAAACCATTGTGAAAAAGGGCGTCAATAAAATTCTTTTGCAAAGCAACTGTCTCGTCACCGTGACCCAAAAGCTTTGTCCATTCTGCAAACAAATACCCACTCTGAACGTACATGCTTGGAGGCTTATTTGCAATAGTAGGAAGCGAAGGCAAAGTTGACTTTTTGAGGAACTCAAACAATTCGTCTCTGGCAGCCGTAGCTTGTATGGCCTCAGTGGATCCATCATCTCCAACGTACTTGGAAAGAGCTGACAACGTCACGGCGAAATCAGATCTTAAAGCTATAGGACGAGGTTCATCCGCACTGAAAACCTTCAACAATAAGGTTGCTGCAAACTTGACTAAGACGGGGCTTTGAGACTCTTGGATAAGCTTACCAATTGGACCATCGAGTTTCGTTGGTGAGACCAATTGTACTCTCATCAATGAGAAAATAACTGGCATATTGAACTTTCTTTGATCGACTGAATGCACCATCCACCAAGTAACGTCTTTCGCTGTAGAGGGCGAATACTCACATAAACGATCTAATATGACAACGAAGATTTCGCTGCTCATTGGATTTTCGTGTGTTTGCGTGAACAAACAGTTGACAGCATATTGTGCGACCTTGAGAAGGAGATCTGGATGCTTCAAAGCATTACTTTGACATAAATTTAAAGCTTGAGACACAGTCTGCAAAACTGGGTGATCTGCTGAGAGTTCACTTAATGTATTCTCCTTCACTGATCCCAACATCTGGATGATCTTCTCACACATTTGTGTTATTATGGCGCACAACTGGTCCACCGTGGCACCATCGTCGGATTGCATGACTGCAGAGGCTTGTTGAGGTGTGATCTGAGAGGGAACGCTTCCTCTACCCGATGAACCTTCCGGAGCGACTTGTGGAACACTAAGAGGAACTTGTTGGGTACCGGGTGTTTGCGCAGATGGAGGCTGGACATGCGGCTGCGGAACTGACAATTGAGGAGTTTGTCCTTGAGCACCTTGCGGTTCCGCCCGCCCAACAGTGTTTGAGCCAAATGAGTAGTAAATGTTCAATTGTGACTCATGCAACCCATCTTGTTGCAAACCTAAAGGAGGTGGTAACTGGAGGGCGTATTCTGATGCATTATCACTGCGGAAGGGTTCACCTGTGGGATTCATCTCTCTCGCGTGTACCTGTGATCTCATACGTTCTTCAATCAACTCACCAATATTGCTTGAAGCCAACTTCTCGACAATCTCCACACACAAATCAACGTTACTTTGAATTGCGATGTTAAGCTCATTCAATGGAAGCTCATTAGGGTTGACCTGGTTGCTCAACAATTGGAGCATTGTAGCCTCGATTGTCTCGACCAAAATTTTGCGGCCGGTGCAAACCACCATGCTATGCGTAAGCTTTTGAGCAAGTATAAGGTAGGCTTTCTTAAATTTAAGCACATCTCCCTCAGTAGCAAAATCTTTCTTCACCAAGGCCTCGGTGGTTGTCAAGACAGCCTCCGAAACACGACTCAAGATTGGGACCGCACACTCGCGAACTGCTCGAGCTAGAGACGCTTGAAGAGCACGCCTAAGATTTGGATTTTGCGTGAACACTGTGTTGCCGGCCAAGTTGCTGAAAGATGCATCTAATTGGTTCACGGCAGAGGGGTGAACACTTTCTTCCTCCACTTGTCTTTGGGACTGACCCACGAGACCCTGTGGTGGTTGATGTTGTTGTTGTTGCTGTTGTTGTTGCATCAATACAGCTTGCTGTTGCAATTGTTGTTGCAACTGCAAGTCTTGCTCAGGCAACTCATTTGAAGCTCGTCCAAACCCGCCTGGTAGGCCATTGATCTCCTGTCTGACACCAAATAATGCGGCCAAAGCTTCAGGTTTGGGGTTATGTTGCCTCACGAGAGTCGATGGCTCGATGGATTTCACGCTTAATCCCAATGAATTCAAAAGCACCTCAATTTCAAACTTCAAGTTCAACTTCAAGTCAGCACATTCATATAATTCTAGTAACACACTCGCAATTCCCAAGACCCATGGATTAGGAGCCTTAAAGACTTTTGAAATGCTAGCCTGGTCAAGAACCTTACAGACAAACGGAATAATGAGATGAAGAGTGCTGAAATCAAAGGCCTCAAGTAGAAGGTACTTGAGAGCAATCTGGTCTCTCTTGAGGGGTCTGTCATGAGCAAGAGTGATCTTACCAAGCCAGGCTCCGAGATTCTTGACATGAGTTCTTTCCATCGTCGTATCCTTTGATTTGCCTAGAAGACGCTGCACTTCTAACAACGTTGTGTTTAGAACGGTCTCATAAAAGATTATGTCTTCTAAAGCGAATATCAAAGATGCATACAAGCCGTGGTTGTTAGGCTCGGTCTTGGCTCTCTCACTAACGAGATACCTGGCAAACCACGAAAAGTACTTCTCCTGAAGTAGCCCCTTGATGTCGGGTATCTTAGATGCAACGTTGTCAGCTGTCATATTATTGACTGAGAACAAGAGTTTGTCAGATGTACTCTCATCGGGTTCTTCCTGTGCAGCGAAACCAACATTCTTAGAAACTTGTGCAATCGAATTGTACACTACTTTCGGTTCATCTTTGACGGGTGTGGTTGTCTCTCCGCGAGCTCCTTGAGACACATTTGAGTCGGGACAAGGTATTCCAACCGAGGCATCCTTGACAATCTGGTACATCTTGGCATGAGCTGACAATGATTGACAAGTAAGTAGATGTTTGCAATACATCGGGTACTCATGAAGCCTCGATTTGAAGTTGTATAAGGATTGCACTGCAAATTTGAACAAGTGCGAATCTTGAGGCTGGTTACATGATTCCCAAATGAAATTGAGAGCGACCGTCAATGTGGTTCCTTGAATGAGGTCTTTCTGCAAAAGAGCGCCAAAAAGAAGCGACGTTGAGGCCAATGCGGTGAGGGGGTACTCCGAAAAGAAGCGATACTCGTCGATTAATGAGTGAATCATGCACGCGAAGACATCCTGATCGTGAGGTACGTCACTCAGTTTCATTCGAGCCAACATGTCGACGATTTCTTTAATCTCAACATCTTTATTATACATCTTGGAGTAACAAGCCTTCATTTCTTGCTCAACTTGAGGGGGGAAGACATTAGAAAATTGAGACTCGTTTGCCAAAATTGCCTCGTCATGACCAGTTCCAAAGTTTATGAGCCTGGGGTAAGTTGTGAGGAGCGATAATTGCAAGTTCTTGAGATGATCCGCATCCACTAGACCTTGTGAACTCTTTATGATTTCAAGTAGACGAAACACAATCGACACTTTTAGAGCCCTACTGCCATCAGAAGGACGTGTCTCGTTCGCCAATTGTTGTTGCTGTTGATCTTGTTGACCCTTCTCAAAATCGTGAGCAGTTCTGGCTTCCAATATTTCGACTAATGCATTGTAAAATGTTTCGCGCAAAATTGCGTCTTTGGAGTCAGCTTCAAAGGCTGGTCTGAGATCATACCCAAAATTTGTCGCTTCGATGATGAAGTTTAAGTAGAGAACATAGTCAATCGACCTGGCGGTTTTCAAAAGTTCATCTAGCAATCCTGAAGATGTAGCTACCAGAATGACCTTTGTGAGTGCTTCGGGCTTCCTTGAGCCTCTGTAGTATGCAATAAGCTGGGTGATGGCAAGGTTAACGTCAAGCTCTTTGAACTTGCTTAAGACTTCATTGAGGTGCCCAGAGTTCTCATCCTGTCCAGATTTATCCATTATGATCGCAAACAACATGTTGATACGATCAAGGATATATGGAGACTTATCGGGTATTGCCAAAGCTCCGGCAATAACGTGATAAGGCTGAGATGTACAATGTATCTCAAACATCTGAGCGAGCCAAAAGTCAAACTTTTTATCCCCTTCAGATAGCAGTTGATTCTGTTGCGCCGTTTGCGAGGAAATCTTAGCCATAACTTGAACCTCTAGTTTTGCAATATTCACAAACTTGAGAAGATTTCTGTCATCTTGTTCATTCTCGTAACACAAGGTGAGATTTTGGGAGGCAAGGATATCAAAGGCGCCCTGTTGCGTTGGCATCGATTGCAAGATGAATAAAAGTGTTTTATCAAACCACCAGTCGTGAGTCAAAAAGATGTCAGCTAGGCCTTGTTTGAAGTCGAGTGCGGCCAAAAATTGAGTGACGCTTGCCAATGAGGGCTGGCTGTTTCTTTTTGATGCTTCAAAAAGGTAATCCTGAACATGGGCAAATACATTGAACCAATTGATGTTGGCCGACGAATCGACATTTTTGAAACACGCCTGCAATTGTGCACCTTTGGCATTAGCCTCCGGTAAATTATTGACAAACGTGAGAGCGGTCACGCCACCATTTGAGTTCGCAAGACCTTGAGATCCAGGAATTAATACCTCAGCAAGTAAAAGGGCCACGCTATTATCAATTTCTGAGGGCTTGAGATTTAGAAGTGATGGTAAGAGTTTTCTCGGGATGAGGTTCTCAGCACCAATTTCTATCAAAAGATCTTTAAAAGACATTTCTAAGACTGATTTCAAAAATTGTCTCACGGGGTGAATTTCCAGTTCGTAAGCGTCGAAGAATCCGAGAGTTAAAACTTTGTGGAGGAATGGGACGTTGTCGTAAATTAAAACGCAGTCAAGAAGAAGATTTTGCCAAGTTTTATCTTCCTCGGTGGTTCTGGTGTTCACGAGTTCTGAAACAACAATTAGCTTGTCCGAGACGTACTGGTTTACTCTGTCGTTCTGAGCGGTATTTGCAAATTGAACAACAAGTGCAAATTCGATAACGGGATCAAAGTGATGTCTCGATACGAATGTGAAGACGTCGAAGTATGAAAAATCTTTGACTGTACCAGCAATTATCGCCAAATAGAAATGCGAAGCTGGGTCAACAAAAAGACGATCGAAAAGTGATGCAGCAATATGCTCCTGTGGTTCAACAGTCGTACTAAAGGGTTTGGCAAATGCTAGTTTGAAGACTCTCTCGTAGAAATATGTTCGCAAGTACAAGGAGTCTGACTCTTGTTTGATGATATAATCTATCTGTTTGAGATTCGACTGCCAATTGGAGTGCTCAGCGGTGGTAAGTAAAATTCCTATCTGCAATAAAGTTACCTCTAAGACTTCGTTGTTTCTCTCGGTTCTTGCTTTGCGTTCGACAGGTTCAGTGGACTGCGAAGACGTTTGATTTTGGCCTTTGGCCCGGGGGTCTTTTGTCGTTTGCGAAGTCACTGTTCTGATTGACGATTTGTCTCAGCTGAGGCCAGTGTAGCTGTGCTTGATCTAGTACACTGAATTCGCCAAGACAAGGTGATATAAATTTCGGATTGTGAGGTTTACTCGCAATTGATTCCAACGACTATAATGTCAGTATGGCAAGATTAAATGTATTTAGTTCCTGGAAGAACTTACAGTCGATGGAAAGGGGTGTTTAATATGCCTTTGATGTATGTATTATAAGACTTACCACAAATTTTTGGCGAGTGAGGTTCGCGGTGGGGTTACCCGGCATCGTGGACAACCCTGCTTTCGCTTTCAAGTGAACGAACCATCGGAAATCAAAAGATATTGTGAACGATAACTCAAATCATAACATCATTTTTTTTTTTTTTTCTTTTGGTCACATAGTTGGGCTGTAATGATTTGAACAATTTTTTTATCAAAACGAGCCAGTGTATCGTTTCTCAATAGTGCACTATGGCTGCGAATTCACGAGTTTTCATCACGTACCGAGAAACTTTACAATTATTCTTAAAGTTAGAATTTCTAGAATTGATTGTTTATAGAACTCTTACGAAGAAAGAGTCGAATTAGCAGATTGTAAAAGTTTGATTATGGATCCGCCTAGAATGTCTTTATTACGGTAGCATTGCGACGTGTAATTCATGCTATTCCATTCATGCCCTATATAATTGCCTACCAATCCAATGCCTGATTAATTTCAGTCTTCACAGACTCATCATCAATATGCTCCATGGCCTTTCTCAAGTAAAATTTGAGCATCTGGTTCTCCAGAACGAGGTCATCAAACGCGCTATCCATTCCTATTGGCCCTAGATCACTCATAACTTTCTTATGCATCGTGGTCCTTGGGACTTCAACAAACAACTTGTTTTGCTCCGATGAGCAAGAGCTGAGATCTGAATAGACAGACTCAATGTCCGCTTTCATTGAGCCCGAAAACACAGACAGGGCAGAATTAGCGGTGTGTGTCAGCTTGTCAAACGACAAATCTGTTGAGGATTCCGATCCAATGGACTCGGCCAGCGAAGTCGTGAGTGGAGTGAGTTCTTGAGATGTGCTGATGGAAAAGTTTTTGAGCTTTTCCATAACAGATATGTTTCTTTTATGCGTCTTCTTCCTCTTGAGGTGAGCGCTCTTGTGTGTTGGACCCATAGATGAGGAAGTTGGCTGGGCAAGAGTTGCAAATTTCGTGTAGTCCCAAGAAAGTAACAAATCACCGAAAAAGGATGGCAAGCTGTTGATTGCATTGCCCCATTTGGAACCATTCAAAAGATGCTGGTAGACCACCTCTTCATCGCCCTCATCGAAGCTCATAAGAATAGGCTTGTTCTTGAGCAACAAACCAATGGAAATCTTGAACGAACCAACCTTCCACCCCTCAATGAGGCAAAAGTCAACGACCTTATTGTTGATAGACAAATCTGGAGCATGAATGAGAGAAAACGACAACCACCATTGGTACAAAAACACCTTGCAGTCACAGAAACTAGCTAAATGCGATGAAAGTTTTGGATCAATGCTTTCAAGGATGGTCATGAACTGCTGATACCACTTCTCTAAGGTGGATGACATCGTGGAAGGTATGAAGATTTGTCTCAATTCAGGTTCTGAATCCATGACCTTGCACAACGCGTGGAAAGTGAGTTCTTCGTCCCTCAATTGGCTGTATAAGGTCCCCACCAAAAAGAGTAAGCCCTGACAATAACCAAGCTCGAGGTCGTAGTTGGCATACACGTTAAGCACGGTTTGTAACGATTTGATGGTATCGGCCTGCTCAAAAAACGCGAGATTGGGGAAGGTTCTGCTCAAGTCCTTGTTTATCTGCTTCGCTATTCCGGCATTGTAAGAGTGCTGGAAATTCTTGTAAAGCATGGAGCACAGGTCAGGTATAAAGCCATGATTCTCTTGATTGACTGTAATGAGTTTCTGCCAAATCATGGGGCGGAGCTGGAACGGAATTCCCTTCTGTAAGAATACCATGAGTGTATAGTTTGGCAACATCAATATAGTTTTGTAAGGATTCTGCAAGAATGCAAGCCAGTAGTTCTTTTCAGTCTCCGAACTGCAGCCTCGACGGTGGGTTTGGATGAATCGAGCACAGCAGCTGGAGTTCATTTCAGATAACGGGTGCCCACATCTATCACAGCAGGTGAGATTGTCCAACCAGTACAGGTGGTTCTCGAAGATGGCGTCGAAAGACTCTTCCGTAATGTCATCACTAAGGGGCGTGCCGTCTGTGTATCTGTTGAGCTCGCTCTGGACATCCAAATGATCTAGCAAGAGCTGCTTCGAAGGGGACACTTGAGAAAGTGATTCTTCAAACTCCAAGAGTGATTCAGAGATCATTCTGAAAAATGGAAGCGAAAGCCGGGAGATTCTTCGATTCGTGAATGGTTCTTTGAAAAGAGGGAATGATAGCAAGGAGTGACTAAAGTGAGTAAGTGACGGCTTTTCTTGTGAATAGGGTCCCCTGGACTAGCCAGAAGTTTCTACCTTATAAGGCAAAGAAGGCTGGAGGTCCTTGCCTAAAGGGGTAACCGTGAGAAGGCACATGCAGGTCGCGTGTTCTCTTGACGCTCCCTGGATTCCATACAGATGTCATCACGCCTTTGAAAAAAGCATTGTGTAAATTCATCGAAATATTCGTCAATGAAATCGTAATAATTGGACAAATGAAGTTAGGTGATTAGATAGAGGTGGGTTCAAAGTGAGTAGAGGGTGCCTGTGGAGCGCGCTTTGGCGAATGCAAACATAGGACGTCAGAGTGCGTCGTCAAGAAGCGTTCCTAGCCAAAACACAGTGACGAGGTGCTTGTTTCAGAGGGATCTTTGCAGCTAACCCTGTTGGACTAGCCTTGGCAAGAGCCAAAGTGATCCGCGCGTAGAACACTTGTTAATCATTTGTCTCGTGGATATGTGTATTGGGTGAATGACTGAGATTTGTTTGGGAAATCGCCGTAAAACCGGTGCTGGATTCGTCAGAGCATCTCAGTCCATGGCTTCCGCAAGTCTCCTGATGTCGATCCCAATCGCTTACGTTGAGGGTATCAATTGGAAACGAAGGATCGATTTTGGATCGAGGCCCTTGAAAAGAAGGATAGCGACGAGTTCCGCATGCAGCTGTTGAGAATGGCAGGGTTCCGTTGCTGTACGATTTTGAATGTGCGTAGACGACTTCCACAAAAGTCTTGGAATATGAGATTGACAGGAAAACGAAGACATTTAAAATTGAATTCTTCTTGCGTAGATGTCTTTCTGGCTTAGCAGTTCACGACATCTTCATTTTGCAACCACGCGATGAGACCTACCTGATCGCACTGCAGACGCTCTCAAGACATCTCACTACACCTCCATGGTTTACTTCTTCAAAGCAGCCGTCAAGTCCGATCTTGACGACTTTGCTATCTCAGACGAGGCTTCTGAGTACACCATTTACATGGGCAGAGACAAGGTGGAAAATGATACCCTTTTGAAGAAATCGCACCCCAAGAACCTCTGGTTCCACGTCGATAAGCATAGTTCTGCCCATTTATATATCCAGCTCAGTGCCGATGAACAAAGTCAAAAGTTTGAAGACCTCAAGCTCAATGAGGATCTTCTTAGTCAGATCGGCCAGCTTACGAAAGCCAACTCGATCAAGGCCAATAAGCTCAACAACATATCTGTGATATACACGCCGGTGGACAATCTAAGGTCAGATGGGTCCATGGACATTGGTACTGTGACTTTTGTCAATCCCCAAAAGGTGAAGCGAGTTCATATTTCGAAGAAGGAGAATGCCATCATCAACAAACTCAATAAAACGAAGACGGAGATGAGCACGGAGGAATTCGCTAAACAGCAAGACGAGGTCCTCAAGCAATGGGCACGAGACAAAAAAGAACTACAAAGGCAACAGGAACAAAAGGAGAAGGAGACCGCCAAGCTGTACGAGCAACAGAAGGAGTTCAACAAAGACCCATACGCTAGCATGTTTTCTGAAGAGAATCTTCGAGCCAGCAGCAACGAATTCCGCAATGAAAACTGGGTCGAGGAAGAGTTCTGGTGAGCTCAAACAATATTTAAAATGTCAATAGGACTTACAGACAATTATCATCACCGTTTATGTAGTATGTATGCGTAACTTATGCTTTAATCAAGTTTGATTGGGAACTTGCCAGCCTCTCTCTGGTCATCCCACTTACCGACCCAGTCGACTGGGCACAACGAGGTGAAAGTCTTGAAGAAGATCTGGCATGGCTCGAATTCCTCACCTTTGACGTTCACACACTTGTGGTAGTCGACGTAGTTCTGGGCACAGTGCTTCGTCTGGTTGGTGAATGGGAATCTTGGGTCGAACTGAGGGGTGTCGAACTTGAAATTTTCTAAATCCAAAGCCATGTTTGCTGAAATGAACGAGTTTGATGTAGTGAGATTGAGCGTTGATGAAACTTACGATTTTTTGACTATGGTGCGAAATGCCCGCAGACGATTGGCTGGCACTGACATCCGTGCAGGTCTCACTGAACATCACCTCGTCAGATCTCGCCAGGCAGCATGGCATTTGATCAAGTCCATGATGCCTTAATTATTTCACTTTCTTCTCGTCCTGACCTCTCTATTGAATTGTCCAATCAGGAACTTTTGATGCATGGACCTCGATGGCCTTCCTCACGAGTAGTATGCTCAAACACGGTAGATCGTAGACCTTATGGCCTTGAATTTCCTTCCTGGCGGACTTTTCCTGGTCTTCCATTTCCACTTCATCACCAAAGAACGCTTGTATGTTCGCTATACTGTGTTTGGAACTGTAACTGGGATTTATGAGCGACGGCAGGAGGGTGAGCCTGTTGACCTGTTTTACATCTTTAGGGCCGTTCTGTTTGATCTGTTCCACAATGGCAACAAGCTTCTTCACTTCATTACCCCTTGCTGTCAACAAGGCAAGCTTATTCGTATTTAAACTGGCAATTGCACCTTGGATATGCTTTTCCACAGGAGAGTTCCTTGAGATGGGGAACACACTGGAGTCCATCTTAGGTTGCACCTTCAAAACGCTCGTGAGCTCCACGTATAGCTCTCGAGACTCTGAAACGAAAACATCCTCCTCCTCCTTAGAGATTTCTGCCAAGCGTTCCTCACCAGTGGGCATGTCTGAGAATGATTGGGGTCTACTCTATATCTCGCTTTTTTCTGTGCGAGTTATCATCGCAGCGCCCAAGAAGCACAGTTACAGAGAAATGTCTGGGTGATTTATTTAACTGAGAGCTTTGATGGTCGCTTAGACTTTTTCTGTTTCGAGTTCTTGTCTGGGATTTTCGAGCTTTTCTCAGGATTGTTTGTAGGTTTCGCTACATCCTTGTTACCGCCCGGGTCCTCTCTAGACGAGGTGGAGTATGAAGTGACGGACAGAGAAGAGCGGCCCGAGGAATTGGACGGATCCGGAGTTGCGTCCGTCAGGATAGGAGGCTGAGCCATGGCGAGTTGCTCAGGAGGCTTTCCATTCCGCAAGTCTCGCCTGGTTCGGTCATTTCGCAGCCATTCCCTAGACCTTCGGTCCACCAGATTACTCAGCTTTGTGGATGCGTTCGAGCCTCGGCTCGTATTGGAGCTAGAGTTCTGAATACTCAAGGCCTCCAGTGAGCCATATCGGTTGGTTGTACAGCCCTGATAGAACCGGTCGTACCGAACAGCCTGCATCACCTCCGAGTGGTATTGCATGAGGTTGTTTGCCTTGGGGTTATCACCCAGTTTAGATGGCGCTTGATAAAAGCCCCTTCTCTTACGAGCCCTAGGGGGCAGGGGTATCTCCTTTGGGATATGCTCTGTGGGAGTTTGAGGCTTACGGCGCTGCACAGGCCTCATGGGGACGGCATATCCGTTTTGATCAATCACATACATGTTATTGGCAGCGTCTGCAATAACCGTTCCCGGAGGTGATGTTCGGTTGGCTAATGGCTGCATGGCATGTTGCGCTAGGGGCTTAGGCTCTCTTGATAGTGGTTCGACACGAGGAGCATTTTGTGGCACCGGTAAACCGTTTTCAATACCCGAGGGACCTCCACTATCAGGGAACATGAACTGCTCGGTTCCGGCGGTTAGGACCTCTAGCTCGTTTAGATTGGCACCCTCTTGATTGGACATCTGATGTAGAAAAAGGGTTGGTTTGAGAAAGAAACAAACAAGTGTGTTCAAGATTTATGACGGCCATTTCGAAATGCCTGTTTAACAGCTACGGTGGACTTTACTATTCCAGCGACACCATGACCTTCGAAGGTCAGAGGGAAAGTGGCACGTTGTTGGGCCTTCCTGTCTGGGCCTTCCTGTCTGGGATTGGCTACATTCGACTGGGCGGCCCTTCGCATGCCCCTGCTCCGCTTGAAAGAACACCGCATGAAAAGTGCACCTCACCGCCTTGCAACACCAAACCTTGTACTCTAAAACCGGCGGTTATGCACCATTTTGGCGTCGTGAGGCAGAATACGCACTTGAAAAGAGATGTAATCAGATAATGCGCATTGTCGCCCGCTTATCTCTGTGAGATTAATTTCATGTTCCCTTATCTCGTTCGCTTAACATGTGCCATTGGCTGAAGTGAGACGCAGCTACTGAAAAGGGCCATCAACGAATTCAAAGATACGCTCGACTTGCCCAATCAAAGACACAATCAAGGATTGTAACCATCCGGCCGCAGTCCGCCTTGTCCTGTCCGTGGGTTGAGGCGTCTTTCTGGGTGCAGGTGAAAGCTCGCCAAGACCACCCTTGACACTTTTTTACGTCCTTGACACATTTCTGTCATTAGACATGCGTACCAAGCCTTGAAGTGAACGAAAAACGACAGGAAATGACTGGACATTATTGATAGCAGAATTCTCTTTCCATCATCGACCAAGATTTAGCAAGTGGCGTTCGTATAATTTTCCTGCCGCTTGCACATGTCACTTCGTGCCGCAGTGCCTCTATTGGCCCCCAATCCAACCTAGAGTGCACGAGCTTCAACCTCACATTTTGTGCATCTGTGAATGGTCCCATGTCCATGCAAGTCCGCCTCACTAGACGTAAATCTGCTTATGGCCCTAAGTTTTGCGCCTTTCCAGCGTCACCACAAAATCTCGGTTCGGCGGTTTCTCGTAGTATAAAAGTCCGCCCAAATCTCTAGTTTTGCTCTTCACCCCCTCCAGAAATGACAAACGTCTTCAACGTTCAAGTCTTCTTTGTGGTCTTTCGAGAGTCCTTGGAAGCCGTGCTTGTGGTTTCGGTCCTTTTGGCCTTCCTCAAGCAGGGCTTAGGAGGCCCTGACCAGGATCAAGCTATCTACAAGAAACTCAGACTTCAAGTTTGGGTTGGCTCCATTCTAGGCGTTTTTATATGTTTGTGCATTGGATGTGCTTTCATCGCTGTCTTCTATACTCTTGGCCATGACATTTGGGGCAAATCCGAAGAAATTTGGGAGGGCACTTTTTGTATGATCGCTACCATCTTGATTACTATCATGGGTATTGCCATGTTGAGAATTAACAAGATGAAGGAGAAGTGGAGAACCAAGATTGCCCAGGCTTTGGTTAAGGAGCCAGCAGTGTCGAAGGATAGATTCAGGCTTGGTCGCTTGACCACCAAATACTGTATGTTTGTCTTGCCCTTCATCACTTGTTTGAGAGAAGGTTTGGAGGCTGTTGTGTTTGTTGGTGGTGTCGGCTTGTCCGACCACACTGGTGCTGCTGCTTTCCCACTTCCTGTTATTTGTGGATTGATCGCTGGTGTCACTGTTGGTGTTTTGCTATACTATTTCGGATCCACTGCATCTTTGCAGGTCTGTTTGATTGTTTCTACATGTATCTTGTACTTGATCTCCGCTGGCTTATTCTCCAGAGGTGTATGATACTTTGAGACTCAAATTTACAATCAAAAGACTGGTGGTGATGCTTCTGAGAGTGGTTCGGGCCCAGGCTCTTACGACATTTCGAAATCCGTCTGGCATGTTAATTGCTGCAACCCTGAGCTTGACAACGGTTGGGATGTTTTCAACGCTTTATTGGGTTGGCAAAACTCTGCCACGTACGGTTCCGTGATCTCTTACAACGTTTACTGGATTTTCATGATTGTTGTTTTAGGTTTGATGATGTTCGAGGAAAAGCGTGGTCACCTTCCCTTCTGCAAGAACCTCACCCTCAGAGAGCTCAACCCAATGTACCACATTAAGGGCAAGAAGAAGAACGAGTTGTCGAAGAAAGAGCAAGAAGAATTATTCGAGAAAGTCAAGAAACATGACTTCGGTGTTAGAGAAGCAGACAGAGAATCATCTTCTGACGTATCCAAGACTGGTAAAGACGACTCCGTTCACAAGGTTGAGGAGAAAACTGTGGAGACTTCCAGTCAATAATTTTAATGAGGCTTCTATCAGCTATCATAAGATATTCATAACACTTTCTTAACACACACACACACACACACACACAATGAAGAAAGTGTATCGAGTTGTTGATGCTGAAATATCCCTGCATTCTGTTAGCGGCTACCTTAAAGACTTTATCATTTCGGGAGGATGGGGGTCACTTTAATTAGTTGGGTCGTTAATATATCATTTAAACATATCTATTCAAACAGTAATCATACAAAACAAGCAAACTCCTTCTGACTTTGGTGAACAGCTTGGTTAAGCGCCTGTTCAATGTCATTGTCTGTGTAGTCGAGGTCTGTGAAGATGTTCTCACATTCTTTGATCTCATTCACGGCAACACGCCCCAATGAAAGGGAGTAATCGTCAAGTCTGAGACTATCACTGGCTTCAAAAACATCTATGAAATAGTCCAAATCTAGCCTGAGATTACCCAAAATCCGAACGATGATGTGTTGCTTCTGTTTCACTTCCCTGATGGAAATGGTAAACTGTTTCAAGAAATGATTTTGTAATTCGTGAACCATATTGTTGAAAATTTGCTCCGCAGTAATGGGCTTCACAATATAGACAAGCTTGACAAAGTGCATCAAACACTCATACACGAAAGGATCAACCTGAAAGTCTTCTTGGAAGGCCTTCTTCTCTAAACTTTCGAAGTGGTCTTTAACCTTATTCTCAATCCAGGCCTTCTCATTTTCACTGATCTCATCCAAAACTGTAATCTTAACTTTGTCAAGATCTGCGTAGAGTTTCAAATTCTGCTTGTGCAAGTCCTTCTGGAATAGCTGATCGAATCTTCTTATCAAAGATGGGAACATCACATCACCAAGAATCTGGAAATTATTCATGGTCATGATTTTATAGATGTCTTTATCAATGTCATGGTTGGCAGTGTTGTACACAACATTAAACTCTGCTTTTGTTGAAGTAAACTTTTTCATGATAGAATCCATCAATACATTGATGCTGCGTATAAATTGAATTTCAAGACTCACCAATGTTCGTTTGCTTGGATACGCAGCAACAACCTTAATATCGCTATCACCAATATGGCTCCTGTCAAAAACCAAAATTGACAATCTACGGAGAACGTACCTCTCGTAGTATTGCATAATCTGCATCAGCTTAGTGTAGACCGTGGACTTTGAATTACCGTCAATTTTGTATTTGTCCCAATTTTCGAGATCATAAAATTGTGAGCAGTCATTGACCCAAGTGGCACAAATGGCTTCAAGAATTCTTTGCTCGATAAGTGCACAAGACTCTTTAAGCAGTTTTATTTGCTTGTTCGTATCAAGGCTTTTAGAAGTATTGCCGATTTGTGCCACATATGTGGCAACCTTAGTAAGGAGCCTTCCAATTCGACTGTTAATGTCACTCAAGTGAAATATTGTTGAAAGGGAATTAGTATGGTGCGGAAGGAAGTTGGGGAAACTGGCAGGAGTCACTTTCATCTGGTCGACATCAGCCTCAGACTCGAAGATACTGACAACGTGAGCTACCATATTGTTGCACATTTGAAAGAACGCAGTTCTCAATGCACCCTCAGTGTCAACATGGAAACCATTGTTTGGATCGGCATAGTGAACGTAGTTCTTCACAAACTTCTGTACGACGTTTGTAAAGAACTCCTCGAGATACTTGATGTAGTTCAGCAACACAAGCCACGTTTCATTGATGATGGATAAGTCAAGGTTATCGGGGCTACCGAAAATCTCAGCGATTGCGGCTTCCTTCAGTTCATCAACATTACTAGATTTCACAGAAGATGAGGTACCGAAAAACTCTTCGACGTTGTCAAATTTCTCTTCAATGTGCCTGACATTGGAACCTCCCTCTCTTCGATTGGACAAACTTGTGATGTAATCCAAAAGCTTCTTTTGCATCATAGAAAACTTCGTTTCAAACTTATCATCCTGATAGCTTAAGTCATTTTGAAGCTTTTTGAGTTGGTCATTCAAAAAGTCCAAGATCGGATTAGTCTTCTCTGAATCTTTATTGAGACGATGCAACTTGTCAACAAGGTCGATAAACTTAATATCCAGAGCCGACTTATTGGTTTTTCCTCGAACAGCCACCTCATGGTCCATCGATAGAAGATCACGAAATGCCTTTTTGCGAAACTCTTCAGCAATCTTTTCGATCTCACCAAAAACGCGATGAAGCACAGTGAAATATAGGGTGTACTCTTGCTCAACTTTCTTAACCTCAGATTCATCATTTGTGCTTTGAGCTTTCTTCAAAGCATTCTCCCTCCTATGGTAGATGTATTCCTTCTCTTTCAAAAAAGTGTTATAGTCGTCAATGAATTGGTCGTGGTTATGGACAGAAAGATATTCCACAAGGTTTTTAGGAAGATCGAAGAAGAACTTATTCTTCTGTATGAAAGCAATGAGTTTTGCAACTTTGGATTCTTTAGCATTGTGCTCCATGATAGGACGTATCATGAGAGAAGATGACAAGTTCAAGTTGTTAATTGACTCCTCCAACTGCGATGAAATGTTCTCGCCAGCCTGAAGTTTCTTGTTCCATCTTGAATTGGGGTTGAAAACTCTAGATTTCTCGCTTTCCTTTTGTGCTCTTGTTTTTGAACCCTTGAACGAGACAAGAATATCATCGATATACTGCTTGCAATCGACAAAACTGGTATAGTTCTCGTTAAGTACCGACTTCAACTGCGAGGTCTGGCTTCTTATGCTCCTGTCAAGCATATCGAGTGATGCAACGAGATTCTCCATTGGAGTATCCTTATGAACAACAGACAAATACGATTGGGAATTGAACATTTGCGAGGACACCACGTACTTATACAACGCCAGGTCGTTCTCTGAGCCGATCGCCCCCTTTCGTAACAAAAGATTCACCAAGTCCTGACCTGTTAACGGATCCTTCATATCTTCTCCGCCAAATTGATATGCCGAAGCGTTTATATTGTCCGCATCCTTCAAAAAGTTGGCTAAGACAACGCACAGCTCTTCTGGAGACAATTGATCCAAGTTGTCTGGGGGAAGTAAATCCTTCTGGTTCTTGAAATCAGCAAGTGACCGAGGTTCTAGAACTGAGGAACCGTAGAACGCCAGAATGGTCTGGTCGTTGTCATTGTAATTCAACATGCGGTAGTAACTGAGGACTCAAAATCAACAGCTGTGCAGCACCATAAGCTGTTGGTGTCGTGCGAGCCTCACACATACAGCTTTTACCATTCAACATCAAGACTTTATAGATCTACGGAGGAAATTTTCTCATTGTCTTACTAATTGAATTACATAAAAGGACGTATTGACCTACAAAATCCAGTTAAGCCGAAGACGTAGACAATTATTCATCGAGACCCCTGCTTGGGATAGCTCGGCAGAAGATAAAAAACTAGATGAAACAGGACGTTATCAAATTCTTAAGTACATGTCGTCAATTCTTCACTGACGATAGTGTTTTCACTGATTTATGTCGGCTACAGTGAAGTGGCGGTATCCCCAGACTGCATAATGCGAGAAGCTGGGCTTAACCGCTAGTGAGAAAAAGTTTTCGGGTAACCCCTTCTTATCAAGCGTACAACATACCGATTTTGCAGCCATTTAGTTTGGTTCCACGCAGACGTTTTTTGAAGTCCAAATAAAATGGGGCAGCAGCAAGATATCGGAGGTGCACAGGCCCTTCTTTCCCTCGGAACAAAAGATTCAAAACACGATGATATTGATCATCAAGATGTGATTAGTGATCCTGCTCATCATGATCTACATAATCACCACGATAATGGAAAGCACCATAATGATCAGAACTCCCACGTTGATGAGGATGTTGACAATCATAGAAACGATGCTGATTCGCTTGAAGATAAAGCGAATCAGCAACTAAACGATGCCGTTGAAGCTGCGGTAATGAGATATGTGGGAGGTACCCTCGAGGGATCTGATTCAAATGAGCACAACCGCAGTAGCGGTGACAGTCATCATGGTAATATTGAGGCCAACCATGCGGGGAATGGCAACGGGGAAAACAATAAGCGTCGTCTCAATCATGAAGAGATCATGTCTCACATAGGTGATTACCAATGGGATAGCTTTCTCGAGGAAAATGTTGCAGCTGAGTTCGAAAGACCTTCTCCAAAGAAGGCCAAGAGAAGAAGAAGCTCTCTGAATGGAAGTGATATTGATCCCGATCTTCCTGATTTAGACGAAGAGCCATCCGAACATGATCAATTAGTGCATGCTGCCATCTTAGGAGCTGGAGAATTGGCCAAACAACTCTCACTTCCATCGACCCAAGGTAACCATTCATCCAGCCAACAACTGAATAGATCGGATGGCGAATCTGCCGCGATTGACCAGTTGGCTCATGCTGCATCAGCATTATCTGCCAAGAGCAGGACCAGAACATCAATCAAAAAGAGGCCTCTACGCAAAAGCTCAGAGGCGAAGACAACGTCCGAGCAGCCGACAGCTCCTGATAAATATGATCATATCTCCTTGGAGTCATTGGTTGATCTGTGTGCCAATGAGGCTCTACTGTGGTATCAATCGCAGAATAGCATACCCGTCAATGGTCCTCGTGCTTTCTCTTCCGCAGAAATTAGTGTCATGGATTCATTTATTGATGGATATTGCAGGCTCAACGACCTATCTCGTGCTGATATCTGTCGTCGAGTGTGGTCCACAGAAAGAACGAAGGATAATTTTTGGGAGTGTGTCACAAAGGTACTACCCTACAGATCTCGAGCATCAATTTATAAGCATGTCAGGCGCCAGTTTCATATATTTGATATTCGAGCCAAATGGACCCCAGAAGAAGATGAGTTGCTCAAGAAGCTATCACAGGGTTCTGAGACAAACTGGAAGAAGATTGGGGAGGCTATGAACCGCATGCCCGAGGATTGCCGTGATAGGTGGAGAAATTATATTAAGTGTGGCGAGAACAGAGTACTGAACAAATGGTCTGAGGAAGAAGAAAGAACACTCAAAGGCATCGTCTTAGAGATGATGACCGACGACAGTGGAGATAAGCCGATGTCTATTAACTGGACCTTGGTGAGTGAGAAGATGAACGGTGTGCGCTCAAGAATCCAGTGCAGATACAAGTGGAATAAGTTACTCAAACGCGAGTCAATAACCAGGACTGAATTGATGGACAATGATACTAAGATCTGGCTAGTAACCCGATTGCTAGAGGCCAATTTTCCACATCTCGAAAGTATCGACTGGGAATATATCCTACATTTGTATCATGAGTGGATAAAAGATGCCAAGAACAAAGACCTTCTTTGGACTACGACGGATCTCCAGGTCGCTTTTGAAAAAATGAAAAGCAAAGTAAAGGATCATAAAAACCTGTCGCTACACACAGTGTTAACGAAAATTCTACTGGCCCTATACGAAGAGACAGGTACTGATAGTAGTGGGTTGGTTCGCACCCCACAGTTAGTCAAACGTGAGAAAGCACGCAATGTTGAACACGCAGAATCGATAGCCAACGCAGCTGTTGCTGCAGTTTCTTCCGGTGTTAATGATGAAGACGCCCAGCAACAGGAATACAGTCTTTGGCGTTAGTCGTCTAAGCTCCATAACAGTGTATACCTTGACATCACGTGAATTCAAAACAAATAACACAACACCTACAGGCTTTTTTAAAGCACATCACTCATGCCACTTGATCCCGTTGGAAGCGATGAGCATGACATGCAAGAAAGAATGCTCGAACTAGAGCAAGAACTCCTAGAGTTTCAAAAATCCAGTAAGGAGTTGGAGGAGGCTCTCGAGGATGAACTTAGTGAGCTAGAAAACAAAAACAAGCTCTTAGTTACGCAGATTAATGCGAAAGATGAGAAGCTACAACAACTCACATTACAATTGAGTGACGCTAATGCTGAAGTATTCAGGATTCAAGAAGCACTGGCAGCTGATAAAGTCAAGTTGGAGAAAGAAATTCTTGCCCTTAAGCAGAAGCTAGTCGAGGTCGAGATTCTGAACGATGATATGGGCATGAACGACAGGATACTTGAGAACAACCTTCATTTTGCAAAGCTGCTAAATAATGATTTGTTGGAGAAGCTAGCATTAGTCGAGAGCGATTTGGAGACAGAGAAGCAAATCAATGCCCAGTATAAGCTCCGCATCTCCAATCTTGAATCCGAGACCCTTCGACCTCTACCCAAAGCTCGTCATCTGCAGCAAATAAAGCCTAAATCCAAGCGCCAAAGCGTTGCAAGAAGCATTATGTCCGTGGCGGACACCACAGCTGATGGAACGATTCTCGATTTGAATGAGTTCCTTGCATCCGCACCTCCAGATGCCATTCATCCCAACAGCAATATACCGAGGTCAGGATCTCGGGGAAAATTCATGAGCAGTATCTTAGATCCGAAGAAATAGTACAAAAAGTTGGTCAAATGAGCCACTATCTCGGCTTAAAGTCAAACTCAACAATTCAGGTTTCAGATCACGAAGTTCAAACGCCGCCCTCCGACAAGGAGACTCATGGACAGCTCGTCCACTCTCCTTCCTTAGCGAACCTCTCCAAATTACGGGAGGAACTGAATGCGGTGAGAAGTCCGGCGATGCCGCCCTTAAAGACTTCACTACATAACCCGCCTTCCAGAGATAACCTGCAGAAGCCACGTCATAAGAAAAACAGAATTAAAACTGTTATGAAATTTTTTGCATGATGATGATGATTGTACATAGATAATGAACGGCAGTCAACCGCTGGTGCTATACTTTTTTCCTGCATTTGCGCTCCCTGCGACTTTGTTGACCATTTAGGCTGGAGTAGCGTATCGTTGTTCAATTATAAACCTAGCCAATGCCTGTTGACCTCGATAGACTCATTGCAAACTTCGACAAGGAGGAGGCATTTGAGTATGCTAGTGAATTGTATCTCGAGCTTAACAATTATGCAGCTGCAGATAAGGAAATCAACTACCAAGAAGTATGGACCAACTTGACGCGATTAGTCCATAGCTACTGCGGGCTGAAGCAAACTGAGGTCGAATCTAAGAGCAAATCCAAAGCCTCAGAAGAAGATCAAAATCTCAGACAGAAGGGATCTTTGAATGTGGTCAAACTCATTTCAAAGAATCTCATCATTGTGCTTGCGAAGCTCACTAACAAGATATATGACACTGCCAACGACCTTCTTCCTTTCCTCACACTAACCGAGACCGGCTACCTTACGGCAGCTGGACGAGTTGCTTCGGTTTTGCTCATTGACCTTTTTGAGACCTATCCGCATCATTTGACATCGCTTCTCAATTTTGGAGCCACTGTTACCTACAAGTTGATTAAGAAAAATTCTTCTTCTGATGCCAACATAATATATCTTCTTGACACAATCTTGAAGAATGCTCTGAAATCTGATATCGATGATAAGTTTCAAGCCAAATTGATCAAGTTGTTCCTGAAGGGCATCATGCTGAGCACATTGAGGAGCAGAGAAAATGAAGTGGAATCGAACAATGGCTCTGTCAAACAAGTGGAATATTACCTTTTGGGTTTTAAGAGTCTTCTCATTCTACAGTCTTCGTCTCATTACGAGCATCTTCTTGAATTTTCAGCTTCGTCGACGTCGGGCTCGAAGATGAAACCTGAAGCCATCATGGCCCAACAACACCAATATCAGACCACTCTTCTAGCAACTCACAAAAAAGTTTTTGATTTTGGTTTTTCTTCTCAGTTCACGCTGATAAGACACGCGACTGTGATCCTTTTGGCCCATGTACTTCACAACTTTGTTGATACCGGAAGATTCAGTGCGATAGAGTACCTTCTTGAGTCATACCCACTTCCTAGCTTCAAAATTTGGAGCAATCAAGCCACTCATAGACTTGACAATGATGTCGAGCTTGGCTCTCCCACTAGAAAAGATCACAACGTCATTTCCATCCACGATAGTGAAGGTTTGATCAACGCTAGTCTCAGTCAAAAGAATCAAAGATCAGGAATAGCGGAATCATTGGTTTTATACTTGCAATTACAGCAATTTCAAGATTGGAGCTATATTGCATCCTCCATCTGCACGATTCTCGATACGATTCTTGCAAAATTCGGTGGATTGGATGACAGCCGTCATATTCCAACTTCTGAATGGAATTTTGTTTTATCTCAGTGGATGATAATTGTTGAGTTTTTGATAAAGGAAAGTGGTGCCTCGGTCCATGAGGTCGTTGCTCAATATATCGTTAATCGCTTCTCTGCTTCTCCCGAGGTAGGAGAAATATCCCGATCTGCTTCTCCCGATCCAAGACTGTTGAAGTCTCGTAACGAGAATAAGCTTTTCACCTTCAAATCGAGCAAGAAGTTGAAAGCTAAGGGTGTCGAGAATAACCTCATCGCGCCATACAAAAATCCATATCAGTTATCCCTCCTACTTCGAGTCATCAACCTTCTTATCCCGTACGCGATCAATTTTAGCTCCTTGGACGTGCTGCACCCTGATGCTGCTAAAGATGATGACGATCTCGAATCAGCAAACGAAAGTCAGTCCGCTGTTCTTGACGGGGACAGTGCACTTCCTGCCAGGGGAAATGATTACATCAGCAACCTTCTTCTATCCTTGCTCGTCAATGACTCTGAGCAAATCAGGAACTGTGCTACTGCATCTCTTTTACTATACGCTGATGTCAATATGTCTCACAGCAACAGTTTGATTCTTCAACTTTTCCACTTGGTTACACTGGAGTTGAATTCGGAGACTCAGAAAGAAACCACTTCTTCGGATAACAATGTCTCCGGCTTTCAAGCTACAAGACTCTTAAGTTACGCTCTAGCGTTGCTGTCCTTGATAAAACAGGCGGACTCGACTCTTTTACAGAACTCAACAATTGCGAAGATTTTAAGTTTCTGTACTCAAAATTTGAAACACAGCAGCAGCGCTAACAAGAAGTTTCTCAGCAACGCTGCATGTTGGATCATCATGTCCAGTTTAGTGACATTTAATGAGACATCTGAATTTGTCAAGTTAAACTCGTCGCAATTTTTGGTGTTTTGGAAAAACCTCTTGACTTCGCAGTTCGTTAACGCAGATATTGGGAATTTGTCGGACACTTCTCAACTCAACGAGGTTATGAATAATCTCATGTTGCGTTCTCTAAGCCTTATATGCTTGCACAACTATATTGGGTCTGTTCAGTCATCGAATGAGCTCTCAAGACTGCTTCAATTTTTGCTTGTTAAATCATACAATTATCTCACCTACTTGGAGTCTACATTTGAAGAAATTGGTGCCTTGACTGCTTTCAATGCACAGCCTTTCAATGAGAGTGATTTCAATCCAAACCTCGTTAGCAACCTCATCTTTTCAAACTTCAACACATCCAATTTATTGCCACCACAACATCGCTTGATAAGCTTAATACTTTATAACAAGAAGGTTGTTCTACAGGGCTTTATCAAACTTGCGCCTTCTCTTAAACGTGATGTGAATTCTAGTCTTGTCGTGTTCCTCACGAGGGTTTTTGCTGACGCGAAAGGCTTCTCTCGTTTGCCCTTGACAGATGCCAAGAAGGACAAAAACAAGACTAGCAAGAGCAAATCTTCGCAAGGAAGAGCTCCTCATGACAACGCTTTTCTACTTGAGCTAGATGAGGACTATAACTACAACTTTGGAGTCACTAGTGGTTTTAGATCTGCGATTGAGGGATCAACACCGCAATCAAACTCAGCTTTTGGCAATACTGATACTGTGGACAGTAATTCTGCTAACAAAGACTTTTTGGGATGGCCTACACTGTTTGAGGTGAAGGTAGATGAGATATCTTGTCGAGGTTTTAATTATGATCCTGCTGCATTTCTTCTCAGAGACACACTGAAATCAACAAGCCATGCTACAGAGATACTCACTACAATCGTGGATAGGTCCATTGAGCTTTTCCAATACGTCTTTCCCAACTTGACTTTTAAGATCCAGTTTTCGCTTCTCGAGCAGCTCAGAGCATCTTTGACGCAAAGCAATATAGACCCTTTGAGACGGTTAGCCATTCAAGTCAATGATACTTTCGCTCTTAATGGACTACTTAAATACTACATTGAATCAGGCACTTCAATGGATGCACAAATACTTACTGCGTTGATCGACACAGTTGAGAAAATTGATCTGGACAATCTACAGCTCAATAATTTGAATGCAGAAACAGTTGGTATGGCATCAACAATGCTTTCAAAAGCTGACGTTGATAGTATTGTGGCTCGCTACGTCAATGAGATTGTGACACAATCTGCACCTTCGGCGAGAGGAAGGGTAATCATGTACCTTGCTCAAATTTACAAGTACAGTCATGCTGGCTATTCTAACATCCTCGACGTTGTACTTCAGCTCATCAAGGACCCAAATCCGATCATGGAACATTACGCTTCTAATGCAGCTGCCACTTTGTTGGAAAACTCTTTGGGTAACGAGATTTTGGTGAAGTCTTTGATGGAGCAGGTATATTCCAACATCTTGAATGACGATTTTGGCATGAACCTTGATAATGAATACCTTGTCAATCTTCGATCATGTCACAATTCATTCGCTACTTATTCGAGAATCGTTTCCTATAGTGTGACTTCCCTTGGTCCCGCGCTTAAGAATTGTGATACCGGAATCAGACAAAAAATTCGAAACTTACTCATCCTTTTTGCTAATGGAATTGGAAGTGGCGACTCTGATGAATATGTCAACGTTGTGAAAAATCTACTTCTCACCTTGCAAGAGATCCTCATCTTTGATCCATCTTTTATTGAAGGTTTCACTAACTGGTTTCATCTCGAGACTGCGGCGATCGTCAAAGCTAATGCCAAAGTTGGGGTTGGGCTTTTGGGACCAACGTCTCCATGTCACGAGTCTATTTTTCCCGTCTCCACTTGCTTTGAACTCTACGATTTAGCTTTTGGTAGTCTTCTTGAAATGACTAAAGTTGGTGTATCAACTTTGCATAAAGAGAATGTTAACTTGGCTTGGATAGCGATGGAACTTAACCCCTGTCCATCATTGATAGCCTTGATCAAGTACTGGGTTGATTCAAAGCCAGAGATGGTGTGGTTCTCACAGGTGAACGCTCTTTTTAAACTGTCGGCCAGAAAACTCACTGGTCCCTTCCTTGAGCTTAACTACCAAGTGAAATTGCTACCACTCACCCAAAGGCAAAAGAAGAAAAATAGCGGCAATATTGACTTGAAGGATGATGAGGTTCGGAATATTGTTAACGAAAGCCAAGAGACAGATGACAAGAACGAACCAATCACCTGGGAGTTCCGCCTGTTTTTGTATGATATTATCATACAAATATTGACTGCAGCTGAAAAGAGTCCGACGCTTACATCTTCTCTCACTAGCAAGATTCAGGAAATTGTACGGATGTCCTTCCTCGGAACTACTTCCCCCATTCCAGCAATCAATTTGAAGGGTGTTGCTTTGCTTGATAAGGCCCTCACTCTCTTTGGCCATCTCGAAGACCCAGTATACCCTGGCATCTCTATATTGGAGCAACAACAAGCCCAGGTTATAAGTGCACTTGTTCCGTGCTATGGACCACAAAGCAATGCAAAACTTATCGTTAACGCGATAAGTCTTTCTTCAAAGTTCATTAACTTGCCTAGGATCAAATTTTATTCGAAGCAAAGAATTCTCAAAACATTGATTTGTCTTCTAGAGGAAGTATCCTCCAACAAGTTCTTAAAGTTCACTTACTTGGAAGCGATGTCTGAATTCAGCAGAAAAGCGATTCAGCTTTCTATTTTGAACTGTTGGGCCGAAGTCCGAATCGACATGCAGAACACGTCAGACGATCCAAATGAGGAATTCAGCTCGATTGTTGCCAAATATTCTGAGTTGTTGATCTCTCTATGGATCTTGGCGTTGAACGATCTTTCAACACTTCGCTACACTCAACCTACCAGTCGTGAGATTGAACTCTACACGGACTGTTGGCTAAACTTTGTGGAGGTTTTGACTATAGAGCTTGAACAAGACCCAGAGAGGGTCACCAAGCTTCTTGAGGATGACTCCAAAGACTTCTTCTTTGTCCTTTTCTGTCAATGCACAGAGTCGTTGATTAAGTCACACAATACAACACGGGTTCTTCTGTCTGTGAAGCGCCTTGTAACCATTCCTGAACTCGTTGATAATCTTTTGTCGGATGAGGTATTTGGTGAGGTTGTTGATTTGCTTGATCGTCTCGTTCTCGTTGAGGAGGAGACAGAAGCCAGAGCAGAGGTAATCGATATCGCCCTGAGTTTATCCAGAGTATACCTGGAGAAAGCTACAGTCGAAAGTAGTGCCGACAAATTGTTGGAGCTCTTGCGAGTCGTTATGCTTCCGCTTTTCAGTATATTTGCTTTCTTGAAGGACGATTATGATCCTGAAAACGTCGTACAGCAAGTGGCGTTGAAGAATTGCAACTCTGCCTCAAACTTGTTGATTCTCAAAAAGCTGCTTTCTGCTGTCATATCAATGTTAAACGGCTTTCAGGGAGATGCTCAACTCAACGTCAGCTCTTGTTTGTTCTACTTATTCGCAAAGTTTTATGAACATGACGATGATAACTTAATTGGTGTTATTCTCCCGTATTTGAAACTTGCTATCAACAAGATCGAAAGCGAAAAAGCTTCGCTAGTCAACTCATTTTTTGGAATTCTTCGAAAACAGGGATTTTTCAATTCAACCAGCAATAAGAATAATCATGTCATCACCGTGGTTCTTTTGCTCACAAATAGCGAAATTACTCTTGATTACAATGAGTCAAGGATTTTAGCTAATGCAATTTTAGGATTGGTGGAAGATTCCGAGTATGCATCAGCCGGGATTCAATCTATCAAGTCTCTTTTGAGACAATCAGAAAACCCCCTTGGATCCCTCGTTGTGAAGAATATTCTAGAGAAGCTTTTGTTACATTTGGCAGGAGATGGGCAAGAAATGAAAATCGACCTTCGCATAGCACTTGAAACTGTCATTGTGTTTTCCCAATCCGAGGCGATCAGGAATGACTCGGGGAAAAGTATCTCCCTTTATGCGGCACTCATACCACTCCTCGTAAAACATGCTGCCGCAGGCACGATCGATGAGGACTACCTACACGGTAAAACGGTGCTACTTTTGACTAAGAACTCCGAAGTCTTCAAGACCGTCGTAAACGAATACCTCGACGAAGATCAAAAATCCAAAACTGAAAGATTGGTGAAAAGAAGCTCTACTTCCAGCCAGGATGATTTGGCCAATGATTCGGCCATTGAATTGAAGACTTTCGGTTAGCTGCGGAATGAGAAGCGGAGTGAAGATTGGGTGTATCGTGATCTCCGGTGCACGGAGGTGGCTGATGGAACGGCTACAATGCCAAGTCCCAGACTCGGAAAAAACTAGTTATAGTGCCTGTTTCTTACATATAAAACACTTTGGTTTTACCACTTTTAGTCCATATACAAATGTATCAAGGTCTATATAAAATGTTCTGGAGTTTCTTCTGGCTCTTGACGTTGGCTGGTCTGGCATTAGCAAAGACTCATGAGTACAACTTCGATGTTGCCCTTATTAAGCACAATCCTGATGGTGTCTATGAAAGAGAGGTCATTGGAATAAACGGACAGTGGCCTCTACCAATAATTCGAGTGGCAAAGAATGACAGAGTCAAGATCCACCTTACAAATTCCATGACCGACCGCAATACTTCCTTGCATTTTCATGGCTTGTTCATGACCGACAATAACGCCATGGACGGCCCAGAATGGGTTACACAGTGCCCCATTCCTCCAGGACACTCATTTACTTACGACTTCACCGTGGGCGATCAGGTAGGAACTTACTGGTACCATTCCCATTCCGGCTCTCAGTACAGCGATGGTCTTCGTGGTATGTTCATCATTGAGGAGAAGAATCTTGAAGACTATCCTTTCACTTTCGATGAGGAAGTACCACTCAGTATCACTGACTATTATCACGCCGAAAGCAAAGACATTATGTCGAAGTTCTTGTCGAGATACAACCCAACCGGTGCCGAGCCCATACCCCAAAACTCTTTGTTCAACGATACAAGAAATGTAACCTGGAATGTTGAGACTGACAAAACCTATTTCTTACGAATTGTGAACATGGGCATGTTTGTCAGTCAGTATTTCTACATCGAGGACCACACGTTTACGATTGTCGAAGTTGATGGTGTATATGTTGAACCAGTTGAAACCGAGTCGCTTTATATCAGTGTTGCTCAGCGTTACGGCGTTCTCGTGAAGACCAAGAAATACATCAAAGACAAGGCTTTCCGCATAGTCAATGCCTTCGATGAGCCTATGCTCGATTTGGTGCCCGACGATCTTCAGGTCATCTCCACTAATTATTTGCAATACGGCCATGGTGATGTGAAGAAGCCTAAGCCATTGGCTAATGGTAAGGGTAAGTTTGATGAGCTTGAAGCCTCTTTAAATCCATTTGATGATTTTGATTTGATTCCCTTGCTGAGAAAAAAGATTTACCCAGATCACGACGTTCAGATTGTTCTCAATTTCACTATGGATAATTTGGGTGATGGTGTCAATTACGCATTGTTTAATGGAGTCACTTACACAGCTCCAAAGGTCCCAACACTTTTCTCCGTCCTCTCCGCTGGTGAGTTCGCCAACAATGTTGCCATCTACGGATCTAATACGAACACTCACGTATTGCAACCAGGCGAGATTGTTGAGATAGTGTTGAATAATATGGACGATGGTAAACATCCGTTCCACTTACATGGACATGTCTTCCAAACAATTTTCCGTTCCGAGGGAACGGAAGATGCCGACAACCCTGAAGTGTATGACCCCTCGAATGATGACTACAACAAGCATCCTGAGTATCCAATGCAAAGAGATACTGTTATGGTTAACTCAAATGGGTTTGTCAAGCTCAGATTTAAGGCTGACAACCCTGGTGTCTGGTTTTTCCATTGTCACGTTGATTGGCATTTGGAACAGGGATTGGCCGTTGTATTGGTTGAAGATCCCGAGCAGATTCAGCAAAAACAAAGCGAGATTCCAACCTCGCACCGTGAGGCTTGCGATAAGCTAGGAATTCCTGTCAAAGGAAACGCTGCTGGAAAATTCGGTGAAACAGAGGCCTCATGGCTTGATCTCACTGGTGAGAACCTTCAATTTAAGCCATTGCCTCCAGGATTTACACCAAAGGGTTATGTTGCTATTGTGGTCTGCGCCTTGGCTGCTGTGTTTGGTATTTACACCATTTACATCTACGGCATGGAAGATGTTAATACTGAGGACGCAGAACATATGGTACAGAAGTTGTATCAACTCCTTGGTGAGCAAGACAGGGCTGAGCCAGAAGAAAGAGTCAGACTCAACGAGCCGTCAGAATCTGATCAGTAATGAATTTCGCATGTCACGAGAACCTTCCTTTTTCAGTTGTAGAATTGATTGAATTGTAGTTTCCTACCCTTACCAAGCTCTGGACTGCATATTAATCGTATGGCGTTTAAAGCTTAACAGCACCGAGTCTTATCAACAAATTCTATTAATCCGAACACTATCACTCATTATGTCAGCGCTATTTGAGTGGGCTTTTGGTAAGAAGCTTACTCCGCAAGAGCGTCTTCGAAAGAACCAAAGAGCTCTTGAGAAGACACAAAGGGAGTTGACTAGAGAGGTTAATAAGCTACAATCTCAGGAGAAGACATTGATGCTGGAAATCAAGAAGCTGGCCAAGCAAGGTCAGATTGCTAGTGCCAAAATCCAGGCCAAAGATCTTGTCAGAACTAAGAATTACATTGTCAAATTCAACCTGATGAAGGCACAGTTGCAGGCTATCCTGTTGAGAATCCAGTCCGTCAGGAGCAACCAACAGATGGGAAGTTCCATGAGAGATGCCACTCGACTTTTGCTGGGAATGAACAGATCAATGAACTTGCCCCAACTTTCTAGAATTGCACAAGAGTTTGCTAAAGAGAATGATCTCATGGATCAGAAACAAGAGTTCATGGATGATGCTATAGATGATGCCATGGCTGATGATGAGGAATTGGGTGAGGATGAGCAAGTGGATGAGATCTTGACGAAGGTTCTAGACGAAATTGGAGTGGACATCAATACAAGCTTGAAGGACACACCCAATACCATAAATGTGGAGAGCCCCAGCAAACAGGATGCCAGAGTTGCAGAGGCAATCGGTGGCCATGGCGGTGCTGGTGGTCTGGAGGAGGACGACTTGCAGGCAAGGTTGGACAGTTTGAAGAAGTGAGTTGATGTTCAAATAAATAAGTTGACTATGTATGATTAGATGTACTTCTTTTCTATCAAGAAATCAGCAATGGCCTTCGCAGACTCCTCGACGGTCTGACCATCGTAATTCTTCAAATGGATTTCAGGCTTCTCAGGGGCTTCATATGGTGCAGAGATACCAGTGAACTCTTTAATGACGCCCTCTCTGGCCTTCTTATACAAGCCCTTAGGGTCTCTCTTCTCAGCAACCTCGACTGGCACATCCACGTAGACCTCCACAAATGGCAATTGTGATTGCTCGTGCAACTCTCTGGCAATTTGTCGGTCATGCTTGTAAGGACTAATGAACGAAGTCAAGGTAACACAACAAGAATCGGTGAACAATTTCGCAACTTCGCTGATTCTTCTGATGTTCTCGTTTCTATCAGCCTCGGAGAATCCCAAATCTTTATTTAAACCGAATCTAATATTGTCACCGTCCAATCTGTAAGAGTTCAATCCACGCTGCAAGAGGGTCTGCTCCAAAGCGCAGGCAATGGTAGACTTACCACTGGCTGAGAGACCTGTCAACCAGACGGTAACGCCCTTTTGCTTTCTAAATTCAGCACGCTCGCTGTGAGTCAAATTTTCGTGCCAAGTGATGTTTGTTGCCATTTTGAGCGAGTATATGGAAAGAAAGGTGAGAAAACGTAAGAATTGAAACTAAAGATTTGGTCGATTTATTTGCAAGCATATTGACTGAAAAAAAATGCAACAATTGCACGTGACTGAACTTGCATAATCAATTCTCTTACACATTTTGCTTCAGGACGCTTAAGCCGCATTAACGGTTGGTGGTAGTCTTGACGCGTAAAATTGACGATTTGGTGCTCTCGTAAAACATAAATGAGCTTTCTAATTGAAATTCGATTTTCTTTTTAATCTGATAAATAAATTGTGCATGTGGCTGACGCATGAATAGACATTTTTGTGGGGATTTAATGTTTTGGCTGCGAAATCCACCAAATGATAGAATATTCGGGGCTCCACAAAATTTGTAAAGATTTGGCAGAAACTTGAAAACTGCCTTCGATGAAGATTATGTTTCTCCAATGAATAAGTATACCTTCAAAAGAGATGCAATTCTTGAAGTAATGAGAACAGTTTGGAGATGACATTCCAAAAAATCTTACAGCTTTTGCTTGGCGTTTAAAGAAGTCTCAAAGAACAGACATTCAATGACATAAGTTGAACTTATCTATGCAATTCATGCTTTCGAAGGCTGTAACGTTGTCCATGCAGCGCGGGAGTCAAGATCACAATTGTTCATCTCATCTGGTGTACGGGAGTGCATCCGTCGGAGTCACTGGCCATTACAGCTCTACACTTACCTATACTCCCCAATGTCGCTTCATACAACAGAACTAGACGGAATCTTGCCCCTCGTCAACAGAGGTAAGGTGAGAGACATTTATGAAGTCAATGCCACCACTCTTCTTTTTGTCGCTACTGACAGAATTTCAGCGTACGATGTCATTATGGAGAATGGAATCACCAACAAAGGAAAGATTTTGACCAAGTTATCTGAATTTTGGTTTTTCTTCTTGTTCAACCAGGTCCACAACCACTTGGTTTTGGAACCACATTCGGATGAAGAAGAAATATTCAAGCACTTACCCCCTCAATTGTCCGAGCCAAAGTACAAGGATCAGTTGCAGGGTAGATCATTGCTTGTCAAGAAGATGGAATTGATTCCATTGGAAGTTATTGTCAGAGGCTATGTGACGGGCTCTGCTTGGAAGGAGTACAAGAAGTCAAAGACAATTCACGGCATTGCCATTGAGGAGGATTTGCAGGAGTCCCAGGAGCTTCCAACTCCACTCTTCACACCTTCCACTAAAGCTGAGCAGGGTGAGCATGATGAGAACATTACTCCAGAACAAGCAGAGAAGATTGTTGGCAAAGAATTGTGTGACAGAATTGCCAGCATTGCCCTTGACCTCTACACCAAGGCTAAGGATTATGCCAAAACCAAGGGAATCATCATTGCTGACACCAAATTCGAGTTTGGATTGGATGAGAGCGGCAATGTTGTGCTTGTTGACGAGGTTCTCACACCTGACTCTTCAAGATTCTGGAACGCCGAAAAGTACGAGGTCGGCAAGTCTCAGGAATCTTACGACAAACAGTTTTTGAGAGATTGGTTGACATCCAACAACTTGAATGGAAAGGAAGGCGTCAAGATGGACGAAGAAATTGTCACTAAAACTAAAGAGAAGTATGTTGAGGCGTACGAGGTTTTGACTGGCAACACCTGGAAAGATTAAATATGTCATTCATGTGAAATTATAGATTATTTTTGAAAGGGAATGCAAGTATATGCCTAATGCCGGTAATTTTTCCTTAGATATTGTTCCTCAAACTCAGGAACATGCCGCTTTTGTAGAGTCAACCGTTCAAACTCGTCGGTGACACGCTTTTTATAATTCAGAGGCGCTGGCTGGGCTCTGACTGGAGATAACTTTGCATGCATCTCCGCATCCCATTCAACGTTCTTTGCTTTTAATGGTGAACGCTTTGGAGAGCTTGGAGGTGGCGTACCATGGTAGTATTGATGCTGTGCGTGTTGGATATGGTACTGACCTTGTGGGAATTCTTCAAGAAGCTCACGAGGCCCCTTGGTTTAGCTTTCCGCTCAAATGATGAGGCTGATGAATCACTCTTCTTTCTGGTCAATTGTTGTTCAGGGTCCAGACTTTTTCTGCGTTGTAAGATCTCCGAAAGTCTCTGCTGTACTTCGTGTTCCACAACATGTTTAAACTCACGCTGGTAATTGAGTCTCATCTCCTTTGCCTCCAAATCCATAGCTTTTTTGCGAGATTCAAATTCAAGCGTGAGCTCCTCCTCAAACTGTCTTTTCTGTAGGTCACATTTCTTTTGCAACATTGAATAGTCGTCCTGAAGCTCATTCTTGCGTACTTGGGCTAATCTTTCGAAACTTCTGAACTTCGCTTCGAGATCTTCTTTATCTTTATTCACTTTTTCCTCGATGTCTTTAAGAGATGCTTCTGTTTTTTTGAGCTCCTCATGCTTAATAAGTAGCTGTTTTTGGAATTCATTGAGGGTGGCACTAGCTGTCTTGAGTTCCATCTCCTTGCGAAACATCTTCACCGACAATGTTTCCAATAGGTCGTAGCATGTTGGACGCATTTCGGGGTCGACGGTGATACAATCACTTATGATTTTGCGAAGCTGCTGGGAGTATAGAGGAGACAATTCTGGAATGACACCTTTCTTTATTTTTGCCTGCAATTGCAAGTGCGTTGAAGCCCTAAATGGAGGATGCAAGTTACAAAGCTCGTATAGGACACATCCTAGTGACCAGATGTCGCAGACAGGTGAGTATGGATTGTCCATCAAGACCTCTGGTGACATATAGTAAGGCGTGCCCACGTAGGTTTTGGCGAAATCATTTTGGGAGGTGAGCATCTTTGCAAGGCCAAAGTCGCCAAGCTTGATGGTTTTACCAGAATCAAGCATGAGAATGTTGTCGGGCTTTATATCACGATGAATGATGACAGTTTCAGAATCCACATGCGGTTCAGAGGTCTGGTCCAGGCCACGGAAAAGATCAACCTTTTTCACGTCTATACCATAATGACACCTATGTAGTGCTAGGAGAGTCAGGGTCATGACTTCCCAGACGAATCCCTCAGGAACAGTGTCACCATTTTTTTTAAACGTGGAGATCACTTTGCTCAAGTCACCTCCATCGCAGTACTCTTGATAGATGTGAATGACTTTCTCTTCTGGCAAATGGTCATGGTGATAGTACTTTACAACGTTGGGGTGATTAAGCTCTCGAAGAATGCGTAGCTCTGATATGATATTGTTTCTTTCTTGAGTGCTCATGGAGGTGTACTCGATCTCTTTCCTTACCAAGATCTCGCCGGTCTCCTTCAGGCGAACCTTTCGAACGGTGCCGAAAGAGCCTTTTCCGATAACCTCTAGCGGTATATATTTCTGTGCAAGGGTGGCCATGACAGACCCTAGAGTTGCAATGCAATTGAGTTGGTCTGTTGAACTTGTAAGTTGTTGTTTGCATCCGTCCCAAAATGGAAAGGTGCATACACCATGTGCAGCGCCTGTGAGGCTAGCCCCAGGCTGCGAAAACCCACAAGAAGTTCCTATGAGATCTCGGGACCGAATCGATCACAAAAAATGCATTTCGGGAACTTTTCGCAAATTTCCTTCCACGCAGAACAACGTACTTTTTATAACTTGCTAGTGACTGTCTCGGAGTGTCATGGAGACGAAGGTAGCTTCTTTTCCCTTTTTCGGTCCAAGACCGTCTGATTGAAGCTCCCGTTTAGCACCAAGTCAGAGCAAAAAATAGAGCTTTATAAGTGAGCTGGCAAAAAACTTTCAGAATGTCAGGCGGTTTGCCAAGGCCTGATATGTATGTGCCTGGCGATGACAATGCATGTAATTTATCGTATTTGACGCCCCAGAGATTTTTCACACCCTCGCGGCCCCGACCTCACAGCATTCTCATCGAATGCATCACTAGCAAAGCCGATTCTGCCAACTTTTCAATTTTTGCCAAGATTGTATAACCTCAGTGGTGGGCTAAGCCTGGCATCACCATGCTGTAATTGGCCCGTATTGCCTTTGCATTGACGAGTTCGACTGCCTTGACTCCGACTATAAGTAGACCATAGGATACGCTGTGATTCCTCCAAACCAAAAATGAAATTCACCTCTTTGCTTGCCGTCGCCGCTGCTGTCTCTGCTGCTCCTGCCTCATTTTTCTGGGAAGAGCGTACCAATGCTACTGCTGTCGTGAACAGGGTCACTTGGACTGAGACATGGGATACTTCTTTCGAGATTGACGACTCCTGTTCTCCTGTGGAACAGAATCAATTGAGACAGGCCTTCGAAGAGACGAAGCTCTTGGCCAACCATGCCAAACTTCATACTCTTCGTAACGGTAACTCCTCTGAGTTTTACAGAAAATACTTCGGTAACGCTCCTATTGGAGAGGTTGTGGGCAACTACGAAGCTATCGTCTCGGCGAACACCACTGGAATACTTTTCCGTTGCGACGACCCTGATGAAAAATGCTACCAGGACGGCTGGGCTGGTTACTGGAGAGGAGCTAACAATAGCGATGAGACCAACATCTGTCCTCTCTCCTACACTAGCAGATTGTGGTTGTCTCAATTGTGCTCCCAGAACTTCTCGGTCGCCTACTCCAAGAACTCCGAAATTTTTGCTGCAGACATTCTTCACAGATTGTGGCACACTGACAAGTTGGGTCAGGGCGTCATTGGCCACTATGCTGATACTTACGATGAGTGCTTGGACTTGGCTAAAACCAACGAGTCGGAAGCCGTTCGTAACTCGGCCACTTTGAGACTATTTGCTTTGGACGTCTATGCTTACGACATTGCCGTTCCAGGTGATGGTTGCACTGAGCCTTTGGAGGACGAACTGTTGCCACCTTCCCTGTCCTCCCTGTCTACCCTGTCTTCAAAGACTGACTCTGCTACTACCACCAACGCTGATGCATGCCACACTCATGCTGATGGCGAGGTTCACTGCGAGTAGACTCGATTAGATTATTTTCCCTTTCTTGCGCTTACCTATTTTATTCCCTTCAATTCGAATACATTATGCGAACTTAAAATTAGTATATGTAGCTTCATTAGCGGCTATTGTGTATGGTGCCTCGAATGTAGCATTCTGCAAATTATGATAGTACCTAGTGCATAGCCTGGTTATGCGCAACTATCACTCAATATACGAAACGATACAGCTTTTGTGACAGTATTCTCCATATCTAAGCCATCAGGGATCAAAGACCATAAAAGTCTATCATTCTATGAATTATTCAAAACAATCATTTCCTTCAGCCAAGAAAAGCAACAATCGAGCCCACCATCAAACAAGCCTACGCTCACGTCAATTGCTTGACAATCTTCGCGTGTTGAGGATACTGACCTAAAAGGTCAGCTTGTTCAAAAAGATGAAACTCCTTAAAGTCGAACCCGGGAGAGACCATGCAGCTGACCAACGCCCAACCAATCTCTACCGATGAACCGAAAATCACTCCTCTAGGCACCTCAAACTGGACCACTTCTCCCAAATCGGGGTTCTTTCCAAGCTTCACCTTCTTGTACTCTCCGTTGGGGTATATGCAATGCACAGTCAATGGCTCGCCATCGTGAAAATACCATACTTCCTCCGAGTGAAGCCGATGAAATCTTGAAGGGTTCTTGTCCTCCAACAAGAAATGTATATTGGTGTACAATGGAACGTCAAGGCCGGTTTCGGATTTCATTGTTAGTTTAGACCTCCCGGTTTCGCTGTAGTACCCGCCTTCGGGATGTGGCTGGAGGTTCAAAGCCTTGATCCACCTATCTCCCATAGTCGTTGGTGCGATAATATCGAAATTTGCACAGGCCGGAGTTGTACCACACGGTGTTAGCGACGAAGGAAGACAAAAGGGGCTTGATCTCCATTTCCACGAACAGGTCAGCCGAAAGATAACAAAAGTGTCCTCAGGTATAATGCCATCTCCAAGGCACAATGCGTGTTTTAAAAACAGAGAGCAAACTCAAATGATACCATAATACGGCGCATGTAGCCGGTTGATGCAAAATGCCGAATTGCCGAGATGCTAAAGTTTTACACAGCTTTCCGCTTCACTGATTAGGCATTTTGGGTAATAAAAAAACTGTGGCTCAGGACCAGATACGTTATCGTTGGCTATAGCCAGGTATGCGAAAATGCCAGTACAATATATGTAAGACAACTTTATTACACCTTTCGCCAGCCACACGATACAATTCACCATCTTTTCACGTGATGAAAGGTTATAGATGTATATATACTTCAATTTAGCCCCTGTTCGGCTTTTTTGAAAGTAGGCCGAAAAGATGACTGTTAAGCAAAAGCCAAACTTCATTGTTGTTGTAGCCGACGACTTGGGCTTTACTGATTTGAGCCCTTTTGGAGGAGAAATCGAGACTCCAAACCTACACAAGTTAGCTCTCAATGGCCTTAGATTCACTGATTTCCATACTGCTTCGGCTTGTTCACCAACCAGATCAATGCTTCTCTCTGGTACTGACAACCATATTGCCGGGTTGGGTCAAATGGCCGAATTCGCCAGGAACCATCCTCAGCTTTTTGCAGGCAAGCCAGGCTACGAGGGTTACTTGAATTATAGAGTCGCCGCTTTATCTGAGATTTTGGAAGATTCTGGCTACTATACTTTCCAAAGTGGTAAATGGCATTTGGGTCTCACTGAGGACTATTGGCCCTCTAAGAGAGGATTCCAGAAATCTTTCACTTTGTTACCGGGCGCCGGCAATCACTACAAGTACTTTCCCATTGATGAGGAAAATGGTGGGCCAGCTAAGTTTATGGCTCCGCTCTTCCAGGAGAACGGCGTGAGCCTTGATCCTTACGGCCTCCCCGATTCCTATTACAGCAGTGATTACTTTACGGACAAATTTTTGGAGTTTTTGGGTGACGACAAGAAAAGAGATCAGCGTCCATTCTTCGGCTTCTTGACCTATACTGCCCCTCATTGGCCTTTCCAAGCCCCAGAGGATGTGGTTGCCAAATACAAGGGTAAATATGATGGTGGTCCCGAGGATTTAAGAAGAAAGCGTCTAGACAAGGCTTTAGAATTGGGAATTATTCCCGATGGAGTGATTCCTCACGAAGTTGTCACTCAGAGAAACAAGGCATGGAAGGATTTGACTGATCACGAGAAGAAGGTCGAGAGCCGCATTATGGAGACCTATGCCGCCATGGTCGACATTGTGGACCAAAACCTTGGCCGTGTCATCGACCAATTGGAAAAGACTGGTGAGATTGACAACACTTTCATTCTATTCATGTCCGACAATGGTGCCGAGGGGATGATGATGGAGGCTCTTCCACTCAGCAACGCTAACTTCACCAATGCCATTGAGAAGTACTACGACAACAGCTACGATAACATTGGTAAAAAGAACTCCTTTGTTTGGTATTCAGATCAATGGGCTCAGGCTGCCACAGCACCCGCATACATGTACAAGATGTGGGCTAGTGAAGGTGGTATTCGCTGCCCGTTGATTATCCACCACCCCAATGCTGTTCCTGAAAAGAATAGAGGTAACGTGAAGCACGGTTTCGCAACTGTCATGGACATTCTCCCAACGATTTTAGATTTAGCGGAGGTAGAACACCCCGGTACAAAGTTCCGAGGAAGAGCTGTGGTCAAGCCTAAAGGCTTGTCTTGGAAGAAGTACATTACCGGAGAGGCTGATTTCGCCCACGACGAAAATTCCGTGACTGGCTGGGAATTATTTGCGCAGCAGGCAATCAGAAAAGGAAAGTGGAAAGCTTTGTATATTCCTAAGCCCATGGGTCCAGAGAAGTGGCAGTTATTTGACTTAAAAGCCGATCCAGGCGAACGTATTGATCTTGCTGAGAAGGAGCCCAAGATCCTCGATGAATTGCTCGACTATTGGAGCCAATACGAAGCTGAAACCGGATTGGTTAAGTTTGGCGGCGAGATTTATCAAGACGCTCAATACGATCCAAAGGTGTTATATAAGTAATAGTGAACTTTTTGCAGCCAATTCGCGGTAACAAATATGCTTAAGTAGGTGAACAGACCCGTCCACCGCAAGTGTCGCACTATGGTTGGTCGAGAAAAAAACCTCCAGCAGTGATCTCAAACAACGCTAACAGTCGAAGAATATTTAAATCTAGGACATGTTCAGTGCTGTCGCTCGCAGAGCCGTGGCTCAATCCACGCAATGTGCGGCCCGCCGTTCGTTGACCACCTCAATGCGTTCGTTTCAACAAGTCAACACTAGCCCAGGTTCTCCGGTTACTTCGCAACCAGTGAAAGCAAATGCCACCACGGACCCTGTGCTGCCTGAGGTGAAGGATGAAGTCAGAAGAATCAACGAGACTCCTGAGGAGCCTACTCCCAAGAAGAAGAAGTTCTCTTTCACGGGGTTCTTGTTCAAGACGCTCTTCTTTACCTCCGTGGTTTACGGTGCTACTTTGTACGTTGCAACTAAGAACGACAAGGTTATGGACTTTGTTTTGGACAACAACTTGCCTTATTCCGAGGAATTGATGGATTTGATTGAGACTGGCTCTGTCCAGCAATTGCAAAAGTCGTTGGGTCGTCTTCCACAAAACATCAAGCTTCCATCCAAGGACCAGATTGACGAGTTGGCCCACAAAATCGAAAAGGGTGGTGAGACCTTGATCAAGGAGACCAAAAGTAAATTTGGCCAGAGCTCCAAGTACACCACTCCTGAGGAGCAATTGCAAAAGCCTGTTGAAGTTGAATCCGTGGGTAATGTGATTGAAAAGTTGCCCATGATCACATTGAAGGACGGCCTCTCTGACTACGCTGATGAGACTGTCAAGGGCACCATTGCATCCTTCAATGACTTGATTGCATTGGTGGATGCTTCCAACATTGGCTCCAAGAAAGATGGCCTCATCAAAAACATTAACGAGAACGTCCACGCCTTGACCTCGAAGCTCGTTAAGTTGAGCAATTCTTTGGAGGAAGAACTTCAGAAGAAGTTGAAGTCCACGCAGACTGAGCTCCTTTCCGCATACACTCAGAAAGAATTGGAGTTGACACAAAACTTGTTGGACCAGTTCAACCACGAAAAGACCAACTTGGAGAAGAAGTATCAAGCGAGAGTAACTGAGGAGGTTGAGGCCGCCAAGAAGGCTATCACTCAGGCTGCTGTGAATGCCACCACGATGGTTAGAGTCGAACAAACAAAGAAGTTTGAGAGCATGATTAAACAAAGGATTGACGATGAAAGAGAGGGCAGATTGAAGAACTTAAATGCATTGAACAACAGAGTGGAGGACCTTGAAAAGTATGCCCAAGCTTTAGAGGAGCAAGCCGTTGCTGCCAACAACAGAGGTGTCATCCAGCTGTCGATCACCAAATTGAAGTCTTTGATCTTCGCTACCGAAGCCAACACCCCTGCTAAGTTTTTGACTCCATACATCACTAGAATTGGTGATGCTACTACTAAGAGCAACGACGAAGTGTTCAGTCTAGCCTTGAATGAGTTGAAGCCTTTGCTCGAAAACGAGTCCAACCAGTCCATCTTGTCTATTCCACAATTGTTGACCGCTTGGGAACAGCTTACCCCAGAGTTGAGATCGGCATCTTTATTGCCTCCTAATGCTGGTTTGTTGGGACACGTTGCCTCCGTCATCTTCTCGAAGTTCTTGTTGCCCGTGAAGGGAAACAAGCCTGACGGCAAGGACATTGAATCCGTCATTGCAAGAGTGAATCTGAGCTTGGTTAGAGGCCAGTTAGATGTTGCAGTGGAGGAAGTCGCTAACTTGAAGGGTTGGAGTAGACAGTTGGCTGACGACTGGGTCAAGGAAGCTAGAGTGAGATTGGAAGCTGAATTTTTGGTCGGCTTGATAGACGTCGAATCCAAGATTATGTAATTAAAACTACGAACGCAAAGTATTTAAAGGAGTTTTTCACATTGTAAGTATTGCTCGCAGACGTTGAGAACTAGATCTGGTGTGCACTCAATGTACATGGGTAGAAAAAAATAGCTTTCAATAGCGTAACGTCCACACTGAATGTCTTCCTCCGGTAATAATGGAGCCGTTTATGGCGGTGACGAAATAAATGCCATCGTTTTAGATGCTGGAAGCCATACTACCAGGATTGGCTATGCTGGAGATGACTATCCCAAGGTGATTGTTCCCTCCAGTTATGCAAAGACTGAGGCCAACAAAAAGATCTTTGGCCACGGAATGGAGTTTCTCCGGAGCAACCAGGAGATAGTGCCTATAATGAGAGACTCTCTTATCCAAGATTGGGATGGCGCCGTCGAACAATACCGTCACTACTTTGACAACTTGTTGAAAGTGGACTACCAGGAACAACCTATCTTGATCACTGAACCTGTTTGGACTGACAAGGAGTACAGACAAAAGCTCGTTGAGACATTTTATGAGCAGTTCAATTTCCCCGCCTTGTACTTGGCTCGTACCCCAACGTGTATCTCATTCCAACAAGGAAGATCGAGCTGCTTGGTTGTGGATGTGGGCCATGACAGTGCTAGTGTAACACCTGTTGTGGATGGAATTTGTCTCCTTCGAAACTCCATGAAAACCAACTATAGTGGTCAATTTTTGAATGACCATGTTAAGAACTTCCTCACCACAAAATTCCCGGACGTGAACTTGGAGTTGAAATACAAGATCAAGGAGAAGACCCCCACCGTCTATCCTACAAAAGCGGACTTCATTGCTAAATCATTCGATGAAAAGATTACTCAGTCGTACGATGACTTCCAGGAACAGAAGATATACTCAGAGTTCAAGGAGCTTATGCTTGAGGTCCCTGAGAAGAAGATGAATACAAGCAACCCGCAAAACGCTGAAGCCATCAAGGAGCAGTACGATGACGAGTCTGAAAAGAGGCTTTTTGAGCTTCCTTCTGGCCAGTCAGTGGAAGCTGGTATCGACCGTTTCCGTCTCGCGGACACGTTGTTTGATCCCGCCAGCTACCCCTTCGAAGATAAAGCGGTGGATGAAAAGTACCCTGCCAATAATGGTGAGCTAGATATAAGTAGTCCTTACGATGACTACCGTCCTTTGAAGAGGGCCAGAAAGACCGGTTCTGGTCCTTCTACGCCTACCCCAGCGCCTGAAAACGGCACCACAGAAAAGACTGCCAGAGGCTTGAGTCACCTCATCACACATGCTATTTCCTCCATCGACATCGACTTGAGGACCTCGATAGCTCATAACATCATTGTCACTGGTGGTACATCCTTGATTCCAAGGTTGACTGAAAGACTCTACAATGAGTTGTCCAACTCGAATCCAGGCCTCAAAATCCGTCTACACGCTATCGGTAATGCTAACGAAAGAACGAATCAGGCATGGATCGGTGGAAGTGTTCTTGCATCGCTCGGCACATTCCATCAAATGTGGGTTAGCAAGGCCGAATATGAAGAAGCTGGTGTCGACAGGATCCTCACCCAAAGGTTTAGATAAAAAGTGTGTATTATATTTAAGGTAAATGATCTACTCGGTGCAAAATAGAGGCCGCTCTATAGGCCGATTGTGCAGGCCAGACTAAGTGAGGCTCCTAGGTCGGACATTCACCAACTAGATCTATACCACCAATGATTACTCAAACCTCGTTGTACCCACCGCAGCCAAACACTGCTCGTGCGTCGAGTACTTTCATTTCTTATGATTCTCAGAACAATAGAATTGCTTATGCATCTGGAAGGTCTATCGTTGTGCGCTCATTAAATAGCGACAGATTACCTGTTCAGTTCACCAAGCACACTTTTCCAACTACAGTTGCCACTTTCAGTCCTTCTGGAAACTACATTGCCTCTGGTGATGAGTCCGGAAATGTCAAGATTTGGGACTCCTCTGTTTATGGCAAGGAGGAAGGTCTGTTTGAACAGCCAGTTGTCAAGGCTGAGTATCAGATTCTCAGTGGTCCCATCAGATCCATTGCCTGGGACGGTGACAACCAAAGAGTGATTGCTGTTGGTGAGGGTAAGGATCAATTTGGTCATTGCTTCACGTGGGATTCTGGTAACTCTGTTGGTGAGATCCAGGGACACTCCACTGTTATCAATGCCGTCGATATCAAGCCTCAGAGACCTTATAGAGCTGCCACTGTGAGTGCCGACAAAGCCTTGGTGTTCTACAACGGTCCACCATTCAAATTCGACAAGAGTATTCGTGGCCGTCACAAGAATGTCATAAGAGATGTCAAATTCAGCCCAGATGGTAAATGGCTCGTGAGTGTTGGCTCCGATAGAACAATAGTCGTGTATGATGGAAAGACAGGGGAGGTTTCCAATACTCTTGAAGATGCCCATAACGGTGGAATCTTTGGTGTCTCATGGCTTGCTGACTCGTCTGCTTTCGTTACTGCTTCCGCTGACAACACGCTTAAAGCTTGGAACCCTGAGAATCTTGAGTCGAAACATACCTACACAGTCGATGCCGATTCCACCGTTTCCAACCAGCAAGTGGGTGTGGTTGTCACCAAAGAATACGTGATTTCCCTCTCTCTCAATGGAAATCTCAATTTCTTCAAGCATTCCGAAAATGCACCAACGAAGAAATGGTACGGCCATCAAAAGTCCATCACATCCGTTTCTTCTGACGACAAGAATGTGTACACTGGTGATGCCGATGGCTTGATCGTCAGATGGGATAGAGATGACCCCAAGTTGGGCTCAACCCCAGAGATTCTCGGTAACAGAGAAGATCAACACACAAACTATGTTGACAGCATTGTCAAAACCGACGGTGGCATTGTTACGGCCGGATGGGATGACAAGCTCAAGCTCTGGACACCTGACGGGGCTGTCGTCAAAACTGCTCAGTTGGACTACCAGCCCAAACATCTTGCGTTCGCATACGGTAGGTTGTTTGTTGCCCACGAGAGCGCTATTGCTTCATACGATGCGGCTTCCCTTGAGAAGATTTCAGTCAACTCCATCAACTTTAAAGCTTCTTATGTGGGTCCAATCTCAGAAACAAAGGTGCTTGTCGCCAACCTGAGCGGGTCTAAGGTCGAAGAACTCGAATTGGGTGCAAATTTGAAGACTGTTCGCTCGTATCAGCCATTGAGATCCGCTCCATCGTTGATCAAGGTTTCCCCAGATGGCCAGTATGCTGCTGTAGCTGACACGGCAGGTAAGTACACCTTGTACAACACCAGCGATGGCTCCGTGGTCACTACTAGATGGGCATTCCACAACAGCCGAGTAGAAGATGCTGAATGGACTGCTGATTCCAAATTCTTGCTCAGTGGAGGCTTGGACAGCAGTCTTTTCGTGTACTCTGTCGCCCGCCCAATGAAGGTGTTGAAATTCCCTTTGGCCCACCAAAATGGAGTCACTGGTGTCAAGTGGATAGACTACGACCAATCTAAGGGTGTTTTTGTCTCTACAGGAAGCGATGGCTTCGTGAAGAGCTGGACGGCAGACTTTAGCGTATACGCCTGATAGCCCCTGTGGAGATTTATTGGGGGGCACATCTGACGTAGCCGGTGCGGATGGGCTCAAAATGTTTCAGTGCAGCGGGCCTCATACGACCTTGCCCGCCCAAAATAGCAAACGGCCGTCCCTTTTCAAGCCCACACAATATGATGAAATTAAAAGGCAGCGGACTTAAACTAGAAAACTACGCCATTCCCTCCTTTGGAAAATATAAAATAGTAAGATTGCTCTGGACCTTTTTCAACCGATTAACTTGTGCGCAACCAGCCTTATCCTCGAGCTCCAGCACCCAAAAAGGCCATGCAGGTGAGGCCGGACCCCGACCTCCACAGACCTAACCTGATCCGCTTCAATTGACTTTCAACCACTTTTTCTTTCTTCCTTTTTCAAAATGTCAAAAGATCTTATCAAGGGTGCATTGGACATTGATCCTTGGTTGGAACCTTACTCGGCCTCCCTTATCAGCCGCCAGTTGCAATATCACCAGTGGCTCGAAACTTTGGAGAAGTCCGAGGGTTCCTTGTTTGACTTTGCTTCTTCCTATAAAAAGTACGGTCTTCATGCTGACAAGGCCACCAAGGCCATTACTATCACCGAGTACATTCCTGATGTGCAGCTGGTCTCCCTCGTGGGAGAGTTCAACGGCTGGGACGTGGACTCACACCGCTTGGAGAAAAAGAACGATTTCGGCTTGTGGCAGCTCACAATTGAGCCTGTTAATGGAGACTATGCAATTGCCCATGATTCCATTTATAAGATCTCGATGTTAACCGCTGCTGGCGAGAGGATCTACAGGTTGGACCCATGGGGTACCCGGGCAACTTTCAACAAGAACACCACCTTGTACGAAGGCAGGTTCTGGAATCCTGAACTGACATACACCTTCAAGCACCCCAGACCGCATTTGAACGAGGTGGAGGGACTCAAGATCTACGAGGCGCATGTCGGCATTTCGTCTCCTGAGCCCAAGATTGCCAGCTACAAGGAGTTCACGCAGAACACGTTGCCCGTGATCCATAAGCTTGGATATAACACAATTCAATTGATGGCTATCATGGAGCATGCCTACTATGCCAGTTTTGGTTATCAGGTGACGAACTTCTTCTCCATTTCCTCGAGGTATGGTACTCCGGAAGAGCTCAAGGAACTCATTGATGAGGCCCACCGGTTGGGTATCAGAGTTCTTCTTGATGTGGTTCACTCTCACAGTTCCAAGAACGTGGAGGATGGCTTGAACAACTTCAATGGCACCGATCATTACTTGTTCCATGGTGGTCCCAAAGGTAATCATGACTTGTGGGACTCAAGGTTGTTCAACTACTCTAATTACGAGACATTGAGATTTTTGTTGTCCAACTTGAAGTTTTACGTTGATGTCTACGGGTTCGATGGTTTCAGATTTGATGGAGTCACTTCTATGTTGTATAAGCATCATGGTTTGAGCTACGGCTTCAGTGGTGACTACAATGAGTATTTCAACCAGGATTTGGTTGACAATGACGCAATTACATACCTCATGCTCGGACATCGCTTGCTCGAAGAAATCAGTGAAGCCGATAAGGGTGCCTTGTTCACCACAGTGGCTGAAGACGTCAGTGGTATGCCCACATTGTGCTTGCCAATTTCCAAAGGTGGTATTGGCTTCGATTACAGGTTGTCGATGGCCATCCCAGACATGTGGATCAAAATTTTGAAGCACTTGCGGGATGAGGAATGGGATCTTGGAAATATTGTTTTCACCTTGACCAACAGACGCCACGGCGAAAAATGTATCGCTTACTCTGAATCCCATGATCAGGCTTTGGTGGGTGATAAGACTCTTGCCTTCTGGCTTATGGATAAGGAGATGTATACCAACATGTCCGAACTCTCCCCCATGACAGAGACCGTTTCCAGGGGTCTCGCTTTACATAAGATGATTCGTCTTGTGACATTTGCCTTGGGAGGAGAGGGCTATTTGAACTTTGAGGGTAATGAGTTTGGACACCCAGAGTGGTTAGACTTCCCTCGTGAAGGCAACAATGATTCATATCACTACGCCAGACGTCAGTTCAACTTGATTCATGACGACTTGTTGAGATATAAGTTTTTGTTCCGTTTTGACAGTGCCATGCTTGAGCTTGACACAAAGTATGGAGTATTGTTGACACCTCAGGCATACGTCTCTTTGAAACACGAGATCGACAAGGTTCTTGTCTTTGAGAGAAACGGACTTTTGTTTATCTTCAACTTCCACCCAACTCAATCTTTCCCTGACTATAAGGTCGGTGTTGAGGCTGCTGGAGATTACCAGATAGTGCTTGATTCTGATTCCAAGGAGCTTGGAGGATTTGGAAGAATCAATGACCTTGACAGTGCTGGAAACAAGATCTCGTTCCCTACTCTGCCAGAGCAGTGGAACAATAGGTCAAATGCTTTGTTCATCTACATTCCTTCTAGAACCGCTTTGGTTTTGCAACTTAAAACTAAGGTCAAGTAATAATATACATATTAGGGAGCGGATGCTACCAAGTCCAGATGAGTATGACTGAAATGAACCATTTGTCTCGTGAAGCGCTGAAGTTCAATCATGACCGTTTCATCAGTAGTGTCTATATTACGTGATGCTGCTCTCAATGCATGAATCGTCACTGGCCAAATACTCGAATTGCGGTAGCTCTGTAGGATACCAACGAGATCTTTCGCCAATTTAACACAATATTGGGGAGGATACTTCGCCAATTGTTCATCGACCAAAAAGGTGTCAGCGAGTCTTAGTTTGTGAGCAAGTTTGACATAGTGGCTGATCTTCGCCATTTTATAATTTAAGCCAACGATCGCTGTAGTCTCGTCCTTGAACAAGATGTGAGGGAATACTCTCGATTTCGACGCTGGACGGCAGACACTTGGCTTCAAGGAAACAGGAAGATTACGATCGATCTCCTCTAACTTTTGATTAATTTCCATCCATTGATGAAACTCCCTATTACTGGCAAAGTCCTCCTGTGTTATCACATCGTAGGAATTGGAAAACTCGTTAATGTTGCTGAGGGTTATAATCACTTTGTACTGCCACCACCAGGTGCTCTGGCCCGTCAACAAGGAGCTTGAGAGGAAAGCCTCAACATCCTTCACCGACCGAGCCGGCTCATCCAGATGAGCAGTGGGGTCATTGAATGCATCGAAGTAGGCAGGATCCATGGCTCTCCAGGTTTTTTCTAGCGAGTACATGTTTGGAAGTTCGAGCTTCAAAGACAAGATCAAGTCGCAGACGAACATTCCCCAAAAGCATGTGTGGTAGTATGGGGAGTTTCCAATCAAACTTTCCGACCTGTTTCGGCGAGACATGATGGAGATGAAAATGCTAGCAGCACCCTTCACGTAGGTGCTATCAATGGCCACGAAAAAGAGCTCGTAGATGCACAATAGTATAGTGGCCAACAAACAACGAGCAAGAATACCATTGCTCTCATCCTCTGCATCTGGACGGCTGAGATGGTGTCTTATAGTCCCACAGTTTTTTGGTAGTACTTGAGTGGGTACGATGGGTCGATTGCATCTGGATTGATTCTCAGGAGGATTAACGAGCTTAAGCAAAAGATGGAATTGAGAATCATCCTTGTGTCCTCATACAAGGCCAACTCCGAAGCAATCTTTTGAAAACACTCCTGTGGCATAAATGAGTCAATGCTTTTCGAGATAACATGCACAAACAAGTCGAACAACTTTACCTCAAGCTCATCCTCAAGCGCATTTTCGTAAGCCATGGAAAGCGACGTCCTTGGCCTTTCAATCTTCAAAGCATCCTGGAAGTCAGCAAACACCGAGTCCAAGGTATCCTCGCTTAAGGTTCTTTCTTGTTTCTTTCTGGCAAACTGCATCTCTAGGGCATCATGACTAAGTTTGTTGATTTTCGGCTTTTTGTTCTTTTTGACTCTGCTTGGCTTGAATGTTGTTCTCAATTCATTTACAGAAAGCGGAGACAGCACTTCAGCTGGTGACGCCGGCGCTCTGAGCCCTGCTGGTTGCTGCAGCATTAAGGGCTGTAATGCGGTGCCGCCGGGGAGACGAGCCATGAATGGTCCACGTGCAAATCTATCATCCTGGCCAGGAACCCCTTGCAGTGGTTGACCAGAGTAATAAAACGGCTGGGATTGCATCGGGGCAAAGAAATTGCCAGGGTACGGCTGTGGAGGTCTTTGACCGGGAACTGCGTATATCATTTGGCCTGGAAGCCTAGGGTCTGGAGTAGACGGCAGTGCTTGGGGCCGGATATGAGGGGGGCTTTGGAATTCGGCTAGCCTCTTATCCGATGGTATTGGGTTGACCACGATCGATGGGATCTGTTGCGGCCCACTTTGATGGTATGGATAAGGCTGATCCAGAGACGGCTGATGAGGCGTCTGAGCGCTTGAATTATAATGTGACATTTGAAATGAGGCTAATTAAACAACTCCCCCGTAAAGCTCGAAGAAACGGGTGCTTGTCAAAAGAAATGACAAAAAGAAAAACAACAACAGTGAGTAAACAAAGGGTACCATAGACGAAAAATCTAAAGCGATAAGTTTAACCGCGCAGGTGCGAGCTGCAGCTCGCCTAACGGTGCCCCCCTGGTCAAATATACTTTTAGACATTGCAAACTGATATAGAGATGGTGGTCTGTTGGTCTGGTTAAGAAAATTCTCGAAAGTCTCGATTGTATTTTATCGAACCTGAAAGTACTTCCGATTCGAGGGGAGACTTGCATCTCCGGCATGCTTCTTCCACAAAACCCACCCAATCAAAGGCGACTAAAAAAGCTATCTAAATTTTGGAAAAGAATTAGAACATATTTGTTCCTGACAGCTGCTAATTTTTACCTATGCGATGTTCCTTCTCTTTTTTTGTCTTCTCTGACTGTAGCTCAAGCACTGGTGATGCAAGACTAACTACAGGTATAGGCGAGCTCACTGGTAGTACATACTATCTGTTTAAGTCATGGCAGAGAAGGAATTGACGGTGTTTGTTGTCGACTTGCACCCTTCTGCAAAACAATCGCATGACTACCTATTTGATGTTCTTGCTGGAAAACTTCTCAAGGGCTTGAAAACGGATTACATCTCGGTATTGGCATATCATTCACCGAGAACTGAGCATAAACTTGCGGAGAAGGGCGTATTCCCAGGCATTGAGGTTCTAGTGGACTTCGAAGTGCCAACCTATGACTTACTTGCTAACCTCAAGAAGACATTGACGCCCAATGAGAGTTGGGAGAGCTCTCAGAGTGATTCCTTTCAAAGTCTCATCTTCTCATTGAGTCTCCTTGAGGAGACCAAGAAGAAGGCATTCACAAGGAACGTTGTGGTCCTTACAGCTGAGACTTCTCCCCTTGAGTCACTCAATGAAGAAAAAGCGGACGGTATCCCTCGACTTCTCCAAGGCCTCAATGTCAACTTGATAACAGTAATAGCCGGGGCAAAGACAGAGACTGGTTTGAGCAATAGGTGGTCTCTTATGAATTCTGCTTTCAGCAAATTTGTGCTTCTTACATCTGCTGAGGCTCAGCGTGTCGCCAAGAGTGAATCAAGCAATAAAAAAGTTCGGCCAATGTCGATCTACAGAGGAGAGCTACGGTTTAGCGCAAACTTCCAAGACATCATCGACCAAAGAGCATACAATGCTGAAGCCGATGATTGCGCCCTTGCATGGCCCGTCGAAGTCTTCCCGGCAGCAAAGAAAGACGTGACTTCTACATCAATGCATGACTACTTGTTGGAAAATGGTGAGCTCATACGGCTAGAAAGAAAGTCGACTCACTACGTGTGGTCCAAAAACGATGAATACCAACGACCAGAGTATCCTGAAGATGAGGATGTGGACTCGAAGAAGTTTGACAAGGTTGCGGTCGAATCCAAAGATTTCACGTCAGGTTTTAAATTCTCAAATTTTGACTTGATTGCATTAGACGAAGACTTGATGGACTCCGCCCGGCTCAAAATCTTCACGGCATTTGACATTCTAGGATTCGTGAAACAAGCGAACATCCCACAAGCATATCTAACTGGTGAGTCATTCTTTGTTGTACCAGAAAAGTCTGCATCTCTTCGAACATCCCTTAATCACTCAGCCTTCGTGAAGGCTATTTATGAACTCAAAGCAGCGGCGCTCGCTCGTTTTGTGAGGAAACAAGCAAAGGAAATTGAATTGGGTGTCCTTTTTCCAATAAAAGTCGATGACGGCGGGACCTTCTCGCACAACTTCCTCTTGATTAGGTTACCCTTTAAGGAAGATGAAAAGATTGGAAACTTTCCTCCTCTACAAGCGTCAAATGATCTGGAATCTGATGCCTCTTCCTTGATGGAACAGTTTATTAAATCGCAAACATATCTGGGTGGTGAAACAAAGGATAATTATCCGCTTGTATCAAAGAGAGTTACTATGCGAACTTCAGAGAACTCAAAATTGCCATTGCCTGGTTCTGAAGAAACGGATCCCTTTCTTGTTTCTTCACCGGCTCAAGCCAGATTCACTCGCTATATGAAAACCATTCTTGTGAAGTCTTTAACAGCTGATAATCTCGATGATTTTTTTCAACAAAAGGAGTTTGTCAACAACGTTTTACGTGACTCTCCACATTTTACTAATTTCCTCAACATGGCAAATTGCTTGGGTCTGTCTCTGGAGACAGACTGGCTCTCGAAACTACAAACACCGTCCAAAAACTTTGCAAAGAGACTCGTTGACGAGTTGGATGTGTCCTACGTACGCAAAGCTGATATCAAAAAGAGGAAGCCAGGCAAATCTGAAGATGGGTATACTAAGGGTAATTATGGAGCTGATGAGGGTCAATACGATGAAGTTCCTGACTTTGGCTTCTAATTCTATTTACAAGTTCAAACTATTTACAATTTGAATAGCTGATTACGCAAATCAAATTCCCTATCCTTGGCCGTCCTCTTCCTGTTGCTGGAGCTACCGGTACCATCCTCACCAAGTCTATCATTGAGCCTGTTGTACACACCTGTTTCCAGAACACGGCTTTTTTCCTCGTTAATCAACTTCCTCAACTCGGATGTCTCGATTTCGAGAATGGCCTCCTTGTCAAAAAGACCCTTATACCTTCCATCCTTGGCTTGTCTCCATGTATCAACCCAAAAGTTTGCCATACCCAACTCATCATAACCTCCATCGGGTCTGAGCTTGCCCCTCTTTTTGGCGATGTTGTATAGTAACTCATGAATGTCATTCGTGGGATGGTTCAAGTAATATTGATAGCACTTCCCATTGGGTTTTTGTAAATTGAGAACGTAGAGAAGGTAATCAGCCAAGATGATTGGATCGATGAATGAATTGTGTACGCATCCCACAAGTGCTAGAGAGAGCATAGTTTCGCTATCTTTCACCGTGGGAAGAAACACCCCAGGAGTATCATACACCAAAATATCAGGATCTTTACTCAATCGAATGACCTCGCTGGTGCTCCTTGTCACACCAGGCTGACCACCTGTTCTAGCCACTTTCCGTTTCTTGGACGAAACACCTTTCGGTAGCTGGTTAACATATCCAACAGATCGTAGCGTATTGACTAAAGTTGACTTACCGACATTGGGCATACCGATAATCATGGTTCGAAGACCAAGTGGGGGTGGTGGGTACATTGTGTCGTATCTCTCTTCCAATAGCTTGAGGATGGACTTAGCATCCCTGTTGCTTCTGGCATCGATGAATAGGAATTTCTCGTTTCCATGCCATTTTTTCTGTAAATCGGGCTTGAGCACTGAAAGGTCTTTTTTGGAGTATAGGACAATCTTTTCCTTCTTGGCTAAGACTTTATCGAAAAGCACGTTTGTAGTTGATATTGGAGCTCTGGAGTCTCTCACCTCAAGCACTAGATCCACTTGCGGAGCAAGATAGCTGAACCGTGTGAGAGCCTTCTGATGATGGCCCTTGAAATTGGATAGGGGTAATCTGTAATCGGGAAACACCCTTCTCGGCACAAAAGACATTAGTGATCCTCAGTCTTGGTGTGACTTCTTGCTTCGCGATGATGCACAGCTGAAAATCTCAAGACACCAATATGCCATTGATCACATTTACAGGATTGCCATGTTCGGGTAAGACGAAATGGGCCAAGGAACTCATAGGTGAACTTGAAAAGAGGATCCAAACAGCCCAGGAATCCAGTGCTCCCGGACACAACTACAAGATTGTCTACCACTCTGATGAAACGCTAGGTATAAACCATGATTCCTACAAGGAGTCAGTTACGGAAAAAAGTGCTCGTGGTACTCAGATGTCTGCTGTTAAAAGAGACTTGTCGAGAACATCCTTTGTCATTCTTGACTCTCTCTCGTACATAAAGGGCTTCAGATATCAACTCTTTTGCGAGGCCAAGGGTGTAGTGACCCCACATTGTGTCATTCATGTGGTCAGCTCTTTGGACAAGTGCCTTGAAAGAAACGAAACTTCTGAGAACAAATGGGACCCAGAGGTGATAAAGCAGCTTCAAATGAGATACGAAGAGCCAAAGGACGATACAAGATGGGACTCCCCGTTGTTCGTCTTGGTAAATGATTACGAGAACGAAACTCTACCAGTTGAAGAAATCTGGAATGCCCTTGTTTTGAAAAGAGCACCTCCACCAAACGCTGCTACACTCGTGAAGCCCACTTCCAGCAATGACTACTTGCAACAATTAGACAAAGTGACACTGGATGTTATCTCCAAGTGTCTTCAACAGCAACAGCTCGCTGGTGCAGGTGGACAGGTTCGTATCAGTGATGACTTGTCTATCGATTTACCTATACAAATTGTTAGCACCCCACAGTTCCAAAGGATAAGAAGGACATTCATCTCGCTTAATAGAATGCGCCATATCGATTCCGACCGAATCCTTCCTATGTTTGTCGACTACGTCAATTCTACCTTTGAAAATGAAGACTGAGCCTTATCATGATGTCTTGCTCTAAAAAACGTTGATAGACCTAATGCAAATGTGAAAGTTCCTAGCGCTTTCTTTCGTTCGTCCACTTGAAATGCACGTTGCCGTCGTCATCATACATCTTCTTCTTGCTTCCGTTCTTCATTAATTCCTTTGTGGTTTCTAGTCTGTCCTCGACCTCCCTGAGCTGCTTCTCTCTCTCCATTCTCTCCTTCAAGAGCTTGAAATCTGCGAGCTTTTGTTTATCGACCTTCTCTTTATCCTCAAAATCTATGTCTTTCACAACTTTTTGACTCGTTTCCAATTGGTCTATGCGAAGTCGGTTCTCTTTTCTATCAAGCATGCTCTCATCAGTGTTGAAGAACTCCTCGGCCTTAAACAGCTCTGCATCGTTTTCGTTGTCGACAAAGACTGTATGCTTTCCTCCCGCCTTGAAGCCAAGCTTGTTTTTCAACTTCTCAATCTTCTGAAGTTCATTCAACCTCATCGTTCTGACATAGTTGACGTCCTGAGACTTGTATAGCTTAACTTGTTCTGTGGAGAGTGCCTCGTTGCCTCTGTCAGTGATTAGAATACCATCTTCGTCGGTTCTTTTCCTTGTCATGGCATGGTAGTATTCATCTGGATTATACTGGGCAGCTTTTTGCCTGAGAGCCTTAAGGGCAGCTTGTTTCTTGTGGTAGTCAGCTGCTCTCAACCTGTAATCCTTCTTCTTTTCTAGAAGCCCGTATTTTGCTCTATCCAGGGTTTGGGAACGCTCCCTATGCTGCTTTTTCTGAACATTATGCACTAATTTAGCCATGGCGGATGATATGAGAAGAGGCCTCTATTTTCCTCCTCATCGCATCTATGTATCTAGGTATGCAGGCTATTCGATAAGACCAAATTGATACACCCATTAAATTGGAAGGCACTGGGGGATATGTTAATACTACAAATCATTTATGATTCTTCAACTTAAAAAAGAAAATAAACTTCTTCAGAGATACCCAGAATACATTCATCTTTGCAAAAAAAACTTCCATATTTTTGCCCCATTATCCACACTTATGGAAGGACCTACGTCTTTCCTATTCCAAAATAAGTACTTTCAATAGTTCTCGAACTATATTTCTATCAAGTGACTCGTAAACCTTCTGAAGCCTTTACCCGGTTGTGTAAATGCCACTTTCGAAGTAGATCACGTGCACGTTATGCAACTTTGAGACTAGCGATTTTTCAACGGACTAGATCGTCATCAACTTGATATGTATAGGCTTCCCAATCTTGCGAGGGTCGCCCGTGTCAATTCATCCAGACCTTTCTTTTTAGCCCAAAGACTACGTCGATTTAACTCAACCAAAGTTTCTCCCGATGAGCATACTGAGGAGGCCCCAGAAAACATCGATGTACCATGGTATCTTAGACAAGACGTCTCATCTCCTTTGCTTGAAAAAGAGGAAGTCAAGCTCCCGTCTATTCCTGATTATGCGCCCGCAGAGGTTCGCAAGTTTTGTGATCTCATGGCCAATTCTTACGGTATGAGCGATATTCTACTTTTCGATATGACAGAGCTAGACGAGTCTCACGATTATAGAGCCAACAACAAGAACACGGACTTTATTATCATCTGCTCTGGTAAGTCCGAGAAACATAACTTTAAAGCAGCTGGGGAGTTTCGCTACTACCTCAAGCACGAACATGACTACGTGCCTCATATGGAGGGAATGACAAATGGAGCCTTGTCTCCAGTGATGCGTAGACGTCTCCTTAGGAGGGCCTCCAGAGGGCCACCAGCGACCCATAATGATTACGGCATGTCAGCAAACTCATGGATTTTTTGTCAGCACGAAAACATCGATGTACATATATTGACTAAGGAGAGGAGAGAGGAGTTGAACCTTGAGTCCATGTGGTGCAAGCCTGAAGATGCAGACAAGTACATCTCAAAGGATACCTCACCAGATTTCTCTGACCACATCTTCAGCGGTATCAGGCGCTTTCATACATCATCTAGAGCCTATTCAAGCTCGGGCGCCTTGCAGTCCCAAATCGATAATCTCACGAGCCTCAGCAGCGACTCTACGGATGCTGAGATAAAGAAACATATCGACGAGTTCGAGGCCGAATTCAACAGCCCCACCGCTTATGATCACAATTTGAGATTTAAACTCTACAAGACCGTTCATTTTGCTCGTCCCAGTCTCGTCGCATTTGAGCATGTGGAGAAGGTTCTTTTGGAGAAATATGCGTCGCTTGAAATAGCCCTCGACTCCACACTTGACTTGGCGAAGGAGAAGTCTCAAGATGTCACGGAGTATGTCAAACTTTTAATTGATTCTCCCGAGTGGAACAAAAAACCGTTCGAGAAGATACATGCCGACCACAAGTTCCAAAAGCTCTCATCTTTCATTCGGATGCTTTACTGCTTTTCGAATGATACATTTGCCATGACATCTAACCCCGATTTCCTTCCACTCGTGTGGCGTCTTTCGTGCCATGAGATCCTGCAACCCGTCACTTCAAAACAGGTGGATGAAGTCATCGAAGAAGGTGTGGTACAGGTTGGTGAACCTGGCAAGAAGCTAGAAATGGCAACATATGACGCAGATGCTGTGTTGGAGCTCATCACTTACCATTACGATGGCACTGGGGAAAAGGTATCTCCTGAATTTGAAGAACTACTTTTGTTCACCTACGGCAACGCAGGCAAATGGGATCGGTTCTGGAGCTTTTGGAACGAGACCTGTTTTCTCAGACTGGCTTCAAAGGAGGAAGTGCTCAAATCCTGGCTCAGACTCGTCATCTTCTTGAGTCTCACAAACAACAAAACCCAAATATTGCATCTCTTCAACCATCACTGGGACATCGGTGGTGGTGTCGGAGGCACGGTGGTCACAGCACTACGAGAGAATGGTGGAGCTTTCAGCTCTGAGAAAGACTCGCAAGCTTTTAAAGCTGCAGTCGAATCAATGCTCCAGACCCTCGGCACCGAAAAGTTCGAAGGTGTGCAGAAATTCATTGCTCTGATTTGAGCCCTATGTATATAGCTTTTGCACCCAAGGCGCGTGAATACATGCACTGAAAATATCTCCACAATTTACGTATCGCGTCGCGCTGACAGACCGTTCTTTTGATATGTCTCTAGAGAAAGATCTACTAAAGTACAAATTACAAATCAAAGAATGGGAGCGGTCGTTTGCTGCCAGCAATGGGCGAATTCCGTCAAAAGCTGACGTCAAAGCGAACCAGGAAATATACAAAGCATACAAAACGTACAACCACTTGAAGTCAAAACAGAAGAAGAAGCAACAACAAGCGGAACGTGAACTGCTGAAGGATAATGTTAAAAAGGGTGAGAACGCTTCATCTCTTGAACCATTAGATTTTGTGCCATCTGTTGACGCCGAGGAAGAGTTGGAGGATGAAGGGAATGCACTTTCTCATGCTGAGTTGGGTCCCACGCCGCAAGCAAACGGCAAGGTACTCTCTTTGTTTGATATAATGAGTCCTCCAGAATCGTCACCTTCACGTAAAGAGAACGTGTCATCGAAAGTAATCAATTCATCCCCGTTGAAGGACCCAGCTGTGTTCAAGACGCCTACCAAATCAGTGAAGAGGATTGAGCTCTCTGATTTGACACCGGCAAGAAACAATCTGGCCAAGAAGTCTCTCACCTCTGTGCTACAGCTGGTTTCAACACCCAACAAAAATGCATCCTCCAACGATAACATCGAAACTCCGTTCTATTTGGGGAAAGTCAATAATAGGTTTCAGTTCAGCCCAGGCACTGGCGAACTGCCACTGAAAAACATGCCAACTACCCCAGTGACAAAACTGAACAAGAATCCCAAGACTCCATCGAAACTCTTGGAGGAACCACGGTTTCTGACTTCTCCGTCTCCGTTCAAAACCGAGCGTATGTCGTCGTTCGGCAACAACAAGAAGCTCACAGACGTATTTAACGAGGCAATCAACCTACAAATCGATGAAGAACTCAAAGCGGAGGTTGAGTCGGAGCTCATGTTGGAGATGGAACGGGAATTGGATGAAGAAGGAGCAGCGGCACAAGACGAACCTACAGCACGTAAAACTCGGAAGAGAATCACACAGAAAAGAACTACAAGAAGATGGAAGATCAAGCCTAGAGGAGAGAGTGAAGTTATAGAATCTTTTGAAGGCAAAAACGTGCATGAAGAAATCAAGAAATTGGAGGAGAAGGAGAAAAACGACCTCATCGAGTATATTGAAGGTCCAAGAGAAGGTCAAGAGTCCTACTCATCTGAGGAGGAAACCGAAATTGCGGTCAAACCAAAGCCGCTGGAGCCAACAAACAAAAGAAAGAAGCTCACGCCAATAAGCAACAACTTCAAGCGACTCAAGATCAATGATCCTCGTACCAAGAGGTTTAAACAGAGAATGAGAAGGCGTTAAATAGATTTTGCATTAATTTTATAGATTACGAAGGAATGGCAACAACTAATTCATCATTATCAAGGCCCTCACCGAACTGGACTTTGGAATGTTTGGGTAAAGACTGTGCTGTTGTCTCTGTCGTGGAAGACCCGCTGCTGACATAGACTGGTTTTGCCCACTTCTGAGCATCATTCTCGTAGTCCCAAGTATTCTTTGCAAGAGTAAGTTCTTGGTCTATCTTTTCTTGTTGGATTTCTTCTTGTAAATCTTTTATCTCGTCGTCATCTTCAGTGGTCTCCGCCTCTACGTGCTTCTCCACCATCTTGACCTTACCATCCTTTATCACCATCTCCACGACCTTCTTCGTGCGGCCTGTTCTTTGCTTCTTCTGTTCCTCGTGTTTTCTTTGCTGTTTCTGTTGCTTCTTGAGCTGAAGAGCCCTCTCGACAGGTGAAAGCCACATGCTGCCGCTCGATTGCAGGGGCATTTCAAAATCCGCTGCATTGTCTATGATTCTTGTTCTCTCAGCACCTGTGGCTTGAAAGTTAAGCAATGTGTCGAGTCGTTCTTGTGCCATAAGAAGGTCCGGATTAACGTCTTTTGTCTTCTCATAGTGCTCGAGCTCCTTTATCTGGTCGGCGAGCTCTCTTTGCTTTTGCTCATCCTCTTCCTTTAGCTTGTTAAGTTTCTTTCTCTCCTCGTCTGCCCTCTTCAAAGCGGCCTCCTGTGCCTTCCAAAGGTTTTCGCCCGTACCTACAGAAACCTTGATTCCCTTCTTTGGCTTCATGTGAGAAGGCTGAGACTGGACGGCTTTGTCTGTAGGCTTTTCTTTCTTCGCATCTAATAAATCCTTTTCGGACCTCAAGATCTTCACAATTTCATTCTTTTCTTTTGCTGATAGAAGCTCACGTCCACAAAATGAACAAGGTTGCAAACCCTCCTTCGAGCAAATGATCTTACCACAGTTGAGGCAGTTCGGAGCCACCTCGAAAAGAGGGTGTCTTGTGGCCATGCAGTTACATTTGCGGCGGACTGTTGAACTGGAAAGATCAAGTTCGGCTGAGGTTCTCTCCACTTCAAGATCGTTAAGCGCCGCCTCGATGTCTTTGAGATTATCAAGGTTCTTCTTCTTCGTCTTCTTAACTGTAGCAGGACTTAGTTTGTTCGAGGGCTTACTGTCAGCAAGCTCAGAAGTCATCACTGATGTCTTATTGTTCTTGAGTCTCGATCCAGAAGCTGGTTTCTGTTCTGGTGCTTTGTTCCATGCGTTCTTACCGTTCTTGTTGTTGGCTGCAGCTCTTTCTTTGGCCTTCTCCTCCCTTATTTCAGCAAGTCTCGCCTCATCCTCCATCTTTTTCTCATCCTCCTTTCTTAGTCTCTTGAACTCGTGGATCAAGCTGAATGTGGCATCACTCGGTCCTAGGAAGTCGAGAAAATGGGACTCTAGCTCGTGATCGGACGGTATGGACAATGCATATGTGACCATCTCTTTACACTGGTCCTTATCAATCGGTAGAATATCTGCAATCGCATTCACGGCATAGTTGTATAGTCTTTCGTATGCCATCGTAATGTAGGTGAAGATTGCGAAGATCAGTCGCCCCTCTGATATGCTCACCGAGCGCCCCACCTAGTACTACAAAATGGGCCATAGTAACATTTGACAATTTAATTCTTCAAGTAAGGTACTGCTTGTATTCCATTGCTTGCAATTGTGCTTGATTAATGGATTGTCGTAATACTTGAAACGCATCCTTAGTCCACGTATAGTGCAAGCTGCAAAAGTTGCTGCCTATGGCATCCTTCGAGCAACAAATCCAACTTGTTACAAAAAGAAGGAGACAATCAATTCATCCACTTCGTCCGTCCAAGGGAACCCCGGCTATAATGTAAATGGGGTAGACGAGCAGATCTCGGTCAATCATTGAGCCTCAGGCATTTTGGGCTGTGCAGTAATTAAGCCCATTTTGGACTTCTTACAGTGCCTGCTCGATCGGAATTGCATGAGCTCGCTACATATCTGGGGCAGTGGATCCTGATGTACAATAGAGTCACTTCTTCAAGCGCTATCAAATGGAAGCTTGGTTAAATGGCTACCATTATCCAAGAAAGAACAACCTTTTTTGGCGGTTTAATTGCATTTTTCTCCAAATTTTTTAACCGAACAATAAGAACGCAAAGTAAGCCGCTTAGATCCACCCTCGCCGAACCTAAGAATAATTCCTGCGGTGCGGCAGATGCGACCTTTTTGTTCATTTGGAATGAACCTGGGACCCTGTTTTCAAGGGAAAAGCATTCTCCAATTGAGGGTAATACGGGTTTAACAAGTAAGTTATCCAGAACGAAAAAAGCCCTGGAATGTACCCCAGATTGAGTTTAAGTTCACATATGCCCTGGTGCCTCGAGAACCCTGCGCGATCTGCATCCGCCCAAGATGAAACACCCAAGGGAGTCGCAGATTCTGAAACACTTCATCCTTTTAAAAGCCAGAAATCCTGGCTGAAATAACTTTTGTATCCTCAATTACTCTCCTATGACTGCCCTCATTAAGCACTCAGATAACGCTGATGTAAGAAGCTGCCTTCAAATGCTCGATGCATCGGCTACCATCGAGCCTATGCAGAATTGGCTGCAAAAAACCAGTCCAAAAAGAAACTTGGTCTTATGCCCCCATATAAAGCCGGAACTCGCCCAGTGTTCTCCACCTCGTAAATACCACAAACGAGATAATACCCTTCAATTGAGTCCCACCATGTCTTCAGACGAACCCCAGATTCGTTACCTGATGCTTCTGAGCAACTTCCTTGTCATACACCGCCTTGGATTGGGTTCCTTTGGCCAGGCCCTCTTGGCCAAATACAAGAAAAATTCGTCTTCCATGCTTGCTCCTGACGACAGCAAGATTGGGACCATGATGGAACCTGTCTGCCACTCGGCGGCCATGCCTCACCTCAAACCCCACACAAATGGGTTGGTGGCGATCAAAATGATGAAGACGCCCTTAAAAAAGCATTCGGATTACCTCAAAATTACGGAGGTTCGCTTCATCCACAGTATGTCCAGTCACATTAATTTGTTGCAGATTCATCATGTTTTTATCGACAGCTTAAGTGGGAAGCTTTGTATTGTTATGGAAGCCATGAACCAGAATTTGTACCAACTTGTTCAAAAGCATGCCAGCAGGTCTATCAACGAGGAGGTTATCAAGTCGATGCTTGCCCAGGTACTCAACGGCGTCCGCCACATCCATGCTCAGGGCTTCTTCCACCGCGATGTCAAGCCGGAGAACATCTTGGTGACTCCGACGGTTCAATACTACGGTGGCGTCGAAAATGTCCCGCCAGAAAGGAAAGATGACTTCTACATGGTCAAGTTGTGTGACTACGGCCTCGCTCGCCACTATAGCAATACCAAAGACCTCACTCCTTACGTTTCAACACGGTGGTACAGGGCGCCCGAGATCTTGTTGAGGCTGCGGTGCTACACACAGCCGATCGATATCTGGGCATTTGCATGTGTGGCTGTCGAGTTAGTCAACTCTCGGCCCTTGTTCCCCGGTGCTAATGAGGCAGAGCAAATGTGGCATGTTCTTAAGTGCCTCGGTCATCCTACACGGCCCGACCCGGGCGAAGAAGCTTTCGGTGGCTACTGGGAAGAGGGAGAAGAACTTGCAGAAAACCTTGGTCTCTATATGCCGCTGACAAGTGGGCTGAGTATGGAAAAGATCTTGCGCCGCCCAGGACTTCACCAATTGAGCGACATGCTTCGTCCCTGTTTTTTGTGGAATCCTGACGCAAGGCCCACGGTCTTCGATCTCGCCCAGCACGACTACTTCAAAGGCACCATTTTAGAGGAAGATCCGCTTCACTTTGTCACCTCGACTATGACTGATTGTGCCAGCCCCGAGACCCTTTACTCGGACACATTGGTCAATAAGTCTTCCGATGTGCTCCAGAATATTTTGCAACAGAAAGACACGGGTTACGACGTGGTGAGCTTGAGGGCACCTTACTTGGCGGAACAGGAGGTGTACAATGAGAATTTGAGTAGCATCTTTGGGCTGCGGAATGCGCCTATTGATCCACCACGGCTCAACGAAAGTTGGGCTTACGATGGCACCAGTAGAGAAGAAGAGCCGGTTATAGAGCTAGCACTGATGGCGCCATTTGAGGATGTCAGTTTTGAAACAGACAGCTCTGTCAACCATAGAATCTCGTGTTAAGCAGCCGCGGGCGGCTGCAGATATAGAAGCGAAGATAACAAGCTGTATCTGTTAGTGAAAATTGATGAATTTGATGTGAAGTGTTGCATTTGGTGACACAATGCTCATCAACATGTAACATTATTCTTCTGTTTTATTTTTTGGTTGGGCTAGCCCAACACGTCAGAGTCGGCCTATCATCTGACTACCCCACATCGTGACCAAAGTAGAAAGCGATGCCGAGATCAGAAGACTAGTCAAGCGCCATGCAGGCTGAACCTTAGTCTCCATATAAACTTACTAGATTTTCGAGTACACCAGCCTTCAAAGGAAATAATAACATGTGCATTTTGATTTCAACAACGTCTCATCCCGATTATCCCTTGATTTTGCTATCTAACAGAGATGAGTACCTTGCCAGACCTACACAGCTAGCCACCGCTCGGAAGACATCCAAAGATACACAGATCCTATCACCCCTAGATATGGCCAGACCAGAACATGGCACTTGGATTGGTATCACCTCCGATGGAAGACTCGCGGTATTGGTAAACTACCGAGAGGATACACAAATTGCAGGCAAGGTTTCACGAGGCATTCTCCCGCTTGAGTACCTCGTTTCCGACCTTCTGGACGATGAGTGGTACGATGGTCTCGAGGAGAGAATGAATAAGAAAAGCGGCGTCACAGGAAAACCTACCAAACTCAGTGAGATTGGCGGCTTCACCTTGTTGTATGGAAAACTAGAGCTAGACAACAATTCCCGACTCAAACCACTCAATCTCATGAGCAACCGTGGCGACAGGGGCAAAGTACATACCCGGGAAGTCTCGCTCGATTGTCTACATGATCAAATCCACCGCCAAGAGACATTTGCTCTCTCCAATTCGTTGTACTACATGCCGTGGCTGAAGGTGGAGCTAGGCCGGAAGAAACTCGATAGTCTTGTTCAGCGTGCTGCTGCAGAAGACTACAGCCGAGAAGAACTTATCGAATCTTGTTTCGAGATCTTGAGCTCCGACACCTATGACGCCGAAGTTCGAAAGAAGGGCACGTTCGATCAGAAAATGACCGAGCTTCAAAACTCCATCTTCATTCCACCGCTCGCCACGCCATATGAACTGAAACTGGCTGAAACTGGCTACGCCGTTGGTAAATATTACGGTACCCGTACGCAGACAGTGATCGCTCTCTCCAAAAACGGCATCTTGCACTATTACGAGCGTGATTTGTATACTGGTGACACAGACAAGATGCAACCCCGTGAGCAGCATCTTCAATTCACCCTAGGTAACAAATAGCAATTTGCCAAGCTATGAACAGCCATCCGAGTCTCAATTGAGCTATTTTTCCTCTACTCTTTTAACCGGATCTCTGTGCTCTGAAACTGCAGTGGCTAGATTGCGCGCCTGTCAGATCCTCTATTTTATCTCCGCGGGCATCGCTCATAGCTTGTTAATTAACGTCCCTATCTCCCTCACCCTTCTTCGGAATGTCATTGACCACTAGTACCACAGAGCCGTACACCACTCTTTATCATAGGGAGCCATTGCATCCTTCTAGGAATCCTCCATTGTTGGTTTTTATTCCTGGTAACCCCGGTCTCATAGACTACTACACCACTTATCTTGACTTGATCGCCAAACAGCACCGTCACTATGAGATCCTAGCCATCAGCCATGCTGGCTACCAAACCTCGGATGATTATGAGAGGGTTTCAAACACCGATTTTTATGATTTGGACTACCAGGTGCCCCACAAATGCCGGGTTATCCGGGACCACATCCTCACCACTAGACGAGATCAGAAAGTGGAGGTCTCCTTCTTGTGTCATTCCGTTGGATCATATATCATGCAACGCGTGGCCAAACGCCTAGTGTACGATGTTGAATACAACCAGATCGTGAACATCAAGTTCGTGGGCTTATCTGCCCGACCATCGTGGACATTGCCAAGTCCCTCCTGGGTCAGTATTTCACCTCGTTGTTCAATTGGCTTCCCTTGGTACATGTCGCAGTGTACTTGATTGTGGTTTTGCAGTGGATTTTGCCTGACCGGGCTGCTGAGTCACTTATCCGTAATCGCATCATCGCCAAGCCCGCCCAGACTGATAAGGATCTGGTTGAGTCCTGGGAAAATGCTGTCAGGGCAACGAAGAAGATTTACAAGTCCAGAAGTATCGTTCGTCAGACAATCACCATGGCGAAGGAAGAACTCAATCGGATCCATCGCGACGACGAGTTCAACGACTGGTTCTTCAAAGAGTTGCCCACGTCAGGAGCCAAACTTTGGTGCTTTTTCGCTCCATTCGACTATTGGGTACATGACAATTCCAGAGACTATGTTTTGACAAGATACCACGATGCTCTGAATGAAAACGTTCGTTTCGAAATCGGTGATGCGGACACCGAGGAGAAGAAAGCCATCAATCACAGCTTCTGCATTGACCAAAGCGTTGAGTTTGCCGAGATTACATGTGCCGCATTGTCGAAAAGCTAAAAGCTAACACAAAATCAATTATGCCGCCCAAAATGTACAGAAAAAAAATGCTAATGCCGTAAATTTTCTCACATTTGTAGCGTAACGAGCGACTCGTAGTCATGGCATCACTGATGTTGGGTGCGAAATGATGATTCAGAGTCACTGCGAGCACCTGCATCTCTTGATTATCGCTGCTTGACTCAAGGGCGACGCACGTATATTGGCTCATCGGCGGTTACCCGTGTATGCGGCTCCGGCTTTTTGGCACATAAACGCCATTTTTTCTTGCCAAGTACTGCTCAACAATAGAACTTGACTTGACATATAAAGACAGACCTCCCCGGCTAATTCTCATCAATAATGGCAAACGCAGCTGAAGTCTCCCCAAAGATGTCAAGCGACGACCTGGGTTCACTTGAACTCAAGGATAAAGACAAAATTGCTCATGATGAGAATGAGTTAGGTATTCCCAGTTGGTCTGAAGAAGAGAAGCACAAACTTGACAAGATTTACAGAAAGTTGGACTTCAGAATCATCCCTGCCCTCTGGTGCATGTACTTTCTTACTTCGTTTGGATCTAACGTCTATGGTGTCACTTTGACAATGAATAGATCTGAAGGACATTCTATGCGTCAAAGATTAGACCTTTCTGCCCATGATACCTCCACTGCTTCGGCTTTATACTACGTTGGTTACATCATCTTTGATGTGCCAATGAACTTGATCATGACTAAAGTTTCGCCGCAATCGTGGTTGGCCAGAATTGTCATCACCGTTGGTGTAGTGTACACCTGTTACCATTCTTTGCAGAACCCAGCTGGTCTCAAAGCCGTGCGTTTTATCTCTGGTATGGTCGGTGCCGGTACTTGGCCTGGTTTGAGTTACTACGTCTCCTTGTGGTACCCTAACGATAGACAAACTAGACGTATTGGCTACTACTATACTGCTGCCCAGCTTTCTGCTGCAGCCGCTGGTCTTGTGAGTGCAGGTTTCCAGAAGATGGATGGTGATAGAGGTTACACTGGCTGGCAATGGATGTACTTGGTTTACGGTTGCATTACCATTGCAGTTGGTATTTCCTTGCTTTGGTGGCTTCCCGACAGGCCAACACATCAGCGGAAAGAAGCTACCTCCAAGTTTAAAAGAGTTATGAGTACCGTTTTCTACTCACCTCCCCCTCTCACTGGTGAAGAAAAGAGCATGCACCTTAAAGATATTGAGCATCGTTATAAGTTACTCAAGTGGACTTGGAGAGATGTCATTCAAGTAATGACTGATCTCCGTGTCTGGTTCATCATTTTGATGTACTTTGGCGCTGTGGGTACCGGATTCGGTTTGGCTGTGTTCGGTTCTACTATTATTGCCGCACTTAACCCAGACCTTTCGAGTATCAATGTTTCCCTCTTGTATGCTCCGATCTGGCTTTTTGACTTTGGCGGTATTTTGCTCATAACGCCCTTTGCAGACAGATACAAGAATCATCGAGCTTTCTTTTTCTGCGGCGCATGTGTGATTATCATGGTGGGTCTATTTGTTACAACTTTCGCAAAAGGTTTTTGGAATAGGTGGGCTGGACTCTTGATCTCAGGTTTTGGCTTGGGCCCTACAATCCCTATCTGCATGTCCTGGTCAGCTGAGATGTTTGGACCTCGCTATGGTGACGTTGGTAATGCAGTAAGTTCGGCCATTGTCTCTGGCTTAGGTAACTTAGGCTCTGTTACTGCTACCTACGCTTTGTACTCCGGCTGGCCATCTGATGAGGCCCGTCTTTACAGGAACTCCAACATGACCTTGGTGGGTATGTTAGGTATCAGTGTGGTCTCTGCGCTCGCGTGTCATATGCTCAAGAATAAGATCAGGCAAACATAATAGAACGTTTCAAGCACGGCATAATGAGATCTTTGTTGAATAGATTCCCTTACATAATTTGTTTCTACTACAGAATTAACTTTGCATTGTACCACTGATCGAGGTTTTTGCTCCTAATGGCTTATGGATGAAGAATTTAGTAGACAGCTTCTCATTTCTAAGAGAAAGAGCTGTGGCCTTGTTTTTTTTTTTTAATTTTTTTCCTTTTTTTTTTAGCGAGTGCATACCTTGCGTATCTCGCTAGCAGACCTGAGCATTTTATGTGAGATTTTCGCGCATCTCATCTCGCTCAACGGTTATCAATCTGAGTGGTCCTCTTTTGCAAACACTACAACCAATTACCCCCAATATGTCAGCTACCGACAAACAAGCCTTGCCGTTTACTGAACAGCACTATTTCTCCTCTTATGATCATTTTGGAATTCACGAGGAGATGTTGAAGGACACTTCCAGAACCTTGTCCTACAGATCTGCCATGTATAAAAACAAGCATTTGTTCAAGGACAAGGTTGTCTTGGACGTTGGTTGTGGAACGGGAATCTTGTCCATGTTTGCTTCCAATGCCGGTGCCAAGCATGTCTACTCTGTCGACATGTCGAACATCATTGGAAAGGCCAAAGAGATCATCTCATTGAACGGTTTTGAGGACAAGATAACCTTGTTGCAGGGTAAATTGGAAGATATTGAGTTGCCTGTTGACCATGTCGATATCATTGTCTCTGAATGGATGGGCTACTTCCTCTTGTACGAGTCCATGTTGGACACTGTGCTTTATGCTAGAGACAAGTACTTGGTCGAGGGTGGCTTGATCCTCCCAGACAAGTGTTCAATGTACATTGCCGGTATCGAGGATGGCCAGTACAAGGATGACAAGATTCACTACTGGGAAGATGTCTACGGTTTTGACTACTCTCCATTCATCAAGGTTGCCATGGCCGAGCCTTTGGTTGATACCGTTAACAACAATTCATTGATCACTACACCTCATAAATTCTTCGAATTTGACATTAACACTGTCACCAAGGAGCAATTGTCTTTCCACAGACTGTTCTCTCTCAGTGCCATCGATAGCGACTTGTGTCATGCCTACATTGTGTGGTTCGACTGTGACTTCCCAGGAGACGAGAAGGTGACCTTGTACACTGGTCCTATGAAAGCCTACACTCATTGGAAACAGACTGTTTTCTACATGGATCAGGTCCTTGACTTGCGTAAAGGCGACAAAATTAAGGGTCTGATTGCCTCGAGACCAAACGCTTCTAACCCGCGTGAGGTGGATATTGAGATCCAGTGGAAGGTGGACACTGTCTCCAAGGATAAGTCCCGTGAGCAGGAAGGAAAGTACAACTACTTCATGCGTTAATTGGCATCCAAAATTTTGCATCAGATTTAGATTCATCAAGCTCTTGCATTTGCTTCCCCCATGTATTAATAGAGAATTTGTACTTTCGCAGCCATTCGGTAATCCGCATGTAATGACTCTCTACCCTTCGCGCATGTTACCATATACACTTGCTTAGCTCTTTGACGCCACTGTATGTTCACTAGAAGTGTTCTTCTAGGATTACGAAACGCAAGACACTTTACTACATCAACTTTGAGAAAAATGTCCAAAACAGATCAGGAGTGGCAAGCCATCCTTTCCCCAGAGCAGTTCAGAGTCTTGAGACAGCTGGGTACCGAGGCACCCTTCACCGGAAAGTACACTGACACTCCTGCAAGCGAGAAGGGTGTTTATGAGTGTGTTGGTTGTGGTTCGCCACTTTATAAAGCTAACACTAAATTTCAATCGAGCTGTGGCTGGCCAGCATTCTTTGATGCTATTCCTGGCGCCTTGAAGACGATTGAAGACAGATCATTCGGGATGACAAGAACAGAGATGCGTTGCGCTAAATGTGATGGCCACTTGGGCCATATTTTCAAAGGTGAAGGCTACAACACGCCAACAGATGAGAGACATTGCGTGAACAGTGTTTGTTTGAAGTTCAATCCCGAATAAGTTCTCGTTATTGAGAAGACAGATTAGTAAGTGGGGAATAGGTGTTTGATAGAGGAGGCCGTTTGATTTAATAACATGTTGATATACATTTATAAGTAAATTGTCGTTGAACATAGCGATTAGGCAACAAAAGGGATCATGGCGGTCCTTCTCAATTTCTTGTAGTCGTCACCAAATGTCTTCAAGTATCTCTTGTGCTTCTGGACAGCCCAAATGTACATCTGGCCAGAACCAACAATCATAAAGAGCCATGCAGACCAGTTACCGACCAAAATAGAGTAGACGACCCACCCAAGAGACTCGAAAAAGTAGTTTGGGCAAGAAACCAAGTCGAAACCGTAACCATATGGAATGACGTAAGCCTTGCTATCCTTGTTTCTGAGGTTGGACAAAGCAACGTGGGTCTGGAAGTTAGACAATTCAGCAAAAGCCCACACGGCAAAGAGAGCATAGTTCACGATAGAAGGCAAAGAGTTCACGTGGAACACAAACTTCTCGAGCGATCCAGCCGAGGCCAACGAAGCAGTATCCTTACCGTAAATGAAAAAGGCTAAGTTGAAGCCAGACAAGAACCAGTAGTGACTGGAGTTCTTAAACAAGTTGAAAAGAGGCATAGTAGCGTTAGAGAACCTGTGGACGAAAAGGGTCTCGTACTCTCTCTTAGCAAAGTGCAAAGTGACCATTATGAAGGCAAGAACCTGAGTTTGGGTTTGGGGTACTTGCTTGTAGATGGCGTAATACGCGTAGAACAAGAGATGGAGCACCAACGGACCCAAGTACTCTAACAAAAACACGGTACTCCAAGCGATCTGGGGACCCAAATCCTTGGCATAGATGTCGACCACCTTCGTCAATTCAGCACCGGTGAAGTAGTCCATCAAGGATTTCGAGGAGTCTAAAGCAATCTGTTTTCCATTAGCATCCTTGTAAGTGAGTCTGATCCGGTTAGGGTTCAACTTGTTGTCCGTAGCAATTTTTTTCAAAATTGGAGCAATCAACAAGGAGTCAAGGGAGCTAGAGTAGCCCTTAATGTTCTTCGATCTTGGGATGACTGCAATTGAGGCCATGGCTGATACGGAAGTTAGGGATGAAGATGTCGGGAGCGCACCAATGTATATATGGGTCGTGCGAAACTGGCCGTGACTCGTCTTATCTCCCTGGAATTTCACCGTGGTTCCAATAATTTAAATTTTATTTTTTGGAGTATTCTCAAGCAATTTGGGTTGTCTGGGGAATTGATGTATATCAATTGACTAGACAGGTGAATTGACAGATAGTGATCTTCACTGAGCCTACCACACAAACTCCGGAAACCTATACCAGATCTGGTAAATGACTCCATCGCTATATTTTGTAAAAATGATGCACTATGAATTAAATTATCTTACCAAAAAGACGCTGAAATTCAATTTCAACGGAATTTACCAGTATGGTAATGGGCCCGGTTCATTGCTCTTCCCAAAAGTTCAACTTACTAAAGAATAGCGAATTGATAAAAGTTCCAATTCTTCTCTTTTGTCAATTGTTTTGTTAAATATAGAAAAATTGCCTAATGTCTGAGACAAGTGTCTGTTTAATTTGATTTGTCTAAATTGAAATAGGATTTACAAAATCTAGGGCTGAATCTTCAAACACTGCAAAATCGTTAAAAGGTGTTAAAATTAGAAGAACACCCTGAAATCAAATCAAATTTTATATTAACCTAGTTGGACGCACAAAGTACACATCTTGATCCAGATCTATGGTTTATTTCCTCCGTAGTCCGCCTTAAAGCGTCATTTTGCACCCATGCGCAGTTACTGACGTCTAGAAAATTCCATGAGGGCAAACAACTCATAATGAGTATCATTGAGGGCAAGGTCACGTGCATCCCTCCACCATTTCGCACGAGAATCACTGACGTCCGCCAGTTCAGTCCACAGTTTTTTCTTGTACGGATCATAACGAAAAACAACTTACAAAATGTCAGACTGGGATAATGTTACTGTTATTGGCCAGAAGGCCCGTGTTGGTGGCGGTGGCCCAAGAGAGAGAGTCGCCCGTTCTCAGGCCGAAGTGAACGCTGCTAGAAGAAGTGGTGCTGCTATCAACACCGAGAAGAAGTACGGCTCTACCAACACCAAATCCAACCCCGAGGGCCAGAGATTGACCAAGTTGGACAACACTGATGATGTCGTCAGCGTGAAGAAGGTTGAGGCCAGCGTTGGTAAGACGATCTCGCAAGTTAGACAAGAGAAGAAGCTAACTCAGAAAGATTTGGCTACCAAGATCAACGAGAAGCCTCAGGTCATCAACGATTACGAGGCTGGCAGGGCTGTGCCTAACCAGCAAGTCTTGGGTAAGATTGAGAGAGCATTGGGAGTCAAGTTGAGAGGTAAGAACATTGGTGAGCCATTGTTCGGCCCCAAGAAGAAGTAATCCTACTTGGTATCATAGACTTAAATAGTTTGCACTACACGAATCACGACGCCAGCCTTCTTTGTCTCATTTATTGTAAATTCTCTCGTATGCCTGCAACCCTTAGCAACAGCCCAGCTGTTGCGGCCGCTGTGTTTGATGTCTTCCAAGATCCACCCTCTTCCCAGGTTGTGGAGTAGCTCTATCATTTGCCTCCTCAAGGGGCAAGGCACGAGCAATGCTATCAAAAATTTGGAGAACACCCTCGCCGGATTTGGCGGAGCACTCCTTGTGTACAACCTTTGTGGGGGCCTCTCCAGCAGCGGTGGCCTCCTGATTGAGCTGCTCTAGATACTGTTCAACCTCGGTCTCCTCGACTTCTCTTTCATCGGCCAAGTCAGCCTTATTACCCACTAGTGCGAGGACGATGCCTTCGGGCGCCCTCTTCTTCAACTCCTTGATCCAGTCCTGAGCTTTCGTGAAGGAAGACTGGCTTGAGATGTCATAAACACACAACGCAGCGTTTGCGTTTCTGTAGTACATGGGTGCCAAACTCTTATAACGTTCCTGGCCGGCGGTATCCCAGATCTCAAACTTAACTGTCGTTTTCAATTCAGGCAATGTGATGGATTGAGTAAGGAAGGCGGCACCAATAGTGGACTCCCTCATGTCGTCAAAAGTGTTTTTGACAAAACGATGCACTATCGAGGATTTTCCCACTGCACTCTCCCCAAGGAGCACCAACTTGAATTGGACAAATCGGTTCTCGGACATTTTGATTGATTTCTTTTGCACAGTCACTATCTATCCAGGTGTTTACTTGTAGGAATGATATCGCACGGTGCTTGCACGACCAGCCTGACGATGGTTAGATCCCGATGTAGCGGGCCAGTGCCAACGTGGAATAAGCGGTGCATTAGGCGACGCTGCAGCAGTGCAGTCTATAAGAACTGGGTCCCACTCTCGGGCTCAGTTCCAATTATTTTTTAAAGATTCCATTGCCTCGGACACAATATTATCGTTTCTATTTTTAAATGTCCTCGGTCCCGCCGCATCCCTCCATGCACAATCTTCCGTCAGCTCATGAATAGGCATTAGACTTCGGTACGGGTGTCAGCGTCAGCCCACAGGCTTCGATCCCATGGTTTTGACTCGGCAAATAAACTATGCTGTCCCGAATTGGCCCACTTCGTATATGGCCGTTGGTGCACGGCTAGCGCCGTACTGTACATAGACCGAGATCTTCTGCATACTTACGCGGCATAGGTCACTAGTGCTCGAAAGAATGGGATTGTTCGTGGGGCTCGATCCTTGTTCTAGCCGGAGGCAGGGGAGCATAAATAGGTCCCCGGCGTCCCTCAATCCCTGACATATTCTTTGAAATCAATCGAAAAATGGTCTTATTCAATTTGGCATTTAGAGACGCCGTCGCCTTGGGGATTCGTACTGCGCTCCTCGTCTTCACCTTCTGCCTTTTCATCTGCTCGTGTGTAGCAGTGGATAAGTTGGACTTTTGGGAAAATCGGACAGGTGTGTCATTGGTTACAAGTCTTCTTGGCTTCATATACTATATCCCAACAGTTATCCCTGTCGTGGTTCGCCATTTGTCACCCGCTACCGCGCTTGCAGGAGACCTTTGGATGCTACTCTGGTGGATTATCGCCGTCGGTGTGCTCGGAGACCGCTTCGGAAGCGACTTGTCGTGCAATTGGGCCGGCCGCTACAAGACAGGCTGCCAAGCCGGCAAGGCTGCCCTTGCCTTTGCAGTTTTGGGCTTTGTGACATCCCTCGCCACAGTGGGCATAATTGGCTACTTCACCTTGTACCAGAGCTACAAGACCAGCGGAAAGTCCGGTGTGTTGCAGAGAGGCAGCCTTGCCCCTGGCGCTGTTTTTTTGAATGGTAACGAAGCTCCTCCAGCCACGACAGATACCGCTGACGTTGAGGCCGGCGCTGGCGCCTCCAGTGGTCAGGAGGACGCTGCTGACCACAAGGATGTGGATTCGCAGCCAACGGCCCGCTCACCACCTGCCAGCCACCACTCGCAGGACTTGGCTGCCAAGTGAGGCCCTTCAAAAGGTTACCCTGACCGTCACCTTTAATTATTTTTTTTGTATTTATGAGAGCTTTGCCTCAATTGATCTCCGGATGGTCGGCGTCCAATGCTAAGAGCACCTCGTAAACTCTACGGGGCGCGCATGATAATGCGCTTCCCTATGTATCCTTCTTGTATCGTTGCTTGTGAATTACTTCAGCACAAGAGCTCAAAACAATGCAATTCCACGTAGGCATTTTTGCGTATCGACATCCCTGAAATGATCGCGTGGAATTTGGTTATTTCTCCGTGTTTTTTCCCATTTAGGCTTTAATGATGGCCTGAGCCAAATTTTATATCAACTACTCAATGCCCAATACATATATGAAACAAAACATAGCTTCGTCTTATCTATTTACAAGTCAGCCGACCTAAACTTATTGGTCAATCTTGGCCAAGATCTCTCTGTCGCTGTACAACAAGAACTCCTCGTCGCCAACCTTGACAGGAGAGCCACCAAAGCTAGGCAACAAGACCTTGTCACCAGCCTGAACGGAAACAGGAATGATCTTACCGTTGACATCGGTGGCACCGGGACCAGCAGCGATGACAGTACCCTGGTTCAACTTCTCCTGGTTCTTCTCAGGAATGTAGATACCACTAGTGGTCTGCGTAGCAGGCTTCAATCTCTGGACCAAGACTCTGTCGAACAATGGCTTCAAGTTGTTAACGGACTTCAAGAATGACATTTTGCAGGTGTTTGTGTGATGTGACTTCTCCACAGCTATATATGCTTTTTTTCATGGAAGAGCGCAGAATTTCTACACATCCGTGCATCCCGTACTTTGGGTCTATAGTCTAGTTTTTCGCAGCCGTTTATTAAATGCGCCTAATTGAGGTAACGCTCAAGTGGCTCGCCGAGAACGTTTTCAATAACTCTCACCAAATCTTTTCTGACCTCCATTTCAACATCCTCGTCGTCATCTTCCAACAATTCTGCAATGTATGGAATGAAAGTAGGCAAGAATGGCAACCACTGCTCGCCCAACTTCTGGAAGATTTCCTTCAAGATTCTGATGGTCCACATCTTGGTGTTCAGAGTGTTTTCATGCTCATTCGAGATGTAGTAAATCAAACCATGCACAAGCTTCTCGTTGTATTCATCAGATGACACATTAGTGACAAAAGATGTGACGGCTTTCACGAGGTACTTGCCAATAGGCTTTTCAATATTACTCAATTGAGACAAGAGAGGGTTGAGGATTGTCTCAAATCTCAGTTGGTGCGACCAGTAGTCATCCTGATCATACTTGAATGACGAAACCAAAGCATTCAAAATAATTCTTCTCAAGTTGGTTTCCTTCAATTCACCAGATGCAAATCTGTTCAAAATAGCCACCGTTGGGTCAATCATGTATGAGAAGTAGGATGTGATGATGCTCTTCAACCTATCCTGCAATTTGTTGAAGAATTTAAAGAAAGCAGTAAGTCTGCTAAGTTCGGTGTTGACAGAACCAATGGAGCCTTCTCCCGTAGCGGCCCACCTAACCAAGTTGGCAAAAAGAGGACGGAAGCTCTTATCGTTGAGCTTCATGACGTAAACAATGGCACATTGGTGGAACGAGTTTTCGATGCTGTGAATTGTGTTGTCATTGAACTTTTCTTGGCCATACTCGTTTCTGAACTCAAACGACTTGATTAACCACTTCATGAAGAGGGAAGAATTGCCAGTGGCCGTCTTCTTTTCGATAGCGTCAATAGCAGACTTCACACCATTCAAATATAAACCAAGCTCCTTGGCATCATTAATAGCGTAGAAGTTCTCTGTAAGTGCTAAGTTGAACAAGCAACTCAACACCTGACCCTTGTCCACATGCTCCACAATCAAGGCCAATACATTGGAACGGATGCCACTGTCAATCAAATCACTCACCAAAGTCGCCTTCACAATCTGCTTCAAATTCGTAGTAACGAAGGCTGGCATTCTCTTGACCAAGACAGAGAAAAGCATAAGAACTGAACCCTGCAACAACATTCTACCTTCCTGCTCTTCATCATCCATATCCTCATCATCTTTTTCGTCTTGAGCGATGGTGGACTCCCAAATCTTCAAAGCAGGAGGCAAAATCTTAGGGAAGAAACCGATACATTTCACACCAAAGACCTTGATAACGCTTGCAACTGCATTCAAAGAGGACACTCTGATCTCTGTGTGCTCGCTCAACATACCATGTTCCGAAGTGATGGTCTTCAATGTACCAATGAGGAACTTAGCATCTTCTGAAGATGCAAGATCTGGAGATGACGCGGCAAGTTTCGAAACAATGATCGAAAATGTATCCAAGTAAGCCTGAACAAGCTCGATGTTATCGAACTTCTCAACGCCCTCGACCAAAGTTGGCAAAAGCTCTGACAAGACGGCAGTTTCAATCTCCTCGTCAAATGAGTTCAGGTTCATTTCATTCTCAAACTTGGTTCCAGCTAGGACAGCAAAATTCTTTGCTATAGTAGCTGACAATTGATCGTTCACATTCTTCAAAGAGTCTGAGATCGAGGACACATAGTAGCTCATGGGAAGCAAGTTGAGCAATGACTTGAGCACGTTGTACAACTCGTTGACAATCTTTGCGTTACCCTTCTCAGAATTGAAATTATCCAACGAGCCCAAGATAAACGAAGTGACCTTGCTGAAGACCTTAAGGATTGACTTCTTCTCATCCTCAGGCGTTTGGTCATCAAACAACACCAACGACACCTTCATTCTCAAAGAAACGAGGTTGGCGCTGACAGACAACTCTTCATCGGTACCCAAGACTTGATTGATGAAGTGTAACAAATTGGTTCGGAGTACAGTCAACTCTGCATCAGTAGCGTTGGCGATCGAGGAGCCAAAAATTGGTCTGTTAGTCAAGGCAGCGATCTTATCAGAGTCTGATCCAAGATTGGCCTTTGGAACTAGATCCCACAAGCCAAGGAAGCTGTTGACACTTTGCAAACAGATGTCGGCATCGAATGTCTTCAACAAAGCAGTAGTGAAGTCTAACAGCGAGTTGCACTCATGAACTCTGTTCTTCTCCAAGTTAATAGAGTACTGTTGACCCATCAAGAACAAGATGTTTTGCAACGAATTCTCGTGTCCTAACGTCTGAACCAAGTACACGAAGAGCTTCACTCTACGATGTCTGGGGATATGCTGGAAGGCAGTAACAAAGCTGGTCAACAAGAACTCAATCTCAGTGGAGACAGAAGATGAAGCAGCGGTGATAGCAGGCACAACCTTCGAAATTGTCTTTTGCAAGGCCGAACTGGAAAATTCGTCATCCTGTCTCACAGTATGGGCACCCATAAATGTGAAGATCGGCATCACAGAGTGCAAGATGATCTCTGGTGCCAAGGAAGCCAATTCAGCAATCACGAGCAACAATTTGTTTTGAACTTGAGGCGATTGTGACAATCTGATGGAGTTCACGATCAAATCAGCTCTAATCGAATTGGAGTCAATGCGAGATCTGCTTCTGCTTTGGGACTCCTTCATCTTCACGATGCAGAGCAACATACAAGAAGCAAGGGTCTCCTGAGCGTACAACACAGGAAGCTTTCCGTCGTTGCCCAAGTAGTCCAAGTCAGTCAATATCTTGAACAAAACCTGTAACAAGTCAGGACCCGCCAATGAGCTGATAGACTGTCTTAATTGGGTCTCGAGCACATCGAGTATAATAGAAAGCTTTCTTAAATGTGCAGCAGCCATGCTATTGATGTCATCTCTCGCCATATTCTTTTGAGTGGATGATGAAGATCTTCTTCTTCTTTTTGCCACTGACTGCTCTGGAACCTCGGTGACAATATTGACTGAATTCAACAACGCTACCATGTCCTGATTGGTGAACTCAAGTGATTGCAAAGTCTCGAGTGGGTCAAAGTGTAATACCGAGTCACTGTCCTTGACAAGCAATTCAATAAGTTCCTTGCTCAAGCGAACCTTCAAGTCTGTGTGTTTAAGCTGTGGGAAAAGGGCCTTAATTCTTTCATTGGCAATAATTTGCAAATCATCTTCCGCATTCAATGCTCTCACGAACCACTCAACTTCCTTAGCTCTCTTCTTTTCATTGGTGGTCTGTCCACCGACCATACCAGCAATAGTCTTTTCGACATCCTCAACGAAATTCAAGCCCTCTGCAAAAGCATCATGGAACCATGCGTCACGCTTTTCAAAAAGAGTCTTCACATCACCGACGAACGAAAATCTATCATCAAAGCCCTTAGTGTCTCTATTCTGCGAACTTATGATTCGCCAAACTCTGTGCTTGAATGAAAGTGGCAATGATGGAGAAGCCCACTGGCCATAAACGAAGCTTTTGAGGAGGAGAGAACCAAACTTTTTCCCTGTTTTCGTACTTTTGAACAACGTGTCGTACAAAAGGGACAAGAAACGGGTGGCATCAAAACGGACATCATCCAATGGCGTATTCTTGTCGAACAAAACGTTCAACATAACATTGGCATCAGATGGAGAAATGAGAGACAGTTTTCCATCCTCATTCCCGTTGTATAGTTCTGATTCCATGAACAAAACGGATTTCGCTTTCTTACCCTTGCTCAGAATTTTCTCGCTTTGCTCATGTATCACTTGAAGTGTGGCGATGCAAAGCTCCCTAAAAGGTTTGCTGGCGTCACTCAAACCAAGGAGAATCAAAGGAGTAAGAAGATAAAGACTGACATTCGTGTTTTGTGACGTGACATCCTGGAGGACATTCTTGACGCAGCCGAGGGCCAACAAGCGATATGACAAAGGAATCGAAGCTGTAAAAGCTAATCTGAAAAGGAAGGACACAATCTGTTCATTAGATTTGAAGAGCTCGCGACTAACAGCTTTCAAGAAAGGGAGCTGTTTCTTCGCTTCATATTTCGCAAGCTCTTTAAGCAACTCTTCAGAGACCTTCGCAAATTCAGCGTTAGAAGATGCAGTGAAATAGCTCTTGGCCTTTACAGACACTTGGCTGACAGTCTTGGAAGGAGCGGGCTCGAAGTCGGCCACAGCATCCTCGTAGTCACCCTCGTAGGATGAATCGTTTGCAGTGTCACCCATAGTATGCATAAGCACCATCTCTAAGTCACCAATGGATTTCAGATGCTTCTTGAGCTCTTCAATAAGCTTCTCCTTGTTTTTAGAAAGAAGCTGTTCAAAGATGACCACGGCACCATCTCTTCCCTCTTTCGAGACTGAGGATTGTGACAAATAGTCAAGAAGCTTCTTGACAACGACGGGGAAAAACAAGCTATTGGTAGCAACACTGAGGTATTGCAAAAGATTGACAGTATCGCCATTGTCATGATTCAAACAGTCAATGACATAGAAGAAAATGAATTTAGCAATGTGGTAGTTCTCCTCAATCAAGGTAAGCAACAAAGCTTCCTCTTGAAGTAAGACTTTTGAGGGCAAATCCTTGAAAACTTCAGCCTCCTTACTTACATCATCTTCGTTGAAATAGTTCCACAACTGTCCCAACACTACAAGAGTTTGCCTCTTGAGTTGAGTAAATGCAAAGGAATCTTTCAAAATTGAAATGGTCAAAGAGTAAACTAATTCGTCACTCAAGGGGACAACTGAGCTCAAAACTGAGACAATTGCAAATGCAGTAAGCTTAATGTCTTCCTTGAGGGTGCTGGAAAACTTAAACTCGTGTTTTTGTGGGCCAAGAGATCATTGAGAGTCTCCAAAATCGTGACGATATAATCCTGATTAAGTTTTTCGGTGTCACGACCGTGTGATGCCAACACCTGCGCGGTATTGGATAAGTAAAATACCAATTGTTCTTTGTAAATGGTTTTATGCTTCAACTGCTCTCTGAGGTACTCGGAGTACAATCTGAAAAACGCTGGATCATTATGGAAGCTTTTGAGCACGGATGATGCAGGTAAAGGCTTTGATTGTTCTTTGTAACCGGACAACCAAGAGAAGATGACTGGCATGGAACCTTTTGGAACCACGTTCATGATTCTGGTGAAGACTGGCTGCGAATGGTAGGATAATGTGGACAAGAACAATAACTCTGTGTTATGAATGTTGACGTGATATCTTCTAACCAACCACTCCATGGCTTTAAGAGTGGGTGCAAGATTGTAGTAGGGGGCTGCCAAGTTCATGAAAGCTTCCAAGTTTCTGTTGACCTGATCGAGGATGTCCTTCGACTTGACATTTCTGTCGAAATCAATGCTGGTTTCGGAGAAGAGGGTCGCTGAAAATTTCTCGAATCTCAGATCAAGTTCTATGAGCTCGTCGAGGCCCTCTGTTGCTATCAGGTAGATATAGTCAAAGTCTTGGGCGGCTGCAGTTTTGGCATCGAATAGCAAAGATCTCGAGTGGATCTGTTGCCTCGATTTTCTGTCGACAGCCAAGGATGCATTTTTCTCACCGATGGTCTTCAACTGCTGGGACAACAATGACATAATGGGCTATCGGTGGTCGACCTTGTCTGGTATAATTTTCAGTATGCGATGAGAGATGAGACGAGGAGCAGTATGTGCAGGTCCACCATAGATTTTAGAGACTATGAAAGCTTAGATCTCGAGATTTGTGGATAAGAAGATTGAAAGTTTGGGAGGGCCATTGATTTGATTGAGTATTCGTCTGTTTGCAGCTTTGTTCTCTGGTTATGGGTGCAGAAGTGAGAATACATGCAGCGAGCGACGCAAGAAGGTGTTGCCCTACTTCGATATTCCAATGAATAGGCGATACTTCCAATGAATAGGAGACAAAGGACGGTCAGGGGCTAAAAAAGTGCCGCAAGGGCCCATTCATGCATCCACACTTATAAGGTTCATAACGTTGCCTCCAACACAAATAAGGTACAATAGTGGCCCACACGGACTAGCTACAGGATGGCACTCAGACACCTACCTCCACCAAACTAGCCAACATACAATTACACCAAAAAGGAAACCGTGGTTCTCCAGAGAAAGACACCTTTTGGGGTCAGGTTTCTGGGCGAGTTCGGCGAAGCTGCCCACCTCACATCCAAACGGACTTTTCCAGCTAGAGAAAACGGCATTCAGATACAGGGGTCCGGCTCGCTTACGCCCCGCTCCGATGCCACTTTAGGGTCATCCGGCTCAACCAACCTTTTCCGCACTTTTCAGACATTAAAAGCCCATCTTACATTTACGTGCTTTACGAATGCGTTCCCGTAATAAGCGACAGGTGGAATACTCGTCATCTGGGCTAACCCGTTGGCGGATACGCAGCGCAGGCTATCTCTGAAAAAAAGAAAGCTTGCTGCGATGCTCGCACAGAAAGCCATCGCGAAGTGCAAGCCATATCTAAGAGACGAAGCCTCTGATAACGAGATAAGCGTACTTGCTGATAAAAAAAAATATCGGACCAATCTGAAGCGTCGTGGGTAGGCAAATGCAAAGACGTCTGCGATGTGGCTTGCCAAGAGTACGGTTGTCTTTGTGTCCTGTCCGAACCCTTCAATAACCCTCTGCTGACCGACGCCGACCGTAACGGCTAAGGTGGGCTTGGAAGGGTGGGGCCGTGTGGGGCAGAGAAAAAAATGCCATTTTTGTGGGCGTGTATGTCCGCAAAAAATAGGCGCCAGCCTGGGCGCGGAAGGCAATGGCGGCGGGTACCCCAGATTCTGAGCACAAAAAAAAAAAAAAAAGATGAACAGGGCAAACTTGCGCGAGCGCACTGCGTCAGATATCTCGCCAGAACTTGCAAAACGCCGTCTCCGATCGCCGTACCGTAGACCACGGAAACTCAACCAAAATTACAGGTAAATTTTTATTTCACGTAGTTTAGACAGTCTGGCTCGATGGATCCAGGGGGCAAATAAAAAGAAAGCTCCTGAATTCTTGCCCCTCACGTCGTCTTTGTTGGCGGGGCACAAAAAAACTCTTGGTACTGTCAAGCGAGGCGCCGAGAAACAGTCACACTTGTAGTTGCACCAACACGTAGGTCTCACAGCCCAAGCCGTGATTAGCGTTTGAATTAACTCTCCGCCTCACCCTGTTTCAGGCTATTGTGCCTGGGGAGCAGCAGGCCCCACTTATTTTACATCATCGTCCTGAATGGGCTCGCCGTGCATTGCACGTCAGACTGCGATTTCTTTCTGCGTCTCAGACCCTCCAGATAAGCATATTCTGCATCGCCTATATATTGGCGCCGGCCCCACATTCTTTTTTTTCTCTTTGTAATTTTCCCCCCTCCATTCTGTCCCAAAGTTCGCCATGGGTAAAGACTCACACGTATTTGACCTCAAGGCCATGACCTCGAGGCCATCGATCTTGAGATCCAATTCGGCCTACCTCGGACCTTCCATCTCAAACTCCAGAATCGTCAATGTCGACGAAAAGGGTAACATTGTCTCTGAGAACAACTCCATTATCTCCGTGGAGGAACAGGAGTTAAAAAAGGGATTAAGGAATAGACACGTCCAGTTGATCGCCTTGGGTGGTGCTATTGGTACCGGTCTTTTCGTTGGCTCTGGTCTTGTCTTGTATCAGGTCGGCCCCGCCGCCCTCTGGCTTTCTTATATCGTCTTGTCCACCATTGTGTGGTTCGTCATGAACATGTTGGCAGAAATGGCTGCTTTCTTGCCCGTTCCAGGTGCTGGTTCCCAGCAATTTATTAATGACTACACTGACCCCTCCATCGGTTTCGCTCTTGGCTACAACTACTGGTATGGTTTTGCCATTTTGGTCGCCTCTGAGGTCGTCGCTGCCGCCATTGTCATTCAGTATTGGACCACAGATGTACACATTGCCGTCTGGATTTCCATTTTGCTTGCTGGCATGTTGATCTTGAATTTGATGCCGGTTCAATTCTACGGTGAAGTTGAGTTTGTGCTCGCTGCGATCAAATTACTTGCAATCACTGGTCTTATTATTTTGGGTATTGTTTTATTCTTTGGCGGTGGTCCAAAGGGCGACAGACTTGGTTTCCGTCATTGGAAACATGGTAACGCTTTCCACGAGCACATGACTGGCGGTGACACTGGTCGTTTCTTGAGTTTCTGGACCGCTGTGATTAAGGCCGGTTACTCTTTCATTATGAGTCCTGAGTTGATTGTCGCTTGTTCCGGTGAGGTTTCCAACCCTCGTCGTATTTTGCCCAAGTGTGCCAATCAGTTTATTTACCGTTTGGCATTCTTCTACATCTTGGGTTCCTTGGTCATCGGAATTATCGCCGACTCCAGAAGTGAGCGTTTGAGTAGTGATACTGGTGATGCCTCGGCCTCTCCATTCGTGCTTGGTATTCAGAATGCCGGTATCCCTGTCTTAAACCATATCATCAACGCTGTCGTTTTGATCTCGGCCGCTTCTGCTGGAAACTCCTTTTTCTACGCTGGTTCGAGAACATTGTACTCCCTCGCATTGAGAGGATTGGCTCCAAAATGTTTCACCTTTGTTAACAGATGGGGTATTCCAATATACTGTGTGTTGATCACCTGGTGTGTTGGTTGTTTGTCATACTTGAACGTTTCGAGTTCTTCTGCTCAGGTTTTCACCTGGTTTTCCAACATCACCACCATTTCCGGTTTCATTTCTTGGATCTTTGTTGCTTTTGCTTATTCTAGGTGGAGAAAGGCTGTAGTGGTACAGGGTCTCGAGGACAGGGTTCCTTACAGAACATTATTCCAGCCTTTCGGTGCCTACTACATTATGTTTATGGTTGGTTTGATTACGCTCACCAACGGTTACGCTGTGTTCTTCGACTTCAATATTGCTGACTTCCTTGCCGCCTACATCACATTCCCAATCGTCCTTGGACTTTACGTTGGCCACAGAACATATTCATACTTCTGGGTTGGCCGTAAGAGATGGCTTAATCCTTTGGAGAGTTTCGACTTCAGCAAATTGGAGCTCGTTGAGGAGGAACAGAGAAACACCCCACAGCCTAATCCAAAAAACGCATGGGAAAAATTCCTCAATGTGATCTTCTGATCTCTTCAATTCTACACTATATATTCATTATAAGTACAATAACGATGCAATGTCCGAGTTTTACTCGCAATCCAACCCAGTGTAAATTGAAGTACTAAAAATTAACCATTTGGATGTTTGAATTTAAAAAGAATATGGACGAGTCCGGATTCGAACCGGAGACCTTTCGCATGCTAAGCGAACGCGCTACCAACTACGCCACACGCCCTAGAAGAAGTGGTCCCTAGCAGGATCGAACTGCTGATCTTGGCGTTATTAGCACCACGCCTTAACCAACTGGGCCAAGGGACCTACTTGTTTAAGTTCAAACCTAGGGCTAATTATGAAACACAAACAGATACTGCATATAACGCTTGTATGAAGGTCTGAAATGATCTCAAATCTTGTTTTCACAGCATACAATTGCCTAAGCCTCTAGCTTATGGTTCCGCCGGCTCTTGGCATCCCAAAAAGAGGCTGGATTTACATTCCATTTTTTTAAAAAAAGACAGATTTTCCTTTTCTGATGGTCTCTGTCCATGCCCCTCAAGGTCTAACGACCCTTCGATGATGCTCCGGACTTGTTACTGAACAAAATGTAAATCAGCCGGTAGACCCGAATTCGATGATGGAAGGCGAAAAAAATTGCATCAGTTCAAGAGAATTGGGCCGTATGGGTCGATGATGATGATGACCGCAGGCCATTCAACTCAATGAAAGTCTCGAGAATTGCAACCACAAAATTCGCCAGACACAAAACTAGACGGAATTGTATTTCCGCTTTATCAACAAGACATGGAAAATAGGACGAAGAACGTAAGCGTTCTTGCATTGAAGACGTTCAGTTAGGTGACAAATATGCGCTCGGACCTTGCAGGAAGTGCCAGAACCTCTAGGGTAGCCATGGTAATCTGGAGATTTATGTGAGCAATCGCTAAAATTAAGACATCTGTGTATTTAAATTCGGTGATCAAGTAGCAATTGAGTTGATATCGAACAAAGACTATCTGAAGCACACCTGATGTCCAGCTAAGTGAATAACTTCAACGGAATATGCGTAGTGCGACAAACGGGCTGTTATGCCCAGCCGCACCAAGGAGCCATTCACCTCCACGGCTCTTTCCACTATAAATAAGACGGAAACCCCAGGGTTTATTTGACTCAAAAACATGTCTGATTTCACCAAATACAACGTTTCTTCATTGGCGTCTTGGAACGACGCCCTCAAGCTGGACTTGAACACTCAGTTGGGTGCTTCGGTGTTGAGAACTTACAACGCCGAGGAGGCCTTGATCAACCGTGAGGTGCTCATCAAAAACTCCAACAAGGTTTTCAACACTGGTGTCAAAGTTCAAGGTGCTCCTGTTACCAATCAGAAGGCTAGTGGAAGATGCTGGCTTTTTGCAAGTGGTAATGTGTTGAGACTTCCTTTCATGGAGAAGCACAATGTCAAGGAATTCCAATTCTCCCAGCTGTACTGGTTCTTCTTCGACAAGCTTGAAAAGTGTAACTTCTTTTTGGAGAAGTTTTCTGAATCAATTGACTCTACCGCTGAGTTGGACATCAACTCCCGTCTCATCCAGCACTTGTTGGACGACCCCACATGTGATGGTGGTCAGTTCGATATGTTCATCAACGTGGCTGAAAAGTACGGTATGATTCCTCACGAATTGTACCCCGATGCTTACTCGGCCACTGCCTCGAGAACTTTGAACTTCTTGCTCAAGACGAAGTTGAGAGAGTTCGCTCAGCAGTTGAGAAAGGCTAAGAAGGAGGCCCTGGCTCGATCGCTAAAATGAAGGAGCAGCAGCAAAAAGAGATCTACAGACTCATGGTTATCTTCTTGGGTCAGCCACCACTCCCAGATCAGGAATTGGTGTGGGATTTCAAGGACAAGGATGACAATGTCAAGAAGTTGACCTTCACGCCATTGCTGTTCTACAAGGATTTGGGCATCAGCTTGAAAAACTATGTTTCCTTGTTGAATGACCCTCGTAACCCATACGACAAGGTCATCAACATTGACAAGTTGGGTAATGTTGTTGGCGGTAAAGAGGTGTCTTACTTGAACATTGACATCAATGAGTTGGCCAAGTATGCCGTCGAGCGTCTTAAGAACAACCAGGCTATTTTCTTCGGTACCCACACCCCAATCTACATGGACAAGAAGAGAGGTATCATGGACGAGGAGCTTTATAACTATAAGCTTATCGACTTCCATGCCGATCAAGACAAGTCCAGCAGAATTGAGTACAGACAGTCTCTCATGACCCATGCCATGGTCTTGACTGCCGTGCACTTGGACGAGCAGGGTAACCCAATCAGATGGAAGGTTGAAAACTCCTGGGGTAAGGACTCGGGCCAGGACGGTTACTATTGCATGGACCACAAGTACTTCAAGGAATACGTTTACCAGATTGTTGTTGACAAGTCCGAGTTGCTGGACAAACATCAAAAAATCTACGATGAGGCTGCTGATCCCGTCGTTTTGCCCCATGGGATCCAATGGGTGCATTGGCTACTTTCTCTTAGGTAAATAGGCTGCAAAATGAATATGCGCGCGATTGCACAGAGGTAGTTACCCGCACTCACCTACAAGTTCATCTCGGAAAAAAACTACTCTTTAATCTCAACTACATTTCTTTCTTTATGAAAAGTTTAAAGCGTATGTTCTTACCTTGACACAAGGATGAAAAAAACTACACAGACCTGATCTGAACAGGACCTCGGTCCTCATGCAGATAAACCATTATTGCCTAATAAGCTGATGTCTGAATTTAAGTTCAACAACTAACATTCTAGTACCGTTAATCATTATTGATTCAGTAGGTCTCTTTCAATCCCTTGCTAACTAGTTCGTAAAATATTCATTAAGAATGGTCTTCACATTCGTGGGCGATTCTCGTAAAACCATCTCATAGATTGTTGAATTCTAAGCAGGCTCTTAGAAACTAAATCGTCTGCCCTATCTCAACTGCTCTCTACGTGGAACTAGTGTACACGAAATATATTATTTTGGGTGACTATTGAAGAGAGAAGCTTATTTCTTAGCGGTCAATCTTCTCAAGTAGAAGGCCAACTCCTCACCCTCCAAGATGTAACCATCACATCTACCGGACTGACCTGGTCTTGAAGAGATGCAAGCGTACAACTTACCAGCAGTGAACTGGTGGTCGACAGCGGACTCAATGTTGGCAGAAGCGGCTCTGGAAGCCAACTTTCTCTCAACCTTGTGAGATCTCTTAACCTCCTCCTCGGTCTGCTTCTTACCCAAAGACTTACCGTAGTGAGTCTCGAACCATTGTCTGAATGGAGTGGCATCGATCTGGACGATAGCAGACTTGGTCAAGGTGTTGGTTCTAACCAACTCGTTGTTAGATGGGTGGTAGACGACAGAGGCAATTCTGGTCTTTCTGGCGACACCCTCGGAGGCCCAAGAGAAGTTACCGGTCTCAACTCTCAAGGCTCTGAACTTCTGGTTGCCACCTCTGGTTCTGACAGTGTGAATTCTCTTAGCACCGATCTTGGTGTTGGCGGACTGTCTACCTAACTCGAACTTTCTCTTCTTTCTGAACTGAGCTCTTTTAGCACCAGTAGCAGCACGCTTGTGACGAGAGTCTCTAGAAATACCCATGGTGAACTGTTTGTTAGTATAGTGTTTTATGGATGGTGATCCCGAAGACAAAGAATTGACATGAAATGCTGATGATCAAACGGATATATCAACAGGGGGACGGATTGGAAGGATTAAATGGATAGCTTTGATGGATTCTTTGGTCGGCTTCGGGTTCGTTGACGGTGTCGGTGTTGAATTCAACATACTTCTTGGTTACTGTCTAGTAGAAAAAAAGAAGAATCTCAAGTAGCACTATAGAAAAAATTTTCGCTGGGAGCGGTGGTGCAGGCTTGAGAATTTTACAGTGAGGAGGTAAGGGTGTGTGGTAGATTTAAAGATCACGTGATCAAAAAACTGTGAGGCCTTGTCGACACCGTTTATCGAGGGAGTAGAGGCTGTTGCGCGGAGAGTCGGGTGTTCCAACGTTTGCACGTGAGCGGGTGGGAGTCTAGGGCTCGAGCCCTAGTGTATCTCAGAGGCACAGACAGAAGCACAGGCGCAACCAAAAGCACAGGCTAAAGCAGGTGAAAGATATATTTTGTTCGTAAGAGCGGGGCTTAAACGGTATAATAGCGATGAAATGTGAAAAGTTCTAAGCTACGAGAATGGACTTAGCATAACAACGCGTGACCACAAGCTACGAGGAGCATTGAAACCCCTTGATGGGCAGTTAGCCTGATAACCCAAAACGGAACATCAAAGACAATTGAGCCCACTAACGCTCGAAACCGTGGGTATCTGCCGCTTAGGGGAAGCTTCCGAGCCCGCTGGAGGTCGCACAAAGAACAGGTTCCGAAACATATGCCAGTCATGTCTTTATCTCATAGATCAGACCACATGAGACCCCGCCAGGATGCAAGAGCATTGTGAGATAGCAGGAAAGCGGCTTTCTCGATCAGTCGGAGGCTTTCTGGGCAGCATGAACTAACGTACCGAAGATGCAGAAGGTATTGTGGGAAGCAGGCCAAAGCAGGCCAAAGCAGGCCAAAGAAGGCAAGGCGGTTATTGTAATTCCAAGCAGAGAAAGAGTAGCTTGGACATTCCTAAAGCAGAGATTGAGGACTCGGGCGTGGGGGCCATGTGAAGGGAGAAGAATGGCTGCAAACTATGAGGCCTGCACTGCGCGCGCGAAAGGTGAAAAGCTCATCCGTCTCATCGCTTGGCTCCACCCACCACTTTCCTATGGAGACCGTGACAGTGTACGATGAAATAGAGATCGAGGACTTTGTGTACGACGGTAACACGGGGCTATTTCAGTACCCGTGTCCGTGCGGGGACAAGTTTGCCATTCTGTTGGATGACTTGCGGGACGGGGAGGACATCGCGGTGTGTCCCAGCTGCTCGCTCATGGTGCGGGTTATTTTCGAGGAGGAGGATTTGGAAGAGTACGGGGAGTAGCCAAGGAGGCCACAGGATATAGGATTTAAAAAAAATTGGATATTGGGACAAGCGAGGATGTAGAAAGCGCAAGCGATGTCGAGGAACTCGACAAGGCTTTTGCTTTTTTTTTGGGCACACCGTAGAAGAAGCTGAGTGGACCGTTGGGCGCAGGCGCAGGGACAATCGTCTTTTACCCCCCCAAACCGACCAGCCCAGCGCAGATTCGGGCAATGGTGCCCCAGGCCATAAAGTATCGAGAGGCTCGCGCGGGCAGGCGGCAGCAAGTCGAGCCGGGCAGGCGGACCCCTGATATGTATGGTCATGGTTGTTCTGCAACGCACCAGCCCGGGTCTCAAGCGGTATGAGCCGATCCTCTTGGGCACCGAGGCAGGCCTGTCGATATGTGCCACTTGAAAATAATGGGTTCCGGAGATACAGCTTATTTGCCAGGAAGATCCCGAGCACAGCTACAGGAAGGGCGACGGGGGCAGCAGCAGAACCAATGGAGACCACAATGGATCGTTGCCCCCTCGCTCGTGACTACCCCTCTGATTGTTGATTTGCCAGCGGCGCCATTGTGCCCACCGTTGAAGGCTAATCCGGTCTCCAACGAGGACTCACTTTCTTTTTTTTTTTTTTTTTTTTTTTTTTTTTGGTTTTCGTGCGGGTCGAAGCAGCCCATTCGGGTGCTGGTCTTGCATGGGCATTGCTCGCTGAAACGGCGCGGCAAGCTGAGTCCTCAGGCCGACGGCCACTTGTGATGCTGCTTCCTGCGGGTCTTGGCCCAGGGTGGGTCCCCCGCCACAACGCCCCAGAAATAGCGAATAGGTATTGCCATTGTGGCGTGAGTCGGGATTGCCCATTGTCCCCGTCAGCCGCTGGGGCAGCACCAGTGTGCCAGAGTCATCAACGGGGTTTTTTGGGGCGGCAGCATATGGCCCGTTTTGTTGGCTGCAACGTCCAGACTAGCCTGTCTGGTGCCAGGCAGGGCGCGGCACGGGCGATCCGGGGCTCAATTCAACGTAGGGCGCCAAACGGGGCCGGACCCACCTCGTGGGCCCATCCGTCCATTTTTGAGGCAAAACCGGCTTCTTGTACTTTGTTTTGCGGCTGCCACGGTTACAAATAGCATGGGCTCCGGAAAACAAAAACCCCCAAGAATCCCACCCCTCGTCGTCTGCCGGTGCACACAGATCTCCATGGGTTTAGCCGCCGTGCTAGAGCCTCATGCGCTGGAGGGGAGTCTCAGCAACATTAGCCGAGCTCTGATTACTGCAAATTGAAACGACCTGACAGCAGCCCAGCTTGGCTGTCCTTCCACGCCCAACGGGCCAAACAAGGCGGCCGCTTTGGGGAGGGTCGCGGGTCGCTATGCTCCCTGCCTCTCGCTTACCACTTCAAGGCCCAACGCCGCCTTGTTCCCATTTTGCACAGACTCTTTGGGCATGACGCTTTCGGGGCATTCTTATCCAGCCGCCGTTCCCACCACCCTCTCTCCACCAGCCGCCAGAAATGAATAAGCCATCTATTCAAAGCTGTCCATCGTCAAATCTCTAGACTTTTAGTGACCGACCGTTCCACAACCGAGGCGTGCATCACTGGTGCTGCTGCTTTTTTTTTTTTTTTTTTTTTTTTTTTTTTATTTTATTTTTTTTTAGCTGATAGATTGTGTCCTAATTGCATACTTTTTTCTGTTCTCGGTGGTGCACAGTTTAAAAGCCAGTGAACGGGCTTTCACGAATCTTACCACTTTTTTTACTTTCCGCCCGCAACACCCTCTTGCGTCAAGAACAACCGTTCTTTCTCCGGGCCTCTGTTATCTCATAATCCGGCCGCTTTCCGTCCCGTCAAGGCCCTAGTTCCCGGCTCCCCCAAAAGCCCTGTCCTCCCCGGCCAAGTCCACCCCGTGAGCTTCATCTTTCTTCCTAATGAAATCACTCATGGTCGAGATGAAAGGCTCCCCCGACTTTGCCGAAAAGGACACCGCCTCCTATAAACCAGCTCACGCCCCGCCTACCACCGTCCGCCGAGGTCCCTGGCTGCCCGACGAGGACCGTCGTCTCATGTCCATAATCGCTGTCCAGGGCCCGACAAATTGGGTCCGTATCCTGAGCCTGCTAGGCTCCAGGCTGCCCAAACAGTGCCGTGAGCGTTATCATCAGAACTTGAAGCCCTCCCTCAATCGTAACCCCATTACCGCCGAGGAGGGTATGCTCATTGAACAGCTTGTGGCCAAACACGGTAAGAAGTGGGCTGAAATCGCCAGACACCTCACAGGCCGTAGCGACAACGCTATCAAGAACTGGTGGAACGGTGGCGCTAACCGCAGGCGCAGAGTCAGCCATGTGGCTGCGCTGAACGACCAACCGCCATCCTCAGGCTCCACTACAAGCGCCCAAACCCTCTCGGGCGTTAACTCAGGCTACTCCTCCACCGTGGGCTCCGCTCCTAACTCGGCCCCTGTCTCGGCACCGGTGTCGAACTCGGGCTCGTTTTCTCACCAGTCCGTGCCCCAGTACGCCCACTTACGGCCCAATCTCACCCAGTCTGTCTCTCCACAGCGCTCCCGCCATAACTCAATGGGCGCTGTGGCGCTGCAAGAACACCACCAAGTGGCCCAGTATCCAAAAGTTCCGCAATTCTCCCAAATTCTGTTCAATACGTCCATGTTCAGTGAACTGGATAAACGGCCCCAGCTCAACGGCGTGCCTCCGCTGGGCCATGGCCACGGCCACTTTCCGCACCTTTCCAAGGCGCCAATACGCCTGGCCAGCATTGACCACCCTACACTTCCGCCACTTTTGTCCAACTTCAACAAGCGTGTGGGCGAGGAAGACCGCCGCCACTCTTTGAACGCCACGACCTTACCACCCAGCACGCTGCCTGCTCTGTACCTGCAACATCCACCTCAGCAAGCTCATCCGCTCAATAATAATCTCACCAACCTGCCCACAATAGGCGTGTCAAACAGCTCTCACGGCGACAGCTCCCACTACAGCCTGCCCGTGTCCTACGTTTCTCGCCAAAACTCCTTGAGCCACGACTACAAACATTCTTTTGCATTGCCGCTGGCCACCTCGAGCACTCACCCTCTGAGGCGCTCTTCGGTTGCCCCGGATTTGTTCCCAAACCCAATGGCTGGCCATGGGGCTGGGGACATGTGGATGAAGCGCAACCAGCTGCTGATCCTGCTTCACTCGCCATCCATAATGCCCATCAACTCAAACCCAAACCGGCTTTCCGTCAGCAGTGCGCTGGGGCTTCTGGACCAAGGTAAGCCTCTCAGTAACCTTTCCAACGCTTCCAATGCCGCCAATGCCGCCTCATCAAACGACGCAGCCTCCTCCGCGTCCAATAGCACCGCGCTAGCGCCCGGCTCGGCCTCTGGGATTCCTTCTTACAAAAACCTCCTACGCAGCATCAACAGCACACCAATTCCGGAGGATAAGGACCAGGATGCTGCTGAGACCGACCGGATCAAGGTGCTGAACCTAATCGAGTGAGCTATGTAGTATATTTCATTAAACCTCCACTGAGAATAACTTATAGTGGCTGGTTCCCTTTAGTTCTTGTTATGTGCCACGCTTTAACTGTAGGCAGTGCATTACCTCAACAGCCAACCCAAGCGTGTCGGCATTATGTTGGAAAGTGACGCTCTCTCCTTCCTATTCTCATGACGCCTGTTGAGCGGGAATCGAGCATATTCCCCCCACCTCAAAGTCATCCAACCACCATTGCCTTGACAAACGTGCACACCTATTCCTCGACATGCCCCTTGACTCTATTAGTTGGGGCAAGCAAGCATGCTCAAATTCTCCTTGGCACTCTTTGTAATGCCCTATGCCCAACCTTTCATATGAAACAACTATTGGCTTTTGTGAGCCAAGCACAAGTCAAAAAAATGTCAATGTCGCTTATGTGCTTTGGTACGTGGATAATCGGTTCACCGCTAGGGTCCCCGAACCCAAAGCCGACATTTCGATAATGGGCTGCCAAGAACGGAATAAGGCTAATTCTTTAAACTTCCGTGTGTTGCTCCGGAATTGTCCCCCTCAGGGTCCTCCGGAGATAGCTATCGGCTTTGCAAACCGTTTGCAGCCACCACAAGCTTGCCCAATGGTGCGCAGCAGGGCTCAGCAATGATATGCGAAAGGAACCACACAACCAGTAATTTCCTTTTTCAGAATCACTTGTTGGCATCGCTTGCATGACACCACAAAATCAAGATTTTGTTGGATTTTCAAAAAAGCCGATTAAAACCGATATCGGGATAACACCGATGCAAATGCAGTTTCCCGAATTATTTTAAACTATCGATCATGATCGGCAGCGCTGTTGATCCCAGGGGAGCTCGGTCACCTCATTATTCCTGTGTGAGAAACTCACTCTCCCTCCCATGATACATCTCCCGTTGATACACAACAGGGTGCTCATTTTTAGTATCGATGATATTAAGAAACTTCGACAGATAGGTATTGTCGGTGTGCTTGTGGGCACGCTCCCGAAAGCCCCCCAGCAAAATGTGTTTCTAGGTGTACCTCTTCAGCTCAGCATCTACGAGGTACTCTGGCTTATCGACAATGGTCATGCCATTCTCATAGATAATAAGGCCTATCACGATCAGCTTACGGAAGAGTCAACGCCGGTGGAGATGAACGAAGGCTCTATCGTTCGTTTGGCAGGGTCCTCCAACTCACATTACGTCATAACTCCTAATGAGCTGCCAAACGAGATCGGGCTTGATGCCTCCAAATTCGAGGTAAACAGAGCGGAGTTCTTAGCCCGCCAGACTACCATTGAGGATCGTTTTGCGGAAAAGTATGAAGCTTTCTCGAAACTTCGCTCAATAGATCATTACATTATGCCTGGTCTACGTTTTGGCGGCACTTTTGTCAGTTACCCTGGAGACCCATTGAGATTCCACTCACATTTGATTGTCAAATGTGTAGGGCAAAAGGAAGACATTAAACTAATAGATTTGGTCACGGGCGGACGTTTGGCGACGGCTGTCAAAAAAGCATGGGTACTCATGTCCCCACTGGAAGAGAAGGAACAACCTGAAAAGACTTTTTCGATTGAGTGGGCAGGCTTTGGTTGAATCTTATAGAGTTATGTATTATAATGTTACCATACAGTTGGAAGCTCGGGGAGCGGACCATGGTCAGTTCCATTGATGCTGGCCAACTCTTCGATAAGCTGATCGATCTCAGACCAATCGCTAGTGTTCTCCTCATAATTCTCTTGATCATAGGTGATCTTTCCATGATCAGCGTCAACTCTCCGCTTATAAGTGAAATCTTTGGTAGGTCCACTCACCTGAATGCTATATCTAGTAGTCATTTTTGCGTCCCCATAATTACCATCCGGTCTCAAGTGAAATACCGAAGTTGCATTTTGTCCAATGGCACTCGCCATGACTCTGTGGTCATCGATATCCAAGGTCGTAGCGAGAGAATAAACGATAGAAACGTCCAAGTCAGTAGCATTGGCAGTACCATTCTGATTGGAGTCTAACACCAATGGATAACTCAAAGAGACATTGGTTTGATGAATTCTGTCCTCAAGGTCATACTTGTTCAGAAGAATGAACGACTTAGCATTATGGCCAGTGTGGACAACGCTTTGCTTGTTACCCAGGTTGAGATATTGCTGAACGTTTGAAATCTCTCCTTTGCTGAACAGACTGGCCACCGTACTCAACTCTTGACCGTTGGCAAGCTGTAATGTGAGTTCACTGGTCAATTGACTCTCCAAAATACCGTTTACGATTTGCAGCAAAAAGGTCTTGCGTCCGAAAGAGATCAGGTTTCCTCTTGTTCTGTTACCGATGTGCAAAATCTGGCCCGTTGCTTGAACCACATCCTTGTTTTCGTAGGTCAACAAGTTGACACCAGTAATCCAGCCGTTGCCAACACCAGAGTGACCTCCGTCAACCTCATCGAGCCCATTGCTAACGTCAAAAGATATAGTATGGTTGCCTCCTTCCCATAATAACGGCAACAATCCAGAGACATCAACATTGATGCTGGGAAGGCCAAAAGCGTTGATTGCAACGATAGGTGACCAGAAAGAAGGCGAAATACCACCTGTGAAAATGAATGGCTGCTGAGTTTGCGAGGCGATCTTCTCGCCATCAAAGAATACGTTAACGATACGCAAGGGACCATGTCCTAACAAGCCGCTATCAGATCCGAAAACGTCCTTGTACTTGTCCAACACGTTGGTGTACCAGAACTCCTCGTCTCCATTTCCACTGGCAAAGATATCCAACTGCAACCTAGTTGTGTTTTTCGAAACCTGGGGTAATTGGATGGTGAGGCGTTCCTCCCCGGAAATCGTCGTGATAGGCGGTGTCTTGGGATCTTTCTCTTTTATCAATGGATATACCTTATCGGCAGGCTTTCTGATATCGAAATATCGGTATCTGGGATCAGAGGAAGCAGCGTTCACAAGCACCTGGCCGAACTCTGCATCTGAGGCGGCGGTTGCGTCATAGTAGTAATCAGCATACAATTCGACGTGAGGCTTGCCAGTGTAGCGGTCAGTGACAACATTATCCAATTGGAATAAGACATCGCTCTCTTCCTTGAAAAGAGCAAGGTACTTCGATACATCCTTGCTGAAAACAGAGAAGACAAGCGATCCGCCTGGTTCAATGGTACTGGTTCTCCACACTTCTGCGCCGCCAACAAAGAGATGACCCAATCTGTCATACTGAATGCCAGTGATGTTGACATGTAATGTCAAAACCACTCTATTGAACTCGACATCTGGCGGAGAGTATTGAGCAAACAGTGGGTGTCCCCACAGGTCGAAAGTGTCATTCACCAAGAGCTGGGTGTGCAATGACTGCCCATATCTCTCGCTAGGAACGAAGGGATAGGAGACCTCAATTATCTCATTTGAAGGTTCCTTGTTGGCAAACAAAACGCCAGCCTTAGAACTAAGGCCGACCTTCGGCTTTGATATGTCATTGGCACCTGATACGAGGCTTGGGTTGAGGTTGGATGGAAGAGAAAACTTCAGCACCTCGTACAACGCAAAAACCGTTGTTATTGCCATCCAGGCATAGAAAATGACAAGCCTGAAATTCATTGGCTTCTTCCTGTTCCTTTCCACCTCTTTCTCCGAAATCGATTGTTCGTGGTCCACATTGAGTGGGACCCGGGACAGGCCATATATAAGCCTATTCCACACGGAACTGTCACGGGCAAGATGCTTACTCATGTTTACGTTTCCGTTGCAAATCGCTTAAAATTCCAGGAGAAACGCAATGCCGTGTAGACGCGTGGAGGTGGTGGCTCCTTATCACTGATTAAAACGGTGTGGTGCAGGGGGGTGGCGCAAATGTCGCGAAAACCTCGCTTAAGCATACGTCAAATCTACATTTCGCAGGCATGTGCGTGTCGACACAGAAAATAGGCCAATGTACTATACAACAACTCCCTCAAGGCGTCCCTCGCTCTGCTGCTGGTCGGCGACATGCTCCAAGGTACGGTCAAAATAAACTTCAATCAAGCGATAGAGCCTCGTCTCTTTGTCGTCCTCTGTGCGGGACGAATCTTGACCTTGGAGGTTGGCTAAATTATTGCGAATCAAGTCGATAAGCCCGTTGATGTACCGCGCGTCAATGTACCAATTACCGTAGATGTTAAAGACGATGCAACGATTAAGGATTTCGACAAAAAGCTTTAACAGGAGGAAAGGATCCATGCTCGAGTCGGCCACACGGAGTGCTTTTTGAAGACATTCAAGAACTCTCTTGCCATCTCTGTATAGCTGTGTCTCGACCTCAGCATCAGAATGATCATCTTTCTCGCTCTCCTCATTTTTGTTCTCCTGCTCCTGTTTCCCTTCTCCGTTGGCTTCTTTAGCAGCTTGTGAATCATCCGTGCCGTCCTCGACTTTAACTGTGGGTGACTGCCCCTCGATCAACGAGTCGCACCACCACCACAAATGAGCGCAGTTATAGATGGCTCGGCACTGATCCTGCTTCTTAAGCAACTTTGAGCCATAAAGAGTGACCTTGGTAATTAATGACTCGTAGTTTTCCTTACTGAAATAGCGCAGGTTCGCCAAAGCATTTGCAATTGCTAAAACCAGCTGGTAGGAGATTGATCCACCCATCGGGTCTTGGGGACTTGGCGCATTTTTCACAGGTTTGCTGACAGAAAGATTCTCTTCGTAGATGACGAAACTTTGATGAAAGAGCTCATATGCAACGGTTTCTTGTTGCAATTGGTCTGCTATAGTGGCCGCATTGAGGTACAACTTGAGAACCAAATCTGAGTAGTACGTTTGATGATGTTGATAGAGTTCCTCAATCACCACTGACAAATTCTTGAAGTTGTAGATTATCAGCTGGTCTAGTTGAGCTCTAGATTCTGTATCCTTTGATTTTCTTTTGGCATTCTTGTATCCCGCAAGACGCAAAAGGTTAGTTATCATGGAAATCAAAGTTGGATAAGTGTAGATGATGTTTTCGGGGCATCTGCTCAAAAACTTCTTCTTGATGTAAAAAAGGCTAGACAAAGCATCAGTAGCATCTGCGTGGGATACCAAATGTAAACACTTGCACAATTTTTCTTGTCTTTGCAAAAAGTCTTCGCTTACAACCTTTTCTCCGCCTTCAAGTTTAATGGACTTTTTGATTCCCAAATCTTTTTGGGTATCCACTTTGGAGTCTTGCTCTTCAATGAGAACAATGAAGTAAGCGAAAACGTCATCGATTTCCTCGATACTTTTCATGGAACCAAACTCGGGCAGATGAAGAAGTTTATCGATGATAACAAGTGAAAGCTGCCTTTTGAAGTGTGGGTCTGGGATCTGGTCGTAAAGTTGCTTGAAGTTTTCCAATTGAAGTAAGCTCTTGATTGAACTCAGCTCATTGACAGGTTCAACAAGAAGCTCGTACCACAAGCTCGATTCAGACCTGTCGTTGGTCTCTTCGTCTCCAGTCTTCCGCTTCTTCAAGGTTTGCATTGCAAATTCAAAAATCTTGTTGAGGTTGAAATAGTTTTCAGGTTGGAAGTTAAGTGTGAGTTTGATCATTGACCGAAGAATCAAACACATCTCCTCCGATGGAACGGAAGGTTGCAACTGAGAGAGGTTGTCGTAGAACTCCCAGAATGATTCAAAAACCAGCTCAGCGTTGACAAATGGCTCAGATGTACTTGATTCGCCTCCTTTTCCAAAACTTTCCGTATTTTTCGTGGCTTCGTTTAGATCGGACTCGTAGATGAGGTTTGTGACAAAACGATCAACCAAGTTCGAGACCAACTCAGACTTTTGCAAAGCTGGGTGTAGTTTAAGAAACACATTATTGAGTAAATCATCGATTGTGGCAAAGTGAAAGTTGTCTGGAAATATCTGGATCAACACATCTATAAGGTAACTTTGTGCAAGATGATCCTTGCATTGGATGATTTGCTCTGTGATGTTAGGGTAAATTGTTTCTTTGTAGAAGTTCTCGCCAAAATCCTTTTCCTTGGCTGGGAAGTCGTCTATTGCCTGCGAAAGACGAACCAAATTAGAACCGACTAGAACTTTAAGTTCTTTCCTTTCCCTATATCTTAATTCTCGCTCGCTAGAATGGCCTTGATGTTGAAGCCTCACCCAAAGTTTGTTCATCTCGATGAAGTTTGTCATGAGAAAGTCCACAGTGTCTTCAAAATCCTCTTCCGTTTCAATCGGTAAAAGATCCTTTGACCTTTGCGATAAGTAGTTCCTTAGAAAAAGACCTCTGATCGGGTGTTGGACTCCCTTACACATCTCGATCATGTCCTTCATTATCTCCTTTGTACTTTCACTGTTGGTCGACATATACGTCGTACCAATAACAATCATCATATATAACCTGGGGACGATGTTGCCCAGGTACTGAACCAATTCGTAGAGATCCGCCAAGAATGGAGGGTCATCTTTCTTCAATTGCTTCCGTTCATGCGATTGTTTTAGATACGTTGAAAGATACTCCAAGGAATCGAAGACCGCAATGTACAACTCGTAGTATTCTTTAGGAGAAAGCTGAGAAGTTCTCAATTCATTGAGGAAATTCAGGCAATACTTCAATGCTGGGAGAAGGTGGCCTTCAGCGAGGCTATCCTTCATATTTTTCGTGTGAAGCCGTATATTGCTCAAGCATTGTTGAACATTGGCGTTCCCGCTTGACATTGGTGATAAGTTGCGGCGTTGTTCGGTAATAGAGACGTACGCAGAAAGCACCAAGTGGATTGTGAGATCTCACCTCCGTGCACCCGGCAGTCCTTATCAGTGGCAACGTCAGACAAGATCTACTAATTGGTAAATAAATTCAGAGTCATATTAAAGGTACAAGAATCATGGTATTGTTGGCTGAAGAGACCAAAATTGTCAACGTTGTATTTTTTTGGTGAATTGCATTTCGCAAGGTTGATGAAATATCTCACTCCGCACTCAAAATGTCTGATTTATAACTAGATTTCGCAAGATTTTGCAATCTAGTTTTCAATTACTCAAATCTTCAAAAATCGTATAACGATTCTAATTGATCTAACTGATAACTGATTCTTAAGTTACTTGAAGAGGGCTTCATATTAAATTAGATGATATCATCAATGAAAATGGTTAGATGGACTTTACTGACTACATTTAGCTGACTCACTTTACAAGGTTACATTTATGGTCGTACAAATCGTTAAATAAATTAGTTGTCTTCGATCTTAAGACGCTTCGAAACCACTCAAATCATGAATGACCATACCAGCCACACAAGATGACATCATGGTGACAATGAACCCACTGAACAAGGCAGACCAAATTTCCCTCGAAATGTCAGAGGATCTCTTGCCCTTACTCAAAGTATTCAAAACACCAAGAGTGATACCCATGGAACCGAAGTTGGCGAAACCGCAAAGAGCGTAAGTGGCAATCAAGTTACCTCTCTGAGAAAACTGGTTGTAAGGAGCCTCGTTAACCAACATGGAATAAGCCATGTACTCGTTTTGCATGAACTTCACAGAAATCAACTTCGAAATGTCGAGAATTTCGTTTCTTGGAACACCAAGGAAGAATGTTGCTGGATAGAAGATGTAACCAAAGATCAAGTCCAAGGTCAATCCATTAATGTTCCAGAAATTACCGAACCAGGTCAAAAGACCGTTCAACAATGCCACAAGGGCAATAATACACATACACTGCACCAACATAGTGGCGGCAGTGTAAAGACCCAAGGTTGCACCTTCAGAAAAAGACTGAAGGACATTTTGAGGCTTCTTGTTAGGGTCAGATTCCTCTGGGAAAACAACGGTTCCTCTCGAAACAGGGACCTCAGTCTCAGGGTATCTCAATTTCGAGACTGCAATTGAGCCTGGGATAGACATGATACAAGAGGACACCAATGCTTGAGCGTTCAAACCCAAACCAATGTAACCCACCAAAACAGCTCCAGAAATTGTACTAAAACCAGAGGTCATGACCTGGTGCAATTCAGCTTGGGTAAGAAGCGGTAACAAATCCTTAATCAAAATGGCAGACTCACCAATTCCAATGAAAGGAGAAGCAGAAGCCGTGATAGCCTCGGCACCGGAGATACGGAGAGTCCAGAAGAAGAACTTGGCGAACTTGCCAATGAACCACTGGATGACACCGTAGTAATAGAAGATGTGGACGAAAGCGACGAAGAAGGCCACGGCAGGCAAGACGGTGAAGAAGAACATACCAATCTGAGAAGTTTCCTCGTCGGTCAAGAAAGCCACACCGTCCTTAGCGAAGCCTAACAACTCTCTAGCCAAGGTGGAGATAAAGTTGAAAATGTCGTAACCGGCCTTGGTACGCAACACGAAAAGACCAATGATGTATTGCATTAAAATACCACCAATGACTGCGTTCCACTGAATCTTTGATCTATGTTTAGAAGTGGCCCATAAACCACCGACAGCCACAAGAATACCGCAGAAGGAGATTGCTCTATCCTCTCTTTTCGAGAACTCAATTTCCTCCGGAACAAAAGTACCGAGCAACATGGTACCGATTGTGATGGTAGCGCCAACCATCAATCTTCTAGGTCTAGTTGTGAGGATTCTCGCATAGACGATGTCAGTGAAGAAATTCCATACCTTGGCAGCGTAATGGAATATCACGTACAAGATTCTGCAATGCCATGAAATCAAACGAACCATGAGCATACCCCAAAGAACGGTGGGAATCAACCATTCGCTTCTGTGATTATCTTGAATGATGATGGAGAGCCACCAAGCAGTGAAGAAACAACCAACTAACGTGTCAATGAGGAGTCTCCAATATGGAAATCTGGACTTCATTCTCTTCCATCTTGTGAGAGAGTTTGAGGATGCCTTTTCGGAGACAGAAGGGTCACTACGGTCTTCAAAGTTGACGTCAGCTTCCTTCTGTTCTTCGATGTCCCCTGTTATGGGAGACTTTTGAGCCTCGATGTTGGAGGCCATGCTAAAATGTATTGATGCTAAGCAAATATGGCTGAAACGCTGCTAAAGAGTTTGAAGTGATGTTTGATAAAAACACAAAGAATGGATTGCCAAGTTGGAAAAAAAAAACTCTTATAAGGCCATGCCCAGATTAGAGCGGATGTTGCAGCAAAAATTTCTTTGAGAGAGGCTTCCAAAAACGCACAAAAAAGCTCTTATCAATGCGCACAAAGAATAAAAGTTTCTTTTTCCGCGTGGCTACAACCAGTTGCCTGTCGTTAAGTCGAAATGCCTTCGTATCTTGGCGGAGAAGGTGGAATTCATTCCGTGACTCCTCCGCTACAACCATTCTCCACTTTCACAAAGTAACGGTCTTGCAAAAGTCCGGCAGGATGATACTCGGCTTTAATCCGCGCTTCAGCTAAAGCACCTTCTATGGCATCTTAACGCATTATTGATGCAGGACCGACCATTTTGCCCCATTTTTTTCGTCCTGAACGCCTTGTCTGCCTCCACTCTGCGCAGCATAAGCGGCATCTGTGCGTAGGTGCCCCTCTATTACAAGGCAAGACCCTTAGCTCGGCAAAATTTTTGAACAACAAGCCAACATACCATTTCCGTTCTGCTTTTCAAATTACCAGCCCTAGGCCAGAACATCGTAAACAACGAGGAATTCCGACTATGCGAGAACCGTCGGACCACCAAGAAATGCAAGATTTGTGCATCACACCTGATGCCTTGTGAGGCACTAGCGCAGACGGGATGCACGACCGGGACGCCCTGAGATGCCGCGGCGCCCTGTGCTGCCGTGGATCTAGCTATCAAAGTGAGACGCAGTGGGAGCAATCCTTATCAATTGTCCTTTCCGTATTTGTCCTCATTCTCCACCACATATGTCGGATCAATCTCGTTACTTAATCCCATCAACGTCTTCATTATTGCCTCGGTCGTGCCTATCATAGGTCTTATCACAATGGCCGGAGATTTCCGTGCTATCGAGGATAACTGCTCCTGGAGATTCTCTGCATTCTTGAGCTCGTGCGTTAAACCTGATAGGGATCTTTTGGTGGTTTTCAAGTTCTTGCCGAGCGCTTTGTATGCAAATTGTAAACCCTCCCGTGTAGTTGTTGGTTGATTGGAATAGAGACTAACAATCTTCTTAGCAATCTCAAGCTCCTCTTCATCCAATTCGTCATCGGAATCATCCTCGGCTTCCTTGCCGTTCTCTGTTGAGTCAAGGATTAATACCGATCCTTCCAACCCATCCAGGTCCAGGTCGTCCTCTTCATACAAGTCATCCATCAGCATTACCGAGTAGAGCTTGCGATCCTCAGTGGGATTGTCATCAAGAGGAGCACTTTTCTTCAACAATTGAGACGCTTGCATGAGGTCCCGTTTCTCATCATGCTGCTGAAGCGTACTAAACTCATTGGAACTTCTCCTCGATTTCTTTGATGAAAGGTTTGGATTCGTGGGGTCCCTTGCCTGATTGCCTTCTCCACCAACGTACTTCTCCAGACTTTCAAGAGCGTTTTGGGTTCCGGAAGCTAGCTTGACAGCAAGCTTCAATAGCTCGGAAGCCGTCGTTTTTGTCAACGACTTTGAGCTCTTTTGAATACTTTTCATCACCTGGCCATTATTTTTATACTCATGAAAAGGTATTGCGACAAGGTTTCTGAACCCCTCACCAATATTGATGATAGACTTGATCGGAGCTAGGCCTGATAAAAGACCGGCCAATTGATACTTCTGAATATAAGGTACATAAGCCTCCTTAAGAGCCTGTCCCAAGTTCGGGAATCCCAAAATACCATATAACTTCGTCTTAGCAAGCTTCAAATCTGCCGAATCAAGGATGAAGAGGTTCGCCAATTCAGCATTTTGACCCGCTCTAAACCCTGAATAATTCATTGATTTTGGCTTGTAGTCAAACTTTAATCTGATTGGGCTGATATCGAGCCTTTGAACAAAAATCGGCTCGTCCACCGGTAAATTGAACCGGTTGTCTTTGAATTGGAAAAATCTTCCCAAGAACATGAGTGTATCCTGATCCACATATAGACGCAAAGGCAAAGTTTTGATGTCCATCACGACCTCAGTAAATGGTAATTTGGGATCCGGTCTCACGTTCATCATGGTGAACTGTAGCATATATGTTCCCACTTCCCGCTCACCAATGGCATTCATGTATGTGAGAAATTTGTTCCATGATGATGAAGGTACATTGTCGAATATAGTTAAGGAATCTAGTCTTACTTCGACCTTATTCACCATCTCCTTGTCAATATCCTCAGGCGTTTCGTCGACTCTTGGGTCTCGATTGGTGTAGTTTTGAACATAGACTTCGACGTTCTCAATGTCGGCCCACACTTTATGAATCCTTGATCTCTTGAGCTTCAAGTCTTTATACTGCTTTTCAACATCAACATTGAGGCTGGGATACAACGCTTCATCTTTGGCAGTTTCCATATTTATGGCTTGCATTTCAGTGTTCATGCTTGTAACCAAATTACTGGCAGTACCATCTCCAGGCATGCCAAGGTAAATCGACTGAAATAAAATCTCGTTGACTTCATTACCCTCTTCGTCAGGGGCAGCTGAATTACTATCCGAGGCATTGAATTGTGAATTTGCCTCATTGTCGACACTTGCTGCAGAAGCATCAGGGCCTTTGTGACCACTTTTCTCATCATCAGATTTCTTCTTCAAGCGGATAGCATTGATTTTTTTCTCCATGTTCTTTACTGCTTGTCTTAAAGATTTCCTCGTCAGCTTCCAATCGTACCCATCAAAGAGGTAAATGTTTGCTTTTGTTAAATTAACGATCAAGCTCATAGGAAGAATTCTGGTGTGTGAGGCATTCTTTTCATCACGAAAGTGCTCATCCATGAAAGCTATAGAGGCGCCTGTACCTTCACTAGCTTCTTCCTCCATTTTAAGATCCGAAATAGATTGCTCAAGATTCTTGAGATGAGATAAATCCATTTTTGAATGAGCCAGTGGTTCAGAATGAGTGTCACTTGGCTTCTCTAGTTGAAGATCTTTCAACTGTCCTAATATTTCATCAGGCATTGAAAAAGGTGTATCCACTTTATACCGAAACTTCTCGGTGTCTTTGAATGTAACGGGCACCTTCAAATCGTTCAACAGCTGGATCAAAGTTTGATAAGAGTCAGCACAGAGCTCAAGAAGATGTTCGTCCGAATTGAGCTTGATATCGAGAAGAGAAATGTCACCACGTATTCCAAGTTTCTCATGCCTTGCTTTAAGGCTATCAATATCTGTGTTAACCGTGATTCCAACGTGAGTCGAGTTTGCATGACCACAACGTAGGTATCCTCGATATTTTAACCATTGTCCTGCCGAAATTTCTGACTTCAGTTCAATCGAAGTCTCATCATGGACAAGATTTCTCCAGTCATCAATCAAGAACAATGCGACATTTCTAAAGGAGCTTTTCACGTAAAATTGCTCCCTCACAAATGTGAAGTCACAGACGGCTCTCTCAGTGGCTAATTGAATTTGACTGGAAAGCCTGCCTGGATTGAGTGAAATAATGAGGTCCCAGAACGAGAACCTGAGATCCACTTTATTTTGTTGATCAGCTCCACTTGATGGGGTGGCTGCTTGAACGAAGCCCTCTGTCTTGTGGGTTTGAGATACGTTTCTCTCAAAAAGTTGAATCCAATGCGTGTAATAATGAAAGATAACTTTTCGAATCACAATATCAATAGTGCTTCCTTTTTCAGAGTTATCGTAACTCAAGACGATAACTGGGCCGGTGTCCGGGAAACGATTAACCAAAGACTCTCTCACTTTTGCTTGTTCTTGTTTGCGGACAGCTTCAATATCTCCCACAAACCCATTGAACGCTCCACCAATTTTCATAAATGCAAGTTCATTTACCAGAAGCAGCAAGTCACCAAAACGAGGAAATAAGCTCAATAGCGTGAATTCGAAACTCGTGACGTGAAGACTGAGCGATGCCTTATGTTTCATCTCACTATGGCGGAACATTGGTTTAGGTTGATGCTTTCCAAAACGCCTTTGACCCACAAACATCAGATGGCCGAGAGAAGTGGGTAGCCTGCTATCTTTCGTGGTACCTGGATTTCTTAGTGAGACATCTAATGCGTTAACCTTAGTATCGCGAGACCTTAATATCAGACTAAACGCCTTAAAATCCCTCTTGAAGACATTCATATCTTCCGCAGTCATTGATCCAACAATCTCTCCGATATGGAGATTCTTTGAACAGAAGTACCGCTCCTTGCGCAAGTGGGGGGTCGATTGTGAAACGAAGTACATCGACAAACTCTCTGAGCCAGTTCTGAAATTGATGTTTGGTATTGTCAAGCAGTGGCGAGCTTGCCCCTCCACGATAGACTCTATGAAGATGCGTTGAATGCTCAAATTGCCAGCAGAGGTGTTGAAGGTGACCGGGAACATCTTGCAAGCGAATGCGGCCCTTGAGGATATCAGGATATCAAAATGAATCGACGAAGTCTGAAGCACAAAATGAGACGTTTGTGATGATGTATCATCGTTCGGTGGACGATTCTTTGTGCCCAAACATTTTGCATCTCGCAATTGTCGTAGGCTTGTGAATAATGTACCCAAATTCTCGAGGAGAGCTTGAGTAGCCTCTGAAAAATTGAGGATATACAGCAAAGAGTCTGCATCAAGCTTGACTTGTGCTGACTTCGAGAGCAACACTGTCGTTTCTGGAGATTCATCACCGGCTTCTGGTCTGAAATATTCGAAGCGAATGTCTGCTCGTGCATGCTGAATACCGGGTGTTGACGATTCAGCATCAATTGAGACTGATGATGAACGGGAGTTCGGCTTTTCCGGAACAAAATGGAAGATCTCAGTTGACAAGCCGCCTATAATTTTAAGGATCTTGAGCGTCTCAATTCCACCAAAAACGAGAGCCTCATTTTTCAGCTTAACGTTTGTGTTATATGCTGCAATCACCAATTCATCCTCCTCGGATGCAAAGTCACCATTGTCATCAATGGCCAGGGTTAGGTTGAGGAAAAGCTCTGCGACATGTAGTTTTTCGAAGAGAGCTTCATGCTGAGGTTGAGGAGATCCCGCCAGATCCAGGACCTCCTCCAGACTGGTATTAGAAAGGCTCGAAGAAGGCCGGCTTGCATTTCGAGCAGAAGAGCGAGTCGTGGCGTGCTGCTTGCGGAGTTGGTGACTTTTGAGCTTCATGACCTTGGATATGCTGTTCACCACTAAAGAGATAGTGGGTGTCAAGGGTACTGCCGCTAAACGTACAGTTCCGACGTCAATTTGAAGATCGGTTAAGGGAGACATTCCCTCGAAGTTGAGATCCACTTCATCCACGTAAAGGAGATGAACGGGTTTGACTGAAGCTTCATTTGCAGCGACCTCGGGAGGCTTGAACGATTGAGCAGTTGCACTCATGTAAACTGAACTTGCTTCTTCATGAGTGAAGACTGTACTGCTCATCAAAGACTCTTCAGCAGACTCGTCCTCACTGCTTCTTTCATCTTGTTCACTCTCCGAGTCTGAGGCGCTCACTTCTGACGCACGTTCCACTCCATGACCTGGATCTAAATCTGGACGAAGAGTTGACACCTTCAATGACTCGACCTTAACTGAGTGCTGTCTATTAGTGGTCGAGAAGGAAATATTCTTGACAGAGATCAAGAAGTCAACCGAGTCCGACATGATTTTGATGTTGACATCCGCTATGTTGACCTGCAATCTCAGCAATGCAATCTCCAATGCTCGAGACATCACGCCCCCTAAAGCACTAGGACGTGTTTGAGAACCAAGAGATTCCCCAGACCCGCTGGAGCTCGGCTTGGACTCAGTGTCCGAATCCGATTCAGATTCCGGAACGACCGAGGAGCTGTCTCGAAGATCACTCTCAAACATAACAGTATTTGCCAAGTTAACAGTGCTTTGAGCCAACAGTACCAGCATGTTCTTGAGTTCCTGGTCGAGATCATCTATCTTGGTGGCCAATACGAGTTCAACTCCGGTAATGTTAAGATTCACACCACCAACCACGCCGCCTTTGACTTCCACAGTCTTGAGCTCACCAAATCGTAGCGTAAAGCCCGGTAGTTTACCTACCTTCTCTGGATCAAGAGATACATCCTTAAGCTGGATATTGCTTAGAGACACCTCTTCCAAGTTAGGGAGATCAATCTCCGAGAACAACAGGAGCTGCTGGAGGATATATAGAAGCAACCGCTTTTGTAGATTTTGCGGCATCCATTGCGGAGACATTCTGGAAGTAATGTGCTTTCAAGAGTACAGATTGGTGTGGTGCTTGAATAGTGGCTCTGTGTGTGCGCGATTAGATAAGACTGCCTACGTATTGGAATGCTGCGATAATGGCACAGGGATAATGCGAAAGAAGCAACTGGTAAATATTGAAAGTCTGTTGACATTGCGATAAATAATATGAAAAAAATTATTTCATTCTATAACCAAAGGGCCGAGGAGCCCAATTTGGATGCGAAGGGAAAAATGACTCCGGGGTTTCTATTTGTGTGGTATGCAAGGCTTCTGGCTGCGGAGTGGGCAGTTCGCTCACTTTCTGGCGCTTCGGTGATCCTAGAAGGTCATCGAGAGAAGGTGGCATTCTGAACGTATTTTTCTTTAGGGGTGCCTCAATTGTCTCAGATGAAATTGCTTTAAGGAGGACTGAATTGTCTCTTAAAAGGCTCATGTGAGTCTGGATACTGTCCTGTAGTGCCTCCACATCTTGAAGCCGCGAGCTGATGGGAAATTGTCCAGTAACAAGCTGCTCAATGAGGTGCTGTACCCATGGAATAGCTTGTTCTTCTTCTTGTGCTGTTAATGCGATAGCGAATCGTCCTGAGCTTTGTTGAATGAGCGCAAAGAGGAGGGAAGCCTGGAACTCACGGCCTAGTTCTTCTAGGAGTGGCCAGTAAATCTTGATTAGGGTCTTGAACTTTGTTCGCTTCAGTACATCTCTGTTTCTCTTGTCGGTGTATATGAGGCAATTAAAGATCAAGTCTTGGAGTAGATTCTGACGCTGAGCGGAGCGTTGAAGATCGGACTTGAGCTTGCGAATAACAGCATTGAGATTTTTGGAATGTCCCTCATCTTTCGACTCTGCATCCATATCAAGAGCCTGTTTCCTAAGCTTCTTGTAGACCCTTAGATTTGCAGTTGTATTGGATGATGTGTATGTTTGATGATGGTCCCTTTCGGGCACTAGAACTGCGCTCTCGACAACCTGATCCCAGTAATTCACCAGAAGCCATTTCTTAGCCTCAGCCGCAATGAGCCTCAAATGATCCAACGACGGTAGATCTTCGTGGGTGGCCATATGGCGAATCTCCACAAAAGACGATGGAAGACCAATCTCTTTAGCTAGCTTCAGGAGGGGTAGCGCAACGGATGCCAGCTGGAACGGATCTAGAAGGCCATTGACTATTCGGGTCAAACAGGAGCAATAAGCTTGCTGAAGACATTCAGAATCAGAATTTCCCATCAATTCGAGTGCTACTAGGGAAGCTGTAGCGTTCACAGCGTGAGGGACCTTTCCTCGACACAGATACATCTTCACCTTTTCAAGACCCAAGCGCTTATTGATTGCGTTCTCATGGAAAAGCAACCGCCGTAGTTTAATGAGGTCATGATTAGAGCGGTATGGGACTAGAGCCATAGTATGTGTAGCCTTGATGGTGGTTGATATGGCGATGGAGCGAGCTGATGCAGGAAATATGCACCATCGATGCAACGAGGTGTCTATTTTGCAGCCATCGCAGTGAGAAACCGACCATAATTTTGGCCATTTACTTAGAGACATTCTAGATGACTGCAATTGCCCAAGAATCAGTCCAACCTCTGCCAGGCTTTGAGCCAGACGCTTGGAACCACTTGAAGCATTTGTTGGTTGGGAAGCAGCGAAAACTACTTTGTTCAGCGGCTCCGAGACATGAACTAGGAGCAAATCGACGAAAGATCATTTCATAAATTAATCGTCTGAGATAATACGCTGAAGCTTGTCATCGAGATTTCCGATGTTGGTTCTGATAGTTTGAGACTAAGCTGTCACATCCTTAATGCCGAGCCCCACTTGGCCAACATCTACTAACAACAAAACTAAAACGAAATCAAAGGGTTTAATTTGTAAGACCGACTCTCCAAATAACGAGGCGTTGAAAGTTCGGTTTTAGTCTGTGGTGGAGGTCCAGCGGGTTTCTCGAGGCAATTGTGGTGGCTCCTTGGCGGGGTGCCAGAAGAATCAGTAAACGTGCTTTTTATTTTTTGGCGATCACCACTTTTGGAGATAGAGAGGCTTGTGTTATCTGAAATTTGGATTAAATAATTAGAGGTCGGAGATAGAGGATCACGTGAACACTCGGCGATACGCAAAGTCCAATTAGACTATCGATTTATTGGTTATAGCTAGATTATGAGCACAAATTCAAAAAAATTGTGATGATAGCGCTAGAGGCATTTTGAAGTATCTCGGTGTTTCGGGATGGGCTGATGTGCCTGGCTTAGGTGTTAGAAGGTACCCCACAGAATCGCGCGAGGACATGCATGTCTTGCTTAACGCCTTTTGCACCCATTTCAGATAACACCGAAATTATATATAATGCTCAAGATTCTAAGTTTGCTGCTTCCTTTAACGTCTCCATGTCATCCTCAGTAAGTTCCGAAAAATATATCAATTCAGAAGATAGCACGACACTTGCACCCGTGCAAGTCGCAGGTGAGGGCGACGAGTTCATAATCTTGGGAAACAAGAGATACTATCGTCATGAGCTTATGACAGCATTTGGGGGAAGGTTGATGCCCGATAGGTACTCCACGTACCCAAAACACCAATTCGGGAATGCGGCAGCTTTGGGTCTCGCTTCATTCGCATTGACCACTTTCGTTTTGGGATTGTACCTAGCCGGAGCTCAAGGTATTACGGAGCCAAACGTTGCGGTTGGATTGTGCTTCTTCTATGGTGGATTTGTCGAAGCATTTGCTGGAATCTGGGAGCTTATTATAGGTAATTGCTTCGCCGGCACGGTCTTGGTGAGTTTTGGAATGGGATTCTGGCTCAGTTTCGGAGCTATCAACGTTGAAGCCTTTGGGATCGCTGCGGCATATGGTGATGACGTCGAGCAGCTTAACAGTAGCATCGGATTTTACCTCATTGGATGGGGCATCTTCTGCTTCATGATGCTCATGTGCACCCTCAAGTCCACTTTGATCTTCATGTCCTTGTTCTTGACCTTGGACATCGCATTTTTCGTTTTGGCTGCTCACTATCTCACAGGAAGTGCCAGCTGTTTGAAAGCAGGAGGCATACTCTGTGTTATACTGGCTTGTTGTGGATGGTATTGTGCTTTCGCTGGAGTCGCCAACAAACAAAACTCATACTTTTTGCCTAACGCCATTGCGCTCCCTGTCATTGGCAAATAAATGACAGATATATTTATAATTTATGCTGAGTGTATCAGTCTGAGTAGTTCGTTCTCTTCGTAAGAAAGCACACGCTGGTTGTTTCCTTGGAAGTACGGGAACTTTGCATTAAGTAGCACATCAGAATCCTCGTTAACTGGGGGCTCATGGGCCCCAAATGCACTGTCCCAACTTATCATTACAACACCCAATAGAACGCCGATCAAGCCTAGTACCACAAGGAAGAGCTGTGGTATGGTCATCAAGTGTTTCAGAAGGAGTTCGTCGTACAACACACCATTGAACAAGTTCACCAAATTGTACACCAAAAAGCATAATGGGTATAAAATGGAGGTTGAAATATGGGATAAGCCCAAGTTGAAGGCAACGAGCTGCATAGCCACAATTGTGAGTGTGGCAAGAAGGAGTAACACCGAAGTTACATAGGTAGACAGGGATTTCGGTGTTTCCCGCTCGATAAGGGTTGCAACCATAACATCAACAATGGATTTAGCGAACAAAAATGTATGGGCTGTCAAAGTCCCGCTTATCACCCCAAAAAGGGTACCCTTGAGAAGAGTAAGTTGTGTGGCTGCCTTCTTGCTGTTTCTAGAAATTCGCTTGCCCTTTTTGTGCAATGAGAGCTGGTGAATTCGTCTTGAGAGGACAAAGTTTATCCTGATCAAAACCAAAATGACAACAAATGTGAAGAGCCACCACACCAAGAAAGTGGGTCTCCGGAACTTTTGCAAAACAAGTCTGAATCGTTCATCAGTGTCGATATCACCAAGCAGATCTCCATCGGCACTTCCATTGTAGGCGATGATAAAAGCACCAACAGATATGATGCCTGTGCCCAACATAAGCTTATTCGTGAAACTCTCGCCCGGCAAGAGCATGCTGCTGAAAATGGAGTTGAAAATTAGCCCTATACTCTGCAATGGAGATAGAATAATGAGCGGTAGTGTCGTCAACTGGACTATTGAGCCAAACACGTTGGCCAAAATGAACATCAGGAATCCTGTTAGCCAGAGATGTCTCCTGTAAAGATGCGTGCGTCTGCTAGCCTCATAATCATGATGCGGTTGTTGGGAAGTTGAGCCACGGTTATCCATTGGTATGCTGATATCTATCGGATCTGCGCTATCGAGCTCGAGATCGTCTCTATGTTCAAGTATAATAGGAATGACATGACTCTTTCTTTGTAGGGTAATACCCAAGGACTGGATTGCGGACAGCACAACGGCAGCAGTACAGCCCCAGAACACCGTGGCCTTTGTCATAACGGATTCTAGATAGGATCTTGACTTTTAAGGTAGTGCGTGATAAAATTCTTTTGCGGGAACTAAATATAAAAAAGTGCACTGCCCGACGAGAACCTGGCGCACACTATCTTGATAAGTTCAGGTACTGCGCCTGTCAATCGCGTATGTACTCTACCGAAAACGTAAATACTCCCCGGCAGATATAAACAAAATGGCATTACGAAAAGCCGTGGATAATGTCATAGAACAGTTGAATTCAGAAGAACCTAAAATTGTGGAAAAAGGCATACATGATCTCGAACAGTTGCTCAGATCATTAGCTCCGGCAATACAAAAACTGCATTCTTCAGGGTCCACAGATCTGAAGCTAGTAGCATTCCTAGCACTCCAGGAAAACTTTCAGCATAACTTGGCCAACGAGCTTCTAGCCGCTTACAAAACTCTCCGATATGAGAATACAAACACTTCGACATGGAATCAGCTAAATACTGCCATGATGGGGCTCCTATTGATTCACCCGGAGTCGAGAAACATCTTCAGCAAGAAAGCTAACATGCTGCTAATTCTAAGTTTTCTAGAACCAGACAACACGGCTTATTCGTTGGAAAGATGTGCTTCCTTTGTGTCTTTACTTATTCACATATTGTTGCGGAACCTCAAGAACATGCGGGTCTTCGAGGCATGTGGAGGCTGTATGGCCATTATACGACTCCTACAACTCTCTCCTGAAAACGAGAATGTAGCTGGAGAGCTCGCTAACATCCAACAAACGCTACATTTCAAGGTCGTTGAGTTTCTTATCTTCTACATGACTGATGAATCCGAATTGAAGGACGGAAAAGCGCCCATGCGGACAGTCGCAGAGAAAGCTGGCTACATTAAACCACAGTTTCCAGCAATTGAGAATCTCATTGAAAACTTGAACGATCTCACGACTCAAAAGTCCAGAGACACCCCTCTTTCGAGTTAGTAACACCGACTCTGCTTTCAAATTCATAGACCCATGAACCACCAAAAATACCAGTTATAGACTCAAAAATAAAATATGCATTCAATCCCTAGCATCTGTTTGACTGATTACAACCGTAAAGACTACTGGCGCGCGGACTGACAGTGAATCAACAGTTTACTACTCTCCATCAGATGTACACACACATGGAATACCTACAAAGATGCTTCTTCAAAGCGACCAATTGGAACGAAGATAATATTTTCAACAACATAACAGCAACATCGAGAGCTCTCCTAGATTTCCAGACCCCCAATGGCGCTAAACTAGATGTTCTGTCTCGGGCATCAGACTACCTGGCGCTGTCCCTTACACTCCTGAACTACGGGTCTATCAACGGTTCCATAGCATACATGTACACGTCTGTACCGCTTCGAAATGCAACGGGAACAAGGGATGTTTCGTTACAGGACGCCATCGCTGGATTTCGTATAATAGAGCCCTACCACCATATCTCCGAACGAAACAAGAGCCCGAAAAACGATAAGGCTTCGATGCTATACGGACGAATGTACTTCCCAGGATCTGTCCTCGAAGCTATGCTCATCAAGAAACTCTCGAGACAGACACAGCTCCTTATCAAATGTGTCAATAACCCAAATTTGAAGAGAAATGGTACAATGATCATGTACCTCCAAAGAAACACCCCAAGATTTTCCCAGGAATACATTTACTCTACTAATGAGGCACTCTTTGGGTTTAGGTGCCTATATAATTTTGGCAATAATCGCCCCGCATCTCCTCCGTTGATTCCCAAATTCGACAATTCTGTCGTATCAATGGGTGCCGAATTTTGGTACGCTGCTATGACGATGAGTCCTGGGCTTTCAACAGCATTTCGATACTCGACACGGTCCACATCCACGGGCAAACCACTCACAATGACTCTCTCATGCAACCCTATCTTGGGACATATTTCATCCACATATAATGTCAAGACGTCTGTTGCCTCGACTGTTTGCTCGAAGTATGATTTCAATTGGTACTCATACGCAAGCAATCTTTCGATCGGCTTTGAGCTCTATAATTTTTCCAAACCTTCGCCAAAATCGAATCGCAGACGCTCAGACCCAAGCATTCATCATGATAGTCTTGCGCCACCCTTTCAACTGACAGCAAACTTAAATGAAAGGTTGATCCTTGCAAACTCATCCTATAGGCCTCCAGAGGGGAGAAGTATCTTGAATCCCATGCCTCCACAAAACGCAGGAGAGCTCACGACCTCAGATTTGAGCCGTCTTCGAAGCGAGCAAGAAATCCAGAACCAGACTGTAATGACGGCATTCCAGAGTCTAGTTAGCGAAAGTAACTTTTCCTCCGTCATCAAGGCCTCCACTAGCTTGAGCGACAGAATGCTCAAATTATTGTGGGTGGGGCGCTACAAAGAGTTCTTGGTAAGCACTGGTGTGAAAATTAACATTAATCCCATGAGCAACACACCAGAGTTCAGTAAGTTTGGCATCACTTTTTCTTATGCATCTTAATATACCTATCTCCAGGACAGTTCTTGTAGCTTGACCCAGAGGACCCAAGAGTGTGTACACCCGTGCATCAGACAAGTGAAAAAATCAAGAGCGAGAAATTGAAAAGATCGATTTCTTCAAGGGCCAGGAGCATGAAAAATCAGCAATTTTATAAGCTATTCAAAGACTCCAGGATTGCCCAGGTAGCAACCCCTTTGAGCAAAACTCTCAGAGGCGCTGATCTGGCTGCCCCAACCCATCAAATCCTTTTTGCACCTAAAGGCAGTTCGTCACGCTCTGAATATGGTATCAAGTCAACCTTGCCAAAACAAGTGGGAGTGTCTCATTTTGTCATGAATGCCATGGACACTTCCAACAATATACCAGATGTTGAAAAGTTTTCGAGTCCTCACTACAACAGATTGAAGTTCCAGGAATCTGGTGTTGTCTTGAAGAAACCTTCCAACAAAGCCAACCCTCTTTTTGCATGGGATACCTCCAAAAGCGTCAACAAGTCTGTTTCTGAGGCGGACAGTGTGTTGGCAGACTTAAACCTTGGTTCTAAGTCAAACATGCGTGACGTCAAGGCTCTCCTCAAAGCCAACCCTGCTCTTGCGAAACAATTCAAGCAGTGGTTGGTCAAAAGGTCTCCAGAATCCATTGTGTTCAAAATCCCAGCCAAGCTAGAACAGCTTTTGAAGGAGTTTATTACCTCTTCAGAAAATGTCATCAAGCGCCCATCATCTTTAACCGACATGAGCAGAAAGTTTGGTAAGGCCTCTAGAACTGCATCCCCTAGGGCTGTTCAGGGTACAGCAGGTCTTTCATATAATCAGAAAGGGCGCCTTAATAATACTCCAAATGGTATTAAGCATGGGGTCATCGCTCCTGGTCGTCTCGTTGATAATAGAGAAGCCGCTATTGGCGGTTTCGTTGCATCCGTGAACGAGAGAACAACCATTCTTCAAAACAACTTCATCAATAATGCGCCTGGTAAGCACGCCAGACAGTTCGTGCTTCCGTTCAAGGTCAACGAGGCCGAGCTCACACCATACGGTGGTGTTAGAATGTACGCTGATGGTGTTAGAGTGGGTTCTTGGATTCAGAGAACTGAGAGTGGACCATCTTATGCTAACAGATCAAACTACGTTGCCTCGAACCCTAATTTCGGCAGCCTTTCTGAAAGAAACAGCAGAGATGCCGCTGCATTGGAGAACTTGTTGGGCTTGGTCTCCAAGAATAAATCTTAAATGTCCGTTCCCTGTATATATTTAAACGATTATTAAGACTTGAAAAAAAACTCCTGATTTATGCTGTGAATTGTTTCTCGGCCAGTATTGGCGCCGAACTTGGAATGCCAGTGGAAGATACAGAGGAAGGAACACTGCCACCTGCGAACTGCGGAGGTGGCATACCAGAGGGCGACTCATCCTTAGGCTTCTTGGGTCTTGGATTTTTGAATTCCCGTTTACGTTTCTTTGGCTGCTCCCGCTCAATACTCTGGGGCATAACTCCAGTCATCTTTTTCTCTTCCAGAATGACGCTTTGTCTCAAATCCTCTGCAACTCCCTCATCTAACTTAGCATCAACCTGGTACCAAAGATGAAATGAGCTGACTCGCGTTCCAATCTTGAGAATCTTCTCCATCTTCTCTTGCACGAGTTTCATGGGTCTCATACTATTGACCACAATAGGAACGAACTTTTCAGGAATGCCATGTAGAGTGAAGGAGTAAGTCGTGAAGCGAACCGGTGGCTCTTCGGGCTTCTCCAAAGGCTTTTTCCTCCTTGGAGGTGGGGCCCTCTTGCTTCTTCCACTCCTCGATGATCTTGCTGGTAGTTCTTCTGGTTCTTCCTTGATTGCCTCGGTGGTTTGGGACTCATCATCTTTCTTCTCACCTTCTTCTTCTTGTCTCTGCGCCTTCTCTTCCTCCTCCCGCTTTTTTCTTTCCTCTTCCTCCTTAGCACGTACTTCCTCATCATACTCGGCAAGCTTTTTTTCGTAATTCTCAACATCTTCAATGTTGTGTATCCAAATATTACTTACAAGCACATCCCTCACACCAGAGCCATCCTCTAACGTGATGGGGTTGGCAGGTGGGAGAACTTCGCATATGGAATCCCTTGGAATCACGTATCTAACGTTTGGATTCTCAAGAAACTCAAAAACGAGTGTGGCATTGTGTAAATATTTTTCCTGGAAGGCTGTAAGCTTCAACGGGTTGTTGAATCTTGGCTTGGGAGGACGCGGAATAGCGTATTGCTTGGGAGGATATGGTCGTGGGAAGTTAGGTGGAAGTGGTAAACCTCTTACCAAGTAAAGTTCAGCGTGATGAGGTTGTGGTCCCATCTGCTTCGCCTTTTCGATGTATGTCTTGAACAAGTTTATTTGATCCTCGGAGGCCGTGCCCTTTGCAACAACTTTCATGAGATCATTAAGTGAAAGCTCTATCTTCGCAATTGCATTAAGATTGGATATCATGATTGCATTATCAACTGTCGTCATGTCCACAGCACGAGGTGGAGGTGGTCGAGGAAAGCCACCGGTTGCAACTCCGGAAGGAGGAGTTGCCGTATTAGGTTGTGAGCCGGCAGCAGGGGCAGGACTTGCTGATGACGTGGATGAAGCAGGAGGAGGTTTCTGATTTGTTGAAGGGGTGTTTTTCTCAGGCAGTTTCTTTGAATCTTCATTGTCTTCTGAAGATTTTGATTCGTTCTTTGACTTTGTTTCTTCCTCGGGGTTCTTTTCTTTAGTCTCTGCATCCTTCGAATCCTTTTTGGACAGCTTCGCTTCGACACTTGCAGCCTTCGCTTTGCCCCTTGCCGGTCCTTTTGTATTCCGCTTTTGGGGAGAGCCCTTCTCTTTAACGCTGTGTTTGGTTTCATCAGTCTTTTCACTAGTTTTCTCCTCAATTTCCTTCTTTTTGTCCTCCGTATCCTCCGTGTCCTTTTCAGGGTTCGTATCCTTTTCAGGGTTCAGATTTTGGCCATTGGCCCCGCTTTCCGTATTGTCATTCTTCTTGGGAGGCTCGCTTGTCACAGGAGGTTCATCTGTGCGACTGGGCTGTGTTGGAGGAGTGGGCATGGGCGCTGGTACCGCTGTAGGAGCAGCACCGGGGAGAGGACCAGGAGGAGGTGGAGCAGTCATGGGCGGCTGACCATATATAGGTTGAGGCATAGGTCCTGGAGGCGGTCCTAGGGCTTCCTTTCTCATGAGTAAGTCAGATCCGTCGGATATTTGAGATATTTCAGAAAGAGCCTTTGACTTTTCAGAACGGGCGTCCTTAGCAATAAATATACGGATCTCCATTGAGTGAGGTCCCAAGGACAAAGTGGCCTCGGACAACTTGGACATAACATCTCTTGCATTCACGTCCCCACTAAGAATAGGCGTCCTAGTTTTTGCCTCAAGTGAATTACTAGTAGCTTTGGCGAATCGACGCCTCGTTTCCCTTTCTTTCGCAGGTTGTGGTCCTTTCTCCAATTCTGCCAACTTCTTCGCATAGGCGGTTTGTTTCACCCAATATAGTTTGAACATAGGCGCATGGAACACGTACGTGTTTCTCGATCTAATGAGCGAGTTATATAGCACAGCAGAATCCTTCAAAGTGAGGGGATTTTTCAAAACATCCTCATAATGACCGTGTGGTGGTTTGTTGTAAGATATCGGTAGACCTTCAACTGTCTCGAAGGGACGAACAATCTGTTTGTCCAATAGCCTCTGCTCTGCCTCTATTTCTTCTCGTTTAGCCGTAGTGATACGGCGTCTCATACGAGGTGGCATATTGTACAGTTGATGGCGATAGATGTAGAAGAACTCTACTACCTAGTTCACTTACTCTAATCATGTTTAGACACGTGACCGAGATCATGTGTTCAATTAACTATATGATTGTCTCTCTTGTAAGCTGCTTTCAAGGGCATCCAAGCCTTGGCTGAAAAGTTTTAGAATCAGCTCCAATTCCCCGGTCAATTTAGCTTTAGGGAAAGCATCACTAAATAAGTCATTGTTGATTGTTGGAATTTGTGGGAATCTTGGAAGCTGCTTCGCACTAACTGGAGTGGTGCTTGCAGATATGCTTGAACCTCCACTGACCGAGTGAGAGGGATGATTTCTTGTAACAAAATAGTTTCCGCCAGCGTTAGAAGAGCTTATGGGCGCAGTCTTTGGCCCCAGCATTGCTGAAATTTTTTTCTGAACGGAAGCCTGTTGCCTCTGTTGCAAGTCTCTCACATCTAATGGCTCACCTAGCTGTGTATCTTTTTCAGCGACTGGAGTCATTGACGTAACATTACCCACAAGGGCAGGGTTGATGCCAAACTGATTGATATTCTCGGAATTTATGTGGCCTGTTGAAGCATTGTTGAGTATGCCCTTTTTCTCCGCATCCTCGCTGGTCAACGCGGACATGAGATTCACAGAGGAACTGGGAACAGGCATTTGAATTCTTAGTGATGGCTTTTCTCGTTTTGACTTTGCTTGACCATGGTTTGTGCCAGACGGCACCTGTGAATTTGCAGTGCTCGTGTTGATTTCCTTGCTAGGCTGCGACACCTTTTCACCATTCACCTTGGAATTGATTGGCTGTAGCATAGGATTGCTATTTGAATGGAGAGCACGCATTGACTTAGATGGACTGAGAGTGGGCCCATGTTCACCGTGAGCGCTCATCGGGGGCGCACCTGGCGAAGGTGTCTCGTGCCTATTGACGGGCTCATGATGCGGTCCTTGTGATAAAGGCAGCAAAGGTGCAGATTGTTGGAATGCTGAATTTGATCCATGGGTATTGGAAATGGTCTTCTTTCGTGGTCTGGTAGTTGATGGAGAGCCATGCCTTGGCTCTAGGGCTGCAGACGCCGATTGCGAATGAACTAATGCTGGAGGTTTGTTTAACATCGGCAATGCATCATGAGACATCTGCTTATTCCCTATTCTTGACCCATTGTGAGAAGTTTGTGTGGAATTCTGTGCATCCTTATTAGTGGACGACATGATAGCCAAACTTTCCATGTCTGGAATTTCGATCGTTGGCGATTCCGTGCGATAGGAATCTTTAACAGAAGCCAAAGCCGGAAGACGTGGATCCTCAAAAATACTATCATCACGATTTGAAGTATCATCATCATCTTCAAAAAGGGACCTCAAAGACTTCGGGACATTCGAGGAAGGTTTGTCGTTACCTGTATATGTTTGTTGGGCAATTGTGTTTTTGTTGCTGCTAGAGCTGTATTTCGGATTAGGATGAAGTGTGGAAGCCTGGTGGGTTGGCTGAGATGTGAGTGTGTAGTCGTGCGTTTCTTCGCCATCGTCGTCTCGAAGGTATGGAAAATGCTGCTCAACCTCTTTGATATGAATATCATTATCCATAATGTATTCCTTGCTACTCAAAGAGTCGAAATCCCACTTGACCTGAAGTTGATTTTCGTTAGATGTTTCCTCGTTGTATTCATCATGATTCATATTGTAAAAGACAGAATCTCGCCTTGAGTTTTTATCACGCCATAAAAGGTATTTTGAGACTAGCTCTTTCAATATGCTTGTGGGCATGCTTTTATACTGCTTGACAAGCTTACACTTCAGTAATTCATCAGCAGATGGTCTTTCCTCAGGATTTTCGTCAAGACATAGGGCAATGCATTCCTTCAATGCTTGAGGGTATTCTCTTCCCTCTAGACGGGGAGGAGTCAGCTTAGCGATCATAGTCATCGCCCAATTGGAGGATTTATCCGAATATGGTGGATTACCAGTAGCTATCTCAAAAACTGTGATACCTAGAGACCAAATGTCAGCCTTGACATTATATTGGTCACCTTCACGAATCACCTCAGGGGCCATCCAAAAGGGCGTGCCTGCCATGGTAGTACGTTTCGAGGAGTTAGCAGAAAGTTGTGCTGCAACACCAAAATCACACACCTGAACATTTCCTTCGTTGGTGATAAGAATGTTGGCTGCTTTCAAATCACGATGAATGACGCCCAACTTGTGCACAGCCAGTAAGGCTAGTAGGGTCTCTCGGACGATAACTGCAATGTACTTTTCTTCAAAGAAGCCAGCCTTTAATAACGTACGCACAGACCCACCAGCACAGTATTCCATGATAATCCAAAGCTTCGTATCACTAAGGAAAGAGCCATAATAGTGTGTCACGTTAGGGGCGTTTTTCAAATCAGCGAGAAATTGAATCTCCTGCTGGACATCGACCACCTCATCATACTGAGTATCTAGCTCTAGTACCTTGATGGCCACAACCTTCTTCGTTTTGACATTGAACCCTTTGTAAACCACACCAAACTTTCCCTGACCGATCACTTCGGTTCGCTTGTATGAATCTATTGAAGACATGGCTTAGAGCCTCGGGTCAAGCTATGACCATGCACGGTTCCCAGGGATCGATTGATTAATGCCTTAGGAGATTATAGGCAAATAAAGGAAACGTTTGGGCCAATTGAACGATGGGTTGGGGGCAAATGCCTGTAGGAAATCACGAAAGGAGATGCACAGGTTTTGAATCAGACCTATTTGTTGATGTGCGGTATCTTCACGATCGGTTTTTCGTAGGCAGGTTTCAGAACAGAAGCTGGACTGTACAGAGATGATTTAAGCACAGGGGCCCTGTCGTTTGCTTCAAACCCCGGTGTTAAAATAATGAAATTATCGTGATTAGACAGTAATAATTCTTTGACCCTTAGATTAATTAGGGGTATACTTGCCGCGGTCGGAACTCGCTTAAGTAAACAAGACCGTTTTAATGTGCGACTTTTTCTGACTAGATCGGGCTAAGCCGAAGATCAAATTATTGCAATCTAGCAGTAGGTTGAAATTTACAATTGGAAAGCTTGCATTGATTTTGAAGCTATAAAATGACTCATTTTTCAGTTCAAGAAATTTCGCCATCTGCCGTAAATGCAACTGAACTAGAACAAGCCAAATGGTTGCAAATTTGTAGTTCAGCATGCTGAGTATGATCTTTTGCTAAATACGATTCGAAGTTGACCGAGAAGGAATGGATGTCTGACATCCAGCAATAATGGTTGACTCCGACAAGAATCTCAAGTTCCTCGTAGACTCCAGATGTTTGGCTTATCCAAACAGACAAACAGAATCGCAATTCGGATTCAAGCTGCGTCATATCAAACCTGTGGGCCTTTGAGTTTGTCTAGAGTCCCAGAAATTGCGATTGGAGAGTTTATTGAGATGTGCCTCTAACCCGCTGAAGCTCGGAATAAATGGGGAACATGAGAGCAATGGACCACCTATTCGTGTTCTTGCCCTTTCATCAATAGAATTTCCAAGATGTCGGATAATTCGTACAACAAGGAAGGATCAAATTTTTGTGGCCCGGAATATCTATCGTAGACTCTGCATGACTTTGCATATTCAGCTTGATTTAGTAGAATGGCTGCAAATGCGTACAATACAGCTTACATCGATATGAGACTACGATCGTCGAGGCACTCGTTTTCTCAACTTTAAATCAAATCGCTTCATTGAAATCAGAGATTGAAGGCGACACTGTTGAAAAATCTTCACTAGGCTTGGCTAAAGGTCTAGGGTGACTCATTACTATACAAGACATTTTATTCGCGATAAGCTCATTGAACATATTCACTTACATCAACTACACCATGTCTAGGTTTGCAACTATTAAGAGAGACACTAATGAGACAAAAATCCAAATAGCTCTCTCTTTAGATGGTGGCCATATCGCTGTCGAACAATCCATTTTCCCGAAAAGGTCAACGACGAGCACGCTACGCAGCTGAGTCTGGCACAAGTGATTCTGGTTCAAACCGGTATTGGTTTCTTGGACCACATGTTGCATGCTTTGGCAAAACACTCTGGCTGGTCTCTCATCGTGGAGTGTATTGGTGATTTGCACATCGATGACCACCACACCGCTGAAGATGTTGGTATTACCTTAGGTCTCACATTCCACAAAGCCTTGGGCCAGGTCAAGGGTGTCAAAAGATTCGGTTCCGGGTTTGCCCTCTAGATGAGGCTTTGAGCCGAGCTGTTGTTGACTTGTCAAACAGACCTTATGCTGTCGTTGAGTTGGGATTAAAGAGAGAGAAGATCGGTGACTTGTCTTGCGAGATGATCCCCATGTTCTTGAAAGTTTTGCTCAAGGTGCTGCTATTACAATTCACGTTGACTGTTTGAGAGGATTCAACGACCACCACAGAGCTGAAAGCGCTTTCAAAGCCTTGGCCGTGGCGATGAAGGAGGCTATAAGCAAGACTGGTGCAAACGATGTTCCAAGCACAAAGGGTGTCTTGTTTTAGAGAATTGGGCCATATTTATTCAGACAATACATAGCAAGGCTCCTAGAGCCACAAAATGAGATAGAATAGGTGCAGAAGAGGGAACTTAGTCGGCTGACTTAAAAATTACAGGAGTATCACGAAGACAATTCAGTAGAAAGAGCCGGGTTTTGAGAACGAGAAAATTTACTTTTGGGGGTTCATGCTTGAAATGTAGTATTTCAACTGTGAGGTCGATGCGATGAGACATCGCACAACGTAATACATGATAAAGAGGTCTCTCCACACCACTGTCCAGCTCCACGCTGTGAAGCCAGTGTTCAAGCCTCATAATGCCAGAAAAGGAATAAAGACATTCGACGACAATTTCAATACGCTGGAGAAAAAAGACGATCGCAAAATATGGGAACGCATGAACATCTCAAAGGATGAGTTCTTCGTCAGAAAGTACGGCAACATCACGGCAGATGAGAGGAAAAAGTTGGATCAGAAAGTCGCAAAGCAGAGAAGACTACGTGAAGAGCGCCGTAAGCATGAGCTTGGTGATTCTTATGAGGACCGGACGCGGAGAGAGCCAGTTTCTCTCAACCCGCTTTCTGAGTACGTGTTTGGCACCCACCCTGTCATTTCGGCCCTAACAGCTGGTAAAAGAGATTCATTCAGCAAGCTTTATACGTTCAATACGCGAGAGCACACCGGAAAGATTTTACGTCTTGCCGAGAAGTATGGCATCAAGGTGGTGGAGAAGAAGAGCAAAATGGAGATGAACAAACTCAGCTCGAATGGAGTTCACAACGGAGTTGTTTTGGAAACAAAGCCCTCAGGCTCCAGAACATCTTTAATGTCGATACCTTCGAAGGTGAGTACGATGTGACCACCATCAATGAGGAGACGGGTGCCAGAGAGAAGAAAAGGTATCCGCTAGCTAGGGGAATTACCAGACCTAAAAAAGACATCAATCCTCTTGGGATCTACCTTGACGGAATAACCGATCCTATGAACTTCGGCAACATTGTCAGATCTGCGTACTTCTTGGGCGCTGACTTTATTGTTGTTCCTAGTCAGGATTCAGCACGGATAGGACCTGTCACTGCGAAAGCCTCCGCTGGAGCGCTTGACATGATGTCGATTTTCAAGACGAGTGAAACCATGCCATTTTTTGACCGCATGAAGAAAAGCGGGTGGAATATTGTGTCTACCACATCAAGGCCAAGTGAAGCAGAGCTTGAATCGATGAAAGAGAACCACGCCAGTCATCTCGAAAACAAGTTTGTTGAAACTAGTGACTTGCCAGTTTTACTCAGTGAATCTCCTGTTCTTTTAGTCTTGGGCAGCGAGGGTAGTGGTATCAAAAAGAACTTGATGTTGCGTTCCGATTACCTCGTAGCTATGAAAAAGGGTAGGGCTGACGATGAACATAATATTGTCGATTCGTTAAACGTTGGCTCCGCTACCGCCATGGTCATCAGTCGGTGTTTGGACTGATCATATTCTTGTAAATATAATATAGAGGCAATAGGCTTAGCTTTTGTGTTTTGCTATTTTTGAAGTCCGACAATCCCACTATTTTGATCAGACGAGGTAGCTGCATGGACTGTTGACATATCAGGGCGATCGGCGTTTCGAGAATGCGGATCGCCGTTGAAACTGGTACCAAAGCAGTTAAACTTATGCAACGTGAAGTTGAGAATTATTACGAAAAACTTCACTAAAAACGCCGGAACCAATATGCCCTCACTCACTACCTCAAAAAAATACTGTAACCTAGGTGCCCTGGAGCTCGTGTAGTCTGCAGCAGGACGTGCGGCTGACATGCTCGCCTAAATTGGCAGAGATAAGAAATGAAACCACAACATAACTTTCCGCTACTGCAAACTTTTTCTTTCCAATTTCACCTGAACAAAAACTTGTCACAAAGCATATGTCTGACGAGGAATACACGGAGGACTCTAGACTTCTTCCCTCGAGAAGAACGTCGATCTTTACTCAACCGGTTGGTTCCTTCAGAGGTCCCAATTCTTTGCACAACTTTGCTTCCTCCTTCACCCGAGCACAATCCTTTGCCGCTAACCAGATCGATGCCAACATCCTGAAGAAGAGATCGTTTTTTACAGGGCCCGATGACAATGATTCTGCTGTTGGCTACGAAGATGATGAGCTTTTCGACCCTGATCTCATGGCTCCTTCTCCAAGAGGTGAGAGGTTGAGCACGGTTCTTCACGAGCACAACTCTTTAAGGCCTTCCAACATATTGCCCGGTACTTCGGGTCCATCTAACTTTAACGAGGTGTTCTACCAAGATGATGTCAGCAGCATTCTTCAGGCAACTAAATCCAGGGACGAGAACCTTTCGATCACAGGAATGACACCCTTAACAAAGAAGAAGAGTCAACCAGCATTCTCTTTTGGGTCACACAGACTGACCCGCTCGGGGCAACCACTGCGTCTTATTTTGGCATCAAGCGTGTTGAGGATAAAGACGGTAATCTCGTCACCATCATCGCTGGCCAATCCACAGCTCCTCAAACGGTCTTGAACTCTATCAATGTTCTCATCGGAGTCGGACTTTTAGCATTACCTGTTGGACTCTTGAGGGGTGGATGGGTCATTGGTTTCTCAATGCTACTCTTGGGCAGTGCAGCTACATATTGGACAGCCTCATTAATCTCTAAAGCAATGGACACTGATCAGACCATCATGACTTACGCCGATCTTGGTTACGCATCCTACGGCTCAACTGCGAAGCTTCTTATTTCGATCATTTTTACAATAGACTTGCTCGGATCTGGTGTGTCTCTCGTGTTGCTTTTCAGCGATTCTTTATACTCTCTTTTGGGAAATGATGCAGCCGGATGGACCAAGACGAGTTTCAAGTTTTTGGCTTTGATTGTTCTCACGCCTTTCACCTTCATGCCATTGCCCATCTTGTCTATATTTCTGGGTTCGGCATTTTGGCCACTTTTTCCATTATCGTGCTTGTTGCACTTTGTGGACTTCTCAAAACGTCATCACCGGGATCTCTCATACAAGTAATGCCCACTAACTTGTGGCCCAAATCAATACCCGATGTTTTCGCTGCTGTTGGTATCATCATGGCACCTTTCAGTGGTCATGCCATATTCCCGAATTTGAAGAATGATATGAGGCATCCACACAAATTTACGAACACATTGGTGACAACTTACACCCTTACATGCCTAGCAGACTGTTCCATGGCCATTATTGGCTTCTTTATGTTTGGTGGACTTTGTAATAATGAGGTGACGAGTAATCTCCTTGAGACAGCTGGATACCCTAGATGGGTTTATCCGCTCATAAGTGCCTTGATCTGTCTCATTCCATTGGCAAAGACACCGCTCAATGCGAAGCCAATTATCTCCACTCTTGATGCACTTCTTGATCTCGACAGTCAGAAGGAGAGCAAATCAAGGGTATATGGGCTAATCAGAGCTGTCCTTCAGTTCCTCGTTCGCGTTGGCGTAAATGTTGCATTCGTATTCTTGGCTATCTTGGTTCCAGAGTTCGATAAAATTGTCGGTGTCATGGGTTCATCTATCTGCTTTCTTGTGTGCATAATCTTACCTTGTTCGTTTTACATGAGACTCTGCAAGAATAATATTAGAGCAGCAGAGAGAGCTTTTGTTACATTTGTGATTATATGCTCCTCAATACTTGCAGTAGCTTGTACATATTTCACCATCGTTCATTAACTTACGTATACCATTTTAAATCTTCATAAACACAGCAATATCAAGACTCATTCAGGATGTAATTCAAGAAACAGTCCGTAATCTTCAATAGAAGAGTTTCCAATATCCGTTGGTCGAGAAGGAAGTCGTAATTAAGCTTCATCAAGCGACCTTTCTCGGAGCCCTTCTGCAATTCTTGCTGTAACTCACCAACAGCCTTGAATATCATCTCAAATAAAGGCTTGTACTTGAGGTTTTGAGAGTTGAGATTCTCTTTCATGGAGAATTTCAAGAATAGTCTTCCCTCTGCGTCAAACTTGTTCCGAGCATAACTCATTGCAAATGAGATGCGATCCTTCTGGGTCTTTTTGGGTGTGCTGGGGTTGATGCTATTGTGATAGAAAATGAACTGAAAGGAGTTGAGATGTTGAAACTTGATCTCCAACTGAAGCTTGGAAAGTTTGTTTGCAAGTTTTGGTGTTTTCTTCTCGAGCAAGTAATTGCGTACTTTTTTCATGGAGCTGATTACAGGTGCAAACTCCTTGAGGTAACGAATGGATCCCACGAGTGCGTCATGAGACTCAGCAATTTGTTTGTTGAGGAATTTAGTCAAAACCTTCACTGAATCTTCCTCATGATCCCCTGTGGTCAATTGTAGTTGCATTTGATCGTTCGCTGGAAGCTTCAAATGGAACTCTTCGTAAACTGGGTCAATCGTAAACGCAAGCTGGTCAACAGTTGTAGTCGTGACATAAATGTCTGTTTTCTTGAGTTGATACAACATCCTCACCAACAGGTCAACCTTCTCCAAATGGCCAAACAACTGATTGAGAAGATTGTGTGTACCATCTGTCTCACTGCTTTCAATCAGTTTCCTTGAGAAATCAATCAGGGCCAGAATTTCGAACTTTTCCTTATCGCTGAGAATGTTGACATTGAGCTTTTCCAAGACACCAATATCCGATTGTGAAATATTCTTGAGTGACCCCCAAATTGACAAACCCATCTTCGTTGATACATCGTCGGATGATAATCTCACACGAAGAAACAACGATGTTGACGAAACGGCAACGGGGAGTAAATTGCCATGATTGAATAATACAAACACCGACTCGTATCTTGAAGGTGAGCTTTCTAAAGTGAACGGGAGATTGAAGTGGCTGAGGGCCGATTCATCACTAAAGTTCAAGTACTTCACCTTTCGACTCTGCAACTCTTCAACGATGATATGATCAACAATCAAATTGGAGCCAGATTTCGAAAGATTCTTGAAGAATGAATAGGTTAGCTCATCTTCTTGAGCGGGCTTCAACACCTGCATCCACTGGATTCTCCACTCACCTTTGATGGACTTAAGCCTAGACACCCACCAGTATGTCTTTAGCGTCACACCACTTATCAAGCTTATTAAAAATGAGAAGGTTGGCCAATTGCGACATCTATAAAATTGAACCTTTCTCGGTGAGTTGGCTTGCTCGATAACGTTTGTGTCTTCAGCTTGCAAGGATTCATATAACTTGCTCACTTCAGCATCATTGAATTTGATGATATCATTGGCGATCCATTCAGTAGTGATCAACTGGTTATTTAGGGTCTCACTGAGACTCTCCAATCTGAGCTGTATCAAGTATTTTACCACATTGGCGATTATTTCGCGTTCACTGATGAAAAGGGTACTCTTCGACGTATATGGCGGGCTGTTGATCTTATTCTGAATCTGAGCTTGAATAGGGGAAGGGTCCATGAAATAGAAGAAGCCAGTGAGTGGATTGATGGCAAGGATAGTGGACTTCTTGGGGGTAAGTTGGATGAGGAGCTGATAAGGATTGATAGATGAGCATGCCTCAGGAGGTAATTGCTCCAGCAACTGCTCAAAGATTTTGTGCATGAGGATCTCAGAATGCTTATTGATAATGAGACTTAGAATCCAATCAACACTTAGATCCTGCGCCTCATCTTCATAATTTCCGGTAATGCTCTCGATGTTGTGGTTCAAATTATACTTCCCGTTCTTGAACCAACGGAAATTGAGGTTGTACAGATGGTCAATACCAATTTCAATGAATGACTTCCACTCTTTTGAAAAGTAGTTCTTAGACCAATAATTTATAATTATAAGGGACGACGAGTACTTGAACTGGATATTGTTCTTCCATTTGCTGTTGACAGAAAGGTCTCTCAATTGTCTTGATATGAGATATAGCTTGAACGAAATCGAGTATTTGTGAAGCGAGTCATATAGGCCGGTGAGTGATTGCGTAAGCAACACCTGATTCATTGCTGTTTCAAGCTTCGAACGAGAGGCTTCTGGGAGCCTTGTTATTATCCGGCTATCCTTGTGTGTGATGAGGCCGGTATCTGGGTTGATACCGAATAAAAATGCAAAGTCGATAAAAAAGAATGGCGATTTTGGGTAATCCTCGTTGTTTTCAATGATTTCGTCGTTACCGACTGTGATGGATACTTGAAATTCGTTGGGGATCGTGATGATGACTCTGCCATCCTTTATCTCATAATTATTGTTGAAACGCAGTGGCATTTCTTTGATTAAGGCCATTCGAGCGGTTAAAGTCAAATTGAGATCTTTCAAGACCTCTAGAACTTTCTCGGGCGAGACTGGCGGCTTCAGAATGAAATTGTATGACGGGAGTTGGGGCCGACCCTTTACTAGAAGCTCCAAAGCTGTAAATATATCGGAATCGGGTAGTTTGGCTCCACTAAAGTTATTGAGCTCATTGAGGCCGTGACCCAAATTTTCGAAGTAAAACTCCTGGGTCCTGAAGAAGTTCAATAGATCGATAAGCTTGGAAACATCTCTTGAATTTTGCGCCCATTTCACTAGGGTATATATCTTCAAGAAGTCCTTTCTGAGGGATACAATAACCTCCAAGAACTTCTTCTTCCTGGCAATATCGCTTTCGGATGTCTTTGTGTTGGCTAAGTTCTCGATCAATCGGCTCAACTGCTTATAAGCTTCCTGGGTGTAGAATCTCAACACATTCGAGAGCGGAATGATATTATTTGTAACATGCGGAAGCTCAGGAAGTGAGCCCAAGTTGCCGTTGGTGGATCCATTCTGGATACCTGATGCAGCCAGCAGGACCTCCATACTTTAGAGTCGCCTAATCAGTCGATCAACGTTTGAAGTCGAGTGTATGAGACAGATGCAGGTCAACAGGACTATAAAAGCCGCTTCTGGAATGATTGCCACGGGGACGGGCGTAGCTTTCTAATGTGATTGAAGTTACCAAAGCACTTTTTCCTTCACAGTTTGTAACTTTCATCTTAGTGTGCGACCGGTGGCCTGCATGACAGCACCGGTGTTACTAGTGCGGAAGCTTGTGCCTACTACAATTTGCAGCCAATATTCTCGTGATATATGCATTTACTTAAAAAACGACGAGATTGGTATCACAATCGCATCGTCGGTACTAATATAATACAGCATTGTGAAGGGGGTAAAAGGAATGTGTAGAGCTTAATGCGTGTGCTCAAGGAAAGAAGCGGGCACTTGGCCCTTGATCCACTGGAATCTATCATCAGTCAAGACTTGCGTTACAGTCAAGCGCCTGTCCTTACGAACAAGCAAGACATCAACGACACTCATGAGATCCTTCATGATCAGCTTGGACTGGTCTGTAAATGTATCGTCCTTCATCGCAGCAGCCGTTCGAAGCCACTCCCAATCAATCATAGCGATTCTATGAGCAGGATTGTGTCTCTTGCGCCGGCGCTTCAAGACTGAGGGAGAAATGGCCGAATTTGACATGAATTCGAGAGGCGGAGCGTCGAAGGGGAGTCTATCTTCCAAAATGGCATAGATAAGAACTCCAAGCGACCACGAATCAAGGAGTTTACCGTCATACTCTAGCCCCATAAGAAGCTCGGGACTCACATAGTCTTGCGAACCACACTTGGTTGAAAGTAGCTGGTTAGGCAGGGCGAGCTTTTTGGAAAGGCCAAAGTCTGTCAATGTGCAAAGCGGCGAGGTCTGGTTTTGGGGAAGAAATCCGTTAGTCACGTCAGCCTCGTCGAAATTCAAAAGCACATTCTCGAGTTTGAGGTCGCGATGCACAACGTCATGGCTGTGTAAGAAGGCAACGCAAACAATGAGTTCGGCCACAACTCGTTGCATTAAATGCCAGAAGTAGTCTGATCGACTGAGATTCCGATGATTCTTATATAACCAAGTGAACAAATTACCTCCCTCGCAATACCTGAGTAGGAAGTATTGCTTGTTTTGCATCTTGACATTGTAAAAGTCGTACATGTCGGAGCCAGCCGGAGCGTCTTGGTGTTTTCCCGATACAACCTGGTCAACTTCGTCCTGCGTGATTGAAAGGTTTACCGAGTAGTCTAGAAGACCCACAATACATGGGTGGTTTAGGTGAGTTAAGATACCGAGCTCCCGGCAAATGTACAGGCGGAAGTTAGAGATATCTTCTTTGGAATGAGTAGGGACGTTCACAATCTTGACAGCGATGACATCATCTAGGCTTGACAAGGAATGAGCACGGACCACTGTGCTGAACGTGCCGCGTCCAACCACTTCATCAAAGACGTACAGCTTGTGGAGTCTCGGAGCCTCTATGATCTTACCCACAAGCTGGCCTTGGTCGCGGTCCAACGGCGGCAGCGGAATTGAGGACGCATCATCATCAAGCAGGGAAGGGTTGGACACATGCCTGTTACTAGAAGATGGTGGGTTTGGAGTCTCGGCGCGTCTAATGAAGGATCCAGGCTTGAATTCTGACACAGCCCGCTGGGATGCGCTAGAGGGAGAATCGTGAAGCTGGCCCCTTTTTGGTAAAGTGATCTTAGACTGTGCAAACAGACCGTTATTCAAAACAGGGGTCGGTAGCTGGGTGATGCTGCCTATATTGAACAGACCCAGTGGGGAAATGTCTATCGGGTCAGCCAATTGGGAAGGATTGGCAGACACGGGGCTTTTCATTGAAGTAGGTCTATCCCGGGGAGGAGATGTAGGTACCTCGATTCGAAGACTCTTCCATCTATAGTCGTCTTTAGCGGAAGGAGAGCTCAGACCGGTCAGAGACGGCAGCAGATTCGACTGGCGAGAGCAAGACTGGATATCGGATAATTGGGGGGTCGTCACTGGGGACGACGACCGCAGGTCAGTGTGAACAGACATTGGAGTCACAACACACAATGGCGGGGCAGGGAAACAAGGATCAACCGGAAGGGCTAAAAGGGTGTTGAATATCGCCAAGCAAAAACCAGGCAATGCAAAACCTAGTCACGTCGGGACGTCCACGAAAACAGTGTAGTGGGATCTAAAAAAATTGCAGATATGGAGAAGCAAAACGTGAGGGTGGTTTGTATGACGGTAGACAGCGGAGTGCATGCAATGCTATTTGGCAGGTGCCAGCAGGTGAGGCTGCACAAGGGACTACTTGGGTAGCACAAAATTCCGAGGTAGCGGATACAGAAGAAAAGTGTCAGATATAGGTGGGGACAATGTTTGATGACGCTGGCCCGCCTATATGCTTGTCTAAGCTTTGGAAGTTAAATTTTAGTGTCCTGCACTGGAGCTCTGTCCGCAGAGAGCCAGCACTGTACGCGGTCAGATTTAGAAGAATCGAGCACGAAAACGTTAAATTGTTTAAACAATGAAACACGTCTCGGCCCCTATATTGCTTGTCCGCGATCTGTCAGAGAAAAATGAATTGAAGGACTAAAAAAAATAAATTAAAGTTTAGTATAAGAAATTGGTCGACCCCACGTCGAGCATTTTTGGACCTCGCTTGAGATAGCCGATCACATATGCGGCGCCATGCTGGCCCAGGAAGGCAGGAGCCTGCCCTAATAGAGGATAGCCAGTGCGCCGCGCGAGGCTAAATCCCATTCGTTCAATTAGACATTTCCTAAATAAAAAAACATAATGTGCGCTGGCTCGCCAGCAGCAGACCTACATAAATCCTTCAAGCACACGATGTGCTTTCTCGAGCCGCTCGAGTCCAATCTCGTACCGCTGTTCGTCGAGAATCATGTCGGAGGTGAGCCGACTCAACGAGTCCACGATCTTCTCGATCATCTGCTTTTCCTTGATGGGGATGCTGAGCGTCTCGAACTCTTCGCCAATCACAGCGCCGTTGATGCTTTCGAGGAGATTGATAAGCGTGTTGTACGAAAATGGCTTCATGCCTCCGCTGCCACTGCGAACATTTTTCCGCGGCTTACGCTTGGTGCTCTTGCGCTTGGGCATCTGGATATTGTCCTTCACAGACTTGGCCCTCACGGGGTTCACCACCACAGGCTCCTCGATATCGTAGTACTCGTCGTCGTGACCAAGTCCAAGTCCATGATCCGTGTAGACACTGTCTCTCGCAGCGACAATGTCGGGGTCGCTTTTTGCAAGTAAGGTACCAGCCTGTGGTCGTTCTAGGTATGGCAGGCCTGGCTCTTGCTTTTCAGTGTTCTCGTTGGTTTCCTCCACAGGTGCACGAGTGGCTTCCAAAGGTGGCTCCAATTCGGTGCGTTCAGCATTTCCAGCAGCGAGCCCAACAGCTCCTCCAGCAACAGCTCCAGCAGCAACGCCGGCCGCAACTCCAGTAGCTACATTGAGGCCTTGAACATCACCTTCTTCCTTTGCAGCTTCTTTGGCAACCACTGCAGCACGAAGACTAGGGCCTCGACTAGGACCCCCGCTTGTGCCGGCATCGCTGGTGCCCTCGGGAGTGAATCCCTGCTCCTTTGCAAACTCTCTTTCGTAGGCTTTTCCATACTCTTCCTCGCTGCTCATAATGTGGTGTGGACGCTGCATTCCTTCTTTAGGTTCGGCTTCTTCTCCAGCGTCACCTTCCTTTTCCAGCTCATGGAAGCTAAGAGTTCTTTCACCTTCCTCACGCGAGTACAAGCTGAACTGGTGCGATGCAACTCTGGCCTTCTCCAAGCTCTGTGGGCTTGGTCTCTTGGGCAATTGGCGACTGCCAACGGTGTGTTCTGGAACCTGAGGTAACCCGTCTGAACCTTCTCCGCTGTCTGCTGTTTCAAAGCTGCCAGATGAAAAAGTGGAGTGTCTGTTGGTGTTACCTGGTATAGAAGAAGGCTCTGGTGCGGTGTAGTGCAGCTCAGTAGGACTGGTGACACCAAATGGCTCATCATCCAATGGCTCACTCCTTAAGCTGCTGGCATTCTCCATGAGCTTGTCCAAATCGTCTGTGATGTTGACCGAAAATCTATGAGCATGCTTGGGGGAGCTGTCCTTCGACCCACGGCTTGGCGATGGTAAGATCTCGTTTTTGGGTCTTCTTCTCAGCCTCGGGGCACCACGTCTTCAACCTCTGTGTTCAATGTCATCAGAGGGCCTGCCACATTGGGAGCCTGACTCACCCTAGTATTGAGTCTACCAAGCTTAACCTGGTGCTCAGAGTACATTGACTCTTCATCCGTAGTTGTTGGAGCCTCCGAGGGAACTCTTGAGCCTTCGTAGTATTTGACACTCCCTTGTGTTCTGACACTCTCCGATCTTTTTATAGGCACTGGCACAGCTTCTCCAACCTCAGCGTTATGGAACGAGCCGTGTGAAAATCTAGAAGATTGGCTGCTAAGTCGTTTGTCATGAGGAGGGACAGGGGGCTGCCACTCGTCGATTGGCTTTTTGGACATGACTTAGGTGCTAGTACTTGATTGTAGATATTTTGCGAAATCAGCGGGCTGAGACGTAGTTGAATCAATGTTTTGGTTCTGCCCGATTAGGTATGGTAATGATGTGCCGCACCCGGGAAGAAGCATCCATCTTCTCGATTCAGTCATGTGACCAATTTTCAAATAGTATCTGCTCTTATGCTATGTATTCGAAGGCGGTATTCGACGTTTTTTTCGAAGAAGCCTCTCAACTATGAGGCTCTTGCGCTGAGGGTGGCAGAGCTGAGATCGTTTGAAAGAATCTCGCGGGACCTCATCCTCGATTACACCAAGGCGAACAGGAAATTACAGAGTATCAATAAGGAGCCACACGGACGACTAAAGGTCAATTCAGCTGAAGGAGCCAATTTTCTCGACCTCAAACTCAACATTCCGAGTGCTAAGCTTGAGAATGAATTGTGGGACTTTTTAAAGGAACACTGGGATGTGTGCTTTAGCGACGAGGAAATAGTAGCAGCGTTTATCCTGAATCCAAACGCAGATATTGCAAGGTCATTTCAAATTGTGAAAGCAAACTTCAGTATGCCCCAGTCTGGTCTCAAGCAACTTGACACAGTTTCATTGCTACTACGAAAGCTTCTCAAGAAGAACGATTATCACAACTGCATTGGCCTCCTAGACGCTACATATGGCTCAGCCGGCTATAAAAACTCACAGAAGGAATTGTTGAAACAGCACCTTGGTGGTTGTACCATTCTCATCAGCGCCCTCTCCATTGTACAATACTGCTTCATTTCCATGGCGCTGCTTTATTATTTGCTACCCTTTACCGTACTTTCGGTCTATGGAACCGCTTATGGACTACTAAAAGTCTACTTTTCCTCCAATGGAGAGAGAGTCAGCTGGCGGCCGCATACGAGTGTCATTCACCGTTATATCCACCGCCACGAGCAGGCATGGATGAATAGGATGATCACACACTTCGAAGAGCACAGTGAGCTTAATTTTAAGAACTACCATACTTCAGAGGTTCGCCACAAACCAACACTCGGAATCTTCGGTCAAGACGAATATGACATGTTTTTGCCTAGTACCACTAGCCTCCCAGTGCTTGCAAACCACGCTAGGAATGAGCACACTGAATTGGTGGCTAAATACTTCCGGGAGGAGCTTCAAAAAAGAAGACTCAATTGGAAAATTTTAAAAGAGGAACAAACCTTACTAGATTTTTGGCTTGCGCACGGAGAAAATTACGAGTGGGTTGAACCCGACCAGGACCCCGGAGAAATGTACACATTTCGCAGCCAGTCTTCCAAGTCTTGACGCGCGCACTAGAAGATATCAACACTTCATCGGATGGCCTATGTCCCAATACGAACACCCGCAGATCTTGGGGTGCTATCGTGTGTTGAATTTGAGTCTAGACTGAATTCTTTGTTGGTAGCAACACATGACAACACAGCCCTACTATACACTAGTCATAGCGATGCTCCATCACCACTGTGTGATCTAGCTGCAGAGTTAAGCACACCGTCACCTATCGTTGGTATTGCTCTGTCAGGGCATACCACGTACGCTGGCTGCCTAGATGGCACGCTAAGGCAGTTCGATTATGAAAACACTAGAATGACCTCGCCTTTGGCGATTGTCAAAGACCATGACACCCCAAGTCCCATCAACCATCTAAAAGCCGTGAGTCCTAATTTGATCATATGCACCTCCATTGACGGCACAATCCGATACTTTGATCCAAGAATCAATCGTATGGTCGATTCACATTCGTGTCCTTCCAAGCTATTCGCGTTTGATGCAACTTCGCAGTTCGTTACGGTAGGATTGGCTGATAGTCAGGTACAAATTTTTGACTTGAGACGGAGAGACTCTCCCTGGCAGTCTCGTGCTAGTGGATTGAGATACCAAATGACAAACATCAGAAGCTTTCCCTTAGGTGACGGGTTTGCATTGTCAAGTATAGACGGACGGGTTTCGATGGAATATAATGATACACTGGAGGAGTCTCAGAAACGCAAGTTTGCTTTCAAATGTCACAGGCTGACTGATTCTCAAACATGCACAGACACGGTTTATCCTGTTACAGGTCTACGCTTTCATAATCGATATCACACCCTTTTCACTGCAGGTGGTGACGGGCATGTGTGTGTATGGAATTGGGAGAAGCGGAAAAGAATGAAGCAATTTCAGATCGTTCCCTGTCAAAGAAGCATATCACACATGGACATAAGTCAAGATGGGTCTCTAATGGTTGTGGGTACGATAGACGATGGGTTCTTGAGATTAGCCGACACTGATGCACCCTATAATCCTGAACCCAGCCAAGTATACATTAAACATTTGGATGAGGTGGACTGTAAACCAAAGGCTAAATAATAATTGTAATATATTGATGTATAGACTGGTAGTTCAATACCCCATTGGTACCATACATATCGATGGGTGCGAAAAATCCTAGAAGTGCGCAAGATGAGCTTCACAGATAAGACTGAAACTTTCGTCCAATGGTTGAAGGATAATAAAGTCGAGATTTCCGATAAAGTCGAGATTAAGGATCTCAGAAGCATCGGTCAAGGAAGGGCGCTTATGGCCATTGAGGATATCGCCTCAGATGAAGATCTATTCAAGCTTCCTCAAGAAGTATTCATCAACGCTACAAATAACTCCTTGATAAAGGAATACCCTGATTTGAAAGATAAGATTTTGGACCTTCCTCAATGGGAAGCACTTATCTTGGTCCTTGTGTACGAATGGCAAGTCAAAGGGAAAGACAGTAAATGGGCACCTTACTTCGACATACTTCCCATAGGCGATTCCGAGAACTACAAGTTCGATCAGCTTGTGTTTTGGTCTGAGGAAGAAATTGACCATTTGAAGCCATCGTATATTGTCAAGCGCATCGGCAAGGCTTCGGCGGACGCTCTTTTGCAAAAGGTCAGAGACATTGCAGCGTCTTTTGGTATCGATATCTTCGAAAACATGTCCCAGTCGGATTTGCATAAGACTGCAGCACTCATCATGTCATACTCCTTTGATGTTCAAAGAGACAATGGAAATGCCCAAGATGAAGACGATGAAATAGACAGTCCCGATGTTAGAAACTCGTCCTTTATCAAGAGTATGCTTCCATTAGCTGATACACTAAACGCTAACACGAGCCACCACAATGCAAGCCTTATACAAGATAATGAGTCCCTCGTCATGCGTTCTATTAAGCCCATTGAAAAGGGCCAGCAGATATACAATACCTACTCGGACCACCCTAATGCTGAGATTCTCAGAAGATATGGCTACGTCGAACCGGAGGGTTCTACCTCGGATTTTGGGGAAGTTTCTCTTGACTTGATCAAGAAATATTTTGTGGAATCCACTTCCCTTCTGGCCACCAACGTGGAAGAGATAATAAGCATTCTTTTGGAAATCCAAGAAGAGGAAGACGAAGAATTCATCGTGGACACTTTTGATTGTTATGTTTCAGGAGAGGTCATATTCGAGATGTGCTTTTTGGCTCAGTTACTTACCGTACTTGCAAAGATCAATGATAAGACACCCTTCAACGACGAGTCACTGGAAAACAAAGCGCGTGGTATAAGAAGGGTTTTCAAAAAGTGCTACCAACTAGTTGAGTCTGGGAAGCTAACCGAATCGCTTAAAGAAAGCTTGTTTAAAATTTTAGACCTTCGTATCTCTGAATACCCGGAGGTAGGTGTGAACTTCGATAGGTCACAACCTCAGACTAGGGAATTCATGGCGGGGATTGTCCTCCAATCCGAACTAAAAGCTTTGCGGGAATGCGCTAAAGGCGAAAAGCTCTTCTCCATCGGTGATACCCACTACACATTCATCCCGGACGAAAAGCTCGTCAACAACATCATGAAGAAGAGTATTTTCTCTGAAGCTCTGTCGAAGAAGCAAAAAGTTTAATGCATTCTAATTCCTATTTGAGCATTGAAGTAGGTGGGTTCACTTTGATGAATTCACCGTATAGGTAGTCAAAATTTACGTCGTTAGCACGCTATTTAATGTAGAAAGCCTCTTGCACCAAAAATTGAGGCTAGATCAATCATCATCGGGCCGAATTTCCCCATTTTTTTTTTTTTTTTAACGATTATTATATTAAGAGGACGCCAGAAAGAATGAATTCTTTCCAACAAAACCTATATAGTTTTAAGACCTACATAGTAAACCCCTTAATGTGTTATCAACAGAAGCTGAGTGAACCCGGGGAACGCGACTCTCCTCTCAAAGAACTTCTCAAGCCAGAGAGTCTCTAAGCCGCTGCTGAATTTTCCATAAATTCAGGTCACTTTATGTCATCGTCCTTTCGGATCAACCACAGCTAAATACCGGTCCATTTCCCGAACCGTAGGGTACTGGAGCTGATCATTCAATCCATAACTGTTTCGAATCAAGTACGTTCTCCGAACTGTCTTGACAAAGTGATTCAATCTCTTTAAGTTCAAATAAGACGTGTCAGCTGGTGCCAACATTTCTTCAAGAGACATAGGCCTCAGGAAGTCAAGTTTGTGCCACCAATGCTTTGACACTTCACAATCATTGTATAAATGTCCTAATTTTTGATCTGACATAATCTCCTTGACACAAAGCAGACATTCCATAGGTTCGGGATGTCTCTCATCATCATGACAAGGCACATATGAGCCAAAATTGAATAAATGGAAAGCGGTAAAATCATGTCGCTGTAACCACTCATGTACATAAAGCTTTTTCCAAAACACATCCCACCGCTTTAGCACTTTAGCAGCTGGGCAAATCTCTGTAAACCGCCTCGGCATAATTGGTGAAAGAGAATCTTGGATCCTCTTACTAATTGACCGAAACGCAGTATGTTTAACTGTATCTTCCTCGTCCTCCGTAAGCTCCACAGGCTTCTTGGCTTGAGCAAGAATTTCCTGTTTATCAAATGTACGGACTTCATGGGTGGTGTCCCGCTTTAATTCAACTAAATGTCTCCAAGCCCAAATATATTCAATCTCATTCTCCGTAAAGGTCCACTCGAGGTTCTGAACGTATTTCTCAGACTCTTGGAGTAAGAAATCCGCCACTTCAAGCGTCATGGTATCGCCCAAAGGAGTGTCCTTGTTGTCCTTATCGATCTTAACCATATGATGAAGCATTTTCAATCTCAAAAGAGTATCATACCACCTGGTGGACAGACACGCTTGCAAGATTACTTTAGCACGATGTCCAAGCAACTGGAATTCCAATTTGATCAATCCATATCCTCCCTTCTTCGGCCGAGCATATGTTTTCTCAATCCCGATACCACGAAACTGGCGATGTATGGCATTGTCAAGAGCCTTGATCTCCCGGTCCTTCATGCACTGCACGAGGTCTCGGTAGACCGTTTTGGAACTGACAAACCTATTCATGCCAATTGCTCTGGTAATCAAATCAAAATGATAAAATCCTTGTGAATAGGTGGTGAACGGTAAATTGTCTCGGAAGGCTTTCCAATCAACTCCCTTCATGGTGATACCTAAATATTTCATATCAACAGATGATATTGTACGCACCGGATAAATTAACCACGGCTGATCTAAAAATTCGTAGCGATCATTAAAGCCTATTAGCCTTGATTTCTTGAAACTCACTATGCTGTTGCTAGCCTTCTCATATTTAAAATAAGCAGTCGTAGTCTTAGAAATCAGATGAAATTAAATTTGGGGTCTCTGATGTGAATTTCCAAGATTTTGTCACATCTTTTTAACTAGCGAGCATATAGTACATCTACTGCAAAATAATACTATAAGCGGTTTTAGCTCAGTTGGGAGAGCGTCAGACTGAAGATCTGGAGGTCCTGTGTTCGATCCACAGAAATCGCATATTTTTTGCTCCACTGCACCCGTTTTATGTTTTTAATACAAGTTATTCATCAGCATTGAAGAATATTTTCCTATACCATCGCTGGTTCATCGCTACTTCCTTGTATACTCTAAGTCCCCATGAAAATTATGCTATGTACAGTTAATCGTTACGTTTGAGCTTCAACTTTGGATATAGTCTGCTGGTGTGGTAGTTGACGGAAGTCTTGTTCTCTTTTCCTTTTCCGGAAAGCTCCATACATGTCTTCAACTCGAGTTCCAAAGCAGCGCAGGCCTGAGAGCCCTCTCCATTGGCTGCCCAACAGTTCAACAAACCGGCCATCATGACCATGCAATTCAGATTTGATTTTTGGGTAACGGGGTTCCGGATCTTTGCATGTGGCAAAGGTGGAAGCTGGAAGCTTTGAGCCACCTTCTTGTAGGCCATATTATTCTTGGTTGGCTGCATTGTATGTGCTAAGGTCTACAGTTGAAGAGCGAAAAAATTTAGGTACACCTTGATCGGGTGGTCTATGCACTACTTGGAGTACTTGTGGTGTGCGAGGTCTAGAGGGTAGACCTTCTCTCTGTGCGCCTCTCTGCGTACCTGGCGGCCATAATCGCGGCCTCCGCTGGACAACTTCTGTGGCGGTTTAAGCCAGTAAATTCTTGAGAAGTTCAGCGAAGTGATGTGTTTGTGAATCACTGCTTGGTACTCTAGCGAGAACTTGAGTCTGCAGTCCACAGCCATAGGAATGAGCTTATCCGAGATAACACGATGAATCTTTGCGTATAGCTTTCCAAGGAATGCTTGTGACTCTTCTGGCAGCTTGTACTTTATGCGACTCAAAACATCAATGTGCTCTTCAAGATTGATGAGGATGACTTTGAATAAATGCTTGTAGAGATTGTTGCAATGCTTTCTGCTAGTGAGCAACATTCCGTAAATAGGGACGAGATCAAAGTACTTGTAACGATAACTCAATGATGGTCCCGATAATGCAGTGGCGTGGTGATCTTTCAGAGCGACCACGTACTCGTTTGTTCGCAATTTTGGTGCGTTCAAATTGACAACGTCAGTGTTCGAAGGAATCATCTTCCTGGCGATTTCAAGGTAGAGCGAGTCCTTTAGTGTGAGAGTCTCCCTTTCTATGCGGTCCAAAAGCTCTACCGATGGGTGCTCGATCTTCTTGTAGTTGTCGATATCATCGAAAAGCATGGGTTTGCCAATGCTGCGGAGTAAGTCCTCCGGTGGAAGTGGCTTCAGGTCGTAAGGGCTGATACTTTCCTTGAGTTGATCTTCTTCAAAAAAGTTCACATCTATTTTGTGAACTGGCACTTTGGTATCAAAGGGCCGACTGTCCCTGACAAGCTCCTCTGGAATCTGCTTGCGTGCTTTCTCGTCGTCGTCACTCTTCAATGAGTGTCTTCCATTTCTAAGTGGCACTCCTAGGATAGACCGGTCGAAGCCAACGACATTGTATGGATATAATCTTTTAAAGACTCTCTCGAGACCTTTTGGAACATCATACTTCTCGCCTCGGCGACCAGCCTTGCACATGTCGTCAAGATTCTTCCCGAGGCGTAGTCTTGTCATGAGATCTTTCTCCTCGATGCCGAATCGCTTCATGTATTTGGCATGCACCGCTTTATCTTCGTCTAGTCTGTTGAGGGTGCTGTAAATGCGCTCGATCTCCTCCCAAGGAGTGTCAAGCATGTCCACTTCATCCGGTAGGCTTCTAATAAGCGCTTTCCTATCTAGAAAATGCTTGGATGGGAATGCTCCGAATTGACCGCCAGCGTCCAAGTTCTCCTGAATCAGGACGTCGTCCTTTGTCATGAAAGCTATGGTTTCGTAGGAGTCTTCGAGCTCATCTATATTCTCCTTCACCGCCAAATCTAAAGACAGTTCATCTGCCGTGGAGGGAGGAACCTCAGGTTTCGATTGGATATTGAGAGCAGTGCCCTTGCGGGTCTCTTTATCTGATTGCTCACCAACTTTGCCCTTCAGTAGGATAGAGCCGAGCTTTCGGAGCTGGTCCTTATTGCCGTTATTATTGTTGTTATTGTTGTTATTATTGCCATTATTTATCGAAAGTAGCCGGGACACCGAGAAGCTCCTTGCCAATATTCTATATTGGGGAATTCGAGTAAGCATAGGCACAAGGTCGGGGTAGACATTCAGCTGTGGATCAGATAACGAAATTGCTTGGGGTGTCAGTGGTGTACGGGTGTAGGATTGTGCCGCCTGTATTGATGGAGATTGTCGCTGGCTTCACCGGTGAATGGCTGCGAAAACCACATTTACATGCTTGACCTAAACCCATTATGATATTAAACCGTCTATAAAAGTAGAACTGAAGTGAATTTCGTAAAGCCGTGAAACAATGCCCTGCATTGCTCTTGCATCAGGCCGCCTGCCTGTAAATCTGAGAAATCATTCTCGACAACTCTTGCTCCTCATTTCTTGCAGCCATCTCAATGCGAGGATCGACCTCGCGAGAGAGCTTGTCATTGTAGCTGTTTGATTTAGTCATCGAGGCCCTGGGGCTAAGCAGCTCAATCAGGCTGCAAGAATCTTGTCTGTAGTGCGACATGACCGAGTTGGTGGAAGCCACAGAAACCGACGAGTTCTGGCGAGTGTGTGTAGCATGGGGATTGTGCAAAGACAAGTGGGAAGTGGTGGAGGAAGAGCGCGAGATGGATGGCGAAGGAGACACCAGAGCAGATCTGGGGCTCGTCGAGGTGGAAGCACTTGCAGCAGCAGCAGCATGCTGCTTGGCCAAGTATTTTCTCATCTTGGACAGCTTGACCAAGTCCTCCTTGATTGGCTGCAAGAAGGAGGCCAACTGGGTGCACATCTCGTCGTTTGAGACGCGCATGTTCCAGTTCAAGAGGTAGAGCAACTGGCGTTCCATAAGGTTGACGTCTTTCAAGGAGAAGAGACCGTCAGTGTACTTGGCCCAGTGGACGTTCTTGGGAGAGCAGTCATTGTGGAACTTGGAAGCCAAGATGAGACAGCTCAAGAAAATGCGGTGTCTGGTGCAAGGCAAGCCCTGGGCGTTCTTGGGAAGCTTGTGCTTCAATTTGTCCAAGTAGACCAAGGTGGTCATCAAGGTGCCGGTGTAGACATTGGTGTATCTGACCAACTTGTTGATGAAAGTCATGAGGGAAGGCAATGGCTTGCCGCTGTGGGCCGTCTTGCCATCCTTGTCGTCCAGACAAGGAAGCACCTGCAAAGTGGTGACGACCAACTTGTGGATCATGTTCTGAGACACTGGCTGGTTGACGAAGATGTTCAATGCTTTCACGTCAATAGAAGCGACCATGTTTGAAGGAGAATTGATATTGAGCAGATTGGCTGGGACATGCCTTGATCTTTATATCTTGAGGCATTCCAAGCCAGCGCCGCTCTGTATGTGCCCCTACGGGCATCTGTAACTTCGCGACGCACCAAACTGTTTTGGCCTGAACATTTCGTGTTTCACTCCTGTTCGGCACGAATTCGCGACACATATTTCCTGGCGTGAGAGGGCCTATTTTCTGCTTCAGGCGACGCTTGTTGCACTCTAAATCACCCGAGGATTCAGCCAAGCAGGGCCTTTACTTCCATCAATTTATTTCATGTTTCGCCAATTGCCACAGCTCGAGCCTCGAGCCAAACGCCGTGTATCATACCGGCCTCCTCCCACCCCGCCAAAATTAATTCTCCTGTAATTCTCCTCTGGATCCTTTTTCCTTGTTGACGCCAATTCTCGGCTCCTTCCACTCTGTAACGGTGCCCCAGGCGCTGTCGCACTGTGTGCCTGCGGTCCAGCCCGAACGCTTTTTTTTATTTTTCTTTTTTTTTTTTTTTTTGCACCCATTCTAGGGGCTTTTTTGTACCCGTCCCTCGCACATAGAATGGACTGAAGCCGAGCCCCTGCCGCCATTTTCCGCTGTATCTCTCTCGCCTACCACCGGCAATAATGGTATTTTGCCCATCTGGTCGGGTTCCTCCCATCTGGTGGGGATCCTCCGTCTACGAAATCTGAAACCACCGCGCGGCTTCTCCTCGTCTCACATCGGCCATTGCCAGCCCAAATTAGCTCTCACATGAAATCGATATATTTAGACGAAACGCCTCTCCCAGAAAATATCGGCCTTTGTGGCTCTCGTGTTTCGCTTAGCTCCCACACCTTTGTCCTCGATGCAAGGCTTCCCATTCTGGCCTAGATTACTCGCTCTTGTTCCTGGCCCATGCGCCTGGAAAAACCGTGTTCTCCTGCGGACTACACGTCCTGGCGTTTTTTTTACTCTGCAAACATAATAACAGCGATGCGTACCCGACGCCTACCATATGCTTAAAGGAGTAAATGGTGTCGCGACTTCTTCTTTTGACAGCATCATTTACCGCTTTTGTGGTTCGCCGGTGGTGTCTACTTTGGCAGGTGGGCTAATCACTCGCGTCCGCGTTCACCGTGTATGCTTCTAATTATCTTAATCTGGGCAGCCAGCACGTTAGATGCCGTTGGACCGTAATGGCCGTTTAGACGCGGTCCTATCGGTACAGCCTTCACTGGCATTTTGCAACCGTTGTGACTGTGCCTGGAAGCCTGTGTCGTCAGTTGGCTCCACGCTGTGATCAGAGTAAATCTTCCAAGCTTCCAAGGGAATTTTGCCATATTGAACAATGTAATTAAGACCTAGAATGTATAGCCATGGCTTAGATGGTAAGATTTAATCCAGCTAATGGCCCCGTGCCTTAGAGGTACATTAATGGTTTTGGTCTAGGCGGGTAGAGTCGAGAATGCTTTGAAGATATCGGCAGCAGAGGAATGAGGGTTCAAGGATCCTAAGATCTGAGGTTCCTTTTGAGCGATGAGGGTGGACCCTATCAAATGAAGGGATATCATTCCAAGTCCACGCTGAATCTCTCCCTGACTACAAAAGAGCTTCAAAGAAGTGTCACGGTGGTTAAGTTACCACCCCACACCATCGAGTTCAGCTTCATCATACTGAAGTACCGGCATCTTTTATGTTAGTGAAAAGTTTTCAAGAATGGAGAATTTATCAGAAATTTGGGTATACTGGGTCGATCATGATTTGAGTACTCTGACTGGTGCACAGCGTTTTGTCTTCATATAAATTCTCTGTGATATATGTCACATACGTTTAGTAGTTTGTAGTGTTAAACAAGGCATCAGAAGTTTTTTTCAACGCTCTTAAATGCTACATCCCAGTGAACCGGGTAAGTCTTGTTATGTGCAGGCCGGTAGGGTTCCCACGCGACTCGAGTCCACAGTAAGGTGCCACTAAAGCTGTGGTTTGGAAAACATATCAAGGTAGGTATCGACCTCTCCGCTGTTGTCCATAAATGGTGTCAACGAAGCGCCGTAGTTTGGTGAGGGCATACCCCATTGATCATCAGGAATGTTCATTTGGTCGAACGCAGACGCTTCATTTGCCTGGATATCGTACTTCATAGACCCAATCTGACGCCATAAATTGTCGATATCCACATTTTCGGCTGGACGAAGGTCGTCAATGTCAATCGCATCATCCGTTGAGAAGACTTCCAAAGGCTCTTGTGGGGCCTCTGGGTTATTTTGAGTAGCTGTAGGATTGATCGTTAAGGGGTCAATATCGGGCACATTGAATGTATCCTCATTCTTACGCTCTGTATCTTCTTTGATGACATCTTTGAGTTTCCAAAGGGTGGAATCTGCGATTTTCAATAATTCATCGAGTCTCTGGGCTGTGAAGTCGGTCATAAGCCTATCTGAATTGCAGTTGTTGAGAATATATTCACCCACCGCCTCTGATTGGAAGACGTCAATGATGAATGTGTGTGCCTTGCAAACTCTCCATGCATAGTAATATCTATGACTGAGTTTGGAGAGACAAGCTGTGCCAAACTTGATAAACTTCTCGAGAATCTTGAGAAGCTTGCAAAGTTTGGCGTATCTCATTTTATACTCGAAGGAGTTCATGATATTTCTGTTGTGAAGAACTGGATCGGACCTCAAGTACGCGACAGCGCTGCTCATTCTCAAGAAAATGGAAATATTGAGCTGATTTGTCTTGTGAAGGAACAATTCAATCGAAGGTGTCAAGAATAGATCAGGCAAAGTGCTGTTCGGATCGAATGTCTTCGATTTATCTTTGATAAGATCAAGGATCTCAGGAAGAATCTCACCACAAGCGATTGCAAGGTATTTCTTCATGTAGAAAAAAGCTAGATTGTGGTTTCCATTCCGTTCGTAGTTGAGGAAAAAGTGGAAGTACAATGATAGTAAAAGGTTCTTAAGGTTCAAATAGGTCTTGCACTTCATGCTTTTGGCGAATGTAAATTCGTTCTTTGCGAGTGGCGTCTTCGAGTAATCGGTCAATGACCCAAGGGCTTGCTGAATACTAAGCTCAAAGTCAGATATTAGAGCAGTAGCATCGCTCATCTTCATACAGTTTCGAATAGAGCATATCCTAGACAAAAATGTTTTGAGCTTGTCAAGGAAAGGCCCCATTCCAGCAAGGGTGTCACACAAGTCTCTTTCAAGATTTGCATCTAGGATATTTGAGTTGCCTGGCCTGTAGTATGGAAGACGCACATCGTTGAAATTATTGTCGATAAGCATGGGGAAGCCGAATTGGTATGCTTGCGTCAAATCTGCAAGTTTAATGAAAAACCAGAGCTTTCTGGTGATGTTGTTCATCTTGGCATCGTTACAGACGTCATCAAAGTTACCAGGCTCTCTGTTCAAGCCCATACAATAGGCAATCAGAACGCACATGGATGGCAAGACATGAGAAACTCCTCCGTCGTAACCATCACCATGCTCGGGAGCAAATTGATAGTATACTCTCAAAAGAGCCATATATTGCAAAACGGTCATATTCGTTCTCTTAAAAAGATCAAATTGATCAATGCAAACTTGGGAAAGATTAATGGCATCTAATGCAATTGGATTGTGGAGAATGTACTTCATTTCAGCCAAAGGGGAGTCATCTGTAGCAGTTAAAACTCTCTCATTTTCTGCTTTGATATTGGAAAATGCTGACAAGTAAGCAAATCGGATGACAATCAACAAGATTGCAATTGTAGCTAGATCAATTTGCTTCTCGAGAACAATGTGTTGAATGCGTTCGTCGTCGTAGATCTCAGGGCCAAGCATTCTCTTGATTTCACTTCTGAACCAAGTTTCATCAATGATAGGTATGAAGGGGTAGACGGAGGAAAAGAATCGGTTGATCAAGATCCAAAGAGCTTTACGCGTCGGGAGAAGCATCTTGATTTTTTCAATAAGGTGAACTTTTTGGTCCCATTCTCCTTCGAACATGGTGAGACCGAGCGAAATAGCATGTTTGTTCATCTGCATCTTTAGGTCACTGGCGGTAGTGTTGCTATTGTTTTCCTTAAAATGAGCGACATCGCTATCTCCCTCTCTATCTAGTGCCTTCTTACGGAAATCAGCATCCATGTCGTTCGGTTTCGTGCACGATTTCGACCGCAGGTATGGATCGGGAAACTTGTCTGAAGCCCTAGTAGTCTTCATATAATCAAATAAAAGATTGAGCACCTTGTCTTTCTTCATGAATGCGAGCCATGCAAAGGGACCGAAATTCTGACGGCGAAATGCATCCTTGACATGCATAGGGCTGTAGTTATCGTACAAGTCAATGAGCTCACCTGGCTCGTTGTTGTTGTAGGGATTGACTCCAACGAATAGAGGGTTGGAGGAATTTGACTCTTGGGGTGGACCGCGAGCAAGATTGTTTCTGAATGCCTGGAAGTCCACTGAATTCTCATGAGAATTCGGGTATTGTGTGGGAGAGTCCAGGCTCAGACTCAGATCGAGCTTATTCTCGAGCTGTCGTATCTTCAGTTTGAGTCGCTCCACATCGCTCATCAAGCCAAGATTCTCAGATCCCAGCGACCTATCACTCAGCTGCCTATCACTCACAGGATCGTGAGCCAGACCAGTTTGGTAAATCATTGGCAGGCTCAGATCGAAACCGACCGACATGGTGTGCATTCCAGAGCGAGCCTGTTGGGGCATTTGGGACCCTGTTTGGGATGTCTGGGCAGGGCGCATGAGGACAGGGTCTGAAGCTCTGGAAGAGTCAGAGCTTCCTTCGAGGGATGCATTAGCACTTAAACTGTCACTTCCTCCAGAAAACTCCAGTCTCGAGAATGTCAACTCAGACCTTGACGACTCCTTCAGCCTTGGACTCGAGGATGAGGGACCATTTGCGAAGAATGTTCTGAAAACTCCAACAGAACCGTCTTTAAAGTTCGGTGGACCTGCTGTAGACACAGATTCTCCATATGAACAATCCTTGGACCTGTTGTGCTGAACACATGTGGAACATGGGAACTTCCTGTCACACTTCACCTTCCTCTTACGACACTGATCGCACGAGAGGGTGATTCTCATGCGTTTTTTTGAAACACCATTATTGTGTGGTTGATACGCTGCCTGAACCATTTCTAGTTAATAAACGGTCTCTTGGGAATCTGCGCAGCAGCGTATCTATATGTCCCTGGGATGGATGCTTTATTATACTGTATAGTGAATGTCATTACTTACTTGTGTGGGGCTTTGAACGCTGTGCGTAGCTACATCCGGCCTACATAGGAAACCTTAACTTTCACAATTGGACAATCAAACAATGCGGTAGCGCCGAGGTCAATCATTTACATTCACACCCCCATGACTGCATCGAGGTCGCCATAGAGCTCAAAGAGCTTAAGGAGTTCCTCGTTTCCAATCATTGACTGCTCATCAAACGCCTGTTTTTCAAAATCCCGATACATATGCTTCTCTTGTAACACTCCATACGTATTGACCGTGTTACGGTTCGCATACATCGTCCTGTTTGCTAACAAGGCGTCGAAAGGTTCTTCGTCATTGTCCACTTTGCCACCTTCCACGTCGGCTGCGCCGGATTTGGGCCGGGTCGTTTGTCTTCGAATCAGCTCCACTTTTGCGACGCGAAATTCTTCACATAATTTGCACAAGCTTTGAAGTTCAACTATGGAAAGGAATTGAAGCAAGTTCGTACCATCGTGGAAATACTTTTTATGGTTGACCATCCCTTCGAACAACTTGTCGGGATTCTCCATGCATTGTTTGAGCACAAAGTATGCCATGACATAGATCTTGTAAGAATTGATGTATGTCTTGCTTAGGGTCCAGAAGTTACCCACGAATAGCTCCGCCTCTATCATTGCTATTGTGAACAACGAATCGGTAACCTCGCTTCGAGCAACTAATTCCGAGTCATCGTCCTCAGAGGAATTCGATAGAGGATTTGCCATTTTGCTAAATTGCTGAACCACCAACGCCCTCTTGTAGTTGATGAGACGAATGAAGAAAGATGTCACAAAGTTGTGGGTCTTTATCAATGACCGTTCAATGCCCGAAGTCAAGATAAAGTCATAATGTCTGCCAAAAAGCTCTTGAGAATTATCAAGTGCATACGACATTATATAAACAAGTTGCACAACACTTCTTATGAAGATTTTGAAGAGCTCAATGCCAGCAGTGATCTCAGCACTTGCATCTTTGTCTAGCTTCTCCTCATAATGAATGACCACCAAGTAGTATAGACACGAAAGGCTGGCTCTCAAGTGCAAGAAGGTCAAGAAGCGGCTCACTTTTAGTAAGCATTCCTCCCGCTTCTTTTTCTCACCAGCGTCCAGACCGTCTCCATGTTGAGGCGCCGGGCTGCAGATATAGTCTCGGAAAAAGTCCTGCCCAAAAAGAGAAAGGAAGATTCCTTCCAAGTAGCTCGTTTCTCGTAACACTTCAATGACTTTAGGTTTGTCATGAAGATTGGTGAGCTTATTTATGACACGACGATATGAGTTGCATATATCTTGTGTTCTGTAGAACAACTCCTCTCTCTCGCCAGCATTCTTGTCAAACTTCGGTGTCTCAACATCGCTTATCTCGATAGTCGGAATCTTGAGGGGTGAGCCGCATAACATGGCGCCCATGGCATCGGCGTTGGTGATAAAGTGCCATAACGACCTCCAAGTATTAACAAAGTCTGCTTTCTTCGAGATGCTGTGTATGCTATCGTAGTTCGCAGGATCACGATTCAAACCAATCGATAAAGCATGATTGACAATGGAGCCAAACAATAATTGCGAGTCTGCACCACTGATACCAAGACAGTCATTTGGAGCCACTGAACGGTAGAAGTACAAAAGAGTTAAACTCTGGACGATCTTGAAGGTGGATCTTGACTGAACCTTCTCCTCCGAAATGCAAAGGTTGATGATGCTCAAATAGTGGTCCGACTTAAATCTCGTGATATCCTTGATTAGATGCTTCTCCTCCTTGGTAAAGACAATATCGGTCTCGCCTGTGGGTATGAGAGACATGTAGCCAAGTCGAAGGATGAGTAGCAATTGGGCAGTCAAATTGAGATCCTGTTCGTCTCTTATAAAGAACAGCTTGTAGAAGCCGTCGCCAAAATCAGGGAATCCACCACCAAATAAGGAACGTACCTCTGACATAAATGTCTGCTCATGAAGTATGGGGACAAATGAAGCCACAAACTTAAAGTATCGACTCACTGCATGATATAGAGATCTCTTGTTCGGAAGAACGCTGATCACTTGAGCTTGAACAAACTCGTAATAGTTCAGCTTCGACCCAGATAAGCTTTGAATTGAGATCCCTCCAGGCATATCAGTGTATGGGCTTGGGAATGGTAATGAATTATTTGGTTCATCAGCTTTGATTTTGGTTGTAAGAAGAGCCCCGCCACTAAGAAGGTCAGTCTCGTCTTCTGAGTTTCTATCCTCGAGGGCGAAGGCCTTATCGAAGGGCTGATCAGATTGTTCAGATCTAGAAGTATCATCAAGACTGGTACCGCCACTCATGGCAGAAGCGGGAGAGCTCTTGTCACCTGGAAGTGGCTTCTTGCGTCTAATGAACTGCGCAAACTCGTCGCTTTTAAAGATCTCTATACTGAAGCTTCGAATGAGCTTGATGAATGGGTCACTTTTAGTGAGACCAACATAGGAGAGAGGACCTTGTTGCAGCCAAAACTCACCCTCAACCAAAAGAGAATTCGTGGCTGCAGAAAACGAATCCATTGTGTCTTCTAGCTCAATCTGAAGAATGTTGGAGCCAATGGAAATAGAAACGTATTCGGAAGATGAACTTTCTTCTGTGAGAAGTTCTTTCTTTGGTGACTTTATGTCCTGTTGGGAATTGGCCGATGGAATCGACGTCTTCTCTTTATTAGGAGAATTCGAGGACTGCTCCGTCATCGAGATATTGGACCTGGATCCCATGGGAATCGACATAGCTTGAGGAGGTTCGGTTGGTTTGCCTGACGACCCAGAAGCGAGCATGGCAGGTGCCAACGGAGGTGTGGTTGGAGTCTTGCGTTTCTTCAGTGTCACCAGAGGGGGCCTGGGATACCAGAGATCGATGGAGCAGAGCTTCCCATTGAATTTTTCCGGGAAAGCATGTGGTTCTTCGGACTTCCAATAGGGGCATTGCCAGAGAATGACTGCGGAAGGGGAAGAGATCCTTTGGAGCCAAGTGAGCCATGAGAGCTGTGGGATCCGAAAGAGCGAGATGTTGTTGGTGCTCTTGGCACATCCACTGGGTAGCTGGACGGCGTTATTTGTTGTGGTTGCAGCGGCATTGGGTGCTCCTGTGGTATTGGTGGCTGATATGGTGGCTGATGCTGATACTCTTGATGGAGACTAGGGTGCATTTCAGGACCCAGAGACTCATTCGGAGTGATGGGTTGGGCAAAGCGGTGCTCGGGCGGGGGTTGATAATTCCTTGGCTCAGCGATGGATCGCTGCCCATGTAGTGTGGCTGGTGATGAGGAGGCCAAAGTGGAGATTGGGGGTGGGGATGAGGAGGAGGGAGCTGGGGCAGCAGGTAAGATACCATTGGACTTTTTGTATGGGGGTTTTGATGTAGGCGGTGGTTGTTTTGGATGACGTTAGGATCATGGTTTGGCTGAGGTTGGTACTGGGCTGTTTGGGTTGCCAAGACAGGCCCCACGGGTAAGAAAGTCGTGGTATTTTGCTGACCAGTGGGCGGGTCGTCTTCGTAAGTGCACAAGTGAGCTATCGACTTTTTCTTGCAAGTGCCACAGACTGGCTTGACTCTGTCACAACGGGACTTCCTCTTACGGCAGACCGAACACGACACCGGTACTCTAAAGCGCTTTGAGTAGCGAGAGTCGCTCATGGTTGGGAATAAAGGGAGGGTGGAAGTTGCAAGAAAAGAAACGATTATAATACCATACAGATATCTGGCACTTGCCGGTCGTGATGGAAAATCTGGGGTGGGGAGGGGTCCGTTGGGGTGCTGGCTGCAGTCCGTCGCTTCTCGAAGCCTTACTACACATGGAATTAAAAAGGGGCCCTTCAAATTTGCAAAACTTATAAGAAGGCTCGAGTCACTTGTTCGGAGCCTTGCTCCGGTGCTGCTGCCCGGTTTTCATGTTTTTTCCAGCCTCAGCGTGGAATGGAGGCTGGTGCTTTCGGAGTCTGTCCCCCACAAATGCACAGAGCACAATCTAGCGGTGCGGGACAATGTAATGGGGAATCTGCTCGACCCGAATGACTATGCGACCAAGCGCTCCTATAGGCTACCAGGCGAATAAGCGGCTTTGAGCTTGGTCTCTTTGTCGCTTAACTTTTCTCCCCACCTTTACTTTATCGTATCATGCCATGCCGCCTTCCTATTTAGCGCATTTTGTAGACAGTGCTGCACCTTAGTCCCAGCAGCCCCCCATCAATTCCGTAGCAGACACCTAATGCCCACCTCCGATTCATCGACATCGAGCATTTAAGCAAATTTTTGAAAAATTTTGCCTGGCGCAGGCTTCGAACAATAGGCACAATGTAACGCCGAAAAGTGATTGGCAAGTTCCAACGTAGTGGGGCCAGGATCAGGCGATATTGGCGATTGTTAACGAATAATGGGGACTGTGGACTCGAGAGAGGCGTCCATTGTAGTCCAACATATTCTAATGCGACAGCCATTAGGAGGGGGATCTGATGGTGATTCGTCATTGTGCTCGTAATCCACCTCGAGGTGGGATTTTGCCTGTATCGTCTGCTTTGCTGATATAGAGGCTAGAAGTCTTTTTATAACTCACTGTGTTTCTGAAGTCGGTTGTAGCGAGTCCATCTATTGACTCCGTCTTTGAGTCTCAAGACTTTTTCATAAAGCGTTCCTTTTTTCTAGCGCATATTCCTTCGGTGTGGTTAGTTTCTACGTTGGTCCGTTTTTCCTTTTTCTTTTTTTTTTTTTTTTCTTTCGACAACTTTGCCCTAGAGGTTGTCATGAAGGTTATGGTCGCTTGTAAGGCAGCGCGATATTGTTCCATGTAAATAACGCGCACGCGTAACTAGCTTCCTACAACCATGGACGACTACAGAGATGATGATGAACTAAACGATTTCATCGTTTCAGAAGATGAAAATAAGCCTGACGAAACCCAAAAGGAAAATGAGGAGCCCGAGTCCCCAAAGGTCGATAGAATCGCTGATTTGACCTCAAGCTTGAAAGTCCATGAATCATATACCTCCAAAGTCCTTCGAGCTCACATCTCTGTCTTGACATCAGCCCTAGGTGGACCAGATCATTCCACTGAAGAGGGTCTTTATAAACTAGGTCATGACGCGTTGGCATGCTTAAAAGATATAAAGCGTTGGCTCCGAAGTGTGGATGAGAAAAACAACTCCTTCGATGTCGCTTTAGCATGCGCTGATAGTGGCCTTGTCACCAATGACTTGACAGTCATTCTATGCCAGTGGTTTAAACCTACCTCAGATAAGATTCGAAAAACGAAAGCAGTCGAAAAGATCATGCTTTCCTCATTAGAGCTATTGGTTTTGCTCACTTGGCCCATCGACATTAATCGCCAGACTCTCAAGAAAGACTACACTGCCAGAACTAACGCTAGAAGGGCTCAGCTAGCTTACAAGTATCATATCCTTAACTACAAGCTGGGTCTCACCCTCAAAGCTGTCATAAGTCTCGGGTTGAACGCACTTAAGACCCCCAAAGAGGATAGGGAACCTCGAGACGTGAATATTCTTCGGCTTATTCTTTTCTTCATCAGGAATGTTCTATTTATAGAGCCTTTGCCTCCATCAAAAGCACCGAAAGGATTCACCAATTCTGCCGACCTACCCAATGGAATGAGCGCAGAGGACATAAACACTGGATCTGTGCTAGCCGCATTCGAGAAGCATAAAGTTCTTCTCTTTCTTACGTCAATTGCCCATTCTGTGGGCTCAAATTTGTCTGATGAATCATTTGGCCAAGCAGTAATGGAGTGTTTGTCACTCATAATAAAAGGGATCAACGTGGATGCCTTATTTTCCGTTCCCCAGCATCATGTGGCACCGCATTCTACTGGGCAGTCAACCACTGAGGCGGCACCAGCTTCAAGCGCCGCGGGTCTTCAGCTTCAAGATCTTTTGAAAGAAGAAGATAAACGCAAAAAGATTCAAAAAAATTCCATCTCAACTAGACATGGCAGGTTTGGTACGCTTCTCTCCATTAGAGCCCCAGACGACTCTGGTTATTACACCGTTTCAGGCCAAGAGGCATTGAATAGTACACATACCACTTTGGATAAGCTTGATAGAAGCAAGAAATGGCATAAAATGTCCACTTTCAAATATGATTCCAACGCATATCTTCTGAAGAGTCAAGTTCACCTCAACCTTGCTAGTCAAATAATATTGACGCGCTTCGTCAACGAATTGATGGTAAGTGGATGCTTCAACAATCTACTTCGATTCGTCGGACAAATTTTGACAAGTGCATCCAACGAGAGCACTTTAGGAAGAGCGGGAATTCTTGATGCCGTTGATGGACATGAACTCGCTTCATATTTTATAACTGTTGCATGGTTTCTCAGGTACAAGAGACTGCGTCACTCGCATTACTTGAAGAATAATAGAACACCAACAGAGGACGAAGACAGGCTTGATTATGGCTCAGTTGGAGAGGCGTTGAGTGAGATCAATTTCATTTTGCTCATCTCGTACTTCAGATCTGCCTTTGATAGCAAGGATCACGACTCGCTCCATATTGCCATGATTTGTTTCCGAGAAATGTTGCTCATATCCCACACAATCTTCACCAAAGCAAGAAGCCAGAGGGAGATTGAACTTACTTCAGAAGAGGACGTCGACGAAGATCGAGAGTTGGCTGAGGGAATTATCAGGAAGCTTTTCTCTCAGAAACAATTTTTAGACGTGATCGTGAACATTCCAAAGAAAGCGTCGAAACATTCGCCTGAATATCTTAGTGTGGTTGTGTCTGTGGTCCACATCCTTCTCAAAAGCTTCGAAAGTTTAGCTAACGAAGACGTCAAATTATTCATCAAAACGCGTCGAAAAATGAGTAAATTGGGCAGAAAAGGAGGCCTCAACCAAGACATGGATAAGCAGCACTGGCATTTGATAGATAAAGATTCAGAAGATGAAGATGACGATGCTGAGATAAGATACATCACACAAGAAAGAAAATTGGATTTCAAAAATACCGAAGTCAAGTTCTTCCATAGTGATACAGTGGCTACTCATATTCAGTATCTTTCAAAATTTGAGGATCTTACGCGAGAGGAAATTAAACGAGGTGTCTCGTTCTTTCATCGATTGTTCGTCGTCAGAAAAGATTTCTCTGCGTTGTATCGACTTGATTTTATGAACACAATTTTCCGTTTGAGGGCTTTCTTACCTAGACAATCCAGCATAAGACATCATGTGGAAGACTTCATTGTGTACTTCATGAAGAAATTTAAAACTTCGATTGACAGGTTCCCGGTTGCTTTGGAGCTCCTTTTTCCTCGTTTCGAAAATTCAGAGCTCAAATGCTACCTTAGTACCGGAGACTTGGACACATCATCTATTAAAACCCTGGACTCTGTGGCAGTCGGTCGCTCGAGTTATTTTGCGGATGATGTTCCTCAACCTAAAGAGGCTCCCCTTCTTGAATTCATCGATAAGAACAAGCTGCTCGACGAGAAGATTTCCGTTATTGTTTATCAAATGCTCAAGAGGAACAATGCTGCAAAGATCCTCAAGTTTGTTACCAGTGAGTTGGACAGAATCGCGGCCCTTAAAAGCCAGGGTGTATCTCTTGTGGCTTTACGGCTAACACTTGCAAATCGTCGGTTAGTGATAACTGACTCTCTTTTAAGGTTGCTTCTTGAAAATATTGGATTTGAATGTGCATTTGTACTAAATGATGAAACAATTCTCAAGCCAGAAGTTACTGCAAAGGAGCTTGGCGAGGTGAAGGAGTTAATCGACAAATGGATTAGTTTCCACGAGGGGTATTCCGGTGATTTGGAGCCTTTCCTTGATCAAATTCGTGAGATGGTGTTCAGCACTGAGCAATTAAACTTCGGAGCTCAGGCTTACTCAAATTTGAGAATTGGAGCACCGTTCGATGAGCTGCTTGCAACCAGTCTAGATTTGGATGATGATCAGGTCAAGAAAGTCATTGGTTTGGCAAAAAGAAAAGAGTTTGATGAAGCTTACCAATTGAATCGATATGCTGAAGATAAGGATTTTGATCCAGAGAATGACATTAATGAGGTCGATCTGAATCTCGATTATATCTCCGATGAGGACGCACAACCCCAAAAGTCCAGGAAACGTCGTAATAAAAAATTGGTCAGTTTGGACGATCTGGATGATGAGACAACGGTGAATCAAAAATCATCGCGCCGTCGTCGGAGATCTGCCCCTAACCTCGAGATCGATTCTGACTCGGAGTTGGGCATCAGTAAATCGGCTGAAATTGTCCATGATTCAGATGACGAATCCGACGATGAAAAAGTGCAAACATTCTTCGAACGTGAGGAGAAGCTTAGGCAGCTCATTCAAGAAACTGGCGGAGTACTTCAAAAGGAACTGTTAGAGTTGTTCAAAGAGTCCTGGCAGAAGATTGTTTCAGCAGACTCGTCTTCCCAAATCAAGGAGGCAATTCAATCCGCTAGTAAGTTGTTTGTGGAAGAGAATGAGGACGAGGAAGAAACCAATGTTGGCTTGCAAATTGACACTCCATTGACTTCAACCGGTGGTGAATCAGTTGAAAGCGATGAGGAAGTTTCGACTTCTCGCAAACGCCGGGTACTCGATGATGAGGACCTTGGCGAGGGGCAATTACAATCTAGCAAAAGGAGAGCAATGATCTCTGATGAAGAAGATATCGAGTAATTAACTTTTAAATACCTATTTATGCAACGTCACAATGAGAGCCACCGTCTTCATTGCTTAAGCCGGTACGGATAGTCATGATGGAGCTTATGATCATCACAGCAAAACCGAATATAGTACACGCAATGCTGGGGGAACATTTCTTTAGGTAAAACTTTATTCTTTCCTTCTTGTCTGCGTTCTTAAAATCGAGTCTGTCGTAAGATAGTTTCAAGTAGCACAACGGTGGAATGATATAAGCCATAAGGGAAGCTGAAGTGGCCCCGATAAGTTCTAAAATCATGCCCAAATTACAGGTCAATAAAGCAACCCCCATGGAAGAAAAACAAAGGACCGTTGTGATGATAAAATGCTGCTTATTGGAAAGCTCTAAATGGGCAGTGCTTCCGTCTGAGTCGGGATCCACTTTGCTCGCCAATACGATGTCCTTGAGAACATCTCGAACAACGAAAAGTTCTAATGGAAAAGTAGTCAACATGTTCAATCCAAAACAGAAGCGAGCTAAATTGATCCAAGTGTCATCGCTTTGGAAATTATTGAGGATATTGCCTTTCGTCTTGTCTCCGAAATTCAATAAACCAGATAATCCCATAAGAAGACAGAAGCACATCGAGATCCCGCAAGCCCAATGAGTTAACTTCGCAAATTTAGAAACCGTAGCATTCTTTAATGAGTTGTAAATGAAAATTGTGTTGTGGTGACAGACAAGTGCAAACGAGATGACTGAGATACCTTGGAAAATGTTAAAGCTGATAAACCACTGCCCTTGGATAGTGATGACTTGAGGGAATCGTCGACCATTGGTCCACGAGCAACTGTGACGATGACAATAATAATCATACCCAAAAGGGCGAACCCAGATGCCTTGGCGAGTTTTGATATGTCTCTGTTAAGAGACAAAGGATAGGATATGCAAGCGGTGAATATCGTGATGATAACGTTTCTTCCGAACATCCAACCGATAATCGATGTCAGTGGATCGGTCCATGAATCTGGAAGTGCAGACTTAAGAACGTGAGGGATGGTATCACCGATAATCACACAAAATGCCATACAGCCACCGTAAGCAAATGAGCTAATGGAAAAGAGGAGAAGAATTTTCCCCCATTTGCCGTAGCAGTAGAATACGGTGTCTTGATAAGACCGGGTTTGAGATAGCTGGGCATTGACCACAATCAATCGTAACGTCCAGTCAATAAGGCCGGTAAGGAAAAACATGATAAGCGTTCCTCCTAAAACTCCACTGTTTTTGAATGCAAAGGGCTGACCTATGATACCTGCGCCGAGAATAGAGTTCGCCATGTTCATGAAAGCCATTTTCATGTTGGAAGTCCCGCTTCCTTCCTGATTTTCTGACAACGATTCGAGGTCGGGCTCCTGCTGTAACCCACTTTCGAAATCAAGATTATCTATTTCCGCAAGGTCTTGTAGTGGAATATCATCCTCTATGACATCATCTGCATTGGCTCTTTCCTGGGATCTGTGGGCTTCCTGGGGCAACAGCACATATTTGTTCGGCTGTGACATGATTTAGCATATGCTCTGGTGTAATTTTGGCAGAGTATTCGAGCGGTTAGAGGCGCTTGGAACTATGCCTTTTTATGCAATTACGTAGCCTTGTTGTAATTTTCTCGACAAAACTGTATCTAACTGATTTGGAAATTGAGGTGATTGTTACATGGTTGCAAATTCTACGCGCGATGTACGAATAAGTGTGATATGAACAGATTCTTTCATTCGAAAAGAAAAAATTGAAAAATCAAAATCAGCCAACAAAACTTCAAAGGTATCTTTTGTGAGTTCGGAATAAGGGCTCACTATCCAACTTTTTAAAAAAAGTGCCCATATAAACAGTTAAGTATTGCAACTTTCCAGACCCCAGAATATAAGCCATCGGGAGTGCACAAATTTTTGTAGCTCTTCACAAGGAACTACTCCACATTTCTCCAATATGGCTGGCTCACAAGATAGAAGGAAACCTTTCCAAGGAAAAAAGTTTCATAAAGATCTTAGGGAATACAAGAATCAAGAGATAAAACGGTCTCTTGTCCACAGAGCTCGATTGAGAAAGCAGTACTTTAAGCTCCTCGAGGAGGAGGGTGAAGTGCCTTCTCATGAAAAGGGAGACAACAACAACGAAAAGGACGCTGCATCTGACCAGTCTGACTCTGAAGAATCCGACAACGATGTTCAACAATCAAAAGTCAAACAAAAAGCATCGTTACCACCTCAACAGGCACCTCCAAAGGTTACATCGCAAAGGAAACCACTCAACTTCCAGGAGAGAGCTAAGCTTGCTAAAGAGAGAAAGGAACAACAAAGAGAGGAGAAGCTTCAGAGAGTAAAAGATAGGAGGCGAGCCATCGAACAGAAGCAGAAGGAAAGAGAGAAGAAGAAAGAGAGTCTTTCAAGAAGAACCAAATCAGGTCAACCAGTCATGGGTCCTAAGATCAACGATCTTTTGGACAAAATCAGAAACAATCAATAGATCATAAGTCAGGGCATGTTAATATATACACGGATGGGTATTCTATGATGTGAGGTGCTTTCTGAGATTTCTGAAGAGCATGAATATGTCGTAGAAAAACAAAGCACTCTTTCTTCTCTCGTAGGCGAGCCAGCTTGTGAGTCTATGGTAGATCCAGGCTAACGAATATGATTTGTAGGCCTGGTTATCTTTTTCTTTGCTCTCCTCGTAAACAACTTTGGCGCAATAGTTTGCCAAAATCAAAAATGTTCTCTCTGGTCCTAAGGGATTGTCCAAGTTCTCGTCAAGATTCCTCGTCAAATCATTAGTTTTCAAGATCAATAAAACCATACGAGGCATATTACTCAAGACATCCATCAAGTCCTCGAGAACGCCTTCTTCGGAGTGCAATTGATGCTGCATGTTCTCTACCTCGCTCAAGTCTCTGGATTTTGAAATATCGTAATTCAAAGCAGTATCTGGATCTCTTCCAGTAATTGCAGCGGCAAAGATCTGAAATTTCCGCTGGCCCTTCACGTGTGCCACTCTCTCGGCGTAGTATTTCATCTCAGGAATATTGTTGTCTAAAATCGCCAACCACAAATGGGCATAGTCACGCTTCATCTCTAGGGGAATGTAGCGGTAGAGGCCATGGTCATAGAGGACAATCTCAAAGTTGTGCCCGCTTCCGCTCTCGGATTTGGACACCTTCCTGATTGCGAGATTGCCGCCATGTGGATCGCAATGTAATCCAGCATCGGGGAGAAAAATCATGTTGTTGAATATATGGGAAAGACAAGATGAGACTTCCGCAGTGTTGATGTTGTTCTTCTTGATGTACTTCAAGTCGTCAAGTCTGGCGCCAGCGACGAATTCCATGACAAGGATACGCTTGTTCGCAGATATGACTTTTGGAATCCGCAAAGCAGTATCTTTTTTGTACTTCTCGAAATATTTGGCTGTCTTTTCAGCATTTCTCGCTTCGTTAACGAAATCCAACTCGACATATATGGAGTTTTGCATTTCGTCACCAAGCCATGTCATTGGGTACTCAGGAAACACCTTGTACATCAAATCGAAGACTGTCCGCGTCATGTATATGTCCAAGGGTACGAACTCCGCAAGGGAAGGGTGCTGAACTTTGACTGCTACCTTTTCGCCAGAGCCTTTCAATCTCGCAATGTGAACCTGTGCCAATGATGCCACGCCCACTGGTTCGGGATCAAACTCGCTGAACATGGCATCGAGAGGCATACCCTCATCGGCGAGAAACATCTCCTGGATTTCTTCGATTGAGGAACGTGGGCATCTATCTTGAAGTGGAATCATTGTGTCAGTCCACTCTCGAGGAAGCAAGTATGTCAAGGCGGATACGTGCTGACCAAGTTTAATGTAGACACCACCATTTTTCTCTAAAGCTTTGAGGGTGATCTTAGCAGCCTTAAGATGAGCTTCCGAGAGGGCTTTACTGCGTTCTTGCTGGTCATCGAAGTCCTTCCCGAGGACATTGACATAGATATTGAAACACCTTGTTGTGGCCACAGTAACCACACCAACACGTTTAGAGGTGTAGTATATGTGCTTGACCGAATCACGGAAGGTATCGCTAGTAGCATACAAGGTTCCTCCTAGGAGACCCGTTGCCAAAGCTACCTTGAGCAAGGTGTTTGACCTTTGCTTTGGAATTGCTGTTGAGCCATAGCGTCGACTTATGGGGCTTGCCGCAGCACTCGTCTGTCTAAAGGTTATACGAGTACCCCCCAACGATGCTGCATAGCGAAACATGAGAGTAGTTCGGGAAAGTCAACTCGAAGATTTGATAGCACTTTGATCATGTGACTAGGAACGGTCCAAAGAATGGCTGCGAAAAACTACGTTTACTTAGCACCGTTTTTCATATATCATACACGGCCTTCCGAACTAAAATAATATACACCAAAATTAAAAAAAATAAATGTAGGACCATTGTTTTATCACTGGAACATGCCCTCAATGTTTGGGTTGTTGAGCTCGCCGGGCCAAATTGAGCCATAAGCGTCTCATCAGGGAAGAGATCGAAATTAAAGTTTGGTATGGTGTCCCAATCCATTGTGCCCACGGTCGGACTAGGAGAGGCCATCGGCATGGGTGGGATGGACATTGGAGGAGCAGGCATCATTAAGGGGAAACCGTTCGTAGAGGGCCTAGGCAGAGGTCTCTTGATGATATGATTCTCTGTGGGTGGAGGTCCATCAATACTTGGGCTTCTTCTAATATTGCTTTCGTTGAAGCTTGGAGCTTTACCAGCGCCTCTCATTGCTTCGTGATTGAATGGACACCTTCGCTTTCGTGAGTCGTTAAAGGGGGAAGTCGGTTCGTTTTTGATCTGTGCTTGTGGAGAGTTCTGTTCCACTGTAGAGCTCTGCCTTGAGAACAGAGATCTTGAAGGGTTGGAAAATGGCTCAAAAGGCTCGAAACTGTTATTTTGGAGTGGGAATGGACATCCACCGGACGTAGCGGTACTACTCTTGCGATCTGAGGTGGAGGCGACTTTCGCTGGACTTGGCAAAACAGGGCAAGTGTCCATAAGCTTTCCGGATTTGAAAACATCAGCATGAATTCTGGCATAGGCAGCTGGGTTCATCCGGTGTGAATTTCGAACAAACGTCATGTAAAACTTCCACATTTTGGAAACACGACTAAATGTTTCACGATTTAACAGGCTCTCTAGAAGCATTAAAACAGAGTCTGTTGCCATAATGAGTTGCTCTTTTTGTTGTACCGGGATTGTAAAGGGTTTGGCATTCTCTGAAGGAGCTGTGTAAACAAGAGAGGACGGCGCAGGGGTTTCATTGGAGTCAATTCCATCTCCACTCTCGTCTCTCTTGAAGCGTATGAGAAGGCCCACATTGAGATGGGACACCCGTGACAAGATCTCTGCGACGGCACCAAGAATGTATTGTGACCCTGTGTTCTTCGAAAACTGCTTCACACTCTCTTGCAAGAAGTTAATCAAGTCCAAACCTTTGGAGAACAAAAGTGGTAAAATCTTGCACATCGAATCATAGTCTAGTTCCTCTTCACACTGCAAGAATATGATGAACGAAATGTAGAAGTCTAAATATTGGAACATACTTCTGACTTCAAAATATCTCGACATTCTTAATTTTGTGAGGGACATGTCTTCGATCCAAGCGGCTATCTCCTTAGTCAACCTTTGCAAATCACTAATTGTAACATTTGAGCCAGACAGACGACATGTACTCTTGCGAAGAAATAAAAAGATTTTTGAGCTCAAATAATAAACATGTAGAGATGCCAAAAGCTCGGAAATCTGGTCGTCGCTTGGGTCAGCCTTTTGCTTGGAAACATATTTGAGGTGGTCTTGGTTCTCAGCGGCCTCATGTATGTTCTCAAAATAACTCTCAATTTGCTTATCAAGCTTGTCAGAATGACGAAGGATGGGAACTGTGCTGAATGTGACATGATTAATAATTCTCATAAAGTCCACCCACAAATGACTCAAGTGAAGTCTAAGCTCTTTTTGTCTAACATCGGACATGTTGGCACCGTTGAAACGCACATAAGTTGGGTCAGCCCAAAGACGTAGCCTGCTGTCGTCTCTATCTAGCATGTCAAGCATTCTTGCAAGTATGGATGTGAAGCTCAGACGCACATCCCCTGTGATTCCGGGCTTTATGTAAAGAGCGATGCACCTGTTTAGAAAGCCCATGAAGACAGCAAGGCATGGCAACAGACTGCAGAATTCAGTGGAGTATGATTGGGGAGCAAGAAACTCGAGGAAGTCACGTATGGAGTCGTGCACGGAGGTCCTCTTATATCCCAAACCTTGATGCACTGCTTCTAGAGGGAAAACCTGATGAAACATGTTCAGGATCTCATCTTGCCCGCCACTTCTCAGTCTCAAGATATCAAGAGACTCTTCGACCATGAGACCTAGCATACAAAGGTATATTCCCTTCAATTTAGCGAATGAGATCACCTCCGCCTCGCTCATTTGGGAATCAAGGCCACTTAGATCTAGCATTGCATCGTTACCATTCCTCTTGAAAAGGTCTAGAATGTCGTCACGGTAAAATCGAAAAAGGTCTCGGGACTCGAGCTCGTACAGCAGTACCGCAGCTGGTGCGTTAGAGAGATTTAGATAAAAATTGATCAAGTAGACAAGCTGGTCGAAGTTCATCTGTTCCAGACCACGACCGTAACTTATCAACTCCAACCATAATTTCTGGAGTTGTGAAATAACTGTCGAGGGATTGTTGCCACGACTAGAAGAGTCCGAGCTCTCATTCTTAATCTTTGCACTTTGTGAGCGGCTCATCGGCGTTCCCACCTTGTTCGAAGTCTCCTCCACCATGAGGTTGAACTCACAGGCCACCACAGGGCATTGAAGATGGCCACACGAGGGTCCATGCTCATGAGAAGCACCAGACATGGGGCATCCATTGTCTCCGTAGACAGCACGCTCTGACTTGGGGTATTTCGTGAGCAAACTAGTCTTGTACATGTGATAGGATTTTTGTAGGTTCGTGATTTTGTACCAGAGCCCTGTTAGCTGCGGATCAAGCTTGATGATGTTGAGCCATGAATAGAGCTTAGCAACGAAGGACTCAGAGCATTTGCTCTTTTTCAGGTATCGGAAGCCCTTGAGCGAGTAAAAGTTGTCGTCCAAGACCTCTGGCGTCAGGGTCTGTGTGTCAGTTGTGTCAAGCTTTCTCAAGATCGATATCGCCGAAGCGGCTGCATCGCCCAGAAGCGAGTAGGATGGCACCACCGGGGCAGTGCTTTTGGGCTTATGAGTTCCTGCTTTGCCTCCGGTGTATTCTGGCTGTCAAGCTTGGCCCGAAGAGCCTCTATCTCGCTTCTCTGGGCTGCTATCGTCTTCTCCATGCTGGTTTTGACTCTGACGAATTCGGCCTTAAGCTTGACATCTTGATCTTCAGCAGCCTTCCTGACCTCGTCATCGACCCACGTAGGCTCCACATAGACACACAAGTGGCCAACGTTATTCTTTACACATCCGCTGCACGGTCTCTTTTTGTCACAGCGGACTTTCCGCTTTTTGCAAGTAAGGCACGAGATGGGGGCTCTCTTGCGCAGTCGCTTCTCCATCTTTTTTGCAAAGAAACACTGTTAAGAAACGTTGTAGATTTCGTTATCCGGTTCGGAACGCTAGTCTGAATATCTGAAGCGATATGTGCGAGAGTGTGCAGCGGTAGATCCGAGAAGGTCTGTTCGTGCCGGAGTGGCTGCACCAGTCTTGACAAACACTTATAGCGAGGTTTGAGCGAGTCGGCTTCCTGCACTGCCAAAAATTGTTTTTTACCGCTTTCGGTTGGTCCAAAGGCTGAGTGCCTGGCATTCGTGAACCACATGGAGAGAGACTGAACGAGGCTTGAGGACCCTGGTGTAATGGTATTTGAGCACTCCGATGCGGGCTACTTTGCAGCCATCGCCGAATTCTACGTCGGAATATTCGCTACTTCCCCATAACCCTTTCGTGGTACGCAAATGACTTTTCCCTTCTCGAGGCACAGATCGCTGAGCCGGCGGAACTCCAGAGATAAGTAAAAAAATGCCTTCCTGCTTGCAGATGAAGTAGCTTCACTGCCTTCCGTGCGGCTTCGATAATCACGCTTAACTAGTCAAAGTTGCTGGCTGAAGTTCAACCGTATTTGAAGAAGGACACAGTTATCCATTGGAATCTTGAAGTATTGGGCCACGGCCTGATGTGGTTTACGTCCTTGAATAGCACCTCTTCAACTGGGCGAACCTGGGGTCCCGTTCAGCTCTGGTAAGGTCCAACAAAAACAACCCCAGAATTTCAATCTCGCAAACTCTCCCTTTCTTTTCACCCCCCGACATTGTTAAAACATCAAGAACAAGCCTTTTTTGAACACATTTATGGTGCCTTGAACTGGCTGTCCTGCATGCTTCACAACTTAAAGCGTTCTGGTGAGCCTCCTAACATTCACCGACATGTCTTCTGGTGTACCCATCAAGCTTCTAAACGAGGCACAGGGCCATGTTGTGTCTCTAGAATTAACCAATGGAGATACCTACCGCGGCAAGTTGCAAGAGTCCGAGGACAACATGAACTTATCGCTTGGCGATGTGACCATCACCAAAGGAAAAACAGGAGAAACTACATACAAAGGCCAGGTGTTTGTCAGGGGCTCGATGATACGATTTGTCAGCGTACCTGACATACTACAGTATGCTCCAATGTTCTTCATGAAGCCCGGCGAGAAGCCAAAGCCTCCTGTGAGAGGCCCTCCACCAAAGAGAACAAAGCACTAGACCTACATTGTAAAGTATTATCCTTGTATATTAATAACGACGCTAACGTTTCATTCCTCGTGTAGACAACGCCAAATTACTATTCCTCCATTGCGACATCGGTGGCCGCCCTTACGCACTGCTTGAGATGTAACATGGCAGCTGCCACAATGTCTGGGTCATCGTCATCTTCCTCCACATGCATGTTGCTGTCCCGGTCGTAGATGGAGCTCAACCAGTGAGACGTCACATCTGCCAACCTGGACTGGTCCACCTCCAGATATGCTATCTCTGGTGTGGGGTTTTGAGAGCTTAGCTTTAGGTTACCCAAGGGCACCAAACGCTCCCTTACTTCGTCAATTGCCTGTTGATAGGCTTGCTGTTGCTCGAGTAATTCACAAATTTCCTCTTTATCCTCATGAAAGGCCTTTTGAGCACTCATCGAACTGTCCACCGCGGAATAAGATGAGTTGTTTGTGGTGAGCTCTGTGTTGATGTTGTTTGAATATCCGAAGAGTTTCTGAAGAAACGCTCTCTTCTGAAGAACTTGAACACGCCGTTTGCCAGAAATGGTGTGATTCGAAGTGTATAATTTTTCATACTCGTCAGACTGTTGCATGGCATGTGCCCAAAGAGCTTTTTTCTCCTCCTTCTCGTAATCATCAATATTGGGAGACTCCACGCATCTTTGCAACCGATCGAAATGTTCAGACACTATTTCCAATTCCGTTCTTGAGAGTTCAGGGATCAGCGCAATGATCGTGTTTGGAACACTAGGCTCAGTCCACTCGTCATTGCCTCTGTCAATACTCACTTCCTCATCCGCTCCAAACTCGTACGTATCGTCGTCGAGCCATGCTTCGTCATCTTGCTTGGTGTAATCAAAAACTCTGTTTGATGTTATCGTCTCGGCAGACTCCCATGCCTTTATTTGCGTCAGCCTCACTGGGGGAAGTGATGGCTTTACTGGCTCAGCTGGAGATGTAGGCAGCAGCAGAGACTGTGGTGCAATAACAGGACTTCTTCTAGTTGTATTATGCTGCTTTGTGAAAACCAGGTAATCATAATGAGACATATCAGCTGGCTTGTGTAATACAAATGGCTGAGTTGGGGCATAAGACTTCTTCAGTTGCTGGAAGTTGAGTAGCTTTTTAGATGCTTTAGCTTCAGGCTTGAACTCAGGCCTGAGTGTCTTGCTCTTCTTCTTATGATCATTCTTCTTTTCGATGAACGGTTGTTCCTGGCGCACCCGTCGTATGTTGTTGCTGGGTGTGGAAATTGTGGATGTTGATGATGAGACGGTCCTCAGAGTAAGATTGGAGATGTTCTGAGCAGAAAAGTCGGCAAACGAATGTGATGGAACTCGAAGTTTCGGTAGCGTCGTTGAAGTCTTCCTTTCAGTCATGATTGATTTGTAAAAATATGGGTCCGTTTGTTGTGGAAGAGTATCAGGCTGATCCTCTCTTGTATTTGTGATCTTGATAAGTCGGGAATGCAGGAACCACGATATACACCAGGGTATGTCACATCCGGACAGATCAGAAATGATGAGGGAAAATCTCGAGAGATCTCATTTAAAGTAATTTACATTACTGTTATCATTCTATATAAAATGTTTCGTTTGTATGATGCCTGGTCGAGAACCAAGTAAGCTCGGGGTGCAGCCGTACCCTTATCGCATTGACGTCAGGCGGAACAACACTGACAGAACGATAAAAGCACAACTGATTGATTAAAAACAATTACATCTCTCAGTTCAGGTCGATTTGAAAACTTACTAAATGAACTCAAAACAATACCGTTGGACTGCGTGGAAGAATCACCTGATAGTCGACTATTAAGGACAACAATAACGATAAGGACCCAAAAGATTAGTAGTTTTCCATATTATTACATAGAATCAGCAAAATTTTACCAGATGAATTGGGTTTTGACGGCGTCCGGGTGACTCTATCCTCTGTGCAACTACCGGGTGATAAAATGACTAAAAGTACATCACCAACTAATAAGGAACTCGTCAGCCTAACAATACTCAAAGACAGCAACAGTTACGCATTTACTCTTTGGAAATTCGAATTATGTCGAAGGTTGACCAATTTCAAGGTCTCCTCGAGTGTACCCATTCTGCTTACGGTTGACAGCGCACAGATCAAGTGAGCACGAATTGGCCATTGAGCCCAGTGATATATTAGTCTGTCCATCAATTTACTTGCAACATAAAAAGTCTCTGAAGCTGTTTCCATTGACGCCAGCCTTAATGGGTTGACCCACTCTGATTCTACTCACGTGCTTAGGGCTTTAGCCCTGTGCTTTACAAACCTGCACTCAATACTTTTTGTGCTGGACACATCGCAAAAAATTCTCCCGCGATTACTACTGAAAATTCCTTCTCAGTGATAGCTAACTATACCAACAAGAATCCAAGATGGCTACTGAGTTGACTGTGCAATCTGAGAGAGCTTACCAGAAGGTATGTTATAAGAATTAACATCTGTATTAATCAGATGTGATTTACGGCGAATCCCCGATCATAATGCTTAAGAATGGACCATCGAAGTTCACTCAAGACATATATCCTGATGGCCCCTTCATGTTCAAATTTAAGATCGACTAGAAAGTTTCGACTAATAAGCCGCTGTTCTCAAACGACTTACTAACATTTAGCAACCACACATCTTCACCAACCCAAAGACCAAGGGTAACAAGAAGGCCAAGAGATTCGTCAAGGAGGTCGGCTTGGGTTTCAAGACCCCTAAGTCTGCCATCGAGGGCTCTTACATCGACAAGAAGTGCCCATTCGTCGGTCAGATCTCTATCAGAGGTAAGATTTTGACCGGAACTGTTGTTTCCACCAAAATGCACAGAACTATCATCATCAGAAGAGACTACCTCCACTTCGTTCCTAAATACAACAGATACGAGAAGAGACACAAGAACGTCGCTGCTCACGTTTCCCCAGCTTTCCGTGTCCAGGAGGGTGACGTTGTTGTCGTTGGTCAGTGCAGACCTCTTTCCAAGACTGTCAGATTCAACGTCTTGAAGGTTGCCGTCTCCAAGGCCAAGTCTAAGCAGTTCACCAAGTTCTAAGCCTGTTTGCATATCAAATAACTCAGGTTTTAGGCTTTTGTACCTTAATGTTAAAATAAGATAAATACGCAACGTAGATTTTTCTCTTCTATTTATACGTTTGATGGTGTTTCCTTCTTCGTCACCAGTAGCTCTTTTTCTCCCCATATGTTCAACGAGGCCTCTAACTCTCCCTTGTTATGCAAATCGATGAAGTCGTCGGCGCCTCCTCGGCTTTGTGGATTGGATGCTCCCACAAGAACATTTGGAACGGTCTTCCTGCCAGTGATTTCGCCTAGATAGGCCTGAAGCTCTTTGCCGTGCTTCGATTTGTCGAGCTCAACGATAGTTGGTGGAGGAACAATATTGTAGCTGTCCAGCAAGAGCTGCTTCAACCTCTTGGAGAATGGACAGTATGATTTGGAAAATATCGTCATGGGTGCTAAGGCTCTGATCTCCCTATATTGTTTGGCGGGATCGTATTCCTCGGTAGTTGAATCGTCTTCAAGCGTCTCCTGCTCTATTTCTCCATTATTCTCGGCATCCTCTTTGCCTTTTGTTTTAGAAATCTCTTCGTTTATTGCGGCATCCACTTGAGCGTTGTTGGCAGACTCCAAGAGCGTACTTCCAGCTGCCTGCTTTGCTACCAGGACATTTTTGTGTCTAGATTCACGAGTCAATAATAGAATGGTTGTGAGAAGCGTTATGCCAACCGCGAGGGCAAGCACGCGTATCTTTCGGTTTGATACCATTGCTGCCAGTTAGTAGTGAAAGGAAAGTTAGTTTTGATGCGATACCCCGGAGCGCGAAAATCTATGTAGCCTGGGGGCGGTGTCGATACATGTTATCATAGAGGGATTGACCCAAGGTGTCGAAAAAGTTATTAAGAAGCAATCGGAAATGCTGTGTTAATCCAACCTTCCTAACAAATTTCAATTTTTCGACATTTGTACATTTTTAGGCGCTGAATAGTAGATGCACACTTCTGCAACAACCATGTCTCATTAGTGCGCTTACACAAATTGCAGTAAGCCAGTGTTCACACTGGGGTAATGACGAAAAAGAAAAACACACACTATTTCTATCGAAAATAGTATTCTATCGAAATTAAAAGCGAACCAGGAGGTAGTTCAAGCAACGGTCCATGGGCTTTACTGAAATAAAAAATAAAGGTGAAGGAGACTTGATTCATCAACAAGTTATATCAGATGTTTCTTTGCCAATTCGATTCCATATAAGTCGCCAAAAGGTCGCCAGATTGTGACATTCCAACCCCAGGGAACGAAGCAAACAAGCCTCCTACAGATGCACCTCCGTCGGCTCTGTCGGCAAATGAATGATGAGTACTCAAGCGCTGGAGCGTTGCGAACGCTGCACGATCGTTAAAAAAAAAAAAATTCGAGGAGGAATGCGTCAACAAGTGGGGTAAGCCAAAAATTGCCCCACCGCAACGTCCTTCCAAGAAAATTGTAGAATGCCTATAGGGCTTCTATGTTTCGCTTGACAGAGGGGTCTTACTGGGACCTGTCAAAAATTCTTGGCATACATCATCGACAGGAAATGATATCAGCCGTGGAAAAATGCCTTTTGCTTTAGGCTCAGAGTTTTTTATCCGAGCTGCAAAACCATCTTAAGCAAAATTGATTGGAGGTGCTTCGGCGCCAAAAAAAAACTTTAGAAATTGAGCCATCGTCCTTACACAACATACGTAGCCGCAACGCAGCTCTCCGTCCACGGTCTGCACATTTTGTGTAAATACTGCATACCGTTTGTCGGTTCTGTCATATAGCCCCACGCTGCATGAGTGGTTGCAACCAGGCTGCATCTGGTCTATTCAAGGACTCTCGGTCTTATAACGCCACTTATCCCGCTTCGCTTACTGGTGACCAGCCTACCAGCAGGCATCTTTTCATTCTGTACCTGTACCTCCGCTTACCCCACCACCTCGTCTCCCTCTAGAATCTAATATAAACCCCCTCCCTCGTCATCTTCTCTGTTCTTCTTGTGTCATTTTTATTGGGCTCTTTTATTATGTCTGGCAAAAATCTTTCGCCATCCTCCCTGAATGCTAACTTGGAAAAACATGCTGGTACTACTCCAGTTGCGCCCGAAGAGAATTTGATAAAGCCACCGAGTTTCACGGTCGAATCAATTAAAAACTACTGTGTTACCAGAGTAACAACATTGGTTCCAACAAAAGAATATGTTCGTGCTAACAAAAATTTATTGAACCCAATCCCTGCTTTGAGAGACATTAGTGGAAAGCAATGGTTGTTTATATTGTGTGCATTCATGGGCTGGACTTGGGATGCATTCGATTTCTTCACAATTTCTTTGAATGTCAATCAACTCTCCAATGATTTGAACAGAAGTACAACCGACATCACTTGGGCCATTACCTTGGTGCTTATGTTGCGTACCGTGGGTGCTTTCATTTTTGGTTATTTTGGTGATCGTTACGGTACCAAATGGCCTTTTATTGTGAACTTGCTCCTAATGATGGTCATCCAAATTGGATGTTCGTTTATTGAGACCTTCAAACAATTTTTGGGTGTCAGAGCACTTTTCGGTATTATCATGGGAGGTATTTACGGTAACGCAACTGCAACTGCCTTGGATGACTGTCCACCCAGATCTAGGGGTTTCATTTCTGGTTTCCTCCAACAAGGATATGCCTTTGGCTATTTGTTGGCCGTCATTTTCACCAGAGCCTTGGCAGACACTCAAAAGCACCAATGGAGAGCTGTTTACTGGTTCGCTGCTTGTGTTACCTTGATCATCTCTATTTCTAGAGCAATGTTACCCGAGACCAACGCTTTCCTTCAAAAGCAGGCTATCAAAAGGTATCAGATGGAAGCTGGTATTGTTCCTGAGTCTTTCGGCTCCAAAGTGAAGAAAGCCCTCAAGATATATTGGCTCATGACCATCTACATGGTTCTTCTCATGGCCGGTTTCAACTTTATGTCTCACGGTTCCCAAGACTTATTCCCAACTTTCTTGACTGAACAATTGGGCTTTTCAAAAGACAGATCCACTGTCACCAACTGTGTTGCTAACATTGGTGCCATTGTTGGTGGTTTGATAGTTGGTCACTTCTCCAACTTCGTCGGTAGAAGATTGTCCATCATGATTTGTTGCGTTGGTGGTGGTGCATTGATTTACCCATGGGGCTTCGTCAGAAATGATGGTATCAATGCTGCTGTCTTCTTCTTGCAGTTTTTCGTTCAAGGTGCCTTTGGTGTTATTCCTGCTCATTTGAGTGAATTGGCCCACCCAGACTTTAAGGCATTCACTGTTGGTCTCGCATACCAGCTCGGTAACTTGGCCTCTTCCGCATCATCTACTATTGAATCGCAGTTGGGTGCTCAATTCCCAATTGTGAATGAAAAAGGTGAGACAATTTATGACTACGGTAAAGTTATGGCCATTTTCATGGGCTGTGTGTTTGCCTACAACTTGGTGATGTCTTTCGTCGGTCCAGAGAACATGAACATTAGTGAAGAGGTCAACGATGAGGACCCTGCAGCTGTATTAGACACAACCATTGCCGAAAAAGCCTCACAGGAAAGAGTGGAAAACTCCAGCCTCGTGCAGGGAAAGGTTCACAAATAGATGTACAATAGATATTTATTTTTTAACTCAACGTTCTATCTCTGCGTGTTACAAGTTTTTATCGTGAACCGCATTGTTATATAAATACTCAAAGAGTAGGTAACCCGCCTACAACTTCTCAGCAGTGGTTGGTCTACCGACGGTGGTGACGTCGTTGTAGATCAAGGTGGTGACGAAGTCAGAGTACTTCTCACCCAAAGCCTCTGGCTTGAAGTAGTCCAAAGCTGGCTTGAACTTGTTGCCGGCTGGAGCAGACTTGGCCAACTTGGAGTACTCCTCGTCCAAGAGCTTGGCAACGTACTCCTTGGTAACCTTCTGACCCTGGTCAGTCACGGCACCGTGAGTAACCCATTGCCAAAGCTGGGTTCTGGACACCTCGGCGGTAGCAGCATCCTCCATCAAGTAGTTGATAGGAACACAGCCAACGTTACGCAACCAGGCCTCGATGTAAGACAAACCGATGATACAGTTGGCTCTGATACCCTGCTCGGTGATCTTGGCCTCTGGCACGTAAGGACTCAACAAGTCTCTGGCAGTGACAGGCTTGTAAGGAGTCTTTGGTGGGACGTTGATCTGGTTTGGACCCTTCATGTGTTCGTTGAAGACCTTCAACACAACTGGGACCAAAGCTGGGTGGGCAACCCAACAAGAGTCGCAACCAGCCTGGACCTCTCTCAACTTGTCCTTGGTGACGTTCTCCAAGGCGGCTCTGTTTCTGGCCTCGTCATCCTTGATAGGAATCTGAGCGGCCATACCACCCAAAGCGTGCACCTGTCTCTTGTGGCACGTGTGCACCAACAACTTGACGTATGAAGCCATGAATGGAGAGGCCATGGTGACCTGGGATCTGTCTGGCAAGATGAACTCCTTGTGCTTTCTCATCGACTTGATGAAAGAGAAGATGTAGTCCCATCTACCACAGTTCAAACCACCAATGTGCTGTCTCAACTGGTAGATGATCTCATCCATCTGGAAAGCAGCTGGCAAGGTCTCAATCAAGACAGAACCTCTGATGGTACCTCTTGGGAGTCCAATGTAGTCCTGGGAGAAGTTGAAAATGTCATTCCACAACTTAGCCTCCAAGTGGTGCTCCATCTTTGGCAAGTAGAAGTATGGACCGAAACCACGCTCCAAAGTCTCTCTGGCGTTGTTGTAGAAGTAGAGGGCAAAGTCGAAGATACCACCAGAAACTGGCTCACCGTCAACCAAGACGTGCTTCTCCTCCAAGTGCCAGCCTCTTGGTCTGACAATCAAGGTTGGAATGTGTCTCTTTGGGTCCAAGTTCAACTTGTACTGCTTACCGTTGGAGCTGAAAGACAAGTTTCTGCGGACACCGTCGTACAAGTTGACCTGACCGTCAACCAAGTTCTTCCAGGCAGGGGTCAATGAGTCCTCAAAGTCAGCCATGTAGGTGGCAACGTTGGAGTTCAAGGCATTGATGACCATCTTTCTGTCGGTAGGACCAGTGATCTCAACTCTTCTGTCCTGCAAGCCCTGGGCCAATGGAGGACCAGTCCAAGAAGGGTCCTCTCTGATGTGGGCAGTCTCTGGCAAGAAGTCTGGCAAGACACCCTCGTCTCTCAACTTCTGCTCCTCTTGTCTGTTGGCCAACAAACGCTTTCTCTCACCATTGAAGGCACGGTGCAAAGTGGCAACAAGACCCAAGGCCTCCTGGTTGAAAATGTGCTTAGCCTCCTGGGGCACAGGAGCCAAGATCTGGACGCCTTGCAATTTCAGGGATGTGGTTGGGAAAGGGTTCGACATTTTTTATTTTTATAATTTATAAAAAATTTTCTATCCCTTGCTGGCGGACGGGGTGCTCTTTATATATGCGCTCACAATGAGCGTATGGGTACCCCAGATTCCCGTTCCAGCGGATGTAACCCTGACTAGCAATCAGAGTCAGGACTGGGCCAACGCCTGTGACAGTATCGCTTAACTATGGTGGTGCACGGGTTTTTCGTCCACCACCCGCGCTCCCCAGAGGCTCCGATAACCACCAGGTATCTATGTGCCTGCCGCTCTTACGTACGGTGACCGGGCGCGCCTCGGACAAATGGATATATCTTGGCTATATCCTCACCTGCCCCGGCCTTTTTCCCGAGGAAACGCTCTTGTGCATGCACTTTTCGAATCGGTCTCACCGGTTCTGGTACACGTACAGCTACAGTGCTCATGTAAGGGAGTTAGTCAATTGCGGTTTTTATTTACTGCTTGGCCCACTTGATGCCCTCCTTAGATGGCGTGATGACGCCATGCTGAGCTGGGACGTAATTGACTCTGTGGTAGGAGTTGAGGTTCTTTCTCAAGACGAACTGGAAGCACGCGGCACCGCCCTGTCTGGCAGTGATGGTGGAGGAAGACAAGAAGTACTCCCAGATTCTGAACCACTTGATACCGTACTTGTTGATCACATTGTCCTTATTGCCCATCCAGTTTCTGTACCATCTCCACAAAGTAGCAGAGTAGGAGACACCAACGTTCTCGACGGAGACAATCTCAAAGCCAGCATTCTCTAAAGCACCAACAACGAAAGCAACAGGGGTCGACGCGTCAGCACCTGGGAAAATGTACTTGTTCATGAACAAACCCCAAACCAAGTCCTCGTATTGCCATGACTTTCTCAAGCCAGCGTACTGCAAGAAGAAAAGACCGTCATCTTCCAAAGAGTCGTAAACCTGAGCCAAGAAGGCACCGAATCTTCTGATACCAACGTGCTCAGCCATCTCAAGACAGGTGATCTTGTCGTACTTACCACTTGGCTTCTCGGACTTAGGAGCATCTCTGTAGTCGCAGCACACAATTCTCGATTGATCTGGAGACACACCGTAGTCGGACAAGAGCTGGTTGCCCCACTTGGTCTGGTTCTTACCCAAGGTAATACCGGTGATCTTAGAGCCGAATTGGGAGGAACCAAAAGCAGCCCAGGTACCCCAGCCACAACCCAAGTCCAAGACGTGGTCGTTCTTCTGCAATTGAATCTTGGAAGCAACAACGTTCAACTTGTTGTCTTGCAATTCCTCCAAGCTCTCCTCCTTGGTGATGTCAGAGATAAGACCCGAGGTGTAGATCATACGAGGACCCAAGAACCAGGTGTAGAAGTCGTCACCTCTGTCGTAGTGATCTCTAACCTGCTCTTCATCCTGAGATTGCGAGTGCATGATAACTTCAGGGATCATTCCCAACAAGAAGAAACGGTAAAGAGACAAAGTGAAGCGGAAGTTGGCCCAGTCGTGTCTGTACTCCATGATGTCCAAGGCGTCACCCTTGAACGACACCTTACCCTCAAAGTACAACTCGTGGAAAGTCTCCATTGGGATCTTGGTACCTTTGCCACCGTTCGAGTCGATGTACTTGGCCTTCAATTCTGGAGTGTGGAATTCCAAATAGTGGGAGATTGGCTTGCCTGGGTACTTGACCTTCTCGTTAAGACGAGGACTGAAGGTGGACAAAAGGGTCCAGTAGGCCATCAAGATAGGGATTGCCAACAAAAGGGCGAAGAATAACCAGGTCTTGAAGCCAAGGCCCAATTTTCTCACCACCAACCATGGAATACCCACCAAGAGGGCGATCATGGCGGTGTTGCTGAAGTTTCTGCTACCTGGACCATCAGCTGGCAATGGAGCATTGTGAATGGCAGGGGAATCCGTGGTAAGAATTCCGCTTGCATCCGAAGCTGGAGGTTGTGGCTTTGCCTCGGGGGTCTTGATGAACTCGACACCAGACAACATGATTCAATTGAAAGTTAGAAAGAGAGACACGCTGGAGAGCGATTTTGTTCACCGCGAAAAAAAAAAAGTTACCGGGCAGTGCGTGTCGCCCTAGAGTCCACGCTCACCGGGTAAAGTCAAAAAAAATGCAGACAGTTAGATCGGCAAGGAAATCGAGGAATTAGTGCAATTGGCCATGAATTTTGTTTGTTGAAGAAGCGAGTATAAAATTCGGTTCGTGTCACAACGCAGATGCCAAAAAGTGACTTGGGTTCGAGACTTGGTATCAGCACCTCGCACGATCCATTGTAGAGGGTCTTCTATTCAGGGGACTTGTCCAGGTTAGAAGGCTGAATGGGTTTTTTGGTATAGACAAGACGCATATGCTCGTTTGCAGCCATTTCGCGGAGGCAGTGGGCCAACCTATGGCCTAGACGCTGAGAAGTCGTAATATCGGTCTGTGGGATGATAAAGATCTGCGTGCTTTTAATGTAACGGAATTGTTCTTTTGGTATTTGGGCATTCCGTCGCTGTAGCGATTAATTGAGTTACAGGTGATTGAATATGGGAAAGATGCACAGTGCGTGTATTTTGACACATTCCACAGTGACACAGCCTGAACAGAGGTGGGCTTATTTTTCACTGAAGAGTAGACATCCCTAAAGCTAAACCTTTCCTCAGTGCAACTAGGGTTTGGTGGGATCATCCCCTCTGGCCAAATATTAGGTTAGTAGAGCTCGAAGATCCTAAGTTAACGTGAAACTTGAAAGAAGGAGCAAACAAAACCCAATTGTACCCTCTTCTAATTTCTGTTAGCTCGAAATCTACTCGAATAGATCTTATACCACGTTCCCATGTCTCACTGATTCTCGTGATGCACCATGTGAAACACCCGCGTACCCCTGGTATGCTTCGACGTGGATGTCCAAACTCTACATTAAGCACTTTTCGTAATAGAAAAAATCATCAAATTTCTGAGGAATTGCTCATTGCACTTCTCTGAAGAGCCCGAATCTGGGTGGACCGCGGTGAGCACCATCTCTGCACACGGCGTAAGCATACTACATTCTAGAGAAACAAAGGCATCGATCCACGCTAATATGGGCTCCACCAAAGACCTGGAGGTCGTGCTTCTAGATTCCGATTCGGATCTGGAGCTTCAGCATGTGTCGAAACGGCAAAAATTAGACCCTCTGCCGCCTCAGCCACAACCTCTGGAGGTTGTTATTCCTCCGTTTCAAAAGCCTTTTCAAGAGTCGGACTCCGAGAGTCCGGTTCCAGAGCAGGTTCCAGCGGCAGAAGCGTACGATGACAAGAGCACTTCGCCAGCACTTTCGGAGTCATCCGAAATCACGGGTCAGAGCGTAAACTCCCTGGATCTAGATGAACTCAGCGCTGGTGACCTCCCATCCAATGGACAGGAGAACGGCAACGGCTTAACTACAGATCAACTTGCAATGAAACGAACAATTTACGAGACACGGAAGTTTTTGAAAACGAAAGGTATTATGGCGTTCCTCGAGGAATATCTTCCGCCTACGGCGCTGAGTGACGAAATCTACAAGTTGATTCTCAAACTAGGCTTCAACCCAAGGAACTTGCCCCCTTTTGAAAAAGGTGAGAACCTTCTTCAACTTATCAAACTTCTTCATTTAGCAATGAAACGTGTTCGTCAGTTGCGATCACGTTTAGACAATTTCTATAGAGTTGAGGACGCCTTGAACAAGATCAAGTCCGCTCAAAAGGTGCTTGTTATAACTGGTGCTGGTATCTCCACCAGCTTGGGTATCCCGATTTTAGATCGTCAAAGGGTTTCTATTCTAGAATTTCCCATATGGGGCTTACAGATCCGCAAGAGGTATTCGACTTGGAAATATTCCACACCGACCCGTCTATCTTTTACTCCATCGCACATATGATCTTACCTCCAGACAACATTTATGCCCCGTTGCACAAGTTCATTAGATTATTACAGGACAAGGGGAAACTCTTGCGAAATTATACCCAAAATATCGATAACTTGGAAGCAAACGCCGGTATACGTCACGACAAAATGATTCAATGTCATGGCTCGTTTGCATTCGCCACATGTGTTACCTGTGGCTACCAAGTTCCTGGCGAAGCTCTCTATCCCATTATGCGCAATAAAGAGATAGCATACTGCCCAAATTGTGCCAAGGCTAGAGAGAAACTTATGAATAGAGACGATTCTTACGTTGAAGAAAGCTATGGTGTTATGAAACCTAATATTACATTTTTTGGAGAGCCCTTCCAAGGGCTTTCCATGACAGTATAAATCAGGATCTTAAGGAATGCGATTTGATCATCAGCATAGGCACATCACTTAAGGTGGCCCCGGTGGCCGATATTGTCGACAAAGTACCTGCTGATGTTCCGCAGATTCTCATCAACAGGGATCCTATCCACCATTGCAATTTTGACATCAGTTTCTTGGGCTACTGTGACGATGTGGCAGCTTACTTGTGCAATAGATTGGGCGACGAGTGGGCCCTAGATCATCCTCAATACGAGGAGTTATTGTGTCCTTCGAGAGATAACCTTCAGCTTGAGACAACCAAGGAACGCGGAGTTTACAATATAGTCAATCTTCAACGTGAGTCTAAAATGGCTAAAGAGCCTCCTGTGGCTCCTGAAGAGCCCGACTTGGTTGTCTTGGAACCTACCTTATAATCTCGTGCATATAGGGAAACTTGATGGTGGGTGGTTTTGCACCCGATGTCGCGCATCACCATCGCTCGAGCTGGAAAGGTGAATACCAGCCGCAATAGAGATATACGATAATGCTTCTTTATAGTAAAATTCTACTCCCTGCTCGAAATAGAGTGTTACATCTCAGCCTCAACAGAGCTAATTGCATCAGGTATAACAGCAGTTGGAAAGACACCCTTGGTACCCGTCACACCGTCAGTGAGGCGAGAGATCCACAAGATAATCAATTGTTCAATGATTTGGTGAAAGAAGTAGATTCGAAAGAGAACCGCAATGACGACTCTTTTGATGACATCTTCAAAGACATCATTCTAGATCCCAAGCAACCCTCACCTGAAACCAAGACGGAGATGGACAAGATCTTCGCTAACATATCTCGAGGTCAGACATCCGAGAAACAAGAGCTATATCAAGGCACCAGTATGGATATTGACATGACAGATGAAACACTGGTACTGGACAAAAAAGCCGAAGACCCCAATATTGTCCAGAAGGAGAAAGAGCTTTTCATGAACATCTTTAAAACATACTCGCAGAAAGAACCCTCCAAGGAAAAAAAAAAATCATCTCATTCAAATCTACTATGGAATCTTCGGGAAGCTATGAGTAATAAGAGCATAGAACTTGATCGCCACATTTCTCGAGCTATGAGGCCCTCGCAAGGTAATAAATTGACTCAAGACACCATTGACCGCATCTTTTTGCATTTTGATGACGCTTTAAAGCCTACCTATACTGCATTGCTGACCTTTGATCTGAGAGATAGCTATCTTGACTTCTTAAAGGGTGTAATCCAAAGGTTCAAAGGGAGTCGCTCGCGTCAGAGAGAGTTCTTTTTAACCATGAAGAAGGGTGAAGCTTTGCATGATTTTACTGATAGATTTACCAAGTTGAGTCAAGAAGTAAAGCTTAAAAACGAGGAACTGCCGCTTGAACCGGTTCTCAATGCGTACACTTTGCCATTGTTGTTCAACTACATCTTGAAGACTCTCATCACGAAGTTTTATGACGGCCAGCTCGCCCTCACATTGTTTAATTCGTTGAAAAGAGACCTCGATGTATATACCATGGTCTGTAATCAAGATACTTATAACGAGGTGCTCAAGCTTTTTTGGGCATACTATGGCAAACTGAGCTTGCAAGAGATTGAAATGACATTTCTCGAGATGAAGAATAACGGATTTGTCGGCAACCTTAACACATTCAGAGTTCTTAAGGAAATTATTGTGAGATATCATCTGATAAAGTTAGGGTTCTCCGACCTGTCACTGTTCTGGCTGAGGGAAGACGATAAGAGAGTAAAAAACCTTGAGAGGAATCTTCACAAACTAGCCTCTCAGCTCAAAGTCATATAATAATTTCGTATATAGAATACTTTCTTCAAGCCTCTCATAATATACTAGCTTGCGGTACGGGTGTCGCTATGATGTTTATAATTATTATGTAACAATACGCACAGTTATATTTTTATAAGCAATTCAGCAGACCACTGAACGATCATATCATGGCAGAATTTGGAGGATATCAAAGAAATTACACGGGTCAAGACTCGTATCTCAATCCAGGGTCGATGTCCCCGGCCTGTCCCAATACAAGGTTCCCAATATTAACATTCACAAAGAAGCTGGCTCTCCGGTCAATGCCAACGAATTGCTCAGCAGGTCATCGGATATAAAGAAACAGCTATCTCAATCCTTTCAGGGTGGAGGAAGCACAGGTGGAATCCAGAAGCCTCTGTCGAGGAGGAATTCCGCCATCCATGTTAAGAACGAGGATGACGACGAGGACGATCAAGGGAACGAAAGAAAACGCAGAGACAACATAAATGAAAAAATCCAAGAATTGCTAAGCCTTGTGCCTCCCGTCTACTTTCAAGAAACAGCAGCAAGGGACGAAGATGACGGCGGTACGAAAAGCACGGGCACCAAGGACGGAAAACCCAATAAGGGTCAGATTTTGACAAAGTCTGTTGAGTACATTCAATATTTGCAAAATCTCATTGACGAGAATAACCGAAAGGAGGTTGAGTTACAACTCAAACTTAAGTCTCTCAAAATGCAGCAAGAAGGTAGAGGAAATGCCCCTCTTTCGGCAGATACAACCAGCGCGGAGTTAGCACTAGGAGAGATTGGTGTTGGACCACACTCCAGAAAGTATTTCGAGGAAGTCCTTTATCAGTCAACGGGTAACAAAGCTAGTTAGCCTACGAGAACGCTCTTTATCATTCTATTCGGTCACTCTGAGCTGAGTGTGTCTTTATGAGTGTCTATGTCTTTTTATCCCGGCCTAAACGCTCCCTCTCATCTGCGTATTCTTCTAGCATGTAAGCTGGAAGGAAATCAGGACCAATTTTGAGGAATTCGTTTGGCGAAGTTGTGTCCACACCGCCAATCGAGGTATAACCTTTGTCGTAAAGCAGACAATATTCCAAATCGCAGCCTATGATGAAATCCCAGATGTCAACGTAATGCCAATGCAAAATTGGATGAACACGGAGAAACTTAGGCCAGTCGTGATCGGTCTCTTGTTCGTATTGCAACATGGAACCGTACGGGTCGGCATACCTGATACCAACGACGATACTTTTAATGGTAGGCTTTTCATTCAAATAGAGTTGGAATCCCTCCTTCAATGATGATTTTATGGTAAATGGATTGAGACTGTAGAATTCTGTAGACTCGTTAATGAATTCCAGAACTTCGGGAAATGGCTCCTCGGAATTGATGTAAATCGAGTCAAGTCTATAATTTTTGGGGAGTAGATTCAAAGAAGGGTTTGTGTTAGTCTCCGACAGAAACCGCTTATGAATTGTGGCTAAAAGCAATATGAGCATGACCAAACAGTCCTTACCACCATTATACGATATTGCTATTTCTTCAATGCTGAAATGTTAGAAATATTCAAAAATTCGCCCACCAATAAAACATACCTATGTCTCTCTATAAAAGACTTTAGCACCTCAAGCGACTTCTTCACTTTCTCTTTTACAACCTGACGGCGCTGAGGCCGGTAGGTGTACCCCTTTGCTCTGGGAGAGATCGCACCATGGGGTGAAGAGTCGTTAAGGAAGTCTTGTACCAAGTTGTATGCCTCTTCGCATCTTAGCAAGAAGCTGCACTGTTCCCTGTGTTCCTTCTGAGTCATGAGGAATAGGGTTTTGAGGGTATGACGCTGCTGAAAAGTAGTACCGATTCTGGGGTTGAGGCTCGAATGCAGGAACTAGTCATGGTGAACATTCTAGATGTACGGGAACAAGGCATGCTTTCAGAGCTTCAGAACCAGCTTGTCAAGCAAGAATAAGTGTTGCAAAGGCTCCAAATTGGAGTCTTGTTGAGCGTTCATCGGGCTTTCTTGCTCGACTTGAAGAGAAACTGTATGAAATACTCTTTGGAGTCATCGTCCCAAAACCACCAGTAGGATTTCGACATTTGATCTGTTCCTGACGGCTTTTCTATCTCTTGTTGTGCTGGGATAGCAACGCATATATTGTCATAAGGCTCTGCGGAGATAACTAGGTATTGCCATTTCAGAGGCTGAATGTCTTCATCATCCTCATAGTCAGTCTTGTGTCTTTGTAAAAAGGACTTGGATACATTTTGATTTTTGTCCGAAAGTTCATATCCGGACATGAGTCTGAAGAAGGGCTCTTTGACTGTGATACGAGGAACCTGTACCTGTACTAATAACCCCATACGAAGAGATTCTTGATCTCTGATTTTCGTCGTTTTGAAAGGGGGCTTCCCTATGCTATTCCATGATCTCTTCAGTATGTTGTTGATTGAAACAACATTGCCCTCGGCTTTACCCTGTCTGTTCTGCTTTTCATCAAGGATTCGTCTCCTTTCTAGATTCAAAGCATGCTTTCTCCCGCTGAGATGCGAGATGTATGATGCCTCATTTGTGTGGGTGGTGAGGCAAAGTCGGCATTCTAAAATGCCTACGTGGTTTCTGAAGACATATGGATCGTTCTCGAGATCCAAGACCTGGGATGTCAAAAGCTCTTTGATCCGTCTCTTGGTATGGACGTTGGCTTCGGTTGCATCTGCAACCCCTCCAGCACCCTTTTTAGAGTTCACTCGCTCTGAGTAATCCATTCTCTACTCCGAGGCTGCTTCAAGTTTTGGCTTGACTAGGTGATGAGGTCTTCGAGCCGCGCACTGTGGAGTATCATAGAATTGTACAGTATAAGCCAAATGTTTAACCAGGGATCCAAACATAGGAAGCGACGGGAGTATAATATGCTTCCAAGCCTAATAATGGCCTGTTGATTGCGTCCCTCGACCTCCTCACAATGGCTTGATCCAGTATGGGATTCTTCTTATTGGAGCTGCTCCAGAGGCAGGGGGCTACTCAAGCGTTCAATTAGCTTTGAATGTTTTCAATATCAAAGATTTCATTTCTTCAAACTAATAAAAAAAAAACTGGTGCAACTCATTGACTTTTAAAGGTTCATAGTCTTAGGTTCCGGCTTTATTTTCTCAGTTTTTGAATTTTCGCAGCCACACCCCCATTATTGCAAATACATGATAATTCGTACTAAAATCAACTTACACCATTAAAGTTATTTCAATTAATTACATACTGAATTCGGAAGTCACTTTTTTCTGTATATTGATCGAACCGTCATGTCTAGCAGTACGGAACGCTCTGAAGCCGAACCTACCTTACGATTCTCGCGTCAGGTTCATGTGTACTTCAAAGAATGATTATTCAGGACAACACAAAAATCCATGAACTCTTCGAGTATATGTCAGTCCTAGAATTGCAAGGAAAAGATTTACTGAAATCAAAATACTACATTGAAAGATAAACCATTTCTTCTATGGTGTGTTTGTAGTGAGGCACGGGTGTAACACGTCTATCCATGCCGTGCAAATTGTCCCAAATTGGAAAGCTCAAAGCACTTTATCTCAACTTGTTTCGTTAGTCCAGTTCCACACGTTAAAGACAGATACCACAAAAATGGAGTCGCCCCAACATGTTGGTGATAATACCGCCAATTCCATTAGTAACCAGTTGAGCGGGACTCATTTACAGAAGCCTTTAATCAAACTTTCATCACCATCCGATTCGGCATCATGTACTTCAAAGGTGTACTCTGCCGTTTATCTGGGACAAAAATTCATAGAAATTGATGTGAAAGTGCAAGCTCCTGAAATTGATTCATCATCAATTCAGATATTGCGTCGTGTTTGTGATTCTTATGTGAATGTTGTTCAAATACTACAGGTGTTGGTTTCCTTGGGTCGCTTCGACCAGGAACGGGTCGACAGCTTCCTTGAAAATGATATTTTCACCAACCCTCAGTATTTTCAAGGAGGCAGCGAGGACGACAAGGTTCTTTACAATGATTTGAGAAGCCACGAAATCGCCCAATTGCGTGGCATATGGATTCCTTATGATAAAGCAGTTCTGTTTTCGCTCAACTATGGCATTTACGACATAGTCAAGGGCTTACTTCTTGTTGACGTGCATGACTGTGACAAGCTACCCAAAAAGCCGGAATCGTCCACAGCGGTCACTGTGAAACGCAACGCGGATGAGGACATGACCGACGCTTTAGATGGGTCACCAACAAAAAGAAGGAAAACGCAATCAACTGCAGCACAATCTCTCGTTAAAGCTGCTGCAGAGTCGAACACAAACGCACCTTATTGCTTGCCCCCATCAACATTCAAGGAGAAGGATGTCGACATTGTACTGGAAGTGAAACTCAAGTTCAGCGAGATATTCAAGAATGATGGCGAGCTTTCGACAGATCTCTCTTCTGCTGACATTAAGAACATGTTTCAAAGCATATTTGACAAGTGCTCCACACGATTTCACCTGACGACATCTATTTTGGATGTACCATTAGACTCTCAAGGAAAGACCGCCTTGCACTACGCGGCAACATTAGCATCAAACTTGGTGGGAATTTTTATAGAGCTTGGCATAAACTCCCCAATCCGCGGTGACAACGATGGTGAGTCGCCTTTACTCTCAGCAATTCTGGTTACGAATGCTATGGAGAAAGGCAACTTTGTTAGCATGCTCGAAAACTGGCTCTGGCCTAATTTGTGGCTTTTTGACAATAAGCACAATTCCTTTCTACATCATCTCATCGTCCTGGCGACGAAAAACTTTGATGCTTCAAAATTCTATCTCACCAAGATAATAACTTGGATGGTACAGAATGTTGATAAGGAAAAGAACCTTAATAATCTTTGCACAAAAATTATCAACGCTCAAGATTCAGAATCTGGGAACACAGCTCTTCATCTCGCGGGTGAGCACGAGCTCAAATGGTTCATTCACGTCCTACTCGAACTAAAAGCTGACACCCAAGTTGCCAACAATGTGGGTGTAAAACCATCTGATTTTGAATCTGTCAAAGAAGTGATTCTGTTGCGTGACAACTACGAAAATCACAAATCATCGGTCGCTGCAACGAAGACCTTCCTCGAAAGTCTTGGTGCGTCTTCAGATGAAGACGAGTACTTCTTGCAACTCATTGACACAGGCATTGAATTTTGGGAAAAGACCGGAGGTTGCACTGATGTTGGAAAAATGGAGGATGTAACTGAGGGCACTTCCGAAAAGCGAGTGGGTAATGGTGCGGACGCTAAAGATGATGCAGATCAGCTTTCACAATCGGAGAAGATCTTCAAATCAATTCAAGATTTGATGAGTAATGCCAATGATGAGTATCTGAAAGTTATCAATGATAAAAAGAGAGAAATCAATTCTCTTAACCAAGAACTTCGAGGAGCAACTATTTTAACAGCTAACAACAGATTTGTTGCCAAAAAAGTACTTGAAAAAGTGTCTCTCGTTGATACTATGAAGTTACAAATGGCAAACATCACAGAAAAGTTACAAGTCTTGAAGAAAAAGCTTCCAGATGATGAAAAGGACGAAAATGTGTTCACCAGCGATATTGTGAACCAGGACTTTGTCAACTTCGATGCAGATGAACCTTTTATTATCAAGCCCATCTATGATAAACTTGCGAACAACGAGGAAGTGGAGTCCACGGATGAGTTGTTGGAAACACTTCCGTCAGCCGAAGTTTTGCAAGCCCGGCTTCTGGCTTACAAAGAGATCAATCAGGATTTAGAAAAGGAGTTAGAGAATTTGCTCAACTACAGTACCTTGACAGCAAAGTTCAAGAAGGTCGTGAGTTACTGCACCGGTGTGGATATTAACGAGGTTGACGAACTACTTGATGGCTTGCTTGAAGCCGTTGAAGGACAGCAATGAAACCTTTAAAGAACTGTATTATGGAAAATATCTAATGCACATCATAAGAGGGGAAAGCTTCTCGTAAAAGCACTTGTGTCATAATCTCCTCCTCAAACCAAACCCTCGTAAGCGTTCAACGAATTCAACAACGAAGGATCGTTCTTCACGAGGCGCTTGAAGTCGTTAAAATCCAAGTAGTCGGTATTTGGATCCTTATCTGATAACGTAAAAAGCTTTGCGGCCCGTAATTCCGGAGTTCCTTCATCTTCGGGCAAGGTGACCATGGGACCCACCATTTTGTAGATTGCTGAGGTGATGGCGAGCGCTTCTTTGTAGTAGACTTTTCCATCACGGTTGAGGTCATAGAGTTTGAAGCTGAACTCGAGTTTCTGATTCACGTCACCTCTAGATGTGAGCGACAATGCCACGATAAACTCCTTGAAGTCAATGAACTTAGAGTTATCCGTGTCAAAGAGACGGAATAAGTAATGGCAATAGTCAGTTGGATCACCGAAGGGGAAGAACTGTTTAAAGACCTTGGCAAACTCCTCCTCCGATAGTTGCCCACTTGGACAATCGCGTAGATAGCCCTTATACCATTGCTGCAATTCACGCTTATCAAAAAGCGTGCGTTCTCGAAGCAGCTTGAGCTCGTCTTTAGATAGCTTGGACACCGCTTTACCCATTCTTTCAAAGAATAACGCTGGTTAGTTGGACTAAGGTGCTGCGGTGTAGACAGGAAGAGAGCGCACATTCTACACATGGAATGAGCGCCTTCTCCACATCGGTACCACTCTTTTCTACCGCCCACACTAACATGTTTAGAAGAACTCTTCGCCTGGTCTCGACTTCAACGAGGAGACTCGCAGAATATAAGAGGAAGGAAAACCCCTCGTATAATGAGTTGGCAGCCCGGATCGACCCCATCGTCAGAACCGGAGAGTCGATCGATGTCAAGAGGGCTCGCTTGACTTACCAGTCCAGAAAGAGAGGAATCTTGGAGAGTGACTTGTTGTTGTCGAGGTTTGCCAAGAAGCATTTGCACAAGTTCAACTACGAGGAGCTTGACGAGTATGACAAGTTGTTGGATGAGCCTGATTGGGACATTTACTATTGGGCCACCAAGAACTATGACGTGACCCCTTTGCCAGACAAGTGGAAGGATCTGAAGATCCTTTCTTTGTTGCAAGCCGACGCCGAGAACCCCGAGAAGGAGATCATGAGGATGCCTGACTTGCACTAAACCTTTGTACATACATATCTTCAATATTTATTACACTTCACTTACTCATGGCTTCAGGAAGTTTTTCCTAAATCAACAAGCCACCTGCGTAGATGTGTTGTCCCATGAGTTTCGCAAGGTCAAGCCAAATTTGACTACTGCGGTCCTTACTGCATGGGTGGCACAAGGCTGTAGTAACCGAGACACCATACCATCATGTCAATCAAACCTGACTCCGTGCCCGCTACCATAAAGAAAGACATCAATGTCACCCCCTTCATTGCAAGGGCTACAGAGCTTCAGACAGTTAATCCTGTCGTGAGTTATTATTGCAAGATCTACGTTCTTGAGCATATCCTCTCGAACAAGCTCCATACCACTGATAAGGAAGTGGAGGCTTTCACCATAGCCTTGCTAGAAGATACAGAGTTGATCAAGAACTCTACTGAGGACGAGGACCTCCACAAGATTCTCACAAATCGACAATTGTCATTGAATGTGCTGTTTGCCTTCGTCTTCAAGTTGTTCCTTAGCACCCTCGAGGGCGTGTCCAATTATGACGGAATTAACAAGATTCCGCTTGCCAGCAAGTTGAGAGCGTCTATCAATTTCATGACTTCCCTCAAGGTTTTCACAGGAGACAGTGACGATTCACTTGACTTTGCTGAGACTACAGGCAGCAAGTGCAAAGACAGAGAGGAATTTATAACCTTTATCAAAGAAAAAACCAAGGTGTTGAAATATCAATTGAGTAAATTGATAAAGGATGAGCTCCCAGTTAAGGGTGAAGATGAGGATCTTGCTAAGTTGGAGGAAGAAGAAGATGAAACAGCAAAGGCTGCTGACGAGGATGAGCAGTCTCCTGTTCTTCCATCAATTGTCGGTAAAGAGCCATCGTCGGAGCCGCAAGAAGAGAATTCAAAGCTGCTTGGGCCATCATCGAAGTCTCCTGCTCCACAAAGTCCTTCGGCTAAGGACGAGCCTGATCTTCCTTTCAATCTTCCTGGCGCCCCAAAGTACGACCCGGAGAGTGAGACAAATGCTGATGAGGAAGAGGTTAAGTTGCCTGGTGCTCCGAAATTTTTGCCTGATGATGATTTATCTCATATCAACAAGGACTCGTCAATAAAGGTATTCCCTCCAGAACCTACTGAGGAGCGCGAGGAAGAGAAATCCACACCAAAACCAGCGAGTCGAACAGGCTCAACGAATAATGTCAAGCACCACAAGCCCATCACAAAGGAGAATCTTAAAACAATCTTGGATACTGGAGAGCAAATAACGCAAGCTCAAAAGCACGCCAAGTTTGCAATTTCAGCTCTCAATTACGAAGATATCGAGACTGCTGAGAAAGAACTTCTTCAAGGGCTCGAAGTTCTTCGCTTGATAAAAGAAAATTCAGGAAGGTGATTTCATAGAATATGCGCTAGATGCGAGCGCACCATAATGCAACTCTTTTGCACCCATATCCTATTTGTACAAGCTAAACTAGTTTTCTTAATGTCACCACAAAATTCTTGTTCTCATTCTTATTATTACAGCGGCACAAGGTCCAAAAACGTGTTGCTGTCATGTCTGGCTTCAACAACTCTCTGGAAGGGGAAAGAGATCAAGGATCTTGTTGAGATAGATCTCGAGGATAACCCACCAAAGTCCTCCCATTATGGAGATCCTGACAGTCGCTGGTTTAGTTTCTCGGGTCTATTTGGTAACTTGCGGGCGAGAGGTCGAGAAGTTTCGACGAAAGCTGATTCCAGTCCTGATAGTATCACAGATTACGGTGCCAGCCCGTACTTGGTTCCTTACCCAAAACAGGATCTCGCCTCGATCGAAGAAAGCAATGCTCCTGGTAACTGCAATGAACAAGAATTATTTCACATAAACAATTTGCAGTTCTGTCCTATCATGAATCCGCCTATTGCAGCACATATGAAGAATGAACACCTAAGCGAGAATCCACCAGCTCCCACATTGTTTGAACCAGTGAAGGAGATGTTCACCAAAACGACCCTGGAAGGAACCTTTGATGAGTCTTGTGAGGAAAGTTTGTTGTCACATTCCGTCACTCCTCGCCGGGCTCCCAAATCATTAAGAGCCGATGCGATCAAAGCTCCGCAAAAAGCCCTTCTCAAGTTCAGCTTGGAGACATCGAAAGAGATCGAAGAATCCCAGGATCGAAGGATTAATCAGATTCATATCAAACGTCGTCTTGAACGTTTGTTTGAGGATAATCTTATACTAAAGAACAAGGGGCTTCGATCGAGCATAGACAAGAACAACGGGGGCATAACCCTCACCGCTTTGTTGAAAGACTCGAGGCTTGGGCAGCTTTGCCAGGGTAATGCCAGCGTTCTCGAGGAAATAATTCGTAACTCCTGCGGCCATTTCTTGGAACTTTTGATCGAGGACAAGGTGTACGTAAGACCCAAAGATTGGGTTACTATACTTGCCAATATAAACTAACAAGCTACCCATACCTGTCAAGAAGGCTTTTTTTCCGCTTATCGCTTGCATCTTTCTTCTTTTTATCCTCCTCCTTCTTTTTCATCATCATCAATGTAGGACTCGCCTCAACACTGAAGCCTAGATCAACTGGAACTGTGTAATCGACGGCTTCTGCATTAGGATTGCTCATATTCGCTAGCTGTCTCTGATATAGTTCTCTCAGCTTCTCTTGCTCGTACTGTTTGTTTTGTTCCCATGCAAACTGTTGCATTCGATTGAAATCCTTTTCCTCCTTGCTAGGCTGTTTCACAAAGTCTGACTCATCGTTCACAATACCACGAGTAGAATCCTTGCCTATTCTGATCTTTCCACCCTCATTGGCGTTGATCGCCAAAATATATGCTGGTGTATACTTTCTTTCTCTGATGGACTTTTCGATTGGGTCTTCCACAAAGCCTCTTTGGAAGTCCTTCCGCTCGATCCCAAGCTCCTGTAGCTCTAATTCATAGTCTGTGTCATCACTATCGGATTCTTCAGTATGCTTCGGTCTCTTAGACTTCTTGAGCGAGTCCCACTTTGCAAAGATTTCGTCCCACTCCTTTGCATTATAACCATGCCAGCGATCTCTTTTAGCAGCAAAGTCATTGGCTGCATTTACTGTCTTGCCATTATCGTCGAAACCTTGGCCTGCTGTAGGCCCACCTTCAGCTGGGGCACTTGTAGGTTCCTTCCGCTGATGCTTGAAAGCATCGTCAGACCCATGTAGCTCATTGTAGTACCAAGGTACATTCAGAATGAACTTGGGGATGTACAGATTATCTGCGGGCGGCATTGCCTCAGTGGGGCAGATCTAAAGGTAGTACTCGATCGATGGTGATGTTTCGCACCCATTCTAAATACGCAAGGTACTGATGCACAATGTTTGATTTTCTATATTACAATGATGTGTGTGTAGACTAATTAAAAGCCAGTCCACTCTTCTTCGTCTGAGTCATCGGAGTCTTCCTTGTCGATGATGCCCCATTCTTGCAATCTCTCGTCTGCAAGCACCTCTTTGCACTTCTCTCTCAACGGCTTGAACTTTGCATCCTTGGCAGTTGCCTCAAATGGCACGAGCAACTTCTTAAGAGGAGTCTTCTTGAGGATCTCTTTCTTCTTTTCGTCGTCCTTTTCAGTTGACTCTTCAGTCTCATCTTCGTTGTCATCCTTATCGCCATTCTCATGGGCCTCATCTTTCTCTTTCTCATCTTCCTCGTCGTCTTCATCATCATCATCTTTCTCCTCTTCATTCTCCTCTTCATTAAAGTCTCTTAAATCTTTGAAGATAACATACTCAATCTCATCGAGGAAAAGATCACAGATGTGGTATGAGAGCGCCTTAGGCATCTTTGGATCATCACTCAACGGAAGTGTTTGCAAAACCTCAATGAAATCCTTGAGGGTATCCTTTCTCCAGTTGTTGGCCTCTAGACGGAAAAGCTGATGTCTAATCACTCTTCTTATCAACATCAAGTACTTGTCGATTCTCCATTTATCTATGGTGGGCCACTCTTTCGAGATAATGAGCCAGAAGGCTTCGTGGAAATCCTTCAATTTTGGTTCGGGAATGACTTCACTGAAGAGTTTACCAATGTTTCCGGCTAAGGCTTGTTGGGGAATAGGTTTGTCACAGTACCACATGGAGTAGTAAAGACCCTTCCAGAGCTTCTCAAGTTCTATTCTGTCAAGCTTCTTGATCAGTCTATTCCTAAGAAACTTGGTGAGCGCCTCGAAAGCTGACAGTCTCACTGCAGCATCATTATGAGCGAGCTTTCTAACAAAGTTGTTAGCGTTGCTCAGCATTGAGTTCCAAATGTGTGATCTAGATCCAACTCATCTCCATCGCATCTGCTGCAAAAGTGCTAGGCTCCGGTTTGATCACGTGACATAATTTTCGAAAATGGTCTAGAGAATGAAAGTATGGAAGTGAATGCTTTGAAATTACATAGCGGCAATAACTGGCAAAGTCCTTGATGGTAGGGGTTGCTCCATACCAAGCCCGAGCATGGTACACTGCCCATTGGTCTTCTCACATGATGTATCTTGAATTTATTAATACGAAACAGATGAAATATCGTTCAATATGCTAAAGAAATAAGCTTTGAAGTACTCCGGTAGATATGACTTAAACAATCAAGTATCTGATAGGAATGTGCAACAATTTGACGGCGTAGCCAACGACCCCCATCATAACGAAGCCAACACCGACTGCTCTCACAATCTTAAGGTACTCTAAACGATTAGTATTTGTTTGTGAATCAGGGCCAAACCGGCAAATAATGATGAAACTTGATAGTGAGCTCTGAACAATCGTTGTGGTCTTGGCTTCACACCTTTATATCCTTTTGACCTTCCACTGTATCTGATACATACCCTTTTGAGTTGGCTTTTGACACTTTCTAACAAAAGCGGATCCATCCTTGAAGAACTCAACAGGAACTTCCGCAAGCTTCTCGATACCCTCAGCCATAGTGTGTTTTTAGATAGTTATAGAATGCGTGGAAAAGACGCTCAGTGTTCATTACGCGGCAACTTGTGTTGTACACTACCATTGGTGATAAGTAAGTATACTGACATTTAGTCGCGTACTCCGTTACCGTGCCATGCATTATACGTTTATCTATACCATGAGGCCCAAAAACTTCTCATCCTCTTCTTCTTGCTCCTTCATCAACTTGCTCTCTTCTCTTTCCTTCCGCCTAGCTTCAAACCTCGAGTAGTTCTCCAGTGCATAATCTTCCAATGATGTCTTCATTTCTGCATCTGTAGCCCACTTTCGAACTACAACTTCGATAAGCTCGAGTTCACCGGCTTCTCCCTTGAAATCGATCAAAGTCCTGACTGCCCGCTCATATAACACCCGAAGACGTTTGGACGAGTTTACCAGCATTTTATAATTGAAAGCATCCTCTGGCAACAGCTGGAAGCGCAATTCCAATGTAATCTCCTTGAGATACTCGAACAACCCATTTTCATCTTTAGCATCACGAAGCACAAGAAAACGAGACAAATAAGCTCTTGTAGACAAAACGGAACCGCTTTCTTTGTAGCAAGTCCAGAGCTCGTCCATGAGCCTTGTTCTATGATTTTGCAAGTCGGCGAGGAAAGTCAAAAAGCCCTCGTAATCGAAATTGGGAGAAGACTTTGCCTTTGATAAACTTGGGTTAAGCTTTCCTCCGACCTTTGTGTCGGTATTTTTGAGGAAGAATTGGAGGGAACGCTCCTCAGAAAACCTAGTAAGGAATTCGGCCCAGTCGAACACCATATCCCATAATTGCTTTGAATCTTTGCCTAACTCTATATTGTAGTGTTCTTGGAAAGCATTCAAGTAAATCATTGCCTTCACTGTTTGGTCGTTGTAAATCAAAGACACAACAATTGTAGACAATATATCAACGTCAGGATAACGAGGGTCGTCCTTGGGAATCTTCTTCTGTAAGCGGCCTTTGCCATCGATACCCCAAACCCCTTCTATGAATTTACAAATCTGGGCCTTGTCTTTAGAATGTGACATTGCACCCATTACAGCGAGTATAGAAGACTTCTCGAATGAAAACTGCGAGTTTCCCAGCATAAGATGCTGATTCTTGGCGAACTCATTGAAAAGTTCGAGCCAGTGGGCATGAGACAAGAACATCGATCTCTTTCTATCTCTGCGTCCTCTGTTTGTCAATGTTCCGTCCACCTTCCAGTTTCTCGACTCTGCGTTACCGTAGACGTAGAATCTAAGAAGCCACAAGTTGTAGGACATCCTCAGATAGTGGTCATTGTCTGGATACCTCTGTTCAAATCGCTGATACCACTTGGATGCCAAATCCATCTTACAGTTTTGCAGCTCGAGCTGAATTAAGTTTTCAAAGTCTCGCACTGTCAAGTCGTAGTGGACGTCGCCCAAGGAACCTCGCTTGTCCTTGTGATAAATGTGTTGTGACTTATCGCCCCGAAGAGGAGATTGGAATAGATCCGTCTTATACCGTTTCTGAAGTCTTTCGCCTCTAATGCCAATGGTGCTAGTGGAGAGTAGTCGTCTTTAATGACATTTTCTGTTCCCATAGCACGATAGACCCACGCCTGTCTATTTACAAGTTTCTCCATCACATAGGAGAACTCACGTGGGCTCAAGAGTTCTTGAAACTCGTCGGCTGTGTGGGCTTCACTCCAAGAGATCAAGGCGTTCAACACGAGATTGTATTGACCACGCTTTAGGAGATCATTTATCTTGGATTTGACTTCTTTACTAGCATCTCCAGTTTCAATTATGAACGGTTTCAGAAGGTTTTTCGGAAGCAGATCAAGGAATACGTTCGATGGTGCATTTTCCAAGATGCTAGAAATGGTGGAGGTTTTTGTTGGTTGAGAATCATGAGTTTCTTGTGCTTTGCAAGCAGCGTGGATATTGAAGAGACGATAGACATCCTTGCGTAGACGTTCTGTCTTACGGGCGCTTCCTATAGCTCCCCGAATCATGTGCTGGGTATTTGGATCTGAAGGGCTTAAGATTGTCCTTGTGAGCTTCAACATTTTTTGCACCCTCGCTGTAGTTCTACAACGGTGTTCTGCACGTGACGAGCCCGTGAACACCTTGGTCCAGCTATAGTATATATATTTCGTTGTATTCATATAAATATCTTAAAGCTTTGAAGGCATACCAGACGTTATGCCACCCACAAGGTAGATGGAGTTGTACTCGGCAATGTCCTTCAATCCCTGCTCGTGGTTACCACCGTTCACCATGTACTGGATGGAGTCCTTGGTGCCCTTGATGGCCCACTGTGGGTTGCTGTTGATCAGCTGGCCCAATTCAATACAACGGTCGACACCTGTTTTCAAGTCCGGAACAACTTCAGACACGAAGCCCAATTCGTAGGCATCTTTAGCTCCGAAGGTATCTCCGGTCAATGCCAACTGGTTCATTCTGGACTTGTTGTTGACAAGGTTGGTCATTCTCTGCAAGGAGCCCATGTCAGCAACAATACCGATCTTGATCTCTCTAATAGACATCTTCACACCATCGACGGCAATTCTGATGGTACAAGCGGAGGCAATGTCCAAGGCCAAACCGTAAGAAACACCGTTCAAGAGGGCAATTGTAGGAGTTCTCATTCTGGCGGGTATGGTAACAGCGTCTTGAAACTCCTTGATGTGCTTGTACATGAACTTCTTCTTGTTTTCAAAAGACCAGTCATCCTTGGCGTTCATCAAGGTCATGGCGGATTTCAAATTCAAGCCACTAGAGAATGCCTTCTCGACCTTAGACGACAACAAGATGATGTTGGTACCAGGATCAGAGTCCAACCACTCAAGGATGTAATGGTAGGCTCTCCAATCTTCCTCAGTGAAGGCATTGAGAGTTTTTGGGTTGTTGTATTGAACATGGATGAAGCCGGGTTCAATCTCAGTAACGACCCACTTGGTAAACTCCTCAAAAATACTGCTATCGAAAGCCATGGTGTGAATAAAGGACTAGTATGAAAAGAGGATGGAGATAAGAATATCGCTAGGGTACCCCACAGATTGGCCCGAGGGATTTTTCCGCACATGAATTTATACACAGCATTTCGGACTCACTATACCTTGTAGCGACCCGAGGATGCAGCACTATCATCTTTAACGTTTTCGAGTCCCTCAATGATTTTTTGGCGAAGTAACAAATTGGCATCCCTTACGCTGTTTTCTGTCAAACCCTCCACGAGTAAGTACAACTTTGGAGGTGCTGGCACTTCCTTACCTCCTTGCTTCACTGTAGAAGGCACCTTGCTGCCAGGTGGATAGTATTGCCCCTTGTTAGTAATTGAAACAGATGTGTTTTCTGAAATACCAGACAAATTATCAGCATTGACCACATTCCATCTCGCAGACTGTGGAAGATCATTGATTGTGACTCTTGAGTGAAACTTGCATCGGTCGGGTCCGGTGGATTCACATGCCCTTCCTTCGATAACATCAAACTCGGGTAGATCAACCCCATTGACGACCTTTGCGTCACTAGAAACAGGCTTGCTTGTAGCTGCCGAGCTTTCTCGTGATTTGTCTGGTTCATGCGTTTCTGTCGAATACATGCTCCTCTCTATCTTCTTATTCGTGTCCCGGACCTCGTCAAGCTTGCTTAATCCCTTACCACCAAAACCAAAATGAAACTTCTCCTTCCCATCCTTGACCTTCGAAAGAAAGCCGTCAGCGATTTTGACTAGTTTGGGATCAATTCTATCCTCTGGATATTTGCTTAGTCTTAATGCCTTAACCAAATCGGTGATGGGGCGTTCTTGGGCTGGGGTGACGAATGTATATGCATCACCCTCCTTACCAGCCCTTCCAGTTCTTCCAACACGATGAACATAGTCCTCCATATGGTTAGGGGGTCAAAGTTGATCACCAAATCAAGACCCTTCACATCCAAACCTCTGGCAGCTACTGATGTTGCGATCAAGGTGTCGACACCGCTATCTTGATCCGAAAATCTTTTAATAGCGTGTTTCCTGTCGATTTGTTCCTTTCCTCCATGAATCGTTATGGATTGTAGACCTTGACCCAATAACTTCACGAGCAAATCATCCGCAGATTCCTGCTTTTCCACAAAGACTAGTTTTTTCACATCGGGATATAATTTCAAAAGTTCTTGTAGTCTTTGAAACTTTCGATCGAAAATTTCTGTCAGGGTAGTATCGTCAGAGAGATCGAAAAGCTCGACATGTTGTTTGATCTCCTGGGCCACCACACTGATGCCTCCAACCACAACTTCAACAGGGTCACGTAAAGTGTCTTTTGCCAAAGATTCCATCTTTTTGGCAAATGTAGCAGAAAACAAAACACATTGTTTATCAGGTCTGATCTGAGCGAAGATCTTTTTAATTTGAGGTTCAAAACCGAAATCAAACATACGGTCGGCCTCATCAAGAACCACATATGTAACTCTCTGTAAATTGCAGACTCTCCCGTTATTCGTGGTTAATAAATCAATGAGACGACCCGGGGTACATACAACGATTTGAGCACCCCTTTTGAGCTCTGCAATCTGTGGTTCGATGGAAGAACCACCGTAGCAGCAGCAAGCAGACAATCCAAGTTTCTTGGTGAATGTCGTAAGCTGCTTGAATATCTGCTGGGCTAACTCTCTAGTAGGTGACATAAGGACTGCAATTGGGCCATCACCTTCCTGCAAAGGAGGCTGGTCTTGTACGTGTCGAAGTAAAGGTAAAACGAATGCGAGGGTCTTTCCTGAGCCTGTCTTAGCAATTGCAAGCATATCACGTCCAGAAAGAATGATTGGCAATGCTTGACTTTGTACGCTCGTCGGTGCCTTGAACTGTAGCTTGTTCTCAATCAACGATTGTACGACGGGTGAGAAGCCTAGCTGCGACCAATTCCACACTGGATTTGGGCAATTTTTTCCGGTCACCTTGATACCACCAAGATTCAGTCTGAGGTCGTGAACCTCTTCTTTGGTGAGCAGACTCACCTCGTGAGACTCAACATAGAAGTTCTTCTTGAACTCAAGATATTCGATCTGACTATGATCCACTGCCGCCAACTCCTTTCCTGTCTGCATAGCTTTGAGCTGAAGAGCACGTAAGGGGTCATCGTCATTTTCTTCTTCGTCCAGGCTTCCTTCCAGAAGAACACCTAGAGAGAGGCTATTTTCGTCGCGTTCATCATCCACAAGCTCTTCTAAGAACACATCAAGAGCATCTTCTCCATCCTCATTGGACAGTTTAGAGTTTTGTTTTGTGTTTGGAAGCGTGGGAACCTTAAAAGCTCGAATTCTCTCCTCGTCATCGTCTTCGTCTTCGAAAACTTGCTTCCTTTTCGAAGAATCTGCTTTTTGAATTGGCTTGGCCCGGAGTTTGAAAGAAGTCGACTTTGATTTTGATGATGAACCATCAGCATCATTTTCGCCTCCTCTCTTCCTTTTCCATTCGGCTAATTTCTTCTGTCGCAGTGCTTGTTCATCTGTGGCATTATTTTGCGATTGAAGCTTCTTTTTCTTCCATTCTTCGAGCTTTTTGAGTCTTTCGAGACGTCTTTGCTCTTCGGGATTGGGAGACGTATTTGACAGTGTACTGTTTACTTCAATGCTGGTACTCTCGGAGCTTATGCTTGGAGACTTCGATTTTCTTTCTTTCCATTTGGCCAACTGAGCCTGACGCTGCCTTATTCTCTCTTCCTTGGTGAGAGCTTCCGACATGAGTTAGTGAGCTATTATAATATTTGTGTCTGAAATTTCGAACCTTATGTTATATGTTGTGTGATGGGATTCAAGTTTACGCTTATGCGCGATGGATTTGAGATGCAGAGTACTATCAATATATGTGCGTCATATATAGGATATCGATTGTCGCTTACTCACAAATTGGTTGTCACCGTCACAGTTTGTGAGTTTAGTAAAAGCGTTGGAGGAAGATTGTCTAACCAAATTGCAAGACTATTGGTATAGTCAAGTGATGCACTATCATCCAAATGCGTTCCTATCACTGGGCTGGAAGTGTGGAGAAAATCACTGCAGTCTTACCATCTCCAGAGATCTGCCTCATGAGCTCATTTAAGATGATATGTTGACCCTTCGCTGGTAAATCATTGAATGTGAGGTTTTTCAATTCTTCCAGAAGTTGTCTCAGGGTAAGCTTTTTGGTCATGGGGGCGCTATCTGAATCTGTTGTATCTGTAGGGTGATTCAAATTCTCCTCATGTATTTCTTCGTCGTCATCGTCTCCCGTGACAAATTTTGGTGATCTGATATGCTCCTTAATGTCATTATTAGCAATGATGGATGGTGCCCTCTTCATGCTGGGCCTTTGGGCAATTGAAAGTGAGCTTTCGTTTCTTGGTGTTGGTACCTTGGCAGCCAAACTCTTCTCAGCTGGATCCTTCAGAGAGCCCTTTGCCTTGTCTTGTTCATCCTCGATGAATTGAATCAGCGGTTTGTTAGTCTCGCTATGCTCATCATCTTCATCTTGAGGCGCCAGAGGCTCTTCATCCTCCTCATCTCTTACTCTAGATTGAGGTATCTTTACCGACAGGAAGTTTGGACGAAGGTTCGACATAGACGATTTGACCGAGAGCTGGTCAGAGGACATAGCACCTAGTGAAGTGGTGTACTTTGCCAAGAGAGCGTTACCTGGCTTGTTACCATAGTCTCTTTGAGGGTGGCGTTGCTGATTAGCAGATGAGGGTGGCGGATTGGGCGTCCTCAACGGTTTCTTTCCCAAAGGTGAAGATTCTTCTGATGGTCGTTGCTCGGGACTGGAGATTTCGGGAGTCCGCTGCCTACCGGTGCCATCCCCAACACTGCTGTGAACACTTCCTTCCAACTCGCTATCACTGCTGTCTTCCGACTCGTAGGCATAAAAGCTTTCTCCGCCTTGTGCCTTCATGTTAAAGGAAAGTGACAAACCTTGACCATGCAAGTTTGATAAAGTGTAACGTCTGTTGTTTTTAAGACTTGGTCCGGTAATGGGTGAGCTGTTACTCTTCGAAAGATTGAACAGAACAGGGTCATACTTCCGTTCATCTTTGATATCGATGGACTTCATCTTTTTGCCAGACCGCCTTCTCTGCAACTTTTGCCTCTCGATCTGGCGCATAGATTCCCGAGCATCACATAAGTTAATCCACCATTGATCACTGTGAAGCACATGGTTTATGTGGTTGAAATCTTTCTGTGTAGCAGGGGACACAGTATAGCCTTTTACCATGAAGTTGTAAGAGTGAAGGAAACCATCCTCGAAACACTTCACCACTGTTTCCGCATCGATTCTCAAAGAGACAAGCAAATCTTTAAGTCTCGTCAATTCGTCTTCGACCTCATTGGCGCTTTCAACAAAAACGATAATTCTCAAATGATAATTGTTCTTTTCCCATTCGTCGACTGTCGAAAGGATAGCACCAAGCTGAAGAATCAAAGTATATGTGTCGAAATTGGTGGACATCACAGATTTGCCGTCATCCATTAAACAAATTGATGACATCTGAATTGGGTAAAGATCAATATATCTCTTCTCAGCATCACTTTTGAACTTTCTTGTCCATCTACTGCCCAGGAGGATGGGTACCTCCATACGGCTGAAATTACCCGCAACAGCGACAGTGGCTTGCATTATCACTAGATCTTCCACAATTTGAACCCACTGATTGACAGATACTTTCCTCTCCTTTCTGCACTCATCAGTGGGTAGATGGAGCGTGGACAAGGATCTTTGTTCCTGCTTCAACGGCAATTCAACGCCATGTTTCTGAGAATCATAAAATCCTAAAACCGTGATGTTCGGACGCATTCCTCCCAAACCAGAACCAAGAAAGACGTTCCTGACGCCCCAAGGAAGGGAAGGACCGATGGCAATTTGAACGAAGGCCTTGATTTTGGCCATATCACGGAGTTTAGTCCATGCATTTTTCTGCTTTCGAATTTCTTTGTACGAAGAGACATTGAATTCAGAATTCACATCACTCTGGCCCGCCGAGTCATCACTCATCAATACAACATGACCTAAAATATAAAGGCCGCCCTTCTTCAAGTGATTGCAAAATGCGATCAAATTCCACGATGTACGTGGGTTGTCGCAAAGGAGTAGGATTTGAGGTCTCCAATATTTGACACTCATATTTAGCTTCAAGCGTAGTAAGTATTTTCGAACCTGATGATAGATCAATAATTGAGAGATGTCGCCGAAGTTCAGTGGCGGCGTGGTGTAGTGAATAATCATGATGAGGAAAATCAAAAACACTATGACTGACGTAGCGGATACACCGTCCACTAAATACATTGCAAGCACTGAGACCAAGCCTCCTGAAAAAGCGGTTTTTGTGCTGAAGTATTTGAATGAAGGCCTGAAGTTTGGCGCAGACCCGACTCTTAAAAGAAAGCATGCAAGATTTGTCACCAAAAAGGTCATGAGGAATGCCATCGTGATGAATGTAGCAATCTGATTGATATCAGAGAAAAGGAAAACCTGAGCGATAGCCCAAGTGAGCAATATGGCGTATGATTGGGCACGCTTTTTCTCCTTTGGCAGCTTTCGAGCTGTTGAGAAGCATGACAAACCTGGAATGATTTTATCAACAGCAATTGCGTTGAGTACAGTGGCACCACCCACAATGCCCATGATGACTGAGAATAGGGACGTCGAAACCTCACCAATGATGATAATCAACCCATTTATGTTAACCGTCTGAATGATTTTAATGTCCTTGTGAAATAATTCTCTGGGGACGGAAGCACCCAATGAGATAATGACTAAGAAGTAAAGAAAGAAGCTAAGGCTTAATGCAAATAGTGTTCCTCTAGGAATCGACCGTGAGGGGTTTTTGAGTTCGCCAGACATTGATGCTCCAGCAAAAATTCCAGCAGTGGCAGGGAAGAATATCCCGAAAAGGTTTTTGAAAGTCTCTGGTTCACCTGGAGGTAACAAGGATCCAGCTGCTCCACTCGTGAAGTTTGGCCATAGATTCTCTTGTATTGTCTTCCAAGATATACCCGAGTACCACAAATCGTCGTACGGAGGGGAAAGGGGATTTCCCGGCCCGACTATTAATGCAGAAAGCGGGATCAGAAGAGTGCTGGTAGTGAGTAGGATGAACAACCAAAATGCCGTCTTCGACACCAAGGATGCACCAACAAGTGCCACACTAGTACAAAGCATAAGAAGGATTGTGGAGTAGATCACTTGCCACCAGTAAGACACAGGTAGCAAAGGTAGCACATCGCCTTGGGCCTTGCCGAAGTTAACCAAAAGCGGCTCAATGAAACCAACAACGTTCAAGGATGAATTCAAGATTTGGCCAATGAAGAAGATAATGCCTATGGCGCCACCGAACTCCGGTCCCAATGATCGAGAAATCATGTAATAGGCTCCACCTCCTCGAACAGTGCCGTTTGTCGAAATAGCACTAACAGAGCAGACGGTCAAGATGTCGATCACAAACGACATTACCAAGAGCAACAATGACCCCATTATACCCATTTGTCCTATAATGAATCCAAAACGCAAGAACATCAAGATCGAAAGCACATTGAGCGTTGTCGGGAGAAAGACACCCTCAAACGTGCCCAACTTAGCCTTCTTTCCATTATCTTGTGTCTGATTCAGCCTCCCCTGTAGAATTTCATTTGTATAAGCAGCCGTTTGAGCCAGTAGTAGCGGCGTGGCCTCAGACATACAGAAGTGCTCTAGATCGGAAGTTGAGTGAGATCAGCAACAAGGTATCGAGCTGCGAGATGTATGGAAGCCCAAGCCCGCGCCCGATAAGAAATGGAACACTACAAGTCGAAAATGTATTTTTGTGACAAAATTGTGACAAGGTAGGCGGCCAAAATCCGAAGAAGAAGTAGGATCGTCGGTTTGATGGGCTTTTTCTGGAGATAGGCCCGGGAGATGGTTCTCCCTGCTTGGTATATCACCACTAATGCACTGAGGCGGGAGGCAGGACGTACTCTGATCAGGACCTGAAGGTTCAGAAGAATGTTGGCAAGGGTAGACATGATTCTTTTTATTTTGTGAATTTTTCGAAAGATAATAAGAATTCGATTGAAATGAGAGAACATAGGAGCCTCGTAGCAAGTCTGGTCTGCACTGCATCAGGAGCCGTGGTCGTATAATTGCATCATCAGATAGTCGAATCAGCGGCTGTGCTGCCACCACAAAGGCACAGTATGTTGGGGCCTTGGAAAGTTGGGAATGCCAAATAAACGAAGTTACACTTGGCTTCTGATATGGTATGAAATGTGGAAGCTGTATATCTATGGTCCCTCGTAAGCTGAGCCGAACCATAGATTTCTCTCCATCAAAACTAAAAATCGATATTTCCGTTTCATGAACGATCTCTCGCCATCAGGCCAGATTCGTTATCTCCATGATCGGGCTTCTGGACCATATATAACTCATGCTCTACTTCTACTACTGTGCGCAGAAAAACTCGAGCTACCAGAAAAAAGTGAAGACCTCACCCCATTCCTAATAACATTCTCCTCAATAACCTGAGCCACAAGAACGATGTTTAGGCTCATCGCCAGTAATACCCAGACAGGCTTGAGGCCCGTCCTTCTTCGTAAGGTCAGGGGAAACTCCTCGGGCCTTAAGTTGGCGCCTAATATGAGCCTAGAGCCCAGCTTCGAATGCCAGAATCATTACGCCGTCCAGATAGCACGCAGTAACAGCACGAAAGCGGCCGCAAGCACAGCTTCAAACAATCTCAATTTGAATCAGACGATACAAGACAGTGCCCAGTTTACTTCAACCAGCCGGAAAGACTCAGAGAAGGTTGATGAATTCAAGGATTTACTTCTGAAGGTCGGCAAGAAGCGCCCTATCAACGGCAGAGGCAGAGCAGACATCTTACGTGATTTGCAGCAGCTCTTTTCCGATGACGATGTCAAAGCTGGTCTCACTTCCGATCAGCTTCAACGCTACGCAGAGTTTCTTGATAACTTCATGTACCAAAACAGAAGACACCGTCTTTCGTCCAGCCTGAACCGTGACAGCGACCATTATCAGAACCACACCTTGAACAATGACATCGCTTTGAAATCGGCCATCTTGGATATCGCAGATGGTGTCATTCGTGGCGTGCTCCAGGAGAACATGAGCTCCCGCGGTCTCTACCACCTTTTTCAAGCCATGCTTCAAAGCGAGGTCTCGACTGAGCTTATTGAGCTTTGGGAAGCTGGTGTCAACAGCAAAGAAAAAGTCAACCAGCTTTTCTTGAAGCACGACATTTTGAGTATCGTTCTACCTGTTGCTTACAAGACAAAGAGATTCTCATACCAGGACGTTCTCAGAATTTACGAGTTCAACACCAAGGGAAAGCACATTCTGTGTTCGCTCATGACTGCAATGGGTAAAATCGCCATCCAGGCTGGTGACAACTCTCGCGGTTTGGACAACTTGGAGAGCCTCATGAAGGTCTTTGAGGATGCTCCAAACAAACTGAATGTTGTCCTTCACAGCTTGGGTGACTTGCATTTGCTGTTCATCGGCGATTGCCAAGATATCAAGATCGCTAAACACTTCTTCGACAAGGTCGTCAACTCCGAATTGCCTTACAAGGTGGTGCTTAGAGCTCCTTATGTTGCGAACTTGCTCCAAAACTCATATGATACCAAGGTGCCTTTCACGACGATTGCTAACATCTGGAAACTGGCTATCGATTACTACACCAAACGTGGTTTTGATGCGGCATTGAATTCCAAGTATGCCATCGTGAACAATACCTTCTTCAAGATTTTCTTCAAAGTTTACCCAGAGTTGAACGAGGAGGCCTATACCACTCTCAAGCAGCTTATAGCTACCTACAGCAAACCCGTGGATGAAATTCTCATCAATTCCATCATTGGTAATTATCACTGGAACGACAAGGTCGTTTTCAAACAATTGATGGACAATTTTGAGATCCATAATGTGCAGCGTACTCCAGTTTCGTACCGTGTTTGCTTGAAGAAGATGGGAGAGATTGAAGATTTTACTAATGAGGAGATTTTGGCTCAGTGGTACGAGTCATTGGCATTCTTGGACAAGCAAGGCTTTAATTATATTCCAATCGCTGACTGGGCCGCTTTACGTGATTCGACTATCATGAGTCCTTATAGCGAAAAGAGGGCTTCCTTTTACGTGGCGGTGTTGGATGCATTCAAGAACTATCACCAAGATGACAAGGCTTGTCTTCGTTTCGTGAGGTGGTTTACCGTCCGTGACCAGGCTGTTGACAAGATTGCACCCTTGTCTCTCGAGGACTCTTTCAAAAACGAGTGTGGCATTGATGTGGTTATTCCATCCTACCAGTCACTCAAAGAGAATGTTAATTACAAGGCAGTCACCAAGCTGCTTTTCAAAACCCACTTGAAGCACCTGTCCATAAAAAAGGCTTCAAAGCTGGCCTAAAATAATGGTAAATAGAAAATTCGTACATAGTTAATATTCCAAAATTCGATATTCTGTACCGGCTACATACACTGACTCTACCCGCGCCAAGATCATCTACGTATGCCACAAACCACCAAATGGGTTCGTGCTTCTCTAAACATTCAGAGGATGATATCAAAAATTCCAGCAGACCTGCTCATTCTATGAAGCAGCGTGGTCCCAATAAAGCATCTTCCAGTTTCAAACCGGGCACCCAGTCTAAGGCCGGCCAAAGACTAGGAGGTCCGTTGAACCCAGAACAAGAGGCAGTATCAGAACTGGGTCAAAGTGGGAGAGAAGCTGCTGCTCGAGCCGCAGAGCAAAGGTATTCCGAAAAGCAGAACAATCTAGCTTCTAGTAAGACGAAGTTGAAAGCCATGGAGAAGGTCTCCAAGAAAGACAAGGGATTGGCGTAAGCGACCAGAGCTGTTCAAATGAGACCCGTTTCATATCCATCGCAAGTCAAAAACATGTCATTTAGAACAATTGCAAGTAATTGGACCTTCATACTTCTTTATAATGTCTTTTCAAGTTGGTTGCAAGCCTGCTTCCACGACCTAACGTCCATCCGAGTAATTGAAGGCTATTTCATAAACACTGGTGACTCGGATTCACTATCAAAGAAATTTAAGTAGATTTACAACATAAAATTCCTCCAGGTTGATATGTACCCAGCACAAGCCATTAGATAGTGAATGCTTGGTACTGCATGTTGACCTACGTTCAACGCTTGAACTAAACACTCAATTCAAGCATCACCTCCCCAACCATGGACTCAGCAGCCAAAATCCCGATTTCACATACCTTGTGGTCCCCTCATGATACGGTAAAGGATGCAGCTGACCAATTAGGTATCACTCTCCCAGATGATGCTGCAAAGAACTTGGCTATGGATGTCGAGTACAGAATCCATGAAATTCTAGAGACCGCCATCAAGTTCATGCGCCATTCCAAAAGAAAGTTACTCGCCACAAGCGATATCAACAATGCACTCAAAGTGCTCAATATCGAACCACTTTTCGGTTATGACCAGTCTCAGCCTCTAGTGTTCAAGGAGGCCCTTTCTGGAGCAGGCGGTCAAACATTATACTACATTGATGACAATGAGATTGAATTCGAAAAGTTGATCAATCAGGAACTTCCAAAAGTTCCACGTCAGACTACCTTCACTGCTCACTGGTTGGCTATCGAGGGTGTACAGCCAATGATCCCACAGAATCCATTGGTCTCAGAAATCAAGAGTTTACCCTCTGTGGTTAGAGGTGCCACATCTTCTGTATTTGGAAATGACTTTCTACTATCATCTGCGCCCAGCTCAAGCACTGCGGAAGACTCCAAAGATCCTAACGCCAGACAGAAGACTAAGAAGGGAGATAAGGACGTGGAGGTCAAGCCTTTGGTTAAACATGTGCTTCTGAAGGAGCTCAAGCTCTACTTCGACAAGATTGTCGAGGTGCTCATATCAACTGATCCTGAGAAGGAGACATTCAAGGATGCGGCATTGAATTCTTTGAGGACAGATCCTGGTTTACATCAACTTGTGCCATACTTCATCCAGTTCGTGGCCGAGCAGGTCACCAACCAGTTGAGAAATATCGAGCTTTTAATTACTTTGCTTGAAGTTATTTCCGCTCTTTGTGACAATAAGACCATCTTTTTGGATCCTTACGTTCATGCTCTCATGCCTTGCATCCTCACACTCTTGCTAGCCAAGAGAATTGGTCCACCTATCCCTGAGAATGCAGATGATGATGCCGTTTTAGATACCATCAAGGGTCAATTCGCTGTCAGAGAATTTGCATCTTTACTTCTACAGCACGTCATCGACTCGTTCGGCTCTTCCTACTCCACACTCAAACCAAGAGTGACAAGAACGCTTCTCAGAGCATTGCTCGACTCCTCTAAACCTTTAGGTACTCACTATGGTGCACTCCTTGGAATCGAGAAGTTGGGTCACGAAGTAATCAAGCTTGTTTTGGTGGGAAATGTCAAGATGTGGTACAAACAAGTTGTTGAAGATAGTTCTAGGCGTGACGTGGAAACCAACATTCTTAAGCAGAAAGTCCTTGACGTCCTTGAAAAACTAAAGATTGAGGACCGTATCGAGAATGTTGATGACAAGATGGATGTCGATTCGCTGGATGTTAGTGAGGAGATCAAAGAGAAGTTGAAGGAAAGAATCGGCCAACCGTTGGCAGAAGAGCTTTTGGCTAAGCCTGATGCTAAGAGCATTTGCCGTGGTATTTTTATTGGTGAGGCTAATGTATAAATAGAAAATTAAGGTTATGCAATGGTTATCTTCTTTTGGGTCTGACGTAGGTTTTGACTGTACGGTTTGAAGTGCTTGCTAGCAATTTTTCAAAATCGGAATCTGAATCAGATTCTTGGTTTGGATCAGAATCGACGTCGGTGTCTCCACTTTTCGAAGGCTCGATAGAAGGCGCCTTCATCGAATTGCCAGCTTTGAGCAACGATCCATCAGCCCTGCTGGCTGGTTTCGTGATCGGCATGAAGATTTCGGGAGAGTTATCTGATTTAGAGGGCAACAGCACAGTTCTGAGTGCTTTTTTATACTCTTGGGGTGGACGTCCTGGAGAACCTTGAAGTGTAGCTTGTGTGAAAGGGTTCTTGAAATCCGTCATTTTAGCTTTCCTCGCTGGCAATGTGGTTTCTGGTTGAATAGGTGATGACTCTATCACAGACGAAGTGCTGTTATTGGTTTGAGCGGTGGCATGTTGCAGGAATAGAACTGGGGATTTTTCAGATGAAGTATGGATGGGAGAGCTCACAATTTTCACATCCGGTAATGATGGCGCTGCTAGTAGTGAGAGTTTCTGCTGCACCAACGACACTCTCTTTGTAGAGTCTGGAACAACAAAATCCTTCCGTTTTGCTTCCGAATTTTGAGGAGTTTCGAGAATGATATTGGAGATTCTCTTCGTAGAAGGTGTAGCCTGAATAAGTTTGATTGGCTCGTCAGGTATTTCATTCGACTCATTCTTTGAAAGCATGCCCATTGAAACAGAGTGGTTTTTGACCTTCCGGGCATCTCCAAATATAAAGGAGGTAGCTTTTTCGGCCACGTCTTGATCGTCAGGTTTATTGAGAGACATGTCAACCTGCCTGCGCTTCAAATTCTTAGAGCCCAAATTAGATTTTGACCGCTTAAGCGAGAATGCGGGCTCATCCTTCTCACTCGCTGAAGTTTTGGACCTCCGGAGGAAGGGCTTTTGCTTTTCTGTCAATAGCTTCTTGTTGAATCTTGAGGCCTTTTTAGTCTCTTTGGGTGCTACCTCGTCTGTGCTTGGCGGACTACCGGCCTCTGATCCACTGACAGATTTTGAAGTAGATGTCTTGAGCTTGGACAGCTTGAATGTGGGCCTCAGCTCTCTTACCTTCTCTATGACGAACTTGACGATTTTAGGGAGCTTGGTGTTAAAAAAGGGCACGAAAACATAAGCTAAAAAGCCATAAATGCTCTCGTCTTTTTTATTCTTCAATTTTCCAGTAAGGACATCCCAAATACTCATTTGGTCAACAAGCGCAACAAGAGACGCGTAAAGTCCGAAGTGAGTGATGTGATTCTTTTTCTGATCCGGATCTTCTGTCTTTTCATGTATTCCAACCCCTAAAAGAGTCGGGGTAATCTTCTTGGTCTTTGATTTTCGTCTGACAAGCGATTTTTTGGTTACCTTTCTGTTCATCTTCTCTTGCAATTTCGCGTTCGAAGCTAGGAATGACGCTTCGTCAACCTCCCAGGTTAGTAGAAGCTGCATCACGAGCAAGATCTGTAGCTGCGCTTCCCTTCTCTTCAAATCAAAAATAACTCTGTTTCTAGCTTCGTCTGACATGCTAAAGGTGAAGTGTTTCTGAAGAAGTAACTTTTGGTTTTCTGCTTCATACTTGTTGATCTCCATGGTCTCAGAATCTTTCCCAATCAATACATCGAGTCCGTACCGTAGTCTATGCCTCTCGTTCAAACTTTCAGGGCTAAGATAAACTGCAGCTAGACTTTGCTCCATGAGCTCTTTCTTTCCATCACACATCACACGAAGCCGTGTTAGCGTGGATTTGGGAAAATAGGTTAAAGGAGTAGACAACGAATATAGGATGCTGAAGTATCTTGATTTGAGGAAGTTGATAGGGTCTGTCTCGCTTTGAGGTGATAATTGAGTAATGACAGCATTACGGTCGCTCATAGGTGAAAGGTATGCTGGGGGAGGTCTCATGGAAAAGTTGGATAGGGTTTGGCCCGTGTTGACATTATCATTCGGAAGGATCTTCCAGTCTTCTAGAAACTCGTCCTGATTGCGACATGCTGGTGGAATTGCTGAGGTAGACGTGAGTCTCTGGCTCGTTTCAGGTCGTGAAAAGACGAAGAGCTCGTATGCGTGGGCGAAGGGGAGACATTTCTGTAGTAGCCCCGTGCGTGGAGTTTTGAATTGATCTATAGTTTGTACGATATATGCATTATTTGATTCACTGAGTTTACTCAATTGCTTGCTGAAGATGGTTCTGCGATGTAGAATATCGTCTTGAAGTAATGTGTGGATGCTTGGGGTTCCTGTTGATCGTAGGATTGTGATGGTAAGCTGAGGTTCACCCGTCAGCAGCTTTAATATGATGTCATTAGTAGCTTTGATGGGTTCTGAAGTAAAATCACCATCATCCATCAGCAACAAGGTATGTTCGATTCTTTATCCAAACAGTTTTGTAGAGCTCGCTACCTAGTAACGCGTAGAACTGCAGACAAAATCAAGACATACTGTTGCGCGCGTGAATGGCTTCGGCTCATGGCTGCGAAATGCGATCAAATGTCTAACCACTCATCTTCAATGATGTCTGTGATAGTAGGTCTCTTGTTGATGTCTCTGACCAAGATCTTCTCTATGAGCGCAAGAGACTTCTCGCTCACAACATAGGGCACTCTCAAGTCACCCTCCATAATCTCGTCCACGTTATAAAACGGATTCTCCTTGTATATCATAGTGTAAAGCAATATGCCTAAAGCCCAGATATCTTGAGGCTTGCCTTCATACTTTTCTCCTCTCAACACCTCGGGAGAGGCATAGTCAATCGTCCCGACAAAAACATCGAATGGGCCCAGCTTTACATACCCAGCGCTTCCAAAATCGATCAACTTGATGATGCCCCGTTCGTCCACAATGACGTTTTCATCCTTGATATCTCTGTGAACGATGCCGTTTTTGTGCAAATGATAAATTGCGTTCACAATTTGCGTGAAGATGTATTGGCACTCTATCTCGCTCATATCTTTCTTGACCTCGATGTAATCGAACAAATCGATAGCTGGAGGATCACCAAAAATAGGAGTTTCCAAATAGTAGTAGTTTGGATCCTCAAAGTAGTCGATAATTCTCATGATGTTAGGATGAGGCTCGTGGTTAAGTGTAGCCATCACTTGAATCTCCGAAGGAATTGTCCCTAGTTGTCGATCTCTGACCCAAGTGTCGACCAAAATTCTTTGTTTGTCAATGCACTTTATGATTATCCTGTAAGCAGGGTCTTCCTTGTGTTCTGCGAGAACGACTTTGCCGTAAGCACCCTCACCCAATTTCTTGAGAACCTTGAATTCCTCAAACTTCTTAGTACGCCGCTTTGCACCCACAGAAGCAGGCCACTCTTTTGACCTCTTCATTTTTTGCTTCAAATCCTCATTCTCAAGGTTTAGAAGCTCTTCCTCTGTGAATCGAGTATAGCGGGTCTCACTCGAGTAATTAGTGTGAGTAGTTGGCTCTGACTCTGTATCCCCACTTTCGGCGGATTCCACGCTGGTCCTAGAGTCTTGACTGGCGCGAGTTGAGGATGATCGGGGAGCAAACTGGCCTGGAACCTTCAAGGTATTTGAATCAACATCATTGCCCATGTATGTCACCGGAATTGAGAAAGTGTTTGCTTTCTTTGGTCTCCTGGTGCTGTTTGCACGGCTAATATGAGGACTCGTATGACCTAATTCCATAAGGTCATCCTCATTTTCAGGGAAAAGGCGGAGTTGCGAAGGCAAGTCATTGCCCAGAACATCAGAATTGCTTCTTTGTCTGGGGCTGCTCGTCAAAGACCTTGACGATGCGCTTCTTGTTAGTTTGTCAAGCTCACTTGCGATATTCTTTGAGTGCCTTGAGTAAGTCACCCAGAGAACAAAGACGTCTGACAGAATGACGCGAAGCTGGACATCAATGGAAAGAGGTTTGCCGTCTCTGTGAATACCAGATATTCCTTTGGACTTGAAAAATAACTCTTCCATTGAAATCTCCTGAGAATCGCGGTGCTTGAGGACCGCATCATACTTTCGGAAAAAATGCTCCGGCAAAACCAATCCCGGCATTATTGATATATCATTCTGATCCTTCAAACCAGTCTCTAGAATTTTGGTGAAACCTGGGATGATCTCATCGATGCTATGATGAAGGATTTCCTCCGATGACTTTCCGAAAAGATTGTTCGCAATAGCATTATTGCTTGAAAGAATATCGTAATCTGAAAAGTTCACCACAAACATACCTGCGATGTAGGGCATTGAGTGGAACTTGAGCTTGATCTCATACTTGTCGTCATTGAGTTCGAGCGGGTATGAAGTAACTGCACAAGGAATGTTATCGTCACGGGCTTGGAGGGTGAAATAGCGAATCTTGTTAATTGTCTCACTATCACGGAAGTCGCATGCAGTGGATTCTTTCGAATGACTTGAAGCCAGCGAGGTTAACTCGTGGTCCAATGAGTTTGAAACTTGCTCAAGGGTCTTCAGGGAGTCTTTCCATTCAGACGTTAATAACTTTCCAGCGATCTCTTGAACAGAGGCCACTGAATACTTGTGATGAGGGTACTTTTCAACATCACACTGCACTACTATATCGAACGCGTCACAGGGGATCTGCTCGAACATGCAAATAATCAAGTTTCCTCTTTTTTTTGCCCACATAGAAGTCCATGCAAATGTGTGATCAGCCTGTCTTGAGATGGCGATAATCTCACCAGCGAGGATGATCTGGCTCTTGGCTCCATTCCTGTCCAATGAATCAGAAATTGATTTGGTCAAACGTTCTGTCACAAAATGTCTAAATTGTGGAGCAATAAGATCCATTAACGTGAGGTTCTTAATCATGTTTTTCGAAACACCGAACATCAAACATGCCAAGTCATTAGCAGCTTTCAAGTTCCACGGATTCACGTCCTCGACAGTGAAAACTGACTGCGGGGAGGAATGTTTTCCCAGGGATAATACGTGGAATGGTCTGTTGCCGGTCGAGGGTGTGAGTGGCAGATTAAGTGAATTGAGGAGGGTGAGTGATGCAGTGGAGGTACTAACTGGCGGGTTAGCCGCAGCCGATTGTGGGGTTGCCGAGTCAAGAAGGGATGAGGTCAGCGAGGTGGACTCAACAAATGGAGTGGCCAAAGCCAATAGAAGCTTAGACTTCAAAATATTCTTCTTCGCCCGGTGGTCATGTTCTCCGGAAGATAGCGACAAATCGTGGAGGGTGGATGCAATTTCAGTGTTGTTGTCAAGCTCTGACGAATCATTTTCAAGAATTTGGATTATGTCTTGTAAATCATCGCTGAGCATAGTGTCACCCGGTGAGGAAATGTCTCGAAGAAGTTTGGCCTCCTCTTGTTTCCACGATGATAAGTTGGTCGTAGAAACTTTGAGATCCTTGCGGGCCAGTCCCAGGGACGGGAATCTAGATGCTGGCAAGCTGTCAGCCCTCGCCATCTGAGGTCTAAAAAGCATCGAAAGGGCTGCAGAAGAGGCGTTCGGGCGGATTTTGCATCGATCTGAACTCAAGTTGATGCTTTCACCACTGGCGTTACGGGAAGCATCATGATACATGACCAGACGAGCCGAAACACGACGGTGGCCATTATCACTCGGCTGAAGGTTCCATGAGGGCATACTGTCACCAGGCAAATCATCATCACTGTTGTTCAGGGAGTCATAGTTGATGGAGCGAAACCAGTCAGGTCTCTCATTTAGAATCTCTAGCGATCTTTTCAAAACATTAAGTCGGAGTGCCAATGAGTTGGGCGACAAGTGGGCGTATGAATATGAATGGGAGTTCTCTATGGGAAACTGAAGAACACTGTTGATGTTGGAAAAGTCCGTCAGGTTGGATGTTGTTCTCGATAGCAGCAGCGCATTAAGTCTAGAGGTGTTGATGGCAAACGGCTTATTCGGAGGCACTCTTAAGTTATCGCCATCTTCTTCAAAATGAAACAGCGGCTGTCCTCTGCCAGCTTGAGGCTGCATCATCAGACTTCGCTATTCGATGATTAGTGCGTGGAAAGTAAAAAGGGGTTTTTGTTTTCAGGGCGTCCTATGAGGCGTCTATAAAACCCGAAGGTGTAGTTGTGTCTATAATGTGAGGTGGGAAGATGGTATTAAGCGATAGCCTCCCCTCTACTGTTGAATTTCAAGATCTTGAGCAGGCATCCTCTGCAGGAGAGCGCTATTGATGGGGCCAAGAAGCCCTCCAAACATGGCCACATAGAGTAAATCTGAAGTAATGATGCATTGTGCATGAGACCGTTGGACTCTACATTTAGGCACTGTATTTTAATTTTTTCAGTTGAAGCTCGAGGAGAGTCGATCTTGTTAGATGGAACGGGTCTACGGAGCTGGTGCTCGTATCTGTCTAGTTCTATCCAGGACGCATGCTTCCGTGAGGCCAAGGCCTCAATCCGAGTGTATACATTTAAGGCGGAGCAACAACCATTTCTTTGAGCCAAGAGAAATTAAGACGAAGAGAAGACGTGTTTCTTTCCATACCGCTCTTAGTCAACGCCGCACCTAAAGACGGAACTCTTGCACGCGCTCATCCAAATCGCTCATCTCTGTGTTCATGATCTGCGAGTTACCAAATCCACCAACATTTGGGGTATCGCCAACGCCGTCCAAAATTGCAGGAGTCTGTCTGCCCATAACTGGTGTATTGGAGTAGCTCAGAAGTGGCGTATCAGAGGCCAGCTTCAGATACGTCGGTGGGCTCAACGCTCTCACATCTTCATACATTGGAGGCACCTCATCATCCCATGCAATCCCTAGGCCTGATCTCTCAGTGACGTTCATCTTGAACTGCATTCGCAAAACTCTTGCGGCACCAGTAGGCACTCCCACGTGAGTTTCTCTTATATTGGTAGTGGAGTTGATCGAAGTGGAAGAGTCTATTGGCATGAGACTATCGCCTTGTGCTTTCTGTCTGGCAATGTGGATGAGCTCCTCCGCCACAACCACCTCAACGACCAAAACATGATTCACAAACACTCCAAGCTCTGGATCGTCGATGTCACAAGAAATGTTGGCACCATTACGAAGCCCTTCTTGATTTTCGTCTTGCTTAGGATCTGATGAAGATGCTTGAACGACGTGGCGCTGTAGGCCAGTGGAGCAATCCATGGCAGAGATTTCTGCCACCAACTCTATACGGCCCTCGCCCAGAAAGTCCGATTTCCAACCGGACTTTATTTCGCCATGCGAGACTACCCGGAGTTCTTCAAGTGAGAGCTCCTCTTGCGGTTGTGTGAAGTCAGAACGAGATCTGTTGGTGGTCAGTGGGCGAAGATCATTAACTGTCGTTCTGTTGGTGTTAGTGAATGGATGACTGGGCAATGGGAATATTCTGTCGGATCGTGCAAATGTATCTGTTTGGTTATTGTCTGATGCTGTGGATGGAGTTTGCTCACGACTAACTTCGCTGGATGGGCGGAACTGGGAGAAGTCCAGATCAAAATTAACAGCTTCGTCAATCGGTCTGTTGGGAACGCCATCATCAATCTCTGGCTGTTCATCAATGTCCTGGTTGCCAGGGGCAGCAGCCTCAGCAAGTGCGGCAGCATCGGCAGCCGTCATTACTCGACTGGATGGAACGTCAAGACGCATGGAAGTTTGCACTGTCAGATGATGGAGTCCGGTGGTCTTGTTTTCCTGGTTCCCGGCTTTGAGTCTGCTGAGTTGTGCACGTTTCTGCAGCTCTTTTGTAAGGTTGAGTTTGGAGGCATGTTTTGGACAAACTGATGCTCTTACTTTGGTACACTCTTCCAATTTCCAAGTGAGCTTTCTCATGCGCCAGCGGCGGTCCTGTTTTGAGCTGACCACATTGTTCAATCGTAGCTCTATAGGGAATGTAGACTTTGGGTAAATGACATTGGGCAAAACTGCGCTAGCGGTGACGTCTGTTGGAGGAAACACTCTAAGTGAGTTGCGGTCATGGCCTCGTATAATGGATCTCAGTACGCAGAGCGGAAGAGATGCCTTCACTTCCTTCAGGCCTGCAACAGCCACAGCTATGATGTCGTACTTTATGTACGACAGGGATTGGCTACCGCCGAGTTTTGTGGAAGCGGCAAGCAGGCCAGGAAGTAAATGTGAAAAAGGATAGGCATGCGATCCCACAGCGAAAGTGGCAGGCTCAATCACGACATCCCACCTGGCTAGCGTATTCCGCTTGATAGCGCACGATTTGCATGAGGACACTGACCCGGACGGGATTTGGAATGGCTTTGTGTAGCGAATTGTCTGGACGAGCAGGAGAGTGACTGAAGAAAGCTCCACGTCTGAATCGGCGCCTATGCTTCCTACCGACGACACGGGAGTCAAGGAATCTGGGGTTCTTCGAGGACTATCATCCCTGGACTTTGGGCGAGGCAAAACGTCAAGGTGTAAAACGCCTGAAACAATCGATCCCGTTGATTCGTGATGCTGGCCATAGAGTATGACCGGAGGAGACTCCAAAGCGATCGAAAGCTTGACCCGGGGTTTCTTGAGATTAGAGGCCAGCGCTTTGGGAGAGAGCTGGGGTCTGGACTTCTCAGAGTTGTGATTAAGCACTCTGGAAAGGAGCGTCATGGTGAAAATTGTGTTTCCACTTGGGACAAAGAAGGTGTTCTAGTGTTTGAAGAAGCCGTTTTGAGGTGAGAAGCTATGAGATGTAGGTCCTGCGATATGGGCTGAGACCTGCCTAGGGTCGGTCGACCGCCGCCCCACCTCCAAACCCCACCCACTGTGGAGAACCCAAGAAAGTTTAAGATAAAACGAAATGCGGTAGACCGAAACAAAAAAAAAATCTTTACAATTTAGACTCGATAATGTGCAATGTACTGAGTAGATACTTCCTTGTGTGGTATGTCTCAGTCAATTATTCGCGAAGCGTGCTTTAGCCACACTTGGGTAGGCGTAAAGTGTAATACCGAAGGGGGTGAAAATTCTTCCATCACGTTAATTGACATACTTAGAGCGAGTTTTAGAAAGGAGGAAGATCTGGAAATGATCTCGAAGATAAATTCAGCGACTTTTTGAGATCTGAATTTTCACTTTCTCCACACCAGCCTATAGTTTCACCCCAATGCCACTTGGCAATGACGCAATGTGTTTAAGCAATTCTTTATTCTTCGATCCTTCGAATAAAATTAAGTTCGACTAAGATGTCTGCTTTTTTCGGTATTGCAACTCATCTGCTTCTGCCTTGTCTATGTTGCAACCGTCCTGCAGTTGCATACATCTACTGAGAACTAGTAACGCTTCCAACTACAATGACGAAACAACACCTTATCCTAGATAATGGCTCATACGATATAAAAGCGGGCTTTGCCACTCAAGAAAAACCACTAGTCATACATAATGCCTTGGCCAAAGCTCGAGATGGTGTTATATACGTGGGAAACGACTATATTTCTCACACCAACCTCTACTCGGGAATCAACTTCAGAAGACCTCATGACCTGGGGCACTTGACGTCATGGGAGGTGGAAAAAACACTCTGGGACTATACATTTGATCAACTATCGCCCAAGAAGGAATTGGATCTACTGAATATCCATCTCACGCTAACAGAATCAGCTTTCCAGCTTCCCCAGTTGTCCATGAACACCGATCTTATAGTGTTTGAGGAATACGGGTTCGGTGACTACTATAGATGTGTGCCGCTGTCACTCGTTCCATGGGAGGGTACAGACAAACCCGCAGACTTTACATTGGTGGTGGACTGCGGTTTTAGTTCAACTTGGGTTGTACCCATACTATATCAGGTTCCTTACTGGAGAGGTATTCGAAAACTTCCCATAGGCGGACGCCACCTCAATGGATTGCTTCGAGAGACGACATCTTTTAGGCATTACGATATCCTGGATGAGCCAATCCTTCTAAATACACTCAAGGAGAAGACGATGTTCGTCGCCGAAAATTTCGAGTCCGCCTTGAGAAAAAAACTTAATTATAAATGTGAGTTCGTTCTCCCGGACTTCAAAACCACTTTCACAGGCTACGTCAAGGCGGAAGACCAAAACTTGCCTACGGATGCTCAAACCTTGAAGTTGTACGATGAACGATTCACTATTCCAGAAGCCTATTTCCACCCGGAGATCATGCTTGATAACAACTCAGTCTCTAATTCACCAATGATACAAAATGCCAATTTCAAGAGTCTCACTGATTTAGTGGTTGACTCCATTGCATCCTGTCCTGAGGCCACAAAACCTTTGCTTCTGGCAAACATTAATATCGTGGGTGGAAGCAGTTACATCCCAAACTTGCCGGAGCGTCTAATATCAGAATTGAAGAAGGAATTACCTGTGAACTGGGAAGTGAGAAGCATACCACAAAATCAAAACTTGAATGAGGTGGCCTGGTATGGTGGTACCTCGCTAGTGAAGGACGATCTCATGAAGGAGATTTCAATTTCGAAACAGGACTATTTCGAGCATGGTGCCAATTGGTGCCAGAAGCAGTTCGGATTCAAAAACTTCTCATGATCTGTTTATCTATAATGCAATGAACAATCTACTTCAACTGAATGAGATGGTTGTATGTCAAGTACCGGCTGAACACGAGCCACCCGTATCTGAACCAGACCATTTGCGAGAAGTGGCCGTAAGCCATAGCGGCGTAAGATACACTGAGCATGTTCAAATCCGAGTAGAATCGTATCGTAGGAGGGCCTTCTTTGGAAACTTGGTTGAAGAAGCTCACATTGACATTGAGCTTGAGGATGTTGCTGAGGAAATGCTTCGAAATCAAATCCACAAAGAGCTCCACATTCGTGAGTAGAGTGAATGAATATTTTTCCCAGACGTTCAAGCTTTTGAGCACGTATAACCTGCTTTTGGTAGACCTTCTCTTGAGGTAGTTTTCAAAGAAGCTGCGAACACCATGGTAAAGCGAAATATGATTAGGATGCTTTGATACGCCTTGTTCGTCAAAAGTTATCAATACTGAGTTGTCTTTGATCAACGTGCTCAAGCTGGCGCCAATGTCAGCCTTCTCCCAGGTTATATCCATGCCATCCTGGTACTTGTCTAAAATGTGGACATCTGATTCGTGAACGCCAAGGATTCTAGCAGAGTTGACAAGTTCCGTGGATCTGATCTTACCCATTGAAGGGTCGACAGCGTCACCTTTGGAGAAACAAACGATGTGTACACGGTTGTTGTGCTTACTCTTCAGTAACTCTAACAAAGAAGGCGCAAAGAACATCACCTCATCGTCTGGGTGGCCAATTATATAGTAGACATTCGTATCCGTTATTTCGAGTGAGCTTGGGGAGACAATCGAGCTGTATGGGTATGACAGTTGTTGGAAACTGTTGGTCTGTATATCCTTATGGGTGAACTTTAGGGTAGCTTGAGGAACTATTGTTGAAAGAAGAGCCCATATTAGAAAGGAGAATCCCACAACTCTGAATATGAATTTGGGAAGGTTGAACATAATATTGTTGGGATGAATTGATGTGTTGTTGGAAATGCCCTGGTTAAGAGGCTTGATTCTATCCGCAGGCCGATTTTTGTGTTTGGGTACCGCGCAGTAGATTTAGGGTCCACTCGGGTACCCCAGTTATAGATCTTATTCTCGGAAATCAAATGATTTAATGTCTCTTCTATATCTATATTCATTATCTGTTAGGATGGCTTTCCGTGGCCAATGGTACACCACCTGGGATTTACTTCTTCCTCATGAAGGTGTAACCAGTGTTCCAGGCGATATTCACCTTTGTCTTCTCTCTGTCCCAACCGAGCTCTTTTTCAAACTCTTCAAGAATCTTGCTTTCAAAATTTTCGAGGCTTCCCTCGCCATTGGCCTCTGCGTAGTTGTGAGCAGCGCCAAAAGTTGTCATGTACTTGACGAATGAAGTAACAGGGATCCCTTCCTTCTTGATACCAAGATCGTCGCTGTCAAACTCTCTCGTTGTAGAGAGTTTACTCTTCTTGATCTTCACATCTTCAAACAAGTCCTTAGGTATAGCACTGTCGACCTCCACCAAAAGATCTCTGAGGACGTTTCTACCAGGCTGCTCCCAGTGTTTGCCAAACCAATTCAGATCTTCATACGTGTACTTGTTGTAAATTTTGTCAGCAGCTTCACAGATTTCAGTCTTGCTTCTGGTCTTGTCACTGGGTCCTTCAAACCCGATAAAAACCGGGTCCACATAGTACCAGTACGCCAAAACGCCCCTAGGCTTGAGGTACTTCGATGCCGAACTGAAGAATGTGGGCAAGTCTCTGAACCAATGGATACATTCGGCTGCCGTTATCAAGTCATACAGGCCAGCCTCCACTTCCAAGTCCTCTACCGCACTGACTGCAAACTCGATTCTGTTCATGTCGGTGATACCCAATTGCTCGAGTCGTTGTGCTTTTAAGTCATTGGCGGTCTTGATCATCGAAGGTGATAAGTCAATTCCGTAGACATAGTGGGAAAGATTGAGTAAAGGGAATGTAGCAACAGCCGTCCCGCATCCTAGATCAAGCGTCTTTTCGACCTCACTACTTCCGATATACTTAGACAAGATATCGTAAAAAGAGGAAGGATAGTGAGGACGGAAGGAGTCGTAATTGATGGAACGAAACCCAGACTTTGCAAAAGTTGACATATTTGGCGATTTGATTAAGTGGTACTTTTATGTGTCCTATATAGTATTTGGGTGAACGCCGCGAAAGCCCCACATTTCGGATTAGCTGTATCACCTCCGAACCAGGCACCGATTACCATCCGAACGAAACAGCCCCACCATCCTCGTCAATTCGATCGCTCATTTGATCGTCGTCTCTGTACTCGTCAGGATTTTCATTAAGGAAGGGTACGAGACCAAGCGATCCGTCGGCTGCAAAATCGGTCGCCATAAGCTGGTTACTGTAGTTCATAGTGAATGGGTCGAAATGAAGAAGTTCCTCGAGACTTTCTTCGTTGGACGATCCATTCGAGTCATTGTTGGAATTACTCATGTCAATTGTAGGACTTTGTGTTGGAATGTCCAAGCTTGGCAGATCCATGCTCTCGCTCTTCACAAAAGTAGAAGCTTGTCTGGGTTTGGTATATGATTGGTCCTCCATTCCGTTGACATATAAAGCGTCTCTCATTACCGCTTGTTTGCTAATAGGCCTGTCCAGCATGACCCGCTTTCTTAGGTTGTTAGAGTTCTTCAACGGTGAGATGCCCAAGATGCTCATGATTGAGAGCTCAAGAAGTCTCGTAGAATTGGGTGTAAGACCGCCAGGTATCTGCATCTCTGTCTCTTGATTAAACTCTGACAATGTCAGAATAAGAAGGCTTTTCAGCGACTGATGAAGAGGACCTCCCTTGATGAAATCAAGTGAGCCCTTAGCAACAAGTAAAGCAAAGCGGGCTTTTTCTCTTGGTAGATTGATCGGGATTGGAATCGAATATGCTGAGTTGGATGCCATTATTTTCATCACTTCCAAAATCTGTATCGAAGATTGCTGTATCATTGTCATACTCGAAATCACACTTGCAACATCCCTTTGCTTCAGGTCAACTCTTTCCTTCATGGACAAACCAACGTTGTGGTGGTAGCCATATTTGGAAATAATTGGCAAATAAATTAAAACCTTGGCATGGTAGTATAAGAATATCATAACGAGCTGGTGTCGACTGTAAATACTCCAATTGGTTCCCTCCATTCCTCCTGCTAGTTTGATATTCGTGTGATCCCGAAGAGAAAAGCCATTAACATCGATCTCAAATTTGAGATCTTGTGGAAGATCTCTTCTCCAGCATTCCAAAATTCTGTCCTTCTCTAATGCACGCTCAGACACATTCACATCTCCAGATCTCGTGAAAATGGAATCCATAATGTTGCCCAAAACCTTGCAATATTGCATCAGACTGAGAGCCAGTTTGGAGACTCTGCCGAAAATAGTCAACTTGGTATTGTTAACAATCAAGACATTCTCATTATCTCTTTCATCTTCACTACTGCCGCTGAATGGCATAGCACACTCGATTTCGTAGTCCTTCAAAAGTCGAGGAATACCCAAGTTCAAAGAGGAATAGGCGTCGAGACAGTAGATGCACCAAAATAAGATACGACGCTCACCTTGCATGAAGTTTTGAAGGTTCACATTGTTGATGTCTTTACCGTTGAGTCCGAGCACAGCAGCAGGACATCTGTGCAACCTTAGCTGCTGAGCCATTGAAATAACACGTCCACGGAGTTCATAACAAGTAGTGACGTCTCCAATTGCTAGACAGTACTGAAGGGCCAATGCAAGAATTTGAAGGGACTGTAAAGAACAGTACTTGGTGATTAAACAATTGGGCTTGATAAACTCGTGGATCAACTTGTCATAACGATTGAGCAATGCTGCTCTATGACGAAGCTCCACCTTGTCGTTTGAATGCATGAGCTCAAATTTCTGTGAGAGGATACCGAACGAGACAACAAGTACCATAAGTGCTCCCACCTTCTCTGTCAGCTCATATGAGTATTCGTAACTTGGCTCGTCTGCATTGTGATCGGCGAGGTTATCAAGCTTCAAGAAGTTTTTGAGAAATACACCCTTGTTTACCAAAGGCATGATATTGCCCCATTCTTTGAAGTATAGTGTGAGTAGATGATCGAGCTCTGCTCTGTTCGGAAGGTGTAACATTTTGAGAAATCTCATGGCTTCGTAGTGGCTCAAATTGGTGACATCTGTTCTGTCCATTATGAGAGACATCAAGTCAGCCTCCTCACTGTAGTCGGGCTGATAGAGACTTTGGGAGTCTAGCGTCTCCTTAAGAGAAGCTAATGCGTTTGCTGTAATTATGGCAGGCTTTGACCCATATCCATAGACCTGGCATATTTTGGCGAGAAGTGTGGGAATAAATAACGTCTCTTCTGTGCTTCTTGGAATTGAAGCGGCTAAAAGATGTGTAAGTAGCTTCTGTTTGCTCTCTTCCTCCAACTGCTGGTCTTGAGGAGTCGGCATCTTTTGCATTTGTTCGATGGCAGTGGCAGCAGCGAAAGCGCCTGGTGCTGGGCTGACCTCCTTGTTAGGAAATGAATTGAACCTCGTCTCGAAAGGTCTGCTTTGGCTCAGGAACAGCGGGTCCTCGAGACTCAAAAGACTATGAGTGTCATCGTCATCCTCACTGAGTACCGACTGAGGAACTGAAACGTTTCCAGACTCACCGTAGACTGACCCTGCTAGCGATACAGGCCTTTCGTGGAGAACATTGCTTCCAGAACAACAGGCGCAACCATCACCATGAGTATGTGTGTGAAGCACAGAATGAGGGTTCAGGAAGTTTGGAATATTCGAGCTCTCATTATGTCGAGAGGAGTCCAGATCAGAATCGGACCTGCTGTTGGAAACATCGCCAATTGAGCTATTGATCCCTCGTTGTTCATCTCGAAGATCAAGGAGCCCCTGGAGCTTTGTGTTTTCTGCCTCAAGCTGGCGGATTCTCTCCTCCAAAGTTTCCGTGTACCCCTTGGGAAACGCTCTTCTGGAGAGCTTGTCGGATACAACACACTTGATGCCTACTGCAGCACATGCTGAACAAGCAGGTCGTTTACCGTCACACTTGGACTTTTTCGCTCGACATCGATCGCAAGCCTGTGCAATCCTTGTAACCGAAGATCCAGGGGCAGTAATTGTTTTCAGTGGATCTAGCTGGACTTTCCCCTTGCTCTTAGACTTTTTTGCATCCGAGCCCTTTGGCGGTTCTAGAGCATCTGGAGGCATTTAACGAGATTGCAAATAAATAGGCTGCTAAAGCTTGAACACAAAATCACTTAATGAACCACACGTCGACGGCCGGTATCAAGGAAAAAACAGCGTAGTTGTTGGATCTTTCGAAACTTGGGGATGGAGTGTGGAGTGCGCACAAGACCCTTCAAATTGACTAGTGTTCTTCGCTGCACATGCGATCAATGAGTCAAGTCTGTGCGTCTGGTTATCGCGCTAATGAGAGCTCCTCGGTTGCAAATCTGCTGTGATGTACTCCCATAGGCGTCAGATGGTGGATTCGAAAATCAGAACACAAATCCTCTTGTGTCAGTGAAATGAAAAACCAGGATCCTTTTTTGATGCCCAAAATTGCTAATTTACGGTTTCCTTGGAAAACCCCATAACTCTTCTTACTGCCGTCGGACAAAGGGACTTTGAATGTGCTAAAAGCCGGCTCGACGGATCAACACCAAACCCCGGGTTTCTTCCCTAGTGCTTCAAAGTGGATTGTTCTAGAGACGCCCATTGTGCTCCAAAAGCATTTTGTGTAAATTTCACCCGTACAGAGCCAACGGTATTCGGACTTCGACTGCTTTTTGCCTAATTTGTGCGAAGTCAGATGCGCCACCTTATGTCTGTCAAATCTTCCCGCTGATTTGGTCCAACCATGCCTTCTAAGCGTATCATAACCAAGGCGGCCGATCAGGACGTGAAAAGACGTAAGTCCCCTCGTTTGGAGTCCAGATTCCAGCTTCAGTCCGTGGAAGTCAAGATCGAAGAGGAGGTGCCAGTCAAAGAGGAAGAAGTCATCAAGACGGAAACACGCGTGCAAACGGAGGCGATAAAGACAGAGGACACCAAAGAGGTTGAGGTCAAAGAAGAGGAGACGTGTTCCGCTGAGGTATCTCCTATCAACGGGACGTGTTTCTCCACGGTCAAGGACTCTGATCTCGCTGAAGGCCAACCGAAGAACTGGCAACACATCTACAATGAGATTATTGCCATGAGGGCCAAGATCGCCACGCCTGTGGACTCTATGGGCTGTGAAAAAATGCCCGATACTCTTTCGCCAGCATTACTGCAAAATCGGCCTCAGCTCTACCGGTTTCAGCTCCTCATTCTGCTTATGCTTTCTTCCCAGACGAAGGACGAGATCAACTACGAGGCGCTGCAGAACATGAAAGCCCATTTCATTTCCAAAGGTTTTGAAAATGGCGTTTGCATCGAGGCTGTCCGCTCTTCCACTGAATCTGAGCTCGATGAGCTTATCAAGCGTGTGGGCTTCCACCGCAGGAAGGCCATGTACATAAAGAAAGCCTGTGACCTACTTCACGAGAAGCACAATGGCGATATTCCTAAAACAATCGAGGAAGTCGTTGAGCTTCCTGGAGTGGGTCCCAAAATGGGGCATTTGCTTCTCCAGTTCGGCTGGGGCATCAACAGTGGTATTGGGGTGGATGTGCATATCCACCGCTTAGCGCAGAAATGGGGTTGGGTGCGAAAAACCGATAAGCCTGAGGCCACTCGGTTGGAGCTCGAACTGTGGCTTCCACGCAGGCTTTGGGCACAGGTCAATCCGTTATTGGTGGGATTCGGTCAAACCGTTTGCAACTCGCAGATTTCGAATTGTGACGTCTGTACGTTGTCGAAGGGCCTATGTAGGGGTGTGAACAGGAAGCTCCTTAAGGGTCCTATTAGCGAAGAAAGGCTAGCAAAACTCCGTCGCCAACGTGCGGATTTGCTGCCGTTAGTGGAGATTTAGAGAGTTCTTGAAATTATCTCGGCTACAATCGTCATGTTTTTGTTAGTGGCTTGATACCTTCCGTGTCGGTCTTTGCTACCTCGGTGTTACTGCGCATCAGGATACACAACGCATCTACTTGCCATCTCCGATCTTATAAGCACGCAGTGTCACACGCTCAGCAGCGGCATGTTAAAAATACCGTCGAGGTTTTCTCCACTGGCATGTCGATCACTACATTGCTCATCAAGATTCCATCTCGAATCAACTCCACCGATATATCCCCATACCCAGATTCAGCCACCTGCGGACTACGATGCCTTAGCTTATCGGAATTGGATACGACTTCGTGAACTGACACCTCAGTCCTTCTCAGTTATGTCTTTCAATCTCCTTTCACAGCATTACGTTTGGAAACAGGTGTTCGAATACCTTGATCCTCAGTATCTTGACTGGCCTCATTACAGATTCCCGCTCATAAACAGCACGATTAAACAACTACGGTGCGATATAATGTGCTTTCAAGAACTTGAATGTCTGGTATATCAGAACTTCTGGCGAAATCTGTTTCCGCTAGATAATTACCAGCTGATCTATTTGAGAAAGCCGCAGCCAGCATATTGGGGAACAAGGCCACCCGAGTTCATGGACGGCGTTGGCATATTCTTCAACAAATCCAGGTTCGATCTCATCGAGTCGAGAAATTTTCACTTTGGCGGCTATGTCGCTGATCATGGCGACAGGTTCGACCTCACCGAGGACGTCAATTCGAGACTTATACCCCGGAACACCGTGGCTATTTTAGCGCATCTCTACGACAAGTTCAAGAAGACTCATTTGTTTATCACAAACACGCATTTGTATTGGCTGCCGGCATTCAATGATGTCAAGTTATTGCAAACCAAGCTCCTTCTCAATGCGCTCGCCAGGTTTGTTGCAGACTCAGAACTTGAAAACCCTCCTGTTTTGATGTGTGGTGACTTCAATTCTACGCCAACGTCGTCAGTCTACCGTCTTCTTTCAAGAGGAAGAGTTAACATAGATACTGCTCAGGAGTTCAACTCCCGTGAGTATGGGTCGTTGCTTGATGGAGAGGAGGTAGAAACTTATATCAAGAATCCATTCGCTCTTTCCCCTGCCTATGGACCCCTTCTTGATAATTCTCTCTCGGAAACTCTTGATTTTACGAGTTATACTAGAAGTCTCACTGCTGTTTTGGACCACATATGGTTCTCCAAGAACCAGTTGGTCTCGACAAAGGTACTCGGCAAGGTCGAAAAGAACTACAGCCTAAATGCACCCGGCTTTCCTGATAGACAATTCCCATCAGACCACATTGCCTTAGTGTCTGAAATTGACTACGCATAAAATCGAGCCTATTTTCGCAGCCGGTGGATTTTCATTGCAATGTCCCGGCCCATCACCCCAGACAATAGATAGATACTTTTCGTTAATATTCCCAATTTTTCTTTGCTTTTTTTCGCCCATAATTTCAAATCCCCCGAATTTGATGGCAAAAGTTCAATTAATAGATGTGGTGATAGTCGTGCAATACACATCAAGTAACGTGACCTGCAACGAAAACTGCCCTGTCTAGATGTTCAACCCGAGTAACAATCAATCTTCGCCAACTTGAGTCGATCAAAGAATTTGTCAGTGATTTTATCCAATCAAGGAAATTCCTCACCCAATAAAGCCTTATAGCGAAATAGAGCTTGTTTTGTGGTGCCATACTTCCCCGAATTCGCTGCCCAACGTTTTTTCTTGTTCAACGAAGAGTCGACGCCGTTTCACAAACACAGCTGTATCTGGAGACATTAGACAATCCGGTAAACTTCGGCAAAGAAGGATTAGCTTGACCACTGGTTGCACCGAAAATCCTAAAGATTTTAAGCGTGTTCTGAAATCCCGGTGGAAAGCTCAAGCGAATAGGCGATGAACATAAATCAAAAGTTCCAGCTGAATCTGCAACCAGGCATACCATCACAGCAGATCTTGCTCCAGCAATTGCAACAGGGTCAACCTCAGAACCAGCAGCAAAGTGCCGCCTCTGGTCCTCAATACCCTGGCACGCAAGATGGTATGTATGCGGACTCTCAATATTACCAACGGAATGGTAACTCATTCAACCTGGCACCTGGACCTGGCTTTTTTCCTCCGCTGCAATTCCAAACTCAGCAGGGGCAGGCTCAAGGTGATCAGGTGTTGAATCAGTACCAGCAGACGCTTCAACAACCACCCAATTTGAACCCACAGAAGTTCATGAACCAGCAAGCCAGCATGTTACAACAGCCTCTTCAGCTGCTGCAGCAGCAGCCCCTGCAAGGCCAACAGCCACAATCCTCTCAGCCTCTGAATGTTCAGTTGGCTGCTGGAGGCTTCCAGCCTGCTGCGGCGAAGGTGAGCGCTATTAATGTTGATGATCCCAACACATTGTATTGGCAGCATCAGACACTGTTGTGCCAGTTGTCTCGCAGTGAAGATATTCCACATTTTTACGCAAAGCAGTACGCTCAGAATCTGAGAAAGAACAAAAACCCATATAACGATGTGAAGACAGTCTCGTTGATCGAGGCCACCAAGACCATTGTCAATGCATTGAAGGAACAGGAGAAGCAGCAGTTGGCCGCCCAAACTCCTAACACTCCAGCCGCATTGATGAGAAATAAGAAGATGGATTTGGAGGAAGATGAAGAACAAAGATTGATGGCTAGATCTCACGGTAAGCAATTGTGGTGCCATTTGGACTTATCTGGCCAAGGCTTGTTGAACCTCTCTCCTAAATTATTCAGGTACGATTTTTTGGAGAGCCTTTACTTGAATTACAACAAGCTCACTTCGATTCCTAAACAAATCAAAGAATTACGTGGTTTGAGAGTTTTGGACTTGTCACATAACAGAATCACTGAGGTGCCTCCTGAGTTGGGTCTTTGTTACAACTTACGTTACCTTTACCTCTTTGACAACAACATTAAGACTTTTCCAATTGAGTTCAGGAATTTGATAGAGTTGTTGTTTTTAGGTATTGAGGGAAATCCAATCGACTTGAAAATTGCAAACTTGGTGGCTGAGAGTGGACCTAAAGCCTTGATTAACTATTATAGGGACATGGAACCTACTTACGCGGAGCCAAAACCAAGATCATGGCTTTTGTTAAAGGAAGATGGTGAAATTATCGATCCTGTGACTAATCCAAATGCATACTCCGACGATCATGCTAATGCTGATGCATCAAGTACTTTCACCTTGATGTCGTACAACACCTTGTGTCAGCACTATGCTACCACGAAGTTGTACCAATACACTCCATCTTGGGCTTTGGATTGGGAGCACAGGAAGAACGCATTGAAAGAAGAAATCCTTGCACTTGCAACTGATGTTATTTGCTTGCAAGAGGTTGAAACTCGTACTTTCCATGAATTCTGGGTACCCCTCATGCAGAATGTTGGGTACAAGGGCTTCTTCTTCAGTAAGACAAGATCCAAAACCATGGGTGAACTTGAATCCAAGAAGGTTGATGGTTGTGCCACTTTCTACCGTGCTTCAAAGTTTCAATTTGTTCAAAAGCAAAACTTCGAGTACAACACTGTGTGCATGGGCTCAGACAAATACAAGAAGACAAAGGATTTGTTCAACAGATTCATGAACAAGGATCATATTGCCTTAATTGTTCAACTACAGCACATTGAGACAGGCGAGAAGATAATCTTTGTGAATACTCACTTGCATTGGGACCCTGCGTTCAACGATGTGAAGGCATTGCAAGTTGGTATTTTGTTGGAGGAATTGCTGGGAGTCATCAAGAAATTCAACCACACCTCTAATCAGGAAGAGATTAAAAATTCGTCGGTTATCATTTGCGGTGATTTCAACTCTACGAAGAACAGTGCGGTGTATCAATTGTTCTCCACTGGTTCAGTGTCTAAGCACGAGGACTTGGAGGGCAAGGACTACGGAAGATTCACAGACGAAGGATTCCATCACTCCTTCAAGTTGAAGTCGGCTTACGACCACATTGCATCTGACTTCCCGTTCACTAATTACACGCCAACTTTCACTGATGTGATCGACTACGTTTGGTACACCACGCCTACCTTGCAGGTGCAGGGTTTGCTTAGTAAAGCTGACGAAGAGTATATGAGTCACCATATTGGTATTCCCAACGCGCATTTTGCCTCTGATCATATACCTCTCGTGACGAAGTTCAAGGTGCGGAAGAAGGGTGCATCATCTGGAGTGAAGAAGCCAGACTTCAAGCCAGATTTCAAAGGCGGCTCCTCCAGAAAGACGTGATGACAAGAATGATGTTAGATGAAGATGCAGGGTCTCCATACCCTGAGTGTATTTTAGTATAAACTGATAAAAGTGAGGTGTAGAGACTGCGTAGGTGGGGTACGTGGGGGACCTCGTAACGGATTTTTAGGCTTTGCGAAACGCTACTCCGAAATTCTACCCATTGAACTACTCGCGTACTTATAGAGCATCGCTGGGTCACCAATTTTCACAGCATGTCCCTTTTAATTCCGTCAATCCAAGATCGCCACGATGCTCTTGGTCATCTAGATGTTAGAGAGTGGTTCGCAGAAACGGTTACAAAAGCACTTCAAGATGAGAAGCTGAGAGACAATTTCAAATGGTCTTTTGAAGTGGTACCGGGCTTCTTTGCACAGTCGGATGAGAAGACCGATGATGTGAAGTTTAACTATGCCTTCAACAACATTGGACGACTCAAATCTTGGGACGACCTCATTGAGGAATTGAAGGACTTGAATAGAAATGCTAAACCTAATGAGGTGTACAAGCTCGTCACATGTGCTAGACATGGTGAAGGATTCCATAACATCGTTGTCGACAAGTACGGAATCCAAGCCTGGTCTGAAAAATGGTCTCATCTCAATACCGATGGTGAGTTGGAATATGGTCCTGATACCATGCTATCTGAAAAGGGCATTGAGCAGGCTAGACAGAATCATGAAGTGTGGGAGAAGGAGATCAAGGAGCATGGTGCTCCATTGCCAGACAAATTCTATGTTTCTCCGTTGCAAAGATCAATGTGGACTCTACAGTATACCTGGGAGGGACTCAGATCGGCGGATCAAAAGGCCGTAATTGTGGAGAAGCTTAGAGAGCGGTATGGCTCCCATACATGCAATAAAAGAAGTACAAAAAGCATTATAGAAAAGAGGTTCCTGGAATACGGTTATGAGTTTGAGGACGGTTTCCTGGAAGAGGATTCTCTTCATACTGACGAGCAAGAAACCCACCATCATCATTGTGTGAGGACCAACGATTTCTGCCAGGAATTGTTTGAGAAGGACTGGGACAGCCAAGCAAATGCTGTCGATCGTGAAAAAGCATTAGCTAACACTTTCATTTCCACTACATCTCATGCGGGAACCATCAGCGAACTCTTGACTGTCTTCAACCATAGACCCTTCGCCATTTCCACAGGAGGTATGATCCCCGTGGTAGTCAAGGCAACCAGAAGGATAGACTAATACTACAGATCTCACTGTTCTCTAAAAAATTTTTATAAAGATCCTAAATAAGTTACCTATTCCAAACGTGATCAAAGTGATCTGACGAACTAAAGTAAATTTGAAGTCGCTCGGACAGACGTTTATGTCTTCTTCTCTTCGGTTGAGGAGGTGTCAGAGGCTGAGCCCTGGTGCACACGAGGCTCCATCTTGTCCTTAGGATCATTGAAGCTCTCTCCAGACTCCTCGTATTCATTAACGAGGGTACCATCACCCAAGTTGGAAAGGTCATAGCCGTTGACCTTCAAGTACTGAATGAAGTTCTTGTCCTCGTCATTGATGGCTTCCTGGCCGACAGATGGACAGAAGAACAAGGTCAAGACAGCGGAGAAAAGACACAAACCAGAAGAGATATAGAATGCAGTTCTGACACCTTCGTCAGAGTCGGCACCACCATTGTTCTTCAAGATGATGGGGAAAATGTAAGTACCGACGAAAGCACCCACCTTACCAATGGCAGCAGCAATACCATAGTACTGACCTCTAACAGCAGTGGCTGAAGTCTTGGAAGCCAAACAGCCGACGTTGTTACCTGGGCCAAACTCACCCAAGGCAGAGAAGACACCATATACAACAACAAAGCCACCAATCTGGTGCTTTAAAGTCTTATAACCGGCCGTCATACCAAAGCCGACAATTGCCTGTGCGGCAAGACCACCAGCCATAGTAAGACGAGGGCCGAAGTAATCAGTAGCGAAACCACCGATGAATGTACCTGGAATATAGAAGAGGTTGAAAACAACGTTCCATCCAAATGACTTGTACATGTCATGATCAGGAATAATGATTCCCAAAATGTAGTTCGAGTAAAGACCGAAGGAGTAAGCGGAGAAATCGTAAATGAACCACACGATGGAAACGATTGATAATCTGAACCAGTAAAATTTAACAACGAGCCACCATGGGAACTTCTTCACAGACTTCATGTTTGTCTTCTCGTACGATTCAGAGTTCTTCATCTTTCTTCTCATAAAGAAGAGGGCAAATGGAGGAAAAACACCAAGGCCGAGGGTCAATCTCCAAACAGGCTCCAAGTGTCTGTCAGAGAAGATCCACAACAAGACCATAGGCACGAAAGCGGCAACCACGTAACCGAAGTCAATGCAAGAGTTGGTGAACCAGACAAAGTATCTGTTTCTGTGACCAGCAGGCAACTGGTTGGCGAATTCAGATGCAATGACAGAAGAGGTAGGATATTCAGCACCAATACCTACACCCAAGAAGAAACGGAAAGTGGTCAAGGCGGCGAACATGCCCTCTGGGGTGACACCCCATGTGGCAACAGCACAGAGAAGGGTGAAGACGATAAGGATGATGTTGGCGGCCAACATACCACCCTTCCTAGCGAAATGGTCGGAAATGTATCCGAAAGATAACTGACCCAAGACCGTACCGGCGAAAGCGATAGCTGCAACATTGGAGATAGCATTCGACTCGGCGTACTGGTTTGGGTAAATGGTAGACAAACAGGTGGTAACAGCAGAGATGGAGTTATTGACGTAACCATCAGAGAAGAGACCGGCACCGGAGATGAAGGCAGGCCACAAGTTCTTGAACTGGACTTTTCTGACCGCCTTTTCGTTTTCGGCGTCAGCCTCTTCCGCCAAAGCCGAATTCCTCTCACGCTGAGCCTTAGTCAAGGCTAATTCGCCAGGAATTCTTTCATACCATCCGCAGAAGGCATCTCTGACAGAATGCGGTAAGTCTCTGCTAGACATTGATGAATGTGTGCCAAGTAAAAAAAGTAGCCCGTTGCCAAGGGAATTTGACAGGAAGATCAGTGAGAACTAAAGTAAGGGACTGCTTGGCAATTGAACCCCTTGTTTTAAGGAAATAATGGAGAAGTGAAAAATAATGAATGGTGTGAATTGCGGATCAGCAGGGTTTTATATGCGTGGGATTGGCCGGGCAAATGCACTATGTGAGGCTAGCAGTACTCACTGCGACCAAAAGCGCCGTATGAGAAGCAAAAAAAAAAAAAAAAAAAAAAAAAAGAAGAACAAAGCCTATCTGTGCTGCACGGTTGCCGCACCCGCAGATGGACGAACGTGACAAAAATTAGCTAATAGACCCGGTTCGCGATAGCGAGGATCATTTTTCCCTTTCAATCGGGCTCTTATCTTGGAATGTAGCGGCACCTAAAACGTGGAGGCTTTTAGATAAAGTTGCCTATGACCTAACTTAATTTTCGTCAGCCCTCTTGTGGTTGTCCCCGGTACTTGTATTCTGTCACCTTGGACCCGCAAGGTAACCCCCACGAGGGCACTTTTCAGTCTCATGAGTATTAGCCGAGTCGCACAGCGCCTTTTAGCACCACATGGCTAGTGCTGAAACGTGGGGTCTTAGGTCGTACAAAGGGGACGATTGACTGAGGCTAGCAATTACGGTGATAAAATAGCGGATTACTGGTTCTTGAAGGTTTCTGAAATTCGGATTGTTCGGGCAGTATGTCGATGCTCTCGCGCTGATCCAAATCTCTCACAAGACACTTAACACGCAATCTGCGTGGTTGCTTCCGTGCGTTGCTTGGAACGCTTCAACGCAGTACTGTGCCTAACCGAACGAATTGTTTCTTTTGATGCCGTTTCATCCTGATCAATTACTGTCGTAATTAACGACGCGTGAATTTCCGAAGGGTCCATGCGGCAATAGCAAGATCGGTGCTCGACTCGCGACCGTGGAATCTTCTTGCGTTTTCGGTTGCATCCGAGCATTGTCCCTTTTGCCCGAGTTGTGCACCCATTGCAATATTCTCATTAAACTTCATACTTGAATCGTTATCAACGAACTTCTGGAAATCACGCTGGACGGCTCGTGGCAGTGACGCTATGCATTTAGCAGATATCACGAATATGCCAGGTCTCCAATAGTCATCTCACCTCTGGTTTGGCAGCTGTGCAGCCCCTGGTCCATGCAGGCCTCTCAGTATTCGGTTCCAAGCACTGTTTCGGCCAAACTTTCCTGTTTCGCTAGTGGCTTTTTTAAAGCTTAATTCTAAGTTTTTGGGACTCGAAGTAATACTATGGTATACTTTTATTGGTGCGTAAGAACAGCAACTTTCCTCTTCACTATGTACTGAATTTGTTGTCTAACTTTATTTATTTTTCTTCGAAAAAGATGAAATCTATTCCCCCACTTTCTTATCCCACTCCCAAAAAAATTTATCTATCTCCACTCAACAGCGTATTTCAAAGTGTCTCCCGCCTTGAAGGGCACAACTTCTAATTTGTCGTTGCCAATTACCTGCGGTACAGCGTTATCGCGACGAACAAGCACCGCCTTATCTTGACTCACCAAGTCTTCATCCTTGATCTGATAAAACTCCCGTCCATTTTCAGAAACAAATTTACGTAAATTTTCGAGCTTTCCAGCCGCCTCGAAAACCTCCGCAACATAGGCAATGGCGTTGCTTTGCGTGTAAACGCCTGCGCAGACGCCAGTGTGCTTAGCCTTGTTCTCGATAGGGTGGGGAGCCGAATCCGAACCAAAGAAAAAGTATTTCTCGCCAGAGGTGGCGGCCTCAACCAAGGCTCTCATATCAGCAGGCAACTTGGCAACAGGTTTACAGAAATTAATTGGGTTTCCTGCCCATGCGTCGATAGTTAAGGAGAGATGGTGGGCAGTGATGGTAGCTGCGACCTTCGACGCAGGGTTCTCCTTGTGAATTTGACGGATTGTGTTGATGGCGCTCTCTGTTGTACAGTGCTCCAAAATAATCTTCAAGTTGGGGAAATCACGGTGCAACTTGAGGAGAGCAGGCATGAATTGGGGCTCTGCGTTCAAGACATGGATGTCTTCGTCCTTGGAAGGTGGCTTCTCGCCATGCAAGTTAAGAACAAGGTTGTTTTCCTCAAGGGCCTTGAAGATTGGGTAAAAACTCGAGAAGTCGTTGGGGTCAACACCAGCAGAGGAGTTGGTGGTGACACCAGCTGGGTAGCATTTGACACCATGGATTGCACCAATCTTAGCCGCCTCATTGATAAGCTCGGGCGTCAAGTCTTTGCACAAGTAAAAACTCATCAAGAAAGTCGTTTTTGGTGAAAGTTTCTGGAGATCATTCTTGTACTGGACCACACGATCAATGGTGGTGATGGGAGGAACCAAGTTGGGCATCACATATGCGATGGACACACCACCTTCCCTGACAGTGGGAGTAATGAGATCCATCATTTTACCATCACGAAGATGGACATGCATGTCAGCGGTGATACCAAGTTCGATTTCGGTCATCTTAATTATACACTGGTGCTTGTCTTGGTTACTACCGGAAAAAAAAAAAAAAAAAAGATGCTGAAAAAATCTATTGTAGATCTCGATAAGCCACACGTGATATACCCCAGATTTTAGACACTTTCCAAAGATTCAGATTCATGAGGGAACATTTCTATGGTTTCCTTTGAGTCGTGGTTCACTAGGATTGATGTTTGGATTACATCGACGTATGGTGCTTCAACTTGATGAGTGAGTGCCTCAAGCATCTCGTAAACGGCCTTCTCATCGGGAGTTCCCGCGGGTTCACCTATCCATAAAACGATGAGAGAGTACTCTTCTGTTGCTTTCAGTAAGGAAATACCTATAGTTGGAACTGCATTGTTAGTTGTGATGGTCTTTTTGCCTAGCGACACACATACCCTTAATACTCATTGGCTGCGAAATCTTGTCTAATGAAATTACCCTCGCAAACACCTGAAAGCAATGGAGTTCGTCAGGTGGCAGGACTTTCATAAATATCGACAGCTTCGAGTAGATATTCTTTGATGTTGGCGAAACCTCTGCTCTTAGCAAATGCAACTTTTTTCTCATTGTGTATTCTGCGTTGATCGTTCTAATCATGAGTCCTAGTGCCTCCGTATTGTCGACTTTCATCTTCGACTCAACCTTCTCGTCATTTTCGTCTTTTTGAATCCATAAACGCCACTGGCTAGGAAATACCTTGAGATTGGTCCTCCGCTTAAGTTGCCTCTCGGTCTTGAGATGATGATATATGAGACAATCGTGCTCATTAGATATAATCATCTTTGTAGCCAGGCAACTGATTAAATGACGCGGGGGGCTAACTTCAGACGATCTACTCACTTCCCTCTCATCAATCGTTATGCCATCGTTAGCCTTGAATAGCGCTTTGACATGATCTCGAATCTTGAATCGGGTGTAGTAGTGCGGTTTTTCTTCAAGGAAACTCTCATCCGAACTAGTCACCTCCTTGTCGGTTTCACAGTTGATGATTTCAGTTTCGAAGTCTTCATTACCTGACATTTTTGTGGAACACAACTGGTACAAAGTGGTTGCAAAAAAAAGCCAGTGCGGCTCTGCCTCGCACATAGGAACCTCATCTTTAAAGCTTCTTTACACACCAATGAGCTCCATCTTTCTTCCCCATCTACGAACTGGTTGGCATGTCGATCAGGCCATCTTATCCGAAGATGAAAGACTTGTCATCATCCGTTTTGGCAAGGACTATGACCGCCTGTGTATGATAATGGATGAAGTACTTTACGGTATCGCCGAGAAGGTGAAGAACTTTGCCGCTATATATGTCTGTGACATAGAACAGGTTCCTGATTTCAATGAAATGTACGAGCTTTACGATCCTTGCACAGTGATGTTCTTTTACCGCAACAAACACATGATGTGTGACTTCGGCACTGGCAACAACAACAAGCTCAATTTCCTAATAGACAGCAAACAAGAGATGATTGATATCATCGAGACGATATATAGAGGTGCCATTAAGGGCAAAGGTTTGGTGGTGAGCCCGAAAGACTACAGCTCTGCGAGATTGAGGTAACTACAACGAAACGTGGGAAGACCTTTCGGATTCAGACATTCTATCTACTCCTGGACTTCGTTTTGAGCAAAGAAGAAGTTTACGGCCAACAATTGAGAGCTGCCGCCGTGCTTCTTGAAATAGTCTCTGACTCCCGAGCCAGGCAGCTCAGTACCCCAAGTGGGTCTGTCTGGTGGAGTAACCAAGTTGGCCTTGGGGTCCTGCTTGTACAACAAGAAAACATACCTGTGCTTTCCGGTCTTCTCTGGAGGAGCTGGGCCGACGTAGCTCAAAAGCTCATTACCCTTGCTGATGTCCAAGATTGTCGACAAGGATTCCTCCGAGTCAGCATTGTTGGTGTTCAAAGGCAAGTCTGTGACGAGCCAGTGGGCGTATTCGGACCACTTCTTGTCACCTCTGGTTGGTGCATCTGGATCAGTCAAGACCAAGGTGAACTTGTCGTCACTGTTCACTTGCAATTCCTTCTCCTGGTTAGGGGAGTTCAAGGTGAACTGTATGGTGGGGATGTGCTGGGTGTCAGCTACCTTCAAAGTGTTGCCCAAGGTGACATGGTGGTCTTTAGAGTACTCAATGGTGAGCAAACCTTGTGTATCAAACTTGTCGACAACATCGGGAATAATGGAATGCTTGTTGTAAGCTTCATCCAATGATTGGGAAATAGTCATTAAATTCATTTTGGGTAGCCGGAATTTAGATGTAAAGAAGGAGGGCCTTGCTTGCCTGGCTAGAGTACCCCTATATATAGAGAACATCACTCAATTGCTAAAAAGAGGAGGTTACCATATACCACATGACGTACAAGGGAGCGTGAGCAGCCTATATAGACCGTAGTGCACTTAACCCTAGTGAGTGGCTCCCTGTTCGCCTCCCGCTCCATTGAGCGCCTCCCGACAAGATCCGAGCTCCTTGCATACAATTAACCTAAAGGGGGTATCTCTGTAGTTGTCTTGATCTGACAATTTCTTTTTTAATTCTTAATAAGGTATGGACATGAAGGCTTTAAAAAGTATGGGGGTCTAGGTCATTATTGTTCTGCAAGAAGCAGGGTTGAAAATTGCTCGAGCGACTAGAAGTTTCCATTTTTTTATGTGGCATGGAGAATGTTGCGAAATAGCAATGTTGAACGGGAAATATAAAAAATCGACATCTGATCAAAACAACCCTCTATCGAGTCCAACGTTCGAATTGAGAGTTTGCCATCACTAGCCGAGTTAATTGAATACTAAACTTTGCCTTGTTTGACACAATTCTACTTTTGCGCTCAGCAATTGATTAAAGTACATTAGGCTACTCATACAGGGTCTGCTTATACAGCCGTTTTCAAATCCGGGCCACTGGGGCGTGTTCGTTTATCATCAACAAGGCGTCTGCCACCTCTAGTAATTGTTTTCATAAGGCTGGTAGTTGTCGAAATTGTAGCTCGAGCTCTCCTCGTTCTCTTCTTGTTTAACTCCATCATCTCTAGGCGCACCCATGTCGTCTAAGGGTGGAACTTGTTGCGGAAGTTCCTTATTGTCCGTTGAGCGGTTCGGAAGCTGGGGCAGTCTAGTTTGAGGAAGATGTGGAACGTTTTGTAGAGGCAGTCCTTGACTGCCGGGCAGGTGAGTATTCTGTCCCATAGGAACCGCGTTCTGAGGTGGTCCTTGAGGGTTTGCAGTGCCACGAATCTGGTTCACACCCATTGGTGGCTGCTGGAGGTGGTGCATAGGTGGCTGCGAAGAAGTAGTAACATAGCTACCAGTTCGGGACTGACCAGGGAATGACTTCTTCGGCTTCTCTTCTTCGCGAGGAACAACATCAATGAGGAAATCGAACATATCGCTTTTAGTCAATGCAGCTGCAATGTCAGACTTCTGGAGCGTTCTCCGCTTATTCTCCTCGGCGTGGATCCACGCACGCATGGTCAATTCAGTGATGAAGACGTCACAACCCTTGGCGAACAAAATTGGCGCCTCGGCACTAATCATTCTCACCTCTTCATCTGTTTTCATCACCTTCTTGATTCTTGCCAAAGGTAACTGGTGATTTTTAAAATCATGGTCGTCGTTTTCGATGGAGTCAATCGTTTCTTGCCAATATTGCATCAACAAATCTCTATTCTTACCCGTCAAACCTTGGCCCACATTACCAAAAACTCCACCGGGCTGAGGCTGTGCCTGTTGCTGAGCCACAGCAGCATCAGCAGCCGCCTGGGCTGCTAAGAGTTCCTCTTCGTCCACTATGGGATGCAGCGTCGCCAGTGGTGGTGCTCTTTCCTGGACCGCCAGCATGGGCTGTTCATCAAATTGCTGATTGTCGACTCCATTGTGACCCTGCTCCTGGTTGATATGAGGGAGCTCTTGGTCGTCCAAGTAGGCGTTGTTATACTCCATTATTGGGAGTTATAGGCTGTTAGTGAGAATCTTGTGAGTCTCACGCAATGTGATATACTTGACACTGTTGGCTTCCACGTAGGTTAGCAAAGCTCAGAACAAAAACTAGACTCCAAGCTCGACGATATTTTGAGACAAGTCAGGGTCTATCGTCTATACTTTTCAGTTATGAACTGCATTTGGATGGTGATTTTTTCCTTCAGTGCGAGCGACCGGACAAGTCCACCTGCAGGAGATTATCGGCTTTTGGTCGCCGAAGTGGAAATACTACCTCACAAGATACTATCGCAGAACCACATCAGATCTCTTCTACTTCAAAGCGGGTGTCATTTCAACTCACATTAACAAAAAAATAAAAAGAAATGCGCAAGCCCGGAATCGAACCGGGGGCCCAACGATGGCAACGTTGGATTTTACCACTAAACCACTTGCGCGCTACTTGCTTTTTGTGGAATATAGAGACTCTTGAATAGCCACATGCTGGTCACGGGGTACGGGTCACATGGTCGAGAAACAAAAGTGAGGAGCTTATTAGCAGGTATAGACATCTAGAATCGGCGTTTCATAATAACTCGTACCTGGTTTCGAACATTTGAGTGCTTGATTAGCGGGTATGCTTCTATAGCGATATAGAATCCTCTCTTAAAAAAAAAAAAATACATCCTAAAATAGAAGGGGTTGTACGAGGCGTTTACGTGGTTGATTTACCGAGGTGTCTATTGTTTCAAAGAAATTGAAGCCGCTTTTGGACATAAAAAAAAAAAGGGGTGGTCCTAGTCTCAACTTATCGTCAATCCCCATAAGAGATCCCTCAGACGAGCCATAAAACTTGATAGCACAGCCCAACACAATGAGTACTGAAGCCACATTAAGCCGTTCTCAGATTCTCGAGATGGCCCACCACATCACTCCCTACAGAGGCGACGGCAATCCTCGGTGCATCCAACAGTACATCTACGCTGCCCTGGACCGTTTCGATGGGCATCCTGAAAACGAGAGACTCCTCATTGAGATGCTGCTCAAGGGCCAAGCCAAAACTTGGGTTAGAGAATGCCAGGAGAAACCCGAATGGCTGCAGTTATCCGGCCAAGAGGTACTCGACCTTCTCAAGGCAACATTTTACCCGGCTGACTACGCAGAAACTGCGATCCGCAACATCACGCTGTTGAAGCGTGGATCCAACTCCCTCGCGGCCTTCCTTAAGGAATTCACCCAGTTGTCCCGAGAGATTCCCGCAGGCGCCTTTAGCGACGACGCACTTTGCGTCTTTCTTGCCTATGGCTGCGGTGAACCTTTCGCTACAGACCTTAGACGTTGTGGGCTCACCACCTTCCAAGAACTGTTCGATTACCTCCAGCGCCAAGCGGACACTTCAGAGTTTCTCTCTGAATACAACATCTCGTCGTCTAACGAAGGGACGAAGTATCACGCATCGACAATTGGTCAGGTCGTAGTGAGCAAGAAAGGGTCCGCTGTCGCCGTGAAGGACATTGCAACCATGACCGAGGCGGAGATCAAAGCCATCAATGAAAGAGCTAAAGCATCCTTGATCTGTCACTACTGCAGGAAACAGGGACACTTGAAGCGTAATTGCCGGTTGCGGATTACCGAATCACGCAGAAACAGGAAAGCCCAGTCACAGGGAGACAAGAAGTAGCATTTTTTTGGTGAGGCCCTAAGGCATGCTCTTAAAGTGATAGAAAGTACTTCGTTGTAAAGGCTGTATTTCCACACTGTTTGAGTCCATGGTAATCTGACAGTAAGGTTGCAGGTCAAGAGAGCAGAACGATTTGTTTCCTGCCATTTCTCTGAGGAGATCGCCAGTGTGGGGAATTGAATCAAGGTCTTTGACTGTATGGTGATTCAAAGCTCGGTAGTCCACACAAAGGCGCATGGCTCCGTCCTTCTTTTTGACGAGGAGTTCTGGCGAGCTGTCGCCTCAACTCCTTGAGTTAATAGTGGCTCATGCGGTAAGGAGACCGATTCAACGGTGTTGTGCCAGGTTTTTAGCAGAACGACATGACGAAGGTGATGCACCGGAGGAGCTGTATCGGGAAGGTTGTGAAAGGTAACGTCCGCTGTAATATGGCGGTTTTTAAGGGGTCATTGCCCGGTCTGTGGACACCATACTATTGCACTATATCATATAGTTATTCAGGTTAGACAATAAGATGACAAAACTTATAAACTCTTTTTCATTTAACTGTATATTTTGTATATGCTGAAGGGATTGCCAAAATTCAACACTCTCATACCCGCCAGGAGTTGAGAAGCTTGAGATGAAGATAAAGAGCGCTGGCACCTTTCATTCCTAGCGAAAAGAAGCGGAATCTCCAAAAGGTAGCAACAACGCCAAAGTAGAAGAGTGCGTAAATAATGAGCTTAACAATCTTTGGTGCCTTTCGGGCCACAGCGGTCTCAAGGACGTAACCAGATACAAAAATTGCAAAGTACAATGCTGGCACGTAATGATGCAAATAAGTCACTCTACCCATAAGAATGAACGGTAGGTAGTGTAACACATACCCAGCTATTGGAAAGATAAACTGAGCGATGAATCTGTTCCATTCAGCGCTTCTAACATTCAATTCAACAGACTGTCTTTGCCACATGTAGAGCGTTCCTGTCGCAAAGATGATGCTCAATACAATCGAGAGCGTACTGAACCAAGTAACGAATGGGTTGCCCATGAGGAAATACTTGGAACTGTCTGACCACCAGCCGCTCATTCTCAATCCAGTTCGCAAGATGGGCCATTCCCACCATCTTGACGCCAAGTGGTCATAATGGTCTGGATCAGGAATCAAGGCATTATTCGAAGCCATCATTCCATAATTCAACAAAATGAACTCCTTCCAGAATTTTGGCTTTGGAGCAACATACTTGGTTTTGGGCGATTCGAAATCATTATTGACATGATCTTCGATGTTCCACCACGCACTTTTATCATTCTTCAACAACACATTTTTACAGGTGACCTCGCCTTGTTGGAAGCCCCAGGATGGATAAGAATAGCCTGTTGTAGCCAAGTAACAGCCAAGTACCTTGTGACGCAACCTGAAGCTGGTCGAGATAGGATGAATCTCAGAAACATTTTCATTTTGGAACTCGGGGGATGGCGATTTATCTTGAGATTGAACTTCGATCACCCAATCATCTTTTGAGTCATTCACATCGATATTGCCGTAGCAAGAAGTCTCGTAATGGCCCTTCAGCACTGGTGCTGCGATGGAGTGGGAATGCAAAAAGCAGCCACGTTCTTTATGCATCAACCTAATGGTGTCACCATCTTTGACTAATGTCTTGTAGTCGAGAATCACATTTGGATTATCTTCATCGAAATCAATTGTTGCGAATCGTCCTTTGATAGCATTTTCCAAATCGAACTCGATGAGGAACTCGTTATTATCATCCTTGTAGCCATACGTCGTTATTTGCTGTTGACGAGACCCTCGGGATATAGGTGTGGGTGAGAATGCAAAAGGTTGGGCAGAAGGCCTTGCGAACGAAGGGTAACCAAGGAGCCATATGCCACAGAACGAGGTCCGTTTTTTAAGGTGTTACCCTCCAATTGGGCCTGAAGCAATGTCGAGATAGAGCCATCACCTGGTCCTGACCGGTTCAAGACCTGGAAATGAACCTTGAAGGCCACGACATAGATGACAAATGGGATTGCAATTAGTGTCACGATCCTCACGAACCAATGTCTGAGGTAAATTGTCCAGGAAGTGACTTTTTGCGCTCTAAATTGCCGCTCCAAAACTTCGTAGAACCGAATGAGCAAGTCATATATCGTGTAAAGTCCCACTAGAGCAGTGACGAAGAGACCCACCCATTTAACAGAGCATACACAGCCAATCGACACACCTGTGAAGGCCAACCAGAGACCACCCGAGAGGCTGAGAAGCTTGTTTCTTTGATTGAGCTCATGGATTTTACTGAGGCCAAAAAATGTGGTCACTGTGAAAAAGAGAAGCATGGAGTCCAAAAGGATGAACTTGGACAACGTGAGGGACAACATCTCGAACACAACCAGCAATGAAATATACCACACGGAATATAAAGAAAAGCCCAAACTCAATGCCGTAAAATAAGCAAAAGGGGTGCAAAGAATACCAAACACGCAGTTAAAGTATCTCATGGCGATAATATTGAACTCGCTAGGGAACTCTTTTCCACTCTTGAACTCGAATGAGCCATCGTAGCCCGCTAGCCAGCCTGAGAGACCAACGAGTAATTTTCCAAGAGGTGGGTGAACATCGAAGTAGAACTCATGTTTCAAGTAGTGGGAACCGAATTTTCCAAAATGAGCTTCATCCCAAATCACCTTGGGAGCGTCACCAATTCCATAGAGCCTCACGTAAGCCGACACTGCAGTGAGTAGCAATGGATTAAAAATGTAGACAAATATGTTCAGCACGGTCCACCAGTTTTTGCCTCGGGATTCATCGATGGAGAGCGACGAGGTCTGTTTGATGATACTATCGAGATCCTCACTACTCGCTATAGTGCTTGAATTGGCGACTTGGTTCCGGTGCCTTAGCGTGCCTATATCATGATAATCTGTGCCCGAGGTAAATGATTCCCTGGGGCTAGGAGACATTGTACAGTCTAAAGCAAAGTTGGAGTAGAATGTGAAGGTGGAAGTGGATATTTCTATATAGGTCGCGCAAGCGGACACACGGTGGTGAGAAGCCACGACGAGGGCGTCGGGCCAAACAAAAAATAGAAATTAATGAACAGCGAAAGTTGGCTCGGGCGACCCAATTTTTTATTGCATTTCTGAGGAGTGAAGTTACTACTGCCCGGGGCTTCCCCTATTGACCGTAGTCTCTAATTGGTTTCACCCACCTCTGCATCGAAGACTCTAATTCCATGTGTTCGGAGAAATTGACGAGACCGCCGAAACATCAAGATTGCCACTTACCCTCAATAGTAGTGATTGAGGGACCGCCAACAGTTATTTTATCCTCATTGTGAACGGTAACTTTACCCTGGCGACCCACCACAGTGCCTTGAGAAATGCTTACCTTGCCCTTCAACTCTCCAGTAGCAGCTAAGAAAGCCCCGACAGCTCCCAGCCCAGACCCGCACACTGGGTCTTCGTTCACCTCCACAGCGGGAGCGAAGGTTCTCAATTCATACGCATCCTTTTGCTTTTGAGGCCCCAAAACTTGAACTCCAGTGATGCCCCAGGCTTCAGAGACCTGTCTTATTCCGCCTTGATTGGGTCTGAGCGAAAGTACGGTCTCAGCGCTGTCGAGCCGGAGTGTGAGCCATTTGGGACCCACGTCGAAAAGAATCGCTTCGGGTGAGGTGTTTTTAATCTCTCCTTGGAAAAGATGCTTAGTAACGGCGGTTATATCACCAGGCGTACGCAATTGCTTAGCGTAGGGAAGCTGGAAAGAGATGAGGCCATCAGCTACTGTGAGCTCGACCAAACCAGCACCGCATTCCTGGTAGATTTTCCCATTCTGTGGCTCGATAAGGCCTGCTTCGAGAAGGGCGTGGCAGGTACCTATGGTTGGATGGCCCGCAAAGGGCAATTCGTGCTCGTGGGCGAAAATACGGACTTTGTAGCTGGCATCCTTGGTGGTTGGTTTCACAATGAAGGTAGCCTCAGATAGGTTTGTCCAACGGGACATCTGGGCCATTTGTTCAGTGGACAAGTCGTCGGCATCAAAGAAAACCGCCACAGGGTTGCCCTTGTATCTTGAATCGGCAAATACGTCAACCTGTTTGAATAGAGACATGGTTTAGGAGTATGCTATTGAAGTAATCATGAAGGTGAGTCAGTCGCACTAGGGTAATGACACATTGACGGGGTTCACGGCGCTACCACGTTTACGATTAGAAGAAACGGTTGAAGCAACGGAGTTAAAGAATCATTATCTGGTAGCCGAATTCTCCGAAATTCCAGCGAATTTGGTCTGTATCTATGATCTTGATGGAACCGGCCTGCCGGGTTGATTGTGCGTCAAACGTACGGCATCGGATCTCGTAGTTTCCGATGTCGCTTGTGCAGGTCCGTAGCTCTAAACCTCGGACGGAGCAAGACTTTTTTTTGGTTTTAAACGGTAATAACTCCGCGAGGTATACGGCTTCATCATCTCCAGCTTGATCACCTTGAGCTATTTCGTTTTCTTATAAATACACGGCACCACGCAAAACCGCTGTTTTTACATATCGAGATTGGCTCAATCGCCTTGCAATTTCAAAATTTCGCCTGTCGTTATAATCCCGTCTGTTGTATAAAAGCTTATCTAAGCGCTTGCAAGTCTTTTCCTGCTCACTCATCTTCGCTACATGTCACAACCGGAACACAAAATAAAGCCAAAGGAAGCAGACTCCCTGCTGCCAAAGGAAGCAGACTCTCTGCTGATGGCCTCTGGCCAAAACTCCAATGAACTAGATGTCAACGAATTTCGTGGCGATGCTGATGAAACGAATCATTTGGAGAGGTCACCCAGCATGCTACAAAAAATGCAAACTCGGTTGTCAATTTTCAACGACAAGCTCAAGGAGGCCCGAAAGAAGATTTTGATTAAGTACCTTCTCATCTATGCCCTCATGGCGTTCCTCATGCTCGGCATTTTTTCCATCTATTGGGGAACCGGTTTTGAAAGAGAGGAACGATACCACCGTCTTCGGATGTTGGTGGTTATTGAAGACGTCAACGTTGTCAATGATACACAACCGGTCATTGGAAACTCATTGAGGGAGCTTCTAGAGCTGCCCGAGGCTCGAAACTATGGTGGCTGGTTGATTCAGAACAATACGGAATTCAACGAATCGGCTGATAGACACGGAAACTCAGCCTGGGAAGAGGTAATGCGCCAGGTCCATCACCAAGAGTACTGGGCCGGGGTCTACGTTCGTGCTAACGCTTCTAACGATCTCAAAAATGCAATTTTGTCTGGAGATACGTCCTACAACGTCTCGAGCGAAACAGTAAGGGTATACTACGAGACCGGCCGTGACATGATGTCGATGAACTCTTACGTCACACCAAACGTTCAGAAGATGTCATCACAATTCGCTGCTAACACCAGCTATATCACGACTTCGTTGATGTCAAGCGAGGATCTTTCAAATGTCTTTGCCAACCAAAACGCACTCACGGTAGCCAGCACACCTCTCCAGTTCCTGATGGAAGATGCCAGACCATGGACGGATCCGGTACTTTTTGCTCCATCACAGGTGGGTTTGATTTACTTGATCATTCTTACCTTCTTTGCATTTAACTTCTTCAACGACGTTCATCTGACTGTGGCTCGTCTCGGCATCAAGACCGCTCAACTCGTTCTCTATAGAGCCTTGTCGTCCATTATCAGTTTCTTCGTCCTCAGTTTGATCTACTCCCTTGTGACATTGGCTTTTCAAGTCGACTTTGAAAAGACTTTCGGCCGTTCAGGCTTCCTTGTGTATTGGATGACCAACTTCTTGACGATGTGGGCTGTCGGTGCCATGAACGAGGTCATGGCCATGTGGTGTATTATGATCTACCCACCAGTTCTCGGCTTCTGGATGTTGTTCTGGGTCATCATCAACATTTCTCCTACATTTACCCCCATGGCGATTTTGCCCAAGTTCTACAGATACGGTTATGGGTTGCCAGTGCATGCCTCATACGAGATCACCAAAGTAATCTTCTTTGACACTTACAAGGGTGCCATGGGCAGAAACTATGGTATTTTAATTGCTTGGGATGCCTTTGCTACCATTTCCTTGATCGTCACCTTCAAGATTTTCGGCCAGAAAATGGGTGGTAAGGCCAGAGCAGAGAGAGAGAGGTTGAAGGAAGAAGTGAGAGAAGAAATCCAAAACGAGGAGTCCGTGGAAGACATTCCCAGAGACAGAAATTAGACTCTATTTATTTATCCTGGACATACAATCAAATTCATAGTAGTTCGCAGTCAGCAATGGTGTCCGACACCTAGATGTAGTCTGAGTACAGTATGTTTACCTGAGAAAATAGTGGATCGATTTTTGCAACACTCTATTGCTAGCAGCCATACACCACGATACCCCTCTAAAGCATGTCCCATCCACATAAAGAGGACATCCGTGGTCAACTCTCTGACATCCAGAAAAAGCTTTTCGGAAGCAACAAGGAGAAGGCCACTGCTCCATTACAGCTGCCTGATGCAACGCAGGGTGCAAGACAACCCCCAGGTCTGACGGGCAGCAGCTCTTCAGTGCCTAGATTAAGACAGAAGTCATCTTCATCTCATTTGGGGAAATTGAGCAACTCGAATAGGCAAAACACATTAGTTCCACAGCCTGCTCCAGCATTAGGACCCGAATCGAAAGGCCATGACATGAACTTTGTAGTGGGGTTGAGTGAGAACTTGCTCACAGAATGCCGTCGATTGACTGCTGAAAACAACAAATACAAGACCAAATTGAAGGGAGCTGCAGAGGAGCTCGCCAAGTACAAGAACCAGGTTGTTTCATTGACCAACTCGCGTTCCTTTGCTGCGAGTAACGAGGAGCAATTGAAGGACAAGAACTGGGAGCTCGAAGCTACAGTAACGCATCTTAACGAAGAGATCGAACAACTTCGCATCACAAACGACAAGCTCGTCAAGTCCACAAACGAGTCAACTTTACGCATTACATCCATTCAGAAGGAAAATGACGAGCTTCGTCTCCAGCACAACAAGTTAGATTCAGATTTGCATAAGTCCAGGGATTCTTACGAGAAAGAAATCGCTGAACTCAACTCACGAATCAGTCTGCTCAATGACGAGAACGACCTCCTTCTCGTGAAATCGACAGAGAAGGCTGCAAAGGGTACAACCGAGCCCGCCCCCATTGTCGAGAAGAAAGCTAAGTTTCATGACATTCTGACCTCAGAAGACATAGACCCTGTTGACCTAGACAGCATTCTTACTGCATCGGAAGCACTTCCTCACGAGCCAGACTCGAGTTCTTCCAATACAGAGCTTCGGGTGGAGACTCTCAAGGCTAACCTCGACCATGCCCACAAAATGGTGGCCAAGTTGAGGGGCGCTTTGCTTAAAACTAGGTTTGAGACCCAAAGTCCACTGACCAGGGAGACTCCTCGCAGCAGCAAGAAGTCGAGGCAGAAGGATTTCTTCCCTCCACCCTCCAACCGCTCATCTGCAATTTATTCACCGGCAAAGAGAAACTCCAAGTTTCTTGTGTTAGATGATGAGAGTGGTGACAATTGGCCTCAAGATGAGAAATGGGAAGATTACATCGAGACAGGTTCGGCCACACCATCAAAACCAGTGCGTCGTCTTGAAAGCTGGGACGACGATAGCCCTCAGAAAACGCAACAAGACGTTCCTCCTCTAGATGACTCCGAATCCTCTTCCGACTCCGAAACTGAAGATATGACTCGTGCCAGGAGAGACATTCGCCTGGAATTGAGCAACGTTGCTGGGTTGACTGACGAGCAAGTTCAAAAGTATGCTAAGGATAATCACTTGGTTCTTGTTCAGCAGGATGAATATGCCAAATTGCAGTATAATGACGTTAATGACATTTCAGAGGAGAGACTCAAGGGTGTGACAGAAATCAGAGGTCTTGTCTGTTTGAGCAAGAAGGAATACAACCGCCTTCTTGATGAGGAGGAAATGAAGCTTAAACTCAAAGAGCGGGGCCTTGTTACAATCGATTCCCAAGAATACGAAACCATCACGAAAGATGCGACGTCGTACCTCAATCCTGAGGTTGATTATCTCACCGCTGCACTTGAAAAGCATGGCTTACAGACTATCGAGCCGGACTACCTAGGAGTCCTCAAGAAGAATGAGGAGCTTGTCTCACGCCCGTCAGAATCCTACTTGAGGTCGAAGTGTAAAGAGGCTCAATTGCATACCCTAACGAATGATGAATTCAAGAATCTTAAAAAACTAGAGGCGGACCACCTCAACCCCGATAAAGCCTATCTCACTGAGAAAGCCAATGAACTTGGTATGATCCTCACTTCATCTGCATTCTATGACGAGCTTGTGGCGCGTGCCGATGAGCCTACCGCTGAGCAAATTATTGAGCATGGTTCCAAAAGAAATCTTCATGTATTGGATGATGAGAAGCTTCAGGCTCTTCAGTCCCCTCTGTTGGATGATTGGAAAGCCAAGGCAGCTTCTTTCAACTACACTGCAATTCCTTCCGATGAGCATGATCAGCTCCTGAAGCTGGCATTCGAGCCAACACTTGACAGCTTGAAGTCTCATATTGGTAAACATGACCATGTTGTTGTATCAAGAGGCGACTTCGAGAAACTCAATGCGAATGCTAATCAACCTCTGTTGTCACATCTTCGAGAAAAAGCCGAGGCACAACTGCATAGCGTTATACCCACTGAAGAATTAAACGGCTTGAGGACTAAGATTGACAATCCTACGATCGAATACATAAAGGAAAAAGCAACTGGTCACAAGATCATTGAGAATGGGCAGTTCATGTCTCTTCTCCAAAAAGCACACGAGCCATCTCTTGCTCAGGTTCAAACTCACGCTGAGAAGCACGATTTGGTGACAATGGATAAATCCGAGTATGCCGATCTTTACAAAACTTTCAACGATCCTTCTTTCGAATTCCTCAAGTCTAAGGCAGTCAGTAAAGGTTATCAGTTGTTGAAGTTCGATGAATTGCATCGCCTCCGCGATATCGAACTTTCACCATCTCGTGAGTTTATTGCATCAAAGGCAAATAATATGGATTGTTCTGTTATAAACAAGACTGAGCTCAAGAATCTCGAGGAGTTGGCTGAAAATCC